ATATAAAGGTGCTAAAGTATAAACTCTACGAAAGACTTAAGCCCTTATTAATTTTTAAGGGGCCTTAGTAAGATATCTCGATAGACTTTATCGTAGAGTTACTATTATTACTCCATTACAAAAAGATATATAATTCGATTCTAATAATTATAAATAGATACTCGAAGATAGTAGTCTTATCGTCGTATAATAGTATAATAGACGTACTTAAAATAGACTAGTTAATTTTAGAAAAGATAGTTATAAGATTTAGCGCCCTAAAAAACATTATAAATAATAAAGAAATAGTCTTTACCTTATTATATTAGGGTACTTTATACTCTTACTTTATTACTTATAGACTTTTCTCTATAATATTTTATCCTTAGATAAATAAATAAATAAAACGAATAAATTAAACACTAGAATATTATCTTCGCTATTATATTAACTACTAACAATTAGACTAGATATCGTTACTTATAAGCGTAAAGTATACGATAAACTTTTAATAGAATATAACGACGAAGTAATCTCTATTCTTAAGAGTATATAGCTTTACTTTATAGATATATATTAATATTATACGCAAAGCGAATATAAATCGATAGATAAACTATCTAGCGAAAGAAAGAGTAGAGGATTTAGCCGATTCCTTACGAGTTACTAACGAAGCGTAGGTAACCGTAGCGAAAGAAACAGAAAAAATAACTAAGTATTATAATGTTAAGAGAACGGTAATATAGTTTAATATTAACGATAGAGTTTAACTCGCGGCTAAGAATATTCGTACGCGAAGAGTAAGTAAAAAGCTTACGAACTAGTTTCTTAGGCCTTTTACGATGGTAGAAAGAATTAGTCGTAACGCGTATAAACTAAAATTACTAGAAAAGTACGAGCGACTACACTAAACTTTCTATATATCGCTACTCTAAAGATAAACTTAGCGATATAAAGTCGAACTATCTACGTCTATTAATATTAAAGGCAAAAAGAAGTAGAAAGTAAAAGAAATATTAAGTAAACGGAAAGTTTAAAGAAGTACTAAGTTCTATATTCGATAGATAGGCTTTAGTAAAGTTTACGACTCTTAGTAGTTAGCTTCTAATCTACGAAATGTACGCGAAGCAATTAAAAAGTTTTCATTACGCTTACGACTCGTAAGCGAGTCGTAGCTATTCTACCGTAGTAGAGTAAATAAAAAGTATATACCCTTCGACCGTTTACGGCCGCCAAAGCGAACCGTAGGCGGACAGTAAGCGACCAACGAAAGCGTACCCTAGGATAAACCTAAGCACGGTACGATCAGTCCCACAACACCAAATAACACTAAGCTTTATACTTATACGTCGTAAATATACCGTAAGCAATAAGTACCTACCTCGCACCTAATTAGCTACTTAGCGGGATTCACTTAAACTCAATTAGAGTCCTATTCCTCCGAAAAGGCTTCTTTCGCCTAGATAGAAGTAAAAAGGCTATTCTAAAAATACGATTAATACGCGCAACGTAAGCGAAAAGTATACTTACGATACGATTATATAACTCGACGCTACTACGTATAGCTTCAATAAAATAACTTAATAACTAGCTTAGACTAGCGTCACTACTATAAGCTATAGCCGAACCGCCGAAGCGACGAATACAACCACCACGAGAAGAGACACCGGGAACAGTACGAGCGGTCTTAGTATCAGCAAGGGCAAGGGTACGGTCGAAGTACGTAGCGGCCTCTTCGACGGCCCGCTTACGAACTATATCCGACTTATTATCCTCAGTAGTATCGTCGATCAGCGTAGTATTTATATCTTAAAGATAAGTTATATTCGATATAAGGCGATTAGACACCTACGTAGATTAGCGTATAAATCGTAGACAGAAAGAAGGTATACCGGAATACAATCGTCGTCGCCTCTACGTTTACCTTTTTAACAATAAGTGTAGTTAATAAATTTACGGCCCTTAGGAGTTAACTTAACGTATACAAAATACGTATCAGCTATACGATTATCGGTAGTTAACCGACGAAAACAATGACGGCACGAGAGCTTAGCTACTATCTTACGTTTACGTAGGGTTTAAGAAGAAATAGAGTAGACTACGAATATATTAGCTACGTACCGTACGCGAACTATATAAAAAATATATACTTACGGCGAGGATAACGGAGAGGATTACCACTAGACGCTTTAGTAGTAGTCTATTCAAGTATATTTTAAACGTCGGCCACTAAGAAAGATATTAGTATACGTTACGAATACGGAAAATACGATATACTCTTAAAGAATAATCGAGAAGAGCGAGTTTTAATTACTAGTAGACGGATTAGATAGAAGAGTTACAAGATACTATCAATATTAGCGCCAAAATTTCGTAAGCGAAACGAATAAGAAGAGCTACTCACAGTTTATTATTATTAATTCTAAGAAAAGAAAAAATAAGAGAGTAGAAACAACAACAGTATAATAATATCACTAGGTATAAGTAGGTAGCGGCGCGTACGCGAAATAGTGCGGTAATACAATAAGGCGATAAATGAAGCTATCGAGATACCGCACTCTTTCCGTATATAATATAGAAATAATGCTAGCCTTACGTAAAAGCAATAAGGCTAAGCGCTTCGTATACGAAACGCATCTATCTAAAACAAAAATTTCGTATATACAAAAAGCGTAGCAGAAAAACCCTTGTTACTATCTCGTAAGCGGATCGCTTACGATTTAGGAATGGGAACTAAGAAGACATTAATCTTAATCCTAACGTTCTTCGTTAACTTACCTAAACTTCTCGAGGACGAGAAGTTAGGGGGAAGAGGGATAATATTAGGAATATATCTAAGCCTTCTAGACAAGTCAACGGCCTTTCGCACGTAAGTCCTAGACGACTCGGCACTTAGACTCAATAGAATACCGAGCGTTAGGCCACCTATCTAACTCGGTAGATATAGGTATACGACTCGCATTAGGAGAGCTTACTCTCCTTATACTTAGAGTCCTATAGAGACCGAAGATCAGGATTATTTAATACTAATTAACGAAACCCTTTATTATCGCACTCTACCTATTTTTATTAGGCGTTCCTTATAATAATCCTTTAGTTACGAACTCTTTCGATTTAAGATCTACTATTACGATTAATAGTATAAAGAGCATTAAAAGAGCGACGTCTATTTTAATATAGTAAAAGGAATTAGTAGTAAATATTACTTAATATTAACGAGATATAATTCGTTATAGACTATAACCTTAGCCTACGAAGAAAAGGCTAAAGAATAGAGAGTAAGAAAAGTACGAACTATAGTCCTTACCAAACTTTACGGCGTCTTACGAATAGAAATCTTATATAATTATTTTATTACTATCTATTACACTGTATTTCGTATAAATACGCACTCTTTTTAAGAAAGAAAAAGGTTACTCTACGGTGATAAATAAATACGCGCGATTATAGGCTTTTACGAACCTTTTTAGGCTATTGCTAATATAGACGAGAAGTGGTCATCGATTACGTCGGCTAACGTACTATTACGGTTAGTTACGAAAGATTTTATACGAATTACGAGTACTTACGATTTACCTTTACCTTTGTCTTTACGCTCTTTCCTATAATTACTGTTAATTACGAATTAATATAAAAATTAACGGAAACTTACTTAGTGCGTTTACGTGGCTTAGTAGTATCGTAGCGTTCTAGTACGTTAATATACATAACGGAGCGAAACGGATAGTACTTACTTTGGTTAAGAGAGTAGTCAGCTATACGCTAGCCCTAGTAATAATATATATAAGCTATTTCGTACGGTTATAAATAATTACGAAGAAATATAGAGTACTTACCACTATTAAGTTTACCGGCGACTAAATAGTAAGAGGAGAAGGGACCCTATATATTTCTACACTAGATATAGCCTATTACTATTAGTTACTAATAGATACGTAAGGAATAAAGAGAAAATTTACTAGGATTGTTAACGGTTCCGATCGATTGTATATAGTATACCTTAGTATAATCGGTACGATCTATTACGAGCGTTAATAAATGGTTTCGAATTAAAGGAAAGGAGTTTACTTACGATTAATTACGGACTAAGTTTAATCGGGGGTACGTCGAAATATAACGGGTTACGTATTAGGATAGTTAGTAACTAACCGACCTAAGCGACGCGAGGTCGCGGTGATAGTAAAGTTAGTCGATATATTGTATTGTACATTGTTACTAGCTATTGCGAATTGTTATAGATTACTACGAAAGTGTCAATTAAAGATTGAAGAAAGGATCTTACCGATTCGAAGCGAAAGCTCTCGAAACGATCTATAACAACCATAAATTAATATATCTTCTTAAAATTGTAGTGCAATATAAGGGGACGAGCGTAATGGTTAATTGTTAGTTAGAATCTAGTGAGTCCAATTAATAAACTATACTAGTATAGTTATAGGGATACGTGAAAAGGGTCTAAGGTCGACGACGACGGGGTTCGAACCTCGTAGGATCTACGCGAATCTACGCGTATCGAGCTAGAAGGGATACTCTCTACGGGATATAGAGATATCTATAATATCTAACTAACCGACGGGATATTAGAGGCTAACTTAAGGGATTACTACTCATTCCTATCTCTTTTACGAGATATATCTACTCTTTTCTAGTCGTAAGAATATATAACGACTTAGGTTATTATTGCGTATTAAATTTATTAGTTATAAATAACGTAAATTAAGGAAACTATAAAAGAGTTAAAATAAGAACTTCTAAATCTTGCGAAAGGGCTAGGGTCTAAGGGTTTCTATACCTCGCGCGGCGTCGTCGCTATCGTTGCGAGCTATTCTCGACCTTAATAGACTATTGCTCCCTAAAATACGATATAGTAGAGGAGACAGTATATCTTTTATATATTATAAAAGAGAGAGAAATAAGATAAAAGGAAAGGAGGGAAGATATAATGCGTTACGAGCCCTACGGCTTAGTAGAACAACAAGAACACGTGACTCGCAGGTGCTCATAAGGAAGTAGAGAAGGATGTGATATTAGCGTCGGGATACTTGCCCAGCCTAGTATTCCCCCTCCTTGCGCTCAGTTACGAGTGACTACATATAGCGGCCAGTCTTTCCCTCTTAGATTAGTTAGCTAATCAATCTCTTCCGCCGCTACAACCACACAGCCATGTAGTTACGTGACACCGTCCAGATCGAGAGCGAGCTCGCCTTTGTTATTATGCATGTCACATCTTCTGACTCTAAGATTACTATTCCATGGTGATACACTGGACCATGCATGTACGGAGAATCTATTCTGCATGTCCATATTCCTCCAGATGCAGTTGCTACACTCCGAATTGACCCTCCAAGTCTTTGCTCGGTTTGCTCTCCACAGGTAAAAGATCATCAAAGACTTCTTCTTCACTCAGGACCCTATTCATGCTGCTGGCTCTGTCCCGGTGCGCCGTACGTTCTCCGTCCTCCCTAGGCTTTTGCTCAACCACATAATCACCCGGGCCTTTACTTCCATTGGGAACGTGGAACCGGCGGTCGACTCGGAGTATGGCATAAAGGAAAATAACGATAATCTCGAGCGTGAAGTTGAAGAAATAGTAACACCATTTTGCATGGTACCAAGCTGGATCATTTCTTGGGCGTGGGTTCTCGTATGTGGTTGCCGAGCGGAAACAGGCGCCAAGACAGAGTAGCACAGAGCTGACGAGCAGAATTGCAATCCTTGTTCTCCATCGGCCAGTACCAAACTTTTCGAGCCTGGTCTTTCGAGGGACAATGAGACCCAAGATCACCATCGGGATCGGCAGGAATGAGATGAACAGCAAGTACGCGGAAGCCGTGATTTGCATGTCGCGATCGATTCTGTGGGTGTTGACATTGAGGGTGTAAAATGACTGGACGATAGCCGTGATAGCCATGGCCAGCATACCCACTATCAAGACGTATAGCACCATGAAGACCATAGATAACGTCTTGTGCCATCCGAAGTGAGGGTGCGCAGCTCGTAAAATCCTCTGGGCGAAGACGACGTTGATCAAGAAGAGGATGAGGACGCCGGCGTAGGAGAAAATATTAGCAGCCATCGCTATTTGGATGTCGGTCGGATAGCTAGCCCAGACAATCCGCTGCCTTCGAGTTAGTGATGAAGAGAGTAGGTGGTGGATGCGGGAGGCATACCATGATCATCGTCACAATCCGCGCCATGCAGAAGCCGAACAACAATCCGGACATGATGAATTTGTGACCTCGCTTGAGGTTGATTTGGAGGATAGTCTACACATGATTTAGCTCAACCAAACTGCTGGCTAGGGGGACACCAGGCACACCATGTGACAGACAGCGCCGCAGATGAAGAGGAAGAGGAAAACGCTGCATATTGGAACATCCACACCAATGGTGGGCATACCACCTACGGCGGCCGTTGTGGGAGGGTATGGAGGACCTTGCTCTTTTGGCGTCGACATACTTGGTTTGATGCGAAAGTAAATCTTGCGACAGACGAGTTAGGTGCAGAATCAGGGAGACAAACCGTCTTGCACTGCGAATGGATCAGGAGATCTTGGGTAGGATGTGAACGGTCTTTTATCCTCTACAGCAATGCACGGAACCCATCTGGACCGCCCTGACATTAACCTGTAGAGTGAGTTTCTCCGAAGTGCCATGATGACCATGATGTAGTTTAGCTTGCGTTTGACAACCACGGAGCTTTGGGTTATGCGAACAAAGAACGCATCAGGCAATATTCTTTACGAGTCGGTAGATAACAAAGGCGGGGTGGATGAACTGGCCAATCAAAGACACAAGATGGTGCTAGGGCAGTCGGAGGTCTTCGAAGCTCGCCCTCCGACTCTTCCGACTTATAGCGAAAAGACTGAAAAGACAGGAAAGCATCTCCGTCCCACCGTCCAGCGAGCTTCATGATTCGCGCGTTGACCGATTTGCGACTTAGTCACCATGGCCATGGTCCTCGTACTGTAGAAGATCCTTCCAGAGCATCGATTCCCGCCTGTTCGTCGGAGCTTCAAGATCGCTCGGCTTTCGTTAGGAGACCGAGGGCTTGGAGAGAGAGGTTTTTAAGTAGACGTCAGGCTGGCTCACATCATTGACTTTCTCAGTGAGTACATACCTACCTCGTCGTAGATGGGCGCTTTGGTTTGTCTATGTAAAGTTGTTGCAGGGAATTTAGCCGCTGCTTCAGGTCATGATCTTGGTTCTCATCAATCGTAAACTATTAATACAGTTCTGATTCGTGCACTTCATGCAGCGTGTCCCATATTACTAGAATTGTGTCTCTTATGGAGGCGGTGGGCCTGCGACCTCTGGTAACCCGATGTGAGCTCTGAGCAACCGCTTCTTATCCGCCAAATTTGCACCCTGCGTAGGAATACCCAGTTGTTGTAGTACAGAATCTAATTGTCTTTTTGCCATTCGTTCGAGTTCCAATGAGGTGTGAGGGAAATCAATGATAGCGGCACCGGTAGTAGCGTTGAGAAACGATACAAGATTTTCGTTTTGACTTTGGAGGTATGTATTCTGAACCCGGGCTGCATTATTGTGATTTCTATAGAATTAGCATAGTAATATTAAAATAGGTCGAATTGTACATACGACGCAGTAATTATAGTCACAAGCTCTTGACGAACATCAACAATCTCTTGACGAACATCAACAATTTCCTGGCGGACATTTGCAATGTCTTGTCGGATTGCCATCGTGTCTCTCGTTGACTGCTCCCTTATTGCGCGGAGCTCGGCGAGAAGTTGCTGGCCGCCGGCGAGTGCAGGTGTATTTGGTATCTTCAGTATCTCGGTAGCAATGATGTTGAAGTTAGCCTGCGGAGCAAGAGCGATTTCGTCAGCCATCGTGACGGTGAGGGTAAGGGTGATTGTGGTGACAGTGGTTTGTGGTGAGGGTGGAAGTGTTTGTTTTGGTTCCCGAAACGATCGCAACCACTCGGCCTGAGAATCGACCGACCAGCAATGCGCTTATGTACTAAGGACAATGCCAAGGATGACGTCCATAGGCGCGTCACTGATTTGGCGCGTGTCTTTTGAGGCTGCTTCTCCAGTCGGCAGGTGATTTCGTTGTCTGTGATTCAAGCCTCCATCTCGGATCATCATCTCCTTTCCACCCAACCTTCTAACTCGACATTGCTACACCAGTGCGGTAGGAACTAATCTCGTCATGGCTCCCGCAGCAGCGTCCGCGATGAGCGCGGATGCGATACTCGATTACATGGTCAAATCGCTCCCAACTCCATCCGCAGACGATGAGCAGACCCAACTCGTCAAAGATCCGTATGCTGCGATCGCTCTCTTCTCCCATGCCTGCATGCTTGCAGTAGGTTTCCGTCTGATAGGTTTGGGAGAAGATCACAAGATAGGTATGTCCCTCAGCACCAGAAGCTTTGCGCACTGATTGACATGTTGCAGAGGCGCAATCGGATCCTCAAGATGTACAACCGTTACCTGCCGAGTGGAGTGCCTCCTCTTCCTATGCCTTTCGCTATGCACATTCTCAGTCATCAATGGAGTTCCTTGTCAAATTGAATCGATTAGGCGGAAAAGTCCTCGTGTTTGGTGTTGGTCTTGGGGATGACAAGACAGCATCCTTCGAGGTCAAAGCACAAGATTACATTTCAGAAGGTTCTATCAAAGAAGCGACACGAGACTCAGACAAGACCTCTACGCTTCGAAACGTGTTCATCTCGAATGGACGTATCACAGACTTGGCCTCACTATTCAAACTCAACATTATCCAGAAATTGGCACCTGGCATTTCAAAAGCAGGGAATGAGGACACTGCATTCACACAGGAAGAGCCTAGACGGCACGAAGAAACGAGACCTCCGGAACGTGATCCTCTGCGAGACGATCACCCTCCGCCAGCACGACCTTACCCTTTCGACGACCCGCTAGCCGCAGCCCCACGAAGACCTCAGCCGCCAGGAGACTTCCCGCCTCCAGGTTTCGAAGACGAATATGAGATCAACAGACCTCCGCGAGGCTGGCCCTCCGCTCCTGACCATCCGCCATTCGGCGCCATTGGTGAACGAGATCTGTATCCTCCTGGACTAGGTCCGCACGATCCGCTCAGAATGGGACCTGGTGGAGGCATTCGAGGAGGAGGCGGTATGCATCCGACCTTTGACGATCCACTGTTCGGAGGGCAAGGAAGGCAACAGCCGTATGATCCCAGGGCACCACCAGGCGCCAGGTACGACCCTGTCGGACCTGGGGACGGTCCGCCGGACCTTCGAGGTGGTCGCTTCCCGGGTGGACGTGGAGGAGGTTTTGGAGGCAACCCATTCGGCGGCTTTGGGAGCGGAGATTTCATTTGAAGGCTAAATGATGATGAAGTATGAGTTACGGCTGGTTGAAATGCTAATGACGAAGGAGGTGCAGGTTCATACAGCACTTGAAAAGCCAGATCGTGCATGATTCCCCGATGTAGAGCTACTACTACGCTTACAACTCATGCATCTGTGCCCTGAGCAATGAATGTTCTAGATTCCCATTTCTCTGACCACCTTAGTAAGCTCGTGTAAAAGTAGCATGTTCGTGCATGTTGCAATGGGCACAGCACTGATGGCACATTCGCCTCAAGTCACCCTTTTATGGGTTGGGCTTGGCGGGGCTCTAAGCTCAAAGCGAGAAGTACCCAGGCACTGCAGGGCGGCATTCAGCGTATGTCATGGCTGCAAGTTTATGACAGAACGACACCAAGTCAACTAACTCAACTTCCATCAACATTGAAACCTCGAGGTCACTCTGTCTCAGCGTACTCTGCCCTACACCTTGCTCTTCGCGCCGAAATCATTCCTGCTCACTTGCGACCGTGTCCAAGCCAAAACAACATCACAACAACTTTCCCACCTCGCACACGACATCTGAAAGAGCCTGCTCCTGACCTCCCTTACCAATCCCATCAACTCTATCCTGCGACTTGATTGAGGTTGATGCTCAATCATGGATTCCAAGATGGATGTTGACGTGGGAAAACCCGCGCAGCCTCATGGCTTATCGCCTGTTACAGACTCTCAATCAATACCAACCCTAGATGGATGGATCGAGAGCTTGATGGACTGTAAACAACTGGCAGAGAGCGATGTTTCAAGGCTCTGTGATAGGGTGAGCACAGTTTTCTTCGAGGAGACGGGCTAGGAATACTCATATCGTACGCAGGCCAGAGAAGTACTTCAGGAGGAGTCAAACGTACAGCCAGTGGTAAGCGATAACTTGAGCTGCCCGCGCTTGATAACGGACTAACAGTCACCCAGAAATGTCCCGTTACAGTCTGCGGCGATATCCACGGCCAATTCCACGATCTAATGGAGTTGTTCCGCATCGGCGGACCAAATCCAGACACGAACTACCTCTTTATGGGTATGCAAAAAGGGAAGATAAACAGCCTAATGAACCGGCCACTGACTGCATAACAGGAGACTACGTAGATCGTGGCTACTACTCCGTCGAGACGGTGACCCTCCTTGTCGCCTTGAAGATCCGATACCCTTCCCGAATCACCATCCTTCGAGGGAACCACGAGAGTCGACAAATTACCCAAGTCTATGGCTTTTACGACGAATGTTTGAGAAAATACGGCAATGCTAATGTCTGGAAATACTTCACCGACCTCTTCGACTATCTCCCCCTCACTGCACTCATCGACAACCAGATTTTCTGCCTGCACGGCGGGCTGTCTCCCAGCATTGACACCCTCGACAACATCCGATCTCTCGACAGAATCCAAGAAGTCCCACACGAAGGTCCTATGTGCGATCTTCTATGGAGTGATCCCGACGACAGATGTGGATGGGGTATCAGTCCAAGAGGTGCAGGCTATACATTCGGGCAAGACATCTCCGAAGCGTTCAATCACAACAACGGTCTTACCCTCGTGGCGAGAGCACATCAATTGGTCATGGAGGGATACAACTGGAGCCAAGACAGGAATGTTGTCACGATTTTTAGTGCCCCCAATTACTGTTACAGATGTGGTAATCAAGCTGCCATCATGGAGATTGATGAACATTTGAAGTACACTTTGTAAGTGGAACCACGACACCGAGTCCCATACTTGGTTATGCTAACATGTGTGATTGCAGCTTGCAATTCGATCCTTGCCCTCGAGCTGGCGAACCCATGGTCAGTCGGAGAACACCAGACTACTTCCTGTGAGCGAGGCGAGTTTGTACTAGAAACACAAAATCGCATCGTCGTGGGGGGAGCAAGCAGCAGGCATGGTTTTCCTCTGGGGCTGGCGAAAATTTCCTCAAGAGACACAGAAAGAGCATGGTAACAGTAGACATGAGTGCGGTGCATTTCTTGCGGGAAAAGAGAAAGGGAAAACACGCGTTGGCACCTCCAGGAGTGGTCTTTGCCTGGGTCTTTTTGACGATGGTTGGGCACCTCGAGATACCAGACGAAAAAGGAATGCCCATAGACACACAAGAAGTTCTTTTTGCATGCGAAAGAATCCCATGCATGGCGGCAGCACCTGTTCCAGATGCGATTGCGATGAGGCTACTGTTGTCTGTCAGATGTATTACAAGAAAGACTGTTGGTAGTAATGACCCGAAGACTGATTAGTGCTGGTCTGTACGGTCCCTAGATTTGGCATTGTATGGCGCTTGACACCTTTTCTTCCCGTTCCCCTTCTTGTTTACCTAGGTAGGGCTATACGGGCCGAAGCTGACTACCTACTTTGCTCGACTTGGCTTTCTCTCCCTCTGCTTCCTCGGCCAAGTGTATCTCTACAACTCACTCTCAATCATTTCCGGCACATACTCCGCTTGCGTCGCGTTGACCGTCAAGGGCCCCTTCTTGACCATCAACGTCATAACCTCATAGAGGACATCCGCCGCCGCCATTGTGGTCAGCTCGGCATTGGTGTCATACGCAGGGGCAACCTCGACGATGTCCGCCGCGACGAAGTTGATCCCCTCGAGCCCCCGGATGATGGTGCGCAGCTCTCGTGTGGTCCAGCCTCCGGTCTCAGGCGTGCCGGTTGCGGGAGCGAACGCGGGGTCCAGAGTGTCAATGTCGATGGACAAATACACGGGGTTCTTGGTGCCGACGCGTTCCTTGATACGTTTGATGATCCCGTGCATGCCGATGGTGTCGATCTCGCGGGCTTCGACGCGCGTGAAGCCGCAGTATCCGTCATTCTCGTAGTCCGACGGGCCACTAAGTGTCGTCCGGATGCCTGCGTGGATGCTGCTGTCGTTGGCGAGCAGTCCTTCTTCGTTGGCCCAGTAGAAATACGTGCCGTGGTTGATGGCTGCTTGCTTGGAAGGCGCACCACCGAAGACCTTGGGCTTCCAGGTATCCAGGTGAGAGTCGAAGTGGATCACCGAGATCGGTCCGTAGGCTTTATTGATGCTGCGCAGCAGCGGCAAGGTGATGGTATGGTCCCCTCCGAGTGTTATCACGCGAGGGAGTGTCTTGCCGGTTTTGCTGATACCGGGCTCGTCGGCGGCCGTGAACGGTGTGCGGGTGAGGAGGGTGTTGTGTCCGTCTTCGATTTGCTGCAGCGCGTAGTGGTTGTCGTAGCTGAGAAGCACATTAGACGAAGTAAGGCAGGCCTTGCAGAGGGTTCGAGGCTTACGAAGTCACGGGGATGTCGCCGCAGTCGATGACTTTGCCCCAGAAGTTGAACGGGTTGGATTTCATGGGCCTGTACAAAGTCAGCTTCTTCTGCGGGCGGTGACTAGAGACGAAGGAGGCGTACACATTGTACCCGCCACTGAAGCCAAGCTTGCGTGAGCCTTTATTCCAAGCAAGAAGTAAGCATTCGAGCTGGACGTAACAAAACGTACTAGAGATTGAGGCGTCGAGAACCTTGTCTGATCCCGCTTGGTCCAAACCGAGCTCCTGGTCTGTACGATGTGCCTGTGTCGAAGGGAGCGCCTATTGACCAGCTCGTCAGTCCCAATGCTTCAGGTATGTCAGCCTTCGTTTTCACCGGCCAGTCGCACCTAGGAATGCAATGTCATATTTCTCCTCGTCACTGGCGAGGCAGGGAAAGTATGGCAGACGGCCAAAAGTCGAGATCCCGGAGAAAACTGAATCGGCCTTTTTCAGTCTCGTCAGTCCGGCTCAGTCAATGATAGGGAAGAGCTCTTTCTTACCTGCGTGCCGCCATCACCAGGCAGAGTGTTGTACCACAGAGACTTGTGTGGCCCCGAGATGGGGGTCTGATCCTGGCCGTGGTCACCATGGGCAAGAGCACAACTGGCACATGCCAGTAATGCGAGGGAGTTGAGAAGCATCTTTGCAGACAACCGTGGCTTTGAAGTAATCTTCAGAAAAGCAGACAAAAAAGAGAGCTTACACGAACCAAGCACACAGCGCAGCGAAGCAATAAAGTACTGAGAATTGGAAAGATCAGCCAAGCTGCAAGAGCCTGGGGCAAGCTCGCTTTTCCTCTAGTTGAGGTCATCCATCCACTGATCGTTGAGTTCCTGCAGATAGCTCCTCTACGGTCTTACCGCATGGATGCATATGCTGGTTCCTGTTACCTAAAATCTGGTGACCTGACTCCGGGCAACGGTCTTGTCCCGTGGAAAGAGTCAGAGAGGCGCTCGGGCATGCAGAGCTATGCCCCGCCAGCACGACCACATCATGACGGCATGAAGAAGAGCTCAAGGCACGATATGCAAGCTGCTAGGTGCTAGCTCACGGTCGCGGCACTTGGATGCTTGGGAAGGATGCGAGCCATGTGGATGGAACCAGGAGCTTTCGGCATCGGACAGGACGGCCAACGCACATGTCCATACGCGGGGCAGGGAAGGAGTCTGGCCGAGAGAGCAGTCCAGGGCAACGGTGAGCCAATGCTGTGTGTCACAGACGGCGGTCGACTTTGCTTATCGGATTCCTTCAGTAAAAGATTCGTATCAGCAAGAACACGGTCTTCGTGTGAGACGTCGAGGTAAGCACGAGAGGCTAGCCGTAAGTGGAAGGCTGTATCGGTGAAATCGTCGATACCGTAACGTTACCCCAACCTGGAAGATAAGGACAGAATGCTTGACAGTTTGGATTGTCCGAATGTTTTATGTCTATGGAAATTCAATGCTCTGCTTCTCGTCATCACCAAAGTTACTGTGGCCCGTTGCCCGCCGGTGCTGGCACCGATGTCCCAGCATGACCGTTCTCGGCCAACTCGTCCTTGTCCATACGCTCAAAAGCCTTCTGAACCTGATACTCCCAGTTGCTGAGTGCTACGATCACCCATTCTGCAAATCCAACGAGGTACAGAGCAATGCACTGCCCGACCCAAAGCCCAGGCAGACCCCAGCCATGAAAGGCCAGCCAGATACCGAGGGGTAGAGCGCCGCAATAGTAGCTGACGATGTTAACAGCAGCTCCAATGTGCTGTCTGCCCATGCCTCGTAGGGAACCTCCACAACTGCCGTTCAAGCCATCTGCGATCTGGAAAAGTGCAACGTAAGGCAAGACTTTTGCAGTGAGCTTGACCACTTTTTCATCGTCGTTAAAAATCTTTGCGAAGTGGTTTCTCGTGCCCATCAAGATTGCCAGGATAAGTGCACCCATGATCATGCTTAGCCAGGCAGCAACGTTCGCAGATCTCGCAGCGCCTTTGGCGTTCCTCGAACCGAGCATGTTGCCAACGCGGGCACTGGCAGCGACGCCGATGCCGAAGGGAACGGTGTTCATGACTTGGTCGGCCGTCATGATCACACTCTGAGATGCCAGAGGAATCTCGCCTAGTCTGCCCGCAGCCAGAGCCACAATTTCGAAAGCCCACCACTCAGTGCCGACGTGAATGAAGCCTAAGACAGCCAACTTTGCGAATGTACCCAGATTTTGAAGGCATTTCTTGCTCCAGCCGCCCCAACACTCGCCGCCTGCCACGAACTTTGCATAGAGCACTAGACCCAGGAAAGACAGCCAGTAACCAATTCCGGTGGCAAAAGGGGCAGCAAAGATTCCCCATCCGGCCACATAAACGAACAGATAGTTCAGCAATGCACTGATGGGTGATGTGATCAGCAACACATATGTCCCTGGCCGCATGATTTCCTGTGCTTGAAGGTATTTCTTCATCGTCTCGAAGTAGATGTATCCCAGGCCGCCTGGAATGAGACAGCTCAAGAACTTCGAGCTGTCATGTGAGAGCTGCGGGCTCTGGCCGAGAGCTTTGAATATAGGTTCCGAGCACAGCCAAAGTATTGCAATCGGGATGTAGAACAGAGTCAAAACGACGAATCCTCGCTGCAGGAGGATACCCAGATCGTGCTTGTTCTTGCTTCCGGTGAAAGTGGAAGAGGCAAGAGTGTCCAGTGCCGTTGATCCGCCCATCCCGATCAACCAGCCTGAGCACATAGCAAACATGTAGGAGAACGCGGCCGTAGAAAGATCCTGAGGTGAAGCTCGGCCCACGATAAGGATGGAGACTGTTTGCAAAGAGTTCTGTAGTGTGTAGGCCAGAATCACTGGGATTGACCCTCGAATCAGAACCCAGAATTCGTGAAGCACGAGCTGTCGAGTTGGAGTCTCGTCCTCTGGCAGGATATCGAGGACTTCACCCTCTTCCTGGCTCGTGGAATGGTCGTCATTATCGTGCTTCTTTGGCAAGAGGCTACTTTGCTCATTGGGAGCCTCGCGAATGTCATCGTCCATCAGTGCCATCAGAAGAGGTATGCTCTGCACTGTGCCCTTGGTAATCAGCCTTTAAGAATTGTGTCTAGGTCCAGCAACAGGTCGTCAACACCGGAACTGGCTCAGATGTCAGTTGAACAACGAATTCGACATATTGCCAAGGTCTGGATAAAAGCACAGGAAAATTCACTTATCCGTAAATCAAGAAAGAAATCGACAGGAGAGATTGATCCGATAGATGTTCGACCATCATCTCGGCTTGCAGGCCTCTTGGACTGGTGGATTATGCGGACAATTCCTTGCCCCACCCTGATATCTGTACCCAGTATGGAGTACGAGCACCGAGCATAGTCCCAATCCCAGCGATATGTCTCGCTTGCGCCTCCGTGATGATGAAAGCAAGCAGTCGAGAAGTGGACTCCATGGTCGAGTCACGGCCAGCAAGGGGAAGAGGCGACAGAAAGAACCCCTTCGACTCCGGCTGCATATGACAAGCACGCAAGTTCCTCATCGTGAGAGGAACCTGGAAGCAACAAGTTGAATCGTCCAATGGGTAACACGAGAGTTGTTCTTATCTCTTCACTGAATCATCGCAGCTCGTAAGCAATAGACTACCAGGTAATACGCGACTCGTCTTTTACCGTACAATACCGAAAACCGTGTCATTTCTTGGCATCGACCGCCTCTATCAACTCCATCTACTTGCCTCTTATCAGAGCCCTACGCTGGCCCTATCACAGCCTCTGATGGCAGCCTCATAAGACAAATTCCTAGATCAAACGGTAACAGCTAATCATATTTTGTCCTTGTAGGATTCGATCTAGTCGGCAATTTCGAGATCCAAGCTACACCAGCCTTGCATCATGCTCTCATATTCGTCGATCGAAACTTTGCCCAGGCACTATGGATGAAGCATCCCCTCGGGCCCCTGTTGGAAATTCGCGCCTGAGTTCCGTAACCAGGGAGGATGTAGGACGATGGACCTTGTCCCGTCCATGACTATGTATCTGGACTGTGCCAGACAAGGATGGCGATTGCGAGTGTGGGGACCTTCCACGTTTTCCCAGGAGCGCCTTTCAGATGGTGATCCTACAGACGCTTGTCTAGTTCTTGTACTTCTTGTACTTCTTGTCTCGTTGTCCCTCTTTCGCTTCTCAGTCCCCTACTCCAGCATTCAGTGTCCATCTCTTAACGAGCATACATAGATCTTCGGCAGCAATGAGAGACACCATGAAGGAGAAGACAGGATCCCCTGTTGAGAATGGCCTGCCACCATTGACTGAGAAGGTCGACCAAAGTACCATGGCACCACCTCCGCCTTCAGCAGAAAATCTTGTTATGAGAGATGGTATTCGTGTCCATCCACAACCGACAAGTGATCCGCTGGATCCTCTCAACTGGAGCAGCTTTCAGAAGCATTCCATCCTTGCCGTCATCATGTTGAAGTTCGTTTACAAGCTTCATGCTTTCATTTTGTCGTTCCTGATTTCTAACCACGTCACAGGTATTTCCTGTTCACATATCTGACGACAACCACCGTGGCCAGCTTTCCCGACCTGCAGGAGGAGTACAACATCACGTATTCGCAGGTCAACTGGACCGTCGCGATTCCTGCGTTAGGTCTTGCTGTCGGACCTCTGCTTTTCTCGTCACTCGCCGACATCTTCGGCCGTCGAGTCGTGTTCATCTTTGGCACTCTGATGGCTTTTGCTGCAACCATCGGAGCTGCGAAAGCCCCTGACTACGGAGGTTATATGGCTGCACGTTTCTTCCAAGGTTTGGGTGTCTCTCCGGCTTCGACTGTAGGGCTTGCTGCCATCAACGACATGTTCTACGAGCACCAGCGAGGCCAGAAGATTGGTCTGTGGGTGTTGGCCATTGACTCAGGTCTCCTTGTAGGACCCATCATTGGCGGTTTCATGAACATCGTTTCTACAGCCTGGGTACAATGGCTTACAGCCATCTTGTTCGGCCTGCTCCTCATCCTCGAACTCTTGTTCATGCCCGAAACATTATATCCACGCAACCATATGCTTTCGCAGCTCCCTATGGCCACAACCTCCGACGAAGCAGGCGTTGACATTGAGAAAGTGGGTCGACGACGGAGTGATGCCGCAGCTGTCAACCTACCGCGGACAAAGAAATTGCCTTACATCAACTACAAGCCAGTTCCTGGCATGCGCCACCCAACAGTGTATGACTCTATCCTACGATTTGGCCTTACGTTCAAGTTCCTCGCCGCCTCGATCGCCATATTTACATACTGCTTCCTGTGGTACTGGTGGGTTCTCAGTGTCATCACCATGTTGCCGGCTGCATATGTCGACTACAAGCCTCAAATCCAAGGTCTTCTATTCATAGGCCTCCTCCTGGGCACACTGTTCGCCGAGATCTTCTTAGGTGGCCATCTCAGCGACATTGTCTGCTCTCGCCTTGCGAAACGAAACGGCGGCGTTCGTGTCCCCGAGATGCGGCTCTGGCTGATATACCCAGCAGGCCTGCTCAGTGCCATTGGCCTGATAGTCTGGGGCATCAGCGTTGACAAAGGCTATCACTGGATCGTTGGGCAGATTGCGTTCTTCTTGTTCGCTGCAGGTATTCAGATGGGGAACACCGTCGTTTGCGCGTATGTCGTGGATTGCTATCCGCTACAAAGCATGAGTATAATTACATTCTATGCTGTGTTTCTCAACTTGTCGGCCTTCATTGACCCGGTAAGTTGAGCCTGGTATCCTTCATCTAGCAACCGCATTACTAACGCTGCTACTTCTAGTTCTTCATCGCCCCATGGCAGGCAGGTTCGGGCTGGACCTGGTGCTTTGCTGCCCAGGGCATCATCGTGTTCTTTGGCGCGCTACCTGTATTCGCCTTGCTGCACAAATATGGTCCGACCATAAGGTCCAAGTCAGGCACGCCGAATTGGGTCAACCCAGAGTTCGACACTTTGTTATAAGTTTCATATCGATAGGGGCAGTATGGACACATCACACACATGTACTCCTTTTCCACCGTAGCTCCTGCATCCTCTGCTGCAGTTCGTTCGGTCCTTGAACGACGGAGGAAGTTTCTTGTCCAAGCGCAAACCTATCGTACCCTGGCTCGTCGAGCCACCATTCTTTCTCGACACTATTCATCCCATAGAGGTGACAAAGATCTGACTTGGGTCGAGCAAGACCTGCTGTGTGCGTCATGGGAAATCTGGGACGACCATATTCCGCAAGGAGGACGGGGTCTCTTTTCTGCTCAGAACGGAACCACACTCCGGGGCACAATGGAGGTCGTCTCGTTTTCTATCCTCGTTTCGGCTGAACAGTCGACTTTGTAAGGTCATAGTCAGCTTCTGGTGTTGCTGGGGTAAGCAAAGGCTTGTGTTTGGCGTTATGTTGTGGATAGATTCCATCACTGATCACTTTTGTGGTCGGCCACAGTGCTATGAATGGATCACACATCCCACATAGTCATCTTTGCTGTACTCTAGGGCCTGTGATCTAGAAAGTCTCCCAATGAAGATATCCCGGCGACACCATTCTCAGGCACAGCTTCGTCAGGATTGGCAATCAACGACCTTCTGCCCGCCTCCATGCCGATACGCAGACGCATCCGCAACTCACATTTTCGTCTTCGCTAGCTCCTCACCTCTTTCCTTTCTCGTCTTACGTCGTAGCCACCAGTTGCTTAGGACCTCCCAGGAAGCAACCGTAGCCATGAGAGGAGGACAAACCAGGAGCAAGAAACTCCACCACCTCGGACTTCCTGAGCGTATCTTCACCATGACATCCGCAATCTGCAATTTCAGGTCCTCCTTGCCGCCGTCATTATACAGCACATAACCTTTTCCGGCGTTCTTCTTGCCGTTGTTCCTGTACTCACATCTCGCAGCCTTCTCGCGAACATCGACCTGGCTCTTGACTCGATTCTCGGCGTCTTCCGCAGATAAATGGGGGTCTCGGTCCCGGAGACGCTGCATCTGGATTTTTGGATCTGACACAGCCACGACCATGACAGTGCTGCAAAAGATGTCCAGGCCCGACTCAAACAGGAGTGGAATGTCAAGCACCACAGCCCAATGGCCAAGGAGGTAGTAATACAGCAAGGCCCTTGCCATATATAATCGCACAGCGGGATGGACTATCGCATTGAGTCTCTTCCTGTCTCTTACTCTCTCCTCACTGCTGCCAAAGACTCTTCTGCCCAGCGCCGGTCTGTTCAACGGTCTGCCTTTGCCGTTTGGGCCATCCTCTTTTCCACCGCACAAAGGGTCCGACGCAGGTAGAAGAAGGTCCGGAGTCGTTGGTCCAAAGGTCGCGACAATGCGCCTGTAGCCCCATGTGCCTGGCTCGACAGCTTTGCGTGCTAGGAGATCTGCATCGATCAATGGTAGGGAATAGGGTGGGGAAGAGAGCGTTTGCGAGCAGGTGGATTTTCCGGTGGCAATCGAGCCTGTCAGCCCTATTACTCGCATGATGAAGGCTTCATGGGTTCATCAGATCCAGAGGCAGATTCGCAAACTTGGAGCGGAGCAGACAGGACTTTGTAGATCACGAAATGAGCAGTGAAGCAGCAGTGAGCAGGTATCTTCTTGGAGAAAGTGCAATTGGGCTTCTGCCGAGGCATCCGGAGAAATTGATGTTCCCTTCCGTGGCTTGTAAGACCAGCAAACCCCAAACGAGGCTGTCAAGTCATGTTTGTAACAAACCTTTCTATATCAATACTATATCAATACAGCAACCTCACGGTCCAGACTCCGCTTCCCCTTACGGAACGAGCGCTTTGTGAGCAAGATTGGACACACGTCAAACGGTTTGCTAGACCCAAATATCGGAGTGTTACTTCGTCCTGGGTCGCAAAATGAATGCAACAACAGCCTGAGTCATCACAAGTTCTCAATAAAACAATGGCAATCTTGGAGTCTGCCCTTCCTTGAGTGCATGGTCGATTATCCGTACAGAGGATGCACTTTCGGGTATTAAATTCTCGAATACAACTGTTACGACCTGTTCGCAAGAGTATTCGCTTGAGACACTTGACTACAATGGCGCCACCACAACTGACGCTCACTCCAGCGGAGAAGCTGTTCCGGCAATGTCTGCTGGAATGTCGTAAGGAGATGCAAGGTGTGCCTGGCATGAAAGGCCTTGAATTACGATGGACTGGAGGATGGGTCCGAGACAAACTCCTGGGCGTCCAAAGCCATGACATCGACGTAGCATTGAGCACAATGACAGGCATGCAGTTCGGCCAGGCTCTGCAGGCCTATCTGCGCGATCACGGAACCAAATATGAACAAGAAGCAAAACAACAAGGTTTCAATCCAGAAATCAAGGACATTCACAAGATCGCCGCCAACCCGGAAAAGTCCAAGCATCTCGAGACAATCACGACCAGAATGTTTGGCATCGATGTCGACTTCGTGAATCTGCGAAAAGAGGTCTACAACGACGAAAGTCGCCACCCGGAAATGGAATTCGGTAGCGCTGAAGAAGATGCGCTCCGTCGCGATGCCACAGTCAATGCGCTCTTCTACAACCTCGACACACAGACTGTTGAGGACTTCACGAAGCAAGGTCTCGAGGACATGGACAACAAAATCATTCGCACGCCGCTTGAGCCATATCAGACCTTCAAGGACGATCCACTCCGAGTTTTACGGCTCATTCGCTTCGCCTGCCGTCTCGGATACACGATAGAGGCAAACTCGAAAGAAGCGATGAAAGACAAGAGTATTCACGAAGCACTCCGGATCAAGATCAGCAGGGAGCGCGTCGGGACCGAGATCCACAAGATCATGGCTGGACCAGATCCATACTGTGGGCTGAAGTACATCGAAGACTTTGCCCTGTACGCTGTCGTGTTTGCCAATCCTGGTGATGCTTACAGCCCGGACGGCCAGATAGCACTTCGTGCCTATGATGGCCTGAAACGGATTCTTGATGAGAAATCTACCATCTGCCTCAGTCTGAAGCCGAAACAAGATCAAGTACTAAGCTGGTTTCTGGCAGCTTACGTTCCTTGGGCGGAATCTTCGGCCAAAGCATATGACGCTGCATGGGAGGGCATCAAAGCCACTAATACTTTCAGGAGAGTACTCAAAGATGCAATCGACTATCGACCGGATATCCTCAAAGCTGTCGAGCTCGTCAACACAGACAAGGCATCACGAGCAGATGTCGGCATGACATTGCGACAAAGCAGGGAGGCATGGAGATCGCACGTACTCTATTCACTCCTGTGTGACATCGCAGCAGGTAATTTCACTCAAACGGTAGAACGCTACCAGGAATTTGTTGCCTTCATCCACGAAAAAAAGCTGGAAGATGCCCATACCATAGTGCCCATTCTGAAAGGCAACGAGATCAAAGATGCTCTAGGCGGGCCGAAAGGTGGTCCATGGCTCAAGAAGGCCGTGGATGTTCTTGCCCAATGGCAATTTAATCATCGCAAGGCAACAAAAGAAGAAGCTATCGAAATGATCGCGGGTAAGAAGACTGAGCTTGGGCTTGGCTGAACATGTCTACAATCTCGATGCTGCAAGTCTCTTGGCCCTCAGCTTCACGTCTCGAGCCTCTTGACGAACAGCAAGATCGAGCATGATCTCCTCGCTGCCGCCTCCCACCACGTGTACGCGCACATCACGACTGATCTGCTCAATTCGAGCACCTTTGCCAGTCTTGGTATATCCTGCTCCACCCATTATCTGTTGAGCTTCTCGACAGACGCGCTCGAGGCATCTCGTGCTCATGACTTTGAGCAATGCTGTCATTCCTCCAACATTGACTTCCCTGCCGGTGACGCGTGACGTTTCGATGACATAGCAGAGCTGGTCAAGGAAAGCCTGCACAGGCTCGATGAGGAGGCCAAATGTGGCAATCTTCGTCTTGATTGGCGAATGCTCAACCAAGGGCTTTCCAAACGTCTCTCGTTCGCAAGCATAATTATATGCGTCTTGGGCACAGACTCGAGCGAGTCGAACGGCGGCGGTGGCCAGACTGAGCCGCTCCGGGTTGAAGTTGGACATGATGAGCTGGAAGCCATGGTTCTCGCGACCGATGAGATTCTCGACCGGGACCTCCACATCATCGAAGTCGATGAAGGTAGAGCCTGCAAAGTCAGTAAAATTCCCAGGTTGCTGAATGAAGTTTTCTCACCGCTAGCATGAACTCCTTGATTCTCTATCCTTCTCAAAGTGACCCCCTTCGCTTTCAACGGGACGACCAGCAAGCTGATACCACCATGCCCTGGCCCTCCAGTTCGAACAGCTGCTGTGCAATAATCGCACCATATGCCATTTGTTATCCATTTCTTCTGCCCGGATACTCTATAGATTGACCCATCTTTTTGTGCCGTGGTCTTGATACTCGCGACATCACTCCCCCCATCGGGCTCGGTGATTCCGAGGCAGAACCTGAATTCTCCTCGTGCAACCTTCGGTAACCACTTTTGCCTTTGCGTCTTGGTGCCAAACCTGCTTATCGGAGGACATCCAATGCCATTCCCGCCTCCCAGACCCCAGATAGGTCCGCACCACCCGAGACGAGCGAACTCGTCACCAACGATGACGCTGCACCAAGTGTCCCATTCTTCAAAAGGTATCCCAGCAGGGTGCTCGAGCCCACCTGCATCAGCCGGGTCGATTACGGGGTTGACAATGGCGAAGCCCAGCTGACAGTGCCGCAGACGGACGCTCTCTGGCACCTGGCCCGCGATCTCCCACTCTTGAGCATATGGTGCTAGGTTGGTGTCTACATATTCACGCACAAAAGCTCTCAGGCGGTGATGCTTCTCGGTCCAGTAGGGATTCGAAGGAAGATCAAGCTGAGGGAGGAGTGGTTCGGAGAAAGGAGCGGGCACGGTGGGAGCCATCGGTACAGCTGTGCTTGGTCAAAATTCGCAAAGTACGAAGCAGAGGAAGCTGTAAGCCCCCAGAAATGGTACTTCACATCGTGTGAAAAAGGCACAGGCTGTTGGGTACGAGTCCACGGGGGTAATATCACCTTCGTTCCCGTAACCGGTTCAGAGTCAGATAGATTGGAGGAGGAGGAGGAACCGTAAGCCGTAGCCGTAGAGTAAGCCCACGATCATCCACTGTGCCACCGCATACCGTACCAGAGTGACTGGGGAACCTCGGTCCAGACAGTCTTGGCAGGTCTAACTTGATATGGTATAATCGTGGCACCGGTGGCTTGGATGTTGGCAGGATACATGGGGCCATCATTTCGCCATAGATCAGCACTTTATTGATATCAAAAACACAAATCCTACGAGCACGCCCCACGGCTGGCAATTCAACAAAGCCCTGGCCGAGGAGGCGCGCAACCAAGTATGCGCAGAGAACCCTAGTCGAGACCCATGGACGGCCCAACCAATCCATACAGCACACGTTATGCGTGTCGGACAAGTAGGCCCTTGAATTGAGACACTAGCTGGGATGGAATCGTTCAAAGAGTTCGTCGCCAATCAAGTGGCTGTCGAAGCAGCAGAGTCTGATTGCGAGAAGACTGGACCGTCAGCAGGCAATGGCGTCAATCAGGCGGACTTTGAAGATGACTCGAATCCGTCTCGAACGGTTGGTATCCACGAGTCTTCCCCCGAGGTCAAGATCAACTCTGAGGGATCAGAATTTCCGGAGGAAGTTGTACCGCAGATGTATCCTCTCCTGTCAAACAACCCTCCAGAATCACCCCCACTGGCGCCAGGAAAACGAGATGAAGAGGATGACGATGAAGAACTTAACCTCTCCAAGTCCTTGAATAGGACCGCAAGTCCATCTCCGGTCACCTTGAAACGTAACAAAGGAGCTAAAGTTGGCAAGGTTGGGGAGGAAGGCGTTATCAGAATGCACAAATTTACACTGCATGAAACGGCGAATTATTATTACATTGTTGGCTCAGACCTGTTGGATTCGGCTTTTCGCATCCTGAAGATCGACCGGACGTCTGAACTCGGCGAGCTGAGCATTACTGAAGATGACATCGTCTACACGAAGAAGGAGACGCAGCAAATCCTCAATGCGATCGATGAGGGCAATCGAGCAACAGGCGGACTCAAGATCAAAACTAGTTTCTGGGGCTTGCTCGGCTTCATCCGTTTTACGGCTCACTACTATATGATCTATGTGACGAAGCGAAGTCAGGTCGCTATGATTGGTGGCCATTACATCTACCAAATCGACAAGACAGATATGATGCCTTTAGTGACAGGGGCCTCGACAAGACTCAAGACGGACAGGCATCTCGAAGAGGCTCGATTCATCGGCATTTTGGGAAATCTAGACCTCACCAGGTCTTTCTACTTCAGCTATTCATATGATGTTACCAGGACCTTACAACATAACATCATGCGTGAACGCCAGGCACTCTACGATGGCCTTGCTGAGCCGTTGAAATGGGATCACAACGACATGTTCGTCTGGAACCATCACCTACTCGAACCGGCCAAACAAGCTCTAAAGAACCCGTTCGACTGGTGTGTATCGATAGTACATGGCTATGTCGACCAGAGCGCTTTGTCCATCTATTGGGGAAGGGTGGTGTATGTGACCATCATCGCCCGTCGCTCACGGTTCTTTGCCGGGGCACGCTTCTTGAAACGCGGCGCAAACGACCTGGGATATGTGGCCAACGATGTTGAAACAGAGCAAATTGTTTCGGAAATGCTGACCACTTCTTTCCATGCTCCTGGTCCGGTGTTGTTCGCGAACAACAAATACACTTCATATGTCCAGCATAGAGGTAGCATACCTTTGCACTGGACACAGGACAGCACCGGTGTTTCACCCAAACCAGATATACATCTCAGCGTGGTGGACCCATTCTTCAGCGCAGCAGCTTTGCACTTTGACAATCTCTTCAAACGATATGGCACACCTATATACGTCCTCAACCTGGTCAAGGCCCGAGAACGAACTCCGCGAGAGTCCAAGCTACTAAAAGAGTATACCCTGGCAATCAACTACCTCAATCAGTTCCTCCCTAAGGACAAGCAGATTCTCTACCACGCTTGGGATATGAGCCGAGCCTCCAAAAGCCGCGACGGAGACGTCATTGCTAGCCTCGAAGCAATAGCGGAAGACATCTTGCCCAAAACCGGCTTCTTCCAGAACGGCGACGACGAGAAAACCGGCCTCAAACTCCAAAGCGGTGTCGCTCGCACCAATTGCATCGACTGCCTTGACCGCACGAATGCCGCACAATTTGTCATAGCTAAGAAAGCTCTGGGCTACCAGCTTGAAGCTCTGGGTGTGATGGAAGGCACATCCGTCCAGTATGACTCGGACGCGATCAATCTGTTCACACACATGTGGCACGATCACGGCGACACGATAGCCGTGCAATACGGCGGCTCTCACCTCGTCAACACCATGGCGACATATCGCAAGATCAATCAGTGGACGAGCCATTCTCGTGACATGGTCGAAAGCTTCAAGCGATACTACAACAACTCCTTCATGGACGCCCAACGACAAGAAGCGTACAACCTCTTTCTGGGCAACTACGTCTTCGCTCAGGACAAGCCGATGCTCTGGGACCTGACGACAGACTACTATCTTCACCACTCGGATCCACGATCCATGTTTGGAAAGCGCAGGCCTAGCTATCGTCAGTGGTATACGTCAGAATATCTTCGCTCGCCGTCCATGCCCCCTTCGATCTGGCCGAGAGAACTGCGCGATCGACCAGTCGAATACTTTGACGACTATTGGGTGGAATACTACCGGCCACTCGCCATTTCGTCTTTCAAAAAGCTCTTCTCATTCAAAATGCATTCAAATCTGCGATACATTCCGATCAGCTCGACAGCGTCGGGCAAATACGACTTCTCGCCGTTCAAAGTACGCACAGCCAACGAAAGCGATGGCGAGGGTCATGGCAAACATACAGCACGCAAGGGCGTCAAGATCGTCGCACCGTCAGATGACGCGGCGTCCACGGTGGGGACAGATTCCATTGCATCCACTGTACCTCATTCAGCCCTCGAGCCAACCCCGGCGCCCAAACCCAATACTCTTGGACCGTGGCTCGACGCACAGCAACAATTACACAACACTCTCCAACGACGGCAGTACACGGGCATCATCAAAGAGCCGTCCTTCGAAGTCCAGTCTCCATCCGTACCGAAGATCCCTAAACTCCCCACTGCGACGACAAGCGACCTGACAAACAGCTCGCTTCTCCAGCCGACGAAAGCCGAACTCGCATTGCAATCGTTCGCGTCTCTCGTCACGAGATCGCTCGATCCACAGGCCCGCCAAGCAGGCGAGTACCAACGCTACGTGACACACCCGTCGAATATTCCGCTCGTCGTGTCTTCGGACATCGACTACTCTTCTGCGCCGCTCGAGTTCTTGGAGTATCTGTCGAAAACAACCTCGGACCCAGCTGAGCATACGGTCTTGCGCCACTACGACGACGAGCGCGGCGCCGTGAGTTTGACCATGGACGAACGCGCCGAGGCCAGTCTCGACGAATACACCGAGTATCTTGCCAGCGGAGCCGTGGAAAATCCGTTGACGGTTCTGCATGAAGATGGCGAGAAGAAGAGGTACAAGGCGTACAGAAAGTGGTTGAAGGGGAAGAGCCTGTTCAAGCAGAGGCCTGTCGTTGGCGATGATGTAGACGCTCTGTGAATGATGCGGGTTTGCGTTTTGTGGCGGTATGATACCCTGATAGAATCGACTTTTCCTTGCTGCATCGCGCGTTGTTGGTGTATTTGCAGCGTTCGATGCGAAATGATATGCTCGGCACGGAAGGGAATCTCGTTCTTGCGTCTTCATCGCATTGTCCTTATTCAGTCAAAAAGCTCTGTCAAGGCCGCCTCCTCTTGTTCCAAGCGCTCCGTGACATCCTTCCACTCCTTCTTGTCTACCACATCCCTTAACATGCTCACCGAGCTTTTCAGCCTCTTCATCACCTCGTCCGCGCCCGTTTTCATCTTGGAATCACTTTCAAGTTCATCGGAGCAGTTACACCAACAGCCCACCAGGCCCCTCAGAATCTCCGGGTACCATCTCTCCTTCACCCTCGGCGCCCCAACCCGGATCACACTTCCCACCACATCCAGCACAGCGAATACCATCTCCGGCGCAACCAGGATAAATGGATCCATCAACCCGGTCCTAAGCATCGGGAGGAGCCCCTGTAAATGTCGTACACTGGATAGTCCCATGCGCTCGAACACCGGTGGTATCTGAGTGAGCAGGAACGTTGTCAGGCCGACCGATATCGTGGATGAAAATGATCCCGCCGACGACAGGTGTTCGATCGACGCCACGATGCCGTGCCGATATAGCGCCGTCAGTAAGCTGTCTCTTTTCTTGCTGTCAGCTCCATTAGATTGATCGGTGGGGTACCAAGCATCCACGATGGCGAGGTAAGCAGGATACAATGTCCGGAATAGCGCTAGACTCTCCTCCTCGGGCGTCAATGTCGGTAGCAAGTTGAAATTCGCTTTGAGCGCGTCGACAAACACGTCCCCCAAGCCTGTGCGTTTGAGCATGTCGCTTTGCACGGCGCTCAATAGTTCGCAGAGGAGCCGAAGAAGCTTGCATCCCGAAGCTTTGTACCGCGTGTCGGAGTCGTCGATCATATTCAGGATCGGCGGGATCAGGAGGTGGAAATGTGCTTCGATCGTTAGCTTGCGCTTGTGCTCTGGTAGAGCGGAGTAGGCGGTTAAGATGTATTTGAGCAGCGGCACGGTGAATGGTGTTTTCCATGGGGTTTGAGCCTGATCCTCGTCAAAAGATGCGTAGCTTGGACCGAAAGATGGTGGGCCGGGGACGAGATTCTTCCGACCTGTGGAGGTCAGGCTGGGGTGTTTTGTGCTGGTGAAGAGCGGTTTGATGATTTGTGTGAGTAGGTCGAGGAGGGTGGTGGGTAGATTGTCGACGGTGGCAGATGAGATCAAGTCTTTTGCTTGGTTTTGGAGGGCAGATATTGAGTCGGACTCTGTGGACGACAGAATCGTAAGGATCTCTTCTTTCTCCATCGTGATACACACCCTGGTACAGACAGGTCTCGTGGGTGAAGCCTCGAATAGGCGTGGAATCAAATGGGATGTACAGACACGTGACGGAGTATCGGGCGGAGGATTGATGACATAATACGGAGACCGGGACTTATCCGCACGTCCTATCACGTGATTACGTCAGCCACTTGGGTGCCACTCGGCCTCAAGTTGTGTACATCTCGACATATCCAAACACCATCCTCCCCTCGTCTCTTACCCTTGTGAAATGGAATCTTAGCCTGCGAAACCTGAAAAATGGATGACAACGAGTTCATGCCTCTCGCTACCCGTCACCTCCCGGACGATGCCTCTCTCCCAAGTCCCATCCAGCCCCATCTCGACACCCTGTTCGCCGAATTCGCTCGAACTCGTCCAAGAATCTCACCGCCGCCCTCTCCATCGCTCCGTTCTCCCCGTCACAATCGGGTCAAGTCCGTCGACAAGCCTTCTGCAGACCTCGATCTTCGAGCACTCGACTATGTCACCGAGTATGACTCGCACCTTATGTGCCCCATTTGCCATGTTCCCTTCGTTGAACCCGTCGTCCTGGAATGCGACCATACCTTTTGCAACTCCTGTCTGAAGGAATATCGAGAAGGCGCAAGCGCTGGAGTGCGCTCACAGTGTCCATCATGTCGCACTTTTCTGCTGTCCGCACCCCGCAAAGCGTCACGACTGATTGTCAACATGTGCAATGAGATCAGAGTACGTTGTCCGAATGACGATTGCGAAGAGATAGTCACACGAGCATGTATTGAGCGCCATGCCACGAAAGAATGCGAACATGAGCGACTGAGATGTCCGGATGCTGAATGCGGGCAGCTGGTCAAGAGAAAGAACTATGTACCCAACCAGTGCATACATACCTCACACATAGAATGTGATTGCGGGGCTGTGATCGAACTCGGCCGAGGAGAGTGGCTCAAGCATAAAGATGAGGATTGTCCAAATACGGGCGTGATATGCAGAGAGTGCGGACAACGAATTCCAGCTCGGGACTATCTGGACGTAAACAAGGCTCACATCTGCGACTCCGAAGAGCAGAACACCTGTCCTGGCACGCGATACGGTTGCACGGATGAAGTCCGGCCTGATGAGGTGAGCGAGCATGTCAAGTCGTGCCCCATGGCTCGACTGGCTCCGTTCCTCCAGAGACAATCGAAACTGCTGCAATCCCTGCAGGAGCAGCTGACCATGGTCAAAGTCCGGAATGAAGTGCTTGAGACCGGTTTTGACAAGCTTAACGACATCGTCAATGACCGAGTCCTCCCCTGTCTCAATCAGTCTGACCACTCGCCTGTTGGCGAAGCCTCGGATATTGAAGAGATTGAAAGGGACCACATTCCTTCGGCAGCATCTCAGCGCGACCTTCTCATGCCGGCACATCTTCGAGACATGACGCCATCACCTGATCCAGATGCGGCTTCCATCTCACAAACCCAACAACATCTGCTCTCGCTTCACGAGTCTTTGCGTGTTAATGTGTCCAACCTCGAGCAGGGAATTGCTGCACTTCACAACAACATATCCGACCTGGATGCACGTACATCAATGCAGATAATGAACGAGACTTTGCGGATCAAAGAAGACCTTGCACATACCAATGCTGCGCTGTTCAGCACCAGGGCACAAGTCCAGTGGCTCTTGAACCGAGAGAGAATAGGCCAACAGCAGCAAGCTATGCGTGGTCGAGCACCCTCGGCTCAACCTCGACCACCAAATCCAGTCCAATCAACAAGAAGTTCGATATCGGAAGGCAACGAGGTCTCCAATCTAGGCACGAGTCTGGAAAGTCATGCATCATCGTCGAGCGCTGCACCCAGTCCGAATTTCAGACCTCAAATCAGGCGGCTTAGCGGAGGCAGTCAGGAAAGAGTCAAGCTATAAAGTTGGATCTTGATTGGAAGTGCAGAGGTTGAGTCGATCATCTATGGTCTATAATTTAGTGCTACGCTGGGTATACTCAAAGTCAGGCATGAAACGGCTGATTTGGTGTAGACATAGAGTCATCTCACATTCCTCGTGCAATTTGTATCCTGTCATCTCTAGCATTCTACGGCCAAGGTTCAACTTAGTACTGCTGGGCAGCTGAGAACGGTCGAAAGCGACTCTCCTTATCAAAGCTAGCCTTGTGCGTCTCGCTTATCTCGCATGGACTTGCTGTATCCGATCTCTGATGGGCGGCCCTGACTACGGGGTTGCCCGCTTTTTCAGCTCTTTGGCATGCGAGTCGTATTGTGGACAGAATCAAGTAGTCGACCACGAGCAGTCTGGTGCACGATCGCACCCTACAGGCCCGCCGGATGAGCGAAGATAAGCGTCCAAGATGTGCCGCCGTTGACTAATTTGACACCTCCGACTGGACTGACATGGCTGGCCTCCATGCATTTGACTCGAGTGTGATGTTCACGTATTCGGGCCCAGAAGAGGTAGGTATGGATGGAATAGGTAAGAGAGCTCATCCTAGATTCGGGCTTGCGCCTAGATTGATATAACGTCGCCCTGTATGTGTTGACCGGCATCTCGAGCCATCTGTCCACCCATACCTTGGGCAGCTTGCAATCTCTCCTCCAATTTAGATCCGCACTCGACGGACAACCTGCGAAGTCATTCCAAGGGTCTCCTTCTACCAACTCTAAACAAAGCAAGGCGCGCTGAGATGGGCCGCTCACGCAGCCTCGAGTATCCCAAGACCGCGATCAACAAGGTCAACCGGTATAATGTTCGAGGTGAGACTTGTCCTGTCTTGCATTACCGCTCACGATCCTTGTGAACCGGCCTTGAAAACCAGCATTGAGCTAACCGCGGCTAACTCGACTCCTCTCCCCGGAATTAGAAACATACGACCTTGAAGCCATCCACCGCATCATCAACGAAAGCACATATGTCAACGTTTCGTTCAACACTCCCGACGCGAGCAACCCGTTCCCCGTCACTCTGCCCATGATTGGCGTTGCCGCGAGCTTCGAGCACCCTTCTTCGTCCCTGGGCGAGCCTCTCGACATCTACGTGCACGGCTACGTGAGCGCCCGAATGATGAACCTATCCCGCACAACCACCACCGACGAGGGCGTCGAGCACGAAGGTCTTCCCGTGACCATCTCGGCCACGAAAGTCGACGGCCTCGTTCTCTCGCTCACGCCGTACACGCACGACATCAATTACCGCTCCGCCACACTGTGAGTATCCACACAATTCTATTCTGGCTTTCCCACCTGGCCCCCCCCCCCGCCTAAATCCCCCGGACTCGTTGCATGTCTTCTCCGTTCCTGGGCCTGTCCATATTCCCCCAGCCGGTCGGCATGCTATCCCACATCGCGAAAACAACCCCCCTTTATGTCTGCAGTGGTTGTGCTAACGAAAAACGCAATGTTTGTCAAAACCAGCTACGGCTACGCCACGCTCGTGACCGACGCCTCCGAGAAACTCTGGGCCATGGAAGCCGTGACAAATTCCGTCGTATCTGACCGATGGCGACACACACGCGTCCCGCCCGTGCCGGCCGAGATGTCGTCCACCTCGATCCTCAAGGTCAAAGTCGTCGGCGGGAGCGGCAAGATCCGAGTCGGCGGCCCACGCGACGAGAAGAAAGACACTGACCGTCCCGAACTGCTCGACAGCATCTGGACCGGCGTGGTTCCGGTCTATGAACATTTCGCCGAGCCTATCCCGCATAGGACGAACAGAATACAAAACGTGCCCGACCATGTGGCGCGATACGCCAAGGACATGACGGACCGAAATGAGCGGTATGCGAGGGAGGTCATTGAGGATACGAGCCAGGACTGAACTTCTACTACTAGTAGTGACTACCCTAGAGTACGGACCTAGGTAGTAAACAGATCCCACCATGCTCAGGTGTTGCCTGTGTTGTACTATCGGCGGGACTCCAAGTTGTCAAGCCTGTTTTCACTACCTCCAAGCCCAGATATTGCATTGGCATGCCGCATCAGTGATAACGCTTCAATCGACTTTGTGAATTCACAAGGAAAAAGGGCCTTCTTGTCGACATGTCCAGTCTGTCTCGATGATCTACGGGAGTTGGTTCGCCTCGCAGAAAATGACTACTGTATACTCCTTACTCGTAGGCAGAAAGGCTGCGCTCGAGTTCGCAACCAATCAGATCTAGCCGACGGTGTGGGAGCATGCAGGGATAAAATACTGCCTAACACGGTAGTTAATACTTCTTGATTAGACAATAATTTGGAGTTTCGTCAACCAACATCGAAAAGTTTGCCAAAACCGTCGGCGAGATCTGATTGGTTGCAAACGTGTACTGTAGAGATGATCTCTTCCTTTCCAATGCAGAGCTTCGGCGTTTTGCCTATTGTCACCGTGCAGCACGAATGTGACCGTGGAGAAGTCCCCGTTGGATCGGCCCGGACGAGCTGTATAGGGCAGAGGTTCCTGACCACGGCGTACGAGATGCAAATGAGGCCGAAGCCAGCGACGATGCCACTCAGGCGGACCAAACAATGCAAGACCAAACCGAGCCTCCTTCGAGCCAACAGGATTCCTCCAAGTAGGAGATCAAGGTCATGAAATGAAATAGGGCCTCATCCGCTTCTGGACCAAGCGAGCCCCGGACTACGGCTCCATGTTGCGAACCATCAATTGTCTGTGGAGACGGCTCACTCGTCGAAGACATGGCCTGCCTTGCTCCGTTTGCTGACGGCAAGGCTGAAGAGGTCAGGTAATCCGTTGCGGAGGCTTTTCTGTAGCGTTTTCTCTCGCTTCTCGACCTGCCAACGACCAGCTGCAGCGCATTGGCGACAATCTGGGACGTCCAAGAGATCCCTGGCTGTGCGTGGTATAAAATTATGGTCTTGCTGGCTGGGAGTCTTGACTGAGGATCGCTCGCAGTGAAGTAGACTGTCGGCGAAGGGGTTGAGTCTGCATTGCATTGGCTGTAGATCGGGGGTTTCCCATTCTGAGCAAGATGCAGTCTCATCGTCGTCATTTGCTGCCAGGCGAAGAGATAGCCACATCCGCTGGACATTTCCACAGGCGATTTGATGCTCGGAGAAGATATCCAGCCCAATAATGTGGGTGTGTCTCTCTGCACATATTTGTATCGAGAGATGAGTCTCTTACGGCTGCGCCCCTCCCTTCTCCCTTCCTCAAGTATTTCCTACGGGCCTGCGATGATCAGCGAAGCAAGGGGGGCCGGTCTGCATAGCCAGGTCCCCCAGTGGAGCAAATCTTCTCGATCGCCGGACATGTCAAAGCATTCGAATCTCCCTGCCGTGTAACCACCCCTCGGAACTTTTTAGATTGGCCTCTCTCAACGGCCCGTCCGTCCGGTTCGCCAGAGGTCGAGGGCGCCCATTGTTTGACTCATAACGTGTATGCGGTGGACAATGCCACCGCTTTTACTCTTTTTCCGCCACGGGTTTACCCGAGGAATGGGGGACACGGACACATGCCTTGTCACAGATCGTCCAAGTTTCAGAGACAGAGAGAGAGGGTCGTGCCCCGTCGTGCGTCGTGATTCCAATGACCATGAATGATGTCTTCATGGTCAAGGCACCACCTTTTCCTTGCGTAGGGGAAGATCACTCGTCCTATGGATAGGTCAGCTTCGTGATGCACATCCACATCCACATCCACTTGGGAGGATTTAAAGGACAGGACAAAGAACATCACCCACCGCAACATGGCATGTCTATGTCTGTCTCGTGGCATGGACCGGGGACAAGACAATGGGGGAGAGCTGTGGCTGCGCAATTTGGATTCTCTCTTTTCGACATCCAAAGAGTCTGCTTGCTTGTCGTCGACGTCCTCCGGCCAACTTTTTTTTGGCATCCTACTAGTCCTTCTTTTCTTGTGAAGTTCTTCTTCTCTTCCTCTCCATAGGCAACCCGAGGTGATCGCTTGGTCGCGACAATGGGAGTGTTATAACTCCCCTCGCCGTCGCATCTCTCTCCTCGTCTTTCCTTTCCTTCCTTCCCCTCGTTTCTCCTCGTCTGGCTCGGCGCGGTTGAAGCCTTTGGACTTCTTTTCACTCATTTGTCACTCCTTTGTACACTTCCTGTTACTCTCACAAGTCATTCAACAGATCTCAGACCTTTTCCTTCAACAAACACTCCAAACAGCAAACAGACTCGATTGTCCGCCTGTGTATAAGACTCACACCCTCGAAAGCCAATATCACTCGAGAACCAGATCCAACCATGACCGTATTCGCCAATATGAAGGCAAGCGTTGTCGAGAAATTCCGAGCCGCGCGAGAGTGGTTCAAAGCCAAATTGACCAAAGAGACCACAACAACTCCAGAGACCAGAGGTGTGACAATTGTATGTTGATATCCCAATGTATCCAGGATAGAGATGACTGATATATCTCAAAGAGTCAGCCTACCAACTTTCGCAGACAGGAAATCCACTTCGAAATCGATCATGAAGGGTAAGATATCCTGAATTCTGTCAGACCAAAAAGCGTCGCTGACTGCCCACTCTAGCAACGCTGTGATGGTCGAAGGCCCAGCTGACGAGCAACGTGATCCGCCACCACATGCCATGTGATGAGCAGCTGGCAGTCTCTCAAGCCTGATCATGCTTGTCAAACCAAATGATCGATAGCTCAACTGTGCTCCGAGTGGTTTCAACAGATACATTACAGCGATACATGAGTCCTGCTCAAGTGGGATCACGCCTTGAACAACTTGGACAGTGACCAGAACCTCCTACATTCTTGGAGCGATTTTGCTGCGGTGCTTTGGAGAATTGGCGAACTGGACGAATATGCTGGATACTGGGGGGGGGGCTTTTTTGGCTGTAAATAAGGAAGAGCATACAACTTGGTTTGGTGGCGAAGCCATCAAATAATGAACATTGGAATTTCCTCGAGCCTCGATTTCTTCTCCTGCTCCTTGTCCAGCTTACGTTTGAGAAAGCTCCCGTTTGCTTTTGGCGTTGGTCGATGTCTGCGTATACCAGAGTCATTCCTACTAGGCGCGGTCGTTTTCGTTTCGTGGTCATTTTGGGCTTCAGATGAGACAGAGCGAACGCGAAGTGGCTCTGATCTCCTGTCGGCAAGAACATCCGGTCTTCGTGCTGAAGTCAAGCTGCTATTTGTTTTCCCGGTAGACGATATAGCATCAGCAAACGAGTGGCCTTTCACGCGCGCAGAGCTCGTGCCTGAGGTCGTGGGGGCGACTCTGGTCAAGTCATCGTGTCCCAGATCTCTCCCAGAAGAGTCACTGCTACTAGGCCTGATGAAGCCCATCCCAGCCTTTGTGTTGCTTGCCATTCTCTCCAACCCAAGCAAAGAGGTCTTTTCTTGGTTGCCACCAGCCATCAGAGGAGCAAGGCTGGTTCCCGACCATAAATCAGGCACCTTGTCTTCCTCTTCCTCTTCCATTGATGCGAGTCCTAGACTTTGCAGGGTATCCTTCTGCTTCAGTTGCAGAGCATCGGACTTCAATCTTTGTTTGGCCTGTCTTGACATCGGCGACTTCGGCTCTGGCAGAGCTTTGGGTGGTGCTTCCCGTGCCTGCTTGACAAGTCTCTTGTACTCGGCAAGATGCAGATGTGCTGTGTAAGTCTGCGCAACCGTGTAGAACTCGTCTTCAACCATGATGTAGATATCGTCCGCGTCATAGCCTTCATGCATTAACCTAGTCGCGGTGTTAGCCGTGCTCTTTACCACTTGCGCCAGACTAACTCGGTGGAGGGTGGCGCTCGAGTTGGCGACGAGGACGGTGTTCTCACTGCTTCATGTTAGCTTGCCGTCCATGCAGGCTGCACGGCGACTCACAGTTGGTGGTTCTCCTCGATGTGGCGTTGGATCGGCGGCCCCTATCAGGCGGGTCATGCTCGTCGTGCGGTTCCTCACTTCGAGCTGGGGAAGCTGGCTTCTTAACATCCGGGCGCGACGCTTGAAGCGTTCGTTGCCGCTTGGGTGGTGGCGCATGGTCGATTGTCCATGGTAACGTGCGAGCCATTGCGGTTTAGACGTAGAGGTAGCGTGTCGATATGACGCTTATTTCCAAGCTCAAGGTGGATTGGCGCGACTTGGATAGTGTTCTCGAAGCAGCTCATGCATATCTGAACGCTTAAGCACAGGAAGGCAGCAGTCAGATTGCTACCGAAGTCAGGTTCGCAAGATTCAATGATCAAACAAAGGGAGAGCAGTTACTGCTCTAAGATTTGGCGCCGTAAGGCCGCGCTCTGGCATACCCCACCTGCCCAAGAAGCACCGTTGTGGCGACACTGGGTATGGGCTCTCACCCGTGGCGTATACAAGGAGAAGAAACGAATACTAAGCATGGATCTCTCTATATTTGTCATGAAATCTGGTGTATTTTCCACAGCCTGCCTGCGAGATCTTTTCGCAATATGCCAGTTCTTGGGTATCATAGGGCCAGCACACTTCGTGCCCGCGTGTATCAATAACAAAACCACCAGCGCCGGTGCAAACCCATTCCAATTTCGTCAAGTTGCGACTGAAGGTCCACATATAGCCATATGGTCAATGTCGCCGCCTGTCGCCGCTCAAATCCAACACCAAGCGTTGACGATTCTCACCCATCTCTGATAGCCACAAAACTACTACGGCTCCCCGGGCTTCTTGGAGTTGCAGCTCACAATCTTAACTTTGTCCGCATGGAATTCTTGACCGCCATCGCTCTTGAACTTTACGTTCTTGACCAGGAATGTCCAAACATCGTCGCAAAATCGGTATGTTTCCAGATGTCCCTGCAAGGATCTTAGTATTTCCTGACTGACGCAAGAAAGCGCCAGGCCCACCTTGAATGTGAGTCTTGACTTGACCTTCTCGGCAAGCGTTTCGGCTATAGAGCGATCGAAATTGGCGAGAATCTTCATTGCCAGCTGAGGTTCGATTCGGCCATCGTTTATCAGGTCATCGATCGTGTCAATAAGCGCCTCGCCAATACTGTACCAAACGGTCAACAGTCCGCTTCACATTAGAGACACTGGAGACAGGAGAAAACGAAGGACAAGTTTAGGCGCAAACAGCCTCGCAAAATCTCCAGGTTGACCTACCTGCTGCCTCTGTAGAGTTCGTAGTACTGTTGCGCCGCGGCCATTCTCGTCGTCTCTGCTTTGCTCGTCCCAGTATGCGACGAGTAGGGATGTTGGTGCGACTGAGTAGAATGAGAGATCGCAAGAAATGGCTTTGAAGAGTGAATATGTATGTAGTCAGGTCTTTGGGGATGGATCAGGTTGAGTCAAGCCGCAGGCAGTGCCTGCAATTCTATAGGCCGGAACGTTCTTGCCCGATACCAACTGCTGATTGGCGGAGTGAATGTCTCCCACGCAATGAGCACAAGACCCAAAATACGGTTACGTAGGTCCAGCTATTCGTTCATAAAGCTGGGGATGGCAGAGAGTCCTGCTTTCGTTCGGGACGCTCCAGACGTTATCCATAGTGTTATTACAGACCATAGACAGCCACCATGCCACTCCTACGCGCAATGATACCTCGGCAAGCCTTCTCCTCCCACTTGAAGGGCGTATCAAGCATGCAACGGTGGACATCTTCCACTACATCAACAAAAGCTCCCAGTAGTGAACCTTCCGAGAAATCCGACTCGACAAAGAGAAAGGAGGCGATCGAGAAGATGAAGAAAGCTCATCAGAGCATGGCGCAAGCCGATGAAGATATGCGCAACATAATGGAGGGGCTAGCAGGTGACGGAGGATCAGCTGCTGCCGAACTAGAAGACGGGAAGCCAGTCGCCATGAAACGTGGTGTCCGAGAGAATATGTTCCGATATATCTAAGACGGAACACATACGGTCAAGAAATGGCACGAAGATCTGGACAATACGAATAGAGACCTGAGCTCAACCAACAAGAATGCCATTCCGGGGTATCATACTGTGCCAGGCCACGGCCAACAAGTACAGGAAACACGCGATTCGACAAAAAGACGCTTCCTGGGATTCAGATGCTCCCTTTACTGTACAGTTTGTTCACATCGCCAACGAGATCTTTCACCGAACTGCCTCCAGGACAGTCGTACCACTCTCCGCCGTCTCGAATACACCGTACCTCGCCTGCAAGTCTGACGGTGCAACTCCTTGTGACATTGTTCTCGGCACTCCTCTGGATACTCGACCGGAGCAAGCCGATACCTTCGCCTTCGTCGCTGATACAAGTATTGAGCTTTGCAAAGTCAATTCCATGTTCCATGGCACAGCTCTCGACCAGGTCTCGTTTTGGAATATCGGGGTAGTCGGACATCATGCAGTTCGTGAAGCCGAGCCAGATCTTCACATCTTGATAGACTTTGGCTGCGCAGAGGAGGATGATGTTGCCCAAACATTCGCCAGGACCGTGTTTGCAGGAGACAGCGTCGGAGTCGGGGTCGATACTGAAGGCCGGTGAGCTAGGGCTATACAAATCAATAGCAAAGATTACCTTCCGATAAACGACATGGTGAAGTTAACTTTGTCGCTTACTTCCACCATTGTTGGTAGTATCAGTTTTTGTAGGCAATCCCGAGCATCGGGACATTTGGACATGACATGTATCTCTAACGGCACCTTTTCCCTTTCTTCAAGCACATCCATTCGCGAAAATGGTTTCCCGGGTTCGTAGCGATGATTGCAGACAAAAGCAGTCCGAAAGAGTGCGAACAGTGCTAGTAATGTCAAGATAGCGGGCAGAATGCGTTTGATCCATCGTTCTCGTGGAGGATGGCTCGCTCTGCGCGACTGCTCGTATGGAAGTGCAGTTGGGTCTGAGAAAGGTAGCTTCTCATCAGGCGAAGAAGCGTATCGAAGAGTCATTCTGACGGATGTCGACAAGCCGAGGACTAGAGGGCAGAGTTGAACCTGTAGAGAGGATTGTTTCGAACAACCATCTGTGACGCAAACAGAACGCAGGCAAATGACCTTGGCGTGTTTGCACACTCAGGAAATAGGCTTGCCTCGGCTGCTTGGGTCAGTGCCTACCGTATCTAACCTGTAGGTACCTAGGTAGGTACGAATATAAAGGTCAAAATTTAATGTGACTCTTAGAAGTTATTTACATGGATAGGCTTCGGAGATCTACCGAAATGGAAAAAAGAGACGCTGTTTGTAGGGACTGCAATATGGATGGCATTGGTGCAAGTACAAAGTACCTAGGCAACCGAGGTCTTCTACGGTCTTACGGGTAAATCGTGTAATATGGCCGTAGGGTGTCATTCGACGACAAGCAGCAGTTGGACACCGCTTGAACAGGAAGCCCACGACTGTGGTAGCCCGCCCATGACTGCCTCGGCTGCTTAAAGGTCACTACTCGTAGGAGGCCTTGTTCACCTGTCTCAGCTGAAAAGCATTGTCCAGCACAAGTATTGTAGTACCAGTAAGAACCCCCTTGGCCCTTCCAGGCCTTCGACTTCCATTCCCAAGCAGGCTCTACTTGAAATAATGAGACCCGATCATTATTTCGGTTTGTCCTGTGTCCCGGATCCCGAATTTATGTACCTTGCGCCACCATCTTGCTGGGCATCTCCGCTCCCCATTACTATGGAACTCCGTAGGGCCCGCACTTTCCGTTATCGCAGCAAGACCTCGCAGCAGACAACGGGTCCTTGAGTTGAAGTCTGGCAGCGCTTTGCATGTCCAACCGTCGCTCTTGGACTCGCCTATTCTTCTCCGAAGCGGCTTCCTAGCCTGATATGCCCTTGTAGCCATGTGGCAGGTAGACCCTCTATCTGCAACCTATGACTCTTTCGGTGAAGGGTAGATTCGAGCCGCATATTCCCCAGAACCAGAGGCCGTCGTATTCGTGACTTTGAGTTAGAGCCGTGTTCATTGGTGCGATGGTCTGTGCGATGCCGGAAGGACCAGCAACAACACCTGAACCTGGACCGATTGAGGCTGACTACACTATCCTCTATTTTCTTCCCCTTCTCTCAGCGTCACATCCGTCTCCAAGGTCACATTTGAATCACCAAATATTGATATTCTTCAATCCCGTGCCTTCTGCAATTGGCGGTTGGGCTACCGCTGTACTTGGACACCTTGAAACTCATTACACAAGAACACAGCTCTGCAACAGCTTCTTCCTCCCCGAAACTCGCGAGGTGTTTCAACGTCTCTCCTCACCTGTACTCCGTACCCGTGGTCGAAACGTTTTTGGATTTCCCCAATGCTGACCTGGTTGCCTTGCACGTGAGTAGCCTTTCCAACTTCACACCACTCAGCCTTTGTGAATTCGACACTGCTAGGAGCAGCGCAAAATGTCGGAGATGGCATCAGCCCAATCGGCCAGCAATGGAAGTCCGCCGCCCGATGATTCAGAAGCTGGAATTGAGACTTTTCTGCAGCCACTGCATATCGACGATAACGTCGTCCATAACCTAGCCTATCAATTCTGCAGAGTTTACGAAGAGCTAGCGCTACATTCTGAAGAACAGTTCCTCCCAACACCAGTAACGAACCTGCCTTCAGGCCACGAGACGGGTCAGTTCCTTGCTATTGATGTCGGCGGCACCAATCTTCGGGTTGCCTTTATCGAGCTGCTGGGCGATGCGGACGAGCACCCCTCCACAGCCATTGGCGCTGAGCGGTCACGTGAGACAATCAGAAATGCTCAGCGTCCGCGAGTACGACGGACGCTGGAAAAGGCCTGGCCTATTGGTGAGCATTTGAAGATGGACAAGACTGAGGATCTGTTTTCCTGGATTGGTGACTGTATAGCCGAGGTCGTTGGTGACCGGCTCAGCTCTGATATGGGCAAAGTGCCTGTTCCTGAAGAGCTCCCAATGGGTATCACCTTCAGTTTCCCCATGATGTAGGTCTCCCTGCAGTACCCGAATTTCAGGTGATTAAACGGTCACAGGCAAGAGAAACTCGATTCCGCGACGCTGATGCCAATGGGGAAAGGCTTCACCATTACCTCAGACCTCGATCTTGGTTCAACTTTACTGCAAGGCTACGCTCGGCACACACGACAACAGCAATCCAATGATTCATCTCCACGAGCGAAAAGAAGGAAACTCGGCCCGCTACCTCGATTGAGAATTGCAGCCATCACCAACGATACCATAGCTACTCTTGCGTCGCTAGCGTACAGTGTCAAGTCATTGCCGAATTCTCGAGTGGTTGCAGGTGTAATTGTCGGCACTGGCGTCAACGCCACCATACCTATGAAATTCCCTAGCCTGGGCGAGTCCAAAGTTGCGCCCATCCGAACAAACAAACCCCAAGCGACAGAAACAGTGGTAAATACCGAAATCACAATCGCTGGAGCATGCGGACCCCTGCAGTCCATCACTACGGACTGGGATCGTCAACTAGATGCCGCCTGTGCACGACCTGGTTTCCAACCTCTCGAATACATGACTGGCGGAAGGTATATAGGAGAGCTTGTGCGCATCATATTCCACGATTACATGACAAAGGCACACAAACCGCCGGTGCCGTCCACATCACTTCCTGCTACGATTGTGCATCCATACAGCTTCACCACCACCTTTGTCAGTGCGGTGGTCGCACGAGCACGATCCAATTCAGAGTTGGCGGGGGAGTTGAAACGTAGAATTCCACCTCCGGAGTCATCGAACTGGGGTTGGTCGCCACATTCGGCAGGAGCACTCCGCAAGATCGCACATCTCGTTCAGGTTCGTTCCGCCGGCCTCATTGCAGCATCTACCGTGGGCCTTCTAGCCACGGTCGGCGAGATCGCCTTGTCCGAGCCTGGCAGTTCTGCTTCACCTGCCGATGCAGTTTTCACCACGGACAGCAAGCCACCATCTCCCAAACAAGGTCATCTAGCTCTCCCTTCGCGAGATGTGCGAGACGGACTCTCACCTGCTCCGGGTGCGACAGCTTGGAGATCAGGACCAGAGGAATTGGTCATTGCTTACACCGGAGGAATTATTCAGCACTATCCAAACTTCAAAGAACAATGTCAGAGATTCATTGATCGACTGGTAATGCGAGCAGGACCCCAAGACGGTGGCAAGAGTGTCTTTTTGCGGGAAGCTCGTGATGGGGGCATCATCGGCGCAGGGGTTTTGGCGGGACAGCAAGCGGCGGAGCAAGCCTGATCGGACTATTACTTAGCATTCCAGGAGAGGCTGGCGCAATTATAGCTCAATGGCATTATTGTGCATCGGTTCATATCCACGTTCACACCGGGGTTTGCTGTCTATGCGTCCGGACCAGCTCACCCAGCTGCACTCGTAGAAGTCCTCAGAATTACTAGCAAAACTCGGGAATGCTAGTGTTCACGACAAAGCACCTCCAACCGAGAGAGCTCAGCCTCCAGCATTTGACACGGGTAGCAATTCGGAAGAACGTTTCTCTGTCCAAAGAACATGATTTGTGTTATGACGAAAAGACTTCAGGATGATTGGTAGACACGAAGCGACCAAAGCAGCAAAAGGGCCGTGTGGCTTGAAAATTTCAATAAGGATGGCTTACGGGGCCCCGCACCGCGAGCGACGCAGCAGGCGAAACAGGAGGGCATCGAGTAGATCCGTAAGGAGTAAATTCCAGCGCGACAGTGTCAGAGCCACCAGAGCCTACGGAGTACCTAGCCTAGGCCTGAGAAATGGCATTGGAAAGCGGGGGAAATGGATGAAAGCCTTTCCTTGGGACAGTTCAGTACGAGTCCTCCGTTCTCTGAAGGGACGAAGCGGCGCGGCGAACCATCTCGGTCCGATATAACAAAGCAGATCATGATCATAACTGAACATGGAAGCACAGCAGATGACCGTCGAGCCGTGATGCTCTCAACGTCCATGGAGCTTGATAGGAACTCATGCCTGACATGCAGGGGAGAAAAGACGATCACGACGATTCAATTCGTTGCCCGAGAATTGGGAACAGGCCGCCTCGGACCTTCGGCAGAGCTTTGGCCAGAAACAACGTGGTATTTGCGTTGTAGGGCAGCTCCCGTGTCGCCCGTGTCCCATGACATCGAGACGTGGCCATGAATGTGTCGTTGGCCTGGTTGGCAAAAGAATGTGTGACCTTGCATCATGCTCTGTGACTGTCGCACACTGCAACCTGTCCGAGCTCACAGCATGATGGAACCGATCCACAGCGTAGAGAGAGAATAGAACATTAGCAGTGATGAGGGTTGATTTGGCTAAATGGAGCGCGAACCGTTGGATCGTTCTGGCACAATTGCTATTAGGCAAAGTGAAACCACTTCTACACGGTACGAGGCCGAAAAAGGACGCCTGTCCGAGTACTTCGTAGCAAAGTCCACTTGGATGAGAACGGTGGCGCAAGAACAAAGGGAAGCGAGGCACTTGAGAGGCTGGCTGAATTCCGTCCTCCCCAGGCGATGCCATGTTCGATCGAATTCCTGGCCGGGAGCGATGGTCACGCCCATCATGCCATTTCCTCCCTGTTGGTTACGGAGGGTTCGTCTGGACTCTGGCGAGTAGGCTTAAAGGTGAGCTCCACACAAAGGAGCCCTGGGGCAGTTTTTGTCTCTCCATAGTGGTGCTCTCGCAGTGATGAAATCGAGGGTTGACTGCCGCCCATTATTCTCCCACCAATAATCCCGCATCGGCGGTTCACCTCGATCTGCTCACTCATCTCAAACTCACCTTACTTCACTTTCAGTGCTTAATTCACCGCATCACACACTCCTGAGACCACCCTCCTCTCACCTCCCTTCTTCCTCTCTTCCACTCCTCTCTTCCTTTCCGCCATTCCACCTTCAACAAGCGCTCTCTCCAGTGCCCTCAGAGAACAACGACCGTCCTTCATTCGGCGCACGCGATCTTTGTCCTCGACCCTGCCCGTCCACACTCTCTCGAGTCTGGTCATGCCTATTGTGTCGCGATCCGGCCTTTGATGGGCGCACCTCCACCGCTACCCTCGTAACCTTCGAAACTGTTTCACCCTGCACATTGTCGGCAACAATGAGCCCCATACCCAAGGCTCACAATGTCTTGCATACCCTGCTCCGGCGTGAGGAGCAAGAGGTCACCAAGCCGACAGATCCCCACGGTCTGGTGCTCGAGGCATGGGCGGAAGGATACATGATCGGCTCCCTAATAATCATGTCTTGCATAACACTGGCCAACATGCGCAGAGGGGTCTTGCTGCACAAGCTCATTTTGCTCGAGGTATGTGCTTTTGTCCGCCATGACCAAGATCGGCACTGACGAGACATCTTCCTGACAGCTTGTCTTGGGTTACTGGCAAGGCTTTTTCATCCTCTTTGACCCACCCGTTTACGCCTGGTGGCTATCGGTGGCCGCCATATTCCTCAACATCTCGTGGTCCTTGCATAACGTCATTGCTTGGATGAAGATTCGACCTTTCTTGAACAAGACCGCTAGCCGCCTGTTCATTGGCAGCATCATCCTTGTCCAGCCATACTGGGTGGTGGAAATATATGCTAACTTCACATATTTCCACAACGTGAACACGGTCTTCTTGAAGACAAGACCATGGGAAGCACTCTGTCGGGACCCTTGGTGGGTATTGGCCGCCTGCATTTTATTCTACAACATCAAAACCAAATACGACCTCTCCATCACCCAGATCGTCCGAATCTCACCTCGATTTGCGGTCATGTTGGGTGCAATGATTCTTAGTATCTGCTTCATCGTCCTCGATGTGCTATCGGTGACTTCCGCACTCAAGTCTGCGCTACCGGTTGGTATCAACCCGTTCTGGAAACTGTCCTTCGTCTTCAAGTGTCTGACGGATTCCGTGGTCCTGGACGATTTCAAGACGGCCCTGGACCGCTTGAGAGCTTTCAAGATGAGCCGATTGGGCAGTTTTGCCATGGACGGAGGAGATGCTCGAGCGAAGCAACATCTGGACGACGTGAAACGAGCAAACAATTGGCCAACGCCACCTCCGTCGGGAGACCGCCCTCAACCAGTCGCCCCTCTGCCAACGATGCCTGTAAGCCCTGACGGAGATTACATCCAGCCGCCGTGGGGAGACATCAAGGCTGGTCCTACCGACCACATCGAAGATCGATATTCCGCTGTTGCGAGAAACGCATCAAGGGATCGTGACGCCGACGAGAACGGTTTCGATGCGATCGACTATGGTGATCCGCAAAGAGAAGCCTCCGACGCTCATATACTCAGACCTCAGACCACCTGGCTTGGGAGGAGGTCATCTGAAGAGACATCCGACGCAGATATTGAATATGCCATGGCCGTAAGGCAAATGACCAATGATTCGATGGAGACTCAACGAAAACGAGCCACAGAAAGAGGGACTGGCCGATAGTTCTTGCGAGCCGGTATCAATCTGAGCCCATTGTGGGGCGTTATCTGCGAACGAGCAAGCAGCCTTCTGTCTACCAAGTGCTTTACTGTCTCCCATGGCCCGGATCCCTTCTTCATCTCGACGCGGGTTGCCAAGAGAGGGGAAAAATGATGCAGGGGAAACCGAGCTGAAGGATTGTTGCTTCGCGGATCTTGAGAGGACGCACTGAGCTGGACTCCTCGACCGTTCTAACAGTGAAGCAAACAGTGCAGTGGCCATTTCGTTGCTTGCTCGATTTGTGGGCCCCAGGAGAGAGCAACATGAACTGCTCCAGGCCAAGAGATTTGCCCTGGGCAGGGTTCTGAAGAACTACTCCGTAAAGGAGCCAAGATGAGGACGGGTCGTCCGACCATCTTCCCCTGGGAAGTTGCTGTTCGTCGACAAAACCGATTAAGGGATGCTGAGCAAGATCTTGCGTTAATGATTGAATGTGATACCCGGAGCTGCCGACACTGTATATAGCGAAATGAGGAAAATCTGCTGATGACAAGGACTTTCCCGATACTCATTCGGCTACATGCCGACTATCTTATGAGTGTTCTTCTGCGTGTTCCTCTGTGCTGTGTCTTCAGGCGTGAGGCCCCTTTTAGCTCGGAGAATTAATGTGATCTGAGCAGCCACGATGAGCCTTAGGCCAAAAGCTAGAGCCCTAACGACGATGCTTAGCCTCTGAGAACTATGGGCTTAGATTCGCCAGTTTCGCATGTTCGTCAGCTCCAGTGGCTGTCATTGGCGGGCACCTGCGGCCAGTCACCCTGGACTTGGCGGGTGGTGCCTTTCACTCTGGAAGGACAAGGACGCGTTCTCTTGCGCGATTCTCCAGGTTGATCCGCAATTGTCAACTGCAACATTGTTTGCACCCCAAGAACATTTTACTCATCCTACCATCGTCTCTGTCATCAGCATTGCGCCGGTGTTGAAGGCTACCTAGGCTGACAAATGTCGGGAACGTCGATTTTGTCCTGTCTAATCTCTAGATCTATCTGCTATGGGGGACGTTCTATCGCCTACCGCTCCTAATGGCGCTCACACTCCTCCCCCAGTAGAAGCAGATCCTCTCAATGTCCTCGAGCACATTGCCAATCTGATCGAAATCACTCTTGGCGCCGCCAGACGAGAACTCGAGGCTGTTGGGAGCCTGCTGTCCAAAGCAGAGCGTGCCGACTCCCTGGATAAATGTGCCAAATTCGCAAGTGATTCGCAAATCACACTATTCGCGCAGAAGGACATCAGAGATGAGCTGGTCAATGGCCATGATGATACACCGAGTCGGTCGGTCCATGGAAGCGCAAAATATATCACTGACGATTTGGCAGAAATCGAGCATGTCTACAGACTATCCGCTGACCTCTCGCCCACGCCAACCACAGTCGCATCGATAGCCCTTCTCAAGTTGTCTGGGCCTCTTGACGCTCGGAAACCACTGGCGCATCAAATACAAGTCTTCAATCTCCCCGGCTCATACGCTGTCGATGGCGAAGCCAATACCAATGCCGAACTCGCCTCCCCTTACACGGTTGTTTATTCGCTTCTACACAATGTCCTCAGTCCGTATTTTGATGCCTACACAAGAACGGGTGGATCCGCGGGTCGCACTTGGTATGATGCGCAAGCCAAGGGTGGAGTGCCTGGTGCAAAGAGAAGGATGAAAGAACTGGAAATAAGTCTCCTGAACCTGCAGCAGAATACCGATATTCCTTTGGTCCACCTGCCCCTGCACGAGGTCGTGGTACATACCCTACAGGATGCGGCTGCCCAAGGGGTGTCACCTTCTGTTCAGCTGATTCCAACTCATGTCCTGGAAAACAGCACGGTACAGAACAGCCTTACCAACTGTGTCAACGGCTGGATCAAGTCAATACAAGCCCTCACAAAGCTTGCCAAAGACCTATCTGGTGCTCAAGCTACTGCTGCGCAGGAGATCAACTTCTGGCTGAATCTGGAGTCTGCCTTGGCTAAGTTGGGGGACGAACTGCAGTCCGATGGCGTCAAGCTGACTATGGAAATCCTGAAGAAAGCAAAACGACAGCAGCAGGTAATAGGATTTGACACCGATACCGGGTTGAAAGAGGCTCGCGATATCGTACACAACTACAATACTCTGATGCGGGACTTCCCACTGGATGAGCTCTCTTCGGCTGGCTCACTGGACAAAGTGGTAGAAGCATTGGACTCTATATTTGGACATCTGAACAAGAAGTGGAGGGTCTGTAACTATCCCATCCGACGGGCACTCAAATTGGTCGAAGGCATCTCTGCGGAACTGAACACCCAAATCCACACTCTGCTCCAAGGGAGGTTGATAATGTCGTCCAGCTTCAAAGACTTCCAAAAGCTGATGGAATCTGTCAATAAAGTATGGGCCACTTGGGATGACAATCTGAAGAGTTTTACTGCAGTCGCGCGTGAGATAACCCGACGGAAGAACAACGATTTTGTTCCCGTGAAAATCAGCTCTCAACATGCTCAAACCCAAGAGCGCCTTCGGTATGTCAATCAATTTCGAAACAATCACGAGCAGCTACTCCAGACCATTGTCAACGTCCTCGGTCCAAAGTCCAGCGCTACTGGCGCAACTGCCTTGGCTGATGAAGGTGGTGCGGCAATCATCGAAGAACTTGGCGATGTGGATGCTGTTGAAGAAGTGTCCGCTGCATACGAAGTCGTCCGGCACGTCAATGTTCTGGATGTGTCCGATGAAGGCACGAGAGTCTGGGTCGATGCAGAAAATCAGTACACCGAGAGAACTTCCCGTGTAGAAGATTCAATCATCGCAAGACTGAGGGACCGCTTAGGCAAGGCAAAGACGGCCAACGAGATGTTCCGGGTCTTCGAAAAGTTCAACGCACTGCTTGTCCGACAGAAAGTACGGAGCGCGATAGCGTCATACCAGGCCCAGCTCTTAGACAATGTCAAGAGTGCGATCGCTGCCCTTCACGAGCGATTCAAGCAACAGTATGGCGGGTCTGAAGCGCAAATGATGGCACAGCTTCGTGACATACCCCCAGTGGCCGGTGCTATCCTGTGGGTGCGTCAGATCGAGTCACAGCTGGATGGCTACATGTCCAAGGTCCAGGCCGTTTTAGGAGAGGACTGGAAGCTGCACACAGACGGAGAGAAGTTGCAAGCCGAAAGTAACATGTTCCGAAAGAGGCTCACGACTCGAGACATCTACGAGGCTTGGTTATATGATGTTCAGTCGAGAGATATCTCGGTGACAGGCCGACTCTTCATCATCACTCGCAGCCGGAGTGCAAACGGTGCCTTGGAGCTCAATGTCAACTTCGACAACCACGCCATATCTCTGTTCAAAGAGGTCAGAAACCTGACCTGGTTGAATTTCCAGATACCGCATCGCATTGCCACGACAGCCAAACAGGCTCAAAGAGTATATCCGTATGCTTTGAGTCTAATGGAAAGCGTTGCTGGGTACTTCTCGACCGTTCGCTCTATCCTAGAAATGCCAAACATGGCACCTTTGATGGCCGGCTATGAGAAGGAGGTACAGATCCTCTTTGCCACTGGCGTGAAGTTACGTTGGGATTCTTTTATCCATTCCTATGAACTACACATCAAAGGCAAGTCTACTTCCAACGACTCGGCGCATGTGCAGTATGTGCGTGATCTGGCCACTGCGGTTGCCGTCCTGCAGAATAAGACGGCAATTATCCGCGAGCTCGACCAGAAGATCCAGCTTGCGCTTTCAGAGATGAAGACATGTCCATACTCGGCTAAGGCATTCCAGACTCAGATGGATGTCATTCAGAATGCCGTGGACAAGATGAATCTGGAAAGCTATGCCAACCTGTCGCAATGGGTTTCCGGACTCAATCTACAGTTGCGGCTCATTTTCCAGGATCGACTAAAGCAGGCTCTGAAGCACTGGACCAACACTTTCACGTCCCTTGACGGACAAGATGGAGATCAGCACCTCATCCCGGCACCAGAGGACGCAATCTACCACGTGTCATTTCCCCAGACAGAAATTGAGATTATGATGAACAACCAGACCATCTTTGTGGATCCGCCTCTACATTCTGTTAAGGCCAGTTGGGTAACTCAACTCGAAGACTGGCTCGATGTCCTCTGTCACCTACCCCAAATTGCTCTTCGATATCAAGTGACGACAGATGCTGGGTCTGCGCAGTCGACGCCCACGTTTAAGGATCTGCCGTTGGAAAATGTAGACACTCTGGTTACGGCTTACAGTGCCATCAATGACAAGGTTGATCAGATGTCTACCTACCTCGATGAATGGTACACATATCAAAACCTTTGGGATCTCCGCAGTGACCACTTGCACGAAACTCTGGGCGATGATCTTGGTCAATGGCATCAGTTGCTACAAGAGGTCCGCCATGCGCGCTCCACTTTTGACACATCTGAAGGCCGAAAGACCATCGGCACTGTTGTCTTTGACTACGAACAGGTTCAGTCAAAGATTACACAGAAGTACGATCAATGGCAAGACGAGATTACGAGAAAATTTGGCGGTATTCTTGGCACCCGGATGGCCGAAGTTTTCAGCGACATGCGACAAGCCCGTCAGGATCTTGAGAATCAATCGCTCGAAGCATCATCGACCGCGCAAGCTGTGGCATTCATTACCACTGTACAACAGTGCCGACGAAATGCTGCCTTATGGGGACCTGAAGTGGAGATATTCCGGCAAGGGCAGACGGCGCTTTCCAGACAGCGATACAACTTCGGCAGCGATTGGCTTTCTGCAACTCAAGTGAGTGACGAATGGGACGCTTTTGAGGAGATCCTCGGCCGGAAAAGCAAAATTGTCCAAGACCAGACGGACGCTTTGCGGTCCAATGTCACCAACGAAGATCGCGCCATCAGTGGCCGGATAGCAGACGTCGTTGCTCAATGGTCAGAAGAGAAACCAGTTTCGGGAACGATTCCACCGGCCGAAGCTGCTGAGGTGTTGCGCACATACCAGACTCGGATGGAAAAGCTGCAAAGCGAAGCTGACACAGTTGCTAGAGCCAAGGAAGCCCTTGCACTGCCCTTGACCAAGGACAATGGACTGGCTTCTGCTCTCGAAGAGGTCGGGGATTTCAAATCAGTATGGTCTGCGCTCTCAACGATATGGCAAAGTATCAATGACCTCCGCGATACACTGTGGACCAGTTTACAGCCACGAAAGCTGCGTCAATCATTGGATGGCTTGGTAAAGATGACCAAAGAAATGCCTAGTCGAATGCGGCAGTATGCGGCCTTTGAGCACGTTCAGAACGTCTTACGGCAATTGATCAAAGCAAACCCCCTTTTGTCTGACCTCAAGTCGGATGCAATTCGAGAGCGACACTGGTTGAAGATTTACAAAGCCCTCAAGCCTAACAAGCGCTATTCAGAAGTATCCATGACGCTCGGAGATGTCTGGGATCTTCAGTTGATCACCAGCGAGTCCACTATTCGCGATATCATCGCCCAGGCTAGAGGAGAGCTGGCTCTTGAAGAGTTCGTCCGACAAGTTCGCGATACTTGGCAGACTTACCCCTTGGACCTGGTCAACTATCAAAACAAGAGTCGACTCATTCGAGGTTGGGACGACCTATTTGCCAAGTGCAGCGAGAACCTCAACTCCTTGCAAGCAATGAGACACTCACCATACTATAAGGAGTTCGAGGAGGAAGCTTCAGCATGGGAGGACAAGCTCAACCGAGTCCACGTTCTGTTCGATGTCTGGATCGGTGTGCAGAGACAATGGGTTTACCTCGAGGGCGTCTTTACCGGCAACAACGATATCAAACACTTACTACCCACTGAGTCGAGCAGATTCTCCAACATCAACACCGAGTTTTCTGCAGTGATGAAGAAAGTCTATAAGTCACCTTTCGTGATGGACGTTCTTGCCATCCCTGGAGTCCAGAAATCACTTGAACGCCTTGCTGAGCTTTTGAGCAAGATTCAAAAGGCTCTAGGAGAATATCTCGAGCGGGAACGTGTCTCATTTCCACGCTTCTACTTTGTCGGAGACGAAGATCTGCTGGAAATCATCGGCAACAGCAACGACAGTACGCGAGTGGCAAAACATTTCAAGAAGATGTTTGCGGGCATATCTGGAGCAGAAGTCAGCGACGATAATACCCTCACAGCCGTCACCTCAAAAGAAGGTGAAAGTGTCAAACTCAAGAGGGAAGTTTCTCTTATCAAGCTGCCAAAGATCAACGACTGGCTGACGGCTCTCGACACCAGTGTTAAGCAGACATTGGCTGAGCTCCTCGCAGAGGCTGTTGCTGCTTTCAGACCACTCTTTACCGCGCCCGAACTCGAGGTCGCGTTGTTTCAAGATTACATGACCATGTTTCCAGCTCAGATCATGATTCTGGCAGCTCAAGTTGTGTGGACTGAGCTTGTACAGGAGGCACTGGAGGCTGCCGGTCAGGGCTTGACAAAACTGCATGAATATGAAGTACGACTGCTAGATTTGCTGGCAGAGAGCGTTCTGCACGATCTCCCGGCCTTGACTCGGAAGAAGTGTGAACACCTCATCACCGAAGCCGTCCATCAACGAGATGTCATCGCAAAATTGATCAAAGCCGAGGCTTCCTCGCCAGGTCATCACCTGTGGATTCTGCAGATGCGTTATGTGTACGATCCCAATGCAGACTTGATGGGTCGACTGCGTATCGAGATGGCCAACGCTGTTCTGGACTATGGCTATGAGTATCTCGGTGTACCTGATCGCCTTGTACGGACGCCACTCACCGATCGTTGTTTCTTGACTTTGACGCAAGCGCTGTGTCAACGATTGGGAGGTTCTCCTTACGGTCCTGCAGGTACTGGTAAGACCGAATCCGTGAAAGCGTTAGGTCTCCAGTTGGGCCGCTTCACTCTGGTCTTCTGTTGTGATGACACTTTTGACTTCCAGGCCATGGGTCGTATCTTCCTCGGGTTGTGTCAGGTCGGTGCTTGGGGTTGTTTCGATGAGTTCAATCGATTAGAAGAGCGAATTCTCTCTGCAGTCTCGCAGCAGATCCAGAATATCCAGATTGGTCTGAAGAACACCACCAACGAGCAAAAGGCGCAAATCGACCTTGTCGGACGCCGCTTCAAGGTCAATCCTAATTCAGGCCTGTTCATCACCATGAACCCTGGTTACGCAGGTCGTTCCAACCTGCCAGACAATCTGAAGAAACTCTTCAGGAGCGTGGCTATGTCCAAGCCAGACAAGGAGCTGATTGCGGAGGTCATGCTTTTCTCTCAGGGTTTCAAACAGGCAAAGCAGATATCGTCTCAGGTGGTGCCCTTTTTCGACCATTGTGCTCAGCGCCTCTCAAAGCAACCTCACTACGACTTCGGGCTGCGAGCCCTGAAGAGTGTGCTCGTCAGTTCAGGAGGGCTCAAAAGAGCACGTATGCAAGCCACCCAAGAATCACTTGACCATGAACGCGACCTCGAACCCCAAATCATCGTTCAGAGTATTCGGGAGACTGTATCTCCGAAGCTCATCAAGCAAGATGTCGAGGCACTCGTCGAAGTCCAAGCTCAAGACTTTCCAGGCGTCGAATATGTTCCGGCCGACATGGAACAGCTCGTGGATGCGATCAAAGAAGTCATGCGAGAAGAACATCTAACCGAGAGCGAGGCATGGATGACCAAAATCTTGCAGCTATACCAGATTCAGAACATTCACCACGGTGTGATGATGGTGGGTCAATCTGCCTCCGGCAAATCCGCAATCTGGAAAGTCCTTCTTCAAGCTCTTCAGAAAGTCGAAGGTGTGGAAGGAGTCCAACACGTGATCGACCCCAAGGTTATGTCGAAAGAAGCTCTCTACGGCAGTCTCGACAGTACCACGAGAGAGTGGACGGATGGATTGTTTACCGCTATATTGCGAAAGGTGGCCGACAACTTGCGCGGTGAAGAAAGTAAACGGCACTGGATTGTTTTCGACGGCGACGTCGATCCGGAATGGGTTGAAAACCTGAACAGTGTGCTCGATGATAACAAACTCCTAACCCTACCGAACGGTGAACGACTAACTCTGCCACCTAATGTACGCATCATGTTCGAAGTGGAGAGTCTGAAGTACGCAACTCTCGCCACAGTCAGTCGTTGTGGTATGGTCTGGTTTTCAGATGATACAGTGAGCACGTCGTTAATGATCGATCATTACTTGCAGAAACTCGCCGGACGGAGTTTCGAGGATCTGGACGACGAGATCAAGGCTTCGGGCTTGGCCAGCAAAGCCCAGGAAACACAGCGCCACATCGTGGAGACGTTGAGGGGCCTGGTCAACCGTGACGACTTCTTGCTTAAGGCTCTATCAGCGGCTACAAAACACAAACACATCATGGAGTTTACAGCAGCCAGAGCTCTTGACAGTGCCTTCAGCCTGTTGGCCAAAGCCTGTCGATCGGTCTTGGAATACAACCTGAACCACCCTGAAATACCTCTGGATCTTGAACAAACTGAGGCCTTTGTCTCGAAGAAACTCCTACTCGCCTCTGTCTGGAGCTTTGTCGGCGATGCGGGCTTGAGCATTCGAAAGGAATTTGGCGATTTCCTCGGCACCATGACAAACGTTGATCTACCCAGCCTTGACAGCTCAACATCCCTGATTGACTACGATGTGAACTTGCCCCATGCGCAATGGATCCTTTGGCAATCTCAAGTTCCTACAATTGATCTCAATACGAACTCGATTACTCAGACTGACGTTATCATCCCTACCATCGATACGGTCCGTCATGAGGACGTTCTGTATTCCTGGCTGTCTGAACACAAACCACTTATGCTGTGCGGTCCACCGGGTTCCGGTAAGACCATGACGCTCTTCAGTGCTCTGCGAAAATTGCCGGATATGGAGGTCGTGGGCCTCAATTTCTCTAGCGCCACTCAACCGGAGCTTGTTATCAAGACCTTCGAGCAGTATTGCGAGTATAAAAAGACTCTGAATGGAATGGTGCTTTCTCCAACGCAACTTGGAAGATGGCTCGTCATCTTCTGCGATGAAATCAACCTTCCAGCTCCTGACAAGTATGGTACTCAACGCGCAATTAGTTTCTTGCGACAGCTTGTGGAACAGAATGGGTTCTGGCGCACTTCAGACAGAGTGTGGGTGTCGCTGGAACGTATTCAGTTCGTTGGCGCCTGCAATCCTCCTGAAGATGTTGGCCGTCATCCTTTGGGTGATCGATTCTTGAGACATGCACCTGTGGTCATGGTCGACTATCCTGGCGAGCTCTCGCTTACCCAAATCTATGGCACTTTCAACAACGCTGTCCTAAAGGTTGTGCCTACTTTGCGAGGCTTTGCCGACGCTCTTACTCAGGCCATGGTGGATTTCTATCTCAAATCTCAAGCACGATTTACCCCTGATATCCAGCCTCACTACGTCTATTCACCCAGAGAACTTACTCGATGGGTTCGTGGCATCTATGAAGCCATTTCTCCACTGGAACACCTCTCCTTGGAGGGCCTCATCCGGATTTGGGCACACGAAGCGCTGCGACTATTTTCCGATCGTCTCGTCGAACCCAGTGAACGAGCTTGGACATCCGATATGGTCAGACAGACTGCTCTGGAGCACTTTCCGACAGCAGATATTGACCAAGCACTTCAAGGCCCTATCCTCTTCTCGAACTGGCTTTCCAAGAACTATATCCCCGTCGAGCAAGAACAGCTACGGGAATTTGTCAAAGCACGTCTCAAGACCTTCTGCGAAGAAGAGGTTGATGTGCCGCTCGTGCTGTTCAATGATGTATTGGAGCATGCTCTGCGCATCGACAGAGTATTCCGACAACCACAAGGTCATCTCATTCTCATCGGCACAAGTGGTAGCGGGAAGACCACGTTGTCGAGATTTGTTGCTTGGATGAATGGGTTGAGTATCTTCCAGATCAAAGTGCATGGCAAGTACTCGGCAGAAGACTTCGACGACGACCTCCGAGGTGTTTTAAGGGCATGCGGTACTCGGGGCCAAAAGATCTGCTTCATCATGGACGAGTCGAATGTGCTAGACTCTGGATTCCTTGAGCGGATGAACACACTGCTTGCGAACGGAGAAGTCCCCGGCTTATTCGAAGGCGATGAGTATTCTGCTCTGATGACTGCGTGCAAGGAAGGGGCCCAGCGGCAGGGGCAACTTATCGACTCCCAAGAAGAACTCTACAAGTGGTTTACCAAGGAGATTGTCAAGAACTTGCATGTTGTCTTCACCATGAACCCGCCACAGGATGGTCTGTCATCGAAGGCCGCTACCAGTCCAGCATTGTTCAATCGTTGCGTGCTCAACTGGATGGGCGACTGGTCAGATCAAGCTCTTTTCCAGGTTGGATATGAACTCACCCAGTCGATCGATCTCGACAAGCCAAATTTCACTGCGCCTGACAGCATTCCTCTGGCATATCGCGACCTAGCGCTTCCCGCTTCTCACCGTGATACGATTATCAATGCCATGGTGCATATTCACTATTCCATCCAGAAGACCAATGAACGCCTGGAGCAACAGCAAGGTATTGTCACATATCTCACACCTCGACATTACCTGGACTTCGTGACGCAATTTGGCAAGCTCTTTAGAGAAAAGAGAGAAGACTTGGAAGAACAGCAGCGCCATCTCAATGTTGGTCTTGAAAAGCTTCGGGACACGGTGGACAAGGTCCGTGATCTTCGAGCAAGCCTCGACCAGAAGAAACAGCAACTAGAATTGAAAGATGCTGAGGCAAACGAGAAGCTACAGCGTATGGTGGCTGACCAGCAAGAAGCCGAGCAGAGAAAAACTTCTTCCCTCGAAGTACAAACTGCCCTCGAAGAGCAAGAAAAGGAGATTGCCAGCCGAAAGGAGATTGTGCTCAATGACCTGGCCAAAGCTGAACCAGCTGTCATCGAAGCTCAACGCAGTGTCAGCAACATCAAGCGACAACATCTTACTGAGGTCCGATCGATGGCCAATCCACCTGCCGGTGTCAAACTCGCTCTCGAATCGGTCTGTACTTTGCTCGGCCACAAGGTAGACAGCTGGAAGAGCATTCAAGCTGTTGTGCGCAAAGACGATTTCATTGCAAACATTGTCAACTATGACAATGAAGAGCACATGACACCACCGTTGAGACAGAAGATGCGCCATGACTATCTGTCCAATGATGACTTTACTTTTGAGAAAGTCAATCGTGCAAGCAAGGCATGCGGACCTTTGGTACAATGGGTCGAGGCTCAAGTCAATTATTCCGAGATCCTCGATCGAGTCGGCCCCTTGCGTGCTGAGGTTGAGCAGCTGGAAGAAAAGGCTCTGGATACGAAAGCAAATGCTAAAGCCATTGAGAACACCATCACCAAACTTGAGAAGAGCATTGCAACTTACAAGACCGAGTACGCGGCCCTGATTAGCGAGACCCAAGCAATCAAGAGCGAAATGGCTCGAGTGCAAACGAAAGTGGATCGAAGTCTACGACTCCTGGACAGTCTGTCTTCTGAACGTGTCCGGTGGGAAGCTGCCAGCAGATCATTTGAGACGCAAATCCAGACCTTAGTGGGAGACGTATTGATAGCATCAGCGTTCCTGGCTTACGCAGGTCTCTATGATCAGCAGTTCAGAAAGACCATGGTGGACGATTGGCTGCACCATATGTCCCTATCCGGTGTTTCTTGCAAGAATGATGGTTCCGTCCTTGGCTACCTTTCGTCAGCAGACGAGCGCCTTCAGTGGCAGCGTCATTCGCTTCCCGCTGATGACTTGTGCATGGAGAACGCAATCATGCTGAAGCGCTTCAACAGATACCCTTTGATCATCGACCCGCCTGGTAGGGTGACCGAGTTCTTGAAGCAGGAACATCAAGGCCGCAAGTTGACAGTCACTAGCTTCCTGGATGATGCCTTCACCAAACAGCTTGAGAGCGCTTTACGCTTCGGCAACCCGATCTTGATACAAGATGCGGAGTATTTGGATCCAATCTTGACCCATGTCCTCAACAAGGAGTATCAGAAGACTGGCGGACGAGTGCTCATCCAATTGGGCAAACAGGAGATCGACTTCTCCGAGCACTTCCAGCTCTACCTGTCTACTCGGGACCCCTCGGCAGCGTTCGCCCCCGACGTTTGCAGCAGAACAACATTCATCAACTTTACGGTCACTCGTAGCAGCTTGCAGACTCAGTCACTCAATGACGTCCTCAAGGCCGAGCGGCCTGACGTTGACAAGCGACGAACAAACTTGGTCAAGATGCAAGGCGAATTCGACACCAATCTGCGACAGCTTGAGAAGAGACTCTTGCAAGCGTTGAACGAGTCTCGCGGCAATATCCTTGATGACGACAATGTTATCCAGACGCTCGAGACTCTGAAGAAGGAAGCTGCCGTCATCACAAAGAAGGTTGCCGAGACGGAAGGCGTCATGGCAGAAGTCGAACGAATCACTCAAGGGTACAGTCGCATCGCCAATGCTTGCAGCGCCATCTTCGCTTTGCTGGAACAACTCCACCACCTCAACCACGGCTATCGATTTTCGTTGCAGTACTTCATCGATATCTTCAACTCTGTGCTGCATCACAATCCCCATCTGGCGAACAAGACCAACCATGAAGAACGAGGAGAGATCATTCTCAAGGATATTTTTGTGGAGACGTACCGGAGAACTTCCTTGTCTCTGCTGCAGAAGGATCGTATTGCCCTTGCAATGCTTCTTGTTCGAGCATCACCTTACAAGTTTGATCGATCTGTGATGGAGCTCATCCTTGAAAGCCGACCCCAATCGCCCGCCACCATGGCAGCTGATACCACCGCCACTGAGGAAGCTATTTTGGCTGCTGTCAAGAAAATCCCGGTTTTTAATCATTACATGATTGACGCATCTGGCCCCGCTTGGAAACGATTCCTTTCTGCTGAGCGTGCTGAGCATTACGTGCCTATGATCTGGGATGAGACTGACAATGCGAGCGATCAGAGTCTCTACGAGCTCTTTCTCATCAAGCTGGCAAGACCTGACCGATTCCTGCCGGCAGCCGAAAAGCTGGTAATGAGTGTGTTCGGCCCAGAGATTTTCCAAGGCTCAGATGACCTGGGGACCATTGTGGAGCAAGTCACCTCTTCTGTCCCGATCGCTCTTTGCTCGAATCCGGGATTTGACGCAAGCTACAAGGTTGATGCACTGGTGGAGAAGCAAAACGCAAGCTGTGCCAACGTTGCTATGGGTTCTGAGGAGGGTGTGGCGAGCGCCGACAAAGCTATCACCAGTGCCGCCGCCAATGGAGCGTGGGTACTGATCAAGAACGTTCACCTCGCACCACAATGGCTGCAGAGCCTTGAGAAACGTCTTTCGGCTCTGAGGCCACATTCCGACTTCCGACTGTTCTTGTCAATGGAGTCCAGCCCGAAGATACCTGTCAATCTCATTCGAGCATCAAGAACGTTGGTCTACGAACAGCCTGCTGGCATGAGAGCAAACATGAAAGATACCTTGACAGTGCTGTCTGACAGAGGCACGAGAACGCCAGTGGAGAAAGGCAGACTTTACCTTCTTCTCTGCTTTCTACATGCCATCCTGCAGGAACGGATGCGATATGCACCAACACTTGGATGGAAAGGTCTTTGGGAGTTCAACGACAGTGACTATGAATGTTGCTCGTTCATCATTGATACCTGGGTCGACGCGATTGCACAAGGACGATCGAACATCGCCCCTGTCAAATTGCCATGGGACCTGATCCGTACATTGATCACTGAAATGTACGGTGGCAAGATCGATGATGAAGGGGACTTCTCTTTGCTCAACAACATCGTGAATAAGGTGTTCGACCCTGCTGCGTATGAAAGCGAGCACGAACTGGTATCGGATGGTGAAGGTCAGGCTCTCAAGGTTCCACAAGGGACTACGATTCGAGACTTCTTGGGTTGGGTGGATCGACTTCCAGAGCGAGAACCACCTGCATACTTGGGCTTGCCTGCCGATGCGGAGAGGTTACTGTTGATGGGTCAAGGACGGGAGACTATCAGCAATTTGGCGCGGATTACGGATCTGCTGGAGGAAGGAGAACAAGCTGTGACGCCGCCGGGATCACATGCTTGAAGCTGGAAGTGGTCAAACATGGCCAACAAGAGCTGATTGGAGTTTTCTGGATGTCATCATGGGTTCGAGCGCGTTGGAGTCTGCGCACAGTTTATTCCTTCATGAAGATGGAGCGTCGGTTGCTCAATGCGATACAGTATGTACAGAGCGTGGCGTTGGGGTTGGGTTGGGTTGGACTTGAAAGGGTCGAGGAGAGCAAAGTGCTTCATATACCCATTCTGTGCGTCCGTCTCGTCTTTTAGATTACGACTGGGCCCTTGGCCTGTTGTTTAGATACTTCAGTATGAATCCGTATACTTCAACCCTTCCTGAGTCCTTGTATAGCAAAAGGCACAAAGGGGGTGAAAGGGGCGGTGAGTTCACGTGACCCGAACAGAGCCCCGGCTAAGTTTCCTCATGTTATTCCTCCAACTTCGCGCGACGACGACAGATGAAGCCGCCAGGTGTCCACGCCGCTTAATAGCTGATATATCTACACCGAACTTAGGGGCTTGTCGAATGTCCTTCTCTGCTCTTGAAGTTTCAGCATAGCAGAGGACTGAACCCCTAGGCCGTACCACCAGTCAAGATGCACATTACCACTCGGTAACGCAAGCCAATCCTTCACTCCCTCTCCGCATCCTACGATCCGCCTGCCATGGCCACACCGGACAGCCTTGACAATGCAGCGCAGAGTGCAGATGCTTCTCGTCCTCATGTCTCTATCCCGCAGTTTGACAATTCTCCGATACCAGATCTTACGCCCGCTCAAGTCAACATACCATTCGACATTACACCAGCAATTGCAATCGATCCCATTGCTCTCATTACCACGGAATGTATAACAATTACCTCTGCCATGCGCAAACATGCGCGCTGGGCTCAATCTTCTGTGTCGACAATCCTGGGCGGTGGTGCTTCGAGGCTACAAGATTCGGAACTGCGTCGGTCTTCGTCACAAAGTCGGCGAGGAACACCCGTGATAGCAGACCCAGGCAGGGCAAGATTAAACGTCAATAATGCTTCAGATGATGAGAATGCCAGTCTGGCTAGTCGATGGGGACTACGCGGAAAGAAAGGAAAGAGCATGCAGGACAACCCTCTCCTCACAGCCTTCTCTCGGTTGAGGAGAGATCTGGCCGGATGTAGAGACGTGCGCAGTGTGGACGCTCCTGAGCTTCTGCATCCTTTCTTGCAGGTCATACGCAGCTCCTCCACCAGTGCTGCTATTACCAGTCTGGCTGTCATCTCGATCACGAAGTTCTTTGCCTACAACATCATCACCATCAAGAGTCCAAGAATCGGCCCGGCAATGCACCTCCTCAGCGCAGCGATCACCCATTGTCGATTCGAAGCTAGTGACACGGCAGCGGATGAGGTCGTTCTGCTCAGGATATTGCGGCTAATGGAGAACATCATTTCCAGGCCAGAGGGTCAATTACTGGGTGATGAGAGTATCTGCGAAATGATGAGCACTGGCTTGAGTATGTGCTGTCAGGCGCGACTGTCAGAAGTCCTGAGGAGGTCGGCTGAAATAGCAATGGTCACCATGTGCCAAGTCGTCTTCAGCAGGCTAAAGTACTTGAAGGTGGAAGAACTATCAAAGAGCAGGAGCCGCTCGAATACCAAGACGACTCTGACGAGCGCAGCTGAAGATTTGAAGATCGAGCCGCCAATGACTGGGAGTGTCATGGGAAACGGAGAGACGGACCGTCCAAGCATCGACACTGATCCACGACCCAGCTCTGAGCAGGCCTCTGAAGCCAAGGCTTCAAGGGTGGAACCGAAGAATACCACAGCACCGAGCAAAGAAGATGGGGATGAAAACGTCGAACCATACGCTTTACCTTCCATCAAGGAACTTTTCCGTGTCTTGATCGACCTCCTTGACCCGCATGACAGAACACATACTGATCCCATGCGTATCATGGCCTTGAGGATCATCGATGTTGCATTGGAAGTCTCCGGCCCTTGGATCGCTAAGCAACCCATTCTCGCAGGCCTTGTCCAAGATGATCTGTGTCGACATCTGTTTCAGCTTGTCCGCTCCGACAATATGGTCCTCTTGAACAGCTCTCTCCGCGTTGCAGGCACATTGTTGGCTACTTGCCGGCAATTACTGAAACTGCAGCAAGAATTGTTTTTGTCCTATCTTGTAGCGTGCCTGCATCCTCGCGTCGATATACCACAAGAGCCAGGAATTGATCCTTCACTCTACGAAGGCGTGCCACAAGCCCCGAAACTGGTCAGGCCAGCTCCCTCACAGCCCAACAGTGGTCGGTCGACCCCCGTGCCGATCAAGGATAGGCAGAGATTGGGACTTGAGGGCGGTGCCAGACGGCCAGAAGCGCGAGAAGCAATGGTCGAGGCCATCGGAACCTTGGTACGCATGCCCACCTTCATGGTGGAATTGTTCGTCAATTACGACTGCGAGGTTGACAGGCAAGACCTCTGTGAAGACATGGTTGGACTGTTATCTCGAAATGCATTCCCGGATTCGGCAACCTGGAGTACGACCAATGTGCCACCTCTGTGTTTGGATTCCTTGCTGAGTTTTGTCCAATTCATGGCCGAGAGAGTCCGCCAAGGAAGACCTTCGGATGCTGAGGAACGCATAGAAAAGATCAGGTTGCAACGGGTGAGGAAGAAGATCATCAAAAGTGGCGCTTCCAAGTTCAATGATGATGCAAAGGCGGGTATTGCTTACCTTGTGAGAAATGGCATTATCGACAATCCTGACGATCCGGTACAAGTTGCACAATTTCTCAAAGGGACATCGCACGTCTCAAAAAAGATGCTTGGTGACTTTCTGACGAAGAAGAACAATGAACGTCTATTGACTGCTTTTATCGGTCTGTTCGATTTCAAGGACAAACGGATCGACGAAGCACTTCGAGAAATCCTCGGCTCCTTCCGCCTGCCAGGTGAATCTCCCTTGATTGAGCGGATTGTCAACATTTTTACAGAAAGATATTGCTCCACGGTTAATCCAGAGGAGATTGCGGACAAGGACGCCGCATTCATTCTCACCTATGCCATCATTATGCTCAATACCGAGCTGTACAACCCTAATATTAAGTCACAAAAGAGGATGGCAGTCGAAGACTTCTCGAAGAATTTGAGGGGGGTCAATTCTGGGAAAGACTTTGCCCCGGAATTTTTGCAAGACATTTACGACGCGATCAAGCAGAATGAGATTATTCTCCCTGACGAACACGACAACAAACATGCCTTTGAGTACGCATGGAAGGAATTGTTGCTGAAAACCGGTGATGCTGGGTCACTCGAGTTGTGCAATACAAATGCATTTGATGCAGAGATGTTCAAAGCGACTTGGAAACCCATAGTTGCGACTCTCTGCTACGTCTTCATGTCAGCGTCCGATGACGCCGTCTTTTCTCGCGTCGTGGTTGGATTTGACCAATGCGCACAAATCGCAGCCGAGTACGGCATTACAGAGGCATTCGATCGCATAATCTACAGTATCAGCCAGATTAGTGGCTTGGCCGCAGAGATACCTCCCAGCACAACCTTGAACACCGAGGTTCAGGTCGGGAAGAAGAGCATCATGGTTAGCGAGATGGCTGTCAGGCTCGGAAGAGATTTTAGGGCTCAGTTATCGACCGTCCTACTGTTCCGTATCTTGTCGGGGCATGAGAACGCTATTGGTGACACGTGGATATATGTCGTGCGGATTCTAAGGAATCTTTTTGTCAATTCTCTCATCACAATTCCCACCATCGAAGGGACGAAATTTGCTAATTTGGGTCCTATTCCTCTGCAAACACCATCGCAAGTCATCGACCGCGACGGGCGACTCGGCGACAGTGGCATCTTCTCAACATTTACATCTTATCTTTCGAGCTACGCTGCCGATGATCCCCCTGAACCTTCAGAGGAGGAATTGGAAAATACCCTGAGCTCGGTTGATTGTGTGAAAGCCTGCCAACCGGATCTGGTGCTCAGACACATGGCTTCGCTTTCCCCGGCTCAGATCAAGAGTTTAGTGTCTGCCTTGCTGTCACAGATGGAAGAATCTTCACCAGTGGTAACCGTCAAACCCGAGCGCCCTCTTCCAGTCACCGCAAGAGTCAACGGTCACCGCATGCCAAAGGCTGGGTCAGAGTATGACGCGGGGACCGTTTTCCTCCTGGAATTGGCGACCATGCTCACTTTGAGGGATAACGAGACGATCGCCGCAGCTGGTGAAGCTTTGACTGGAACACTCGAGAATGCAGTTAGAGATGCGTCGAATATCCATCCACTGGCGCTGACAAGAATCATACACTACCTTCTCGAGTTGCTACGGTATAGCTATGTAAGTTGCCCTGCCGCCGAACGAGTCAACGTGCTAATGATCTTCACAGACTTACGATTTTATGCGCGCTCCCGTCGTTCTGCACGCCATTTCTAGCTTCGATGACACTGTCCTGGACCGTACGGCTCCAGTAATCACGAAAGGACTAGCCAGCTGCATCGCTATTCCTGGAGCTTTGACCAATGAAGTCACAAAATCCCCCGATTTCTGGTCTACGCTGCAACGACTACATCAGCACAAGACGGAAGCTGAAAAGGTCTTCGCCATCCTTACAACGCTGGCAACATCCAATCCAACAACTGTGACAGCTGACAACTTTGAATCGGCCATCGCACTCGCGAACGACTTTGCTGCTGCGGGCGCTATTGGATCAATTCAAGAGAAGCGCAAGGATTTTGCAGCCAAGCGAGGTCATCAGGCGAAGCCGGCACGCGACGAAGAGATTGCGGTAGTGCAGCGGGCGATCAAGGCTGTCAGCCTAATATACCAGCTCAGTGATCGTATACCTGGCCTCATTGCCCAGTCACATCTTGAGCGCAACGAAGCCTGGGCGGCATATTGGTCGCCCATATTCCGGGGTTTGTGTACGCAATGCGTCAATCCCTGTCGTGAGGTCCGGCATCGCGCGCTCTCGGCATTGCAGCGCACCTTACTCTCGGAAAGCGTGGCAGACAGAGAACAACATACGGAGTGGACAGCCATATTCGATGAAGTGCTCTTCCCGATGACGCTGAAGCTCTTGAAGCCGGAGATCTATCAAGTCGACCCCTTTGGCATGAACGACACGCGGGCTCACGCTGCTAGCCTACTGTGCAAGATCTTTCTACGATATCTCGACCGGCTTGTCGAAGTTGGACGAATGAAAGATGTTTGGATGAAAGTGTTGGAGTTGCTTGATCGACTCATGAATGCCGGCGCAGAAGGCGATGCCCTGGCCGAAGCTGTACTTGAGGGCGTCAAGAATGTTCTGCTCGTCATGGATGGGACGGGATATCTAGCAAGAGACGAAGCTACAGCAGTGCCTGAATCGCATATACCAGTGCCAACAGAAGGCGATGGAGCAGCTGAAGAAGCTGTCGATGCAGGTGAGAAGCAGAAAGCGAAATCGGAGGATATGCAGATCTGGCCCGAAACGGTCAGACGCTTGGATAGGTTCCTTCCGGGTCTCGTGCAGGAGCTCTTTCCTCCGCCACCTGACCCTCCCCAGGCCAGGAAGGCGGAGAGTGAGAGTCACAACAAGGTGGACGCTACAAGCTAGGCACGAGGAGAGGCGGATGGCTTTAAAGGAAGTGGAAAGATCCGCTGTCCACGAGGTCTTTCAACCTGATAATCGAAATAAGAAGTCTTTCTAACGTTCTCGGGACATTCATTTCTCGACTCTGTTTGTCTGGTCATATCACATCCTTGGCCCATTCTTTTGATGCCTCGAAAACTATGGCCTAGGTTGATACTTAGTCAGTCGCCTTCTCCTGAATTTCGTCCTCGTGCTTTTCCGTGCCGTTCACGCCCTTCACGCCCTTCTGCGCACAGTCACAACCCCATTCCTTTCGGAACTCATCAACCTTCAGTTTGCCCAGAATCTTCAAAGCAGACTTGCTCGCTCGGACCTTGGCATACTTCGCTCCCTGCCCTTTACTTGCCGACACGATCCGACCGTGCACGAACCAGGCGACGTGGACGGTGACACCGCCGACTGACTGATCACCTGCACCATCGTCACCTTCTTCACGATCTCCAGTTGTTGTCGGCGCCGAGACCACTCCTTCGATGATCTCGGGCGAGCTCTTATGGCATCGAAACTCTTCTCTGAGGAGGCGGAACAAGTGAGTAGTCGGGTGTCGATTTGCAAAGGTGTCGTAGGCTTCAATGTCCTCGAAGAACCATTTCACATGCTTCTCGAAGAAATTCTCAATCTCGACGAAGTTGAATCCCGAATCCAGAAGCACGGCGCCCAGATAACTCTCGACCAGATCGGCCAATGCTTTGGGCGGAGCGCAGCCCGAGCCAATACGAGTCCAGAAGTCACGCTTGACACCTTCCTGCTCATAGATTTCTTGCACTTTGGCCGCGTAGTTTCCGATTTCCTCGTAGAGAGCGGGCGTGGTGGCGTAGATGAGTCTGTGGAAGCCGAGCACCACCGCCAGCGCGGCGAGGAACTTGTTCGACACCATGGCCATTTTATGCTCGGTCAGCCACTGTGGATCGCGAGTCGGATTGGTCGAGAAGAGCCACCAGATACAAACCCAGTCGAGGCAGGCGTCACCCAGAAATTCGAGGCGCTGCAAGTCAGGAACCGGCGAGTTCTGGTCCGACGAGTGGGTGAATGCTGAACGCACCAAGCGTGGGTGTCTGAATGTGTAGCCAGTGATCTGTTCGATCTTGTTCGCAAGATCAGAGGCCACGGGGTCGTTGGTCTGTAGGCTCCATGCTGGAGGATTGTACATTGGGGCAATCTCCTTCCAGGAAGTGAGGGCGTGATCAGGGTCGTCCACCAGCTTGGTGATGGCACGAATACCAAGATCGAACTTCTGTTCCGTCGGTAAATGCTGGCTAGTCATGATACAGGCCCCAATGGTCGCCTCGCAAACGTCGGCAATCGTCTTCTTTCCTAATGCATGCTGCTTGTGTTTCAGGTCCAGCTTGAGCCGTCGCTGATTGCCTCCTGTCTGCTTCAAGAATTCAGGATACCATGTGGTCTGCCAGTGAGGGTCAGACGATGCACGGATGTAGCGGAAGAGCTCGTAGTGTGGTGCAGACGCGGTCGTGCATAGACGGCTGTTTGAGAGCAGACCCATGCGCCTGCAGTGCATTCCCTCCTCGTTGCAGGTAGTACGGTTGAAGACGGCGATGGTTGTCATCATCTTGAGAAGTGAATCGCCAATGAATTCCAAACGCTCGTAGTTCAGAGCCGCTTTCTGTACGGCGGCGCGAGACGCATCGTTGCCATCCAATTCAGAATGCACATCTCCAATTGCGGCATCTGCGCTGCTTCCCTGGGTGAATGCTTCAAGAGCCAGATCAAGGGGCACTTCGGTCAAGTCGAGCTTGATGTATGCTTCACGCACAATCAGATAGGACTCCAATCTGTGCAGGATTGAGGGCCACAATACACAAAATGCCGCCACATCAGGCGACACTCGAGCGAGCTCCAATGGCTGAGGCGCGATATAGCACGTAGCGAAGCGTTGTTCTTCCGGAGGACATTCCTTCAGATAATTCCTGCCCGCCAGGACTACCTTGGCTTTCAAGACGGGCTGGTGTGGATCGTATCTGCTCGCGAAGGTGTTCGGATCTTTACGGTACTTCCCATAAGTGCTATCGGTGAAGCCAATGATCGTGTCCTTGTGTCTCTTCTGGAGATTGATTGCAATTTCTGGCGGCGCGTCCCAAATTGATTTCTCGGGCTCGATGTTCTCTGTGAAGTAACGGAACTTTCCGCTACCAGGATCGACAAGAAATGCATTGCACCATGCGCTTGTGTTCCTGGGCGCATCCTCTGGATCCGTGATAGACACCCAACGTCTGCGTTCGGCGTTCCCAACAAGCAAGAGTTCTTCCATATTGACAATAGTCTCGAATGAGTCTCGCAAGGGTCCCTTTGCCGGAGGGCTCAGCCAGTAGCTCATAGACTTAGGATCCGAGGCAAAGGTCTTGTGGAACACATCACTGAACACTCCGTTGAGGGTGAACTTCGTCAAAGCATCGATCTGCTCTTCTGTGACGGTTACCGGTTGCGACATCTGGATGCAAGTGACCTGTCTTTCCACATTGTCATCCACATAGACGGGAAAACTTGGAAGCTGCGGCAAAAGTGAGCGTGTGAAGAGTAGCAAGCTATTCGTCGCCGTCGAGCTCGATGAAGGTCCAAGGACAACTTGAGTGACGAATAGTCGGATTGGTAGATTTGTCGAGTCCGCACCGCCCTCCAGCCAAAAGTCGGGCTTCAGTTTTTTCTCGTAATTGTCCTTCTTCTCCGATACTGCGATGCGAGCGTTCAGATTGGCCGGCTTGACTTTCACAAAGATACTATCGAGATTCGCGTCAAGAAGTTCTGCTCTGCGCAGTTTGAAACAGCAGTGCCAGGCAGCGGAGCGCCTAGCTAAGACCTTGTTCGTTCGTGCATCCCCTAGAGCACCCTTGACTTTGGCAGTACGTGGATCTTCAGTTGCTGGCAGTATGACCTTGTATCTAAACATGTTTGCTTCGGGGTCGATGATTTCTTCGTAGACTTCCGCCGAAGCCGCACCGATTCTCTTCAAGGACTCCGCATATCTTGTCAGAAGCAGCAGAGAGTTGCTATAGCTTGCAATGACTCCAGTGGCAGTCTCAAAGCTCTGGCAACTCGCATCTCTAGCGAGGAGCTGTTTGAGCTTCGAACCTTGACCCAGCAGACGGTCTGGGGGAAGGTCCTGGCAGAATCTTCTGATGTAATCGTCCATCTGAATGGCATAGTCGACCTTGGACATATCCTTCTGGTTGCCTTCCTCGATCATATGCGCGTAAATCGAGTTCTTCATCCGAGCTCTCCCTCGACTCTGCATGTACTGAATTGGAGTCTCATACAGGTCGAAGCGGACAACCAGATTACATTGTGGAATATCAATGCCTTCCTCAGCAACACTGGTAGCGAAAATGAGATTGATCCTTCCTGACCGGAACTTTTCCATGACGGTCTCTTGGTCCCTCCATGGACTTGACTCTGCACTGGCCTGGCCTACGCCAACGAGGACTCCCGGTCTGAGATTGGTGAGTTGCAACATTTCGAATAGATCGCAAAGGATGAATGCTGTAAATTTCTGTTCGACGAAGACTATTCCTCGCGCGGCCAGCGACCCCGAAAATCGCTTCTTGAGCTCCATGAGTAGATATTTCACTTTAGGTGATAATTCTTGATCCGCGCCATCACCTGGAGGACCAAAACGGTACCCCTTGACGAGAGAGATGGCCCGCTGGACAGAATCCAATGCTGCTTTTCGTCGGCTATTGCCAGGCTCCTCGATGTAGGTTCTGCTACGTTCAAATTGCTTGATGACGGCTGTGGCTTCGTGATTCGACGTCGGAAGACCGTATTTCCAGACTCTGTCAGCTGCCCAGGTACCGAGTTCCCTCGCCGCATATCTAGAAAAGGTGAAGTACTTTTTCAAATCCTCAATGAAGCCACAAAGAGGACGCAGTTGAGCACTCAGCTCCGTGTCAAATCCTGCATGCAGCGGAGGATACGTCCAGAAGTCATCTGTTGCCCTCGGTGCAAACTCAAAGACCGAGGCGTCTTTGGTAGTAATCACCTTGCTCTGCAAGAGGGCCTCCAGATCGTTGACAACTTGGACAATGTCTCGCTTGGAATCAACTGGAGAAGCAGTCATTCCAAATATGCGAGGTTTGTCCCCACTCCATTTCAGATAGTAGTCCCGAATGATCCTGGAGTATGGATGATTCTTCTTGCAGTGGTGGGCCTCGTCAAAGATGAGCAGTGAAATTTGTCCCATGGTCAAGAAGGAGTGCATGAGACATTGATCAAGGACGGCAGCTGTGCAAACTACGACGCTGTTGTTGGCAAAGATGTTGTCCCAATCAGCTCTTCTCCACAGATCCTCGTTGGCTTCGCCAAACAGTTCCCTTACATTCTGCGGTAGATTGTTGTTGAGGAACCGGGTTTGCTGTCGGGCGAGATGGACACTGTTGACGAGGAAGAAGACAATCTTTCCTGGTTTGCCATTGCTCCGGTCGATCAATTCTTGCTGCAGAAAGTGTCTGATCAGTAAAGCTGCAATGAGGGTTTTACCACTTCCAGTGTCGAGGACGGCAATGACATTCTCGTCTCTGGCACGTTCGAAGAGTTCTTGCTGATACTCGCGGGCCTGATCGATGATACTGTCAGACTCTTTGTTCTTGGTTTGCCCAGGGGATGATGCGCGCCGTTCGTTGGCGGCGGCGGTCTTCAGCACGTAGTCATTGAGGGTGGCTTTATTAGCATCTCGATCCGACTCCGCCGTGGCTTCCGAGGTTTGAGATCCGTCTTGACTTTCGTCGTTTGACTCGGTGAGATAGTCTGCCTCATCGTGACCGAGATCGGTTGGCTCTTGAAAACCTGGCTCGCTGAAGGCCGTCTGAGTAACGAGCGTGTTCGCTACTGCGGCGGGTACAGTTCCATCCATAGCGTTGTGAGGGGTCTCGAAGAAGGGAGCCTCACATAAGATCAATGTCAAGATTGAAAAGGATGGAAGTGCAAGAGAGAGGTCTTTATGAAGTGGTGTCGGCAGTGAAGCAAACGATCCATTTCACTTTAGACCGCATAGTAGGAGGTAGACAGAACTGCATCTAGACGATCGCGGCTTGCCGATGCCCATCTCGCTCATTGACTTGGACCCGTGACAATAGGGACCTCATCTGCTTCCTGCATGTCAGAAGAAGGTGATGAGGCCAGAGGCTGTTGGAGGGGAAGTCAGTATGGAAGATTTCTTTTCGGGTGTACTGCTGTCTCATAGGTAAATCGTGCAAGTTGGCGCTAGGGTGCCATTCGACGACAAACAGCAGCGAGGACAGTTTGTGTGACAGGAGATCCTCTTGTTCAATGCGAGGGCCGATTGCTGTTTCGACAATTCAAGCGGCAGCTGTTTGTATTTACGAGACTGTAGTAATGTAACTCATGTTTGCTTGGGGCTTGTTAAGCTCTAGCTTAGGGTACCTACCCACGCTGCCTACCTACCTAGGTAAGTTACGGAGCACCTACCCGTCGCCTAAGGAGCTGATCGCCAGGGGTCCGTTTAACGAGGAATTCAGCCATTGGGCTCCCGAACAGGCCCCAAGCGGGTACCTAGCTACATTATGTCATTATTCCACGCCCGCGGCTCGTTTGGCCTTGTCGAGATGCGGTACGGAGTACCTCTCCCTTGAATCCTCATCGCCAGCCATCTCTGCACCCTAGCGACGATGAGGACATCAATCGTGGCATGCTGTCTGCTTTTCGCTCTCGCCAGCGCCCATGGCTCGCACCCACAGGAAGAGACGGTCAAGCCAGAAGATGACTGGGCTCTGTACCACATGCAGGAAGAACACCGTACGCCGCAAGCCTACCTTCCTAGCACCTAGCCTAGGTATTCGATCGAGCACTCCCTTATCTGACCAAACTTGTCTTAGACATCTCAAACTTCGACCCTTCGTCGTTCTTTTCCCTTCACGACTTCAACAATGACGGTGTCTGGACTCCTGACGAGGTCCGACGGACGTACGGGCTAGACGACGAATCTCTCAAGTCCACCGCGGCCGATGTCAAAGACAAAGCCGTCCTCAACGCCTTCAAGATCTTCGATACTGCCAACAGTGGTGTAATCACGCGCGACCAATGGCTCAACGGCGTGCGCGCGGGCAAGAAGCTGCCCGATTCCGGGCTGGGACCGGGCCACCACGGCGATGATGAATATGAATACGAAATCCACCATTTCGAGAAATACCACGACGAGAACACGAAGGAGGAGGACTTGATACACCCAGAAGACATCGAACATTTCAGGAAACACGATATGATGGAAGACGAGGCGGAGCGGGTGTTGCGGGAACAACAGCAAAACATTGTCGAGAAGAACATCCCGATGAAGTTCAGAAAGCAACAATAATGGTGACGACCGCAAGAGACATTTTCAGAAGGCACGAGATCATGTACGATTACCGGTAGAAAGCTGAAAGACACGAATTTCATCCATTGGGTTTGATCTGAATATCATAGACACAGTGCATCACTCCCGGTGCGTACGTCTTGACCTGCTGAACATGATCCGAAGAGACAGACCATCCTTCTCGGCTCGGGAATTCGACCTGTACAAGACGGTGAATATCGCGGACGATCTGTCTCGCCATATTGTCAATATCCCGAACATCGACGTTCTCATGGACGTGCATCCAACCATCCTTCCCTTTCCCACCGCTGCCCCTGAGGCCGACGATGGCTTTCGCAGCATTGTCCCAGCTGCCTCTCGACGTGGGCAGCAATCCGAGGTTCGCATGTCTGACATTGAACTCCATTCCTGCTTCTTGAAACTCCCTCATGACCTTGTCCGCCCATTTGTTATCCCCCAAGAAGGCAATACACTTTACCTCCCTCTGCCGCCCTTCTTCTTGACCCCCCGGTGGAAGCCTGGTGAGCCCTTTATCGCCCTCCTGAATCCCGCGAACAACATCGGCCACATCCTGCCCGACCAGATTTCCCTGATCGTCGACCTTGACCACCAAGCTACCCCATCCGTTTCGCTCGCAGCCTCTTCTCAGTCCCTCGATGCTCCATGGATTGATGTCCCATCCCCAGACCCGCCGCACACCTTTGGCCAGGTAGCAGAAGGCAAAGTATCCAATTCCCACATAGAAGTCCACGACATCGATCGACTCGACAGGTTCGCATAGCTCATTGACCGTCAGGCCAGGAAATTGGGAGGCCGTGTTGAAACGACCTTGAGGACAAAGCCCAAGAATCCTCGCCTTCTCGGATATATTTCCCCGACTGAACATGGTATACAGCGGTGCCCAGCACTGCGTGATGCCCTTGTGCTGAGACGTCGACGTCCAGAACGCTTCTTCAAAGTCCGGACGTGTGGGATCCACCACCCCTGGGCTTTTCTTCCGTCCACCACCACCTCCTGCACCCCTTCCCGGGGGGCCCCAATCTCCGTAGACAGGGACAAGACCAGACGGACTGCGCAGGATATTCTCCTTCCCCTTCCGCAAAGAAGATGCTGAGGCTTCGCTCACAGCGGCATCTGCAGCAGCCACCATGACATCCAAACCATCCTCATCGCCCTCCTCCTCCTCGGCTGCGATAGGCGCATTGATGGCAATCCTGCTAATCTGCTTGCCGACGAATCCTTCTTCAGCGATGCACCGAAAGAGTTCCTCTTTGTCGTCTTCGGACAATGCGCAGTACACATCCGTCCATCTTGCGCTGTGCGTTGGGAATTTGTGCGGCAACAGTAGAAGTGGGGGATAGATTGTGTGCCGCTTGGGCAAGTCGCTGGGTGAAATCTTCAGTCCGACCAGACCATCTGTGGTTTTGGCCTTGGCTGTGGCTGTAGCATCGTGATATCTTACATCGCCAGCGTCGTCGGACTGTTCTACCTCGTTTGGAGCATCGACGACGGAAATGCTGGCCTTTTTGCAAAATGCTAGAATGCCTTTGATCAGCGGGTTAGCTGGCTTCTTCGGCCGATCTTTTCGATGAGGCCGGGCTTGAGCCATCTCAGCCGGCATCAAAGGAGTGTTAATAGATCATATCCAAGAACACAACGATCTTTGCGACCTGACATGTTCGGGATTGAAGATTTCGGAGGTCACTGTGATGCGCGAGGCTGCGGAATTTTCAGCCTCGTCAAATAAAATAAATGAATAAATGCTTGTGTAACGACTTACGCCGCACAGTCTTTCACGCAAGCAAGTTCCATATACTGCGCGGACGACAGCAATGAAAGACTTCAATAGGGTAGGACGATGAATATGGTGTCCCAGAGCAAGATGGAACGCGTCTCAGCAGAAGGAGTTGCATTGTCACGAAGAGCAGGGAACAGAACGTCTACCAGCAATATATATACATTTTTTGGCCTACTCAACACCAATCATTCAACACATATTTCACCCCGGTTGCAGTGACCCAGCAGTCATTCCCGAACTTCCTTCTTTCCACGTTGACGACTACCACGACCACTAGAAAAACCCATGAAAGAGTTCGACTCAACCGCGTAGTTGACGGTCGCTACCGTGCACTCTTATTCTGGTTTGGATCAGGATCGATCTCGCTTCCCTTTGTCTGCGAAAGGGAAAAAGGTGTCAGCACAACCCCTAACCCACCCATGGCACGATTGTACTATGTAAGTTCAAGGACAACCATCTCCCACCGTGTTTTTGACTCCCACCGTGTTTTTGAAAAACCTTGCAAGGGGGCAAAAAGACTTACAGGATGCACACTCTCCGGCAGTGCCTTTTCCAACTTCTCCGGCGCCACACGCTGCACCGACTCGGGAACGATGCTCTCTCCCGTGGCATGGCTCTTGCCGCCACTGCCCAAGCTGGCCTTGCCACGGTTGGTGTTGCTATTACTATTGCCTCCACGCGATTCTTCCCGCTCGCCGAGTTTGCTTTCGACGTAATTGGGCAGGGAGTCGTCGTCCTTGGGATGCTCGCGTATAGGTTTCTTCCCGTCTATTTGCCACGCGTTCATTTCATGTCAGCTCTCTACCTCTCTCTCGTACACTGTAGGTGTGAGGCGGTAACCCGCCAGGGAAATAGCGGCCAAAGGGGCCCGGCCGGCCGGGGGGAGAGGTAGAAAGAAGAGGCTAGTGAGGCTGACCATGACTTTTATACCCGTCGTTCGAAGGGCCTGTCGTGGGCCCGCCAACAGTGCGTGGGCTGGATGATATGAATGTCCGGATCGGGGTGCATGTGCGTGTGCTGCTGGTCAATTGAGGCGCGAGGCGCCTGGCGACGAGTTGGGATCGGTACATTTTTTGTCTGGTTCTTTCTACGTATAACGCGTATAAATCGTTTTAGTACGGAGTATCGGGCAATGAGATGCCTGTCAGTAAGGAGGAGGATATAGATATACACAGTAAAGCATCATGAGCTTCGGCCGCTTGATATACGTCCTCTTCATCCTGGCATCTGGAGTACTGCCATGACATGACCAAACCAAAAAAGTCGTGATCTCATAGACCTCGGTGTCCAGTTCCATGAGGCTGTGTCGCGCTACCAAACTGTTCATCATCACTTGTGCTCAGCTCTGATGAGTCCGACTATTGGTTGGAATGCACCCAGAAGGCGCAAGGTTCGGAGACACTGCCGAAGTCATGACCAGTCGATGTTGTAGGGATTTACCAAATGAGGACGAGTTCGAGTACGAGTACGGAGGAGTACAAACAAGGATTCATGAAGAAATGAAGGAGAGCGATATCCATTTCGGCCCCATGGCCTCGTCTGTTCCTCTTTTCGTCTTTTCCATCCCCCGTCGTCAAAATCTAGTACCAACACAGAGCCAACAACGAAGACAATATGACCACAACGCCCGGACAAATGCTCGCAATATATCTGAATCCAATGCTTATTCTCGTTCCTAAACCAGTCACTCACCAGGGTCAACCACTCATCCCAACATCCCTGGCCTGCTGTATCATCATCTCCAGAAGGTCCTTCTCTTCTCGCGTAAAGTCCCTCTTCAAGTCGGGATCGGTAGTAAGACAGCACATGTTGCTCTCCTCTAGCTGCCACGCTCCTGGTTCCCGAATATCCCGGGGCTCGATCAGATAGTGCTCGAACTTGCCAAACTTCCTCTTCTTCTTGTCCGCGAATTTGTTGTCTTGAAGCCAGCCGTTGAACCACAGTGGGCTGCCATCCACGTCGAGATGCAGCAGTTGCGGCGCGCAGATGGTGTAACTTTCAGGCTCATGTTTTTCTTCAGGCTTGGGCTTCTCTTCCTCTTCCACGGGTTCTTCGACGTCCACCTCAACTTCAACACCTTCAATGGGGTTACCGTTGTCGTCGAGCACCGGTTGCTTCTTCTTCTTCTTCTTCTCCTTCTTCTTGGGTTCTTCTTTCTTTTCTTCTTTCTTTTCCTCCTCGGAAGGCTTAGGATCCTGAACAATGCCCATTATACCGGCATCACCTCGGTGGAAAGAGTAGTCCAAGTCTCCCACGAGTTCCCAACCGAGCCAGAATGTCTCCTTGTCACCTAAAAAAGGAGTCAGCTGTACAAGACACCAAAATCAGGTGATTGGACTCACCATAGACCATATCATAAACACCAATCCTGCCTTCATCCTTGTTGCCATCTCTGTCAGGTCCGTTCATTCGAGTGACGAGCAGGAGGGCAATGAAATGTCGCCACTTATCCACCACCACGACACCTGATTCCTGCATATGACCACTATCGCCAGTCCAGAAGCGACTCTGCTTGACTTGTCTCGAAATCGGCTTAGGTAGAACCTGTTGAAGCCATCGCTTCTTCGACTCTGGCATGATCAGTCTATCTCTGAAGAACAAAGCACCTGTTTTCTGGTATGAAGAATCATCAAACAGGACTTCTGGGTTTTTCATGAACAAGCTGTCGGCATCGATGAAGATGACTTCTCGAAAGCTTGAATGGAGGATGGCAAAAGGTTTCGCCGCCCAACCAGCCAATTTCCATCCTTCGTCGTTTACCATCTGTGCAATATCGCGGGTTACAACTCCGTCCAGAGCTTCCAGGTCCGCCCGGTAGTCTTCGCTCAAGTCGGAGTCGCCCAAGTACATGACCTCGATAGGAAGCTCGCAGCCAAGTTTCCGGAAAGTGGGGATCGTTGTCAGAAGGTAGGGTGCTTGATCGTCTCCGGCAGTGAGTACGATACCCCGGCCACCCTTCTTGAAGTGCGAATGCAAGGTCATATGATCCGGGAAATAAGGAGCTGTCCAAGGGAAGAGCAGTTGTCCGAATTTGACGAGGAAGTATCGGTACGCCTCGTACGAGTGGATTGTCTGAGCGAGACCGGTTTCCGCCAAGTCGTCGGATGATGATTGATGGACGTGGTGACGAAGGTACTGAATCACATCATCCCGTACGTAGCTGCCGCCCTCATCATCAAATGCCAGATGCAGAGCTTCCCAAGCTTCGAAGAATTTCTTGTATTCACGAATTCGGAGACTCATTTCGCGGAGTTTCTCCTTGCCGGTCCCCTCGACGGGCCGAAGTAAATCTCGGCCCTCCATCTCACCGGGAAGGAGACTGATGACTCGAGTCAGTGCTTTTTCGAACTTGGGCCGTTCCGAGAAATAAGTTGAATCAGATGAAGATGGCTTCCTATTTGGCACTGCAGGTGGCTTCGGCTTCGGCTGTGCCGATGTCTCATGGTCTATCGACACTTGATCATCGAGATTGGATGCGGGTGGTGACTTTGGCTTCGGCGCGGATGGAGGAGGAGCTGCTTGTACTGGTGCCTGGGCAACTTCGTCGCCTGCTGGGATATTGAATGGGACCTCGCCTGTAGACTGCACGTCCTCCGGATGCGCGGCGGCCGGGTTTGCTGCTGGAGCATTCTCCTGCTGTGGTACTGCATCGGGATTGGGGCGAAGAACAACTTCGGGATCGGTCGCGAATTCCCTTAACTTGTCGGCCGGCGTTCTCGTCTGTGGATGTATAGTCGTACTGGAGCCACTCGATGACAGGAAGTATATTAATGGAATGCATAACAGGACTAGGATGATCAGAGCTGTTTGGCGATTTTTGATGGCCCTCCGCGATGGCCCGGCATATGGTAATCCTGGAAAAGAGCGACCCTCTTTGAGAGGCGCATGCCTTGGGGTGAACATCCCGTCAGATACCCTCATCGGCAAAAGGCTGATTGCAATTCCCGTTTCTGATATTCAAGGCGTTGAGTTTGGTTGCTGCTGTGGGTGGGCGAAAGTAGCAAACATTGAGCAAAGGGCGGCCAGACGCGTTCCGGACGCGAAAGGGATAGATGGTCAATTCACAAGGACTTCCACGAAAGGCAGACCAATTTTATTGGGCAAATACAGAGGCGGGGCAGAAGACAACCATAAAGCTGATGATCGGTTTCAACGAGATAGAAATGTGTCAAAAAAAGATGATATAAAGGAGGTGGTGTTATCCAAAAGACAGGTGGACGGAGGGTATGACCAGGGAATTTTTCTGGTGGCTGATGGTGGCTAATAAGTGGCTAATGATGGCTAGCATCCCTTGCTAACCTGCCTAGAATTCTCCATTAAGGCTAGCGCCCCTCGGCTGTCATTCCCCCTTTGGCCCCCTTAGTCCCCAGCTTTTGCCCTTAAGCAGCCCTCCAAGCCTCCTATTGCCCCCTGATGCGAGGGTTGTTCTTGCGATCCATGATTCTCTGCTGATTTTGTTTCAGAGCTGGCAAGCCAGATTCGCCTCCATGCTGGAACTTGGAATATGGCTGTGGCGCACCCTGCTGATGACTCGCATCAACCCCGTGCACGCTAGTTGATGATCAACTCTCACTCTCAGCCTGGGCGGGCGGGTTGAAACGGCTTTTTGCCCCATCACTATTAATAGTATGGCATCAGACTGATTGGTTGCGGATGCCAAGTCAGTCAACGATGTCAATGCTTCATTAATCCGAATTGGCTCATCCCTTTCTCCATGTTGACCATTCGCAGCAGTCTGTTCGGCCATCGCAGTGATTCGGATGCTTGCAACGTACTTCTGCCAACAACAGGAACAGCCACGACACTCGAAATGTTCAAGCCATTCTCTGCTTTGGTAGCCTCGGGATCAACAGCCATACCACCGCGCACAGTACTAGAGCTGCCAACACAATGGGTTGAAGCACCTTCACACCAGCTGCACTGGCTATAGCTCCCACAGCAAACGGGAACACCGTGGCACCGCTTGCGCCAAATGCACATGCGAACCCCACAGCGGCCACGTGCAGCTTCTTAGGAAGCAGCTTGGTAAGTGCCACAACAGCGGCTGGGAACATCGGTCCTAAGAAGAAACCAAGAAACCCTATCATGACGGAACTGACATAGAAGTTCGGAATGAGCCAAAATAAGAGTTGTAAGCCCACGCTGCAGGCGAGGTATGTGGTCACAGCCCACCTCTCGCTCGGAAACAATCGACCGGTAACGAAACCGAGAACAAATCGCCCGACGGTGATGCCCAGCCAGAATCCTGTCGATGTCATGCCAGACGCAAACGGCGAGCCTTTTCTAACTCGTAGCATGAAGGTGACGATCCAGCCTCCTATGCTCACTTCGACGCCAACGTACGCGAGCAAGAACAAGGATGCAAGTATTGTGACTCTGTTCTTAACCGCTTCAATCGTCTTGCTCTTGCCCTTTTCTCTCTTGCCAAATGGATTGAGCTTCTTCAAGGTGGATTGTTCTTGAGTCTCACGTGGAGCAGGTTCGGACTCGTTGGAAATCTCAGCATCGGCCGTCGTCAAGCGTTGGGCACGGAAGGCTCGCGCGTCCGCTTTCCAAAACGTGCCAACAAGTACCATGACTTCAATAGCTGCGCCACCAACCAGTATGTAGTAGAATTCATACCATTTCCAGCCGGCTTGCGTGACTACAGTCGTGGCGATGAGCGGAGACAAGGCTGCGCCGACACCATAGAAGCCATGGAGGAAGCCCAGAACCTCGTTAGCGTCGGCCATGTCGCCTATCCAGGCGTTCCTATGCAAAAGGATCAGGATCGGGCTCAGACTCCATAGCCACCCAACTCACCAGCCACTGTCTCCCAGACCGTTTCCAAACCCAACGAGGATATAAACCACCACTAGCACGGGAAAAGGAGGATGGAGACACACAGCGACTGTGTTGGTCGTCAGTTGTCAGTCTTTCACAGTGTAAGTCTTTGGTCAGAAGCTTACCATATCCGAGCAGATGTGACAAGCTCATAATGCACGCCACACCTCGCTGTCCATAAACAACGTGTATGTGGTTATTCAACAGTGCAGACAATGTATAGCCTATTATGGGACTGAGAAAGACCAAAGAGATGACGGTATAATTGACGTTATACCACTCCTCAAGGTAAGGGATCAGAGCACCAATGGCAGCATCGTTGGCTCCCAAGATGACGAATGACCAGAAGGTCCCAGCGCAGCGCCAGATGTTGATCCGAGGTGAATTCCACTTCTGCAATTGAGGTTCGGAAGCCTCTAGAGGCGGTTGAGGTGAAGTTGGCGGATGTTCGGGGATGGCCGTTGCTCTCTGCACATCCATTCGAACATGAGGACTCGCTGGAAGCTCGATGATGGCGGTTGAGCTACCACCCGACGATGAATTGACGGTCTGCATGACAGAAGAACCCCAAATATGAAATGCTCGTAGCAATACACACAAAATCCAATTAGAGAAGCGGTGACCTGAATACTCTCCGGCCAAATATCTTGACATCGACCGTCGGCGAAAAGTGTCCAGACAGAAACTGTACGTCGGTGTGTCTCCTGATATATGCAGATCCTCAACCCATGATGTCTAGAATGTTAGTGTTGTATGTGATTCAGATGAACTCATCACTTCAGGCTATATAATCTCCAATGTACGGTCAGGCCAGAACAATCAAATAGATGGAAGAAGAATAGACACCATAATTCTTGGGGTCCGGAGGTCAACCGACAATGGCTGAGCCGCCTCGACGTCTTCTGTGAGAGGAAGACGGCCCGTATGGAAGCTGGCGCGAAGTTCGGTTGACTTGACCGAAAAGGACGTCGCCGATACTGTAAGAGGAATCTTAGCCAACGCTTCGTTTGGACCTGCCCGTCAGGCTTGTTAGCGCGGCTTAATTCTCGCTCGAATCTGCTCCGCATACCGGATCAATTCCACCACGGTGACACTGCAGCCGACTATGGAGTGCGCCTAAAATGTGTGCTCACTGCTTAGGCGGTCACATCGAATCGAATGATAGATATACACCAGTGCTTTGTCCCTGGCTTTGTCCTTGAAATGCGGGAAAAGAACTTTGCGGTCGATCATTCACACACTCGTGCCGAATCGGGATAGGGCGGAGCACAAATCAAAAGTAGTGCAGAGAGCAAGGAGTGGCAGCCTTAAATATAAGTAGATGCATCAAGCTCCGACTGAGCGACGAGCACGACGAGGATCTGACATCGACAGAAAGCAGCACGCCGGTCGATCATCATCTCACAACATTTCCGTAACGCCAACGCTAGATCATTTAACCATCTGGGATTCTGTAGGATGCTTGGTCAATAATCCACTCCGGAACCTCCCATCTTGTCGTTGATGTCAAGAACCCTGGCTACGGTCAGCATCGAACTACTGGACATCCGCCCACTGACTTACGAGTACTGTTTGATCAAAGTGCCCTCGCCACCTTTCGCCAGGTCAATGCTGAAAACGTAAAAATTGCCCTCATTCGTGACCGCCATAACCTGGGGAGAATTTGGGCTCATGGCAACAACGCTCCGCAATTGATTTGGGGGCATTCCTGAATTGGACCGCGGGAGTCGGATCCAGGCAAAGTCTCGTGCGGGTTCCCACATTTCCGCCACGCCTTTGGGAAGGTATCCGCCCACCGTTGAGGCAAGATTGATTCCCACGTGTTGCGACGTTCTTCGTAACAGGCCCATGAACGTTCCATTCGGCTTGCGGCTTGTCATGGCGGTAGGCGATTCCGGGCCATCCTCGTCATCACCAGGTTGATCGTACAGTGTATCACTTCCTTGGCTCAATCGTCGAGTGAAAGCAGAGCTCGTCCTCTTAGGAGAAGCAGGTTCTTCGTTGTTTGCGAGGTCCATACTCTGTTGGGGACCAAGCTTGAAAATGTGTACAGTCTCCGTCGCTGATGATACACACAGGAGCGTCGAGGTGATATTGAATGCCATGCTGTATATCCTGGCAGGCATAGAACCCCTTCTGAACTGGTAAAGTTTGTGTGCGTCTGGGACCGAAAACACTCGAATGATAGTCCCTTTGTCGGAAGCGGTAGCAAGTATGGTCCCTTCATTGTTGAAAGTCACACATGACAGCGGAGATCGGTGGGCCTCGACCACATTGACTGCCTCGAGCTTGATCGCATCAAACAACAATACCTCGCCGGAAGTTGGTGGGACATGCGTGCTGTTAGGCGGTGCATGAGAAGGAGCAGCATAAGAGGCGGAAGCCTTCTGTGGCAATGGGTAAGCTAGGTAGCAATTGTCCGAGGAGGGTGAGAGGGCACAAATTGCTAGAGTTCAAGTCAGTCAACCGCGCCGTGCGGAGCCTTGGAGGTTGCCTTGCCTGTCGGGTTCGGAGATGTCTCTATGGTGTAGAGTAGCTTCATAGTTTGTATGTCATAGAGGTATATTTGATCTTCCAGGACTATGACCAGTCTCTTTCTGTTCAGCCGCACCGCTAACACTGTGGTTGGGAAGGTCAGTTCGCATATTATAGAATCTCTCTGCTCTTGTCAGCAAAGGCCGGCATAGACAACGTTCGATGCACCTTACTTTCGTGTTCTTGATCTGAAGTCGTCGCGGAGACAGTATGAGGGCCACCAAGGAGGTGGAAAAGAGCATTTCGAGTATGGCAATGTTGCCGGCATCTCTCGATTCGAAGCATTTTGCGAACGGGTCGGTCGTGAAGATCTGGAAACCTCTCGAGGTGCCTCGGTAAAGTCAGGCTGGTGATTCCAATGTACCAGGTGAGCCACTCACCAACAGCCAGATGGCTGTAATCCTGGTTGAAGGTAACGAAATTCATAGACATCTCGGAACGGACGAGACAGCTCGCTGTCAGGATGGCTACCTTTGCCGGTCCATTGGCTTGGGTCTGGGTTCTGCAGATGGAACAATGTCGGTTCACCTCAGTAGGCCTAATGGAATTTGGACCCGAGGGTCGAGTAGTTTTGTGACTCAATGATTGTGGATTGAAAGTGACCGCAATGAATGCGCTGAAGCCTCACAAACAGTTGCGGATGGTCGAGGGCGCAGGTGACGTTGAATGACTCGCGGTGTCTGGTTGGCGCCTGTCCCAATGACTTGATCATTTTGCGGGGGCGCCACTGCCTAATCTTCACCTCTAGTTTAGGTATCACTTGCCAGTATCCAACCCCTGCATAAGCCTACCTAGGTACCTAGTGAGTCCTGTCTACAGGTAGATTCCTAGCTATCACTTCTATGGCGCTGTTGAACGTCGTCCACACAGAAGATGGCGGATCCCATGGATATGGACTCTGATGGTCCTCGGGGTGTCAAAAGAACCGCAGAAGAAGCAGGCCTGCCACCAGAGGCCCCTCGTCGTATCAAGGCACGTTTGTTGCCCCTTCACGGTGGCCCAGAGTATCGCTAACTAGGCGTCAAGGCGCTTGATCAAGATGTCGTCAACAAGATTGCCGCTGGAGAAATTATCGTCGCACCCATGCACGCTCTGAAAGAACTGCTTGAGAACTCGGTCGATGCTGGATCAACCGCCATTGAAGTCGTCGTCAAAGAAGGCGGCCTCAAACTATTACAGATCACTGACAATGGCCATGGCATCGAGGTATGTATGGCTGCGGTGCATCTGAACCTTCTGACCTCTTGCAGAAAGACGATCTGCCCATTCTATGTCAAAGATTCACAACATCCAAGCTCAAGAATTTCGAAGATCTCATGTCAATCGGCACTTATGGCTTTCGCGGCGAGGCTCTCGCAAGTATCAGCCATATCGCTCATCTGAAGGTCACTACCAGGACAGCCAATTCGAGTTGTGCCTGGCAAGCCCACTATGCTGATGGAAAGCTCACTCCTGCCAAACCTGGTCAGAGTCCTGATCCAAAACCGACAGCTGGTCGGTTTGGAACGCAAATTACGGTCGAAGACTTGTTCTACAGTATTCCCAATAGGCGACGTGCCTTTCGATCACCTTCCGAAGAGTATGCTAAGGTCCTGGATGTCATTACCAGGTATGCTGTCCTTCGAGAAGGAGTAGCATTTTCGATCAAGAAGCATGGCGAATCCGGTGCAGGCTTCTCGGTAGCAGCAGCGGCAACCAAGGTCGACCGGATCAAGCAGGCCTATGGAGGCACTATAGCAAAGGAGCTTATGGAATTTGGTGTTGAAGACACCAGATGGGGTTTCCGTGCTTCGGGCTATGCTACCAATGCCAATTACAGCGTCAAGCGAACAACCTTACTCTTGTTCATCAACAACCGATCAGTCGAGTCATCCGCTGTCAAAAAGGCCGTCGAGCAGACCTACCAAATGTTCCTTCCCAAAGGCGGCCACCCGTTCATCTATCTTTGTCTTGACATCGATCCTGGTCGAGTCGATGTCAATGTGCATCCAACGAAGCGCGAAGTCCATTTCTTGAACGAGGACGAAATAATTGAGATTGTTTGTGACAACATTCGCGAAAGTTTAGCGAAAGTGGACACCAGCAGAACCTTCAAAACACAAACATTACTTCCTGGAGTCACCCCAATGACGCCAATGAGATCCGCATCGATGACTGCTGACAGGACACCTTCCACAGATGACAGTGCTCCGGGCAAGCCATCGACCACCAAGAAGCCCTACGAGAACAACCTGGTCCGGACAGACTCGAAGATGAGAAAGATCACTTCCATGCTCCCACCAGCCCTGACAAGTGTTCAATCTCAGGACGAGTCGTCGGCGGCGGCGGCGGCGGAAGGTGTAGGCTACACGACCACCGACCGAGAGCAAGTACAGATTCGTCTGACATCAGTCAAGAACCTACGCGCCGAGGTTCGAGAAGCTATGCACAATGGCTTGACCGAGGTCTTTGCCTCTCTTACGTACGTCGGCGTTGTCGACAGCAATAGACGGCTTGCAGCCATCCAATCGGGAGTCAAGCTATACTTGGTCGACTACGGCATGACGGCGAATGAATTCTTCTATCAAGTCGGCCTGACAGATTTCGGCAACTTTGGCCTGATCCAGCTACGGCCACCACCTAAGCTACGCGAGTTACTCGATATTGCTGCACAGCATCAGATCGAGACTGCGCGGGACTGCGCCCACCTTGACAGGGAACATGTCGTGCAGAAAGTGTACGACCAGCTGATGAGCCGGAGGCAGATGATCTCCGAGTATTTCTCCATCGAAATCTCGGATGACGGACATGTCGAAACGATCCCTCTGCTGCTGAAGGGTTACATGCCATGCATGGCCAAGCTGCCAACTTTTCTCCTACGGCTCGGACCGTTTGTCTCTTGGACGCAGGAGGAGCTTTGTTTCAAGACCTTTCTTCGCGAGTTGGCTTCATTCTATGTGCCAGAACAACTATCACGGCCGATGCACAAGGCCAAGAACAAGGCTCAGCCCATACCCGCCGACGAGGCGACGGTGATGGATACAGAGCCAGGTGATGGTGAGAATGTCGTGGACGAGGATGTTGACGTTGATGTCGATACAGCAGTCGAGAAAAGACGGAAGGAATTAGACCATGCTCTCGAACATGTCATCTTCCCGGCATTCAGATCACGGATCGTCGCTACGCAGGGTATGCTGAGGGGCGTCCTGGAAGTTGCGAATTTGAAAGGTCTGTATCGTGTATTCGAACGATGTTGAACGCGGTGTTTTCTTTTTGTCAGGGCTTTATCCGAATATCTCGCGAGTGGGCACACTGTCGTATGAGGAGCCCGACTCGGTGAGGAAGCGATGCATAAAGATAGAACTATAAGACATGTCCCTTGTATGATCTCGATGCCGGAAGATAATGAGAGTCATGGTCTACCAAAGCACATTCTTGTGAAATGTTGAAAACGACGACAGTTCAAATAAGTTACCAAGACACATGGCAAAACCACATCGAGCATCCTACCACTCTGCTTGTCCCCGTGTCTTTCCGATCAATCAATAACAACAGGATACTAGTACTCTCATACTCTGATACCCAAGAACCTAGCTAAGCAGGTTCAACAATCCAGGGCAGGGCAGGCCCATGCCTTTACGCTGTACCATTATAAGAATACCAGACATTCCCCAGCGGGCCCCGTCCACTCCCATCAGCATTCAACAACATATCCGTCTTCCCACTATCGCTGTTGAAATTGCCGAACCAAGCATACCTCTCTATCCAACTCTGCTGATCCATCCAGCGCGTGGCGTTCTTCATGAACTGCACCACGGTCGCCTGGTCATAGTCCGGCCTGTCCATGCCGAACTCGGTCACCCAGACGGGCCACCTCCCGCCTCCGGTCTGTTGGTACGCCTCGGTGATATAGTCCATAAAGTACTGGATAGCATACGGACTCGAGTACCAGTGCAGATTGATAAAGTCGACGGTCAAATTTTTGCCCACAGGGCCAGTCGCAGTGGCATTTCCCAGAAAATACCCCAAATACGTCAACCCTCCCGGAGCACCTGAATTCGTGACGGCGGGTGCGCCGATCCTCACGCGGCCCGCGAACGGCTGCATGTAGTTCTGATAGCCCGCAAGCACGAGTGACAGATTCATGCACGCCGACTGCCCGCTATAGCAAGCGTCGGGCTCGTTGAAGCCGAAAATCGCGTCGCTCCCATAATGCGAGATGCTGTAGTTGACGTTCGCCGGCCAAATGGATGTGAGGCTCGCCGCGTCGTTGTACAGAAGCGGGATGAAGCGGTACTGCGATGACGGGTAGGGGCCGATGTTGTCCGAGGCGTTGGGCAGAGAATAGTAGTCGTATGACCAGGATATGTAGGGAGATGGGGGAGGGTAGTAGGTCAGCGTCGTGACGTTGGTGTAGGCGAGGCCGCGTTTGGACGATGGGTAGGATGTTGGCGATGAGGATGCTGAGGAGGTAGACGACGTGCGGCTGCTCGTGCTCGTGCTCGTGCTCGTCGAGGTGGTACTGGAGCGTGTGCTGGTTGTTGATGCGCGAGCAGTCGTCGTCGTCGTCGTTGTTGCGGCCGTAGTTGAAGTGGAAGTGCCGCTGGTCGGGCCTGGGGAATTGCTGGACGAGAGTGGCTGAGTGCTCGGTGTGCTCGAGAGCGACGATGACGACGAAGGGGAAGTGCTTGAAATATGTGAACTAAACGACGGCTTGACCGGACTTGACAATATTGAAGCGAATGAGGCAGAAGGGGATCCAACATTCGACGAAGACATCATCGATGCCGTAGAAATCGATGGACCCACGAATGCAGTGCTACTTGTGCTGTGCGCCGAGGTCGAATAAGTAGGCGACGGTGGCATCGAATTCTGGACAGTCCGACTTGTTGTGGTGCTTCTCGTCGACGAAGAGACACTCATAACACTGTTCGACATCGCAAGTGAGGTCTGAGGCAGCTGAGTCGTGATGGTGTGCCCCAATGTCGACGGCGGAGAGAAGCTGCTGGTCGTGCCCTGCATTGAAATCGAGATGTCTAAGCTCGATGTAGCAACAATGGTGTTCGGACTGCCAGCCGTCGTCGACTCCTGCATGGTACTCATGACGTCCGTCGACTTCACACTTGTCGAAGTAGTTGTCATCGTCGAGGGCGGCGGAGTTGAAGTTGTTGGCTCTGTGCTTTGACCGGATTCAGTCGACATGAAACTAGTCGAGGTAGGACCAGTTAGGAAGTCCATTGCCATCGACACCCTCACGGCTTCTGTAGGAGGCATACTGTCTCCAAAAGCAACAACAATCTTGCCAGTTGGAAGTGCATAGAAAGTCGAATCCCCGAATATCAGTGTTCCGCCTTGGAAGCTCCATCGCTGTTCATCAGGCTCAACTGCCACGTTCTGCAAGAGTGGCTGTACGTTCGTAAATGTGCTTGTTCCGACATTTCCTCCATCATCCATCAGTAGACCGTCGGACGTAAGCCGACAGATTGCGGCTTCATCCTGGTCAAGGGTCAGATACGCCTCCCCGTCGGCGAATGTCAGATACTCAGTTGCGCGTCTGCGTAGTCTGCTGCCAGACGCTCTGACTGTGACAATGAAGGGACTAGAAGTCGGTGTCGGAAGGCCAGTTGTTGTGAAGCCATTGCCCCTGGTCGAGGACACAGCCAAGGATGTCGCCGGTGTACTGACTTCAAAGCTCGTCGTTGATGACAGACTGCTTGAATAAATTCCGGGCGAGCGACTGGAAGGGCTGGCATACGATGCTGATGCCGACGCCGACGAAGAAATGTTGCCATATATCACTGTCGTCGTCAGGTAGCAAGAGTCGGAAAGAGTCGTTCCTAGTCGAATCTTAGCATGTATCTTCGTATCGCAAAACTGCAGTCTCTCTTACCCAGTTGCGCTGCCGAGTACGACGCAAAGCTGGAAAGGGCAAGCCCAATATATCCAAACCTCATGCCCTTTGACACCCTCATTGTGACTGGGGCATGTCTGGCTGTACTCGACTTACCAGTAAACTCAATCAAATATCTCCATCGTCGCGTGTGCGCATGTTGTGCTCAGCTAAGTTAGAGGGGCGCTTTCCTAGGAATGCACAATGTGGAATGCTGGACCTGGTCAATGCGCTGCTGAAACAATCGTGGACCAAACCAGAAAAAGAACATGTGGAATTTGCCTGAATGGTGAGTGGTTTCTTCGTAGCTGTCTGCTACATCAGTCAATCTTCCAAAGCTCCATAGCCTTTGTCCAGAGTAATATACAAACCCATTATTGGGCATTGCTTGCCGAACTCGTCTTGAATATCGTACACAAACATCGCATTCGCTGCTGAAATCTCTTCATAAAGACCCAAACCATGCAGCCATGTCTTCACCAGGAGGACTCTATTATGGGTATCTCGACGTTGAAAACATAGAAACCGAAAAAGAACGCCTGTTTTTGTAGCCTCATAGAACTGGGCTAGCAGTTGGACTGATGCCGCTAACGTTGCTGACGTTGAGGTATTCCAATGGCACTTTGGGGACTCTCGGGCTCTGGATGGTTCCGGGTAGGAGATTCTGTCCTCCCGATTGTCCGCGTAGACGGGTGACATCTCTGGCTTTCTCCTTCTCCTTTTGACTTTCACTCTTTCCACCTGTGAGACGCCGCATACCACGTCTCATGCCTTGTAGACTGAACGCGCCTGCTGTCTCAGTCGCAGAAGTCGGCGTGGTCTGATATTCTGAAGCTCCTGAACCGGAGACGCCCTTCACCATGCCTGCTACACCAGCGTTCAATGATGGAAATGGGCTGTTTTCGCCATCTGACAGTACAGCTTCGTCATATTGATCTGCATAATCGTCCTGAGACCTAAATGAACCCGTAGGCATCGGTGAAAAGGCACTCGAGGAAGGCTGAGACATTGGAAACTGGTTGGCCGGCGATGTGATAGATCTCGCGTGCAAGCCAGGTCTGGAGTGGCCGATCGGGCTGATTGATGTCTGCAGGACCGGCTTCTTGCTCGACGTTGGTAGCGAAGGTCCTGGTCCTCCAAGCTCATCAATTGAAGAGAAAGAAGTCTGTGCTGTGCCGCTGTGACTAGCCGACGAATAACTTGGCTGCATACGGTGTCCCATACCGGGAAGGGGTCCGGGTTCTGTGATGCCATCGGGCACGTTGACCAGAGATGAAGTTCGTGCAAGGCTTTGGCGTAAGATAGGAGCCGTTTGCTCATCATACAGAGTAGTGCTGTGCTCTGTCAAAGTAGGCATGGTCATTGTCGAACCCCCAAGTTGATTTGAACCTGTTGGCGTGAGTACGCTTTCTTCAATATCGTCAAAAAAGTCATCGAGGCTATCCAGCGTGTTCATAAGATCGCTGACATTGGTATCGGCCGCCGTCTCCATTGATCGCATGGTTTCTGCCCTGCTCTGTGGTGGAAAGTAGGACTCGTTGTAGCCGTCGTCGCCTTGAAACTCGACATCAGGGGTAGCGGTCTCTTGATCTTTCAAGGATTCAGAGTCTCCACATGTGTAGAAAACGGCATGCACGTTGCGGCGTGTCATGCTCGAGTAGATGGCTGGCATAGGGATGGACCATCCGGATGGCAGGGGAATCCCATACAGACTTTGGGTGCGTTCATATTCCTTCCGAATTGCCTTTGCCGAACCAAATGCCATGCTCATACGCATATGATGCTTTTCCATTGGCGTGGTCGCCACTTCCATAATGTAGTCCATGACCTCCAATGCCTGGCTACAATGCTCGGTCTGCAGTAGCCGCAATAGTGGTGAAATGAGATCGGGTCCGTGACTGGTGATGGCTACGTTTTTCATGTTGACAAGGGGAATTAATTCACATAGAATGTCCATAAGCTTCACTCTGAACCACGGAGTCTTGTTCGTGAGCAGGCCAATCAAGAAGATCAAGCTTTGGGCATCCCGGGCTGGGAAGAATGCCATCCTCAACGCTTGTATGACAGATGACAGCATTTCCCGACTTGTGGTTATTTCTTTGCTGGCGAATCGTCTTAGACAGACTGATAGAGATTCGTGGCCCTCAGTAGCTGCAACTTCCCCAAGTCTCTGAGCCACCGCCAATGAGACAGAGTCACCGGTATCGACTTCGAAGCTCTGCAGGAATCGTGGCAGATTTGCCAGGACATTGTACAGAAGACGATCATCGTGCCCCACTAGATCACAATCGGGAAGGAGGGCCAGCGCATGGAGAACCGAAAGTGTCTTGTCCAAGCTATCGGCAGACTTGAGACCTTTGTAGAGCAGGGGCTGCACGCCTTCGAAGCCCCCTTCCCATTTCCCAGGTTGCCCTTTCAACAAAGCTTCAGTCACTTCGGGAGCTGAGAGGTCGAGCTTTTCGATGAACTTTTCGAGCATACCCAGTGTCTCATAAAACTCTCTCTCGTGAATGGTACTTAAACAAGCACAGGTCGTCCAAAACAATTGCTGGTACCGCATTAGATTCTTGGGTTCCAATGCTCCAATGACAACTTTCAGCGTGGTCAAAATCTCCATGGAAAAGGTCTGATAATCCGTTTGTTCATCTGCAATAGTATTGGACAATCGAGCCAGCATGTCGGCCAGCATTCTGGCATCAAGACTGACAGATATGCATCGGAAGACTTGGAAGGACCGGCAGGCTAGATGACGCACCGGGCAAATAGACGCCCAATGCAAAGCCTCCTTCGCCCAAGTGTCGCTAAAGTTTTCGAAAGCAAGATCGAAGATGCCAACAATTTCTGCAGTCAGCGTCGACATCGCCGGTGGAACTCTGCTGGCCCCATCATCTTCATCCTTTCTCGTGTTCTTTTCATAAGACCAGCTTACTCGGGGATCATTCGTGCGCACTGACTCGACCAAGGATTCGATTTGTGATTTTGCAGAAGCTAGGGCCTGAGGTTCGATTTTCGTCGTGACTAATTCATGAATTAAATGGACTAGCATCTCTCGAGCTTGTTCCTGAACTGAAGTAGTGTAATGGTCCCATAGGATGAGTACCGTATGTATTAGCTTGATCGCTTCGTCCTTGGCCAGGGTCACTGGAGTGACCATCAGATCGACCAAGAAAATGAGAGACACCTGGCCCATCGAAAGACCAACCTGTTCACATGTCAGTATATGTGCTTGAAAGTATGAGCCAGGACTCCTACCTGTTTGTTGCCCATAGGAAGCAGAGAATTCAAGTCTGCAACATACGGTAGGTGGCGGGTATCAGGCATCACGACGTCAGCATGCTTTCTGTCATTAACCATGTTCTTCGGGGTAAGCTGCAACATGAAGAACTCAAGCACTCTCGACCCTGCAGGAGTAGAAGATAGGTAGACCACGATTTGCTTGGCATATTCGACGAAATTTTGATCCCGTCGATCGAGCGAAAGATATATGATGAAGTCGAGGATGAGCTGGACATTTCCCGCATGGGGACCTGTTGCAAGAGCTTGCCACAGAGCCTGGACCTCATTGTGCATTGCACCGATGGAGCAAATCGTGATCTCGAACATATTTGCCAGAAGCATGTACGAAACAGCAGTTGGGCCGTTTGTCCCCGGGTCAACTTGCAGCTCCAGTGTCTGAAGCCAAGGCAAAATTGCAACTACCATGTTTCGCTGATGGTCGTTCCGTGCGGACTTGTAGTGCAATGAAAACTCGGAGAAGATCATGAAAGCGATATCTGAGTTCGCCTTTGCCAGTCGTTTCGAGTATTCGAACTGGGCCAACTTGTAGACAGCACGAGTCTTATCGGCAATGCTGATGTCAAATTCCTGAAGATTCGAGCTTTTCTGCAGACGTTCATCGAGCGTCCGAATGAGATGAGCTGACTTCATCCGAATCTCCCGGTTCTCGTTTCCCAATGTGAAGACGATAAGGCTCAGAATTTTCCAGTAAGGGAGAGGATAGTCCGGTTGCTGAATAAGTACCTCACAGACTACCCCAAAATAACTTTCCAAGGCTATCGAAGACTCAGTCCTATAGCATAGTTCGACAGCATGCTCGGCAAGTACAAGTTGGTCCGGGTTGTTCATCAGCAGCATCTTCAACGCTCTTCTGCCAATAGTGTGCATTTTGTGGTTGCTCGTCGCGAAGATACCATCGACCCAGGAGAGCATACGTTGCACATTGAACGATAGGACGGCATTACTGTCCGTCACAATGCTGATGGGTCCAGCACAAAGAGTCGCCATCGCACTAAGAGCAGCCACTCTCAGATTATTCTTTTCCTTCTCTGATGCGGCATTGGCGTTCATGCGGTCTTGAAAATCCCTTCCATGGTTGTGATTGGGGTCGAACAAATTGTGTTCAGCCGAGTAGCCACACCAATCCTCCATGAGGGCAAAAGCTGACTTTCGTGCTTCAAAGGGCATCCAGCGACTGGGTGTTTTGGATCTGTTCACACCCTCGAACACTTCTTCGACGAGGCCACAGAAGTGGTATCTCAGTTTTTGGAATCGCCAATCATTCTGCACATCTGTATCGCTGAGGAAAATGCGGAGATCACGAGTATAGTTGACTAGATTATGCAGAATCCATTCGTCCGTGAAGGTATCCTCGTGACGAAGGAATGCTGCGGTAAGCTTGTAAACATGGGTGACCTCGGTCCGTAGACGCTCAGTTTTCTGGGATCTCTGGGGGCTGCTGGGAGTTCTCTGATGGTTGATCCTTGCCTTTGCCTCGTCATTGCACGTGATGACAGCGTACTGCAAAGACTCGAGAAGAGTCCGACAGAGTTTACGATTGATAGAGCCTAGGGCGGTCACCACGGCATCGCGAATGGCGTCTGGCGCAGCTCCCAGCATGGGTATGATGGCAGAAAACAAAGCCCGCGCGGAGCTCATTTTGTCCTGAGTCTGAGTAGCTCCCTTGGAGGTCTTTCGGGCGTGGGCAGCGTCAGCCAGCTGGCTCTGTGACTGACCACCTGGAGAACTGAGTGTGACACACGCCATGATGAGATAAAGTTTCCACTGGTCGAACAGAACCTCTGCGGAGGTTGCAGAGCTGCGGCCCTGCATGCGAAATTCATAGAGAGCAGGATTTCCTGTGCTGGTCTCCTTGAAACTCTCAATGTCGTTTTGCATGAGCATCAACCTGTCGGTAATCGTTCCCCGACAAAGTGCGATCGCGTTTGGACAAGCTTCAAAGACCACCCTGATGAGATTAGGGAACGCCTTGAACCACAGGGTTGAATCGTAGGACACTTCGGAGCTACAAATCTCGATCAAAGTGCTCTGATCAGAATTAACGCGCTTGTCCTTTTGCAGTCGGCTCCGTTCTGCGACATTGAGAGCGTCATCTTGCAAGTCGAGAATTCTCGACGACTGGGTCTCCAGGAGTTTGATGATCCTCGATGGCTCGTCTTGACCGAGAACCTTGTCAAATTGGAGGACGAGACGCAATACTTTGATGGCAAACGCTCGGACTCGGCGTGACTGTGAACAGAGAAAGAACAACCCGTAAGCCTCGATCTCATCGACGAGAGGAATGACATTGGTGAGCTCCATCTGCAGCGCCCGGTTCGAGCTCAGACCTCCGCGCTCTCTTGCATCCACCGAATTAGCCACGGTTTTTTGCTTGAGCTGTTCTGTCCATATCTGGAGCAGTTCCAAGTACAGAGTCAGAGTGGACTCGATATGCGCTGGTCCCAGGCGCCCTTCGTCTGACATCGTCGAATACTGGGTGTCGTAGTGAAATATGAACCGTGGAAAGGCGATGGCAACGGCCTGAGCATGCCCTTGGCGTGCAATTGCCTTGAGGGATTGAGTGGCAGAGGCCGCGATGTTTGCCTGGACATGAGCAGATCCGGTACATAGAAGGTTGATCAGTGGACTCAAGGGTATGTGATCAGTAAAGCAGCGCGGTAAAGCTTGAATAGCCACATGCAGCAGCTCATAGTAAGATTGTCTCTGGTCGGCAGTGGATCCATCCTGATTACGGTTCAGAGTGAAGGCGTCAACCAAGGGTGTCTTGGGGGTCAGACTAGTCGTCGAAGAGAATTTCTCATTCAGGGTGGCCTGCCCGCCAAATGTGTTGTCACATAAAATGGTAATCTTTCCCAAGATCTGACAGAATTGTAAATAGTATTGCCTAGCATTTTCATCGAGCTTGGCAATATTGACTGGTAAAGATGAAGGAGTTTCGTCTTCGAAGGTCGACCTCTTCGGCGAACTGAGGTCCACATTGGACTTGATCATGCTCTCTGGCGATGACGGGAGACCATCAAAGGCCGGCGATTGAATGTTGAAGATGGGAAATGGAGGCGACACCTGTTCATCCCTCTCCAGATCAGACATGATCGCAAGGAAGCCTCGAATACCGACCACCATTCTTTCCGGCTCCATGTTTTCGATCTTGAGCGTCCGGCTTGATTGGAACATGTCATAATGGACCATTGGGAAAATGATTGACCTGAAACATATATCTTGAGCTGCATAGCCAAGAATCCGAATGAGCTGTACCAAAGGAGTTGACACAGGTAGCTCTGAGCCAATATGTGTCTTTCGTCCTTGCGGAAAGACCATCTTGATGACCTCGTCCAAACGGCGGACTCTCAATTGGGCAGGCTCACTCACCCGAGTGAGATATGTCCAGGTCAACTGACAGATGGCTTGTAGAGCAGGCCCACGCGTAACCCTGTCCTTCAATTTGTTCGCCATACCCATGACCATTGGAAGCCATTGCGTAGCAAACGCCTCTAACGGGGAGACGCAAAGCAGCACAATTGAAAGAGGATAACCGATGGCCCAATGACGCACTTTGAGAATCATGTTCGACAGCCGGGCGTTGATGATCTCAATAAAGTTGATCCACTTTGGAACAGCCTGAAAGCACTCCGGATGACTCGCTACGACGGTCAATAAGCGCTCAAATAACTGACAGTACGCTTGCTTGACCTGAGGTCCATGTGCGTCCGAGAACAGACTTGCGAGATTCCTCAAGAAGTCACATACCGTCGGCGCAGCCTCTCTAGTCGCAGCTATGTGAAGATGTCGCATGCTTAGCAATAGCAATTCAAGCCGAAACTCATATTCCCTGGCGGTTGTCGTTTGATTACTTTTTGCGAACTCCTGTTGCCATATATCAAGCTGCTGCGTAAAGCGAAAGGACACATTGATGAAGTCGAGGCGGCTCATATGACCCAAGACCTGGCCATAGATTCGCCAATTCGCCAATCGAATGCTGGACGAGAGTATCTGTGGCGGCTCCACTTCCCTGATCTGAGTGAAGACAATGTCTTCGAGTTTGTAGGCCAAATCTGGGGTGATCGATTCGAGATTGCTTTGTTCGAAAATAGCGATCAACACCCGACACAGTATGTAGACGGAAATTGTGGCTCTCCGATCTGCCAAGAGATACTCTTGTGTCAGGCTATCCTCGGGCAGACCTTCAGGGCCGATCGAAGACAGTTCTGGCTCTCCTGGGACTTGAAGTGGCTCCGTATGCCGCCTACCTAATGAGGGTGGCTGTGAAGCGGGTGAAGCGAGGCCTTGCTGAAGTCTCTGTTGGTACACCTGCTTTTTCAGGCTGGCAGCGGTATCACCCTTTCCTTTCCGCCAGAGCATCAAACTGTCCACAAGAGGCTTCGGACTCTGACGGGAGATATGACCCAGCGACGATATCAACTGGTCAAACCCCGGATCCACCCCTGGGCCGCAAGCCTGCTCTACTGGCGCCGAAGCGGTGTCCAACAGGGATAGACAGTGGTTGATTCTCTGATCAGCTCGCAAGACGAAGCAGTGGAACAGATGGTATAGAGCATATTCCCCCGGTGTCCGTGGTTCTTGATGAAGACTTGATGAATGATAGGCATGTCCGCGTCTTGTTCTCGAGTGCTCTTTGCGCCTCCTGGGCTGCGAAGTAGTAGGCTCTTGTGGTGTGACAGGTCCGTCTATCATTGAGTCAATGGAATGGCCTTGTGCATGTCCCTGAAATGCCGACACGGGACTGGTGAAATTGGAGGAGATTTCACCTGCAGAATACTGGCCTCGTCGAGTTTGATTCGGATATCTCGCATTGTTGGGGGCGCTGAGCAAGGATTCGGGCGACAGAGGACTGCCCGTGGTGGGCGAGTTGAAGCTCGGATTTCTTGAATGCTGAAGCCCGTGTATCACAGAGGTTTGTCGGTGGTGGCCATAATTGTTCGACGTTCGCCTTTGCAGACCTGTGTCAACCGAGGAACCACCTCTTGAGCTAACAGCGCCGTCTGTTCCAAGTGGCTGCACCGAGCCCGTGCGTGATGATGGCGCGTAGTTGGCGCCGCCGTATGTCTGTGTCACGGACTGCTGGGGTCTTCCTCTTGATACATCCCTTGTGTGTATTGGCGCAGCGGGCGGTGGACGGGCGTTGGACACGGGCGGGGAGATCTGTTCAGGGCCGGGGCCATCGAGGGAAAGGTTTGGGTTCTCGCTTGACGCGGGACGACCATCTGGAAGCATTGAATATCTTAGATCAGCATGTCCTCAAGGTGTGCATCGTCGTCACGGGCAATTTGTGAACTACGCGGACCGTTTGGTGGTAGCGGAAGGGTTCCGGACTCAACTCACTGCTAAGGATCATTTTTTGCCGCAGGCCGACAGGACGAGAGGTGCAGATGCAGGGACTGCGTCATTGCTCCCGCGCTCAGGCACAAAGGTTACGAGCAACGCAGAGAAAAGAAAGAGTAGCAGTATGGCGGTCTATGTTCAAGGGAGGCGTGAATATGGGGCTTTGAGATGGACAAGGTCAATCCTCCAGAGAAAGAATGGGACGGATTGCCCGATCCCTTGGCGGCAACCACAGTACGGTGAAGAGGGAAATCTACCATCTACACAGTAGAAGCTGCTCAGAAATCAGCAGCCTGACGTGCAGCTAGACGACTGAATTTCCATGTCACATTGTTTCTCTCAAACCCTACACATGGCTGGCCGTGTGCTATACGCAGCGATTCGCTGGTAGCCAAGGACGTCTACCGAATCAGACGAACGCGCAACCTGCTCCGGGGAAAGGGTACGGGTGATGAAAACGCGGGTCGCGCCAATTGCGTCGATTCATGATCAGCCATGCATCGTCCCTTAAGAATAAGACATCCGGAATAATCGCAGCCTTGTTACGAGCGAAGGCATCATAGGCTCGGGGGGATCTGGACTGTCTGCGTGGAATGGATGAGTGTGTGGGTGGGCTATGTTTGGTCGGAATGGAACATCTCGTATACTCCGTTAATCAAGAAAGTCATCAAAAGGCACAAAATGCTTCGTATCCTCGTTAGAAAATAACCATGGATTGCAAAACAAATCTACAAGTGATCGTTCTGACTCTTCTTAATCAGCCTTGTGGTCAGGGCTGACTGTGTTTGACTGTGTTTGCCATTGACCTTGCCCTTGATGTGTACCTGGTAAGAGTGTGTGGAGGCTCACAGGCGGTACATTGCACTGTTGATGGGGGATGGAGAGCAATGGAAATCCACAGAAACAGGCAGTGGTCTTCTCCGTGACCATCAAGACCCAGACTCCCAGGTGTCTTGTCATTCAAGTGCCGCCCCCGTCCGCCTGAACTGCGGCCGAGATAGCGAGGGAAGTCTTATTAGGACTGTCGGCCATCGCAGGCATTCCGGTTCGGTCTATCTTTGATCCCCCACCTCTGCCCAGTGAGCCCGACAGTTGTTCCGAAATGTCAAGACGACTATCTGAACTTACGAGTGCCGCAAAACTCGCCCGACTGGCAGGATATCGTTCCACATATCAATTCCGCAGTCTAGCCTCCCAGTGCCTCCCATCTTCCCGCCCCTCTTCTCTTTTGCCGTCCACGCCCGTCCCATATCCTTTGACTACCCCCCCATCAAACCGCCTAACCAATGAAGACTCCATTGCCATCCGGATCTCATACCAAAGCTGCGATTTCTTTTGTGCGATCTGTCCTTCTCTTCGTTCGAACATAGACGGTCTCCTCGACTACACTTTTTGTCTGCTGTGTAACCGTCATCAACTACCATCTCCTCTGCTGGCACTTCTCAGGTTCTTACCTCAGCACTCTCAGCTGCAACCCCAGCCTACCCTAGATCACTGAACCTTGGCAACATCAGGCCACACAGGGTTATCTCCCGTCCGAGGGGTCTCCACGCTGTCAATTCGGCCTTGATCCTTTAAATTCGGCTGCGTTCCTGTCGCTCTGATCGTGCTCAGAGAGCCATCTCCTTTAGACGAAAGCACACTTCAGATCCCTCCCACTGCCTTCTGTTGAGCCACTGCCACCGTTCACCATGGCTCAAGTCGACACCCTGGACATCATTGTCCTAGTGGTGCTCCTTCTGGGCAGCATCGCCTACTTCACCAAGGGCACCTACTGGGGCGTTCCCAAAGATCCTTATGCTACCTCTGCCATGAATGGCACTGCCGCCAAGAAAGGCTCTCGGAACATTGTCGAAAAGATGGACGAATTGAATAAGAACTGTGTCATCTTCTATGGCTCCCAGACCGGTACCGCGGAGGACTATGCGTCCCGTCTGGCAAAAGAAGGGCATGCTCGTTTTGGTCTCAGCACAATGACAGCCGACCTGGAAGACTATGACTACGAGAACCTCGATACCTTCCCAGAAGACAAAATTGCTTTCTTCGTCATGGCCACCTACGGTGAAGGTGAGCCTACGGACAACGCCGTCGAATTCTGGGAGTTCATCAATAGTGACCCTCCCTCCTTCTCCAACGATTCCGAAGACAAGCCTCTGAGCAACCTGAAATATGTCGCGTTCGGTCTTGGGAACAACACATATGAGCACTACAACTTGATGGTTCGCAACCTGGACAAGATCTTGACTAAATTGGGCGCAAAAAGAATTGGTGACGCCGGCGAAGGAGATGACGGTGCTGGCACCATGGAGGAAGACTTTTTGGCCTGGAAGGAGCCCATGTGGGCTGCCCTCGCCAAGGAAATGGGCCTTGAAGAGCGTGAAGCCATCTACGAGCCAGTTTTCGCTGTCGAAGAGAGAGAAGATCTGTCAGTCGAAGATGATACTGTCTACCTCGGTGAGCCCAACAAGAACCACCTCGAAAACACCCAGAAAGGTCCCTACAATGCTCACAACCCCTTCATCGCACCGATTGCCGAATCTCGAGAACTGTTCACTGTCAAGGACCGAAACTGCCTCCACATGGAGATCGATGTTTCTGGTTCTGGCCTCTCGTACACCACCGGTGACCATATTGCCGTTTGGCCTACCAACGCAGGAATGGAGGTTGATCGCTTCATGAAGACTTTTGGCTTGGAAGAGAAGAGACACACCGTCATCACCTTGAAGGGTCTTGATCCGACCGCCAAAGTGCCCTTCCCGACCCCGACCACCTACGACGCTGCTGTCCGCTACCACATGGAAATCTGCGCCCCCGTCTCCCGCCAATTTCTGTCTACCCTGGCCGCGTTCGCGCCCAACGAGGCAGCAAAGAAGGAGATGACCCGATTGGGATCGGATGCGGACTACTTCAAAGAGAAGGCGGCCTCACAAATGTTGAACATTGCCCAAATCGTCTCATCTGTCAGCTCTGAACCCTGGTCTGCCGTTCCCTTCTCTGCGCTGGTCGAAGGTCTCACAAAGCTCCAACCGCGGTACTACTCCATCTCGTCCTCATCCCTTGTTCAAGCAGAAAAGATCTCCATCACGGCTGTGGTGGAATCTATTCGTATTCCGGGTGCAGGTCATATCGTCAAGGGTGTCACGACCAACTACCTACTGGCCTTGAAGCAGAAGCAAAACGGAGATCCCGACCCGTCGCCACATGGTCTTACCTACACAATCACCGGTCCTCGCAACAAGTACGATGGTGTCCACGTCCCTGTCCACGTCCGTCACTCCAACTTCAAGCTGCCTTCCAATCCCAGCAAACCCATCATCATGGTTGGCCCCGGCACAGGTGTCGCCCCATTCCGAGGATTTGTCCAAGAACGTGCAGAACAAGCGAAGCGAGGTGAGGACGTTGGTACAACTGTTCTCTTCTATGGCTGCCGGAGATCAACTGAAGATTGGCTCTACAAAGAGGAATGGGATGTAAGTCATGCTCTGTCCGAGTTTGTGCATTGTTCGGAGATAGCTAATTGAATTATGCAGGAATTTAAGAAGGCTCTGGGTGATAAGTTGATCATCTTCAACGCCTTCTCTCGAGAAACATCCAAAAAGGTCTACGTGCAGCACCTGATCAAGGAGAATGGCAAGCTGATCAACGACCTCCTCCAACAAAAGGCCAACTTCTACGTCTGCGGTGATGCTGCTCATATGGCTAGAGAAGTCAACGACGTGCTAGGGCAAATCATTGCCGCTGAACGCGGAATCGACGAGAAGAAAGCAGAGCAAGTGGTCAAAAGCATGCGCAGCAGTGGTGTGTACCAGGAAGACGTCTGGTCATAGAGGTGCATACGTCTATTACATTCCAACACGACCCGGACTGTCGAGGAGGTCCAGTGGGTGTGCAGTCATCAGACCTTTGAGGTGGCATCCGAGGCGAGGTGTGTACGTCAAGAAGGTTCCCCGAGTCAACCCTGCTATTCGTCTTTTCGGGATGAGGTCTCTTGGTTGCTGGCGGGATCTTCAGCCAGGCCTTTGCAGCCAAGGGCATCTACAACATGAAGCGATATAGGCGCGGCGATCAGGCCTCGTGCCGGAAAGCAAGAGCGGGGAGAAGTCGAAGGTCGGATATCGACCCAAACCTGACGATTGTGGGGTCGACGCGAGAATTCCCAGGCTGGACATCCCGACAACTGACAACTTCGGCCTCCTTCTTTGCCATCCGTGGGGTTGATGAGGGATTGCCCAGATCCGGCCTGTCTTTTCCGGTGGGGCCTTCCGAAAACCTCCTCTTCTCCTCCTTTGACCGATTTAGATGGCGCCATTCGAGCGAGGAGCTTTCTGATTATTACTGCTTGGACAATGTCGTCGGTGGCATGCTTTTTTGCACATTCTTGTGGAGTTCTGGTGATGCCAGGTATAAATATCTAGAAAGATTGAATGAAATTCCAGACTGTCGATAATGCTTTACCCTTTGATACAATGAGGAATGAATAAACAACTCCATGAACGTCTCTGGCCACTGTACTCTGTAAGGGATGGATGAAGTGCGAAACCTGTCAATCTGTCAATAACTTTTTCATTTCCGCACACTATGCATGATACACTATTCCATTTTTCCATGATTCGATGATTTGACGATTTGGGGTATGACCTTCAAATCTACACACCAGCGGTGAATGAGCCACCATGTGACCGGACTTTTGTGACGCAAAGATTCTTGAAATGCTTGACTGCATCCCAGTCCCCAGACCATCAGAGATCCTCAGCCTCCGACTCCGATAACACTACTCTTGCCATACCATATCAGCGATCCCGGGTTGGTGGGCCCCGCCTTGCGCTCGATCAGGCGGCCTCAGTAGTTCGTTCCAGTGCAGCCGTGGCGCGGGCACACGCGTCCTCGAGTGCGAATATATCCGCGCGACATTCTTCGAGGAACCCCTTGTTGTTGTTGTTGTTGTCATCAGCCGGATTACCCTGGGACGTAGAGGTAGAGGTGCCATGCTGCAGAAGCGCGAACAGGAAGTTGGACGACTCGCTCAGTGCCGCGACATGCTTGGCGGCCCGGATGTTCAGGTCAAGCGCGGACTGCAGGTGCGGGAGGATGACGCACAGCAGGTTGAGTCCGGAGATGAAGAAGGGTATGTCGAGGAGGAACGACCACAAGGTGTTCTGGGACTGGTCGTTTGATGAGTCGGAGTCGCTGAGTGACAAGGTCGCCAGATCCGCGGGGAAGAGCAGGTCGACGAGGGGTGCTGGCGAGTCCGAACCGGTCGTCGATGCGAGGAGGATCGCCGGGTCGAGACCGAGACCAAGACCTGATGCCTTGTCCTTGATAGACGTTGCGAATTCATCTTTCAGCCAGTCCACGCCTACGGCTTTGAGGGCACCGAGTTGTTGTAGCGGCGCAAGAGGGATCGGGTGAGGTTGGAGCGCGGACGTGCTTCTTGTGAGGCCCGTTTCTTCGTCGATGCCCGGTTCGGTGGCCGGGTCTTCCTCGAACGTTTCGGCCCAGTTTGTGCTCAGCGTGTCGCCGCGCAGAGTTTGTGTAATGATTTGCAGACGGACATCGGCGTCCGGGTAGGCGTGCAGGAGTTTAGATGCGATGTAGTGCGATGAGTCGCGCAGGCTGGCCCAGGGCGTAGTGGTGAAGAGCTGGGTTAGCGTGCTGATGAGGAGCAGGAATTTGGCAGCTGAGGGCGGTGGATGAGGGTTTGGATTGGGTTCGGAATGTGGTATGGCGTGGCGGTAGAGCAGGGACAGGAGGGAGTCCTGCACTACTGGAGAAGGTATGGTTGGTGTTGCGCTGAGCGGGAATCCGTGCGCAATCAGTTTGGTCAAGTCGCTCGTGGACAGGGCCAGGGGTGCGTCGAGAGGGTCCGAGAAGGTCGTAAAGGCGTGCAGGAAAATTACGCCGTTCCTGGGGAAGGGGATTTGAGAAGGGGAAATCGGGTATTCCGAGGCTTCCTCCTCAGGCTCGTCTGGATTTTCGACGTTGTCTTCGTCTGCGACGAGTTTTTGGATTTCCTGGCTGGCATTGATGTTCATCTCCATAGCAAGTTTGTGGAATCTGGCGAGCAGTGCGTCTCGCTGTTTGAGGTCTTCTGTCTCTTGCCATAGCTGGGTCTCGGTGGATCTGCCGGATAGTACTCGTTGTGGTTCGAAGGTTTCCCTGAGCCGAGCAGTCCATGACATGGATGGATGTTCGCTGGATGTGAGCGAGGATAGATATTCGTCCAATACTTCGAGCATGACCGCGTTCAGGAGGCGGAATATGATGGCTTTTTCTTCTCCAGATGGCACTTTGCCACCCGTTTCTTCCTCTTCTGCTTTGGCTTCCGGATCAGGCAACGGCGCGGGTGCGGGTGTCACGCCTTGCGTCTGACCACCAGAAGTTCTGGTGGTGACAGCTGCACTACCCGCACGCGGCGGAAGTGGAGGCCGTGTCTTCCCAGACAAGGTCTCTAGCATCGTCAGAAAAGCGGTAGTCGTCGCCGCAGAGATTGGTATCTGTCTGTATGCACCTAAAGCCGCTGGAAGAGAGGTAGCAAGGAATCGGCTGGGATATTGTGTCTTGATCCTGGGATGAAGAGCACCAAGCATGTTGAACAAAGCTCGAAGCTTTAATTCTTTGAGTGAAGAAGGTGGCTTCTGGTCCACATCGCTGTCGGCGGGGCCTGTTTCGACAGACTGTTTAGCCTGCGGCATGCCGTCGAGCTTCATAGCACCCAGATGGACGTGCGGTGCTTCGCCAGCAAAGGTTCGCATTTCGTCATCATCAGCTTCTTGGTCAAAGTCTTCGTCTTCGACTCGGTCACCTAGCTTTTCAAGCTCCTCAGCTACGCGGACAACCACTTCCCGAGGATTGCCTTTGCGAGCTATGAATTCCAGACATTGGTTGGCCTCGTCAGGAGCATGACTCAACATCGGAAGGACGAGCCTGAGCAGATCCCAGCCGATTTCTTCTACCAATTTACCGTCATCTTCGGAGAGAAGCCTGCTTAGGGTGGGTAGATTTTGCGGGGTTAGCTGATATTCCAGTAAGGTCAAGTAGGTCATGTAGTCTGTAGCAGGGGGTAAAGCTGCCACCAGCGGATCTTCTTGTGAAGACTGATCAGCCATGTTGGTCAAGTCAAGCAGAAATGGCGTAGGATTGGAAGGTGGGATGTGCAGCTGTTCAAATAATCAGGCAATGGCAGCGAGATAAGTGGAATGGTAGATCTGGATCTTGCTGGCTGCTCTTCCTTATGGCTTTTTGGTCAAGCAGCCAGCTTCGATGACGGCGAGTTCTCAAGCGACTGGTAAGCTGAAGGACGAGGACGCGGCTTTTTATTCTGAAAATGTAGCACGAGAGAAGAGGAGGTGAGTTCATGATAGTATGATCAACGACACGTGATGCAGCGTCATGCTTGGCAGTCACGTGGCAGTCCACAGAAAGGAAGAATAGCACTGAAGGCCTTGAGGGGCACCGCATGAGACCAACTTCACTTCGAAACGCTTTTCCTGTCACTGGCGGTGTCATGATGAAGCTCGCTAAAACCACATGGCGGCTCATTGTCAAGAATGAAGTTCTCATTCGATAATGTCTACCAAGGTCAGCTTCCGATGCGACGTGTCGCCGTTCTGTTCAACAATCAGCCCACCTCTGGCCCCCCAGAATGACCAGAAACGGCCACTCGAGATACATCAGCAAGCGACATATGAGAAGTTGTGGTCAGGCGAGTCCCTCTACTACACGGTAGGCTTCGACTGTATCTGACTGATTTTCTGATCTTTGCAACACGCTTTGCCTTTTGTGAGACAAGTCATTGGACAGGACAGCTTCGGTCCTCTCGTCAATGGATGGTGATCCAGATCCCTGAGATTCTGTACAACAGGACCGCTTCAAGTGCACGATGAACTTTAAGCATCAAACTCCAGGAGAGCATGCGAACTTATCGTAACCGGCGGCCCACGCTATCAGCACCATGACAGTTGGTTCTCATAGCGTGGAGTCCTGCTGGAAAGGTCGACGCCATGGGCCAAGTATGTGCGCAATAATGCACAGCCGACCGACATCCATCCCTAATGCCGTACTTCCGTACATTATGGGTACAAAACCTGACTCCCATGGCCCATATATGGTCATGTTTGTGCCGTACCAACCGCGGAGATCTTACCCGGCAAGCTTGGATTACCGTTTCAATAATGATTCCTTGATCTTTTTCCCGTGGTACTCTCCGATCTCATCGGATGAGCTCCCTCTGTAGCAGGACTGGACAACGAACGATTGACCGGCGCTAGCTATAGGCCTTATAAATCCGACAGAGACTGTTGGAGTTTGGCCGTGGGTATCGCACAGGGATCCAGCTGGCAGCAGTCGCATCGGACATTTTGATCAGCAACTTTCGTCAAGAGAAGGAAATTATTATCATTCTCCCGTCATCAGAAGTTGGTGGTGACTACTGCACTTGTCTCAAAACAATTAGCTAGGGCCCCTCAGCTGGGCAGGGGTTCCACGTTCCTTTTCCCCAAGAACCGGAGGATTTTGTGGCTTGCGAGGCGCCAAACTAGAACGAAATAGTGACCGCCACCCCTGGTAAAGAGGAAACCCCCTGGAGCGCCGCAGCTGCGAGTGTGAAGATCGTTCGTCTGGTCTTCTGTGGCGCATGATCGAAGGAGTCTCTCTCGCACCTCAACCGAAGTTGGAACTTGCAGAGTCTTGCAACCACTTTGGAATATCAGCAACCCAGGCTCCGGTGTCTGCCCGACCTATTTCGGTGCCTAATCATGACTTGCATAAGCTTAGGTTGGTGCCATCTCGGAATGGGCCAGAGCCATGTGAAAAGCCCCATTGATTGTTTCTTGCATCTCGCCTCAACAAGGGCACCAACTTACCCAAACAACAACCGCCGTGGGCAATCGTCTCTTTTGGCTTTTGCGGAGAATAAAATCGGATCGTTCCTTTCTTACCTGTCGGCTTGCTCATGTCAAACATGATGCTACGAGCAGTTGGCTACCCATGCGTGGAAAAGTTTCCGATGATCTGTCGCCGTTCATTCAATAGTGCTCCACGTCGCTCTTCTCCACGCTTTCCACTATCGAACGCAAAATGAAATCACAATGATCAGAAGGAGACAAGGATTGAGTTCAATGCCGGATTGAGCCTCTTGATATCGCGTGAGGGTCAGTATTTGAGATTACCGGTACATATCCTTGACATAATCTTGGAACGTTGGGCAGACTTTGGCTTCTTCATCCAGGTTTATTCCATGGTGCCGGCGAAACAAATACAACTATCTCCGCCTGTGGATTGCGGGCTTCGACTTGCTCACGGTGGGCCACAGCCAGGCAGAATGACCGTCATGTCACCCTCTCAAGTTGGAGAGCACGCGACGGCCACTCGAGTGACAGATGTCGAATAAAATTATTTATTTATGGAAGGTGCCATGGAAACTTCGGGCTTGAAATGAAAAAGCAAATCCCATAACCAGGACAAACCCTGGCGTACCCTGGTATCGCAGAGACACGGCCGGAAAATTGGTTGAAGCACCGACAAGCGAGAAACCAGTCTAGGCTTGCTGGGCCACCAGATCCTCGAACATCCCGACACCCTGGTTGGCCGCGTAGATATCTTGCATTCGGCCCTGCTACCGGTCGTACCAGTGATCTCTCTCCTGTCGCCAAACTAGCCAAACGAGCTGCGACAGTACGGAGTATGAACTCTTAGGAGCGGCCTGAATTCGAAGCGAGCCTCGCAAATACAAGGAATTTTCCGCTGATGGCAGCACCTGATAATGATGGTTCTGCATGACGGCCTTTTGTCGTAGTATACGAGGCCGACAGGGGTGACAGAGTGGGATGTCCTTCTTCGATTAATGCCTAATTGAACCCCTGAGAACTGCTCTCAAGGCGGGCCGGATGCGTTGGCGACAATCAGCGACATACAGGCTTTTCCAAATGCAGCATACCGTTATAACGCCCCCGAGGATTTCGTACAGGATGCCCGAAGCCAAAGTCCATGGACTTTGGCACCAGTGGTTGAGCCTCCCTGTATGATAGGTGGTACGAAGGATCCCATGGCGGAGGTTCCCAGGTCGTCATTCGTCTCACAGATATGTCTATTTCTGGTGGTGTATGCAGCTCGCCAGTCGATGCATGAGATTGAATGGACGACCTCGGGGATCGTCTCGTGCATCTGGCCAAGAAGCAAGATTGCAAGCCATCAATCCTGAAAGGCTCGCTTCGCTCACAATGCCCTGTTCGAAAATTCGGCGTATGTACTGTACACATTGGCCCTCTCCTGCCATTTCCTGCTGGCCGGGCCCTGAAAGAAGGTGAATCTTCTGGAGGGTGTTCACTGTTCATCCACCGTTTGGCTTTTTTGGGACATGAATGTCTCTCCATATCCTGAGCCTCTCGCCAATGACAGACTCCATCAGGGTCCGGTCCCCCAACGGCCGGCCTCATCAGCCGCGTAGCCCGATACAGAGTCCGGCTGGCCAATGGCCAGGACATGGCTCGCTCATCGAGCCTCGGGGCGTTCTACCAGCTGCGTCGTCCCATTGGCCTTGTTCCCGCCTGCTCTACCGGGGTTGAATGCAAACAAGACCCGCGATGCACAAATGGCGATCCATTTGTGTCCGCCCATGGGCATTTTGTGGCCAAAGCTTATGCCCTGATTGCTCGACCATGTCTTAACTACTATGGAAGCGTGTCAATCATCCCTCCCAAACTCGGAAATCCTCATCAGCCCTGGGGCGAGTGTGGCTGGTGCCATCGCATCGCTGGCTTGCCGAGACATGACTATCTAGTACAACCGACGCGTACCATGCACACCATACCCTCGCCAGGTAGGCGGCGAAACCCCTTCCGCACCAGGCTTCCCACTCGCTTACGGCGGATAGTACGCTGTTTCTGGCATGTCGCAATTGACAGCGGGAGACATGGGCCAAGTGTCCGTCAGACGCAAACACTAACGCATACCCTCAGCTCCTCCATGGATCCCTGGGCTTGCGCATACAGACCGATGTGGACCTGACGACGGCACTATTGGACCAAGATTCTGCCTTTCGAATCTGTGTAGAGCAGATCGTCCGCCTTCGATCACGAACATGAGGAAATTTGGCCGCATGTTGACCTCTCCCGCGCAATCCATATGCATGCCACCGAAGGTGCCCTTGCATGCATGATGAACGCAACTACTAGTGTGAGCAGCTTAGCTTTCTTCGTCTCTCTTCTGTGCGGCGATTCCCAGCTTGGTTATGACATCGTGTCGAAGCCACCAAACCTCCTCGAGCGACGAAGCGGTTTTGCTTCAGCTTCCTTCATCTTGACGACACAGTCGCGACGCTCTTTCTCGAACAGACCTACCGTTTCATGTGTGCCGTTCTTGCCTCTCGCTTCATCATCCCGGTGTCTCCCTTCATTTCGAGTCATTCGTTTTTACTGACGTTTGCGGTTCCTGTCCGCATCGACCAAGTCCTATATCGCTCTGTTTGGTCAATATTGGTTGCGTATGAAATTGGGGCCGAAGAGAAAACTTGTCCAGGTATGCAGCAATATGTTGTGCCTCACCTCGCACCAAATCCATTGGACTCGGAGCCAACTTACTGACAAGTCCCCAAGCACTTGCACGGACATCTAAATAAGCGTCGGAAGTACTGCTGGTACAAGGTCGAAGCGCCCGACTTCCACCTTGACGGTTGTTTTGCATACCAGACAACGTCTGAGCACGGACTTTTTCACGACGACTTTCACTTCCAGCCTTGGACCGGCGTTGTCTTTGTGAATTTTCTTGCCGACACTGTCTGGGTCACCTTGGAATTGGGGGCTTCAGGACAAACCTGATGCAGCATTCACGTCCACCTCAGTTCCCTCCTCTTTGCTCGTCGTTCAAGAGACATAGGTCTAGCATTGACGGCACACGGTTCACCATAGACCTCACTCTGCCGAAGCCATTTGCAGCGCCCATTTGGGCATCTCTCCCTACACCTCCCATGTCCGGTTCTCCACCACCGGAGCCGCCTAATGAACCACCACAGCTAGCGGGCCGTCGAAGGAAACGATCCGATACACCTCCTACAACTACAGCCGCCACGGTCATCACATCACCCGCAACGCCCATCGAACATACAGCTCCTAGACTGTTAGGTGCGCAGACAAGAGGTGGCGAGATTATTGCAGAATTGCCCGTACAGCCGGGTCCCTACGTACCGAGTTACCCAATTCCAGCCTCGTATCAGTCCGGATCTAGCCTAGCCACGACGACGACGACGAGCGGAACAGAATCTCGATATGCCCTCAGCCCAGTGTCGCCTCGCACTGCACGAAAGCCAAAGGCGCATGTCGCGTCGGCGTGTGTCAACTGCAAAAAGAAACATTTGAGGTGCGACAACAGCCGACCATGTAGGAGATGTGTGCAGAGCGGCAAAGAGGTAGGCATTTGGCAGGTATGGTAGGGAACAAAGTGCTGATTCTGGTGCAGGGTACGTGCGTTGATGTTGAGCACAAAAAGAGAGGGCGGCCTCCTTTGAAGCCAGAGGACCCCTCCGCACGGCGTCCGTTCGAGTCAGCCTTGACTCCGTTGGGATCTACTCTGGGAGATCCAACGAGACGAATACCGGCTTCAGATTCATCCATTTTGGGGCAGCCGCCGGGATTTGTGCCACGGTGGCGACCATTACAAGTAGACCCGTCTCGGAGTGCTCCTATGAGAGGAGCAGGATTCCCACCCATGTATGCTTCGGCGTCTATCTCTCCCAGCCACGCCACTGCTGCAGGTACCTTTACTTCTCCTACTCGGCAATATCCGCCACTTGGAATGTCTATTCCCGGTCAAGCCCCAGCATCGTACAGTCCACGTCAATCTGGATCTGCTATGAGTACAATGGCTGGATATGCGTACCCCTACCCGCATCCTGGACAGATGGGACCCCCAACTCAGATGACTTACTCGAATCCTATCTTTCCACGTCCGACTGGAGCGGGATCCTACTCCAGCGAAACATTGCCACCGTTCGGTGGCCCAGCAACTCTTCAGCTACCGCCGATTCGACCTGCCCCTACCGGGCCAATTGACCCTGCCATCACACAGCAATCTCAGCAGCAGACGCACCAACCCCCTCAACAGGCTGAGGGTAGCAGAGATGATGGAACGCAGGAGCGCGATCCGAAACGGCCGAAGATGGATATTCAAGGTATCCTTGGCCCTAAGCATGAGTGAATACGGCACCATCATAGGGAGACGGCGAGCCCGCCACACCTTCAAGCTGAAGTGTGACCACATCGACTAAATATTTTCCTTTCTGACGAAGCAACGAGCGTCTAACGGCTTTTCACTACGACATATACTATTTTCTACTTGTATAACAGTTTTCCACAATGAGCTGCGCTGGACGCAAGTTCGCCTGTGGACGACACCAGTTCCAGTTACAGTCCGCACATAATGAAGGTATTGGGATTGAAAGGCACCTAGGACCGAACATTGGCACACGAATGTCATGTCGATTTTCGTTCCATTTCTTTTCGTTCACGGTGGATAATTGCTATTCATGCACATATTTCATCTTCGACCGGGATAGGAACCGGGATGGTCCAAAATGAGGCCTCAGAACTGTCACTGCCAGGGCATATCGTGCTGGCTAAAAGCACAGTTTTCGACTCACATTGGATTGGGCTATGTTACGGCCTGGACGAACGATGGGCAATGGTGTCTATTATTTATTTTTTTGATGGACACGGATGAGTTACCAGTCTCATACTACACGGGGAAAATGACTGTCTGTTTGGTTTACGGCGGAATAATTGGAGCATGCACCCTGCGCAGGGGACGGACATAACATCGATGGCTGGAAATTGATCAATACCAGCATGGAACTCTATAGATTTGTTTGCTGTTCAAGAGCTATGGCTGTCAGGAATCGGCGTGCAGTGCGAAATGGCTACGACGACAATGTCAATACACGGCCGATTGTGGATGTCCAGTATCACCGAAATGGGATTATGTGGGTGTATTTTGCAAGAGCCAGCAATAAGGGGAAGGAATCGTTCTAGAGGCTTCAGACGGTCTGGTCTGGTCTGGTCTGTAAGAATAAAAAGTATCCTGACCGGAAGCTGCCCATCATTGCTCTACAGTGTCTCATGTTCATCGACCGCTCGGAACAATACCTAGGTATATACGGGGACTAGCTCGCAAATCAGTTTCAGTATAGACTGAGTCACCAGTCCTTTAACACGATATTCTCTGATCCGTCGCACAAGCAGGCTACCTAGACTTGAGATCTCATGTGTCTCGTCTCGATGCTGGCTAGCTAGAGGATGAGGAAGAAAAAGAAGGACGCTGCGCTCCACTTGCACCATTCTATTGGGAGCTATGAGGATGGACGATGGACGATGGACGATGGGACGTTCCAAGGTCTATAGAAGCTGGTTACGTGAACTCCCTAGGTAACTAGTCGTTCGCAAGCAGACCAGATGCCATGGCTTCGAGATCCTCCAGCGTCCGTGGCTGTTCATCTTCCACATCAGTTGGCTGACGTTTACCTTTCTTCTTTTTGGTCTTCGTCTTGCGGTCGCCTGTCGCTGCCGCTGCCGCTGCCTCGTCCTCGTCCGACGCCGACGCATCTTCAAACCATTTTTTCGGCCTCTTCCGTGGAGGTTCGTCGCCTCGTTCTTCATATTGCTGTTCATCCTCCTCGTAAGGCGCAAGTTGCACGCCTTCATCGGCGCCGTCACCCAACCGCTCCGCCTCCTCCTGGGCGCGCTGTTCCCGCTCTCTTTCCTTGCGCTTCTCCTTCTTCTCTCGCCTCTTCTGCCGGGCGATCTCCTTGTCGACTTCGTCCATCTCCTTGGCGCGTTCGCGCTCGCGGTCGAGGAATTCTTCCTTCTCCTTCTGCGCCGCGTCGGGACCAAAGGTGCTCTCGTCGCGGTACGCTTTGCGGTCCTTGGGTGTGTCGGAGTCGCTGTCGAACGTGAGGTGCGCGCCGCGGCCCTTGTATTTGAGGAGTTTCTTGCGCGAGGACAAGAGTTTTTCGCGCCGGTTCGAGTCGATGATTAGGGGCTCGGCTTTGTCGGACAGTTTGAGTGCTCTGATCTCTCGAGCCGAAGTCGAGGGGTGTTTGTCATCATTGGAAGATTCGCGGTTGGAAGAGTCGGTGTCGTTGGGGGAGTTGTGGTCGAGAGCGGCGTCGCCAGCTTCGAAACGGCGTTTGACGGAGAGGAAATCGTTCACGTCGTCCTTATCGGCGGCGGTGTCGTTGGTTCGTGGTTTGGAGTCTGATTCGTGTTCATCCTCGTCCTCGTCATCTTCAATGAGTTTTGTGTAATGTTCGGCCAGGACGTCCTGATTCTGTCGTTCGAACATGCGATCGTACTTCGTTCTGACCGCTTTTTGTTTCTGTCTGGTCTTTTCGCCGTCCGCGCCTTCGTCACCGCTGGTGTCGCTGCCCTCCAACGCGGCAAGCAGTTGTCTCGGCATGTTCTTCCTAGCCTTTGCATCCTCGCCTTTCACAAATTTTACGCGCGGGGCCCCTGGGAGGCCCAAACTCGCCGCAAAGCCCTCTAGATCGAGTTTCTTCAGGTCGAAGGTATTCTTGTCCTTTTGGACGTGCACGCTTCGTACGTAACTGACGAATGCCTTCTGGCCGAGGTATTTGAGTTCGGGGTCCTTGAAGCACATGTTCTGCAATTGATTGCGGATAGTGTTTTGCATTTTCTTCTGGCGCACATTGATCTTTTCAAGAGTCACTTTCTTCTTCTCGAGAGCCGCGAGCATGCCTTCCTCTTCGCTTGGGTCGACGAAGAGCACCGCCCGGCCGTCGCGTTCGTACCGTGCTGTACGGCCCACGCGGTGGATGTATGTATCTGCGTCTTCAGGGCAGTCGACTTGCACCACCCAGTCGACGGAGGGGAAGTCGAGGCCTCGGGCGGCGACGTCGGTTGAGAAAAGGCAGGCGTATTTGCTGTTGGAGTATTTAGTTGTGATGTCCAGGCGTGCTGTCTGTTTCTGGCGGCCGTGCAGGTGGAGCAAGGTGATACCTGGCTGAAGGTGTCGGAAAGATTCATAGACGAAGCGGACTTGTTTGCCGGAGCTGAAGAAGACGAGGATTTTCTTCTTGGTGTTGGCACGGATGAACGACCATAGCGTGTCGAGTTTCTCAGCGAGAGGAGACAGGACGTAGTTCTGTTGCAGGGTCGAAGGGGTTGCGCTGTCGGCTGCTTCGTGGACGGAGACGAACTCGGGTTCTTTCAGGCTGAGACGAGCGAGGTCGGAGACCTTTTTGGTTTGGGTTGCACTGAACAAGAGGGTCTGGCGGCTCGGTGGGAGGTGCTCGACCAGGGCGTCGATGGTCTGTCGGAAGCCCATGTCCATGATGCGGTCGGCTTCGTCAAGCACCAGAATTTGGAGGTTGCCGATGTCCAATTCAGCGGTCTGATCCATATGTTGTAGCATACGGCCCGGGGTTGCTACGAGAATGTTCATTCGGCTCAGGCGCTCTCGTTCTTCTTTTAGACTTTTGCCTCCGATGACCAGGCCTGCTGAGAAGGTGTGGTTGCGACCGACCTTGCGGAGGACTTCGAAGATTTGGATTGCCAGTTCGCGGGTGGGAGAAAGGATGAGGGCACCAACCCCATCGTATTCGGTCCATCTTTTGCGATAGAGGTTTTCTAGGACGGGGATGAGGAAAGCGAGGGTCTTGCCAGAGCCCGTTTTTGCGGCACCAAGGATATCGAGGCCTTGCAATGCTAGGGGGATCGTCCGACTTTGGATGGTAGTCAGGGTCTTGAAGTGGGATGCCGACAGACCATCTTGCGTGGCTTGGGACAGAGGGAGGTCAACGAGGTTCTCGGGTGGTGTTGAAGATTTGGGGTCAAGTTCCGCAACTCGCTTGGTCAAGACGTCAAGGTCTTCTTCTTCTCGCTTGCGTTTGAGTTGGCGAGGTCTCTGGAAGCCAACTCTTGGAGCAGGTCCGCCGACTTTTCGTCGCCCAGGTGGTGCCATTGTGTAGGTAGGATTGGACTGTGTAGAAGTGGCAGTGAGAACAAGCGCAGGGGAAGTTTGGAAAATTATCCTGCGAGAATTGTTATCGATAAGATTCAGCCTTGCACATCCACTGCAGCCTTGTCACGTGCCTTATGTAGCGGAGTGGGCCTCGTGGGTGAACGGTAATCGGCCTTGTCGGCAGACCTTCTCCAAAAGTCAGAGGCATGGTTCGCGCCGCTCGTTACAGCCGCAAGTCTCTCTTGCCTTGCTTTTGATCGTACGACAACAGCGTCTGAACATTCTTGCTGCTGTTTGGGCGGATCATCCCCTTTTCCTGAACCTAGGAACCGACGAGGCGGTCGAGCAAACTCATTCAAGCAAGGTTGACACCACAGTACTAGTCATCGGTAAGGTACATACTTTCAGCCCACCATGGCTAATGATGAATCCGATGCTCTTGATGTGCTTGAAAAGGAAGCCAAAGAATATGACAAGGTTCGCATTCTCTTTCACTTACAATGGCCAGTACTGAACTTGTGTGTAGGATGCTGAGATAGATCGAATCCTCAAAGCATTTAAACTCGATGCGTAAGTCAGTCATCGATTGTGGCAGGCTGTGTGCTAACACTTTCACAGCTATGCAGTACTTGATCTACAGCCTGGTGTGCCTGAATCCGACATCAAGATTGTTTATCGCAAAAAGTCCCTGCTAATCCATCCCGACAAAACCAAAAATCCCCAAGCACCCGAAGCCTTTGATCGATTGAAGAAAGCACAAACCACCCTGGTTGATGAGAAACAGCGTCAGCATCTTGACGAATGTATAGCAGATGCCAGACAATTGCTCATTCGACAGCACAAGTACACGGTTGATTCGGAAGAGTTGAAGACAGAAGAGTTCAAGCAGGAATGGAGAAAGAAGACTGTTGAAGTGCTGGTAGAGGCTGAAGCCCGACGCCGGAGACAGATGAAGGCCAAGATGCAAGAAGAAGGTCGAGAGCAGGCCAAGGAGGATGCCGAGATCGAGGAGCGAAAACGGAAGCGTGACCATGAGAAGCAATGGGAGCAAACAAGAGACCAACGGATAGGAAGTTGGCGGGACTTCCAGCAAGGAAAAAAGAAGGGAGATGAACAGAAGAAGAAAAAGAAATTGAAGGTATTGGGGTGATTGCGGCGCGGTGTTGTGAGGGCCGGTAAGGAATAAACGGGCGTTCAATGAAGCAAACAAGGCTATGGGAGATAGATTTCAATGAATGGACATGACAAGACGAAGTGGAAGCCATGAAAGAAACAGTATAACACAACAAGGCCTTCTATGTGCTTCGGTCCTCTGTGTACCGTACCGAGTAGTACCCTCCCTGTCAGGCCCATCACCGAGGCACCCTTGTATACCAACCCGTTTGTCCCCGGAGACGTGGTAAAGGATGAGGATGACTTCGCAGGGATTCCCCACACCTCGTCTCAATGCTGCTTCTTCAATCTGCTTCTCCGACTTTCTGGACTCTTACATTGCCAGTCTGCCCTGCATTCTCTTGTTCTCTCTTTACTCAATGTCTCAATCATGAGCAATGCATCGCTGCCGCCCAATGCCCCCATGATGAACGGTACCGTCCCTAATCGTCATGGAGAAGCCGATGTACCCTCCTCCAGTCTAGAACATGTCTGCGCTCAACTCCATTCACAAGTCCATTCATTCCTGGCCGCATCTCCTTCGGACGACGTTACTAGACGGACACAAGAACAGACAAAAATTGCATTGGGTGTGATAGAGCAGGCGCTGGCAGATTATGAGTGAGCAGTCGCACCAAAAGACCACGCAGCCCACAGGATATAAGCCCAGCTAACATAGCGAGTACGCACAGCAGATTTGAATCGTTATCACTTTCATACAACGGCGGGAAAGATTGTCTGGTGCTCCTTATACTCTACCTAGCCGTGCTCCACAGCCATTTCACGCGCATCGTCAAGACCGAGCCGGATCGTCAAGATGGTTCTTCACCAACGGTCACCTTTCCCACCTCGATCCCCTCCATCTACGCCAAACCACCCGACCCATTCCCCGCCGTGTCCGACTTCGTCGAGTACTCTGCCCGACTCTATCACCTCGATCTGGCGCATATATCGACCAACCCTGGCCCATCCAAGAAAGAGCGCTCTCACTCCAACCCGACCATCACCAAACCGTACCCTCGAGTCGAGCCGAACACGAACCCGAACGACGGCGTAGACGGCGTGGGTCACCACTCGATATCCATATCCAAACCTATAGTATCCTTCCGCGACGCCTTCGAACTCTACCTGTCTTCACACCCGTCCGTGAGAGCCATCTTCGTCGGGACCCGCCGCACAGATCCCCACGGCGCACATCTCACGCACTTCGACCCGACCGACCACAATTGGCCGCCGTTCATGCGTGTACATCCGGTCATAGACTGGCATCTGTCCGAGATTTGGTGCTTCTTGCGATCGCCGCTTCTGAAAGATCTAGAAACAGGCGGCCCGCTCAGGTATTGCCCCATGTATGATGAGGGGTACACGAGTCTAGGCGGTGTGAATGATACCCTGAAGAACCCGAAGTTGAAGGCTCGTGATGAGAATGGCCACGAATACTATCGGCCCGCGTTTGAGATGACCGAGGACGAGGGTGAGAGATTGGGACGAGAATAAAGGCGGTGGGTGACTGGCTGGGTTGCTCTGGCTCTGTGACCTAGGTGGTGAACTACTTAGGAGTCGCGCCCACAGCTCCCTTGAACAAGAGATTATATGCCTCGAAACGAATTCGGTTTGGCAGAATCTCCCCAGTCGAATCGAAGCACTCGATACGAGGAATTGTGTCGGCAATACAACGACCAACAAAATAAATGGCCGCATATCATTAGTGTTGATTAAAAACGGTCCATGATGATAGATCTCCAGTCGAAGACCGGGGACTTGGATATAGTAACCTATGTTCAGAGAATATGTCGCAACAGACGACTTGGTCAATAATTGGCATTATACAATCATTTGAAACCTCCTACCTACATCCATACCGTTTCTATCGTAGATATCCGCACCTTTGTCCAGAGAGAGTTTCAGGTTGTCAACGTTTGTGTCTTTTTTGACTCAGGTACACAGGACACAGGACACAGGACACCGGACATAGGACACAGGACGCATCTCGTGTTCCTTTCTGTTTCTCTCGGAAAGAATTTGCTGCGGCTGATCTCACTCCTGACTACTCCCTCTTGACCGGCCCGACACCCTCCCCGCCAACTCTCTCCGTCCCTTCACTCCCGTTCCCACTCTCACTGCCCGGTCCCGATCCACTGAACGGCACACCCTGATGCAAACTCATATTCGTCGCCACGCCCGTTGTGCTTTCGCCACCGTCCCAATGCGCATCACTAAGGTACTTGAAATCCAGACCCCGAAGCTCATCCTCCTCCTTGACGCGCAGATGGCAGCCGGGGATCTTGTTGATCACGAACAGCAAGATACAACTGACCACGAAACTCCAGGCCGCGCACGTCGTCGCCGCCGCGAGCTGATAGCCCATTTGCTTCCAATTATGCTCCCACCACCCTCCGGCGTAGCTGTCCCCGCTGAGGCCGTCGAGCGCCGGCACCCAACTCGCAGCGAAAAACCCCGTGAGTATGTCTCCCACGAAGCCGCCCACACCGTGGATCGCGAAGATATCCAGCCCCTCATCGATTGAGATCAGGTATTTGTACTTGTTCGCGAAGAAGGAGCAGCACGACGTAAGGAAGCCGACTAGCGCGGCCACGTAAACGGGGACTATGTACAGTAGAAAGGGTCAGCTCAGCAACACACGGCAGCCCTTGGGGGGCCGACGGAAAGAAAGGGGGGACATACCGAAGCCGGCAGCAGGTGTGATGCCCACAAGGCCCGAGATGATGCCTGAACAGAAGCCAATGATGCTGAATTTCTGCGTGTACAGGTACTCGAGGAGTGTCCAGCCGATCCCGCCCCCGCACGCTGCAAGGTTGGTGTTGACGACAACATAGATCGAGCGAATCGACAGGTTCGCTGTGCTGGCTCCTATAGTTCGTGCAGCAAATCATTAGCTACAATCCTTCTTCACTGGTAAGGTATATAGCCGTGAGCGTGGCGTCCACGCCCCTTGCTGTTCATAAGATGACAACAGGAGAAGACAACGAAAGACAAAGGAGCGGGAAGGATCAGTCAGAGAATACTAACCGTTGAAAGCAAACCATCCAAACCAGATGAAGCAAGTCCCGATGCCAACGAGAAACGGATTATGGGGTTTGAAATGCTGCACAATCTTGGCCCTTTCTCCGGCAGAATGGTCGCTAATCCTCGGACCCAACATGAGACTCCACGCCAACGCGCTGAACCCGGTGGCAATATGCACGGGGCCGGAGCCCGCGAAATCATACACGCCCAGCTGGTACAGCCAGCCGTTGGGATTCCACTCAAAGTATGCGAGCACGTAGTACACGAACGTCGTCCAGCACAATAGAAAGAGCATACTGGGCCACAGACGTCCTCGCTCGAGCATGGCACCCGCTAAGATCATCGCCGTCGCGGTGACAAATGTGAAACCATAGGCTGCGTACAGGATGTCCGGAATGTCGGAGTTGGCGAGCGACGGCGCCGCCAGGACGTTGTGCAAGCCGGCCAGACTCAGGTTGCCGAGCATCGGGTTCGTCGCGCGTGACTGGTACAGCGAGTAGCCGTAGATCCAAAATTGGATGCCGCAGGCGCAGGCGCAGAAGAGAGATTGGAAGATCATGGTCAACGCCGCCTTGCGTCGATGCATGCCGGCGTACAGATAGCCGATGGCTGGGGTGATTTGCCAGCAGAGGATTGTACACACGAGGACCCAGCATAGATCGCCCTAAGGAATCGTATTAGATAGGATAGGATGAAGTGCTGGACATCCAAGAGGATAGTGCGTGGCGTACCTTGTCATATGGAGCGTTGAGGTCCTGAGTGATCGGGTTGCCGCCTTGAGGGTCGACGCTGTAGTCCGGCCACTCTGTGACCGGGGTGATTTCTGACATCGCTGGAGATTTCAAATGGGACAACAATGGATGGTGATTTTGGGAATATTGGGGGAAATGGAGATGTGCGGAGAGGAAACCAAAGAAGCCATGGGGGAATGTGCTCGACGCCTTACTTATGGGCGTTTGTGCAATACACGGTAAACTCAGGGACGTCCCTTGCCCGTCGGCCATTATCTAGGGAGTCTCGGCCATTCGAGCCAAGAGATAACCATGATAGGAGTGCTAGATCCCAGAAAAGCAAATAAGTCCCAAGTCGAGGACAAGAACGTGGCAAGTGATAGGATCATGGAGGTAATAATGTCTGCGCGCTCACTAGTCAAGCACGTTCCTGAGACAGTCGGCGCCAAGGTCCGTCCAAGTAGAGAGTAAGCAGCCCTTAGATATGAGCATGCGGGTGCAGTTGAAAGATGTTCATTCGTTCAAGCCGTCGACTGGGAGGATGCAGGTACAATACTCTGCGTTGAGCAATTGAATAATGCATCAGAGTCACCCTTATCAGTGGAGCTGTACCAAGACCTTGGCATGGGTTCCGCTGGCGAGGCTGAGGTACCAAGGTACGTGGTCCCGCCGTATCCAAGACTTTTGTTCTCTTGGTCCTCGACATGGGCGGAACCCGAAGAGCCGTCCTTATCAGTCCATGTGTACTCACCATTACTCTCGGCATGTTCCAGGTATGTCCTCACATGCAAATAGCCAGTCTTCCTTGGGAGGTCCGTCCGCCAGAATCATTTATATCAGCCATACACGCGGATATTGCTACTTACTCTTCAAGACCGGAAATAAGAGGCTCGACCAGCATGCGTTGCCTCGATATCCGCCACCATCAACGTGATAGAGATAAGCGACATCTTGCAATTGAACAATCTCGGATCCTTCGGATGTCAGGTGCTTCTTTCTGCGATAACGGTGAATATAGCCTATTAGCTGTAAGCCAACACCTAGAGAAAGAGATTCACAGCAGGCCAAAAAAGTGACGATCCAACAGAAAAGGACCATGTCATGTCATTCAAATGCATATGCCAAAGTCGTCAAGCCACGGCAAGATCCTCAAGGAGACCGTATTGCATTGTCAAAATAGTGCTTCGCCATGACCACAGGCTGAGTTGCGGTCTCTTTCAACTAGATATGTTTGTCGGTATACTCCGTATATATTCTCCTATACCGGTTGCGGTTCACACAAAGTGATGGAAGATGAAGCAGCGAGCAACTGAACAAGAAACGGTTGTCCATATAGCGCAGCGCCTTGTGCGCTTTTCATCCATCGGGTCTGTAATCCATTGGGTCATCCACATATGTCCGTTCTGATACTCTGCCCAGGATCATCCCGCTGTTTGTAGGGTTGTCTAAGCCTTCCACGCAGCAGCAGTGAGTTGTGCAACGGCCCGGCTTGTATTCCTACTACGTCCAACCATGAAGGCGACGGTTGACGCGACGAAGACACTGGGCAGAGGCCGGTCCATTTGACCTGTTCTTTGGCTTCATTGCCTTTGTTCTTCCAGAGCCATTAGTCCTTCGGGTACTCAACCAGCGAAGAAATCTTTGAGTTTCGAAGTCGCATGTTGCATCGTCAAGGCGAATTCCAGCACGAGCACGAAAGCTGCAGGGTGTGCCCGACACAAGGCTTAGCGTCCTGCCGCTTCCTCTCGCGAAGGGCTTTTCCCGAGCCAAGTTGGTGTCGGTGGGCTGCGACGAGTTCTCGAACAAATCTCGAGGGTCATTTTGTGTTTTGGTCGTTCATATCCCCAACCACCATTTTCCACGTTCGTAAACATAAAAACTTGTTGCCGCCAAGGGAATAACCTTCATATAACCAATGGACAGACCAACAAAGAAACCTCTCCAGCCTCTCTCCAGCCATATTCGACGCGCTGTCTCGAGTATGCTCAACCTATGACCATCACCCACAGCACCGCCGACTTGCATCCTTCGTCGAATTACCTCCAGTGGGTAAGAGGCGGTCTGAGATACTAACCCTGCTAGAGCACCAGATGTCAGCTCCGCTGGAGCAGTCAACTGGCTGCGATGATAGGTGCTAGGATTGTCCGAGCCTGTGTGTGGTGGGGCGGGCGCCACAGCAGTAGACCGTAGAACAGTGTACGGTGCCAGAGCTGGAAGTCGAAAAAGATCGCCGATTGTATCGTGCGTTAAAAAGGACATTCCTGCATATGGCAGCATTCCTAACAATGTTGGAGAAAAGCCACGGTAAAAGTTGGCCAGACCAGACCTTGGTGTTGCTTTGAGTGCGACATTGGACGCAACCTCAAGCGGATTGTGTCCGGCCAATGTTCCTGGCTGAGGAGGTTGCTCATGGTAGATCTGCTGACATATCCTGCTCAGGGATGACCGAGAATCACGTTTCGTTTCGAAGGCCATCCGTACTCGAACCACCTCCAGCGGGTATGTGAAAAAGACCGACGTAATGCCCGCCAGCGATCCTGACAAGAAACGACGAATGGGTGTTTCTTGATCCTTATGGCGGATGACGCCTGCTCTTATTTGCTCGTAGGCAAGGAATTTGATTCCAGCGTAGGGAAAGATTCTGAGCAAAGTAGCTGAATGTCCACGGTAGAGACCTCGGATGCCCTCTTGCTTATTGATGTCGTTCATGGCTATGAAGACGCCTAGCCAGCTCCCAGTATATTTTGCGAAATGAGGATTCGAGGCTTGGAAGAGGATCTTGACTCGATCGAGGGGTCCGACGACAGTTTTGGCCTGTTCAGCATGTTAGCGAGTTGCGGTGCAAGAGGTCTAGCTACGACAGCACTCACTGCGCATCCTGCTAGACCACCTGCAAGGCCACTGCGCAGAATATAATCTAAACTCTGCTTGTCCAGCCGTTTGGGTTCACGAGGAGCAGGGCCTGTTGATGTCACCGCGCCATCGTTCCTGGTGAAAGTGCTCTGTTTTGGTGACGTGTGAGGGAGTGGTTCCTCAAGCAGTCTCGAGGGGCCTCGGCTTTCCATCTCGGATGGTTGTGAGGGTTGTAATGTTGTTGCTGCATGGCCCGAAGCTGAAAAAGGCATTCAGTGGCCGCTAGGACATGTCGAAGCCAGAATGTAAGGTATAAATGTCTGTAGGAAAAGGAATAGGTTGTGGCCAAGGAGGAATTGTTCTTGTGACGGAAGGTCGAAATGGTGGCTGCGATCTCGGATTGAAGTGGTGGAGGGATCCGGAGAAGAAACGAACATGGGGCTGAATAATACCTGGTAGGGAACATACTATAGGCTGCTCGGGCGGCAAGTGGTCCAGCTTAGGTAAGGTAGGTAAGAGTCCACGGGCTCCCTAGGCGGCGATTAGGTGCGATTTCCGATGCCGAGGGCCCCCGCAGGAATTTCGGCCTGGAGACTCTTCGCCGGTCCTCGACTACCAACGTCCTGGCACTGTTTACCTTACCATTGCGTGTGGAAAGGATTCGACTGAAGTTCCACTACATTCGGGCGCGGCTATTCACGGGAACCACCCATGTAGTACTCCGTATGGGGTATTCATCGCTCATGCTACCTAGGTAGGTATATATACGCCATGCCCGATCGCTAATGCTGGATACTAAATGCCACGCCGAGACCAATGCTCGGACTATATTAATGCTCAATGCTAATGTTATCCTCATAATTTACACAATGGTGTCGCCTGACAAACCAAGTGCTTTTCTCACCAACAGTAGGGATCATTGCTGCCCGTCTTGTGCAAGCTCCCTTGAGCGGTGGTATCGCGACCGCCTTCCGACGAGCCCATTCCAGGTTCTCTGCTACTGATGTTCGACGACACCGGAGTTAGAGTTGTATTTCGGGGGCGACTTGGTTGAGTGCTTCGGGGCGATGTCTGGTCCAACTCAGGAATGGCAGGAGGAACATCACCGCTCAACTGCCTCGAACGCGGAGGAAGCCGTCTAGCTTTCTCTGGACTTCTAGATCGCGTTCGCGAAGTTACATGTGACATTGTCTCAGTGAGCGTGCTCGATCCCAGCCATACACTGTCTTTTCGCCGCCTGCCTTCTACCTCCCACCAATGAGCGTGGCGCTTGGGCGATGTCTGGTCAGGAGCAGCTGCTTGGACAGTGGTCGAAGGGTTGGTGACCTGAGACTGTCGTTGCAGAACGGCTCGGCCGCGACGTAAGTGTGCAGGAATGGCGAATCTGGAGTCCGAATCGATTCTTCTCCATGGCTTCTCCGTCCACGAAAAGAGGACGCTGTCCACTCCAGCTTGAGAGGCTAACATGATTGATTGCATGAGTATAATCCAAAATGTCGGGTGCTGCACACCGTAGTTGTTGTAAAGTTGGACCTGATAAACAAAGGGAAAGGTCCAGACGATGATATACACCAGTGGATAAATGAAGAGATATCGCAGCTGTTTGCGAATGGCCATCCTCGTCTTTTTCATAGGATCTGACTGTTCGCTTGCAAAGTTTTCCTTTCCGGGCAGGAGTGGATTCGGTCGGGCCTCATTCTCTGGCTTCATACCTTGGTCCAGAGCATTCGCCTCGGTTATGGAAGGTTTGACTGAGACACGGCCCGAAGGAATTTGGGTGTCTCCAGACCACCCACTCCCTCGAGCGCGCATAGGAATCACAGCATCTGGCGAATTTGTTTCAGGACCCCTATCCTGCAATGGTTTAGAGGTGATGAAGTTCACGTAGTCCCATGGCTCAAGTTGCTGAGGTGCAGCTGTTGGCTGTTCGATAATTGACGGCTGCTGTTGGGAGACCCATGATGGTGTCTCCAGTGCAGGACCGTGCGGCCCATTTTGTTCGATGTCCTCGCAGTCGGGAGTGAGTATCGACTTCCGCCTTGAATTAGCCGGAGAGTTGCTGGAAGATTCTGCCTGGCCGAGTTTGTCGAAGCCGCGAAATTTGACGTTGACGTAGATGTATATCCAGAGATATGTGATTATGATGAAGGCAAGGATGAAGTATCTCGGAACCCAAGAAAGAGCCAGTCGGTACCAGATGGGACGTTTTGGCAGGGTGCAGAAGACTCCAGAGGTGGTGTAGGGAGCACTGTTCCGGATGAAAGCCAGACAGGCCGCGACAAGGGGGAATAGTAGCCAGGCCGGCAATACCAACCAACGATATGGATATAGGCCTCCCTGTGCCAAAGGATTATTCGGGGGTCGGACTATGTAGAGAACAGCATGTAAGGCGATGATCAGGATGGCCATGTCGGCGGCTTCGATACCAAACGTGAGGAGGAACCCCGTTGCCTGACAGAATTTTGAGGAGCTCTCGACCGGACGACCTCTGGCGAAGAGGACTATCGGAAACAGCCAGTATATAATGGCCTTGAATGAGTCGCTTATAATCAGATTCATGACCAGGATGTGGCGGAAAGTCCTTTTCATAAGGAGAAACCATCTCAAGGTCACCAAGGCCGCCAACAGGCTGATGCTGGCGCAACAGATTGCGGCAATGTGGATGGCTTCATTCTGCCCAGGCTCTAGCGAAGCGCCAGCTCCTGGATAATCGGAGGAGGAAGCGATTGAGGACTCTGACATGCCGCCGACTACGGGCGTCGTCTTCAGCAAGTTGGTCTTTCAGTCCATAAGAGACACGACATGTCTCCAGTCTCTCGTGGAAGGTCTCGGGGCATGACAAGCCAACGATAGTGCCGTTCAATGATGATTGACGGCCATGCAGGTGAACAGGTTTGCTGATTGCGTAGGCCCAAGAATACCGTTCGGTGTATCTGAGATATAGGAAAGGGTGCAAACTCGAAAAATGGCGGGGGAGAAGGTAAATGGACGAACAGATCGAGAAAAACATCATGCACCCGAATTTCCCGCTCGGTGTCAGCGACGTCTTCTACCCACCTGAAAGTATGTGATTATGCCATGACACTAAGTTGTACCCGAAGGGGCTCAAAGTTGAGTCAAGAGATCGGCTAATGATGCCAGTGGGGAGCAGTTGAATACCATAGCGTGGCTCGATTGGAACAGGAACAACTTTATATCGGTGCTGAGATTCTCTCGAGGTCTGTGCAAATGGTCAGTGCTGCATGTGGATGTCATTGTCAAGGGGGCAGATCGAGTCGTGAGGACGAGTAGGTGGAAGTACCAGAGTAGGAGGAGATGTAGGAGATCCATTTTGTCGAGTCTTGACATCCTTGGCATGTCACTAACTCCTTTTGGCTGAGTTCCGGTGGCGCTAAGCTCAATCCGGCCTTTTCTCTCTCGCTCTCCCTTGATCTGTGCGCGTCTGTCTCCTTGACTAAAAAGCACAGAATTATCCTCGTGGTTCAGCCCGGTCCTTCCTCTGCCGTGGCGACCTTTCGCTGGTCTACTAGTCTACGATGACCTCCAATACGAGTTACTGATACGAAGTACTAGTCGCTTCGCTTCGTCGGGAGGAACCGTGGCCTGCAAAAGATACCCTCATACACATCGTTGGCTCGGTCTCGGTTCTAGATCTCTAACAGCAGTACACTCTGAACATCTCGTTTAACCCTTACGGCCGATGTATCGGGTGGGAATATCCCCCAGCAGAGTCGATATTGACACAATATGGATGTCATTGGCTGCTTTTACAAGCCTGTTGCTTCCGATCGGCGCTCCCCTCGATGTCGCACTCAGTTCTCTATTGTGACGAGCATCGAATCGTAATCCTAATCGACATCCCTTCATCGATCGAACAGGCTCAGTCTACGTCGGGTTTATTGAAAACCTCCCCCGCTTTAGAGAGTCCTTACCCGAACACGGAGCCCAAAGGTGCTAAGCGGCTTGCTGCACTGAACGCAATATCCCTCGATGAACGGCTTTATCATGCCTCAATTCAAGACCATATCTCTTCTGCCTTGAAGGAGATCCGTGAGAATTTGCGAAGCCAAGCCATGGATTGGTGTCGAGACAGAAGTGCCGTTCGGGCACCACAAGACCGGGAACTGCCCAGGCCAGCCACGTTGTCTTGTACAGCACTGTCCTCCTGCACGGACCTCGGGATTCCCGTCATCTTGTCAAGTACGGAGAAGCGCACAAAATTTCCTTGCCTGGGAAGCCTGCACGGGGTGGTGGTTCACAATCCAAGCGACGAGCTTGCCATCGTGGAAACAGTCAATGGCGGAGACTACGTGGTCCCGCCTCGATCCACCTTTATTCATTCTACCCTGGAGCTGGGACAACGAACCTTCTCGGGTTGTCGAAGTCTTCCATCTCTCGCCCGGAGGTTTGATCTGATATTGATGGACCCGCCATGGTCCAACCGGTCGGTCCGTCATGCTGGGACGTATAGAACGGCTGAGGATCAGATCACCGACCCTTTCGAACAAGCTCTCGAAATCACGAAAGCCTCCCTCGCCCCCAGAGGTCTGATCGCCGTTTGGATCACCAACAAAGCTTCGATTCGGGCTAACGTGGTCCAGGCTCTTCAGGCTCTGGGATATTGTCCTCTTGATGAATGGATCTGGATAAAGGTAACCAAAAATGGCCTTCCCGTTACGCCGCTGGATGGAATATGGAGGAGACCTTATGAGATCCTCCTGCTGTTTCGGGAGGGACAGCCTTGCGAGGTGCCCCAACGACGACGGCGTGTGATTGCTGCAGTGCCAGACCTCCATTCCAGGAAACCCTGTCTGAAAGTGTTACTAGAGGAGCTTGTACCAGCCAAATACACGGCACTAGAACTGTTTGCGAGGTCTCTCACGGCAGGATGGTGGTCTTGGGGAGACGAAGTTCTGAAATTCCAGCATGAAAGTCAGTGGGTGGCAGGGAGGCATGCAGGGATGGAGCGTACATAGTTCCCAACTGACATGTCGGTAGCCTAGTCCGTATCATTCCTCGTATCTGCGAGGCTAACTTAATGCACAGTACTTCCACAAGGCCGCCGCTTGCACTTCTCGCAAATCACTGACTACTCGTGCCTGACATTGTTAAGCTTACATAGTGAGGTTGAACCACAACCTACTCATTGAACCCTGCGAAAAACGCCCACAATTGACGCAATTGCGTTGAAGCCTCGCATCGCCCTTCATCAACGGAAGGTATTCTACTTATGAGTACGCATCCGACGTGATGCGACAGCCCACCTCGTGTACTCCGTAGATGAGCACACTAAGGGAACTGCTTTTGCTCTAACTAAAAGACCGGTAGCTGCTCCTTCTCAGGCCACCCACCGAGACGCTTACTTGCCGGATTTAGGGTGTACTGTACGGAGTACTAGTAGTGAATTTGAGAACACATAGAGATAAGGCTCTAAGGCTTCATATTTAATCAGTCGCAAGTCCAAGTTACTAGTACTAGTAAGAAATTTCAGAGTCTATTTGGGTAGATGTCATCCCTTCCTTGATACCGTCCACCAGCAATACTACTACTAGGTAGTTAGTAGTAATGGAGCAAGACCATACTCCCGGCGAGAAGAAGCCAGGCCATCCGCCCGCTCAATCGATCCTGCACGAGGTGCGGACTGCCGAAAACAGCGCCGCCCACTTACTGCCCAAGTTGCAGTCCATGAAAGAATCCAACCCGCATCTAACGCTCTTGGACGTCGGCTCCGGCTCAGGCACCATCTCTGTGACTGTCGCCAAGCTCATCCCCGACGGCCACGTTACCGGCGTCGACATCAACGCCAACATCTTGCCACGGGCACGAGCTGTCGCAGAAACGGCTGGCGTCAAAAACATCGACTTTCAGCAGGCCAGTGTCTACAAGCTCCCCTTTGCCGACGAGACATTCGACGTCACCTTTTGTCATCAGGTGCTGATCCACATTGGCACCCCGTGGGACGCGCTGCGTGAAATGCTCCGAGTCACAAAGCGAGGCGGCATCGTCGCGGCGCGCGAGGGCGACTACGAGTCCGAGTGCGTCTGGCCCGAATTGCCCGAGCTGGGCAAGTTCCATAAGCTCATGGCAGGCCTTATGAGTGCCGGCGGTGGCGCGCCAACCGCAGGCCGACAGCTGCTTTCTTGGGCACTCAAGGCAGGTGTCGAGCCGAGCCAGGTGACGGTCAGCTATAGTACCTCGTCATACCATACACCGAGCGAGAGGAAAATCTGCTGTAAGTTAGTTTTTATTCCCAGTTGCTCTGCTTGCTCGTGCCTGCGATGATGGCTCTAATGGCTGTGTGCTTTTGTTCTCTAGCCCAGGGGTTGTGCGATCAGCTCAGAGGAGGTGGCTTGCGCGAGAAAGCCCTAAAGTTCGGCTTAGGTGCCGAGGGTGATTTTGAAGAGATGGCCAAGGCTTGGGAGGAGTGGGCGAAGAGAGATGATGCAACCTTGGCCATGCTGCATGGAGAGATTCTTGTCCAGAAGTGATTTCGAGACCCCAAGCGACACTTTACCGCAGGTCAATGTACACCGGAAATGCAAAGACAATATCAGACATGATAGATGAAGTCAATAGAGTTCCATGGCGTAAATGCAGCTCGCAAAGCATTCAGCCATGTGCATCTGGCAACATTGCGCTTGAGGGAACCCTCCACTAAGCGGGCAATACGAAAAGGCTGTGAGTCCGCGGATTACAGCCCGTGTCTTTGCTAAGCCAAGTGGGAGAGCGCAGATCCCTCCGATCGTGTACCTACACAGTAGTCGCCTTGGAAGAATGAGGGCAGAGCAGCCATACTAGACGACAAGCACGATCTTGGTTCCTTTTCATGCTCTTATCTGCATTGCATTTCATTGGTGCGTTCGGGATCTCACGTGCAGATAGATCTTAGGCGTGCGGGGAAGTGGCTTGCGACCCAATCACTAGCCACGTACGGAGTATTGGAGGAATATATTTAATCCGGTACTTGGGAATGACGAATGAATGCCGGTACCGGCCTGGCAAGGCTGGCGTGGGCAGGTAACTATCAGTTGTTTCTTCGCGTCTCTTCACAACTGAGCCTCTCTCCTCCCCCACACACACAGGCATTCAGTCAATCAAGATGGCCGACGTCGACGTACCCGTCGGCCGTAAGGCCTTCGTGCCCCTCGGTACGACCTCCCACCCCTCACCTGCTGTGCAAATCTTCTCTAACCGCTTCGTAGAGAACAATCCCGAAGTAATGACCCATCTCGTCCGTCAACTCGGCCTCTCACCCACGCTGCAATTCCACGACGTCTACTCTCTCACCGAACCCAGCCTCCTCGCCTTCCTCCCCCGCCCGGCCCTCGCTCTCCTTCTCGTCTTCCCCGTTACCGAGACCTATGAGAGATTCCGCCGCGAGGAGGACGCCTCGCACGAGGACTACACAGGTTCCGGCCCGGGCGAGGAAGTCGTATGGTTCAAGCAAACCATCCGCAACGCCTGCGGTCTGATCGGACTATTACATTCTGTGACGAACGGCGGCGCCCGAGACCAAATCATCGAAGGAAGCGACTTGGACGACCTGCTCAAGAAAGCCATCCCCTTGAAACCCACCGAGCGCGCAGACCTCCTGTACAGCAGCCAAGCTTTGGAATCAGCACATGCCACTGCCGCAGCAAAGGGCGACACGTCTGCTCCCGAGGCCGAGGCGAACGTCGACCTGCATTTCGTAGCGTTCATCAAAGACAAGAACGGAGATCTCTGGGAATTAGATGGCCGGAGGAAAGGACCGCTGAAGCGTGGACATCTAGGTCCAGAGGATGATGTGTTGAGCGAAAAGGGCCAGGAAGTAGGAGTGCAGGCGTTTTTGAAGAGAGAGGAAGAGGCAGGTGGCGGTGAGATGCGGTTCAGTGTTGTCATGCTGGGTCCGAGCCTTGAATGAGTACCTTATGTATGAGTATTGCATTGCATTGCATTGCAGGCGCAGGGCGTGCCGAGAAAAATATAGAGTCATGACGGTATGAAAAATGAAACGACACGACCAAGAAGATAACTCTTTGTCTGGAGGGAAGCCTAGAGAGGCTGCGATTGTACTTTTACCAGCCGACTCTATCAACTGGCACCTATCGAACCCATGGGACGAGACTCATCTGTCCTCTCACGTTCTTCAGCATCCTCAACCTCTTTCTCCATCTTGCTAGGCACATCTTCGTCGTCCTTAGGGTCCGTCGGTTTCTCAACCGGCGTAGCATCCTCGTGCACCTCTTTCTCTCGCTCGTCAACTTCCTCGTCCTGGCCCTCCTCCTCTTTCATCATCTTGACAGCTGACTCGGCCGCAGCGTTTGCCCGGTGAGCCTTGCGTGCTCGCCTCGTATTCCTCGCATCCCACAGACCCTCAAGGTCCATCTCCAACCTCTTCTGCTCCGTGAACATCTGCACGACTATCCGCGGGGCATTCGTCCGGCTGCCAAACCCAACGTAGTCATTTGGTGGGTTCATATATTCATCCTCCTCGTCCTCGAAAACGTCTTCTGACCCAGCTTGACCTTCATCCTCGGCGGTTACTGCCGTTGCCTCCAAGCCTCCTTCATCGTCTTCGGCGGGCACGACAGCCTCATCCACAGGCCCCATGTTTACGCAGATCCATCCTGTAGTGATCCCGTCATCTGCATCGCGCATGGCCATCGTGTTCCCGACGCTTTGCGCAAGTTTCATTTTCCTGGCTTTCCTGCGCAACTTGAGCTTGAGTTCATTCCGGCCGAGCAGCCCGTCCGCGTAGGGTCGAAGCTTGTATTCTTTTCTAGCCCATCGACAGAAGCGATCCGCGGATACGTTGAGATGCTTGACACTGCGGGCGGTTCCGATGATCATGAGTAGATTGGCGCCCAGGGCGGGCGGAGGATCGATACTTCGGAGATCGAGGAGGGTGAGGTTGTCGAGGCCGATTTGCGTAGAGAGGTGTTCGAGGACGGACGGGAGAATGAGCGGTGGATTAGGCGGCAAGGGTGGTATTTCCTGTAATGCGAGGATGGGGGAGATTGGCGTCGGAGGGAGCGGTTCGTCCACTTGTAGGTACCATGGTAGCGGCTCTGGCGGTGGTGATGAGGTGGATTGAGAGAGAGATTGGCGGAGGGAGGGGAGCTGAGACAATGGCCTATTTTGTGGAAGAGAGGGCTGGCGGAGTGGTTGTCGAGATGCCGCAGACGAGAGCGATATTCCTGCTAGAGAGGTGAATGTTTCGAGGATGGAGTGGCGGCAAGTCGTGCATCGAGTGAGAGAGCGGTGCATCTTGTCACGGGTGAGCCCTCGCAGGGGTGTTTCAAGAGCAGAGAGAAGTGCGTGAGGATGTTCTACCAGAGAAGGGTGTATGTATGGTTGATTGATTGTATGATGCGGATATGATGCTTCGAAGAAAAGATCCAAAAGTCGGCTTCTCGTTCTCCGCGCGAGAATGTTGCCGCTTTAACAATCATATCGCGACCTCCGACGTCGTCAACATGCTCGAGTGCAGCGAACGCAGCGTCCAATTGTACTTGAAAGCTTCGTGGCACAAGCAGCACGGATGCATGGGCAAGTCTCAACATCATCGGACGCTTGGCCATGAGTGCTGTGTGCCAGTCGTTGCTTCTGTAAGGAAAAGACATCGAATCGAGCGGCTACCTCATGGCACATCGGAGTGCTGTTCTTGTGTCGGCTGATAGACGTCGAGACGGTCTTCGCTAAAGCGCCCGACTTTCCTCAGAGTTGACCAACGAGGCTGCAGGAGCTTGAAGGTAGGGAATTATCTGGTTCAGCACTGGCTCGATTGATTAGGGGTCCGGCTGGATGCAATGGGGCCATCGATATCTTGCTGCCGGCAGCTTCTTCACTTTTTGCTGAACCTTCAAGTTTACTATACTCGTAATGGTGTCGATCCCCTTGACGAGCTTCTCAGACATGATCATAAACATCTTGACGATGTGACCAGGGTTGTTCTGTCTGATCAAGAAAGTTTCCTCTTCTGTATTGCGGCTTTGGACAAGACTGACCTTGCCATCTGCCAGTGATTACTGTCTCGGCCATCGCAACCTCAAGCTCACTCCAACCTTGACTCTAATCTCAATCCAACTAACGGAGCTTCCACCCTTCTTGGACTCCCATTCATGTTATGGCAGGCGCTGCTTCTCAATATCATATTTGAGCATTCTCTTTGGACAGATACAGATCACCAGCCCTTCGTGCCTTGGTTGATCTTCTTCTCATTCCTCCCTGTTTCAGCCCAATCATGGTCAACTGACAATGGAACCTAATCTCGCTCTTTCTTCGAAGCCGGTCGAATCCGGATGCTCAACCCACGGTGACAATGGAACGAGACCTCCTCATCGAGCAGCAGCAGTCGGTCTCACGGGAACTCAACCATCATCCTGCGACTCAAAGTCTGTGCTCACACTGCCGCCATCCTATTCTCCACTCAGACAAACGGCTGGCTATCGATTGTGGCGATCAATGCCTTCATTCACAGAGGTGAACACGATGGAATGCCCGACATCAGAACTCCAAAAAACAAACTATCCCGCGAACGACGTTACGGCCTCAAATTCCAGCAGTGAGTCACGGCTCAAGTCGTCATACATTCAGACCCGTCTTGACAGGTCCAAGAAAAGACAGGATGACCTCAACCAGAAAATGGCAGAGGCAAAGCAGAAAGAAGGTAACAGCCGTCGACAGATCGAGGAATTGCGCAACAAACAGGAACAAGTCAAATCACGCCATAGTGGAGAAGAGACTGCTTTCGAAAATGCACGCAAGGAGTTCGAAGCAGCCCGTGCCAGATTGAACAGCAAAGAAGATGCTCTCCAGCGAGTCCAAGATGAAATTGAAAACTACGCCAAAAGCATCAAAGAGGAAGAGAAGTCTGTGGCAGACTCGCAGGCAAACCAAGGCCGCATCGACCATGAGATTCGTGAACTGCACGCCATGCAAGGTCGAGCAGCTCGACAAGCAGAGGTCTTGGATTTGAGAGCCTTCGAGATCTCAGCGCTGGTCGAACATGCGCACTCCAACAAGGGCTTCCTCGCAAAGCTGAACAGAATCGCGCAGGGCACAGCTACAGAAACGATGTATAAGGACCTTCAGAGCGAGCTATGGGCCAAGTCGACAGGTGCAAGCAAGGAGGAATTGACAAACTTGGTGGCAACAGAATTGCTTCCCAAGATTGACCAGAAAGCTACAGTAGACAAGGACCCCCAGACAACGGCAAAGGTGGACGCCCACAACCGCGCAGGTCGAAAGCGTAAAACAGTTGTCGCGAATCTCCAGAGCCTGTCGCAGAGCGAGACCGACAGCGATGGCTACTACTTAGAAGACAGTGATGAGGAGCTTGTTGACTCACGCCGGGGTCGTCGTGCACAGCTATTTCAACGGGCTCAGAAAGACAAGGCTGAGCGTGACTTCAGATATTCGAAGAGAGCGAAGCACCAGCCCTACTACACGGAGCCGGTTGTGCTCGAAATTGATACCGGGGCACTCAATGCCTTCGAGGAACTTCCGGGCAAGTCCAACATGACAGGCTAGGGTCTATGATGATAGCAGGATCATTATCATATTCACAGTCTTACATACTCATTTCACGACCTTCTCATGGGATTGCCGTGCCATTGACGCATAGCTACTAGTTAGCAAACGCTTTATGATGAGATACCTCTACTCTAGGCACACATTCCCCGACTTGCATGCTCAAGTAGTTCGTTCATTGTTCATTGTCCTTCAAGCAGTAGCAGTAGCAGTCACACTCTTAATCTCTCTTCCCCCATCATTTGACACAAACAACATTGCACCTCGCATCCGGCACCTTCTCAACGCTCCGTCGTCATATACACATCACCACCGCCAGCCATGGAGATCCTCTGGCCCGTCGTAGTCCCTTGACTCGCCACGCCAGCCGCCAACCCACCACCACCACCACCAGACATAACACCACTCCTCGCAGCAGCCACAACATCCATACTACTACCACTTCCACCAGCACCAGCACCAGTCGCCGCAGGATCATCGATCGTATCGCCCGAGTCGCTCACCGCACCATCCTTGTCCTTGTCGTCGCCATCCTCGTCAGCGGCGCTGTCGATGATACTCTCTGCGACATCCGACCCCTCGGCCTCGCGGACCTTCTCCTTGATCCAGTCCGTGACTTCGTCCTCGTGCATCTTCATCATGACATTGAGCACCGCGCCGCCGCTCTGGACCAGTCTGCCGTACTTGCGCGAGGGTTTGTTCTCCTTCTTCCACAGGCTGTGCACGTGCGAGACATAGACCAAGGAATTCTCGCGGTACCATTGGCTGACCCAGTGCGAGGACGGGTTCGAGATGGGCCGGATCGGATTCGTGGCGATGAAGCCTATTATGCCGAGGAGGGAGGGGTAGACATTCTCTGTTTCGTCGGCGATGATGGATTAGCGTTCATCCTGATCCTGATTGTAATCCTGATGCTAATGTTCCCTTTCGTTTTCATTTCCACTCCATTGGAACAAAGTATTTCTCCTGTCATGGTTCTTCCGCAAACTTGGCGCGTGGGGTGCACAGGTTGAGTGATTGAGCGAGAAAGGAAAGGAGTGGAATGGAAGGGGGAGGGTGTGTCTGTGTGTTCGCGCGCGTCTCGGACCATGGGCGGCAAGTGAATAAGAAAGAGGAAAGAATAATAGGATGTGTGGGAATCAGAAACGTACCGTTCTCACTAACCAACTTGGCGAGCGCATGGAACGCAGTGCCGGCACCCATCAGGAAGATCCCGCCAGGAAAGTCCCACGGCTCGACGTAGTTCTCCCATAAGTACTGCGCGAGCTTTTCCCCCTCCTTTCTCGCGACATCGGTCATGGTGCTAGCGTACTCGACGTCCGTGTCGTGATACTCAGGACTGTCTTCGTCGTTGATGGTAATATGTTGGGGCACGTTGATGTCGATGACGGCGAAGCCGTGGCTGACGGCCCATTTGATGTACGACTGCGCGCCGTCAACCTTGGAAATGTGAGCGTTTTGAGAACAAAGGGATGGCTTCGGCGGTGAAGGAAGGCAGGGCAGGGGGAGATGTGTACCAGGGGTGGCGGTGCAGGGGGAATAAGTACGAGGGAAGGATGGCGGGCGTCGGCAAGGAATGAAAAGGGGAGAGAAAAGAGCATACCAGCCAGGTGTCATGTAGTTTCTGCTGTGTGCTTAGACCGTTATAATGGCCGAGAAGATCAGGTCTGTGTGCATCCAAACGTTCAGTCAGTCGGTCAGTCAGACATTTCAGTCGGTTAAGTACTGGAATAAACAGACACAAGACTTACGCGTCGTGGAAGATGATCAGAAGGCGCTTCTTCGTCTCGTAATTCGGTCTGTTTCAGAATCAGTATCCCTGCAGATCGTGCATGGCCAAAGAACTCATTACGTTGCAAGGACCTGCTGCTCGAACGACTTCGATATGTTGTCGCGGAAGATGTGTAACTGCGTCAACTTGTATTTGTCATACAGGTGTTGCGCTTGCCATTGCCGGATGATATCTGCGAGGTCAACGAGTTAGTAAATGCTAATCCTGTGGCCCAAGGACGATTGTTCTTTGACTTACCATGTAATCTCTCGCCACCGAAGATGCCGCCGATTGGATCTGTTTGAAAGACGTTAACCCATGCCTTTGACTTTCCAGGCCAACGATTCGAATCTTTACCTTTCGGATAAATGCTCCTCCAGTATTTCGATTGCACGGTCCGAACTTTAGCAACAGTGTCTACTGCATGCTGGCTTGCTTGCGTGGCTTGCACTCTGTCCGGCGGCTCGCCCATTAAGACGCGTGTGACCGCGAGCGCAGATTTCGATATGGCATGGAAATTGTAACCTCCCTGTCCATGTAATTAGTATCTCCCCCAGGCGGCGATCAAGTCAGTCTCACTTCGAGGCAGACAGCAATCTTCCCCCCGGCCAACGACATAAGCATATGCGTCATGTGAGCATAACAAGGCGGTGTCACATAACACCCACCGAGCTCGTCACCAGCAGCGGCATCGAAGCCCGAGGCGACTGGGAGGATTGTCAGCACGTCAACGCGATCAGACGCAAGCTCACACATACCAATAACGAAGTCGGGGTCAAATTCAGTTGCAATAGGCATGACCACATTCTGGAAGGCATACATGTAATCACCATCGCCCATGCCTTTTGTTGGCCAGGGGATGTTGACGTTCCTAGAACCGATTAATCTCGTAGTCCATGCTTACCGGCAAAGGGGAGATGACTCACCTTCCCAGTCCGGGACCCTCGCCGCAGTGGAACATATCGCCATCGTTTCCTGAGGGATAAAACATGCCATTCATGTGCACGTGTAATGAAATGTAGAGGATATTCGGGTCTTGGTAGAATGCTTTCTGACAGCCGTTGCCTGCCGTGCGTTAGCATAGTAGATCGGCCGATATGCCATCGAGCGCGGACCGTGATGCACATCCCTAAACATTGTTAACATCTACCAGACAAGGCTCGCGGACAGAGCACCTACCAATCCACTATCAATATTTTCCTACATTCGTCGCCGAAGTCGCTCTGGCACACCTTCGACGCAATGCAGACGTTGTTGAACAGGCAGAACCCCATCGTCCGATCGACTTCAGCATGATGTCCCGGCGGTCGAATCACAGCAATCGCATTCTTAACTTTGCGTGAGAACACAGCTCTGCAAGTCTCGATCGCCGCACCAGCTGACAACTTCGACGAGAAATATGACAGGGCATTAAAGTAGATGGAGTCCATGTTAGCCTCGTCAGAGAGGTCGATAAGTTTCTCGTCGGACATTTCTGCCACAAACGAATTAGTCCTCCCCACTCGTTCCCGGCAGCAGCTCCTTACCCGCAGTGCTCTTGACGAATTCGTAATGATCTCTCGTATGCACAAGCAAACACTCATCTCTCGTCGCTTCTCGCGCGTCGATCCTCAGCAACGGCATCTTCACCATGGGAGGGTACTTCTTGTCATCTACAAGCCCGGCCTCGCAGAGCTCTTTGTAGATGTAGTAGATCCGCCTCGGATCCTCGGGGTGGACATTCTCACCACTCGTAGCCGCGACTTCGGCATGATACCGCATGCGGTCGTCGTAGCATAGCCCGGTGGGTAATTGAGAAACAGGCAGGCCGCGCTGTGATTTCGGAATCTCGTCGGCTTCAGACGACGTGTCGGACAGTAGACTGTCTTCGTACTCCTCCTCTGAAGTCTCTATCTTCAGACGATGGTCGAGGTCACCAGACATGTCCGGTGTATCTCTCATTGACGTATCGCCAGAGATGTGTGGAGGCTCCTCAAGTTTCGGTATCGGGTTGGGGAACCTAGGTCGATCCGAAGGACCGCCATAGCCCGCCGGAAGAAGATTTGTCATCCTGATCTGAGCACGCCTGCACAGCTGCTTGAATCAGTGTGTCTTTGCGCAAGGCCCGAAAGCTGCTAGAAGCGCGCCATATTGGCGAGATGGCCAGTGCCCGTGGAAACCAGGTGTTGCTTGTATGTCTTGAGAAAGCTCAAACCGAGCACGTCTATATTTCGGCCTGTAAAGAGTCTGTCAGGCTATGAACAACATTGCCAATGCTTTCTCTGGGTCTTGCAGGTGAATCCATGCTCGCGACCCGTACTAAACAAACCGCATCGGGTCTAATGGTTAACATACCTCTCACTTCGCCTTCAATCGTGCAACAACCACTCGCAAGCTCAATCAAGCTCGACTGGTGACAGAAAACAACTCGTTCGAGACTTTCGAGCACACTATGCTTTTAAGATGCTGGATGAATGGTCTGTAGAGGTGTGTCGCTCATAGCAAGCATCAACAAACAGTTCAGTCAAACTGGAGGACGAATCAGGAGAGTGAATGCCAAGACAGCCTTACGCCTTGTCACGTGGTCTGCCTCTCACAGTGGCCCAAGATCGCAAAATGGACAAGCAGGGCATGTCTGACAGGAGCTTCTTAGGATCGCCAAGGCATGATAGGAGGCGTTCGATCCTTCAAATCCGTGAGAGACTACTCTGTCAGACAAGCCAACCAATTCATAAGTCGAGGAACGATTTCAAGTGTAGCTCTGGTTGAGCAGCCACGAAATCATTCTGGACCAGATGGGCAACAGATCTAAATACTGCAAATCTGGGGCAGCACTAAGTATTGCATGCCAACGGTGTGGCTCGTATTCTTTTATTGGAAATACTAGGTTATCTTAATGATACTTGACACCCTCGCCATTGTCGTGGCCTAGCACTCGACTGAATTCAATCTATGTTCCATACTGGCATCCTTCCCGAAAGCTTCACCTTCATAACCTCATTGCGATAGAGCTTGAGATGTCGGCATGTAGTGCCTCGGCCAATTCCTTAAGCGTTTCCATCGACCTTAGCGATGTACGCTGTAATTCCGCGTTAGTGATTGCTCCGATTCCTTCCGATCGGATAAGGTACTCACCCAAAAGGTCCAGAACACGGCGGGAGTAACCCCACTCGTTGTCGTACCAGGACACAAGCTTAACAAAGTGGTCGTTGAGAGCGATACCAGCCTTGCTATCGACGATGGACGAGTGCGGGTCTCCATTCAAGTCACTGGAGACGAGGTCGTCCTCGGAGTATGCGAGAATGCCTGTGAACTATTAGCCAATTGTGTCTCAAGCGCGTGAAGACTCTTCTGCATACCCTTGAGTTCGCCTTCCGAAGCATCCTTCAAGGCCTTCTTGATCTCATCGTAAGTAGCAGGCTTCTCGAGAACGCAGGTAAGATCGACGACGGAGACGTTCGAGGTAGGAACACGCATGGACATGCCGGTCAGCTTTCCATTGAGAGATGGAATAACCTTGCCGACAGCCTTGGCTGCACCGGTGCTGCTGGGAATGATGTTCTGGGCAGCAGTTCGGCCACCTCGCCAGTCCTTGGCAGATGGGCCATCGACCGTCTTCTGGGTAGCGGTGTACGAGTGGATGGTGGTCATGAGGCCTTCCTTCATGCCGAAAGTGTCGTTGATGACCTTGGCGAGAGGTGCAAGGCAGTTGGTTGTGCAGGAGGCATTGGAGATGACTGGAATGTCGGACTTGTATTCCTTGTTGTTGACACCCATGACGAACATAGGGGCATCAGCAGAAGGGGCCGAGATGACCACCTTCTTCGCACCGCCCTTCAAGTGGGCAGAGGCCTTCTCGGTGGTGGTGAAGACACCAGTGGACTCGACAATGTATTGTGCACCGGTCTCGGACCATGGGATCTCGGCGGGATCTTTCTTCATGTAGAACTTGACCTCCTTGCCGTTGACAATCAAGGAGTCACCCTTGACTTCGATTGTGCCCTTGAATTGACCGTGTGTGCTGTCATACTTCAACATGTATGCCTATGCAATGTTAATGGGTGCTTCGAGCTGGAACCGGGTGGGAGAGGAGTACGTACGGCGTACTTGGGCTCGATGAAAGGATCGTTGACAGCCACAACGTGGACGTCATCGTGCTCGACGCTGGAGACACTCGTTAGAAGCGAGGCTTTCGGACACCGGTAGAGGATTCTACTCACGCATTTCGGTACACCTGGTACAGAGTCAGTTTGAGCTACAGTGCTAGCGATTGTCGACACTTACAATTCTTCCGATACGGCCAAAGCCGTTGATTCCGACTGAGACAGGCATGATGATCTCGAGGAGGTTGAAATAGTACTGGTCAAAAGAAGGTCAGGGTGATTCAGCTCAGGACTCAATGAACTTTTTATTGCAGGATAGCAGCGGAACAGAAACATGTGAGACTTACATCAGTGAACAGTCAGGTACAGCTTTGTCCAATTGAGGATCTGAAGTAACTTGAATAGGTAGGACCAAAGTGCAGAATAGTGGTGTGATGAGGTGATGAGGGAAAGCTTTTTGCTTTTGTATGAGAATCTCTCTGAGCAAATGGTGGGGCGGTGTTGACAGTGAGGGGCAGCAGCAACTTTCAACTTTGGTGAGTGTGAGCGCAAAGATCAAAGATCGTCTGCGCCTGGCCGGAGCAAAGCAGCTGCGGATCCTTGGCACACGCAGGCTCAACAGAGCTTCAGTTATCGTGAAACGATAATGTCTCTTCCGATGACGAGAACTGGTCGGGGCAAGTAGTAGATTGGTACTGATTGATGCCTCGGATGTTGCCTACAGGTATGCTTGAGATACAGATATCTGAGAAGAAATAGCACTTTTCCACCTCCAAGTCAAGTCCTCGATATTAAATACTGTGAGCTCTACCGGCGTATTTTCCAAGCTCCTCGGATGCCGTGACTCAACTTGCATCTGCTTACTGCAGCCTCTGCCATCATTTCAGAGCGGCAAGGGACTCAACCCGTCCAATCACCATCTCTCGTCTTCTGGCAATAACGGAACATCTAAAGGATTATCTGTTGTTCCGTGTATTGAGCCGACGTTGCCGCGCAATTTAGCAACACAAACAGCCTGTCCTTTGGCACGGGATAGACTGATGGTCGCATTAGGTTGCATCAGCATCAGCAATCAGGCCCTGCTTCAAAGCAAAATCCAAGCAAATGTATCATTTGTAGCAGATCGAGATCCATTGTTACAAACGCAATGCAACTTCTATGTCCAGAATCCCTCTGATCCGACGATAATAGCCTGGTGTGAACCTTTGACCTCGGACGTGTCGTATCGCGCCTCGTTCTTTTCTCGTCTATTCCTCTTTGGCTCCGCCACGACCAGCTCTCTCGGCAGCCTCAATGCTAGCCTTGTCGGTCTTTGTTTCTCCCTGACCCATGCCCATCATGCCGCCAGAAGCCTTCCAGGGACGCTTGAGCTCACCAACGGCCGGTTTTCCGAGAATATGGACCTTGAACAAATTGCTTTCGAAGGCGCCCTTGACTGGGATGATGGACTGGATAAGGAGTGGGTTGGTGTACTTGAGGTACAAGTGCATGAATGCCATCATAGCGACACCCATCAATTGACCTTTGTAGGCTGCGGTCACCTGGTTTTGATCGTATTCTTGGATCGTAGTCGTGACGAGTTTGGGCTCCTCTCCCGAACCCATGGGCGCGGGTTCCACATATTTGAGGGTGGTCATATCTAGAGGCCGTTGTCAGCTGCGCAGGCCCTTCTGCTGTTATTTGTCTTCAAGCATACCTCTTTTCGCCTTTATCTTTGTGCTGATGTAGTAGTACATGCCGAAAATGATCAGGTTGGACACAACGTAAAGAATTCGAACTCCCATCAGGACTTGAGGGTCGTCAAAGGGTATTCTCTTCGACACTTGCATCATCCCGAGGATGATCACCAAGTTGGTGCTGCAAAGAGTCAGTCACGAGGGCTTAATCAAGCGGGTGGGAAGAGCTTTACATCTGTGGACTGAGAGCGTTCATGGTGGCTGTATGGATGGTACGGTATTAGTGATTAAGTATAGTATGCGCAAGTTCGGCGAAACAAGCAACCAAGGTGATTTAAATGAAGTGTAGGTCGTCAACTCTATGGCTGAAATGGACAGATCGCAGGCTTCAAAAATTGCCCACCTTTCTTCTGCCAAGGCCGTGGATAGAGGCCGCCGCTCGATGCTACGCAGCTTTGCCAGCCACTTCGAGCCTAGCGAGCCTGAGTCAACGCCAAATTTCCCGTGATTGAGTCATGACTCGCCGTTTCCCATTACCCGACCTCCAATTTCTCCGCGCGAGGCCGGCCTCCCCTTTCTTCCTCAGCAACGAACGGGCTTTTCGAGGACAACGTATTGTGATACCATTTTGCCCATGGCTGAGATGATCCTTCTTTAAACATATAAACGCCCTGTACAGTAGCCACGTCAGACAATTCGATCATTCAGCGAAGACCCGCGAAGATGCCGTGGGCGAGGGAATGCCTTGAGTCTGACTCCTGAAAGCTTGAACGCTTAAAGTCCACCCCGTTCTCGACCTCCTCGCCTCGTCTCTTGCATTTTATCTTCAGACTACTCTGTACGAACGCTCTTTTTTTCATGCTGAAGATCCTTCCGCTTCAGGGAAAGGCAGATTCACTAATATCCAGTTCCCCGAACCCCGTTGACCAGGCTTTGCGTGTCATCCCCGGTCTGCCCATTCCTTCCGTCGGAGTACGAGCCAGTGTTTATACTTCAAACCGTTTTCAGCGCTACCAAAAACCAATGTATCCGGTGCCCCCACCGCCATGCCTCTTCGAATGTCGGTCGTGGACGACGCTTTCAGAAGGTGACCAAAAAAATCAGGGTGCCATGCAGGCTAGACGTTGACATTTCTTCAACTACGGATGATTTTCATGCCTCACTTCCCGTCTTGTGTACACAGTATTCCCCCAGAACCGATCCCTTTAATAAGTATACACATAGTCTGAAAGTTACCCACTTGACAGCGCCTACTCCGTACTGAAGATCGTATACGAAAAGAAAGCCATCTGGGACACTTCCGGCGTCGCTGACACGTGAACTGCCCCCCGTAGTAGGCGGCAGATCGTCAGAAGACCGGTGGACGTGTCGACGTCTGCGTGTGGTCCTCTTGCAAACCCACCAGATTTGCAACGTGGTGGAGGGACAGATCGAGTCCAACCCAACATGATTTTCATGGACCGTCAAACTCCTTAGAAGTGACATATGACAGCTCTTCACAGACTCAAACTCAATGTGGCCATGCAATAGCATCCAACCTTCCATGAGCATATATATAACCCTGTTTTGAGACCTTCTCCAGCATCCATCACCAGTCATTGTATCTAGGATCTTTGCTATCACCATTGTGAACCAACTCAATAACATCCGAGTCACCACTTCGAGGGTAGACACTGACGGTATGGTTAACGGACTTTGAAATGTCCGCGCTGTGCAAGGGACTCGGTTTGGAGATGCGATATGTTCGTGAATCCGAGTTCGGATCAGAGGTGCTGCCAAAGCATGACGGGAAGACTTTTCGTAGTAGAGATCGAATCGCTGGTAGACAGGTACAGATTATGCTCACAAATGCTTCAAGCACGCTCCAGTAGGCTGTTGGAACATTGTCATCTGTCGCACATGTCAGAGGCGGTGTGTTCATAGTACGTGGGGAGCCTTACAAGTCGGGTTGACGGAGTTTGCAAATTTAACAAGAGAGGTGAGACGGACAACGCTGACAATAGTAATACTGTGACCGGTCAGTGTCAAGTATTGCTTCACAGGCTCCCATAGCCGACTCACAAAAAACCAATGGAAAACATGAGAACGAGATGAATCTTCTTCCTGAGTCCCAAGTTGAGTTGGAACAGCTGTGGCACTGGAAGGATGATAATCCATATATCAAAGACGATATTGATAATGGCATGCGCCCAGGCGAAGGCGTTCAGGTTCATGCAATGTCCTTTGGTCTCGCCAGTCCAGCTAGTCCAGGTGTAGGATATCGGAATGCAGTGCACCGCGATACCTAGAGCGAATGTAGGGATATAAAGTGCGCAGACCACCATGCTGGCAATGACAAGTTTTCGAAATGGCTGAGTTGGGAAAACTCTGTAATAGAGCAGCAGTAGGGCCATTTTCGTGAAGCCGATGACACACATGTAGAAGATCTCGGTCAGCCATGTAAACTAGCAAAAATGTCATTAGCATGCTTCTTGCGCTCTAGCCGCGTCTCAGCCATACCTTGACTATGCGAGTGATCTTGTCGAACGGGAGCGTCCAAATGTCCTTGCCGAAACCATCGCTCGACACTGTAGAGGTGTTAGTCGCATTGCTTCTTGGAGAGCTCGCTTCGGGTTGCCTACTGTAGAACTCAAGGATACCCATCGGAATTGCAAGACACTATAGTACAGTTAGCAGCATCTCGAGCCTTAGAATAAGGTCGCACGTACCAGTGAGATGACAACACAAAGATCTGCCCACTGGAATTTTTGCTGCTTTTGTGGGATGCGATCTGCGACTCGAAGGATGACACAGACAATCGCAACGAGCCCACTGACTGCCGTTACAATGGGAGTGACTGCCGTATCATCCCGAATAGGTGCTTTGCACAATGTCTTTGTGGCATTTTCGGCGGCTTCGTTCAACGTTAGCTTTGAGAGAGGTAGTCATGGTGAAAATGCTCACTGAGACTCTCTTTGATGGTGCAGCTTTCTAAAGTGCAGACCTGCACATTGCCCATCAGAGCCACATCTGCACAGACGCAAGCAGAATCCGTCGGAGCACAGGTGGAATTGGGGAGGAATTTGGCAAGGCAATCGGACTGTAAGATATCAGTAACATTGATCGCGAATCTCACTTCGGAAGGCTTACAGCACATGCTGGCATCGACTGTGATCGAGCCAAGGCTACAAAGCCCACAACAAGCAGGATCAGCCAGCTGGTCCTCATATTTGAAATGTTCAATTTAATCAACAATATAAAGTCCGTCAAGCAGAAGTCCTGTCCAGAAAAAAGTTACTCCAGCGTAAAGGCGTTGGACAAAGTGAGCTTCATATATTTCGGAAGAAGTCGAACGTTGAGTGATTCCCTGTCTCCACAAGACGTTGGCTAAAGCCTCAAAGAACGAAGTAGTGCGGTGATCTGCAGTGTTTCGTCAAGGAAGAAGGGACACATTCGGCTCCCAAAGACGCAATGAAAACTTGAACGGCGCAGGTATCAGGGTTGACTCGCTCCAACGCCTCTGAGCTAACGACAAATAAGGCTCGGCTCCGGATACCATGCACTATGCTTGCTTCCCCGTAAGCCAGACATTGAGAGTTCCAGGAACATGGAAGAATCTTTCGGGCCCAGAATGTGGACACGACGGACAGGAACAGGCATGCTAGGGTGATTGATACTGGGAGTGCAGGGAAGCCAAGGTCAGGTACGAGCATAGGCTCCATATCATATTACCTAGCAGCTCGCCGCGCAGGGCAAATCTTAGAACCAGCGTTAGGGTGACTCGACAGGGAGCGCAAGCGAAAACGCTGGGGCGAACTTCGTGGCGCAGACAAGGAACTGAGAATCATGTTACGCACTCACTTCCGCCACCGAGAAGCTGGGATAGCAAGCACGCAAAGATCTCACCAGTCATCTCCAGCAAGTAGCCGAAGCATGTTCGGAGCATGGAAGATTCATCCTCCAACATGCTTGGGCTGGGATAGTTCCGTAGCGCTTGTTACGAGTACTCGTATGCTCGGTTTGAATCGACACCTTTCCAACGGCGGTAGAGATTGGCGTGTACGAATCAACGGTCCGAACTGTCCGCTGCTTTCGCAGAGGCTAGGGTTCGAGGTTCCACCGCAATGGATGTCGGTGGATCAGGTTGGGGTATAACAGGTAGTGGAGGCACTACTGTGGTATAGCACAAGCAAAAGTGACCCAGAACGGTTAGTCGTCCAGTAACAGTGAGGCTCGGACCAGGACGATCACTTACCGTGGCTTTGGTTTAGACTTGAAAGGTACGCTGTTGACCCCTGATATCCCACCGATTTCTCAACCACGCTGTGGTGCCCATGCCACCGTTAACCTAGTCCTAGGTTGTGTTGTGCATTTCCAAGGCGATTGCACACTTGACCGGTATCGGTACGAGAACGCCATTGTCGATCGTATCCGCACTTCGCATAGGCCCGGCCCAAAGTGCTTCACGCTAGCCAAGATGCAGGACGATTCGTACTCGCCAGGTGGCTAAGGGGTTCCCCGAGCCCAATCACGAGAGCCGTGAATTCAGCGGACCATGTGGGGATGATGCAGCGGAGTTTACGCCCACCATGTGGGCACACGAGATGCGCCTGCAATAATAATTCTTGCCCAGCGGTGGCCAGAACCATATCCGTTGGAAATGTCGTTGGTACAATTCGCCGGTGGGGAGGCGTTTCTGTTGCAGGACCAGAAGACACGGCACTTACCTTCGAGCATTCGTCGCCGAAGCGGTGCCGCCGTCTAGCCTAGGAGATGCAGTCCACCATGCTCCCAGTATATCATGGCTAATCTGCCGTCGAGATAGCCGTCTTGCGAATCTCTTTCTTCCTTTGCAAAAGAGCCTGTGATACATTCGCACAGTAACTTCTTCCACTTACCAGGGGTTCAAGATGTCACCGCTGCTAGTGGCCCTGGGGCAAATCTTCTCAATCAGGGGTGTCCTCCTGTCATTGGTGGCCCTGGTTGGCTACTGGATATGTTGGATCATCTATGCCCGACATTTTCATCCTCTGAGTAAAATCCCGGGCCCATGGCTGGCATCAGTCAGTCGACTCTGGTACATGCAGCAAATCGCTCGCGGGGATATGCAAGACACCCAGAGACGCCTGCATGCAAAGTATGGACCTATGCTCAGGATCGCACCCAATGAGGTGGCATGCAGCTCGCCTGATGCAATCAAAAGCATCTACCGGAACCAAGGGGCCCTTGACAAGACAGACTTCTACACCGTCTGGAACAGTCAGAACTTCAGCAAACATCGGGACATGTTTACTGGTGTCAACGACAAAGCACACGGCGAGAGGAGGCGTATCTTCAACCACGTGTATTCCCTGTCCAACGTGCTGAAGTCGGAAGAGTACATCGACAAGTGTTCGGAGTTATTCCTTCAACGGATAGCAGAGTACCAGGATGGATCCAAACCGTTTGATTTGGGCAAGTGGCTGCAAATGTATGACCCTGTTTGATCCACATGGCAAGACAAGTCACTGACGCGCGCAGGTACGCCTTTGACGTGATTGGCGAATTGTACTTTGGTCGTATGTTTGGGTTCATGGAAACAGGTGGTGATCACGGCTCCTGGATCGAGTCGTTGGATCTGCTCATGCCCTTCCTGTGCATGACGGCTGTCGCTCCCTCCTACGTTCGACCTTTGATCCTCGCCTCAGCACTCGTTGTTCCAGGATCTCTGAAAGCACTGAAAGCCATCGACAATATCGGCGTCGCAGCCAGGGGCTGTGTTGCCAAGCGATTTGATGAAAACCGGAAGGACGAGGAACAACCGAGGACCGACCTCCTTGAACAGCTGTACGAGATCCACCGTGAGAAGGGCGAAAAGGTCGATTTTCAGCTGGGCGACATTCAGCAAGAGGCCTATGTTGGATTGTTAGTGTGATACTCGTGGCGTTTGCGTCCAAACATGCTGACACTTCCTTTCAGGTTCGCCGGCTCAGACACGACAGCCATCGGCTTCCGCTCGGTATTTTACCATCTCATGAAGAACCCTGCCGTGTATGAGCAAGTCTTGCAGGAGATTGACACCGCTGCAGAAAAGGGCGAATTGAGTTCTCCGGTCAAGTACGCAGAAGCGATCAAACTTCCGTTCCTCTGCGCCTGTATCAAAGAAGCTCTTCGTGTACATCCCGGTGTTGCCTTGACCATGGGTCGGACGGTGCCTGCTGAGGGGCTTGAACTCTGTGGTGTCTACATCCCCGGCGGGTACCGTGTGGGGATGAATGGCGCAGTCGTGCATTACGACAAGAACATCTTTGGGGAAGATGCCGACCAGTATCGCCCTGGCAGATGGCTTGAGGGCGACACTTCCAAGATGGACAAGAGCATGCTGCACTTCGGAGCTGGAACTCGAACATGCATTGGCAAGAACATCTCGCTTGCGGAACTGCACAAGCTCATCCCCTATTTGCTGAGAAATTTCAAGGTTGAAATGTGGGAGCAGGACAAGACATGGAAGACCACAAACCTATGGTTTCACAAGCAGGAGGGTCTCGAAGTGCGTGTGACAGCACGCCGGTCCAAGTAGTTGCAGGGGGGACGGCTTCTTGGGACCTGAACATTGTATCTTTGTGTGACAGGTCAAATCTCAAGGCAGGGCAACGTGGACCAGGGCACGTTGGGGGCGCTGATTGACCAGGAGCTCTAACAGTATAATCCACGTTGTGGCGATCAACAGAACGATCCGATTGATTGACTCGAAGCACCTCGCGTGCGTTGGCATGTGGAGAAGAGAGGGAGATGCGACTACTCGTATCCGTACAAGTAAGAGACAACGAGGACAATAAGTTCGGATGGACGTGGGTGACCGGGGTTGTTTTTCGGATGGAAGCCGTAATTTGAACTTCTTCGAGTCACGTGGCTCCGACTTCAGGCTTCAGAGGCAGAGGCCGACACCCAGGCAGACTCATCTTCTCTTCATCATTCTAGTTCTAATAGCAACACCCCAACGACACCACTTCGAGTTCTCGACATCCTTTGTCCCGAAATAGCCAGGTTCTGCCATCTGAAAACCGTCCTCAAGGAGACTCAAAATTGCCTCTGCAGAATTGCCCGGTAGCAGCCAAGTATCTCGTCCGCAAGAGTGAAGCTGTAGCTGTAGCAGGCTTTCGTGATATGACCCATCCTTGCTGACGCAGATCGCAACGAGGATTGTACCTTCTCCCACATCTTCACACGTGTCATGGCTGCAACAACCCACCGATGGAGCGGTTGATTCAAGCAATCGACGCCGTAGCCATAGTTGAACCCTCTGTTTTCTTTCATCTCGTGCAGCGATATTTGAGCCCTCAGCTTTCTTTTATGTCGCTCATCCAAGATCAGCGAATCTAGAAACAGAGCAACCGGCGTCTCCAATCACCACCCAACCACCTCCCATGACATGGGTCGAAATGGAGATGGCCGCCATCTATCGCCTCCTGTCGGTATTGCTCTTCGAAGTTGCTCTGGTCGTCCACCGACTGGGTTGCTCGCTGTCCGAAATTGCAGACCGTAGTTCTCACAGTCCATTCTCAATCTTCACCGGCGCATCTCCATCTTCATTGCTCCCGCCTTTCACCACCGTGTCCTTCCCCTCTTGGCCAACAAGCACTTTCGTCTTCGGCCCCGGCATCTCCCCAGCGCCAGGCATAACACTACTCAGATTGCCGTCCTCGTCCACGAACTCGAACCGATACCGTGACAAGTAGTGCGGGATGGCGCTCAATTGCGGCCCATAGCGTGCGGTGTTATCGTACAGCTCGAACAGCGGGACGGCCAGCAGTTTCATGTTCTTTGGCACACTGAGCACTTTGTTCGGCGGAAGGTGAATGAAGTATAGCTTTTTCAGCTCCTTCGGCCTCGAGACATGCGCGGGAAGGAAAGGGTAGAGAAAGGTCTCGTGGTTCGGGCGCCACCTAGCACAGATACCAGCGTTAGCTTCAATGTCCTTCAGTCTCCTCTCCTCTCATGGTTCGCAATCAAAATCCAATACAGGTGTAGGTACCATTGAGCAAGACAATCGCCAATTTCCCATTCCGTGTCGCTCTCTTTGGGGTTTGTCGGCGCAAGTCGCTCGTTCAAGCGCATTTTGAAGCCCTCAATCTCGTCCGCATCATGGGGGAGGTAGTCACCCGGTCTGGTAAGCAGATTTTCTGTGTCAGCCCAGAATCTCTTTGTGCACACGCCGGGCGAGTCCGGCCTTGACAAGAAACTCACAACTTGAAGAAAGCATTCGCGATCTGCAGCATGAGAACATGCGGATGGTTGTGTTCATGGCAAACCAAGATGCCCTCGCAAGTCCGTCTCATACCATAATTCTCGTAATGTTCCTCGAGTCTTTTCAGTCTTGCTGCCACCGACGGATCTTCCTCTGGCTGCGTTTCTTTCGTGCCGAAGGTATAATTTGAGAGAGGATAGAGTCTAATCGTAGGAGGCTGGTTGGCGGTAAATGGGGGAGGGATGATCGGACTTCAAGGGTCTGTCAGTCTATCTGTGAGCTTGAAACGGGCATTGAAAGGGCATACGGATAGGACGACTTCAGCGTCGTAGTTGTCAATGTAGACATGCTGCTATTATGCCAGCACTGTCGGTGCACACGATTGTTGATCTGACATGAACGGTCGAGAGGATGTAGGAAAGACGGGTACAGTTTGCGCAATAGCTGTCGCGAATCTGCAGGCGTCGGTCATCTATGCTGAGATCTGATACTGACACAAGCAGCGAGCCACCAAAAGTCCAGATTTCCCCAGATTACCACTTCGAAAGGCGACATGCATCGGCAATAACGGAGATAGATCAATAGGGCGAGACGGCTCAGGATGCCAAATACACCAGGCACCCAGCCAGGCGTGGACAGGGTCGCTCAACATCATATATTCCACTGCACTCCAACACGCCATCTATCTCCAGTCTACATGATAAAAGATGCTAGCCGAACAACGCCGTCGCTGTGCAGTCCAAGCCTCTATCGTCTACACCAGCTATAGGCCTGATCACAGTCCGCCGAGTGTCACAACTTCGACTCGAGATCCTCAAAACTGCGGATATCCTCCACTGCAAGAGGACCCTGGGTCACTTGCAAGCCAGCTTTCCATCGATAAGCGTCCTTGATGATCACAGGTGTTGGGATCTTTGAAGCGACCTCAGCACTATCTGTCGGAGGCGTGACAGGCTTGATCTTCAGGGCCACCAAGAGTTGAGGCATTGCCTCCTTGATCTGTCCCACGATCTCGTCGCTGTTTGATGCCGGAAGGGATGTGCCAATATACTCCTTGATTGCATCTGTGGTTCCAGCATGGTCAATGGGATCAACCTTCTCAAAATGAGTCTTGAGCCTGATCTCTTCGACATCGACGCCAAGAGAACCAAGAGCTTGTCCAATAAGCCCGACGAATTGGTCCTTCTTTTCTGACGCTGACACTTCGGCCACAGGAGCTGAAGACTGTGCTTCAAGATGAACAGACACCTTGGCCCGGTTGGGCGACTCGGGGTCAATGTACCGAGCGTAGAATTGCTTTATGTCGTCCTTAGTGAGCTGTCTGATGACTGCTACATCCCGATCGACTTGGTAAAAGTTGAGGTACTCGCCGCTAATATAGGCCCAAAGGCGGTTCGTCTCAAAGTCGAGGTTCTTCAGCTTTTCGAGTCTCTTATTCACGAGACTTCGCTTGTGTCCTTCAAAATCTTCCTCGGACATTTCTTCCAGATCTTGCTTGAACTTGAGCAAGAACGCGTTGATACGCGTTTCAAGATAGTCAGGGTCTCGCTCACTTTGGATGAGCACTCTGTAACCCATCGTTACAGCAGCAGGGCGGATGCCGCTCCACACAACATAGCCTAGTTGTTCCTTCGTCCTGAGTTGGTCAAAGGCTGGTTCGTCGGTCATCTGAGCAAACAATTGCAGTCTTGATCGAAGCGGAATGTCCATGACATGGCCGACATCCAGATAGTACTCGATGGCGTGGTTGATATTCGCCGGGTCGCCTAGCGTGTGCTTGTACACGAAGTTACTTCCCTCTGGCACAATGACATTTCTTCTCAGCTGCCATTGTGACACCGGCAAAGTACGTGGTTTCAAAGTCGACTCGATTAGGTTGGCAATCTTCTTCGCATCTTCCTTGTACAGATTGCCGTGGGCAAGAACCTCAGTATGCACTTGTTGGAGAAGCTCGGGTCCGAAAGTTTTGACATCCTCGACGGTGATGTGCGGAAGCTCTGCTGCGTAGGAATCTGTCATCCACCCACGTTCATTCAGCAACCATCTTGTGTAGTCTCCAATCTGGTAGTATGGCTGCTGATAATACCAGTTCTTGTATTTACGTTCCATGCGTTCCTTGATGATCTCAAACCGGTCATCCTTGATCTCAATAGTTCGGATGGTGGACAAGATCTTTTCGAGAAAAACAGCCATCTTGTCATTATATCCATGCACGCTGATATCCACGCCGAGCTGATTCGGGATAATGGCGTAGGAAAGACCTGATATCTCGGCATCATAAGAATAGGTCGATAAAGCATCTTTGACCAGGTTGAGGAAAAGCACGCTCTTGACATAACTTGCCGGGCTGCAGTAAGTGATTGCATTTCTCAGCTTGATGTTGATGTTGGCTTTCGGCACCCAGAAGGTGTCATCCTTCTTCCACCAGAGCCGAACCATGTCATCGTTGCGTAGCAGTTTTGGCGTCTTCGCTGGCTCCTTGATATCCAACTTTTCCACGTCCAGCTTGGTCGGGATAAACTCGTTCTTGTGGGGAAGATGAAGTTCCTTGGGCGTCTCATTCTGGGGTGATGACAAAGCCTTCCGTACTCCTGATAAAACATCTGTAGGTATTTTCTCCACCTTGTACTCCGTTCCGTACCATTTCTCCTTCTGGGTCCATGTGCCGGGATACTCTTGGGACACTAGCATCAGCCGGAAGTTGTCCTCCCTGAGGTATTGCATGGCTTGCACAATGGCTTTGGCATCAAATTTTCGGAACTTGCTTGTACCACTGAGCAGCCAGCTGCGGGGCAAACCCTTTTGCATCACACTGCTTGTGGCACTCGTGAAGCGGCTAGCCGGGGATTTCTGTCGGAATCTGAAATCGACTTCGGCCATATTCTTCATTTCTTCGTGCATCCACTCGACAGGTGGATTTGCCTTCATCATGCCGATATATTGGAAGACAATGGTGACGATCTCATGGTACTTCTTGAGACCATCTGGGGTCAATCCGATGTCAATCTCGAAAAACGCGGAGCCCGGACAGACAGGATGATATCCAGCTGAAAGGGTCTGAGCTAATCCCCTGTCCTTCAAGTATGCTAGAACGCTACCAGGTCCTTCATGTCCAATCAAATGGCTGATGTACCTCGCCGGTTGCGTTTCGTACATCTCTTCTTCATCCTGCCATGGAAAGCTGATTTCGAGCGAGCGTGACTCCATGACAGGCTTTGCAAGAATCTCGGTGGACAGCTGATCCTTTGTTAACATCTCAATTCCGTCCCATCGATTTTGTCCCAGGTTTTTGTTTTTGACCTCGGAGAAAAGTTCGGCGACCCAGCCTTCCAGCTCATCCAGAGACTCGCGGCCCAACACGACAAGCTTCATCCTGTTCGCGGAATAGTGTCTTTCATAAAAGCGAATGAATTCGTCTCGTATCTTGACACCTCTTTTCTCCGGCTCATCTCTGAGTGTCTGCAAGTTCCCGGTAGAGAAATGGTGGTAGGGATGTTGAGGGTTCGACAGAGACTTTGCTAGCTGCGACAATCTCCAAGCATCGCTCTGTAGGTTCTTCTTGTTCTCCGAGTCCACTGCTCTCAATTCCCTGTCCAGAGTATTTTCTAGGAAGAGAGGCTTCACGAAAAACTGTGCAAATCGGTCTAGAGCACCATATAATGGCCCTCTCGATGTCCCATTCGTCGGCGCCTCCCTCGTCCCGTTGACCGCACCATTTGGGACATCATCGTGCGACTCGTGCGACGCGGCACATTCGAAGAAGTAGTTCGTCTGCGTAGCGGCGGTGTATGCATTGGAGTGCCCAGAGTTGGAGGAGAGGTAGGAGCTGTACTCATTCTCGATCGGATACTGCGAGGGGGTTAGTGATCCTTGAGTACCTGGCTGAATGTTGCCACCTCACCTTCTCTGTGCCCATGAATAGCAAATGCTCTACGGCATGTGCCATGCCGGGCATGTCTTCTTCATCACAGAAGTTCCCAACATTGACATTGAGACTTGCACTGGCCTTGTCCGTCTGCGCATCATGAACGAGTAATGCTTCGAGTTTGTTTGGGAGCTCGATGACACGATACGATCTATCGTCGAGATCCGGCTTCTCCAAGTTATCTGTTATGTGCCTGACTGAGCTCATGACTGTGGCAAAGGGGCGCGAGGGAGGACTTTGTTGGAAGGAGGCGGTCGACATGAGAGGTCTTGATATTGGTCGAGGGCGGAATGTCAGCGGGCTCAAGGTTCGAAGCGAAAGGAGCGACGAGTATGCAAGGCGGACGGACAATCTCATGTAGAAAGGAATTTGCGACTGGATCAGATCCAGGCCAACGGAATGCGGTGGTAGATGGTCAAGTCAACTAATCATGGTGACTTCTGCCCTTGAAGCAACCCATAACTTACCGCCTCCCGCCTGCTGTCATGGAGATAATTCTAGGCTAAGGCAGGTACCTCTGGGGTCCTCACTTTTTCTAACCGGGGTCTAGGCTGAACAGACCGCCGCGCCAGCGCAGCGCAGCCGACTAGCCCTTGAGCGGCACTGAGCGGGTGATGGCGGCCTTGAGCAGCGAGCCAAGCCAAGTGCCGCTTCCGGCAACTTGATGTCACGTGATTACGTCAGATGGCCCTTCCACCTCCGTCCAACTCGCCTTCGAATCTGGGTGGCAGCACCAACATGTTCTTTGACATTCTGTAGGTCCGTACAACATATCGACTAATGCTCGACTGCATTTGCCACATGGCAACATATTCCAGTACCAAGTATCAACCATTGACCCGCATGACTTGCTTCATCAGATGACGTCTTCCATCGCAGACTTCCAACCGGCATCAAACGTCCAACTCATTCTCGGGTGTCGCTCAAATTGTGTACCTGAACCCTTCAAGGCCTTCGATGACCATCTGACCCTTTGCGACCTTCCGGTTGCATCTGCGGAAGTGGATTGACAAGATGCCCACGATCATGATGATGAGTCCGTCGCAAGCAAGGGCCGCATATATTCCAGGCCGATAGTGAGGCGCATCTTGTGAACGGAAAATCAAAGAGCCCGCGATGCCACCGATGCCACCGAACCCTACGAGTGTTGCACTTGCAAACGCCCGCTTCCATTGCCCGCGGATGTTGTTTGCCTGGTTTCACAGAGTCAGCTAACACTTGGTGCTTCGTGGAACAAGACTTACTTGATACGCCATGGCTGCCGGGATGTTGGCGTTGACGCCGGCGGTGGTTAGGAAAACACCAAAGTACCGCACACCAGAGCTCTGGACAAAACCCTGGATTTCTTTAGTCACTACCAACTGCATAGACAAAAAGACATTACTTACCATGAGCGGCAGTCCCACAAAGCAAACGAGGCAGTTGAAGACCAGGACTGGACCTCTCATATGCCATCTGTCGCCAGCCCACGAGGTCGCGAACATCAAGATACCAGCGAAAGCATATGGAGGGGCGACTAAACATTGTGAGGCACCAATTGAGAACCCCATATTTTCATGGAGGATGATGGGCAAGAAGTACGCAATGGCATAGGCCTGAGTCGTGATGGAGAAGAAGATCAGAGCGAAGCCCCAGATCTTCAGGTCCAAGCCAGAAGCTGCCCATTTCTTCAAGTTGAATGGCTCCAATTCTGCATCACTGCGATCTTTGGCAATGCGTCGGATGATGAACTGGCATTCGCGCTCGTTCAAAAAGGCCCATGAGGTTTTGGCGGCGCGGTCCGGGAAGTCAACCAAGAAAAGGTACCCTATTATGCCAACGACGCAAGTTAGGATGCCTTCCATGATGAAAATCTGCCGAACAGTCAGCAAGCGGTCACAATGCAGACAAGAACAAAGCATAAGACTCATGCTTGAATAGCACAGCCTTCACTTGGAGGCGATCACTTACCCATCGCCATCCGCTGTAATCAGCGAGGCCGTCCTATCTGTGGTAAGTACGTGATGCAGAGATGGGAACAGTCGCAGACGAACCATTTGCATCAGCCCATAGGCGAGAATACCGGAGCAGGCAGAAGCTAAGCAGCCGATGAGGTAGAAGATCGAGTATCGCTTCTGGAGCTCATATCTCGTGTACCAAGTTGAGATGAGATAAACACAGCTTCCTTTCATCAGGTCATGGTACATATATCGGCGGTGAAACTTACCCTGGGAAGAAGCCAGCTTCGAGGACTCCTAGGATCAGTCTGAGTGGTATCATTGGACCCCATGTCTCCGGAAAACCAAATCCGATCTTAATGGGAAGTTCAGCCCCAGATTAGAAGCACCCGGTTAGAGGGACGTACCATAACTATTCCCCATGCCAAGGTGATGGAAGCTAGGAATGGCCTTGGGCCAATCTTCCTACACATCACCGTTGCTGGTGGCTGACAGAGGGTATATGTCGCAAAGAAGACCAATGCTATGGTCGACTGGAAGCAAATCAGTGGACGAGTCGTGCAGCCTACGTGGAGACTGACATAGCGGAACCCGATGAGATTAAGCTCCACCACCATGCCAGCAATGGCAGCATTGGATAAGTTGGTGCGGTCCATCAAAGAAATACAGTACATGAGACCACAGGTGACGATCAGGCGTCTGTCGATACGTCGGACGATTTTGCGCTGTTCATCTGGCGAAAACTCCGGGTCAATGTCATTGCGCCCTGAATCCACCGACTTCGAGGTCGGGGCCTGCTCAAGTTCAACAGGGTCATGCTTCTCAGTTGAAGTTGGCGTGAGAGGTCGGACGGGTACATTCGACATCTTGAGGTGTTGCGATGGGAAAGCGTGTTCAAGAACAAAAGTGAAAGATGAGGCAGACGTCGTTCCCGGTGAGGATGGTGCAGGTTCTCTTATACCCGCACTTCCGCAAGATTGTTAAGTTTGCCTTCCCCTATCTGGCAATGACCGAGCTCACTTCCACAACTGGATCGTTGGCCGCAAGCTGCAAAGGTCCTCGATCTGTGGCTCTAGACAAACCGTGGAGCATTTGCCAACATCTCGGTATTGGAATTCGTTGGAGGTGACGTGCAACAGGATGAACTGAGGGCATGGAGCCAAGATAAGACGTTGTCAGCATACAGACACGGCGAATCAGATGCCAGAAGGCGAACAAAATACCTAGGTAAGAGGATGAAGCGGAGAGAGAGGAGTGAATCCTAGTCTTGTCCTCTTGGTATACGATACGCCCAGCCTTGGCCCTTTTCACTCCAGCATTTGGCAGACCACCTCCGCCTTTTCCGATCGTCTTCGAGCGCACAACCCGCATACAACCCCACATTCTGGACCATCGAGGACATTAGGCACGACCGGCTGACTCGATCAACGAGATCTGGTGTGCGGCGTCCTGCTGGCCATATCCTAGGCCCATTACCGCATTGGGAGACAACCCCGGCTGCCACGCTTGGACAAGAGCGCCAAGTCTCGATTTCAGTGAAGCCGTGCAGTGCCCAGGCTGGGCACTATTGAGGGGAGATGGTTATTGCTTTGCTACAGTATGTCATACGGAGTATTCATCCTCCATTTCCGCTGTTACCGAGTCCAACCGTTCTTTAAGAAAGAGCAATGGGCTGACTCGCCGGTGCTGACGATACCATCCTCAAGGTCACAATCCTACAATCCTACAGTACTCCAGCCTCGTCCGATATATCTCCTTCGCCTGACATACTGACATACTGACATATCCACCCTAGAAGACAAACTTCTCACCAACTAATTTCTCACTTAGTGTCCAGACTTCGTCCATATACGCCTCCGCATCCTTATGCTCAGTTGTCTCTTTCACCTGGCAATCATCGAGATAGGCTCCTGAATGACCATCTAGGCTAGGATCCAGTGCTGCACGAAGCTGAGTCGCACATCCCTGCTGTAAGCTCTTGCGTTCTGGAAGCGTCACTCCCGGATTTTCTTTCCTAAACACTTCCATGGCTTGATTCCTCATGTCTTCTGTAATGTAGCCTTGGAGGTTGGTCAAAATACTTCCTGGATTCAAACTGAACGTCGAGATTCGCTTGGGTGCGAGCATTTTAGCCAGGCGCTTTGCATACAAAACATTGCAAGCCTTGGATACACTGTATGCCGCTATTGGATCGTAAGTCTTCCCATGATCATAGGTAAGATCTTTCAAGGCTGGCATGAGAAAGTCGGCCTTGCGCTGCGAGGCTAAGCTGCTAACGACCACGACGCGTGATCCCACCAAGCCGTCTTTGAGCAAGAGGTTTCCAAACAAGAAGTGTCCGAGGTGATTCGTCGCAAATTGGGACTCCACACCGTCCGCCGTCAACGCATAAGGACAAGCCATGACGGCGGCGTTGAGAATGACAACATCGATCTTGTCACCAGCGAGCGCAACCTTGACACTCTCAGCCGCCTCCCTCACCGATTTCAGGTTTGCAAGGTCAAGTTGGACGAAGCTGACTTTGACATTTGGATGAGTGCTGCTGAGATCGTCGATGAGAGGTTGAATCTTCGAAAGGGTTCGTCCAGCCAGTATCAGGTGCTTCGGGTCTGCAGTGGCAAGACTCTTTGCACTCTCGGCGCCTATGCCGCCTGGGGTTGGACCAGTGATCAAGACTATTTCGATAAGCAGGTATTGCAGCAAGGAGGTAATGCGTACATGTCTTTCCGGCGACCCTGTCCTTGAACAAGTCGACAATTTCTTTGCCGGTAGAGCCCCAGCCGAATTCCATGTTGAGCAGACCGGAGACTTTGTGGTAGGGAAAGATGGCTGTTCTCGGGTGTCGAAGTTGTCTGTCTTCACTTCACTGTCAATTGTCGAGCGTTTCATGGTCTTCTTAAATACCCTCACCAAACAACGATCCTGTCATTATATCTGCAGTCACATAATCTGGACGGGGTTGTCATGCTTCCTAAGATTCAGGCCAAGTGCTTTCAAAATCGCCTCGTGTGCAGCTGAAGCCTGCACTTTCGGCTCCATACCTTGTACCATAACTGGTTGTCCGTACTGGAGTCATTAATGCCTTATGTGCAAAGCGTGACAAGGCCATTAGCTCCGGTGGAAATTGTCAGCAAGCCGCATGAAGTGGTAGCGTGTGTCTGTCTCATGTTGGCGAGAAAATGACAAAGTCTTTTCGCAAGCATACTCTTGAACGTCACGAAACCTCGCGCTTTCGTCGCCATGCAGGGCCCCGTTATTCAAGGCGAGGTGCGGCTTATGTCCGCTGTATTGCATGACCCAAAATCGGGATGTCACCAATGCAGGTACAGAAACTCAAGTGGGCTCACTAGGCATCAGAAAGCACAACCCGGTGTTAATATTCAAAAGTCCGTGTTGCTGATCACGCCTCTTTCATATCCAAGCCACAGGAAGAGGTGTTGTCTCGGATGTAGTAAAACGACCGCACTGCAGACACTGAAGGGTCCTTCGCAATTAAGGCACCTAGGGATCATGGCCTTCTCTATAATAGATCAAGGAAGTCACAGGAGTGGCCTTTTCTGGTGCATCAGGATGTCACGGGATTGCAGGGGTAACCACGTGATTTTGAACAAATGAGGCAAGAGTGCCGATAATTCCAAATTGCTTGGCACTCGGTCATCAACATTGCCTTGAAACTTGGAAGTCCTTTGTATTGCAATTCATCTATCTCATGACACCTTCTGTTTTTCAGTCCGTGATACTACAGTGTGGCCATTCCCTTGCCCTTCTCTGCAGCTGTGTGTGTAGCAGGCGATCCGACACCATTCGAATGCGAATGTTGTTTGATGATAGTCATCATGGCTAAGAGTGGCCCGTCCTTTGCCCTTCTCTGCGGCTGTGTGTGGCTGTTCTTCGAGACAATCGTGAGCAGAGACACCATACTCGTCCTGTCCGCTCCAGAGGCCATGGGAGGTATCTCTGCCCACATGGGAGTAGGCGGATGGAATGGTTGAAAGACTTACGCACCAAGAAGTCTTTCAAACCATTCCATCCGCCTACTCCTATGTGGACAAGCAGATGGCACACTGGTCTGCGCCAGTGCACCACCTGCCTCCGAAGGAGACACGGCCCGAGCAGAAGAACCTACATTGTCGTGGGTTCAGCGAAATTCTCGCGCATACAATCCTAGGAAGGTACTCCTTCTGTGTATAGACACAAGTCCACAATCAGACCATCGCGCTCTCCAGCCGATATTTCAAGTCTTTACGCCCATGTATGTCGCTCTTTTCTTCGGGGAGTTCAAAGAACGGAAGGCCGAGCTCGGTATAGGTATCTAAGGTAATCGGAGTGTCTGAGGCCGGGGTGCCTGTGATAGCTTCGAATGTGGACGAGTTAAGGATCTGCACGTTGAAAACGACCGTTGCAGCGGCCTTCCACGCGGCAGCAGGGTAAGGATCGCGGAAGATGGCCTGCTCAATCAATCCTCCTACAGCAATGCCCATCTCTCGACAAGGAGGTGGGCCACTACCCCCTCCTCTCATCCCCAATACTTATGTGTTGCTTTGACGGCTAACAGCACCACCGCAAGCGGAGGCGCTGCTGGTGTCTTCAGGCTCGCAGGCCGATTGCCATGGCGGCGCGAGTCTCCAACTTGGTGTCTGTGGGCAGGAAAGCATGCTCTTGGTTGATGGCCGCGGCTGAAGCGGCTGTGCTTGGGCAGACCTGTGGAAAGGAGTGCCGTGGCAACCTCGTTGTAATCCGCAGGGACAGCCTGTTTCATGGCGCCAGTCTCAATTTCAGCTCGCAGGTTGATTGCTATGGCAGCCTGTCTGCCAGTATGTGTTGCTTTGACGGCTAACAGCACCACTGCAAGCGGAGTCGCGGCTGGTGTCTTCAGACTCTTGTTTGATGGTCGCGGCTGAAGCGGCTGTGTTTGGGTATTGACATTGTTCTTATTCTCATCTTCGCACTTCAAAAGTTCGCCGCCATGGATTTGTTCAAATCTTCTCAAGAGTTCAGTGTCGGACAATTCGGACTCGGTGTCGGCCTCATGAGGCTATGAAAGAGTTTGATACGTCGCGTATGATGTCGTGCACCGTTTACAGCGATATCACCGCGCGGTCCGGAGTGGAACAATGTTCCAGCAGCTAACCGAGAAGCTTGGCCATGTTGGCGACATGTGTGTCAACCGCAAAGACAGGCACACACATGCCAGTCTCATCGTTTGCTGAACTTCAGTGGCCACCTCGTTCGTGCAGGCTTGTGCGATGAGACTGGCATGTGTGTCGACCGTTAGTCGGTTGCCACCATGGAAAGGATGGCCAAGCTTCTCGGTTATTTCTCCTCCAAATCTTATGCCAGTCAATCCATCAGCAGCCGCTGATATGCTGGGATTCCGGTGACGTTGACCAGTATGACATGGCTGAGGTTGGGACAGTTGTTGATATATATTTTGGTCTTTGCCATCTCCAATGTATGGAAATAAACTAATCCCGGTCTGCATCGAAGCCGCAGGCGCAGTTTGATGATCTGCGCGTCGCTTGGCTGGCGGAAGGATTATCTGCAAAGGAGAGGTATTGGTTCGCGTTGACAGCCGCCCGCCACAAGGCTGACGATCGCGTATGGCTTGCAGGTTGTTACGTGGTTTGGACCACGCGACATTGAGCCTGCACATCACTGCTGCTGCGAGAAGCTGTTTCAAGCTCTTGAAGTGGTCGAAGGTTATGACACTTGATGAGTCTCGCCATCCCTGCAACAGGTAGAAACGCTTCAAATCGCATTCATTGCACCGCATACAGGCTTTTTTCAGCAGCTCTCAGCAATGCGAACGGCCATCTTCAGATGCACCCAGCCAAGTGAGATCGCATGTTGATGGGTGGGTTTGTCACTGCCACATGTGACAGGCTCTGTGTTCTCGCATTTTCCTTGCGAAACATAATGATCTGCTTGTCTCTCTTTTGTTGTGTCAAATCTGCATGGATTTCTGGAGGGTGTTTGCCTGTGGCAGGGTTCTGATATCTCTTTTGCCACAGTGGCAGGAGGCTCTTTGGATGCTAAAGATCTGCTGCGTCAGCCTCTGCGAAGGACTCGAAGGAAGGTGAAAATACTTACCAGGCTGAGATGTGATCATCCTTTTGAGGCAGATTGTGAGATTGCTTCCTCGAGTCGGCCTCCAGGTGTGGGATGACAGGATCTAGAAGTCTTTCGCTGCTGAAAATGTCGCACAATGAAAACACTACGATGAAAGAAGGAGTCAGCTCATAAAGGTCAAGGGTGGCAGGGATGAGGTTTGTGACTCAGTTCATTGTCCTTGGACTCACTTACTGCAGTAGTCGCTCAGAGAGACTGTTCCTGAGGCTATTTTGACAAATGCTTCAGAGCTAATCAGGCAGAGACAACGCTTGATACTAGCGGCCCTTTCGGGACCAGCTGTTGTTGTTCTTGTTGGTTTTGTTTGTTGTTGAACCTCAAGTTGTCAGTGGTAAGTGAGAAGGAAGAGATTTAGACGAGGAGAAAGTCTTTGACCATGAGTTGTTGACACCAGCTGCGCCTTGTGTCCTCTTGTGCGGCTTGGAAGCGGCTTGACTGGCACTGCGGCTGCCGAGACGACTCAGGAACGCCCTGCTATTGCTTTAGGTATCTCACTCCTTGTCGGAAATGCCGCACTTTTGGCAGCTTCTTCAAGCGATATTATCTAAGAATAGCTAATGGATGCATCAACTGAACCAAACGTCGGAAGAAGGCCCAGTCGAACAAGCTTGACAATCTCAAGCTTTGTGGAACAGCTGTCAATCACCACGGGCAGTGGAAGGGGCGTTGCGAAGGCTGGCATACTCGCCACCACAGTACTCGGATGATTGGCTGTAAGTGGGCGATATCAAACGTGCATGAAGCACGGCAGCATGTGAGTTTGGTTCGGGCTGCCTCTTGCTGGGTGCGCCTCAAGGCCCGTACTACCATCCTCTTCAAGCGATGTTTTTCCACGATCGGTCACAGAATGCATTTGCGGCTCCTTTCCACTGCTCTTTGATCCTTTGCACGGCTGCTGCGTTTATCTCTTACATTCGCGGACGCAAGATGTCTGTAGCTACTTGCTTCTTTCCTAGTGGATTCGTATCCCCAGCGGATGTACCATGTGAACCCGAAGACACTTATTCATTCTGTTGCTTCACCAAGCAAGCCTGTCTCTCCAACAAGCTTTGCTTGACTGGTGTTGTTGATGGCGTCAATCAGTACGCTCGAGGAACATGTACCGACCACAGCTGGGAGTCCGGCGCCTGTCCAGATTTTTGTCTCGATCGTGAGTTCACCATCTCGTGTTGTCACCAAAGTTCCAACGCTTACCTCTGTGGTTACCTAGAACAAAATTTGGGCAATGCAGTCTTTAGTTGCAATGAAACCGGCACAGACACGTACTGCTGCGATCCCGGGTGCTCATGCGCGCCTGATAGTGGTGACGAGGTTTTGAGCTTCTCAGGCACACCGTATACGCTCACAGCCATCGATATTCCCACGACCTATCCCAACCCAAGCGCAACTAGTACTAGTACGTCTAGTTTGGTCGTGACCACGAGTTCCAGCTCACAAACTTCTACGGCAACGTCGAGCCCGGCCTCCTCTCCAACCGCTTCGTCGGCATCAAGCAGTGTATCCTCAAGCACCAGAGGCAGCTCGAACAGCACCGCGGTCGGTGCCGGTGTTGGAGTGGGATTTGGTGTTGCAGTGCTTCTTGTTGGTGCAGCCGGTCTCTTCCTCTACTATCGACGCAAGAGGAATGCTCACCAGCCATATCCCATGGGACAAGATCAACATTCCAGTTCAGTAGCAAAACAACCCGATCATACTGGGCTATCAGGCGCTGCCAACCATCACAGTGAGCTGGAGCTGACGTCTAAAAGAACTCCACAGGAACTACCGGTACAATAAACTGAAAGCTCCTTTGGGACTTGTTGTCTCAGGAGCAAGATGGAGAGATGTGTTGGAATGGCAGAAAATGACATTGGCAGATGGACAGAGTCCCAACAGTTATTTGTATCATATATATGGGTTGTCTCCCGGGCTCTCACGGACTGAAGGATGTTCCCTCAATTCTTGAAGCTGCAAACTGGCTGGAAGCCGTGGGTGGAGTTTCTAGCGAGCAGTATTCCAGCCTGCGGTATCAGGTTCGATAAGAAGGAGTGGAAGGCTCAAAATCTAGATCGCCATGCTGGGCACGGCTGAACAACCATTCGATCAACGCACAATTGAGGAGAAAGGCGACACCAGGCGCGGAATTGTGAGTGGCCCACAGACTGGGACTGCATCTGTGCTTGTGCCCTTGTTCGATGATTACGCGGACATGAAAATGTAAGGCCCCCAAGCAGGTGACATAACCACTTTCACCAGGCTGGATGGCAAATATGGGTTCTTAATGTATCCTGGGCAGGGCTGGCTTGAACCTGCTTCGCCTCCCTGGACTTCCATCGCAAACTTGATGATGGGCTTCGGTCGAGTTTCGACTGCACGCACTGGGTTTAGATCTGCATCTTCTCCACGTACGCATTGTTCTATATTCAGCCCTGCGACAGTGCAAGCGATCCAGTCTTTGGCCCCTAAATGTCCACACCTGCTAATCTCATCATAACATTGCTAGCTAAGGTGAAACATGCTACCAAGGTACAGTGTACTATGTACAATGATGCGACTTATCGACAAGTCATATATGGAGGTAAACGGTACGCTCTCTCTTCTATCCCAGGCACTACGTCGTCCGAGTGTCCTTTCTCAAGTGCTGGTCTACATTCATTACGCCATTCCTCCCTAGACTGCACTTCCAAGGTTCCTGCATCATGAAATCAATCTTCCAGCTTCTGTCAACAGTCAGTCTCTTGAAGGTTGGAGTAATCGAAGCAGACAGCAACAATACTAGTACCTGGCCGGACCCAGAGCCTTGCAGTGGGAATTGTTCTGCCATTCACGATCCCTCCGTGGTCCGACGTGCAGATGGGACTTGGTTTCGGTTCTCAACAAATGGCAATATTGCCATAGCCTCGGCTCCCAACTTGACTGGGCCGTGGGAGTATCAGGGCGCCATGTTGCCCAACGGCAGTGAGATCCAGGTCATTGAGAACCAGGAGATCTGGGTATGTCAAGGACTGATCCGATCACAATCAATTCCCCATCTGTACCTAACGGACTATTCTACAGGCACCTGACGTGTTCCTCGTCGACGACACATATTATGCATACTACGCAGTCTCACTCGTCGGCCTGCAAACTTCGGACATTGGCCTCGCTACATCCGACACTCTCGAAGCAGGAACCTGGACAGACCAGGGCAGTCTAGGCTTGCCCAAGAGCAACTCGTACAACTTGATCGACCCGAACCTGTTCCGCGAGTCGTCGACCGCACCCTTCTTCATGTCTTTCGGTTCCGCGTGGAATGGCATCTACCAAACTCAACTGTCGTCTCCACCAGATTCTGAATCCGACTCCAATGGCACCAGCCCGAATAACATCGCCTACAACTCCACCCATCCGGTCAATGGATCTGGTCCGGCCATCGTCGAGGGTAGTTTCCAGTTTTGGTGGCTTCAGGGGGGAACCAAGTACTACTATCTCTTCTTCTCGAGTGGCGCGTGCTGCAACCTACCGGGCAATCTCGCCGCGCCTGGCGACGAGTATAAAATCATGGTGTGTCGTGCGACTAGTCCAACTGGCCCCTTCAGTGACCAGGCCGGCAAGAGCTGTCTCGATGGCAATGGAGGCACGCTGGTGCTGGGGAGCCATGGCGAGAACGTGTATGCTCCCGGTGGACAAGGTGTGATTTTCGACGAAGATGCTGGCAGGATCGCCCTTTACTATCATTACGGTGCGTATTTCCTACTTGCTTGCTTTTTCTTTGTTCGTGAAGGTTGTCTTATCAGAGGCCGTGCTGACGGAGCTCTTTCTTCAGTCAATCCGCAGATAGGATACGCGTTCAACGACTTCCAGTTCGGTTTCAACTATTTGGACTTGAGCAGTGGCTGGCCTGTTGTCGTTAGCTGACGAGAACGAGCGGCGTGTATGGGACGGGGAATGACTCACCACCTACCTCGAATCAGCCTTTGAAATGCGGACAATTTTTGAACAGACTCGAGTTCTACACGATACGGGCCCATGGGGCTCAACGACAGACGAGCGGAGATCCCATGGCCGTGGCGCCCGGCTTCTGGATGCTCGGAAGAACCGCCGTCGGTGGTCGCCTCTCGGAGACGGTGTACCGCAAGTCGCTGAAGCCCACTGTCCTCAGCTGGGGATGCCCTTGAACCAGATCAAGAGTCATGCTCATTCGCTTGAGCGACTACTGAAACTAGCAACTCGAATCCGGGGCCATCTTTCTCACCGCGGACCGGTTCTCTCTGATCAAACATTCCTGTGGAATCTGGACGCTGCCGTGCATCACCTGCCTCGGGTCTCCCCCAAGAGAAGATATGATGACTTGTTGTACGGAGTACGAAGCATAGGGTATATCTATGTGAAACGCCGAGCAGCAGGAGAACTTGTCAGCGAGGGCGCATGCTGAGCCATAACGCCCATTGTTCGGAGTAGCGGCAATGACATGGCATGTCCTTACTCAAAGTAAGGGGGCCATATTAGTGACTTGCGAATATAGGGGAGTACTAATGAGCAAAGAGAAGAGGAAGTGGTGATAGACCATGTTGTTTTGCACAATTACATTCTATATCTCAGCTTACTAGTAGCTCAGCCCAGCCCAGTATCAATATCAGCCATCAGCCATCAGCCATCAGCATCAGCATTAGTAGTAGTATATCCAGATCACATATGTTCCGTCACATGATATCAAGACATCCTCCCATTCCTCTGACCGTCGTCCCATATCCGTCCCATTGAAGTGAAGGGTTGATTAGTATTAAAAAAATAAGTGTCGAATAAATCTTTGTCCCGTTGCCCGTAGTGCATTGCATTTGCATTTGCATTGATTTTGTCTTGTCTTCTTGTCGTACAAATGGAAAAAAAAGCAACATTTCTGATAAACATGAGGAAGGTCCAGGTTAGAGTTAGACCAAAGCAGCGAACGCCACGAGGGCACCGATCATCAAGCCGGAGCCAGAGCCGAGTTTGGTCGCGGCGCCGGTGAACGTCGCAGCCGGCGCGGCGGGTATGCTGGAGCTCGCTGTGCCGGAGGAAGAGGTCGATGGAAGGGCGCCGAATGTCCATGTTCCGCTTGCCGTGGTGCTGGAGGATGTGATGGTGGTGACGAGGCTGGCTTTGGAGGTGCTCGTCGTTGTGCAGGATGTGGTGGAGGTGGAGTTGGGGAAGGGCGTGGAGGATGTTGTTGTTGAAGAGGAGAATGTGGTTGTTGTCCAGTCAGCCCATGGCGAGGAAGGTGTTGTGGTCGTGGTGGAGCTTGTCGAGGAGCTCGTGGTTGTGGTCGTGGTGGAAGTCCAATCCGCCCATGTTGATGGAATTGTAGTCGTTGTTGTGGTGCTGGGAGTAGTCGTGGTAGACGTCCAGTCTGCCCATGGTGATGGAGTTGTGGTTGTGGTTGTGGTCGTAGTTGTAGTTGTAGTGGTAGTGCAGGGAGTAGTCGTGCTCGACGTTGTTGGGCTGGAGGTCCAGTCCGACCATGTCTCGGGCGTTGTCGTGGTGGTGGTGGCGGTGGTGGTGGGTGCTACGGGGGTTAGAGTGGTCGTTGTCGTCGAGCTCGAGGTCGAGGTCCAATCCGCCCATGCGGTTGGGGTGGTGGTGGTAGTAGTGGTAGTGGTCGTCGTAGTAGTGCTTGTGGTCGTTGTAGATGTTGTCGTCGTCCAGTCGGACCACGCCTCTGTCGTGGCAGGAGCTACAGGAACCACGGGGATGGGAGAGCTCGACGTCCAGTCAGCCCAGGTGGAGGGTGTCGTGGTTGTCGTGGTGGTTGTAGTGCTCGTTGTGGTCGTGGTTGTACTCGTCGTGTTCCAATCTGCCCAGACTGTAGGGGCGGTGGTGGTGGGAGAGGGAGAAGGAGTTGTCGTGGTAGACGAAGTCGTCGTCATCCAGTCACTCCAAATCTCAGTGGTTGTCGTGATGGCTGGAGTTGTCGTCGTGGTAGTGGTAGTGCTGGTCGTGTTCCAATCTGCCCAGGCTGCAGGGCTGGTAGAAAGAGTGGTGGTTGTGGTGGTAGGTGTGGTAGTAGTGGTAGTAGTCGTGGTCGCATTCCAATCGCCCCAGACTGCACTCGAGGAAGTGGTTGTAGTGGTTGTAGAGGAGGTTGTAGTGGTAGTAGTCGTGGAACTAGTGGTCCAGTCACTCCAGCCTTGACTGCTGTTGGAGGGCACTGTGAAATTCGCCAAAGGGGGGAATGCAGATGAAGCAGTGGAATTACCTGCATGTTGGCAATATGCGGCTAGGATTGTAACTGCAGAAGACACGGTCTCTGAGGGACATTGTGTGATGCAGGCACTGATAGTTGCATTGAAGCTGGAGGTGCAGACATTGGTGGAATTGGGATATGAAGAGCCTAGGCAGCTGAAGAGACAGTCAACCGTGGGATTGGTGCCGGCTTGAGGTCTGGGGAGGGCAGTTGATACAGGCAGAGAAGAGAGAGCAGCTGCCGCTATCAGGGCGTTACTAGTACGGAAATGCATAATGAACGGATACAAAAGTACAATGTAGATTGTCAAGGAATGAGAATGGCACTGTACACTGCGAGGCTTGTGCAAGTATCAATGCTGGTCACCGTGCGTTGTATGGAGTGGAAGAGGAGGAGATTGCACAGACCGTAATGCGACCATGAATATATACCATTCCACGGGGCAATTGTTGCTGGAATCGAACACTTTTCCAGCCATCTCTGTGCAGCTGAATACGCCACGAGGTAGCGATGAGTTACTGCATTAATTTGTCTGATTGGATAACCAAACAAAAGACAATAGGCGATGTGGAAATCTTGGTGGTAGAAATGGAAAAAAGATGATGGCGAGGATTGAGTGGCGTCCAAGGTCGAAAGCACCAAGACCGACCTGTGGTTGGATCCGGTATAGTGATTGGCTGGGTGGTGTTTACATAGCCACAAATGGCTTAGTGCGAAGAAGGCTGGGATATTTAGATGAGGCTGGGGTTGGTACAGTACCTTAGTACCTCCACCACCTCGTTTCCGACGCCTCAATAACCAAATGTACGTGAACTTTGCTGAATCTGGGTGATCTGCATGCTTGTCCATTGTCCTTTAACCGGTCAAGTGCATGCAACTACTAGTATCCACCTCAGTCGGTACGAGACTCAAACACACGACACAACAAACATATCAACCACAGAAACAGAACCTTTAAATTGTATTCATACACACATACATCATTACTCGTACAACTGCCGCGAGGCGCTGACTCTACATCCTAGTAGTCTAGCAGTTTTCATTCTACATTTTGTCTATTTTTTGATGAACTCCTCAGTCCTTGTCCAATCTAGATTCACAACCCCAACCCTCGGCCTCCATAGTATTGTTTGTTTTCGGGAGATGACTCAAACCTGAACAATTGAAACACCCAGGAGTCGATTACGATGCAAGCACCAAAGCCAAAAGCGCCATTCTGGTGTACAACCCATACCGCATCTGTCTGAAGTATGCAGCACGCTGATCAAAGTCCACCTCCTCACTGATTTCGCGGTTGCGTGGGAGTGGATGCATGACGATCATGGTGGATTTGGCGTGCTTCAGAACACTGTTGTCCACAATCAGGCTGTCCTTGAGACGCTCATATTCTTCGAGACTGGGGAAACGTTCCTTTTGGACCCTGGTGCAGTAGAGGACATCGCTCTTAGCGACGATCTCGGGAGTCAAAGTCTCGGATTCAACAGCTAGCTGACCGGACGCCACGATTTGCTCTCGAACCTCCTCGGGAAGAGCAAGGTCCTTGGGTGCGACCAAGTTGATTCGGACTTCGTAATATTGAAGCAACCTGACCAAGGAATGCACCGTGCGACCATATTTGAGATCACCAGTGAAAGTCACCGTCAGGCCGGTAACCGTACCGAGCTCTTCTCGAATGGTGAACAGGTCCAAAAACGCCTGTGTCGGGTGCTCCCGGCTCCCGTTGCCACCATTGATGATTGGCACCGGGGAGTATTTAGCAGCGGTCGAGGCAGATTCATTGTCTGGGTGTCGGAGGACGACTGCATCACCATAGCAGCCTAGGGTGCGGATGCTGTCTTGCAACGTCTCGCCTTTCTGCGTGCTGGAGTGATCTGTGTTGATAGCAATGGTGCGACCACCCAAACGCTGCATAGCAGCATCAAAGGACGCTGAAGTGCGGGTGCTCGGCTCATAGAACATGGTGCAGAGCACTTTGGACTGCAAGATTGGTAGGATACCTTGTCTCTGGACTCCCAATCGCATTTCTTGAGCAACAGTGAAGAGAATGTGCAAATCCTGACGAGTGTACTGTCTGACGGAAAGTACATGACGGTTTTTGAAAGGTGAGGAAGCGAGAAGCGAGAGCAGAGATGGCGAGATCGTCGACGGAGCTGCTGGCTGTCTAAATGGTGCAGTGGGAAGAGCAGGACCACTTGTCTCCTCCAGCACCTCATCCATATTACTTCGAGCTCGAGTTATCGGCCGACTTCGGGCAGTCATCGAAACTCGTCTGTTGGCAGCAACCTCGAGGAGGGAAGAACGTCGATCGAAAGGAGTTTCTGCTTGAGCACGCAAGACTGGAGAAGTCGGCCCAACCACTGGCGAAGTCGGAGAAAGGAGATGAGATGACATATCTGCACCTCGTGGTTCATCCAGCGAGAGCTCACCGTCGAGACAAACCGTCTTGCCCTGAAACACGACTCTTGATACTGCACCACGCAACGTTCTTCCGACAAAGGGAGACCAGACGGGTCCGGCCTGGAGAACGTATGGCCGGTCAATGTCTATCTCGATTGAAGTGTTGCTCTGCTCATGTAACTCGAAAATGGCTTTGGGGTTGTCATGAAGACGCTTGGTCACATCCTCCATAGTCATCTTCCCTTCTGCAACTGCCGTGAGCAGCAATGGAAGGGCGTCTGCAATACCAACCGTAGGTACAGCATTCTCCCCAGCAATCTGATATGGAATGCTACCAATGGAGAATACATCGATAGTTGGCAAGTGGTCCCACAGGGCTTTCTGATCTGTGATTGAAGGCAGTGCTGAACACTCTGGATAGTCGACTTGTGAAAGGAAAAGGCTGTAGATGGACACATCGCATGTGACTTTCAAGCCCTTTTCTTTTGATAGAGCGATCAAGCTGATATCGTCCTTGGAAGTCACATTCATGACGTGCACCTTCCTGTCATGGAGACTGGCCAGAAGAAGGATAGAAGCCAGGTCTGTAGTCTTCGCATCTGTTACGATAGGCTTGTATTCTGGCCAAATACCGAAATGCGCAGTTACCGTCGCAACTTTGTTGATGTTGCCGGAAAGGTGATTGAACGGAATGAATAATGACCCGACTTCGCCTTGAACGTGCACAATTTGCTCCGAATTTGAGTCTGTTGCTGCAACCGAGTAGTTGAAGTCGCAATAAGATCCAGCTTCTGCATTAGACTGGGCAACCTTCAATGACCTGGCGTCGGTGATAGCACTGTCGATGCCAACTGGCATGACTCGAATCATGCTGAACCCAGCAGCAATGGAGGCTTTGGTGAGGAGGCTGAAATCATGCGACCCCTTTTGCGCAACACCGGGGACGAAAGCAGCGACATTGATGAGTCCAGGGAGTACGGCGGTTTGGTGACTCGTCTGGAAGTCAATGTTGCGGACGTTGAGGTCGTAGTGTCTGGCAAGTGCTTCGATCAGGATTTTCGCAATCTTGACATTCGTGATCAATGGTGTCTGGTAGTCGACTGCCATTCGCCTAGTCCGATAGCCCTTGCTCATGTAGTTTGCAGGACGTCTGAATCGGTTACTGGAAGGTAGATTGATGTACAGGTCGATCTTGTTGTTGGCCAAATGCTGCGTCAGTGAGTACTCCGATTTCTGGTCCTTCTCATCACTTCCAAGCACTTCCAGGTATTTCGCTTTGATACCGTGTTCCTCGAGAAAGTCGGCAGTTCCAGCAGTGGCGAAGAGATTGTAGCCCAATTGATGGAGCTTGCGAACAGATGGCAGCATCTCCATCTTATCCTTGAACGATCCGATGGAAAGGAGAATATTCTTCTCGGGTAATTTGAAGCCAGTGGAGATGGTTGCTTTGATGTAGGCCTCAAACCGGTCGCGGCCAAAGCAGGCAACTTCCCCAGTCGATGCCATCTCAACACCCAAGACGGGATCAGCTCCCGACAAACGTGAAAATGAGAATTGCGGCGCTTTGACGCCTACATAGTCTGCGGGGATGTTGATCGGTGGATAAGGTGTGACAGGTCTGTCCATGATGACTTTGGTGGCCATCTCGATCAAATCCAAGCCCATGACCTTAGAAACAAACGGGGTGGACCTCGAAGCTCGAACATTGCATTCGATGACTTTGATTTCGTTGTCTTTGGCAATGAATTGAATGTTGAAGGGGCCTGTCACATTCAAAGCATTACCAATCTTCCGCGTGGCTTCTTCGATTCTGGCAATGGTTTCCGGCTCAAGATCTTGTGGTGGACAGATCAGAGTTGCATCTCCAGAGTGGACGCCAGCATTCTCAACGTGCTCAGAGATGAAATGGCCCGTCATGACACCGTCCTTCGCCACAGCGTCCATTTCGATTTCTTTAGCATTCTCGATGTACTTAGTGATGACCACAGGGTGATCTCTCGACACGTCCACAGCTTGGTTGAGATAGTTTTCGAGGTCGTCTTTTGAGTATACTGTGTTCATCGCCGCACCGGACAGCACGTATGACGGACGTACCAGCACGGGATATTTCACCTTTTCACAAAATTCGAGGGCCTCGTCGATGCTCGTCAACTCTTTCCATGATGGCTGATCAACGCCAATCCGGTCCAGCATCCGAGAGAATTTGTACCTATTCTCCGCTGAGTCAATCATCTCTGGAGACGTGCCGAGAATCTTCACGTTCAGTCTGTGCAATGGCAGCGCAATGTTGTTGGGTGTCTGGCCACCCATGCTGATGATCACGCCACTCGCTGCTTCGAGTTGATAGATGTCTAGGACAGTCTCGAGGTTGATGTTTTCGAAATACAATTTGTCGGCTTCATCATAATCGGTGCTAACCGTCTCGGGGTTATCTCGCCTTGCAGTTAGCATGATACTGAGATAGGAACTGAGATAGAAAAGGCAGGAAAACGAAAGGAAGAAAAAAAGGGGAAGAATGAAGTCCAAAAAGGTCAAAAAGGTCCAAAAAGGTCCGGTATCGAGTGACTCAGTCGAGCTCGTGGCTCGGCTGAGCAGCCACGGCTCGACGACGACGGTCCGTCTTGTTGTGGCGTGTCAGGTTGCTCTGGTTGTGGAAGCCCAGGTTGCAGGGGCCACATCCAGAACCAGTACATTGGAGAAGCAAGCATGTTCAAACTGGGGAAAGAAAAGAGAAACACCAACTTACAATTGACCATGACAGTCTTGTATCCTTCTTTTCGAAGAGTGCGGATTGCTCTTACTGAACACCAATCGAACTCCACAGAGGAGCCGATCCGATAGACGCCGGAGCCAAGTACCATAATACCATGATCTTCAAACGTAATGTCGTTCTCCGTTCCATTGTATGTCAGGTACAGGTAGTTGGTATAAGCTGGAAATTCTGCAGCCACAGTATCAATTTGTTTCACAACAGGCTGGATACCTGCTTCCGCTCTCAGACGCCTGACTGCAAGTTCATTCGAGTTCCAGTATCGAGCCAGCTGCCTGTCGGAGAAGCCAAGCTGCTTTGCCTGCCGGATCAAGGACGGGGGAATTGTTGAAGCGCTGAACTTGGACATCAATTTTCCAAAATCACTCAGGCCTTTGAGCCTCGACAAAAACCACTTGTCAATCTTGGTCATTTCCCAGATTTTGTCCACACTGTAACCAGCATGCATGGCGTTTGCAATAGCAAACATCCGCTGGTCAGATGGAGTTTGAAGCTCATCGTCAACAGACATCAAGGGGTTGGAGATGTCAGAAAAGCCAAGATTGTGGAAATCGACTGAGCGAATAGCTTTCTGGATGGCTTCTTCGAAGGTCCTGCCAATGGCCATGACTTCACCCACACTCTTCATGGAAGAACCAAGCTGAGTGGAGACTCTGGTGAATTTCTTCAGGTCCCATCTGGGGATCTTGACAACCACATAATCGAGCGACGGCTCGAAGCATGCACATGTCTTCTTTGTGACCGAGTTGGAGATCTCGTTCAACGGAATACCCAGTCCGAGCTTTGCAGCGATAAAGGCCAGTGGGTACCCAGTAGCTTTTGAGGCTAAAGCCGACGACCGGGACAGTCTGGCATTGACTTCGATGATGCAGTATTCCTTGGAGAAGGGGTTAAGCGCATACTGAATGTTACACTCCCCAACGACCCCAAGGTGCCGAATAACATTGACGGCTGTTGTGCGGAGCATGTTGTAGTCCTCATCCGACAGGGTCTGTGAAGGTGCGACGACAATGGAGTCTCCAGTGTGAATACCAAGAGGATCGAAATTTTCCATATTGCAGACCGTAATGCAGTTGTCCCGCGCGTCACGTACGACTTCGTATTCGATTTCTTTCCAGCCTTTCATACTCCGTTCGATGAGAACCTGTGGGCTGGCGGCGAAGGCTTTGGTACACAGCTCACGGAGCTGATCAGGATTCTCGGCAAACCCACTACCCAGACCTCCGAGTGCATAAGCAGCTCGGACGATGACTGGGAAGCCGATGTCTTGGACAGCATGCATCGCTTCATCCAGAGTTGAGGCTGAAGCCGATTTTGCACATTTCTCTCCGATCGACTCCATACTCCTGGCGAACAGTTCTCGGTCCTCTGTCGTGATGATCGTTTCAATCGGCGTCCCCAGAACCTGCACTCCAAGCGCTTCGAACTCGTCCTTGAGCTGAATTCCGACTTGTAAAGCAGTCTGGCCTCCAAATGTACAGTAGATGCCATCGGGTCGCTCGTGTTTGATGACCTTGCGGACAAAATCGGCATTGACTGGGAGGAAGTACACCTTGTCTGCTAGACCTTTAGAAGTCTGAATTGTGGCAATGTTTGGGTTGATCAGAACGGTGTAGATGCCTTCTTGTTTCAAGGCTTTGATAGCTTGGCTGCCCGAGTAGTCGAATTCACCGGCTTGACCAATGCTGAGACCACCACTTCCAAGAACAAGGACCTTCTTGACCTTGACTCGTGGATGTGCCTTGTCGTTCTCTTCAATCGTGCCACCTGGGAATGTAACAGGCTTAAGCAAAGCCTCCACAGATTCGACACTTTTCATGATTGCGTCAATGAAGACGTCAAAGAGAAATTCTGTGTCTCGGGGCCCGGGAGTCGACTCTGGGTGGAATTGAACGCTGAAGTATGGACGGGAAACGTGACGAATGCCTTCATTGCTGCCGTCGTTGGCGTTGACAAACAATTCTTCCCAGCCTTCGGGCAGTGTCATGGAGTCAACGGCGAAACCGTGATTCTGGGAGGTGATGTAGCAGCGGCCAGACAAGAGATTGGTGCAGGGAATGTTGTGACCACGATTGCCAAACTTCATCTTCAATGTGTTGGCTCCAGCTGCACGAGCAAGGAGCTGGTGGCCGAGACAGATGCCAAATATCGGAGTCCGTCCTTCGGCCATTGCCTGTGAGATGTGCTTAATTGTGGCAGTCATCATTGCCGGGTCACCCGGTCCATTGGAGATGAACAGCCCATCATAATCTTTCCCAGCAAGCTCCGGGAAATTGTAGTCCCATGGCACGACAAGGACCTCGACGCCGCGAGCGAGGAGGCATCGTAATTGGTTGTACTTCAGACCAACATCCACCACCACTACTCGGATTGGTCTGCCAGAGGGATGCAGGACTGCTCTGCTTTTTGGAGGCGAGATGACTCGAGGTTTCTTCACAGAAACTTCTGCCACTAGGTTTCTCTTGTTCTGATCGTGCCATCCAACCTCTTCAACTTGCTCTCGCCAATTGACAGGGCCCATCATAACCTCGCCATTAGGCTGGGAGTCGGCTTTAGTGCCATTGGCGAGTTTAGAATGCGAGGACGGCGATGCATACAACATTCGACCGAGCATGCTGCCCTCTTCCCGGATGATCTTGGTCAACGCTCGGGTGTCAACGCCGTACATAGCCGGAATGCCTTCTTCCTTAAGCCAAGTGCCGAGAGATGATGTGGCCAGGTGATGAGAATATGCCTCCCCGGCATATGAGGCAACTACAAGTCCGCCAATGTGGATCTCATCCGACTCGAAATGTTTTGGCAGGTCGCCAAGCAACTCATCTAGAGTTTCCCTGGAAGGGACGCCATAGTTGCCGACTAGAGGAAAAGTGATGACCAAGATTTGGCCACGGTAAGATGGATCAGTGACAGACTCTGGGTAGCCGACCATTCCCGTCTGGAAGACCAGTTCTCCAGATATGCTCTTGGGAGCACCAAAACTCAGGCCTTCGAAAACCTGGCCATCCTGGAGTTCAAGATAAATCTTTGCATCCTCATCTTGGGAAGGGTGAGCAGCAGCAATTGGGGTCAAAGAACCATGTCGGCCTCCATCGTTGAGAGACCCTGGCGAGAGAGGTCCGTCTGCGTGGCTCAGGCCAACAGAAGCGGCCACTGTAGGACTTTGTGGTAAGGTACTGCCACTGGATGAAGGGCGACCGTCCGAGGTCAGAGACGCGGTCCGGAGCATGGTTGAGAAGAAAGCTGCTGGACGCTACAGCAGCAGAGGGTCACAGGGACATCTGATGAATAAGTGTGAGGTCGTCCCCTGGTTATAGACAGGCTTACGGACGTGACTGAAAAAAATCGACAGGCTGGAGAGTCAAGTTTAATATGATGTACAAAGAATCGGCGGTTCAGAAAAAAATGATGCCAAGCAACAGGGGGGCCCTCTTTCGAGCAGCGGATTGGTCCGCCGAGACTAGAGAGTTAGTCGGTGGTTAAATCGGTTTTAGTCGCGTCGTAAATGTCTAACAAGTGACAGCCATCTCTTGCCGCTTCTAGCTGTGTCTGATCAGGCCCATGTTCAGAAGAGCCCTCACTCTGACAGAGTTTGTGTGTAAGAGAGAGGGAGAGGTGCGCTTTAGGCATGACCTAGAAGGTCATCCTCGCTGCAGCTGTGCCAATACTTCAAGTCAGTCCGGGGATGGGAATCCGTGTAGCCCATAGCATCGACAACCTTCCCCACGCTGCTGCACGACCATCGCGGCTGCATACATAAGCGTAATCGCAGGCAGCAAAATCTCCCAATCACAAACATCAATCGAACCTCCATTCCCTCCAGGATTCTTATCTGATCGCTTCTCTGACACCAGCAGTTGATGTCACCATCTCACTACGCCCGCCAAAACATGCATCGCGCACGTCTGATCCTCCGCATTCTGTTCATGCAGAAACCGTTGGTGACTGCAAGTCTTGGAATAGTGGCGGACGCCTAGCGAAGATTGAGGGTGGGGTGCCAAAATGAGCCATCACAAAAGTCTTCCCGCTGCCCTCTGTTTATATGCCTCCCATGTCAACACCTCGCTCCCTCACCGACTCGATTCTCTCCCTGTCCGCCTTCACTGTTGCCTGTTCGGCGCTTTGCTTCGCTTTCCTAGGTCTTTGCAGTCTTGTGCCGGTTTGAAATGCATTGTGTTCGTTGCTGATAGCCCCTGTCCTCATTGTTTACATCTCCTCGAACTCTAAGCTGCATCGGCGATTCTTCCACTTCTCGGCTCTGTCGCCAGTCCTTTTCCCCGTTGCTCGACTGGGCATGTTCTCGTCGCTATTACGCCCTGCGCGGAGTCGAAGACGTCGCGATTCTTCCACCCTCTCCTCCCACGCTGCGACGGCCGAATCTCCAGATGCTGTGCGTGGCAGTGCCTACCGTACCCGCACTCGGTCCTCCGAAAGAGGGTACGACGAGCTGCTAGGGGAAGACGAACAAATCTCAGACATCGAGGAGGAAGATGAGAACGAGGATGAGGATGGAGACGCCTTTGAAGAGGAAGAAGACGAGGATGATGATCCTAACGACTTTGACGAGGACGGACCTGCGGACACAGCACCACTCCTTCCTATCTTCTCCTCCACGCACCTCGATGCAATACCTGTATTTAGCCTCACCCATGCTATACGGACATTGGTCACTTCTCGTTGCGACACCGTCCTCAGCTGGGAGCAGCTTCGATCTCCTCAGGTTTCACAATTCCTCCTCAAGCCAGTCGAGCAAGAGATCCGCAGGACCCACCTGAACGCTGCGACTCACTATGCCCTAATGGCAAACTGCTTGCAATATGGCAAAGAGGCTGCATTATATGTTGGCAATAGCGGCACTAACAAGACCCGAGGAATGGTTTGCGAACTACTTGCCATCAGACTGCTCAAGGACTACTCCACTCGCGACTTGATTGACGCATTATCTTACGACTTTGACCCTCTGCAAGGCCAATTCGAAACTACTGGTCAGGACATGGAAGGGCGCCGCGGGACCGCCCTATCTACGAAGCTTCCTCAACGGCCGGCTAGAATATCTTGCTTCGAAATTGCGATTCGTGCGCAAGCCAAAAAGTTTCTGTCGCACCCGACCGTGGTCAAGCAGCTTGAAGCGATCTGGGCAGGCACCATTGTGTTCCACTCGGCGGCCGATAATTTGCATCGAAAGTTCGCATTCCCCGGGCAGCTGAGGAGCTATGGCACAACTGAAGCCGAAGCTGGTCCTAAATACAGAGCGATAAGCTTTGACAAGGCGCTCCCTCGTCGGACTGTCACGCTCTATAACCCTCGCGATGCTTCTCTATTCAAAATGTCCCGCCTGAGGGTTCCCCGCTACAGGAACATCTTGTCCACCTTGTCCTTTGCCGTTCTCCTGAGTCTTTTTGTTGCCGTTCTGGTCGAGCGGTCGCTAGAGATATCAACGCTCGAGGTCGTCTTCTGGTTCTGGGCAGCTGGTTATATGCTCGATGAAATTGTTGGCTTCACCGAGCAGGGCTTCAGCCTGTACCTGGCCAGTTTCTGGAATGTCTTTGATCTCGGAATTCTGCTCATACTGTTTGTCCACCTGGCCTTGCGGATTTACGGAATTATCATGCCGGACGTGAAGAAACATACTGTGGCAAACATGGCTTACGACATTCTTGCCGCAGATGCCATCCTCCTGTTTCCACGACTGTTTTCTGTCTTGGACCACTATCGATATTTCTCGCCTCTGCTCATCGCTTTTCGATACATGGCTGCCGATCTCGTTGCAGTATCACTGCTCATTGTAATAAGCTGCAGTGGCTTCTTCGTGGCTCTTACGCTGTCCTTTGGCGAAGACGGCATCGATTCTCCCAGCTCGGTAGCTTATGCTCTGCTGCAAATGCTCATGGGCTTTACACCTGCCGCGTGGGACAGATGGTCCAGCTACAACCTTCTGGGCAAGACGATTCTGACATTGTTCCTGTTCATCTGCCATTTCCTCGTGGTCACGATTCTGATCACCGTACTAACAAACTCATTCATGGCCATCGTTCAAAACGCCAACGAAGAGCACCAGTTCCTTTTTGCGGTCAACACGATATCTCATGTCAAATCAGATGCTCTTTTTTCGTATGTCGCGCCGACAAACATCCTTCAGTGGCTGCTCGTCCCACTAAGATACTTTGTCCCCTTCCGGCAGTACGTGAAAATCAACCGTACGATGATCAAAATCACCCACTTTCCGCTGCTGTTTACCATCTTCATGTACGAGAAGACAGTCCTCCAGTCCACTGCGTTCGATAGCATTGATCTTGTGGAACATCGAGGTCGCAAGCGGACTACTACGAAGTTCAGTCGCCTTCATCGAGCGCCTTCAATTGCGACTTTCCGGCAGGACAAGGCTCTGGAGGAAGTTTTCAGACGGCCGTTTGACAGTACAGTACCAGGTGCACCAAAACGTCGAAGAGCGAGCAACGTCGTCAGTACCTGGATGAAGGGCATGGGCGACGACGGGGCGAGCCCTCCACAAGAGCAAGATAGGCGGGTTGTTGACAGATTGGAAGCCAGAGCCATTGGGTCAAAATTGATGCCTCCTTTCAACCGAGTTCGCACAATTTCTCGGCGTACCATATCGGCGATGTCTGACCCGGAGGACTTCGCAACGAACGCCGACCTTGTGTCTGTGGACGATACAAATGCAATTCATGATTACACAGCTCCGTCTGCAATAGAGCCCCCTGCTCACGCCACAGATGCCGAGGAGGCATATGGGGATGATGAGTTGCCCACCAACGACGAAGGCGATGAGGATGAGACTACTACATTCGATCATCGCTCGCCTGATATCAAGCCTCCGGAGTCGCAGGCTGATGTTATTCGGCCTCGTGAAGATTTCCAAAGTAACGATGAACTTGGAACTGCCACACCGCGCTCGGCTGGCTTGTCGGTATCTGTCCTTCGGACAAGACGTGGTGGTACTGGTTCAGGAAGAAGCTCGCCTGCGCACTCATTACAAAAGCACCGGCCTCGACAGCATTCACGCAATGTCTCGTCTGCAACCATGATTTTCAAGCCGACGAACGATACCAGCACGGAACAGTCGTCCTCGGCAGGAGGAGCCATCGCAGTCCCTGGTCAGGCACACACATCGCTACCAACCTCCGGAGCGCGGACGCCTATATCAAAGCCGGTTTCAAGTGCTGCGGGCCAACGGTCTCCCAAGCGAACAGCTGCAGGGCCCATACGAGTGAGACCTATATTTCCCAGTAAAGACGACCCAGCATTCCGCTCTGCGCCAAACCTCTCTCATCTCTTGGAAACGAAGGGGCGACCGAGTCCTGCGCGACGTAGGCCATCACTTGAGATGGACCTCGTGTCAGACATTGGAGACAATCGGGCAATAGGTGGTGGTTACGTGGGTGCTCTTCCAGCATCCTTTGCTGCGCAAATGAAGAAGGAGATGGTCGAGTCGCGACATGTGCGCGCTCAAAAGCAAGAGCAAGAGCGGTTCACCAAGATTATGATGGCTCGAATGAACAGTCTCGAGGAGGGCTTTAGGGATGTGATCCACGAGATGCGGGACCACATGAAACAGGAGGATAGGAGCCGAAGCCCAGAAAGAGTACAAAGACCCAACACCGGACAAAAGAGGCTCAGAGGCAAGGAGACATACCGACCGTCAACTGCGGGAGGGGACAAGGAGAATGTCGATCCTGGGAACGTCCAAGTCGTCAGGAGAGACGAAGTAGGTCAAGAAGGACGACGTGGAAGTCAGACGGAAGAGATGGTTTTGAAGAGACCGGACAATTCCATTGAGCCCATCGAAAGGCCGGCGTCGCGTTGAATGGGTTTTTAGGACGCTCATGTGCGTTTAGCGGCATTTTTGTACACAAGGCGCTTGATCGTTTATTGCCAGGTAGCGCGTGAGACCTTTAAAGAGCAGCGTGTTGACTGGAGATGTCTCTTTTTGGGCTCGAGCAATATAGAGCTTGTATAATACTGATCTTGTGATTAACACTTTTTCCTCATCGTCTGCATAAACGGAGATTGTGTGGCGTTGTAGTCTACGCAGTAGTCCGTCCCGGCCCATTCCGGCTCCATCAACCTGAACCATTATGCAGCACGTGATCTATCTCTCGTGTAGTTTCAAGGGGCACGTGATTAGGGAAGTCGCTGGTGTGACGCAACTTTAGACGGCGATGTCTTAAAGATGCACTGGACGACGGCCGGCATTAAACACGCAGATGATCCTGTTGAATCCTCGCACCATTGAAGAGACACCTGACTATTGACGACTTTATCCTGGAATTCTCCTAGCTCGTGGTTATTTCGAGACTTTATTCAATATTGAGCACGTAGACAGCGCTAGACAATTGCGCAGGCTGCCGTCGCCACCATGGCATCGAGTTCGGGGCAGTCAAATCAACTACTATAGTGAGTTTTGACCCAGATACTGGGGAATGAGTAGTTCTGACAAGATCTCAGTGCGTGTATCGCTCATGGAACGACCATCCTGACCGAGCATACATCGCCTGGCACCTCGTCCTCCTCAGCGTCCTCGCTCGCCTCAGTCATTCTTCCCAAAATCTCTCACTCAACGCCTGCCAAACTCACCTACACACACGACCGTCTCTTCGTTCACTATATCGCCGACTCTCCATCTTCGACTTCGAACAGCCCTGATGAGCAACTGTCGAGCAATGCCGCGCTCACCTATCTGGTGGTCGCGCAAACGGAAATGGGTCGACGCATACCCTTCGCCTTCCTACTCGAGTTGAAGAAGAAATTCTTGGCCCAATACAAGCCCGAATCTACGGATTTCCAGTCATTACCCGCCTACGGCACAGCAGCATTCAATAGCACGCTGAAGGCGATGCTGCAGCAATACAACACTGCACCCCCTAGCGACGCTCTGACGAATGCACGCAAGGAAATCGACAGTGTCAAGGACATCATGACGGAGAACATTGAAAGAGTACTCGAAAGAGGCGAGCGAATTGATCTACTGGTGGACAAGACTGATCGATTGGGTGGCAGTGCACGAGATTTCCGGGTGCGTAGCAGAGGATTGAGACGGCAGATGTGGTGGAAGAATGTCAGGGTGATGGTGCTCTTGGTGGTCGTGGTGGTCTTCTTGATATACCTGTTTGTCGGGTTTGGGTGCGGTCTGCCGGCGTGGAGCAAATGTCTAGGATAAGGAATGACTTCAATGGCGTCAATGGCGTCGGAAGAGCACAGTCATATTCTTTTGGAGCGACACTGTGTTTTGTAGGAATAACGAGAATGTCTACACAGTACTCGTATATCTCATAGTGGAGTTGACAGCCTTCAGCCCACCACAGAATGGAGTATGGAGTATGGAGTACGGGATATGTCAATCATTGTAAGGCTAAACAAACATTGGAGGGAAGTGGCTGCCCCCATCAAAGAATTCCTGTATTTTCTCATCCAACTGCCACCGTAATTCATCGTGTTCATCTCACCATCAGGAAATGCTGCAGATTGTCGCCCTTCTGACTGCTATCAAAGACTGTAGTGTCAAAAAGACCACCATGACTGAGCCTCGAGGCTGGGTAAGTGCATCAATAACACGTCGTCCAATATGTTGCCAGGCAGCCTACAGTCCACAGCCTACACCCTACCAGAATGCGTGTGACTATATCAATTGTGACTGGCTACTAGGCTGTGCCAATGGGCCGCAGCAGCAAAGCGCAAAGCGACGGCTGAAGACATGGGAATTCAAGCAGAGTCACGAATCACCTGCGCATCCTTCAGCATTTCATTTCCCCGCCAGACCAGCCTGGGATCCAATCGCTTTACCAAAGCCAAACCGCGGTGGATGTGACCTACATTGTAGTGACTGTAACAAATCAGGCAGACACAGCAGACAACACCTCGCCCTTTCAACATATCTACAGCCTGCCTTTGCCTTATCTTCCATGATTGATCTGTCTGCCCTTCGTCTTTCTCCTTGATGCCTTTTCCCTTTACTTATCCTTCATCCCACGCTTTTCATGCTTCTCATGGTCAGTCATCCTTGAGAATACTTCCTGCTCCCACAGCTTCATCTACACTATACGTTTCAACGGCTCCTCGGACGAAACGAATCACAGACCGACGTCAGATCAGGACAAACGACCTTGCTTTTGCGTAGTAAATTCTTCCTCCAGCCACACTGACCACTTATCACTTCAACCTCAGCTCAGTCTGAGTAACACATGTTGATCTAAGTCACACAGCCCTCCAGCAACAGCCGGAAGAGACCCTGGCGTGGCTTTACACCCAACAAAGTGCCCATAACCCAACTCTTCCCCAACGAATTTCCAGCAGGGCGGTGTTCCAATATCACAGTCATGTCCAACCACGATGGGGCGGGCGGACAACGAGGCGACACCGAAGAAGGAGACATGGAAAAAGCCATCAGATTGTCTCTGGTTGACCAAGCCAAAAAATCCAGCTGTCCGTCACGCATTGTAGACAGTTCTCGCTTCCCACCTACAGATCTGCTACTAAACCTCAACAACGAGTTCACGCCCCTGGATGACCCGGATGGTGATACTGCCATCTACATCGGCCCACCCCCTGCCAAAGAGCCTGGCTTAAGCAATTGGCAATACAGCAGTATCTGCAAGCACTTTGACCAGATTCATGTCGTTCAGTCCTCTCATCTCAAGCGAATGCCCCAAACTTCCAGGTTTACCGCCGATGATCTCCTCGGTCCACGGTCCATTCGAAGCGAGAAAAGCCTAAGACGACTTGGAGTCCTCAACATGGCCGAAATCCGCCATAATGGGAGATTCAAATACTACATCAACTTGCGTCTACCGACGGAAGGCGAAGAAGCGGTGGAGGCGATCACCAAACTGAGCTGCACGAACGGCGTCCTGACCTGGCATCAATCTAGGCACAAGTATGACCTACCCATCCTTAGCGTCTGTGGCCATGATGCTCGTGAGAGGCGTCATGAGCTATTTGGCTTGGAGCCTACTTCGACCACTTCTTCGGTGCCCGATGCTCAAGCCACCTCTCAGGACGACGATTCTCAAGGTCGTTCCGGGAAAGTCGCGATGGAGAAAGAACAAGTGCCAGAATTCAAGGAGCCTCCTGCACCAATCGGCCAGCATTACTCTCAACTTCGTCATTGCTCTGCCATCGAGAGGCTACTCCATGCCATTTGTGGTAATGATCCCAAGCTCGACTCAGCGCCGAAGTTGTGGACATTCTTTGCCGTTGCTCAAGAGTTTGGTTGTGCCGAGCATGAGCGTATTTCTGGCTGGATCACTGCTTGGATTTACAACGACACCAATATCAATTTCATCCAGAACAACCCGGAGGTGGCCTACCGGATTGGCATGGGCATCAAGTCTCCTGACCTGGTTCGAGATTCGTTTTCGATTCTTGTGGGCGAACGAGCTCTCCTCTATGCCTCGAGCCAACAACAGCCAGGTAGCTTTCCTTCCAACTTCAAGCGAAGCCTTCATGGCCGCGAGTTTGAAGCACTCGACGATGACGACTTAAATCGCATCGGTGCAGCTGCCTCATCCTTGGTCGGACGAATCCGCGATGAAGTTCGCCTTCTGTGTCAAGATCTGTCTTGGCTTCGAAAGAGCGAGGAATATGCAGCCCTCGATGCAATCCTACCTTACAATCCCACAGAAGCAGAGCATCTGAAAGCAGCCAAGCACATCGTCAAGGACTATGCCAGAACAGTCATTGGCTATGTTCTCTGCCAAGCTCAGGGCCTTTTCACCGAGCTGGAGCCGAATCAGACCTATGTGGACGTTTATGACGGCCTCAAACTACCTGTCAGGTTGTTTACGAAGACCTTCTGGCTTACTTTAGCACAGGCTGATTACGAGATTGGGTTCCAAAACGTTGCTGATGAATGTAAATCTGGTCTGATCGGTGGCTCTGGGTTCAAAGAAGGGCTGGCGGTTCTCGGTATGGATGAATCAGAATACCCAACGAGCATCCTGAATCGCCCGACTTTCTACAACCAAATCCATGCCGTGAACCGATTCTTGTTTAGACGCGATGTTGTCAGTGGCAAGGGGAAAGAGGACTTCGATCGGGTATGCGGCTTTGGACAGGCGGGATCTGAACAAAAGAAGCCGACCCCTGCCGAAGGTCTATCACTGGGAGATTTGACAATTGAAAGTCCCAAGCACGGCTGTACCGAATCAGGATCAAACGCGGAAGATGGCTCACCTTCGAAGCGGCGCAAAACTTTGGAGCCTGATGAGACTACTCAAACTTCTGCTTACTCGACTGGTGTAAGTGTTCCTTCGAAGCAGAGACTTGGTGATGATTCGACTTGGCTGCCCAAGGAATGGCTTCCTCAACCGGGCAATGGCAACGCCTTTACTGCGGATAATCATGCCGATCTCGCCTTTCGACCAAAGCAAGAAGCCAGAGAGAGTCCAGCAAGAGGCATTCTGACCCATGTGAAGGACTTTATGCATAATCGTCTCGGCTCTCCAAAAGTGCAAATTAAGACCAGCCCCGCAGCCTCGACGACACATTTGCTAGGGGCTGTCATCGCAGATCCTCTCGACTCAAGTCCATTGAACTCCGATTTCCAGGAGGAGACAGGCGAACCGTCGACTAGTGCAGGAAAACCAGCAGACAGTCCCCTTGCCACTCCAAAACCGAACAACCAGAAGGGATTGCTCGAGGATGGCAATACAAACAGAGCGGGTGAGCAACAACCACAACGACAGCGTAAACCATGCATCCATGACCCAGAACCGTCTGCACCTATCTCAACTGTCCGCGGAGAGTTGACCTTCGGTACTACAGCATGGTACAACCAAGGCCGAACTACCCCAGTCAATCAGGAACGGCCCTACTACGAGCGCATCAAGGCATTCAAATTGCTCAGCGAAATCCACCAACAAATCTCCAACATATCCAGCAACTTCCTATATCCGGCACACTTGTTCCACAATGCTCTGTCCCTGCCGACGAATTTGTTCGATACAATCCTGTGCCTGAACGCGAATGAGTTCCGGTATTTGCCGCTCTGGTGTCCGGACGGCAACGACGATGGGACGGGCGGCGTGTTCGACGACCGGCCCTTTGACATTGCTGATCCAGCGACCTCGTTCCGCCCGGGCAAGATTCGCAAGGGTTATGAGGAAGAGGATTCTGATGGTGGTAGCGCATTCGAAGACATCGAGAGCCAGGCCATTAGCACGGTGGGCAAGGCGAGCAAGCTTGCCACGGACGGGACTGAGACGGTCAAGAGTCTCGCAAGTATCAGTGTCGGAGAGTCTGCTGACGCGGAGACGGTGATTCTTGATGATGACGCCGGAAGTGTGGTGAGCTGCGGTGTGCATAGCCACGACGGCATGGATGGTGTGGATGAAGATCTGGATCTAGATCTGGAGGCCGAGGACTCGGACGATGCAAGTACGATCAACGGCGACGTTGATCAGCAGCGTGTTTCGGAGAGTCTGCGCAGTTTCCTTGGCGCAAGTGACGGTCGCGCAACCGAAGCTTGGATCAGTGCTTCTGCTTCTGTATCTTTACCAGGCATGATGGAAGAAGAGAGTCATGGAAGTTCAAGTCCAAGACAAGACAACAGTACGGAAAATGGCGAGGAGAAGGATGCGAAAGCTCGTCCGTCCAAAGGAGAGGAGGACGACGAGGACGACGAGGTCGACGAACACGAACACGACGAGGATGATGATGGCTTCGAGTGGCTTTGACCACCAACCTGACCTGGCTTCTCCTCGTATCTCTGCTCGGAAACCGGTCAACTATCGGCAGGGCGTCACGGCGAAGAGGTGGGTGGTATTTACATTCATGAAAATTGTGTGAGTATAACGAGGCACCACATTGGGATGCGAATTTTCCCCTCGAATGCTTGAACGCAACAGCAAAAAAGGGGAGAAAGAATGAGTGAATGACGAGACGAAGTCCACATACATACAAAATGAGATACGATAAAACGAAGGACGAGTGCTACAAGTTGCCTCAAAACAACACACAAAGCCTAGACGCCGTAGCAAAGGGACTGATGGTAGCAATAATACTACAATCTGAGAAAACAAAAGATAAAGATCGAGACTCGCTTAAAGTCGTTCGCCGCAGACAGTCTGAGAATGACAGCTTCTTCACCAAGGACAGTAACAACATGATGGAGTTTCAATAATTCGCATTGTTTGATATCCCAGTGCATGTAAGCTGGCTGATTGATAAAACTAATTAGCTTGGATCCCTATCACCATCCCTGTCCTTGCTGCCACCAACAGCAGCACTGCATTCAGCCCTTTTCAATCTAGCATTCCTCTCCATATCCCAACTCCGTTTTCCCGCCTCGACCCATAACTACCAACACAGGCTGAGAATGAAATTTCGCATTGGGCAGTGCACAGTTAAGGGTGACCGGGAACGTCTTACTCCGTACAGTGTGTGGGTGAAAAAAGAAAGAGTGGAAGTCGATTGGTTGGATGTTACCGAGTATTGATATCCCGGGTATGTCTCACTCCTCGATCATGGGAGTTGTCCAGTGTTCACTGATACGGGTGTCAGTCCAAACACGATTAGCAGATGAATTCGACGTCGCTCACAGAGATCTCGTCCATGGCATCGTCCCCGGTAGTGACTGCGGGAGCAGTAGTACCATTGGTGGCGACAGCCTCGGCGGGAGCACCGACTGCAGATGGATTGTTACCTCCCCAGTAGTCGGTCATTTCGGCGTCGAGTTCTTCGGCCGTCTTTGCCTTGGGTCGAGCAGTGCGAGCACGTTTTCTGCCTGGTTTGCCAGCTCTTCCTTTGGCTCCATCTTTGGTGTCCTTCTTGACGGCGGTGGCAGATTTTGGTTGTGCTTTCGGGTTGGCGCTGGTCTGTGTCAGTGGTTCTGACCGGCGCGAGGACTTTGGATTTGCGTACGCGACACGATCCGCGAGAGATTTGGCTGCTGTTGGTCCAGGAACGCTGCTGGCATCCATCACCACTTCGATCTGGTTGAGGTCAGGGCTAATCCAGGTAAGACGGATGAGGTCGTTCTTGCCTTCATGGGTCGCTTATCAACAAGCATTCCATTGAGATCTTTTGCTGCTTTGGCCGCAGCGTCCGACGAAGAGAAAATGATGTCGGCGATACCACGGCTCTGACCATTCTGGTTGTACTGCAGTGAGACCTTCTTGACTTTGCCAACAGATTTGTTGAAGTATTCCTATGCGTGCCAGAGTGATCAGTAAGATGTTGAAAGATAAATAGCAATAGCAGTCTCGCAGCACTGGTCTCCGGTGAAGTAGGCAAGAGATGTTTTCCGATCGAACATAGTCCAGATACAAATCCTCGTCGGAGCATCAGCGAGTGCAATAGCATAGCGAGCAGCAGCATGTTAACATTGGAAGGGGTCGGGATACGCGCAGTTGCAGAGGCGCTAGAGTCTTCTGGCGTGTGGTCGTTATTAATTCCGACTCTGTTCATTGGAAGTGTGCAGCATCCAAGATCCGAGTGTCGAAAGGAGGGAATAGAGAAGCGTGTCCTGGAAGGGGTTGTGCAGTAAGTCGCCATCGGTAAGAAGAATGTCCATGGTATGTTGTAATAACGCAGCGCGCAAATGCGCGCCAGTCAGGCACGTCATCGTCGTAGCGAACATGATTGAATTCCCAGCAGTCCTGGCTTGTGGGCGCGAACATACTAGCAGTTCAAGGGATATATGCGCGCTGACTCATGACGTTGGTGGAGGTCGATGTGCATATCTCGAGGTGATGGTTGACGAAGTCCGACTCTTTGGGCTGTGCTGCTGTGCGATTGATGTAGACGTCATGCAAACTCGCTGATGCTCCATACGAACAATGGATGAGAGGATATCGGTAGCTTTTCAGCTTATCGAACATCCTCAAGGCAGATCTGCGGTCGATCACGGCACGGTGGCTAGCCGGCTATGAGACGTCGCAAGATCGTAGGCAATATACAACCGAAAGCGCAACGCATCACGATTGTGAATTGCGGGCAGACTGCTGAGGGATTTCGCCCTGCCTTGGATAAAGCCAGCATTTCAGCGTGGCATTATAGGTCTTGGGTATGATCTCTCCGATGTCGCATCTTCGCCTCTCCCTTATTGACTTCAACCTCATCTTCTTGTAATTTCCCCCGAGACGATCCGAAAGGAGCGGGAGTATAACAGATGACGACGGAGTGGCGATGGAAATCCAAGGTCGAAAGCCTCTTTATCAACATACCTTGATCTGGGCTTCGTTGACGTCGAATGGCTGGAAAAGTTAGCTAGGATTCAGAAGCACGGGGTGGTCGTAAGACTTACCAGTCCACTGACGACAATCTTGCTTGACTTTGTATGAGGTGAGGCGCCTGCAGTAGGTTTGATTGCGTTCTTGACTGGTCTTGTTGACTTCTTGACGCCACCAACAGGAGCAGTTGCACCGGTTGGCTTTCCGACCTTGCGACGACGAGCTTCACGCTTCGCCTTCTTCTGGCTTTCGATGATGGAATCGAGAGGTTGATCTAGCCGGCCAGACATCTTGAACGTGTAGAGAGGTTCAAAGATGGGGTTTGCAAAGGTGGAAGTAAGGTCTGCTGAGAAGGTTGCGCGTATGAGAAGAGGTTGCGGAAGTCAAGGAGGATCAAGGGAGAGTCGCAGATTGAAGTTTCGAATTGCGAAAGTCGACGAATTTAAGATAGATCAATGGGGGTCGAGATGACGAGTACGTGGAGAAGGTATTGACCGATTGATAGAAATGAAAAAGAAGAATTGAAGACGATGCTGAAGGAGCAATCGCAGATGAAAACAGTATCTCGCAAGGTGAAGGCGCAGCATGCGGCGGCACAAGGGGGACAGTCGAAGACAGAAGGCACCAGCTGCCCAGCCTCCTCAGTTGTGCGCTATTCCGTTTTAGGCCCATGACATCCGCCGCTATTTACCAGCAAGCAAGACAAGGCTCACAAGGCTGCACCGAGATGCTCCAGACATACGGATAGTGACAGGGAGTATAGATTCACTCTTACAAATCAATGAGTGATTGACAGATCTCAACAATCATTCAACCATATAGGATTCGTCGACTCTCCCCAACGCCATTCATGTCTCGTAGTAAATGGCCAGGGAGACACGCTTTCGGCCTGGTATGCGCCCGATATGCGCTCAAAGCAACCATTCTGGATGGCCTCAGCTCTTCAAAGCTTCTAGCCTTCCTCGCATTTGTTCTAATTCCGCTTCTCGGTCTTCTTCTTCCTCGACCTCTTCTTCCACCGGTACTTGAGGTATTTGCTGTTCCGGACCAGCGAGTTTGCCCTTCAATACTTCGCCGAGAACCTTGTCGACTTCTGTCTCTGCTTCTTCGTCTTCTCCTTCCAGCAGCTCATCATTTGGCAGTGCATCGCCCACCATCTCTTCGATTATGCCTGCCTTCATGAGTTCTTGGCTGAGTTCTTGCATGGTGCCTGTCAACTCCGGCAGCCGGACCAGTGTGTTCACGTTCTTCATAATGCTTGTGCTGGCTTTTAAACTGCCCTCAATCTTGCGTACCGAGAATGCTTCATTGACTTGCATCTGCACGCTCTGTAGCTGTGCTTTGCTCGTATGTAATCTGGCCGCCTGTTTCCGCACCTTGATCAACTCTCGAGCAAAGATCCGAGCTTCGGCGGCGCCTTGTTTAGCCTGCGATGGGTTCTTCTGCGCTCTTCTCGACGACTGTAATATTAAACTTCTGGTCTTTTGCTCGGTGACTTTGAGGTTCGTGATGTCTCGATCCAAGCCGCGAAGGTTCTTGCGGATAATGCCATCGCATTTTCTCTTCTACGGACTCGTCAGTTTGCCTTTGAGGTCTTCGTTGGAATCAAAGAAGTACCTGTTCTTGAGGATCTGGTTTGAAGAAGACGGCTTTGAAAGACTGCATGGTGAGGAGCGTGGGATGGTCGGAATCGAGGCTTTTGAGTATGTCTTGTCTGTAGACCCCTCGGTGTTGACTATTTACCCATGACGACACCGGGCCAGCGTGTGGGTGATGTCTTCCACGGTAAGGGCGTCTTCAATACGTAGGGTATAGGTTCTACAGGATGCAGATGATAACATCGATCTCCAAGAAGATGGCAGAGTAATGTCGCTACGTTGATGGTAGGGCTGATGGACGCAGATCTGTTTCCACCCAGGCAAATGGCCAGGGCGATAATTGGAGTAGCTGAAAGCGCCGGCTGAAGGCTGAAAGGCAGTAGGATGATGAAGGATAGCGGGGGCCACAAAAGAGCATCGCTCGTGCAGAGGTGCCAATAATGAGTTGCGGGATAGGCTGGTGTAGGCCACTGGATAGGCATAGCATCTTTTGGGCCATGTTTCTTCGTCATTCGTCGCAATTCGAACAGCCTCGTCTTTCACTCACTACTAAACCTGCAACCTCCCACACATAATTCGGTGAGCAAACAACAAGCAACCAAGAGCTATCTCAATCTTTCTCATCATCGTACTGATTTGCACCTTCCAGTTGTGCCTTCTCGCTCAACCTTGCTCCCGCTTCCCTCACCCACGCAACTCTCGATAGACACAGGCAACCCACCCACTTCCCACAGATCAAACATGTCTTCTCAAGTCACTCCTGAAGGTAAGGCTTCTTCTCTTTCAGACTTTCTCGAGTCTCCGTCGGATCAAGCTCAATTAAATTGCTTGTCCGACTCAGGAATTTTAGTGGCTAACATTGTGTCCTTTAGTCCTATGGGCTCAGCGCTCCTCCTCAAGCGATCCCGAAAAGAACTACATCTACCTGACTATTGGCGTTCCCGATGTTCCCCCCAAATCACTCAAGCTTGATCTCAAGCCTACCTCCTTGACCTTCACTGGAGCTTCAGACACCAAGAAGACCACTTATCACTTGGAGATGGAATTCTACGCTGAGATCGATGTCGAAAACTCAAAGACGCATCACACCCCGGCGAACATCCAAATGATCCTGAGAAAGAAAGATCTCAAGGAGGAATACTGGCCACGATTGTTGAAGGATCCCGCCAAAGTCCACTACCTGCGAACAGACTTTGACAAGGTATGTTACAACGGCGGACATTTGACAGTCGGTGTAATCAAGCACTAACAGTTCTCCTAGTGGGTTGACGAAGATGAGCAAAACGAAGCGCCCGAGGACGATTACATGAACCAATTCGGTGGCGGCCTCGGTGAGGATGGCGGCTTCGGTGGCATCGACTTCTCCAAACTCGGAGGCGGCGGTGGTGATATGCCAGGCATGGAAGGCCTTGGTGCGGGCGAAGAGGGCGGCGACGATGAAGAAGGAGAAGACGATGATGAGATGCCTGATCTGGAGGAAGACAAAGAGGAGGAGGGGGATGCTAAAGGCAAGGGCAAGGAGGCCGCTTAAAGTGCTCCCCGTCGAAAAGTCCTGAGCTCGAGCGCCGAACGATGCGAGCACTGAAAGAGACAGGAGCTTGGCGGATCCTCAGCGCATGGAAAAGACAATACTCGATAAGGGAACACTTCTGCCCTCGCTGTTACCCTAAGCTCCAGGTGTGAGCAGCGACTCTTGCCGGTTATGTCAACTCGCGATCAGGAAACAAGATTCCAGGAATGGCGCCTGCCGACTACATAGCGAAGAGCGAATCTACCCGTTTCACACTGTGAAGCTCCTTTCTTTCTCAAAGGTCACCTTGGTCCAACGCAAGGGGTTCTTGGTGTTTCCGGCGGGAGAAGGAGAGTAATTCCCCCCAGATTTGATATTCCAGGCAGATACAATAGAATCCCCACAGAATTACTTCGCACACTCAATAAGACTAACGCTTTTAGTTTTGGATTTTGTCATTGCTACAATTGAGGTGAATCTCCCCATTTGATTTCCGGCCTGTAGGCCGAACGCGGTGGCCCGAAAATTTCTCCACCAAACAAGGGCACTTCTTCACCGTCCACCCTACGGCTTGTAGGGCAGAAATGGTGCCTGACCATGCGGTGAAACTCGCTGACTCATGCAGCGGCAGTGAGACGCATCAGTACGAAATAATGTTCCTCGTCAAGATCGCTTACATAACTTCCAATCCTGATTCGCGGGTGGTAGGGCTGATAAGGCAGGCCTGAAATGCAGCTGTAGACATGCGCTCATGATGGCTCCGTGCTGACATGTGCCCGACGCATACAGCACACGATGACATTTGCCCAGGTCCTTGATCCTTCGCCACAGTTTCGACGCAGAGGTCATCGGAATAAGCCATGGCTTGCAGGTAATGAAATTTACCCGCTCCTCCTTCTCTCCCAGGCCCCCATGCCTGAATTTGCGGCACTTTCCTCTCCCCTCTCCACGGCCCTCATCCCACGATCGTACTCGTCGCTCCCACTCGCCCGCCGCTCCTTGTCCAGCATCGTGTCGAATTCTTTCTGTGCCTGTTCTCGGGCGAGTTGTCTGTCTGCGTCGGTGTTGCTGAAACTAAAGGAGTCGCCTTGATTGGTCGTGCTCTGTTCGCGGGAGGGGTTGGACACGGGGCTGGCGTTGTCCCAAGAGGATTGGACAGGGGTTTGAAAGCGTTCACTCAGCGGCCGCTGGCCCCTGGCTGGGATAGCAGAGCTGTAGTTCGGGGAGGCCTGGTTCTCGCTCCGGATGCGGGCCCATGAGCCAGGGCGGGGGTAGGATTGGGATGGCGGCATGTCGGGGCCATTGCCTGCGGTAGGGGAGGCGTCATCGTCGTCGAAGAAGGATCCGGAATTGCTGTTGGAGCCCGAGCTCGAGCCGTAGAATGAATCGTCTCGGGATTGACAGTACGAGGACTGGTTTCTTGATGTTGGTGGAGGGGAGCCTCCATAGCCAGAAGACGCCTGTCTCAATTCGCGGGACTGCATGGAGGAGTCGCTTATTACTCCAGTGTCCGCCCGACCGTCTGTAAAGGCGCTATCCCCGCTGAAGTCGTTACCACTAGAATAGTCGGTCCGTTCAGAATCTCTGTAGTATGCTTGCGAATCTTGCGCGCCATATTGACCGCCCGCCTGGCCCTGAGGCTGAGTCTGAGTCTGGCCCTGAGACCCTGTTTCTGTGCGCCTTTGTTCAGGAGTCCTATGCCGGTTTGCACCTATGCGGTCTAGACTGCCTTTCATATTCATCATGAGGTCTCTCGTCCGATCATCCTTATACATCCCATATATAGCAGTCGTATTGCCCGCAGTAGAGAAGAGTGGGGCGATGACGAGCAATGTCAGGGCAGCCCAGACGTTGGTCCGCGTGATTTGCCACATCCTTTCTGCCAACTTTCCTTTGAGCATTGGCAGATGTTTGCTGGGGAAGTTCTGGTATTTCTCCATGGGTTGTGCAGCACGAAAGGGGAACTTCATCTTGTCGCGAGTTCTCCATGCTATGGTTCCTCCGACCAAACAGCCGGCCAAATTGCCGTACAAGGAGTACCTGGTTCTTTTCGTCGCGTAGTATGCAAGTGCCTCAGCTTCACTCTGGGTGACGGGTCTGTCAGCTAAGTTTTCACTGCCGCGGATGAAATCAATGATTTGTATTCCTGCTACTTGGGCTCTCCGAGGTCCACCAAAGAGCCACCATCTTGAGAGACCTCCCAGAGGCATGGATTCGAATGCGAGTCGGTAGCTGCGCGGATTGCCATTAAGCTCGTAGCCTAATTCGAGGGTTTCTGGCTCGACGGTGACAGAGTACTTGCTCCGAATCTGCATGATCTCGGCAAGCCCCATTCCAGGAGACTGACCTGGCTGCGTAGGTCGAGCACCGGGACCCATTGAGGGCGGTAGACCGGACGAGGGAGATCCGGAGGATGCCATGGTGGAGGGAAAAATGATCGTGTGGGCTATATCTCTGGTCTTGTACAGCAGAGCTGTCGAGCCATAGTATGAAGCTGGCTCAGCTCTAGCAATAGATGTTGCAAGCAGCGGTGCAAGAGCTGTGTATGCAAGGAAGATTTGGTCAACGAAGAGCAATAATAAGTTGGTGGTCTCATGCTGCCTCAAAGTGACGTCGGCGATGTTCCCCACGAAATTCCGACTCGCACTCAAAGACTCACCCGCCATCAAAAGATTCAATGCCAGACTCGTTCACACTTTTCTCAACACTCGTTATTCGCCCGGAATCGTCTTTCATCCTTGCCTCCCTTCTACGTCTCGTCTACAATAATCTTGATTTCACCTTCCTCCGCTAGACCATCCGCCAAATTCGGCACAATTTACTTTCGACCGGCACATACAGCCTTGAACGCCTCATTTCACACACGCACAGCAGGCTTTTTGCGCATTTCGTCTCTATCCAATCAACATGCCACCCAAAGGCAAAGGGGCTGACCAGCCCAAGAAGACCAAGGCGACCGTCGATGACAAGACTTTTGGTATGAAAAATAAAAAGGGTGGCGCTGTGAAGAAACAAATAGCTCAGCTGCAGGCACAAGCCAAATCAAACAAATCTCCCGAAGAGAAACGAAAAGAAGCAGAGAAAGAGGCGAGAAAGAAGGAAAAGGAAGCTGCCGAAGCCGCCAGAGCAGAAGCTGCAGAACTTTTCAAGCCAGTCCAGGTCCAGAAAGTGCCCTTCGGCGTCGATCCCAAGACCGTGCTGTGTCAATTCTTCAAGCAAGGCCACTGCGACAAAGGAAAGAAGTGTAAATTCAGCCATGACCTCGATGTAGGGAAGAAGGTGGCCAAAAGAGATCTCTACCAAGATACTCGAGAGGAAGAAAAAGAGGACAAGGAAAAGGATACGATGGATGACTGGGATGAAGAAAAACTACGCAATGTCGTGAAATCGAAGCACGGCAATCCCAGAACAACGACAGACAAAGTCTGCAAATATTTTATTCAAGCTGTCGAGGATGGGAAATACGGCTGGTTCTGGACCTGTCCCAATGGAGGTGATAAATGCATGTACAGACACAGTCTGCCACCTGGGTATGAAGACGTCCACCTTCTGCTATCTGAGTTTTACTGACATACCATAGATTTGTGCTGAAGACCAAGGAGCAGCGGCGAGCAGAAAAGGAGTTGATGGACAAGTCTCCACTAAAGACACTGACACTTGAAGATTTCCTAGAGTCTGAACGACATAAATTGACGGGGACATTGACACCCGTGACGCCCGAAACGTTCGCCAAATGGAAGAAAGAGCGACTTGATAAGAAAGCTGCCGAAGACCAGGCCCGGCTGGCCAAGGAAGCTACTGGCAGAGCAATGTTCGAGAGTGGCCACTGGAAGGATTCGGAAGATGAAGACAGTGATGACAGCGAGGACGACGACGGCGGCAACGAACAAGAGTCTTTCAACCTTGATGCTATGCGCAAAGAAACTGAGAGGATCCGGCAGCAGAAAGAAGAGGAACGATTAGCCAGAGCTAACGGTGAGCCCGTCTCTGATCCCCAGGAAGACACAAATAGCAACGCAGATGACGGGCAAGAAGGGGACGATGACACTGGAGATGGCAGCGGCGGAAGTAGTGGAGGGCAAGAATGATTCTGGCATACGTTTGTTTTGCGACAACCCATCTGATATTGCTTCAGCGCCTTTTTAGCGACATGGCCCCAGCGAGGGCCGGTTCAATGGAGGAATTCTAGCCTCGCAGATGGTCTTTGCAGGTCCGGGCGCCGGCTATGCATCACAGCCGCGGGTGAATGGCTTCTTTTTTGAGAGCATATCGATGACTATGTTACGGACGAAGGATCTGCTGTTGTTCTCATGGGACACTGGGGCCGTTGATGGTTCATGTGCTATGTCTAGCCAACCGAACCCCAGTATATATCACTCATCCATCCATGCAACAGAAATGAAATGGTCCTTCTGATGATATACTTCGTATGCCTCGGGCCAATACGAGCTACAATACGAGTGCCCATCCTTGACTATTCAATCATCCATTTCCCCGCAAAATTCGTCCCTCTCCACTTCTGCTAGTTACCTTTCTCGCCAGTGTTTGCCTTACACAGTAGACCATCATCCGCCCAGGCTTCCCTCGTCACCAATCGCCTTATATTTTTTAGGTCCTAGGCTTTGACCCGGATCACAGACTCGTCCGCTCATGTCTAGCCTGCCGTGCTTGTTGTAGCCTTTCTCTCTCTGGCAAACAAACTTTCTTTCCGAGTCCATAAAAGAAGGCCACGCCACTGACAATGATGCCTTTCCTCTAACTTGCCTGTGCTTGAGCAGCAGAAGAAACAACGACCCATTTAACTAGACCTAGACCGCCTGCCCAAGCAACGTCCTATCGGCCGGTGTCACCTTGTTTTGAAGCAAGCTACATGTGGCGAAGCTGATTTTACCTATCGAAAGAGCTGTACAACCAAACCTGTCTGAAGCTATCTGGCATCGCAGTCAGTCCTCCATCCTCCACCTCCACCACCAGAATGTCTCAACCCCAAAGCTCAATACCCGGATATCGTCCGCCACCATCTCTCAGGTAATGTTGAAGCCTTGCATTCTTTGCCTCAACTGGCGCCTCTCTCTACGAACCAGCCAAACTAATAAAATTGTTACGACAGCCGCGGCAAGAAATTCTTCCTCGTATCCATCTTCCTCGTCCCACTCGCCAGCTACGCCTGGCTTAAGCGGCTCGAGGCCAATTCGAAAGAACAAACACGATTGCTCGAGGAGGAAGGCCGGCGGAACTGGATCCAAGAAAATCAGCGCCTCAACAGGAAAGATCTCAGTGTAGCCGTCGGAAGGAGTGGCGGTGGAGTCTGAACATACCACACGCAGCCCACTCTCCAGAACGAAGAGAGCGCCATATTTGCACTTATGGCATCCGACACAAAAATAAGCAGTTCTACCAATTGCATTTCATGGCGAACGAGAGCGGAACCGAGAAACAGTATGCCTGACCCGACGAACGCGACACGACACTATCACGACCACGACACGATTTTACGATGCTTGAGATTGCAGGCTCCACTGACTCTCCAAAGTACTTTGAAATAATTCTCGCAGCACTGCATCATACGCAGGAAGAATATTGGGATGTGCCAGCAGAAAAAGAAACTACAAGGGCTCAGATGATGAAAAGGCGCGACGCACATCCACGGACAGAGCTCAGGAACTGTCCCAACAGTTATCAGCCAGCAAGCTTCACAGACTCGAGGGGGCGCCTGTGGTATTAAGAGCTCGTCTTCGAGCTGCTTGAACCCTACACTCTCTAGCATCCCCATGCCGGCCCCCAAGCCTCCATCGTCGACACAGTCCACCACAAAGGCCGCCGCCCCCCTTGAAGGCGAACCACGCCAGGCACTTCTCAAGCATGACGATATACAAGAAGCTACACACATACTTTAACAGAGCACAGTCATATCCATGACAAAGCAAGGGCACTACATCTGGCCCGCGGAATGGCCGAGTGGCTACACCAAAACATCATCAAAAATGTTCCAGCATACGGAGTACATCAATATTGATCTGAGCCAGAACATTCAAGACCGGAAAAAAGATCTAGATCGGCAGCCCTCGATCGCTAAAGGCAGACCAGCCCGTAGAATCACGAATTTAATGGGATGTCTCGATCCTGTAGCACAGACCTGGCGACTTGTTATCTCAAATCCTGTCACCGCCTCACTATTCCTCCCTGCCACACAGGCCGATACCCTATCTATCCTCTCCTTCGGCGCAAGATTCCCTTGTGACAAGGGCGCGTTCGGGTATATTTAGTACTTACTGTATCTCTATGGGAAGCTGCTGGGTCCGTCTCATCACAATAAGCCAGTCGGGCCTTACTCGACTAACCTAGCTTACCCCCAGTATCAACCCTCAATTGAATTGGTGAAACGGGCCAAACGTTCACGGGCTATGGGTAGGGCACCGGACAAGCCAAAGAAAGCCCTGGACAACGAGAAACGGATACTGTATGGAAGTCATAACCGTAGTCATAGGCCATTTGATGACCATTCATTCTCATTCCCAATCCTCATTCCCATTACTACCATCGGTTCCCTTCCATCATACCAAAGGACTACCTATAGTGCTCACAGAAGGACCGTCAAGAATTGAAAAGCATACACGCTGTGACAAGCAGCTCTCGCGAGCATGGTTCGGAGCCATTCTTGACCCCCTCTTTGCGCTTTTGTAGGTTCCCTGATTCCTTCCATGTCCTGTAACATTGAACATTCAATCCAATCCGACAATAACAGTTGCAATGAATGGCGTTGTCATACTCATTTCTCTCTCCTGTCCTCCTCCTTCCCTGTCTGTTCATACGAGTTTCGCAGCATGGCGGAGCTATTGCACCCCTTTCTTGAAGAGCCGCAAGCATCTACCGTGCTGTGGGCTATGAGTTAACACTCCCTGTTATAGCGCTTGGAATGCTCTCATAGGGCGCAACGTAATCGCCTTTATTCATCCTCGGGCTCATCATCTGATTATCCTCACCCTTTCGGCCCCTCGACGGACTTCTCACCCGGCCCGCAAAGTTCCTGAATTTGCCCAACAGAGCACCTGATCCATTCGCACCACCGCCACCACTGCTGTCATTCCCTGACCGTCCGCGCCGATGACCCCCGGCCGAAGGCAACGCCGCGGATAGTTGCGCCTCCGAGAAGGACGTAGGAATCGCGGACATTGGAAGTGGTACATTCGCTGCATCAAAACCCGGACTAGCCAGGCCCATGGCCATGGGCTTCGGTGGGGGCGGAGGTGGAGGAGGCGGTGGTGGCGCCATAAGATGTTGCAACTCCGGCAAGACAGGCGGGTGTTGCTGCGGCGGTGAGCCTATATAGGCAGATGCCGATGACTCTGTCGGAGGGGAAGGCATGGTCGGGAGTTGTTGCTCCCTTGGGGAGGTACGTATACGATCCCGGGATGTGCCGCGGCTTCGGGACGATGCTCGCCCTTCCGCTCCTTTACTGCTCGATCGACTACCTGCGATGCGATGGTCGTATGCAGGATGTTTGGGGATTTGGACAAGGAACTCCAACGGTACAGGAGCCCGTGCGGAGCCGGCTGTGCTTACATCCTCGCCACGAGTTGAGGGTCGGTAGACGTCGCTTGACAGGACTTCTGCGCCGGTGGGAGGGGCAGGAATTTCGTCTTTGGGGAACTTCTCGATGACTTGCATTGCTCTTGGAGTATTCGGACGCTCTTTGTTGAAGTCGACCACACTCGTGGTGTCTTTCTCTATGCCACGCGCAGGTGTTCTGGCACTCATGATAGGTCCGTCGTCAGTGTAGGCACGTAACAGTGGCGGCACGTTGCCTGTCGAAGCTGATTTCGTGTGGGAATTGATGTGGGAAGGAAGCGGAATGGGAGGCACAGTCGGCCGGCGGGTGAGTGATTGTCTTCGAGCTTCTAGCTGCTCGGCTGCGGACTCTTTTCTGCCTCGATCATCCGAGACCTGTGGCTGACTGGCGGGTCTGGGATCGCCCAAAGGGGCACGGAGCGCTGGAAAGGTGTCTTCAGGATCGTCGGGATGGGCACTCTGCTCGTAAACAGAGTCGCTGGGCCGACGACGGCGTCGGTGTTTCTCGCTGCGACTGGTTTTCCTGCTCAGCGACGCCTCTTCCGCTTGGCGACTTCGAGATCTAGGTCTTTGGCGCCGACGGTCAGGTGAAGGGTCCCGTTTGGCGCTGTTATCGTCTTTGGGTTGACGGCTAGTACTTCGGTGTAGTCGGTGCCTATCTCTTGATACAAGCCGTAGGGAAGAATCTTTATCAAAGCGGCTCTGGAGGTCTTCTTCCGAGGGAACCATAGGTCTTGGTGACGACGGAGATCGATGTCCAAGATTTTCTCTCCGCGACGAACTTCGACCTCTTGGAGAGAAAAGGGTGGGATCTGGACTAGGCTGCCTGCTGGGGACACGACTGGCCCCTTTGCTTCTGTTCCTGTGCGTTTTCGATCGAGATCTGTGGTGTTGCTTTGTGCCCTTTGCGGTAGATTGAGAGCCACGTCGGCTGAGCTTTGACATGCTGCCAGGTGTCCCTACCCGGTCAAAACCAGACATGTTGGAGCCATACATCGAGTCGAAGCTTTCCACGCTGGTGCTGTACATCCGTAGATCCTCTGGGGACATGGGTACCGGTGAGGAGGGCGAACGCTTAGCAGCTGGTATAGTACGTCGAGTCTCTCTTTCGCCCCCGTCGTCCACGTTGCTGGTTCTTCCCCTTCGTCTCTCTGACTGATCATCCTTTGATTGCTTGCTAGCACTACTGTACCCACGTGCTCGCGCATGCTTTTCAAAGTAATGCGCTTGATCGAGGCTGCTGATGAATTGATCGGTGCTTTTACCAGTGACGACGGGACTCTTTGTCTGATCTCTATAGCTTTGTCCTGTCGTTGGTGGGCTTGTTAGATCTGCCGTCGTGTCAAACTGGGTATTGGAATATGTCCCGGTCGTTGCAGGCCGACTGATCGGGTCCTGATAACTAGTTGGGGGCAGGTACTCCGGAGTTGGTTTCACTTGCTGAACAGGCATGGTTTGAATAGAGAGACCTTCCGGCTTTCGACTCTTTGAATCGGTCCTTGAACGCAACGCAGCAGATTCGAGATCATCGGTGCTGTGGAGCCGGGAACTCGAAGCTGGAAATCTCATGACGGTTTGTGGACCAACGGCAGTTTGAGGTGTCTCCTTGACTGGTGTGGCCAGAGGCTCGTAACGTGCTGAGGTGAGTACGCTTAGCGACTGTTTACCTTTCAGGTGTTGGTCGTTTGTAGACGACGCAGCCTGACGATCTTCGCTGCCATTGTTTGCCGTGAGTTCTGCAGGGACCGACACAGACCGTTGAGGTGGGAATTGAGGCGCCTCAACATCAACAGGCGTCTCACCTATAGATGCTAGTCTGCTCGGCTGAAAACTACCAGGAGTTGGAGTTTTCGCAGAAAGAGCGCTGTTGATGCTGCGTATATTGTTCAAACGATAGGACCCTAGGCCTCCAGGTGACAGGGCAGACCTGTCTATCGCTGATTCAGCAATAGGAGTGACAGCCGCACCGACAGTTGGGGTGCGGTCATCAGGCTTGAGACCTGGGAACTTGAATTGGTTGTTGGGTTGCGCTCCGAACGAGGTGACAAGCTTCAGGGCTGACGTCTGCGGAGTGATCCTTGTCCCCTGAGCAGCAGCTGTCCTGTAAGGAGTGGGTGGAGTAGGCATGGAGGACATAATATGTGGTGGAGGCATTGCGACTGGAGTCGGAGCATCGAGCGTGCGACGCCTCTCCAAGGTCCTCTGAAATATTGCTGGATACTCCATTGGTTCCAAGGTCTGCACTTGAGATGCTTGAGCCGCAGGCATGGGTTCAGCGACAACCTCTGCCGGTATTGGTGCCGGTATTTGTGCCAGGATTTGAGCCTTAGGGGAAGTCCAAGGATCGGACGGCTCGACACCGGTACACGAGAAGCAGCGGATAGCAAGCGATTGCTGAGAGTTCTCTACCACATGCTCACCCCACCGGCGGACAAGGTATGATTGTCTTTGCCAGTCTTCCGGGTAAACCAGGCTGGTCAACAGAACAGCCTCCATGTACTGGTTCCTGGAGACATATACCTCAATGGCATCACTTCTGTCACCAAGAGCGAGCATGAGCGTAGCCGCGGCATGGATGTCTCCTTGGCTCAGCATCTTTTCGATGAAGACTTGAGTTATCTTCTTTGCGCTGACTTGGTTGGATATTGTGCCCAAAGCCAGTAACATCCAGTCAAGTTTTGAAACGATACCCGTCGAGCCCATGATCTCCGCAAGATAATCAGGATCCTCATCCAGCCATCTAGCTAGAAAGATGGCATTCTGGCTCTCGCTTGGATGTCGACTCAGCTCATCACGAATGAGGTCATGTATGTCTTCGTCCCACCCAAACACGACACTCAGCATCTGTCTTCGTAGGTCGCCGGACGTCAAGTGACTGTCTTCGGCTGACCTTGGCGGTCGATATGGAACGTCGTGCAGGCGGGCTCTGGTGAAGGGGAAGAGATCCACTAGTGGTCGTTCTTCAGGGCTCATGAGGACTTCTTGCTTCAAACGGGAACCCTTTTTGTTCGACCTAGCAGCAACGGGAGATTGCGGCTGGTATGCTTGAGCTGCGATCTGATTAAGTGTTGATTGTGATTGGACACCGGTGTCGAACGACGTCGTCGTGTAGTCGGTTCTACCGGCCGGAGAGATGATCTCGTTGATATTCGGCTTCACACCAGACTTTTGAGAGCTTATCGTAGATTCGGGGCTTGGTATGTTGTTACGCTCCTGTCTGGCTGCGTCAGAGGCACGTAGCTCTCGTCGGGCACGGACAAGAGGAGAAGCGGGCTCTTCTTCACTCTCTGATGTCGTCCACAAGGGCCCTCGCCTATCTTCTGGGGGAGTCGGCGGAATAGTGGTGGGCATATGTCGTACGTTTGCCACCATCTGAGCTCTTTCGAGGTCGTATTGCTGTACTGTATAGTCTGGACCAAGCGTGAAGAGTGTACCCGTTGGACCATGGCAAGCAATGGCCTTGACTCCGTCTATGGTTGGAATGGGATCGTAGGTTACGTGCTTAGTGCGGACGTCCCAGGCCCAGGTTTTGCCCTCGGAGTATTGAACAATACGGCCGTTCTTAGACCAGGAGATCCAGTTCCGACCAGGAATGTACATGTCGGAGCGCTTCAGGACACGAATGACTCGTGGAGGTTCGGTGGTTGGCGGCTTAGAGACACTCCATACTCGGAGGTCTCCATCTGCTGTCTGGGTAGCGAGCATGTCAGATTTTTGTTTCGAAGATGAAGCATGCCACGTGAGAGTAGTAATCGGCGAAGGACCGCGAGATGTAGTCAACGTGTGAATCATTGTGAAAGTTGGCTGTAGAGCTGCCAATAGAATGGAACCATTGTTGTACCTAACAGCTATTAGCAACCATGGACATCGTAGCACCGGGGAGCCTACCCAATGGCATATGTCTTGCAGTCTGCTGACGGAGCTATTGCCGTGATGGGATCGAAGATGGTACGGGCCGAGATGTGATCACTAGTCGCAGGTTCGAACAATATCACTTCGCCTTTGACATTACCTGCAGAACGTGAGCATCAGAAAGCGCATCGTGGTAAACTCCCAAACAAGCTCACCGAATGCAATATTGCCGTTCCTCATCCAATGGGCAACCGTTAAGGGTTCGTATGACACGAATCGAGAGTATTGCTCGCCTGTAAAGAGGTCCCATACTATGGCAGTCTGTCCCACATCGTAAGTGACGACCAACCTGCCAGCTCCGGTCTCGCTGACATTGTCAGCAGAGATGAATTGGATGTCCTTTGAATGCTTTTCGAAACGTCTTTCAATGGCTAGGGTGTCGTGGTGTAGACACAGCACGACCGAACCTTGGGTGAACAGGAAAAGAGATGCGGTTGAAGCACATGGCTCGAATGACCCTTCATCGAGAGTAGGTCTCACTTTCGAACTTGAGGGAACTGCGGCTCCTTTCGTCTTGTTCGACACCGATCGTTGCCGTGAAATGCCTACGCTTGCAGACATAGCCGGTGAGGATGGTTGTTATGCGACTGTCCGGGTATCAGCGCTGTATAAATTGTGCGGAACAAGTCGATGTCCATAGGTGTACCTCTTTCGCTATGCCTCTTCCTCGTATGACATGGTCCCAAGCAAGGAACACCAAAATACCCAGACGGTCGGATATTGCGATCTTGACTGGTCCTCCGCCGTGCGACCACCGATGGATAGCAGCAGAATGTGTTCTTTTTGTGCAAGCGGCCGTCATTCAATAACTCCAAAGGCGCCAATGTAGCCGCGGACAGGCTCGTCGTGCAGTGACCCTGATAGGACAGGGGCCAGCGATCAGCGGATACCGTGATTAGATCAGGAGAAAAGCGATATATGGCGGCGATTGCATGTACTGGGCTCGGAGAACAGATGCTGAGGGACGATATCTCGTGTTCGAAATGAACATCTGAAACCAAATCTCTGTGAATGCGCAGACTTTACGGAGTACAGCCAGAGGCTCTTCCGGTCCACCTGATCTGGGAGAGAGGCGCAGCAAAGAAACGATGCGTGGCATTAGCAGCAATCAATTCGAGAAGCTGTCGAGGTACCAACGACATGATGGAAACATGGCTGCGAAGCCCTAGTGGACTGCGAGCACTTGATTGCGGCCCCGCAGCCCCCAGTAGGTGAGGGAGCAGATATTGGTCGCTCGGATCGAATCATAACGATGGATTTCTAGCCCGAATGCAAGTTGATCTGATGGAGGAATGGTCGATGTGCGTGGAGGCGGGAGGAAGTGTGCAGTTGGTTGAAGATGGACAGGCACGATGCTGCTCGGCGCTTACGTGCTGACGATTGGCTGTCAATCTTCAACTGTCACACACCTTGCTTCCTCCCCGCTCCCAATCACCTCGCACAGCACACTCAAGCCTCGCTGGCCCTACCCTGGTCACCTAGGCCTAACTTCGTCGCTCTGCCGTTAGAGGGGGAAACGAGGCTTGCATGGTGTCAGTAGGACCCTGGGCAAGAGCGTTTCCATTCCAGGATGAGTCCAATCGCCTGCCCAGAGCTACCCAAGGCCATCAACCGCTGCCTCACTACACTCTCGATCGAATTTCCCAGCGCGAGAAGGGCCAGCGGCTATACAGGTGAGAGCATTGGAAGAATTATATATCGCTACGTCGACTGTCTCTCGTCTGCTTGCTTATGGTACTCGTAAGCATCTCTCGTAAGGTCGACAACAGCATGCCACCCAACTGACAAGGTGCCTGAAGTGATACACAGCACAAGATACACATTACACCATTCTCGTTGTCCTAGACTGCCTCTGATGGTCTCGAACCCTTGTCGACGGTTTAGACTCCAAAGGTAACTCTCTTTCTCTCCCTCATCGCGCGTATCTCAACCGCCTTAGATACCTTCGAAAGTGCTGTTCAGTTTGTGGCGCCTTGCCGCTCCACTTGCGGTTGATCGCTACCTAACTAACGCAACTAGTCCCAGGCCCCTCCAGAGTGCATAATGTCCTACTTTTAGGCCAGGGTGCATTCTTCAGGCCGGTCGTTGGCCGTATGCAACAAATCCTGGTACGCTGAAATATTTGGAACAAGGCTATAGGTCGCTGCTGAAGAAGTATCGTCCGCGGCCAAGGGCGATTTCTTCAGGAAGACAGCATGCTTTCTTCATCGATTTCGCAGACGGGAACGTGACGTGCAGTGGTGCCCGAAACAGCCACGCCAACTTACAACAACGACCTTGACGCTAGTCGATCTCCTGGTCCAAGCGATCATTAGCGAAGACGAGAGTCACCTCAGACCACGATACTTGTTGATTCTCTGCTCTAAGACCACGAGGGCATTCGACAAGCAGCGCTCTGATGTCTTGGAAAATACGGAGAATTTATGTCGATCTGTGATGTAAACTGGGCGTCGCGCATCCAGCCTCGGGGCGAGCCAGTGAAGATGTGGAGAAACGTGGCAGCACAGACCTTCTCTGCGTGGTTGGCAGTTGTGCTTTTCTTGCAGTCAGGTTGTCGTCAGTACATCGTTCGCAATCATCACACCTCCAAACCATCGAAACGCACTCGTCGCTGTCGAACTCCGTCCGCTCTGGAGCAGCTATCACCTCATCACCTTGGTCTAATGAGGCCTAAGCTAGGTAAGGCTTTGGCTCGGAAAATAAAGTTCCAGAAGAGTGAAGCTATCCTGGACGTTGGCGGTGACCGACAAAGGCTTCCTGCATCTACGCGCCCGCGCTAGAAAATAGACCTCAAGAGGCCAATCGGCAACCGACTCAAGGAAATCCTACCACACACACCCTCGTATTTTCGTCTTTTCCAGACGAAAGTCCTTTGGATTTTCACCAACGTTCGATGCAACAATCGGACCAACTGTGGCGTCATTGATATCACCACGGACGTCCAAACACTATTTGGGGTTCATCAAGCGCCGTACTTCCTTGCCCGTTTTTGGCACATGCTTGCGAGACAACGTCGATCTCGGCGTTGAAGAAAGCTCGAGAAGTTATGCAAGGGTAGCACAGACACAAGAAGCTCGTCGAATCTTCCTGCTACCCAGAAGATGACACAACATGGAACACTTCGTCCCTGCGCAGGAATTCAAGGTACGCAAACGTCTCAATCACAGAAGATTCTTCAGATGTATCCTAGGCATTTCCGTGTAAGTTTCAGCAAGGAAATTTCACCCTTCCTATCCCGGTCCATGTCTCCTGCATGGCGTTGTGACACCAAGCCATCTTCGACCGAGCCGTTCCGCAGCATCGTTCCCAGCCTTCCGCGTGCACAAACGCGCCAGTAGGTACGCCAAATGGGAGGCCCTAAAGGCAGCATGGGCATCTGCCCTTGCGCAGATTTGCGCAACAAACATCAACACCCCCGGCAGTAGGCCATCTTATGGCAACGGCCAGCTGTATGTTACACCCGTCAAAGATCCTGCCAACTTTGTCCTGCCCAAGCGGCGCCGAATAGGCAGACCGATCTAGCGGTCAACGATTTGAAATCGCACTCGCAGTTCGAATTCCGCAGGAGTATATTTCGACGTCATCGAGAGCCTTTGATATGTTTCCAAATATGGTACCTCGAGGTCCCTCCATCAAGAGACGCAAGAATTGTGTGAGCAAAGTCCTAGCTCTAAGCCTACTCATCCTTCAGCATTACTGACAGTCACCAAGATTGCAGGAAGAGTACTGGAGAGTGGCCGCTGCCATAGATGGGTAGACCCTGCGGGCCGACCTATAATGCCAGTGATCTTGGTCCATGTTGATGAAATTTGGCCTAATGTCCAGAGTTGACCTGCATGTTGCCAGGTTGATTCTCGTGCTACAAGGCTTGTTCCAACAGAAGCTTGATGCCGTGCGAATAATTCCAGCTATCGGATTTCTGCTTCCAACCCAAGTTATCCTCGTCTTGGAATATACTCGAACCTGCATTCTCTGCTCACGTCGGGCCTACCATCTGCGACAAGCACTTTGCTGTTGGCAAGCTAGGCATCTCTACGTCGGTTCTCACCGGAGCATGTCGCCGCAATGGTTGCAGTTCCTCGGACTGGTCGAAGACTCAAATCGCTGCCGTCATGCATAGGACCCTCCCGCCGAGCCGGTTTCGAGAAGGGGTGGCACTGTCTGATGGCAGGAGTTCGTCGGCTTCACATGGACGTCCTTGACGTGGTACTCGTTGCCTATCCGGAATCCTTCGTATATAACGTTATAGCGCAAGTCGTTGACACACGGAAGGCCGTTAGTACCATGACTATAACTCCAGTGATTCACCGTTAGCAGACTCCCAATCTTGAAGCTGGAGTTATATGCTCCCTGTCTGACGATGCCATGTTTTCTGGAGACCGGCTCGCCGCCACTGCATAAAGATCTTGTTCACAGACTAAGCACTCTCACCCGGCATGGTAAAGCACTCCTCATGATGGCTGCCCATGGCAGTGCATCTCATTTGACTGTGGAGGATACCATACAATCGTCAGCGCTCAAGCCCTGCATCTCATCTCTTTAAAACTGTGCGTCGAACTCATTCTTTTCACTCTCCCATGAATCGATCAAGCTCTTTGGAGAGAATAGCAGAACCTGTCCGAGTCTTGACCAGAAGATCATGAGGTGGAAGAGCGTGTAGTGTCAACCGCGAGCCTTGGCCTGCGCAGCTCTGCCAAAAAGTCTCTCCGATGCTGTACTGGTAGTCTGCAAACCTAAACCCTTCGAAATCCTTCAGCAACAATTCAAAAATCACGGCAGCAAAGCAGCACAGCGGAACAGCTCTTCACTTCGTTTAACTGTAGGGTATATACTCCGCACCCTACTTTAACATTCCACCTCTGCATGTACCTACTTTTCGATCGACGGCATACTGTGATTCCCTGCCGCGTAGGCTACACAGCTTGCTTAGGCCACGGAGCAGGCAGTGAACGAGGCAATATCTGGTCGGAAAACCTGTTGCCTAGCTTACAAGAAGCTGCAACGAGATTCTCACCCTTCGAGTGGGCGATCGCCAATGAAGCAGGCCCTCACCCGACTAGCCAGGTGCAAATCCCCTTTCCTTGGGGAGACGGCATTGTAGGCGCACGCTCCAGACTGGTGCTCCTAGGTCGCCCGCCGGACTGACCGTGCGTCAGCGGCCTGGTCGAGGCGAGGAAACATGGGAGGCCTCTGATGGCCAAGGTAGTCCATTCACGTCCATTGTACGAGCGAGGCTTTCAAAGGGTCCATCAGCAAGTCGTGGTAGCCGGACGTGAATTCAACCGGATCGTTTCTAGAAGGGAGACACACCCAAGATCTCCCAGCTATCAGATACAAAGAGGCAAGGGGCGGTGCGACAATTCCCTTCGTAGGGGAGAAAACGACGAGGCAAACACGACGGGTATTCCCTGCATTGGAACGATGCAGTGTGTCCTTTGAAGCGCTTCAATGGTGGCGGGCAAGACCTTCCGAATGACGCTCGCATCATTGAACGAAGGATTTGACAGACGTACCTAAGGCCTACAGTACTGTGTACACTCTGACAGTATGAGCCAGTCAAGTCCGAACAATGATGACCTACGACTGAAATCGGGAGTCGTCCCCATACGTTGATTGAGATGCGCTGACGTTAGATAGACGCATGGCATACCTTGATGGTAGCGACGTTTGCAGTCTTGATGGCTTGCCAGTAGCGGGAATAAGGCTAGGTAGTTCAACGCCATGCCAAATTCAGCAAAAGCGACCTAGTATCTCGTTTGCTATCGCTCGGTTTGTCCTGGATCTGTGATGAGTGCCGATCATTGTGTCGGGCAGGTTGGCTGTGGCTGTCAAGGCAGGGGGGAGACGAGATTCATCATGTCAAGTTTGACAATTTGTTCTCTGCCCAGGCTGTCATGGCAAGGGTAAACGAGATTCATCACGTCAAACTTGTTCGTCGGTCTGTTCGGGCTGGGCTGTCATTCCACGCAAGCGTAAAGTGGTTGCTTGAAGCAGAGTGACAAGTTCCTCCTTTCCCGCAGCCTTGTCAGCTGTCAACCCTTTAGCCTGTCGTCTGTCATCGCTCCGCTTGCCGTAGCTCCCTTTGCAGATAGCCGCAGATTTTGATCGAGAAGACAGGCGTCCACTTGATCGAGTCGACAGTCTCTCTCACAGAGACCACGGAGACCTACCGAAGCTCCGCGCGGATGCGAAACTTCGGATGGCTAGGCTAAAGATAAATCCAAGGAGCCACAAAGCATCTTTTCATGTTTGATGGCAAATTGGAAAAGGATGCCGAACTGTTCGAAAAACGCCAGGCAGAAATCACAAGCACACACTGATGCCTGACTTGCTCATGGTGGCTCCTTCAATGTCACCAGAAAGGCATGTGGTCCCCGAGCATTGCCACAAGAGACGGTGGAAGAAGTGACCAAGAGAAGATTCTGAGGCATCACCAACAACGATGATCACGTGGATGCTGATGAAGCCACACGTGGAAGACTTCCGCTTCACCTCAAATTCCGTACAGCAGGTCACATCACGTGAAAGTAATTTCACATGCCTTTGTCGGATTCTTCAGCGAATTTCCTCCTCGGTGCAGAATTCCCGAGACACTTTCCCTTCACCCACTTCGCCCAGTCTTACGAGTATCTTTACTTGCCATGTGGTGCCCCGTACCGAGGCACCGATTCTGGAAAGATCGCGCCGAAAGGTTCTAACGAAAACGAAAACGGACTGAACCCCCAGCACGGACCAGTCGCTGCCATGAAGAGCAGACAAGACACCGTGACACCTTCTCTATGGTGTCTATGGCACCAGCAAACTTGAAACTTTCAACACTAACCCCCATGTCTGAGACTCTTACCGACATTTCGCCTGACAAGGTTTTGATTGCTTTGCGCAGGTGGATGAAAGGCCATGTCAGCGTTGCAATACCGGCGCAAGTAAGGGCTGGCACGCTGGGCACAGCTGAGACTTCAACCTTTCGGACGTACCACAAATCAACCCAGCCGTTTCGGCAATAATGATTGCAAATCCTCGTGTCGATAATCGTCAAATGCAACGCACCATTATTACTCGGAAAGTGCTGCTCACCGATGGTCATAGCGGCATCCGCGCTTCGAAAAAGTCGAGGGTTGATCGGCGCGCGGTCCGAGGCCCCATATAATGCGGACTTCGTAAATCCAAGCTCTTGACTGACTCATCAGAGCAACCCGCGCTGAAACAAATCTGCCCTTACTGTAGGAGTACTCGTACACTAGGCAAACCTTTGCCGACGTTGTGGCGAAATGTTCAACCACGCCAAGTCCAAAGCAGTTTCCCAAGCAAGGAATCGGATATCCCGCATTGGTTGAAGGGAGAGCGAGGGAGAGCGTGGGAGAGGTAAGTCGTGGGATGGTCATGAGTCAACACCATTACTATCAAAAGTCTGTCCAGCATACATTACGTGTGCGAGGACGGAGTAAAGGTCCATCTTGTCGTTGGCAGCCGACTCGACCACATGGCCCACGATGGCCTGGTGTGGGAGGGAGATGCACGAAACACGAAGCGTAGGAGGGAGTATTCTGCCTGAAGTCGAAGAATAGTGCGTTTAACGCCTCGAGGACGCCTGAGGCAGCCAAGAGCGAGGTGGACAGTCGCCCATCGGGCCTGGCACCGGATACTGCACCAGGAGCTACCCTGCCGTGGTCAAAATCATGCCCTACAGTGACTCGTTGGATGAAATACTGTAGAACCATCGGTGTGATTGATTATTCACGTTGATGTTTAACTGTGACAGAAGCCTGATTGTAAGATATCAGAAGGCACGAGGACTCGGTACTGAACAGAAACACACCGATGCCGAACAATCAAGGTGCCTTCTCATGATTGTTGTGCTGCCGTCAATACTTACCGAGTCTCTTTCGCGCAAAGAGCAAGTCACGCTTGTTGTATCCGTACAAAGCAGAACCCAAGTGCCTCTGACCTTTGATAATTGGCCGCGAATGAACGCCGCATATTGTAACATACGTAGTATTTGGCTTCCATGATCGAACTTGACTGTCGCAGCTTAGGGCTTCAATGCGTTGAACTGTCTCCATCCGGAGCAGATTGTTTCAAAATCGTGGTTGACTTTTCCAGCCATTAACATCACCATCCGTACTACCGTCGTCGCCGCCGACGACATTTGCCTGGCCGTGCCTGGCGCAACCGGAAAAAAGGGCATGGCATGGGATGGCAGCAAGGTACAGTACTGTCACACTGTGTAGATCTCCGCGTTGCTTTCCTGTCGGCGGATTGCCTCTCTCGGAGCAGCGTGCAGAGCAAAGCATGCATTCATTCTTACTTTGCGCGAAAACGTAACGTTTGCGTCAGTCGGAGAGGCAAAATAAGCCATCCATCGTCACAAAGGTTGCCCTTGCTGGTGGGTTGTACGTATTATGATTTCTCTCTACGGTGTATCCGTCGGGTGAATCCGCTGTAAACTTCCAAGCCCTGGAGGCGTTTTGCAGTTGTGCAAGATCCTTCCGTCGTCAGTGGCGCTGGCGGTGGCCAACAAAAACAAACAAACCACCATCTCTGGGTGACCAGCACCTCCTCCACGGTTGCTTCTGCCGTCTGGCCGAAGTTCATTGCATCGCATCAATCTTGCAAACCTCGGCAGGCAACCGTCATCGTCATCAACTCGAGAGATCATCGTCGCCACTGCCACTTGCCGAGCGAACAACTCGCCAAACATGTGCAGGATTTACTTGTATACAGGGGAGTTCTCCGTATGACGACAACAACTTACCAGGTAGCCGCCACATGCGCAGCCACCGCCAGCGCAGGCACGTCGGTGCGCCGGATCTATTCACCCGCAACACCTAGGTGGGCAATAATTCAAGAAACTCGCTTCATACCTCGTATACGGGAGTAACATACTGTGTAGCTACGTAGTTACCCCGTCACCCTTCGTGCCTGTTTTACCCCAGAGCCGTAGGCTCCGGGCACCTGCCGGGAAAAGAGAAGAAAGTGACATATGCCGTGCCCGGTTGGAACGACTTCGGAGGAAGAAACCCTCGAAGATCTAACTCGTAATTCCCATTCGTTCGTTTTTCATCTGTGGCCGACATTTGCCGAACCACCACCATACTGGCACACCCATCCATCGCGGATCTCGGCGACTTTGGACTTGGGCACACTTGGGTGTGAACTGGCACGACTGGCCACGACTTTCGGGGTGTTTGGGTGTTGGGCAGTCATGGGCAGTGCATTGCAGCCGACGCCCTGGGGGGGCGAGGTTCAAGCCACCCTGCGTGCCTGCCCGTTTGCCCGCCTGACCTTGGTCACACTGGAGAGAGGATGAGGCCTGATGATGCATACTGTCCACGAAAAATGAGTGATGCCTAAAGCAAGGCTCACTAGGCACCAAGGCGGCGCCAATCGATGATACCGACCTCCTAGATAGTAGTACTACTATAGGTACCTAATCATTCGTACGTCCGTAGCTTGTTCACGGTGGTTTTGAGGCAGCAAGGCCTCGTTTTAGGCGCACAACAAAAACAAACGGTGACGGGCCGCAGAATACATTGTACTGGGCGAGTAAAGCGAGGCCCGAAAAGAAACCAGACATGTGCAAACAGACACAGCAGGATGGCCGACTATACTACGTAGTAGTAATGCTGGCAGACAGTGATGAAGAAGAAACAAAAGAGGCATCTGTGTTTGAGCTTTCAATAGTAGATTGATTAAGCTAGTAATACTATTTCATCGAGGTCACCGATGCCCATGCCATTCTGTTGCAGGGTTGGTGCTCGGGCTTGGAGAAATATTCCAAGATGCCATCGCCATACTACTGTACACGTAGTAGGCCTGGGGAGGGGGTATCGTAGAAGCCATAATGCCCCAATGTGTAAATATATGCGCGCTTCAGAATCATCGCTTCGCTAAATTAGACAATTAAACTCAACACATTGAATCATTAAACCCAGAGGTCAGGGACCAGCCCTTTTTCCCGTCCCAGCGCAGGTCTCATTGAGGTCCGTTGAGACTGTTCAACCCGCGGCGGACATTGGTCTGACGCCTTTTCAGCGTACTCGGGCGACGCTGCTTCTCGTCACCTGGGCCGGCGAAGCGGACGACCTTGCGCTTTGAGGACTCGGAGTGTTGCTGGTGATGGGGGGCTTCTTTCTCTTGCAGGTCCCGAAGGAAGGCGATTTGCTCTTCGGTCGTCAGTTCCTTCTTGGGTGCAGCAACGGTTGGGATGGTCTCAACCGGTAATGATTCTGTTGTGAAGAGGAGGTCGTCATCTGATAGATAGGAACTGGGTTCTGCACCGAAGGATGACATGCACGATCTGTAAGGACTAGGCATCCACGAGGAGTTGCTGCTGTCGCGGCGCATTGCCACTGAAGATGGTTGTGAGGTCGCCGTGGATGCATCACTGTCTGAGCGCATCAGAGTGTGTGAGATGGGCCATGATGACGATGGCGACGCGCTGACGAGTGCTGAATATGCAGAGTTGGGCGCGCATGATGTGTAGTTGTAGCATGTGTTGGAGCCGGTAGAGTCGCGGGAGTCTGAACGCGACATGGCTACTGAGGTCATGGCCGGGGTAATGGTCGAGGTGGGCGATGAGAAGAACATTTTGTATGTTGGTATGAGGTGTGTAGAGACGCGACGGCGAGATCCAGCTTTATGGGCTGATATCCCCGGGCGGATGATGTGTTTATGATTGTTGTTGGCAGCCAGGGTTGTCGGACTTGTTTTCCCTGAATCGGGACTTGTGGCCTAACTGGAGGGTGACTGTTTGCGGGTGGTGATGCAATATGCGAGCAGGGTGCGTATCGCGGACGTGAGTCGGGTAATAATAACAATCGACGCGCGCGTTGTGCAGGGGGGTTTTCGGGGGTGAGCAGTGACTCGGAGTTGATGTGGGATCTGATCGGTGGGATTCCCGCGGGTAATCCAAGGAAATGGGTTACTAAGGCGCCAGGGTGTTGGCGAGCTGCGAAGCAGTCGACTTGATGGTTGGTTTGATATATCGCTCACAGTCAGTCAGAGCGGTTGCAAGAAGTGGTTGATAGGATCAAAGACCGGCTCGGTCGATGTATATGAATGAATCGGAATGAGTGATTCTTGGAAAGTAGGAGCCCCCTTCCCCGTGCTTCCTTTTGGATTGAAATCTTATCGATGGGGAATGGGATGGCGAAAACCCGGTGTCTCCCTAGTTCGGATGCGACTGCGACCTCGGTCGGTCCAGGTTGGGCTGTGTGCCAGTGTGGACTCGTTGCCAGACGGGACCCGGTATTCCTGTTTCGGGCTGTGGGGAGAGAAAGGAAATGCTAGGGGGAGTCGTCGATGGGCCCAAATATCTGTCAGTCACTTTTTTGGCACCCGTGCCCGTGGTTCCGCGATCAAGCTAGAGAGTAGGGGAGGCTGGTTGCGCGGAATGCGGCGTTAGATCGCTGGTTTCAGCCAGAGGTGATGTGGGTGATGAACGCAGGGGGCGTCGTTTATGAGGTGCTAGAGGAGAATGAACCTGTCTGCTTTTCCGACCTGGAGAGCAGAGGACTCTTATGTGTGTTGTTCAGTCCAGGGGGAAAGGGTGCTTGATTTGTTTGATTTCCGTCCGCAACGCTGGCTGACCTGGAAAGGAGCGGATGATTGATGAAGAAAGCCTACCACAGTATGAGTACAGACGTTCTGGGTCGAGTCGGTCTACTGACCGCCGAAAGGCTCCAAATAAACTGGCTAGGTGACTGGCACCGGCCACTGGACAGTAGTAGTGGGTGCGGAAGATGGAGGGTTTCGCAAGCTGAAGGCCTGAGACCCTGGTCTGGTTCTGCTTGGGCAATGGGCATTCACCGTCGATTCGGCTTGCAAGGGTTGGTGGGTGGCTGACGGGGCCGCACGGATGGCGCCTGAGAATGAAAGCATGGGGCGAGCACTGGCGAGATCTCTGAAAGGGAACCCCACGTCACCTCGACTGTCGACAGAGCGAGTTCGACACAAAGCGAACAAGCCCGAGCACACGGCTAAATGGCTAAATGGTGACCAGCGAGCCAGATCGTGGTGTGGGATGAGTGCTTGGACCATTCCCACGCCGAGGAGGAAGTATGCACCCTCGACTCGAGAGTTCGTGGTTTGATTCTCGTCCTATGATGAGACCGTGTAGCTGAACTGAGATATGATTTGCAAAGAGGGCAGTGATAATCAAAAGATGAGACGGACAATAATTCATGGCAGTGGGCAGTGTTTGGTCAAGAAGTGATACGGAGTGCCGTAGGTCATCACCAAAAACAGCCCTGATGGCCAGTAACACACAACCTTCTCTCTGAGACTCTACACAGTTCAGCGTTATTCGTACTACAGGCGGAGTAGTACCCCCGGACAATCGGGCAACACAGAGTTTTCTAATTATCGTCCTTCGTATAAGTTGGTGCGGTGGTGCTCTTCGGACATCTTTTGTCGGAGGAGTATTTTGAACCTTGCGTGCCTTTCTAGTAGCACCTCGGTGGACTTGGTGAGTAGAACACCAATGTCCGTCCGTCCGTCCGCCTGGCACTCATTCTTGATGCCTGGTCTCACGCAGAATACCGCATCGAGGGTGTGTTGTGATTACTTCAGCCGTCGCCTGGACACCCTTACCCTGCATCCCTATCGGTCTGCCGTAGTATCGCGTGGCTCAAGGTTGCTCTAATCCCACGCCCGCCTTGCTTTTCTACAACACAACATCATGTGAAGCAGCCAACAGCTCTGACTCATCGCATGCCGATGGTTGCTGCCCAAACTCCTTCTCCTCCTCCTCGGTATAAGCCTGGGGAAGGACCATCATGGACCCATTCTCCAACTTCCACCTCGGTCGATACCGGGAGCCAGAAGACTACACGGCAGACTATAGTCTTACCGTGCACCCTAGGTACTCGTACTAGAGGACCCTGGGACGATGGTCGAATTCTTTGTTTCGCGGAGCACATCCCGTAACACTACTGGAGAGCTCGGAGGGTACATTGGTACTTCCCGATTCACCGCCTACAAATACTATGGTACAAGTACCTGCTACCGGTGCTTAGGCGAAATTATAGGCTGGCGTCCTCAAACACTTCGCCTCGTTTGGGCTGCAGCTCCACCGGCACCCTGGTGACGGGGAAGTCGGCTCGACGGGCACGTCTCAAGCCTCAGTTCGTCTTCTCCCGACGTTTGGTCGTCCCGTCCTGCCAATTCAGGAATGTTCCGGTGAGTCTCGTCTCGAGGCAAACTGGTACCTTGCCACCAGTCGTTCGCTGAAAGAGTACATCCCTTGAAGACTCGGGGAGACGGTGGTACCTCGATCGCCTCGGCCAGACCCATACAAGTATCCATTATGCCTCTTCTTCAGTTGCTTTTGCTTGACCCTTTTAACCCCTGTTGCTTTCTCGGGTCCGCTCCGGTTCCCATACGTGTACCAGCAATTTGGGACTTCCAGAACAAACCCAGAACAACGTTTGTGGACATTTTTCCATTCTTCATGTCAAGTCAAGTCGAGTCGCTGCCGCTCTGACCCGGCGCTCAGCCCGACAGCCATCTCGACAACAATACTGCTGTTGAAGATCCAAGCGCTGCGCTGGGTCAGTTCCACGTTGCCAGTCCGCTTGCCAGATACAGGTATAATCCGAAGTCTACTGAGTATACTATGTACACAGTAGTAACCTGCTCTGTGCTCCCGAGGACTCTGCTTTCCAATATTGAGGAACAATTTAGCCCCACATCCTACGAAGTTTTCCGAGGCGTCGCCCCCATCTTCGAGCTGTGGCCAGCTCTCTCGGAACATGCCTGAAGCGACACTGACCGATGAAGTTCACAAGCCATGACTAGCTTTCCACATCTGTCAAATCTCAAATCTCAGGGTTTCATCAGATCACATCCTTTCTGCCCAGTGTCAGGTCCATCAAAACTCCATCTTGCCACGTTATTCACACCGCAATTCATATTCCATCTTCGGCTTATATACTCCGAGCACTCTTGCCGCAATGGACTGTGATCCGGCAAAAAGTCTTCTAAACGTCCCGTTCAACAACTGTGGAAGAGAAGACGTTGCTCCTTGGCGGCAATGCCCAGCTGGATAGGCCTGGATTTGGGCATCAAGCAGGGAAATCTGGACTCGATGATTTGTCTCTTTTCTCGTCCCAATGCTCTGCTGACTGCAAATCCCACGCTTCGTCATGGTATTACACCATCAACGGCGCAGCTGAATCACTCTCGCTCTCCAAAAATGGTCGGGCTTCCCTAGGGCCACCTCGGGCAACTGATCGGTCCAGAGCTGACACACCACATACATGACTGCATGCATAATGAGGCTGTGTCAGCGCCAATATGATGCCTCCTCAAGATGGGAGGTGGTCTACGTGGCCAGCCCTACGAACGATGCACAGCTGACTCGCAGATAGCCGAGACTTGTAACACCCCAGAATGGGGACGCTGTGTCGCTCCAGGGCTCGAAATAGAGGGTGCAGATTCCGCTGCCCGTCTTCAGGTCTCAAAAGGCCAGCTCAGCTTCGCTCCTTTCTCGCTTCCGTTGGGGACATAGTCGCGGAGCGAATCAATTCCGAGCCGCTGTTCGCTGTTCGTTGCCAGAAGCACTCCGCTTCATCTGCATTGCTTTGCTCTGAATACGGAGCACTAAGGCGTGCTTCTCCCCGGACTTTACATCTGTGGGGTGATTCTCTCATGGCACAGCACATAAGCACCCTGCGTAGATTCATGGTGCTCGGACCCAAGTCCAAAGATCGGGTACCTCTCCCCATTGCGTTGCCCGTGATTGGAGATCGCTCTCCTGCTTTTCGTTTGTATGGAATGCCTTTTCGTCGTCGGCATGCACCCCGCAACGGACTGGACCCGTCTTTCGATGCTTCACTCTGCGGAGCTCTTCAGGCGATCGGCCAAATGTTTGTTGTTCAACAAAGATGGGGCAACATGTGTCCGCCTTTTCTACTGCCACACGGGGTGAGCTGTCACAACAACAGGTGGTCATGAGAACTGTTTTGTCCAGCCGTATGTTTGGGTTGGCTGCCGTGAAAGCCTCGAAGGGTCATCCACCACGTCTGCGCATCTCCACGTTCAAAGCTGCAGACGTCGAGACGAGGTCGAAAGACCCCACCCACAAACCACCCTCTGGAAGCGAGGCACGTGAGGGAATATCTTTCGGTGATGGCCACTTCGTGCCACTTCCACCCCCAACCCCACTGCTTTCCGTCTCATTGTTATCGGCCCAAGGAGCATTCCAACAAGGCCCAGCCTAGATCTAGCGCCTACGACAATGAAATGAGTGCCATTTGTCGCCTTGGTCAAAACTCATCAGAGATCCGTCTAGGCTTCTGACCATTAATGAGTCCAGACCGGACGACGAGGACAACCCCACATAAGACCAATTCCATTGTCAGGTATCTGTCATGCCACTCTTTGTCAACCATTGGAGTCCAGAACGAGATAGAGCCTCACTCAGTCGCAACGCTCTTTCATTGTCTGGGATCGACGCAAGTTTGCCCAAACAAGGCCATGTGGCATGAATGTGGTACGAGCCTGACTTGCAATGGTCAGCCATAATGGGAGAGACAGCCCTTCGCAGCCTTGCTTGACTCTCTTCATGGAAGATCTGTGATCTATGCCACGCTTACAGCCTAGAACACCGTGTGTGTACGTGAGTGTCTCGTGATTGTCCGTGCTTTGACGACATCGTCGATGATGCTTGTATGCGGGCTGTAATCAGAGCCCAACCATTGCAGACACGGAAATTCTCCGAGCACGTTTTGACAATGGCAAAGCGATCATTGATTGTCACTGCTTCTTTCTGTCTTTGACAGATAGAAGGGGTGCTTGTTGGTCGTCTCCTTCTCAAGGGCGACAAACGCAGCCTTCATATGTTTGTGTTTGCCAGCACAATTCAACAATGTGCCCATAAAGCTGACTTGCTTGTTTACTGGCCTTAGGCCAGATGGATTTACTTGTCCAGCTGTATGGGTATCTTATAACAGCGGCCTTCAGGTCCTCAACCCTCATGGCAGGCCACAGTTAGTAGTGGAAGACCTGCTCACACGCGCAATCCACGATGACGGTGCTGGAATCGTTCTTGCCGCAAGCCTCGACGGCTTGAACCGAGGAGATGGGGCCCTCCGCCGAGGTGAGGATACATCTAATCCGCCAGAGCTGCGTGACACCGCACGAAGAGTGTTAGCCAGCCTGGGCGATGTTCACGACGACCGTGGCAATGTCAAAGCCTAATCAAGAAGATTACGACTTCACCACAGCAAATGGATCTGAACCCCCCTTGTCAACAAATCCGAACACCGAATCTCTTGAAGCTTCGGTCTGAAGAAGCCTGTGCATATTGCAGGATGCCAGATTGCCCGATCCTTGACAAATCCGTGCCAGACGACCCGACTGATTCGATCGGACGCGCTTTCAACAATGTCCTTACCCACCATCAATAGGTTTGTTTATATCAATAGTACATGCAACGAACATGTGTCTGGAAGAGACCATCCACGAGGACCTGCGTCACAGCCGTCGGCAAAGGAGCGCGACACGATATTTCGGTTATTGTCTGCCTCACTCATTTTCAGGGTCACTGCAGCATTGTCTTGACAAGGATGCACCATGATTCACAGCGCCCGGTCTCCCTCGTCTTTACTGCATTTCAGGAATGTCACTGTCAGTGCCTTGCTGGTTGAGGAAGCGACAATCTGTTGTCCAGGTCACCTGGTCGTTGATCACTGTTTCACGTGTGGGATGCTCGCAAAAAGATATCTGATTGCACTTCTGCTCGTATTCGCAAGCTGTCCAAAATTCTCTCCAACAAACGATACCTCAATCCTCTACAGCAAACTCTTCTTCCATTCATCACCAGTCGACGAAAGCGAAAATGGCGCACCAACTATTCTTTGCTGGCGATCAAGGCAGATGGACACCCACACCGGAGTTTCCAAACTTGATGGAACCTGGAGCGTGGTATAGTTATCCTCCTGTTGAAGCCGGCCCTCCAAGACCTTTTAACGTGACACGTCTTGGGCGGCTGCCTTCATTCCTTCTCGAAGAAATCTTCAAACACCTCCGTGATTTGGAAGGAACCTGGGACGTGACGGTTTAAAGCAGATGGTCAGAAGGGCGGCGCACACTCATGCGCCCCGTATGGAGGATGAAAGATATTTCCAACCTTATGGCCACATGTCGCCAGCTACGGATGGAGGCCTTGAATTATCTGGCAACATCCACGGTCCACACCTCTCGAGCGGCCTTGACCCTGCCGAGGCTTCCTCAAGAGATTTGCCTTCACAACGTGCGCTAGATCCATGTTCTAAAGGTTGATACTCACTTCTTCCTGAAGACACGATCAGAGCGCCATTTCCCAACTATGCTCGGCTTTCTCTGTGAGAACCTGCCCAACTTGATGCGGTTCCAGTTGTCGAGCACTTATGCAATCTCCGCCCATCCCTTCCCTCCGAACGAGGCTCACGATCTTCCCACTACCACACGCCATCAGCAGGAGGCTCGTGCCCTGGTGGGGTTTGGTGCATTCCTGGTTCTACGCCGTCCCAATCTGGACCTCCTCGTTTGGCCGTCGGATTCAGGTCCAACATATGAAGCAGGGGAAGGCAGAACAACTGCGTACATCGACGCCATCTCCAACACACTGAAGACTGGTCGGAGGAGATGCTCAAAGAAGCTTTCCGCGGACGCTCAAGAATATAGCTTTCGTCGAGGTGAGCATGTTTTCTCCAACTCAAACGAAGAAACAAATTACTAACATATAAAAGGATTGAGTGCTTAACGCCACAAAACTCCGTCGCTACCTGTGGGCTGAGATACCCACTATGAGCATCGACCAGTTCACCTTGCCAAAAGACAGCGACTTCTCGAAATGTTTTGAGGGCCACGGTTGTTTTCGAAAGGTAGATACGCAAGGACACTGGCACCCTCTTGGAACCAAAACCAAGAAGCCCAAATTCATCCCGGTGGACGGGCTCATCAGAATGTGCCGTAAGCACTACCGGAATGTCTATAAAGAAGACCGTGAAGAGGTCTACACAGTCTGGGATTCAAACCACAAATGGGACTTCTGTAATTCAACTGGACACTGGTAAATGAGACGGGACGCTGTCGAGGATGTGGCCGTGGCATATTAGCTCAGAGTGTCGTGCAGCAGTAGTTGTTCGAGTCGGCGGGTGTCAGGAACAGTTTGTTTTGCTTTCATACGGATTATCAGCTGTCGGGGATCACGACCTTGCGAGCTAGTGTATGCTGGCGTTACCGGGTTGAGGCTTCACTAAGGTAGGCTGAAGATGTCGTCGAGGTACGCTGGAAGGGGATGTTCTGCCGCAGATTGTGCGGTATATTTGCGAAACTGCAAGCTGCACCGCTTCGCCGCTTCACCGTGTCACTCGGGCAGTGGGAAATCAGTGAATTGTTACCGCTCGAGATGTCGTCTGAGCAGAGTTTTCCTGTGTGCTTCTGGTCTTCGAGTCCCTGCAAACCTGTGTGCCTACATCTCTCGCTGCTGTTGGTAGGAGCAATGGCGTCTTTTATCAAGAGCGCAATGCTCTGCGCCCTGCTTTGCATGTTCCACTTCTCCTCGCTTACAGCATGTCTGGACCCTCTGAAAGATGAAAAACTCCAATGGGCATGAAGCACCTTCAGGGTTTCAATTGGACCGCTACGTTCACCACTGGAGGCTGCTCAATTGCCCAAGCCCGCGTGCTCGTTGAGGCGGCGAGGGTGGGTGTTCAAGATATGCTTTTCTATGCAATGAAATACAAAGTCGACAACAATTTGGAATCGCTTCTTCATGGACGATGGCGAGGCTGACTGGGGTTATGGCTGGACGACGCGCGGAGATGTTAAGTTCTACTATATGCTGGATCGTCGACTGTGGCCCATGTTCCCGCACTGATCATATTCTCTCCTGCAGCAAAAGAGCCACAAAGTCTTCGACGACACAGCCGGGAACTTCGGTAGAGCTTTCCACTTCTACACGGGCGGGGTCAATGTGCACACAAGAAAGGGGAAGAACAAACTCAAGATCAGCTGTATGGACAACGGAATCAAGGACTGTCGTGACGACGTTGCAGCATATACTGCCCAACCAGTTGCGACTCCCGACAGTCAATGGACAATGGTCATTTGTCCATTGTTCTGGACCAAAGACAAGAAGTTTATCAATACATGGGGCCTAGAGATGCCAGGTGTACAACAACTCCCGAAGCTATTGACGTACGAAGGCCTTCTCCTTCACGAGATGTTTCATTGCGACCTTCCAAGATTCCCGGCCCACATTACCGATGTCAATGTGGGACGACTCGCCGTGGAAGGTAGTACCCGTGAACGGTTCAAACTTGTGTGAAGACCTCGCCTGGAAATACGGGCGTTCCAAGCCGAAGAAGATCAACCAAGAAACCGCCTGGAATGCGGACAATTATGCCTGGTATCTGGTCAGTCGATGGTTCAACGGACGTATGAAATGGGATGTACGGCATGATGAGTTGATGGTGGTCAATGGGTATACGACTACTGGGAGTGCACCTTTCCAAAGGTACAAGCACGAGTCCAGTTCTCGACTTGTGAAACGAGACAGTTCACGTCCGCCGTGCTGCTCTACGTAAAACTCCATGCTTCTGGTGTGCAAAGGAAGAGCTGGATTAAACATGGCGGAATTATCATTGGGCTCGTGCTCTCATGGAGAATGGAATAGATTGCCTGCCTCTTGTCAGACTTGGTAGGCTGATGCGCAACGGATGATGATGATGATGATCATGAGCAGTTGGTTTTTCGCAACACAACAGGAACCTTTGTGAACGTGAAAGACTAAAGGATAAGTCAATTGAGGAGATAGCCACACGTTGAATTCCTATTGCCATTAAGTTACAATTGGAACAAGGTCATCTATGACCAACGATGCTTGATCATGATTTTTCGCGCCCAATACTACAACCCGCTCAGCATAAGTTCCATCATGCCCGTAGTGCAAGCACAAGTAGCAGATGGACGAGACTGTCGCCACTACAAGACCCCTCCCGATATTGCTTTAGAGCTCGGTCTTTCTGTGTACTTGAGGACGCCAGCCGTCAATCGGCCGCATCTGATAAGTATCCAAGATCCAGGCGTGACAAGCAGCTCCCAAAGCAGCTCGATACGGACTCTGCTCCGCAATGATTTTGTCTGTCGATATGTGCAAAGTGGCAGAGATAGCAGCCGCCAGGTGGCGCGCAGCGTCAGCTGAAAGCTCTCCAGCCACCATGATTGTGTCAATGGCGGCATGGGGGTTTTCGGGTGGTCCTCGTGGGAGGTGTCTCTGCACAAGTTCTTTCAGCTGCTTATGAAATTCTGCATCATCTTCCCAGCCTTCAGTGCTGTTCATGGCTGACTATGCAAAGATCAGTCGCCACCCAATTGACCGGCAAAACGCTCCAGACGTCTGCTTACCTTGTCCAGTGATACGATTCTCTGTCCCCACCACAAACGTGGCCCCATGCTGTCAAATTCTCCAAGCAATATTTCCACGCGATCAAGCTCGTGATTGATGATCAAGAGATTGTATTCAAGGGTCGTCGTCCGGTGGCGCTCCAATCCGGGGTGCGGTGCAGTAGTTATTGGAGAATGCAGTGGCGGCCATTGTGAAGAAGGCATGTACATACTGTGGTTCGTGGAAAACTGGGCTGAATGCCTGTTCAGCGTGATAGATGGATCTTCTGGAAGTCCGGTTGAAATGTTGTGGATGTGCAATTGCTTCGATCTTCACCGAGGTGTCCAGGTGGTTTTGGGCCGCTTCCATAATGTTTCGAAGCCCGTTTCTCAGGATGCTTTCGACGTCCGTATCGTTATGGATCTCTGGCGGAGCAGGGAGGGTTTGACCATCGACTTTCATATGGTAGGTGCCGTCATAGAGACTATCCAGGCCCTATCAGCAGTGCAATACGGAAGCATCTGGTGTTGGGGATCGAGCGTCAGGAAGGATCTCGTCAACCTACAAGCGAACCCCGTCATGCTCGATAGTGTCAGTCATATACTCCTTGTATGCTTCGTGGCCTTCAATTCGCGTCACTGGAACAGGGATCCCATCGTAGTTCAGGCATGCGGCCGAACTACGGGTCTGTCAGTATTCTTGCGGCACGAGGAACAGGCATCAGGATCCTCCTACATGTGAGTCAAACCAAGGTGGACGCCGAGTGTGACAATGCCGCCGTTGACAAGAGTGCATGCTGTCGAAGAATTGGCCGAAAAGTCTGCCGAAACCCAACTCAAAAAGATGGTAATGACAAGAGCATGGCTCCAAAAGCCCTGGACTGTAGTCTTCATGGCGACGAAGAAGATGTGGTTCGTTGTCGGAGACTAAGGGCAGGTATTAATCAAGGATTCGGCAAGCTCAATAGTCATGTCAAGAGAACTTCCTTTGGTGTGGAAGAATTGGCAACCTCTTCGAAGTAGCAGCATCTATCAGAAGGGTGCTTGCATTCACTCGGAAGCGCAGGCAATCAGCTGGATGCATCTCAATATGCAAGTCACGAACACTTGGACTTCACTGTGGAGTTGCCACAGGCAAACGTGGTTTGTTAACTTCCTCCCACTCCAGTATCTTAAGCACGACTGCTTGGCCACGTAAAGCTCCGGTGCCAGAAATTTTTAGTCAGTGGGAATGTGGTGCTGGCCAACGTAGAAAACTAGCAATATGCTCCGACGTCGACGTCGTAGAGATCACTGCAGTCGTGTCACCATGGAGACCTTTTTCAGTCACTGACATGGACTCAAACAATATCTCATGCAGGGTCCTGAACATGGATGGCTTGATGAATTCACTGCTGGAGAAATCTTGCCGACCTCATTCTCCCTTCAACTCAAGTCAAGGTCACAACGAGGCTCTTGAACCTTGCGACTTTCTTCAACCACCTTGTCTCCGCTGCAGATGAACTGTTGCACTTGTTATTGCCTGGCCCAGACTGATCATTGTCGTGAGCTTGCAGAAAGTAAGCAGAAACGATCGCCGTGACACACTGTTCAGCTAAAGCGTGCCAGGACCTTGTCACCATGCCTCCTTTCGGCCCCGACGAGGCGAGCAATGCCTTGAATGCTGTACAACAAACCTTCTACATGGCGGTTCCTGGCCACAACTTCAAGATGGGCGCCTTCAAGGACAAGGTCACCAAGTCGACCTCGGCCGTGGAAGCTGCTGATATCTTTTTGGCATCCGATCTCTTGACCGAGGAGGAGAAAGAGCCGCTCCGAAAGATGCGCATCGGTCTTATCTACATGATTGCTCGTGGTCCGCTTTTGACCAGCGATGAGGCCATTGCCTCAATCGCGAATACATTTGAAGTCACCAACATCTTCGATGCGGATAGGAAGAAGCAGGGCCAATACGTACCTCCTATGATGGCGTATACGATGGGCGCAGACAACAAGGTGACTAAGTCCTTCGAGATTACGGACGACGGCATGAAAGAGACAGCTGGTGGAGAGGTAGGACAGGTTCCAGGTGCGCCCAAGGGGTTCAATCGTCGTCAGAAGGAGCATTAGGATGAACTGTTTGGTGGAAACCGAGGCCAAACCCAGCCACAGGATGGTGTTGCAGTTGGAAAATTCGAACCTGTGTATGAGAAGGAACCAGGTGAGCAACATCCACCAGCATTTTCAGCAGAGGGACAGCCTGATTGATACAATATGCAGGGACCAACGCAGAACAGAAGACAACCAACTCGGACAAGGGCAAAGAAGGTGGCGATTTTCGCAGTGACTTCAAGAAGAACCTCCGTGGTGCCTTCCTCTGAACCATCTGGCATTCGTGGCCCGGTTGCTGGATGACTCAAAGCTGGAACATGAAGACATGATACGGACGTCTTGGTTCAGGTCTGAGCAATACTACTGGAGGTGGTCCAAAATAGGAGAGCCTTTCGAATCCTTTGGTGGTTGCCTTAAAGTGAAGGCGTCTTTCTTGTACCATCCCGCCATTCCAGTCGGTCCGCTCCTAAAAGGAGACGCAACAGCTCAGATCCGGTGTTCTCTGATATTGCATGCGGTAGCTGGCATATAGCTGGCTGGCCCCTTTTGGGCAAGTAGTAGTACGTAGAAACCAAAATCATCCGAGATCCAGGGTCGGAGCCGGCAGCCGGACGGACGAGGGAATTATGCGATGCAACGGATGCACACGTGGAGCTCGGATGCACCAGATCTTGGTTTATGCAGTTCATAAGTGGGACGGAAATTCTCGGGAAAGACGCATTCCGGGCGCAGTCGAGAATCCAATCTCCCCAAATGGGTTTGGAGTCCGTCGCCAAAATCCCTTCGTAGGGTCTTCCTTTAGGTGGTCCCCATCATTAACTTCGGGGCGCGACGGGCGGGAATCTCGTACACCATGCCCATTTCGAGTGCCTATCCAGTACCACCAGTAATAATGGCGCCCGCAACCCAGGCTGCCCTTTACGAGTTACGTTACCGCCCACTGCCACCGTCGCATCGTATTCTTGACGTATACGCAATGCAATTCTCCGTCCGTGGTGCGTCTTGCGAAGAGTCATGCCAAGAGATGGCTCGAGATCCCAAGCATGCAGCATGAGGATCATGGATGTGAACCATCCGAATCCGAAGGGCAGGACGCCTGTCGCTTTTTGAACTCCACTGCCACTGCCACTGGTGCGTTGCTATTACCACTACCAGCTAGGTGGCTCGTTTAATTTATTGTCGAATGCAAAACATCGAATCTACCTCATCATATCTCTCCCTTCAGGCCTTCTTCTGTTGCTTGTACTTGTACCTTTCCCACCTTTTAATCCCTCTTTCGCTTCTCGACTTCAGCCCTCTTCGTGGCCGCCGGACGAAATTGGGTCTACCGTGTTAATATGGAATGTTAGTTGACACTTAATCACCACCAAACGCGACCATCTCGCACACTTCTTCTCAGGGCGGTTTGTTCCCTTTTCCAACATGTCGACCTTTCTGGTGGGCAATATCACCACCAACTATGACCGCAGCCGCCGGATGGCTGGTGCCTCTCCTGACGACCCAGCAGCCGACTATCCATACCTCGACAAGACTCATTCATCGACAGGAGGCCCCGTCGGAGGAGACAACCAAGATGAAAACAAAGAAGTCCGCGACCTCGCTCGACAGTATTCCCGTGCCTCGACAGAACCGGGCTACCATCCCTTCGATGCAGCCGTGGCCGATTCAGAGGTCGATCCGAATTCCGACAACTTCAATGGCCGTGCATGGACCAAAGCAATGTTGAAACTCCAGAAAATGTCCGGCCAGGAAAATGTCGGTCGCAAAGCTGGTTTCGCTTTTCGAAATCTCTCCGCCTTTGGCTACTCCAAAGGAAGTGACTTCCAGAAGACTGTCAACAATTATATTCTTGCCGGGGCTGATTTTGCGAGAGGTCTCATTGGCAACAAGGGCCGCCGTGTCGACATCTTGCGCAACTTTGAAGGCGTCGTGCAACCGGGTGAAATGCTTGTTGTTCTGGGTCCCCCCGGATCCGGCTGTTCTACTTTCCTGAAGACAATTGCTGGTGAAACCCATGGCTTTGCCCTTAGCGACGACACATATATGAACTATCAAGGTACCTCGCCGTCTCTTGTCGGGTCATCCTCCATCTAACCAAGATCCTTCAGGCATCAGCTACAAGAAAATGCACCACGACTTTCGAGGAGAAGCCATCTATACAGCTGAACAGGATATCCATTTTCCCATGCTCACTGTCGGCGATACATTATTATTCGCATCACGGGCCCGCACGCCACAGAACCTGAAATTGCCTGAGGGAGTGACCAAGCACATGTACGCAGCCCATCTTCGAGACGTGGTGATGGCTACATTCGGCATTCGACATACCATCAACACGAAGGTGGGAAATGATTTCGTCCGCGGCGTCAGTGGTGGCGAGAGAAAACGAGTTTCCATTGCAGAGGCCACCCTCAATGGCTCACCGTTACAATGTTGGGATAACAGTACGAGAGGTCTGGATTCGGCCAACGCCATCGAATTCTGCAAGACCCTTCGAACATCAACAGACCTGAATGAAACAACAGCAGCCGTCGCCATCTACCAAGCCCCTCAAAGTGCCTACGATTACTTCGACAAAGTCATTGTGCTCTACCAGGGCCGCCAGATATATTTTGGCCGCACAACGGATGCTCGACGCTACTTTGAAGAGATGGGCTTCGAGTGTCCAAAGCGCCAGACAGACCCCGACTTTCTCACATCAATGACAAATCCGATCGAGCGTGTCGTCAAGAAAGGCTGGGAGTCAAAAGTGCCACGAACTCCTGACGAATTTGCGGAGCGCTGGCAGAATAGCGAAGCGCGCCAGAAACTCCTGGCAGAAATCGAAGAATTTGAGGCGGCAAATCCCATCGGTGGGCCAAACTTCCACGCATTTCAACAGTCTCGACGTATCCAGCAGTCCAAGGCTCAGCGCAAGTCATCTCCCTACACTTTGTCATACTCGGGCCAGATCTCTCTATGCTTATGGCGAGGCTTCAAGCGCCTCAAGGACGATCCTTCCATTACCCTGACCCAGTTATTCGGCAACTGCATCAATGCGCTTGTCGTATCTTCACTTTTCTACAACCTAGCGGCAAATAGCGACTCGCTTCGCGCGCGAGCCTCACTCATTTTCTTTGCTGTGCTTCTCAATGCTTTTGGAAGTGCACTGGAAATCCTCACGCTTTACGCACAGAGACCGATCGTCGAAAAACATACCCGTTACGCGCTCTATCATCCTTCAGCTGAGGCATTTGCATCAATGCTGACAGACATACCGGCGAAAACACTCAACGCCATTGGATTCAACCTGATTCTGTACTTTATGACAAACCTGCGGCGGGAACCTGGCGCCTTTTTCTTCTTCTTGTTCACCTCTTACGTCCTCACTCTCACCATGAGCATGCTGTTCCGTTGTATCGCTTCGGTGTCAAGGTCTTTGATTCAAGCTTTGGTGCCAACAGCTGTGCTAATGATTGCCATTGTCGTCTACACTGGTAAGTTCTGCTCTCCGTCACCACCTGAATAAGAAAGAATCCGATCAACCCACCAGCACAGGAGCCTGTGGGGGCACTGTGACGAGCGACCTGCCTTTTTCCCACCCTTGAAATGTTCCAGAGACTCTGCTGACCCACTGAATAGGCTTCGTTATACCTGTCAGCTATATGCATGGGTGGGCACGATGGGTGAGCATTCTCTACCTTACTGGGTACTTGACAGTGTCCGCTGACATGCCTGCAGATCAATTACATCAATCCTACGGCATATGGCTTTGAAGCCCTTATGGTGAACGAGTACAGCCATCGAAGTTATCCCTGCTCCACCTTCATACCCCCAGCGCCTCAGTTCGGCGATGGCTCAACAACACGTCAGATCTGCGCTGTCGTTGGCGCTGTTGCCGGTCAAACCCAGATCGATGGCGACGCCTACATCAATATCTCGTACGGATACTACAGGTCGCATAAGTGGCGAGACATTGGAATCCTCTTTGGGTTCATGATCTTTCTCCTTGGGGTATATCTCGTTGCCACTGAAACTATTTCGGCCAAAAAGTCCAAGGGTGAAGTCCTGCTGTTCCGTCGAGGTCACAAACCAGCCTTCTTGAAGGAAAAGACTGCGGATACCGAATCAGGCAATTTTGACACAGCTGTTGCACTCGAGCGGCAACAAACCAAAGATGAACAGTTGCAGCGCCAAGTTTCAGCCGTCATTCAAAAGCAAACCTCCATCTTCCAGTGGAGAAATGTATGTTACGATATCAAAATCAAGGGTCAACCTCGCCGAATTCTTGACCACGTCGATGGCTGGGTCAAACCGGGCACGATGACCGCGCTGATGGTAAGCCAGACAATCATTTAATGTCTTAACGTTAATTGACCTTCCCCCAGGGCGTTTCTGGCGCAGGCAAAACCTCTTTGCTCGATTGTCTGGCAACTCGAGTCACAATGGGTGTCATTACCGGCGAGATGCTTGTAGATGGAAGGCAGCGTGACGAGTCATTCCAGCGCAAGACTGGCTACGTCCAGCAACAGGACTTGCACCTTCAAACATCGACAGTGCGTGAGGCACTGCGGTTTAGTGCTTTGTTGAGACAACCAAGAGACACACCACGAGCCGAGAAGATTGCATATGTCGAAGAAGTGATTAAGTTGCTTGACATGCAAGAGTACGCTGACGCCGTGGTTGGTGTCCCAGGTGAAGGTCAGTTCTTTGTGCCCTTTACGACCAGCATTTTATCGTGGCTGCTTTTTTCTTCCCGCGGTGCTGACAATCCATCTAGGTCTTAACGTTGAGCAGCGTAAGCGTTTGACTATTGGTGTCGAGCTCGCTGCCCGACCCCAACTACTCTTGTTTCTTGACGAGCCTACATCTGGTCTTGACTCTCAGACATCCTGGTCCATTCTCAATCTTCTCGAAAAGCTTACCCATGCCGGGCAAGCCATTCTTTGTACGATCCATCAACCGTCGGCAATTCTGTTTCAGCGTTTCGATCGACTTTTGCTTCTAGCCGCTGGGGGCAAGACCGTGTATTTTGGCCCTGTAGGTCGAGATTCGGATATCTTGATCGATTACTTCCAGAGGAACGGAGCGCCACAATGCCCCCCTGGAGCCAACCCTGCCGAATATATGCTCGAAGCCATCGGAGCTGCTCCAGGATCGCATTCCGATGTCGATTGGTTCGAGACCTGGCGGAACTCGCCCGAGTATCAAGAAGTGCAACGCGAACTTGACGAGATGAAGGAGGAGAGATCGCAAATCGAAAGACCTGCCACAGCCAACAAGAGTGACTACTTTGAATTTGCCGCTCCTTTCGGCGTGCAATTCTGGGAAACACAGAGACGTGTCTTTGAGCAATACTGGCGGACACCCGAGTACATCTACTCGAAATTGATCTTGTGCGCCTTGACTGTGAGTATCTTGACGTCCTAGCTGTCTCGTGTCTGCTAACACATATGCAGGGTCTGTTCATCGGCTTCTCACTCTTCAACGCTCCAAACACCCAACAAGGTCTTAACAACCAGCTCTTCGGTATCTTCATGCTGCTCGTTCTGTTCTCACAGCTTGTTCAACAAATCATGCCGCTTTTCGTCACCCAACGAAGCTTGTACGAAGCTCGGGAGCGTCCTTCAAAGACATACTCCTGGAAATCATTCATGCTGTCGAATATCGTGGTGGAACTTCCTTGGGCCACTCTAGGCGCCGTGGTGCTGTTCTTCTGCTGGTATTACCCTATCGGTCTGTACAACAACGCTGCGTACACCAATTCAGTCACCTCGCGTGGTGGCCTGGAATTCCTGTTTGTGTGGGAATTCCTCATGTTCAGCAGTACCTTCGCACACATGATGATTGCAGGTATCGCTACGGCAGAAGCTGCATCCAACCTGGCCAACGTGCTATTCTCGCTGTGCCTGTTATTCAACGGTGTCTTGGTCGGTCCCAATGCTATGCCTGGCTTCTGGATATTCATGTACAGGGTCTCGCCTTTCACCTATCTCGTCGAGGGGCTCTTGGGCAACGGCGTCGCTCACGCGCCGGTACATTGTGCGGACAACGAATTCCTGCACTTCAGTGCACCATCCGGCTCGACTTGCGCAGAGTATCTGCGACCCTACATCCAAGCCGCTGGTGGATATTTGGTTGACCCCGACGCCACGCAGTGCCAGTTCTGCTCGTTAGACAACACCGACACTTTCTTGTCAATGGTGAGCATTTCATTCGCACATAGATGGAGGGATTTTGGAATCTTGTTTGTGTACATTATATTCAATGTTTTCGCCGCTGTGTTCATTTACTGGTTGGCAAGGGTGCCCAAGGGCAAGAAATACGCCGGCAAAGACGAGCAGAAAGGATTGCTCAAGACCGAAAGTCGTGCATCAGGAGCGGCAGAGGTTAGTAGGGTGTCCGGAAAGGGCATCTCCACGGACAGCTCGACAAATGGACAATCTACTCCCGCACAGGCGAGAGCGAACGAGGACGGCGCCGCTGCGGCTGCAGCACCGGAAATCACAGAGAAGGAGCCCGTTGTGCCGGAGTCTGTGCCGGCCAAGGAAGACCGGCCCGTTGCATCACAGTCCGTCCTCGAAAAGGAGAAGGAGCCGATTCAGGAACCGATCCAGCAATCGACGCCAGAAGTAATAGGAACGACGGACGGTGGACAGAAAGATGAAGCTGGCACAGCAACAACGGATAGACCGGGGCCAGAACGATTTGTCACAGCTCACGAATTTTGAGTGACGATGTGGGCATAATTATCATGGAAGCGAGGTGTACGATATGCAGAGACCAGAATCATAGACCATCGTCCTCTGTGGGAAAAACTTGAGATGGACTTTCAGACCATGTATTGGAGGAATTAATTACATCCTCGAGAGATGCGTTTGTGCCTCTCTTGACATATATTTCGAGACGAAGCATATCCGCTAAAAGAGACATGGCGAGCTCCTTGGAGCCGTCAATAGTCATTGACAATACGAAGGATCCAAGGCAACATGGGACTTGTCGGGATTGTGCCAGAATGGTAGCCTCATCGTACAAAGCAGACAAGGCTACCTGTCAGGTGCCTGTCAGGCAAGGCTGAGCGTCGACCAATGGAACACTGACCCTTGGCTTCAATGCAGCTGTCGGCGTCGCAGCATGCTCAACTCTACACCAGTACTCCAGAGTGTCCAGAGTAACTGTTGAACCCTCAAGGCCATCCGCAACCCATCTCATTCTCCTTGCTCTACAACGACCTTACGTCTTCCTCAAGCTCGCTCGCTCACTCACTCACTCACCCACGATCCCATCGCCTACTCGTCAAGCATTCATCGCCCTCCACCACTGGCAGACACCACATCACACCTCCTCACATCATTCACTCCCAAGTCACCAACAACCGTTTCTGGCACGTACCTTCTCGCACCACACCCCAGGCGGCTCTCTTGCCTTCCAGGGCCCTGACCACACAGACCACCACACCATCACCCATCACCCACCACTCCCGCTTTCGCTACCACTACCGCCCGCCGGTCCCTTCCCCCTCTCCAAGTCCAATTCCAGAACCGAACCGCACAGTTCCAAGTGCCAACCCGCCAAAAATGATCACAGACTCCCAACTCTACTCCCTAGCCATCTTCCTCGGCGCCGCCGCCATGCTAATGATCGTGCTGTACCACTTCCTCGAAGTCAACGCCCAAGACGACGACAGCACGGCGGGCAGCCTGGACAGCAACAACAACACCACCACCACCAACAAACTGGCCAACGAAAAGACCGGCGTCGGCGCCGTCAAGCCCGCGCTTGTTGATCCTTCTCACTCGCGGACACCCTCGTCAGCAGAATAACACATAAACACACATGCACAAGAAGAAGAGAAAAAAAAAAAGAGTGCCTCCGGACGTACTACCACCACCACTACTCCTATCACCGCCGCCTCTACTTCTACTTCTACTTCCCTCCCTCCTTTTTCTCGCTTTCACTCCTCTACGGGCAAGCAAGTCACGGAAATGGAGATAAAGCACGAACCGTCGCACGGCCGGCCGACCAGACGAGGAGATGCAGTGTAAGAGAGGTGTCATCTATCTACCAGACACTCATAGATCACTCTCCATTACTACCTAGGGTACACAATCCGTGCCTGCCGACAGCTGCTGGGGGAACAAATCCATTCTTGATCCTGGAAGAGAGTGTAGCTTATCATCTCTCGACCGGCGAGGTTAATAAAAAGGGAAAGTACTTTGTTCTTCCACATTTCTTTCACGGCAAGCGGGCGTTGAGCGTCAGATGCGCTATGGACCAAAAATTTTGGCTCATTGAGGATTCAGCCGCCACTAGACTTTAAGGAGAGTATTGTGTAAAAGTGCAATGGCGGATGACGATGCTACATTGCCAGGAGTCTCCGGGGTATGCTCGATATGACATCGCAATACCACGAATGGTGTGGGTACGGAAATCATAAAAGAATAAAGTGCTTTGTAATAGTTTCAAGCTTTTGGAGCATTAAAACATTCATACAATAGTGCAGGTTTACGGCCTGTTTCATGGGACAGGCTTGCCATTGAAATCTGCCATAGCCTTGATATGTCACACACAATCAACGTTGCGCTTTGTCGGTCATCTCTTCCGACTGCCTTCGGCTCTTCTCTTCATCCTCGAGTCGGCTCATACCTCATAGGCAAGATCTCATCTCATAGCCCTGATAGCGCCTTGATGTATTTGCACTTCTGCATTGTGCCCAGACCTTTTTTCTTTCCATGATATCAATAATCAGGATCCACGACCTTAGCGAGGCCCTCATTCTGAATCAACGTCTTTCTCCTCTCTTCAGTGACCAATATAGCGCCACCTCTTTCAAGGCCCGGCCCAATTTCCGCCTTCCTGGCAGTCATGGCTCTCAGTGTCTCTTCTGCAAGCGCTTTCGGACTGCTCTTGGCCTCTTTACGATGTGTCTTCATGAAGCTGCGCTGGGCCGTCTTGTCGTGATCGTCGGATTCTGCCTTGGTGAGGGTCATTGTATCGCGCTCGAGGTCGTCTTGGGCTTTGGTTGAAGATGTAGGGGTAGTCGTGCGTCCACTTTCGTCGGAAAGGTATCGGCTTCTATCCTGGAGGACGGTCTGAGGGTCTAAGTAAGAAACAGTTCTAGCTTTCTGTTTTGGTGGAGGATGGAATATGAACTGTGAGACATCAAAAACTGATGTCTTTGACGTTTGCTTACCGATGTGTTTCGTGGAGGGGCCATCTCCGAGCTTCATCGCGACCTGGTAGAGATGGTCCTCCTCAATGTGATCGAGCCACGCTGCCGTGTTGTCAAACGTCTTGCTCGGACTGATTCCACCTTTCCCATCATCCTCCAAGTATTGGCATCTCTTCCACCAGCAAATGTAACCGAATTGATCGACGTCCTCTTGTGTAGGTTGGTGGAGTTTGGCAACGTGCTGGCGTAGCGTCTCAAGGTTGTGCAGATGTGCCTTGCAGCCTTTCCAACGACATTTGAATTGAGGCATAGAGGATTGCGACGATACAGTGACGGAGATCTGAGCAGGGTTGGCAGCAGCTTTTAGGGCTCTGACACCTGCATGAATGTTTTTGGCACCCGGAGGACGTCCCCGTCGTTTACCACTGGGGTAGAAAGAGCCGGCTTCCATTGTTTGGATTTTGTCGCTCTCAACAGAGGGTCTGACGTGAATTGAAGTAGATCGTGTCGAGCGGCCACGAGCGGGGTCAGGAATGAGTGAAGCGACACTGGAAATACTGTTGTGGCGCTTCAGTGAACTCCCGCTCGGTACATCCTGCCGCAGAGGCGACTGAGCAACAATAGACGACCTTGAGTGGCCATTAAGCTGCTTGTGTGAATGTGGAAGTGTGAATCGCTGTTCTACTCTCGTCGAGGAGGTGTCTCCAGGCGCATGCATTTCACGCTTGTCCAGTTTCGGCAAGCGTGATTCCAGTGCCTTTTCCGTGTTCCTTTTGACCATCTGACCGAGCTGATAGCGAGGTGGCTCTCTTGGAACATCGACAAAGGCCACCTGCGGAACAGGGGTTCCTCCTGGATCAATAGCGTCCCAATCAAAGGTGCTCAGATCAGAATCGAGGTCAATGTGCTTCCCAAGCAACCCTGCCATATGAGCGTTGAGCGGCCTCTCAAATGGGTGCCTTCCAGCTGCAATGAGAATATCTCGGGCCACCGTTTTGGGGTTGTAGTAGTTCTTCCGTAATGCTTCTTCCTTTTTGATCGCCTTAGCGAGGATCTTTGTCGTTTTGAGTGTCATTGGTGCTGGGGCTTGCGCGGGAACCATCGCGGTAGGCCTCGGTGCGTACTGAGACGCATCATTGGGATTGAATTTCAGAGGCGTGCCGTTCGCAGTGGTATATGGCCAGCCCTGCGGCGGTCCCTGTGAAGGTAGTATCACCGGTGGTGGCGGTACCGCAGTCATTTTCCTCTGGTATTCTTCAAACGGATCGGGCTCCGGAGATGGACTTTCGACTCTTGCTTGTTTCCGTGAAAGTACATAGTCTTCATCGTCATTCAACGCGGTCAAATCCACTATCTCTGAAAAGTCGCGTTTCCGCGCTTGTGCTTCCTTCGTCCCTTGCGCAGGTTCCGATCGTGACGGTTTGATTACATTGAACGAATTGGGTCTCGGCACTCTCATAGAAGATTGTGTATGCGTTGCTTGAAAATAGACAGGCTCAGCGTGTGGATGGCCAGAGAAGGCAGACCCATTGACGCTGCGAAACTGAGGAGGAGCGAGCCTTGGAGCGCCCGGTGGAATCGCTGCATTTGCTGGTGGACCACTCAAAGGAGGCATTGAAGGATTGCGCGTTCCGGGGGGCTGTAGGACTGGTCCAGATATAGGAGGCTGCATGGGTGTGGCAATAGGGACTCTCGAACCATCCATCGGGACAGAGACCGGTGGAGGGGGCGGGTGATGCAAAGCTGAAGCTTGCAGCTGAGCCTGAGGTTGGGATGGTGATGGTTTTGGCTCGGGCCCATTCAGATTGGGGACGTTGCTCAATAGTTGTCGAGCAAATTGGCCTCTGTGGTATTTGAAACCCTTTGCTTCTAGAATCTCGCATAGATCAATATAGCTTGGATTCTTTTCCAGTATGGCGTGGATATCTGCTGGTGCAATTTCGATAGACTCGTTGCCCGGGTATGATTTCAATGCCTTCACAGCTGCTTCGGCAAGAGCATTTCTTCTCTCTTCCGGCCAGACTGTCATTCCATGTGCTCCTCGCAGCGGTAGCCCTTGTGTAAGTGGAGGAGACTTCAAGGAAGGATCTTTTGCTGGAGCAGCCGAAGGTTGCGGTGGCAGTACCGGTGGTAGAGAAGGTGGAACTTGTTGCTGATCTGCGGGCTGAGGAGGAGGTACAGTGGTCTGCTGTGGAATGACCTGAGGGGGAGGTGCATTCGTCGTTACCTCTGGGGTCGCTCGGGCAGAATTTGATGCTCTCTTGCTAGTATTGTACGAGGCTCGTACCCGCCTTTCGGCAGGGAAACGGCCTAAATCGGGTAAGCCTTCAGCATTATCCTCTACCACGACCCTGTACCCATTAGAATGGGGGTGTGCGGCTACCCTGGGGGTCCTGGCTGGACTTGGCTGAGGAGCTGATGGCTGTTGCTGCACAGCAGGGACCATCGAAGGCGCTGCTGATGCAGTATGCGGCATTGGGGGAGGCGGGGATCTTGTAGGTTGCGCCATCGAGGGCGATGGAGGTTGCACCGGAGCCGTGGCTTTCCGCATATCGTCCCAGAGCTTCTGAAAGAGTGAAGGATCTTTGGTACGGAACTCCTTCATCTTGTCCATCATAGCTTTCAGCTCAGCTGCCATGTCTTTTTCGGTAGGTTCAGTGTCCCCTTCGGCGGGCGCGGACGGGTTCTCAGTAACTCCTTGAGGCGGCTTCAAAGCCTTCTTCCTGGACCTCTTCTTGCTTGCCTTCGGTGTGGAGTCAACCGCGGCTTCTTCCTGTTTCTTTCTGGCAGCATCCTCCTCCTCACGCCTCTTCGCTGCTGCAGCTTCTTCTTCCCTTCTCCTCGCTGCAGCAGCTACCTCGTCGGCTTTTCTTTTGGCCTCGGACTCAGCCTCTTTGCGACGTCTCTCATGTTCTCTGGCGTAAGGATTAAAAACCTGTGCTGGGTCGATGTAGCTCGGCATTGTGTTCTGTGTATTCGATGTAGCAGGATACTGTGCTTGAGGCGGCTCTTCAGTAGAACGAGTCACAAGATTTGAGATGCTATTTACTTGGGGCGCCTGTTGTTGAGGCTGATCTGGAGATTGCTGTACGCCATGGCTCGCGGCACGTATAGGTTTTCCGTTTCGATCCTGGGATGCCTGTTGAGTTGTTCCGCGAGGAGTGTTGGCTGTGGCCATGGCCGAAACAGCGGTCTGCTGAGCGTGAAATGAAAGTTTCCGTGGAGGTGGAGGTACATTTGACTGAAAATAAGGTGAGGCAGATCTTTGCGGGACGGCGCTCGGCACGTTGGCACCATTCAGGACCGGTGACACTGATGCTTGTGTGGAAGACGCCTGCGGAAAGCGTCGACTGACGGCACCAGCGAGAGCGGCTGCCGCCGCAGGCATCTGTGGTTGCTGGCTGGAAGTAGATGCGGCTTCGTTCTGATTGGCACGATCCGCAGACTGATTGGAGCTGTAACGCCGCGCTCCTTGCTGGGTGACAGGAGACTGAACACGGTTCGGCGCGTTTCCCGTAGCATACATCGAGCTCGAGGACATGCTCGACTGTTGGGGCCGAGGTCCTTGCCTCTGCGATCCCGAATCTTGTAGTCCAGACGCATAGGCTAAATTGTTAAGACCTTGAGTGCTCTGAGTCGTTGAACGTGCATTATAGTATTCCTGCCTGTTGCTACCCGCCGAGCTTTGTGTCGCATAACTCAACGTCTGCCGAGTATCGCCGTAAGATGCACCCTGTGTCCGTTCATCTTTCCACGAGGAACTATTGTAGGTTTGCTGGCGTGGACTGTCTGCATAGTTCTGCTGGTTTTGTCCTTGTCCCGACCAGTCATACCCGGACGAGCCATACTGACTCTGTCGAATGTCACCCGGATATGGGGCTTGGGTGGTATAGCGATCGTTCGGTTGCCTCGCAGTATTGTACGAATGCTGCGTGTTCTGGCCTTGGTTCGCGGTCTCGTAATATTCACCGTAACTGGAGATTGGAGGATACGACATGACCGGCGACCGGAGGTACTAGGCGGGATGTGCTGGTGCAAGAATGCCCCATGAGGTCGGTCGGTCTCTATATCTCATTTTCTTTCCTTTTTACGCAGTGTTGCCGCTGCTCGATCTACCTCGGTCATTGGTGGTTTTGCGCGAGAGTGAGGGCAGCTCCAAACGACGAGGACCAGTACGCAGTATTAGTGGCATGCATCTTAGTTATCATTGCCAGGCGCGCAGGTCTTGTGAGAAGCGAGGCATGTAGGCTTTACGCTGCAATGAATCTCCTACTGACGCGCAGGTGGAGATGCGCACCCCCAGAAAGACCATGCATCGATCGGCAGCCTCGTACCATAGCAAAGCCGGCAAGGCGCAGCCAAGCCGCCATCAGCACGTGACTTTAAAAACTCTTGGCGAGCTTTTAGTCGCACATCGAAAACTTGAGGAGCGACACCACAACGGAACAACTCTTGTTGTCGACATTCATTCTCACGCCAAACCCGCCAACATGACGAAGCTAAACTCCGGTATGCGTGCTTCTAGTTTCTATTGAAGAGCCGACAGGATTTCTGACCGGTGTAACAGGTCTGGCCTCCTCGAGGCGCAAGTCTCGCAAGCTGCACTACGATGCCCCCTCTGGCACTCGACGACTGATCATGAGCGCTCCTCTCAGCAAGGAACTAAGAGAAAAGCACAATGTACGATCAACCACTCAATCAAGATACTCTGTCGTCCGAGCACGAAGGCCGAGGTACTGGGAACGCCATGTCTAATATAAAATGGAAAATATAGGTCCGCAGCATCCCCATCCGAAAAGACGACGAAGTCACCGTTGTGCGAGGCACCAACAAGGGCCGTGAAGGCAAAGTCACCTCCGTCTACCGATTGAAGTACCTCATCCACATTGAGCGAGTGTCCCGCGAAAAGTCCAACGGCCAATCAGTCCCCATTGGCGTCCACCCCAGCAAAGTCGTTGTCACAAAACTCAAGCTTGATAAGGATCGGGAGAAGCTATTGGAGAGAATCTCAAAGGGTCGTGAGGCCGTCAAGTCAAAGTCCTCTTGAGTTCAGTCGGTGAGGCATGAGCTAGTGTGGTGATGAACCAAAAAAAAAAGAGGAAACGTGCGACGATCGAAGCATTTTCACAAGGGGTTCGTTTCAAGAGAAGAGTTGAACGGAGTGGGAAAGATAACGTAAGCTCAAGGATTGATAGAGCTGCGTCCTACATACCCGGCGTGGCATGACAATCTTGCATGAATGGAACAAATTTCAGACAAAAAAAGGCATCGATGCATTCTTGGACTTCCCCGTCTCGGGCGCCTGTCCTGAAAGGATGTCCGGTCAGTTCTTTGATTATTGCATATTCTGCCAGTAATATCTCCTTGCCTACCCATCTCCCGTGGTTGAACAAGGTATACGGCTGGCACAGATTGATGTTTACACGTGCTTCGAAGCATTGGTTTTTAAGGACCAGTGCTCAGGCACGTTCTCTCCGGCAGACTGTCTACGAGGATACGTTCCAATGAGTTGCAGGATTTGATGGCGAGACACAATACCAGCCAGTTGCCCTTCCCTTGTGCTTGACTCGAATGGTTCCCAATAACTGTGGATTGGGCTTCTGTTCAGAGTCAACAGTGGATCAGCCCGTGAAGAATGCCTGCCTCGACTGTGCAGATATGGTAATGTGAGTCGATACCTTTCATTTCTGATAGTCATACGTTCAGAATCTCCAAACTTAATTATACATTCAAGAGCTACACACCGAGAACGGTGCCAGTCCAATCTATACTTGTGCCACACATTCAAATCTTCAGACCTTCCTACCCCTTATGAACACTATCTGCACACGTACACATTCACTGCTCCCTGCTATCATCTCATCAAATAAGTCCTTCCTCTCCACTCGCCCTCCTTTAGAACTGCTTGCTCCTGACGCCATCCTCACCCGCGGCATTCATAAATCCCCTGTTCGCCTGCCACGGCTCCTCATTGTCACTGCTCAGATTAGTGCCTGTGACCCGACTGATATGCCTCTTGAGGCCCTCTTCACCCTCCTCATGCTCGGCATGTCCAGAGTGGATCTTCTGCAAACTATCCCTCATCAAGAACTCATAGTAACCTGTGGCAAAGATTGTGGCAGGGATATTGACCAAGATGCTGATCCAGCTGTAGGAGTTATCATACGTGAACACCTCCTTTCCGAAAAAGATCGCCGCAACAATTCTGGTGCCCAAGTCCCTAGCCAGGTTCGTTGAAAGCGTATTGCCCGCAAAACCCCAGACCATAGCCGCGTACGCAATGCCAATGGTGAATGGCACGGACACGGGACTGACGAAAGGGTTCGCAGGGTCCAAGCACGTCCAGATGACGATGCCGATGTAGCTGTCGACGAAAAACTCCTGAAAGAACAAGTATCCCTGGTTGGTCTGGTCTGGATTGGGAAATGAGCAGAGAATACTAGCGACACCGCCGTTGTACACGGTCGTTCCGTGTTCCTTGATATCTAGGGCCTTCGCAGCTTGGATTTGCGGCCAGTAGCATCCCATAAGCATCAATCCGGCCATGAAGGCACCGAAGATCTGAGCGAAAATGTAATGAGGGACCTTCTTCCAAGGAAAACCTTGCCAGATAGCCAAGCAAATGGTAATGGCAGGGTTGAAGTGTCCACCACTGACAGGAGCACAGGTCTGCCATCGTAAAAGTGTCAGCAAGAGATCCAGGCGTTTGATGGGAATGGTATCGTGACGAGACAGGGCAGAAAAACTTACAATGATAGCAAACGCGATACCAATAGCAAAAGCCCAACCGATTTGGAAGAGACTGCCAAAGATGTCTACTCCGATCACCGCAGCTACCGGGTTGGTTGTTGCCAGGGTGAAAGAAGCGACCGAGGCGATACCAGGAAAGACGTAAAAGAACACGCCGGTAGCCTCGGCCATCATTTCACGTAGTAGTCGTGGCCGTCGATGTTCGAAATTGAGCTTACGTTGGGTGACTGGCTTTGGTGGGACCACATGTCTGGTGATATGACGCTGGAGAGCGTCAGATACACCAATCTCGATATCATTGGTGTGCATTCTGGCCATGTCATGGCCATTGGGAGCCTCGGAGGACATGACGCTGCTCGCTTATCGAAGATGATCGTCGAGTATTGTGAGGATTAGTGAACACTGATGGAAATGAACCTGGGGCAAGCGAGTCTGGGGTAGAGAGGTTGAAGAGTAATCATTCACACGAACCTGGGGCAGGAGAGGGTTGATGTAGCCCCGTGGGTTACCCTCATTTGTGGGCATTCGTGAACTACCTCGGCCTCACCATGTTCTTTGCGCCGTCGTCATGAATCAATAATGATTTCCGGGACTACCGTGCATGCATTGAGTGGGATCAGAATGGCTACATCGGCTGTAATGTCGAATCGGAGCTCGAAGGAGAATCAAACCAGTGGATCAACCGGGTCTCGCAACAGTGCGCAAGTACTCAAAGCAGGCGACCCTGGCAAGCATAACAGGGGTCGATCGTCGTTGCACTGGTGCATAGCGCAAGCACTGGGAAGCAATGCAATCGTCACGATGAGGCAAACACCCAAGCAGGCTGATGAAAAACGTGCTGACAAGCTTTTGATCGCACGCCACAATTCGATTAGCGAATTGAAAGCCAAGGCCAAAAAGTGTTTTCACATCGAAGCATCCACGGCATGCTCTCAGCGCCGGGACGGTGATGAAATGAGGAAGGTGGCTAGGTCTGGTGGATGGCGTTGATCAATAACGGGAGTCCATGCGGCAATCAGAGACCTGGAAGTGGTCAAAATGCCTCGGTGAAACGGGTTAGTGGTTCGCAGAGTGAACGCTCACGACGCTTGATGAGACAGCATCCGCAAAACATTATGTCGGTGGCGGAGACAAGCTCCATACCCCGGCGCTCCCTAGGCTTGTTTCTTGTGGGGTAAGTCTTCGTTGTCATCCAACTGGATTCGGTGTAGACATGCAAATGTGTGGTGGTGCTTTTAGCCCCATCATGCCCCGTACGGTGACACCAACCCAGTCTGGATAACACTCGCACGGCTTTTCATCCGCAGGAAGCCGGCGGCACCGCTATGTCTGGGAATGTCGAATTTACTGCTTGATCAGCAGAACGACCAGCAGAAAACTTCGGATATGTTAAGTCCTAGTACGACTTGTGCAGTAGACAGTAAGTCCTCGGTCGAAATGTCGGCGCAGCCGAGAGCCACAGCAAGATTTCTGCACAATGAAGAGGAAAGAATAGAATCAGACCACCATGACGCGACTGCAAGAGCATATATAATTTTTTCATAGGTATAGGACCTGTGGACCTCCATTGTTTCCATCACCACTTCTCAATGTAAGGGCGAATGTCGAGTTCATTGGTGAAACATGTCCTGGGCTGGGTATGGAGATACCAGTACGAGTCGGCAATCTGCGGCAGCATTATCTTGGTCAGCACTCTCCCTTTGTTATTGCGCTGTGTCTGGGGCCGGACTCTTACCGCCTCTGGCTTAATCTTCGCATCTGGATGATCAAATTTGTAGTCCTTGGTTCTCTCAATGTCAATCACTCCGTCGATAATGGCGTGGGAGACATGAATGCCCTTGGGTCCAAATTCTCTCGCCAATGACTGCGCCAACGCTCTCATGGCAAATTTACCGGTTGCAAACGATGCACAGTTGGCCGACCCTTTCATGGCTGCCGTGGCTGAGGTGAAGATCAAGGTAGGCGGATATTCAGGAGAATTCTTAACTCTCTCCAGTAGCAGTGGTAAGACTGCTTGTGAGAAATGGAAAGCTCCTCGTCTGTTCAGGCTGATTGTCAGCACCCGAATGTATCGAGCAGATATCTTGTTGAAGATACAGGCACATTCGACGTACCCATTGGCCTCCCATCCAGCCTCAAAATCATCCTCTGACAAGTCTAGGAAGGGTTTCCGGACGAATCTTCCACCAACGTTATAGATTGCCGCAGCGAGTGGAGCATCTCCTATCTCGTTCTTCAGTTGCTCGAATGCGCTTTTCACACTCTTGCCATCTGCGCAGTCGGTGCTGATGCCAACGGCCTTTCCGCCTGCAGCCTCGATCTCTTTGACAAGTGGCTCGAAATTCGACGGGTTTCGGGCAAGGAGGGCAACGCTATACTTCTGCGCGAACCGACGAGCGACGCTGGCACCACTGTTGACGAGTTAGCTTTGTGCACACTTGTTGAATTGACAGTAGCAAGCTTACGTGCCAGGTCCAACACCGGCAACGATGGCCCAAGCCTTTTGCGATGACATTCTGGATGCTTTCAGTTTCCGCACTGGGCTGCTGAGCTTGACTTGAGCGATTGGCGAAGAATATGTAGTCGCAAAGTCGCAAAGCTACCCTCACCGCAAGAAAGGTCCTAGAAGTAGATCAGCAGCCAAATGGAACGCACCGGAGAAGTCCAAGGAGGACTGTGTATATACTGTGTATGAGTATCATTCAACTCCACAATGATGTGCTCGTGGGTGACAAATCGAAGGTCTTTGCCCGCAGCAGATAAGTAATCCACCAACGTCCACGGAACGTCAATAGGCGCGCTTCCCCGCAGCCCAGGCGTCGTGACTGCACCTGATCTCCTACACTAACGTTACAAGGCTTGATGTACCTACCAGGTAGTTGACCAACATGTGAGAAGTTTCCTTGAGTCAAGACTCTGAAATTATGCTTCTCATGAGCAGCTCCTCAACACATCTTCCTTTCGAGCCTTCTGCATAGAGTGACGAAATGCGGCGACAAAAGTCCACGAATCCGGAAATCGTAGGCTAGCACGGATTCTTAGACCTAGAAAGCTGAGATCGAGCCCCGATGGGCCTCGGTGCTCCAGAAGTCTTATAAATGAGGCCACAAAACGCGCCCGCTCTGGCATGGGCAATATCGATGAAGTGAACATCAACGGCAGGTCGTCCTTCCCGCCAGTCTCGCGTTGTTCGCCGTATCGTCTCATGAATTCAGAGTACAATACCTTACCAAAATCAGATCAATTTGACATGACATGCACAAACAGCGGTGAAGGACGCCCCTTGCGGGAAAATGGCAACAGGCCCATCCGAAGGGGCTCGTGGTACCTGCATCAAGAGCCTCAGCAGCCCAGACTCCCCAGCCAACCGCTTGGTTCGCCGTCCATTGAACCCCTATTCCCTGCAGCATCTGCCAGCCTCGTTCTCCCAGACAAGCGGTCAGACGTGTGCAACAAGTCTAATCAGTCAACTGTGTGAGACTCTAGCAGCCTGCCGTTCGGGTTCGGGGTATCCGTGCATGTGAAACCCTATATGTGTTCGGTACAACTGGTCATAACGTAGTGTTATGGAAGTGGCCAGTAAGGAGTATGTCAAAACGGATATGCAAACGTCAAATCAAGCAACAGGTTGCAGACCGGTCGCAGGCACACGTTGCTGCAGGGAAAACGAAGCCGAAGATACATTACATATCGCGGTGTATTGGAGGATATCAAAACTCGATGATACACGAAACAATCGATTTGGCTCCCAGTGTTAGCCACTTGCGGGCTTCCAGGGGGCGTTTGTTTCAGGTGTTCAGCTATCAAAAGCCAGGCACTTCCCCGCGACGCCTGGTGGAAATAGTCCCGAGTGGCGTCAAGCCATTCATGATAGACAACAGCACGACAAGACACTTGATTGGGCGAGACAATACGGGCCGATCGACTTGTCAACACTCTCAAGTCATCCAAGGCGGCAGTATACGAACACTCCAGTCCAAACCCTGAAACACTTTATCACTCATCAAGCAACAAGACAGAAAAGCGAATCCAGGCAACAGGTCTTCTGCATCAGGGTCAATCCATCGCCATTCGATGCGGTTTCCATGCAGCGTGCAGACGACCATGGTCTCCAGCGCGAGGGGCACGAATCATCTCAAAGTCCGCGCTGCCTTGCACCAGCCTGGTTCTCATTTTCTGTTCGGACTGGGTTGGAGGCTGGCCCTTCTCGATTGCACAGGTCTCTCTCGAGATGGGGAGAATATCGAGCATGTGAACACAACCAGATGTCCGTATCACACCCACCCTCATCCATAGTTCATGCATGGCGCTTGAGCTGTCCCAGCATGGGTAACACAAGACTGTCAGTAAGAGTCCAAACACGCACCATGGCGAGCGCATCACGGCGCCTGCGGAGTGCCGTGTCTCTTTGACAATCCTCTCGAGGGAATTGGCCATCCTCACATCAATCTTCACTGCGCCTGAAAAGAACCTAGCGATCTATTGAAGTCACACGCGTCGGATATACAAGGGCCTACATATAGCCGCGCCGTTTGCTTGTGTCTCGTCCAATAGACCCGTAAGGCCCTCCGTGCTCGGTCTGGGAATCAGGAAGCTGAAAATCCAGCAGACAATCCTTTGTGGCGAAGATGGGAGACACTTCTGAGTCCTCCCTCCCTCGCACTCCTCGGTAACATTGCCCTTTAGAGCAGGATACTGTAAGTACAGGAACCGATGGAAGCGAGTACGACCTGTTCGAGTCATCCAGATCGCTCCCACTCCACCCCTCCACGCATCTTTCTCACAACCATTCACCATCTTCCTGTACCCGCAGCTAACCACTCTACTTGTAACCTCATGCTTACACTCGCCCGCTTCTCGCATTTTAATGCCTATCATCAGGATTCCATGCGAGGGCGTGCTGCTCTCTAGGGTAGAACTAGTCCACCCCGGCACAACAGCTACTCGTCCGATGAGAGCAGACTAGGGCATACGACGAAGTTATGTTGCTATCTCGGGCACATTTATTTTGCTCGCCGATGCCCGCTGCAGTATTCAAGAAAGCATTCTACGCGCCGGACGTCCGTTCACGCAGCCCCTCCTCGCTACTAGCAACGAATAGGCGACTTGTCGGCCATTATCTTTTCCAATCCTATGCCCTGCAACACACCACTTGCCGAACACCCCATTCCGCCTCTGACCCTATCGACCCAGTCAGTGGTCAACCTTTCCCTCGGCCCCCAATCATGGAACGTGGTACAACTGCTCCCAAGGGAACTATAGTTCGCAGTTGCATGCAGTGCCATGCAGTGTTATGCACATACTCGGCATGCGGCACATTCACTACTAGTATTCGACCACTCAATGTCACGAAGCTAGCTGTATCTCCTGTTCTTCTCGAAGCATGACCCTACCCTGCTCGTATCCGCTAATCAACCACAGCTGCAGGACTATTCCCTCCTCAAGGCACACCTTTGTGATAGTTCGCTCTCCTTCGTGCATACTCCATCGTTCTCACCAAGTTCATCGATTCGTGGATCAGCAAAGGCCACCCAGAAATACTTCTCCAGAAGCCTGGGGCATCAACTCGCACACCTTTCGCGTTCTCGTGACCCATCCATCGACATTCCTCGCTCGTAACATACCATAGTAGGACCCTGTATGGAATCTTCAGCGCTTACAACACCCACACAACGATTCAGGATGCCGAACAATGCTGGTAGCGTACGGAATAAATCTTGCCGGTTGGTTGAAGTTTGGACAATTTCCAATCAAGCGTGACTCAGCGTGCTAAGTCACGGCTGGATTCAGAATCTCGAAAACCCCCCGAGCCCCCCGACATGAACGCCGACAGACCTACCTGTGATATTTTAAAACTCACTTACGGAGGACCACAATCCATAATGCGGTGCGATAGCTCATGAATGCAAAGAATCGTGTATTGTAACCGCAACGATTGATACCGTACTAAACCTTTGGAACGAACTGGCTGGTAGACGAGTGTAGGAGCAATTCCGGAGTACCTGGAAAACGAACAGAGGTTTGTAGCAGAAAGCAATTATGTATTAGTTCATTCCATGAGAGGTATCTAGTTTAGAATAGTTCCTGGTGCTCCATAGATCCCCGGTCCGTGAGTCCTCGAGAACAAGAGAAGCCTGGTACTCAAGAGACCTTCCCATCGACTCCAAAACATGCGGGCCCAATTAGTCCTCGCGGACAATTTTATCACCATGTAGACAAAATCCCCCAGATACAAATCCCACGCTCAATGCCACAGGAAAATGGTATACAGAACAAGACATTCCAGACCAAATGCAAGCCAGTCTGGTACAACAAATTGAGGGGGTATCTCGCAAGAAGATTCAGAAAAAGAAAGGCCCGAAGACAGAACGCCAAAATCCCTCCACCAGAGAACAACGCAAGATGCAGACGGCCGTACCAGATGCGTAGAGTACAAGATCGTCTGTCATGATGTTTCGTCCTTTCATGGCTTCATGAGGTTAAAGTTCCTCCTTTTGGTTGAGTGCCCATTTCCTCGATTCGCCATAATGCCTTTCACGAATGATATACTCTTCATAGAACATGTTGCTGAAAATGAATGACTCATAACCATCCATCCTCGCCAAATAAACAAGATGGAATGTTGTTACAGGCTGCCTGATTTTGTGCGCCAATGACACCTCATAAAAGACTGAGGGATAAACGTTGTTGATGTGTATAAGTGTGGCGAAGTCGTTTCTCCTTTTTTTGCCACCAATGGACGATCTCTTTTCCTGGAAATCGCAGTGCACGCGCAATGAGTAGTCGCCTTGTCTAGGCAGCAGAAGGCCTACGCAGCGCGTCCTCGCAGTTGACGTCGAACCGCATGTTCCAGAGTCTGATCTGGTTCATGATCCTCTCGGTCGACTCGAGGTAGCGATCGCGCCCGAAGATCGAGTCGACAAACTCGGTGCCTGCTTTCTTGCCCATGGTCTTTGTGGCGTCGCGCTTAGCAGCCTTGAGCATGAAATGTTCCGAGTCTTTGAGAAGACCTTTGAACTTGTCCCACAAGCGGTGGCCACTGACAAGGAAATCCTCGACGGTTTCGCGCTTGTCGTGGTTGCGAATGCGATCAACGCATTCTTCGGCTCTCTTCATCTTGCCCGCAAGTTTGATAAGAAGTAGCCACAGTTCGCCCGCCATGTCGGCCATGGGTGTCGATGCGCCATGGTGAAACACTGTCCAATCGTAGATCCATTTGCCCAAGGAATTGGCGTCGAAGACACTTCCAAGCAGGATGATGGGCAACTCTGTAGGGTCCCAGTGTTTGATCGAGTACCCAGCAGGTATACCGGCTCTAGCGGCGTCTTCTTCGCTTGCCTGTGGCGCAGGTGTAGGCTGCGATTTGGACTTGGACTTTGGCGATGTCTTGCTGGCGGTCGAAGCGCGTCGAGTCCTGGATCGTCTTGGTTGCTCATCTATGATCTGTTCCTGCCCGTAGTAAAAGTAGGTGTCAGTGCTTGGCTTCCTCGCATGCTTTGGCTTCGATTTTGATGGTTCTCGGTAGATGTATGTAGGCTGCAATCCTGCATATTCAGCTTCATCGTCATAGATGTAGATGGGCTGATTCTGCTTGCGCGACGAGGAGCGGGTGTGATATCTTGAGGTAGGAAATGTGTCGAAGTAGCCCTCGGGCTTGCGGCCCTTGCCTGTTGCCTCACTCACATAGATATCATCCCGCGGTACCGCATACTGGACGCCAGATTCATAAGGTGGTGGTGGCGAACCCGCAGGTGAAAACCAGCCTCCGACTCTGGGCGAAGGATTGTAGCTGGTCTTTCGAACGTGTTTTTTCGGAGTCGTGTCGTATTGCGGCGCGTAGTGAACATACTCTCCGCTGCTGTACGGCGAGGATACCCCGTAGTACTTGGTATAATGTGGCGGCGGTACACCGTAATGGTAACTCATCTTGACTGTATGTTGTGCTGGTGGGCGTCACTCCTCACTCCTGCCCCTGTCCGCAACAGTCTTCCCCCCGGTCCGGATCTATGTCTGGTTGATATGCTTCAGCGGTGTGTCGAGAAATAAGGTAGGTTCGGAGGATGTTGAACTGGCTTAATATCATAGCGTGGATGGCTTCGCCGTTGGTTGGTTTTGGGGTCCTGAAATTGAGCCTTGCGACTCAATCTTGTCGAAGATATGGAGTAGCTGATGTTCGTCCGCTGTTGCGCGTGACGTGCAAGTGTGCAGTGAAGAGGGGAAAGAGAAAGAATCCAGATGGCTGGGAAAAAGTTCGCGAGATATGTTGCTTCCTGGAGGAAGTGACCAGCCCAGAGTGGATCTTGCTAGGGGTCGCGGAACTAGGCTGCCGGTGTGAGTCGATTGACAGCGCGACGGGATGAGTCGACGGAGGAGTTGATGGGTCTGATAGAGCAGGATAGTCTTCTGTTGGCACTGGAGGACCGCGCGTTTGAACGCGGCTGAGGCTTGTGACTAATGATGGCTAGTGTTTGCCCGAAGCCAGCAGAAAGGCCTGGGACCAACTGGAACCAGGTGGCGAAATAGACCAATAGACAGTCCCGTCGACTCTGAGAGAGTCAGATTCTCTGTTGAAAGTGGTGATTGATTTTGGCTAGGCCAGAGGTTGGGAAATCAGGGGCAAAGGGCAATTAAAAAGGACATGTTCGGTAAAGAGAGGATGTGGATGCCTCTTCGCGGATGGCTTGGATATGTCCAAGACTCCAAAGCTAGTCCTGGGCGCCGATGCTGGTGACGAGCAGGGATGGTATGATGGCCAGGCAAGGTTTTTCTCAAGGTGTGTGGGTCGAGAATTTAGTTTCTTCCCAGCCCCTGACACCCACCTGATGGTCAAAGGAGGGGGAGGAGACCGAAAGGATCAGGTTGAGGTGGTTTCGGTAAGGTAAGAAACGGTAAATACGGAGATACCACGTTTTATAAACCGTGCTATTCACCTGTACCTGTACTGATGGTGGAGGGATGCGAAGAAGTGTTTTGTACCAGCAGATCGGGGAACCAGGCTGCCGGTGGCTTTGCTGAAGACGAATTGACTGTCGCCTAGCCGTCGCCTTGCGAGTGAAGATCTCTGAGTCCTACAGGAGCACACTAGATGTCTTGCCGCTGAATGAACGGCGGCGAAGTCGATGGAAGCCACGACGCTCACGAGGGTCAGGACAAATACAAGAGGCGAGTTGGAACTCCGAAGAAGGAGATCCGCATTTTCCGGCTTACCAGATCATATCTCGCCGTGATGCCAATAGAGGCTCAGAGAGGCCTCTTAGGCTTATTCTGGAAGTTCTAGGGGTCACACGAAGCATTTAGGCATGCCCGCAACGCTACCACACACCTAAAATCCTTAAACCCACCGCCGCAGATCAGCTCCGCGTCAGCTTACGCAAATCCTCTGCTTCCCAACCACATGGCGCCACTGCACCATTCCTATTACTGCTACCCTGAGCGAGGCTCTGAATACCTTCACTCGTGACTCTACACGTATATCTGCCAGATATCCGTGCATCCCGCTGTACTTCCTAGACGATCCTCGCTCCTGTCAGTCTGCACTGCCACTCTTTGGTGCCAGGATTATTGCTTTGTTTTGGAGACATATCTTTTCTGCCATCAGAAAATAAATTGCTGGTATGATATGGACCAACATTATGGACCTACTGTGGATACAAGATATATTCTCAGTGGAGCTGATCAAAGTCAAACAGCACGCGGATATCAGGTTCCCCGTGGACCGGATTGCAGCGAAATACAAGTAAGATCGGTAACCTAACCTCAACCCATGCGAAAAGAAAATGTTGTTTACGGCACTCGCTTCGAGTACGAGGTGCATAACTGGGACGTAGTCGACCTCTTGAAATCGAAGGGTATCCAATCATGCCTCCTACCGAAGATCAACTCCTTCAGTGGGTGATCGATTCCAGCTGAATGCTCAGGCGATGAGGCCCAATCAACTTCGAATTTATGCAAGATGAAGCCTCGTCGGCTGCTTGACCAGGTCAGCCGGCGCCACTCAAGCTGAAACTCGCACTGCATTGTCGTCAACTGTCTTTCTTGAGCGATTCCAACGATGGCCGTGGACGCCGGTCGTAATGATCTATCTGCGGGCCTTTTAAACCATATTTCTTACGCAAGTCAAGCTGTGTCCAGCTTGAAGGCGCCATCCGGTCCGTGGCGCCGTCACTGGATGTGAGTTGCGCTGAATCCATGCAGTCGACCGCGCAGCGATGGGCACCATCAAATGTTTGATAGGTGCCAAACAACAAGTGAGTATCATCGTCCCTTTCGCGGCAGCGTGCATGATCATGTGAGTTGACTCGACCGTCGAGAACGATGAGGATGCTTCATTGGGGGTGACACAAGACTGTATTGTTTGGGGCTTCGAGATCCGCCTAGATCCTCCTGGCCACGGATCTGCTTTGTCCTACCCAAGCGCACGCACCTTCTGACCCATTCCTTTCGGTGCTGGCTTTTCGGATACCTTCACACGTCTTCGACCCGTTCGAGGCCGTCTGATATTTACAGTACCTCCTGTATCGTAACCATGATCAAAATTACCTTACCACCTCAACAGTCCGCTGTCCTTCGGCTCCTTCGAATGGCCCGTATCCTTAGGCTGTCTGTTGCATGGAGGAAGACGAGTGAGAAGCTGCCAACTCAGCGCTGCTGCGCATGAGCCTTGGCAAGGCTTGGGCAGCATGTACCGATTTCCCACCAGTCTTGTTTTTGCCTTCTATCGCCAAATAACTTCACATCAGCACTGCCTTAAAGGCTTCAGACTGCATTTCCTATTGATCAAGAAATTTGGAAATGAGGCAATCCCACATGGCCAGGGCGCTAGATGCATCGACCCGAGCCGCTGGCGTCTGCCTTTTTGAGCCCAAAGCGTCGTTCTGAACAATCTGTGAGCATTATGACTGTTGATGGCCTCCCCTTGGGACCACTTACACCGCTTCTTTTCAGATCTTCGAGGCATGAATGGTTCTGATGATCGAAGTGGGTGTACCTCTGCTACCGACTCAGACTGAAACTGCACACTAGACGAGCCTTTTCATTGATGCCTGAAGAAGAAATCCACCCGAAGCTATTTGGAAGACCTACTGACAAGGATGGGCATTGAAGGCGGTCCTTCACAGCCTGATCTAGCTTCACCGCTTGAGTCACGACTTTGTGGCGTGGCGGACTGCTCGATCAATGTAAAGCTCTCCTTTCAGTATCTTGAGACCTATGGAGCCGTGTGCCCGAAACGCATGTGGTCCAAGTCACTACTGGAGTGTTCTGTTCGAAGACAACTTCGATCCCTTTCTTCTACTGTCTCTCAGGCCGCAAGGCAGCGTCATTGATTACAATCAGCTTTGAGTTTGGAAAGCTGGTGACTCCAACGTCTCTATTTCTGGCGCACGTGAAAATGTCCTCAATGCTGGGGAAGGACATTAGCGCGCCTTTGTTGGATATTCAGACAAGGCTTGCGCGCAGCGAGGCTTTTGAAGGATGCCAGATCCCTGCCAAAATGAAATGCAATTTGAGCCGTCGTGGCCATGCCATGTAATGCAATTTAACCTCGAGTCCAGGTTCATTGAAATCAATACTACTAGTAAGCACAAGTGAGCCCGTCAGCCTCGTGACTCTTGTCCATGATGAGGGCCAGACCATCGAATACACCGGCCTAAAGAATTCGAATGCACTGCCCCTCTACGCGCATTGTGCCCATACAGGTACGAGTACCAGATAGCAAGCGTTGCAATCATGATCCGATTTTCTGTTGCTTTCTCCAATAATCCTTCTCTTGTACTATGTACTCGGTACCGTGGTTCAGCAAGAGTGCGGAACCTGCAGAGTGGAATCGAAGAAGGTGACAAGGGCGGTGGCAAGCATGGCGAGGATGCATGAAAGGCGTCTCCGGTAGACAAACATGCGAATGAAATGTCTCACTTTGGGAGACCTATTACCTTGCTAGCTTGCATCTTCCCACGAACTACGGATTATGCTTCTGAAAGTACTTTTATTTGTGCTTGACTATCATGTTGGGCGGTGTTCGAAGTACTGTGGGAAAACATCTTCTACCGTTTCCAACACTCTTGGCCGTTGCTTGCTTCTGCAAATCTTGCGGATTGGGAGATAACAGGGTGACAGCGAAAGAGGGACTGGTCGGGGTCCCCCGATATGCCCGACCCATACCTAGTAGATGGCATGATGATGGAGAGGGAGTGAGAGGGGAAACTCGAAGTCGGATTGCCGATGGGGGGCACCGGCCTCTTTCTTCCCTGTGCCCTGTGCATTTCCCTACGAGTACTCCGTAATCCCTACCGAGTAACACCCCTCCCAACCCTCCCGCCTCCATGCGCATTGGCCTAATGGTGCTCGGTCCAACTCTTCTCTTCGGAGGAGCTTCCCCCCAGCCAATTGCACCCTGTGATGCAGCTGATAGACACCTATCTTTTCCACGGTAAGCTCAAAGTGCATTTGTTAGCGTAAGAAGATCGTTTCTCATGAGAGCATGGCAGCTGGTAAAATCTGCTTCCACCGAGGCTAAACACCGTTGGTACACTGTACTTCCACACAACTCGCGGACCTTGCAAACTACCGATAAGTAACCCGGGTGTCCCTCGCCAGCACCGATTGGCCTTCGGCCGCCACAACCGCATGCACTGGAACTCCCCGCGAAGCCCTCCATCGATTTCTTGCGAATAGGTAGTGGTGGTGGCGGTCACGGTTTGCTGCATTGCAGATCTCTGTCGATGAGCTCTAGACGCTGATTCTCCGTCCTATTGTTTCTTCATCCTCCGATTCCTGTGCCAATGCGACTGAAATTCAGAGATTCCTCAGCCAGTCTGGACGTCCGCGCTGCTCACGCATCTAGGGTCGAGTGCAGGCGGATATGAAGATCGTTTGATCTTCGTCCTCAACCAGAGGTCAAACCACTCCCATCACTTTCGCGCGTGACGTCGCCCCCTCCTCCCCCTCCTCTTAACACGCTTTCGGATTGCGACGGTCCTCAGCTCAGGCCTCCGGAAGAAAATGTCTGGGGCTCAACCCGAGGCTCAGGCCGTGATCGCCCCAAGTCAGACAGACGCAAATGCTCCGCGTAAGAGAAGGAAGCGCGCCCCTGCCGCTGGAGCAGCGGATGACTGTTTTACATGTGTCGCGCGCAATCTCCAGTGCGACCGCCGAAGACCATATTGTTCAAAGTGTTTGGATGATGGACAAGACTGCGGTGGCTACAAGACTCAATTGACCTGGGGAAACGGCGTTGCAAGTCGGGGCAAGTTGCGAGGTCTCTCGCTTCCAATTGCAGGCGCAGAGAAAACTGCCACTCCTCCATCGCCGACGAAATCAAGGAGGAGGCCATCCCAGCGTCAAACTACACGGCTCCGTGCAGGATCGCAACAGACTCTGTCCTCAGAGCCAAAAAGCGGCCCAACACTTTCCGCGCACAGCTCGAACTCTGCAAGCAAGACCAATGCTGGCCATCACTTTCATCAGTCTAATCCAACCTTTCCGTTTTCTGCGCCCTATACCACCTCGCATTGGACTCCGCCGACAGCAACTGCACCTGCGCCCACTACCATCAAGATAGAGACGCCACACTCCGCCTACCCCACAGCTTCTTCCGTATCTTTAAACTCTCCTCTTGATGGCTATGATTTCCCTGCAGGTTTCAAGTCTAACGTTACCTACAGCGGCAGTACATCGCCTGGATCGTTTTCAGCCACATCTCCAGAGTCTACATATTTTGGACGAGTCCTGAGCCATGGCTCTATAGGAGCGTCAAACCCACTATCTGGTTACCCTATCTCACCTCGGATCCCCTCACCATACGATACTGCCTTTTCGGATCAAGGCCAATTTTCGGTTTACCCGAACCAGAAAAGCTCGCATGTTCGCAGTGATCCATATGTCCAATTGCCCCAACACTTGGAACCTGTGCTAGAGCAAGGCCACAACCCGGCTGCCGAGGAAGAAATCGAGGAGATCAAGCGCGATGAGTACGATGACGGCTGTGCCGTCGTTGATGACGATTTGAGCGTTGGTCTACCTCGGTTCGTCTTCGATTACAACCTGTCGATTTCCCCGTTCTCTGGCATGAGCGCCATCGGAGCGACTCCTCGAATACAATACCTGATAAACTACTATAGCGAGGTCATTTCACCTGTTATAGTAGCCTTTGACGGCCCTTCAAACCCTTACAGGACTCAGATCCTACGATTAGCAGCAAGAAGCGAGACTCTTCAACATGCAATCGCGGCCTTGTCGGCCAGCAATTTGAGGCAACGGAGAGAAACAGGAGCACTATCAACGGGCAAGACTGACCCAGCAAGACGGTCGTCCATTGCGCATATGACACTGACGAATGAGTCCTGGCAAGACAACAGCATTTTGTCTCCGCAAGAACAAGCTTGTGAGGAAGCATTGCACAAAGGGATTGCAATTCAGTCATTGAACATACAACTTGCTAACCCCGTTCTGCGAAAAGACGACTCTATCTTGGCTACTCTTCTGATTTTGTGTCTGTTCCATATATGCGATTCTGGAGTCGCCAAATTCCAGACCCAATTTGCGGGTGTGAAGAAACTACTCGGTATGCGGCAAAAAGAACTGGGGTTGAATACGAAGGAGGGAAAGTGGTTTACCAGGATGTTTACGTGGTTCGATGCAATGACAGCTACCGTAAATAATCGAGAAGGACAACTCCAAGGATATCACTTGGACGTTTCTGCGCTCTCAGACGAGGACTGGGCGCTAGAAAACCTCGCGGGCTGTGACGGCCAGCTATTCAAGACGATTGCGAAGCTGGGCCGGCTGAACGTTCTTGGTCAAGGCAAGCCTGTTGAAGAAAGCCCCACACTCGTGTCTAGGCCGCTGCCACAGACGCCGTTCGCATTGAATCTAGACTACAATGATTTTGACGGTAATGGATGGATGCGGATGCTTGAAGACGAGCATCTATTCTCGGAGAAGACGTCGGATCCGGACGTCCAAGCCCAATTTTGGCGAGAATGGAGGGAGGTGCGCCAGAGCTTACAAACATGGCAGTTGGACACGACAATGTTCGACCGTTCCAGTCCAGAAGCACCACTTCTCACGCCTGAGCAAAGGGTCGATCTTGCAAACATATCAGAGTCTTTCCGCTACTCAGCTCTGCTGTACACCGAGCGCCTGGCGAACCCAGCAGTCCCAAGTACAGATACGTCTATCAGGTTCTGGGTGCAGAAATGCCTCACATACATCAAAGCTGTGAAATCGGATGTATACTTACTCTGGCCGCTCTTCATCACAGGCAGCGAATGTGTCGATGAGGCCGATCGCAAGGTCATTCGGGAACGGTGTCTGGACATCCAGAAGGACAGCGGCTTCCTCAACAACAAGAGCGCTCTTGAGCTGTTGGAGAAGGTCTGGCGACGGTATGACAAAGAACGCGGGAGAAATCCTCCGAAGTTGGAGTCGAGCCATGATACAGGGCAAGACATCGAACATGAGACTGGATTCAGATTCACGACGATAATGAGACTGGAAGGAAATGGAGGGGAGTATATCGTGGTCTGAGGTATTTTCAGGTCCCAGATGACTGGCTCATGGTATTGGTTTCAAAATAGTCCTTCGTTGACTTGCAAAGCCTTATGCAGTATACACGAGGAAGCGATTACAGAACTTACAGAGACGAATCGTACACACAGGAGAGAGAAGTGACATTCCAATCGAGGATACAGCCTCCTCCCCGACCTCGAGACGCCATGTATGAACGTGGCCATCATGAGACAGATTTTGCCCAGTAAACTGTAGTTTTCACACGAGCGCTTTCCCCTTGTTGACGGACCCTCAAATGCCCACAACATGTTCTGATACTCTTTTAAAGCAATCTTGAAGTAACGGCTTAAAGAAGGATATCAATTGTAGCATCAGTGGGCGGACGAGGCCTTCTGTATCATGATATGATTGGTCAAGTTGCGAATCGCATGCGCTTCTCAGCCTCGTGCCGGCAAAACTTCCCTCGTGCAACTTGTACCAACTTCGCAATAGCAACCTCAGTTGAAGCACAACTTTCCACTATAGCGCCCTGAGAATGTCGGGGCCTTCGAATCCCCCATCCGGTGCCTCCACGCCACGAGCCTTCACCAGCACCGGCTCAACAGCAGAGGACTTACTCAAGTCGCAAACGGTGGGCCTCGTCAACCTCGCAGACTTCCGGAAACGTCGCGCCGATGTTCTCGAGCAGAAGGAGAAAGAAGCGCGGAGCCCTCGCGATGCGGATGATAGTGACGGGTGAGTCTTTTCTCTTGTAGTGTTCGGGCAGGACTAATTTAGAAAGCACAGTGCGGTGACACGACGAGCGGACCGACCTCCCCAGAAGAAGAAAAAGAAGGCTGCGAAGGGTCTTTTGTCTTTCGGCGATGACGAGGATATTGGAGATAGTGGTATATCTACGCCTACAGCACGAAGTTCGCAGCCATCAGTTGAGCCGTCGCCTGAGCCGTCAGGCATTGCCACGAAATTGACGCCGAATCCCAAGTCGGGTTTACCTCCGCCGCGAGCAGTCACGAAGGCTGCACTCGCTGCTGAAGCGCTGGAACGGGAGCGCCTGAGAAAAGAATTCCTCGAGATGCAGGAGGCTGTGAAAGAGAGCGAGATCGCGGTGCCGTTTGTGTTCTATGACGGCGCGAATATACCGGGCGGCACTGTAAGGGTGAAGAAGGGAGATCACATTTGGCTCTTTCTGGAGCGCTGTCGCAAGGTTGGCGCGGAGCTGGGAGTGAGTGGGAGTGCGAATGGGAGTGGTGCGACGTTGAAGACTATCGAGAGCAGTAAGAAGCAGTGGGCACGGGTGGGTGTGGATGATCTGATGTGCGTGCGTGGGGAGGTCATTGTGCCGAATGTGAGTCTTCCTGTCGGCTAGTGGACCATTTGGCTAACGAGAAGAAGCATTACGAGTTCTATTACTTTATCGCGAACAAGATTCCCGACCCATCCAGAGAGGGAAGGTTGCTGTTTGAGTATGAGGGAACAGCCCCGAAAAAGACAGATGGTGAAGAGCCATCGTTGATTCGCGTGCCGGGTAGGGAGGAGTTAGAAGGGCAGAATGACGATCCGACAATGACGAAAGTAGTTGATCGGCGGTGGTATGAGAAGAACAAGCACATCTATCCTGCGAGTGTGTGGAAGGAGTTCAAAGTTGGTAAAGAGTTTGAAGAGATGGCGAAGGGCAGGAAAGATGCACAGGGAAATGCCTTTTTCTTTGGCTAAACAGAGACATGCCAGCACCCTGTCGAGATCACGTCTGAAGAACGGGAGAATGAAAAGGTCGCAGAATGGCCGTTGACAGCAGCTTGCTCCTCCAAGGTTGAAGAGGTCGATTGTTGCTTTTGTTCCTGCTCTATCTGCCTACACAAACTCCCAAGAGTCTCTCCCCTTCATCCAACCTCCAACCTCCAGTCACCTTCAATCCGAGATTCAACACTCTCCTTCTCCGCAGCCAATACGAATCCGATTCTCGCCATCCTGCCTTGAAAACAATGGAGCAACCTCTCACCTGCAACAATCAGAACGGAGGTGCCTGCCGAGCTGTCCTGAAGCGGGAAGCAGTGGTCACGACATGCTCGTAGGGATGCTGCTGGTACACTGCGCACGGAACTGATATCTGCCAGGCACATCTTTTGCCTCTCCTGCGCTCAGACTACCGGCCTGGCTGAAGCACCACTAGACCGACGTCGCTGCCCTGCCTGCCAGAGCCAGCTACCCAGCCCTGACGATGCTGTCCAGACACGATTGAACCCTACAGAGGAGTACAAAACCAGCGTTCTCAGTGGCCTCGATCCGGGGGCTATTCTTGATTGTGCTGGAAGAGCTATAGCATTCTGGACATATCAGATCACGCATGAGATGTGAGAAACTGCAGGTCCCCGACAGCACGCGCTGTACTAACGGAGTGACAGTGCTTATCAGCAATATGTGGCCAAAAATCTCACGGACAGATACACCAACCTCAACGCAGCAATGGACAATGTCGTTCACGAAGCCAATACCGAGATTCAAACAATGCAGAAGAAATTGGAAGGTGCGATAACTTAGCATTGGCAAACAACTCATCTGACACAAACCAGATCTTAGTCGCGCCCATCAGGGCTTGCAGCAGAGATATGACGAGTTGGCTGATTCTTACCGAGAAAAGAGCCGCAAGCTGGGCACCATTCAGAAGCTTTACAACGCTATCAAGCAACGAGATCAAGCTCGGGAGATGATTGCGCCCGCCGCGTCGAAGGATGTTGAACAAACACTCCAGTCACTTGGCAGTGTTCGACGATCTGAAGCAGGATTTCCAAAGCCAGATCTGCGTCGACAGACACAGCCAGGAACAAACCCATCTCTGCCTGAGCGAGGACCACACCCAATCGGAGCTGCACATGGCGGTGTCGAGCAGCTCCATCCTCAACAGAGGTCCGGCAGCAGTGTTCTCGGTACCCATCAAAGAGGGATGCCATCTGCACGCACACTCCCGGTCACCAAGCTTCGTCAGCGCTCTTCCCTCGGCTCCTCTCCTTGATCTTGCTAACGGCTCGTAGCAACTGCTGGTGTCTCTGGCACTCCCTTACACCGAGAAGCTTTGCCGACGCACGCTAGGACAGCAGTCAGTCGATCACAAATCCCAGTGACGTCCACAAGGGCTCAATTCCAGCATGATCAACATGTCCCAGGCTCTAGCCGACTACAATCCATTCAGGCTAGTAGCGTGCCGGTTTCGATGCAGAGTCACAGTGCTATTCCGTCTGGCGTCAAAAATGGTCGACCAGGCACGGCTGGATCGGTTGATATGAATCCAAAGTTCGACCAATATGCTGGTGAGTCGAACTTCGTTAGTACGGTCTACGACTAATCAGCTGCAGGAAAATTCTACCATACCACTCACCCGTGATCGAGAATCTTGAGCAAGAGGGCCGCCTACATTTGCCCTGAGAGCACATCATGGAGTCACGAGCAGACTATGATGAAGATGAGAATCTATTTTTGTTATGATTGTGTTTGTTTTGCTATCTTCAAGATGCAGCACGTTCCATTGACACCAGTCTTTTGCTGCCCGGTAGGGTTCGGCGCTGCTGGCATACTCCAATGTACTCCGACCACAAGATGGCGTTGGTGCTGATTTCCATTTTAGCAAGCCTCACTTCTTCCGTCCCATGGTTTCCCGTCGTCTCATGTGAGAAGGAGTTCTCCTGCTTTGAAAGAGTCGTACAGTTGACGTCGGCCCAGCCAAGCCACGCGGGAAATGGAGACCGAACCCTCCGTCAACCAGTCCTTGACTGCTGTACGCTGCGTCTTTCTCGGCATCAGTACCAACCAATCAAGCGCTGACCTGCCTTAGCCTTCTCGCTCTTAGGCATCTTCAGGTCGACACGTTTGATTTTGACCGTGCGAGTCTTTGTGATTCGAGTTTGGGTGGTGATAGTGACGCAGTCAGCAGAACGGCTTTCTCTGATCGTAGCTGATTTTGTCTCGGTGTCTTTCTTGGTGATCTTCTTGTTCTTGGTTTCGCACCCTGCCGTGACGACCCGTTTTTCGCCCTGGGTTCGAGAGTGCACCTGTTGAGCAGCTCCTCTCACGGTCTCCCGTCGATATCGACCAAAAGCAGTCGAGAATTTGCTCTCGCTGGCCTTGGCCACCTTGGTAGAACCCATTGTCCAGGTCAACTCTGCAGATGTTAGCAGTGGAGGAAACGTTGTCGCAGTTCAGCTTCAAACTGACTTTACAACAAGCTAGCAGAATCCCCTGGCCGGAAGACAATGACCACAGGCCTCGGAGGTTGAGGGAGGTGAGTAGCTGATGAGAAAAGTGTGCCAATGTCGATCTCACAGAAGGTGTGAACTATCGGGAGCATGTGAAGGTATCAGTGCACTTCGAGACGAGTGAAGTGAATATCTGGGCCGGAGTCATGGATCTAATCTCTGGTTCACTGGAGGAGCAGGATGAGTTATTCCTTCCATTCCACTTCGCTATCAGGCTGTGGCACATGGCATTCAGCAGTGACGGACTCTTCGTGGAAGGTACGATGAACTTTGCATGACTTCTGAGTTTCAGAGCTGATTTCAGCCTCTTCTTTTGCTTCCTCTGCCTTATCCCTCACATTCCTCCATCTAACACTTCTTAGCTGACATCTATTCCTTCATCCTTTTTCTTGTACTCATTTATACAATTGTCAGTTTCGCATTTCCCTCCTTTTGTCATGGCTTACCTTCGGATCGAAGGATCAGACCACGACGACATCACAGATATCGACACGATAGATGTCAGTATGAGTCAGAATAAGCCGTCTCAACCTCCTCTGGCAGTGGTGAAGAAGGCCACGGAAACAGTCCGTGCACCGTTTCCACCCTCACTAGCAAAACCTACGAGCACCAGGTCTCTCGGAGTCATCTTCAACAACCGGGTATTGCTGTCTTCGTTCATTCGCAACTTTGAGAGGAAGGACTATAGGTTTTTGTCACAGCTGGCTGCATCGATACCCGGAAGCTTAGCCTGGCCTGGATGGGATCCTCTCACACAGCCATGGCCTCTAAAGCTGCCATTCGACATACGAGACTTCCCGGTATCTTGCCAGGATCCACGGCCACCTATGCGCCACCTCATTGACCAGGGACCTACTCAATCTGGGTTGTACAGGTGGAAGTAGGTCTTCCCAACAACGGGACCCGATAGTGGCTTTGAAGGGTGCACTTTCACAGAGAAGGATCAAGGCCTACGACCCAAGCCAGGGGCTAATCTAGAGAAAGAGAAGGAAAAGAAACCTGTGGAGTTCCTTGAATGTGCAGGGTACAGATTGATGCTGCCTGATTGCTCTCGATTGAGCAACGCCTTGTGTCCTGAAATGCTGCGAACCTTGACTGAACCGGATGTTCGGCGCTCTCGCCATACTACAATAACAAGCCTGGCCGATTCACCGCATGGTTCTAGCGTAATGATCTGCTCTAATTGTGCATTCCGAAGTCATGTCAGCAACAGTGGGTGTATCTGGCAACCTCAAAGGATTCTACCCCTCTGTCGGGACTGTTCTCAGAACCCGCCTGCTCATATGTATAACTTCAAACTCGAGCACGATAGGCCATCAATTGCTGAAAACATCAGGAAATTCAGCGGGGGCGAGTCTTACTACGAATGTGACTGCTACGAGGCATTCTCGCCCAAGAATGGGTTTCATCTGTGCTCAGGATGCTCGGCCTTATTTCACTGCACGTTGGCCATCCGCCGTATGATCCTGTTATACAACCATGTGTCCTTTGTCAGTGCCTCATCTGCTGGAATTTGCGACTTTCCTGACGAACCCGAGTTCACCAGCCGGTCGGCACGCAACAATTGTCCATGCGGAAAGACGTGGCCGGAGCTTCTAAGCAGCTGGGAAGGACTGTCGGAGGCAGAACGCAAAGAGAAGATCTATCGCATTTGCTTGTTCTGCACTGGGCATGTTCGACACAAGAAGATGTTTACAACTGTGCCAACGAACTGTATCTGAAGGACAGTGCTCGAAAGGAGCGAAGGAAGTGCTCGATAATGCAGGTGTCGTTCCGGGGTGGCAGGATATAGTCCTGGATAGTGTGAGGTTCGAGACGCGGGATTCCAGGTAGCCAGCCACGGTGTTTCTGTTTATGGTAGTCTCAAGAAGCGGATCAAGGTTCTGAGATCTCATCGAGCTTGTAATCAGCGACGATGTCTTTGCAACCCCGTGTAGTTCGCGCGCGTTCGTCATTTTGCCAATGCAATACACATTTTCTGCCTCGCTGTGATACTCCCCTCCGCATTCCTCTTGTGATCCGTGTTCAGGTGAAACGTTCCTGTGAAGGCAAAAGTCGAATCTGACCATGATTCGCGCCTGCAAAGAGAGCAGTATCTGAATGCCTCTGGACTTTGGGTATATATGGCCGCCCACGTTTTTGGTGTCGGCTTCAGTAATGCTCGGGTGAATCGGGATGACGAAACTGTCTCTACCAATTTCGTCTCCCACCTTTGCCTCGTCCACGCCCGAAGCCACCTCCACCTCCGCCACCCATACCTTGGTCGAAGCCACTGCCACCGCCTCCTCCAAAGCCTCCGGGGCCTGTTGGCGGTTGCTGGCCCATCATACCGCCTCCCCCGGCGCCCATGAATTGCATAAACTGAGTTGGGTCCATGCTTGTCGGATCCATCCCTTGGGACGTCATTGCCGCGAACATCTGCTGCATCTGCGCCTCGCTGGGCATGGCCATTTGCGACATGTCCGGAGCACCACCGGCGGGCGGACCGCCAGGCATGGCAGGCATCCCGGGCATTGCCCCGCCTCCCGGGATCCCCTCGACGAAGGCTTTCATTTGCTCTGCCTGCTGTGTGATTTCTTTGATTTCCTTGGGCATTTGTTGCTGCTTGAGACAGTACGATGCCCATGTGAACTCGTCGAAGCCGTAGTTGAAGTAGTCGGTGATATCGGCGCCCGGTTTGCGCCAGGGCTTGGTGGACTCGGACGGGAAGTCGACGTCGAAGTCGGTGGAGAGGATGGGTTTGCCGGTTGCAGGGTGGACGGGGTTCCCGTTGGGATCGAGTTTCGAGGTATGGCGCGCCGGGTAGTCGGTGCCAGGACGGTCGTTGGGGGGTGGTTGTGAGCCGGTTCTTGCTTCGGCGGGTATGGGTGTTTCTGGTTTCGTTGTTGCGGGTTGCGGGGTTATAGATGCTTTTCGTAGGTCGGTCGGGGCGGGTGTGAGACCAGGGGGGCGTTTTGCTTGTCTGTGGTAACACGGTTAGAGTAAGGAATGGTATATGTGATTGTGCCGTGAGTGAACTGACGAGGATGGCTCTGATTTCTCTTCTTCTTTGACGTCTATGATGAAGTCGACATCGTCCTGTGAAGTGTGTCAGGTTAAAGCTGTTCTAGTTTATCGTTCGAGTGTGTGCCATACATCGCTGTCCTCGACTTCTTCGCCTTCTTCTTCCCCGTCTTCGACATCCTCCATTTTGTCTTCGGCCTGAGCTTGATAGCCATTCGACTCATTGTGCTGAGGGTATATGTCGTCCTCGTCGGAGTCCATCATCTTGTCTAACTGCGAGATTTTCCGATGGTGTATGAACGAGAGTGAAGGAACGAGCCACTATGGGAATCACTCGAAAGTGATATCGCAGGATGTTTGTCACGTTTGGCGGCGAGGCTCTATGGCAGCCTTGTCCCCAGACTCGGGGTCCATTTCAGCAACTTCTGAGGAAAGTTTGCCGATTGGATTCTTCCAGAAAAAAAGCCCAGGAACCTTCTGATCTGTTTACTCAGTTTCCGATTCTCTCTCTTTGCCCATCTTTTCGCTATCCTTGTTCGAAGCCTCATTCCGTTGCTATCTCCCTTCTGGACTACCCGTCGCAGTTTCACTTGGACAAAAATGGTCAGTATACATGTCCAGTCTTTCCGACCAGCCCTTGTCCGTTGCGACCGAGAGAGCTCTACGTGCTAACGGGAGGTTGATTATATAGACTACCGCACTCAAGAGCGTCCGGTCCCTCGCTCCCCTGCTCGACCGAGTCCTGGTTCAGCGCATCAAAGCCGAGTCGAGAACTGCTGGCGGCATCTTCCTCCCCGAGAGCAGCGTAAAGGAATTGAACGAGGCCAAGGTTCTTGCAGTCGGTCCCGGCGGTTTTGACAGGGAAGGGAAGAGAATGGCAATGGGCGTGAAGGAAGGCGACAAGGTGCTGATTCCTCAGGTATACTTCTGACTCCGCCTGTCAAGATCCGGATCATGGAGGCTAATGCGCATGGACAGTACGGAGGCAGCCCCGTGAAAGTCGGAGAGGAGGAATACCACTTGTTCCGGGATTCTGAGTATGTGTCAATCTTCTCTTGTTGGACGGACATTCCATGCTTACAGTGACAGGATATTGGCCAAGATCAACGAATAGACAACCGACCACACCGTACCATCGATTCCGGCGTTCAGGCAACCCTTCCAGGCCAGAGCCCACTGGCCGGGGGACATAAAAGCTCGAATTTAGCGATTTGTACACAATGTATTACCGTCGAGGAGCTTCTACGTATCACAGAAACTGATGTCACGAAGGTGAAAGCTTGGGAAGAGCAGGAAGCATATGTTATACCAGCATCAGTGACCGCGCGAAGCCGATAGCACCTGCATATATCCTGTGTAGTTACTAAAAGAAGCAAAAACATTTTCTCCGCTCATGTATTGCCCCTGACACGCGACTTCGATCTGCTCTGATCCCTGTTCTCTCCGGCGCCAATTCCAGGCGTGAGACCAGAGATATCCTTGACTTCGAGGCCCCTTCCGATGACCTCTCTGAAATTCAGACCAAAATCGCCCAACATTTCCTTCTCATGGTTCCACACAACATCCATGCATTCTCTCCACAGCTTGCCGTCTTTCTCTATCGCGCTCAACTGTCGGACGAGGAGCATGTTGAACGTTTCAAGATGCGTGTTCGCCCACTTGATACACGCACTGATCGTCGTCGGCGGGAAGGAAGCTTGATATATAAGCACAGTGTTCTTGACAACCGTGAAGTAGACGTAGGAGATGGAGAAGACGTATCGATGTAAATCGCCATCGAAGATGCACTGTCTGGCGCGCTTCGTCAAGGTCTCGCTGCGTGCGTTCAGGTAAATTTCACGAGCTCTGTCCTCGAAGCCTAGTCGGATGAGAAAGGACGTGGTTCTCTTGGTAGCTTCCATGAAAGACGGAGTCTCAACGAGCTCTCGACAAATGACCCCTGCGAGCTTTGCCGCACGTTCGTCGACTTTGACGGCGATAAGTTCATGTGCGATCGAATTGTTGTTGAGGTTCTGGGCGATTTTCCGGAGTCTCTCGACTTTGTCTACGGCTTCGTCGAAGCGTTGCATGGAGATGTCAATGTCGAGGTCATCAATCTGCCCTTCGACCCAGCGAAAGTTTTGCTGTTTGCCGTCTACCTCGATGAGGATATCTGGCTTGTCTTTGGCAGAGTTGATACTGTCGAAAATTTCAATGTTCGTTGCGGAAGCTGGATCTCGTGCGGCGAAATAATTCAGACTCTCACTCTGGCTATTGTTCTGCTCCTCCTGAGTCTTGGTGGCTTTGCGGACGTCCTCGGTTGCTTTTCGCAAAGCCATCAATAGGCCGGTCTTTGCTTTCTCCTCGCGCTTTTCGTGCCTGTACGTCAATGACCGTGCGCCGGAGCGAATCATCAATGCGGAAGCAATGGCTTTCTCTTCTGCCGGGTTGGAAGCTCCGTTGGCCAAGCTTGCTGCCATATCGATGATCTCAATGTCTTGCAGAGGCCAGCATTCCTCAGCAACCAACTTTGTAGGCGCCGGCCCTTGCTGAGGTACGTTTGGGTCGACCCGCTTGCGTTTCTTAGACGCAATGAGTAGATGATCGTTCAGCAGGACGATGTGGACGGGGCGTTTTGGCTTCCAGGTTGCACTGTCGAGCTCAATCCAATTGCCTGTCTCGGCGACGATATGCCGACCGGGAACAGCGGGAAGGAACTTCTGGGATTTCTCGATGTTCTTCCACAGTGCTTGCAGTTGGACGTTCCACATCTGTTCCAGGTTTGCAACGGATGTCCTATTTGCGTTTCGTCTAGCCTGCGAGGACGAGTGACTGAGATCTGGTGAGAGTGTATTGTTGGAGCTTCCTGAGTTGCCCTGTCCGATGGTGCTTGTGAGCTCGGACATGAGGTTCTGTAGGATAGCCATTTCTGCTTTCAGCTTCTCAGCCTCTTTGCTGATCTTGATGAACGACGTCCTGTTCTGGTAGACGCTTTGTTGCAATTCTGCTGAATTGCGATTCTTGAGACGCTGCAGATTTGCCTGGTATTCTTGAATATCCGACTCGGAGGCGTTGGAGAGGAGGTCTGTAACATAGGCTTCAGGCTTGAGGTTCGGGTCGCTGAGGGTGTCACTATCGACGAGGAGCGGTCGAGAAGAGGACCCTGTTCCTGGGCGGCGTGGAGAGCCACCTCCGGAACGTCGCTTCAGGGCACCAGGGAGTGTAGGAACAGGGGGTGCACCGATGTTGCTGAAGTCGGGAAGCTGGTTATATCGAGTCGAATATCGCCGCTTGACGAGATCGGAGGTCTCGGTGGGTGCATTGCGATCTCGTGGGACATTAAGAGTAGCACCGCTCTTGTTCTGCTGCGGCGCTGGTCGGGTGATGCCTGGGCCGGAGGCATTTTGAGGTGCGCTTATTGTAGGACGGTCCTTACGCTTCTTTCTCAATGTGAGACCGCGTGTATCCATCGCGACGCCTGTGTAGAGTGCGACCCACGGCCTTGACCTATGCTCCTTCCGCGAGAAGCATCCGCGGACGTTGACAAGTGAGTGTGGAAGTAGCAGGGCACGTAATGGGTCAGAAGCGGAGGGAGAGTACGGAGTACGATCTCGAGGCATAACCGACAGTCACGTGTTATCACGTGGTGATGTAGAACTCAGCCTCGTGCAACCCAACCCCTTTTCGTTCCGTTGGTTATCACCAAGAGCGAGGACCCCAAGCGCCCCCTTAAGGTTATGGTCACCAAGAGTCCGCACCTTTCTAACCATCCAAGGATCGACTGTTAGACGATCTCTAGACTTCACATATTCTTCGTAAAACCACGATAGGCAAAGCCACTAGAAGAATGTGCTTCAGCTTCATCACGTCCACGGAGAGTACAAATACAACAAGGCAATGCACTCGAAAGTATTTGCCTTTGGGCGTGCCCCAGTCGATCTTACAATCCTGCATAAGCATTCCGACCATCCCCATCCCTCCGTGCTGACGTTCCTATCAACGCTCCCCAATCAATAGGCACTCGCGCCAGCGACATTCCCTGCTGCCGAGTACTGTGCCACATAAATCCTTCTATCACCATTTGCCGTGTTGGCGGCGCCAATCCCAACCAAGGTTGTTGCTGGCCAAATGATCTGTTCGAAAACAAGCAAGGTCAGAAAGAACACGCCTTCACCCCGTCATCGCAGAGGTTCGAGTACACTCACTTGCGTATAATGCCCGTATTGTGCAAAATCGCCGTCAACAGGCTGACCATGGTAGTATTGTGCTTCATCCAGCCATCCTTGGGTCGCCGCCATGACTGTGGCGATATTGGCGGGGAAAATCACGTAGAGATTCTCGCCCACGTCTGGGGTACCGGAATGATCAAAGCCCTCGATTTGAGCGAGGTGATCGGCCCATCTTTGAGCGCTGGCTTCAAGGCCTCGATCCCAGGCTAGGTCTGGACGAGAGTGTCCTGTCTGAGCAGAGATGGCACGACGGGCGTCGTTGTGCATCTGGAGAGCGCTGGCTTGGTGGGGGTTGAGGTCCGACATGTTCAAAGCTATTTTGCAGTTTGAAGATCGTTCAAGGTTCTGATGAGTAGATCAAGTCGAACATCGGGGCTGCAAGTGTGGGTTTAAATAGTCCTGGAGTGTTCAAAAAGACATTTGTGTTGCCCGCTTGCCAGGTAGCCTCCAGGGCTGAACCTTTGTTGCGAAGCTCAGTAGTTCCTGCTTGATGGACTCTCCCGTATAAGCTCATGAGGAATGTTCAGCTTTGTGATTCTGCCCATCCATCAGTTGCAACTTCCAAGTAGCGGTGAAGAAAAGAAAGATGAAACCAACGAAGTTCGATTGCGCTCTAGCTCTCCATGGTAGCCCTCAGTAACTCTGACGAAGACCGGCTTCCAGACGAAGCTGCATAGAGCACAGAGCGGTAAGAGTCGAGTCCGCGCAACCACCTTCCAAAAGGAGAACTTATCTGTCTCGTATTCCCATGCACTAAATCAGAGCTGAAACATAGCGTACGCTGTGGAACCACCTTGCTGATTGGAATCACACCTCGTGTTGAGTCGTATGCTGACATTTTCAAGAGAGAGGAAGAGGGAGAGAAACGGATCAGGTCGCTTAGCTAGATGGAACTGGCTTATGGATTCTACGTTCCGATCTCCGAATGTTTAGCGACACGATCAGATATGCTTGGCTGCTGTTTTCACCCGCCAATACTCTTTACACGGACCTTAAGATGGCCAAATGTTGCTGGAGTATAGCAATCATGCCAATCCATATCATGTTCAGTAGTATCGTAGACTTCCAAATCGAACTTGCGAAAGAGGTACGCAAAGGTTGTAAAAAGCTCTGCGTATGCAAGACTAACACGCAAAACGTTAGTCGAGAAGGTAAGGCCGTGGTAGTAAATGGAGACGTAGGGGGACGCCTGGAGCTGCAACCGGAAATGGTCATTGGTGATAAGTCGCCGGGATGCTAGTAGAATGATTGTGTGGGTCGGAAACAACTGAAGCATGGTAACGAATTGCTTACTTGATACCTAGACATCCCCTGCTGCCGGCGGAGAAACTCAGGAGACATTTCTCCGTTTCCAGAGATTCGGAATCTAACCAGCGGTCTGGCTTGAAAGACTTGGCTTCTGGGAAGTAGTGATCACTCATATGATACGCATATGCAGAGTGGGAAATCACGGTCTGTTTTCAGGCATCATGTTGGGCAGAACAAGCAGGTGTTAGAGCTCACTCACATTAGGTGGAATCTGCTGGCCGCAGAAGACTGCGCCATTTCCTGGTACTACTCTTGGAAGCCGACCAGGGACGCCGAATGAGAGGCGAAGAGACTCTTTGATGATTGCACGCTGTGGGAACAAGTCAGCGAGGTGATGCTCATATTAGAAAGGCATCATAGCTTACCAAGAATGGAAGCTTCTCCAGCTCGATCCAACTCAGAATTGTTGCTGAATCGACATCCACGATCGCGTTGCAGAGTTCTTTGCGCAGGCGTGCGAGTATTGTTGGATTCTTCAGCAGGAACCAAGTTCCTGTCGTCAAAGCGTGTGCTGTTGTATCAGTTCCTATCCAAAAACCCCTGAGTCAGTTGTGGCAGCCCATGGGCAGATCGGAGCGACATTGAACTAACCAGCGCCAAAGAACACCAATGCATCAGCTGTGAGCTCTTTCAACACAGGTGCAGATCTGCCATTCTTTTGTTCCGGGAGTAGTGCTGTCTGAAAAATAGAGGGCATCGATGGATCCGGAGTAGTTTTCTGAAGAGTAACGATTCTTTCTTGACAAGCCTTGCCAACGGATTAGCTCATGGAGACTTGATATTTTGGAGCGACGTACCTTGTAAATCTCAAACGAAGCAGCCAATGGTTTTGCGATCGTCCCGGTCATAGAGATGGGCGCACGCTCCAGAATTCGACATAGGAGATTGAAAAGGTCGGGGAAGTACCAAGTATACGAGGCTGTCCCGAAAAGACCTTCCATGTCCTCGATGACTTTGAAACGAAAGTCAGTAGCGTCAAGAGCACCAAAGTTCTTCTGATAACAATACTCCATGACCACGTCAGCGGTGAGACATTTGAAAGCTAGTGTAAGATCGACGACCTTGCGGGCCTGTGAAGCCTTATGTAGGGCATCAAGCAACTTGTGGATTTTTTCATGGATTGAACCTTCGAGTTTCTGGATGGCTGCTCGAGAGAAATGAGGCGAGTACATGTCTTTGATATGTCTAACCGCCTTGGTCTCGTGGATGTTGAAGAAGGATCCATCAATAACGTAAGCGTTATAGAAGCCTGGATACTTTTTGAAAGGTGTTCCGGGTCTGTAAACTCTGTACATGGTCAGATTTCAAGTTGCATGAAAGCATTTTTGGGTCTCACTCTCGAAAAGAGTCCATATCTCGGATATGGAGTTCGTTCGGCCTTATTCGCACAATTGGGCCATACTCATCATGTAGTCGGGGCAGTTCCTTGCAGAAAGAAGACGCAAATGGCAGATCATACGAGCCGGCGTACATCATTGTAATTGCTGCGAGTCGAGGACCCGGAAACCTGGCCAATGGGTGATACGTCAGTCGGTAGATGACTTGCGCAACAAAGTAGAGTATCCAGGTCGAAAAAAGTTGCAAGCCGATCCAGGCCCAAACGTGCATTGCCATTGTGTTCAGACTTGTTGTCAGACCTTCAGTTTGAGATCAAACAATCTACTCTGCGAGGGATTCAACCTAGCCTAGACAGTATTTATTGCGGTCAAGTGTGCAGGTGGGCCGGGATTACTTGATGGTCGCACTCTTCATTATTCCAGACCGCATCCCATATGCTAGGCTTTTTGGTAATGTAACCCTTGCCCCGGAATTATACGAGGTAGAGGATGCAGCCATTTTGCTGGGTGACTAGGAATAATAAGCTTGGTGAGCTTGTGTTACGACAAGAGATCCCGGATTGTGAGGGCCAACCGAGCAGAAGTTCGCATCAGACGGTCCGTGGTCACTGCTGCACGTTAACTTGACGCCTTCTCGGTGCTAGTCACCCACAGCTGAACATCCCTGTCAGAGTTGGAAACTTTCGATTCCTGGTATCACGTAGATTGGACAAGGGGAGCTCGAACCAGAGCAGGGCATTTTGGAGTAGGGATCTAAGGGATATGGATAGCGTAGATGCTCAAGAAAAGGTGGGAAGATGTCGCTGTCCATCTGCCGTCGTTCTCTCTAGCTTCAGAAGGGATGGATTAGTCAGGGATCACTAAGCAAGGGCTCCGAGAGACGAGGCGAGGTCGGACAATCGGAGTTTCAGTGCTTGGCGTGGCCTAAGTTAAACGTGGTTAAAGCAGCCACGAGCAGCCTTGCGGTTGCCAGCGAGTTGTTGGATTCGGCGCCAAAGCTGGGAAATTTCGCAGAGCTGCATCACCGTTGCCTTCAACCCATTCCATCCCATTTTACACAGGCATTTTCAGCGCAGCTATTTCCGGGATTTGCTGCTAGTTGCAGACTCTAGGTTCTATTACGACGTCCTCGACCTCTCGCTATTCTTGCGCAGCCCCAGTTGCCGTCCCCAGACACTTAAACCAACATGAAGACATCGACGATTGTCTCACTATCCGTGGGAACAGTTGTAACCGGACTACTTGGTCAGTTGACGCATGAAGGATATCCTCCGCTCTCAAATGGTCACAATTAACAAGACGACAGCATATGCAGTGTATTTCGACTACAAGCGAAGAAATGATCCCGACTTCCGAAAAGCTCTGAAGAAAGAATCCCGGAGACAAGCCAGGATAGCAAAAGAAGAGGCCGAGGTACAAGGCAAGAGACAGAAGGAAGAGATCAAGCAGGCTGTGCAAGAAGCCATCGAGGAGGGCTTCCCTACAGACGTCGAAGAGAAGGAGGCATTCTTCATGCAACAAATAGCACAGGGCGAGGCATTGGCCGGAGATGGTTTGAACACCTTTTTAACCTACCAGCGATATGATGGCTTATCAACCTTAGGTTCCGATCCTGTTGGTGCCGCTCTCTGCTTCTACAAGGGCCTCAAGGTCTACCCCGAACCCTCTTCGCTTGTCCGCATCTACGATAATACCGTACCGAAAGAAATCCTCGAAATCCTCGCAGTCATGGTCGCCCAAGACAAGAGTCTCAAAGTGGGAGATTTTGGCGTCAGCAGCGAAGGAGCTTCCGACAGTGGACATGGAGTTGAATGAGCGCATGTGCTTTGACGAACAACAACCTTTGTACCAACAAAATTTAATCCTTCATCATGCGGATGGGCGCCCTTTTTCCCGGACCCTACCCTCTCTGTACCTCGCCTCTCTGTACGACTGTTGCATACCAGCGCCGGGTTGATATGCGAGCTTTAATTTGAAAGATAAATTTTGCTTGGACATAAATTCAGTGGTCACTCGACTAGTGGTCTCTTTCAATCAAAAGCTTTGAATGATACACGGATATCGGCGCAGTCTCCATGTCTTTCCACGAGCGCTCTGTTTCCTTTGTCGCAGCGGCTGTTGAAGATCTTAATAGGGCCTGTCGAGAACGCGCTTTGCTGACATCATCCTACAGTCGTCTCAGGAGCGTACTGTCAGTTCCGGACAGGCACCAAACGCTGATTGACGGCAGGGTAAACAATCACACCGTTTCCAGCTTCCACCATGTTGCGTCCTCCACCAAACGTGCGACGCATGCCATGGTTCTAGAAGGAATCCGGCTCCTCCATCCTAGCTACTCACGATGCGGACTTTCAGCCAAAAGCTAGGTTGACTGCAAGCAAGCTTAGCATGTTAAGGATGAGTCCTGTGCAATGTCTTTACTAAATCTAGATCGCCAGTTCTGCAGCAGCGGAACTAGGACAGGACCTGACCGTTGCTCACCGAATAGTACCGCATTTTTGATGGGAAGGCGATCGTCGCACATTTCCGGGAGTCGCTGTCACAATGAGTATCCAGCGGATACCTCCGATTCGATCTCGGCCAGGGATGCCAACTCCTGGCCTTTGTGGAAACTAGTTAGCAACTCGAGATATCTACTTCTTTCCTTTGTCAATCAAGGCGTGTCAAAAGGCGCGTCGTACTGAGTCCTTCTTGTGTCAACTTTCTCAGTATCAACTTGAGCATACATTTCACTTCCAATAACAGGACAGTGAGACTTCGGACGCTGTTTTTAAGCCATACTACAACTTGACCAACGCAACGTTCATATCCTGTAACAACACCGTCAGTGAGCAATTTTCTTGCATCAAAGCGATCTGGAGCGTTCGGAAATGTCGAAACAGTGGCCTCACCCACTGGACCCATTGACACCCGAAGAAATTTACCAAGTACGCATCATGCACCATCTTGTTGGTTCGAGCAACAACTGACTTCCAGGTTGCGGATCGTGTGCGAGATGCGTTTCCGGGAAAGGATGCTTACTTTCGTGTCATCACTCTGTCAGAACCACCAAAGGTGGAAATGATACCCTTTCTGGAAGCAGAACATGGTGGTCAACAACCAACTTCAATACCAGCACGTCTTGCTCTGGTGCAGACATTCCTGGGTCCGAAGGACAGCAGTCATTTTTACCAACTCAAAGTGGACGTCAACTCGGGCAATATTGTAGAACAGAAGCAACTGATTGGCTGCCATCCTCACGTCGACGCCAATGACATGCAAAAGGTCGAACGAGAATGCCTGAATGATCCTCAAGTGCAGAGTGCCATAAGAGATATGCAGCTTCCAGATGGTGCTCAAGTGAAGATCGAGCCATGGACCTATGCTACTGATGGTATGAACGACATGAGCCAGAAAATCACGATGTGCTACTTCTACATGAAGCTTATCGACCATCCCGATGCAAATCATTATGCTTATCCATTGGACCTCTGTGTTGAGATGTCTGGAGATGCTCAAGTAATGAAAATCTTCTACTTGCCTTTCGGAACGTCCAACGACATCAGCACCGCAGCCCAGGCTTACGACAAGAAGAAGATTCATGGTTCGGAAATCGAGTACCATCCCGACCTGGTCAATAATCATCGAACCACAACAAAGCCATATCATGTATCCCAACCAGAGGGTCCATCCTTTGAGGCACAGGGAAATTTGCTGCAGTGGGAAAAGTGGAGGTTCCGTGTTGGCTTTAACTACCGAGAAGGCCTTACTCTGCACGACGTGAGGTATGATGGGCGTAGTCTCTTCTACAGACTGTCTTTGTCAGAGATGTTTGTCCCATACGGGGATCCTCGAATGCCGTATGCTCGCAAGGCAGCATTTGACCTAGGAAATGATGGGGCCGGCCACTGTGCGAACAATCTTCAGCTTGGCTGCGATTGTCTAGGTCATATCAAGTACTACGACGGCTGGCATACCACAAGCGATGGAGAGCCGATCAAGATCCCAAACGCCGTTTGCTGTCACGAAGCCGACGACGGGATTCTCTGGAAACATACAAACTTCCGAACAGGCCATGCCGTTGTCACTCGCTCAAGAATATTGATATTACAAACCATCATCACAGTCAGCAATTACGAGTACATCTTCGCATTCCAGTTTGGTCAGGACGCCTCGTTGAATTACGAGGTTCGCGCCACAGGGATCGTATCCACCGTGCCAATTAGCATTGGCGATAAAGTACCTTTCGGCACGACTGTTGCCCCAGGTGTGATGGCTCCGTATCATCAGCACTTGTTCTCGCTACGCATTGACCCTGCAGTCGCAGGATATAAAAACTCGCTTGTCGTGGAGGAGTCGCGTCCAATGCCCATACAAGACCCTAATATACACAATCCATTTGGTATTGGTTATACGACGGAGTCGCAGATCGTGCAGAATGAATGCGGGCTTGACCTCGACCACTCCGTCAACCGTGTGTTCAAGATCGTCAACGAGGATGTGATCAATCCTGTTACAGGCGGTCCGGTGGGGTACAAGCTCGCACCGTGCTATAGCCAACTCCTTCTGGCGCACCCTTCGTCGTATCACGCGAAGCGATCCGAGTTTGGCGCTCATGCAGTTTGGGTCACGCGACATGACGACGAAGAGCTGTTTGCCGCCGGACAGCATACTATGCAATCGATGGGCGGGCAAGGCATTGCGTCCTGGATCAAAAGTCGGCAGGAGGAGAAGCAAGCCAGCAGTGTGAGAAACGAGGATATAGTCATTTGGCACACATTTGGCTCGACCCATAACCCGCGAGTGGAAGACTGGCCGGTCATGCCGGTCGACAAGATGGCTGTCGGGTTGAAGCCGGTCAATTTCTTCACCGCGAATCCGGCAATGGATGTGCCCATGTCAACGCAGGAGAAGAATCAGAGTGTGCTCGTTGATGGGGTGGCGCCGGTGCCGATGAATGGACACTGCGCATAGACAAATCCTGCTCGGGAGAAAAGAATACATAGACGTCCAGCATTTTGGTAATACCGTATATATTTTAGATACGTAGCGGACTGGACACCTTGGTAAGACCTAACATATACATGCTCACGGCCGTTAGAATAGAAGACAGGACAGCCACGAGAATTAGTTGAATGGCATTCCTTCTCTGAACTCCGGCTCTGATATCGCCGTACCAAAGCCGTTCACCGGCGTCCCGACGGGCGACCCTCAGACCAGGCAGGCCGTCCAAAGACCGCACGTTCATCTTCGCGCGGTAGTCATCCATCTCGCCGGCGGAAATGCGCTTGCCTGCCCAGTGGCCCAGCGTGTGGCGGTCTTCGAGACATGCAATATGCTTCTCTGCAGCTACCGGGTCAGGTCTGGTGGCCAGATACGGTACGGCATAGCCACAGGACGTTTGTGCCTGACGGCCATATCAGACCGAGAAGTTCAGTATACTTGGGGGAGGGGGGCCAAAACGGAGCCCACCTTGAAAACGTCAAGGATTATAACAGCCCTTGCGCCAGTCACGTTCTTATTGCCCATCCGCTGAAGCCAGCCGTCAAAGCCCGGTTCATCCCAGCCGACCACCCTTCCGGTGCAGAAGAAGCGCATGATGCGCGGACTGGCTTCGAAGGAGCAAAACATGACGGTGCATCGGCCATTTTCTTGGATATGGGAAATGGTTTCGATGCCTGAACCGGTGGCATCGACGTAGGCGCACAGATTGGGGGTCAGAATGCAAAATGAAGATGATGGGAGGCCCTTGGGGGAGAGGTTGATATGTTTGCCTCGCAGGGGGGCTGAAGCGACAAAGAAGACTTGTTGCTTCATGGCCCATTCGGCCAGGTCGGGCTCAATGGAAGTGTAGAAGTTGACCATGATTGCTGGTGATGGTCAAGACGGCACTGTGGCGGGCAGGCCAGCTTCAGTTGTCGCAGCCTACAATACTAGTTTCACGAAGACGGTATGATGATGGAGATACTCCGTGAAGACACTCACAGGAGAGTTGGTTTCCTAGGTACTCGGATAGATAAGGTAAGCAGGAATCAAGATATCCTTAGATAGGTCTGGATGGAGTCTTTCGTCCGTTTTTGGATACCTAGGTAAGGACTCCGTATCTTTTCTTGGTTCGAGGTTGGGGAGCTCCGAGTCTCTCCGCTCGCACATTCTTCTCCGCACGAATTTTCGAAGGTGTGAAGTCCATCAAGAACCCAAAAATGGAAAGAAAACAATTACTAGTTAGTATCTCAAGCAGCAAAAAGTTGGTCGCAAGACAAGCCTGGAACTTCGCATATCTTGTCACGGTGTAATCTCACGCCGCCAACTCCGGGTGGAGATGTCTCTGCAGAATTGCTTCCCTCAAGTGTCATCTCCATTGCTTAGCATCCCGTAGCGATCGTGGTCTACACACACGAGTACGATGGACGACCCGAAGCTCCGAGTGAGGCACACATGAACAAGTGGTGTGTGAAGCGACGCCCAAGGCTCAAACGCAACCTCCTAACTTTATGACCACGACAGCCAAATGTCAAGAGCTGCTTTGAAAAATATATACCTTGATTCTATTACATAGTGAAAAGGTGGATAATTACCAAGCCACTAATGGACTAAATTAGTTTGGCTTCACTCCATCACTCCAAGCACTGACATACTCCTCGCAGTACCTCCTCGCTCGCTCTAAACGGAGAAGTTCCCGAGCCTGACGACAAGCTGAGTAATAATTGACGAAGTTGGCGAGCTAAGCGATCGTTCGCAAGAGAAACGATTTGTAAAGGGTGACCTACTCGGTAGGTGCGCTGGTTCAGTTCCGCCGGCTCCCAAATTCGGGCGGAAATACTCCGATTCCATTGCGGCTGCCCCTCCATAGCTTACACGTTGCCCCTCCATCATCCCCATGGTACCAGTACCTACCTGCTAGGATATCGACGGCTCCGGAAGGGCAAGAAACAAGTCGAAACTCACGATGTCTGCCGGTCTTGTGCCCTAGCAGCATTCCTGATCAGTAAACTTGACCTACTTAGTTAGTTAGCAACTCCCGGGCCAAATGTCTCTCCGCATCACATCAGCACCGTTTCTCTTGCGGCCGAAACGTGAAGACTGGGTCATCCCGGCTGTTGCAAGAAATGGATGCAAGCTACCTATCTAAGGTACCTATCTAGATACAAGCCTTCTTCTTTACGAGGATGGTCAGGTTGAGCTCTTTGGAGACTTGTGTAGAGATGTGAGATCGCGCTAGTAATCAGTGGTCTGTAATCAAAGTTTCATCCAGCTGCTTGTACCGTTCGACCGTGCCTGTGTATAGCGGTCCTCGTTTCCGTACGTTCTGGATGGCAGCTGTATCCTCTTTCTTTTACTTTTCCGCTAGTTCCGTCCTTCTCATCTCGAACTCTGTCTAATATCCGATCAGCGGCTGAGCGGCCGCACACATTTTACATTACCAGGTAACCATGAAGATGACCCGATGAGTGACCTGAACAAGAGCTAATCGGCCAGATACCCCTCATTCGGGTGATTGCCACAGCATCAGAAGATCCATCTGTCTTGTTCCCATCCACCAATCTCGCACTTCGAATCGAATCCTCTGACCCTTCGAACCGTCTCCTTTAGTCCACCCTGCCACTCGTTGTTTTGTCTGACCCTCCATCGAACCCCGCAGTCGTTGTTCATTGTCGCCAATCGAGCTCAAGGTCTGACAGAAATCCCATCCTGCATCGACTCCTCTGCCCTGCGCCACCTGCAGCTGCCGTTCGACCAGTGGAACATCTCCCCAGAAACCCTGCTCAGTGGTTCGGTCCATAGGAAAGCGAAGCTTCTTGTGGATATCGATGCCCAGGGTGTCATGTCAGTTGGACTCTGCGCTCACCTTTCCCCGCGCATCAAAGATTTCAAATAAATAGAAGTCTCGCCCTCGGTTGATCGTCTGTTCCTCTTCTTCTGTTTATCCACAACTCCAGAGGACTCTTTAATTCATCGTGATACCCCTGCAAAAGTCGTTCTCATCATACTCAATACCGCAAATATGTCGTTGTTCACCAAGATCGAGACCCCCAGCATCACCTATGATCAACCGACCGGCTTGTACATTGATGGCAAGTGGGTGAAGGGTACCGAGGGCAAGACCTTCGAGACCGTCAACCCCACCAACGAGAAGCCCATCGTCGCTGTCCACGAAGCTGGCCCAGAGGGTATGTTCTCCTCATCTGCCGCATGCTACAGTTACTAATACTGCTACAGATGTCGACATCGCCGTCAAGGCCGCCCGGAAAGCCCTCAATGGCGTCTGGGGCCAGACGCTCCCCTCTGCCCGAGGTCAAGTGCTGACCAAGCTCGGTGACCTCTTCGACGAATACTCCGACACCCTCGCTGCCATCGAGTCTCTCGATAACGGCAAGGCTCTTTCTATGGCCAAGGTCGACGTCCAGTTGTCCTCCGGCTGCCTCAGATATTATGGTGGATGGGCAGACAAGATCCACGGAAAGACCATCGACACCGACCCAGAGACCTTCAACTACACAAGACACGAGCCAGTTGGTGTTTGCGGTCAGATTATTCCGTGGAACTTCCCTCTGCTTATGTGGGCATGGAAGATCGGACCTGCTCTGGCCACTGGCAACACTGTCGTCCTGAAGACTGCTGAGCAGACGCCGCTGTCCGGTCTGTTTGCCGCCACCCTCTGCGAGAAGGCTGGTATCCCCGCTGGTGTCGTCAACATCATCTCTGGATTTGGTAAGACTGCTGGTGCAGCCATTGCCTCTCACATGGACATCGACAAGGTCGCCTTCACTGGCTCGACCGTCGTTGGCCGAACCATCCTCCAAGCCGCAGCCAAGTCCAACCTGAAGAAGGTCACCCTTGAGCTCGGCGGCAAGTCTCCCAACATTGTTTTCAACGATGCCAACATTGAGGACGCGATCTCGTGGGTCAACTTCGGTATCTTCTTCAACCACGGCCAGTGCTGCTGTGCTGGCTCCAGAATCTACGTCCAATCCGGCATCTACGACAAGTTCATCGAGGCATTCAGGGCCCGAACAGCCAAGAACGTTGTCGGTGACCCATTCAAGCAAGACACCTTCCAGGGCCCTCAAGTCAGCAAGCTTCAATTCGACCGCATTATGAGCTACATCCAATCCGGCAAGGAGGCTGGCGCCAAGGTCGAGCATGGTGGTGAGCGTCACGGTGACGAGGGCTACTTCATTCAGCCCACCATCTTCTCCAATGTCAGCCCAGATATGAAGATTATGCAAGAGGAGATCTTCGGACCTGTCTGCACCATCAGCAAGTTCGAGACCGAAGATGAGGTTATCAAGGCTGGTAACGAGACCACCTATGGTCTTGCCGCTGCCGTTCACACCCAAGATCTCAACACGGCCCTTCGTGTGGCCAACTCGCTCAAGGCCGGTACCGTCTGGGTCAACAACTACAACATGCTCAGCTACCAAGTGCCCTTCGGTGGCTTCAAGGAGTCCGGTCTTGGTCGCGAGCTCGGCAAGTACGCTCTGTCCAACTATACACAAGTCAAGTCCGTCCGTGTCCGACTTGGTGGTGCTCTTTTCGGTTAAACATCCCGAAGAGGATAAAATCGAAAAACCACAATTTAAAAAAAGTCGAACATATGCAAGGAACCAAAGCACCGAAGATGTTGATGACTTGATTGTCTTGCATCTCCACTGGTGCTGGCGCGCTGGGGGCAAAAATGTAGCTTCGACTCCGGGCGTCGGTAACTCAGTCTAGCGCTTTTTGGTCTTCAGATTTTATGTATAGGTTAATGAGATATGAAGAAACAAAACATAAATGTCCGTGTTCAACTCAATTACCTTCGGGTACTTAAGGTAGGTAACGTAGTCACGTTTCTTCTGTCAAAAGAGCAACATACTGTGGTAAATTCCGACCAATCTCGACCGAGAGAAAAGGGCGATCACGTGGTATGTTGCATTTCAACTGTCGATTACCTCCGTATATCATCGAAATCCGTGATATCAAGATCGACCTCCGGAGCTACGGGCACCTGGTACCTTCTCGCTTCCTGTACTCGTATCTACAAGTACAACTTTTTAGTTTCAACCTCACCCACTCGTGTCGTACTTGCACTTGCACTTGCACGTTCGTTGGTTCCATTGTGAATTGGTCATGCTTACATGAACCCTCCTCCTAGCCTCGCATGCAGCTGGTTGTCTGGTCATTTTCCTTGATAAAGTTCCGAATCGCCGTATGAGGCGGTACTTTTGGGTTTTGTCGAGTCTGAGTCTGAGTTTGACTATTCTTATGGTGGCGATTGCTCTGGCATCGGTTCTGAGAAGCCATATCACCGGTCTTGCCGCGTCAATGTTGAACGTTGCGTATAGTCTCTCGGGGAATTTACCTGGTGTTTTCGGTCGGCAAAAGGCGGCGTTGGCGTTCTATTCGAGTTCGAGTTCGGGGCTGTCCACTGCAGCTACAACTGCATTTGCACCAACGTCGCTATCGACCGCGTCAAGAATATCGCAAGCGCAGGTTTCGTCGAGTGGCGCTGAGAGGTCGAGCAAGTCGATCTCGACAATGACCACGCCCGAACAAAACGGCGCCATGCCGGAACCACCGCTAGACAGCACGCAGGCGGCAAAACAGCCTGAGCTGCCGAAACTCTCGGCTGAGCAGTTTCGAGTGTACAATCGGCTGGCTGTTATGATGAATCAGTATGTAAGTATCTCCATTCTTTCTTTGTTACACTTCGGTGCAGCTGTGGTGGGGAGCCCATTGAAACCGACAACATCGAATCGGTCGTCATGCTGCTTGCCAGACCTTGCGTTCAGCGCTTCTCGCATACTGTATCTTCATTGCTAACGCCAACCCTTTTCTAGCACAACCATTTCCGGTATACCTGGAACATGCTGTACAAGACCTGCACATCCGGCAGCCGGCCAGCGAGTATGTCGATCCGGGGCTTCATCTCCCAGGGCCTGCATCTGTGCCAGGCACTCACGATCCACCACACGATTGAGGAACGACATGTGTTTCCCGAGCTCGCCGAACGGATGCCGCTCTTCCGCGAGAACGATCATCTGATCGCGCAGCATGAACTGATCCATGAAGGCCTGGTCAAGATGGAGAATTACTTGGACGCTTGTCGGACCGGAGAGAGGGAGTTGAGGCTCCCCGAGTTGAAGGAAGTGATGGATAGTTTCGGTGAGGTGCTGTGGACACATCTGGATGATGAGGTCGAGCAGTTGGGCGCGGAGAACATGAGGAAGTATTGGACTAAGGAGGAGATATTGTCGATGAACTGGTAGATTTCTGGTCAATTGTTGGGCTACGCCAAGGAGTCATGGCAGTGGGTTGGGTTCCGATCATATGCTGAGCGGAGATATCGTTGCCTAGAGGGCGCGATCCTGTTGTCAAGGCGTTTGGTAGATATGTTTTAGATCTTAAGAATGATACACTTTGGCTCGGCTAGTCGGCCCAGACGAGAGCTGGCCGCAACCCAGCTTCATCATAGTAATCCGCTTGCAACAAGACCCATGTTCAGCCTCGAAGGGCCGCCAGAAATATGCGTGCGCTGGACTTCATACTTCGTCCCTTTCCAAAAAGCCCGGGTCGTTCTGGACTTTCCTTTCGAACTTTGACCACCAGTCTTGAAAACTTTTCAGTGGCACGACCTCGATGCCATTGGCAGTATTGCCGGCAAAGCTGGCTAGGAAGTTGAAGGCGTTCTTGATGATCCGTTGCGCAAGGACCCGAGTGTCCGGAGGTCGTTTAGCAACGACCATAGCACCGGAGGAGGAAGATGACGAAGAGTCTTGTTGCAGCTGAGCCATCTGTGCTTGAATGTTCTGCACAGGCTCGACGGAAAGGCCCAAGTTGACCTGCTGTCCGGGTGCCAACATCGCCTCCGGAATATTGACCCGGAACAAGGCCGAGGGCTTTTCATTGCCGATGGCGCCGAAAAACTTGAAGCCTTGCTCGCCTGGCAGTTGCATGTAGACTCCGGCAGCCGTGCCCGGTGGTAGCTCTTGGTTCGGGTGCATGAAAACGCCCACGTTGTGGAACTGGGGAGACGCAGGGAATGATATCGCAAATTGCGTCGGAGATATTGTGCTCATTTCCGGGATCACCGGACGTGATGGGATGAAGACGCCGAACATGGTGTGTGTGTGTGTGAGGTGTGGGAGTTTGAAGGCCCGTAAGTATGGATATGCTGATGCTGGTCTGTGTACGGTGTACGGAGAAGTGCACCAAATGTAGTTGCCGCGCTAAAGTTGAATGACGAGGACGTCAAAAGACCATGTATTTTCTTTTCCGTCGCTCCGGACAACTGTCCCCGGAGATATCGGAGCTCGTAGCTTTACCCTTAATACTCGCCTAGTCCTTATCTCTAAGCTACCTAAAGTAAATTATCTTTAGTTAAGACTTTAGTTAAAGTATGACTATTCTCGAAGATATCGAAGCTTATTACTTTATCTCTAATACTCGCTTAATCTTTTCCTTAAGCTACCTAAAGTAAATTATCTTTAGTTAAAACTTTAGTTAAAACTTTAGTTAAGGCCGCCTAGAACAAGAGAAAATTAGCTGTCAGGTTGTGATCCTTCGTCATTCAACTTTAGCGCGGCAACTACATTTGGTGCACGTCTCCGTACGTGCGAAGAATATAGCTTGCCTTGGCTGATCGATTGGGTTTCGATGATGGTTTCCCCCGGGGAACAACTACCTGTAAGCAGGTCAGGGGGCCGCACAAGGACCTCGTTTGTTCGCGTACGTGGACAGGTCGGAGCAGGAGATTTGTTACCACAAAATATAGGCACGAGAGCATGGACCACAGGAGGGTGCTTAAGATACCTTAGGTCTGATGATTACATAAGACTGACTCTCACGTGATCATTCCATGAGCCCAATCCGTCATTCTAGGGGTTAAGGACTTTGAAATGACGCCCAGATTGCTCCGTAATCGTCCGGTATTCAGCAGCGAATCTGCACCTGGTAAGCAGTACTAGTACTATGTATTGCCACACCCGTCAACTTCGGCTCAGCCTCAGCGTGAGCTGCTCAGCTTGCTCAGGCCGCTGCTCACCCTCCTCATCCTTCTCATCAGCCGTTTCACTACTATATAGTTAGGATGGACACCCCTCTGGAGTCCATCGTAGTCAACTTCGTTATCATCCCTACCCATACCTTTAATTAACCAACACCTGATATGCCAGACCTGTCTGCTATCCGCAGTTGATAGTTCTAGCATTGACCCAAGGCTCCCCCTTATCAAGAGAACGATAAGGTCTGACACACCCTCACGGTACCAGGTCTTAACACGCTGGGGGATACATCAGCAGTGGGCGGCACTGCAGTCCCCGTCACCTAGTCATTTTAGCCGCCGCGGTAAAAAGGAGGACACAACGGTTGCTCCGACGTAAAAATGGCTACTCACTAGATTCCTCTCACCGCTCCATGAAATCTCCTGCTTATGGCATCCGCCACCTCGGCCATGCAGGTCCGAGGATCTGGGTCCCTTTCTCTGCTGTCCCTCTGGAGGGCCTCCAGTTCGGACGAGAGCCACTTGGACAGCAGACGCAACTCCAGACACCTATCAACCCCAGGATTTCGATCCGCCTCCGAGGCCGGCTCTTCGCAGACGCGGTAGTTTCGAACGACTGAGGATTTTAGTGGGAGTTTCCAGTGTCGCCGATGCCTCTTGTTGCCCTGTTCACACCGGCAGTTTGCGATCGAGTCTACCCCCGGGAAGGATGACGTGAGTGCTTTGCATGACGGGTACCACTTCATACCATTTATGACACTGACCGTCCAGTGTATGGTCTCCTTGGAGTCCATTGCGTTGACACTTGGCTCTTTGATGTTTTCGAAGGCGGTTGTTGTCCAGAAATGCCGACGTGGTTTCCGGTGTTTCTTTCCTGCGATGCGAAACATTGGTGTCATCGAGTCAGGTCCAATGATTTCGGGACGTACTACCGTAGCTTAATTGTCAGCCATTACGGAATCCAGAGTAGCTCTAAAAAGGAGATACTTGTGGACATTGGAAATGGAAAGGACGATTCGAAGATAAGAGTCGTCTCACAGATAGATGAGCCACCACTGTCAGGTTCTTCATGGAATTTCCAGCTTGACTTTGTTGGTAGAGGGCTAGAAAAGTTGGCGACCTCAAACTCCAGAAAAGGTTGAAGCCTTGCAATCATCCACGCGAGTGAAATATGACTAAGGCCCTGAGACTTCCTTCCGCCACCAATATCGCTGTGGTATCCTACAAACCAGCACTGTCGTAATCTTCGACTCTTGTTTATAAGTGTTCCTTCGGTATCAGATATCCTCCAGACAAGCGGCAGAAAAGGCCTACGACGTTCGTGGAGGGAAAGTGCATGTACCGCATTTTCGATTTCGTTGCCCAGTTCCGAGTTGACAAAGGCGAACTCGCTGGGAACCCGTATCGGCTGGATTGCAAGAAGGGGCGTATTGATTGCCGCAACTGTATCCCATAGCGCGCAGACCTTGATGGGAACGTCGCGGAGTAGATACGTGCTGTGTTGCAACAAAAATGTGAAAAGGGCATCCTTGTCATTTGGATCCACATCTTTCAGGCTTGGAACAACTTCTGAGACAGCAACTTGCTCATCACCGGTTGGGGGAGTATCTTCAAAGTCAACTTGCACCAAATCGGGATCATGTCGTGGGTACAGGCGCCCTTTGCTTGCTTTCCATTTTTCAAAGACGAGGTTGACAAGATGGGTGGCAGCTTTTGTGAGCACCCCGATTCTGCCCACCATATCAGCCACACATCTCATAATGAATGTGCCCCTGGAGAATCCCAGGAGGATTATCTGATCGCCATTGTTGTGGCTATAGTTGTCGCAAATAATGGTGTAACCTGCTTTGATCCTGTCTTCGATACCTATACATCACAAGTTAGAAGGTACCAGGAGCAGCGTCGAGGCTTTCAAGCCAGTTTGAAGAGGGCTCCCAGAATTCCGAAAAAGAAACTGCATCGGAGCCATCGCTATCACTATGGCGGATTGGTCGGGATGCCCACCTTTGGCATTGGCCTGGTGCAGTCTATCTGTGTGGAAGCCCTCTGCGCCAATCCCTTGGACATAAAAAGTTGATTGACGGGTGTTATCGCTGGTTATGGCCCTGACGTAACGCTTGATCCGTGATACGTTTGTAGGTCGTTTGTCGAGGTTATATTCTGATTGGCCGGTCCCGTCAGAATATATCACGATCCTGCTGGGCTGTTGAGACATCGTGTCGAGTCTCTTGGTCGGTCCAAACGTGAATGGAGAGGAGATTGTGAGAGTTCCATGACGCGGTAATTATGATCCCCTTCGAAAGGGAGAATCAGCCACCAAATTTTGCAGGAAGGGATACCAAACTTGCTTCCGCTACGGCTTCAGCCATTCACATGGGGTGCACTCGTCGAAACCGCGAAACCAGAGACATCAGCTCGACGGGGTGCCCGCAGGCCGCAGCCCAACATTCACCTCCCGGCTTTCAGCCTGACAGCCGCATGCAGGCTGGAGCGGGTTGGCGTACAACCCATGCCAATCAGGTTACCTGAAGAGGGCATGGTGGATCGTAGCAGTCGGGCGCTGATGGCCAGGCTCGTCAGGGTACGAGAATGTGCGTGACTGGACCAAAGTGGCTTTTCAATAGTTTTCACGTAGTCGTTGCTTAACGCAGCCGCGAGCAGCGCAGCGACACGTGTATCCCATTATTTGGATCAGATCAGGATTACCCCGCCCTCTCAACCCAGCCATGGTGCTGTTAGGCTGGTGAGGCTTTGGCACCCTGCTTGTTTAGGCCAGCTTCCCAGGCTTCAGGCTGCAGCCAGTGGAGGCGTAGACAACTACGCTCGAAAATGTCGTCCGTTAGTCTGTACGCATTGCTCGAACCAGGGAAACTTACGAAATGATCTATTCAAGGGTGATGGACTGTCCGCACTACAACAATTCAGCAAGTTGTAAGTTGGCGAGATAGATCCTCCAGTACTGGCATATGTAGTAAGATGAGTAGGCACTGCTTGATCCGTTTAGAGTTATCGTTGCACTTTTGCTCGGTTGATCCCGAATCCAAATCTGACCTTATTGGCACCTCCACCCCGTGTTAGGCTGTGCTGCCTGGCTGTCCTCGTATCTCTGCGAACGGATGACGAAAAAAAGAAAATGTGAGACTCAAGGCCACATCTCCGTCACATTTTATCTATCCATCGACCTCGCCAGCCCAAAAATCATGGTGGTTATTACACCCTACCCTTCAGCCTATACCTTCCAGTAATACCAGACTTACAGGACTGCAGAAATGCAAAGCGCCGAGCTTTACACTCCTGGTGGTGCGTTTGTGCGTTCGGGAAGAGGCTACCACCAATTGTTCGGAGAGCCGGATGCCGGCCTGAGGTGAGTTTCACCGTGAGCAACGAAATGAAGAATGAGGATCAACGCGGTGGCTGTCCTATGTCACAATGTCGGGGGGTTTTAGTAGAGGGACAGACTTTCTCATTATACCGTCGTTATTCTTGTCTAGTAAACAGGTATACCTGGAAGCTGCACCTTACCTTTTGGTCTTATGCGGATATGCAATCAGTGTTCTCTTGCTTGCTGTGCTAATCTCATATCTCAGGCTAACGATATCAGGTTTGTAGTACTACACGACTATGTCATCTCTGTTACTCCCTTGCAACCAAAAATAATGAAGCAGAACCCTGTGACATCGTTCAAGCAAATTTCAGCAGCGCAGGCTCGATTGCAGCGACGGTCCGGTATCCATGAATTTGAGGAATTCTTTCGCTCCCTTGTGGACAAGATACCTAATAGCGGCGGTGTCGCACTTCCGTATATCAACCCACCCATCAGCTCAATACACAGAATCCTCTCCCAGACTGAACTCGAAAACCATACAAACCGTCTTCTAGACTTCCTAGGCCGAGGTGAACTTGCTTCCAGGCATGAGATACTTGTTGGACACGGTTATGGGGGGTTGATTTGTGAACAGGCCTTTATGCGGCTACAAACCGACTCGGCGAGCCCAACCAGGGCCCGAGCGAAGAAACAATTGCGCGGGATGCTTCTTTTCAACACACCACATTTCCGAGCCGGGTTGGCGCAGTGGACTTTTTTGACTGCGAAAGAACTCAATCTCAGCACGGCGAGGAGCAGGCAGGATCAAGATTGGTCAGCTTGCTTGGATGATTTCATCAAAATATCCAAGATGCAAGCTAACTTTGCCGATATCTTCCAGCAACCAGAAAGCCAGGTCAGACTTGCGTGCTGTTTTGCAAAGCAACCTGATCCGGTGACCAAACTCGTGAGTTGTTTCTTGCCGCATCATCTCTGTTTTTCGTAAGGTGACAAGTCTGACTTGCAATAGCTCCTATCTCCAGAGTTTTGCTGCCTTCCTACTGTCGAAGCAATCGAAATACATGACTCGAGCCATTTTTGTATAAGCACAGCAAAAGAGGATCTTACGTACATCATCGAGAGACTGGCGGACTGGGCTAAAGCAATACAAGAGGGGGAAAAGCTCACACATGATCTACTCCCACTGCGATCCCTAGCTGGTTCGTCGCGGTCTAATGATCCCGCTTGGCAGTGGGACCCAAAGTCGGCCTATCGTTACTTCATTCTGAGCTGGAAGGAAGAACCGAATATCCCTGCTGTGAGCCCTGCGTTGGGCGACATTGTCAAGGAAATATGGTCGCCGAGTTCGAGAAAGCCACCAATTGCAAGGCGAGATGATGTCGTGCCTTCCCAGTACAAAGAACTAATTGACTTCGGGGTGTCGCACATCATCAAGAATGACTTTAAGTACTGGAAGTATCTTCTGAATCCTGACATTGAGGGCGCGGGTTACAGGGTCGTGGTCAGGGAGGAGTGGTCGAAAGATCGCACAGTCGAGTACGTGAAGGCTGCCCTGCAGTTAAAGGCTGTGAGAGAAAGCCTAAAGGTTGGAGAGTTCAAATTCTACGTCGTAACTGGGGTGATCTATGGCAGCAAAGATCCTGACGGCATTACGACCGAGCGGTCGGCGGCTTTGGGATACCGATGCCAGAAAGCTTCGGTGGTGCAGCTGTTCGAAGCACCGACGATCAGCACAAGGCTTGTTATTGAGCAGGTTGAGGTACGCTCAACCATTACGGAAGAACCGATATCAGAGATCGAGGTTGGGTCATCACGAGCTCCACTTACTGAAATGGAATCCAAAGCCTGGAAATCAGAAGATCCAAGAACCAAGAAGAAGCCTCCGAGACGTGGCATCAGGAAGGCAGTCGCGCAGTTGGGTGATCGAGCTGGAAATGCTGCAAATGTGATATCAATCATGGGCAGGCGCGCACTGGCCGAGATAAGCTGATCTGCGTAACGGAAAAACAGAGAAACAGGGCGACAGGGAGTGTGACGGGACACCTCCTGGAGACTGCGGTTTTGAATATCATGTTTGCAACGCTTGAGTTGATGAAATTGTAGTACGAGGGACTACAAACAAGGATGGCGGCGCGAGTGTCAGAGACACGTGGTATGGACCCCGCTGCAGACTGACGGCCTTCCTCAGGTTGCTGAACACACGCCTCAGGGGGCGCTCAGGATCGCACAGCCACAGCTCAAGATCGCTCACTCAGGATTCACGCAAAGCAGCAATGTGCTCAGGCCTGGAAGTGGATATGGATTTGGGAGAGGTCAAGATTCGCCGCTGAGTATACCGGTATTCAGCTGCGAAATCTACACATCAGCGTATTTTTTAGCACCCTATCGTACTGTAACGAACTCTATGTTTCAACCAGTCTATCTTTGTGCTGCTTCACAGAAACGGAGTTTAGGCAAGAGAGGGCTGGTTATTCAAACCGCAGAGATTGCCCTATGTTCGACTTCTTTGCTTTATCCAACATGGCCATCCCCAGCGCAATATCGCTCAGACTGAGGCCTCGATGCCAGAAAAGTATCGTCTCATCGTCGTTCTCGCGGCCAGGCTTTTGGCCACACACCACCTGGCCCATCTCACCATAGAGGCTTTCTTCTGTGATTCTCTCACTATCTACATGTTGACGGAGCGCGCCATACGGAAGCCCCTTTCTACACTGGCCCCAGTCATCAACCAAGACCTTGGACATTACATCCGTCAGGGAAAGTTCCACGGAACTCATGGTCCCGTACGGCATCACCAAGGCGCCCTTCTTGATCCACTCCGTCTTCAGCAAGGGCTCGGGCTCAGACAGACGAGACGCCTCGACTACAATGTCCGCCCCGCGGATCGTGTCCTCCCAGTTATCGAGCACCGTGACTTTCTTGCCCAGCTCTTTGGAGAGCCGATCTCCGAGGGCCTGGCGGCTTTCCTGTCGTTTCGAGTGCAGTCGGATCTCGTCAAAGTGGAAGATGCTGTCCATCAATCGGATGTTCCAGTAGGAGCTCCCTCGAGCTCCAATATGACCCAAGATCTTGCTGGACTTGCGAGCAAGGTACTTGGCTCCAATGGCCGTCATGGCCCCCGTGCGCATGTCCGTGATGGTGGTGGCGTCGATGATGGCCAGGGGCACGCCGGTCCGAGGGTCGAAGAGATTGAGGATGGCGAATTCAGAGGGAAACCCCAACTTGTAGTTGTTGACGAAATCTCCCACAATCTTGACGCCGGCCGCGTTCAACGGGTTGACCACGCCTCGCAGCACATTGAAATGCCCTTCAGCCGAGTCGCGTGGCACAAGGTGCACTCGAGGCTCGATTACAGTCTTGCCCCGGCCTTGTGCGTCGAGAGCATCTTCCACAGCTTGGAGAATCTCATCATTGGTCATCTCCAATGCGACTATATCTGGGCCGTTCAGATAGGTGAGGTATATTGGCTTCATCTTGGATATGCAGGAGGCTGCTGTAGTATCATAGAGGCAAAAGTACAGAGTTACCTTCCTGGCAGTAAAGCCGGTTTGATTTGGTGCGGTCCTGCAATAGTAGACTGACGACTTCTTTCTCTGATACACAAGGAGTCGATGGCCAAGCGGAAGGGAGGCTTCGAAATCACGCCTTATCCTCGGAACCGGGGCCGCGTACCGTGAAGGATTCAGTAGTAGTAGCAGCATACACACTCATCTGCCAGGGACCCCCCCTGACCTGAACACGCGCACTTCGCGGAGTTTGGCGTCACCCTGGAGATGTCCTTTCGGGAAGTGGCCGCGTCTCTTATCACCGGATTGCCAGTCCCAGCCCAATGTCGCCATTCTGGAAACACAAAACGCAAGCGGCACAGTATCAAAGGGATTTGCGCCCCGAGTTGGGATAAGTTCTTCTGTGGAGGTCTGGTCAATCTGGTGGCTTTGGTATGCAGGCAGGTACCTTGATATGCAGTTCCACTCGTGGCGCTGCGCTGGGTCCGGATATGTGCTATATGTCTTTTTGATCTGTCTAGCCTTCGGATCAATAAACATACCTCATGAGTGTCTAGTGTCTAGGATTAGATAATCTCATGTTTTATGGTCCCCTATCCTCGTCAACCATCAGCCCTTCAGTCTTGATCAACCAACTGTTCCGGTCATTCCAGGCACACGGATACCAGCTACAGTTTCTCTCCTGCTCAAGATGGCTATTTCAGAGACAGTGGGCGTTCCGGCACCCCATACTCGGGAACTAAATGCCTATAAACCTGCCACATTCGACCCCGAGAAACACATGAGTTACCGTACGCCTGAAGAAATCATTACGTTCGACGACCTGGGTCTCAACCCCCCTACCGCTACCTCCCCGGTCGCCATCACCACGCCCTTCCCGCTGCTCTCTGCCGACGGGGTCCGAGAACTTCGTGCGGACATCTTTCGCCGCGAGGTGGTTGGAAAGTACGGCTCCCTGAAGTATCCGGGTGTCTATCGTATCCGAGGCTATGGCCCAGATGCGCCTTTCACCTACGCTCTCTGGCGCAGCGAGGCTGTGCGGCAAGCCTGCTCGGAAGCCGCGGGCACGGAGCTCGACATCATCTACGACTACGAGATCGGACAGCTGAATGTCCAACTCCCTGCAGACGTCAATAAGGACGCGCCCATCACCGAGAATCTCCCTCCACCGGTGCCTCCCCGGAATTCCGCTCCCCTTGAAGAAGACGGCGCGCTTGCCGAGACCGAAAGTACTAGTAAGGCGCTGGTGTCTGCATGGCATAACGATTCCTACCCGTGGGTCTGCGTTTTGATGTTATCGGACCCCGTGGGCATGAAAGGAGGCGAGACCGCGCTCCGGACCGGTGACGGGTCTATCAGGAAGGTCAAGCCCCCGGGAATGGGGTACGCAGTCATGATGCAGGGAGGCTCCGTCAACCACGCCGCACTGCCGTGCCTGGGCGAGGGCGAGAGAATCACCTTCGTCACTTCGTTTAGACCCAGAGACGCTGCCGTGCGGGACTCGAGCAGCCTGAGGACGGTGAGGCCGATCAGCAACTTGGACGAACTGTACAGACAGTGGGCCAGCTATCGATTGGACGTCATGTCGCAACGCGCAGCTCTGAAGATGAAGGAGTTGGACGTGCGTGGACGCTCGGCGGATGAGATACGGCAAATGATGAGCCAATGGGTTCGAGACCAGGTGGAATACCTTGAGACTACGGTGAAGGAGATGATGTAGTCATACATCCAGACAGATCGGACTTTGAGCAATGATGTACGCATTTACCCCGTGATGACTTGGGGTCTCTCTCTTCATCCTTGATTGGTATGCACTTCTCCGCCCTTGAGGCGTACCAAACATGGTACAAGATATGATGAACATCCGCTGGACGAGACTGGGCCCGGTGAGGCCTGCATCTTGCTGTCATTCTTCACCGATGTAGTCGAAGGCACCTGGAAGAGGATACAATACAAAAGAGAAATTGAACTGGCACGTGACTGGGGAAAGAAGTTATATACCCGAATATCTATCGTTTGCTGGCTGATGAAAAGAAAAGCGGTCAGCCAGAAACTGCCATATAGGGTAGTATGGCGGCAGTAATTTTTTCTTCGTTGGTAGCGGGACGCCAGACACAGTCACAGACACCGTGTTGGCAAGGCTCCGAGGTTGGAAAGATATTCTCTAAGGTAGCCTCGCACGTTTCTCGATAGCCTCCATATCACGTGCGTCTCCGTCTAACTGTTCCCAGGATAGTAAGATACTCTCCAGCATTTTGCACGTGTTGTGTTGGTCGTCGAAGAATATGAAGCAGATGAGTTGCGCATCCCCGATGAACTGCTCTATGGGTCTGCAGAGACACTTCGGGTGACTCTTGAGGAGGTCACCAGCTGTCTAGGATCTCCTCGCAGCCAAGCAGCAGAAAGCGTGGTATCTGCAGTATCTACGACGCCCATGACAGTGACGATCGGTCGAGCGACCGAGTCACATATTTCCGCAGCTTTTCTCATCTTCACGCTTCTTCCACACTCACCTTTTCAAGCTTCGTAGGTACTTGTCCAGTCTGGCACGGTGGGTATATTCAACCTCACCTTCTCGCCTCAATTTCCAACCATGACATCCTCTCCGCGGCCTGTCTCAGCCTCCGCGACTCCTACAACCTCTCATCCCGCCCACACTCTCCTCCAGCGAGCCCACTCCCCCGACACAGCAAGCCGCATCTTCACCGACAAGGTCCGCAACAAACCACTCCTCCTGCAAACGACATCGTCCTCAGACAAAGACAAACGCGCGCTCCGCCGACACGTCCGGCTGCGCAAGAAGGAATATCACCTACGCAAGCGCAAGCCCAGGCCTCTTAGCGCGAAGGAGAAGAGGCAGCTCGGCGTGTTTGAGCTCAAGAAGGAGGAAATCAAGTATGAAATCTACCGGAAGCTGCACGAGATGTGGAACGGATATATGCTCGAAGTCCTCGGGTACACTCGAGACGGGAAGGTCAACGCGGGCGGGCTGAACAAGGCAGTGACCGCACAGGGCCATGGAAGTCTTCTTGCGAGCGCAGATTTCCACGGAGCGCTTGTCGAGGTTGTGCGTGCGAAAGACGTAGGCAAGGTTGGCAGCAAGGGCATTGTGGTTCGGGATACAAGGTATACGTTTGTCCTTGTGACCGAGCAGGACGAGGTGAAGACTGTGCCTAAGAAGGATTGCGTGTTCAGGTATGGCGTAGAGATCCCTCTGTACCAACAGACGGAGGAGCAGAAAATGGTGGAACATGACGGTGTTGCGACGAAGGAACACGAGCAGCCAGTGAACGGCGACAACGATGAGATGGAAGTCGAAAAGAAAGAAGAGGCGAACAAGACAAGGACACTGGTGTTCGAGTTGCATGGGAATCAATTCGAGTTTAGGCCGGCGGAGAGAGCAAATCGCAAATTCAAGTGGAAGGTCACCGACTATCTGTGAACGAGAATGAAGGATTTGAGGCATGCAATTCTCTCGTCAAGGACGGATACGCTGGAATGAATGCGCCTGTGATGATCATCATCGAGAATAAGGAAAAGACACAGTATTAGAAACGATGGGTCCAAGGCAGATCAACCGATGCATTATTATGAACACAATGAGCGGCAGTACAGGGCCTTCTCAAAGGCCATTATCACATTACGGCCCATTCGATACTGAAGGTTCTCACATCGCCTGCTGGGCTTGCTCCACCGAGTAAGAAGCCTTTCTTCACGCCGGTCCCGAGTCTCCCACCACCGACAATATCCATCAACTCAAGGGGTTCGTCCCATTCAACACCCACCGCCAGAAAGTGAGAATGAAATCTCAAGGGATCGCCCGGATAGACGGTGTATTGACAACCAAATCTCAATCCGGGAGTCATGAAGAAGCCGTTCTCATGTAGGTGCTTGTACATCGGATATGAAGCTGGCAGATCTGGGACGGCCGACTTTGGTGTTTGAGGAGGACTTGAGAGCAGAAATTGCGACGTTGTAGGTGTCACATGGTAGTTGGTCGATGTAGTGTCACTGATTCGTCCTTTCGTGGTAGATTCTGACTGCAGCGAGGCTGTTTCGGCAAGAGTAGAGCTCTCTGTCGGCACTACTGTGGATGATTCACCATCATCAAAGTCCAATAAATCTGCCACAGGCTTATCCTGACGCGGAGTAGAAGTCCCAGCAGAGGACATTTTTGCTAGCTTGCTCAAGGCACGCTTCCGGGATTGCTCCTTTTCTTGGATTCTGAATTGCTCGACTTGCTCCGACTGTTTGCGGATGCTCGCGAGATAGTCAGCCCGTCTGGCCTTGTCGGGAGATTGCATTGCTTTGTCGTGAGATCGAGCGTCATCGAGGATGAAACCAACGCCCTTTTCGACAAGCAGTTGAGCTTCTTCGGGCATGATCTCAATGGGGACGCCCAAAAAAAGATTCTGCGAAGGCGCCAGGGGGAGGGTTCCGGTCTGCGTGCCGCATATTCGATGCTCTCGACGGAGATAGGTGGCTATCTTGATGTCGAACAGAAGATATCGTCCTCCAACCTGAGAGATAGGGACCGGGAGATCGGGCAAGAAGTCAAATCCAAGATCTCTCTGGCTCTCCATTGCAGCAACTGTCCACCTAGGCGAGTCCGGCATTAGTGCCTGATCTCACGAGCCAATTTGAAAAACATGCAATCAGGGAGGATGCTTTCATATTTCAACAACGATTTTTCGCTTCAGTCATGTGGCTTCCAGGAAGCTTCTCAGTGGATTGACAGATTAAAAAAATGGGATTAATCATGCAAATGAAGATGGAGATGATTATTTTGTACGTACCTGCGACTTCAGAAGAGCCTTGAAATCTTGGTAGACTAGCGGGCGGCAGCTGGTAAGTCTTGCGCGATCGGACGTGAAAGCAGAGAGAGAAAGCTGGCTTGAAGACTGGCCTTCAAGCAGAAGGACGGAAGCTACATGGCTTGTTTGCCTGGTGAAGCAATTGTAGAGAACTGAAAGGTCGAGTCGAGTTACGAGTAGCATCGAGGTAATTAGAAATATTCAAAGTCATTTTCTTGGCAGCATCAGCGGTGTGTTGATCCGCCGTAGTGAATTACTACGTACTGTAGCCCTTTTACCTGTGCAAGACTACTGGCAATGCTTGTCCCCTTGTGCTGTGCTGTTATGTGCCGTTTCAACTACTTCAGTACGACGGAATAGTAGTGCTTTTTAGCAGCCTCCATGATCGACTTGACTTCCGCAGGGGGTACCTTCTCTTGACGATCGTAAGAATAGAGGCCATTGACCTCTTGCTCAATATCACATCTGCTTCAGCGTTAGGGGCAAGACCATGGTGGCAGCCACGATGGTGCCGAGGGACAAAAAAGGAAGAGGAGCAAAGGGCACCCACAATTGAGTGTACACAAAGCCACATGAATGACCTCCTTTGACAACCGCCATGACCAGCTTTTCGAGCCGACGCAGCAGATCCCGGGAGTCGGCAGCAGTGGTATAGCCCCAATCCTTTTCGCCGGCAGTTTCATTTTGCGCAGCAGCAATGTTGACGCCGCCGAACTCCGTACAGATGACTGGAGCGCCGGCTTGATGCTGTGCTCCTGCATCTAGAAGGATGGAGCCGGCATAGATAGGTTGTGTGAACATTTCGCGATTGGACTTCTTGTCGAGGATGCCACCCTCCATTCTGGAACATGACAAAGACAGCTCTGGGGAATCTGCGTAGTCGTGGTACGTGGTCAGATCGGTCTGGACGTGCTCCCAACCGCAGTTGTCATTGATGGGCCGAGTTGGATCGAGAGCTCTGGCCCCATGATTAGTAGCAGGCCACAAAGAAATCAGAAGCTGTTCATAACTGTCCACTTACTTCGTCATATAGTACAGCGAACGTATATGATCGCGTTGCTCGATGCTATTCTTCAGCGAGGGATAGCCCCAGCTCTCGTTGACCGGTGTCCAAGTGACGATGCATGCGTGATTGATGTCGCGCTTGACAGCTTCCATCCACTCGGCGTTGAATCTCTCGACGTATTCCTCGGCGAATTCGTAGGCATTGGCCATCTCCGCCCAGACGAGGTATCCCAGTCTGTCCGCCCAGTAGAGGAAGATGGGGTCTTCGACCTTTTGGTGCTTGCGGCATCCGTTGAAGCCCATCTTTTTTGACATCTCTATGTCGGCTTTCAGCGCGTCGGGAGATGGTGGCGTCATACCTGTCTCCTTCCAATAACCCTGGTCAAGAACCAGAGCCTGGAAGTACGGCTTGCCGTTCAATCGAAAAGTTCCGTCGCCGGTCTGCCAAGATAGACTTCTCATTCCTGTCGCGGTCTGGACTTCGTCCACCAAGGTCCCAATAGCATCGTACAGGCGTAGAGTCACATCGTATAGGATGGGATGCTCTGGATGCCACAAGGCGACACCGTTGAGCCAGCTGCCATCAATATTGAACGGAGCCGTTTTCTGCAGCTCAGCCGCGTTGGGTACGTGCAGACCTAACTCCAAGCCAACAAAATCCTTGTCTTTCGGTAGGTCTCTTCTGGTCTTGCCCACTGGAATGCCTTCGAGGCTAGCCTCAATCTCGACGGCGCATCTTCCACCCCTGTGTCGACCTAGGACAGCGACGCGGGCATGCAGCTGACCACTCTCGATGTCGTTTGACCGCAGGATCGTCCCCTCACTGGAGCTACCAAGGCGCATAACAGGCACACTCTCCAGCCAGACCGACAGCCAGATGCCGCTCGTGGGAGAGTAGAAGATATCCGCCGACACAGGACCCCAATACTGCTTCCCACGAGGTTGGCTGAGATCATATGGCGAGTCCCGTACGCGTAGGGTGAGCCGAACCGTCCCCTCTGTTGTATCGGACAGAAAGGCGTCGGTGACATCCAGATCGAAAGGCACATGGCCGCCACGGTGACCACCGATCCATCGACCGTCTGCCCAGACTGAACACTCGTAGTCCACAGCACCGAAGCGGAGCAACACGCGATAGCCTTGGGCGATCTCATGCTTGGGCCGGATGTCACAGATAGTGCGCTCGTACCAGATCACCTCGTGGGCTTCATGGATACCGATGCCGGACGCCGGTGTCTGAAACGCGTATGGTACTTGGACGGCGCGTTTGTCATGCCCACCTGTGTGAACGGGAATGCCTGTTCTCTGCCACAACTCAGACAGCCCCACGTCGGTATCGTCGAAGATAAAATCCCAGGATCCGTTCAGCGACGTCCAACTCAGAGCCTTACGTTGGAAGTCAGGGCGTGGATAAGCAAAGGAGGCGGTCATGTTTCCGCAAGCGCCCAAAGTCGACAGTTGCGTGTAGTCGACCAAAGAACATACAACGGGACTCAGGTGAATGACGATAGCTCGTCTAGATCGGAGTCTCTCAGTGGGAGAAAGCCCGGTGTGTATGTGGCAGCCCTCAAAGCAGTAATGATTGCTCCGAAACTGGACAGTTCGATCTACAGTACGACATATAAGCGCACCTGGCGACTTTATTTTGTGCAATCAACGTTATGAAAGAGCTAGCGGAGGGAGTCGAGACCTGCCCGAACAATTCTGCTCTTACAACTATAGTACCTGATTGCATCGATACTCCGTTTATTGCTGCATTTCTGACATCAAACAACAGAAAACACCCCGAGGCTGGTTGTACTGAGTAGTCTAGTCGGTCTCGTACCTAGCCATCCCACATTTTGCGTCCTTCTTGCGACTTTGCCCTGCTTGTAGCCCAGCAATGAAATTCCCGTTTCCATGTCCGCCACCGTTCGCCAGTTGAGGCTACTATCCTCAGGAGTCCTTGCACCAATCTGCCAGACGGTGTGATGATGGATCAGGCTCAAGTTATGTGTTTGTTTTCTCCACAAATTCACCGTTGTGGTGCTCGGAGTCTCCCTTCCCATCAGGCAATCCTTTTGCGGCGCCACTCTCTGAGCCGTTCAGAAGAGCTGTGAGACCAATGTCATTCTCGATCTTCTCCTTGCGCGCTTGATCGGCTTGCGCAAATCCAATGTCGCCGAAAAGCTCGTCCATCTCTTCCAGCGTTCTGCCTTTTGTCTCGGGAACCTGGTGCATAATATCAGCTTTGGCTCCAAGGTGTTTAACACCGACTTGAACTTACGAAGAAGTATACCCAGATGACGCCCACTGTAGTGACAGCACCGAAAAAGATCTATGTACCGTTAGAAGATGATACAAATGGGGCATAATGACTCAGAAGCATTGTCCGTCTTGATTCTGTGTTTGTGGAAGACAACTTACAAAGGCTCCGAATTGAGTAGCGGAGATGAAGGGTGATGTGGAGACGGCAACCGCAAACTGGACAGGATATTAGCATCGAGCCACGAGGTCAGATGAAGTACTCACATTGTTCAGCCAGTTGGATGATCCACCAATACTAACCCCCTTGGCTCGCATCCCTAATGGGAACACTTCAGATATTACTACCCATGCCACTGGCCCCCACGAAAAGCCGAAGCTGACAGCGTAACACCATACAAACACCACTGCTACCCAGCCAGCTGCCCTGTGAGCCGGCCAGTTGTCGCTGTAGGAGCCGATGATGCCGGCCACGATGAAGTGCGAACAGGCCATACCGATACCCCCAGTGATGAGGATAGCCTTACGTCCAAAGCGGTCAACGTATAGAACGGCTGGAATGGTCGCCAAGAACATGACGATTCCAACAACGCCGGTCGCGAGCAAGGATGTCGTACTACCATTGAGGCCGAAGCCTTTGAATATAAATGGTGCATAGTAGAGGACAGCATTGACCTGGAGATTGTATCAGCAAAGAGATTTCTGTATGCGAGCGTGTTCACGCGCCCCATTCCACTGCTGGAAAACCATGATAAGGACTGCAACTGTGGTTCGCTTAAACATCGACTTGTTGGTGAGAAGAGACATGTAATCGTGGAAGCCGATCATGAAATTGCTTTTGAAACTGCCGTCCTGGTACTGTGGAAACTTCTCTGCCAGGCGAAGCCGTTCAAATTCGCGCACGGCCTTGATTTCGAGGAATTCGATACGGACTCTCAAGTCCTCCATCGTGGTGCTGCGGAGTCGTGCCAATGTTTCCAAGCATTCCTGTTCGCGTCCGCGATTCACCAAGTGGCGTGGGCTCTGGGGCATGAAAAGCAGCATGCCAGCAGCCAAGACCGTTGAGGGTAGGAGCTGGATGCAGACAGGAACCAACCATGCGGCGTCAGACTGGCCCTGTCCCGTGCCGCCGATAAAATTTGTCCCGTACCCAATCCAATAAGAAACCATGATGCCTAGGTTGTATGTCAGTAAACTCCTTGATACATCAGGAAGAGATTATACCGAATGTGATCGCTAGCTGCTGGAGAGCAACCAGCGCACCGCGAACTTCTGGTGGCGCTAATTCGGCATTGTATAGGGGCACCAGCATGCTGAAGGCTCCGACACCGAGACCGGTGACGAAACGTCCAGCGAGGACGTAGTCCTTGTTCACGGTGCATGCTTGCACAATCACACCGACGGTGAACACGACGCAAGCAACCACCACGGTCATGCGTCGCCCCACAGCATCAGCCAGCCATCCGTTGACCAGAGTTCCCACCCAGGCACCGAGCTCTAGGATGGCTGTCAAAATGCCTTGCGCGATACCAGTATGCCCACTGTAGTACGGATTGATCTATCAAAGATTAGTACAGTACTCCTCGTAGCAGGACTTGAATACTCGCCCGTTCAACGAACGAGGTCATTGTCAGGATCTGTCCGAACATTCCCTGGTTATCTGGACGACCGGGTTAGAGAATGTATGCCTCGACGTAATGCGTGACCAAGACTCACATCCATAGACAAAGCCACCAAGGGCCGCAAAAGTCGCAATGGCCGAAGTCTTGCCATTGTGAAGGATACCTTTGATACCAGACGGACCAGCGTACTGGGCTCGTTTGGCCGAAAGGGTTTGTTCTTGACCTGTTGGAGCCATTGTAACAGCTGGATTTGCAGAGCATAAACCTGGAGGCTTGAGGGATAGAGGGTCTAGGAGCAAATGCCTGATATCATGGTGCTTTTAAGCAGCCTCATGTACCCCGGACTGGCTCCGCAGCCGCCTCGTCAGCCAAGTCGGAAAACGGGACTGCTGCGAAGATGGGCAGCCACCGTCGTCTTGTCAAGATCTCTAAGAGTTGTAATGGGCAATGGTCAGGAGTGCCGCACCAAGGCTTGAGCTTTATTCTGGCTAAAAGGACGCCTTTATCCGTCGCCATGTGGTCCTTGCATGCCGCAGGGGTACATCATTTCATGGCCACATGGAGCCTCGTCATCGTGCCTACCGTTTGCCTTGCTTGTGCGGATTTTCGGCACATCTTTGTGTTATTGCATCATCCATGAAGTTGGCGAAGTCGTACATGCCGCTATGCCGTATGATGCCTGGGCTTCGTATCAGATCTCACACGAAGCAGGCATCGAAGTCGCCAATCTTCGTCGACTCCGGAACCCTGTCTGGTGGGAGACAGCCATGCTAGTTGGACTGCCGAGAAGCCTAGGAAGGGTGGCTTGTGAGATCAGCGGTCACCTGCGCAGACAGCGATGATCAAACAGCCGGACCTACAGTACCTGTCCAGCAGATGAAGGATGGACGCAGGATCATACTCGTAGCAAACTCCGATATAGTTGATAGCACAAGTCCAAGAATACCTGGTAAGATGAGCGATGACCACACGCTACCGCCGTATTACTGGAGACCCATCAGTCAGCTTGGCAAACCTTTAGGCGACAACCACGCCTTGACTGAGGAGGCATCATGCTTTGTTCGTCAACGATAGCCTTATGCTTTCCATGCTCTCCTCCTGATCGCTGTCCCATATCTGATTATCTAGATTGCAGTGGGCTTTGCTTCTAAGCTAGTGCGGACTGCAGGCTATTGCAGCACTCCTCTGTCTTCCTCCATGGGTGTCTTGTGGCTCTTAAGCTTGCTCTTCTTCGTCCCCTTGCTATGTTTCGTGGGTATTTGCAAAGTCCCGCCCTCGACGAAGCATCACAGGCTAATCTATCGCACAGTCTTCCTTGCGCTGTCGTCATGCTTAGGCGAAGGATTCAGAGCAAGACTTCCAAGAGTCAGCATCAACCCTCGGCATGGATCGTATGACCAAATTTATTTCCGGACAATGACCAATCCCGGACCAGGTTCTTCGGAGCACATCGAGATGGAAACTATGCTCAATGAACGACATCGGCATCCTGATGACGACGAATAGGAACTCTTGAACGACAGGCTCAAAATTCCACATCTGCCTTCTTACCCTTCGGCTCCGATCCAGAAGCATGCTGAGCGTCTGTGTCGCCTTCAATTGGGGGTAGATTGAACGGCTTAATAGTGAACTTCCTCCTGCTCAAAGTAAAAGTCCAGTCGTTTTCCGCAGGGGCCGTGCCGCTAGCCCGGTCGTGTAGCATCGGTATACGATGAACCTGCAACAGCCCTTGAGATGGCTCTTCTGTGGTTCCAGAAGGCCCACGCGAAGCGTTCGCGTCGGCGTCTGCTGAGTGAGGAAAAGGGGAGAGCTCGAAAACACCATCGGCAAGGAGCTCAATCCACCTCACCAGTCCTGATGATCGAGGATAGAGAGACAGGGGAAGTGACATCATTGCTATGATCCGGTTGGCGTGTCCTGCGGACAAAGCCCGCAGCCCATGGAGGAATTGGAGGATATGGCGAGGCTCATTGCAATGAGGCGGATAGAGGGCAGGAGAAAGCATGGATGGTATAACGACCCGGTGGACCGTACTGGGTGCTGAATTCGACATCGCGGCACTCAGCTGTTCCAGCACTGGCCCAAAAGGCGATTGGGATGGATTCATGTTCAGCTGCAGGAAATCCAGTCGGGACGAAGCTGGGTGGACAAGCCTCTTTGTCAGATCGAAGGTATGACAGAATGACTGGGGCGTTGTCTCTTCCCCTTTGCCTTTTGAGGCACTTGGTGGCTGTGAACGTTCTGAAGGAGATTGACATGTCAGTGAAATGATACAGGCGAGAATGACAACATTGTCGAATCAATAGCATTGGGTCTAGCTTTGCTACAAGGAAGAATCTGCCCACCTCTTGCGTTTGTACTGTCCCCAAATTGTCCCAAGCTCTCGTATCTCCAAGCAATCTTCATCTTTTCGGTGCTTCCAGCAGGCTTCTCCTTCTTGTCGGAGTCCCCAACGGCTCCAGGCAGTTCACGACCCCAATGTTCCGGCATCCCGATGACATGCACATGGTGATCTTGTAGAAGGCCTTCTGCAGCGAAGAATCGGAGCAGGGCGCCAGCATAGTCTGTGGTGCCGCTCTCTTCAATGAGGAGTGTGCAGCCTAGACTCAGACCGGAGTGTCCAGCCAAAAGCGCATCAAGGCTGGCCGTCCCAGTCGACGTGACTGCACGTCCGTCAACGGCCGAGGGTCGACAGCCAGATAGTTGAGCTTGGTCATGTGGTGCCGTCTGAGCAACTGGAGACCGCCCAGAGCCCGAAAGGCCTACATTGCGCTTTCGGAAGGACATCGATGTATCATAGACCTCGCGCGTAAGATGGTGCCATCGTAGGGGAAGAGGTGTTGGTTGAGTGCGGATGGTTTTGCGGGGAGAAATTTTGTTACCAACGCCGACTTCACGCCTGCGCCCAAAAAAATATTTCATGTGTCCGACGCCATTGCTACAAGTAACCACACACGCCCACCTACACTCCTTCTCCTACGATCTAAGGACCCCTGAAAGCCTGTCATCAAGATGTCGGAAAACATCCTCTTCGAAAATAGCTTCAAAATCACCGAGCTCAACAACGCAAAGTACGACAGAGTGTCCCGCATAAAGGCCTTCAGCGAGGGCGGCAACGAAGTCCTCCTTACCCTCGATGTCAACACTGAGCTGTACCCCCTCAATGTCGATGAGCGCATGACCGTCGCGCTTGCGCTTTCTCTGAACCTGGACGGGAGCAAAGATGATGGAAAAGGATGGCGAGAAATTGGACGAGGAGAGCAGACACTTGCAGACGAGTTCGACTACGTGTGCCACGGCAAAATTTACAGATTTGAAGAAGGAGAAGGAGACAACATGTGAGTTAAAAACAAAATGCAAAGTGTTTCGCGGAGACTGATCTTTTCAATAGCAAGGTCTATGTGTCCTTTGGTGGTCTTCTACTCTACATGGACGGCCCATACGCCCTGCTCAACGCACTGAGAATCGACTATGTCTATCTTCTGATCAAGAAATAAGTTTGTGGTTGTGGTCGTTTGTGGCCCAGCTTCCAGAGTGTGTTTAGCGAAGGCGTTGGTGGCTGCATCGGTCTTTCCAGATATCAGGGCGTGGGAAATTCCAACTTTCTATGGCATCTGGAGACGATTTCGATATAGTCAGGCTCATTTTCCGGAGTCAATATTCCGTGTCTCACAAAAAAATCCACCAGCAAGTGAGCGCAATTCGGCTTGAATTTCCCAGCGGCCATTGCTTCCTGGACCTCTTCCACCGACAGAAGCTGGAAGTCGATCGCTTCATCATCTCCAGGTTTTGGTATGACGTCCGATGGTAGTTCGAGGTCATAAATATATTGACATTCGGGTTGGCAAAGGCCTGTTTCACCTCCAGCTCTGGAGTCTCGAACATGGAAGTATGTCAATGTCCCGCAAGCTCGAACAGGTTGAACAACACCGGCAGGCAAAGAAGCTTCTTCCTCGCATTCCCTCACAAGGCACTCAAAGGGCTTTTCTCCTGTGCTCAATCCACCAGCAACTGTGTTGTCCATCATGCCCGGGTACGTCTGTTTGGTCAACGCACGGCGAGGTGCCCATATCTTCATACCTTCATCAGTCCTCACATATCCTGTCATGTGCACACCGTACGTAACAACACCGAAAAGAGGCGATGCTGAGCGTTCCATGCTCAAGATCAGAGACTTGTCAGGGCCATAGATGGGGTATAGCTCATTACGCCAACCGTCAAGGACACGGAAGATTTTTCTCTCGCGAATGTTTTGGAGGTACTCGGCTAGAATCCTGTTGCGCTCTTCTAGAGCCTTGACAGGTTGACCGCTAGCATCTCGAGGCTGAAAGATCAGGCGTCTGTTGCTTTCATCGAGGCTCCAATGTTTCGTGAGCGGCATTCTCGTCGCCACTTTTGATGGCATATACCCCAAAGATGCTTCACATCCTTCTAGCTGGAAGTGATAATAGTCCTTGAACGTTGCGTCGAATACCTCGGGATTGTCCGAGTAGTATGGAAAGCTTTTCAGTCAGTCTGTATTGCCTGGGGGATGTTTCCCGTACTCACTTGTCGCACTCCTTTACTAGGTCCAGATTTGATTTTTTGTTTATCATTGTGCGATGAGACCCTGTTATAATATGTGCTCTAACAACCACTTTATTCGTCTACAGCTGCTCACTTAATTGTCGAAGAGATCAAGAAAATATCACTCATGGCTACCAGTAGCTGCCCCAGAACTGTTCAGTGTCGATCGGAGTTACCTTTTTCCAGATTCCGCATCTTGGCGACTTATGTAAGGTGAGGGATAAGTTGGTTCACCACGTGACCAAGAGCTTTTACAGCTTGCTGGGAGCCTCACAGCCTTCTGCCTTCTGGTCACGTCTGAAGTGATCAGGAGTCATGAGATATCCCCTCATCCAAAATCCTGGGGCCCCGGAACGCCTTGCGCAGACCACTGTCATACAAGTCAAATCCATGATGAGGTTGATGTCTCCCCTGTCGACCGGCCACGTTGTTGGGCTGCTTTGTCCGTACCTTGAGGACAGAACGTGCGAATGGCTCTTTGATCTTGGCCAAAGCGAAGGCAGACTCGGAGTTCTTGGATTGTCACAGGCTTTGAGAGACACCTGCTGTTCAGTCGTTCCACTACCGTCTGATTGACAGTGTGATAGATCGTTGTGGCCAAGACTTTTCCACAGGATGCTATAGAACAGCCCCAGCAACATAGGAACGGTTGGACGCTTATATAGCACGAAGAAACAGCTCTGACGATGCGATAGAGGCCCCTCCGATTCACTCTATCAACCAAATCAAAACACCTCATATTCGTTTATAAACAAAAATCATCTAACTCTCTAACAAGAACTCCATCAGCATGTTTTGGTCAAAGTGCAAACCAAGCGACGCTGCCATCCGGGACATCTTGAGGGCCTTCTATCAAGCTGAAGCCTTGTGTGGCGGGGTAAGGCAATTTTCTCGGGTTTCTTGATGTTGTACCATAACCATGGCTAGCTGCACTAGGGTCTACTGTTCTTGATGATCTATCTGACTGACATTTTGACCTCGTAGGTCGTGCTCGGTATCGTCAGCTGGTATCTCGCCCACTGGAACGACACGAAAAAGTATCCTGGTGCACGTCTGTGCTTCACCGAGATCATCGCCGGGCTTGCTACCGTCTATGGCAGCATCTTCATCTGGACCTGGGATTGGTTCCCCAGGCTCTCTGCCTTGATCAACCTCCTTTTCAGCCTAGCATTCTTCGCCGCCTACGGCGCGTTGATCGCATGGGAGTACGATAAGAACTGGGTTGGCTGGAAGGCCGACATGGGAGAGAGCTACAAGGCCTGCTGGAGGGCAGTTGAGGCATTCACGTTCATCAACGGCGTTCTGTTCCTGCATAGCGCTGGCTTTGCTCTTGAAAATTCCGACCACACACCATACCAACATAACGCGCCGCAAGGCCACGGAAACAGCAGTACTGCGCCGATGCAACAAGTCTAACCGGGTCGAGAAAGCCGATCATGACAGACTGGCTCGCGCCCTTGTCACCAACACTCCATGCTTACGGACCTTGAACAAGTCACATTGAATGCAGGTTTCAATCTGTTTGAATTACACTAATATGGGGGATCTTCGTTGACATGCACTCTTCTTGAGCGAATTGAAGATATTCTAGTGCCGAGAGGGCAGCTTGATATTGGCAGTGACCAGCATGAAACAGTATTCCACAGCCATGAGAAGAGATGGTCTACTCTTGCCTTACAACTTCTATTCACACTGGCAACATGTTTCGCCAAGTAACACTATGGCTGACTCACGAACCTTGCTCGATCTTCTCAAGCCTGCTGCCACAATGTATAAGTACCTCCCTCCTGCACTGCTGATCGAGGACCTGTCCCCAGCGCACAACACCTATGGGCCGAAGAGGCTAGAGCTCACTTCCTCGGTCATTTATCAATATATATATCTTCATGATGCAGCGCCGAGCTGAAGTCGTTTCAGACCATTGACGACACTGCTCCGCTCACCACGCGTCCTATTCAGTCAGCGACCGCCTCTCCTGCGACTCCCGTTCGTCCTCCCCATGTCGCCCGTGAGTTCCATTCGCCGATGTTGCGAGAACTCGTTGCTTCTGCTGCGGCAACCTCTCCCTCCGCCTAGCCTGCGAGCCCCCTCCTGCCGCGTCCGTCGCGCTCCCGCCAGAGGTGGCTGCTGTTTTTACTCGCATGGCAACCGCACTTGACTGCCTGTGGTCTGGCCAGGACATGTTGGTTGTACGTTGTCTCGGTCCCTTGCACCACCATGCAGTGACCAAGGTTGTTATCTCGGTCAATTAACAGAACTTCAATCGAGGCTGTATGACGAAGCGGTGAAGTATGTTTACGCCAAGGCGCACGGGCGATGAACTTCTTTTTCTTCTCACACCTCGTCGGCACTCTGACCTTTCATCCGTTCTCGGTTTTTCCCGGCTCGGACCTACAGCGCCGCCTGCTTGGCGGCAACCGTCCAAATGATACAAAACGAGGATGACCAGCTCGTCGAACTGGTCGCGCTCGATGAGGACAACGACAGCGATGCTGCTACTGCTGATGACGATGATCCCAACGACAATGTTGATGGCAAGCATAATGCCGACCCCAGCGGCCATCACCGCAATCCCACGACACTAGGGCCTCTGGCGGCAGAGTTGAGAGAGAAATTGGCTCCGGTTTTCGGCAAGATAGGTCTGGGAGACGCACGGAAGCCCGAACTGTCTCGACGTTGCATGGTCCTACGCTCCCTCGTCGGCCAATTTATCAAGGCTGGGGAGGAGACACTGATCCTGTCATCCAGGCTGTATGATCTCGACTATATAGAACTTGCCGGTATCGATCCTCGGGCCAAAATCTACCATATTGACGGAAAGGTGCGTGTCCAGGATCGGACTTCTCTCGCCGACAAGTTCAACAACGAGGAGACGCCTAACGTTATACTTTTGTCTATGACGGCCGGCGGCGTCGGCATCAATCTTTAGGGCGTATCGTGCGTCGTTATACTTCATATATGCTATACCCCCAGCACGGTTGAACAGGGGATTGATGGGGCCTGGCGTATACTACAGAAAAACCCCGTTTTTGTTTACCATTTACTCGCCGAGAATACCCTGGATGGCATTACCTTTCATGACTCCCAACCGAAGAAGTGGCGGCTAGCGTCCTGGGTGGTCGACAACAAACAGTTCAGCAAGACCCTCCAGGAGCGACGAAGCTGGAACTCTCGAATCTTTACCACTCGTCATGCAACAGCCGTCCACCAGCAATACACGACGATTCGAATTAGTGGCGCAGTCTGATCCGAACGGTCTCGCGTCAATCTTACCGGAGCTCGACTCGCTGGTTATCGACATCAAAGACCTGAGCACCCTTATTAAGGAGAAAGAGCACAACCGGTCACTATCGATTTGACTGGTGACGAAGATGTAATCAATTTGACCTAGTCCGAGTATAGAGCACGGTGACGAGGCCGCAATCTTCTCGCGTAGTGACGGCGCCAGGAAGGGGTTTGTGACAATGGCCTCGCTCAAAGCAAGAACAGATGCACAACAAGCGGGGGCACCTCACTGGCTTGGACGATGAGAGACTCCTCTGAATGTCGGCATCCCTTTGTCTACACTTCCCAGCATACCTTTAACGTAAGATTGGCAGCCGGGCGCAGCCGACTACAGCCTCATGCGATTTGATTGGACACCTATTGTCACCTATTGTTGCTGGTTTTACCTATTTCAACCCCAAACCGCCAACGGAGTCGCTTGAGGACCTGACCAAGAAGCCAGATTGGAAACGTCGACTAAGAATCGAAGTATGAGAATACTGGGCTGGTGGGACTGGCCTGTGGATACATCATACCTAACTTCACACCATCATTTGCGCCATGTATGATATGAGAGGGATATGCCATCAGTTATTTTCTCTTCGAGGTAAGATTGAGGTTCGGTTGGTACGCTGATGCCGGAACCAAAGCGGTTATTTTTTCTAGACTCCCCAGGTATTTTTCCCGCACTCAGGGGCTAATTACGGACCATCGACCCGAGCAGTCCCAGGCCACAAGATTACACCGCGTATTGCGCTCTATTATAAGATATCAGAAGCGGAATGGCAATTCATGGATAACCCTGCTGGGGTCCCCTATGTCTACATTCAGAATTACACCTTGCTGGGAGAATCATCTTGCGACAGAAGGGACCATCATATATCTGCGAAGTTGTCATCAAGCAAGTCAGATCCAGTTTATCGACGTTGTGGAGCGACTGAATTGTGCTACGCAATCTGCAGGATTCAGGCCTGGATCAACCGACCTCGGACGTCAAGGGTGCTCGAGGTGGCAGACTTGTGATTCGAATCGTTGACAACAATCCACGGTCTCGCGTGTCCGATCGCGTAGATAACCAGAACCCTTCTCCGGCCACAGAGAGTGCTTCTGTGGTCGCACCAGGATGCTAGGAGGCACAGCCTGATGATGGACCATGTACCAATTCTTTTCTGGAGCCAGAAAGTCAATCGTTCGTACTGGATATACCTGCACCACCGTTACGACCTTCTGTTCCGGCACGCTCGGACGGTTCTGTTGACGTACTCCAATCGGTCTCCCGTCTGACACGATCGGGGACTGGTCCAGGCATTCCCGCACGCATATGGAGGCCATCTTTGGTAAAATGCAGCGTCTGATACCTTCCCTTCGGGTCGCAACTCTACAGGTCAGTGTTCAAGGGCCCATTCCGCAAGCAGAGGCCATCTGAACTACACCACTCCGTCGGCACTTTGAGGCCCATTTGGCCTGTCGGTTTAGCTGAGCGCATGTGTCCAGAATGTGGGGATGACAAGGACGTTTTCTTCGAGATCAACGAGAACCGACCGCGTTCCAGTCACCGAACCGGCTCTACCTATCATCGCCCCAGCGAACCCGATACCATGGGGATACGATATCGCGGAGCAGAATGTCACGGACTTGCCCGTCCTGACGGAGATGATGGAGAGTCGCAATATTCGTCGAGATCAGTCGGATCATGAAGAAGGATCTCAACTTGATGCAGCAGCACCACCGTCGTTGATTATCGAAATGCTCTAGATGCCGCTGCCTAGAGGTTTTCATAGATAAGACGTTGTTGAAATCTCCATCGCCCTGTCACTACCATGTTTTGCTCACTTCGGCCGTAGTGATGATGAGTCCCACGAGTTGTCAGATAAAGAAGTGCCTCCAAAGAAAAGATCGATTGGTAGCAACGGTATTTGCGGTATTCATTTCCGTCCGTTCACAGTGGTAGTCCCACGCAGACATGTACATATACTCATCTCATATTGACATCGTTAGCATTAAAACAAGCGCTAATAAGCCCTTTTCAAGAGGAAATCCATCACTATATCCCGTTGCAGCCGTCATTTCTGACCCTGTCTTTCCGTTCCCGTCAAGTACGGCGTGGGTATCCCGTGGTAATTGCAGTGTAAAAGCATCCTTCAACTCCCAAGTCTGTTGTCTTCCCAGAACTGCTGGTCCTGTCCTAGATCAAACCAATGCCACGCCAATGTGAATATCTGAGCTGCGTTGAAAGACATATCCTCTGAGCGCCATGCTTGCATGTGTAATGGGGGCAGAGAAACCAGTTGTCAGTCGAATCCGCCTCTTGTCCCAGTGAGGGCAGAGAAACACACTAGGTTCCTTTAACGCCGAGTCCCCAATGCGAAATCTTGGTGAATTTGGTTCATAAAAGCGCACACATGTTCGTGATAGTGGAACTGCTGCTATCAGGACTGCATCATGGTAGGTATGCCAGAATATCCATAAATCTGGGTATTGTGCATGATGTGTCCAGGGGCTGGAGGAACGTAATTTCCTTCGTAGGGCGGATTCTGCGCCGAGAAGTCGGCATTCTTGTACAAAGGGTTAACAATACCGCTTGGATACGTTGGTCGCGGAGGCGTTGTTGGTGTTGGTGCTGGTGCTGTAGGAGCACTACTAGGTCCGGCATAGTATGAGGGTGTAGCGCCCATGCCGCCGTACTCTTGCGGACTGGTGTTCCAACCCCATTTCTCCTTGAGGTCATCATGGATGAATGTCACACGCCAACCTGTCTCTTTCTTGATCCGATCAAAGATCGAAAGGACCTCTTCTTGCTCTCGTCTGACTGTGAGATGTTCTCCGGCCACGGCCAGACAGCGTATCGATGCAGAAGCTACTCCTCTGTCCTTGACATGAGCCACGATACCGCATATTTGCCTCGAATGATAGAGTCTCATCTCCTGCATTTCCTCTGCTGTTTGAGGTTGCATATGAGCAAAGGGATGGACGGAGCCGAGCAATGCCATGGCTGTATGATAGAATAATCTCGCCACGATTGTTGCCCTCTTGATGAGCCAGACCTCGGGAAAAGCACTCTTCGAGTTGGTCATGTAAGGCGGGATGGAAGCTATTGCGTGCATAGTCGGCGGCACACATAGGTTCCAGCGGTCACAGAGCTGTCTCAGAGCAAGCCACTGTTGATGTCTTTGGTGTATACGTGCCTGCTCGGCATGAACAGAAGCCTCCTGGTATCGTGGCTGTACTGTCGAACGGAAATTCGTAATCTTGGACAGTATCCATAGCATCTTGTGCGCCCAATCCTCTTCATTTCCGCCCGTATGCTGAGGATTCATGGTCATGTCTATACCCCAGGTGTCGGGATCCCAAGCCACGCCCCAATTGAAGTGCAGGCAACTGAACAACTCAAGTCCGACATTCAGCCAGAAGCAGGCAGCTCCGATACCAGCAGACTGAGCGTCCCAGCGACATTCTTTTATAAGGGCACGGGCGCCGGCGATGTGGTTCATCCTCTGCAGAGCTTTCTCCGACATGACTTCGTAGACGTTGAGAATGGTGGCAGTGGTGGCACAAAGAGCGCTGTCCCGGTCGGGATTCTGGAGCGACTTCAGAAGTAATTGTGTTGCGTTGTTGTAATAGTTCAAGGCATGCTCTTCGGGGTAAGCAGCATTTACGAGCGTCAAGTGTCGAACACCACACGCAAGTAGTGCATACTTGAGCATTGGTTCCCTCAGCGCCTGGAAGGGGATGAGCCGCGAGAAATGCTTTTCTGCGTCCATGGAATCCATCCAGAGGCCTACCTCTTCAACAAAGACTTGCATGTACAGGACTTCGTCTCTGTTCTCCAGGTACGGCGGCGACGGACTCCGGTCGGTAGACACCAGCATTGCCTGCTCATATGAGTGTGTCACAGGTTGACGAGGTTCCGAATACGAAGCCATGGCATTCGCGGTATTTTCATACGACTGAGTGGAAGAACTCGCATACGCCGGGTGAGATGGCTCGACGTATGCATGCGAATATGACTGAGGTGCCGGGAGCTGTTGATGAGCCAACATTGGAGCAGTGATCTGGCCATATTCGTACTTCAGAAGCGGAATGCTCAATTTTTGTCGTTTGTGCTCTGGTTCGAGAGAGTGGTACTTCTCCAGGCCGCCGTGATACTCTGAAGCAATATCGCGAGAATCATCTTGGAATGTGACCTTCCAGTCAGCAGTTGGCGGAAGGAGGTGAGGTGGACGCTCGCATTGGATGTCAATGAAATTCAGCCGGACACCGCGTTTGCATTTCCTGTTCGACTTCCGGCAATTTTGACACTTGGGCAGCCCTTCATCGCACTTCAGGTGTCGCTCGCGACAAGTCAGACAGCCGGTCCTCACGCGTTTCGGTTTGGTTGTTGGGGGATTTTCAGGGTTGGCCTGGGAGGGAGTCTCAGGCTCAGTCATCGAAAGAGGGCTATGCTGCAGGGTCTGCGATGTGGGTGTCGATTTGGTCGACGAGGCCCTGGTCATCGAATGCTGGTCATTGCCCGTCGCATCTGCAGCCGCATGAGGTGGTGTTAAAAGTGTGGATCTTTTCCTGTATTGCTTGTCACCGTCGTGCTCTTGGGCCAGCTGCGGTTGTCGCGATAACGGGAGGTCGGGGTAGGTGTAGTGGTATGCGATAGCAGAAACTGAGGACCGATGATCGCCGGAGAGGAGGGGAGCCGCCGCGGGCAGGTGTGAGGAAGGATAGTGATGCGCCAGCTTGAATCCTTCACTGCGGTGTCATGGCCGCATACCTCTATGGCAGGTCTTTGTCGCTCTGTAAAGCAGGCGGACTGCTCTGTATTCGGACCAACTGTGGTAAGGTGTCGGAGGGGTCAAGCCAGGTCGTGGAAGATGATGGAGGATCGTGATCTGCAAGAGTGGGATTTATTGAACCGTCGGAATGAAGTTGCTGGAGGTGAGAAGTCAGTATGGGGTGCCTGAAATGCATTCGGACCACAGCTGTCAAGCTCAAAATCTTCATGAAAAAGAAGACCAGTGTTGCTGCTGCCAGATTTTGTAGCATAGCAAACCGAGCAATGTCGCACTTCCAGGGGGGTTTCAGTGCGAAGGATTCACCAGCTCCGTTGCACGCAGCAGATCAGGGCCTTGCTGCGGCGCCAATGACGGCATTCCCACCATCCGTACAGAGGCCGCCCCCAAAATATTGTTTGGCAAGGCTAATAAATGGAGTAGATCTCATAAGGAACAAACATCAGACGTACCTTTCTGGGTCGCTGTTCCAACGACACCTTTCTGAGAGTATTTCCTTGGATGTAACAGCTGAGGTTTGCGAAGGTTTGACGAGAGGCAGGTCGAGTCGGCGGACATGGAGCATACATATTGTGAAATGAAAGAACAGACGACCTCTTGACTTGTACGCAAGGGCCCAGGCTTTGCTCAAGGAAGTGGGTTCGGCGGCGTGATCAAGGGTCGATCCGCTGTTCCAACACTCTGGCTCGCTGGTGAAATTAGGGTGTGGCTTTCGACTAACTCGTATGAGTTGTGACTGGCTTGAGCATTTGACAGGAACTAGAGATTCGGAGTCGACGAGAGCCAGAACACAGCGGGTGATTGGCAGAGAGGCATCTCTAGCATCTCTTTGCAGCGGCGGTCGCCAAAGAGCAGCAGGGGTGAGAAGGAGATGCCGAGAGACTAGACATTGTAGCCGGGGTTGAGACTATGGGGCCGCCCAGGGCTGCACCAGGCACTTGACCAGGCCACCCAGGCTGGTGCAGGGCTGCTCGGTTTGACTTTACCATTCTGTGGAATAGGCGTCACCCGGGCGTCATTATTGTTGGCGTCTCCAGTGCATCTCCCACAGGTACCTTGTTCGCCTTGTTGACATGAAAAGCTGTACAGCTTTAACACGACACCTGCCAGCCCCAATGCTCATCAACTCCTCTGGCAAGGATATCCCTCCACGAGTAGGCAGACTATCGAAAGACGAAGAAACAAACAATACAAATTCAGAAGATCCCCCGGGAAGTACCTCGCCCACCTCGCCGTGCTCCCATCTGGCGCCAACACCTCGAGTATTGCTGGGCGAGTCTAGATGACCTTGATTTGTATTTTCCCTAGGCTGATTGACTCCGGTAATCGCTCTTGTCGCTAAGGATCTGTGGTCTGTGGTTGACGTCGCCAGCCTTAGTCCAAACGGGCAATCAGGACTGTCCATCCGTCCATCTCTTCTTTTTTCAGCTGTTGCATGTCTTCTGAATTCGTCATGCTTCCCTCATTCAGGACACTGGCACCTATCCTGTTGTTTCCTTCAGGTTCCTTCTGTCCTGGACCTTCCCTCAGCCCTCTGACCCGTACCCGCCTAAGGAATGAGCACTTCTGTCTTCTCTTTCAGGCTGTCGTGACACCAGTCGTCACTTGCTTGTGGCGAGAGGATCCGAACCTGCTGGCGTCGTATGACCTGTGCACACCCCGGTCATGTTGATGTGAAATAAGGAAAGATTTGGCTTTCTCCGCTCGCTTGGAATTCTCTATCCGCCTGAAACCGTTATCCTTCTTCGTCTTCGCTTGCTCTCTTTCAGCTCGACACTTCGAAATCAGCGGTACTATTTTCCCACCGTTTCTGCCGGTCTTTGATGGGCAGGATAAATCCGAAATTCCGGTTGCTCTAGTACTTGCATTGGTGTGGTCGACGAAAAGCAGATGGCACTTCCGTTTTAGTCCACTTCTCTGCTTGTGTCTTCCTCTCTAGGCAACTCCCCCGGCTACCCCTGCTTACCGCAGCCCTCGGCGCGCCCGACCAGCATCCTTCTGGACTCTTTCCCGCCCTGCCAGCTTCTTCTATCGGTATAGTCCTCGCTTCGACATGAGGTATCTGTCATCTTGTGGCTTCATTCCACGTGGCAGATAGTATACCCCATGTCCGTGATTTATGCAAGTGATGTGACTAGAGCTACTGTATGAAGCACGAGGTTTTGCGGCGGCCCTAAAATTTTGATGCCATCCGTGGGGCTGGACTCGCCAGTACCCCTGCACACCGCAATCCAGCTGAAGCCATTCCCCCCTAGCTTTCTCGCCTATAGGACGAATCGCCTTGTGCATCAACTCATGTTCAAAAAGGGATTCTTGTTGCGCAGAGACGTTTTTGGGGGACTTGCAGATCACCAGCTTGATCGTCTTGCATCCGCGATAATCGACGAGCTGAAGATTTAGTCAATGCAGGCGGCTTGCGAAGCTGGATAACCACTACAGTTCAGGAAGGGCTATCAATGGTGTCTCAAGAAGTAGACAATAAGGTAGTTATTGTTGACCTGCACTTGCGGTCCCGGACTTCTCTGTTGACACATCTTGAGAGCGCGAGGAGCCGAAGCCTGGATGGGCCCATGCTATTGTAGAAAAGCGTAGCCTAACTTAGTCTGAGTGAGGGTCACGCCTATTACACCATTGGCTGCAACAGAAGGTCACCTAGAGTCAGATGATACAGCTTAGCAATATCATATTCCGCTATTGATCTATGCAAAGCTAGAGACCGCCAGGACCATAACAGTGACTGATATGTTGGACTTCTGGTGGAATGCCGGAAATCGGAAACGCGGATTTTGGAAGGGAGTCTGCTGTGTCAGACAATGCAACTTTTAAATAGTCTGAGTGAAGCGTACGCTCTAGGTATAATCTCAACAGCAGCGACCTCCCAGAGAAGGCATACAGCCAGCGAATGCATAAGAATCATCTCTGTTATAGCTTTCTGTAGACCGTGAAAATATGCAAACTGGATGTAGCCTTTTCGCCTCGGGTTGCCGTGGAAGTCATGGTGTGTAATACGCCTTGTTTTGGCGTTGATGGTGCCTAAGACCCGCCAATCGGTGCCCAGGATCCACAATTATTGATCAAAGAATAGATAATCAAGAAGCACAATTCCGGGTGTAAATTATGTCACAGAATCTGCGCTCGCTTGGCCCAGGGGTAAGGCGTGTCACTCGTAGTCTCAAAAAACCTTTTCCAGTGAGATGACAAGATCATCGGTTCGAATCCGATAGTGAGCATGTCTTTTTGCATCCTCAGCAGTAGCGATGATAGAGAAGTTTGCTAAGTAGTATTTTTGCATTGATGGTCGAATGCTGAAAGTGCTTGGTGGACTCGATCGCTTTTTCGTGTTCTGTGCTGATGACAAGATGGGATGTGCGGCGTTCGGCCAATCAAGAATATGGACCTGCGGGAAGGAAGGGTCCACGTGATTGCAGTCTTGGCATGATGTCTACGTGTAGTATTATGGCCTGCATCGCTTAAGCCGTCCAATGTTGATTGGCATATGATCCGGCTTTCCAGACGTGTCAAACCTCAGCCTGAGTGATTCTTTATTGACCACGAGCTGGGCGGGAAATAATCTACTGGTGTCGTAGGCGACGATGGCCCTTAGTCGAAGGCTGTGAGCAATGGAACAGCGGCCAGCAGTGCCGACTTACGTCCTACGAGGCCACGACGCCCCCATTCATGCACTTCACTATTTTTGCAGGAATGCTTATCTAGCTTCCGGTGATAGTCAAGGTTGGTTGGTGATATGGAGTCTGGCGACTAAACGTCCCATGGCCGTCTGGAAAGGCCACGAAGGAGCAGTCATGGCCATCCGGCACTGGACTAATGACAGACTTGTCAGGTATGTCGCCCCGTCATGTTGTTCACGCAGAAAGCTGAACTGTACTCCTGCCAGCCATGGAAGGGATCACAAACTTTGCGTCTGGCAAGTTCGAAGCCAAGACATTGCGGTTCTGGATACGAAATTACCCGGCGATGGAGCGCATCCTGACCAAGCGCAGCCGTGGCTGTTGCATTCTATGCCAGTCAATGCCCTGAACTTCTGCGCATTCTCCATGTGCGACGAGACTCCCCAGGAGCATTCCGATGCCGAAGCCGCCCCTCAACTGATCGCCTCCCCCAACGGCCTTGATTCAGGAGGTATCGACATGTTTCAACTTCCTTCCAAGCGTCGAGTGTCACAAATCCCTTCTGACAAGATCTCCCCAACCGGCATGGTTATGGCAGTCTTTCTGTTCCACGACCCAAGTTCTAGACTCCTCTTGGTATCTGGCTACGAGGATGGACAAGTGATAGTCCATTCACAGCAAGAGGAAACGAACGCTAAGAGCAAATGGAAGAAGCTCATGTCGAGCAAACCACATTCGCAGCCTATTCTCTCACTTGATGTTTCACCTTCCAGGGGACATTTCATTACCTCGGGTGCCGACGCTACAATAGCGAAATTTGCACTGCACCTAACCGACGTCCCCGACGAGACACGACTTGAAAAGGCTGTCAACACTAAACACGCCGGCCAGCAAAGCCTGAGCATACGCTCGGACGGCAAGATCTTTGCCACGGCTGGATGGGACGGTCTTGTCCGGGTCTATTCCGTAAAGACAATGAAAGAGCTGGCTGTTCTACAGTGGCATAAACAAGGCTGTTATGCCACAGACTTTGCCGCAATCGAGCCTGACAATGGTGATGTGCATGCTGGTACTGTTACCGAGTCAGAGCCAGACATATCAGGCAGCCAGTCTGCCGAGGTCGTACCAAGGCCTACAGCACTTGAATTGATCAAGCGTCAACGAGAAGAAAAGGCCCTTCGCACACACTGGTTGGCAGCTGGTGGCAAAGACGGCAAAATTTCGTTATGGGATATTTACTGATGCCCATGCATAACGTGCTTCGTCCTGCTTTGAAGCCTTTTTGGTCGATATAGTGGACCAGCTGCTGACTCCTCCGATCGATATCTCGGAAAAACTGTTATAAACAGAACCATAGGTCGCATAAGGCATTCTTGCACTGGATAACATCATACCCGCCCTGATGTACCAATCATTTCGTCTCGCCCTCCCTTGGTTCCAGAATAACATTGTCAATCAGCCTCACCACTCTCTGGCCCACCTCCTCCTCACTTCTCGGCTCATCAACAGGCTGCACGTACACGGCAGCACTCAAGATTGCTCCTCGTCTGGGGTCAACCTTAGCAAAATCCGGAATCATCCCCATACTGTCCGGCTCGCTCAAGGCGATATAATCAATCTCCAGCTGACAACTTCCTCCCAGCTGGCCATCTTTCCTCTTGACTAGCGATCCTTGGTTGAAAACATCATACGCTGCGTTTCTGATCATTTTACCCCTGAGTTCGCCAGAGTTGTACAAATCTCTGGCAGCAAATAGTGCCCTGGACAATACAACGGCATCCTGCCTCCGTCGCTCACCGAGATATACATTCCGACTGCTCATAGCCAAGCCATCGGGCTCTCTACTCGTGGGGATGACACGTACTTCAGTCGGGATGTGGAAGTCCTTGACCATACGTTTGATCAGGACGCATTGCTGGATATCTTTCTGTCCAAAGTACACACGGTCGGCTTGCATGATGTTGAACAGTTTTGTGCAGACTGTGGCCACGCCGCGAAAGAAGATGGGCCGAGATGAACCCTCGAGTTGGTTTCCAAGGGGCGTGATTGTCACGAAGGACCCAGAACCTGCAATATCCGAGCTAGGCGGTAGAGTAGGATACATGACTTTGACGGTGGGCGCGAAGACGCCACGGATCTTGGAGCCCGAGTTTGGCCCCGATGAGGCAGCATGCTCGTCTTGTACTTGTTTCAGCTTTCGCAGATCGTCCTCCCAAGTCTTGGGGTAAGAATCCAGGTCTTCATGTGCAGCAAACTGTGTGGGGTTGACGAAGATGGAGACAAATACGTCTGTGTTTTCTTGTAGAGCATGCCTTACGAGAGACAGGTGCCCGTCATGTAGTGCCCCCATTGTAGCGACAAAGCCCACCTCCTTGCCTTCTCGAAACATCTTTTTGCGCATTTCTCGTAGAGGAGGGACGTCGCGAAAGATCGGAAATGGAGTTTGTGCCTCGCTCACGGTAGAAGTCCATCGTGAGGCAGACGTAGTCAGATGAGTAGGTAGCCGTCGTGAGTGAGACACAATTTGTCGTGTGCCTAGTCTAGTGAGTGCGCAGAGGCTGAATGCTCTCAATGCAACTCGTGTCATGGCTGGAGAGGGTGCCACTGGGGGTCTTTTGAGCGGCGGAAGACGTTGAAAGGGAAACGCAACATCCTCATCCTGAGCGACAAGGAGTCACCGCCCTTCGTGAATGAGTCCAAGTGTTCATGATGAGAAGTGCAGCGTGGTATGTAGAAGGCTGGCTAAAGGGTTCACGAGGGCTGTGAGCTGCATACCTAGGTAGGAGATGGAGACCGTCGTTGACCAATCGGAGTAGATTTTCCTCCGCATCGTCTTAAAAAAAGTCTCGAGGTTCTGATCATTCCGGTCTTTTCTTCCACCGCCAGCCTGCAATCTGGCCAGGCCATAAGACCACCGCCCTCTTTCTCGATAATGGCCGACGATGGTATGCTTCTGAACTTCTCCCTTGGAGAGAACATCAATACCAAAGCCCAAAAGTTCAAAGGTGGGTCCTGGAGAGAACGACTGCAAGCAAAGAGAACGGCTCAGCGAGGAGGGCAGAGAAAACCAAACGATCCGAACAGTGTGCCCTTACAACCACGACCTCACCCAAAGGAGCAAGGAGAAGAGTTCCCAAATCCTCGGCCGGCGAAGAGAAGGCGTGAAGATGGATATACGCCAGCTTCAGGCGAAGTTGCAGGAAATCCCCAGAAGCCCGTTGAGCAGAAAGCCTGGAAAGGACCACGCGAAGTCATATCTTCTCTCTTCACCTACAACCCGAAGCCAGTGTCGACAGTAGACAAGGAGAAAGAGAAGGATGCAGAAGACACACCTGCAGCGCCTTCAAACGCACCTCTCGTGGACGGCATCGACACGTTTACATCTCTCGGCTTGTCCCCTACAGTTGCTGCCCACCTCCTGACGAAGATGAACCTGAAGAACCCCACGGCCATCCAGAAGGCAGCCGTATCCCAAATGCTCAAAGAAGCAAACGACGCATTCATACAGTCAGAAACCGGTTCGGGCAAGACCTTAGCATATCTTCTCCCCGTCGTACAGCGCATCATCACCATGTCCGAATCGCAAAAAGGCGCCCACGATCCAGCCCTACACCGCGATTCCGGCCTTTTCGCAATTATCCTCGCACCAACCCGAGAACTATGCAAACAAATTTCCGTGGTCCTCGAACGTCTACTGGGCTGCGCACACTACATCGTCGCCGGCACTGTCATCGGTGGGGAGAAGAAAAAATCCGAAAAGGCACGCCTGAGGAAAGGCCTGAACATCCTCGTCGCCACCCCGGGCCGCTTAGTCGACCATCTCGAGCACACCAAGGTCCTCGACGTAAGCAATGTACGCTGGCTCGTCCTGGACGAGGGCGATCGTCTCGTGGACCTCGGCTTTGAAGAGGATATCACCAAGATTGTCAAGACTCTAGACCAAAAGAAGCGCAAAAGTGCCCGGCCGGGCCTTCCTGATCATCGCACGACCGTCCTTTGCTCAGCGACGCTGAAAATGAATGTACAGAAACTCGGCGAGATCAGTCTCAAAGACGCCGTCCTCATCAAGGGCGATTCGGACGGCAACGAAGAAACCAACGAGAGAGGCTCAGAATTTCTAGCCCCCGCACAACTCAAACAGTCCTACCTCGTCGCAGCCTCGAAGTTGCGTCTGGTGACGTTAACGGCCCTTCTCAAGCGAACATTCGCGCGCAAAGGCTCCGTGATGAAGGCCATCGTTTTCGTGTCGTGCGCTGATTCCGTCGAGTTCCATTATCGAGTCTTTTCCCGACTTCTGGATGATGGTTCTGGTGACTCTCTGACTACCGAAAAGACCACAAAATCTACCTCTGTTGTTACATCTTCTGACTCAGACTCCGATCCCGACCCTGACAGCAAACGCGCGCCATCCACCTCAAACCCCCTCAATCCTTCCTCTGACGCCACAAAGCCTGCCTCTAAAAGTCTAGCTATCGACCCCAGCGCGGACGCGATATCCCCATCCCCGATGCTCTCCACCCCGGCCAACCCTATAACCTTATACAAACTGCACGGCTCCCTCCCTCAAGCCACGCGGACGAGCATAGTCCGACACTTCGCGTCCACGACAACCCCATCCCTCCTGATCGCCACGGACGTCGCATCACGCGGTCTCGATCTCCCCAACCTCGATCTGGTGATCGAATATGATCCCGCATTCAGCTCCGATGACCATCTCCACCGGATCGGCCGGACAGCTCGTCTCGGCAGGGACGGACGCGCCGTGGTCTTCCTGTTGCCGGGCAAGGAGGAGGGCTACGTTGAGATCCTGAAGAAATCTTACAAGGCCTCCTCCGAAGCCGACACCTCACGGAATGTAACGCACCAGTCCGCCGAGGACGTTCTAAAGAAAGGCTTCAGCACACTAACTGGCGTGGTGTCAACCAAACGACAAGCAGCACAAGCCGACAAGAGTAAGCCGCAAGCAAATGGGAGTGGGAATGGGAATGGGAATGGCGATGTCGGGCATCCGGGAAACTGGGAAACGCAAGCGACTCAATTCCAGCTCTCGATCGAGCGCTGGGTCCTCTCGTCTCAGACCAACAAGGACCTCGCGAAACGCGCGTTCCAGAGCCACGTAAGAGCGTACGCGACCCACGTCGCCGCCGAGAGAAAGTATTTCGACATCAAGGACTTGCACTTGGGACATCTGGCCAAGAGTTTCGGCCTGCGGGATCCGCCTGGGAGAGTCAATGTCGTGGGCCAGCGAGGAGCTGCGTCGTCGGGCCAGGGCCAGGCACGGAAACGAACGTGGAATGGCGGCGAGAAAGCGGCCGTGGATGAGACGGATAACCCAGACGATGCGGCGAGGAAGATGAGGGAGAAAGTCCGCAAGGCCAACAAGATGATGATGGGCGGAGGCGCCGACGAGTTTAATATTGCTTGAGTCTCCCAAGTAGTTTCTCGTCAGACCTGATTTGGATGCTGTTTGTGCTTGTCGATGGAGCGAGCGAAGACCGACGAGCGAAGAGCGAAGAACGGCTTTTGGGCCAAGTCACTTTGTACCAAGTCTGGTCTGGATGGTTGGATTTTGACTTCACAGCCTACCTTAGCTAGTATGCAAGGCACGCACAACACCAGATTCTATCCCGCGTGAGCAAGTACCTATGATTCCGCATACTCGGGACTCAACTCGCTGTCCAGTCTATCTCTAGAATTCGATCTTGACATCTTCTCGTTCTATGTCGTGCATGCGCATGGGGCTTTTCAGACCACCATCGTTGCTTTTGTCCCTCCATTTCCATACCAGCCGGCCTGCTTCTTGGTCTCTTATCGACGTCTCGAGATCTACTTTTCCTCAGCAGCCCAAACAGCTATCGACGATTCGAGTGCCCATCAGAGTCGAGTTCTTCAGATCTTGAAGATGCCACTCTTACTCCTCACCCCATCAAACACACAAGTTCCTTCCACTGGCACATACTGCCTGGTGAGCAACTTGATCGCCTCCTGTGCGACCATTCCACCAAGTACACTCGAAATGTTATGCATTTCACCACCCTGAACTCTCTCAACCTCCTCCACTGCCTTTTCGTAGCTTTCCTGTACCTCGGCATCCTCTGAGAGTGTGCTTACATCGAGCGTGTTCGCCGCGTTCAGCGCAATGAAGACAGGCAGCATACCCTCCCAATCGTTCTCAACCAACCTCGGCAGTGCCGATAACGTCTTCGCATCGGAAACTGCCAACCGCAACGCCGGGACCGACGCATTACTCGGACTTGTCAGCACACGGACATGAGAGGCGTTCTTGCAGAATGCCTCGATCTCAGAAGCTTCAATCTTGGTCATCCTCGACAGGTCGTTCTCCAGTTGTCTGACGGTCTGCGTAACTTCAGCGACATCTGCACGTGCCTTGGCCTTGTAGATGCCTTGCAACTTGATATACTCTGCGCTGGTGGCTTTCATGTCTGGCAATGATCCCGGTAGAGGCAGAACGCCGTGCGTATCGTAGAACTTCTTGATGGCGTTGGCTATGATCCAGAAATTCGGAGAGCCAGCAGTCACTTGGGTACAGGACGGCATGCTCATCATCTCTTTACAACCGCTACCTACAGGCGGTGGTGCTATGCTTTTCAGCACAGAGGCACATGCTTCGTCGTAGTTCTCTTCCCCGCCTTCGGGATTGTTTGTTCGTGCACCGGATCGGATCAGGTCACGGAACTCTGTCTTCTCTTTAAAACTAGATGGGTATTTGCCATTGTGAGAGGTCTTCCATTCTCTTAGGTAATGCAGCAGGAGGAGGATATATGGGATGTGGCCATGGTCGTGGTCCGACAGGGTGTGGATGTCGCCTATTGAGTCTACTGCCTCTTCGAGTTCTGTCCAGGGAGCGAGAAGGCGGAGATCTTGTGTGCTCTCTGGATCGGGATGAGTGTCGACGATCGGAAATTCGTGAGGTAGTTGAATTGAAAAGGAAGCGTAAAAGCCCGCGGAGCGGATGTAGACGATTGGGATTGAGTTCTCTGACCCATAGGCGCATATTCCTTGGAGATATTCTGGCGAAATCGGGGCGCAGATGAGAATGAGGTTGTATGGTTGTAAAGAGTTCTCCATGGGGAGCCATTCTGGTAGAGGAGCTGTGATAGCATGGCCTGTAACGTCTGGGTTCAATTCTGAGAGAAGCCGTCTTGTCTCTTCTGCTCTGGACTTGTGAAGGCTGCCTGACTCGAGGAAGAAGTTGACGCCGAGATCAGCATCTGTAACTGTGGCAGAGTCGACAATGGTGAAGTTGCCGATACTGGGCAGGATGAGGTTCTTGAGGGTCTCGACGCCTGCGACGGTGCTGTTGGAGCCGTGGTTCTCATCTCCCACGATCAGGAGGACATGTGATTCCTCCAATGCTCTTTGGCCTGAAGCCGCCCATAGCCGCAATTGTCTGTCATATTTCTTCTCTTTGACCGTCGGAGCTTGCAGCGGAGGAGGAGTGACCTCGCGAGGTGCGATTTCGGTCATTGTTTCGGATTGGTGAGAGGAGGGAGGGGAAGGGAAATTGTCATTGCACCCAGATTGTAGAGTCGACGAAGGTTTTAGACATTCCCAGCTCTTGTCAACCGCTCATGATGCCCAACGGTGCAGGCACAATGCAGTGAGAACGAGGAGGGTGGACAGTGACACTCAACGTTAGGCATGGACAATTTGTCAATCGGGGGAAAGTCAAGCGGGATCGGATCGACGTCACTGGAGAGCAGCCACTAAAGCAGCCCAGCTTCATTCCTCACCCCACGTTCTTGGGATAAGAGATTAAAAGACTCATTTTTTCCTAGACCTGGATACAAGGCACTGTGCTGGACGACAGACAAAAAACCCTCTCAAGCCATTGCGAATTCTTCAATCGGCAGTCTCGACAGTCCTGTATATGCATGCTGTACAGTCAACCTCCTTCGGCGTACGTAATCTGCACTCAATAGAGGTGAATGCATGTACCTGACCGTCCTGTGTAACCGCACCCTGTAAGTAGACACGGAGCACAGCACTTTTATACCAACTCATCTAAAGTAGTCAGGACCCTCTCTAGCATATATCGACTTGGACACTCCTTCTTCACTCCCTGGCAGAGACCGGCACCGTCACTTCGCTTCCTCAGGCCCTTCCATATCACTCCCACGTTTGCCCACAAGATGGCAGCCGAAATAGAAGCAGCCAAGAAAGCTGCGGCAATAGAAGCAGTGCGAAATCACTTCCCCGAGAACCCGCGCTTCGTGGGAATCGGCTCAGGGACGACGATAGTCTACGTGGTGGAAGCCATCAAAAACTGCGGAGCGGACGTCTCAAGAATAGGCTTTGTACCGACGGGCTACCAGTCCAAGCAGCTCATCATAAATGCTGGCCTTGTGCCAATCGAGTTTGACGCTCTCCCAGACAGTGCCATGATAGATATCGCATTCGACGGCGCAGATGAGGTGGACGAAGAACTAAACTGCATCAAAGGAGGTGGCGCCTGTTTGTATCAGGAGAAGCTTGTCGCCATGCGTTCAAAGCAATTTGTTTGCGTCGCTGGTATGTCTCTCTTTTGCCGCATGTATGCCTGCTGACTGTCGACAGACTACAGAAAACTCCAGCCTCGCCTGATGACAAAATGGCCCACCATCCCCATCGAGGTGGAACCTAAGGCTGCTAGACAGGTCATTCAGCGGCTGAAAACGCTGGGAAGTCGCAGTGCCACCGGCGCCGGCCCCCTGATTCGAGAAGGCCACATGGCTAAAGCCGGACCCATCAAGACCGATCAGGATTTCTTCATCGTCGATGCGCCCTTCCCTCATCCTCTTCTAATATCTTCCGATGTGACCTCGGAGAAGTTAGGTAATGGTGAGCATGGCTACTGGGAAGTCGAGCAGCTCGCTCGTGCCATCAAAGAGATCAATGGTGTCCTCGCTGTAGGCCTTTTCTGTGGTCCGACCGGCCCAGAAGCCTTAGCAGCTCAGGTGATAGGAGGACAGAGACCGATTGCATGCTACTTCGGCATGGCGGATGGCACTGTTGCTTTGCGGAGAGCCAGAGAAAAGCGGCCTTCGATCGTGGCCCAGTATCCACCTTTGATACCTGTTCGCTCGTGCGAGGATTAGGGATAGACTCGATAGCCCACTTGGCATCCTGAAAGAGCCCGGGTAGATTTTCGCACCAAGTAAAAATAGACCGAGTCCGCAATCACTTCGCTTTCCTCTTGACTTCGTTCTCGCCAAGTTCCCGAATAAAGATACCGATCGAGCCTTCAGCGGTTTCATCCTTGCCGTCTTCGAACCCTGGACTGATTGCCGTCGCGAGGTACTTGCCATTGGAGCTAAACGCAACGGCCGCGACACTCGCAGCCAGTTTTGGATAGATACGTATCCTGCGCTTTGCAATAGCATCCCAGATGGCTACCACTCCGTCTCCACCACCAGTCGCAAACGTGCCATGAATGGGATGGAACGCAATGGCATTGACCGGGTAGACCACATCGACGTCGTCCACCGGTTGCCGATGGCATTTGAATGCATATTTCCGCGCCTGTGACTCATTCGATGGGTCGAACCATTCAACCGCCACACGACCCTCGATGCTGGAGGATGCATACCCTTCGTCGTTTGGCATACAGTCAACCGCCCTCGTCATAAACTTCAGGCTGCTCTCTCGTCGCTGCCATGGCTCAATATCCAACCGATTTTGTAACGAGTTCGCCGAGCTCTTGCACTCATTCGCCAGAATCTTCAAGTCGTAGATGTGCAGTGCCCGGTTCGCCATTGCTACCACGAGCTTCGAGGCCGAAACTGCCAAGGAGAAGGGTTTCGAGGGTAGGTTTATCGTCGCGGTTGACCAGGTCGCATCTCCACTTGGGTGGATGTGCAGTGTTGAGTCCCATGCAGCTGAGACAACGAGGGCATGTTCCTTGCTGTAGACGACAGATCGGACGCCATTGTCGTGTGTGCTCAGAACTGTCTGCGTCCCGGAAGTAGCGTCAATTCTGCTCCGTCAGCGTGGCTTGCTCATTGTCAGGATTGCTTGCGCACCTTCTTACATCCCAATCCAAGCACGCAGTATATATCTCGTCGTCGTCTGTGCCAAAACAGACGTCGAGGACGGGCCCTCTATGCTCAAACTTGGCGACCAGCTTGCATGACTTGCCGTCGATGAGTTCGTAGATGTATGCGTGCTTGTCCCATGAGGCCACGGCGAAGCGATAGGAATCTGGATGTGGTGAAAATCTGAGGGCAGAGATGGCGTCCGCAGGAGGATCGGAGATGGGAAATAGGCCTGCTGCAAATGTCAGTGGAGGTAAGGAAATCAAAGAGGTCAGACTTACTAGACATGTTGAGACGTGACACCCACAGAATTCATAGATTAATCATAAGTTGATTGATCATGGGCGCACGGTAGAAGCGAATGTTGTTTGAGGGGAAAACAACGGGAAAGATTCTGCCAGTCGTCACCGCCTTTGGATCTGGCATCATTCAGCCTTGCAGACGCCCGTTGCAGCCTCGTGACAGCCTGCATTGTGGCGGTTCTTGGACTTCAATGCTTGACGGACCATAGAGGATTGGTAAATTCATGTTTTTGAAATATACATCTAAATATCTAACCCTTTCAGGATCGATCTATCCATAAGGTATCCTGAAAGTATTACAGAGTAATGGTGCTGGAAGACCCATTTTCCTCTCTGTCGTTCGCTGAGCAATGATAAATTAACATATGCAACGGCGAATTTCAACGGAGTGTTCCGCTAAGAGTACGTCCAACTCCCGGATTCGGACAGGAAGCTTCAAGTGGGAGATGCCTGTCAGACCTCACGTCCTAGGCTACAAACCATATCAAGAAGAGAATAAGCCCGACTAGGGGTTGGCGAGATCGGGTTGGTGCAGGTCAGATAAACTCCCTCCATTCCTCGGGCACTTCGTCCACCGTGATCATGCGTCTCAGATCTTTCAAGACTGCATCGGTGCCCTTCTCGACAACAGCGAGTCTCGGGACGCGGAATCTGTTACCACTGACTTCGAGCGATCGCAGCTTTCCGGGTTCCTTGACACTGCCAGGCTTGTTTCCCAGCAGGCCAATCCTAGTAGGAAGCATCTCAATCTCGTTGTTGCGGATGTCGAGCACCTCGAGACCGCGGACACCCTCAACATCGACACTTGAGAACCAGTTATCCGTCGCAAGCAAGGTAGTACAGGTTGGCCACCACGCTCGCACCCATGGGACACGACCCGCCAATCGATGGCAGGAAATGTTGAGTTCTTGCAAAACCGGCGCTTTCAGATACGTCGTCAATGCGTCCAGAGAAGTGAGACCGGTGCTAACGATATACAAAGACTTCAGGTTCGGAAGAAACAGTTCGGAAGTCAGGTACTCCGTTGAATGCAAGAGAGGGTTGTGACTGAGGTCCAACAACTGCAAAGAGTACTTTAGCATCGGGTGGGCGAGGAGTTCGACCGGGAACATGGTGAGGTCATTGTTGGAAAGTTTTAGAGTCCGGATAGGGCCCTCTGATCCGTCGAGCTCAATATCGAGCAGGTTTATTGCCGACAGGGACTGAGAAGACATATCGAGAGTGCCCTGAGATACCTTAAATCGACAGTCACTTTCTGGCTTCGATTTTATCTCAGGTGATTCAGTTCCATGCTCAGGCGCTTCGAATTTCTTCTCAAGGTCCAGCTTCAGTTCAGCGGTGCTCATAGTCAGGTACTTCTTCTCTCGGAGCGGGTTTCCTGCCAGATTCATGCTCGAGAGGCTCTTCATGCCTGCTATCTCGGGAGGAACGATCCTGATGCTGTTGTGACCAAAGTCTGCAGTCACCAGAGCTTCGAGCTGCGACAGACCCTCAGGCACATCATGCAGCTGATTTTCTGCAATCGTCAGGGTTTGCAAGTGTTTGCACCTCGTTAGTCCAGGCAGCTTGACAAGTCGATTGCCGTCCAGGTTCATCGAACGTAAGCTGCGGAAATCGAGCACGTCCTCAGCTAGGCCTTCCAGATTGTTGTACGACGCATCCAGAACACGGATCTCTGGCAACGAAGTCGACTGTTCGAAGAGCATGCCGGACAATTGATTCTTAGAGACATTCAATTCTGCAAGCGGCAGGCTTACAAAAGCACCCCATGGCAGCCTCGATAGCTTGTTAGCACTGATGTCCAATTTCTTGAGACCTTTTAGCTGAGACAGCGCCTCTTCCTCCAAGCACTCTATGGCATTGCCATGAATATCGAGCACTTGAAGATGCTCGAATGTCCTGGATCCTAAAACTATTGCTCCGCCAATGAGGTTTTCACCTAGCATGAGTTCTTTCAGCTGCGGGATCTGCCCAATGATCTCAAACGCATTGTTGGTCAATCTGTTACCACTCAGGTTGAGTGAATGTAGTCTTGTCAGTCTCCGAATTCCGACGGGCAGTTGATGAATGTGGTTTCGGTGGAGGTCGATGACTTCTAGGCCGCCGAACTGGTTACTCTTGTCATCGTCATCCTGGAGCTGAGGATCCGAATAGCCCGGGAAAAATCGTTCCTCGAGTTCCTCAATTTCATTATCTGCTGCGTTCATTTTCGTGAGGTCCACCATTTCGGACCAGTTTAACTTTTGGTCTTCTGGATCATACATGTTCATTACTTCTGGAGGTATTCGTTTCAAGCTCATTCCGGCAATGTTCAGTTGCCCTGTCGTGACAGCCTGTTGGACACGTTTTCGTAACAAACCCTTGTTATCTCCACGTTCGATCGTCTGACCAGGGACCTCAAGCTCCCAGGTAGGATCTGTCGAAGCTTTCTCCGGTGCTCCAGCAGACTTTCTTAGCGCTTCTCTTTTGGCGGCTTTTGCTTTTGCGATCGTCTCTCGTAGAACCGCCGACGACTTTGGAGACATGGTCGTCTGCGTATCTTGCCCCATTAGGGGATCTCGATCCTGCTCCGACTTCGAGCTGCTCTGACCCTGGAGTTTTGATCTGGGCTTTGCAACAGTGGGCTTCGGACCAGTACCCGAAGCATTGTTCTTGGTCTCACGCTTGGGTGTAGGGGCAGGATCTCGGGCAGGATCTCTGAATATTGACGCAAGCGATGGCTTCGGTGCTGTAGAATATGACGATATTGTTTTGCTACTGTAGACCGGCTTCGACCTCATGGTTTGGGCCGGGGGTTCCCCTGACGGATCAATGTGGTGATCTAAAGACGGAATTTCGAAAGCGGAGCTGGCTGACCTCCTGGGATCTCGTAGAGGCTTTGCAATCCTCGACCGCTGGCCTCTCACGAAGGCTTTAGGTGGAGTATAAATGTCGCCTGGTGAAATGACTGGCGGAAGAGGTACGACGTCTTTCGCTGGTGAGCTCCTTCCTGGAGGCCGAAAATGTCGCTTGCTCGGGGATTCTGGACGAGGTGTTGCTGGCGTTGTGGGACGGGATATCCTCGAGGTCGGCCGAACAGGAGGTGGGATGCCGTCAGTGCTAAACAGGCTTGATCTCCTTGTCATGGGTGCCGGACAGGGTGATACTGTCGATAGAGTTTCGATTGTCCGTTCTGACAACGATGGTCGAGGTTTCGGCCGGTCTTTCGTCTCATTAATGGCTTCACCATTGCTTGGATTTTCAGAAGCGTCCTCGAATACCGGCACATCGTGCTTCGTGCCTGGTGGTGTGGTATCCAAGACTGCGGTGTGCGCGTCACGAAGAGCGTCTCGGACGGGAGACGCGCTTCTTGGTTTCCCGGATTTGTCGTTCCATGCGTAACGAGAGCGGATTTTGTGATTAAAACTTTCTCCCAACGGCCCTGGAGGGCCTGCTGGGCGAGGTAAGTTGGACTTCTTTCGTAAGTCATCCTGGTGCATTCCTGGAACAGTTGATGACCTGGCGGCGAGCTTCAGGTTGTCGATAGACGCGCTTGGACGTGGCATGGGTAGCCTTGACAGACGTGGAATGCCACCGCGCAGCGGAACGTTGGACCCGTACTCTTGGTCCATGCTCCAATACGGGATGAATCTTTCCGTCAGAGAGAGGTTGCTACGTTTATGGATCTTGGACAATTTATTGGAAACCCAGACATTGCATGCGTGGAACTGGTACTCGCAAGGGACGTGGAAATGGAGTAGATGGGTACCAGGTAAGTCCAAGCTCTGTGAAATAATGAGTTCCGGTGTTGACGGGAAAAGGGGGGGTTGCGGAGTGTGAAAGATCGACTGGTTGTCGTAGCAATGCGTGGTGCGCCATAGAGAGCGCCCAGTGGCGCCGATGATGGCTCGGATGGCCCTCAATGCCCCGAAACTGAACTAGCGGAAACGCCCCTGGGAGCCTAAATCTTCGACGCGTCTTGATGGGAAAGTCGCGGTGCTCGGTGGCCGCTAGTGGCAGTCTGCGAGTCGACCAGTCTCATCCATCGCTAGAGCCTGTGAGCCTTGTTCGTGCTGCTCCACCGTGACCACCTCACAGGCCTTCCCGCTTTCCCAGCCTCTTCTTCAATGGCCCAAACCCAGCCTGTCAAATATCATCCCTACTTCAACTTCCCCTCCGTACTATGCGCACTGTCTTCGACCTCTTGAATATTTACTACAACTCCTCCAACCAGCCGTCGCGTCTCACAGACATCAATCACAATGTGCCATCTGGCGGTCCGATCATCAACATAGGTGTTGCGATCTTCCCGTCACTTGACCGTTGCGCCCTCTTAACTCTCGACTCCACCGCTATCGATACCAACCCAGAGTGACAGCACATTCAAAGGTCGATCTTCGACATCCTTCATTTTTCCTCTTCCTCAGGTCGTGCGCAGCTGTAAACAGACTTCTCCGACCCGGGTTTTCTTACTCACTATGGCGGATACGGAAGACGCAGCGCAGGATTCCCAGTTACCTTCAACTCCTGCGCCCGCCCGCAGTCGTTCAGCAGACAGCATGAACAAGTCGGCCGCGTACGCTTCACCCCCACCAATGTCAGCAAGCATGACCCCTCCTCCGTCGACGCAGCCGCCTCGATTCCATTCACCCGTCAATCGCATGAGCGCTGGTCCTGCCGATGGATTACTTGCGTCGCCGCCTAGCACTGTCAAAACTAATGCCCTACGTGCATTGCCTACCCCAGACGCAATTGCCAAAGCCGACATTCAAGAACTGCGAGACATGGCGAAAGAATTGGTCGCAGCCGTTCAAGATGCCAGGACATCCGCGGCGCATTTCAAGCTGCAGCACAGTTTGTTGAGCATGGAGTCAGACGAGGCTGCCCAAAGAGCCGAAGTCGAGCGTCAGATGATTCGACGCGAGATCGAAGTCCTTCAAACAGTTGAACACAAGAACCGCACGTCGTTCTCAATGCGCAGCTCACAGCCACTTCCACAGCCACAGATCGAAGCATTGACAAGAACGTGCAGGATGTTGGAGGATGAGCGAGACGAAGCGGAGCACGAACTCTTGCGAGTCAAGAAAGTCCTCGACGCGGAAAAAGACAAGGTTGAATTACTGCTGGAGCAAAATGAGCGCCTCAAGAAACGCATTCGCGACAACAGAGAACACTTCAGCCGACTCAAAAGCTTGTCTCCATCATACACAACACCACGCGATGCTTATACGACACCACAACGCAAAGCGGTACCAAGATTCGCAGAGTCCGCACCAAGTCACGGAAATATAGCTGCACTTCTAGCAGCGGATCAGGTTTTGAGCCGTGAAAGTCTCAGTGTACCATCCACTCCCACGAAAACCCATGCGTCGAAGCTGAAACAGGGCCATACTCGAGGTGCTCATTCAATGTCCTCTTTGCACACCACACCTGCCCAACACCGTCCCACGACTAGTGATGGTTATCCGGAGTCCATGGTCCCATTCTCGGCTCCCGCTTCTCAACTGGTGATTGAATCTGCAGAAAGAGAACGACATGATCGAGACAGCACTATTTCAATCTCGGATGCTGAAGAAGGTAGCGCGGATGATGTTCCGCAGTCCCAGGCTAGCTCGCTCGCTAGCGATATGCTGCGTCGCAATCCTGGAAACCAGGAAAGCTTGCGACTATCTCAAGGTGCCGAGCGGTCAAGCAACCTTCTTCAGAGCAAACTTTTTGGTCCCGTCAAGAAGTCTGCTCATGGTAAGAAGCGCAGAGGCAGTTTTGGCGAGACAGATGTCAAAGTGAAGAAAGCAAAAATATCTCAGGGCGTTGGACTGGGTATTGAATCTTGGAGCCAATGATTGAGGCTATCAGTGCCAGCTTGGGCGTTTTTGTATGTGATATTCAGGATACCCACTCAATCCCATTGTTGTAATGGATGAAATACTCGATGTACCAAGTACAGTAGCTTAAGCTCAATCTCATGAATCAAGAAATCGTCCTCAACGTCCGTTCTTCAGTTCATACGAGCTTGGTCAATTCTTGTAACATTGTGCCTGATGACTGCTGTAATTTGGCTGCTTGCAACTGGATGGGAAAGCGTTTCCCAGACTTCGCTGAGTTTCCCCGTCAAGATCTTGTCTCATGTCTATTACAACAAGCTCTTCGTCGAAAGTTTCGGCACAACACGGCTAGGCAAGACGAGGCTGGGCTGAACTCGGCGTTCACCGACTGGTTGGGTCACATGACATTGAATGCCTTGGCGCACAATAATTTTCGCCAAGCCCGCTTCCTGGCGGCTTCACACTGGCATCTCAGCAAAACAAGCCCATTCGCGGCCAGATTTTCGAAATCCAACAACGACAACTCACCCTCCTTTCAGTTCAAGGTTGTGTAGCATCCTGCATCGTCGGACACAATGGCGATCAAACACAACCAGCAACTGCCCAACAACCACTTCCACAAGGACTGGCAACGCCGGGTCCGCGTGCACTTTGACCAGCCAGGCCGCAAATCTCGAAGACGGGCTGCTCGTCTATCCAAGGCCGCCGCCGTCGCTCCCCGACCAGTCGACAAACTCAAGCCCGTCGTTCGATGCCCTACGATCAAGTACAACCGTCGCGCCAGAGCTGGTAGAGGATTCACTTTGGTTGAATTGAAGGTACGACTGCACTCCCTCTTCCAATGCGAGCACAATGAGACTGTGGGTGGGGACGAGAAGAGAGGGACGAAAATATTACATGATCAGCTGGAAGTGTACTGCGCAACATGGGATTCAAAAGCATGGAAATGCTAGTCCCGGGGGGAATTGAGTCGTGCTTTGAAACATTCTTACACACAAAGTCCAATTGAGGCGGCGATACTAACAACGAGTCTCTACAGGAAGCTGGCATCCCCCGCAAACTCGCCCCAACAATCGGTATCTCTGTCGACGCTCGCCGTCAGACCACCAACCAAGAAACCCTGACCACCAATGTCGCCCGCCTCAAGGCCTACAAAGCCCGCTTGATCCTGTTCCCCCGAAAGTCCGGCCAGCACAAGAAGCTCGACAGCTCCGCCGAGGACGTCAAGATGGCGGAGGACGAGAGCAAGATCGTCAAGAAGGTCACCGCGGCCATCCCCATCGACAGCGGTGTCGGTCTCAAGCACGCCTTCCAGGAGATCAAGAAGGGTGACATGCCCAAGGGCGAGGAGAACGCTTTCCGCAAACTCAGAATCGCCAGGTCAGATGCCAGACTGGCCGGTGTCCGGGAGAAGAGAGAGAAGGCCAAGGCTGAGGCTGAGGATGCGAAGAAGAAATAGACGAATCGCGGGTTGGCGGGGCCTTGAAACAGAAAAGTGCGAAAGATTCCTAGCAAGTGCAGCGGTCCAGCAGAAGATGATGTTCCTTATCGGCTTCCCAAAGCCTTGCAAATGTTCATGGCTGGAGTGCATTTCCGAAAATCAGCAGCGAACATGGTCGAGGGTTGTGCCCCATTCACCATGGTCTCGCAATCGGTCTTCTCATGGACTAGTCCTTTTTGTCGTCCTTTCACACGACACGACATCAATGACAGGGAGATATCAATGAAATCAAGTTAACATCGGATCTTGCTCTCTACCACTTTGGCTCAATTATTCCACTCTCCAAGCTCACATACCATGAATTGGATTCTCTCGTCAACTTGAACGCATGGTATATTATCTCCATACAGCGTCGCTAATTCAACTTGACAGCAGGTAGCAATCCTCATCACCACCGATTTCCGGTATCTCAATCATAGTCATGACTCATACATCGTAGCACATCTCGCTTACACTTCATTTCGAAGGACGTTTTCGCTTCTTTCCTGTCTGCTTCTGTCCATCTGCCAGCTCTCGCTCGGTACCTTCATCCGCATGGATCATGTCCCAAACGTTGTCAAACGCTGCCATAACCCCCTTCGTCTGGTACAAACTCGAAAAGACCTCCTTCAGCCCTGTTTCTGCCTTCGTCGAGACCCCATTGAACGCCAGAGAGACATCAGAAACGACTTCCCCAGTCCAGTCGAGGTCGATGTTCCATATCAGCATGACTTTAGCTTTGCAGGCTGGATGCCTCTTCTTAGAGGTCGGCGCTTGGGCCACCATTTCGATCTGTGTCGCCTCGAGAAATGGGGACAACTCAATGGCCAGTTCTTGAGTCAATATCTTGTCGTGCACTTTGAATTCACCTTCGTTGCTGGCCGAAGAAGACTTATTGTACCGGACATCCAGCCTACGAAAGATTTTGGCGCGTTCAACAGTGGCGCCGAACCACTTTCCCATTCCCCAAATCACACCAGCGAGATCGAAGTGCTGTATGCATAGACGATCTTGCCGGTCCTGCAAGCGTTCGCTTGCCCACCTGTAAATTCCCCGTCTGGGTGTTTTGTAAGGTCGATTGTCGTGCATGAAATCTTTCATCTGGGCATGTTCCACTTGTCCGATCTCGGCATCGACGACCACTCTGAAGGCGCAAGCAAACACATTGGGGAGCCAAGGAGCTGGCGCTGAAATAGTCAAGATGTGGACAAGCTTTATTCGGCCATGTTCGTTTGAGGTCTTAGTGCGGCTCTTGAGCTGGAGATTGCCAGGTGAGAATAAGGTCAGATGTACGGGAGACGAGGAAGAATCAGTAAGACTTGAGGATACTCCGTTCTGAGATGGAAAATGTCGCAAGATTGTTAAGACACCATCAGTGAGAGCCTCTTCACTCTTGATCGAGTTCTCCAACTGCTCATTCTCTTCATTGAGCCGATTCAACTCCTCTCGGAGTGACCGAAGAGTTGAGTGCTTCTCTTGTAGTTCCGCAGGGAGATTTTCGGTCCCTTCATCTTCTGGTGCTTCAGGCTCGCTCTCCGGTGCTTCAGCAACATGGTTGTCTGTATTTGTCCGGGCTTCATCGCCATTCGTAGCTGGTGCGCGAGCCTTGGGTTTCAGAGGACTACTTGTGACGGCGACACCTGATCTTGTCCGTCTTCTGTGTCTTCCACTGCCTGCCTGTGAGCCTCTCGGACTGCTGCTGGACGCTAAGCCTCGAGGTCTTTCGGGTGCCGGATCCAGTCCCAACTGAACAGGCGTTGGAGGTAGCTCTGGCTCATTACTTCCTGGTCGAGTTGCAGCCTGAGCATTTGAATCTGTTCGACGTACAAGAGTAGGCATTATGGGCGGAGGTAGAGGATCCTGGCTAAAGTGTCTTCTTCTCGATCCATTGAGTTGCGACGGTTGACGTTCACTCAGTGGTGACCGAGTATTCCTGCTATAACGTGCCGAAATAGCAGGTGCAGTCTCTTTTTGTATATCAACTGACTCTTTCTCAGGCAAGCCCTCCTCTACTTGGTTCAGTGCTGGGCTATTGTCCTCGGTGTGATTGGTGTGGTTGGTGGGACTGGATGGCAGGGCCTCGGGCACTTCTGTAGGATTGGATTTCTTACTGGGGATTTCGTCTCTCAGAGTCTTCCCTCGATTTTCCGTCAAAGCGCCGCCGGTGGAACGTGTGATGAGGTGCGGATGAGATCGTGCTAGGGAACTCTTGGTGGGCGAGAGGTACGAGGCTCTGGTAGGAGTCGTAGGTTGTTGACCGTCATTGTCCGTAGGAATATCCGATTGTGGTTCAGGGCCAGTTATTCTCCGTCTCTTTGCGGGCGAGTTCAGCATTGTGCTTCTGTTTCCTAGAGATGTTGGTCTTCAGTGGACCTTCCTGCTGAGTACTTCGAGGAAGCGCGCCTTGAGGCCGAATAACGCGACGGACTGCCAAGACCAGGACAAGCAGTGACACGGTTTGGATCTAAATGACGATCATGTGATATATATTGTTCCACCAATCACCGTCTGGCTAATTCGCACTTTCCCCGGAAATGGAACCCGCGCGGATCTTTTCGCTTGGGATGTCTACAATGACGACATGTCACGTGCTTCACGACGTCATGAGCAGAAATCTCGGGCTTTGGACTAACCCTCGGTTCTGTCACTTGCGTAAGGAAGTGATTGGGAAGACGTGGGAAGGTAATTCCGTAGCTCCTTCACGTCCTTACAACTTCAGACCGTCTTCTTTTACCAGTCACAAGTCCAACAGCACTGCCCTGAGAGAAACTCATCTTGACACAGCATTCCTTGCAGTCCCGCTGCGTACCATTGACCATTTCCACCATCATGTCCTACCTCAGCCGCAGCTTGACCCCTCTACGGGCAACAGGAAGAGCTTTTCCATCACGATCAGTGGCAGCATTCCATATCTCTTCAGCACGCCGAGGCTTGAACGAAGAGAACATCCGTACGTGACTCTCTGTACTACCGCTGAATTCGAACGATGTCTACTCTTTGGTAATTGCCATCTGTTCCCAGCAGCGTCGAACAATCCACCACCACCGTAGCACAAAGGTTGTCTGTACCCAAGAATTCATATGCTGACACGGCTATCTTCTTAGACCGCGAAGACCGAGACAAGCACATCGAGCATCACAAATCCGATAGCTTGAAGAAAGCAAAGACTGGCCAAGGAGAGTGGAAGCCCGAGCTCGGAAGCAACAGTGAACAGAACGTCCGCGGTGACAAGCATAATATGACGATGGAGCAAATGCAGAAGCTGGGACAACAAAAGGCGAACGAAGATAAGAACCCAGGTGGGAGTGACAGCTCCAAGGGATCGCACCAAGTATAAATGCGAGTTCGAGACTGAAATATCCATTTCCAACGATGCTCGTGGCGGACATGGAGTTCGGAGCTCAAGATGAAATTGATGGCATCAAACCTGCTGATGTCTTGTACATAATATTATAACAATGCTCTGTACTCGAATCCCGGGGCAATCACATTTCATCGTTTGTGTCCCAAATTCTCAGGCATGTGACATATATATTTCAGAACTATCACGTCAGAGCATATATCGAAATCCGCCATTTTCGCTGTTGACCTTTCTGGAGCCTCCAATGAGGGTCTCCTCAACGTCTCCCAGCTCATCGTCCACTTCAATCTTGCCTCCAGCCCTCCCTACTAATTCATACTCCCCACTCTGTGCGGGCTTTGACAGACCATGCCGCTTGTTGGCATGATTGAGCACCAATCTCAATATTCCGGCCAGTCCAGCAACGCCGAATGCCATAAATCCAGCGCAGATGGCCATGCCCTGTACGTATAATGGACCCTGATCTTTAGGAAACACATGTACGCCAATAAGCGGACCGCACTGACCCACGATGTTCAAGAGGGTAAGCCCAGTCCCCTTGCCTGTCGCTGTAGCCTGATTATTCAACGTCCAAGTAATGATCAATGTGACCGAGGAGAATAACCCCATGGCTGCACCATATACACCGACGTAGCGTATCGTTATACTGCCAGCCTCACCCAGGGACTCATGAAGATATCCGGCAATGGAGATGCCAGCGTACGAAAAAGCGCTGAGTAACGAAACGCCTATAAGGAAGAGAGACCTTGAATCGGGCATTCTGTCGCTATACCGTCCTATCAGTAGGACGAAGAAGAAGGCGAAGAGATAGGGAGGAGCTGCTAGTGCTTGAGACGCTAATGGTGAGAAGGACATGCTGTTTATGATTGTCGGGAGGAAGACGGGTAGAGAGCTGAACGACACATTGACGCTGAGGAACATTAGAGCCGTGAGATAGGATTTGGGGTCGAGAATAGTAGAGAGGACGTCCTTGAGATCTAGGCGCCGTGCCAAGGTGGTGCCAGACGCGGACCCGTGCGAATGTGAGTGGTGCTGCTCGGACTGGAGCCTGAGAACGGCGACTTTCCGCTCCCTCGCTGTCAAGTAGCGAGCCTTCGCTGGCGAGTCTGGGATATAGTACCAGGCCGCAACAGCGGCTAGCACTGAGGGGAACCCTTCGACCAAGAACAGCGCCCTCCAAGGCGCGATGGGACCATTCTGACTTATCTTCACGATCACCCAAGCCAGAGAACTTGCAAAACTCGTCGCTAGTGGCGCAGCTGAGATTTGGAGTCCGACTCTATACGCCAGTTCAGACCTTTTGTAGAAATAGGTCATGAAGAAAGGCACCCCAGGACCAAATGCTGCTTCAGTAATCCCCAGGAAGCCGCGCAGGATCAAGAGCTGGCTGAACGAAGTCGTCAAGCTTTGTAGACTTGCGACAACACCCCAGGACATCACGCAGAGTGCGATGTAAACATGTGCCGGGACGAGCCGATATAGCAGAATCATCCACTCGAACCCGATATAAGTGATGTAAAATGCGGTGAGTAGCCAGTCAAATTGCGAAGAAGACAGAGCGAGGTCCTTCTCCAGGCCAGCGATGCGAGCATTACCGATATTAGACCGGTCCAGGAAACTCAGCATGTATAGAAAGCCCAGGAAGATGACGAGTTTCCTGTCCAGTTTGCGGACAACGGCATCCTCTTCTTCATCTGTGTATTCCTTGGATTGTGTCGCGACTCGCTTGAGACGCCTGATCGGCTTGTTCTCCTCTTCACTCTCGCTCTCGTTATCATCACTTCGTTCAAGAGCTGAGGCATGGTGGTGCAGTTTTCGCAGCTCCACAGCGTCGCTGTCGATCTCACGTGAGGCTCTCGCTACGGCGATTGGCGAGTCTTCGCTACTAGACTGCGGCGTCAGAACTGTAGGCGCAGGAGTCACTCTGGAACTAGACCCTGGATTACTGGACTGAGACGAAAGCATGGCCGAAGCTGGGCTTCCTAGCCGGACGTTATCTCGGTTCGAAGGCGCTGCTGACTTCCATGGAGTGGATCAGCACGAGTATTGAGGTCTCGGTGCGATGACCTTGAGATGAGCCCCGGCTGAAGAACCAAGGTCGAGGCAGCCATGTCCTTCGCAGTCATCCGCACGAAAGCAAAGTTGTAGCTGGAGGTAGCCAATCAGGGTCCCACGGGCTGACATACCCCGGCTTAGTCATCAGTACAAAAGACATGAACCTGTGCGCCTCAAAAGTCACCGTGTTTCTGACACTTGGCTTGGGACAAGATGTTTCTTGTTAGCAGGGCATCGAAGGCTCCTTGCGGTAGGAATAGCGCTTTCCTGCTTTGATGGAGTCAAATGGCGAGGGTTTCGAGGCAAATCTCTGCTGCCTGACGGCAACTACGCGAACGCTATCGCACACACGCTTAGGATGTATACTTGTGGCTGGCACAGCGAGAATGCGCTTCACCTGCTTCGACTGTTTGCAGCGGGTTAACTTGACAAATTTGCTCGATTGACGCTCATCATCGGCCATACGGGCGAGATGCTTCCATTTCAGCTAGACAGAGTCACTCGGGTGTCAGGAAGCCAACAGCCCATGGTGGGAGCCAAATTGGAGAGGCAGCTGCAGCAGGTCTGGGATGAGGCGAAGAGGGCGTGATCCTCTCAAGGGCAAGGATTTATCATCCACTATAATATATCGTAGGAGATGAAGCAGTCTGAGATCAAGCAGACCACCATTCTAAAGCAATGTCATATTCCCATCTGAAATCTTTAGTACTTCCTTTTGGCACTTGAAGCAACAGTTGGACAATTCCCCGGCCCGGAAATTTGTAACGCTTCTCGGAAGTGCTGTGCTAAGTGACATGCATGATCTGGTAAAAATGGTCTGCAACAGTCTCCATCGATCAGAAAAGTGAGTCCGAGGAGATCAAGTCTGAAGGAAACCAGGAGAAAGTTTCAGATATTGATACTGAGGCCAGGGGGAAACCTTGGCATGTCATCAGCGTGGCTACCAGGATGTTCAGTGCCTGAATGTCTTCACTCCACAATTCCGGTACGCATCGTGGCATTATGCATCTCAGATCTCGTCGATCACAACACGATTCAGTTTGACGAGTCGATGCGTGCGGTCTTCAGTACATCAATCGTTTATCTTGCGCAAACCGAAATCTCTCAGCGTCCTCGCCCGTGGAGATCCTCGAACAGAAACCTCCATCCAGCTCCTGGTCTCAGCTGGAGCTTCCGAGCGATGGCTAATCCAGCGAGGCTCTTCCCCTACAGGCGAGAGAAACCAATGTCTTGCTACACGCACTTCGATACCACCGTCACCAGCCTAGCTTCATGAAATCTTCTATTTTTGGGGGCGAAGCAGCTCCCTAACCATCTCGTTGGTGTTCAGAAATCAAAGGCTCGTATTTCCCGACTTCTAGGGGGATGGTGCCGTCGTGTTACGCGTGCAATTTCCCAAGCCGTCGAGCCGTCGACACACGGGGTCACGGATGGAGGCTGAGCAGCCGCTACTGAGTACCACCCAACGTCCTTACCCGGTAAGTTTTATAACCCGCCAAATCTCCCATTATTCAGCTCTGAGGTTTGTGCTCGAATTTTGCATTTTGAACATTTTCAGCTGGCCTGTTCGTCGTCGTATTGCATTCACAGTCACTCTTTGGACACCTTTCGTCGCTCATTACAAAAAGTCGGTCATTATCATCTTCGTTCCACCAAGCACAACCTTCCAACAACCGCTGTCAGAAGATCAAGTCAAGCCTAGAATATACGTGTAATCCAAGATGCATTCACTCATCGCTCCCCTCCTCGCTGCAGGCCTTGCTAGCCTTGCGCAAGCCTACACCAAGCCCGGCGCAAACACCTGGGGACCATTGCTCGAGCCAGACTTGAGTCATGTATGTTCCCCTCGACCCCCGAAGGTCCCTTGACTGACAAGCTCCCCAGCCCATCACCCAAGGCGAAAGCTTCACAGTGACATGGGACCCCGAGGACCATCCCACTAGCGACGTAACTGTCAGCTTGGTTCTCTGTCAAGGTCCATCAACCAACTGCGTCCCCTCCGACAGCGCCATCGCCTCCGGCATCCCAGCCAGCCAAAAGTCCTACGATTGGGAAGTCCCATGCGACCTGGCTCCAGGCACCCAGAACACCGCCACCGGCTACGGTATGATGATCATTGTCGACGGAACAGGTGAATTCCAGTACTCCACTCAATTCTCCTGCCTCGCCAGCAAGACCTGCTCGACCTCGGGTTCCAGCTCCTCCAACAGCACAGGTGCCACCACAACCACCAGCGGCAGCTCCGTGATCGTCATGCCACCCACGCAACAAACCGGATCATGGTCCTCCGGCGACTCCTCCCACCCAACAACTACGGCCAGCGGACCGTGGAGCTCAACCACCGGTCCGTCCTTCTGCTTTGACTGCTCTTCAACCTTGGCTACAATAAGCTACAGCACCGCTTCAGAGGGCAGTGTTGTTACTGCCAGCGCGACGGCAACCATTACCTCCGCTGCCGCCGGCACCACAGTCGCCGCGACGGGCACCTCATCTGCCCCGGCTTCGACCTTCACTGGCGGCGCGGTGGCGATCGGTCTCAATGGGGCTGGTATGGCGTTGGCTGGCGCTGTCGCGTTATTCGCCTTGTAGAAGGATCATGTCAATGGCGAAGGCGGGTTTATCGATGGTGCATGGGTTTGTGTTTGCATATAGCAAGGGCGTTCCAAAGTGGGTGAAGCATAGAACGGGCATTTGGGAACCAACTGAACTTCATTCAATATCATTATCTGGTGAGGAATACTCCGTACTCCTGGCGCAATTTCTATTCGGATCAACGCTAGGGGCATATCGATGCTAAAGGGGCCTTGCCGCCTCTGAACATGATGCTTAGAGATGATGACCACTTGAAAATTAAGGCCCATCCATGCGTCTTTCTGCTGAACCATGTCCACTTACGGGCATAACCATGGTCAGAAGGCAGTCGGGAATCGCTGGGCACCTACGAGTAGCTGCGCCTTTCTAGTAGCATTTTAACAAAGCCTAATATGGTTGGTTCTTGGCACATGCGGGGCACAGTTTCTTTCTTGCTTATCTAAGCTACTCAATCTGACACGTGACTCTGATGGTCCCGCTCACACGGCTCGTCTTTCTCGGTCATTCGCTGTTCGACATCCTTCACGAGTACCTCAGTGTACCATCCTTGATTCAACTCTGAAAGATCTCCGTACCACTTTAGAAACTTCATCCTTTCACTTGCGAGGCTTGTACGAGTCCACCTCTCGTCTCGAGTACCCATAGCTGCGACGACGCTCTCTCGGACTTGCACTTCGTGAACGGCACGCCTCGTCATCGCTGCGGTCGCGCTCATCCCTGTCTCTGTCTCTTTCTCGATCCCGATCCCTATCTCTATCTCTGTCCATGATGTCCCTGGCTGCGCCGCCTTCATATGTGTATGCACCTCCTCCATAGCCACTGTCGGAGCTCTTGGACGGGTAGGGGTTCGATCGACGGCGTCCTGCTTGTGATGAGCCATAGCCTCCTGCACCGCTTGCATTAGTACCACCACCTGGACCACGCGGCGCGCTTCTGAGACTGTCCATCTCGACGGTGTCGAACTTGCGCTTCTTGCCGCCGGACAAGGAGACCACGGTTGCCTTGGCCATGTTGAACGTCGACTGCAGCTCGGTCAGCGCGTTCGGGTCGATGACTTTGTCGCTCAGATATTGGAGGGTGTTTTCGGCCGTGTCGCGAAGAAACTTGGCTGCTTCGATGGTCTCGTGGCCCTCCACCCCGGAGACGGCGAAGTAGTCTGCCTTGGCTCGTTCGTAAACCTGCAGGAGTCGCGCGACTTGTGGTTCCTTGTCTTGTTTCGCGCCTGTTTGGTGGACGGAATCGCTTGGTTCTGGCTCGGGAGCAAGGCTTCGTCGACCGGTATCTCTCGGGTTGTTGGTGGTCATCTCTGGCACACGGCAAAAGTCAGACTAAGACAAACCCGCGAGATCTGGGCCTGGGGAAGGGTGAGTTACCTCTCGTCAACAACTTGGGGACATCCATGGTCTGATGAAGAACTCGGCTGGTCTCTTCACAGCTTGCTCCAGTATTGATGCCCAGGTACTCCTCGCAGTAGTACTGGATCGCCGCTGGGTTGTCCAAGTCTGTGCCGTTCTGCGTGAGCTCCAAAAGCACTTTGTCGAAGACGGTGATGTGAGCATCTTCAAAGGCTTGTGAACGAGACCTGATCAACTGCAGCTGGCGATTGAACATCTCGAGGAACGCAGCTTTGTGAAGCGCCATGAAGCTGTTGAGGGCTGGACTGAAACCCGCCATGTTGCGCGTTTTATCAACCAGCTCTTGCACCTCGTCTTGCGGATCGCGTTGCGTGGAGTGGAGTCCAGGAGAAGAGAAGAAGAGGTCGTCGTCTGGGGTGGTCGTCTCTCCTAGTGGCGACATATTGCCGGACATTTTCACAACACGCGTCCAAAACAAGACGACGATCGCGACGACATCAAACAATTGGTGAGTGGAAAGGTCAGAACTCAGTGAAAGATGAGTGAGCCATGATTTTGAAGGAGATGCATTGCCTTTTTTCTGCCAAACCGATAAACAAAGCGAGGCTGCTAACACTCCGCCTTCACTTCACCGGCTCACCGGCGAAGGATCACTATGACAGGTAAGTGAGCCGACTGTCTTGAAGCCATTGTTAACCTCCTGCCTTACTTGCTACTGCTTGTGGAAGAAAGGCGTTGTGGTCCCTAGCTACAAGGCGGCCCATCGTCGTTCAGTTGGAACTACATTAATTGATGCCATTCATTAGATGGACGCACTTCTCCCATGGGGAATAGTCAATCCAAATGACTATTGCTGGTGGAAAGGAGCAAAGAGAGGTATTCTCAGGCTTGGAGTGCCTCTACTGCTCCTGTTCCTCCGTCCACCTCGGACGGACAGCCTCATCTGGCAAGAGAAGAGCAATCCAAGGCGCCATTCACCAGTTTCGAAGGGGTACCGCAGCTGTAAGCAAGGTAAAGCCCGGGCATGGACAGTGTACAATATTGAAGATACCAAGTCATGGTCAAGAATTATATTGCTCTGAACACTGCCCTTGTCCTTTATTTGTCAATCGAAGCAGCTGAGCTTCTCTCCAACGTGAAACAGTCTGAAAGATGTGGAACCCTGCAGAAGGTAGATAAAGTTGTCGTTCATGAACCGACAATAAACCTACTGGGAAAGGCCATACGATACACAGTCAACTATCAAGCTAGAAGGGGACGAGAATATGATTGACTTGTTTCGCATTAAGCGGAATCTATCTCTGTGCAGGTAGTGCAAGATGCAGACCTATCTCGAGTTCCATGGTCGAAATCTCGGATGATAAGAGTAGTTAGCTAGATGCCTGTAAGCTGCTGCTTTGCTTGCTTGTTTGATTGCTTGTTTGCATATTCAAGCTCCAGGAGCCATATCACCAGTCTATCATACAAACAAAAGGAAATAGTTGATCACCACCCAGCCAGTGGAAGAATGAACGAGCTTCAGCTCAAATAAGAAGGACGCCGTTCGCCTGCCTGCCCACATCAGCTCCATCCATCCCTGGCCCCATTCAAAGGCACCCGATTGCACAGCACTCAAGTCGATAAGAAAACTTTTGGGTAAAGGCATGATTGCCTAACATGAACACGATGATCATGCAATTTGAGAGGATGTTCTGTTGAGACAAGCGATCGGACGAGAAGAGAACCGACTTAAGCAGTGGCTTCAGGGCCCTCTGCTTTGGAAGCGTCCTCCTCCTTAGTGCCGTTGGGACCAGCCTCGCCGCCACGGCTCTTCATGTAATCGTCGTAGACACTGAGAGCTTCATCAACCTTGGAGCGGAGAGCAGCGTCATCATCAACCCTGAAAATGGTTAGTTCAGCATCGACAAATAGTACAAGAGCATGACTCACAAAGAAAGCAGTTCCGAGTTGTCCATCTCGAGCAGCATACCAGTAATCTTGCCTGCAAGTTCTGGTTGCATTTGCTGGATCTTGGGATAGATGGCCTCGCCGAGCATCTGTTTCTGTTGGCTAGGAGGGAGAGATGCAAGGTTGGAGAGAGTGCTAGGAGCAGCGACCTCCTCACGATTAGGCATCATCTGTCCACGACCTTGAGGAGGCATGCGGCCGGCACCTTGACCACCTGGCATGTTCTGCATACCACCTCGGCCGCCGCCTTGTGGGAAGTTGGGTCCACCACGAACTCCGCCCATGGCCTGCATATTGGGAGGCATACCCTGCATACCTTGCATCTGACCGCGACCACCTGCCCCACGACCCATTTGAGCTTGCATCTGAGCCAGAGCTTGAGGGTTGTTGTAGATGCCATTGACTAGAGCAGGGTTTTGCATAAATGGCATCTGGCCAGGCATACCGAAGTTTGGTGGCAATTGTTGACCTTGGGGCATGCCACGGCCTTGTTGGGGGAATCCACCTGGGAATTGACCACGACCACCTTGCATGCCAGGAATGACCATACCTGGCTGACCAGCAAAAGGCATGCCACGCTGTGCACCTGGGGGCAAGAATGATTGACCGGGACCATAGAAGACCGCAGGTTGAATGTAACCCTGGGGCATACCAGCTGCTGCCGCTTGCTGCTGTTGGCGAAGGGTGTTACGTGCCTGGATACTAGCCTCAAGCTGATTCTTGCGAACATCCTTGCGCTGAGCGAGAGCAACATACAGCGGCTTTTGGTTGACCATCTTCTGGTTCATTTCCGAGACAGCCTTGGAGGCTTCATCGGGGTTGCTGAAGCAAACGAAACCGAAACCTTTGCTCTTGCCAAAGGTCTTGGAGGAAGACTTCTTCTGCTCCTTGGTGTCATCCTTGGAGTCTTCCTTGGATTCGTCCTTGGCCTCTTCCTCGGACTCTGGCTTAGCCTCCTCTTGAGTCTCGCCAGCTTCTTCTTTCTTGTTCTCCTTGTCCTTGTCGGTAGCTGGAGAGGCGCTACGGTCAGAAGTGTCGCGCATGACCTTGGCAGATGTGATGGTGCCAAAACTGCTGAAAAGATCGCGGAGTTTGTCATCATCCACGTCGTCGGACAAGTTCTTGACGTACAAGTTGACACCTTGATACTTGGAAGCCTTCTCCATGCGGGCAGCCTCGTACTGCCTACGAAGCTCCTCCTCACGTTCGTGCTTCTTCTGAGCACGACCGACATAGAGGTTCTTGCCATGGAAGTCTTTGTCGTTGAGTTCATCGACGGCTTGGGCCGCGGCTTCGTGAGAGACGAAGTTGACGAAGCCAAAACCACGGCTCTTGCCAGTCTCGTCACGAGTGATAGTCGCGGAGACAACATCGCCATATGGCTCGAAGAGTTTAGTGAACTCTTCATCAGTAACGGACTCGTCAATATTCTTGATGTACACGTTTGTGAAGTTGGCCTTCATCTCTTCGAATTTGCTCTGACGATCTCTCTTGGCGATGTGGTGGCCGACAAAGACCTTCTTATCGTTCAGCAACATTCCGTTGACAGACTTGATGGCTGAGTTGGCGGCTTCGGCAGTCTCATAGTGGACGAAGCCGTAACCCTTGGAGTTGCCCATTTCATCTTGAGCAACCTTGCAGCTGAGAATGTTGCCGAATTGAGTGAAGGTATCGTGAAGCGCCTTGTTGTCAATGGCTGAGTCCAAGTTCTTGATGAAGACATTGCCTTGACCGGTGCGGCGGAGCGCGGGATCACGTTGCGACCACATGATGCGGCATGGACGGCCTTTGATGCTGGTATAATTCAGATCTTCCAAGGCTCGTTCTCCATCAGCGGTGTTGTTGTAGTTGACATAAGCATAGCCCAAGGAACGACGGGTGACGGCATCGCGGCAGACACGGATAGAGGCGACTTGACCGATGGAGGAGAACAACTCGAAGAGCATGGCCTCAGTGACGGAGGGATCCAGCTCACCGACATAGAGGGAGGCAGAGTGCTGCGCGGTGTTCGGGGTGGTAGCCGAGTAGGGAGTCTGCTCGTCGTTGGCACCTTCAGGCTGCGCAACATTGGTGTTGATGGCAGGTGCGCCGTTCTGGGTAGGAGCATCGGAGGCACCGTTTTGAGCGGCGGCCGGGGCGGCACTGGAGGTATCGGCTGCAGACATATTTGCTATAAACCGTCAGTAGGATCTCAGGAATGTGACATCCAAAGGCAGGACGGATTATGGACGTCTTTGTTCGACAGTTGCCCCAATGAAAGGGCACAGAACAAAGAAGCGCTCACCTTTCTTTTCGATTTTTTTTAGTCGTCGTCGAAATGAAGGTATTGACAGGGACCGTGAATTGTAAGGTAGAGGTATGGGTAAGCGATATTGGGATAAAGTCGGAATACTGCCACTCAGTTAGATGAATGCCATTTTTGAGCGCGGCTCACATTTGGATGAAAAAGGGTGCGCAGGCTCAACTTACAACACGACCCGAGGGTTTTTGAAGAGGTCTTTTCACGTTTTTTTGGGGCACGAGTAATTTTCGAGAGGGAAGGGGCAGGACAGCAAGCGACTGCAAGGAAGACAGGCAGACGATGCTGAAGAAAGAGTTGAAGCTGAGATTTGTAGATGCGGTGGTGGTGAAAGGTGCGAAGGCAGTCCGCTAAAAGTGTCATGCAATCAAAAGAATTTCTAATCGTAACGCCATGCCACATCCGGTAAGCGCGATCCAGCTTACAACGGCCACTTGTTTCTCTCTATCCCCTCGCTTCCAGCACAGCGCGCGAGCAGTCGCAAGCCTCTCACCCTAATTGTACATAGTCGAATAATACAGCTTGTAGAATTCATGCAGCAGTTGGTCTAGGTCGAAGACCGATGGACTGTCTCAAACGTTTCTCTTTAGCTTCTCTTCCCCCATTTGTAGGTAAACCCAACTCCTGTAGGACAGTATCAAGCCTCTGGTCCTCCATGTTCGGAATATCACCAGATTTTGTAGGAAACCATTCGATCAAGGTATTAGTCAATGGACTTATTAGTGGTGTAAGTCGATCGGAGGATCTCGTAAGATAAGAGTTTTGAACTCGAGCTGAGGCGTTATGATCACTATAAAGTTAGTACTTATTATTCAAGAATATAAGTAATACTTACTTTGCGGCGACTCGAGTAGCGAGCGTGTCAATTTTGTTATCAAGCTGATCAAATCTTTGAGCGAATTGAGCGTTAACTTGAGCGAATTGAGCGTTGATTTGAGCGAATTGAGCGTTCATTTGAGCGTTGACTTGAGCGAATTGAGCGTTGACTTGAGCGAATTGAGCGTTCATTTGAGTGGTGAGCTGTTGAATAGCATTGCCTTCAGCCAGCGCCGGTACGTTTGGAAGCTTTGTAAATTCCTCGGTGAAACCGTGGAGATATTGTACCATAAGATCAGTATCTGGCTGTGGACCGATAATAATTGGGTCCGCCATGATGGTGGTGGTGATGGTGGTGAGAGTGTTGAGAGTGGTGTTTTGTTTACTTTTGAAGGAGTGAGTCGCGTGCAGTTTTACCATTCCTTGGCGGACAACTGCCAGATCTGGTTCGCAGTTTCCGGATTACGGACTGCGGCGATAACCTGGTGACCCTCGTCCAGCAATTGACGCACAAATTCGAGACCGATGCCTCTACTGGCCCCCACGATGAGCCAAGTAGACGGAGGCATTCCGAACAGCAGACAGGAGGAAGAGGGCACTTCCAATACACTACTCTCATTCTCGCACGATGGCTGGATGCTGAGAAGGGAAATTGTGGAATCGTAACATGGGTTCAGAGCGGAGTGTCGGCAAAAGATGATGGTTGCTGGACGAAACCTCTATTCCTCGACTGGACCTTCTCCAGCTCTGCAATAGCTGAGGTGACGGGGAAGTCGAAGCGAGAAATGCAGAAGCATACCGAAGGAACGTGCATCAGCCAGGAGTTCAAGGGCTGAAGGGCACCAACCAGAGCAACACATTACTACTGATTTGTGAACAACTGTGCATAACATGCAAACTACCGCGGAACGTTGTTGGCGGCTGGTCTATTCATTTAGCCTCTTTTGTTTTGCTAATTCTATATGTAGCGTAGATTCGTATAGTGCATAGCCATTCCATGCTTCCAAGGGTTCCCATTGACTTGAGAAAGCTGCAATTCAACATACTTGGGGTCTGACTCGGGATCTATCGCGAGCTGCAGCCACAATCCCATCCCTTAGATGAGTTGTTGGAAGGCACGGTTGATTGGCGATCTAGGCTTCAAGCCTTTGTAGAAATCGACCGTGGCCGATGCACGTTTGGCAATACCCTCGGGAGTGAACTCGAATTTCTAGGTAATGTTAATTAGTGTAAAGCGTCAGAAGTCGCGGGAAGAATTTACCTTGTACACCTCCTTATACGGGCCGGAAGCACCGAACCGGTTGAGACCGAATTGCTCATGTGAGTATTTCTCCCAGCCCAAGGTGGACATGACCTCAACCGACATGGTAGGAATTCCGTCAGGAATACACTTGAGTTGGTAGTCTTTGGGCTGGGCATCGAACACCTCTGTGCAAGGCATAGAGACGACGCGGCCTGTAAGGTTGTACTGATCCTTCAACACTTTGATGGCCTCAATGCAGATGGAGACCTCTGAACCGGTGGAAACCAGGGTGACATCCGCGCTCTCAGCCTCAACAGCGACATATCCACCCTTGATGCCGTTTTCTATCGTGGAGTTCTCAAGTTGAGGGAGATTCTGTCTTGTCAAGGCAAGAATAGATGGAGTGCCGGTCGAAGTGAGGGCCATGTAATATGCGGCGGATGTTTCGTTGCCATCGGCAGGTCTCCATACCATCATGTTGGGAAGAGCTCGGAAATGCACCAAAGTCTCAATAGGCTGATGTGTGGGTCCATCTTCACCAAGACCGATAGAGTCGTGAGTGGCCACGTAGATGACTCGTTGATGTGACAGCGAGGATAGACGGACAGCACCGGCAGCGTAGGAGACGAAGTTCAAGAAGGTACCTCCTGCAGGGATGAGAGTACCGTAGGCGGACATACCGTTCATGATAGCGGCCATGCCGTGCTCTCGCACACCATATCGAAGGTATCTCCCGGTCCAGTCGCCGATGCCGAGAGACGGTGGTTGGAAGTCAACAGCATCCTTCCATCGGGTGTTATTGCTGCCAGTCAAGTCGGCAGAACCGGACAGAAGCTCAGGGACGGCCTTGTGAATGGCCTCCAAGACGCTCTCGGAGGTCTTACGGGTAGCAGTAGCTGCGTCGGTTGGCTTCCAGACGGGCAAGCTCTGCTCCCACCCATTAGGAAGTTTTCTCGTCAGCCGTCGGCTGAGTTCATCTGCGAGCTCCTTGTGTTCGCCTGCATACTTCTTGAAGAGATCGTTCCAGGCTTGTTCAGCGGCTGCACCCTCAGCAGCGTGCTTGCCGTACATGTCGTAAACTTCTTGAGGCACGACGAATGACTCCTCCGGGTTGAAGCCAAATTTAGACTTGACTTGCTTCGCATCATCAGTCTTGAGTGGGTTGCCATGGACACCACCAGTGCCTTGGAGCTTGGAACCAAAACCAATGGTGGTTGTCAACTTGATCATGGAAGGCTTGTCCTTGACCTCTTTTGCCTTCTTGATTGCAGCTTCGATGGCTTCGAGGTCGTGGTCGGCGTCCGCAACATGCTGCACGTGCCAACCATAGGCTTCAAATCGTTTATCGACGTCTTCGGTGAAGGCACATTTGGTGTCACCATCTAGGCTCGTCAGCTTTTCCTTACAATTCTCAGCTTCAGCTAAAACCCACCAATGGAAATGTGATTGTCATCATAGAGGGCGATCAGGTTGCCCAGTTGAAGATGACCAGCAGTCGAAGCAGCTTCACTTGCTACACCTTCCATGGCACATCCGTCGCCGAAGAACGTGTAGGTGTAGTTGTTGATCAGGTCGTAGCCTGGCTTGTTGAACACGCCAGCGGTATGCGCTTGAGCTATAGCCAAACCCACAGCATTGGAGAAACCTTGACCAAGTGGTCCTGTCGTTACCTCAATACCTGGGGTGTCGTGGGCTTCAGGGTGGCCAGGAGTGATGCTGTCGACTTGCTAAAAACAAGTTAGAATACAGATAGTCACCAGATAAAGATCCGGACGTACACGGAAGTTCTTCAGGTCGTCCATTGACACACCGTAGCCAAAGAGATGGAGGAGAGCATATTGCAGCATGCAACCGTGGCCATTTCTGTATCATGTCAGTTATCTGCTCAACCTCGCTCGTAATTTACATGGTGAATGCTCCATTTGCGCCGGTCTCGACAAACATGACGCAAAGCCAGCTGCTACAGAATGCTGAGACCGGCTAGCTGCCGGAAAGGGGGCATTGAACAACTCCCAGAACCTCCATCTCTTACGCTTGTGGGGTATGTCAAAACAGCAAGTCTGTACTCACGAGAGGACGAATCGGTCGCGGTTAATGAAATCTGGGTTCTTGGGGTTGAAGGTCATGAATTTGTTGAACAGGACATGGGCGGCAGGAGCCAGGCCTGAAGGAGGAGGGCGTCAGTCTTCTTTCTGGCGATGCATCAGTTGTTTCTTACCCATAGGGGCACCAGGATGGCCACTGTTCGCTTTGAGAGTGGCATCGACCTGAAGCATATCAGTAAATAGCCCCGTTGTTGCGGTTGGATGGCGGGGCAGAAAACATACCGCAAGCAGTCGGATAGTGTTGATGGCCTTCCAATCGAGATCTGAGTACCCCATTTTCGCAGCTTGGTGTGAGATGTGAAGATGGAAATAGTTCAAAGGAGAAAGATGATGGTCTGAAAAGTCTCGAAAGGCTGTTGAGAAATTTTACAGCTGTTGAACCACCGGGATTGCTCAGTTGCGGCTAAATCTGCCAAATCTGCCTGCGCTGTAAATGGCGGGGCAGTCTCGCGCAGTAGTTCTGGATCTGGTGAAGTCACTGTGACCAAAATTGCTGTGTCCGCCGGCGGCCGCTTTCTGCCAATAATGCCGCTTGAAATCTGTTCCGACACTGTTGCTGGGCAATTGGCGTCTCAATGGAAGTTTCAAGGAGATAATTCAAAACCGAAACGTCTATCAGCAGAAGAGCAAACACTCAGATGGTGTCAGATTGAAGGCGGACGGCTTGCGTCAAACATGTCCATATAATAACATAACTGTGTATCGTGTTGCCGCGATGCCTCAAAATGCATGCAAATCGCTTACGGAAGCAATTCTGCAGGTCCCTTGCTGACTACGTTCTGGCAAAGCCAGTCAGGCCAGCACATCCTGCTTTCCGCTTCGAGCGAGATTCACAGCTTGCAAATGGCCTGATTGTCCCATGGTACCTGCTGAGGTGTGCATCGAGAAGGACGACAGGCACCCGCCACGTGCTTGAGTACGTTCCCACTGCCATGCCCCTCCATTTTTGCTGGTCCCAAGTCAGCTTCGTCTTATCAGGCACTCAGGATAACCAGACTATTCTTGTCGAAGTCGGAGGGGCCTGGCTTTGGTGACAGTTAGCAGCGCTTTCTGTTCTCGGCATTCACGGAAAGATCGATCTCAACGATCTTGTTGCCATCCCCTGTGTATTCTCATACCATGTCGATTCATGACCGAACGATGCCCCTTTTGTAAAACCTGAATCCGGCCCAGAACCTTCCACGCCTCGCTATGCAATAAACTAATTCACCACCTCATCATAATAGGACAAGTACCATCTAGTAAGATCCGTATCCTCCACCGTATGGAGTTGCGCCGTAAGGAGCTTCGCCTGGACGCAGCGCACCATACGCACCATAACCTCCATTAGCTGGTGCAGGTTCGTACCCATCTGGACTTTGTGCGCCGTTCATGCCATTGACTTCGGGTCCAACACCATCCAGCACTCTGACTGTGTCTGCGAGTTTGTTCTGCAACACCTTGATGCCCTCCCTTACAATGTCCACAGGCTCAAGAGTACCGACGCCCTCGACATCCACGAAGAAAGCACTTGGAACTGCATCGGGGTCGAAGGCAGCATCAGCAGCTGTGTCGTCACCTTCCCAGTTGGCATTGCGTTGGTCGACAGGCCACTCTTCCTTCGCATCGGTCTCGTACCAGTAGTCCACATGTCGTAACTTGTTGTTCGGGTCGTACTCAAACCCCAAGGCTGAAGTTGGCGCCCACTTCGCGTGTTCTTTCGCAATGCCCTTTTTTGCTATGCATTTTAGCTCGATCTCCTGGCCTTGTCTCAATTTGGCTATCAGGGGACCGTCACCATTGCCATCTCGGATGACTGGCGAGCCAATACCATCGGAACGTAGAGAAGCTGGCATGCCATCGGGACGCATGGTAGGTACGACGGTGAGATCGCGAGCATAGACCATCATAGTGCCCGGTCTTGTACACTTGACATGGAGCTTCAGCTCGACAGAACAGTATTCGCAATGGTCATCACAGTCGCACTCTCTGGTGTATCTCAATTTTTCCGCCACGCCCTTGCTGAAAAGAGGCACTAAACCTAGTCTATGCGCTAGGTACTCGTCCGGCAGAACTGAGGAATTTGTGGTAATGTCGACAAGATCGATGGCGATTGTTGGGATTTCAGCGAGCATGGCGCGACGCAAGGAATTGGCCAGGGCAAGGGAACATGATTGCAAAACAAAGTCGCAGCGATCTTGCTCGACCTGTATTCGTTAGATCGGTGCGAAGCGAGGGCGAAAGGAAAGATGACTGACTTCTCTCACGGTCACTTTGGGCCCGGAAGTCTCGACACCATCCATCTCTTCACCATAGCCATTATAACCGTTGTACGCCATCTTTGCCAGATCTCCACTGGCTGTATGATGCGCTGCTCACGCAATAAGGAGACCAGAGGCGGGATAACCACAACCCGAGCAGTTGGAGTGGAAAGTGAAATGCGAAGAAGAACGGAGAGAGGCGCCGCGACTTGAATCTTTTGCATGCCGCTTACCCTCACTACTGTACAGCCTTGCCCAACGTCCTTGGCAATAACTCACGTGCAAGGCTGTACCATCATCAGCACGTGCAGCACCCTCTTGACTGCGAGGCTCGACAGTTCTGGGACGATTGACGTTCCGGAAAGCATTCACGGCTCTGGATGGCCAGCTATAAAGTACCTCCGAATTGGTTTACAGACGTCGTGGCTAGAACATTTGCGAGACATTCCATGCAGACAGCGCCGAGTAACTTACGTACCTGATAGCCTTCAGCGAAAACTCGTGTCGCTGCTTGGCTGCATGCCTCGGAAAATATTGGCCATGGCCCTGGAGCTAGGAAACGAGGATCCCGCCTGGCGCCTGTGAGTGGCACTTACTTGCGAGCCAGTCGTGGCCAGTGTCCAATGGATGCGGAGTCGAAAGCACATTCATTCTCCAGCATCGTGGCATCCCACCTTGTCTACACTTTGCGGCTCTCGCATATTAGTACCCTTTGACACTCGTTTTGTTGCGCTCCGAATGCTTCCTTTCAACCTCAGCTTGCCTGCAGCCTCTCGTTTCCTGTCCTACACACCGCCATTCGCAACACGAGTCCCCCTGCCTGATTCACCCGCCCATTGACCTGTGCGATTTATGCCTGCAGGATCACCTGCCTTCTCACTCTCGCACTTTCTCAACGAAGAACCAGCTGGGATTAGAGCACGCGGACGCATGGTTAGGCTCGAGCCAACACCCAGACTTGTCCAGAGCTTGCGTTCATAGTGTCGGACGCGCAAGATTTGACCACATACAAGAATATCCAATGCGTTACCGTCGATAAAGTTTTTGTCCAGAGGAGTGTTGGTAACGGCTGATGAAGCGCATGGCCGTACAACGACAATGGCTCAACTGCATTTTTGTTGGCCTACTGATGCTTGTCTCTGCATCTCTATCGCAGTATCCCTTGCCGATTGCCAATGAGTCTTTGAGAGTAATATCTTCTCCGCTCAATTCAGACATCACGATCAGTTTCAAAAACCCCTCGGTTGGGACATGCACAACAGTTTTTGCGACTCAGAAGCAGTTTACCGGTTACGTGACTTTGCCACCGAACGTGCTGGATCCTAGCCAGGGGAATTATACGATCAATACTTTTTTCTGGTTCGTAGAAGCAAGACAGCTACCGGAGACGGCTCCTTTGACCATCTACATCAATGGCGGTCCGGGTTCAAGCAGCATGGTGGGCCTTTTTCAGGAAGTAGGTCCTTGTCAAGTCATCGAGATTGCAGAAGGAGAATTGGGAACTATTGCTCGCGACTGGGGCTGGGATCGTGGTAGCAATATTCTCTTCATTGACCAGCCTGTCCAAGTTGGGTTTTCCTATGACACCTTAACGAATGTGTCTCTCAACTTACTCAACGAGCTGATTGTCAACCCATCCACATCCGTACCTGTCACCCAGCCTGACTACACCTTTCTCAATGGCACATTTGGATCTGGAGTTCCCTCATTTACTGCAAATACATCACAGATCGCTGCTCAATCACTTTGGCACTTTCTCCAAACATTTTTGACCTCATTCCCTGGGTACAACACAGCACTTCGCTCTGACAACAACCGGTCATCGGCAGAGATACATCTGTTCACGGAGTCGTTCGGGGGCAGGTATGGGCCTGCCATCGGAGATTTTCTCCAGTCTCAAAATGCCCGCCGAGCGACCGATGTCGACTTTGCGAACGGCACCATCGACATCAGCCTTGTCTCGCTTGGTATCATCAACGGCTGGATCGACTTACTTGTCCAGACTCCTTTCCATCCGAAATTCGCTTATGAAAACAGTTATGGCATAGAAGCGATTACCCAACTTGAAGAGCTTAACGCTTTGAGCGCTTACGGCAATGCTGATGGGTGCCAGCAGCGGACAGCAAATTGCAGAGCACAGGAGGCTGCCCTCGACCCGCTCAGCTATGGCAATGTTGACGTTGTCAACGACGCATGTTCAGAAGCGCAATTGTATTGTCAAACATACGTGGTCGGCGCTTACACCATGTCGAATCGCTCCATTTATGACATTACCCAAGACCGCCTCATGCCATTTCCTGATTCCTACTACCTCGAGTATCTGAATCAGCTCTCCGTGCAACAAGCCATTGGTGTCCCAGTCAATTACACGCAAGATTCGATGGCGGTATTTACCGCATTCAACGCGACGGGCGACTATGCGCGCAACGGCATGATCCAGGACCTTGTCAATCTTCTCCACTCCGGTGTCAGGGTTGCACTTATCTATGGCGACAGTGACTACATCTGCAATTGGTTGGGGGGTGAGGCTGCCTCCTTCGCTATTGCAGGCGCCGCCGGACCAGCCTACCAGCCCTGGTATGCAGCTGGCTATGCTCCTATCGTAGCGAACAGCTCCTATGTTGGCGGTGTAGTTCGACAATATGGGAACCTGAGTTTCAGTCGGATCTACGATGCCGGTCATTTGGTCCCTGCATATCAGCCAGAGACAGCTTTCACAGTGTTCTCGAGGATTATTAACGGTGACGATATCAGCATGGGCAATCCGGCTGACCTGTCCACATATGGTTCTGTGGGAGACAGCAATGCCACTTTCCAGAATGCTGCCTCGCCTATGGCCAGTCCAACGTGCTTCAGGCGCGCCGTAAACGAGACGTGTAACACAGACCAGAAGAATATGCTGGCAAACGATGCAGGAGTACTCATTAATGGTGTTCTCTATGAGCAGGAGTCGGATTGGCAGTCGCCCGACCCGAGTCTGCTGACCATTGCGGGAGTCCCTGGCACAGCGCCGACGAGTATGATCACAAGCGCGCCAACCCCGGTTTCCGCTACACACGTGGCGTCATCAGGACCTTCGAGGACTCTTACTAATGTCGGGACGAAGACAACGACAACAGGAAACAAAGACACTACTTCCCTTCCCACAGGAGTGTACACTGCGACGGGTGTTCCGCCCACCTCGAGTGCAGAGAGAAGTGGCGCCAGCGCGACAAGTGCGGCATCGACGCACACGAAAAGTAATGTATTCGGTTCATTTTCATTTTTCAGAGATACCCAGTCTGGCACAGCGGCGTTGGTCTATGTTTCTGTGGTTGGTTTATTGAGTCATGGCTTTTTAACATAATATAACTCCCTCAATTGGATGGTTCGTCGCTCGATCGTCGGCCAGAGAGACCTCTCCAAAAGGATGGATTGTGCATGTATTACAGCAAAAGGAGGGCAGATACGATTTGACGTGTCTGTTATAATCATAACGTAGCTGAATGATGCATGGGTAATGGATTACTTTTGTGTGAATCAGGGGATTAATCTTTCCGAAGGAGGCTGCAGTAAATGCGTGATTGCGCACATCTATGTCCATACAAGTCAAGCCATCCCAGATACCACCTGTTTGGATGTTGGTGATTGAGAATGAATTCCATCCACCGAGCCACCTTTCTCCGCAGTTGCCTTCGACTCCACAAAACAATTCTCGTCGCGGCTGCGCTGTTGATAGGATCTCGCAACTACCTTGACCACGATTTGCCATTATATCTTCTCAAGTCTATCAGCTGGGAAAGCAAAAGCCCAGACTCAAGCCGCCGGGTGCAGGAAATCGAAGTCTGCGCGTGTTCGTCTAGGATGTATACGCCATCATGACAATAACCTCCATCTCTCGCATCACGACCGAACGTCGACTCCCTACTCCCCCCCAAGATGGCCAGCCAGATTCGCAGCCTCAAGTATATCCTGCTCCTGACTTCCCTTTCAGAGGATGGCAGCCTCCTCAGCCAGAGGGTTACCGGCAAAGCGCAGCGAACCCATCAGAGAATGCCATCGTCATTGACAATGGTACGCATCCTGCGCCTTTGAACCACTACAATGCTAACTGCCACTTTTGTAGGCGCCAGCACTATCAAAGCTGGGTTTTCCTTCGACAAAAACCCTCGACTCCTCGTACCCCCACTCGTTGCAAAATACAAGGACAGAAAATACAACAAGTATTGCATGTTCGTAGGCCATGACGCTTACGCAGATGCCACCACTCGTGGACAGATCAGAACAGCCTTCGAACAAAACACGAGTATTCCGACGAATTGGGACATAATGGAAAACATATACGATTACATCTTTCTCAAGCTCGGAGTGGACAATGAAGGAAGCGTGGGGAGACCACTTGTTGTGACGGAGCCAGTGGCGAACCTGGGTCACAGCAGAAGGATGATGAACGAGATGCTGTTCGAATGCTATGGAGTTCCCAGTGTCACATATGGAATCGACAGCTTGTTTTCATACCGTCACAATAAGGGTACTTCTGGTCTGGTTGTGTCCTCGTCTCATACCTCGACACACATCATTCCTGTCCTAGACCGGAAACCTCAGATGCAGTCTTGCGCCAGGCTGAATTGGGGAGGGTCACAGGCGCAGGAGTTCCTCTTCAAGCTCATCCGTCTGAAATATCCGAATTTTACGGGGAAAATGACGACCGAGCAAATGGAGACATATATCAAGCAGTATTGCTATCTCTCCAACGACTACTCTGCCGAACTTTCTACTTATCTTGATTGGTCTGGACTGGAGGAGGAACGAGATATCATCATCCAATATCCTTTTACCGAGCAGGTTGTAATCGAGAAATCGGCTGAAGAGCTGGCCAGAATCGCAGAACGAAAGAAGGAATCCGGCCGCCGCCTGCAAGAGCAAGCTGCAAAGATGCGCTTGGAAAAGCTCGTTAGGAAAGAGCAAGAGCTAGAGTATTACCAGCAGCTGCACCAGTCTTACATCAATGCACCCACCAAGAAGGAGCAGCGAAGAATACTCGACAGTGAGGAGCTCAAGGACGAAGCAGCCTTGGAGAGGATTGTTCGCGACCTGGACAGATCCATCAAAAAGTCGAGAAATAAAGATCTTGGAGCCCCAGAAGAAGAAGAAAAGCTCGAAGAACAGCTGAACAAATTCCCGCTCCTAGAAGTGCCAGACGATCAATTAGACGAGGATAGTCTCAAGGAGAAAAGACATCAAAGATTGATGAAGTCAGGTGTCGAAGCCAGGATACGAGCTAAAGCGGAAAAAGAGCGCGAACGAGCCCGAGTAGCAGAAGAGGAACGACGAGATGTTGAGATGCGTGAGAACCAGTTCGACGAGTGGCTTTCGGGCCGTCGTGAACAGCGGGACACCCTTCTGTCAAGGATCAAAGAGCAGGCACGCCTCAAAGCAGACTCTGGTAACCGAAAGGGCATTGCTTCTCAGATGCGGATGAAGACTCTGGCAAATCTTGCGTCGGATGGTCCAAAACGGAAGCGCAGAGGTGGAGGTGAGTACGATGACGATTTTGGTGCCAACGACGAAGATTGGGGAGTGTATCGAGCCGTGGCCACCGAGCCTGCCAGCGACGACGAAGAGCCAGAGGAAGACCCTATGGTAGCTCTAAGGGCAGTGGAGAGCGAATTGCTGCAGTTTGACCCCGACTTCTCCGAGAAAGATACGCTTGAAGCACAGAACGATTGGACAAAGAGCACTCTGCACGCCTTCCTTCGAGGCGCAAGACCTGCTGACCCCGAGAGTCAGCGGGAGGCTAATCAAATCCATCTCAATGTTGAAAGAATCCGCGTACCCGAGGTGGTTTTCCAACCAGGAATAGCCGGAGTTGATCAGGCTGGTCTGGTTGAAATCATTGAAGGCATCGTAACAGGTCGCTTCTCAGACGTGGCGCAACAGGCGCTTCTGAAAGACGTATTCCTAACAGGCGGGAATACTATGTTTACCAATTTTGAGGAGCGGCTCAAACGCGAGCTTGTCGCCAGCGTACCAGACAACCTGATGGTCAATGTGCGGAAAGCGAGAGATCCTGTCCTCGACGCATGGAGAGGAGCAGCCAGTTGGTGGAGCTCGGGAGGAAGGTCGGAGAGAGAGGCTGCCACCGTCACTCGGGCGGAGTACATGGAGAAAGGAAGTGATTACATCAAGGTAACCTAGGTCCCATTGTGGCTCTTCTGGCAATTGCTTACCTTCCACAGGAGCATGATCTCGGTAATGTCGTCTCGCCAAGCTATAGCTTTGGTTGAAGTGAACCTTCGGGTTGTTGATCTTGACAAATGCAGAGACCCTGCCCACGCAACACAGCTCGCCAGCTCGGCCTTTTTTCTTGATCGGATGGCTCAAATTTCTGGCAAGCTCAAGCGCCCACAATCATTAACGCCAAGGGTCCATAAACATTAACAGCAGAAGTCGAGGAGACGAAAGTGCCTCGTCCGAGAAATCGCACGAAACAAGGTCAGCCAAGCCATTCAACGGCTTCTCAGATCGGCATGCGGGCCCTGTCAATGTTACAATGCTTCGAGCAAGCTAATGGTCAATTGGAGGGGACCACACAATACTGAGAATCTGCCTATCCCTCTTCAGAAAATTCACCGTTGGCGGTGACTTGGGTTCCTTGTGAAATTGGTAGCTGACTTGCGTATCTGGGATATCCGTGGCCGTTCTCCGCCTTGGCTTTGATGCTTCGGACGAGCTTTTCGATGATGACACCTGGAATACGAGACTTGAAGATGTCCATCTTTACGTCATTGCTTCTGGGATTGTTCAAGGACATGGGCGGTAAACGACGTTGTCTCGATGGGCTTATCGTTGCTGTCAGATCTGAGACAGGGAGGAATGGTCGTATTGGTAGCCCTTGGAGGAAGGGTTGAAGGAGGTCAAGCGTCTCTCAAACAAGCAACGAAATTTGCGGTCTGCGAACTGCAATCCTTCTGACTAAGATCTTATTTCACAAATAGCTTGAAATAAGTGAGCTTGATTCGGCCCCCGACAAGACCTGGCATAGACCCTCTACGAAAGAGAAGGTCTGTCTTCTGCCCAAGCGATCTTACGGCCGAAAAGAACACATGGAAGTAATACGTAAGAAGCAGATTTGATCAACGTACGCATCCAAGAGAAGCTTGAGCCTTCGAAGCAATGGCTTGGTGTCCTTGGTGTGTAATCAAGCGCCACTCGGATTCCGCATGAGACCATCCCTGTCGTATGCTTGGATGACTTTTCCATTGTCAAATCGGTAGATGCGCGCCCGTATTATTTTATGGACAGGATCTCGCAACATCATCCAGAAACTAGAAGGGGGAAACCTCCGCAAGGAGGCGGCGAAGATCGTTTAAGATCCATGGCAAAAGCAAAACATATCCATACTGACTCAGCCCTTGCGTAAGCGTGACCACTTGACGCTACAAGTACGGAGTACATACCTGGTACTGTTGAAAATATGCCTTAGCACAAGAGTTATGCCTTTCGTTATCTCCCCTAAAGACCAATCCACTGATGCCCGAGCCGCCCTGGAGAGCAACACGCAATCCGAAAAGAGGAAGTGATGGATGACACGCCATAAGGTTTCTTTGTACTACTAGTAGGTACCTACTCGTACTACATAGTACGTAGTAGGGACATAGTAGGTGCTACGTAAAGTATTGAATGGGCCATGTGGCAACCAATCCACACCACAAGGCTCGATGACTCAGATTCACAGTACGCACCAGTGTCAAATGACGCTGTATCGTGCTAACAATATTTGTACCGTCAGACAATCCCGAGTCGTCTTTTCATCTCAGGGCTTGGCTTGTTGCTTTCAGGTTGGTTGCCTTGGCTTTCTCGTATTCATCCTCTATTAGCATTTAAAATGGTAAGAGACCTTGCAATCTCACGCTCCATCGCCATATCAACCGTCTAACTACACGCGATCCTTATGGCATTTACTCTTCTTGGTCGGGCAGCCAAGACACGATGCATGGAACAAAGGTCAAACTTGTTCAACCGATTCTGGACAATGCGCTACTGCACTGCGATGGATCATGTCATGAACGCGATCTGTCAATGAGGTTTCGTCTTTCTTCCATGCTGCTACGAGCAACTCAAGCGACAAAAGCCTGAGTCAGATGGATTGGTCGGCAGTTGTAGGTAATTCGTGATCGGAGAATTCAATATTGATCGTGGTGTCTGTGATCTGCAAATGCTCCTGCGCCAGCCATATCGAGTGCCGTCAGTGGGGTAATTGACTACTAATCAATACGCCTCTGAGGCGAGCAGATACTAATTGGTCACAGTCAATTCTGGATGGCTATGCATCGTGCTGCGCATCCGCCTTTGATGGCTGGATTCGGGAGATTTGAACATGTTCAGGAACGCATGTTTCTGCGGTCCCGTTAGCTGTCCATTGGGCGCTGTCAGCAGCTGGGAACCGTATGCGAATCATAGGTGGGACACAAAGGAGGACAACCCAGCATGTCTACAACCATTGATGACTCATGTCTTGTAAGTCGCTCCTCCTACAGCTCCTTTCAGTCGTCAGAGCTCTCCACTCAGTGCCAGGGCGAAGTACTGACTCCCGGTGTTGAGGTCTCGAGAGCATCGATATTGTCCCCATAGCCTGCGTCATACCTTTAATCTTTGACCGGAGTTGAAGGCCAACCCTACCTGCTTTAGGCAAAGGTCCGCTTGGGGTTGCTCTCATCGCTGACGCCCATGTTTCGAGTTTGCCCCAGGTCTCCACATGATCGACCTAAGATGGGGCAATGACCGGGGCCACCAAAGAGTGACCAAGATATGCGATAGTCATGTAATCACTTCTCAGCCTCGTCTAGTACCTAGACTGGACGACCGTCGGAAGGCGTACGAAACGCGGAGCCCTCTCACTACCGATCTGTAATGACGCTCACAACACTAGGGAAGGTATCCTTCATCGGTGTGTCCATTGATGCTCGTACCCTCGCCTCAAGTGGCTGATACGTTTGGGACAAATATCAAGACTAGGAAGGTGGAGGAGCAGTCGAAACAGCTCGACCACCACCTGGCAAGGCGATTATCTGTGGACAGTGAGTGAGCTGATTACTCAAGTGGTCCAAGCAAGCACCGTGTTCGGCATGTCAGCCCAAGCAATGGACAAGCATTCCGTCTTGAGCTTGTCCAGCCCTTTCTTTGGCTCCGTACCGACATAGTCGCAGCAGCACAACTCCAATACGACCTGGATCGTTATTGCCAAACAACTGCCCCATCTCCTTAGAGACAGGGCTCACAATGATACTCAGGATCAATTGGGCCACGACTTTACCTGGGATACCTTGTTGCAATCAAGGGCCGGCGTCGATACTCTTACGCTCAGCAAACGCTTAGAGCTCCTGGTTCGGGAGGAACGCGTTGTATGTTACCTGTAACTGGTGGAAGAACGCGCCGATCCTGCCTTCGAAGATCAATGGCCACGTCGTTGGCAATGCTGCTTTCAAGTCACCTGCCTCACCTTCGGCCATCGCAGTGCCGCAACGAAAACAAAAGGCCATTTCGATAAGATTGGGCAAGCAAACAGGAGATAAGAATGTGGTTTGACCCAAACACGCCCCCACAATCTGCTCAAGACCTCCTTATATGGCCAGAGCGGCACACGTCACGACATCCTGCCCCTAGCGATGGACTTTTGCAAACCCTCAGATTCTTCTTCTACAACGGTCACGGAATTTGAGGGTGACGACGATATCAACCGTCGGCATTCACAGCAGTACTCTCGCCGCCGAGTCCGCCTCGCTTCTGATCATTTGGGGGATGAAAACCGGTCGGAAGTGAGCTGTCCTTCTCTGAGCAGGGACTTCCGCTGCCAGGTTGTGCTGTGAAGATGGCGCGGATTCATTAAGTCTACATATCGGGCGTTACTCCACCCTCATGCCACTGCTTTCTGCGTGACTTTCTGCAGTCTACAGGCCCAAGATCGATCACGCCGAATCGACTCGAATTGGCATGAAATGACTCTGTACGCCAAGTCGATGCTTTAAGCAACCGAGTGAGTCCATGGAGAGATTGAGTTGACACCCTAGAGCGGGTTGGGCTGTTCAAAGGCTCCTTGCGATGGGCAGCGGTGCTTGTAAAGAGGGAAGAAGAATTACTCCGACCGTCATTTTCCCTGGACATCACCGAGTCGCATGCTGAGTGTTGCATGACCATGCCACATAAGGCCGTTCGAAATCTTGTGATGTTTGTGGGAATGCCCTTGGCGCTTCCGCATAGCAAGGGATCTCCGATCTGTTCTGTTGATCACCTGTTAAGCGTCACGCTTCAAGACCCTTCAAATCTCCGTGTACATCTACACGCTTTGAGGGTATGTTTAAGGATTATGTCGGCAGGTAACAAGTGGCCATACCTTGATCCTCTCACCCTCACAAGCCTTAGGTGCGTAGGACACATCCCAGTAAATCTCCTGATCTTGTACCCAATCCGGTGGCGGGTTCGGTATCGTGATCAGTCATCCGTCGCAAGATACTACCTGATGTGACTCCTTACCTGGCAGTACTAGTTGCAGAGCTCACCACAGCAGGGCTTTTCTCGAACCGAGTCTGGAGGGCAGCCGTGGCAGCCTAAGCCTGGTGAGCCAACACCTAGGGCCTAGGTTAGTGAGCCCCTTGAAAACTTACAACACAAGAGTCAGCCTGGCATGTAAGTACGGCCACGATCCCTAGGGAACCAAGTACAATTCGGGGCCACACATTCAGTGTTTAGAGATGTCAGCTCCTGAGTCAGGTCAACTGGAGGCCTGAGCGTGATATCAGAGCGACTTTCCCTTCCTTTCCTTGCCCTCTGGATAGGCACCTAGCTCGTTAGGTGGGTTGGAAAGTGATGGCCGCGGTACCGAGCCGAACTTCCCCATGTCCGAGTCCCGACTCGCTCGCATAGACACCATAGATTCCCTATGTCCATAGTGCTTCCTTGGTCCAGGGTCCAGCAAGGTGCTTAACCGACTGATCGCACATCACGCCGGTTGCCCAATGGATGCCGCAGCCTGGAACGAACATGCGCTACTTCACGAACCGCACCGGGATGGGCCTTCGCCATCGTCGTCCCCACAAAGGGTCGATATCTAGGGTCCCTCGTAAATTACGATTTGTTCTCGGGCTCCTTGATCGTGATCGTGATCGTGATCCTGAACGTCAGATGTATCGGCCATAGTCCTGACTACGTTAGTAGTGCTCTGTGCTGGCTTAGGTAAAATAAGCTAAGATACGATCGATACTAGTTAGTACAGGAGGTCGACTGACCGAGAAGTTGAACAACGTCCAGCACATGACGAGGCTTTCGAGTCAAACCTCCAGAGTGTACAAGTCCAAGTCCAAGACCAAGTCCAAGCCCAGGCCTAGACTTTGTTGGTGGATTGGAGACGCACATGCGTGAGCCTTAGTCACGATTTGACTTTACGGGGCACATGGCACTACGACTACCTGGGTAGACACGTAGGTAAGCATCTCTGTTCGTTGTTCTCAGATCGTGCCTGGAACTCTGAAACCCCCGCCGGAGATATGTCGTGCGAAGTACGGAGTGAGATCCAGGTTCACAAGATCGCGTGATGCTCAGGCCATGAAACCATAAGGTTTCCTCGCGTGCAATATCGCATTTTACCGATCCAAAAAGAAAACTTTGAATAAACTCCAGCATGTCATTTCTCACGAGGGCTGCCCATTGAGCTCGACTTACAGGGTTGGGCAGTACGCAAACGTAAGGCTGACAGGAACGAGCGGCATTCAAAAGACACTGCAGGAGGAATCATATTGATCCTGATCCTGCTGTTGAAGCTTTTTCACAGGCTGTTAGTACTTAGGGCATCTCATGACTCTCATCTGACAATTCTCTCATGCTTCGCAAGCAGGAAATAGGGTCGTGGAAGAGGAAAATGCAAGGGGAAACCGCCATGAGACCCTTTTCATCCCGAAGCGAAGGGTTTGTTCTCCGAAAGATTTGTCCAGAACAACAAGATCAGCGTCTTTCATTTGACACGGGTTGCTGCTGTTGCCGCTCGGAAGGGTGCAAGGCTGCTTATCTGGGTGAGAGTCTCAGGCCCTGATGATGCGCAACCTCGTGGTCATGATATCAAATGCATGAGGGGTTTCGTAGTAGATACTTGAGTAAAACAGCAGGGTAAAAGTCACCTGCGATTGGCACAGCAACCGACTCAAGCATGGCCGTGACGGCATCTCTGCTCGATGCTGTAAAGCGCGCTTTGGGCGTGCTGCTGTCGCAGGCATGGATATCCCAGCCTTTTGGGCGGCGAGCCTGACAGCATTGAACTGGCAGACGAGAAAACTTAACAGGTACCTGGTTCTCCACAGGGATGCGGGAAGAAGACTTGAAAGTTGAATCGGACCTCGAAGCGCCGTGGCTAGATCTCGCATGGCTTTGTTATATCCCGCGAATGAATAGCATCGTTTAGCCGGCATCACCCGGCCAGTTGTGCGAAGTCTAGGTATGATAATAATATATGTCTTAAATCCTAGACAACTGCAAGTCCATTAGTAACATGGGTCGTGGGCGCACTTGCTCCCTCTATCATCGCGGGGACAAATGGTCTCGTGGTGTAGCGAGCAAGACCGTCCAGTACCGGCCCGCGACTGGCTTACGCAAGCAAGGCCACAGGGGGCCGAAAATGGGAAGGATCCAGATCCCACTGAAGGGCAAGCTTGCTGATATGGGAGGCGTTCTCGGCGCGGCCGAGGATGGTGCGGAGCAAGCATTCGCACAGAGATGCAAAGAAGCAAGGAATTTGTTCAAAGTCTACTCGTAGAGTATTGTAGATTCGAATGGAGACCGAGTGACATTACATAGTCATTGGTGTGAACCGTGGTGGTCCAATCCGTCGGTGCAGTAGGAGGGAAGCGGAAGCTAACAATCTCGAGACCTGAACAAGGGTACGGAGGACTTAGGTGGTAGGCTGAATCTGCAATAAGAAAGGCTCGTGAGCGAGAACAGAACAAGGTGGGAAGAAGTTGATTCCCCTCTCGAGGGTGATAATGCGAGATAGGATAGGGGAGTATCTTTTCGTCGTCTGCAATCGGCCACAGAGTATACTATGGTATTGTAGTAAGACAAGGCGAGTGGTCAGCCTTACGATGGTACAGTACGTGTAATGTAACTTGTTACGAGCCTTATACCATCCATGGATGGTACTCGTAATCGGCTGATCGAGAAGCGTGTGATTTATTTAACTCGTCCTCCGTCGTTTGTAAGGGGGCGCAAGAATTGTTTACCTGCAGATGGAACACTCTACACAAGCCTTCGAAACCACGAGGCTAGGATACGAATTCCGTGCCCACAATCGGTCCCCACGAGCCTCTTCATATTGCCGCTACACTGTCCTGGTCTACTTTTGGAGCTTGCTTACATATTGCTCGCAAAGTCATCCGGATCCTGAATCACCGCATATGCCATAAGTATCATAATCAAACGAATCCTACCGTCATCCAAGCCGACGGTGGCCATCGGCGTGGTCTAGTAAGACTTGTCGCTTGTATATCCTCTTGAGGTCAAGCTGGCATGCCATCCTTCCTTTCCCTCGCAAGAACCTACTCTAGCAAACTTCCCGACCCCTAGGCCATCCGTATCGCGAGAGCACTAGTGCAGGCTGCCTGCAAAGGCCCGCCCGTGCCCAGCCAGGCGATCCGCGTCCTTCGAGGTGATTGGACTGGGTCAGCTCAGGATCACTAATATTCCCACTTACTCCCAACACCTGGCCTGGCCGGAGTTAGGAGCCTGAAGCCACAGTCAAATCCCAAGGGAATGCCAGTGAGTGGCGACCTCGTTCATCCTCGCTTAGTGCCTCTGATGGTGGTTAGCAGGTCAATCCAGCAAATCGGTGCAACGCCAGAGATGTAATTCGAAGGCCGTACATGGATACTATGATCGCACATCATCATACCCCGCGCAATGGCGGGCTTGATTGATCTCACTCTTGTACACTTGCTAGATAGAGTAATGCAGCAATAATTGGTAGGTACACCTCGCCAGCTATGGCGAAGGCTGACCTCTGTCATCGGTCTCTCTTTTCGACCGGAATCTAAATCATGCTTCACACACCCGAGGTCATGTTCAAGGACCTGATTCGGCTCGTTGTCCTGAGCCCACTCCAGACGCCGGTACATTTATCATTCAATACAGCAGCACCAGCACCCAGCCTGTCGATGCCTGGAAGATATGTCCCGTGAAAACGCCTTCCTACCGAGACGCCGACGTAATCGGGTTTTGACGTACCCGTGTGAAAACAGAACGATGACTATCATCGAGCACCCGTAGATGTTTGTGCCAATATCGCTGGTCCTTGCAATGCAGCCTGGGAAGCTGTCATTTCAGCTGATCCGGTTCTAGGGCGCTTGTTGGCTTGAGATTCAGAATAAGTCGGATCTGGGTATCGATGAGGGTCGTGGTGAATACTGCTGACACCATCTTGTGGTTGACCTACGGCACCAAGCTCAGAGAGGCGTGGGAGGGTACCCGACTGTTGAAGGGGTCCTGCCTTGCCAGGTTGAAGTCCGTCGACATTGCTTGGGGGAGGCGGGACTTCACCCTGTGACTCTAGTAACCGCGATTGAAGGTTGATGATGTAGTCTCGGAGTTGGTAGTTTTCGGCCTGGACTGCCTTGAAATTCTCACTCAAAATTTGGTAATCCCGGACCTGCTCCTCAAGCTTCTTGATGTATCCTTCCTTCCGCTGTCTAAATGCTCTCTGCAACGAGGTCAGTTAAAATCTCAAGCACGCCACAAACACGAGCAACCCTACCTGAGCAGCTCTATTTTGGGCAGCTCTCTTGCCGGTGCTCAATTCCCGCTTTCCAAAGCCTTTGCGACCATCGCCAGTCATCTCGCCTTGATCACTTTCTGCACTGCCGGTGACAGCGTCGTTGGTGGTAGCATCGGTAGGTGGAGATGGCTGATGCTGTGGCATGGCGTCCATAGAGTCTGGCAGTACTGAGGAATGAGGCGGGGGATAATGTGGTTGGTCGCGCAAGACTATTGAATGCTTAGATACAGGCCATGGGGACAGCAGCTGAGTGATGGAAGTCATGGTGGTAGAGAGGGTCGCGAGTGATGAGGAGTCCTGCTCGTGACAAAAGATCAAAGCAGACGAATGATGGGGTCGAGACGCATGTACACGAGACAAGCTCCAATGCAAAAGGTAGACAAGGCTGGGAAGGAGGATGGTGATTGAAGGGTATATGTATGTCATCGACAAGAAATGGGCTCGATGAGGGGAATGTGGTACCCTAGTAATAGGTACATGAGCAATGATGCAAGTGTTCGCAGGTGTAGGTAAAAAGACGAGGACAGGGATGCGCAATACGGTATTTTTCGCACAAGCCACAGATCGCCGATAGCGGAATGGGAGGTGCGCAAGATACGAAGTGAAATGACAGAGCGGCAAGAAGAGGCGACAAAGGGGAGGTAACAGGGTATCAATCGTCCGTTGTTGGAAGAGGGCGGCTGAGTGGGGCAAGGATTGCTATACGTACGTGATTCGGAGGCGACTTGGTCCTGCTAGTCAATTAGGTCAGAAACGCTTGTCGCAAGAAAAGACAGAGGGAGATGGGATCAGGAATGGAAAGACGATGGAGCCAGGCACCGATGCATTCCTCGGCATGATTGGTGAAGGAAAGGTGGATGATGATTGCAGTCATGCGACGGGGTGAAGGAGGACGAGGTGTGGATGAAGGATGCAGCCATCAATCGTAAAGCTTGGGTACGAGGTGAGGGTGTCCAAGACTCCAGGGATATTCCCAAAGAAGTCTGAGTAAGGACCAGGGTGGAATAGAATGGGCTGCTTACCTGAGGCATGCTCGAAAGAGAGCTAGCCGCGCGAGGGGCGAGGTTGGGCTGCATCATGGGAGGCCGAGTTGGGACTGGCACGACTTGGAGAAGTCGTGATCGGTCGCGGATTCGTAAAGAGTAAAGGGTTTGGGATGAGAGCGAGGCGGAGAGAAAAGAGTGCTGCTGTCGACGAGAGACACACAGTCCTCAATGAGTCTGATGAGATAAGTAGCAGCGCGCAACGAGTACGGAGAACTATGAACTCAGGCCGACAAAAGCTGAGTAATAACAACAATGGCGAAAAGCGAAGTGAAGAAAGAGAAGGGAAAGTGAAGAGGCAGGAAAAGATTAGCAATTCCTTACATAATAAAAGGCACAAGTCAGAGTGCGAGCGCGACTCCTGCCCACTACCGCCGACCACACTGCCTCCTCATTGGTTGTTGCACCTCGCTTCACATCCACTCTCCGCGTCACTCCTGTCCTTGGCATCTATTCCTCTTTTGGCCAGGTGAAGCCTTCTGGTTCCCTCGGCTGGAGTCTTCAAGAGACGACAGCTCAACCTGCGCCCCGGCCAACCACTCACCTAACTGCCCAATAATTCCTTCTCCCGTTGCTTACCACATATTCCGGTTTCAGCACGTCTTCTCCCGGCCATTCCGGATTCCGGACTCTTTGCCGATTCAGGCTGTCTACGGCCATTGCTGACTGTTCTCTGACTGTCCCATTCCATGGTTCTCTTTGGCCACCCATGATCCATCATCTGTCGACTTCGCTCACCGAGCGAAGCAGGTTGCCGAGTTCCACAAGAGCTAATTACTCCAACAAGATGTTGATTCGGATCGCGCCCCTCGCCTCCTTCGAGGTCGCATTCCCTATAATCCCGAAATCCTTCGCGAGTTCTTCGAATCAAAATTAGACATGTTCGGACATCATGCGTCACACAAGGCTCCCGACCATTTCGCTCTCGGAACAATTGGCATTCGCCCGTGTTGGGCTTAGAAGGACAACACAAGCATAGAATTTCTGTTATCAGCCTTGTCTCAGCCGGTTTGAGGCTGCTGCACGTCATCGAGCCAGCTTTCTCTGATTCCCGGGGCTCCTCTACAGCCTCATTTGGATAGTCCTGCTTACGATATTCTATTCTAAAGCAGATCCATGCTCGAGCATGACGCTGCATGCGACAGGCACCATCCCTTGCCCGGTCGCTGATTCGCAGCTCAGCCTTACCGCATAATCCAGAATCTCCTTCTGGAGCAACCCTCAAGGACTCCCGACATATATGTCGCTTGCCTTTCCTTCTGTTTTCATGCACAACACAATACTGGACAACACAGGACGTGGAGACAGTCTCATCTCGTCTTAGTGCCCGTACCCAGCGCCTGCTCACATCGACCTTTCTGCTGAAGTGGAAGTTGCACTAAACTTCATCAGTTATTCGAAGACATGTACTGCCCGCCGAAACTGATGAATCAGAATGGTACTTGGATGTTCGCATCATGACAGGCATTCTTGTCCGGGCCGTCCATAGGGGCTTTTCGATCATAGCTCTTACAACAATGCCGATTTGTGGTAACTTTTGTTACTGTCCTGCTCAAGAGGCCTTGATTTCCCAGTCACGACGGTACGGTGCACAGTAGTCTGGAGAATACCTCGGTAGAAGCGTCAACCAAAAATGGCTCATTCCATCTGTTCTCTTGCTTCATTCAGTTATCAACTCTCAGGCTTAAAGGTCACCAGAATACTTGGAGTCTTAGATCAGGAGGTGCTCTCTCCTTGCTTGTGTCGTCAGCAGCTCGTCCTTGACCTTGACCATTGTACAACTCCCGTTTCTTTTGCAGCCTTCTGATATACAGAAGCCGCGTTGGGGAAGTCATAGGCAAGGAGATCTCTGCCTCAACAACAAGAGCGCGCTTCCACCGCTGTTCTCGGACTGGGAGCAGTCCGATCATCACGTCGGTACTTTTGCAAATGCCATGCGGTCTGCGCGTGGTCTACCAGGAGCTTGCGTTGTTGGAGAAGATATCGCGAATCCGCTTGTCCTAGCCGATCGTCAACCCTGGCCATTGCTGATAGCCTAGCCATAGCCTGCTTCAATCTCCGCGGCATTCGCCCGGACTGAGCACCATCACAACGCCGAAACAAGGGACTTTAGAAGCCGAAGAGCCCTATGCCATACATTCCACGGGTGGTGTCGACACTGTCAGAGGAAACAACCTTCGCAACCAGCCAAGCGAGCTGCACAAGGGCTCTTGCGAACTGCTCGTTCCACCTTGCCCATTCCCGCCGTGAGCTCACCACAACATCATTAGCACAGAAGAGGTAGGCAGGACAGTGCATGCAGAAGGCAATACTCTTAGCTAAGCTGAGGGCGTATGTCGCTCGTTTGATCTAGAAGACCGAGATCGCTGGTTCCATATACTGACCACGCTTCCATAAGATATCTTGGGGAATGCCTTCTAAAGGTAAGATTTTCGGACTTCTTGGAGGATATTGATCTTGCTTCTGATCTGCACAGTGTTTATATTCTTGAATGAGTACTGACCTTTGTGGGCAATGCAAGGCAAGAATTGTTCGTCGCTGTCTTCTGATAGTCCATCGGTGCTTGTGTACAAATGCTGGGCAAGCTCAGCAACCGCTGGAAGCTTTGATAACTTCAACAAAGGATGGTCACGAGCTGTCTCGTCGACTCGTTGACTGGTGCCATCTCGCTTATCGAGAGCCTTGACCTCGGCTTGCGCTCCATGCCACCTGTATCATGCTGACAGTGACTGCTCAAAGCTTGCCTGTTTCAGGGGGCACTGGTTCCTTGAACGTCGTGCCGGCGTCATTTCCCGCCACCTTCCTCTGCATTTGCCCGGCCTCTGCTTCGCGATTGGTGACAGCGAGGAAGGCCGGACTTTGCATGATCTCCCTGGCTGTACCGCTGCATTGCAACTCCTCAGAACTGGCAAACAAAGCCCCCACTAGCTCTGCGGTCGCTCGTATCGTTTCGTGGTCTGTCGCCAGCCCGTAATGTGTTGCCTGCCTGCTAATAGGATCTCCGCATCAGGGCATGCCAAAGGCCCTCAAATAGGATCCTTCAAATTCTCAGTCGCTAGTAGTCTGTCAGCGCAACGCATAGCAGAGCCGCCTACGCCATGTCAACGAACCCTCGAGATGGAACAGCACGTTCGACTGGTAGTTCTTAAACATCTGGGCGACAAGCTCGACGTTCATGTTTTGTATATTGACCTCCTGCAAGCCGACTTTCAGCATCATACCACTCGGATCAGCCTCTGATCTTATCATACTTGTAGGTTCTTGTTCATCATCGCCACGGCCTCGTTCAGTTTCTCCTGTGTCTGCGTCAAAACTTGCTGTAAGGCTTCCCTAGGATGTGTTCATACAATGTTCGTGATGATTCGGGAGAGGAGGAGGCTCTGTTGTTGTTCATGCGGGCTCTCCTATTGATGCGCGTAAGCAGTCGCATTGATGAAAACGCGGGCGGGGCATCTACCATAGCTTCGAACCTTGACGATGAGTTCACGACGACTGTACTATCGTCCTAGATGATGGCCCTCGGTATGGTGGACATGAATCAATAAACGTGCGTTGTCGCTTCACACGAGCCAGGTGACACATCAGAGACATCAATTGGGAGATGTAAACAATTGACGCTATATGCCAAGACATTCGGGATGTACCTGCGCCTGTCTTGAGTGCCTGGTCAACTTCTTGCTGAGTCTTTTCAGGATCCTTCATTGCTTTTTCGCCAGAGACAATATTCAAACCCAATTCCCAAGTCGATGATTATCTAGGTGGGTCATGCAATCAGAACTTACAAGCCTCTTCCACAGGTTCCCAGAGTATCTCGAAGGCATTGGAACATCATAGGATCTTGCCCTGAGGTTACGAGCCATCACAGCCTGCGAAGTACGGCCCGCGCAGGAACCGCAGCTGTAAGGGCAGCGCAAGAGGCTCCATTTGTCTTGATTCGTCAAATATTCTACGTGCAGGAGATACAACATGTTTTCGTTCTTGGTCGAAGGGGATTGAGCCATCGATCGAATTTGGAGGATGCGGTGGCGGCAATCTCCATCAAATCTGGATTCACTGAACGTACTGGACACTGCATAGTTTGCTCCTGACGTTCTCAATGTCTGCTCAGCCCCGGTGTCTGCCTCGTTATCATGCTGCTCTCCCACTGTTAGGGGATCGATTGGTGCAATTCAGGGCCAATATACTAGCGCAACATACTTCCCCTCATTCAAGTTCTACTGGCAGCCTCATTATGATCTTCTTCTTTCAGCTTTCATTAGCTGCATGGCCTGTCTGTGGGATCCAGACGACGGCATGCGCTTATATATCCCAAGCAGTATAAGCGGTGGGATCACATCTGTCTCGCACCAGTACACAAGGTCCAGCTCTGGACTTCGACTCAAAGTTCAGCCTCACGATCATACATAATCATGGAGCCTTTCACTGCCATTGGGCTGGCCGCCAGTATCATCAACATAGTCGACTTTGCGCTCCGGGTTGTCTCAAAGGGCAACAAAATCTATCACTCTTGTGATGGGGTTCACTCCGACCACGGCGATCTGGAGCTCGTCGCCAACGACATGCTGTTGTTGCAGAACAAGCTTCAGGTTGCCTCGTCGCCGTTCAATCAAAAAGCCAAGCTCAACGATGATGATAGGGCACTTCACGAACTCTCAACTGCCGCCAACGAAGTTGCAGCTCAACTTTTGCAGAAAATGAACAAGGCCAAGGTTCAGGGACGGTTTCGTCGGTGGAAAAGCCTTAGGCAGGCTGTCAAGAGCGTGTGGTCCAAACCTGAAGTCGATGGGATGGCTACTCGGTTGACCACGATCAAAGACCAGATTCAGTTGAGGGCCATGGTGTCACTTAAGCCAGTCCACTCCTCGATCAGTTTCCTTGGCTTTGCTAACCGCAATCCCAGGCAGGATGTTGAGCATACGAGCTCCCAGAATTGGCAAGACCAGATGACTGTGCGCCGGGCGATAATGGATTTGACGAAACAGGTACAGAGGAGCAACATTTACGATTATAGTGATCCGGACCCTGCAGACACACCGTTCATAGGTCAGGCATTTCCAACCATCAAATCAACTTCCAGAGGGGGAAGAAGTGCCCTATCTGTATTCAAGGGGTTAATGGAAGCATACATGCAGCATTTTTCTAAGCCCGGCTTCAAAGTGCCGGAGGACCACCGCAACTCTGAGCAATTAGAGCAGCTGTGGTTGAGGACGATCACGAATACACTATTTGTGAACCATGTGGACTCTCGCCTCGAAGCAATATCGGAGCGGCACGCCGAAACATTCTCCTGGATATTCGAAGAACGTCAAAGTAAGACCTCACCCTGGAGCAGCTTCCCCGCGTGGCTACGATCAGGAACCGGAATCTATTGGATTCATGGTAAGGCGGCCTCTGGGAAATCCACCCTCATGAAATATGTCACTTTGGATACAAAAACCGCGAAGCTCCTTCAAGAATGGGCAGGTGATCACTCTTTGGTCGTTGCGCATTTCTTCTGCTGGAATTTAGGCGCGGAATTCCAAAAGACTCAAGCTGGTTTAATCAGCTCCCTTGTACACCAGATTTTCACCCAACACCCAGAACTGGTCAAAATCGTTCTTCCTGAATTATGGGAAGAAGTAAAGGCCCAACCGAGCTTTCTTCTGGAGATTTTGTCAGTCAAATGGTACTCTTGGACCTTCCAAGGACTTCGAGAACTTCTCACCACCATCATGTCTCATCACCAGTTTCCAGCGAAGTGGTGTATCTTTATTGATGGTCTCGACGAGTTCGATGGAGAGCACCAGGATATAATCTCGATCGTTCAGCAACTTGTCTCGATCGACAATGTCAAAATCTGTCTCTCCAGCAGGCCACTTGTTAGCTTCGAGGACGTGTACGGACCTTGCCCCCAACTCCGCCTCCAAGATCTCACTGCTGGAGACATTAAGCTCTATGTGTTCGAGAATCTTGCGAAGAGTAAGCGGTTCCAGGACTTTTCTGGCCAGCAGCCCGTCCGGGTTGAAGATCTTGTCCAGAAAGTCGTCGACATGTCCTCAGGGGTCTTCCTTTGGGTCATTTTGGTCGTGCGGTCATTGCAGCAAGGCCTGGCAAATAGGGATCAGTTGTCTGACCTCGAGACGAGGCTTCGTCAGTTGCCGCCTGAACTTGAGGATCTCTTCCAGCTCATGTTATCCAGCATACGGCCACGTTTCTACATCGACCAAGGTTCGAGGTTGTTCCAAATCACGTACCAAGCAGGGGAGCAAATCTCGGCGTTACAATTGTCCTTTGCCGATGACAGTGATGACTCGTTGTGCTTGTCGACCTCCGTCGGCAGTCTGGATCCATTTTGCGCAGAGTCTAGATTCGATTCTATCAAGGCTCGTGTCAAGACCAGGACCGCTGGTCTCCTGGAAGTTTTGGGCAATGGTCCTTCAGCCATAAAAACGACTTCTGGCCCATCTTTCTTCACATCAGCAGCTCAAGAAGTACGGTGCAGATCGAAACAAGATGGAACTGCGAACGGCGACAGTATCTCTTCCTGGTCGTCACAGCCAAAAAAGCGCTACCGCAAGAGACCTTCTCTTGTGTCGAATCTTCGAGACCTAAATCATCAAAACGAACGTCCTCTACGAAACAACACAGCAGCTGAGAAGTCCACATCACGGCCTCCGTATCTATCGTGCGACGTGGCCAACTCCCTAAGAGGACGTGGAAGACTTAATCCCACGCTGAAAGATGGTCATGTGATGCCTATATCGAGCCCAGAAGACTTGGTTCACAGCGTCGAATTTGACGACTCCGAAGCATCTCCCGGGATCCCCAGACGGATTGCCAGAGATGTTACTCCTGAGAGATCGCCGCATCCAACACCCAGCCCAGAACCTGCCCCACAACTCGGCTTGAGCTCTTACCCGGTGCAATATCTTCATCTGACAGTTCGTGACTTTCTGGAGAAACCGGATGTTTGGGCGTTCCTGCTCGCTCGCACCAACAACTCCGACTTCGACTCCAGCGTCTGCTTGGCCCGAGGCTCTTTATTGTCTCTTAAGTACCACGCAACTCTCAATCCGGGCAAATGGGACTCGAAAGTAACTTCTCACGTAAAATCTACAGTCCGGTTCGCTGGACAGGCTGAGAGCAGCACAGGAGTTGCCCCGATTCAACTGCTCGAGGAGCTCGATCGCGTGTGCACCGCCTTGCATGGCCCGCAAATGGGAACAAAGCACTGGTGTTCCGGAATGCAACATGGCCTGCCTCCCTGCTCACGCTGTCCTACTACATTTCTCACCTACGCAATTGCTCTAGGCATGACATTGTTTGTCCGAGCGAAGATCGGTCCTTGCCTTGAAGAAGTCAACCGTTCATCCCGCACTCCGCTTCTCATCCATGCAACAATTCACTGCCACGGTAACGATACGGTGCATCAGTCGATGATCGCATTCCTTCTACGGTCAGGACTCGATCCCAACGAGCGGAGACACCCGGCACTTCTGACGCCATGGGAAGAGGTTTTGGCCAAAGTCGACGAGCGTGTGAATAATCAAACCACTCGCTGGTCAACGGACGTCTCGTGGCTCGAAGTCTGCAACCTATATCTGATGTACGGCGCCAACAGCACCGCGTGCGCACCGAGCGGGACTCCTGCCACAGAACTGCTACTCACGGCGTTCTATCATCTGCCGCAAAGGCATGTTGACCAACTCAAGCCTTTACTTGGGATCACGCCTTACGACTCGGATGAAAGAGGGGTCAAGCGAAAAGCCGCATATCTAGGTGAGTACTTCCCCTCAAAGAGGCCGAGAAATGGAGAAGACATTATGCAGCCTTGATGAATACCGCTGCGCCACACGTGGCAGTATTTTCAAGTGACCTTGAGCGCAAGTTGCAACTGCCAGCCGCAATGATTGCGTATTTGTCGAACACCAAAGCATGGGGCCGTCCTCGTACAGTCAGAAGTATGAACAACCAGGTTCGAGAGCCAGACACTTGCAACGAGGCCCGAGGCGCGGAAAAACACGGCGTACACACGCTCAGGGCAGATGCTATTATGAAGCAAATTCAAAGGGGGCTTACAGGTTCATTGGTTGGGTCTTGTTGGTTACGCAGCACAGGTGAAGGATCTATCCAGATATAGAATTAGCTGCATGTAAAACAATGATACGAAATGATACTCAAGTCGAATATTCGTCAAAGAAAGAGGCAGCTGGACATGGGATAGCCCACGTTTCTCACTGGAGGTACCGCTGCAAAGTTCGACCTCGACTCTCGAAGACGTAGTTCCTGCGTCATTAACATGTACCCCTCTCAAGCAGTCATTTGCAGGCCCATACAGCAAAAGTTTAAGGGCAGATCTGTTATAGAGGGGGAAGTCAAAGCGACAACTTGAAGCGACTTCAAGAATCACTTTACCGAGTGTTGCCAAGGTCAGTGTATGCTCGCGAGCTCGCCTCCTCGCCCCCTGGCTTGTGGCCGCCGGGTGGGCGATCATCCGCGACTCCTGTTTCAAGCTCCTGAGCAGACAACATCACCCCGGAGAAATGTGAGAATTAATCGACATCGTGACCCCGTACTGCCACACAACAATCGAGGCTTGCGGCGAATGACTAGTGTGGAAGTTGAAACACCACGCCGCAATCTCAAAACTATGGGCGTCTCGCAAGCGCTACAGGCTCCGTCAACCTCATCTTGGCCACGACGAAATATACTACCAAGCCACTGCTCTGACGCTATCAATAGTGTCAGGAGGAGACATGGCTCTTCGATAACAAGCACGATGGGAAGGATAGTTCTTGTTGTTTTTCCTGTTCATTTTTCTCTGAGATCTCCTTGCTATCAGTCGCTAAGATGAAATCGTCCTCTCTTTTGGTAGTGTTGGCGCTGGCCGCCGCTGTGAGCGCTCAATCGGCACCTGATTTCCCTGTGCAAGTCGACACGGAATTAGCAGTGGATTTCCAGAGCTCCTCGACCAGCTTCATCGACCCGGGTCAAGAAATGTCTCTGGATGGTACGTCTACTAAAATCGATGAAGCATTCTTGTGACTATCCCAACTGACCATGCTCTACAGACGTTCAGGATGCACCAACAGTATCTGGACCACAAGGCTCGACCAGGACGCTGACTTATATGCTGTTCATGGTTGACCAAGATGTCAAATCGGATGACGGAACGCGCGTGCAACTCCTTCACTTCTTCCAGCCCAATCTTGCTGGTGCATCTGAAGTGCTCTCCGACTTCTCAACAGATGCCGACAACGCCACCACAGCAGGGACTGTCGAGTACATTGCTCCAAGCCCACCAGCAGGTGACGGCCCTCACCGATACACTCTCTTATTATATCGACAATTCGAAGATTTCTCCATTCCAGACGAATTCTCGTCTTTCTTCCCACCTGCTAATACCCAGGCGAGAATCGGCTTCGACATGGCAGGATTTGCCAAAGCGGCTAACTTGCCCGCGCCTGTTGGCGCCAACTGGTTCCAAGTCCAGAACGGCGAGGCTGCACCTTCGAGTACTACTAGCTCTGAGACATCCGGCAGCACGACCGTGACGGAGACTACATCGACCTCCAGCACAGAGACGGTCGTGACTACGAGCTCCGAGACTACAGCTAGTACGACCGCGACGGAGACTGCATCAACTTCCGGCACAGAGATTGTCACGATCACCACCTCCAGCAGCACCGAAACGGCCGAGGCGACTGCGACAGCTACTGCTACAGCTACAGGAGGGTCTTCTCAGGCCACATCTTCATCCAGCGAAACAGCCAGTGCCACGTCAGCTGGCTCTAATGCTGCCAGCTCCGTTGATGTGCGGAATAGCTTGACGGGATTGATCGTTGGGCTCTCGTTGAGCATTGTTGGAATGTGGTTCTAGATGAGCAACGGCCTAGTCTGTGACGTCGAACTCTGGGCTGGCTGACGCATTCAGCTCAGCACGGCGCATTCGCATTGCGGTGGCTGCGATTATATATTATGCTAGTAATGGGCAGGGCAGAATAGACATCAATACAGCACAATAACTTTACACTGATGGTATTTACAGGTTTTAATTCCATTCTTAGCAGCTTCAGCATGTAGTCAACCGTCATAGGGCGCTTGAAGTTGAGACTTGGAGAAAGAGGGGCAGAGCTCATCGACGGATTATTAAATGATCGCAAAGGAGCTGGCCTACTCCCCTCGAAAGGATATCGACGGCTTCAGACACAGAAGAATCGGCTCAAGAGTCAAGACTGTGTAAAATGCCTCCAGATAAGCCAACGGCATGTAAGAAGCTCTTAATCTTTGGAGCAACAGGCCTGATCGGAAAATATATCACGCAAGCGATCGTCGAAAACAAGGACAAGTTCGATCGCATTGCCATTTTCACCTCGCATGGGACTGTGCAAACTAAGGCCGACCAAATCGATACTCTGAAGAAGCAAGGCATAGAAGTCATTATCGGAGATGTCACAAACTCTGAGGATGTAGTCAAGGCCTATCAGGGTGGGTGCCTCTGCATCTGATGATATCGCGGAGAATGCCTGATTAATCTGGGTGCAGACATCGACACAGTTATCTCGGCTGTGGGCAGAAATGTCATCGAGCAACAGGTCGAGCTGGTTCGACTTGCCAATGAGAGTTCTTCAGTCCAGAGGTTCTTCCCGTCCGAATACGGGACTGATATCGAGTACTCGCCGGCTTCTGCCAATGAAATACCGCATCAGAAGAAGTTGAAAGTCCGAGCGGCGTTGCGGAAGTGCGACAACCTAGATCATACCTACGTTGTCACAGGGCCATACTCGGACCTTTTCTTGAGCAACAATGAGCGTTTCAAGCAGGCTGGGACATTTGATGTCAAGAACAAGGAGGCTGTCCTGGTAGGTGACGAGAATACCAAGATCAGCTTCACGACCATGCGAGAGTAAGTACACTCAAGCTTTGAGGCTCAAAGCCCGATGCACTGACAACTGCTGGGGTAGTGTCGGTAAATTGGTTGTCCATGCTGCTCTTCATCCCGAAGCAAGCCGCAACAAGGCGTTGCGAGTGAACTCATTCACAGCAACCAACAAGGAGATCCTCAAGGCTTTCGAGACAAAGACTGGTGGCCAACCTTGGAAGGTATCGTACACCAGCATAGAGGAGCTGAAGAAGATGGAGCATGAAGCAGTGGAGGCTGGGAACCCGTTCGCGACGCTGTTCACGCTGAGAAGAATATGGGCAGAAGGCGGTACTCTGTACGAGAAGCGGGACAACTATCTCATTGATGCTGAGGATGACATGGACTCCTTGGAAGACGCTGTGAGCGAGGCTGTCAAGGCTCAGACAGGTTGAAGCAAAGGATCGACTTCTCAGCCGGGTAGATTTGGTTGTCCGTTCAGAAGCGCATCAGAAGGTTGGATAGCTTGTTCCTGTCTGTAGAGTAGTCGAGCGGAATGAACGACGACTGATGTGCATGGTAAATACTGGACGTGATGCTTTAATAAGAGACTTAGTGTATATGGTACGGTTTGGTGGTACGATGTTGAGTTGAAATGAAGGTGATATTGTGAAAGGTCACTTGTGCTCGGCGGCTTCAACCGTGCGGAGCACGTATTCAAGATCGCTCGCTACAGTATTCTGATGCAGCGTACCTTAATGTAATTCTCGCACCGACTCCTGCTGTTGCCCTTTCTGACCATTCTTCTCAAGCGACCTGAACATCTACGACTTCTCATCGCCACGCGATTATCCCACAATCTTTGGACAGTCCCGGAGACTCTCATACAATGCCTCCCTCAACTCCTCAACCCGCCGACGACTCCCACCAGCAACTCCTCGATCAGATGGACATATACTACACTCTGAAACCCTTTCGAAATCCCAATTGGAGACCCAGTGGCCGCAGAAACAAGAATACCAAGCAGATCATATCCGAGACACAGCGTAAAGAAGCCTCAGTCCTTGCAACGCAGAATAACTCCGGCGCATCTACACCCGTGCCTGCAACAGGCGGCACCTCAGATGGCGCCGCCACGCCTGCATACTCTTCTGCGGCATCAAGGCCAGTGAACATGGCACAGGCGACACAGAGCTTGAGTACCCTGGTGCTGGAGAGGAATCTGCAGAAGGCTACAACCGGCTTGGGTGGTGGATTCGGGGGACCTGCAGTTACGTATACCAACATCGAGAGCGCCCCGAGCCTACATCCTGCAAACCACAAGCACTACTGCGACATTACGGGCCTACCTGCCAAATACACCGACCCCAAGACGAAGCTGAGATACTACGATGCAGAGATATTTGCGGTGGTGAGAAGCTTGCCGCAGGGTACGCCGGACCAGTACCTGGCTGCTAGAGGAGCGAACGTGGTTCTGAAATAAGCTTGCAAGATATGGACGAGCATGATATTGTCTACACAAGGAAACGGCAAAGGCTGGAAAAGGAGTCTGACGGGCACACGGATGTCAGTCCATCTAAGTCAAGCCCATTCCACCCACTGGTGTCTTTCGACGGCCAGCTCAAGGAAGCGCTCCGGCTTAATTGTGAACTAGATGAGGATTCCTCTTCGCCAGGTTGACACATTACCGAGACTCCATGATGAGCAGAATCAGTTACAGCAGTATAAAAGAGCTGTGGTCAAGGCGGGATGTGACGCCCAGGTCAAGGACTGTTACAGGTCGGCTAGGAAGACCTCTACACTCAACGCAGGAGGAACTCCATCAGCACTCAGCCAAGGATTCATGCACCGCAAAGCGATGAATAAGGAGGAGGGCTGTTGTGGTCACTTGCAAAAAGTGCATTTTGGCAACTTCGAATCTTGTGGGCACATGAAGAACACAAATGCTGGCCGCGTCGCTTGATGTTCCTTTCAAGGCCCGACCGCCCCCATGTTTAGCCATAGAGAAGATAGAGCAGAGTGAGGCCAAGACAGAGGGCAGACGATATTTCCTGGCTAGCAGGAAAATTTTTGTACAAGTTCCCCAGAAAATGAAGAAGCAGGAGGTGATGGAGACGTTCTTTATTATTGACTCCGAATGTTCCTCCGCGTCAAGTATCCAACTGCGGAGACCCTGATCTTTCCATGAACGCGCTCCATTACCGGGCGGACTTTCTTCACGTTGCTTTTGGGCTGGTCATAGCCTCTCTACCGCAAAGCTGGATATGTTTCAGGTAGGAGTTCTTCGTCGCTGACCATGCGCACCGTCCTAACTTCGCCGTCAGCGCCTCAAGGGCGCCATAGACAGGGGAATCGCCGAAGAGCAAGCCCGACAGCGCCAGGTTGGCCTTAGCAATCCACCCTCACGAAATCCTCCACGAAGACGGCCGCAAGCCCAGGATGGCACTGCCCAACGAGCCAGCTCGAAGCAAAGAGACACGAGCAACGTTTCCACCGAGAAAGGCCCCGACCCTGCTCAATTCGAGCCTGAGTTTGCCATTGGAGACGATGAGAGCGCTGGGCCAAGCAGGGTAGCCACTCCAAAGCCTGATGTGAAGAATGAGGCAGCGCAAGAAACAGAGAAGGAAACAGTGGCCATAGAAAGTGATGGACAAGAGACCAAGAAGGAGACAGAGGATCCAGCGAGAGCCAGCATCGATGGGAAGCCATCAGACTCCAATGGCGGCACTGCTCTCCCTATCCGCTCTCAAGAGCTGCCGACCGAAGTCCGGGTGAAGCTGCGCAAGCTTGATCGTATGGAAGTCAAATATGCGGAACTCTTAAAGGCTTATAAGACGGCCCACTCGAGAATCCAATCGATCGAGTCCTTCGAAGCCTCGCTAAGGGAGAACACACCTTTAACGAGCATCAACGACCCGGGAGCTTTGGTTGAATATCTTAACCAGATAAACTTGAAGAGCGATATGGTGCTGGACGAGCTGAAGCGTGTGACAACGGATCGAGACGAATACAAGAAGAAGTTCCAGGCTGCTGAAGAAGACACTGGGAAGCTGCGCAGTGAAGTTACAGACCTTAAAGCCAAAGCCGAGTCAAACCAGCAGGGCTCCTCAGAGTCAGAGAAACCAATACCTATCACTGTGGTGGCGAGTGACGATACTTCCGCTAAAGACATCACCGAACCAGATCATGGAGCAAAATCGCCCGCATCTACTTCATCCCGAATTGCAAGCTTCTCGCTGTTTTCTCCTCGCTCGAAGGCCGTGTCAGAACGGCCCAAGGACAGCTCGGAAGATCTCTTCTCCTACGAGTCCGAACACACAAAGCTAGAATCCGAGTTACACGAGCGTCAAATCGAGGTGGAAGATTTGAAAAAGCAGGTTACCAATTTACACAACGATCTGAAAGTCGCACGCGAATCTACCGAAAGCATGGTGGAGAGTCTCGAGACCGCCACGAGGGAACTACATGCCCTTCGCGAGGCTAAGGACAAGTTCGACCAGACCAACTCAGAGTTGCAGAAGAAGATCGACGACCTCGAGTCCAAAGCTGCGTCGGATACCAGCAGAGCAGAGGACCTGCAAAAGGAACTTGATCAGCTGCAAGGTCAAAAGAGTGAAGCTTCTGAGCGAGTGCAACAATTACAGAATCAAATACGTGATTTGGAATCAGACAACACGGAACTGAAAGCACAAATCGAGTCGAACGACAAGAACGTAAATATATTGAACGAGAAGCTCGCGCAGAAGGATTCTATCGTGAAGGATCTTGAAGACACGTTGGCAATGTACAGATCCACCGAACGACAAGAAGCCGCGCAAAAGAACAACGAAGGAGCTAGCGAAAAGAAGCTTGCAACCATGCAAGGCATCATGGATTCTCTACGCAACCAACTAGACACGGCGGAGAAAACAGTCGCAGACTTGAAGTCAGAGATCCAAAGGAACCAAGAGGACTTTTCAAAGCGACCATCAACCACAGTATTCGGCTTCCTCAACGACAACAAAGACACGAAACTCGATTCACTGCGTACGCGCGAGGATGTCGTGAATTATCTCGCAGAGAATTTCGGTTTGCAGAAAACCCCGTCTCAAAAGACGACGGCAGAATCGGGGAGGCCCTCGCCTGCTCCTTCAGAGGCGGCTACCGGTACATCTAAAAAGAAAAACAAGAAAAAGAAGAAAGGCAAGGGCCAGACTGCTCCCACGGAAGATGGCGAGCTCGAAACACCAGTCAAGGTGTCCGAAAATCTCGCTGACGTCGAAGAGAGCGTGGCCCGGACTGATAACGCTTCCCAGGGAGCAATCTCCAGGCTGGAAGGAGAGATTGCCAGTCTCCAAGTGGAACTGACTACCAAGACCGACACAATTGACCGTCTCTCCAAGCAATTGAAAGATCAAGAAGAATTGCAAGAGGAGATCGAGACATTACGTGATGACCTCTTACATCAGGGCGAGGAACATGTTGAAGCGCGTGACGCCTTGAAGGAAGCGCAAAACCAGAAACAACGGCTGCAAGAGTCTGTTGACAAGCTTGAGAAAGAGCTAATCGAGGCTCGTAATGCGGCTGCAACAGGCGCAGACTCGGAGAAAGCACATAAAGAAATACTGGAACAATTCGACGAGCTCAAAAGTCGATGCTCTACCTTGGAGAATGATCTTGCCGCTTCTGAGCAACTAGCCGCGGGTCGCTTCAAGGACATTACAGATCTGAAGGATCTGCTGTCAAAAGCACAACCTGAGTTGCGAAGCCTGAGAAATGAGGTCGCCGAACTCAGGTCTGCTAAGGAAGATCTGAAGAACAAGGCTGGCGAGCTCAACAGGCTTGAAGCCCGTCATGAAGATATCAAGGCTGAGCTTAAGGGGTTCAGCAAAAGACTTGGCGACAAAGACACAGAAATCAAGGTCTTGCAGCAGAAGATAGACCAGGAGGCAAAGGCACGGAATAGACTTGAAAAGGACCTGGAGAAGACAGAAGCGGATCTCCGGATGGCGGAATCCCGACGTCAAGAGGCAGCAGCGTCGTCTGAGCAATTGACCAACGACCTCACGAAAGCAAAGGAAGAGTCAACAATGCTCAGGGCGAAACTGCGCGACCTAGAAGAACAAATATCCCTCCACAACCGAGAAGCGACAGCATTGAGGGAAGAAATATCCATGAAGACTGCTTTACACTCGTCTTCTCAGTCTTTGGTCCAGTCACTGAGAGATCAGACGCATGAGCTGAACTTGCAAGCTCGCGAAGCCACTACTCGCGCGGACAGCCTAGAAGAAGAGCTGGCCGAGGCGCAACGGATGCTGTCAGAGCGCACAAGGGAAGGCCAGACCATGCGGATGCTGCTAGATCAAGCAGAAACCGGCACCGAATCCAGAATTCGCGAAATGAAAGAACGCATGGATATAGCAATTGAGGAACGTGACCGCGTGGAGGACGAGGCGAGCGTCAGCAGCAGGCGCATGATGCGCGAGGTCGAAGAAGCGCGGAGTAAAGCTCGAGATGCCCAACGGGCGCTCAAGGTTGTGGAAGATGAGAAAGAAGAGCTGGAAATACGCCAACGTGAATGGAAGAGGAGAAGAGGCGAGCATGAACAAGCGGCTTCTCGTGCTTTTAAAGAGGTGGAGGAAGTCCGAGCTGCGATGGCTGGGCTTCGTGAGGCGCTGGATGAAAGTGAGCGGCAAGTTCGTGAGCTTGATGGTCAGAAAATGGATCTGCGCAGGATGGCAGATGAAGCTAAAGATCGTGTTGAGAAGCTGACCAGAGCAAACAAGAATCTCACCGAAGAACTAAAGACCGCCCAAGCTGGTGCTAAAGGTCCACGAGCGTCAAATCGGGCCGCAACAGGCCTTGACTCTGGAGTACCTAGCTCGCGGACATCCATCGATTCGTCAAGTGCGAGATCGCCCACGCCTAAAGAGAGGCTGTTATCGACAGCGACGAGCCGAAGTGAAACCCCGACAGGTGGAGGACTCAGTCAAGGAACGGTTGATTACGTGTATCTGAAAAACGTGCTACTGCAATTTCTGGAGCAGAAGGATAAGGGTCATCAGAAGCAATTAATCCCCGTGCTCGGGATGTTGTTGCATTTTGACCGGTGAGTCTACTTGGTCTCTTTCGCTGCGGCAACTTTTAGAATTGGTTCTGACTATGTGAACAGGAAAGATGAGCAGAAGTGGATGGCTGCTATCTCGACGCGTTAAACCGCGATCGAAGGGGTCAGACTATGTCGTCACTGACAACTTCTGACCGATTGTCGGGAGTGAGTTCATTGGTATCAGGTGCGACTTGCCTGGCTGACAGCATTTTGGTTCATTGTCAATCAGCCTTGGACTGCTTCACGGTACCGATTGGGGCCGACGTACAACATCCAGGGAGACCACCAGAAATTCTATCCCTTTGCCAGAGGCGCTGCTTGTGGTCTGGTCTTTGCACGATACGATGTCCTTTTGCACGATTCGAAGCACTGAGACATTCTTCAAGGACCATTCAGCACAATTGAGTGCACACGCAGTGAAATGGAAGAAGGGTCATAGCATTCAGACTGCTCCAGGGACGTTTACTCAATGCCCAAACAAAGGCCAAATCCCAACACGATTCAGACTCCGTACGCTCATTAGTCTAGGGAAGACCCGAACCAACCGAGCGTGACAACAACCCCCTCCCAAAACCAACCTATAATAACAATACAGCATACACGCCATTCTTACCACTCACGGTAAACTGCTTCGTACAACACGAAATCGATGACCTACCGGCAACTTACCAGTAATCAAATCTGTCATCCTCCAAGGCACACATCTCGCCAAACGCCATGCGCGATCCGTTATAATGCAGTCGGCCGCAATCCGCTCTGCTCCAGGCCCGAGCGTATGGTTCGATTCGAACTCGTCTGCCGGCGCCGGCACCGGTACAGGGCTTCACGGGTCTGCTGGGCGGGGTCACAGGGGGTGTCGGTAGTACGACCACGGGGTGCGGGAGATCTTGAAAATAGCATGACTCACCGGGTGCGAGTGTCAACGGCGAAACTTGCACGTCAAATGTGTTGTCGAATGCCTGCGCGTGGAGTTCGGGTGTCAGGACTTGAAGTTGATGCACGCTCTGCTCAACCTCGCCTGTGTCGAAGGTATCTTGCTGGAAGAGATGGTCAGCATCACCGTGGCTCTGCTTCGTGGTGTCCTGCCAGGTTTTTGTCTTCGATCGTCGCGATTTCACACCAGCGCGCTGGTCGAGAAGGACGTTCGCAGGGAGGTGCTGGCTTTCTGGACTCACACGGCCCCAGGGCGTGACGATTGCTCGTCTGTCCATACCTTTGTTGTTGCTGCCGTTGCCGCGGCTGCTTGCCGTCGAAACGCCAGACGACCAGCTTGGACCATCGCTATCATCGTCAGCCGACAAGGGCAACGCAAAAGTCTCGCCGTCGTGCCATCTGGGCTTGGCAGCTTCAGCTTGCAGCACCGAGCTCTCCATTTCGATCTTGATCTCAGGGCTAGCACTCCGACTGATACTGTCCAGATCACGTCCACCCCAGCTTGTGACCCAGAACGTCAGCAGGGCGTACAATTTAATCAGGCTGTGGAAATACGCAAAACAGATGTACCCAGGCAGATAGACCAGATCTTTCGGATGTCGAGTGAAGTGACTCACCAACTTGACCATTTTGCTTGCAAAGATCCACAGGGCCAGCAGTTTCCATGCTTGTGCACCCGCGAACGTGGTCCGATTGAGCGTGTAAAACAGCGCGGCGTCGTAGAACAGGGCGAAATTGACGAAACTGGTCAAGTACACGGCGTACACACACCACGGCTGCGTCCGCCAAACATGCCCGCGCCGCAGACTCGCCGGGTTCGAGCGCCAGCTCGTGCGCGCCCAACGGAGGCACTGTGACAAGAATTTGGGGTAGGTGCCCAGGGTCGTTTCGATCATCGCGTCGTCCGAGTACTGGATCTTGATCTTCCACCCAGCAGCGACCACGCGGCGCGTGATGTAGTTGTCGTCGTCGGCGTTCAGGGGCCCGAATATGCCCAGCAAGAAACGTTCATGCAAATAACCGGCTAGGAATTCGGGACACTGGAGAATACTCGTGCGGTAGGCGCATGTGCGTCCGGAAATGACAAAGACACCGCCGTCGATGGCGTTGGTGCTTCGGATCTCGAAGTTGTGGCGCTCGAGGTACAGCGAGCCCATGACGTTCCAGAAGGCGCGGAAGCCGAACAAGGGCGTGTCGAGGCGGCGGACGCGCTTGTTCGTGCCCACGACGCCGACAGAAGGGTTCTCGAAGGGCGCGATTGCCGTGGCGACGAAGCGGGGCGACGGCCAGAAGACGTGGTCGTCGACGAGCAGTGTGATCGAGGTGCGCACACGGGGCAGGACGTGGGCGATTTGGCGGCGCTTGTTCGCTTGGCTGGTTGCCGTAATGTGGATGTCTGTGTTGGGATGGACCAGCGCGAACGGCCGGATGATGCTCCGGGCTTGCGCGAGCAGCTCAGCGCCAACTGTGACGACGTGGATGGTGCGCGGGTGGTTCGCGAGCACCGAGGCGAGACATTCGGTGAAATCGGGATTGCCGGGTTCGACGGTCGGGATTATCACTGTCACGTCTTTCTCGGTGATGGTGCGACTGCCGGTGCTGGGGATTGGTGTGGATTTGTACAAGCAGAAGAAGGCTATCATGTGGACGAGCAGGCGGAGGTAGCGGAAGATGAAGAGGCCGATGAACGGGGCATTGGGATGGTGCAGGACTGTAAGGACGAAGGTCGTCAGTGTTGCGTACAGAGTTGGCCAGTCCAGCTGGTTGAAACTGATGGTAGAGGTGCGTGGTAGATCTGGGAACATAGCGGCGGTATGGCTTTTCTTACCTTACGGTACTATAGCCGTGGCAGGGCAAGGCTGTCGGGAGATTGTGTAGCTTTTGGAATTGAAGAAGGGGAAATTCGAGGTCGAGAACATGGCAGATGGGCAGTTTCGAATATGCTGAGGCAATGATCTGAACAAAGACTAGACAGTTGTGGTCCATTGTTCGATGAACAAGAAAATGAACAATGAATGAAACAAGGGAACTCGTTGTGGACATGCTCCTCCTTTGTTAATGTATATTCGAATAAAGGAGCTACTCCATAGCACGGCCGGTCTCCTTTCTTGACACGACAAGGATGAGTACAAGCCGCCTTTGTTGTTGTGGTTACGGCAGCTGTGGGAGCAGCGAGCGACGGACCCGACTAACTACCTGAGAAAATGTAGCATCTCAACACGCGGGCAAAGGATGGCGCAGCTGATCCCCAAAGTGCCAGCTTAGGTGGTGAGTAGGTATATTCACACATGCAAGAAATATCAACGTGGAGGTGATGGTGGAACCATATCTCGAATGCCTTAGGCATGGAATATATACCGAGGATAAATATGAGCAACATAACTCCGAGCCCAACGCCTCGCTATGCAGAGTGAATTTGTGATCAAATTCATTCAAAAGTCATGCTGATGCTCCCACGGTCACGCCCAAAGGTCTCGTCATCATCATCGGCCCAAGCATTCCGCTCTATGTTCAGATCAATCGCTGGTGAGCTACGGCCCTCAGCCGAAGCTGTCGACAGCCGATTCCAGCTAGAAGCCGAGGGTGCAGTAGCATGCTGTTTCAGATCGGGCCTTGCAAGTGACGGTGTGCTGTGACTTGTGGTCCTGGATAAGGCCGGATCAAGCGCAAGCGGAGGCATTGTGCTGACCAGTTCCCTCGGTTCTGAGTAGGCAAAAGATGATCGCCCGTCAAGGCCCGGAGAAGGCTGGGGCGAGCGTTGCGGACTAGAGCGTGGAGACCATTGAGGGCTGGAACGCGACGACGGCCGAAGTGATGACACTCTAGCCGGCCGTATAGGAACAGATGGAGCAAAATCAATATCGACCTCATCCGGACGTGGTGGAAGGTTCATCCTGGCGACCTCTTCAGGCTTGAGGTCTGGTGGAAGTCGCAAATACTCGACATGCTTCTCGCCGTTCTGAACCGATGTGATCTGCATTGGAGGTAATGTGCTGTCCAATTCTCTGACTTCGATCATTTCGCTTTCTAGCTCCTTTCGAATCGCGTCAATATCAAACAGAACATTTCCATCGAGTTCGCCGCTCGGTCGATGCTGGCTTAGGCTTGTCGACCGCTTGTGACCATTTGCTTTCGCGTCGTATGTTTCCCAACCCTTTTTCTCTGCCAATCTGCCTCGGTTGAAGAGTCCAAATCGTTTCTTTTCGGGCTTTTCCTCCGCCTTTCGACGCGCTTCGTCGATTTCTTGGATGAGCTCTCGCTGTCGCCGTGCATGGTTTTCTGGATCCGGGTCCTCAATTTCAGTAAACTCGTCACTCTCCACTTCCCAGCCGACTTCTCGCATAAGCCTGGGCATCGCAGTACGATAGGCCATATGGCCGTTGACCATACTACTAACATCAAGGTTTTCGATACCTGGAATGCCTTCCACAGCAGCGAGACCTGCAACACGCATGATGCCACCAGCTGTTGCACGAAATAGATAGCCCAAAATCCAGTCATTCGAAGCATAGCCGTTCAGGAATCTGCCCGAAACAACTGATCGCGCCCGTAAATACTCATCCTTCTTCGCGACAACAGGCGAGCCGAACAGATATACGTTCTGTACAATGCCATAGGCTCCTCGGTTGGAGAGTTCTTTCAAGCATGAGAAGATGAGCCGCGAACCCAGAGAAAATCCAATCAAGGTGATTGGTCTTTGTCCTAAGTGTCTGTCAATCAGAGAATCGGCAAGAATGAGGCCCGCTGCATTAGCTCTGTCCAAGGAGACACTCCAGGGATTGTCAATCAGGTAGGCTAATTTGGACAGGACGACTGGAAGTTGTATCGACGCCATCAGGGCAACTAGGATGGTACTGCCAAGGACTTGTTGCACGGTTTGAGTCAACGCCTCAGTTGCTAAGATGTTAATGGTGTCACCCATCGACTGCAGCATTTCTGGCTCCCAAAGTAGAGAATATATGTCGCCCATTATAGGATCAACGGTGCTGTAAGGCAAGCGTACATCGTCGATTTTGCCATTCATCCAGCCGGAGACCGTTAGCACCAGATTCAGTCGCTTATTGTTGTGTAGTGGTCGATATTCGAAGGTTTTCACATGTCCTGTCCTCCGGTCTGATGCTCGGACAGCAATGGTTCCGCCTGCTGCAGTGGCAGCAGAAGTGATCAGAGCTGCACCACCGACTCCTCCGAGGAAACCGGCAGTGCCTGTCACACCAATCGTCGTGAATCCAGCAGCAAGACCCGCTCCAATGACAGGTGCCAGTAGTCCAGCAGACAGTCCAATAACAAGACCGCCGCCAACAGTCGCGAGTCCCATCATCATGTACTTTCGTTTCAGACCGAGCTTACGTCTCTTCTCCAGGTTCTCGGACTCGTCCCAGTTCTCTTTAGTCTCATCTTCTTGCATCTCCAAGGCATCAATGACTCTCTTCTCGAAACGACAAATCTGTACCCAACTGATGTCCATTGCCGATGCAACCCTCTCAAGAAGCCGTCGTGAGCGAGCATCATAATCACTGCCAGAGATGAGCATCAAAAACAGGTCGCAGAGGACAGTCCATCGCAAATCCAGCTCTATCTGTTTTGACTGGGGCATGTCCTCGGGCCCGTGTACTTCTGGGACTTCTTCGTCACCCTCCACAGCTTTCGGTTGCCCATGATCGCTGTTCATTGACGTTCTGGAAGGTGTGGAACTTCTGTTGCGTGAGAAGTCCGGCCTCTGTTGCTCCGATTTACTATCAGCCATGGGATTGGCAACCTTGGCGTTGAGCATCAACGGGGCGACGAGGTCCGAAGGCTCGACGCCATGTTCTGCAAGTTGTTCGATCATGACCTGTTCAGCTGGGTCGATGTCCATATGGGTGTATAATCGAAGCATTATGGTCTGACCCCACATATCCATGTTCTCCAGGGCTTTCGTAATCTCCTTTTTCGTGCCTTTGGTCTTTTCGAGATTTCCAAGGGCGTGGAACATTTTGTGGATGGTTAGACGTACCACGCCCACGTAAGCTATCCGTTGGCCTTCAGTCAGTAGATCTTTTGTGGCCTGCAGTTGAGTAAGAGCGTCTCGCTGCTCCTCATCCTCGACACCTTCGTCGTCCTCTACGCGCTGCGGCTTCTGTCCATTCTGGAACAAATAGTTGGTATCCTCGTCCATGCTAGTGGCAGACTGTGCGTCTTCATCCAGCTGTAATTTTGTATAACCTTTGCCGGCACCTCCTAGCCCAACATAGGCGTCGGCCTCCTCTTCGGTCTGTTTGTTGCCTTTTGCAACAAGCCTCCCATTATCGTCATAGACATCAAACTCGTCAAGGGCTTGCATGGCTTGCCACTCTTCCTCCTCTTCCTCTTCCTCTTCATCATCTTTGTTGGCAGGTGGAAGCTGTGTCTGGTGAGACCACGTCGAGATTGCAGGACCTTCCGATTTTTGTTCACGCTTCGGTATTTGCACAGTTGGTGAAATTTCCGACCGCTTCGGAGAGGCAATATTGTTCCCTACGGCACCATTGGAGAGATCTGCATGGTCGGATGGCGGAACAGCAATGGGTGCAACAGCATGAGCAGCGTCCTCAATGTCTGAAGCCCCATCTTTCCCACCCACTAGATCCGCAGAGAACGGTGCTCCCTCTTTCGCGACCTCAAGTGCCTTTGGAGAAGACTCGCTTGCTTGACCCCCTTCGCCGTTCACTGTGCCTGCTGCGTTCCCACCACTGTCGTTGCCCTGTACTTGCTTTGTGCCATTTTCCTTTTGATCTATATCTCCTTGTTCAGCCGTCGCTTCTGCATCGTGGAACGTATCGCTCTCATCGCCACTATCGTCCGACTGGGCATGCCGTGCTGCGCTGACGGGTCTTTTGGGCAGTCCAAAGTCGTCAAGTTCAGGTATATCCGTCGAGGAAGACTGCTCATTGGTCGAAGGCGGTTCCGTTTGCGATTCTTCAGCGGAGGCATCCTGCTGAAGATTATTGTTGCCGGTCATAATACCATTGAGACATGTGTCTCGAGGTCATTTGGGGAGAAGGCACTACGTTTCGCAGGCCGTTTTCGCACGATGGAACAAAGGACACTCCGACACGAAAAAGGACCCCCGATCAGGATATTCGAGTCTATTATTGAGTCTGGGGCGCATTGACTTCTGACACGTTGTCACTGTGCAGTTCAATGCATTTTGGTGGCATGTCGAATTGCTTTGATGATGCGGAATTGGTGGAGCTGACGTTTGCCAATAGAGGGCCCCTGCCGCTTTATCCACAGCCATGACAGCGGTGACTTCGGGACTCGTTTATATATCAAGACTACTCAAGGATGATTGGGAGTTCATCCACCGTGCTTCAGGAGGTTGACTACGACGATACTTAGGAATCCCGCTTAACAAGTCAAGGGAAACTTCCTGCGAGACGATCAAAGGCGACACAAGAGGTAGCATCCCGCAACTGCTGACTTGTTGGCGAGGGCGGTATCATAACATAAATCTTGGGATGGCCGGCAAAAGGCGATGAATGGGAACCGATTCTGGTATGAGGAAATGCAGCAGAGAACTCATTTAGTGTAGATATGTACAGCAGTTGCCGATGCCTGAAAGCGGACTTCCGGTACGAGGTCGAAGTCGAGTCGGGGACGCCAGGAAATGCAAGCAAATGCAAGCAAACGCAGCGGGTAACCAATGTGTCTCGTGAATACACAATCACATCCTCTCATTGTTGTTTCGTAAATCGTTCTAGCGCAGAGTAGTCGCCTTGATCCATCTTGTCCCAGACAGCCTCTATCCTAGCTCTTCGCTCCAGGCTGGTCTCTCGGTTCTTCTTGCTCTTCCTCTGTCTCTCGCCTGACAAGCATTTGTTCACTTCTCGTTTGATGTCATTGCAGCCACCAACGGCTTTGTAGAGGAAGCCGCGGGCATGGCATTCGTCGAGTGCGTTCATGATCTCTTCGCACCCTATGAAAGGTCAGCATCCTGTCCTAGAGTCTTCAACAAGAGAGGCCCTTCAAGCGGAAGGTATTTGAGACGGCAAGGACTTGCAGCAAGCAAGGGCGGGCACAAGCCCAGCTCAATGGCTGGTCATGAGACAAAAAAGACTGGTTTGCCACATACCGACGTTGTCCTTTGTATGGAGGTGAGAATGCATTCTCGTGGAGACTCGTCTCCAATATTGATCATGCGGTTCAAGCCACGCCCACATGTGTTGTACAGATGTTGTTGGTGAGGAGGCAGTTGGCGGCTCAAAGGAACGCCTCTTGATCCTTGAAGCCCGAAATGCAGTGGAACCAGTTGCTAGCGCCAAGGGTCAGCCTTGCGCAGGCGGAGCTCAGCCTCACTAGCCTTGCAGCAGCGCCTAAAAATTGTCCCTCACCGCCCAAAAGTTCGCGGATTCTGCCGTCTTTTCCCCAATGCCCGCTCAAAATATTGTAAAATCTCAAAACACCGAGGCCATTAAGACTACCACTTGATCGCAAACATGTCGATGACACTGGCAACGACGTGGGTGAGGAGGGGAGTTGCCGCACAATTTCCCACGAAATACCAGGTCGACGAAGCCGAACTAGACCGCATCTCGAGATTAGCCCGTCTCCAACTCGAGGATGCGCAAGAAGATTTAGAGAATTCGCAGAATCCTAAACGGGACGACGAAGAATCTGAAGACGGAGACTCAGATAATGGCGTGTCCACGGCGGAAGCCCCCGAGGCCAACGGCACCGCTGCTGAAGGCAACGACGATGACTTGCGAGAGTACAATCTCGACGACTACGACGACGACGATGCGCCCCAGCAGACCGAGAAGTTCGCCATGTTTGGCAACGTCGGCTCGCTAGCGTACCATGCACCCCACGAAGAAGATCCGTACCTAGTGCTGCCCGAGGGCGAGCAGGATTCAGAAGACGAAAGAGAAGAGCTGCAAATACTTCCTTCAGACAATCTCATCCTGGCGGCAAAAGTCGAGGATGAGGTTGCACATCTCGAAGTGTTTGTGTACGAGGATGAGGCGGACAATCTTTACATTCACCATGATATTATGCTCCCCGCAATTCCACTATGTGTAGAATGGATCAACGTGCCGGTTGGAAAAGAGGCCGAGAAGCGGAAGGAGGGCAACTTTGTGGCTGTGGGCACCATGAGCCCAGAGATAGAGGTCTGGGACTTGGATCTCGTGGACAGCATGTATCCCAACGCCATTCTTGGACAGGAACCCGATGCTACAGCTGAAACAGAGACAAATGACGAAAGTTCGACAAAGAAGAAGTCCTCGAAAAAGAAGAAAAAGAAGCTAAAAGCCAACGACGACTACCATGTTGATGCTGTGCTCGCCTTAGCCGCCAACCGGCAGCATCGGAATTTGCTTGCCTCGGCGTCGGCGGACAAGACCATCAAACTCTGGGATCTGACTACGGGCAAATGTGCCAAGTCGTATACCATGCACAACGACAAAGTATGCGCACTAGACTGGCATCCGACAGAGTCAACAGTGCTTCTCAGCGGGAGCTACGATCGTACGGTGATTGCTACTGATATGCGAGCACCCGATGCTGTTGCACCAAAATGGGTGGTGGAAGCGGATGTTGAGAAGGTCAGATGGGACGTCCATGACCCTAATTTCTTCTTTGTCACGACCGAGATCGGTACGGTGCACTATTTCGATGCTCGGGTGGTGCCAATATCACATGACAAACCGAGTAAGCCGGTATGGACGTTGCATGCACACGACGGTGCGGTAAGCGCGTTCGACATCAACCCGGCCGTCCCTGGTCTCCTTGCAACTGGGTCTGAAGACAAGAGAGTCAAGCTATGGAATATTGAGAACAACACACCTAGTATGGTCGTCGCAAGAAATCTCGACGTTGGCCGCATCTTTTCTGTACAATTCGCACCGGATCCGGATGTGGCCTTCAGACTTTCTGTGGCTGGAAGCAGAGGTCAACTACAAGTCTGGGACATCAGCACGAACCCTAGCGTACGAAAAGCCTTTGCAAACAAAGTCAAACTCCCGGAGACAGATGGCAAAGAGAGATTCGTGGCCGTGAATGATGCTAGTGATGAAAGTGATGACGACGAGGAGGGAGATGGTGGCATGGAAGCAGGAGGTCAGGAGGGCTGGGAATCCATGGACGAAGACTGAAAGGTCTTCGACCAAAATCATCCTTAAATGAATGACCGCCGGGAGGGCTCCGAAGCCTGCATGCGCTCGACGTCCACCAAAGACTGAGCCTTTCGCCGTAATGGATGGAAGACTTTCCAGAAGCACAGCTTGACCAGTTAGTCGCACCCCCCAGGCATGCTAAACGCAATGGAGGTGTTTCCGGGACAGCTACAACTGCGGAGAGTGCGTGAACTTAGCCCACCGGGCAGAATGGTCTGCCCCTGTCACTGGGACCAGTCCGGAAAAGACAGGAAATGGATAGCCCACATGGGCATTGTTGTCGTGTTGGGGAAGGGATTGATGTGGACCAAAGCATATACCACGGCGGCTCGATATCAAGACTCTGAGCCTTGGCCTGCTCCCTGATACATAGGGGTAGCAATGTTCTTGGTGAATATGATTGTTATGAATACCAAGGGGACAGCCGCAGAGAACAGCCTTGATAGGAATGTTTGTCTGCTTTCCACTCTTGTTGAGCATACTGTCCATGACATAGGATGAACGATACCCTTCATATAATGCCCGCCAATGGTTTTGAACAATGAATACCTGCCTGTGCTGCTCACGAAAAGTTCGTGTGGTTTTGCGTACATAAGGTAAGTATTGGCTGCCAACATGCACCCCCTGAATACGGCATATGGTTCTTCCGACTTCCGATGCAAACATTTCGTCAAACCTGCCTTACCGGGGATTCCCTTTGGAGACTCAGCGCGTCGCCCTCTGTGACGCAAGTCTCGTCGCCAGTTCCTGTCGCAAATATGGCCTGACAAGGGTTTCTGAAGCAGGGTTTGTTGACAGATTCCCCTTCCGTCTTTCCAGGCGACGGAAGAGCTGACTATCCAGACGCCCACCAGAGGGCCCCATGATCGACAAAGAATTGAGGCCAAAACCCCGCCGATCACGGCATCATCATTTGTTCGGCACACTGGTGCGTTCTGCAGGCGGGATGCATAGCCGACGGATGTCTCGACCCTCGATGGCTGCGACGTCGGGAAGAAAGATAACAGATGTAGACCTGCTATGCGGCATTGCGGTCCACGTCCGAAGTCCGAGCGAGGATTGCCCAACAATGAGTTATGTTTGTTTGGACACGTCGCCTGCGTAGTGAAACTAGAGGTCCGGGGATCCACGAAAAGAGAGACGAAACCGAAGCCGTGCGGAACAATATCTCCAGACTAGCCGACCTCCACAATGACCTCTGAGCGCTGCCACATTTTGGCGCTCCCTGCAGAGGTTCAGATAGAGATATATCGATACCTGTTTGAGACTTTGAGATATCGATTGACGGCAGCAATGCGAAATGCCTTCAATGTGCAGTTTCAGTCTGCAGTTGTGCCTTCCCCTGGCATGTCCTTTCCCCTGGCATGTCCTCGATGCTTGTCATCAGCTTCGGGGCGAGGCTTTGCCTTATCTCATGTCCGCAACGACACTTCAAATATCCGGCACATCGATGGGAGCCGCTTGCCTTCCAACAAAATATATCTCGACCATACCTCGAGCTGTCATCCTGGATCCAGCAGCCTTCTCAAAGTCCACGACTTCCCTGGAACAGGTCCACAGCTTGAGGGCCCTGGAGCTCAGTAATATCACGATTTGGTGCAAGTACCATGACGAGTCCTATCTTGAGAGCCCAGCCTTGCTCTTTTCAACCTGAATAGAATCGGTGTTCAGATCACCCGGTTATGCAACGATAAGGCAAGAGCATTCGAAGTACTGCTTGGCTGCCAGTATGTGGCCTCTTCATTGTCCGACAAGACCATTGTAAGGGTATAGCTTTTTTTTCTCCGCGGCATGATGGCTGACGTACATACAAGCATGCCGTAATTGACGTGGACCGGAAAGTCGTACTCCACAAGTCCAAGGGGCCAGCTATCCGAGATAGAAATGCCTGGGCTGGCTTTTACTGATTGCCTGTGCCGTCGACGCTCTTGTTAGCACTCTCGAAGTGGCAGTGGCAAGCTGTCGATCTCTTGTATGCTTTGTTCTGCCGCTTCGCACTGTCATTGGCTGGTGGTAGGAAGGTGTTCTCGTCCAGCCTGGGACTTATTCAGAGCTCGAAGGACATCGATACCTTTAAGCCTAGAATGTCAGCACCCCTCTTCAAGTGTTTGCTCAGGGACAGTGACCTGGAACGAGCTTTCATCGTTTCATCCCCTGACTACCCAAATGTTGCATACTTGGAGGTACCTGAGTGGGAAGACAATCACAGATCTGATCTCGTTCCTCGGTATTCAATCAAGAGAGCATGGAATAATGTGAGAACGCAAAGCCAGCCAGATCTGAGCAGCGAAGGTTGAAAGAATGCGTTCGGAGAAAGTGAGAGCTTGCATATATGGGTAAGATGGTGCGGTTGACCTACCTTTCTCGACTCACTTTACTGGAGGGCATATTTCACTTCCACCCTCCATCTCTCACTTTCAACGGTCACCTCAACACAAACACCACTGTATTTGCCTTCTCACTCTGTCTGGGATCTTATTGAGAACATTTTCTGTCTTGTTCAGGCGTTCTACTTCCCTCCGACTGGCTCGACCCGCGGAAATCCCTTCCTTTCTGAATCACCATCACCTCGTGGATGAGACCAGTTTTCAAGATGTCAAATCACCTCAACAACATGAAGAATTCTCCTGTTTTGAATCCTAGCACCGGACCATCTGCTCCACCTGCGTTTGATCAAGGCTTTCTCGACGCTTCAGACGACGAGGATGGACAAATGACTGACGCTCCGCTCACCATCAACCCCTACCAGATGCACCTACAGCCTCCTGTCATCTACGAAGACGACGCTTTTCACGTCGAACGAGCCGCCACCTATGAACTATATCTGCAAGCAAACTCTGTTCAAGTCCAGACTGTATTTGCACCTGTTTTGCTGCCTCCACACCTAAACGACGACCTCACGACGGCTGCTCCAGTGCAGTCGAACGTCAATCCCTATTTCCACAGCCTCACTCCGATCAACATGCTTTCTCCAACCCTCGCGCCAGACGCTTACCTCCAGTCAGTGATGACTCTGACTCCTCTGATGTTGTCCCAGAACCATCAACTGACGAACCATCCAATTCAAAACGCTCCCACACGAAAGATAGCTGTCCCTGTCTCTGTTATACAACGACTTGAAGGTCTCAGGCAGCAGCAATGTACCAGAAGACCTTGTCACCGTCTTGAAACTCTGCCTGCCGAAATCAGATTGATTATTTATGCCTATGTCTTTAAAGGAGCAGAGCTTGAAGTCTCTCCCAGTCATTTGACAAGAGGAAGATGCAGTCCCAACGACTGGTTGTCTCCTTACAGACTGATCACGAAAGTACACACAGACCTCATACGAACGTCCAGATTCTTCTTCCATGAAGCACTACCAAGTCTCGTCAGAGCCACAACCCTCGAAGTCTGGTGGGTTCCATCCCAACGAGGTGTTGACCCTCTACACTACCTCCCAGACGACTTCCTGTCGATAATTGAAACCATCAAAGTCGAGTTCAATGCTTTCGTCCACATCAAACGTATACGGCTTCCGAAGCTGAAGCAGGTGGACCTCTTTCATGGAATTGATTCTCCTGGAGGATTTGCCGATGCTATACACATCATGAACTGTCAGAATTGTGGAGGAATGCCGCTCATTGTGAAGGAGTCGTTTGCGGGGTCTGTTTTCAGCTGGAAGTGGAAACAGAGGCAATACGCCTACTTGGGCCGCCTGGAGGGCTTCACGGTCAATATGACCGCGGTCTGGGAGGTCTGGTGTCCTGTGCCTGGAATGGCAAGAATAGTAAGAGCATCCATCCCCAATTTCATTTGTGACCTCGTCCTGACTTGTCTATCAGGAGATCTCCATGAACTGCACCACCAATGAGGTGGTCGGGACCCGAGCTTTCATCGGGAGCCAGGAGGTCGGTACCAAAGACGGCGACCAGGCTGCCAAAGACTGGGCCACTTATAGTGGTCTGTAGGCTCCTGGTTCGTCGTTGGAGGTGCCGGCCTCCTGGCGGATGATGTACGAAGATAGCTGCTTGTTTTTTTGGTGGGCATCGTTGTCAATGAAAAGTGTGAACTCTGAACATATGGCCCTGCTGCCATTCAATCCTGACCTCGTGTGTTATTGTTATTGACGTTCGCTCTGTCGCCATATGCCCCTTTTGCAGAGCCATGTATCAGGTCTGTGACCAGCCAATCACGTGGAATCTTGGCAGTCTCAACGCGCTTTGAAACACGTGATCGTGAAGCGCGATTTCACTTACTGCTTCACAGTGTCCAACGTGCTTCTTCAATAAACATTCAAGAATCCTTTGCTTTTTCATCTTGTGAGCGTTCCTCGTTTCTCAGTCTCTTCGTCTGATACCGCCCGTCATAGTTGCACAATTGCGAGCCGTTGGAGTCCGTTATTACGTCCGAATTAAGCTTGTGCTCCTAAGGTTAGACTGGTGCCCCCGGTCCTGGTTCAGTCAGCCTTGTCCGCTACCGTGGTTTCATCATGGAACAGCAAGTTCTCGACCTGTTGCAGGCGACAACGCGACCAGACACTGCCGTCATTAGGACTGCCGAGCAGGGTCTACTCAATCTTTATCCACAGCCAGAATTTCCTTTCGCACTCCTGACCATCGCATCACATAACGATATCGAGTCCGGGTCGCGAAAAGCTGCTCTGACCGCCCTCAAAAATTACGTCCAAGCCACATGGTCGCCGCAGTTTGATGAGACTTACAGAGGAACCACATATCTGGACGATGCCGGCAAAGCTCGGGTACGCGATCAAGTCTTTGCCATTTGCACAGTCGAAGGAGACCGAGCGAAGGATGCTACTGTGCAAGCGCTAGCAGCCGGAGTAGCCAGCAGAATCGCCAGTATTGATTTTCCAGATGCATGGCCGTCACTGTTCCCTTCGCTTCTCGCGATCTTGAACACATCCACCAACGATGCACCTGTTCATGGGGCTTTGCGTGTTCTTGCGGAATTGATCGACTCCGGGTTGACCGAAGAACAATTCTTCATGGTCGCCCAGGACTTAGTCAATGCCTTGCAACACGTAGCTGTTGACAACAACCGCGGTCTGATCGTACGCGCGATGACTCTTAACGTGTTCCGTTCATGTTTTGAAATGCTGGAGATGGTTATGGGAGATCACGGAGCTGCGGTCAAAGCATTCTTGGACGAGTCAATGAAGACGTGGATGCCCTTCTTCATGGACATCCTGAAGGCTCCTTTGCCAGTTTCCGACTCATCAGCTGTAGCTATCGATCAAAATGATGGCAATTTCCGTGGGCTTGTGGCGTTGAAGGTCCAGGTTGTCAAGGTATGATATCGTTTGGCCCGCTAGTCGATAACTTCGTCAGAAGAACTAACCTGTGTCAGACCCTCGACAAACTAAGATCAGTCTACGTCCACGCCATCTCCCCTCATGCCGTCGCTCTTTTCCAGATTGTCTGGGAGGAGCTGTCGAGGATGGCATCCTCGTATGCAGAACTCTTCCTTGATGGTCCTGCGGAAGGCAAACTCGTTGACAGCGACAACCTACCATGCAGCTTAGATGCATTAGTCCTCGAAGAGATTGACTTCTTGCAGATCACGATCAAAGCACCACCCGTGCGGTCAGAGCTATCTGCGCAAATGAAGCAACTGGGTGATGCCCAACATATTGTTCCATGGCTACAAGAACTGATCCGCGTCCTCGTCTTGTATGCAAGAATACCTCAAGAAGAGGAAGGCCTATGGGAGTACGATGCCAACCTTTACCTATCGGAAGCGACATCACTCACAGCAAATTACACACCCCGAGCAGCATGCAGCGAACTAGTTGTTCGTAGCCTAAGCGAATGGTTGAAACAAATCCCCATCGTCGCAATGCTTCACTTCAACCAGCACTCACTGTCCAACCAGTCAACAAGCTGGAAGGAACGCGAAGCCCTCCTTTACTTGCTGAACCAATGCCTCATCGATGTCGGCGAGGTATCCGGCAGACTCGACAACTCAATTGCCACAGCACTGCTCGAGCAAGTCTCGGCTTCCCTGCAAGACTCACACGCCTTCATGCGCGCAGCCGCACATCTCGTACTCGGCGCTTTCTTCAAGGTCGTGGGCGACGACTACTTCTCCGCCGGCGCCGCATCATTGACCAACGCCATCAACACCGCCATTACTGATGCGTCTGAAGTCGTCAAAATCGCCTGCCTGAACATCATCCCGACCTACCTGGAAGCCCTGCCTTCAAACGTCACACAACCCATGCAGGGCGCCGTCGTCAACGCAGTCTCTGAGTATGTCTCCTCGCACGATCTGAAAGACGAACTCGAAGACGCAGACGACGTCAAAGCCGCACTCATCCAAGCCCTCCGCGATGCCATCATGCTCGACACCAGCTCCATCACCGAGACGAGCGCCATCGACCTGTTCTTCACCCTGGCCTCGGACAGCGCAGGCAATTTCCAGCTCTTCACTCTCCTGACCGAAGCCTTCGAGGGCATCGTCTCATCCGTCTCTACCCATGGACAGGAGAACTACGTGCGGCTATGCTCGAAGACCATCCCCTCTCTTACAGGCGCGTTCGATGTCGCCAGCATGACGCATATGTCTGAATTGACCAATCTGGCTGCCGAGCTGGTCTCTGCGCTCGCTGAATTTGGATCTGAACCACTTCCCGCGGGCTTCGTGTCGGCCGTCATGCCCAAGCTCCAACGCGTGCTCATGGAAGCCACCGACGCCGAACTCGTCCGCCCCGCCACCCGCGCTGTTGAACACATGCTAGACAAAGGCAGCGCGCAGTTTCTCACGTGGACTGACCCGCATGGTAAATCTGCCATTGAAGTCCTACTGACGATCGTCAATCGACTACTCAATTCTCCGGACGTCGACGAGAACGCGGGTCAAGAAGTCGGCGGCCTCGCCTCCACTCTGGTGAACAAATTCGGCGCCGACAAGTTAGGCCCGTACCTCATGGATCTGTTACGTGCTGTTGCAATCCGCCTGGCAACAGCAGATCGCATCCAGTTCATTCAGAATCTGTGCATGGTGTTCGTGGGCCTGAGCCTGGCCGCGCCAAAAGAGGTGGTCGATTTCTTGTCGGAAGTCAATATCAATGGCGTCAACGGCCTGACGGTCGTGCTGACTAAGTGGCTCGAGAACTCGGTGCACTTTGCCGGCTTCGAGGAAGTCCGACAAAACGTCGTGGCCTTGTCGAAGATATTCAGCTTGCAGGACCCGCGCGTAAAGGCCGTTCAGGTCAAGGGGGATCTGATCATCGATGCGAACCTCAGCGGCCGGATCAAGACACGCTCGCAAGCGAAACTGAACCCGGACCGGTGGACGAGTGTCCCTGCGGACCTGAAGATACTCAAGATCATGGTCGATGAGCTTGCGAGTGCGGCGACGAGTCGCTTTCCGAACCTTGCGGCGGCGCAGGCTGCTGCCGAGGCGCTTGATGATGAGGATGAGGAAGGGGGTGACGACGACGGCGAATGGGAGGATGTTGGTTCGGGCGGGGCTGTTGATCTCGCCAGCGCGAGTGTGCGGAATGATTTGATGGCGATGGTCGGCGAGGGTGATGGCGCGGCAAGTCCGACAGGGAGTAGGGCGAGGGATGAAGAGACGGCCGAGTACTTGCTGGGGTGGTTCAAGACGGAGGCTGCAAAGCAGGGATTCGAAGGCCTGTTTGACCAACTCAACGAAGAAGAGAAGGGTAAGTTGAGGGAGCTGGTTGCCTGAATGTAGAAGAAAAATTACCCTGGCATATTCAGGCGACTTGTCGACGTGGAAGACTTGAGCATTCAAGAAGGTGTTCTGAGCGTGTGCCGCTGGGTTTGGCCGCAAGAGAATGAATCACAGGTCATCAATGAAGAGGAGCGAAGAAGGCTGAAGCGTCTCAGCGAAGCATTCTACGAGTACCGAGTGAGTACGAAAAGGAGGCTCTCCCGGGCATGGGAAGATTGCTCCTCCACAGGTCTTTACAAAACATAACCCCTTGAAAGAAATTACTGTCTAGCATCGAATGCACATATCCGGATTGGAAGCTTAGCAATGGTGAACTCTTCGAGAAGTCCCTGGCGCCGTAAATGATTCTTGACAAGTCCTGTCAGCAACGAACTTATGTACGCCATCATACGCTCAAGTCATGGCCAACGATCTCATGCTGACACGAGTACGTTCACATCAAGGCTGTGCACAACCTTTCCTCCACATCTCTCGAGTTCGTTCTGTTCATCCAGCTTGACCAGCATCACAGACTCATTCAGCAGGTGCAGGTTTTGGTACTTCATCAAAATATGAAGTCTCACCTCGTCTCATCTCTTCGTACCAGCAGCATTCCTCTGTGCCCCAAACTTCTCATGCCATTTCCTCTTCTTCTGCGCTTTCGCATCATCATCGGCCGCCGCTGTGCTCGTCTTGGCTGTGACCGACACACCTAGCCTTTTGACACTTCCGAGTCCAAGGGCCAAAACATCATCTGTCCCTTGGCCTGCAAAATGAAGGACTTTCGTGCCTTGATCATCTTGTACCATATCCACGCCTTCGACCGCTTTGACCAAACCCACGACATCACACTCCTTCGCCCAAGAGTCTGGAAGATTTTGCGTCCAATGCTGATTGAATTCGTCCACCGGAACTGGCTTTGACGATGACTTACTTTGTCTCTGCAAATCGTCCAGTACCCAGCGCCCGACGTGTTCAGATGCTTCGGCTTTCCTCCAACTCGTAATGTCAGGTACAGCAACGAATTCCTCTTCTACATCTCGCTCCGAGCCGCGCTGTGGGTTTGACATCTCCTTTGCAAATCGTCTGAAGATCGCCTTGACGACGTCCCCCAGGACATGCCATTCCTCGTCACCATCTGCACTCCTTCTCAGGTCATCAAAGGCGACCCCAATCTGCTCACTGACCATCTCATCTCCGTCGATCATAACGCCTGAAATAGCACATTGCTGCATGAATGCCCTCCACGCTCGAAGCAGTAATGCTGAACTCGGGATATATAGCCCTTGCATATCCCCTTCCTTGCCCTCAACGCTTCTCGACAGATAGAACACGAATACTCTCTTTATAGCCTCGAGAATAGCATTTGTGGGAGCCGGAATATCCTCGAGAATATCCTTCAGTCTCACCATCTTCTGCGCTTCAGTTTCGTTGTCCCGGCTTGTACCCATGTGCAGTCCGCCCTCCTCCTCGTCAGTCTGGCCCTGATACATGGGAACAGTCTCGCGTACTCCTCTTTCGACGTCTTCGGGGTCGGGTTTGACTTCGATTAATTCCAGTATATTCCTGACCTGTGATATAGTGGTGATCCCACTTTCAGCCTCATATGCACGTTTCTCTTTGCCCCCTCCGTGTCCTCCTTGTATGATCCCTTCTCCTGCTTGATCTCTCGGGCTGATACCCCCTTCATCGTCCATGCACATGTCCTCGTCGCCATCATTTCTTTCGGTGTTGATACGTCTCCTCTTCCGCCGTGGTTCGTCGATCGACTGTGTGACGTAGACACTATTACTCGTACTAACTTGCTTGACGGCCCAAATCTTTTCATCTGTGCAGAGATGTAGAAATCCTTGTCCCGCACCTCCTCCTATATCTCTATTTGATTGAGCACCTCTATTTCGTCCTGCAGACTGCACGCCATTCAAAGGTCTGTTCGAAAGAGTAGTGGGCGCGGATTTCAGGTATACCCTGCACCCCACAAGCTCGTTAGCCCTAGTCTCCGACCACAGCAAGAAACTGGACCTCATGCCTAGCATGTCTGGACGAGCACGTGCCGGAAAAGGTAGAGGAATAAGGAAACTTACCTAGCCCCATTACCACTCCTCCGCTGTTCTTCAAGAACACAAGCCAGCTCGGCCGGCAACTCTAACAATTTGAAGTTCTGCTCGGGATATGTGGACGAGAAAGGGACGGGCGGGAATTCGGGGCGTTGAGACGACGACATCTCTTGAAACCGGCTATCCTGAGCAGTACTGCAGTAGGAGACACTGTAACACTCTGAGAAATCTATCCATAATTGATCGACTCTCAAAGAAGCATGTGCGAGAACACGTCCCCGAATTTAGACGCGTTGATACTTTAATTGGTTGAAATGACATCATCTCATCATACCATGTCCACGCATGTCCACGCATGTCAAACTGCACTTGTGCTGCACCGAACGGCAATTGTACAGTAGAATTGAACTTCATGTACGACTTGCTAGGACAGGTTAACAAAATCAGCCTTGCAGAGTTCCTGCAGTTGTCTGATGTAGAGGCATTGTGTGATCTGAGAGGTCGGCAGTACTTCCCATTCCGTGCTGGGCCGTGCAGTGCAAAACTATTTGGCGTGTCAAGCATAAGACCTAGGACAAGGAACATGACAAGAGCAATATCACAAGTACAGAGGTCCACAGCTCGACAGTAGACCATCCGTGGCCATCTTTCGCACAATCAGAAAAGGAACTCAGGGAGGCGCCCGCGCGTTTTACGCTCTGATTCACGTGCTTTGGCCATGTCGACTGATGAAAACAACACGAAGCGGCTTAAACGGGCAACCTGGGCGCCAGAATGAGTAAGAGATATGCACGTGCTTTTTCCCATGTCGACCGATCAAACCTTCAAACGCGGCTCAAACAGGAAATATATCGCACCAGAATAGGACGATCGATAGCGAAAATGTTCCGCATTAGACACCAGGAGCGCATCACACCAAACCCCCAATGTCTCGAATGAAGCTGGGTAGCTAGCTACCTTTGGATCCAGACGATGGTTTGAAGAGAAATCCCACTGATGCTGGTAGAGCTTCGGCCCGTCAAGCTTCTATTGTGATAATTCGGTCCTGGCTGTTGATCTTCTCAACTGTGAGCACGGCACGCAGAAGCAAGATATGACACTTTGATCAAAGGGGCACAATGTATTGTATTCCCTTTCTACAGCCATATCGCTCATGCCGGTCAGAAGCACCATACTCGGCTAATTCATGAAAGCTCTTGGTACATATACCTTTAAACTTTTGTTCCTGCTCCTGTCATATCAAGACATTGGATAGCTGATATTTCCCGGTATCATCCATGCAACAAGTAGAGATGTCCTGTGATACGCGATGGTCGATGCTGAGTATCTGCACTGGTAGCAAAAAGGTGTGCTCCAGCGGATGTTGCACATGTTCATAGCAAGAATGAGCAAAAGAAGACAAGATGAAAGTACCAGCCGACCAAGAACGGAATGCAGACCAAAAATGATTGGAAGCAATAGTAAGTCCTCAGTGTCATTGACGTGGTTGGCTCATTTGTTGGACTGCGGAGTGTTGGTGAGGTTCTCCTTGCCACTTGCAGGCTCAATTTTGATAGTGACTTTCTTTGGGCTGGGTGTCTTCCGAGTGGATTCACCAGTGTCCGGGACGATTGGAAGAATGCTCGCAGTCTTTGGAGGGATTTCGATGTAGCCGTTGGAAGCTGCCGTGACTGGAATATTAGTGCGGACGGTTGTGGTGTTGGTGATAGACTGAAGTCCACCTTGCATTGGCCATTGGGAGCTGCGAGTCGCACTGACTGGTTTGTTGACACCAGGCATGTCACTGCAAGAAGCATAGTCAGCGCCTGAAAGTACAGGGGGCGTGCAGTAAGGCAGAACTTACGCCGGAGAGACTGACGTCGCTGGGGTGAAGTTATTGCTAGCTCCAGCGGGTGACTGGTAGCTGCCATTTGGACTGATGTGGTTGCCCATGTTTTGAAGGCGAGTCAAGGTTGGCGACGGGGTGTGTTCAACCGAATAGCTGTATTCGCGACTGCGCCAGTTGCGACGTTCTTGACTCTGTTGCTTGAGTTGCTTCTGGGCTTTGGTGTCGGCGAATCGAAGGAACAGCTTGACACCGTCATGGTCGGTGAGGGCGGAGTGGTATTCTTTGATGACACGTTCGGCAATCTCCCGACTTTCGAACCTGGCAAAGTCAGTGTCAAGAAGAAACCCCTGTGGATGATCAAAAGTACCTGGCGAAGCCGACCTCTTTGCTGACTCCAGAAGGCACATCTCGGCATATCTTGGTGGAAACGGCCCGGTAAGGGAGGAAGTGCTTAGCAAGGTCCTTTCACAGGTCAGCAAGACAACATGGTAGTTGTAGAGGCCAACAGACCGATTCGTTCCAATCAATAGGGACACCGGTGCAGTAGACGTTGGTGGAATTTCTGTCTTCGAGATCTTTCAGACGGGAATTGCGGGATTTCTGCTAAGGTCAGCAAGGAACAACATGTTTGTGGGCAGTACGTACCTGGGCATAGCTGGCTTGGAAACCAAGATGGAAGAACCCTCGAATACAATTCTCTGCAGCAGCAGGAGAGTAGTACATGACGAAGCCAAAGCTTTGCATGGTCAGTCAAGCTGATAATGTTGGAGGACAGATGAAACATACCCTTTGCATTTGCCAGTGTCTTGTTCAATGATGGCTTTGCATGATTCGATCTCACCAAAGCGGGAAGCCCAATGTTCGAGGTCTTCGTCTGTGGTATCTGGCATGAAGCCGCGGATGTACACATTGGTGATGCCCTCTGGATTCTGAAGGCATTTGGCAAGACTGAGTTCCTCTTGGTTGGTCCACAAAGCTGGGACAGCACGAGGAATCGGTGGATCACGAGCGACGAGTTCGTCAAGATTGACCATTTCGTATGACTTGTTGTCGGAGCACTTCATAGGCTGGATGGGACCAGCAATGTAGTGTGCACTAGTGGAAGTCGTGGACAGGTAAGGGAAGCCTGGATAGTAGTCTGATTGTCCTTGGAGAGCAACAGCCGGATTGTTGGGAGCGTTCTCTTCATTAGATGACCAGGAGGCTCGACGAGTAGGGTCAAAGCCGTTGACATTAGAAGCCATGCCATAGGGCCAGCCGTAGGCAGGGAGAGTACCAGCACCCATGTTGTTTCCCATGAAGCTAGGGAACATTCCAGTAGGCAGGTAGGGCAGCTGTGAGGCGGTGTCTGCAGCTGAGGTCTGATTTTGACCATAGAAGCTGCTGAGTGGGACGGTCTGACCCGAAGGAAGAACCATCATTGGACTATTGTAGCCTTGACGACCGGTGCCATTGACCTCGTTGTCCATTTGTCCAGATGATGGAAGGGTAGCCTTGAGGTTCTGCATGCTGGCCAATGGATTGGTATTGGTCATGTTCATACCTGAGCAACGTTGAGCAACTGTCCACACGGTGTCAACATCCATCTCTTACCTCCAGCGTAAGGTTGATAGCTTGACCCAGCGTACGGCATCCGAGATTGAGGGTAGCCAGGGTAGGCTGTGCTTGAGGCAGTTTGAGTTGCAATCTTCTCAGACATGACTGTTGGATTTCTAGTAGCAGAAGGTCAGCTAGGTACTTGAAGAGGTCTCGGCAGAACTGTTGAAGTCGATGTAGGTAGAAGATTGCTGTCCCATCGACTCACCTGCAGTTGTGTTTACCAAACGAGCAACCTGTGACGACCGTCGAGGCTTTCTTGCTGAGGTTTTTGATGGAAATGAATAGAGCAGCAATGGGATGGTACAATGAGCAAGCCAAAATGCAGTCGGGATGGATGATAAGGGTGAGGAGATGCTAACAGCGGAGAGTTGTGTTGAAGCAAAGCTGTAGCTATGTGTCTTGTGTAGGGGAGAAGAAAAGAAAAGGATGAGAGGGAAAAGAGACGGAAGACATCTTCGTTAGGTGGGTGACCGACTCAATGGAAGGAGCGACGACAATAGGGAAGGTAGTCTTTGAATGGTCGACAATGGCAATAGCGACGCCTATTCAACTGTCTGACCTCGTCCCGGCTTCTTGATTGACCACAACGGGAGAGCGTCCAAAGCCCTCATTAGGGTAAGAGGTATGGGACCTCATTGCCGGGAGCATCTCCTCATTTAGAGACGACGTCACGTAGTATGATGTCCACATCAGAGTCTTTGCAACACCAGACCTTCACCTCCATTGATGGGCAAAATGAAACTCGTTACAACTCTTTACCAAGGGCTTCTCATCGTCGAACGCGTCATGAAGACTTATGATCCAGTGCGCATGGACTGCGACTCCAACGTGCTGACTGCTGAGGGAATGTTTTGAGATACCAGACAACATCATCGGATAACTCTGCATTTTACCAAGTGAGTTGGGGACACCAATGGAGGAAGTTGTAAAGGCAGTCCGAGGTGGAAGTGAAGTCGATTTCGACGCGATTCGCTCAGTGGTTCACCCTGCAACTGCTTTAGTTCGATACGGTGGATCATATGCATCACTCTGGTGGTTGGAGAAGTTCAGCCTCGACTCCAATTCGAGTTTACCAAAAGATTGAGATTTTGTGGCAGTCCACGAGAGTCGTACCGTACTTGCACATCTTGTTGTCTTTTAGACGGTACACCATACAGCCATGGCCAAAGACGCTTCCGAGAATATATGGCAGAATGTTTGTCCCTCAAGTTTCGTGGGCTTGCTGGTTGCGTGGCTAACATTATGAATAGTTCTTCCAACAGCACGATTCCATTGTATCGTTACTCGACAGCCACGCTTCCCTCCTCGTTCAATTGCGCGAGCATTGCGCTGGGAGCACCACGGTCCTGGATGCCATCCAAGCGCGCTTACTTAGCACAGAAACTCTCATCGCTGGTTTCAGGTCATCTGCGGAATCATTGGTATGCTCTACCATGCTCCCGCTGTTCAACGTCAAAGGGTGTTTCTGAGACTAACAGATTCTGTCTAGAGATCGATCACCAATCAGGAAGACTTCGAGTCAACAGACTCAGTCAGCCGTCCACAGCCGAAGCCATCCATTTCCACTGAACGGACGACTGACCCAAGCGGTCTGTTCACCTTTGATACCACTCCCTCTATCGTCAGTGATTTGCTTAAAGAAAACACAACACCCAAGCGCAAAATGAACGCACAAGGGCATGATGCTCATGGAACAACTGAGGACCAACGGGAACACAAGAGACCGAGACTGAACGGCCATGATGAGCAAGCAGTGTCAGAAGAGGATGATTCTTTTGTACGAGGGGTAGACGCCAGAGTACAGGCAAAAGCGAATCGTAAAAAGGAAAGATTCGACAAGAAACGCAAGAGACAAAGTGATGGCTCGATGACCAGCGTAAACAACGGCCAACAGCACAAGCGACCTAAGCATGAGGGCAAATCGCCTGCGAATAAGCCTTTGGAGATTAGACAGCACCACAACGGCAAGAGATCCCAGTCGGCATCCAAAAGCAATCGTACACAGAGCGGTCGACCAAACAAGAAAAGAAGGAGATAACGTTGGAGATCCCAAGGGAAGCATTATTCTTTTGGTCGATTTCGGTGTAACCAATACAAGAACTGCAATGCAGAAGACATGCTGCATGTGACCGAAGTTGTGTCGCCGGCTAGCTCCAGTTCCGAACGGCACATGGGCCCAAGCTGCCATTCCGCTTGCTGTACTACAGCAAGGTCGGCCTCTGCAACTTTACCATGACGAGAGCCCCCTCGACGAGGTAAAGTTCTCTGGGTATACCATTTGACGTCTAAAATGACATTGACAAGTCATGTCCGGGTAAGGTTTCCAATGGTACACACCATCACCTCATGTCGGCCAGCCGGACCGACCAGAGGTCTTGAAGCCACCTTAAAACACATCAGGCGAAGACTATAAAAAGCTGTCATCGCCCGAAACCACCCACAACTCGAAGTGCACTTCGATATGCCCAGCCAAATTCCGGACTGGACATCGGTCGTATTTCCCCGAGGCCGAGTTCAGCTCCGGCGCCGGATATGTCGACTTTGAAGAAGCATAGAAAGAGCCAGTCAGACGGTCAAACCACCTGACATACTCGCTTCGAATGCCCTTCCTGTGCACTGACCGTGACGGACGGCGCCGCAGATAGCAAGTGTTGGAAAGTCGCAATGAGCTTTGGAGCATGGTATCAAACTCCGGGGTATTCAAGCAGATGCTAGACAGCGCCGCACTCGATCCAAGGAGTGTCTCTGGCACGTACTGGACTAACGGGTCCTTGAGCACACTATGGTGCTGAGAATCGAGACAGTCGTGTTGGATAGATCAGCTCACTCAACGTGTGCCGTCGGCAGGGAGTTGGCATCCAGAGTCTCCGGAGTGATAGGTGGTCACGGAGCCAACTCAGCTCTTCTTCTCACCCTCTAGCACTGCTTCATCTTTCTTCTTGAGCTCCTCGCCCTTTTTCTCACCCCATGTCCAGACTTCCCATATTTGATCCATGATCATGGAGCCATAGCCTTCACCTTGTGAAATCTTTTCCTGCTCTTCTCGCAATCGCCGTTCCTTCCATCCTTCTGTCTCACCACCCATCCAGATTTCTTTTGCCTTTTCTTCGAGGAGGGAGCCCTTCTTCAGCTCGACAGGTTTGCCAGGTTCCTCGAGTAGACGTCTCTGCTGCTCGCGCGCTTGAGCTTGGGCAGCTTGGATCTCGCGAGCTCGTTTCGGCATTCCAAAGGGCGTGGGTACATGACCGAGAAGTCCTGAGCCGGTACGCTCTTTTAGCTGGTAGTTGGCCGAGACCACAAACGCACCGGACAGTGAAAAAGTATAAAAGTCTAGTTTCCGCGGTGGAACGACTATGAGAATCGGGGCAACAACAAGGGTTGCAAGGGACGCAGTGTACAGAAACTTGTGATAGTCGTCGATCATATGGTTGCGCTGCAGCAGCGAGGATTCCCCCTCGGAGGAGCCCATCATGGGTCAACAAGTCAATAGAAGTCGGTTTCTTTGCGAACGTCGATGATGCGGAGAATCAGCGAGTGTTACTATTGCATTTCTATAACTCAATACTTCACCGTAATCATGTTGTACCGTATTATTTCCAACCTTTAGCGCACCAACTTCTATGTGGGCACCTTTGAAGTTTGATCATTGTTCGAACATATTTTCATCAGCTTCCGTCGCTATGATTCCTATGGTCTAGAGTCAGACGCTCTGAGGCTGACAGGACAGCCGCATCCTCGTACTCCTGGTGACGCGAAGATGGTGAGTTTGCCAGGGTTCCCCTCTGAACAACTGCTGATGCTCTCCTCGCAGGCAGCCGCAACAGCTCATCCCTTCGAGCGCCGGGTCGCTGAGACTCATATCTCGAAATCGTACGTGCCTCCATATTCTCCCAGCCTCTTACCGAAAGGATGTTATTTTTGACAAAATGGGAATCTCTCTGAAAACACTTGAAGAGAACTATGTTATTTTGCTTTCTGAAAAAATTTGAATTTCAACGCACTACAAACTCACAAATTCGGCGGGCAATAGCTGACGCTCAACTTGTACAGTGATGTAAACAACCTGATCATGGACTACCTCATCACAGAAGGCTATCCATCGGCTGCCGAAAAATTCGCTGCAGAAGCCAATATCCAGCCCAAAGCAGATCTCAGTTGCATCCAGGAAAGAGTACAGATCCGAGACTCTATACACCGGGGAGATCTGCAGGCGGCTATCGAGCTCATCAACGAGCTCAACCCAGAAGTACGTTCTTTTAGCATCCCAGCCCCTTCCCTCTCCTTTCATGATTAGATTAGTTTTCATGCACCACTCATAGCTTTCGGGCAGAGATGAGAGCAAAAACACCTTCAGTCCTCAGTATGAATCACATTTTGTCTTTACCAAATGGTCGTCGCAGTGCCCTTCACTTGCAAAAAGCTGATCCGCTTTCATAGCTCCTTGACGCCGACAAAAAGCTGCATTTCTCCTTGTTACGTTTGCAGCTGGTCGAGCTCATTCGTCAAAGTTTCACTTCTTCAGACGCGACTCTTGTCGGCAGAGCCATAGAGTTCGCTCAGAACAATCTTGCGCCATATGCACCTCTGGAACCGCAATTCAAGAACGACCTCGAGCGAGCAATGGCGCTGCTGATAGTCCCTAAAGAGTCATGGACTAAAGCCACGTCGTCGGCCCCCTCGGGCTCGTCAACATCACAAGTTCAAACAGATTTCGGCGCTCTAGCTGAGCTAGTCGACCCATCATTACGGCGGAAGGTCGCTAAGGACGTTAATGAAGCCATCCTAAATTCTCAAGATCAGAGGAGGGAAGCCAACATCAGGTACCTCGTTAGAGCCAGGGCATGGGCTGAACAACTCGCCCGAGAGAAGAAGATGGACTTACCACAACATATCAGCCTCGGCCTCGATGGTGATAAACATTCAAAAGATAGCCAAAACGGACACAATGGAGACACTGAGATGACGGAGAATGGCGGCGAAGATGCCAGTGGCGGTGATGCCGAATTGGCACGCTATACTAACATTCCGACCTGAAATACTTGGTGGCCACGATTTATGATACCACGTTAAATTAGCGACGGCGTTGGGGCTTGGTGAATATATTATTGATGTTCGATACCATGCGAATGTAACCATAACGATCTTGATCCCCGCCCAGTGTTAGGCAACCCATTGATGGCGCGCGATTCTTTGCTCAATCCCACCGCCAGCGCCATGCTAAACAACAAACCCAAGAAGCCACCCCTGCCGTACAACTCGACTACCAGTTCCAGGTCCGACTACTGGCCGTGAAAACAGGCGGTTTCCAATTCAACCTACTCGCATCGATCCTCCTGGCGCCCCTGAGCTTCTCCTTTTCACGCCTCTTCTCTTGCCACTCGAGCAACTCGTCCCTGACGACGATGATCCAGGCGCCCTTGTGATACCTCAACAGCTTCAACACCTCAAGCTGCTCATGAACGTCCTTCTCCGTCATGCTGGTCAGACTTGCGATCTCGGCAATACTCGTACTGAACTGGCTACTGGGCGAGCCGAACGCGAGACTGCTATGCGGGTGCAAATGCTCGGACGAAGGGGTATGGCTTGCGCTGCCCGGCGGCGGCAACCGCGCCGGATCACTAAGCAGTTCCACCAGCACTTCTTTCCAGTATTGCCTGTAACCTAGCAACCCTAGATCGCTCAGCGGCTTTTCCGGGCTGCCCAGCTTTCCCTCCCGCTTGCTCAGTTCGTAGCTGAACGCAATGAGCAAGCGTCCCAGGCCTTGGCGCTGGTATTGCGGCAATGTCAAAATACACGCGACATTGTACCCTTCGGCGGACTCTTTCTCTTTGGAGAAATAGCCGGTGAGATGGCACCCGTGTTCGTCGCGCGTGACCATGCAGTAGAACAGGAATGGATCGACGTCATAGTACAATGTTTTGTGGTCGAGGAACAATTTGGAGAGGAGGCACAGATTGCGACACCACGTGCGCTGCCGCCGTCCATCGACCTCAAAAAAACTCACAAAGTCGTCGCGGTAGATCTCGTTGCCCGGCGGGTGGCGCAGCTCGCATTTACTCCTGTGCCGCTCGAAGGCCTTTTTGGAGCTGAAGTATGACAGGCAAAATTCGTCCACATACACCATATCGACATCTGCGAATTCTTGTGGGTACGGGCTGAAGTACCACGGCTCGATGACGTGCTTGCCCATCTGGATCTTGTTGAGGTTGCGAACGAGATGGAGCTGCGCGTGGTTCTGGACCATTGAGCCGCCGGTCCGGAGTTTCTCGATTTCTTCCTCAGGTTCCATGATCGGCGCCACCTTCTCTTCTGTCTTGGTCACGTCGGGCATCTCGACATCACCATCCCTGGTAGGCAGCTCCAAGCTGTCTTCATGACTGAGGCTGGCTAGCGGCGTACCGGCCTGTGCGAGCAAGGGGTCGCCATCGCTGTCCTCGCGGTTCTCCTTCCCACCGGCTTTCGAGGGGACGACGCGTTTCCGGTCATTGCCGGCTTTTGCAGTCAGCAGGTCGGGCGTCGCAGAGCCCGCGCGTGAATCTGCACGAGGGCGGCCGGCTTTTGTGGCGATGGATTTCGCTTGTGGCGCTTTCGTAGAGGCCTTGGTTGTGACGGTGGTTTTCTTCTTCTCGGGCTTTTCGGGAGCCGGCCATTCGACCTCTTGTGACAGATCGATGCGGTCGGCTGAGATCCATTCTGCCAGACGTTAGAACTGCATCATTAGGCTCTGAAGGGTGGTTAGGACTTACCGTCTAAACGCTTATTGAACTCGACGTAATGAACGCTGGCGCGCGGTTAGCTGATATCTAATAGAATCCAACCCTTGAGCATACTAGAATGTCAGATCTCCCCCATTCCTCTGCTTTATTGACAGGATCTCTGCCTTTCTCGCTTCACCATTCTGGAAAGACAACAGTCAGTCTCGTCCTCAGGTCTGGAAACGTGTCACGTGACACAGATGAAGAATTGAAGAAACCCTCACTTTTTCGACAAAAGCTTTCACACCGATTCTGGAATCAATAGATCAGTAGATGTCCCGGAAAATTCGAACTGTATAGTGATTGAAAAGGCCAGGAAGGATGACTGACTGCAACTGATTGAGCGTGGCGAAGCTTTTGATGACTGGCTCAGGTGTATCATTCGACTCGCCACCATGGTCACCGCCCGCCATGATGATCGCCCCGTATAGGCGACAATTTTTATCGAAAGAAAAGGGTATCCGAGTTGTGGTTGTAGAGTTGTGATGGAATTTGATCTGTATCGTCTTGTGGTGCTGCTAGGGCAAAGTTGGCGAGAAGTTTAGACGAGGTTTCGCTGCTAATAAGATGGTTTTTCCCGGCGGCAACTTTTAGGCGCCACTGTCACTCTGGAGGCACGGATCTGGCTGCCTACCACTTCACTCTTGGACGCCTGTAAATTCTACAACATCCCGACTGCAATGATTGAAGTACATGCATATTATGTATTGCTGGCATATACTACCGATCATGCCTCCCTCAGAGGGTAACTCGAATAAGAATACGAAGATACAGGTCTCGGGTGCGAAAGTGCAGAAGTCCAGCGCTTCAAGACACTGCTCAGTCCTGTACTGGCATGCTCTCAAGTTGATCAACCATACTCCTCCAATTACTCGCCTGTAACTCAGCATACTTGACCCGCTCTTGACTCCAGTCCTGATGCATACGGGTGATAGCGTAAATGGAAGTCTGGAAAGTCACAATTTCATCCCTCACGCACTCCTTGATGAATACTCCTCTGGCATGTTGCTGTACGATACTCTCCTTATCCGCCATAATACTGCTTTCAACTTTCTCCATTTCTCCTGGTTTGACTTGGCCCTGGGGCTTTTGTCGCAATTGTTGTAGTTTGTGTTCTGACGCTTCGATTCGTCGCTCAAGTTGAGGTATATTGTCTCGCGCGTACCGATCCCGCCTGTCGAACATATCGCGCATCGAGACATAGCTGTCGCGGATTGCTTTCAAGTCTTCGAGGACTCCTGTATCCCATGCCTTTGCTTCGTCATCCAATAGTGTCTGGTAAGTGGACAGGTGTTTCGAGGTTGAAGTGATACCCTCATTCAGAAGCGGTACGTCATTTGTGTCAATTGCATAAGTTGCGGTGGTGGCTTCTGTAAGGTGGGATAGCGCAGTGCTGAATTTTGCATTCTCCGCCGCAATATTCTCATTGCGCTTCACCAATCTTTCCAACAAAATACATAGGTTGATGTATATCTCAGCCGATCGCTTCACGCCAGCGCGGACTTCTTCGAAAATTTCCGGGAGATTGTCTGGTAGACTGTCCTCAAGTGTAGGGGGAAGGCTCTTGCCTGTGAATTCTTCCTGTACAGATATCGTGGCTTGCTTTCGCCAAACAGATAGTTCCTGATCCTGAAGTTAGTTGTCAGTCCACTCAAGGACAATTCGTCTCGATTGGACTTACAGTAGGAACGGTCAAGAACATCACTACCAGCGTTTCCTGGCTCAAGATGGGATGTTGGACAAGAGCGTTTGTGAACCTGACCAAGCCTCTTCTTCTTTTCTCCAAGAAGACAGCTGCGTCGGCTGAAAGGTGTGTACCATTTACTGTAAGTCTGGATCAGCTTGGCTTGGTAGTCTCCCAGGATTGCTAACCTTGAACCCGTTTTGGTGGCAGCAATGGCAGGCGCCGGAATGGGTACCGCTTTTGTAAGCAGTCAAGCAGCCAAACGAAGTCACTGTACCGTCTGACGACGGTGCTCCCTCGTCGAATGGTTTTGACTTCATAGTTGCGATGTTGAAATAAAAACATGCCTTCCTTCTCTGGTAACATGGTTACTGTGACACTTTCGCCGGTACCTGGAGGTAGCGTGATGCTCTGAGAAACGGAGGCCTGAGGTCGATGACCTGGAGCGTTGGACTGATCGTCACCCTGATCTCCGAACCCCCCACCAAGAGTTGATGGCGCTGGGAACCCTCCTGAGCTGCCATTATAACTGTTCCAACCTGCACCTGCGCTGCCCGATGAGGTATCATTTGGAGAGCCACTGTTAGTGCTGGATTGATCGCCCTTCGTAGTGAATATACTTGTAGTCCTTCCAATGCCATTGGGAACGCTCTTAACGTCGTCTGGCAATCCATTGGACGCCATGGTGTGGGCAGCGGTAGATGGAGGTGGCAGTCTATTGTTGGACGGACTAGCCCATGGATCTGATGTTGGATCGTTTCCGAACGACTCTTGTCGAGGCTTTTGCGGTTTCACAGGGGTCGGTTTCGAAGCTTGTGGAAGGCTGGGCTGTGGCCGGGCATGTGATCGCAGTTCATCTATGTAGCCCACCTTGGGTTCGGGCAACTCTGGGAGGACGTCAGTCATGAATTTCTGTCACATAAACCTGCACTTACTTCGCCGCCTCTCATCGACGCCGTCAAGGGTGATGTCTTCGCCCTCTTGACCCAGCCCGATGAGCGCAAGCAGTACATTGAACTCGCTCCTGCCAACTCCATTGGCACTTTCCTGTCCTCCCGGTATTACGAAGTTTTGAATCTTATGTTGCTCCTGTTCGCTCAGATTGCTGCTTTGTATAATGCTCCTGATTGCGGTCAAGCTGACGCCCACTCCCGTTCGCTCGCTCCCATTCAGTACTACGTCGTAAGCATCGACGTAATATTCAGGTACATCGGTGGCCGGGAGAAGGTTCTTCACCAAATTCTGTCTGGCATTCCGCTTGGGCGTTGGCATCGACCAGGGTGATTCGCCGCCATCTTCGGCGAAGAGGGAAGATGCGGAAGGCGTTTGGGCAGATTCATCGCCGAACAAGGACTTGGAGTTTAGGGGCGCGGTTTCTGTGGGAGATGAGCCGAATAGAGACATGGTCAAGAATGATTGTACAAGAACAAGTGTGCGCTCAAACAACAAGAATAGAAAAGACGCCGATCACATTGAACGCAGTTGGCGCATTGAGCTGCGCTTGATACGAGTACAGTAGCAAGCACAAGACTCGAGGCTACTTGCTATCGCAAGTTGGAGACTTGGATCGAGCTCGAGCCAGTCAATGACCTCAGACGGCAGTCACGTGCCTCATCCACGTTAGTTGAAGCCCACTACAACGTACGCGTAACTCGATTATGTATTGGTATGCGAACCACGATGAGCCTACTGTGGTACTAATGTGATATCGCCGCTGTCAATCCCGAGTGTCCCATTTACTTCTTGTCAAAGCATTCCTGAGTTGCAGCAGATTGTAACTCCCTCCCCTAAGGTCTCTCTGTGACAAAAGGCTAGGTATGGGTTGGACAATGTTCATTCAGAAGCGTAAATTCATGCTTAGGCCAAACAAGATATGATCGCGCAACTGGAGACTGCATCACCGTGCCGGGCCATGCATCTTTGTACTCAGCGCCAGTCCGCTTCAGTTCAGACCTTGACAGTAAAGTCTTTGTACGACCATTTCTCGGTGTAAGTCTTCTTCGCCTTCTTGGGCTGCAGTATCGGTTTCCGCGCTTCCAGTTTCCCATTGACCAGCAAGCTTCTGAACCGGTCATTCAAAAGATTCCCTTCAGGCTTCAGCCTCCGCAGTGAATCCTGGAGTTCATCGGGCAGAACAACCTCAAGTGATTTCTCTGGTATCACAGAATTGCCCATCTTCCGCCGCCGTAGTGTCTCGTCATCGCCTTCCTCGGACTCGGCATCGCTGTCGCTCTGCTGCGCCAACTCCATCTCGTTCTCCTGACGCTTGATCATGGCATTAATGATTTGCTCTGCCTGCTTCTGCTTATCACCCATTCTCTTTTCGTGCTTCGCCAATCTTTCGCCTTCCCTTCTCCTCTTGAGCTTGTTACGCTGAGCAGGGGTCTTACGTTCAGGCCGTTTCTTCTTCAGAACTTCTGGATCGTCGTTGTCTGTCTCAAAGCCTTCCCACGCACTCTCCTCATCTGCTGGATTCGGTTCAGGTCTGGCGGCTATTTCCCGAATTTTCGCCTCCTTTTCTGCGGCAATCTGAGCCTGAAGCAGGCGAGCCTTTTCAGCCTGTAACTCTCGCTCGCCCTCTTTATTCAGCAAGTCATCCCAATCTTCGAATGCCGGATTGTAGCTAGTCCCGGCCCTTGGGTGTTGCACCGCTCGCACGGGTCTGCCACTGGCGGTCATGGCAATTGGTGCTTTTCGTATGGTTGCTGGCGCGACCTTGGCCTTAGGTTTGGGCACGTATCCTCTTGATTCGTTCTCCTCCGGTTCGGAGTTGACATTGGCGGCCCAAGGGTCGAATACAGCGTTCTCACTGTCGATATTCTGGTTGTCCAAGAACGTACTGTTGTTCAGGTTGTTCTTTAACCGTTGTACCTCCTTCTTGCTGACCCAGTCAGGCTTTTGCCGTTTGCTGGATGTCTCAATGACTCCATCTGTGACTGCTGAGTGTGGTCTCTTCCGAGAGTCCAGTGCGGGCACTGCAGATCGTCGTGACAGAATCTCATCTACCTTCAAAGGCTTCTGTAACTTGTACTTCTTCTTTATTTCTTGTGAACCTTTGGTATCAAGTGCAAACAGCTCTTCCGACGATTTCTCTGCTACCGGACCACCTTGAATAATTTCTTCTCGCAGACTTTCCAGGCCTTGGTGGACTTCCGTGATGTCGACATTCTTTCGCCAGGCTTTTTTGCCCTTCCTCGAAGATTGCTTGTGCTGCTGAGGAGCACCTGTAGCGGAATTCATCTTGGAATCACTTAATGCCATGAATCTTGGACAAGCCCTGGACGTATCAATTGGTCTCTGGGAAAAAAAGTCGTCGCATCCACCTGGAGATTTCTCCGCAGGCGCCAAGGCGAGCGAGAAATGTGGTTTGTCTGACTGTCATTTGTTCACGCTATTTCGCAGTGAATCATGGTATTCTCTTTGTCTGACAGTTTTCTGGCACAGTGTATCGAAGATTTCAGATCATCTGCCTGCGCCTTCTCACTCTCTACCCGCGCGACTTCGCGCCCTACGTATCTTTGACATAGTCCACCGACAAGGACACCAGACATTCAATATGCCAGTCGTCAAAGGAGGTGTATGGACCAATATTGAGGACGAAATTCTCAAAGCCTCCGTTTCCAAATATGGGCTGAATCAGTGGGCACGAGTATCGTCGTTGTTAGCACGAAAGACACCGAAGCAGTGTAAAGCAAGGTGGACGGAATGGCTGGATCCAGGGATACGCAAGATCGAGTGGTCGAAGGAGGAGGATGAGAAGCTACTACATCTGGCAAAGCTGATGCCCACACAATGGCGGACAATTGCGCCTATCGTTGGCCGAACTGCTACCCAGTGCCTTGAGCGGTATCAGAGACTTCTCGATGAAGCCGAAGCACGAGAGAATGATGAACTGGGGCTTGGAGGGCCGGAAGGTGGCGAGGCGTCCGCGCCCACAGGGGATACTGTGCGAAAACTACGACCTGGTGAAGTTGACCCCGATCCAGAATCTAAGCCTGCGAGGCCTGATACGATCGACCTCGACGAGGATGAAAAGGAGATGCTAAGCGAAGCAAGAGCACGCTTGGCAAATACACAAGGAAAGAAGGCGAAGAGAAAAGCTCGGGAGCGACAGTTGGAGGAATCAAGGCGGCTAGCAGTGCTTCAGAAGAGACGAGAGCTGAAAAATGCGGGCATTAACATCAAAATAACGACGCGCAAGAAGGGCCAGATGGATTACAATGCAGATATCCCGTTCGAAAAGCAAGCTGCGTCCGGGTTCTACGACACGCAGGACGAACAGGCAAAAAATGAGCGCGAGCGGGAGATGTTTAATCCCAGAAAACAACAGTTGGCGAGGAAAAGACAAGGAGACCCCGAGGACAACGTTGATTCGAAACGGCAGAAGCAGGACAAGGACAAATCGTCGTCAGCGGCTATGGCTGCCGCGGCAAAAGCTGGTCAGATGCAACGAATTCGTGAAGCTGAGCAGAAAAGCAAGCGGAGGGCACTGAATCTTCCAGCGCCGCAGGTCAGCGAGAGCGAGTTAGAGGAGATAGTAAAGATGGGTATGGCAGGCGATAGGGCGATCAAGGCAGCTGGAGAAGATGAAGAAGACAGTCGTGGGCTTGTGTCCAACTACGCGAATATGGTCGGTGCGACACCTATTCGGACACCTCGAGCGCCGGCGCAAGAAGACCACATTGCCAACGAGATCAGAAATATCAGGGCCCTGACAGAAACGCAGTCATCCTTGTTGGGTGGCGAAAATACACCTTTGCTTGAGGGCAGCAGTTCTACAGGATTTGACGGTATTGCTCCGCGAAGAAATGAGATGGTCACCCCAAACCCCATGGCCACACCATTCCGCCAGGGAGGACCGGACGGCCAGATAACCGGTGCCACACCGCTGCGTACGCCACGGGATAACTTTACGATCAATGAAAAAGGGGAGCGGCAGCTGGTCGGCCAAACGCCCCGCGACATTCGACTAGCTGAGAATGCAGCAAAGAATTCACTGAGGGCGAGACTTGCTTCTCTTCCAAAACCCAAGGAGACTGATTGGGAACTCGAGCTGTTGCCGTCAGAGCAGGAAGAGGCAGCTGCCCAGGCGAGGACCGAGAGGGAAGATCAAGAAGAGATCGACCGGCGAAGGCGGGAAGCTCAAGAAGCTGCTGCTGCTGCGGAGTTCAAGCGGCAGACGCAAGTATACCAGCGTTCCTTACCTCGTCCGAAGACAGTTGACTATAACTCACTCGCCTCCCAAGCGCTGTCAATCACCGACCCGATCCAAGCCATGATAGCCGAAGAAGCTGCCCTTCTTATGGCGCAGGACGCCCAGAAATATCCTCTGCCAGGCTCAAAGGCCATCGGCAAGCCTCCACGATTGAACTCGCTATCGGACGATCTGATTGCCAGAGCGCGTCAGGAGTTGGCCGCCGCATGTAACGAGGCTGACCAGCAATCTTACGTGTCTGCTGTGGAGGGAATTTACGATGCTGGAATGGAGCGCGATGCAATGCCTTTGAAATTTACCGAGAACACAACGCCTGAGGAATATCAAGCTGCATTTCAGGCCGCACACAAGAATCTCCTCGATGCCGCTGAAGCTGGCAACAAGTTGGAAAAGAAGCTCGCCCTACATCTTGGTGGGTACCAAGGGCGGCAAAAAACGCTGAAACAAAAGATCGCGACGGTCTATTCACAGATCGAGGAACAACGCGCACAGCTGGAAGCTTTTAGGGCATTGCAGATTGGCGAAGAGGGCGCGCTAGCCAGACGACTCGAAATGCTGAGGGATGAAGTCAATTTTGTGAGCCGAAGAGAACGAGAAGCGCAGGAGGACTATCGGGCTGCTAGAGACGAACTGCGAGAATTGGAGGCCAACCGCGCGGTCGAAGTGAACGGGATCAATAGACATTCTTGAATTGGCGGATCTTCCTTGAGGAGGCAACAAGCCATGATTACTTATCCGACTGCATTGTGCTGCAAAGCTTCCCTGGACTTGGGTGTCCTAGCACCAATAGCGGCACATAGACAATCTTATGTAATACGTATCGTCTGAGTTACTAGTAATCTCGTAGAACTTGCTGCAGGACTTCCGTTACCCCGTACTTACTATATATTTGGCGTCCATCATTCTGCTGGACATCCCTCTGGATTCATCGTCCACGAGTTGCTGGCTGTTCGACTGATTGCAAATCCAAGAATAATCAAATGCACTCATCTCTCTGGCTCATCGCCCCAAGCGACGACCATGCTTTCAACAAGTCTCTGAAAGAGCTTATTGGGAGCACTCTGCCGTCTGACTTCCCCCATGCACCCAAGAACAATTTCATCCCGCACGTCACGATCACGTCCGACGTTGATCCCTCGAAGACCTATGGTTCGAAGCCGCAGGAGTGGCTCGACAGCCTCGCCCTGCCCGAATTCAAGCGCGAGGCGAACGAAGTCATCATCGAGCTTGAAGAACTAGAAGCCGGCGAGCCATTCTTCAAGAAGATCACTCTGCGAGCCAAGAAGGATGCGAACTTTGTCGAATTGGCCGCCAAGTGTAGACAGCAAGGCCTGAACTTGTCTGAAAGCGAGGCGCAGAAATGGGCGGAGAATGAGTACCTTCCGCATCTGAGCTTGTTCTACGGCGACATTCCCAAGGACGAGGTGCAGAAGAAAATCGGGCTTATTGAGTTGCAGTTGGGCTTTGAGCTGGGCAGTCTGTTCGATTGCTGTGGTGGGACGCTGGCGATGGGTGCGAAGTTGGTGCTCGTGGATACGAGCAGGGCAATCGAGGAGTGGAAGCCGATTGCGGAACGAGAGTGTCCTTGGGTCATGTGGAGGATGGCAAAAGGTCTTCTATGACCGCTGCGATCAATCAAGAGCTTGCGCTCCATGGTGTTCTGCGTATGTAATACTCCAGTTTGCATAGGATCCTGTTCATAAGCGGCGCTGTTGAAGTGCTCCACACGTATGTGAAGAACATGATCTACGTAGTCGTTTCCCACATCTTTAACAGGAATGTCGAATGAGAACATGGTGAGTTAGAGAGGCAACGACGGAGAGTATATCAACCTGGTTGTAGTCGAGTGGCAGCTAAAGTAAACGGCCCCAACCCGCACATCAGCTTCAGAAGCGATAGTCGCGGACCTCTTCATGTTCATGGCTAGCAAGTAATGCTCGGGAGTGAGAACACGTCCAGTTCTTTGACCTTGTGTGCAAGCGTCAAATCCCTATGGTTCCACTCCATCTTGTTGCACTCTGGCCGAGTCGGAGTATGCGTGAAGCTGACCCCCTCGGCAAGATGTAGAGCTGTCGATCTGGAGAGTAACAGAGCCGGTGGCGGTCCTGTATGATCACCCTAACGTAAGACATATCGTTGTGTTGAGGATTATCAAAGCACCTGTAGATCAACAACAGTTGTTATTCGGGTTCGATCAGAAATATGGCACTGTCGGTCGGTCCCGGTACGTGGCATGACTGGATGATGGGAAGATCTTACGAGTACGGAGTACCTGGTAATATCAGTAGTTACTAGTAGTACTCATACTCTTCTTGAAGGCCACGTGTGTGACAACCCCGCAAGATCTTTGGTCTTTTCGAACCAACACCCTGGTTATTGACCATTTTCGTCTACTCGCACACGAGGATGCTCCTGCTTTGCGGTTCCGAGACTCGTTTCGAGAAGGAATAAACGAGGGGAAGACGGCCTGTGCTGTATGTCTTCTCGCTTACGCCTCCTCATCCAGGAGCCAATCATGAGACCCCAAGAACCAGGTACCGTCAAGCGGTACGAGTTACAAAGTGGTGTGAGCATCAAATGGTTCTGAGATCAGACTCCACCACGCAACAAAACAATCTTCAAGTCAGCAGATTTGCGATGGCTCGACCTTCGTCAGCTCCCATTGTGGTACAAATACGAGGAAACTGCATACTCAAATCCCGCCATTCAAGATGAGTTCCGCTGCAAAGAGACCTATATTGCGAACCTTGTCGCCGGTCGTGGGCTCGTCAAGGGAGAGTATATTTATATCTTGTCGGATCAGACCTTCCACTCGGCTTTGTACGACTCCTGGAGGACGATTCTACACCAATACACACTGTTCCGGCTCCGCAGCGAACACAAAACTAGAGGCTAAACGAAGCATTCCTCTCACAACCTGTCAGCACCCTGTCGTGAAGGGATCACATACGCACAACTGCTGGAGTAACCGAGCTTACATGAGCACGAGCACGAGCACATCGACCATGAAAGCACTTGTGTACAAAGGAGAAGGCCAGTGTGCCCTGGAAGATCGACCGATCCCACAGGTTCAAGAACCGACGGATGCTGTAGTAAAAGGTAAGTCCCTTCCCGATCCAAGGACCAGGAACATGTCGCCGATTAATGTCATAGTTTTGTATACGACAATCTGCGGCACGGACCTGCATATTGTGAAGGGCGATGTGCCGACTTGCACGCCCGGTCGAATTTTGGGTCATGAAGGTACGTCGTTCTCAAGCAAACTCCGGATTCTCGGCCAAAGCACCGTGGTTGGGACTGACGGGAGGCGGTGTGTGTAGGTGTCGGTATCGTCCACGAACCCGGCTCCGCGGTCTCCCGCTTCAAGAAGGGCGATCACGTCCTGATCAACTGCATCTCCAGCTGCGCGACGTGCGAGTATTGCCGACGCGGCATGTACAGCCACTGCGTCAAGGGCGGGTGGATCCTCGGTAACACGCACGACGGCACGCAAGCTGAGTATGTCCGCATTCCCGTCGCAGATAGCAGTCTCCACCCTGTGCCCGAGGGTGTGAGTGAGAAGGCGCTTGTCATGCTCTCGGACATTTTCCCGACAGGTTTCGAGTGCGGCGTGCTCAACGGCAAGGTCCAGCCTGGGTCGACCGTGGCAATCGTGGGTTCGGGACCGGTGGGATTGGCAGCGCTCATGACGTCGCGATTGTACTCGCCCAGTCTGGTCATTGTGATCGATAAGGATCCCAACAGGCTGAAGGTCGCGAAGAAGTTTGGCGCGGATTATGTGGTGAATAGTGGAGAGATGTCTGTCGAGGACGAGATCATGAAGATCACGAACAATGTCGGGTGTGATGCTATCATCGAAGCGGTGGGTGTCCCGGCGACGCTGGAGATGGCGCAGGATCTGGTCGCGCCGGGCGGGACGATCGCCAACGTCGGTGTGCACGGGAAGAGCTGCTGTTTGAAGATTGAGAAATTGTGGGATAGGAATATGTCGCTCACGACGAGGCTGGTGGATACGGTCACGACACCCATGTTATTGAAGTTGTTTGCTGCAGGCGGGTTGAAGCCAGGTGATTTGATCACGCATGAGTTTGCATTCAAGGAGATGGAACAAGCATATACCACGTTCCAGGCGGCGGCGGAGCATCAGGCGCTGAAGATGTTGATATCGATGTAAATCTTTTGGGTTTCCAGGGTGCTCTGGGGGTTGGTAGCGATGGTCGAGGAAAAGGGGTCTGCAGCAGCTCAGTAAGGACTCGAGCTTTGGCACGAATTGAAGTTGTACAGTTCCGTGATTGGTTTCATCTCTGTCCACGGGCGCGATGGGCCTATGCATTGAAACCCATCCCCTTGACCTCCGGATCAGCCATGAGCGCGCTCTTCACCTCTTCTTCTCCGACCTTGAACCTGACCTTCCCTGCTCTCTCTCCTCTATTTCTTGCTTCCATGGCTATGATACCTGCCTCCACTAGCTCCATAGCTGCGGCACCAAGGGCGAGGACACGAGGCATCTTAGACGATGTCTTCCCTACCTCGGTGTCAACAAGAAGGAAATCATGGATCGCACTGTTCTCGGCAACATGCACAATGTGCTTGGCTTCGACAACGACATCGCCCAGGGTGGACTCGGCGACGCCTGTGCGTCGAGACCGTGCAAGGAGAGCTGCCAAAAAGAGCTTCGAAGAGAGCGGCACAGACTTGAGATGTTGAGCCACTGGAGAAGATGTTGCTTCGTTGATGGCTTGCCTGATCGTGGCTATCGTGACCCGCGCCAGTCGTTTCGTCTTATCAGTCTCCTGAATGTCAGCCTTGCTCCTGTTTTTACGGCTGGGCGTGCCAGCTGCCACTTCTTCGGCATCTGCATCGGACGCCACGTCCTTCTTCTCCTGTGACTGTTCCGCAATTTCGACTGCTCGACGACAAATATCCAAAGCTCGGCGCGCATCTCCTGATACTGCGGCAACCTTCTGGCTCGCAAATTGGACAGCGTCTTTGTCCACGATGTTACCGGCAACGCCCTCCAATCGCGAAGAAATGATCTCCATCAGCTGGGTGTGCGTGTAGCCAGGAAATGTTATTCTGGTCAGCCCCAGTCTTGAGCTGATCTTGTTTGACAGCGTCCGCTCGGGCAAATCCATGGTATTGGCGACAGCGAGGACAATGAGCCTCGAGTGACGCATGGCGGGCCAGTTGAAGAAGTTGTACATGACACTCTGGTTCCTCGTTACAAGTTGGTCGAGCTCGTCCATCAGAACTACACATGGGATACGGCGAGGTGACGGGTGAGAGAATTCCTGTTCTAGCAGGCTCAGAGCGTGGTTCGGGCTGACCCGGTCGCCTTTCAATGCTTCCCACAGGAGTGAGTATGATTGGTGTGGTTCGGTGACTTTCATGCCGTTGATCTCGACAAAATTGAAATCATCGAGCTCGTCATTTAGAACTGCTTGGTGAAGTGACGTTACCACTTCTCGAACAGTGGCCGTCTTGCCGGTCCCGGGCGTCCCGGATATGTAGATGCAAGCCCCGGAGCCATCGACGATGGCTGAGTAGAGATGTGAGTAGACTGTACTGAATTCGTTGGAGCGACAGGGAAGTGACGTAGGGACGGCGGAAACGTGCAACGTGGTTCGCGCATGCGAGTATGGAGTAGACATGCATTGTGAGGGAGAAAGGACTCGGGTTCCTAAAGGAGTGATCTCTATAGGCTTCTTGATGAGTATTCGTTTGTGCGTGGGAGTGGTGTATTTGGAGGACTTGACAGAAGAACGTGGAGTCGAAACGGCCGAGGTCATCTTTCGACGTTTACTGGGTGTCTTTGGTCCATCGTCCGCGGTCTCTTTCAACTGGTCATATTCGAGGTCTTCTTCCTTGCTCGCATTCTCTCTTTTGCGAGTTTTGGTCTGTTCCTTGATCCAGTCGATCAGGTCCAGCAAGTCTTCTGGGCCCTTGTAGATCTCTTCCCAGACAAAGTCTTCGGTGAATCGCAGAGTTCTCTGCTTGACTCCTCGTCGGCATACGATGGTTTTGGCATATTTGCTGGCTGCTGATTTTGACTTAGGGGGTTTCCCATCAGGATACTTCTGTAAGAAAGAGTCCTTTGATAAAACTGTAGCCTTCCCATTGATTGCTGTTAACGGGTTCATGTTGAAATCGGTGGTGATATAAGATTCATTGGGTAGCACATCCGGTCTGATCTTGGACCGCTTCCCAAAAGCCAGCTCCTCGGGGGTGCAGAACCATTGAATATACACGGACATTTCGTCCTCACCATCCTCGTCGGTTTCTGAGAAGGAACAAATGAGCCCGACCCAGTCTTTGCCTTGCTCTGGTGATTTCAGGAGGATTGAATCCCCCACTCGGACACAAAAGGAGCCCATTCGTGCACCAACAATCTGTCGCTTTCTTGAAGATTGGCTAAGAGAACTGGCTTTTCGTTTCTTTGTCGGTGTTCTGTCATCATCGGGAGGTTCGGGCTTTTCCTCGTCGTCGTAAATCCATTGCCAGGGGTGATCTTCGTATCCAAGCTCATCATCAGAATCCTCCCGGAAAAGACCGCCTTTTGTTGAATAACTTTTCTGTCTATGCATGGCGGTTACCTTTCTGGACAGACCTCTGGTAAGTTATATGCTGATCTTGAGCATTGAAAAGCTGATATTGGAAGTGGACACGCTCAGAGACGGGAACACGCCGAGACGCGCGGAAGAAAACGCGAACGTGACACGAAATCAATTTAACCAGTTGGGATTAGTTCAGGCAAACGAAGACATCTTTCTTGGCGCGTTTGCGTCTTCTCAGCCTTGCACAGTCGGCTCTACATAAACAGCTTGAAGAAAACCGACGTACGGAGTACGAGGACGGAGGCTATCCGAACTTGAGTCGCATAGCAAGCAGGACGTAACTAGGATGCGCGAGATGATTTCCTTCTTGTACCCAGTCTAAGTGACAATCTCACGAAGAAACCTGATCTCCTTTTGTCTGCAGAGAGGGAAGCCGAAGGACCACAGGAATACCTGGATCTCGCAGGCAGAGTGGCGGTGGCTGTGGTGATAGATCAACCTCGATATCTCTGGCGTGCCCGTCAGGCATAACGAATTGTATCTATAAAATGCAGGTTTGGGCACACCATTCATAAGCTTGACCTGGTTTGTTTGCCATGAAGACGACCGAATGACAAAGCCTCCTTTTCCACAAACGGAGCACGTCTCTCCTAAACTATAGGACTCTGCGCTGATCGGAAGGTACAGCTAGTGAGGAAGGCGGCCATTTGAAGTTGGTGTTGCTTTCTCAACCATTCCATCGCCATTGTGCTTCCCGCCCTGTTTGCCGCCAACTCAATCGCTTCAATCCATTGCAGGTTTCTTTCCCTGCTGAGGGAGTTCAACAAGAGGACAAGGCATCAACAACACCATCAGATTCAAGCATACGAGGCAACTCAGCTGGCCTGCTATACCTACCTACTCCCATATCTCTTCGGTCGATCTCCTTTCCTCACACCTCGATACCCTTGGGACTCATGGTCAACCGATCGGGCTCCTGAAGTCTTCTCTTCATGTCTCTCTGGTTATTCATTCGCCTTTGATTGTATCTTGCATTAAGACAAGCCGCGACCATGAGCGAGTGAGTCTGATTCATTCCCTTTCATCACATTCTGGGTGGCTGACTTCTCGATCTAGCCATGAGGGCGAAGGCCTCGACCTTGAAAGTACGTGGTCCATTACCCGTCCCTCACTTGGGATCCTCCTCTTGTCGCCTGCAGCCCTTTTTCTGACAACCTGTAGGATGGGAGGTAGCCACCTTGCCAGGCGCGTCAGTCTACTCCTACGCCGCATCAGACGTGGCCTATCAAACATTTGTTCCCGGCGAGACATCATTTCACCCGCCCACCGCACCTCGTTATATGCCTCCAAGAGAGTCCTCAGATCGGGTCATTTCTCAGAAGGTCCTTGGCCACGCACCTCGCTATCCTACGACTCACGGCCAATATATTAGGATCCAAGATCAGTCTTCCAAGAGCTCTGCAGAACTACTATGCGATGCTGATCGTACTCCAAATGGCGAACTCAAGCTGCTTACGCCGTGGAGTAGGCTTCGGTACATGGCGCTGAAGATGGGATCACTACCACATCCACTTCAGCATATTCAGGATGTCATGAACAAATTTGATACATTCATCCGAAAGCCGGAAGACCAAGATGAGACGCTCCATGTATGGGGCGAACCCAAACAAGTTGAGCTCACCATAGCCGAACTATCACAGTGGGAGCAGGATGTGCGCAACACTTTCGGCGAGAATAAGACGTCTACCGCCTGGACCAAGATGCATGCGCTTGACGGTCGTGCGGAGCATCGTCTGGACCGACGAAGCAAACAGAAGGCGTTGCATCAACATCTCAGAGAGGCCTCGCTACCCTACCCTTTTCAAGCTGCGCTGCTCTGGCCTAAGGATATGGACGTGGATGAGTTTGAAAGTGTCAATGAGGACGCTCTCGACCAACTGAGGGCCTTATATATCTGCCGCATCGGGTTTCCCCCGGCCGACATTCAACACATTATCATAGAAGCATACCAAGAGCAGGACGTCATGAAGCTCATTAGCAGGATACTCAATCTTATCAAGGAAACCATCTCCAGAAGAGATCAGCTTGTCATGGTCAACATGGTGCATCTTCCAGAGTATGAGATCTACAGAGACAGAGTTGGATTACAAGACAAGGACCCGCGAACGGATTCATACCTTCCTACGCTGCATGGGAACCTAGCACCCAGTGAACAGGGATATGGAAAAGACCGACAATCGACTCACAACAGCAACCGCAGAAAGACCCGAAGAGTACTTGACTCCTCACTCAAACGCTTGAGGTTGTCACAACAGCACGTACGCCTGAGAGTTGTGTTTGGGGAACTGGGTTTCACCCTCTTTCAAAAGCCGGCAGGTGGAGCAGACACGTACACATTCGACGATTTCAGTGCCATGGTCACCAAAGGTCGGACCAAACTCACTCTCAACAGTCTTCCCGTTCGACAAGGCGACATCATGGACTTGCCCGACATACTCGATTCAATGGAAGCATTTTCGAACCGTACAGAAACCTACGGAGCATTCTTTGACTTTCCTGCCAGAAGTGCATACACCACACTCCGATTGAATACCTCATTCACTCCCAACGCCATAGGAGAATTCGATACTTTGGAGCAGCAGTGGTTGGAGATCGGCGACAAGGTCTCAAAGCTGCAGGTCAGTTTGTTAAGCTTCGACCGACCCGACTTCCAAATCACGCTGGACGCCTTCCCATTGTATCATGATGCAGAATCCAGGCCGGATATGGAGAAGTTTCGGACCAATCTGTCGTTTGAAGCAGCGCCTACCGGCAGTGGATCAAGACCTCGCCGACGAGTCAAATACCCTCCAGCTCCGCAAGTGCAGACCATGTCCGAGCTGACAATGATCAAATGGAATTTCAAGCAGACAGACGGCGTCTTCGAGCTTCGTCGCAAAGACGTCTATGACGAGAAACCAGGCAAGAGAAGCCCTTTCCCGGTTGAGACGAGATGGCATGCACTGTACTACTATCCAGAATGGGACATCTTAATGGGACAATTCTCTATCATTAAGCCAGGAGAAGATATCAAATGGGCCAAGTCAGTCGCAACCTTCTTCCCAGAGAGCGACAAGACGGGAAGCGCTTTACCACAAGGCTTCAAGAACTTCATGACAGAGGTGGAAGAGATTCAGGAATTGCTAGCAGAAGCAATCAGCCGGTTGGCCAAGGGAAAAATGAGGGCGAATGGCGTGAACGGAGGCCCGCAATCTGTGAATGGAAGTTGATGAAGCCTCGTGGAGGACATTGAGCGGCGAGTCCTGATACTCAGTGGGTGCCCGGTGCCCGAAAAAAGATTGAAGCTCGACGCAAATGGTGAATTTGTCTTGTATTGGAAGTGAGGAAGACTTCAGCTGGCAAAAGCGGTGCAGATTTTATTTTTCTCCCTGCTGGTTTGGCTCATTCTACCCTGCGGTTGCTTGCGCTTGTGGTCGACTGGTTCCTGAACTACCGGTCTGTTCAGCGAGCATTTTTTGCCTCAGCACTAGATGGAGCCATTTTGTCAGAGTTGCGATCTCAAAATATTACCAGGAACTTCACCCGCTTGAAACGCGTGGTACCTACCATCTTCAATAAGTCGTAGATTCTCATTCTTCCCTCCGACTGCCTTCTCGATTTCCGCCAGATTCTTCGTCAGATCGTCCACTTTCCCCTTGTAGAAAATGATTCCATCTTCTGGTGACTTCTCGACGAAGAAGCCTGTGCCAATGTCCACCAGGATGGAAGGTGCGGAGGACTTTTCTGAGGACGAAGAAGAATCTGAAGGATTCGCAAGAGTAGCAGGGACGTAGAGAGAGGTCGTGAGCGGGATCAGGAGTGGTGTTTCTGCAAGCAAGACAGTGGTTAGCGGGTTGCCGGACATGTGGTAGGAATAAAGGAGGGTAGCACACCTCCGCTTTTGCCTTTGACGCCGTCCTGTATGCTTTTTATGCAATCTTTGAACCGGGACTGCGCGGCTCGGAGACGCTGGTACGAAGAGCTCAGGTGCTCGAGTTCTTGGGACAAGCGGGCTTGAAGGGCCGAGAGTTGTTGAACGGACAGGGTGGATACGTCGACTGCGCCTGGCTGGGACATTTTTGCTGGCCTGGCGCGTGTGGAAGGCTCGTCCCTCTGTGACAAGAGAGTGGAGGGAGGTCGATCGGGAGGTTGTCAGAGGCGGCAAGAGTTGTGCCACTGGATTGCGGCCGAGGAGGGATTTTTTGGTAGAAGTTGCGTTGCGTCGCGGCTGCGGGGAGATGGGGAGTTGTGCAGCCTTGCAGGCAAGGCTGTGCACGGCTGTGACGACGGCCAGATAACTTACAACTCGCTAGTCTTGCACCGACCTGAATGGACACGGCAATGGCCTTCGAGTCAGGTGTTAATCTTACAGTTTGCGAGAGGGGTATCTATTCACTAAATGTACAATTCATCCTTCACAGCTTACTGAGCAGATCCCGCACAAATTCTGCCACACTATCGATGTCGACATCTTGTTTGACCTTGAGCCGCCGGCATTGGACTTCGAGTTTGCCTTGCTCGAAGGCTTTCCCCACCACGACGATAACAGGGTATCCGACCATATCGGCATCTTTCAATTTCCAACCCAGACCCTGCTCCTGTCGGTCGTCGAGAATCACATCAACAGCGCCAGCTGTGGAAGAGCTGGCTAGCTGATCGTAGATCTTCTTCGCCGCACGCATTTGTCCTTCTTGGGATTTGTGGACTATGACGATGGTCTCAAATGGGGCAATGACACGAGGCCAATTGAGACCGACTTCATCGGACAGACACGACGCGACAGCGGCGATGAGTCGAGACACACCGATGCCGTGACATCCCATCTCGACGGGGACGGGTTGCTTGCTGTCTTTAGAGCGAACGGTGAGACCGAGTTTCGAGCTGTACCGTGTGCCGAGGTGGAAAGTATGACCGACTTCGATGGCTTTGTTGAGCTGGAGTTCGCCTGTCTGGCATTCGGGGCAGGGGTCGCCCGTCTGGTGTTCGAGAAGATTGATGCCGCCTGTGGTGTCTTGCGGTGCGCTGATGATATAGAATTCCATCTCTGGCGTTGGACCCGTTTTCGAACGCATCTCGGTCATGTCATTGGCGACCAAGCTGTTGATTGATTCCGGGTCCACTCGCGAATCAAGAAGGTAATATATCGACAGATTGTTGGAGGGGTCGGTTTGGGTCACGGAATGGAGACGCTCGTCAAATTGGCCAAATGGATTCTCGAGTCCAGTGTCAACATCGAGATGGCCGTTTAATGCGGCTTTGACGGCGTAGGAGCTGATAAAGTGTCCATGAGGTTCGCTGGCGACATCTTGCTCGGGACCGGTTGGTGCTATCGCGCGGATGAGGCTTCGTCGGTCGAGGCTGAGGAAGTCTTCCTGAAGGAAGGGTTGGACCTGCGTGGTCCTTGAAGGTATCTCCTTGATTGGGTGCGGCGGATAGAATGGCTGCGAGACGAATTCTTCATTGCGAGCGTAATTGCATTTTGTGCAGGTAATGACGATGTCTTCGCCTGCACTATTTGGGAAATGGTATTCGTGACTGAGATTACCTCCCATGTCTCCGGACACAGCTCTAGCTTCTGTATAGGGGACTGTGAGTTCGTCTAGGAATTTGCGGTATGCACCTCGAATATGGTCGTAAGTTGCGTGGGCCTCTTGAGGAGTCGCATCAAAGGTGTACAGGTCTTTCATGAGGAACTCACGGCCTCGAAGGAGGCCACCACGTGGTCTTTTCTCATCGCGATATTTCCGAGTGATCTGGTACAGCCGTATGGGTAAGTGTTGCCGGGTTTGCACAAGATCTGCTAGCAATGTTGTGATTTCCTCTTCATGTGTGGGGGCTAGCAGCCATTCTGATTGTTTCCTGTCTTTGAAGGCGAAGAATTCTGCGCCAGGTTTCCAACGTCCCGATTGCTGCCATAATGTTTTCGAAGACAGTGATGACAGAGAGACTTTGGAAGCTCTGACAGATCGCATGTGCTTGTCGATTAAGCGCTCTAGCTTCTCTTGGACACGGAGACCCAGCGGAAGCATCTGAAAAATGCCCGCATAGGCCTGCCGCAGATAGCCAGCCCTGATGAGGAGTTGTGTTGCGTCTGGAGCCCCTTCATGCTTGTGTACGTTCACCGTTGGGATCCAGAAATCGCTGACTCGTTGTCTGGAATCGGTGTGACTACACCGAACAAGACCGATTCCTGTTGTGGTGCCCTTAGAGCTCCCTCTGGTAGAAGCTCTAAATAGAAAGTGGTGCTTCATGACCAACCCCTTGAACTGCCCATCAAATTCTTCCACGACGCTGTCTACCAAAGGTGCATCTTCAGTGAGGCATCCGAAGATCAGGCACCTTGGAGTTCAATTCTTTACAATATACTTGTACAGGCACATCCAATGTTCAAATGTTGTTGCAGAGCGTTCCTCGGGCGAGTCGCGCACAAAAAGTCGATACTTCATTTGCGCCACCGTAATCAGGCCGTACGGAGAAGTGTAAAGACCTTCCTGCCAGACCGACTGCACACATCGCTCATACCGACTCGTAATCTTCTGATTATTCGCAACCACAGTCCCTTCCAGTCCCAGACTATCTCGGCCCTTCACGCTACGTCGTTTATCCGGTCTGGGCTCTGAGATGCCCCAATCGATACCCGGCTGTTCTCAGTAAGCAGGTGGCGTCAAGCCTGTGGTAGGCCGAAGCACGTTTTTCTATGGAGCACTTCCTGTTCTTGTTTACATTCCGCGAGATGCTTCAGCGCCCTGCGCGACCTTCACGACCAAGACTAATCTGTCGTCATTCATTGGGAACCTGGTGACCGCCGTGAATCAGTGGCCTCAGCTGGCTGACTGTCCTGTTCTGATTGGCGATATCTCTCAATCCACGACCGGGGTGCTTGATCGTATTTCCCTTTTCGGCAGCGTTCCACGAGAGCTGAGATTGGCTCTAGTGCATCCAAGGAATGTAGGTATCTGGTGCGAAGCGCACTCACCATATTCCCTTCCACATGACTCTAATGGGCTTTGATCTGTCAGATCTGCAACGCTTGAGCAGGGAGCATCTCGAGCGGACTTGCCTGTTCAGGTGCTGGGTGAGCTTTTCGGGTCCTGCTACCATCAGACTTAAAGTGCTACGTGCGCCCCTTTCCCTCAATGTGGTCTTCCTTCTTCTACTCCTTCACTCGAGAATTCCTTACTACTACTGTCTTTTACAGGTTGTTGTATAGGCTTTGGTCCCCATCATGTTGTTTCAATCACTTCTGCTCCTCACATCTGCTGGGGCTGCACTTGCCCTACGCCCAAGCAACATCAGCATTTGTGACTATTATACCCCCATGGTTACTGGGAAGGACAACTCAGCAGATAGCCAGTATGAGCTTATGCTGAAGGTCACACACACGTTTATTCTTGGCAACTACACGACGCCTAATGTTGGGGTCGCAGTTCAAGGCATTGCTGGAGTCTTCCCGTACAAGGGCCATGATGTCAATTTGCTCCCATACTTCGTTGGTGGTTATGCATCAACGAATACTGGGGGTTCCGAGGGCAAAGCGGTGAACTTTCTCGACGACGGCGGTGCTGGTGCGTTGTTGGCCAACATACCCTCAAATGGCACCCAGTCCAACCAATAGTGAGTTCTACATCTCCAAATCAAAGTAGTACCCTGACTGACCATTGCGCAGCAAGCTTCTTACCCATGTGTACCAATACTTCGGCGAATTTTTTGGCTGTAGCCTACAGGGAGTCGATGCTTTCCCAAAATACCAAGGCGAGGCCAGCATGTATGAAGTTCACAAGTAAGCATAACACCCGTGGGAGAGAATCCAATCGCTGACATTCCCAAGATTTATGGACCCAGATGTCTTCGAAACTGGCTGGTTCAATTTGCAGATTGTCCTGGCAGTCCAGTCATTAGGGTTCGAGGACCCTGATGTCACTTTTACCCGGGAAGGTCTCGACAAGACCTTCACCGCACGATGCATACCTCCTGCTGCCGTCATTCCAGCCTCTGCTGGTCCACAATTGCAGTCAATCTGTATCGCTCCAGATTGTTCACTTGACCCCCAAGCCAACTGCTCAGCATATCCGAATGATGGATATGGTGCACAACCTGCCGTTGTAAACGACACAATCGTCGGCCCAGCAGTGAAGGTGAATGGAACCGCAGCTCCAGCCACGTCTTTAGACAGTTCTCCATCCATGAGTTCCTCGTCAACTGCAACTGGATCTGCCACCGTTGCTTCTACCACTGGTGGTGCTGGGCACACTTACATGGGATGGACAACCTTGAAGACCATCGGTTTCGTTTCGCTTGTAGGAGCCGGAATGTCTGTATTTCCTTTCTGAGTACGAGCGATCAGCATCAATCTAACTAAGAGGAGGTTGTAGTAGAGAATCAGGGATACGGCAGCTGAGTGTTGACAAAGCATTAGCAGTAACGAGTGTAGCAGACAGACAACGAAGCAATAGAACCTAAAATGGAAGCAGAGGTGCGTCGCATTTCTCCTTCAACGGACTTGTACTGGACCTGTGAATCCTGAGGTGGATCTTCATCGTTGCTCAGCCTTTCGTGAAGACATGCGGATAGATCTGATGTCCCTTGGCAGATCTTATCTTATCGTGCCGCAAATTAATTTTTTGGGACCCATAACGGCCGAATCTACACATGAGCCCTTCACGTCTCGAGCAGCATAACAACGTGCGGTTCAATGGTGTACAAGAGGGTGCTAAGTACTAGATCTCAGAATGTCTAGAAAGCCTGATGCAGCGGGCGCTCCGGCCAAAGCGTCAAACAACCCTACCGCCGAGCCCTCAGAACCCGCTACGACTGCACCCCAGTCTGCCTCCTTCGAGAATTTGCGAGACAAGATCCAGACACGCTTGCAGTCTTCCGACCGAAGAACTAGAAAACAACAGTCCAAGAAGCAAGGCAACGCCCCGTCTGGTCATAGTGGCAAGCCAAAAAGCCAGCATGACGCAGGCTCTGACCGAGGAAAAAAGCGGGATCGAAATGGGGAGGTACTCAACGCTTCGAAGCCAGAGCGCCCGCCACAGGAAGAGGGTGAAGACGATGTTTTTCGAACAGAAGTTAAGGCCCTTGGAGGCACTGCCGAGGATCTGGATCTACTGGCGGACGCCGAATCGGAGTCAGAAGTAGAGGGCGCAGCTGACGAAAGACCTCAAAAGTCCCAACCGGCCAAAAACGATGCTGGTGGTCTAGAAAAGGGCATAAAAAACATTCTCGGAGAGATTGCCTTGGTACAAGGCGAGCTCGGCGAGGATGATAATGCCGACGAGGATGAAGAGGCGGAGCCAACAATTGCAACCAGCTCCAAATCACAAGTGGCTGGAGAGAAGCCGCAAGATAAGGCAGACAAGACAGCCAAAGGTGTGCGTGGAAAGCAGCCGCAATATCTTTGCGAACCTAAGCCGGACTGGTACGATGTACCAGAACCAATCGTCGATACTGAACAGAAACCGAAATACACTCCTTCACTGGAGACACTCAATGAGATCGCTGAGTATGCCAAATCCCTGCTTGAGGAAGAAAATCAGAAGTTCAAGGAATCGCAACAATCGTCTTCTGCGCAGTCATTCTACAATACTGTGATCACCTCTGGTACGTTATCAGACAAGATCTCAGCCCTGACACTGGCAGTGCAAGAATCACCCGTCCACAATATGCGTGCGCTTGAGTCATTGATTGCACTAGCGAGGAAAAGGAGTCGGTCCCAAGCTGTCGACGTTCTTCGAGCTCTCAAAGACCTTTTTGCACAAGGGTCTTTGCTGCCCGAGTCAAGAAAACTCTTTTCCCTCCAGACTCAACCAGCCCTACCATATGTGTTCGGACAAACGAAAACGTGGAGGAGGGGCGATAGACTACCTCGGGCCTTGGATCAGGTCCACCTTGTGCTCTGGGCATTTGAGAGCTGGCTGAAAGAGCAGTACTTTGAGGTTCTGAAGATTCTCGAGGTTTGGTGCAATGACGAGATCGATTTCTCCAAGGCACGAGCTGTCAGCTATGTCTATGAGCTGCTCAAGGAGCGGCCGGAGCAGGAGTCCAATCTGCTGAGGCTGCTAATCAACAAGCTGGGGGATCCGATCAAGAAGATTGCTTCACAGGCGTCATACTTGCTCATGCAGCTGCTAATCGCACATCCTGCAATGAAAGAAATTGTGGTCTCCGCGATTGAGAATGACTTCATCTTCAGGCCGGGCCCGGGCCAAAGCGCCCACGGAAAGTATTATGCAGTTGTCACACTGAACCAGACGGCTTTGAGTGGCAAAGAAGAGAACGTGGCCAAGAAACTACTTAATATTTACTTCAGTCTGTTTACGGGATTGTTGAAGCCTGTCAGTGCAACAGCCGGTGACAAGTCGGAGCAACGCGAGCATCCAGAACAGGGGAAGAACAAGAAGAAGCCTCAAGCCTCGGGTCAAATGCAGACAGAAGAACTGAGAGAGAAGCTGATTTCGGCTATTCTGACTGGAGTCAATCGTGCGTACCCATACGTGGGTGCTGATGAGACAAGCTTTACCAACCACATGGAGACGTTGTTCAAGATCACCCACTCGTCCAACTTCAATACAAGCGTGCAAGCCATGATGCTCATTCAGCAACTATCTACCACGCACAAAGCGTCAAACGACCGGTTTTATCGGGTGCTGTATGAGTCTTTGCTGGACCCTCGGCTTATCATCGCATCGAAACAGCAACTGTACCTCAATCTATTGCACCGCTCTCTCAAAGCTGATTTGAATGTCAAGCGGGTTAAGGCGTTTGTCAAGAGATTGGTACAAATATTGTCGCTCCACGAACCATCCTTCATTTGCGGTGCGTTCTTTCTCATTCAAGATCTTCAGTCCGCATTCCCGTCACTGTCAGGTCTTATAGACCAGGCGGAGGACCATGACGATGATGAAGAGGTATTTCGAGATGTGGATGAAGATGGCACCGAAGTCCCCACTGACCTAGCGGACACGCCGCTAGGAAACATCTACGATGGACACAAGCGTGCGCCGGAGCATGCCAACGCGGACAATAGCTGTCTTTGGGAAATCCTACCTTTCCTCGCGCACTTCCATCCATCTGTATCGGTAAGCGCAGATCATGTCTTGCGACACGCCAAGTTACCTGGAAAGCCCGACCTCAGTTTGCATACCCTTAGCCACTTTTTGGATCGCTTTGTCTATCGTAATCCGAAACTGTCATCTGGCGGATTGCGCGGATCGTCCATCATGCAACCAATGGCCAACGATACACAAAATGTGCTCATTAGTGGTTCTTTGGGTGTTGGTCGCAGACTGCCTGTGAACAGCGAAGCGTTCAAGACCAAGAAGCAAGATCAAGTAGCGGCGGAAGACGTTTTCTTCCATCAGTACTTCTCGAGCTTGGGTAAGGCAGGGAGCAAGAAGACGAAAGCGCAGAAGAAGCGCGGAGATGGGGATGAAGAGTCGGGCGACGAAGACGAAGTGTGGAAGGCCATGATGGAGAGTGCACCTGATTTAGAGGGTATAGAAGATGATGAGGACGATATTGATTTGTCCGACCTTGAATCAGAGATGGGAGAGTCGGACGAAGGAGGAATGGACATTGATGAGGGTGACGAGGGAGTGGACCTCGATCCTGCGATCTTCGATGAAGACGACGAGGATCTAATGGGCATGGATATGGAAGAGCCCGATCAAAGCGATGCCTCTGACTTTGAAGGCTTCGACGAGCAGCCCTCTAGCAAAAAGACAAAGAGCAAGGATGAGAAGGAGAAGCAAAAGAAGGCCAAGAAGGCTAAGAAGAACTTGCCGACATTCGCATCTGCGGCCGATTATGCCAAGATGCTCGACGACGACGAGGATGAAGATATGGGAATGTGATCAGAAAGGGGGAAAGATATCCTCGTGTGGTCCGATTGAAGTGCTAGTCCAAGAAATTCCAAGAAATTCCAAGAAATTGAAGAAGCAATCCAAGCAATCCAAGCAATCCAAGAATCCAAGAATCCAAGAATCCAAGCAATTCAAGCAATTCAAGCAATCCAAGCAATCCAAGCAATCCAAGAATCCAAGCAATTCCTGGGCATCTTGTCCATGAGCTTAGCTTGACCTGCAGCCCATGTTGACCGCGTGGGGGATAAAGGGCCTTTTTGGCATTATCTAGCCTTGGGCTTTGGCCTGGTCACCCTGGTGCAACCCTTGCTTGCTGACATTGTGCCCGACGATCAAACACCCTCCTTGATCTCTAGTGCTATGCAAGACCTGTGGCACACGACAGCAAGGTGTGAGTGAGCTGACATTTCCAAGCCTTGCCTCCAGGATCTGTTAGGCGTGCAAGCTAACGGCAGCACGCAACGTGGGTGGCTATCAGATTTAGCGCCGCCTTAAGCAACACCTAGCGAGCCTGGTGCAGGCCCTTGTTAGGTGCTTGTTGACATACATACATACAGTGCGTACTCGTAGGCCACACCACAGGCCACACCACAGACCACCAACCAAGTATGACACCTAATTAATGATTAATGTTACTCCTCGCAGTACCGCCGAGAGAAAGAAGTCATTTGCCGCCTGATGCCGCCATCCATTCTCCATCGTCCTTTCCCACTGTCATCATTTCATTCAACCTGGACCTCGCTACTCGTATCATATTTGAATAATGGACTTGTATTGCTCCACTCGTCATCTAACTTTTCACATGGGGTCAGAATTTTCATCCGGAATGCATCTCCTCCACTGGCCCAGAATTGTGCGAGCTACCAGGGACGAGTACCACCGCATTATTCACCACGAGAGAAGGGGAGTCCGATGCGCCACGGGCCTGTGAAGATGGTGACATCTCTCCTCCTTTTCCACCAGGCTTATTGGTCTTTGCCTGCCAGACTATCGTGCCGTGCGCCCGCCGTTGCCATTCGCTATACCACACCCAGTATACGACGCCTTGCCCGACCCGCCTTTGCCATTCCTGTTGGTCATGGGCTCCATCGAGATCGTCAACCGAAGCCGTGCACTGTTGGTTCTGTACCGCTGCGCCATGTCGTCACCATGCTCCATCCTCCACACTGTGCCGAAGCCACAATCCACCATGTCATGGCCCATGATGGCCCCATCGTTACTCTCGCACCCTCACGCACTCCAGCAGGGCGCGCTTCCTAGCGTTTGGATCTCGCTAGAGGTCCCTTTGCGAACACGTCCCCTGGGTTCTTTTGGACTTGGCTTGCATAGCACGCAACTCTCAAAGCTTACCCATGCTTTTATAAACAAGCCTGTTCTCTAGCCTGGGCATTTGCTTTTTCTTTTGTTCCCTCCTTAGGCGCTCTACCCTCGAGGGAAATCATCCATCTAGCCAGTTCCGACACCGGTTATCAGAGCTCTACAAAAGCCATATGCTGCCGACACATTATCTGGATTCTGCCTGTCCTTTTTTGACCTGTTTCGTACGGGCCATCCGTGCGATCAAGTGGCGTTGAGCGATACAACTCTTGCATAATTTAACATAATTCAACTCACCAACCCACCTGAGATCATCATGACTGGACTCACCGAAAAGGACCAGCCGTTTGGCGAAGCCGGGGCCTTCAAGCCTGGAGATAATGTCGACCTAGAACGACGTGGTTCGACCACCGTTGCTGGTCGCAAGATGAGCAGGATCGGCCCGCCTCCAAGAAAAAGCTCCATTGTGCCCGTTTCTGACGACAATGGAATCGTTGATGAATACGGCAAGCTCGTGGAAATGGAAGCTGGCGATGCGATCAAATATCGAACCTGCTCATGGCAAAAGGTCGATTATAGCTTGCCTTTTCCAATGAGATTTGTGTAGCTAACATGCTTTGCAGACTGCTGCTCTACTCTTCTCAGAGTATATCTGTTTGGCCATCATGTCGTTCCCATACTCGTACTCGGTGCTTGGCCTTGTACCCGGCCTCATCTTGACCGTGGTACAAGCCGCATTCGTGCTTTACACTTCGCTCGTTGTTTGGTAAGTGCACTATCAAATTAGATGGGGGACAACGCAATACTGATCTGAGAATAGGGAATTCTGTTTGCGACATCCTGAAATTAGAGATGTCTGTGACATTGGGCAAATGCTCTTCTGGGGCTCCAAGTGGGCTTGGTATTTCACGGCCGTCATGTTCTTGCTCAACAACACCTTCATCCAAGGTCTCCACGTCCTCACCATTTCGAGATACTTGAACACCATGAGCGGTATGCTGATCAAATTACTTCTCATCAACAATGCACTAACTCAGTCGTCCAGGCCATAGCATGTGCACGGTCGGCTTCGCCGCGATCGGCGCCGTTGTTTGCTGGCTTTGCTCTATGCCACGAACATTCAGCGCCTTGTCCAAGCTCGGCGCCATTTCTGCCTTCACCACTTTCATCAGTGTCATTCTTGCCGCGGCCTTCGCTGGCGCGGAAGGCAAGCACGGCACTGCCGGCTACAACCCAGATCCAAACCACATCAACGCCAACGGCGTGAAAATGGGTGGCGAGCCATTAGTTCTTGTTGTTCCTCTCGCCGGAACCACTTTCGTCTCCGGCATGAACGCCTTCTTGAACATCAGTTACACCTTCATCGGCCAGATCACCCTGCCTAGCTTCATCGCTGAAATGAGAAATCCTTACGACTTTCGAAAGGCTATTTGGGTCGTCACCATTTGCGAAATCATCTTGTTCAGCTTGGTTGGTGGTATTGGTAAGTCAAATTCCTTGGTGCCTGGCCAGTCTTGGTCCTGCGTGTCTTGTTGGTTTTCAGATTCTGACAATGGATAGTCTATGGCTACACGGGCACACAATACAACACTGCGCCGGCCTTCTATTCGCTCGGCAATGAAGTCTACAAGAAAGTCAGCTTCTCCTTCATGATCCCGACCTTGATTTTCTTGGGCGTTCTGTACGCCTCGGTCTCGGCACGCTTCGTTTTCTTCCGCCTCTTCGAGGGTACTCGGCACAAGTCCTCGCACACAGTCGTCGGATGGGCCGCGTGGGCCGGTATCCTGGCAGTCACTTGGATCGTCGCATTCATCGTTGCGGAAGTTATTCCCTTCTTCGCCGATCTCTTGGCCCTGATGAGCAGTTTGTTCGATTCGTTCTTCGGTTGGATCTTCTGGGGCGTCGCGTACCTACGCATGCGCCAGGCCGACTTGGGGCAGGGCTTCTACAAGAAGCGAGGTATCCGTGGCTGGATCGGGTTCTTGATGAACATCTTTATCATCATTGTCGGATTCTACTTTTTGGGCGTGGGGACTTATGTGAGTTTTGACCCCGGGACATGGAGCCTCAACAAAGAAATGCTAACAAATTCGCAGACCTCCGTCGAAAGTATCATCCTCGACTACGATGCTGGAAACGTCAAGGGCGTCTTCACGTGTGCGAACAACGGCTAAGGTTTTCGAACACTGCACTTGGGCCGCTACGAATCACTTTTGCCTGCCTGCTTCTTCAGCAACAGAGCTTTGACTCTTCTGGACGACACGGCAATGAGATTTGTGGTCGACAACAGGATGGTGTCTGAACATTTCGACATCTGAAGGAAAATAACGAAAAGAATGATCCTGGTCATGACATGGGGAAAGTGGCCACGTAAACACGAACTTGGAAATGGTATAAACCTTTGGATCAAACTAAAAATACGAGGGTGATGCGTTACATGATTGAGACTGTAGTGGGCAGTCTGGAGTACAGCAGGTATAGATCGAAAAGGGAAATGAAATCAATCTTTCACCCTCTCGATCATCTATGAATAAGTCACACCTTTTGAGGGGGGTGAATGTTTTGGCTGCGGAAGGGGCACTATTCTGGCCTGCAACAGTTGTGTGTGCATGCGCATCAAAATTGACCGCAGGATTCTATCTCTAAGTTAGTATACCTCACACTGCTCCTGTCGGATTCGTGATCGGCAACGAAAGTGTGCGGGACGAGTAAAAATGCCCTGCCTGTTGTGCCCGACTAACTTAAGGGAGCTCGCAAAACCGTTGTCACTCGGAGTAACAAATCCCTCATTCTAAGAGCAACTTCAGATCTCCATTCTAGAATCTTTGCCTCATTCGGATGGTATTCTATACGATTAAGGTACATATCATATCTCCGTTAACCATACAGCCTCGTTCTGTGATGACCCATTTTAAAACCCACCTTGGACGTTGGTTCATGACAGCAGAACGGGATGCCTGCTTGACCCCCGCGTGACGCGCAAGCATTGTAAGTTATGCAAGAAAAAGGAAGGGGGATGGTAGGCTTCAGGCGGCCAGCATTCAGCATCCACTAACCCGACTCAACTCAGCATCCAGAGTGCACATATACGACTACTGCGAGTCGTATACTTGCGCTAGTGTCGGTGCATTTATCGCCATGTAACGCCAAAGGGGCCGGGCGAGGCATACCAGCATCTCAGATGCACTTTCCGCAAGAGGTGGAAACCTCGAAAACTTCCTTCTAGAACAACCCACGCGCAAAGGACGCCTAAAGAATCCACTCCTTCTAGAAAAGAAAAAGAATAAGAAAATAAAAACACGTCGTACTCGCTTGGACTTGCATCGAAAGAGAGGACCTGACAGCGCCGAACGCGCTCGAAACGTGTTGCCCAAGTCCATTCCTCTTGCCTCGCCTGGATGGGACGTTGCACTCCTGACAGAGTCGCTTGACATTGGGAAGCTCAAGGAAGATATCGGTGGACAAGGTATAGCCTGGTTGTTTGCAGTGCAACGAACTCTACCTACCCTGGGACATGCGGACTGACTTAGAGCTGGTTACAAAAGAGATCTGGATGTTCCTCGGGGCTTTTTCAACGGGTCATGGAGATACTGACCGTAAAGATATGTCTAGAAGAGGGCCATCTCTTTTCTCTCTCTTCGTGAAAACCCCGATTGAACGATCTCAGGTGTTGTAGTAAGTAGTAAGCCCTTAATGATGAAGCCGCAAGCTATAGTCGAAGGGGCCTCTGAGCGGTGTCGACGCTGTCCGAGTGGTTTTGTAATGCTTGCCGATGCTCGATCTCAGACCGGGTTCGGAGGCTTTGAGAGTCTGATCTTGATTTTGGCGCGCCAAGCAGGTATTGCAAAGAGAGGCGCGGCTGTGGTGTTGCCTGTTTGTGAAATGGCAGCATCTTTGTAGTGGCGCGGTTCGTTCCGTGTTCGCTGCAGTTGTTCCTCATGTGCGTCCACATTCACATGACTTTTATACGTTGTTGCGATATGAATATCATTCTCAGTGGAAAGTCGTACTTCTCTTCGAAAGACGGACCAAAGGCGCAATAACAATCTTGTTTTGAGCGGTGCGCACAAGACACTGCAGACAAGTCAGCAGAATTACATTGCTCCTCCAAGTCACGAAGCGTGAGTGCTTGAATGTCCAGAATGAACAGATCCTTGAGTTAGCGACACCAAAATACACACGGCACCTTTTCGTTCTGGAAAAAAAATTCCTGTTTCAGAGGCGATGATGTGGCGGTCTGTCTATGCCTCATGCTGACCAGCTCTTGTGCAATATGTCCCCGGCAGATTCATGCTTCGCATTGCAAGGGACAGCGAGCCCTGGATCCGGGGTCTGATTCACGGCACCAACAGCTGAGGATGAAGTGCTGTTCACGTACACCCTTACGCTTTGCTTCATAATGTCTTGGGGCTCCAGGGGAGTCACAGGCCGATTCGGGATTGATCTCCTCTTTGTGAAAGATCAGCAGAGTGACATGGAAGTTCTCATACGGCGTTGTCTCAGGTATGCCCAGGGGTGAGCCCAATTGGAGCACATGCGAAAGATCACCCATCAAAACACCACCAGCGCCGCTTTAAGAGTCGCATCACGCTTGCCTGATTCGTCCTTGATAGTCGTCAGCGCAGTTGCAATGGCTCCTTACGAGTCCGACTACTCAAGCCCCGAGAGACAGGATCTGGCATCTTCTTCGACAGCAGTTTGACGGCTGATTCCTCTTCCCTACTTGGTTCTTCAAACTGTTCACAACTTGCTTTTGTCCTAGTACAGCACAGTCCTTGTGACAAGACAAGCCTTCCCTGTCCGACCGTACGACCTCCGCATTGTGGTAATACAAAGCAGGTACACTTTCACACCTGGCTTCTTCTCGACAAGGTCACCCAGAACCAGCGACTTGAACCCGGAATCAGACACCCCCTCAATTCACGCCAGTTTCTTGAATCCTTCGAATCCTCCCGGTGCCTCGTTGTTTCCTCACGCTCCGCTGCGTTGTGCGAAGACGTTTGACCTTCCTCTCTCCTCTCCATCAGCGGCCCACCAAACCCCTCTGTATGCTGTGATACTGTTGCTGGTCAAGAGTAGCACATCGTCCGCTGCAGCAAGACAGGTGATGCGGTGAAGGGATGAATAGGCATCACGCCTTCGCCAACGGCTATGCCGCCAACAAGAAAAGAGATGATGAAGTCTACCACAAGTACTCTGACAGGTCCGACCTGGAGAGCAAATACATATGGGGCATGCGAGATCTAGTCGAAGACGAGAAGTCGGATACCTCATTCACCCGCAAATTCGAGCCTCGAAACCGAGCCTTTCACAACCGCTCGCGTCTAATACGTCTGGGGCTTTTCGCTCTAGGAACGTTTGCCATAATCCTGTGGCTGCTTTTCCCCTCAGCTACGCACCTCCCATCGTGGTCAAGCAATGAAAGACGTCTGCAAGACCACTCAGACATCGAGACGCTGCGATATTATGACCTCGAAGATGTCCAAGGGACTTCAGTGGGCTGGGAAAGAGAAGAGCGAGTCTTGCTTTGTACGCCTCTAAGAGATGCTGCGGCACATTTGCCTATGTTCTTCGCACATCTGAGGAATTTCACCTATCCGCATCACCTCATCGACCTAGCCTTCCTCGTTTCTGATTCCAAAGACGAAACAGAAGAGTTGCTCTCCAAAATGCTGGAGGAGCTGCAAGCCGATCCTGATTCATCTCAACCTTATGGAGAGATCTCAGTCATACACAAAGATTTTGGACAAGCGGTCAGTCAAGACTTCGAGAGCAGACACGGTTTCGCTGCGCAGGCAAGTCGCCGGAAGCTCATGGCACAAGCACGGAATTGGTTACTCAGTGCTGCTTTGAGACCTTACCATAGTTGGGTATATTGGCGTGATGCTGATGTAGAGACTTGTCCGTACACCATTATTGAGGACTTGATGAGACATGACAAGGACATCATTGTTCCAAGTAAGTCAATTTCAAGACTAAGTCTGGTGATTCGGAAGCTGACTGATTGACCAGATATCTGGCGGCCCCTACCTGATTGGCTAGGAGGAGAGCAGCCGTATGACTTGAATTCATGGCAAGAATCCGAAACTGCCATTGCGCTAGCCGAGACATTGGACGAGGATGCAGTCATTGTTGAAGGTTACGCTGAATATGCCACTTGGCGTCCTCATCTCGCCTACCTCCGAGACCCATATGGCGATCCAGATGTCGAGATGGAGCTCGACGGTGTCGGTGGTGTTTCTATTCTTGCCAAAGCCCGTGTATTTCGAGCCGGTGTACATTTTCCAGCTTTCTCTTTCGAGAGACACGCCGAGACCGAAGGGTTCGGTAAGATGGCCAGACGTATGCAGTTCTCTGTGGTTGGTTTGCCTCATTACACGGTTTGGCATCTTTACGAGCCGTCCGTGGACGACATCAGACACATGGAAGAAATGGAGGCTCAAAAACGCGAAAGAGAGAAAAAGGAGAAAGAAGAAGCAGAGAAAGCAAAGAAGGTCCAGGAAGAGTTTCAACAAGTCGATTCTCAGTGGGAGAAGGACAAACAAGCAATGGCCGCTCGCGTCGAGAAATCAGAAACCACGGACGACACAAAACAAAAAGATGAGAAGACAGATCCGAGGAAAGAGCCAAGAGACAAGCAGCAAAGAAAGGAAAGTGTTAAGAAGATTAACACCTACAAAGCCGAAACCCAGAAAAAGGCTGATGCGGATGAGAATGACGCTGAAGCCAAGCGACCTGCTGCCAATGAGCCGAAAGCTGGTCAAAAGAAAGACTATCATGACTGAGATTCCAACTGGTGGAATGGCAATGTCTCAAAACGAATTCATAATGATTGTATCCAGGGAAAAAAGGGCACGGTATTCGGGTTAGACAATGAGCGATCACAGTTCAGCGGCATTGAGGCGTTCGAAAGACACGGCGCTGTCTGTACTCTGCGGCATGGATTCAGTAGAAGACGTGCTAAGCGGTTTCGCGCTTTTGTACAAAACTGGAATATCATCACTGGCGTTCATTGAGAAGCGTGGAGGCTAGATTTCATGCATGTATGGAGGTCTGAATCAAGGAAAAGCTTAGAAAACAGGAGCCCACATACATCACTGGCGTTGCATACCTGCTGTATTAGTAGTACAAAATGATCGAGAAATTCAGAGGATTCCAATCCAAGTTATGCAATGTTCACGGCCAAAGCTTCGCTCGTCACAGCCAAAGAATTCGTTTGGTGGCAAGGCGAGGTTGAGCAGTGAGGCTACTGTGGAAGAGGCCTCGTACTAACTTACCTTCTCTGCCTCACTGAAGGTACTTCGGTGGCAACCAGCGAGATGGACGCAAACGGAAAAGGAAAGGAAAGCAGGTAGCCTTGCACGATATGATTGGTTAGCAGCCACATAGAACTTTCATTGATCAAACTCTGACTCCCACAGACTGGGTGGCAGTGGCCACGCATTCAACGCGCATTGCACGGTTGCAACACAAACAAAGAGAAAAGGCAATTGGTCCATGATCATATTCGTAGATTTCTCGTGTGCACCCAGAAAGCGCCTCAATGTCACGTTAGTATGGCTCATCACGCAAATCGCCTTCATGGTCCAAGGGGTATGCATGTTTCAAGATCCATCTCAGGTTCGCAGACTCATGAGTAAGATAAGAAGTATTTTGCGCCTCAAGTCGTGCTGTCAATAGCCTCCACTTCACCGTCCGTGGCCATCGATGAAGACGGAGTATCTGGTGCAAAATAAGCCTCCTCTGGCTTCAACTGGGGCCACGCGTTCCCCGTTGCAAGAACAGCAGGGAAGTCAAGACCCTCGGGGAACCATTTATCCCGGCGGGTGCTGCCCTTGCTTCCACCTTCGAGAGCTGCTCGCGCCGCCCGTGTCTTCCGTTGTCGCTTGCCCTGTGGCCCTCCACCAAGCTCGTTCCGGATCTGTTCCAATCTTTGATCGTGCGCGACAATACATCGCACGTAGGGAGCCACGTCTGTGACTACAGACTGAGCAGCGTTGTCAAGAGAAGGAGCCTTGCGTCCAGGTACCATCGGCAACCCAATCCTGTTGTCCTCCATCAAAGTCTCAAAGGCATCCGTTATATCCAGTCTGGACATATGCCTGGTAATCAAATGCTCAACATGCAGCTGAACAAGATCATCCCTGGCACAATGCAGACTATCGTGAGCGGAGGTACCTTTGACCATACCAGCAACGACTGGGGTGATCTCGCAATCGAGCAGATCCATGGCGCTTCTTGCTTCGGACAAGAAAAGCGCCTTGTCAAGGGCCTGGAGGCAACTCTTCCCGGGATCTTCAGTGGAGAAATCGTCCTTGACCCAGTCCAGCGTAGAGACGTCTAAATCCTTCTGCGTGTAGTCGATAATCTCTCCCCAGTCACTGAACTGGACAGGCAGAAGGTCAAGACCGGTAATGAAGGTGTCTTGACTGACTATTCTGATTATAGAGCCCTCTAGACCTGACTGATGTTTCTCATCGTGTGGCAACATCCAATCAAGTCCACCTTGGTGCGATCCCAGAGTCATCTGGCACCAAAGATTGAGCTCAGTTATGGATGCACGGAGGTCTTGGCCTTTACTCGCATAGAGATTCTGGATCGATTGTCTGCCGAGGAGGTGGCCTTCAGCTGCGGCTATGCATTGTAGATGGTCCACAGCAAGAACAGGGTCAGATCGGTCAAAGGCCAGGACAGAGAAAAGGTCGAGCTCGTCAAGCGGAATAGATAGAAGGTCATTACATGTCATGATGACCGGTCGTTTGGAGTTGCTGATCAGAGATTGGACTCCAGTCCAGAAGCCTTTGTCCTCGTCAAAAAGTATATCAACTTCTTCGAAGAGGATAAGAGACTGTTTCTGTGGCCTGGCCTTGCTCTCTTTGTTACTGCTCCCCGTAGGATTTTTCTTTTCTCCTGTACCCACAGCCATGAAACTTGCTATTGAATGTTGGCTTGCCGGTAAGGACTCGGACATCGGTTGAGTGGCAACGGCGTCATCCAAAGGAGTACCCGGTCTTCCGCTTTGAATATGTGCCTGCTGGACAAGGTGATTCTGCGTCATGTCACCAACCTTCTCCTGGATATCCCTGGCGCTTCGCCTCATGCCGGGGTGAATCTCGAAAACTTCAAAGCCAAGCTGCTGTGCAACTGCGTAGACAGATGCGGTCTTTCCACAGCCGGAAGGACCGACAATCAATATTGCATTTTTTCCAGAAGAGTTGGAGCTGAGGGTCTCGTCGTCAGAGTCTGCAATGAAATCATCCATCTCATCTGACTTCCTCTTTCGTCCTTTCTTCACCGCACTGTGCTTCGGATTCGTCTGCAATTTTCCTGTTTGGACCTGATGGATCCGCAAATTGCTGAGCCAGTCGTATAGTACTTGACTTTGTCCCTGAAGGACTTCTTGCCAACATGTAGGACCATATTCTTGAGTCCACATGTGCGGGCCAGCTGCCATGCCTTTGTCGAAGGGACTAGGTGTGGATTCGATCCTTCTTATGAGCGGATATCTCAGTGCATTGAGTCGGGCAGCACTGCCGTATGCTGCTGTAGCTTCACAGTTAATGGTGCCCGCCAGTTCCTTGCCACTCATGATTCTGCGTGTCGGCACATGAAGCAGAGCTGCCGGATCTGTATCATGTTTCAGACACTCAGCAAAAGCTTGCAGAACGTCCTCGTCCGCTCCGATGGTAGAGTTGCGTTGTTTCGACTTTAGAGAAGCTATGATGGGTGGCAGGACTGGCAAAGACCTAATAACATCATTGTCCGGCTGTACATTCTGGATGGAAGCTGGAGGCCAGATCGAGGGTGGGCTGAGACTTTTGTCTTGGAAAGGTTTTTGGGACTTAAATACGATATCCTTCCACGGTTTGGGTGCTTTTGGACTCGTAGCCTCGTCTTCAGAGGCTGGCGCAACGGAAGACGTTTCGCTCTTGATTGAAGACTGCTTCTCGGCCTTTACGGCCAATTTCCCCAGGAAGAACGGATGGGTTGTCTTGTTTCCGATAGTCGCGCCTCGACCTTTCTCTCCTGGTAGTATTGATGCTAACGACTCATTCTTCTTGCTTGAAAGTATAGCCTCGATTTTCTGCCCGCATTCTTTTGTCGGATGGGGAAGAGTAATTCGAAGCGAGGAAACAAATTTCCCATTCTTCATTCCGATCTTTTTAGATTGGCGGCCAGGCTTCTTGACCTCGTGGCTCGGATCGTTGGCGTCATTGTTGTTCGTCCTCGGAGATCTTCTAGGTGACCGGTTCGGCGAGTTAGTGAGTTTGCCCTTACCGTTAAGCACAATTATCCTTCTCTTTGGGGTAGATGTGGACATCTCCTGTAGTGGGGAGGCTTCGGTTGGCGGACCAAGGACTGAATGTTCCGGTGCCCCAATGTGTATAGGTTGAGTCTGTGTTGTAGGTGTCAGATGAGTAGGAGTCTGAATGCTTCCAGACCTTTTTACCGGTTTGTTTATATGTGGCTGAGCGGGGGCTGGGTTCAGATTGAAGGGTTGCGAATTCAGTTCGTTCGACTGAGGATCTTTCGGCACCACAGTTTCTGGAATCTCCCTCGCTGCTGCCTCAAGTTGATCGTGCCATGTCTGTTGGATTGTGTTCGTGCCATCCTGAGCCCCAATATACAATTCTTTGGATTGAGAGGATATTCTGCGCCTTTTGATTCGTCTGTGCCCGTGCTCCAGGTCATCGCCCTCTACGATACTCCAAGATCCGTCTCCAGAAGCCTCATCATGAGAGTCTGAGAGCGTGATATGTGAAGTCGGGGCCCAACGATTCGGTTCGGGATGTGATACCCTCTCGTTTGTAGGACCATTCTCCTCCTCGGTTGTTCCATCAAATCCCAAATGACCCTTCGGTGAGGGATCGCGGCTGGGAAAGTCATGATTTGGGGCCGCCGCTGCAGTCCATCAGCGTCCGTAAGGATGGGCGAGGTGTGAAATACCTTTCCTAAAGAATGGATGCATCTGGGCAAGTTGTCTTGACCCATTGCTGCAGTCCAGCAACGCAGCCATTCATTACCTGGTCACGTTTTTGGAACGTCATTCGCCGAATGTGTCTACTTGCCAATAAAGCAAGAGAGAATGTGTACTCTAAGCAAAGGTAGATCAACAAATCCAAAGGTGGAAGACGAAGAATTCCAGATGTCGACGTAAAGCCCGCGGCGGACGCAGGGCCATGCGCGTGTAAAATGCAGAAGTAACCGGGGGATTCAGCGCGTCAGTGACGCGATTGTTAGCGCTGTAGATAGTGTCATGTTTTTATGGCGGGAGATCGACCGCTAATATTCTAGGCTGGGAATCTTTCGCTGTGGCAGAATCTCCGCAGTCGGCTACGAATTTTTGGGGCCCAAAGAATGCACCCTGCTCAACTTTCTTCACCCAGCGACACAGAATGTCAACGACATGACAATGGAGATATATGCTCCTCAGCCTCTGGTGAGGCTGCCGCGGACCACTAAGGTGGGTGCTACCACTCATTTTGGAAGTGTTTTTACGGTGCGCGATGGAGTGAAGAGAAGAAGGAAAGAGATTTGTGCGGCGACAGATGGAGACTCTCTAAGCATTTACGAGGTACGCAGGAGCATATTCTGCTTGGATTGCAGTGCTGATACAGGCTACAGGCGCAAAATGGGAACATCTTGACCTCTTTCCCTGTGCCTCCAAACTCTTCGTTCTCTGGTCCACCATGCTCGATTCGCGTTACCGCAGACGGACAGCTACTTCGAAGATCCTACTGTGCAATAAAGTTGCAGTCTCTCCACATCCAGCTTGTTGAAAGCCATGAGAAAGACCAACAACATATCAAATCGGTCAAGAGTCCCGAACTCCACGACCAGCAGAGCCCGTTGCTGCTCATTGACGTACTCCCTCATGCCGCAGACCAAGTCTTAGTCATACAGCAAAATGGAAACTTGACCACATTTTCCACGGACTTGGGCAGAAAATTATCCGACCTTTCATTGCGTGATAGTGGACAGCTTAACATTCAGGTCCTGGCCGTGCAACATCTCACCCCAGCAGAGGCACGGAAATCTGTGTTGAACCAAAGATCTGACATACTAAACGAAGCCAAGGCGCACACGTCTTACCTGGCTCTTGCATACACTAAGGTCGTGACGGGCGATGACGGTCGAAAACTTTTCTACGGTATTTGGTCGATTGAGACTGCTGAATATAAAGCTCGGCCGGAACGAAAGTCGATTTTCCCCTTGTTGGAACATGAGCTCGGTCCGGAAGGCAGTGCGAATGACAGACATTGCAATCTTGGACACCTGGCTTCGCATCTCTATCTCAAATCAGGGCCGACTTTCTCGACATATAATCTTTCAGGTCTAGTACCAACACTGGCCTCTACCTTGCACACTGGTATCAATGGTGGCTATGAAATCATGGCCATCTCTCCTGCCTTCGCCATCTGCTCTTTTCAGGATAGTTTGCGACTTTATGACCTCCGTTATCAGTCGTTACGGCTACAAATTGACGCGGAGCGAACGACATTAAAACGAAAACGAAGCAGGATGGCCGCAGAGGGTCAGATCGGTCCTGTGGAGTTTGTGACCTACTTATCCCATTCAGCACGTATTATTGGGAGGCGTCGCCACTATTTGGTTGCCATCGACATATCAACGGCTGCCAATTCCAAAAGGGAGTTACAAGCTGGAAGCAAGCTCATCCAGAACATTGGACTTGGCGTCGGCCTTCACGATGAAGGGCGTCGGTTGGGTGGTATTGTCCCGAAATTGGCCATCAGCGCTTCTGCAGGAAGTGCGGCAATGAACAAGGACTGGCTGCCTGTACGGAGACGACTTGATGAATTGGCCCAAGCTGGCGATGTGGCCGGATTCGAGGAGGTCTTTGTGAATGACATTCGGTCAAGTTCGATGCAATCGTCCCTCCCTCAAAATATGGTCGACGATCTACCTTCGAACCGCTTTCTCATTCCGGACGTTAAAATCAACTACCTACTATGCAAAATCTTCCAGATAGTTTTGAGCCCCGACTCCTCAGGGACAGATCATCCTGCCGACATGGGAGTCAAGGTCCAGGTACCAACGTTCAGATTGATTGCATGGCTCTCAAGGCTAGGCTTAGTCTCTTACAAAGCAGTAAAACGAGCGATGTCAGCCACCAACCCTGGCTCGAAGGATGTGCTCTCAGCCAGCTCAATTGTTCGCTCGCTTGTTGACGTCGACTCCAGTCTGAGTCTCCTCACAGAATGTCTCGAGACTGGCTTCAGCCCATACGTCGAAGAGCAAGCTGGTGCGGTGCAGGTGCTGTTGCAACAAGCACTCGCATTGGTAGCGGATGCGGCACAAGCACCAGCGTTGGATGAAACGGAGCCTGAAGAGAGCGGGAAACAGGAAATGCAGATACAAGCATTGGCCACGTCGACGTCTGATCCAACGTGGCTGCCATCTCGATTGCAGCGAGCACTGATCATGTCGTTAGACAGGTTTGGAGCCGCTTCGGCGCCCACCATATCTACGACTCTGAGAGGTCTTTTCAGTCAGCGAGAAGTATTGGCCCTAATCCAGTTTCTACGGCAGCAGCTCTTCCAAGGCGGTCATACTCGGTCCTTCCAGAGCGTTCATTCGGATACCGACAGTGCTAGCCTACCAGCGATGAAGCTCGATGCCATTGTCAAGGTCCTGTCCAGCTGCATCGACGCCATCGGCCCTCTCGGTTTTATTGGTGCTCTCGAAAACGAGGACTTCGTCGGCAACATCATTCCAGACCTCGTGACAGAGATTACTCACGCAACACAGAGCCTAGAAGATGCTGCTGAGTTACAGGGTACTCTCCGGGAGACACTCCGGTATGAAGAATCCATAAGAAAGCACAAGAGTGCAGGAGGTCGCCTTCCAGTCGGAGGTCCTACTGCCGGTGTGAATCAGTGTCCTGGAACGATAGTGACATTGTACTCGGAGGATACTAAGGGAGACGACAAATTCCAAGTTCGCGATGGACTTCCCCTTTCTCTACGTGCGGAAAATGTGGTTAATCCTCTCAAAGCGAGAAAGGGCGGTGGGCCGGTGTCGAAGCGAAGTGTTCGACACATGAACATGATGGAAAGCATGAGTAAGGGGCAGTATTCATTTGAACGATTGGTTTTGTAGCTAGCGGGCTGGAAATATCGAATGCACTTGGGACAATATCCTCTTTCTCTCTTCTTTGGCTCTAGGCCGACAGCTTATTCTGTTCATCATTTCCGTCTAGATACCAAGCTGACAAGGGTCAAGGAGAAGCGAGATGGTCACAGTCAACTAGCAGTAAAAACGGGCTTTTCAAACGGAGCCTTCTTTCCATCGACCATCGCCCTATACCTAGCCTCTGAGGTTTTTGTCGTCTTCACTGGGACAGTGCGAGTATGTGCAACATGCAGGATGTCTCTTCTCTCGTTGCCATAGAGGTTGACAAAGAGGAAAATGGCGCCCCCTGGTCAGATCAAGCCAATTATAAGCACAGTAAGACTTGCGATAGACTAGCCTCGTCGGAGGCCGCTAGACTCGCAAATGTAGATCCTCGCTTCACTCTGCAACTCCACCTACTCAAGTCTTGACCAGAAAGAGCCTTGAATCTGTTTGAACGTTTGAGAGTGACCGAAAAGTACCGCAGTGTCCTACCGACATACTTTGAACGCAGCCAACCTCCGAGATCGTGGACGAACGCACCCCTCCTGTCTCGCATCTGCCGATTAGCCCAAAAGGCATAGCGCCAGACAAGTCGAATTGAAGCCTCCACCTCCGCATTGGACGAACCGAATACCAACTGATTTCTGTCCGCGAAGAGTGCCTCGGAACCATTTGATGGGCTGGGTTTGTGAACCTTGCGCCTGCGAATGATCCGCTATTGACGGGCCCCCTCCCTACGGCTGAAGAGCGAGGATCAACGGATCAACCCCAAGCGCCGCATGCCAGTGCACTAGAGAGGACACAACATGGCTTTTCCCAGCGGAACACCATATCACGCAGACTCTGATGCCGACGACGAATACGAGAGAAGCGTCATGACTTCACCAACACAGTTACATACGGACTCCGAGACCTCCTCCGAACCTGCTTCCAACGAACACACCCCGACCACATTTGACGCCACTGGGGATGATTCCAGTTTACCAAGGACAATAATAACAGAATGGACGCCGGAAGAGTGTGCACAATTTGTGGCGAGCCTGAATTTACGGCAGTATGGTCAGGCTCTAATAGGTGAGAGCAAATGCTCACGAGGGGCACGTAAAACTGACTGGACGATTAGACCATACCATCTCAGGCGAAGCGCTTGTAGCCCTCAAGCATGAAGAGCTCAAAGAAATGGGTATAACCAGCGTGGGACATCGGCTGACCATACTGAAAAACGTCTACGATTTAAAAGTCCAACAGGACATTCCCGTTGAACCAGACGATTACGTTCCGCCAAGTACGTCCGCTGCCCTTCAGACTGATTCCATGTATCTGACTGACCTGGTTGTGAAAGCCGCCGAGCAGAATCCTCAACACGCGATGGCCACGAAAGAAGAAATCACACGTCTAGCCCGATCAATTATCCGCCTCCGTGACGAGCGAATAGCCCAAACCGAAGCTCAGTTGACCAGGTTGGCGGACGACTACCGCAAACTGCGCCAGGAACTCTTGCCCGTCTTCAAAATGGCCAAAGAACGCTCCGAACCTCTCCCTTACGCCCCTTATCAACCTTCCTCCTTAAGCCCCGAGATGTACCAGCAGGACAGTGTGCCCTCTCCCTTGCCTCCGGTCGTCACGCCGCAGCAGCTTCCCGAAAAGACAAGTCTTACTAGGACGTTCTCAAAAAAGTTGGGACTCAGCTCAACACCCAAGAACAATTCACCCACACATATCCCGAGCACCATCCACGAGGGTAGAACACACCCCGAAAATATGTCGCTCGATCCTAGCGCAGCTGCGAGCCTGGCGAGCAATTCACTGACGACGCAGATGTCGGGTGGGATCTTGCCGCATCCGAGTCCCGGGATCCCGAGCCCGACAAGCCCGATGCCATACCAGCACCAACCGCTCGCGCCGCGGTCGTACCAGCGCGACGGAGGAAGCTTACCGAAGTATGATGGCGCAGAGGACGGCGCGAGTAAAGAACGGGAGCCGCCAACTTCGGCGAAAAGTGTCGGCGCGAAGATCAACCCGACGAACTCGATGCTGAGCAATGCAAGCACGTTCATCCCTCCAAGAGAGCTGTCGGCGAGTGTACCGCCGCAGTTACCGAGTAGCGCGGCGGGCGGGCACACGCCGGGCACTGGTAGTGGTGGCAGTGGCGGAGAGGCGCCGAGCGTGGAGATATTCAAATCCTTCCGCGTGGGACTGGAGGATCCGTGTTATAAGGTCCTCCCCGCGGCGCTGCGGAAATATAATATCCAGGCAGACTGGCGGCAGTATGCGCTGTATATCGTGTACGGCGACCAGGAACGGTGCGTGGGTCTCGAGGAGAAGCCGCTTGCCTTGTTCAAGGATCTGGACAAGGAGGGGAAGAAGCCTATGTTCATGCTGCGGAAGTTGGCGAATCCGGTCGTCGACATGGGCAGTGCGGTTGGAGGGCTGAAACCATTAGGAGGAGGTGCGAGTATTTCGGGAGCGGCAAGTGTGAGGAGCGCGATGCCGCAGAATCTGCCGGGTGGTGTTCTGTAGCATACACCTGCAAGGTTCGTGTGCATGTAAGATTATTTGTGTTTTGCACAAATTTTGGATTATGTTGGACTTTGAAAGGTCTCAATATGTACGGTCCAGCTTGAGCGAGGGTGATTCCTTTTTGGTTAGGCAATTAGCGAGAACAGCACAGCACAGCACGCGTGGGTCATGGTCGCGCATTTGCATCCGAAAGATTTCAGAAGTCCAGGTGTCTGGCATGGTGTCGTATTCGGGCAGCAATAATAAACCCAAAGTGGATGTATCTGAACCTGTGAAGAGGGCAAAGCCTGCTCTTCGACCGAAAGTCATTTTTCGAATTATCCTTGGATCACTCCAACTTGCTCACATATGCCCAACCACCCAACGTTACTCGCTATACCAATCAATCCATTCACGCCCGTATCATGTATGCCGATATCCTGCCGATGCGCTCCAAGTATTCAATCCAGCTTCCATCCTGGAAGGTATTTCCCCGTCCATAAGCAATAAACTGTGTCCGTAGTTCAATCGCTATCATCCTCTACCGGCTCGACGACATCCTTGATCTTCTCTTTGAGAAAGTTGACGCCAATCTCGACCGTGACCTCGGGGATGCGAACATCAGGAAGGCCGTCGGGTCCGCCAGACCATTCTTTGCTTAGAGCAATGGCATTGTTGCCCGTCATTCCTGCTCCATTCGTGGCATTGGATGTGCCGTTCGTCGTGTTTGTGCCGGCTCCGGATTTGGCAGCCGAGGTGTGGGCTTTGGGTATCTTCGCCCGCCGTAATACTTCTGTCATTAATTCGGGAAACGTGTCGCATTTGCCGTTGCGTAGGAGCTCGAGGGACAGTGCTCGGACTCTGTCTGACCACCCTGTACGTGCGAGGGAGTCGGCGAGGACGGAGGAGAGGTCGGATATCTGGCCTGTCGAGCGGAGGTGCGCGATCAAGGCTTGGGAGGTGGCCGGGGGAAGGTTGGCGCTGGTGGATGTTAGGCTTGTGGGGGTTGGAATTGAGATTTGTGGTTGTGAGGACGACATGGCGCTGGCGAGAGGTGGTTTCGTCGGTTGACGAGGTCGTAAGTGGGTTGAGCTGTTTACTCAGTTCAAGAAAAACCCCTGGCGTGGGTAACAGGGTACGCGGTTAATTGGTGTTTGAGACTTGAGACTGGAAACATATGTGTCAATTCCTCCGGATAGATGGTGTGCACGGTCTGCGCAGAAAAAGCGTGGGTGTAGCAGTGGCCGTCCAGCAGCACTGAAAGTCCTGGAGTTAACGGTGGCGGGTAACAAAGCCAAAGATGTCGTCCAGGAGGAAAAGATTGTTGAATGAGAGCGTGATAGGTCTGTTGATTTCTATCGTGGTTCAAGTTTCAGGTCAACAAGTCAGGTACAAAAAGATTTCTCCGCACGAGGGCGGAAGGATGAAAGCTGTGATAGGCGGAGCGGAAACCCGTGATGTGGTTTCGCTGGGCAAGGTACAGCGGATATCAGCGTATTCTGGGCGGCTGAAAGAGTTGAAGAGATGTGAGAGAGGAATCAGACTGAATTGCGACCCTAGTTATAGCTATCTACTCGTGTACTGAGGCAAGCCTAGGTCACGACAGGCTGTGGAAGGAGATTCAGGTTGTGCGTTCCAATATCGCCCGGAGTAGTGAGAACATAGATCCGTGATATTATTCATCATCGTCTTATCATCAAGGGCATAGGGATAACTTTGCTATTGCTGCTTTGTTGGGGAACAACGATCAGATTGCGACACAATCATTGCTATTTGTCAGACAGAAGATAGTTGAAAACAAAAGTGGCCATTGTGTCGTAGCACAGAATAGTATTCAGCCTTGCCATACCTCAGCTACCCAAGGTAAGGTAGGGCATAGGACTGTGAATGTATTGTCTATTGTGGCGAGGCGACGAATGGCGGGTATGAGAAGTTTCCATCTGGTTCTCAACTCAGGCGGCAATCTGGCGACGTGTTGACTGGTCACTTGTCATTTCATCCACCCGCCAAGCCTGATCCATCTCTCAACTTCCCCTGCGGATACATCACCTACATCACTGCTTCGACTCTTCCGCAGCTCCTTCAACTCTTGAACCAGCACATCAACCTTTGCCATCACCACCTCTGCTTAGGATTCTTCAACCGTCGAAGTTCCTAGATATCCCTCTTTATTTCGGTTTATCCTCCCTTTCAAGGCTCAGCGCTCCTTGATCTCCCTCCACATCACCGCAGCCGGTTTCCGATCTTCCCACACCTATCTTCACATCTATCAAGATGTCTGAGCAACCTGATCATACTCACCACAAGCCTCACCACAAGGTCAACTTGAAGTAGGTGCAATATTCCATGTTTCTCAGGATGTGCACGCTAACTCAATCTCTAGTGATGCCTCTGGCGCAGAGAAGAGAGAAGTGAGACACCACCATCCGCAACATCTGTGGCGAACATCCAAGACTAACGCATCTCACAGGAGCTCGATACCTCAACCGCCATCCTCAAGAAAAAGAAGAAGCCAAATTCGTTGATGTAAGCTACAAGAATGCGTAGATCGGGAAATTGAGGCTGACAAATGATCGCAGTGTCACGGACGCCACCAACGATGACAACTCCATCATAGCTTTATCTAACAACACTATGGAGACGCTGCAGCTCTTCAGAGGCGATACAGTGCTTGTCAAGGGAAAGAAGCGGAAAGATACTGTTCTCATCGTCCTTGCCGATGATGACCTCGATGATGGGAGTGCCCGTATCAATCGGGTTGTTCGTCACAACTTAAGAGTCAAGCATGGAGACATCATCACAGTGCATCCTTGTCCCGACATCAAATACGTGAGTACCACACTTGGCGAACCGTTTACATCTCTGCTCACTATATTCTAGGCGAAACGAATTGCTGTCCTTCCTATCGCCGATACCGTCGAAGGTCTAACCGGGTCTCTCTTCGATGTCTTCCTTGCTCCCTACTTCCGCGAAGCCTACCGACCCGTCCGACAAGGAGATCTTTTCACTGTTCGAGCAAGTATGAGACAAGTGGAATTCAAGGTCGTCGAGGTGGATCCGCCTGAGTATGGTATCGTTGCACAAGACACCGTCATTCACTGCGAAGGCGAGCCCATTCAGCGAGAAGATGAGGAAGGAAACTTAAACGAGGTCGGCTACGATGACATTGGTGGCTGCAGAAAACAAATGGCACAAATCCGAGAGTTGGTGGAGTTGCCTCTCCGACATCCTCAGCTATTCAAGTCTATCGGCATCAAGCCACCTCGAGGTATCCTGATGTTCGGCCCTCCCGGAACCGGTAAGACTTTGATGGCCCGAGCTGTGGCGAACGAGACCGGTGCATTCTTTTTCCTTATCAACGGACCCGAAATCATGTCTAAGATGGCCGGTGAATCCGAGTCCAACCTGAGAAAGGCTTTCGAAGAGGCTGAGAAGAACTCGCCTGCCATCATCTTTATCGACGAAATCGACTCAATCGCTCCTAAGAGAGAGAAGACCAATGGCGAAGTTGAGAGACGTGTGGTTTCTCAGCTACTTACTCTCATGGACGGCATGAAGGCTCGTTCCAATGTTGTTGTCATGGCCGCCACCAACCGACCGAACTCGATCGATCCTGCTCTTCGACGATTCGGCCGTTTCGACCGTGAAGTCGATATTGGTATTCCCGATCCTACCGGTCGTCTGGAAATCCTTCAGATCCACACGAAGAACATGAAACTCGCCGATGATGTTGATCTCGAGTCGATTGCCGCCGAGACTCATGGTTACGTCGGTTCTGATATTGCGTCCCTCTGCTCAGAAGCTGCCATGCAGCAAATTCGTGAGAAGATGGACCTTATCGACCTTGATGAGGACACCATCGACGCCGAGGTCTTGGATTCTTTGGGTGTCACCATGGAAAACTTCCGTTTCGCTCTTGGTGTTTCCAACCCATCTGCTCTCCGCGAGGTCGCTGTTGTCGAAGTTCCCAATGTTCGCTGGGACGACATTGGTGGTCTCGAGAACGTCAAGCGCGAACTCATCGAATCCGTCCAATATCCTGTCGACCATCCAGAGAAATTCCTCAAATTTGGCCTTTCCCCGTCTCGCGGTGTTCTGTTCTATGGCCCACCAGGTACGGGTAAGACCATGCTTGCCAAAGCTGTCGCCAACGAGTGTGCCGCAAACTTCATCTCCGTCAAGGGTCCAGAACTCTTGAGTATGTGGTTTGGTGAATCCGAGAGCAATATTCGAGACATCTTCGACAAGGCACGAGCCGCTGCACCTTGTGTCGTCTTCCTTGACGAACTTGACTCGATCGCCAAGTCTCGTGGTGGTTCAGTCGGTGATGCTGGTGGTGCTTCTGACCGTGTTGTCAACCAGCTGCTTACCGAGATGGACGGTATGACTTCAAAGAAGAACGTTTTCGTCATTGGTGCTACCAACAGACCTGAGCAGCTCGACAATGCTCTTTGCCGACCTGGCCGTCTCGATACTTTGGTCTATGTCCCCCTGCCAGACGAGGCTTCTCGTGCCGGTATTCTGAAAGCGCAACTCCGCAAGACTCCGGTTGCTCCAGATGTCGACATCAACTACATTGCCAGCAAGACTCACGGCTTCTCAGGTGCCGATTTGGGCTTCGTCACTCAACGTGCCGTCAAGCTTGCCATCAAGCAGTCAATCGCCGCCGACATTGAGCGCCAGAAAGAACGTGAAGCCGCTGGTGAAGATACTACCATGGACGAGGATGTCGAGGATCCGGTCCCGGAGCTCACCAAAGCTCACTTCGAAGAGGCCATGCAAGCTGCTCGACGATCTGTCAGCGATGTGGAGATCCGACGATACGAAGCCTTTGCTCAAGCTATGAAGCAGAGTGGCGGCAGTGCTTTCTTCAAGTTCCCATCTGCAGGAGAGAGCGCCGATGCTGCGAATGGCAATGGGTTTGGTGAGGCTGGCAATGACGATAGCTTGTACGATTAAGCGACGGAATAAGACTACGGTAATGGCTACTGGTGAACAAGATCGCACTCATCTGCATGATCGTGGAGTGTGGAAGATGATCCGGCGTTGAGAATCACATAGGATCTTGCAGGCCAAGTGCGGAAAGAAGTACACTATCACACTATTATGGAGGCAAGGCCTGATGCATTTCCTGCAAGTGGGCCGGCAAAGTTGTATTCTATCTAGAGAATGAAGTGCAAGCAAAATAGATTGGTTGTGAACATTGCGATCCTATTAATCCTGACTTGTGCGCAGTTGAATTCGCGCTTTATGTTGCAGCCTTGTGCCAGATGACGCAGATGAATAATTACTCCCTGGCACCCATCCTGGCTCGCTGGGTACGTAGATGAGGCTGACGCCAGGGGCCGCAAAAATCCACCCTCGCCGCAGATCCGGCGCACCCGCGAGCCCTTTCATCTATTCTCCATCATTACCTCCTCTCCCACGCCATTCTTTTTGTCCGAATTTCACATTGTTTGCTTGTTCCCTATCGAATCTACGAAGATGGGGATCTCGGCGCATCTCCAGCGCCTAGGAAGGCCCAAGGTACGCCCACGCTTGTTCTATCTCACCCCTGCGCCAGCTACTTTGTTTCTAGCTGCGTCGAGTACTCATGCTGACTTCGATGTGTGTTTGTGTGTTTAGCGCTTCCTTTACACAATGACTCTCTCGACCGGCGCCTCTTTGATCACTCTGTCGCTCTTGATCAACAAACTCGCCGGGTTTTACGGCATTCTCGCACTGTTCACCGGCTACCACCTCTCGGGCTTCCAATTGAGCATGTACATCTACAGTGTGTTGGGATTGTGCTTGACAGCGTACCTGGCGCCACATATTCGAAAACAATCTCCTCTTCAATGTCTGGCGCTGGCGTGGTTCTATGTGCTTGATAGCGTGGTCAACGCTGCGTATACAGCGGCCTTTGCGGTGACGTGGTTCCTTGTGCTTGTGCAGCATGACGGAAAGACTGGTGGCAGCGCGAAAGGGCCAGGTCAGGGCATGATGGACGATACTTCTGGATTTACGAGCCCGGAGAAGAATGTGAGCCGCGTGGAAGTCGTCGCGACGCCGGCGTCGGGCGTTGCAGCGGGACAGGATGCGGTCGCCGCCGGCGTGCCTGCGAACAGCCCCGCGGGAAGTGGGATCGGCGATGGAGTTTTGGGCACGGAGAGTATGAATTCCATTGGAATTATTGTCATGTTATGGACCGTCCGGGCCTACTTTTGCTTGATCATGCTGGCTTGGGCCAGAACGGTCATTAGGCAACACATCGCCAGCAGTGCTTCGGATGGAGGGAAGAACGGACAATGGGGTTTAGGTGCCGATGGAATGGCGGAAAACCCGTTCGCAGAAAGTAAGCCTGAGGGTCGGGGATGGACAGGCAAACTTGGGCGTGCAATGGTAAGTGTGGGTCGACGATATTGGTTGGGCAGTGATGAGGACGACAGTTGGATGTACGGTATGAAGTTCAGGAAGAGCACTGAATTTGGGACTATGTTGAATAAGATTGAGAGTCCAAATGGTGCCGGGGCTGGGTTGGCGGAGCGTGAGAGGAGGAGGAGAGCTGGCACCGGACCGCCCTTGCCGCAGGCCGGTGTGCAGGCCGGTGTGCAGGCGAAGGAGAGTGATGGGACGACGTTGCAGGTTCCAGCCCAGAATGTGTGAGTGGGTGGAATGAGGTGGGGGGTGTGAAAGGAACGCGAACCAGAGATTTTGGAGAGCACACAGGGATGAATAATGGTCGTCACCGGCTGCTGGAGAGGATTCCCTGCAGATCGCTGTGGACGGTGAGCTGCTGCTCCGGCAGAGGCAACGCGAGGAGCCCCGAGAGGCTGTGAGCAAACAGGATTTGAAGGTGTCCAGCACGACCTGTGGTCATGCTTTGGGACTGAAAGGGAGTGCGGTGGACGCGACGTACAAAGCAGGTGTATGTATCTCTATACGATGGGCATAGCATGGTATGCGGAGTCAGGTTTCTGGTACTCGTACATCTATCTACCTAATGAGCACACAATGGAAGCGAGAGGCATCAATGATAAGGATAAGAACAAACATTGTTTATTTCATATTCTGGATCCCGAGCTGCTGTCATTGAGCCTGCAGCACCTTCTGGACCAACTCTTCCGAATACTGCTTGGACTCATCATTAACATCACTCCGATGCTGCGCTACGTACTCCGGCACCGCATCGACTCTGTTGTACACTGCCGGGACGGGCTCGCCCAGGTTTTCCGTCACTGGAATATACCCTGCCCAGACACTCTGGCGCATCTCCTCGTTCTCCATATCGGCCTTGTCGTCACTGGGCGGATCGGCCTTGATTTTGCCGCTACCGGTTTTGATCGTCACGCGCAAGACACCTGTGCTGGCAATATCTGCTTTCGTGGGCGGCAAACGCGTGTTGTCCCATCTGTTGCGCACGACTTTGTCGGTGATGATCCGCATGCCATACACGATTTCCTCCGGATCGGTTACAATGTTGGCATAGCCGAACAGGCACGCTGAGCGGTAGTTGTACGAATGGTTGAAGCCGGAGAGGGCGAGCAGCAGGCCGTCGACTTTACTGTTTGCTTGTCAGCACAGAGATGCTCGTACCATTGGACAGAGACTCGAAAGCTCCTGCAGAATTTCTCTTTGGTAACGGGGAGACGTACGTCGCGGACAGGCATAGTGGTAGGCCTGGCTTACCCGCATCGTGAGCCTTGCGTACCAGGTTGTTTAGTCTGTTGGATACGTAGCCGTGCAAGTAACAGTCGAGGGGCTCGTCGAGGCCGGCGGACGGGTTCTCGAACTATAGGTAATAAGGTGGTGTTAGCATTGCTCCCAAGCCAAGGAGACTATATACGGGGAGAGGGAGGGTCATGACTAAATCGATCTGAAATTGAGGATTCCCAAGGATATAGAGGACGCAAACTGACGGTGATGCTTCAGGTGGCTGACAGAAGCCGCTGGAAAGATGAGATGAACTTACTGAACCCATGACCCCGATCATTGGGAGGATGACGGGGAAGTCTTCGTCCGTATCAGGGCTGGGTGCAAAGGAGACGTTCAGAACCAGGCTGGTGTTGATCAGCGTGTGGATGGTCTCGAGGTCGTATTTGCCCCGGTGACCGCGCCGGACCACGGTGTTGCGGGCGGTTTTGGGGTATTCGAGTGTGCGGCTCATGTTGATGGCTGTCTGGCCTGAGCGTTCGGGTGGGTAGTATGCGACCTAGGTGTTGTGCAGTCAGAGGGTATAGTGTCGAGAAATTCCTGAGGTGATTAGATCCCAGGCTCGATATGTGCAAACAGCGACGATGTGTGGAGTGAATCGCTCAAGCTGAGGTTCAAGGAGGGATGGTTGGTGTTGTCAGTGTCGTATCTTGCCCTGCGTTGGATATGCTGGCGTCCAATGTGCTGCTTTTCAAATATGGTCAAACGCTGTTCAGTAGATGAGTCACTTCATTCCGGCGACAAGAGCGTGCGACAGTCTGCCTGTATCGTTTGTAACAGATCGGGATAGTCCGCTCCATCTCGTCTCTGACTTGCTGAGATTCCCTGCATCGCTATTGTCCGAGAACGAGCCAATAATCAGGGAGCATCAAGCTGAGCTTTGGTCATATTGAGCAGGCCTATCCGAGACGTTCCTGTTTGGAGGACGGCATCCATCATCGCCAACTCCCCCGACCGGCGGTATCTGGAAAACACCTTCAGTAGGCACCGCAGCGAATTCGAAGGCTCATTCATAAGTGTCCATAAAGGAAGGACGAATGGCCTGGGGAACCTCGTGCCACTGAGTTAGTGCAAAGATGGCTGCAAAAGCGGCGCGAAGATAGACCTCTATGACCTCTATGACCTCTAGCGACTTGTTTCTGAGCCGTCAACAAAATCCACGACACCGCTCCTTTTCTTATTCTTCTTCCCTTGCGATGTCGCCCTCAGCGGTGGCCGTTTCGGCCCCCGGCAAAGTTCTATTTGCAGGAGGTTTTCTTGTTCTCGACAGGAAACATACAGGACTTGTCTTCGGCCTCAACGCGCGCATTCATGCTCACATTGAACCATGGAACGAGCCGCCCAAAACCTTGAAAGGAACTAGTATTCTTGTCCAGTCACCTCAGTTCGTCGATGCAAAGTGGCTTTACAGTATTTCCGAACCGCACGGTGAAAAGGTAGCCGTCAATGTCACACAATCACGGGACCAGGCTGGATTTACAACGAGCTCGAACAAATTCGTCGAGACCACTCTTCGCTATGCGTTGACCTATATCTCTCACCGATCCGAGGATATCGCGACGAATGTCAAGATCACCATTTTGGCTGATGATGAATATTATTCACAGTCAACGGAAGCCTCGAAACCATCGTCGAGTTGTTTCACCAGTTTCGGAGTGAAGTTGAGGGACGCACACAAGACAGGACTGGGCTCGTCTGCTGCTCTTGTCTCATCTTTAGTGTCTGCACTTCTGGCGTTTTACCTCAAGGCTGGCAGTGATGCTCAGCTACCTCATAAGGTTATTCATAACCTGGCTCAAGCAGCGCACTGTGCATCTCAAGGCAAGGTTGGCTCAGGGTTCGACGTTGCGGCGGCGGTTTATGGCTCTTGCCTTTACCGTAGATTCAGTCCCTCGATCTTAGAAGCAGTGGGAGAGCCTTCCAGTTCAGGCTTCCCTGAACGACTCCATCTCTGTGTAGATGATCTCGATCCGGAACGGAAATGGGATGTCGAGGTAGCCAGTCAGGCAGTCAGGATTCCCAACGGCCTCATACTGGTCATGTGCGATGTTGACTGTGGTTCGGAAACACCTGGGATGGTTCGAAATGTTCTCCAATGGCGAAAAGACAAGACAGAGGAAGCCAACGTGTTATGGAATGCCATACAGCAGGGGGCGGAAGAGCTTTGCCAGGAATTGCGACGGCTCGCCGAGGTGGACGGCATCGAATGTGATGGGTTCAAATCCCTTGGAGACATTCTCCTTACTATTCGGAGTTTGGTCAGGGAAATGTCTGCCAAGTCTGGGGTACCTGTTGAGCCGCCAGTGATTACGGAACTGTTGGACTACTGCACGTCATTGCCGGGGGTGGTTGGAGGTGTTGCTCCTGGTGCAGGAGGATACGACGCAGTTGCGCTCCTGGTAAAGAATGACGTCGAGGTGGTTCAGCATCTGCGGGATCGCTTGGAAGGCTGGAAGGCAGAGGATGATTCGGGAGCCACCATCGGACATGTGAGGTTACTGGGAGTCAAGCAGGAGAAGGAAGGAGTAAGGACGGAAGACGTGGGTCAGTATGCTGGATGGCTATGAGCGGCAGTAGGTAGTTTCACATTATTTGACGCAATTGAGCGACAGCAAGCCGAGTACTGAAATCATCAGCTATGGTCTTCCACTGTGCACGCTCGGATTACTCAGTACTCCCAATGCCGACGAGCCGGGGCGGAAAGGTACATTTGAGAAACAAGCCTTTTGGACGGAGAAGACGCAGGGGCCCACCTGCCATCCACGCCCATGTCCATGCCCTCACCCACGCCCAGCCCCAGCCGAGCAAGCCTACTGAGTTAGCCCGTGCCTACCACAGGCTGTTAGGTCCCTTGCCTGTGCCGCCCCTAGAGTTGGTAGTCCTTCCACTTCTTTCTTGCCCCAGGAAACCTGAATTTGGCAGTCGACCTGACCTCGTCTCCCAATCCACCTTCTCATCTCATCCACCAACCATTCGCCACCTCTTCGATTGAATCGAATCAATCGATGTCTGTCTATCCGTTGCAATCAATCTTCTGTTTGAAGACAATCCATTTCTACCGCATGTACATCATGCATTAAGTCATCTTGTGTCTTTCTTGGGCTCATCCCTACTACGCAGGCTAGGTCGCATCAGGTCGCCTGTCACAGTTGCACCCTGCATCACTACCCGGTTCAGCTCGAGTCTTGCGACACCTTAATCCAACACTACACACTTGCCCGCGGTTACCGTCGCTCGCTTCATGCTTCAATCGCTTGCCATTCACTCATCAATCTACCTGTAGCACTCTACCTTGTTCTACCATCTCTTTCAATCTTCGCGTGGTGGCAGCGTTGATGCAATGACTTCAAACAATTCCGCCGAACAACCGGAAGCCCGATCTGCTGCTCAAGACATTCCTCAACAACCACGTCCGCAAGAAGAATTACACACACCCACTCCGGTGGAGATGTCGAGTCTCGCGAAGAACAATCCTCTCCCCTCCGAACACGATCCCTCCTCATCCTCCCACCGAACCACAACCTCGGCAGAACCCCATATGCCAGGGCCGATGAGAACAGATACAACCACGGCCATGAATCAATCCCTGCAGCCTCCTCCTCGTCCTCCTCCTGCAGTAGCGGATCCTCAAGCAGTCACGAGGACGTTCTCTACGGCTATTGGGCCTTCTTCAGATTCACCTGTCGTCCCGGCCAAGGATGTCGAGGTGACAGGCCCGGTCCTGGTGGTGACCTTACTTCTCACATCAGGAGCAAGACACCCATTCAGATTGGACGCTAAATACCTGGCCAAACGAAACGTTGAAGTGGCCGACGCCGATCCGTTCAATCTGAGTGTATATAAACTAAAAGAACTGATTCTGCGCGAATGGAGAGAAGAATGGGAAGCGAAACCTAGCAGTCCCAATTACATTCGGCTAATTAGTATGGGCAAAATGTTGGATGATAAGGCATCCTTGAAGGGTATGATGTCGCTCTAACGATCCTGTACTAGTCCTACAAGCTAACAGGGTGTTTCTTGCAGACTATAAATTCGGCACAGACTCACCAAACGTCCTACATATGACGATTAAACCTCAAGACTATGTCGAAGACGAGGACGCCAAGGGTGGAAAGTCCTCCATGGCGGGAAATCGAGAATCGGAGGGCAGAAGTCCAGGTTGTCGATGCATCATCATGTGATCTTTGTTCCAGCACGAGTACAGGACTACTCGAATACACGAACATCGAAGCCTGTCTGAAAGGAGTCTGATTGCCTGATCCCCCTTAGACCCTCGAAGGCTGGTATGTCGCTTGTGGGCAATCTGGTCCATGACTTGCGCGGGTTGTGTTCACTTTGAACTGGGCGTGGCGTTGGCCGGTGGAAGCACCTCGTCCTTTCTTCCGGTGGTTCCATCTGTGAGCGGAGAGGCAGGCTGTTTTTTCACAGATTCCCGATTCATTTCCTCCCTTGCGCTCTAGCACGATCCGGGTGGATCGAAGTTTTAGATCGATTCTGTTTGGAACAGGCTTAGATGAGGTGCTGGACGACACTCACGCTGGAGATCGATCCGATGAGGAGAGAAGCATCGAGCGGCGACAAGACTGTATATAAGTCGGCACGACATGGGCGCAATAGCAAGGATGGAGTTGCGTCGACCCAGGGTCATGGCGCGATACGATTTTTATCTCTTTTGCACGAGTTCTCGTGGCGTACATACTGGTGGAATGATTATACACATTTTCCTGTTTCTGCCCAACATTGAAAATCCTTTGTACAGCACGGCCATAAAACGTGGCAGTCGACAGAACGAGAACCAGGACTACTCGGACTATGGCGGTGTAGGGGTCTGGGCACCAATAGTTGTTATCACCAGTCACGCTGAATGAGAGATTCATCAACATGGTGAATGCGGATATTTTCAAAGCTTTCGAGATCATGCGAGTGAGTAAACTTGATACCACGGCCAGAACAGAACAGAACACGACAGGACAGAACGATATTGAGCGTGCACCTTGAAGTTAGGCCTCGGAGATTGGCCACTTGCGGGCTGATACTGATGAGACTGATTCTTATGATGTTGATTGATACGGAGTATATACTGGCAAGTCTACCAGTTGCTCGCAGTGTCTTAGATGTCTATGAAGACGAAGACTGGACCCCGATTTGCTGCCTTTGTTTGCACATCCATTGTAAACAACGGCCCAACTTAGACGGCTGAAGAGACGAGCTGGCCCATGAAACGGGAGGTTGTCTTTGCGTTTGTGTGCTCTGGATACAACGCGTGCCAACCTAAGCGCTTCGACATTTCTCAGCAGCAGTAAGCTGCTATTTTCAGCGCTCCCTCAGAAGATGGCATGTAGGGTCCTCTGTCAAGAGGTGGAAGCCAGATTGAACCCTCCTGCTTGCCCGCTCCGTTCCAGATTGCAAGATTCATGCCGAACGAGAGTAGCAAGCAGGGTCTGACAGTTCCTAGACACAAAGTCGTGCCGCTACACTTGCCCTCGATCCCTACCACCGTGATGCAAGTCTACCACTTCCACATCCCAACTTTCTTCTCCATCTCCTCTGTCCAGCCGACGCCTTGCCCATCTCCAGCTGCGTTGAGCCCAAGTGTCAAACCATCTTGGCCGTTATAGATATCCTCCCAACTGATGTGGTCGTCTTTTCCCGTGAGGAGGTCCTCGTGCACTCGACTAGGCGCGCCGAGTGCGCTCGGTCGAAAAGAATCGGCGTCGCGGACCATCTTGAGCTCCATCCCACGACGGAGGGGTTCGGCGAGGCCGAAGTTGCGGCGCAGGAGGTTCATGCGGGTCGCTTCTTGCGTGGCGGTCCAATTGGCTAGGCGGGTTTCGAGAGGGTGTGCGGAGCTGGTTGTGGAAGTTGAAGGGGACAGAGAAGAGCGTAAAGTGTCGGGTAGACCGGGGGCGGACGGGGCGCCGCGGTCGAGGTCCTGGCTCTTGGTGGTTGTGGTCGAGGTTGAGAATTTGGAGCTGGATGTGTTGGTTGTGCTGGTCGGATGGGAAGATGGCGGCGCAACGCGGAGAGACTTCATGTCATGTTAGTGATTGTGCTAAGTTCGCCGGAGAACGTTTGTTGACGAGTATATAGTGAAGGAATCCCGTGGGAGAGTGACATACCATGATGGAGGACTGATGGCGGATCTGAGGTCAGGATTGAACGGAGGGTGTTGATGGAGTGAGAGCTTTGCGCCGTTGATACGCTTTGAATGGGCACGGGGTTGAGGTTGTCGGAGTTGAAGTCGTAGATGTTGGTGGCGGAAAAGGCGAATATGAATTAGAAGCAATGGTTGACTGAGGATGGTAGTGATGTATGCAAGAAGTTCCGCAGGCAAAAGAAGGCTGTCGCGTCTCTGCTGCGGAGAGCACGATCCGAGCCAATGCCTCGACGTAATATTACGGCGGATCATAATCATTGTTTCGCTCACATATCCTGCCTCGCCACGGTCGCCTGAGTCTAGAGTACCTGTATGCAGGAAGATTGATTTAGTATCCTATATTTGTGCCCATCAACACTGTATGAACTTCCTGCAGCATCGACGCTTTCAGGTGCGTGTATGTTTGGCTTCTGCCGCTGTCCGTCTGCCTTCAACATCGTCACCGTCACTGCAGTTGATTCTATCACCACCCCCGACCTCCTCATGGTGCAGCCATGTACGTATATTCACTTCCTTGTACATAACCGAAGCCGTAAGGAAGGACATCCTCGTCGCTAGCCCCGTGACCAGATGGTTGGACAGAGAGCGGAAGGCTTGCACTTTCGAGACCACGAGCGTTGAGGAGACAGCTGTCATTTCCGGGGCAATCGGTGTACCGCTTTCTGTGGTCTAGCGTGGCTGCATGGTGCCATAACAATATTGTCAGGTTTGCTTGTCGGCTGCTTGGGGCTTGAATGCCTCAGCCCTTTGCATCAAAGCCTCGCTTGCAACTTTTTGAGACTTGGAAGCTCTGAAACAAGGTTGGCCTCAAGTCAACGAGGTTTTCCACTCGCCAACATCAGTAAGTGGGACGACGGTGAAGCTGTTGCTGAGAACGGTTGAATCAAGTCGTCTCGTCCCATGCTTCATGCAAGTCGCGGAAATCTTGAACACTCAACAACCGAAATATCTTTCCTCCAGCCACCTCTTCTCACCATCTTCGACAATATTCGCGGCGACTACCTTGATCTTGGGAAAGACTGACATTAACCTCTTAAGACCTCTCCTGCCAGCCATGAATGTGACAAAGACTATCCTTGCCTCGCATACCCCATGGTCAACCAATACTTTGACTGCCATAAGTGCAGCCCCTCCACTCGACATTTGAGGGTCGAGGAGCATGACTGTTTCATGTTCGGCCAGATCTGGAAACAATTTCAGATAGTGCAATTCTGGTTCTCCAGTACGATAATTGGACTGGATCAGCAACCGACCAGTCAAGCAATCTGGAATAGTACGTTTGAGGCCAGTTTCCATGCAGCTCCCACCACGCAAAATAACAACTGCGGACACCTTCCCAGCAGATCTCAGTCCACTATAAGTGTAGCCTTCAGGCGTCGTCACCTCAGTGGAAACGTAATTATGGCAATCGAGGGCTTTCTCGATCAAAAGAGCTGTAAGTCTGTCAAAATAGAAGATGAAGTCAAGGTGGGAGGTGATTGGGTTCCGTAGGATTGTTGAGATGCCCGTGATCTGGGGCTTCCCATCAAGAATAATAGCGTTCTCCGAGAGTGTAAAGTCCTCAAGTTGCTGGCCTAATCTTTCCAGTTCCGCGTTGTGTCTGATGGACTTTTCTTTCAGCGTCTGTCGTATCTGGTTGACGATCATTTGTATTGCCATTTTGTTCTGCATCCCTCTAGGGACGATGAGGTCAGCGACCTCTCGTTGTGGTTCGACATAGCGTTGGAAGACTGGCTTGACGTATCGGAACCATTGCTTGACGGTGCCTTCAATGGTTCGACCTCGTTCCCTCACATCACGAACGATGCGCCTCGATAGGCACACATCTGCGTCTGCTTCCACATAAATCTTCATATCGAGTAGCTCAAGTACTCTAGGGTCATTCAGAGCCAGGATACCTTCGAGAAGGATCACATGCGGGGAATAAATTGAGACGGTTTTCTCGAGTCGCTGATGCTCCTGGAACGAATAGATTGGTATGTCGGTCCTCTTCCCTTGCTTCAGGTCATGTAGCTTCTCCACCAGCAGGTCGAAGTCAATGGAGTTTGGAGAGTCCAAATCATACTCATTGAGGTGTGCCAGAGCATTTTGCTCAGCTGTTAGAGACTTGTAGAACGAATCGATCGACAAGATGATGACCCAAGGCAAGTTGAGAGACTTGATGATTTCCACAGCCAAACTGGTCTTACCAGAGCCTGAAGAGCCCGCCACACCAACAATGCTCAGGTCAGCCCATGGTGGAGAGTAATGTGCTTTTTGGACAGCTGCATCTGTAGCGTTTTGCGCTGATGCGAGGTTAGACAGCTTCAGCAAGTCTACACCGCCTGACATGTTGAGGATAATTGACGCTCGGAGCAGTCTGTCCTTAAGAATCCACCCTCCCTGGCGTGAGCAGGTATCTGAACGGTGGTGTCGTCAACCCGTAAACAAGGCCATATGGAAAATCTCACCACAAGCATGAAACCCAATAGCTTCTAGCGAGCGGCAGATTTTGTTCGAGACGTGACCCGGTCTAATGTCGTCCAAGACTGAAGACTTTGTGCCTTGAAACTTCGAGGACTTCGATACTGAGGTACTTGAAGCAGAGATCCCAACGACTTGTTTAAATCGGCACTGTGATGCCGGTCGGAACGGAGAAACGATTTACCTTACATCTTCTGGCAGAACTTCGGTCTTGCCTTCCATTTTATCGTCTTGTCATCTTCCGACACCCTCATCTGCGAGCTCTGATGTAGAAGCACGCCGTGTTCGTGCTGAGCCTCGTAGCAGGCTATGGACTTGAGCAATCTTTCTTCGAATTGGAGAAAGTTACAGACTACACTCAAGAAATCCCGACCCGTCCAGTCATCGCCAAAATCCGGGGACCAAAATGGCTTGAAGCGGAAGCGCGAGCAACTGAAGATCAACCCCGTGAAGTCTTCCTCACTACCAAGAAAGAAGCCACGGACGGACAAGGTTATGGCGCCAAATGGCACAGTCCCGAAAGAGACAGCTTCAATTGGAGATTTAGAAACTTCAGACAATGGAGTGCGCCCTAGGCCAGCAGATCATGCAGCTTCGGACAGGATAAATGCGGGACTATGCACGACGTCGGTCCAGGTCTCCCACCAAGACTTCCTGGCATGCTAACAGTTTCCAGCGTGGAGATTGGAAGATACGTTGCCATTGACTGCGAAATGGTAGGAGTTGGACCTTACCCGGACCGCGAATCTGCCCTTGCCCGAGTCAGTATTGTCAACTACAACGGAGACCAAATCTACGACTCCTATGTACTACCACAAGAGACGGTCACAGATTGGAGAACATTCGTCAGCGGCGTGGAGCCGAAACACATGAAATATGCCAGATCGTTCCAAGAGGTGCAAGCAGACGTTGCAAATATCCTAAAGGGCAGAATACTTATTGGTCACCATATCAGTCACGATCTCCGCGCTCTGAAATTTAGCCATCCTCAACGCGACATTCGTGACACGGCTCGCCACTCAGCTTACAAAAAGATGCAAGGAGGTACCGGCTACCCACGATTGAAAGTATTGGCATCAGAATTGCTAGGCTTTGAAATACAAGAAGGTGAACATTCTAGCATAGAAGATGCACGGGCTTGTATGATGCTCTTCCGAAGGGACAAAGCCGCCTTTGAGCGGGAACATGCTAAGAGATGGCCTGCAAAACCAGCTCCTGAGCCTCGCGAAAACACCGAGGGGCAAGAGAAAGTCCGGAATCCGAAGAAGAAAAAGAAAAAGAAATCCAAGAAATGAGCAGCTTGTAGGCCCGAAATGTGAAGGGATCAGACTGAGCTGGGAGCTTCTGTGCAAGGTTGACACAACTACAGGGGTATGTCCTCCATCATCTCCACGGCACCCTCTCTTGCGACAGTGATGATCACATCACCTAGGGTTTTTGTCTTGAAACCAGCTTCACAATAAGTGAAATAATACTGGCATGAGGTCAATCCAGGGCGACACCAATTTCAAGAAGTCTGGACTTACCTCCCACTTCCTCCGGAATAGCTCGACATCGCTTTCGGTCATGCCCTCGTGCTCCGCCAACAATGCCGGTTTGATACGGTCTTTGAAGTTCTGTTCAAAGTTTTGCTTCCATATGCGCAGTGTCTTCGCGTAATGGGGACCGATGTTCTCGACCGAGTCGACCACCAACAAACCCTTGCTGCCTTGGTTGATCGATCCGACCAATTGCGAAACGGTGGGCAGATGGCCGCCCGGGAAGATGTATTTCCGGATGAAATCCTCACCTTTGGCATATGCTTCGTATCTCGACTCGGGCATGGTGATACATTGGAACACAGCAATTCCTCCGTACTGCTTGAGAAGCTTATGGATGCAGTCGAAATATGTCGTCAGGTATTCCCGTCCAACGGCTTCGAGCATTTCGATGCTCACAACTTTATCATACGGGCCCTCCCTAGGCATCGGCAGAGCTCGATAGTCACAGAGAAGGACCTCGATATTGTCAGTCAGTCCTGCGTCTGCTATTCTTCGATCTGCGAGGTCTTTCTGCTCCCGGCTCAACGTCAAAGATGTGACACGACAGGCTGTCCTCTGAACTGCTCTGATGGCGAAACTTCCCCAACCCGTTCCAATTTCCAGGACGTGGTCCGTTTGTTTTATTCTCGCATTGTCGATGAATCGGTCAAGTTTTCGCATTTGTGCATCCTCCAAAGTTTCGTCCCTTTTTGGGTCGTCCAACCTTGAGAGAGGCTTCCAGATGGGACATGAATAGGTCATGTCCTTCGACAAAAATGCCGCAAACATCTCATTACTGATATCGTAATGTGAGCTAATATTCAACTGAGCATTTTGCATAGTATTTGTGCTTCGCAACAACCCGCTGATTGTGGATGCAAAGTAGGAAGTCCTCGTGGTTGCGTTTGACAGCTCGTTCCGGTTCAAGATGAATAACTGCACACTGGTCAGCGCTGTCGGCTCTCTGCTCAGTTGCGGCTGGCTTACTTGGAAGAAGGCCGTCAAGTCTGGACACTGTATCTCACCAAGCATGAACGACTCGGCGAAGCCCTAAGAAATTGTCAACCGGCTATGCTACCTGGAGCAGCAAACAATCTACGAACCATATCGGCAAACAACGCTAAGCGCAACCAAAATGCATCGCGCATTACGCGCATTTGAACCCGAGGGGAAACATCCTCTCCAACTTGACCACAGACCGTCTCTGTGCCGTCTCTTTCGACGATGGTAAGACGCCCAACCTTGATCTCAGAGAACAACACCAGGATCAACCTTCGAGAAGTCGTGACCAGAGGATCCCATGCCAGTGTCCCTGCATAGGTTCTCACTAGCTCCAACGCAAATGACACCAAAGACGGCATGGTTTTCCGCAAACACCATCAAATCATTGAGTACGACGTGCGCTCTTTGGAAGCTACAGTCAACGCAGGACAATAATTGAGAGGTACCAAAGCAGTGTCAGGCGCAAAGGAACATTCTACAATGGGACAAGAAAATTAAATTCACGACGTGGACGCTGGGGTGATATTCTTCCCAGGCACGTTTTGAACGACGCATCGACGCCAGCTTGGAAGTCAATGCTTTAGTTGCAGGTGCAGCACAATTTCTCGGTCATAAATAGTCTAGACTCGAGGCAGCCATTGTTCGATACTCGCCTAGAGGCGGGGCACATAAAGCAAAAGGCAGACGAGGATGCTTTGGAACAAGTCTTCTGCTCCACCGGAACAATGGTCGTCAGGGAAGAGTGGTGCCGATGCACATCTCCATATTCGCTACGCTTTTCGTATCACCAGTCCTCCAGCGCCGGAACAGATCAACAGATCGACACGACGAGCAACATTCGTGAGATATGAGCTTTAGGGACATACGGAAGGAGTGTTGGAATGTAAACATGGTCCAGGGTCGGGCCACCGAGGCTGTCGACAACGAGCAAAGAAGTATTTAAGTGTATGACGTCTACACATATTGTTTTCGACATGGTGTATGCACTTGTGGTGTCGGTACCTGACGATCGCGAGCGAGACTGTGTCCAGTAGGACCAGGAACCAATTGCACAGCTGCCACGGTAGCCAGCCTTTTCGGGTCCAACATGTGCCGGTGGGAGTTCAGGAATACAGTTGCATCCGGCTTACTCGTAAGGTGCAGTGGAGTGTTTTTGTGTGCATCGACCGCTTAACATTAGCCCTTGCAGCCGCAGTTCCAAGAGATCAGCTCCAGGCGAACTTGCGACGTCAGACTTGAGAATCGGATGGGGGCACGTGAGGCACGGGGATAGGGGGTTACTAACTAGTGCGCAGTTAACGCAGTTCGGATAAGATAAGGGATGAGGGACAATGCTCCACTGCAATTGTCGGACCAAATAATGTGATACTTCTCCGACGCGTCCTCTCTGAACGCGTGCCTCAAGTCCCGAATATTGTTGCAATTCCACCTTGAGTGCTGGTGGTTTATCGAATTTGTCACCTTCTCGCCTGCTATGACCATGCTCGCTCTGCAAAAGACCTCTAGCCCGACGCGCAAGTGTACCACCAACATACTCCCATGCCGCGTCCATCATGACGGGCCTATCAAGGTGACGAAGCGATACTGGTCACCCCAAGACGAAAATGGTAGGACCCTCGAGCTGGAGCCATGCATAGCGCTCATTTGGTGGCCCAGATGGTTCCAAAACATCCCACTTCCGTGGCCGAAGATTACGTGGAAGAGTCATGAGATTACCCGCAGGCTATCGAGGTAGGGCCCAAGAAGTCTGGAGAAATACCACCGTTCTGACGACAATTCAGGTGTTGTTGCACGATCTACCGAACAATATCTCCCTCAACCTGTGAAAGGCGGTCCGAAATTCACCGCTGTGGACGAAGACATTGAGATTGAGGAAGAGGAGGAGGAGCCTCCAGAGCCCGTGAAAGTACTCGAAGAAGTCGCAACTTTTGGTGATGTGATTGTATGGGGACATGATCGCATTCCAAACCAAGACGACACTTTTGTCAAGGGCGTCGAAGAATGGATCTCTTTCGCCGAAGCCATACATGGAACGCCTACGAAGACACAAGCCGCAGCAGACGACCGCTAAAACAGAGCATTGAAGTGAGCACAATATCCCTGGGGAATATATCAGGTCGAGTAGCACAGCAATTCTTCGCATTGCTGAGCCTTGAGATACTCCTTCTTGGCCTCCGACCACTCCTTCTTCAACTGGCCATACTTGTCCGAAGCGATACACCGCCGCCAATACGCCTTGAAAATCTCACTCGCCGCTTCCTTCTCCTTCCTCTTCCCATCAACATCTTGCCCCGTCCATTTCTCCAACTGCTCGCCATCCTTGTCGTATTTCCGACCACCTTTATGATTGGCGTACCGTCGAGCACGGGTCATGCCCATCTGGATGAATTTCCGTGTCATATCGGCGCCGACAAGATCACCACGATCCAGATAGGACTCGAAGATATCCCAGAGGATTTCTGCCGATTTCTGCGCGATGGGGACGGTGCGAAAGGCCCAGTACGGCAGGATCAGGCTTTTGTATGGCTCGAATGAGAGCACGCCCATCTCTCCTCGGGCGATCTCATACGAGAAGCATAAGTGCTCGTCTTTCAGAGCTGGAATGTCCAGGGGCGAATCGGGCGGTACGAGGCTTTTATCGGTCGCCTTGGGCATGTCAGCTTTGTGCCTCTGAAATCGCGCTATCGTTGTCGCCAAAGTGCGCGAGATATTGAGCATTGGAGCATGGAGAAGGTGTGCCTGGAGTGCCTGGTCAAGGGCGGCTATGACGCGCTTATTCGTCTGGTTGGAGAAGCAGCTCTTGGCATGCTTGTCACCCCGGTACCTACCCCGGTACCTAGGTACTTAAGGTATTCCTGAACACGGACAGCCTTGCGAAATGGAAGAGGGTAGAGGTTTCCATACTATCAGCGCCTCACTAAGAGTTAGCTACCCAGCAACTTAGATGGTCGTACCCTTCACGTAGTGACTTATCGCCCGGTCTGTGGAACAGTGGGTCATGGGGGCCTCGCGAAATGAGGTTCGACCTCCTCTGTACAATCTAGAGCAGGAAGTTTTTGGCCATTAGATACTAAAAATAATTATACCGAGTCAAATTCTCTTTTCCGTCATGAGCCGGCGCCAGGTCTCCATCCATCATTTGCTAGCATGTTAACACATTCCTGCCTCCGTTCGTAATCATTAGTTCGGCCAGCCTCTTCCACGATTCCATGTCCCTGCCGTCATCGTATCTCATACAGGTGTCCCAAAGTCCCAATGCGAAAGACCCTTTGTCCGGGTCGATGGTGCTGTACAAAAACACCATGGTTCGATGGACATGGGACTCACACGGCGTCCGGATCGCGATATACTTGGAAAGCTCTGGACACTCGGCGTCAATGGCAGCGGCGTTCATGAGACTTTTGCATATCCGAGACTGGGAGTTTCTTTGCAATGTGCAAACGCTGGGGTCGTGGTTCTTGTCGTAGTAGCACGGCATTCGCGCGTTCAAGTGCACCTCGTCGTAGGTGATCTTAACCGAGACGAGGTTCGGAGGGTGCGCATCGATCATTTTGTCGAACAGGTCGGACCAGGCGGGGGCATCGAAGATGTCGACCGTCTCCATCTCATCTTCGGACTCGACTTCTCGCGTGGTGGAGTGACAGAAACAGTTGTGCAGGGTGATCGTTTCTAGCGCTTGCGGGTGGCCCGTCGAGGTCAAGAAGTCGATGAGCTCGGCGTCGATGAAGGCGTTTTCGAGAGTCAAGTGGCGGAGTTGGGGCATGTGTTCGGGTTTTGGGGAGAGTGCTGGGAAAGGGTCAGATTAGATCATCTCAGACCAGGTTAGGCCAGAGCAAGAGTTGATGGGTCAGTATTCGAGGACTCAAGAGACAGCTTAAGTGAGTGAAAATGTAACAATCGTTCTTCACGACTGGATGAGTCGCATCTTTTGCAGATATTAACAGCGCAGCGTCCAGAAGCACAGAGTAATAGCCGAGTAGCGAGGTGCTGGACCGAAGAACATATTGAGGCTGACTTACTTGAATATGAAATGCGCGTGGACCACGGGAATTTCCCTGCGACCTGCCACGCCGCGTTCGAGATCAATTTGAAGTCTCTTACTCTCTCCAGGTTGTCATAGAACCAGCCGCTCAGGAGGTATCGAAACCAATCGTTTCTGGGGAGCGTTTTGTCCGAGGGAAGTGGTTCGAAATTACATAGAGAAAGTGTAAATGAGGTCAAATGGCTCAAGAAGGTACGGAAGCAAGGCTGGTGGTACACACCAGACGTGTGGGGCGATATATTTAATATCTGGAGCTCGAAGCCATTGGGTTTCTGGGAGATGTCGTTCTTGGCAACAGCGTCGATGACAGTCCATAGCAGCGTACGGTTGAGGACATCGCGATCGTCGTGTCCCAGTGGTTGATGCTCGGATTCGAAGGAGAATCGGGGCCAATAGACTTGGTTGCAGGTGATCCAGTGGTCGGGGAAGTGAAGGGTCAGCGAGGACAGGCCGGGTGGTAGGTGCCGAAGCGTGGAGTCGATGAAGGAGCAGTTAATCCATGTCAAGGGAGAGTGGCGTTCATGACTTGTTAGGACCTGGCAGGGCCTTGAGCGTCGTAGCGGTGACGGTCTGGCCGCGGCGCATGAGAATGTCAGGGATTTGATGTGCTTGTGCTCCCTGAGGGTGTCAACGCAGTGTAATGGACTGACGTGCAAGCCGACCGTGATGGATCGGAAGACGTGAGGAGCCAGGAGATCTCTGTAGAAGCGGCTGGTTGAACTCCATTGCAATAGAGCATCAGGATCCGAGGCAGAGAGATGGGCTTGGATCACGTCGACTACCTCCTGCGGTAGACGTGTGATGGGGAAGCTCTCACGACCGGCGTGGCTCGGTAGGCTTTGCGCCATGATGGGCTCACCTCACCAGCTACATGCTATATCCGGCATATATCGCTGGTCGTTGGCGGCCAAAATGTCGACAGGAGGGAGGAATGTCTGGAGCAGTGTCGATAAGCGTGATGAAGAGAGATGGGCGATTGACGTCACGTGCTGAGATCTGTGAGGAGGTGGAAGAGTTGCAAGCACATTTTTATCTTATTTATCTTCTCGACATCTAAATGCAGTCTAACTTTACCCAACTCTGGTTCCATCGCGGGCACCAACAAACTCTATGGAGTCACGTCTTCTGACCGGAAGGAAGAGAGTCCACTTGCAGGAGTCGCATTCCAGTGAAACTCTTTCCTTGGTTGATGAACTCGAACAGCCTTCGGGGGAAAGTCCTTCACCGCTAACATCGCCGGCCTGCAAGCTCCCACCGGCAACACCATAAGAGACAAACCTTACGATGGTAGAAAAGCGGAAGAGGCATCCCACGCAAATACAACCACTCTCCCTCTGGCCGGATGCGCTCAAGCGTCCCTTTGGCGTGACGTCGGGTCTCAGCAACGCTTGTGGTAGAGGCAATGTTCTGGTGCAGAGCTTACAGGCAGGCTATGTCCTTTGTTAAACTTGCTCAGAAGCGATCTGTCTTCGGTCTCGGATCGAACTCGCGGCTGTTCGTGCAGGGCGTGGATATTTCAGACGAGCAAGACCAGCCTATTCCGTCCGAGACAAGACGCCATCAAAGATCACCCTCGCTTGGGAACCCGAGTACGCGGGGGTTGTATCGTTCATCGGATCTGCCGATCATTCCATCGTTCACGACGAATAAGCGGTAGGTACGTGTCCTCTCTTCTTGCTTTGTGGAGGCGCATGTGGGTTGCTCGGTCTGGGCTGGATACTTGAATCGTAACGAACTTTTTTGGCTCTCAGGTGGAATGAGATTCTACAGCACTCAGTCTACAGCCTGTATCTTGGCCCTTTGTTCAAGTAAGGACGGAGATCTCTTGACGTAAGGATGGCGTTCTGGAAACTCACGTGGTTGTCTGTTGCTTGCCTGCAAGGATAATATTTCTTCTCTGAACACGAATATACCAACGATGTCGATTAAGAGTCAAGACCTAAGCTCTTGTAAGTAGAAGCCCACACTACGCTTCAAGATGCTCGTCGAGTATAACTTACCCGGCGTTCTCCTTGATAGCTTGACCAGAGGACTTAAGCGAGTCTGGTGCATCTTCCAAAGGCATCCATACCTCTACCAACTACAGGGATCCTGTAAGCATATGATTACGGTCGATGAGCTTTGACAGTTATCTCACCTGTAGCCTGGTCGGCTTAGTAAACTCATTGCTCTGGAGCAGATGCCGAAACTGCGCTTTGGTCTTGACTTGATGAGTCTGATATTTGTCGTTCGCAGCGCCAAAGGCCTCTGGTAGGTGAGTATACTTCCACGGCATTATGTCGTTGTAGGAAGCTTCCCAGCCGTGGACGTATCTTTCAATTGTGAAGCCTTTGTTGCAGATGATGAAGATAATCGGAGTTAAACCGTGGCGAAGCATTGTACCTGTTCTTGATGAGTACGGAGATCCACCGGCATGGCACAAGAGACACTTACTCAAGGCTGTAGCAGTAAGTTGGAAACTCCCGTCTCCAGTGAACAAGACCGTGCGATTCATCCCCAGCTCTTTTGCAGCAACTGCAGCGCCCTCACATGCTCCTGTTGCATACCCAATACTTCCCCATAGCCATTGAGCGATAACCTGGGTGTTTCGAGGCAACTCCGTCATGGCAATACCGAAATTCGAGGTTCCCGTCTCAGTTATTATGACATCCTCACTTTGAAGCCAGGAACTGATATGTGACCATAGCCAGGAATGGGTAATCGTTTCGGATGACTCGAGGGCAGTGGAGGTGACATGCAGGTCTTTGACGCTTGGTATTGCTAATTCATTCCATCCAGGCTTTTTCTCAATCTTATTGGTGAGCTCGTCGAGGACACGGCTCATGCTAATTCCAGAATATTGGGAGTCCTCCACCACGGTAAGCGAACCCTGAACTTTCACCTTCACGCTCACCGACTTCCCGGTAAAGCCACCAGTGTTGTAGTCTGAAGGGATGATGCCAATACCAAGGACGACATCTGAAGCCTCGAAATGCTCCTTGACCTTGGGGCTTGAAGACGTGCCTTGATAGACACCGCAGAAATTCGGTAGAGATTCGTCAACGTTACTCTTTCCCATAACTGTGACAAAGGTGGGTAGACCGGTCTTCGTCACGAATTCACGGACTTGTCGCAGAGCCTGGATCTGTGTAAGCGTTTCATTGTGGGCCCGAAATCCTGTACTACTTACGCCGAAGCTTCCTGCACCCTGGTCGACAAGAATAGCCGGTCTCTTCGCACTGTAGAGACGACTCAACACCGCCTGGACGGCCTGATCCCCGCTCCTCTGATCGTATGGACGCTCCAAATCGATCTGTTTGTTCAAGGAAGCACCATCAATCTTCGCCATCAGTAAATCAATAGGGATGTAAATGTAGACCGGTCGCCTCTGAATGACGCATTCACGAATCGCATGGTCAATGACCTGCGCCCGTTCGCCTTCCGCTGTGGTCTCGATATTTGCAACGAAGCACGACACCTTTTCACTCATGGTTCTAAACGCACCATAGTCGCCGTCGCCTAGAGTGTGATGCATGATTTTGCCTTTAGCCTGGGCTCCAGTCATCGGCGACCCGACAATATGGATGATGGGAACATGTTCTGCATATGCACCTGCTAAAGCGCTGATGGCGCCTAGCTCACCGACCCCGAATGTTGTTACGAGTGCCGAAACGCTCTTTACACGCGCATATCCGTCTGCTGCGTAGCCTAGAGGGAAGCATTGTCAGCTCGAATAGGCCCTGACTTCAAGTTTCTTTCGAGGTAGTAGATTCCACGAGTGCTAATCGGTTATACTCATGTCCCGATCTGAAGTGGACAAGGCAAGCGAGCAATCAGTTGACTTACCAGCTTCCAGTTCATTGACGCTCCCTATCCACTCTAGGCCCGCGCGTGAGAGGTAATCCAGGCCATCGAGGATGTAGTCTCCTGGTACACCGTGGACTGAGCGAATACCGACCTGGTACAGCCTGCGAAAGACGTACTATACTCTGGTTATCAGCGGCTTGCCACCATTCAAGATTGCAGGCGGCATCTTACCTCAATTACCTCCATATTCGTTACTGTAATCAAGTGCACACGGGGTGAGCTGCGATAAGGCTATCAATCCTTTTCAAAAACTTGCTTCTTGCAGTTTAGTAATCTGTGCGGCGCAGGTATTTTCTAAGAAGATAGGCCATCACGTTGTACGAGATGATGGCAGCCGGTGGTCAAAATGTGATTTCATTCTCGCTGTATATGACGTACGTTGGGCCGGTATCCGGTGCAAGCAATTCCCACTCACTACGATTAGACCATATAGGAAGCCGCCCAGTAGCAGCAGAAGGGATCGCCATCGGCTTTGAACTTCCGACCCATTATTTCCTGCCTATTGCTTTCACCGTAGCGGTCACCCAGCGGTCCCGCTTAAGTTCCCGCTTGTTACTATGACAAAGCCCCGAGCGTGTAAGAGTAAAGAGGGTTGTTGAGACTGATTTGCCGTAGCCTGCCGTGCTCCAAAATAAATAATCCCGTTCGGAAACTTGTTCCTATAAGACGACAGTCGGAAAGCACAATCGTGACAGATGGTTTGGATGAGTAAAAAGGGGGCTCTTCGCCTCATAGGGGGCGCCGCAGCCTTGCGATCACGTGCTGCAGGTGTGGTACGTATATTACTTTCCAGACGCCAAGGCATGTAAAGACGACGCCCCTAACAACGCGTGCCGCGGTATCTGTGTAGAGATTCTCCAAGTGACCCTCCAGTGCCCATACACACCTCGCCAGACTCCAGATACTGACTGCTCAGGAAAAGAAATCCCTACGCTGAACTCAGCTTGGCGAGAATGCCTCGCAAGTGACTGAAAATGCCCCTGCAAGCAGACCGCCCACTGCGGGAACCAAGCCTAAGACTGTTGAAGTAAGAGTTCCAACAAAGCCGCCACAATCAAAGGAAGTGGATTGATCAGTACAAGTAATGGAATATGTATATTCCAGCTCAGCTTGGTTGTTTCCGTTTCTATCGTTGATCACTACCTGACCAAATGACACCGGCACGAATGACTTGGCAAAGATTTGCTGGAGCAAAGAGGTCATGTAGTCTCGCTGATCGGTGTTGTCATAGTTTCCAGTCATGGTCGCGGAGACAGTGCAAGTCGTCTGGTCACAGGGGGCAACAAGGGGCTGGCAGTTGGGATCGGATTGAAACGTCGCGTCTCTGGTGACCTGGCTGGTCGGATCACATCCGGAGGTGCCACAGGCCGTGTTGACCGCATCAGTTAGGAAGCTTGAAGGGTCGTCCAGGAGGCTGATCATGTTCGCGCCGACGGTGGGTTCTGCTGTGGAGTCCACAAACGGATTGTCGAACGCGTCCTGATTGAAGCAAGTAACACCTTCGCCAATTACACCGCCGCAAAGGATTGAGTCGAAGCTGGAGATAAAATTTGCGCATGCAGCGTCAGAATAGACATTGCACTGGAAGCCCGGGTCAACACTGACAACGTTGACTGATCCGAATTTGCCAAGCGCCTGGCAGCCGCTGCTGTCGACAGTATTGCTGCCGTCGGCATGGACCTTGGCTAGAACCGTACCGCCTGATGTACCGCAGGTTCCGTCGGAGAACACTTGGAGAGAGATGTCTGCAGAAGTAAGACCAGAGAAAGTGAAGCTTTTAGATGAAAACAGGTGTGTATCTAGTATTTTTGTAGCTTTATGCAAGAAACTTGGAAGAGAGCGGTTCAATATGATCAACAGGAACAACTCATGGCGAGAAAGAGGTGGTGATATATACACATTGTGAAAAGGAGAAGCCTCGCTCCCGTTTGGTGGCGCAGCTTTGCTCATCATAGCTGAGAGACCTCTTGTTGCTCACCTCCGGCCCACCAAGAGTGTGGATGAGAGTAATTTTGAAAAATACTCACCATCACTGACAGGATCCTAGAGCTGAGCTTCGGGGCTTTCTGATGGCCTGGTTAGGGTCGCAACTCCGTGCTGAATCGGTTCGTCAATTGGGACCATGAGCCACTTCGGTAAGCAGCAAAAGAGACGAGTGATTCGATGTGACGGTCAGCACGCAACATGTCCGACAGTTTCCATAACCAAATGAAATACTTTTAGTGAAACAATTAGAACGTCGCTCTCCGGCGAATGGCCGGATATTGTTTGATCGTTGGCCCTTACGTGCATACAAGGCTAAACGGTAAATAAAGGCTGCCTCACCCAGTACAGCCTCGTGCTGACAAGCTTTGCGGGGCGATCTTTACAGAGCAAACCAGGCTTTTCTATCCGCAAGATCTGCTGCATGTGGAGAATGCCCGAGTCGTTTGAAGCAGGTACCATATAGCTCAGGTCTGTGGGCGCTTCATTTGGTTGTAACCGTTAGTGCTGACCCATAGTCACAGTCCGGTTTAATCTCCTTGAACGGAGAGGAGCTGTACTCATGCTCATAAGAGCCTCACTATCCTGTTACGGAACGAACGAGAGGTGGGCCCAGCTAAAGTGATCATCAAACAACCATCAACGTTGCAGTGGAACTCACACGTCGAGATTCCTCTAGTCAGAGCTGCTGATTCATTCCCCAACAGTTCCATCTATATTTACTTATATTTCTTAGCCAGCGAAAGGAATTCTCTATATATCACACACAACGCCCACTGAGTTCTCATATAGACGTGTAGGTATATAACCCTCCTCGCACATTGGTTTGGTGGCGACCCTTGTTTTTCAGCACGTCGTCTCTGATTTCAAAATCTTTTCCCACCCAGAATTGCCTGAGCATGGATCCTCGCCAGTCTTCTGCGTACGAGCCGTATAGGCATGCTCACGAAGGGGACGAAACGGAGAAGTCTATGGGCCCTGATAGGGATGAGCACACTTTGCTTCAGCAACAGCATGTCCACCAGCAGAACCACCATGATCGACACAACCGAACTCCCCGTACGAGATTCCAACCGCTTCGCACAGTTTTGCGGGTTCCTTCCCTGGTCATTGCCATCACCATCTTTGCCCTGCAGGTCTACTCGGCATATATCTGGCTCAAGACCCGCCACGACACAGCGAAAAACTCCACGACTGGCTTCCAAACTCGGATCTGGGCCGTGATCGATGCCTGGCCAACTTGGACAATGCTAGGAGTTGCTGCACTTGCGACAGTTATCCACCTACTGGCATTCGGAAGCTTCTGCGGCTGTGTATATCCCATCCCCTTCTAATTCTTGACTGACTCGAAGACCATAAGCTAATCCGTTGCCATGACTCTGCTCTGTCCACATCTGCTCGAAAGTGCCATTGGAAAGAACACTTGCAGTCATAGGGGTGCGGATGACGCCAGGGCTCAGGGAATTCACTCTTATCGAAGGACCGTCTGCGGAGTAGCCCCATTCTGATGCTAGGTTTCGTGTGAGCTGATGCACTCCTGCTTTTGAGGCGGCATATGCAGCATTAGGTGTTCCCTGCGATGGATGTAAGCGGATCAGCGGAATCATTGTGAAGAGCGGCTGGATACATGCCTTGTTGACAATGTAACCACTCATGCTCGAATAAGGACGAAGCTGGCCGAGAAGTTGTGCTTTCGTATCAATACAGCCGCAGCCTGTGCACATATCAAGGTCCTTATGAGGTTCACTTCGATAATTCGTTTCGCTTCGTCAATTGGAAAGCTTATCGACGGCCCAACCCAGCCGATAGCCGCGCAGTTTACCATCCCTCGTGGTGGATACCGAGCACACAATACCGCGGCTTCGAACACAGCATTTGTCGTTTCAAGGTTGGATATGTCACAATAGTGATAACTCAGGATTGTCCCATTCTTCTCAGCAACTCTTTCCACCTCTTCTGTTTCCCTTGCGGTTAGCATGCGCCCAGTTGCCAGCGTATATTGGACCTTACCTCAGCGAAGAGTGCTCGGTACCATCTCGCGATTGACTGCAATCACGTCCGCTCCACATTGCAATATGGCACTGACAACCTGAATAGCCATGCCGCCTGTTGCACCGGTTACTGTAGCGCCAATGAGTCTCACCGGAGCATAAGGGGAAGGCCTGCAACTGGCCAGCCGATTGCTGTGATTCGGTACGTACCAATAATTGTCCGTCTGTCGAGTGCAAAAAGGTCTCTGGCAGTGAGACCTTTTGGCGGCACAGGCTGTCCGTGTGTAGCGGCATCAGGTGAGGTATCCGTTGCTATCATGATGTCTAAGGACCCGTAAGCTCAGCGAAGACTTTACTTCTGTATGATATTGGTGGGAATTTGTCCTACAAATACGCACCCCATGCCGCGGTCGGCGAGAGTTGAAGACAGTGGCTACGCAGCTGATTCAAAACTGCGTCTCTGACAGTTCCACATCCTATCGTGGGTTGCCCATGCAGGTTCAACGCCACAAGGGTGGGAAGTTTGGGTTGCCCTAGAAAGGTTGCTCTAATTCCTCCTGCGAATGACGATTCGATCGACGCAATCGGTGAAATCCTCCACAATACTAGCAGCTTGTTGGTGGCAGAAGGCGGGCCGCTGACCAGGATTCTCTTTGGCCATGAAAGGGGATAGGGGTACGGGAGCGGAGGCCGCGGCGGTTTCCCTCTACCACTTTTTGACGCAAAGCTCTGAATATCGCGACTTCGCCGTTGAAAAAGAGATTTTTCATTCATACTGACAACAAATGGCGAGCGGGCCCCTCTCCGCAGATTTAGGAAAGAGAGGATTCGGGTCTTTCCTGATCGCCGTCACCACCATTTCGTAAAAACGAGGAATCACGAAATGGGCCAGCCAGTGGCTTTAATTGATTCACTTATCATAAATAAGCGAGGTTGCTGAGCCCCGTACCTGCCATATAGCTCCATCAGACTTGTTTTGAAGACCGATTTACCATGGAGAAACGCTCCCTTCTCGAGAGACTTGAACAGCTCTGCAATGTTGATGTCGACGATGTTGACACCGAATGTATCAAGAGTCTACCATTCACCTCATAACCGTACGTGGAAGCTTCGGCCACCATGTTTTAGATCTGAAAGTCGCTAATTTAGCTGCTAGAGACGCCCAACCAAGCTGTCATAACAAAGGAGTTGCTGAAGCCGGAGAATAAGGCATTCTTGGAAGAGCTTGTTGAGAAACACGGTAAAGAGGGCTGGGAGGTCGTCTATGACATGGCGGTAAGAATTTGTCAGGACTCATGGTGTCTGTCCACATCTGATAATGTTTCGGTTTCACAGGCTGTTCGTTTCTGCAGCAGGAACATTCCCTATCTGTCCGGACGTGTGCTTGTTCAAACCTCCCTTCGCTATTTGAATGATAAGGACGCAATCATGAAGCAATGTCATTTCTACGCAAGCCGTTTTGAAGAGGCAGGTGTCTCAAGAGATCGTTTCGCCATCAAATTACCATTTTCTGGAGCCGCCGCCACCGCAGCATATAAGCTCAACGCAAAGGGTATCCGTACACTCCAACTGCAGTTTTCTCCCTGGAACAAGCCGTTGCAGCCAGCCAGTCGAACTGTCTATTCATTAGCCCCTACTACAATGGTAAGTGGAGTGGTGATTGCCGACCCCCGGCAATCGTGTGTATATGAATCTGATCACGATTGCGGAGATCGCAGCACATCTAGACCCATCATTGCGTCCCAACGTCCAAGACCCTGCCCTAGAGGTATGATAATGAAAGGCAATCACTCAAGCTGCAACGCACTCACCACATATTCAGCATCCGATGTCAGCCCGTGTGATACATATCTTGAAGACCTTTGCAGAAGCGTATGTGGAAACAGGAAAAGAGCAGCTCATCATGGTCATCGCCAGGTGAGAGGACACAGAATGTCAGTCTTTGGCTTCTCCTGAACCCCTTTCTGACACTGTTCGCTCGCAGCCATTTCAATATTGCTGAGATACTCGCAGTGGCTGAACTAGGTTCCAACACGTCACCATTCAAGCCTCAAATTTCCAGAGGCTTATGGAAACACCAGACACCTTTCCACCAGTTACGCGCATAAAGCCCAAGCATCCGTATGCTGAGTTCGCCATTCCAGAGCGCTTGAGGACCCTCGCCACTTTAGATCCGCTTGCGGACCAGAATGGGACGGTCTCTTGACAACAACACATACGGATTTTCTGGCGAATGGGGGTGAGAAGCTTGATACCTTCGTCAAAGAGAATGTTGTCTTGAATAAGAGGTTCACAGATGCTGTTAAGTTTTTTCTCGGGGCGGAAGAAGAGGCCAAGGCGACAATAGAGGGACTGATTGCGGCGAAAAGCCCGGAAACGTAGCATAGTCGCCTTACTGAATCTGTACAAGGTCTTTAAACAACGTCTGGGCGTGCTGTGATGGTGGCCAACGACTGCCCAGCACCAAGAAGTCGTGTCGTATTCAAGTCGAACCCTCGCTATATATATTAATAAGGCAACCTTACACTGTTACGCGGGCGACCAGCCCCCTTTATCGCGAGCCTTTATATTTATTAAGGTTGCCCTGTTATTCTGTGCTAGAAACGGTGAATAATTGATTGACGTTCACTCTTTACGGCGGAATATCCTGCTGTGACTTTGCAGACGCTGCTTTCTGTGCAGAGAACTAATGATTTCAAGGCCGGATTCAATGATGGAACCGAGCAGAGCCCAGGACTTCAAAAGCCCAACAGCAATCTCCAGTAGCACAGCGCTGTCTTCAACGAAACTGGAAACGATAGAGATTTGCGCAGCAAGGGCAACAACAAGGGAGTAAGCCAAAACGCTGATTAGAGCATACTAGTTAGCGAACGGCATTACCACAACCGGCCAGACGAACAGAATCCACATACCATTGTAGAGTGCTAAAGGTGTACGAAGTCCTCTCCGATAGAGTATGACTAGCCGTGAGTAGAAACATGCGACAGGCAGACAGACACAACTCGCACCGTTCAAGGTCTGCCGAGGGTATGTTGGCCTGAGATTTGGCGGCTGTTGAGGTAGCATAGATCACAAACGGTCGATGAATATTGTGTTTAGCAGACCAATATCTAAGACGGAGAATGCCGGCTTGTCCGTCGCCCACTGGGTTCCCCGAAAGAGCTGGTCTGACAATCTCAGGAAGTGATTCATACCAGGTTTCGAGCTGGCGATTGAGCTCCTCGCATAATCTTAATATGAAAGCGTTCGGTGTAGATGAAATCGTCCTATAGGGTATCTGCGACAGTCCTGGGAAGAGACTGAGACTATCGGTGAGATATATGGCATGGTGAATTCGATTCAGTAATGACCTTGCAGATATATCGGCCAATGCATATAAACCCTCGGTCGAGCTAGAATTGCTGTATTGCGGAAGAGACATCCTGTCCACGACCAGCTCAACGCCACTTCTTGGTTGATGAAATTCGGCAAGAATGTCACTGGGGAGTCCAATTGTCAAACACCAACTTCTGGTTGATACTCTAGTCAAAAAAACGTACCATTCGATTGAGAAGCATGCCCAAGTAACCCTCATAATATCCTCACTGACATCCTTACTCAGGTGTACTGCGCCCCTGGGGAGTCTGTCAGATTTTCACACGAACTGGTGATCTGGGATCACCAAAACGAACATTTGCTGGATGTTGGTCGATGCCATGTATGCGAATCTCCAAGCCACCAGTGGCTGAAGAATGTGACAAAAGTAAAGAGCGCAGAGAACGAGCGCTTGAGAAAGAACAAGGTCCCCCTTGAAAGTCATAGCCCAGCATGGGAGAAGAATCTGAATAGCTGTTTTGATCAGCTGATCTTCTGAATATGCAGTTCGCGTAGGATCGATGGGATCTACTACTACAGCCCCCAAGGCAAAAATGGCCAAGAACAATGCAGACTGCAAATTGTGCTCGAGAGATTGATTCAGTACGTCCTCATACTGCGACGTCAAGGTCTCTCGATCGAAAAGAGGTCGATATGGGTGGACGAGAGTCAAGTACTGTTCAAGATACTGGTCCGTCAAATGGCGCTCGATAACGAGGCTTTGATGGCAAGTTTCTGTGCCTCCCGTAGTAATGTCGTCGAGTGACGCTGGCCGAGGTCTATTCTCCTCCACAAGGAACAGGAACTCTTCAGGAAAGTCACCAACCAAGGCACTCATCTGGGGCAACGTCAATAGACTACTCGTACTTGTCTGGTGCCCGAGTGGTATAGTGAGGGCCGGGACAGAATGGTCTGCATGGCGGAGCGAGTCATCCATAGAATGGGTTTGGAGGGTCGTGGAGCGTAGCGGACTGCCGCCATGTCGACAAGAGTCGTGGGTCCTCGGACCTGACGATGTCTCTGGCACGTCATTCATAAGTGTTGGCGGAGAAGGCTGCGGTGACAAAGCCGGGAGCCAACGTAAAGAATTAATGGCCCCAGAATGTTGTCTCCACACGTCTTCAAAGGAAACAAGCAGAGAAGCTGACGACAATGCTATTCTTTCCCAGGTATGAATATTATCGCCTTTTATTCCTCGACAGTTTTCGTCAAAGCTGGGGCTTCTGAGAGGACGGCGCTGCTAACGTCCCTTGGGTATGATATTGTTAACTTTGTCTTTGCCATCCCGGCATATTTTATCATAGATAAGGCTGGCCGGAGGTGAGTACTACTTTTCCCAAGCCAAGGCGATTCCGTTGACGTCGGATCTAAGTCTCTGCTGCTTTCGACCTTCCCACATATGACCTGGACATTATTGGCCGCAGGATTCTGCTTCTACATTCCCGAATCCAGCAAGGCACATGTCGGCATGATTGCATGCTTTGTCTACGTGTTTACAGTCCTTTACTCGGTTGGTCAGGGTAGGTGCCGTCCCTTCTCGACTGATACTTCCAGTCTATATTGCGAGGAATAAGTTCTAAGAGATGATGATTCTAGGCCCCATTGCGTTCGTGTACTCAGCAGAAGTTTTTCTATTATCACATCGAGAGATCGGCAATAGCTGGGCGGTTTCCGCGACATTCGCGTTGTCGTCGGCTCTATCGCTGACGTTTCCGTTGATGCTGAACAAGTTCAATCCAACAGGCGCCTTTGGTTTCTATGCGTAGGTCAAACCATCCATGATGCCTCTAAAAAGCGAGGATATACTAAACTAAACAGTGTATTCCTTAGTGGTATGAACATGGTTGTATTCGTCTCGATGTTCCTCTTTGTCCCTGACACTAGCGGCTACACTTTGGAAGAACTTGACCACGTTTTTGCCGTGACTTCGAGACAGTTCATCACTTATCAGGTGACGAAGGTATGTTGATTCCAAAATATTGTTAAACAAACTCCAGTTCTAATTTAACGTTAGGTACTACCATGGGCGGTGAGACGATGCCTTTTCAAGCGTAGGGAGTGTCCAGAGCCACTATACCAGCTTGAGCCCAGTAGACAATAGGCTCCGGCTACTGTATGCAAGAGGCGTATCGGTGAAGAGCATCCTGGTACGACACGGCGATAAAAAACCTTGCCAACACTCTGGGCGATCAAGGTCAATTGAACGAGGCTATAGATTTGCTGCACAACACTGTGCAGCGGATGCAGTAGATACATGGCCCAGTGATGGCTGTTTGGAACCCGTTCATCGCCCATTGCTTTGCTCTCGCTGCCTATGTTTCCCCATGATCAGTCTCTTGCCAACTGATCTTTCCATTATTCTTGGGACTGATCAAATCACTCCCGGCATGCCTCTCTTGACACCAGGCTCACCAAGACCAGGCACAATGAGAGGCGCTCTCTTCTCCTGTGCAGTTCTGAAGACAGGGAAGAACTTGGCCATTTTGCCCGTCGGACCGAATGCCTCCTCGATAAGATAGACGGTGGTCCGCCACCAGGCGAGTAGAGCAGCAAGCAGCCAAAAGTACGCTGCCACTTTCATTCCGGTCCCAACGCCGCTACCGTACGCGAAGAGGCAGCATGCAATCGTTGACCCTATGGCGAGGGAAAATAGCAAGGCTGCCAAAATCGCATCACGGGCTGTCGCTGCTACCGCCTGAGACTCTTTATTAGCTTTCCAGGGCTTGCCAACCTCAACGTCCTCGGTTGTACTTACGCCGGCCCACGTCACTGTCGCCAGCGGCACGAACCAAGCCGCCAACTCGGGAAAATGTTCGCGGATGCTATGAGGGGGCAAGGCTCCTGCTGCCTGCAATAGAAAGAAGATTGTCAGCAACGCAGTGTACCCTGCAAAGGGGCGCCGGTAGGCTTACTACAAAAGCATACAACAAGCCCACGCTCATCCATAATGCTCCCCACATGGTGTTGATCACCGTGACGAGCACGTCTCGGGCCTTATAGCCCATCAAGCCCGCTATGAACTGGGATAGCCCGCCCCAGAAAGCGACGAAGGGGAAGAAGATTAGCGGACTATCGGAGTCTCCCCACCACCCGGCGATCCAGGAGGCCACAATGAAAGTCGAGCCTGAGAAGCCCGCCAGTCCCAAGGCCGCAGGGGGCGCAATGGGCTGCAAGAAGATGTCCACATGGGGTCGTTGCTCGATGACGTCGCGAAGCTTGTTCTCGTTATCTTCACGGAGGGCCATTTCGTCCTGGTATCAAGGAGGGTGAGACGGCTGTGCCTGTGGAAGCTGAGCCGTTGCGGTAAGACTTGTATGGTTAGGAAAGCAGAGTACGAAGTTCCTGGGAACGGTCGTTGGGGACAGCGCATTAGGACGTGGTGACGACCTTGATATACCGTCTATGCGCCGGGCCGGTGATGTAGAGGAGCGTGAGTCAAATTTTACATCACTGCGCTGCACTGACCTCAAGGAGTGGCTGACTGTCATCTCCCCACACTCAGAAAACAAGCAAGGAGCCACCATATGCAGTGATGAACCTGAAATGGTTATGCTTGTCATGCAAGTCGTCGTCGTCCTGTACGGGAACGGGATGTCGGGATTGTGATCGACAATGATCACCGCCCGGCCTTATCGGAACCGGCATGCGCAATGAGTTAGTACTCCACCAAGCATTATGGCCACGGCGTTGACTTTCATAATACTATTTGAACAATATCCACAGGCAGTCATGCGTGAAGGCAGCTTCTTCCTAGACTTCTAACTTTACCACGCTATGGCGTATCTTAAGACAACGCTTCTCCGCGGATAAAAATGAGCATTGATCATGGCCAATTCTGAGGACGGAGCGACAAGCCTTCTCCATGCCTCCTACAGCACCGCCTGTACCGTCTGCCACCAGGTACCTTCTTAGCCGACACGGCACGCCGTTGACTTCTGATGCAATACCTTGACGAACCTTGTCCTTCAGCTCCGTGCTGCCCGTTACTCAATGTAGCCTAGATAATCAGATCAACTGCAGGGCCAACGGCGCCTGATCTCGATATTGGGAGAGAGTCCAAGGTTTCTGAGAGGTAGAGGTCCAGATTGAGGATGACCCGGAGCATCCGGCTCTTGTTCTTTTCACACCATTGGAAAAGGCATTCCGGTGCGTTGAGCCGTCATGTGACCTCGTCGCATTGCAAGTCCAGTCGAGAAGAGCAAGAGCTGTGGCCATTCGTGCAGTCAAGATCAAGATGAGAATGATCACCGCTCGTTGATATCCGAGGAGGAGGATTTAGGATTAACCATCTGAAGTGAGTAGGCATCCAGTTCCAGGTCGCGGCCCGAGTTTGAAGAGGACTGCGCCAGTCACGTGTCATAGTCACGTGGGTATCTCGGTAGAGTTGCCTCGTGTGATGTTTATTCTCTATGCTCTCCGTGGGTCATTCTTTTACCAGCTCGCCAGTCACTACAGTCGTGCGGTCTGGCAATTGCTGCCGGATTCTTGGCCTAGTCGCTGAGATTCTCCCTGGCAATTTCTGGCTGTGTTCGGAAATCCTGAAGGTATCCTTGCCTCGACCTCGGTCATGACCATGGCGGAGACGAAATCTCAGGCCGAATCGCTTGTTCCTCAATTCCAACTCGAAAGAGTGCTTAACCAAGGTAGGCGTGTTGACAGCTTGCGGTGACCTTCCGAACCCACGAATGATGGGCGAGGGCAATCTAACGTCAAGCGAATTGTACAGATCAAAATGGCCGCCGAATATCTCTGCTCGGCACAATCTCATCACAACCGGCCATCATGACCCTAGAACGAGCGGCATTCCCAACCGATCCAGCTCTTGTCACGGAACTAATGACTTCGCTTATCAATACGGTCAATCTTGGGGCCAACGATATCTATCGCTGGTATATGGCAAACCGTTCGATTAAGCCTTCAAGTATGACAGCAGGCACTACGACAGGCTCTACGACCCCAACCTCAACCTCCCAAATAGCTGATCTGAAATTAAACCTCATATACCCATGCACGCCGAAGCATATCCAAAAGTACTCCGCGCAGCGCGTCCGCATGGTCACGGAGACACCCGAGATCTATTCGAAACACATCAACCCTTACATTGCCAGCCAGCGTGCGGCTGGCCGACTCGATTGGGTCTTCAATATCCTCGAAGGCCGCACCGAGCAAGAGGACGTCATTGCCCGGTGTGACTGGGGCTCGCATTCCAACTCTGGTTTTCTCCTGCTACCTGACCTCAATTGGGATCGCAAGACAGTGCAAGGCATGCACTTACTGGCACTGGTTCAGCGTCGGGATATTTGGTCACTGCGAGATCTCAAGAAAAAACACGTTCCTTGGCTCAAGGCTGTGCGGGACCAAATCGTGACTGCTGCGACCAAAGTCTTTCCCGGTGAGATCGAAGCCGACGAAGTCAAGTGCTACATTCATTATCAGCCGACGTATTACCATTTCCACATTCACGCCGTGCATGTCATGCTTGAAGCCGGTACCACACAAAGTGTAGGCAAGGCGTTTGGACTCGGCAACATCATTTCGCAACTTGAATGCATGCAGGGCGATGAAGAGACTGGCATGGAAAGTGTCGATTTGATGTATTTCATGGGTGAAGAGAATGAGTTGTGGAAGCGATGTTTCGGAAGATTGAAAATCGGTGATGAGCCCGACTTGAATTGAAGATCGGCTGGTGCAAAAGGAGCCGTCGTGGACGGAAGGAGTTGGCACAGCTGGTCGATAGTGCAGCCATGATCGACGTATAACTCGGCAGAAGAAGAAGTCAATGGAACAAATTCCGGAAACTCAATCGCTGCTCAGCTGGACGTCGGGTCTATCGAAAAAGCGCCAATTTCTTCTGCACCCGAGCAGCGAGTTTCCGTCTAAAGTAATGTGATTGACCTGGAAACCATCCCAGGGATGGCGGACGGAGTTTGCCAGGACTCTGTCAAGAATGAGTGATTGGGAAAATATGTGAGTCTGTAGAATGACGCATACTACTCTCTTCCGGGGATTTCATATATGTGACGCATGCCTTAAATGGAAGTGTGGAAAGTGTATTCGTAGGTGGGTATATATGTGATAATGATGAATCGAAGAAATCCCCTAACGCAGGTCCTAGCCTGGCGTTCTTTGGCGGAAAAGAATCCGATGACCAGCTAATAAGAAAAAAGCATTGCAGCATATCTGAGCCATTTCTTCCCTCGCCATATGATGCATACTGAGCCCCAAAACAATGCCACATTAGGCCGACTCGAGTCTACAAGACCCATTATGCAGACTTCCACATCGGTAACATCGGCTTAACTAGCTCAGTCGACAAGATAGCACACAAATTTTGTACTCTGGCCAATGCGGCCTGTGATGGTGCTCGTGAATGAAACGGGGCTGGTTCCCGTGGAAGGTGTGGACGTCGGTGCGGTGGTGACGGCGGCAGCGACGGCGACGGCGTCGCTCGTCACGGCAACCATAGATGAGAAGGATGCAGGAGCCGAAGGAGTCTCGATTGGTTCGGAGGAGCATTCAGTCTCAGTCTCAGTCTCGGCGGCTGCAACGGCGACGGAGGAAGAGGTCGTAGCGACGGCAGCGCTCGTAGTGGCGGCGTCGGCCGTGGAAGAAGAGATCACCGCGACGTGGTTGTGCTTGGACGGTCTACGGGTGATGGTCACTACGGTGGAGGTGCTGGTGCTGGTGCCGGTGCCGGTACTGGTGGAGAAGGGGGCTGTTGTAGCCGCAATAGATGAGGAGCTGCTTGTGGCGGATGCAGATGCAGAGGTAGAGGCAGAGGCAGAAGCACTGCCCGATGGCTGCGTCGTGCCGGAAGAAGCGCCGTCCCACAGAGCAGGGCCCGGAATGATATAGGAAGAGATCGCGGTGTAGATGTTGATGAAAAGGCCGGGATCCTGGGCATCATACAGCGAGGTTCCCACAGTGCCGCCACTGAGAGAAGTCGTGCCAGACCCGGTGATTTCAAGGTTGATGCACTGAGGATAGTTCTGAGCTCCACCGACGTCGAAAGCTGAGTGCAAGGCGATGGTCTCGTGACGGAGGACGTATTTGCCTGGTGCGATGCCAGACGGGATTGTGACGACCCAGGAGTTGTTGTTGGCGATCATCTGGTCAGATGCCCAGGTGCCCGGTGGGCTGCTGCCGTCAACGAGACCGGCTTCGTCAATCTTGTTGAACTGGAGTTGGGTCTTGTCGACGGTAGTGCAGTCGTCGCCGCAGGAGGCAAGGTAGTCCAGCATAGGGCCATGATGGGACTCGGGCCAGACAGTCCATTGGAGCTCAACAGTGTCTCCAGCAGCAACGGTCACGTAGGCGCCGCCAGGGGTCGCTCCCTTGTGGCAGATGATGTCGGGAGAGGTGTAGTCGCTGACGAAGCCGTTGTCAATGTTTTCAGGGGTCGACCAGCCAGCAACGACTGGAGGTGGGTTCTGGTATTGGAAGCTGGGGCTATAGCCTGAATACCATTTGCCTCCAGCGACGATGCCTTGGACAGTACCGTGGGCAGAGACCTTGGAAATGAGGGCAAGAGCGCCGATCAAGGCAGTGGACTTGATGACGACAGACATTTTTGGAACGGGGGAGGTGATGATCAAGTAAGATATGCTGCGGCAAGCTGATGGAGTCCTTCACAGAAGTAACAGACTGGCTTCAATCAATGAAGACCTTTGGAAACGAATGTGGGCTAAAGAACGAAACGGCCAAGTGACCTGTAAATGAAAGACCTGCTTGATGTGCTTATGAAGGAGATCTGTGCTCTGAAGAAAAGACAGGCTTCGGAGAGGAAAGTCATACCAATATATCTCAAGCACCCCTCGACTTCCCTGACAAGAAAGCAATTTGGCGACAGCCATTGGTGGGTTTCACATTGGAGGATCCTATGGACACAAGCATGATGATTTCAGTCGACAGATAGGAGAGTATGGCGAATGAACAAGACCGTCCATGGGGGTTATAGCCGGGTGTAGCTGGCAGAATCGAAAAAATGGACAAGGATTATAGCACTCGGTCCAGATCGCAAACACTGGATCTCTGCATGCAGATCCGCCAAAGCGCCAAGAAACATTGCCTGAAGGAACTGCGTGGACACATGTGTTTCATGATAACATGGCGGGCAGGGATCGTTGCGCGATTGATACGGTATTCTGGCAGGCTCTCCCTACCAATGAACCCCCGGGAACGGCCCTGGCAGTCATTGTCAAAGCTCGCAAGTCTGCCGCTTCGTAGAGGAGAGGAATGCTCTTTGAGACTCGCTCGTGGTGTCTTGATGCACCTTGACCAGCCAAAAAGAAAAGGTCGATAGAAGTGGAAGCGGTGGTGGAACCCAAATTGACGTCGTCCTGCCAAGAGATGGCAAGTGTTTCAACCCCCTGAATCCGCCCCGCCGCATCGCCTGGCGGACGGTACAGTTCGCCTATTGATGACATCGCTTGCTGTGGTAGAAATTTTCCGAGGGCTACACGTGAGGGTCAACCATGCTCGGCATGCAGAGACCGGGGTAACTGGTGCTATCAGACTGTTTCAGACCGCTGATGGAGAGGATGCCATGGCTTCGGAGGAGGACGCAACCCGTCTCCATCCATACCAGCCGGACGCGTCTTTAAAGGCCACTATGTCGCTGGCCGTCGAATTTTCTCACCCAGGTGCGATGGCTATCATCAAGGACTTTGCCAGGCCAGACTTGCTGCACTGGACTTAGGTCATCGCGGCCGCTCAGTCGTAGTGGTAATTTGCCAGTCAAATGCTCCCGCTGACGTGGGAATCACACCATTATCCTACGAAGTCCACTGGTACCGCCCAGGACTCTTCGGCCTGTGACTGCACAACGACCTTTCCCGCTTTCCCACTTGCCTTCTCGGCTTTGAGTTGCTTTTGTCCTGCCTGGGTCATCTTTCTCATCTCCCGCTCCATCCTCCTCATCGTCCTCCCATTCACTCATCCTCTCTCCTTTCATGAATGCTTCTTGCCTTTCATGCGTCCCCTCAACCCATTGGAAAATACACTTATAATCAAAAACATAGCCGGTCTGACATGCGGCTGCAGTGGAAATAGGATGAAGACAAATTGGACAGAGATCACTCGACGGGGGTGGCGGCACTGTGAAAATGGGGAGATACGTAATGCTTGAGACGGGTGGATTTCGTTTCGCAGCCGTGTTTGCTGTGGTCGAGGTTTGCTCTGGCTTGATCTTCTGAGCCAGACCCATGCCCGATACGACGGGCGGTGGTAGTTCCAATCCTTCTGCAGCTTTCCTGCTCAGTTGGCGCGAAAAATCGCTGGCGTGCCACCATTCCAAGAATTTCAAGGCGAATATGCTGGTCGGTAGAAGAATCCTGAGACTCGAGAGGAGTCGAGGATACAATGTCCTAGGGTTCAGCATGCCGCTGAGGCCTTGCCCTGGTCTTCCCGCAGCATTCGAGGCTTTGGTCGCGGCCTCGGTAGCAGCATCGATTGCGCGGTAATCAGCGGCTCCCATTCTCCTCATCCTGGTCCCGATCATCCAAAGGAATGGACTCGAGAATTTGGTTGCGTCGAATAAATAGCCCAAGCTGAAGGCCAGGACACCGAAATAGTACGCAGCATTGATACTTGGATAGACGTTCCGCAGGAACCATTTGTAGTAGTACATCAGCCGCTGCTTGATTGTCGCGTTTGGTGGTAGCTCGTCTCTGTTCAAGTATCGCGGCCCGCCCGCCATGAGCAAACTTGCTGTTGGCGCAATATGTATATCATAGCTCTCGTCCAGCTTCCTCTTCAAATAGGGTATGCCAACCAGGACGGCCAAGTTCCTCCATATATCTGCGCCACTCAATTTTAATCTTTCGCGGACCTCGTCTGGGACGGCTAATTGTGTCCGCTTGATCTCGCCGCCGTTGATACTGAGGACCTTCTCTCTTTTGAGACCGTAGAAGTTCTCGGTGAAACTGCCACCGAATGTGTTGAGGTAGTACCTCTCCACCACCAGGCTGAGCAGGCCATAGACTTCATCATAGTTATTGAGTATGCGAAGCAGGTAGCGGGGATGTCTATGAGTCGCGACTGCGAGTAGGTAACGTAGTGTGGGAGGAAGAAGTGCTGCAAGCTGTTGTTCAGAGAGGAGTTCGAAGATTGACGGCTTGAGGTCGTCAACGGGTGACTGGAGCGCGCTAAGGTATTCCATGGTCGCAGAATCTCGTTATCGATGCATCGTAAGACTAGAGATGGTTTGACTCATACTGTACAGCATCATTTCCGTCATGCGCTCTGGGGTGGATGGAGTGTATCGACATGACATTGATTTCGACACGATAAGCGGAAGATGCCGAGGTACAGTACCCTTCATCAACCAAAAGCGGCAGCCACCTTCCGAGAGGTGGAGGTCGCCGCTTTTATTGTTGGATGATTGTACGAGTTGACTCCTTAACGGTCGGGAACTACCTTAGGTATTCAGAGTACGGAGTACCTAAATACCAGGTAACTAGATATTATTATTCTTTTCCTTCACCCACGGTGTGAGGTGACGGTGAGCGTGGGGCAGCATCATCATCTTCCAAGGCAGCCTCCGAGCAGAAGGAGAGCCCATTCGAGACTCCTCCGGTCGCCCCTGATGATTCTTCAAGCGGCAAGTTTCCATGTCCGCCCCGAAGATGCCGCTAGCCCTCATAACGCCCACCGTCTATAGGCCGTGACGCCCATGATGCGCCCACAATTCGGGAACACGGCATCTCGTTATGGGCGCAGAAGAGAAACTGTCCTCATATCCAAAAGTCACACAATTTTGGTGATAAATCCCACACAGAGGACAGTGTAAGTTAGCAGCGTCTATTGTCCCCAAGAATCTAGTTCTAACAGTTAAAAAAAGTTGGCCGAGTGGTTAAGGCGACAGACTCGAATTTGCCTTGCTTTTCAAGGCTCTATCGTTATCTGTTGGGTTCGCCCGCACAGGTTCAAATCCTGTAGCTGTCGATTTTTTGCAGATTTTTTGCATGTTTTTAGTTTTGTTTCGCGTCTAAATTGCGCGGAACGAGCAGGAAAACGGTCCAAAAGTATGGCGGCGTTGTGGCATCTGCAGAATGTGGGCTCTAAAGGTGGCCATCGAGGGGCTGAAGTGACAGGGGGCGTCACCTAGGTGGGCGTGAGTGCGGGGGGCATGCCGAGAAATGGCAACAATACGATCTGCAGACGAATCTGGGCCACGCCTAGGCTTAAAGTGAAAGGGATAGAATTGAATGATATTGACCACCAAAGACCCGAATGCGTCCACCCGAATCTCGATAACTAATGTGAATCCACTGACGCCGACCAGCCAGGGAAGACGGGGCAGAATATGTCCAGCTCGAAACCCAGCAAGTTGGATGCATCTCTCAAGGTAGTCTGCCATTTATGTCCAGATTGTGCCAAAGGTGAATAGCGTCCGCCAAAAACTCCGATTGTTGCAACCACAGATTCTGAAGGAGCATGTGATGAAGTGAAGAGGGCTATGTTGCAGTATGCTCTAGACGAGGAAAATAATTGCTTCGAATATCAAATAGCCTCGCCAGAGAGGAAGCCTCACACCAGGTGGACTCCTCCTCTTAGGCGCATGACCTTACTGCAGCTCAAGTCGGTAAGCTGCCACCGATATGTCTCGTAGGCGAGACACTCTATCGGCGCTGGATGGTGCAGAAGTAACCCATGTTGTCCTTAGCACGGGTGCCCTTCTGGACGATGCAGAAATAGCCGTGGCCGAACTTGATGTCCTTGGCGTTGCTGCGGATTTGTAGAGTGGTGCGAGCCATTGTGATTGTGTGAGAGTTGACGTCGAGTCTTGTGATGGAATCGAAAAGAGTGTGTATGAGTCGGGACTTGAATGAGTGTGTTCTGTACTGGGTCAAAACACGAGAACAGGTCAGGCCATATTTATGTTCCTCACGACGACAAAGACCGGCCAACGGCGATGTTAGCATGAGGAAGAGTGTTGCTTTGGGACAAAGAAAGATCGTTGTTGTGACAAGGCTGAATGAAGGGGGAAAGGCTTAATATTGTTCTTGCTTGATATTGTTCCTCCTACACAAAGGTTATCCGATTTGCACACAGAACATAGCATCCAGAAAGAGCACGCAAATAGGATCGAGGGCCATAGTAGGCCAATTAGAGTGCCGGCTGTGCTCCTTAATGCACCTGAGTGAGCAGCGAATCTTTGTGATCAAGGTCGTCAACGCGGGTCTGTGATCATGATTCATCTTTGATATCTGGCTGTCTAAAATCGTGTGAACGGCAACCACTTTCCTCGCAGCTTGATATTGACCTGCACCTGGTTAGCTTAGGGACCATCCCCGTACAATAACACTTACCCATGTGTTGCCATCCTTGTCCACCTCCTTTTCAACATGAGTCGAGAAGGAAATCGCACTCATGATGCCATCCCCGAATTTCTCATTCAAAACGGCCTTGTACGCATAACCATAGTTCTGCACAATCTCATAGAGACGATAGATCAATGGTTCCCTCGGAGGCATCTCAACACTCTTTCCGCGGTCTGGGAATCCCGTCATCTGCGCTTCCAGCGTGGCATGGTCAAGACCAAAGTATTCTGACAGTTTCTTGACATCTTCTGGAGAGGCTTTGGCTTGTCCGTAAAACAAAGCCGCAACTGCAACCTCGTCTCGACCCAGCTCTTTCGCGAGATCTTCAAAAGTCACCTTCTTCTTTGCCTTTGCCTCGAAAAGGGTCTCTGAGGACGAGCGCAGGTTGGGATGTTGCCGTACCTGAGAATGTTAGCTGTCATACGAATTGGTCATTCATGTTACATACGTCAAGAGTTGCTAGAGACATGTTGGAGGCTTGTCTGTTCAATTGCAATGCAGTGAATTTGGATTGTCGGAACGCAGCCTGAGACCTGAAAGTAAGAGCTGTAGTAGTAGTAAGACGTTGCAACGAACGAAGACGAGCAGACATGTCTAGTAGAGGAGCACGGCAATATATATAGCCAACCAACCGTCAGGACCGAGGAGATGTGCACTTCCAGGTTGTCAATAGTTGTATTTCAATCTCTTGGTGGAGGGGGAAAGCAACTCAATGGCCCCGCATGATCGCATCAAAGAGCTTCGGCAATGGGGAGCTCTTGTTGTCATCCGTCATCGTCATGTCTAACGAGATCTGAAAGATAAGGTAGATCAGCCGGGCCAAGCTGATACTCACCTACTATGTACTCGTAGGTGATGCTCGTAATGGGTCAAAGGAGCTCGATGAATTTACAAATTGTTCGGGCCATCGAAATCTCAATGACGAAGACCGTGGGATGGACTGGCGTGGAATGGCTCACTTGCTGCGATTGCTTTTAGAGCTACTCCAGCTTTGCTCCCAGGGAAGCTCCAATATGCTGCGGAGGAGCTAGGGAATCCGCGAGTGATCCTTTACAGGCATCATGCCGGGTTCAGGTGAGGCGCAGCAGCTGAAAAGGCGCCTGTCTAGCCCTTGATTTGGGCCACCAACGCGCGCCGACGGAGTCGGAGTCGACTTACCTTACATGAGGCTTGGCAGGGAACACTGGACAACAACTTCACTGTTATTAAGATTCAGCTGAAACGTCTTACAGGTGATTCGAATACTGTATGACTTGGATTTGGCGTGGTCCAACATGCTTTCTGCCGACTGCAGTCTCTGACTCCCAACATCTTTTTAACATCTTCCATAACAAGCACTAACCCAGTACTACGGACTGCAAGATGGCGTACCAACCTCCGCCGGGAGACGACGGGCTTGCTTACGGAGACGACTATTCTCAGTCTCGAGGGAGTGGTCAAGGCGGTACTGATCGATCAGTCCTCGGAGACACATTCAAGAAGTTCAAATCCGAGTATGACAAGTTCAAGACACCCTCGTCTTCGGGTCAAAATTACGGCTATTCAGACTCAGGCTCTAATCAAGCTTATTACGGTCAGCAAGGTCAAAACACCATTTCTGGATCGTCTCAACCATCATACCATGGTCAACAAGGCCAAACTCAGCAGGGATCTCAGAATCAATACTATAATCCATCAAGTCAAAGCACTGGCCAGCCTGCATATCCCGGTGGACCTCCAACTCAACAAGCCCAAGGGAAGCCAGATATCGCTTCGAAATTGTTCGGTGCTCTACAGAATACCGTCCAGAATATCGGGTCCGATGTTCAGAACCTGATTGATCCCAATCACAGGCCATCCTCTCAGTATTCAAACCGACCTCCAGGACAGACTGGCCCAAGCTATTCCAACATTCCTCACTCACCTGGACAACCTTCCGTCAAGAATCGTTTCGACAGCTTCGCTTCCGAGAAGCCTGGCAATGATGTCAAGTGGTACGTTGATGGTTGCGGATACTTCTGGGCTGTTAGTCAAGCCCTTGAAGCAGCAAAACATTCCATATGGATTCTGGACTGGTGGCTGTCCCCCGAAGTGTACCTACGTCGGCCACCGTCTCAGAATGAGCAATGGAGACTCGATCGGACTTTGCAACGAGCTGCACAACGTGGTGTCAAAGTCCGCATCATCGTGTACAAAGAAGTCACACAAGCCTTGAGTAAGTACCTGAGCCTTTGCCTACCCAGAAATGCCATTTCACGGATTGTCTATCATCTGCATCTTGACCGCGGCAAGCACCTGTCTTCCTAGCAGCCGCCGTTGACATCAAACACAGCTTTGTCCTCCGCACATACCAAGCACGAACTTGAGAAGTTGTCACCAAATATCTCTGTCTTCCGTCACCCGGATCATCTTCCAGACGCCCAAACTACTCAATCATCGTTGATATCCTCATTTCAGGGCCTCAAGCTTGATGCAGCTGGTGTCTCCAAACTTGGTGCAGATGCTCTGAAAGGGATTTACGGTATCACTGACGACGTCATCCTTTACTGGGCCCACCACGAGAAGCTATGCATTATCGACCGTGATGTCGCGTTCATGGGTGGTCTCGACCTCTGCTTCGGGAGGTGGGACACCAATCAGCATGCCATTGCTGATGCGCATCCTTTGAACGTCAATGACACCGTCTTTCCCGGTCAAGACTACAACAATGCCAGGTGAGTCAGCCCGGCTTGACCACTCAGAGTAACAGCAATCAACTCTTGATATATGCTGACGAATCATCCAGGGTTATGGATTTCAGCGATGTTGCGAACCCCTTCCAGAACAAACTCGATCGGACGAAGAGTTCTAGAATGGGCTGGTGAGTAGGAAGAGTGCAGAGCGTCCACTACCGACTGATCCTTTTCAGGTCCGATATTGCCATTTGCCTCCAAGGTTCAAGTGTAGCCGACCTTTGTCACCATTTCGTTGATCGATGGAACTTCGTATTTGATGAAAAATACAATGTTCGCCAAGATCCACGCTACTATCGAATTGCTGATGATTATCCTCATACTGTGTCCGGCCCGGGACAACGACCACAGTCGCAGTCTCAACAGCAGCAACCCCAGAATTACCTTCAGCCACCGGCACCTGGTGCTTCCTTCCCACCACCACCTGGAAGCCAACCGTACAATCCACCAGCGTGGCAAACCACCAGCAGACCACATACGCCGACTGGAGGTACCTACCATACTGAGCCAAGCACAAGCACAGGAGCAAGTCCATTCATGCAACATGCGCCGAATTATTCAGCAAGCACAACCGGAACTTATGGTCAGCTGGCGAACGCGCCTGGTCTCCCTCAGACTCAGGTATCTCCGCATCCTCCTCCTGGTGATTATAGTCAGTACTCTACTCCACCACCACAAGCATCGCAAGGTCAACCACCAGCCACGTATGGTCAGTCTACTGGCGTCACGGGTGTCACTGGTGATTACAGCCAACAACAAAATCCCTACTCGCAACAGAACTTCCCTCCTCCGCCTCCTGGTCCACCGCCACAGTCATCTTCAGGTCCTACCCCAGGTTCTACAGGGTATCAGCCTCCTCACAGCCCAGATTCACACCAAATTTACGCTGCTTACAGTCAAGGACCTACAGAGTTGTCTTCTCAGGCAGCCGCAAGTCCACCTTACCAACATCATAGCTACCCTCAAGCTGGGTCGGAACAAGCCCGCGGTTTCGACGACTATGGATACGAGCAGAATCGAGGATATGGCGACTATGACGGCGCTGAGAATCAGCGTGGGTTCGAAGGTGAGCGAGGCATGCGTGGTAGGATCAACCAATACAAGGATGAAGGCAGGAGATTTGGCCAAGAGCTGTCGTCCATCGGCAACAAAGTGTCAAACGAGTTCGGCGGCAGATTTGGCAAATATATGGGAGGCTCTGATCAATCTGGCCGCCCGTACAATGCACCTCGAGGTCCAATGACCTGTCAAGTGCTTCGAAGCTGTACTACATGGAGCAATGGAACTCCCCTTGAGCATTCCATCCAGAATGCCTATATCGAGGTGATTCGAAATAGTCAACATTTTGTCTACATCGAGAACCAGTTCTTCATTACAGCTACCGGAGACAAACAAAGTCCTGTCAAGAATTTGATTGGCCAAGCTCTTGTTGAACGAATCCTACGGGCTGCCCGGAACGGAGAGAAATACAAAGTCATTGTGGTCATCCCAGCGGTGCCAGCTTTTGCCGGCGATCTTCGGGATGATGCTTCCTTGGGGACCCGTGCTATCATGGAGTTCCAGTATCACAGCATCAACCGTGGCGGGCAATCTATCATGGAGAAAATTGCTGAGGCCGGCTTCAACCCAATGAATTACATTCGGTTCTACAATTTGAGGAACTACGACCGGATCAACTGCAATAATGCCATGAGGAAGGCAGAGCAAGCGAGTGGTGTGAGCTATGAAGAAGCACGTAAGCAACATGGCGATATTGTTGGAGCTGGATACGGCTCCTCTGGATATGGCACAGGTGCGAACCAGGCTTCACAAGCACCACAATATCAGCGCTACCAGACAGCTGCGCAGGGTATTCAGTCTCCTGACGGACGTTGGGATACAGTATCTGAGTGTTATATGCTTGGTGGCCAGGACATCCGCACCGTGCCATGGGATGGACCACCTGGAGACGAATTGGATGCTTTCGTTAGCGAGGAGCTCTACATCCACTCGAAGGTAAGTAGGAGTCTGTTCCAGTTGTCGTTTCTGACCGGCCACAGTGTCTCATTGCAGACGACCGCATCGTGATCTGTGGTTCTGCAAATCTGAATGATCGAAGTCAACTCGGCTCTCACGATAGTGAGATTGCGCTCTTGATCAATGACCCTACGCCTGTGCAAACCTACATGGCAGGCCGACCCTACACGGCCAGCCGATTCGCAGCGTCCCTGAGACGACAGCTGTTCCGCAAACATCTCGGTCTGGTGCGACCTCAGAACCCGCAGAGGCCTGATCCCAACTATGATCCCATTGGAGTACCTAACTTGCACGATTGGGACAGTCCTGAAGACAGCATTGTCTCCGATCCTTTGAGTGATGTCTTTCAAAGCCTGTGGAACAGTCGAGCACGAACCAACACCGAGGTTTTCCGAAAGGCCTTCAGAGCAGTGCCGGATGATTATGTCAATACTTGGGCAGAATATAAGGAATTCTATGAGTATTACTACCGAAATGCTGATGAGAAGGGTGAAGGTAAGTCAGGCCGTGCTGGACCTCCCCGCGTTGAGTATGGTCATGTGGTTCGAGCGGACTTTCCTGGCGGGGTTCATGAATTGAAGGAATTGCTCAGCCAAGTCAAAGGTACTTTGGTGGAGATGCCATTGTGCTTCCTGCAGAGTAAGTGAGACTTCTAAATCTCTTGGAACGCAACTAACCCGACTGCAGACGAAGATATTGCTAAAGAAGGGCTGACCTTAAATGTTCTGACTGAGGAGATCTACACTTGAAGTGACAAGTATGGTGGCAACGGGCTTTGAGGACATGACGACTGTATGACAATCATGATGAGTGAACAATGGATAAGAAAACAGCCATATTTAACAAGGCTTTTCAACGATATTCACTTACCTTTGACTCTTCGTGATGTTGTAAAATGTGCGTTTTGTAGGGCGAGAAAGGGGCTGCCACCTTGAGTTTGTATGCTTGACCGGATATTTACTACGGTCGGTCACTAAATTGTCTATTCAGTCACTTCATCCTTCAAGATTCATCTCAACCACTTTTCTATAGACACTATTTCCTCGTGAGAAGGTCATCACATAATTCACACATTCTGAAGTTACGCGTGATAAGTCGCAAGAGGCTCCATGTCGTTGCTACCCTGAAGGGGGCGTTTTCTGGTTTGCCCGCGCAGGTCCTCAAACCGGACTTTTGAGATTTACCCTTCCTTCACTTTCCGCATCACATCAATCTGATTCATGCTTTCTTTGCAACCCCCACCTGTCTTCAACTTGAGCTTCTCGGTTTGTGACTTAAAAACTACTCTCCTCCTTCTAATTTTTCTCTACTACAATACTCGGAAGGATCGCTCTTCACGCTGTCAAGATGAAGGTCAAGTGTACCTACGAGGACTGCTTCAAGCACTTCAGTACCCAGCGTGCTATGATCACACACAAGGAGAAAGATCCCGATCACAGCTATTGCAAACTCTGTGATGTCGACTGCGAAGATGACATGCATCTGTTCATCCACCAACTTGGAACACCAGCGCACAGTAGGATATCTGGCCCCCAGCTTGAACGCTCGATGCTAACCCTGAGCCAGTCTGCTGCCCCGTCTGTGCTCAAGAGGTAACTACCCTCACAACCCAGAATCAACCATTTGCCTAACCAGACCAGTTCAAAAGCACCGCAGGCAGAGATCGGCATGTCGAACAGGGAAGTCTCCCAAGATCCGCTCAACGTACACCAAGCTTACAAGTTGTAGAATCACCGGGCAGGTCAAAAATTGTCCTGCGCCGGCTGCAATGGCAAATTCTACTCGGCCGCAACCCTGATGTCACACATTGAGAATGATGAATGCAACGTCATCAGACTCACCGACTTCCAGATGCAACGGGCTGAGAAACAAATCGCAAAGGATTCCTGGGTAAAAGAGACGGATCCTTATAGCATCAAATCCCCGTCCGAGGAACGTACGACCGTCACTGTTAGTAGCAGGAATCTTATGGACGACGGTCCTGGACGTGGACGATCCCTCAGCAACGCTCTCGGCGGGCCCATCTCGACTGTCTCTCACGAACAATTCCCACCTCTCGGCGCCAAAGCTGCTGCCAATCCCAACGTCGAGACAAAGTCACAAGTCAGTACAAGCAATCTGATCAATTTCGACGACCCTGTTAAGGATATGGCTCGTCTGAACATATCCCAGCCACCGATGCAAGCAAGACCGCGAAACGTGTGGAACGCACGAAATGAAGCAGTGCCAGATGAATCTGAAAATGCAGCTGGAGTACGAGGCTGGCTCAACTCGGTCAACAGCACGACCAACCCGCCATCCGACAATCACAGTGAGGTTGCTTCATTGTACAACCGCAAAGCCCCGGAGTCCGTATTGTCAGAGAACTTCATCCCTCCCAGCGTCCGCGCTGCCGATCCCAATCCAGCTGCCAACTTCAAGCGGCTCATCACAATGCCTGCGCACAGCATTGTCTCCAGCACCAACAGACTCGAATTCGAGCGCTTCTGGGACTCGCTGCGCCAGGAGTACGTGTGCCCTGGAGAGAAGTGTCATCGGGGGTTTAAGACTCAATTGGACTTCCAGAAACATCTGTTGTCGTCGGCGCATGTGGGTGGCCAGGTGACTTGTCCGAGTTGTCTGAAGAAGTTTGCAACGACCACTGCGTGGGTGGCGCATTGCGAGAGTGCGAGCAAGAAGTGTGACATCCGGAATAGTGCTGATTTCAACAATGTCATGAGGGAGGTTACTGGTGGCGTCCTGGGCACGAGCGGCTTCCTGGACGATGGCACGGTCAAATATGTCGCGCCGGAGATTCAGGAGTGGTGAGTCGCAAGCCATGGGGAGAGGGGGGATCAAGGACAGAAGTGGGAAGGTATGTTCTCTGCGGAGCTGAGTGGTGGTGGTGGTGAGAACAATGCTAATACTCGATCAGGTCTTCTTCGCAGGCAGGGTTTGGTTCATTGTGCCAGTCGTCCTGTCGCTGAGGATGGGTAAGCCATGAATGAGCGATGGACCCGAATGGCCGCGGTGGGTGATCTCTTTTCGCTCTGCAATCAATACCTTGAACGTCAATTCACCGGACGTACGTTGGAGAGCAGGCATGTGCTCAGTGATCTCCTCGGTACCAAGCACCGGATCCTACGCAAATCCGTGAGGAGTACCAGGTCCCTGGCACCCATCGCTGAAGGTGGCCTACCGGTACCCGAATCCTTGATCTATCTCGTTTCCAAATCTTTATGCAAACAACAAAAACAAACAACAAACAATTCCAGTCTGACTGGTGTCGTCTAAGGACGGACAACAGGCTGGTATTCCACTCCGAAAGGCTCCCGTTTGGCCGACAATATGTGATGAGTATGAATTTAACGACGAGCATTCCCTTTTGCTGGAGACGACAGCTGAACAAGCGAAGAAGAAGCTGCGACGTCTCGACGGCACGACGTGTTTAGAGAAGCTTTCTTTCAGAACTCGAGATCAAAAGTGCTAGCGAAACAGAGATACCATAGTGAAAATGAGATATGATTTATTTTGACAAACAGGCTCGGCTCGTCAATATACCAGGTATACATCGCTGAATCCATCCGACGAGCGGCTCTGCTCCTGATCTTCTATCCAAGTTGTTGACTGAAAGCCTTCACGTATAGTAATTTTGTACTTCAAGTTCGCGTTGATATGCAAACACCGCTGTCGCTCACTTCAGCTCGCCTATGCTTTACAATCTACTAACAAACCCGTCCCTCCCCACGCGACACAGGTACTCTTTACTTATCCCCTTCACACTTGTCACACCCGCAAGGCCCATACAAAGTCGCACTTCATCCATGAGCAGCCTCAGGCAGAGTTCAACGCCCGCCTGGCCCTTGTACGCTAAACCCCACAGCACAGGTCTGCCGATCCAGCAGAAATCCGCGCCCAGTGCAAGCGCCTTGAAAATATCCGTGCCATGCCGTATCCCGCCATCCACGTGCACGGGGACCTGCCCGTTGACTGCGGCGACGACTTCTGGGAGTGCGTCGAGCGTGGCCAGGGCGCCGTTGAGTTGGCGTCCGCCGTGGTTTGACACGATGATGCCGTGCACGCCGTGGTGGACGGCTAATAGCGCGTCTTCGGCGGTCGCGATGCCTTTGACCCAGACTTCCATCGGCGCGCAGACGGACTTGAGCCATGGGATGGACTCTTCCCACGAAAGCGTCGGGTTGGCGGCATGCGTGTGGAATGTGATGGGTCCAGTGGGCGGCCGTCGCCGTTGGCCGTCGTGGTAGCCTGCTGCGCTCTCGGATTTGGGTTTTAATTTTGACTTTGTGTTGGGCTGTGCGCGTGACGGTGATGGTGAGGAGGTGTTGGGTGCGTCGGTGTTGTCTGTGGACAGGGAGGACGAGGACGAACTGGCGTTGGTGCTGGAATTGTCCAGGGCGGTCTGAATGTCGTCCTCGTCCTGCTGGGTGAAATTCGCAATGGACAAATGTGCGGGCAGTTTGAACTGGTTGCGTATCTCGAGGTTGCGCCGGCCGAGCATGGGCGTGTCCACGGTCAACAGAACGGCCTTGTAGCCGGCCTTTTTGGCGCGGTGGATCAGTTTGAGGCTGTGTGCGCGCTCCTCGAAGAGGTAGAGTTGCAACACATTGGGGTTGTCGCCGCTGGCCTCGGCGACGTCTTCGAGCGTGCTGGTGCTGAAGGAGGACAGGCCCATGACTATGCCCTTGGATCTGCAGGCGCGAGCGGTTGCAATTTCACCGTCCGAATGCGCAAGGCGTTGCATGGCAGTTGGGGCGACGCCGAAGGGGGCGCTGTTCGTGTGGCCGAAGACACGGACCGTGGTGTCGATTTGGGATATGTCGCGCAGCACGCGGGGACGGATGCGGTATTTCGAATAGGCGGACACGTTCTCGGCGAGGGTTGTGCCGGTGTCAGCTCCCTCGTTGTAATAGTCGCGTGTTTGTTTGTCCATGCGTTCGTAGGCGAGGCGCTCGAGTTCGGCGATTGTGAGGCAGTTGAGGTCGTGTGGGCTTGGTTGTTGTGAGGACGAAGGGGCTTTAGATTCAGATTTGGAAGACATGGTGGATGCCGTGGAGGAAGGAGTGGTGGATGGGAGGGCTCGGTTGTGTATTGACCGTGTCTCGTATACGTGCTTTCCCACAAAGGAGAAGCTGCTTCAAGAAAGGTGAAGCTGGCACCGCGAAGAAAAAAAGACATCGACGTAGAGGGCTGACTTACATTGCAAAGGTGATGGCCGCACAAAAGGGAAGCTTGTCGATCTCCTCACGGCCATGACGCCGCGGAATTCGAGGTGCATCTTAGCTAACAGAGAGCTTGACGATCATCTGCGTCGAGGACGATGGGCAATGACGTCTCGATGGCAGATGGAGGATGGAGGATGGAGGATGGAGATGGAGGTGTTTACTGGTGTTGTTGATTCGTGGGGAAAGTGAGCCTGGTGCGCCTGCAATGCCTGCGCCTGCAGCTTCGAGTTGGAGAATAAGAGAGCCTCGCAAAGTAAACACCTTCACTTGCTCAATGTCTTGATTACGCGCCGAAGCACGCAATGAACCTCTCAATATCGACCTTCCGGGACATCCTCACAAATTCAAAGCACACAAGATGGATTGCCCCATTGATGGTGCTCGGCGAGGCGGCGTTGTGCGCTTTAATCATCTGGAGAATTCCATGTTCGTCGCCGCGCAGACACGTTTCCATACCGGCTACTGACATCTAAACACAGACACAGAAATTGACTATACCACCTACATGGCTCAAGTACGCATGTATCTAGATGGCGAACGACGTTATGACAAGATCACCGGACCAACTGGGCCCCTAGTCTATCCAGCCCTCCACGTGTACATCTATACAGCCCTATACTTCCTAACCGATGAGGGCACCAACATCCTCCGGGCGCAGATTATCTTCGCCGGTCTCTATCTGATTGCCCTTGCCGTCGTGCTCGCATGTTACAGACGTGTTGGAGCCCCGCCTTGGCTCCTGGTGCCGTTGGCTTTGAGTAAGAGGATGCATTCTATATTCTTATTGAGGCTGTTCAATGATTGTTGGGCGACACTATCACTGTGGACGGCCATATACTTGCTACAGCGAAGAAAGTGGACAGCAGGAGCTATGGTCTGGGCGTTTGGTCTGGGCATCAAGATGACCATTCTCTTAGCTGCGCCTGCTATCGGAATCATCCTCTTACAAGCCCAAGGGACGAAGAGGGCCGTGATCTGTGGTTGTTTCGTCCTGCTGGTCCATGTGAACCTGGCCATCCCCTTCATCACCGGTGGCGCTGGTCTTCAATATCTCCAGCGAGCGTTCGATCTTGGGAGACAATTCCTCTTCAAGTGGACAGTCAACTGGAGGTTTGTGGGTGAAGAAGCCTTCTTGTCTCCTCAGTTCGCCATCAGTCTTCTGATCATCCATGTCTCTCTGCTCTTGCTGTTCTTGCAGACCAAATGGACAAAACCAAGTGCTTCAAACCCGGTTGAGTTTTTCAGAGAATATGTTTGGTTCTCGGGAGAAAGTGAGCCAATCCTAGCGTCAAGGAAGATTGCTCCGACTTTCGTCATGGACGCCGTCCTCGGAAGTATGGTCATTGGCATGTTGTGTGCTCGGAGTCTGCACTACCAGTTTTTCGCGTATCTGGGATGGGCCACTCCATATCTTTTGTGGAGGGCGGGAGGAGGGCCTTTCTGGGTCTTCGTCAACTGGGCGATTCAAGAGTATTGCTGGCTTGTGTATCCCAGCACTGACCTAAGTTCGGCATTGGTGGTGATTGAAATGGCAATCCAGGTGATGTGCGCCCTTGTTGCTCCGCCGGTGGATCACATAAGCCGGCCTGCGAAGCTGCAAGGCAAGACGAGATGAGCGTGAAGTATTGTCCAGACATGTGTATCTCAGCCTTCCTCTTCTTCACTGTCCGATGGTGGCATCTTTCCGACCAATGACTCCTCTTCGTCGCTGTCTACCGGGTCTGGCTTCTTGACAAACTGCGGGGGCCAGTATGGTTGTTTCCGCCATGTTCTCTCGTCTCGGACGATATTCACGATCTCTCCTTGAATCTTGTTCTCTCGGCCAGTAGCGGAGGAATCAACGAGGACATATCCGCCCCTTTTTACAAAGATGGTGCCACGAAACTTCGCCTCGAGTTCGACCAGGAGATTCGTGCCATCTGGAGTCTGCACCGAGTAGAGGTCTTTGCCTTGGGCTTTCACGATGCGGGCAAGGGTCTGGCCGGCAGACAATGAGTCAGGAGGAGTCAGGGTCTCTTCGGCGGTATTGCGGATCTTACGGCGAGACATGGTGCATCAAGATCATCCACGTTGAGGTCTTCTAACCTTCTGTGCAACGGCCAAGTGATACACAAAAATTTGGCGCAGTTTCTAGTCCAACCTGGGACGCTGGCCGCGTTCCCAGAATGGCAAGCTAGCCGCACCGCCTTTTGACGATCGACTGACAATCCTCGAGTGAGTGCTCAAGGGCTTCACGCACAGTCCTATCTCATGCAGCAATCTGCTTTCTGTTCTGGATGATATGGCTAAATTGCTTCGAGTCAAAAGCAGTGGAGCATGCCATGAATGTGACGACAAAGATATAACCGTGTTCCTTTGACCTTTTACGGCCTCCTGCTTCTCTCTCTCTTTTATTCGATCCGTCAATGCTGCTTGTCATGTAGACGTCCAAAATGTCCACCCCAGCAGTCATCCCTTTTGGCGTCTTTGTCACCCACGAGAGCGATGCTTCACCTGCTGTTCGTGGGCCTGCCCCTGTCGTTCATCGAGATTTCATCACAAGTTCCTCGCCCACCGAACACGAATTGAATCAACTGCAATGGGGCCACCGTTTGAATGGGCCAGGCAAGGAACCGCGTCGCTCTATGTCGCCTGTCGGTCAGTCGATACCCCCAACGCCTGGTGAACTGGAGCAAAGTCAACCTCCCACACCAAGAGGAGCTCATGCTGTTGACGCACTTGTCCAATCATTCTCAAATCCACCCAGGAACCGCTGGAGAATAGCATCTGCTACCGTCTTTTTCTTATTGATGGGTATGAATGATGCTGCCACTGGTGCTTTGATTCCCTATCTCGAAAAGGAATATGACATTGGCTATGCCGTGGTCTCCCTGATTTTCGTCACCAATGCCGTGGGCTGGATTGTTATGGCTCCCCTATCCCAAGTGATCGAGGCGCGTGCTGGTCGATCGCGCTCGTTGATCATTGCATGCTCCCTGATGACTATCGGCTATACGGCGCTCGTGTGTGCTCCACCGTTCCCTGTCGTGGTTCTCAGCTTCTTTCTTCTTGGTCTGGGCATGGCCCTGTATCTGGGCATGACCAATGCCTTCATCGTCAATCTGATGAATGGTACAGTCCTTCTGGGTCTGTGCCATGGCATATACGGAGTGAGTCCAGCCCTTGATCTTCAAAGGTTCAATTTCCTAATGGCATTCAGCTTGGTGGTATTATATCTCCCCTAATTGCCACTGCGATGGTCTCAAGAGGCGTCCGTTGGTCCTATTATTACTTCATCAATCTTGCCATATCATTATTTTCGACATTCTTTCTGGGCTGGGCCTACAAAGGCTTCGAAAACGATGCTGCCCAACAACTCCTCACCGATCTTGAACTCACCGCTTCACGTCAAGCCTCCGCTCCCGGAGAGCCAACAAAAACGCAGCTGCTCAGACGTGCACTGAAGACCCGGACGACTCTTCTGGGTGCCGCCTTTATCTTGTAAGTTCTTATGACTTTGGCCCTTCATACAGCACTAATATTAGACTTGCAGCTTTTATCAAGGGGCCGAAGTCGCTATCAGTGGGTGGGTGATCTCGTATTTGATCCACTATCGAAAGGGTGATCCTTCTCATGTCGGTAATGTCACTTCTGGGTTCTGGGGTGGCATCACCGTAGGAAGATTTGTCCTCACTCACTTTGCTCACAAAATGGGGGAGAAACTGGCAGTTGTTCTTCTGGTAATCGGAGCTGCTGTATTTCAACTTCTGGTCTGGCTGGTTCCCAATATCATAGGGAATGCTGTTGCCGAGGCCATTGTCGGCTTGTTCCTTGGACCGGTCTACCCATGCGCTACCGGTGTCTTTTCCAAGTTGTTACCGAGAAGCATTCAGATTGTCAGTCTCAGTGTGACCTCATCCATGGGATCGTCTGGAGGTGCGGCAGTACCTCTCATTACTGGGTTGATGGCACAATCCTTGAGCACGGTTGTCCTTCATCCGATCGTTCTGATTTCATTTGCTGCCATGATTGCTACTTGGTTATCGTTGCCTCGGATTGGCAAGCGAGCGGAGTGAGCAGTGATCAGCAGTTTATGCCTTTGGCAGGGAATGGTTCTTCAATACTACCTCACATGTGCCAAGACACAGGACATCCATCAATGTTCAAACAGCATGTGCTCCTTCTGCAATCTCAACCGAGGCTCCTTGTTGGAGTGAGGAGGCTTCCTCACAACGACCAGCAACCCAGTGATGGTGATGGCACCCTCCCCTTACGCCATCAGGTGTATAAAACTTGGAGCGCCACGTACTTCACTACATTCACTGCAACCTCACATTGCCGAAGTTTCGTCGCAGCCTCTCTGTCAGATCAAGATTCAGTGATACAGTCCACGCCTGCTGTGCAACATCACCTGTTGGTGAACCTCGTCGTACCAGCCATTCCGTGATCCGATATCATGGATCCTCGTGATGATGGGTCGCGACGTTCTCGTGGCGTTCCCAACCGCATGCTTCAGTGGGCCGGACATAAGGTCAACAAGTGGTTGGAGTCTGACAGCGATCAATCCTCATCTTCAAGACCGAGTCACCACCAAACCGCCCATCAACCTGCAGAATGGCATGGTCGAATCCCGATTTCACCTCCAGAGTCCGATCATCTCCGCTTGCTCTTCAAGGTGCGTGATGTCTTCTTGAGAGCTTTCTATTGTTCGAACAATGCGTCGGCATGTACAGGCTACTGCCGGCTATTCTGCGTCGCCCTTCAACACTTATTATTGTTCCCCTGATTGTCACGATGAACGTCAATCAACATCAATCACTCTCAACTATTGATTGTCGTGTACTCCCTTTCACGCCAGCCATGCAAGATCATCCTAATTCTACTCCTCTGCTCATCGTCTTTCCCTTGACCCAAGACATATTTCACCATGCTCCCATCTTCATGGCATCTCGAACCATTTATTCCAACACTCCATCATGCATAGTCATATACCATTTATTGGCATCTTCCTGTTTTCCTATCTAACTTACCTTCTTCAGGCGTCGCCTCTGCCATGTTCCAGCGCCAACGCCGAAACCAACACGACTTCTCACGCGGTCCTCGCTCCCGTAGATTCAACCTCCTGCTCCCCATACCCGCCGGCCATCAACATCGTCTGCGTCGACTTCCTAGGCGAGGTCCACAGCGCAACAACCTACGTCAAACGCGACCTCGGCTTCCAAGGTCAACTGGGGTCTTACATCCTCCTCTCGTACGGAGACACCCTCTACACCGACGCAAATTACTCCGACACCTGGCGCGGCATGACATCCGACAGCATCGCACTCGCCACACACGACCCGCTCGTCGTCGTCGACCCCGTGCTCAATGAGCAGGGCTACCCGCCACAATTCTGTCCACTGATATCCAACTATGGCGAAGATCCCGCCGACTGTGCGCTAGGGATTACAAACGTCGTCCAGACCGGCGGTAGCGGCAGTGGCGGTAGCAGCGCAAATGAAAACGAGGGCGTCATGTTCTTCCTGCTCAATCACCGGCCGAACGGGACGAACAACCTCGTCGGCGCCGGCGTGGCAAGCGTCAGCCTCGACATGAGCAGTTACCCTCCGGTGGCCAAGGTGAGGCGGCTGGCGAAGTACTGGTGGGACGCGACCCTTGAGCCGTGGTACGGCGACATATGCGCCCTCCGGCACGACGGGTACGTGTACGCGTACGGGCACGGCGGCCACGCCAGCGAGAATCCGTGGGTGTACCTGGCGCGTGCGAGACTGCACGAGACGACCGTCTTGGGAGGGTATGAATACTGGAACGGCGACGGGTGGCAATCGGAGCGGCTGATGACAAAACAGTTGGGCGAGAAGGAGAGTGTCTTTTGGCAGGTCAATCAGGGCCAGGTCGTGTGGAGTGCCTGGTTGGGATGCTTTGTCTTTGTCTATTGCGACAACTGGATGAACAGCAAAGTGCTCATGAAGACCGCCCAAAAGCCCGAGGGTCCCTGGTCCGAGCAGCCCATCGAAGTGTATCAGGCCACGCCCCTGACAGAAGGTGGCGCGATCTATGCGGCGGTTCCGCATGATTATTACGACAAGACGGGGCGCACCTTGGTCGTCACGTTTACGAACCATCCGAATCGCGTACAGGCCGTCAAGGTTACGTTTGGGTGAGAACATGGACATGTGTGAGACTGAGAACAAGGGGGGCAGAAGAGGGGGGCGTGCCATGTAGTGTCGTGGAACGGTGTGTTGATCTATCAAAGGCGGTTTCGATTCGAGGGATTGCGAGTTACTAGTAACTTCGACGACTTTGGGGATGGAGAAGAGGATGGGCTTGGGCTTGGGCTGGGCTTGTGGATGTCTGAAAGGAGATACTATGTAGAGAACCAGGAAAGCGGAGGGACTTGTAATCTGTACAGGACCTGGCAACGGCGAGGAGCGGGAAAGCGAAAGAGGCTGATCTGAGCACTGAGCACTTGTCGCAACTCCAGCGTGAAAAATAAATCCCGTTCGTTGCTCATTCTCGGACTTGACAGGAGATTGGGGTATCGGAACCAATCATAATGGCATAGAATATACTGCCAGAGTTATCGATCCGGTACAAGCAGTACGAGTAAGGAGGCGCGACATCAGACAAGCCCTAACGATCGATCATGCTGGGAGTAGGGATACCCCGTACCCTGGGATTGTGCAGCATGGGCGATGACACACAGGCGGGACCAATTTTTCCGGCGAACAGTGTTGGGGCGGACTGTGGAGTTTACCATGTCCCCGAGGTATCCAAGGTTGGCTGGCTACTGATACTACCGTGTGTGCTGGGCTGGTCCATAGAGCTTCAGGGCTAGGTGGGAACAAGACCCCTGACTCTTTCGCTTGCCATCGTTAAGAACCTCTTTCATGGACGTCATATGTGGTCTAGTTTCGGACGGCATTCTGTTCATCGGTGCCCCCTTTTGCCCATGGACCCGCTTGCGCCGATGGAATCGTTGAGGAAGTAGTGTTGAATGCCGTCCTTTGAGGAAGTCGATATACTCTCGGACAGAGACCGCGAGGATTGATGACCGTCAATTCCGGTTCCGATTCCCACTGAGGACGAACGGCACGACATGGGCGATCTGAGGAAGCCGGTGAAAATATCATTGACCGACTGCACTTCTAGACGGACGCCACCGTCGAACGGACGAAGGAGATATTCGGCGCTTGCAGAGATGAGCCCGCGAAGACTCTCGGTCTCGCCGTGCGGAATACCGACGGTATGGGCATGGGTGTGGGTGTTTGTTGCCGAACTTCTTGACCGGTACAGTAACACAAGCCGCTCATAAAGAGGAGTGAGGTTCTTCAGGTCCTGGTCAGCGGCGTGGTCGTACGGCCGGCAGGATTCCAGGATGCCCATGCACATTTTCGCCGCCTCGAGGTCTTGGTCGATTGTGTCCGAAATGAGTGGAACTCAGAAGCCGGCAGGCGGCAAAGTAGAGCAGAACGTTACACTTGCAATACGAGGTGTTGATGAACATCCAGCATTTGCGCAGGATCAGATGGTTGGAATGGGCGATCCGCAGGATGCGGCCGACTTGTCGTGCTGACCAGACACAGGGCTCAAGTGAATCGTGCACTTTGTCGAACACGTCGGGTTGGTTGTTGCGGAGCCCGACGTCGGCCAGTTCCACCATGGCTCGTCGGTACAGGAGGATCAAAGTGTGCATGTAGAGCAGGTGTACTAGGAAAACAGCTCAGAGAGAATTGTCCGTGCTGTCTTTGAGGAGGGATGCTGGCTGCATGAATTCGGGCAAGTTCACAAGCCAGGCTTCAAGTTTGCCGCGGTACATTTTCAGCGTCCCTGCCGTGACGAGTCTGGCGTGGTAGACGTCTTGTAATATCAGACCTGTCAGAATGGCCAGTTTGACCATCTGGTTCTGGACAATGTCTACTGTCGTGCCTTGGTGGGAGTCGAAGAGGACGGCGTGGGACTGGTCCAGCAAGATCGACTCTGGGAGATGGCCAGTCGTGGCGGAGACCCAGCAGTTCATAAACACCAAACTGTTGACCGTTCTTCTCCAGCATGGAGATTCTGCTTCCCCCGACAAATGGTTCAGGCGGTGGACTCGTGCAATCCGGAGACCCATCTCGGCATAGGCTAAGGCTGCATTTCGTTTCTCAAAAGTGAAATACATGCACAGCAGCGCCATCACACGCATACCACAGAGAGGAGCTGCTTCGAGACAGTCATCGAGCGTAACTCGCACTATTGCCAAAAATGCTTTGCGAGTGTCTTCGTCAAAATGCTCCGGATAATATTGGCAACCGGTAGCAGCTGTCGCACTCAGCTGACAAAGAGCAATTCGGGAAAGAACGCACTCGGTCGGTGAGTATGCCTGATCAAACAGAGTCTGGAGTTCGTCTTCGGAAAAGTAGTTGAATAGAATTGCTGATCCGTCCAGGAAGTATCGCGCGGCTCGTTCAAGGAGCTCACGCGGCGGCTTAAGCAGGCTATCGAGCATTCTAGCATGCGACGAAGTCCAGTCCTGCTCGTGACTCGCATGCGAGATAGTGCCAGGAGCTTCTCGGGACGCATCACGAACAGTATCTGCGTTCTTCGGCTGAGAAGACTTCTGCGTCGGTGCCGAGGCAGGGGTCAGAGTAGAATTTGCGACCGATGCAATTGTCGGTAATGTGGTGCAAGGGGAGATTTCTTGCTCGTCACTCGCTTGAGATATGCGTATCCCGTCGGGTGGTGGCCGCGCGCTATTCGGACCAGCCACGGAAGCGTCAGGAGAAGAATGCAGGGATTCCTCGGCAAAAGCGCCTCACATTGGGTTGCGGAGAGCAGACTCTCATAGTGAGCAACCTTGACAGTCAGGTCTGCAATCAGTCTGCAGCACAATATTAGTTATCTCCGTGTTTGGAGGTGGTTCTTGAGACTTGCTGTTTGGTACGAGCATTCTTGGCCAAGCCAGATCGACAATGCAGTGACAAGGACGAACATCGATTGCATACTGGCTTCGTTCCATTACATCGAGCCTTTTTGGCGCGACATGGTTCGCACGCCTGGAACACCCGCAATCGGTTTTGTAGAGCCGTCTACCTGGGAATTGCAGACTTGGGGGCAAGCTTCCTCTTCCGATACACTGGGGCATTGGTTTCTTCAGTTGCCTGCTTTGCAGTCATCATGCTGCGACTGCGCAGATCCACTCACGATCAGTCACACTTGAAAGACCCATCATAGGTAGGCGAGGAAGAGCCAAAGGAGAAAATAGGACGTCGCCACAGGAAGGCCTGGCAAGACGGAAATTATGTCTGGGGGTTTCGCCACAACTGTATCGCGAACCACCCGATTGGCAATCGGTCCAGCAGCAGTTTCTCCGGGTACGAGAAAGCTGCAGATCTTCAGTGACATGCGCAAAATGAGATGCAGCCCAAATTTGAGGAAGCCAATTATTGCTCGCTGGTTGTCAAATTCGAGGCGGGAACCGATGGAAACTTCCGCTAGACGCGCAGGGGGGGTTTTGATCTTGGTTGACGGGTCGAATCAAAAGCGAAGCACATCCGGTGCAGGGACATGAGACTCACGGACGAATAACCGCGGCAAAGAACCACCGGCAAGCCTCGTCTTCATAGGTACCTAGGTAGGTGTCTCGACCCTGTAAGACTTTGCACGGAGAAGCAGTAAAAGGAGCATGATGGGATCTATTTTCATGCCGGATGGCTCGATGGCGACTCGACTCGTACCAAAGCTATCTTCTCGGTATTGTCCACAGGCATGTCATGAACAGCAAACCTGGTCTGACCGCTTTCACTTGTCGCCTTCCCAGACAAATTCTTGAGCGACGGTGGGAGGAATCAAGGGACGCAGCGCCATCCCATAGTCTCCCGCGTTCGGCGTCCGCAACAATGTATGAATATGGAACTTGGCCGGCTCTTTATTGGTCAGGAAGACTCCGGAATGGTGATCAAACTCAACCAATATCACCGGGCTCTGGATCCGGTAGTAAAAGGGATCCGAGTCTGTGAAGCCGCCGATCCAGCTGAAGTACGTCTCGTCGAAGTGCGAGGCAATATTCTTCAACTTCATATCCCGGGCCTTCTGCGGAAGATAGAGCAGATACTGGTTCAGGATGCCATTGACCAGCGATTGCTGCTCCGTTGTCATTGCGCTGACTAGGATACCTTCGTACGGCACGATTCGATTGTCACGATAAGCGCCGCATAAATGGCGTTGGTCGTCGTGGTTCCAGCGTCCCTTGGGCATGGCGGGGTCTTTCATTTCCTTGTACGTCTGTGCTTTGGTCTGTTGTTCTGCGGGCAGAGACTGCATGAGTTGCAGACCGAGTTCCTCCTCGGTCTCTAGAATTCGAGTACCCTTGTAAGGACCGTCATCGATCAAGTTCGGCTCTGCACCTGTGAACCAAGGCGAGGCAATCATCTGAGTTTTGTACAAGAAAATGTTAAGACAGAGATGGTGGCCGTAGAAGCTGAACCCCCATGGAGCGGTGGTTGAAGGCTCGCCGAACAGCACGAAGTTGTAGGAGAATTCGTTCATGACGGCAGGTGATTCCACCAGTTCGCCCAGAAAGCCGTTGACACGCATGGCACCAACGGCTTTTGCGTATCCTTCCGGTGACAATGTCGCTTGGAGGACGGCCATGACTCCATCGCGGACTTGGGGTGTAACCTCGTCAAGACGGATACCTTTGTGGCTCAGGAGGAATTCTGGGTTGGACCAAGTCCGCCATTCCGGAGAGTCGATATGGTGCGAAATGGCGGACGATTGTTCTGGCGTCAGCTGTGATAGGACCTTGTTGGTTGCTGAAACAATGTCGTCGATCGGAACGCCCTCGTCTTGCAATTTGAACAGTCCTGGACGGACGGTGCCTGGAGAGACGAATCAGCTTTGTGTGTCGTCGGATTTGCGCTCGATGACTTACCATCACTAGTCACGCCCTTGAATGGTTCTCGCAGTAGTTTCTTCCAGTGCAGCCAGAGAGCGTGTATCCAAGGAGGGCCGCCACTTTCCTTGAATCTTTGCGCATATACATGGGCATCCTCGGTCTTCATGGTTGTGAAGCGAGGAATGCTCAAATCTGGGAGATATTGGCGGTACGCACTTGATTTCGAGTCTGCCATGATGACTTTGCTGGATCTTCGTTTGTGGTCTTGAGATGGTTTCGTCTGAGATATTTGTCTTCTTGGGTGCACGACTCAAGTCTCAATCCCTGGCCTTCGTCTGGTCCGTGTTTCCACCTTCACTCAGCGTTTTACAGAACTTCAAGCACAACACTTAGGCCTAAAGTTGCTGCAAATTATATCGAAGCTGTCCTTGCCAATTGCGACGGAGCTGTGGTCCAGGTTTTAACTCATGACTACGAAGCAGTTCCCTCAATCGATATTTACGGGATCCCCACAAAGTCCAGCCGTGGGGCTCTGCACACACCAGACACACCTGTCAACGACCTCCATCGGCACTTTACTCGGAAGAAATCGCCATGATGCCCCTTGGAAGGGTGCTTGGTGCCATGATGGCGCCCAAAGCATTTCGGTGTGTTGATACTCCGTTTCCGACTTCGATCGCTTCCCACAAGCCATTCTCACTATCCCCACAATATCTTCACCAACTTGATATATATCAGAAGAGTCGACTCACAATCAGGCCACGGGAGCAAGCATGCTCAGAAGGATGGCCTCTTCCGCCGCAACATTCAAACGTAAGTCTATTCCCTGTCGAATGTAGCATGAAGCTCAGCTCACGCCATTCCAGGGCTCGTTCGTTTCGTCCCCAGATCAGACTCGTCCAAGATCCTCATTGGACAGCCTCAAGACGACAATGTCGACGTCGGAATTGCTTTGCGCAAGGGTCAAGACGTCCCGGTCAATGTATTCTCGGGGTCCTCGGTGTTGTCCCCTGGTCAGGACACCGGCAAGAGCGCCATCATTGATCGGGTCCTGTCTCCCCTGAGCATGTCTGAGGTTGGCACTATTCGATGTATCGGATTGAACGTATGACGATCTCTCGAAATTTTCCTGGCGAAGTTGCATACTCATCGTGTGATCCGACAGTACAAACAACACGCCGCCGAAGTCAACATGTCTCTACCCACAGTCCCGACCGTTTTCATGTACTGAGCCCTCGACCCCAATAAGCCACCTCGATGATTCCTCAGACTAAAGCGGCACAGGAAACCCAACACATCTCTCGGCGACCCGTGGCCCGCGCCGACCGTTCTTCCCAAAATTACCCAAACCGACGACTGTGGGGACTACGAGTCTGAGCTTGCCGTCGTCCTAGGCAAGACGGCCAAGAACGTCTCCGAATCGGACGCGATGGACTACGTGCTGGGTTATACGGCGTGCAACGACATCTCCAGCCGAACGAGCCAGTTCGCGCAAAGTCAGTGGAGCTTTTCCAAGGGTTTTGACGGCGCCTGTCCTATAGGTCCGACACTCGTGTCGCCGAGTTTGATCTCAGACCCATCGAAACTGCATGTCCGAGGTCTGAAGAACGGCGATGTCTTGCAGGACTGTGGCACGGACGATCTGATCTTCTCGATACCGAAATTGATTAGCTGCTTGTCGCAAGGTACGACGTTGCCAGCGGGGACATTGATCATTACGGGCACGCCGGCCGGTGTGGGAATTGTAAGGAAGCCGAAGGTTACGATCAAGGAGGGCGATGAGTTCCACGTGGAGATTTTGCCGCATATTGGGACTTTAGTCAATGTCTTTGAGAATGAAAAATGATGGCGGTTTCGCCATGTTTGAGATGGAGGAATGGAAAAGGAATCTAGCGTCATAAAAGCCTAGCCCAGATGGCTCTGGATGATATGGTTGAGCATATAAAGAGCTGGCACCCGGTCCGACTGGCTTGGAGAGAAATCCAGCATAACTAGGTATACACTCACTCGCAAGTGTACGCCTATACTAACATGTCCTGGATCTGGAAGCTCTTTGCTTCTCAACTAGACAGACACTGAAAAATGCTATCCTACAGTCTCATGACCTGCGTCATGACAACAACCCTTCGAGCATCAAAGCATCAAAGCATCACTTCCTCGCGACCGCCTCCCTCACCCGATCCAACTCCAGTGCACCTTTCTTGCCCCATCCACCCTGCCCACCCTGCACGCTCGGCCGAAACTCTTCATACATATGAAAAGCCTTTGCATTCAATTCCCCTTTTTTGTCGGATGCCGTCCAACTCGTGATCGCATCGTCCATGACCGTCTTCGCCCGTCCGTAGTTCTCGTCTCCTCCGAACTTGGCCTTCAAGGCGCCCTCGTTTCCGTGCTTCGGCTTGCCCTGCAGAATCACGTCTTGGCCTTTGATGTACAATCGGAACCCCATGACCTGGACTTCGCGGTCCGCACCGGCCTCAGCAGCGCGGCGTTGTGCCGTCTGCGCGGCCTTTTCCTCGGGCGTTTTCTCCCGCTCCTCGATCGTGCCGATGGATTTGCCCTTGGCGATGGCGCAGAGCGTAGAGATCGCGGATCCGACGGCCAGACTGGTGCCCCAGGATAGCTCCGGGTAGAGGTGTTGTGCGACACAAGCGGACCAGAGTTGTAGGACGGGCGAGCGGTTGATCATGATTGGTTTGGTGTCGGGGGTGCGATCGGAGGTTTGTTCGCTGGATGTGGTGCTGTGGTGTTGTTGGCGGGATTTCTTGGATGCTGGAACGGTGTCGGGTTGAGGCTTTTGGGGGTGCTTGCGCTTCCTGGATGGTGATTGTGATTGTTTCTGCTCGGGCTGGGGTTTCGAGGGAGACGGTTTGGTCTTGGATGTTGGCTCCGGCTTTGCCTTTAGCTGTTTTGAATCCGACTTTTTAGGTTGCTTGTCCTTCGATGCAGAATCCTTTCTCGATTTTGGTGCATCGTGCGTACGAGTGTCTTTGGCTCCGAAGTCTTCTAGATGAGATTGCTTGGTTTTGCTCCGCGTGGTGGCTGGCATGTTGATGGCTTTAGTCCTTCGTGGGTTCCAACTGTTTCTGTGCTGTATTCTTGTACGATTGCCCGCTCTTACCGCTACCCAGTCGCGACGGTTAGATTACTGGCCCCTGTAGCGACTCTGCTGTTTCTGATAAACATATATGCGGCAACTCAATCGTATGATACTTAATGACGATGACTGCGAGGTGACGTCAAACCCACTCCCCCGGATTTTCTCTAGATGCGAGGCTCCGAAGATGCAACTGGGACGCACGAAAAAAGGGCGGCCTGTCCAAGTTCAGCCAGGCTCAGGCTGGTGTATATCAAATATTATGCCATTATCCTAGTTTGTCAAGGATTGTAATATTGAGCCCCCTTCCTTCGATCCTCTCGGTGCTTGTGTGATGTTTTCCCATTCACGAAGGTTTTCGTGTAGCCCTCAACAGCAGCCAGGATAGGCTCGACGGAACAAGTGTGTATGCAATCTAGCATGGTTGAGTGGCAACAGCACCGTCTGTGAAGACGCGACACTTCCCATCGTAGCCCACCTCTCCTGTCTTGGACGTGGCTTCGAAAAAGTCTGGAGCATTGCCGTTGGAACTAAGCACCATCCAGGTCAGCACAATCATCTGGACAGGTACACAGTATGCAGGACTTACCAGCCAGGCTTGCCGGGACATTGTCTGCATTTGTATGATATGGGTGCCTCCTTGCCAAAGCTGTATGCGAAATTGGTTGTGCCAGGAATCGTGAGTTTGCCGTCTGTTCTTTTCGATCCGCCACACTGCTCACCCCAGTAGAACTTGCATTGCCAGCCGACCGGAACCTACTCGCATTCCACGTCAGCCGAGTTGGCAACTGACTGTGATGGACGGAATAGAACTTACCCCGAACGATATATCGGAATTCCAACCGAACTTCTTGCACGTATTCTCGGTAACTGACAGCCACGTGCATTTGCCTGCCCAATTGGCCTGGGAACAGACGTATATACCGGCCGGAGGACTTCGCTTGGTGATGTGGTCGACATCCACGGCATCGATGTAATCAGCGTGATCTTCTGTCAGTGTTGGAGTGTCGATAACCAGGGTGTCATCTTGTGAAGCCACGAAACCAGCGAACGCCGCCAGAAGAAGGGATGGAATGAAGAAAGCAAAGGTACGCATGGTGCAGACTGGGTTGGTATTGGGATCATCACCACGACAGTGAGGAAACAGCGGGAATCCTTCGAATATTTATTGACACTCTTGTCTTCCTTGGTGTTGATTGCCTGAACAAAGAACATGTCTGATACAAGACCAAAACCAGATGCTGTATTTGCATGCACCAAGCCATGGGAATTTCATCTTTGTCTCAATGCCTCCCGTCCAGAAAGGAACTTCCCGGGCAAGTTTCGGTTCGGTTCCCGGGGGCTGGCACTCAGAGCATGAAAAGATGCTTGCGCATCTCGTGCTCTCAATGGCTATCGACGGATGCGACACCCATAGACGGCGTTGACCTCCTGCTGGTTCATCCTGAGGTCTTGGAGGATTGATTAGTGATTATTGAGTGCAGGCTGGTGTCGAGGTCTCGAGTGTTTTCTAGTGTTTTCGATGAGGTTCGTGTAAATGACCTGGGCCCGAATGGTCAAGCAAGGGTCTCTAGGGCCCAGCATAGCCTGGTGAGCCTATCGGCGCCCACTAGGGCTCACTATCTTAACTAGGCCAACTTCGGGCTTCAGGGAACAAGTTACCGTCGCTAAAGACCGCCAAAGGGCCAGAGGCCTTGCCGCCGACATCTAACGAGGCTAGATTTCAGCAGACCTTCACTTTGCCATTTTGGTTTCTGGTATTGCAAATTCTGGACACCGTCCCCATCCCAGACTCGCCTATCGCCGCAGCCGTAGCCGACCGCGCCATTTACTCTGGTATTCGCAATCATGCTCTCTCCATCTTGGTCCATCACAGCCCGGCTGTCGACGCACACTGGCGTTTACGACGAATCGAATGAGATTACTGTACGGAAGAAGATCTTGTTGGAAGACGAGACACAAGAAACCGAGACATGGTGCAGCTGAACGGCGCAGTTGATCATGCCACGAGCCCTTTCTTTTTCCCAAGGGCTGACTCCCTAGCCGTTGTCCTGGATCCCACTGCAGTTTCTGCCGAACCACCAGAGGCAGTAGGACCGGTTTTCGATCAGCAACATGCCAACGAACCTCTCCTACCGTTCGACCGCCATGTCCACGAGTCAGTGTATGGCAAAGACCCTACAGGCACCCCAGAGGCCGATCCTCCTCCACAACCAGAGTCCTTCCACAATGCCTACCTCTTTCCTTCCCTTACGCGGAACGAGCGTCTGAGGTTGACCGTGTTGTGGTATTACACGAGACTGGTCACCCGGAACGACCAGTTGATGGCCAAGCTCCAGGACATGATAACACTTGTGCAGAAGTTCATGGGGTGGGAATTCGCAATTGTGGGCATTCTCGACGAAGCGGTCTACACTCGACTGGCGACGGCAAATCTGCCGCTTGGGAAACTGCCCAGACGCGAAAGTACATGTTCTCACACCATCAATCAGACGCCTGGAAGCGTATTCAGTGTTACCAACATGGCAGAAGACTGGAGATTCCAATCGTCACCTCACGTTAAGATTGGTGGTCTGCGGAGCTATGCAGGCACCCAGCTACGCTTGCAAACCAGCGTGGGTGAGGAGGTTGCTTTGGGTTCGCTCTGCATTGCGTCGAACACGGTGCAAAAGCCCTTGACACCGGAGCAGAAGGTATCTCTAGTCAGTTTTGCAGCCATGTTCACGAATGAACTGGTCACCGCTATGCGACAGAACCGTCTTGGAGTCAAACAAGAGATGACCGAGATGTTGATGGAGCTGCAATCCCAGGAGTTCGCACGCCGTGACGACTTCGAGGCAGCTGTGACAGGATCGTTGAGGACCATTTATCCGTCCGCCACCCTCTCCATCTACCACACTACCGACAATGTCGTCCGACTCACTGAAGCATTAACACTGCCTTTCTCAGCTCTACATGCTGGCCTTTGGGAAGATACCGCTCTCATTGACGAGGCCATCAAATCGGAAAATCACTGCCAGCTCGGATCGACAAAGGTGGTTCGTGCTATGGCAGGCAAATGTGGGAGATTTCATATCTTCGTCGTTGTTGCGTCCTCTGAAGTGCGACATGTCTTCGATGACTATGACTTGTGGTTCGTCGATAGATGTGCGGAGCTCATTGGAGACTACCTCCAACAGCAGCGCTATCAGGATGCATTGCGGGCCAAGGAAGCATTTTTACGTTGCATTACCCATCAGTTAAGAACACCTATTCACGGCGTCCTTACGTCGAGTGAGCTCCTCGCAGAAGAGCTTGCGTCCAGAAACGGTTCGCTTAAATCCCACAATGGTGGTCGTGGCGACACAGCCATGTGCTATGTATCGACCATCCAACGTTCCGGGACTGAACTAATGTCCACCGTGAACGGCATTCTCAAGCTCAACAGTTGGGCCCGCCACAAAGCTGAGAACATCAAGCCTAAGAGCTACGACCTGCGCCATCTCGAGGCCCATGTGATGAGCGACCTATTTGCGATCTACCCCGATTATCACCAGAAGGATGTGTCAATCTGCTTCGAAATTCAACTTGGCGACCAAGAGAGTGTTGTCACAATAGATCCAATACTTCTAAAAGCCATGCTACAGCCCTTGGTAATCAATGCGATACAGGCGTGTGCGCACGGCACCGTCAAGGTCACGATCAAGGCAGAGAAGTCGTCACTCCAACTTGAGGTTATCGACAATGGAAGTGGCATCCCTCTTGAGGACCAAACACGGATCTTTGAACCGTTCGAGAAGGGATCCGTACACGCTCGTGGAGCAGGACTAGGCCTTACGTTGGCGCACCAGGACGCACGATCGCTGGGCGGATCACTGTCTCTTGTCAAGTCCCGAGAAGGTGTCGGCTCTCATTTTCGGATCCTTCTGCCCGGCATTAGCTTTTCAGCTGGTCCTGCCATACCGCCGACTGAGAATGTTACCAAATCATTGCCGAAACGATTCCATGTCCTGTCTGGGTCGGGGAAATGCCCCACGCTGCTGTCGCACTTGGTCAGGCATCTGTTGTCTCGTGGATTCACCAAAAGTGTTGAGCCACAAGGATCCTTGATAATAATGGAGAAGCCAACAGACAATGAGCCCAGCATGGAAGTGCTGAAATCTCTTCAGGAGCCTCATATGATTATATGCGTTACGTTGGAGGACGTGCCGCCTTCGGGTGTTCTTAGCAACGTCAAGCATTTACTTCCACATCACCAGACATTCGCCGTCTCCGGACCTTTTTACTCCACCCGACTTGACCAAGTGCTTTCCCAAGCAGATCGGCAATGGTCCGTTTCATCTACAGACCCACCCCGCAAGATGGCCAGTACCGATACAACCAGCACAATTCAATCGACCCATCCTGAGAATATTCCGCTCCATGATCTCAGCATTTCTCCGCCAGCTACGAAGTCCGCTCCAGCTTTGAAGGCTCTCCTTGTTGACGATAACAGCGTAAACCTCCGGGTTCTGCGCATGTACTGCGAGAAAAGAGGTATCCCGTTCCTGTTGGCCACAGATGGAGATGCGGCAATTGAGCAGTTCAAGGCAGCTGCTGTAACTGAGCCAGTTGATCTTGTACTCATGGATCTTGAGATGCCCCGCTGTGACGGCCTTGGTGCAACTGCAGGCATTCGAGCATACGAGAAGGCGAACAGCTTGAAACCGTGCACGGTCTTCATGGTCACTGGCCAAGACTCTCCTGGCGATCGTCTGAATTCATTCGAGGTTGGTGCGAATGAATACTTTGTCAAGCCAGTGAGCTTGAAACAGCTTGATAAGGAGATTGCTAGGTATTTTCCCAAAGCTTGATGTCTCGGGCGGGCTTGATCCCGCACCATTCAATCTGTTTGCGAGGTGTCTTTCCTGGTTGACCTCCATGGCCGATCAGGAGTCGCGTGGCAACTCATTGGACGGCCAGACACTCTTCTTGCAGATCATAGGTAGGTGATAGGGACTCATTCATTGGGGTGAGAGATCGTCCCTGATCCCCTGATCCGCAATCATCTACTGAACACGCGAGGCTCAGCAGCCGTACTGCCGGCATCGCATGCCGTCGCGAGCAGCAGGAACGTAGCCTACATTTGTGATCTGCAATGAGAGCATTGATGGGAAGAACTGTAGAAGTCAGACCGGCAACAGGGGGATACCTTTTGGATATCTTCGACCTACATAGATAGAGCACACTGAGAGTGATATGATGGGCATGATGGTGTGATGACATGATGAGTGAGATATGAGACGTGAGACGTGTCAGCATACCTGACAGTTTCACTTTCTCAGCACAGCATACATAGTAATTGATCTGAGAGATGTAACCTACGCAAGAGGTGACGAGAGATGACAGTCAGCGATTCTTCTTAGTCAGCAGCTATCCAACATGATGCTGTGTACTTCACCGTAGTTGTCTATCAGATGCCAAGCAATTGAAGATGAAGGGTGTGAAAGGGCCCCGTGGCCCCCCCAGTTGGGCCCATCATGCCCATCACTGCCCATGGCGCCATCAGGGCCCAATTCACCTCATTACACGCGATCGATCTGTCATACAACATTAACCCAGGTTCCTCTCCCGAGCAACCAATGGTCTTCTCCCACTGACCAACAACAGCAGGATGGCTTGACCTATTTCTTCACTTTCCTTTTCTTTTCCTTCCTTGTCAGGAGCTGTAGGCTAAGCAGTTTCCGCAAAAATGGCCGAGAATTCAACACCGTCGAGCAGCGAGACGCGTCCCAATTTCCTCGTCATCGTGGCTGACGACCTAGGCTTTTCCGACGTAGGAACGTTTGGAGGAGAGATCAAGACGCCTCATATCGACGGCCTGGCACGAGACGGCATCAGATTCACCGACTTTCACGCTGCTGCTGCATGCTCGCCCACGAGATCTATGCTCTTGTCGGGCACAGATAACCGCAAGTCCTGACACCAGTCCGCTGCAGGTCTACGCATTCCGTTCTGACCATGTCCACAGATGTTGCAGGGTTAGGGGCTATGTCCGAGTCAATACGAGAATTCCAGAAAGGTCAACCCGGATACGAGGGCTATCTGAACGATGCAGTTGTGGCTCTTCCAGAGCTCCTCCATGACGCAGGCTACTTGACCCTGATGTCGGGGAAATGGCACCTTGGACTGACTCCAGACCGTTACCCTTCTCGGAGAGGTTTTGATCGGTCTTTTACCTTGCTGCCTGTAAGAAGTGGCCGAGCAAATCCGCTGAAATAGCTGACAGAGGGTAGGGGGCAGCCAACCATTATGGCTGGGAGCCACAGGTGGAAGAGAAGATGCCCGGGTTCCTAGCTCGAAACAGCTCCTTCTACGTGGAAGACGACACGATTATCGCACCAGCAGACCTGCCCGCCAACTTCTATTCTTCCGAGTCATTCGTCACCAAGTTGTTGCAGTATATGGAAGAGCGCAATGACAAGCAACGGCAGCAGCCGTTCTTTGCCTACCTTCCCTTCTCGGCACCACATTGGCCATTGCAAGCTCCAGAGGCAGACTGTCTAGACTATCGTGGAGTATATGATGATGGGCCAGAGGCGCTGAGGCAAAGGCGGCTGGCTCGGCAAGAGGAATTGGGCCTCATTCCACCTAACACCCGACCTCATGATGTTATCACTCCGGCGGTCGATCGGCCTCTCACAAAAGGGTGGGAGGCCTTGACTGAGGTGGAGCAGAAGTTCTCGTCCCGGACCATGGAGACTTTTGCCGGGATGGTGCAGAACATGGACCGACAAATTGGCCGCGTCATTTCTTATCTCAAATCCACGGGGGAGTTTGACAACACTGTGGTCCTCTTCATGTCTGATAACGGCGCGGAAGGGTTGTTGCTCGAGGCTTACCCTGTGGTGACGGAGAATATTTTTGATTATATTGAACGATATTACGACAACAGTCTGGATAATGTTGGCAGGTTCAACTCATACGTTTGGTACGGGCCTCGGTGGGCTTCGGCGGCAACAGCTCCCTCACGACTCTACAAATCCTTCTCTTCTGAGGGTGGCATCCGAGTCCCCTTTATCCTACGGTATCCGAAGTTGACGTCGTCTCGTTCCGGTCAAGTCGACACCTCCTTCGCGACGGTCATGGATGTCATGCCCACTTTCCTCGAACTAGCAGGAGTACAGCATCCTGGGAACACCTACCGAGGGCGTCGGATCATGCCCATGAGAGGAAAATCATGGCTGTCCTATTTAACCGACCCTCGGCAGAGGCATATTCACGATGAGGAAACGGTGGTAGGATGGGAGCTGTTTGACCGGCAAGCTCTGCGCAAAGGGCGGTGGAAGGCCGTCATGATCCCGGAGCCATATGGTCCTGGGAAATGGCAACTTTACGATCTGAGTTCGGATCCTGGGGAAACCGAGGATCTGGCAGCTCAAGAACGTGATAAGCTCCAAGAACTTCTTAAACACTGGGACGAATATGCAAAGGAAGTCGGAGTTGCAGGCGCTGCGCCACAATATGGAGTCCTTCAGGTAGCAGATTGAGGCCTGCACAAGCGGTATTGCTCTTGCAGACGTTCTGTGTCTCGACAATACTGCACCACACCAGCGATGTGGTCTGGCCGCAAGTCTCGAACGTCGAGCGAAGTCTCGGTCATTGCGGCAATGGTGTCGACCTTTGTGGGATATGCGCCAGCGACGAGGTGGAGAGCTTCAGGAGCCCCAAGCCTAGTGAGCCAGAAACAATGTGATCGGAATAAGGGATTCTGAGGGAGAGGGATGCAGGAGCGATATCGAGCAGACGAGGCCATATTACCTTACCTTACCTGGTGTTACAAGTTGCGTAACATGAATGTAATGACATTCGTGACGGGCTGTCGACTATCGATCGGCTAACAAATTTTGCGCATACGGTCAACGCAAATACGGCAATACCACGGGTGAGATGGTGGTGGCCGAGGTGGCCTGTTGTGGAACTGTGAGGGGGTACCAACCGTGCTTTCTCCAGGCAGGAGAATCCCCACGATCAGGTCCAGAATGCCACAGTCAGGGCATCCATCTCTTTGCATTACCGGTGACGACTGGGTTATCATTGGGGCAAAGGACATGTCTGCAATACGGAAGTTGAACTCAGACTATCCCTGAGTTCTGCCTCTAGTCGCGCAATGGGTCGAGTGTGATGAAGCAACAAAGGGAGACTCCCAGGAACATGTTGACGCAAGGATTAATCGCACGTCTATTCTCCGGTTTGGTCTACTGCTGTGTGAATGAGGTACACGACGCTTCCCGCATTGGGAATATGGCTACACCGTATGCTTCAGGACAAGCGGCGTGTGGCTGGAGATGCTGCAGATACCGCCATGGTGTGCCCATTCACATTCTGGACTTCTTATCAGGACACTCCTTTGGTCGTAGTCGAAGTCATATCAACCCGCATACACACCTCTCTATTTAGATATATCCATTGCACACCCCTTGCAAGCTGCCTGTGACATTCTTCGAGTCTATAATTGGTGCCAGCCAGCGCTGTCTCTCTGTTGAAAGGGACAAGACTAGCGATATCGATATCACAAAATGACACAAGCCACCACTCAAGTACAGGGCCTCCCCGAATTCAGTCGCCACATCACGACACACAACGCAGATGGCAAGGCCATATTTCAAACCCCCGACCCCGACAACCCATCATCGGAGGCAGTCGCTGCTGCGCCAGCACCACCCATTTCCACCATCCCAACCTGGACGAACTTCCCTGGAGCCACGGGTGCATTTGGCCTGGGCTACGCCACTCCGACTCTACAAGCGGATTTCAACAAAGACGCCGATCTGGCCAGTTACTACAAGTACCTACACGAACATCCCCCCGTCGTGATCCAGGGAGGCACGGTGTTCAGGGTGGTCGATATGGCGCCTGGGTCGTCGTCACCGATGCACCGCACCATATCCCTGGACTATGGCGTTGTGCTGGAAGGTGAAGTCGAGTTGGAACTCGATTCGGGTGAGAGGCGCCGAATGCCTCGTGGGGACATTTTCGTGCAGCGGGGGACCGCGCACCGCTGGCACAATGTGAGCGACCAACAACCGGCCCGGCTTTTGGCGGTCCAGCTGGATAGTAAACCACTTCAAGTGGTGATTGAGGGGACGGGGAAGGAGTTGGCGGAGGACTTTGATGTGCCTGCTGCATCATCTGGAGGGTGATCTAACTGCTCGTCCACTATTACTCCTGCTCGTATGTAACAGCACTGGGGCCACCACTGGGGCACCTCGAGGGCACTGAACTGACAGGGCAACCGGAGTTAACAGCGATGTCGAGCGGTGGATTAGTAATGGAAGACCAGTCAACGGACACTTGCCGGTCGCTTGGTCCTCGATTAATGGGGCCATGATGGGCCATGATGGGCCATGATTGATGGGAGTGATGGGGAGTGATGGCGATGGAGATGATGGGACAAGTCCTCACCTTCCTCGTTGGTCTATCGCAGTACTTAGGAGCTAGGGTATCGAGGGTATCGCAATCTTCACGTCATTGTGCCATTCTGCCCCTCCTCAAGCTCTCCTCAAGCTCTCCTCAAGCTCTCCTCGAGCTACTCACCGACTGAGTGACTGTTAATCCTTTTCTCAATTCTCCAACTTCAACACTTGAATTCTTGTGCTTTTTATGCTACGAATATCACTGGTCCGCCCAAGCAAATCCATCTACAACTCCCTAGCTCGTGCATCTGCAACCAAATTTTCTTCGTCTTCGTCTTCGTCTTCCTCCAACCGATCAATACCAGACAATATGGCTGTTCGATCCGCATTCGACCCCAAGGACATGGTGAGTACCGTCCACAGCATACTGCAACACTGGGGCTCTGCATTGAAAGCTCTGTTGGTCACTGACTTCATCTGCCATAGGTGTTTCGTCACCTTGGTCCCACCGGTCTGAAAGTGTCCGTTCTCTCACTCGGTATGGCCATCACTTGATCAAGGAACCCGACACAGCAACTGACCATCGAAACAGGCGGCTGGCTCACTTATGGCGGCACGCAAAAAGGCAACATCGTGAAAGAGTAAGGAATCATTCCCACTCGTTCGCTTCGGAGCTCCATAGCACTAACTCCCCTTCCCAACAGTTGCATGCAAGCCGCTTGGGATCATGGCATCAACTTCTTCGACACCGCCGAGGTCAGTCAATATCCCTTACCATACCTGGGTAGACATGTTGACGAGCTCTTGCTGACATGACATCCAGACCTACGCCAACGGTCAATCCGAAATCGAGATGGGCAACGCCCTCCAGGAGCTCAACTGGCCCCGTGATGAATACGTCCTCTCGACCAAGATCTTCTTCGGTACCGGCCGCAAGGAACCCAACACCCGCGGCCTCTCACGCAAGCACGTCGTCGAAGGACTCAAATCGTCCCTCGAACGTCTTCAACAACCGTACGTCGACATCGTCTTGGCCCACCGACCCGACTACGCCACCCCCATGCGCGAGATTGTCGAAGGTTTCACCCAGGTCATCCGCAACCTCAACTTGGCCTACTACTGGGGTACATCGGAATGGTCGGCCACCCAAATCACCGAGGCCACCCTCATCGCCGAGAAGTACAACCTGATCGCCCCAATCGCCGAGCAACCCCAATACAACGCCTTCCACCGTGAACGCTTCGAAGTCGAGTACGCCCCACTGTACCAGGAATACAAGTACGGCACGACCATCTGGTCGCCACTGGCCTCGGGTCTGCTGACGGGCAAATACAACGACGGTATCCCCAAGGGCTCTCGGTTCGACAACCACAAGGACTTCTTTGGCAGCACGATCGAGTCTCTCCAAAAGCCCGAGGGCCAGGCCAAGATCGAAAAGGTCAAGAAACTCACAAAGATTGCCGAATCCTTGGGCGGCAACATGTCGCAGCTCGCGCTCGCCTGGGCGGCCAAGAACCCGAACGTCAGCACCGTCATCCTGGGCGCTACCAAGGTCGAGCAGATCGTCGATAACTGCAAGGCGATCAAGTTGTTGGAGAAGTTGGACGACAAGACAATGGAGGAGATTGAAGCCATTCTGGACAACAAGCCTGCTCCTCCACCAAGCTTTGGACGATCGAGGTAGGCAGTTCCGACTTCCGACCTGTTTGTGGAGCCTCTTGGAGGGAAGTGGACTGTGTCATGACCAGCAATCAATGCACTGGGTACGGTCTAGGGGTCGATCATTGAGTGTGTCATGACAAGCAGTGAATACACCGTCAGGACTCTAGGAGCTGGGCTGAGCTGAGCTGATCGTTGACATTGTGTCCTAGACGCGAACGGCGCCGAATATCGGCCAAGCTGTAGATGATGCCTAGGTACCGAAACCCGAGAGACCACAAGAGTTATCCTGCATATCTTAGCTGTGGCTAGACAAAAAGTTATTTTCCATTTCCATTTCCCATTTCCATTTCCACGTAAGAGTCCACATCTCAAGTCGGCCCCTCTCTTTCCATTTCCCCTTTCCTATCCACACGCATCACAACCTGTTCAAAAAGTAACCGACCGTACTCCGTGCTTTTCAAGCTTAGCACTGACCAATACTCGAAGTTGCTCCGTGTTTGAGGAGTAGCTGCACCACCTTCTTACGAGCACGGTCTGATGCTGCTCGAAGCGCATTGCCATATCGTCCTCCTTGAGCATTGACATCCGCTCCTGCGTAGACTAGAATTTGTACAATCTTGTAACCATTCGCCGACGCTGCGTATAGGGCATTGACGTACGCTGCTGCGTCGACGAGGATCTGCACGATTTTCTCATAGTCACGCACCGACGCTGCGTATACGGCATAGCCATATGGTCCTCCTCCAGGATCGACGTCCGCTCCTGCGTTGAGTAGTATTTGTACAATCTTCTCGTAACCATTCGACGACGCTGCGTATAGGGCAGTGCCATCTATTCCGAGCCAATTGACGTCTGCCCCTCTATCGACGAGGATCTGCACAAGCTTCTCGTAACCATTCGCTGATGCTTCTTGAAGCGCAGTGCCATATAGTTTTCCTTGAGCATTGACATCCGCTCCTGCGTCGACGAGGATCTGCACGATTTTCTCGTGACCACCCACCGACGCTGCGCATATGGCCTTACCAAAGATTCCTCCCCGCGCATTGACGTCCGCTCCTGCGTTGAGTAGAATTTGCACAATCTTCTCATTACCACGGTATGATGCTGTGCATAGGGTATTGCCATAGCGTCCTACCCGCGCATTGACGTCCACTCCTGCGTCGACGAGGATTTGCACGATTTTCTCATGGCCACCCTCCGACGCTGCGTATAGAGCATTGCTATAACGTCCTTGAGCATTGACGTCCGCTCCTGCGTCGACGAGGATCTGCACTACCTTTTCATAACCAAATCGGCTTGCCCACATTAAAGCTGTACGACCAGCGTCGTCGGATTCGTTGATTTCGTATTGCACATTTGACTGTAGAATTGACCTCAGCACCTTCCCATGTCCTAGAAGTGCTGCTAGGCGGATCGAATTCATCCCTTCCGGCTGCTCCTTGTACCGATTATTCGCCTTCCAAAAAATTGTAAACCATGAATTATATGGACTTCCATCGCTATCATAAAGTTGAGATATATTTTCGTCCATTGCCGTATCTGCATCTCGTAGGTGATGGGACCAGTACTCTGCTGAGTACACCAGAAGGCTCTCGACGGCATTATCTTTTTTCAATGATTCGTGAATTTCTCGGGATGTTTCAAGTCTTCGAGCAGTTCGAGCTAGGTCCTCTCCCACATGCCTGATTTCTTCTAGGCATAGAAATTCCACGCATATTCGAGTCATCTCTTTTTCGAGATCTCTCGGGTCAAGACAATGCTTCCACCCAGGCAGAGGCGTAGAGCAACTGTCCCGGATCAAAAATTCCTTGGCCGTCTGGTGAATGAGGAATATCCGGGCATGATTAATGAAGACAAAAAGACCACACCATTCACGCATATTGTTCTGCAATCTTGAAGGGTCGAGTTTGACCTGGCGAAGGGACTTGGGCTGCGCTGACGTCGCTATTCCAAGAGCGATGGCCATCTCTTGAATAGTTAGAGGACGACGTGCCCCGACCACGATCTGAAGGATTTTTTTGACGTCTTCCTGCTCCTGAGTAGCTCGGGCTAAAATCTTCTCGTATGCCTCTTCCACTGTTGACGGGAGTGACTTAATTGACGCTTCTTTGGGTCGCAAACACCGATGGAAAGTCTGACATATATCGTCAATCGCGAGATGAAGCCATAAGTACGTGCGATGCTGCATCCCTAGGAGTCGAGTCATTAATTGGTCCTTTGTATCATTATCCAATTGTTCGTCTGTCGCGAGTTTTTCCACTCGCATTTGGATGACTAAGTCAATTTCTTCGTGGATCCGGTCATTCTCCTCTTCACCCCGTAGGCGGATCGTAGGGAGATCGTGTAGTGTCTTCTGGAACTCCGCCTGGATGTTATCATAGGGCCGACTGGTCACGAGAAATTTCAGTCGGCCTCGCCTCGTCGTAGACGAAGAGGCCGATGTCTGAGCGTGGAATAGGGATAGCATCTCGATCAGCCACCGTTGATCGGAGAGTCGACATTCGTCCAGCGCATCCAGAACGCACGTCACGTTGTGAGCCTGGTCATCCCTCGCCGCTGCGAGCAATATGCGCCATAGCCCCGACACCTCCTTCACCAGTTTATCGCCGGTCTGCCCCCATACCGGAAATGCATGTTGGATCAGTTGAGGCTGGTAAGAGAATAATTGGTGGAGGAGGGCGCAAAGAGCAGTCGCCACATTATCCTGTTCCTCGTTATCTTTGAAGAAGAAGTAGCAGATCGTATGCTGACCAGTATTTCGAAGCTCGTTGTCGACAAGCGATTTGGCGAGGACCGACTTGCCGCAGCCCGGATCCGCCGAGATCCAGAGCAGATCATCGTGTAGTTTGTCGTACCATTGGAGATATTGGGGATGGGATATCACCCATTTGCAAGTGCCGTCCACTCGAGGAGGATTGACATCCTTGAATTGCTCGTATGTGCTTGTTTTGAACGCTTGATGGCAGTCTCGATCTTGACTGCTTCGGTAGCGAGTCTCTTCTTGCAAAGCCCACTTCTTTGTTTCGTTCAATATATTCTTCTCTACCTCTAGCTGGTCGGCTAAAGTGCCTGAAGAGGAGGTTAGATGCTGTTGTTCTGTCTCGAAGGAATGATATATTCTCTAAGTAGTATTACTTACCGACATCGTCCTGAATACGCTTCTCATTAGCGGTCTGATGGGGAGTCACCTGCCCTAGGAACCATTTGGCATACGCGGCGGCAGCCGCAGCCGCATAGTTCTGCCACGCATCATTCTTGTGCGAGTCGGCGTAATCACAGATACCTCGCACGACAATGCAAGGGAAGTTGTTCATCAAACCCGCCGCTTCCATTTCCACACAAGCCGCATTCAACTCCCGACCCAGTCGGTCTCGCACCTTGGCATCTTTGATCACTTGGTTTCCTGACGCGATAGTCCCGTAGTGGACCAATGGGTTTTCATGATTGCGACGTGGCCTCCGGACTCTCCCATTCTCACACATCTCGCAACGTAGCAAAGGACATAGCCACACCAACAACAGCCAAAGAAGCCACCACCATTGAGACGAATCGCAATGGGAGCAATGCAAATGATCGATGCCGGCACCAGGAGAGACATAGCCCTGGCCTTCTAGCTCGGGATACTTCTTGTTCATCTCCATCAGGTGCTTTGGTACCTGGCTCTCCTCAATGCCAGAAGCTGACTGGAGAGACGACAGTGCTGTTAAAAGGAGGGTCGGAGGACTGTTGAGAGACCCCTTGCCCTTGAACCTGCCTTCTCCCATATTCTTGCCCAAATCATACTGAACCACGCCGCCGAAGGTATTGTCCGGTTGGCTCACCACAATATCACCCAGCCGGATGTCACGACCAGCCAGGAGATTGGGTATTCCCCCTCCAATCCCTACCAGCAGACCAAACCGCAGACCGGTAAAGGTTCTCAACATATCTCTAGCCACAGTTGCCGCCGCATTGGTCCCGTACACACCCGCCGGCAAGCATGCAACCACCACATTATGTTGACCCATTCGGCCGAGGACGTAGTTGTTGTTGTCATGCGCATCTTTGGTTCTGAGTGGCTCATGCTTTTCATCCAGCATGGCCCTCACCGCAGTCATCTCGCGCGGTAGTGCGCATACCACTCCAACATAGTAGTGCTCGATGGGCAGAGAGCGACTCTGAGACATGGGTACTAGCCTCGAGCGTTTTCAGGCGAGGAATGGCCGAGAGAGGTGGTAATGCGTCTTGAAAGAGAGGAAGGGCGTACCAGCAGCAGCAGAAGGAGGAGGAGGAAGAAGAGGAGGAGAGGGGGGGCAGAGGGAATGCGGCTGAGAGTAGATACTGAGCTTCAAAATGCGACAATCAGGCTGAGGAATAATTGTGTACGACCGGTGAACACAATGGTCGACCGGGTCAATACACTAGCTCACCGTTGGAGGCTATATTTAGCGGACAGAGACATGAATGGTCGGCATGGTATTTCTACCCTGTAGTTGTGGTTACACAGGACCAACATCTACGAGGCAGAGACATCTGCTCGTCAAATTCGAACTTCGCTCGAATATTGGCGGATCCGCGCTAAACCTAACACACTTTAGAGCTATAATCTGACCAACCAAATCATGCCACCTCATATTTACCTTACCCTGCGGCGCCGCCAAACCAACCAACCCATGGCATCTTGGGTGGCATCTACGCAACAGCACAACGGCATCGATTTTATGTTATTTTTGATGCCCCAACGTGAAGCGCCGGATGCGATTTACCTATAAACGCAACAATGGGTCGCCGCGGACCTGAAATACCCCTATGAAACTCGAGTCGCCAGTGTTACAATTCGCAGCCTATTTGGGCTATCTTTTCGAGAGATCTCGCAACGCGTCATGGTTAAAGAGCGCACTTGCGCAGATACCTACCAACGAGCCAAGTCGAGGGCTGCAAATCCTGAGGGATTGACAAGACGTGGTTTATGCAGTTCCCAGCCTTGACGGGCGTGGCCTGACACCTATCATAGAAGACGGTACGCCAGCCAGTTAGCAACTAAGGTACGTGCCTGTTTTTAGAGTATCCTTGAAGTAACAGTATTCAGCCAATAACACTCACTACCCACCATTTGTATGAGGTGTTCTGGCTTCTTCTACCTCTACCTCTACCTCTACCTCTACCTCTCAAGTAGATCCACGAGGCTCAACGTCTCAAATCTGACAAAGGCCGACAAAGGCTGATGGCTCATCCAATGCTGCTTGCATCGAATCTCAACAGTTACCGAGCATAAAAAGGCATTCCTTCAAGGGATCGGCTCGACCGAATCAAAATAAATGGATTAACGCTTACCATGCAACAACACAACCTCTCTCTATATTTTCTACTCTCTGCTCAAACCACCACATCCATTCTTTCCTCATGACACATCTCCATCTTTGGTCTCGGTCCAGGTCCATCTTTCGAAGCCTCATGCAACATTCAACATGAATCTCATCTCACTCCATCTCATTGTCCTCGGAACATGTGAGTGGCGTCTGTCTCGTGGTACTCCATACTTCGGATCCAATTACGCTTGCTATCGTCCAACTTGATGCCTCTCTCAAGCACAAAATAAGGTCCGGTCCTGCATGTCATTTTCGTCTATGCCTTTCAGCCTGGAACTCATTGTGAAGGCTCTCCAATGGATTCCGTTCTGTCGGAGACCAAAGAAGCATGTTCATGTCACCCTGTCCGTCCCAATATCCTTCCCCTATCTCGACCCTGCTGAATTCGCACCTTGACCATGCTTCCTTTCCACGCATGTCTCGTGCCGCTCTTATCTCCACTCAAGACATGACATAACGTCTGAGATGTTGCCTTCTTCGTTTCCATCGACAATCTCCCATTCAGCATCGAAATATTCAGACGAACTGGCGGAGTCGCTCTTCCGAGCCGTGGCGTCGGAAATCCCTTTCCTTTGTGCACTGAAGGCCGACTTGAGACTGCTGCCAGAACCATCATCCTCCGTAAGAGCCCCATCGTAATTTGCTGCACACACTACCTCTGACTTTTCCCCTGATTCCTGATTCGTCTCCTAAATGAAATCGGCAGTGTATGAAAAGCCTCTGAACTCTTCTTGATGAGCTGGGGAAAGAACTGCAACAAGGTTAGCTCCAGATGACCCATTCCCAAGACGATCAAGCTTACCACTCTGCACTGGCGTCAATACGGGTGTCACACTCGTAAATTCCGAGTCGAAGTTACTGGTATCCTTCTCGTTCTTAACAGTAGGTTTGAAGGGCGTCGGCACTCTCTTGTGGTAGATATCGTCCCAGTTCACGCCTTTGAAGAATGCGTGGCTCATGACCTCTTGAGCATCTCCTGGTCCACTACCCAGCCGCATTTCTGGCTCTCTCGTCAAAAGCTTCTGGAGAATCGAGACACTATCGCGTGGCATGTGAATAGGATATAGAGGCTCGTCGGCGAGAATGGCATCGTAGATCTCATCCTCGTCCTCACCACGAAACGGTGACTGTTGAAGGAGCATCTGATAGATGAGCACGCCGAATGCCCACCAGTCCACCGCACGACCATATTTCTTGTCCAGAAGAATTTCAGGAGCCATGAATTCTGGAGTGCCACAGAAGGTCGAAGTCGATGAACCGTACCACATATCCTCCTTACAGAGACCATAATCAGCGACCTTGATGTGGCCGTCCAACGTGAGCATGATGTTGTCCAGTTTCAAATCTCGGTAAATCACGCCATTCTCGTGGAAGTACTTGAGAGCCAAGCATACTTCCGCAGCGTAGAACTGGGCTCGTTTAAGACCAAACTGCCCACGCTGAATGTGTAACATCAGATCGCCGCCGGAGATATACTCCATGACAAAATACACTCGCGTCTCGGTCTGGAAACATGCATGCAGATTGAGCAAGAAGGGATGTCGCTCCTTGTTGGCGATCAAAAACACCCGCTTCTCGGATTTGGTCGACTCCACTTCGTCGTTCTCGATAATGAATTCCTTCTTCAAGACCTTGATCGCATACAACTTCTTGGAGCTCTTCGCCTCGGCAAGCATGACTTTACCAAAGTTGCCCTTTCCGAGCACAGCTAGGAAATTGAAATGATCCAGCCCAATTCTTGGGCCCGAACCACGTCCTGACGGTGGTGTTGCCACTTGCTGTTGCGGCTGCTGCGAAGGCGCCGGTTTTATTGGTGCTTGGGCGTAAGTAGGTTGGGATGGTTGGTGAGGCGGTCTCTGCTGAGGCACCATGGCTTGTTGAGGTGGCTGATGTTGAGGCATTTGCTGTTGCACAGGCTGTCGGTCATACTGCTGGTACGCGCGAGGATCGTAGGAAGCATGTGGCGGCTGCACTTCCGGAGCAGGAGGTCGGGCATTGGCATATCGATCAGAGGGAGTCTTCTGAGGGCTATAGTCGGGAAAGCCTTGGTTGTAGTTTTGTGACGACGGCCGACTTGTCGCCGCTGCAGCGGCTTGCACAGCGGCAGTAGAGACTGCTCTTTGTTGCAAAGGTCTCTGCTGCTGTGGAGACTGCGACTGCGGAGGCTGGTTGTACATCATGTTCTGCGCCGCACTCTTTGCTGCGGCTGAAGGCTTGGGTGGCTCGGGATGTTGATCATAGGACTGATTGGACACGGACTGAGTCAAGGCGCTTCCATCCGAGATAAAACTTTGCGTGGGCGACGTTGGTCCTGGCCTGCCAGAGTTCGGTCTCAAGGTCCGACTGCTCATGCCGGAGCTGACGGATGAGGACTTGTTGTGATGCTTGGTCCGCTGGATCGTCTCCAAGATTTCATTGGCGACAATCATCGACATACCGCAGAAGTCCGGTACCAAATGCTGACATTGTGCATGGCAAGTGAGGCCACACTCGGTGCATTTTTTCGCATTTCGTCTGCCCAGAGGAAGCAAGTAACCACAATGACAGCACCAGTTGGCCCCGATATTGGAGAAGTTGTCGAACCGATGCGGGATGCGGTGGTTGATCTTTTCCTCGTCCGGATCCGTTTCGTAGTTTGCTTTGCTGATACACTTGGTAACCACTTTCGGATAACATTTGGTATGGCAAGTATACTTGCAGTCCGCACACTGCATTCCTGCCGAGTATTTGAGAAAGTCGCCGCACAGAGCACAGCGCATGACGTTGTAAAACTGCTGCTTGACAAACTTGTGTCCTTGCTTCTCGTGCACGACCTCTTTCTTTTGACGAACAGCACCTTGTCGATTCAGACCGATGTCGAAGGGACGACGAGCACCGGTCTGTTTGTGGAAAGCCATGGTGAGATGGATTCTACCCGCTGGTTCCAAAGAAAACCATGAATCAATCATCACAGGTTGAAGTTGTTGAGCGGTTTGCGAAAAACCAGCGGCCGCACCAGCACTCGCACCATCGCCAGGAGGCATGAAGGGGGTAAGTTGTTGTTGTTGCTGTTGATGAAAATCCGGACCTGATTTGCCAGGGCCGCCACCGTTGGCCATCTTGTCGGCTGATACCCATCCATTCTGCTGGTATTCCGTTTCTATCTTCTTTCGTCGCATTTCTTCCGCGATATCAGAGATGCGGATCCAGAGGAACCCAATCGGCGTTGGCCGGTCGCCTGCTTTGTCATAGACTGTCAACTCGATTTCATTGGCCTTGTCGATATCAACATTGTGTGTCTCTTCCGTCCATTTATCTGTGCGTGTAGCTCGAGTTTTTGCTCGAATGTTGTCTTCGACTTTCATGATGACAAAGGTCTCGGGTCCTCTGGAAAACCGTGAAGACGCGGCATGGTCAACATCCTTGATCGCATGAATGCGCATTTCGAGATGACCGGTCAACGGTTTCCGCATATTTGGCGCATTGAGGCTATCATCTGATTTGCAGTAAGCATCGAAGCCAAAGAAAGTCTGAAGGGAGCTGCCTACCGTCAGCACCGTCCGATGTTTCAATGTCGACATGAAGATCCATGTATCTTTTTAATGCCTGCTTCAGCAACTGGATCTTCTGGGTGCTTTCAATACGACGGCCTTCTGCGTCCGATCTGCTCTTTCTGTCGCCCTCATCCTGGTATAACCGTACCATTTTCTCGATGCCTGCCTTGTATTGTTTTTCAACGGACAGCTTGAATTCAAGCTGTGACAGCATGAGCTGGATCTTCGGGCCAAGATACGGAGTGTCGTATTTGATGAGATCTAGGGTACATGTCAGCACATTACAGGGTACATCTCCGTGAGCGCGGCATACCTAATTTTGAGAAATTGGGACGCGGTTTAGGCATCGGAGCGCTGTAAGGTCGAGGATCTCCATAGGGAGCTCGCGGTGGCATCATGCCAGTATTTCCCTGGCTATAACCGCCGGGGCCGGGGTCACCATAATCCCCTCTTTCGCCAATGAAGAGCCCTCTGGAGTCTTTGGGAGGGGGGGTCGGGGCATTTCCTGCTTGATAACCTCGCTGGCCACGGCCATCAGGTGTTTGGTAACCACCGCCACCACCACCACCATGAACGGGAGGGGTGGGAGCGCTGTCATCATATGTGCCCCGCTGACGCAGTTGTAGCTCTTGTAGCTTGTCTTCTAGATAGGTAATGTTTCTTCTCCCGTCGCGGATGGTGCTATCGACACGTGCCTGGACTGCAGCATTGCTTGTCGACTGTCGCATGTGCGTCGCGGCTGTGATCAGCGTCTTTTCCCGTTCAATCTTCTTGTAGATATCGTCGATGGCCTTTTCGGTGTCCGCCATGGTGGCCGATTGGAAGAGCAGAGGGGGTGGATGGTTGTGTTAGAATGAATCGGGGGGTAGTGTCATTCGGTCGAGTCGTGTGCACTGATGGCAGGACTGGTGTAGCATTTGTTGACGATTAGAGGTTCGACGGCAGAAGGTGCTCGCGCGACCGGAGAGGCGGTAGGTTCGAGAAATATCGAGGCTGAGGCTCATGAGAAGTGAGCAAGAATGACGGAGCACCACGCGCTCAAAATCCAGCACGGATCGAGGGTTTGTGGTGTGGTGGTGGTCTCTGAATCAAGTTCCCGTCGGTCGGTCGGTCGGTCGGTCAGTCACGGTCCACCTGCGGCTGCGCTTTCTCAATGTACGAGTGACTGCGCCCACCAACGCCACTGAGTCCCAATTGCCACCGTGGAAATCTTCTTAATGATGAGCAAAGTGGAAAAAGGAAGATAACGAGGTCAAACCGAGAGAAGAGTACGGAGTAGGTCAAGATGGGAATGTTTTGGATGAAACCAAGATGATGATGATGATCATCGTTCTGTTCCGTGGTGAGAGGCAACCGGGATCAAGAGCCCAAACAAGTCGCCTGCTCGTCACCTTCTCAGATAACAACAAGTGGATGGAGACGTGGGCGTGCTGGGGACAGGCATAGCGGCTCTGTCCTCGACTGACAGGCACAGGAACATGGCATGGCACCTATTACGAGCCCTATGGTAGCCAACTAGGCTTAAGTCCTCAACTATTGGACATTTTCCTGCCAAAGCCTTTCTTTGTCTGGTCTTCCTCAGGGCCTGTCCCACCCATCTCCGGTTCACCAACTACTCGTAGGCTCACTAGGCAGAACATCTCGTCCTCCAAGGGCCGCACTCGACATTCGACATCCAGCATCCATCTAGGTGCCATCATGTTATCATCGCTGGTCAAACTCCACCCTCGATGCCTTTGCTGCCCCCCGCCACGCCACCAGACTCCACCGCTCACGACCGCTACAACCGCCCCTGGTCATGGTGGCATGGCGCAGCCCTACAAATAGAAAACTTTCCCACCATCGACACCACTCATGTCCAGCTGTAGACTAGAGGGTTTGAAAATCATTGACGAATGACTCAGACCAGTCTCACGTTGGCTCATATGTCCGGCTTATCGCTCTCGATATGCTCATGCGGCTGAGGCTCGACCCCCCCAAAAGATGGGATGCAGGGCGGAAAACATTGTCATCGCACAAAAGTGCAACAACCCCTCCTGCTGTCGGTCGTCCATCTCCCGCCCACCCTGACCACACCGTTAATCTGCGCTAGGCTAGAGGCTTGCGCTCGTCATTCGGGCTTGCATACCACTCCGCCATCATTTCGCGTTGGACATAATTCCGCATTACATATAAACTGGGGCCCACGACCAGACGATGGATTTCGGGTTTTTGGAATGCATGTTTTAGTTGATGACTCGATCTTCTGCTGCAGGAATTGTGCCCATAACTCCTCGTCCAAAGAATTCGCTGACCGTTCCGAAGCGGTTTTGACTTCGGGCCAGGGCCGCCTTGAACAGATCATGCTGCTCAGTGCTTTCCACTTGTTGTCGACGAATTGCTCGGATGGTGTCATTGCCGGGTTTGCAGATAGGACAGTCGATCTTATCATCGTCGGCTGTGCCGACACCAGGCTTGTTTAAGCATTCTTGATGAAACGAGTGCTTGCACATGAAGTGAACCGTCGGCAACGTCAGATTTCGACCACAGGACGAACAACGACGAGCTTGAAACACTACCGTCTTCGTTTCAAGATCCGCCAATTCCGACTTTTTCGACGCAGTCTCTGTTCGATAAGAGTCGATCAGACGTCGGTTGGCCTGGATTTCCTTTCGTTCACGCTGGATATTGTCTGATAGATATGCCTTGACCATCCCCATTGTCACTGCACCACCCTGTGACAGTACTTTGACCACTTGGAGCGGTGCCATGAGATTCTCCTGGTCAATCTTTCTAAGAACCTTTTGGAGTTCTTCCTTGACTCCCGGTTCCTTGAGAACTTCTTCGGATGAAGCAAAATACCCGAGAGCCAGTGGATAGAGCGACGGTTCCTTGACTCCGTACTTGCGCAGTGCAGAGATGGCACCAGACGTGTCTTTCGCAGAAGTAAACGACCGAAAGATGTCGGCATAGAGATTTTCTCTTTCGCGCACCAAAGTCGTGCCAGCTGGGAATTTTGACAATGAAGACAGCAGCAGAACATTCGACGTGTCGATTGTCGATTCATCCAACGTCTCGGTCTTGTTGTCGGCAATCAAGCTGGTTGCTTTGACCTGCCATTTCTCCTTTTCTGCTGCTTCTCTGGCGTTGTTCGCAGCTTCAAGGTACATTTCAAACAGTGTCGTCGATAGGTCCGACTTATCATCTTTCGACAGATCTTCCTGGACCACAAGGGCTTCGAGGAACTTGATAAACTCCGCAGGGTGTGCAATGAAGGCGGAAAAGGCGCTTCGGGGCCGTGGAACGGTATATGGAGGAGCCTCAAGGGGCACGGCTGCAGGTATTTCCTCGCTGCCGTCTGGTTGGATACCTTCCATTGCAGTCCCACCAACGTTGGAAGATCGATTCATGAATGGCAGGGTCCATAGTGCTGATAGACTCTGAAAGGCTCCTCCACCCGTCTGCGCCTGGACTTCTGACACCGCTGGTATATCTTTCTTCGGAGCATAGCGTCCGGTATAGTACTCGATGAACAGCTTCGTGGTGTCCACTGGACAATGCTCAATCAGACTTCGCGCATACTTCATCAAGACTGGGTATGCTGCATTTGCGTCGAGTCGCCAGATATACTGCAAGGCTTCGGCGTATTTCTTCGAATCCTCAATCAAGATGTCAATCACCAATTCATTCTCACCGTGTTTCGTGGCAAGATATGCTGCCTGTTCATAGTATCCACCTTGCCGGCACATTGAAATCGCTGTCTCAATGTCAAATCTCGCCGTCCCTGGAGCACGAATAAAAGCATCGAGCTTCTCGGTATCCTTCAGCTTAGCGTAGCAATTCAACAGCAATGTCGTATGATCAGCAGTCGCCTTATCGTGGTCGTGTAGTTCTTCCAGGTAGTCAATCAGATTGTGGATTCGCTGCGTATCCAAGTACCGTCGGATCACTTGTGATGGTTCAGTGTTGTCGATGGCTCTTAGGTATTGTTGCATGGCTGTGTCGTAATCACCTTTCTGGTAGAGATAGTCACCATATTTTCTGAAGATAATATTCTGCTGGATTTTATCGGCGCCGGCCTTTTGGGCTAGATTGATTGCATAAATGTACAGATTTCGCTGATAGAGTATCTCAAGTTTCTGCTGGAGTGTTTTCTCTTGGTATCGGTACAGCTAAATTTTGTCAGCAGCGGTCCGAGATCCATGGATGTTCAGCATACCTTTCCCTCGATGGTCAACAGGAACAGCTCGTCCCATTCCACAAAGACGTCCTTCACCTGAGCAGGCAATGACTCGGTATGAGCAATAAACTTGAGATCAGTATCGAGCAAGGTGAAAGAAGAGCTGCTGAATAGCTCATCAATCTCATCGCCTCCAAGTCTTCTGAATGTTTTTGACTTTGACACTTGTGCGACTCGAGGCGGACAGACCAGGCCAACGTATTCTTTGTACATCTTCACAATCTTCTTTGGCCCTTCAAAGGCATAGCTGGGTCCACGCCCGCTCGGGCCATAGTAGTAAATGGCGTCCTCTCTAGCAATCACAATGTCTCCAGTCTCTCGGTCTTGGGTCATGCAGCCAACATTGCACCCTCTGTTATCCACCGTGCGTACAGGTTGACCCTGGCCTTTCCCGGATATGATGAGGCTGCAGATTTTCGATGTGTTCGCGATATATAGAACTTTTGTGGCTCCCTGTCGAACTTCTAGCCCAGTGATTGGGTCCTCAGACTCGAAGACCGTCCTTTGCTTTGTTCCCCTGTCATGTATGAAATCCCCACGTATAACAGTCACAGACCCATTTGCAAAGCCGACAGCAACCTGACTCATGTCATCTTCAACAACAAGGGCCGAGACAGGGAACTGTCGTCTGCCGTTTTGCGCGGCAATTGTGCACAAGCATCGAGGCCCTCCAGTCTTCTTCTCAGTCTTGTCCAAAGCCCATACTTTCAGAGACGGGTCCGCAGATAGGTTCTCGGAGAGGGTAACTAGGAACGGCGTGTTCGGTATCTGCCTGATATGCGTGATCGAAGCATCTGAAGAGTCTGTCGCGTGAAACGTGCGGACGACTTTCAAGGCGCGCGAAAGGACGCGCACTGAGCCATCGGAGGAACCAAGAAAGAGGGAGTCAGAGCCGGTAGCTATAGAGACAATATCTTTCTGTAACAGTGAGTTAGTAAAGCCGAAGATGCGCATAAAGAGACGTACGTCGAAAATATATGACCCGTCTTCATCTGCGGGTACAGGTACTTGAGACACATTGAAGAAAGGAAATTGCTTCCAGCTGGTGAGCGCCATGTTTCTCACCTATGAGCGGAGTCGAGGCAATCAAAAGAAGCCATATCACACAGTCGTCATCCGAATCTCATGGTACGCAGGTGTTGTGTCTGCCGGACCAATGTAGGAAGCAGTCTACAGTATTAGATGCCTAGGTGGTAGGCAGCGTTCAACTCTTGGGTGACGTCCGAATCGCTCCCTAGGGGCTCCCAAGGCTAGCCTCACCAGCTTCGGGCCAGCCTCGTGGGTTGCAACGAAACTGATCGGTTATACCACCGAGATCCAGCACCAAACCTGTCTACTTCTCCAGTAATTCCATATAATCCAACAGATTTAATGTTTATCTTATGAGCGTTTGTCGAAGGTCGGTCTTGTACTTATAGACTATCTACAGTAATAATTATCTCCTACTTAGACATTCTGGGTGAGTAATTCTGGTGAATAATGTAAAAGTCATGGGCTTGAACCACGCCTACTATGCTTATCGATAAGGGTTAAATCCAATGCCACCGACGAGCCAGCCTTGCAGCTACCTCGGCAGCCTTGCGGGATGATGATTATGTATGAGGCAGTCACTGAGTTAACTTGGCTGAACATCCAGAAATCGTCACTACAGCGTTCCGAGTGCAACAATGAAGCTGGTCTAAAAAAGCCATAGACACTGAACAATACACAGATATAAGTCACACTGGTAGGCATCAAGCCCACTCCCGTTTACAACACATGAATGTATAACATCCACATTTTCCAGTCATCCAATCCTTTTTTGGTCTTATCCAAATCATTACAGGCATCACACATCATTAGATCATCAAACAGCACAGCTTGCGGCCTGTCTAGCAGGAATTACTGCTCCCAGCTGAATCTCGGACTGTGACGCCCAACTGGGGGACTTGCACCTCGCTCCTCTGCCACTGTGCTCAAGCCTTCCTCGACAAATCTGCTTCCGGTGCTTGGTGAGCGGGAGGGTGGGCGTCCATTCAGTGACGGCACCCTCAAGCTCCCATGATTGTTGTTGGCCGAAGGGGGTTCGGTCGAGTCACTCAGAGCATGGCGAGGAGGTCTGGATGTTACTTCTGGCGATACGGGACTGGGAACAGACCTGGCGTTGCTATTGCTGGACTGCCTGGAATGTCCATCGCTGCTCACGCCAATCGGACTGATCCCCGGTTCTTCAGATGACACAGTGCCAAAAGCGCGACTATTCCGGAGGCTGTTGGGGCTGATACTAGTGCTGAAACGAGTCTCATGGATCTCTGCGGGAGAATACGGTGGTACGGGAGAGCTTGACCTCTCGGTGACGGCTGCCTCTGCTGCTTTTGTCATGGAAGCACGGTGCTCAAGCTCTGCAGGCCTTCGAGGATCATTTCTCACAAAGGTGGACCCTCTCTGACCCTCTTCTGCACTGGTTGCGAAGTATCGTGGAGATACCGGCGCCGCTGGCATCTCGATCGGTGTGCTACCCGAGAGTTCAAATCGAGCAGCAGAGGCATCGGCAGGAACCTCGGTAGGTTGGCGCTTGTCGCCCAGAAGTTCAGAGACCGAGGTCCTGGACTCTGGTACCAGATGTAAGCGGGCGAACAGACTCCGCCTCTTGGGTTTTTCGAGGCTACCAGCGTCAGTGGAGCGCTTTTTTCTGAAGCATAGCATCCAGACCAGTCCTGCGGCCAGCAATACACCCACAGCGCTGCCTACGCCAACGCCTGCAGCTGCGCCACTGGAAAGACCAGAATGGCCAGGTATCTGGGGTCCAGGAAATATGCTGTCGTTGGGCCGAGTAATGGCCATTAGGTTCACATTGTTGACTGCATCTAGCGTTAAAACAGCCTGTGATAGAGAGAAATTGTTGCGCTCGTAGTCAACGGTCAGGTATGTTTCTTGCAGGAAAGCTCGCCCAATAGTGTATTGGGTTGCGTTCGCTGCTTTTCGTAGAGGAAAGTAATTGGTTGGGGGCGATGTGAAATCTGCGTCCAGATTTGGGAATGGGTATGATAACTGAAGGTTGAAAGCATCATACGGAAGTGTGAGCTTGATCTCCTTAGAGGATCCAGGTAGGTTGCTGAGAGCAAAGGTGAAGTTCAGGTTCCAGCTTGTCAATATGTCAGGAGATGAAGAATTGTCGCTGGGAAATAGGTAAAGTTGAAGAGTGTCATTGTATGTTAAGTTCAGGGCGTTTGCGAAAGCATCGCAAGCTGCTTCGGGGAGCCACAGAAAAGGAGTAGATGTATCAATCGTAAATAAATTCGAATTGGTCTGGGTAGTGTCGAGTAGCTGTTGAGGATTTGAGTTCCAATTAGAAGGTAACGATTCGCCGTTGGATGCAGAAGAAGAGACGGATATCTCGTTGATAGCGACCACAGGAGCGTAGTCGGAGCTCAGGGTGAAAGTCACATCATTGGGCACGAAGCGATTCGCATCAATGCCTCCTAGCGTTAGGGAAGCAGGGACGCCTTTGAGTCCTAGGGTTCTTGTCAGTGGTAATCGACCAGAGGGGGATTTCACAACTCACGGTACGAAGCTCCTGCTGTGTACCCATAGCTGTGGCTAGGAACGTAGCTCCCATTTTGAACGAGGCTTGATAAAAAGGGCAGATTGTTTTGATCTCCAGTAAAACGAGTCTGCTGTACCCCGAGGCCTAGACTCCCAATCCACTGGTCCGTCGAATTGACCAGGGCAACAATCTGATTGGGAACTGATGTAACATCGTCGAGAGCAATTGTATCGAGGCCATAATAGCCAGAGCCGTCGTCGCTCAGTGACGGGTCAAAGTTGAGTTCAAAGAAACCTTTCGGTTCGAAAGTCGACGACATATTTGCGGAAAACAAGCCTCCTCTTTTGTTCTGACAAGTTGAAGTTCCATCGCATCCTGCCGGGCCAATTACCCAGGTCTCTTGACTAAGTGTGCTTGGGAGAACGTACAGCCACTGCTCTGGCGTCCCAACACGAAGGCTCACTGCAGACCAAGCGCCATCGTAACCAAGAAAATCGGAGCTCGTGGTCGCGACAATCGGTTTAGGTTGCGTATCTGCGGCGGAGCAAGGCTGTGGAAGAAGGACGCCGACCAAGAGACAGCCGTAGGTTATCAGGAACGGATGCAATATGCGAAGCGACCTAGAGCAGCGCATCACGTCGTGATTGCAAAAGGGAACAAGCCCATTGACATTGGCAGGGGGCAACAAGGCGGAGCGGACGCAACTGAATCGGGTGATTTGAGCGAAAGACACTGCTAACCATGCAAGACCGCCGTAAACGAGGGCAAATGGCGACTTGGTACTACTATAACAATAGCGAGAGGATGCCGACCGGGTGGACGAGACTGTCGTTGAAGATGAATGTGAATTGAGCGACCGACGGTAGATGGAAGAAACTGTGCCCTTGGGCGCAGGATGATGCCCAGGGGTCCATGTTCAATGCTGCCCGCGAATCATGGGCCGAGACACTGTTAGAGGACGAGTAGTGGGGTTCCTTAATTGAACCCACCACCATCCACTCGAAAACTCAAAGGCTCCTGACGGAGGGCCCTTATAGCCCTTATGGCGTGGCGCGTCCTTGGAGGCACCTCGGCACCACCAATGGCTCCTCCGAGTCAACGGTGAAGCCTTCGAAGAGAAGTCCCAGTGGATGAAGACTCGTGTTCGTCTGGCCAGTGCGACAGAGCGTTGCGTTGCGTCGACTTCGCATTTCTGTTCCTTTGTTGTGGTGGGCTATGTGAATGTGCCTGTTACCCTCCGGAGGCGATTGGATCATGTCCTCAGCAGAGAATGCTCAAAGAGATTATTTTGGAAGAGAGTCGAGGAAAGATATCAGCTAGATAGTCTCTAACATCCAGGCGTGCCAGGGCATTTGCAACTCGGTTGTCCTTTACAACAGCGTCTTCTATGGCCAATGATCAAGCACGTCATCTCGCCCACGGACTGAGCGTCAGATCCTTAACCTGGAGTCATGTCTGTTGTTGCCGTATCAGACTTTCAACTCGTCTCGGTTTCTGCCTGTGCCATTCTTCTTTTATACTACTATGACTATAATGGATATTTTCTGGAACGATCAGGACGCGGAGGCTGACTCGCCCAATGCAATGTGTCTGACCATTTTCTGCATGTTGCAAGTTGTCGGTTTGTGAGACTTACCGGGTACAGTTTTCTATTGGTCTTGGCCCCCGAGAAGGCGACTACGTTCAACAGCAAGAAAGAGAATGATATGCTCTTGAAGTGTCGTCTCTGAATTACTGTATCCTCGACTTTTTACTGTGGTACGCGCAAGACCCCATGCGAGTTCGACCCAGGCCTTTCCCTGTGAAATACCACCATGCCGAGTCGAGCAAGTTTTGGCGGTCTGATGCCACAAGGCAGAATCGGTGGTGGACCTCAAACTTCAAGAGGCAATGTCACTGTAGAGGTTCCAGTTTATGACGCACAAGGAGGCGGCCAAGCAGTCGCACGGCTGATATATTTTGAGCTGGCTCGACCATACGACGGGACGACTATTTAAGGTACAGAGTTTTAGCGAGACCGGTGTAACATGAGAAATGAAAAAAGAAAAAAGGCACTACAAGATGCAAAGAACATCTGACATCTGCTCGTATACCATAGTAGGCAATGATCAAGGACACTCGGGCCAGGCCCCATTAACGCGTCTCAGGTTGAGGTTGTTCGCAACGAAGGCTGCGCAAGTACTGGACCACCAGGCAAAGTCAGGCGCACCAGGCTGAGGACTTGCTTGGTGAATTGCAGCGGGAGATGGGCAAGCCTAGAGCTTTTAGTCTTGCATCTACCGAGATGGCCTTCGATTAAAGGCGAGCCCAGGGAGATGAAGATGAGGTGATTGTGGATCGAGACGTGACCAGTCAGCCTTCACACTGGCAGCGGATTTGGCACCCCCCAACCCGCCCTTCTCGGTTTTCCGGTGTCACGGCTCGACGGCAGAAACCAGCATCCTTGCGGGGCGAGGTCGTTGGTTTCGTCCCTGCAAGCCTTGAAAACCACAATCTTGCTCTGGTGTGAGGATGAGTGGCTTGGTGGTCCAGTGGACCAATCTCAGTGCCCATGTCGCCCATCGAGCATCCCTCAAGCCCTATGTGCTAGTATTATTACTCGTATTCATGACTTGTATTTCCAGGCACCTCCACTCGGCTCTCTCCCTGCCGCAACCTGGCAGCATCTGGCATCCACCCGAATCCTTCAACCCCCAGACCCAGTAGCTGTCAACCAGTCGACATGCCCGAGGCTGAGGATGACAAGCTGCTGAATGGCTGGCCTTGCAGGGCCTAAGTTAGCGAGTCTGTGAGTCTGTTTGATCATGCAGCACTTTGTATGCAAGCAAGCCTCTGATACGAAAATCTCAATTCCCAACCCCTGCTTCGACACCGCCAACTCTGGCTATCAGTTTCTTGGAAGGATTTCTGTCAATGGGCTAGCGATAGCCTGAGAATCAGCCCTCTTTCTCCGCAGCTTTGCTGGCATCCCTCCTGCTCTCGACCACGCACACCTTCGCTTGACCTTCGCCTCGCCGCATACATCAACTCTTTCACAGACTGCCTTCACCCAGGGTCTCTTTATCTATCATCTCGACGCTCTTTATGCCCCTCATCGCTCGCTCAACGTTCCTCCTCCGCAGCCTCTGCAATTACGATCGATCGAAAAAGCGACCTGAACTGGTGGTGACCCTGTCAGGGCACGATCGATCGCTGGCTGTCATGCGGCATTGAGCCTCTTTTCCAAAAGTGCAGCTTTCGCACGTTCATTCGCTACAAAGGGGAAATCTACACGCACATTCGCTTGGAACACGGCGCAAGAGTTGGACGCATATCTACCAGCGCCAAGATGCGTTGTCTTTGCTCTCTCGTTACGCTGTCCACGGTGTTGTCCCAAGTGGAAGCAGCCAGCCGTGGCAATCGGGCACCTCCCAAGTTCATAAGGAGGAGCCCGGTAGGCTACACAAATTCCACGACTCCCGACTGGAACTCTACATCTACTACTTCAACGACAACAACTACTATAGTACCAACTCCATTACCGACGATATCGCCCGATACTATTACAAGTTGGACAAGTTCGAGCCCGGCAATAGTTACGACAAGCTTGAATGCTGGAATATACACAAACACCTCAAGCATCCCAATATATACAAACATCTCGACAGACTCGCCAACATGTGCTGGATCGGTGACATATTTTGGTTCGGTTCCTCCCACTGTCTATCTCACAGTGACCGAAGGTTTCACTGTGACTGTCACGGCTAGCAATGTATCCGTCACCGAGGCCCCAACTCTAATCACTCCTCTACCAGCGTGTCAGGCCACAATCATGCCTCTGGTCGGCTCAGTTTTTCCTGAAGCCTCGTATGCCTCAGCCACGTTTGCCGCTTCATATGAACCAGGTCGAACTGGTAGTTTCGCTCCTGACATAGCGACCGCAAATCCCGACGTTACTGGTCCTCCTCAGCCACCGGCATTCAGCGCTACTCAGGTATCCTCGGCTTATTCCAGTGTCGATTATACAAGCACGGTAATCGTGACCAAAAAGACACCAGTCCCAGTTGTTGTACCTTCGACCGGTCCACCAGACGTCAATTTTCAGTCTCATTCACCCACACCAGCTCCTCCCCCAACACCAGCCACGGTAGCACCAATCCCGGCTCCTTCCAATGGTGGCGCTAGCAATAATGGTGGTAATAGTGGTGGTAATAATGCTGGGAGTAATACCGGTGGAGGCTCCAACTCAAACAACAATGGCGGCGGCAATGCATCTCCAGGGGGTGGTGGCAATGCTCCTTCCCCTGCCGATTCCAAACCCTCTCCAAGCACGAAGAACGCCATAACGCCTTTCCCACCCTTGACTAACACTGCTGGTGCCGCTGCCGGCACCCTAATAGTAACGACATCGACACAGAAAGGGATCGGCAACATCATCGCTTCTATCATCAACTCACCCTTCGCTACCCCAGGACCAACGGGCCGGCCGACATTCACGCCTATTACTACGACGATTGACAATGTTCGAGTCGTGGTTTCTCAGTCCAGTGTCATCATTGGAACCCAGACCGTTGCAATCCCCACGACTTCCTCGACGACAGTCCAAGCCAACGGAGCGACGTTCGTTGTTCGACCGAGTGTTATAGTTGCCCCAACAGGGACCATCACAATATCGCCCGTCCAACAGAACAACGTGGTGACAGCGCCACCGGCCACCACTACGTTCACGACTTCTGTTGGCGACTTGACTTTCACCATTGGGCCGACAGTGGCGATCATCTCTGGGACGACATACAGAATTGGTCAAAATGCTCCCGCTACGACCATCACCGTCCAAGGCACCAAGGTTTCCCTTGGATCAGGAGGCGTTGGACTTCCGAGGACAACCATAGCTCCTGACTCCGGTTCGGGCTCGCCCTTCGTGGTGTACACGGCGGAAGGGCTGACGTTGTCGGTGGATGAAAGTGAAGCTGTCATCAGTGGAACGACATACCGGATCGGATCGAATGCACCTCAAGTCAAGACGACGATCGCAAGTGAGAGCGTATCATTTGGGCCTGGGGGTATCGGATTGAAGTCGACGACCATCACACCCACTGCTGCTCCACATACAACTGAGGGCAGCTCAAGGTCAACTGCTACGTCGACATCTGTTACCGAGGCGTCCGCAACGCAGTCGGCAACGGTCGACAGTCTTGCAACTTCCCAACCACGTCCCTTCTTCGCAAGCATCGTCTGGCAATTTATGGGTGTTATCCTCGGCTTGCTTGTTGTTTAGTGTCCAATTTTTGAATTCTGAAGGAATGCACGGAGTTGGAGAAGCGGGCACACTGATCGGGATATAAAATGGTGATTTTCTTAATGAACAGTCGGGCGATATTGGACATTCCCTTTTCGAATTGGAATATGAATTGATACCCGGAACATAACGCAGCAACATGAAATGGGGCGCTGGGACTATTGGCTTGGGCCTAGTTGGCATGGTAAAATTAAGTAGAAGAAGTAGTCCGCTGGGCAAGGAGATTCTTGAGGGCGAACCACTTCAAATATTAATACGATCACTCTATCTCTATAACGGCGCGTCTATTTTTATCAGCTTAGCATTAGACTTCCCGCAACCATGCCAGATACACTCATGATGCTGGCCATCAGAAAATTGATCTGGTTATTGTCCAGGATGTCGTGGCCGGAATTGATCACTCTGCTCTCATGGCCTTCCTTGGATTCTCCGTTTAGTCCTTGGTGAGGTTGAGGTTGCCGTTTCGTAAGGACTTTCACACCGCCAGGTCCTTCGACGATTTTACCCGTCCGACGGTCGATCACCGACGCTTGCAGAACCGCGCCGAGCAGTGAGTCGAGCAGTGTGCCCGCTGTGCCGAGGAGTGTGAGGAGAACGAAGGTCTGCAGGTGTGTGACGCTGCTATCCGCGCAGAATGGGAGGAGGAATAGACTTGTCAGCGCAATCGCGGCGCTCCCTGCTACTCCAGCAAGCAGGCCGGCGAGAGTGACGCCGCCGTTGGAGCCTGGTGGAACGGTGCGGAGGGTGGTGATGAGGACGGGCTTGCTTTTCGACAGGATGCCCAACTCCGAGGACAGCGTGTCGGCGGCCACGGCTGCGTAGTTTGCCATTAAACCCAGGAGAACTAGATCTGCCCATCTATTTTTGGTGTCGGCTCCACCAAAGCACCATTTTAGGGAGCTGGAGGAGCTGGAAGAGAGGCCATAAAGGTAGATATGCAGCAAGACCAGGGCGGTGGCTGCGCCGCTGTTCGCAAAGACCTGGACACTTGTACGTGGTCCTTCGCCTGCGGAGCTCCCGCTGGACGATTGTGTAAGGGTGGCTTTGACGTCGTGTTTGACTTTGGTAGCCCATGTGCCGAGCAGAAAGAATACGCCGAGGAGTGTGAAGGGGAGAGGGGATGGGTGTAGTGCGTGGATGCTCGCGGTCAGCCCAGCGGTCAAGATGGCTACAGGTGTGAGGCTGTGGCGGGTGTAGGCGCGGAGTAGGAGGAGGACGATGCAGGGGACGGCGATTATGGCGCGCATATTGCCAACAGATATGATGCAGGAAGGTCCTCGAGGGTTGAAAGAGTAAGAGTGAGAGGAGGACGTTTGAGGACGCAACGTCAAGGTCGTTGTCCTGCCGATGGTCGTCTGAGGAAGAGTCGGATTGTAAGGAAGAGGAGAAAGCCAGTCGAAGAAAAAGGCGGATTTCTTAGGACAAGCGGTATACCATGCCGTCGCTGCTGTGACCTGCAGGAGGGATGATTATGTGGGCAGGTGTAAGAGCTACTAAGAATGTTGCATGCTCTCCGCTATTGTACCTTGTAAATGCCCGATACCCCAAGATATGAAGCGAAGATGAGCCGATTCAAAATGACGTTCATTGCGCCAATGGACGATTTGGTATTGATGTTTACTCGCCTCAAATCTCTCTTGCCATCGTATCTTCAACTCATCGTCGCCCTTGTGTTTGAACGTCTGGAAGTTGAACATGCTTCATATTTACCTGGATGTCCAGCATGTTCAAATCATTCCTCGCTAGGCCGCCCATCCTGTCCCACGGTGTGACCCTATCCCAGCGCAGCAAGCCAATTCGACGATATCTTCATCTTGCACCTCCATTCCTTCTCGACGACTACATCCCTCGCTACCACTTGATATCCTCCGCCGACGCCGCGAAGAAACGGTCCGCAGCCTACGCCCACCTTCGCCAATGTAACCTCTGCCCTCGCCTGTGTAATGTCAACCGCTACGAGACGACCGGGCATTGTCTCATCGGAGCGGAAAAGGTCAAAATTGGTACGATCGCCCCTCACTTCGGCGAGGAGCCCTGCCTGCAAGGCCATAACGGCTCAGGCTCGGTCTTTTTCAGTGGGTGCAATTTGCGTTGTGTGTTCTGTCAGAACCACGACATTGCCCATCAGAAGGTCGGGTTCGACCTTACACCCGAAGAGCTCGCCGAGTGGATGATCAAGCTACAAGAGGTGGGCAATGTCCATAACATCAACTTCGTCACGCCGGAGCATGTGGTGCCGCAGGTGGCTTTGGCGATTTTGACCGCGAGAGACATGGGACTCAAAGTGCCTATAGTCTATAATACGAGTGCCTTTGACAGTCTAGAGAGTCTCAAGCTGATGGACGGGCTAGTTGACATATACTTGCCCGATTTCAAGGTTTGGAATAACGAGACGAGTAAAAGGCTGCTCAAGGCGGATGCTTATGCCGATGCGGCCAAAGAGAGTATACAGGAAATGTACCGACAGGTAGGCGACCTTTGTTTTACCGCGGATGGCATCGCGAAGAAGGGTCTACTGGTCAGACACCTTGTCATGCCCGGTAAAGAGCAAGAAGGTGTTCAGATCATGCAGTGGCTGGCCGGGGTACTGGGGAAGGATGTCTTCGTCAATATCATGGAGCAGTATTACCCTGATGCGCATGTCGGGAAGGAAAGGCGAGGGGCCAAGACTAACAAGGAGGAAAAGCGGTATGCCGAGATCAACCGACCCGTCAATCGAGATGAGATTGGCATTGTGCAGAAGGCTGCTAGGGACGCCGGCCTGTGGAGGTTTGTTGAAGCGGCAAGACATGGCGGTTACAATGTTTGACCCCAAGGTTTGTCGACTCAACGCTTGCAGAGCATCGAGATTCCATCAAGCCTGCTGTATCGATGCGTCGGTGGTCAAAGCTCCTTTGTCCCTTTTGAGGCCGTGACGGTTTGTCCCTTTGTCCAACATTGACCAATGAAAAAATCACAACTCAGACAAAGGCAGAGTAAGGATTGATGTGGATATGCTTCAGCTCTCGGGTTCTTCTTCTCACGGAGAAACGGTTGCATATGACACAGGAAAATGTCGACGTTGCCCTTCTCTGGATTACTGTCCTTGCCGAGGCCCACGCTCTGCGCATCCCAATATTCCCGACTGCAGCAGGAAAGACAGTACCTTGCGCATGCATTGTGTGAGCAGCAACGCCGAAAAGAACGCTTCGACCGAGCCTTAGCGAATACCGAATCAAAAATTGCCAAAGCAGTGTCTGATGACACGCCCCCGAAAGTCATCACATCTCTGAGGAAGAGCAGAAGGAGTCTCCGCGGGAAACTAGGAAAATGTAACAAGTTGGAGCAATCAATACTCCGAAATCTGGACGTCGTCATCTCACAAATGCGGAAACTTGAGCAACTGCAATGGTGTAGAGCGAGATCTATGAGCCTGGCACGACAACCAACGTCCAATGGGTCATCGATAACGCATGCTACTCCAGGAGGAATGTTCGAGCCCCAACAGCGCGATATGATTTCTAGATTGTCAACGGGATACTCTATCCCTTCTCAGCATCGCTTCGCGCCTATGGATCAGCAATCGTCACGCCAGATCCCTCAAACACCAGTCTTGCGACCACTGAAATCTTCATACATTTATTGCCATGCACAATTTCAAAATCCTCCTTATGGGCGAATTCCGGCTAGGCAAAGTCCGTTCGATTCGAGCAGTCCTACAAGTACTGTCTCAAAATATAATTTGAGTCCATCCATAGCGGCACCTCCAGTCTACCTTCCGCCAAGCTGCGCACAAGCAAACCAATATGCTGCTATCACAGAAAGCGTCAACAATCTGTCCATATCTAGCGAAGAAGAGCACTTACCCACCCAGGAAAATGCGGATGGGCTTCAATCACAGCATCCCCTGAATGCTGCAGATCTTGAGAGAGTAGTCCGGCGTCTGAGATTGCTAGGCTGCCAGAAGTCAGCTCTTCGACTGGAGAAACAGGCAAGAAAGCACAATTCTTGCTAGTTGGGAATTTTCGTTTGCCTTGCAGCCAACGATACGGCAAGGGTTGCTCTGTTATTCACTTCCCATGACCAGTGTCACTTGGCGAAGTCCTGGCATTATTCTGGCAGACTTCACAGCAATTTGAAGGGAAATCATGCCACTGACTAGGCATATCTTCCTCCTTCACAGCAATCCCACCATCAACATCCTGAGTCAGTTGCTCATCTTTCTACTTCGCACACATCAAACGTTTGGATATTTGTCTTGGTGTTCGTTTGCAGCTGAAATTCTACCCTACAAAATGTGTCAATACCGACTGTTCCATTCATGAGTCCTCCCTTGCATTCAATACCTTTCTGTTATTCTCTTTGCTGATATTTCAGCCTGTGTCCGCGCTCAAGCGTACGGGATATGTGAGCACAAGCATTTCTCCCTACCCACGTTTACACGGTGATCCGATCAGCCACCCACCAAGAGTCTGCACCCATGGCACAGCCGCCTACCACGATGAAACCCACCTTTGTTCTTGCCGTCTTGTTCTCCACTCTGGTCACCTGTCTCCCTCATGCTCGTCGCTATGACATTTCGTCGAACACCACTGCAGACTCTTATGACTACGTCGTCGTTGGTTGCGGTATCTCCGGCCTCGTCGTCGCCACGAGGCTGAGTGAGGACCCTAACGTCTCTGTCATATGCATCGAAGCTGGCTCTCTGTAGGTCCCCTTCCTACATTTCGCTTGCTTCGCTGATGCTTACACGGAATTCATAGCGACCACCACGAAGACATGATCGAAATCCCTGTCTTCATTGGCGAACAACCACCGGACTTCTACGCCTACAACCTGTTAACCGTCCCACAATCCCAACTGGACAACCACACACGCATCCTCCCCATGGGTAGAGGCGTCGGCGGCGGCAGTCTCATCAACGGCATGATTTGGAACCGCGGTAACCAAGAAGACTTTGACCTGTGGTCCGAATTGGGAAATCCAGGCTGGGACTGGAACAGTTTGTTGCCCTATTTTCAGAAATCCGAAACGTACACGCCTCGAACCTATCCAAACCTCACATACCAGCCCGCGAGCTTTGATCCGGCCATCCACGGCTCTTCAGGTCCTCTGCAGGTTAGCTATCCGGCGTACTACTGGCCGCAAACGGGTATGTCGCATTGCGTTTGACGTCCGCCCGTCTCTGACACCTCCCCTTTCGAGTAGCGTAGAGTGGAAAGGATGTTTGACACTAATCGACATGCAGATGCCTGGTTCACCGCCATCAATACCCTTGGTGTTCCACCGTGCGTCGACCCCAACAAGGGCACGTCCGCTGGAGCGTACTTCCTCCCCGTGTCTCTGGATCCAGCTACCCAGACTCGCAGTGACGCTCGACGTGCGTACCACGATGCAGCCGCCCATCGGCCGAATTACCACATCCTCACGAACACGCAAGTGGTGCGTGTCATCTTTAACAACGGTACGACGAATTCGACACCCGACGGCCGTCATGATACCCCGCTGGCCGTTGGCGTGGAGGTACGTTTCTACCCCTTGTAGCGGGAAAACGCCATGCTGAAAAAGATTTGTGGCAGATGCTCGGCGGTCGTATTGTATACACAGGCAGGGAACTCATCCTTGCCGCCGGCGCCATTCACACACCCCAGATCCTTGAGCTCTCTGGCATCGGCGACGCGAATGTATTGTCGGCCCTTAACGTACCGGTCGTCGTGGACCTGCCTGGCGTCGGGAATAATCTGCAGGATCACGCGCTGCTCAGGTTGGAGTACCCTTGTACGTTAATCCTTCCCATCCCCCTCCTTCTTTCGACCTTTTTCTTGTTCTCTGCACGTACACTTCTACTGATAAATTTTGGTTGTTGTAAATCTTAGACCAAAGTTCTATTCCCAACCCGTCATGGCTCCTGACAAACTCGACCTTCAACACCAGCGCCGGCGAAGAGTACCTGTCCAGCCGCACCGGCCCATGGACGTCCAAGCCCAGCACAGCAGTTGCATTCCCGTCGCTGGCGCAGATCAAGAACGCGAGCCACGCTCTCGACATGATCAGCACGGCTGCTGCCACACAAGACCAAGCCCAAGACCAAGATCAGTCCTATCCCTCCACGTACAGAGAATCCACTATCCGCGCCGGATACGAGGCGCAAATCAGCCTTGTCCTGCAGAACTTACGCTCGAACGACACGCCCGCATACGAGATCCTAAATGACAATTCAGGAGGATTGGACATCGCACTCATGCGGCCCCTGTCCCGTGGGACAACACACATTATCAACAGCCGCGATCCGACCGTCGCTCCGGCCGTCGACCCACGCTGGCTGAGTCACCCGTTCGATTTCGAGGTCATGATCCTGGCCATGCAGTTTAACCAGCGGATCTTGGACACGCCTAGTATTAGCGCGTTGATGCCGTCGTATGAAGAGGACGACAACATCTCGGGTACTACTATCCCAGCGTGCCCCGCCAATAACGCAACGCGGGAACAACTCGAAACCGTGCTGAGACGCGGCGTGAATACAGAGTACCACTACTCCGGCACGTGTGCGATGCTGCCGAGGAATTTGGCCGGCGTGGTCGACAGTGCCCTGCGAGTGTACGGCACACATGGGCTGAGAGTCGTTGATACGAGCGTCTACCCCGTGGTTCCGGGGGCGCATTTGCAAGCTGTGGCCTATGCGGTCGCCGAGAGAGCGGCGGATATCATTCGCGGACGAAGCCTGACCGGTACGACCGGTTCTACCGGTACCGACACAGCTGATGACGCGAAAATGCCGCTGTGATACCCGGCTGGCATCCATACGTAGTACGGCCGATCGATGTGTTCAGGTTTCTGATCTTCAAAGGACAAGGTGAGGTTGAGGGTTGGAGTTGCTTCGCGAATTTGTTTTTGCTTTTGCTTTTGCTTTTTCGGGGATGTACAACAGCAAACAAAACGACGCATGTGACGCACGACGCGTCTGGTGCATGGTGGTCTACTAAGGAATGGGCGTATCGGCGGCGTTTTCCACTGTCAGCGGTCGACCTTTGGAGGTTTTGGACTAGCTGCAACGCCGCAACACTGTGGACTGCATGCTGGATAGTAGATGCGGACTACCGGTACGGATAGAGATGAGCAGGTTGGATTGGACAGCATCAAGAGCGGGCTTTTATTGTAGTTGAGCGACAGATATGTGGCTGTGGCTCTGGCTGTGGTTGGCAACATGAGAACTTTACAAAGTAAGGCTGGTTTGGTTTGGCTGGTAGCTTGCACGATGTTTGCGTCAATATGAACACAGTATCCTCGATGGGCTCGGCCCATAGAGATCTCCCCTTCCCGCTCCCCCATGTTTTTGTTCTCCGTCTTCCTGAATAAGTTGTAGCTGTCAAGCGACTTGGAGTTGGCATCATCCACAAATAGGGAGTCGAGCCTTGCTAAAGGAAAAAACCTCGCCCGGCACTCGGCCGACCTTTTGAAAGAGACCGGCACCGTTCGAGGAAGAAACTGCAAATTGTGGGCCACGCCAAAGAAAGGCCCATCTTCTGACTCGTGCATCTCAAGTATGGTTATCAAGCAAGAGGTACAATAAAACCCCCAGGTCCCCTGATGCTGGCCCTCGTAAGACTTATAATCTCCCTACATCCGTCGTGCTGATAGCTTAACTTTCCAAGTCTTTGTGTTCCTCGTTGCAACAGCACACAATTTGAACCCACCATCATACACCAACATCGTGATTGACGTGGGTATATCCGACCAACTCCAAGTCTGTCAACATGCCTCACAGAGAGGAAGCACCACTGTCGCCGGTAGTCGACACCACGGTCCACCATGGAGATTGGCGAGATGACCTATTCAAACACGGTTTTGTTGTCGTCAAAAATGTCATCAGCCCGGAGAGGGCGGCGTACTATGTCGAAAGAATGTTCGAATGGCTCGGGACGTTTCCGTACGGCTTTGATCGGAATAATCGGTCCACGTGGTTTCCAGAGCATCTCCCCAGACACATGAAGTACGTCAAGACTGCTCATGTGCATGGCATTTGGTGGAGTCAGATGGCTGACTTTTTCATCGCAGAGGCGGGATGTATCATGACTATGCTGCTCCGCACGAGGACTTTGTCTGGGAAGCTCGATCGTAAGATTGTCGATATAAGTTTCGCCCATCCCACTTACAGGAAGACAGCGAGCCAGAGGTCATCAACGCTTTTGCGAAACTCTGGGGCACTGACGAGCTGCTCGTCTCGTTCGACGGTATCAACTTCACGCTGCCAACTCTCACCCCTGCTCAGTCGCAGCCATGGCCTCACATTGATCAATCCCCAAGGCGGAAGGGTCTAGTATGTGCACAGGGTATCATAAACTTAGCACCAAACGGATCGGAAGATGGGGGATTGGTCGTCCTTCGAGGCTCTCACAACCTCACCGAGGAGTTCTTCAAAAAGCACCCGCAAACCTCTGGCCAGAGGGCATGGGGTACTGAGGATTATTGGTCATTCTCGACAGAAGAGGTGGATTGGTTCAAGGAGGCCGGTTGCGAGGTCGTCAAAGTCTGCGCAGATCCAGGTGATCTGATTATCTGGGATTCCCGCACCATTCACTACAACAAGCTGCCCGAGAGTCAGCAAGTCAGATCGATAGTTTGTAAGTGCAGTGTAGAATACCGTTGACAAATCAGAGCTAATTGTTGAACAGATGCTTGCTATGCACCGGCCCAATTTGCCACAGAAAATGATTTGAACTTGAAGAGGCAGCTGTTTCATGAACGCAGGGGCACGGTAGGTCTCGACAGTCAATATTCAAGGCCGCTGGACTGACTGTTGCAGACGCACTGGCCGAACATGAATATCTTCCCAGGCGGCATTCCGGACAACTTGCGTCTAGGAAAGCCAGATATATATAGCAGAGACAGGCCTCTCAACGATGTCCAAGAGACGGACAAGGTTCTGCATCTGGCCGGCGTCAAACCCTACGGAGCGGAGGAGTCAATTGTAGTATGATTGAGGATCGGAGCGGGAGGGGTGTTTGTTGGTATCGTAGTATTAGTGCTCATGGCCCAGACCTTTTGATGATGGCGTGGAGCATCTCGAGAGCCGCAACTGCCACTTGATTGTGCTCTTTGACGGATTCGAAGAAGGCGATGCACCTTCTCACTGGGTTCGAAGGATCTTCGTCAGCACTCCCGCCTCTAAGTTCTTCCTCAATCGCAATGGTAACTGCCGCGGAGAACAGATTGGTGACCACAGCCCTGTTTTTATGTTAGAGTCCTCGACGTGAAACAGCTCAGCAACGAATTGGCACATACCATGAATTGAGCCGCTCACTTGGTTGACCACTGTCCAGAGCTAAGCTGATAATTGCGGTTGATGATGCAAGGCATATCGAGCGTACTCTCTGGAACACCAGTCCTTGATCTGACCAGATGTTTCGTAGAATCTTGTTGACACTGATCCTCAGGTTATGCAGGAGCATGCTGAGTTTTGTTCTCTGCCACGATATCCAAGGATAATCTGTCTCGGAGAACTTGGCGCTGGTGAGAGCGCTTGCGTCGTTCTGCAGGTAGGGCGGAAGCTCAACGATGATTTGAGCGAGGCTCTCGTCCGTCTTCGCAACCAGGTCAACCACGGTCGAGTTCGTCCATCGGCCTAGCTTCAAAGCCATGCGATACCGGTTGTAGATCATTGCTAGCTTGATCATGACAATGTGGTAGTGGATCGGGCGAGGGTGACTGGCTGGTCGAGATTTTGATCCCGAAAGTTCGTCATCGTCCTTTATGGCTGGCATGTTGACTTGGAAGTTCTGCTCCAGAACAATGGGATTTCTCTGATGGATTGGTAGCCTGAAGATCAGTTAGCACGTGCACGGCTGTAACTTAGGTGAGGCGGCATTGACCAGTCGCAAATTATGAGTGTCCACCAGACCCTTCGGCACACTTCTCGCTCGACTGCTGGTCGTGCGGCCAAAGATCGTTCGTCGTCGATCTTGATAGTCTGCGCAATCCGAATGGCAACCGCCCATAAGTTGGCGTGGAAGTGGAACTCGCCAACATTATTGAAGACAATGCCTAGTATTGCTATTGTCTGGACGGTTTTCAGAGTGGGAACCCGGAGATAGTCGGCTTTCTCCAGAAAGAAAATTGCAGTGTCATACCATTTCCGCATCCGTGTCAATGAGGAGCAGTCTGGCGCTGGTGATGTAGGAGTATCCTCTTCATGAAAGAACACTAACACGGCCTGCTATGCTTAACATATGTTGATGAACGGCCGGGCAAAAACTCACACTCAGGGTACTGAAGTATATTGCCAACCAAGCAGGATCATACGCCAGGCGAGCAGAGTGACCTTCATTTCGATTCCAGAATTCGTCATGTTCCTGCTCGAATGTCGGGTGATGCAATGCGTAATGAATCCAGGATATCCTCTCTCTGGCTTGGAGAATCAGGTAATCACTCTGCTTTCTAGTCGGGAACTCGACATCTTCGTACGTAGTTACTGTGCAAGGAAGGTGTTTGTACGTCAAAGAATCAAACAGATGGACTCCAAAGCTTTCGATCGTGTCGTCAAGAACAAAAACATCATCCTCGTTCATGGATTGACTTTCTGTAGTGTTTGGAGTGGCTGCATGGACCTGTGCTCTCAGTGCAAGATTTTCGAGCAAGAGGTCTTGATAAGTTGCCCCAAGGTGGCTCTCATCAGTACCTGCTCTGAGGAGAGTCAACGAGACTTCTCCGCCTTCAAAATAGGGACTCACTGCATCAGCTGGCCCTTGACCTTGACCTTCTCTCGTCTGCAAGTGGAAACAACTCCACGCCGGACACATTGACCGCAAGGGATCTTCTTGTCGCATTTTACCTTTCGCTTATAGCAGCTGATGCATGAGAGTGGCGCACGTTGTGTGTTCCGGATACCGACCTCCATGATGGCATTCTTCTCCAGGGACGATAGCCCGAGTTCGTTAGAGTCAAGGCCTGTCCATCAGATCAAATCGCGGTGAATCAAATTCTGTCGCGCGGCGTGCTATCCAGGACAACGGACGGCGCGAAACACGGATATCTGAAGAGTATCCCAGGTCATTGACGTTATCACACCTTAGATAGTCCGTCTCCTCGATTGATTCAGCTGAGAAGTCGAGAGGACGGGGAGAAGCAAGAAAGACGGAACGGAAAAACCACTTCGGCTCGACGGAGTAGAGAGCGTTGAAGTGCAGAAAAGCACGGTGGAGCAGTAACACAACATGCAGTCCACTTTGCCGGACGACGCCATCATCTTGCAAACCCTGCGGTCGCTCTCGACTGTGGATATTGTGGTCAAGGTTGTGGTAGAGTCTGGCAAGAACATGAGAACCTCCGCGCAATGCAGTAATAAACAAGATGCTCAGCGATGGAGAATCATCAGTCGGAGAACTGTGACAGCAAAAACGCCCACGAATCGCTTATAAATATAGCCGGACCAAATTAACCGGCAGCCATGATATAATTTATTAACCTGGTATCTAGATCAATCCTGAAGAGCAAGAGCCATCCAACGCCGACAACTCGTCTTAAGTACTACTTGCACCTATCAGCCCAACATGAAAAAGGTCGCCGTCTTCCCTGCTTCCGGCAAGCTGGGCTCTAGTGTCTACCTACACCTTTCCAGATTGCTCCCTCCTGACCGGCTCATTCTCATATGTCGACATCCCGACAAGGTACCACAAGATTTGGTCAAGTCTGGCGTCGAAGTTCGTACAGCAGACTACAACGCGCCTGAAACGTTCAAGGACGTTTTCAATGGAGTGTCCTACCTTTGTCTGATTTCCTATCCCAGCATTGAAATCGAACACCGCTTCAGGGTGAGTTCAACCTTGACAACGTACTATCTGACCCTGCTACGACACGTAACGTCTAATCCATCTGTCTAGTCTCACCAGAATGCCATAGCGGCGGCTCTCGATAGCAGTCCTGGTATCGAGCACGTCTTTTATACATCGCTGGGCTTCGGCGGGGATGGCGAACCGCAGTCGGCAGCATACGTTATGCAAGCTCATTTGCGAACAGAAGCATGGCTCAGGGAACTCGCCAGCAACGAACGGAAATTCACCTTCACGGCTATTCGAGAGGGCATCTACTCCGAGACATACCTCATGTATACAGCATTCTTCGACCCGAAATCACCGGCGGAAAAGGTCAGGATACCTCATGATGGCTCGGGACCGGGTGTTGCGTGGGCTTGCATTGGTGATCTGGGCGAAGCGACCGCGAAATTGATCAAGGAGTATGTCGACAATCCAGGTGATCCAATGTATATCAACAAGATTATTGTTCTCAGTGGGCCTAAAGCTTGGTCGCTGAAGGAGACAGTTGACTTGCTTGGAAGACTTGCAGGAAAGAAAGTGTCGATTGAACAGGTCTCCTTTGATGAGCATGCGACAGATCCTAAGGTTGTGGACGCGTTAGGCTCTCATGGTCCGGGCAACAATGTGTCAAGGGATTGGACGACGGTGTTCGAGGCCATTCGGAATGGTGAGACCGCCGTTGTCAATGGCGAACTCGAACGATTGCTTGAGCGACCACCAGAAAGTTTTGAGACGACCGTGAAAAGGATGCTTGGTGCTTGATCAAAATGAGGAGGGTGTGCAGTCGCCGGGAGACAGTGCCAACGCAAGAGCATCAGGGGCATATCCTGGACTGTGTACGATCTGATCTGTTCATTTGGCTATCCAGAGGACCACTATAAGATACGTAGAATATAGAAAATAGGCCCCACAGGAGGTGCCTTTAGCAACTGCGAGGAGTCGGAACCCCCATCAGCGAGGCATGAGAGATGTCGCTACCGCGGCAGCTGCGCCCTCATGGGCCATCTGTATAACTAATCTAGTACTAGTATCGTCTCTGAAGTGAGGCCACTCTGAGAAACTGGATTATAGATCTTAGACGCCCCTTCCCTCAAGTTCAAGAAATTCTCGAAGCTTTTATTGAGTTCCCCTGTAGTACTAGTACTAGTAGTTCCTGCGCTTTCCTTAGAAGTGGTCGGTCACTTTTGATTAGTACTAGTGGTACTTTTCTGTCGAGGAAGACTCTACTTCACACGTCCAGCACCTCAGCTTCAACTTTTCTGTTGCCGTCCAAGTTTCCCTCTCTTCACCCTCCTGTTCTGCAAGTTCAACGAGCCCCTGTCTTCGTGGTCGGCCGTACCACGAGTCCCTGTGTCACCAGCCCGCATGAGCCTAAACACACGATCTCCGGAGAGTCACCTGAAAATGAGAGAAGAGTAGGAGTAGGAGGAGGCCTTTCTTTGGGAACACAATCGCCTCCTCGCCCGACAATCCTTGTCGATTTCGCCGGTTTACGAGGACGCTCGAGACTAGAGCACCGGCGAGAGCTACTATCGAAATTCAACTGCACAGCTTCAAGTTTACTCGTCGGGCCCAACTAACGATTCTTTTCGATGATGGCTTTCCTTTCCAACTTCCACAACACTGTCAGAACTACAGTACCACCTTTCAGTCGTCCACAACATGATCTCTACCAGCAAACGAGGGCCAGGCGAGAAATTTGCGGAGTCGAGCCCATTCAGATACAAGACATATTAGCCATTGGCAAGAGTTGAGCATAAAATAAAGCTAACGCCCAGAAAGGATCGGACACTGCCGCGCTTTTGTCGTCTCCACGTGCAGAATAATCTTGCTCCCCCTACAGTAATCAATTGGGATCAATTACTAGTTTTTCGGCAATCTGAACCGGGTCAGGACCGGTTCAGATCAATCACTGATTCAGATCATGCGATCCTCGATCGATCTGGCATCGATCCTCAATCAACTAGGGGCCGGTCTAGGGCCTAATTGATCACCCATAGGAGGGCACCGATTCGACGAGGAAATAATTTGAAATACAGTAGCCTACTGATTATCAAACCAACTTTGAGCAATTTCATCAACTAGGGAGGTCATGGCGCATATTATCAACGTTTGTATTTTCGAAGGATCCTCCCTAAACCTGCCGAGACATCTAACTTTGCTTTTTCTTGATAGACCGCCTCTCTATGGCGGCGACAGATCCAATAATGGTCAGAATGCTCAGGGCCAATGGCAGGTACAGTGTTTGCACGACAGCCTCATTGTGGCCGCTCAACACGGAGTTCAGCTTCTCACTACCGATATGGGATCGAATGTCAGAGAGACCGAGGTGAGAGAGTACCGTAGCGTTGGTGGTTGGAGACGACTGCTTGATCTCGGTGATCAAGCGCTGGTGGAAGAGGGTGGCAGACGTGCAAATCCACAGCGCCGAGCCCATGCCGGCCCCGAACACCATAATGGCACCACCAACGGATACGTCTTTGGTGTCCAGGACCGTTTGGACCGCGAGCTGTGGTCCCTGGATACCCAGGCCGATGGCCACGCCAGCAGCTTTGAAGATGCTGCCCTGAAAATTGATGGTGGGATACTGGTAGCCAACATAAAAGCCGGGAAATATTTCTGTCAGCGGTAGGGACAATGGAATGGCAGGAATATTACGAAAGTAATAGCCTAGCCGGGTAACACCCAAGCCGGCAGCTAAGAGGGAAACACTGAACCCGGCAATCATGGGTAACCCAAGCAATCCCGACTTGGAGGCAGTGTAGCCACGGACGCCCTGAAAATAGATTGAGATGTAATACTTAGTCATAGCGAGCACTCCGTTGCAGCATGTTGTGTACCAGACGCCCGCGATCATGCTGCGCTGCTTGGCGATCCTAAACGGCACGGTCGCTGTCTCGCCCTGGCGATACTGCACATAGCCAAAGGCAAGGATTAGACAGCCAGCAAGTATGAAGAAGACGTTGATGATGGGATTGTTCCATCCGTATGTGGGTGCCGCCCCATTGGAGAGCCAGCACAAGAATGGTGATGGCGGGCACAGCGAGTAAGGTGCCAAAGAGATCCATTTGCTTGAGCTTTGCTCGGAATGGCATTTCACCATGAGGGTGTGGCAGGGGATCCTCGAAACCGTAGACGATGAGCGCGATGCACATGACACCCAGGGGGATGTTGATGCCAAAGCATGCACGCCACGTGAAGGTGTCGATCAATGCACCACCGATGATGGGAGCAGATACCAAACCTACTGATTGACAGCCGCCGACGATGCTGACCATCAAGGCTTGCTTGTGAAGGGGAAAAAGATGTTTGAGGAGCTTCAGAAAGCCGCCTGCGATCACGCTGACACCGAGGCCTGCCACAGCACGACCAGCGATGAATATCTTGGAGTTTGTCGCAAAAGTGCATAATAGGCTTCCGACTTCGAAAATGGCGACGCTCAGCATGAAGACGGATTTCATTGGGAACAAGGTGTACACTTTGCCGAAACTGCTAGGTGATCCAGACAGGGCAAGGGCGAGGGCAAGCCTGGGACCAGTATTTGCCGATGATGGGGAAGAAAGAGCATGCTTACAAAAAAACGAAAGCACTGCGGCCAGACCGCTATGAGATGACACAGTGGATATTAGTCTCCTATGTCCGAGTCGTCAATCGTTTTCCTGTTTCAACTTACTAGGCCGCCGAGTACCAACCGATATCAGCAATCGTCTTGGACTTGTCGGTGAGACTTGGGACCGCGACAGCGACAATCGTGAGATCCTACACCATGATGCACTACTTAGTAAATTGAGAGTCGTTCAGTCATGTGTTGCTCCCCGCGAAGCCTGGGAGCACTGGTAAAACGTACCAATCCGTTGAGAAAGATGGAGATACACAGCGAGAGGCCATGGTCAGCCACAACTTGGGTCCCGATGGATAAACAACGATGTCCTCCTATTCAGAACTCGGAGCCCCGGGCTCCTCGATTTCGAGCTGCTCAATGCCCGTGGGTGGGGAGGAGGCACCCGCATCTGAGGCCGGTGAGGTGGTCGGCCGAGGCTGTACCGCTTGCGCTGTCGTCGTCGAGGCTGCCATGCTGGTCAAGGTCTGAATTCAAGTCCACAATCACAGCCTGTATCGAGTCTGCCTAGGTTTACAGTTTGCAACAACAGATACTAGTATTCCGGTCGAGGTCGGTCGAGCTCATAAAACTGCAACGTCACGCCAAGGTGCCGTGGCGCTATATAAGTCAAGGCGGCTGTAGCCTAGTTAAGGTCGTCGGACGCACTTACGCCAGAGGCGCCTACTAGCATCTCGTAGCTTGGTTAAATACTAACTTAGGTATACAAGTATGTACAGTACTGGTAGGAATCGATTGGTACTTACTCAATGAACCCAATGCGATCGGTGTATTAATTCGTAATCCTTTTGTACCTTGAAATCGAAAGTAAAAGCCCTCATGTCTGCGAGTTTTATTATTCTCTTTAATGTCGAGTTGCTACTCCAAGAGTACTACCAGAACGAATTCATTGCGGGCGTCAGTGACCTCTCAATCTAGCCCCGAGCCTCGGGTTGAAGTATTGTCGTCTGGCTTGATGACCCTGCAGTCGTGTTCATGCATGGTCGATAGGCGATGGTCCGACGCCAATATCGATCGTGTAAACATACAACGGCTTCTGTACAAAGCTTGAGCCGTCGTTGAACGGTGTGCCACGATTCAATTGCGCCGCCGGCATCCACAATTTGCCATACGTGTCGATCCACATGGCATCTACCCACAATAGCCGAGGGTCTTGGACCACTGGAAACAAAGGCACCGGTTAGCACTGCTACTGTACTAAGTATTGCGAAACAGAAAGGGCGGGAAGAGAGGAAAGGGCAACCACAAACATGTCGTCCAGCTACCATTTGGCGCTATCTTGATGATGGCCTGCCGGTCAGTGTCGCTGTTGTAGATGTTGCCCTGCGCATCGATGGCCGTGCCGCCTGTGGAAGGAGTCAAGGCATAGGGTTCGGGATATTGGGAAAGAACGCTGGCGAGGGTGGAATTGTAGAATGCATCGTTGAGGTATTGTGTCTCGATGCGGGACATGCCGCCCTCACAGGGCTGATAGTAGTAATATCGGCCATCCGGCGACACTTCGTGCTGGTCGGCGTAGATGTACTCGAAGCCGCCCATCGAGTTGTGCAGAAGCTTGCCTTCCCCTGAAGCGGGCATGAAGCCTTTCGTGGTAGGATCATCCTCGAGCACGCGCCTGGCTTCACCACTGTTCAGGTCGAGTACGATCAGTGCCGGTGCGCCGGCATCGGTGATGTAAGCGAGGCCCACGGCAGGGTTGAAGCGAATGTCGTCGATGAGGCTGGTTGCGAGAGTGACGTCTGTGTAGCTCCAGGTCAGTACTACTAGTATGGTTGTTATGCCTTACAATTGCAGCACAGCTGTGGTTTGTGGTAACAGTCCTCCTTCCAAGACAAGGCCAGCGAGCGAAAGAGTGAGTATGGAGTACTCACTCCCAAGATTGTAAACTCGAGCGACACTATTCGTCGTCAAATTCACCTGCACGAGTTTAGGTCCATTGGGCAGAATGACTGGCTGTCCAAAACTCGGAGAACCAGTGTCCACGAGCCACAATGTTCCATCTGGTCCGATGCGTTGCGAGTTGGTGCGAATCAAATGTGTTGCCGGATCTTTGCCTGATACGTATGAATTCCATTCTTCGTTCGGATAAGGTGTTGGGCTGCTGCCGTTGTGCCACTCGGCGACTTGAGGTCCTGTTGAACCATCGACGCGGGCATATAGGATAAACAGGCGGCCGTCTGGCGTGGTACTGACGCCGTTGACTGGGTGCTGGAGAGTAAGCGCGACCTGGATCCGCGGGTCCTGTGCAGTAGAAACTGTGGAGGCCAGCCCAAGGAGCAACGAGACGAAAAGCGCTGGCGTCTTCATCATGAAGTGATATGATCAGTCAGTTGACGCGATGCTTGCAATTCAGTCCCAGGATTTACCCCACAAGCAACTCAGGCGGTCGAGGTTGGGCTTGATATACTTACTATACCTCCTCTTCCGCGTAACACGTTGATGACGTTCGCGGTTACTCTGAACCCCTCACAACGCGGAGTAGGTAGGAAGCATCAAGCGGAGTAAACTGCATACCATTGTTACTAGTAGCCGGCAATGAGGGTTAGCTCGTGGTGGTTGCTGGAGTTTGGCCGGCCGCAGACAACAGCCGGCAATGCGATATGGGTGTTTGTCACTGCTCGCCGAGCCTGTGGTAGACCGAGCACTGACAGCAACTGGCAGCCTTGCATCATGCAGGCCGTAGCCTCACATCTAGGGCTACCATGCCCATTTGGGATCCATCACGTAAAGAGAGAGATGCCTTGCTTATGAGAAGCGCCGGCAAACCCCGTCTGAGGAGTCGGCCGTTGGCTTTACAAAAGTACTGATATTGCCAGGGGGAGAATCCAGAAGATTCCCACGCATTGCGAAGATCATCCGTCCGTTGGCATGATATATAGGTAGGGAATTAGTAATTCAGGTTTACTTCTAAGATGTTCGAGAGGGCCACTTCCTCGGCTGATATCCTTCTTCGGCTATAGACCGGATACCTCACCCCACCTGGATGCTAGCAGGCCCAGTATTGAAACAACATGATGGGGCCTCATCATGGCATAAAACGAAAGCACCGTGTCTCATTCTTCCCCCGACGACAAGACAAAAACTCTCCAGTACCACCGCAGCATCGGATTTGAAAACTAACACTAGTAAAAATCCACCTGTGCCATCGCAGTACTCTGAGTGATCGATTTGAAAACCAGTCCTACCAGTACTTGCTGCTTCAGACAACATGTCGAATATCCCGACCAAGACCCGGAGCTGGGTTTTGACAAACAAGCCCTCAGGGCTGGCGACCATCTCAGGTGACAAGCCGACCTTTACACTGCAGACGCGCAATCTGCCGCCATTGGACAACGACCAAGTCTTGGTCAAGGCGCTCTACTACAGCAACGACCCGGCCCAACGAGGCTGGATCAGTCCCGACATCCCCGCCGGCAGACTGTACGTCGAACCCGTCCAAGTCGGCGAGGTCATGCGCGCTCGAGGCCTCTGCGAGGTGATCGACAGCAAATCCGAAAAGCTGCCCAAAGGCACCATCGTCCAGGGTACGGTAAACTGGAACGAATATGCCGTCCTGGACGCCAGTGCCGTTACGCCCGTCCAACCTCTCCCCAACGGCTTGAGCTTGACGCACTATCTCGGCGCACTGGGCGGCACGGGCCTGACTGCATATTATGGTCTGGTGGTTGTCTGTGAGGCGAAGAAGGGCGACAAGGTGGTTGTCTCCGGCGCGGCCGGTGCGACGGGCAGTATGGTTGTTCAGATCGCGAAGCATATCGTCGGCGCGAGTAATGTCATTGGCATTGCTGGTACAGATGACAAGTGCCGTTGGGTGGAGAGCTTGGGAGCGGATAAGTGTGAGTAACTATTAGTTCCCTATGTTCTGTTCAACCTGCGACGAGACAATCAAACTTTCCGGCTGACACTGCAGTGCGACGATAGGCCTCAACTACAAGTCATCGTCATTCGCGAGCGACCTCGAGAAAGCCACCGAGGACGGTGTCGACATCTTCTTCGACAATGTTGCGGGTGAAATTCTCGACATGATGCTCGGGCGTATGTCCATGTACGGTCGTGTCGCGGCTTGCGGCGCCATTACTTCGTACAACTCCTCCGAGCCGCTCGTGCTGAAGAATTACTTCCAAGTGATCTCCATGAGATTACAGATCAAGGGCTTCATCATTGTAGACTACCTGTCCAAAGCTGCCGAGACGCAGAAGATCTTCAGGCAGGCCATTCAAGAAGGGAAATTGAAAGTCGGGGATGAAATGGAGACGGTTGTGTCCACCAAGTTTGACGACGTGCCGAAAACGTGGTTGAAGCTATTCTCCGGTGGGAATACTGGCAAGTTGGTGACCAAGCTCGAAGCATAAGCGGGAGACAGCCTGTTCTAGTATGGGAATCCCTCAGAAGGGACGATTTTTTTGGACGTGGACCAGGAAAATTTACTTATATCACCAGCCAACTCATTGAACTTCTCTTAGGCCGCACAACGTCCTCCCTGTGGATGCTCCCACCAGGATTGAACGTTTCTCGAGACGTAGAGTGGAATACTTGGGGAAGGGGAAGAAGATGATCTGATGTCCTCGGTGTTAATAACCCTGACTGAAATCATCACCAAGGGTATACACCATCCTTGTGCACAAACTTCCCAACATCGGCGTCTCGCTTTCCTTCAACGACACTGAAAATGGTCTTTCCAGACACCATAGGGTCTCCAGCTCTACCCCCAGCATTCACCGCCTCCTCCGACTTGCCACGCAAGTTCGACCGTACCAGACCGGGACACACCACAAAACTCTTAAAGCCTTTCTTGCCCATCTCCTTTGACTCGTAGATCATGAGCATGTTGAGAGCCGATTTGCTCGCGCTGTAGACCGCATACGGGGCCGAATACACCTTGCCTGATTCTGCCATGGTCAAAGAGCCTAAGCCGCTCGTGACATAGATGGAGTACGGGTTCTTCGACTTCAACAACAACGGCTTCAAAGCTTCTGTCAAGACGATGGGTCCGGTAACGTTGGTTTGGAAGGTGCGATCGATGATGCTCCTTAGATCGCCGTCGGTGGGGGCTAGGGAGAGGGAAAAATGTCAGACAGATGGCAAGAATTTCTGTTCGAAGACCGTGGATGAGACATACCGATGCCGGCGTTATTGATCAGGACATCAAGACGTCCAAATTTCTCCTCGATGAATTTGGCGAGCGCATCCACTGATGCCTGATCGGTCACATCGATCTGGACATCGGTCAAGGTAGCTTTGATTGCGCCAGTTGCTTGGAGCTCCGCCACTGCTTTCTTCCCATTCTCCGGGTTGCGACTACCGACGAGGACGTGGTAGTCTGGCGAGGCTGAAGCAATGACCTTGGCTGTGGCGTATCCAATACCAGAGTTGGCGCCTGTCAAGGATTAGAATTCACCATTCTTAGTCATAAGGTATTACGACTCACCAGTAATGAGGACAATGGTTTGAGAAGACATGACTGCTTGCTGTGATTGGCTTACGGGTAGTCAATAGGGAGGATAGATATACCGATAGAACCTGAGAAGACGACGATATGCTTCGGTATTTATCACATCAATTTCTTCGTCTACTCTGCTGCGAACCAAACAGTTGAGTCCTAAACCTCACCAGGAGTAATTCTCGCTGTGAGGTCAATATGCACAGATATATGGGTCAACATCCTCCCCTTATAGTAACTTCTCTTGTGGGAACTCCGATATGTCCGCAAAGCCCGGGCAAGTGCATTTGAGCAAGGCTGCAAGAGCTTTCGTACGTATTGCTGTAGACCTGGATTGGAACAACGAAACGGTGGGCATCTGAGGCATTAGTAGAGTACCATTCAGATATGGATACGATGCGGGAGAAGAAATGGTACCGGTGAAGTCGTAGGTGGTGACAGCGCTTACCCAATTTGGGCACGCCCATCATTTCTCTACTACTCGCATACAAGTAGCCATGGGCACTGCAAATCATCTTCATGGTGGCCTTTGAACCAGCTATAGCGAGTCGAAGCCGTGAAAGTCCTTCCTCTACCAGTTTCATATTTCTTCTAGGTTATGCCTTTATCGCCTGTTCCTGGGCATTTAGGCCACCGTGGCTTACCAATTCACAACAACTCCTCGACCATCACCGAAGCCAGGACTCATTCTAGACCACCTGCGATGTCGATTCCAACGCGTTCGACGCCCACCCAGGATTGGGAAGGTGCAACAGAGGCGATTCCTGATACGTCAATCCGAACAGCAGAAAACTGTTTGATGGAAAAGGGGCGTCAGCGAATACTTCATATTCTTTCGCAACCATGTCTGCTTAATATCCTGTGGGGACCATACGTGAGACAACCTGAACCTTTTCGATACAAGTACAGCGACTTTTCGATCATGACATTATGACATTCCGTCTGTCGCAGACGGGTCACGACCCATGAAGACTTTGAACAGTCTCTTGCTCACCATAGGTCCGAGTCTCTTGTCGCTCCATCCGCCATCCTTGTTGACACTCTTACGCACGTCTTCGAGCAGCAGGTTTCCTTGCTGATCAAAGCCTTCAACAAGCTTTCTCACGCTCTCGAATTTATCGACTATGCCATAAGCCATGCTCGGCGTGACACGCTGGACTTCCTGAAGCATCTTCACGAATGTATCTCTTGTGTCGTCTCCAGTGCGGACTTGGCCACTGTCCATACAAAATGACGCCGACTTCAAATTGAAATCGAGTTGAGCCAATCGATATGGCCGAGTCGCAAGATGTTGGGTCAGTGCGGATATTTGCGATGCTGTGGCAGCCGGCGAAGCCGTATGATGAATCAAGATTGGTTGATGTGCTACCTGGAGGTGCAAAAGTAAATCCTCGACCACATCGGGCGTTACTGAGGACAAGTCGAGGCTGTCTGCGGACGGCTTTTTGCGTTTTCTCGATTTTGCTTGAGATCCGCTCATCGTGCGGGCTGCACTCTGCGCATCACTATCCGCCATCTGTGCTCGGACTGCCGCCGTGTACGCTCGATTCTTAGCATTAGCGTTCCTTTTGAGCCAGCTGTTGAGGCCCTCAATGAGGTAGACTGGAACACAATTTCCAAATCGCCGACGGATGGAGGCTACATGAGCATCCAAACGCGACTTCATCTTTGCCTCCTTGTCTGACTCGGTAATACCAGGTGCAGAGCTTTGAACAGCAAGGACTGCCGCGAAGTCAACAGCGGGAAGATGGATCAAAACATGCTTCTCCTTGACAATTCGGCTTCTCGAGGTAGGCTCCCACTGGCCATCCTCGTCATTGTATGTAGATCTCACCTTCCGACGCCAGGTGATCAGATTGCCATATTGTATTTGCTCGGGACCAAGATCGTCTGTCAAGTTGGCCTCCTCATCCACATAAGCAACATCTACCTGGAGATTCTTCATGTATTCTTCCACTTGATTACCGACACTCGTACCTTGCAAAGAGGTTACCATGTCGACGATCATCTCTGGTACCGCCTCCTTCTTGTTTGTTCGTGATTTGTTGGCCTCGGCCAAATCCGCGGCCTTTTGCTTTTCCTGGGCTTTTCGTTCTCGCTCAAGTTTCTTACGCTCTTTCTCAGCTTCTTTCTCAGCCTCACGCGCAGCCTTTGCCGCAGCTCTTTCCGCTCCGGTAGCTGCCTTGTTCGTTCCGAATGATTTAGCGGCTTTGGCTGTAGGGACTTTCGCTGGACTTGAAGAATATACAATGTCGTCAACAAGAACGGTTTTCGAAGTTGCTTTCTTCGTTACGCCAGAGTCGGTTGTTCTAGGCGGTTTGGACTTGGATTTAACTTCAACCATGGGATCTTGTGAAAGGACAGCCAAGAGATTTGCAGTCCGATGCGAATAGTGTTCAATTCCACTGTCTTTTGCAGTAGGTTGCGACAGGCTGAGAACAGGGTCAGGAGTACTGTCGGGTGAATCTTCGAGTGCCTCGAAGCTCGAGTGGTTGATGGTCTTCCTGGTTGTAGTGTGCCTCAGTTCTGGCGCGGATGAGGACCACGTAATCTCGTCGAGTGGATCATCTCTCCGTTGTGGTGCTGGAGGTCTCGATCCGGAATGGGTCCCTTCATTGAAAGTGAGTTCTGGTAATGAGGAAGGGTCGGATAGAGGCTCGTAAACTGGTCCCGAATGGCGAGGGCGACTCTTTCTTGGCGGACTCGATGTAGGTAAATCTGGGCTCAATCTTCGTCTTTTGGACGGCGGGTCGATGGCAAAGTCGATGGAGCCGGTTTCGTCAAGTTCGTCCGGCAGGCATGAAATCTGTGTCAAGACGGCCGTGGCCTTTGAATTGATGTGAATATGACGGACATTCAAAGGTGAGTGTGGAGGCGAACTTGACGACAAGAGCTCAATGACTTCAGCCATGATTTCGTTCGAGAGATATCTGCATCGGCACGATAGTGCATGCACACGAGCAATCAGTTCTGAAGACGGCAAAGGTAACTCCGCGACTTGGTCGCTGTGTCGTTGCCACCCAACGATGGACAGGGTGACAGGAAGGAGAAAACCGACTGGGTTGATTCGTTCCAGGAGAGGAAAGTCTAAACAGTCTTGGCGCGTCACCACTTTATTCCACGCGTCGAGGCAACATTGAGGCACATTGTCGCTAGGGAGTCAAGTTTGAGCTTTGTCCTGTATGTCTCTATCATTGAAAGGCTGTAGGAACGAACTTCATATCCTCATCAGACCCTGTGTGTATTCTTCTGGCCCGTGCAAACTCGGTTACCCGTCGGTCCCCACGGCCATACTTGGCTTTGATCACGGTCGCCACCAGTGCAGCCAAGAAAGCAATGACAAGCCAAAGACTGAGCACGATATCTTTTCGTTCCAAAAACTTGCTCCTTTTGCTCTTGATCATCTGCTCCATCTCGTTGCTAAGCTTGCCGGCCATTGTGTCTCTTGAAAACTGCTCGTGGACTCTTTCCCTACCGTTCTGGCCCATCTGCTGAAGATCTGCTGGACTCATTTTGTTCAAGACCATTTTCATCACTTCAGTCCATTCATCAACACTGGCCACATCGCGGAGCCAGCCAGTCTTTCCTTCTACAACAGTTTCCAAGGGGCCTCCTGTATTTGATGCTAGCACCGGTAGGCCGTGCAGCATAGCTTCCACGGGTACAATACCAAAATGCTCATTTGATGGCGTGTACAATAGCAGGCGTGCACTATTTAGTAATGTTTCCTTGAATGTTCCGGGCACGGATAACAGGAACAAAACCTGTATGCTGGTGGGTATAGCAAGCGCTGTAGGCACTGTCTTCGCTGTTGCTGTCGACAATCCAAGGCTTTCGGCCAGTTCGACTAGTTCTTTGTGGTAGTGAACATTTTCGGGGACTCTCTGGTCGTAACCACCAGCTAACACCAAACGTGTCCCTCGAAGTTCCCCCGGTGAGAGCTTTTGATATGCTCGAATGGCCAAGCCTATGTCCTTCTTTCGCTCGAACCGGTTTATACTCAGGAGAATCTTGAGCTTGCCATCCCAAAGCGGCTTTTGTTCCTCCACCGTGTCAGTCTCTTTCTCCACGACTTTGACACATGGGTATATGACTCCCAAGGATTCTGCTAGATTCGGCCACGTCCTAGCAGCGACCGACTTCGTGAAAGCCGAGTTTACGACAATTTTGTCACTCGCACTCATACTCCAACCCTCGAACCAATCAAACGGCAGCCGGTATAATGTCTTTACTATTCCAAGTAGGCCAGGGGTACGGCGATCCGCAAGTAGCTGATCAGGAAAGTGGCAGTAGAAAAGGGTTCGTTGACGTGCAGGGTACAGCCATCTCAGAAGAGGCACGCAGGCGGAAAGTTGGTCGACCACAAAGACGTCTGGCTGCAGTTTGTCCAGCTCATTGCTGAAGACTGAGATGGCAAACACAAGGTGAAGTTGACGGAGGATCGCGAGCAGAATGTGAAAGCGGTTCAGGACAGTGGAGGGAAACAGGGTGTTGCCACGAACTCGGACATCAAGGGTGCCTGTACTCACAAATCTGTCAATGCTTTAGCCATCAACGGTTGCGCGAAGGAGCATGACAAGACTGACCATCTCTGGCTTCTTCGAAACAATGCTTGGGGTCGCAGTGCGACGTGAAGATTGTCACCTTATTGCCTTGCTCCTGTAAGCCGACTGCGGCGTCAACAATGAGGCGTTCGGCCCCGCCAATACCAAGATCTGGGTGGAAGAAGACTATTTTACGTGAGCTCGACGATGGACTGTGATGCTTTGAGTGGGACATGATCTCAGCCTTCTAGTTGATTCCAAGTTTGCCGATCAGAATTTCGAGACAGAATATGAAGAAGCCCAATCCACCAGAGCAGTCTGCGCCTCGCCAGACCTTCCACTTTTGACGGAACCTACTCGCTCCAAACAGGGGCGGAACGCACTACTACAGTACCACAGTCCTAGATATTTCGTGAGATTTGTACGACTTGCTTCTTCTGTGCTGACGGAGGGGTTCCATGGCATTATGCAGAATTTGGTCCTTTACTACGCAATTTGCAGAAATATCGATTTGATGTCTCCTGCCGAGAGAAGTACAAGACATATACTCGTACACGAATTGCGCGTCGTAGGTCTTGGACCTTCTGGGCAGTGGCTTGGATCTCTTGGGGGTTCCTCTCGACAAAAGCATCATCGTTACTCAACAGCAGTTTTTGGGATCATTTGTGATGCTCTCTCACTGGTACGGATATCGGGCAATTTCCCAGGTCAAATGCATGGCATTCCACCAACAACGAAAGGACCGGTCTGATTGGAAGCACATCTCACCAAGATCATTGCGCGTATCGAGCTATCCCTGTCACTTGCCGTCAAGTCATTCCTAATTCTGCAAAGCTCGCATCGTGTACGGGGCTCCGCGCCGGGAAGAAGCTGTTGATAACAGCCACATTAAATGTCCGTATCTTCCGCCAGTTCCTCTCTTCCACCGTCACCACCTTTGCTACACTCTGCTTGAGAATCGCACCTGCGGGTGTTAATAGTGTTTCGCTTCTTCCCTGGTAGGCTCCTTCTCTCGAGAAGCTGCGCCCTTCGTTACCGTAATCTTTTTTTTGCGTCTGGTCCGTACCAGACTGCCCCTCGCTCATCTCACCTTTCCGCGTTATTTGCTTCAATCCCACCACTTCTCGGTAATTCCTTTGCTCCAATAATCATTCAAAATGGCTCAGGTATGGACAAATCTCAGCATCATTGACGAGAAGCTGACCGTCCCACAGTTCAAGGCTGCATTCCTCTGCCTTGTCGCGCTGTTTACCTCCTACGCCTTCGCCGTGGCTCCTCTGGTTGTCAAGGGATCCGACTTTGTCAACAGCATTGATGACGCTCGCTTCCAGATCATCGGTGTTGCGTAAGAGATGGTGTCTGTCCCTTATTACAAGCTGGAAACACTGACAAGCGCTCAATGCAGATATCAGCCCGGCGGTTCTTCTGGCTTTGACCCGGGCTCTGGCATTGATCCATTGAGTGACGCCTCGGTCTGCCTCCGAGATGCTGTCCTCATGCAGAGATTGGGTGTCAATGCAATCAGAGTCTACAACCTTGACCCAGATTTGGACCATTCTGCTTGTGCCTCTATCTTCAATGCTGCCGGTATCTACATGATCCTCGATGTCAACAGCCCGCTGCCGAACCAATCTCTGAACCGCGGTGCGCCCTGGGAATCTTACAGCTCGGATTATCTGGAGCGTGTCTTCAAGGTGGTTGAAGGTTTCATGAACTTCAACAACACATTGGGCTTCTTCAGTGGAAACGAGGTCATCAACGAAGATTCGGTCCCACAAGTACCCGCCTACATCAGAGCGGTCACAAGAGATGTCAAGGACTACATTGCTGCTCAAGCCCCCAGATCAATTCCTGTGGGTTACTCGGCGGCCGATGTTCGTCCATTGTTGATGGGCACCTTCAACTACATGTCCTGTGAGCTGTCCAACGACACCAGTTCCAAGATTGACTTCTTCGGCCTAAACTCGTACTCTTGGTGCGGTGATGCGACTTTCGAATCTTCCGGCTACGATGTCTTGGTCGCTGATTTCGGCAACACTACCATCCCCATCTTCTTCTCTGAATATGGTTGCAACAACGTCTCCCCGAGAACATTCACCGAAGTCCCGGCTTTGTACGGCAAGGAAATGACTTCGGTCTTTTCTGGTGGGTTGATCTACGAGTACAGCGAAGAACCAAACAATTACGGCTTGGTCAACCTGAACGACAATGGCACTGTCTCACTGCTCGTCGATTATGACAATCTTCGCACTCAGTATGACTCCCTGGATATCGGCTTACTGGAGAAGGCCAATGCCACTGCCACCTCCTTGACACCACCATCATGTGCCGTTAATCTGCTCAGCGGAACCAACTTTACCATGAGTTTCAATCTTCCCGATCGTCCTAATGGTGTTGACGCTCTTATCAAGAATGGTGTATCCGGGAACTCTTCAGACAGCACCAATGCTGTCACCAACACCAAGCCATCTCAGACCGTCTATGCCACCAACGGCCAGGAGATCAGTGGCCTGCAATTGACCGTCTTGGATTGGGATCAGAGCAACCTGCCGGGTAATAATACTAGTGGCACAACCCCGTCATCGCCATCATCCACCACCAGTGGTAGCTCACCATCCAATACCAACACTGCTGCCAAGGTTGACGACATCAAGTTTGGAGCTCTGCTCATGGGTGCGTTGGGTGTTGGCATCTACATGCAGTTGTGATCTTGTGCAGCAGGAGTGGTTGCAAGTTTCGATTGTTGCGCCCTATGTCGGCATATTCGAACCCGGATCTTCGTTCCTTTCGACCTTCGGCAAGCATGGCATAGTTCGGTTCACTTCGATGGACATATTAGTGTACGGCTTTGCAGGTCGAAGTCATTAGAGACATAGACATGCTAATGACTAGATGAATAAGGGGAAGTTCAAAACAAGGCCTTTGATGTCTCAAAAGTGTGTTGTCCTGTGCTGCCAGTACTCGTATTTGTCGGCATGATGTATTGACGTGGGTGTGTTATACCAAAATGCCTACTGTGTAGGTACCTGGGTAGGTACAGTATCTTCTCGAGACCTGGAGCAGCTACGAGCCAGGGACCTTGCAGAATTTCAGCTGGTCTCTCACACAAGCCAAGAGGTTTTCTTGTCTCCTATTCGTTCAAGTAACAAAGGAAGCAGGGTGTCAGGACAGGACGCATCACGATGTTGGACGTTGGCGTGGATCCCTCCTTTCCTTACCCCGGTCGTGCCCGTTCCTGCTCGTGGCGCGTGCACCCAATAAACCTCGATGTGAATTCCAGGTGATTGATTTGGTCACTAGCGCCACTGTTTTCAGCATCGACCCAATCATCGTCGGCCGAACTCAGATGTGGCTGACCCTCTTTGTCGTCATACTGTGGCGCATGAGGCTGGTCGGTCAATACAGCCCGATGTGATTGGCTCCTTCCCTGCTTTCAAAGTTTTCGTCGCCAAGAGCCATGATGCAGGGATCGACGCCACCACGTCACTTGTGCCGGAGGAAACGGTCACCACGGTTGACGCAAGATTGGGATCATCGACATCACAACACGAACCCCGTGGAACCTGCTTTGGCCCCAAGTACAAAGAGCCTCGAGACCCTCGTAAATCCTCGTTTCTTCCTCGACTATCGAAACACGCGAGCCTCGTTTGACCACCCATCTACGACCCCCCCAATACGTGCCCCCTTATCAACCATGGCATTCGGCGGTGCTCTCCTCCGTTTCGGCCAGACTGGCCTGCGTCTCCTCGAGTTCGCCTGCGCTGCTATCGTCCTTGGTATCTACAGCTACTTCCTCTCTGTTTTGGCCGACAAGAACATCCACATTCCAGCATGGGAGAAGGCCGTTGAGGGCATGTCGGGCGCCGCCTGCTTGTACCTCATCTTCTGCGTCCTCCTGACGCTCTTCCTGGGCGGCATCAGATTCTTCGCTTTCATCGCCATCGTCCTCGACATTTGCTTCGTCGGATGCTTTGCAGCCATCGCGTACTACACCCGCCATGGCGCCAACGCATGCAAAGGCGTCGTCAACACTCCCCTCGGCACGGGCCTCAGCGGCGAGGCCGCTCCTGGAGCTGGAGACTGGGGCTATGTGTGCAGCTTGAACACGGCCTGCTTCGCCGTGTCTATTGTCAACATCTTCCTCTTTCTCGTCACCGCCGCTGTCCAGTTCCTTCTCGCCCGCCACCACCAGAAGGAGAAGCGCTACGGCCCAAGCCCATCCAACAACTACACCAGCGGAACCGGTCGTCGTCCATTCTGGAAGCGCAACCGCGGGGCTGCCCGGGGCACTCGTGACGCTGAGATGGCGACTACTGCCACTGCGCCAGGTCACCATGGCACGACTGTTAGACCCAGTCACGAAACCGGCATGACAGGCTCCACCATGAACAACGCCGGTCATGCTCCTTACGCCTCGGAGCCCAAGTACGGTCAGCCCGGCTACGGCCACAATAACGGCATTGCACCTGCACACCACAATGTGACCAGTGGCACCAACTATTAAACAATCAACACGCAAATCTATTTAATCAACCACCACCGCACGATGACACGTGGGCCAATAACGTCGTCGTCTGTACCAGATTGTATCATCACCAGCAGGGAGTTTGTGAGGGATGAGGAGAAATGAACAGAATGGCATATTTTGAGAAATATATCATTCATGTTTTGTAACAACAGATGGCACAGTTCTGGGAGCGCTTGGCGCTTTACTGAGCAGCGCCTTGACAGGAGTATACGATGTTCATGATAGAACTATACCCGCACAGAGTCTCATTAGCTTATTAGCACCTTAATAATGATCTGAGAATCCAAAATCTATTTTATAACGGTTTCGTCAATCTAGTTGATTTTCTCACTGTTGTCAAGGCTATTCCTCCATCGACAAGCCGAGTTGTTTTCGTTGCTTTCTCGCCGTTGTCAACACTCCCTTCATCGACAAGCTGGCCAGGGTACGACAATTTTCCCGCCCGTGACGTTCTCTGGCCCCTCGGACAAGATATCCAGAGTAGGAGTGGATCACTCTGACGGAAGGATTGCATCGTGCATGACGGCTATGGTTATGCGGGAAGATCCTTGATAATCCCTGACGAGTTGTTGGGGGCGCGGGCCCTGATTTTCGTTCCCTTCCGGTCCATCTCGTCATGCCACCCGTCGACGTCAGCATTCCAGGAAGCCAGCTCCATTCGGGCCCCGTCGCCAGCTAGTGCTCAGCTGTACACGGCACAACACGGTCACGCAGCACGAGTACCACGGGTACCTACCAAGATGATGGGCGACGTGTACGTAATAATTGAGTCAGCTGTGGTGGTGACTATGGACGGCTCGACGGCAGATATAGGGCGTGGGATTTGCACAGGGCAGCATATGCAAAGGCTTTTGAGAATGACTTGCGCGAGCATGTCTCACCTTTCCCATCTCGATAATTTTCATGTGATATCTACCTATTCTGAAGCACACGGATTGGTTTGTAGACATTATGTATGACGTCCCGAATTCTGGTACTTTCCGTCTACTATCCGTACGGTCTCCTGGATATGATCGTACCTAGTACAATTGGCGCCAGTGTGCCGTTCCAGGACAAATACTGTAGCAGCGGGGACAGTGTGTGTTGTAAAGTGCCCACTGTGGCTACAGCAGTTGGACCTCACATTTGACAGGAGACCCCTCCTACCACACAATTTTCCTCGCTCTACTGTCGTGCAATGGCACCCTAGCGCCGATTACACTAGTTACCTGTGAGACCGTTGTACTCTCCATCTAGTCTATGGCCATTTGTTCTTCGGTCGATTCCCTGGCAATTGGGAGCTCCAGCAAGGGGGAGTTCCATAACGACAAATCCATCCCCTCCTCGAAGTGGTTCGCGACGTGATCTGCGCGCTCTTCCCAGGAGCCACTTACCTCCTGGCAGAAACCACATCTGAGTTTTTCGGGGCCGAGGTTCTCTATGCGGAAGTAGTCGCTGGTGTTCTGCACCGCCCAGGAAACAACACTTGCGCTGTGCATGCCTCGAAGATGCTGCACGAACTCGTCCTTTCGGAAAAAAGTGCGCTCGGGCTGTGGCCTTGTCCAGCAAAGACGTGACGACTGCAGGTGCGCACATGCACATGAGCTGGCAATATCGCAGAATACACAGCGAGAGCGGTTCCATTCAGGCCCTGGCAACCAGGTGCATACCCAGGCTTCAGTATGTATGTGGATGGATCGCTCATGGCGCTTCCAAGTGAACTTCTGTCTGAATGCGCGGCCGCAGAACGTACAACAGTACTTTCTCTGGCATGGGGAAAAGTTGTCAACCTGAGGATTAGAGACCTTAGCGTAAGGAGCCCACAGCCTCCGACCCCGGCGGCTTCCACGAGATGCATAGCTGGAACTAGATTGCGCCGAGCTTGCGGTCGATCCTGATGCCACAGACCTGTTCTCATGAGACTGCGATGTCGGTATCGCGGTGGATCTATATTGGAGATCGAGCCTTGACATCGAAACGTCCATAGGGCCAGGTAGGACAGCAGGAGATCCCGAACACTTCGAGAATAAAACTCGATCTTGTGGGAGTTGCGCTATGAATTTCCAACCCTCCACGACATCGAGCCAGTCTGCTAAGCCGTTGGTCCAACTGGCCAGTTCTGCTTGAACTGCCCCAATCATTCTACCACTGATGAAATCCTTGAAACCATAGGTTGAGCCGCGCGATGCCGTCCGCTCAAGTATTGGTCGCAAGGCCTGCAACAACGTCGGCTTGAGTACGTCCAAGCCTGGGGGTGGCACAGCTGATGTGTCCAGGTTGTTCAAGGTGTCCCTCAGCAGCGACCAGGAGGTATATGGGAGGATTACACATGCTTTTTGCAATGTCCATACGCATACCACTAACTCTGACAAGTCCAGATCCAACAGGAGAATCAACCGTAGGAAAGCTCTCCTGTCTTTCTCCTCCCAGCGTCGATTCATCTCGTGACCGATACAATTGAGCTGCTCGGCACATTTCTCCAGCTGTTTCTGCCAGAATCTAGGCATTTGGCAATCGTCTGAGGGCATGTGATGAGTATCGGACGCTCCGTTGGCGGACGGCAATTGGTCGAACCACCATTCCAACATTGATCCGGCATGTTCAGCCATGCTGCTCGTGGTTTGGACAGCATAACCAGAATCGACAGACATGTTCTCTGGGTCGAGCATGTCCTGCTCAGGATCGAAGCCCGTCGGAGACGGGGGGACTACCTCGAGAGATAACTGAGCCTCTGGCTGAGAGTCAGAGTTCCGTGATGACTGGATTTGCTCCGCTAGGCATTTATCGGTAGCGAAGACGTTCTCGTCCAGGACCGGCTTCTCTTCAGCTTCGTTAGCCATAACACTATCACGAGCCTCGGTCGCATTCTTTTCCGCAGGAGCGAGCTTTCGCTGGCGGGTTCTGTTCAGCCACCGTTTGACCTGATGGCTCGTGAGTCCTGTGGTTGCTGCCAATTCAGCCATCGCCTGCTGGTTAGCGTACGGGTAGCGAATGTTTTTTGACAGCCATTCTTTCAAGATTCTTATTTGCCGTGGTGCGAATTTCCCAGTTTTCTTCGGCGGCGGCGTTAGCGGCACCGCTGGACTGTTGTCGGAGTGTTGCGGATTGATAATATTGGCTGGGCGGCCACCTTCGCCGTTGATAGACTGGGTCCTTATGTTGATCGGCTTCGCTTGATAGCCGCCTTCGGCGCTTGCAAGTACCCGTGGTTGCTGCTCCGTATGCGTTGTTAAGGTAGAAGCCGGCGTGAGATAACAATCTGGTCCACTCCCTCCCCATCTGTTCTGCGCATTTGATACGTCTTCCTCATTGATTTGCGCGGGGAATAGAGTATCAAAATCCTGATTGAGAAGGGCATCCCACGAGTCATCCCATTCTCCGGCTGTATCTGAATCGAGAGCATAGCCTGACCCATCTAGTGTATTCATTTCAGTTTAAGTATGCGGTGTAGACTGGCCCTCGGTCGCTACATCTGCCATCAAACCACGGCGATTAGTATTATGCTTCGACGCAACCTCAACCGGTAATCAGATTCGCTGCGATGCTGGAATTGCACAAGTTCTGCTGGGAAGGGGCGCCACTTGCCAAACATCGAAGCCGCAGTCAAACAGAAGATGAGGCGGTCCTTTGAGGTCGGTGAGGCTGAGCCAGTCTCTGAGGTTCACGGTGCAGGCAAAGGAACGACCAATCAATTGACAGCACCGTAATCCTCAACCTGCACCTTGTTATCTCAAGCAAAGTTGATGATTGGCGCAGTGGCGGGAAGACCATTTCCAAACCACGAACAGTCCGAAGAGCATCACGGTGCAGCATCATGGTACTCACGGTGACAGCTGGCAGGCACGATGTATATATCGAGGAAGCAAGGTAATTGCAAACCAGCAAGAGGGTGTTTTGGAAAACCCATCTTTGCTGGGTACCTTCCACCATTCAGCCAGCCATCATCCTCGGCCTAGACTTCCTCCGTTGAGCCTCAATTGACACTCGGTATGCCAGCCTCGCTCGAGCTTTTATGAAGGTCTTCAAGCTTACACAAACCGTTTAGACATACCTAGAAATGGCAAACACTGGTTTGTCTTCCGACGCAATAGTCGGCATCATCTTCGGCGTGATGTCCACAATCCTTGGTCTGTTCAGTACATACGTGGTCTTCAGACGTAACAAGCAGGCCCGACGTCCACCGCAAATTTCCGGTATGACTTGTGGTACATCTCAGTATTGTGTCTGAGGTGACGGATATACAGATTCCAGAGCGTCTCAGCGGCAGCATGATAGATTCCCTTCCCAGAGCGGGATGTCAGCTTTTCCATCGTCGCGGGTAGTCACTCGGGTGGTGACAGTGCATGATAGAGAACTTGAATCATGGGTGTGATAATTGAGAGGACGAGCTTCGTACTTAGAGCAACTCGCGAGATTTTTGAGTGGGATAGTGGATAATACCGCCTATACCATAGTCCGCAATAGGCGCCATTAGGCGTGGAAGGATCCTCGGCTAGCCTGAGCTTGGTACTTAGGGGCCGGTGCTTCCGCTGCTTTGGCTTCGACTTATTAAGGAATCGGAACGAAACTTACCATCCTCCTCTTCTTGATACCCTGGGAAATCTGGCTGCTACCTTGCAATGTCCTTGCATTCCGGCTCGCAAGGATCTTAAGAGGTTGATCAGTTTCGTGCTCATGTTCGACATGGATGTGAAGATGCGGCATCGGGCAAGGCCACCGCGATCTATCGGCTGAGCTGCTTTGAATCGAGTCCACTGTCGAATATTTCCTCGACAATCATCATGCCATTATCAAAGCGTTCCACAAACCTATCTGAGGCGGAAAGCAGCAGGCGGCCGCGGCTCCCAGCAGTTCAAACCGATGATCGTAATCACCATGCCTCACCGGCCGATGGTATATCAGTGGACGAACAGGCTGCTGTTCTCCAGGCAATGTCACTGGACTCACCCCCAGGACTCGTCCAGTCGCCGAGCAGTTATTCAACGGACTTCAGCCAGCCAAGTCCTGCTATAACTTCTGCCCCAACCCCTCCTCTTACCCCTACCACACCGACATCTGCGACATCATCGAAATTCAAGGCAGCGTTAGAAGATGTCCGACATTTTGCTGGTGGTCTCATAGCTCACCCATACGAGTCTACAAAACACTACTCCATTCTGCGCCACTCCCATGGCTTGGTCTACTATAATGGTTCCAGTACAAATCTGGCAATCACTATCTTCTCTGACAGAGAGCTACCAGCGGACCGGACACTGTGGCTACAGCGCAAAGGATTCTCTGGCAAAACCGGCCTCAAGATTGGCGGATTGCTAGGCGCCCGAAGCACATGGATCGAAGTGACACCCACTGTCAAAGCTACCCCTGAGCAGCTGAATCCTACCGATGAACGGGCATGGCAGAGGGACATCAAGAAATTCCTGAAGAAGGCGCCCAAAGAGATCCGTTCCCATCGCGTCCGGGAGACCGATGTCCTTCGCATTCCCTGTGATGCTGACGATGGCTATCTGAGAGTGGTCCTATGCACTGCTGAAGGCAAGAAAGTGCTTTGTGGAAGTCCGGTCTTTCGACTCGCCTCGTCAACGACTGAGTTTAGCTCGATTCGAGGTGCCTCACTCAAGACGATGCCACTTGAGGCAGGCATCAAGATAGGCCAGATCATCGGCAACAATATAATGTCAGCTACGTTGACACCACTCGCTGACCAAGCTCGGTCAACCGTCACAGATCAGATATCACAGATATACCAGCCGAGTTTTGGCGTACAGGAAGCAGCGAGCTATGCCTACGATCAAAGTGGAGTACCAGACAAAATTGACGATATCAATCAGCAGTACGACGGCGCTCGTCAAGCCTCTTACGATCCCGTCCAACAAGTAGCATACGACGCCTTACAGCGACCGGACATCGTAGGACCTCCTTCAGGTCCAGTGGCGCCATTTCCCGTACGATTCCACGGCAAGGTGGTACCAGGCACGGGACGAAGCAAAGCAATGTTGAACGTGCCGACTGCCAATTTGATGGGGGTGCCTGAAGACACCCTGATGCGGTACAAGGGCGTCTTTTTCGGCTGGGCAGCAGTCACTCTGTCCAGGAAGCCCGCAGTCGAGACGAACATTTCCGATGATTGGCTCAAAGCCATTATTTTCATTTCGCCAGACCCGGACAGGAGGAGGACAGTTTTGCACAAGAACAGCGCCCGAGTGTATCTGCTGCACGATTTTCAGGGCGTTCAGCTCTTTGACGCTAAGATATCGGTGCTACTGATGGGTTACTTGCGTGCACTGCATGAGCAGAGTCCAGATGAGGAGCCAGATGTCGAATCGATGCAGTTCGATATCTACAAAGACATTGCAGTCACGACGGCAAGCCTGAATCGACCTGCGTGGACAGCTGAGGCGACTTTGGAGCGCGACAAATCTGCCGCGTCGAGTCGGTCCGTGAGCGAACGCTACATCGATTTTAGACAGAACACACAGAGACAGATGGATCGAATGCCCGTCAACAGATTGGGGATCAGGACAGAAGGTGCCGTATTGAAGGACAGATTGATTGGGTTAGGAGGAGTCTGGGTGCCGAGGCAGCCGTTGGCTTATGCGCAAACTGCTTGAACCTTGATTAATGTAGCTATAGAGCGAGGTAGAGAGACTTGGGGGAAATTTGAATATCCTACGTACCTGCTCCGTATAGCTTGGTAGGTACCTGGATTACTGGAGAAGAACCTACAGTAATTGCCATTTACGGTTTGATCCAAGTGGGTGAACGAAGGCCACTTTAACCCGAGCTTTAACTGAGCCTTTGGCTTGAGCATCACCGAGCGGTCCCCTGAGCACCACACCGACGCCTTGGACCAGCCTAATCAGGCCTCGACTAAACCTGCCCCTCGACTAGGCATCTAGTACTCCATGGTCAGGCGGAGTGGCAGAGGGCAATACGTTCGGCGGGTGTTTGTGATCGATGGCTATTATCACTGCTACCACGAGAAAACTCATTCCCTTTGGCACTGTCAGAGCCCTTTCTGGAAGATATGTGACCGCCTCGGAGTCGAGCCAGTCCTCCGCGATGCTAGTTTCTGCCTGTACAACTGGGGCGAGGGTGGTCAGAGAGATGTTGTTGGGAGCTTCAAGTTCAAGTCACGTTCACAGGTACCCTGGACGAGGCTGGCTTACTGTCCAATGAGCTAGCCCACCACGCAATTTGGTTGCGCTACGGTGAGATATTGACCCACCGCGCGACTGGCCGGCTGTTGGAGTGTCAATCCCGGCAGTGTTGATGGCCGCTCTGACCGGATGATTTGCCAAATGTCGGTAGGTCGCGGCAGCTCCCCTACCAAGTTCTAACTTCTATACCGGCACTCTTCAGTATAGTGACCCTCATGGCGGCACCGAAGGCACCATGCTTCGTCCTGCGCATGGACAAATGGACATCGTTTCCCATACCCATAGGGACAGTAGGCACGATTGCACTTCTTCGTTTTCCACTTCTGGAAATCCAAATCCGGATAGTCCCGAAACAGGTCCCGCTCCTCGTCACTATGGCGGTAACCACACTCGCCTCTTTTCTTGCAGCGGACGCGGTCAGAACATTGTTGAGTTTGGCGTATGCCGCGACGATGGTCTTTTCTCAGGTCGGATCGAGCCACCGTTTGCCAGCCGTCGTTGTCGTCGGGATCAGTGAGACCTTGTATCTCCTCGTTTTCGCCATGTCCACCCACGGGTTCGGCGGTACTGGACGGCTTAGCCTTGCGTTCGACAGGTTCGTGTTCTTCTTTCGCTGTGACATCGGTGGAGTATTGGCCATTATCATCCTCCAACGGCGCATACATATTGATAGTTTCGACCATGGCTGGGAAGTCCTCATTGAAACGACTTGCGTATTCGGGCCATGACAGTACTGTCAACATCTCCTTAAACAGCCCTCGTGCCTCGAGGACCATAGCCTCAATGTTCCTTACCTTCGGAAACTCCACAAACACCTCCGCTCCTGTTTTGGACAGAGTAGTGTAGAACAAGCGGCCCAACTGAAGGAGCTGCTCGTGCACGGAAGATTCGAGGTTATGCCCGCCCGGGTCAGCAAACTCGCAGAGCACGATCGATTGGCCAGGATCAATTTGCTTGGCCTTGCTCTGTCGGGTAGAGCAGAAATTGGTGAAGGAAATCTTGTCGAATATCCAGTTCATAAAGTGTACCGATAGCAGAGCGTTGTCGTGATTCAGCTTCAAGTACTCTGCCGAGATTCCCGACTACCAGGCCCAGAGCTCCACTCGGATGTCAGATTCCAGCACTTTCTTGATTGGCGGGAGCAGGTCGCGGTCTCCAGTGATGGCGACAAACGTCGTATTGGCTTTTTGCTCTTTGTACCTCAAGTCATACTCGGCCCTGATGCTGAGTTCGGTGGCTTTAGAGCTCAGGTCCGTTGCCATGGAATTATCCACCTCCTTCTCTTTACCATGGGCGCGATCGTAGATCTTGGTCTGGAACTTGAACTTCTCAAACGCTTTCCACACTGAATCGTTAGGCGGTGGGCGGGAGCCATAAAGAAACGAAGGACCTTGGCTGCGGTCGTTGCGGAGCGTATCGATCAATTTCCCGATGTCAATTCTGAGACGCGGGTCGCGGTCGCTGTCTGTCAGTTTGGGCATGTGGCTATTGCCCGAGGCTGCGAACTTTTGGGCCTCGATCCATATGTTGGAGTCATCCACGAAGAACATGCAGGTCTCGATCGGTTTGCTACCCATCATGGATGGTGTCTGTTAAGTCTGGCAGCAGCTTAGGTTGGGGTAGGGAGCGGGCGTAAAAAGCATCAGTGAGGCGAAGACTACCTAGGTAGAGAAGGGACTACCGCGGACGAGAGGAGGTCCCTGGTCCAAAGCCCCGTTAGCGCCGTTTCGGACTTCAGCCCCATTGATGGATCTCCCTTGCACCTAGTGACCTACCTACCTAAATGTAGTGATGGTATTTCCGGCATTTGGGAAGAGTCGAATGCCAAAAGGCCCATGGCATGATCAGCGAGGCTATCTTACCTCGGCATACCTTCCTCTTGTGTCAGCTTCCCCAGATTTAGTGCGTTAGTCCGGAATAGTGTGAACCGAAGTTCCTTGGCCTCCTCACTTTCTCCCTTCTCCATCTCCCTCATCTGCCCCTCACTTTGCTCCTCGGACTTCCTGATCTAGCAAGCCGAAAGAGTTGATCACTCCATGCACCACCTGCTAGGTGCCTGCCAGTGGAGGACCCGGAATGCCCGTTTTAAGGTGTTGTCGAGTTATCTTGCGAGCGTTCAAGCGGGGCAAGACCATGGTATGACAGAAGAGCCCCGTAGGTGACCGTCTTACCACAGTTAGTTCGGGCAAATGCAGAGCGGAGTGGATGGGTGGTTGTATGAGGCGCTTGTTGCCCGCTTGGAGAGCTTCACGCGGATGAGACAGTCGAGCAGTCTTTCCGCACCTCGTTGGCGTAGTTCTTCTTCCTCCTTTCCCACATCATATGAGTACAGTACATGATATTGCTTCGTCTTCTCTCATCTTGTGCAGCGCCTCTTCCAGAATACGAAACCCTATAGTATTGACTTGCCATCTCTTCAACTGTTCCTCCTACTCAGCGCGGACAAGCAACCAAATTATTACTAACTCGGCCCCGCGACCATGTCAACCATGAACGCCGTCCGCTTCCACGGGCAACGCGACATCCGTCTGGACAAAATCCCCGTCCCGGACGTCAAACCAGGCCACGTCAAGATCTCGCCCAAGTTCTGCGGCATCTGCGGCTCCGACCTGCACGAGTACCTCGGCGGGGCCAACTTGATCCCGCAAGAGAACCACCCGCACCCGATCACGGGCGAGACACTACCCCTGACGCTGGGCCACGAGTTCTCGGGCATCGTCGAGGAAGTCGGCGCGGGGGTCGAGCACGTCAAGCCCGGCGACCGCGTGTGCGTGCAGCCGACCATCTACGACGGCGACTGTCGCGCATGCAAGCGCGGATTGGTCAACTGCTGCGATCAGAACGGCTTCGTCGGCCTCAGCGGTTGGGGCGGCGGCCTGTGCGAACACATGGTCGTCCCCGCGAGCTGCGTCAAACCCTTACCGGACAACATCTCGCTGGAGGTCGGCGCGCTGATCGAGCCGCTCGCCGTGGGCTGGCATGCGGTCGACATTTCGCCGTACAAGGACGGTGATGCCGCGCTCGTCCTGGGCGGTGGGCCGATCGGCCTGGCCGTCGTCCAGGCGCTGGCTGGCAAGGGGTGTCAAAGGATCATCGTGAGCGAGGTGAGTGGCCGGAGGAGGCAGTTCGCCAAACAGTTCGGCGCCCATCATGTGATTGACCCGACGGCCGTCGATGTCGTCGCGGAAGTCGATCGATTGACGGATGGCGAGGGCGCGGATGTCGGCTTCGACGCCGCCGGCGTGCAGCTTGCCGTGGACAGTGCGTTCAAGGCAATCAAGGCTAGAGGGACGTTGGTCAATATTGCCGTGTGGGAGAAGAGGGCGGCGCTGCAGATGAATGATGTCGTCTTCAGAGAAAGAGCGTATATGGGAGTGTAAGTCTACTACTGAACTACTGAGCAATCAACCCCTCCTGAAGGAAAACCGGGCACGGGATGGATGACTGACTGACTGATTGACTGACATCTTACAGCGCAACTTATGCCCTGGGCGATTTCGAGGCCGTCATCAATGCAATTTCAACGGGTAAGTCGTTCTCAGTTCGCCTCTTCGGCTGACGGTCAGTCTCGTGTGCTAATCAATAATGGACAGGGGCTATGAAACCAGAAGGCATGATCACCAAGACCATCAAGTTGGATCAGGTGGCAGAAGAGGGATTCAAGACTCTGATCGAAGACAAGGAGAACCATGTCAAGATCCTTGTGGACGTGGGTGCTGGGATATGATCCCATCGTAGGCCCAAAGCGAAAAGAATAGTGCGATTGGTGCCTGCCAAACAGCAAACAATGGTCTTAATTATGCATGGGATGCGCTTTTATTTCTCTCTCTCTCTCTCACGCAGCGAACTGGACTGTGCTACTGATGTGCGGTATCGTGCATCGATACGTTGCTTCCCCTCCAAGCTCTTGCACTTAGCGTCCGCCGTTCCTGCCATCCTATGCAAACCCAACTCGACGATCTTCAGGAACACTTTCGGCCAGACTACCGAATTGACTTGGAGTCCGACTGTGATTGAGTCTGCCGAGTGTCAGAGCGATTCTACTGTTGGTATCCAAGGTATGTTCAGTAACCAGTTCCTTGTTGATCTCAAAGTGTTTGATGAAGCACGAAACCGCCATTGCGAGAGCGGCCAGTCCGCAGAAGAAGCCGAAGACGCCGTGAAATCCGTAAGCATAGACAGCAACGCGTTGAGGCGTACCAAGGATCGATGTCGGCAGGTGGAGAGCTCGCAGCCTGATCTTCATGACATTTTGGAACACGGAACCGCCTATGCCGACGCCGAGAGCCATGCCGAAACTGCGAAGGAAAGCGTACATTGCAGCTGCAGCGCCTTCGTCACCAGGCTTGCAGACCGCTTGAGATGCGCAGTTCAGAGCGTTGAGGAGGAGACCATGTCCGATGCCAAGAGTGACTAGGCTGAGTACCCAGGTGGTCGTCCAGCTATGAGCGGACCATAGGGTGGTCAGGCCGGTGGCCAGCGTCGTAAGAACCCAGCCGATCCAGATTGCCCAGCGGTAGCTACCTGTCCGGGTGATGAGGCGGCCAACAACCACCGCTGTGGGGATGAGAGCGAGCATGACGGCCAGCAGACCGACACCGGTTTGGATGGGCGACTTGAGCTTGACGGTTTCGAGGAAGAACGGGATGTAGTAGAGTTGACCGTAAAGCTAATACGTGAGTGCGGATCAGTGCAAGAAGGTGATGCAACTCACGAGAAGTCCTTGGACAAAAGCACCAGCGTAGATAGCAAATGCTGTTGGATTGCGAAACAGGGAGTGTGGTAGGAAAGGCTCCGTCGCGCGATACTGTTCATATAGCCCGGTGCAAATGAGTCCCAGGAATCCGGCAATCAGAGGGATGATGGTCTGGGCACTAGCCCAAGACTGTTCGGTTCCTCCCCAAGATATTGCCAGGAGAAAAGCTGCAGCAGATGGTATAAAGAGCAAGCCACCGGCCCAGTCGACTCGGGTGAGCATCTGTCTCCATGTCGCTCGGCGAGGCGTGAGGCGAATGAACAGAGGCACGAAGACCAAGCCGATACCACAGAAGGGAAACATCAGGTAGAAAACTCCACGCCAGAGTGTTGGGGTTGCAAAAGCACCGCCGACTAGATGGGATTTCATGTCAGTACTCCTGGACACAAAGCAAAACAGCGTGTCATGATGAGGGCTGTGGCCATCGAAAAGTACGAGGGAGGATATTCAGACTTACTGAGAGGTCCAACGCACGTTCCGACTGCCCATGCTCCCTGTCTGTGAATGGCTCATGGTTAGATCATGACCAAGAAAGCATTGACTGGTCGACTTACAAGATTCCCACGTATTGCGGACGGGATCTCAAGGGGACGATGTCGGTGAATATCACAAGCGAGAGGACGATGACCCCACCACCGCCAATGCCTTGAATGGAGCGACCGGCAAGCATGACACTGATGTTATGGGCCGCCGCGCATAGGATGGTACCGACGGTGAAGAATATCAACGAAGCAAAGAGACAGCGAGACCGGCCAACGATGTCGCTCAGTGCAGCCGTAAATGGCATTGTCACCGCGCATGTGAGGAGGTAGGACGTGCCAATCCACAGCCCTTGCGTGGTGTCTGTCTTAAGAGCCTGGATGATTGTCTAGAATAGCAAGTCAGTGTCCGCACACAGAAGAGTCAGGCCTGGAAGACGGAATACATACGGACAAAGAGGTGATGATGACAGTCGCATCAAGACTGACCATCAATGAAATGATGGCGAGCGTCAACATTATGGCCCACTCATGTCCCGATGGTTTCCAAGCAGGAGCGACATCCTGATCTCTTGCAGTGTGTTGACCACTGTCGTTAGCGGTTCGCTCTGTATCGGCCATGCTGTGCTGTGATGAGTGTTTCTTGTGTAAGTCTTGTTGTTACGCTCTTTGTCGGTGTTTGGGAGGAGTGAAAGATTGTCAATGACATGAGAAGTGATATATCTAAATATGATCCCCGACCCCACGCGGCAACCCAGTGATGGGCCAAATCGGAGAGACATGATGTCGTTTGCGCGGTCATGGTCTTGTAGGCTTGTAACCCTCCAAGGCCGCCAGTGAAGTTGTCGCTTTCGCAGCTCATTTTGTTCACATGCCAAGATGTGCAGTGAATGCAGTCGCAGAGGAGCTGGAGTGGTGAGGTAGCCGGACCTCTTCTGAAGCTTGTCGTTTACTTTATCACCGAGGGAAAATAGGCCCCTCAGCTCACCTACCATACGCTACCTAGGTATGTACCCACACAGAGTACGCCGTAGCTGCCTAGGTAGCCAATCCAGATACTGAATCTTGGACAACGGCTGAAGCTGTTCCTCTTTCGGAGACATTACACGAGCTGACTGAGTGGTCTTTCTGGGTGGAGCTAGCACCCGCAACAAGAATTCTCAGGCTGGAGCATTCAAATCTCGCAAGGCTGATGCGGCTTTCTGGCTTGATCGTCCGTGCGTGTGATTTGAGAGTGGTGGAAGAAAGAAAGAACGTGGTGCAGCAGCTGCACAGGTTGTGACAATATGTCTTTTCCATTCCCAGTTTAGCGTCCAGTTCAACAAGCTTGACCAATCATAACTTGTGCCCTTCAGCCTCGTCAGCCTCGTCAGCCTCGTGATCGATACCTCGATTGTACCATCACGTCTTGAAAGATGACTGTGGTACAGTCGAACAATCCTATTCCTAGATGATTCACCATCGAGCTATTGCTTCAAGGATCTACTAGCTGTCACGATCGGGACCAGTCATTGCCAAGGGTCCTGATGATTTAGCTGACCGATATGTGGAAATGGCCCTTCCATCCATCCAACTAAAGGTAGAGTTGGCTCGTTACATCAGTGACAAGCGATGTTGCCACAGCCATACGATGCAGAGATACAATGGCATGGTATTGCCGTCGTATAGAGTCGAAACATACGTCAAGATACTCTATATATTTGTGCAGAGGCTCCGTCGTTTGGTACTCATCCTGGCTCCGTTTCTCTCCCAACCATAGACAAACGCTGTGTCTGCAGCATCTTGACGCTCACACGTGCCATACGACCCTCGGTAGCCTTTGCCCTTCTAGGCCACTTCTGCCACTATTGCAAAACCAGACAAGGCTCAATACTACGCTCGTAGCCAAGTGAACAAAGAGAAGAGATTGGCAGAAGAAGAAAGATGGATTCTCACCACAGCTGCAAGAAGCCACAATCACCCTCCACTTCTTCCTCATCCTCCCCCAGAGATCAGTGCGGCTCTTCCCAGAGCTCGTCACAGGTGCCCCGGACCAGCAGCAGACCATCAGATGAACAGTCGACAGCTGCGCTTGCTGAAGCGCTCGCCGAAAGATCCGATGCCCTCCCACTATGCATATTCAGTGGCCTTGTCGAGGCCTCGCCCAGATTGGATGAGAAGCCCGGTTCAAAGCTTACATGGATCAAGGAAGAACCTCGATCAAGCTAGGGCTGCCGTTAGGCCTCCTTTGACAGCTTTTGAGGCGAAGTTCGGGTAGAGCTCCGAGCATGAGGCTGCCATGAGCAAACGTTCGCACAAGACCTCGAGGTCAAAATGATCTTGACTGAGGTGATCGGAAAATGCAAGAGGTGGTCGGCAGAAGCCTTTTCCATTCGGAGAAACGCACTGAGTTGAAGCTGCGCTTGTTGTCGGTCGGGCATATATAGAGTGGCAAATCATCCCTAGAATCAATGAGATTTGATTCCATCCTGTCCGGTCCACTGGCGTGACACCGAGATAGCAATTGCCGAGCAAGGTGAAGAGGATTGTGCCGCAAGGGAACGAGAATAGCAGAGATGATTCTCCATGCCAGCGCTCGATCCAGTCCAAAAAGTTGTGCGATTGTCTCATAATGATATGGCGTATGCTCAAGTAGTGGGAATTCGATGTGGCGCGAACCTGGGGGATGTGGAGCTTCAGCCTCCTGGGCTTTCCTGGCGCTGAACGATCCGCATAGTGGTGTACTCTTGATTGACGACTTATTTGGGCTTGTCTTTCTCGTTTTTCTCTTGTTCCAGCTTTCTTAGCTCTTTTCGAAGTAATGTCTCCAACCCTTCGTTCCTCCGGGTCAAGAGCATAACATCGTCTGTCTTGATCGTGCTTCTTCCTGCATGTTTGGCAAAGGACTCGAGATCAATGGCGGCATTTCCTGGCATCTGGGGTCAGTAATCTACAACGCTAGCATGAGCTTGGGGGAAGAATACCAATCTGGGCCCAGACCAATTCCATCAGACTTCCAATGAACTGCGGCGTTGCATTGACGCCAAGGTTGATGCTTTCTTCGTCGACTATCTTGCCTATTTGGAACCAAAGAGCAGAGCGAAGTTTCTATGGAGTGGTAAGATCAGCGTTTCGTCGACATGAGAAGTCATTCTTACTTGCATCCAGCCGGCCAAATGTGAGAACGATAGGATTTGGAAGTCCCGTTCCAGTTCGACCACAGTTTGACCGGTCGGATCATCATTCGCTTACCTTCTGTAATGCCTCCGCTTCTGTCTCCGTCGTAGAGGCCATACTGCAGCGCTGTCGAGAGGATTTCAATGGTGGTTCTTGACGGTATCTCGGTTGGCGACGACGCGTCCGAACGCGTTCATTGAGCTCGTATGGTCCACCATAAAAACATACGGTCAAGCATGAAGCACGTCAGCAACATAAGCTGCCCGTGGAAGCCCTCACTAGCCGTGGCTAATAGTTTCCTCCGTAAGTCGGAAATTTGCGCCAATCACAAGTGATAGGGCCAAACCACGCGCGCCAGCGCGTGGCCGCGAGCAAAACGCGTTTTCATAGCAAAATGCCATTTTGATAGCCACCAACTTGATCTCTACCCACCACCACCACTACGATGCCTAATAACTATAACCACAATCTTGCTTGTCTCAACATCCAACCTCTCTGAATAGCTCAAAATCTGTTTACGCTTTGCTTGTGAAAGCTGCGACTGCCTCCTGCATGATTCTGGCGGTCTCGCGGACAATGGGCGGACTCACCAAACTGAAATGATCTGCGCCTTCCACGACATGAGTCTCGACATCACCCAGGAGTTTGTCCCATCCGTTGGGCCCGAAATCGGTTCTCTTTCCATAGAACCAACCGACCAGACCGAGTCCCTCGTCTTCCATAACGTTTCCGTCCATTTCCTCGATTTCCTGTGCCCACTCTGGAATCTCCAGGCCTTGCTCTTTGATCACGTCGATCATGCCTTTCTTTGCCCATATTATCACCGTTTTTAGCGGTCTTTTGCCCTCAGGCATCGGCTGAGCATTGTACACCATGAGCTGCTTCACGGTGCTGAGCAAATGTTGCCTCAGCATGTCTGATATGGCTCCAAAGGCCTTTCCGGCCCGCTTGATGCCCGCCGTCAACCCGACCTGGTCCAGAATATCCATTGTCAGCTCCAGACCATCGGGCATTGGTCTTGGCACACGCATGTCCAGGAGTATCAGACCGAGGACTGTTTCGCCCCCATCGATCAAGATGCGTGCGGCTTCATATGCGTATGCGGAGCCAGCTGACCAACCCCCAAGCATATAAGGGCCTTTAGACTGCGTCTTCCGGATGGCTTCGACAAAAAGCTGCGCGATTTCGTGGATTGAAATGGTGTATTCTATTGGACAGTGAAGGAACGGTGACTCAAGAGCGTAGACGGGAAGCTTGGTGGGGAAGAAGGGTAAATGCAGATAAGCCGTGCTACTGCCGGCGCCGTCGACAAGGAGGAACAATGGGGTCTGTCCTGATGATGGCCGGCCTTGGAGCAAGACTACATTGCTGGAGTACTTCTTTGCTGCTGGAACAACTTCTGCTTTTGGTGCCGCTTTCTCTGTCGCCGGCATTTGTCGCTGTGGCTCTGCCACTGTTTCAGGTCTCCGGGAAGGAATTGTAGAGCGTGGTTCGGGTTGTGCGACGCTCGACACCGAAAATGGCGGATTATCATGCTTATTTTCGGCAGGCGCAGGGGTCTTGGTTGGCTTGAGGTCGCCTTGATCTGGCTTCGACACTGTGGGTTCCTCCAAGGGTATCGGCTCTACCATCTCGGACAATGCTTTTCTCATCGCCCCAACCGTTCGGTGCACCGTGAAGAATGCGGCAGGGACAGAGATGTTGGTGCTCTTCTTGATGGCGTCGATGATGGCCACACTCATCAAAGAATCAACACCCATGTCCTCGAAAACAGTGTCTTCCTGCATGTCCTCCACAGGGTATCCGGTCTCTCGGGCTATAGTCTCGAGAGCCAGAGTGAAAATGCTCTCCACATCCAAGGCGCCAACATCTGAAGTGGCAGCCGAAGACACTGGTACTTCCGAGTCCGACGACCACGGAGTAGCCACACTAGTCGTGACGGTACCGGAGGAATTGTAGTAGGAGTCAGGCGAGGTGTCTTCTTCGGACGGCGAAGAGGATGTCGGGAAGGCTTTGCCCTGCGTATGAATGACAGGTTTCGGAGTGTCGTGAGAGTGGCCGAAGAGAAGAGAGTGCAAGATCCTCTTTGGCATTCTCTGGAACATGACTCCACCCAGAACGCCTACTATGTTGTCGTCGTCGAAGATGTAGACATCACCAGTCAGAATGCCCTTGTGACGAGATTGTCTCATGCGAACGTAACTGAGGTACGTTTTCTTCTCCGAAAGCTCTCCTACCATTCGCATACTTTTCACACCGGCAGAGAAGTATGCAATGTCATCAGGAGTGTCCACGCTTCCGTTGAGCAAGAAACCCGCCAACTGAGCCAAGGGGTCAATCCAGTACGGAGCACAAGTAAACTTGGCTCCGTTTGGAACGGGGTTGAAGTTGACTACCGCAACACCTTCATCTTCAGGACCCAGAATGACTTCGCTCATGCCTTGATACTGGTCGCTGTAAGTGACGATGTTGTTAAAGAGCTTGTACACATATCGTCGCGAGAGTCTTTGGGCCTTGCCTGTCCGTGCCGAATCTCTGATCGACTCGATGCGGCTGCGGACGAGATAGGCAGTATCGTTCCAGGACTCCAGCCATTCAGCCGCATCGCCATATCGGATGACACAGCCACCGTGATCTTGTGACTGCCTTTTGTTCTGGGAATGGAAAGTGATTGTGACAGTCCAGTTGGCCTCCGCGGAGGCCACCGCACTGACCCGGATGGTCTGGTCTGCTCCTGACCCAGCCAATGTCAGTGCCTGGGTGACGGTAAGGTCTTCCATTGACATCGGAGGGATGGACGTCCCTGGATGTAGCTTTTGGTGAATATATCTTCCAGCCGTATACGCCATGTCGGCGAATACACTGCTTGGACAGATTGCCTTTCCATTCACGACATGCCCTTGCACCACAGCAAGCAAATTCGGCTCGGCTACCCTAGACGCAAACTCAACAGCCAAACTGGTCGCCGACAGGGTTTCTGTTTCTACACGCTGAAGCGTCGTTGTGGGAAAGCCTTGAATCTTGATGCTTTGGTTACTCGAACCGTCACGGCCTTGGTCCTCGTCCACCAACGTCAGTACCGGTTCCTTGAATGGTGTCCAGTAATCTTTGACATCGAAGGCATATGTGGGAAGACTCAGGAGACTGAGAGTCTCGGCATGGTCCCCGTGGAAGGCTTTCCAATCAATGTCGATACCACGAGTGTATGCTGTACGCAACGATGTGGAAATGGTTTTGAAGTTGTCCTCTCGAGGCTTGAGGGAAACCATGCGTTGCGACGACGATATGTCCACGCAGGCAGATGCCAGCCCGAGGCAGACAGGGCTGGGACCAACCTCGAGCCACAGAGCCTCTGTGCCGAGTAGCTCGGCATTCTGACAAGCATTGATTGCAGCCAGGAAATTTACAGGCTGTCGCATTTGCCTAACCATGTAACCGCTCGAGAACGTGCCCGCATCTAGCACAATTTTGCCCTCAAGTGTCGATGCGACAGGTATCAACGGCTTGTTGAAGACAACGCTGGCGGCGATGGTCTCGAATTCTCTCAAGATGGCGTCCATTTGAGCAGAGTGGAATCCATAGGCATTCTTCAGCAGATCAGCCTTGATTCCAGCCCTATCACAATCCTCGCTGAAGGCTTTGATAGTTTTCAACGGCCCACTGACCACCGTACTAGCAGGACTGTTGATGCAAGATATCTCGCAAGCCGCGGAGCTGGTGGCCAACCTGCCTTCAAGCTCGGCGACTCCCAGCCTGACTGATAGCATTCCGTAAGTCCCGCTAGAGCAATGCTTTTCGACCAGAGTGGCACGGTGTCCGACAAGGTAAAGCGTGTCGCTCAACGACAACACGCCGGCGACGCACAGCGCAGCGTACTCGCCGAGGCTATGGCCCACCACGACAGCAGGTGAAATGCCCCATGACTTCCAGGTCTTTGCTAGAGCAATCTCGAGCGACACAATGGCAAGCTGGATTTCCACGGATGATCTGGAATTGGTGTTGGTCGAGTCGTCGGCAATCAGGTCAACAAAAGGAGGAAACCCTAGGAACACAGCCTGTGTCTGGCATGCTAGAATGTATTCGCGGAAAGTGCGACACAGTCGGAACAAATTCTTCCCCATACCGGGGTATTGTGAGCCTTGTCCTGTGAAAAGGAATACTGTTCTGACCTTGTCACCGATGCGCTTGGTCTCGGCAGCACTGTCCGCCTTGACGAGCTCAAGCAAGTCGTCGGCAGAAGAACTGACATATGCACTTCGGAACAGATCGTGGCCTCGGCGTACTGTGGTCGTGTACGCCACATCAGCAATGCTCACGACATTCTCTGATAAGAATGCAACAAGCCGCTGCTTCGCCTTTTCCAAGGCGACGCTGCTCCGGGCGGAAAGCGTGACGATATGATGTCGACGAGGATCTTGTTCTTTACCTGGCCTCGCTGGTGCATCCTCAATGAGCAGACTTGCATTGCCACCCTGGTCACAGAAGTCAGCCTTTATATGCGAGAAGGATTACCGTTTCGAACTTACCGCCGCATCGAAGTTGTTCAGCAAGATTCTGCGTACGCCGTCACTCGTGGCGCTGGCGTCGAAGGCCACAGACTCATGCGGAATTTGGATGTTCAACTTTTCCAATTGTGGATAGTTGGCGTTCAATCTGGCTGGCATGCCGACTTGGGGAGGGATTTCATCCTTTTGAAGCATGAGGCAACACTTGATGAGTGCGGTCACACCTGCGGCCTGCACAAGGTGAGTCAGGGTCAGCCAGTGTTCCCGTGTTGATAGTAGGGAAGGTCCCACTTACTGCTTCGCCATGGCCCAAGTTTGCTTTCATCGACCCAACATACAAAGGTGGTAGTCCACTCGATCGATCCTTTCCCAATACATTAGCAACGGAGGTCATTTCTGCAGTATCCCCGGCTTGTGTGGCCGTGCCGTGAAACTCTACATAAGAGATGTCGTTTGGTTGCAGACATCCTTGCTGCAAGATCTGGCGGTACAAGCGCTCCTGGGCCCCTGAGTCGGGGTGAGTGATGGACACGGCGCCAGCGTTGGCGTTTCTGGCACCTGCTCGAATGACAGCGCAAATGTTGTCGTTGCTTTGCTGAGCATCCTCTAGGCGCTTTAGGACAACGACCCCGATGCCCTCACCACGGCAATAACCGTCTGCATCGGCATGGAACGTCTTGCAACCACCAGTGGAGGACAGGAAGCCACCTTTGCTCAGGCCAGAGTACGGTCGTGGTGAGGATAGGATGGAACCGCCACCAACGACTGCCATGTCACAGGTACCGGCATTCAACTCGGACGATGCCAGAAGCACAGCTGAGCAGCTTGAAGCACACGCTGAGTCGACGCTGAAGGATGGGCCGGTCCACTTGAAGTGATGGTTGATCCGACCGGGGAAGAATGCTCGTGCGACTCCGGGCACGTAGTAGATGTCAGTTCCCTCGTTGTTGTTGATTTCTTTTTGATCATCCGCAGTCTGACCGAAGAAAGCTGCGACCCGTCGACCTCCTTGCGGTAGCTCGCCATATGGTGCCTGACCAGCCTTTTCCAGGGCTTCATAGGTCGCCATCAGGAAGAGCCGTTGCATTGGGTCCATCTGAAGGGCTTCCCGGGGTGACAGATTGAACAGACGACAGTCGAATTCTCCGGGGTTCTTTAGAAAGCAACCATATTTGGTGGAAATCGAGTTCTTCTTCGACCCGGATGGGTCATAGTACTCGTTCAGGTCGAAACGAGAACTTGGAATCTGCAAAAAATGTGGTCAGCACGCCGAAGTCGGAACCGATAACAGAGAGCACGTACCTCAGTATGGAGATCTTTTGCTTCGTGGATCGTGTTCCAGAGTTCCTCCATGTCTTCACCTCCGGGAAATCTTCCGGAATATCCTATAATGGCAATGTCCTGGCAACCAGGACGGTCACTGGGGAGGGCTTTGGCTAGTTCCGCTGCCTCACGTATGCTGTAGACCGCTCCAGTCGTGTCCGTCAGCTTTTTGAGCAAGGCTGTCTGCGTGGTAGGGCCGATTATTGTTATATCGATGCGGGCTTTCTCTGACAAAGTCAAAGCTGTTTGCATGGCGCTGCTGACTTGCAATGTGTTTTGAGATATGTCTACGAGCATCTGGTGTAGCAAATCTCTCAGAGTTTGACATTCGTAAGGCTCCAAAGAAGAAGTGCTTATAATGGTGGCATTAGGCGAAGGTTGTCGATCATGAAAAGCCGACGAGCCGATGATGAAGTCAAAATCCAATGCTGGGAGATGAGGCGCATGAACAGCAGCCTCGATTGGAAGTGACAAATGAGGTGCCGCAGCTAGCTCTGGGCAGCTTGCGAACATATGCTGCAGTGTCGATGGAGGGCCAGTGAGTGTGGTCCATGGATCAGCGATCACGCTGAGGTATGCTGAGCGATGTCCAGGTATACGCTGACCAATGTCAGGAACGAGGGAGAGCATGGTCTTTGGGACAATTACTGTACCTGATCTGCATGGAACTTTTCGATCAGTTCTTGTTGTCTGTCAGCAGGCATGGAAGTAACGAGGTAACCCCAGGTGCTTGTCCGTGGCGCATCCTCAATGCTCCTCGAACGCTGTGAGATTTGAGCCGCGCAGCGCACGATCAGTGCAAGGATGATCAGAGACAGGTCAAACAGCTCTGCTGCACTGCGAGCGACTGATGCTGCGGCTGCCGGCAACAACCCCGTACACAGGCCCAGCATGTGGACCTCTTTCCTGTTGGTCGCCAACAGCTCTGGTTCCAAGAGGGCATACCTGGAAAGGGGACAATCAGCAACTTTCAATACAGTACAGTGAGGGAGCGATATACATCAGGAGCTCTCCCAGACGGCATATGCAGACCAGCGTCATGTTTACTGCCCCTCCGGGCAGCTCTTCCCGTGCCCATTTCTCCGCAAGATCAATGATCGTGTCGAAATCGGGCCAACGTTCACGCTGTTCCGCTTGGAGTTTGCCAACTTCCAGCTTGACTACTCTTGCGGCTTCGAACAGGAAGCGTTGAATAGTGATGGATGATCTGGCTTGACGATACAAATTCTGGATAGCAGGTAAGGGCGACACCACCTCGTCCCCAAAGAAGAGGATATGCTTTGATGACATCCTGGGCGGTGTGAAGACTGCTCCTGACACCTGTACTCTTGGAGAAGGGTGGGAGGAAAGGGTCAAGCACTACAAAGACAAGGATAAATACTTCACGAGACGTGCCAACGGACTGACCTACTGACAAGTGAATGGTGAGAGGTGGCTGCCCTCTTTGGTCAGCAGCAGACGATCACGATCCTCCCTTCCGCGGTCGCTCGTCTTGCACCTCCCTTCGTCTTTGATCGAGGCGGGATATCTGCACCCTGGTACCTTCTGAGGAGCTGGCGGTGTCTCAAAGCTCTCCATCCACTCTTGATGGAGCTAACATTTGTGATAACCAGGGAGTCTCCATCTGCGATAGTGTGCCTGCGAGATTGCCAATGCGCTCTCACCTTGCACGTTTTCAGACCATTCGGGCTCAACGTCCGGGAGCAGGGGCCCATGGCTTGGAAGGATTCCTGGCACGGCAGCAGGACAAAAAAATGAATGAGCAAAATACTATATGTATTGACATTACAAGTGCAGGCCAACCGTTGAATGACAGCTATTACCAGAACGACGCTTGACTACGTTACAGACTTATACCATGTACAGTGCCAGCTTGAGTGGGGCTCGCTAGCTTGGGCATGGGGGCCCTGATCTACCAAGTCCTGACCCATGTATACCACAGTAGTTCATCCGGAGTTGGTGCCACTATGATATGCAGAACGAAGGCTGAACCCCGCTGTCCTTTGCCTTGGGAGCTCCTACGGGCTGGTGAGGCCCCCCAGTACCCTGATAGGCTAGGCCGTGAAACCGGTTTGCTTAGATTGCTCTTCCAAGTGGGATGAGTAGGAGGGGAAGATAAGTCGAACTTGGCAACGAAATCTGATGGTCGACATTGACTCCGCTGATGCTCAGCTGCTGCTCGTTGCGTCAGATGACTCCCCACACTGGGACGACACGGTGAGAAGGTTGATGATTGATCCCGGGCAAGGATTTGCCTTGGGAGAGCGGTTGGGAGCCCTCAAGGAGGCGGACATTGATTTTTCCCCTCCACCACTTCCACAGGCAGCTTTTCGAAATCTGCATCGACCTCACCCAGTTGTTGAACACCTTGTGAAGATTCCCTCTGTTCTCGGCATTCTCAATGGCAAACGCAAAGCCCATACCTGACGAAGTCCTCGAGGGCTGTATAGCCTACAATCCCGCACTCCTGCCCAGCTATGGCTATAAACCCAGCCTGGCAGCCGGAATCACTTATTGCGTTCTCTTCAGCCTCGCACTTGCTGCGCATTGTCTTTACAGCGTCCTCAACCGACGATGGGCGAACTACTTGCTGGCCACGGGAGCCCTTGGGGAGCTCATCGGCTGGGCAGGTCGCACCTGGTCATCGCAATGCCCTTACAATCAGTCCGCCTTCCTGATGCAAATCGTCACCTTGGTCATCTCGCCAGTCTTCTTCACCGCTGCGCTCTTTGTCATGTTGGCACAACTCAGTGTCCAGAGAGGGGCTCAATATTCGCTGATCCCGCCACGACTCTATCTCTACATCTTCTGCACCTGCGATGTCATTGCCCTGCTCATTCAAGCCGCAGGCGCAGCCATTGCCTCCCACGAGTTCGATACGCAGGGTGATCCGGAAAAGGGCACTCATGTCGTCGTCGCTGGGCTCGGATTCCAACTGGCGGCAATGACCGTCTTCTTCGGTTGTTTTCTGGGTTTCATCGTCCGGTCCTTCAAGCAGACTTGGCCAAGGCATGAGGTGGTCCTGTTGGGGTCGATGCTTCTCAGCTTCATATCTCTATACATTCGATGCGTATACCGGACAGCCCAGCTCGCAGAAGGCTGGCTAGGTTACCTCTCTCGGCATGAGCGGTTCTTCCTGGCGCTGGATGCCGCTTTGATGGTGGTCTGTGTCGGTATATTTGTTCCTTTCAATCCAGGAACCTTGCTACGGCCCGAGCATAGTGTTAGGGCTCGCGAGGGGGCTGAATCTGCTTGGGGAAGCGGCACTTTGCTTGGTAGACTTCGGCGAAATCGCACCGCTGATACGGAAAATCACAATCCCACTGCCGCAACGACAGATGCTCATGTGACGGACAACCCATCAGGGGATAACAAGACAGGTTGAGCCGTCCATATTTGCGAAAGCCGGATTCTGCAATAGGCGTGCATGTGAAGGTGGTATAGGTAATGGTGGCATGAATGAGATAAGCGAGGACATGAAATTCGAGTTTATGTCATATTCAAGTCCTGGAGCACATAGCAAATACTTCAAATTGTGCGTGACAGCAGCTTCCACGCAGTGCGAACAACGACCGCTGGACCAAGTACAACAAGGGCATATACGAAAAGCAGATCGTAGTTCTGAGCTTTCCAGAATGACATCCTCGCGTCAGCCGTCTGTAGATGTGCAGGTCTGAGCTCACGTCTGCTCCTTCTCGAACTGTCCGTCTCGCTTTGTCCACTCGTCTTCCACTCATCGTCGTGCTCATTCCAGTCAGATCTCAGCTCATGGTCATACATCAACTCCTCGATCAGATCAGCAGCATATGTCTTTTTCTTACTTTGGATGGCAGCAATCCTTTTCAGCCTTACGCAGTTCCTTTTGACGGTGCCATCAGGGTCGTTGACCAGTGTGGCAAGCTTATCGCATAGTTCGGCGGGAGTGAAGCTGTTTTTGTCAAGCCCCAGACCAACGCCTGCGGCACGCAGACACTTTTCGTGTTTGAACTGGTCGTTGAAGATGGGCATGCCCAGTACGGGGACACCGTGAAAGACACTTTCATACACCGAGCTGGATCCGCAATGTGAGATGAAGGCCACGGTGGATGGATGGTCGAGGATAGCGCGCTGAGGAGCCCATGGCAGAAGTCTCCAGTGCGTGTTACTAGTAGTAGTACCGTCTTGCAAGATTTCGTGGATCTCGGGCCCAAGAGCCAAGGTGGTGTCGACCTGCTTTCCTCCTCTCTTGATGGCCCACAGGACGCCATCGACGTGTCCAGACGCCAAAGCAGCCTGAACGCCTCGGGCGATCTTGATGAAGCGTTCACCGCCCATGCTCACATGAGTGCCGAAAGCAATGAAGACCACCTTCTGATGCGAGTTGAGAAAGTTTGCCGTCCCTGCATCCAAAGCAGGATAGTCTTCGTAGAGGATCGGTCCGACCGGGACCACCAGTGGTGGCAACGCCCTGGGCACGTCCAAGCCGAAAAACGCGTTGATGAGGTACAGATGACTCGGCTTCCGGACCAGTCCTGCAGCTGGCAGCCCTGCTTCTCTACGTAGACGTCTGCGCCATAAGATATGGTGCCGAAGTGAAAAGAGCATCTTGACGGCAAACACCTGCTCGTAGATTCGATCCAATATCGAGGCGTGCTCACTGGTGAGGCATTCCAGTTGGAACCCGGGGATGCCTGGCATGTAGCTGGGAGATTCAAGGTTGAATGGGACTTGAGGATGCATGGTCGCCAGAGGGATCGAATACCTGTCCGCAACGTCCTTGCAGGCTTGGAGGTCGAGAACATCGCCGAATATGAGGTCAGGCCGATCTTGGTGTTGTTGGACAAGGCCGTCGAGAGACCTGTGTGCCTCGACCCAGAAGCCTTCCATGAATTGCAGGACCTTGAGCATGTCCGCGCGGCCTTTGCTGTCCCTGACGTCGCTGTCCTCCAGGAGATGGTGGTAGACTTCGTCCTCTACGGGCGTGATGCAGCGCGCAATTGCATCGACTCGAGAGATGAAAGGATACTTTTCCATCATGGTGCTCTGCGAACCTTCGCAACACGCGAGCCGGATCTCATGTCCACGAGAGTGAAGGACTCGGCACACCTCCAGTATCGGGACTGTTCCCCTGGGAGTCAGTAACGAGCGTTTTATGGCAACGTGCAGTAGACAATGTGTAAAAGGTATTACGACTTACACGCGTGACTCCATCTTCCCACGGTCACCACTGCCAGTATGCTTCTCGGTGGACTTGTCGGGGCTGACTTGACGGACATTCTCTGAGCTTGCTCCGAAAAGTACAGAATCTGACAAGCTGTCTAGACTGTAGGGCTCATCCACAGGCCTATGGAGTACCTAAGTTGCAACAGTCACCCTGAACCGGAGAGGACTCTGAGGCTTAATCAACCCGCTCACACCTCAATGCGAATCCTGCGTACACACCCTTGAATGCGCTTGGCAGGCAGATTCCCGTTGTTCAGAAAGCATTACAGTACCAACAAGACGCTGGTGAGCAATGATCTGAATCCACTCTGTTCTGCCCCCCTCTGCATTTGAGCTCACAGATCGGTCCCGGCTTGCCAATATTTCTCACACAGTATTCCGTACTCCGTTATGAGTGGGCTAGTTTCTGGACCAAAAGATTTATCGTCACATACGGAGTATGGCCCGAAAGGAGCTGATGTGATGTGGTCTGGCAATGAGGTGCCGTTTTGGTTCGCAGGCATTGTCAACGCCCGGGAACGCTGTCTTCTAGCCGTAACAGGAAAAGGTATTCGAGAGGAGGAAGGATTGTTCCTCGCTTGTTTCCCGGTCTGACATTGTTTTGTGTTACTTGTACAATAATGCAGCCTTGCATTAATTTATGGAACCAACCCTTGGTCTAGACGGTCAATGAACAGTAGTCGTACGAGTATCAAGGAAAGCGTCGCCTTGTGCAAGAGTAAATTTTGTTGAGACGACTAACCACCGGAATAGGAAGTAATGGATAGAAACGGTCCCTGGTAGCGGCCCAGCATGCCGTGCAGATCATTCCTGCATGGGAGCCCATGCATCAAGCACAGGCGGTCTAGCGTTTGACATTGAGCCAGGGCAGGCTATGTACTTTGGTAAAGCAACGCAGGATCACCCATGCGGGCGCCCTTAAACGATGATGAGCCTCAAGCGCGGGACAAGGAGTCAGACCAGACCAGACCAGACCAGACCAATCTTGACACGGAAAACTGCACGTGAAGGGCCGTATGATGGTTTCATGGCTAGTGGGGGTGAGATTTCTAAGAGACCCGGCTCCTAATCACGACTAAAGAGTTGGCATGCAGGCAGTCTACGGTGTGCATGTTGAAACGGTCGAGCTCGATTGGCAAGGCTGTCACTCCTCGTCACTGCCGACCCTTACAGCCGTACTCGTATCACGGTAGTACATATCCAAGTACAAGTGCTCGTCCTGGTCTACATGGATAGCTGTTCCGAGGATTTCCGCTAGTGTATCCTTGCTACTAGTGCGTACTATGCAGCAAGAGTCGCTAGCACTGGATGGCTAGACGGAAATCCTGTACAGAGCTTTACTTGTCGGAGTTAGTCGTCACACCGGAGCTCTAACATCGGGATCGACAGGGCTAGTGATGCTATCCGGGTCTAAGCTCTAACTAGCGAGGAGTCTAATGTGACTACTGGACCAACCCCTGGAGACACCCAGGTGGGAGGAGACTCTATCCGGAAAATCCCCTCCAACTGCCCCTTCCACATCTCAAAACGTTAGATTGAGGACATCAGGATATCCAACTACTGTCCAGGAGTAGAAATTGCCCTGTTCGGGTCCTCTGGCTGCAGATCCCATTGTCGCATTCGGTTTCTCCCATCTTGAATGGCATACTCCGTGATCAAAGCTGCATGGTCTACACGGCCCACACGGTCCTTTGTCGAGCGCTAAGCTTTTCATACAGCCTTCTACGCCTTCGATCTAGTGGAGATATGGTAAGGCTCTGGGCTGCATCTGATAAGCAGGTGCTACTTGTAGTACTAAGTAACGCTATCAAAACTTCAATTCACTGATATCCATTCCCTTTCTCACATGTGTAATGCTGACCTGCTGGGCGCTTGCTACATTCGAAACCGTCACTCTCAGCCCATGTAGTCATACACCAGACGGCCTAGCTTGCATCCCCCATCCTTTGTGACGATACTGCGTCTCGTATGATAGCGTTTTCCGTCGATGATTTCGAACCCCCATGTCTGCTCTGCCGTCCAGCCGCCTTCCTGGCTGACCATGGCCGTATGCAAGTGCTGATCCTCTCCCAACCAAGAGCTGGGGGATCCATCCGCAAGGATTTCGGCGTCCAGAAACGCAATGTCTGCGTCTGACAGGGCGCTCAAGGTCTCGACCTTGCCGGAATAGTAACGGCCCCGATCTGCAGAATGCCGGAAATTGAGTCAGACACAAAAGAAAATGTGATACGGCCACCACACACGTCCAGGAGCAAGGACCAAGGTCACTTACTTTCGACCAATCCAAAGGGACCGTTGCTCTTTTTGAGCGGCTGCCAATCGAGAACTCGCTGGTCCTGGCCTTTGATCCCGGCAGGGCCGGATAACTCGATGTCGAGTTGCGCTTTCCCCTCGACATCGATCATTTCCTTAATCACAAGCGTCGGAGCGCCGGCGGCCATCATTTTGCGAATGAGCCAGTTTATCCCTTGCTGGTCAAAGCCATGAGAAGTGAGTTCAAGAGTTGACTTGATGCGACCACACCGCGACAGGGTGACAGTACGACAAACGTTGTGCACTTACCAGCTCCAACAGGGGGAGTATGTCATCGGACAAGCCTTTGTTCTTTTCTCACAACAGTCAGCAATCTAGTATCCCTGGATCCCAACATGTGGGGATGTCTGCAGCCCTGCAGTGGGAAAGAAATCGCTCACCACTTTGAAGGTTCCTGTGAGGTTGCCAATCTTGATCTCGTCGGGAGAGGCCATCATCGATACTTTCTCAGCGTAATGGAGTGTAGGGGTGTAGCCAATGGTGTTGGTGAGAGGACCTCCAACAGGAAAGTCCAAACTACAGGATTCTATCCTTCACGGAGTATTCGCGCACAAGGAGAAAGCGGGATGATGTTGTTAGTCACAAAAAATCCAGTCTCGATATTATAACCGTGGTCGAAAAGGCAATAACTAACCTGCTCTTAGGCAGTGAAACAATTCTTGGCAGAGACCTGGCACGACCTGACTGCTGGAATTGACCAGGGGTATCTTCTTCAAGAGATCCACCCTTCACATGCCGCTGGAGCATGTGCCTTGGAATTGATGTGCTATCTAAGATACGGAGTAAGGAGGGTCAGCTCGTCAAAAGGACTACCAGCACTGCCATACTGAACAGGGCAGACCATTGTTCGTACATACTACGTAGTACAAGTGGTACCTATGTAGCAAGGTGAGTGGAGCCTTGATCGCTCGCCGCCGGTGGAACAGCAGCAGCTCACTTTTCGAAAGGGAAACAGGACCTTTCGCTTAACCCTCCCTGCACCCGTCTGTTCTGGACCGCCTATGTATGTCATTCAACCCGTGTCCAAGCGTAACGCAACGTACCGTGCTCGTCCGCGTACCGAAATGCTGTAATGCCCAATACCGGAGCCTCGTTCGTCGATCCCACTATCAAGGGATATCTATACTGACATGTGCTTCTCGCTTCTTCGCAGTCAAGACCCTCCCATTACTAGTATCATCAGAATGCAGCATAGGACATAGTACCATTCGCCGTCCTCCGAACTATTGAATCCTGTGCACCTGCACGGGGTGAAACAAGGCCAGTCAGAAGGCTTGAGAGCAACACGGATATACGTCTAAGCCATGGCGCTGCGGTGTCAGAGTCTTTCTGCATGAGAGCTACATAAGACAAGACTACGGTTTAGTTAGGACTTGCGTGGTGTTCACACCGGGCCAAGGGCATGTGTGCGTGTGTGGTTCTCTTCCATTGAGGTGTTCCACATAGACCTTAGGTTACTAACGCTAGGACTCCGTATGCAGGCACAGATCTTAGGAAACAAACGAACGACACCCAGAAGAACCTACTTGCAGCAAAACAAAGTATCTAGTACTATACGCTGCTTGAAGTGTAGTTTGTGAGTGGTGGGTATCTGGTTCAAGAACCTAGAAAGTGGTAGATCTATCTGAAAAGCACACCAATAGCATAGATACCTACGAGGTACCGAGCCTCTGCAGGCTTACCAATTCAGCATAGCGGCCTCCTGCGTCCATTAGTGATTTGTGAGTGCCTTGCTCGGCAATTGCGCCATTCTCAAGCACGTAGATGTGATCGGCGTTCTGAATGGTGCTCAGTCGATGGGCTATGGCGATGGTGGTACGTCCCTGGGACGCCTGATTCAGGGCAGCTTGGACCATCTTCTCCGACTCCGAGTCAAGAGCTGAGGTTGCTTCATCCAAAAGTCTGTGGTAATAGGTTGAAGTGTCAGTAGCGCTGGGCTTGGGGGGAAACATTTCATGGTGGGTGGTCCGGAACTGGAAGAGCATGACGATACTTACAGAATCGAGGGATTTCTCATCAAGGCTCGTGCGATGGAGATTCTCTGCTTCTGTCCGCCAGAGAGCAAGACTCCCTTTGTGCCCACCATTGTGTCAAACCCGTCACTAGAGAGTATTTAATTAGAAAATGGCCCATGTGGGAGATCGTGACAGCGGTGGACTTACGGAAGAGAGATGATGAAGTCGAATATGTTGGCATCCCGGCAGGCCTGGTAGAGAGCTTGCTCTGAGGTTTCGCTGCTTGCTCCCAAGAGAATGTTTTCGCGGATGGTGCCATGATAGAGGATCGGTTCTTGGCTGACAAGTGCGACGTGAGAGCGATACTGGTTGATATTCAAAGATCGGATGTCCTTGCCGTCAACGAGAACACGTCCAGTAGAACAGTCGTAGAACCTCTCTAGAAGAGAAATGCAGGTCGATTTTCCGCTTCCACTGGCCCCGACGAGCGCGACATATTGGCCCGGCATGATTTTGATATTGATGCCTCGCAAGACGTAGTGGCTCTGTCCCGGGTAGCAGAATGATACGTCCTGGAATTCGATGGTCCCCGTCGCATTTTGAACGGGAAGACCCTTACTAGACCATGTATCGATGGACGGGTTACGGTCACATATCTCCTTCAGAGACGCAGCCGCAGTGCGAGCCTTGGCCACGTCTGGCGTCGATGCGAACATGTAGCCTGCAGTCTGAGCACTGAAGATGACCTCGGTGAAACATACAAAGAACTGGAACAAACTGATATCGCCCTTGCTGATCAGAGTGCCACCGTACCAGAAGCCCAAGGCTATACAGAAGAAGGGAAGCGCTTGCGAGGCAGCGTATAGCATGGCGGAGTACAGGATCGTCTTGAGAGCTGTATGGCTTTGGGCGGTCAACTGCAGGGTATAATCATCGAGAATGCTTTGTTCCCGTCCGAGAGATGCGACAGTTCGTATCGAAGAGAGCGCTTCACAGGCGAAACTTGCTGATTGCTCGTACGCCGCTTTGGACTTGGTTTCCGCGTAGCTGAGCATGTAGAAGCGCAGAAACCCTGAGGCCAGGAGAAATGGCACGGTTGCTGTGCACACCAAGCCAAGCTTCCAGCTGAAAATGATGGACAGGATGATGGCGGCAAAGATACAGGTTGACATGGACAAGATTGTCCCCAAAATCGGCCCGCTGAGGCCGGCTATGTTTGTGGTTTCCGTGGCAAGAAATGATATCAGGGCCCCGGTAGTCTTGGACTCAAAGAATGAGATCTCCTGTCGCATGATTGTCCTGAATGCAGTGTCACGTACCCGAAAGAGCATTCTCTCCGAGCACTTTGCAAACGCCCGGTCCCTGCAAACATTGACGATAAATAGAAAGATCCCAAGCCACAAGTACATGGCCGCCCAGAAGTTGACATCATGTCTGAGTTCATGGTAGAGCCGAGGAGGTTTGGACATGGCCCTAATGCACTCGGCAAAGAAGATGGCTGAAGTTGGTGTGCCACTTCCTCCAAATATGCTCATTAAGAGGCCAATTGTCATCCACAATTTGTCGTCTCTGTTAAACTTGAGGATAAATGGGATCAGCTGAGTGGTGCCGGGGGCCTTTTTGTTTGTCCTCGGTCCTTCGGGGGCACGATATGACTCAATGCTTGCTGGAAGCAGGACACCGTCTTTTTTGGGAATCTGCTGCTGCGCAGCTACTCGGTCGTCTTTCTCAATGTCTGGATAATCAGGAGGAGCAGGAATATCAGTCTTCTCGTCCAGATCTTGCCTAATTTGTTGAGCTTCCACCAGACTGAAGTAACTGCTTCGTCTCTTGATGAGATTTCCATGCGTGCCTTGCTCAACGATCTTGCCGTTCGCTATGACCACGATATTATCCGCATCTCTGATGGTCGAAAGCCTGTGAGCGATAACGATTGTAGTCCTGCCTTGCGCTGCTTTGCTCAGGGCATCCTGGACTAATGCCTCCGAGTTGGTGTCCAAAGCAGACGTCGCCTCATCTAGGATCAAGATTCCCGGGTCACGGATAATGGCTCTGGCAATCGCTATTCTTTGTCTTTGACCTCCAGATAGTAGAGAGCCTCTCTCGCCGGCACGTGTCTGGAACCCAGCTGGAAGATTTCGGATGAATTCAAGTGCATTTGCTTTTGTAGCGGCATCCATCATGAGACCATACTTCTCCGGCTGGGACAGATTGTCGAGCCTGGAGCCTTGCAAGCCATATAAGATGTTGTTCTCGATGGTCGTGTCGAACAGGACCGGATCCTGGTCCACCAGTGAAATGTGCTGACGGAGCCACCCTATGTTCAATTGTTGTATGTCGTGACCTGCCACCAAGATCTGGCCGTGTACTTGGGGATAGAAACGCTCGAGCAGGTTGACAATACTGGACTTGCCACTCCCTGATGGGCCTACCAGCGCCGTCGTCTTTCCAGCCGGAATATGCAAGCTGAAATTCTCCAGGACGGTCACATTTGCTCTGGAAGGGTAGACCAGCTTGACGCCGTGGAAGTCGACCGTCCACTCGTCAGGCTTGACCAGCAGCTGTCGCCCATCGGGAGAGAATGAGTCGAGAGGTGATTGGCGATCAGTGATGGCATACAACTTTGTCGCAGCTGCAACCCCAGAAGCAAAGGCCTGCAGGTTTGGGGCCAGAAATCCCAAGGAAAACGCTCCGATGATTGTTGCATAGATCACAGTGACAATCTTATTCAGACTAATCTCGCCATGCACAAGGAAGATAGAGCCAACCCAAAAGTTCAAGCCATAATTCAACATGATGATGCAGGCCATACCGGCAATGGATATACCGAGAAACGTTTTGGCCATTGTGCCAGCACGCTTTGCATCACGAATGTAATTTCTGTAACGGCTGGCAAGCTGCTCTTGAGCGCCAGATGCCACTGTCACTCGGATGGCGCTGATAGCCTCTTCAGCAATAGTGCTTCCTAGGGAGAAGGACTGTATCGACTTCCTAGTGTATTTGAGCATGAATCTGGACATCGTCGCCATGACCAGTGTCATTGCAACCACTGAAGACAAGGAGACCAGGCCCAATTTCCATGCAACATTCAGTACAACTATGAAAGCTGCAACGAATGTTGACAGTGCAGTAATCGTGTTTGCGACCTTTTGGGAAATGGCGTCCTGGATGAGATTCGTGTCATTGGTGATCCGTGTGGTCAACTCGCCAGTTCCAAGGTTATTAAAGAAAGCCATGTTTTGACTCAGCGCGGCCTTGAGATACTTTTGTCTGACTCTTTGGGAGATTCTGTCACCCACAAGGGCAAAGCCAAACGTGCAAAGGAATATGGCAAAGAACTCTCCGAGGCCCAAATAGACAAAGTCCAGCGTCAAGCTTGACAGATCGCGTCGGAATTTCAGAACGAGACGAATGTCCTGAATAATGTTCCCGACATAGGTGTCATGATGATGGAAGTGTTGAGTAAAGTCGTTCAGCTTGCCCGCCAGACTGCCAAAAACCACCTATTCTCCCGTTAAAATGTTGGCAGAGAAGCTGAAGACAATGCGTACCGTCATAACAGGCAGGATTGCCCCGCCAGCAATTGCCAGCAGAGCACTCGCTGCCAGAATAGCAATGTCGCCCCAAGTAGCATCGCGATAGAGTCTCAGGAACCCAATTTGAACATCGTCGAGCCTCTGCTGTCGGCTCAGGATTTCTTCTTGGTGGTCAAGATCGGGCGCTGGGACATCCGAAAGAACTGTTGTTCCAGCCAAACTGGTCTCCGTGTTCATTATAACGAGTGCGGTAAAATATCTTGAAGCGAGTGTGGGCTTGTCGCGGCGTCTAAAAATCTGATATTGAGGTTGGCTGTTAGGTTTACCTCTCATCAACAACTATATGGGAGCCCCGATCCACCAATCCCGGTACACTTTGCGAAACAAGACCGTGATCAGCAGGATGCTCGTCTTAGTCATCCACATCGGTAGAGACTCTTGATTATTCGGGTGAAGATCATGCCAGGAATATCTGCATGAGAGGCCTGGCAAGCGGATGCACCCGCACCATTGCGACAAGCACGTCAAGTTGGCGCTTGATTCAGCATCCGAAGTCGGGGCCCGCTTGTGAATGCCCAACCTGTGCCCGGCCTTGTGTTCCTTGGGAGGATCCTTGCACATGTCTTAAGGCTGCCTGGATGAACAAACATGTGGGCCTTGTTCAGAAGGGGAGCCTCGAGGTACGGATGCTCAAGACATGCCTTGAGGTTGAAGACCTCATGATGTTCGACACCGTCCACTTTTGCTTGGTGGGAGATTGGAAGGGCGAGCGATAACAAGATCTGCAAGTGCAAGTTCAACTCGTTAGCATTAGTGTGAGAGCAAATCGGAAGAGGAACTAAAATGTGGGATAGATCCTTGCTACTTCGACACCGAAAACAGGTGCTCAGGTAATAGCCCTGCAATTCTTGGATGTAACGTTGTCCACTCGGTTGGTTGTCGAGATACCCTACCTGGCACCCTGGTGCGAATACCTTGGTATGGCGATTTGATGTAATACCAGTCTAGCCATTAGCGGTCTGGCTGTAACATCGGAGATGAAATCCCTGTACCGTCATTAATCGATTGTCATTTCAACTTCTACAAACGAGTATCTGTGACTGACAACCTTGGAACCTACCTTGCCATGGTGAAATGCAGCCAGCAATTCATAGACATGTGTAGTTTCATTGTCGAAGCTCGAGACCAAGAACCCACAGTGAAGCTTAAACAAGCATGGGTCATTGCCAGCAGGCTGATATCCAGTGGATCTCCACCCGAACGACTTATCGCAATGATGGCCAAGGTGATGTAGAGTCCAAACAGTATCCAAACCCACCACTGCCGCAAGATGAGACCAGATGAGGTTCACCCTGTCATCAAACTCCCACATGTCTCTCAAGGATACGAACACAGCTGCTTGGTGATCTCGCTAGCCGTCGTTTCCTGTAAGGACAGGGGTAGCTTGGATATGAAAGACAACTAGTGCAACAATGCACAGAGTGATCATCCGCTCAAGCTCGTGAAAGGGTTAGATCGCTTCCGGTAGAAGTATTCAGACTGTCGAAATTGTTGAGACCAGTCTGATAAGCACGAAGCCAGGGCCACCGCCCTCAGCTTTGAGACATAACCTACCGGATTTGTTGGTTGCAGCGTCAAGATTTTCCAACTTCGTCGTGATCTCCGAGGAAGTCTCGTTGCTATAACATTCCATTCTTTTGAAGACAACAGCTCTGCCTCGGCAAAAGGTGCCTGGCACAAGTCCATCGAGGACTACTTCTCAGCCCCTCCTCATACCAACAGTTTCTCTCCCTGATATCACCTTGTTGGCATGCCTTACCTTTCGGATTTGGGAGGCCAAGAGCCTTCCAGTGCCAATGATGTTCCCATTGCCATCATTGGACTTTCTTGCAGGTTGCCTGGAGAAGCATCGACCCCCACAGCGTTCTGGGATATGCTGCTGAAAGAAAAATGTAAGGTCCTTTGCTTCAATGCCAGGACAACCTTAGATGAAGACTGACGCTGACGGTGTAGCGGCTTTCTCAAATATTCCACCAGACCGGTGGGAGACAAGCTCGTTCCATGATCCACTCAAGAAGCGCTTGAACACTTCCGTGGCATCAGGCGGCCATTTTATGAGGCAGAACATTGCTGCATTTGACGCCAACTTCTTCAACATCAGTCAAAATGAAGCCAACGCCATCGACCCTCAACAAAGGATGTTGCTTGAGGTGTCGTACGAGGCGATGGAGAATGCGGGTGTTTCGATGCACTCTCTCGCAGGCACCAAGACCGGGTGTTTCATTGGAGCCTTCACGAATGATTACCGAGAGATCATGTTCCGAGATCCGGACGCCGCCCCCAAGTACGCGGCAACCGGGGCTGGGGCTGAACTTTTGTCGAATCGCTTATCGTGGTTCTACGACTTTCGTGGGCCTAGCGTCACCATGGGGACAGCATGCTCCTCTGGACTTGTGGCCCTCCACCTGGCATGCCAAAGCATTCGTGCCGGCGAATCCACAACGGCGCTCGTCGGAGCCACAAATCTCTTGCTAGATCCTACCATGTTCATAGGTCTGACAAGGCACCAGTTTTTGTCGCCAGACGGCCTTTGCAAGAGTTTCGATGCCAGCGGCGACGGATACAGTCGAGGAGAAGGCATTGCTGCGTTGCTCTTGAAGCCGGTCGCTCAGGCTATTCGAGATGGTGATCATATCCGGGCCGTCATTCGCGGTACCGGTGTGAACCAGGACGGCAAGACCAAGGGATTGACGGTCCCCAGTGTCGATGCACAGGCTGAACTCATCCGCACCACATATGAATCTGCGGGCATCGACTTCAAGGACACGCATTACTTCGAAGCTCACGGACCCGGAACGAAGGCAGGTGACCCCGTGGAACTCGAAGCCATTTCGAGAACAATCAGCAAAGGACGCAGCGAGCGAAACAAGCTTATTGTTGGTTCTGTCAAATCGAACATTGGCCATCTGGAGTCGGTGGCTGGACTTGCTGGCCTGATCAAGTCTGTATATATCCTGGAGACTGGCACAATACCGGCGAACCTACATTTCAAAACTCCAAACCCATCAATTCCATTCGACAAATGGAAAATCATGGTGCCGACAACGAGGATGGCATGGCCAGCCAAGGGACCTCGACGAATCAGCGTCAATTCATTCGGATATGGTGGTACGAATGCTCACGCTGTTCTTGAGGATGCATACCACCATTTGCAGGAGTCTCGCTACGTTGCATTGCTTCCCACTGTCACCGAACCTCTGAAGTCAGCACTGAAGAAGACCATCGTGCAGAGGATCGACGGCGATGATGTCAATCAAGGTGATCAGGTCGATGATTCAACCAAACTGCCTGGTGAGATGTTGTTCGTCTTCAGTGCGCGTGATCAGCCTGGGATGAAGAGATTGAAGGAGTCCACAGCACAGTATTTGAAATCGAAGCTGCACGAAGCCGCGGATGGGCTTGACGAAGGTTCATTGCTGCAAGATCTGGCATTCACACTTAGCAACAAGCGCACCAAGCATATCTGGAAGACCTATATTACAGCGTCATCGACTGGCGATCTCATTGAAAAGATTGAAGCCAGTGACATCGGCAGCCCGTCGGGACGTCCCATAGCCGAGATCCCTCGCGTTGCCTTTGTGTTCACTGGTCAAGGAGCCCAGTGGGCCAGAATGGGCGTTGAGTTGCTCCGTTACAAGATCTTCCGCGACAGCGTGGAGGCGGCAACTGAGTATCTGTCGACGGATCAAGGATGCCCGTGGAATGCATTGGAGGAACTGCTCAAGGACAACAAATCTTCCAATATCGACCTTCCAGAGTATAGCCAGTCGCTTTGCACGGTAGTGCAAGTTGCTCTTGTCGATCTCCTGTCTTCGTGGAATGTCAGCCCTACATCGGTCGTTGGTCACTCAAGCGGAGAAATAGCTGCAGCGTACTGTATCGGCGCCATCAGCAGGCAAGCAGCTTGGAAGATAGCGTACCATCGAGGCGTGCTGTCGTCACAACTCAAGAGCCTTGCACCAGAGCTCGAAGGAGCCATGATGGCTGTTGGGGCCTCGGAAACTCAAGCGCAAGAGTACATCCAACAAGTCAAGGAAGGGGAATTGGTCGTGGCTTGTGTCAACTCACCGTCCAGTGTCACTGTGTCTGGAGACGCAGTTGGAATACGCCACCTTGCGGGCATCCTCAAAGATTTGAATGTCTTTCATCGCCAACTGAAGGTGAACACGGCCTACCATTCGCCGCATATGCATACCATCTCAACCATGTACATGCACTCTCTGAGTGATGTGCAAGCCCAGAAATCTATCGAAGGTCGTCAGATGTTTTCGAGTGTGAGCGGAGATCTTGCGGACCCCTTTGAACTAGGGGCCATGAATTGGGTCAGGAACCTTGTGTCGCCGGTTCTTTTCACGAATTCTGTGTCCGCTCTGTTACAAACAGGTCCAGATGGAAGGCGTTCCGCAAGCCCAAGTATCGACCTGTTCATCGAAATCGGGCCGCACCCGGCACTTCGCGGGCCTGTCAATCAGATCATGGACAGCCTTGGAATCAAAGGTATCGAATACCGGGCCTTGCTCCATCGGGGTCATCCAGCCGTCGATTCTGCGCTGGGGTGTTCTGGAGATCTCCATGTTCTAGGAGTGCCCGTGGATGTTGCGAAGATCAACGAAAGTCCTACTGGGAGAACTCCTCGAATGCTCGTCGACCTGCCACCATATTCATGGAATCATTCGCGCACCTTTTGGGGCGAGTCTCGGCTAGCACAGCAGTTTCGCCTTCGTAAATTTCCGTCAATTGGCCTCCTTGGAGCACCCTATCCTTCCCTCAACAATAACGAGGCAATATGGCGTGGCTTCCTCCGCATCGAGGAAGAGCCCTGGATTGAAGACCATCAAATCCAGTCCTCAATACTGTATCCCGCTGCTGGCTATCTCGCCATGGCCATCGAAGCAGCTCGACAACTCAGCGACGTCAACCGAAAGGTTAGTGATTTCAGACTTCGGGATGTGATAATCTCCTCGGCAGTTGTTCTCAAGGAAGGAGAAGACATCGAATGCGTTTGTCAGCTCAAGCCTCACCAGCTTGGAACCCGAGATACATCGTCGAGTTGGTGGGAGTTCACAATTTCCACCTGTGCGGCCGGGACAAGCCAGTTGAAAGCGAATTGCACTGGTTTGATCTTGGTTGAGTACTGTGTGGCAGAGAACAGTGCAGCCCAGAGTGAGATCAACCAGGAGAACAAAAGTCTGATGGCAGCCTTCAAGGACATGGAAAAAGAGTGCATCAGCAAAGAGCTGGCCGCTGAATTCTACAAGGAGCTTGCCTCCATAGGGCTCGTGTACGGACCAGCCTTTCGCTGTGTCACAAGCGTCGCCCATTGTGCTGGCAAAAGCGTCTGTGACGTCCAGGTCCCCAACACAAACTCGACCGCTGCTGAAGTACAGCATGGCAGACCACATATCATCCATCCAGCAACACTCGATGCGATTTTTCATCTTGCATTTGCAGCATTGAAAGGAAATTCAGGCACCTTGAAAGAGGCCATGGTACCAACTGCAATTGACGAAGTTGTTGTTGCTGCCAATACTCCTTTCCAAGAAGATTCGCTGTTCAGAGGCTTCTCAACAGCCGCCAGACACGGTATGAAGGAGCTCAAAGCAGATATAGTGATGCTTGATGAGACGGTTGAGGACCCTTTGGTCAGAATTCGGGGCTTCACCTGTGCTGCATTCTCGGGTTCAGGTGTCGACACGTCTGCAGAAGATGAAGAGATGACAGAGAGGGGAATGTGCAGCAAGCTGGTCTGGAGGCCATGCCTTGATCTCCTTTCCGTTGAGGGACAATTTGAGCTTTTCAAAGCAGTTGGCCAACACACAATGACCGCTGAGGAGTCTGGACACTTCAACAAATCCGAGTATCTGGCTTTGATGTTCATGCGGCAAATTCTGGACCGTGTGAAGCCCAGCAGTGTGGCGCCTGAAGCGCACCTTCGGAGACTTTATGAGTGGATGAAGAACCAACAAGACCTTGTCGTGGCCCGCAAGCACCCACTTCAGCACTCATTCGGCGACGGTCTACCAGATCAGATTGCAAAAGCCGCCAACTCGGAGTTCCATTCTTTGGATTCGGATGACGAGAAGCTGTATTTGACGGCAACGGTCTTAACACAGATCCTCCTTGGGCAGTTGAAGGCGGAGCGACTCATGCTAGAGGAGAGCCTTGTGGACCGATATCTCTCGAATACTCCGGGAGTCAGAGCGTGCGCCAGTAAGCTCGCTGATGTAAGTGACCATCTAGATCCCGTCTTCCAGACACAGTCTCATAATGACACAGTTCGTGGACATGGTCCTCTTCTCGTACCCCAATGCTTCAATTCTGGAGCTTGGAGGTGCTAGTGGCGGCGTTGCTACCAAGATCCTCACCAAGAGACGAGGTATCTTTACCAATTATACATACGCGTGCCCCACGGAAGCGATGCGAGGCCTTGCTGAGGAGAGTCTGAAACCATGGAGCTCCTCGTTGCAGTTCCTGGTCGATGATATCAGCGCAAAGGGACGGAAAACGACGGATATGCAGACATACGACATCATTATCGCTCCTAACGCGCTATACGGTGCCGAGTCCATCGAGTTTGCCCTTGTTGATCTGAAACGGATGCTCAATCCCGGCGGGCGATTATGTTTGATCGAGACCACAAAGCCTGGTGTCCAGTTGTCGTGTGCTTTAGGTTGTCTTCAAAGCTGGTGGAGGTGAGTTCATTGCCATGATTCATTCAACCGTGGATGGGCTGACGTTGTGAGCAGGAGAAGAGGCGAAAATGGGGTCATGAACGAAAGTGATTGGGTTGCGCTTCTCAACCATGCAGGCTTCGAGATCGTCTTGCAATGCGCCGACTTTGAGGACGAAAATTGTCAACAATTCAGTCTTGTGGTGGCTCAGGTGCCTGATCCCACCTTCAACACAATTGTGCCCGGAAAAGAACTCAACATCGTCGAACCTCGAGATCCTACGCGAGTCTCAGCTGCGCTGGGTTCCAAAGTAACTCTCGAGCTCACTGAGGCTGGATGTCGATGCAGCCGTGTCAAGTGGGGTGATGAGTCTGCGTTGCAGTCCAGCGGCAATTTCATCGTGCTTGCGGAAGTGGATGAGGCTTTACTGCCAACGATGAATGCCGAGGATTTCTTATTCCTGCAATCCCTCATCTTGAAAGCTTCAGACGTGCTCTGGGTCACTTCTCACGATCAACCGACGGCATCAATGGCGTCGGGGCTCGCCCGTAGCGTCCGCAATGAATCAGCAAATATCCGCTTCCGCACATTGCAAGCAATGCCGAAGTCTCTGGAAGTGCCCGATCGTCTGGCTTCGCATATCGCCAAGCTCACGATGTCCCAATGCTCAGACAGCGAATTCGTCGAGAAAGAAGGCGCCTTGCATATTAGCCGTGCGCTCCAGGATGGAGCATTCAACGAAGAACTATCGGCCTATCTCCATGGTGGTAAGGTCGAACTGATGCCACTGGGCAAATGCCACGGGCCTCAAAAGATCCACATTGGGTCTCCGGGGATGCTTGATTCCCTGCAATTCGAGGCTGATGACCTAGCGTGGTCAAGCTTGCAGCCGGGGCAAGTCGAGATCGAGGTGAAAGCAACAGGTATTAAGTGAGTTCTTTTGGCGGATGCCGTGAGTCTGTTGATTTGTTTACTGACCTTGCACAGCTTCCGAGATGTCATGGTTGCCATGGGCCAAATCCCTGATAGCTTGTTCGGCTTTGAAGCTAGCGGAGTGATCACACGCGTAGCAAGCGACGTGACCTCCCTCCAGCCCGGTCAGCGAGTTTCTTGTCTCGGGCACGGTGCACACAGGACCCATTACCGGAGTCCTGCTGCATTCTGCCAGCTTATTCCTGACGACATTACATTTGAGGAAGCCGCTGGTTTGCCGTTAGTACATGCTACAGCATATCACGCACTGGTCAATGTAATGCGGGTCCAGAAGGGCCAGACGATTCTCATTCATGCCGCAGCCGGTGGTGTGGGACAAGCAGCTATCCAGCTGGCACAGCACCACGGAATGGAGATCTTTGCCACCGTCGGCTCGGCGGACAAAAGAGCTTTGTTGCAAGAAGTCTATGGCATTCCGGATGACCATATCTTCCACAGCCGTGACAATTCCTTTGCAAAAGCGGTCAAACGAATGACAGGCGGACGCGGAGTTGACTGCATCCTCAACTCGCTGGCAGGAGAGCAGCTGCGACAGACCTGGCACTGTATAGCTCCCTTTGGCACATTTGTGGAGATTGGTCTGAAAGACATATTGGCCAACACACGTCTTGATATGAGACCTTTCATTCAAGACGCCACTTTCTCGTTCTTGAACCTCCAGCACGTTACAACGGCTCGACCAGATCTCATGGCTGCCATACTCGAAGGGACATTCGATCTTCTTCGGAAAAAGGTAACTCGACCAGTTTACCCCTTGACCACATTCTCTGTCTCAGACATGGAGAACGCGTTCCGCATCATGCAAGCTGGCAGGCATCGAGGCAAGCTCGTCCTCTCATTCTCGCCAGAAGATGTCGTCAGAGTGCATCGCAATCCCTCAGCGGAGCTAAAGCTAAAGGCAAATGGCACATATGTTCTTGTGGGAGGGTTCGGAGGCATTGGGAACAGCTTGGCTCGCCTGCTGGTCGAGCATGGGGCGAGACACATCTGCATCCTGTCCCGCTCTGGCCCCTCGTCGGATGAAGCAAAGGAATTGCTGGCAGACCTGAAGAAGCAGGATGCCACAGTTAGAGCATACCCGTGCGACATCGCCGACGAGTCTGCGCTCGAGAAGGTGTTACAAACCTGCCGGACCGACATGCCGCCCATCAAGGGGGTGTTCCAGTGCGCAATGGTGCTGCGAGACGTCCTTTTCGAAAGAATGAGTCACCAACAGTGGACTGAATCCATCAGGCCAAAGGTGCAAGGAACGTGGAGCCTTCACCAGCATCTTCCAAAAGATCTTGACTTTTTCATCATCCTCAGCTCGTTCGCTGGGGTTTTTGGAAACCGTGGGCAAGCCAATTACGCAGCTGCTGGTGCTTATGAGGATGCATTTGCTCATTACCGTCGAAGCATAGGCCTCAAAGCGGTATCGATCGATCTCGGCATCATGAGAGACGTCGGAGTCCTGGCCACAGGGACCGCTAACGCCAGCCGTGATCTGAAAGATTGGGAGGAGCCTTTCGGAATACGTCAAACAGACCTACACGCTCTGCTACGCAAGGTCATGGAGAGCGAAATGGCCGGCAGTGATGATGTCGAAGCACAAATCCTTACCGGCTTTGCCACGGGAGGCGGAGTAACAGCAGCCGGGATTCGGCGACCCTTTTATTATGACGATCCTCGATTCTCGGTGCTGGAGTGGACAGGCCATCGAGTGAAGGACGGAACGGGTAATGGAGACGCGGAGCTATCCCTCAAGGTTCGACTGACGGGCGCTGTGTCTCTTGAGAGTGCCCATGAAATAGCTACCCGAGGTATAGTCGAGAAGGTTGCGAGCATGATGCAGACATCGGTCGAGGAAGTTGACAGCGGTCGTCCATTGCACACATACGGTGTGGACTCGCTCGTTGCAGTCGAAATTCGCAACTGGCTGACCAAGGAGGCAAAGGCCGACGTGACAGTCTTCGATATTCTGGCCGCAGTGCCGATCATGTCATTGGCGCGGACTGTCGTGTCCAAGAGCGCACTGGTAGCCAAGGCCTGAAGGGTTTGTAGAGCAGTTTATGGACCAAAAGATGTGTACCGTACGTGTCTACAGAGACCTCATTGCTTAGGTAGCTGACAAGCCTGAATGTCGTGGGAGTGCCCAAACTTGGCAGCAATTCCAACCCGAGTGAAGAATGCTTGTGCTTTGCTAAGGTCTCAGCCGGGCCGCCCTCAGAAATTCATAGTCCGGCAGAGCATCGTAGACCCACCGTCTGATCTTCCCAGCTTCAAGTCCACCAAACTCGTCCTCCCACTTCTTCGTTTCCTCCTCAATGTCGAGTCCAACGGCAGTCTTGCCCTCGCGGACGATGCCTTTCGAGGCCAAAAGACTCGACTTCATTCTCTTCTCGATGAAAGACATCCCCGCGTGTTCCACAGCAGTCGCCGCTGGCCATTCATAGCGGCATCTAGTCGGATCCAAGCCAGTGAGCTCACAGTACCGATGTACAACTTCCGGTTCAAGGATGATGTCGTCTGCGTCGAGGATAATCGGCCGCGATGCTTCAGCCTGCTGGCGATCGCCAGTAGGCTCTGCCTTTGCCGAGTCTACTGTGCTCTGCTGCTCTCGATACCTCTCGGTGAACCACATCCACAAGACGCGAAGCCATCTCATGGTCATTTCAGAGCGAAAAATACCATCGATATTACTCCTGGCCGCGCTTTGGCCTTCAAGGTCAACTGAGGTACGGTAGAGGGACGGGAAGACCAGCGCAGGATGACGAATCAGGAATGTTGGAGTCCATGATAGGAAGAAGTCATCTGGCAGAACTGATGGATTTCCCGTTGAGCCAGTCCGCTTCCTCCCAGTATTGTGCTGGAAGAGTTCTTGTCCTCCCTGTCGGGCTTGTCTTTCGCCGATCGTGACTTTCCAATCCGCATCCTGTCCAGAATGTCTGCCTTCTTCCGGCCGCTCTGCGAAGGGTGATATCATCCAGTACAGATGCTCCTTCACGAAGGCGAGCTTACCACTCTTCACTGCATCTTCTGCATAGCTCATCAAATCATCAGAACATTCTTGAAAGCATCTCTTAGTTTGGATCGATTCTTGTTCTGTCCAATCATCCAGTGGTCGGGTAGCAAGCTCGAGCCGTTGGCCCATGGTTGGTAGAAAGAAGTAGCCATACTCCCTACCGCCAGACATGGTTGAAGGGTCTTGTGGCGTGGGTGAGAACACCGCAGGTTGATGTTCTAAGTTCAAGATACGTAAAAGCAGGTTGGACGCGGTGCGCGGATGAGTGAACAGGAAAATCCCCCGTGTGGGATTACCACTCGATTCACTCGTCATGATGATGGGTTACCTCGATGACTTGCCGGCCAAGGGAAGGATCATTTAATGATAAGCACTGCCGTCTTACTCTTACAGATGCGAGTTCTCCCTGAAAGATATCAAGGACGGCAGGCGAGTGGTTCCTAGCCTACCAGGTAAACTCGTAACTAACTGAGCACTAACTTTGGCACAGGTAGGCTACTAGGCGCGCTAGGCTGGAAGGCTAGCTCGCTAGTTAACTTAACCTAACTTAGTGATGCTTCGTACGGAGACTGTGCCGACTTTCATCAGCCTTACGGAGTACACTCCATACCTAGGTATCTAAGTAGCATCATGCTAGAGACCAAACTCCAGACGGACACATTCTACCTCTTCTTCACCCATAAGAACCAATCTTGAAAGACCCTCTTCTTCACAGAGGACTTTCCCTCTGCAGTCCGTCCTCCTCTCGACAAACCACTCACCCTCCCCCTCCCTCCCTCACACTGCTTCTCCGACGCTCTCCTTTCCTTGCATCTGCATCAACATGCCCGACACATACAACCTTCTCGACACCCTCGACACCTTCCTCTCCGACCTCCACTCCTCCCTTCCCCCAGCACTGCAAGCCTACTTCACGCGCTCGAACGTACAATCCCTCCTCCGCGCCATCATCATCTTATCCACATACCTCCTCTTCCGACCACACCTAGAATCGTTATTCCGCAATATCACGGGCACCCCGGACAAAAGACAAGAAGAAATCAAAGCGCGCCTGGAATTTCTGAAACAACAAAAGGATGGCAATCCCAACCCCCAACCCAACCTAGACCCCGCAATGTTCGGCGGCAAAATCCCCTTGGTCAATCGGGAGGGCAAAATCGTCAAGCTCCTCACGCCCGAGGAGGCCGAGGCCATGAAGAAGCAGCAACAACAACAACAGCAGCAGCAGCAGCCAAGTAAAGGCACGACGGGGAATAAGAGCGCAGAAGGGGCCCGGAGTGGTGGTGGTGGTGGTAAGAAGGGCCGGAAGAAGGCATAAGCGCCCGTCTAAAGGTCGAGGCAAACAGGGACAGGAAAAATACAGCAGCGGCAGCCGTGCAGCGATGGACTGTGGTCCGGCCAGTCGAGCTAAGTGGTATAACTGGCACGATTGGATTCGGACGCTTCTAAAGGACGGCCAACGACCAACATTATGGCAGACAGCATTATGAGCATGAGATCAACTTGACCAAGCGGCATGAATATCTTCCTATGCCCTATATGACGGCACGAGGTCGAGCGGCATAAATACACGCCATGACTAACTTCTACTACCATGACATTGTTCTCTACGAACAGCCGGATCAAGCGACATGCTATCTCTGTATACTTTACATTAACGCCGAGTTCAAGACTTAGCTTGATCAGCGCCTGTTAGAGCGTACCCCCCAAGAGGCAAGTCCATGCTCAAAACCAACTTCTCAGTGTGCTGGTTGGATCGTGTCTAGTACAGCCTCCTCAACTCCTCCCCCCAGGCTCGCGCTTCCTCGACACTCACGTGGATATTTTCCTCCATGAGTCCGCCTTCTCTCAAAACCACTTCGAGCTCCTGGTCATTCAATGCCAAAAGTGCCTGCTCGACCATCTCCCCGTCCACCACACGGAACGGCTCATCTTTCTCCATGACTTCCGTCTTCCATGCTCGGAACTTCGTCCATGGCATATACCCCGGTGCCTGGACGCGACCCGCCAGCGCTGACTGCAGAAGCAACAGCACATTCACATATGCCGGATTGATCGTCGCCAGCATATAGATTGCACCCTCGACCGTAGCCAAAAACGCTCGGGGTGTGACCAGTGGACCTGTACGAGGCAATTTTGGATCGAGACTGCCCGTCTTTCCGGCCCTGGCATCATCGCCGTTTGCTTTTCCATCGACCGTCTTCTGGACCTGCGACGGGGCGGGCGTCGACGAGATTGCAACAATTTTGTTGACCACCTCACCTAGCCGGAACTCGCCCGTCACTTCGAGCCGGCGACGATAATCTCCTTCAACATCCTGAGAGCCCTGGCGGAGAGTAATCAGGTTACCCTCCATATCCGCCACGACCCATTCATTGTCTGCAATGGCCGCTGTCGCCGAAGACCATAACGTCGCAAAATGCCGTGAGGTCTCCCGGAGTCTATACTCCGGATTTGTCGAATCTGGCGGAATAACCTGCAGAATCGACAGTGACTTCATCAGATCCGCAACGGCAATCTGTGCAGGTGTGTCCTGCGTAGCTGGCGTGACTGCCAGTGACAGAGGGTTTGTCGAGGTGCGGTACGTTGCCAGCTTGGACAACTCCAGAGAGTGCCCGCCCCTTGTTGACGACGGGAGAAGTCCATAGAGTACTACCTGAAATCACATTGTCAGTACACAGACACTGATTTCCCGATGCAGAACTTACCGTCTTGACCAGACCCGCGACAATCTTTCCCTCGCACATGGCAAGACTCCTGCACGCTCCTTTGACCTTGATCTGCGTGACCAATTTCAACTTCTTCTCCTTATTAACCTCATAAGCCAGTATCCGACCTCTCATGACCTCCTCGCCGCCCATGCTATCATCTTCCTCGAGAATACTCGTGCCCACCACAAACATTTCGCCCAGGCCCAATTCTTCAGAGTCAAAGCTGCCGGTCGACACAATGCATTCGACAAGCTCACGGTCCTGCAGTTCCACTGAATCCAATTCCTTGAAACTCACCTCATCCGCGATCTTGACCGAACATAGCAGCGCCTCTGTTCCACCCTCCATGATCCTCCGCACGCAGCCCAAAGCAAACAGCTTCGCATTGGCCTCGTACGTGAGACACCGCACCGTCTCGCCAACAGGCAGTGTCTGTAGTTGCGTCGTGCGCTCTCTTCCGATCATTGCGAGTTTCAATTCCCTAGGTGTTGCAATTGCAATAGCCCCGGGGTACACCTCGCTGTTGAAATTGCACACGCGAGTCGCGCTTTCGGCATTGACGGCCGAGTATATTATCCGGCCTTCGGAACTGTATATCAACGACGGCTGCTCGCATGATGCGAACACGTTGGACAGATCCGATTCAGACTCGGGATCTTTGGGCAATTGTTTGAAGAACACCGGCTCCGTTCCCAGAAGAATCCTAGTCATGCCTGAGAGTGTATTCTTGCTGATGTCGAATGAGTACGTCAGTACTGTACCGTCGGCCATGGCGACGAACAATGTTGGTGGGGCGTCGGGCAGGACGTTTGCGACCAGCACCGACCGCGGAATATCCGTGCCTGGCGAGCCTAGCTCTTGAGTCTGGAGTGTTTCAAGGGTGTGAAGGTCAAGTATTGCAACGGATGCAGTCTGCCAGAATGATAAAATACAGACGTTCGCCTGCGAGTCTGGCACTGTGACGCTCGATATTTGCGAGTCGGCTGGGAATATCTTTGAGATCGTCGGTTTCGAATCGCTGTTCGCCGTGTGGAAGACATGCAGTGTACGACCGCTCTCGACGATTAGCAGGTGCACTGAGTTGGCGCATGCTGCTGTAATCTTTGCGGCTCCGTCGGAAGGTTTCCATTCGAGTGTGAGCATACCAGAGTCGAGGTCCGTAATCCGGAGTCCTGCTTCGCAGACTTGGACAAGTTTCCTATCAGGAAGATTCGCCGCAAACAGAGTCGGCTGTGTAAGGTCCAGATGGTGAAAAGCATCGACCTCCTCGACCGAGCCCTCAGCGTCGAACCTGAAGACGCGCGTCTCACCGACAAACGAGACGAGCAGTGTATCGTGCACATCGCTTTGCCCTGTGGAACTCAAGCCCCATAGGCCTGTGACATGAGATATCTCGCCGATCGTGCCGAGTTCTTCGAGTCCAACGCCGCTTCTTACACTCCGTATCGTGCCATCTTGCCACGCCCCTGAAGCAGCCACTATCCGAGCCTGTCCAGACGAGAATTCAAGTGACTGTGCACCCTCCGCACCACGGCCCAAGTCCATGATTGTGAAATCCAGAATGGGCGCGATGTTGGAAAACGTCTGCACAACTCGAACGCCACCTTCTTCGATATGCACGACCTGCGAATCACCCGAGTGTGATCCGACAAAGACATACCCTTCATCGAGGTACACGAGACACGCAGCTTTCGAGGCCTCACCAACAGGATCCAGACGCCACGACGAGACGTCAAACCCGCTGACCTCGATCATCAGGAAAAACAGCCGGCCAAAGTCATCCGCCAGAAGGTATCGTTGGTCGTCGATCTTGGTCCAGCACGTCCATATCGTCGCATTATCGTCCAGCGGCTGTGTGATGACATTATTCAAATCTCGATCGACGTACCGAATTGCATGGTCCCCAAGGATGATAAGTCCTCCATACGGCGCAGCAACGGGTATCAAGTGGCTCACACCCTTATCGAGCTGATCACCGTGTAATTCAGCAACCGTCTCTAGGTCGGCTGTTGCCTGCTCACCACCGGGGTAATACTTCAATTCCCGTATCTTCAACTGCGGATTCTCCTGGTTATCTTCCCAGAGGATCGCGAGTTTCGGGTCCTCTCTGCTGTCCGGATCACTTCTCAGGAACGCAGACGACCGTGTCAAGAGTTCTTCGATCCTGACTTGGACTGGCTCGCCTAATGTCCCGACTGCATTCGAGCTGCTCTCTCGTTTTACCCGTTTGTTAGACGGCTGTACAAATGGCAGAACTGTGACCACGCCATCGTATAGTTCCAACGTCATGAAGCGTCCCGTCGGATCAATGTGGCATCTGTCGAGCTCTCTGGAGTCACGGAGGACCTTGTCTGCCAGGTCGACGTAACTCTGCGCGGTCTTCAACTGTTTAATGTCGGCGTTCCATGAGCACGTGAAGTATTGGTAGCGGTCTGTGCCCACGAAGAGGTGGTCTGTCTTGGAGGAAGAGGGCCGGAATCGTTCTAGGATCGTTATGTAGCCGTAGACGGTCTTTGTGTGGAGGAGGGCGAGCCCTTCTGGTCCTTGCTCGTAGATTTCGAGACGGTTGGCTTTCCTGTTTCGTGGGTCAGTGACTGCGTCGCGTGAATGTCTGAGCTGATGTACTGACGCAACTATAAGGGTATCCATGTCAGGATCCAAAAAATTCAGCTTGACCGCATGTCGGACGCCGCTGGGTCGATGGATAGGTACGACGTAGGACATGGTGCTGTCTTTGAGAAGTCGATCTCGCACCCGCAGTCAGAGCGACTCAATATGGTCTACCTCGTCATGACAGCGGGAAATGGAAAGAGAAGGCCAATGGAGCTCTCAAATGAACCTGAAAGTTCTTAGACAGTCGTATGGATACTCAGGCAGAGTCGTGCGCGGCGAGTAGGCTGAGCATAAGAGTGCATTTGGTCATCACTTCGTCCCTCGGATAATGTGGGGATAAGACGAGATACAAGATACCCGAACGCGGCGAAAAAGACGCCTCGATATCATCAACGATACTTTGATAACTTGAAGGTACCTAGAGGCCCAGGTGTTTTATGTTCGATGGATCTCATTGCAAACTAATTCACTCCTTCCCACCTAGCCATCTGTACACCACCGAGAAGTCCTTACCCTTGTAGGCCTTTTCTGTCTCATCGTAGACCTCCTTCGCCCTCGCAGCAAGAACAAGCTTGGCTCCGGCTTCTGATGCGGCTGTCATTGCCAGTCGGAGATCTTTGTTCATAAGACTAACTCCAAAGCCTCCCTCGTAGTCTTTGCTCGCTGGAGCAGCCTCAATCACACCAGGCACAGGGTTGTTGATCTCACTTGGCCAACTCCTTCCTGTGGCCGAGTTCAGCAAATCAGCCAGAGCCTTGCCTTCAATGCCCCATCTCAAGCCCAAGTTCATGGCTTCGGCGCATGCAATATTGTTGATAGCGAGGGCGTAGTTATTTGCCAATTTTCCGCTAAGGCCAGTGCCTTGTGGGCCCATATGCCAGACCTTTCGTCCCATGAGAAGCAGAACTTCCGTGATCATGGGCACGTCTTCCTTTTCTGCGCCGACCATGAATGTCAGAGTTCCAGCTCTTGCACCGACGACTCCACCCGACATAGGAGCATCCACGAAATTGGCCCCAGCCTTGTCATTTACCAATTTTGCGACTTCTCGTGACGTGGTAGGATCGATGGTCGAGCAGTCGATGAAAAGCCTTGAAGTTTGGGTAGGCGCCTTGGGCAGAGACGATGTGAGCACTTGCTCAAAGACGCCTTTAACGTGTCGAGGCTCTGGCAAAGCTGATACAATGATGTCCTGTTGTACGCTATTAGCAATGAACCGATGTATTCTTTGGTGGAAAGTATGTGGCTTGAACAGTGTTTCAGAGGATTGGCTTTAGTTAGGGAATCATGGAAAGGACAACCCAAAGGAAGTCCCCAACTTAGATCATAGATAGAACAATAGGCTCATCATGCAGTGTAGTATATCCAATATACATCTTTTTAGACTTACAGAATTCTCTACCACCTCTCTCGGACTCTTTGCAACGACCACCCCAGCAGGTACAGCCTCTTGTGAGAATTTGTCTAGGGCGGTTTGATTGACGTCGAAGACGGTCATGGTGTCTCCTTCAGGAATCTTCGCTCGTAAGTTCTTCGCCATAGGATAGCCTACCAATATAATCAGAAACAAGCACAATACTTCCACAGGGAACACGCACCCATGGCACCCAGACCAATGAAGCCCCATGATGCGTCTCTGATAGACGAGCAGGAAAAATGCCTGACTGTCGTAGATAATCGTGAAGAGGTCCTCCTCAACACGGAGGACGCGAGCATGGCGGTCATCTCTGCTGAGCTCGCCTTAGGCGATGCATCTTCAGCAAAGCGACACGAGGCAGGTTAAGGAAGCTCCATGATGTCGGTTGGGTGCGGAGTGATGCCCGAGGTAAGTCTGCAAAGCTGCAAGCTCTGACCTGCAGAGTCTCGGGGAAAAGCTGGAGCCACTTAGTATTCACAGCTGTGGGCGAAAACACGAGCAGAAAGCAGCCGCTGCCAACCGACTCGGGCTCGGCCTTGGCAGCAACCTCGGCCTGGCGAGCACAATGGCCCATGATGACCCTTCTCTATACAAGCGTGAAGTCCATCACCCATAATCACGAATAGACCAGATCGTTCAGGGTGAAAGTTGGTTCTCAAGCCTCTCTTGGAATTACGGTGCTTGCGATAGCACATTGAAACACAGAAAGTCCCTCGGGTACCGTCCATACCTCTCAAGAAAGACAATCGAGGCAGACCCCCGAAACAAGCCTCTGAACAAAAAGGATCAAGAGAAGTGAAATATAAAATAAAGCAATCCTCTTCAATGACGACGAGATTTCCCCTTTCCTTTACCCTTCCCACTACCCTCAGAGCCTGGACTCGAAGAGGGTAAAAGCGCTGGAAACTCGTCCTCCGCCGCCTTCCTGCTCTGCTCTTCCGCCAGGCTCAGCTGCAAAGCAAATTCCAAATCACCCTCCTCATCAGGGTCCGCGGCCTGAGCCTTGCTACTACCGGCATTCGCGTCTCTGGAAGGTGTGCCATAGCGGGAGCCTTTGGCATATCGAATGGGGATGCCGAAGTCGGTTGGTCCTGGAGAGGTGGACACCTGTTCACTGCCCAGCAGACTGAGACGGATGGCTTCTTCGAGTTCAGCATCCACCTGAGTGCCCTTCTCGCGGCCCTCCGCGGAGCTTGGGGAGGCATACGAGCTGGAGCGTTCACTGGCTCCTTTTTTGATTTGGTCATTCGAGAAGGCCTCCTCGCTGAGCATCGTAGCATAGGCTAAAATCTCCTCTTCGCTTGCTCCCTCTCCCAGAAGATTGGTGCCGAACCTGCCGCTCAAACGCTCATTCTCCTTGTATCTTGCAACTTTCTCCCTCTCCATTTCGTATCGCTCGTTGCTGATATAGTCTTTGAGCAATCCGCGACCGGTAGCGCTGACTTTCTGATTCGCTGGTGTGGAATTGCTGCCTCGTTCAGATCGCCGACGGAGCTGTCCTCTCTTCCGACTTTTGTATGCATCAGCAGCTGTGGAGCTGTACGACCAATAGCGAAGGTAAGTTCCCAAAGAAACAATCCCTCGCAGAACAGTCGGATCCGGGTCAAGGGCGATCGCTCCAGCAGCGTAGTAGTTGTTGCCCACACCCTGCACAGACGCCTCAGCCTGAGCTATGCGTCGTCTTGCCCGATCAGAGAAGCGAGAGTTCAAAGTCCTGATAGCCTCGTTGGTGGACGCAAGGGGATCCCAAGCCTGTACCAGACCATCATTGCCTCCATGGACCACATACAGCGAAGTCATTGCCAATGAAGCAATCTGCGGACTCTTTGTGTAGATAGTTCGTACTGGCTGTATGGTATTGACAACCTCGGGGCTGGGTGAGAGTGTAGCACGCATGTCCCACAGCATGACCACCCCCGACATGGTACCAATGCCTAACAGTCGAGCACGATGGCCCGGGATCTCGGACGCTGAACTCACTGGAGGTATATGACCCAACGGAGAAGCCATAGGGGAAGAGGCAGTAGAGCCACCGGACATTCCCAGTAGTGGATCTTCGTTGACCGTCAATGTAGCGAAATCCGAATCATCAGAGGCTAGTGCCGAAATTTGAATGTTTCGGTGGTCCGCGAAGGATAACTGCGACATATGCCAGTCTTGCCGGAATTTTGCATCTGCGGTGTCATCATGACTCGACGTACGCGATCTTGGCATGCTTCCCGAAACCGGCGATGCATGTGAATCAGGCTGAGAGGAAAGACCTGTCCCAAAGATAGAGGAAGGGCGATTGATGATCGACTGGATCGTCGGCCAGTTGTCAAGGTCGAAATCAACAGCAATCTTGGTCTTGCAACGTGTAAAGCGACGAATCATGGCGGGTCGGTCAACATCCAAACCACGTTCGACAACAAAGAAGGACTCTCCAGCACCAAGATGATCATCACCAGCGAAGTCGACGACCATCTTGCGCCGCATGTCCCAGCCTTCGCACAAGGCCTGGAAATGCTTCGGCTTGTGAAGTAAGAATTTTTCCACTTCCTTCGTCTCAGCAATGACTTGTTCCTTGCTCAAGTGGCATCTGTCGCTGGAAGTTCGAGGCGTATAGCTGCCATCCACTTGAGCTGTGCCGAAGGGATCTGGTTTTGCCTGTCGTCTTGTGGCCTCGACGAGTGTCCATTCAACAGTTTTGCCAGTCTGCCACGCAAGTCGATCGGTATCGGTAGGAGATGCCTTTCCAGAGAAGTCGGGTCTCGTAGGAGTTTCGGTGAGATAGAAGACCTCGCCAAGTGCATTGATGACGGCAGCCCAAATCCGATCAGAGCTCAACCTTCGGGCGGAAATCTTCTCGTCGACGCAGATCCCCACAATTGGGACCCCAGGACAGAGCACCCATTTTGCCGTAGGTTCGCCCTTCTCGTAGCGCCGGTCATGCACTGGATTGACACCGAGCGCATAGGCGGCAAGAACGCCATTTGAGAAGCCTGCAAGAAGGCCGAACAACCCGTTGGTCAACTTCAGAAGCGACTCAGACTTGGCGATGTAAACCGAGCAGACGGCACAACCAATCATCGTGACTTCAGGGACCCCAAGAGCATGGTTGGCAGCGGAAGAAATGGGAACAAACCGACCGCGTTGCTCACTTGTCGAGGTGTAGTAGAGCCGCCCACCAGGACACGCCTCTCCATACAGTTTCCCATATGGCTGGCTGATGTCCATGACATTTTCCATGCCAACCAGGTTTCCCGGGCCAAGGCCATACGGCAACTCGCCGGGATATTGATCCGCAAAGTGCTTGAAGCCTTCGAAGTCGGCTAGGCCCCAAGAACCGGGCTTCCCATTGCTGGGTTCACTAACAGACACACCTCCCTGTTCGACAGCACCATGCATAAACGAAGGCTGTCTCTTGTTCAAGCCGACGCCGAACGTTGCATGAACGTGACCGACAGGATAGTACAACCCGGACTGGTAAGTGGTGACAGCGGCACTGCTGGGATGGCGAGACGCATTAGACTTTGAAATTGCTTCGAGAGCAGGTCTTCCTCTTCCCAATGAGCGAAGCAACCGCGTTCGGAGGATGTACTCGCTTCTCCAGGACGAGAGCGCAGACAGTCTTGTAAACGATCTCCTTTGCGCCTTTTCGACATCGGAAACCGAGTCTCGAGCCGTCTTGGCAGAATTGGTTTCGAGTGCTTCTGCTCCGGGGAAGAATCTAGCAAAAGCGATGCGCCATGCAGGAGGAGTAGTGACCAATTTGTGGAAGCGCTGAGAGACCAAACTCATTGAAGACAGTGTCTCGGGAGGCAGATGGGATAGGATATGGGTCAAGACCTCTGCCAGACGTTAGGGCTAGCTAAGAGAAAGAGAGAAGAGTATCTCATCATACCGTTGGGGAAGCTCTCAATTGACACATGCTGAGTTCTGCCTTTTGCAGATGGGATGACCTGAAAGATCATGCCATCTGAACGTTTTCGACGTGATGCATTTGCTTTTTCATATTCTTCGATGCGACTGCCAGGAGAGCCGCTTTGCGAAGAGGTGTTACGGCTGCTTATCCGTCCGGCGTTGGATGGTCGGCCACGTTGAGTGTCTCTAGAACTGACCGAGGCACTGTCGGTATCGTCCGGGATCGAGGATGGCATGCCGGGGCTGCTCCCATAGAGCGTGCCGACAGAGGCCGGTTGATCATTGACTGGCTCTCCATGCTGTGTGGGAGGCGCAGGAACTTGAGCTTGGTCTACTAGAGTCGCGGTTTGAGAGACTTCAGGAGGCGCAGGTTGCATAAAAGGGTCTGTGAAAGGCGGAAGAGGATGTTGAGACTGAGCCAAGGGTTTGGTCAGTCTAAGAAAGAGCTGTGCGGGCCAAGTGAGAGAGAATCGCGTGTTTTGCAAGTTAGAGGAAGAAAAAGATGCCTCGAGTCATCGCCGTCAGAGATGAGAAGCGAGAGCGCCATCGCCAATGTGAAATGGCGTGGATGGTCTATTTTGCCCACCGTACAGATACGCGGGATGGTCTACTCCGCACTCCGTAGCGATACGCGACATCAACATCCAATCACTGCCTCGATTGGTTGAGTCATCCCCATCCAGCAGTGCCAGCCAAGTACCTCCATCGTCCTCCATCCATTTCCTACGTATTAAAGAGAAAATCGAACAGCACTTGTACAGCTGGTTAATCGTCTTTCTGGCACTCTGTGTGCGTCCGCTCTTTTCTTCTCCAATGGAACCATCATAATATTGGATTGCCACCGGCTTCCAGCAGGCAGCAAACACACTAACCCCGAATGTGAATCGATCACTACTTCAATCTGCCACGCTTTCAACTCTGCCTCTGTGCCCATGTCATTCTGAGTTTCCTTCTCTCCTCAGGACCTCCAAAGACCATGGCCGACACCATTAGGATCCTGGTTGCGACCGACAACCATGTGGGCGCTCATGAGCGTGACCCAATTCGGGGTGACGACTCGTGGAAAACGTTCCACGAGATCATGTGCCTGGCGAAAGAACGCGACGTCGACATGGTCCTGCTGGCAGGAGACTTGTTCCACGAAAACAAGCCTTCACGAAAATCAATGTACAACGTTATGCGGTCCTTACGATTGAACTGCCTCGGTGACAAACCTTGCGAGCTAGAGATGCTCAGTGATGAATCCGAACACTTCGACGCCACCTTTGACCACGTCAACTATGAGGATCAAAATATCAATGTCGCAATACCAGTCTTCTCCATCCACGGCAACCACGACGACCCTACAGGTGATGGCCATTACGCCGCGCTGGATCTGCTGGCTGTCTCCGGTCTCATCAACTACTATGGCAAGACGCCTCAAAGTGACAACATCGAGGTCAAGCCGGTCCTCATACAGAAAGGCCGCACGAAACTGGCTCTCTACGGCTTATCCAATGTCCGAGATGAGCGTCTCTACCGCACGTTCCGCGACCACAAGGTCAAATTCCACCGCCCCAGTACACAAATGGGTGACTGGTACAACCTGATCTGCGTTCACCAAAACCATCACGCTCACTCAGAAACATCATATCTCCCGGAAAACTTCCTGCCAAATTTCCTCGACCTCGTCATTTGGGGCCACGAACACGAGTGCGAGATCGAACCTCGCTTGAACCCAGAGATGAACTTCCGAGTAATGCAGCCAGGCTCATCCGTCGCCACATCCCTCATCCCCGGCGAAGCTGTGCCCAAGCACGTTGCCATCCTGTCAATCACCGGCCGTGAAATGAAGTGCGAGCCAATCCGCCTGACCACTGTCCGACCTTTCGTGTACATGGACATGGCCCTCAGCACCGACAAAGATGCCGTGAAGATCGCGAAGAGCAAAGACGACCATCGCACCCAGCTTACGCAGCACTTGATCAAAATCGTCGACGACCTGATTGACCAGGCAAGACAAGAGTGGCAGGAAGCACAAGATGAGAGACAAGCCGACATCGACGAACCTGAAGAATGTCCCCTCCCACTGATCCGTCTCCGAGTCGAAACCAGCTCAGCTGACGGCGTTGGGAAATTCGACACCGAAAACCCACAGCGCTTTTCGAACCGTTTCATCGACAAGGTCGCCAATACCCATGATGTGGTCCAGTTCCATGTCAAGAAGAAAAACGCAGCGGCGCGCGCCGCACGAAACGAAGCTGCGGATCGCGAGATTATGGAGAAATTCCAGGGCGTCGAGAGCGTCAAGGTGGAAAAACTCGTGCAGGAGTTTCTGCAGGCGCAGTCTCTCACCATTTTGCCCCAGAACTACTTCGGCGATGCAGTGAGCCAATATGTCAACAAGGACGACAAGCATGCCATGGAGTTGTTCGTCAACGAGTCGCTTGCAGACCAGATCAAAGCACTCGTCAGACTACAGGCCGACACGAACGAGGACGAAGAGGATGAGGATCTTGCCACTCAGATCGAAGAACAACGCGCGAGGATGGAGGAGATGTTCGCCAAAGGCCTGCTGAAAGCTTCCGCGAATAAAGCCCGTTTCAAGCCCAAGCCCGAAGGCTGGGACACTGATCTGGAAGGAGAATGGGAGGAACAGCCTGCCGCCCTGATTCGGAGTTCGGAAGATCTGGAGGACCATGATGGTGGTGAAGAGGAGGAAGAACAAGATAGCACACCTGCTCCGCGGACAACAGCACGAGGTCGAGGGCGTGGCCGTGGACGCGGTAGAGGTGCAACGTCAACGTCTACGAGAAAGACGACCACCACGACCACGAAGAAGCCCCCCGCCACCACCACCACGACACGAGGAAAGAAAAGAGCTGTGCCTGACGACGACGACGAAGATGACGAGGAAGATGATGATGTTGTCATGTTCGATGACGAAGACGAGGAGGACAACTCGCAGGCTATGTTCTTTCCCGACAAACGAAAGAATGCTACTGCAAGCTCGAGTACGAGAGGGAGGAAAGCTGCGTCGCCACCAGTCAGGAAGACGCCTGCTCGTGGTGCTACCTCGCGGACGGCAAAACAATCGACTCTGAATTTTACCACGTCGCAGAACAGTATCCTCGCGAATGGACGGAGTTCGGGAGCGCGAGGTCAGAGTATTGAAATCGAGGACGATGACGACGACGATGCTTTCGAGCCGATCCCGGCGACGAGGAGAAGACGATGAAAATGACCCACATCGTTATCGTCAGAACTGTCACAGAGGGCCTTGGGAAGGGAAATAATGTACGATACATACCGAACATGAGTAACAGACAACTTTATTGTGACACCAATACTGTGGTGATGCTAAGTTGAAGTGACAGGCAGCTAGCTGTACAGTAATGAACGGAATAATCCATGGATGTCAAACTACTGCATTTGCAGGCAGTGAAATCTCGTCTCGTCTGGTCTGCATACACTCAACCGTTGCTTGTAGTCTCACTTAGTTACGCCACTTCATCCCTGTTGCTACCCTATTCCTTTGTGGCCGCTGGTGCTGCCGCCGGCGCAGTCCCTGTCGTAGGCGCTGGCCCTTGACCACCTTCCGCAGCCGCAGCCGCACCACCTCCACCGCCACCGCCACGCTTTGCACCCCGTCCACCTCGATGGCTTTGTCCTTGTCTCCCGCCTTGTCCTGCGCCTCGTGCATTCCCTCTTGCTCCACCTCCACCCCCACCTCCACTGCCTGCTCGCCCACCTCGATTTCCACCTGCTCCGCCACGAGGTGTTCCTCGAGGTGCTGTAGGGGGTGTCGCCGCAGCCGGCCCAGTCGCCGCAGCCGGTATCGTTGGTGTTGTCGGTATGGGGTTCTCGTCCTTGGCCACGGTCGTCCCAGAAGCAAGTTCTTTCGTCGGCTCAACTGCCTTTGACGCACTCCCACCACTTCGTGCTTGTCCCGGCGTTGGCGTTGGCGTTGACGCCTTACTCGTCGCATCTGGACCTTGCACTTGTGCCTGCCCGCCGGAGGAGCCCGCATTCGCCTTCACATTCGCTGCACCTTTCGCAGCGCCGGTCCCAGCACTAGCACTCCCTTGCTTCTCACCCTGCGCACTCCCGCCACGCTTCGCGTAAGGACTCTTATTCTCCAGTACGACGACCTGGCCGTTTGCTACTTTCACGGGACTCGCCGCCATCGCCTTCCTCAAGCCCTCTGTGTCATCGAAGTCAATATACCCCAATCCCTTTTTCTTGTCGATTTCACATCTAGTAATCGTGCCGAAATCCTCGAACGCCGACTGGAGCAGTTCCTCAGTGATGCCCTGCGAAGGGTTCGCATGTTTGAGGAACGCGGACTTCGCGCCTGCGGAGGGCTGAACGGCGGATTTTGTTTGTCGTTGGGATTGTGTTGATGGTGTCTTTGTCGATGCGGCGCTTGGAGTGCGAGATGCGCGTGGGCCGGTGGGTGTGGCGTTCGGTGTGGGTGATGCGGGTTTTGGCTCTGGCACAGGCTGGTTTTTCAGAGTAGAGGGAGCTGGAACTGATTTTGACGTTGATGAGGTGCTGGGCTCTGTGGTTGTAGTCGACGTACTGGCTTTCGCTGTGCGCTGAGACTTATTCTCCTTCGATAGCAGGCCTAGATCACGTTGAAGCATACGCGCAGCGGCGGAGACGTTTCCTCGTTGGCGCTCGCGCTTGACGGGATTTGCTGTTGCTGGAGAGGGGGAAGAAGGCTCTTTTGCAGCCTTTTTAGGTTCACCTTTAGCCGAAGTCTGAGCCTGCTGTTGATGCTTTCCCTGCATCGCAGCGACAGATTTGTTGATCGCCTTGACGGCATCTTCGGTGGCTTTCTGGACACGCTGCTTCTCCTCGGCTGGCGCATGCTTACCCTTAATAACAACGGTCGAGCGAGGAGTGTCTGGTGTTGCAGGCTTCGTCTCCTGTTTCTCACGAGCCTTTGCAGCTTTTGCCTGGTTGCCTTCTTTTTCTTTGGCTTTGTTGGCCTTCTTGTCCTTAATGTACTGGACTAGAGGTGTGATGGAGGCCTTTTCCTGCTTGACTTCGGCCGAGTCTGCCCCATTTGCGGTAGTTTTAGTGATTGGTTCTGTCAGGCTTTGAAGAAAATCGATAAATTCCTGGTCTTGGTCGATTGTGCCTTGTCGTGCGTCATTTCTGTTGCGTCCGCTGGGGATTTTGTTGTAGGGGGCAAATTCCAGGGATGGTGGTCCGAGAAGACAGGAGTCTTTGGTGGTATTTTTGGCGTCCTGGAATGATGTTTGTTTCACTGCGGCGGACAATGAATCGAGCAGTGACTGTTCCTTGACTTTGATGTACGCTCTTGCTGGTCGTGAAGGTTTTGCTGGGCTGAAAAATAAGTCAGTATAGAAGTCAGGGAAGACCATAGTGGTGTTCTACTCTTTGGAGATCTTTCCATCTTTGAACGCTGCCCAGTCGACCTTTCCAGATCCAACTTTCCACTCATCGCCCAGAGCTGTCCAGAATTCGGTCTCCGTCAAGCCTGGTGGTAGTCGTCTGATGATCAGTCTCAACCTCGGCGCAGGTAGTCTTGCAGATCCTTTTGACCCCGATTGCGCAGTTGCATTCTTTCTAGCTGCTGCGTTCACTGGTAGAACACCTCCAGAACGTCCCTTGACCTGATCTGACATTGTGGTTTTGTCGTAGTTGATAGAACAGTCACAGATTCGCTCACTCTCCCTTCAGGTGTCTCTCATCTGCGTTTATTCACTTTTCACCCCGACGACATCATCAATGGGCAACGGTGACAATAGAGGACTCATGCACAGTGAATGCTATTGTGAGTGATTGTCGTCCCAGATACAAATATCTCCTATCGGAGCTCGGATTTTCCTTTTTCCGTCATCCGATCCCCATCACGTGCCTCATCCTCACTGTCGACTACGCATCGCCTCAATGGCAGCGTCTGCACCAGCAAGAACCTCCTGCTCCTCTTCCTCCAGCACAACAAGCCGCTCCTCCGCCCTCGCCCCTGCCACCTTGGAGCAGGTGGTCGCTCCAGAGACTTTCCCTGTCTTCCAGGAAGACACCACCGAGGGTTCGCCCTCTCCACCGACCCCTCCTCCCACGTCTCGTTCCCGGCGCCGGTCGCGCCAAGTGACCAACCTCGACCGCGCTCTTTTTTTCGGCCTCCCCAAGGCCAAAGTCGTCAACTACGTTGACATCGTCAAGTGTCTGCGTGCGCCGCCCTTCCGAGCCCCGAATTATCAATCGGGTAGACAGACGGCCTACGTGCCAACCTCAACCTCCCCCTTCCTCACCACCATATCTCATCCCTCTTGTCCCTTTGAACCAGCGCCATGGGCGCGGTCAAAGTCCCCGTCCCCGGCCCAGCGCGCCTCAAGCGCTCAGCGGGACCCGATGAGTGGCTCGAAGCAGCCAAAAACTGCAAGTACCTCTCAGAATACCACATGAAACAACTCTGCGAGATTGTCAAAGAGTACATGATGGAAGAATCCAACATCCAACCCGTCTCTACGCCAGTCACAATCTGCGGCGACATTCACGGCCAATTCTACGATCTACTCGAGCTTTTCAGAGTCGCAGGCGGCATGCCGAATGAATCGGCGCCTGAAACACCCGTCACTCCAGCGAACATCATCACATCCGCAGACATTGAACCTCCTACCATGATCACGAACCCGAAACTGAAGAAGAAAATGAGACTCGGAGGCATTGAACATCCTGATTCCACGGGGGAAAAGAGTAGCGAGGTCAGCGATGCCGAAGAAATACCTTCATCACAACAATCCGAGCTTGAAGACGAACGATCAGAGTCAGGAAACATCATCTCAAACCGACAAAATGCGAATTTCATCTTTCTAGGAGACTACGTTGATCGTGGATATTTCTCCCTCGAAACCCTCACTTTACTCTTATGCCTCAAGGCCAAATACCCCGAAAAGATCACGTTAGTGCGCGGTAACCATGAGAGTCGCCAGATCACTCAGGTCTACGGGTTTTACGAAGAATGCGTACAAAAGTACGGAAACACTTCAGTATGGAAGGCATGTTGTCAAGTATTCGACTTCATGACCCTCGGAGCCATTGTTGATGGAAAAGTACTGTGTGTACATGGAGGCTTGTCACCAGAAATCCGGACACTCGACCAAGTCAGAGTTGTTGCTCGAGCACAAGAAATCCCTCACGAAGGTGCCTTTTGCGATCTCGTATGGTCAGATCCAGAAGACGTGGAAACATGGGCAGTATCGCCACGTGGAGCAGGATGGCTTTTCGGAGACCGAGTCAGTCAGGAATTCTGTCACGTCAACGGACTAAATCTCATCTCCAGAGCACATCAACTGGTCAACGAAGGCTACAAGTACCACTTCAAGAGTCAAGATGTTGTCACGGTGTGGAGTGCACCCAATTACTGCTACAGATGTGGAAACCTTGCCTCGGTTTGCGAGATTGGCGAAGATATGAAACCAACGTTCAAACTGTTCAGCGCTGTCAAGGATGAGCTACGACATGTTCCACCCTCGAGAGGTGGTCGCAACGAATACTTCCTCTAGTATGATGACAAGAGTATTGGAAATGAGCTGGGAAGACGATAATAGTGCCTGGAATGAGCCTGGAGCTTTTTGCCCGCTTCAAATCCCACAGTTATAGCATCAGCATCAGCGAAGGCGTGGATGGATGTCAAATCAGGCGGCACAATTGTACATTACTCCAGAGAGCTAGAAATAGTGCTGGCTCTGATATGAAGCATGAGATTACTAGATGACATACCCAATACTTCGTGGGCTCCGACTGCTGATCTTGAAAGGGCCCATCACGAATCTGCCGATCCGGAGTCGATGTTCTCTCCCCGGTCGACTCCTCTCCGTCATCTTCGCCTCGCCCATCTCGCCATGTAAATACTCCGTATGCGGAGATAAAAGTGACCGTACCCCAAATTTGGTGTCGCCCTGCGCTTCGTTCGGTCTCCCACTTCCCTTGAGACACGAATGTCATGAGAAGGACATTGTCTTTGTTCTCTCGTTCCCGAGGACTTACCGTACAGAATCTCATCCAGATTAACAATGGCACATTCTACAGAGAACATCCTGCGACACATGCCCAGGGTTCTCCCTCTGCCAACCCACCTCTCTTCCCGAACCTGAACTTCGAGTTGCGTACGATCGTTGCAGAAGAGAACGAGGCCGTCTCGCACAACGACTACCATTGGGCTGTCATCGGGCCCTCGGACGGTACCACGTTCCTCGAGATCTTGAGGGGCTCACACTTGTGCTTCCCACCCAGCGCCAGATCATATCCCTACCTAGCTTCCGAATGGATCGACGACCGCAAAGACCACCGTCTGCGCATCCCTTCTATGTCGGGTTCAACAGCGGTCAAGGACAAATTGCGAGCGGCGGAGTGACAGGAGCGTACCTGAGCGCCCGCTATGAAAGTCGAAGAGAAGAGACAGATTGGTCCGTTCTGCAATATCTCAAGGGCGAGACCGAATTGAACCCGTCCAAGCCGGCAGAAGATGGAAAGGTCGACATCCAGTCCCTCGACAAGGTGATCGAAGATTTACACCTGCAGAAATTGCTCGACATGCCCGTGAGCAACCTGAGCAACGGACAGACGAGAAGAGCGAGAATCGCAAAAGCACTGCTCGGCAGACCGAAACTCGTCTTGCTTGACGAGCCGTTCATGGGCCTTGATCCGCCCACCCTGATCACTCTGTCTCCTATGCTACGCTCGCTCGCTCGACGCGCATCGCCTCTTCTTCTCTTTGGCTTACGACCTCAAGATCCGATCCCCGACTGGCTCACACATCTAGTCGTGCTCGGACCGAATCATACCGTCGCACTCCAGGGAGAATCACGCAACGTGCTGTTCAGTCTACGACGGTGGGCAGAATTGGCCACGGCTTCTCGCCGGCCTGAATCCGATCTTGTACGAAAGATCATCCACAAATACGGCCTCCCACCCTCGGGCATGGGCGATATTCTCAGCCCGAAAGGCATCTCACGCCATGCAGTCCTGGCCCAAGAAATCACTCCCGAGCTTGAGAATGAATGGCGAGAAGCTATCAAGACCCGACAAGGACAACGCTCTCAACAGGGCGATGACCTCGACGACCTGCTTCTGCTTGCGTCCGAAAGCCAAATCTTCCACCCCTCAAGCAGCTCCTCATACGCCTCTCCATCCACCTCTCCTTCCTCTTCCGCCACCAGGACTCTGGGCGAACCCCTAATCGACCTTCAATCCGTGACAGTGAAGTACGGCCCGAAAACCGTACTGGGCCACGGCACCGGCCTCACGCTCTCAATCCGACAAGGCACGCGTCTCGCGCTTTTAGGGCCCAACGGCTCCGGTAAAACCACGCTCCTCTCCTTGCTCACTTCCGACCACCCGCAGTCTTACAGCCTGCCGATCACATTCTTCGGACGCTCTCGCCTTCCTTCGCCCGGCATACCCGGCCTGTCGTTGTGGGAGATACAATCCCGCATCGGCCACTCCGCACCCGAGGTACACGCCTTCTTCCCCAAAAACTTATCTGTCCGACGCGTGCTTGAGAGCTCATGGGCGGAGACGTACGCCGGGAAACCCACACTGACTCCTGAGAGGCGTGCCAGAGTTGATGCGTTCCTGCGCTTCTGGCAGCCAGAGCTACGCCAGGATGGAGTTTCCGACGACGGCGACGACGACAAGAGTCTGGACTGGGCGAGCGACAGGAGCACTCACGCATTTGGCACGCTCCCATTCAGTGCGCAACGGTTATTGTTATTGCTCCGCGCGATCATAAAGGAGCCCGACATCATTATTCTGGACGAGGCGTTTTCGGGCCTGTCCGCCGAGACGAGGGATAAAGCCATGGCCTTTCTTGAGCATGGACTGTCCGCCTCCGCGTTTGTGTCTGCGTCGGAGTCGAAATCCAACTCCGACTCGAACGCTGACTCTGACTCTGACAAATTCAGAGGCCTGAATCCAAACCAAGCACTCGTCGTGGTATCCCATGTCAAAGAGGAGATCCCGCCCGTCGTGGATGAGTGGCTTCGGCTCCCTGGAGAAGAGGAAGTGATGGAGCACGGACGCGGTGTTGAAGGAGGACGAACGGAGAGAGGATACATCAGGACAGGAGAGGGCTGGATGAAAGTCTGGGGCATAGGCACAACCTAACTTGGCCTTGAATGCTAAGGTAGATATCTTACTGCCCACCCATGTGCTGCTGAACACGATGCGGAAGAGGAGAACGCGGCGTGAAGTTTCCGTAATAGCTTCGCACAGCCCCATACAGCTGTCGACACGAGATTATTTATTGGCCTGTTCCCGAGAAGAAGGAGAAGGACGCAGAGGACGAAACAGCTCACTCAGGAGATTTCAACGCATTAGAGACAAGAGTGCTGGTTAGGTATGCGAGGCGAGGCGAGGTATAGCTTCGACTCGATCGCTACAACCTCGTAGGGCACTTCATACCAATACCAATACCGATACGGAGTACTAGAGGTCAAACCCCCCAAGCTACCTAGGTATGATCCGATGATCGTGGCAGATAAAACAAATATTGATAAAATCCGTATATACTCAGTAGAGTATATGGTATATGGTATATGGTATACGCTATATGACATATGGTATCTCGAACTCTCAAACAAATCAATAAGTGCCAACCTGGGATGATTATCACTAGCCATACAAAACTATGTCCCAACTCTTTGGCGGCCGTCAAATAACCTGGGGGAACTGCTCTTAGACCAATGGTATGGTACGGAGAAAACACGACACCATCTCCGCAGGTGAGGGCAGGTCAGATATACTGTGTGTACAAAAATAAAAGCGAACATTCATCACATCGTCGTATGGCCCATAAACACAGGACTTTTTGTTGCTACTTCTTTCTCCCACACTCGCGAAATCCAGACAAAAGCCGGACCGGACCCCGACCAAGTTAGGGATCCACGGGGGATCCTACCAGAATGTGAAGAAGAGGCACGCGTTCCCCGTCATTCCGATTCCTCCATCACTAGTCTGTCACGAATGCTGCTCGACCGATCCGGAATCATATGGTACGGAATACTGAACACGGACGTACTGCTTTCCTGACTGCGTTGACTGGACGGTCTTCGCAGCACACGACTTCCACCGCCGCTGCTCTGGTGCGAGTGATGAGACATATGCTGTGCCGCAGGACTGCCTTTGATCGGGTCCGCCGAGTTTGGCCTTCCTCTCGACGACTGAGACTGTCTCGGGGACGAAACGGGAAGAGGGAAACTCGACAGAGAAACCTCGCCTGGACTCGGAGGCACCGGCTGCTGTTGCTGCTGCTGGAAGCGACGGCCGTTGATGTGCAGAGGCGGTGGCAGTGGTAGCGGGCTGTCGAGGTCATCTTCTCCATCGACTATCGACGGTCCAGGACCACTGAGTTCCAGATAGCTCCGTTGCTTTCCCTTCTTACGCTCCTGCATACCATTCATGTCTCCACGAGGCGGTTTCTCCCTGTCAGCCTCCGGCACTGTCGTAAGATTGTGGTACGATGTCGGCGTTTCAGTTCTATCCACCTCGGTCGATATGTCAGCCGCGAACTTTGGACCTGCCGGAACGGGCGGAGAGTTTCTGACCTGAGCGAAGATAGTGGACGGAGCGACTGGCTTGCCATCACTGTATGAAAAAGCATGCTTCGGTGCATTGGGCCTGGATGACCGCGAAATAGGAGATTGTGTCAGGAAATTCTCATTCAGGCTCTCTTGAAGACGAATCAGAGCAGCGCGGGCGTCCGCCTGTTTTTGAGCAAACTCGGCTTCATTGAATGTCGATTGGTAGATGGAAATCCTTGGTAAATCAGAACTTCTCAGCGACGTTCTGCCGCTGCTTGGATCATGACTTGCAGACCTGTTCCGAAGATATCGGACATGCTTTGATTTTCTGTCACCACCCAATTCGTGATCTTCGGGTACACTCGTGAGCGCGGGTTTGGTGGGAGGACTTGCAAAGTCCCGCCTGTGAACACCGAAGCTTCGACTTGAGTCCACAACGTCAATGGAACGGACATTCTCGGCAATCATATGGATATACTGTTGTGGCGGCACAGGTTCCTCGACCTGCGGCTGTGATGATAGACCGGCGTGCGGGGAGTTCTGTCTAGAGTCGATATTTTCTTTGTGCTTTTCGCCGTTGACGTCCGCAACTGCAGGCAACTCTACGGTTGAGGCAGGTCCTTCGACTGACTCGCGTCCATTTTCGATATCCCTCTTCTTCTCGACCATGACATGATCGTCGTCTGCCGACGACTCGCGCTGATCTTTGGTCTGTTGCCGGTTTGTCTCGGCTGGAGCAGTGCTTTCTTGCATGAAAGGCTCTACCATCGTGCGCTCGGAAGCATCAAATTCATCTGTAGATTGTATCAAGACGCTCGCCCGAGGTGGCAACGATGCGACAGTGCTGACTGGAGAAAATACGCTTGTTTTTATGGGTTGTGTCGGTGTTCGTGTCACGGGCGATTCTGAAACAGGTTCTTCATGTGCCTGAGACGGCGCAATCTCGGCCAAAGATGATGATGTTGCTGCTGCTGACTGTGCAGAGTTTGTCCTCACCTCAGCTGCATCCGATTTGGGAATTGGATATTCCGACGGAATTCCAGGTATCCTATGCATCGTGTTAAGTTTGGCCTGTTCCACCACGGGGGATGAGGTATAGGCGGATTCAGGTGCCATCTCAGAAAAGACATCAGAGTCGGTTCCGGTCAAATCCATGATGGTGCGGCGAGGCAGATTGATGGCTCGCTTTACCGAAGATGTGTTGCTCAGACTCGTCGGCGACCGGAATGCATAATCAGCTCGACGTGTTACGTGGGCACCAGCAGCGGACATTGCAGTCCCTGGCCGCGAATACTGAGGGCGATCATTCGAATTTGCTTGGACCAGTTCCGTTGCTGAGAGCTGATAGCTACGCAAGACATCGCTTTGATCCGAATGCCTGTAAATGCCCGGAGAACTGGAGGTGGCCATTCCATCTCGGAGATCCTCTGTCGAAGGCCTGACGTGATGAAGGTGATGAGTCAGGAGGACTCCTGAAGATGGGTGGCCTTCGGTGGGTAATTCGTGTAACTGTTGTTGTGGTTGCCACGGACGTTCGCTTGATTGGGCTGAATGTACATCAAATGATTTCGGCGTAGGCTGATACCTCGACCTTTCTGGGTTGTCCGATCTGACCGACAGTGATGGATGGTCGCTTATTCTGCTAGGAATGTCTCGTGACAGCGATGATTGTACACCATCCTCGAACCGACGGCGAGGGCTAGAAAGAGAAGTATTCGTGCTGCCGCTTTCCCCCAAAGGCGGGTATGCATTTCTTATAGCAACCTCCTCGGCATACTTGGACGATGGCACAAGGTGTTCGTGCGTGCCTCCGAGTGCGACTCTGGCCAAGTCCAGATTTCGTTCAGCGACGTCCTCGTTATATCCAGGCATAGGATTGGTTCCGTCGGCATTAGAGAGTGAAAATATGTCAATGTATCGAGGGGCCTTTTGCCGACGGTTGTTTTTGGCATAGTGATCTGCAGATTGCTGATATTCTTGCTCTGCCTTGGCTACAGCGTCTGCGGCTGCGCGGTTGACAGCAGTCATGAGGCTGCCACTGCCAGACGTGCCGGGCCGTGATGGAGAGGTTGACGGTCTTGAGACACCAACCAGCATGGGCTGTTTTCTGTTGTTTGAGCCAGGTCTCACGAAGCTGCTGGCCGTTGTTGTAGGACTTAGCAGACGCCCACTCTGTCCGTTTGACGTACTTCGAGCATGGTTGGAGCGTGGGCTTCCATTGACTGACCATCCGGCCTGATCGGTGCTCTGGCTTTTTCTGAGGCTGTTGACACCCGAGTCGAGCATGCCGTCGCGACCCTTGCTCTTCCGTCGTGTCCATAGCTTCTTCAACCCAGACTCCATGTCGTTATCCGCTTGTGACAGCCTGCGGTATCCCGCACCCAATCTAGGTCCAGCTCATGCACAAATTGTGACCCCGCTGATGCCGTCTCTTAGCACGCATGATTATTGCATAGCTCGGAAGGAGTTGGCCACACTTCAACTTCTCACGAGGCTTTCCATGAAAGCGGATGGTTGTCGGCGACTCTTGGAGGAGAGGTGATTGAGCGCCGCGCTCAATGTTCGTGTCAGGTGGGATCGAAGGAAGGTCGCCGGTCTGGAGGTTTGCGGGCTAGTCACCGATGCCTAGGCGGTTATCTGGGGAGTAGGAGTCGAGCATTGTAGCTGCACAGTGCAGGAGAAATGATATGCGAAAGTGGATTACGGAGCATAGTAGGAGGTTGGTGGCTTCGGATGGGGTCGACGATGACCAAATGTCGACGGCCCCGGGCTTGGACTCAGAACCAGAAGCACTGGCATGGTAGGAGAGGAGGTGTGGAGGAGGGCCATGAGCGAATGGAAGACCCCGGTAAGTGTGCAGAGGAGAGGTGCAGCGCAGAAGAAGCCCGCCAGAGTGGGACATGGATGGGTGGGAAATGGGGGAGGTGCCGCGCAAAGGCTGCCCTCTAGCCTGGGATCTGTGACCCAACCAGGCTTCACTAGGCGTGCTAGGCGTGGCTAGGCTAACCTGGCGCCTCTTCAAGCCTCCGAAGGACGACGATCAACCGCCCAGCGATGCATCCACTCGTTTGGTCTACCCAATTTGACAGCTGCAGTGGCTGGTCTCGACGCCAATCCGAGTGCAAACTGCAAAGAGGTCAGGCCACCTCCCTGGGTTCTTCCCACGGGTTCATCCTCGATCTATGGATGTTCCTTGCCCGAAGCCCTGTCGATGCATGAATAACGTCGGCATGATAGACGGATGATGGTCGAGTTGAACTTATGCGGAAGCAGATGCGAGCCTTGGAGGAGGGCCGCTAAAAGTGGAAGATCGGAAGCTTCAAGCAGCCCTGATACTTGTACAGACAACAGGCTAAAGCTGATCAGAGATCAAGCTAAAGACCAACCCGACCCTAGAAGACTTGAATTGTCCGAAGGCGCAGTGCACCCTGGTCCTTGTGCAAGGACTTCCGCTACGCGTACGAGCACCGAGGAGACTTTCGAGAAAGGGAATGCCCAACCTCTGGATGGATATGGGTTACCGCCCCGATCGGGTTGATCGCGAATGGGACGTTCAGCCAGTCAAAAAGGGCGTTGTGCTCGTTCTCGACATGCTTTAGCTTTGCGACTGTGGTGGTGCCCCGGCGCTCGAAAATGAAAAATGCATGCAATCAAGATAAATATACATACAGCTATGCGCTATACATTTATTGAGCTGACACGCCGTTCTGCAACCCGAATGCCATTCGTCAACTGGGAGTGGAAGTCGTACTATGGTATGTACTTTGTCTGGAACATCCCTGCAGCGAGTCGAAGATATCATGTTTCAGGACAAAAGTGCACAACGCTCCGCTTTTGACAGGTCAGATCGTATCACAACAGGCGCCTATTTTCATTCGCATGCATCTTGACCGGGTACTTTTCATGCAGAGTACTGCCAGCTATCAGGATGTATGTTAAGGTAATCGGGTCCTTCTCTAAACATTCCCGGATCTTTCTAAGACCCTGTCCACACGTCAAGGTCTCATCTCCATTCATGTTTTGGACATACTGACAACCTAGCTTGTGGCTCGACACCTTCAGCTTCTATGAGCCTTCAGTTCCGCGCGCCGAAAGCCTTGTCGTAATCAGTCAGGGTGAATCGGTATCGGATCTTGTTGTCCTTGACCCTTGTTACAGCTTCCTTGCAACCTTCTTCCGAGATCGAAACGGTCTCCACCATGGGCTGTAGCTTCTTCTCTGCAGCCAGCTTAAGCATAGCCAAGCACTCGGGTCTGTTGCCAATGTGGCTTGCGCCAATGGAACTGCCATTGCTCATGAACATCTGTGGCTTAATGGCTGGCAGCGCCTCATCCGGCAGACCGACCTGGTGGAAGGGTGCGTTGACCTTACACATGGACAGGTATTGGGAAATGTCAAAGGTGTGAGTCATGTCGGCGGTGTTCAGGATGAAGTCAAAAGCAAAGGCGTATGGCTTCTCCCAACCCTCCTTGTCGTTGGTGATAAACTCCTTTGCGCCCAGCTTGAGAGCATCCTCTTTCTTGCTGGGAGAGTGAGAGATCACCGAGACCTCCGCACCCAGGGCATTGGCCCAGATGACACCGAAGTGTCCGAGACCTCCCAGGCCTACCACAGCCACCTTTTTGCCCGGTCCAACTCCCGCCCGCACCAGCGGCGAATATGTGGTCAAGCCGGCGCACAGCATCGGAGCTGCGAGGTGGGAAGGAATCTCGTCTGGGATGGGGAAGGTGAAGTATTCGTGAGCCCGAATGTGGGAAGCGTACCCGCCCTGCGAGATGGTCTCATCTGGGTCGGCCTCCTTCGGGTATGGAGCGCCGTACGTGTCGACCATATGAGGGCAGTAGTTCTCGTTGTCACTCTTGCATTGAGGGCACTTGAGACAAGCCCAGATCTGAGCACCTACACCCACACGATCTCCGACTTTTACTGTTTTCACTTCGGACCCGACTTTGACGGCATGACCGACGACCTCGTGGCCGACGCAGATGGGCAGTGGTACCTCGCCCCAGCCGCCATTGATGCTGTGGACGTCGGAGCCACAGACACCGCAGCACTCGATCTTGATGTCGATATCATGGTCACCGAACTTCTTGGGTTTGAACTGCATGACATGTCAAACTGTGTGTCCATGAGCATGCGATGTGGCCAGATTCACTCACCTCTTGTTTCTTGAACTCGGTCCATTTCTTCTGATCCGAGATCATGAAACCTTCGAAAGTATCTGGATATCCCATGGTTGCGGTGTGTTTTCTGTTGCTGTTTGACTACCTGGTTAGTGTTCTGGGATCTTTCCTGTTCTCTGGTTACAATGTGTAAGTGAGGAGGGAAAAAAAAGTCGAAGAGAAAAAAGATTGACCTGAATTTAACCAGACAAGGATAGAGCGCGGGGGGGATTGCGTTGAGAATGAGACTGCCAGGACTACCTACCTAACGCACTGGGAGAGAATAGGCCACGATAGGCTATGATGCTTTATGGAGTCTCCGTACGGAGGACAGTGACGGAGAATTGGGTAGTGAAATGTTGTTGATATCGTGACGTAGCAAAAAGCTCACAAAACTGCGAGATTATGACCTCAGGACCACTATTATCCGTATGTGCACCGCAATGCCTTACCGACCACAGTTTTTCAGCACCTGCCCTCGTTGCTCAGGGCCATTGTCACCCCGAATGATGCCGTCTCCTCGCCGGAACACCGTCACGTCCAATCTGTGGCTTCGATGAAGAAGACTAGGAGCCAGCCACATCGGCCCCTATACCGATTTGTCCGGGTGGGATGGAGGGGCTTGAGCTTGAGGGGTAGCAACATGAGCTTCGGACAGAGATGGCCCGGGCCCAGCCAACAACAATTTTCCCGGAGAAGCAAATCCAGCCTTGCCACGGAGCCAGGGAGCCAACGTCACCCACCAGGCTTCAGAACATGCGAATCCTGACAAGAAATCCGCGGAGAAAACTGTGGATTCCATAACACCATGTAGACGAACACAAAGATTGTCTCGTAGTCATGTGTCCACGCTTTTGATTTAAACGTCGTTACCATCTCGCCATCCGAGGCTCTTCTCAAAATCTTCATTCACCCATCATCATCAACTGGTCATCATACCATTCCTCATACTCACAACAGTCGACGCCAGAGAACCAAGAAACCTCCGGATGCACAAACGACAACAGTGCACTTGCAATTGACCACATTCGCAGTGTGCTTCAGCGCAGGTTCGAGTCCTCGGGATGCAACAGACAAATACTCCAGTTCGGCATGCATTGAAGTCCTATCTTGTAGGCCTTCTCCCACTCCACCCACCTCTCACGCATGTCCCTGCGCTCTTTGTGGTCGACGGCATGATCGGTCCACGTCAGGTCCCGGCCTGCGCTCTGCAAAGGTCCCAGCCAGCGGTAGATGGCAATAATCAACCAGACCTGCCGTCGTCCAGACGCATCAGGTGAGAGACTTTCGCGAGCCTGAAACATGAACTGTGTCTTGCATCCGCGCGTGTAACAAGCGCCTTTACATTTGGCTCCGGCCCTTGACTCGGCGGATTCGCGCTTCCAGTCGCTAATGCAAAGTGGCCCTTTCACTCCCGGCGGCAGGCGTTGCGTGTTGAGGCATGCCCGGCAGAATTTGCTCAAAATGAACGGATCCCCTAGTTTCAAATGGGGACACAGGCGAAAGTCGATCGCTTGTAGAGCGGCCGACACGTCCTTGACCTGGAAAACTTCCTTGTACATTCCACTACCACCACTTGTTCTGGTGTTATACAACGGTGAAGGGACTTGAAGAAGGCCAATCTTGGAGATCAACAGCGATTGTGCTTTTGGGCTTTCCAATTCCATCATGGACGTCCCCTTTTCAGGTCGGTCGGCGACCGATCGGTTGCGTATCGAGTTTCTGCATCGTGAGCATGGCTCCAACGTTTCGACACGAAAGGGTGTTTCAACCCCGGCCTTAATGTTGCGTATCGTCTTCTGGTAGCCAAGAGTACGGTGTGCACAGAGCCATATTTGTCTGCAATCTCGATAGGTGGGTTCCTGATTGATCTCGGAAGAAGGAAACGTCGAGCGATTGTGCAGCTCCTGGCACTTCCCGCAGACTAGTTTGTCGAGCTCGGATGGATTCTGGTCTCGTTCGGTCATGCACAGGAAATCAAATAACTCCTTTCCCTTGAGTACAAAAGAAGGCAACGTGTACAAATGAAAGAACCTTGGGCAAGAGTGACGCAAAGCTACCTCGCTGCTAGGCGTCAGGTACGGCTGGAGGAAGATGAGGAGCTCTGTGGGCAATGCGAGAAACCCGGACTCGACATTGTTAAAGATGGTCCGCTCCGAAAACCGGGTTGCAACCGAAGGTGTCTTAAGCCGTGGTGGTCGTTCAATGAACTCGGTGTCGTGTGTAAAGGCGAGCTTGGTAACAAGTTGTTCGTCCGAGGGACTTAGAGATAAAGCAGTGGTTGGCCATGGCTCGATTCGAATTTGCTCGTCGTCATCGTCGTCGTCTTCCGGTACCAAGCCTGGCGCAGACTTGGTACGAGAAAGCTTTCTGCGGACCCTGTCGAATAGTGGCATCGTCCTTGGAGAGATAGAACCAAGCTCTATGACAAGGCTCCGAGACGGTTGGCTTGATCCGCTGAAGCTTTGGTGGACCTCCTGACTAAGTTAGGGAGGGGTAGGCTTCAGATGGCGCAAGATATTTCGATATCGGTGAAAATAAGAGACTCAATAAACCAAGACTATCCACGATGCAACTCTCGAAGGCACCCAGAGATGACAGAAGATGAGTCGAACAATCATTGCTGGCCTTCTTTTGCCACGTCTTGGTATGGTTGTATCCGTCTGGCAGCACGAGGGTCAAAGAGGAGTCGGAGGATAGTGGAGGATGCAGCTGGTGGTTCACAGGCGAGGGGTCCAGCAGAAGCCCGCTAACTAGTTACATATCTTAGTAGCTGTCGGCTTGGAAATTGAGCAAATCATGGACCTAGATTCAGTGTAGGCGGGCCTTTGCCTCTTTCTTAGGTGAGCCGCATCCTTCAATCGCAGTCTGGAGTCTACTGGTCTTCTGACCACGCCGGAGGTTCGAGATTTGGCGACGGGCTCACGCTGCGGTATCGACGTCCAGAACAGGGGAAGTTAGGTGGCTACTGAGGCCATTTGTTGACCCTTTCGCTGGTGTTGAAGGTGCGTGGAGGTGGTTGTTATAACGGTGGTCTGACCATTGAAACGGCGCCTCGTGCGCCCAAACCCAACTTCTGCCCCTCTTCTCTTGCTGGTCGCGCGTGGACGCGTCGATCGAGAACGAAGCGCGTAAAGTGCCACGGCTTAGTCAACCTGCTCGCACCTCACGCGGCTTGGGAAACATAGGTACCTGTACTGTGACAGCTTCACAGCAATGTTTTCGAGCCTGAATATGGTGCCGTTACCAATGGCTTTGACCTTGAAGAACAGTGCCGGGATCTTTAGAGCGCTTGTCTGGATGTATTCATAGTGCCGGTCGTGAAAAGCCCAAGGACCAATTTTTAGATCGATTCACAGAAACTCGCATCGAACCAGCAGCGTGGCCATCATGTCAGGTGTACTGCGCTGCAGGAGAAAGAGGATCAGGTCCATGTCTATATCACCAGCCACCTAGGTGCCAGCAACAACGGTTTCAAGGTCCAGCATAGTGGAAATAGACTCGATATCAGCGGTTATGTACGACTATTCTCCTACAAGTTACCCCATCGAAGTCTCAACTCCGTCCATACCACGCCCGGGATCAGGAACTGTACTACCATTGATGGTGCTCGTCAAGGGTGTTCGAGGGTGCCTATCATGTGGTCTCCACTAGATGCCGCGGAGACTTCGCCTTGTGAATAATCCCATGGTGGAGATTCCCAGCGAGCTATCCTCCAACCGCCTGCCGATCAGGGCCGCCGCGGGTATGTTAAACAACGCATGTCCGTGACCAGTGTTCCCATATGGTGTAACGGGACTGCGCAAGGACATCAAAACTTGGCCTAGGTAGGGAACAAGGTATCCCCGATGGACACAGAGCTCCAAGGAAACTCAAGTAAGGATCCATATCGGCTGTTTTGTCATCTATTTGCAGCATCAAGCCTGCTATTTGCTCCGGACTCGCCTATTAATCATGCGAATGCACGTGTGGTCGAAACGTGGCTAAGGTACTTGGTACCTTTCGCTGCTCTGGAGATCTTGAAGCCGACCCGTCCCGTCAGTACCTCTCCGCGGAGACGATCGTAGAGGGGTTTAAATATCTGACAACAACATCAGACCACCTGTGCTCATCTTGGAGTTGCGTGTGGTCATCACGGACACACCTATTGAGCGGGGTGTTGCAACGATGCATCTGATGACCCAGTCGCAGCGGCATACTACAGGGCATGGTCGAAATGAAAGACAGCTATAAGACGTGCCGGATGCATATAAACCATTGTGCGAAGACCGACTCTGGGCACAGACTTCCAGAAGTTCTGAACAATGCTCAGCTACCCAACATTGACTGCAAGACGCTTTAGCAAGCTCGGTGTAAACAACACTCGCACCCTAAAAGCAAGCATGGCCACGCAGACCGGTACGCACTTCTTCGCACATAAGATGCAATGGAAAAGTCTTGACCTCAATATGTTAATCATCAAAACAGGTCCACCAAGATTCCCATTCAGCCGCCCTCGTGCGGCCGAGCCCCCGGCTGAATATGCTCGACTCAGAAAGACGGAACCAGTATCCCGCGTCACGCTGTGGGATGACAGTCACCCATGGCTGGTGGTCAAGCACAAGGACATCACGAAAGTTCTCACGGATGACCGGCTTTCCAAGCAGCGTCAGCGATCCGGATTCCCCGAGATGTCTGCAGGAGGGAAAGAAGCGGCAAAGAACAAACCCACCTTCGTCGACATGGATCCTCCGGAACACACGAGGCAGAGAGGTCTGGTAGAGCCTGTCTTTAGCAAGGAGAGCGTTCAGGCCATGAGACCGCAGATCCAAGCCACGGTTGATCGTCTTCTTGATAAAATGCTGGCAAAAGGAGGCAAGGAGCCTGTAGACTTGGTGGAAAGCTTCGCTCTGCCGGTCCCATCATTTGTAAGTACTTGGTTTGGCAACTGCACCTTGGTTTGCTTGTGCCTGACGATATGACACTAATGAATAGGTCATCTACGGAATCCTGGGTGTCCCTTTGGAAGACCTGGAATTCCTCACCCAGCAGGCCGCGTAAGTAATAGTATTCAAAAAGGATACCCCCTTTGCGGCCGCCCAGTCCACTTACACATAGAGCCACAGGGTCCGTTCGAATGGTTCTGCAACGGCCCTCGAAGCCTCTCGAGCCAACCAAGTCTTGCTCGATTATCTCGCGTCCCTCGTCGAGAAGCGCATGAAGCAGCCCGAAAATGATCTGATCAGCAAATTGGTGACAGAACAGGTTCGGTCTCACCCTCTCTTGGTCATACTTGGTATTCCAGAGGCGTTGGCGACAGCTAGTTACTAAATGTGTCTTCTCTGCAATCCAGGTCAAACCCGGCAATCTCTCGCAAGACGGCGCCGTGCAGATTGCCTTTCTTCTGCTTGTAGCCGGTAACGCGACCATGGTCAATATGATCAATCTCGGGGTGGTGACACTCTTCGAACATCCCGAACAACTGAAAGAGCTCAAGAACGATCCCGGCCTCGCGCACAATTTCGTCGAGGAACTATGCCGATATCATCAGGGCTCGGCCATGGCGACTCGCCGCGTCGCAAAGGTCGATGTCGAATACGGCGGCAAGGTGAGCACCGAGTCCCCCATCCCGCAATCTCGTTCAACATCAAACCCGAGTAGTCGTGCGTTGGGAACGTCCGCTTGTGGCTACTGTAGGCTAACCACCCAATCCCTTCGACTCGCAGCAAATCAAAGCCGGTGAGGGCATCATTGCAGCTTGTCAGTCGGGCAATCGTGACGAAGAGGTGTTCCCTGACCCGGACAAATTCGACATACACCGCCAGTTCGACCCTCAAGACTCCCTAGGCTACGGATACGGCGCTCACAGATGCATTGCTGAGCATCTGGCAAAGGCGGAATTGGAGATCGTGTTCGGTGAGTGTCCCAGCACAGTGGCCCTGATGCCGCCATTACCTTCTATCCTCTGACAGCAGGCGTTTCCGGTCCTAAATTCCCATCACCCCTATCGATCCTTCCATAGCAAGCGTCGTCGCTAACCTTCAACACCAGCCACATTGTTCCACAAATTGCCAAACCTGAAATTGGCAATTCCTCTGGACCAAGTCGAATATACCCCTCCGACAATGGATATCGGCATTCCCAGACTGCCAGTCGTGTTTTGAAAAGTAAAGAGAACTCGAATGGAGGACACGCCAGGGACTAAGCCCACAAGAGACATGGTGCAAAATCAGTCAGTCATATATTTCCATTCTATCCGACCCAAACGGTTCGATCCATTCCTTCGAACAGACATAAATGGATCTCCTGTCCTCTGGTCTTTAATTAAGAAATTTGAGAGTGATTCCATGTACGACTGGTCGAAAGGGGACGGACGGACATCATAGTTTCTCGATACTCCTACCGCCTAACTAGGAGTCAAAGCCGTTCGTAGAGTCCGTCACTTCCTGGTATTCGACAATCTTTCGAAGAAGTTTATGCTAGGACGTCTAGTATCAGGCGAAAACGTCCGCCCAGTACCGCGTGCCCTTCATCTTGCTCACCCATTCAATGGCATCCTCTTCAGACGCCCCCTTAGCTTCGATATAGATCTTCTTCATGACATCGTCGAGTTCAGCACCTACGACGCCCGCCCCACACATGTACACCTGAGCATTTTGCACAAACAGCTTCTTTGCATCTTCTCGGTCGTGCCACACGCGATCTTGAACATGTCTACAGCCGAAAGTCTTGTCCGTGTCGCGTGAGTACGCGCGTCGCACCTCGACAGCACCCAGCTCTTCCCACCTTGCAAATTCATCCGCATAGAGATCATCCGCGGCTGGCGAGCCGCAGCCGTAAAACAAGAGAGCCGGGGCGAGTTTCCTGCGTGATTCGATCTTCAAAGCTCGTTCCTGCACAAATGCCCGAAACGGAGCGAGGCCAGTGCCGGCGCAGATCATGAGGACCGGTGTGCTGTCGTTGGCGGGGAGGTGGAAGCCACTGTGACTGGGCCGCACAGCAACATGAATCCAATCTCCTGGTTCACGGGCGCGAAGGTAATTGCTCGACACCCCAAGGAAGCGGCCATGGTCGGGATCCTGACCCCGTCTTGGGGCGTCCAAGACTGTGTAGGTGATGGAGCACTTGGAAGAATCCTGCAGAGGCGAGGACGAGATGCTATACTGTCGAATCCGCATTGGGGGAAGAGCCTCGAGAAACTGCCCCAACGAAAATTGCGCAGTAGGGTACATCTCGAGAATGTCAAGGAGGCTGGTGTTTTTTTCGAGGACCTCTTGCTTGTAGTCTCCGTCCGACAATTTTTGGAGCTGCGCCTTCGAGTCCTCCTCAGGGACACTTTCGGCAACTTTCTTGACCTGCTTCGAAGTAGCCGGCTGAGACAACTCGACAAGTGCAGATAGAACTTCGAACAGTGACGTGGCCCTTTCGGTAGGGAGTGCCGTGTGTGACTCTCCACTGATCTTGATCGTGGCATCCCATGGAAGGTGGAACCTGGACATCGCTCTTCGGACGTTCCTCAATGGATTCCATGGGAGTACGGCCAGGTAGTCACCTGCCTTGTAGGACATTCCAGAGGGCAGCTGAATCTCCATATGTCGCCTCTGAGGAGCACCCGGGGCCGTCAAAAGTTTCGTATCTAGAACCAGCGCTTGTTGTAAATCCTGACGAAGCAGACTCGGTCTTGTCTGAGCCGACACTTCAATATCCAAACCCTCGTGAGAATCCGCTTTATTATTGGCTTTCGACTCGAACGCTTTTGCGATTGCTGGCCACAACTTTTCGTCCTGCCAGGTATCATATGTGTCGAACAGCGCACCGTCATTTGCATCAGCAGCCCCTCTTTCAACGACACGCTCGCCTCCACGCTGCATCAGAAGATCGTCTATGAGCGTCGGGATTTTCTGATATGTGTGCTGCCAATCACCTAGAACGAAAGAACATTGGTAGTTGTCCGTAGAAAAAAGATGTTTAGTACCTACGGTTTCCGCATCCGAAAACTGCGTATTTCAAGCCTGTGAGAGGCAACTCTTGGAGACTTTTCAACCAAGAGACGAAATGAACGGCATTGTCCGGTGGTTCTCCTTCATAGCTTGACGTGACGATTACAACAGGCCCGTCTCTCGGCAGTACACCAATTGCCTCATCCAAGATCTGCACCTTGGGAACGAAACCATGAGAAGAGGCAGAGGCGGCTAATGAGGCAGCCATACTTTCACAGGTACCCGTGTTTGATCCGTAAAATATGGATAGTAAAGGCTTCGTTGCCTGGACAGGATGATCAGGTTCATTACTCTGCCGTGCTTTTGGCGTCCCAGACTCGGAAGGTTGATTCAACTTGCCATTTAGACTGGCTTCGAAATCAGGGTGTCGAACTTTTGCGCGCATGTAGAAGCCTTTGGGCTTAATGGTCAATGTCGATTGAATCTGCAGCTGATAGGCGGGATCGGCGAGGCTCAGGTCGAAATTCTGGAATAACATAGCCACGGCGAGCAAAGATTCCTGCCAGGCAAACGGACGGCCAATACAAGCTCTGGATCCATTTCCGAAAGGCTATGACATGTCAGTTCAGAAGACACTCCCAACTTTATAGAGGATGGCCCACCTTCCATGAGTTCGGTGGAAGTTCACTGTAGGGTTCATCCAGCATCCTCTCGGGTTTGAATGCTTCTGCATCTTCGCCATACACTGCTGGGTCTCTGTGAGCGGCCATGACGAAACACACAACTGGCGTATCTTTGGGTAGTAGATACTTCCCACCAATGATTTCATCTTGTTTCGGACTAACAGTAAACGCTGGGGCCGTTGGGTGAAGGCGAAGCGTCTCTCGCAAGCAGGCGTTAATATACCGCAGCTTGGATAGATGCTTGGCTGTAATTGACCCCTTGCCAACTATCTCGTCCACCTCGTCCTGTGCTCGTCTGTATGCTTGTGGGTTCTTGAGGAGTTCATAGAAGAGGAATGACAGCAAGCCAGAGGTTGTTTCGTGGCCTATTCCCAGCGAATGAGCTCCCGAAACAATAGTAGATCGACGTACTACGTAGTACTTGTACTTACCGGCTATTAGAAAGGTAATCATGTTGTTGACGATAGAGTCTTCGCTGAGGTGTTCGCCTGTTTTGGGGTCCTTGTTGAGGATCATAGCGTTCAGGAGATCTGCTTTGTCGATGGGGTTCTTGCGACGCTCTTCGACTACATCTGAAGCTATCTTTGCAAGGAGACTGATATCATCGTGGTATTTTTGGTTGGCTGATCTGTATAGAAAATCGGCGAAGGCTGGTCGACGTGCTCGTTCTCCAGCGGCAACCAGCAATCCCACCATGGCTTTGACGAAAGGGTGGAGATCCTCGGTATAGAAAGAATTGAACCGAGTACCCATGGCGCAACTGAAGATCAGTCAGCGTGCAAACCCCTCAAATACGGCGCGGGTGCGCAGTGGCTCACAGTGCAATCGAGTCTAACGTTAGCCTCGTGAAGTCGTCTGTGACGTGGATCGCATGTTCAGGTCCGTATCGTGCCCACTTCAGAACCAACTGAGTAGCTATATCATACATTTCTAGTCGATCGGATTAGAAATGTTTTGAGTCAGGCTGGACAAGCCGCAGCGAATAGGTCGCATACCGTCGAACATGTTGCTGATAGGCATCGGTCCAAATGCAGGCATCAAGGCCCGATGAGCAACTTCCCAATTGTGCTCTCCTGGGAAAGCCGTGAACAAGCCATCATGGACAGCGCCACGGATCTGCAGTAATGCTCCAGTGACGGCTTTTTGAAAACGTTTTTCGTCGCACATCTCGTTGACGAGCTGCTGGGAACAGACAAATACGCGGTCATGACCCCCTAAAGTCAACTTGAAGATCTCGCCTGGAAGATAGCGATGTGTATTAGTCCCCAGCAATCCCTATCAAAAGGCTGTGGTGCCGCTCACCGTATTGTGCCGATAGGTTCATAAGGCTAGTCATGGGAAACTCGGCATCGAGATCAAGAGCATTGCCCAGTATCGGCAGAGGCCGAGGGGCCGGGATGGGTTCTGCCATGACAAGACCTGATAAAATCTAGCCGCTGCGCGGAGACAAGTCTGAGGATGAGACCGATACTCCAGAAGTATTCAAGGTCTCTTATACCTACCCCGTATCCAAGGCCATCTTATAACGCAAAGTCGGACCTGAACCCATTGGCAGGCATATAATTAGATGTTTGTCGAAGCTACTGATGGGGAGGCATTCGATAGTTGGGAAGTAAGGTCCGTGCTCTTCGTATCTCCATCATACTTTCAGCTGAAAGGACGTCGGTTTACGTGGTGGCGACAACAAGCGAGGAATGCGTATAGTAACACCTTTTACGCTCTTCACGTTGGCTAGTAAAAAGGCGTGACCCCGAGAATTGCCAGTCCATGCGGTAGCTTTGACCAATTGACGTCCACTAGCATGAGACACGTTCCATCTTTTTGGCGAAACCTCGTCTGCGCTTTCCAGCTCTGGTAGTAAGTCAACCACATCTTGAAGCCCGGGAACTTGGCGGTGTCCGTGCTTCGTAACCTCGGATTTACGGCTGGTTCGGATAGTGTGAGGCCATATAGTACGCTTTAGCCGCAGCCTCATGGTTCCGAGGAAAGTAAGCCCGCCGTGCAAGAACGTTACTGAAAGTAATAGTAGCACCTTACAACCTGTCGACACGATGAAACTGGAAGGCAGCTTAGATCATGCCGATGCATCATCTATGAAGTCGATCATTGCAAACCTGCGACCGAATCTTCAGCAATACGAGTCACTGTACAAAAGGATTCATGCGAATCCAGAGCTCTCTCACCAGGAATCGGAGACAGCGGCGTTGATCGAGCACTTTCTAAGGGACCTGAGCCCAAAGTTTGAAATTCGCACCAAAATTGGAGGCCACGGGTTGATTGCAATTCTGCGCCATGGGCCGGGGAAAACCGTGCTGCTCAGGGCAGACATGGATGCGCTTCCAGTAGCAGAGAAGACTGGCCTCGACTATTCGAGCCGACGTAGTCAACTCGATGCGCAGAGGAAGAAAACAGCCGTCATGCATGGTAAGTCAGGTCTCCCAACTTGTCGTCTGCTTCGCACTTGTTCCTGATTGACTGACACCCGTCTAGCCTGTGGACATGATATGCACGTTGTATGTCTCTTAGTCGCTGCTGAGACGCTCCTAGCAGCACACGATTTATGGTCTGGAACGATAGTATTCCTATTCCAGCCGGCCGAGGAGGCGGGCGATGGTGCACTCGGCATGGTCGATGACGGCCTTTTCGACCCAATTCGTCATGCTTGCCCGCTTCCGGATATGGTATTGGCACAACACGTTGCTCCCATCCGAGCCGGGATGGTGGTGACCAAGCTTGGCCCTATCATGAGCTCGTCGGACAGTCTCAAGGTGACAATTTTCGGCAGGGGCGGGCATGGCAGCATGCCGCATCGTTGTATTGACCCGGTGGTCATCGCAAGCCATATTGTGGTGCGGCTGCAGACAATAGTGAGTCGAGTCGTAGCTCCGGACGCGGTTGCTGTGATCACCGTTGGCTCCATCCATGCCGGCGAAGCAGACAACGTGATCTGCGACCAAGCTTTCTTCACCGTCAACATCCGGACTCTGGACGAGACAGTGAGGCAGACAGTCCTCGAAAATGTGAAGAAGACGATTACCGCAGAGTGTACGGCGGGCAACTGTGAAAGGCCACCTCAAATCGAACACTGCATGAGTATACCCCTTACTTCAAATACAGCAGCTCCGCATCAAGAGCTTTGTCATGTGTTCCGGGAGTATTTCTCCCCATCCTTCCAAGTGGCAGAAAAGAGTAGCTTGGCAAGCGAGGATTTCAGTATATTGGCGTCGTCCATTGGAAAGCCATATTACTTCTGGCTCTTTGGTGGCACAGAATCTAAGCTTTGGGATTCACTCATGGCGTCCAACCAGCTTGAAAAACTCCCCATCAACCACAGTCCCGAGTTCGCTCCTGCTATTCATCCTACCATGCAAACAGGTGCAGATGCGATGACGGTGGCTGTCCTTGCGATCCTTCGAAAATGATCTGAATGCGGCAGAAATCCCAGGCATGAAAGGGTGTCTTTTTCCAGCGCAGGACGGGAGAAGATGCGGGAGCATCTATCAACAGCCATTCTGTGCATGCCGACCAATATTTTGCGACTGACAGTAGAGCAAGAAGTAGACGTTATGACGAACTGATTCGGCGAAGTGGAGGGGTGCGGAGGGCAAGTTAGGCGATTAGGCTTAAAAGCGGCAGGCCTTGCACATCAGGTAGAATTCACTTGGCTTAAGGCGGCAAGGTTGCGGCTGAAATCGGTATTTTGAGATCCCAAAAAGTCCATGACGTCGTGACAGAACGAGGCGTGAGCGTTTGTCGTTGAAATGCAAAATTCCACAGCAGCCTTGAAAATGAACTTGTCTGAGCCTCCTTGTAAGTACCAGTGTCCAGGGCTGCTCCTGGAAAATCTGAAAACCGACTTCGGATGATCAGTTCTCCTGTGAGATTGGGATCAGTGCTACCATTGAGACCGAATGTATTGAGTCTTACCCCTAGACCTCGTCTTACGCCGCCATCACGGGCCCTTTCGTTGTCATTGACCGCAATGGCTAAACGGAAGAGGTCTTCCCTTCCTGATGCTGACACCACTGTCTTTACGCCAAAGACATTGCCAGTCAATGTCGCCTCTGTGGCCTCGAACATGATGCCTCCCAAACCAGTCCGACGGACTAGCTCACGAAGAGCTTCCACCCAAGTTCCTCCTGCCGATATCGATACAAATCCGTTAACGAATGACAAGATCAAGGATGGGAAAGACGCTCTTCGAGCATCACCAGATGCCGAGGAGCCAAGTGCAAGAAGGAAGAAGAGAAAGACCACGGCAACAAAAGGGAAAAAGGAGGCTGAAGCCGTCGGAGGGGATGCAGAAGTTGAACAACCTGCAAGGCCTGCAAAAACTGCAACGCCTACCAAGAAAGCTGCGAAACAGGATGATGTGGACCGTGGAGATCCAGAAGCAGAGGGCGAAGAAGATGCAGATCCTGAAGAGATCAAGGAAGCATTATCACGACGACCACCAGTCAACAGTTCCTACCTACCCCTACCGTGGAAGGGACGTATAGGCTACGCCTGTCTCAATACCTACCTTCGATCCTCAAATCCGCCGGTTTTCTCCTCGCGAACATGCCGCATTGCATCCATTCTTGAACACCGTCATCCTCTGAAAGACCCGACGCAGCCTGAGCACGCGACCAAGAATCGCCCAGACAAAGACCGGCCCGCAGACATAGCCCGAGGCCAAGCATACGTGGAAGCGCTCGGTCTGGCCAATGCTCGAGACATACCTAAGATGCTGCGATGGAACGATAGGTACGGCATAAAGTTCATGCGTCTGTCGTCGGAAATGTTCCCCTTTGCAAGTCACGATGTATATGGGTACAAGCTTGCTCCATTTGCATCAGAGACATTGGCAGAAGCAGGAAGTGTTGCAGCTGAACTCAGCCACCGCCTGACGACCCATCCTGGGCAATTCACTCAGCTTGGCTCACCTCGCGGAGAGGTTATCACCGCTTCGATCCGCGACCTTGAGTACCATTGTGAATTGCTTGACCTCCTAAAGCTCCCTGAACAGCAAGATCGCGATGCCGTGATGATCTTACACATGGGTGGCGTGTTTGGGGACAAGGCTGCCACCCTCGAACGATTCAAGGAGAACTACCAGAAGCTTCCTCAAAAGATCAAAGATCGCCTTGTCCTCGAAAACGATGATGTGTGCTACGGTGTCCACGACCTTCTCCCTGTGTGCGAAGAGCTCAACATTCCGCTGGTCCTCGACTACCATCACCATAACATTGTCTTCGACGCCGACAAAATCCGCGAAGGAACTTTGGACATCATGAATCTGTATCCCCGCATCAAGGCCACTTGGACCAGAAAAGGAATCACGCAGAAGATGCATTACTCTGAGCCGACGCCATCAGCCATCACCGCGCGACAACGACGCAAACATAATCCGCGTGTAGCAACTCTACCTCCCTGCGCGGCAGATATGGACCTGATGATCGAAGCCAAGGACAAAGAGCAAGCTGTCTTCGAGCTCATGCGGACATTCAAGCTCCCCGGCTTCGACACGTTCAACGACATTGTTCCACACGTTCGCAATGACGAGAACAAGCCATGGAAAGCACCGAAGAAGCCCAAAAAGATGCCAAAGAAGAAAAAGTCCAAGGCCGCGGAGGAGGAAGCGGAGGACGAGCTTGAAGACGCTGAGCCTGAAGCGCAACCACCTCCAGTCATTCCAGACGAGGAAGTCGGCATGGGCGGGCCTGAAGGCCGCGTCTACTGGCCTCTAGGCATGGAGGAATGGCTGCGTCCAAAGAAGCGGGAAGTCAAGCCACGAGACCCGGAGAAGGCTAAGACGACCGCCGAGCGTGCCGCAGCGCGTAGGGCGGAGAAGGCAGCATGGCAGGCTGCTCAAGAAGCCGGCAACGCCGTCGCTCTCACTGACACCCCAGCCAGTGCATCTGCATTTGCATCGGAGATTGTAGACGGCAACCCCAGTCTCGACCTCGAGAAGACCCAGTCTGTGTACAGTGTGGCGAAGAACAAGAAACCCGCCCGAGCGCCTCGGTCTGGAGGGAAGGAAAAAAGCGCAAAGTCAGTGCCTACGCCGAGCGAGAGCGAGCTCTCTGAATTGAGTGACGAGGGCACCGAGCAGGATGTCGACATGTCTGATCTGACTGATGCTGAGGAGATTGCGGCTCCAGTGGCCAAGGGCAAGAGAAAAGCGCCAACGCGGGCAACAAATGGGCGGAGTGTGAAGCGAAAGGCTGTCAACTATGCTGAGGGCGACGAGGACTGGGATTAAGTGAAAGTAGAAGTTATCGTGCACATTGAAGATACACTTGTCGTGCTCTGGTGGTACCAGCACCAGCAACTTTTGGACTGCTGACGACACCCTACCGTCTGCGTCAATGGCCACTCCATCATCCTACATCTCAGTTCCGTATCGTTGACTATTACCGTACAATTCGTAAGTCGTCACCTCCTTCAATCGTGGAATCCCATAGCGACGCTGGTCTCGCTCCAAGTGTTGTACAGTACATACCGGAACCGCCTGGATCGTAACTGCAAAAGTTTCGTACGACTTTTCCTGGTATCATATCATAAGTTCATAGTCCGTCAAGGTCTGACACACACATAACGCCCAAGTCCCACATGTCATGATAGACTCAACCTCCCTTGAGTGTCCATGATCCAAGCCACCATGGTCTCCCACCAAGGCTTCCTCTCAGAGAGGGGTTTGGCGTCGGTCTCGTCCGGATCGTCTTCGATTCCAGCCTCATCGAGCCAACTCCAAAGCTTCTCGGTCACATGCCACACAGGCGGATCGTTTCCTCTTGGTCCCATCAGCAAGGGACAGAACTGTCCGACGACGACGGCACGATGCTCGGGCTCGACCGCGATGAACCCGGTGATTGCGAGCCCGTACAGGGTGTCCTGCGCAGTATAAAGAGGCCCGTCTAAGGGCAGATAGTCTGTCCACCTGACCAAGGTCCTCAGCCTGCTCTGCACGTCGGGGTGCCTGCGCGGTTTTCGAAACAGCCTGCACAGGATATAGATCTGAGCAGCAAGGACGTAGGAATCGGCGTTCAGTGCGACACTTAGAGCAGCCGTGCGGACTTTTCCATTCTCGTCCTTGTCTGCTTCACAGGCTTGGGCCAGTTGCTCCGTGGTCGAAAATGGTTGAGGCAGGAGATCCGACCACTGCTGAAAATTGGTCAACGACTCGAGGATGACCTTCCCAGCCTTCTGGATCGGTATGGAATCGGGGTTTTCGTGCAGCTGGCCGCAAAGTCGAGTGATCTGCGTGAAAATGTGCAGAATCTTCGCAGAGCAGCCAGCCAGGCCTGTGACTCTCCTTACTTCCCTTTCATTACCCTCGAGGAGCCACCTGAAGGGATGTTCTTCGGTATCTGGCTTCAATGGCGCGAGTGTATCGCAGAGGATGAGACTTTTCATCTGATAGTGGCTCATGACGTAGCGATTGTTGGTGCTTTGCACATTGATGGGATGTTTGTACCGATACCCGGGGTCCGAACTGTCAAGGAGATATTTGACTGCAAGATTGCCTTGGTACCATTTGGGCTGTCTCTTGGTGGATTCCCTGGTTTCCCAATTGACGATGTCCTCGTGGTTCAGCAGCGACAACGCCATCAACAGCGGTTCCTCCTTACCCGGTTCATAGTTCTCCTCCTTGCCAAGCTCAAGACCAAGAAGCATCACCGCGCGTTTGTGGTGGTAGCTTGCTCGCCGCTTGAGCTTGTCCGAGGGAGCATAATCGAGAACATAGCCGGCTGCGCAGGACAGCATGGCGTGCTTCACGCACTCCGATTTCTCGGCGATGGCTGGTATGCCTGTAAGCCAGACGTTTGAAGCTGGCAGCAGAGTCCTCCCGGCACAATATGCGACAACGTCTGTCATTGTCAGCTTTCTTTCGAAGTTACTGGAGCCACGGCTTACAGAACTTGAAGAGTCGTTGGTCCATCGAATTCAGATTCAAACCCCGACCAAAGTCAGGCGGCAGGTAAGAGACTTCACCGACCTTGGTTTTCAACTGATCGTTGTACTCCTTCCGGTATTTGGTGAGGACTTGCTTCGTGCTCTGAGGCATGTTCGGATCATTGAATTGCAGATGGAACTTGACCAGCCCGTTGACACGGACCTGCTTCGGAATGACAACAGGGTCAAAGATTGAAGTGAGACGAGGATGGTCTGGTATTTCTGACAAGTCTCCCATTATGAATGGATTCGGAATCGCCAATTCGACAACCCTGTCCAGTGGCGACGGCAGAGAAGGGGCAGACCCAGGCCAGAGCTCTTCAAGGACGCTGGAGGCATGACTGTCGTCCGAGAATGAATGCACTTCGTCTGGTGATCTGTCAGCAGTGCAACATGGGTATCGTCGAGGTCCGACCAACCGATGCTGCCTTCGTCACGTTTTCGTTTATGAGACGTGGTGGCAGGTGATAAACTCGAGATTTGGCCGTCATCATCGAGGACCGTGAACAGCCTTGCTGTCTCCCAGAAATCATCTTGCTCGAAGTTGTGGTGCTCTAGCAAGGTCTGTGCGAGTGAAGCATTCGTTAGACTATTGCGTCTCGGTCTTTTTGAGGAGTGGAATGGAGCCATCATGACATGAGCCGTGCTTCAGAGCTTGGGAATCGGGGTCACCAACTGATGGGCTCGAAGATGGGGTGCCCCAGTATTAAACGCTCCGGCTTCCGGGTCAGTCACCAGGTTAGGATTGGGGTTCGGCCCGCCACGCAGCGGGTAGAGGTGGAGGGTGCTGGGTCGGGTAGGCTGACTACTACCTAAGTTAAGTACTTGACAGAACGACGTCTTGTTCTTGAACACCCAAGGCAACCACGCGAGTCCAGCCTTGCTACCACAACAACTTCATCGAGATACGATCGAGTGCCCAATCAATACGAGAAGCAAGAGGGCGGATGACCACCTGTCCTGAATACGGCGAGTTCAGGAGCCCAGGTCCAAAGGTGAGGGGTTGACATGGTACTGTTGTCAGCCCCCTCGCCTCACTACCAGAGGTGGCCTTGAGCGGCTCAAGCCTGTCCTCAGCTTGCGTATATCCTAGCTGTTACCAATGGACAACCTGGCTTGATGCCCGCGCGAAGAGGCTTCTCCGTGTTCTCCTCAAAGCGGCTGCACCATTCCAGAAAGAGGGCCAATTGGGCAGCATCGACCCCGGAGCTGCAGGCAAAAGCATGTTTCGCCTGCTACCCAATGCTGCCCTGCATCCAACCTGCCCTGTCCGTCGCCCACTGGCCTTCTCTGAGTCTAGCTCTGTTCTCTCCTTATGATCTCTTTTCTCGACCAGAATCCTCCTTGCGCTGCAACGTACATCGCCTAGGTTTGATGCAGTGTCCACATTCGATATCTCCACAGCCACAAGTACGCCATGATGTCTACATCCACGCACCATCGAGCGGATTCCCGAACGTCGAGCACTCCAAATGCAACTGGGAATGACATCTCTGAGATTGGTCCTGCCGCACAATTGCATTTGCTCCGGGCTCTGGTTGATGTCAAGGTGGCCCGGAGTGACTTTTCCCCAGACGACATCTCACACCTTCACATGAACGCTGTCACTACAGATTTGTTCTGGAGCACTTCGGATCCTGACCCATGCAGTTGTCTACTGGAGGCTCTCGGCACATTCCTCACTCAGGTGATGGGAGTGTTGTCTCAAATCTCTGTTTCTTTGACCAACGGCCCGCACATTTCCGATTACATCGAAAGCTATATAAAAAGTGTCTCCAGAGAGGATGATTTCTCAGACACATCAGTCGTGACTTTCCTCGACCAAAAGCTACGCCTATTGCAGTATGTACTCTGGAACCATGTCCAGACAATGTTGACGCTGATTGAAGCTAGAAATCTTTCGACTGAGCTTGGTAGGGTCAGCAATACCTGTGAAGAGATCTGGTCCGGCAGGCCATTGCATCAACCTGGTTGGAAATTACCTTCTCGCGCGCAATTACATGCTCAACCTGCCACACCCGCAGGTTCATATTTCACCCCTGGTTACCAACCTTTAAATCAGGGGGCCATGCCTGATATCTACGCCCCCACCTATGCTGGGAGGCCAGCAACTCAGAGTGACTCGAAGACTTTGTTGTCTAGAGGGAAGGGAAAGCACATCTGCCATTTCGGTCATAATTGCGACAAAGGTGGCGTCCGAGACGACGGGTCGCTAGTGGTGTTTGAGCGCAACTCGGCGTTCAGGTGAGCAAAGCTGAACCCTGCTGCCCCTATGTCTCCCTCTCCTCATATTCCCCATCCACCCTTTCCACACTCTGCTCGCCTCCCAATCCTTTTCTCACCGGCGCTCACGCCATTCCAAAACGCGTGAGCTGCGGACATCGCTGACGCATCAATCTCTTCGAAGAACCCACATGGCGAAACACGAGAGGAAATACAAGTGTGATCTCCCAGGGTGCACTAATACGACAGGATTCGCGAGACCTGATCAGCTCGAGCGTCATCAACAGACTGTGAGACACCATTCAACGAGATAGCCGCCTTGGGGTGAGAGGCTTGTGTGAATGCCCGGAGTGCTGCACTAGAGGGACTTGTACAGAAGAGATGACTTTGGGCCGTCCAGTATGAGCAAGGCTGAGAGCACAGGGCTCTGTTGGATGTGGGTTGCCAGACACAAGTGATAGGTGAATATCAATGACGTCCTACTGCTTTGCATGATGCTTCTTGGGTGGTATTCTGACCAAGGTCAGTAAAAAAATCAGAGCGATTAGCGACGATCAACATGTTTTCCCCCGCCGTATCAACGCCGAAACCATCAGTCATGCTCGGTCCCGGTATAACTTCGTGCACAGTAAGTCTAGCCATGCAGAGGACTTACGGAAATTCCCAGCCTGGCATCGAAGCGAGTTGTTTTCGGAAGGCCAAGTTCCAGACCATGCATGGCCAGGACATGTTCGGCCAATGGAAACGGTTGCTATCTCGGTTTGACCTCCCCCTGCTAGCCTCGTGGACAGCTACCCCTGCTTGTTTTCTCTTTCGCTAGACCACACATGGACCTGACTCTCATTTCACTAACCAGGAACGTCGTTGGCGTTGTTTCCTCCAGAGCAATTCCGATATCAAATTCCCCGGCCTTGGTCTGAAGCAACTGTCGAGCACTTCAAACATGGCTTCGAGTGATGTAAGGCGTCGAGAAAGGATTGCGGGGAGAGCGCATCAGCGAGGCACAATGAGGTAGTATGTCGCAAAAGTGGTAGAATGACTTAAGTCCTAATATAGCCGGCTGCTACCACAGATGCGAAGCCGACAAGTATATGTACGCAGAGAGACCCAGGCTTTCACATAAAGTTACCATCAGCATACATTCTTCAGAGCAAGGGTTGAATCACTTGCAAATCCAGGACACCTGTTACTCCTAGTGAACTTTGTGCTGACTTACCTCGCCACGACCCAGCTCCTCGGCTTGCAGCACTGAGCTGGCCAACGCCCCTCGTTCCTCCCTCTGTTGGACCCAGAATCAACCTCACTGGGACTCTCCCTTAGTTTTGAATGGGAAGTAAGCTGCCATAAACATGCCATCATTCGAATTCAGCATCCAGACCCACCACCATCACCAAGATGGCCACATCCTACATGTCAAGGAGCAGGAAAAAGGACAGTTCAGCGATGACAACGCCTCCAATGTCAGTATCCCTCACCAATACAAGTCCAGAGGCAGAGCTTGCCAACTGCATCTTCATCTACACTGTCCTGGAACGACATCTCATCTGTCAGATGACCTCGATTGTCTCCCAAAGCTTAGCCGTTCACGCGTAGCTTCTCAACGGACGACCAACCAGCGCACTGAGCGCAGCTTCTCCAAAGGCTTGCGTGCAGAGCGCGCTCGATCGATGGCAGGTCTTCGCTCCTCGAGAGCCAGCTCTAGAAGGACTGGCCGCGGCTGCCTGCTCGATCATGTTCCCGACAATCTTACCTACAGCATGGGCCGCTTCATGGACGAGGCTGTACCTTTGTTCCAGGTTGCTCAAGGACCGGATGATCTAGCGACAAAGACGACATGCCGCACCAATAGCATCTTTGGTCACAGAACCACATCGCAAGGCTACAGAACATCGACCCAGGAAGAGAACAGTGCTGGCGACATTCTTTTGGAGGCCGGTTCCTGGACAAACGAGTCATATCTCTCTGCCTCAGACCTCAAGGAGAAGGGAACTGAGGATTTCGGAACCCTTCACGGCTCTTGAAACAAGGAGGCCTCTTACAGTTCATTTGGTTTGGACGATACCATTGGAGTTCTGGGGTTGGATATTATTTGCAGATCGCCGTAATTTGGCCATCTGCCTGAGCTTGTGTGCCAGAGGTGCTCCGTCAGGGTCGAGTAACACTGTGACCCGAGACGAGAAGATGCGTTTGCACCTGGCTGTTAGGTAACTTCGATACGCTTACCTTAATTTTTGAGACCATTGCAATGATTCAAATCTGGCCTTCAATGGCGTATTTTGCAGACCCTTGGCTTGCGGGTGGAGCGCTGCCATTGTCTAACGCGTGTAGCTCTCGTTCTCAACCTCAATCCGCGTTGTCGTGGATAATTTGTTGCCGACTGAGGCACATTGCTCTGCCAACGTGAAGGTCGTAAGGCCCTCGACCCCTTTTGCGGAGAACTTGACAACTCAGTTAGTCAGAGGTAGCGTGAGCTAAGTCAGTGCTAATCCTAGAGCTAGACAAGTATTGACCAATATGGCAAGTATACCGACGCCGCCAATAACCCCGACAACAAACCTGCCAACACATCGCAGAGAAAAAGAGAGAACATGATTCCAGCACTGGGTGCGACACACCAGGACGGAACAGCACTTGGTGGAACGATAGTTCATGACAAACAGAGCGGGAGTTAACGGCGGGAAAAGACCTTGCACAAAGCGTTTCTGGTCTTTCACTGCTGCAGGATGTTACTGGTCATTTGGTACGGGCGAGTGATTGGCGTGCCTCGCATTCGGGCTTCGAAAGAGAAAACTTGGAGAGAACAAGTCGTCTCAGCCAATCATTGCAAGTATCCCTGTCCAACACCTCCCTTTGAGATATATCAGGGCGATCCAGAGGTTCACTGTGCACCCCTTCACAGCGCCAGCAATGTCGGGCGTCACGGAAATGCACCAGGGTTCGGTCATCATCATAGGCGCAGGCGTCTTTGGAGCCTCAACCGCCCTTCACCTTTCTCGCCGGCACCCTTCGTACACTATAACGGTATTCGACTGTTCGCCCTTCCCATCTCCTAGGGCAGCTTCTTCAGATATCAACAAAATTGTCCGGGCCGCTTACTCCGACCTCAGTTTGTGTCGTCTAGCGGCCAGAAGCCACGAGATCTGGAGAAATGATTCTCTGTTCAGCAAATTCTACCATGAGGCTGGCATGCTCTCCATCCGGCCCTACAAAGGTGGAGCAAGAGCAATCCTGGAGAACTTCAAGCGCTTAGGCATCAACCAAGAAGCGAGAATTGTAACTCCAGAAGATGTCCGACAGAGATTCAATGGGATTTTCAAGGAAGCCAACTTCAACACGGTCGAGGAGTTTCTGTGGGAACCCAATGCTGGTTGGGCAGAAGCAGCCAGGGCGCTCGCTGCCACGATGCAGGCTGCAATTGATAATGGCGTCAAGTACGTCACTAATGGTGTCTCGAAACTCCTTGTCACTGCTGGTCATTGTCATGGAGTCGAGCTCGTCGATGGCAGCAAACATCACGCACAGAAAGTCTTGCTGTGTGCTGGAGCGGACACTGCTCGAATCCTCGCCGAGAGTTCGCCGGATGACTCTGGTCTGCACGCCGGTCCTCGTTTTGTTGCTGGCGCCATCATTGAAGCAAAGGTGAGGTTGAGTCCAGACCAAATGGAGACATACAAGAGCACGCCAGCTGTGCTATGGGATGCTGACCCGGCCAGAGGTCAGTTATGTATGAGCCGAAACACTACTCGTTGACTAAAAACAACGTTCAGGAGAGACTATGCCGCCGACGTTGGATGGCTACTTGAAGTTCATTCGAGACATTCCTCTTGCTAACACTGTTCTCCATCCTGCCTCGAACACCAAGATCTCGGTAGCACCGGACAATGCTGAGGGCACTGAATGGACTGCACCTGAGAACATTCCAGTACTCCTGCGCGAGGAGATGAAGACGGTGATTGCTGGTATTTTCGGTGTCGACGCCGCTGCGGAGCTACAGCCCGAGCAGTTGCGATTATGTTGGTGAGTCTTTGATCCCAAATCGGTTTCCTACTTGCCGATGTTCGGCTATGAGGGATCATCAGTGTAAACCCTCGTCTGACATACCGTCGCTACAGGGAACCCCTAGCCCCGGACGAGGCCTGGTTCGTCACACCTCATACGCGGTGCCAGAACCTTTACATTGCCACGGCCGGCTCTGGACATGCCTGGAAGTTCCTGCCCATACTAGGCGAATTCACGGTGCGCATGATGCTGGATCCAAAAGGGTGGGAAGCCGATGAGCTTGCTAAGGCATGGGCATGGGATCGTGAGCTTGTAGATAGTCCAGATGAGGATGTCATTCCGCGAAGACAGCTGGCCAATATGAGATAGATTCAGTTCCTCCCTTCCCGAAGAGCAAGAAGCTCTCGCCATCAGGGGGGACACCATCATTTACCCGCAGCCTCGTCACGTGCGTCACGTGAAGATGCTTGGCGACAAGGCTTCAGCCTTTTCCCTTTTGCTTCTCCATTTTCCATGCTTCGTTTGCCTACACAGTACGGGACTCCGCCTCTTTTTGATGCACCAGCAAATGCACTATCTCTTAGTTTCTTCTGGTCTTTGACCAACAAGAATCTTTCCATGAGTCGTCTATATCTTGTGTCCGAACGACAGAGAACTGTTCAGGTCCACTTTGCTGACAAGACCCTCATAAAACCTTTCAGCTAAGCTTCCGTGACTGACATTAGCAACACTGTCACCAGGGCGAAGAGTCTTTGAAGGCTGGCTCGAGATCCTTCCGCGCCCGCGATTCCCACCAACGGCTGGCTAGAAAATGCCCGGGGAATGTTGAGCTTGGACTTCAAGGTGAGCAATTCTCCGGGCAGGAAGCGGCGCCACGTCCGCTCAGGCCATCCTTTGGCCTCATCCCGAACACCTCAGGTTTGTATCCAGATCAACATGATGTTCGAGCTTCATCCACGTAACCACCCCGCCGCTCATGAAAATTCGAAATGGTAGGGACGTGACTTGACGTGGCTATTTTGTGGATTTGTTGATATCGACCTGAGATAAAGGCGAAGCCTCATGTCACTTCTTCTACCAAGCTTTTCACACTCTAGTCTCTGCAAGTACAGCCAGGTCCCCATCCTACTGACTTGCAGGTTCTCATCACATTCATATATCTGTGCCTGCCTACCTGCTGACTGTGCAATAATACAAACGGAGCTGTCCAGCTTGTTTTATTGCATTCTACCATACCAGGAACCCTTCTCCCTCCCCCTTCTCCCTCCCCCTTCACCCTCCTTCTCAAACACGCTCTCACCATGTCACGTCACTCACGCACCTCATTCATCATCTCCTCCCTGCTCACCTGTCTACCCCTCTGCATCCAAGCACATATGCAAATGAGCTGGCCCTATCCACTCAGAAGCCCCCTTGACCCCAATGTGCCTTACTATGACAAAGACTACTCTATGACCTCTCCCTTACTGGCCGACGGATCGGATTTCTCCTGCAAGCACTACCAATACACGACCGGAACGAACGCCTACGACAACGCGGACGTGATCAAGGCCACCTACTATGCGGGAAACACCTACAACATGACCATCGCTGGAGCGGCACCTCACCATGGAGGCTCCTGCCAATTATCTCTGTCTTATGACAATGGAGTTACCTTCAAAGTCATCAAGTCGATGATCGGTGGCTGCCCCATTACCCTGACGTACGACTTCACAATCCCCAGTTATGCGCCAGCCTCGGATTCCGCCATATTCTCCTGGTCCTGGTTCAACCTTGCCGGCAACAGGGAGATGTACCAAAACTGTGCTCGTGTCCAGATTGTCAGCAACCCCAGCCAGAAATACCGACGAAGTCTGTGGAATCGACAAACTTCCATATCCGAACTCCCGGACATGTTTGTGTGTAATGTGGACAATGGCTGTACGACCATCGAAGGGAGTGAAGTGGTCTTTCCAGATCCCGGAAACGATGTCGTCTATGGCCAGGACCTTGTTGCTGCAAACCCCGGCCCTGGATACACCATCACCGGAACCTCCTCTAGCACCAGCGCTGCTGAAACTGGATCTTCGACTTCTTCGTCAGCTATTGAAACTGGATCTTCGACTTCTTCGTCAGCTATTGAAACTGGATCTTCGACTGCTTCATCAGCTATTGAAACTGGATCTTCGACTTCCTCGTCAGCTATTGAGTCTCCTGTGTCGGCTACTGCGTCTACGACCGCTGCATCCTACGTTACGGTTACCGGATCCCCCTCGACTTTCTCCACCGAAGTTACCGGGCTTACCACCACTGCTGCTGGATCGACAACCCTGACAAGTGCCACCGCCATGACGACAACGACAACGACAACAACTGGTTCTCTGCCTACTGGAACGGATCTCCCCGCTACTAACGGTACCCTAATCATAGTTACAGGTGATCCCATCACACTTTCTACATCGACCTCTACCAGCACGTCAGATATGGCGACCAGCACTTCAACCCCAACCTCAACCTCAACCACGACCGATTCACGCTCCAGCTCTACCATCAGCCCAACCTCAACACGCACGTCAATCACCTCTGTCACCTCTTCCACGATCCTACCACCCCTCAGCTCATCCGTTAGTGTTAGCTCTAGCTCAACCTCCACTGCCCTATCATCCGCATACATCACCTCGCCATCTTCATCTTCATCTTCATCCTCATCTTCATCCTCATCCTCACCCACATCCACCACACCCCCCTCTTCCCCTTCATCTTCATCTTCATCTCCAACATCCTCCCACAGCATCACCACCACCCTGCCCGTGACCACCCTCACCACCGCCCCCACCAGCACACCGACCACAATCTCCCCTTCCATCACCACCAGCACCAGCACCACCACCAGCACCAGCACCTCCTCTTCGGCCTCGGGCACCGCCACCGCCCAACCCACAAGCTGCACCCCCGGCACCTTCGAATGCAACTCCCTGTCCACCTTCTCCCAATGCGTCAGCACCTCCAGCGACACAACGACATACATCTACATGGGCTCCGTCGCCGCGGGCACGCAATGCGTCGACGGCACCATCGAACGCCAAAACGCCGGCCCATGCACACCCTCGGGCTCCATTTTCTGCAACGGCACCAACGCCTTCTACATGTGCGACCAGGGCGGCCTTGTCGACATGGGTCCCGTCGCGCCGGGCACGGCCTGTCGAGATGGCGTCATTGGATTCGCCTAGCCCGGACCGCCGCTGCAGTCTTTGACACCCCTCGTCCAGTGGGGTCCGTAGGGAGAAGGACGACACATAGCGGCCGAGAAAGGCCAGAAAAAAAACGACACGAGGCGCGGCTTAGGCTTAGGCTTAGGCTTGCTTGGTTGACAAACCGCACGATACGCGATACGAGATACACGCACACGTATACGAACAGCAACGACATAAAAAAAGATTGATCAATGTACGACATAGCATACAGCACCAACGGAAACGGAAATGGCAGAGGAAAGGGAAAAGGAAATTCGGATGGAACATCTATTATACCCAAAAAAGTATCGGCATCGGCATCGGCATCAGCACTTGGCTTAGACCTTGATGCGCCTTCGTTTTTAATCCATGGGCGTCGAGCAATTACACTAATGTTATGTATCACAACGCGGCGAGAAGATAGAGAGCAATACAAATGGGAAGCAGCAAAGCTGCAAGTTCCAAAACAAATTGCAAAATGGAACATTGAGCGTCGAGCATCGAGCATTGGTGTAGACGTATCTATCGAAATGCTCCCGAGCACCATTCATTCCACCAGATTGGAACGAACCGACCAAGTCAGTAGAGTAGAGTAGCAAAACACAACAATGGACATTCTCTTCCACACCCCTATACACAACCGGACTACTGTACCTCGTAGAATCGCTGTCCATCCAGGCACCGGGCACAAAATTCCTCCCTTTACTGTTACCCGCATCTGTAAAGCCGCATCTACAGTGGCATCGAAGCAGGAAATAGCAATACAGGGACGACACGGCCTGAGTTTGTACAGTATGTCGCATTCCTCTGCCCGACTATCAAGTTCTAACCTGTATTGCCTCTTCTGCATGTTTTCATGTTCATAACCCTGCAACCATCTATCCCCGCCTCTTGAGTCTCCTGCCTGAGTCTCAAAGTGCGTGGAGTCCAGGCCGCACCATGACTTGCAAGTGGTATCCTCTTCTCTGCGTACCTCCTCCAATTCCACCCTGAACAGAATGCACCAAACACAAATCCTGCTCGCAATAAAATCGACATCGAAGTGCATGGACGCTGCAAACAAACTGTACACAAAGGGGTATCATAGAATCAAATGAGTTCAAAGCACAACGGCCGCCAGAGACGCTTCCAATTCCGTTGGTGAGCAAAAGCATGGCCGAAACTGATCAACAGGGTGATGCTCGATGCCCAACGAGGGAAAACTGGTTTTTGGTCCTTTGGGGTGGTAGAACACTTCTGCTTGTGATATTACTGGTATTATCGAAGTCTGTAGTTTTCTCATCGCTGGATGATCGACCATCATTTCCAAACGCCTAGGCTAAGTGCATGTCGTCATAAACACAGCATGATCGCGGACAAGTCAGCCTCATATCGGAGGTGGACCACCTGAACCACTTTCCGTAGAAGTGTCGCCTTCTACCGTTTTCTTCCATGCCTCGGGCAGGCAAACACAGACCAATGGGAAAGCTTTGATGTCTCCTGACGGTGTAGGTGAGTCGTCTCGGGCTGCCGAGCCGTTGGAAACACCACTGTCTCGTTGCACCTTATGCTTGCCATCGTAGTCTTCGGCTCGATCGTTGATTCGTACTCCAGTCGCCCAGCCGTCATCCCAGATGCCGACGACTTTAAGCATATCACCTCTCTCGAGCTCGAATTCATCTCCCGCGCGAGGTTGATAAGCCCAAAGAACGGAGACCTTATCACCAGGGTGGATATCATCATTTGAGTAGTAGTCCTTGAAAAATGGTAGTTGTTCGGATTGTCCACTAGCCACCCCTTCGGGTGAGGAGAAGTCTCCGGGAGAACTGTCGTTTTGCGAATCACTACCAGGGGAGTCTCCATGTTTGGCAGCCACGACTCCGCCCAACGTCTTTTCGCGTGATTCGGGACTATCTCCATACATGTCTGTGTGAGAAGTGTGGTTATGCCGCGGTCCTATCACAGGTTGATCATCTTGCAGAGCAGACATGCGGGCCACCCGACCGCCTGGCAGTACCTCATATCCAGGCTGTGACATGGGTGGACTGTGTGATGAAGAGCCTGGACCGCCTCTTCTATGAGGCGACGGCTGGTTGAGGAGACTGCCAGCTGTGCTCTGATTGCGTCTGCGGCGGAGGCAGATGACGGCGAGAACAATGAGAGCGCAGAGTAGTAGAAATCCAAGAATTGATCCGATAACGATACCAGCAATGGCACCACCGCTGAGACCGTTGTCATGGCCTCTAGAGCCTGCAGCACCTGCAGTAGAGCTGCTCGTGGGCGACGAACTGGGAGTTGCGGTGGATGAGAGCAGGCCGGAGATGGTGGAGAAGACTGGGAGAGCGACATTCTGGCAACGGCCCTCGGCATTGGACGTGAAGCAGCAGGAGTCGGTAGCATTCTCGGTGCTTGCACGGCAGAAATTACAAAGACCCATCAGGTTGTCTCCGAAACCACAGTTGCCGGGTTCATTGGATTCGCCTGCGATACAGCTTCCGCTGATAGAGTTGGCTGGCAGAGCGCAATTGGTGAAGTCGGCCCGAAGTTCTTCAGCGTAGTCTGTGTTTCGACCTGAACACAAGTTGCTGGAAATGATTTCTTCTTCGCTTAGAGCCAGCTCGGCGCAGGAGTCGGCGCATAATGGCCTCGAGTCTGCGTTGGACAACCCACAAGGCTGCTTGGAGTTCTGTACTATCCCATTGCAAATGAAGCTCAAGGTGTAGCGGGCATAGTAGTCGGTCGTGTTGGCCAGATTGATGCCGTCACAGCCGAATATGTTGACGTATTTCGTTTGTACATATTGCTGAGATACATATTGATTTAATTGAGTGTCGAACTCGTCGGTCGACGTAACATAGGCAAGAAAGGGACTGCGACAGTTAGCATCCTCATGAGAAACAGCAAGCGTTTGACCACGTACTAGAGTCCGGTCAAATTAGAATTTGTGGAAATCGACGAAGCATTGAATGCAGAACAGGTCTTTGAACCCGCCAAAGATATACAGCTTTGCGCGAGCGCGGCAGGTGCCAGCAGGGCCAATGCGCCCAACGAGTAGTATCTCGACATGCCCGCAGGCGACGTAGTCGTTCGATCGTGGGGCGATGATATATTCAACGGCGGTTTGCCAATTCAGGTATCCAAAAAGTATCCAACTCTTTCAAGCTCATGCTGAAGTCATCCTCCACCCAGCCCTTGTATCTTGTCCGCGATCGATCTCGCTGCCAGGCAAGCCCAAGACTTTGTGTGAATCCGGTGGCAGGGTACTCAGGGTCAAGAAGCTCTGACGGTTCGGGAGGTTTGAGGAGCCGGGTCAGTGCGTGAAACTGCCAGGATGGGGATCGAGCTCTAGGAAGGGAGTAATAGTAGTTAAAACCGTTGAGTGTGTAGAAGCGAATGTGGGCAAACGAGCGACTGGTGGTCAGAGATAGAGAGACAACTCCGGGTAAAGAAGACCCTGCTGATCGAACTGGGCGGTAACAACAAAAAGGCGAACTGCAAGAGGGTTGAAAGAGACGCAAAAGGTACAGAGATCGGAGGGAAGGTCGCAGAGTGTGATTGGGAGAGAGCGAGACAGCAGACGCGGGTGGCAGGTGTGGTGGATGGCGACTGGCAGGACTCACCGACCTAACTAGAGACTGCGCTGCGCTTCTGCCGGACTTTCACTGTAGTCGCGGTGCGCCTCCGGGCACCCACAAGTGAGTCCTGGTAAGGTGAGCTCCAAGCGCAGGGACAGCGATCGAGGCCAGCAAGACAACATCCAAGGTTGACCAGGTTGACCAGGTGAACAAGCCACTGACCAGGGTGCAATGGAGATCGGCTACTGGACTTTCAGTGGCTTCGGGGATCATCTCTGACCCGCTCTAGTTAAAGGCCATGCCTAAACCATGCCTAGTACCCTAAACCAGGCCCTGGTGAGGACCCAAGCTATTCCCGTTCCTCACATTTCCCAATCTTGCACTCTCGCTTCACACTTCCATGGTCCTGCTCCGTCTCACGCCCTGGTTCCTGGTCTCTTGTTTTGTTTCTGAAACACCAGAACTAGCAGCTCATGGCTTGACAATTCCCTTCTCAGCGAGATGAGTTCGAACTTGTGACAACGACGACAAGTCGGGTCCGCTGGACAAGTTGCTTGGGCATCTCAGCTCCTTCGACAGCCTCGTAGCAAAGAGCCAACAGAATACTCTTCCCACTTCTGACCCCTCCATTGTAGGCGGTATCTTTGTGAACTCATCCAGGCTTCTTTGCGGCATGCGTCCGAGACCATCTGCCATCACAGTCCGTTTGAGGATGATCGTGATTCACAGGTTGGTGACCCAGGTGGACAGTTTGTGCGATGTGGACGGTTTGCTGGTGGGAGATTGCATGGCTCCAAGCCACACACGCCAACCTGGGCGCTATCCTGGTCCGTTTGTGAAGCTACCTGACCACTCATCTCTCATGGTCTGCTCCCTTTCTCGCTTGGGTTCCCTGTCGAATTGGATTTCCGTCTCTCCGCTGGCCGAAGTCTGTCTCGATCAACCAGTCAAGTTTCTCCGACTCGCTCCCAGGGGGTCGAAATGTCGACATCATAATTCCACGCTCTCTGCATGGTGTCAAGATCGATCCGAAGAGCGTCATCCGGGTGCGTTTTCGCCATCCAAAAAGCTCAGGTTGTCGTGTATCTGACTTCGACGAGAAATGCTGATCTTCGATGAAGAGTTACAGTATTATTGGATCTTCGTTCCAAGCCACCTGCACCCCTACTGCAAGCTGATGTCAACGAGCATCGTGCTTCTGCTACTTAAATGCAGGTACTCTGGTATTCACGCGGGTCCTCACATGAGAGCCGTTAGTCTGGAGAGAACAAAAACGCACTGCTGAAGACTGGTTTCAAAGCGCACGTTCGGTCTGCTCGATTATGGTTGAGCGGCTTGGGACGCAGCCCGAGAACACATTCACAATGGAGCTAACTGATTCTCAAGTCCTCTGCAGCTGGGTTGCATGAACCCTGTGCCACAGTCTGTCAGCCGATGCCTCGAGTGTCGTTGCAGAGCTTGCCAGCCATGTTCTTCGCATTGTACTGGGGATCCTTTTCACCTCCAGCCAGACCGCTGGTTACAGCCACCGCCCTATGGAAGGAATCAAATGGGAACTCGATGCCAAATCATGCGGTCATTGCTTTTATGTTCTAGCACCTAGATTGATTGTGGTTCAAGTCATATGTTGGTACACAATAAATGCCGCCAGCGCTTTACCCTTCGAACCCATTCCGCTCGCTGTAACGTTCAATGGTGTATGCATTTGCATCCCGCCTGACGCTTGACGAAGACAAATTTAGACCCAAACCCATGCTCTTTAGCGAGCCTTTTCGTAACCTCATGTTTTCATGCATCGTATGCTGGTTGCTGGTTGCTGTATTCTCAGACCACTGTTCCATTCGTGTCGTTTCGTGATCCGTTATCTTTTGCCTGGTGCTGTTGTACCCAGCTTTTTGTTCGTCCTTCATCATAGTCGTAAACCATTATTGCAAGCCATTCGTTGTCTTGCAATACCCATAGCCTTCTGCACATATCCCGTCCAATGCGTTTCCATTTCCTCCTCTAAAATGCCGAAAGTTGGCATCGTAGTCTTGCGCGATGGGCCTTGCCTGTCGATAGGCCATCCCATCAGATCTTCCTACTGAAGAACCCCTTGACCTTATCAAGGCCCCTCTTGAACCAACCCTTGCTCCTTCCCTGCAAAAGCTCATCATCGCACTCACCAGCAGACGCTTGTCCAGACACAGAGGAGGTAGGCGAGTAGTAGGGAACTCCAGAGAAATCTGGCCATTGGTCGTAGCTGGAGTCCGTCGGCGAGGCGCTCGCTTCCGCAACGAATCGGCACAATGAGGCCAACGATAGTGATGGTGATGGTGAAGCCGCCGACACCACGGTCGCTGGGATAGTCCTAGGCACCGCCAAACCCACTCGTCGACGAAGAGGTTTCTGTGGAGGACTTCTTGGTCGCGAATTCTCTGGATATGGTGCTGGCGCTCGGGAGGACCCTGACCGATTTCTAGCCACTGACTGCTCTTTGCCTTCTGGGACGATGTCGCCGGCACTAACCCGGCTTATAAGGGTGGCATCAGCAGTATTCCGAATCGCAACGTCGGAATGAACCACAGTGCCAGCGATTTCCTCCTCATCGTCAAAGATCTCGGTGAGTCGCTGTCGAGGAGGGCCATTGTGCACTGAAGTGTATATACTGGCCACAGTCGGGACGGTGGGAAGCATGTTTGGAACAGTAGCTGAAGGCGGTTCAGCAATAGCGAGCTCCAGCACGACAACACGGCCGAATCGCAGGTTCGGCAGTAGGCCTGTAAATGCCAGGTTGGCGAGGTCGTAGACGGTTTTGGCTGGATGTTTTGATCTCATCTCAGTCACCGTAATCATCAAGGGTTGTCTAGCAGCACCTTGTACCAAGACTCGGACAATAGTCTTGGTAGCCATAACTGCAGTCGTTGGCTTCTGAGCAACGGGTGTAGCGGCTGGTACCTCCTCCTCGTCCTCTGCCCAAGAGAGAATTGGTCCTCGATCTCCAGCAGCTGCCAAACGTTGATGGAACAATTCCCGGTCTGTGAAACGACGATGTGCTGGAGAAGTGGAGGTAGCCTTCTGTTCTTGAGGTTCTTCGCGGTCAGTAATATCGCGAGATTGAGGTGTCGTGGCTGACGTGGGAGGAGTGGCTGAGGCTTGATTCAACCTATCCTCCATGTAATCATCCTCATCCCATTCGGCAGATGGGAACGCTTCTTCAAGACGACGGTTAAGTTCTTCACTAGACATGACCGGAGCTGGAGAGGCTGGAGATGCAAAAGTGGCATCTACTGATGGCGAGGCACTTGACGGAGCCGTCATAATACCTGTGTCTGAGGTATTGCCGCTGCTGTTGCTTGATCCTGACGGTCTTTGAGTAACATAAGTCCTCACGTCCACAACGGCATCAGGATAATCGTCGGCATGGTCGTAGGAAATGCAGCAGCTTGTAAGCTTCGACTTGGCCGGCCCACGTGCGATTCGGGCTTGTACGGCAGCTCGACAAGCCTTGTCGATGGCCACCTGCTCCCGAGTGCCAGCAGTGATAATCTCCACCCGGCTTGGAAATCCAGGCGTACAGCCGTTGATGACAACCTCGCCCTCCTTATAGTGGACGGATTCAAGGGTATCGACGCGAGGAATGTACTCCTCCTCAGTATATTCGTCGTCTTGCCACCAGCCATTGTTGCTGTAGAATTTATCGCACTGGCCGATGCAAGCATCCTCCAGTGCCGTTCCTCTCAGCTGCGCTAGGGCTTCTGGTTTGCCGTAGTAGACAACTGGATCCAGAAGCCGCGAAGCAGAGGCTACAAGCACGGAGATGCGGAGCCGCGATGTGTTGACCACTCCGAACCATTTTGTAGAGGACTTCAAGATGGCGATCGTCGCCGCAGGGCTTGTTGCTGACTTTGTATATACCAACTGTCCGAAGAAGTTGATGTGGTGTACCCAATACTCGACCTCATCACGAACCTCCAGACACTTCCACTCGTATTCATCATTATCTTCGTTATATATCTTGAGGCTGTCCTTGCGAGCAGCTGGCTCATGGTTTATTGGATTGGTGTAGCTGTCATTCCACTCGACAGCCCATCTCAATCGACGGCGGTATTGATGTTCGGGTCTCTCTTCTTGATGGGCCTTTGGAGCCCACTGTTGCGACCCTGGAACTAGACCTGCCACAGAGGGGTCAGGATTCCAGAGTCTGGCGCTGTTGAGAATGTCACAGGCATGCTGTTCCATGCGGTCTGGTTGGAATGGCTGCGCTGGCGTGCCTTGTACAAGGTCCGGAGCCATCGCATTCATATATGTGTTTGGGCTCTGCAGGTAGTGCTCTGGTGCGTCCGGCATGAATTCACAAGCACCTTCGTTGAGTGTGTATGTGTTGGAAAAGCCGCTGGCACTGGACGCGGAATAACATGGGAGTGAAGGCACGAATTCAGCTGCCAAAGGACTCAAATGCGAAGAGGAGGCAAAATGAAGGCCTTTTTGTTCCTTTGATAAGTGTTAGAGGCAGATGAGACATGGGACTTGGGGTGATTGGTTACCATCGTGTCTAAACCTTTGTGGGTGGAGGCGGTGCCCAAATTTTGGTGTTGAGTCATGAGGACCTGCTTTTGCGTTCGGCGTAGGCTTTTCTTCGAAGGGCGGCAGTGTGTAGAGGATGCAGGCTTCTCTGACAACGATAGATGATGAGTTTAATGATGGTACAACGGATCTTTCGCAGGAGCTGATGGGTGGATGTGTAGATCTTTGACGGCGAGTGACAAGAGAGCAGGCCGCGTTGAAGAAACCATGGCAAACAGCGTTGTAAATGTCACTGCCTCCGGGGGCAGGATGCACATTCACAAATACACTGCGGGAAGGCGCGTTGCCAGGTTAAAACACCATAGCAAGGCAGTGCATATGTTCCGGGTTTACACGAAGCACTCGGGTGGAAGGACATTCACGCATGGTCGCCACCACACCGTTTGAATCTCCTTGCCAACAGGGGTTGTTTTTATCCTTTCGCAGTAGGGCCCGCCGGGTCGAACCAAAGAAAGTTCCTCGCTCCTGGCGGCGGACATTCGCATTGTGCGCTGTTCATATCTCATGCTGACGGAGTCCTAAAGCGGACAGCGACCTTCTCTGAGGTGCAGCAAGCGTTGCCATGATCACCCAGCAGATTCAGATAAAGTATTGAGCGAACGCACTCCACCATATCCAGAACTTAGGGAGACGGAAGGTCCAGACTTATGTTGCATTCTGCGCCGCGTTTGCAATGGTGATATATATATGGCTCCATCCGTTGCGTTGGTATATCCGTGTTTGAAACATCCTCAAACGCAAAAGCTTCATTTCTCGCCATGAAGAGCACAAACATCAGAATCGGCCATCGTGTCTGCAGGGTAAAGAATTTTCGGGTTTGCGCGAAAGGCTGAGCCAGGCTGAGGCACGCCTCTCGACTGATCATAGGCTGGGCTTCTTGTATGACAGTTGAGATATATAGATATAAGAGGTTGAACCTTGGCAGTGGTCGGCTGCTGGTACGGTCGAGCTCGAATTACGCAGCGCCCGAATCATCCACCGCCCGTGAATTGTCAGGGTTTGTCATACGGAAGTTGGAATGACCGCCTGGTCGTGTTTGGCAAAGTGAGCCTACTTGAAGCCGGTAGCTCTCAGTCAGGACGTGGGTTGCTCGTCTTGGGCGTTTGTTTGTGCCTTCAGGCTGCTGCAACTGTGTCGAGATCCAGTGGGCTTTCCTGCCTTTCTGATAACCATTCTGAGCGGCCGGCATGGTGATCTGTAGAGGAGACAGATACACTGAACATCATCTTCGCGCTCTTTCAGTGTGGCCACCAGAGCAGAGCGCCAGGACCAGAAGTGGGAGTATAGTTGACTTCCGTGGTCACAATGGGTTTCCATTGTTCACGCTTTCGCCCACTTCGTCCACCGTTCAGATCGGATCACTCCAGTTCCATCACGAACGGGTCGACCGAATCTTGCAACTGGCTCCGGCAAGGTGGATGCCACGTCGTTGTCGCAACATTCCAAGCGTTGCATTTACGCTGGAATGGCTGCTGCGACTTCTGAAAGAGCCTTGCAGAAGAGTTGAGGAGATACGACTCAGAAACATCGTAGTGACGTTCAATATATGGTACGTTGGTCTAAATCTATGCGCAGTGCCGAAGTCCAAGAAAAGAAGAAAATGGACTTTGGCTTAGGTCCAGATGTCAGCTTGACGTGGCATATCTTGACGTGTTATGGCTGGTGGGCCACCTGAGCCGCCCAGACCACGCCGCCCGTAGCCACCTGTGCGCTTAATCGATTAGGTGCAGGCAAGCAATAAGGCCCCTGTGGCGCCTCCAGAAGACATCTCGCTCTTGCCCTTCCCCTGCCTCGCCGCGCTTGTCTAAGTTACCGTTAGTAAGACCGGAGTTTTTGATTCAATTCTCCTTCGACACACCTGCACGATTGAAGAGAACTCCCACTCCTCACATCAACTTCAGTTCTCTGGCCAATATTTGCGCGAAGTGCGAGTGCGATCATCTCCCAGGATCACTGAAAACCCATGGTCCGATGCGCAATGAATCTCATCGCCCGCAAACGGCAGCCTGCATGCAACAAACTGGAAACTGACCACACAGTGGGCGAGTCTTGCTCGAGTCCCTGCCATCCACCTTCAGGCCTTTCATACTCAGGTAGGATATCAAATTTTTTCTCGATACGTTTGCTATTCACACCAGCTGTCCGCCTTGTCAAAGTCTACGTTGCGGCCTGGGCGGCAGCCGAGCTGGCCCTCGCTAGGACCACGGCGCAATGGACCAGCTAATCTGCTTGCGCATGCAGCGCCGTTGTCATTCATGACCTCCAGCTGCCCCAAACACGCGTTGTCCATGTATTCGATACATAGTGCGGTTTGGAGGACGTCCGCAATGCCGCTCTCCTCGGAATGCCTGCAATGATTCTGGCATCGACCAGCTTTGTGTGCTGTGCCCAGGCCAGGTCCTGGTTGCAATCCCCTTCACGCTGAACAAAATTCACTGGACAGGGTGCCATGGTAGGTACAAGAGAGCAGAAATCATGCACGGACTTACCAAGGTCAAGCATCACTCCAACATCGCTATTTATCGCCATGGTACTTCGGCGCACTTTCGCTCCGTCAGCTTGATTGCTTTCTTACCCCATTGGTCTCGATGTATACATAACTTGATGTTTGTTTGACGTTCCATCAATATCCTCCCGTGTCGACCCATCCACGTTCCGGGACGGCTTATCCGATGAATCACTCCGGACTCGAAAAGAATTTTCACTTTGATGAATATATGTATTGCTGAAGAGGGATTTGGAAATCTGAGGAGCGTTGCTTCTTATGACATGAGCGCGATCCCTTGTCTTGTTCTTAAGAATGGCGAAAGGTCATTGTGAAGGATGCACCGTCAGGAACCTCGGTTTGGGCGGACGTGGAGCCCATCTAGTGGTTCCGTCCATGATAGCACCAATCCTGGCGTTTGTTTTGGTGGTCAATAGAGTCTACTGGCGCTTCAAGATGGTGGGCAGGCTCGGGCCCGATGACTACGGTACCATACTGGCTTTGGTAATCAGATGGTCAAGGCCCCATGTACAAACTAACAATCTTTAGGCATTCTTCATCACGCAATGTGGTGCGACTATTGCCGCAGTCAACTATGGATATGGCAGACCGCTTGAGACCTTGGACTGGAAGCAGGCATCCCGGGCATTGGAAGTAAGACTACTCCTCCCATGATCCGGCGTCAAACAAAACACTGATACACTGCCACTCTAGTGCTTCTTCATACTCCAGATATTCTACAAGCTCACTATCAACTGCACCAAGCTCTCGATATTGTTCCTGTACCGTCGTATCTTCACCGATCATCTATGGTTCGTCCGAATATGCTGGAGCTTAATATCAGTAGTGCTATGTGCCTGCTTGTCCTTCACCATTGCAACGCTACTGCAATGTAGTCCGATCAATGGAGCCTGGGACCGTTGGGATGACGGTGTCACTTGTGTCAACATCTACGCACTATGGTACTGCAATGCCATCTACAATATCCTTACAGACTTCATCATTGTTCTTATGGTACCGCCTGTAATCTTCAGCCTCAAACTGCCCACGCGGCAGAAGCTGGCGTTGACTTGCATCTTCGGTCTCGGCGTCATTGTCTGCGCAGCATCGATTTCGCGCTTGACAACTCTATATTCTTCGGCATATGGCACGGATGCTACCGCAGGATCATTTGTTTCAACCATATGGACGAGTATCGAGGCCGGCCTTGGGGTTATATGTGCAAACTTACCAATGCTACGGACTCCTTTGCAACATTTCTTCCCGAGGCTGTTCCCTTCAAGATCTGGGACAAATCAAGTGTCCAGCACGCCTTCATCCAGCCGAAGTGAGTCTGGCCGTGGCCGCACATTGGTCTTGTCGGCACAAGTCAACGAGCCGATGAGCAGTCCCGGCGTCCACTCGACATCCTCAGATGAATTCAGAAATACCCCGCCAAGCACTGGTAATGACGAAGCCCTGAACAGAGCGACTCAACGCCTATGCACCTTCTCAAGATATCCTGTACACAGCGACTGTGAGGCCCAGCAGGACGGTGACCAAGGGTTCGAATGGACATTCACCCAGAATGATGTCAAAGAGGAGTGGAGTCACGGTCCACATAGAGTGCGATGACCGGGAGATGTGTTAGGACTGCATCTTTCGGGGTAAATGGCATTGGCCAAGGCATTCATTGGGTATTGTATCAGTTAGGCTGGTGCCATGTCTAGAGCGGTCGGTATTTTCCTTGAGTGGGCATTGAGAAAAGGACAAGGCTTTTTGTGGAGGGCATGAGGGTTAGATTGTAATTGTGTATCGTGTGGACTACATGAAAACGTCAAGATCATCATACTGAGACATCAAAACCATAGAGAGGAGAGAACACCTCCGAGACCGAGTACAAGTGAGGTCTAAATCTTGACCGGAATCACCCGGCAAACTTACCCCAAATAGATGAAGCCCGGTCTTGGCTGCGATTGAAGGGGATCGAGCTAGAGCTTCAAACATAACTTCATTGAAGAAACAGCTTTGGTCACCAGTGAAAACACCTCGAGGACGCTTTGAGTCTCTTGTACGCTATATTGAATCTCATCTCTACTCCGCGGCTGCCAACGTGTCTTTGCAGGTCAAAATGTCGTTCGTCATCCGTCGAGGCGTGTCGACGCTCGTTCCTCCCAAGGTAGACGCATTCCTTTTAAAGGTCATTCATGATTTAGCTGACATCTTTTTTACAATAGGTTGCAAACCCATCGGTAAGAGAAACTTTCCTGCATCCGTTCTGCTCCCAGAGAATTGGGTCTGGGGTGGAACCCGCGACCGTGTTCCCCCGAACAACGACGCCTCTACAATACGGACAATGTTGGATGGATGAAGAGATTCTGATGTGACTTCTAGGGACTCGGAGCCGCCGCAAATGCCCAGCGCATGGCCAGAATAGCCAAGTTTTACGAACAATTACCAAAAGGACCTGCACCAGCACGAGCACCCAGTGGACCATTGGGCTGGTATCAAGCGAAATACTTTGGCAAGAACCCATCTGCTGCTCGTACGTGAAAGGCCTTTAATATGTTGGAAGAGATACTGATCTGGCATAGCGATCTGGCACGTCATTTTTGGCATTATGGCATTGGGTTACAGCATGGAATACTACTTCCATCTGAGTATGTTACGATGCGCCCCTGCGCGATGAACCCTTTGGCTGACAGTCATCCAGGACACCACAAGAACAACGCTCATTGAGTCGATCGCCCGAGGGGCTAGTGTTCAGAATAAGAATGTACATACAACGAAATAACCCAACTGCGATTGCTCAAAGGAAGATCTGCAGTTTTCTGCCTCGAGATGCTACATCCTACAGTGCATGCAGAATTCCCCATGTTCATGAGCCTTACGTTTCAGGTTTCTTTTGCTTGTGTCGACAGGTCTATTCGGCGGGTCTGGCCTAGATTCATTGATCACGAGCCTCCTGGAGTCAGGCAGGCGCAAGATTCGTGTTGAAAGGTATCAAGGCGAAACCGCCAGCCTAACAACAATGCCATCGTGCTTGAATGGCTGCGAGGAACGTTGGATACTGATATCGTGAATGCCTCAAAATGAAGATGGATTACATCCCATTAGCCGAGCCAGCGACCCTCGTAGAACTGGTAGAGCACGTACCACCATTACCATTATGCTTCAATATTGTCCAAAGAGGGATCGGTCCATGCACTGATCTATTTATGGCCAGGAACTTTTCCGCTGCAGTAATTGGATGTGATTATTGAGCAGTCGCATGACCACCAAACTCTCCTTCTACCGCCACTGCCTTGCATCGCGCATCGCGGCTCAAGCAACTCGTAAGTTGTAACTGGTCTCCGGAACGCCAAGACCCCAGGAACGCCGCAGTCTGGGTCTGGGACTACGACTTGCGCAGCCTCCTATCTCTGACTGATTCAACCACAACCAATTCGCTTCTGCGTTTGTATTTCTTCTCCCTGGCTCAAAGAGGCCCTCCGCTCTCAATATTTCCTGGTCCTCTTCCCTCGAAAGCGACCGTGATCCCAGCGCCAGTGTGCGTCATCGGGCTTTCTACGTACAGGCTGGCGACCGTGGCAGACTACCGTCTTTAACAGGTACATATCCGGCTGTCCGGTACTGGTCCTATTATTCGCTGCTCATTCTGACCGCCGCCGCATAGTTTCGAGGAGGTTATGGCACAGCAGAGTGCACAAGATGTGGTAAACCAATCTCAGTCGGCGGGCGACCACCTTTCGCCCACCGACGCACCTGCGACCACATCCACACCTGATATCAAAGTTTCTGGGGACGACATTGGTGTTGGGGAGGTTGCGCCAAAAGAGAATGGGACACACACACTTGCCAGTCTTAAGATGGACGACTTAGAAGATGCCTCAGGTCGCTCAGACACTGACACTAGCCGTGCCGATGGTAGTGTTGCTGGGGATAAATCCACCGAACAAAAACCTCTGAAGAAATTCACTGCCAAACCCGTCAGCTTCGCAAAATACTCAGTTCCAAAGGTCGTCGCCGCAAGCGCTGCCGCCAAAGGCACAGAGAAAGGTGAGCGTGCATTTTTGTCTCATAGTGACAGGCTAACGTCGTGACCCTAGTTGCGACTCCGACTTCTTCAGCTTCATCAATCACATCCTCAGGACGCCCAAGGCTGGTCGCGAAAACTACGAGTGCTCTCCAGCCCAAGGCCAAGCCATACCAAAGTGCTACACCTGATCCTATGCAAGTCTGGAACAAGAACAGAGGTATTCCTCCTTCTCACCAATATCTCGGTCCGCATACTGACAGACGTGAAGTCACACCTCAACCTTCCACTAAACACCTGACCGACGAAGAGCTTAAGCAGCAATATGGCATCCATCTGACATCCCGGATCCAGGCAGACGGCGAAGGAAAAGAGGCGAAATGGGCAGACATTGATGACGATGAGGATGACTGGGCACCAGAAACAATCGAATGGAATGACGGTACAAAATCTACATTGACGCCTGTTGAAGTCGTCCCACCGGTGGCGCAAAAACCAGCAACACCTGTGGAAACGGCAGAGAAACCCAAGCCTGTTGCTTCTTCGAAAGCCCCAGCTCCGCATTTCATAAGCTCAGTCGGTCCCAATGCTATGGTTCTGAAACTTGGTGCCAGCGCTGAGAGACATCAGGCACAGAAGGCTGCCAATTTGCAAGCGAGGAGTCCTTCAGAGAAGCCCTCACTTCTTTCCTCGAAGACGGCACCTGCGCCTGCACCCTCCAAATCGCCATGGGCTGCCTTACCGCCTGTGGACAAGGTCTCTCCAGTGGCCATCAACCCTGTGCTTTCGATGCCGCCGCCTGGTCGCTTCCCTCCTCCGCATCCTTATGCACAGGCTCCGACGAGCTTCACGGCACCGTCTCCTGCCAAAGAGATATCGGCGGACGACTTCAATCGTTCTTGGCGCGACACAGCTCATGGTCAACCTCGTGAGTTGTACGTGCCGACTTCGGGGCGATATGAAGCTGTCCCCGAAGGCCGCAGGCGCATGTCGAGGAACGAACAAGGCTTCCGAGCTCCCGCTGTTCTCCAGAGACCTAGTCTGATGGACACCCATGCTCCAGCTGAGCCTTCGGCAGCGTTCCAGACACATCGAACTAGTGCGGATCAAGTACGACGTAGAGCATCGTCGACTGTTTCAGGCGGCAGTGGCTCCTTCGGCCGGCGCATGTCCTTCAGATCTGGTGAAATACCAACTTCTGTGTCAGAAACTGCAAAACCTGTTGATAACGAGGTCGCTGTTCGACCAAGCTCTCAAGATGGGCTCCCCTCACAAACCCAGGCTTCTCATTTTCAAGCTCACGGCACGGGTGACCACATGTCTGCAGACGCCGTGCCTGCAACCGACGCGGATATCGAAACTCAACGAGCTCAGCAGCGAGCTCTGATGAAAGAAAACATTGAGCGAGCGCGGAGACGGAAGTTAGAAGAGGAGCAACGACTAGAGGCTGAAAAGCAAGAGCGCATTAGGCTGAAGTTGGCGTCCCTTGGTCCTGACCCCAAGTTAGCAAAAAGACACCGAGAAGAGCAGAAAGCTGAGGGTGTTGCTCAGGAAAACGAAGCGAACAAGGATACCGAAAAAGCACCAGCTGGTACGATTCCTGCTGCAACTACCACCCACTCGCCTCCGAGACCTCCACAACCCCTGGCATCTGGCGAGCCTCAACAATATGGAATGATGAAAGTTCATCCTCTGGATTCAGTCAAAAAGCTAGGAACCTCATTATCTCGACAACAAGAGTTACAGAAGATGCCCGTGCGAATCCAGGTCGGCTCCACTACCTTGGAGGAGCCGAAGTCAGAATTATCTCAAATGCCCTCGCCGATTACTAACGGGGCCCGTCCTTCTCCAGAAATACGAAGAACGAGCGGTCAGGAACCAGTGTTGTCTCCTGAGCCCAGTCCGAAACTACCCAAACCTAGCTCTTCAGGAAACGATGCGAGAAGTAGGTGGGGAGACATGCGCCACGATCATCGTTCGCCTCAAGGTGCCAATCTGTGGGGTATACCTAGCAAATCAGCCCTCGGCAACGGTACATTCGATCAAGGCCTCGCAGGATACGCACCACAAGATTTATCGCGAACATCTTCTACAGCGCAAGGTTGGATGAATGGGAGGACCCCTCACGCCGGTCGGTCACCACAAGCACAACATGTGAACCATGCGATGCCAGATGGCAGAAATTTCTCGTATCAGCCTCTGATCTCGCCGGACCAAGGTCCCTTGGCTGCTGATAGCGAGGTCGACTCTCTCTTCCCGACGACTAAGCCCGCTCCAATTGGCCCACCCCCATCTCACCAATCGCATCCTCTACCTCCCAACAATGGCTTCCAGAATGGTACAAGACCACATGGGGTAGATGCCTGGAACACCTTCCATCAAGCCACCAGTCAGCAAGAGCGTTCTGAAAACGAGAGACTACAGCGTGAAACGATGTCTCGGCGAGAAGAGGAGCTACGCACCGGAGTTCGGCAGGGACCCCAATACACTTTCAATGAGACCTGGAAGCAGGTGCATGTCGGTGATCAGGCCGGTCAGAGACAAGTCACGACGGTCGCGCAGTCTTCTGTGCCCGCCTCGAACATGTTTGGTGCCGTAGGCACGGTACCTGGCCCAGAAATGGGACCCCGGATGATGAACGGCCCTGCAGGCCGGGGATCTAGGTTCTTTCCACAGCCCATTGGAGGCCCTCCACATCAGGATCGACGAGCCTTCACATACAGTCATCCTGAACCGTCCAGATCACCGTCACCACCCCCCGCCGAAGAGTATTCGAGTCTCCATCCCGCTTTTGACGGCGACCACGCGAGACCTAAGGTCCACTTCCCACCAGAAAAGGCCGTTGTCAAACTTCCTCCAGCAATGCCACCAACTCCTCCAAGTCCTACTCCGGCTCAACTTGCGCATGCGCCACAAGCGCCACTGACATGGGCGGCGAGAGTGTCTATGCCGCCTTCAGCGCCCGGCCAGTCATTTCGATCTGCGTCCACTCCGATTGTGCAGAATCCATCTTGGCAAGAACGTTTCAATGGACTCTTGGGTAAGAAGTCTTCTCCAACAAGAGAAGCTGCTCAGCCAGTTGATGCGGTCCTTGCCATTGCGCCTTCTTCTAGAGAGCCACTTGATGTACAACACGTACTTGTACCTGCTGCATCAGTGTCTCTACCTGTCGAGTTTGACATTGGTATGCTGGGAGCGAACTACTCCATTTCGACGAAAGATGTTGAAAGCGAGGATGACCTCTTCGAGGATCGAGAACCAGGTTCTTTGCCAGCCATCAGGCTACCTCTGGAGACCCCACCATTGCAATGGGATCCATCATTTGCGCCAAAGATCACCCCGTCCGCGGTCGATCCAGTCTCGATCCACGCGTTCATGGTCAGCAATCTCCGGGAATGGCATGGTCCTTCGAAACCGCAGTTTGCCATCATCCGCTTCCCAGGATCGACCAAATCCGTCAGAAAGGATATTCCGGTCAAAGGAGCACCCGCAAATAACGGTGGCAGACAACGATTTGGCAATGGGTCTTCGAACTCTAGCTCGTACGCAGGGAAACGTGGCAGAAACCGAGATGGGCCACGTTCTCGGCAGGCGTCAAAAGCACACTGAGATTATGTTTGAGTATTACCAAGTTTCGAGTCGCAGGAGGGCGACTGCAGATAACACCATGAATCGCGTTGACCGAGCGGATTTGGTCCCCTTTGACCACGCCGCAAGTGAGAACCCGTTTCCAGTTACTATTGTATTCCATTGTCATATTGAACATTGCAGAGACGATGCAACAGTCTATGCGACCCGCATTTGGCCTTTGATGGCCTCAGATATCAGTATCTCGGTGGCGTCGCAAGAACAAATGTCGAAGGGGGGAGCTGGACTTCGGGAAGGAGGCTTGATTTGTTCGAGTCTGTCTGTCCTCAGTGATCGTTTCTGACTAGCTTAGTCTCTCTCGTGATCCGAAAGAGACTTTGGGACGAGGCAAAGAGCAAGGACGGGAAAAAGCCGTCTCTGCAGCGTTTGTAGCATTGAGTGCGGCATTGAAAGCTGTGCGCTCATACCTACACTCTCTTGCGTCCCGTGCAATGAAAGTTATTAATTGTTGACCACGCAATTCTCCCTCCTGTGCGGTGCCTCACACGTTTCGATTGATTATTTGTGCTCAGAATACTAGTAAGATGGACGTAAGGCTCGAAGACGACACAAAAGAGACGTCGTAGCATCAGTCGTCCAGGAGATTATCTCGTTTCAAATTGGGGACCTTCACTCATTCCAGGCTACCTTGTCGTAAATAATATCCTTCTTTCCAATTCCCAGGGATCATCTACTAAGTACCTTCGAAGCATACATCCTCGGTTCTAACCACCACCATCACCACCCATTGATTCATGCGGTTCCATCATCCCCGTTCCTCCTTCTGGCCCATCGCTTCTGCAGATTCGTGATAACCAGATACTATGTCGTGTAATACGGAGAATCATGAAAGAAGTCAACCGCCGTTGCAGATACCTTCATCGCGCGCTCTGTGTGTGTATATTGTAGGAAACGGAAACGGAAACAGAAATAGAAAGAAAGAAAAATTGAATACCCGGAGTAGCATCGGTCCGATTACATTTCCTTCGTTCCAATTGGGGGCAGGGGGTGTCGTCGTCCTTGTTAAGTTTTAGGTTTGGGGTGCACCGCATTTGAGTGATCAGGCCGTTCCAGCGATCGTGGAGTTTGCAACATGAAAGCAAATTCGCAATGTCGTTCGGTTCGAAGGGGAGTATAGTTTGCCGTGGTCAAGGCTATCGAGGGTAGTGGAGGCTAATCGTTTTATGGCTTGGGTGAGAGGAGTTGGACGAATTCCTCGTCTGATGGGACACTGTTAGCTGTTGTATCGAGTCATGGAGCGGTGAATAGGTAATGGGGAGTTAAAGGAGGACTGCCTTGCAACGCAAAATTCGTGCTGTGAAGACATGCGGACGGAGAGGAGGTCGAGGAGGTCGAGGAGGAGGAGGAAGATGAAAAAACGTACAATCTATTGTGCCGTTCCTGTCCTTGTCGGCCTCGGCGATCATCTCGTCGATCTCTGCGTCGGTGAGATTCTCGCCCAGAGATTTCATGACCTGGCGCAATTCTTCGGCGGAGATGGTGCCGCTGCCGTCCTTGTCGAAGACGTTGAAGGCGGCGCGGGTCTCGTCGGCGAAGTGATGTGCCTTGACGGTGGTGGACATCATTTTGAGGAATTCTGAGCAAACGGGGTCAGTAGGGGAGGCGTGGTGGAGAAGAGGCTGTCAATTTCACCTTCAAAATCTATGCTGCCTGAATGGTCGATGTCGACTTCATTGATCTACGACGAAAGGGGGGTTTAGTATGGTACTTGCGATGGAAAGGCAGGGGATGGTAGCAGATAAGAAGACAGACCATGTCTTGCAACTCTGAGTCGGATGGGTTTTGGCCCAGAGAGCGCATGATTTCGCCGAGCTCATGGGCGGTGATGGTTCCTGTCCATCATGAATCAGTACGAGATATTTATGAGCCCAGACGACTATTGAAGTTGAGTGAACGTGTGTCATTTTGGAAGTCGAACGGCAAGGCTGAGATGGTGACGTTTTGAGTGCCGGACTTACCACTCGCATCTTTATCCTGTGTTCAAACGTGAGCCAAAAAGGAGCTGCTTCAGAGCGCAATGACAGAGTCAACTTACGAACAAAGCAAAGACATCCTTGAAAGCCTTGATCTCATCCTCGGACAACGGTTGAGCAGATGTAGGCGTCTAGAAGGCATCAGGCGTGCCAGGGTTAGCTTGCATCGTGCCGTCCAGACTCCATTGGGGATTGGACTGGAATGTCAGGCGCGACGTACCATTGTAACCCTTGGCTTGGAAGAGGTGGGAGAGCTGGTATCGATCTTGGAGACTGTAGGAGGCATGGCGAGAAGAAGACCCAGGGATGCGGCTGAAATATACCAAGAGGAGTCGGTCAGCTTCTAGGCTGCGTTCGGCGGCTACCTAGTTAGAGCAGGAGATGCACAAGTGTTGAGTGTGCCTCGGTCCTGATCCTGATTGACCTAGCCGGCTGTGCTGTGCTTTGCTGTGCTGGCTGTTTGAGATTCGCCAAGGCGTCGCGTGCTGTGTTACGTATGCAGTGACAGCGATCGAATTGTGATTGCAGACACCTTCAAGGATTGTTAAGGCTGCATGCAGGATCGTGGTTTGCGTCGTCGGGCTGAAAGTTGTGAAACGAAACGAGGGGGAGGGGCTGAGAGGAGGTGTAGGCACGTGACATGGGCTTTAAATACTCACGTGATTATTGTGCACGTGAGGCAGATGGGGTGTTTCAAATGACCGTCACAAAAGCCCGACTCGCCGACAAAAACGACTTGATATCACCATCTCCAGTCATCATGAGATGCTACAGTACGCTTCTACGCGATGCGAAGAAGAAACCAATCTTTATGCGCTGTTGAAAAAGTCGCTCATTTGTATAGAAGTGCTCACCCATCTCAACTGCGAGCCTGAGCCCTTTTCTAAGACTATATGTTGACTCGAGCACCGCGACTCTCTCTTTTATTGTCTCCTCGATATATTCCAATGCTACATCAAGCAATGTCTACCAACACGACCCAAGCACAGAAAAGCAATAACAAACTGATCTGTAAGTCACGGCCCGTCTTGGACCACCCAATGTCAGAGTTCTTCATTTTACGTTGCGGTGCTTTTTGGAGGAGCCTCAAGACTATCCATCACACACTCCGCTCTATGACGACCAAGAGTCGATGCAATGCTTACCCGACCACACAAATCACCCTCATGAGTCACTATATTTCATGCCTGACTCCTGACTGTTTTGTTCCCTGCACTGCCGTCGCCATGGGCGTTGGTCCGCGTACCACTTGACAGGATATTATTGATTCCTCCATCCAGCACCCACCGCTTCTAACATTCTCTTTCTCAGTCGCACCGGGTGAAGCTCCCCCAGACTCCGCCGCCCCGACAACCACTCCCTCGAGGGCTGCACAATTCTCGCTCTCCAGCCTTCGCCGCTCTGACCTCTCATCCGATCCATTTACCCAATTCCACGAGTGGTTCACATCCCCCCAGTTGCGCGGACACGTTCCCGAGACCGTCACTTTATCTACGGCCTCTCTCCCTTCCGGCCGCGTCAGCTCACGGGTCGTCTATCTCAAAGAACTCGACGAGAAGGGGTTCGTGATCTATTCCAACTTCGGCACGAGCCGCAAAGCCCGCGACATCGCAAGCAACCCGTATGCGAGTCTGTGCTTTTGGTGGAAACCGCTCGAACGACAAGTGCGTGTTGAAGGAACGTGTGAACGACTAAGCCCCGAGGAAAGTCAGATCTATTTTGATACGAGGGCAAGGGGAAGTAGGGTGGGCGCGTGGGCGAGTCAACAGACTTCTGTCCTTGAGCCTCAGAACAAGGCCAATGGGACTGCCGAGGAAGAAGACGACGGCCGTCTTGACCTTGAGAATCGGGTCAAGGAAGTTGAGAAAAGGTTTGCAGGGCAGGATCACATTCCCGTGCCACCGTTCTGGGGTGGGCTTAGGATCATCCCAGAGGCCGTTGAATTCTGGCAGGGCCGGGAGAGTCGCTTACACGATCGGTTTTTGTATACGAGGATGCATGACAATGAGGGGTGGAAAATTGAGAGGCTGAGTCCGTGATGCTCTAGACCTAAGCACATAGACCCGCGAAAAGACAGAATAAAGAGACAAGAAGGATGTTTTGGTGTTTCAACATATAGAAGTTGAATTCTTCTTCGTCTTCATCAGCCCTTGCTCTTGCTTGTCTGATGTGGCTGCTCAGCTGTTGCTGGCAACTCGGTGTCCAGTTTGTTCGAGAACAGACCAGCGAATCTAGACAACCTTCGTCTAGATCCCCTCTAACTAGAAATTGAGTAGAGATTCTCTTTGTGTTCTGTTGGTACATCGCAATCCAATCCACCTTTTGAAACAACCAGTCAGAAAAGGCTCAATTGCTTGCTCCATCCAGCGCCCCCGCCAGAGAAGTAGCCGAACCATTCGACATGTGAAAACGCCGAGGCCATGTCCATATCCCATATATACAAGCTGTCGCGAGTCGTACAGCAACCTCCAAAACGCCGAGGCCGTAGAATCACCATTGTTGTGGTTCCTATGTTCTGGGTATCGTCGTCATATAACAAAAGAAAATGAGATTGAGGCAAGCGAAAATCCATCGCCACACTCGATTGGTACTTTTAAAGGTTTGTTTTCGTCCTCAAATTTAAGCACTGATACCGCCCATCAGCACCATCACCTTTTCAGTCACGGCGGCAGGGTAGCCTTTTCGTAACATTTCTTGAACAACGGCATTCGCGCTGGTGCGATCTTCAGCAGAAAGGTAGGCCCGAGTCATAGTTTCGTAAGTGCTTGGCTCACGCTTGTCGGTACCAAGCCGGTCGTAGATGGCCTTGGCCTTGTTGATATCACCTTCACCAGCCCAGCCATGAATGAGAGTATTGGCAATGTATGGTGTCATCGGAACGCCGCGTCGAGACATGTCAGCGAGCACCTCGGATGTATTGGCGACTTCATGATTGGCGACCATGGCTTCGAGCAAATTTTGATACAAAGTATCGGTTGGTCGAATGTTGCGCTCGCTCAAAACCGAGTCAAAGACAGCCTTCGCAGCGGGCATATCATGCATGACACATCCTTTGGCATGGATCAAGGCGCCATAGTGAACGGCTTCAGGGTGGACGCCGGACTGTTTCATCTCAGCAAGAATGGCTTCAGCGGCAGGCAGATTGACAGGCTCAAGGGAAGCATGAGCTTCGATGAGCAGCTTATAGGTGTGAGAGGTCGGCTTGATGTTCTTTGATTTCATCCGCTCGTAGTATTGCAGCACCTTGTTTCGGTCGCGTTTGGTGTTGAGGAAGTATTGAATAATCGAATTGTAAGGCGCTGGTCGCGGCCGATAGTTGGGAGCGGCTTCCATCTCGTCGAACATGTCAACGGCAAACCGTTCTTCGCTGGTTCTGCAGAGAGCATTGACCAAAGTACCATAAGTGACGGACGAAGGTCGAATCCCCCTACCCTCCATGTCGCCAAAGTATCGCAGACAATCATCAATGCGGCGAGCCTTCCCAAGCTTGCCGATGACGGCATTGTACAGGAAGACACTAGGAGCCACGCCCTCAGACAGTGCCCGTTGGAAGATCTTAACAGCCTCGGTCGCTTCATCAAAAATCCCTTCGAGTGTGGTAATGTAGATGCCGAAGGTGTTGGCCGACGGAGCTGCGCCCATGTCAAGAAGTTCTTGATGGATCTTGCTAGCCTGTTGACGGTCACCAACAGTCAAGCAAGCAGCAATCATGGAATCCAAGATTGAGACCCAGCCAGCCCGCACAGCTGGGATTTGAAGTGACATTGGGACGTCAGAATGTGCCATGCTCAGAATCTCATTGATCAAGTTTGACTGCTTAGCCTTTCCAGCAGCTGTGATCAATTTGGCATAAGCAGAGTAATGCAGGTTCCGACCAGCGCGACGAACGTTTCTCAAGCGAGACAGACCATCGTTGAGGTGATTCTCAATGCGACCTGTGGTGCTCTCAACCAATTCCGAGATTGCCTTCGAGGCACGAAAGTCGGTGGTATGGGCATACGGGTCGAAAGAATCGGCCTCCGGGGCGTGGCCGACAAAAGACACATGGGGAGACACTGGCGACTGTGCTTGCAGAGCAGCAGGAGTGGGAGCAGCGGGTTGAAGAAGCTCTTGCCAGCGCTGTAGGAGGTCTGGCCGAGCAGCAGCAACCTTTGACAAGCTTTCACTGACGACATGAACGGTAGACGGGTCCATGAGGATACCACGGTGGAGGACAGTCTCAAGAAGGTGGGCGAACCTAGCTTGATGGCCAATGTCGACGGAATTCTCGGACAGCAGCATCTGTGCCTGAACATGCAAAGCTAGAGCAATATCTTGAGCATCGAGCTGATGAATACAATCAGGTCCCAGACTTGCAATGGCATGTTGGGCAACAGGTGATACAAGACCACCATTCTCGATCATGGCTCGCAACAAGGAAATGCTTGTCTGTGACGAGATTGGTGCTTGAGCTTGTCCGAGAGATTCTCCAAAAAGCACAATGGCTTCATCAATCTCCGCGCTGGCCAATTGACGGCTTGCTTCAGAGGCAGCAGAAGTCCGAATGCGCTGGAACATGGCTCGAGCCTCAGCAACTGCTTCTTCGACTAAGCCATAGCGCATCAAGGCCAGGGTGTACATTGTAGCGAAGTCCGTGCTTGGTGTTAGTGGCAACGATCGTGCCTTGAGCCAGGTAGCTTTAGCTTTAGCAATATCGCCAGCTCGGATGTGCATGGCAGTGACAGCCATGACTGGTTCGGCTGTCAAGTTTGCAACCGAAATGGCGTCCAAACTGCTCGTAGCCTCTGCTGTCTTACCAGCATCGGCGGCGGCGGAGCTGACCTTTGAGAGTGCTCGGTCTCGGACAGCCGGTTGCAGAGTGTACTCATTGATGCTTGAGATGGCAGTAGAGAAGGCTTTGTTGTCGATATGATGCTGTACAAGTCCCTTCACGACGAAAGCAGCAGTCAGGTCCTCCGAGAGCGGCTGCTGGTTGGCGGAGTTCTGGAACGATTGCAAGATTCTTTCGTAGAAGCGAAGGCCAGTCTCTGCAAGTCCAGAAGCATAGTAAGCCTTAATCAAAGACGCATACACTTGCATGTCGAGGGGATCATTGACAGCTCTGCTGATGGCGAGGTCACGATACTCCTCGTAGATCTCGTGAGCGGCATGAATATCCTGCTTCGAAGCTTGTGCATCGATGACGAGAGTGTACAAGCGAGAGTCCAGACGGATGTTCTCGGCTTTCATGTCGGCCAGTAGAACGTTCAGGTGATCAACCAAGCCAGCTTGAGCACAGGCTTTGACCAAGGCATTGTATAAGGGTGCAGGGAGTCGGAAGCCATCGAGAGTCGCGCGAGCAATGTTGTATAGCTTGGTGGCGAATGCCAGTGAGGTATCGGCGGCATAGACTTCTTGTTGTCTGGTAGCAGAGGGGAACACCAATGCACCCTCACTTCCGTATCGAGCAGCTCTTTCACCTAGATGCTTTTGCACCTGATACGCTTCAAGACTTCTTGCTGCCAAGAAGTTCAGAAGTATCATGTATGAGGCGGCGTTGAGTTCCACAGAACGCTTGGTCATGTCTCCATAGACCTCGAGCGCTCTGGGCCATGGCTGGTACCCATTGCTCAAGTTGATGGCGGATAACAAGATATGGTTGTAGGCATCGACAGTAGGAACTTGACCTTCTTTGATAATCGCCTCAAATAGTGCTGGGATATCGGCATATCGATGTTGCTGGCCAAGGCGGATAATTTGGTCAGAGACGAGAGTCTCCTCAGAGGCCAGCGAAGTTGCATCGGTGGAGAGGGTCTGTTCCAATGATTGGGATGAAGACTCGGGGTCGGTGACGGTCGGCTCCTGAGCACTAGGCGACACTGCTCGAGTGCTGACAACCGGACTGCCGATTTCCTCTTCTTGAGACGGGACGGATTCAATCTGTTGTGCAGCTTTGACATCCTGGATCTCTTTCGCAATGGCCTCGTCAACCCTGGCAAGTGCTTCAACCTCCGCAAAAACCTCGTCCGCCTCTGGCGCCTGTGTAACAGTGGGCTCGCTATTCGCTCGAGTGGCGGTCAATCGCGACGTCGGTCGGAGAACGTCGAGCGCGCGAGAAGAGTCGAGCCGCTGGTATTTTGTAGGGCCAGTCTTCTCTTGTTTCCATCCTATCCGTCTGGCAAATTGATGTTGCTTCCACTCCGAGTCATCACCTGTCTGCTGTGCATGCTGCCAGGCTGCGTAGTACTGGGCTAACCCACCATCACCGCCCGACGACTGGGAATTGTGTCCAGCCTTCGCACCGGCGCCAGAACCCGAAGGGCTCGAGAATACATTTTGTAGTTGTGCGGTCTTGGAGAATTTCGCAACCGGGTAATTCTGAAAGGTTCCGAGTGACTGACCAGCAGCAACGACGGAAGGAGCGTAAGTATGGGCGATTCCCTTTGCGAAGCTGACTCTTGCAAGATGTGCGAAGGGCTTGAAAGGCATTAGGAGATCGAAGAGGGCTCTTCAAGGGGAAGAGGATAGTGGTCGAGAAGAAAGAAAGTGACTAAAGCAGGTTCATTTGACGACTTGGAAGCCGTCAAACGAACGCGCAGACTGAAGAGGGTGAAATGGTGGAAGGAAAGAAAGGTCTTGAGCACACTCGGAGTGGAGTGTGTTGTTGTCGTTTGTCTGATCAATGCTGGAAGAAAAGAAGGTATTGTTCGTGAGAGGCGTGTGCGAAATATCAAGGTGGCTCGAAATGGCACGTACTCGCAAAAAGATCGTGCCTAGTTGCCTGGCGGAGTAAATTGGAAGCGTGTTCCAGTGGTGATGAGCACTCGAGGCTGTGGATGGAGCACGTCAGGTGGACGGCAGACGGATATCGTTAGAAGACAGGAAGAGTTAGGAAGTCATCGTGACCATTCACGAAGCCGAAATGCTTGAAAAGGACCCGTTTTCAAGGGCGAAGCTGTGCTCGATGGAGCTGGTTCATTCGTAGCATATCGGAAAGATGAGGGATTTCCATCGCAGATTCCCGAATGCACCCTGTCCATTGGTCTACCGAGCTCTAGGGCTCACGGCCTGGCGAAAGTCCCCCGGAACATGAATAACGACAGGCTCTGGTGGGCTCCCTGGAAGTCGAGCTCCCTCCCCGGAGCCAATGACATACTTGTCCCTGCTCGGAGCATAACAGTTCCTCTATCCGGGCACTCGGAAGGAGTTTGGGCCTTATTCTCGAGGCATGCAGATGACATATGGAGAAACTTTTGTTCATCAAGGTTCTGGTTAATCCGTACTCCCCTATGTTTATACCAGTAATCAATGATGACACCAGTGATGTTCGTGCGAGTTGCACCGATGAGCACCTACTTGAAGAGTTATCTACGCAATCGAGCTCCTCTCTCAGACAGTTTCCATCCCACGAATTCTACCACAGCAGAATGATCGACTTCCTCAACTCTTAGGTATGTAACCTGAAGTGAGAAAGTGCAAGGTAAGCGACAAGGCAAGCCACGGTCCCTTGTTGATGCTCCAAACGCACGCGAGCACCTCCGCATTTTGCCAAATCGACAGATGACTCCTGACCTCTGACACGTGGAGGACAGCAGATATTGACATGGGCTCACTTGTAAGCAACTGCTGCTGAACAGCATCAACTATCGCTGTCACTCTGCCCATCTCACTCCTCGCCAACTGCTCGCAATGGCATCTACAAACACCGTCCCATCCACAGCCTTGGGCCCGTCTCAGGCCTCTGGCCTCTCATCGTCAGCAACAACGCGTAAATTCCAACGTCCATCCCTCTTCACCCGCTTCCGTTTCTTTCTAAGAATATGGCTCATGAAGGGCATGACCACGCTCTTCTTCAAAAGCATTCGTCTAGTCCATGCCCGTCAGCTTCGCGGCTTTCTGCCAAACTACACAAAATGTGAGCACAAGCCAAAGCAAGAGCCAAAGCACAACCAACACCAATCTTCAATCTTCAATCTGCACTCCTCTGCCCTCCTCGTAGGTCAACTCCACTAACAAATTCCCGTCCTCCCCAAGGCTATCCCGTCCGCCCAACACTAGAAAACCGTATCTTCCTGCCTAAAGGCTACACCAGCACCGGCACCACGCAGTATCCCCTCCTCATCACCATCCATGGCGGTGGCTTCGCCCTTTGTGATCCAGCCATGGACGACGAGTTCAACCGCACCTTCGCCGACACGTACGACTTCATCGTCGTGAGCGTGAACTACCACAAAGCCCCTGGCACTGCCTTCCCGACCCCCGTCCATGACGTGGGCGCCATCGTCGAGTCCATCCTTGCCGACTCTTCACTCCCCATCGACACCGGCAACATCTCGATCGCCGGCTTCTCCGCCGGCGGCAATCTGTCTCTGGCCGTCGCTCAACTGCCAGGCATCAAAGACAACGTCCGGTCCATCATCCCCGTCTACCCCGTCGTCGACTTCACCGGCCAACACAAGGGCGCCTTCCGCACCACGCCCGATGGCAAACCCGACCTCCTGAAGGACCTGGGACCCTTGTTCAATTGGGCCTATATCCCGCCTGACACGGACCTATCCAACACTCTGCTCAGCCCCATCTGTGCCGATAGAATGCAGCTGCCTCAGCGGATATTCTTCATCGGCGCCGAGTACGACTATCTGTGCCACGAAGCAGAAGTCATGGCCAAGAAATTCGCCGGCCTTGAGGCTTCGGATACAGGTCCTGAATGGGAACAGAACGGGATCAAATGGCGGATGGTGCCGGACGTGACTCATGGGTGGACACATCTGTCCTTGAAGAACCCGGAAGCGGAAAAGAAGAGGAAGAAAGATCTGGAGGGCTTGTATAAGGAGATGGCAGATTGGCTGAGACAGTAGTAGTGTACAAAGCGTATCCTGTATATGGAGCAGGATGAACAAGGCAACAGTGGAGACTTCGAGTCACATTTATGCAGAGTCATACTAGAAGTACTTCAACCTGTATATGCACACGATTCTCCTTCATAAGCTTTTTGCTTCCCTCCCAGTCGGTTTGCCCAAAAACGCCTTGCTATGCTCAATCACATGTGGCCCAACACATAATTCAAACACCGGTTCAGTGCAATGCAGTTGTTCGAAAGACCGCTTGGTCAAGCCCCATGTACTAGGTCGACCAAAGGCCTGCTCTGCGCAGCATACAGGACGAATGGCCTCGGGGAAGCCGTGGCTGAGGGCAAAGCTGACAGCGCCAGGACTTCCACGTGTCGAACTAATCCAAGAAGGCCACACCAAGACGTCGTAGCTCTTAGGGTGCATGATGATATCAACATGCACAGCCATCGTCAGCTGGCTTTTTGTTGTTGACCGCAACATCAATCACTAACGCCAATGTTTAGTACCCGACCCGGGAACATCTTATGCTTTGCTGTGGCTTACCTTGCGGATTAGGCTGCGCCTGGTCTTCGCCCTCCATGCCCGGCAGGGCCTGCGCTATCCTCCTAAACAACGCCTTGACATTATGACCGAGTTTCGCGCTGGTCTCCATGAAAATGGCGCCTGCCCTTTTCGCCTCCTCTTCTCCCTGCTGCGTTGTGACTTCTCGTTTACTATCTCCCAAATCGGTCTTGTTTCCGACCAGCACGACAATCACATCGTTACCACGCTCACCCCGGACATCATCTATCCATTTCCGCGTCTGTTCAAACGTCTTTTTCGATGATATATCGTAAACCACAACGGCGACGGAGGAGTCGCGGATGTATGATGGGATTAGGGAGCGAAATCGTTCTTGGCCGGCTGTATCCCACAACTGCAGTCGGACCGTGCGGTCTTCTAGATACATTGTTTTCGAGAGGAAGTCGATTCCGATGGTGGCTTGATATGTTGTGTCGAAAGAGTCGTACATGAATCGTGTGATCAGAGATGTCTTGCCAACTGTAGCCTGCGTCAAAATGCGACTTGTTCTTGGGAGAGGACTGTTCCGGTCATACCACTCTGTTCGCCGAGAAAGACGAGTCTGGTGGTACTGTCAGCGGTAAACTTGATCCTGTCTGGGGCTACACAGACTTGAACTTCTTCAAAGGGTTCGAATACGACCCTACTGCGCTTTGCGCCATGATTGCCTGTTGTGTATGAGGAGCCTAATGAAGGGCTCTACGCCCGGAGGATGGGATCTTCGAAGGATTTTGGGGGTCGATTTCGGAGTAATGGTGCTATCATAAAGTCATGGCATTCATGAACAAAGGACGAATACTATGTATGAGCAATCAGGAGAGAGAAGGGACAACTCCTGACTACAGACTGCAGTAGTAATTCAGGGTCGGCACGAAATTAACAGACGGCAACGGCGATTAGGAAGCGGGTGTGGAGTCAAGGCCAGACTTTATGGCCTTCGCATCTTTTCAACCTTCATGACCGCATGCAGTTCAAGTTGCCGTGCTTCCCTTCCACTTGGCTTTTGCAGAGCCATCCCCACTGAGAAGAGCGTGGCAGGCGACCCCAAGGAATAGAGGCGGCCAGCTCCTTTCAAGCCTATTGGTTGACCCGGGTCCTGCAACAATCGAGGATCCGCCATCGAAGAAAATCGACCTCCATCTTCTGCGCACCTGCATTCGGGCTCAATCGAGCGGACATGACCCTGCGGTAACAATGCGGGCATCACTGGCGCTGTTCAAGCGCTCTGCTTGGAAAGGTATGTCACTGTGTCAGCAGTGTGCTTTCTCACCAAGCCACTTGCGCAGAACCTTCGTGAACAGACAACTCACTCAATATACAGGACCAAATGTCGTCCCCTTCGACAACCTGAGACCTGCTGGAGCAGGCAAGACTCCTCCCATCATCAAGACTCAGGCCCGAGCAGCGTCGATACTGCCGGCTTTCGTTGGACTACGGTTCGCCGTCCACAATGGGAAGACCTATCAAGAAGTCTACATAACTGAAGAAATGGTGGGAAGAAAGCTGGGAGAATTTGTCCCGTAAGTGTTCGCAACGGGCAAGTGGCAGATTTGCTTCACATCTGACATTTGGACCTCCTTCTTCAGGACGAGAAAAAGGTTCACCTACAAAATGTCCAAGAACAAATAGACAAACGCCAACGACTTTCATGTACAACATCATTTTCTGGACGGGGATATCGGAAGATTTACGGTCTGTTCGTAGAGACCTCAACCGGTTCGACTGGCCTCGGGGGCATCGAGGCTTTGCACCAATATCAGACCAGAGTCTGCAATACCGAGTTCATGCCAGGATCTCTGTATCATTGCATTGTCTGATTGTGCAAACCCAACCGTCGTAGACTCCCAATCTTGAATCGTGAATCGTCCTTTCTCCGACGCCTCTCGCTATGCATAAATCAAATGTGCAAAATCTTCCATGCCACATTGTGAGAACCAAGTCCATCACGCGTAGCCCTGATCCATCAAACCGAAGAGAGGTATCATCTGTAAAACTCCCCCCTCTTGATATTGATTCCATACTCTTGCATCGCCATGCCGAGGTCCTCCATTGTCAGGACCGCCCGTCCCTGCCCGCTTCCACCCTGCCCTCCACCGCCGTACCCGCTCCTCTGAACGCCCAACTGCGTCGTCTGCTGAGCCTTGCCCGCTCCAGTGCCGCCTGCTGCACCAGCCGCGCCGAAGCTACTCGGTCCCGCACCTGCACCGCCAAGGGCCGCATTGCCCAAGGGGTTGTTCGCCGAGGCTGAATTCGAGGCACGGATCCGGCTGTACTGGTACGCGTCGGCTGCAATGTCCGCGACGAATTTCTGGGTCGCGAGAGCGAGCAGCCGTGCTAGAGGAAGCGGTGTGCTGTTCGTGCTTGCGCCGGATGGGTCGGACGGTGAGGGAGGTGGGAGGCCTGCGAGGGTTAGATAGTGAGACGTCACGGCGTCGGGAATCTATTAGACAACAGAACAGTCAGCAATGGTGTCCTTTCCGCCTGCTGTGTCGCAGCAAGTTCCCATAGGCTAGGGGGCAGTGAAATGCTAGACGTACAATCGGCGCATAGTCATCCATCTTGCTCAGGAATTCTCGCAGTGTGACATCCTTGCGATTATGATGGGAGAGGCCCGAGGTTGTCGTCTCGGCGGGCTGTGTTTCGGACTGTGTGAAGTCGTGGTCAAGTGTGCCTGATGAGGTTTCGTTGGGAGCATTGTTGCGCGGTGCTGGTGCTGGCGCTGGTGCTGCCTCTGATGAGCCGTTGGCAGTGGTGTCTTGAGTGTTGTCCGCCATTTCGGTATCGACGTCCATCGCCGTTGTATCCTCGGGGGGCGGGGGGGAGGACATGTCGGGATCGGTGACTAGAGTTGGGCCCAGTATGATAGTGTAACAGACTGATGATATGCCGTGGAACGTTGGATGAAATGTCGCATGCGCAAGGCTGGTGTTCGCGCAAAGTGTAAGTGAAGACAAGGCTTGACGACCTACAGGGAATTACGGACGTTCACCTAAGGAATCTGGAGTGCGGAGAATTTGATCCGAGCCCAAACCAAGGTACTGTAGCCCCAGGCTTTGGGCTCCTATAATTTCGATGGGACTTTACCATAGCATAGCTGATAACTGCCTAGAGACTGGATTATGTTTGAAGGATTAATGTCATAAAAACATCAGGCGCTGAGGTAGCAACAGCCTATGAAAGGACATCGCATTTCAAGCTCGTAGATGTCTACATCTCCTATGTCGTGGACTCTGTCATGATCAAGATTCAAGGCGACCTGAATTCACTTCCTGAGAAGCCTGCGCAGCTGCGCGAGCGATCATGGCCTCAACATCCTCCATACTCGGTTCAAACGTTGTCTTTGACTCGGGAGGCTGAGAAACCTGACCAAGTCTATCAGTTTTCGGGGACTTTTGATTCAGCGGTGGAGCACCGGCATCCGCCATGCTTTGTAGTTGTGCTTCGTCATCTTCAAGGGCCGCGAAGCCATCCAAATCATCGAAGGACATCTCGTCTGCTTCTAATTGCATCCTGTCGCGTTCCTTGGCTTCCTCCAGCTTCGAAGCTTGTCCCGGAGCCCGGGTTCTCAGGTCGCCTGTAACAGCTTGCAAGTAGTAAGGTACTTCGATGCCACTTTTCAAGAAGAACAGCTTCAAATTGCGCGCTTTGTCCTTGAGCTGCACTTGATTTCGGTCTTTCAAAGCCTCACTTATCGTGCCTCCCGGTCCATACATCGCCAGAATCTGACTCCAGTGTGCGCCTTTGACCTGGTCGATGCCATTTATCAGGGCGTGTTCTTCTTCAGTCGTCCAGGGACGCCTCTGGGCGAGTACGACTCCTTTTCGCGGTATCATGGAAGCCTTTGCTGTTGCAGCCTGTCTAGCTCTTTCATAAAGAATCAAGGTAGGGGCCGTCTGGGATGCATGAGGGATTTCCGGGTTGCTGCTTATAGCTGAAGGTGACTTAGACTTTCTGTTCTCCATACGTGGCTCGTGCTGCTGCTGTTCAGGCAAGGTTGACGGAGCAGCAGGCGTCTCTTGTTTGGCAGTAGGCGATGGCACCGCGGGCACTTGCTCTGGAGCTGATACACCCCCAATTTCTTGCAGCGCAATCTCCGCAGCTCTAGCGGCTTGCACAACAAAATCATCGTCAAACAGGGTTATAGTCGGAGTTTGACCCTGCGTCACTTGCATCAGGATAGACTCGGTGGAAGCGGCCAGCGCTGGTGGAGCGTGTACGGAGAATTGTCCTTCCATTTGACCTCGCTGTAGATTCTTAGTAGGATCACTCCGCTTCAAATCAACCTGAGCGTTGCCGTTGTTGGATGAGGTCTCAATGCTCTGCTTCAAATAAGCTACCACCTCTCGGCTAAAATCCTCCCACCGGTACTTTAGGGGTAACTGGTCAAGAGTGTTGCTCTTGGCATGAGTTTGCAGAATTTCACGCCGCGATGAAAGTTGATTGAGGAAGTCTTGCTCTGTCGGTCCTAAGATGGTTGTGCCGGGCCTCCTGGCCAGGATCTGTTTGTCTAGGTCTGGTCCAAACATATCCGCCATAACCACGTGAGGTGGAGCTGCGCCTGTCCTCCAGGCTGTTATGAAGCCTTGGGTTTTCAACTCAAGAAACATCGAGGCTTGCGACTTCAGTAGTGTTCCATTCTCCGGCACCAATACAGGAAGGAAGCCACGGTCCATATCGCGAAGTCCGATTTCACCTGTGAAGATACTCGACATAAATGTGGCTTGGTTGGCTTTGCGGATGGACTCGATCTGGTTCGCGTCTCGAAGTTGCAGATCCTGTGTCGATAAGAACGGCTGTCCAGTATAGAACATCCTTCTGATGGGGTCGAACCTTGCTCGCAGCGCAGCATATTCGCGGGTCTTGGGAGAATTAGGTATATTCGACAAGCCCAAGGCCTCGCTGGGTGTCAAGCGGGCAAGGAAGGTCAATATTTCAGAAGCTATGCTTTCCAGCAGGGGTAGACTGTCCAGACGGTTCTTCATTCCTACCGGCTTTTGCTTGGGTGGCTGTGTAGAGGCAGTGGGGTTCTGGTTCCCAGCTGGCGCAGGGACCGGTGCGGCTGTAGACTGAGGCACCGTTGACTGTTCATTTTCCTTCTTTTGCGCATCGGCCACCCCTGGGACGACACTCGGCACTTGAGCACTTCTCTTCTCTACACCATCTTCGGGAGGGGATAGGCGCTGTCTTTTGGGACTTCTCGGATTATCGTCGTGCGCAACGGTCGTCCCAAATGTTGATGCAGGTGCTTGGGACGAAGTCTCCTCTGGAAGAGATTACTGACTGCTTCGCTCTGGGAAGGAATAGTGGTTACCTTTTTGTCTCTGGGAGGCTGCTACTCCCGCAGTATCGCTAGCAGCTTGCGGTGAAAGGGAACCAGGCGACATCGCTTCGTCCTTGCATGTTTTGCGTCTGAAGCTCGAATGCGAAATGAGAATCACGTGTAAATAATTAAAATAGAGTCCGACAGAAAAGATTGCGGGGAATCACTCGGCAGTCGGCTTCACATGCTCTCACGTGCTCTCACTTACGGCCACTTTCACTTTCACTTTCACTTTCACCGTCGGCCTTTTTGTGCCCTTAACACATGAGTCTCGCCTGACCGGCTTTTGAAATTGCGCAAGGCGAAGAGAGGAGAGGTGGAGGGCCCAAAAAGTCGCTTGCTAAGCCCATCTTTGAGTCTCTCTATCTCTCTAGCACACCTACCTAAACCTACCTATCAGTATCCTTGCTATCATATGCAATGCCTCCCAGCCCCCCGGTTTTGCTTTAGCCAATCTGCTACACTCCTCAGGAGCCCTATTCAGGCACGAGCTTGAAAGATAGTCCAAGGTAGCAAGCAGGCTTCACTCTTTCCGTTACGAAGTATGGCGTCATTGATCCATATTCTGAACACTCGGAGACGAGCATCTTGAGAGAGAAAAGGGTGGTGGGCTATCAACAATTGCCAGATTAAGTTCCCATTGCTGTACTCATCCGAATCGATCAAAGATGGTGTCTCAAGCGTACAGTATATTCCCATATCATCTGAGGGTCTGGTCAAGTACATGGGATGTGCTAAAAGCCCCCAAAGTTTGTTCGGTAAGCAGCAGAGCAGGTTAGCTGACTGGGGATTTTGGCGAATCGAAGATGATGCCTCACCAGACCAAGCCAAACATGGACCCCGCCATTTAACGCTTACTCGTGCTATCGAAGCTCTCCATGGCGATCCGTTCCTTTGTCCACGCTTGTCTTCACCGTATGCACAATGATCATGGGACACGGCTCTCGATTCAGTAAGCAGTTCTTAGGCCTTGCTTCCCAGGGCGAATGCTGTCATGAGCTCTTGGAGCTACCCTGCAGCTGCCTCAAAGCTAGGTTCGACCTCATAAGGCTCATGACACCCCGCCATCTTTGACTACTCTCTGCTTCTGAGTTTCACTGGTAGCTGGCGGCTGACTTGACAAGATCTATGAGTTAACCTGAACTAGATATTGGGCGACAATGGGCAGAAGTCTCTCCGTCCAAGTCTCTATTCTGATCCTGTTCTTCCTCCTCAATCCAGTGATCTCCCAAACAGTCCTCAAACAACAAGTCTTGAACACATTCATCTATACTCGATATGGCGACAGAACTCCGGTGGTTCTGTCCTCGTCGCCCACTTTGACTCCTCTCGGCGCCCAGCAGCTTTTCGAAGCTGGTACTAAAATCCGCGATAGGTACGTGGCACCTAGCGATGGCAACTACACATCAACCTCCACCATATATGGCGTATCTGCAAATCAGCTAGTGTACAACCAGATCAAGACTTTGTCTACCAGCGATCAATATGTGGCTGCCTCTGCTCTCGCATTCCTTCAGGGACTGTATCCTCCTCTTGAAATGTCCACAAATTGGACCTATATCGAAGGCCAGAGCACTCTTGCGAATGGAACGAACCTCGTGGCACCATTGAATGGCTACCAATACCCTGAAATCACCACAATATCGAGTAATGATCTGAATTCCATCTGGGTCAGTGGCATGGACAACTGTCCTTCCTATACTGCCTCGACTCAGGAGTACTATCGAACCATTGATTATCAGAGCATTTTGAACACTACCATGGATTTCTACACAAGCCTTGAGCCAGAATTCTTGGATGGAGTTTTCTCCAGCGCTGCGGTCGGCTACTACGATGCCTACTATATCTATGACTATCTCAATTATGCCTACATCCACAACGACACGGTAGCGGAATCACTACGACCGGAGGACCTGACAAAGGCCAAAATCCTGGCGGCTGATTGGGTCTTCGCAATGAATGCCGACCTCACGGCATCTGGTTCGACGGCAGGAGATCGCATTCGAGCGATTGCCGGAAGAACGCTGGCCACCCGCCTCCTCATAGCGTTCGACACAGCCATCAACACGCAAGGGCAATCGGAGAAAATGACCCTTCTTTTTGGCAGTTTCGAACCCATGATATCCTTTGCCGCTTTGACCAAGTTGGTTTCGCAGCAAAATGCGGCATTCTACAACGTCCCAGCGCCCGGATCAAGTTTCATCTTTGAAATGTTTTCGATGCAAGCTGACGAGACTACAACCTGGCCCAACACGTCCGACATCTACGTCAGGTTTCTCTATCAAAATGGTACAGACTCTGATTCCTCCTTGATAGAATATCCTCTCTTTGGGCTCAGTCCAAGTGAGGCCGCAGTTCCTTTCACAGATTTTGTCAGGAGCCTGGAGGAATTCTTGATGTTCGATGTAGGGGATTGGTGTACGACGTGCGGTAGCTTCAGCGTCTTCTGTCCCGCCTTTACTGACACGGATGGCAACTACAATCCCACAACGGGTCTGCTGCCTTCGGGACATAAAGGGCTATCTCCGGTTGTTGCGGGCGTGATTGGAGCCGTCGTCACTCTTGCGGTCGCTCTACTACTTTTTGCTGCGCTAATGCTCTTGGCCGGTATCAGAGTACACCGCGTTCATACCAGGCGCAGGTCGGAACTGGCAGGGTTCAAGGGAGGAGCAAAGTTGGCAAGCGATCAGGATCTTACGATACCTAAGGGTGGCGCAGGCGCCGTTGTTGTGGCGGCTGCAGAGGGAGACCCAGTCCAGACTCGAGCTCACGAAAGAGTCGGAAGTTGGGAATTGAGAGATCAGGCCAAAGCAAAAGAAGCGCAAGGTGGAGTACTAAATGCTGGTGTTACTCGATCACCACGCCCGAGCTATGAAGACGACGACCTGCCTATCACTCCATATACGCCTGCAGTTGATCCACGCAATCACGTCTAAAAAGAACATGGAAACGAGGAATTACGACGAGCTACTAATGCTAATGAAGTCAAAGCGATACATGAGGTTCTTTTCTGCTATACCCCGGACTTAGCGACTCCCCTATATACCTGACCAGAGTCGGTGTTGAACATCACCAGAATGGAAGTTTTTTCTGAATACTGCCGCACCTCTTTCACTGTTGAATTTTTCTATATCACTGGTCTCTGAAGTCGTTTTGAGACCTTCCATCTTCATCATGCGTGTCTATCCGCTCCTGCTCGTCAACTCCTACTTGCAATAGTCGCGCAATCATTGTCAGGATATCTTCTTGGATGCTCAGCGGCTCCTGCCTCTTGGGCCGTCGACTTTGCTGGTGAGTACGCACCTTGTTCCTTCCTTCGTCCTCTCCTTCGCTCCTTCAAACTGCGATACAAAGTGGCATCGCCGTGCGCACCTCACTCGCATCTCGAGATGACTTCACTCTCATTTCATCATCTCGACACCACCACCGCAAAGAGCTTTGCTGCTTTCTCTCTCAAACAAACCTTCTTTTGGTTCCTTCACTTGGCTACTCAATCCACCTCAATTAGAGTCGACGCAAAGCATAATATCGAATATGACTAACCGGAGCACGGATAACCAGGCCAGCAGGTCACAACGGTACACAATATCACACCTTCTCGAACTTGCTCCTCAGCCCAGGAGCCTCAATTTCGACCTCTCCAAGTTTACCTACGACGCCGCTCGAGGTTAGTGAGGAGACGTCATCCAAACCAAGCAAAAAGTGAATTGAGACTGACTTAAAGGTAGCTGGAGTAGTGCCTCCGTTGGGTGCTTGTGCAATGGCTCCTCGTCGGACTGTGAGCGATAGGCCACGCGGCTGGTCTCAGGAATCGAGCGATTCGCAGGAGGAGCTCATCCTTTATCGAGGCAACCGCATTGTGAAAGGACCTCAGAGACAGCCGGTCGTCCCACCAACCACCCAGCGAGCTCAGCAGGATGAAGGATTTGCTCGATTCCTCAAGAAACACTCGTCTCCAACTCATCAACGAGTCACTGCTGGGGGACGTATTGTGCCAATGGAGCAGCGACCGCGCCCTCCACCATTTCCACTGCCAAATTCAAAGCAAGAAAAAGAGCCGGGATGCGTGGATGATATGGACAATGAAGGTGAATGTAGCGGCATGGACCATCAGACATCAAATTCAGAGACGAACAGTCAGGTCAAGGCCCGCCCGGAAGGTGCAGACGGACAATTCTTGCATCCGCAGGTTCACATGCTCGCCAACACCAATATCATGCCTGGTCCTGTCAACGTCAACTTGATGGCTACCACAGATGCCTTCTCCATGGACGGTCCACGTGTCCAAGCACCATTGTTTCCTGGACTTCTGACACCACCAATGTTCCCAAACATGTACGATCCCTTTGGTGTTCCAGGTGGCCAGATGTATCCTGCCAGTACGTTGCCTCTCGCTGCGCCGTTGACGGGCTTCAGTGGAAATATGGATGGTCCGTACTCAATGCATATGCTGCCTTCGCCAGAGTTGACATACTTTCCGGTGATGGATGCTATGCCAGCTGCTCAGAATGAGGTTCGAATTCCAGATGATCTACACTCCAACAAGATGCTGCAGGATGCCATTACCCGCTTCAACGATCTCGATCAGCAACTCAAAAATCTTGATCGCCATCGAGCCATGGGTGAGCGAGATCCTCAGATCACTGGTCAGCGTATAACCATTGTCGAACTTCGTGCAGATGCAAAAGCAGCAATGAATTATTGGACCTCAGTCGTGGAGAACGAGCTCAAGGCTCTTGGACAGCAATGCGTGGACCGTCCCACTAGCACTCTCAATGTGGAAGCTGCTGCCTACATTCCTCTTGGTGCGAATAAAGTCGCTTCACCAATCGACAACGTCAATGGAAGTGCAAAGTCGGCCAACAACGCCCCGAACATTGCACTCAAAGCTCCCCCCAAAGCCGGCCCTCATCGCATCCCGATCGTGGCTCCTCCAGAAAAGGCAGCTTTTGGCAGAAGTACGAACAACGACAATGCATCAGATGCTGACTCGGTTGAAGTCGACGAATGGGGTTCTCGCATTGGTGACCCACCAGAAGAGATTCAAGCTCAGCAGAGTGAGATGCTGTTGAAGTTGGGCCGCGAACTAAGCATCTCTCCTCAAGTGTCATTTCACAGCTCTGATGCGATCAGTCCTGCTGAGATGACCCATTCGGTGACATTGAAGTCGTCCCCTCTCAAGCATCAACTCAGAGAAGCAGCCATCGAGCAGAATGAAGAGAAAGAATCAATCAACGGAGAGTGGCTACCTCCTCAGCCGGGTCGTGCTCCTCCTACAGTTGAAGCCTTCTACGAGGTGCAACTCGACGCAATGCGTCTGCCCAAAGGATTCACCACTAAGGTCAAATTGCCGGATGGTAGCATTTCCGAGATTGCAGGTCAAGGATTGCGTCGGCCACCTTCTTGCGAAATGGACGAGTTTGAACGACGATATTGGACGGAGAAGCCGGAACTGTCCTCGGAAATGGCCACCAACTTTGTCGACATAACTGCCAATGCGGACAATATTTGTGCGGATCGAAAGAATCAGAAGGAAAATGCTCTGGTGGTCCTGAACCACTGTAGCTCTGGATCTCCGGAGAGATTGGTCAGCGACTTTGAAGCACCAGGAATCGAGAGTGCCCGGTAGGCCTGCGACTCGTCCTGCATATTTGACTCTTCTTTGAAACTGACAGAGTATAGGGCCTTGAAGCTTCCACGATTTGGCCGGAAAGCCTACACCTCAATCACGGCGGCTTCAAATGGATCGGATACGGCTCTATCGACGTGGGGACAACCTACTCCTACTTCGCCGCTGCGTTTGTCGCGCGACAAGGTGGGCTGGTCAGCAAGTGAGCAATCGAAGATTGGACTCGACACAGCGTACGATACAGCCATCTCCAAGGGCTTCTCTTCAGTCTCTGTCCAGAACGTTCATGCCATGGGTCGCTTGCCGCACATGTTGGACGGCGCAACTGACAGTCAACGCCGCTCAGCCATGTCTTTGCTCTCCGCAGCTGGCAAGGTTCGAAGCCCTCCGCTTGTGAGAAGCCCGACTACTCCTGCAATTGGCTTTCATGGTGGCTCTCAAGATCGTGAGGTTGGCGGCGTGACGTTGGAGGGGGATGATGTCTTTCGACCTCAGTCGGCTAAGCAACATGTGATGTGAGGTTGTCGGAGTCGAGACTTGTTTGCCGCAGGTTTGTGGTGCGGTCACAAGTACAAGGAATTCCATTTTGCCCGAGTGTATGAAACACACGAATTGGTCATGTCCGTTGGGCGGCATGCGTTGGTAAGCTTGTATGGTGTTTCAGAATATCACAGAAACACGGCGGCATTGAACTTGAACTGGTCATGGAAAAAGAGGGATTAATTGCTGATGTCCTGAAGTGAAAGGAGCTATGCAAGCATTCAGGATGTATTTTACCCGTCGACATCAAAGATGAAGAGAATGCGTATGGAGACATTGACTAGGTAGTGTCGGCAGAATAGCTGCAATTGGAGACACTTAATACGAATATTGGTTGAGAAACTGAAGTCGTTCTTCGTGCCTTGGATGCGCAGTTGTTTTGTCGAAGATGGCCACAGCTCTGCAAGCCAATGCAAGACACGGCAAGATCAAGATCGCCCGCAACTGTGGATGATATAGAGTACGCGTGAGGACGCAGTATCTAGGTTAGAATGCGCAACGATCAGTGGTTACTTGCACCGGAGAACACGGCGAGTTGCTGAGAAATCAACCGGAGAGGAAGTGGGAATATGCAGCCCGCAATCGGCAGACGGAGGGAGACTGCAGCACGATGACGACGAGGGATTCAAGGTCGAGAAATAGTGCAAGTAAAGGATCAGATTCGAGCGACAGGCATTCCCTGTGTCTCTGAACATTCTTTTGCCCCTCCATTCAAGTCTCTCGAGGTTGGCCAGACTTCCCGTGCATCTAGAACATGGGGACCATCGTGGACCATCAAAGCGTTATCTTCGAGATCGGCCGATGGGTGACTGGTGGTACTCGTGGTGCTGATGGTGCCATTGGTGAGAAGCAGAGGCTGGCATTGGAGCTCGAGGGCACAGACAGGCACAGGAACGAGCAGCAGCAAAGACATTTGGTGCCCTTGGCGGCACTCGTAGTTAAGGGTGTCGTGCCCCTAATAAGTTACCTAGCTCGCCTAGGTCGGTCGCCGTGGTCGCCCAGAGCGCGCAAGTCCAAACGTTTCGCCTGTCAAATCCCTATTCCCATTCCCAATCCCCACCCTTTCTGTTGGACCGAGTAGAGTTCGGACTCCTCCTTCCTCCCTCCTCCACTACTACTACCGTAACCATAGTTATCCAGACTATCGCTCTTTGCACCTGCTCTTTACTCCGTATCCTTGGAAGCTGACTGCCTGGCAAGGACTGGTCACAATCGCGCATTTCACTTCGAGCAAGCACCATCAGCCTCGACTTCAGCCTCAGTACAACCACCTTGATATGGCGCTCCGCAAATAGCCATCCCAGTCCGATTCGTCCTCATCCACTTCCCAGACCTCCAATTCTCTGCCTTCGCCCCATTGTCCTTCTCAGCAAGGCCTCACCTCTACAGGATCCTTACGAGACTGCGTTGAAACTGCGGATCCATTGAGTTGGCAACCCGCAGCATTATGGCTACCGAACGACGTAATTTTTCGAGCCTGTCCTTCTCCTCCAAGAAACATCTCCATGCCTCCGACACGGGCACACATACTCCTACCTCCACAAAACTCAAGAATTTCTTTCGCATCAACAGCGGCGGAAGTCAGACATCCATAGGCTCGGACGGCCTTCCGACTCCCAAGACCGAGACCAAGCCCGTCAAGCAGTCGAGGTTCCTGCCGGGCCTCGCCAGGAATCGTTCAACGACCGTCGCTAGTGAAGGCCATCCTCTTGACGATACCTCCCTCTCCCCCACAGCACAAGCCAATCCATACTTTGTCCACCAGGGCCCGCCCGCTCTGCGGCATCACAATGAAGGGAGCGTCCCTCCATCTCCCCCAGACACTCCCAAAGTCCAGGTCAATGGCGCCGCAGCAGAAGAGAAAGCAGTCACAGCGGGTAAGGAAGAATTGGCGCGCAAATTGCGAAGGGTCGCATCCGCACCAAATGCGCAGGGCCTCTTCACTGTCAGCAAGAACAATGCAGAAAGACCGCAGACCGCCGAATTGGGAAAGGAGCCATTGGCCGTGCTTTCGGGCTCGACACCGAAATTGAGCATGCTTGCTCACGCAGACGGCAGTCCGACAAGTTCGTCAATGCCTGGGGCCAAAATACCACTTCCTGGCCAAATCCGTCAATCTGTCGCTTTTAGGAGAACGTACAGCTCGAACTCGATCAAGGTGCGTAATGTGGAAGTGGGCCCCGGCAGCTTCGACAAGATCAAGTTGATCGGCAAGGGCGACGTGGGCAAGGTATATCTGGTGCGCGAGAAGAAATCCAATCGTCTTTACGCCATGAAAGGTGTGTGACATCCACCCCGTCTGCAAGCTCGCCAGATGTTGGAATTAACCTCTTCTAGTATTGAGTAAGAAGGAAATGATCAAGCGCAACAAGATCAAAAGAGCTCTTGCAGAGCAAGAGATTCTAGCAACGAGCAACCATCCATTCATTGTCACATTGTATCATTCTTTCCAGTCAGAAGAACATCTGTATCTCTGTATGGAATATTGCAGCGGCGGTGAGTTCTTCAGGGCTCTGCAGACCCGACCCAACAAATGTATTGGCGAAGAAGACGCACGCTTCTACGCGGCAGAGGTCACAGCCGCGCTCGAGTACCTACATTTGATGGGTTTCATCTATCGGGATCTGAAGCCTGAAAGTAAATCGCCCCATGACCTGTCCTGACCACTATGCTGATCATTCCAGATATTCTTCTGCACCAATCCGGACACATCATGCTGTCAGACTTTGATCTGTCCAAGCAATCCGATTCTGGCGGAGCTCCGACTATGATCCTAGGCACGCGCAATGCCTCCAACCCAACCGGATATCCTCTCGTCGACACCAAGTCGTGCATTGCGGACTTCCGAACCAATTCTTTTGTTGGCACGGAAGAGTATATCGCTCCTGAAGTTATCAAGGGCAACGGACATACCAGCGCAGTTGACTGGTGGACGCTAGGTATTCTCATATACGAGATGCTTTTCGGAACCACGCCATTCAAGGGTAAGAACCGCAACGCAACATTTGCAAATATCCTTCGTGATGAGGTGCCGTTTCCGGACCATGGGCACGTGACGCAGGTCAGCAAGTAAGTAGCCCCTGGATCATCCCAAGAGGGGAGCAACGTGCGCAGTGGCTGACTTGGACTAGTCTGTGTAAATCAGTAATCCGCAAACTCTTGATCAAAGACGAAGTCAAAAGACTGGGATCCCGCGCAGGCGCATCGGATGTGAAGAATCATCCTTTCTTCAGACCTATTACGTGGGCACTTCTGCGCCACATGAAGCCTCCTATGATTCCTCACCAAGGGCGAGCAACTGACACTCTGAACTTCCGCACAGTCAAGGACAGTGGCAGCGTCGATATTGGAGGACCAGCTAGCCGTCTCAAGGGCGTTCCTCTTGACTCGGGCATGGCCACCCCTGGTGCGGAGATTGCCGACCCATTCCTCGAGTTTAACAGCGTTACGTTGCACCACGATGATGAAGATATGATTATGATGCACGATGGTGGGCAAGTCAATGGACGTTGATCCTGCAATGGAGACCAGGTGTCTTTCTCGTACTGGCGTTCTGGGTGCTCGAGGGACAAAACAGCAAGGAATGGTGGGAAAGCGGCTTCTTTGTCTTGAAGATGACAAAATAAGTACGGCTTAACAGATCATGGAGCATATTTGGGCGTTCCCGACATTGCAAAAGGCGCATGTACAGATATACAGCGGACCAAAGAGGGCGAGGTCGGGGTTTATATGAGTATGGCCTTATCGGAAGCTTTTCCCTATTTTTTCAAACCCCGGGCATTATTGAATGATGAATTTTGCCAGCAAACATCTCGATGGCTATGCGATCCGTCGTGTCCGTGTCATCCCGGTAGTGGCCCTTGTAGTCTGCTGTGGAACCTCAACTGGAGGTTTGGCGTGGTGCCGGTCATTGTCTCAGAGGTTGTGGTGTCGCACAGATATATGGGGATGGACCAATCAGCGTGCTTGGTACATATGAATCGAAGATTTACCAATGGCATGGGAATTCAGGTCCACGCACCTTCAAACAACTTTTTCACTTCCTCGTATCATTCACTCAAGGCAGTTGCCCCTTCAGGATTCTCTTCTCCGCGACAGAAGCGGATTGCAGCAAGTCTCCATCCCGCCGTCTATCCCTTGGACTTGAGTGCCACGTGCTTTGTTCGAGAAGCCTCGAGCATGGCTAACTCTCACCGCTTTCATCCCTTCATTCCTGTACGTCGTGTGCGAATCAGGGACCTGTCTTTGTTGTGACTGTACCTATGGCTTTGCTTTTACCTCCATTCTAGTCCTTCCTTGGCAGCATCTCACGATTGTGCTGCGACATTATGAAGTTTGGCCGGAATCTTCCACGGAATCAAGTCCCCGAGTGGGCCTCCGCCTACATCAACTACAAGGCTCTGAAGAAGTTGATAAAAGCGGCTGCTGAGGGTGAAAAGCAGGATGGGAATCTCGATCTTGCTGGTAGGATGGGTTGACACGGGGACTTTGGCAAAGCTCATATTATTTAGGATTCTTCCATACCTTGGACCGCAATCTTGAAGATGTTGACCACTTCTACAACAAAAAGTTCCACGACTTCTCACGCCGTCTGAAGCTTCTCGAAGACCGCTACGGTATCTCCTCCGAAGCCGTCGCCCAACTCGATCCAGACGAGCGAGAAGACCTCCTGGCAGCACTGCTTGAACTGCGAGGTCAACTGCGCAAACTACAGTGGTATGGCGAGGTCAATAGGAGAGGGTTCATAAAGATCACAAAGAAGCTTGACAAGAGGATACCGGCAGCTCACGCGCAGAAGAAATATTTGGAGCTCAAGGTCGACCCATCGGCTTTTGCCACAAATGCGCAGCTCTTCGCCTCCTTGAACAGAATCAATGACTCCATCGCCGTGCTCAGCGAGGTGCCGGCCTCTACAAACAACGATGATGTTGCTTCCATTTCCTCCCTTTCGCTTAAGCGGACCACATCTCGACCATCCCTAAATATACCCTCGGAGCAACTGGCCAAAGCCGAGTTGAAGATTCGTCAAGACGATGCGAAAGCGCTTGAAGAATGGATCAAAGGGACCGGTAAACCGTCGTCAGACAGTTCCGAACCTGCGCAGCAGCAGCTTCTCAAGACCATACTTCAGAGGGCCATCTCGAATCGAAGCAAGGCTTGTATAGCATATCTGTTGCGGGAGGTTGTCTTTCTGGATGATCACGACGACATCAACAGACGAAACTGCATTCATCGTCTAATTATCTCGATTGGTCGAAAGCAATCCAATACCGACCATGATCCTACGGCGGCATCTTTTCCTGACGCTGAAAAGGAGCTCTACAACTTCATCACGCCTGCTACTGATCCATCGTCACAATTCAAACGCTCTGTTGTCCAAGACGACCAACGCAGCCGGATTTTGACAAGAGATGATGAATCGATATCCTTTCTCCAGTTCCTGCTTGACAACTTGCAGCCGGTGCAACGTTCTGGGCTACTAGCCAGGGACAGTGCCGGACGGACACCTTTGCATTTTGCTGCCGAATACGGTATCAGAGTGATGTGTGAAATCATCATTGAGCATCTCAGAGCGTGGAAATTGTTTGACGTCTCCGAAGGCATTGACGGTCCACAATGGCAAGACAACGAAGGTTGGGCACCTTTGCATCTCAGTGTGATTGGTGGGCACCCCTTGACCACTAAGGCATTGCTCGATGCAGAGGAGAGTGTCTCCGCTCATATTGGAAGGACTTCGATTCGTCGTAACTCTCCAAAATCATCTGCCGCATTGGCTCTGGCGACAAAGGCAAACTTCATCGAGATTGTGCGTCTCTTGATAAATGCAGGTGTCGACGTCAATTACCAAGACGAGCAGGGCGATACGGCTCTCCATGTGGCTGCTAGATTTGGCCACTCTGAATGCGCCGCGTTGCTTCTGGAAGGTACAGACATCCAGAAAGCCGACACCGAGCTCTGCGAACACACCTATGCGTGGACGCCCTTGTTCATTGCGTGTGTCGATGGTCATCTTTCGATCGTCGAGCTGCTTATTGAGCATGGTGCTGATCTCGACAGGGTCGACTCTTCTGGCTGGAATGCTAAGGAGCATGCAGCCTTGAGAGGTCACGTCAGCATTGCTCAACGATTGGCTAGCATCATGCCTGAGTCGGATCCAGATACGGATTCTCCACTGTCGACTTCTCCGCCTTCGGTGTCTTCGTCTCTGATTGAGAGAACTTCCAATGGCATCGGATCTCAGATTCCAACAGTTAAGATCAGCGAGCCTGTGAAATCATTCGGTCACCGATATCTGACCGACACGAGCATGGTTTTGGTCAGCCTCGGCACCATGGACACTCGAAAGAGTATTCGAGCTGTGAATCTTGACCGGATACCGCTGGCAAATGCTCACACAACACAGCTTGATACGGCTTTGTCCATTGTGGTCTCGGCAAAATGTGCAGAAGGCGAGGCTGAAGTGATTGACCTGCCTGTGCAGGACAATATCTCCACGGAACCGATCGTGTTTCATGCAGCCGAACCCTCGAAAGTCAAGCTGCTATTCGATCTCATTCCGACATACGCCGGGTCGCGAGAACGTATTGTCGGACGAGGAGTCGCCCTCCTCTCGAGCATCAAATCTAGCTTAGGTACGAAAAGAATGCCTCTACAGGGAGATGTCACAGTCCCGATTGTCGCAGCGAACGACCTGGAAGTCATTGGGTCAGTGACATTTAATTTTCTCGTCATCACACCTTTCAAGCATCCCAACATGTCGGTTACCGAGAATCAGACATATTGGAAGAGTATGGCATCGACTATGCTCATTGGTCATCGCGGATTAGGCAAGAATTTCGCTGCCGGTAGACGGTCATTGCAACTAGGCGAGAACACCATTCAGTCATTCATCGCTGCCGCTAACCTGGGAGCATCTTACGTTGAATTCGATGTGCAACTGACAAAAGATCATGTTCCCGTCATCTACCACGACTTCTTGGTCAGCGAAACGGGCATTGATGCTCCGGTGCATACACTCACGCTTGAGCAATTTTTGCATGTTAACGACATGCGCACTCCTCGACACTCTCGGCCTGCTTCACCGGTCCCAGTTGAGAACCCAAAAATCATGAACCTCAAAAATGGCGATCCGCGGTCGGCCAGAATGCGGTCCATGTCTGTCGGCGGCACCGACAAAGACGACACCATCGACATGCAAGAGCGCATGAAACATACCAGAGATTTCAAGAAGAAAGGTTTCAAAGGCAACAGTCGGGGTAATCATATCCACGCGCCCTTCGCAACATTAGAGGAGATGTTCATCAAACTTCCACCGAACGTCGGATTTAACATTGAAATGAAGTACCCGATGCACTGGGAGAGTGAGGATGAGGAGATGGACACGTATGCCGTTGAGCTGAATTCGTTCGTGGACACGGTGCTCACCAAAGTATATGACCTTGGCAAGGGACGGAACATTATTTTCTCGTCGTTCAACCCAGATATTTGTCTGTTGCTGTCGTTCAAGCAGCCCAGCATTCCGGTCTTGTTCCTGACCGATGCGGGAACGAGTGCAGTGGGCGATATCCGCGCGACGAGCCTGCAGGAGGCAATTCGATTTGCTAGCCGATGGAACTTGTTGGGCGTCGTGAGTGCGGCGGAGCCCCTTGTCGCAGCACCGAGGCTTGTGAGGGTCGTCAAGGAGAGCGGCTTGGTCTGTGTGAGTTATGGGGTGTTGAACAACGATTCGACGAAGGTGAAACTGCAGGTTAAACAAGGGATCGATGCGGTTATTGTGGATAGCGTGCTTGCTATAAGAAGAGGATTGACGGGGCCGGATCGGAAGACGGATGCCCAGCAGGTCAGTGGAAATGGAGACGAAAAGGGTTCAATGACGAATCGGACGCTCGAAAAGAATCTTACGGGGAGTACGGAGAGTCTGGAGATTCCTGTGCCAGTGGCCGTGGAGACGACCGATGAGCCGGACGAGATTGCAGTGGAACTGCAGCGGTGAATGAGTCAGAACGCTCGGTGGATCTGGACCACAGAGAGGCTGGCAAGCGTGATTACTCCAATGCATGCAACGGCCTGCCAGGCTGCATCAACTGCAAGCGAAGGCCAATGATGGGAATGACTAGCAATCAGCGTGGTCGTTCTCGACGACGTATGGCGCATGGATGGGATGACTTCTAAAAATGAACACAACGCATCTGTCCATCGGATGTACACAATACGGGCCAGATTGGACGGCCGAACCATAGAGATATCGAACAGACATCAATGTCATTCTCCTCTTGATCAGGAGAATTCTGGGCGTTTTGATAACAGTATAGAAAACTGAACGAGGCTTGTTCAGCCTGCCAGCTCCCAGCCCGGGATGTTGAGCCTGGCTACATCAGACAGGCCTCCTTTTCCGAGGAGTGCAGCTCACTTCCACCGATGCGCACTTTACGGCCATGACTTTTGTTGCCAGGTGCACGCGTGCCTCCGCCAGCAGGAGCTTTCCCTCTAGTACTATCGTCCGGTGAAGAAGAGAGATAGATGAAGACGTCGACGATCCATTCGTACCATACTCTCCGATCGTCGGTCCTGCGCCACATGGTCACGCTGAGTTCGGAGTTGTCGGGGACTGTCAATGGAGCCTAGATTTTTGAAGGAGATGGCAGTTAGTTCCCAACTTGAGCATTGGGTAGAACGATTTAGGCTACGGCCTTGTAGGGTACGGAAACAGTGTAAGTGGACTTACCTTTAAAGGAAAATATATAGGGAACCAACTGATCATGCCTTCGCTCTTGGCGTCCATGGTGTTGGGATTCGTCGAGAGTTCGACGCCTCTGTACAGGACTGTCTCGAAGTATCCGGCTAAGCCGTGGCATGTGCCGCGGTTGGGAATGGGGAAGGTGAGTGTTGTGCTGCGCGCGTTGTGCGCGTTAGATACCGCGGTGTCCTTGGGTGCGGTCGGAAGGGCCGGGTTGGGGTGTTGAAAGGCCCATGTCGTTCCTATTACGGGGATGGGAGCGGGTAGGGGCGCGGATGGCGACGGTGAAGGTTGAGAAGAGCGGGCGTGGGCTTGAGAGTACGGCGTGTTGGGTGCAGACGTGGACATGGTTGCCGAGGTAGGAGACGTTGGGCTTGATGTCTGAAAGGGAGCGGTCTCCGGGGTCGTCGTGCTCAAGAAGTCGATGGCGTTTAGCATGACGACGTAGGGCGTCTCGGGTGCGCTGGGGTTCGTCGGAGTCATGCCGTGCATGATATCTGCGTGTAGTTTTGGCGCGGCGATCGGACTGATGTGTGCGGTGTACGATGCTGGGATGGAGATGCCGTGGACTGGGTTCAGAAGGTGTTGGACCCCGTCGAGACATTCGGGCGAGAGTTCGTTGTCGGCAAACGAGCCGAGCAGCTCCGAGATGAGGATGTCGATTTTATACGGGGTCGATGAGGATGTTGATGGGGCGGTGGCGAGAAGATATGTGGAGTCGAGCGATGGAGAGCCAGTGAAGCTCTCGCGAGGTGCTTCGGTATTGGGCTCGTTCTGGCTTTCGACGTCCTGTTCGGTATTGTAGACGCGTGATATGGGCTTGGAAGTCGCCGGACGAACGGGACCTCGCCATAGTCTCATGTCGGATTTGACCAGATTGACGCCGTTGTTCCATGTGGTCTCATTGTGCCGCTGAAGCAAGACGAAGGCATTTGGGTTCTTTTCTAGTGCCCACATGTCGATCTCGACGCCGACGTCTTCGCTTGCTTTGAGGGCTCGCGTGACGAGCGGGCCTCGACCTGCTCCGACGACGGCTACCACCACCCGGCCATCGGGATTGGATGTGGGCTTGCCTTGTTCGATCCAGTCGTGCAATGCGCGGGCGATGGCTCGCTCGTACCATGCATACTTTATTGGGTCTTTCTCGAAGACCTCATATGTGATGCTCTCGAGGTTGACTGTGAGTGGCTGCAACGGCGCTTGGAGGTAGTCTTGGTATCCGGCGCCGAAGCTGGCGATTGCGTCCGGGATGGGCTGTTTGGTCTGGAGGTTGCGCATGTATGATAGTTGCGGTGTTGGATCTTTAATATGCTGATTCTCCGCTGCTTCGGCTAGAGTTGGGAATGTCGCAGAAGCTGGAGCAGTGCTGTTCGTTGTGGTTGGGATAGGGCCGACGTTGCAGAGTAGAAACCATGGGGGTGTGCGTAATGAGACGAAGCGGCTGATGAATGCTTGATGTGCTCGGGAAAGCACTGGATAGCCCTTGGCGTTCTTGGTGAAGACCTTAGAATCCAACGTGATTATGCGGACGGGTTCAGAATACCAGCGCGATTGAATAGGTGTTGGCGGCAAGAGCTTGGGTAAGGATAGTGCTGCAATCGTCAGTAGAGGAAAGGGGAACAGTGAGCGGACAAATGAGGTCGATGTTGAGGAAGCTGACTCGGCGTGCAGATGTGCTACGACATGCTTACCTACGCATAATCTAGATGGATATTTACATATCGATCTAATCATGTCCCACGCTTCCCATGAGCCAAAAACGTCTAGTCTTTTCGTCCCAGCCTCGTCCAAGTCTGAAAATTGCTGTCGTGCGAAGGATCGCAGATCACCCATTTCAGCTCCCTCGTCATCGGGGTTGTCGATGATTGGGAACCAGATATAAATCTGCATATAAGGACCTTGGCTGAGCCCGTCTAGGATTGCTCGGGCATACTCAGCGATGCCGCTGTCAGCTGCCCCTCGACTTCGCAATCGAGGACCTGGAATGATAACATAGCTGACACCACAGAAAGCAGCGTAAGCCAGTTCCAGTCTCAGAACTTGTCGCGACACGTCCGCAATGATGGGGTCCGGAGAATTCAAGTCAACCCAGGAGCTTGTAACTCCAATGATCTGGCTGATCGACTCTTCAGGGCTCAGTGGAGTATCGGCCGGAGTAAGAGCCGGCACAACAACCGGTGATGCATTCTTGGTCTTGGTGATGTCTTCACCCGCAACAATGGCATGCTGAGAAAGAGACGTTGAAAGGAGGCTTAAGACCCGAGAATGAAAATGTGGAGTCGTGATAGGAGTCGTTACCATGTCATACTATGAGAAGATTAGACGTAAACGCAGACAAGTCTCTGTCTGCCTCGCACTCACATTTGCAGAATGGGCATCTCGGACGTTGTCCGCCGTGACTGGTAAGGGTCTTTTGGGATCGTGATGACCGATCACGAAAGGTGGAGGGCCCTCCATACTGGTTGCCCCGTGGAATTGGCCGATTGTTTCAAAAGCCGAGGACAGTGATAAATACTTTCTGTCCCCAGACAAGCCCTGCCTTAACGTCTATGCGAGCCTTGTCCTTCTGAAGGTCGCAAATGTGGTCAGCTTGGAGGACTTAGGCTAAGAACTTCCCAGCTCATTTTTGAGGTTATGCGGCGAGAAAATAAAACCTCCAGGGTGCAAAACTGGCTCCCTTCCACTGTAAATTCAGTTGAAAGACTTTGGGAGGACGCATGAAACGTACCTAATTGTGGTAAGAAAAGGTCAAGGGAGGTTTGAAATGTTCCCGGCCAAAACGAGTTAGTGTCTTCTTCAGTGCCAAGGTCGACGAGGCTGCGAACTGATCACGTGCCTGAGGTAGGACTCGGAGCTCGATTGAGATGTGAAGAAACATTTATTTTCCTCTTCCCGATCGTCAGTTCAGCAACCACTTCCCTCGCAGTAGCCCCTTGAGCTGCTTGGACACTATGAGTGTCGCCAGATCCTCCGAATGTGTATTCTGTCTTTTCTCCCGATCCTCCCGTCCTGCTTCGGCTGCTCGCCGCCAATTCCACTCCTCCCCGATCCATCAGAAGCGAAAGCCGCGCTTCCCGAGCGTCAAAGCTGTTTTTAATGAAATAGACATCGACAAAGCCGGCAAAGAGTTCCTCGAAGCGGCCGATGGCGCTGCTTCGCAGAAGTACTCCCCTGAACAACGTGCCGCGATTCAAGCCGCCCAAAAAATCATCGATCCAGAAAAACTGCAACAACAGACAGGCAATCGGACGGATCCCTGGAGGGTCAGATACTACGATGATCTGGCAAAAATAAATCCTGTCGTCGACAAGCCGGTGAAACAACCTTGGACGAACCTCGATGAGAACTCGCGACTGAAAACCGACGAAGAATTTGAAGATGACTTGGTCAAGCTTATGCACGAGATACCCAGTCCGCGGCACCCTAATGACTTTGATCCAAAACTTTGGGACAAATTTGATGAGAATCTCAGATTGACCGTTGGAAAAGAAGAAGCAGAAAGACGGCCCCGGACGGCGCTGGCGCCAGACTTGCCCGACATCTCCCCCAAGGTTGTGAAGAAAAAGGTGACTAATAAGGATGGTGAGGTGGTCCAGGAGGAGCCGCCGTCCGCTGCACTTGTCATGTTGATGCAGATGACTGGATATACGAAAGAGGACATCGCTAAGCTGAGGGTCAGGACGGTCATCGTTCATTCAGTTGCGAATCAGACCAGACTAGGAAAGATCCGTAAATTCTACGTTTTGTCCGTGGCCGGTAACGGGAATGGTATGGTCGGTATTGGCGAAGGGAAGGGAGTGGAAATCCAGGATGCCTACATTCAGAGCCAATATCGGGCCATCCGAAGCATGAAACCCATAATGCGGTATGAAGATCGGACGACATTCGGAGATCTCAGTGCCAAATTCAGCGCGACCGAGTTGGAACTTTATGCAAGGCCACCAGGTATGATTGCACCAGATTGGGCTCAGTGGAACTCATACTGACACGGGTACAGGATTCGGGCTCCGCTGCCAAAAGTATATCTGGGAAGTTTGCAAAGCCGCAGGAATTCACGATCTCGCGGCCAGAGTTACACGGTCGAGAAACCCCATGAACACGGTCAAAGCAACTGTTCAGGCTCTAATGGGACAGAAACATCCGGAAGATATCGCAAGAGCCCGTGGAAAGAAGTTGGTCGATGTGCGAAAAGTCTACTACGCCGGACAGACATAGATTGTGTTCATCATGCTTGTGAGGGCAAGTGAGCTGTACTTCAAGGCAGACCTGTATCATACATTATTGTTACAAATCCCGCCTGCAGATTCGTAGCAAGGTGCTGGGAACTCTGGCAATCCAGCCCAGGATGTTGTTCTATTTGTGCACCCCTGGAGAATCGTCGTCGCGTTCCGGTCGTCCGTCAGGACGTGTGGCCTGGTTTCATCGCTACCGACGTGGTTTCTTCTTTTTCTTCTCAAACCCTAGCCTTGATCGTGTTCGGGTTGAAATCCTTCTTCATCCATACCATCCAACTGGCCTTGTTGTAATACTATGCTGTACACACTGGCCTTCATCAGGGTGTACACGCTGGCCACCTTCCGCTCCAGCAGGCGAAGTCCTTCTGCGATCTCGAGCGTCATGGGCCCGCTCGATAGTGTCGCCAAGGTCGATGAGAGCTACAAAGTTCGAAAGTGGTTAGTATGAAACATGTTTCCAGATGAGAACGCGTAGCATATTCTGCGATCCAACAATGATTGGCGTCCTCAGATGGGGCCGGGCCAACGATGTTCAGGACGGAGTGATAATGAGCCGTGCTATCAACCCCTGGTAGGTAGGTAGGGGATTGTCTTCTTTTCGCGCCTCTCATCGCACCAATTCTTTGGGCCTTCCAATCGTGAAAACGAAACGGACACTAAATAACCGGGGGGCTTACTTCTTTCATGTTCTTGGACAACCGGTCGTACTCGTCCAGGACTTCTTGTTCGAGCGGTGAAACCCCTGATGGACCTTGCCCAGTCAAGTTGAGGATCGAACTTTTCGAGTCGTTATACGTCGAGTTTTCCTCCATTGCGTTACAAACGTGGTGGCACGGCGGACTTGCTATGGATGGTGAGATCGTGGGAGGTTGTCACACGTTGTAAAGGAGAAGATGAGTAGTCAGGCCATGTCGCGTGTTCAAGGCTGAAACAGAGAAGTGGGAACTGTTGTTGGTGGTGGCCGATGAGCATCTAGTCTTATCTCGATCACGTGTAAGCCCTACAAACCCGAATTTATATCGATCCTCTCGAGCATTCTTCGAAGCCATAGCTGGAATCAAACTACGGAGGAAGTTCTCCTGAGAAAGGTGTAGGAACTCAGACTCACGTTCGATGTGGCCTGTGATGAGTTGACGACGCGTGCTCTCGTATAGTATGAGCACGTTGACATGTTGCATCTGTTTGCTACGAAATGTGATGTAAGTAGTGACTGGTTCAATCAAGCTTCTATATACTCCGTACAACCTGCAATGTTTGCTAATGTACAAATCCGCCTTGCCACCACTTTACGCGATCGCTGATTTGAATAGGTGCTGTTGCCAGCATCTCGGGGGGTTCCTCCTCCGATCGATCTCGACTCGATTTACCCTACACGATAAGGAAAGTCCTTCAGGAAATATGATTTTCCCGTTCCAGAAACAAACACCACCAGCGCCCCGCTGAGAAAGGAAAAAGCCGTGGGTGATACCATACTTCGCCGTTGAGACCGAGTCAACGCGAAGTTCGCCAAAATGAGAGTAGATAATCTGCTGAACTTGGCAAATGAGGGCTCGCAAATGCCAACATGCAGACGTCAGTGATGCAGCCCAGCACAAAAACTCGCAATAGCATATTCGGGATGAAGACTCCGATCATGTGCCCTGTAACCATGGCAGTGGCAAACTTCAGGAAAGATGCTGACTTTGGAGGTGCAGGTGGGATGACGACCATGTTGTTCTCGCTGTACATTGAGAAGGTTGGAGAAGGCATGCCTGGCGAGAGCATCCCTGGTGAAGGTAGACCAGGAGATGGAAGTCCGGCCGAGAACATCTTGGGCGAGAGTGGCACAGAGTTATTTCTCCTCTTTTCATAGAACGAGGCCTTCTCAGGGCTGATGGAGGGGCGGACTTCATTGACCAGTGGACTTCGTGGGACGTTCTGATTCGACCACATCTCTTGAATTCCGAGAGATATAGACCTGTTGCGGAGGGTGAGCGTCTCCTTGCGCAGGACGGAGTGTACTGTCGTTTTGATCCCAGACAATTCGTTCTGGAAGGACAAATTCGATCCGTTGACGTCAGTTCTCAACATCTGTAGCTGGCGCTGGAGGTCTCGGATCTCATCCATAGCGTGTGCAAAGCGCCTCTGCCACACTAGATCTGGATTATGAGCATAAGCTGGCGGGGGCGTGGGATGCTGGCCTACTTGTGTAAGATATTGTTTTCTCTGCACGGCAGAAGTAGGAGTGCGTCCTGCTTGTCGAGGCACAGCCGGGTAGTACGTAAAATTGGTGTCGTTGACCATTGGACTCCCCCAGCTGGCAGTACTACTGCTAACGGGAGTGAATTCGTCATCTTCAAACCGCCAAGGGATGTTTTCGAAAGTGGTCTTGAGAGATTTGATAAGTGCGTCATTGGGACAGTCCGCAGTGTCGACTGTCAGCCGAGTGGCCTTTGGAGTAGAAGGTGGTGTGTCTTCTTTCGCGCGCAATAGCTCCAATGCTTTCTGGACCAAGGGCAGCAGATGCCTAAGCGCCCATTTGCCGATCGAGTCGACCCAAACAAGAAATTGGTTGAAGTGTTCATCCTTGGTGAGGTCAAATTTGCACAAGGGTGCCATGCAATACGCCTGGCCATGGTCGATCCAATGTAAATTCATCACTGCAAATGAGTTCTCGATGACGCAGGAGAAGGATATTGGCAGCTCGGGCATCATCTGTCCCTTCCAGGCCTGAGCGTATAGCATCTGAAGTGCACGAACACAACATGCTCCTCCCGTCGCACATTGGTTGTTGGCAACCTCCAATCGTTGTTGACTATCACCAGCATGGGCACGTTCGAATACGAGGAAAGGGCAGTAGACCGCAGCGCCGGGTGAGATGTAACCAGTGTCGAAGTGGACAATGGTCCCTGTGGTCACCAGCCAAGAGGGCAAGGTATTGAGCTCTTCTGCGGTCAGAGCTGAAGACGAGAAGCCGCAGCCAAGTCCCGAGCGAGGAATGTTGAGCTCATAGAGAGGGCCCATCTGATTGATAGCGCGCTCTGGGAGGGCTTCCCGACTGAAGTATGGGATCATACATCGAGCAAGTCTCGGTTCGTTGTCGATAGGCGGAAGCAAGTTCGGAGGAAATAAGGGCGAGGGTCCAAAGCCCCTTCCCATGACAACTTGTTCCCGGAACGATTGCTTGAGGTCATCGAACCTCGCCGCGTTTGGCATGTCCGCTTCTATCATGGTAAGAAGATTTGTCGGAAGCTTCTCTTTTGGTGCTGTCTCAACTATCCTGATGCGATGTGGGCCGAGGACATGGTGACGGTAGGATTTCCAGGGAAGGTGACTGCCATCATACGACGAAGGAGGCAAGTCAGCATCTATGGCGATTTCGATGACGCCGGTAGTAGGTGACATGTCGTTCATTCTGGACAGAGTGCCGTGATGATGGTGTTTGAAGAGTTGGACAGAGGACAGCCAAAAAGGCCTAGCCAGTTGGCAGGTTATGAGGAGACTGATGGACGTCAGCAATGCCTGGAAGGTTTCTCAAGCACAGCATATGTCAAGATCAATGATGACAGACTAAGTAACAATGGAGACCGGAATGGTGGAAGTAAAAGATGGAGTCTTTGTCAGGAAGAGGGGACAGATATAACTGTTAGACACCAGCTGAATTCACCACAGGTGGTTGTCACAAATTCCCTTCAAGCCATACTCTCTAAGCGCCGTCACTCCAGACATCGGAGCAGGGGAGGCCATCGCCACTGAGACCCTTGCAATATTGCTCCAGATAGGGTAACGGCACATGAGCCGGGGAGGTGAGTACCAGCCCGTCTATGTCAAGCCCTCCCTACCTCGTAGCAAGCGCCCGAAAGTTTAATGCTGGTAGACGGCTAAGCCGATCGTGGGAACGCTGGCGCTCATGCGGATGCAGAGATTGGATGTCGAGACTGGCAATAAGGAAAGCATGCATCGACAAGTGCATATAGACATGCTATCTCTTTGGGGTGATCGACAGGGTTCGGCAAACTCCAGGATGTCTGTAAGCCTGGGAATAGCAACGACAGCCACAAAAGGAATCACCAGGCCCGGGTACATGGCATGGCTACTGCTCGGTAGGGCTCACTAGGCTCAAGCATGTCTTGACATTGGCTGTGACTCCCACGCTCTGCGAATGCGTGTCGAAATGCAAGTTGCTGAGAGGTGGCATGGCCAGCAAGTTGAAACCATGTGGGCGTCTACTCGAAAAGCTCGATAGGTTGACTAAGTCAACAACGAAGTCGTAGATTGGGTGTCACCCCTGGCGCTTAAAAATAGCCTGACCCCGATGGTGCCATTGGACGGCAAGGCGGCAACTATGCCGCATCCAACTCTCGACTGCAGTTCAGTGCAGTGACGATATTCCAGGTTGCATGCAGATGGCTGAAAACAGTCAGTTGCAGGGTGTGGGCAAGGTGTGTTGATATATCGGAAGGCTGGTGTACAGTAGGAGGCAAGGATAGAAACAAAATTGTCGCGCCGTTGACTGTCACCACCTGCCAACGGGAGATCCATCGATAAGGGCAGCGACGACCGTAATTGGGTTACGCGACCCAAGCTTTGAAGTCGGTGAATCACTACTGCAAAACACCAGCCCTTGCCTTTTCGCCCTTTTGTCACCTTCAAGTCAGGGCTCTTCGTACCCCGGCTCTCGCTCCTTCAAACCCCAGGTCTCGCTTGATGAGACCAATATAACACTATCGCCGGAAGGTCGTTCGGCGAATGCATGTACCATAGCAGGTGCCACGCTTGTCGCTCCTGGACAAGAGTCCATCACCGTTCCGGCGCGCTACGACTTTTAGGTGACGGCGCAAGTCTGCCCAGTGAGATATACGGAGTACTGCAACAGGATCAATTCATACACTCATGATACTGTACTCGCTACCTGAACGCCACGCTGGACAGTTTCCACGTGTTACTCCTAAGCAATGCAAACGAGCAGGCTAATACATCCTTGCCCAACTAGGCAAGCTCTCTGCTAAGACTTCTCTGATGATTGTCATGCGTGATTTGGGCACAACGCCAAAATTGGCAAGCTCTGAGGGTGCATACCAGTCTTCAGATTTGTTGGCGGTATTTCGCGCGAGTTGGACTCGCTTGTCAAAGTTGGTCAGCAGATCGTATATCGAGTGAAGCCTGCAGTTTTCCGCCCAATAAAATATACTGCCTATTCTTGCAGCCAGAGCCTCGACTTCGCTTTCGTCGTCAAGTCGGTATGTGCGTATGACAGCCACAGCATGAGGGAGACAACCTTCGGAGTTGTGCGTATTCAGGCAAGCCGTTTTGCCATTAACGGCGAGCGAAAATGATTGAGCAGCCTTGCTCAGATTCCACAGAAAGTTCATGTCATGGTAAACTTTCTGTGGCTCTTGTGCTGCACCTGCGAAGATCATAAGTGCGTTGTTGCACGTTGCCGCAGATCCGGCACAAGCATTGCGTGTTGCAAGCATCGAATCTTCGAGCACCTCCACGACAAAGAAGGGCCAGTAGACGTCTGGCACAGGTTGAGAGAGTTTGTGGAGATCGCACGGCTCGTCCTTGCTGTTTGCAATGATGCCTTGTTGGAGCTCGAGTTGATGAGGAGTGAATGAGGTCTTGGAATACCCCAGTGTGATTGCAGGCCGTGGCGTGGGTAGCTGCATCTTCCAACCGTCTTCGATCTCAAAATCAGGTACCTCGTCAGGCACACCATCACGATAGAAGGCTGTGTTGGTCCGGCACTTCATGTTTTCGTGGTCCTTCGCGATTGAAACGAGCAACGGTATGAAGAGCTCCGTCATCTCTTTGTTGCTCACTGTTCTTCGACTGTTAATCTGTTGGGCAAACTTGGTTGCTGCAGGACTTGGACAACAGGAGTCTCCAGAGGGTATGCCCAGAGCAAAAGCTAGACGACTCCATCTTTCGTCGTCCATCTGGTGATCTTCCACGATGATGTGGTTCGGTTCGAGGATTGTCGATCGATAATTGCACGAGCCGAAAGAGGCCGTTCTGTCGGAGAGTGTGCTGGTCGTTGTCGATGAAGAAGCCTTACGGCTGTGGCGGCCGATGCTCAAAGACCTTGGCCTTGAGAGAGGCATTTCGAAGGACGAGGGGTGGCCGAATTTGCTAGAGAAAGGGGCTTTGGTAACGGATCCTGAAACTTGAGGCAGCCTTCTGCGTGTACCTGTATGTTTGCAGCAAAGGCCTCTCAAAGGCCATCGACAAAGCATTTATCATTTACAGCCCGTCCATAGAAGTAACGATGTGCTGATACATCATTGGACGATGCAAGACCATCTATTTTAGGAGGCATGCTCCTTATGGACTCACAATGGCCTTAGGCGCCGTTACATGACGGTCGCCAAAACGGTCGCATGCAGCCTGGCATGGAGGAGACTCAGCAACCTGATTGGGGTACCGCGCGGCAAAGGCACACTCGTCCTTGCCATATTGCTATGCCTGTATTTGCAAGATATGAGGTGTGAAAAAAGTGTACCGCTTTGGCGAACGCATTCTAGGATTGATGTCTTTCAAAATGCGGTGTGACATGGCTTCAGAGGGTTCAGAGTACAATCGAGTGTCGTTTGCGCACTGACGAATACGATGTCCGTAGCATTCCAGCCTCTCGCCTTAGGTAAGCCCCCGCAGTCACTGAGTTCCAGACTGCATCGCTTATGTATACACTCTCACTTGCGTTTCCAACGTCACTGCTCGCTCGATGTTGGGCATACACGCAGCCAAACTACGAGGATACTTGTATGACGACTCCGGAAGATCGCCTGTTGCGGGTATAAAAGCTGACAACAGCCAGTCGAGGATGTGACATGAGACGACCACCGACCGTGTGCAGGATACTATTAATCCACCACGCTCCTCGACGACACCTATATCAGACACATCAGACACTCCCACAGTGGCGGCATACTACTCCGAGCTGCTCGGCACTCTCGAAATCAATCCTGAGACCCACATCTTTCTCGACAACACCGTGCCTCGTCCCTCAACAGAGAACGATCTCGAATCAAGCCGTCCACATGGCTGAATCGTCCACAGTTTCGTCGTCGTCGTCGGTCCCTGTCCCACCACCAATCACCCACATCTTAGAGACGTGCCTCATGGTCAACGACATCAAGGCTTCGACAGAATTCTACAAAACTACCTTCAACATTGCCCCTTTCATGGACACTGTAAGGCCATCTTGATCCTCCCTGACTCTTTTGACCATCGAATAACCATGTCCCGTCCACTCATGCTCACCGCTGTCCTGCCTATCCACAGCGCCCCTCCCAAAACTCCCATCCGTGACACTCTTTTATTGCACAACAAAAGCCATCCCATCTTCAACCCCACTAACTAACCCTCGCAGCCCCGAATGTCCGGTTTCGCACTGGGCCAGACCACCCTTTTACTCTTCCAGCTGGGCGCCACCGCCGCCGACTCACCTATGCCAGACGACCGTGGAACCATACCGGGTCATGGCCCCTCGCAGGATATCCTGGACTTACTCAAGCAACAACCATCCTCTGCCGAAAAGCCTAGATCGGGCTTGCATCAGCATTTCTGCCTCGCCGTGAAATCACCAGACGACGTGACTGCTTGGGAGAAGTGGTTTGAAGACAAGAACATCAAGATCACGGGCAAGGTCAATTGGCCGAGAGGTGGGAAGAGCGTGTATTTCGCTGATCCCGACGGGAATGTAGGAGAGGTTGGCAGTCGAGGGATCTGGGAGCATTATTAGAATACTTGAGCCTCGCACGGAGGAAAGCAATCGAGCCTGAGATAACATCAGAATTCGTTCTCGGATGATGTCCATATCTGCCTAGGAACGCCAGCCATGCATTCACAAGTACATTTTCCTTCCATGTTCCCACACAATGAAATCTCTAGGTTCCACATCAACCACCACCAACCTCGTTCATGACACCGCCATCCAACTTCAACACCTCCCCATTCACATAGCCACACCTCGCCAGGAAAATAACACCCATGGCCATCTCTTCATCGCTGCCTGCACGCCCTGCTGGTACTGCATGGCCCTTGTCCTTGACCTTCTCGTCTGGCATGTGTGCCTTATTATTCTCGTCGCTTTCTTTCATGGTCATCTCGCTCGGGAAGTAACCCGGAGCGATACTGTTCACCCTGATGCCCGTCTTGGCAAACTCTTTACTCATCATCCTGGACAAGTGTGCCGTCGCGGCTTTCGCAGCATTGTAGCTGAAATGTGCCTGCGAATCCCGCATCATGCCGGACATACTGCTGATCACGATCACACTGCTTGTCAGGTGTTCCGGAGCGCGCTGGAGGAGTGGCAGGAACGACACGACGGAGAAGAAAACGCTAGTGACGTTCGTGTTGTACGTCGCATTCCAGTCGTCGACGGCCTCTTCCCACAGGTTTTTCTTCATCTGTTCTGCATCGCTGGTGTCGGGGAAGCCCTTTGGACCGGAGACGCCAGCCGCGGCAATGACGAGGGAAAGATATTTCTCTCGGGACTCGATTTCCTTGGTGAGCTTCTCAAGGTCGGCCTTGGAAGTCACGTCGCACGGGCCCACGGGAATAATTTCACCATTCAGAGTCTTGTCGGAAGACTTTGGTGTGTGGGTTTTGGCGGCGTTTTCGAGGACTTCTTTGCGTCGACCGGTGATGTAGACCTTGGCTCCTACATTATGTTAGAATGCTGAACGAAGAAGATGGCCGGGTCAGGGGGGCAATACCATTAGCTGCGAGAGCCTGGGTGGCCATCAAGCCAATGCCCGTTCCTGTAATCATGAGTTAGCCGTCAACGACATAGACTGCTGTGACTGAGATCCTGACGCACCTCCACCCGTTACTAGACAGACATGGCCCTTGAGCGAGAAAAGGTTGGATATATTGAGCTGTTCGGTGGACGCCATGTTCGTTGACTTGGTCGAGATATTCAATTGAGGGGGACAATGGAAAATCTGAATAATGAGGACTGTGTGAGAAGATATTGAGGTGTGAGCTCCTGCTCGAAGATTTTATAATTGAAGACTGTTGAAATATCACAGCTTTGTGACGTAACGGCTTGTTTTCTCGCCATCATCGCTATCGATAAGCCTTGGAGCGGAGCTGGGCTCCGCATGATCCCCTATTTTATCCTCAGCCTTGCACAAGGCTTGCAATCTTTTTCGCCGTCGTATTTCAATTCTTCTCTGTTTTCGCATCGTTGGCCTTGAAGATACAAAGATCCCTTTCCCTCGTTGGTGGAAGCCTTTTCTCACTTGCCCCATTTTTGTACGAGTTGCAATACGTCTCTGGGCTTGACGCACTTCAACGGTTCTCCCTTTCCTGAATTCGTGGAGTTTGATCCCCATCAAGACCGGTCTCTCCACTGGCTGACTTCAAAACCCTACGGGCAACCCCTCGTGGGTACCGTCATTTCGGCGGTCGAACAGCCAGCTTTGTGAGTGCCACCTAAAGACACGGCCACAGAACATCCTTCGTAGAGAACGGATTGCAGAAATGAAGTTTTTGCTTCGACTTCATCATCATCTTCACGCTGCCAGTGCCAATGCAGCCATGGCCCGCACACCAGCTTCGGTCTTGTGACCTCCAATGAAGCCGCTCGCATGAACAAAGACAGCTCCGTCCTCGACCTTGTCACCCAGAAGGGCATCAAGCTCGGCATCCCGCACGCCTCGCCATGGCTCCGGCAGGCTTTTTCTGTTCTCAAATGATGACATGTCTTTGCTGACTGCCTGGATCCTCCATTTGGAGCCGGGCTCCTCCTTTTCGGGATAGATAACATAGAGTATCTTCTGTTCTGGAGAGATTCCAGCTTCTTCTTCAATGTTGTAAAGATGTTCTTTCCACGGGATGCCTGCACGAGGCAAGACCAATAGCTGGCCAGAAGAATGGGCGTCCATCCTCCCACTAAAGGCGTCCTTGACGATAGTCCTAGCCGGAAGCCAAGCCGTAGCCGCACCGTGAAGCTTCCGAAGGAAAGAGTTACCCATGAGTGTAGATGCTTGCGAAAATCGGAAATCCTCCTCTGCTTGTGGTTGTTCTGAAGTATCTCTCGAAGGAGCATCCAAAGCCAATGGGTCCTCATGATTCAAGTCATTCACCAAACTTGCAAGTGTGATTCCGCCAGCCTTAAATCTCTTTTCAATTCCTGCTTCTGCCAATTTGGCATCATCATATTGTGAGATGCCGTTGTCGTTGGCGTCCACTGCCTCAACAAAGTCGTCATACAGTTTGCGGTAGAGGAGTTCCACATCTGGGTGATCGAGAGGAAGTTTGGTGTATTGCGAAATGATGGCTTTACCAAAATGCATGTAGACTAAACCGGCAGAGGAGAGTTTCGTCTGATGCTCTGGGAAGAAACTATTAAAGGTGCGTTGATGATGATCGAAGCGGTTTTTCGAGGCGTCATATTCTCCGCCAACGTCGACAACCGTATGGCAAGTGTCGAGAAGTGCCGGGTCGCGCGTTCTGACTAGGGAAGAAGAGGCATATTGTGGGAGGAGTCGGAGCATGTAGACAGCCAACGCCTCGTCCGCGTGGAAATGCCCATTGTGAGTGCCAATCCGGAGCGGATCCGTTTTGAGTCTCTTTGAAGCTGTTTCTGCAGCCATTCTGACCAGAGTACGAAACATACACGTCTCGAAAAAGCAGAGGAAATTTGATAGGCCTGAAGTGTTCAGACCTGGTGAACTTGAGATGAAATTGTCCTGAAGGCCTGCGCCGCCAAGAATCTGGGGGTGGACGGATTAACGTTGAACCTAGAACCGGCATCCATTCACTCGGTCACGTGCTCGGTCAATTCTGGAATCTGGCTATTCCAGCAAAGTCGCGTCTTGTTGTCATCGAGTCTTGTCCTTGACAACCCTCCGCTCTATTTACTGTAGTATCTACATCGTACCGAGTCCTGCACCATTGTGACCATGGTACCTTTGTTTCTCCCACGTGGGAATTAGTTCAATGTCCGCTGCCGATCGTGCCCAACTGTTTGAGGCATCAGCAAACAGGCAACCAAAGGAGGGGCCCTCAATTGTTGTCAGCAAAATGTCGGCGCCAACTAAAGAAGCCCACAACGCCTGGTTTGTTGCGGTGAAGAAAACCTACTCCGTAGCTTTGAGAAAATTTGGGTGGCAGTAGAATAATAAATACTGGGAATTGCTCTTGATGGCTCATTCGCCCCTTGGTCTCTTAAAAAATCCATTTCTTGGTTATATGATGCCGTTGGTCAAGAAAAAGCAGGTCCTCATCCTGCCTAGTTGTGTTGCCCTCTCTGCATGGGTGTCTGCCATTATTTCTTCCCACTGCCCTGCGTCTTGCTAGGCATTCATAATCCAAGCAAGGCAGTTTCCCTTCCCCCTGCTCTCACAATCTCGTGGAGTGCACGCGACATCTCCGGACCCCTGCCGCTCCTTCCTCCCAGCAAGCTCTTCAACTCATCTTTTTCTCCTCTGTTAAATTCAGCATCTCCGTGTCCAACCCTCACAAGACGTGGTTTCTATCACATAACGACCGGAATGACATGTGAAAATCCGGACCTCGACAAAACCGCGACTCACTCTAGACCTCTCAAACAACCAAGGTTGCGCAACGACATCACCATTAGAGTACCCGCGTCCTTTGTGACCTGCGACATCATCACTTCTTCTAGTCGACAGCCTGCGTTGCTCTCGCTCCTTTATTGACAGATCGATCACTCATTACACCGACCGAATGTTCTTCCGCGCCCTCTCTTCGTTACTCTTCCTCACGCTCATTATTTTATTGGTACCCCTCACTTTCGACATCGGCGGACGCGACGCTGGCCTCGCTTTCTCTCTATCCATCGCCTCCTTCTACTTCATCCTCTCACTCTTACGAGTCTCGACTCCGGAGAATTCGGCTGTCCGCAAAACCTTCGTCAATATCCTCCGGGGTCTTCAATGGCTGATCATACCTAGCCTGTGCATCTGGGCACTGGGAAGATTCTCCATCGATGCGAACAACAGTGGTGGCTGGGTCGAAAGGACTTTCAGGAGCAACAAGAGTTTCCTGGATCAACACAATGGTCTTTGGGATACCGTGTTTGGTCCGGAGGGTCTAGTCGAGAATGCGACTATTGGAGGATGGGACTTGCTCTTGCGATGGTCCTCCCCAATCTTCCAATTACTCGAGGGATTCTGCAGCCTGCTTGTTATTCAAGCTGTGGGCCAGTTCTCGAGATGGCTGGTGAATCGGAGTGAATGGAGCGACGCCTGGCTACTGACCCTCCTTGTCTCGTCTGCGGGAGTGGTGTCGAGTTCCATCTACTTCCTCTGGCGAGTCTTGCAGTTCCCGGACGTTTCAAACATTGACTCTACCCTCATCGGCATCGCGATTGCCTCAGCTATCTTCCTGTGTGCATATGGTATTGTCTCGGGTCGTGGTACAGCAATGGAATCGTCGCTGCTATTCGCATACATTGTGCTGTGCATCTACCAGATATTCACCGACTACAAGCCTAACATCCAGGCGGATGCTGGGGCAGCCTCATCGGCACCTGATTTTCCTCCTTTCCCACCCATCATTATGTCCTCATACACGGCCATCATGTATGCGCTGTCATCACTACCGGAAGCCCTGCTTAACGCGTTGGACTTCACGGTTGCAGCATTCCGAGCCGTCACACCTTCGGTGCTCATCTCTCTCGGCTACCGATTGTTTGTTTTCTATGCCTCAACCCGCATCATCCCAGCGGTCAATGAAAGTGGTGCGCACGGCTTGAGCATGGAACCCACACTTGACGATACCGACGCCGGCAACCGCTTCCTTGCATTCCTATCATGGTTTTCACCAAGCATTCTCATTGCAGTCTACACCAGCCTGCTGATGCAGCATTTCGCGACCACAATGGGCGGCTATTCCCCAGGACTCACGGAATCAATAAGCGCTTGGTGGAGCGGCAATGGACAGCCTGCCATCAATGGCAATATCTGGAAGTGGGTGAATTTGGTTATCACAATGGGACTGTACGCAGTCGAGTTGTGGCTCGGCAAAGAAGATGACATTGATGGCGGCCATTGGAAGGTTGACTGAGCAGTGAAAATGGAGCAACAGAATATCTTGACCCAGAGAATGATCACAAATTGAAGCAATCTATTGTTGGATTCAATCGTCAGCTGATCTTCATCTGCCTTCGTTGGACAGAATTTAGAGCAAAGCGCGACGTCAAAATTGCAGCACCACCAGGGCTCCCAACAAGGACGAGGACTGGACGCCGGCCCGTTTCACCCACCACGACATGGACAGAAAGCTGATGCTGAACTGCGCGAACAAGCACAAAAATTTCCCAAGACGGCTCACCGGCAAGAACAAGAGCAGAACTCTCTGCGAAGAAAAGTGTGTGGTGGCTACCTAGGACCGAAGAGGATGAGTCTGCGGTGGCCTTCTGCATCAGGTCCTTGCCATACGGGAGGCTGTAGGTATGTTGCGAAAAATTGGGGGTAACCAAACGAATCAAAGCAGAGTCGGATGGGCACCGTGGGGTCACTATGGATGAAGTGGACCACGTTTAATGTCATAATTTTGGCACGATGGCATACCGGTTGCTCCGCGTACTTGTGTTGCAGGAGCTACAATCCGGTCTTACCACAGATTGTCAGGGGAGGCACTAAGATCGGAGCCAGGGCCGGAAATCCCACATAGCCAGAGGACGAGAGTGAGAAGCAGGCTTGATGAATCGATAATCATTCGAAACTAAGAATGCGCCTCCTTAAGTGTGTCATAATATAACGTGACTTGGTGCTGACTGGGTCCGTAAGGACTGTTTTTGATTTCATCTTTTGGTGGTGTTGCTGAAGCCCAAGATAAGTCGTACATCTGCCGTAAGTCGCCCTCGCATAATAGAACTCCGTCGCTGTCCACTTCCAATAACCTCCAGCCCACAGCAAGATTCAGGTCGGCTTTTGATTGATCCATATCCCATCATATTTCAACTCCGCGTCACCAGAAATTGGTGCCGTTGGCCTATCCGATGGGTATACTCTTGCGTGATCTCCTTGCTCGCCCGACTTGCGTGTTCATCTCCGGATCGGGATGCCTTCTCTCTTAGCAGGTGGACTGACGCTGCCTTCCACAAGGTTGTTATCACCTGGTTCGTCCTTGCCAATGTTTGCTTCGTCAATGCTTGCGCTTCGGGCTAGAAAGCTGCTCTCCTTAACCGGGCTACGGCCAGTTGTACCTGGAAATCCACCACCTGGTATCCCATTTATGCTGCCACGATGCATTCCTGCGAGGCCTGGGAGCATGGTCTGGCCATCGGGGCTGGATGCTAGACCGGCTGAGCCGGAGGTGCCTGAGACCGAGTCGTTGCGGGAAAGCGTGTGCATGAGGGGGCTGGTGTGTGGGATTTCTTCGGCCTTGGGGTGTTCGGTGCCGATCGTGGTGACGCCGGTGTCTGATGCTTTGCCGGCTTTGGAGAGCGCATAGTCGCCAGAGTCAAAGTACTTGCGTTCCTGATTGCACATTAGGGGCCATTGCTGCTAGGCTTGATAGTGCTGGGTTGACTGTCGTACCTTCAACTTGTTCTGGAGCAGGTCTGACTTGTTCGGGAGTTTGCCATAGAGTCTGAACAATCTCTGCTCGTCTGGAGAGAGTTTCTGGAGATTTCATTAGTGTCGAGAACGGTCACTGAGTGAATACAAGCATACGTTGATGTCGATCTTGTTCTTTTGGTGTGGATTCATCTTTCTCCTCAGTTCTTTCCTCCTAAAGTATTCTTCTTGCGTAGTCAAGGGCGGTGCTTAAGGCAGTCGGGGAGGAGTGAGCCCCTGCCGATCGTGGCTGCGATCCCAATCGGGCAGCTAGGAAGAAGAAAGGGTCGATTCGAGAACAAGATAGTCAATTGTACCGCTGAGAAAGGGAGGTACAGAGTAGCCGATGCAATTATTTTTCGGTCTCGTGAGACGGAAGAGGTAAATAGGTAGAGGAGGGGTGTGTCCGTCAAGAGAACTGGTCCGAGCGTTCACTTTTGTCACAGGCTTCAAGAAAATAGTGAGAGCTTGTAGACTTTCGGAGACGGGTTTCCGTGATGGTGGTGGACGAAAGAGTACAAGGGGCAGAATGTTTTTGTTTTCCTTCGCCAATGTCAGCCGGATGTTTGCTGAGGTGGAGACTGTGAATGAGTGTGCCTTGGTGTTTTGTCTGGGGTAGGGAAGCAAGCAGCGGCGGGTGTTGGACGACAGTGAAAGGAAGTCGGGCTTTGGGCGCAGTCTCGGTACGAGTTCGTAGCACCCAGTGACGCCAGTATCAGCCAATCACGTCAACCTCGGCTGATATCCTGGCCCTTGACGTCTTCGTCTAAACTTCAGTTCTACTCTGTATCATCTCTAGGCACCCACTAGGTTCTACTTGTGTCACAGTACCTAGACATATCAAGTTTTCCGGACGAACGATAACGACTCTTGCTCGCTTTTTCGATTCTTCTTGACTATGGATCTGGGAGACCCCGACTCGAGCTTGCCGCGATGACAGTCAACACGGAGCTCTGAAATGAAAGGGCTAGTTAAGTATGAGAAGAAGCCTGGGTCTGCCTGTGGCTGAATTGGCGGAGAGACGTTTTCAAGCACGTGTCGGACCAGGTCTGTCGGACAAAGCCAAGAACAGCCGGTGAAGGTGGAAGCAGGTTTGGTTGCGTCACATTCCAACTTCGCGTTTGCTTAATGCTGCCAGGCAATCAGCTCTTCCTTTCTATGCGGTACGATACTGATGGGCGATTTCCAATTCAGTGTCTAACCGTCGAATAACGTAGTTGCAACAATTATGTCAGGACTCGTCGAAAAGCTGACTGCTGAAGGGAGCGGTGAATCAGCGGGTAAGACTATATGATGCAGGTTGCATTCTGAGCCTGTCCTAAACTCGACAGAGTTCTTGAACGATATTGTGAAGCTGTTATGGCCAAACATCAATGCGGCCGGCAGCAAAATGGTCAAAGAGATCGTGGAGCCGATGTTCAAAACCATGCTTCCTGGCCCGCTGGCCACTCTGCACTTCACCAAGATTGATCTTGGCCCTGTCCCTCTACGAGTATCAAACGCAAAGACAACAAAGACTGAAGAAGATGGTATCAAACTCGACCTGAACGTTGACTGGGTGGGCAAAGCCGACATCGAAATGGATGCAGACATGATACCTGCCCTCGTGAGTGGCCGTCTTTTGCCAACCAGGAGAATGCCATTGATTCGTGATGTAGGGCGTTGAAAGCGTGCAACTTCATGGCAGGCTCTCCATACTGCTATGCCCTCTGACAAACATCATACCGCTAGTACGCAAATACTCTGCTACCGGCGTCCTCCCCATTGACACTCAATGTAGATCGGAGCTGCCCAAATCTCATTCATCAACCCACCAGTCCTGAAGCTTGATTTCACAGGCGCTGCTAACGTGGCCGATTTCTCGATCATTGACGACACCGTCCGCAAGGTGATTCTTGGCATCATCAACTCCATGTTCACCCTTCCAAACCGATTCCTGCTGAAGCTTGACGCCAGCGCCGACTACTTCAAAATCTACCAGTACCCGGTTGGCATGGTGCGAGTGACGGTTGAGAAGGCATGGGGCTTTGGAGAGGAGGCCAAGTCATCCGCGAGAAAATTGTTCAGCAAGTTAACTCGCGCCGCTCCAGACTGCTATGCCAAGGTCGACGTGGGCGGAGAGGAATCGTGGAAGACAGCCACGAAGAACAACACGAGCAGGCCGGCGTGGAACGAGACGCATGACTTTGTGGTCAGTGATCTGGATCAGTGCATCAAGGTGGCGGTGGAAGATGAAGATGTCAACGGAGATGATGAAGTCGGCCTTGCGGTGACAACGGTTCGAGAGATTTTGGTGGCTGGAGGTAGCCAAGAACTGACATTGGTCCACAAAGGCGAGGAAACGGAAGGCAGAGTATCAATCTCCTGCGAATTCTTCAAGTACGTGGCCGATGCCGGTAGCCTCACTGCTTCCGACCACAAAGGTGATGGTCGCCTCTCCGGCATTGCTACCATCTTGGTTGCAAGCGCATCCGGCATAAAAGGCCAGCGTGAAGACTTGAAGCCAAGCGTGGTAGTGACTTGGGGCAAGACTCAACGATTCCAGACGGCCATCAAGACAGATGCTCCCGGTACCGACATCAGCAATCCTGCATTCGACCAGGCATTCCGACTTCCCATTACAACAGACTTGGTGGGTAGCAGTCCGGACAACTTTCGCATTGCACTTCTGGACGGCGAGAAAGAGATTGGAGGCGTTGATATACCTTTTGAGAGGGTGGCGGATGCACCGGATAAGACCCTTCAGCAGAAATTTGACATTGGTAATGGAGCCACTGTCCGAGCCAGCATTCGCCTGAGAGGCATTGTTCCTGGAGAAATGCCACAGGTAGCGCTTGCCGACAGACGCAAGTAGTGATACGTCGAATAATATGACGGCATTCATACAGATACTTTAGACAGACGTTAAATACTAGTATCCCTTGACATCATGCTCTACAGAGCTAAACAACAAAAGGTAGGATAAGAACGTGCTATATAAAGCATGGTAGGTGTGCTTACTAACGAGGTACAGCAACTCCCTGAACCTCTCTGAGCCTCCCTGAGCCGAGAGTAGGGAGCCTAATCTGGCTCCTTTCGCCTGACTACCTAGGTAGTGATGCCGTATGCACTGCGCCACAGGCGAGACTGCTCCCATCCGTGGCCTCCCTTTGTCTGGCCTCTTTCTTTCCAAGAGTAATCGGTCTACCAGTCTAAAACTATCCACCCTTGGAAGTCAACGAATCGAGTAAACACTTGCAACTGTAGCGTTTTGCTGAAGACGGACTCCCTATTGTCCATAAACCAAAGAGCCGCACCACTCAGAACACCCATCCGCTCTTCCACTCTTCCATGATTAGACCCGGAAGCCTAGACGTTCTGAGCTGCCACAGGAAATTTGGCTACGAACGATCTTTTCGTCGAGTCAGATAGACGATAGGCGTCAAAAGCGGCGGCCGCGCCCAGTTCGGGACCATTCCCGAAACGGCAGGGCCGCCTAAACCGCAGGCGGATTTCCCGGCAACAACTTTACAGCAAGAAAAAAAAGGCAAATGATATTGGTAGAAATGTCAAGAAAGCAATAACACAACCAAACGGCATGACGGACCCGAAATATACCTTTGTGGTCGAACACCTGGACCCAGAGCTAGGGCCTTGGTCGGCCTTGGAGTACAAGACCATTGCCAAAGAATCACGTCGTTCGGGCTGCCATTTTGTTCTATCTTCTGTCCCGCAGTCGCTGTTAGAAACATCATCGGATGTGAAGGAGCTGCAGAGTGTGGGCGGAGAGGCCAGAACCGACAGTATCGAGACATATTACGCTCATAAAAAAGACAAGATTTGTCTCCTTGATCCAGGCGCCGAACAAGAATTGAGCCCCTCAGACTCTCAAGTCTTTGATGTCTTCCTGTTCGGAGGAATCCTAGGTAGGCAAGGAAGAAGCAAACTCGTCTGATAATACTGACTACTGGAATAGGGGACGACCCACCACGAGGTATAGCACTCTTGGCTGGAAATACTTGATCTCAATTGACGATTCCAGATCGAACAAGTGAATTGCGAAAGAAAGGATTTTCCGGCCGGAGGCTTGGTCCGAAGCAAATGACTACAGACACAGCTGTCCGTGTGACACGAATGGTGATACTTGAGCAGGGTATGTCGGTCCCTGTCCTAAGAGGATTTCGTCATGCTCACCAGACGTTTACACAGCGCCTCTTGACGAAATTCCATACGTCGATTTTCCGGAGCTGAAACTGAACGAGCATGAGACTACCGAAATGCCATTTCGATATGTCACGGACAAATCAGGGAAGCCCATTATGCCCGAGGTTGGTAGTGGCTTTTTCCGTGCGACGTCGAGACTAATTTCAGCCCAGGGCATGATGGAATTGATCAAAGCTGATGCCGACAAGGCCTTTGACGATGTTGAATTTGTCGATGAGGTCGCAGGGCTCGAAGAGATGAAGATTGACCGAGCTTGAGATTCGTATCGCAAGGCTTGTGATCATCTTCCAAATGAAGCTGCCGTCGATGGATTCCCCAGTGGCTTCAAGACTGTCTGACTGTATTCGCATTGATCAAGGGAGCGATATCAACACTTGGTAGGGCCTGCTGCTAGATACAGAAGGCAAGGGATCACTGTCGTGGTATCCAGCCGAGGCTGTCAGCGAAAGCATGCGACACGAGCACTTAGACTTTGAGACCTTGTCATAAACGAACACCTCACACCTCAAACTCCCTTCAGGCGGACCTTGAGAGACCGTCGTCAGCGCTCTCTTGCCGAAATCGCACAGCGGCTCCGGAAGCTCCAGCGGTTCTACTGTCGCCTTCCAACCAGGAATCATGCCACCTCCGCTTCTGCAACAGGTGGGGACTGGAGAGTATGGGACACGAAATCACGAACCTTTTCATTGAGCTTCGCGCCGAGGTGGCCCCTTTTGTTCTAAGTCGACATATTCAGAGGTCGCAAGACGAACAACTCTACTCCCTCGATAGTCATGACGGGGCCACAATAAATGCAAAGAATTGGCAGCCTTGCGAATTTGCTGGATGCATTGCCGATACAAAACTTGATTAATGCCACTCGTGCCATCGAGGCCTTTTACCTGGATCATCACAGACTGTGGCAGCTGCCAGTTGATGTCTGCTTCCTGCTTCCTACTTCCTCCCCCTCCCCATACATGCCTCCTGCTTCTGGCCGCTCGGCCTTGTTCACTGTGCGCCTACATGAAGAGGAAACGTGAAGTGTTCGGTACGACGTGCAAGCATATGATCGCGAACTCCAGGCAAGAATCACTTCGCGAGTGGGAACAACCTCATCTGGCTAGCCAAGATCTGCCCTTTAGGTGCGTGTCCGTGAGAGGCAAGCCTCTAGACTAAAAAAGTGGCGTTGTCTGACAGGAGGACTTTTGACGTCTGAGGTGATACCTCTCTAATAAGAGATAATAACTAGGCCAACAGTGTGATACGGACGTCAGCCTCAACTTCAAGAGAGAAAGTAATGCTTGTACACATCTTATACCTCTGTAGTCCATCCTGAACACCTAGCGCGTTGTAAATGGTGCCCGTCTCGATCAGATTAAGGTGACTTGCGCTACGTATTTTGGCTACAGGCTTGAAGGTAAGACGGCACAGAAAGCTCCGACCCGAATTGCCCGACCATCGTCTCGAACTCGTCTTATCCAGTTGCAAAGTCTTCAATATTGATCAGAGCTGGGAATCACTGTACGTATGGCGGAATCAAACACTCACCCTGTAGGCGATAATGTCTTTCTCCAACGCGCCTACAAGCTCTCCAACACGGAGGAAGCCCGTAATTTATACGACGAATGGGCATCACAGTACGACAAAGATCTCCAAAATGAAGACTACGCTGCACCTGAGCTCGCCGCAGAGTCATTGATCCTCGCGCGAGGCGGCAACGTCGAAGACAGCCAACAGCTCGGGTCCATCAAGATCATGGACGCCGGGTGTGGGACGGGACTTGTCGGACTCGGTCTAGCGAGATTCGGCTCTCCAAACATTGAGGGCCTCGATATCAGTCCCGGCATGCTGGACATAGCGAGACGTACAGGTGTCTACGGTGTCTTGGAAGAAGCAGACCTGAGTAAGCCGGTTGCCAGGCCAGACAATTCTTATGATGCGGTGATGTGCGTGGGGACACTGACGCGGGGCCATGTCGGGCCCAAAGTGTTGAAGGAATTTGTGAGAATTGTCAAGCCCGAGGGACTGATCGTGGCGACCGTTCTAGATGATATCTGGGAGAGGGATGGCTTCAGGGCTGAAGTCGATAACTTGCGGGATTCAGGGCAAGTCAAGGCATTGCGAACGGACGTTATTGGGCTGAGGACGACAAGTGATGTGGGAGGAAGACTGCTTGTGTTGAAGAAGTTGTAGGTCCGTCAACACCATTCACAGACAGATCTTCAGAGGCAGACGACGCCTGAGATTGCCGCTGCAGTAGCAGTATCTCGAAGGGCTGCTGGGTCATTGTTGGAACGTGCAACATCCTGCATAATCACGATCGCCGGTCTCGCAATAGTCCATCTGGTCGGAGAGGTGTTTGCTGGCGAAGGCCCCAAGGGCCCTTTTGTACGGTGGTCCATTTGGCGCATGACGCGTCAAAATGCTATTCGCGGGGTTGGCCGAAGCCTCGCTGGAGTCACTGCGAACTTTTTTTTGGCCCGCCGTCTGTTTCTGCTTTTGCCTGAGTGGATTTCGAAGATGTGACATTCACAAGAGAGTGAGAAATATTGCTCCTTCAAACTCCCCCTTCCTCTTCTTCCTGGCCAATCTGCCTTGAAGGTCGCAAGTTGACCTATACTGCCTGTCAAAATGGTCGAGAAAATCTACGTGACTTACAACGAGGTCGGTCGCGCGGTTCGCCCTTGACAGGGCCCAATGGCATACAATATGATATTGACTAGTATTTCGACAGATCCACAAGCTATGCCAGAACGCGGCACCAAAGATTCTTGAGGAATTTCAGCCAAATCTCATGATCGCAATTGGTGGTGGTGGATATGTTCCTGCCAGAATTCTAAGGTAGCCTGCAGCTGGCGCATATCACTTGTGAAGAACACGAACTGATTTGGCTCCTCCAGATCATTTCTCAAACGTCCTGGTTCTCCAAACATCCCCATCCAAGCCATCGGCCTCTCCCTCTACGAACAACTGTCTGGGTCAGATCCCGTCGAGGCTCCTGGCACAAAGGTCACACGAACACAATGGCTTGATCTGTCCTCCCTCGAGATGTCCAATCTGATCGGCAAGAGCATTTTGATCGTAGACGAAGTTGACGATACCCGCACCACACTGGAGTACGCAGTCAAAGAACTGGAAAAGGATGTCGAGATGGCCAGACAACAGCATGGCAGATCGGAGAAGACCAAATTCTCCATTTTCGTGCTGCACAACAAGGACAAGGTCAAGAAAGGACAGCTTCCGGAGGAGATGGTAAATGAAAATCGGTATCTTGCGGCAGTCACTGTGCCTGATGTTTGGATATGCTATCCTTGGGAGGCGACCGACATTGACGAACATGACCAACTGGCCGCGAAGGTCGGAAATGGCACCGAATAGATTGGGCCAAGTATCCTTTCTGTCATGTTACTAGATGCAAACATGACATAGACATAGCACCTCACTGAGCAAGACGTGTTTAGTCTGGCAACAGGTGTGCACTCCCCATCCACGGCTCCCAGTCTTGCTTAGTCCCAGCGCACTTTTCTCTGGTCCAGCTTCTTCTTTGCGCCATCTATTTGTTCCATGAGCTCCGTGTAAGCCTCTTTTGTGTCATTGAATCGTAGGACGCCCAACCCCAGCCGTCCGAGCAGATATGCGCCTAGCGAGATGAGTGCCCAAAAAGGCAGAGCCGGAATGATTTCGACTTGAATTTTGGTTGGTAGAATGGAGGGAACAGGTGAGTCTTGGGTCAAGAGTGGCATTGCCAGTAGTAGGTACGCCTGATCTGAAGTCAGTATTCCATCAAAGATCTTCGCGAGCAGCACAGTGAGGCAGTCTAGCCATGGCATACCGAGGAAACTAGAAGGGCAAAGGAGATCGTCTGAGCTGCGCGACCCATTTTCACGAGCCACCGGATCCTTGCTGACAGTCTTCAATCGATGTAGGCCTTCCTCTCAGCGGTTCTTTTGTGCTTGTGTTATTCGCGTATCTAAAGCTGAGAGCGACGCGAAGATCCAGACAGGAGACGTGTCGAGATCAATGGTTGAGAAGGATACAAATGTCAACAGCGAATGCTGCACCGTAGGACCTTGGCACATCTCTACGGCTGAACAAAAACGCCGTAAATGTCGCTTGGGCTTCAGCCTTCTCCCTTCTGAGCCTTGCTCTTAAGGCACGGTTGGCCCTGACACATTGAAGCCGCTGGAGACCACTTACCTACTCCGTCATCACTTCACAGAGAACGCACTAGGGAAGAAGGATAAAGGAGATATCGAGTCCAGATGCCTGTACTCTGCGTGAAGATCGGTGAACGACCTTTGTCATAAAGCTACAGGGTCCCTCATTGACATGGCCATTTCACTTCTGTTTCAAAGATTACGTTCGAACGTCTCTCACTGAATTGTTTGAAACCATTGGGCACTGCGACTTGCTGAGTTATGATTTCAATAACCCCACGAGAAGCTTGCTTGAGGCTATCAGAAGCAGTGTCAAATAACCGGCCCAGACATCCCGAGTCTCAGAGCACGTACGAAAGTGCCATAAAGGCCCTGGACAGCGCAGCAACGGAGCTAGAGAGTGGTCAGCATGGCCTACACCACGCCACCAGTCTACTTGCCCAATACTTCGAATGCACCACTCTGCGATCAGAGCATCACAATCCCATGCTATGTACCCTCCTGGCGGATACCAGCCGCGAGACGCCGTTCTGGCGACCACATTTCGGACTGGCCTCAAAATCACCTGCAGAAGTCAACGCAGAGCAGGCCAGTGGCCAAGTTCCCGCAGACTGCGTTCTTGAAGTCGCCAGGAGAATCATCACCAAACCATGGGACGCATCCCGAACGGAAGAAGTCAGATCCGCTCTTCGCCTCATTGCAAACTGCTGCGCGGACAACAACGTCAACCGCAGCGTCATCATCGATCGAGGGGGCATCGCGGCCATGATGACAAATGCTAGCCAGGCTCGTGAATGCGACATTCTCCTTCCAACGTTGTACAACGTCTGCGTGGACTATGATGAACCCGCAGTTGACGAGGAAGGCAAGCCCTGGGGTTCACCAGAGCAGATGAAGACAGGAAGCGACCAGGACTCAGGGCCGGTAGTAAACTTGGCAGAACAAAGGCTCGGGATGTCATGGGACCCCTCCCGCAACCTCAGCTCAGTCGAGGTCCTGCTCTGTACCAGACTAGCCGCACACACCTGCGTCGGCATCCTCGCCGATCTAGTTGAGATGGCTAGTCGTGTCGCCCTCTACGGTCTGCACTACCTTATTCCAACACTCAACGATAATGATTCGACAGCTGCTCCATCACAATATGCGCAAAAACCCTGCTCAAGCCTACTGCGTTCCGTGCTCACTGAAGGTTTAGAGATCGCCAGCGAAGATTCAGAATGCAGTACATCGATTTGTCAGGCAATACTAAACGTCCTCTCACAGCCGACCTGCTACAACGCCCTCATCACGACCGACGACGCGCTCTGGGCACTCATTCACATCCCATACGCATGCGAAGAAGATGACGAGGACGCCGCTGAAGCACTCGCACCGTATAGGCAAGCCATTCTCAAGGTCGTCTACACGTTGTCGGCATTGGACTCTTACGCAGAACATGTCACTCCTGACTCGAAACTAATTCATGACTGCATTGACTCCTTATCCAGAAATTTCCAGCCCGAGAACCCTACTGCCTCTGCCTCAACCCCGTCAAAGGCTGGACTATGGGCAAGCGTGTCCGTTCTAATCGCCAACTGCTTAACCTCGACTGATCGGGCCGTGCGTCTTTTGTCGTCAACGCAAATAGCATCAGTTCTCAGCAACTTGATCAAGCATGCATCCGACAAGGATATTCTTCTTCCCGCTATCGACATAGCGATGCGTCTATCTCTCAGCCGCGAAGGCCAGGATGCTCTTCATGCGACGGACATAATACGGGTTGTAGGAAAGTTCTTGGCAACCACGAGCGAGGCCGACCCAGCGGGCATGGACATCCGGCGCGAGACTGTCACATTGATTCGCTTCATCATTAAAGGACGACCGGAGCATCTCAGTGACCTCAACGTCAGCACTGGGAATGACAACCAAGTCTCCCACGCCGACGAAGATTCGGGAATCATGCCAGCATTGATGTCCCTATTTCAGAGCACCAACGACGTTCGCACGAAAACCGAGATAGGCCGGCTATTTATCGAAATTCTCCGTACATACTTCTCAGTTAGATCATCATCTTCACCACACTCCACCACGAACGACAACCAGCACCAACAGAGCGGGAATGAGGATGCCCTACCGAACCTCTTCGAACCATTCGACACGCTCAGCGCGCTCACAGCTGCCGATGTCATAGCATTCATCCTCACGCAACCTCAACCACAAGCACAATCTCCCCCATCACCAACAGACTCTGGATCAACGCAAGCCGAGGCTGAAGCATGGTTCGGTTTTGGTCTCCTCTCAACGCTTCCTGCCGCACGACCAGCGATCATGCGTGCATTATCGCGAAATGATCATCGACTTCTCAGGAAATTGCAAGAGACTGTGCAACAACGTCAAACCAAAAACACAGAGTCAAACACCGAAGAAATGCACGCAATAGATAACTCCGAAAAGCTTGCCGATATGCCTCCTACCAGCAGGAGAGAGGCCAGTAAGGATCCCAGGTACGAGAATGTCAAGGTCCTCGTCGTGAACATGCTCCAAACGCGAGGGACCGTGAATGAGGGAGCTGAAGAAGGAAATACCGTGCAAGCCGGACTCGAAGTGGCAGCAACGCAGATGGACCTCGACAAGATCATGGTGCCTGAGTTATCCTCCTGATGAAGACGATACCATGTTCTCGCCGACCCGAGTGTCTGACGTAAATCGCCTCTTGCACTTCGCTTGGAACCATGAGCTCACAATGGTCATTCTAGCGCCCAAACATCTTCGGCCCAACGCTTAAACGTGATCTCTGTCCCAAGATACGGATACGGCGTCGAAAAAGACGTGGCAATCTGCTCTGCAGCGTCCATACTTCCAGACATGGCCATCTCGGTGGATGCCGTATGACTAGTACTGTCAACGCCCAGCGTACCAAGTCCATAGAGAAAGTCTTGTGGAAGTATGGTGCCATTCGGGAGTATGCGAGTAATGTCTTTCACAGCACGCGAGAGATTGTCCGACATCGGTGGCATGCTCGCTGTTTCATAGATTGCTTGTACCGGGCCTGAAGGTATGGGGGTCGCCGAAGATGTGTAGGCTATACTCTGAAACCCGCTTGCTTGGGCGAGCGCCTGGGTTTGTACAGCCATAGAACTAGCATTCCGGGAGGCTGTTTTCTTCTTAGGATGCTGTCGTAGAGGGCAATTCTCGATCTCATGACTGTATACAATACAATAGTCGTCAGCGAGTGTTTGGACAATTCTCGAATTTTTGTCCTCTTTGCCAAAAGAACGCCTCCATCGCGAAGTATCCATGTCAGGGGGGAAAGCTTACCGGTCTCTGAGATCCGAGCGTCGAAACGATCTCCCGCAGTGCTGGCAGCTGTAGGCCTCCCCTACTTGATGAGCCTATAATGCACGATTAGTACCAGCGAAGATGGGGCGTTGGGGTCGAATGTTTGACGCGGACTTACACTCTTGATATGGCGGTTCAGACAACCTCCCCTTCGATACTGCTTACCGCACCCTGTGAAGGGGCACGGCAACAGTCTACGGAAACCTTCGTGAGAAGGCAGATGAGACCTGAGTGACGATCGTTTTTCGAACGTCTTCGGACATAGCGTGCATGCGAAAGGGCCAGCATGGCTCTTCGCATGGTTGCTGAGCTGGTATTTCTCATGGAATCTCTTTCCGCAGGTCAGGCATTCATGTTGCCCTTCGTGCTGGTACATGTGCCGTCTGAGACTGCAAGGCCGATGGAACTCTTCTCTGCATATTGAGCAAGATATCATGCGTTTCTTCCTCTTGGCTGGCATGCGCTGGGGTACCGGGGATCTGGCTTTGTTCACTGGGCCAAGACAGTCGGTCGCTTCGGCTTGAAAGGGGGGTAAAGGTTCTGCGGCAGTAAGGGCATCTTGTCTAGGATCGGTCACGGCATGAAATTGGACATCCCCAGCTAAAGTAGTATTATCTGACGATGTTTGGTGTGGTGTCTCGCTGTAATGGTTGGCAGCATATGATATTGCTGTTGGCAGGTTTGTGTACCACGAGCCTGGATCAGTCGACAGGTGACCCTGCATGATACCGTTCATGCTCTTGTATTCGGACGCACCTTCGTCCATTTGCAAATACCCAAGGGGTGGCCTTGGTACCTCAATTGCAGTCGGAGGCTCAAATCTTTCCATCCGTTGCCACGTATAGCCGTGAGTGCTGAGCGCAGGGTTGTTCTCGTAGCCTGCAGGCTGTCGACATCCTGAAGGATAGTCTGGGTTGTAAACAGGGCATGCCATGGCGACTGAAGAAGGCGCTGTGAAACGTCCATCGTGGTTGTGTAGCGCCCATTCGTACATCTGGTTGACCTCGTGATGATAGGGCCCACCATCAACATCATCTGGCACAATAAAAGGAGCAAGGTATGATGAGTCGCACAGTACAAGATATGGCTCGAGACACCAGTTCGGGTCTACTGGGAGAACTGTTGGACTGCACTGAGCTGTAGTGGACGCGGACTCTGATATGATGAATTTGCTTGAAGAATCGGGGACTTGAGGCTTCGCCGCTGCCATCGAGAGCTCTGTATCGCGCGAATTCATGCTGACGAAGTTGGAAAATCAAGGATCAATTGCTCGGTGCGATGAATTGATATTGCTACAATGGACGAGCATCTGCAATTGACGAGCATCTTGTCAACTGAAGAGCAAATGCGTGCTCCAGGCTAGAATTACCAGATTCCGCCACGTAAGAAACGTCCTGGGAGGTCCTTTCTCCGCAGCGCTGCTTGAACCCTGGGCGGTGCGTTCCACTACCGCTAAGGCTAGCAGGCTGCAGCTTCGCCAGTAGATAATGCAGCTGATGTGCGTCGGAATGGGGAAAGACATGCCAGAGAAAACCTTCGAATCAGTGGGACCAGACCGGGAGTGCTCGCATTCCACGTCATTCTGACGGGCCTAGAGGCCAAAGCATAGGTCGTCAAGATATTCAAGCGGGATTTGATTGCGGGAAGCTTCCTAACGGAGCTCTAACCGAAGACATATATTGGGTGCATGGCAGGCCGTGCTGTTGGGTGTCAAGGTCAGCAATCTGGTTTTCCATCACTGCGCCATCTTCAAGCATACAATGCAATTGTGATGACCCCACATGGACCAGCACCGGCATGATGGCATCTGTAGTTTGCCATAGCGAAGCCACAGAGCTTGAGTTGGCCTGCGCAATCGGTCATTGACGAGGAGACCCCTCAATCTTTTTGTTGACCGGCCACCATAGCAGTCAATCCATCAACTTGAGCACTCAGCTTTTGGACAAGAGCCATCAAGTCTGCATTATCGGCACTGCCCGAGGCGGATTTCATAGTGGAGCCGGTCATGTCTGGAGTGGTCGTTGGAGACGGTTCGTGAAGGGTGCGTCGGTTCATTGGTGACTTGACGAAGTCTGGGCCGCCACCAAGACTGAAGTGACCTGCACTGAGGGGACGACTAGTTAAATGCGGAGCTTTGCTCATTGTTGGATGGGAACGAGAGACTATACGTCTTGACTTCTCGTAGGCCCAAATAATGGCAAGGAATGGAACATGGGTGGCTTTGAGCATTGCAATCCGTATTCGGCGGACATCTTCTGATGGGAGGACAAGTCGGAGGGGTCGCAGCAGGATCAATGGGAATAAATTGAGTGGCGGCAGAAAGTAGGTCAGTCGCCGGGAGGTACTGCTCTCGAGAACGTAGATTGAATACTGGAAGAGGTATTCCTCTCTTGCATGTGCCATGACCTGTAACCAATCAGACTTCACGCAGCTTGCATGGCGCTTAAATCCAAAGGGCCACAACTATGCGACCGCTCGGGTTCACCACCATGGAGAATCGATGTACTTACCTCTGTCAACGAATTCGACACCAATGAGACAAGAGATGTAATGAGCAAGATGTTGGTCAAGCACACGAAAATCAGCCTGCAGCACACAGAATGTTAGTTAACCGGGTCGAGTCCTCTGCGCTTGGGTTGACAGTTTCCGCCCCATCATTTCTGGACTTTCAACACCACAGGATTAAGCGCCGACACGGTTTATTGAGGCTTAGCAGAGGGTGAAAGTGATGCAGACAAGAGTGGCGGTGCATACGTACATTAACGTATAGCCGAACAATGGGGATATCTGCGGAGACATGTCAGCAGTGACGGGCATTGATAGTGGGTTTGGTGACGCATCCGTACCTTGACAGCCATGTCAAATCCAAGGTAGCTCGATCTGAGAGTATCATTAGACCGTGAAGTTTGTGTAGGATGTAAGAGCATACCCAAAGAAGACTTTGATCAGAAGCCAAGACATTTCATTGAGTGTCATGCGGTCTCGAGCGAGCATCGTGAAGGTGGTCAAGAACCCTGTGAACGGCACCGTCAGAAGTAGGCAAGCAACTCTACCGGATCTCCTACCTAGGTAAAGAACAATGATGACAGGGAGAAATTTGCAAAATGCTTTGGTCTAGCCATAGTCAACATCTTGGGGACCCAACACCTAGGGCGACCACCTACCATTTCTTTCAGTACGGGTATCTTCGCGAATACTGTTAGCCAGATCCTGTGGACACGTTCGTCTGACCTACCAGGCTGCCAAAATAAGGATTGAGACTCATGACGGAAAAGATCCTGCATCCATTAGCTTCCACAGTGGCGGGCCTATACCGTGGACCACGCACCTTGGGACCAGGAACAAGGCCACCATTGACAGGATGTCGAAAGCCACATCAATGATATAATCACTATTCTTCACCAAGCCAATGATCCCTGCTCACGTGTGAGGATAGATTCCATGCCAAAAACTCAGGATGACATACTCATGATGACGAAAGCTGCAGAGACGCCAATGATTGCGATATCCCACAATGACCAGAAGTCCGTCTGGTAGAACATCAAACCAGCGTCTTTGATCTCACCAAATTCGTCATAAGCAAAGGCTGCAATCCAGACATACAGCACCGCTTCCGTTGCGGTGATGTGCAGAGGGTCCCTTTCGACAAGGACGGCATAGTAGAGGATCAGGAAGGAAATGAAGAATGCAACTTGGAAGGCCTTCTGGTATTTCGGCACCCGCAATCGCGTGAAAGGGTCGGCGACACGCTTGTTGTACGCGCGAGGCTTCTTGACCGCATGGACTGAGAGAGACTCCCAGAAGATAACGTCGCCATTCCAAATGTCTTCGACAATCTTCTGAACGGGCTTTTGAGAAAGAAACTTCTTTGCATCGCCAATGGCAGCAATCTCCAAGGCGTTCATTCCAGCCATTGATTGATCAAGGTTCAAGCGCGCAGAGCCATCTGCATCACCTGGGAAACTGACCGATGTGCCCACCGGGTTGTCGACCGAGACACGTTTCGGTGGGCGAAGGCCGCCGTATTCGCTGGAAGTCGCGCGAATGAGAGGGGAAGTCTCGTCGGATGTGCTATCATCATGGCTGCCAGGCCCGCTATCGTCTGGACGAGGCTCTTCGGAATACTCAGGAAGCTCGTAGAGAAGGTAATCAATCAGTTCTTTCTCCGACAAGAAGGTCAAGAACTGCCACGCGACCAGCTCACAAGCAAGCGCTCGACTTTCGTTAAGGGCGCTGTCTGCATCTTCGGCATCGTTGGTGAAGAGATATCTCGCCGCTAGAAGCGCAGCAACAATTGCTGGATGATGGCAGTCCTCACTCAGATTGGCAATCAGAGGTTTCAGCGTTTGGCCAGCAACTGACGTGCGGAGTTGTTCGTAGGTATAGGCAGCGTCGACGGCTTTGGCGATGTAAGTGAAGACTTTGAAGGTGATATCTGAAAAGCTCTCTTTGGAGTCTATGATGGGCACATCGTCTTCCATCCATTGGAGAAATTTACTGGACCGTGGGGTCTGAGCATTCAAGTTGGCGGTGTTGTCGTTGGCCATGACAGAATCGACGTAAGTCTTGAGATTGAAGCCAAGACCTCGACTACGCATCGGACCACTTTTCAGGCTGTCATCGGGGATTTAGAGCACGGTTTGAGGGCAGAAAAAGTTGGACGAGCAAACTTGTCAATTCTCGAAATCTGAAACAAGAATGTGTACGTAGTACATCGTCGCTGAAGGTCGTCTGCTCAATGGACACGAACAGGATCTAGCTTAGCCACGTTGGCGCACAATTGATCTGCCGCTTTAACTGGCGCGTTCCCTCTTAACGCCTCGCGTCCGCGCCGTCACACCTTCCTTCCTTCCTTCTTCTGTGCTTGCCGTGACTCTGCTCAAAGATGCCTTTCTGATTCTGTTCTCCTACATATATTTGATTTCACTACGGAGTACATTTCTTCCAACTCTTCTTCGACCTTTGATGTATACCTCACGGTACCACTCACTGGCGTTGTCTTTCCAAAGTAAGTGCGCGAGTCATGTGTCTCCGAAGCTCCTGGTGGTCCAGATTTGACGCCATATTTACGACACCCATCTCGCTCGTCGACGGAGATCAACGAACAACCATGTTCCGAGGCTTATACAATGCGACTCGTAATTGAAGCGGGACGAGCCTCGCAGAACATGGTTGACACCTAGTTCCTGGATCGAGACCCGTAGGCTTCGAGCATGATTGGAGCGGAGACCACCATCTCCCCTGCAGACAACGGAGATCAACGACCTCCACTATCTGAAGTCTTGATATAAAGGTAGCAAACAGCTAACAAACAGGTACGCTTCATCCACAAGTCTGAGTAACTATTCAATTCCTACGGAGGATCTGGATCTAGAACTCGTACTGATACTTCCCCTTCAGTCCTCTCACCATGGCGTCCCCTTACGCCCCCAACACGAAACACACCATTCCCGCACGCTCAGGCGTCGCCGTTCCCGTGTCCAAATCGCAAACCATAACCGTGATCAACACCCACGGCACTCAAGTCATCGACTTCTGGGCCTTTACGCTGCCAACCTCCAGCTCCAGCTCCACCTTGCCAACATGGACAAGCATGTCGCACACCCGTCCCACAATCACCCGTCTCTCCCCTCTGCCGGGCGACACACTTATGTCCAACACGCGCCTGCCGATTCTCAAAATGACAAAGGACACCACACCGGGCGTTCACGACACGCTGATGGCCGCCTGCGACAGGGAACGCTACCACCTCCTCGGCGTCCCGCGCGACCAATACCACGAAAGTTGCACCGACAACTTGCACAACGCCATTGCTAAGGACACCTCATACAAACTGCCCGAGTACATGACCGCACCGCAACCGCTCAACCTGTTCATGAACATCCCCGTCGTTCCGCTCAGTGAGAGCGAGGCCCGAGCCGCAGACAATCGTACCGCGGGCGCGGATTTGCAGTTTGCAAGGCCCGTCGGGCCAAAGGGCGGGAGTGTCACGTTTGAGGCCCTGGTCGACTGTGTGTGTGTGATGAGCGCCTGTCCGCAGGATATCTTGAAGATCAACGATCAGAATCCGACGGAAGCCCATTTCATCGTTGAGGGCTAATTTGATTGAATTGCTCTTCATCAATACGGAAACAGACCGCAAATCGCATGCTCCTTGGGGGAGTCAGCAGGAACGAACGGCCACAGCACAGGGGAGGGGAACGCGAAGGCGAAGGAGAAGGCGAAGAAGTCCATGTGTCGTCGCACTTCTGGCGGGGAATCAAATATCTCTGTCTCCCGACACTCGCTGCACTTGCAGACACGTGGGCAGAAGGAGTCTGCGCAATGCGAGTGAGCTTGATAAGATAGTGAGACGCGGTCTGTTCAGGAGATGCGGCCATCTACCTAGCTTGAGCATAGTATGTTCCATTTTCATTCCAAGTACGAAGTAAATCTCGTACCTTGCGCGGCTTGGAACACTAAGACCATTTCACACGACGGAGTAATTAGATAAATATTCGTATGCTTCCCACAAGCTCATTCATCCTTGGCTGCTTTCTTTGCCGTACTTGCTCATGGTCCCAGATCCAATGCCCGAAGCAACTGAGAATACGTACTTGGGTGGTTCATGAATACCATTGTATCTATAGGTATGTAGTATCCAACAGTCTGCGAAGCAGGAGCTTTATGTCTGTTCTAGACCTCCAGATCAAGGTTCTGCCTCTGGAGCCTTTTCATGTCCATGCATCAATGTCAAACAGATCTCTTGCCATTACGACGCCGGCTTCCAACAGTAAACTCCTCTTCGAACTGCTCGTTCCGTTTGACCCAGGATCGCTCAGAGTCAAGTTCCCAATACTGCACCAATTATTAATCGGCAAACAACTCAAATACTTGCACCACGAGCAGGTACTGTGATATTTGTAGAAATTGTTCAACAACACCACAAAAGCCACCAGAACGCCAATCAAGGCACCCACCCGCAACAACCACCAACCCCACCACAGCGGCTTGCGGCCCTTGAAGAAGCCAAGAGGCTCCTTTGCAAATGCCGCGACGTCTGCGGGCGTCGCGGTCGCAGCCGGTGTCTCCAGCATCGGGCGCTTTGGATTGGTGATATCGGGCTCGGATCCGACATTTCGATACGGGCCGGGAGTCTCGCCAGTGCGTTGTCGAAGGATATTAGGAGAATGTAATAAACACAAGCCCGTTGCAAGACCCATCAAGAAGCCGCCAATGTGAGAAAAATTATCCAGACCCGGCAACAAGCCAAGTACGAAGGAAATAATGATATCGACCAGAATCCACATTAGGTCTTTAACTCGACTGGGTCGTTCGTTCCACGCGTAGATCAAATCGAGCAGAACCAGTGCCAGAATGCCGAAGAGGCATCCCGAGCATCCTGTCGAGGCGATTGCCGTGGCTGCAAAATTCCCGCCGAGGACGAATCCAAAAATTCCAGAACTGAAATAGACAATGGCAAATCGAATACTGCCGATCGCCTTCTCCATGTCCCGACCCATTGTGAGTTGCAACAGGAGGTTGAACGCAATGTGAATAATGCCCGCGTGTAAGAACATGGGGACGATGAATCGAAACCACTGATTTGGATGGTCGTCGTTAAATCCAGAAAACCCGCATAGCTCGCTAAGATCGCAGTGATTGCTGGGCGAGTTGGCGTCGGAGGTGGTGGTATTGGGACACGGCCAATTGACCGGTGTTGAGGCATCTTGGACTGCGGGAACGACACGCATGCAGGGGACGAAGCGCGCACCCATGTTGATTTGAACGTAGGTTGAGGGACCGATCATAGGATTGAATTGTGGATGTATCATGATGGGAGAACCTGTTATTATTGCTGGATGCCACATTAGCAGATGTCCTTGCACAAGACCCTTAGTGGCTCACAATTCTTGATTATTTCAACGATGAAAACGGTGAGCTGAATCAGGCTGAGCGTGTAGACCACCCATGGGACTTTGCCAGAAAACCATTTCTTCTTCGTTTTTCTTTCCGGCTTTGGTAGCAATTGAGGGTTCTGCGACTCTGGCGAGGGAGGGTAATTGGTCGGTTGTTTCCGCCAGTCGTCGGGGGCTGTATTAAGACTCGATTGTTGTTTCAGCGGTATGGACTCTGAATACTGTGGTAAGGGACGTGAGGAATCATTAACGTCGTAGTCGGGTCTTTGTTGATGAGAGTATGTATTCGGAGGCCGTGATTGATCGAGGCTGGAAGAACTGGTTGCAGGATTATATGCGTAGGCAAGATGCGACGTGGGTCGATCGTTATAATGAGGTCTCGAAGGCTGAGAAGACTGCGCCATATATGCATCACGGTAATAGTCGTTGGCGGCCATGGTGACAGAAAGCCGAAAGGACGAAGCGAGTGGAATTGCTCAAGAGCAGAAGGTACGCTCGGAGGAAGAAACGAATGTCGTGTCACCGCATCTGCGGATGCACAGCAAGGAAGAATGATTGTTGTTTTCAGATTCGAGCAATCATCCTCCCTAGAGACAATCCCAGTTGCGGCAGGGAGGTATCCCAAATCTCAGAGCCGGTTTGACCGAATGTCGCTAAGTTGGAAACTTGACACCCCCGCAAAGTGACAGCTGCCAGGGTATTCAAATTGCAAACGAGGGTTTGTTCGGGCGCGTTGAAAGATAGTTCTGCCTGATTCTCTGGCTGATTTGGAAGGTATCGAAAGGGCCTGCAAGGTTGAGATGGCAGACGAACGATCAAAGAAAGACTGGCGGTTGAGTGATAAAAGAGACCAAATGCCCTGAACGAGGAAATGATGGTTTCTCTGCGGCTTGCGTCTGCGTCAAACGTGGCTTAGACTGGCAAGTTGGTTGTTCATCAGGCGAATTAGGCGTGTCTCAGCATTCAGGAACAAGCAAGGCGCAAGCCCATGGATCCTGAGACTGCTCTCTTACTGGCTGTCATCGGCTCTCCCTGCACCAGATCGTCCCCCGATTGTATCAGAAAATAGATTTGGCCTAGGATGCCCCTTACGTGGCCAGGAAGTCCGGATCTTCATCTGAACTGGCCTTGCTCTATACGTTATCGCTTATTGGAATATAACTGGGACCGAACGACGTACACCTGGAGGGAACAAAGAAACACAACCAGAACAAAGAGCGTCGCGTGTCAGCCACTAGATGGTCACAGTAACAAATGCTTGTACAAGGTGCTCGCTATCATAAACATAATTTCGTCATGGCCTACGTGGGCGGAGGCTGAACAACAATTGCCAGCATCTCATAAACAGTATCCTGATGTGTCTCGCGCTGAGATTACGAGGCCGAATTACTCCTCGCTTGTGATGCAGCCACGTGAGGTCATAAACCTCCCCAAAATGTGCCGTGATGCATCAGTTTCGTAAAGTCGTCAAAGCCAGGTGATAGGCTCGTTGGTAGGTTGATATACAGCGAGAGTTGGGTTCGGTGAAGCGAGTGTCAAGAAAGTTCCGTCGCTGTCTCGCATGGACACTCTCTTCGGTCGGCATGATCAACATGCAAAGTGGCCTGAGGGATTCACACATCTAGCTGCACAGATATGCAGCCTTCTCTCGAAATACCCGTCCTTCAGTCTTTTAACACTCATTCTGCCGTTCTGTCGATACGCGTGGTACTCAACGAATACAGCACCTTTCGAGTGTGTGGAACTGAGCGTTTCGAGCTTCCGAGATATCCGAGCTGCGTTTCCATCCCACTAGTCCAGCTCTTTCTGCGCTTGCGGTGTAGTCCAAGCCACTCTCCGTTCCTCGTGTCTCAGTGCGAACATAGCTCCGGCGCTGTGGAAAAGGACCCCGTGAGATAGTATATGAATCGGCAGAGAAGGTTGACGATGAAGGGTTCGAACCCCCAGAAGAGCGCGTAAGAGAAAGCGGCAAAGACTCCAAGGACAACAGCATTGAAGACTAGTTTCTCAGTCGGGGTCAGCATGTAGAGCCCAAAGGTGACTTCGTATTGGTAATATCGTAAGCGCAGGTAACTCGAGAGCTTAGAAGGCATGGAGATGCGTGGCTTTCGGCTGTAAGATGAGCTGGATGTGGATAGGATCTGGATGGCGGCCATGGCCATGGGGGATGAGAAGTAGTTGGCCGAATTAGGCGGAGCTGAGTCGATAAAAAGAGGGAAAGGCTCGAGGGAAGGTTGGTGGCTGTGGAAGTCGCTCGCCATGCTGAACAAAGGAGATAGAAGAGGAAAGCGAAGTCGTGGAAGGTCGAAATGGAACAAGACCCAGAGTCTTATTGCCCTGCACTGGACGTGTGCATGTGTGACAGAAATCACCAACCGGGCGACAGTAGACTAAATGTACCTATGGTGCGATTTGCGACAAGGAGAGTGTTGTCGATAAGGAAAGGAACAGAGAAGTAGTTTCTGATCTTATGTTCGCGATGAGGCTGCCCAGTGCCCACGGATCTCGGCGGATTCGACGGCACGCCGCGGATTCGCTGCTGACAGAGGACAGACCACGGTAGGAAACGTGCGAGGCGGAACATTCTCTGGGCTCAGGTACCCGATATTGACCTCACGGTGGAGTTGCTGACCTGACGACGGGAAGAAAAGCAGCATAAGATAAAAGCAAATGATCTACGGAGTACCAGCAATCATCGTTGGAACATGTACCACCAATTGTCTCTTCGCAGCATCTTCTGAAAAGACTCTTCTCTTCCTCTTGACCTAGATGAGCATCTTCAGTACCTAGGCACCCTACCCCTATGTACGAGTCAAAGTTCTTTCTTCAGCCGTCATACTCCGTACAATCTATCGTCATGACTGGGCTGATGAGGCCCATCATGGGCCCGAAGGTAAAATGCATCTTCCGTCACTTCCGGGCGATACCGTCCCATGACAGTCCATAACGACATCGTTGCCGTTCGCCCACATGGCCTCGATAGCACCTCAGCTAGTGAGGCATCGTCATCATGCATCAGACCGTACCCGAGGCTCGATAACTGTGGAGGCATCGTATTCGAATTTTATCCTCGATTTGGCCCAGTTTAAGTATCCATTGCTTCTTCCAACAGATACCCTCGCCTGACATTTCGCTCGCAGGTCTCAATGTTAATATTGCTACATCTTCATCCCGCTAACAGAGGTAGATTCAGATCGAAATCTTCTTCATCATTCGCAACCCGACCCACGATGCAATTGAGCTCATTCGCCACAATCAGCCCCGGAATTCGATGGGGCAGCCGGTGTGTATCCAAATGCGCCAGGAACGCATCTAACCCATTGAATGTGGGCGTGATGTCGCTCGGTTTTTCCACTGAGGCCTTTCGACCGCCGTCCACTTCGAGCCAACCTTTTGCTGCTCCTTCTGCGCAGCAGAAATAGCAGCCATACACGTCGTTGCTGTTTTTCAAATCGCTGTGACTCGCCTTGTTGAGCACGTGGCTTTTGGCAAGAAAAGCCCATCGGTACTTGATCCCTCCAGGAGATACCCTGATCCTGGTGTCAAAAGTTTTCTCTCGTTTGACTGCTCCCCGTCCTCCACTAGGTAAAGCCGCCGATACTGTCGCTGGTCCTGCAAAGTTGCACTTTGTGCATTGGAAGAACCATTCGTGTCCTTTAGCGGCTTTTTTATGCTCTAGCATGAAACCCCTCTTCCGACTCCCAAGCTGTTGTCGTATGGCTCCTTTACAGAAGCCCGCCAAATTGGACTCACTTGGCAGATTCAGCTCTGACCGAGCCACTTGAAGATTATGCGACCCGGGAGCTCGCATCAGTGTTTCCAACGACGGTGCGACACCCCCAGTGGTGGGCTGTGCCCCATCTGAGAATTTGATACCATTTCGCGGAGTCGACACAGGACAGCTTGTCAGTTCCGAGGAGCTGTCGCCTAATGTCGGGCTTTTCGGCTTGATATATCGAGGCTGGCCATCATTCTGCGCTTTCTGAGAGCTGGATCCCGTTTTGTGCATTGCACCAACGATGCCAGGCGGGAGCGCCTTTCTGAGTACAAATCCGCCGATTCTGGAGCCTGCGGAGTTGGAAGACCTGATTGACAGTGGTCTTGGGACAGAAGACGTTGTAGGAACCTTAAACTTGGAGCATTAGTTTCGAAATAACTGGGGACCTCCTATTCGTACGTACCCTTGTTGAAGCCCGAGTGTCCGGAGTAGTGGGCACCGACACTGTTCTCATGTCGTAGCATATTGATTGAGGTGCCTCCGAACTCTGTCGTGGTTGCCCTTGCGCTGCCGGGCCGTTATGATAAGATTGTTGATTTGATGATTGTGAGTGCTGGTTGACGTGGTGCATATATTGCTGCTGACTTGCTGGTGGCGGCTGGCCTCGGACATCCACAGACATGACACACTCGAGTGTGCTGTAATCTGGATTTAAAGGAATTGGACGCCTCTGACCTGTTCGCGGTGGCGGGACCGACATTGCTACCGAGCTGTCGTCAAGCTCATGCACCTGCGAAGGTGAAGCTCTGGGATCTATGGGCGCGAGGGGAGTTTGCGGTGGCGAATAGACCTGGTCCTGCGCGCCATACCTGGTCGAAGGTGGAAGCTGCTGCAAGCCTCGCTCCGGAGACCTCTGTGAACTATGCACTTGTCCATCGAGAGGGGACAAGGTTCGCGACGACAGTGGGTGATCATAGGGTGGCTCAGGGCCGACACCTGTGAGAGGGCTACAGGCGTCCCCATTCTTGACGTCTTTTGTTCGGGTCAGAATTGTGTCCGCGGCCGCCCGTGTCGAGTCAGTCTGCATAAGGAACTGCTGGACAGGCAGATTATTTTCGTCAGGAATCCGGCTTTTGAGCGGTTCTCCCTCACTCGAGTAAGAGCGACCTGAGGCCAGCGAGATTCTTCTTTTTGGCAGAAGCTCATTGGATGGCTTCTGATCATTGTCAACGGCAGTTCTTGTACCGTACGTCGTGTAAGATGCAGTCGATTGGCTATCCCAAGGTTTCATACCAAGAGACGAATGAGTACTCTGACTGCTCGAATAAGCCAATGACTTCAGATTATGAGCTTGGCTGGCTTCCCCTTGGTATGACCTGGGCATCCGTTGCATCGAAGCCGCGGCTGTCGACATTCGTTGATAAAGCTGACCTAAACATACTGTCGCATTTACCCGGCTGTCGTCCGACGTCTCTTTCAGTACGTGAAGATTCAAGGAGGCGTCGTCCATAAACACCTCTCGTAAATGTGTGTTGATCTTTTGAATCGTAATGACAATGTCCTTCATCTGCTCTCGCGCTATGGCGTCGCCACGTGCGTAGATCTCGCCAAAACGACGCACGTCGTGATCATATTGACTTTGGACAGTAATGCACCCCAGCGACAGCGAGTTTTTGAAGTCTGCAATCAAGCTATCGGGCAGGATGAACTCTTGCGAGCTACTTGCCTTCTGCTGTAGTCGTTGCACCAGCTTCGATGCATCGTGATATGCTCCGATCACTGTCGAAAGCGTTGATTAGTTATTTGTTCCTGATGTGAGACAATGAGAAGCCCAGTAATAAGCATAAGGGACCACAATCGACAGTGTTGCACAGAGTGATCCTAAAATAACCCGTGTTAGGATCCTCAGGGTGAAGCTGGTCCGCTGCCGCCATAGCTGGGTTGACTTCCCGAGACGTGGTTACGTCGAACAGTGACTTTGCACATATAGTCCTGCTCCTTCAACACTAGGATGGGAAGGTGCCAATCCCAGAAGGCGTGTAATGCCAAGTTGCGAGTGTACAGAAGGGCCCTCGAAAAACTGAGGGGCGAACTCAGTACTGTAGAACTCACCTGTTTGAACGCAGGACTCGACAGACAGTACATCCATGAGGTCTCAACGTGTAGCCGCGAGGCAGGTCACCTTGCTATCAATTTCTAGGTATCAAATGACTGAGGAGCTTTCGATAGTTCGACAACGGTTCGATAGCGATGGGCTTCCGAGCATGGCCAGGAAAAGGGTGGTAGGGATCATGGAGAAAGTAGAAACAGTCCAAAAGCGGGTGAAGCAACGGGGACGAGCATCGCTTTTTGAGCGCTGAGGCTGAGTCAGGCTGTTGTTTTCCTGCAAATGGTCTTGAAAGCCCTCCGTCCTGGGCTTGCAGGCAGCCCACATGCGTCCGCCTAGGGCTCTTCATGGTCGCAGGGGATAAAGCAGGCGAGCCCAAGGAGTGACTCGGCTGCACGATGGAAGGCAGCCACATGGGATCAATGTGGTCGACTGTGCCTAGCAGGAGCTGAAATGGGCTGGCCAGTGGCTAGCTCAACGACTGATAACACCCGAACCTCGACGCGAAAATCATGCAACTATCGAAGTTGTGATACGCCATTCAGACGCCCCTGCTGTGTACTACCAATCAGCAAGAAGGTGCGTAGGCGAGACTGTGAAGAAAATTGAATGCAAAGGTGGTACAAACCTAGGAACGACCCAAGTCTCCGGGGGTGGAAAAAGCCGGCCAGGAATGGAGAATATCCATTGGCCTGCATGGCAGTTCCGTGCAGTTCGTACCCCCTTGGCCTGCAGAATTAAAGCCTTGATGTAAGATTGAATACGATGTTCGAATGGTCGAAAGCAGGGACCTGTACGGAGTAATATCCAGGCTGATCGATCACGATCACACTGTACTCCGGACAGCACAGTACGCTTTCTCCCTGTCACCCACCAACATATGCCAAAGAGGCGTTCCGGCACGGCCATCTAGACTCTGGCCCCAGGATATCGGCGGCACTATCATGCACCCAATGTGTTGGCTATCAGTTTAGCACTGAAATCGGACACCGGCGGCCATGTTTCACCCCAGAAGGTACCGACTATTGTTCGCTTGCAGATTCAAGCAATTTAGAAGCTCATCTAGAGGCATCGTCCCTGTACGGATACCGACCCCAGACTGAGGGATGACTTCAAGCTTGCAGCCTTGTGCCAGGCCTTCCTGTTGCAGTTTCCATCCGGAACCACGAAGTCTGACACCAGTCAGCGGTGCGATGAGCACCACGGCACTCGAAGGTGGGCAACCCTCTTCACCGTCCTTTCGAACGCGGATCTTTGGTTTCATCGTAATTTTCGAAACCTACTCGCTGCCGTTATCACCACTCATGTCACCTTAGGGCAAGGTGGTGGTGATGGTCATTCATTGAGTATGATTTTTACGAAACCCTGGCACCGCATATGCGGTCAGGGGGCTTTTCTAAATCCCGAAGGCAACGTTCCCACTCCAACATGGTCTCGAGTCGCACTTGTTCAGTCGCAGTGGAGGGAATATCATGCAACGTTATCGCTGTGCAGCCTGGTTTGCCTGTCGTACCCGAAACGGTCTATGGCTGTTACTCAGACATTCACGAGTCGTACTTTTGTTGTCGAAATATTGTGACCATTCTCTCGGTAGGTGTCAATGGATCGTCCATGAAAGGAAATGAAGCCGGCCTCGTCCTACCTGTCATTCAGCATCCATCCCACCCTTTTGCAGGCGGGTTGGGACTTGTCAGCATCAAAGAATATTCGATACTTCGAGCAAGCACACTTCCCTACTTTCGCAGTAGGTTGCGGGATGGTGCCCTCACTGTCTGGTACAGGCAAGTGTTCGGTCGTGAGAGTTTCCTGTCGAAGTTGTAGCTCAATCGGGCTGATCGGCAGCTGAGATTTCCCACGCGCTTCGGGAGGATGCCAGTTGATGATCGTTATGAAGAGAGGCACTCCACCTAAGCTTAGTCCTATCCCATGTGGAATACAGAGACATGTCAGGCCGACCAAGTGCGGCTGTTTTGAATATAGTGTGCTGTATTGATAGTATGTCATGAAGCTTCATATATCAATGCGCAGATGAGATCCAACTCGCTAATGTCGCTCACACTTCGTAAGGGGGCCCTAGGTGCTGGAACCAGCCCCGGAATGCAAATAGCAGGGGTGCAGATTTATAAGATTGCCCATCATTGACCTTTCTCCTTCTTGGCTCGTCTACGCTCCCTGATTCGTTTCTCGGTAGCCATGAATTCTCTGATTCCCACAGGAATTCCAGCAAATAAGACGTCCTCATCATCCACAGCGGAAGGTGTTGTCCATAGCGTTTCACTCCCACCACCGTCGTCGTCCATACTACCTGAAGCCTCATGTACCTCTGGACGAGCGAGGCGTATCTTCGAGCCGTCGGTGTGCCGATTCGGTGACTTTGACTGGGCCTCATGGACCCTTGCAGCCCACGCCTCCACGTCGTCACGATAGTCGTCCCACACGCAATGTACACAGCCGCTCATGCAGCAATTGTCTGGCTCGGCGGGCCTTGGAGGCACAGGTACGCCGTTTATCGTCCGCCACGTCGCGTCGGGCGTGTCTGACGTGCTGCGGTGGTACCCAGAGCCCTCAATCGTGCCAAACAGTTTTCTAGCTCTTTCTTGAACAGTCTCATTTTTGGCTGGGACGAATGTAGGTAATGAGCTATCTGTGTGGGGAGTCTCGCGCATCGGTGACGAAAGGAGGTCCGTGTAGAAGTCGCCCAAAGGAACCGCTTGTCGTTTATGGTCGACCTGCTCGCGGCGGGCCGATCCACGCGTATGGAAGGCCCTGCACGATTGGGATGCGGTATGCGTGTTTAGCCATTGTGGACGCTGCCACGTCTGCCGGACCTGAGGCGTAGAAGAGGCTTGACGGTCCTGTCTCGAAAGCTGCCGCAGGCAGGAAGCGCAAAGCCACGGGCGCTTTATGGTGGTTCTTGTGACAGCGCTGCCGAAAGCCATCGTGGGAAGACAATGTCACAGCATGCGGCAGGTTGTTGCGAGCGAGATGACCAAGTATCAAGCCGGTTCGCCGAACACAAAGCTCATGCGCTGAATTTTGTCAATATATCTTCGCCCCAGCTTTATCAGATCGTTTTTCAAGGTCGGGATACGGTGACGTCACTGCTTATGTAAGGAGGCCTATGCCGCAGCCTCGTCACTCCTTGTCCAGCCTCGCCGTTCAACTCCTATTCTCTGGCACATTATGAAAGACAGGAAACTATTTTCCCATTGTCGATTAAACTGAACTCTCGTTCTTCGCTGAGACAACCACCTGCAAGGTTCTTAGTACTTATCATTGCCCAGAGCATGGCTAAATCTACGAGGACTTCTCAGATGCACCAGTCGATGTACGCGAAGTCATGGCAAACTCGACAAGCCAGACAGCAAGCAGCAGCCCATTCCGCCGGACTGATCACATCATATCAACTATGAACCAAATCTGACAGCTCACCATGAAGATCTCCCTCGAGGTCGATCTGATGGTCATCCCCATCCAGGAGACCGAGGTAATATGAAAGATCTCGCCCATCGAACTCTCGCGTAGCAAACCCATTCCCCAGGAATTCAAACATATTCAAGGGGTTGCAGTATTCGATCTCATAGTCTTCAAAACGGGGCGTCGCTAACAGGTCCATGTAGATGAGCCGTGAGCCAGGGAACATCGGAAGCGGACCGTCGACTCTTCCCTGCTTGAACCAGGAACTACACCCTGAAGTCCAGGCAGTACGATGCAAGAACAGTGCGGCATGCTCTTTCAATTGTTCTGCAATCTCGGCTTTTGGCGTCAAACTCTTGATGCGGTCTTTCTGCATCTTCTGAACGCACTGGATGATGTTCCCAGCCAAGGTTTCGAGGATGGGCAGGAAAGATCCATGTCCAAGAGGCCCATACGGACCGCCCATCATGAAATAGTTTGGCACTTCCCGTGTCAGCAACTGGACTTGTTTTTACGAAGCATGATAAAGACCTACTGTGGGGGACACCGAGGGAGATATATGAGCTGGGCTCCTTTGCCCACATTTTGGCAATGCTATGGCCGTTCGCCTCGACTGGGAATCTGGGGATCCAGCTCGTGTTGAAGCTGATAGATGATGTTATCAGCGAGGCCTCAGCACAGCCTGGACAGTTAACTTACCCGGTTGCGCAGATAATCACGTCGACTTCATGCTCGTTGCCCGCAGCATCGATGAAGCCAGTGGGCGTGATCTCCCTCATGGTCTCCGTAAAGACGTGGACATTGTCCCGACTAAGAGCCTCGAGGAACCCATTACCGGGCTACCAACTCGTCAATTTTTCAACCGAAGCCATAGTGTCAAACTGCTTACCGTGGGCCTCCTACACCCAACGCCAAAGTTCTTGGGTATTATAGCATCCAGTAGTTCCGGATTCGAGCTACCGAGTTTCTGCGCCATCTCGTTCTTCGCAAACTGCAAACTTCATCAGTACCCTCCGTTTCTCGGATTCGGCACAGATTGGGGCGTACTCACCTCCCTCGCACCCTCGGCCTCCGGTGTTCCGTTTAAGATGAACTTGAACCTTTGATTCAACTCGGACTCAATCATCTTGGAATACTTCAAGAACAATTTCGGATTCTCCGCAAACCGCTTCTGCTGCTCCGGCGTGTCTGTACCCACGATCAGCCCCCCAACACAATCCCTCCTACCCTCTTGCGTCAGACTTACAATGAAAATTGCCACCATTTGGTCCTGCAAATCTCTGTGCAAACCCGGCCGTAATCCATGTCGGCGACTTAACCCACGCATATAATTGTTTCACCTGGCTCGCGATCTTCGAAATGATCTGGATTCCACTGCTCCCGATCCCAATCACCGCGACCCTCTTCCCGTTCAGGTCGGTTGATGGATCATACCGCGCGCTATGCTGCAGAACGCCTTTAAACATGTGCAGACCCTTGATCTCGGGCCACTTCCAGTTACTTCACTCGAATCAGCATTCCCGTCACCCACCCGGAATAGCATAAGATACAAGCCCGACGAAGGGAAGCCTTACTTCAAAATTCCACCACCATTGACCAGCACGTTACACGTATCCACGATCTCTGTCCCATCAGGCCGACGGACGTGGACTTCCCATACGCTCTCCTCAGCCTTCCAATAAGCGCCCACGACGCTATGCTGCAGCTTGACGTAGCGCATCAGCCCGTGCCTGTCGACCACGGACTTGAAATACGCCCATATCTCCGGTGATTCGGAATAGTACTGCGACCAGTACGGGTTGCGGTCCCACGTGAATTGATATGATGCGCTCGGGATGTCGCATGCGCAGCCAGGATATCTTCTCACAGGAAACCATCAATTAGTCCGACAACCCTTGAACAGGCATCATCTTGAAAAAGGGGTCAAAAAGGATGGAGTGTTTGAGACATAACTGGCGGACAACGCACCGATTTTCCAACCACGTGCCCCCAACGTCTGCGTTCTTCTCGTATATCTGGAGTTCAACGTTCTCGAGTCGGTCTTCCAGGAACTTGGCGAACGTGATACCACTGGCTCCGGCGCCGATGTGGATGACACGTAACTTGCGCTTGGTCCCGTATGGTTCCTCTTTGATCGTGTACCCGCGCGCGTTGGTGGTCATCCATCCCAGGTCGTTGTACACAGGGCCAGCGCTGGAGGTGGAGGTGGAAGAGAAGCCTTCACCATCTTTTGATGGCGGCATATCTGATAAACAAACTTACTTTCGACGCCCGTCGGCACAAGATTGCTGGACTCGCACAGAACAACGTTTCGATTTGATCGATGTTGGTGGTTAATCATCAAATGTTCCAGGGAAGAGATATCACGAGAGTGTCCAGGAAATTTGCCGGATAAGCCTGAGTACCCAGGGGTATTTCCATATGCTCCCCCATGTCAGCTTATCAACCTCAAAGCGACCTCGTTCCAGAGCGGAGACCTATCCAGGAGTATTGGTTCGATGACCTCGGTCCGATACGGGTCTCCAAAAACGACAATGCGGGGACAAAACGGTGTGACGGTCATGCAAACATGGCCTCCCCAGAGATTCATCACAATGAAAGCCTCGGTTCAGGAGTAAGCGTCTAGAAGTTGGGAGTGATCAAGTAGATCGCGGGATGTACTCATTGTGTTGTACCCGGCTGTGTGCCGCATCAACCGACCGCCGGGCTCTCATCTTCTAAATCGTCGTACCTCCGGTGGCTGCTTATTCAGCTTCGGACTTCGAGCAAAGCTGCATGAACGCCAACTACCTGATATCAAGTAAGACTTCGAGGATACCTAGGTATCAAAGTTCAAATGCCGAGCATTTCCATGGTCTCGCTTCAATCTTATGAGGCGGAATATCCGCTCAGTTCAGCTCAAGTGCCAGATCTCACATAGCCGCACTTCTTTCCACTGTCTCAGTCACCAGACGCCAATACCTGACCGGATCAAGTGAGACGTGGTTTACATGCATGCTGCCCATGAATTCTTCTAGGCGGACTGCGTCTTTCGCATCAGCACTTTGGCTCCAGCAGTCCACAGTGTCGTCGCGCCTCAGCGGCATGGAGAACGACATGCTCATGTGGGACTAGCTGATCCTCTTTGCTGAAGATGTACGTCCGTGGTATGATCTTCTCTCTCCCGGCCCCACCAGCACCAGGAGTGGCTACGATCTTGATATTGTGATCATGACCAATGTCCGACCTTTTCAGGAACGGTCCCTCAGGATCATTCAGACACCGCCAAATCTTACTCGGCGAGGACTCAACCAGTCCAAGCTCGTTAAACAAAGCGCAGCCGCCTATCAGACCCCACGCGAAGGGGCAAGCAATGACTCGTGTGAAAACACTAGTCTTTGGTATGAAAGACAGGATAGAGGCGGCGGCCGTGTGCAAGGGTGGGTTCCCATGTGGAGGGCAGGAGTTGAGGACCAGTGCGGATATCGGTATCTCAGGAGGCAGAGCGCTAGACGGATTGGCTGCATAGCCAATGTCCTCGTGGTATGCTTGTGCTAATTGGACCGCGCTGTGAGCGCCGCCGCCCGAAAATACGTGCACGAGGATGGTCGGGTCTCGTTCAGTCACCAAGAAGTCCTTGACTGCCTCGACTGCCGGAGACAAGGCTTGCATCTGAATCCAGTCCGGCGTGAGGGTGACGTTCATCAGATTATTCTGCAGCAAGAGGATTCGTGCATTTGGGTAGATGAGCTGATATTGCCGGATATATTTGGCCGCGTGGCGTGCTGCTGCGAACAGCCACACACAGCAGATGACGAGGCCAGGTTGGGTATAGGAGCTTGCTGTCGAGAGTAGTGATAAGTTCGTAGGTGCAGACGAAGGTGGACGGTGCAGGTGGATGCCCTCTCCAAGCTCTTCGAAGTCCCAGAATGGATCTTTCTGCATGTTGCGGGGACAGTTAGAGCACGTTGTGTTCAATTTCGAATGCCAATACTACCAAGAGATTGACAGACGTAGGTGTCTATCGCGAGGCGTAACCGCTGAGGAGATACGTGCCTGTCTGCGAAAATCCAGGAAGGCTCAGGCCGGAATTAATAGTCCAATATAGACCTGACCGTGTAGATGCCATTCTTCCGACGGCCGGCACATGTGCACCTATACCTGGCAACCCTTCAGGCTGCCATATGTGCATAGAGGTCTTCGAGCAAGGCATGGTAAGGTTCCAACAAGAGTGGTCGGCCGGTCTATGCTCCGTCCATATGTACATAGGGAGGTCAGCTTTGCGATGATTAGTTAGCGCCCGGATACGAAATACGACAAGATACGACGCACAAGGGTCCCTGCCCTCTCATAGCCAGAACAGGACTTCATGCTGCGCTCGATCGAGTCTCGTCCGCTTGGCTTGTCGATGGAATCATAATCCTTTTCCGACATAGAAGTGAATCAAAAACAGGTGATTGTGTGCCGCGTGAATAAGCGATGATTTCAAGCATAGGTTGCGTCAACAAGGCATGTTCTTCAACCACAATGCAATGCCGTAGGCATGTGAACATAACACCATCAGCAGTTCAGGTCCATGTGAAGTGGCGGCGAGATTTTCAGACCTGGTCTTTTAACACCAGGTATATTTCTCATTGGCTAGCCAAACGATGTCTTGGTCCTTGTTGTCAGGTTCAGCGTTCCAGCGTAGACTGCATAAGTGTTCCTCGTCTCGTGTAATGACTTCGACCTGGCCTTGTTCCTCCGTCCTCAGTTTTTGAGCTGCTGCGACAGACAGTTCGGTTGGATCCCATACTTCGACACCAGCAGCCATGCCCCATTCCTGTGCCTCTAGCTGTGCTCTCAAAAGAAGGGCTGCCATGGCGGCCTGCGTATCCGGTGAATTCTGAATCACTGGGGGAATAATGCTGTGCAGAATGTGTAGTTGGAAGTCTTTCTCGTTGGCAGCGTATACACGACACCAGATCAGGCCCAGACCTGTCTCTCGGTGAATAGCGCCTTTGACCTTGGGATCCCCTTTACCCAGTAGCTTACTCTGAAATTCATCTCGAGCGAAATGCCAGGTGAAGTGTTCCATGTCCGGGCGAATGCACACGTAGGTCGTACCTGGGTGCGCCTCAGACTGTTCTTGCAGGCGCTGCTCGACGTAATGAGTGGTCGTAATATGCTGCAAATCTGCGAGTGTCAGGTCCTCAACCGCTGAAAGAGCTGTCTTCGCGGTGTCATAGGTTTTACGGTCTAACGGCGGCATGTGGATATGACTGCTGGGAAAGACATTCCAGCCATGTCTGGCATAGAATTTTGGGCCTATATCGGAGAAGAGCACCGAAAAAGGACTTGTGAGATGCTCCGGTTGTTTCCAAGTTTCCAGCTTCTTGCCTAGCTCTGCCATCATTCGACCGGCATAGCCTCTCCCACGATATTCAGGCCTGGTGAACACTGAGGCAATTCCGTGTGCCTGGACCTTCTCAACCTCTCCGCCACGTGCAATGTACGCACGGATGTGGATACTTTCGCAGGACGCGAGTATGGGTCGCGATCCGTCAGGGTTGCGTGGAAGTGCATCGGAAGTCAGAATCCACCCAGTGATGCCACCGTCCTTGGTAAGGTCGGTCTCCTGCAGAATGGTTTCTCGGTCAAGGTATTGGTGCAGGGTCAAAGGTCCTTTCCACTCGTCAGCATTGAGATATGCGGTCTGTACGTATTCAAGAAGGGTTGCAGAGTCGAGTTTGAGGTCGGCAGACTGGGCAGAAGGTTGAGATTGAGGGTCAACCGCAGGAGGTTTGGAGGTTTTGACCTCGTTGAAAGGGGGTTTCGACGCGGTCATGATTTTTGCCGTAGCAACCTGATGTAGTGAGCAGACTGTTGAGACAGATGACCGGACTCCGTAGGCAGCAGATCTAGTGGAGTTGTTGAAGGAAAAAGAAACACGGAAAAGTGTAAAGTGACGATCATCACAAGGCGTAGACACCGACAGGGCGTGGAGAGCGCAGGACAATTCAAACCACTTCAAGTTATTCGTGTGAATTTTCCCGGCTCATCATGACATACGACTTATCGCCATCTCCTATTGCCCACCGACAGGAGGTTGGACATGTCTCCTTGAAGTTCTCGGATGTTGAGGATGAGTATTGAGTGGTGGGTAAGTGGTGGATAAGTAGTAGGATGATTGATTGACAGCAGACAGCGGAGAAAGATGATCCGAAGCCTAAGAGAATAAGTTCCGTGATCGTCCAAACAAGCAGATCATTCTTGATCAGATCTTTCGTTTATTCCACTTTTGAAATCCATGTCTGAAGAAGGTCGCCGACAAGGCAGAGACGCTCCCAAAACCCCATCAGCTTCAGGTTTTCGTGGCTGAGGTTTTCTTTACTTTTTGCCTGACACCTTGTCCCGCCTTCCGCCTTCATAACCCAGCATGCATGCATGAACAGTTTGAATTTGCCCAGTAGGATCTCTGCCAGACCTTCCCCTCCAACTCAAACTTGACTTCTCCGGCGTCTATTAAGACATGAATCATGACTGCTCGTGTATCAACATAACTCATGGCTGGCATCAACTGTCTCTGAACAGTCGCCATTGCCCTTTCTCCCGCTCGTCTGCCGAGTGTCAGGCCTGAACTTCACCAGACTCTCAGTGTCTTCGCGCGATTGACGCGAACCCTTTGATATTGTTGCCTTCGTGAAATCACTGCCTCAATCTTCTCTGACGCTGGATCGCGCAACGGGCCTAGCTTCCCACTGACTATGCACTGCCTTCCTGAGAGTGTCGCGTTACAAGGTTAATTATCGCTCTTGCGGATCTGAAGGTCGCCTCGACCATCCAGCCTCACCGGATTTTGAGCCCCTGCGTTCGCAGCCTGTGAGTCTGTCAATCAGCTCAATCCGCTCAATCAGCCATGGAAAACGACCCATTCGCCCGGTAAGTGATTGATTGCATCCAACTTGTTCTTTTCCTCCGTCAAGTCTATTATCGCCTACTGCCACTAACATATCTTCCTACTTCCAACCTCCACCACTCAATCTTCCGAGAATGTTCACTCAAGACTCTTCGTGGCTAACCATTACCATACTAGGATGCCGAATCTCGGTTCCTACCGCCGAAACCATATGGTGGATCTAACTGAAGCAGGTGTGCGCCATCCAGAGCTGAACGGAAGGGTCATCATCGAACTCTCAGACGACGAATCCGAGCCTGAACGACAAATCATGGAGTCTCCCCCTGGGCGTCCTCCCCAAAGACAATTTTCCCGCGATGGTTACGCCCGATCCCGCCCTAGGTATATTGAGAGCGATCTACCGATCCATGGAGAAAGATCCAGTCCCTCAGGAAGCCCTCAAGCTCACAAGCGTGCAAAGACCGATGCGAACAAGAATGGCATCCATGATAATACAGACTTTCACCGCCACCACGTTCATAATCACGAGCAACACGGTGTGCCCTCTTGCCACACCCTACCAATTGTACCAGTACGCTCTCAAATCGACGGGGCTGGAGCGGATATGCACCAGCAGCCAAGGAACTTCCAGCGAGAAGACCAAGGTGCGCCCTCTCACCACCCGCCAAAGCCGCAGATTAAAAACGAGAAATCGCGCGAACAACCACCCTACTACGTCGATGGTCGCTTTGAGGTGAAGATGTACAACGGACCAGGATACGAGCGATTCCCAGTCGCGCTAGGCACTGTAAAAGGACATCAGGACATCTGCGACAAATGGGATGTAGAACAGACCAAGAACTTGGAGAGGGAAGCAGCAAAGTTGCAGCGGACTATCAAAACCTCATACAACATTTCTGGAGAGCGTGACGCGCTTGACGAGGCCGATCGCGAGCTGGAGGCTGGCAGAGATTATGAAGAACAGTGTCTCAAAAATGTGCTCGAGGTGTTCCCTGATATCGAAGTCGCCTTTGTGAAGAAGAAAATCGAAACCTGCTCGGCACAAGAATACCCAGATCCGGGGGATGAGGTGATCGAAATCGACGTAACGCCTCTTGCTGAGAAAATTGTTGCCGAAATCCTGGAGATGGAGTCATACCCAAAAGAAGACAGTTCGAGTTCGGTGAGCGGTGGCCACGCTGCGCCAGATGACGGTACAGGCATCACAATAAGCTGGGATCGAGACCTCCCGAAGGACGGAATGTACATGAAAGACGCAGTCATCTTGCTGGCGAAATCCTTCGATCACGTCCCGACTTGTTACATTCACAAAGTTGTGGAGCAGAAGAAGTCGATTTACCACGCCTACGTTCACATCCATGGAATGGAGGAGCAGTTCTACACGTTGCCAAAACGCCCATATCCGCGCTTACGACAACCGCGGAAGGACATCGAGAAGAAATATCTCCTTGCTGTCACTGACCGGCGCATACCATACCAGTACGCTAATCGCATCAATGAGCTTCAGGCTGCAAGACAGCATGTCGCCCGGGCGGCTATTCAGGAGGCAGCAAAAAAGGCAAAGCAGGAAGCCGAGGCTGCCAATCTGCTATGGCACATAGAGAATGGTGCACTTGCTGAATGCCAATGTTGCTTCGATGGAGAGATTCCGCTCAATCGTGTTGTACCTTGCATGGCCGACCAGCAACACTACTTTTGCTACGGCTGTGTCGAAGGCCTGGCAAATAATCAGGTGGGACTGATGAAGTACGAGATGAAGTGTATGGACTCTACTGGCTGCACTGCCGACCTTGTGATGGAGGATGTTGGAAAAGCTGTGCCGATCTTGATATTTGACCGTCTCGAGATGAACAGACAGCAAGCCGAGATCATGGCCGCTAGCATCGACGGTCTCGAGAAATGCCGATGGTGTGCCTACCAAGCTATCTGTGACACTGTGGAAACGGACCCTGTGTTCGTTTGTCTGAATCCAGAGTGCAAGCGCACCACGTGCCGAAAGTGTAACCGAGACAGTCATTTGCCGAAGACTTGCGAGGAGAGCAAGCGAGACAACGACCTCGGTGGACGCCATCGCATCGAGGAAGCCCGATCGGAGGCGATCATGCGAAAATGTCCGAACAAGAAGTGCGCAGTCAAAATCATCAAGGAACTTGGGTGCAACAAGATGCAGTGCTCCAGCTGTCAAACCAGACTGTGTTACGTGTGCAACGAGGATCTTACACATCTAGGGCTCAACCCCTACTGGCATTTCAACAAACCGGGGGCCAAATGTCCTCTGTATGACCACGAAGGTGTCAACCGCCACGATGCGGAAGCCATGAAAGCGGAGCTGAAAGCGATCAAGGAAGCAAAACAAGTCAATGCCGAGCTTGACGAAACCCAACTGCGCGTCGAGTCCGGTAAACCACAGAAGCCAAAATTGGACGATCATCCAGCAGCAAATACGGTCTACCGTGAGATGAACAATCGCCTCGGGCGTCTGGACTATCGACAGCGTCGGGTTCAAGAGTTGCGGGAGCGCATTGCTATCATGCAGACTCTGGTGCCAGATCCCCAGCTGGAGGCCGATCTGGCGCGGATTCACCACGAGGAGCGGCACCGGCAGGGTCGCATGCCGAATGTGCAACCTCCAATCATAGGCATGCCCCAGTTGAATCAATTTCATCAGCAGGCGGCGAATGTTGTCAACTTCATGCCACCCTTGCCACCCATGCCACCCATGGGTCCAGGTAATGCTCCAGCGCCTTTGCCAGCGGCTTTTGCAGAATATGGAGTCCAAACCCCACACCTACGAATGGGCATGGGATTGGGACCCTTTGAGCATCAACCACATCATCGTGCAGGCAATCAGGCATGGGCGAATCCGAACAACATGCAAGCTCCTCAATATGCAGGCCAAGGGATTCTGTATCCTGACCTTGTCCGCCATGGTGCGCCCGCCGATTACCAAGTCCCGAATTATGGTCAGCAAGGACCGCCCTTCGGCCCGCCTCCTGGTTATCGTCGTCGCTGAGCATTTGATGACATGACCGTGTCGATGGACTACCGGACGATCGAAGATACTCGTTCATCTCAATCAGCGGCTTCGGCGACATGACGAAGGCTTTCCCTTATCCCTCTGTTCACAATTACCCGGGCTTACGGGCCATCTCACGTTCTTGGTTTTTCCTTTTCTTTTCGGAACGCAGTGACAAAGGCGACAGGCTGCGACAGGCTTCGTTGGCTGGCTTGGAAGCTGGACCAAGTCGAGCATGAACATGTGCTAGGCAAAATGGAGATTGGCGTTTCATTGTCTTCAGAGCTGGGACAGATCGCCCTCAGAATGCATTATCGGGTCGGATGAGCATGGTTTATGTATTTCTCGGCGTTATTATGCTAATGTCGTTTTCATGGGACACAGGACCATACTATCAGCAAGTGAAGGCTGCCACTGCAGTCACTTGAGAGGGAGCTAGAGAGCGGGCTGAGTCAAAATTGCCATGAAAAGGGCTTCCCATAGAATGGGATAATAATAATACTCATTGAAAATGAAACCCGCAGTCTCCATGGGTTACTCTGGCGGCTGAGTCAAGCAATGCTTCATGATGCAATCGCTTCTCAGCCTCAGCATATTCCGCCATAGGAGTTAGGAACGGAGCTAGGTAGATACCAAGACACGGTTTGCAGGCGCAAAGTGCCGTCAGATTAGGGCCTCGTTCCGTTGTGAGCTCGATGACTTGCATTTTTGTTATGCACCTGCGTGAAGGCAACCATGGCGCTGCAAGATCACGCCTGCAAGCATTGTGAGACGGTGATACTCCGACCTTGATCGAGGTATACTCGTATAGCAGGGTTCCTGGTTTTTCGCTTCGTGGTCGCTGGTTTAGGGGCCTCGTCGAAACGATGCGGATCAGTCAGTCCCCTGGTTTTATAGCTCACCACCATGCGGCGGACCCAATAGGCACTCTTGGCGTTCGCATCGCACGACGAGGGGTGACGGCCGTGGCGTGTCATCGCTGATGATCCTTTGGGCAGATTTTGTGAACGGATTGACTTCCTTCGATAGTTTGGTTTACCGTCCTTGATTCATCGCGCACGCTGGTAATCCGTCGTCGCGCCACCCTGAGGTTTGCGATTCACATCTGCCGGCTCGATGTCGTACTCGCGTTGTCCTGGATTGAATTTCTCGGTGCCCGCGCCGTAGGACATTTTGGCGCGCCGCTCAGCCGCCGTGGCGTGTCCGGACTGAGGAGGAGGAGCCTGGGCGTCATACTCGAATTTCGCGGCGGACTCTTCGACCCAGACTTCCATGCGCAGCTCGCCGGTTTCAAGGCGGCGGACGGCGTGGGTTTTGGGTGAAGAGCTAGTGGTAGGGGTAGGGTCGGTGGTGTCTTTGGTCGGCGGACGCTTGTTGGATGCTGGCCCGGAAGCCTCCGGGGTGTTGTTGTTGTGGACGAACGAGTCCGGCTCGGCCGCCATCCATCTCCGCTCGTCCTTCTCAAGGCGTCCGACCGGACGGTCGGCGTTGTCTTTGACCTCGATGGCCAAGGTGAAACTGCACTCTGGCGCGCCTGGGCCCTCGGGCAGTGGTCGGAGTTTGGCGGCGGCAGTGCTGATCCGCGAGAGTGTCGCGCGGAAGTTGGCTTCCAGGTCGGCGGTGTTCAGGCTGCGAGTCAGAGCAGGCGGCCATTGGTCCGCTGCGTCTGCGTCGTCGGGAGTTTCGGTGGTGGTGGTGGTGGTGGTACTGTCGATAAAGGGGATGTCGCGATCCTTTTTGGACACGGACGGTAGCGAGTGTAGATCGAATGTCCAGCGTTCGAGGATGCGGTTCGTTTCGCATTCGTAGATGCATAGTGATACTTTCTCGACGGTGTTTTTTTCGAGTTGGTCGCGCACGGCGGAGATGGCGTCGTTGATCCACGTGCAGACCGCGGGATGGCGGTTTTGGCGGACGGGGTAGTTGTATGCGCGCACGGCGAGGAAGGATATTGGTGGGTAGAGCCGGCGGAGGAAGAGGATGTGGTGGGTTGTGACGGCCAGGAAAGAGGTTAGTGTTTCGACAAGGGCGCGGTGTGTGGAGAGAAAGGTGGTTGTGTTTGTCTGGTTTGCGGGTGGTGCGGCCATGTTGTGGCGGAATGGCTTGGAAGGGGTCAGTGAAATCTTAGAGTAGTGGTTGATGGCTCTCGTATGCGATCTCGCGACCTCCTTTGCAGGGGTGGTGATACTCGGGAACGGGAGCTTGGTATTGACCAAGCTTGGCCGAGTCTCTCTTTATTGTTTACGACCTGGTACTCCGTACTTTACGTTGCTATCCTCGCAGCATCACTCAATCCTTCTTCGTCGATAGTGATCTTTACCTAGCAGAGAGATTTAGGAGGCGGTCGTTGCCAACGGACCAATCACGTCGCCGCGTATTGAAAGCGAATCATGACGTACCGAGTACTGTCACGGCCTTCCAAGTTCCTTACAAAGCAGATACGCGGTTGAGTACGACAAAAGTGTTATAAGAAGTGTGCAGTGGTAGCAGCTAGAGCCTTTGAGGGTAGGACACTTCATCGTTGGGATCTGCTGAGCTGATCTTGCCCAACAATCGTCAAACATTCCGATCGCGCAAAGTGTTTTGTAAAACTAAAGAATCCCGTTTAACGATATGGCGTCCAAGTCTTCCAATACTGGCACGACTGGTCTTACGGAGATTTTCAATTATGAGACCGCCACTCACAGCTACGCCATCCGTTGGACCGGCTTAGGAGACTCGGCTTCACCACCCTTGATATTCGTCCATGGTACTCCATGGTCCTCTCGAGTCTGGCTTCCCTTTGCACTCTCACTCGCTCGGAAATTTCATGTCTATCTTTTCGACAACCCTGGATTCGGGGAGAGTCCGTTGGGGCTTCCTTTGCCAAGGAAGGAGCACACCATCACCAAAGAGATAGCACTTGATGCAGACCTCTCTCAGCAGTCTGAAGTGTTCGCCGCCCTGTTCAAGCATTGGGAGCACAATTGGCAGGGAAGGAAGGCTAACGTGGTGGCGCATGATCACGGAGGCCTGATGACTCTACGTGCACACCTCTTGCACGACTGTGAGTATGCGAGTCTGTGCTTGATTGACGTGGTTGCGATCGGGCCATTCGGTCAGCCACTGTTCAAATTGATCGCCCAAAACGAGCATGTCTTCAAGCAGTTGACCGGCCCCGTTTTTGAAGGGGTTGTGGAAGCATATATCCGTGATGCAGCTCATACAGAGCTTAGCAAGGAGACGATGGAGATGTTGAAGAGGCCATGGATCTGCTCTGAGGAGGGTCGACACGGCTTTGTACGACAGATGGTCCAGGCCAATAGTCGGAGCACAGAGGAGGTGGAGGGCAGATACGCCGAAGTTGGCCAAAAACTGCCGGTGTTAGTTATCTGGGGAAAGGAGGATAAATGGATCCCTGTCGTCGACGCTGAAAGACTGAAGCAGAAACTCAATGCCAAGGATGCTGTAGTGATTGAGGAAGCTGGACATCTGATCATGTATGATCAGGGAGAACGGTTTGGTGTTGAGCTTGGTTTGTGGTTGAGTCCTTTCAGCAAGGCAACGTCGTGACCATGATTGAAAAGAAGCATTTTGAGTGAATGGATGCATAAGACGCCAGAGCCCTTGCCGAAACACTCTTGCGGTGACGACTCGCCGGTACGAAGAGTGTCAAAGGTGGTTTACAAAATGTGCACCAATCATCCTATTCGGCGATGTTATCGTCCCAGGCACCGGGAAGGCTCATGACCTTCCGCACCTTTTGGTACTCAAATTCAATCCGCAAATCTGCTTTATTTGGTCCAACCTCAAAGCGTGTCCTCACAAACCATTTCCACTCGGAAACCAACGGATGGGAATCCTCGAACGGCCAAGTGCAGGGTGTGAGATCAGACGGCCCTGATGGTTGCTCCCGCCGACAATAGTCCTTCAGATCTATACTGCAAGACCGTAGCACGGAAACCCAGCGCTCCAAAAACCACGAATAAATACTGGACGCCTCCCTGCAGGACAATGTCTCGTCTCTACCGGTGAAAAATCTCAGACTTCTTCGGGCAGCTAACATCAGGGGGGTCTCTCCAGCAGAGTTGTGGGCGCAGGGATCCGCCCCGTCTCGCAACAAGTGTTCGATCACAGTGAAGACATCGACTCCATTCATCCACACACCGGGTTCCGTGCCCCAGTTCGAATCCATTAGATAATGCAGCAACCTAGACCCTCGGCGGTCAGTGAAATTCGCAAGGTGAACCGTATTCGTGATTTGACTCATTGCTGCCATGAATGAATCATTTGGAAACATTTCTGTCTGCTGGAGAACAATTGAAGCCTTGTAGTCATCCGAAGCTGCCTCATCAATTCCAATTTTTTTCTGTGTCAGCCAAAGATAGTCTGCGTAAGAGCCTCGAAATCCATGCAGAGCGGACCTAGTTTTGTTCCACTCTCCAGGCTTGCCAGGAAGATACCCATCGTGGAGATCACTGTTGCCATGTTCCAATAAAACGCGCATTGTTTCACGCATCTGAGGAAGCCCATCATCAGGGTCAGGCCGCAGCTCCTCCAGGTCAGGGAAGAGAAAGATCCTATAATACCCGGCTCGTTCAACGGCGAGCCCAAGTGGCGTCCTTGAATGTCAGTCTCGGATTTCAACCATAAACACTCGACATACCAAGTGATGCCCTGATATCGTACTATACTTGCAGCATCCGCTCCTAACTCGAGAAGGAGCCTACACGTCTCAGGCCTAAGCCACGATGCAGCTATATGCAACGGAGTGACATCGTCATACGTTGCATCAGATGGCGAGGCCTCTTTCGTAGTAACCAGACGTCTGACCTCCTCAGTATCGCCCATTGCGCAAGCCTTCATAATAGGTGAATCTCCTGTCACCAGCCTTAGAGGTCGAAGTGTAAACTGAATATACCCAAATTGTCGCTTGATGATGAGAGAAATTCCCCACGCCTTGAACCAAGGGGCAATGCGGAATTGCAATTCGTGCCCTTCAGATTCTGATTCGGGTTCTCCAACTGGCCCTTGCCGTTTCAGAGATCGGACAGTACCAATCCCCAGGTAGTATTCTGTGCCATGATCGACGAGTACATAATGTGCATTCCGGTTTGAGGTCGTCCCGGAACCTGGACTTCCTGAAGGACGAGGTGGTGAGGCTGAGATTCCGTATCCAATCTTCTGGGTTTCGTGAGACCGTCGTTGCAACAGTCTGTCCTAGATTAACATGATACCTAGAATTGACGCGGTTACTCACTGGAGGTAGAGTATCTGTGCAAGCGTAAGTGTTGACTTTGCTCTTTCAAGTCTGAGAAGGAGCTTGTCTAGTTTTCTTGTCCTCAATGCAGTTAGCAGCGAGAATCGCCTAGGTTGCAATCTCATGCCCGTGTTCAATTCTGAAACAATGTTGCTCAAACAATCGGAAGCAATTTTGCACTGGTGAATCGTATTCACCTGGATTTGGGTGGTGATGTCCGTCAATCCGGTGGTCCTCAGGCCCTGAATTCTTGAAAACTCCACGAGAACATGTGCTAGGACGTCAATCTCCTCGAGAATAACGCCTATTTGTTCAGGCGCATCGCGTACAGTAGAGTAGAAATCTGCTAATATACGTGTGTTCTCCAGAATCTGAACAGCAAGGGAAGCTAGCCCCGCGCCGCCAGCGACAAGCCCAACGATCTCTGCCATGAAGTTAGCTGTTTCTGGACCCAAGCTCCTAAATAATAGTTCACAACATCGATTGCATCGAGGATAAACTCCACGGTACGGAGTACTTGTGTAGAAGTGATGATTTCGCAAAGCGTCAAAATTCCCAATCATCCCCCAAGGAATTTCGTCAAGACGCCAGGTCGGACCGAGCCAGGTGAGGCCCGAAACGTGTCAGCCTGGTGCGCCTCATGCTCCTGCTGCTGGCCTGATTCAGCCTTACAAATCTAGGCGCCTGTCCAGAGGGGTTCAGTTATCACTGTGTCTTGTAATAGGACACATCTCAGGCAGAAACTTTTTGCAAAGTCTGCTGCGACAAGCCCTTCAGTCCGCAAACCTGCAAGTCGCCGATATGCAAAAGTAGAGACTTTCCTTGAGATCCAGTCCACATGGGAGCAGCTGGTGATGCAAGATGTACCATATACATAAGGCCTCCTCGGTGAGCGATCTTTGGGTACCTAAGGAGTGCTTTCTGTCCCTGCGCAGCGTGCAATGAGCGGAGCATGAAATAGTGAGGGAAGCATTGGCAGAGCATTGCGGTTTGTCAAGGAACATTCTGGAGAAGAGCGACCTGTGTATCAATTTCCCTTACAGGTTTGATGAGTATCTTGTATCTTTTCATTGCTGGAATGTGTCATCTTATCTAGGTAATCCAACTGTTGTCTAGGTGTCGTAGAGCGTTAGTTGTCTTTCTTGAAATTTCCATTCGCCTGACCATTTGCATTGTCGGATGGATCGGAGACCCGGACCACTTCGGGTAAGTGATATACCCTGTCCCAGACCATACGAAAGTGTTCTTGATCACCGTTGAGGATGTGGCGTAAGTGTATGGCCCAGAGAATGTAGCAATACGCGCCAATACCGGTCATCAAGTGCCACCAGCCGTGTCCTTCGAGGAAGAACCCCCAGGGCATGCCAATGCTTCGACGCCATTGACGCAGGGTCGAGCAATACTTGTTGTCGAGGTTCCAAATGCCGAACCCTGCAAGGAATATTGAGACGCCAAATATGACGAAGAACCACATGTTCCTAAGGATAGCCGTGTCTCTTTTGTTCTCGTATTCTTGTTCTTCTTTTGTCAGGACGGGTAAGTTGTTTCTCTGCCGTTCTAGACGATGTTTCTCCTCGGATTTCCTCAATGATGGGCGAAGGTTAAATTCCATGCTGTATACGCTCCTGAGGACGATGAACAATGTGAGAAATGCGTAGACGGTCTGGTGGAATACGGGGTCCTGGAGATAGTGGTAGTACAACGTGATGAAGGCGCAGAAAACGAGCAGGAAAACACCCAGGGCTATTTGTTGGTTTGCTGGGCGGGAGTAGGATAAGCTCGCGTAGGCCATGAGGCACGTTGTGTAGATCATGTTGAGCTCGTCAACCAACTGCCATGGGTCTAAATCTGTCAGTGACTGGAGCACAGCGTCCGAGTGAGCATCGCATACATTTCAGTGTGGTGTGAAACATAAAGCTCCCGAAGCCAACCAGAAAGTAGCCAAAGTATGCGACTTCGAATACTGTATCATGACCTTGTTTTCTACAACTCTTGACGCCTTTGTATGCGAGGTATATGAACATGAGATTCGTCAGGGTGTTGATGAGCTCGGCGGAATAGTACGTGGCATAGTAGTCCTTGTCCTGTCAGCCCTCAGCTCTTCTTTGACTTTCTGTCTCTTCGTACCTCTTCGCACCATTGGAGCGTCGAAGTGACCGGGTCCCAATAGCCTGGCTGATTCGGTGGAGGGTAAGGAATAGAGGGCAGCCATGAAGGCATCCTTGCGGCCATCGTCGTTCAAGTCAATTGGTTGGACGAGCTCAAAAAGATGTCATAGCGGCAGGGACTGAGGATACCCGTTGAGTATAAGTAGACCCCTAGGTGGTACATTCGGGATGATGCGGCTGTCAAGTAGATGCGGAAAAGTGCAAACGGAAAATATCTTGCTGACAATGAATGGTTTTGTTAGTGGAGTAGAACTTGGTTCATACTGTGTACGCAACAAAGTCCAACGGATGAAACCGAGGCAATGTGACGTACGCCAACGGACAATTGCAGCTGTAGCTTGCAATTCTGGGATCAAGCTGATCGTTCTTCGATTGCGGGTGCCTGACACGTGAAGACCTGAAAGGCTGTGGTACCCCGGCATCACCTGCATCGATTGCCCCTCTACGGAGTATTTGTTTGAGTATACCACATCGACCTACTTCGTAAGCCTCATCGGTTCTCCTGCTTGACCACCAACTTTAGCCTGGACCTGCCAAAAGACGCGTACTTCTGAATCTCGTGTGTGGACAGACACTCCAGGGTGAGGGTCAAAATATCACTTTCTGCTTCATCTCGTACCGTCGAAGCGTAGCGCAATCAATCAACATGGCGATTCCTAATGCTGCTCTACAGAAGGTGCGACTATCTGACCTTCGAATCAGCGCCGACGACTGATAAATTGGCAGCTTCTTCAAGAAGTCGAAACGCAGGCTGTTCTTTCCCAACAGAAAATCACTCAGACGCAAGCAGAACTCAACGTCAAACGACGAGATGCACGGTTGAACCTCCTCACATCCAACGAACTCAAATCACTGTCCAAAGACACAAAAACATATGAGGGCGTGGGAAAGATGTATGCAATCTTGCTGGGGTTTGCACAGATTCCATCCTGCTAACACAAATTGCTACCAGGTTCGTTGCGGTACCGGTGTCAACCCTCACCCGCCGACTTGAATCCGACTCGACCACTTTGAATAAAGAGATATCTGAACTGGAAAAGAAGTTGCACTATCAAGAGACGACTTACAAAAACAGTCGGCAACATATTGAGAAAATCTTACAAAGTGGATCTCGTCCATGAGTCGATTCCTGGAGCCTGCGATGGTCCAGCCCATTGCACAGAAAGCCCAAGCTTTGCCAGAGCTGAAAGACGAATGTGTGTGGTCGCACAATACGCGCCCTCACTCTGTACCTTGTCTGCATCCATTTTGGTACTGCCAGCATCCGATTGACTGTTTCTCCATGGCTCCAGTCGGCCACGTATCTCATAAAGAACTCTCACACAAGTAACCGGCATCGCGCATTCAAGGCCGGCACAACACATTGACCATGTCACAGATGCAGGTCGACGTTGTGGTTGATTAGAGAGAGACGAGGGTTGATTTGTTTAAGCATGTCATGATGAGGCTAAGCCCAACTCATCCATGCTCAACCGGTTTGAGGCTCAAAGAGAGGAACTGACGGCGGATTACTCTCCAAGATCAGCTGGCCGACTGTGTTTCGGCAGGATGTGGCCCCGATTGAAATGTTTCGTCCGCCTATAGCTGGTTTTACGATGGTGTCACTCGACCTTATGGGTCTCGTCAGGGTCGAAGCCACCGTCAGTTGGTTGAGAAGGGTGCATTTGATGACGGTGTCTGACGATATGCATACATTTCAGGCCACCCAAAAGTTCCACAAAAACCAGTCTGTTACCGTCGATAGGATCGGCTCGCCGCTGAGCCAACTTCCTTTATTAGGTATCTCTATGCCAAACGAAACAAACAGTGCACTCTTGATCAAACACTTCTGAGACGATCCTATATGAAGACCAAGATTCATCTAGCAATCGGCTGACTTATCCATCCATTAGCATATCTTATACGAGCCAAACACCACTTGTTGGGTGCCCGTAGTTTCTTTTACGAGTCCCAATCTTATTGGCAATTCAAAATCGGCGCAGAGAACCGGGAAGATACCGACAAGTCACTGCCCAAACAGACGGCCCCCAATCTTGCGTGTCTGGTGGCTGGTCTTCAGACCGACTTGCAGCACAAGTTGATAAACCTAGAACAATCCCCCACCACCAGCTGAAATTGCGGTGCACGCTCGACTTTTCCTCTTCCTGTTTCGGGGGTGCATGTCAGAGATACACTTCCGAGGGCTGTGATCTACTTGTAGTTCAATAGGGATCCATCCTATTTGAACATTTTACCCTTCTGTTGTTGCGCCCGACAGCTTTATTCCAGCCAGGCGCTGAACCCCGCCTCCACCGCCAGACTGATCAGCAATTTCCGACAGGGCTGAAGGTCCGCGCTTTTGAGGGGTAAATCGACGCCCGTTGGCATCACGAAAATGCCCCGAACATACTATTCTGACTCTGAGGACGAATATGTGTTGATGCCAGTGCGCAGTCATGCGGGCAGTGAGTACAGGGGACGACGGCGACCAGCAAGAGTTGTCGACCATGTCCAGCCAGAAGAGGTGGTGATCAATAATCATTTGGTCGTGCCAGGCGCAGCTCGTCCTCGCGCATCCAGCACAGGGGGTGGACCAGCTCACACAACCATCAACATCGCCACCTCAGATCGCGGGCATAGCCGTAGCCGCAGCCGACACCGGTACGAAAGCCGATCCTCGAGTTCGGATTACCACAGTGGCCGATCGAGGTCTCGACATCGAAACCGACGGCCTGAGCGAGGAAGCAAAGTGTACGAGGACGATTTGGCCTACAGCCTGCGCAGAGAACTCGATCTAGCACGCGACCGACGAGACGAAGACAAGAGCAAGAGAGAGCGCGAGGACGAGAGGAGGAGATGGCGGATAGAGGAGGAGGAAAAGAAGCTGAAAAGGCAGAAAGAAAGGGAGACCATATTGTTAGAGGCTAAGCTTGAAGAAGAGAAAAAGAAGAAGGCCGAGAAGGAGCTGCGGGAGCGAATTCTCAAGGACGAAGAAGACCGGCAGAAAAAGGAGAAGGAGAAGAAGAAAGCTGAGGAGGAGGAGTTCGAGAGGAAAGTCAAGGAGAAGTTCATGAATGCCGGTATGCTAGGCCCCCCGTATGATCGTTATCGTCGTGACTATGGATATGATTACGACTGGTAATCACTGCACTGCTATTCACGTATCAGTCCTGATCCAGCTATCGAAACTGGGTTTGATGGATGCTACTATGCTGGGCATTCGATTTTGATAAAGAACGGGAGGCTAATTCGTTTTGTGTTTGGTGTGACCTGCAGGCTACAGTCCCGAGTACGTTGAGGAGATCTTGCACAAGAAGAAGCAGGAGAGAGCTAGCTCGGCGCTGGCCATCGATCTACACCGCCCAACGTTCATCAAGGTGAATCGAAAGTACTTGCATCCGGATACGTTGGACTATTATGGTTTGCCTTGGGAATGGGATTCGGTGAGTAACCTGCCTTTCGCTTTCAAGCAGCAAGCAAACAAACAAACATGGATGAGACGTTCCACCGCGGGATCAAGGCGTTTTGCGGGAAAGGCGTTTGGACTTTGTGTCATGTTGAGTATTGTTCTTTTTTTTGGGGAAACCGGAGGCTAACATGGTGTGACTTTCTCCGCAGCGTGACACCGAATACATCATCATCAAGAAGTACATCGACAATACTTTCCAGGACGAATTGTTCGAGCATACGCGCCGATTGAAGGAGCGGAAACTTATTACAGGGCCGTACGTGAAAGAGACCAAGACGATTACGACGCTGACGCCGAATGACCACTCCTATGTGAAGAAGGGGGACAAGATGTACATTGTTAGGGAGAAGAGTAAGAGTCCGGGTCGCAGTGCTAGTCACAGTCGGAGGAGTAGTTGGATGTTTTCGTAGACAGCATTCTCGCAGGCTGAGGGAGGGACGGGACCATAGCCACAAAGGACCAAGTGGCAGGGAGGGTGCGCGACGGGGCCTATATAGCTGGAAGGGGGTGTCAAGCTACGATTTAACGATTTTGTGCATTTGGTTTGACTACGTGGTCCAAGGTTGTCATGGCGGTGGTGTATGGGTATGGGCTGTCACAGACTCTGCTCATATACAGTTGAATCATGAAATGAATTCTACAACGTGTGACCATTATATCTCCGAGTGTGAGGGCATGTTCGTAGCAGAAGATGTATGGTAGTATAAGCTGGCCCTGGTCTCAAATGAGTCAGTGGCACCCCCCATTACCTGACACCTTCGATACCTTATCTAACTAAGTAAGGCACTATAAGAGCTGGGGAGTTCTGTGATGGTTGTTTGTGCAGATTTCTAGTCGCCAAACAATTGATGTGCGGGAAAAGGCGCGCTTCAAACCTGAGCTCGATTACCATGAACAAAATAAAGCCTCATCAACCCCGCCGTGTACTTTGGTAACCAAGCTGGGAAAGTGGGTGGTGGAGATCGTTTCCGTGCGAGTGTGTGGACGGCACGATCGACGGGCTTTTCGGTCTGGGCTTGCGTTGTGCGGAGCTGGAGCTGAGCGTGACGAGGAGAACTGGAGCCTCAGCTGAAAGATATTGACAGGGATGAGGCCTGCAAACGAGCAGCGTGCAGAAGGTACGTATCTTGTGGAGTGCTTGAGATGGGTCATCTCATTGGGTGCTGGCATGTCAAGTATCATGGCAGCCTTCCGGCCTCACGGAGACGTGTGCTGTCTCGCTGTGTACACAGTAGGTTCTGCTTCTCAACGAGACTAGGTAGGGCACTCTTCGGACAGTCGCTTCCTACCTCCCTCGTGGTAGAGAAGTAGGCTATGGGGTAGCAGCACAATCATGGAGATAAAGTGATGTATGTCCAGCCTGATGTGTCTGCCTAAGATAGCATGACTGGGCCACGTCTCACGTCTGTAGAGCCTCGCACAAATGTGACTGACTGGCACCCGTTGTACCTCGGAGAGAGGTGCAAGAGGAAGAAGCACTTCCTTCACGGGTACAAGTTGAGAGGCATGATACCGGGCTACTTCTCGTCCGCGCGCCACCTCCTTCCCACCCCGCTCTCCTCTTGCAGCCCAGTCTCGCCGAGCGCATTCATTCGACACTCTCAGGCTTCGAAGGTTCCACCTGAGTGGCGATTATCGACCTGTTGTCTGATGAAGTCGGGCCCTCGACGGCCGCGTTAGGCAGTCATCTTGCCCGAAGTGGTAACTTGCAAGGGCCCGTGGCGGTCTGAAAGGATGATAAACGCTTGAAAGGTGGCCGGGGCCTCGAGGAGTGGAACTGAGGACGGGAAAAGACCACACGTTTAGCGGTACAATGGCAGGACTAAGGGGTGGGGGTGTGTTAGATCTAGGATTGCGAAACGAATGCGGCAACCAAAAAGGCAAACCGGGGACGGGACGGAGGAACTTACTACGGAGAGGGGGGATGTGGCGAATTGAGCAGGAGGACGAGAGGGGTCTGGACTCTGAACTCGCAGAAGGACCGTCTTACCAAGACGATACACCTCGAGTATCGTCCACTCACGTATCCGTATTTCTTCGTCTATCAGGTCCTCAATTACATTGGGGCTTCAAATTGTGCTTTCCTGACGGCCACATGCGGGGCTGCGGCTGGCCGAGAACCAGGACTGTTGCAAGCCGGAAATGCAAGATCAAGTCGCCTAGATTGGCACATTTTATTGCAACGGCATCGAAACCCAGGACAGAAGAAGCAAGCTTGGGAGAACGAGGCGTGCGCGTTTCAATGTCGTGATGGATTACCATTTTCTCCGTATCTGGGTATTTCAAGTTGGATATGGTTAGATAAGACAATATGCAAGGCTTCCACTCCACTCAGATGCCTTCCGATCATTGCTATTTCAGGTCACCCCATGCGCCGTCGCCTTGTCAATCATCCGTCGTATCGTTGCATATGATCATGCTACTGTGAGGTATTGTATCCCAAGATCCTATCGGACACTTCGATTCAGGCGTGGAACTGTTGCCGCCCAAGGTCCCTGCTGAAACTCAAGTTCACCCTTTGCGGCTCTTGCCTAAAGAGCTTGTCCATGTGTAATGGCGGGGTGGTGTGCCAGATCTGGTCTGTGGAGTTCAGGGCTCATGAAATATCGTTCGCTCTTGGGACTTTGGCTGTACTTTGAACTCGCCCCACCTGGACTTTGGGCAGAAGTCTGCGACTGAAAGGGACTGGAGATTGCAAGATGCATCTTGGGTGTTTCGACCATGTCATTCTGTTGGGTCGTCTTGCGAGAGTTGTAAGGAGGCAGAGTATCGCGCTTCGTCCCAAGAAAGAATGATCGGTAGTGGCTGCGTCGACTTGGTGGTTTTGGAGTCGAGGCTTCGACATCGGCTTTGTGAGAAGCGACTGCACCGTGAGATCGGACTTGACGGGCGGTGAGATGCGCTTTCTTGTCTCGAAAGATGAAGCTCTGTGCCGCATTAGTACTCGCCCTCCTCGGGAGGATATTCGCAATTGTGCTTACCGTGAGGATGTTGATCGGACCCATGACCAGCACAATAATGCCGGAAGCAATGACAAGTCGCCAGAACGGCAGTCCCAAACTCTTCTGACTTGTGGCTTGCTTATTGAGATTGCCGAGGATGCTGTTACCAAGGAATACCATGGCAACTCCGAGCATGACAAAGCTAGATCGATAGCTGAAGAGAGGCCAATTTCGTGAGATGTAGGTTTTGAACAATGGGAGTTCCGTGACGATGAGGAATCCTAAAACGGATTTAGCATCACGTTCAAGCCGCTTCGGTACCGACTTACCGCTCATTATGATTCTGATAACGTGTTCGCAAGCATCGAAGAAGAAAAACTTGGACACGATAAAAGTCTTGACCAGCATGACTGAACTTGCGCCAACAACACTGAGAAGGGCAATTATGTTCATGACTCGGATGACATTGAGTACGACGTAGCCAGCGCCGAGGAGCGATTTTCCGAAAAACAGCATCTTGAGATTGGATTCGATTAGGAGAAATGGCAACTTTTGATCTTGTGAAATGCTGGAGAATGAGACAGGACAAGAGTTTAAGGAGAGAGACGTATTAGATATTTGTGGTCAGAAACGCTTGCGTTAACGTGAACAATAGTATGATCAATAGCTGCAAGGGCATGAATAGAACTGAATAGCGTAGTCAAGGTCAATGAGAGGCGAATATGTTGGAGGGTGTAGCAGAATGGACCCTTTTTCCTATGACTCTCATCTCATTGACTGATGTCGAACATACGGTACTTTGATACTCACAATCTGACACTCTGTTAAGCGCGCAGAAACAAGAGATGAAGCTGTAGTACATCCCTCGGGCACCACACGAGACGGACGTGTCCATTGGTGAAATAAGAACGCTGTCTGAGAACATTTGCCAGATTAGTTTCAGGCCAGATTATCGGTCGACATTTGCCACATGGGAAATGGATGATTGTCGCTCATGTCGAGCAAAGGTCGGCTTGCCCTCAGGCCTTGGACCAGTGACAGAAATGAATGGCTGAGGTTGAAGGTCATCTAGAATGCAGCTCAATCTGAAACGCGCTTGGGTGCCGTGCAAACGTCAATTTTTTGACGCCGAACTTCATCACTGTTGCAGCCTCGCCTCCGCCAGAGGGCATTTTCGATGCGTAAGGCTGGAGGATGACAGCCAAAGCAAGGCACTGGGCAGGACGAGGAGGCGGTGATGAAGTTGTTTCAACGAAGTGAAGGACAGATGGACAATGGGATATCGCCAGAGCGAGCCGGGGGTTGCACTTTCGCGCCAGAAGAATCCGCAGTAGCCGACAGAGGTCTAACACTTTACGCTGTTATAGTTCGCCGTAGCAATATCCGCCGACGAAAACATTTCGACTTGTTGAGCGCAGCCTCGAATGACCGTCACCTAAGCGTGGCACTGGCTCTTTCCCTCATCTCACCGGTTTGTCTACGTCCTGAACAACTATATAAACCCTCTCAATTCTCGGTCCTTATCTGCCTTGTAATCTTCCGAAGTCTAAATCTGCCACTTATATCTTCAAGAAGCCGCAATCATGACTCGAGGCAACCAAAGAGAAAAGGCTCGTGAGAAGAATCTCAAAGAGCAGGCTGGATCGGTAAGTGGAGGATTGCCACTACTATGAAGATGACAGACCCTGCTGGCAAATGGCTATTGCAGCGATAGCACGGCCTTTCATGCCACCGTGATCCTCCAGCAAGACACTGACTTAAATGTGAATGTAGAAGAAGAAGAATACACAATCGGGAACCGAATTTCAGCGGACGAAGGAGCAACAGGCTGAAATCATGCGTCAAAAGCAGGCACAAGGTGGGTTCTCATACATATAGCCGTTAGAATGCCACGGTCTGACCCCCCATCAGCCGAAGCCAAACGGGCTCAAGAAGCAGCCGCGAAAAAGTGACCCTGAAGCCCATGCTGTCTTACACTGAGCAGCATCGACACAGTTGGCTTCAAGCACAGGACGAGTCTCCGATTCGTGCTCGAGGCCACCATGAACGGGATTAGCAAGGAGTTTGTTGGAGTCCCATTTCCATGAAAACCATAGCGACACTCGGAGTCTAGAGCTGGATACATTCGCGAGCCTCAATCACAAGCGAGAGCTGAATACTAGACCCATTCGACTTTGCACAGATCTGTGCGACTCTTCTCATTGCTGCTGGTCACCTGCGGGATCTTGCTAGACGTGACTTTGCGATGTCTATGTTTCTGTGTATGCCGTAAGATTAAGTGTGACTCCGTCGATCCTCCCCAAACGTATCCGCGTACATCGTCGAGTAGGAGGTCAGAGCACCCTTTCACCGGCTAGACCACTCTTGTCCCATCAAGTAGTCTCCCTGACATTCGAGGCTATCACCTCCCTGAAATAGACTGACTGCACTGTATGCCACTCTAGGATCATACTGCATAATGTACGGCCGAGTACGGATGACTAATCGGAGGTTTTGGTACACTTCTCCCTTTGTTTAGCAGTGTTTTGATACTCTGTCATTGACACCCAGCTAATCCCCTGCCAATATCAATGCGAGAGATCATTCCAAGTCTAGATGCGACCCATGGTTGGCTTTGGCTCTTCAACATCAAAGCCTTGAAGGCTGCTAAGATCAAAACTCGCCGTCCAGCATGAGCTGGTTACAAAGGTGCCGCTCCCCTACTTGACCCCTACCATGAACTCCCGCGCATCGAGACTCACAGGCAACAGTATCAAGCCCTTCTGGCCACTCATATTCACCTTCATCCTACCCAAAGCCATCAGCTATTACCGCGTTGTGAAAACCGCTGTTAGGACACGACCGCCACCAAGACCTCTACCCAAGAAAACTGGCCAAGGTCTCAATGCCCTGTTCGCATCAATATGCGTGTTCTTCTACCTTTCACTGCCACTAAAGGGGAGCGTCGAAGATCACAACATCTTTGTCATCACACAGTCACGTCTTACGATGCCGACGGACACTCTCTTTTCACGGCTAGCTATGCTTCGGGACCATGGGGTCCTGACGTCGGTCGATGAGGCTTTACGCTCGAAGTTGACTTCTCCCACGTATGTACTTTCCGCCCCTTTACCCTGCCCCTTGTCTTTGTTTCCTTGAGGAGCACGTTTCAAGCTGATGCATAGTCCCTTGTGAACAGCCTCCGCCAGATCTATCTCCGCTTCGGGCCCCGTACCCTGCTGAATTGCACATTCTGCCACCCGGACGACACTTTCTCCTACCTCCTGTACCACCTGCCTATCAACGTCCTGCTCCCGCACCTCTTCCACGTCTTCTGTCTCGGTCTTGCAACGTCCGAGTCAATCTCCGGCTTCGAACCCAGCCGCTGGCGGACGCAGGTCTTGCTATGTGCTCTTGCACTCGCGTCGGTCGACATCGCAATCACCACCACCTATTCACCGATCGTAAATCCTAACACGCCAGCACCAGCGGGGATCTTCTGGTTGTCATCGACCCTACGCTATTTGTGCTTGTGCCTCTTCGACGCCGCGACTGCATTTCTCATCTACGCCTCGGCAACGGGCCGATTCTTGCTGTTCAGCGCCCCGGCCAATGCGGACCCTGAACTTGCTCGCCGCCGGACGGAAGAGCTGCTCACAAAGGCAAATTTGTCCCTGCAACTGACCCAGACGAGCTTACGTGCGTACTCAATTGCGCGAAATGCCACGGTGCGCAATCCAACACTCAAGGCCGGTGATGACGAATACTGGACTAGAGTTGTGTCGGTAGAAGGAACCCAAGGCTACGGCGACCAGAGCCTCCTCGAAGACGAAGAGGTCCAAGCCGCAATCTCACGTGCCTATGGGTCTGGGTCGATGAACGTCGAGCAGATGAGGAGAGAGGCGGATGTATTCGTCAATAATGTGACAAGGGGCCTTGACTCGACGACTGGCAACACCAGATAGAGATCCTGGGATACATCAACCTTTGATCAAGTATCATACAAGTATTATCTTGGTTCGCCGTTTCTACGAATATCGTTCAGGAATCGTCAGGCTCGTCCTTGATAACGATACACTCATCATCGTCTTTCTCCATTTTAACAAAGTCCTTCTCAGTCACCCGTCGCCCATTTTTACCCATGATCTCGGTCGCAAATATCACCGTTTCTACGCCCGCAGGCACCCTCTCCTCCTCGCCTTCGGGCAACGCATCAATATCGATCTCGGCACCAATCAAACTCTTTAGGATAACCTCCGCCCCTGCTTTACTCATGATCATATTCTTCTCCTTGCACCGCTCGTCGCAAATACACTCGGTACAGCCTTCAATACAATGGCAGGCCGAGACACGTTGCACAGCGCGCTCCAATAGCAGGTCGATGAATTCAAATGCTTTGGCCGCGATACCAGACCCGGCGGCACCGCCCTTGGCATCATAAAATGTCAACCGAGCTGGCCTTTTGCGCTGCGTCTCTTTCTTCGCAAACTCCTTAAGCGCGTTCTTGCACTCCGTCCGCACATCGCCTGGCATACTGACCACGAACTGCGGCATGAGGCTCATGAGGGCATGTTCCGCCGCGTGGATTCCGGCCGCCAGGTTGAGCCGTTTCTCCTTGAGTATCTGCAACGCGTACTTGGGTACATCGAGCCACAACCCTCTCGAAAAGATAATGACAGGCGGATTGTCCACTGCCACGGCGTCAAGTATTCGTCGTTTCTGATCGACCTTGAAGAACCCAAACACCACAGCCTTGACCTTGATCCGGCCGAAGAATGCTCTTGTCAATGAATTCGACGACACACGACGCACCTGCTCCGTCTCAATGGGGTCAACGTCCGTATAGTCACGCTGCTGCGTGGTCCAGTCAACCTTGACAAGCTGCACGCGCGCGATCTTGCGCTCGGGTGAGAACTCTTTGACCATAAAGGTCTTACCCTGGTGCAGAAAGATTCCACCGTCGTAGAGTGTGAAGAAAGCGCGAGAGGCTTCGACTTCTTCGAGCACGATATTGCGGCCGTGCGTGATATCGATCACAGCGAAATGGGTATCCTCGGTATCGCGGATGGCGACGCATTTCGATGGCAATGGTCGGAACCGCTCGTTACAGTGATAGAATCCCATCGGGTCGTATGTTAGGCGTTCAGTGCATATCTCAGGCAGCATCTTGCCGAGGAACTTGACGTCCTCGTCCGGCTTGATTGGCATCTCGTAAGCGGCGCACTGCATGTGGCCTTCAACCACGAGCTCATTCTGTAAATCAACCTGGAGTTCACAGTTCGGTTTGGTGAAGATCTCGTCTGGATTCTGCATATAGTATTGGTCAACTGCGAAACAGTCACCAACGAGCACGGAGAGGGAGTCTCGATTGCGACGTCCGGCTCGACCGCTTTGTTGCCGTAGGTTGGCAATAGTGTATGGGAAACCCATAGTGACCACCGCGTCAAGGGAGCCGATATCGACGCCCAATTCAAGTGCAGTGGTAGCGATGATACCCATAAGCTTACCACCAAACATTTCGGATTCGATGCGTCGACGATCTTGAGCCGAGTATCCTCCACGATAGCCCATGACTAACGCTGCACATTCTGGTCTCTCGAGATTGGTAAACTCGGCTTTCACGGCTGCCAGCAAGACCTCACATTGTTTTCGTACTCGGCAGAAGGCAACGGTCCGAACACCACGCAGGATAAGTTGACATATCAATCGTGCTGTCTCAGCGAATGTATCACCTCGACCTGAAGAAGGATCACCAGGATCTTTGTATGGCGTGTTCCAGCAGATGAACTCTTTCCGTCCAGAAGGTGACCCGTCAAAATCGGTCAGCTTCACTTTGTCCACTCCAAAGATTGTCTTCATGTGTTCTTCGGGATTTGCCACGGTCGCCGAACATGAAATAAACTTCACCTTGCGATTTCCCACCGCTGCACATATGCGACGTAGCCGCCGCATGATGAAGGCTACGTGAGCCCCGAACAACCCGTTGTAAACATGTAATTCGTCGACAACGACATACTTCAAATTGCGGAGAAAGTTCCTCCATCCATTTTCCTGAGGCAGAATCGTGATATGAAGCATGTCCGGATTTGTGAATATAATTCGACCTTCCTCTCGGATAGTATTTCTTACATTCATCGGAGTATCGCCATCGAAAGTCTCGACAATGGCATTTTCTAATCCCGGGATGTACTGTAGCAATTCTTTCATGCTCCGTCGTTGATCCTGGGCGAGGGCTTTGGTCGGAAAAATGTACATGCCTCGACTCTCTGGGTCAACTTCAAGCTGGTGCAGCATTGGTATCTGGTAGATCAATGACTTTCCCGAGCTTGTAGAGGTAGAAACGATGACGTGATGGCCACTATGCAGATTGTTGATCGCTTCGGCTTGATGTGAGTACAGCTGCATTATGCCTCTACTATTGTAAAGAGCATTGACCAGATTTTGCGATAGTTGAAAGTCCAGATCACCATAGATAGCTGGCTGAGGATCGAACACACGATGTCCATCTGGTACAATCTGATGAGTGTACCATTCTAACTCAGTTATCTCCTTGACGATCTCCGAGATCGTCTTTCGGTCCTTTGGTATGGATTTGGGTGGGCCAGTGAATTCTGGTCCTGGTGTATTTCCACGGCTGGATAAAGGAGAAGGAATGTACTGTTCTTTGAGCTCCAGGATCTTTTGCACGGCATCGGTTTGTTCTTCAGCGCATTGGTTGAGGAAAGCATTCACGGCGGACGTGAACTTGACGTTGCGCTTTTCAATCAGCTTCAACATCGACTTCTGACTGAATACAGGCATCTTAAGGTCTTCGTTCCTTAATTTCTGTGTAGCCTTCGTAGGCTGGCCTGTCTTGGGATCAATGACTTGTCTTTTCAGATCGCCATCGATGAATTCGAAGAAGAGCAATTCCTTGGCTGTCTCGGACTGTTCATTCGGAGCGCTTTCATCTTCTGCCAGTGACCTGAAATGTTCAGCTCTTCCACCCTTGACACCATCCTCTTCGCCCATGATTGTGACCATCAAGTGTTCTTCATCAACATAAGCGAAATTGATAGCTCGAGGCATCAGAGCTTTGACCTGTGCCACATCTTCCTCCTTTAACGGTCTTTTGATGTGTCCTTCGACTGCAGACTTGATATTGTCCCATGTTGTCGCAAAGTGCTTGCGAGTACAGCAGAAGGTATAGACTACGTTCAGAGCCTTGTGCAGAAGGGATAAATACTTGAAGTGATCAGGCCAAGGAATGTCGGACTCGACGAGGTTCGAAGAGGAGCTTTTTCGTAACAGAGCTGGTTTGGAGGAGGATTTGGTTGTTCTTGGTTTGGTCCCGCCATCGTGAGTTTTCGTAGGTACAGTCGTGGTCGTCGTGGTACTCGTCGTGGAATCGGATGTTATCGCTTGCGATTCATCATCCTGCGGCCTGCGCTTTCGTTTGCGATTGACTGCCTGGCGCGACACAGTCGCAGCTTGCAGTTTCGCCATCAAACATGCCTGTCAAGAGGAATAAGGGCAGGAGACGGCGAGGACCGGTACCTGCACAGGGTCAATGGGGGAATTTCCAGGGTCAAAACTTCTTCGTCGCCGCTGGACGCCGCCAGCCAATCGATGACGTCTACGCGTAAAGTGCTTCAGACACGTTATCACGTGATGCATCATTGATTCTGGTTACGACTTCTTTTCTTAAGTTCCAACGCAATGGGTGTTCAAGTACGAAGTAGACTACAGAAATAAGACATATACTCATTCCTTCGTCAGTTGATGGTAGGATAGAAGCCTACATCCTGTCAATTGGACAAGTTCTTGTGTCCGAGAAGGTGAGCAGTCCTAATGCCCACAGCCTTGCTACCCTGCCATCAGATTCTCTGTTACGTCTTGATGAACATCGATATAGCCTGTATGTCAGTCTGCCTTGTCGTTCACCCTCGGTGATTGCCTTTTCTTGACTGCTTTGTTTGACACCAAAAGCCTTAAAACACCGCCTCGGCAACGGCTTCGTTTGTACTCGGCCTTCAATACTGCCTTCTTTATCACCCTTGTCAGCACCATCACCTATCTAACAAGACGGTATGTCACTAGACCCCGCGATGGCTGCCTATATCTTCCTGCAGGCCTTTGCCAGATCCTGTACCCTTCCTTACAGCAATTTATACAAAGATCGAGACAAACACGGCACATGACATACCATCTCGCAGTCTTTGAGAACACTTATCCAAGCCCTCCAAGGAGAGGTCTCTTGTTCAATCTAAAATGATTGTCATGAGCACTGCAGCGCTGGCTGCCAGCATGCTCATCCGGGCCTCTGCAGCGGAGAAGTTGACAACGTTCCGCTATCAAATGGTCAAGAATTATTCTGGACCATCCTTCTATCAGAACTTTGACTTCTTTTCCGAGACAGACCCCTCCAACAGCTTTGCCAAATACGTCGACCTGACCACGGCGAATGACTCTGGCTTTGCAGGCTACACAGTAAGCCCGGACTGGCCTTATCCAGTCTACCTCGGCGTTGACTACAAGACCATCACACCCACCGGTCGACCGAGCGTCCGTCTCGAAGGCAGAGATACCTTCAACCACTCTTTAATCGTCGCCGACATCCGACATATGCCCTACGGATGTGGCACATGGCCTGCGTTCTGGCTGCTAGGCCAAGGACTCAAGTGGCCAAAGGCCGGCGAGATCGACATTGTGGAGGGCATCAACAACCAGTCCAACAATACCATGGTCCTACACGTCGACAGCGGAGTCTCTGTCGCCAATCTGACCAGCGCTTATAATGGCAACACCCAGATGGCAGGAACAATTACCAATCTCGACTGCAGCCTCGACAGTGCTGGGAGCACCGGTTGCGCTGCCAAGGCGTCCTGGAACAATTATGGCGCCGGATACAATGCCCAGGGAGGCGGTGTGGTCGTGACAGAGTTCACGAGCAGGGCGATCACGATCTGGAGCTTCCCACGCAATAACACTCCGCAGGATATTCTCGACGGCAAACCCAATCCACACCCTTTGTACAATGGCAGTCACTGGGGTGCACCGGAGGCCAAGTTCGTGCCGAGCATCAACAGCAGCTTCGACGAGCATTTCTTCAACCTGAAGCCCATCTTCAACACGGCGTTCTGCGGTCCTTGGATTGATGAAGGTTGGAACACAAGCGAGTGCGCTTCACTGGCCCCTACTTGCACGGAGTATGTTGCCAACAATCCCGCGGTTTTTGAAGGCGCGTACTGGGCTATAGGAGGCCTCCAGGTGTACGTACCGTCTACTACCTCCAATGTCGGGCCTGCAGGATACAACACCACAGTGGTGCAGCCAATATCGTCCTACAACAAGAAGAGGCGCGGTCAGCTAACAGACTTCAAGGCATATTGAGTATGCGAAGCAGAGCTGATTTTGATACCGGAAGGAGGTTCACCATCTTAGGATCATCTGCACGTATCCTTCCACTGCGTGTCGGGACTGAACTGGGGTGTATCTCGGGGCAGATATGGTGTATAAATGATCACAAAGGTGTCGTAAGGTGATGTTTTGAACTTGAAGAAGACTGGATTTGGATTCTAGGTGAAGGTAGCTTCTCAATAGTTGCGAGTTGAACAAACCAAGCCCCTTTTGATCCCGTGCTCACGGCTACGGTTTGAGGGTGGTGTCTTCCAATATTTCCTGCTTTATTGTCACACTGTTTTCCACTAAGCCTGTGTTTGACGGCGTGGTACTGTATCCCACCATGACGCCACCTACCTACGCTTCGCGTCCTCGTCAATAGAGTCGGACTATGTGGGACGATCCGTCCTTCTAACGTGCAGCGCCAGACCGACATCTTTCTAGCCTTGACCGTCTCACTTAGTCGTACACGAGACCTTTGATCTTATGGTCTTCATGGTCATAGTGTGGATTTGGGGAAATGGTCAGCGATGTCTGCTGCAATCTGCACTACTAAAGCAATGCTGACCCGTAGCCATTCTACAGCGGAATTTGTACACCAGTCCCGCAAACACTTTACGCGTCGAGGGCGTCTTGATTATTATTTTGTATCGCCGCTAAAAGACTACTCCCTAATGCGTACCTTATTCCTTCAGAGTAAGCCCAGCACAAGTACAGAGCTTGATAACCATGTCTTCGAAACAATAGACCTCTCTCAACAGCCTCTCCCCCTCTCGTAGGTGTGTCCCAATATGGCTCCTTCCGCGATCCAACAATCCCTCGCCGTCCTCATCCCAACCTATTCGCAGAAACTCCCTCCACAACTCACACACCTCGCCGAATCCCTCCTCGCCCAATCTCGCCAGCGCGCCTCACACCTCAAACCCGAAGAAGAGATCGCCCGTGCCTACGCATGCTGCGAAATCGCTTGCAAACGACTCCGCCCGACATGCCGGTTGCCCGCTGTGAAATCCAGCGGCGCACCATGCAAGCCGGCCGTGTACAAGAAACTCCTAACGTTCCTGGAGCGTGTGCTCGACGAAGACTCAGCGCAGACACCGAAGTCGACACCTAATGGGAGAAAAAGGGCGGTTGACGGCCAGATCAAGCCGGTCGAGCCTACGCCTACTACGCCGTCCAAGACGGGGAGAGGAGGCACGCCCGCAAGTGGTGGCTTTCTGGGCAGGATCAGAGCAGCATCCGGCAAGACTACGTCAAGAGATGGAGATGGTACTGGGGCAGAGGATGAAGCGCCCAGCTGGCTGATGCCCTCGATCCGCAAACTCTGCCGGCTCTGTTCTACCCCCTTGCTCGCGCCGCACGTGTACACAGGGACATGTGTCGTGCTCAGACTCGCTGGGCTTTGGCCACGGCCGGAAGATGGAGGAGAAGACGCAGAATCAGACCAAAACTCAGTATCATTCAAAGAAGACGTCACGGGCCTGCTCATCGCCCTGTACCTGATGACGTTAACGCGCATGAAGACCGGCAACATGACCACGAGCGTGTACAAGAGCACATGCTCGAAGTCTGCCGAAGAACTGGAATACAAGCCTGCCGCAAGCGGCGTAGAAGTCTGGATCCGGCGCATCAATCGCGAAGGATACTGTGGCCAGCAGGACTGGTGGGTTAGTGTGCCGGAGGGGGTCTTCGATTTCGATCCGAACAATAAAGACTCTCGCGTCGCTCGCTCAGCAAGTGATGACGTTGGAGAGAATGAGGTGGATGAAGAGGAGGATGTGATTCTGTCCTCTAAACGTAGACGGAAAACGAGCGGATCCGGAGAAAGCGAAGACGAGGATGACCCAGAAGGCGTGCTACTGCCGGGCTTGCATACGATGATGCAAAATGCTGTGGATTTCTTGAGCGAGGAACGGACGAGGGACTATGTCAATTGGAAGAAACAATTTCTGAGGAAGTTGGATAGATTGGACAAACGTCCTGCAGCTAGTGCTACAAGAGCAACTGCTGTACAATAATGACGAGGCCGCGACGTTCTCAATGCATAACATGATGAGAAGAGTGCTCCCTTTCCCACATGTCATGGCAATGAGATGGCTCTGTTAAGCTCAATAGCCTCACTAGACCAGTGCGTAGTCCACTGCGTCGATGCATCGTCGATCCTCACAATGCTGTCATTCTCCTTTGGTATCATCGTCGAACATTGTACGCAAGCGCGCACCAATTTCCCAATCAGCGCTCCCTCGGTCTCTCTCTGTCTCGATGCAGCTGCATGGCATCGAGCCCCCAGGACGCCGGCATTCATGAGTTTCCGGGGAGACTATGGCGCTGACAAGTTCACCAGCGGCGTCCTCTGCCCCTGCCGCCTCCGCGTCCACCCCTTCCACCTCCGCCTCCGCCATTACCACGATGACCTCCACGACCTCTGCCTCCGCCACGAGGCCGGCTGTGGTATGCTATCGACCCTGCGCTTTCTGGTCTCGGGCCTTGCTGCATTCTGAAGTCTCTCTCCTCTTCACCAACGTCGAACTTGTTCTCAACGCCGATCAACTCACAGAATGCACTGGTCTGAGGATTCGTCATCTCTCTTGGCATCTCGTTTGGTCCGACCTCGAGACTCGGATCATAAATGGGTGCTGTGATGCTGAAATTTTCCGGAATTTGCAATTTGCCTGGCTTCACAACGTGAATGTCGATCCATTTTGATTCTTCCACGATTTTGTCGTGGTAGTATGTATCGCCACGGTGAAGCGGGACCTTGTCGCTGGGAGCGCCACCAAGATGGAGCTCTGAGGCATAGGTGCGCAGAATGGCGAGCCACTCCGGGTCGTATGATAGTTTCAGTGGACGGCTGACTTTTTCCTGCGGTGAGGTGATAGACTTGACCTCGAGAAGCTGGAGAAATTCTTGGTATGGTTCGCATTTACCTAGAGCAAGAAATTCCGTCTTCTTGTTGAGGATTGCTTCTGGGAAAGGCAGTGCTGGTGAGACTTCAACTTTTTCTTCTTGCGTAAAATTGCTTGAGAGGGCAGCCAACTGCGCTCGCATGTCCTCTGACACTTCGCTCTCGGGGTCAACAACGGTTGTCGATCGCGTTGGGATGGTCTTGACGCTTTCACCCGCTGTTGAGGATGATTGCGCCTCGAGGGCCTTTGCTTGTTCATCTAGACTTGCGTTCGATGATTTCCTGGATGCTGTGAGAGAACCGTTCTCCGCACCTTTGTCTATCCTAACACTCGGGGTGGAGGCAAAGGACGCTGTCATTGGACTCAACTTGACGCCACCACCTTCACTTCTGTCAGAAGAGGTCGGCGACATGAGTGGTGGCTTGAGTTTGCCATCAGAGGCAGTGCTTCGAGCGTCCACCCGAGAAATCGGCAGGACGTCCGTCTTGGAAGTGATTGTTCCCTTGTCAGCTGAAACAGCCGGCTCATCGTCGTCGCTCATATCGATGTCGATAGCATCTGGGTTATCGAGTGCCACTTTTGGCTGAGCAGTAATACTGTCACGGTTCCCATTGGCCTGCAATCCAGATGGTGGGATAAAAGTGTCGTAGGTTTGCTGGTGGTTACTACCAGCATTTTCTGGTCCATCATCAAGCCGCTGTCGCTTAGTCGGTCGAGAGAAGCCGCAGCCGTCGAGATTGGATATGGGGACATGTATCTCTTCTCCATCCGACCCGACCTGGTGATGTGTGGTAGAGATGACCTTGCGTTCGAGGGCGTCTCCAGCTCCAATTTTGCTGAATGTCTCATCGAATGTGTATTTCGCGGTGGGTAGAGCACCGGTTCTTTCTGCTTCCAAGCGCTGGTTCTCTTTCTCTAGGAGGAAATCCTCCTTTTCCCGAGCATCGGCTAGTTTGGCGGTATCTTGAAACTCTTGCCACGCGGAGACCTGAGGCCGATCCTCTGACATGGGGTCTCGACGGCCACTCCGCTTGTTCTCGGTCATTTTGCGAAAGGAGTCTTCTTGGTCATGATCCAGTATAGCGGTGAATTTTGTGTGGAGATGAGCAGAGAACCAATATGGAGGTCTTAGTCGATCCAAACATTGTCTTGCTGCAACACTGCCCAACTTGCCATTCTTGGAATCCTCTCCGAACCCTTTCTTGTTCCGAAAGAGCCATTCGTAGTCTCCATGCATTTCAATGCCCTGAGGCCAGTCATGTGAAAGACCTATGTCGACTTGCGATCGTAGAGCCAACAGCTTTCTGACATCCAGTTCTCGAACATGGTATATGCTTCCTGTTTCTTCGCGATTGTACGGGAGTCGTTCGAAATGAGGTTTGCGGTAGTCGTACCCTTTCCAGATCCCAGTCAGGCCAGCAATACGCAGGGGTCCAAGGCGGATGACATTAGCGGCTCCAAGGTAGTAAATGTTTGGTGCGACCCAACCCCCATAGTAGAGTTCGAAGAGATGGTTACTGGCTTCATGATTGCCGCCAATGAAGATCGTCAAGTATGGCGCAGTCCGGGTGCCGCTGTAGTATTCGTGGAAATCGGCCATCTTGCGGTACTTTTGGGGCATTGAAGTGACGTTCAGGTCATGTTGATTTCTGACAGCCTACAAGGCATCAGTTACGAAGTTTGGACCAGAAACGAATCGCAAACCTGGAAATCACCACCGATAATGAGTAGATCAATACCATCCCATCCTTTGACGCGACAGGCTTCTTCGATCGAGGCGTAGATTGCATGAAGTGTGCCGTGCCCCTACGTTTAGTCCCTTAGATTAGCTCGACATGACTATCCTTTGAGGACGGGTTTCTCACGCATCCTTCAACAGCCACTCTGACACCATCCTGTTCCATTACTCGGTCTGCGGCCATTATGCCAGAATCAAGCGGGTGCTGAGCCGGAAACAATCACAGTGAATACTTTCTGAAAGGCTTCATCCACCTAGCAGAAAGGAAGGCGAGCGCAGCGCGGTTTCGACGCTGACGATCGGGAGAAGTAGTGGAAGGAACGCAACAAGAATGGTGCTCCCAACCAATCTAGCGACATTTGCTCAATTGAGATCGATCACACACATTCAATAAATCTATGTGAGCTCTCATTGAAGATGGTCACCCCCGTGCAATGGCATGCGAAGATTTCCCGACCCGGTTCAAGTGAATTCTACTCGAGCCGCACCATCTTGGCGTGAAGCCACGCCGCTTTCACGAGGATTCTTCCAAAACACTGCGTATGTACTATGGTCTCATGGGTAAATCGTGTAATACGGCGCTAGGGTGTCATTCGACGACAAATAGCAGCGAGGACAATTTGTGTGGCAGGCGGACCTCCTGTTCAAAGCGGTGCCCAACTGCTGCTTCGCCGATTCAGGCGGCAGCTGTTTTGCACCCCGGTTAAGCGAGTTTCGTTGCACGATTTACCCATGAGACCGTAGTAAGGGTGGGCTGTAGAAATAGGTATACAGTGTGAATGAGATCACGCTACCTTGATTAGGAAGAAAGAAGATCAAACAATGGAAGTCCACGTGGTGGACGGAATGCTAACCGGTGGAGAAACGCAATTGGACTATGGACTATGTACAAACAGACATCAAATCGTGAATCGCTGACTGGCTTCAGTCTCTCTCATCAGACGCTAAAATCAAGGCCCGAGGCAGCTTCTCAGGTTGACAATGGACTAGTGTTGTTCGTTGCATTTGGGAAGGTGTTTTGAAGCCGTTCCAAGAGAGACAACGCCAAAAGATAAGACATGTCTGACTTGCGACCTATATCGAAAAGTCCTGCGATGCATTGCATGCAGTTGTCGTAAAGCGCGTCAAAACTGCCTGCCCTCGACCAGGAGGACGGATGTGAAGGGCTCGATTGCAACTGCGAGAGCCACTTCAAGAACAAGTCCGCGGATCTCGTGAAACATCGTATCAGAATCTCCGTCCAAGGCTCGGTCAGAAGTGCTCCCTCACAGACCGTGGTGTGGAAATTGCCAATGCGATGGAAATTTGAGCCATCGCGAGGCCTTGCAACTCTGCAGACATCAGATATTTGGAATGCGCTTGCCTTTCGCATCTCAAATGCAAGGCGACAGGACTTCCGGAGGGCGCCATACAGGTGGTCACCTTTCTGACGTTGGTCCACCTCGTCAAGACAGTCGGCGAGCCAAAAGACAGCGAGATGCCAGTGTCCGATCAAGACGGAATACCAGGACTGGACACGCGCATGGAGGTCCTCGTGGTGCTTCAAGCACGTTAGTATGAATTCGCCGTACGTCTTGTTCCAGTATTCGTAAACATTGAGAGCGTCAACGATGGCAGCCTCGATTCTTTTCGCAGAATTCCCCCTAAACATGCAGTTGCTTAGCCGCTTGATCTTGCGATACAGGAGGACCTTGACCGTTGCGGCATCCGACAGAAGCGAGAGTGCGTGATCTTCCGCCATGGGCCACATGGACGGCCTGGCACGCACGGTTAATTCAGCCTTCTTCAAGAACAACGTGCCCCAAGGCGAAAACTCCAAATCGTCATCGACAGGTGGCTCGCAAGCGTCTGCCGTCTTCTCAGTGTCTGGTAGATTATCTGCATGGAGGATAAGACTGTCCTCATCTGAAACGACGCAGGGGCGCTTGTATAACACCGCAAGAAGCGTGTCACACATCATCACCATCCAGAAGAGCATGTTGAAAGTTTTCCTGTCGGCAATACCAGCTGCGTCAGTCGAGCCTCGTCGAACGCTTCTGCGTAGATCCTCAAGCCTAACCCGCTTCGCTGACAATCGTAACAAGGCGGCCTCCATATGTATGGGAGATCCTTGCAGCTCGAGCAGATCTTGTAGCTCTTTGATTTCCCCGGACGTGTCGGACGTATTACTGTTTGATGGGCTCCCGGTCGCCTCAAAGGCGCTGTTGTAAGATTCCGCCGTCAGTTCCTCCACTTTGCGGGCATCTGTGGTAAGCTCGATATTGACTCCTCCTTCCGCTCTCACTTTGCTAATCCTAGCGTACTGGTGGCGTGGCAAGGGTTTCTGAGTGAAAGAAAATAGTAGCTGGGCAAAGATCACCCGATATGAGTCAATCTCAGCGCACTCCTGCAGAGCACGCTGAGCATCGTACCACAATGATTCTTGCAACGACCGGTCAAAGCTTGATGGCTTGTCGCTGTGGACAGTACCATTCGTGCGCCCATCGATGATGCCTTGCGAAGTCTCGAACTGCTGTGAGCCGCCCGTGGCCTCGCGTACAGCACTGGGGGATTGCGCCCATTGGCTTGAAAATGCCATGATGGTGGCCTTGACGGCGCGGGAGGCCATCTGGTTCTCATGATGCGTCAGGGGGCGCTCTCGAAGAGTCGACGTGGGTCGATCTAGTTGACAAATACGTGCTATCACTCGATTCCCTGATTCCAAAGGATTCTGGCAGCTCAAAGGCTCCGTCAACCCAAGTTGATTTCTGTCAATTCCTTCGTAAGTGTACGGACATGTTCTTTCCGTAAGCCAGCAAGACAAGGCATTCTCCATAGTATCCTGGTAAATCCGGGTTAGGCTGTCCGAGATTAGGGACTTGTTTGTTTTTTCTGCAAGCAAAGCTGCTACATTTGATGAAGAGTTTACGTCGCTTGGAAATCGGACTCGCGGCGAACGTTGACTCTCAGGCGGCGTCTTCCTCTTGCGAGACCAGGCGCCGAAGCTATTATCATTTACGTCGGCGCCCACAGAGAAGATACTGCTGGGCGTGGTGTCGATCTCAGAAGTGGTGTCTCGCTGGCGGATAATGTCAACGACAGCTTCCCATCCCGATGTAGTAGTCGAGCCATTGGAGTCCTCTTGGGTGATAAGCTCGAAGTCTTCTGAGGTCAAAGACGGACATAGTTCGTTAATATCCGGGAAAGCATACGTGTCCTGGGAGCCAGCGCGGAACTGCGTCGTGTCAGAGTGGACGTTGTCGAGAAGCTCGAGACTGGAAGGTGAAAGCGCTTGCAAGCTTGAAGGATAGCCTGAAAGGTCAGAGGCCTCGCGCGAATAAGACTGAACTGCTTCCGATAGATTTTGGGTACCGTCACGACTTCGCGTTGGCGGAGTGGGGGGCAAATTCTTCTTGATCTTTCGATTCGACTTCTCCTTGACTGTACGAAGGACTTTTTCGAATGTGCAGACTTTGCCGGTCCTTAAACAATTTGAGCAGACCTCGTTGCTAGCACGTCCTGTCGCATCGCATGCCCGCTTTCCCCTTTTGCAGGCATCACAGGCCCGATTTTGTTTTCGGCGGGGTTTGGTGTTGGTGCTCAGCATCGTCGTCGATGCGCAAGTGACGGTCGCCATCGTCAAAATAGGGTCAAGGAAGCTTGCTATATCGTCTGATTCATGCGAGACTCGTTGCATTCAATATCCATACGCTGATGTTGAAGAGAATATGAATCGAAATGTTGAGCACCAGACAAGACAAGGTTGACTGACAAACCGATCCCCTCCGACCGACAAACCCCAGATCTCAAGTGCCCCGCACTTCCACCATTCGCTTCCAGGCGACCAAATTTCTGGGTAGCCTCGAATATTGAAAGCCGATACTGATTGGCTGAGGTACCTACAGGCTTCTTTCCAATAGAGGACAAGCCGGAAGCCTGGGGTCCACGAATTAGGAAGCCCTTGGTTGTTGTAGGTGGTGTCGAGCAGACCTGGGAGCCGCCGGCTCCCAGAGTGTCGCGTCTCCCCCTACCTTAAGCATACCTAGGCTCCTAGGTAGTGAGCCCCTAGGGCCCCCTACAAGCCGCCTCGCAAGAGTCAAGATCAGTTGCAATACGAAAAGATGGGGATGCGGGTGCTGTGTTCAAGTTTGACTTCAATTTGATCGTCCGAAGAGAGCGTGCATCTTCGTAAGCCAATAGTCGGCCTTTTCTTGTAGAAATGGTTTTGGAACCAAAGGTCGATGATGGTCTTTTAGGTACTCCGTATCCGTACTCCGGACCTCTCTCTGCCTTTACCGTTTTTTCCTTGGCGGGTTGGTGGACTTGAGCCTCTTGAGAGAAATTGTTTCCACAATGCAATTAATTCCATCACCACAACATCTCCGGGACTAGATGCAAAAGACAAGCAGCAACTCCTGACATGTCACAATGGAGACACTAAAGACACGCGTAGACTATTTGCAGGCATCAGCCCGCATTCTATTTCTTTCCAGCCCATCCACATCTCGCCATCTCTCATTCCAAGGTCTCGAACTTGCTGAGCTGCAGACGCCTCCGGGAGAACATCAGTCGAGCGAGGCATGCTCTGCTTGTGGGAATCTGCTCACACCAGGATGGACGACAAGGACAAAGGCCGTCACGAGGTTACTCAAGCGGCGTCAAGTAACCACACCCGAAAAAGAATCAGCTCGAGGTAAAACCATCTCAAAGCAATGCCAGGTCTGCTATCGAACCTCAAGAGAGACCAAAACTCTCCAGCCTGATACCAGGAAGAGACAGAGCCGGCAAAGTGCAGCTTCTCGGAAACCGGTCGAAGAACCCAGCCAGTACCAGCCAGTCGAAAAGTCGAGCAAAGTCAGCAGCAAGAAGCGAGCCAAAGCAAGAAAGGATCGCGAAGGCTTGCAGGCACTTCTCAACAAGAGCACACAGAACAAGCCTTCACCAAGTCTCAACCTGATGGACTTGATGAAGCGATAATTGCTTTGTCCTTTCGTCTGACTTAGGGACGATCTTCAGGCGGTTCATCCCGGCATGAAAGCTTTTGAGGCGACATTTTAGGTTGCATTAGCGGCCGTGGTGCCGAAGAGGAGGCCCTTGGCAGGTGGTGAACTCTTTCGACTTCTGCGTCATTCTGCGGGCGCGAAATTTTTAATTGTTCACAAAAGCATTGGATCGTTCAAATTCATGGAGCGGACTCAATCCAATGCAAGGCATCTCACTCTCGGTTTTAACACAAGTCAGTAACGCAGCACACTCATCTACCTTTGTCGTCTACCACAATGGCCAGTCCTTCGGATCCTGAGGTTGTCCAAGCCGAACCCAATGAAACTGGTGTCTATGAAATTGAAAGTTTATGCATGAATTGCCGGGATAATGTAGGTCGTTTTGCTGTCAATCAGGCTCGTTACTGACCGTCGCAGGGTGTCACCCGTATACTGCCGATCAAAATTCCCTTCTTCAAGGAAATCCTACTCGAGTCATTCTCGTGCGACCACTGCGGCTGGAAGAATAACACCGTTAAGAGTGCTGGCCAGATCCAAGAGAAGGGTACCAAGTACACCTTCCGATTAGACAAGATGGCCGACTTGCAGAGACAAGTGGTCAGGAGCGATAGCGGCACGTTCAAAGTTGAAGATATTGACCTCGAGATGCCACCTGCACCCGGCCAGTTCACAAACCTCGAAGGCCTGATCTCCAAGATAAAGACGGACTTGGAGTACGGCCAGCCTGCAAGAAAGGAGGCCAATCCTGACCTATACCAAGCGCTGGAATCCATCATTGGGAAGCTTGCGAAAATGCTAGACGGCAGCGGGTTTCCTTTCACCGTGTCATTAGACGATATCTCTGGGAATTCTTTCATCGAGCCTTCACCTGACGATAAGGGCGCGAAGTATATTCGACAAGATTATCTCCGCACAAACTCTCAGAATGCACAGCTTGGTTTGCTTGCGGATGAAGAGGTTCAAGATGTCTCGGCTGGTGGAATGGAGGGTGTCGACATTGTCGACGACCAAGTCTACGAGTTGCACGCTGAGTGCCCAGCTTGCTCCAAGCCATGCACGGTCAACATGAAGAAGACCAATATCCCGCACTTCAAAGAGGTTATCATCATGGCTACTGTGTGTGATCATTGCGGGTACAGAACAAGCGATGTCAAGACTGGCGGAGCAATACCAGAGAAAGGTAAACGCATCACGTTAGAAATCAAGACGATAGAAGACATGTCTCGGGATATACTTAAGTCGGAGTCCTGCGTTCTAAAGAGCTCCGATCTTGGTCTTGAAGTTCAACCTGGAACACTTGGGGGGCGCTTCACCACCGTTGAAGGTCTACTCACCCAGGTGCGAGACCAACTTCATGGACAAATCTTCGATTTTGGAGATGAGGACCTTGCGCCTGGGGATTCCATGGCATCCGAGACGAAAGCAAGATGGGACAACTTCTTCCTCAAGCTGGACCGGGCCATCAAAGCAGATTTCCCCTACTCTATCATACTCGAAGATCCACTGGCCAACTCTTTCGTGCAGAAGAACGTTGACTCTGGTGATGATCCGCAGATAAAGACTGAAGAATACGAGAGGACCGAAGAAGAAATGGAGGACTTGGGTTTGAAGGATATGAAGACCGAAAACTACCAGGATGACAGCGACGACTGAGGCGGACTCGATTTTGAACACCGTTTGAGCGTTTTTCTTCCCCATTGGAAATGGTCTGAGACACCAATCTGCGGCCTTACTACGAGGATAGGGTGCCGGCGGATGTACTCGGGTCTTCTGATGCCGAGACGTCGTGCCCGAGGAGCTCACCCGTCATCGCAGTCGCGCTCCGTCGGTCGGTTGCATCCCAGCAAGCCACTGGGGAAGGAGCTGTTGGGAGCTGTTTGCAGATGGGAGTTGCTGCTCAGCTCAAAATCAGTTAGCCGAACATCGACTTCCCAGGCCGGGGAGCCAGCTTCCAGATCATCCAGGCGACGAGGGAGTGATCTCTGCGGCCTAGCTGCTTGCAGATTGCACAGTTACTATGCACAATACCCTACACAGTAGTATCCGAGCAGACATAGCAAGTCGCAATGCCATATGATGGGAGATGGTGTAGTTATGTCAGTACTTAGGGCCATCATGGGCTGCCACTATTAGTGCCTGACAATCCCATCATCAAGACGTCACAGGCACTCAACAGGCGTACATGACATGTATGTAGTAATTCCCAATTGTAATACATATATCTTACGCAGAACGAGTGTGCAAACCGTCCCGATTCCTCGTTGAGACTTAGAAGCTTGTTGTCTACCCAACATTGACACCCAGGACTTCTATCACCAGAACAGAACCCTCCAAGATGCCCGATGAACATCGCCACGACAAACTCAAACTCCCCAAGTTCGAGCCTTTGCCACCAACAAATCCCATCAACAGGTTGATCAATTTCGTCCTGGCACCAATTTTTTATCTCCTCTTTACTACGATTGTAACAATTCTGATCGTCCCCATCTACGTGATGATTGACAACTTCAAACACGGCCGGGGAAAGCAGGGCGGACAGCGCGTGCCATCGGATTCGAGCAACTACCCTGATCAACCAGACAAGTCGAACAAGGCCTCCCAGTTCTTGCGCACATACGGACGAAGCTATGGCCAAGCCTCGTCTGAAAAAAGGGAATGACCTGTGCTTTGACCCATGTCTGACGGTACTTCTGACGTGCGGCGAGGTCCTGTCCGGGTACAGTGCAGTGGCCCAAATCGGGCAACACGGCTAGGTGTTTTTGTAACAGGGAATCCCCTTCGCCGACATTCCGGAGAGCAGCCCTTCGTCGTGGAGCCGTGTCCTCAGGAACATGGCCTTGTGGCTTGCTCGATAGACGGCGCACCACACGATAAAAGACGACGGTTTCCCACTAGAAAAGAAGCTAAGACACGAGCTGCTTGTCAATGAGTCGAGGCAGATATATTTATTGCAAATCAGTTTCTATCCAATCTCCTGTTGCTCAACTCGTCTTCTTCGTCTAGATGGGCGAAAGGTGGATGGCTAATGTGCAAGTGACAATTGCTAACGCCATGCTTGCAGCAATGCGAACAGCGCCCGCCTCTTCTGGTTGCCCCTTCGTGGCAACCCCGTCAACATTGCATAACGTAGCAATGCTGCCGTTGCTTTGGGAATTGCTCGTGTTATATACCATTTCAATCCACTGCACTGCGATGCGAACCTCGGCCCCGACCCTCATGGTCCCTGAGAACGTGCCACCATTGCTCCAAAGATTCAGAATAACTGCACTCGGTTGATACGGCACACTGTTATTCGACTGGAATGATTGATTCCCATCAATGTACCAGACAGTTCTATCCGAGAACCAGTCGAGTCGATAGTCGGTCCATTCAGTCCAAGTTTTGCCGTTGGGCAAAGTGACGTTCTTACGAGCAGCTAAGGCAGTTGAGGATGCCGGCTGGTTGGTGAGTTGGACGTCTGTATCGGGTCTGCGGGTCAGGATTTCGATGTCGCTCTCTTGAGTGTCCGACTCATATGTGAAGTAGCCCACGACGGCGCCTTGATGGACTTCATTGTTTTCATCTGCAAGCACCTTCAGACGAATTCGTATGCTACAGTGCAACACATCATCCGTGCTTCTCATCTCGGCAATACTCTGGAACTCCTCGAGTCGTGTGGTGCGGAAAGTCAGGTGTGTGTCACCTCCACCTGTCGACTCATCTGGGGAAAGGTATACATTGCGGGCGGAGTATACCATCGGTACCCGAGAGTCTGGGTTCTTGATGCCTTGCTTGATCTGCCACGCATCTCGGAAGGGACTCGAGCTAAAGTATGCCGAAGTGACGTCCTCGTCACCATGATCCTCACCGGCTGTGATCTGGGGGGGTTCTTGGGTTGTGTAATTGCTCAGACTTCGGAAGTCCCAGAAACGATAGTGTTGGAAGGGGCTGGTGCTTTGACCAGACACCAGGTACAGACCACATTCGGTCGAGTCTGCTCTTCTCGAGTGTGAATGAAGATGTCGAGTGGCCTGACTTTCTGTCCAGTACAGAGCCGTAGCGAGTAGCGCGGTCGGCAAAATCCTGTCGAATCCTCGCATGATGTGTTTCCGCTGGGTCGAAGGATTCGATAACTGAAATGATCTTAATTGGTACTATGGTCAGATGGGTATGCGATAGACATCAAGCGACTTCCAAACCAAGCTGGCTGAGAGGCTGAGACTTCCGCTGGGGTGACACAACAACGCGGTCGAGGTGAAGAGGTCACGAGAGGTTCATCAAAACATACCTACAGCTGTCACCATGGTGTCATAATTCCACGCGAAGAGGTGCACGGCCGAAGACCATGGCCAAATTCGGCAACTTCATATATGCAACGCGCTCTATCATTGGCCAATCCGAGTTTCGACTTCTTGGTGGTCTCGAGCGCTGAGTGCCAAAGGGCTTGTGCACACGTCTACAGCAATGCCTCCAACATCCGCTATCGACCTTAAGCGAAATATGAGCACGCACACCAAGTACCTCGGACCCCAACCACATCGAGGCCGCGGCTGGACTCATCTCGTTACTACAGGTGCGTCCTTGGGACATACTTTCGTCTGTTCTCGAACCCCCAGGTTCGCCTGTGCGCGCATCGCACGGGCTAGTACTTGCCGCCAGCACCGTTTCCCGGTGCCGATGAGCCAACATCAGCGAGGACCAAGTGTCATTGAAACATGGCGGCAACACTATGCTGGGGTCATAGGTCGCCTCATGTCCTTCAGAAGCTCCGGCATTGGTTCTCTAGGCCCTTTCTCATCGGAGTTTTGACCATCCCAACACGAGACGCTGCTCCTGTTGCTATGGCCGCTTGGTCCGGTCTCTTATTCATGCCATCAACCATTGGCAGTTCCCATGTTCGGACGTTGATCAACAATATACTGCATCATAATGCACGAGGGCCAATCATGGCCTAACGTGTCCCTCAACCGGATAATGCCGGGCATCGTTAGTTCTATACGCACTATTGATCGATACCCGCCACTGCTGAGGTCGAAGGAGGGCCTTTACAGTCGATCCTGATGTCAAGACCGCTGATCTAACAATACTTACAAGTTGTCTGCTTCCTGGACTCATCCTTCACCAAGGAAGTTTGGTTTTTGAAGGCTAAATTTCATGTGTATACGATGAGCATTGTTGATGGTCTCTGACGACGAAAAGCTGCTGCCTCAGCAGCTTCCCCGTGACGATAATGGTCTCGGATCGTTCAGATTTCCGTGGCAAGCCTCACCACAACCGTCGCAGCAACAATGGCCACTTGAGGATGAGGAGGTGTCCCGGATTCGGCATGCAGCTACAGATCCCTCAAGGCTTTCCTACTCTTCATACGACTTTGGGAGTACGCGATCTTCGACTTCGGATGTAGGCTCGGCAGAACAGGGACGTTTCTACCGCGAATACAACTTGAACTTTGGACGCCGGCGGTCTTCGATTTCAGATATAGCCCCGGCAGAACAGAGGCCTTTCCGCACCTCACATGGCTTTGGGAGTACGCGGTCTTCGACTTCAGATGTAGGCCCGACAGAACAGAGGCTTTTCCAGTCCTCACACGGCTTTGGGAGTACGCGGTCTTCGATTTCCGATGGGGCGCCGGCGGAACAAGGACTTTCCCACCCTGAATACAACTTTGGAACTAGGCGGTCTTCGATTTCAGATGTACCGCCGGCAAGACGGGGCCTCTTCCACCCTGAATTCGACTTTGGACGCCGGCGGTCTTCCCTCCCTGTTATAACTGCCCCTCAAGAAGCAGTGACTACCGAAAATGGACGGGTTTCACCTCGACGGCGACGCTCAAACTCGTTACCCATGATTGCCAGTACGCCACCCAGTCCTACCTTCGCGAGACCTGAAAAGCGGAAGGTCATTTTCACCATGAGTCCATATCGGAGGGATACGCGATTTCATAGGCCTGGCGAACAACTTCTTGCGACCTTCAAGGGCGAGCGTCTCGTGGAGGAGCCCGAGGAAGAGTTCGAGCCCCTTGAGCGTTCCGAAACTCGAGCAAGTGTGCGAAGCTTGGAGAAATGGCACCATTTGAAAAAGAGACGCTCACAGAAGGTGCGAAGTAAACTGGCGCAGCGGATATTTCAGTATTCTGTGTACCTCTTCTTGATCTGTTTTGTCTATTTCGTCCTCATTGGACGTCCAATATGGGGTGGAGGGGTGTACTACATCTGGTATATCGAGCCCTTTCCTTACCCATTTATCTACGACCGACTGATTTTTGTACAGGTATGTGATGAAGTATGTTTACACCATCCAAGCAGGATGCGCTATATTCGTCAGCATAGGTTTCTTGTGAGTTTGACGGACGCGTTGGCATTGACCTTACTGACCCAGCTTTATCAAGCTATGCCGCAGGATCGTTGCTTGTTCATTACGAACCGGACCCAGCCCCGATCCCTCCGGAAGAGTTCCAAGCTCATATCGAAAAAGCCAGCAGTACAGCACTGATCATTCCGTGCTACAAGTCTGCCGGAGCCATCGAAGCGACGATAAAAGCCGCGTTGAAGACTTTTCCGCCCGAAAACATCTACGTGGTGGCTAATGGCAACAGTCCTACACCGTTGGACGAGACGGAGGATGTCATCCGACCTTACAAAGTAAACCATATCTGGGTACCGGTCGGCTCCAAGATTGTGGCCCAGTTCGTGGGCGCGTACGCGGCATATAAATTTCAATACGTCCTGATGATTGACGACGATTGCCTGCTTCCAGCCGCGTTTCCCATCGTCTCAGACCGGATCCAGCCAGGCAACAAACGCGGGGCGATCAAGTGTGTCGGCTACACAATCAAAGCAACGGGGCCGAATGGATCGAAGGGTACGATAGTCCAGCAGTTGCAAGACCTCGAGTACAAGCTATCTGGCATGCAGCGCACATTCGCAGGTAAATGGGGTAGTGCAACATTCGCCCATGGTGCCATTGCGCTCTGGGATCGAGATTTCGTCCTCAAATGTTTTCGGCATCATCCAGGATTCAAGATCTCCGAAGACTGGTTCTTCGGTCTGACGAGTCGCAACCTTGGGGGCAGGATAGTCATGTGCTCATCCGTCCTTGTCGAGACTGAAGTGCCTTCTGGGTTGTTCGTTGGCGCTGGCTCCCGGGGCGGGTTTGGCGAGATGACCGTTTATAAGCAGCGGTTTTTTCGGTGGAATTTCTTCTTCTTATTCCGGCAGTGGCATGATTGGCAACATATCCTATTCAAATGGAAGCTTGGTGTCTACTCGGTCGGGTCAAAAGTTTATACCTTTCAGGAGGTAAGCTGGCACTGCTTCTACACGGTAATAGATTGCTAACGGATTGGGGCCGACAGAGTTATGAAACGATTCTGTACATTACTGGTCCGATATTGCTGTCAGTCGCATTCGCCATCGAGCCTGCATTCATGGGCATGATGACGGGGGTTGTGATGGGCATGTACTTTGTCATTGTCAATATCTTCAACGAGGTCGGTATTGTTGCATTCCTTGCATGACGAAGACGCTGATCTGAAGCAGGTGACCCTACGAAGAAAAGGGGAGATGGTATCTCGAAAAGTTGTCGTGTTTTATTACTTGCCGTACAAGTTCGTGCTGCGACTCATGAACACGGCCTCAGTGTGAGTCGTGCATATGAGGAACAAGCGTCGGGCGTGGGCAATGTGCTGACTTCGCTTGTCCAGGTACTACTCCATGTATAAGTACGCACAGTATTTTGCGACCAGGCATCCTTCAATCATCGAGGACGACCAAGCTGTAGAGTTGGTCGTTTGCTCGAAGAGGAGACCGAGTCAAATGCCTGCTGTGCCTGAAGAGGGCCGACCTTCGTTCTTGAGGAGGTTGAGCAGTTTCGGGAGGAGTAAGAGTGTTGATAGGAAGAAGTCTCACGCATGAAGCCTCGACACCTTGAGAGACTCCTGGCTGCTCAGACTGATCGGTGTCTCTTGTAGATGCCCAGATAGTCAACGAGTGCAATACAAAAGTTCTGATTTTGGTGATGTGAATAACTTCGGCTGATGTCGGATAAGCTCGTATTTCTCGTATTTGGAATGACTGAATGACTTCATCAGAGCAACATTTTTATTGCATAATCACCATCATTCATTCACCTTTCGAATCTGCTGCACCTCGTCGTATCCGCCCGTCTTCATGCCCACCACCACGAGCGTTCGATACTTAAGCCCGCTTGTACTCATGTCGGTGCCATGATGATGTCCCACGCCATCTCAAGCAGACCCTCTTCTCAACCTCTCGCAGCCTGAAATTCTTCCAACACCTCTGATTCCGGGCCCGCCGACGGGATCATGTCCAATGGCACCACCAACAGTGTCTCGAGTACCAAAAGGGCGCATCCCTATTTCCACTTCCTCGCCGGCCTGACCTCCGGCGTATCCAGCGCCGTCCTCCTCCAACCCGCCGATCTCCTCAAGACGCGTGTCCAGCAGTCCCGTTCCTCCTCGCTCCTCGCCGTCCTGAAAACGATCCTCTCTGGCCCGCATCCCGTCACGAGTCTCTGGCGAGGAACCATCCCGTCGGCACTGCGAACAGGCTTCGGGTCAGCATTATACTTCACATCTCTAAGCTCCTTGCGCCAGATCCTCGCAAACACCACCACCACCTCCGGAGATGGCGCGGCAACAACAACACCCTTCACCAAATCCAGCTCCGTCCTGCCCAAGCTGTCAAACACACAGAACCTGATCACCGGCGCCAGCGCCCGTGTCTTCGCAGGCTTCGTCCTCATGCCCTTCACCGTGATCAAAGTCCGGTACGAGTCGGACCTGTACTCGTACAAATCCATAGCGTCGGCTTCGCGCTCGATCTACGCACAGGAAGGTCTGAAGGGCTTCTTCACCGGGTTCGGCGCAACGGCTGTACGCGATGCCCCCTACGCGGGACTCTACGTCGTCTTCTACGAGGCGTGCAAGACGAGGCTGAACAACCTCGCATCCACTGCGGCGACGACGTCGACAGATGGCGGTGGCAGAGGTCAGCATGCGTCGTTCGCATCCTCCGCGACGATCAATGCCTCCAGCGGAGTCATCGCGGCGGGACTGGCGACCAGTTTCACGAATCCTTTCGACGCGGTCAAGACGAGATTGCAGCTTATGCCGGGCAAGTACAGAAATATGGTGAGCGCGACGAGGCTCATGCTGAAAGAGGACGGTGTCAAGGCTTTCTTCGATGGATTGGGCCTGAGGATGGGCAGGAAGGCGCTCAGTTCGGCGCTCGCATGGACGGTCTATGAGGAGCTGATTGGACGTGCGGAGCGTTTTGTTTCCCGCCGGGACATGGAGAGGGCGGTGGTATGAGGCCGAAAGGAGTTATCTCTCTCCCATCCTCTCCGGACTGTCAATGCTGGTCAAGACAGAGAGAGGGGAAGCGACCAGGCTTTGACCAAGGATTGCCAGGAAGTCCTCCCCTATAAGGACTTTTTGTATGACCACGACTGCCCTCATTTGGCCCGTCTTTGTACAGGGCTCCGTCGTCATTCGAGACGAGACGAGACGATACCTGACGAGACGATACCTGACTAGACGATACCTGACTAGACGATACCTGACTAGACGACACGACACGATACCAGACGAGACCAGACAACAGGTGCCATCCCGGTCGGTCACTCTTGCCTTTTATTCCCACGCAAGGCCTTTGTCGGGTGGGGATATTAAGAGTTAGCCAAATGCACTTGAACGAAAGTCGACGAGCCCTCATATCTGCAGGAGGGGGAGATATCGCCCTCTTCACAACCCAGAGAGCCAGTCAAAAGGAAACGCCACGCCGCATCTATACGAGCAAGCCATCATATCAAACCACGCAGCCCAACGAAGAGGAATACCCGCACCTGTCCTCGTCTTCGATTCTCCCATGCCCACAAATCCCTCTTCTTCACAAACGAGCATCAGGGCTCGTTCCTCTCTCGAAGTAAGACGGACGTGTGGCCTGGTCTGGTCCGGTCCGGTCCGGTCCTGGCCATTCCATCCAGCCTCCACCACCACCATCGAGATGGGCTTCCATGTCCAGTTTACGCCACTCCATCTTGAATCTTCAAAATCGGTCTTGTACACTAAATAAAGCAGTCGGTCCGGGCACGGCTATGCGATGCGGGATGGGTTCATCCTGCTGTGATGTATTATCATACATAAGACACTTTGTAGTAGTCTCAGAATGCATCCTCAAACGAAATGAACGTAATGGAATGCAACGTACAGCGTCACATCCATAATACACTGCCTATTTGTCTGCGCCCGTTTTCTTCAACATGCCGTTAGGCAGATTCGCGTCCCGAATAAACCCTGTGCTTCCTTGAGGCTTGACTCTGGGAGAACGACACACACATGGTGGGAGTCGTGCACACACCGGCTTTCTCATCTAGATCGAGAAGTCAACAGGCGGTCTGACAAGGGTCCATCATGGCACGGTTTTGTTGCGTGATGAAGGAAAGTCTTTCTACTCAGTGCGCGAGCATCACTGAATACAGTGATATATTCATATATACGTTATACTGCATATACCCCTTGGAAAGTCGCAAGTACCTACCTGGCATGTAGGCCACAAAAGCAGACGTCGTATCTGCTCAGCTGCTGTGCCTATCCCTGTGTGCCCTATCCAAATGTTCTGTCCCATTGCAAGTCCAGTCCATGTCCATGTCCTGTTCCTCCCTGTTCCAATATTCCGTGGTTAACCTCGCGCTCATTGATGGCTTATGATCTCGTCCTTGCAAAAATGCCAATTTACCAATGCTGCGATTCTTCCCACACGTGCTTGTTAGGGACCGTATGTGATCGGTCACTACTGTGCTGTTGCTAACGCCGAATCCATAAGCCATAATGTTGAATCATAGCATTCCCAACCAAAAGCTTGAACAAAAACTCAAAGGGGTATCAGATGGCCGCCTGCTAAAAATCAACAGAAAAATCCATGTAACAAATCAAAACGAATATCCCAGTAATGACAGTAGACACGATTGAACCACGCAAGCCAACAAAAGAAAAGCAAGTCGTCTCGTCGTCAACAACGCCTCAGGGGCACTCCCTGCCCCTTCACTGATGGACCAACACGGTGCCCCGTTAAGGGCGCCTCATCTAATCTCCAGAAAACCAATTCATAGGTATCTCGATGGCCAAGGTTCGGAAGAACCAATCCGGAACACGGCCATTCGCTTTCAGCAGACCAAGTTGGCTTGATTGGACAGGGTCATCCGATTCGAGGTGTCGACTATACTTTCGCAGCGCTCGCCACCGTCAGATATTCCCCATCCTCGTGGTAGAGAGTCGACCGCTGACCATGGCCGTTCATATAGCCATTCGAACCTCCATTCCTGTAATCCGAGCGCGGGAAGGATTTGCTGACAGGACCGAGGATATCGTGTGGTTCGACACCTCGAAGTTTCAGGCAGGCGTTACCCAACAGGCCGGCAGCCTCATGCGTCAACTCCCATCTTGTGCTTTCAAACGATTCTTTCAGTATCATCAAGAGACCTAGGCAACGATTCTTGCCTTCAACATTTTCGAGATCGTCTGGCGCACGGACCCCACCAACTCGTTCGAGGTACTGGCGCATATCATGTTCTTTTTGTCGGTATGTTATGAAATCTTCTTCGGCTGGGTGAGGCTTGATCGGACCTTCAAGGGCAAAGCCATAACACCAGACAACCAAGGCTGATATGTAGAGAACCCAAGGTCGGTTCAGCAGAAAATCATCTCGAGCAATGTACTGGTTGTGCTCGAAGGCTTGAGGCAGGATTGGACTGGCATGACCGTAGACGCGGCTGTTAATGCCATCGATTGGCTCGTCTGGCGGGATCAAAACTTGGGCAATGAATTTCAGTGCGTAGAATGCTGCATCGCGTGCTGAGGCCTTAGTGGCCCACCGCTCAATCTTTTCGCGAATGACACTGTAGTCCTTGGGAGTGATGGAGCGCCCAAGCAAACGATTAGCTCCTGCAAAGACTTGACAATCGACCACATCAACATGTGCAGCGATATGGGCAAGATGATGCAGAACAGTCCGCGACTCGAATATGTTCTCGTCGTCAACTGGAGGAAGTAGGCCATGGAATGGTGTGGTGGTAGCCCGTAATGGTGACGCAGGAGCAGGCGCGGCCTCAGCTAAAGCTTCATCAAAATCACGCTTCCAATTATCAAAAGCTCTCAACAAGGTCGCTTTCCATTTGTCGGGGCCTCCGAACGAATTGGCCGTGCGTGGTCCAAGGGATGAAATTTGCAAGTCTCGTTGAGTCATATGCCAGGAGACCGACAGCAGTCCTGCCATGATGATGGTGCGACCGAATGAGTTTGTACGAACCCTTTGACCGTTTAGCGTCTTCTTCAGCCCGTCGAGGAACATGATAGGTTTGACACCATTTGTCTGCAACGATGACTGGGCCCGGCCAGCTTCTGCTGCAGAGACTGCTGACCACAGACCTTCGTCGCACGGTAATGGTAGGCGCATTTCGTGAGCGACCATTTTAGCCGCGTGGCCAAACATGGTAGCATGAATGGAGTCGATGACAAATGCACCAAAAGCAGCACGGCGAGTTGCTTCGGTAGTGATCCAGCGGTACCAGGATTCTTCAGACTTGGTCGACTCGTTGCCTAAGAAAGGCACGAACGTCTTCCCGTTGTCTTGGTCTCCACGAAGGCTTGGTGGTGAGTCGGAAGCGGAGCGGCCTAGAAGAGAACTTCCTCGCCTCATCAATGTCAGGGTAGAATCGTGGTGGATATGCGCTCTTTCGTGCAGCGCCCGAGTGGCATACATTTTCTCGTAGACTTCGATTAAGAGCAAGGTTTGGAACACCCACAACTTTGCTGGAGGTCTGAAGTCGGCATCCCGCATAATCTCCCATCGTATATGCCATGCGACAAAGTTGGCAAATTCTGCAGCTGAGTCGGTCAGGGATGTACCATATGCTTTGTCCAGAGTGGCGGCTCCAATTGCAACTACCGCCAGTAGTAACAAGTTGGGCGTCCGATCGGCTGAAAAGGTAGGCTTGTGGAGGATTGGAAGTTGTGCATGTTGATGGTACCAATAAGAACCTATGTAGGTATGCATCATTCTCAAGCTGAGAATATGGCCATCACTGTCGATATCACCCTCAAAGACCGAGTCTTTGCGCTTCTTGACGGCATCGTGCGGACGTTCGACAAATTGAGTTTGCATGATATCAAGAAGTTCCTGCCGTTTTGACTCGGACATGATGTAATGACTCGTTGCAGTGGACTCTAGGATGCTTGTCACACTCATAGGGTGATGTATAGAATTGCCAGGGTAAGTGTTGCTGGAAGACGGGCTCTGAGAGAGATATGGACCTTGCATTTGTGGCTGATCATGGCCACTGAAACCAGGTACATAGTTGGGAGGTGAGAAACCATTGGAGCCAGAGTGAGCATCATTGAAGAGCCACTGTGTAAAGTCGTCCACACCGAAAGGTGTCTGGTTATATTCATCAGCTCCAAAGACGGGGAAGCCGTACGCATTGCCCACGTCAATGTTAGACATGCCTCCATTCATGATCGGGTAAGTATAGGTATCCCCTCGGGTCAGCCCATGAGAAACCGCCGCGGCGAATGCAGCATCAGCGGTACGGGATACGCCGGCCGACTGGTACCCCGCTGTAGAGTATGCAACAGCTGGTGACATCTCAATCTGCTGTACATAGCCGTTCGGCCTTTCCTGGACGGCGTCGGAGTTGGCCCTGACTGGATGGTAATTGGTGACAGAGGAGGAAGAATACTGCCGGACCGGAGACTGCGGAGTTACGGCCACCGACCCTCTGTGGCCTGATTGCATCTGGGTATAAGTGCCTTGACACCTGACGTCCCCAGTGCTGAAACTTTCTCGCCGGGAAGATGAGGCCCATGCTGCGGGCTCTGGCTTCTGCAATGGACTCAAAGGGTTACTTGAGGTGCTGCTTGTACGGTGCAGGGGAGGTTCGGGCCTTGCCATGACCATCTGAGGGCTTGAAGGATGAAATCGAGGGTTCATTGACGCTGTCGAGGGTGAGACCGTGTTGCTGGGCACATGGGTATGCTGTTTGAAGCTGCTGGCGTCGGAAGGGTAGTGAGCAGTAGTCGGTCGTGCTTCCTGCTGCGGGCTTTTCAGTGCAGGTGCTGGCATGGAATAACTAGAGCCCTGAGCATGCTGATGCTGCGGAGAAAGGGCGGTGATGTTGGGGTGAGAAGTGGATTGGGCGAATGTGTCTCTCTTGTGCAATTGTGACCCAGAAGTTGTATGTCGCTCTCGGTGTCGGATACAAAGATCTTGTCGCACGAAATAGCGGGTGCACTCGGGGAAATCGCAACGGTATATAGTCTTGGGAGTATCTTGAGGCGTATCATTAGGAGGGAAAATGCAAGCAAGAACAGGCAATACTCACGATTCAATTGATGTCGGTACAGGTGCTCTGCACGAGAATAGCTTTTACCGCATCCTTCGTGCTTACACTCAAACTTCTTGTCCGGGTTCGGTTTGACAACTCTCCTCTTCTTTTTGGGTGGCTCCATGGAGGGATTCTCGATCTCCTCCTCCGCAATTTGAGCATCGTCGGAGGAGCCATTCTGTATACCCGTGTCCTGTTCTCTTTTATATTCGGCCTCCGCGTCGGCCATACTGACGACAGTCTTTTGCCAAAGGCCCTGCAGCGCTTGCTTGATGGGGCCTGGCAGTTTGGTGTAAGAGATATCATGGGTTACTCAACATCATTGATAGAGACTCGTGGACGTCGCAGGATTCTGTGGTTAGACTTGAGCAGGAGGCCGTGCGTTCTGCTGAGTCTATCGCAAACTCTTGCGATTCAACTCCGGGAAGCCTCGGCTCTGAAACAGGAGTGGTGCTCCAGGCAGGAGTCGCAGCTGGTAAGGTGGACGTGGGCTTCTTCTCGGTGATGTCCCGTGGAGAAGGGCTGATTTGCTGGGTTCTAGTATCAATCGTATGGAGCAGACAAAGCTTCGAAAATTGATTGCTCGACTCCCGCGATGCTGAGGATGACTAGAGGAAAGGGTGGGAGGGATCTCAGCAGCAAAAACAACCGTGGGATGGCGAAATGCCACGAGTCTCCTGAATGCAAGGTACGCAGGCGCGCAGAATGAGACGGTTCAGGTGACTTCGGGCAGCAAGGCTCTGGCGAAATGAGTCGAGGTCTTATTGCTTTTGCTGCTCCGCATGGCCTGTGGCAAGACCCGGACGGTCTGATACTAGGCGTAGCTGCTTTCTTCTGGAGGTAGAATTGGCGAGATGACGAGGGCTTTGGTTTGTTGGTTTCCTTCTGGACGGAAAGCGGCGAAGTGAGGTTCTAGGTTATAGTCTGGCTGAGGGGTCTGTAAGGACGGATGAGGGTCAATCGGGGCTAAATGAATCTGGCAATGAGGGTCCCAGCAAGTCAGAACCGTCGACAGCTCCGTGGGGCATGGATCGGAGCCCAGTGACCAAGTTGTGAAGATGTCAATAACGACTCGATACGAGGTGCGCGGGATGGGCGGTGGGAGAAAAGTACGAAGCAGCGCAGGTCGCTAGGAGAAAAAAGAGGGTTTCTGAGAGGAGTGAGAGCATGATCCAAGGAGGGGTGATCGCGGTTCGTCGCGCAAGCACCATGTTCGTCGGGCTCGGAGCGAGTACCGGCCCTAAGTTGCGGGCGCACCCAGACACCCTCTTGCTTTTAGGTAGCTAAGGCCGCCTAAAATATGAGGGCTACTTGGCTAAGCCTTGATGGCCTGCTGGATGGAATACTTGGCCAGTACATCGGTGTGCCTCCGAGCTACGTAATAGGACAGTGGCCTGCTCCATCAGAGCCTCTAATGCCGGCTAACAATCTCCATCACATCTGTTGAGACAGTAGAAATATCATCTGGTAATTACCTGACTTTTACCCAACTGAAAGAAGACATGGTCATCTGTATCTCACGTCCAAGGAACTCGCACAGAATCCAGTCACAAGCCTCGATCTTTTTAGGGTATCAGCAAGGCGCCCGTGCCGTTTGGCTCCCTCTTCCCGAACCCTCCCGCAAAAAGTTTCCTTTATGACAGGCCTTGGGGACACCATCTTGGGCGTCATTCATGCCTAGTAAGCCTATGTGGTCTGCTTATCCTGTCTTCCCCACGCTTCTCACCTCCCTTGACCCTGGTCTCGAGGCTGTGATTGTCGACGATGAACCAACCAGGCTCTCGATCCAAAGCATCTCCAGACTTCAAGCCCGTATTCGCTCGCCTCACCCAACACATCATATCGCATCGCTTCTGTGGTACCCAACCCCGTCTTTCGTGTCAAGCACACATCGGCAGCTTCCGACTTACAGTACTTCGGGACAGACATCACGCCTGCTTGGATCCGTACAAGCCACGAGGCTTCGCTTAGTCGCGGTGCCAGAATCAATTCATCAACACAATTCGATTGCATCAGCGCAAGTTCTTGCCTCACCTATACCGGCCAGTTGGCGATCCGTGATAGTAATCTTTGTGAACCCAGCCAATGATTACATATCTTGAGTCCATGAATTTTTTGCATTTTGATAAAATCGAGCCCTCCCCTGTCCTGTTCGGTCCAGAAGTCATACACCTCGAATCCCTCTGTCTTGGAGATGCAACCAAGAACTCCTACTGGTCTTCAATATGATTTGTTTGGTGCATATCTTGCACCAGGAAGCTGAACAGATACCAGCCGTGTCAGCTCTCCACCTCCCACTCGAGTTCCAGGTTGAACCCCTGACAAGTATGGATTCAACCCCTGTCGCTACATCACGGTGCAGCCTGAGATTCCCTGGAAACAACGAACGTGCACCAAGCGGACGATTTGAAAGGACCAGGCAGTTGAGAGGCTGAAACCATGAATGATTTCACCAAGGCAGGACGGCTGGCGCATTTGGCTGCCAATGGATAGACTTGCCTTTCATGTCGTCTGTCTTGGGTAGTACGTCGCTTCTCCACGGACCAGCCCCAACACCCATGTTGGGGAAAGAGGCTAGGCTAATGCATTGTCCGGGCGCTATCATGCGCCCTGCCCAGTTGGTCGGAACCTGGTCTTCCCTCCTCTCCTCGAGCGTGACTACAACTGCTGCCTGATACTCAGGGTCAATCCGAGCTGGAAAGGGAGAGACCCTCTCAACAAATTTCTGACTACTTATTACTTTTCCGTGTCCGACGGGCTGCCAAGTTCACGCGAGTCAAACGGCTCGAGCCTCTCGACCGAAAAAGTAGCGTTGTCTGACCACGGACACCCGTATTTCGTAAAGCAGTCTCTGAGCATTAGAGGCGATGTCTTCCTTAAAAGCAATGAGGCTTCTCATGATCTATAACGCCTCTCTTCGTGTGAAAGACTCCGTAGTATTGGGTTGCCTATGAGTCTTCTGCAAATCTTTAGCCGACATTGAGTAGGTAGGGGGTCAGTTGAAGGTGGTGTCTACTTTGGTCAGACAGTGCTGTGTTCCCCGCCTATCGGCTGGGCGTACTCGGGTTCTATTTGGAGTCTTTGCGGACCAAATTTGGGCCGCTATCAAGCATTGACTGATTGGCAAAGCACCGACAACAGCAAGAAGACAGATATACAATTGCGGAACAAGACATATATGTAAGTGAATTCTGAGATATAAACTTAGTGGATGTCGCTGGGAGGACCTCATTGCCTGCATTTCCCAGAAATTACTACAGATAGACTGAACATCGAGCTTCAAGAACAGCCACTTCGACGACCCCTGAATATCTCAAGAATGTCCGACACCCCAATCAGTCCTACCACAGGGAGACCAAAGTCAAAGACCTATGAAGGCCAATGTCACTGCGGTAGGATCAAGTCGGTCGCCCTACCTCTTCCCTCAAAGCCACCGTGCTGAACTCAACTAGGTTCAGCATGAAGCACTCACCTCCCATTGAGGATGGACCAGTAACAAGCTGCAACTGTACGTCTTACCACCCATGTCTTGACAGTGGTTCTACAGAGAGACTCTCCCCTCATCTTGTAGCTGACGCTCTTTCCCTCAAGGCTCCATATGCCATGCGAACGGCTACCTAATGGTCTACCCGCTCGAGACCAACATCACCTGGATCTCGGGTAAAGACGACATGACAAGCTACGTCTTTGGCAAAGAACGAATCGCACATTCCTTCTGCCCGACTTGCGGGACCGTGAGTTCTAGCCTCTCCCAACTTGCGTGCTTTGGGCACAAGTTCTATATTTCCTTTGCGCCTTCACCGGTACAGCCTACTGACGGTTTGCAGAGTATTGGCGGGAAGTCAACGGATCCGAACTTCTTTGCTGATAACCGTGCTGTCAATGTATGTCATGATCACTGCTACTGGCATCACGTTGTCCTTGACCCAGTAGCCACGAAAGGGTGTCAATGCTGATCACCTGATAGGTCCGCACCCTCCAAAACCTTGACGTCGACGTCGACAGTCTCAAACTCAGGAAAGTAGATGGTCGTGCTTCATGAGCACTACAATCTCCGACTCCGGACAAGGAGGATCCCGTACTGATGTCTCTCGCGGGAACACAGAAAAGTCAATGGCCGCATTATCGCTACACCTAACCCTGAGGAGTTCCAGAAGCCGGGCTTTAGGTTGAACGAGGTATGAAAAACAACGAGAGACATATGTAGCTAGCGGGAAGGTTTGCTAGGTCAAAGAAGAACCCGAGGAGGATATGCCAACAGTTGATATATCAAAGGCTGGGTATCGCACAACAATAGCAAGTCGCACTCCTGAGTATTGATATTGTGTATCTGAAGCGGTGCATTCTAGAGGAGTAACTTCACGTCGTGACAGTACAGTGTACAGAAAATGTGTTACGAAACCGAACGATTCTAAGCATGGTGACTTGACTTGTTTAGAATGATCATTTTGTCTGCTACGCGATTCTTCTATACCTAAACATTTTCGTCGTCATTACTCCTTCTGAGTGCGGCACTGTGCCAAACACACCCAACGCCGTGAAAGACTCCAGTCCTGGTGCATGCCATGTCGACTGACGGAAACTTTCTTCTGTCGAAATGATCCCGAAGGCAAGATGGTCATGCCATGCCAAAAACATAAAACAAACGCTTGCTGAATCTTGATACATTGGCTCTTTTCGATCAGCTCCCAGCCGACTCAGCCAGTTTACAAAGAAGTCGGCATCATATACATGACTGTCCCTAATGCCGTCAAACCAACACCAGCCCACCACCAATGATCCGGATTATACGACTCCTTGCTCGGAACCTTCGTCTTGACGGTGTTCTTGTTCAGCGGCCCGAGCCTTTCCTGATCACTATCCCCATCTCCTCCGTCCGTCCTCTTGACACGGCGCTTCCCTGTCGCACTTGGCACACTCGTCGGATTGAGTGTTTGTGTAGGCAGCATCTGCGGCGGCGATGCGGCCAGGTACATGGGCTGGATGGGCGAACCGTCAAATTTATACAGGTTCAGGCGCGGCACGTTGTGGAAAGGGTCTGTCAGGACCTCGTAAGACTTCATCAACTCGGGCTGTTCGTAGCGGATGTAAATTGCGTTGTCGTAGGAGCAGGGGGAGGAGGTGAGTTGGCGGCCGTCGACACCGATGGGAGTCAGGACAAGACTGCCGTTGCCTGGGAGTGAGTAGGTGCCATGCTGCCATTGCATGATGGCCGAGGGACAGTGTGGCGTTGTTGCTGCAGGAATAGCATCGTCAGTATATGCCTTGTGCAGGCCTTCTTTCCTCTGAAGTAATTGTATAGTAGGAGAGTCTAAGGTGTAAGACAAGAGACAGGGGTGGACGTACGGTTTGAAATGGCGCGGTAGTAAGCTTCTTCATAGTATCCATCGCTGGTGAAGGAGTAGGAGATTCCTGCGAGTTCGGGTTCGATCAAGTTATCATTGACAGGGTCGTAGAAGCCCTGCATTTTCAAGTTAGCGGGACTTCGTTCGCGACCGAGATCTGGTGAGCGTACAGGCCCAGTCATGACTTTTTTGGACTTTGTCGTCCATGTTCCCACGAGGGCGGCATCGTACTGCGCCCTGACTAAAGAGGCTGCAAAAGCGAACGAAAGGACCAAAGCAGGCTGTATTGAAAGGATCATCATTGCATGTCTAGTACGTGAGGTGTAAAGGGGAAGAGTAGTGACAGAAAATCGCAGTTTGCGTGTTGTTTCAATCTGACCCTCTCTCACCCTGATATGGAACACACTACGTTGACGCGGAGGCTGAGACGCCATAAATTTGGCGGCGGCGTTTGCACCTGATTCGAGCTCCGCCTAAATCTCGCCGCAACAGTCAATCCTCCTGATTCGTCCCTGAAGATCATTCACACGAAAATAGCACATCGGCTTCTGGTGAGAACTCGTCATTTCGCGCACACGATTGATAAATACTGTTCATGCTACGATAGGTCCTGCGCTGGGATTGTTAACGATGAGTGATTAAGAGCCGGTGCTTGCCAAGCTCAATGACGGCCAGGAACTACGCATGGAAGGTCCGGTCAGTATCAACAATGACGCTTCGCGAGCAGAAAGCTTCGTTGCGAAAGCGTATTGGTGATGAGCTTAAGAAGCTCAATCCTGATGAGATTGAAAGACAATGTAGGGGTCTCCCACGAAACGCATAGTAGTTGGCTGATGGTGGAAGCGACCATCATTACGGAACATGTCCTGCAAATGCCAGCTTATAAGAATGCAAAGTCAATAGCAATATTCTTGTCAATGCCAGGAAGAGAAGTCTCGACGCGAGAGATTGTTCTGCATTCCTTGGAGAACGGTAAAGCCGTCTTCGTCCCCTATCTGCGCCCAGGAGAGGCTCCAAAGTCCAGAGTCATGGACATGCTGCAATTGAGGGACACGGGAGATTTTCAATCACTGAAACCAGACAACTGGGGTATACCTTCACTTTCGACGGAATCGGTTGATGAAAGAAAGAATGCTATGGGAGGGAGGGGAGTTTCGAACAGACGTGATGAGAAAGCAGTTCCAAATCTTGACCTCATTTTCATGCCCGCCGTGGCATTCGACCGGTCTCATCGACGACTCGGCCACGGCAAGGGCTTCTATGACCGCTATCTCCAGACTTACAAGGACGCGCTTGATCCAAACCAAGCTGGACAAAAGATGCCATACCTGGGTAATCAAATCGCTCCGCTCTCCTTCAACTTGGCTGACCCTGCTCATAGTTGGACTTGCCCTTTCTCAACAGATGCTGCCGCCTGAAGAAGACATTCCTGTCGACGAGAGTGATTGGATAGTTGATGAGGTTGTCACTGCCGAGACCTGAATGCGGTACGGCTGCTATGCCCCCAACACAGCATCCTCCGTGCTTTCTCAGGCCATATCTGGGACTGGCCACATTCTTGCTGTGTTTTTTTGCCAGTATATATGCTCTTTCTGCTCAGTCCAGTGACTGTATCAGCGAAACATTGTCTCCTTTCAGTAGAATTTGTCCTGGAACAGGATTAACGTAAGGTTCTTCTTGAGAGCTCGGATCTAATTCTTACCAAGCTGCCTTCTCTTTTCCGGAGCGTCTCTCGTAGCCAATTGGACCTCAATCGCATCGTCGACGACAAGGTTCATAAATTCGTCGAACCCCTGGTCATCGTTAGCAAAAGTCTGAAAACTCGGAAGCAGCTACCGACCCTGATTTTTCCCTCAATGCGCGTGCGCAAGTTCTCGTAGAGCCATATTGATACGGTCGAACGCTTTTGCAGTAGACTGAATATGAAATGGATTGGTGCTAGAAGGGTTTTGCGCCCACCACCGCCGCCGCCACGGCCTGTCATTGTGATTGTGGATTGAGGAGACTGCAAAGGTGCCTAGGGGCGTGTCCGAAGTTTGTACTGCAAAATGACGACTGCACTTGTATCAGGAGAACGAAGGACGAGGGAAGAATATAAACAAAATCAGTTTGTCGCGAGAGCGGCCGATAAAATGCGGAGGACGGCTGCATGCAGCAGGGAGTGGGCAAAGTTTTGACGCTACTGCAAAGAATCCTTTCCGCTCTCAACTGAGGTCATCCATCACCAAACAATTCACCTTCATTCTTCACTACCAACAGCCGCATCTCTTTTGTTCCCCGCAACCTCATCTGATTTCTGTCCTTGGTCAAGCCAGTGACTTAAGCCATCTCACCAACGCATGAGAAATCCTACGATACCGCCTCGATAACTAGGCTGAAGCCGGTCGACATACCCCTCGCATCCCACTGACTCACTATGGCGGCAAAGTCGGGCGCTGCTGGTGGCTTTGCGCCGGTTCTCACGGCATTACGAACGATGCAGAGTAATGTCGCAGGTAAAGAGAAGTCAGATGCGCACGAGTACCTCGAGAAGTTCCAGAAATCGGTGGGTGCTGTGAAACGGTTACATCGAAGATATACTCATTGTATTGCAGTCTGAAGCATGGAATACTACACATGCGATGCTACAAGACTTCTCGATACCAGTCGAGGCTAGGTTGTTCGCAGCAACGACTTTGAAGGGAAAGGTGAGAGGTCCATCACCTGCGCGAGGTCTGCGTCCTGACAGTTCAAGATTATCTACGACCTTCATCAGCTTCCCTCAGAAGCCCTGACGCCACTCAGAGACTCCCTCCTATCTCTCCTTCAACTCTATCTGGGCGGACCGAGACCGATCCGGACGCAATTATGCATATGTCTTGCAAGTTTGGCAATTCAGTTGACAGCCTGGAAGGACGTTTTGAATACGGTGGGCACGGCGGTTGGCAATAGTAGTGATGGCGGAGATTGTCTACTCGACTTCCTGCGAATCCTGCCTGAAGAGGTCACAGAAGGCCGCAAAATCAACCTTTCAGTATGTTCGACCAAGCAACATTTGATGTTCGGCTTCAGAGCAACACCACCCTGGCCACCGATCACAGTCTAATCCAACATTTCAATCTAGGAAGAGGAACTTGCCGAAAGAACAAAGGAACTCCTCGAGGACAACTCCACCCAGGTCTTGAATCTCTTGGTTTCCTATGCACAGTCGTCTAGTAAGTGATCGCTAACCTCCTGCGGTCAAAGGACTTCTAACGCTTCGTACAGCCCAAGCAGCCCATAACCCACGGCTTTACTCTTGCATCGCCTCCTGGCTACGAGAAATTCCGACTATCGATGTGGTAAACTCTCCTTTATTGAACGAGATCATTGACGCCATCAACGACAATGATTCATTTGACGCAGCGGTGGATTGCCTTTGCACCATGTTCAGAGATACCCGGGATGTCGATGAATCTTTAAGTGTCATTAAGATCCTATACCCCCGAGTCATTGCGCTACGGCCCATGATTGCGCAAAGTGCCGCTCTCGAAGACAATGATCTCATGAAGGGCATTACGAGGCTGTTTTCCGAGGCTGGAGAGGCATGGGTGGTTCTCATCGCACGTATGCCAGCAGACTTCCGCGACCTTGTCGAATGTGTGCTGGAATGTTGCATGCGCGATAAAGACCGGGAGGCGATCTCGGTCACATTTGTGTTCTGGTACGAACTTAAACAGTGTCTGACTCTTGAGAAGTACATATCAGCTAGAGCTTCTCTAGCAGACTTGTACTTGAGGCTGGTTGACGTTATGGTCAAGCACCTTGAATTCCCAACCCCGGAAGATGGCAACGAGAAGGACCTGTTTGACGGTGACCGAGAACAAGAAGACAAATTCCGCAGCTTCAGACACAACATGGGCGACGTCTTGAAAGACTGCTGTGAAGTCATTGGCGTCACACAATGCCTTACGAAGGCGTATGCTCTGATACAAGCTTGGGGACAAAACTATGCTTCCCAGGTATCGGGGACACATGTTCCACATTGGCAGGAACTGGAAGCACCTCTTTTCAGCCTGCGAGCCATGGGGCGCATGGTCGATCCTGAGGAGAGCTCGGTGCTTCCCAATGTCATTCCCCTTCTTACCACAGTGCCGGATCATGAAAAGCTGAAATTTCAAGCAATCATGGCTCTGGCTCGCTACACTGAATGGACATCTCAACATCCAGAGACGCTCGAAGCACAACTCAACTACGTCATTTCCGGCTTTAGCCACAACTCACAGGAAGTCGTCCAGGCTGCAGCTCTAGCTTTCAGATTCCTGGGGACTGATTGTCAGAGACTCCTTGGTGACCATATCCCGCAGCTACATCAATTCTACGAGAGCGTTATTGACAAGCTCAAACCTTCGAGTCAAGAAGAGGTCACTGAAGGAGTTGCAGCAGTTGTCGCTGTTCAGCCGGTCAGCAAGATCTACGAAACGCTGAAAATGTTCTGTGACCCAGTCATGAGCCGAGTGGTATCACTTGCTCAACAGGCCAAGGATGAAAATGCCGAAAAGACGGTTGCTGACTATCTAGGACTCCTCACGATTTTCTTCGACTATGTACAGCCTTATATCTCACCACACGAGCCGAATCCAGCTGTCAAATACTGCCAAGAAATCCTGCCAGCTCTCTCGGGCATAGCGAAGCATTTTACTCGATCAGTGCCGATATTAGAACGAGTTTGCAAATGTTGGCGGGTGATGGTCATCTCTTACCGAACTGCGACTGCTCCTCTTCTTGGGACGCTGGCCAGCAGCATTGCAGAGGGTTTCGAGGCATCAAGACAAGGCTGCTTCCTATGGGCAACTGATGCTGTTATCCGAGAATTCTCTTACGGTGCCGAGTTCGTGGACGAAGCGACTAGCGATAATGTCTTCCGGTTCTTTGCTCAACAAGCCACGGTCTTCTTCAAGATCCTAACAGAACTACAACCCGTCGAACTTCCAGACGTGATTGAGGATTTCTTCCGTCTCGCCTCCGACGCGGTTAGGTTCTATCCCAACAAAACAATAACATCCAACCTGGCGCTTCCTATGGTCCAAGCATCTTTGACGGCCTTGACATTACAGTCATTAGAGACTATTCAAGCTGCATTGCACTTCTTGAGGGACTTCCTCGACTTTGGGTTTGACAAGCCGCCGATTTCGAACTTCAACGGCCCTGATGGTGAACCTACGCCTGGAACCACACCTGAAGTGCAAGCTGCCGTGAAGCACGTCCTCAATACTACTGGACAACAACTCGTCCATCGTGTTCTGACGGGAATGATGTTCAGTTTCCCCGAAGATTGCTTTCCGGATGCTTCAGGAGTGCTGCTGTCCTTGTTCAACCTGGCACCAGAGGCAGCCGCCCAATGGGTGCAAGGGACTCTGCAATTACTACCGGCAGGCACATTGAAACCTGCCGAAGCTAATAAACTCATGAAGGGCATCAGCGACAAGCTGCAGCAGAATGAACCGCGAAAGGTTCGAGTTCTATTGCAAGACTTTACCAATTCATACCGGAGGAGGAATGTGGCGCCCCGAGAAGGGCTCGGACGATTAGAAGCGACCAGATTCAGATTTGGCGGCTGATCATGCAGTAGGGAAGGTTGATGGAACTCGTATGCTGTTCGGTGCGTGGTTCTTCTTCCATCTTCGTTGGCAAGCTGTCGCTCTCCGAGCTTTGGCGCTATCGAGTATACTCACATTCTAAAATTACATGAGGATGGACAAATTTGGCGGCCTCACTGCGGCAGTTACAATTGCCATCATGGCATTCCGAACTCAACAATCAGATAGGGTCACAATGACGAGACAAGAACGACAATCTCATGAGTTACGCATCCCAGGGTTTTGGAGATACATCAGTATCCCTGCCGGCACATACTTAGACAACCCCCCAAATCGGCGATAGAGCTAGAGCTTGAACCTCGACGAAGCGCCTCCCAGGTTCTATGCCTCGCAAGGTCGGTTCCAGCTGATAGACATCACGCGGGCGAGATGCGAGCTTGACAGGAGGTCTGGCCTGGCAGAGCTTTTGACGTCAAACAATGTTTGACCTGTGACGGGAAGCCACCATGCAGTATCCCAAGGGACATCGCGGCGGGGACGAGCTGTATATGACGACGATGATGATGACCACGCTGTACGAGATGGTGTAGAAAAAGTTCTGGAATTTGTTGTTTGAGATCCCGCCTTGAGATCTCGCCCATTCGCCTGCATGTGCATAGGGGGTCGAGCGATCCTTTACATGCCTCGTATCTATGTTAAGGTGATACCAGATGAGATCTCTGATCCTGGTTATGATGCCAAAATCTTCCACAGAGACATGCGTATCGATTTTCCAATAGAAGTTCCACAACGCCCAAACATTCATTTCATGAAACCACGGAATATAGCTAGCATGTGTGAAGCATCTTGCGATGTAGCAAATCGCCAACATGATCGTTCCACGCCGTATTCTCGCGTGCCAATAGTCCGATGGCTAGATCTCACTTGCCGCGATATATCAGCCGTAGACCACGCCCCATATCCAACATGCTTCGCGGTCCTCACTAGTGCGGACGCAAGACCGGAACTCACTCTCTTTTCCGACAGACGCCTAAGACAACACTAATATCATCCAACTTCCCGCCCTCGGCAGCGAGACCTTCATCGAGAGCGCGCTCCATGTACGGACTCTCGGCGTACGGATCCTGCGCGACCTCCCTCGCGGCATTCATCAGAGTGCGTGCAACGTAGACGACCCCGTCGCGCGCCTCGTCCTGACCTTCGGCCCACTTGCCCATGCACGCGCAAATGGTCTCGGCGATCTCGTGTTCCCATAGATTGTCGGTTACGCCGTCAGACAGGACGGCCACGATGTCGCCCGGTGCGACCTCGACGGTGTCGGTGACGGCGTTTTTGAGAGGCGTGTCGAGGGAATTGGTCCCGAGTTGGCGTGGGCAGTCGAACCAGTGCCATTGCTCGACAGAGCGGTACAGGACGGCCTTGGAGAACGGCATGGTGGGCCGCAGGATGAGGACCTTGCAGTCGCCCAGGGTTGTGGCGAGGATGACTGGTTTGGGGACTGTGGAGGTGGTGTGGTGCAAAAGAGCGGAGGAGGCGGTCGTCGTGCCGAGGATGTCGTTCTCGCCAGGTTTGTCTTGCTCTTCGGCCTCCTGCGTGGACGGAGAAGAGGTGGATTCTCCGGACGTGGATTTGGACTTGGTTATGTCCTCACCATCTAGTTGCTCGATGTCCTGATCCTTCAGCGTACCCCTCGTGGCTTCCTTGGTGTGTTCGTAGGCATCTTCCAGGTATTGTCTTGGGTTCAGATCCTCCAGGGCGACTTCTTTTCCGCTCTGAAATGACTTTTCGACCTCGAGAGCCCAGAAATGCGCAATCAGGCGGGACCAGAGGGCGGCGTGGCCTCGTTCTTTTTGAGCCCACGCCCCTACGCCATCGTCGACCGCGATGAAGTTAGAATCGCTTATGATGATGGCGTCGTCGCCGTTAGTTATGCCGCGGACGGGCTGGCCGTTAACGTAGGGGCGACGGCCGCGGGGGGCGTTGTGGGTGGTCAAGGGTTCGGAGAAGGAGCCTGAAGGGAGAGAGATGAATGGTGGAGGGAATGGGCGGGATGGGCGTTTTGCGAAGATAGAGTAACCGGTTTCAAGATAGAAAGGCAGCGAGGGCGCAGGGTGGGAAGACTGCTCGGCTTCGACGTCTGGAGGGTTTGTGGTCCGGCCTTCGGATATGAGAAAGCGGCGGCGATGGATGGTAGAGGTGGCAAAGGTGCAAAGGTTTAGATGTCGACTAAGATGAGGTTGAAGTGCGGCAGGGTGTTCGGCAGCACATGGTCGTGATATCAGTGGTAGACATCCTACGAAACGCAGGATGCGAGGTGATGGTGATGTTATAGCATGCCGGGATGATCTGGCCACCGGAGTGAGCATGGAATGGCTGAAGGCCAGAACGCTCTCATAATGAGATGCGCCTTGCCTGTGCCTGGAGGATTAGGAGAGGAAAGATGTTACGAGTAGAGGTTGATTATCAAAAAGCGGAGAAGAGATATAGTTTACGAATACGGAGAAGTGCACCAAATGTAGTTGCCGCGCTAAATTTTAGTGCGGGCGGGGAATGCGGCTTGGCAGCTCTCAGAGTTGCGGTGTAAGGATTGCCTACCAATTTGTATGGCACTTTTCAGCACTCGCCTCGAGATTTTTGTACTTTGCATACAAAGCCCATAATAATCACATCTCTAGTATCTGTAATTGGCTTTGTTTTGTGCCCATTTCCCTCTAGAATAGCCCCTCGTTTACCTGATTTTGTCGATCCTGGAGGGTGCGCTGAGCGCGGAGACGGTGGTAGGCAAGAGGTACATCAATGGATGCTTGTCCTACCGACGATGATCTAGCAGACGGTTAGTTTTTGCCCTCATGCCTTCTTCTATCTCTCATCTTGCGGCAGAAGCAGCCAAAATCAGAGAAACCGAGCGGCCGCGGCGCAAGAATTCGCCTACCGTTAGACCTATAACCGAGTCGGCCTCGCAGAGAGACACTGGCACTAGGTATTCTATTGCTCAACGGTCCCAGGCTCTTACCCTGCATTCCATCGGTTGGAAAACTGCGCAAATTGCAGCCTATACCAAGATCCCTGAGCGATCTATCCGAGCGATTGCGGAGAAGGCAAGGAAGAGAGGATTTACGCCGCAAGAGGATCCTCGAGTCCTCGACCATTTCGTTGAGGATGGATATAAACCAGGGCGTCCAAGAGAAGTGTTAGAAGTCAAGGAAGAGGAAGTTCTGAGTTCATTGAGAACAAATAGATCCACAAGAGAGAAATCCGCAGAAGTTCTAGCCTATGAGTATAGTGTTAGCATATCAACAGCCCTTCGCATTCTTCATAAACATGGCCTAAACAGCGTAAAACTAACGACAAAACCAGGCCTTAATCTAGAGCAACGTGCGGCGCGGCTTGCGTTTTGTCTTGCGCATCAAGATTGGACCCTCGAGGATTGGAAGAAGGTAATTTGGAGCGATGAAACGAGCGTTATCCTAGGGCATCGACGAGGTTCTATCCGGGTATGGCGGACACCTGAAGAGCCATTTGAGAAGTCTATTATCCGTCGTCGCTGGAAAGGTTACTCAGAATTCATGTTTTGGGGTTGTTTTACTTACGACAAGATTGGTCCCTGTCATATCTATCGAGCAGAGACTGCCGCAGAGAAAGAGGCGTCTCAGAAAGAGATTAATGAGTTAAATGAGGCTCTCGAGTCAGAAAAACGTAAGGAGTGGGAATTATCAAATGGCGTAAGACGGCTAGGCCTCAGAAATCTCCCAGGACGCAAGCCAAAATGGCGCTTTACTAAAGAGACAGGTAAACTGGTAAGACGAGGTAAGGGAGGAATTGACTGGTGGCGCTATTACAAGGTCTGAAATCTATCCTCTCAAGATCTCTCTATCTAACAGGAATTAGGAGGTTGTTCTCCCAAAGCTGATTCCATTTGCTCGCGAGTGCGGCCCCGATGCTATCATCCAAGAGGACAATGCCTCACCACATGCCTATCACTTCATCGGACGAACTTACTCTATACAAGGCCTCAATAGGATGCTCTGGCCAGGCAACTCCCCTGATCTCTCTGCTATCGAAAAAGGCTGGCCATGGATGAAAAGAGTTACTACCTTTAAGGGAGCTCCGCGGACAAGAACTGACTTGGAAACCTCATGGATGAGCAAGTGGGGAACAATCCCACAGGACTCAATTCGAGGCTGGATTGAGGGCATCATGGAGAATATCAAAAAGGTCATTGCGTTAGAGGGCGGCAACGAGTACCCTGAGGGCCGCGAGAGCAAGAGATCATATAAAGGGCGCAGGCGCATTGGAGAGCTGTTTAAACACTCCTGGATCCAAGACGATCAGGATAGCGACAGCGAGGACAGCGAGAACAGCGATGACTATGAAGATATAGAGACAGAAGAGGAGGACGAGTTTGATGCGGACACTACCAACTGATTGAACAGCCGACCTTGCTTTCTATGGGAGTGCCATAGTAAAAGAGGCGGAGGGTTTGGACACAAGGACAGGCATGGACAGGTAGAAAAGGCATGGACAGACGGAATGCCTCCCAAATCAATAGGAATGCCTCAAAAATCAACACCATGGATCTCTATACCAACCCAGCCTTGCGCGCAAATAGCAAGGCTGCGGCGGCGGCATGTTGCTGCAACATGATGCCGTTGTGTTCATTCCATATCAACTGCTCACCTAATTTTGGTGAGGAGTCGATGACATCCGAATACCCTTGCAATGCCGAGAAGCTAAATTTTAGCGCGGCAACTACATTTGGTGCACGTCTCCGTAGACAGGCACGACATGCCATCCAGACCAAATACTAATGACGCCCTGTCACGCCTGTGTCTTTGTCTCCTGTATCCACACCGGCTTCGGCTTCGGCGACGACATGCCGACCTGCCGACCTTCTCCGGCCTTCACAGAGACTCTCCTTCAACCTACTTCTACCGCAAAGAGAGCTGGGATCATGCAAGCCTGAATACGACCACATCGAGACCAAAAGTAGAATGCTGCAGGACAAGATCTGGTTCGCATAGTCTCAGGGATCGCAAGACATTGCAAAAACGCGATGAGCACAGCACGCGCATACTCGGGACTAACTATTTCCCTATCTTCCTCCTCCTCCAACTGACGTGACCTTGAGGATCTCGCTCTAGCTCCTTCCAAACATTCACATCTGAATGTGAAGGTCCATACTTCATTGCAGCCGCCTCACCCGCTAACTTGGCATATTTCTTCGCTCCTCGGACGCTCCCCACCGCATTGTACGTGAGCGCAGCATACCCGTACGCAGTGTCCAGAAAGCCATCCAGCCCTTCCTGCTTGTACAGCCTGATCAACTCCTCCGCCTTCTTGACGCTGGCGGTCGACTCGGGCTTCCAGTTCCCGAGACTTGACTGGAGCCCATCAATCTCATGGAGTGCATGGTCCGATGCCTCGCCATTCTTGCACCGCGAACAAGTACACGTAAAATGGAAGTAGTCGAGTAAATACTTCTGCCGGGCCTCGTGAAAGCGTAGAGGCGGCGCATACGAGATCGTGATCTCCTCGTCCGTGGAGATATCCCTCGACGCGTGGACGAAGTGCGTCAGCAGGCCGGGTTCGAGATAGTATTGAGCACTGAAACCGTTAGTTAGATCGTGGTTCATGCGAGAAGGGAAGGCGACCGGTATACGTACTTGGGGGAGCAAGCATGATTCATTCTGCTCGTCTCTGGAAATACAGCGACATGCATCTTCCCACCGACCTGCATCTCAAACCCATTCGCCTTGACCACGTCCTGGACTTCGTATCCAGCCTCGCCCCAGATCGTCGCGAGGCTGAAGTAGTGCTCCTGACTCGCGGCAGGGAGTTGGTCAACTGCAATAGACAGGAACTTCTCCCGCTCGTTTATTGATAGCTCGCTCTCCATATGCACGAGCAGATAGGGCGTGAAGGCGGTTATCCGGTCACCGCGGTGCAGGTCGCGCTTGGCGAGTACACCTTTGCCCTTGCCAGGGATGTCTTGGACGTACCATGGCCCTTCCCCTTCGGAGGGATTAATCCCGTGGTCAGAGAGGGCTGACGGCTCATGGAAGGGCAGCGAAGCTGCGAAGTCCTTGGAGATCTCAGGTGTGGTGAATATGGAAATCCCGCGTCCATTGCTAAATGTTGCGTTCGTATACACGCATAATGGGCCCTTGAGAGCTTCGAAGTGCTGCGTGCACACAGGCTCGAAAGACCACGGGTGGAACGACTCGGGGCTTGATGGGATCGTGTCCTCCTGTGAGAGGCCGAATGGAAGAAGTGAAAGGAGCGATATCAGAGAGACCACCTCATTTCTCATGTTGATGGTTACTAGCAAATGAAGCTAGAAATCAGAGACGGACGCATAGATCCGCATAAGTCTGGGAAAGAGAAGGGGTCACAATGTGAGTGAGGTGGTGGAGGTCGGTGAAGCCTTGGGCGTTGGTAGAGACTTGAAACAAGATCCGGGGAATGGTGTTTCAGAACGCGTCCCCCTATCTTTCTCAGCGTCAAGCGCGTAACAGCGTGAGACTTTATCAGCTTCGACGGCATGATTTTGATGCAAGAGGAAGGCATGAAGCTGTGCCAGAATGCTGTATAGGTTATGTACTGCAAGTGATAGGTACCTGATGGCAGGGGCTTTCACGGCGAGGCTGAAGACAATGGTTTGGTCTGACAGAGTAATCTCGCATGCTTTCGCGGGTTTCGCACGCCGTTTCGAACTTATTATTTTGTCAGACGTACCAATTCTGCCCAAGTGGAAATGACACTTTTTTAGTTTACAGGTGGTATCTGTAGCCATGTCCCTATGGTCTGCATGCTGACAGGATGACTTCCGGTATAGCGAGCAAACGAGTAGATCAGCCCGTCAACAGTAGTGCTAGCATGCTGAGACCTCAGCTTTCCCGAGGCCATGGGCGATTCTGCAAAGCTCAGAAACTCCTCATTCGGAGGCTCCTTCACTTGGCTTACCATGCCATGGACGACTCGGCTTCGATACTGGTCGGCAGATCTGTTGCGGATACAAAAATGCCCCAGACTGACATCAATTCGTCAGCCCCTGTTGCTAACCATGCCATTGCCATCGCCATCCTGACTCAACTCCACCAAAAGATCTTGATCGCGAATATCCTAGTTGATGAAGTTCACACAGAAGCCGTGCAGGATCAAGCTGCCAAATACAAAGTCCGCAAACGCTCTTTCGGTGCTGACTTTCCCTTCTTCCACCAGTTCCCCACTGACTGCGTCGACTGTTTTTGATGTGGTCTTCTTTGTTGCTGTGGATGCGCCAGTTGGAGGTCGTTCGGACGTCTGCATTCGTAGGGAAGCTGTGAGAACGAACTGGCCGACTGCGGCGCAGAAACCGGAGAGAAAGGCATTGAAGGGCTAGCAACACTGTTAGATAGTTACCTTCCAAGAGGAGTACAATACGGACATAATTGCCAGCCAAGACACAATAGATAAACTGAATACCTCCAACAACCACAAGCCAGGCCATGAAAACATCTAGCAGCATTGTCCGCGAGGGGGTATCTTGAAGGTATCTGTTCCAGACATGGACAATGATTTCCTGCGGCGAGGATCTTGCTGACAAGGAGCTCGAGGTCAAAGGCTTGGCTGGAGTAGTCGAAGGAGTAGAAATGGCGCCAGATGCTGTACGGGCTGCTGGAGGTGGTTTGGCTGCGGCGACGGGCGTGGTCGTCTTTGAGGATGCTGAGTGAGAAGCAGGTTTCTTCGCCATGTTGACGGAGTTGGAGCGGAATATGGGAGATGAGAGGACAGTGGTCGATGGTAGCTTTCCGTGCTTATTGTTATGCTACTCAGCCAGGTCCGTTGCTCCCATGGATATCATGCAGCGAGTCTAAAGTCATTGGCGATGAAGCAACGTGTTGCCAAGAGGAGGTACAGTAAGTAAATCGACACCCTGGATCGCCAGCTCATCCCCTTTGAGAATAGGGTGATGCCGCCCTGTGCTCACCCCTGGCTCGCGTGAGTCTGGGGTGAGATCTCGGCTTGCACCGCCTATCATTCAACACTCAAAAGAGTACAGCAAACAGATTTTCCATGGTCACATTCAATCGGTGCCATGCGTCGTTCTTTGGTTGCGTTGATTATTTTCATTCAATTCTCAGGTACACAAAAAGGCCCAAAAACATGTACAGACTGACTTCTCTGCTATATCGATCGAGGACCTCACTCGAGGGGCGATCAGGTCATACGGGAATGCGTCCCTCAGAAGTGTCAACGACGCTCTTGACGCCTGGCGTGCGGTCCTTGATCGTCGGCGCTTTCGCGATTGGGGGACCGAAGATAGGACCTTTGCGAGTGATCCCATATTAATTCTTGTGGCTTGCGAAACTGCTCATCGTTCTGCACTATCATGGAGCCCGAAACTTGACCACCTCTGAATTCAGCATATTGCCATCTTGCGGTGCGGAAGAGGAGACGAAAATCCTCTTTCAAAAGAGAGTCATAAAATGCTTATCCGTCTTGCGCAAGCAACGACAACAGACCCTTGGACGTTTTGAGGAAGAATATGTCCCTCTTATGATGAAATCTGCATGAGCCGACCGTTGCGGAAAACATGTGTGGACAGCGGCGCTCAATGGATCACAGGCACTCATGCGCATAGATCAAATGTCTCACTCTCACTTTGTGACGGCGTCTTCCATGGAAATCCTGACAAGGGCTTGGATCCTCATGAAGATATCTCAGACTTGGCTACGTCCTTTGACTATTAAAATTACGCCAGGACAATCTCACAGGATGTAGAAGTCATGACGGTCTTGTTGCGGCGACCTAGCTCCTTCCGAGTACGAATTCGAAGAAACTTGTTGTAGTTTCAATGCCTGATATTCCAGGCAAGACGCGCCTCTTCCCCCAGGAAGAGACATCTACGAGGACGTGACTTGGAAGTGAAGTAATTCAGGCAGCTTTCAATGTTAAAGTGATCATTCACTAGCAGTTCTTCGTTTGACACGTTCGGCTGCGAGACCAACCTCATTTCTCCTCGCACTCACCTGCTTCTATCTCCTCTTTTACCTTGTCGCCGACTATTCGATCCCTTGTCGACAGCGTAGCATCCTTGCTACAAGAAGACGGGACGATAAGAGCCTGGAGAGATGGCACATCCTCTCTGGATGCTATGAGATCCACCTCAGTCTTCGGTTGTCCACAACTCACTCGTTACTCACTGACTCTTTCACAGTAGATTTCCGTACTCTCCTCTTCACTCGCGCCCATACAGGTCGCTTCCTTCATCAGTCTTCCCTCTACCACCGCACGCTTCTTCCTTCGTCCTGCCTGCCTCGATCAACTACTCGGCCCTTCCCATCTTCCTTTCGTCCAAACTTCTTTGCATACATCCAAGATGGCGACGACGGCCGTCATTAAGCTTGAGGAGACATGCATTATGTGCCCGCGGCGAGGTAGCAAAACCTGTCAGGTGTGCAAAAATGCACGTTACTGCTCGACTGGTAAGCCTCTCACAAAAGCTAGCTTGCGCTTCCTGACCATTGCGCAGACTGCCAGAAGCTCGACTGGAAGAATCACAAGGTCCTGTGTTCTTCGTTCAACAACCCAAAACCAAAGACTGACAGACCCAATGCCTTCTTTCGGCGTGGACTCTTCTTCCCTGGCGGCTCGGAATCGGCTCAATTCGTCTGGGTAGAATGCTGGACCGAGACCGAAGGCACCTGGGCAGTCTTTGACAACTTCGATATAAAGGTGTACTACGGCCCGAGACCCGCAGGGCGTACTTACTTCTCGGAGCCTAATCCTGTCCAAGCCCGGGATATGACACGCGACAACTTCGAGTTCGGATTGCACTTCTGGTGCCTCGATCTCAGCGTCGATGAACCACCGAATCTGGGACTGAGAACAATGACCCGAGGTCAGGCTTGTGCACCAACCTTGAAAGGTCCCATTCTAGTCTTGCGCAAGACGAAGAAAGGTCGCAATGAGGATAGCTACATTGACATTGACATGCGAGACGTACGCAATGCTGCAGACCACTTCAGTTGGATGTATAGGGATGGAACTACCATGGCGCCATATGTGCAGGACGACCTGCATGGCCAACGTGTGCTTGTCACCGGTTGTCTTTGCCATCAAGATCAGGCTCGAGGCGGGACTGGATCAAAATTCGTTCAGCGCGTCCTTAATGGTTGCGATAGCATTTTTGCAGCTGGCGGAAGTGGTATCGCGAATTTGCTTGGAATACCTCTCTCTTTGCGTCTTATACAGAAGCGACGACTCGGAGAAGATGGTCGCCACAACAAAGAGGCAATGTTGCTTATGCGAGATATCACCTCAACGGCAGTTGGCTCCATCCCTGTTCGTGATCGCTTCATCAATCGGAACTTCATGGGCGAGAACGGATTTGGCTCGTCTCCAAGCCCCTGGAACGGACCTGAGACCGGGTCTGTCTTCATTGCCCGTACGGATGGCGTACCGTTGCTGAAAGAACACGTCGAGGCTCTGTGCGCTTATATCGAGAACAAAATCGAGCCACAATTGTCCGAGTCCATTGTCGGACTTGAAGCAGGTGCTGCTGTCCCTCAACGAGAGGCAATCCTGAACTCAATCACGAAGGCCGACTTCCTTGACTTCTTCAACTCGACCAAGGCTCAGAAAGCAGCTGCGAACGCGACCTGGGCGAACGTGCCTACTCCATACGAACTCCGCCGTAATGATCGAGCAACCGATGTCAATGCCCTGTTCGAAGAGGCGCGGCTGGCTGGGTACCGGCAGCAGAGTGACATGCCACGCCAGCGCTTCTTCATGACCGATCCTTAGCGTTCATCGAGTCCGAGCTTTGAAGAACCCGTCTCGCCCTCAATTCGAGAAAGAAACGCGTGAACAGCTTGTTGGAAGATGCGACACGACTTCATTATGAGGCTTGGGAGCTTGCAAGCCGTAAGAGAGATTTTGAGATTGAGCTGAAAGTCCAAGGTGACGAAACTGGAATGGTTTATATTGGACGACTGCTCGGCAGGAGTCAGTCTTATGACCAAAAGTTGGTTTTATCGTCCATATTGGAAAGAAGAAAGAAACAAACGCTCAGGTGACATGCAAATTGTGCATAAAGCAAGTCGAGTTGATAGCGAAACAGGCAGGATCACAAGGAGGCCGAAAAATGAGTATGCTTTCCAGACTGTATCGAGTGTCGTCTTTTCGCAATGCCTGTGTGCTCTGGTTTCTGTTCGACCCGTCCGTCGTGCTTCGCTCACATTCGCGATTCGATCAGAGCGTCAGAGCTAGCTAGATACAGGTGTCCCATCGAGCTCAATCGTGTGACTTTGCTAATGCCCCAAAAAGACGCCGACAGGTGCGCTCTTGCTATTTCGTGGGCTAACCAGCTGCCACAACACCAGGTTATTATTCCCCATACAATTTGGCAAGCAGCACAATCAGCAGATTTGTGGTGAAACTGAGAGGGACCTAAATGAAGTATGCTTCAATGATTGTTGGTCGTTGGCCGCCCACTCGGCCTCGGAATTGCATCACCGCCGACTCTGCATGGACTCCAATCGAACATCTTCTCCTTCCTGCCCGCTGTATCAGGTATGTTGAACAACTTGACCTCCCTTGCTATTGTCACCATATACCAAATCGCAACGAAACATACAAAATGGTCCGCATACCAAATAATCCCTGGCCTCATCCTCATCCGAAGCTGTTACTGACTTGACCTCGTTCCATACACAGGCCTCCGAAACACCAGCATATATCCTCTCCGCACTCACCTCAGTAGGTGGAGTGACTGGCTACGTCCGCACAGGTTCGGTGCCCAGCATCGCAGCCGGTCTGACTGTGGGAGTTTTGGTATGCTCTGCTATGCTCTACCACTCCTTGTTTTGCCCTAACCACGCGTCCTCTCCCACTCTCCACCCTCTCCCCCCGCCCTAGATGGTATCACATCGCTGACAAGAATACTCCTAGTACGGCCTGGGAGGCTACCGCATCTCGAAACGCCAGCCGTACGGCGTGGAACTGGCGCTACTCGCTTCCATCCTCCTCGCCGGCAGCAGCGTTCCTCGGGCGATCAAGACTGGCAAGCCACTACCCGCCGGGCTGAGCGTTCTGGCTGCAACGGGTCTGTTCATTTATGGCAAAGCGTTCTTGGGCAAATAGGTGTCGTGCATCGTCTGAGGCTGGAAGCTAGGATGGAAAACGGTACCAAAGGGACTGAAAAAGCCGTGCAGCAGACTAAAACGAATCTCGATTCTTCACACAAGGGTATCTCTTTCATGACAGACTTTTCGTCGAGGGCCATGACCAACGGCGAACACGCACACTTGAAACAGACGTCTGCTCGTTCAAGGTTCCGGCCCGCCATTGACTGCACCCTCGCCAACATCAGGCTCAGCTTTCTTCCCACTCCGTTTCCTCCTCCTCTTCCGCGCCTGGCCTTCACCCTCCTTTTCCTCCTGTCTGCCACCTTGCGCAGGCTGGACTTTCTTCTTCCTCACGCTCAACGGATTCGGCCCCTTCGCCCTTTTCGTCCCTCGAGCCTTCACTCCCGCGTTCCCATTCTCATCCTCAAGCTCCAGCGCCAACAAGTCTCCTTCATCCTCATCGTCCTCTGCCCCTTCACCACGCTTTCGTTTCCTGTTCAAGCCCACCAAGCCCTCGGCGAATTTCTCCTTCTCCCCCTTCCGTTTAACCGCCTCACTCGCCCCGCTCAACTCCTCGAGTATCATGACACTGCGCTTGACATACACAATCGGCACCCCGGAAATCATCCTCGCTCGTTCTCTCACGTCGATAAACCCTTTCCTGCGCCTCTCTAGTTCATCCACATCCGCCGTGGCCAGTATGTAATGCTGCTTGTTTTTCGGGATTTCGTTCCCGTGCGGCTGTCCGGCCAACAGGTCCAACAGACAGCGCGCCTCGTCAAGTTCACCCACATCTTCGCCGTCGTCGTTCTTGTGCTTGCAGTGTCGGAGGGGCACTTCGGTCGGTGGAGGGAGCCACTCCGGTCGTTTCTGCCGCGCGTTCTTCGGGTCCTTGGTGCGTTCGAAATCCGCCATGATCTTCGCGAGCGAGCAGCGCGTTATGAACAGTCGGCACTCGCCGTGGAGCGTGTTCTCGAGATATTTCTGCAGCGGCATGTGGAAGGAATGGCAGGTCCGTAGGAAGGACGAGTCGAGGAGGACTTGGTAGGGTTCGCGGAAGGAGAAGGTCATGGCGTAGTTGGACATTATCTTGCGATATTTTTTGCTGCGTTTGGCCCGCATCTTGACTTATTCTTGCTTGATGCGAAGAAAGTAGTGAAGAATGGTGTGAGAGCAGTGCTGAGGCAGAGAGAGAGAGAGAGAGAGAGAGAGAGAGAGAGGGAGAGGCCGGGTGGACTTTCGTGGGTGGTATGGACGGCGCAGACGCGAGAAATAACTGGAGGAGTCGTTTGCCTTCGAGGGAAATCCAAGTGTGATAACTTGGAGAGTCCTGGCTTGAGGAGACAAGTTGCTTCAAAGTTGAAAGGAAGATATCGGTCAACAGCGGCTGAAGAGAGTGAAGGTCTAGTGGTTGTCAAGCATCGCCCGTCAAAAAAACAATTCAGGTTTCGTTTCCTGCTCCGACTTTTTCTTGATGCGGGGAAATTTTCAGCCTCGTCAGATTCAGATTTCAGGCAAGGCTGAAGAATTGGGCCAAAATCTACGACTCATGATGGCTCCAAGGCTCTTTTGCGGCCACAAACATCATGAGAGTTAGGACAGTGGACTTAGAATGCCCAATAAATATAGTGCGTATCTTCATTGCCATTAAAGCGTCCATGCTAGAATAGTCGTACATGCATGCAGTCATCCGGCACCTCTTTCTTCTATTCTAGATGTCCTCCGCCTCTTATATGCAAACTTTTGATAACAATTCGCTTGAACGCAACAAGAATGCTTGAAAGAAATTTCGTCATGGTCGTAAACCTTCCGAAGATTAGGGCCTCACGATGAAAAGTGTCGCAGCTATTGCGCTGCTTGCCCTGGCCCAGATCCCTGCGAATGCATTCACTCGTCATCAGACTCCATACCGTCGTCCTCCTCATCCTCGTCCATCCCTCCAACATCCATGCCAGCATCAGACTCGGAGTCCGTGTCATCAGCCTCTTCACCCGGAATACCCTTCCATTCCACGTAGTCACCTTCAATCCAATGCTTGCTGATGGGCAGATGGTAAGGATCGTAAGGGAAATAGCCCTCTAGCATTCCATTATCACCAACCCAGCTCAAGTCGCGGTCCGGATTGCTGATGTTCAGATCTGATATACTACGCCAATGGCTCGTCATACGCACATGTCTGTTCTCTTCGAGCTTCGGATAGACGTAGAACAGCTGCAAAGCAGTCGTGAGCTTAGCAAACTGCTCGACGATGACCGGCGTGCACACTCGTAAGGGGTTGAGTGGCGAGTAAATAGCTGCACGGACTGCGTCTCGTAGCGAGTCAGGGAAGTGGTAGGTCTCTACCTCTTCGTCGTCAATATCGAAGTCCGAATCATCGTCAGAGCTAGCCGAGGCGATATCGCGCCATCGGAAGCAGAAGATGTACATGATGGCTTGGAAGGCTGCGTAAAAGTCGCCGTATCGCTTTAGATCGGGTCCCCGACACCCAGGCTCGTACGACTTACGGAGGGTGGTCAAGTGGTCGCACAGTAGTTCCAGACAGTCTTGTACAACCTGAGGGGAGACATGGGCGCCGCGACCAACAAAGCCGGAGAAGTAAGCTGCGGCACTGTGTCGGAGGAGATGTGGCTGCTTTTTGTCAACAAGCACGGCCACGCAAGAAGTGACGAAGCGGTCGACGATGATAGGGTCGGATTGAGCAAAGTGGAAGATGAGGAATTGCGGATGTCGTGCACGGTAGGTCGGGAGGATGTGCGTGTGGAAGTGCGAGATCAGCTGTTCCAGGGCCGTGTCGCGTGTTTGCAGGTTGGTTGAGGTGCTAAGTTTGGCGTAATATTGGAACAAAATGTCCATGATCAGGTCAATCTGCTTGATGTCCTCCTTCAATTTTCGTCGGCGCGCAATTGCAGAATCCAGCATCTCGTCTTCGTCCATATCGGATTCGTCATCTGTTGTGCTCGCATCATCATCGTCATCAAAACTGTCTTTGAGCATGTCCTGAGATGCGCCTGCAACAAGAGTCTGCGACGAGGACATGTGACTGAGGAGCTCGTCTTCAGCATCGTCCTCCTCTTCATCCAAGTCCACCTGAACTGCAACATCAAGCTTGATGAGCTCCCTCAATACGCTCGTCAAGATGTCAGATGTCAACTCTGGCACGTATCTGATCATGGCCATGAAATTTCTGATGTATGTCATTCGTTCTTCAGCTTTTTGGAAATCGAACTCCAGGCGTGACGACATTCTGTCGGCAAGCGCAGCGGGTGCGGAAGGTACGTTGACCGTAATATGTTGGATGGCCTGCAGGACTCTACGATGAATGGTAGTCTGTCTGACTGGTTTTGCATCTCCTATTCTTCTTGTCTTTTGAGGCCCAAGCAAGTCTACCAAGACCGACATGATCTTGTGCTGGTACCCTCGCTGCGCAGCAGCCAGATTGTTGAGGAACCTGACAAAAAGAGCATAGTATGACTCTTCTCTCCCGATCCATTCGCTGTATAGGATTGTATTCACCAGATGATTGCAGTCTTTTGTCAGCGCCGCCACATTTGCGAGGACGGCTTGCAGATGGATTTTGAGAACTTTCGTTGAGGGCGCATTTGGCTTTTCCGGAGTCGTGCTGAAAAGATTTTGCAGGCGATCGTAGCCTTCATTGTCGTTGACACGATGTCTTTCGAGGGCTCTTCGTACTTGTTCTTTCACCACGAGGGGATCAAGATCTTCATCATCATCGGCAGAGACAATTTCGACGTCCGAGTCAAAAGTGACACGAGAACGTTTCGACGGACTGGAGGGGGTGTCCATAAGGCTTGTTTCATCGATTGAGCGTTTCAGGGTAGATCTTCGCTGTATGGGCTGAGGTCTGAGGTGTTTTGACGAAGAGAGAACAGGAGACGAAATGGTGGTCGGCACAGCAGGCCGACGAGGTTGCGGGGCTAACATGGCCGCAGATGTAGATGCTCTTGCCAGATCATGGAAGGATATATTGAAATGGTTGATATCCACGAAGCGGCAGAGATTGTCAACCTTTCTTGTCAAGCATGAAGGACAAGGCAGCAGGTCTTTGTGGTGTCTCTGAACAACACCTGCGAATGTTGAACAAAATAATCTGAAAATTACTCTCCCCGGGCTCTGTGCGCGAAAAAGCTATACCTCTTTGGGAAGTCCTTCACGAGACTTAGTGGCTGTTCTCCAGATCACGTGAAAGTCAGGGTCCTTGTGCCGTCAGACAGTGCCAGCGAGCCAGTTCTCTATCCACTGATCAATGCTTCTCAGATGCGGACAATAGCCACATGTGGCAGCGGCATTTACGAGTCAGAGGGGAATCAATGGAGCCATAAGGCTTGAGCAGGAGTCAACCGGCCATCGGCCTTGCTACGGAATTATAGAAAGGAGGTTCTGCAGTACAGCGAGCGCCCGACTCAAAGATAAGCCCTCTGACTCTTCTCCTCAGTGCCCTTGATCCTGTCGAAATCAAAAGCTTGGTCGCCATGAATGGCAATCCTGTGTCCAAGTGCACGTCTGATGATCCAGTCTTTGCTGTTGATCTCCTCTTCGACCTCGTCATGTTCCAGAGGAGGAATCATCTCGCTCGTGTTCAATCTCTTCAACATCACCTCATTCTCCGGCCTGTTGAAGTAGACAAGTGAATACCTTGTATACTCTGCTTGCTGGCCTGGTGGCGCTACGACACGGTGGATGTTGGATCTCAAGAGTCCGTTGGTAAACTTCACCATCGCGTCGCCCAGGTTGATGATGGCGTGATTAGGCAATGGCTTGACATAGCACCACTGCGCGTCGCGGCCAGGTGGAAGGACCTGCAGCCCACCCAGACGATTGAAAAGCACAGTAACACTGCCAAAGTCTGTATGCTCGCCTAGAGCTGTCCGTCGATCATCCATCGGTTGTGGAGGTGCTTTGACGAAGCGGATTTGATCGCCCGAGTGGCCTTCGAGCCGGTGCATATCTTGTAACGTGTTTTCAGGTAGGCGGAGATGTTCGTTCAGGAGGGTGAGCACAAGAGTGACAATACCGTGTGCTGATGAGATGAACGATTTCATGAGAGGACGCCTCGAACTGATGACTTCAGGAGCCGGCCAAGGGTCGGAAATGCCAAACATGTCATCTTTTGATACCTGGCAGCCTTTAGCCTTCGAAGGACAAGGACGGTGATGTGCTCACATTGTAGAACTCGTTGCGATCCAAGTTGCCCTTCCTGTCTACCACATTCGCACCGAATCCTTTATAACCGAAATAAGAGTTCTTGTGCATAAAATCGTATTTCTTTTTCTCCTCGAGCGGCAAGTCGAACAATTCTTCGCCGGTCTTGAAAAGCTGATCTGCGTCCGCAAGCAGAGAATCTCCAGGTCCGGAAAGATCTAGATAGAAGAAGCCGAGGTCTTCACAAGCCCGTACGAAGCGATTGACTTCGTTCACATCGCGTTCAATCAATTTCGCGAGCGATAAACGGAGAAGTGGTGCCGTGGGTACATCATCTGGAAAGGGTGGCGCATTCTGGAATGTCTGCGTGGGAGCAGTCAATGCTTCTGGTATCTCTTGAGTAGCCATTTGGTTGTCGGGATTGATAAGTGCTAAGAGTCACAAAAGTTCGGAAAGACGGCAGCGAGGGCGTTGGTCGTCAATATATCCAGAGATGATCGTCCACGGCTGATGACCGAGGCTCATATCTCCGTTTCCATCTCCACCTCTCTCCGCTTTGAAGGTCGAATTCGCAGCATAACATGACGAAGGGTTTGTGCATGCGGGGAACCATCAATGTAGGTAATTCTGATCATGGACAGGCCTGCTTCGGTCGATGCTCGGCATTGTTGGACGGTCACGGTGCAGTGACTGTGGTTAAACATGATTCTCCTCCCGTTATGACTCTGATCTTCCAAATTCTCTCAGGAATAAGATCCGCGTAAGAGCGCGGTCAAAGCCAGAGTACGACAGGGTCCTCTTGTGCCGACCTCTAGTATTGCTTGCCCGCGGGCAGCTTGCGTTCTTGAAGGCCAGGCGGGCTCGACCATGGACCTCTCGATGCACGTGGTTGAACGAGCAGGTAGGGGTGGTATCACAATTGCTGCTGTCCCTCATCCCCGTTGAATATCCGTGTTTATCCACTTGATTGCCTTCTTCTGGTCGACCATGAAATACTGGTCGATCGTTTTATAGCAGACTTCCCATTCGAGGATTGGATGATGCCTGAAACGGGTTTCGGAATGTTCGCAAGATGGCGTCCGCACCATAAAATTCAGCGTTGGGAACACGGAAACTTTGCCTTGCCAGGTCAGTACAGGCAAGGTATACCTCAACTTTCCCGGAGCCGCTTCGCCCAGAATTTTCTGAAGATCATCTCGGTCTTTCTTGTTGAGTTCCTTGCGCAAGTACTCTTCGTCCGTCACCTGGAAAGGACGGATTCCAATCTCGCCGAGAGTGTGACTATCTTTTGTTCTCACGCGGATCCAGTATCTATGGTCCCATAAGAGCCAAAGTGAGCATGAGCCCTCCTTGTCGAGAAGTGGATCGTGCCTCCAGAACCGAGAAGCTGGCCGTGTCTCAGGTACTGTCATTGCGCCGAACTTCTTCGTTGCAAGCTGGACTTCGATTGTACGCATTGGTGGTCGGGACAGCTTCCATAACGACCCTTCCTCTCCATCTCTGGAGGCAGTTGAGGTCCTTTCGAGGAGGACACGCTGGATCGTGAAAGCACTTGATTCTGGTGAGAGCATCTTCTGGGCGAATTCTTGCACGCTACGCCAAGGGACAATAGTCGGTCCAGCGTCCCTGGGTTGGCAACTCACTATGCTCGTTAGTCGCGCAAGTGCATTTGCCGCGGCTTCAGGATCGTTTTCGCAGGCCGAAGCAAAACGTTTAGGGATCCACACCTTCACCAAGCCTGAACGCAGGTCAAGAGTCACGTCGGTAACTGCGTTAAGTAGATTTGTTCCCCGTTCTACTAAGGCTTGTGTGGATTTCTGTGCACAATCGCGTAGCTGTAGCACCGACTCTGCTTGTAAGGCACGTGGAAGTGTATGTCTCGACCTCAGAAGCCTGATAGCATTTCGCAAGGTTGATGTAGGGTCGTCATTGGTCTTGTCCCTGACATATTTGATCTGATTTGTGTCGCAGACGTCCACAAGTCTCCATTTTGGGAATCGTAGGAGGGGGCGATGAACTTGAAGACCTCTTGGACGTGGCATTGTCACAGTCTTCCCGAAATTGACGCCAGATGCATCGGACGACGAGGCTTCGGATTGGCGCTTCTCGATGTTGAAGTCTGCCTGTCGAATCCAGTCCATGAATCTTTCGTAGCCTGGCCATTCGTGAGCGCCTCGGATGTTCTCGCAACAGGGAATCGCGGTCTGCTCTGCCATGCCTTGCAAGCCCAGGAAGTTGGTGGTAGAATTTCGCAAGAGTCTCATCAAGACAGTTTCGACTTGATCATCCTGATGATGGCCGACAAAAAGGTGCCTGATGTCTCTCTGAATCGCTGCGGCAGCGATCAATCGATATCGGGCCTCACGAGCACGCATCTCGAAGTCCGGCAACTGTGAAGGATTGGCCGTCCCAGCCCATTTCATGGTAAGTATGAGGTTCTTGATGCCTGAAGGTCGTCAGCGGTGGTAGCTCATGAGGAGGCACAGGAGCGTACCAAGTCTGTCGAGTTCGCCGGACACAAACTCGGCCTCTTCTCTACTCCCATCTCGTGCTTTGTGATCAACAATAAAGGCAACGGGTTCAATCCATACTTTCTTGTGCACTTTTGGAATCTGCTTCAGCAACCATGCCAATGCCATCGAATCAGGACCTCCACTGACGCAAACGCCTGTCGACTGTCAGCTTGGTACATCAGAGCAAGCACACCGATGTACCTATTTCTGCAACTCTGTGTGTATCTTGGTACGAGAGGCCATTCTCCCAAAGTCTGGGAAGGCTAGGCAAGAGCTCGTCAATTGTCACAGGACTTGTGATTCGAGGCGTCTTGGTTCCAGACAGGCATATTCGGAAAAACAGTTCTTGCGCTTTCGCCATCTTTCAACCATAGCTCTCGTTGTAATTCGAACCCCAAACGACCCGGATTATCAACTGCGACCACTTCAATCTTGCTTCGGTCTTGCTAAAGTTCATCGTCTTGACAACTCAGCCTATACCATTAAGAGAGTCTAGAATGTTGAATGTAGATTCCTGCGGCGAAGAATTATCAATTGAACTGAAGGAAGCTATGAGTTGCTAATCAAGTACAGAGTCGTAGTTTGAAAAGATCCAGTGCTGGCGCTTAGTCATCAATCGGTGTTCATACCATGGTAATTTCGCTACGTTGGCACGTTGGCTACGATTATCAGAGTCACCAGAGTTTAGTGGAAACCATTGGTTCTTCGATCGATGAACCGGCAAAGACGAGTTCAATTTGAAGTGCAATTGGCGACCATATAGATGCACTTTGAGCTGCCTGGATGACACCCGAGCTATCCTAACCAAGTCTTCTACAACTTCAACGCAAACAATGTCTTCCCGAACGGTCGACACGACCATTTGGTCGCCAGCATGTGACCTGTCGGGTGACAATGATGTCGAAGAAACCAATTTGAGACACGGGTAGATGACTCTCTAACGTAACGAGTGCTGCTACCTTGGTCATGACTTGTCATGAACAGCGGCTTTCGCGAACAACTGCGACTGTACACTACATTCCAACCGTATCGGCTATTTGCGAAATATGCTCCCATAATCTTTATGGCCTGGACCCAGAGAGGGATACCCGCAGAAACGGTGATCTCCAAGCGATTGTATGGCTGTGCACAAAGTGTGCCACAAACAGAGGTCTAGAAGTCTGCAAGCGATGATGATCTGTGGCGTGCGCCTACCTACCTGACATCTGTAGAGAGAATAATAAATTGGAGATCGATGACCATGACAAGGGGGGGCCAAAAAGATGGGCATCAATGTTGATGGAATCGATGATGCAGACCGTCCTTCGGACCTCCTGTCAAGATGGGGAGAAAGTGAGTTTTCAGGTTTTCAGTGCAGCTGAGAAGGCTCTTGGCAGTGATGCTTGAGGAGCCTTAATTGGCCTTGGGAATCGCTTGACTTCAATCCGATGCAGGCTTAAAGAGAGATTGGCAGTCCCCCAAGACACCCAAGACGTGTCAAGCAAAAGATGCCTCGCTAGCCCTAGATCAATGCCGAGAAGGGCTAATGAAATAGCCTGGAGAATCCGTCATAGCTTACAACAATGGGTGTCCGATGGGAGACGAGATGAAATCACCCCAACTGGGGAGTACTTGAATGACTGAGAACTTGCACGCGCTGTGAATGTAGTGCTTACCTACGCTTCAGCTTCATGCACGGACTAGGTACCTGATTTCGCCTTTGGGGCCTGAAGAAGGAACCGTTACGAGTCTTTGCCGACTAACTTATACGAAATCAAATCCTGTGGCGGAAGGCGAGTCCACTGCCGCCAGACGGATACTGTGCTAGGCCTGGACGACACCGGGGCACGAAGCGCCATGCACAGCCTGTTGATCGACCAATTTCATCATTGTGCATCAGTTGCGACTGGCTGCAATCCCATGCTTTGGACCGCCGAAAGCCTGAAACGCGCCTTGAACAACCCCATTGTGCCCATCGCAGGCCGCGCCCCCTACTTCGTGACTTCGTGGCTGTTGGCTTCGTGGAGTCTTCTCCTTTCCCTTTGCGGCTTCGTTGTTTGTTGGCCAACTCAATCGTCACGATGTAGTAACGCTTTCATTCCCTCCAAGTCCACTTTTCTTTTCCTCTACTGGTTCACTGCCACTGACTCTCATGCCTTGATTCACTATCAAGAGACACCGTTCCATCCATTCGCCATTGAGCATTGCTGGCTGTACAACGCCTGTGACGCTCAAAAGCACACCACGCCGCATTCCATACTACCACTTCCCGACCAACACACCCTCGCTGTTTGTTAATCGCATTTCAGCCCCCCTCGCAACATTTATTTGGCAAGAGTAGACTCGATTCCATCTGAAAACGCCTTGTCATTTACACATCTGGAGGTACTGAAGAGTCAAGACTACAGCAAACAATGCGTATGTATCACAGCGCCTGCATCTCCGGCTCGTCTAATTGCTTGGTACAGACAAATACCGTCGCGAGGCGAAGTATGCCGCCTGGTACGACGACCCAAATGACACCTCAAACTTCAAAATCAAGAATCCCTTTGCGAAATGGAGGCCCGGCACAAGACAAGATTCTATGCGTACGATGGAGAATGGCGAAGCGCAAGACAATGGCCCACGACTACAAACTGTTGCAGAAGCTCAAGGAAATGGCTCTCCTCTGAAACCTACCCTCACGGACGACCCCAACGACTACCGACTCTCGACTCCGGTCGACAGAAGAGAACAGTCTCACCGACACGCTGAGACAGAACCTGGCGCCATTTCAGGTACAAGACCGTATCCTCCTGGCGACGAAGTCAGTCTGCCTCGAGCTCAGAGTCCCGACAACTCGGAAAAAGGCATCAAGGAGCAAGAAGACCGCCATCGGACAGAGTCAAGCTCCGACACCTATGTCAATGGAAAAAACAACAATTCTGAGGAGCCCAATCCGATTCGGAACCGGACTACAACATCCAAAACAGAAAAGCATGGCTTCAAGAAACTCTTCAGCAGGAAATCCTCTAAAGAAGCAGACGACAACAACGGCAAGGACAAGAAAAAGTTTACTGCCTGGAGTCAGCTCCATGCCACGCTTTTCAATTCCTGGATCAATGTCCTGCTTATCTTCTCCCCAGTCGGTATTGCCGTTTATTACGCGAAGATCGATCCCGTCGCTGTCTTCGTCATCAATTTCATCGCTATCATCCCATTGGCAGCCATGCTGAGTTATGCGACCGAGGAAATCGCCCTTCGAGTTGGTGAAGTTCTTGGTGGTCTGCTCAATGCATCCTTCGGTAATGCTGTTGAACTGATTGTGTCCATCATTGCATTGGCCAAAGATCAGGTCCTGATCGTCCAGACCTCGCTTATCGGCAGCATCCTTTCCAACCTCCTTCTGGTTATGGGAATGTGTTTCTTCTTCGGCGGCTTCAATCGCATGGAGCAGGCATTCAATCTAACAGTGGCTCAAACTGCATCCAGTTTGTTGTTCTTGGCTGTAAGCAGTCTGATTATTCCTACTGCTTTTGAAGAATGGGCAAGAACGTCAGACGGTACTACCGGCAATACAAGTGCAACCACCGAGAACGCGAAACCAGGCGTGGCCGCGCTCAGCAGAGGTACCGCCATCCTCTTATTGATCGTGTACGCGTGCTATCTCTTTTTCCAGCTCAAGAGTCATGCCGAGATTTACAACACACCCGGTGAGAAAAACCAGAAACGAGCCGTGGGCAAAAAATTCAAGAACGCGGTCCTCCCCGAGAGACTGCGAAAAAGATCTCCGGAAGAAAGAAATGCTGTCGTCGAAGAGGCGGCAAGTGAGGAGCCGGAAGAGCCAAATCTTTCCGTCTGGGTTGCCATTCTTACCTTGGCCATTTCCACTGTTCTGGTTGCTCTGAATGCCGAATATCTGGTCGACTCTATCAATGCCATTACGTGTGGTGGTGGAATTTCCAAGAACTTTGTTGGTCTTATTCTCCTGCCGATCGTGGGTAATGCTGCCGAACACGCCACTGCAGTTACTGTGGCAGTCAAAGATAAAATGGATCTGGCTATTGGCGTCGCTGTCGGATCGAGCATGCAGATCGCCCTTTTGGTCCTGCCCTTCGTGGTGGTTCTCGGATGGATTATCGGCAAGGACGATATGACCTTGTTCTTTGATGGCTTCCAGATTGCTGTCTTGTTCGTAGCAGTCCTGCTTGTCAACTACCTGATCGCTGATGGGAAGTCGCACTGGTTGGAAGGTGTCCTGTTGATGATCCTATATATCATCATTGCAGTTGCTGCGTGGTTCTACCCAACTGCGCCTGGCCTCAGCGACTGCCCTGCATAATGAGCAGGCTCATTTAGCATCGAGCACTCAGCATTCAAGACTTCCGAACGGCCTTCATCAGCACTACTCCGAAGCTGTTCGTTGGTCCTTGATGCAGCAGCAAGCTTTTGCTGTCTCCTACTCAGCCACTGGCTACTCCTTTGGATTCCGAGTGCTTCATGAGCTGATGCGCCTGGAAACCGAACCAGTCTACTGTTTCCCCAGTCTCCACAGGCGTACCCGATCGAGGCCACAAGAGGGCTTCGCCGACTCGGGTCGGGCTGCAGGGGTTTCCCAATGATTTCTGCGCCTACCTATTGAGGCAAGGCTCTGGAGTCGAGGACGGCCGTGGTGGCTTCTCATCTGACATACGTTCGAGCTTCACAAGTTGCTTTTGCTCTATCTACCAGCAAGTGCTTACCACAGCTCCACCACAAAGCTGGTCGGCTTGTTTTCTATGTACGATATTCACCCAACTGTCTTGTTACGACAACTTTCATAGATCTCTTCAAAGGCGCAAGCACTCTTTACTTGGCAGGAATATGCGACGAATGTAGTTATGGAGTCAGCACGAACAATAGGTCTGTCTTGTGCTCTGTGAAGGGGCTACCTGCAATAAATTGGCTTTTCGGAATTGTAATACTCTGTTCACGGTTCTCGAACTGGAAGCGGACAAGTCGATGCAATACAAACACTCTAATACTGGTCCCATGCATCCATTCTGCACCGTAGGCTACATCGATAATCCTTGTGCCTTCTAAACCTGTTGTATCAGGACGAGTATCAAGGAAATTGGAGACGAGTCCTAAGCGACGTTTCATCTCATTAGTCCATCGTGACCATGAAGCGACTTCTTGCTTTTGTACTCTCCTCGAATCCACTTCACATCCGCAGTAATGACCCACGAGTTCTATCTCATCCACGGGTTAAGATCATTATGGAGACAACATGGAGCGTGAAGATGGTCTTGTTCTTTTCGTTACTGATACTGCTCGCTGGCTGCGTGCATGGCCAAAATTTCACCATAATCAACGGCCAGATTTTCACGCCTGGCCTGGCTATCGTGGACTCTCCTCAGCCCGGGACGCCGGAAGGTGGTGGTATGTCCCCATAATCCCCGGTGTTGCTTTATGATGTTCTGCCGCAACATTCTCTGGCAACAGCATCCGTCGTGGTCGCAAGATGGTCCCGAAGGCTCCAACTCGGTTATGGTTACTCACATATGTGTGCGCGCAGATTCGTTGCAAGTTGCCATCGACATTGCAGGATCCGGCCGCCTGACATTCCCGTATCCTCGGGACTTTGACACCGGGATCCTTAACATCACGATCTTCCTGTTCAGTTACGTCACGGGCTTGAACCTGACGATATCGAACGGCACGAGCGCGGGATGGGTCAATGCGAGTACAGCGGAGCCGGAGGAGTTCGATTGCGGTAGGACGACGAAGCAAGGTTGGCAGAATGCTGGGTGCGAGGAGATCATGGACCAGGAGCCCGGGAGCACGGTCAAGCACGTCAATTGGGCGTGGCCGGACTGTTTGGTTGGGAATGGCGAGGGTGAAGGCTTTCGAGGCGTGTACAATGTAAGTCGACGGCCTTTTCTATTGTTGGTTCCGCTTTCAGCCAGAGTCCCGAGTAGTGTTGAGAAGGGCAAGAGTGGGAGGTAGCGGGAAGGAGGTGAAGTGCACGGCTGACATAGGCTGGGACAGATCTCCATCCATGAGTCCTTCCGCGCGAACGATACGGGTTTCTATACGATCTTCAACCTGCCGATCGATGTGAAGAATAGTATTCCGTCGAAGAGCAAGTTGAGTGGGAGTGGTGCAAGACCATTGTGTGCGGTGCGAGGGAATCCGATCCAGAGCCAGAGATTGCAGGACGAAAGCATCAGTCCGCCGGCGAATCAGCCTTTCTTGGGAGGCACCGTGAGCAGTGGAGGAAGTGGAAGCGGGAGCGGCAGCCAGAGTGGAACTGGGAATGGGAGTGGTGGTCAGAGTGGTGATACTAACACCGATGGGAAGGACAATGGAGCAGGAGAGAGAACGGTAGATGGACGGTGGTTGATAGCGGCTGTGGGAATGGTCGGTTTTGTGGTATTAAGGGTGATATGAAAGATCTTGTGTCCTCAGAGATGATGAGAAGACCTCGAGGACTGAATGATTGCAATTTGCTTTGAATGACGAAAGAGAGACCAACATGGATTCTGGATAATCCTCTGTTCTGGCTGATGGGGTCACGTGGATGCCGCAAAATCTGCCTGCTTTCGCCACCACTGTTGCCGTCGAGCCTGTTGAACCTACGTAGTACTCACAGCTTCCACATTACATCTCTCCTACACCTCGATATCTTTTACACTATCAATAGCCTATCCTTACATCGCCACCATCAATTCTGATTTCTTGAACTTGATGCAGAGCCTCAGCCGGTAAGTGAGTGCTACATTCGAGGATCGACTTGCCGTCATACCTAAGGTCTTTCCGCGCGTGTCATCTCTTTCGTCTCCATTCCGCCCTGGTCTCTATTCATACCGAAACCTGAGGTTAGCACAAAAGGGGGGAAGAATTCACCCACGCTGCTCGTGGAGGTTCATCCAAAGGCCTCCGCCATGTCTACATCATCGGCATCAGCGCCAGACGCGTTGCCACCGCTATCCGCCGCCGACTTCAGATTCTACAACCGCCTGGCCGAGCACATGGAGTTCTACCACAACATGCTACGGTCGACCTGGGACCAATTGTACGCCGGTACAGCTCCGGGCTCACGTCTAAAACCCACTCAGCTGATCAATTTGGGTTTGCACTTCTGTCGGCACCTCGAGGGCCACCACAATATCGAAGAGGCGGAGTGGTTCCCTGTGCTGGGGAAGAAAATGGAGGCTTTTCGATCCAAGGGGTTCGCTAAGGAACAGCACAAAGAGATGCATAAAGGTCTTGAGAGGCTGATCCCCCATCTGACCGAGTGCCAACTAGGTCACCGGGAGCTACGCAGGGAGGAAGTACGGGAGATCATGGATTCATTTGCTAAGGTATTATGGACGCACCTGGACGACGAAGTCAAGGAGTTGGGCGCGGACAATATGAGAAAGTATTGGTCGAAGGAGGAGATGAGGAGGTTTCCATTCTGAAGTTTCTGTTTGTTCGGATCTTCATTTCGGCCGCTCGAACCAGCAATTGGCAGCTTGGATTTCTACCACTCCACAAGATCGAGCCGAGTCTCCTTCGGCACGTTGGACGAGACCGCGGGTAGCGAGGAATGCAATGAAGGCAAAAGCATGGAATCTGGATCTATTTCCAGAGGCACATGCGTGATCTCATTGCAAGACATTCCCTCCAAAACGATGCCGCGATCATCTCCGCCTGCGGGCAGGAGCGAAGCCGGATGTGTCCGGTATACGCGGGCAGTATTGTTGGAGACACCGCGGGTTTTAAGGAGCCATTACAGCACAGACCTGTCGAAGGGCTGGCGACGTCTCAGCTGTTGTCTACAATGGGTCAAGGATGTCCTCTAGGCCTCAAGACACGGCGATGGCCGTTCAATGTGCCAAAGCACAATATTCGGTGGTGGGGAGAGCACGCCAACCGTCATGCTCTGGCGCCTCTCTTGGGTTCAGAATACGAGTACATAGATGCTACTGTAATCCTGAACGAATTCTATTTATGTACAGTGTGCCATCACGATTGTGGAGTGTTGACAGCCTTGCAGGTGGATACCTAGGTGTGTTTGCTGTGCCCGTCGTATAAAAGCGGCAGTTGGGTGGCAGGAAGCGCTTATCCTCGATTGAACATGAATCGCGGCCTCATTCCTCAAGACTTCCCGCGAACCTCCTCAACAGACTTTTCAAAGTGCCTGTTATTGTCATGATATGCCCCGCCTCCCTCTGGCCCAATACCTCTTCACGCGTCTGCGGTCTCAGGGTGTCCACGCCGTACATGGCGTCCCAGGTGACTTCACACTCAAGGCGCTTGACTACCTGCCCCTTGCTGGCCTGAAGTGGGTCGGCAACTGCAATGAGTTAAACGCCGGTTACGCGACGGATGGGTACGCGCGAATCCGCGGAATAGGAGCACTCTTCACCACATATGGTGTCGGTGAGCTTTCAGCCATCAATGCTGTGGCAGGAAGTTTCGCCGAATCGGTGCCTGTCGTGCACATCGTAGGCACGCCTCAGCGACGCCTCCAGGATGCTCGAGCGAACGTGCACCACACACTCGGCGACGGAAGGCCGAGGGTGTTTGCTGAGATGCATGAGAAAGTCACGGTCGCGCAGGCGAACCTTGTGGATGAGCGGACGGCGCCAAAGTTGATTGATCGCACGATCGAGGCCGGGCTGAGGGAAAGTAAGCCCGTGTATATCGAGATGCCCTGTGATATGGTCACGAAGGAAGTTGATAGTGAGAGATTAGAGGAGCCGTTGAGTACCGAAGCGCCGGTGGATGATGGGAAGCAGGGAAAACTCGTTAACGAACTGATCCAAAGGATCTACGCGGCGAAGCAGCCTCTCATATTGGTGGACAGCGGTGATGGCGTGCGACAATTGAAGGACGCAATTAATGCCTTCGTCAAGAGGTCTGGAATCCCGACTCTGGCCATGCCTTCGGGTAATGGGATGGTCAGTCACCAGTTGAGTAATTACTTTGGCGTCCACTCTGGTCCGGTCGGACAGATCGATACAATGCCATTCGTCAGCGAAGCTGATCTGGTCCTTGCTTTCGGGCCAATGTTCTCAGATACACAGACGCTGGGGTGGAAAGTCGTCCCTGACGCCGACAAGCTCGTCACTCTGGGAAAGAACTACTTCTCGGACCTCACGACAAGACACACCATCAACCTGAGAACCTTCGTCGCGCGCCTGACCGAGGAGTTGGACCCTTTACGGATCCAGTCGTCCGACGTCTCATCCTTGGGCGATTTCCGCACCATCCAACCTCCAGCCTTTGGCGACGGCAAAGAGATCAACATCGACGCCCCCATCGACCAGACGAACTTCTACCTGCGTCTGAATCCGTACTTGCAGCCCAACGACGTCGTCCTTCTCGGCAACGCAACGCCCATCCTCGGCGGCCGCGACCTAGTCCTCCCATCAGGAGCCCAGATCATAGCATCGGGCCAGTGGTTCTCAATCGGCCACATGCTCCCCGCTGCATGTGGCGCAGGTCTCGCGCAGCAAGCTATACCTGCCGTCGAAAGCCGCGGAGGCCGAACGATCCTCCTCGACGGCGATGGCAGTTTCCAGGTCACCGCCCAGGAACTCGCCACAATCATCCGCTACCGCGTCCCCATGACGATCTTTCTGATCAACAACGCAGGCTACGCGTACGAACGGCAGATCCACGGCATGTATGAGGACTACAACGATCTCGCAATGTGGGCGTACACGCGGATCCCATTCGATTTCGGCGCCAAAGATGACAAGTACCCGATTCGTGCACACCAAATTCATACTTGGCGAGACCTGAGCGAGTTGCTCGCATCCGAATCGTTCTGTAAGAGCCCCGGTCTGCAGTTCGTGGACGTCCGCATGGACAAATTCGATGTCCCGGAGAAGTTCAAAGTTGTCTTTCAGAGGGCTGGAGAGCAGCTGGGCTGAGCCGATGGACAGAGCTTCACATGTTGATATATACGTAGTATACACCATTCCTGGCTGATCAGTAAATCCTAGCAAAAGACGACAAGAAAGTAGAGGGCAGTTGTCCTGCTCTCCAACAAGTGCAATTATCACGGCTTTTCCATAGCTTGCCCGGACATCAATGATGACCAATGCGATTGCACATCCTTGCCAGCAGGAAAATACGCCCTCACAAGCCGAAAACTACCGTCCTGCAGGATCCTCGAACGACAACACCATTATTGTAGCCACCTTACCAAGGTAACTCCATCCCCTCTCTGTGCCAGAACCGCCCCGTCTCCTCTACGGTCTTCCCCTTGAGCAACCCCCACAACTTGGTCGCCGCTTCTTCCGGCTCCACCACACCCTCATTCCGATCGACATCCGGGTCCAGATTCGTCCTGACGAACCCCGGATGCAGCATACTCACCGTGACGTTCCTGTCTTTCAAGTCGACGGCGAGATTCTTGAAAATACTGTTCACAGCCGCCTTGCTCGAGCGGTACGCGTAGTTCCCGCCGGACGAGTTATCCGCCATCGAGCCCACGCGCGAAGACACGACGGCGATATGTCGCGGCTCATCGGCGGACAGGACGTTGTCGAGAAGAGCTTGCGTCAGGAGGAGTGGTCCGAACGTGTTGACCGCGAACGTGGATTGGAGGGACTCGAGGTTGACGGAGCGGAGGGTGTCGGCGGCATGGGCTGGCATTATTCCTGTCCCATCAAATATTCGCATTAGTATATGTAGGTTTTTCTTCTTTTCTTCTTGTTTGTTAAGATGGCCCCGGCCCCTAGCACCCCAGCACCCAGCAAGGGAAATGATCTAGGACCAGGGTTCCGATCGGCGCGGGCTCCGGGCAGTCGCAGTGGCAGTGGCAGTTCGGATATCTGATACCCCCAGGTCCACAGCCTCGAAACATCGACATCGACAGTAGGAAGAGCACTGAAAGGAAGGAGAAGGAAGAACCAAAACAAAAGGGCGTCAATTCACCAGCAACGTTGAGCAAGACATTGATCTTCCGATCGCCGATCGACTTCTTGAATTCCCAGATCGATTCGAGCGACGTGATGTCCAGACGGCCGATCTGGCATTTGGGCCCGTGAAGACCCGTGAGCTTCTCGCCGGCCGTGGCGTCGAGCGCGTAGACGAAATAGTCCTGGAGTGTGTATCTGTATCAGTGGGACGGGACGGGACGGTAAATGTGACAAAGGTAGCACAGAAGGGTGGAGGGGCAGAATTCAAGTCTGCATCTTGATGTCGGAATGCCAGGCAATGGCAATGAAGAGCTACCAGTACTGCACAAGGTAGCGGTTGCTACTAGTACTAGCATAGTTGAGACTGACCTCTTTTATGAGTACTTGAGCAAAGGCATGTCCAATCCCGGAATTGCATCCGGTCACGACTGAGGGATTTAGCACAGCTCTCCCACGGTGGACAAGCCAGGGTAGGAGGTAACGCACCAGCTGCAGGCATATCTGGGTGCTGTGCTTGCTAGAGTGTCAGGAATGTGTTATATGTTTCAACTGGTGTCGTTGTTTTGGGTTCATATATATGGCAAACGCGGTCCCTGGCCTTATGATATTGCAGGTCTTAGACCGTCTCAGGCATGACGCATGAATGTGGTCGAGCTGCGGGGAATATGTTTATTCTACTGTACCTGCATTAAGAACAAACTCAGTCGTATGATGTGAGGAGTTGCTCCTATAAGTACGATCGAGGGGCCACTAAACCATGGGCCACCAGGCTCCTAAGTACCCGTGCCCTGCGCTCCTCAGCTAGGAGTCGTGCCATAGAGGCGTCCGGCCCACCATGTTTGTCTCTCCCTTACATTGAAAAACTGGTGTCGAAGCTTGGCCTTCTCGCAAGATCATATGCGCTTGGTATTGAACCTGCGGCTGACGATGCAGCAGCCCTACTCCGTCTCGAGCTGGCCGTGATGGCTCTTGAAACCGATTCATATGGGGTGTCTGTGACGGCTTCTTCATACTCGTTCTCTCCTCCTTCATCGGACTCTTCTTCCTCTCCGGAGTCCTGGGGCTGCTCAGTGCGTCTGTCCAATTCCTCCTGCCGCTGCAGATGCGGGATATGTATAGGCCATATCAACAAGATACATACGACGCTGATCACGATTCCTAGGGCGAATGTGACTCTCATGCTCCTCGCGTAAGCGTCGATGACTTGCATCTTGTGTTTGGGGTCAAGGTCCCGGATCGCTCGTACTGACTCCCTAACCATGCGAATAATGTGCTCTTTGGTCTTTGGGTCGGGAGCCGTCACAATACGGTCCAGATACACCAGCAACGCATTTTGAAGAACCCAGCTGCTAATAGCGACACCGAGAATTGCACCCAGGTTCCTCACTAGTCCAAGGGTAGTCGTGACGACGGCCTGTTCGTCTTGAGAGTTCAAGGCGAGCACGGCAATGGTAGTTGCCGGGAAAAGGAGACCTTGTCCGAGCGAGCAAAAAGGTATGAGAAGCGGGACCGACCAGGTGGGCGTATCCGATGACAGGCATGTTACACAAATCGCTCCGATGAACGAAATCAACGTACCCGAGACCATGGGCGGTTTCATCCTGCGAGTAATAGTGATGTAAAGGCCGCATAGGAGTGCTGTGACCGTTCCACCTACCAACAAGACGAGTAGGTTCAGGCCTGATGCTGTCGGACTGCTTTGCTTGACCGCTTGAAGGTACAGGGGAACGTTGAATAACACCGTATTTGTGACAATAGCACTGAAGAAATTCGACCACATAAGGTTGCCAAGTGGTATCGTGGAAAGCAGGTTCAGGGGAAGAATTGGTAGCTGCGCCTTGCGCTCCACAAAATATAACGATGTCCCTGCAACGGCGAAGAGAACGAGACTGGTTATGACCAGGGGATGTGTCCAGGTGAAGACATTTCCGCCCAGGTTGACACCAAGAATCAGACAGGTCACAGTGATGGTGAGGTTGATTGCGCCAAAGGTGTCGAAGGTCTTAAAGGCCTGTCGAAGCGTCTTGCCTTGTGTTTTGGCCAAGTTTGGACCGAGATGTGGTGGGCAAGAGACGAGAGTCAGAATTGCGTAGGCGAAGATGAAGGGTAGCTGGACGTAAAATGCTGCTCGCCACCCCAGTCGATCACAGATGAAGCCGCCAAGTGCAGCGCCTAGCCCATTTCCGAGACCCCAAGCCTAATTAGAATCGTTGATCAGCAGGAATGTATACTGGAGGTGGTCTACTACAAACCATATTGAAATAACTTTGATAGATTCCTCGGTACTCAATCTTGACAACGTCGCTAGTCAATATCGAAGCCATCGACATAACCCCACCAGCACCTAAGCCGCAAACTGCTCTAGCAGCTATGAAGCTGCCAATGCTTCCTGCAAACGCACACCATGCGGTACTCGCAAAGAACATGACGGCTGCGAAGAAAACAACAGGTCGCCTGCCAATAGTGTCCGACACACGGCCATAGAGAGGCTGAAAGACCGTAGACGATAGGTAGAAGACAGTGCTTAACCAAGATGCCGCATTTGAGGCGTGGAAATAGGACGTGATAACCGGATGAGACGAAGCCATGAGCGTGGAATCGAAGAAAGCGAGTGTAGCCCCAAAGATTATGCTGAGGAAAAGAATGATAAATCGAGGGCCAGATATGTCGCGATAGTGGGTGTTGGACGACTTCTCTCTGGCAGATCTGGAAAGTAATGGTGTAGATTCAGTGTTCGTGATAGAGGGTGGTTGTTCCGGGCCGGCTTCAATGTTTGATCTTCCCTTGGGACTTGAATCAATCAGAGGAGGCCAGGTATCCTGACTAGATGGAGCCATCTTAAGGACCCAGCAGACGTGCTGTAGGGGTGCTTCCGTTGAGTACTAAATGTTGATCCTCCAGCAAGCCTAGCCGCGACAATGACTCCCAAAGTCGTGCTTGTTCCGGATGCTGACTTTTGTCTCAACAATACCTCTCACGGCGAGCGCGGATAATTATTGACAGGCGCTGACCCGGTAAGCCAGATGACAAGAAAAACCTCTCAATGCGGGCCACATCCCAGGTCTAAGCGGATGACCTCGTATGCACCATGTTGATACCTCGCTCACCTCTGACAATCCTGAAGGTGAAGCGAATGAAAGATTCTTAATCCTGAATCTCTACCCATCGAACCAAGCTCTAATATAGGCTTTTCGACATCAAATCGGGCTGTTCGCTGCGCTCATATCCGAGCACGGTTCGCATCCAATGGGAGAATTGATAGAATAAGGGAGGCGACTCCATGACAAGGCGTGCAGGGCATGAACAACCCGCAGCGGGACCATACAATTAGATAAGGGAAATCCACCCTCACATCACCACCATCATAATCGCCGCGCTGCTCGAATGTTGCGTTTGAGATAATCTTCTGTGTGGTTGGGGATATCTTGGTCGTCGTTCACATACGGCACGATGAACTTGAAATTGCACCAGCCTGTTCGGATAGCCATTCTTGAGTGCGACACGCCCTTGCCCAAGACGAAGGATAAATTTCAAGGGTATGGAGGCGTCTTTGAAGTCTTGCTGCGATCCGGCGCAAAAGCATTGGGTCGACCAGATCTAGACCCTGAAACCGGCCTCGAGATATCCAAATGGCAGGTCGAGCTGGAGCCAGAGCGTTATCCTGACCCAGGGACGATCGACGCCATCCTGATCACTGGTTCCAGTAAGTACTACGCCACTCGTGGGACGGGAAGACTGCCCTGTTCACTGCAGTGTCACAGCGAAGAGGTGATGTCGCGTTGCACATTCTCGTAGCAGGACAAACTGCAGCATCGTCCGAGTTCGACTGACCTCCGTCGCTAGAACATGACTCTTTCGCCGACACTCCATGGATCAACAAACTGGTCGATTACACAGCAATGATATCGTCAGAAACACAGGTCCGCGTCATCGGCGTCTGCTTCGGCCATCAGATCGTAGGACGGGCATTGAAAGCAGAAGTTGGACGAAATCCTCTGGGGTGGGAAGCTGCCGTCACTGATGTCGACTTGTCGGCGAAGGGAAAGGAGATCTTTGGAGTGGACAAGCTAGTATGTTGTCGTCCAGGACCTCTCGATAAATTACTCGTTACTGACACCTGCCTCCAGCGAATACACCAGATGCACCGTGACTGCGTCTTCTACTATCCAGAAGGCGTCGAAGAACTAGGATCCTCCCCAGTCTGCAAAGTACAGGGCATGTATTCGCCTAAACGATTGATGACGGTTCAAGGGCATCCGGAATTCAACAAGGACATCATGCGCGAAATTGTGGATACTCGACATGCCACTGGAATCTTCGACGACAAGGCTTATGAAGAGCATGAGAAGAAAGTGGACTTGCCCCATGATGGGTTGATCGTTAGTCAAGCATTTCTGAGGTTTCTAACGGAAAAGTAGACCTGGGACTTGTCGTGGAGTCTGGACAGATTGAGGGATTCGGATAGAGTCAGCCGGGGAAGAACTCAACATTGTGCATCGTTTTACAAGTTGGACGACCACGGACAGTGGCTGTCGGCATATAGCCTGGTTCTTGAACTCTCCTTTCGATGTTGATGCCCGCAGTCATTCCTATGACACCATTCTGTCGGCATCAGCAGCACCAGCAGGTATCTTCCCTTCAGCAAGGTCCTTTTCTATCCTTGTAATCTCTGCAAGACTCTTTGCATTCTTGATCATTTCTTGCACCCTCTTCTTCTCCGTCTCTGTCAATTGTGTCCGCACACCCTTGCGTTTGCTCTCAGCACTCCCGTTGACACCCGCACCAGGCACATCGAAAGCCCTTGTCTTGATGCCTTTGATTTTGGCCGCCAATTCCGACGGTGTGTCAGCAGTCCCGAACAACTCGTTGGCTTGCTGTCTTTCGGCGTCGCGAACTTTCTGGAAATCGAGAAACCGTAACGAGGGGATCGTCCAGATGAGGTATGATCTGTAGTGCTGTAATGAACGCGAGTCAGCATCTGAACCTTGAATGTCACGCTTCATGTCCTCTGTCCTCACCTCTTTCCTCGTCACCGGATTTTCTAGTAGACTCAGGTGTGTTAACTTCCCGCACAGGCTTAATCCCTCGAGGTCCGCCAACTCTTTGACATGATTTGACGTGAGAACTAGTGTCGTCAAGTTCGGTAATTGCTCTGCTATCCTCTTGTCGACGCCTTGTATCCGGTTCCGTGCGAATAATAGGGTGTTTAAACGGGGTGAGAGAGGAAAATTGGAGATTGTGGCGATGTCGTTGTCTGTAAAGTCGATGGCATCTTGCGGACCCGCAACACCAAGGTTTTCAATGGTAGGGATTTTATGGCCTATAACGTCAAGAAAAGACAAGATTGTGGTCAATTATGCTCTGCATATCAAGATTCAAGTGTAGCATCTGCTCTTTTCAGACATACCTCGGAGGTCGAGCTCGCGCTCCTTGAGTGGATTTATGTAGGACAGAGAGTTATTGATTAGATCGGCTGTGAGCCTCATGATTGTGGAGGGAGAGAGGAGGATTCGGGCGCTCAGCGCACGGCTTGGTAAATAGAAACAAGAGCGATCGTGAGCGCCTAAGTTACTGACGTAGGCTGAGAAAAGCACCCGATTTACGACACCGATACTGACAACGTCCTTTCGGTGTCGGCTTGGGCCTCAATCTCTTCACACCTCAAGCTCGGGTGAAGCCTAGCAGTTCGTAGATCGCTTCTGCGCGTGCTCTCGTGAGTGTGCAAGCGGAGCAGGTAATTGCCGGTAGCTTTGCTATTGGTGTCAGACTGGCACGGTATACAGCTCGACTAGGGCCGGAGAATAGTGCAATTTTCCGCGCGATCGGGGTCGAAAGGTGTGGTAGTTCTTCACAATTCATATGTCAACAACAACTCGACGTAGCGCAGGAACTTTTTTCAGCGACGGAGCGGAAGAATATGCCAAGCCGGCTAAAGCCCGGTTCCCTTTGAGACAGATTGTCCTGCCGCTTTTGAGGATTTCCACTTACAACCGGCTTCTCCGATGGGATTAACGACGCGCATTCCACTTTTTACAGTACACTAGAAGCTGTTGGCGCTGGGAATCGATCGTATAGGTCCAATTGGTAAGGACAGGCGAGCAAGCAATCCAAATGAGGCAGCAGGGCGCTCTTAATAGATCAAAGGCTCATTTCAGAGTCTACAACTTCGACCGCCTCCTCCGTTCCTTGACAGTCGCTTGTACACCCTCGACCGCAGACGATTCAGCCTCTTCGAACATCTGCTTGTTGAGCTTGGCCGCTAACGACAACACCCTTGTTGACACTGCTGCGCCATCGCGTCGGTTCTTACCTTCACGCCGATGGAGCGCAATGCTTTCGATAAAATCCCAGAGCCGGCCACTGGCTTTCAGTTCGCCACTCGTGGCATCTCTTTCCGGCGTCCACTCGGGAGCCAGTCGAACCATGGTTGGAGTTTTAGAATCCTTGCTCTTGCTCACCAGAATGATTCCTTCTTCTTGAAAGCGGCTGTAAGCGTTCTTCAGAGCTTCCTTGTTCACCGCTTCGAAGTACGACAGGTCACCTTGGTGATAAAGCGTTCTTCCTCCAAGTTGAGCAGTATTCTGCGCTTTCTGCATATCAAGCCAGGTGATTGTTGAGTTCCTTGGTGGGACTAGAACCAACAAAGAGACCGCTCCAAGCCAGGCCGCATCCACAAATGGCCAGATAAGAAAGCAATAAAAGTCAAAGTTCTCACGTCCCAATTTACGTTCTGCATCCGACAGACCAATCATTCTCTCGTCATCTTCAGTGACCGAGAGCACATCATCGCGCAGTAAGCCTTGCACAGCTGCTTCTAGGTTGTGTCTCAAACCTTGCCCAGCCGGGAAAATGAATTCTCCCCTGAATAACTGAGACAAGAATGTGACCTTGCTCGTCAGTTCTGTCTCCTTCATCCTCTGGTTTGCGCTGCCACCACCTTGCTTTACCTTTGTATACAACGATGCCGCTATCAGGGATTCCGAGATGAACAGGTGTATCGTCATGTTTCTGTAGAATGAAAGCTGGAATCGATCCACTGCATAATATGTCTCTTCTGCTAGACCATCAATCGTACCGACCATTTTGGGACCTAGGACCTCGAGCGCTCGCTCCACCACATATGAAGTTGGCATTCCGTGAAAATCTGCCACCTTTCCGCCATTTGCTCTTGTTCTGGCACACAGCCAGTCAACTCTGCGTACCAGCTCGGACTTGCCAACGCCTCGACCACGAAGCGTAAGCAGGACCGTGCCGACCAGAGCCGTGGGCATGATAACGGAAGCTGCATTGATATCAGACAAGACCTTGTAGCCGAGTGTTCTGAGCAACCGAATCCGAGTGCCAGAATCTGTGGCACTCGAAGACAAGTCTTCGTAGCCTGGTTGATCCCGACGCTGCGTTTGTTCCTTGATGAATTGTTTAAGACTCCAAGGTTCGTGGAATCTGCAATCCACCCTTCCTAGATTGAGTGACAGGACAGATGAGGAGGACAGGAAACCAGCCAAATTTTCCTTCTGCTTCGGCTTTCCCAGCAGTTCATTGACATATGAGTCCACCTCAATGACTTTGTCATACTGAAGCGATACTGGACAAATGTAGGCATCGTCTGTCCTTCCGGACAGAACAGAATCGAGCAGAAAACTCAAGAAACCGAAACGAGGACCTAGTAGCTTCCCAGTCCGGCTTCTTGTGCCTTCGATAAAGCATTCCAGATTGTAGCCTTTCTGTAGCAAGGTATCAAGATATGCTTGGACGACGGTGCCGTAAAGCTGATCGTCATTAAAGCTTCTCCGAATCCACATTGCCCCACAGCTCTGCAAGAAGTTGCCTACAAGGGGAAAATTGAGGTTGTCTCCGGCGACAACGACGGGTAGTGTGAGACCCAGTCGATAGCATATCAGATGTAGAGTGACATAGTCGATGTGGCTGGTATGTCTCGGCAGGAACACAATAGATTGATTCTTCTTTGCCGCTTGCGTTGCGACTTCGCGAAGCCGCTTGACTTCGGCTTCGGAGACATGGATGGCGCTGTAAGCTCGGGTGAGCAACTGCGTTGTCACGTAGAATGCGCTCCGAATATATGGTTTGCTCTCCATCTTGCACATCATGGTATCAACCATGTCACTGGTAATTTCGAGCACTTGAGACGTGATCTCATGCCTACGCTTTTCCCGATCTGACAGATATGTTGGGCTGGTCTCATCGAGGTAACTCTCCTGCTCTTCTATAGCCAAACGGGCCTCTGTCAACTCTACAACCTTTCGACGTAACAGTGGAGACGCCATGACTGCGGATTTGATGTTGGCCGTGTAACCGGGGTAGAAGACCGGTTGGCCAACGACATGATCGTAACTCCGCCAGCCGACCCCTCGCACAAACAATGCAATCTCATGAGCGAAGTTGAAAGGATTCTTTCGGAATCTGGCCATGCGCGTGAGGATGCTCTGCTCGGTAGGGTCGTCATTGTCCTGGAGGACAGTCTCCGGCCGGACGAGATCAGCCATTCTTGTGCTGAAGGAGGATTTGAGGGAACCAAAAACTGGTAGAGCTTATGCATAAGCCAGACATAGTATTGTGCGAGCAGCCATATCCATCGGCAAATGTCCAAGGTGAAGGCAGGACAGCACTTCTCCCTCAGCAGTAGACGCAGGAAGGTGATTTGAGGATCAACAACCGAGGAAATGGCGACCTCCGCAATTTCCCCGGACTGGATCACGTGATAATGCCTTAGCCACAGCCTCCTCGCCTCCATACCAGCCGCTCTTCCCTAAGTCTTTCATGATAGAAAGAATGGGGCAGTAAATGAAGGCACTTTGAGAGCGCGAAAGTCCGTCGTAAGACGCTTGAAGAACAATTATGGTGGGTTTAACATTCTATTCGTATGTTATCGCCAATGCCATTCGCAGCCTCGTGAGGCTGCACTAAACTGCAAACGGAAGACACCGAAGTTGGCCTATCTGCTTTATCCATCACGTGAGCCGACGCAACATTGGCCCTTGCGGCGTGTCTATCGATCGTTCATTTTGAACCCTCCCTCGCCTCCGCTCTCTTCCCATACACAATCATAGTCGACCTGATCATTCGTCATTCGTTCTCATCCTGCAATCCGTATCATCTTGTAATAAGTTTTCTCTCCCTTCCGTTCGTTGGCCGGCTCCAACTTCATATGACAACCCTGCGCTTCAACCTCGACATGCAATGAGTGATTTCTGCCATGGTCAACAAAGCTGATGAACGATACGGAGTGGTGCTGGACGCTGGTTCGTCCGGTACCAGAGTGTACATCTACAGTTGGCTCCCGAATTCACTCGCTAGACTTGACAAGTCTTCACTACAATCCCTCCCCGAGTTGGAAACAAAAGACAAATGGACCAAGAAAGTCCATCCGGGAGTTTCGACATTTGGTGCAAACCCAGATTCAGTCGGGCCGGATCACCTCAGACCGCTTTTACAACATGCCCTCCATTATATCCCTAAAGAAGCAGTCCCTGAAACCCCCATATTCCTACTCGCAACCGCTGGCATGCGCCTTCTTCCTGAACAACAGCAAAAGGACGTCTTGCGCAATATCTGCTCGTATATTCGATCCGAGACCGAATTTTCCCTACCCGACTGCGATGTACATATACAAGTAATACCTGGCGAGACCGAAGGGCTGTATGGCTGGATTGCTGCAAATTATCTGTTAGGAGGATTTAATTCACCACAAGACCACGACCACGGCAAAGGACATCATACATATGGCTTTTTGGATATGGGTGGTGCATCTGCACAGATCGCTTTCGCACCAAACGCAACAGAAGCGGAAAAACACGCAAATGACCTGACACTGCTGAGACTTCGAACGATAGACGGCCTACCGCAAGAATACAAAGTCTTCGTTACAACATGGCTCGGTTTCGGTGCCAACGAGGCTCGGCGACGCTATGTCCAAGACCTCGAAGAATCATACGGGATTGACGGCCTCCTCGAGATGCCAGACCCATGTCTGCCCAAGGGCCTGAAACTAACAGAGGATGGCGAAATCCTGTCTTCAGCCGACGAACCTCACCCGAACCGCTTTCTTCTTGGAACAGGGAAATTTGACGAATGCATGCGCCGGACGTTCCCCCTTCTCGAAAAGGACATCCCTTGCCCCGATGAACCCTGCCTGATCCACGGCGTCCACGTGCCCGCCATTGACTTCGAAGTCAACCACTTCATCGGCATAAGCGAGTACTGGCACACGACGCACGAGATCTTCGAAATGTCCCACAAGGACAAAGCATACGACTTCAACACATATCAAACCCGTGTCAAGGAATTTTGCGAACAGGACTGGTCGACCATCCAGAAAGGTGTGGCAGATAAGACCTGGGGCAAGAAAGTGGACGAACAGACAGCGCTCGAAGTCTGTTTCAAAGCGAGCTGGTTGATCAACATGCTTCATGATGGTATTGGCATTCCGCGCGTCGGTATTGAAGACACGGACACGTCCTCGCACAATGGGACGAAAGAACTTCTCGAGAGCAGCAAAGAGAAGGGATTCCTTGACCCTTTTCAGGCTGTGAATAAAATCAAGTCAACCGAAGTAAGCTGGACGATGGGCAAAATGGTCCTCTACGCGTCCGCAGATATCCCCCCGGCGCATCAAGACGACTTGCCCGTTGGCTTCGGCAGCAACGTTCCCGGCGTGCCCGAAGACTTCCAGTATCCGAGCGGTGGCAAGCTGCAAAGCATCGACGTCCCTGATTCCCACCATCCTGCAACAGAAAGCCAGAGCATAACAGACCAAATTCACGACACGCTCTTCCATTCCGATGCCCCGCACCGCTTGCCGGGCTTTATATTCTTCCTTCTCATCCTTATAATCGCAGCCTTCTACCTCTGCGGACGGGACAGGCGGTCAAGGATATACAATTCGCTCAAGTCATCGTCTTCCTCTCCCTCGACATCGAAGTCCTCGAAACCTCCATCCTCCTCCTCCTTCTTGGGTTCTCTCCTCGGCCGCACCCGACACAGCGACCGGGACCGCGACCTCGAAGACGGCACAAGCTCGTCAACGCGCCTCTACGACCCCGCTGAGTTTGAACTGGGGAACCTCTCAGCCTCTAGCTCGGACGATGATCTTGTCTCGCATACTCCCCGTCCAGGATCTCGGTCCGGTATGAACATAAACAACTTATCAATGTCCCCGCCGAGTAGTCGACGCCATCTGAACAGGTTACGAGCTGACATCATAGACCGAAGAGGTCTGGTTGTCAGGACCGAGAGTTGCGAACGGCTTGGAGTCGATACTACCGGTGTTGGTGGTGCGAATGGGCGATCCAAGAGTAGGAGTGGGAGTCCGACGCGGCTCAAATGAGACCTTGTTCATAGACTGTTGGAATGAATCGAGTTCCACGACTCATTGTGTTGTGTTGAATGATATACTTTATGATGTTAGAATGAATTTTATAGGAAGATGATCAGATTAAAAGGTTACATCATTCTGTGCTTGCCCTCATTCGATGGTGAGAGATTTAAATCACGGCTCCCTATTCGCAGCACGCTTGCCACCGGTCACCGCCTCGGGCAGTTTGAACTCGGGAATGCCAATATCGCCTTCAACCATGACCTCCTTGACGGGCCTGAGCAGACTCGAACTCGTCCCACCCGTGCTCCCGGCCTTCCTATTCTCGCGTTCTTTGTCTCTCTGACTCACAATCTGCGGCAACGTGGCGCTGACTTCCCGATAAAACGCTTCGAGGCGCTCCTTGTCATGACAGAACGCTTCCAAGTCATTCTTGATCTGCTCGGGCGTGACGTACTGCGTCAGCATATGTCCGCCGCCGCCGCCGCCGAGAAACACGGTCTGACGAAGACCCGACCCAAACACGTCGGCGGTGACTTGAGGCGTATTAGCAGCAGCCGCCGTCGTGGCCGGTAGCGGGACGTTCACGGCCGAGGATGATGCCGATGCCGATGTCGTGGTCGCTGTGCCTGTGCCTGTGCCTGTGCCTGTGCCTGACGCGGATGCCGAAGAGAGACTCAGACTCGAGATTCCTGCTCCTGCTCCGGCACCGGGCGTTGCCAGTGGCGTCAGAGATAGTGGCCGGATCAGCGGTGAAGCGAAGGGCCCGGCCTTGGGAGATGCCACGTTCAATCCGATAATACCGGACGCTTGCATGCTCGGCGTGGGACTGAGTTGGGTGGTGGTGGTCGAAATACTCGGTGGCAGGCGAAGTAGCATGGAGCTTGCGGCGTTGGTTATTGAGTCCCTCTTGCTGCTGTCGAATTTGTAAGACGTATCCTTTGCCGAGGCGAGCCGCGAGTTGTACAGTCTGTTCGCGAGCAAGAGGATATCACCTTCATCCGTGATCTGCGCCATCCCGACACCGGACCGGTGCACGAATTGTGTATACTTGTAATCCAGCGTGCCCCATGAGTACCTGATCTCGACGTTTTCGGGAAACTCGCTTGCGGCTTCGAGGTCGAGGACGAAGTTGAACCGCTTCAAAAGGGCCTTTTGGTAGAGGTGGACATCCGAATTCAACGGTGTTTGCGGGCCGAAAGATGTCGCGGTGAAATATACGTTGCTGACCGACGCACGACGGGGGGGTTCGACGGCTAATCTGATGCGATAGGGAGCGCGGAAGGGTTCGTGTTTGGGAACCTCCGAAGCTTCTGCTATTGGGACCTCGACGAGCTTCAAGCCATATCTTTCAGCTTGAGTCGTCCAACTGACAATGGCATCGTCGACAAGCTTGGAGGTCACGTTCAGCCAGGCTAGTTCAAGGTGATAACAGTTCTCTGGGTTGTGCAGTCTGTCGTAGTGCAAATTGATGATCTCGTGCCTGTTGGAGCGTTTTCTGGTATCAACATCGATGCGGATCATTTTGCTCAACGTGACGGTCCGTCTCTTCTTGTCGCCCAGCGACTTCGCTATTTCGGAGCTGACTTGCGCTTGATTCGCCAGACTCGACCCTGACCGTGTCCGCCCGGTGAACATTTCGCGCGGCGGTTGCTCGTTGATAGGCGTTGCAGGCACCGACCGATCTGATCGTCGACTTGCCGGAAACCAGGACTGTCTGGCCTCTGGTCGCTGAAAGCGCCATTCAGGCTTGATAGAGTAGAAGTAATTGCCGTCTTTGAAGTTATGCCGGCTGTTGACGTGTTCAAACAAGCCTTCTTTCATCAAATCATTGCCGAGCTCGACCGCCTCATCTCGAGTTTCAATGTCCCTGAAATTATGCACCAGCCAGTTGGTCAGATCTTCTCCCATGAAACAGCTATAGTGCAGCCGCAGATGCCATCGCCGGTTCTTGATCTCGATCCCTTTGTCGCTTTGCAAGGCTTGCGCTAATTTGGACAAGCTGAAGCTATCTCTATCGAACTGATCCTCTTCAGGGAGGAGCTGAGTGGGCTGTACTTCACCGGCTTCTTCTGCAGCAAGTAGCTTATCGAGCTCCGTTGCCACCAACTCAGATGGATTGAGGGTTTCCAAGTTGATACTCAACGGATTTCGATCCTTTCGCTTCAAGGTACTCGCACGAATCTGAGCAGGTCTTCTCTCGTCAGGTGGTACGTAGCGAGCCTTTTGCCACATCTGGGTCAAAGCCCGGATGCCGCGTAGATGTATCTCCTCTTCGTTCTCTTCACCTTCCGACGGCACTGCTCTGCGGGCGCTTGTAGGCGGTTCAACTGGAATCAGCACAAAACGGGCGCGCCAGAACCGAAGAGCTTTGATATCTGCCTCGGCCTGCTTGCCTACATCCGAGAGGTAATTATCTGCGGCCTCCCATGGGTACTGCTCGGAGAACCCTTTGAACTGCATATCTCGTATGGCGTAATTTTCGGAGAGGATGGTTCTGATGTTTGGATAATAGTTGATCTGCTGGGGATATTGAGGTTGTACAGCGGGCTGCTTCCGCACGTATCGGGTGACTCGAATGCGATCTGATTTCTCCAGGGACAATTTTTGGATCGTATTGCCCATGGATAAGAATATGAAAGAGCCGTCGGGTCGCACCACATCGCTCGTGAAGAATGCCGAACTGTCGCAGGTGCCGGGCCCAACAGATTCAACCAAGGATGGACCGATGACTAGTTGGTAGCCATGGGAGAATCGTAGGGCCAGCATTTCCCTCAGCAGTGTATCTCGCGACTCCGGAACTTCAAGCATGTCGTTGGACATTTCAAGATGCACGTCGTAAGTCATTGAGTCGTACTCGGTTTGGAGGTCCTGTCTCGAGGGGAAGTCCGATGTTGTCAACGGGACTGAAGCGGGAGTACACAATGAACGCCATTTAACGGTTGCAGCACGTGGCTTTCGTGGATACAGATGTTGCCATCTGCCGAAAAACGATTCTCGCTCTGGGTGACGCTTCAATGGATTCGAAGCGTTGACATTCCGCACGTAAGGGAGATTGCTTTTGGGCACCGAACTTGCCACGGATGTTCCGAGCCAGCTGTCATCCGCTTCTACACTGTCACTGTCATCTTCAGCGCTGCCGGCGGACGTGCCAGACGCCTCGCTCTCTGACCCTTTGTCAGTCCCAGAGTCCTCTTTGGCGCCACTAACTTCTGTTTGGGCATGGCGAGATGTTGAACCCGACCGAATTGACTCGGTAAACCTATCATCGTGGTGCTTCCGTAATGGCGTGTTGATAGAGATTGGTTTTGAAGGCACACCTGCTGCACGTCTAGCCGGTGTAGTGTTTGTACTTTCCGTCCGTGAATTTTCACCAAGATCTTTCTCACCAACGACACTGGCCGTGGACACCGATCGAATGCTTGCGGCCGAGGTGGCAACTGTCGGTTTCGATTTGCCAATTAGCTTGCTCATCAACGGTTGCGCTTGTACGTTGGTGGTGTTAACCTCCGTACTAGCTACAGCCCTGACTGGAGGAGCCAAACCTCGCAAAGAGTAGCTGAGATTACGGTTTACCTTTGAAGGCTCTGACGTTCGCTTGTGTGGAATCGATTGGTCTGATGCATCTACTGAGACCAATGAAGGTAGATGAGGTCGGAAAGGAGTGTTGAGAGGTTTATGGGACAGCACTTTCGTCAGCTTGGACTCGGGGTTAGTCTCCTCAGCCGTGGGTCGGACCTTGCTTGGGAGTTTAGAGGAAACAAAATCAGTGCTTTTTGTGAGACTTGAAGCTTGTTTGAAGCCTTTAGCTAGCATCTGGTGACCCGGCCGTGAGCGAAATAACGTGGAATCATAGTTCTCCATACGGTCAAAAATATCCCCTAGAGCTTTCGCGTGCGTAGACAGAAGCCCTTGATTGGAAGGAACAGGATCGATCCTGGATCTGATCCTGCGTGATATCGTTGGAGAATGAGATAGACTCCTGGCAGCACTCGCACGCCGGGTTTTGGATTTAAAGCGGGTGGACTTGCTTGCCGCTGCGTTTTGCGTTTCACTCATGAAGGGAATGCTCATGTCTGCCAGTCCCAGTTCCATGAGTCCCATCATTTGGATCTCATACATCCTAACTCGTGGGACAAAAGGATGCTTCTTTCTTTTTGCTTGCATAGATTTATGCTTGGGCTCATCTTCGCGAGCTATGACGTCCAGATACTCGTCTTCAGCGGACCAGTACGAAAGATCAACCCATTGAGGTATTCCGAAGCACCATCCATGCACGCCATCCCAGGTCTGCCCTGAGATGTGACTGGTGAAGTGTCGAAGACTGTTGGACGTGATGGAGGACAAAGCTGGTGAGAGCTTTCGGGGTTGGCTGGAATCGTAGAAGGCTGGACCTGATCCAGATCGCCGCGGACTGATGTTGAGGCCGGAGGGGATAGAGAGTTGGGTAGAGTCTTCAACGGGCGCATGTCGATATTTGAATAGTGGCACCGAGTGCAGCGGCATTCGAGACAGGCAGACAATGTCAATTCCAACGCCATTGTTGGTTAGGTTCTGCGAAGTCAAATTGAGAAGATCACGGTTGACTTCAAACACACCAGTCCCAGCACTGATGACCACAACTGACACGCCGGTACGAATCAGATCACGGTCAACGAAGTCATTGGCGAATTGTGCACAAGCAATGTTGATGGCTTCCAGGATATTGCCCTTCAGGGCAGTGCTTGGCCTTCCAGCTATACGTGTGGCGTTGCTCTTTGCGTCTTTGATCGCTATTTCGTTGTTGCTTGAAGTATGAAGGGATATATCTCTCAGAAAGACACGAAAATCTTTTTTGAGTTCGTTCAAAATGGTTGTCCACTGTGCACTGGCCATGTCCGTAACAACAACTCGGTAGAAATCTTGATATTGCCTCGCGGTCATGTTGGGAGCCCCTGTGACCGAAGCTGTCTCTAGCCGTCGGTCCTTGTTCCTGGCGAGGTCGAAGCGGTCGTATTCTAGGCGGCCGAACATGACAATGCTGACCAAGTGGCGGACATCCAAGTCAGTCCACCTCTTAAAGAGCTCAGGCAGGAAGCCATTGATGACGCGGTTAAACATTATCTCGCCATTCCCCTCAGAGTCAAAGTCCCACATTTCACTGGACATCTGTATGAAAAGCACGTATCGTGCAGCCTCGCTGCGGAAGATGGGGATGGTGGTGCCTGCGAAGTATGCTGTGGGCACTTTATGGCTCTGGACATGTATCGACTTCACTGTGAGCTTGATTGTGCCTAGAAAAGTGATCTTCTGTCCTGTGTAGATTGTTCTTCCTGCCAATTCTTGACCAACAAGCCGCCACATATCGGACCTTGCCAAGTACGCGTCTCTAAAGCTGAACTCGACATGGGAAGCCGTGCGGTCTTCGAAGGAAGCAGGCTTAATCCATACTTGGGAACGCGACCGAAGACCGAATGTTGTGGCGATGTTGGCTTTGATCGAGACTTGCAGACTTGCCTGTCTCGCTGTGAGTTCCGCTGGTGCGAATTTGGTGATGCAGAGATAGCGCGGCTCAGAGCCTGAGTTGGCATCGAGTCTCGCTCTTTCAGTCGCATTGGTAGGCGACTGGAAGTCGCGAACATCCGAGGTCTCTTTCTCGGGAAATATCTCAATCAAGCTGCCTTCGCGTATGTCTGAACCCCCGAGACAGGTCTCGTTGATGAGCACATCCTCAGATGAGAAATTGTCATCGTGGACCCAGAGTGCAGCGCGGACTGGTGGAGTGACTTGAGTGTTGTGAGCGCCATCGCCCAACCCCGAATGAGACTGTGCCGCGACTCTCACCGTGGAGCCGCTGCTCGTTCGACGATGCCGATGTGAGTCCTGCATATTGGGACGAGTCGATGCTTAGATCATGCTGCTTTTCATAATGATATCGGGAGAATTCCGTACTCATAACTGGCGACCAAGGCGTAAGGGCTCCTGTTAAAGTGGGAGATCATGACGTCCGCTGACGAGGGATAGCGTAGCCTCAATTTTCATCAGGCTTGGACGAATGGTCCACGTTCTCCCCGGACAGGTACTGGGTCGAATGAAAAAGATTCTTCCGCATGAACCAAGGCCACCCAGACCGATGCGCGACGCTTTGAATTGACGTTTGATGCTGCCTCGATGCCAAGGCATATACAGATCACGTGATCATCACCGTCTGCGGGTCACCGTGAACATGGAAAATCGAAGGCGAGTACTCGGTATGGTGAAGTACTGCTATGCAGTTTAATATCAAATGGATGTGTCCTCGTATAGTCAGGATACATCGGTCTTCTAGCATCTCTAATGATACATCTACTCAAAGGGTATCTTGGCGGGTAAGAGGACTTCACATTTCACGAAGTCCTCACCGTGATCATCAGTCATCATATATACAAGTCGTGCAGCAGTCTACCAGACACTCCTCGTCTCAACGTTCAGAAGCCACTTCTTGACCCCCTCACGCAAGACATTGTCTTGCTTCATGTCTTGCTCCAGTGCTTTGCCATCGACTTTTAGATTGCCGTTGCCGTCTTTCGAGCGATGATGCTTCGCCAAGTCATTGTTGACACTCTTGACGACTTCCTCCAAAGCCCCGACGACTGCTTGTCGGCAGTCTGACCGGAAAAGCATCGGCGTGCGAGTCCCGTGCCTGGCTTTACCTGAGCTAGAGATCTCCAATGGCTCAGACCTCATGGATGAGGCTGCGGATACGGTCCTCAAGTGTGCTCTGGAAGGAGTTACCGACATATGTTTCGGCTGCTCTGCCTCATAAAGGACCCGCTCGATCGCATCAGTGAGAGTGGTGTCAAAGTCCATCACTGTCTCGCTCACGAACCGCTCGCCATCATTATCTTGAAACACGGGGGCTTTGCGATATTGCAACGTCCCAGATTTTGAAGGAATATTGTCCGATTTGCCTGTGGAGTGAGGGACGTTATTGTCTGCGAACGTGTCCTGGTTTACTCGACGCTGCAAAGTCAGGCGACGGATGGTGAATGTCCGGCAGTCAGCGAAGAGTGTGGTGCAGACATTGATCCACAATTCCCCATCTCGCTCTTCTGGCAATGATCCACGCAGCTCTTCGCTGTTTGTAAGTTCCCTCGACATACTTTGCCTGACTTCCTCTTCAAGCTCCTGATACGGCTTTACACCTTGAAGGATGAAATCTTCATGATATCGCTTGAGATAGCCCGCCACGTTTAGTGGACTTGAACTCGTGCTTTCGGTACCATTGGAGCGCAGGCTCAAGAACGAGCCTCCTTCATCGGTGCTAGCGATGGATGGTGATCGAACGCGAAGTGATGAAGCAGGTGAAGGAACTTTCCCCTCCGTCCAGCCTACAAATCCTGGTAGGCAAATGTCGACGTCAACCACTCCATCTTTTTCGTCGACTTGAAGCCGCGGCGGATGCGTTTGGCTGGCAATCGTAGATGGAGGTCTTGTAGGTAGTATAACTCCAGTACTTTGGCCTTCCGTTGAAGTATCGCGCAGATTGCTGGCCTCATCCACCATTTTTTCTAGATGAGTCGGCCGTCTTGTTTGTATGGGAACAGATCGGGGAGCATGTCTACGGCGGTCCCTCAGACTTCCTGTGGTAATCGAAGTCGGAGCCTGATTCATGGTAGAGGACGAATTTGACCCTTTACCCCACAGCCCACTGACGTTGCTGATCAATGAGCCCCAGTTGATGCTGGATTGGCCGGCCTGAGAGTGACTGACGCTATCCCTTCGAAGAATCCTAGCCAGGTCAGCACTGGCACCGGTCTCTTCGACATCCGCTACAGCTGTATCAGGGAAATAGCTATCGGTCTTGGTGGAGAAATGAGGGACAGGGGTACTAGTGCCTGGGGTGGCGGTCGAACTTGTGGCGTTTGTTTTCTGCATTGAGCTGCGTCCGTCAGGTGTGAATACTGACAATGGTTTGTTGGCTCCTGATTCGGCGTCTGCCCGGGACAGAACTGAACGGGAACTGCTTGGTAAGGCCCTCCGAAGTCCTCCAAGACTGTCGGTCGATGATGCACTGGTGGACAAGCTGGATACCTCCCGAAGCGGAAAAGTCACCGAGCTTTCTCGCGACTTCGAGTGGATGTGACGACGCGTGGAGGCCCCATTGACCGTCTTGCTTGCAGCTGAAGAGGAGTCTATGTCGGGAGTCAGGATCGGCACCATACATTCAGCGCCCGCCTTCGCAAGCGCGGTGGCTCCCACCGAGGGTGGCAGAAATGAAGCCAGCAGGAATATGAGGCGTCGTGTCATTGATCGGTTGTCGCAAATAATAACGGTACGAGATGCGAGGCAGCTTGATGGAGTTCGAGCCTTATTTAGGGACTTGATTTGTTTCCGATACCAGTCTGGGCCCAGCCACTCAAGCCATTCAGTATGGTTCCCAAGAAAAGCAGTCAGGAGATTGAAGAGAAAAAAATTCTGCTGTTTGTTACCGCAAACACGGACGAGGTACCGGGCTTCATCAACCCAGTGGCCGCCATTGTCGAGACCGAATCCAGTGAGCACGCGTGGGATCCGTAGGGCGTACGACATTCGCCATAGTGCATGTTTCACCAACGGATGCATACGCGCGGTCTGAGCCAGCAGATTAGGACATCTGAGATAGACGTTGCGCTGATTGGTACGCTGCTCTGCGGGACCTTTTGGAGCTTTTGCGGCTGAAGAAATCATGGCCAAGTTCACCTCCTGTAACAGATCACCAATCTCAACATGAGCAGCCCGTTCGACAACAGAAAGGCTTCTCAAAATCACATCCCAATTTTGCACAATTATGTCCATGCTTCGATCGGTCAGCTGACCGGTTGCTTCTGGAGATGTTAGGTGCTCAGGAATTGCATTCAGGAATGTCCAAGAGGCATCGGATCCGTAAGAACCAGGGGCGGACGCTCCGGTGAAAGAAGCCCTGGAGGCTGGACGGGTGGAAGAAGTGCCCGGGCGATTATCGCTAGACCGCGATATATAGAACAGCAATCCAATCGCATAGACTGGAGTCTTTTTTTCCACAAGCTTGGGCTTCTTTCCCTGGTTAGCTTGACCCTCAGGTAGTTCTCGGCCATGCGTTGTTGGACTTGCGACGTCACTCTGCCCTGCTGAAGAGCTTCGATGCTGTCTCAGATCATCCTTAGTTTCGGGTAATGTGACGGGGAACATCCGAGTGATCAAGATGGAGTCTCGACCTTCGACCTCGGATCCCTTGGGCGCTACACTCTGACGGTGAGTAGTGGCGGCGTTTATGGAAGTCTTTGCTCGTAACAGAGGGGCTCGGACTGCAGCTGCATTGGGAGCATTCGAGGTTGGTGTTCTAGCAGTGGGACCACTGGTAGCAGTATGATCTCCTGGCAAAACATGTATCTTGGTGCTTGATCCTGACTTTGTGGCACTGGTAACTCCAAACATGCAGTCCAGGATATTGCTGAGATGGTCTGTCGGTTCAGACTCTTTATTGGGGCGAGCCCATGACGCCGTCGACCCAGAAATTGTAGAGCTTCTATTTCTCATATGGCCCGTGACTGGCGGACTGTGTTCGGGTCTGGATGTCGCGTCGTTGGCGAACGGAGAGGCATGCTGCCTTGTAGGGAGAGCGGCATCAGAGATCAACTCGGCGGTGGCGGTATCGTAGAGGAGCAGAGGGCGGTCATGCGTGCCAAATGCATCTTGAGCGATAATGATTCTCAGATCTTTGGTCTGATTCAGGTCCAAGCCTATTCGATCGTCAAAAGGCGAGGCGCGAACATTTGGCGAGCCAAATGGAGTGGTAGGCGGTGAGAGAGAGCCATAACGTGCGTCGGGAGAGATCTCTGGCCAGAGAAGAGTGCGGGTGTGAGTCTCGTCGGTTGCGCTCTCCAGCTGCCCGCCTCTGGAGTATCCTTGTATCAGTCTTCCCAGCATCTCCGTATGATATTTTTACACCAGGAACACCTCGATAGGAGAGCGGCCGAGGGCATCACTTCACAAGAAGGTCAATGCACGAGTAGACTGGTGTCAAAATAGGCAGGAGTTGCAGTTGAGGGTCAATGCCTGCACCGGAAGGATAACGACGAGGTTGGGAGGGCTTCGCCATGGCACTGATGCTATTCAGCAACAATGACAGAGAAGGATTGGAAGTAGATGGCCGAATTGTAACAGGAAAAAGTGCCGTTGTAGTTGTGGTCGAGAATGGAATGGCTTCAAAGCACCGGCTTCCGCATTCCCACGACTTTTGACGAGACGTCGAGCCGGTTTCGAAAAAGGGTGGCACTGTCTGACGGCAGGAGTTCGTCGGCTTCACCTGGACGTCCTTGACGTGATGATACTCGTTGTCTATCCGGAGTCCTTCGTATACAACGTTATAGCGTAAGTCGTTGACACACGGAAGGCCGTTAGTACCATAGTGCCACGATCATAACTCCAGTGATCTACCGTTAGCAGACTCCCTATCTTCAAGCTGGAGTTGAATGCTTCCTGTCAGACGATGCCATTTCTTCTGGAAACCGCCTCACTTTCTCGTTTTCGCTCTGATGCAGGAATTACGGTGAAGAATTGGCCCAAAGCGCCTAAACCGCTTCCAGCATTTCACTAAACAACTTCGTCACCTCATTCATGCAGCCCGGACACCGCATCCTCCTCTTATTCGTCTTCGCTTCATCTCCATGCTGGCTTGGTGGCCATTGAGAGCCTAACATGGGCCAGGTACATGTCCAAACGCACCTCAGACCTCCCGGGCCCCAATGAGCTCGAATATTCCATCCTTTTACGAGTAAGACCCTCCTTCGGATACCGATCCATGAGCTTGTAAAGAGCAACAACTGGACCCTTGAGGTCGCGAGTGATCCTTAACTTCGAAGTTTTGAGCAGGCCTCGCAACTAGCAGCCGCCTCTGGAAGAATGCAATGTCGTCAAGCATGGTTGTTTGTACCGAGACGATCTTGAGTTGCTAGTACTAGGTCCAGTTGCCCATTGCCGTGCTACGGGGCCTATATAAATCCCAAGTACGTCAGGAGTAGGGCGAGTTACAATAGCGACAATGGCTATATATGGGCCCATGAAGACGACGGGGACAGTTGCCCAGACCAGCGGCCGCGAGGCTGCGATAGCCCTAGCTACAACGCGCTCTTGTTGTTTAACACGGGATGCATGCTCAAGCCCAAATCTGCCCTCTGGCGGCCGTCTTGGAATGAGATGAAGACAGCAGTTGCGCGTCTGTGGCACGTCAATACCTCAAAAGCATGGTACGTCACCCTTCTCGATAGCATGTGCTTTTCGAAGATATTTCACTGCCATGTCTGGTGCAGTGCCGCACGGCTGTCACTTGCAGGTCCTCTGCGCCTTTACAACCCTCGCATCTTTACGGCATACCTATCTCACACTGCCCTCGGGGACGAGTTTACCAGCAACTTCCAACAGTCTTTCTGCTCTTCACATGTAGAGTTCACTGGGCCATCTACGTTACCTGCAACAGATCTTTCTCACACCTCGTGCAAGCTGTGTTGTCATTCCTATAAATACTCTCCTTCCCCTTCTTCCAGGATTTCCATTACTTCCATATCCATCTACATCTCTTTACCTCAAGTCAGGCTCTTTCTCCCTCCATAGCACTTGCTCAAAGCCCTTTGATCAATCTGAGGCCGCAGATCTCTGCCTCGTTGCTTTTCTAGCCAGATTGTGATTTGTTTCCCGCTCAAGTCTGTCGATCTTCATCCCTACTCTTCTGCATTCTCGATTTCTGAATTCATACAACACCACGGCAGCACCATGGTTGGGTCTTCTGAGCTCTCTGGCCATGCGCCAGACAAACCAGACAATTGGGTCATCGATCTCACAGAGGACTCCGACGACGAAGTCACCGAGATCGATCCTTGGACACTTCCCTCGCCCAAACCGGCTATCAAGCGGGAACAATCCGAGGAACCAGTCGAAGTTGTTGAGCCATCGTCTGCCGTGCCCACAGAGCCAGTTGATAAGTCTGAAGTTCTCGGAAAGGCTGAAGGTCGTCCCTGTGATACGGGCGTACTATCAGAGCAGTCTTCCAAGCACAAACTTGCATCTGGCAATGGCGACGATGCAAATACAGCGAAGGCTTCGGTCGAACCTGACTTGCCTGGCCAAGACAACAATTATGTCATAACGACACAACCGCAGCAAGGAAACGACCCGATCCAGAATCAGGACGATGCCACACCAGCTAAGAACATCTTTAACCAAAATGTACCTGCTTTGGGCAAAGACAACGCTTCATGCGCCACACAGGCGTTTGAGAATGACTGGCCTGTCGTGAATGATGAACATGCCACGACTGCTGAACAACAACCAGATGCTGGACAGCTTGCGGTTAGCAACGACGATACCACAGCATCCGAGCAGCCGTCTGAAGCTGCACTTGTCATCCAAGAAACACCAGATGCCCTAACCAACGAGCAGTTCTTTGGACCTGAAACATCTTTGCTGGACGACGAAAATGCCCCGGCCGTAGATGAGACTTTCGAATTCGATCTATCTGCAATGCCTGAGGACGCTTCTACAGAACGAGAGCAAACAACGGAATTTGAGCTGCCAGTTCTGAACGATGTCCAGATCGAAGACTTCGCTGCACTGCAGGCCTTCACCGAGAACAGTGCCAAGTTCGATAGCGATGTGGACCTTGCCAATGGAGAAGACGCGGCCGAACCTGCACCTCCTCCCCCTGGTGAACGTCAGCCCGTTAACGGAGATGTCGAAATGCTCGATTGGAACACTGAACTGGACGAAAATTACATGGCTGCCAATGAAGAGAACGAGAAGAAAAGGGCTGAGTTCGCATGCCTCAAAAAGGAGTTTGAGCGGAAGAAAAGTGAAGATGAAGTTACACAAGAGGAAGAAATCCGGTTTGCGGCCGCCGAAGCTGCAGAACAAGCACGGCTCCGAGACTTCGAACGAAGCCAGATGGAGGTGGAGGAAACCGCGGAGGCACCAGCCCTCCCTCCAGGTTACGAAGAGGAGGACACCTTGTTCATTCCTGAAGTGCCAGACCTTGCAGAATGTCCTCAGCCCAAGAAGAGAGCTGGTCCAAAACCGAAGAATCGTATCAATGCAAAGGAGCTGCGTGAGGCAATGTCTGCTGGGCTTGTGGCTGGCCAAGCTAATGGCAGGAAGCCTAAGCGAAAAGCTCGGAACGACGGCGGACAATCGAGAAAGAGAAGACAGAACCCAGGCCCCAAAAAGCAAGCCAACAAGCGAGGAAGAAAAGGAGGGCCCAATCCTGAACTGACCAATCTTCAAAGTCTGGGGAGAACCAACGTCGTCCGCGCGGCTCAGGCCAACGCCGATAGACCTGACATGCCAACCTTTACTTCCAAAGACAAGAGCAAAGCCCTGAAAGAGTTGATCGCGAGCATTCCTACCGCGGATCAAAACTCCCACAGTTCGGAAAGAAACGCTATCCTGGAGGCGACCAAGAAGTTCAAGGGCGGCGGCCGTGGCGCGGTTCGATCTGACGGCCAAGGCGGATGGAAGCTTCGAGGAATGGAGTCTTCCTTATATCACCACCAACTGCTAGGTGCGGCCTTTCTACGTGACCGCGAGCGTAGTGATACGAGACCATATGGCGGCATGGTGTGCGACGAAATGGGTTTCGGCAAGACCATCCAAATGATGTAAGTCGCCTCCTCCTGGTCTGACAGCTCATAGACTAACTGTCGCAGCGCAAACATGCTCGAAGGCAAACCAGACGAGGGCAGTCCATTCAAGACGACATTGATCGTAGCACCGCCTGCCCTGGTCCACCAATGGATGGTAGAGATGGACAAGCACGTCAAAGACAATGCTCTAGGACGCATTCTTCGATACCATTCCGGCTCTCGGCTTTTGAGCAACGACGTCGTCTCAGACCTCCAAGCATACGATGTGATCCTCACGACCTATGGCGAAGTCCAGCGAAGTTATCCGATGACTGATCCGCCCAAGCATTTGTCCTCCGAAGCCAAGAAGAACGAATGGTGGAAGAACTTCTATCTGGAGCACTGTGGCCCACTGCACAAGATGAAATTCCATCGTATCGTCCTCGACGAAGCTCGTAAGATATATTGCGTCCTCAAGTCCTTCTCTCAAGCTGACTTCTTGCAGATGCCATCAAGACCCACACGTCCAAGACCTCTGTCGCTGTCCGCGCCTTAACTGGCACCTTCCGTTGGGCCATTACAGGCACACCTATCATGAACTACATCGAAGAATTGTATCCATACTTCTCCTTCCTGAAGGTCCCTCATACGGGCAACTACCCAACCTTCTGCCACAACTACTGCGACAACCGGTCCGCCCGCGAGCCCGTGGACATGGGCCGAATCCACAACATCCTACGCGCCATCATGCTGAGACGTACTCACGTTGACAGTCTGTTTAACGCGCCGATCGTCAAACTGCCAGGTATCTCCCACACGACACACATGGTAGAATTTAACTCGGTCGAGCGCGCCATCTACAATATGGTCAAGCGCCGGTACATCCACCAAATCAACTCGTACTCTGCGTCTGGTGAATTGACCGCGAATTACCGCAACGTCCTCACTATGCTTCTGCGTCTCCGGATGCTCTGCTCACACATCTTCCTCTGCCAAGAAGCCCTCAAGCAAATGTTCGTTGCCGCGGACATCGAGACCCTCTGGCGGATAACTTCTAAGGAAGTCGAGACCGCTGACCAGGATGCTCCGCGCGTCAGCACGCTCGTCGCTCTGCGCAAGATGCTTCAGGCCAAAGACAATACCATCGTGACCTGCCAGACTAAAGAAGGTGCTCAGTCCGTCGCAGCGACCCCCGAAGCCGACACGAATGACGACCTCCGCACTGGCGCAGCTTTTGGCCTGACTTTCAAGTTCCGGCGCTTTCTGCGTACGCTCACGGAGTCAAACACTTGGACCGAGCTACATTTGCGCTCCATGTGCGCCAAGTGCCGCCTTCCGCCCGATGAACCAATGTGCACATCGTGCTTCCACGTGTACTGCAAAGAATGCCTCGCGGCCATGGAGTTCGAGCGTCAGCAGCGCGAGGAGGAGAAGATCGCGTGCATCGAGTGCGGCGCGCACTTTGAAGAGACCTCACCTTGCTCCGGCCTCCAGGAACTCGGTTTCAACAGCAATGAAATTGCGCAGAGAATAGAGAAACTCAAGACCAAACGTTCCAAGGCCGCCAAAAATAGGTCTACAGCCGTCGTGCGTCGAGGCAGCGCTAATCACTCCCAAACCCCGGCTAAAGATGACGAGGATGAGCTCCATGAACCGCCTGACTGGATCGAACACGGGCAAGTCCTCTCTTCCGCGAAGCTGACCGCTACCAAAGCGGCGATACTGAACTGGCAGGAGAGGAACCCTCGCGAGAAGATCATCATATACACACAATTTCTTGGCCTTTGCCGGATCCTGGCGCGCATGTGCGACACCGAGAAATGGGGATACGTCAGTTTCAACGGCAAAATGACGCTGGAAGCTAGAGAGAAAGCCATTGAGAATTTCCGCGACAAGGAAAGCGTGAGCATCATGATCTGCAGTCTTCGGGCTGGTGGCATCGGCTTGAACCTCACAATGGCGTCCAAGGTGATCATTCTGGACTTGTGGTTCAACAGCGCCGTCGAGGCCCAGGCGTATTGCCGCGCCTTCCGTATTGGACAGGAGAAGAAAGTTGAAGTGGTGCGCTTCGTGGTCAAGGATAGCATCGATGAGGATCTGATCAAGATGCAGGATCGCAAGGACGTTGAGGTCTCGGGGGCGATTGGGCCGGATAGTCATGGCAAGCGCGCGACGATTCAGCAGTTGCTCGAGCTGTTTGGGAGTGTTCAGGAAGGTGAGGGTCAGAATGAGTTCATCCTTATGGAGGATGAAGAGGAGAGCGATGATGATGAGAATGTCGATATGTCGGAACGTCTGCCTCCTCGACCTTTCTGAGTGATGGGAAGAGAGCAAACGAAGAGAGAGAGAGGCCATGTCAGTCGCGTCTTGGTTTCATTCGATGGTGAAAAAAGGAGAGCATAGAGAACATGGTCAACATGGGCGCATAAGATTAACGACTTGGGCTTGGGCTTGGGCTTTGGTCACTGCTCACATATCATGGGCATTATGGGCTGCGCTTACTTCTCACACATCATCATCGGCATTATGCGCTTCGAGCAATACTTTAAACGGCAACACGGGCTAACGGCATACTCCAATCCTACTCTCGACCTCGACATCGGCATTGGCACTGATATGCAATGACAAAAATCAACGGCGCTATGGAGCCTCCGGGCTGGCAAGGAGAAGGACGGACATGGAGCTTCTACTCAAAAAAGAGACTCATCTGTGCAATGAGTGCATCCCCATTGCCCCCGTCGGTCATGTATCTGAGCTACAAGCTGCAGGCAGGCAGGCAGGCAGGCAGGCAGAAATGAGCTTAGAAGAGGGGAAAAATACCCAAACAAAGTATTGAGCTGAAACCTTTCGCCTCCTTTTCTTTTTTCTCCCGTCGTATTAATCCCCTTTTACAATTTACCACAAAGCCACACGTTGATACGTCTGAGGGATGGCAGACCCGGCCTTTTCGAAGCCGTGGATTTCACGACTTTGCGCCCCTCTCTTCTAGATCACAAAAGACGTCTCTAGATCACCAAGATAGATTCGAGGCGCGCCCTGTTGCGAAACGAACGCCATGTGCGGAACGAGTCACAGGTGTCCGACGACATATCAACGTTTGAACAGCTTGACTTTCAATTTCCATGGCCATCTTCCATTGTTCCTATCTGATGTTCCGTGCAGGGAGGGGGTATCATTCTAAACAAGCACTATTTTTGGGGTCATCATAACAAGGGGAAAAAGGGGAATGCCGCAACCACAAAAGAAATCCCTTTCCCACATGAGATGGAATACGCTTCGACCAAGCGAAGACGTTAGAAATCCCATCCTCATAAACACCATGCCAGTTGGTCTTTCAAAATCCGTTCGCGAGTCCGCGCAGCACCAGTTCTATCCTGCTGGTTCCAAGGTCGGTCGCCGAGAGATGAATCTTGAGCCGACTCCTTGCCTCAGGCACCGAGCTCTTTGATCGCCGCCTTCCTTCTTCCTAGCACTTCATTTCTCTTGACCTTGACCCTGAGAGCCTCACTAGCCTGAATCAACGCATCGATACTTATCGCATGGTTCGTCATATTGTGATTGATGTAGGAGTACACTTGCGCAGCGGAGTTAAGTGCAAGAATGGCATTTTCGTTAAGCTTCAGCAGCGCCAGCGCGAGCTGGAAGAGGAATGGAGAACTAGTCCCGTCGTGCTCAGCGCTGTCGTTGTTGACGTCAGGCATGGACGGTGTAACCGGTGTTGGTGGTTGGCTCAAGCCAAGGTTCGGCATGTCGACTGTCAGATTTCGTGGGTGGTCGAATGCATGTGGGACGGCGTCGGAACTGTTCAGGCATAGACTGCGCATATCAGATTTGACTGAATCTGACTTAGGAATGCAAAAGACTTACATCACATCCCAGACGCGGTAGAGGGCTTCACCGCCAGTCAGGACACCAGTGTACAACGACAGGAACCAGTGAAACGTGAGTGCCTCGAGATCAACGTCGAGTTCTTCAAGCTTAGCACTCAACTTTGGTAATATTTCAGCAACATACTGGCGAAGGACGATTTGGTCTGCCCTGGCCACGAGCAATGTTGAACTGAAGTATTGGCTGGGAAGTATGACGTCGATGATGGCGACGAGGAGCCAGAAGCAGTCTTCTGCCGTGGCACAGATGAGCAAGAGAGATGCTGTGATGAGGTTCATTCCTGTTCAGATACGTGTTAGTGAATCAACATAGAAGGTGCTTTCTCGTTCTGGTTACATACCTTGGCAATATCCGATGCGAGGATTGTGAAGTGAATACGCTCTCAGCAACTCTTCAAGTCTCTGGACTCCTGGGCCGTGACGGAAGAAAACGTTGTCGGTCAAGGTGCGTCTAACATCCGCCTTGATCTGGCTTGCAATGTCTGGATCGACATCTGTACCATCTTGTGAACGAGCGACGAGGTCCTCGTAATAGCCTGGATTTCGAAGAGCACTTGCTCCAGAACATTCGGCCCAAATCTTGGGTCGAAGTGACACCGGTATGCCAGCCAGCACTAATGACTTGAAGTGCAAATATTTGCTTTTGGTTTGTTTCGAACGACCAAGAGTCGCAATTCCAATGAGTTCGCCATTGAGGAGGTCTGCCTCGGGTGCATTGTTGGTTGCACGATCCGTATTACTCGCTCTCTCGGCCCGCACTCGGCGTAGAAAGTCATTCCATCGAGCACTCCTCTCTGTCTGCAATGCATCGTACAGATCTGTCAATTGGTCAAGCAGCAACTTGGTAGGACCCGAGTCAGCATTGGAGTCGGTCTCTGGATCAGCTGTGAAGTCTGATGAAGTAGCAGTAACTGCTGAATGCTGCGGCTCCGTCACGACACTTGTACTCGGGAGTGCCTTTTGTGCGGATGCATTGATCGAGATGGACGCATCTCGGCTTCGATGCGGTGGTGTTATGGTACCAGCGGCATCAGCGGCATCAGCAGTACTAACCATGACTACAGCACCGGCAGATGGGGTATGCGACAGTAACTCTTTTGGTCTCCCAGAAGATAACGCGGCTGGGACTTTGAGGTAATCCGACCAAGCTTTCTTCGAGTTGTCGTCGTCAATCGAGGCAGGAGTCGAAGGTCTGTCTACAAAGATGTCTTCCGACCCAGGACTACCAGCTCGAAAGCTGGCTAGTGTCTCGGCATTACTCATCTTGTTTCGCTTGTGCTGACGGACCTGGAGAGTTTGTCGCTTTCGACGGTATTGGTCATAGATGAAGCCAAATCTATCCGTCAAGAGGCCGTGCTTGTCGTTATACTGATTGGTCATGGTAGGCGGCAGTTGTGAACTTTCAATCATGGAATCCAGCTCGACTGTGGGGGGAAGACTGCTCGCATTTGAATCTTTGCGAACATGGCCTGGACTGGCATTGAGTCTGGTTGCTGTCGGGACGCGTTTAGCTGGAGGTCGCATCTTAGAATTTTCACTGCCTGCCAACGATACAGACGACTTGCCGGCTACTTGTGTCCGTGTCTTCGTCAAATTGGAAAGTGAAGCTTCTGCATCGCTCACGGTGGCAGCATTGCCGTTAGCTTCTTGTCCCAGTGACGAAGCCCGAGATCGCCCTGTCGGCGCCTTTCCACCGAAGATCTGTGTCCAGGAAGCAAAAGAGCGACCAGATTGGTTTGACCGCACACTAATTTCGTCACCAAGTTTCGGCTTCCTGATTGACTTTCCACCGAGAAAGTAGCTTGAGGTCTGAGCAGGTGGCTGGAAGATACTCTGTAATCCTGATGCCTTGCCCGACGTCGAGCTGCTAACGCGAGGCCGTAAAGTAGCATCCAAGTCCTGACTGCTTTCGCTCAAAATGCTGTTAGCTCTGCTTGGAGTTCTGCTCCCCTTGATTTGAGCAGAGGCCATTGACCCAGTTCTGCTGCGTTTATCCTGGACATCCCCCAGCGGAGCATCATTCAGTATACGGGCGTCGGGAAGTGGCTCAGGCGGGTATGGCCCGTCGACTGGACTGCTGACCAGGATTCCCTCTTCCATCGCTTCGCTCATCATGCCGTCTAGCGAGGTTGCAGACACTGTCCGATCGGTCGAACCAGACGATTCGTGAATACCGGGAGAAGGGTTGCCTTGTTCTAGTCGCAGGAGCCGCCTCTCAACTTCAGCTGTTGAGACAGTGGCTTCACGCAGCAGTCTCTTCAGTTCTCTTTCTCTGTTGTCTGCCCGAATACGCAAAGCCGACATCTCGGCGTCTCTCTGAGCCAGATCCGATGCATATTGACGAATCAGCTTGACAGCACCAGTCTTGCTTATGAGTCTTTCAATATGTTCGTCACTCGCCAAATGCAACGCGCCCGGAATGTCCAAGGAAGACCGAGGAGAGTCGTCGAAGAGAGCGTTCTGCTTGTTGAAGGACGGAGATGCGCTTGTCAAGCCGGCAAGGGTGGCCTTTCTATGTCGAGCCGTCTGTGATATTGTCCGAGAAGGTTTCGGAACCACCTCTTGAACAATGCTGGATGATTTCTGTTCGGGTTCTGGAGAAAAGGAAGGGAAGGAGGTCAATGCAGGATCATCGTCTTCGACGGACTTCGCGGAGGTCTTGGAGCCATGTCTCTTCGGCACTCCCCGGATTGTTTTGGACTTTTTCTGGTCTGCGGAGGCATGGGAGGTCTGCGAGGAGGATCGTCTCGATAAGTTGCTACCATTGTCGGACATGTTGAAGCCAGGCTGGCTGTACTGGAGTATCAGCTGGAACTGGCTGCTGCGGAAACAACCACCCGCATCTTTGAGCACGACTTTCCCACGACCTCGATTATGGAAGGATACTTCAATCAAACGTCACTCAGTCCGGCGTCCGACCATCGTATCAAATGAAAATACCCTGTCTTGCAAGTTGGGAAGTCGTTGAGTGGATTAAATAGAATTGTAGAAGGTCCCGCAGAGGATTGTTGGTCAATAGATAGGACAAATGATCTGACTATGTTTTCCACTGTGTACGTGTGAATGTTGGGCATTCTCGCATACAAGAATGCTCGTGTGATATGACGACAAGTCATTCAGTCCCGCTACATCGCTTGCAGGGGTTGAGACTTGCAGATGTGGCACCGTGTTTCGTGCAGGGGATCAACCATGAATTCAGGGAGACCGACTATCAAGCGAAAAGCAGCATGTCTGACATGGGACTTTTTCCTGTTATCAAGGCGTGGGCACTACCAAACGAAAAAGGACGGCACGGGATGGTCACCCAACGGCTAGGTAATGTCCTGCCACACCTGCCACGGTGGCCTGCTTTTAGGGACGGCCTGGGCGGGAGCCTCAACAGAGAAAACCTAGCTGTCAGACTGATTCTGCTTTTAGTGCACTGCGGTGGAGTATTTGGACACCAAACGACACCCTCCACGCGCCTCATTCTGGTAGCCTGTCATTGTCCTCGTCTCTGATCCATAAAACCACTTTATAATCCGAATCTATAATCGTCCAACGGTGAATGCGTACGTGAACACAGGCACACCATCTTCCAGTCAATGGCTTGATTACTCGCGAATGCCATCTCTTCCGCGGTTACGTTCAGCGCGCGCCCACCATCTCCAACCGGTCTCGGGGGACACGAACAAACGGCAATGGAGTCTAGAATAGTACCGTTTCCTAACTTACGCCATCAGATATGACCTGAATCTTTCTCTTTCGCTTTCTCTCTGTCGGACTCTGCCTCGCAAGCTGCGGGATTGCCTCCGGACAATCCGCTTTCGCTGTCGAAATGGGTCAAGGGTACTCGATGACAACGCTGTCCGCAGCGTCAGCCAGTATCGATGTTCCTGAACTGGCAGACCTTGTCCATGAGAAGACCCTGGCTTCAGCTCGGTTTATGAAGAGTGTTAGAGCTCGGAGTCAGCAAGGCTTTGTCTTCGTCAAGGCCGTCATGAAACCTTATTCTTCTTTTCAGGTCCAAGAATATGTGCGCCAAATCATCGAAGAACGAAACATACTGGCAGACATACCCAATGCTTTGGGCTATCAGAGGATCGTCGAAGTTGGAAGCGGAGGGTTTCTTGTCCGACAATACATGTTCAACTCAGTCTACGACCGGATCAGCACACGTCCGTTCCTTGAAGACATCGAAAAGAAATGGCTAGCCTTTCAATTGCTGTGCGCTGTCCGCGATTGTCATGCGAGAAACGTCTACCATGGAGACATCAAGACAGAGAATCTGCTGGTCACGTCCTGGAATTGGCTTTACCTTACCGACTTCTCGTCCTCTTTCAAACCTACCTACCTCCCCGAAGACAACCCGGCCGACTTTTCCTTCTACTTCGACACATCCAGCCGTCGGACATGTTACATTGCTCCGGAAAGATTTACCACTTCCACCTCTGTCGACACGCAAGACGAATTGAACTGGGCCATGGACATCTTTAGCGTTGGTTGTGCTATTGCTGAAATGTTCCTGGAAGGGCCTATCTTCTCCCTAAGCCAAATCTTCAAGTATCGGGCAGGGGAATACAGTCCAGAACACACCCACCTCAACAAGATCGAAGACGCCGAAGTGAAAGCCATGATCCTCAACATGATAGAGCTCGATCCTGAGAAGCGATACAGCGCTGAGCAGCTGCTCTCGTTCTACCGATCCAAGATCTTCCCAGACTACTTCTACAGCTTTCTTCATCAGTACATGTTAGACCTTACCAGACCCTCAACCGCCTCAAAGCCTGTGGAACTGGATGCTGGAAGCCTTGCTGAATGTGACGAGAAGATCAACCGAGTCTACTACGATTTCGACAAGATCTCGTTCTTTCTAGGATATGGCCCAAGTCCTGCGAAGCAGTCGTCCAAATCACCCTTGACACTTCGATCGAGCAATCGAGTCAAGTCATCAGAGGCCGACCCCTCATTGTACGACGGAAGTTTACTATTTCTCACTCTAGTGGTTTCAAGCATGAGGAACACTGCCAAAGCCTCAGCGAAGCTCAAAGCGTGTGACCTGCTAGTTGCCTTCGCAGAACGACTTCCGGACGAGGCGAAGCTCGACCGTATTTTACCTTACATCATCGGCTTACTCTCGGACAGTTCGGACGTTGTCGTGGCAGCAGGGATCTACGCGATGACTTCAATCTTCGAGATGATCGAAGTAGTCTCCCCAATAAACGCCTACATCTTTCCCGAATACATCTTTCCCAGGATGCGGCAATTTATTCTGGGACCTACAACTCAGCCGAGCGTACTTGTTCGTTCTGCTTATGCTTCATGTCTTGCGTCATTAGCACTCTCTTCTTTGCGCATCCTTGACGTGGTACATGCCATTCGTGCTGATGGCAGATTGCCTGCTCTGCGCGAGGACGAACTGGCTCCGGAGTCATCATATCATGGACTTTACGATATAGCAAGAGCAGAACTAGTACCGCACTTCGAAGAGTCAACCGTCGCCCTCATCACAGATCCAGAACCATCCGTTCGGAGAGCTTTGCTTGGTTCAGTCTCCCGGTTATGCGTCTTCTTTGGGAGTCTCCGGGCTAGCGATGTCATCCTACCTTATCTCAACACCTACTTGAACGATAAGGACTGGATCCTCAGATGCTCCTTCTTCGAAGCACTTGTTGGTGTTGCTTCATATGTCGGCACATCAAGCCTCGAGAAATTCATCCTTCCAATCATGGTCGGTTCTCTGACCGACTTGGAGAGCTTTGTGATTGAGAAAGTCTTCCGATCGTTGGCTCGAATGGCAGCTTTGGGTCTCTTGCAGAAGTCCACGACCTGGGAGCTTGTCAGCATTGCTGCAAGGTTTATTGTCCATCCGAGTGTTTGGGTTCGCGAGAGCGCCGTGCAATTTATTGTGCTATCAGCAAGATACATTTCTGCGGCTGATCAATACTGCATCGTCCTGCCAATGATTCAACCTTTCTTGAAGAGCAGAACCCATATAATTTCAGAGGAGCGCATCCTCGACAACCTGAAGCGACCACTTCCTAAGATCGTTTTTGATGCGGCTGTAAATTGGGCAGCAAGGAAGGGGAATAGCCTGTTCTGGACTGCCGCAAGCCGCGATGGTGCATTGACATTATCAGACTCTGCAACGCCACAAAACCCTTCAGTATTGACAAAGAGATTATTAACACGAATACCACCTTCGCAAAAGGACAAGGATGACCAAACTTCCCTTGAAACCTTGAAGAACCTGGGCATGACACCAGATGACGAAATCAAATTGCTCGCGTTGCGCGAGTACATACTAAAAATATCCAAACACAAGCCGGCTGAGGATGTGAACCAGAGACACATTATGCTGAACAACATTTTGGCGCTGAATCAGATCAACGTGACACCACAGAATGTCTTCTTTGATCAGCGTGAAGCTCTTCGCGAAATTAAGAGTCGATCAAGTTTGGTCCAGAAGAAGAGTCGGAAGGACGAGCGACATAGCTTGACAGATGCTCTGTTGGACGCATCCACAAGCATTGATGACCAAGCAGCGAAACGAAGATCACTCTCCGATGTCAGTAGCGGGACGCAGACGCCCTCCACCAGACCGATTGACATTCACCACCGAGCAGCAACTCTCCGCACTGACATTGCGCCATCCATCAGTATTGAGAGGGCAAGCGGCTCTTCAAAGCCCAGCGGCTCAAATGGTACCGGATCGCCTATAGATAGGTTGTCATTGCGGCGTAACAAGCCACTTGAGCTGAAACATCGGAATAGCGGCCTCAACTTGATGAACCGAACAGATTCTGCCAAAGCGGATGCCGAAATTTCGACGACCTCAGAGACTGCTTTTGGAAGAGTCGACGGGCCATTGCACCGCAAGAGCACGGCTGGGCCGTCTGCATTAAGTGTTGCTGCCAATGCCGTAGCCAATTCAAGGTCTGTATCTCCTCGAAGTGGTGGGTCGCGCACGCCACTCTACGAGCCAAATCATTCCTATGCGGGAAATGATCCTAATATTTTGCGACTGCTTGATCATCATTTCGTTGAAAATTTCCCTGTTGATCAGATGGACTTCGGCCCCAATCGACCTTTTGCGGACAGCAAGACACCCATCAGAAGAGCTACGGATGTTTTCCAGCAGAACACAGGCCGAGTAGCTCAACAGGAGCTTACTTTCCGTGCTGAGCCCTGGCGTCCGGGAGGCCAGCTTGTCACCCAATTCTCGGAGCACACTGCAGCTGTCAATCGTGTCTGTGCCGCTCCGGATCATGCTTTCTTCGTGACCGCTTCGGACGATGGCACCTGCAAGGTGTGGGACACCATTAGACTAGAGAAGAATGTGACCCCACGGTCAAGATACACCCATCGGCATGCAGAAGGCGCAAAGGTCAAAAGCCTTTGCTTTGTCGATAGCACCCACACATTCCTCAGTGGTGCTGATGATGGCAGCATTCACGCTGTTCGCGTGGATTACAAGAGTGTGGATGGCGGCGAGAGCTCTAGATATGGCAAGCCTATTCTTGTCAGAGATTACCAGATACCTGGCCAGAAAGTCTTCGAGAACCTCAGCAGCACTCGGGAAGCTGCTGCGCTCTCTAAGCCAGAGCACGCCGTCTGGCTTTATCACTATCGGACACAGTCCTTGCAGTCTATCCTCCTCGCTGCCACCAGTGAGTGTAGGGTCTTGGCCATCGACCTGAAGAATATGGAGATCATCCACAGCATGGAAAATCCTGCCCACCATGGTACGCCAACCACATTCTGCGTCGACAAGAAACACCATTGGCTACTGTTAGGGACAAGCCACGGGATTTTGGATCTTTGGGACCTCAGATTCAAATTGAGGCTAAGAAGTTTCGGCACTCAAACAGACTCCAGGATTGATCGACTGCTCATTCATCCAACAAAAGGACACGGACGTTGGGTCATGGCTAGCACGGGTGGCGAAATCAGTGTCTGGGACATCGAGAAGCTGGTCTGTCGAGAGGTTTGGAGACCCAGCACCTCCTCACCTGGAGCGAGTATGCGTCCCTATGAGACATGGTCTCCTGATGAAGAGAACAGCGAGAAGGTTCTTTCGCGCTTCGCTCATCAGCCTCCTGAGGACAACCCCCCCGCTGGGCCACTGCTGCGACCTAATCTCGCCAATGGCTCGCCTGTCAAGTCCAGATCCTCAAGTGACAACGAAGCGACATCGTCCCGCCTCCTCTCGTCCACGCCCTCAATGCCGGCAGTGTACATCCTGCATGACTACCTGCTCAATCCATCCCAGCCAGACAACCCGTACAAACACGCTCTACTGTTCACAGGCGGCGATGATCGTGATCTGCGCTATTGGGACATCCAGCGGCCTGAGAACAGCTTCATCATTTCCGGACCAGAGCTCCATAACGATGATGCGACGGCCATGAAGATCAAATACGAGCTGACTTATCCTCTGGCATTGAGTGCTGGAGCTCAGATCGCCCTGATCCAGGAGAAACTCAGCGATGAAGCATCCAGCGGAGGCGCAAGTAGTCGGGGGACACCGAAGAAGCCGTCGCGCTCTATCAGGGATCAAGAAGGCAATGCGAGAACAAGCAGTCCGGCGTCAACGTCTGCAAGTTCGCCGTCAAAGACTTCTTCGGCGTCGTCGTCCAAACCACCGCGCAGCACGGTTATCAGCGGTGCGCAGCAGCAAATTCTCCGTACGCACATGGAAGGGATTACAGATGTCATTGTGCTGAGAAAACCATACGGGTGTGTGGTCAGTGTTGATCGAGCCGGGACAATCTTTATATTCCATTGAACGACGGATACTGTTCGTTGGCGGCGATGGATGCCAAAGCAACGTTGTACGTGGAGGGCCAGCAAATCACCTGGATTTCCTGCATAGAGAGGGATTTGAAGACCATAGTGGGCGGCGTCCTTCCCCTGATAGATTCGGTTCATACCAAATCAAACTAGCCTTGTAGCATGCCCTCTTCAGTCATCAAGCTAGTCGGCCTAGACTTGAGCTTCGCAACGCCCATCTTGCCTATATCGCCTTTTTCGTCTTCCTGGAAATCTTCATTCACAGCTCTCGATGCTCTCCATCCTTCCCAGTCAAGTCCTGTTGCACTTGAACCACCGCCCTTAACCCTTTGTCCCTTTGTTTAATTTCCTCCGGGCCCAACACCCCATACGCCCGGTCCGTCTGGTCTATCACTTTCCTCTGCCATCCTTCCGGATCATCCCGACCTAGATCCATTGTGATCGTGCCAGCATCCTTCCACACTCCATCGATCGCCTCGCCAATGTTGTCGAGAAAACCTTCCATCCCGCGTTTGCCGCCGCCGAAACCGTACATTTTGAACGGTCCCCCAACGGCCCATCTTGGTCCTAGACTCGCGCGGACAATCTCGTCGATCTCTTCGACGGACGCGACTCCTTGATTGACCAGGTGGCAGGCCTCGCGGAAGAGAATGAATGATAGGCGGTTTGCCACGAAGCCGGCACTTTCTTTGTGGATGGGAATCGGTCTGTGGCCGGAGCTGAGAGCGGAGAAATAGGATTGCGCAAATGTCAGTTCAGAGAGTGACGTGGATGGCGAGGGGACGAGTTCGAGCAACGGCATGATGTGTGGAGGGTTGAACGGGTGGACGATGAGCAGTCTCCCCCGGGCCGGGTGGTCTGTAGGGAGGTGGGCGAGTTGCTGGCTCGCTGGGATGCCGGAGGTTGAGGACCATAGGTGTGCGGTTGGTGAGGCGTGGCTGATGATTTGAGACCATGTGGATTGCTTGAAGGACAGGTTTTCGGGGCCTTGTTCTTGGATGATTGTGGCCGCTTGTACCGCTGACTGGAGGGACGAGTGGATGACGAGACGTTTGCTCGATATCAGGCCTGCGATGGAGACAGATGATGACGCTGAGGGCGCCGGTAAGTACAACGGCAGGACGGACTGGATGTGTTCTTCAAGATCCGGGCGAGGGTCATATACAGAGACGTGCGCCGAGGTGTATGTCAGATGTAAGGCAAGAAAGGAGATTCCAATGGCGCCCAGGCCAATGAGACAGATGTGTTCATTCGAGTGTGGGAGATCACCAGATGTAGATGATGTTAGGTTTGTTGTTGATGTTTGGTCTTGATCAGTGGGAGTCGACATGTTGGAGAATTCAAGATACGGTTTGCTGGTCCCCACGGTATGGTCGGTCTGAAACTTATGTCGATGGCCGTTATTCGTCAAGTCAAGCGAGATAGAAATACATACTTGTACCTGAGTGGGCGGATGGAGATCTGTGATTCTATGGCACACCTAACTACAGCATATACCCTCGGCTACTCCGAACTCGGCTAAGCAAATGGAAAGAAGGCGAGATTGGTTCAGCCTCGTGTAGCCTTGCAGCGTACATAGCACGTGACCAGCCGACATGGCACTTGCTAGATTAGAGACCTCCGAGGAGGCGTCAGACTATATACCCTTTTACTAGCTCCCGATGTCTGTCTAGCACTCGTGCTGCACCCGGCTTACCTTCCTCTACTTTGGTCTTATTCTGCGGCCACAAGATCGTTCCGTAACATGTACGTATCACCTACGCTTCTGATATGTACCTACGTACTCCGTAGAGTATATGCCAAGACCCTAATAGCCTCGGCGTGTTTGGGTTGTTTGGCGGGCCGTGTTCTGACGGTCCACCTACCCTCTACGGCTATAAGGTAGAAGTATAGGTGTTCCTCCGATTCTGTGACACAAGTTCGTCCGATCTCTGTCGTTGCTAGTTATCGTCTCAGGATATACGTCGACTAAACAGGATACAAACAGTCAAAAATACCACTCAAAACGCTGGTTTTGGCATAACAAGGGGAGTCCTGATATATCCAAGAGGTCGATTACTGACATTATTCCTTCTTCAACATCGGGGAGACTGGCACTTTCAGAGAGTCAAGTCTAACACTGCAGCTCTTCCGTTACGGTTTGATGGAAGATGCAAGCCTCGCATCCCATTTTGGCTAATATGCCCTGACAGTACCCAATTCGGTCCTGCAGAGAGAGATACCTGCACTTTTACACTGCAGCTCTTGCATTAGGAATCAACGTGCATATACACTACATACCTACTTTCACTCAGGTGGCATGCGCAGATAGTGCCACCTTCACCGTTACTGACGAAGGCTTAGTCTATGGCTGGGGAACTTTCAGAGCGAGTTGATTGTAACTTTACTGTTATTCTAATGCTTACATTACTTTGGGGAAATCAGGGAGTTTATGGGTATTCTCCAAGCGTGGAGGTTCAGAAAAAGCAAGCCCGCACTCGTTCGAGGCCTACAGAAGATCACGAAGCTGTGCTGTGGCGAAAACCATGTCCTGGCATTGGACGTGCAAGGACAAGTCTATGCTTGGGGCTCAGGACAACAAAACCAGCTCGGGCGTAGACTCATTGAAAGACACATGGATCAAAAACGCAGCTTGACGCCTGAGAAGGTCCGGCTGCCCAAAGGGATCGTCGATATAGGCGCTGGACAGTTTCATTCCTTCGCAGTACACCAAAATGGAGATGTCTATTCCTGGGGGCTCAACAATTTCGGGCAAACTGGCCAACCTCTTCGACAAGACGAAACAGATTCAGATGCCCATCTACCCCAAATAGTGAAATCACTGCAACAGATTGGCAAAATCATTTCTGTCACAGGTGGTAATCATCACTCCCTGGCAATCACAGATGGTGGCGAGTGCCTGGCTTGGGGACGAGTCGACGCTGGCCAAACGGGACTCAAACTTGATCGACTACCACCTCAGCACTTGGTCCTGGACTTTCGAGGCCGCCCAAGGATTTTGACTGTGCCAACTCCCGTGCGGGGCATCGACGCTGTCTTGGCTGCTGCAGGGACTGATCATTCTCTTGCCCTAAGTCGTGAGGGAAAGGCGTATTCTTGGGGCTTCAATGAATACTGTCAAACAGGCGTCAGCTCGGAGAACCAAGTCGACGAAGCTACCATGCTGGACTCGAAAGCAATCAAGGAGAAAAAAGTGGTTTGGGCAGACTGTGGTGGACAATTCAGCGTGATTGCGGCGCTGCCCGGAACCATCAATCACTCGACGACAGCCAACGGGATTAATGGACAGATGTAGGATAATAGAAGGGTTCGCGGTTGTGATTTATCATTGGATTGCTTCTTCGAAGAGACTGCCACTGGCCAGTCTCCACACCGCCTCGATGCTCACTTTCATAGTAAGTTTTCGATTCGCCGGCCGATTTCACCACTGATGACTACGCCTGTGCTTGCACATGGATGAAACAGTGGCGCGGTCCGACACTGAAGTCGCCTCCCTCCAATACCTTAAAATGTCTTCAACTGTGAACTTCTTTGATGCCTTTCAAGTAGTCTGACCAAACTTTCCCGATGTCGTGCTTGTAGATCCAGTTCAATTTGCTTTCCTGCCCGATACCAAAGGCCTTGAATCTGGCCTCAAGAATTTCGTTGATGGTTTTCTCTTCTTCGTCGGCATTCTTGACACTGGTTCTTTGACTGTCGAGATACCTGTACCTGTGCGTTGCATCAAGTGGTTAGCTTTGCGATGATGAGTTTTGGCAAGTGAGACCTATGTGGATGGACCCACATTCTCTGATAGTAAGGAAGGCGGATTTCTTCGAAAATCTGAAGTGTATCTCGGACCAGCCTTTCGGAACCACGTGAATGTTCCAGTTCAAGAGCCTGTGCCAGAACCCATCCATCTTCCATGCCGAATGTCGCTCCCGATCCAAATGCACCTAGAGAAGGGGCTATCAGTATTTTGACCCATGCCGAACACACCGAGGACATACCGTGGAGTGGATGGCTAGCGTCCCCTATCAAAACAACCTTGTCCCATCCAGTAATTCTTTCTGGGCCGGGACCAGCATAACTGGCGAATTCTTTCCACGCTCCTTGGGGGACGGCCGCGATGGCATCTCGAACGCGTTGGTCATATTGCTGCAAAATGGATTGTTAACGGCGCTGCTGTCCACGGTATCGACGTCTCATTCGTACCACAAAGCGAGCCTGCACTCTTTCATTTGTTGCTGGAATCCCCCACGATACTGTTCGCCCTGGGATATCAGGTTCATGGTAGGATCTCACTGAAAGCTCGAACAGCTGGTCTTCTAGAGGTATTTCGGATGAATCGTCTACTCCTGAGAAATATGCATGTCCACCCTTGACATACCACCATGATGTCCCACTGGTGACGTCCGGTATGTGTGTGAGAGATGATCTCGGAACAAGGGTGCGCCATACCGTGTTTCCTATTGTCGAGATGCCGTCAGTTGGTTTCTTTCGTGAGGACACATTCTCGTACCTGTGAAATGGATCGCGTGGTCTGGATAGAGCATCTTCCGGATCACCTGTAGCGTTCGCCGTCAATAGGTGTTGTTATCCGGTTGGCAGTTTGAACACACCGAACGAATACCATCGGCTCCAATCACCAGGTCTGCAAGAGCCTCTGTCCCGTCTTCGAACGACAAGCGCACGCCTTCTGGCCCCGCGTCTTGTGCGGATATCAGCTTCTTCCCGTACTTGATCACACCGTCAGGAACCTTTTCCAGAAGGCCAGATTGAAGTCGAGTTCTTCGAGCTCTGATCGACCCACGTGGGTCTAGATCACCGTTCTCTGGATGGGGTTGCAGTAAAAGGACTTCACCGGTATAGCCATTCCTAAACGGTAGATTGTGTGAGCATAATGTCACACCATTGTAGGCGTCCCTACCTCGAGCGCGTATCGGCTTTAGAAGATCCCTTGACCCCGTCGGCGGCTCCTAGTAAATCCAGAACTTTCCAAGCATTATAACTGAGACTGATGCCCGCTCCGACCTCTCGTGGCTCGGGATTTCGCTCGTAGAGAGTGGTGGAGAGAAACGGCAGCTTCGATAGAGAAATTGCTGCGGCCAGGCCGGCTGGGCCTCCTCCAATAATGGCGACAGTGGTCGCTGGTTGGTATGAACCCATGACTGATATTGCACGTGAATTTGGCCTTCAGAGGGTGCTTCGGTCCTTCCATCGTTCAACGGCTTCTAACTTATAGGTTGAGCTGCCCAGACGCATATAGCATGTGGTGCACCGGAAAGGTTGCGTTACGAGGCCGAGCCCCTTGCCCGCGATGGCCCAAAAGCACGCCATCAAGGAGGTAGTGTGATTCTCTAGCACAGTGATTGGTTGCAAACGGACTGGTCCGAAAAATGATTGGACCTAGCAGGCCAACGTGTCTTCCTGTCTATCACTTCACACCTTCGTGCAACCTGGGATGGGCCACCGGCACGCGATGCTCAGATAAGCTTCTCTGCAGGACAGGCTACGTACTACAAGAAGCCGACGATAAAGCTCTTGATACTACGTACCGATTGGCCAGAAGAGGATCCTGCAGTTCTGGAGGAGAATCGACAACACCTCGACACTTTCATGGTTGCATTGTCAACTTGCGAAGCGAGTATTCCATGAAAGTGGCGTAGACTATAGCGATCTAGACTTTCAAGGCCTGCATTCTCTGTTCTCTATTTCGCGCCCGAGTCCACTCTGCCGAACCCCATCATGTTGCGTTCTCAGAGCCTGCCGTGGCGCAATATTTCACCATTCTGCAATAAGGCACTGCTTTGTTCTCGGCGTGATTGTATATATACAATGTGCTGTGCTGTTCTAAACCTCCCAGCGCACTGAATCTGGCTCTAACGTCATCCCTCTGGGTCAGTGAGTTCTTGGTAGTAGCTAGCCTTTCCTTTTTATAGTCATTCCAGATGTCGAAGGAGGCTGAAACTGTCACCATTTCCCAGGATCGTACCAGTCATTCGCCTGGTCCGGTCCTGGGGCAGAAATCATGGAAAGGCTACGTATGGGACACGTTTGACAAACCAGCGGAGGAGCGGAGGTTCCTGTTCAAACTCGACGCCGGAATGCTTACCTTCACTTGCCTGGGTAAGTGATGGCCGGCGACATAAGATCTTTGATGAGAATGCCACCCATCCAGGTTGCTAACTCAGTGTTTCAGGATATTTCTCCAGATTCCTCGATCAGGCAAATATCAACAATGCCTATGTTTCTGGAATGTGAGTTTATTGGGGGACAGTGAGCTCCGAATTGAAGACCAACGACTGACTCTCAAACAGGAAAGAAGACTTGAATATGATGGGCATTCAATACAACTACGCAGTCACCCTGTGGACCATTGGCTACATCATTGGCGAAATCCCCAGCAATCTCATCCTTACCAAGATTCGACCATCGATCTGGATTCCTGTCCTGGAGCTTATATGGTCAATCTTGACAATCTGCACTTGTCGAGTTACCACTGTCTACCAACTATATGCTTTGCGCTTCTTGGTCGGAGTGGCCGAAGCTGGGTTGTAAGTCATTCTCGAATGGGTTTATCGTCTTCGCTTGAGCGCCGCTTTTTGCTGTGACCCTGCTGAGCCACGATGCCATTGCTTACAAACTACTAGCTTCCCTGGTATTCTCTACTTGCTTGGTTCTTGGTATGGCAAGGACGAGCTGGCAAAGCGCTCCATCATCTTCCACGTTTCGGGTTCTATCGCCACAATGTTTTCGGGTTACTTCATGGCGGCTGTGATTGGGCTGGGGGGGAAACATGGTTATGCAGGCTGGCAATGGTGAGCTTTCTGCCCGATTGTCATCACAGCTGAAGTATAAGACCTCTCGGCTAACCACGCTTGTTAGGCTGTTTATCATTGACGGAGTCATTTCTCTGCCCATTGCAGTGCTAACCTTCTTTTTCCTGCCTGACCAACCCCATAATACCCGCGTCTGGTATCTGAATGCTCGGGTGAGCTGTCACAATCCGGCGGTGGTCCAGCACGTTTTTGGGCTAATTACTCGACAGGATAAAGAGATTGCCTCGGAGCGAATCCAAAGAATTGGCCGGGCGAGCAGAGAAGGCTTCTCAAAAGACAAAGTCCTCAAAATCTTCTCGAGATGGCACATCTGGGTGTTCCCTCTCATGACCGTGTAAGTACATTGTCAAGGTATGGAAAGTGGGACACTGAACATCCATCATAGTTTCGGAGGCGGTGCAGGGGGAATCGGCCAGCCGATGTTTTCGCTCTACCTGAAGGCATCCAAACACCCCAAATATACAGTCAGCCAGATCAACACCTATCCCACAACTACAGCCGCGGTGATGGTGGTCGCCGAACTGTTGTACTCGTGGATCTCTGATGGCCCACTGCGTGGGAAAAGATGGCCAGTCATGGTATTCGCAGCGGTATGTCGTGTTGATCATGATCAATTTCATCCTGTCACTAACAATCACAGCTCTTCCAGCAGGTCATCTGGATTTCGCTCCTAGTGTGGAACATTCCCACGGGCTGGCTCTGGTTTTGCTACATAGTGATGCAACAGGGCATTGCGCTGGTGCCTCTGAATCTAATGTAAGTGCATTTGGCGCAGTCCTATATCAGCACCAGCTCTATGTACTGACGGCTGTCCAGCTGGGTGAATGAAGTTTGTGCCAACGACGCCGAGGAGCGTGCTCTCGTCATTGCCGTGGTCAACACCATTCAATACGTGCAGTCGGCATGGCTCCCACTCCTTGTTTGGAAGGTTACCGACGCGCCGGAATACAAGAAAGGTTTCCCTACCGCGCTTGCATTCACCTTTGCCCTCATAGGAGTCATCTTCCTCATCCGGTATTTGGCAAACAGGGAAGCCAGACAGTAAAGTCTTCCGAACTCCTGACAACAGTGGTCGCTGACGTCTTTGACAGAAAGAAAGAACTAGAAGATCGACTTGACAATGGCTCGACGAACAATTCAGACGCGGCTGAAGGTGTGGTGGTTTCCATGTAAGGCGCATTCGTCAGTCTCAACTTTCAACACTCAACGACAATCTTGACCGGACTAGGATTCGGTGCAAGACATGGTCCAGTTTCCAGTGAGAACATCTGGATTGCCACTCTTTTCAATAGCTGTTTTGAATTACCGATTCGCTCCAAATGTTTAGGCGATCACGGAATATGCATCATCGCTCACCAACGGTTGAATCTTCGAGACAGACTTTCATAGTAACACACAATCGTATCACCGTGAACCTCTACATCTTCCTGAGATTTTTCCTTCAAGGGCGAGCATGCTTGATGCCAAAGAGCAGAGCCATTCAGAAACGACCGCATCACCTGTTGTCTAGAATGCTGGGTTTCAGAGCGGATGAACTCGCCTAACTCCTGCAACCGCAAGGCGTCTCGGGCAGAAGTATGTGCGGCTCTTGATTGGACTTCGCAGATCGCTGGTATGGCGGACAATCATCATTTGTACTTTGTGAAATCTGAAGTTGCAGTCTGATAACTTCTTTATATGTTGTACAATTTACAAAGCACCCACTCCGACGAAGTCGTGAATTGTGTCAACAACAAATCCGTACCCTTTTGCAGGACATCATCCACACTCTCTCCGTTGAAAGTCGAGAATGGAGCTTTCGTTCCCGTCCTCTTTAACACTTCTAAAGCAGAGATGATTCTATGTATTCATGATTAGTCTCTATAGGCTGTTGAAGACAGCATCTTCGCTGTGTTTTACATACCTGTTGGCCATGAAAACGTCAATACTAGGTCGCTCCGTAACGAATACTTTGATCAGGTTGATTACAGGAAGCAGGCCTTCCCGAAAGGGCTCCCAGAGCAGAAAATGCAATTGAAATGTTTCATCGTCGAGTGTATACTGCATCATTGTACGGTGGAGTGCGAATCGGGCATACCAATATAGAAGTTTCAGGCGTGTACCCTGCGCTGACAGTACGCCACCGGCTGGCTCAACTGACCAGCCCAGGCTCCCTGGAAGGCGGAGTATCCAAGTATCGAGTTGTGATCGTAGTTCCCGTCTCACAGGAGAGAAATTCGGGCGGCACGGGACATGGTCTGGGCGAGGACTTTCTCGCGTACAGCTTTCTAGTTCTGGGCTTGTCAGGATGCTTTCCAGGATGGCACGTAAAGACATCTCAGCCAAGAAGAACACGAAATGCGTGTTTATGCGTGCCGGCCTGTCTTTGTTGTCGGCCTCATCACATGGCAGAGGAAGGGGAAAGAACTCCTCAAACCGAGCCAAGTCACTCCGTGGAAGCGTATTGTCGATTTCGTATATCATGTCCCTGTAAACAGTCAGCGGCAGGCATTGGCCGTTCAGGATGCACCGAGCCTTCACCGTTCAAGATTGTGACAGATCCAGAACAGCAGCCTTAGATTATTCGTCTCGTTCCTTGGCCGCTTGATGCCTGTAAGTCGGTCCCTAGCTCGGCATCAGCTCAACGGTCAAACACAGAAGAGGCGGGTCAAGGTAATTAATTCACCGTTTAATAACAGTCTGAAGCATAGTGCAGGCACCATGCAGTGCGGTGGCAAAGTCCAGCAGGCGATTCTTTTGCAGTAGAAAGATGGCAGAGAACACCAGCACGTGTACATATTGAAGGCTCAGCTGAACACTGAGCCGGCTGCGCAGCTGTATCGCGCGTTGGAAGTCTCCAAGTCCGCTTTCCATAGAGTCCACGTACATGAATGCTTTTACCGTCGCGATCACAAGCAGTAAAAGACATGAGCACATGTTCTCTTGAAATCCCTCCGCCTCGACCGCGTTTGCAGCAACGTGCAGAGTATTCTCACATATGATCGGGTACAAGATGCCGACGTCAGGGAAGAATCTCTGCTTGGCGACTGGTATATCACGCACATTACTTGGCCTGTACGAGGCGACGACATCGGGAAATGGATGGCGGTGCTCTTCGCAAGACATAGGCACCCTTCCCAGGTACTGTAATTGTTTGTTATCCTTCGCCAGGCCCGAGTCAAAGTTTTGGCCGATCCTGTTCGACGGGCAAGGCCAAGGGTCATTTGGGGACGAGGCTGCTTCTGAGCGCTCATTCCATACCCGTGAATGAGAAATTGAGGTGGAAGGTGAAGGATACCTCGTATTCGTCTCACTGAGGCTGCTGCCTTGGTCAGTATGGCAAATACCTTGGTCATCTGGTGTGCTGCAGAAGATGGCCAACTGGTCTAGCCTTCTCTCGGTTCGAGCGAGGCGCTGTAGGAGGAACTCCCGATCCTGCTCATGACTGTCCCTGATCAGTGATTCATACAATCAAAAGGTTAATAGAAGGCGGACTTGGGCAAATGTTGTCGCGGATAGTCACACTTGAAGCCATGACGGCTACAATAAGCACACCTTGGTCTACCTTGCGTGCATTTGATCTTTTTCAAGCGGCAGGTCTCGCAAGCCTGGACCAAGTAAGTCATTGCCTTCTCCCTATGCTTTATAGCAGAATCCATTATGAGTTCATCACTTACAGTGGCACCCTTCTGCACGCCCTCAGCCACGCCCATTGAAACCACTGATAGTGGTCCGCTTGTTCTTCGAGGCAGTAGCTCTACCAATGCAGTTGACCGTAAGAGCGCACTTCTTGGCCGTTTTCGACGAGTCCGACTTGGCGACTCCATTGCTGCATCAAAAGGCTTCTTGAAATGTAATCTTCGACTTCCTCTCAGTTCAAACAATGCAGTGCTTCGATCAATTGGCAGCTTCTCGGCCGAACATCCCCGTGATGAGGAATTGCGCAATCCAAATGGCATCATCGATGCCAGACAAGGCGTGAGGCCCAACCCATATGATTGGCAGATGATTCCTCCATATCGACGATATTTTACTGGCTACACTCGGAGGGTCGTCCGGTGAGGTCGCTTGCCACGGGGCATTTGGTTGAAGTGCTATCTTTCTGAAGGGTGGTGTGCGTGACCCAACTGGCGACTGTCCATCTCTAGATACCTGGAGGCCTTGGGTTTAATATCTCAGCTCACCCTAGCCATTGCTTTGTTATGGGGGCCACTATGTTATTGTTCCTGTCACTTGGTGTTACGAAGTCATACCATTCCCGGCCATAACCATGATCGAGCGCGTTCGACGTGTAGCCGTAATTGGCGCCGGGGTTTCTGGAGTAACAACTGCTGTTCATCTCCAAGCCGAAGGACTCAATGTCACAGTTTTTGAAAGAGCTCCTGTGGCCGGAGGGGTATGGTCAGTATATCCCACGAATCTCATCCATGAGACTTTTTAACCTCTCATGCCAGGGTCTTGGATCCGCGAACTCCTCATGAACCTACTTTTCCGTCAACAAAACCATCACTTGCGGACTCTGTCTTCTACAACAGCATAGAAAATGAGGATCCATATCTTCTGCATGCACCTCCTGGGTAAATGGGACTGTCGGTGCATGATCTTGGCACTTATCCGATATACAGACCTGCCTATGAGACTTTGACAAATAACGTCGCGACCCAGTTTCTCGAGTTGAGCGTCAACAGCTGGCCCGCCGGCACTCCAGCTTTTGTCAAACATAATGTCATAGCTGAATATATCCAAGATACATCAATCAAGACTGGGATTCACGAGAGGACGCTGTACAATACTCGAGTGAAGAATTTGTCAAAAGAGGGCAATATCTGGCGACTTGAAACATCCACCTGGAATAAGACCACGGGCAAGGCGACAGAAAAAGTTTGGGTAGGTTTCGTCCGCAGCAGCGGCATTCTCGGCAAGCTGACACTGTCTCCAGGAATTTGAGCTTGTTGTCGTTGCCTCTGGACGTGAGTGTCTCCTCAAATTACTGTCCATCGTGTCCCAAGACTTCAATCGGTTCCATTTTCAAGCCATTTACGAGTTTTGTGCCAGTGCAGGAGCATACCCAGACTCTCGTTTCTACATTCCAGAGTTTCTTTTCAGAAGCGTGTTCCCACTGACCATCAATATTGAGAAATCAACAGATTATCATGCCCCAAGGGTTCCAGATATCCCTGGTTTGGCAGAATGGAAAGAGGCGTGGCCCTCTAGAATACAGCATTCTAAGAGTTATCGAAATCCTAACGGATTTGAAGACCAGGTGATTGGACTCAAACTGAAATTCTTGCCTGAATTAATGACTCCTTAGACTATTTTCCTGATTGGCGGAAGCGCCTCTTCGATAGATATCGCCAGAGAGGTTGGACCCGTGGCTAAGAGAGTCTACCAGTCGACCAGGGGTGGATTCATGGACACCCCGGAGTCTTGGTTGCCCCCTAATGGTACGCGTGTACCCGGAATTGCCTCCTTTGGTGAGCTGGATGATGAACCCTCGGTTGCCGCTGGCGCAATTCCCGGCAAAGTCGTACTGGTTGATGGCCGAGTACTTGAAGACATCGATCGTGTGATTGTCGCCACTGGATATCACTTCACTCTACCCTTCCTCCCGCGGGACTTTCATCGTGATGATGTACCGCGAGAAGAGGCAGATGGCAAGGTCCTGGTTACTGACGGTACCATGCTGCATAATCTTCACAAGGATATCTTCTACATTCCGGATCCGAGCCTGGCGTTCACAGGCGTGCCTTTCTATACCGCCACGTTTTCTCTCTTCGAGTTTCAGGCCATTGCCATTGCCGCGGTATTTTCTGGCCAAGCTCAAATGCCGACATGGGACGAGATGACGGCACAGTACAAGGAAAGGATCAAAGAGAAAGGACATGGAAAGCCGTTCCACACTTTGGTTGGGCAGGATGTCCAGTACGCCAAAGGCCTTATGGAATGGGTAAATTTGGGTCGCGATCCATCCACGAAGAAAGTTGATGGTTATTCGGCGGAGTGGATAGCAGCGCGTGAGGAGTTCATCAAGACCTTTTGGGAGCGTGGGAGTAAAGAGAATAAGTCGACCGCTGAGGAATTCACGGCATGATGAGCCTCACCTGAATCGCAGGAACATTGACTGTGCAGAATACCGTCCAAGTAGTATAAAGGGTATGAAATCCTTTATACTAGTCCTTTTGCTGACTAGTAAACTCGATGATTCAGAAGGGATAAAGTGAACCTATCTCCCCTTATTGAGTTTTGAACAGACTGTTGTCGGGATTTACGTTTCTGCTGGCCACGCCTACCGTAATGGGACTAACGCAATCCACTTACGATTCCTACCTTTCGAGACCTCGTATACCGGGCGGCCCACAATCTCACTTCGAGGCCGACACCGATAGATTGTCATGGTCATAAGCGAGTAGCGCAAGTGGGGGTTGCAGTGATCAGAACGGCCATTCTGGGCGATTGGTACAACTCAAGAGCCTACCGAGGTGGGCTTGCCTGAGCAGCTAGTGCCGGTTGGCTGATATATCTGCCAGAAGTGGCAAATGAAGGCATGAATCGCCTGAGTTCCCATGTAGTGCTCTCTGAATGCGGTCGCTTGATAAGTCTTCAAGACTACATCAGGACAGATCCAAGCCAAAGGTTGGAGCCGCCAATATAGACTATAGTCGCGAAAGCCGTCTAAGCGTTGGTCAGGGCCATCGGTTAGACTCGTAAGAAATTACAGTATGTAGGATGTTAGACGAGACTTACAAGCTCTTATGGCTGCTCAATGTGCCGGATGAAATTGCCATGTGGTTCTCTCACTTTGTGCGACAAGACCGCCAGCGACCAAGGCTCTTACCCCGAAGAGCAAGGGCAAACCTTGTATTGTACTATTTCTTGAGCCTTAAGCTCTGATGCTGTTTCCCTTCTTGTCCTCTTGGAGTACTAGCTGCTGTAAGTCGTTCATCAGTGATATGGCGGAGGGATGTGCCGATCTCTATCATTAGGACTTGTGAAAACCCACTAGAGGCCGTAAGTATGTTCGATCAGCCTTGCCTGGTATGCCTTGACCACTATAAGTTTTGTAAGATGAGTGCTAAGATGTCGCGGATCTCAGGGCGGTGAGAACCAAACGTTTGCCACTGTGTATACCTGTCGTCAGCGCTCGACGATGCATCTGCTCCGCCTCGATTGGCTTACGCTGAGATGTTTGATATTGTCAAGCGTTGAGGCGTGATTAGGTTCAAGCACTCTCGTTCCGAATAGGGCGAGTCGTGAATGATTTCCTACTTCTTGGTACTATGTCTGTTCTGTTAGGGTGGGGATAAAGCTGTCGAGCGGCATGCCCTTCCCTACCGTCTTCCCATAATCTATCAGTGTTCACCATCCGCCAACACCATGTGCTCTCAGTCTGCCGCTCCGTTTCAACATCAAGAGGGCCAGTGTGCTGATATGAAATCCGAGCATGAGGAGAGGAAAGTTGACGGAAACGGCGTCAAAGGCACGGAAGACCCCTTGAACGATGCGTGCTGAAAAGATATATTATACAGCACGTTCCTTGTTCGCCCGTTTCCTGGCCCCAAAATGGCCGTTCACCGACCCCAGAAGGAGCGTCCGCAATGGACAATCAAGCAGATGTCGAGAAGATGATCCACTATACTTTGAAAACGCCGAGTACCTGGAAGGGGCCATGGCCACCGCTGGGACGAGCTCACCCAACGATGTTCCTGGGAAACAAAAGGGCAATAAACGACTCGCTTTGGTCGGAGATGCTTTGATCATCTTAGATGATCGGTACGCAGACGGTATTAGTACCGGTAAGTGAGGAAATTCACTGTAAAACAGCCACTTGCTTAATGCTCTAGAGCAAGGAGGTAATCTTGTGAGCAGTCGAGGGTTCACTAGACATTTGAACGGACTTGGGACAGAACGCGGGCTTCCGAGATATATAAAGCTCAGCCCCTGTCAGCAGGGCAACGCACCTCCCACTACCATGGCATCCACTGTCGAGGTCATCATCGGGGCCGTGTGGGAAGACTCAGGAAAGGATCTCGATCTGGTTAGGGTAGTGGTTAGAGCGCTGGACCTCACTGAGTAGACTAGACGGCCTGGCTTAATAAGTTAAGGTATATTGGCTACCGATGACGGACCAAGAGATCTTTAATTAGTGATCTAAGAAAACTACTATAGAACTTCTATAGTTATAACGGATACCGAGATTTTTTAACGGGTAACAAGGCCTGATTATTCCCGGGTTCTATTAAGATCTACAATCTCCTCTGTAAAGAGCATCCTGCCGCTGTCTACGAGTCCCAGGCACGGATGTTTCGGTGGGGTTTTGCTTTTGGTGCCAGGACCACGAACCAACGCGATCGTACGACAGCTTTAGATCGTTCGGAAAATCGATCAAAGATCCACGACCACGACTTGCCCAGACTGGATTGAAGGGGCTGTACACCCGACACCAGGCCAATCTCAACATCAATCTCACTCCGACGACCGCGTCATAATCAGCCTCGCGGCCCTCCCATTCATCACGAACAGCCCGCAAGCGTGGGAGGAAATGGGGGAGCAATGCGCCGGAGATCGTCCGAAGCGCTCGAGTCGAGATCACTCATCCTGCGGGACCTCACGAATTGGAGGATCCGAGCACACCGGTTTCTCGGCAGCTAGGAGACCTCGTCGAAAGTCTGAACAATACTGGGAGACTCAATGATGACCTGGCATGAAACGGACGATACGAGATGGTCTCGGTGCTTCCAATCATGTTTCAAACCGTAGAAACAGATCTCGGACTCGAAGAGGAGCTCGAAAGCATGAGGACATGTTTCAAGGAGCAATTCAATCTTTACGTCTGCGCTATCTTCAAGATACCTGATAAGAACGCACACAAGGCGCTTATGAAGAAGATCAAGGGGCTCATAGACCAACACGGTAAGAAGGAGGAGCTAATCATTGTCGGATATGCTGGACACGGCGTCGATCCAAAAGACGCACAGGACGAACGAAAAAGGTTGGGTCCGTCTTACTGGGTACCGTAAGGTGACAGGCTTCCTCATCCATTCGATAGCTGTGCTAAGTTCCAATCTACAGCCGCGCGAACTCCAATCTCAAGAAGGAAGTCGACTGGTCTACAATTCAACCGTGGCTACACCATGCACCATGCGATACGCTTACAGTCTTGAACTGTTGCTTCGCTGGGAATGCGACATTGGGCAACATGAAGGGCACCAGCGAGATTCTTGCAGCGTCGGATCGCGAGAGTTGGGCATATGCATCCAGACGCTCGTTCTTGGAAGCCCTCATTGAAGTACTGACCGAGTTTGGGACATCTGACGGACAATGCGGCAAAGATGTTCAACTTTGACTTGACTGGCAAGATGAGAATGACACCAGAGAGATCAGGGGCCGTGGCTTGCTAGAGACATTTGTAGCGCGCTCGTCCAGTGTTTTGGTCCATGGGAGAGACTTCAAGAGCAAGCTAGCAAGATTACTTTCCTTCAAACACTTTTGGGCCTTGGCCAGGTCGTGGTCAACTCCTTGGTTATGGTAATGTCTCCAGATGCAAAAATCGGCGGCAGAGGAGTGGGGAAGCGTTTTCGAAAGCCACTACCAATGCGGACCGACCTTTACACGAGTATCTCAGGCTGCTGACGCTGGTGGAGGATCATCGCCATCGTGGCTGTAGGATCGGTTCAAGATCTCAAGTTTGCCGATGTGGAATATGCTCAGAGTCCAACGTTAAGCTCGGCGTCCACACCCGCTGCCTCTTGAGTTCAATTATGTAGTCTTGTTTTTGCGCCGCGGCTCGTGGCCATCAATCGGGATCAGCAGAGCGTGCATAGGTTGGCCCGAGTTCAAATGAAGCGGCCTCTGGGAACGAGCATCCTTCTGGCTGACGTGGTTCTCGGGCCCGCCAGTATACCTTAAGAAGGATGTGGTCAAAGGCCTAGTAGCCGTGCAATTACCGGACGAGGTGCGCTCCTCGGCCTGGTGTCAGGCGATGGTTGGCCTCCTGTGGTAGAGGCCTGGAGGCCTAGTTTGTAGCGTGCACGGAACAATGATTTCCCCGGATTCAGCTCCCTACATGCGTACATTAGCCTCGGTACTTTGGCATTCGTCCTCAGGGTTCACACCCGCAATTCATTTGACCGACGATGATGGCCCGGCTCGACTTCAAAAGTTCGCAGGTCAGCATCGAAGCTCGACTTCGCCAGCGATATTCACTCCGTATGAATTGATGAGCTTGATGCCGTGACACCAACTGGGCTGGTACTCTCGGATAGTCCATTCGTACGAACCTCCAACAAACGTGTGACTACGACACCACCACTTCTAACCCGTACCAATTTCAAGCGAAAGCCACTCCCCTACCGGTCCTCCGCATCCTCTTGCGCAAGCGGTTTTCACTTTAAGTCTGCCTTGCACCCAAAACGCTCTCGAGCGGTTGCACCAGTTGTCGTCGGTACATACGAGTAACGACTACTAGTACCCAGTGGACCGCAACATGACATCCGTGCCTAAACGCCGCCTGGCCGCGCTCTCGCAGCAACTCGTCGAAGGCATACCCTCCGAAGGCACGTTCGAAAACCTGCCGCGCATCCGCCATGTCGCAGGACCGTCGACGGGTCAGCGAGTGCAGGGCAAAGTAGCCATCGTAACTGGTACGTCAGTGACCATCTTTACTCTATCTTTAAGTTATCTACACTTTGCACTTTGCGCTCTTGCTTCCTCCCCCCGGCAAACCCTTCCCAACAACGACAAACACTACAGGAAGGAAAACTGACCGTATGTGATGATGCTTGATGCTTAGGCTGCAACTCGCCCATCGGCATTGGCCGCGCCTCGGCGCACCAGTACGCCGCTAACGGAGCCCGCGCAGTGTACATCTGCGACTACGCGACCGAGCACCTCGAAACCCACAAGCGTGAGATGGGGCAATTATACCCCGACTGCGAGGTGCATTGCGTGAAAATGGACGTTGGAAACGAAGAGCAGGTCAAGGGCGTGGTGGATCAATGTATGGCAAAGTACGGACGGTTAGACATCATGTTCGCCAATGCCGGCGTGACGGGCGTGCCAAACACGTTCGAGCACATCACCTACGATGCCTTCATGAACACGCTCCGAGTCAACACGGTGGGCGTGTTTCTATGTTTCAAGTACGCGGCCATCGCGATGCAGAAGAGCAATACAGAAAAAAAGTATTCTGGAGGCAGTATCATTGGCACGGCGAGCGTGGCGGGATTGAGGTCCAACGCTGGTGGGACGGATTACTCGGCGAGCAAGGCCGGCGTCGTCTCGCTGGCGCAGACCATGTCGTATCAACTGGCCGGTACGGGTGTGAGGGTCAACGCCTTATGTCCGGGTGTCATTGAGACGGGGATGACAAAGGCCATGTATGACCAGGCACGCAGTCGAGGGACAGAGAGGAAGATTGGGCAGTTGAACCCGTTGCAGCGAGGAGCCGTTGCGGACGAAGTAGCAAGAGTTGCCCTTTTCTTGGGCAGTGATGAGGCTAGTTACGTCAATGGTCAGGCCTGGGCGGTATGTGGTGGTCTGAGTGCCGGTCATCCTTTTGTGCCTGGGAAGCTGGCATGAGGTGCAATGAAAAAGATATCAGCAGGTCACTAGCCTGTAAGATCTTTCTGCAGCACTTCCAGAACCTTTTGCTCGTCGATTTGGGCTAGAGACTTTAGCTCTTGTTCATCCTGCTTGGTGTCTGCGGGGAACGTAGGTAGGTTGATGGATATTTCTGATCCGTACAGCTGCTCATACTTTTCTTCCGTCACAAATGGCTCGGATAATGCCTCAGGAGGTTCGTGTCGGACGTAGAATGTCGGAAACTCAAGCAACGTCTTGTTGGAGACAACCTCCTTCAAGGTTGATGCCTGCGATATGGGGATTAAACACTTTAGTTTGGCTGTGGTATTCGGTCTGAGCAAATAAAAGTGCACGTCTTGTAGCACTTTCGAGACGTTTTCCCCTTGGGGTATTCTCTGCGTTTTGTCAGAGGTGTTGTCGGCCGTTATGGTGTCTTGGACAGCAACAGTGTCATCTTCGGCAGTCTTTTGGGGCGCAGCTTCTTCTTCCACAGCCGGCAAATCGTCAGCAGCTTCTTCCTCTGCTACCGGCACATCCTGCGTAGCTTCTTCATCCTCCACAGAACTCGGCTGTATGGGAACAGTCTCAGGTGATAAAGCTGGGGCAGTAGTGGTTTCAGCACTACTCCATTTCCTCTTCCTGCCGAGTGCTCTCCTGCCGAAGACATCGAGAAATGCCTGTGCCACTGTTCTCGTCTCTCTCACATTATACATTTTCTTCGTGCCGTCATGAAGGATCCACTCGGTAGTCCACAAGATGCATTTGTGCGGCGCACCGTCCCAGCGAGACTTGTTCTCTCTATTCCTGGATAGTCCTTTGGGAGCCTTGATCAGACGAATACCTCTTTCCTCGACTTCGAGAGCGAATTTTTGCTTTAACGCCGGAGCATTGGGCCTGAGGCCAGCTGGGGCCAAGTCTATGCCTTTGTCGAGCACCAGCTCGTCAGCCTTCTGCAGGGATCTCTCCACAGATGCGATGAAGTTAAAGTCCTGGTCGATCGAGGCCGAGGTGGCTAAGTCGGCTCTCTTTCGGTAGGCAGCAGGGTTTCGAATGCCAGAGCATTGTGCCCAGGACTTGTGGCGCTTGACACAGGGTAGGGAGCAGGTGTGTATTCCGCATCGAGGGCAAGTGTATTTGATTGGATTCGCATGGCTTGTTACAATCAGCCACTAACGATCGGTACTCTCAAAAGGACCGTGTCAGATAACTCACCAGATCGCACAAAGATCGGTCAGCAGTCCATCGCCTCCACTTGCCTGCATCTTGAGGAGGAGGAAGTTTCGCGTGAATCGCGTCTCTGGTCACAGCGAAAGAAGTTCATGCAGGTTTCAGCCCAAGAAGCGCAGGCACCACCACCACCGGGAAAGATTCCTTATCGATACGCGTACTACTTTACAAGTACTATGGTATTCGTGGGTATCCTGGGTATATCTTGTAAATCTGTGCTAGCGTGCCATTCGACGACAAAGAGCAGCGAGGATAATTTGTGTGGTAGGAGGGTCCATTGTGACTGTGGGCTTCAACTGTTGCTTCGACAAGATAAGCGGCAACTGTTTTATCTTTTTGCGGAGAAATATTTCGCGTCCAAAAGAGGGGCAGTTTGGGCTCACCACGCTCACCTTGCATCTTGCATATGCAAGCTACGGAAAAACATGCACCACCCTCGCCACCCTCTAACCAGTTCTCCGTACTTGATCGAGTTGAAAACCTGCAGCCGGAGTCTTGTCAGCTCGCCAACATCTCGAACCAAAGGTACCCGGGCTCGCTTGACTGTCACTCATCACAGCCGAACACGGGCGACAGGTTCCTGACATTATCAGTCTTTTTTCAACGTTCGTGGGCGTGACTTCAGCTTCCTACATGAACCAGCCTGCAAACTCATGAATCGAGTACTCGTATAATCTATCAAGCATGTGCTCCATCTCGATGTCCACTACGGAGTAAGAGGCAAGTAGACGAGATCTCCCCATCATGCGCGATCTCTTGGCTGTTGCTTGCGAGTGCTAGCTGGGTTCATTTCCGCAATGATTCTGGGAAAAGATCCGAACGGCAGTCTCTGACCAACAAGAAGCGCAAGAACGGAAGGTGAATGTGCGGAGGTTTGTCCCCTGAAACGCCCAAGATCACTTTACGTGTAAAGCGGGAACGAAAGAAACCAATACTATCGTGTTCATGCGAGTGAGAGCGATAGAGTTTATTCCACGTGTAATAAGAACTTAGGGTTGGTGGTATCGAGCGCGACGAGTGCCCATCCACCCAGCGATCTGGAGAGAAGCCAAGGGGTGCTTCCAAAAGACACGGCTGAGACCCGCACTTTCACCCAGGGGTCGCCTGGTGGGAAGTTCGAAATGTTATGGCATCATGAATCATGATTCCAAGGCCAACTTAAGATTCCGGAGAATATGTCCTGAGAGAAGACCTCCCTTCGAAACTGAGATTCTATGACAAGTCAGTCAGTTGCAGGGGAAGCTGCGCGAATTGCGTTACGGGTGTATGATGGGCCAGGCCAATATGTGGTCTGCTCTATAAAGGTATCCCTTCTGCAAATCATGCTGGACGCTGGATGAAGTAAGACGGCTTTCAACAAGGCTGCAGTTCCTCGCCAGGACCCCTGGCCTGTAAGAAGGAGTCTGGAAGTCATGCTGTCACTGCGGCAAGTTCCTCCCGGAAAGCGACAGAGACATCGATGATAGAACTTCAACGAACGGCCCATGCGTGCAGTATCCTCGCGGACGCCAGCGAGCTGACGTGTCGAGATGTTCACGTCAAAAGGTGCATAAACTTCTGGGACCTGCATGTGGCCTGCCCAGTGAGCCTCTCTAATCGTCACACAAGATACGGAACAAGCGAGCATAGACCCTAAGAGCGCGCATCGGAGAACCCCTGAGGCTTGCAGAGTTCGCCAACACGAACGCACAGCAAGCCACCAGGTCTTCTATCGAGAGTCCAGAGTCCATTTGACATGATCAACTATCGACGATTTGGGAAGCGCAAGACACAGCACATCCCAGGCCTGTGATAATAGTGGCCGCAAATTGCATGGGGACTGGCTCGGGAGAATACCCGCAAGCTGTCAAACAAGACCCTAGTTCATCACAAAGCGAGTGGGACAAAAATCCTTGTGGCCATCAAATTGAGGTCCGCTGGGGAAGCTTGACTGGCCGGGGTCGACCACAGGCGCAGAAGTTACAGAGGCCGAAAGCAGCACCATCGGCCCTTAGCTTCCTCCAATCCAGGGGAAGCCGACGGTGCTTTGGTAGCACTTGGGCTGGTTGGAGCTTGACAAACAGTGGACCTCCTGGCTAAGCTGAGTCCGTCCGCTTAACAGAGTCAAGGGCTTGCGGCCTTGCGGCCTTGCGGGTTTGGATTTGCGCTGATTTGCATGTGTGTCCAGATTATCTGCTCCATCATTATTCCGCGCCATCAATCGACAGCCCAACTGTCACTGTCACAACCATGGAAGTTTCTGCTCGCAGATACTCGTACGAGTAGCACCCGAGGTGTCATCATTACGACCGACCATCTTCTGCAAACCCATCTCTGGCGCGATCCACCTGTGCCACCTCTGCCAAAAAGCAATGCTGTGTCCAATGCTGCGTCGAAGCTGAATGTGGAAAGACGAGTTTCCCACCCCTGCAAGCCTCGTCTTTTTAGTCCTGATTCTCCGCCTTGGCCTGAACTAGCCTGACACGACGGGCCCAACCTGCTACGCCTGCATCCTCTCGCTTCGAGTATCAACAGGCCTCCTGAATCTTGACCTTCTCGGTACCTTGCATTTGATTGCCTCAGTCCCTTGTTGAGCTGTTCTAGTGATAACTTTCCTTCTCCCCTCTTCCACCTCACCCTTTACCATCCCTCTTCCGTCCTCCACCTACGAAAGGACGACTTACTGTCAAGACGTCAAGAATACTGCGCGCCGCGAGCGTTCGAGGCTCGACATTATAAGTCCTGGGCACGGGCCTTGGCTTTGACTTTTTTGACCGCGGCCCGACACGTTAAAGAGCACCCTACACGCCGTCATCGACTCTATCAACCATGGGCCCTTCACTGAGAGGTCATACCTCTATGACCTCAATGGCTCGTCCACAGACACGAGAGACAAACCGGCCGACGACGAGAGAACAAGTAGTCGACAACGCCATGGTTCCGAGCAGAACCTCGTCGCTGCATTCTCGAATTACGCAGCCTCTCCCGTCGACGTTGGCCAAATCCAATAACCGACCCACCCCAAAGACCCTTACGCATGCTTACATGGTATGTGGTGTTGGACGAGAACCCTCTCAATGGGTCAAAGCGCCGCCACCATCTTTTGGGAAAATACAACACATGAAAGGAGCCGTTGGCCAATTTTGGCTCCCAGAGATCTTGGGAAGCAGCCCACGACTGGAAAGTGACAATGAAATTGCGAGAGCCCTGCACAGTGCTATGAGAGTAAGTATACGTCGACCGCTGCTATTCCAGAACACTAACCACTTGACAGGCCTGCTTCCCGCACGATGTCGAAATCTGCACTGGACGTAGCCAGCCACACTGCGTGCACCATTCATTTGTCCTGCAACAAGATTCACAGCATACTCTTTATGGGATCGCTTTGCGGGTCTGGTCTCGAGCAGATGAGAAACGTGCCGAGACCATTCGTGACCTACGACGAAAGACCGAGCCTGACTACAGAGATGTTGCCGACGAGACGTACTGGATTCCATACTGCCTGAGTTTCTTGTCGAGATATCCATTGTACAACTTACTCGGCGACTACCTACGGGGAATGTGGATCCACTGGAACAAAGCTACCAACCTATTCCACGCTGAAGAAGTCTCCAGGATTCTCAGCTTCCCAGCACCACGATTGAACGACCTCGTCCGCATTGACATGAAAGATTACGCGCTTTGCTATCAGTTCCCCTCCTCGCCCACTGGCTTTCAGAACTTTGCCATGTGGCCCCTCTTCAGTTGTTTGTCCATCCCTAATATTGTGGGCCTCGTCGAAGCGGCTGTATCACCAACGCGTCGGATCATCCTGACCAGTCATCATCCAGCTATGCTGACCATTGCGGCTGAGACTATAAGATTCTGCGTTCGAGTCTACGAGTGGAGTGGTCTCTATGTGCCAGTCGTCCATGCTCGAAACGTCGGCGAGATGGTTCAAGAACCCGGCCCATATATCCTCGGTATAACGACTGAATGCCGGTCTCTCTTCCAGCCACCCAAAGATGCTTTGTTGGTTGACTTGGATCGCAATCTTGTCATCACGGATCATCCACCTAACGTCCTGACCGCCGGCCAACGCAACAAGTTCATCAACCGGCTGTCTCAGGCCTTGAATAGTGATGTCGAGATTAGCGGCGTGCCACAGCATCTCAAATCTGCCTATGGTGGTGGCAAGCTTATCCCTGCTGGCCAAATCATCGTCCTCCGCGGTGAGGTGGAAAGTGTCCAAGATCCTTCATGGTGGAACCAAGATGCCATCATGGCGATCATGGACCATGTCTGTGAGAAGCTTGGCCGCAATACCGGTGTCAAGGCTTTATTCAACGGCTCTATGAAGAAACCCCTGATGACCAAGATTTCCATGAGACACATGAATGAAATCGTTCGTGAACGTAACCAATACTCGCGTGATGCATTGGAAGCATGGCAAGACTTCATCAACCTCAAGGGCCGCATGGACACGGAGCTCGCCAAGGTTGCCAAGCGCAACAACTATCTCGAGCAAGAAGTCGAGACATGGAAATTGCAATTCCAGAAATTCCAAGCATTCGTCGAGTCCCTCAACAAGGAATTGGCTGAACTTCGAGTCAAGATTGAATCTCACAAGCGTGAGAACCGCAGACTCACCGGCCTTATCGACCAACAGAAGGATGACGCTGCTCGTCTTGCTCTCAGACTCTCTGGTACAGAGAGACAGCGTGACAATGCTCTTGAGGCGCTTGTCCTTCAACAAGGCATCGCTGAGGACCTCGAGAAGGAGCGTTCTCGCAATCGGAAGGAGATTGCTGCCTTGCAACACACCAATCAGACCCTGCAGAGACAGCGGGACGAGGCTCAGCGTGTTGTTCTGCATCTCCGTTCGCTCATTACCGGCCAAACACATCATATGGAACATATTGTCCGATCTATCGGATCTGCCTCGGAGCTAGCCGAGTACATCCACGAAGGCTATGACGACGAAGAGGAGGACGCCGAGGAGGAGCAAGAAGCTAGCGACCAAGTTGGCGAGCCTGTCGACCGCCTAAAGAACGTGACAAATCGCTCTTCCAAACGTGCATCTCGTGCCGTTTCGATCGATGGCCAAGATGTGACACCGTCCATGGAGAGCAAACTCCTTTCCGCCAGCAAGCGCACAAGCAAACGCTACTCTGACCTGAGCATGTCCGACGTGGCCGATCGCCATCTGCGGGACAAGACCGACGCCATTGCCGACATTATCCGGAACATCAGCGAACAATGCGCCGCGGCCGTCGAAGGACTCCAGCTCGCCAACGAAGCAGCTGACATCGAAGGCGAGGAAGAGCAAGACCAAAGTGAAGTCGTCGATGAGCCTGGCATCTCGCCGTCGACTACGCACACGCGCGAGGACAGCGGCAACTTGTCGCCCGTGGAACATCTCAGTACTGACTCGCGCACCGGCACAGGGCACTTGACGCCTCAGAGTGAGCGGAGTTCCATCCCGCCGACCCCGGACTTGGTCCATCAGCGATCTAGCACAGCGTTGAGCATGGCTAGCACTGCACCGACCAACTACACGGCTCGCGAGAGCTTGAACCAGAACACTCGCGGTATTGACCGGACGAAGATTGTCGAGGATGAGGATGCTGATCGTGCGCATGTGGTGGCTGCCATTGGCGGCGGTAGTGTCAAGGGCGACGATGAGAGCGTCAAGCAACCTCCTGGCCGGGGTGCGCCTTTGAGCCGGGTGATCGAGGCATGAATCATGGAATTGATCTGATCTGATACTATTATACACTTTTTCGCATTGGGTTCGGGATATGCATGGAGCTTTGGCGCGACTGCGGGAATCAGGGGCTGGGGCTGAGGCTGAGGCCGGGGCAGTCCTATCTGTGGGATAATGTGTTCCTGTTTGATATCTCATGGTTCTCATATGTGAGGCTTGTAATCAATGGCATATCGCCTTTGCATTTTCTGTCATTTTGCACGAGTCTGATGGTGCTATCCGTACAGAAGACATCGAGATTGATTTGTTTTTCAGAGATGTCCACAGTAAACGGCACCTGGTCTATCTGTTACTTGGTCATAATTGATGGGGAAAGCATGTACAATGCGATGCAGCTACTTCTCTTTGAACCCAAGCTCTATCTGGCGACAAATCATGCAGACTTCGTTCCGTACTTGTCGAGCCCCAACAGTGAGGGACCACTCAGTAAAGTCATCTGGCGGTACCGGTGGCTCGCGCCGTGACTTCAGAGGAACCTCCGGTCTCGGTCCTTAGCGGTTCGTCAAATACCTCGGCACGGACGTCGTCGCTCACCTCCGGTAGGTACCTTACACTGTACAGTGCCTAAGTTAATACTCTCCTGTGTCTCCTTGGGCCCAGAATACCCGACCGAGAACAGCATATGTACCGTACTTCAACTTCATAGAGATATAGTACTGGACTGCTAGTACTCACAACAAGCGCATAATCACTGCATCGCATGCTCGCGAAACCAGTCCGTCCCGGCGAAAGTTCTTCCCGCGAAGCAACGAGTGACCCGGAAGTATACCTACACCTCACAAGGTGGTCCAGCCTCGACACTCGACTGAGAGAACCAAAAAGACCAGCAACTTTCCACCGTACCTGGTTCAATCGCGGGCAACTTTTAACAAACAAAACACCGCCTGGTCGTTCTTATACAGTCTATACAGGACGCCATGGTGACAACGACGGACCCCGGCTATTTCCTCTCCATCCCCTGGTGTGCGACACTACTCTCCGACACGAGCTACAAAACCGTGCCCTCACGCTTCGGCCAGCCCACGCCGGACAAGCGAGGCGAATTCTTCACGCGCACGCTCGCCACGAGCGACACGATCACAGCGTGTATTTACCAGACCCGTCAATCGCCATTGTCCTCGCAAGCACAGCCTCTAGTACCCGCTTCGGGGCGCAACACGTCAGTGGGAGGAACTGGAAAAGTCGAAGAAGTCCGCTGCTTCCTGGCCACGCGGTCGGGCGTCAATGGGTTTCCGGGCATTGCGCACGGCGGGTTCGTCGCGGCCGTGATCGACGAGGTTATGGGCTATCTGATCAATGCGAATCTGACGGCAGCAAGGACTGAGGTTGGAGCCTCAGCAGCAAAAGGTCAGGAAGCAAGCACAAATGCGACAGTAACAGTGCCGATGACAGGATCCGGAGAATCAACAGCACCCATGTCTTCGGTCATGACGGCCGAGTTGACGATCAAGTATCGTCGTCCCGTGCCGACGGGGGAAATCCTGCTCGTGCGCACGTGGATCGAGAAGACTGAGGGCAGGAAGATCGTTGTCAGAGCCGCGGTGGAGGATCAGGATGGACAGGTTCTGAGCGAGGGGTTGGCGTTGTTCATCGCGCTGAGGCCGGGGGTGGGAGGGCCGAAGGTGAAGAGGAAAAGAAATGGGACGGGGGAGAGTGCGAAGATGTAAACGGAATGGAATGAAGAGGAAAGACCTCCTAAACAAGGTGGAGGGTTTGCATAGACTGGTACCAGTCACCTAGGTGCCAGTGGGCGATTGGATTGAGAGGGAGGTCATTCGAGGTCATTTGGATTTGCTTGGAGCATCGTAGAGATCCCGAGAGGAAAGGAAGGCAAGTGTATAGATACCAAAGTAAATCGAGGCATATGCTAGAAGATACGGAGGGCTTAGAAGGCAAATGAACTAGAATATAGATCTCAAGTCGAGATGCAGATGGCTCCCCTAGACTTCGCAGACTGTGCGGATGTGGTTGAAAGGCCTCACGCAAAAGGTGTGCAGAGGACATAGATTAAACCTACCTAGGTATATTGGGATGGCAGTGGTGGCAGTGATGGCGCCTAACTTAGGCGCCTCTGTGGGACTCCCCGGGCTCGTTAGGCTGAGGGGGTAAGCAACGATAAGCTTGCAGGGCGCCCAGCAGGCCCACTAGCCTCACTCGGCTCAACTATGGTACCAGGAGACATGGGTTGCTTCCCAGGCGCTGGTATTGGCCAGCACAGAAAAGCTTGTGGTTTGTTCAATCCAAGGTCCAACCATGATGTCGTCGAGGGTTTTTCTCCTCGCTGCTGGTTTTCAACACCAAGATACAGTATTATGGTCGAAGTAGCTGAGAGATGGCCTGTGATATCGCAAGCACTGTAGCAGCCTTGGTAACATCATGGGTTCTTTACAAACCCTGTTTATATTGCGCAGGTGTACCACAACCTTCTCATATCGTTGCTGGTACTGCTATCTCAGCGCCAGGTTAAGTCGGTTACTCCACCCGCGAACCCAGATGGTCGAGGGCCACGTACGCCTTCAACGTGCATTACGTGGATCGATCTCGTGCGACCAAATTGCACGCAAAGGCTTCAGACCAGAAGAAAAGCGTATTTCCAGCCCAGGTCGTCGAAAACCTCGGTGACGTTGCCCGGATGGTTTTCCACTTCCCAAAAAGATGTCACTGTGGGCATCAACTGTACCCGGTCCATGGACGAAGTGTTGATGATCAACGTCTTCATTTTCTGAAGAACCGACTCTCTCTTCGTACCCTCGACACCCTAGATTGTGGTGAAGACACATTTGTGTTACACCGAGATCTCTTTCTTGCAGGTATTTACATCAGCAAGAGGGCCTACCGTACCACCTCACCTCTGGAGATTCTCAGCTTTTGCTAACAAGGAGACAATGTTGATGCATATGAGCTTGCTTTACTGATCTCCCTTGTCGACTGCTTACTATAACTTGTCTCTGGGTTAGGAGCCATCGAAGACGGCTTGTGCACTTCAAAGACCCTCAAGCCTGCGCCCGGAATCCCTCCCGAGTGTCACAGCTAGAGAGGAAGTGAAAGGCTAGAAGCCAGATCGATCAAACATCACCTACTAGAATGTCCGTACAAAGTCTTGGTGCGGCAGGCAAGTATACTTCACTTGTCGACCGCCTATGAGCGGAAGGTGCAACGAAGAAAGACACTATACTCACACCTTGACTGCGCATTTCACTTTGAAGTCGCTTTCGATAGAGAAACGCTTCGCAACAATCGCGACAACCCACTGTCCTTCTTCGTGGCGCCGCCGTCATGAACTCTTCCCTGGTGTCAACGTTCCTCCGCGACCGAAAGTCTCTACAGACAACTCTGACAATATGTGCGATCACGCTACTCCTCTACACCGGGTTCGCCTTCAACACCATTCCTTCATGGCTAGAGGTCACTACGAGTTTCAGGACCAGTTCTCCGATCCAACACAATCTTGCTGAAGGTCTCAACACTCCTGTCAATAACACACAATGGGGTGAAATGGGAAAACGCGTTCAACAATTCTCACAATGGGCGCATGCTGTCGTTGACTATCCCTCACCGGAAGAGCGCCAATCTCTTTCAGACGCACTGGTATCACAGTTCCCGTTCCTTGAAGGTACAAACGAGACCATATATACCCCTTGGTCGCCACCTACCACAATATTCACATCACAAGTTGGTTACGTGATATGCACCGGGTCCAACAACTTCCACCTCGCAGCTCACCTCATCAGGAGTCTGCAGCGGGTCCATCGATCCCCAACACCTATCGAAATCGCCTACGCCGGTGATCAAGATCTGCGACCGGAGCACCGCGCATTTTTGCGGGACCTTAAACCCGGAGTCACCTTCATCGACCTTCTCGAGCGCTTCCCCTCCGCTCGCGACGACCTGATCGACAGTGGCTGGGCCATGAAACCCTTTGCCCTACTGGCGTCCTCGCACAAGCGAGCTATTCTTGTCGACGCAGATGCTCTCTTCCTCACTAGCCCCGATCTGATCTTCGAATTGAACAGTGGCCTTGCACGCACAGGCACGCTCTTCTTCCACGACAGGGCCGCAGTTGGCGGGACCGACGATCGGCGTTTCTGGGTCAAAGATCAAATTAAAGCGGCCGGCCTCCGACCCTCGCGCCATCTGACTGCCGAATCGCTCTTCTACGCAGGCGCGACATGGTACGAGATGGACAGCGGCGTCGTAGCCCTTGATAAGACTAAAATACCTGTCCTCCTCGGCCTGATGTTCGCAACCTGGATGAATACCAAAGCAGTACGCGAAGAAGTGACGTACAAGATCTTCTACGGCGACAAGGAGACGTTCTGGCTGGCCATGGAACTTAGTGGGGTCGAGTACTTCTTCCAACCGTGGTACGCCGGCACAATGGGCACCATCACCGACGACAAGAGTCTGGGCAAAGGCAAAGGCAAGGTCGAGATCTGTGGGACGCACATGCTCCATCTGGACCAGCTTGGCCAGATGCCGTTCTGGATCAACGGCGGCGTGTATGAGCACAAAGACGATCCTAAGCGGGCCTATGCGCAAATGACACATTACTGGGTGGGCGAGACCTCGGACATCCGGTACTCGCAGCCCGATTGGTACTGGATCAATGGGAACACGGCGTGTCTGAAGGAGGGAGGCGTCAGGAAGATTCCGGGCAGGATTAGATCGAGTATTGAAAAGATACAGACCGAGGCGAGACGGGTGGATGAGATGATTCAAGAGCAGAACCTTTGATCAGAAAAGAGAAAGAGACTGTGCAATCCCGGTTGGCACTCAGTTGGGGCATGTGTAGGTAGCCTCATGAACGTATGCGCGGTAGAAGCAGACAAGCCAGCAAGGCTTGCGAGTGAAGTACCTTAGGTACCTCTAGACGATCAATGGATGAGGATGAATGAATGAATGAATGAATGAATGAATGAAAGATTTCGTTGCTGTACACTTGCGCCAATCATAGTACATTGATACTAGTGTCAGTATCCCCTTCGGAAGAGAATCTGTCCCCCGTCCAGACACCTCGTTACTAACTAGTAGATCCGCCGGCCCCGATCTCCATCTGAATCTTCATCTCAATGTCATCCTGACCGCCCCCATCACGAGATCGGATCAAACTCTCTCGAAAAGGCGGCAAGACGGGACAGCTGTTCGACCGGAGGAGATCCGCGCGTGGAGTACTACTATACCCTTGATGGGCTCTCCTGATCGCCTGCTGGGACCAGACTGCCTCGGCCACCCTGGCATCATTCGAGCTAGTTGTCCGCGTGTGCTCATTGCCCGGCTGAGCTTTGGAGAACAGATCTCTGCGCAAGGGGACATCGTAGATGCGGATCGGCGCTTGTGGCTCGTCAAGGGGGCGCAGAAAGTCGGGGATGCGGAGCCTCATCCTCGAGCGTCGACTGTTGGATTGGATCTTGTCGCTACTAGTAGGCTTGCCGTTGGATTTGTCAGAGGGTGATTGTGGTTGAGGAGGCGCCAAAAATACTCGGCTTGACGGACGGGATGCAGGCAAGGCGGTCAACGACGGGGATGAAGACGCCGAAGAGGAGGTGGTTATCCAATCCTGAGAGTCGCCGTCGGAAGTCGACTGAGAGTTTCCAGGTTGATAAGAATGTGTTGACCATGATGAAGAACGTGGTACCGAGTGGAAGCCACTGTCGGATCGCATCAAAGGGATACCTGATGTGGGATGGTTGGAACGCAACTGAGAGGCTGGTCGTTTGAGAACGTGAGGGTGTCTGATACTTTCCACATCTGGCCCACTAACGTAAGCGGTTCTACAGGGAAACATGCGCTCCTTCGCCGGTACATCGAGCTCGAAAGGCTCGGATATGGTGATCTCTGTGTGCACAAATATTCGCTTGTCTGGAACTTCATGAACGCTCGTCGTGTCAGTGCTGACGCCGTCGTCGCTTTTTTCGGCCAGGCTATGTAGACTGGTGCTTCGTTTGACCTGTTGACGCCATTCTTTCGAGTATATCGAGCAGGACGGCGCTCTGTCTGCAGTACTCGAGAATTGAATGTGCCTGCCATCAGACTGAAGGCTAACAGCACGCCCTGGTCCGGCTCCGTGCTGCTGTGTCCTCTTGGCCAGTTGGTCTCGGAGATGGAGTGATGGTATGTCAGAACAGGCGATCGCCGCTGACCCAGGCTCCGTCTGGTAAAGGCGCCTGCTCATGGTTGACCTTGCCCGGTGTGCGATTGGAAACCAGGCGCATCTCCTGACAATCGCGACCGGGCACAGATATTGCTGTATCCCGACTAAGGAGAGGTCAGTTGCCTGCTGCGACAAGGTTAAGGCTGTCGGGGGCTGTGAAGCGCCTCGACAAAACCAAGCTTTGTGCTTGGCCAGTCGAAGTCGGCAAAGAGTCCACAGAGGTAGCAGAATGAAAAAAGGACCACCATCTGATGCCCGGCGGAGTGATTGGCAAGGCAGTGACCAGTTGAGAATGCTGGTACGATCTGACGATGGGGGTGATTCGGCCGATACACCAGCTAAGCAGAAGAGTCTGACAACTACAGGCGACTTTTGTTGCTCAACGAAGGGGTGAGCACTGATCCAGGTACAAGAGTGTCAGTTGGCGGTGGTTCATGCAGCATCGCTAGATATGCGGATCAGCTTGAGGGTGACGAACATCATGTATTTTGGAGTGGAAGGTGCGGTTGGCGGGTGACTCGATCCGATTGTCGTGAGTGAATCCCTTTTCTAAGTGAAGAACACCAAGCGGCATTTCTCGCATGAGAGAATTGTAGAGTCATCAATAAATTGAGATCCTCAAGTCTGATTTGGAATTTCGTTTCTCAAACACTGATTGTCTTGAATACCCCAAGGCCACTTCCACCCGTGACCATGACTGTGCCGGGCATTTGCGGATGCCAGTGAAGCTCTTTCCCATCCTCGACGTGATGAATGAAGAGCAGTTGCGGAGGCACCTTCTCGGCACCTTCCCCTAATCCTAGACCTGCTTCTTTACCGTATTCCTCATCGTCCAATTCGACAGCCAAATCCCAAAGAGTCGCCGTGTTGTCCGCACAAGCAACGGCAACCACGCTGTCATCCGTAGGATGCCATTCAATAGAGGTGATTGGCTGTTTGTGAAAGTTGAAGTCAGCAACAGGGCTTGGCTTGACTTGTGAATTTCCAGCGGACTGGGGCTTCCATTGTCTCAGATCCCAGACTGCCCATTGACCATCATCTGCACCTGTGGCGAGCAGATGGAAGGTCTGGTGAGACCATGACATTACATTGACATCGGTATTGCTGATCTTGACGTCCACAGCCGGCTTTCGACTCTTGCTTCGGACATCCCACACCTTCACCGTGCCGTCTGAGCTCGCAGAAGCAAAGACGAATTTCTCGTTGGGCGACCACTGCAGTTCTTCCACTGCATCTGTGTGCCCGACAAACGGTCTCGTATCTGTCACCCAGCCACCACCGTCCGTCCGTTGTGTGCTAAAGATTTGGCCAGCATTGTCACCCGTCAGCAGCCGACCATTGGGGTGTAGAGACCTAGGTGCCCAGTCAAGCGCATAGCCCTCGGTCTTGTGCATCCGCAGAGTGCTGAGTGGCTTGGAGGCGGCGGTCGGAATCGTAGAGCCGGGGTTTGACAGTGATTGTAGGTAGGGCGAGACGTCGTGGATGAGAACTTGACCATTTTCAAGGGTCGTTGCCGTTAACGTCTGTGGTATTTGCGTCACATCAGTGGAGGCCTCTGCAGGTTGAAAGGACCGTATTCTGTTCGTCGTACTGGGTAAGGGTATCGATCGTGACTCAAGAACGGGGTCAGAAGAGCCCTCGTCGTCAGAGTCGTCATCGTCGCTGTCGGAATCTGATGTGTGGCCTCGATCCATCTTCGACAGGCTGCTCAACCGCAAGATGTACAACTCATTTTCCTTTGCTCTTGATGACTCGGCTTGGGTTCCTGCAACCGCGTACAGTGTTCGAGGATACTGTTTTCTTTGATCGCCCAGATTGTCTCGTACAATGTCAAATGACAGACAAGGCCACGCCGTGGACATAGTATGAAGCATCTCGTAGGTAGAAGGGTCGGGGCTCAAGGTCATTCCAGGTTGTAGTATCGACCGTCCTGGTATGAATGTCTGATCGTTTGTGTCCACGTCCATAGCGTCTTGTGACTGTTCTGCTTCTCTTTCTGCATCTGGACGACCGTCGACGCCAGCCTCCATGATCTCGTCCTCCGACTCGAACTCGTCTTCAAACTCATCTTCAAAATCAAGTGTGGCCTCGCCATTGGCTCCTGCGTCTGGTCGCTGGCCCGCCTTCAGGGCGTCCAGGTCGTCCCGGTCATCTGCCGTTCGTTTCGACATTTCGACAATGTAGTATTAAGTGCGAGTAGATGTCAGGGCAGTTTCACGGGGACTTTCTTGTATTAGCGATCGCAAGAGTATCACCGTATTTGTCTCAACTCCAACTTTTCTCAAAATTCTCATCGCGAAGTTGTTCCGGAATTGCCGATAACTTATCAGCACGTGAGCGGGTCTTGGCCTCCAGGCCTTCTTCCTCCGTCTTCCTCCTAACCGGGCACGCCTGGACAACTTCACCACGTCTGAAAATGCTACAGTAGAAATAATCTATAAGGGCATGTATTGTTCGTAATGTCTCCGTTGTCTCCAAAAGCTTCTTCTTGCTAAGGTCATAAACTTTACTTTTCCATGCACTCTGACCAGTCCGGACTAAGGTCTGCCCAATATACCCATCCTAGTCGACCAAACCCATTTGTCACAATGACTACCATGGGCAGGGGCTCTGCCGATCTACTGGCAGTGGAGTACAGTGGGCATACCATAACCTCATCTTAATCATTAACGGCCACTTCCTTCACATTACCGAACGCCGAGGCCGGGACAGGCACCGGATCCAGAGGCACCAACGTAGCGTGAGAGGAATGCGGCCAGATCAACCCAGCAAACACAAGATTGACAAGCTGTGAGTACTGAATTTGAGTCGCCGAAACCGTGATTGTCTGGGGTTTCGAAATTTCACACGGCGGATGGACCAGGAACGTTGGCGTGGGGACGCCACTGGTATTTCCCTTCGGAACTGGCGCCTGGATGATTATAGCGGGATGGCCTGGTTTCCAAGCTGGGACTTCGAGCTGGTATTGCACGGTCTCGATCCAGAAGGTCGCTGTCATGGTGGTCGCTTGGGCATTAGGACCAGTGTTTATCCCAGTGGTAGCTCCACTTAGGAAACCGGTATTAGCAGTGCCGCCGCCTAGTTCAGGTGACGCTGGAGTAGTTGCGACAGTGAAGAAGATGGTCTTGGTAATATTCTGACCCACGATAGCATTACGTAGAACGGTGGCCGGATCGGTTAGTATAGCCTGGGTGATAGTGCCCGCCGTGATGAACTTGGCTAGGTCTTGTGGCAAGCGGGCAGTCTCAGTGCTGGTGGCCGTTTGAGAGGGGAAGGTGAACAACTGTCCCGTCGCGATGATGGTTGGTGTTATATCAACCGGTGGAATCTTCGGTGGTCCCTCGACGGTGCCGACCGTAGAAGTCGGGTCGGGACATTGAGCGTTAATCGTGGTGCCATGAGGGATTGAGCCCATACGGTTCAGCGACTCGGGAACAATGGGATCGGAAGTGGTAGCCGGGATGTGCATCCACAGTCCTGGCTCAAAATGGATACCAGAAGGAGTACCATCTGCCTTGCCAGTGGCGGTATTTGTTACATCGTTGATGGTTTGGGCGTAGGGTACGCCGTTAAGGAAAATATCGCCTTGTGTGCCAGAACCACGGTTCGGAACATTCCCGAGAGACTGGGCGAAGGCCAGAGTCTCTTGGGTCAAATTTTGCTCTAACGTATTGTCGTTTGGTACTGCCGGTGGGGCCGGAGACACCGGGATGGGAAAGGTAGTGTTACTACTCGTTCCGTTATTTGGTCGGAATATGGTGTTGAAGCCTGTCCCATGGAATGTACCGGTGAAATTAGAAAGTACGCTGAGTGGTGGAATCGTTGTACTCGGAGAGGCCGCTGGTGTATCCAAGGACTGACCTGGCTTGGAAGACCGTTTGAGCCTCTCATCTTGTGGTTGGATTGTGAAGGTGGAAGGCAGACGAATCGACGACACTGAGTCCGCCCAAGGTCGAGAGTCTCCACCGGCTCCATTGCCTCCGTTCAAGACGGTCTGTGTTGCCATGACTGCTATCTAGATGCTCAAATATTCTGTGAAAAGGCTTGTGTCGAAGCGGAGAGGAGAGACGAAGGGCAGCCTTGACTTCTTAAATGGCATCCATTGTCAGCTCGTCCTAGATGATGGAGGAGCAACTGTCTCCATCGTGCACATGGCTGCTCCTTCCAGCCATGAAGGGGTCAAAGAGTACACCGAGTCGTGACCAAACAGGCAGGAATCAGCTGATGTGAGGTTCGACAGCCATTATCACAATAAAGTCGGCTTACCATTCGTGTTGTCGACAACGCCCTTGCAGGCCCAACCGGAACTGCTCTCAACGGGAACTGCTCGTGTAGACTTACGTCAGCGAGCGTTCCATCTGGATGATGACCTTCAGGGAGACCAGTACAGTATTCAACGATTGTCGGGAAGGTTGATTGCATCTGAGCTCAGAAAGTACGATGAATGACTAACTACGAAATGAAGAAGGGCTGCCTCGTGATGAACGAAAAGGGTCCTTGGGTGGCCTAAAGAAGGGCAAGAGCTGAACCCGCGTGCTCACTTGACAGTCGGTGTGCAACAACGACGCTCATGAACGAGCTTCGATCACCACTCAAATACTCTAGGAAGAAGCACCGCAGAGCCAGAGGTTATCGTCACTTGGGAGGCTCTCGGTATCTTCTAAGCAATTCGGTCAACACAATTGTAAGTCGAAAGGCAAAATATATCAAAGTCGGACAACCGATTCAGTACCGAGGTGGCCGCTGAGATCTTCGGCCAGGCGAGCTTGCATTGCGAACCGAGCACACTCCAGACTCGAAGATGCCCTCGAAGCCAGTCATATACATGCTTCACGGATCGTGGCACAGCCCAGCATTCTTCGAACCGGTCAAGTCAAGACTTGAAGCTCGAGGATATACCGTTTCATGTCCACAATAACCCTCCACGGGGGCAGTGCCTCCTACGAAGACAATGTACGACGATGCAGAGTTCATCCGCGGTGAGCTTGAGCTTCTTATCGACCAGGGCCAGGATGTGGTTCTGGTCATGCACTCGTACGGCGGTGTCGTCGGCACGCAAGCGGCCGCTGGATTGGGCAAAGTAGAACGGCAGAACAAGGGCCAGAAAGGCGGAATTATTCGCCTATTCTATGCCTGCTCGTTCATTCTGCCTCTGGGACATCATCTTTGCACCGCGTTGGGAGGGTAACTGGCACCATTCATCAAGGCAGAGGTAAGGTAGCACAGCTCCTGGGCCAAAGGCTGTTTGGAAAGGCTGAATGCTAACGGCCACGTGAATGCAATCCAATGACCCCGGCACAAGTGTTCTACCAGGACCTGTCTCCTGACGAGCAAAGGCATTGGGCTTCGCAACTGAAGCCGCGGGGGACGATTACCCAGTACAATCCCTTAACGCAGGTCGCATACAAGGATATTCCGGTCTCTTACCTGTTCTGCGAAAGTGATCAAGCTCTGCCGCTCGGCTTGCAGAAGATGATGGTCGAGAATTGTGGTGTCGATGTGCAAGAGTTCACTTGCAGTTCCGGACATTCGCCTTTTTTGAGTCAGCCCGACGTATTCGTTGACTGTGTCGTCAAGACATCGGAAACGGTATGATATACTGCCCGTGGGCAACGAAATAATTGTGCTCGACTCGACAACCGTGCGATACTAGCATGCCCTAGCCTTGCTGGGATATCGCCTAGAGCGGCCTGACCGTAGCTAGCTTCAAAGAGCTTGCATTTCTCGGAGAAGCCCGTTTTGACAAGGAGCCTGGGGACCTGCACGAATGCTGGCGAGCGGTAGTTAGCAACTGAGGAATTGAATATGTACGAGAATCTTCCATGTAACGGGGTATTGCAGGTCATGTATAGTCGATGGTCTAGGCTAGTGATCAGTAGTCTGTCCGGCGCATCTGTGTCTGATTGGACTTGGAAACAAGAATAATGGATGATATGGAGAACAGCGTTGGTCGCACAGTTGTGCCAGTCGATGAGCCTGCCCGAATGTTCACTTGTCTCTATCACTGTTTCCCTGACCTACTTTTTGATTGAAACAAGATCCGATACTTTGACCCCCGAGTCCTTACACGACCTAGTGGCCGAGGCATATTAGGCATATTGTGCCTGTACGACAGTCAGTCAGAACTCGTCTAAGGAAAATGGCGTTCCCTCATTCTCAACCCATGACATCTTTCTGGCTTTCGGCAGCAGCGGATTTGGCAAACCACAGAACGACCGAGACCCTGCCTCAAGAAGCGGATGTGGTGATCATCGGCTCCGGCTACTCGGGTTCCGCAGCGGCGTATTTTCTTTTGGCAGACGACAACAATGACGGAAAACCTCCATTGACGGTCATCTTGGAGGCTCGTCAAGTGTGCTCAGGGGCTACGGGACGAAATGGAGGACACCTGAAACCGGACACATATTACTCTGCTGCTGAGAATTACCGAAAGTATGGGGCTCAGATTGCTGATGAGTTGATCAAGTTCGAGATCCAGCAGGTGCTGGACGTGAAGCGGCTGGTCGAGTCAGAAAACATAGATTGTGACTTCGAGCTGACGAGGGCTATCGATGTCTTCACCGATCAGCAGACGGCGGACATGGTACTTCAAACTCACAACGAGATGAGGTCTAAAGGCTTTTCCTTTCCTGACGACCTTCACGTTATCGTCGACCCAAAGCGAGCAGAACAAGTCTCCGGGGTCAAAGGAGCCAAAGCCGCGCTTTCATTTACCGCTGGTTCAGTATGGCCGTATAAACTGGTGAACCATCTTCTGCGACGCAGCATAGAAATGGGCGCCAACTTGCAGACAAATACGCCGGTTCAGAAAATTTCTCGCAACGGGCCTGGTGGAAGACACGTGGTGACGACCGACCGAGGCACCATCCTGGCGAAGAAGATCATTGTGGCATCCAACGCATACACGGGCGCGTTGTTTCCCGAATTTAGAGACAAAGTCATTCCTGTAAGAGGCGTGGTGTGCCGGATCGCAGTACCAGAGGACTCTAGGCCCAGAGCACCACATCTGAACAACTCGTATGCCATACGATTCAACCCAGAGCACTTCGACTACCTCATCTCTAAGACCGATGGCAGCATCGTGGTTGGCGGCGCGGATCGGTGCGCCGTGGAAAAGGAGTCGTACTGGTATGCAAATACCGACGACTCTCAACTCATCCCTGATGTGCAAGAATACTTCACTGGATATATGCAAAGGATGTTCAATGGCTGGGAAGACTCCCAGGCTCGCATCACCGACATCTGGTCCGGCATCATGGGTTGGTCGACCGATTCTATGCCCTTCGTTGGGCAAATGCCAGGTCAGCCAGGAGTATTCGTTACGGCCGGATTCACTGGTCATGGCATGCCCCGGATCTTGGGTTGTTCGAAAGCGTTGGCGGAGCTGGTCAAATCGGGCGGCGAAACGGATGACTTGAGCAGAAGACACGGGTTGCCGAGGCCATATTTGCTAACTGCAGAGAGGTTGAAGGACAAGAGCAACGGTATCTTTTCATATGCTCGGAAGGCATCGTCTGGCTCGACGTCCAAATTGTGAGGGTCAGCCGAGGCACTCGAAGACTGACCTTTTCCTGCATATTCTGTCTTCGGCAGGGTGATCAGCCGTTGTCGATAGCATAAATGGTGGTTGCTGATCAGAGTCAGGAGGACACCCGTCCGTGATGCATCAGACCTATTTTGGATTGTACTCCGAGTAGGACAAGGGTACATGTTCTGCAGGATTTCAAATCATGTGCCGACTGTAGGGTCATTTGGTCATCATCAGTGAGTATGATAGTTCGAGGCAGCCGACGCAGATATTGTCAGGCTTACAGTGTGCAGCCTGAAGACGGAGAACGAGCAGTAATAACCAAGGCTGGTCGGAAGTTGCCCCGGTTTCTGCAGATGCAGCGAGCGTGATCGAGGCAAAATCCACCACAGATGCTGGGAAAAATAAGCTCCAAGCTAGTTCCAGAAATGGTATGGCTTCAGTTTAGTGACACTAACGTCCTGGAGTATTTGATTGGCTGTGAAATCTCCGCAGCTCATTTCATTTCGCGCCTTCCATTTTGTCGTTGACGCGTCGTTCATCAACACCATCAACACCATGCATCAGCTTGATTCAGGTCTTCTGGGCAGACATGGTACCTCGCGATCCCCGTTGGCCGAGGCACAACTCACCATCACATGGCTTCTTAACGGTGCAGTTTCTCCATCTGGCTGTGGCTTCTGCCCGAGAACATGACTACTTGAATTGTTGATGTCCCTGAAATTGCACCTCTGCTGCCTATTGACAGCCTTTGACCAGAAGGGGTATCTATGCCATGTGCCAGCTCCCGCTCAGGGATTTGGCTGCAGCCATCTAGCTCAAAGATCGCGGGGAACATGGAGTCCACAGCAGGGTATTCCTTGAACACTAGAGAGAAAGCACGAACTCGGAATGTATCTGTTATGGGGGACGGAGGCTTCAAATACTTCATCAGCCGCCGGGCTGTCCCAGAGTCTCATACATTCCCGGTCTCATGATTGTGACTGGACATTCATCTGCTTCTTGACGTGCACCTTACGCTCATTTACTGCTACTATTCCATTTGACCTTTTTTGCTGTTCAACATGTCTCTGCTTCGGATCCTCATCGCTTATGCTTTTATTCTATTCACCGCTGTACAGGCCTTGCCAGTGGCACTTGACAAAAGAGGTATGTCGCAAATCCCTCTCGTCCGACAACAAGCGGACTGATACTTGAATCTCCAGCAATCTCCCAAGAACTGCTCGACCAGTTATCATTCTTTGAACAATATTCGGCCGCGGCATACTGCCCGGCAAACAACATTCCAGATTCAAGCACTGCCATCACCTGCAGTGCAGGAAATTGTCCTCTAGTCCAGAGTGCTGGCGCGCAGTCCATCCTTGAATTTGAAAAGTACTGTTTCGTCCTTTGACACCATCTTCCCTGCCCAGCTGCAAAACCTACCATGCTAACACAGGCATTTTTCACAGTGTTGGATCCGGCGACACACAAGGCTTCGTGGCGCTTGATCATACGAATCAACTGATTGTCGTCTCTTTCCGCGGAAGCGTCTCGATCCAGAACTGGATCTCGAATCTGGACTTGGGAATGAAGACATGGTCCATCTGCTCTGGGTGCCAGGCTCACTCCGGCTTCCTTGACTCTTGGAACAGCGCAAAGGCGATTGTCCAAGGGGCAATTGATGGTGCCAAGACTGCGAATCCTTCCTACAACATCGTTGCCACAGGACACAGCCTCGGTGCTGCTGTAGCGACGCTCGCTGCTGCCGACCTGAGAAATTCGGGGTACAACATTGCACTGGTAGGCTGCCCTCTGCATCCCCGATCAGACGTGACTGACCATAGTCTAGTATACTTACGGCTCTCCCATGGTCGGCAACACGCCGCTCGCCAACTTCATCACTGCTCAAGCAGGCGGTAACTTTCGAGTCACACATGCCAATGATATTGTGCCAAAGCTACCTGGCTATCCGCTGGGATATGCCCATGTCTCACCGGAATACTGGATTACCTCGCCCGCTCTTGCTTCCGTCACTGCAAATGACGTCCAAGTCAGCAGCGGCGTGATCGATTTGCAGGGCAACCAAGGCCAACTAGGTGGCACGGTGACGGACCACCTTTGGTATTTCAACGGTATTTCCAACTGCGATGTATAAAGTCGAGATACTCACAATCGATCGATGGGCGGCTCTTGCCAAAAGCTCAATGTATATACTATCTTTAACTATTTCCGACATTCTGCATCATAATGACTTGCGCGTCTCGATGGCCTGTTTAGATCTGCTCCTCAAATTTCTCCTGAGCAAGTGGTGCTGCAACCCTCAGCCTTGCCAGATCCTTCAAGCAATAAAACGCCGACTCAAAGGAGTCTACATTTCCTAACCAGCCCATCTTCCTGGCCTTGCGCATGCTCAGAGAAAGAGCCCAGCCGCCAATGACTGCCGAATCCGTCATTCCGAAGATTTGTGCTCGGTCCTTGAACGGGTCAAGCAGCAGGCCATGCTTCTTCGCCAGCTCACTCCACGCATCCACCACTTCCGGTGCTTCTGACCATTCGAGGAGGGAGAAAGTCGAGCGTGTGGTGCCGGGTGGACCATAGCTAAATCATTAACGTCATCTCGCTATCCCGAAGCAATTTCAGAAAGAAGGTAGGACTCACCCTCTCGGATTCTGATCATGTCTCGAGACATAGACGCGGTACTTACTCTCATCCATCTCGGGTGGCTCGAACGTGGTCCCGTACCACTTCGCCAGGTACGGCCAGAAGCGACCCCACGTAAACGCCAGACCGTCCTGAGCATTGAACGCTTCGTTGCCTGTGTTCGGGCTCAGAACAGCCCATTCCTCCAGATACGCATTCAGCATGGCCGTGCTTTGACAATATTCTCTGTCCCAAGCGACGTAATCACCTGGGAAAGCGAGAGGTCGGTTTAAGTGTGCTTGCACAGCGCCGTAGACGGATAGTCCGACCATATGGTTCAGCAGGTTGTCTCTCACCGCGCCGATAATGTACGACGGTCGAACGACGTTCCATTGTGCGGAGTTACGGCGGCAGTAGTCGAAGAGTAGGTCCTCTTGCGGATAGTAGAAGTTGTTCTCCAGGAGGACGCGTGGGTCGGATTCGAAGGATGGGCTGGTTGCCGGGCCCATGTGGAAGCCGTATTGTTTGGCGCCCGTCTGGAGAAGGACGCGGCGAGGCTTGAGAGATGCGAGTTCAAGAGCGCCGAGAAAGTTGCGTAATAAGGCGGCTGCTCGTGTGTGAGATGGTGTATGCTTCAGCTGTTCTTAGAGGGGTTGACGAGTGAGAACTTACCATTGGTCTCGGCCAGAGCGTCTGCGTTGGACCACATGCCTAGGATATTGCCCTTTTGCGACGGCTGCATGTAGGAAAAGAAGAAGACGTAGTCGCTGGTGGGGAAAGGCATGAGTATCAAAGAATGCATGCAGTGAATTGTAGCCCATAGCGGGCCAGGTCGGGTCAGGGGCAGACGAACTTACGCTTGAGATATCTTCTGGAGGTTGCTCGCTATCTCCTCCGGCTTGGAGAGGAAGTCGGCACAGACATGCTCGACTCGGCTTGCGCCTTCACCTAGGTCTGAGAAGAAATAGTCTGGTGGGGGACGTCGTGAGAGACAGTATATCTTCTTCCATCTGGTCGGTGCTGCCGCTAGGACTTTCAGCATATGGTAACCAGATATCCCGTTGGCGCCGGTGATGATGGCTGTAAGGCCTGTGAGTTCGGGCGTTTCTGGGTATGTAGGTAACCCGTGATATATGTCCTTCGAGACCACCACTTGCTTAGTCTCCTCCATGGCTGTAGCCTATTATCGGGAATCTGGGGTTTGTGAGAAAGGTTATCTCATCCGCGATTATTCTTGCATTCCTAGGGTCCAGAGGGGGAGGTTATACAGGTTCCTGTACCGTCAAAACAGCATGGCGAGGTTGCAACTCCAAAGCATGGCGACGAGGGGACATATCCTCTGCCAGGCGAGCGATCTGATAAGATGTGCTTGCATGGGACGAGACGAAGCATGGGGTAAAAGTGCGGGGAGGACAGCATGTAACCGAGCCGAACTCCCTAGAGCACGCCAGAGTCATTGCCCGAGGATAATCTTTGGTTGGGAGCAGCCCGAAAAGGGCGTTTGGGCTGAGGAGTGGGAGAGCTACTGGAATGACCATTGCTCTAAAGCCGTGTTTCCTGCTACAAATAGATGATTGTTCGTTTGCTTGCTGATATGGTAGAATAGCGTGAATATGCACTGTGGTGTGCCGTATGAACTCTGCCGTACGAGTGCTTGAAGCGCAGTTTTGTCTGCAGCCTAAACTTCTAAGGAGCAATTCTACATGTCAACAGACATTCGCTCATCCTACCGAGGGACTACTTCCTTATTCAGTCGGTTTTACTCTTGTGGATCGACATGGGTCGCAATTCACAATGTTTCGACCATCATTTGATCTCCAAATGGCGTTCTTTCTCCTCGTTCCTTGGTCCTTTCATCCATACGACGAAACGAGGGGTATGGACCCAGCTCGCTGGAGAACAAAGCTTGCAAGCTCGGCTTCTTGACCATATCCTTCGCTCATTCGTCATCGAAACCGTCAATCTATCACGGATACTTGGCATAGCCCAGCGAGCCATTAACCATGGGTACTGACTCTCTCTTCTCGACCCCGCGTCATGGCAGCCGATTACGGGTCCGGGAAATAAAATATTAGGGGGTAGTTCCGGACATGCTCATTACAAGGAAGAACATTTGTCTCCCTCAACTCTACCTAGGTAGACTTCATCTGAACGACGGAGTACCTCGATCACGTATCACTTCTCTGGACTGGCTGGCAGCTCCGGACAACCGACAATGGCATCCTCCAATACCGCACAACTCCTCGCCCAGGCCTCAGTGCCTGCCTTCAAGTGTCCTACGGGCACGAAGATGCATTTTCTGGATCTAGGAACGTTGCAAGCTGATGAAGGATGGTAAGTCCGTCCGGCATTGTAGTTTGTTCCTCGCACTCGTGAATGCCTCAAGCCAGAGTGATGCGGCAACTCTCACATCCATTACAAGAAGGAACCTACGAGCACAGGACTTATTATCGTCACAGGCTCCTCCGAGGCCAAAATACCAGTACTCTGAGCAATAAGAACCCCGAGAGCAAGCGAAGGGATCTAATCGTCCTGGCCGCTTTGATCGAACTTCCTGGCTTTGGATGTATCCTGTACGAGACGGGCTGTGCTGAGGATCTAGAAGTCGTATGTTATGCTGTCCAGTCTCTATGGGTAAACCGGAAGGGATTCTGGCTAACAGCACATAGGCCTGGGGCGCACCACTTACCGATGTCTTCCCTCGAACCGAGTATAGTGATAACCAGAAGCTGCCCAACGCCATCAAAGCAACAGGAAACGACATCAAGGACGTGAAAGCGGTCATTATCGGCCACTTGCATCTCGATCATGCGGGCGGGCTGGAGCACTTCATGGGCACCGACGTGCCGATCTACGTCCATGAAGAGGAATTCAAGCACGCCTGCTGGGCGGTCGCTACTGGTGCTGACTTGGGTGTCTATCTACCTGGATATATGGACTTGAAAGGGCAGCTCAAATGGAACACCTTCAGCGAGGACCATCTGGACCTGTTTCAGGGCATCACGTTGCACCATTCTCCCGGCCATACCCCGGGGCTCGTGATCATGCAAGTCAACCTGGAGAAGTCGGGTACATGGATCTGGACCACCGATCAGTTCCATATCGCGGAAAATTATGAGTTGAGTCATCCACATGGCTGGCTGGCGAGAGACCATAACGCATGGATTCATAGCTTGAAGATGATCCAACGGTTGCAGAGGTTGTTCGATGCGAAGTTGGTGTTTGGGCATGACAAGGAGGTTGCGGCCAAGTTCATGGGGAAGAGCTATGAGTAAGATTGCCCTCTAATGCGCGACCGTGATGGATGCACGGGACATGGCCATAATTTATCATAGCAATCAATGTAGAGATAGCCGTGGCTTTGGGGATATGTGATGAAACCCATCTGCAGATATCCGTTTCTCAGTTACCCAAGTCAGACCACATCTCAGAAATTCGTGTGTTACCTGTTGACAGGCTTCTACTCGATCGCAAGGCTGAAGACAGCCCGATCACGTGCACGGCTGTCATTTAGATGCCTGCGACAGAACTCGACTGCGAGCATTCAGCGATTGTTCAACTACGTCCTGCTAGTCCGCCAAGGAGATACTGCCCGGCGCTCAATCACAAGAGGCAATGAACAATGCTGGAACGGTAGTCTTGCGCCTGGCCCGGAAATGCCTACAACATTCTACATGTCAACGGTCTCCTGAGCACACCCTAGGCTTGTTCTGCCCTCTTCCTTTACCGTCACATAGGCCGCCGTCCTCTATCTTCCAAGCGCTCCCTTCCCTGCGCTCTCAATGCGGCTCATACGGCCAACAGAGGCATTTTACCCAATCGAATCCATACAGCTTCCGGCGTTCCTCAGCTGTGCAGATCCTCAAACAGTATGGCTCTGGCAAGAAACCGGAGAAGGGTCTGAGGTTCCAGAAGGGCGAACTGAGCCATAAAGAAGTCGTCGCTATATTCGGATCACAAGCACCGCCGACAAATGTAGCCAACTACCTTCTCCGAGTCATCCATGGCCGCCGTCATGACGGTACCCTCGATATTCCACTACCGGAAGAGTTGGAGGAGGAATTGGCCAAATACCCGCATGTATTCGAGGATGGTCTGCAATGGCTGAGAACAACATACCCAATAGATGAAGATGCGGCTATCCTAGGGCGCATTGAGCGGGAAGAGCACGCGCTTGAGAGAGACAACCCCTCCGAATTGCTACAAAGAGGACAAGATCTTGGGTTCTACAGAGGTCCGCAGAGTGGTCATTATCAAGCCAAGCTATCCGGCAAGGAGGGCGACGTGTTCGGTGTTAGTGAACTTGAGAAGATTCGAGCGGAGAACGAAGCCAGACTCCAGCAAGAGGAGGAGGAGCTACAGGCGCAGATTGACCAGCGCATGACCAAGGTCCAGGAAGAGAGGACGAGAGCCCTAGCTCAGCGTCCCGAACAAGGTCTGGAGTCGGCGAAAGAGGTGCGGCCACCCAATACATTCGAGAAATGGGTTCTGAAGGCCCAGAACCGGGCTCAATCAAAGTTGACCCTCGAATCACCGGAAGTGGCTCAGCAGACCACAGCTCAGCGGTTGCTGCCTTCGCTCCTTTTGGTCACTGTGGCAGTCGGAGGCTGCTACCTCTACTCTCAGTACTGGCAGCGACCCAAACAGTCCGAGAGATTCTTCCCGGACGTCGCGCTGTCTTTCGCGACCATTAGCGGATTAGTCGCAATCAACTTGGCCGTGTTCTGCGCTTGGAGACTGCCGCCGTTCTGGTCGACCCTGAACAAATACTTCATCATTGTCCCTGCTTATCCGTACGCTCTCAGTATGTTGGGGAGTCTCTTCAGCCACCAGAAATTCACCCATCTCCTGGCCAACATGATACCACTGTTGATATTTGGTCTGCCTCTCCACGAAGAAGTTGGACGAGGCACGTTTCTAGCCATCTTCCTGTCTTCGGGCTTATTAGGAAGCCTTGGAAGTTTGGCGCGCCACTCGGCGCAGAAAGTATTTATTACGACGACCCTTGGAGCTAGTGGTTGTGTCTATGGTATTGTTTCGGCATATTTGTGGCTGCATCTAGAGTAAGTCCTCGCTGGCGACAGACTCAGACCCGAAGAAATACTAATCTCCTACTACAGTGACCGATTCTCGATTGTCTTTTTACCACCCGACCTTGCAGACAAGCTCTCATTCAGTGGCAAGTACCTGTTGGTAGGGCTTGGTTTACTACAACTCGTTGGCAGTTTGAGACCTATTATGAAGATCGATTACTTTGATCATCTTATTGGCATGACTGTCGGAGTGGTTTCAGCTTGGTGGTGGCAGAGCAACAAGGAGAAAGATGGCGGTTTTAGAAAGAAATTTACCAACTGGTGGAAGTTGACACTGTCCGGCTCTAAATGAGGCACCGTGCCACAGTGACACTGGGTTATGAAGCAGCCGGATTTGCAGTCAGGCGAACAAGGTCCACCTTAGAGCACTGCAGGACTACCATGGTGGCAGTGAGCAATAAAACGCAACCGCCCTTGCAGTATGGCGTGGCAAAGCCTGCTTCTGCTCATCCTGAGGGAAGCCACTCCCCAGGGAGAGACTGGTCCCATCTCGTGCAGAGAAGAGAAGAGCCACAACTCGCGATGCTGATATATCGCTTCCGACTCAGCCATGTTCCTTTTGCTTGTCCTTATCGGCTGGTGGGAGCAAATCAACGACAGATTGAATATTTGCTGAGACGTACATATACTTTCCAGCACTACTATAGATCTGGTCCGGAGATGTCGAATGATGAGAGTAGAGAGTTCAATCGTACTGTAGCTATCTGCTCTTGTGAATTGCCTTGTAAATCCAGTGTGTATCATTGGTTTAGTTTGATGCTGTACATAGACTATCGGCCTTCCGCCCCGCAGACGTCACTTTTCCTCTTTTTGCAATTCGGGACTCGTGCTCGCAGAAAAAAGTGAACGGCGATTGCACCTTTTCCAGACCCCATACAAGCTGCCTCGGACAACGGCGTCGAGGTTGGTGATCACTTTGCTCACCCAGTCCTTCGCTCGCTCTCCAACCCTTTTGCACGGGAGTTCGATGCGCGACATCTCGGAGGCACAATTTCACCAGCGAGTCCTCTTGGAGACCTGTACCTTAGGTACTGTACGTAGTCGCCTCACCTCCGACCGACTCGACACCCCTCTGAGAAGACAGTGACAATGGTGGACGCTTCTCCATCACCACCTGAACTCTCCCTCCTCAAGACCCTACACCACCCTTCGACCGGTCCCTCACGATCATGGCAATCAATCGCGCACCCGGAGGCGTCTGCACCACTCCTGGCAACAGCGTCCGCCGACAAGACGGTCAACATATGGAATCTGCGCGACTACTCCCTGATCTCGACGATAAGCGGCGGGCATAAACGCAGCGTACGAGCCGTGGCGTGGAAAGATTACGGACGAACATCTCTGAAAGGATCGGCGGCGGCCAAACAAAACAAAAAGCCTGTCGTTCTCGGCACAGGCAGCTTTGATGCCAATGTCGGGATATGGATATGGAACGACGACCGGCAGGGGGCGAGGTTTCGAGAAGACCACGACGACGACGGTGATAAAACCCAGCAAGACGGTAGGGAGGGCAGCAGTAAAGAGACGGACACAGGAATGGGCATGGGCATGGAGGACGACAACGAAATCGACCTCACACGCAACGGTGACGACGGAGAGGATGAGGAATGGCATTTCTCTACACTCTTGACAGGACCCGACTCGGAGATCAAATCCATTGAATTCTCCCCTCCTCACTACGCGACGAATCTACTGGCGACCTGTTCGCGCGATAAGTCGGTCTGGATATGGGAGGAAGTCGAGCCGGAGGAGTGGGAGACCATCGCCGTGCTGAGCGAGCATACGGGCGACGTCAAGTGCGTGAGTTGGTGCGCTGGGGCGAAGAGAGGCAATGGTGGAAGGAAAACCAAGAGACGGAAATTGAATGGTGAAAGTGACGGGGATGTCGAGATGGAAAACGGAAACGGAAATGCCAACGGAGCTTCGGCCTCTTCCTCTTCCGCTCAGGAGGACGGCGAAGACGAGATCATCGGGTCAAGAGACATTCTTGCAAGCGGGTCCTACGACGATACGATACGATTGTGGCGCGACGTCGAGGAGGAGGGTGATTGGATCTGCGTGGGCGTTATTGAAGGACACAGGGGAACGGTGTGGGATGTCAAATGGGAGGGGTTCATCAATTATGACACTCTGGATCTGTCACACGCGTCGTCGGATCAAGACCGGGAGACGATGGTTGGCGAGTTCGAAGCAGATTGGCAGCCGCGGATCGTGTCGTGCTCGGATGATATGACGGTCCGGATATGGCGACGTGAACTCAGTGAGGCGGAGAAGGCGAAGAGGGCGCAAGGTCGAAATTTGAGTGTAAATCCAGCAGCTGCGCCGACGGGGTTTGCAAGTTCGAGACTGCCGAGCGTCATCAGGCCTATGAGCAGTATGGAACGTTGGGTCGAGGATGCGGTACTCCCCAAGGTGCACGTTCGCAGCGTCTATGCTGTGGACTGGTCGGCCCGGACGGGACTGGTGGTCAGTTGTGGTGGGGACGGGGCCATCGCCGTGTATAAGGAGGTTGTTGACTCGGTGGATGCTGGTGTTGATGCCGATGTGGTCATGAATGGCACAGCCGCAGCTACAGCTACGGGTGCACCTGGTCCTACGGAGCAGCAGGAGCAGCAGCAGCCACAGGAGGTGGAGAATGGCAATGGCTCGCAGCCGTACAAAGTGCACAAGATGAAGTGGGTTGTCGTTGCGCTCATCGAGGCTGCCCATGATGAGTACGAGATCAATCATGTCTGCTGGGCCGAGCGACGGGACAAGGATAAGCGGTTCGACGGTGAGGAGGTTATCATATCTACGGGTGATGAAGGCGATGTTAGGGTCTGGACGTTACCGGATGCACTGATGGAATGACCCGACCGTTAGAGACGGTGATGTCGTGATGTGATTGGAAAGACTAGACTAGAGTACTTACCTTAGGTAGAGTAGGAATGAATGCATAGATACTACCTAGGTACGTATGGCGTTGACGTTTGTTTCGTTGGGGACTGGAGTACTGCCTGCCTGTCTGCCTCCCTTTTCTGCGTCGGCGATATCGTGATACTGTAGGAGAGAAGGGCCTGGATGTCTGTTCATCGAGGACTGTCTCTCTCCGGCTGCATCGAGAAGACAGTGCGAGTGGCGGTCGTGGGAATACAGGATTGTCTCTCTCGCTCTTCTCTCCGGCTACATCAAGCAGAATGTGCACGTTGCTCATCGGGTAATGGTTTGACCTCATCGAGGAAAATATACAGTGCGGTGATCATGGTAAAGCGGCTGCTAGTCAGAGTATACAGATGCATTATTGCCGCCGACGAGGCATCTCTCTGTTTCTCTGTCTGGCGCTCTCTCTCACCAGATCGGCTAACCCACATTAACGCCTATATAACCTAGACCCGGTCCAAGCGGTGCGGTTCATGGCCCTTTGATGCCTTTGACTATACGTCCTCCCCTTGTCTTCATTTCATTTCGTTTCGTTTTATTTCATTTCCTTTCCCTTGCACGCTCGCTTGCTTGCTTGCCTCCCTCCTTGCCTTCCTCTGTCTCCGACCCACTCCCCTCCCTCACCTCTCTTTGGTCTGTCCAGTCGGTTCAGCACTATCTGAACTCCTCCGGCACAAACCCCTGCTGCCGTTCCCACTTCTCCTTCCAGCCCGGAAACCAGGGCGCCTCATCGAGTGTATGTACCTGCCAATCCTTCTCCACCGTACCCTGTGCCTTTTGTTCGCGCTCGTACTCCTCCAGCGCGGGGACGACCTTGTGCTCGACATGCCATGTGTTCTTGTACTTCATCAGATTCTCTTTGCCATCCCTCAACACCTTCAACACCAGACTCGGCACATACGCCTCTTCGCGGAACTCGGTGATGGGCGTGAACAGCGCCTTGAAGTTGAACACGATCCCGCCACTCAGCGGCAGCCGTCGCAGCGTCTGCCAGTCCACCCGCAGATGCACCCGCTCCGTCTCGAGGTCAGGCATCTGGAAATCCCGGTACTTCTCGTGAGGGTCCCCTGGAGGCATGTACAGTGGTTGATCGACCTCGAGGCCCCAGGAACCCCGCTGGATGGGTCTACCGGCGGGCATTTTTGTGAAGAATCTGTTTTTTAAGCGTCTCATGTCAGCCACCACAATCGCTGCAACCATGACTTTTCTCTACTCTTGACGCGCAGAGTCTCAAAAGAAAAGCTACTTACCGATCCATACTGAATTGCATCTTCTCCTTGTAATCCGGGATAGGCGCGTGGATCTGTTGCAGGTTCATGCCGATCTTGGTCCCTACATTCCAGCCGAGAGCCGAGCATATCACGCCCGCGCGGAAATGATAGTAGCCTGTTTCCGGGTTGCGCAGCGTGATGGCAAAGTCCTCGGGGACGTTGTCGAGAAGCACCAGTAGAGGGTGCTTGGCCTTGACGTCTTGAGTCGTGCCGAGGATTTTGTTCTCGAATGTGCGTTTATCAGAATGCAGCGTGAAATACTGAGGATACCTTGCGCAGATAAACTGGAGTACCATCTCCATGAGCTCTTTACATGCGAGTTCCGAGCCAGGGAGCCATTGCAGGACGGCTTCGCCGTGCTCAGCGTAGAGTTTTTTGCGTTGGGAGATTCGCTGTTTGTAAGTCTTTTCGAGCTCAATCCACCAGTTGGGTTCGAGTTTGGTGAGGGCTGTGGAAAAGCATTAGTAGTACTCAGGAGTGGAAAAAGTGCAGACAACATACACATGGTCTGATGGTAATTCCATCTGAATGGTCGGTATGGTCGAGCAAACGCCTTGTCAATGTCATGTTCGGGATATGGTTCTGGCAAGGGGACACCACTGAGAGTGGAATAGTCCGGGAAATCTCCTAGAGCTCGAACCTCTTGGATCTTCACGCCGGTGAAGACGTATTTGTCCGCGTCGGCCTTGCGGAAATCTTCTTCGAAATCCAAGATCGACTTGGTCCAATTGTTCTCGTCAAAGCTTAGATCACCCATGGCTTTGCGCTGATCTTCCGGTAACGAAGCGGCGACTTGTTCAAGATTCTCTCGAAGCAAAGGCGGGAAGGTGCTGACATATTCAGACGATTTGGGTGGTGCATTGGAAGGGTCCTTCTTGTCCGGGGAGAGCGATCTTGGGGGCGTGTTGGCACTCGAAGCTCGCCGACCCCTCAACTGGAGTCGTTTGAAGACAAGGTCTCTCTGTCGTTGGCTTAGACTGAGATAAGTGACAATGCTGGCGCATATGGCAAGTCCTATCCACAGCAGTGTCCGTTCGTCCATAAGTGAAGCCATGTTGGTGGTCGCACTGGGCAGAGATCCGTGGTTGCGTGGGATGATGAGTGGGACGTGTATATACCGACGTCAATTTATCCTGCGTTGATCAACCCCAGTGACGGCTGGCTGACGGTATAGGATGAGTGGCATTCACAGCGAGCCGAGCCAAGCCAATGAGTGAATCTTCAGACTAGTTATCTTCGGAAAGTAAGGGAAGAAAGCGGCTGTACAATATAAATATAATTGTAGATCTAAGGAGATCTCCGAAAAGGGACAAAAAGCCAGCAAGACAGGTCAGGACAGGTCAAGCTAGACCACCAAGGCTGAAGGACATCCGAGACAGGGAGGATCAGACTCTGCTTGTGAAACAAGAAGGCCACACCGAGCACCTTATGGAGGTTTCGAAGGCAACCGCAAAGTGGCAAGAGAGGCAGGAAAAGGACCTGGCCGAGTCAAAAGAAATGGAGATATATCCTCCTAGAGGTTTGTAGAGCAAAGAAGCCAAGTCGTCATCGGCCCGTTCGAAACCCCACAGTCCATTGGAGGTAAAAGATACCAGTCACGCCTTCCAAGACGGGTGGAAAGCGAGGTATACCGTGGACAAAGGGGCCAATGGCGGAGACGTCCCGTCTTGCGTGATCGAGCGCCCTTGCCGATAGACAGTCTTGGAGAAGGGCTGGTTCGATGCCAGGCGCCGAATGAACGAGCACAGGTCCTGAAAGAGACAACCACGCTGCAAACAACCTTGTATCCAACAAGAAGGTGGATGGAAGGTGGAGGAGAAGGAAGAGGAGGGGAGGCCAGTCGAGATGCGAAGGCCACGGTTGGCTGCACGGACAGCCTTGCCCCAAGAAGACTAGAGCCAGGCATTGATGTCGCTGATAACGGCGCCCATCCGATTCAGGGCCTTCTCAGAGGCTGATTCGTCGGTTCCGAACCTCATGAATCTTTCCTCTTTCAGGCAAACTTATCCAGAGCCTGGGGCTGCCTGAGCGCGTCTTCGTCCACACTCGTCCGCCTGATTCGCCTCGTCGGCCGCGATACTTCCCAACTGGGTGCAGCAGCAACCTGAAGTGCGACGTGCTGGTACTGCTTCGAAACAACAACATTGTCCAAAGAGCTGCAACATGGGTTTATGTGCTACCTTCATGCTAGGCCGGGTACCACGAGGCGCCTGGTGCTTCTCGAAGGGAAAAAGGTGGTACGGCGCTATATCCTGTACAACGCCCTCCCAAGGCGGTTCCAATGGATTTCATTGCTCACACGTGGCTCACACCTCTCTGGGTCCTTGCGAATCCGTCCAACCCGCTGACTTAAGAACCTCTGCAAGTCCGGTGAGACTGCAGAGGAAGCTTAAGGAACCAAATCCTTCTCCCTGTAGTCTTTGCTTCTTAAGCCGTGCCTCATACCGTGATGCACCGCGGCACTTCCTGTCCGAGGTTGGCAGTTGCTGCGCTCATCAAAGGCCCAGAGGTACCCTTGGACGGCAACTTGCGGGCGATTGTACGATCTCAATCCCAAGGCCATGATGTGCGCTCGGGTGCAGCCTGCTGAGCTATATTATCCCATGCTTCCGGCTCTGAACCATGTTGTTGCACCTCTTGTTTTGTGCAGCCGGCGACCTTGTGTTTGGTTGGTTCTCAGCAAGGGGTCTTTGCCAGAAGGAGACATCGTGGCAGCGGAATTCCTGCCAGCACCTAACTTCAGCTTTCGGGGCGCCGTTAAAAATCCTGACAACATGGACAAAAGACACAGAGAATCCCACGTCCGTGTGACAGAGCCTTGACAATGGGGTCAAAATATGTACAATGGTGTAACCATTCGGCAAAAGATCAGCTGAGTACTGTCCCAGAAGAACGCCCGACAGACGACAGCCAGCACAGTCTTCAAAATTTCTGTAAAGGTGTGCAGGAGATGGAAAAGAGGTAAGGCGAAGCCTTTGCTTTCGCACAAGCAAGGCCAGCCATTTGGATACCAGGTGACAACCGGACAAACTACTTGCAAGGAGAGGTCGGGCGCACAGCCTGATCTCTTCGCGCGAGCAACACTGACAGACCTAATTGATGCACGCTCTTCTTGTCCGCATATGGTGCTTTTGTTCTAGTGATGAGGATTTCTTGTTGAAGCTAGGCTCTCTCTGGCGCCTGTTCGATTGATACTTTTATTTCAGAAAGAGTCTAGGAAATTCTGCCGTAGCACCCTAGTCGTAGGGAGTGCGCTCGAGTCCTGGAAGGGTTCTATCCCTGAATATGCTTTCCTTCGTGGAATGGTAAAATGCCGGCCGTGGCCGTGTTCGTCGCAGGCTTGCGAGAGCCGGAACGCGAAGGGGTTTGCGTCTGGAGTCCAGGTTCATCAGAAACATTGGTTTTTGAATAGGCCGACACCAGAAGAATTGCTGTTGAAAACGCCATTGGTGACTGTGATGATCGAAATAGGTGGCATACTACCAGACTCTGTCGTAAAGTCACTTTAACCAAATGAGAGACGCAGGCCTGGGTGTAAAGCAACGTGTCCTAGCCAGACCCGATGCCATACAATGCTCTGACCATTGTCGCTGGTGCTGAGGATTGCCGTCCTCGAAATTGTGCATTGCATCTTGACTCAGGGAATATCCTGAACCGAAAAGCCCGTGGAGTATGTCCTTCTTGCGGTAGTAATATGTTGAGAGCTTCAGAATGCTCTAGAAATTAGCAAAACGCCCACTTTACTTCACTCCAAATACAATAGAGAGTAACAAGGCCGCGCTATCACGAGCTGTACTTTCGCCTGCGTCCAGAAATATCTTGGTCATCCCCAGTAAGTGTCCTCTCATCATCCTCTTCTTCTCCATCGCTGATTTCGAAATCACTAGGCGGCGCCAAGTCTCCGGTACTGTACTCGTCCATCAATATGTTCACATCCAGGTCGGCGGCGGTCATTGTCATTTCCTGCGGCTCACCCGATCCGTTTTCTGCTTCGACTCTTCTCCGTTCCTCAGGCAGCGGTGTTTTCAGGAACATAACCAGCATGCCGATATCGTAGCAGACCTTTAATACGGCTGCAAGTTCAAACGGAATCCACCACCTCTCTTTTGTCCAGACATATGCCGTGAGTAGTGGTCCGAGACTCGACGCCAAGGTTCTCACGAAGTTCAGCGTGCCCATTGCTTGCGTTCGCTCTCTGGGCAAAAATATAGCGGCCACAAAAGCTTCGCGTGGAGCCTGATCCATACTTCCAAACACAGCATCTCCAAGCAACAGAATTATCATCAAGTACCAGGTTTTGGAAGCCAGCGGAATCAACGACAGGAACAGCGCGCATGGAAGGTGCATGAAAACCATTGCGCGAACAAGACCGACACGTCGCGCAACGTAGGCCGAGAACAAATTCGAGAGGCTTGACAACAGCCAGACAACCGACATAACATAGCCGATCCGATGCATGAGGAACCATCGGCTTCGCAGAGACACGTACCAAGACATCAGAGTCAGAGGGAGCATGCCGGCTGCGAAAGCATTCAAAGCGTACAAAAAGGAGAGGCGCAATAGCACTGACAAAGAGGAGCGCGAAACCTTCCAGGGTGAGGCTAGGGACTTGCGCAGACGGGACGACAAGGACGCAGTCGTTGACGTGGTGGGGGCAGACGGTGATTGTTTAATAGTCGAAAATCGACGCGGAAGGAGGCCGGTCTGCTCTGAGGAAGGAGAAGGGACCTCTTCCACGGTGGTCGTTGCCGCCCAAGAATACTTCGATGCAGAACCGGCTTCGCATTCAGAGCTGAGAAGAAAGGTGATCGCGACTTTGATCAGCCCAATCAAGGCGTACATGCCAAAGACTGGATGATATGTCTCCTTCCAGTCGCGGTGTAAAAAGGTACGTTGTGCCCAGGTCAAGTAGCCGGTCACGCAAAGGCCAGTTGCCATGCCGAGAGTAGAAGCAACGGCGAACCAAGCGTAAATATCAGTTCTGGCTTCGAGGGGAGAGAGCTGGGCGAGAATAGCCTCCTGAAGAACGAAATATAGTCAGACTTCATTCTAGGTTGAGTACCCAGGACAGAGTGACGCACCTCAAGAGCACGAAATGGCCCAACCTCGTGAGCGCCTGGGCAGATGACTCCTACAATAGCTGCCAGAAGCAGTAAATAGTAGTTCTTAGTCAAAGCGAATACCGTCCCCGAGACTACCATAAGTAGTGAGCCTGCCATCAACACTCGGCGACGACCAAGCTTGTCTGCCACAATAGTGAGCAAATAACTGATCGCAGCGTCTCCCAGCAGAGTCAGTGTCATGAAAGTCCCAATCTGTGTTCCATATCCGTCTACCCACAGGAAGACTGCAAGGACCAAAGCAGCACCTCCATAGGCGAACATCCTCAAGAATCGGGTTAGAAGGATAAGGTAGATGTCTTTATTGGCATAGGTACGCAATGACTGAAGTCCGGTTTCCCGGTTCAGCCATTGGAGGAAGGCGGACATGGTTGGCATTTGAGGTCTGGGTATGCGCTGCTGGACCTAGATACGGCAAGGTAAGTCAAATCGGGCAGACAGCCACTATGAAACGGCCAAAATGTTAATACAACGAACAGAAAGCAAGTCTGCAAATTCTCAGAGGCAGGCTGCATCTCCAGGCAACCGCAGAATATAAGTCATGATGGACATCTCCAGGTTGACAGCAAGATGCTGATCAATCATCTGTAGACCAGGGCTGTAGAGACTGGCCGCATCGTCCTCCGCAGGCGGGATGGAAGTTGGAGGGCACGAAAGTAGCTAGTACTGCGTCCAAGGCCTGCAGAAGACCTCAACTTCACGATAGCTTGTATAGTAAGCGAGTAGGGTGTTTGTATGGCAAAGCGGAGAAAAGGCATCCTGCAGGAAGTCTGCATATTGATCGTCATGATATGGAAACTCGCAACGTGACAGGTCGGCGTAGATCATTAGACTCGTGCTTGACGGATGTAGGTGCCGGACACTGCAAACCCGTCGTACTGGTGCATATCCTGGAAGGAGATTCGTGGCAGTCTTCGGTATGCTGTATCAGACACGAGGAGACAGAAGTCGAGTACTCGGATGGCGACAATGGATATCATGCATGCTGGGGAAGATGTGGTTCTCGAGCCGAGAAAGGCTTTATGCGGTAGTGTGACGACAATGCTTCACCCTATTTTTGACATGGCGAAACATAAATCTGACGGAGTGCACCTGCGATTCTGCTTCCAGGAAATTCCTGTGTGAGTATCAACCAGTATCCGCCATGTCCGGATGCTGATTTGACTGCGAGAAGTGGTTGAGATGGCTTCCAACGATCATCTACACAATTCGAATCGACCAGCTCCGAGATGGGGACATTTATACCTCGACAGGTTTACCCGCACCTGTCCTCCATACCGAGATCCTACTATTTAGGACATCATGCAGCTGGTTTATCCAAAATGAAGTCCATGGTCTCGCAGATCGATCTGGTCATTGAATGCAGGGACTATCGTACACCCATAGTCTCGCGCAACCCACTCTTCGAAGCAAACCTCGGCGAACGTCCAAGGTTGATCGTGTACACGAAGCAAGACTTGGGGAGCAACTTCACCAACGAAGACAGGAAAAGAGAGGCCACTATCAGACAATGGGATGCACCTTCCACATCTTTCTTTGCCGACGTCAAGTCTCGTTCTGCGATCAGTAAAGTCCTCGAGTTCGCAAGAGCCCACGCCGATCACTCGACCTCGCTGTTCGGCACTCGCCTAATGGTTGTCGGCATGCCCAACGTCGGAAAATCCTCCTTATTGAACGCGCTCCGAAACGTCAGTCTGGGTAAAGCGAAAGCTGCAAGAACAGGAGACCAACCTGGGGTGACAAGAAAGATTGGCACAAGCGTCAAAATCATTGACGGTGAAGAAGGAAGGCCAGGAGTCTATGTCCTCGATACACCTGGTGTTTTCGTTCCATACGTACCAGATGCTGAAAGTATGCTCAAGCTGGCACTTTGCGGGAATGTCAAAGACACGATCATTCCTCCTACCACCATCGCGGACTACCTCCTCTTTCATCTTAATCTGAATGATCCGACCTTGTATAATATGTTCTCGGAGCCAACTAATGACATCTTCCTTGTACTGGACGGGTTGGCTCGCAAGCAAGGTCGCCTCAAGAAAGGAGGTCTTCCGGACTTTGAATCCTCCGCGCTGCAATTTGTACAACGCTGGAGGACTGGTAATATGGGTCGGTTCATCCTAGATACTGTGACCGAAGACGCTCTACTCGAACGGACGGAGCTACTCAAGTCATACGGAGGCAGCATGCATCAGGCCCGTAAAGCCGCGAAGCAAGTCAGGAAAGAAGCATATCTCAACCGAAATTAAGTGATGAACCGTCGGATTCTGGATTCCCAAACCGACGTACATTCCATTCACCTGGATTTCGCAGCCACTACTGCTGTATCGTGCCCCAGATCACCTGTCTGGCTCGGCTCAGTCGTCTGATTCTGACTCATTCAGCCTGCAGCGAACTCGCTTCTACCAGGCCTAATATTCTGTCATATCGACGGTGCCGGCAGCTTGAGAGTACTTGTACGGCAAGAAGCTGGCCAGCATGAGGGCAAGCAGCAGCGACATCCAAAACATTATCCTCAGCCACTTGCCGACGTCGACTTGTCGTGCTCTGTCAAGTGCCACCATCCCTGCGCCCACCAGCGTGCCACAGACATATTCCAAAGTTGCCCGCAGCTGAGCTCCGCCTGTAGACGCGCCCTTCCGATAGAGTACCATCATTCTGTCCAGGATTTCATCCACATAGGCGGTTTCTGCTTTGACGAAGCGACGAAGGTCAATGCAGTATTTGGCGACGTACTTCATCAACTCGTTTCGACCAATCTCATCAATCAGCCTGTCCACGTCTTCGACGGCGATGTCGGTTTCTCTGCTGATCTTCTCATAAGACATTGGTACCGCATTTGCAATGTGTTCGGCGATTGTCATGACTCCCTTTGGACCTTGGAGGAATCTTTTCAGCTTGACGAGATTCTCGGCACCGTCTGCGGCACCGGCCACTTGCTGACCGGTTTGATCCATGATGAATTGGTTGTCCGTGCGGACGAGGGAGTAAGCCTGTCTCAGTTAGCAACACGAGCAAACTAGTGAAGATAGCAGCTTCATACTGGCCGCGATGGATTGAAACGCTGATCTTTACTTCGCTTTGTTTGGAGTGGTTTAGGCTGCGTCTGACCTCAAACGCATCTCACGTTGACGCGAATTGATGAGAACAGAAGAGACAAGAAGGCCAAAGAAGAATCACAAGTGAATACATCAGTATTTGATCCAGAATTCGGCAGCCAAGCGCTCGAGTGAAGGGCAAGGCGGCGTTGGTACTGCCAAACTTCGCTTTGTCTTGCTTGCTTGACTCTCACTCTCCATTTCTGATTGTGTATCTCTACTCGTCACAGCGTTTAAAAAGGAAACAAGGTGGACTTTGGACAAACGGGCAGTCCCGTTGGAGTGAGTGGTGGCTGCAGGGTCCCGAGATATTGATTTTAGTCTGTAGACAACAAGGAATGTCAAATTGAGGGTGATGATAATCTGGGCACTATTGTACATTACGCATCACCAGTTCAATGCCATCTTCCAAGGTTTATAGATGACTGTAAGGCTGAAATGGGAGGGTCTGTCTATGCTGTAACCGTTAGGTACGTCGATACTCGTATCCTACTCGTAAAAGGCAGCCAATTAACAGTGGAAGGTCGACTCTTCTAATTGATTGGCCTGTCGAGCTGCGATAGATGCGCCGCCCGTATGCAGGGCATGGTTGATCAATTCGACGAACGAACGTCATGCGCAAGTCAGCACCAGAATGGTTGAGTGGCATGTGGTAATGTGATAATGTCCTGATAGATTTCAACTTCCACAGAAGAAAGTGACATGAGGCATCTCCGACTTGTCCGACATTCGAAGGAATACTGAAATTTCCCCGTTAACCTGCAGACCGAACTCAACAGTGTTCCCAACTGCGGCAGATTCTACTGCAGTGGCTAGTCATGGACAACAGCATTTTCAAACTCCCCGCGGCCTACGGGGTCGAGGTCGAAGATATTGTTGGCTTCGACCTGGCAGATCGTGCCCAACTGGAAGATGGCAACAACAAGCTATCCAGCAAAGGAGGTGCTGGCGCTCTACTCGTGGCCAAAATCTGCGATGCGCTGGCCAATGCTGGCTATAGCGACGAAGATATCAGGAAAGTCGGCGGATTGGTGTCGCGAAACCTGATGACCTGCGAAACCTCCCAGATTCAGGACAGCGAGGGTGGTCGATCGCACGGAGCCGAAGGAGGCGCAGACCGCAACGACACTGAAACGGAAAACACACAGAAGGAGGTCGAATTGATGCTCAGAGGCCTACTCGATGAAAACATTTCGCGGTCTCGCAGCGTGCGAATGAACTCCAACGAGCCTGTCGTGCTGATCAATTTCTCTGCTCAAATTGGCCAGAAATTGCTGAGACATACCACGGATGAGACTGTCAAGCAACTACAGGAGGGCTGGAACATATGGCCCGTACGCGTGTATGCTGGACCATTTCTGCCGACGTCAGATGGCTTCTCAGTCACCTTGCTGAACGTGGTAAACACGGACATAGGAGGACCGAGTATGGTTCAGCTCCTCGATGAGGCATCTAATGCGCCCGAATGGTGCCAGTACATGAGGAAAGAAGCCTGGAGAGGTCGAGACTTCTTGTACCGTGAGGAACGCGACGGAGTGCCAGCTGCCGATGAATCTCCAGACGATGGGTCCGAGCAGTCTATCGCAAGCGATGAGAACGACTCGGTGGAATCAGAGCCATCAGCCACGATCCTGCAGGGACCATCCAAGCAACGAGATGCTGTCGAGAATGACGGCGCAATTGCTAAATCAGCTGCCACGATGGATTTAGTTTCGCGGGACGTGTCTTCAGAGGCTCACAAAGATCCATCTGTTGACGAGCCTGAGACTGAGGCTGAGGCTGAGGCTGAAGGGATTCCTTTGACCAGGGAGCTGGAATTACCGGAAAGGCATGTTGAGCACCCGACCTGGGACCGTCAAGATGATAGCACTTCGTTGATGGATCTCATCAGATCTCAAGCCTCTACGCTCGCTCCCTTCGGACAGGAGAAGTCGGATCCAACTGCGAAGGAGTTTCCAAAGGAGGAAGCTGATGATGCTGGAGAAGAGCTAAATCCAGCAGAAAAGTCCTCTAGCGACGGTGGCGATTATGTAGTGGTTTGAGACACGACCGTATTCTTATGATGTTCGTGGCTTTCCTAGAGCGAGGGTTGCGCATTGCTGAGATTGAGAGTGTCCTTCAACCACTTTCGGAACCACTTCGACTTCTGCTCCTGCTCCTGCTCCTGTCTTGGCTTCGTGGACTCTCGCCGTTTTCACTCCTGGTGCCATTGCGATCACCATCTTCCATGATTTCATCCTCGTCCTCCATAGCATCCAGCTCCGCCTGCAGCGGGCTGACTCTCTCTTCCAGTTGATCCAAATCTTCCAGTAGCTGTCTCGCAGGCAATTTCCACAGACTTGTTCCGCAGACGCGGTCTTTAGTCAAGAGATTGTCCACGAATTCGTCCATGTATATGAGAACGTAAGACTCTTTCCTCCTTTGCCTCAATTTTCTGGAATCCTCTAGAAATGGTTCTAGCGTCTTGTATATATCGGCTGCATCGAATGTCAACCGCACGTAGAACGCAGCCAGCGCTCGTAGATATTTCCACTCTTCCCCGCCGTAGGTCAAGTATTCTAGTATGATTTCCTTGTCGGGCACCAACGTTAAGAGTTTGAAGGCTAGGCAGATGAACGGTGAGGGCTTCATGGCAACACCATAGGTACCACCAATGTATGTGAGTTCGATCGCTCTATCGCACAGCGTAGCGGCGTTGAGACCAAAACATTGTTCTTTCCAGTATAATGAATCGGTTATGCGATCGCGCATCGCAGTCTCGAGGAGGAGCGCAGGGTTCTGGCCTCGAATGAGCGGGCCAGAGTACCCACGGTTGTCGAGCGTGTTGGACGCATCGGCGCGGTGAGACATATTGTCGAACTTATGCCCAACAGATCAGAGGCAAGAGTCTCTGTGTGTTATCTCAGTCGTGTCGTTGGTCGATGGTGAGTGCAGGCGCATGTAGTTTCGCGAATTTTCGTGTTAAGCGTTTTCCCGCCGACGTCAGCGACCAGGATATGCCGTTGCCTCGCAACCACTTTGGTAAACAGAATCGAATCGGGATACGGATTACTCCATACTCTCGGTGAAAAGAACAGTCATGGAAAAGAGGCAGATCACTGAGCAATTTGGCATTCAGTAAATTCTCTACTCTCATCAGCTACAATTCCTACAAGAAACGATTCTCACAGAAAATCAGCCTCCCAACGTCGACGGTGCGAGCCAAATACTTGGGCCGGAACCCGGTCCTTGCACGACGCCATGGTGCTTCTTACATCTTCAGCCGTGTCGATGGCTATATCGAGTGGGGTGGTCTGCATATTCACATTTTTGCTGTTCATGTCTGGATATGTCCTACAACAACAGACTGTCCGATCATTGCAAGAAGCTCTCAGGGCACCGCCCGAACCCAAACCAGTACCCATTCTCCCGCCTCAATTCCAAAAACTCGACAACGACAGCAGTGCTGTAGTGGTCGAGCAACGTGTTGATGCAGCTCCGCCTAATTCTGACAATCGTGCGGCCGAAAAGTTCGACCGACTTCTGGAGTCAGTCCAAGTACCAGTGGTGGCACATGATGAGAGTCAAGTCCTTCTTCAGGACTCGTCGGAGAGAACGTCAAGTCATCAGCAGGCTTCGGAACAACCACCAATGCAACGACTTGCATATATGTTTATCCTGCTCGAGCCATCAGATTTGTGCTCGACTTTACTCTTCGCCAAACAACAACGATCTTCTTCACGACTAGCAACGCAGCCGTCTATTGTCCTGCTTTACCCGGGCACATGGGAGGCTGAATCCTCTCAACTGTATCTGTCTGCTCTGAGCTTCATGCGAGAGATACAAGAGCTGTACGGCCTCATATATCATCCGGTACGGATTAACGATGCCTGGGATACCAATGCACAACTCCTCGGAGAGCTCCAGTGGCACCGTTGGGAATATGATCAAGCTCTTTATTTGAAATCCCCGGGGATCATTCTCGACAACAAGGCTCTCGATATCGCTATAACCTCGCCTGTCTCAAGGAAGACATGGTCTCCCGTGGATACGTCCACAGGCAATAATCCGGACGTGCTCCTCGTGACGCCCAAAGGCCTTCAAAGTCCGAGAAGGGAGATGAGGAAACTTGCTTCGCCTGCAATATCTGGTCACACAAATGACCACGAGACCGAACTATATGTTGAAGATGTGGCCAGCAAGTCAGCATATGTAGTGATGAACCTGGACCATCTGGGTGATGGAGGTCACGGCAATGTGTGGTATAAAAATCTGATATGGAAGTTTGAGCGAGGAGTGAAGAATGCTTGTGCTGGTAGTGGATTGTTGGAATAATTGATTTGTTTCTTTGCATAGCAAGCCACTGTCGATAACTGATGAAACCATGACATAGACTGTACAAAAAGGATGGCCTCAAAGGCTGACACTCATTCCCGGACAAGCTGAGAGACATGCGTTCAAACTCCTAATATGGACTTATCTTAGCGAGGACAGGATACGCATGATGTTCAAAATTCCTCCTCTTTGCCTTGTTCTTGTTCTCGGATAGTCTAACGGAGCTTATAGGAGTAAGTAATGCTTCAGATACTTAGCGACGAGGTTAGTAGAAGCGCATTCAATAAAGACAGAGAGCGTTTTGAGCCGGGACAAGATAGCTGCTAAGAATATCTTGCAAACCGCATTTTGCTTGCGGCCCATGCGCTTTTGAAAATGACTCTGATAGTAACGAATCTGACGACGAGGAGGATAGTGTAAACTCACACTTAGACGCTGAACCAACGACGATATACTGAAGATATACGCTCAAGCAACTCCTTCTATAAATAAATTACCCTCTCGAATTTTCAAGATAGGGCTAGTCAAGTCAGGCCGGGATAGAGAGGTTCAACTTACAGATCCAGGAGAAAACCAAGGATACGGTGTCAAGGCGGATAATAGGGCATTTACTGACTTGCTTGGTGCTCTTGGAGAATAAGTAAGGGATGGAAGCAGGCGTTAGCAGCATATGAGGTTGATATGGACGACTCTCTAAAGGAAGTCAAGAAGCTAGCTGACTTCAAGGAAGGCCGACAAAAGTTAAAAGCGAAGAAATCACTACCCCGACGACTGGAACCCACCGACTCATACAAAAGATGGAAAGAAGATCGCCCAACGCTGAAGCTTCCCTTTAGAGTAAGGGTAAAGGAGTGAACACACATCATCTACTTTCAATCCTGAATTTGTTTCCTAAAAGGAGGGTCAAAAGCGTGAACAGGCTACATCTACATCAGATCTCTCTACCGAACAGCATAAAGAGGGTTCTAATCTATCTCCTTGCCGGTTCTTTCCTTGTTTGTTTGCTAATGCTGGCACTTCGTGTTGCTCCCTCAGCTTGGCAAGCCTTTGGATTTTACAAGACCACTCGCCGGCTTGACCAAGTTCAACGACAAAAACCTGCGAGTTGAGAGATATTCTCGTAGTCCAACACGGGATCGTTTCTCAGCCAGCGAAATGTCGCACGACTTTGGCATGAGCAATACATTTCTGTTCTGGCTCAACATATACTTTGTAAGTTATGCCTGTAATCTTTATATTTCAACCTCAGTTACAGAACATACAAAAGCCAGAATCGACTTCCAATTCTAATCCTATCTTAGGTATGGCGAGCTTGAATTCGAAGACGTAAGAGGGATTCGAGAGCACAGGTTGTCTCGGGCAAACCTCAGGGCTCGGTTCCTGGTGAGTTCTAGATACCGCATAGCGCTTCGTGTGCGATGCGGCCCATTCGTCCATCAAATCCTCCTGCAATCCCACTGGCGTATTCTCGTCACAAACACGGCCACAGAAGCACTTCGTCAAACAGTTGATATCTCGTGTCCGGTTGCCAGGAGTCCAATTCGCAACATATGACTCTAGCTGCGGCTGACCGAAAATTCCCTCACCTGCATGCGGGGTTGAAGGGTCGAGACTTTGAGATACGAATTGCTAACCTTGCACACCATGTGATTCCAGCGTTGAACCAATGGTTGAAAGTCTACAATACACCAGAGGGGCCTCGAGCGAGCAATCTCGTACTCGAAAGCCTATCTACATGCACCGGTTACACAATGAAAAAGTCGGATTCTCCAAACACGAGGAACTAGAGGCTTGAAGGATTGTTTGAGAGTGAAATACAAACTGCGATGTGAGCCCGGTACATTCGAGCCTGCTGTACACTTTTCCCTGAGCTATGCTGACCTTTGGCAATATGGACCAACTTCAGACAAACCTATTCATCGACAACGAAGTAAGATACAAGATTTCGATTCAGAACTCTACTGACTGGTCAGTACGTTCCCTCATCCAGCAAAGAGACGTTGACAATCCACAACCCCAAAGACGACAGCCTTGTTACGGATAAAGTCCAAGCTGCCTCTGAGCGAGATGTCGACAAAGCTGTGGCAGCGGCGAAGGCTGCGTTTCCGGGATGGAAACGTATACCAAGTAGCAGACGCTCAGCGATAATGCTCAAGTATGCGGACCTCGTTGAACAACATAGCGACAAGATATCTCATCTAGAGTCAATCTCAATGGGACAACCAATTTGGCTGGCCAAAGCCATCGTGGGGATGCAAGTGGCAAGTTGGCGGTACTATGCAGGTTTTACGGATAAGATTCCCGGTGAGACTTATCCAGAGAATGGTGACGGTTTCTTCAAAATGGTGAATTATGAACCATTGGGTGTCTGCGCGGGAATTTCAGCTTGGAATGGTACGCAATTTTCAGTTGCCAGGAAGGTGAGTTTCCCGAAAGTGGCATAACTCCAATGCTCACATGCCTAGATTGCTCCTGCTGTTGCTGTCGGAAACACCTATATCTTCAAATCGTCCGAAAAGAGTCCACTGGGCGTGCTGTACCTTGGGAAGCTTTTCAAGGAAGCAGGGTTTCCTCCCGGCGTGGTCAACCTTCTATCGGGATCTGGCAGAGTTGGAGCATTGCTGGCATCACACATGGACATTGCTCACATTACTTTTACGGGCTCGGCCGCTGCAGGAAGGCAGGTTCAAATTGCAGCCGCCAAAAGTAATTTGAAACACGTTGTTCTCGAACTTGGAGGGAAGAGTCCAGCACTCATCTTCAATGATGCCAACCTTGACAACGCCGTTGCACATAACTCTCGTGGATTCCTGCTCAACAGTGGTCAGATATGTATGGCGGGTTCGAGGATCCTGGTACAAAGTGGAATCGCGCCAAAGTTTATTGAAGCCTTGAAGGCAGCATTCATCAAATTAAACGACCTTTTGGCCGACCCAGCTCTGGACAGTACTTATCTAGGTCCACTTGCCGACAAGGCTCAGTTTGAAAGAGTCATGAGCTACCTCGAAGGTGCTAAAAAGGATGGCATAGAAGTTTTGACAGGAGGTGGCCGTAAAGGGGACAGGGGTCGTTTCGTCGAACCCACCATTCTCATGGACCCAGACGTTACAGCCAAGGTCTACACTGAGGAGATTTTCGGACCGGTTGTTGTGATAAAGACGTTTGAGACTGAAAAGGAAGCTATCGAAATGGCCAACAATACAAGCTATGGCCTTGGAGGTGAGCTGCTGCAATTCTTCAGGAACTCAAACTGACATATCAGCTACTGTCTACACCAACGACATCACCAGGGCACTCCGAGTCACCGCGGAGCTGGAGGCAGGCACCGTCACGGTCAATTCATTTCACCGACTCGTACCGGAAACTCCCTTTGGTGGCAAGAAGCAAAGTGGCTACGGCAGAGAAGGAGGATTCGAAGGCATAAAACTATTTTTGGAAGCCAAGACAGTCCAAATCAACATGACTATGCCCGAAGATTGATGAGGCATGGAACCAGTATTGAATCTGGATGCAAGGTAACAGGAAAACAGAGTGGCTGGCTGGTCTTTCGGCCTTGGAAAAATGCAAGGAACGCGCTTTCATAACCGGAAGATATATTTGATAACGCACCAAATGCGTAGGTTTGCGAGAGGTCGGACACTGGCCAGATTAAATAGCTTCCCACAAGTGGCTTCAGGCACAAATGGCCCTCGCATAATTCTGCCTCCAGGTGTAGCGGAGCTCGAGCTCGAAGAGCACAAGCAGACAATTGTATCAGTGTTGGAGCATCTTCTCTGGTCTGCCTATTCCGTCAGGCTCATACCACCCCGCCCGAGCGGAGCCTCGTAGGGTAGGTTACTACCTGTAGGTGAGCCGTTAGCACGCTGACCAATGCAAGGAAGTGCTATTTGATTATGCGAAGAGGCTAGTTACAAGAAAGTGAAGAGAGAAGCTGGCATATGCTTATGTTAACGAGTCGAAACAGCTGAGAGAGGGTATTCTTACTCCCCAATATCTCATCCATCGCTGACCAGCAGGCGTTGCCATTACGACAAGTCGCAAGATGATGAAAAATATCGAGGGACAAATTCTTGGGCAACGTACATGCTGGTGGAAACTGTTGGTCTGAGATGTCCAAGTCAATGACTTGCGCACTTGGGTGCTCGACGGCTGCCATGGCTTCCAGCCAGTTCATTCCAAAAGCACCACCTCGAAGACTTCTGGCTGCGTTGGCGTTGCACTGAGCAAGAGAGTTCTCATACAACGTTTAGGCATTGGTCATGCAGGTTCCATGCGTGATGGGCTTGTGTTTACGAGTGTACTGCATGTACCGCCACAAGGCTGGGAGAAGGCCATGAGGGAGACAGCTTCGACAGCAGTGCGGATAAGTGTTGGTGATTGCCATCTTGGAGTGGAGGATTCGCTTTTCGAACTTGGAGGAGTCACAATCTGTCGAGCATTAGCGGATTGACAGAGTCTCAGATCAAGTCGTTTCTTACAGTAGATGCAACTGCCTGGACTTCTGTCGGCTCTATCTCCAAGCTCAGTGGCCTGTCCTCTGAGGGTTTGCGGTCCTGGTCATACATTCCGGCATTAGTGAGGGACATTGCGTGTTTGGGGCTGGTCAGGGTCGGCGATGTCAACGGCAATGATACGAATGTGCATCAAAAGAAGGTCATCAAGATGTGTTGAATTCAGGATTGGTTGTGCAACCGAAGCAGCTTGGACAATCTCAACCATACCTAGGTACCTTCCTGAGGAACTCTCACTTCAGCATCAACCATGGCTTCCTGAAGGACTCCCACTTGAACGCCCCTTCCTTCAGACTTTCACTGAAAACGAGCATCACTTCTACTCGATCTCCCATTGCCCAAGGGCTTGACTGCTGGTTGATCCTACCGTACCGCTTTCTGACAGTCTCATCATATCCTCCTTTCACAACTTGGAAATCCGCAAGCTGCCATCGACCTCCTCCATGAGAATGCTCACCTAGGCGTAAGTAGCCGGCGACCATTCTTTCGTCAACCGTGCTACTGCGAAAAGCCAGTATCGAATGATTACTACCCAGGATCCACGGGCTTGGGGTCTTCCAAATACCTACGAGTTATTTCGTACGGCCGAACCGTTTTAAGAAATGATAAGACGGGGCGGGCATTCAACCTCAGCCACAAAAGATCTAGGCGCAGGACAAGTACGGTAAATGCACTACCTAGGACAGGGAAGTGCTGACTCACCCTTACGAAGAGCTTGCCTTCGCCAAAAGGCATGGCATCTGATGAGTAACAGGCGTGGTCAACAGCGCCATGCAGGGATCATGACAGATTCGCCAACCCACAAGCCGAGGGAAGAAGCCTGAAACCCACATGATGCCACCAACGATCAGACGTGAATCCACAGGCGAGGCAAGCTCCGTCCATCGCGTCGCCCGAGCTCGCCGCAACTCGCATCGACTTCTGCTCAAATCCATGACGTGGGGTCCATTGAGATACTTTTCTATGCAACCAGAAATACGAAGGGAAGGATTTGAGATACGGATATCAGAAGACATATAATGTGAAAGAAAAATCCTTATGCGATTGTTCATCCTTCGCTCATTGCACCTGAAGACTTCATTGACCTGCGCAAACTTCCAGACCTCTCTGCGATTCAACTGCGTTCCCCTTCGACCCGTCCGAACCCACGCGATGTCGTCCAAACTGCTACCCGGCGACCCCGAGAAGGTCATGGTTATTCGAGATCTTCCAAATTCGAACATCACAACCCTCAGCCTGCCCTTCATGCGCTTCGGGCGCATCAAAATAGGCGGTCGTGCCACTCTAGTGAAGTTACAGACCGGAAATGTGGCCGTGTTCTCCCCCGTCTCGCTCACGTCGGACGTGAAAAGCAAGGTGAAGACTATGGGACCGATCAAATATATCATCGCACCTGATGTTGAGCATCATCTAATGGTCGAGACGTGGGCAAAAGAATACCCTGAGGCCGAGCTCATCGGACCTGAGGGACTGCCAGAGAAGCATCCTGGACTGAAGTTTGCTCATGTCTTCTCCTCAAAGGCAAAGAACGATATGCACATCTCGACCGAATTTGACAAAGAGTTTGCTTCGGAGTACTTCCCAATGCATCCGAACAAGGAGCTCGTATTCTGTACGTCTCTTCCACTTCAAGTGCGTATGGGACTGTACTAACCATCTCCAGATCATAAACCCAGCCGGACCATGATCGAGGCAGATCTGTTGTTCAATCTCCCTGCAACCGAACAATTCTCCAAGTCGGGAACCGACCCTCGTTCCGGAATTCTTACCAAGATCTTTGGGGGAATAATGAATACAAGAGGTGACATGATTTGGCAGAAGCGTTTTCTCTGGTACGCATTCAGCAAGTCGGACCGAGCTGGATTCGCCGCATCCGCAAAGAAGATCAAGGCATCATGGGACTACGACCGTATCATCCCCTGTCATGGCGATGTGATTGAGACCGGCGGCAAAGGTGTCATGGACAAAGCTATGGCCTGGTTCTATGAAAAGTACTGATTGATAACACGGAGTAGATGGGTGAGACATTGTGATTTTCTGGCTTCTGTTGCAAAAGATACCATGTAACGTTTAAATTCAGCAGCTCGATTAATTCGCCTACAAGACTTCAAGCAGTCCCTTCCTCCATGGTGCTTACACCCTAGATAGCATGACCAGGAAAGGGGAAACCTCAATTCCCAACTCCCTCAATAATCACCTTCAGCACATCTTCTCCACCCTTCCGCACCGTCTCGAAGGCCTCCTCCGCCTTCTCAAACGGAAACCGGTGCGTGATCAATACCTTGGGATCGATTTCCCCAGAGGCCACCAAATCCACGGCCGCAGGGTATACTCCTGCTGTATACCTAATCGAACCCCTGATGGTCAAGTCCCGGATACACGCCGTGATAATGGGGAACATGACATTCTCCCGTCCCATCCCGGCTTGCACGTACATGCCACCTTTCTTGCATAGATTCACACCCGTCTGGATACAAGCCGGCGCGCCGGTCGCATCGATAACCACATCCGGGCCCTCACCCAGGTCGAACGTCTTTTTGATCTCTTCGGCGACACGAGCGCTCCATGCACACTCCTTGTCAGCATCGTATGGCTGCCCATCATCATCCTCTTTGGGCATGGGAGCCGGCTTGAACACACCGTCTGCGCATTTCAGGACGTTCTTCGCCAGATCCATTCGACTCTGACTCATGTCCACGCCGATGACCTTCTTCGCCGCATACGATTTCGCAACGCTCTGCACGAGCAAACCGATCGGTCCGCATCCGAATACCACAACAGTCTGTCCGGCACGCACCTTGCCGACCTTGCAAATCTGCACGGCCACAGCGACGGGCTCGCACAGCGCACCATCCTCGAGACTCATGTGCTCCGGCAGAGGGTAGCAATAATCCGCGGCCGTCTTGTAGTATTTTGACAACGTGCCGTTGTGTGGGGGCGTCGCGGCAAAGACCGTGTCCGGACATAGGTTGTACGAGCCGGCTCTGCAGTAGTTGCAATGTCGACAGGGCACGCCGGGCTCGATGGCCACTTTGTCGCCGACTTTGAGGTTCTTGACGGCAGCGCCGATCTCGACGACCGTGCCGGCGGACTCGTGGCCGAGGACGATGGGCGAGGTGAGGACGAAATCGCCAATGCGTCCGCGTTGCCAGTAATGCACGTCTGAGCCGCAGATGCCCGTTTGCCCGACGTGGATTATCACATCGTATGGATCGGTGATGGAGGGTTTGGGGATGTTGTCGAGCGCGACATCCTTGACGGCGCGGAGGACGAAGGACGGGTTTTCCATGCCTAAGGCGAAGTCATCCGTCCTGTCTTGCAAAAATCTTCGGGAACTGTAGGTGCAAGATAGCGGACGATTGGGGCATAGTACTCATACAGGCTGACCAAGCCCCATGAGGGGCAAGGTACCGGCATGTGCTCACCGTAACAGAACCGGTGAGTGAAGCAGAGTCTGCATATCGTAGTACCACAGCTCGCACAGTACTCTTTACACCTACACTGACCCCACCGGGCCCACCTTGGACCAGCACTCTAACTTAACTGCTTCAATAAGTACATGATGATGCCAACTTCCGACACCCATCTACACCTTCCTCTATGATGTGGACGGTGATCTGACTGTGGCCACAACGGGGAGATTCTCGCACTCCATGGCATCAGAGCAGCACGATGGCGCTCTGCGCGACGTTCGCACCCAGCTTTACATCCTCGGTAGGAGTCTTTCAAGGACAACCCGCAACTAGGTGCTGACTATGGGTCCATCCAGGCATGATTCGATGTACCGAAGCAATGGCCTGGACAAGCATCTTCTCCTACGTTTACTTCATGATCGGCGCCTTCGATGGTGTGAAGGAATATCAAATTCCCTTGTATGCCGGGCTATTGATTGCTGTCTTCACCTTCTGCGAATTTCTCAGCGGCATGCTGTGGGCGAAATTGGCGGATGTCATAGGTCGTCGATGGAGCCTCCTGCTTGGCTGTATAGGCTGCATGGTGACGGCCTTGACATTCGGCATCGCGAGCTCGTTGTGGGTAGCCCTCCTGTCTCGAGCCATTGGTGGCCTCAGCAATCCCAACGTCGGCGTCGTCAACACATGCGTCGGGGAATTGGCGGTGAACAAGGAAACCCAAGCCAGGGCTTTTTCGATAATCCCTTTCTTCCGGAGTCTGGGGTAAATCGAGTATATCAGTACCGTGCTGGAGCCCTTGCTGACCCGTTTGCAGGAACATCCTAGGCCCTGTCTTGGGTGGCTTCCTTGCCGAACCAAACAAGCGCTTCCCGGAGCTATTCAGCCAAAACATATGGCGCCTTTACCCCTTCCTCCTGCCGAATTTTGCGATTTCTTTCCTGGCTCTTCTGGGCTTCCTACTGGGATTGCTCTTTCTAAGAGAGACCCACCCTGGATTCCTCGACCGGCGAAGTCTGTACGACAAGATCGCTTCGAGAACTTTGGATGTGCAGTATAGCAGCGTGGCTCGGGTGGACTACCAGGACGCTGAAGAACTTGACCGTCTAGGTGAAGACCAGCGAATGGACCCTGATGAGGGAGAAGCAAGCATACCTAAGCCACCCGTGGACCCTGAGACTCGGCTGGGTTCAGGTCGCGAACACCAGCCCATCCAAGTGAAGGGTGTCATCACGACTCAAGTCTGGCTTCAGATTGCATCGGTTTGTTCCCTGGCCTATCACAAAGTATCCTCCGATGTCATAATTCCCACGTTCTTAGCACTGCCTGCCAAAGGCCGGCCTGAATCAACTCGAATCCAGGCTCGTGGTCCAGGCGTTGAAGGTGGGTTTGGCCTCGACGCCCGGGAGATTGGACTCATCCTCTTTTCCCAAGCAATAGTCGCCATTGCAGCTCAAGCTTGTTTGATTCCCAACCTCGTGGCAAGGTTCGGCGCCTTGAGAACCTACAAATGGATACTACGCGGTTATCCCGTTCTTTACATCCTGACCCCATTCACTGCACAGCTCGTGTCGCCACTATCTGTTGTCGCCGTCTCGTCTGATCTGTGGCTCAAAGTGGTCGTCTCTTCCACGGCTTACGTTTGCTCCAACATCCTGTCTGTGTGCACAAATCATCACGATTCCAAACGCTAATTCTATGCTAGCATCACTAATACAACTCCTGACCGGATGTCCCTCGCCAAGGTCAACGGTGTGGCAGCCTCGCTGGGCTGTCTCGCACGAGCAATTGGGCCTTCCCTTTCTGGACAAATCTTGACGTGGAGCATGAAAAGTCATCACCTTGAACTCGCCTTCTGGGGTCTCTCCTTGGTCGCTCTCGCTGGGACGGCTGAGTCCTTCTTCCTGCGAGACCAACCATGAACAGCGTGACTCATTAAAACAAAGTGTATCCGCCGTCGACGACAATGTCTGTTCCCGTCATGAAGCTTCCTGCAGGACTGGCCATCAATACACATGGACCAACAATTTCCTCGCGCTCCCCAAATCGACCCATTGGTGTCCTCTCATACCATTTCGGCACTACGTCCACAAGGTCACCACCGTTATTCAGTCTGGTGTCCATGTAACCTGGCGACAGCGAGTTGACCCTGATTCCGTGGCAGGCCCACTCTGCCGCCAAACAATGCATCAGGTGCCGGACACCGGCTTTGGATGTTCCATAGGCAACATGCGTCTGTGGATAGTTGACAATATGACCTGCCATGCTTGCCACAAGAATTATGCTACCGCCAGTTTTCCTCTGTATCATTTGTCGGCCAACAGCCTGCACCGTCAAGAAGGTTCCTGTGGTATTGATGTCAAGTATACTCCTGAAATTCTCTGCCGTGTAGTCCACGGCCGCCACTGCATTCACTGTCCCGGCGAAAGTAGCCAACACGTGCACACCACCAAAGTCCTCGCACACCTCCGAGACGACCTCATTGAGACTCTCCTGGTCCGTTACATCAACCTTGCGGAAGATGATTTCCTGAGGCCCACGACGAAACTCGTTCTGCAGCCCATCTCGGGCCTCTGCACCTTCCAAGTCATCCATGTCGAACAAGGCGATTTTCTCGCAGCCGTGTTCCAAGAACCCGGTTGCCACCGCTAGTCCTAGACCTCGAGCGGCGCCTGTGACGATTACGTTCTTCCCTGCTAGCGAGAATCTTGTAGCAGCTGTGCGATTGAGCTCAACCTCGGCGGATGTCATCGGTGCAGGTTGATGTGGAGGGCATAGTTTCATCTCGGGAACGCGGTCTGGCACCGCCATCATGTCTGACTATGGTAACCGGATCCACAAGGAGAGGACAAGCAAAGCCAACGCGTAAGGTTGAGAGATGATTGTTGTACTGGATGCAGACTTCACAACAACCCCTCCCTTCGTCCAGGTGCTGCGAGTATAATCGGTCCAGGCCCTCCCTCAGGCTTCTGCTCGCTCAGGCATGGCACCTGCTTCCCCAAGGGAAAAGGTATCCGAAGATAGTGGTATCTGGTGAGCGAAGTTGCAGCGCTCCTCAGCTCTTTGTTCTATTACAGGACCATGTTCCGCCTTTGCCAAAACTATCGCGGCCTTAAAGCTTGCAGCCGCTTCGTGATGACTTGTACACGTGCCATCAGACCACCTTGACGAGTGGGCCACTAGAGATGGAGGGGTCGGCGGCCATCAACGTGGCAGTCTCACTACTTGTTTGTATGTCAAGCATGGGAACGCATGGGCTTGCATAGGAGTGCATGGCTGTTGACTGGTCGGGCGGTTGCTGGTCGCTACGGACCTCGTTCCCAACGCCTGGCCAATCGATCCAAGCACTAACTTACATAGTAATCAGAGAGAGGTTGGGGGGCTGCAGGGCGCCATCCTGGGAATACATCAACATGTTTTCATGCATGCAGACCGGCACCCTGTCGCGTAACCTCAGTACGGCCAAGTTGTGGGCGCCGTAGTAGCGTCGGCCAGATACCAGTATATACTACGGTACGGGGTATCGTAGGTACATAGTAGGTGGTGTGAATCGGCGCTAGGGGGTGGTGTGCTATTCGACGGACAAACAGCAGCGAGGACAATACATGTGGTAGGATGCCTCCTGTTTACGTGCGAGGTTCCACTGCTGCCTTCGACGATTCAAGCGGGGGCAGCTTGTTTTTTTTTTCAGCCCCGTTGGGCGAATTTCAATACATGATATACCCCCGTGTTGCCGTAGTACGTACGGATACCTTCAGTACGAGAAGACGGGAACATCAAATTCACATTACCCTTTTGTCGTGGTGCATGGACAGGGTTACCCCGCCTGGCTCGCCTGGTACGCAGTGCCCGCCTGTACTAGTACTAGCATAACACAAACCCATAAAGGCTTCTGCAGTTCGAAATCGGTCTGCATGCTCCTCCAAGTGGTCATCGCGTGCCATGGCTGCGGCTCGTCCTTTTCAGCTCCCGTCGGAACCTAGTAAGTATAGGACGGGGTACATCAAGTCAGTTAGCCTGTCACAGATTGCGAAATTACTCCGGGAAGGCCGGGTGACAGACCGGCGCCCAAAGGTGCACTGGAGCTGTTCAATGGCATTGGACACTGTGAGTTCCTCGAGTGAACGATTTGAGGAGGTACCGTAAAGTGCATTCAGTCTGGGATTCCGCCACGGTTGTGAGGATATGAGCGCGCATCATGGCCTTATTACTGTCCTGCGTAGAATGGGTTTTGGAATTTTGGCCATGCGGATGGCGCGGTCCCCCGTGCGCAGGCAGAGCCAAGTTAGGGTCAACACCACCTTCTCATGGGGCCACAACGGGTACGACGGGGTACCTGGCTGATCACGCCTATAGGGACCCGGGAGGTCTTGCACCAAGCGTGAAACCCCTGAACTTTGAAGCAACCTCACATCAGCGCTGCTGTAGCCGCTTGCGTTTGTGGTACGCGAGGTCGCCAAGCCCGAACGGCTTCGACCCCCTGGACCTCTCAGCCTCATGTTCCTCCCTCCTCAGGTGGATACCCGGGACTAGCTAGGTACGGTCCTATGGGAGAGCCCGGGTGACAACTCTAACATGAGGTGACACAACATATTCTTGTCGACGCATGTGCAAGCTTCCTGTCTTGTGTCACCCACCCTGATTCCACGATGAAGGGCGGCAACCACAATGTTCATGCCTGGAGCATTGGACGAATCGCCGGTCCATATTGCTTTTTCTGGTTTCCCTTGCTACATGTGGAGCAACGCACGGTCCACTTGCGTGGACTTCCTAAGCGGCAACGAATGTTGGCCGCAAGCTCCAGGCCCGGTAGCTGCCCGCCCACACTCATGGCTCTTCAACTTCTTCGTTGAAATTGTCGAAGCCAAGATAGTCTCTGGTTTCCAGATTCCTGACACCCTTTTCGCCGTTGGCCCCCATCAGGTTGCTCAATACTTCGTTGTCTGCATCTTCCATGCGGAAAAGACAATCAAAGTTCTCGGAGATGCGAGCCGGAGTATTGCTCTTGGGGATCACCGACACGCCCCTCCAGACCATGTGCGAGAGGCAGACCTGGGCCGGAGTTTTGTGATACTTTGCGGCCAATCGCTTGATCTCGGAGTCTTGCAGCGGCCCTGGTCCAGTACGGCCGATGAGATATGGCACAGGTGTGCAACCCAGAGGACCATAAGCGGTGACGTGGATGTCGTTTCGCTGGCAGAATTCGACCAGCTTTTTCTGCGGGAAGTAAGCGTTGAGCTCGATCTGATTGACTGCTGGGTGAATTCGTGCCGTCTGAAGGAGCCTCTCCAGCTTCGGCTTGGAAAAGTTGGAAACGCCGATCAATCTGGTCTTGCCCTTTTCCACCAACTTCTCCATCGCCGCCCAGGTCTTGTCGTAGGCTCGCGATAGCTCGACGTCAACAATGGGTTTGCCTTCAGCGTTCCGCAGCGTACCATATTGAGTGCCGGTCTTGGTGTATGCATAGGGGAAGTGCATCAGAAACAGATCCACGTAATCCATTCCCAGGTTCTTTAAACTCATGTCCATTCCCACTTCGACGTCCTCGGGGGCGTGAAAGCAGTTGTGTAACTTGGTCACAATGAAAAGCTCCTTTCGAGAGATGTTACTTTCTCGTACGGCCTCACCAATGCCTCGCTCAACATCCCCCCAGCCATAGGCCAGCGCTGTATCTATGTGTCGGTAGCCAACGTTCAAGGCGTGAAGGACTGATCCCTTGACCGAGCCTTCAGGATAGACTTTCGGGTCAACCTGGAAGGTGCCCAATCCCTGCGACGGGATTCTGATATGGGTGTTCTTCAATGAGAAAGAATCAGGCAACTTCTGCGACTTTCTAACGGCGTGGCCACAACACAACATAGGGTTCTCGAGCAGCTGCTGTTCCTTCTTGTACACCTGATAGACTCTTTTGCCCCGCGCGTCTGATGAGGACTGCATCGTGAATGTTGTGTGGGAGAGCTCGAGCCTACAACTAGGACAAAGAGGAAGGCTACTCGTAGAAGTGAAGAGTCAATGAGGGAAAACATAAAAGGCTGACTTTTCTGCCAAGAATATATCAAAGAAGCTTCCTCCTTAATAAGATCTCTGGTCTGCTTAGGCGTCCTAGGGAGAGCGCTAGTTAGCTATATAGCCCGTGCCCATGCCTAAGGCTGGTGAGGCTGAGGCTCACCAGGCTCTAGTTAGGCGGCTGGGACAGCGCTTAAAGAGAAATCATTCGCCGGTCTGGCCAGCCAAGGAGTATGTGCCCGCTTCCAGACTCGAAATACGTGGTGCAGCATTCCATCATCACTGCCCATATGCCCATCCATCATTCCAACAGAACCAACCCAAGGGCGCACGACCAGTGCAGAGTCCGTAAACCTACTGGGGGTTTCCCTCTGGCCATGATCCGCTTGTCTCTCAAGATGAATCATGATTGCTCCAAGAGACTAGAACCTGCCGTGATACTTCACAATTGCAACCTCGCCATTCTTCGGACAAAGCAGCGTTCCATGGGGACTAATTGCAATCAGCGGCAGCGCATCAACTCCCAGCCAATCCCGCGGAAGGAAGAAGTGAGGTTTCACATGGCCGACAGCGTCACCTAGGGGTTGAGGACTTCTTGCACTCATCGACTGGGTTGTTGAAACTGAGCCCAAGACCTCCCATGTACATACCCAACCCAATCGATCCAGGAAGACTATCTTTTCCTTGTAGCAACCAAGGAGCCGTTGGACGAGACTTGCCAACTCAGGAAGCCTTCGTCGACCGGATGTGGGCTGGCCCGTTTCTGCGGCCTGCATCTTGACGAGATCGGCCACGGGGATCAACCCAACCTCTAATGAACCGACTGCTGAGCTGCGGCTGTTCCCAGTATCTGGTAGAGCTTCGCAAATGATATGGCGCCGGGACGGTGGCTGAAGAAGCGTTTGGATGCAACTCCTGCTGGAAGGATCTCCGTCCGCAATTTGTGTTCCATCTCCGATACAGCAGAGGTATGGACTACCGGTGCGTTCGAGGGTTGCCCATGAATGGGCATGGACATGGGCCGGATCAATCCATATGAGCTGATTTTCGGCCATTGGATGACAAATCCATTTTCTTCCAGCTCTGGCGGTCCAGCTCCTAGTGCAAAGTCGAGTTTTGTTTTTGAGATCCCAGACCTGGTCTGTAGTTGTTGTACTCACAAGAACGAGGGTGTCATTCTCATTGAACACGAATTGCTCCACTGTTTCATCAAGCCTGAAATCAACAACGGGAAATACGGCCCATTTTCCGTCTTCCTTGATTCTGAGGCGTTTCGCGATGACCCTACCCGAGTCGTCACCCGAGATCATGTATTTTCTGGACATGGACCAGGCCAAGGCAATGATTGAGACTGTGTCTGCGTGACTGTATGCTGTCTTGACCTTGTTGCCTTTGGGAAGATCGTAGATCTGAATGGTTCCATCTTCTTTCCCCACAACGTAGAACTCGTCTTCGCTGCCGCATGAGAGGGAGGTGATTGACGCTTTGTCGTTCCTTTCTCGCGAGATGACCGGTTCAGACAAAACCGAGGCGTCGCAGCTACTCGCTCTATCTCCGTCATTTTCCAACTCCTCCGGTCGGATCAGAACGTCGGGTTCCCAGATGTTGCACCTCGACCCTCGAACATCGTAGATTCTCTGGCCATCTGGACTGAAGCACAGGTCCCGGACGAACTCTTCGTATTCAAGTCGGTAAAGGAGATGCACATTCGGGAGGGTCCAGACACTGAGTGTTCCGCTGCGATCACTGGTCAACAAGAATGTCCCGTCGTGGTTGACCACTATCTCTCGGGCATCAGTATGCCGAAATTCATGCTTCACGTCTTCGATCAGATTCCATTCGAGTATCGTCGCGTCCTGGTACAATACGAAAAGCGAAATTGATTCGGGGTGCCAACACACGACCTCAGCGGCGTTCCAGACTTCGCCCTCTTCTTGATCCCACCTGTCCTCATCTTCGGAGCGAAGGCATCTCTTGGGTCTTGTACCTGTTCCCGCCTTCATGTTCCAGAGGAGTACTGGCGCGCCGCGGTAGGCGATGGCAAGGTGAGTCTGGTCAGGGCTGACTGCAATAAGTCTGGGACAGCTACGATTGTCATTTGCATCTTCTTCCGCCGAGAAGGAGGACAGTTCGATCCCTGATCCAGCACTTAGACGGCTGAGTCGGCAGTCGTCATAGCCAACAATGATCTCACGATCGCCATTCGAGAATCCCAGGCACATTGGCCGTGCCTCCGATGTCCGCGCAATCTTGGTCAAAAGAGTGCCTCGAGAGACGTCCCAAATCTTAAAGCTGAACCGCCCTGCTGACACAAGCAACGTTCCTGTGCAATTCATGCTAACAAGGGTGACCCACTCAGCGTGCTCCAGTCGGTGCGCTTCCTCGCAGGTGTCCGTATGCCAAACCACCAGAGTACCGGTGCTGCTGACAAGGGTGACAAAGAATAAGTCTGAAGCGGCAACCTTGGACAGTGTATAGTCTTGCCCGACGGAGACCCGCGCCAAGCAGTCATCCCAGCCCCGAGCACTAAGGCCTGAGATGGAAAGTAGAGATGACGAGGCGTCTCGGAATGTCTGGAATATAATGGAGGCAACGGGACACAGCGGAGGAATGAGGCGATGTATCGTAGAAGGGTTAGTGATCAGATCTGAGCCAAACTTTCCCACTAGCCGTATCAAATCGATGATCCAGAGTTCTAAAACTTTGAGATTGCTTCCATTATCTGCAGAGTCGTCTGATCTCAACTGTAAAGGGGCCTCTGAATGAAGTCTTCTTTTTCGGCGTCGAAGAAATGCTTTCAAGTGCTTTGCCGCGATCGTGATCGTTTTTAAGCTTCGGGAAGCTCCGACTAATTGGATCCAAACAAGCACATATCTGTCGAAGAATTGCCGCAGTTGTTCGGCGAGTTCTGATGACAGGGTTGGAGTCGCATGGGAAACATGGTAAGACCAGTGATTTATCGAATATTTCAAAAGTGGATGATCGCGATACAGTGACACGAGCCGGTCTTCCCCACGTCGGAAGACTCCTTGCTCCAGGGCCTGCGTGGTAATCTTTCGCCACTGGTCGTTGGAGAGATATCGCAAGCACACCATGGCAATGTGGTCGTGGCCTTTGTGGAAATCGATAACAGGTACTCGTCCGTCTGAATCGCTCAGCAAAAAGTGTCGAGCTGTAGCATGTATGAGGGAAATGGTGCCGTCGTCGACGCGGATGAAATGACCACAAATGCGGACAATAGTATCACGAAGACTAGTAAAGTTCTTGAAATCCGGCTGAAGAGCTTCCTCAAGCTCTTCAATTCGCAACGGTCGATAGTTGCATGTAGCCCAGGTCAGTATCCGGATAGCCATCTCATAGTGACGGCCATGACTCTGGGTCCTTACACTTTCCAACATGCTAGTGTATAGCTGATGCATGTCTCTCGGAACGTTGTTGAGTGACTTGTAGATATCCTCCTTTGTGTGCCAGTTATCCTTCAGCATATTCAAGGCGAGACTGGCCCAAAGGAAGGACCCTTGCGCCATGGCTAACATTTGGCGTGTTGTGTCTTGTTGGACTCGCTCGTCATGGGGCATAGCCTCCTGAATGGCGACTTTGACATAGGCGGACAGGTCGTTCTTGGTGTCGCCTACGGTAAGAATGTCGTGCTGGACGATATCTGCGTGGGCAACAGTGTAATTTAATAGCTCACTGTTGGGCCGGCTGAAGAACAAGATTCTGATCGGGGTCCGGGATTTGATGCTCATAAACATTTTCACCAGCGATTCCGCGCTCTCCGCTTCGTCAATAGCGTCCACCACCCAATGCAGGCAATAGCCAAAGTCCATGTTGAACACGATGTGTTGGAAAATCCGTTCCCAGATTGTTGCAGCTTTCTGATGCCCGAAAAGCAGTCCGGTGGTGCCATGCAAATCGATCAGCCTTTCTGCGAAGATTTTGTTGGAGGTTGCTAGCTGGAGGGCAATCGAGAGAAGACAGTTCGCAATACTCCGTTTTGCAGGTTGTGAATTGACAAAGAAGTGGAACTGTGTACTCTGCTCCAAAAATTGTTTTTGCATATAGTCGATAGTCATGCCAGCCAGAGTAGTCTTGCCAGTGCCTGGCATTCCCGACAACCACAGTATTGGGGGGGAAGTGCTTCGTCCAGAAACCCAGTCTCCGAAGGTCTCGCGTTCTCGAAACCAGCGACAAGAGTTGGGGAGGGCAGCGTTGACAGCTTTGCTCAGCTCGTTGCGAGGAGTTTCTGTTGTTCCCAAAATTTTCTCTATCATTGCTGGAGAATTTTCATTGATGTGGTCCCGGTCGGGGCATGAAGCGACGGGTACCGGCGTTGGCCGTCGCAGATTGAGACGGTCCAGCAACTGCCTCAAGAAGCCAACCACGGCAACGTAGTTCTGGTCAGCCGGGCTCTCAAACTTACATACCGTATGGTGGTCGGCGTGCAGTGGGGAGGACATTTCTCTGGGATAGTCTAGCCTGCCTGATTCCTTGTCGACCATGATCCTTTTGATTCCGGTGGCCACCTTGGTTGGTTTGGCCTCGTAAAGTGAGACAAGCTCCAGGTGCTCACATGCATCACGGAACTGCTCGTTTATGTCCTCAATGGATGTGGAGTTGTTCTTCAGCTCGGAAATGTACGTCTTCTGCGATCCCAACGTGGCTGCTAGCAAGGTCTTCAGCGTTGACGCTTGCGCTGAACCTCGATGAGGAGTCGAAAGGAACATGATGCCGCCCACTTGAGCCAACATGTCTGCGTAGTGATGGTTCTGGCGTCCAATGACGTAGGCTTTCTTGACCACAAGTCCACCCATTGAATGGGCAACAAAGATGATGGGCCTGTGTCCGAGTGGGGTGTCATCATCGTGGTAGCCTCGCATGCGATTCAACAAGTCTTTAGCAAAGTCGAGGATGCTCATAGTGTTGTCGGGTCCAAGTATATTGGCTGCGTACCCGAAGGAGAAAATCCTCAGTTCGGGCAGTTTGACCTCATCCTTCAGCCAACTTGGCCAGAAATTTGCGCTGTCTCGCTGCCACGACCAAGTCTTCCGCGAGGAACCACCAAGACCATGGACGAGTATGACATCTGCTTGGGCCTCGGGGCTGCTGTGGACAACGCTCAGACCTATAGGATCCGAGACTGGGGACGTGGAATGACCGGATGGCCTCGGAGTCGTTATGAAGCTGGTGCGCGTTCGAACGAGCTCATCGGGACTTGGTCTATGCGACAATATGTTAGGTACTGATGTAGATCGAGTATGTAATGAAGGATCTTCCAGAGGCGATGGTTCGATGACACCGTGATCGTCCTCGGCGGGAACAGCTCGCGAATCTTGCGCAGGCAAGACATGTTGACGCGTGGAATTTGACCTGTGGCCCAGCGAAGAAAACTCCAAGGGCTCATCGTCAGTTTTGATTGCGCAGAAGAGACAATGCCAGGTCGCACCATAATGGCAGGATGAAGGCAGCCCTCGAATCATCTGGCCAGGCTGAGAAGCCAAGGACCCTCATTTATTGCAACCGTCCGTTCTTGTACAGTCTCAACGAAGTCGGAGACCTTGGCCGAGAGCGAGATCATGCACAGGGCAATGGCGATGTGTCGTGCAATTTGTGAGGAGGAGTTGATAAGGGAATGGATCACAAACATCTGCGGCTGGAAGCTTGTACGCACGACCTCCTCCTCGCCGTTAGGCTGAAGAAACGACTGAGGATCCGCAGGCCTCTTGGTCGGCAAATAGTACTGTTCGCGTCCAAGTAGGAATGGCGGTAATCTTGGGAATAGATTACCGCCATTTCTGAATGATCCACGGTACATGGTAAGACAAAAAGCCTTCTGTCAGCGAGACGAGGCTTGGTCGCATGCCCCCATAGGAGGGTTAGGCTGTTGCATTAATGCTGGCTGTGCGATGGCTCCAGCATTTCCAATGTGTGACAAGGCAAGCCAGAGGCATGCGCAAGAGCGTGATACAGGCGTGGACTGAGCACACTAGCACCAGAAGGAAGCCCCAGTCATGCCGAGTACGAAATCGACAGGGGGCATCATGGGGGTATCATGCAAAAGGACTAACTGAGGTGAACAAGCACCTAGGTGACAAGTAAGGCAACATACTCTGCAGCCAATGCTGGGTGCAGTTGCCCGCCTGCGCTGTAACGCGCAGCGGGCATATCAGTGAAGATACAGTGAAGATGCAGTGAAATCCCCTGACACCCTGTGAACACGGTTGAGGTGAACGACATATCAGTTCAACTTCGCCTCCTTTCTCAGAGCAACACACTTACTCTCTCAAGTAACCACCATGGCAACCCAAATGGCACTGATCACTTCACCGGCCGAAGACATACAGACCAAATCCGGACAGCAAGTGGATGAGCTCGCCAAATTTGTCGACCTTGCCCGGTTGGATGTCGACCGGCACGCAGGTATCGAAGCACCCGCAGAGCCTGTGCCAAAACCGCAGTTGGGATCGTCCTTTCCCGTCGATCCGGCTGTAATCAAAGGTACCATTGAGCTTTTCCTTCATGTCCCTTCGATATTGCGAGACGCTCGACACGGTGGATTTAGTATCCACTGTCTGTTCTGCTGACCTTTGTTGTAGCTCTTCCAATCTCCAACGCGCGGAACATCTCCGGGCGCAATTATGGCATGTCCCTGTGGGGAAAGACGGCTAAAGTCACGGCTCAGCTTCCTGGTGGCTCAAAGAAACACTTCTTCCTCAAGGTACTGTAGACAAGCAGGTCAAGATAATTCGACAGCAGAGCTGACAATGCAAGGCCATGAGTCTTGGGGAGACAGGTCGCGCCATGATCCATGGCGAGTTCGAAAGCCTCAAGGCTATTCACGCCGTCGCACCTGAATTCGCCCCCGAACCCTACGGCTGGGGACAATACGATGACACGGAGTCGCCCACCTACTTCCTGCTCGCCGAATTCCGTGAGGTAGGCGAGCAGCCTCCTGATCCTGTCAAGTTCACCGCCCGCCTGGCTGATATGCATCGACGCTCAGTCTCTCCGACCGGCAAATTTGGGTTTCACATTACCACTTGTCACGCCAAACTGCCGCAAATCACCGATATCTGGGAAGAGTCTTGGGCGGTCCTGTATGCAAAACAGCTAGACCATATGATCAAGTTGGACGCCGAAAAGCATGGTATCTGGCCAGAGTTTCAGCATCTGTGCCGACTGACCGTGGAAAAGGTTGTCCCAAGGTTGTTAGGGGCGCTTCAAAGTGATGGCAGGAGTATCAAGCCTTGCCTAATGCACGGCGATCTCTGGGACGAGAACACAGCGACAGATATGGACACTGGGGAACCTTTTGTCTTTGACGCAGGCTCTTTCTATGCCCATAACGAGTATGACATCGGCAACTGGCGTGCCGCTCGCCACCGTCTGAGCAATCGTGTTTATGTCCGGAATTACAAGCGCAACTTTCCGGTGTCCGAGCCCGGTGAGTACTTCCTTCCGTGGATGTTGTGGGGTTCACTTTAGAGACTTGTACGCTTCCACTACAGACATGGCTGACAAGGGAATCGCTTCAGAGAACGAATGGGACGATCGCAACCTCCTCTACTCCCTGCGTTTTGACCTGGGCACCGCCATTTTGATTCCAGGGTGCAACATGCGTCAGGTGGTCAAGGACGGCATGGAGGTGCTTTGCAGGAAATACTGCCCGGCCGAACTGCGCCAGCCAAAGAAAATGCCGGGCCTGTATGACAGTGAGGGTAGCACGGACGAGGAAGAGGAGGAACACACCGACGGTGATGACAGCGACAGCGACTAAGTCTCGAGGCAAGGCACCCGTTCTGGCAGAGTTAGGCATTCCCAGCCACCTATGGAAGCCCTTGTATAGGGAGTATATAGCTAGCGGCCCCTGGGACCTCTGGACAGACGACAGAGATCTCTTAACCTTCCTTGATAGGTTCAGATGTCCGCAATAGCCTGCTCTGATCGCTCTGCGTGGGTTTATGGCGGGTTTTGGGACTTGTGTTCCTCCAACAAGCCATCACCAGCTGCTTCTCGAGCCCGTCTGAGTCCGTCTTGACTGCGCCGACCACATAGTGGTGATGCTGCCATAGGATGAGATACTTACCTACCTGGTACTAGAGGTAGCTATGGCTCAGCCTCGTACCTTCGCAGCCTCGCCTTGACGTCATCGAACCCAGAAGTTGAAGACCTCATTTTCGCCCAACCGGGTGCCAACCGTCTGTCCGTGACCACTAATCTCTCTGATCATCACACACAACGAGTGACTAGCTTTAGCAAAGCCTGCTTTGGGCTCTTTGAGGCCTTTCCATGGGTTAAAAATGGAAGAGATGCCTGACGGGGTCGACAAGTCTTGCTCGCCCAGTTTCCAATCAGATCTTGCCAGGTTCCCTGTTTTTCAGTAAACCTCGTTGTCATTTTGCTGGTCACGCGCCTCAACTTTATGTACCCATTGGAATTGGACTACACGTTCCTGAGAGCCCTGGCTAGGGTACACTGGCAGATAGAGTGGTGTCCAGGTCTCCAAGGCATGAGGTAGGACGTTGTGCAAGGGGGTGAGGCAGAATTCGACTTGAAGTTGGCTGGTGCCTCATGAGCAAACAAACAATTCCCAGTCACCACCCTGGTCACCGGTGACACTTCGAAAGAGGCGGCGTACCTCGTTTGAAACTTGCCTTCTTTCATATTTCTTTCAATCTCATCTCTCTCCTTCTCTCCTCAACTTCATCTCAAACAGCATCCCCAGTGAACAATTCGGGCACAAACCAACCATCAAAACAACCACCACGATGCCTGTCCTCTCGAGAGTTCTCTCAATCGTCCTGCGCATCGCGGAGCTGGCTTTCGCTGGCGTAAGTTGAGCAAGATCTACGCATCCTGACACTCAGCTGATTGTTATCTAGGTCGTGCTCGGCGTGACATCAAAGTATCTCCATGACTACCGATCCGGCAGTGGCGCGCCTCTGGCTCGCTTCATCTATGTCGAAGTCATCGCCGCCATCTCCATCCTTTTCGCTCTACTCTGGCTTCTGCCTTTCGCATCCGGCTTCTTCCATTGGCCGGTCGATCTTCTCCTCTCTTTCGCCTGGTTCGCGGCATTCGGCGTCCTGGTTAACTATGTGAATGGTCGGACAAACTGCGGCGGCGACACTTTCGATTGGAGCGGAATCAGACATGGTGGCACCTGCGGTCGCTGGAAATCAAATGAAGCATTCAGTTTCTTGTCCGCCATTCTCTGGATCTTCAGTGGTCTCGTTGGTCTCTGGTTCATCCATCGCGAGAGACGCAAGACTGTCCGAGCCACAGATGGAGCGTAAGCTCAAAATCATACCTGATGCAACCAAGTGTGCTTACGGTGGAAATTAGCTACCCTCGTCGACCATGGTTCGGTCGCAGTCGAGTCTAAGTGCAATTGCACCGGAAGTGAATGAATGGGATTGGACAGTCGAGATCATTGATGGATAGGGAGAAAGAGTTATTTCATTTTATGCTGGATAACTGATCCAACATGGAGTTGCAAGGAATGACAGCGTACTTTCGCTTTATGATACCCACTATGCAGGCTTGGGATACTGGAGATCGATTCACTCTGCATGAAGATAATGCCTAATCATTGAGCTGAGGATGGGAAGTGAATGCACTTGGTAGTAGTCCATGACAATTTTCCCTTCACCAACACTGCCTTCCTACTGCTTCATCTGGTCTCACATCGCACTGCCTTCGAGCGTCTACTTATGCATCTTCATCCTCTTCATTCTCTTCATCAAACTGTCATGGCGAACATCCTTGCATGCAGGCAAACGTTGTGCAGAGTTAAACATCCCACCCAGGTATCTGAGCAGCACCATGCCCTGTGATGGGCGTCTTATTTTGCTGACACTTTCTAGGTTGTTCCTCCCGACCGAAACAACGCATCCAAAACCTCCACCCTATCCGAACATGGCTCAAGACCACCCTGGCCTGGGCGTCCTCGTTCGACTGCCACGTGAGGTCCGCGACCTTATCTACGAGCATTACTTCGCTGGAGCCTTAGTCTACCAAGACTTCGAGCGCAAATCATTCGTGTCCCCTGATGCCATGTATCCAATGCGAAACATCGACAAGGACTTACTTGGTGTGTCAAAAGCAATCCGGGCGGAGGCCGAAGCCTTCCAGTACAAAAATATCACGCTCTCTATGATCCATCAGGGGATTCACCCGCCACAAGATTTGTGCGAGGCAGCCAGTGGTGTTATTGTGGACAGCTTGGTTCCGTTGTACTGGGGTGACTCTGGCAATGAGTTTCAACCTTTCGACGCTCGACGCTACAAGAACTTGACGATCTTGCATGTCCGAAAAACCACACGACAGTCTAAATGGGTTCAATCCGGCCCCATAATTCGGCTGGACGATTCAAAGATCAAGCAATATCTCCAGGATGGCCATCATGAAGATTATATCTCGGAGGCTATTCGAGAAAAATGGAGCTTGTTTGAAGATCCCTTTCCCGTAGTCAACTACCGGGGTCCAGGGCTCATTGTCAGGACGTCCGTGATAGCGTGGTTGACTGGAGATGGAACATCTGGGTTTGGGTCCCATTCCAATCGTGTGGTACGTAAATGACCTCTTGCGTCAAGCCTTATGGAAGCTGACCATACCGCAGAAAGTCACTCTAGTGGGCAAACCATGAGCATTGAGTGTATCACATATCTCGACCTGTGAGAGGACCAGATTTTCTCATCGTACTGCGAACGAACACAATCTGTCAACAGGGGTTTCATTGGAAAAGCCAACATCGGTGTTGAAGGCGTTCGGGTGCAATGGGCTGAATAGGTCTGTTATTTCTTTCAGGATAGGATGTAGAGTCGGACGTTTTTGTATGTGCAGGACAGACGATTGAAGTTGGTGGAGCAGATGTAACTTGGACCACCGTCCTCTATCTTGCTTTCTTATTCTTCTACCTTCACAGAGGCTCTGTCCAAACTAGAAGAATCACGAGCATTGAAATGTGGTCTGATCTTGCACTATTAAGTAACTCATTGCATGCTCGAATGTAGACGTGTCGAAGGTAGGTATACGTTCGGAGCGATACCTGACTGCTACGTATACAACCACCTGGTAAGGGGGTCTCAGCCTCGTGACAACCATTGCTTCCACGATTCCTCCACACCGACTCAACACGTTTTGCCTGCAGATATCCCACCTAGGTGATTCACAGCCTCAGCTCAAATGAGCCATACTCGAACCACTGCGAGTTCCCTAAGACTTTCACTTTACCTTCACCTTCACTTATCAGATGCAGTGAATCGATGATGGCTGCTAGCGGCCAATTCTACCTGCGCCCTCCTGCCACTGTTCTTCTCGCACACCATCCTCTCCATACTCAACTTCTCTCCTGCTGCTTACCTTGTCTCATCCATCGCCCCATTCGTTACTTTCCCATCTTCTTGCCTCATCATGGCATCCGAAGTGTCGCCAACAGTGGCCGCTCCTACAGATCTGTCTCAGTATTCGCCACCACCTAAGCAAACAATGCGTCAGCCGCCAACTTTCCTCACCCTTCCAGCAGAGATTCGATTGCGAATCTACAAGCTGTTGTTCGATGAGATCTGGGTATACGAAGATTACGAAGAAGAAGACTGCTGCTACACACACGACTGCAGCAGGTGTCGTTACGGGGACAATTTCGTCCCAGCCGAAGCAGATTGCCAGTGTAATAAATACCGCTGTGTCAACTGTCTCTGTCATTGCTGCTCACCTCTAAGTCTCGGTCTTCTCAGAGTCTGCAAATTCGTGCACAACGAGGCAAAAGCGGTCTTTGACAATGCTCCGCTGGCCTTGCAGCAGTTTGGAGCGATGGATTTCTCTTGGAAAACCGAATGCAGCTTACCTATACATCTTCGTTCACGAGTTGAAAAGCTTGTTGTCACTACGAAGTCCTTTAGTTATGGCTTACTTCGCTGTCATCTGGGTCTAACGGATTTCGAAAATCTTTGAACAATCTGGATGAAACGTCGGGACACTGGTTACACTCATTGGTTCAACCTCGAGTTCGAAGAAATACTCCAGGGCTATACCTATGACTTCTACCGTTTTGAGCTCTTACCTGGCCAGCTAGCAATCTCGATTGCCAGCCTTCCATTGGCCTACAGTGATCGACTCCAGCAGTTGATCTCAGCTAAAAGCGCCACGATCAAGACCGACTTCGAGTGCTCCATCGCGGTGGAGGAACGTGTTCTATGTCCGGATGGGAAGAAGGAAGTGGAGACGGTGAATATAGACGTACTCGGAGCGGTAGGGGTAGTTCTAGGAGTACGTCATGTTTGGGTCGCTAATTCAAATACAGGTCCTGGTCTGCGATTCGACTGTCTTGCGACTGGACAAATTGCCGAATCTTGCGAATGAACCTTGGTTCAAGGAATGGTCTCAGTATGCACGATTGGAAGGTGCGGCCCGATACAAGGATCCGTCTTGGAATGAAGAGGAACGAATGAAAGTCCAGCTAGACTTTGATGAAGACATGTGAGACGAGAGGTACTAGCGCGTGCCTGACTTCACCTGGGCTTAGCAATAATCTACCTGCGGTGGTCGATTTTCGAGTTTCGGATGGAATGTGGAGAGTAACGGGAAAGCCCATTCCGTAAGACTGGCGACATCAACGGCGTCTTCAGCTGCCTTGCGAGAAATCTCATGACAGGGCTTGTAAGACACGTCCCAAGTAATCCTTCATGCAATGAATCCAAAAAAGAATCTTGTCACATTGTGGAACCTGACTGCCGATGCGCTAACGCTACGGTGCTTTCCCTAGTTGTGCGGTGAAACCAGGAGATATGGTTCCCCTATAAAGCATCAATCCACGCCAGAGCCTCCGAAGGCTCCAGCCTATTCTTGTAGTCTGGGTCAATGGAAGTGTTGCGCACAACACCCTTGCCATCGACAAGGATTGTCGCGGGTATGGGCACGGCGAACGAGTCGTCCCCATTTCGACCCTTGAGATCATGTCCAGCACCGGCAAAGAAGGGACGCAGCGAATCTGGCTGTTGGAACACAATGCCTAGCTCTTTCGCGTACTTGTTTCCGACGTCCGACAGCACAGGGAACTTGAGCTCGTTCTTCTCGATCGTCGACAAAGTGTTGTTGGGCAGTTCAGGACTGATGGCCACGAGGGTGACGCCCCTGGCTTGGAACTCGTCCAGGTGCTTCTGCATGGCGGCCAGGGCCAGGTTGCAGAACGGACACCATTCGCCTCGGTAGAAGGTGATGAGCAAGGGGCCTTTGGCTAGCAGTTCGGTGCTCGACACCTCGGTCCCGACGGCGTTGCTGAGCTTGAATTCGGGAAGTTTGTCGCCGACTTGGATGGCGGATTTGGGGTCGTAGGACGCGATGAAATCGTTGGTGGCTCCGAAGAGAGCGTCTTGCACGGGCTTGGGGAAGGTCTTCTTGAACTGTTCGGTGACGCTGTTGAGCTGAGCTGCGAGAGCCATGACGATGTTGGACTGGACTGTTGGTGAGTAGTAGATTTGGGTTTGATTTCAGCACTGGTGAAAGAGTGGCCTGGTGTATCAAGAGTAGGATCTTACGTTGCTTTGCACGTTGGCCCAGGGTAGAGATCAAGGACCTACTAAATACTACTCGTAGTGCAACCGAACTTCACGTCTTTCCGGTCTCGGATGGAATTAGAGCGAGTAGAAGTCCCTCCAATATCCGGGGCAGGCAGGCTTACCTCAATTGTGTGCCCACGCCCTTCGCAGTCAAACGAAGTGCCGGTGATGGGAGAGTGGATGTGGCCGCGAAGAGGAAATCAACATACCACTTCAGGGATCTTTGCTTATCTCAGCTTAGGCTCGTGCGAATTGGAGCGAACCCGGCGACTTCGTTCGAGCATTCGGAGTATGGAGTAGGCGTAAGAGTAGATGGACGCCTTATTTCCGTCGCAATGTGGGTTGCATGATTCCATAATCTCGAAAAGCTCTTCCATATTCACAAATCCATGCTTTCTGACTATCCTGACTCCTGGGATGACTGATCGATCACTTGTGTCTTGATTGAACAGCATAAAAGCGAAATCTGTGGCGACTCAATTCGTTCCGGAGCACCGGGGCTGACATAAGCTCCTGGGATCGAGGGATCGTGGGATTGTGCAGTGCACCGGTGGTCACTCGCTCTCACACCCAAGCGACAAGTACTGAGTACACAATATGGCGCTGTCAACGTCATCCAGTGACTTCTCAAATACTACCACCACTAGTAGTAATCCGCCCAAGCGTATGCGCCTCGGGACGAAGAGCTGTACGGAATGCCGCAGGCGCAGAGTCCGCTGCGCGTTTCCGCTCAACAGTCGAACATGTGAAGCATGCAACCTCCACGAAATAGAATGCGTACCCCAGAGACCCAGCGGCCAGAGGAAATCATATCACAATGACTCGGAAAGGTCAGAACTGCAACAACGCCTGGGCAACTTGGAGTCCATGGTGCGACAGATCGCCTCGGCCATCAACCTCGACCCGGAAACGGCGACATGGGCTCAACTCCAAGCCGAGAGTCTGAGACGCCTTCGATCTCCTTCGACAGTAACCGCGGCAGAGTCTTGGGCCATCCCAACAAAACGAGGCTCGATAGCGTCGAGTGCTGAGATCCTCGATGATAGTTATTCGGACGATGTGGACCAGGATCAGGATCAATTCGGAGACGCACCTCTGGTCAGCCTCTTCAAGGACGCCCTGCACATAGAAAGGCCTCGTTCCGACAGGAAGCCAATAGGCCTATGCCCCGATGAGAGAATCAAGGCTTGTCTCTCATCTTTGGGACCATTTCTGCCGTCTCTCGACGATCTGCGGCTAGTTCTGGAAGCCAGCCAGATGTTTTGGTGTCTCTGGCCGATGCCGCCTCCAGGCCAGAACACCACAGGTCCTTCTCGTATACTCGCGGCGAGGGATTTCGTTGTGGACTCACTCAACTCAGGAAGACCTCCGATTATTGCAAAGGCCATTATCTGGCTGACGCTCTGCATACATCAACTTCCGCGCGACTTTGCATGTCGGGCAGAGCACCTTCGAAACTCCCCCCGTCCCGTATTGAAGCACTACTTGAATACCGCCGAGATTCTTCTCTCCTTCGATGATGCCGGAGCCTCTCATGGCAAAGACATGCTGGGATGTCTGCTGCTGCAGATGAAGATCCACATTGACATGGGCAAGCCACGAAAGGCCTGGCTTGCCATCCGACGTGCCCTGAACATGGGCTTACTTCTTGGGATGCAGAACCAGGAAAACACCACGGATGAGCAGAAGATCCTCTGGGCACACATCTGGCAGATCGACCGCTTCTTGTCGCTCATCCTGGGACTTCCGTGCGGGATATCAAACTCGCATCCCAGCCTGGCGAAAGAGTGTGCGGCACCGATGATCGAAGCACAGCTGATGCACGAATTGGCCATCATAGCCGGCCGCATCATCGAGCGCAACCAGAACCCCCAAACCATTAACAGTAACTACTCGGTCACCATGGACATCGACCAGGACCTGGAGCGGTGCAAGGCCCGAATTCCCGCTGAATGGTGGGATTCGGGTTTCAGCGCGGAATTGCCACTGGCGGCTGCTCATGCCCAACTGACGATCAAGCTGTTCTACTCTACGATCTGCAAAAGCCTCCACCTTCCGTACATGCTGAAAGCTGCTTCGGATAGGAGGTACGAGTTGAGCAGGGTATCCGCGCTGGAAGCATGCAGAGAGGGGATCCGAAGCTACCGGGCCTTCCGCAACACGAGCGGGCCGGTCCCGATCATATGCGACCTGATGGACTTTCAAGCCTTCAGCGCTACAGTCACGCTTGTCGTCGACCTGTTGTCATCATCATCATCATCGGGAACAACCTCTTCGAAACGGGATGCTCATGAAGAATCCCAGGATTGGAAACTTGTCCATAGCGTGAGCGGTGCGCTGCAAGAGGTGGCGAAAAGACTGAATTGTAACGTCGCTGGACAGGGGACGGATGTGCTTGAGCGCTTGTCCATGGCACGATATGGGAAATACCCCGGCGACTCCGAGACCTTTGAAGCGGTGATCCCGTACTTTGGCAAAGTGCGCATCGGCAGGGTGGCGAAGCCTGCTCCCGCTCCCGCTCTTGCTCCTCCTACTCCGCCGCCGCAGACACAGCAACAGCAACATCAACAGCAACAGCAACATCAGCAGCAACAGCAACCTCTTGGGTGGTCTGAATCACCCGAGCCATTTTCGTCAGGGAAAAAAGAAAGTCATCATACATCGTCAGTCGCCACGGTGGAATTCAGCCTCCGTGATCCGACGGCATCATACTCGTATGGTCAGGCATCAATGGAAGAATGGCTGTCCGACGATGCCGAACTCGGCATGGATTGGGAGTCTTTCGTCGATGTCAACACGAACTACGACTGGAGTCAATTCTTCGAGAGCGCCATGCCTGACTGAACTGACTGAATGATGCCAGAGATACCCCTTTTGCAGCATGCCCACGAGTACCGTGAATCGTCTCATCGAGGGGTCAAGGGAGTAGCCTTCATATGGCATGACACAGCACAGCACGAGCACGGGCACATTCAACTGAAAGGCGAGGAAAGGCAAGAGGAGCGGTAAGTTGGATATATTTGCCACAAACTTTCGGAGTGCGGGCTGGGAAGTCATGTATCCTGCCTCTTTCGATGCCTAGTTTGTACTAGACTCCATCTCCATAAGTATGAGGGTTTACTTGCTGCTTATGCGGGCACGTTATCTTCCCCCAAGCGTGATCGACGAGAAGAAGAAACGACATGGTTTCAAGGCGGCTTGCCCAGTATGCCCAGCAAAGCACACTCATGCAAGCAAATACGGGACAACAGGATACTCTTTTTTAATGCTTGAACAACTGAAGCACCTCATATGCAATGTACATTGCTTTCCGTCAAGTCGTACTCTGGCCACAAAAGGTATACCAACCAGTGGTCAAAATGCCACGTTCGAGTTCCAGATATATTTCCCGCAATGACCAATGTCGCGCCAATAGCCACCACCCAGCCCTTTTTTGGTTGCCCAACCCAAGATTCTTGACTCATAACTCTTTCAGACATGGACTTAGCCGCGCAGTGTGTGTGCGGGCAGGCACAGCTGCCGAACAAACAAAACACGTTTGAGATATAGTACTCGGCTCAAAATGAATCGTCACGTCTCCTCTCCGACGGCGTTGATATCGTCTCGTCATCGACGGTCGCCACGCTGTACTCCTGCGTATAATGTATGCCATCCGGCCTTCTCAGCCGCTCTTGACTCGATGGGCGGCTGGACTGCGTCTTCTCATGATCATGCTGAGCGTATATCGACGCGAGGTTGCCGACGGGGCCTTTGATGTTGTGCCCGTACGGTATCTGTGTATTACTGCTCTTGGCCTCTGCGTGGTGGTCTCTGTCTCCACCACCCGAGGAATCCGCCGAATCTTTCATCGTGTTGGGCACGGTTCCGTGTCCGTATTTGCCCGACCCGTACGCGAGCTCCAATGCTCTGTCGACGTGCAGACCTGTCTGCCTCGTCTGCAATTCCGTGACGACCCGTCGCAGGCTGGGCACGCAGGCTGTCACGATGCTGGCGAAGATCATGATCTGGTTCAGGAGCGTGGGGACTACGTTGTCCCATGTCTGGTCTCCGTTGGTCGTGCGTGTGGAGGTGAGAAATGGGCCGAGGGTCGCCAGCTGAGCGATAACGACGCCAACAACGCTAAAACCAAAACCGGTGGTGAGTACGACAAGTACCAGAAGGGGCATGCACCGGGGGAGGCTAACTCACCAGATTCGCGTGGCGAAGAGGAAAACGACAAAGACCTTTTTCTGTGTCTTTAACTGAAGGTCGTGCACCACGAAGATGGGAATGATAACCAATGCCACGTCCGTGAGAATGTTGACGATGCCGATGTAATAGTACAATGCTTTCTGGTGCACGGTCAGCCTTGTGTATTTGTTTCGCTCATACCACGCCGAAACAAGATCCTTACCAGATTGACACATCGAGACGACTCTTGAAGCCAAGGATTGGGAATGTCGCATTGGAAAGCGAGTGAGAACAACGAGGTCAATGCCCATAGCGCAACAGCTCCTTCCACGGCATAACAGGCAAAGCGCACTACTCGCATCGGTCGAATGGTCAGGATCAGTCGTGAGACGGCCATTTTGGCGAATAGAAGTGTGAAGATGGTAAGTAACTGGCTTGCGTAGTTGTACTGTGAAGTTTAGCATGACCGTGGCCGCCGTCGTAGAGGATTTGGAGGTCACTTACTCTGCTATATTCGAAGAAATCGTGTGAAGAAAGGGTATGTCGGTGTTTCCCCAGGCCATTGTTCCTCGCCAACTGTATGCATACGCATTGCGCGATCGCAAATACCTGAACAACGGTGGATTAGCGAAAGGCTCCATGACTTTGCACTTCCCAGGACCTACCAAAGATACGAAAATGGCGACATCGTCCACAGCAGTGAGTCGAGTTATGCTAACCCGTGTGATCGCCCTGGAGATCACCACGATGCCCGAGAAGATGATCAAAATGACATTGACAATCGATACCGAGACGCCGTGATCATTTGGAGAGGCCGCTTCGAAGGGAGCCGATGTTGGGTTCAGGTCCGACATATTCGCTGCATGTGCCTCGCGGTCGACGGTACCAGACAGATCTCACAGAGAGCAAGTAAAATATGAGTACTTGGATGACTTTCAGAAAGTACCCGTCTCTCGAGGTCGTGCCATGCACGTCTTGTGCCCAGATAATGGGGAACTGGCAGTGATAGAAAAAGTAGAGCAAAGTCCGTCAGGGCACATGGAGTCCGTGTCGATCACAGGATGTCGACCAACGGGGCCGGTGCCGAATGTCTCTTTCTCAGCACCCTTTTGCTTTGGGAATAGAGTTCACAGTGTGCATGCTCTGAAGGGAGGTGGAAATACGGGTCCCCATCTGAGTGCCCTTTGAGTCTTGACCTGGCGAGGCACAGGAATGCGATTCGTGAGCGGGCCTGAAATGAGACAAGAGGTGCGAAGCTTCGTGGAGCCTTCAAGATAATGGGGTTGGAACTTAGCTGGCTTGACCCACGACCTCAGACTCCCGCGGGCTCCTGCCGAAAGTTTCCAGGCAAAGCTCGCAAAGGAACAGGATGCAGTGGATGCTGGATGCTGGAAACGTCAGAAAAGTCAATTTTCTGACGGCTGGAGGGGCAGAGGAAGGGTTGGGACCTTCGTTGACGTGGTTGACCATGTTTGACTAAAGATTTTGCCTCCATCCACCCTCCATCGAGACTTTGGGCTAGTTGGAGTTGGGCAAGGATGGGCATGGATGGGCGTGGATGGGCGTGAATGGGCTGACCATGAGAGCTTTGACAGGTGGAGCTCGGACCAAATCAGCAGAGCAGAAATACCGAGTATTCATGCCAGCTGGAGGATGCTGTCAAGAGTTGGAGAGGTCGCCAAAAGCTGTAGTTCGAGTATCCAGAGAGGTCGATTCGGCTGGACATAGTCAACTGGTCGCGAGCACGGGGAGTGCATTGACTATAATACACAAACAGTATCATGAGACGAAGGAATAAAGTATAGAAGCGAGGTACATAAGCTACACAGGTTCAGACGAGCGACTAACTTACCGAACTCATCTGTGCATGATGGTACTTCCGATATAGACCAAGATGGGCCCGTGTCCCTTTAGTTAGCTGGCACAGCTGGGAGCGGACGAACAGCTGGGGCTCTTAGGGCTCACACACCCAGCTCCACCTCCACCTCAACCAACCCACTACGTGGTAAGTTAGTTAGTAGTTACCACAGTTGGCGTATCCCGGCGGCGGCTCTTGCATTGAAACAACCGGGCCGAGAAGAATGATCACTGACCAGTGTCCACTGCCTACGGAGTAGCTGACAGATGTCATCCAGATGTCCCGGTTATCGAAGCGACACTCGACCAATCGTCCAGCCTCGTCCGACGCACCATCCATCAACTGCCCACCACAAAGCACATGCAAGCACATGCAAGCCCATGCAAGCCCCGCTAGGCATCTACCGGAACCAAAGCCAAAATGCCAACGAACAGGTCGACAGCTTGAGCTACATGATTCAAAGACTTCGACCGAGCGAAGACTAGAATGCATGAACGAAAACATATCCTTGTCCTGTCCTGTCCTGTCCTGTCCTGTCCTGTCCTGTTCTCTCCTGTCCCACAGACCTTCCCGGCCACCCCTTACGCTCAGCCTATCTCGCATCGTTCACTTTCAGGCACTCGGCCAGTGGACACAATTCCAGCCACGAGGTCAACAACCATCGAGACTTATCTCCAAGCGGTAAAGCATCGACGGGGTTCCCCATCATCCCTTTTGCGCGAAGAGAAAACAACCAGGATTCCCAGCCAGCGAGCGTTACTACCATAGGCTAGAGCTCCCAATTCCAAGGGACTGTACGTGCCGTGAAGATCTTTCTCTCCCCCTCAAAATTCTCGAGAAGCTCAAGCCCTGTCTTTTGCTCTCCTCAATACTTTCTTGAACAATTTTCTCGTTTGGTCTCCTCGCATTTGTTTGCCAAAGGACGAACAGACATCATGGATCACGGCAACGATATGGAACTGAGTCACCGGCCAAAGGCCACCGGCCGCGCAGGCGACGCCGACGCCGATGCGCAAGAATATGGCGGCTCCAAAGGCGCCACGCAACAAGGCCGAGAGATTCGCACATCACCCCAGACCTTGGATGTATGTAAAACCAGCATTCACTGGAAAACCACCATGGCTCAAACTGACACCACCTCGTAGAGATATATCTCGTTTTTCCCGACCATTGCATTTCCCGCCACGTTGCAATCTTCCTGGGAAGCTCTCGCGGTCAGTTTCCAAGCCGGTCTGCTCAATGGAGGCCCGACAGCTCTGGTCTGGGGCACGCTACTATGTATTGTCGGGAGTCTTGCTCTTGCGCTCTCCCTGGCTGAAATGGCATCCATGTACGCATATTTTTGGTTTCTCGCATCTCCATCTCTACTGGAATCTGACACGTTTGGCTTTTAGCACTCCCGTGGTCGGCGCACAATACCGTTGGTCAGCCTTGTATGCGCCTCGTGGATTCGGCTCTCCGGCCTTTTGGAGTTTGCTGCAAGGATGGATCACCGTGTTTGCATGGATGGCCCTCTGCGCTCAGGTGTGTTTCTTGGAGGGAACTGTGATCCAGGGCTTGATCGCCCTGAACAATCCCGACACATATATCCCGTAAGTGTTGACGACCGATGACCACGCCCCATATCCCGTTCAAATCTGGATCGAGAGACAACACTAACAATGCTTTCTCTCATCAGGCAAGGCTGGCATGGCACGCTACTGGCATGGGCAATTCTCGCACTCCCGCTTTTCTGCAATATTTGGGCGCGCCGGATTCTGGCCCCTCTCGAGGTTCTCGGTGGCATTGTCCATGTCGCCCTTTTCATCGTATTCGTCGTTGTTCTGGTGGCAATGGTACGTTTTCACATTTGTCTTGCTTTCATTTTGGTCTGGGCAAGGTTGACTCACAGAAGACCTTAGTCTCCTCGCAGCTCCGCCGATTTCGTTTTCAAAACGACCTTTACCGGACTCAGTGGCTACAGCAGCGCGGGCGTACAATGGAGTATAGGACTGCTCAGCGGAGCGTTCCCTCTGGCTGGATTTGATGGCGTCCTTCACAGTAGGTTTTTCTTCCTGCCGAACCTCATCCGTTGCATACCATCGTAGATTTATACGGGGGCTGGCCCTATGGGTATAGGACCCCCTTGTTTGAACGTCTACTGACTTCTTGCAGTGGCAGCCGAAGTCAAGAACGCGCCCACGGTGGTACCAACTAGTATGGTCTTGTCGGTCCTGATGTAAGTCTTCTCCGCGTGAGACTTTCCCTTTCCGTTCCAAGTCCCTTCCGGCTATAAGATAGTCGACAAACTTTTCTAACATTCCCTTGCAGCAACGGCATTCTAGCATTCGCCTTCATCATCACCGTCCTGTTCTGCATAGGCGACCCAATAGCCGTGTCCGAGACCTTGACGGGCTACCCGATCATCCAGATCCTGTACAACTCGACCGGGAGCACCGCAGCAACCACGGTTCTGATGACTTTCCTGATCTTCATCGGCGTCGTCGCGGTGTTTTCATCTCTCGCATCCGTTTCCCGTCTTACTTGGGCCTTCGCCAGGGACAAAGGTCTCCCATTCTCAAACTTCTTCGGACAGGTATGGTTGAGCCACAACCCGCAAACCCAAGGTCCTCTGGGGTCTGATTGCCATTCCATCATTCAACTGACATTGACAACCCTTTGCTTGCTATAGGTCCATCCAACGCTCCGTATCCCGCTCAACTCGCTGTTGCTGATCACCATCATCGTCGTTCTCCTGCAACTCATCAACATCGGCAGCACAACCGCCTTCTTCGCCATCTTATCGCTGAACACGCTCGCGCTGTACCTCAGCTATCTCATCCCCATCTTGTTCTGGATCATCCACAAACTGCGCGGCTTCCCCGTCCCGTACGGTCCATTCAAGGTGAGTTCTTCTCTTCCATACCATACCTACTTCCGCGTTGCCCTTTCTGAGGTGTCTTGTCTCTCTCGGAGGCCCTCGCTGTGTGTCTTACCTCCATTCCCTTCTATGTATCTCATCTCATCTCATCTCCCCGTCTCTTCGAGCATACAACGTTGTCTCCTGAGTTCCTGACTGACCACGCGTTTTTGTGTCATCACATAGCTCCCACGCGGCCTCGGCTTGCCCATCAACTTATTCGCCCTCTGCTACGGCATCTACGTCGCCATCTTCCTGCCCTGGCCATCCGTCGTGCCCGTGACGGCGGCGACGATGAACTACGGCGGTCCCGTCATGGGCGCCGTCATCATCTTCGCCCTACTCGACTGGGTCATCGGAGGCAGGAAGCGCTTCCAAGTCCCCGTCGACGTGCGGGCTCGGACCATAGACGAAGATTCTCTTGCTTCTTGAATATGTATACATGTGCACACGGGGGAAAAAGGGGAGGGGGAACTTGTTGTTGACTACTACTAGTAAAGAGATTTCTCTCGCCTCTTGAACATGCACACAGCAAAAAAGAAGGGTGAAGGGCTTGTTGTTGACTACCTGTGGCGTGGCCTGTGTCTCTGTCCGCCGGAAGTTGAGAAGAACCCTCTGCAGAGTCCAGACACACCGTAACGGCGTACAGTCCACCAGTAGTACTAGTAGGATGTCTTCTTCTCCGTTTCCCTTTTTGCTCTTTTTTACGAGACTAGGCTAGCACGTGCGCAGCGCATGCGCATGCGCATGCGGTCTCACTACTCCGTAAGGCGGAACGAAACGAATGCACGCGCGTGTCAGTGAACGAACCCCCTGCAAGGCAACTACGACTTCGAGTTTGTATATCCCGACCCGAGGGCTGGAGCTCGGATCGGGATATCAGCCATGGTGAAGAATGGTGCAATTCTTGACCAAGTGCAGCGCAGGCGTGCGTAGCGCATAGTAGCACTAGTATCTAGCCACTCACCCACTTTCCCTGAGTTCCTGTGGTTCCTCTAGATCGCACTCCGTATACAAGTCCTATAGTATTCGCTTCGAACCCGAACCCGTGCGCACAGAACCCACTGTGGTGCCTACTATGGTAGTAGTACTCCGAGCCGGAGAGTGCCGCGCCATACGGAGTACAGTATCTAACACAGTAACTTGCACAAACCAGCAGCTGCATCAAGCGGTGAGTAGTCCTGTGTACTGTGTGCCACAATAGGAACTTGCACTATAGGAACTACTTGTACAAGAACTACGTACAAGAACTACGGGCCTCCTGTGGGCGCACTTGCCTGTCAGTACGCGTGGTGAGTGTGAGTGTCCACGGACGTCGAGGGGCTAGCGTGATGACAGAGTTCCAGAGCCACAAGTGCTTTTGCTAGCAGCCAGACCGGCGCCTTCTGAACATAATACTACGTACTACGGAAGTATGTACAGTAACCGGCCGGCCGTCAGGCCTAGTGAGCCCTCTTCCTAAATCTCACCACCGGGCCCTCCCTATCCGCCACGAAATGGTCCCACAACTGGTATACGTGCCGTTTGCCCCTGACTTGTGCATGTCTCGTCGTGCCCTTGTCCTTGCCGTTTCTTTCGGCTTCCTGTTTCGTCGTCGTCGTCGTCGTCGTCCCAGTCCCAGTCCCAGCCGCGAATTCGTCACGTTCGGGCTGCTCGGCTCTCTTCACATCAAAGACCCACAACAACGTCGCCAGCGCAAGACTGGCCTCGAGATACGCGACTCGCTTCCCTGCGCACCCTCGTGGGCCAATACTAAACGGACAAAACGCCGCCCGTGCCAACGCCACGCTTTCTTCTTTCTCCTTCGCGGCAGGGGTCGCACCACCACCACCACCATCAGACGGCACGATCCACCGATCGGGATCGAATCTGAACGGGTCCGGGTAGTACTCGGCATTGTGCTGGATCGTGAATGGCGCAACGCCCACGACCGTGCCCTCGGGCACATACTCGCCGTCAATCTCCATGCCGCCCGACAGGACCTCACGAGGCAGATGCGACGGCACGGGCGGCGACATCCTCAAAACCTCGTCGATGCACGCGCGCAGGTACGTCAACGAGCTCAACGCGGGGCCTGATCGGATCTCCTCGACGGTGCGGAACGTGCCTCGAATCTCGTCCGTTAGCCTCTTGAGGACTTTGTCCTCTTGCGTCAAGTAGAACGTAGCCGCACTGAGCGTGAGAGCTGTCGTGTCTGAGCCTGCGTGAATTAGCAGCGCGGAGTCGGCGTGCAGTTCGTTGACGCTCAATCCCTCGCCGGTCTCTGGGTCGCGAGCGTGAAGGAGATAGTAGATGAAATCTTTCCTGCGGGGATTCGATGCTTTGGTGTCGTCGTATTGGCGCTCCTCGGCCATGCGCTGCTCCATCATGCCGTTGGCGTATTTGATGTAGGCTTCACCCTGTTTGGCGTCGCTCGTGAATAGCATCGACGCCCAACTTGTGCCGAGCAGCGGACGGACAAGGTCAATGAAAGGCCAGAAGCCCGCCTGTATTTCATTTTAGTTCAATACCATCAGCTGCGTGAAATCAGGGGGATTAAAATATACCACGTAGACGAATTTGGTAGCTTCCAGGACAACCTCAGGCACGAATCTATGCTCGCCCTTCTCGACGCAGCCGAAGCCCTTGCCGAACGTGAGGTCGCCCATCATGTCGAAGCTAAGCCAGTTGCACCAGTCCTTCATGTCTTTTGGTTCGGTCCATCCAGTGTGATCCACATCAGATCCCAGGATGTCGACCCAGGCCTTGACATCCTTGAGGATGAGATCTTCGTCACTTTTGATCGCCGAGTCTGAAAAGGCTTGATCGATGACTCGTCTTCGGAACGCATGTCGGTTCTTGTCAATCTCGGAGTGCAGACTAAACGCTTTCGACCCGGCGTCGATAGTTTTGTACCAGTCCGACTTTCGTACGTTAGACCTGCGACTGCTGTAGATGGCTTTCAACGCGGTCGCTGTGTTGTAGGATAACGCGTTAGGTCCAATTCGAACAACAGGGCCTGATCAATAGCGTAAGCACCGATGCAGTAGCCATTCCAGTCACGAGTCACCACTCACCATACTTGTTGTGCTCAGCCCACGTATCGAGATGCCGATCTCCGCTTGTCGCTTGCAAGACGATTGACCAGTCGCTGATCTTGCTGAGAAATGGTCCGGGGTATTTTGCCAGCGGATGCAGAGTAAGTCGATATATGCAGACCCCAATGATCTAAGTCAACAGGTCAGTAACGACCGCAATGTTGGGATCAGTACACTCACATAGATAACAACAGCCAGCGTCAAGCTACCTGTCACTTTGACAAACTGCTCTGTCCATGACTGTAGTTCGGCGTCCATCAAGCACACCAAGAAGCGGTCCTTGTCCTATCGCAGGCCGAAGTAGGCAGGTAAAGGTGGTCCAGTCCTCTTAAGGCGTAATACGAGGGGTTATCTAGGCTTCAAAGGCCCTGGGAAAAACTGATTCCACGCCTACACGGTGGCCTATAGACTAGAAAAATAGACACAGCGGGTAAGAAAGGCCAAAAGTCCGAAATCACTGGTGATTGAGAATATGCGAGTTCCGCAGCCTTACGCCTCGCCGTAGTCGAATACCGCGGATCACAAGCGACTACAGGGCAAATATTGCTTCTTTCGCCCTGTTGACGACCACACTGTCAGGCAGTCACCGCACGGGAGTTGGTGGGAAGACACCCATGTCCATATGTCTAGACACAAGGGCTGCAAGTCAGGGTCATTGATCAAGGAAATGCACTTTTGGAAAATAAGACAAGAACTCTAAGATGCGATTGCTAATATGAGATCTAACAAGCATTTCTTCCGTATAACAGGAGAAGATTCAGGGCCACCCATGTCAAGGAAGTGGAGAGAAACGAAGGAAACTGCGGGCAACAAGACCCGCGCAAAGTGCAGGTGTCGGGAAAGAAGCCATTGAGGCCCTGACACCTTTGCTCACTGCTGCGCACCATCAGTGGCATACATACTCGCCTCGCCTTTCGCCATATAATCAAAAGACTCTTCACTCGTCGTTGTGGCAGGAGGACTCGGTGTCCCGTCGCTGCCTTTGCTCATGGAGGTTGTAGATTTTGCTTCTTCATCTTGCGAATTTGAAGCAGCCAATCTACCTTCCCAGAGCACCCCATCTCCGTAACCCCAACCAAGACCCTTTCTTGTTCGGCGCAACTCTTCCTCCATCAGGCCAAGACTCGCGCCTTTTTGTCCGCCTTGTCCATGAACTTGGAGAGGGAGATTTCTTTTGTGCCACTCACCCAAGAACATGCCGTCAGGGTCACTCTCATCGCGAATTCTCAGAAAAGCGGACATGTCCTTCCCATACATCGCATCAATGTGATCGCTAGTCGTGTAGGCAAAGTTTTTGGCCCAGTGCGGTCGTGCGCCCATTTCACGCATCAGGTACTCGAAGGCTTCATAGTATCTCTCGTGGCAGGGCGGATCCTGGCCGTAAGGCCGGTACAGTGTGGCATTGAGATAGAGGGTCGGTCCGTCAGGAACAGTCGGGTCGAGGTAGGGCCGTACCACAGATTTGGTATTTGTATCGTCCCGACCTGTATGGGTGACACGGACTTCCACTGGACAGTGTACCCAGATGCCCTTGCTGGAGACAGGGATCCGCGCAGTGGCGTCATCATGGTTGATCCAGGCTGACAACCGGCGAATGGCTTCAGGCCCCTTGGACAGCGGAAGCGCCCACTCGTTCACGAATTGTGAATACAAACAGTCCATCAGTAGAGCTTCGCGAGCCGGTTGCACAGCAGACATGGTGAAAGTGCCCGGCTTAAAGCCGTACTGCATGCCGAAGACGAACCATTCGACCCAGGGGAGAATCCGCGGAAAGGAATTCGACAGCCACAGCAAGTTGTGGTAGATGTAGTAGCCAAGAGCGCCGCCATAAAAGGTAGTGTTGGGAGGACGAAGAGGGGATTCCGTTTTAGACCCTTGCCAGATGACTGCCTGGTGCATATATGGTAGCCACCACACCCGAGTGAATTCTTTCTCTGTCCACAGGTCCTTATCCCACGAGTCAAGCACAGACGAGAGCGTATGAAGGGATTGTGACCAAGAGATGTTGAAGTCAGGAACAGCTTGCATGGTAATTTCCACAATGATGCCAAGCGAGCCGAGCGATAGCAGTGCCGCCCGAAACAGCTCGGAGTTCTTGGTCGCGGAACATGTGACAAGTTGAGAGTTGGACAAGAGTACGGTCAGGGATGTTATTGACTCGGATAGCAGACCATGCTTGAGGCTGGAACCGTGAGTGCCGGTTGATATGACTCCCGCAACAGACTGAACATCAATAGATCCGAGATTCGGGAGAGTATAGCCATCTTCGGCCAGCGCAAGATTGAGGTTGTGGAGCGACAGTCCGGCTTGGAAGCGAATAAGACCAGGAGTGCCATCGACATTCCTTTCGAGGACGAGAGATAAGTTGTCCAGATTAATGAGCCAGGAGGAGGTACACGTTAGATCAGATGGCGAATGGCCAAACCCCGTCACACAAAGCCGTTTGCGACATCTTCGCGCCAGAGTCACAATTTTCTGTAACTCGGCAACAGTCGAAGGTTGGAAGTATAGCTCTGGTCGGGAGAAGAATGTCTGGGCCCACGTATGATGCAAATAGCGGGTTTGTGGGTTGAATGGAATGGAATCATCAAGACGAGACAACTCTCGCTGGAGTTTGGCATCTAGATTGACGGCGGAGGTGGGGCCTGATGAGAGAGGCGAAGTGTTGGGATTTGTATGTGGCAGATTCGGAGCCGCCCAATCCATGTTGTCGAGGTAGAAGAGCAACTATCAGCTCAGTAACACTGAGATCAAAGCATGATTGATCAGGAGAAGAAGAGGATGATTGCGGATGGCGGTGAATCGAATCGAAAGGGAGGTGAAAGAAAATGGTTTTCGTCGCCGATAAATCATGACGCGACGTCGGAGGTTTTGGTGTAGATAACCCGATATCACATTATGTAAGCAGCTGTTGATTGGTGAGACGGCCAATATCATGTTCCGAGTCTAGATCTTTCCTTATCTTTCCGTGCTTTCCTTATCTTCACGTGCTCTCAGCCCATTGGACTTTATCCTACGTTGGAGTACAGCGAAGACTGTGGTAGACGACGACGACCCAGTCGCCGGAATATTGCTCTTGTCCTCCACAGACCACATTGACTTTCATTTGAATTCGGTAGAATGTCCTTTCCATAGCTCATCGACAGTCTAGCTTCTCGCGTAGCAACCTCCAACATATACCCATCTCATTTCATTCGTCCGTCTCAATTCTGAATCCGACTTTTGGCCCAATCGTCCGTCATACAAGAAAGGGTAAAAATGTACAATAATGACCTTGTCAAGAAAAGAAGCGTTAGAGTTGGTCTCAAAAAAGGACACGAATTCGTCATGCCCAATGTGCGATATGAATATTCGTTTACAAGGTAATGCCAAGGTCCCCCAGGACTTCTTCGACCCGTATACACAGGGCCTTACACGAAGCTGTTGTCCGGTCCGGTCTCCATTTCCGAAAGACATCTTTGATAATTTGAGGAGGATCACCCATCACAACATAACAAGCAGGCAAGAGTGGTCGGTCTTGTATTGATGGTGCAAGAACAGCAATTTCTTGTGCAACTTGTACCGCGGTGACAAATTCCGCCGGTTTTTTGGCAGAAGCACCAACGAGCCTATGGATATCCTGGTCAGCAAAGCATAGTTGCGAGTTTCGGTGGGTAAAAAACTTACACATAGAGCTCTTCGTATATGTCAAGGAGATGTATGTGATTGGGGTCCAGATCTCTCTGGGTGAATGGTGAGATTTCCTCCATGAGCGCACTGTTGGACTGCTTCGGTGGTAAGGCCGACCGCAAACCCCAGAAGCCACTTGACGATTTCGGTCGGTCGTGTTCAACACGGTACAGCTTAGGTAGACAGCTCCTTGCTTCGCTCGACCCGGGGAGTCTTTTCGTTCGTGATATTCTTGGAGATTGGGATGAAAATGCCTCCCAGAAACCTGCAGGTTCCTGGCCTTCGGAAACCTCTTCAATCTCTCCAGTGAGACCCAAGTCCATGCCGATAAGCCTCGCACATCCAACATCTTGTTGATTGGAGCCGACCCCCTTCCATAGGTAGAGTTTCCCAAACTTGGCAGATATTAAGAAAGGAAATCCGGAAGCCAGACTGGAAGTAGAAAAGGCAACCTCGTCAAAAGCGACGTGCCCGAGGTGCCGTTTACCACACAGCATATACAACGCCGAGGCCTTGTTTCTTCGTATAATGACAATGCCACCCAGTGCCTGAAAGAACTCCGAGCTTTCTTTGCCCTGCTTGACGACCTGTAACTTGGCATTGTTGTCGCGGGCAACCTTTCTGCAGAACAATTGAGCATCCTCGACAGCCGCTTCAGGCACCTCGTCTCCACACCAAAGATAGACTTCATTCGTCTTCGAACCATTCGACGACTGCATGGAGTGTACCGACAAGTACATGCAGTCTTCGAAAAGTATGTGCTCTTGTTGAGGTGGCATGGGTGTCCTCTTTCCGTCACCAGTCACTTCCCAGATCTGATTTGAGAGTGTCTTGGGCTTTTCTGCTACCTTGTGCTGAGAGATCAGGAACGCCTCTGTGTCAAAGTCCGCCTTTTCCTTCGCTTGAGGCAGGCTGCCGAAGAACGTTTCGAGCCGAGGCTTCAGTGTAGAAGACGACTTAGATGGTAACGAAGCCTTGCTTGGGGATGACAATATCCGAGAGGAAGCAACTTCAACCTCGGGTGGGGGTGTGAGTTCCGGTGTGGCAGCTACTGTTTTGGACGACGCTCCTAGCTGCAACCCGAGGCCATTGACTCTAGAAGCGGGGGTGGTGATGGCAGGCTTTGCTGGGCTTTCGATGATCGGCTTCGATGGTCTTGGTGTGTTCAGCTTGGTCTTGCTAGGTGTTAGCGGCATCTTCGAGCTCTGAGCCGGAGTTTGCGACGTCAACTTTCTCTCTCCGTCCGACTCTGGAGGTGATGCCACAGGTACCGGCCGATCAGTCAGGATTTCGAACTTCTTAGGAGTAGATGGTTTCGCAGCAGCGCCGTCGATGCCGTTGGAAGACGTGGTGGATTGCGAGACCTTTCTCAACTCCGCGGACTTGTTTGCTACAGCTGGTCGCGGCTTTGGTGCTGCGCTTGAAGTTGGTCCTGTCGTCATGGAGGAACCACCGTCAAATTGGTCTGCGACCTTAGGTCCTCCTTTGACACTTTCAGGTTCCGGCAGGACTCTTTGTGCGTTGTCGCCGGATCTCCTTGGAAATGCTTGCGGGCTGTCCGCCTGCGTATTCGGCTTGCTCGGCGAAGGCTTAGGACTGAAAGATCGCGAGGGTAATGAATTGGTCGCCTTCGGCACAGACTTAACAATGGAAGGGTTGTCTGCAACCGTGTTGGCTGACCGTGACGCAGCCTCTTGCTTCTCTGGTTGTGTAGTATCTTTGGATGACGAACTGGAATTCGGCACTCTTCTTTTGGGACCTTTTGCTCGACCCTTCGTCATGTGTGTCAATTCCTGGGCACTGTTAACTGCACCTTCACTGGAAGAGCGCTCAGTGGTCTGGCCTTCGCGCTGCCCACTAGTAAGAGATGACTGGTCTGCAGAAAGTTTAGGACTGGCGCTTCGCGACAGCAAGCCAGCAAGCGCAGGGTTCAGCCGAGCTGCAATCTTACTATTCTCGGAGACCTTTGGTTTGATGCTAGCGGCCGATAAAGGTTCGACAGCATCAGCAGCCTTCCCTGTGTCCGGTAGCTGTGGTTGGATTCGACTTGACAGCACAACTGGCTTGGCGAACGTTTCTGGTGCTGCTGCTGCTGTCACCACTCCATTATGATTATCTGCAGACTTCGACGGTGTGCCGACTGTGACTTGTGCAGGCGCAGATGATCCTTTCTTTAGTGCCGCAGACTTTTCGGGCCCAATGTGGGCTGCCGCTGCTGGAGCAGTTGTCTTACTTGGAGGATCAAATGTCTTTGCGGCATCGACCTTCTCGGTAGAGGGAGCAGTTTTGTGTAAAGTCTTGCGCCTCGCCAAGGCCTCAGGGACAGAATCCGCGGACTTGTCAAGTAATGTGACTGGTTCAGGATGCTTTCCGATCGATCCCGCGGCTGTCTTCATGGCATCCTTCTTTTGTAAGATGCTTTCTTTGAATTCGTCGACACGTTTGGTCTTTTGTGGACCTCCTGTAACGCTCAGTGCAGCTTTGCCTCGGGTGATATTGTCTTTGAGCGTGTCCGGTGCGACATAATGTTGAGTCTGAGTCCGCTTTAACTTGCCAAACACTGCTTTGAACTCGGGTTCGGAACCGTTACCGGCCGTGGGCGGAGCCTGACGCGACTTGAGATTCGTTCTGAAATCTGTTTTAGGCGGTGTCTGCGGCTTAGGTTTGACATTGGGAGGCTTGGTATCTGATCGCAGTTCGACCTTCTCGACAGAGTCCTGCTTCGGCCCTGCATCCGGGGCAGCTTCTTCCTTCTTGTCATTGGATGACGTTCGAACGGACATAGGAGTGATGTTTCTCTTCGACGGAACAGTCGGTTTGCCCTCTTTTCCCTCTATTACAGGCTGCTTGGTGGCCGAAGAAGCGTCCATCTCTGGCTTTGAAGACAACACCGGCGCACTTCTGTTGGACGCGCCACTTTTTGGCATAGAGATACTATCAGTTTTTTCGGAAAGCAGCTCCCTTCTTGGTGATACTGACCTTAAGGGAGGTGACTGAAGGACTTCTGTTGCTGTGGCCGGCTTTGAGCCAATAGAAGCTGTTTCAGTTGCCTGTGCTTGCTGTTCGGCTTTGGAGCGTTGCATGTTCAGCTTCCATGCGGGTATCTCTGGCTTAGCTGGCGTGAATCGGGGCGAATCTGGCTTGTTCAATGCACTCTCAAGCCAGCTCGCTTTAGTTGGACTCCAGCGACGAGGGTCCATGGTCTTTGATGGACTTCGGGCCAGTGGCGATTCCGGAGGCGGTGGGGTCATTGGCCGAGCCTTGTGTTGTTGGGAGAATGAGGTGGATGGCTCAGCCTGCTTTGATCCTATGTCGGCTGATTGCGAAGCTTGTTGTGACTCGGCTTCATGGGTTTCTGGTTGTGGCAGTGGACGGCCTCTGATCATAGGCACAGCGTCGGAAACATGACTGGAGACAGGTCTCGAGCTCGATAACGGGGAAGAATTGCCTTCCATGAAAGCTCTAGCGTCTTTCGAAGAATTCCGACTGTGGCCAGGACTGAAACCAGACACTCCAGCGAGATGTGGTGGTCGGGCATTTGCAACAGAGTCTCCCCGTTTCAGGCCGGCATTGGCCTGGACACTCCATCTCTTGCTCACACTGTCAGATCTCTTCATCATTGCGCTTTGGACAAAGCCGCCTAGACCTTTAGTAGGAGATGGAGGGCGCTCCGCCGAAGAGAGCACACTGGAAGTCCGCCCAAGCGCAGGCAGGTCTACATCTGCGGTTGTTGTAAGGCCCAAAGGCTTAAATGGCGGCAAGTCCAGTGTTGGAGACCTGGAAGGTGAGGAGACCATAGAAGCTGGTCTTATGGGCAAGGAAGGTTCTAGGACGGGTGTCTGTGCGTGGTCCAATGTTGGTGTAGGGGCCTGCTTGGGAGGCGATGAAGAGAGGTCAGGGGAATGTGGCTCGTCGTTCGCACGGTCTTCAGCACGATTGGAGGCTTTGGACATTCCAGGAAGCCTCATACTCCGGCTGGAGAAGGACGCAGGTCTGTCCGTTTCACTGTCATTCTTCCGGTATGCCGCCGAGTTCGACCCTCGGTCCGCGGTTTGGCGGAACCACGAAGGATCTCTCGCCCCCAAGGAAGCCGCAATCTCTTGCCTTGACATTTCATCCATGTTCTTTGGCTGGTCAGGTTTTGGGCCTGGACTGATGTCTGCAATTGATGCTACCGATTGTGGTCTTGACCTGAATGAACCAGTCCCTCTGGACAAGGGTCGTTGTTTCCATGATAGCGTTCCGCTTCGCGATAGAGCAGTTGCATTCGTAGGCGGACTCGGCATGGACGGCTTTTCAGCTAGAGGGTGGGGAGGGAGAGGCCTCGAGAAGTCGAGGGACGTGACGGAAACGCGATCTGCCTTTGGCGACATAGAACCGGCGCGCCCGAATGTCCGAGATTGAGAAGGGGGCGTGAGGGCGACTGGGGGCTCGATGCCTTGACCGGGCTTCGGTGCAGTCTCGCCCACGGGGCGCAAGGAGGGCATTGGACCGGTCTTCGAAGGGGAGAGAGAACGCGCACGTTCTATACCATTGTCAGCGTCTCCAGGGCTATAATTTGCCTTAGAATAAATGCCTACCCGCTCTTCTAGCCTGTCTTTCTTTTCTAGCTTGCAGCATCTCTTCCTCCATTCTTCTCGACCGTTCTGCCTCCTCTTGTCCCTGCTTCGAGTTCAAACTCGCAATTCGAGCCAGGAACTGGTCGACGGACTCCGATCCATCCTTTGACGCGTCCATGATTAAGTCCGGTCATGCAACCTCTCGAGAGTAGACAATTGAAAGGGTAGTATGAGCTAGAGCGCATTCATCGCTCGGAGACGTCGTAACGATGCAATTGGTTCGAAAGAACGGCCGGCGCTCATCGAGGGTGAAGCGAAAGAATATGAGTAGCGAAGGAACGCGTATGAAGCAGAGGTAGGCCGGCTGAGCAATTTGCAGAGATGAAATTTTGTGGAGTCGGACAAAGATGGAATTGTGTATATTGTTTTTCTGCCAGTGTTGTTGATGTCGATTGTTCCGGGCGTTGCGCAGGCAAAGGACTTGGAGCGCGTCTCCGCAATGCAGCTGGAAACTCAACTTTAGGTAAGTTGCGGATCCCCCTCTTCCTCTCTTACTCTTCAACTTCACTCGGTGCCCTCTTCCTTCGTATGAACATTGTTGGTGACGGATTTACGTAGATGCATATATCCATTGATGACCCTGAGGAGGCCGCTGCGGTCTCGTGTCTGGCCTTCCGTCCGCGACACAACATCCGGCCACATTGCGGCCTGTGTGTCTAGCAGGGGACCCATGCGCCTCCCAAGCGCTTGTTTCGCATTTCTCAGACATGGCGTCTTCGGTGAATATGATTTGAATACCTCCTTTCTACTGATGATGAGTGCATCATCTCCCACAGTCGTCGATATCAATACAAGAACAGCCGGTCTCTGGCATCCTGAACCACCCAGTCCAACCCTTTCTCCAAGTTTCTTCCCGTCATGGCACTACAAGGCACCACAACCCACCGATGAGTCAAGATCCTGTCGAGCTCGAGTGCCTTCGTGACCTCTTCCTCGCTCATGCCACCTGCCACGTCGGTCTTGTTGAGAAACACCAGCAGACTTGCACCGGCCAAGCGCTTGCTCTTGTCAGCACCAGACGCTTTCTGTTGGAATGGCAGACTAGACTCACCTCCTCCATCAATAAACCCTTCAACTCTGCCTTGCAGTCGTCCATGCGTAGCCGGTCAGTGGCGTCGACCACCCAGATGAGTGCGTCGGTCTTTTCAAAATAGTTTCTCCAGTAGGATCTGATTGTTTTTTGGCCTCCCACGTCCCAGATGTTGAGCTTGTAGCTGCAGAAAGCACAATCAGCAGGGCAACCATTGGTAGGACAAAATATCGACTCGCACCCTTGGAAGTCAATGGTTTTGATGATGAAGCCGAGCGTCGGACTGACTCTGTTGACATCTTCATTCATGACTTTTTTGACTATGGTTGTTTTGCCAGCATTGTCCAGTCCCCTTTCGGTTGGGTCAGCATAGTTGAGATCAACTGGCCAGAGAATGCCCGTACAGCATCAAGATGCGCATCTCCTTGTCCTTCAAGCGAGCCTTGCGGAGTATGGAAAGCATTTTGCCTGGAACAGAATCCTTGTTCACCGTTCTAGCATGGTGCGAGATACCCGTGCGTGTAGCAGCAATTCCAAAGCCAACCCAGGTAGATGTGGTCAAAGACAAAGCTATGGGTGAATGTTTACCACTTCCTTTCATATGCACATCGATTATGGGCTGAAAGAACAGCTTATCAAAGACTCGTCCTCATGCTGATGGCTTGTTGGTGATGGCCGAAAACAGGACAGCTTGCTATTGTAGTCGTGAATGATTGGCAGTCTGGTGAGAGGTGAGGGCCATCAATGGGCCATCAGGGCCTAGTGAGGCTACTAGGCTCTCTAAAACTGCCCACTAAGCAGAAGATGGCAAAGTGCCGGGTAGGGGCTATAGGTTAGTCAGTTATCCCAAACACCCAAACAGCCCAGGCAGACAACACTCGTGAACCATCCATCCTCACTGAGTATTTTCTGTGACACCCGCACATTCACAGCTTGAACTTGACATCACTTGGTTCTGAGGATCGTGCCCTTGTTACCATGGTCGAGAAAATTACTACCACGTGTTTACCTACCCATAATCACCCCCCCAACTGGGTGAGTCAATGAGATCTCAGATGGGACGAATAATAAAATATAGAACCGATTGTTAGACTGCCTCAGACCTCATCCTGACGCCAGCTTCACATGATGTCGATACCATTCTTAGGACCTTCAACGATGGAAGATGACTTCGCGCGGCCACCTCAGTTTCCCTTCAGAAGGTCCTCATTCACGGACAACCGATTTGTTGCGCCAAGACAGGTCCTCAGTGATCATTATACAAAAGCGCGTCCACTCTCGTTCCCAGTTCACCTTCCCTCCTTCGTCCGCGCGTGCTTTGTCCTCTCCTGCTGACACCCTCACTTCTTCCAACACAGTCCTGCTCCGGAGGCAACATGTACAGCTTTCACCCCGACAAATATGGCTCCCCGTCTGCGAGGGGAAAGAACCAGTCTGAGATGAAGAGTCAACTCTCATCCGACAGTCAACCTTCCCACCATCCAGCGTGGAATCTGAAACCACAAGAACCTGCCCAAGACTCGTCGGCAGGATGGAGCCCAGTGGCTGGTCCGTCAAGAGAACCACAGGCTCGCTCACCATCACGATCTAGCATCACCATTCCTGGTTTCAACAAGAAAGCTTACGGACACCCTCGGAGGGAGCCTGCAATAAGCTCAAGAAGCAATCACGAACCAAGTAACCGTGTTTCAGCTTCTCACGTCAACTCAGCCCCCCAGCCTCCTGTTGATGAAGAGCAGGCCAAACATGCTTCAGCGTGGAAGACTGAACAGGCTTCATGGGCCCTCGAAGTCTCGCAGCGGACTAATGGCTGGGATCAATCTGAGCTTAACAGACCGGATCTCAAACCAAGACACAAATCCCCAGTTCCCCAATACATTCCGGATAAGAAGCCTCCTACACGACACGATCTGGCTACCTCAAAGGACAAGACTCCCGCAACGTACGCCACCCTCAAGAAGGAAGGAGAAACTCCCGAGCAAGTGATAAAGCGTCTTCAAGGAGTCGGTCTTCGCGAAGCCCATATGCGCATGAGACGGCAGGCCCAGGGAGAAGATGTCACTACCGGCCTGACGACACTTGACTTCCTCCGGAGACCTATCACTCCAGACGCCACTGACAATTCTATACTTCCCGTCCAGCCGCCTCCACCGCAATGTCAAATTGCTCCTGAGCAAGGCAAAAACCTGGATCAATCGCAGTCTATTCGGGAGCGTGGAGAACCTAAACAAGGAGCAACAGAGGGCAAGGGGGAAGAAAAGAATGCCCGTCCAATCCCGGCGGCCTGGCAAGAAGCATCGGCAAGCATTCAAGCAGAAGACACGACCTCCTCGCACCTTGCGACAAGAGATAATTCTGGGGTTCTAATCAACTCAGCGACAACCAAGGGTGTGGAAGTTTCACAGCAGGCCCTTCGGAATTCCTCCGATGATCCGGGGGACTCTGCTAGAACAAACACCACTGTCACATCTCAGCCGTCCCCTACTGAAACCTCACCTCCTCAAGCGAAGATCACTCGTAATCGCAGCAAATGGGTAACGAATGCAGAGACCAAGCCGCCACCTCACAAACCAGACAGCAACGCAGCAGGCACAGACGTGACTGATGGCTCTACCAGACCCATGGGATTGCTCGAAGCTGAATATGGGAAACTCATCCGCAGCCGAGAGCCAGCAGTGGGAGAATCAGCACTGATTGGATGGGACGGTAAGCTGCAACCACCTCCCATTGACTGGGAACATCGTGCACAATTCCACAACAACACCCCAGAATACATCCACGGTTTTGAAGGATGGCTCGGTACGAACACGGTCCGAACAATGCAGAACGTTGCGCTTTCTTCAGGAGTCCCTCCACAGGAACAGTCGACCTCTGAAATCGACTTCGGGGTTCTTCCAGCCGAACAGGTCCAAGACGTCAACAATGTCGCCGACGGCATTGGCTTCGTTCCCAGAGACACTATCCTCACTCTCGACAATGCGGCACACTACGGCCGTCGACCTGGCAGTGAAATCCTGGAGGTTTCCAATGTCTCGCCACCCGATTTTAACGCCGAGGTCAAACTCGACGCAAGAGATGTCGAGACCTTGAAATACAAAGACGAGACCGCCCAGTTGTACATTGACAGACGAATGACGTACCTGGCACGCCAGCAAAAGGAAGCCGAAGCCCAGCGCAAACTTCGAGAGACTTCCATGACTGAAGCTGCTGCCGTCAACCCCGAACCACGCCAGCCCAAACAACTCAAGACAAACGTCTACCTCCGTCCCGCCGTCCGAGCAGACTACCCAGGCATGACCCGCATCTACAACTGGCACATCAAGAACGGCGTGCGCCCGTCCGAACTCGTCGAGATCACCGAGTACGATATGGAAACACGGCACAACATGTCCACATCCGCTCGCCTACCCGTCATCGTCGCCGTCGAACGTAACCGCAAACACTCGCGCCACAAGCCGGCCTCGCGACGCGTGAACCCAAACCACCCGATCCAAAACGTCGACCCCAATTACAACGCGGTCGTCAAAGACGAGAACATCGTGGGCTGGGCCTCGGCCACCGACTGGTCCGCCTGCGACTACGTCGAAACGACCACGGCCGAGCTCGAGATCTACGTCGCGCACGATTTCCGACAGAAGGGCGTGGGCCGATGCCTGATGGACGCACTCCTCGACGCCACGGACCGTGGCCACATGAGCAAGGGCGGCTACGACTTCCACGCGGCCCCGGAGATCAAGCATCTCTACAACTGCGGCGGCGGGCGCGATCTGCACAAGATCATCTTCCAAGTTCGCAGCTACAACCGGCCCATCACACCGGAGCAGAAGTACAAGCTCGAGCGATCCGTGGAAGCCAGTCGGGACTGGGGTTACGCGAAGGGCGAGTTCTATGGCCGTGCGAACGGTCTGTATGCGGCGCGCAAGGCGCTCCCTCCGCGTGAAGAGAAGAAGGATTTCAGCAAGGCCGCAAAGATTGACGATCGCGAAGACGAGTATGATGTCTGGTTGAAGGAGTGGCTCGAGAGTGCTGGCTTTGAGGAGGAGGCTTTCATCAAGAAAATCGGCACAAAAGGGAGGCGCTATGTTGATGTGCGCTATCTGACCAAGGAGACTGCCTGGCAGCCACAGGAGAATCGCATTCCGGATTTCAGCAACGGGCTCTGAGAAGCTTCACGTCGACACAAGCTTGAAATGGATCAATGCTTACAACGTCAGAATTTCTGGTCGACGACAATCTTGGTGAGGGTCATACGGCCACCTGCACCGTTTCCCCGGCATCATTACTTCGGGCACAAGCTTGAGCCTGGCCCGCCAACCCATCATGTCCGCTCTGTCGACACTTCAACTTCATCCCTTTCAGCTGGATCATTCGGTAATCAGACAAAACAGGATCCCAGAGCACTCCAAGCATAAGCATGCTTCACATGCTAGCACAATCTGATCACATCCCTATTCAACGCTTTTCAGTCTTGCTTTCACCAAACACCTTCGATTTACTCATCCTGGATTGTATAGCATTTCGTCCACTGGCGACAGGACGGTTGGCCATATCCAGCACGTTTCCATTCCGTTCCGTTTCGTCTCATGGAGCAGCGGACTTCGCTTTGCTTTCAAAGACAAGCAAGCACAGCGATCACGGCCCTGAATTTTCCTATCGCGATGTTCCGACTACTGCTTCATCATCAGCATCAGCAGCATTTTCTTACGTGATGCGCATATCATGGCGCCAAAGGGAGCGCTCGAAAATCATCACTTCAAGGGGCATGGGCTTGAATTTGCCTGGAGAATGATTTATGAATATCATCATCTGGAGAATGGGCTATGGAAGTTGAATTTAGGTCATTTCGATGAGTTGCCCCATGGCCCGCAGGGCTACATTGCACAAGCAAATAGCTAGCTCATCATGATGATCTTCTTCTCAGCCCCCTTATGTGATTAGTCGCAAGCCCTGAACAAATATTGCATACTGTGCTCCTACCATTCCGTTTCAACCACATACGTGCCCTGCTTCGACCCTGCAGGACCCAGCAGATAAATTTAGTACACGACGAAAGAACACGCACTTGTGGAAAAAGCCAACTATGTAACCATGCAAACAGATATGCACAGATAGAATTCCCAGGGGATGAAGCTGCTGTTGGCTGGGCCTTGTAAACATCTCCTGTCACCAAGCCTGACAGAGAAAGGTCTGAATAAGTAATTCCAACACGGCGCGCAAGCAACCACATTTCGAAGCCTACACAGCAAAAACGAGCTGACATTCAATCTTGTCCGGCGTTATGTATGGTCAGGAAAGACACATCCAGATCCGACATCTTCGATAGAGAATAGGCTAGGTGCAGTTGGTCAGGGGTATATTCAAGCCACGCCATGCATCCAGCCATATCGAGATTCGCCAAGCGAAGAGGGCGATCTCAGTTTGGGATGACTTGCATTGTCCCAGCGCAATGGATCGGTCATAAGGCCTGTGGCTTGTACTGAGGCTAGTGTACTCCAGTTGCTTCCCCATTTCGCAGTAGATGAGAAGGAAACCTGGCGAGGTTTGACAGAGGACCGGGATCGCAGCTCCTCAAGCTCATGTGCGACAAATGGCTTGAAGCTAGGAGTAGCTTAGAGCTGTCGCATTATCCTGCCAAGTTGCTTTTTTCGGTCAGGTGTGAAAAAGCACCCGACGTTCAGCTGGCCCTGAACCCCACCGTGGCCTATCGCATGTCAGCTTTTGCACGGAAGTTCATGCGTCGGTTGAGATTTCCGCCTTTTTCGGAATGCCATTGTGAAACCCGTGCTCTTGTCTACGCATATTGACTTGTGCCCGACCAGGAAGCGAGCCATGTTTCTTTGCGTGATCTTGGATAATCAATTTTGTGCACCAGGCAGCTTCCATCTCTTGCAACCGGGCATCAGTGGAGATCTCGTTCTTGCGCTCCAAGGGACCACTGCGGCCAAAAGGGGCTTCGCTACCCCGGCGCTGCGATAGGCGAGAACGGCGCCAGGATGATCAACCAGTTGGCTGATCGGATATGCAGGTCATCGTACCGATTGGGGTAGATTAACTGATTGGCTTGCATAGCTTTTCCTGTGTGCCTTGCTCATGCCTGCCACAAACAACTTTTTCCTTCCTCTCTTCGGATGGCTTGTGAGTGCATGGACGAGGCAAAGGGAGAATGACAGGTGTCAGGAATTGATGACAGGCCAGTAGTCAGGGGCTTGAAGGGAAGGGAGGTCCTGCTGCATCAGCAGTCTTTCGTAATTCCTGTACGGAGTAGCAGAGTAGTTGTTATCCCGGCCTTACCCAATTTTTCTCTCGATCTCTCCGTAGGTTGCCCTTATTTGAGTTCTCAAGAAGATCGGAGGAAGAGGGACAGACCAGCACGAGCTCTGCTCTTGCTCCAACGCAATACAAGATGGAAAAGCGGTTTGGCTTTTGAATCGATAGTGGACCGTCACCGGTCTTGCAGCCGGCAGGGAGCAGCAAATAGGTGTCGAGTATCGATGTCGGACAGGGGTCTGCAGTCCTTAGTGGCGCAATAGTTAGTAGCAGATGTCTTTTGGGGGTTCTTTGGCGCGAGAAGGGCGAGAAGGGTAGGGATGAGCAGCACTGAGCTTGGGGGAGGACAGGAGGGTTTGCTGCTAGTCTCGTTGGGCAGACGAAGAGGAGGGGTAGAGTTTGAGAGACGGGTATGGCGGGCACATAGCGTCGTTCGGATGAATTGGATGACCTGAAGATGTCAGCAGTTGGGTGAGACGTGAGACATGAGCGATGTTGAGATGAGCACGATGAGCAGAACTGTCTGCGCCCTTGCAATACTGTGTAGGTATAGTACCTAGGTAGGTATGTTGGCATTTACGTGCCTGATTCCCTCGTAGGCGTGGTGCATTTGGTGCCTGCATATGGAGACCCACGAGACGAGACCTTCATGCTTATTAGAGGGCAGGAAGCTAAACTGGCAAGCTGCGCAGGTGCCCAACTAATGCCATGAGTGCCAAAGCTGTCGCTGAACCCGCCCATCATCGTTTTGCTGCGCGTGTAGTCTCCATCCCGCCCAGAAGCTGTCCAGTGGTTCGCTAAGCAACTAGGTTAGAAGCCCTCGAATCATCATCCATGGCCAACTCTTCCCGCCTCGGTCGCCCATGCGATGCCCACCACGCCTACCACAGTCGCGCACAGTGCCACCAGTACCACCCGTGCCATCCTTCGCTTGCCTTTGCCCACTACAGCCTTCAAACCTTACCTCACTCGAGGGAGAATCCGTCTGCTTCTTCTTCCTCCACCTCCCACCATCTTGCTTCTTCTTCCTTTCTCTTCCTTTTACGCAACCTTGCCCATATTTTGGTCTCCCTTGTTGTCTGCGCGTCTTCTTAGTCTTGCAGTGCTACTTGCTTTCCTGCTTCCATTGGCGCATCCTTGCTCGCGGAGTTTGCCTGTCGAATCTGTCGCTTTGGCTGTAATTTGGCCCCCGATTTAAACCACTGCGCAATTGATCCGGTATGTGCGAAATCTCTTCTGCACCTTGTCAGGATTTTCAACACAGAGCGTCCGAGGAAGAGCTGGATAGCTGGACTTGGTGCGACACACAAAATCCTGTCTGGAAGAGTAAAGAGTTGAATACATTTGATGTCGCGGATGATGTCGACTGTGAGGTCGTGGGAGGACTTGCGCAGCTTGATCACAGTGAACGAACAGACACAGGACAATTCTCATGGCATGCGCAAGCACAGAAACACGGCACAATGCGCGACACCGCCCTCCAGCCTCACGCGCGCTATTCCATCTTTGGGCAGCAATACCCATATCTCGAGGTGTTTTCCATGGTTCACTCGCGCTGACTTTTCTCTCACTTAGACTTGAAATATCCACATTCGATTCTCCAAGAACCCTTTGTGTCGCTTTCGCACCTCGCAGCCTTTCAAGATTGCCGTTCGGGATATTCTTCTGCAACAAAAGCTGGTCAACTTTCAGCATAATACTTTCGATATCCTCTTCGCGGCACACTCTTTGTGACGGTCTTCACTGAACCAATCTTTGGTACGTTCTTTCGTGCGGTGAAAGGGCGCCGTCATAGGCCGATCTGTGAGAGTACCACTTCAGAAGTCGTTTATCACAGATCGACTGGCTCATATTTTCATCGCGACTTGCTACTGCTCACTGATACTGACTTGTCGCGACAGAATCTTACTCAACCTCGAACCTGTCAATTTAATCTTCCGACTTTCATCATGTCCTTCGAAGGTTACGGCCAGTTCCCGAACGCCCAACAAGAGGGTGTCCCGGGTCAGGGTCCTCCGCCTCAGGATGGAGCTGCCCCAGGTCAGCCAAACGATCCCTCCGGCCAACAGCAGATGCCATGTCAAGCTCCCAACGTGAGTGGCACTCCTCAGTCTGGTCCTGGGGGTGAGGGCAAGACCACTCTTTGGTATGTCGAATCTCAGAATCATCGCACCGAGGTGGTAAAGTTGACTTGAGTATAGGATGGGTGAACTAGAGCCATGGGTTGACGAGAACTTCATCCGCAATCTTTGGTTCCAAATGGGTGAGCAGGTCAGTGTCAAGATGATTCGCGACAAATTCTCAGGGTACGTACAGACAAAACATCTACTTCTTCGTCTCTGAACTCATGGTAGCAGCAACGCGGGCTATTGCTTCGTCGATTTTTCCTCCCCACAAGCCGCTGGCAAGGCTCTTCAACTCAGTGGTCAACCGATGCCAAACTCCAACCGCCCTTTCAAGCTCAACTGGGCATCTGGTGGTGGTCTGGCAGATCGACGTGACGACCGCGGTCCAGAGTACTCCATCTTCGTTGGTGACCTTGGTCCAGAAGTCAACGAGTACGTCCTTGTGTCACTCTTCCAGAGCCGTTTCCCATCATGCAAGTCGGCAAAGATCATGACCGACCCGCTTTCTGGCATGTCTCGTGGCTACGGTTTCGTCCGCTTCTCCGATGAGAGCGACCAGCAACGAGCTTTGACCGAGATGCAAGGCGTTTACTGCGGCAACCGTCCCATGCGTATCTCAACTGCCACCCCAAAGAACAAGGGAGGGCCGATGGGAGGTGGCGGCGGAGGAGGTGCTGGTATGGGGATGCCTGGTGCCGGCCCAATGGGCTATCCACCTATGGGAGGACCACCGATGCAGCCATACTACGGCGGCCAGCAGCAGTCAATTCAACCCATGAACCAATTCACCGATCCCAACAACACCACCGTCTTCGTTGGTGGCTTGTCTGGCTACGTCACTGAGGACGAGCTCCGCTCTTTCTTCCAGGGCTTCGGAGAGATCACATACGTCAAGATTCCACCTGGCAAGGGCTGTGGCTTCGTTCAGTTCGTCCAACGTCATGCTGCAGAGATGGCTATCAACCAGATGCAAGGATACCCCATTGGCAACTCGCGCGTTCGTCTCAGCTGGGGCCGAAGCCAGAACAACTCGGGTCCTGCCGGTACTCCATATCGTCCTGCACCACCACCACCGATCTATCCCTCCATGGGCATGCCTCCTGCTCACTCATACGGCAATTATGCGCCGATGAAGGTCGGTCCAGTCTCTGTTGATGAGTCCACGCCACAATACTGACGTCTATGCCAGTGAGGTTTTGGCACGCTGGCACAGCAGGCGTTCGTCCATTCACCCTCCTCCTGTTACGACGGAAAAATACATTCTCTTTTGTCGTTGAGAGCAGTGCGATCACATTAGCGTCATCAGTTGGTATGGGAGGGTGTTTGTCAACAAAAGTTCTATTTATTTCGTTTCCCGATGACCCCTTACCATCACTGTGCTGGATGGTTTGTTGGCTGTGTACAACAAAAACATGGCAATTGACTTTTTGGTTGAAAGTGACGATACCAACGAAGACAAGCGAGTTGTGTGCTTTGGAAGCAGATATCGGCCAGGAATAGGAGCATGGACGGATCCTTGAGATTGCAATCGGTGATGGATGAGCAAGTGGGCGAACGATGATGTTTCCTTTTTCTCTCATACGAACCAAAGGGTTCCGAGCATCGAGCTCAACTAGGTTCATGATGAAACCTCCCCATTCCATCATAGGAACCAAATACTACGTACGCACACGAATACGATCGGTATGGAATGCATAAGATGATGCGCTGATGTTTTGGCCAGGACATTTAGTCCGGTCTCCCACTTCGCGTTGAACATCCTATACATACCACGTGACCATTCAGCTTTACAGCCTCGTCAACTCAGCCTTTTGTCGCTTCAGCTTCTCCCCACCAGTGCCACCTTAGTGACTCCGTGTGACTCGTTACCCGAACCTCGGAATCTCGACCATTTCTCCAACTTCTCTAGCCGACGAGGCCGACACTCTTGCACGATGGGCATTCTGCGGGAATCAATTCCCCGTGAGACGATTCCAGCCTTCAAGATGTGAATCAACAGCTTTGGCAGGGTAGCCTGGCCTTCAACACCACATCCCCTAGCTTTATAACTCAAGCGTCATCAACCCAAGCATCTCGGAACACGGAGGAACCTCGACAGGACTTTTGTCTCATAACAGCATGACATCTAGACCGATTCGTATAGCAGGTAAGCAGAAGCACAGTGAACATGTCTTCGGATCGCTGACACGTCAGGCGCTTCTGGGTCTGTATCCGACCGCCGTCATGCAATCGCCTCATTTGCAAAGGCGTATCCCACGGATCCTGTCGACGTGATCATCTGTGACTTCATGAGCGAGGTCAATATGACGGTCGCCGCTGGTAGAAAATGGGAGAAGCAATCAACAAGTGCTTCTGATCCAGATCCAGTCCTGGCTGCTGGGCCAGCCTTTGAAGCGTCCTTCCTCGAGGCACTCGAACCAGCGCTGGAAGATCTAGCCAAGTATAAGATCAAAGTAGCCGCGAATGCTGGAAACGCCGATACCGAGACACTGTACAGGATCGTCTGCGAAATGGTCAAGAAGAAAGGCCTTGATATCCCGGTGGCATGGATATCTGGTGACGAAGTCCTCCCTGCTGTCAACGCCGCACTGCAGGATGGCTCATCAAAGTTCAAGAACATATACACTGGCGCGACCTTGTCGTCTTGGGATTTCAAGCCGATCTACGCGCATGCCTACCTCGGCGGCTTGGGCATCGCTGAGGCCTTCGCTCAGGGCGCTCAGATCGTCGTGTGCGGTCGTGTCGCCGACGCATCGCCAGTGATTGGAGCAGCGTGCTGGTTTCACGAGTGGCAGCGGTCACAACTGAACGAGTTGGCCAATGCATTTGTTGCAGGCCATCTGATCGAGTGCTCGAACTACGTGACCGGCGGCAACTTTAGCGGCTTCCAAACTCTCGAGCACAGCCCAGCGGGATGGGTCGACATAGGCTATCCGATCGCCGAGATCTCGCGAGACGGTGCCGTCGTCATCACAAAGCAGAAAAACACTGGTGGAGCCGTAACGATACATACGTGCTCGTCCCAGCTGCTCTATGAAATCCAAGGACCGTGGTATTTCAACTCCGACGTTACGGCAGTTCTAGACCAGATCTGGTTCGAACAGCTGGGTCTTGACCGCGTTGCTGTGCACGGGGTCCAGGCATTGCCACCACCTCCCACGACAAAGGTCGGTCTGACAGCGCGCGGTGGCTTCCAAGCTGAAGCGTTCTACTTCATGACCGGCCTGGACGTAGACGCGAAGGCGCGCATGACGGAAGCCCAGATCCGCAATGGCCTGAAGCCATACTCGGACAAGTACTCGCTCTTGTCGTTCAGCGTGCTGGGACGGCCGGCGCCGGATGCGGATAATCAGAACGCGGCGACCGCGGTGTTCAGGATCTTCGCGCAGGCCAGGAAATCAGAGGACATTGCGCCGTCGAAGTTCCTGCGTCCGGTGATTGACAACATCATGCAAGGGTACCCCGGATCGACGTTCCATTTAGACATCCGAATGGGCATACCAAAGCCCTACTATGAGTACTATGTCACATTGCTGGATCAGGCCAAGGTGGCGCATAATGTGCATTTCAACGGGAAAGACACACTTATCCCGCCGCCGAGCGTGACAAACGTGTTCCCCGAGAGACAGCCCAGTCAGCCTGTGACGAGTTTGCAGGTTGACATGACCAAGTTTGGGCCGACGGAGCGACTTCCGCTGGGCACGATTGTCAATGCGCGCTCGGGAGACAAAGGCTCGGATTGCAATTGTGGTTTCTGGGTGAAGAGTCAGGACGAGTTTGTGTGGTTGAAGAATTTGCTGTCGAACGAGATGATCAAGGTGTTGCTAGGCAAGGAGTATGACACCTCGAGAGTTCCGCGCATCGAGATTGAGAGGTTCGAACTGCCGAATCTCAGGGCCGTGCACTTTTTGTTCCGAAATTTACTGGATCGAGGCGCGACGAGCACGGCAACTGTGGACTTTCTGGGGAAGAATACGGCCGAGTATTTGAGGGCGAGATATGTTGATATCCCAACGAGATTTCTGGCGAGAGGGAAATTGTAGCGGAGAGGAGATGGGACAGACAAAGGCAAACGTGCAACTCAGAAGTTCAAAGAAGTCCCGTCGCCTTTGCTGTTCAACTACATCAGGATGCGCAGTCGGCTCAAGGGTCTGACGGATTCTCAGTGGTAGGTCGGGGAAGCCTATTGGCGTCCTGCTTCCTTCCCTCCACCGGGCAAGTCATACTGAGAGCGTTTGAATGTGTGCTCGCATGAGGGTCTGTGTGTTGAAGCTTCTTGACGCGAGGCAAGGCTGGAATATCAGGTCGTGAAACTGTTGTCTTGGGTCTGTCAAAGGAAAAACACATTGACAGTACTTCTCCCTTTTTGTTCAAAATGCTTCTCTACGTGGTCTTCAGCAATGGATCAATGTCGACGTACGCTGTCTCTTCCTTTGAAACGAAAGGTCCTGATTGTGCACCGTCCCCAGAGAACAAAGACTGGGAAATGACTCAATGGCAATTTCTTTGTCTTCCTGTCTTTATCTCTCGACAATTTCATTTATACGGCTTTGTTTTCAGTGTGTTGTCTTTGTCAGTTACCTGCCTCTCACACTCGAGCTCCCACGAAACAACTACTATATCTATCCCACCTTTCTCCCCTGGACTGTTCGAGGTTCTCCATCAAACGTCTTCTGCAGATCCGGACATCTGCAATTTACCTGGCTTTTGATCACGCTCTCACCCAGTCCAGTCCAACTCAACAACTGCAAAAGTTTTGCTGTGCAATTCAATTCGCACCTCAACAACTGCATTCGAGAGCCAAAGGTACGTCCACCTCCGTCCAACACCTCACTAACAACACAACACCACCAGTAGTCCGGTTTCTCGAGTCTCAACATGTGCTTCACCAAGGAAAAGAGATGTTACTGTCCCAAATGCAGCAAGACCATCGCGAAGACGGTTACAGACTGCGTCTGCCCGTCGAACGACCCATGTCCGACTCGCAATATACGGCCGCTCCCCATGAAGAAGAAGGAGGTGGCCAGTGACGAACCCTGTCGAGATTGTGCCAATGTCCCTGGATACGGCAGCCCTTCCGGTCGATCATCATCCACTGCTGCTCGTCCGAGCGACAATGGCGGTGGTGGTCGATATCTAAGTCCACCGGGCATGAGCAGCAGCAATCGCGTTCAGACGCTGAACTCGGACTACCAACCTCGTCAGAGCCATAGTCAGAGTCACTCCTCGTCTTCTTCTTCTCGGCATCAAGAACGATCACAATCTAATCGACAAGCTGGTGGATATGCCGGTGAGTACCGATCTGTCTCCTCCCGTCGTGCCGATGCTGGCGGCGCAGAAGGTTCCGCTCGATTCAATGGGTCTAGCAGAAATGGCGGAGGCGGTGGCGCCGCCGCCGCTGCTGCTACTACTTCTGTTTCCCGCTCTGGCGGTTCGAGCGTGGACGTGGGGTTCGAGAGAAGACCTGCTTTCGATCTTATCGAACGGCGCCCGGGCGGGAACTACGTCGCTACTAGTGGCTCTGGCTCTGGCTCATCATCATCCACCGCTCGACAAACCGGCGCATCTTCTTCTTCATCGAGACATGGTGGTGAAAACCGTGGTGGGTACGAACTCGTCAAGCGCGAACAACCGTGTGAGTATGCTTCTGCTTCGGCGGTGCCTGGCTCCTCCTCCAGTTCTTCTTCGACGGCGCGTCAACAACGTGAGTATGCTTCTTCTTCGTCCGTGATGTCAGGGCCCACCTCCACATCCACTTCGACAGCGCGTCATGGGGGTGATTGTTATGGACAACTTGTCGAACGTCGACCGACCGAGTACAGCAGCAGATCCAGATCTTCCGGGTCTCAGGCCAGCAGCACCACCATCCGACAAGATGGCCGACAAGATGGCCGACAAGATGGCCGACAAGCTGGTGAATCTTCTTCCTTGAGATACGAGTACGGCGGTGACCGAGACCGCCACTTGTACTCTTCTTCTCGCGCGAGCAAGAACGAGGTCGGTAACGTCGGTGGTGTCAGTATCAGTGGCAGTGTTACAATCACCACCAGTCGGACCGTCGAGGTCAGCGTCACCTATGATTATTGAGGCATTTGCAACTTCACACGTCGCTCTTGTTCCTCATGACGAGTACTAAGTACTGTCTGAGTCGGGCACGACCGGTTGGGGTGAGTCTGCTGCAGCCAGGCAAGAACAAGGTAAGCAAAATAAATCAGAGACAAGTGACTGTTTGAGACGTGTGTTCTCAGCTAAGGGAAGGGAGAGGAATAGAATGGGTTTGCAGAAAATGTTTGGTCAACGGTGTTTGGGCGTTGCGGAGTTTGGGCGTTTGGGATTTGCCTTTTGCGCTTTTTCGAGACTTCGACTCCTCAAGGGCAAAGTGCTGGACACTGGGGGGGCATTCGGATGTAGGAGAAATGTTCGCAGTTTTTGTCTTGTTGGCATTTGTGGGAATAGCTTTTCATTGACAGAGAATAATAAGAAAAAATGGTAAGTACCGAGATTTGCTTCTCAGATACAATCAGCTCTATGCGTGGTTTGGAAGACTTTGACACCCACTTCCGCGAGATATAAGAGTTCCTGCTCAGACAGTGTCGCTTCTTTCGACAACCTGCCTAGGAGAGGTCTGGCATGGTGACGCTGGTTCGGACAGACGATAGGTGTAGTTGCGCCGCTTCGATTCGTCACCTCACTGCTCATCCCACTCTGGCTTGTTTGGGAGTCGCAACTTTGCTCCGTGACGATATGTCCTACTGCGTACCTAAGGCTTGGAGAGGCTCACGAGGCTGTACAATGTGGGGTAGTCAGAACGTCCGCTTCCTGTGGGGTATCAGTTCAGGTACCTGGGGAGGTGCCTGGGGTAGAACTGCCAGACGAACGGCAAAGGGTCTCCACATCATGTCTTTCTCCCAGCATTCTGTGCTAGAGATAGCCTGAAGTACAGAGAGAGTTCTCATCTGCTGTGAAGAAGGGAGAAGGAAGTAAAGAAAAGTGACTCGTCAAGGAAACGCTCCCAGGATGACAAACCAGGTAGACTGCGAGGTACTTGTGGTCGGAGCCGGACCGGTTGGCCTTGTCACAAGTCTAGCCATAGCCAAGGCCGGCATCAACACCATTCTCGTCGAAAGCCTTCCAGATATCGATGACTCGCCGCGTGCAATGGCCTACGGGGCCCCTGCGGTCGTCGAACTCGAAAGAGCCGGCGTCGCTGCGGACGCACGCAAAGTCGGCATGGAGCCGTCGGACTACGATTTCCGCCTGCGATGGATCACTCTTGACAACAGATTGATTGCCGAGTTCAAGCCAGAAGACAGGATCCCGGGGTCCTTCGATCCGATACTATGTGGCCAGTATCAGTTGGCGAGGATCATTCAGCGGCATCTGTCGGAGTATGACTGCGCAAAGGTACGTACCACCTTTTTCACCCTGTTCCATTTCCTCGGGCTAGCGAGGCTTCTCCGCCCTGCTCCCTGCCGTGGGCTGTGTGAAGTAGCCATCCTAGGCTAGTGGGCTAAAGCAAAGCCGGGGTCGTCCAGGTCCTTTTCAACCACCGATTGCACGATGTGAAGCAGGACGACCATTCGATAACAGCAGTTCTAGAGACGCCCGAAGGAACCAAGCACATCACGGCGAAGTATCTGGTCGGCTGTGACGGGGGCCGGTCCACGGTCCGCAAAGTCCTCGATCTGGGCTACGAAGGCTTCACATTGCCGCAGTGGCTCGTCGCGTGCAATGTAAGGTACCCGTTCCGAGAGCACGGGTTCGGACGCGGTCAATTCATCGTGCATCCGGAGCATTTCTGCTTGGTCGCCAAGATCGATCCAACTGGGCTATATCGCGTGTCGTATAACGAGCAGGAACACCTGACCAGGGACGAAGTTTTGGCCAACGTCCACAACAAATTCGAGGCCATATTCCCCGGACCAAAGCCGCTCAGGAAGGATGCATATAAAATTGAAGCCGTCAGCCCGTATCGCATCCACCAGCGGAGTGCGACTTCATACCGGAAAGGGAGGGCCTTAGTAGCTGGAGACGCAGCGCACGCTTGTTCCCCGTTCGGCGGTAAGTCTTGACTCCCTGACTCCCTGACTCCCTGACTCCCTGGCTCCATGACTCCCTGACTTCCATGTTCTTCTTCCTGGCGGGCACTTCCAGAAAGCTGATACAGATTTGTTTTGGTCGGCCACAGGAATGGGCCTGACTGGCGGCATATGTGACGCTGGTGGTCTTGCCGACTGCTTGATAGGCGTCCTGCGCAAAGGCTGCGACGACTCGTTGCTAGATAAATACGCCGAGATCCGAAGACAAAAGTACAAAGAGATCACAGATCCTGTCAGCTACGGCAACACCTGCGCCCTGCGAGATACCGATCCCGATGCGGCTGCGACGTCGGCGGAACCCTTCAAGACGATGAATGCATCGCCAGAGGCTCGGCGGCTGATGCTGGAGAAGGCATATTTGCTCGGGTAAGCTTGCGATCTGTGGCAGATGTAACTGAGCAGTGGGACTTGTCTGCTGACTGACGGAATGTAGCCACGATTTTCGACAATACTGGCCGACAGTCGAGACGGAAAATGGCGATAAAGAGCACAAAGCAGTGACAGACCCGGCTGATATTGCTGTCATGAACCCGAGAATGTAGGCTGTGGAATTGAATAGAACATGCCTTTCTGCATACACTGAGGAGACAGATCAAAGGCAGCTCGCCAAGTGACGTTGAGTATTGGGTGGTAGGTAGCATGTGCATTCAAGTCAGTGACTAACTTTGTGAATGGGCGTGGACAGTGCATACCTGATAGTGTCCGGCAGCGACTGTGAATCCCATTGCTTGTACGCTTTCCATTGTTCACTGACACAATAAACATCCACCTGAGGCAGTTATGTTATTTCTTTCGCTGAACTTGATTGTTGAGGTGTCTTTCAGTCAGTGTGCACTGCAGTCATACTGCTGGCCGTGGTTCTTCCTTTGCGCTGCCTGCTCAGACCCACGTATCGAACTCTCAGTAACCATGTGCCACGAACTCATCACGCGATATTACTGTGGCCGCTGTAGGCACATGAGCGGTCGATCCACAAGTAAAACAGAATTCTGTACGTCAGCACGTGCGGCAAGACGGATCTGTCGGCCCATGGGGGATGTCGAGGAGGTATGGGAAGAATCCAGCTGCTCAACATGTCGGCGTTACCAAAAGTATGTCCAAGGAGATACAATCTCTGTCCAGGATCCGACCGGCCGAACCCTGCAGCAACCATCAGATCCGTCGTCTCAATTTTCTGAGCCGTGGAGCTCTACCACAACATTTCATACAGCGGCAACCTCGCTTCGTACAGAGGCTCTCGAGAACAATGTCGACAACGAAGGGATAATGAGGGAGGATGAGAGGGCGCATCGAGGCCGGGTGGGCAAGCCTGACAGGTCGTCTGGTCTTGAGAACACCGGAGCAAGGAAAGGCTTTGGCCCACATCAGCATTGTCCGCCCCACATCCTCTCTGCTTCCCGACCTCAATTCGACTCATTCGAGCTTGGAGATCATGTAACACTGGATGACCGTCACCACGACTTTGATCCAAATGACATGCGGGAAGCCATTGCCAGGTCCTTACAGGAGATCAAAACGACCGAGGGCGACAGAACCGGCCAAGATCAGAAGATCACGGCACTGGAGCTCGAATTGAAGATAGTGAAAGAACAACTCCAGCTCGAACGCGAAAGACGAGAACCAGATCGGCAGAAGTTCGAGCTTGAAAAAGAGACGGCCCGAAACAAGCCCTTGAGAGCAGGACGCAGTGAGCCAGAGGTTGCCAAAGTCCTCGAACCAGATATCAACTATTCGGCTCCGAGGGGAAGGGAATTGTGGATAGGAGAAATTCGGAGAGTCAACGGTCGCAACATTGGGCGTGAAAGACGCCTTGAGGTCGGTGAATATGTGGTTTGTCGACGGAAGGGTCGTAGGGAGGAACAAGTGAGAGGCAGAAAGTAGCTCTTCGGTTCGAGTGCATTGCCAATCGGTCAGAAGCAGCATCTGTCAATCATCAGCCTCGTGCATGGCGCTGTGAGTCATAGTACAGCACGCCAACATGAGACGGCTCTGCAATGTCAAGTATGCGGCAGGAAACGGCCAGAACCCGAAACCCGGCACGGAACGCAAGTGGAACTCGATATGGCTGCTAGATGAAAGTTGCAGTGGCTTGATATTGCTTCATTGTGTACATGCTTGGCCAATAGCTCTTGTCGACCGCAAGTTATGAATGGACTGGATAGGCCTGTTTCTGCTCCTCTTGATGTTAGTGACTGATCTAGGAGCCGGTGGCGGGCTTGTGAACAGCATTGGCAGCACCACGAAGTTGCTCAGCATGCTTGGTCGTGGTGCCATCCGCTCTGGTTTTTGGAGGATTTTTCGGACCACTCTGCGGGTTCAACACTTCGCCTTGGATATCCGGCTGCACATCCGAGACATCACCAACACCAGAAGCGCCCCCTGTGACTTCCGTCAGGCTTGCATGCACGGCTTCAAGCTTCTTCAGATCCTTCGCATCACGGAGATAGTGAATGTTCTCCTTGAATGCGTTTGTTTCGCGGAACTCCATATGTGCTTCAACGCTCGTCCAGCCGATGAGAAGCACGTATGCCTTGCCTTTCTCGTCGGTCCCAGGAATGTCAATTTCTTCTTCGACCCACCCTCCGGCTGACGCCCTGTACGTCCTTGCTTCTTTCTCCACGACAGCAACGAGAGCCTTTGCATCGTCGACGACCTTCTTCTTGTCTTCCTCGGAATATGAGGTCGGGAACCACATTGTCACGATCTCGGTCGTAGGAGAGGTGGTATCGCTCAGGGCGGCAGTTGGGGGATGAGGCGTGAATTGAGCATGGTAGAAATCGGATGGACCACCGAGGATGAGTCTGAAGCGGTCGAGGAAAGGCTTGTAGAGACTAACCGCAGGAGTCAGTCGGGCAAGAATTCTACTGGTAAAGGGGTAGTGACGCACGGAGAATTGATGAACTTCTTGTGCGATTCAATGCTGTCCCAGTCGACGAACCATCTTAGCAATTTCCGGTCCTCGACCTGACGACCCCAATAGCATCGCTGGCAACCAGGCTGGGAAAGAAGTATGTCGAGAACGTCAAGGTGCACCTGACCAGGTGCGCTCATCCTGTCGTCAGGAAACTTGCCCTCTTGAAGGGGCAGGAATGCAATTTCTGTGACACCCATTGTGATCTGTTAGAGACTGCGTCAATTCACTTCAAACAGCACTGCGTCTGTCAGTCAGCTTCAAGAGATGTCCGGGTGCTCTTTCAATATGTAAGTCGTAGAGCAGCCCGGCATCGTACTCGTAACGGAAGATGAGTCCCTGACGTAAACATGGAGATATATCCGATGGCTCGCCCGGATGCCTCATGCAGTCATGATATCGATGTATGACCTGAGCATGATGTATGTTCCGTGCAATCTTGAGCTCAATAAGAAGTGACTGTGCATCAGATCACAAGGGACATGGACGTTGTATTTTCGGCAGGGGGTTTCTCTCTCAGCCTGGCACGTCGTCTGAGCTATAGCCTCGTCGCCGCACTGCATCACTGCATACTGCAAGGCTAGTCCACCTAGTCTCGTCAGTGGTTAGCACAGGGTACGGGAAAGCCTTAACTTGGTAGAAGATTGCTCCCGTCTGCTACGCTCACCTCATACTCGCTTTGGCCCATGCAGAGCCATAGATTCGAGCCCATCTCTGATTGACGGCGAGATGGATTCATATGGGTGACATGGTCTCGATTGTATTCTCCAACGACGCATGACCAACTCCGCAGCCAGAATTACGTCACCTTTTGAATACCTAGGAATCAGGCTTCAACGTGATGAACTTCTGTCCTTCTCTTTCCTGCTCGCACCATCTCCCCTTGCCTCAGACTCAAAGACCGCGAAAGAAGAACAAACCGATCTGCTACCTTGAGACATCATGCCTGATTTCAAGGATCGAGAACAAGCGTTGGAGAATGAGTACATTCGGAAGCGAGAGTGAGTGTTGTCAGTGGCATCGTTCTGACCCGTTGACTGACGTGAATCGTACCCAGAGCTGAAAAGGCTGCCGCACACAAAGGCCAGCAAGGGACTCAGAGTATGGACAAGAGTGGTGCACCGACGACAAATCCTGCGACCACGAATTCTGCCCAGGTATAGGTGATGGAATTGCTTTGATAATCTGCTTCTGACATGCATCAGCTCGCCAACGCGACCTTGAAATAACTTTCTCCAAGCTGGTACGGCATTATGCCATTCTCAATTGCGCTGGGCTGCATCGAGGAGGAGAATCAGTCGCTGAAGTAGCTAATGTTCACAAAACTGCTATTCATAAGAACTTGAGGGGCTGGCGGGCTGGGTTGACGTCGAACGTAGCACATAAGCACAGACAAGCATAGAATAGCATCAACATACTCAACGAGCCTTGATCTCTTCATGTCAGACAAGTGTCGAGGCGTGAGAATGGAAGTCAGTGATTGATACTGTGTACATAGGTGTATAGTGGTTGCATTGAGACTAAACCGAAACTAGAAACAGACGCGTCGCGTCGCGTAACCAGTTCAACTTGAACTCGGCTCGACAGCGGGAAACAAGTCTTCCCTTCAGCAGTGACACCACCAGCAAAGTCACCAGATAGTAGAACACAATTCTTCAGCTAGTTACAATCGCTTCAGCACGATCTTCTCCTTCGAGTCCTCGATATCAACCCTCCGAACACGCCTGACGACTTCAATCAACGTTGCAGAACCACCCTCCCAGCTCAAATCCTCCTCTACCACCCTCTCGCCCATCGGGCACACTATACAGTTCAACCTCCAATCAGTTTCCCGTTTACAAGTCAAGCTCCTAGAGCCTCTTCTGCCTACCCTTTCCTACCGCTCGAGCCTCTTAGCACGGTCTCAATGGCAACAGGATTGGATCATGGGTTTTTGCAGGATGCGTAATCGGAACGTAACCCTAAGTTGTTTGTCGGTTCAAAGTTTCGCGGTCCAGTTGTCGGCCTCCGATTAGCTTCACCTGCGTGCCACTTGCTTAATATTTGCTTCGGCGAAGAATGGCAAGCTGGATTGGGTGCGGTCAAAAGAGACTAGACGTTCAGAGCTTCGAAAGAGGCAGTGAAAGACGGTTTCACCATGCGTCTATTTGGTCAGAATCCGCGAAGGATCACGCGTCGGTATTCCTAAGCTGAACATTATACTTGATCCCATATGGGATGTTTCGGTCGATATGGGCCTGGAACAGGCACCTGAGAGAGCGGAGATGATATCTTTGGGAAGAAGTGCACACGGAACATGCCTAGAGCGCAAAGATGTTGAGCCTACACACAGCATTGCTGGAAGTTTTCGTTCGGAGCCGACGAGATCCTCTGGTCGGAACCGAGCTTCATGTTGCTTGGAGCCAGGTCTCGGAGGTGACGGCGAGCCTTCATACCAGCATTGCTCCCCCTTGGCCTGTTGCCTGCTCCGGCCGGCATCTCATGCACACGCTTCTTCAGAGACTCAAATCCAGTTTCGACTGCCACTCCTCTCCAACTCTGGTCTGTAACCACATCGTCACAGTCACGACAGCTCATTCACCCAGCACGCATCAAAGCAACAGCTACCAGATTTGTACTTCTGCCTGCAGAAGATCCCGATCAGCCGCGTCAATTATCCGCATCATGTATCATCATGTTGAAATGGAGAGCGCCGATTCAGTGGACCCTTGATCCCCGGATCTCTGGGAACATGATGAACCTCATTTCGATGGGAAGAGGGCGATTTTTGAAGATGTTCTTTGTGCGCCCTAGCCTGAAAGACGGCAAATGCCCTTCGATTTTGTCACCATGACATGACGGAAGAGGAAACCAAAATCTTGTCTCCAAGGCTACTGTATCACACACGAGAGAGGCATTATTCCTGTTTACACAGGGCCTGGAGGTCGAACTTGAGCTGGGAATCTGACAACAGCGGGAGAAGAACTCAGAGTGTCTCGTGGATGTCAGGACGAAGGGGAAGAGACCACTGCTGAAAGGGATTGGAATTGCTCGACTGTGCACTCTATGAAGGCTTTCAGGTCCATCACTCGTGCTTCCTGTTTCTACAAAAGCTGGTACCAAGCACAATGCCCTTCTTGTAGTAGCAGCAATCTCTGCATGAGTCCAGGGTACGATTTGTCGCGACGAGCTCCCAGGTCTAGTCGGCTTAGTGTGGACGAACTCAGCCAGGCCTCCAAACTTCGGGCAGAAAATTCATCATTGCGGCTGATCACAGGACTTGAAGAGACCTTGGCTTTGGAGACAATGGGACACCAAGTGATCGAGACAGGACCTCTCTCGAGTGAGGATCAAAGCCTTGGCTTGTCTGTTCTTGACTCTTGCCATTTGTCCATGAAGTCTTTGACCTACTCTTGTCTTTGTGTGAAGCTCTTTGTTAGATTTCTGTTTTTTGGGTGGCAACGCTGGATGACTTCTACTGAGACGACGAGGATGACTTTTGGTATGGCTGGAAGTGACGGACTACATGTGGGAACTGGGGTGTTGCAGGAAGATCGCGGACTGCCGTTGTTACAGTGTTTTGGTTCATTACAGAACCACGCTTCAGCCACTGTTCCTGGATGCTTACATGCTCCTTGGACAGTGGCTCTCTTTTTTTGATAAGTTTGTCTTTCTCTTGACTGGGAAGCGCTAATTGGATGCTAGGTCAGTGAAGGGCTGGTGGGTCGAGGACCTTTCTTCTCGTGACTGGGGTCCATGAGGACCTGTGCAAAATGCGTTTGGGTGTACCATATCACAAGTCACGCTAACACCTGAAGTGAGTCGATTCTTCAGTTTTATCCTTTATGGTGGTCTCAGACGTTTCTGTGACTTGATGCCAGAGGCTGTTCGCTCCTTCTCATATAAGTATCTTGTGCTTCTCATTGTCCCTCAGACTTTCCCCGTTCACACATTGCACATGCTTCTGCAAGACTCGCTACATTCAAACAACACAGGTTCCTCTTACCACCGATACATTCTTGGTATCCAAGCTATAAGCTTCTTCTATTGCCTCTGAGTCCCTTCTCTCCTCCAACTTGCATTCTATTACCTCTGCCTCTTACAGTCGACTCACTCCTCCTACCAATCCGCCTTTTACGCTGCTTCTTCCGACACCCTCTTCTGTCAACCTCCAACATATTCACAATGTCGTCCTCTACCACATCCGGATCGCAAGGTTCCTCCTCCTCCTCTACAGCGACCATCACCCCAAACACCTCGTTCTCTTCTGGCCACGACAATATCCACATCATTAAGTCGTGGTCCGGCGATATCTCTCGATGCTTGCTCTCTTATGAAGCCGAAACCCTCCTCCGCTTCACTCACGAGGCGCCGCTTATCGTCAAGAAGGCCGTTGGCGAATACCTGATGCGCCTGACGGTGTACCCGACGAGTCCCCGCGCACTCACATGGTGTCGCTACCGACTTGAACTCCTGGGCACCATTGTCGATAACAGCAACGATAACGATGTTGCTGTCGACGCATCCGCTGACACGGTCAGCAACCTTTCGCAAAGCATCACCAGGGACAATGCCGATATCCCTTCTCTGCTCAATAGGATTCAAGACGTCGAGTTCAGTGCCTACGAGCTTTTCAGAATCTGGGGCCAGACCTCATCAATTAATCTGGACGACTGTTGGTCGCTATGGGTCGCCGCGGACGACATTGTGCAGGTGGTTGTCGAAGATATAGAAGGCGAATTGGGTTGAGTGGGACTCGTGGAGGGCTTCGTGTTTATATTTTTTATTCAATGTTTAGGCGCGCATCAGCATCATTATAGGCTATGGCCTAGGCTGGTGTGCATGTTATTGTACAATACCCTGGGAACAAGCATGGCGTTCAGGCAGGTGTGCTACAAGCCTTCATGTATCGAGGGTTACTTGATGCATTTAAACCAAAAATGAATATTCTATAGGAGTACACTCCCTTGCACCGATTCTTCATTCTTGTCCTTGATAGCACAGGCAATACACTAGTTTCTGCGTCCGTATTCCTGAGTCTCGTTAGGTCCTCGTGCGTGATATCTCCGTCCGGATTATCGCTTTTCTCCACAGCCTCGTCCATACCCAGTGACCCACTCACCCAGTCAGATCGTGCATGAGCCTAAACTGTAAGTTGATCGTATCCTCTACATTTGGTGCCCGAATACACAACTAGTACTTACGCTATTTCCGGTACCTGCATCACTTCAGAAGACCAGTCGGACAGTACCGCCATACCAGGGCTTCAGGCCAAAATCAATGTAACAATTTGTTGGTCCAGATCCCAAGCACTAGCCTGCGCTGCATTGGTTCATTGGAACATACACCCAGTAATACTACGAGTACTACATGAATAAGGCCCGTACGGGGTAAATCGATATCATGGAATAGTATTGCATAGTACACTAGTACTGCTCATTCACACACCGCACGATACCGGCCGCAGCACTGCACCGGGAAAGCATTCCTCTCATCGGCTGAGCGTTGGTCCCACAAAATGTTTCCAACTTTTCGTCCTTGTGGTCCTCACGCGCTCACGCGACGCGCTGCTACTTTCTACCTCTTCCCATTTCCCGGCTGGTTCAAGGCAGGGCAGATATCAGCCCAAACTAAAGAAAAAGAAATAGGTGAAAAATTGCTCTTCATGGCGCGAGCGCGAGTGTTGAGGTCCTCATGACTAGCACGATTTCGGCAGGGACGTGACTCAGGCATCAACCTCGCCAAGTCCATGTCTCACTCAGAAAATAAAACGATAATGTCGTGAGAACCAGGGCTCGACTATTTCTTCCACCGGGCGGGACCGCTGGGACTGGAAACCGCGATGAACGAGCCAGAGCCGCGAAGGGAGTGGCGGTGGTCTCGAGGCTCATGGCGGCTGTGCTCTAGGGATTCCCTGGCGCTGGGTAAGGTATCGAAGTAGGTTCGACGTTGCTGGCTTTGGGCTAGGAATTCAGGTTTGCGGTCCCTGATGAAAGGAATATCTTGCCACGAATGAGTGCGAGATTTTCGTGCCATGAGGGGAAGGAGAGATCGTTTAAGCCATTTGGCCGCTCTAGCCTTCCTGTGGCATCGATATCGTTTGTATAGGGTAGATGTCCGAGATATCAGCGGTTGGCGTCGCCGTTGTCTTCCCCATGTGAGCGAAGCCATGTAGCAGTTAGATCATCTTAGATCTTCGCTTCGCCCAGCATTCATATAGCCCAGTTACCGCCCCAGGGGGAATGCGAATTCCGCGTGCGGCGTGCATGCTGTTGGTTTGGCGAGATCGCTCGACTCGATCGGTGCCAGTGGCAGAGGTCACCAGATAGTCGTGGTCGATTCGTCGCCAGAGCAGACCGATCGTGGGAGTCATAGGTTTCTGCGCTACCGGTTGCATTTGTTTGGTACCGTCGAACGAAGTGGTAGGTGGCTCGACGAACGAGATGGGTTGTCCCTGCCGGTGTTGACCATAGTTTGAACCCTGCAAGAACTCTGTTTTGGCCACGACCTTCTGGCAATGAGGACCTTCTGGCACATATATCTTGCTCTTTTCTTCCCGTTTGCGTTGACCTCTCTGTTCCCCATTCTCCGTTTCCAACAATCAAGACTGTTGACACTATTCGACACCATCAATCCGGAAGCTTACGCCTGGCGTTCGACAATCGACAATCGACAATCGACAATCGACAATCGACAATCGACAATCGACAATCGATAACCGGTAGCGATATACTCCCACAGCACTCCAGGCACACCTGTACAGTTCTTGGGTACTTGATCCAGGGGCACTCCTGCTAGACATCAGTAATTTTCGACTTTCTTGACACCCAGACCTCCATCTTCAACACCATCAATATGCCTAGAGTGGACATCCCTCCTAACCACCCATTCAGGACGGGAGCCTTCGCCAAAGAACAGAGGGGGAAACAAAGGGAGCAAGCCGAGACGTGCTCTGGCTGGACATTCAGTGCGGGCGAATACAACGACGAATTGTCCAACGAGCGCCTCAAGATCAACAAAAAGGAGGCTGAGGCCGATCTGAACACCATACTCGCAACAGCGTCGAAAAAGCCCGGACCGCGGAGTCAGTTAAACACACCGCCTAGAACGCCTCTTGAGATCACAGAGCCCAGAGATACTCCTCCAGATTGGAGTCCGCCACCAGATCTGCCGGTGATTGAGTCATTCGTTCGGGGCGAGTTTGATCACAAGAGGATATTTCCGTATGGGAGGCATCCCGAACCGAAATCGGTTTTCCCGGTCCGGAAACCAACCAAAAGCCAGATATCCCGAGAACAAGGACTTCTGTTTCAAGCACTTGGTCCCCCGGCTGCTCGTCCATTGAACCTGGAGGCAGTGGAAGGTCGGTTGCGGGGCCTCCCATACCCGTTGAACAACTTTGTTTTCGTCAAAGAGAACGTCAAATCGTTGTTCGATAAAGTCCTCGATGAGTTCAACAGCAACCCAGGCCCAATCGACAAGTTGCTTGACAAATGCCAAGAACTCGCCAGAGCCATCATCGACGAGGTCCGGCTTGTGGACGAGGATTACGTTGTGGTACATCGGTGGGTGGAGGCCTGTGTTGAATTGCATATGCACGGACCGGAGTCCTCTGCCCGTGCCATTTTGATAGCCAGAACGACCCGGGAAGAGCTGAAAGAGGCGTACGACGTGGCCATGATGGGTATCGTCATCGAGGGTAGGAAGGGTGTTGGTAAGGTCGCCAAAAGACCATGTGCGCACCCCCGATACCGTAGAGCGTTGGCGATGGCGAGGGCGGCCAAGAGGGAGGAGGAGATGTACCAGGCGACGCCCGTATCAGCATCGTTGCCGGAGCTGGCGTGACGGTTTTGTTCTTTTCTTTTCTACGGACTTGGCATATACCTTGTGAAGGAAAAATTGTAAATTGTTATTGACGTGGATGACCGCACGTTGCAAATAAGCATGGCGTCCTGGGAATGTACAAATATCGGATGTAGTGACCCGATGTCGCTGAGGATATTGAAATGATATTCTTGAAGAAATGGTTATGTATCCCCTGCTGGATCGTATTTGCCCTGATTCGTAGCAACCAATTCCCTATGGCACGAATTAGCCAGGTGCAATCCATTGCCGGACAATAGCATCCATCGTCTCGTACTCGATTTTGTACAGTAATATACCAAGCGCTATTAGCAAGTCCACACTCCCACTTCACCATTTCTCCTGCCTTCTATCAGGTACCCATCTTTCAACCTGACATGCTCAACGACACTTGTGTTTGTATCGGCCATTCGATCCTCGACTGTCGTGTTGGCACCTGCACCACAATCCCAGTGCCTACCATCAGCCTTGTCATAGACTTTGACCACGTCTTCACCAGCAGCGCAGACAATATGACGTGCATCGAACATCATACTCGTGATCGGCGAGTCATAACCATAAGCATCGAAGATTGTCCCCGTTCGGAGATCCCAAATCTGGCATTTCGTCAGTAACGTTACCCGTGACCAGAATAACAAGCAAGACTTACTCTGACGCTTCTGTCGACACTGGCGGTCACAAGGTGAGTGTCATCAAACTGCAGACAGGTGACAGGGCCGGTATGTCCAACAAGACTTCTGTGGACTTGTCCACTTCTCAAATCCCACAGACGGACCATTCCATCCGCAGTGCCACATGCTAAGGCTGCATCAAAACATTGCAAGGCGCCCACAAAATCCGCGTTCGCATCAGTTGATCGTCCCGTTGGTCGCCATTGTGGTTCTGCACTGTTCAAGGTCGCACTGGCTTGAGCAGCTGCCCATAGCACATCAAGTGTCTGCACACATCGACCTTTGACCAAGTCCCATTGACGTAAAGTCTTGTCAGCCGAGCCCGAAACGAGCATGTCTCCACGTAGATGCAAAGCCGTAACCTCATCCACATGAGCTTCGAGGACGAAAAGAGGGCATTCTTCCATAGCGTCAGGTGGCGGTGGAGGAGGGGCGTCTTCCGTTTCGTTGCCGAAGCCTAGCCCATCGTCCTCATCATCTCCGCCTTTCCCTTCTTCTCCATTCTCAACGATTTTGTTTTCGTATGGCTCGTACTTGGCTCGACTGAGATCCCAGAGCCTTATGGTGGCATCTAGACTGCCAGTTGCAACAATGTTGTCTTCAACCTGCAGGCACCGGACGGAAGCAGTATGGCCTTCTAAGAAACCCATACACCGACCCAAGTTGAGATCCCAAACACGTACCGTGTCGTCGAGAGCCGCGCTAACCATAGTCCCAAAAGGTTGGTCGAAATCTAGGGCCGTGATTGTATCATTATGTGCTGGAATTGTCTTGATATGAGACCCCTGTTCCAAGTGTTCGTGGAGAACTGGCATAGATTTGCGCCTTGCATAAGTGGGCCGACGTTTTGATTTTGGAGACTTTGGCGACGCGGTCGAGGGAAGTTTCTCGTATATGGATTGTGACATGAAAGATGCGTCCATGGCTTCGGACTCCGGTGTAGCCGCTCTAGGAGGGTTCAGTGTACTGGTCGACTCCTCTAGCGCACCCTGCTCGGCGAGCTCTTCCTGCATCTCTTCAATCTTATTGTCGAGTTCCAGCAGTTCGTGTTCGACCTCGGCTTCGTCATTTTCGAGCCCAGCAAGTCTGTCGAGGACGATTCTCCGCATGTTTTGCAGATTTGCAATTTTGTTGTCGATGTCTCGGATCTCGGTTGTGCACATGTTCTTCCTAATGGCCATCATTTCCAGTCTATGATTGACAGTATTCCGTTTCTTCTTCAGGTTTTGGATCGTTGGAGGGCCATCTTCTTCGATATCCCCAGCCCCCAGGAGCTTGTGCTGCTTCGAACCCCGCCGCCGATGGCCTTTTCGGTGTTCACTCTCGCTTTCCGGTACTGAGGCTTGAAAGCCCTGGAATAGGGAATAGGTATTATCATCTTCAGGAATATTGTGCAATTGGTCGTCGGAGATGTAAGTGAGGGCTCGATGTGCTATTTCGCTGGTGGACAGTTTTGCTCTGACCAGTTCCGAAGGAGCTTGATGAGCGAAGCTGAGAACACCTCTTTGTAGGGCTGGCCGTCGCATCTGGCGCGATATGCTGGTCATCGCGTTCGGGTAGTGGTTGGAAGAATTGTCACCCATCAGGTGGCTTGCAGTTGCCGTTACCTTTCGGCCAAAGGCTTCCAACTGCCGCGTCTAATCCTAGTGTCAGTCTCCATCATCCAAGGCGTGTCGAGCCATCTCACATCGAGGACTGCGCCAAGGACAGAATCGTCTCCATCTCCGAGGGCTCTTCGTGATTGCGAGGCATTGCGGCTATGTGTACGCGAGCTGGCCATACAGCCGCTGTTCTGCGCTGGCAGAGGGGACGCCCTGAATCGTTTCTGGTTCGTTGAGTGGTGTTGCGGACGTGATTAATATAAATGACGATTGATAGGTTGGCCGCTAGCTTGAGGCTCTGGAAATGTTGGAGCTGGAGAAGATGCGGAGGCAGAAAGCAAGATACAAGATGCTGCAGCGCGAGGTAAACTTAGCTAAGCCTGCAGCCGATAAACGGACTTCTTTAGGAGCTCTTAGAGGAGGGCTTTTCTGACGTAGCCTTTCCAGCGAGCCAGTCGATCAACTTCCAGGTACCACCAAGTCACAGATTTGTATAGCGATTTCTTGCTGACGGGAGATTCACCTTGGGATATTGACCTTCTATGGACTTATAAAATGGCCTTGGAATTACTGTGTCTCTCTCTTCTCTCTTCTTGATATGCCACTATTGCTTACATTTTCCAGCGCAAAGTAATTTTTCACCAGAGCAATCAACCCTCATTCCTGACATGGACACAGCATTGGATCTGTCCGATGCCTCAAAAGCTCTAGATTTGGACAACATCCGCTTTCAATTAATGTCCGTCTGCTCGGGCCTGGGATTGATACACACACTGACCTTCCTGTAGACGACTCGAAGACACGATCACCTTTCACCTCATTGAACGAGTACAGTTTCCCCTCAATGCCACCATCTACGACCCTACCGCTCTGCCTATACCTACCATAAACCTTGCACTGCCTCCAGCCATTTCTCTGCTAGACTACCTCCTCTCCGAGACCGAGCGTCTTCATTCCACCATCCGCCGATATGACGCTCCTGACGAATATGCTTTCTTCCCACAAGTCCTCCAGCGGCCAATGCTCCAAGCCATCAAATACCCCAAAATCCTCCATGACAACGACGTCAATGTCAACCAGATCATCAAGGAGAAGTATATAAACGAGGTGTTGCCTGAAGCCTGCCGCGAGTTCGGACGGGAGGACCGAGGCGAGACAAAAGAGAACTATGGGAGCGCTGCCACATGCGACGTTGCCTGTCTGCAAGCTTTGAGTCGGCGGATTCACTTTGGCAAGTTTGTGGCTGAAAGCAAGTTTCAACAAGAGACCGAGAGGTTTGTGAAGCTCATCAAGGCCGAAGACCGCGGAGGAATTGATGCGGCCATCACCAACCAGAAGGTGGAGCAACAAGTCCTCGAGCGATTACGGCTCAAGGCGAAGACTTATGGCAAAGATCCTTCTGCGGGCACAAACGGCGGAGTTGGCGGAGAAGAGAAGATCAACGTGGAGGCAGTAGTGAAGATGTATGCCCAAGTTGTCATTCCCCTGACCAAGGTCGTCGAGGTCGAGTATCTCATGCAGAGGCTCAAAGGGACCAAATGGGAGTGAGGTTGCCATACACCTGTTCTGGATAGGTCCGCATAGCTTACGCTTGAGGCTTCAAGTACTCAGCAACGTCTTGGACAGCATCCTTGAACTTGTCGGCCGAGATCAAAATGGCATGACCTTGAGGCTTGATTCCAAGCTCTTGAAATGCTCTTTTCGAATCCGAATGTCCCTCGTCTTGCTTGGTCGAATAATCGTACCCTCCGTGACAGACGGCGTGCCGATGCAGAACCTCGTCCTCAGGGTGGAAATACATGGTCTCGAACGATGTGCCTGCAGCCTTCTTCTTCTTCTTCGTGGGCCGATTCTCTTCAGCATCTAATTTGGAGGCCACTTCGGTGTAGGTCTTGGAAAGAATGAGATAGTGCGAGAAGTTGTATGGTTCTTTGTCATCGATGGCCCACTGAATCTCTTCCAGTAACATGCTGTACATTGGAGGGACAACCTCGGAGGGGACATTGATCAGACGTTCTGTGAGAATGAGGCCGATCGAGGGGATAGTAGGTTGCGAGAGGAGATCAGCCAGAGGGGCAAGCTCTGGCTTCGACCTTGATTTCGTCTGAAGGTACTGGATGATCTTCCCCATGAAAGGCTGCTCCTTTGGAACTGTCAGCAAACATCACACGCTTTTCCTTGGGGACAATGCCTACCTTGTGCTGTTGCAGGTTCAAGACAGACAGGAAGGCATATGCATCCGTCTCATTGCCATCCACTTTCACGGTCGACCCCAGTGTCGGTTGCGACAAGATGAGGTCCGTCAACGCAGACAATTCGAACAGTTGAGCATCAACATCAAACAGCTGTTGCAGGAGCGTCTTGATCCCATGAAAGTCAACCTCTGGTTGGGGATCAAACCACTCAAAGTCGACGTCGAGTACGTCAAAATCCTAGCGCATGTCAATACGGGTGCGGGTAAAGATGGGCAGTCCAGCCTACGTCGTCGTCACCGCTGTCATCGTCCACCATGGCATCTTTGTCGACGACCTTGTCGCCGATTTCCTTCCTTTTGCTCATTTTGGTCGTTTAGTAGATCCGAAAGTGTTGACTGAGATCCAGGCGACAGGCTCGAGAGTATGTACAAAAGCACTTCCCTCTAGAAACTTTTTTTATGCGGGGAAAACCGCCGCAGCCAAACCCCTCGCAGAATATTTTTCTTCGCTCGACGCGACCAACTTCCCAGTCTTTTTCTCTGGGATCATTTACTTGTTCTCCCAGTCACAATGGCTGCTAATGGCGAGACGATCGGCGACACGGTCAATGTACCGGCGAAAACCTTTGACACGATCCTCGTCCTCGACTTTGGGTAGGCTCATCCCTACCTCCTGTTGTGCTGCCATGACTCACGGACGATTCAAGATCTCAATACTCCCACCTCATCACACGCCGGCTGCGCGAATTGAATGTCTATTCTGAGATGCTACCATGTACACAAAAGATTGCAGATCTACACTTTCGGCCCAAAGGCATCATCTTATCAGGAGGGCCGTATTCCGTGTACGAGACCGGCGCACCGCACGTTGATCCTGCTGCTTTCGATTTGGGCGTCCCTATACTTGGGATATGTTATGGTCTCCAAGAGCTGGCATGGCATCATGGGAAGAATGTCCTAGCAGGCGAAAAGAGAGAATATGGCCACGCATACCTTAAGATCGAGAGACATTCAGGAAAGCAAGAGCACATTGACCGCCTCTTTGAGGGCATTGAGGATGATATCGAGGTCTGGATGAGCCATGGAGACAAGCTATCTAAACTCCCCGATGGTTTCCATCCTATTGCGACCACAGCCAACTCTCCCTTCGCAGGTATTGCCAGCACGGACAAGCCGTACTTTGGTATTCAATTTCACCCAGAGGTGACACATACTCCACGAGGTACTCAGATCTTGAGCAACTTCGCTGTCAAGGTTTGCAACGCACGGCAAGACTGGAGCATGGAGAAGTTTGTAGACAAGGAGATTGAACGTATCCGAGCACTAGTCGGTCCCAAGGGCCAGGTCATCGGTGCTGTATCTGGTGGTGTGGACTCTACTGTTGCTGCAAAACTGATGCAAGAGGCTATTGGAGATCGATTCCATGCTGTGCTGGTTGATAACGGTGTGCTGAGGCTCAACGAGGCCCAGACCGTGAAGGAGACACTCACGCAACACCTCGGTATTAACCTCACGGTGGTGGATGCAAGCGATCTATTTCTAGGCAAGCTCAAGGGTGTTTCGGATCCCGAGACGAAGCGCAAAATCATTGGCAATACTTTCATCGAGATATTCCAGGACAAGGCGAAAGCAATCGCAGAGGCTGCCGCAAATTCTCCGAAGGCCGGCGACATCGAGTGGCTGCTGCAGGGCACTTTGTACCCGGATGTGATCGAAAGCATATCATTCAAGGGACCGTCTGCCACGATCAAGACGCATCACAATGTCGGCGGACTCCTGGAGGGCATGCACCTCAAGCTTATAGAGCCTCTGCGGGAATTGTTCAAGGACGAAGTGAGAGCATTGGGAACCAATCTGGGCATCCCAGAGGAGCTCGTTTGGAGACATCCTTTCCCAGGTCCCGGTTTGGCGATCCGTATCCTTGGAGAAGTCAACGAGGAACAGCTCAAGATTGCTAGGCATGCTGACAAGATCTTCATTGACGAAATCACCGCTGCTGGTCTGTACAGGAAGATCTCCCAGGCTTTTGCCGCACTGCTTCCTGTCAAGGCTGTCGGCGTCATGGGAGACAAGAGAGTGCATGCTCAGGTCATTGCTCTCCGTGCAGTCGAGACGACTGACTTCATGACTGCTGACTGGTTTCCATTTGATGGCGAGTTTCTCAAGAGAGTGAGCAGGAGGATTGTCAATGAGGTCGACGGGGTTTGTCGTGTCGTCTATGACGTTACCAGCAAACCCCCTGGTACAATTGAAATGGAATAGGCGTCGGACTTGAATTTGGTCGTCCGGAGAAGTCTAGAAATTTGGCGTTGGGGCCCTGGGGATCGGATTGCAGCTTGGGAAGAATAAGATACCACCGGTGATAGAGATGGTCCTGCAAAGGAATTCCAGTTTCGAGTCAGTATTTTCTGAACCATCATTTTCCCTCTCTGTTCGACAGCAGCACTACTGATTGACTGGTACCCAAATAACCTCGCAAGCACTTCAAGCTTGCAGCACTGAGGTGGAAGTCTTCGAATTGAGAAATCTGAGTATACTGGCCTTGGCACTACCACATTGCTCTTCTGGACTGTCACCATCAAACTGTGCCCTCTCTCACTAGGTTTCACATTCTGCATCCACTCTCGCCATTTGTGGTTGGCCTCACAAGGACGCAATCTGCAATGTCGACCCCATCTGTTCTTGACTATGCACGTTTTCACGGTCTAGCAATTGACAATGCTACGCAGGACGTCCTTGCATGCTTAAGTGGCCTTGTAGGTGATTGCAAACGTGACGGACTTGTTGGCTTTTTGCCAGACCCAGATTTTTCGGCATTCAGACACGATGTGAAGGAGCCGAAATTGCAGCTGAGTCGGGAAGCCAGCCAAATTCTTGTTGACAGCATCCGAGATCCATGCCAGGGAATACCGTGGGACGACTTACTGCCGAAGCGTCATAGCATGATCAATCTCAAACTTGAAGAACCTCTGCTGGCGACTGACCATGAGATTGATGTTTGGAATTTCCAACGGAGCGCAGTAAGGTGTCTAGATTTGGAGACACTCATGGACTATTGTCCGCCAAAAGAGAGCAACCCCGGAGAGGAGTTTGAAGATGAATGGAATGACATTATTTCTGGTCGCAGCTTGAAGGAGCTCAAAATCCAGTTGAGTCGGGAGAAGGTACATGCAACGAGAGACACCCTAATTTACACATCACAGATCTTGAAAGACAGCATGTCTGGGGAGAAAGATGAGGCTTTGACAGCTGGCCTAGGGTTGGACAAGGTAAACCATGCCGCAAATGCCTATTTCCAACGGTGACAAGATGCAGGAGCCACAGCAAAGCACGTTGAGTCCAATTATGACTCCGGAGAGCTCACCGAGATCCAGCCCACCACCCTCACCTGAATCTGGAATTGGACTTGCGAAGCAAGATCGCATGGATTTGGACGACTTGCTCTTCCATGTAGAGAGGCAGATGCAAGAGAAGGACAATGGTGAAACCGTTCCAGAAATAGTCGATGGCCTACGTATTGAAGAAGAGATACTAGCAGAATCAGTTCAAAAGATCAGTGATGAAGGTGAGAAAGACCAAATGAAATCGAAAGCCATCTCGACGACACAAACCGAGCACTTCCGACCAAATGATCAGGCCGATGCTGCTATAATTGACATCGATGGTCAGGCCCGGGCGCCACTACTTACAGACGCTCTTCTCAAGACTTCCCACGAGGACTTCTCAGACGGTACGACCGATGAGATTCTAATGGAAGAATACGATGAGTACTTCAGGGGGTTGGTGGAGGCTCCGACAGAGGATACGAAACGCCTTGCGCAAAGGCCACGGATCCTTAGGTTGGGAGAGCCTTTGAAAGTCCCTGTCCCGGCTATGGACGCGCTCCTCGTTCAACTTACTTCTCAGACAGCGCAGGGCACAGTTCTTGGCAGCCTTTTTGGTAATCTACCACCATCTTGGCAGGTTGCATCAAGCCTGGCTAAGGAAAGTGAACTCAGCTGGTTACCCTCGGGCTTCTCTTCCATGAAGACTATTCTTGAGGAGCGAATCGTGGACACGGGTCCGGCTGCAGAATATATCAGCCCTCCGAAAGGGATCACTGAGAGCGCGCAAATGCTTTGGAAGCAGCCTGGTCTGCGCCTCCTGGATTCCGATGAAGACGGTGATGAGGAGATGGAAGTGGACAAGGATCTAGCGCATGCCCTTTCAGCGACCCCAGAGCCCCAGATCCCGGAAAAGAGATTCATGTCTGATCCTGCACCATCGAACTCACTGGTTAAGAAAGTCACGTTGGAACGCAGGGCAACGTTGACGTCGCCTGCGAAGAGGCCACCAACACCACGTCAACATCGGCTGAGTGAGCTAATCGCATCGAAAATCACTCTATCCAACCCGAAAACCTCCTTATCCGCAACCACGAAAAGACCCGTTACCTGTAACAGTCCCTTTTCAGCATCCACTTCACTGAGCACATTTTTGGACCTTCGTGGCAGCAAGTTCAAGAAAGTAGAAGGGCTTGCACCGCCTTGGAAGGAGGAGATACCGGATGATCCCATCCAGACCACACAGTCGGAACACTCAGACTGCATCAAGTCGGAGCCATCCAAGTCCAAGCAGGGCCACCGTGTTGAAGGTGTACGTCCTTCAGACAAGACGGTCCAGGTGCCAGCTACGCCACCCAGCAACACCTTCAGCTTGAACAAGACCCCTCTGCAGCCGCTCGAGATCTTGAAGGGACCAAGATCTATAGTCATTGATTCAGAAATTCTCCGCAAGGATCCATCTCTCATCGCATATCTCGAGACCCATGGAGGAGACTGGCTTACAATGATCTATCGAGATATGCGAGCGCCCAGCCTAAATGAGTCAAGTCTCGAATTCGAATCGGCTGATATAATCCTCAATGCTCGCGCCGCCCTGATATTCACCAACCTCCAAGCCTTGAACCAGAGGAGCTTACCGGGCCAGAGCGGCTCAAGAGGCCAGGGGTTAGTGCAGAGCAAGATCACGAAGCTGGTAAAGGACTATGACTATGTGTCAGTCTTGGTCACAATCCCATGCCTTGGAGATAGTCCCTCTGAGGCTACTCAAGCCATCATCGCGGGATTCGCGGGATTCTGCTCAAGCTCGAGTCGCGAAGGCATGAGAGTTTGTCCCGTCTGGGTCTCACCAAGCACCACTTTACCGGGTGGGGAGAAAGAAGTTCACCGTCGGACTTGGGACTTGATACGTCAACATGCTTTCTCGACATATCACGAACCAAACCCAGACAGCTTATCATTGATTCACGAGGAGACACTCTGGGAGCTATTCCTGCGCAAGGCAGGGGTGAATCCAATGGCAGCTCAAGTCGTGCTGGGAATGCTGAAGAGGTCTGAGCCCGCTAACATGCAAGATGAGCAAAGCTGGGGTTTGAGAAAGCTTGCACAACTGAAGCCTGAAGCAAGGATGGATATGTTCGGGAAGATGTTGGGCCCGAAGACAGTGGAGAAGCTCAATCTGGCATTTGACCAGGATAGGCCCATGCTGCGGTATCACACAACAGTTATCTGACTTGCGAGATGGGATGGAAAAGTCGAAGTCTCAATGCAGTGCTGTATAGCTGCATATAAAAATGACTGGGTAACCAATAAATATCTCGACCGATGCTGTTGCAGCAAGGCTATGTATGTCTTCTTGGTAGACGTCCGACTGACGTAGTATGCATGGTGCTGGGTGGCACGGGCATTTCAATGAGGAAGGTCCGTCCGAGGACCAACTACGCAATGTGCAACGCATGTCACAGGCTCTCCTCCATTTTTCTGCTCTACTTCTTTCGAAAAGTTCTGAAAGGTTCTCGATCGTGCTTGGAACTGCTCATCTCCATCACCGTGGCTCCTCCGTTCCGAGGCGTAACTCGGTCTCGCAATACCTTTAATCTGCTGCGTTACCTCTTCCCGAACACTCATCGACGGGCACGCGAGGGATATCTCGGCTTCCGACACGAATATATTCCTCGACTTAAGCTACAGGCTCAATCCCATATCTACCAAGCCATTGTTCGCAGCCAGCGAAGGAAACAAGAGAAAAGAGCAGCAGGAAGGGGCCTTGTTCCATTTATACGGCGGAGGAAGAGCCACATCCTCCGGGCACTGTATGGAAAACACCATGCTGGTGCTCGAGTCTCACAAGGTACGAGATCAACCGATCAGATGACAAGTTATGGTCAATCCGGCGCAAAGGTGCCAGGGTCGAGGCGGGATCGGGTGCGTGGCTATCTTCGGGCGGCGAACGAGTTGAGACAAGTATACCAAGAGTCAATATCACAAAGGTTACAAGGAAGCGAGACTGACGGAGGCATGCCGGGGGATTACCCTGATGTGGACATCGTCAGAAGCGGAGATGAAGAGCTGCTCTTGTTTCCGAGTTATGCCAGAAAACATACAAAACGAAAGGGTGACCCGAGCGAGGCGGGCAGATCGCCACCTGGGACGAACGAGTCGATAGAGGCACCGCACAGCAGCGGCGATGCTGAGTATTGGAAAAGAGAATGGGAAAGATACGAAGACGCCAATGCAATTGTGGATGTCGACGTGCGAGGATGGATTTATTCTCCACAATCAGGGCCATTGAGCAGGAAAAATCGCCTTCTTCTGGCTGTGGCGCGAAGGTTGAGCGGTGTCTATGCTCCGCTGCCTGGTCCTTCCGCTTCCCAAACATCCCATCAGACCCCTATCGACCAAGACCGGCGCGAAGACAGTCCATCAAGATACGAAGATGAGCTCGCGGCCAGGGAGGCCGAAAATATCGCCCGTCGTGGTGAGCTGGAGGCTGCGGCTGCACAGCGCGGAAGCTACAGTCAAGCAAACGGAGATGAGAGACAATTTGGTAGTGACAGCCCTGCGGGTAGCAGGTCGGGCTCACCAGGGCGGAGGAGTACCTTCGCATCTGGTGAAAGTGAAGATTGTGATCCTGGCCACGATTCCTTAAAGAAACGCCAGTCATGGAACGAGCCTGCGAGTATGAGCCGAGAGCAATTGGCCGCTGCCAACCAGCTACTGTTGACCAGGTTGAAACCGTTCATGACCACGCCTGTGGCTCACACTCCGATCACGGTGTTCTTGTTCAACGATCAGAAGTCAGCATCCAAGTCCGTGACCACAGATGATTCAGGGCATTTTAATCTGCGAGCAGCTTTGGATTTCGTCCCTACGCAAGTCAGGGTTCTGGCTTCGGACAAGTTGTCTGCGACCGAGGACGTCATCATCACGGAGAGTAAAGGCATCAGCCTGATCAGCGATATTGATGATACCATCAAGCATTCAGCCATTGCTAGTGGAGCGAGGGAGATCTTCAAGAACACATTCATTCGCGAATTAAGCGATCTGACTATTAAGGGAGTCAAGGAGTGGTATTCCAAACTTGCCAACATGGGTGTCAAGCTGCATTATGTGTCCAATTCGCCGTGGCAGCTGTATCCCCTGTTACGAAGCTATTTTGCGCTCGCTGGATTGCCAGCTGGCTCAATTCATCTGAAGCAGTATTCTGGCATGTTGCAAGGGATTTTTGAACCGGCAGCCGAGAGAAAACGAGGGACCATCAATCGGCTAATGACCGACTTTCCCGACCGAAAGTTCATCCTCGTGGGAGACAGTGGAGAAGCAGATCTCGAGGTCTACACAGATGTCGTTCTTGAGTATCCTCGGCGGATCCTGGGTGTCTTTATCCGAGACGTTACGACACCTCCAAAGAAGGGGTTCTTCGACCAGTCTGTTCCGAACACACTCCCAGATTCTATGATCTCGTCTGAGAATGGGAATCGTCTGGGTCGGCCTACTCAAAGCAGCAATATTCCGGAGAACAGACCGCTACAGCCGCCGAGACCGAAGCCGCAGCATAAAGCACATTCCATGCCACCTCGGGAGGAAGATCTCATCGACTTTGGCAACGATGCTGACAGTCCGGCTAGCCAGGACAAGCCTTCGCACACTGATGATCTGCGGCAACTAAGCAAGAGGCCTGCCGCTCCTGCTAAGCCAAACAAGCCATCCAGTTTACGGAATTTTTCGACACAATCGATGCCTCCGACAGACCACGATAGATTAACCGCTTCAGATACCGAGATCCAAGAGCCGAGCAAGAGAAAGCCTCCTCCGCCCCCTAGACCTCGTCGCAGCGGAGGTGTTGCCGGATCAGAAGGTTCCAATCTTGCGCCATTGCCACGAGCGCCTTTCTCGTCCCCTCGTCAAAACCAGAGCCAACCACAACCCACGGCATCGTCTACTGAGGCAGCTCCCAAGCCGCCCATTCGACGGACGAACACTTCCACCAGCACAGCATCAAGCCAATACTCGCACTACGAGGAAGGATATATTGCCTCCGCCAGGCGACAGATTTCATCGGCTTATAATGCCCTACCTGCTATGCGCTCATCTTCACCCTCGCGACCCGCCGACCAGACAGGCATCAGCAGCGACAACAGGCCGAACCCACCATTGCCTCCTCGAAGGGGCTTGTCGGGATATTCTGCTGCTGCTGCTCGCTGGGCAACAGGTGCCACAGGCGGTGACCCTGCTGCTGGCGGGGATGGAGGTGTGGTGGGCGGGACGTACGACAAGAAGCTGGAGATCTGGAAGCGGAGATGGGCAAGGGCTGAAGAGATTATGAACCAGCGTGGTATAGTCCTTCGCTCGTGGCGGGTGGGAAGTGATGTTATGGATGAATGCGTGAGGTTGGTCAAGAGGGAGATGGAGAGGGATGAACGAAGTATGGAGTGACGACCGTGATGATTCTCAAAACCGAATACTACTTGTCTTCCAGCGTGTCACGATTGAATCAAACCAAGTACTGTACGAGTATCGTCTGTCCAAATCTCGGCTTCCCGAGATAACAGGCACGTGTGGGATTTCCACTATTGGGGTTAGCCAGGAACAGGAAGCACTTCAAGCCTTGGATAAGCAGTTGATCGTCTTCTGGTTGTTCCTGATGCTCCTTGTAGCACGATCATCTACGATCATCTTACAATGTAACTCCCCCCCTTTTTCGCTCCACTGCAAGACGGTGGATCAATGATGACTTCATAGCCTGTCGTTGCGGTTTCGTGAGCAGTGTTTGTGATGTCATGTTCTGTCTGCTGCCACACAACAAAAAGTGTTCACTCTCGAGTCTCTGCTTCCCTCTCTCTCTCACTTGTACACAGTCTTCCATTGAAATCTTCTGAAATAAAGGCGAACAAACAAACGGAAAAACGAAGCCAAACCACATTGCCAAATCACCCCAAAAGTCAAGATGTCAGGACAGTCCAGCGTCGGCAACAGACAGGTCTACGAGGCCGGTGACCAGCGAGTGCCTCCAGACTCGCAAAAGGCCGAAAACCAAGCACAGCCGTTCCACGAGGGCGAGAAGAACAGCCATCAAGCGAATGATTCGAGTATGTATTATACCCTCAGTACCTAGGTACCTTACCCCATAGGTTTTCCAGAGCGTGCTGTTTTCGTGGGCTGCTCGTTCGTTCCGTATCTCCTGCACACGACACGACACCCAAGAGTGCTCCATACTTGACCCAGAGGGGCCCAAAAAGGACGACGGCAACATGTTTTGCTTTTGCTTTTGCTTTGGTTTCCTTCCTTCCGTTGCCCCGAGGATCATGCCACTGCTAGTGCTAGTGCTAACGCTTCGCTTCTTGCACAGAGGACCAACGCAGCATCGGCAACCGCCTCGCGGCCGCGGGCCCACAGAACGACGACTCCAGCAAGAGCGGGCTGAGCGCCGAGGACAAGGCGGCCAAGATCGATCCGACCCTGCCCGCGAAGATGCACGGCAACGAGCCGTCGCGGGGCGCGCAGATCGACAAGGAGATCGAAGACGAGGAGGCAGCCATCCTGGCCAAGAAGGATGCCCGGAAAGCTCACGGGGCCACGGGTGGCACGGGAGATGCAGCGGGAAAGAAGAACTAAGTTCACAGTTCACACAAACGAGATTGAACGACATGTACGAGTACAGTAATCATTCCTCATCTCGCGCCCCATGGAGAGTCGAGAGAGAGTTGTGAGATGCATACAACCAGGCGTTTCAATGAGGCGTTGATGCCCCCTGAAAAAAGCAAAAGATAGAAAAATGTCAATCTGAAGAGACCAAGATGGTCCATTATGAGTCACTATGCACCTAGCTATGTGCTTCTTTTCTTCTCTCCCTGTTCCTGTCCTTTCGTGGTTCTCATTATTCGTACAGATTTTGTCTGAGCCCTGGGCGTACCTGATCTGAGGTCAAGCCAGGTTTGATGCCTCAGGTATGCTGCGCTCTTCCTGATGTTTCGTCCAAGACGCTCTTCTCAATAGAGCCCAGGGGTATCCAGGAAGCCAGTCACAGCTGGTAGTTCGCTCAACATTGCTCCATATTCATACAGGTTCAAGTGTCTTCAGGCGTAGTTGTGACCGTTAGTTAGCGGCAGCCTGGACCTTCTCCGTTTCATGGATCAGCTCGGGTTAATTCCGCCAATTGGTCTCTGGCAGCGCCGACCTTGTCCGCGACGTCGTACAGGTTGCGTTGAACTTCTCCAAAGACGTAGCGCAAGAGCTGCATCTGATGTTCTTTCTCGCTCAAGGCAGTGCCGTCACGATCGCCGTATGCAAGTCGCTGGTTCACCTCGCGTTCTTTGCTAACCACTTTGCCTTCCAAGCCCTTGACATACGCTTCGATCTCGCTGAGCAGTCGGCGTTTCTCACGCATCTCCTCTTCCATGCCGTTGGCGCGCATTCTGAACAATTCGATGAGACTCTTGGGTCCTTGGACTTCCTCTGCATCTTCGCCTGGGAGTTGGATCGTGTTGCCCTGCGCAGTTCCACCGCGGACGCTGCCTCGTAGAGTTTGTGGGTTGTTCCACCATCCGCTGAGTCCTGCGCCGCCATAAACGCCATTAGCGTTGGCTTGGCCGAAGCTCTCGTTCGATGTGTGGCTGGCTTGGTATTGGCGTGGCATCTTGAGGCGGTCGACTGCACGAAAGACAGTTTTGGCTTCGAGTTCGGTCTGTTTCACGTCTCCGTCGCGCGCGGCTACGATGGCTTCTGCATCATTGCCAAGGCCCGTTTCGAGTTCCTCGAGCTTCTGGCTAACAAAGTCGACGCCGTTGCCGATCATTTCGCCGGCGGCGATGACAGTGGGGAGGAGATCTGAAACTTCTTGAGCGAGTTTACACTGGGTGTAGATCATGTTATCGACCGCTTCCATTTCGGCCTGAAGTTCAGGGGTCGATTGTTCGAACTTGGTGGTGGAGCGCATGTGGGCGAGATCGATTTGAGGCTGGGAGAATGCGCCTGCGGTGTTGGTGGAGGAGCTGGCTGCCGCGGGTTGAGAAGCAGGCTGGCCACTGTCGAGAGTTAGTTTCAAGGAACCGGTACAGGGGGCATTGAGGGTTGTAGTCGTGGTTGTCGTCGTCAAAGTTTACTTTTCAGAATTTCGAAGACTTACAATAGCGAGTTACCAGGATTCGCTGGCTCGGTGGTGTTCATGCCGCCCAAATTGAGCGTAGGCTTGGACGTCGAAGTCCCGAAGCTGAACGCCATGTCTGCTGCTCCATTCACCTCGGGAAGTGGTTGTTGTTGTAGGAGGTTTTCGGCGAGTTGACCTTGAGGTTTTGGAATATTTGGGAAACAAGGTGTTGGTGAAATTGGAGTGAGACGCGCCTCACGAGCGGAGTTGTCTTCTCCAAAATCCGACAAGTGCACCACCGTAGTGCGAGCATCCGGCATCACTACGTCGGGGCATGACAACAGAGATGCAGTTGCTTGTTCGTTTGATTGATCCCCCGTAGTAGAACCATCGGGCATCACTACGTCCGCGTAGGACGACAGAGAGGCAGTTTGTTCTTTGTTCACCTGGCCCTGCTCTTTTGCTTGCTCTTTCGCCTCAATCTCGGCCTCAAGGAAACCCACAACTCTGCTGGGATTGTGAGTCTGGCCAAAAACGCGCACAGTGCGTCTGGGCAATGGTTTTATTGGTCTGAAACTCATTTTGACTGATTGTCTAGCTGTTGAGACAATGCAGGATGTGTAGGGCTTGGATTCTCAGCTTTGACAGGCAACTAGGATGTTTCGGCCCAAATGCGTGGCTGCGACGGTGAAACCGAGAGATGAATTCAATGTGGATGAGGAAGGATCACAAGGAATTCATGCCGAGAGCTTCTACAGGTCTCTTCAATGGTGCGGACAGGACGACATCGTTCACGACATCATTTCGCTGACATATCCAGGACCGCAGATGGGACGAGCCTGATCGCTAGTCCCGCGGACAACTCGATTCACACCTTGATTGTGTGAGTGGACGCATTCACAGCATTACTGGGACCGACTGACTCTATACCAGGCCACCTGATCTGTTAGAGGAAGAGAAACAGCCGCACAGCCTGCCTCCATATTGCACAATTCCAGCAAATGAGCCAGTCAATGCTATTGCGGCATATCCTTTCTTCAACCTTGAGGATGTTAGCACTGCTTTGGTGCTATCATCACTACGAGACCATCCAATTCGGCTGAATTCTGCCTTGTCAGGACATCTTGGAGCCTCTTATCCGCTGCTCAACACCATGACAGAAGCTTTCATCAATCCACATTCCCTGACTTTCACACCCCAGGGAGACCGCTTCATCGCTGGATCGGACTCATTGATCTCTGTTTTCGATCTTTCACGACCTGGACAGGAGCCCATTTCCTCATTGCCGACTGGTCCGAAACGGAAAACGACCGAGTACAGTCCAGCTGTCAACATGCGCGGTATCGTATCGGCATTGGCAATGGACAATTCCACCGGTCTGCTAGCAGCTGGTACATATGGTCGGCAAGTTGGACTGTACAACGCTATGGGCCAGGCCGAGTGTGTTGGAGTGTTTTCGGTCCAGGGGACGGCAGCTGATACAGACATTGGTGGCGGAGGAATAACACAGGTCACCTGGAGCCAAGATGGGAGATACCTCTACATCGCGGAACGGAAGAGCAATGGGGTCGTCATCTACGACATCCGCAAGACTGGGCAGTTACTGGCATGGCTCGAAGGTCGAAAGGCACAGACCAATCAACGTTTGGGAATCGATTTAGTGACAAGCGATGATCAAGGTGGACAAGAGATATGGGCTGGTGGACTTGATGGTTACGTCAGAATGTGGAAAGATCCTCCGCAGCAGGAGGGTTCGGTATCTCCTGCTTTTGAGTTCAAGGCTCATGATGGTGAAGAATTTGCTTTCCCTGCTATTGGTACATTGGCTAATTGTGGTGCAGATGCTATCTCAGGAGTGGGAGTACATAGTGGAGGCAGCGTCCTTGCTACGGCTTCTGGTCAGCGGCATTTTAACGTCGGATTTGAGGGAGAGCAATCCGTCGATGTGGTGGTAGATAGCAGTGTAAAAGTTTGGACACTCTAGATTTTTGCCTTGTCCGGAGAGATCACTGGATTTTGCTCTTTCTCAGTGTGATCATGCTCATGTATGCCAAACCGCAGTTCGAAGTGTGGTATCAAGAAACTAATGGGGTATTCTGCTCCGAGGCCTGTGAAACCAGTTCTCCTGACAGCCTTGCAGAAGTGGAGCGCCACAATGGCGAGGCTGAATCTGAGTGAGTCGATCTTAGCGTCTGGGCATTTCCAGACTGACTGGCTTTATCCCAACGTCGGTCCATTAGTTGCATTGTGGGAAGAACGGCCATGTTACAACACCTCTGTACCTGTTCAGTCTTCTCTGCTAGACAATGATCATCGAGAATTCATCAGTGCATGGTGCGCCTTGGGGTGTGCGAGCCGACAACATCTGATCTCCGGCATGGAATGCAAGACAACAAGCCCCTTCTCTTCTCCCTCCTTGCTCCTTCATGCTAGAGCCGACATTTGCTTTGAACCAGAATAATATCCATACAATGTTCCCCTTGTCTGTTGTCTGGCCGTACTGAGCACATTTTCATCACACCAGTGGCTGCTCTCCCCGCTGAATGTGTGACTGCGTCCCCTTTCTCTGCCTGCAGCGGGCTCGTAACGTCGACACCTTGGACGGGTTGATCTGGTAATGCTGATCCAGTTGGCATCTGCTAACTTGTGCTGGCTCTTTCATTCTTCCGGGGAGACGGGACTCTGTTGTCTGTCAGTCTTTCGCTCATTTGTGCCCACGGTAAGCTTGGGTGGCATAGCACGGCATCATCGCGCATTCTTGTTGCGACCTCTATGCCTGCTAGACCTGGATTAGTCGTCCAATTCTCCTTGCCGAGCTTCAGTCTTGCCACTAGACTTCCCTTCTTTCAAAGCTATCCCTCGGGCCCAAATTCATTCACCTTTGTCCCTTTTGAGCAGTTATACACCCATATCTAGCACGACCTTTGTTAAACTCTTCGAAGAACCAGCGTCAAGGCCTCGAGGCTCGAATGGCGAGCCTCGGGGCCTTGAGAAATGGGTCCTTCGAACTGTGCGAAGAGCCCCCCTTATACAACTTCAACCTCAAATCCAGGAGGCGATCTGGACAACCGGCTGGTTCATGTAATTGAGCCAGTCAAAGGTAAGCAACTCACCTTTTCGCCATTGACAGTAACCAAAGCTGACTGGCTGTCTCCATCAATCACCAAAGATCAGACTCGAATCGTCCGGACAGGCTAAGCAGCCCTTGAATCCCCCGGGTAGTAAGAGACGGAACTGAAAATCACCACGATAGGACACAACGTCCTCATGACTCTTAAGACTTAACGGCAGGAATAACACAGCTCATTGATGAGAAGAGAGATTGGCAGTAGCCCACCTCTGCTAGGGGTCCTCACTATGGACGAAGCAATGTCGTCGCTCTCGACAGCACCCTGCCTCTGAGAGGAAATGATTACAAGTTGAAATCAATACCACACCCTAAGCCGGACCTACATCGGCTCATCACAACCAGATGCCCCCGATGTGCCTATTGTTCGGGTGACGAGGACACTACAATGACGTTGTCACTGTCTCAGCAACCGGCCTGCCCGGTGCTGCCCTTCACATGCCAGCACAAGCCGGTGAAGGCGGTGTCCAGCAGTGGCCAGTCGGCGAGGCGGTTGCTGCCGGACCTTCACCTCGCATGCGCTTTTCACTGCCTCAAGCACTAATATATAGAAATGCACAAGCTTAGGCTGAACCGAATTCACCGCTTTAGTCAGGGTCAACTGCCGCAATCCGATCTTAGTCTATCGCTGAACGAATTTAAATCTTCTGATTCTGCACCGTCTTCAACACATTCGCTAAGAGTCAATACCAAAGGTCTGCTTGCACCGACGGTCCAAACTACACTCACTCAAGACTCAAACGACAGCATGGCAGCCCTCCAGCACCAACAAGCCGAGCTACAGGCAAAGCTCATCCGTGACCGCGTTAAGTCTATTGCAGTTGACCAACGTGGAATCACACAATGGATGAATGTCAAACCAGAAACATTGCCGTCCTCGAGAGATCTGTCGTCCGGTACTTGCGACTCTCAAACAATTTTCCCAAACGCTCTTACAGCACAGAAGTACCACGATGTGATACTCACCAACCGTCCCCATCCTGATCCCACCATCCCAGCCACCAATGATTCCAGAAAGGCGCATGTCAGAGTTCTGTTCAAGGCGTTCAAGATTGTCCCACGGGACGAGGATGAACAGGATCAAGGACAAGACGTGGATGAGCAGAGAAAGAAACGCGATGTTAAAGAAGCGTTCAAGAATCAAATTCACGACAACCACATGGTCGAATCTCTTTGCTGGAGAGTCCTCGACGCGTGTGTCTATCGCTCCGGCAAGGAACAGAACTTGATCGAAGCCTACATTGGTGAGACCGGCAAGAGTCACGGCAAGAGACAGAATTGGTCTTTCGAGGAGCGATTTGACAAGATTGTGCAGACCATGGCCAACTCCAAGTCTGTCTGTAAACACCTTCTTGATACAGCATACCTCCACCGAATTGTTGATGATCCGGTAACTGGCTACAAGAGAGTCGTCTCCAATAAGAGACTCAATGGGAGAAAGGGGGAGCTCATGAAGCGAGGCAAGGAGGTCCTCGAAGAAGAGAAGAAGTCGCGAAAGCGACAGAAACTCGAACACGGTTCGGAAGAACTTGATGAAGACATCAGCCAAGTCAGCACTCCTGCTTCCTCTACCCAGACAACTCGGCGCATAGTCCCTGCAATTGCTCCGAGCACCACCAGAGCGACGCGATCTGGTCAGCATCAAGTCCTGCACGCCAACTCTCAGCCTTTGGCAGCTCCCGCAGCAACCGTGCAGTCACCTGCGCCCACTAACTTCGCACACCTTGCACACCCTGCACATCACAATCCTGCAAAATTGTTCAGTCACGCCGCATCGAACATGATGAGAACCAACTACAGCAGCCAGATGGGTGCGCCTGGCATGTTGCCACCTTACCAGCCGCCACATACCACACAACAACAACATGGTCTGGGCATGTACGACCACATGACTTACGCACCTACTTCCTATCTTCGAGGCTACGGATCTGGGTCTGAAATCAACGTGGCACCCCAATTCCCACAAACCTACCCGAGATCCACTTTCGCCTCCGGAGACACTAGGAGCATGGCATCCTCTGAACACACTCCCGACGAGCAATGGCGCATGCACATGGAGGCAGAGAACTATGCGTCACAGTCTTACCAAGGCCATGCTACGGGTGGGCCGCATGTTGGAACATCAATGGGATACCAGAGCGCGGGCATCGATGATCAAGAAGAGTGGGACACGACACGCAGTGCTGGTCATGGCGCTATCGACCCGTCGATGAATCAATACTCTCATCTTCAGACGATGTTTCCTCCGCATGACGACAGCCACAACCCCTCCTCGGACTTCTTTGCTGGACCAGACACGAAAACTGGACCTGAGCCGACAGAGAGCGTGGAAGATGGAGACGAAGAGGAAGAGGATTACTCTAGCCACTAGACGTCGAACATTCCACAACGACCCTACACTAAAGACACCATGACCGAGCTTCTCTCTGGAATTGCACATGTACGTTCACCGACACAAGAAGAAACAAGTGACGAGTGCTATTCAAGAAGTTCCGGGTACAAAAACATTGGATATGAGTTACGACGAACATGACTGAGATACCCCGACATGTCACCAGAACAGTCAATGAGAGCTTTTTTTCAAAAAAAAATTTCAGCGTTGCCTCCAGCATCATGCAGGACAGAGATGCTCCGATACAAACTCGACATCAGCTTGGGGTTATGGGGAATGATGAGACACAGGCCATATTGGATAAGGCATGACAGATTTGTGCGATTGGAGTTGGTTGGGAAGTCAGGGAGACCGGTGTTCTTTTCTCAATTTTTCAGTCAGAAGTGCGATGCAGAGGACGATGCAATGATAGTAGAGCTAGCATAGCATCAGATGAGCACTGTAAAAAAATGTACAATACTCATTAGCTTCGAGCAATGAAAGACTTATATCAACGACTTGCTTTCCTGTCTGGCTCTTCTTTCGTGATAATCGAATTCTAGCTGACATTTGGTGGAAATGTCCCTATGAGAAGTCGTCGCCTCCCGTCTACATCGTACTGTCTCTTCAATTAATGGCATTGTCGCATTGTCTGTAATGGATGACTGACTGATCTCCTGCCCTCCTGCCAGGAACAGCTGACTTCCATTGAGAGCATCAAGTTCTCCTCGGAATTCAAGGCTGAGGCGACACGTAGGCCAGTCCCGCAGCATAATAGGTACCTTAGAGATTATTCGCATTTTCATACATGCTATCCATCTTACTTCGTACTTCTTTTCTCGTTGAGGACTTTTGCTTTTTGTGCCCATCAGTTCATCATCATGTTCGGACATCGACATATCCAAGACCGTCCATCACCAAAAACCCAGGACTACCAGTAGAAATGGTTGACTCATGTCTTACTTCGCATAGAGATCACGCATCATGAATCACGCCTTCTTCCCTCCTCCGCCGTCAAAGCTGAGACTATACCCGCCACCCTCACCTTGCACGACCTTGAAATTCTCCGTGCTCAGGCCGAACGGCTTCAGGATGCCATTGCCCAGGTCCTTCAGCTTCCCCATCATGTCAGCGACTTCCTTGTCCTTAGCCGCGCTGACTTTGGGCGGTAAGGACACCAGAGCCTGGCGGACGGTCTTTTGGTCCGAAGGGGGCAGTGCATTGAAGTACTCGGGCTTTTGGAGGGTTGTGTAGTCTTCCAGTGCGGCGGAAAGGTTGGACCAGGTCTGCGGTTCGAGACACGATCGCGCTCGACCACGCCGGAGGAGTAGTTTTGTCCGGATGCGGTGGATGTCGGATTTGCGTGCATCGGAGAGTTGGAGGGCAGCTAGTGTGGAAGCCTCGTCGACGTCGGAGGGGAGTTCGACCACCGTGTCGTCCTCCTGGTCGTCATCTCCTTTGTCCTTTTTCGGCGAGACGACGGGCGAGGAGGACTCGGACTCGGTCTCGGTGTCTGAGTTGAGTCTGCTGGTTCGTCTCTGAGTGCCGTTGGTGGCCTCTTTGTCTTTGTCCTTGTTCGAGGTGGTCTTTGTCTTCTTTGTCCGGGCTTTGGCTTTTTGTTTTGGCTTTGTGGGCATTTCGCGCTCGAGTCCCTCTAGACCCTTCTCGCAGCTGTCGACGGCTTCTTTCCATTGCTCGAGTTTCAGGTGGCAGGCCGCGATGTTGCTTTGTAGTACGGCCATTTCAAAGTCGAGATAGCCGGGTAATTCGGCCAGCGCGCGGTCGTAGGTGCCGATTGCGGAGGAGTAGTCTTGGTTGGAGAATTGTGTGTTCGCCTGGGATTTGAGGTCGTGTGAGGAGGCGAGCATTCGGGACTCTTCATCTGGAGGGAATCGTGCCGAGTGGAAGGAGGCGATGGAGGACGAGGAGGAGGAGCGGCGGGATTGCGACCATGACGGCGGCAGAGGAGTGGTATCTGTTGGTTGAGCGGGTTTTACACGTTCTGGTCGAGTCTTGGGACCGGTGGATTTGAAGGACATGGTGTGCGTGATGGGCGGCGGGTTAAGAAAAAGATCTCGGTGTCATTCGAGGTCGAAACAGGAATTACTACGTATGTTGATGTTGGCGATCTCCGAAGTTCTGGGAACAAGATACACGAAAAACCTTGGTCGGCGAGATCTGCAGGAACAAAAGTACATTTTCCTTCCCCTCCTCAGCTTTCAGCTTCTACCTAGGTAGGCGTCTCTCTTTCAACAGGATTCTTCTGGTCCGAAATGGCGTCTCTAGCACAGCATGCTGAGAATGAGTACGTTTCCTGTGCATTGCGAACCCCCACCACAGCCAGCGACGTCGTGACTGACTTCTACAGCTTCCCACCCATTCGGGCCTGCATATTTGACATGGACGGCCTCCTGATAGACTCCGAAGACGCCTACACCCATGTCACCAATACGATCCTCCACGAGAACGGTCGTCCGACACTCCCCTGGCACATTAAAGCGCAACTTCAAGGACGACCGGGTCCTGCTGCGGGGAAGATCTTTCACGGATGGGCACAATTGCCAATTTCACATGATGAGTTTACGAAGAGGCAGATAGAACTACAAGCAGAGGCGTTCAGACATTGCAAACCGCTACCTGGCGTGGAGAACTTGCTGCGTCGCCTGCAGAACGCATATACCCGATCTCATGGCGCCATGAGTCCAGCTGCTGCGGGCAGTAAAGTCCATTTGGCGTTGGCCACGAGCTCGCATTCGAGAAATTATGAGATCAAAACGAAGAAGATGAAAGACATGTTTGACATCTTCCCAGAGAGGCACAAGATATTGGGCGATGACCACCGGATACCGAAAGGACGAGGCAAGCCATTGCCGGATATCTATCTGCTGGCGCTGCAATCTATCAACGAGACGATTATGAGCGAAGGGGATGGTGAAAGACCCATAGAGCCTCGTGAGTGTCTCGTATTTGAAGACAGTGTACCTGGAGCCGAGGCCGGTAGAAGAGCAGGCATGAGAGTCGTTTGGTGTCCGCACCCAGGACTGTTGGAAGTATACAGAGGTAGGGAAGAGGAAGTTCTTGCAGGACGAACAGGGGAGCATAAAGAAGACGATCTCGAACATGCCGAGGGCATTCCGCTGGCTGGAAGTCCTGGCCATGAAGGAGAGATTGGCGACGGGTGGGGAGAGATGCTGGAGACCCTGGAACATTTTGATTTCTTCAAGTATGGTATCAGCTTATCCGATGCACGTTATACATCGGAGAACGGCCAGCCCGCTCTTGATGGGACCACGGATAAGGAGCTGGAGGAGATGACCGCCCTCGCAGATGGGAAAAGGCATGCACCTGAGGAGCCATCGCCTTCGAGGACGCCGATTCCATATTTGACATGAGACGCTTTGTTAATTGACACGTCGTGACATATGGGATGGTGTTTGAGAAAACGACTGTATATGTATTTCAATCTTCAGCCCTGAGGAGAGGCGTCTGTTCTGTCACAACCCTGTCGCGAGTGGCCTGCGCCATTCTCGACTGCAGCTCTTTCTTCTCGCGCCTGTGATGCATGATCTCGAAATAGCTTCCCATCGCGAGCAATATGCCCTGCAAGCACCCTGTCACCAGATAGACACCCCAAGCGCTCCAACCTTCGCTGCCGAGTCTGAACGCCAGACTGCCTGCCCAGACGAAGCTGCCCGGAGTTTGTATGCACATCATTGGAATGCTGAGACTCCCGACTCTCTTGAGCATAAACGTGGTATATATTTGAGGGAAATATTGGATCGATGCAAGAACGGTCGAGAAGATCCCGAGGAAGTTGGCCCAGCCTTGTGCATGCTGTGGCCGAGCATAGACAAACCAGAAGCTCAATATGGCGACAATCACGGCGTGCAGGACCGAGATGGCGGTTACGCCCAGTGCAGTTTGGTACGATGGTGCGAGCTCATCCTTTGGAGGATCGTCTTGGTCGTCGTTGAGAGGATTGGAAGTGCGCGGGAAGAAGATGAGGAATAGAAGAAGACTGTCACGGTCAGTGTCAGCATCATAAGGGCCAAGCCGGTGTGAAGCTCGAGATCGGGCTTACATGATAGTAAAACAACACCACTGAACGCCCACCTGCGCTACGCCCAGCACTCCGGCTACGCAGGGGAATGAATCGAGCTCCCGGCAGCATGCAATGTCGCCGCGGGATCTCGGTAGCACCAGGATATTCGCGAAGGCGCAGGTGCCGCTCGTCGTGCCTAGGAGGACGAAGTAGGGTGACAGGCCGTAGCTGCTGCGGAGGCGGATGATGCGAATGTGTTGTGGGAGATAGGAGACCACGATGCCCACGAGGAGTAAGCTGTAGGCCGTATATTAGCAAGGCTAGTCTTGTGTGCTGACCGGCATAGAGAGAAGGGAGGCTTAAGGACATACAGACTGAGGCCGAAGTTGGCGTAGTTGGGATGGGACATCTCTTCACAGCGTGGATCCATGATGTCGATAGACGCTCGTAAGATCCGAGTGGGAGAATGAAGTAAATCTCGACGCACACTATTCGAGGGCACTCATGCTGGTGTTTGTCTGTGGTCGGAGTCAAAGACGTGACGGAGCATGGCGAGTCCGCGTCTGATGATGCGAGTCTAGGCTGCGAGGCTGTTTGCAGCCTTGCCGGCAAAGCAGATGATGTCAGACAAGTCACGTGCTACGAGGCAAGGCTGAGAACCCTTTTCTTCGGCCCGGTTCGAGACTTGAAGGTTTCTCGTGCAAAGAATGCAAACACCTCATGCGAAGCCTGGACAACCTGGAGTGACAGTCTTAGAGATAGCACGTAAGGAGCGGCTGCCCTGACATTGTCCACATCAGGTTTGGGCACAATCAACCCTGAAACATAAGAGTCGATACAGCTATGGCTGGATGCGATACCCGCTTACCTGTCACTGTCCCCATTCAATATGTACCAATGGGGCATACGTTATGTGGCTAGCAGAATGGAAGGTAAAGGCGGGTGAATTGCAAATGTAATGAGAGTACCCGAGCATAGTATGGCGTTCAGGCTCGGTAACTCTGCCGGTTGCAGCAACAAAGACAAGGAGCAATATTCACTGCCACATGCGGCGCTCACTGTCCGCTAATGCTCTTTTCATTCGCATCGGAGGCACTGTGAAGATATGTAACAATATTTATTGCACAGCTGGCAAGTGACACCTCCCAGAACCAAAACACACATCTCGACCACGCTTCCGCAGATCCAAACCTCAACACTCTTCCTGGTCAACAGTGCCTTCAACAATAATTCAGAACAACATCCACTTCTCACCAGGTCTCACAAGATGAGGCTCATCGCTATCGTCCTCGTGGCTTTTGCTGCTCTCTTCACCTCAACCACGGCCGGCAACTCCCATGATTCCAACGATGGCTGTTACGCTGTATGTGAGGCTGTCAAGGGTGCTCTCAAAGATGCCATGAAGATCTCCGCCATTGGTTGTCCAGGACTCACAGGAAATGTCTGCAAAGACGCCTGCTACTGGTGAGTAAACCTTTAATTGACAATAAGCCTCTCTGCTAACGAATGCAGCGACCGTGTCGGCAAGAACGGCGAGGGCAAGATGAGGTGTGACAACAAGAAGGTTCCTGGTTGCAGCGTCGATGCCGTCACCAAGACATGCCAAGCAGGATTGAACAAGATGTGGCACTGCTGGTGTCAAGGGTCCTGGAATGACTGGACCGGAGGTTGTGCATGCGAGACGTTGACTCAACAAGCTGCCTATGGGAAAGAACGGGAATATGTAGCTGATCGGGGATTATTCACAAAGTCCGCTTGTTGTGTAAAAGTTGCGCGTGTGGTCCGGAAATATTCTGAATTTGCTGTCTTATTTTTGGCAAAGGAATTGATATGATTTTGCCATGTTTGGATCATCAATGGTAAAGGGTATTCTGGAAATGCAGTTATACTGGATAGTAGAGGTCTGTATGTAGGAAGCAGCCGTAGTTCGAAGACCATCAAAGTGGAGCCATGAGCAACATGTCAAGCTCAGCTTGAACAGGACGGAGAAGCTCATCCTTTCCGGGTTCACGATCATGTGTTGGCCACTGCCACCGGAAAAGTCTAGGTGATGTATCGAAACAAGGGGCTGTCGTCGCCCATGCTAGCAAGATCCTGCTCAGTGTAACGACGGTTGATCACTTCCGTACTCATCGCCTCTCGTGCTCTGTTGATTCTCTTCAACTTCCACCGCATAAACATGGCCGTCACAAGGGAGAGAGCCACGACACCCAGAGAGACGCCATAGCCAGTCCAATAGTACGGTGCCTCATGGGCAAGATAAATGTTCGTCCCCACGGCACCTCCCAAGTTTCCAATGGCAATCATCAACGCCATGCCGACGGCCCGTTTTCAGGGCCCGGCCAAATTATTCCCTGCCGGGAACATTCGTGTCAGTCCGTGTGTGTGTCCACGAGAAACAAGCGTAGGAAAAATTCAAGAGGGGTTCTCTTTCTCACCTGTCCAGGCAATGGAGCCGCAAATGATCGAATAGAGGCCCATGGCAACTAGGAAGAGCATGGCGTAGAGGGCACCAGGATAGCGACCTTTGGGGATGGCCATCACGATGATCAGACCGATCCCAGCCACAATGAGTGGCATTATGACATATATGGAACGGTCATGGGCTCGGTCGGACAAGAAGGCGACCGTTAGCAGCGCAATCACCGCGGCACAGTAGATCGGTATCGTCATCAGTTGCTGTAAAAAAGCGAGTCGTTAGCGATACTTCGTCCCAAGACGTCGCCGTCAAATCAGCACATACCGCAATGCCGGCTGTATACCCTAGTTCCGCGATCACGGTGGACAAAGTATAGATAAATCTGTTCGCAAGTCCTGTCAGGAAGAGCCACACAGGTGTCCAGTCAACCTGGCTTGAGCAACTTACCCGTAGATGGAAATAGAGGATGCCCAGTAGATGACGATCATGGCATGAATTTTCCAATCCTTGACAGCCGCCCAGAGGTATTTCCATTGGAAACCTTCCTCCAGGTTGTACGAACCACGTGTGGTTCCGATGTCGTATCTGAGCTTGTAGTCCACGATCATCATTTCCTCTGCCGTGAGAAATTTGCACGAAGCAGGATCGTTAGGCAGTAGGAAGCTACAAGACAGTCCGACCACCACGGTTAAGATCCCTTCTAGGATGAAAAGCCTGTGCTCGACCCCGTTCGTCAGCACTTTTCCTTTGAGCAAGGACAGGGAAGGATGTAGCTGGGCCAGGGATGATGCTTACCATCTCCAACCTTCGAGTCCTGCAATGCCGTCCTTTTTATCGATCAAGTATGCCAGTAGCCCGGAAAAGGCTCCAGATAGAGCTCCTGCCCCGTAGAAGATCCCCATACGTAATTGGATGTCAGAGCGTCGGTACCTAAGTAGAGATGTCGTGCATGAGCCGTCATGTGGGAAGACAATGCTCATGCGGTATCACTCACCATTGTGTCAGAAGGTAGGTCGCTGTCGGGAAGAATCCAGCCTGGAACAGGTCAGCGAGTACACGCTTTCGTGGGATGATTGTGCTGGAGAGCAGATGTTCCTCACCTCGGCAAAAGCAAGGAATAACCTTGCAGCCGGCGAAATTCTGGACGATTCCCATCAAACTGATGGCGAAGACAAGTCAACATCGGTCCTCCCAATCAAAGAACCATCGATTCACGTGGCGATCGCGCCCCATGTAACTATCATGATAGGAATCCATACTGAGGGCTTCAGAACCTCGAGGACCAAGTTCGCAGGCACTTTGAAAAGCGAGTAGGGTATGAAGAAGATGGTCAAGCACAGATTGTATTGGGGTGGCGTAAGGTTGAGATCGGTCTTCAGGCCAATAATGGCCGCATTACCACTGTGTAGTTGAGGTGCAAAGTCAGCTAGAGTAAAAAGGAAACCGGGGTGGCAGGAAGATTTCCTCTTCGACCTCACATACAACGAGGGAATTGAAAGGGGAGGGCTATGCATTCAACTATTCCCTCGATCGAGATAAGACATGAGATAGAGGACCGACAGAACCGGTAGCAGGCAGATATCGATCTTTCTATAGATTCGTTGCACCTCTTTGTCCGAAACGTCGACCTGGGGTAGTTGTACTTAGTGTGAAGCAGCCAGGGGAGACTCTTTGGCAGTGGTGGCCTCCGGCGATTTGACATCTACGGCTTCCATGGTAATGGTTGGATGATATGATAATCGGTTAGGTCCTGCGGTGGCACTTTGCGGATTCGATTCTTGCTTCCGCTCGTGCAGAAGCGTTCCTTTACACACGAACTCCTGCCCCCCGGCCTTTCGAAGATGCCTTATCTTTAAGCAGTAGGTGGGAGAGCTCCGTGAGACCCGTCACTGTACTGCTGCAATCAACTAGTCTTGAGGTGTCATGTCCATTCGAATCTCGCTATACTCTGGAGTCACGAACTGCCTCTGGTACCAGATCATGATGGCACGGCGCCGGGCCGGCTCCGCTGGCAGTCTCTGGTGTACCGCGTCCCTTTACCATCCAGAAGGAGCATGGGTCGACCTTGGGTGTGAACATCTCGAATACCAGCACCGACATATTCTTATCTGTGGATCGGTCAGTCCTCTTCTTGTTTGTGGATAGGGGGATATAAAATGGTCCACTTTGGCCAAGTAGCGCCTCTTTCTACGATAAGGACAACTTGAAGCTGTTTGCGGCACCGATCCGGTTCCCGTGCGGCGGCTGGAAGAAGGCCATCAGCCTCAGCGCGAGAGTTCTTCGGGTCGAAGTAAAGGCACAGTATGTCACAAAACCTGCAGAAGACGGTCTCTGTGGTTCAACTCTCCTTGAAGACATCTATCGGGCGCCCTACCATCTTCCCTTGATATCTCAAGGTTTTGACAAGATGCGCTGGCAAGATGCCGCTCGACAGGCCCAAGGCCAAGTGCATGCTGCTATTACGAGTGAATGGAAGCTGCCAAAGCCGCAGGCGGAATATCTGATGCAGGATATCGGCTCAGTTCCTCGCAGTTGCGGCATCTTGACGGAGGAGCAGCTCACCATCACGGAACAGTTCAGCCACAAGACTCGTAAAGAGACTGGTCGCGGGAGAAATCTCGTCTGTACAGGTGGTCGAGGCCTTCTGTGTGCGAGCTGCAATAGCACACCAACTGGTACGTTTTAAGCCCGAGAAAGTCCACAGGAAGCCGTGGCCGCCACGCGTGCATTGAGTTGACGGTTCTTTGAGTAGGTCAACTGCCTTTCAGCTTTCTTCCCCGATGAAGGCCTCCAAAGAGCCAAGGAGCTGGACGATCATTTGCGCCGAACTGACAAGCCGGTTGGCCCGCTTCATGGATTGCCGATTGCTCTCAAGGTCGGCGACATCCCCCCAAAAGGTCCATGCTTAGTTCTGTGGACCGCCAGCGCCCATTTCCTTCCAGCAAGCCCGTCGCTGACTCGACGGCCCGATGGCTTTCTGTAGGACACCTTCGACGTGATCGGGAAAGCAACCACGTATGGCTATGCTGCCAACGTGGATCTAGTGGCGACCAGAGATTCTGCCATCGTCAACGCGGCGCTGCTGCGGCTCTGCCGCGGCTCATCTGACATTTCAGAGAGAAGCTTATCGAAACTTATTTCCTGACCCATCTGGCGCGCGTGACAAATCGCACCCAATTCTTTTCGGAATAGGCAGCAAGTAGAACCATAGCCTGGACGGTTTCCAGCCTGGGTGAAGCCATGAAGAGACTTTTTGCGGCAAGATGGCATGCTTCAGCGTGGGTATGGTCGCGCAGTTTCTCGGAGCTGGGACGAGCTCGGTCTACACTGAGGGCGATGGCAAGAATAACCGTCAAGCAAAACGTCGAGCTTTGGCGGACCGCCTCGAAGGTGTCCACAATCGGGTCAAATAGTGGAAGGAAAGCATTGGCTCCAGTCATGTAACTACCGCAGAACATGGTTAGCAGGTACTAGGAAGTGAGCAGGGAGCTCTGGGTAGGTTGCACCTACAGGTGGAAGGCGTCTCGCGCGCTGGACTCGCTGAGCATGCCACGGGAGATGACATCGGCATAAGATCGGTGGACTTCCGGTTGGATGAAGGCGCTCTGACAAGAGCCATAGCCTGTGGCTTGTGCAGGTGATGATTGCTCTGGGATTCATTTACAAGGCGAGACGGTTGTCGTGAAAGACGGGGTCATCGCATGTATTGCCGTGATCGGGGCATTGAGTTGGCAAAGATTGAGGTCGTACTCGCGAGTCGTGTCGCCCACGGACTCAGCAACGTGCAGGTGCTGGTTGTTTTCCGAACGATCAACGCCATCGGAGGACCAGGCTCGCCCTCCAACATCACGTAGGGGCGTTGGTTCAGATGGTACTTCTACGCCGGGGGTCTTACTTTGCCGACTCGCCACCAAGCCGTCGACCTCGCGTCTCAGGGTACTTATGTCGTCCTCCAGCTCAACGTATCTGCGGGAACCAACAAAAACATCAGTAACTTCGTTCGCGACGGGCATCGGCGGGCGGAGGGGTTAACCTTGGCTTCTTCGTTAATGAACGAGCACGCTCATCTGCACGTAGGTCTCGTTTCTTGGTGAACAATCATCAAAGATGCAGTCCCTACCATTGGCTTTGCAACGTCGACAAGGTGCACCTTCGTCGCTCTCGCAGCGAGCCTTTTGGAGTCTACAAGCACGACACGCATTGGAATTCTTTCGCGGAGGTGTAGTTGCCTTGAAGATTCGAGCTCCGGACTGCGTGACCGCTCTGCATCTCCGCCAACCTCGGAGGCCATGCTAACACAGCGATGATAAGAGACGAATCATGATTCACAGCGTTGGCGGCGGTATCAGTCAAGGTGTGTAAGAATCGTTCGAGGTGTAAGAGGAATGTGGTGTCCGAGGTACGATAACTTAGGTAACTACAGTACCCACCTACCTTAACATTACGGTCCACAGCCGGCAGGAGCAGGAGCCAACCGCGATCTTTATCTAGGCATTACTAAAAGGCGGCCTAGGTTGACTTGGTGAGCCGCCCAACCGCCTCTCCGGTCTCCCATTGTGGGTGCCACCCTTGCGATGATAAGGTGAACGTATGAGTATAGCAAAGACAGGGCTGGCCGCCTTCCGCAGCGATACCACTACCACTGCACGAGTACTACACACGAAAGGCTACTGGACCGGAGGGTCGCCAAGCACTTCCCAAGGGCTTATCATGGCTCAATCCCTCTGGGTACTCCATAGGGCGCGAGAACTATGCCACCAAGTCCACACAGTCGCTCTCGAATATGTGTATCGCTATGACCGAGCGTCAATGACAAGCCCCAGACATAATAGGCCGAGAACGAAATCGCAATCCCCTTGGGAGGCTTGGGTTTCGGGAGACACCTTCCTATCTAGCGGCGCCGGACCGGATCCGAGTCTCGATATGGAAGACCATCCACTACACCTCGTCACGCAGTGATTGCCAGGCAAGATCATGCTCGGACAACAGCGCTGAATTATGAGAGGGCTAGTCGAAGCGTTTGCCCTTGGTCTCTTGCTCCTCTGAACCAAGGGTAAAATCTCTGGGGTGCCTGGGAAGTCCAGGATACAGGAAGATCGCGAACAGCTGTAAGCTCGCATAACCCGGTGAGCAAAGTCGAAGAATCATGTCTTCATCGCCCGACGGAATCTACGATGTCGGTATCATCGATCCCGGAATTCCTGTCGAGACACCAACCCAGCCTTTCTGGCTTTCGCAGCCCGCGAAGAACGGCAAACTACGCTCGCCATGGTCCGACACTGCAGACGTGGTAGTCATTGGCTCCGGCATGACGGCGGTCAGCCTTTGCCTGACGCTCTTGTCGCGCCGACCGGGCCTCAAGATTGTTGTCGTTGAGGCCCGCGATCTTTGTTCAGGGGCAACTGGTCGAAACGGTGGTCATTGCAAAGCCATGAGTCCTGGCGTGTGGTTCGATCGAAAACAGCAGTACGGAGTACGAGAGGCGATCCAAGTCATGGAATTCGAGCACAGCCATCTGGACGAGATGTTCGACATGGTCAAACGGCACGGCATAGACTGTGACCTCCGCCTGGTTGAGGGCCTGGACGTCTATCACGACAACGTGACTTTCGGTCGAGCGGTGCGTGCCCTGGAGGACATGCGAAAGCACGCACCTCAACTGGCATCCAAATATACTGTCTACACGTCCCGAGCCGAGCTCAGGGCTCGTAACTGTGCGGACCACGTTGTCGGGGCCATTGGAATACCCGCCGCCACGGTGTGGCCTTACAAGTTTGTCACGGCCTTGTTTGACAAGATGGTGTCGGAGAACGGGCTTGCGATCCAGACCAATACCGTCGTCACTTCGGTGGTCGATGAGGACGACGACGGACAGGGCTGTGCAGTTGTCAAGACCACTCGAGGACCGATCCGGACGCCGCACGTGGTCCATGCCACGAATGCGTGGATGAGCCATTTGGTGCCTGAGTTGCAACCATTCGTCTCCCCTGTACGGGCCAATGTCCAACGTCAAGTCCCCGTGTCATCGTCTCTCCGGGTGGCCAACTCTTTCTGGCTCCGGTACGCCGAAAAGGAATACGACTATCTGATACAGCGACCTGACGGAGCCTTCATTGTGGGCAGGGCCAACACAGGCCGACGAGCGACGAGCGACGACGGCAACAAAGACCTCGGACCGCACGTGCATCTTCGCCACGCTCTCCCGCACATCTTCAACTTTGGCACGGATACATTGCAAGCGACCCATGCATGGAGTGGCTGTGTGGCTTTCACGCAGGATGGAAACCCCTTTATTGGGCGACTCCCATTCGCAAAGAAACGCCGGCAATGGGTCTGTGGAGCTTACCAGGGCATCGGCATGGTGAGAGCATTCCGATCGGCTCAAATGCTGGCATTGCTGGTCCTCGGAGAAGACGTGCCGCTCGAGTATCCAAAGTCAATGCTCGTAACAAAGGACCGGGTTGACAGCATGACACGGTCGCTAGGTACTCCGCTTCCCAGCAGACTGTAGATATTGCTAGGAGCTTGTCTAATCTCTTACCTACACACCATAATGAAACCAGAACGTGTAAAGGATAGTACCCCCATGATGCCCCCTTCTCGGCGGACGAACATAACCGTGGTCAGTAGTGCGACACCATGGTGGGATCATAGAGATTCCTAGCACATTCGTTATGGGCCTATTCAATACTGTATACAGCCACCGGTCTCTACCACAGCTTGCATCTTGTACAAACGCCAATAAGTTGGGATATTGCGTGATTCCATGCTACCTTTGATATTATCTTCGGAATTTCCACCAACTCTCAACATCGAGCCACAGCCATTCCCCCAAACATTCTGAACTCGACAAACTAGGACTAGTAGTCCTTCTGAGCAAACTTGGACCTCCGTCTCAATTGTTCCCCATACTACGAGATGGTCAGTGACAGAAACCCTTGAATGAAACCATCGGTCCGGCTTACCTTGAACAAGAAGAACGGAATCGGGATGAAAGCAATCGCAATAAACCCGAGCGTCGAACTCGCCCAGCCTACCCCCAGATTCTCGTACATGGCCGTCGCAAAAAGAGGAAATCCAGCACCGAACGAGGACCTGAAAAAGTCGTTGCCTGCCAGAACACTCGCCGCATCCTGCGGATATGCATCCGACAGATAATTCAGTACCGAGTTGAACAGCAAGAAAGCGCCGATGCTGAACCACCCAGACCCAATGATTGGCACAATCCAGTGAACGTCCGCACGAGAGGACCAGCCGAACCAGAACAGACATATCGGAATCGCAAATGCACCAACGAACGATGGCGGCAGACGCCATTCCGGCTGCAACTCGCCTTTGTCGTTGAACTTTGGCTCGATGTATTTCTTTTGGTACCAGATGAAGGGACCGAGCACAACAAAGACTCCGACGAAGATGCCCAGGAACGCCGTGCCCACGAGACCGAGACTGAATCCGTATATCCCCGAGAACACAATGGGGAAGCTTTCGAACCAAATGTACAGTAACCCGTAAATTAAAGCAATGTACAAGTTGAGTAGAAATACCATGGGTTCCGTGAAGCTCAGTTGGAACGGCCTGACCAAGATCATCATCACGATCTCGCGACCAGTCATTTGCTCGCCCACGAGCTGTGGTTCACATATAAGTTTGTCGTTGCCGGTCAGTTTGCGCAGCCGCATCGTCCGGCGGTACAGGATGTTCGCGGACGATGTCTCCGGCAGGAAGAAGAGCAAGAGAACCAAGGTGAAGCCGGAGAGCCACATGAGTTCCCAGATGGTCCATGTCCAGCCCTTGTTCTCGGCTGCGAAGCCGCCGATCAGCGGTCCCATGGTCGGTCCACAGACTGCTCCAATTCCCCACACTGCCAAACCGTACGTTCGCTTGGAGGGAGAGTACATGTCCCCAATTGATGCACCGCCCGTTGCGAGCGACGGGGATCCGACAAATCCCGTGATGAAGCGGAAGGCGAGGAGCATTCCAAAATTGGTAGCGAGGGCGGTGGGAACTTGAAGGACCACAAAGAGCGCAAGGGTGCCAATGTAGATTGGTCCACGGCCAATCTGGGGCACCTCGGACATGGGAGACCAGAGCATAGGGCCGACGCCGTAGCCCAGCACGAATAGTGTCAGGCCCAGGGTGGCCGCGACGCGAGAGACACCGAACACCCGGGACACATCCTGAATGCCGGCGGTGTAAATGGCCGAGCCAATATACACAGAAAAGGTGAGCAGGCAGATCTCGAAGGTCACCCAGATTTTCTTGAAGCGACCCCAATTTTGCGGGTTATCGGGATCGTCGGGACTGTACCAGTCCACGATATGTGCGTCTCGGCCTTTCTCAGGGTCAATCTTTGTGTTGCTTAGGGTGTTGACAAGCACGTTATCGTTGTCAACGGTGGTTGAAGCGGACGTGCCGGACGATGAGTCTCGTCGAGGCTGGGATCCGGCCTCATTCGAGGAGAATCTGGCGGAGTCTGGTTCCTGTTTCTCTTCTGAGGACGGAGGCTCTGTGCTGCCATGAATGGCCATGTTGGCAGACTTGTCCGGGTTGAGGTACTTCTGCCATATTGATGAATCTCGTTCTTCGGGATATTGCAGGAGTCTTCTGCCAGAGATCAGTCGCAATAGTTGGCCAGCAACGGTATCCCTAAATAGCTCAGCCATATTGAAGGGTAGAGACCGTAATCGACAGCGCAACGAGGCTATGAAATTGGATAGACCTGGATAGATACAAATTGTGGTCTACAGCAAAATACATTCTGCACCACCAGGACATGCTCGGCATCACCATAGCGAATCCGTGCAAAAGGTATTAGACGTCATTGTACGGTGTCATGACATGAATGAACCACTCCTACCGTCAGCCGGAACGGCAACATGAAGAGCACAAACCTAATCTGTACCGGTATGGCTCGGATGCGCCCACGATCGCAGAGCGGTGGACCTTAGTGATCTGTCGCGAGCTTGAAGATCGTGTACATTTCGGCATGTGAGGGAGCCGGAATGGATATACACCAGAGATTGATTATGAAAGGGAAAAAATCTATGACGCCGAGGGTGGACACTGTCAGATTCTGGGATTGAACCATGGTTGGCAGCCTCGCACGTGACTCGGAGAGCCGACCATTTTGATGCCGAGTAGGGAAGAAGAGGCCGTCAATGAGATATTGACAAGCTGGATCTGCAGGTGACAGTCCGAGGAGGCGTCAAAATCTCTTGTGGTCGACTGTTTTCGACCGGACTGCCCATGGCTGGCAGAATTGTGTTAATCAGCATTTCTGGGCATGTTTTTGAAGACCAGCTGCTTACCGGAGAGTGCTCGCCGTTCGATCTTCATGAAGCGGTGACAGCAAGGCACCTCGCTGATGATTCCGTGATAGCCGGACCAATTGCACACAGTACGCTGCGGTATGCTCGATTCGAAGTGTAGACATCCTTGTAGGCCGCATACCAGGTCAAAATGCTCTCGGACTGTGTTAATGCCCGAAGTCGGGTACATGTACACTCATAGAAGCCGTCAAAGCACCATCGATATGTCTTGCACTGGCCCGGCTCAACCAGACTGATCACAAATGCATGCCTTCGTCTTCGTTATTGTCGTCTTCCGCCATTCGTTCCATCATTTGCCGTCTCAACTCATCGTCAGTCAACCGTCCACCGCCTGTGCCTCGACTCGTCGCCTGCGCTTCTCCATTTGGGACTGACTCTTCGGAGCTGCCATTGACTTTCCCTCCGTTGTCTGCCTCATGCCAGCGACCACCTCTTCTTTCCACTTCCTGTTTTAACAGGTCTATTCTCTCTTTCTGTCGGTTGATCACAATTGCATTTTCGTGGATCGCATCTGAGCAGTCTTTATCGCCTTCTTGTCTAGTATCCTCCGGAAGCGAGGTGTCTGTCTTGATGCTGTCAATGTACGCTTTCAACTGCTGGTTCGAACGTTCTAGATGGCATATGGAATTTCGGATTTCGTGGGCCTTTGAATAAATATTCTCGACCGGTAGGTCTTGTATCGCAAGGGCGAATTGCTCCGCAGAGATTGGTGTCGAGTCTGCGGACATGTTGCAGCTGATGCGGTTTTTTTGGGGTAGCTACAGCGGCTTGAGAGCAGATTGATAGCAACTGGTTGTTGTTTCGAAAGGTCAAGGTTTCCAGGAATCTCAAACAGCGGGAGGTGGATGGGGAGGAAGTGGAAGATGCGGCATACAATTGCGGGGAAAGGCTGCAGCGCCATGTACGTAGTACTCTGAATCTGTCGTTCACAGCCTCGTCCTCCTGCTTCTCACCGCTGATTATTCCCCTAGCTTGTCGTCTTCGGAGCCACTACTATTGCAAGAATAAATAGGTAGGGAAAAGACAAGCCTGATCTCTAAATAATTCTATTGCTCAAAGATGTCATGCTCGCCAGCCTTGAACAAACTCGTGCAGCCGATCAATCACCACTCCGAACACGGCATTGACACTGTCAGCTAATACCTGGTCCAGCAGTCGTACAGCCTCCTCTTCACTAACGTCAAGGTGGAACCTTTCCCTCACTTTGCCCACTGCACCACCGATCCCGCCAGTCTGTTCCTCGACCAGTCTGATATCTTGGACCGAGCTCTGAACCATTAGGCTGAATAGATTGAGGACCAGAGAACTCGACTTCCTCAAGGTGGTGTATGCCGTGAAACAATACTGCTTGAATTGAGCATACTGCGGCGACGCCGTTCCACCGAGCCCTTCCACCATTTCTTTGCATAGCCTGATTAGGGGGGCGAACGGCTTCGGATCGCGCCCAAGGATGAATCCAAAGTCGATATGGAAGAAATGGCCAGATGGTTGAAGCAGGAGGTTGTCAAGATGACGATCGCCGACACCCAGAATGTACATTATCACACAGTACCCGGCACATGACCTGATGTATGTGTCCATGGTTTCTTTGCGAACGCCAAGGGGGCCAGATGCGTCGGGATTGTTTGCTCGTAGATAGGCCAGTACCGAGCCTTTGTATTTCGCAGAGACGACGGAAATGGCGGTTGATGGAATGAATTGTACCGCCCCAGCTGTTGGGGATGTTGCAAGGATCCGGTAAGGAGTAAGCTTCAGATCCAGGTTTTCCTTGAGGAGCAAATTGTTCATCAATTCGATGATCTGGATGACCAGCTGATCTTGCCGAAGGTCGTCGCCAGTTTTGAATATCATCGGATATTTGCCCTGGCTTTGTGATCGTGACTGTGTGGAAGAATCGCCGGTCTCTGCTGAGCCAGCTGTCTTGAAGTAGAGTAGCAGCGGAGACAGCGAGGACTTGAACACAGTAGCCTCGTCAGGATAGATTCCGCTAACTTCAACTTCGGGGTCCAGTGGCAGGGGGATTGGAGGATCGATCTTGACAAGTTCATTCTTCGGATCGGCGAGATACTTCTTGAGCATCTCAATCTTTTGTATGCGGTTGCTCCGATTAAATCTGATCTCCTTGCTGATCCTTGACAGGATGGCAATCATTTCAGCTTGCCTCAAGAGAGTCTTCCGTTGCTCGGGAGCTCGCTTTTCCAACTCTACCATGAAATGATACTCCACTCTTGCAAATAGCTTTCTATTCGCGGCATTGGTGTCTGGGCCTTGATCGTCGCACTCGACCATCAAATACCAATGCAGATAGTTCCCAAGTATGAAGTTGTTGGAAGCACGGTCAATCAAGAATTTTGCCAGGGACGAAGAGGGTAAGCTCTCCGCTTTCGAGTCGTACTTCTCAAATTTCAGCGCCTGAACGAGCTGCAGCAGATACAAGAGCAGTTCGGCATCACCGGCCTGTCGCAGTCGATCGACTGCATAGGCGCGAACAACTGGACTGTCATAAGTTGGACCAAGTAACTCCAGAGCGGAGTCGACGTCAATTTTGGCCCATTTTGGAATCAACTCAGCCATCTGTCTTGCTTCGCTTGGGCTATTCCAGTCGGTAGCTTTGACCACTTTTGTAAGGGCCCGTTTATCGCGACTCAAATGCCGACGAAACGTCCAAATGACATCCTTTTCTTGCGGAGTGAGGTCTTGTGTGGGTCCATATGTCAAGATCTCGTTGATTTCATCCCGCAACTTGGCATTCGGTTTCTGGTCGACGTCGTACAATGCGGTTCTATCGCTTCGGACCAGGCGTCGATGTTTTGACTCGCATGGGTTTTCTCGCTGGAATTGTTCCGGATCAAAGATTTGTACGACAGGAAAATCCTCCTCGTCAACCACGGAATTCCCCGCCGCAATTCCAGGGCCATACCGAACTTCCGGTGGAGGTTTGGCACCCACAGCTGACGATGAGGGAGTATTTTGAAACTCCTTCATCAACCTGGGCGCTTCATACTCATGGTCTTCGAAGATGACAGGAAAATCCCAGCGAGGAAAATCAATGTACAAAGTGAAATGCTCTTCGTCTTCCGTTTCGGCGTCCGAGTTACTTCCTTGTGAATCGTGCTGGCCGTTCACATCCCCATCCTTGACTTTGTCCGATTTCGCTCTGGACACTTTTCGCTTTGCGGCTTTGTGGATGCTCGATCGCTTCCTTGCAGCCTCGTCCACTCCACGCGCCTTTTTGGCTACGTTCTGAAAGACAAGTTGATCGAGCCAGTCATTTTGGGGTATTTCATTCATCTCGTGCTTCTTGAACAATAGCTCCAGTCTTACTAGTTCTTCTTCCTCCGGGACGGGTGGCTGGGGTACCTCGTTCCGTCTTCGCCGTTTGGGTCGTGGCAAATGAGGCGTACTTGAAGGGATATATCCATCGGCGACCGTTTTGCGATAGACCTTACACTTTTGCCGGCCCCTCCTCAAGGCGCCATCCTCATCGAATAGTGGTATGGTCGTGCCACCAAACGGAACATTGTGGTCGACAGTGCCATTCAGAGGACATGGTGAGATGTCCCAGATGGTGATTGCAATCTGCGAAGAGATTGGACAGTCTTTGACCGGGACCGGCAATTCTAACCACTTGTTCCAAGTCCGATTGTTCTTGAAAAAAGTGTGAGGAGTCTGCACAGGTACCCCTAGTGGCTTGGATTCTGCCCATAATTGAGCAGTCACATAGAGCTCCGACACTGGGTTCTGGATGGACCCGACATGACGTATTTCAGGATGCTGAAGCAATACAGAATGCGGAACAGTGGTCTGCTTGCCCTCCAAAGCATTGCTGACATCCTGTCAGTCTCTCACCTCGCACCAAGAAGCCAACTTACATTCTCAGGCAAACGGGAAAGTCAATTTGCCTCGAAGTCGCAAAAGTATAGGTATCCATGACTCGAGAACGACAACATACGAGCTCAACTTATCGAGCAAAAGTCCCTGATAGCGCCTCAGAGGCGACCATGGGAGTAAAGATCAAGGCATCAAACGGGGGAGATGCGATGACGGATATCAGACTGTTGCCTAATTCGTCTTAGCCTTCAATCGTACGCGCCAAGGCTGAATCGCGTCACAGCCTAATCAGCGCGTTCATTGCTTCCTTCAACGGCCGCAGTTGCCATGACCTGGCTCAGACGAACCACAGCATGAGGCCGAGTGCATCACATCTGAACGATCTCTCCGGCACACTTCTCCTTCTGTAATAGTCTGACTCCCACCACAGCGCCTCGCTAAGGCTGGCCCTCGCCCCGCCGTGCCCTGGCCATGTGTCCGTCATGGCACGTTTGAACACCCGACGATCAACACCTTCAGATTCGGCAAGCGAACGATCGTCACGCTCGCCGCCGCGCGAGACGCCACATACCTCAGCACTTTCCTCTCCTCCCGACGACTCAGACTCTGATAAAGAGAACCAGACTCGTTCGCGCTCGTCGACTAGTAAGGGGAAAAGAAAGAGCGACACTGCCCTCATGTCGCGGCGACCCAGAGATGATCCACACGCAAGCAAACGACGGCGAGTGAGTGGGGATGAAGATGAGCATACAAGCACCGCTCGAACAAACAAGTTCTACGACCCAGACCAGAACCCAGAAGAACGCCGGTTTGTCCGCAAAGGCCTCCGCAATCTCCTAGGAAAACTTCATGATTCGAAGAGCGAGTACCTAAGACCTGAGTCAAAAGGTCTAGAGGAGACACTAAAGGAGGCGAATGAGTTATACAAAAGCGTCAAACAGACATCGGAGGCGACCATCGATTCTCGACTGCTTGTTGAGACAGCAGACCTGTCATACAGGAAGATAAACAGTCTGACGTTAGGAGATGGTTCAACTGGTATTGATGTCGATGACTTTGTAACAAAATGCATTGGATTTATGAAGCGAGGGGACGAACCTGCGCGTCGCAACCGAAATGAGACCGGAAGCACGCAGACTCAGCGGCGACGCCGGCGGCATGGTGAAGACGAAGAAGAGGGTGACGAGGGTGATACTATGAACTGGGAATACCTAGGGAGAAACGCGTGCTTTTTGTATAATGCTCGCCCATGCTTGACAGGTTTCCTGCTGGGTCCACTGTCCGTCCAGAAGAAGGTCCGCCAACAGACCCAGCGGAAAGCGCGTGAAGCTCGCTCTCAAGCCACCCAAGCTGCCCGACCAGTTGAGCTCAACGACGAAGACTTGGAGAGACAGGAATCAGCAAGTCTTACCACAGTCTGTACCGAAATCGCCAAGTTGCTGGATGATACCATGGCGAGAAGAGAAAAGGCAGTCAGCAGGGAATGCGAAGAAGCTGGAGATGATTTGACAGATGAACAAGTCCGAGAGATTCTACGCCGTCACCGCATGGCCGACAACGGTTGCGTGTCACTATTCGACTTCTGCGTAAACCCTAAATCGTTCGGACAGACGGTGGAGAATCTCTTCTATGTGAGCTTTTTGATCAAGGAGGGCAAAGTAGGACTGGATTTCGACAGCCAAAGTCTTCCAACACTCGGCATTGCAGCTAATCGCAGTGTGGCGGAGAGGCAAGAGACGAAGCGAAACCAAGCTGTGTTCACGATCGACTTCGACGTATGGGAAGACATCATCAAGGTATTTGATATCAAGAAAAGTATAATACCTCATCGGAACGAGGAGACATACGATGATGGTATACTGGATTACACTCGCATGGAGGATGATGCTGCTAGAGAAATTGAAGACGATGAGGTCACGGATGCGTATGCATAATTCTGTTTGCGACGGTGTTGGCGGCGTGAGAAGAGTTGTCTGACTTGTGTCATGGAGCCATGAAGCGTCTGGTATCCACGCGTGTTGTATGATGGATCCTGGTCCGGATCGTGCTGTGCAATGCAGGCGACGATCACATATTTGTTCTTCGCCTTTCACTTTGACACTTTGGTAATCACTATTCCATTTGCAGTCGCTCACTTTGCATTGCCACCAGATCTGTTTCGTGTAGCGCGCAAGGCCACGGTGCTGCCCTCCTTGCCATGGAGGCAACCGCAATTGAGACTCTGTGTCTGTATCTCCCGGTGCTTCCATAGAAACAACTTCTCATGCTTCTTGTGGGCCGTTCCATGTGCCATGTCTCAATGGCCAGTGGAGTAACAGAATCACGTAGCATGAGCGATATTGAAAGCTCGTCCATGATAGCTCTTCGTGCGGCGCATGGAAAAGTTTATGTCCTAGGATTCGAGTATGTCATATCGATCCTTGTATCGCGAATATGGTGTATATGCCCAAGCCTAGTAGCCTCGTCCAAATGTTGAATGGTTTTAACATTCTGTTGGGCGAGTTTCCTGTTGTCGTTCTTTTATACTCCAGCATTAGTCCAAGTTCACTCAAGAAGGATACACCAGTCGGTCTGGGGTACTTTCTCCTCGCCTATGTCTGCCTTTAGCCGGTCGACATGCGCTGCGAAATGGAAAAGTCGGAAAGCATTTTTGGGAGTTCGTAAGAATGTCTTGAGGCCTCGGAAAGCTCTCTTTTGGTCTCGACAAACTCTCTTTTGGTCTCGACAAACTCTCTTGGGAGGTCGGAAGTTCGTTTTGAGAGTTTGGAAGTCTGTCTCGCGGTCTCGGAAAGCTCTCTTTTGAGTATAGAAACCTCTCTTGAGAAATCAGAAGTTCGTCTCGCGGTCTCGGAAGTCCGTCTCGAGAGGTCGGAAAGCTCTCTTGAGAGATCGGATGACTGCCTTGGGGTCTTGGAAACCACTCGATCCCGCACTTGTTGGTGGTCTACGAGGTCACAAATTTGCCTTTTTAGACTCTGCATCATCGCCTGTCGTGGGTCACTTGCTGGTCTCTAAAGTGGCGTAATTTCCTTTCCATAGTCGCCTGGGATGCTGTCATACTCGCCTTGATCGCTGCTATATCTTTTAGAAGCTCTAGATCTCTCTGGCTTCTTGGGAATGTGTATACCCTGAGACACGCTGGGAGGAGCAGCGTCAGACAGTGGTGACGCGGGCCACAGCGAATTGGTCCTCAGCCCAGTGTCCTGACAAGACCCCGCGGTTAAAGCTGCCTCTGACTTACTCATTCTTTCCTTAGTGTATGAACGCTGGTTATCTCCAGCTTTCTCACAATCACTATGAGTATTGACTGCGAGTCTGGTACTCAGCGTCTGCAACTGAGACCATTCCCGTAATGATCGGCTCTTGGGTCGAGGTTCGTATGTCGACGTGTGAAGAAATTGTTAGTCGCTAATACGTAGGAGTCGCGCTAGATATGGAGATTCGAAGGTTAGGGCTGAGTTCTCTTGAACACCTCTAATAGGGTGTAGAATCTCTATGACAGGCGCTATAGGTAGATCCCGAGCCGTCAAAATTGGTTGCGTAATGTGTGATTCGATGATTGCCGACCAGGACGTTGGGTACTGAAAACTTACCCAAACAAGCAGCCATCTTACTTGATTACCATAGTAGGGTACAGGAACTGTTTGATGACACGAAACCACCTTTCATTTCTGCAGGTCGATCGGAGAAAGTGTGGACTAGCCAAAAGAAGCAGTCGCATTACTTGATTAGGTCGCGAAGATTTTTTGATGACACGGAAACCATTATGCAGAGAAGGCCTTCATGCATTAGTTCTGTGCAAAGAAGCAAGTTCCTTACTAGATTAGGGCACAACGGTGAGACGAACACTTTGGAAAGAGCCCTTTAGCGGTTGAAAGTGCAGTAGCGTCACCAGGCGAAATACCCTTAAGACCATGCCTCTTTGGGTGAGGGGCTGTATCACGTGAGATAACGCCAAGGATTCGCTCTCGGCTCGCGTATAAAAAGGTCCTCGCCCAAACTCGAAGCCGTTTTTCTTTTCTTTTCTTTTTTCATACTTACCTTGTGGAGGCTGCCGAGCTCAAGAAGTCGGTTGGCCATCGCGATGTCCCTGCATTGCACATCGTGGAGGACGTCGTGATTGAGTGTCCTTCGGGGCTCTCATTCGCGCATTTTTTGGCCTATTCTATCTTTTCATCAACAGTGTTTGCCTTGTGCAAAGCTTTGGAGAAGGGGTTTCAGATTTTGGTAGAGTCTCGCGAGCGAGTTACATGGTGGTTGAGCCATGCGGCCTTGCCTCATCATGGTGGACTGAGGGGTTTACGTGCATGAACAGACAGAACAGCTGTTGAATGAGAAAGTGAGCCCGCTGGTGATTGTCTTGGGTGTTGCAAAGGATGCCCGCTGCGGTGGCTGTGATTGCAAACAGAGGAGGCGTTCTCAGAACCTTCAGGTAGAGCGTAAGAACATCAAGGATGAAGATCAATAGCACATTACAACGCATTCTTACAATCTCTTCTTTCCATGACTTGACACTGCTGATGCGCAGGAAGACCTAGGAAAATTTGAGCTGTAGGGAGCATGGTTCTGGCCTCACTACTGCCTCCGAAAGTTTGCCATGTACGGAGTAGAGGGAAGGGCTGTCTTTTCGAAGCGTCTTGCATTTCATCGCTACAAGGAACTGTCTTTGCCTCAGCATCGACTCACTCGAGTTCCGCTTACAATGATAGCTTTCCCGAGGCCCACGAAGCTACCTGGTACCTAGGTAGACAATCTTGTGAGCTTTGGCAGTTTCGAGCCGAATCCCCGCGCTATCCTTGCCATTCCCCAAATCTCAGCCGCGGTCGAGTTCTATCAATGTTGAGCCGAGGATAGCACTCTCGATGACACTGACCAACATCAATCTACTGCAAAACGATGCATGAGCCTCCCTCAAATACTGTAATGCTGACTTGCCTAGAACAGGACCTTCTGTACCTCCATCCTCCTTGACCTCCTTTGTTGGCCTCCCCTCAGAATGCCTCGAGCACCTCGTCCACCGTTGAAAGCGCCAGAATCTTACACCTCCCTTTCCTTGCACCATGTCAAAGTGTCCCATGTGCCAGAATCCTCTCCCACCACGACCCCCGTAATCCTGATTACTCTCAACAGACCAGAAAAACATAATGCGTTTACAGACACTATGCGGGAAGATCTGGAGCGGATATACGAGCTCATCGACATTGACCCTAGGGTCAAAGTGGTTGTCTTGACCGGTGCCGGGAGAAGCTTTTGCGCCGGTGCTGATCTCGATATTGGCTTCATAGGAGCGAAGGATGAAGATGGAGTGATTAGAAACCCCAAAACAGAGCGAGACGTGGATCATCGAGATGGGTAAGGAGAATGAAACAGCACATCACAAACTACAACTTACAGACACAGTGGCGGAAGAGCCTCCCTGGCGATACATCACTGCTCTAAACCGACGATTGCTGCGATCCAGGGCGCTGCCGTTGGTGTAGGCATCACCATGTGCTTGCCAGCCTGCATACGGATTGCTTATGCCAAAGCTAAAGTCGGCTTCGTTTTCAGCAGACGTGGGCTTATCATGGAAGCATGCTCATCATATTTCCTGCCACGGTTGATTGGACACTCACGCGCACTACATCTAACCACGACGGGTTCGGTGTATCCTGCAGAGCATCCATTAATGGGCTCCCTCTTCTCGGAGACGTGCCCAACCCCAGAAGCTACATTATCTCGGGCGCTAGAACTTGCGGATGAGGTTGCGAAGAATACATCCACAGTCTCGACGAAGATGATGAGAGAGCTCATGTACAGGGGTCCGGACAGTGCTGAGGGAGCTCATCTGCTTGACTCGAGAATCATTCATGGCTTGTTTGGTAGCAAGGATAATGTCGAGGGTGTCGAAAGCTTCTTGCAGAAGAGACAGGTCAATTTCAATGGGCAGGTGCCTCAAGATGCGCCAGATGGATATCCTTGGTGGCAACAGATCGATATTGGCGACAAGCCGGTGGAGAAGAGGATGGCCAAATCGAAGCTCTGAACATTGGTTGTGATGCACACCATCATATCCATGTCAGTATACCAGTACCTCAGATATTATGGCTGGCTGTTCGCCATTATGGGAATATCTTTATCTGCTAGAATGTGAATGACTGAGCGTGGCAGCAACAGCCATAGATTTTCTCCTAGATTCAGTAGCTAACTCGGTCATGTCAATGCACTGATACGCCGAGGACCTCTATCAAGCTCTATCTAAGAATGCTCCGACAGGATACCAGCGAGAAAGCTACTCAGGCTGCTGCATGATTTCATAATCCGTGCAGTCCAGGCCTTGATCGTTGATAATCTGATCGCCATGCCAGCCCGGGGCACCCTCTCTGCAGATGACGGGGATTGGCGGAGCCATAGTCCAACCCCGAAAACGTACTTCGTATCACATCATCAATCGCTGCAGACATTTTGAGTCGACAATCTCTCGAATTTCCTATCGTTCAAACCTCCCTCTCCTCCCTTCCTTTACTCAGTGACATGTCACTTCGGCCCTGGCCTGGCATACTTCTCCGGTACTCTGCTACTTCTGTACGCCCTCTTACGCTGGCATCCCAAAGACCTGCCTCTGCCTGTGTTGAGCTGTCGCGCATCGGCTCCTCTGCAAAGTCCCCCGCACCTGTTTCGAGGCTTGCAGGATTGTCCAGACAGTTCTCCTCCTCGTCCTTAAAGATGGCCCCGGTCACAAAGCAATATGACTACATTGTCATAGGAGGAGGATCAGGAGGAAGTGGTGCGGCCAGAAGAGCCAGCGGCTGGTATGGAGCAAAGACATGCATCATTGACGCCGGAGTATCTGGTGGCTGCTGTGTAAATGTTGGGTAAATGCCGACGAGGGCTACCACCCTGTTTTTGTGCTGATCCTCTTCGCAGGTGCGTCCCCAAGAAAATGACCTGGAACTTTGCCTCCATCGCCGAAGCCATGAAGGCCGGAAAGCATTACGGATACATATTTGCAGAAGGCAATTCCTTCGACTTCACGAGTTTTGTCGAGAAAAGAGATGCGAGAATAAAAGTTTTGAACGGCGCTTATGAGAACAATTGGGCAAAAGAAGGAATCGAGTTGATTCACGGTACGGCTACGTTCATCAGCGAACATGAAATGGAGGTCAAGCCGAAAGACGGAGGTGAACCATTCAGAATAACAGCACCTCACATCACGATCGCCACAGGCTCATTCCCAACAAAACCCGAAGGCATAAAGGGCGCAGAATACGGCATCACATCAGACGAGTACTTTTTGATCAAGCATCTGCCGAAGAAGATGGTGTTTGTTGGGGCTGGCTACATCGCCGTCGAACTTGCCGGTGTGATGAATGCTATTGGAGTTGAGACACATTTGTTCATCCGACATAACACGTTCCTCCGAAAATTCGATCCCATGGTGCAAGAGACCATGACGAACCATTACGAAGACCTGGGTGTTCACGTCCACCGAAACCACCCTGGAATCAAGGAGGTTGTGCAGTTACAACCTGCCAAGGATCCATCTGATCCGCGCGATAAACAGCTCAAGATCATCATGAATGACGGCAGCGAAATGATTGCAAATGAGCTTTTGTGGGGCATTGGACGAGGCGCAGAGACCCGAGGACTGGGCCTCGAAAACATACCGATCAAGCTGGACAAGACCGGCCATATTGTCGTGGATAAATACCAGAATACATCGGTCCCCGGGGTGTATGCCTTGGGTGATGTTTCTGGCCAGGTGCGTATTGCTCCTTGCTCCTTGCTCGCAGCGGGCCAACTGAGTTCGTCTGACTCGATTCTAGGTCGAACTCACACCGGTAGCCATTGCAGCTGGGAGACAGCTGGGCAACCGCCTCTTTGGACCACCCGAACTCAAGGATTCTCACCTTGACTACGACAGAATCCCATCTGTCGTCTTCTCACACCCCGAAGTTGGTTCGACCGGCTTAACTGAGCCACAAGCTATTGAGAAATACGGAAAGGACCGTATCAAAATTTATCATACCAAATTCTCAGCCATGTACTACGATGTGTAAGTCTAGATGTCTGGCGACCAGCGTTACTTGAGAATTGACAGTGCTGTAGATTCCCGCCAGAGGAGAAGAAGAAAGAGCCGACAGAATTCAAGCTTGTCTGCCTTCTGCCAAACGAGGAGATTGTGGGATTACACATCTTGGGCAAGGGCTGCGATGAAATGATGCAAGGCTTTGGGTAAGTCTGCTAGATCGGTGAAGTTTCTCGAGATGCTGACATCGGTAGTGTCGCTGTCAAAATGGGCGCGACGAAGAAAGACTTTGATAGTTGTGTTGCTATTCATCCAGTGAGTACTTTAACGGGCATTTCTGATTCGAAGCTGACAGCAGGTAGACGAGTGCAGAAGAGCTGGTTACTATGCGTTAGAAGTATAGACAAACAAATTATAGATCTGCACAAGGATAATATTATACCAACTACAGCCGATCCTTCGTATATGAAGAAATTGTCCCTGTGTAGATTCCTTCAAAGCCTGAAGATGCAGCGTGAGTCTCTTCCCTCGAGGCTGCCAAGATTATGACGTGGGGATGCACTCGAAGACTGTTGCCTCGCGCATCGTCACCATTCACGCGACCGTTTGACAAGACACTTCCTTGATGGTTCATAGTGGCAAAAAGGATGTATTCCTTGCTTTGAAACATCATTCACTGCCCTTCCTCAAATCATTGCCCAAGTAGTGGCTTTCTAATATGGTGACATGAAAACGTTCTCTCCTCTTGCTGGATATTCATCATTACCCGCCCAAGGCTGAAGGACAAAGCACCAACCTTGGCAGGCAGCATTGTTGCGATTGTCACTTCATCTATGGGGTGTTGAAGTACCTTCTCCTATCTTCAAGTATACCCGAGTGAAGCGATAATCTCAACGATGCCTGAAAGTACAAAATCCATGGAAGATTCATGGGTGGTTGAAGATAAGGGTAATGAGAGCATCAGCTGGGACGAAGCTTCAGCCACGTCCGTCTCAGAAGAAGATCCTCCTACAGCCACTACAGATACCGATAGCCAAACAAGGCCGAAAAGGACCCAAGAGCCTGCGCATCACTCTAGACCAGCAAACACTGCCCCGGCAGAACCACAGTTCATCATGCCCACCATGTCAACGAGCACACCTACAGCTCAGAGACTGGTCAGACAGCGCAAGCCTCCAGTCCCTTCGAGAACTGGACAACCAAGGCAACAAGGAGCCACTTCGACGGCAGCGAGACCATCCACCAGACATCAATCGGACACTCCCCGAGAGGAGACAAGTGTTGCTGATCAAGTACTCAATATCATGAGCCACGTGGCCGAATGGATTTTCGATATTCTTGGACAGACACTCAAGACCTTGAAGAAGCCTATATCGTGGCTGCTTGCGGCATACCTATTCGCCGGCATCTTGATGCTTGTCCAGAATCTGCTGACGACTTCAATCTATACTGCCTTGTCACCGATCTGTCGTATACCAGGAATATCCCTTCTCCACTTGCCGATCTGCCACTATGCCTCCTCAAACGCCGATGCTCCTACCCTTTCGTCCGGAACATCTGCGCCAGTCGAATTCGACGCCCTGATGCAGACACAATCCCATTTTGAGGAAATTCTGTCCGAATCTGCGGCGGGAATCACTTTACCGTTAGACATGAAACGCTCAGAAACGTCAATCCGCGATCTCCGCCAGATTGTTCGCTTTTCGCAGCTCTCTTCCCGCAATGAACTCGTTCTCGAGTTCGACGGCTTTGTTGAAACCGCACGGATCGCTTCTTTCGATCTCCAGAAATTCAACTCCCACGTCGGCCGCGGCGTGGACATTGTGCTTAGCACGGCACGCTGGACACAGCGCGTGCTCGACGACATGGCGATCAAGCAGTCCTCGCGCGGGATCATTCCAGGTTTTATCCAGGATCGGATCCTGGCGCCGTTCACGCCAGTGCAGTTCACCGAGTCGCGCCTGTTGGATCAGTATATCCAACACACGCGCATCGTTAGCGAGGAGATTGAGCGGTTGATCGATGAGGCGCAAGCATTGTTGCTTGTGCTGCAGAACCTCGAGGACCGGCTTGACGTAATCCATGCGATTGCCATGCGCGACAACATCGACGCGCAGGCGGGCAAGGACGAGATCCTCTCGCATCTGTGGACGCTGTTGGGCGGGAACAGGGCGAAGTTGGGCAAGTTCAATAACCAGCTCACGTTGCTGAGGCAGGTCGGGCAGTACCGCAAGGTGGCGTGGGCGCATGTCTCGGCGACGATACTCAAGTTGCAGGCTATGGGGGCGGAGCTGGAGGAGTTGAGGACACGGGTGGGTAGTGCAGAGGTGCTGAGGGACCATAAGGAGATTCCGCTGAGTGTGCACGTGGAGAATATCAGGCTTGGGGTGGAGAGGTTGGAAGAGGGACGCGAGCGGGCGAGGAAGTTGGAGCAGGGGCATGTTAGGAGGGTTATTGATGGGGCGGAGGGGGATGGTGTGAGGGCGTTGGGCCAGGCGTAGGAACTTGGAGGTTAGTATGGCTGGGCCTTGAAGGGAATGGGATGGGCGTGAATACACAGGGATTAGAAACGGTCAGGACAGGTTGGGAAGGAATTCGTTCGTTGATTGTTCCAAGGCAATGGCGGCAATGGGAGTGGGAGTGACGGACAGCTTGGATGAAAGCCCCTGGACTGGCTATTGTACACGACTTACGAGTGATGAAGCAATAGTATTCGTTTTCTATTCTTACTAGTCTTATACATTAGGACGATCTGCTTATATTCTTCCACACTGCTGAGGCACTGGAGAGAGAAAGATGGTCATAGATCCCGCGTGGTTTTGACTACATACCAGTAAATCGGTTCTTCTGCACTCTTCCAATCTATACTTGGGTCAAGTCAATCAACACTATCCCGGATGGTCATCATAAGTAGTCTTCAGGTTCCTTGTCGAGTAGAAGCTGTGTCATGGAGCGTCGAGACCTAACCACGATAATTATTACTTACTTGCTCATGACCTCCTTGACTATCCTCGCCATGACATCCTCCAGATTCTGACAATCCTCCACGCCGAGCAACGCATTATGCAGCTCCGCCTCTTCGTCCGCGCCGTTGGGGTAGAATGCGTCCGCCACACCTTTCACGAAGAGATTTCCGTTGAGAAGGTCCATTATGGCCAGCCTGTTCCCTGCTGCAAGCTTCGCATGCGCATCCTGGATATCCTGCGTCAGCGGGACGTGGCTGATGTCCCAATCTGCATCGGTCGTTCGCGTGGCTTGCTGCACTGCGCGGAAGATATCGGCTTGCGAGAGGCGAAAGCTGGCTACGTAGACCATTTTGTTCGCGAATGAGGGCAGGGTGCGTTGGAGAGTTGGATCGGCGCTGGAGCTGGAGCTGGAGCTGGAGCTGGTCACGTTGGGGTTCTTGCCGTCGAGGGTAAGCGGGAGCGAGAGGACCCTAGCAGCAGCGAGAGCAGACGTGCGTATTGTGGAAAGGTAGGTCTTGACATCGTCCCCGTCAAGCAGCGTGGCCTTGCGTTGCTTGATGTCGATACCCATCCAGCCGCCCGGCAGGTTCCAGTCGAGCCAGGCGTTGTTGGAGATGCCGATCCAGCAGCTTGTGCGGCTGCCGTCGGGTGCAGTGCCAAGTTCCTCGACCATCTTACGCGCGTTGACTTTGGCCATGTGGCCCGGAATAGCGGCGACGAGGCGTGGGTTGCTGGTGTCGCTCCCGAACTCGCAGGGGAGGATGTAGGGCACTTTGGCCTCGCAAGCGGCCCGGATGATGAGTGGTTGGAGCGTATGGCACACGCTGAAGCCTAGTGTTATGATGAGGGCGTCTTGGCCGGTGAGGGGATGAACAAGGAAGTCGTGGTCTTCATAGGAGCCCGCAACGATGGTGATGCGTGGATTGGACGTCAATTCGGGGTGTTTGGCAGGTGTGATGCTTCCGGGGCGGGTGATCAAAGTGACCTGAAATTGTGGGAAGTGCTGGGCAAGCAAGGCGAAGAGAACATGGGAGCCCAATGTCCCCGTTGCGCCGATGAGGCCGACTTTGGAAATGTAGTTCTTTGGGACCATATTGGAAAGCGTGGTCGAAATAGTGTGGAAGGGTATGTTTAGCTTCGGGCATCGACAAGGAAGAGAAGAACAGGATGCAAGTGAGACAGGTCCAACAGCTCTATATCTTGACAATCGAGAAGAATCATTGAAAGATATCATCGGATTTACCTTGAGTCCGAGATAGACTGGAAGGTTGGTGGGCTTGATGGCTGGCTCATTGATCGATCGAAGGTGTCCGTTGAGAGACCGCCATCATCCACCATCGGACTTACCTCAACTTCCGCTTCTTGGATCTAGATATCACAATGCCACAGGCACTGTGTGCCAGATGGAGGGGGAGTACAGCTGACAATGTACGCAGCTATCCTGTTCACTGGAGTCATGGAAGAAGGAGTGCTACCAAGGGGGTTGTCGTCGTGTTGGTGGATATGAGTTCCAGCGCGCAACTCTATCCCTGTATGACAAAGCGCGACGCGCAAGACTAGCCACATACGGCAGAGACGCCATACGGACTTGTCTTCGAGACCTCAAGCTATCAACTGCATCCTTCCTTACAGCCATGCAATTGATCGGGTCTTTCATCTCAAAGATCCCCAGGTGGTCTCCCAGCACCTGGTGAGGGCGAAGGGGCAATATGGTCTATCACGGTGTTTCCAGAGGCTGTGAGACTTGCAAACAGAGGCGCAAAAAGGTGAGCCCGGCAAATGTAAGTTAGTACCGCCTGTGCTGACTTAAAATATCAGTGTGACGAGGCTCGTCCAGTATGCATATGCGGCCCTTTGCCACTTCTGGTCACTTGCGGCTGACCAGCATCATGTACAAGGTTTGCAACAGATGCAGAAAAGCCAACCGTACTTGCCGCGGATACAAGGATGAGACGGACCTGATATTCCGGCATCACCGCCATGGTCTGGATCACTTCCGAGACCACTCGGACTCTCAAGATGAGCAGGGACCTCCATCAGACGATCCCAAGACCCATATTCCCAGTGTTGCGCACTACACAACTGCGGATTGGCGTAATGCTACATTCGAACGAGAAGCCCGGGAGCAATTCCTCCTGGATTACTCTGTGATCTCCTCGGATCGGTCACTATCACGCGGCTATCTTGAAGGCCTTCGACAGTTGCTAGTCTACTGTGGGCCATCCTCAGAGCTGTCACAAGCGGTGACTATTGTATCTTTCGCCAGCTACGCAAACAAGCACAGCCGTCCGGAGATCTCGGCTGAGGCTAAATATCTTTATTTCCAACTCCTGCAGTCCTTCCAGAGGACCATCTCGAATGTTGCGACTTCGAACATCGTGGAGCCTCTCTTGACTGCTGTGTTGCTTGGACTATATGAGGTGAGGAGAAGCGCGAAGACAGAAAATCGAAGCTCAACCAAACTTGCTAGATCATCTCGACGACTGAGGCGTATCCGAGTGCGCACAGCGCTCATTCCAAGGGCGTCTCGGCCATTCTCACCTCGGAGCACTCTCCCTTCGATATCTTCGCCGGTGCAAAGTTGTTCCAGATGTCGAATCCCCTCCGCCTCGACCCAGCTCGATTGGAGGTGAGTCAATCCAACCACTGGCCCCATCACTGACAATGACCCGGTAGAATTCACGCAATCATGGCATCCTCTGTGCTCCGTTGCTAGCAGATTCAGTCCAGAGTCTGGATTCCATCATGGTCAGGACGAGACCCATCGCGGCAAGGATGCAACAACTCATAAAATCTCCTACGGATATGACTGCTGAAGAATTGGGTCAACTAAGAGAGGATATGATACTCCTCGTCCGCGACTATGCTCAGTGGGCTGAGAATCAACCTCCAGAATGGTCGCCAAAACTAATTGGTACCATGAACCAGAGCCAAGCAAGATCAGCCGGGACGATCTATTGGCCTGGAAGACTAGAGAGCTATTTCGACCGTGAGTGCCGCAATGAACCAGTTGCTCCGCGGATCTCACTACTACAGCCATGCTAACGGGCACCAGTGTATGTTGCTGGCATATGGAATTGTTATCGCAAATCTCGCCTTTTATTTCTCGACCAGGTCATACGTTGCGAGCTACAATTCCCGGAACCTGATAGAAAACTAACAGTCGGCCGTCTCTACTCCGAGGTTCAAACCCTTGCGGCCGATCTTGCTGCGTCTGTCCATTTCCATCTGACGGGCTCTGCTGAAATGCCTCCGTCAAGTCCTCATGGTGTCATCACTCCAGGCAAGTCTGTTGGCGGGCTTCTCATTCTTCACCCCCTCACCGTGTCTTCCACCCTGTCTGTAGTTTCGCCAGAAATGCAGACACATTTCCGGAACTGTCTTGCTTGGATTGGAGATAACATGGGCATCGGCCAAGCCACTCTTCTGGCAAAGGTGAGAGACCTCTTGATGGCCAGCCACAGGCTTTCAAGAAGACGACTGCTAAGATTTATCTAGAATCCTGGTGGTTTGCCGTACAACTTCATTAAGGATGGTCACGTTCTGGTATGGGCTGGGATGCTTGTTAGCCAGATATGAACTGAGGACACGGCACTAGGAGCTTGCCTCGTTGTTTGAGACAGACTGCCTCATCGCTCTCACAAATCGACGGAATGCAATGCCGTGCAAACAGGCTCTTGACTGCCAAAGGGACTGTTGTCCTTGCAGATGACAACGGGTACCCGACGTGTACTAATACCTCGATACCAATACCAAGCTCACCTAAGCTTTCGGCCCGCTGCCGCGCCAAATCTTATTGGGTGCTTATGTTAGATTATGTGATTAATCAACGTCTGACGAGCCGCAATGTCCTCAACTGCGCTGCAAACAGCGGGTTGCTCATTTGCCAGACAATAAATTTATCGCCTGCGGACTTTGACGTTAGCCGCCAGTGGCCGCCCTGATTTCTTTGTCCTCCTTTACTCGCCTTGCCAACACCGTCAACTTCCCATCCACAACTGGATTCCATCGAAGATGTATCGCAGAAGACTCGAAGCGATCGCTTATCGTGAGTCCAGGCGACGACCATGAATCTGGAGAACAGTCTGGCGACCAGTCTAGATCCGGGCTATCCCAGACCCCGTACATCAATCAGAACCTGAGGCCTTCTTGGAACATTAGGCCAGAAAGCGCCACTCGCATCGCCGCTGTGTCGCCTTGGATCGACAGCAGAATTGCACAAACACCATCCGTGCGGTTCCAGGCGATCCATTCAAGAGTCTCCATCTATCCGAAATGGCTCGTCAATTCCTTCAAAAGTGGTACACTACTCTTCACGAGAGTCTGGAAAATGTCTCGTTCATCCATTTACATTACTTCTATTTCTGTGCCGCTTGCATTCTATCAAGCATAATCTTCTGGGGATCATCCACCCCAGCAAAATCGGTCCGCTTCATTGATAGCCTGTTTCTGTGCGTTTCCGCCATGACCGAAGCAGGTAAGATTGCGTTACCATATTGCTGTTCTTGTCACCTACTGATGACGTTTCAGGCCTCAACACCGTCAACCTATCAGAACTGTAAGTCGCTTGGAGTTGAACAGACCTTGCAGTTGCACTGGACTGATCAATTGTTTAGCAACACGTGGCAACAAGTGATATTGTTTATACTCATCATTGCAGGTTCTGCGATTTTCGTGTCCATCGCCATTCTGCACGTCCGAAAGCGAGCTTTTGAGAAGAAGTTTGCCGAACTTGCCGAGCGACGTCGAAGACTGTTGCTGAGACCCCGTTCGCTGACCTTTACCTGGTCAAGGCGCAGACCCAGTCATTCCGGGGATCGTGAAGCCGCAATCGCCTCGGGTGCGGTCCGTGGTCGCGCCATTCCAGATCGTCCTCAAGACGACAGTGCCGAGGATAAGGCTTCTTTGAATCCTCCAGAACGCACCCAGTCACCATCGAACGTAGTTGCGGAGTCCGATACGGCTGCGATCAGCATCAGTGAGGTCGCTAACGACGAACAGAATGGTCATATCCGGTTTCGAGATCAGCTTCCGGCTGCTGAACATGCCCAAAACCACCTCCGACCACGCAACATCAGCCGTCGCCGGACAAGCTTTTTGGAAGGACGTGGCGTTGGTGCTCGACCACTTGATAACCATCCTCGCAATGCCTTGCCCAGAACTGGGCGATATTCCCCAGATGGAGACAACGTTGCCGTCGAGGACGACATCAAATCACAGGAGAAAGGTCATTCCAAGTTGAGCAAATACCTCGACACGGTAAATGGCTATCTCGGACGAAACAGTCAGTTCCACGGTCTCAGTGAGAAGGAACGCAAGAAACTGGGTGGCATTGAATATGACGCTATTTGTCTGCTGTCCTGGGTGGTGCCATTATATTTCTTCCTCTTCCAGCTTTTCGGAGCGCTGGGACTTGGCGCCTGGATCAAGGTCAATCGGCCTGGCATGGCACTCAGAAATGGTACAGACGAGAGATATCTGCTTTTGAAAGACCTTGCTGACTCTGGTAGGGCTCGACCCATTTTGGACGGGTGCCTTCTTTGCTGTTTCAGCGTTCAACAACTCCGGAATGGCTCTGTTGGATGCCAACGCGACTGCGCTCCAGACGAGTTACTATTGCTTGCTCACTTTGAGTCTGCTCATTCTGGCCGGAAACACCTGCTTCCCGCCTTTCCTCAGGCTAATCTTGTGGACGATGAAGAAAATGATACCAAACAAGTTCCAATCACAAGCCTGGCAACGACGCCGTCAAACGTTGGAATTTTGCCTCGACCATCCTCGACGAGTTTACACCAACCTGTTTCCCGCTGCGCAGACATGGTGGCTGGTTTTCTCTCTGGTAATGCTGAACGGCATTGATTGGGTGGCCTTTGAGCTCCTGAACATCAACAATCCCGTCACAGACGCCATCTCTCCTCATTTCCGAGTTCTGGACGGATTATTCCAGGCTTTTGCCGTCAGGAGTGGAGGGTTCTACGTGGTCAGTATATCGGGACTACGGTCGGGCCTTCTCGTCCTCTACGTCGCCATGATGTACATTTCAGCCTTTCCCATCGCAATGACGATACGTAATACAAACGTCTACGAAGAGCGATCACTCGGAATTTACGCCGAAGATCTCGAAGGAGCGACGACTCAAGGTGCAGACGAAAACAGTGGTAGGGCGGACGAAAAAGCAAAAGAAAAGGAAAAGCCAGGACGCCAGCTCCTTTCGGGCTTGAAACGTACTATGACCATGTCTCATGGGACTGTGCCACCGATTTCCAACTCATTGTCCTGGACTCGTCAAGACTTCGTACGGCAACAACTTCGGGGCCAATTGGGCCACGACCTATGGTGGCTCGTTCTGGCGATTTTCATGATCACAGCAATCGAGACGGGCCAGTTTGAGCGCGACCCCGTCAACTTTTCCACCTTCAATATCATATTTGAAGTCGTGTCTGCGTACGGCTGTGTGGGGATATCGGTCGGCATTCCATGGGCGGCATACTCGTTCTGCGGGACATGGCATACAGCCAGCAAACTCGTCTTGTGTGCTGTGATGCTCCGTGGCAGGCATCGAGGATTACCCGTCAGCATCGATCGAGCCATCCTGCTACCCGATGAAACGCTGGCCTGGGCGGAAGAAGAGGACGCAACGAAGCGAGGAGGCTATTCTGGCACGACGGCCCTTAGTACGAAGAACAGCAGGGACGGATTGCGGCGGGCAAGGACTACCGATTCCGTACAACCCCCGCGGGGTCAGAGTGTCGACATGAACAGAGATGCCGACCACATGGTATAAACACGGTCGAGGGATTACAGCCGCAGGTCAGGTCCTGCCCTCAATCACTTCGCTTCCGCTTTGAACACACGGTGCGGCATTCTTGTTGTCCATTCCCTTTTCTGTGCAAAGACTGAGCGAGGAGTTTTGGGTGGAAGGCCACATGGCATTAACAGGACTGGTCGACGATTCAAAGATATACACTGAGTATCATGGGTTCAGTCAACCTTTCCACAACGTAGTTAGACATCAGAATTGTGCATTTCACATCAGCGCGAGGACTGAACTGCCTTGTGCTTGCTGATTCTGACCCTGAAAGCTGCATTATCAATAGGAAAGCCTTGGTTGATGATGATACAGGCACTGTGAGGGTAGGCTGTCGATATCGTAAGAGATGAACAGGGTGTAAGAGAGATGTGGCGTCGATGCTGCCATAAGTCAGGTCCACGGGCTCGGCAGGACCCAACAGCACTGAGACTTGAACATACTGTAGGTGGTCAACGCACCAGAACACGTACATTCCTCCTCAATAGTATCTCACGATGCGAACCGCACTTGCTTGATTTTGCCAGTGCTTCTGGAGGTGAGTAAGTGGCAGGATGGCGTGTCAGCAAGGCAAAGCTCGGAAGTGGCTGAACCATACTTTTCGTTTCGTTTTGTCATCATTCGCTTTTTCCTCATGGTAGACGTTGCTGCGGAGTAATTATATGTATATATGTAAAAGAGACGAAAAAGGCAGAATCCAAAACTTGTCATGGCCCCCTACGCATAGGTGTAGCAGAAGTCTCCTGCCGAGACACTGACGAGGTCTCGGACTTTCTTGGCCGGTCCCAGGTAACCCCAATCCATCACCGTGTCCAAGGTGACATTCGGTGTAGAGTTGCCGTTGAAGATGGTGCTCGTCCCGTCTAGAGCAGTGACCCTATTATTCGGGTTCGCCGCCTGCCAAAGCGTCCAGACACGGTCGATCATGCCATGGTGCAACCAGAAAGCTGGATCGGAAGGGCTGGCGAAGAAATCCAGCAAGCTCGGGCCCAACGAAAAATGCCCTCCACCGTGGACACCGAGGTTGATGTCGGCGCCGGACATGGTATTTTGGAAGTCGGCTATCGTCTTCTTGGCCATGAGGGTGTTGATGGCCGTCTGGTTGCCGTAGCGGGTCGCAATGTAGTTGTTCAGATCCCGGGTGAGGCAGTGAGGGTTGTATGCCGTCCAGTTGGAAGGTAGTCCGCTGAAGACGACGCTGAAGTCAAACGGACCCAGATTGACACTCATGTTCTTGAAGGGACCCTTGAGAACGCAGCCTCCGCCGGTACCAACTGGGAGGGTGCCACCACCGCCAACGGTGTACGGGTCGCGACCCGGGATGTATTCCCCATCGCCAGAGAGCGAGGTAGAAGATCCGTCGAACAGAGGGCTGGTAGACAGCGAAGTGCTCCACAGAGCCCAGTTCCAGTATCTGGCAACCTTTAGCTGAAACGAACACTCGGCTTGGGTCAGTTAAATGAGGATCACATACGGTTGGGTTCCTTTGTAGCCGCATTCGTTTTGGAGGGCCTGTTCATAGAGCCAGACAAACTCGCGATGCCAGGAGAGGAAGATGCCGTCAAGATGGATTGATGTTGTCAGATTGATGTGGGTGGCGGTAAAATCATCGAATCTGCTTTTCGCGCCGGGCACAAGTCCTGCCGGGATCTTTGAAGGCAGCTTTTGCAGGCATAGCACGGCGTTGATGTAGGATGTGCGTTCTGATTTGCTCAGAGAGCCCCTAGTAGGATGAGTGTAAGTCAAAGGGCTGAACTACTACTATTCCCATGCGACCAGGATAGACTTCATCATCAACGAGAGGGAAAGAGCAGTACTGACCATTCTTTCCGTACGGCCGTGCAACTTTTATCGCATTTGGAACTGCGTTCAGCAATGGGCTGTGGCACCGCATTGATCGGCATGCAAAGGCTGGTAAACAGCAAAAGGAGGGACAGGGCCCTTGTCCACGAAAAAACCGCCATTTGAGAATGAAGTGCGAGGAAGTGAATGAAGATCTCGAACACGGGTGGTCCCTGTCCATGATAATTATAAGTTTTTCTCCCATGTTGACCTGCTGCCGGAAAGAGTGGTATCAGGGCGACTAGGCAGTATGAAGCCCGTCCTAGATCGAATGGTGCGCGGCCAGCCCAACTGTAGTGTCCCAGCAGGCTTCCAGGGCCAGGGAAGCGAGAATGAGAGAACTCATAGTCGAGGGGTTGTCCCTGACAGCGGCCACTCAGGTACCATCGGTGTCTGTCCCACCACAACTAGGGATCGCCCTAAGGTGAAGTCGCGCGTGTAGTGCGTGGCGAGATTGCACTAGAAGTTCTGGAGCTCTGCAAGGGAAGCTCGAACATGGCGAAGATCTCTCACACTTGTGAACGCATGGAAGTGCCGACTAACGTTAGTACCGTACTGTGTACTCGGTCGTTTATGCACGAGGGTGGTAGTTGCAGCGACATGCCCATCTCGCATAATTATTCTCGCGGGACGAACTCATGATGCCTCGATTGGCTAAGAGTGACTTACTAGTCGTACGTAGTATACTCGTAGAACACGGGGTTCTTACTTGTAAAGGATTGAGGGAAATGCATTGGTAGCGGCGACGCCAACTAAGCAAGCCATACTCCGTAGGGTGCACACCAGCGGCACCTATACAGTACTAACCACAGTAGACTGGCACGACTGGTACGAGTAACTGCTTGGGGGCCTTGTCTGGCCTTTGTCCACCGAGGCCACGTTCTGGCGGAGGATGTTTTCGGCGAGACTGATCTCGGTTCCGGGCTCTGGGACGTCCCCTGGTTTAGCGGAGGAGGATGCTCCTCCTCAGCCATTCTCACGCACGTGGAGGTGCCATGGTGGCGTGCCGGCGACTAGGGAGTCTTGTCTTCGAGAAGCATGATTTCGCCAAGTAGAGTGGAATCCATTTGGCAGATTGGCTAGGTATCAGTAGAGGATGGTCGAACAGGCACGACAGGATACGATCCGAGATTGCAGACCGAAACGTGGTCATGTCCCTTCATACCATTAAAACCATTCACACCATTGTAAGTTGTAACCAAGGTCGAAGCTACGTGATGGATCCGCTAAGTACAAGTACGGCACTCCTCAGACTCCTGGCCTCCTCACAACGATTTAATAATGATCCATATTTGATTCTTGCCAATCTCCCTGGCGCGAACCCTACCCGTCCTCACCAGGCTTATGCCAGAACCGTCATGCCTGCCTCTTGAAGGAGGTATAGTGCATACGCGGCCTACCGCCATTCACTACGAGTAGAAGAAACCAGCAACCTGCGTCTCGGTAGAACCCAGTCGGTCGAGCAGCCAGAACGACTTTCATATTGTGTATATCTTTGGTGTTCGCCCAGTGGAAACCCAAAGACCAGTGTATACATAATTTCGCAGGAGCATAGCATGCAGGGTAAAACTTCTGCTGCCCATGCGCGAATATAGCCTAGCAACGTACTTGTAACAATTTTCCAGCCAACGTCCAAGGACTTTGCTAGCCCATATGCTTCCTCACATGACAGTACATCGACTTCCCTTCTCTTTCCTTCCCGTTGTCGGACTACCTGCTGGCAACGTCTGTGCCCGGCCCGGATCGGCCAGCGGCTCACCCTTTCTCCTCCTCCTCTTTGTTTTCGAATGTTTCAGCCCCATTGAACTCGATGCATTTCTCGCCCAGGCATCCATGTCCTGATACGCCGAGCCTCCCTGCGCAAAAGAATTAGCGTGCACCATCTGGTTCGGCATGACCACCTGCCCGGCAATGCTATGGGATCTCGATCCAGGCTCGCCGGGCCCATACGAGCTGGATATGCTCTCGATCGTGTCCAGTCTGTTGCTCATTTGTGGCCGTCGATCGTAAGAATACGACGCTACTAGATTCGGTGTCGACGTGGAGATGGGTATCGCGCGACCACTGCCACGCGAGTTGTTCCTAGCCAAACCGTTTGGAGCCGTGATGGCCTTATTGAATGATGGCGAATTCGCATTGCCAGACGCTCCCCATGCACCACGTGGTGGGGAGGGAGGTACTACTGAGCCGCCCCTCGGTTGGGTTGCTGGGTCCGGATTCTGGTAGGCCGAACCGTTGGTTGTCACAGGCACAGGCTTTCGTGCTGTCTGGGAGATTCGACGGTTCAAGTTAGCCATCTGGTCTGCGGTCGGAGGTGCGAAAGCATAGGGCGCTCCTGCAGGACCGGATGCTTGTGTGGTTGGAGGCTGATCTGTTTTAGGAGGTGTAGGCGGTCCAGCGGTTTCATACTGCGACTGACGTATTTGATCCAGGCTTGTTGGAGTGGGAGGAACTGGGTGATTAAGGCGGGCTTGGAGGTTGGCACCTGTAAGGGTAATGGAACCAGCATTAGCAGGTTTATCGGACTGTTGTGGTGTGGATCTTGCTTCAAACGGGCTCGGGCCAGGTTGAGAGATGTTCAACGGTGACACGCGCTCCGGGGTGTGGTGCGGTGACGATCGGTCAGAATGAGATACTGGGCGTGAAGACGAGTCTGCAGAAATTGTAGTTACGAGTGGCTGGCCCGCTGCAGAGGCTTGGGCTTGGTTTGGCAAGATGTGTTGATGTTGATCAGGTGAAACAGAAGACGAATACCCTGCAGGCACAGATCTGGGTATTGCATTGCTGAATGCGCCAACCGGGTGCTCTGGAGGCCTTTCGGGCATCATATGAGGAGGCGGATGACCCGGGAATTGTAGTTGATGATTCGCCATTGGCATCGGGCCTGGTACGAAGCCTGGCCGAAACATGTGAGCCTGATTTTGTTGAGGTATGTGCCCGTTTTCTGGAATTCCTGCTAAAGGCATGGGCATTGACCCTGGAGCGCCCATGGGATGAGGTTGCATCAGCGCCGAACCTAATGGTATGGCGGACTGAACCTGGCTCTGGGAGCCACTTGAATATGGCGGAGGGGGTGTTTCCCATCCTACTCCTGATTGCCACTGCTGAGGGGGTGATCTGTGGTAGACAAGGTGGCCAGCGTCCTGGGGTGCAAGAGGCGGTCTTGGGGGGTATCTAGCCGTAGCAAAGCCTGCTGCGGTACTGGATCTGTGCAGGTTGGCCTGCAATTGTGTCGGAGCGCGAGGCGATGCAATGGCCAGATCCATCTGTGCGTCCACGTCGAGGGGTGACGACGTCGGGGATGCCGAGTTGTTGGTACGCCGTTGGTTCCACGACTGGTTCACGGACGCCGTGGTGATAGAGCGACCCAGGCCAGTCCTTATACCCCCTCTTCCACGGTCTCGTACACTTCGGCGTCTTTCGATTGCCACCTCAATATCCATGTCGCCGATTTGTTCTGTTAGTAACTCTGGCTCCTTGTCACCAACCTCTATCGTTAGTTCGCAATCTTGGCCGCAAGACGGGCCATAGTCGAAGTCGAGTATTGACACCCTCGATCCGTCCACAGGCATAGTCTCGTCTCCAAGGTCTTCCGCGAATTGGTCGACGCCACCAGGCGCAACTGCTATCAGTCTCTTGCCGTAAAACGCACATTCTCTCATGTCGGATTTTTCGACCCACTTAGCAGCAGTGCAGCCTTCGATTGTTCTTATCTGCGAACACTTGACGAAAAGACTTTCTCTCCAGTCGACTTTTGCCGCCAGGGAATCTTCTTCGATTTCATCGCTGCTGCCAGAAACCGACGGTGAGTATGCCATGAGGGGTTCAAGATGGCCGGTCGCAGAAGTCAATGGAATCTTCCCTTGCAGTCGCTGTTCATGTCTTTCCACAACTGAACCCATATCAGGGCTCACATCCAATTTTTCCGGCACGCCATAAATCCAGAGGCCACTTCCACTGAACCCGGCCACAACTAGAGTACCACAGGCTGTAGCGGTCGGAGCTGTCAAAGGTGCTGGCATGCTGAAGCGGCGACTTGTGGTTGGATTCAAGAAGTAAGCGACACCAGTTCTCGTATCGTCTGTCCGGACGGCTCTGTAAGACATTAAGGAGTGATCATAAGCAAAGAGCCAACTGGCATCGCCTTCTGTGTGGCCTTGGAGCAGTTCTGCATGGCTACAGACACTGCTGATCTGCGGGAACAGAATTTGTGTGGTCCACATTCGACTGTGAACTTCTTTCGGTGGTAGGTCGTTCTCCGTATAGAAGGGTGCTGTGATGACCACTGCGGAAGGTTCCTCCAAGCTTTGTGTGCTACCGACCAACATCGATCCATCCCCCAAGAAGCTCAAGCTGTCAACTCCTTCGCTCCTAACCGCTCGTCGATCGGTTGACAAAGCTGTCGGCGCTAAAGAGAACACCTCTACACCACCGTCGTAGGCTGCTGCTAAAACGGTGCCCTGAGGAGCCAATGCTATCGTCCGAGGAGGATTGTCCATCACGATGACCTGTACGTGTTTGACACCTTCCGCGGTCAGATTGTACACGTTGGCCTGATGCTTCGATGACAAGACGGCGAGTGTAGTACCATCGTCGGTGACTGAAGCGGCCAAAGGTCGCCTTAGAGTTTTCAATTCACGTGTAACGGAGATGGGCTCGGTGATAGCGTCAATGACATAAATCCTCGAAGAGCTCAAGGCGAGGACTGTCTGGCCGTTAGGCGAGAACGAAAAGCGGAAGGCCTCAGCACCAGGCAACGCAGCGGAGGAACTCGCATTGACGGAAACGAGGTTGATCAGTGTCTGCCGAGGTCGTAAATATGCTTCGAACAGGTTCCGACGGACTTCGGCAGCGAACTTGGTCTTGAGTCGGTACAAGTCATTCTTTCGAAAAGGCCCAGTGATGACGGTATTCGCCAAGGCATAGGACGGGCAACGAGATAGATGGTGTGCATATAACTCCTTGTTTTGAGCTGCTTGATACCAGGCTCGATTTAATATGGCTAGTGAGGCGAAGTTGTCGACGTCTACGGTCCATAGGATTCTGCAGGTTGTCAGTAAGCACGAGATCTGGAGGACTTGATGGAAGCATCCCCAGCAGCAGTTCGACATGTACCTTTGGATGACCTCAATGGGAAGTTTGTGAAAAGCAACGGCTTCACGTCTCTGCTGATCTGCCCTGGTGGTGGACGAGGACTGAGGATGGTGGTCAGGCAGGGTCTGGTCATGTGACGTTTGCGATGGATGGAAGAAGTCAGCCTCATAATGAGTCGGATCCAGTGGCTGGGGAGGAATGTCGTCGTGAGAGATTGTCGAAGAGGTTTTTATCGATGGGGGCCGCACGACTATATGCGGCGACATGATGCGGAAGGAGCGACGGAGATTTGAAAGCTATTCAGACAATGCCGAACAGGAGGACATGGTTGATGGAGGTTCTCATGTACAGATCCTCCATCGACGCGTCCGAGGCGAAGCTCCCTTTTGTTTCGATTAGTCGGACATGGGTAGTACTGAGGGAGTTCAATTGCTGAATTGCCACGATGAAGAGATCTCGACTTGGTGCAATTCAACGGGTGACGAGCGATGGGTTCAGATGGTATCGTCGTCGGTGTTTAAGACACGGCGCTTTTGGTGGTGGTGGTGATCAAAGTCGGCGATGGGGTTGGATGGATTGAGTAGGACAGCGCCGGGCCACCACAAAAAGAGGTGGTCAGCGGCCCCTGTACTCCGTACTGTAAGTTATTCGTACAATAGCTGGCTCGCTGGAAGAATGCAACGCTTAGTTAAGCCACACAGGCACGAGTAAGATGTGTGGATGTTCAGCAGAAAGAACCCCAGGGACAATAGCACCCAGGTAGACCGCCCATCACCGCCTAAACCGAAGCCAGAATCAGAGCAAAAGCGAGATCAAGTGCCAATCGCATCGAAGGAGGCAGACCTAAAAGCACACGAGGTCCAGTTAAAGATGGTTTGGGATTAGATCGTGCCTCTGCGTTGCTTTTCTTAGATTTCTCTCAAGCCGCGATGGCCCATGATGGCCCCTACACTACCTACCTGATAGGTGCCTGAGGCGACTGGGTGCAAGTATTAGCGAGGGCTCCAAATTTTGGGATGTGGGACCTCTGTCTGACACCTGGAGCCAAGCTCCTCATCTGTGCTGATCACCGCTGTCGTGAGCTTGTCAGTGGGTGTCGTATCAAGCACAACACATCGTCTGACAACCTTGATACCTTTGGGGAGCCTGGGAGCCTACCTAGGTATGCTTCTTCAACATCAAACACCTTCTACTTCATCTCCCCTAGGCATCCCCAGATCATCTCCCACTCTATGCGGACGTCTTGCTTCTTCGAGCCATGGGTTTTCGCTTAAGCGCATTCTGGAACACAACTCCGTTGGCGCAGATCAGATCATCACAGTTCATCTCAAACACCACTCGAAAGGTATCCATTATACATGAAGGGAGATGATTGCCTGAAGAATGGGTTCCCAGTGCTTCTCTCGACAAGTCCATTGCTCGTCGCAAAAGATGCACTAGAATGATATATCCTTGTTCGTACAGCCCGGCCAGACATTAGCACAGCTCACTTCTTTTCCGCTGCAGGCTTATCCCCGCCACCAACCAACCCATCAAACACCCCGGAGAACCAACGGCCAGGCTTCATGCTCTTCATAGCTTCTTCCTGCATTCTCTTCTCCTCAGCATCTCGCTCGGCCAACCACTTTTCGCCCTCTTCCTTAATCTTCTTGTCAAACTCCATATACTGTTGCTGTCCGCGTTCTCGGATCTGGTCCCACAACATCTTGCCCTCTCCCAGACTTTGGTCTTCCTGGGGCTTGGATAATCCCAAGAGAGAGCCAAGTCCACCAACGCTCTTCTTCGGTTTGTGTTTCCGCTTTTCTGCCTCTTGCTTTTCGAACTTCTCACGGATGATCTTCTCCCGTCGCGCAAACTCGGCCGGGATGTATGTGCCTTCGAAGGACTTCAGCACCTCCCGCACGTCGTCGAATCCCATGGTTGCAAGGTACTCCAAGAACGGAATAAGCTGAATCAATGTCTGATCTTTCGGGTCACCCTTCCACTTCGGTAGGATGATGGCATTTTCAGGTTGGTGCTTGACATGATGCGGATCGGTGTCGATGATCAAGACTTTCTTGAGATCACGGTTCAGGTACGAAAGATCCTGGTATCATCTTAGTAAAACAAGCGTTAGTGGATATGTGGCCTAGAATTACCTTTACGTAACCGCCGTCTTTGTATAGAGTGGCTTCACGGAACAGCGGCCATCGAATGGTGGAATAAGGATCCAGCTTCCTCAACACCTGCTCGACCATAGCCATGGGCTGGCTGGTGAACAGCACAATCTCATAGTAGCTTCCAAGGTATCGTAAAAAGTAGTCCATTCCAGGTCGTTTGGCGACGCGCCATCCGTGCTCCATGGTCCATTCCGAATGACACAACATATCCTCCAAGCTGAGCACCAGCGTAAACGGGAACCGCAGGTTTGGATCTGGATCCTCGTCCGGCAGCAGCTTCGTTGTCACTGGATCTCGGTAGTAGCTCATGGTCGACCCTAACCTTGCCTGGACCCGATTCCAGAAACGCCCAAGTCCCCAACCTGAGGGAGCATCAGCGTGTTTCTTCTCCTCCTCTTCGCTCTCCCAGTTGCGTCCCAAATATACCGAATAGCCGACAGCACCCAAGCCTAGCAGCAGGTACATGTATCTGAAGACTGCGTTCTTTTTCCGATCGCTTGATGAGACGTACTGCTCCCGAGGGGCGTCGCTACCACCTTGTCCGCCTTCATCAGGAGGCGTTTGTTGATCTGGCTCTTCGGTAATATTGAGGCTGGATTTCCGTGCATGAGGTTGTTGACTTTGTTTTGCTTGACTTAGCTCTGCGTCCAATGTTGACGGGATACCTTTTGTCAAATCCGGAAGAGGCTGTTGAGGCTGTTGCGCCTCTCCTTCTGAGCTCTGTGGAGCTTCTTTTTCCTCCTGAGGCCACGCACCTTGTGTCTGCTGGTCTCTCATTGAACTTCTGGTCGCCTTTGAGACTGATCCAGAAACATCGTCGAGGTCTCGGGCAGGGTCAACGCCGAAGGGCGGCTTATCTGGAGGTTGCTGCTTCTTCGCATTCGGACTCGCAGTCGTGAAGGGGACTTTTCGAAGGGGTTCTCTTGATGAACCGGAATGTGAGCTGGTGGGAGGTTTGTAGTCTGTACCTTTGATCCCTTGAGTTCGACTGTAGTATCGCAGTTGCGGAAGAGCCTGCGGAATAAGAGGCCGGGCTTGCCGCGGCCTCAATAGAGGCAATGCTGAGCGACTCAACATCCTGAGATAAGCATGTCCTCACCCAGCCGAGGGATGGAAAATGCAATTACTTCTGGGATGGCAGCAGTCGCGGCTGCAGTTCAATAAATGTCCACGAGTTGGAGATGGTGTTGAAAAACTTCCCCAGTCCGGCATCACCAGAAGAGAGTCGGATCTTTCGTCGTCCTGCGCTCGGCCCTCTTGCCTTGGCAGAATCGAGCGGAGTAACTCTTTTGCCTCGTCTCTTTGATCTTCTTCTTTCTTCTTCTTCTTCTTTTCTCAACAAAGAAAGTTGCACCGAGAAATTTGATCCGCCGATCACAGTCATTCTATGTTCGAGGGATTGTATTAGCTCGGGAGAGTAATAACCGCCGTTCTCCTCAAGAGCGCAAGAGAGGTTCGCCCATGATCTCTTCGCCCCGTAAGGACGCAACATCCCACCCATTCCTGCGCCGCCCTTCAGTCACAATGAGTGCATGAACGCCGAGTCCAGTCGCAGGCACTTGGTCTCTCCATCTTACTCCTCTCTGAAACCACCAAATGCCGCCGTCCTGGCGAGCTGGCCTTGTCAACGCCTTTCCAATTCCCGAAGATCGCTTGAAATCAAAAAAGGGCTTGAAGAGAGACAAGGATGAGCACAAATCTGCGTCGGCAGACCCTAATGAGCTGTCTTTGCCAGGAGGGCTGTTTAAGTTCTTCGACCTACCGGGAGAGATCCGTAACAAGATCTACAGTCTGATTCTTTTCCGTGGTGCTAGTTACAGAGGAATCGACGGTCGGAAGAAAAGCCGTACGTCAATTCTCATGGTCAACAGACGGATGCACCAGGAGGCCTCATACATTCTATACAGCTCATTGAGCTTTAGAATTTTCCCTCTGCAGGACTTTACACCTGCTCCTCTCATCCAGGAATTACGACCCATGTACAGGTCTATGGTAACCAAGCTAGAAATGGTGATAGGCTCAAGCTGGACGAATCCACCGAAGACGTGGCGGGTCAGTAAACTCCTGGCGAAACGACTAGGGAAATTATCTGCCGTGCAGACTCTCAAGTTGTTTGTGCAGTGCGACCCAAGCCTGCCCACGTACGAGAAGTACCGGATTTCATTTAACTTCTATACCGACTTCTGCGGTGACCTGCTCCGGGCTGTTCTGGCGGTTATGCCACATCTTCAACACATCGAGGTTGATGGCAATCCTGGCATCGAGACGACAGGGCCTTTGGTGTCTCGACTACTGGCTGAGGCTGAAGCCAAGGGTAAGACGTGGACATTGGGGCCTACAAAGCCTGTTGCTACTTCGGAAGGACTCAAGATGCTCTTCTGGGTCTGATTATGCATTATGATTTTCCACGAAATAATGAACAATGAGACAATGTTTGCCGAACATACGTATTTTCAAAGTATTTGCCTCTCGGATTCACTACTTTGCGTGCAGTGCAGCCCATGCAATATCTGCAGGCAGATCCCAGCCGTGGTTAGCCCTTCTATGCAGCCAAACGCCATGCATGCCATGATATCTGTAGATACAAGTTACACATTTGAGCCCAGTCGACACCTCCGCGTCCTGACTCATAGCTCCTCGTCCACATCCATGAGACCGTCTCCACCGTTCGACTGCCCATGGCCGTTTGCTTGGAGTGCCTTTTTCGCTACACTGGCTTCCTTGTCAATGGCTTGTCTCGACACAGCTACAATGTTGTCTTCGATCAACCGCTGGCCCACGTCCTCAATGTGCTTCTTCGGATCTACCTTGCCGACATATCGTGTCTTCAGCTGCTCGGGCGTCAACTCATTCTCTTCCCTGACTCTGCGCTCATAGCCCTCGGCAAGATGAACAAGCTGTTTCAGACCTTCCTCATTCCGTTTCCGCTCACCACCAAAGCTATGAGGCAGTTCCAGGCCCTCGGTCCACGGCTCCTTGTGCAAATTCATCAACATATTCTCTTCCAACCCCGTCTTGCGATATTGGATGCCTATGCTGTAGTAATGTCTGTTCAACCCGTGAATGAGCGCTTGAATTGATGGCTTGTTGAGGTGTCCCAAGTTCGACGTAGTTTGGCGCGGCTCTTGTCCCATCATCATTGTCTGCGGATTGATAAGCCGGAAGGCATCGATCACGACCTTGCCCTTGACGGACTGTATCGGGTCTACGACGACGGCGACGGCGCGGGGTGTGAGTTGCTCGAAAGACTGTTGCGTGTTGATGTCGACGCTCGAGAGCCAGCATCCAAAGCCCGGGTGAGAATGGTACCAGCCGACGACGGTCTCTGGCCGCCCTGTCTGGCGCAGCATGTCCATCATCTTGGTCTGGAAGACGGGGTCGACGGATTCGACAGAGACCGATGTTCCTGACTGCGGCATGGCAAAGACATCGACAACCCGTACGGTGAAATCATCGACGAATTCGCCCAACATAAGACCCATTACCTCCATCGGCACACCGGCGCGCCCATGCCGTAGCATCTTGAGCAGGGCGAGCGAGGAAATGTACACAGTCTCGGAGTTGTCGACGAGGTTGGTGTCCTGGCCGGGCGCGGCGCCAGGCATTCCCATGCCCGAGGCGGCTGCGAGCATGCGGTTGAAACGGTCCATTCTAGATTATGGAGAGAAGGGAGGACGGAGATGGCAAGAGGATTGAGGGTTTGTGGCGTACTGCGCCAAAGAGACCGATGGGTTCGTCTGATCGAGCGGCTAGAGTGTGGAAAGAAGACAAGTATCTGGTGAGCCAGAAGGACTGCAGTTGAGGAGTGACAGTGGTTGATGAGTGCTCTTGCAGTGATTTGATTTCTTGACGACTGCAGCGCAGCGCAGCTCCGGCTCGCGTAAGTTGCTCGCCGCCTGGCCTGCGTTAAGTTGTTAGGGCACGGTAGGCACGGGGGGCGTTCCGGGTAAGTTGCCCTGTTTGACTGCATTCCTCCACCTTCATGTTGGAGATGCTTCTTTCAGATGCGATGAACTTTAGGTTGTTCTGAAGTCGATATATACCTGATCCGCCATTGTTCTGCACTCATCCTGTCATTTGCTTTACCACGATCTTCACGCTCTCAATACAATCCGATTGTTAGCATATCTCTCTCCTACTCTCAAGCCGTTTCTCTCCCTCCTTTACCTCGGCAGACTCACACAAAAGACACCCTGCGCCGCAGTCCCGCAGGAACCAAGCGTCCCACACTTCACCAGCAAGTTTTGCACACATATCATCGTCAAACATACCTACCTTCTGAGCAGTCATTGATATAGCGCACTGCGCGACAGTGCCATGTCGTTCGCTCCTGTTGATCCCCCGAAATTGCGGGATGACAGCAAAAAGCGGGTGGCATACTTCTACGATTCAGATGTCGGCAACTACGCATATGTCTCAGGTCATCCCATGAAACCTCACCGAATACGACTGGCGCACTCACTTGTCATGAACTATGGTCTCTACAAAAAGATGGAGATCTATCGAGCGAAGCCTGCTACAAAATACGAAATGACCCAGTTCCACACAGACGAGTACATCGACTTTCTGGCGAAGGTGACACCAGACAACATGGACTCTTACCAGAAAGAACAACAGAAATACAACGTTGGAGACGATTGCCCCGTGTTTGACGGGCTTTTCGAATTCTGTGGCATAAGTGCCGGCGGGTCAATGGAAGGGGCAGCAAGATTGAACAGGCAAAAAGCAGATATCGCGATCAACTGGGCAGGGGGTCTGCATCACGCAAAAAAGAGCGAGGCCAGTGGCTTTTGCTATGTCAATGACATCGTCTTAGGTATAATCGAACTGCTAAGATTTCACAAGAGGGTACTCTACATCGACATCGATGTCCACCATGGAGATGGAGTTGAGGAAGCTTTCTACACCACCGACAGAGTCATGACCGTGTCTTTTCACAAGTACGGAGAGTATTTCCCTGGCACAGGCGAACTTAGAGATATCGGCGTGGGCTTGGGCAAACATTATGCTGTCAACTTCCCTCTTCGTGATGGAATCGATGACTCTTCTTACAAGGGCATTTTTGAGCCTGTGATCCGAGCCACTATGGAACACTATCAACCTGCAGCCGTTGTGTTGCAATGTGGTGGTGACTCTTTGTCTGGCGATCGCCTCGGTTGTTTTAACCTCAGTATGAAGGGTCATGCGAATTGCGTCCGGTTTGTCAAATCCTTCAACCTGCCCACACTGATCCTTGGTGGCGGTGGATACACGATGAGAAACGTTGCGAGAACGTGGGCATTTGAGACAGGAACTCTTGTCGGAGAACCCATGACGCCCAATCTGCCATACAATGACTATTACGAGGTAAGCACTCTTCTGCGATGGCGTGAAATTTATCTGACTGAAAACAGTACTACGCGCCTGACTACGAACTTGATGTACGACCATCCAACATGGACAATGCTAACTCGAAAGAATATCTTGAGAAGATTCTGACGCAAGTCCTGGAAAACCTCAAGAGAACGGCTCATGCGCCATCGGTACAGATGACTGACGTGCCACGCGAGTCACTTGGCATGAATGACGAAGATGAAGCCGCTCTAGACGACCTCGATGAAGATCAGAATGCAGACAGTAGAATGTCACAACGCAAAGCTGACAAGTACGTTGAGAAGAATGGTGAACTCTCTGACAGCGAAGATGAGGCGATGGAAGCCATGGATGGTCACGCAGGCAGTAGAAAACGCCGCATCATGGTGAATTACCGTCATATCATGGACGTGGGAGGCAATGATTCAGGAATGGAGACGGGTAGCGGAATCGACACGCCACAGCAGGGATCGAGTCTCCCTGACGATGCGGACGAGATGAATGTGGACGAATTGGACGAAAAGATCAACCTAATTCCGAGCCCAAGCGCTGCAGATATGAATGGTTCTGCTGCAGTGTCAGGTCAACATTCACCTAGTGCTCCTGCTGCCGATGACGACATCGAGATGGGCGACGCAGACGCAGAAGGATCTGCGCCGACGAGTGCAGCTGATGCTCTTCTCGCGGAGGAAGAATCGACCATCACCGTTCAGCCACAAGCACAACAACAGCAGACACCACCGGAATCACCACCTGCGCAAGAAGCCGAGCAGCTTGCAACGACATCTGGTGATACTGCGCTGACAGCAACTGAAGGGGAAGCTGCTATGGTAGACCCGGCTGCTGTAACTCTGACAGCGACAGCTACCACCGAGCCAGATGCCACTGGCGCCAGTATAGAGGAAGCAGCGATCAAACAGGAAGTCACCGGTGATGATGAAGTGGCGAAAGCACAAGAGGAAGGGCGTATGGAGAGAGAAGCGGTCAATGCAGAAGGGGAAGCTAGGACCGAGGCGGTTGCGAGGGCTGAGACTGATGGAAGGCCCGAGGACGAGCTGTAGGACAGCTTGGGACTGAAACTCCGGCCAACATTCGGCCCAGAAGCCTGGCGCCGTCCGTGAGGATGCTCTTTTGCATTTTATGAGATTCAAGAAGGCGCCCTGTATATGTAGTCTGTGCTAAGCGTCATGAGAATTATTGACATATGTTCGCCGTTCAGCCAGCGTGCACGAGTCGGCGCTGATAGCTGCCTCCTTGACAAGACTAGCAAATGCTCAAGCATGAATCGCAGCCTTAGCAATCCTTGCTGAGAGAATTGCCTAGGTCGTGTATCAGTATTGTCCTCCGTCGTCGTCCTGTCCCCCGAGCTGCCCTCCGTACTGTTCTCCTTCGTGGCCTCCATACTGCCCTCCGTCGTGGCCCCCCTCGTGGGCCCCCTCGTGGCCTCCGCCGTAGTGAGCTTGGTCGGGATCATAATCCTGGTCATGCTGGTAGTCATAGACCCCTTCATCATTGAGATCGTCTTCATCCTCCTGGTCCACATCCCCGCCTTGTGCGTTCGCAGAGTCTGTCCCATCCTCCCCTGGTTCGATTGCAGGATCTGTTCCATCGTCTTCTTGTTCATTCTCCGGGTCTGTTCCATCCTGCTCATCTCCACCCCACCCATCTTGTCCTCCTTCATCCTCCTCCTCCTCGTCATCGGTATCCGAGCATGACTCGCTATGGCAGGACCAAAGGTCCTCATCGTCGTCGCCCTGATTCTCGTTCCCGTACACGTCGTTACCAGGATGCATTTTCGACATAGCTTGGTCGTCCTGTCCTCCGCTCTGCTGGTAGCTATCGTCCTGCTCATCGGACTGACTAGGGACCATTTGAGAGTTCGCACTCTGTGGATCGTAGCCTGAATTCATTTTCGAACTGGAAAAGGCGCTAAAAGGGGGCGTGGTGAAAGAGATTGAAGTGGACTGAAGAGAAGTAAAGAACTTGTGAATGACAACTTACTTGATACGGGCTCGGCTGCAACGAGAGGCCTCTGCCAACACCGTGGTACTCTTCTCCTTTATCATTTTCCGGCTCACCGAATTCGTCCTCTGAGGCTTACTACAAACTCATCCTCAAGTGAACTTTCACTGGGACGCAAGGCCAGTGCTCCTAGGTTGAGCTGCTTCTTGGTTCTCCTCCTTGAGGCCTGAATCAGCAATTAGGGAGTAGCTTTGCTACATCGTACAGTAGTACTCCTAGGTATGCGATCTGGTTTACAATAATATACAGCAACATCCACCACAGGACGCTAGGCGGGCGTTGCTGGCCTGGCCGTCAAGGCGCTACAGCAAGCTTGGAATGGCGTCGTTTCTCTCACATAACCACTCCATCTACTCGTACAACGACCTTCTGAGGTCCTGGTTACCCATGCTAGCAATATGCTTATCATCACCACCGACGGTGAGTCGCGCGGACTAGGCCGTGAGCACAGTGACCTTATGCCAGCTTGCCTGAATCTGCCTTATCGTAGTATGGGGAGCCCGGCTTTGCTCTGGCAAACATTCCGCTTAGGATGGCTTCGTCATCAATCCTACGCGCAATCCTACGCGGATTGCTTCATGGTCAGTACAACCAACAGCCCTCATGTGCCTTTGTGGGACGCCCACTTTCGAAGATCTGTGCAAGAAGCAAATCCGTCGCGCCACGGCCGTCCTACAATCGCGCCGGGCCAGCTACGTGGCTTGTATCCAACATTTTCACCTGGACAATGGCTCAACAGCAAATATGCAACCACTGACAAAGTGCAGAGATGTCGCAATGCAGTGGCCTGGACTGGCAGCCTGTGAGGGCAGAACAAGCGGCCTTTCGGCCACCACGTCGCTATTCTTGGGGATCGTCGAAGCGCTACGAATATCAACTACGACACAGAACTGGTGACGGCTTGGAAGCAGTATATAGTCTCTCCATGTCGTCCGCTCCCTCCTCGACTCCAACATCCACCCAAAGACCCTGACTGCAGCGCACATTATATCTACGACGGAGGCGCCCACCAAGCAAAGATCACCAGAAACAGATTTCCCTAGTCTCGGAACTTTCGATCTACAGCCAACATGTCAGGCCCCTACGGAAATGGAAGAAGTGGAAGAGGTGACGGACTCCAACCTGGGTACAATACCCCTTTTGGGCGCGGAGGACCACCACCAGACCAACCATCTCAGCCTCGTCCGGGTCAGGGCGGCCAAAATCGGGGCCCATGGGAGCCTGACACGCGGGGACAGCATTACGCTAGATCGACTGTCCCAGCTCCGGAGAGCCAATACCCTGGCTCGTACGGTCAGTTCCGAGAGGGCATGCGCATAAGAGCAGACCCGCAACATCCTGAGCAGATCAAGGATCCTTTCAGTCACGGTGGGACAGAGGAGAGCGAGATGACGACCAACGCGCTTTCAATGGTTGCAAGGCAGCACGCAATGGACAGTGTGGGTTTCAGTAGTCTTTTCATCCAAGTTTGACAGAGGTGGTCGACGTGCCTTGCTAACTACGAGTGGGAACAGCACTTCCGACCCCAAGTCCTCGCAATGAACAGGAACGCAAACGATCTGGGAACGACGACTGGCGATAGTTCATATGCTCCAGGAGCTTCCAGGATCCAGGAAGCCACGGATCCTCGCTATCCTGCACAATCATCCAGGCAGGGGGTGCAAGCACGGCAAGGCCTTGATCCCGGCGCAAGCCGTTACAGAGATTATCCCGGATTCCCCCGTACCGACGGAGCGACGGGGCAGCCTACCGATGTCCCCTCAAGATACGGACAAATGACAGATCCATCGGATCCATCAGGGAGTGGCGGTGCTGGTGGTTCAAGCTCACGAGGGAGACTGAGCAGAGGAGGAGATGGTCGCGGCCCGACATATGACGACGGGAGAGGGGGCAAGTATTCGACCCGTGCATCGAGGCACGATATCCAGAGGGGAAATCCCAACCCGCGTCATAAGTATACAACCCGTGACGGTCGCACAAGAAGTGTCGGCCCTCATATGAGGCCTGACATGATGCCGCCACCACCACCCCTTCCTCCGAAAGGCACTGGCGGCATGGGGAGATATCAGGGAGGGGGAGGAGAACATGGAGCGCCCCCGCCTGAGGAAAGGCTGTTTTTTAGATAGGGCCATCAAGCAAATCTCGATGTGGATGCAAGCTAAAGGGGGGGAGAGCCATTGGCGGAGGAGAGCACTCGGGGGACGAAGGAACGACATTCATCTGGTAGAAGAGGCATGGCCTCAAAGGTAAACGACGGAATGACATAGGTTATCATAAGAATTAGTTGATTGTCAGGCCTCTGAGTACTTCTACATCCTCTTTGTGGTATTGTTTGTATGCAAACATGCCTCATGGCAAAGGAGGATACTTGTTTGCTATTAGATAGTATATGTAGCAGGATATCTCCCACTGTTGGGAGATGTCCCCTATTAATCCTATCAATATGTATTGCTGTGAATTGTTTCAAGAGATGCGGGGACTTATCGGCTCTTTCTGCATAGTCAATTCGGCGAGGCTTGTATGCGTCCATCATGATCTTCGTGCACATGCACTGACATGCTGTCCGGAAGTCTCGCATTCGTGCCAGTGTCATGTTTGTCTGCCGAATTTGGGCCTTCGGGATACGAATCTCCAGGAAATGGTTAACATAAGGCATTGTTCTGGTCATCCTTCATGCGTATGACTTCGCGAAGATGAACCTTCTCTTGAAGCCTCAGGCCCTGAAGAATACCCCGGACATTCATGCCGGCTGACCTTCACGGATGGGTTAGCCGACAACGGCGTGGAGCAGCCGCGGGTGCGGGATTGACGAGCTGGAGATACGAGTAGCTGCGTTAGTACCCCGTACAGTGTTACTTGACTTCGGCCCGGTAATTGTGACCATCGAAGCTCCTGGTGACGACCTGCGCGCCGTAATAATGGAGCGATGTATGCCAGTCATACTGTCGATACAGATGGCAAGGCGAGGTTGCCAGGCGGTATAGCCAGGGGTTGAGCTCACAAGCGAGGACGGGTCCCGAAGCCTGTATGTAAATAAGCTCCAAGCAAGGTCCAGAGGAGAGTGGTACACCAATAATGGGAGACATCTTGGAGGATGTTCTTGACTCTCCAGCTCGGCGCCCAGCCCTGTGAAAGCCCGTCTGTGAAGCTGCATCGGAGATCTGCCTGCGTGATTCGAATTCCAACTCACGGTTAATAAACCTAAGGATGATAATAAGCCTTGTACTAGATCTCTTAGCTCCATCATGCTCCCTGGAGCTTGCAATTAGGAATGGGTGTCGAGGCAACAGGAATTCAAGGGTTTGGTGCTGATGGCGCGTCTTGGCTCTAATATGACGACGATTGTGAGGTCGCTCGCCCCCAATCACTGGATCGTTGGATGGCGCCTCAAGCCGCGTCAGGTTCTGGTCTTAACGAGTCCTCCGTGCAGTACGACGCAGTAGAAGAATCCCGCGCAGGTTTCTTATTCCCAGTACCTTACTCCGTATTGTTCTTCCATTCTTCCCTACCCGGTGCTTCGTAAGTTGGCAGCAAAGCATCCCTTTCCTCCGGTATGCCAATTGCCTTCTCTGCTTCGATTTGACTTCGCCATCTGTTCCACAGAATTCCTTGCTTCTGTGACCGGCTTCAACCAATCACTTCAACCTGCCACGGCCCGGCGACACGGTCCATTTCAAACAGATAACTGTACAACTGGGAAACTCCAGCCTTCAGTATCTTGATTTCAACCAACCCATCCACCTCGACTGACCTCGCCCGCCTGCTGCCTCTCCTGTTCCCATCTCCAGGCCTGAGAGCCTCTCACCGAGATGCCTCTCTCCGACTATTTCAGCACTCCCATCTCTTTTCGAACTCGAGAGATCCTTGGAGCGCTGGTCGCTCGAGATCAAGGTCCCTTGGTCGGCAATGCCATCGAAATCCTCAAGAATAAGGCCCCGGCGCATTCGGGGCATCCCAACTTCGGTCACCTCACCCTCCTCGTCTTCGAAGCCGTACTCGAGGTCGTCTGCGTCAGCCTACCTGGCTACATCGTGGCAAGACAAGGCATGTTCGACGCCGAAGCACAAAAGTTCCTGGCCAACCTGAATATCATACTATTCACACCCTGCCTGATCTTTCAAAAGCTGGCCTCTCAGCTGACAGCCGAGAAACTGGCCGATCTGGCTATCATCCCAGCCATCTTTGTCATGCAGACGCTGGTCTCATACCTGGGTGCCAGAATCATCGCAAAATTTTGCAAATTCAAGAAGAGACAGGAGAATTTCCTCATAGCTATGGGCGTCTTCGGGAACTCCAACTCTCTCCCCATATCCCTGGTGATATCGCTCTCAAAAACATTGAAAGGATTGCATTGGGATAAAGTGCCACACGACAACGACGACGAAGTTGCAGCTCGGGGAATCTTGTATCTGCTCATTTTTCAGCAATTGGGCCAGCTGCTGCGCTGGAGCTGGGGCTACAACGTGCTGTTGGCACCGCCAGAAGCGTACACAGTGGAACAAGGCGGCACCAAACAAGTCGATGAGGCCGAAAGAGGACGAGGAGAATACCGAGAGGATGTAGATTCAGATCACGAACAACGACGTTTGCTAAGTCCAAGCTACGATGAGGAACGAGACAGCAGTGACGAGTTCGAGGATGATCAGACTCAGGTAGGGACAGAGTCCCCAACAACGTCCAAATCTGACGGTCTGAAGACTCCTCGTGATGGTAATAGATTCTCCGCCAAATCCTCAAGGAACTCGTCACAACGCGATCTGAATGGACCTAATGGTGCTCCGGATCTTATGCCTACTCCTACAAATGGGATGGTGGCGCCACATCATCAGCTTGACTATCCCGCCTGGCTCAAAGCACCCGAGAACCAAAAGTACGACGAGGAGTGTGGTGGTATCAAGGGACACGTCAACAAGGCCCGCAATTGGGCAAGATACCATGCTTTGAAGACTGCCCACAGCATCCGATGCACGTCCAGGTCAGCTTTCGAGTCGTTTCCGCAACCCGTTCAGAAGGCTCTCTCAGCCATATGGGCGAGAATCTGCAGGTTCTTTGCAGGACTGTGGGAGTTCATGAACCCTCCTCTTTGGGCTATGTTGATTGCGATCATTGTTGCCTCAATCCCGACATTGCAGCATCTTTTCTACGATGACGGAACGTTCGTTCGCAACTCGGTGACACGAGCCATCGACCAAAGCGGCGGTGTTGCAGTCCCGCTCATTCTGGTCGTCCTCGGAGGCAACCTTGCAAAGAACACGATACCAAAGGACACAGCGGGTGTCATCACTGACCCGAAAGAAGAACGGAAACTGCTGTATGCGTCGTTGATCGCTCGCATGGTCCTCCCTACCGTGGTCATGGCTCCTGTCATCGCCTTGATCGCCAAGTACGTTCCTGTCAGTATTGTCGACGACAAGATCTTTGTTATCGTAGCATTCTTGCTATCCGGAGCCCCAGTTGCTCTTCAGATTGGGCAAATCACCACTCAAAACAACGTTTACCCTACTCTGATGAGCAGGATCTTGTTCCAGAGCTACGTCATCTGGATTTTGCCCTCCACATTGTTGTTGGTGCTCCTTGCCCTAGAGACTGTGGAATGGGCGACTGTGTAAAGTAGGAACACGCATGAGGGCAAAGGCGGCTCTATTGCAGGGATGATGGGATCAACAGTGCAGAGAAGCAGCAGCAGCACATAATTACATTGTCTTGGTCATTCGGTAGCATGGGCGCAGGTTGGTTTTCTAGTTGGGTTATGGATAACAGGCCAGTACCACAAGTGAGCTGTATCGAATATGAAGAGTCAGTCACCAACATGATTATTATCCAACAATTCACATTCCCTCAAAGTTACTCCGTACCGCGGACGATAATCTTTTGCCTTCACGTGGGATGTCTTCATCATCTGGTTGTTTTAGATTGGTCCATCTGTATCAGGATTGTCGAGATTCGGAATGGATCACCACGATGTCAAAGCAGGGCACAGTGGCTCATTCCGACCACCGCACGCGGCTCTGTAATTCAAGGTGGACCATTGGGAAGATGGAAGGCAACAGAGATGCTGCAAGGAGTTGGCTATCAGGGCAGCCTCATACGTAGGTGCAGACGTGTGACAGTAGAAGAATGACGTATGGTCGGTGTCGTGCGGTCGACGATAACCAGCATTACCCAGTCTTGTTATCGACGCACCGAGACTGGACACTGACCAGGGTGCTCGGTAACGGTACTCGATCTCGTAGTGACCGTGCGAACATGAGTTGGCTATCTACCTCAGGTACCTAGGTACGTATGCCTGAGCGCGGAGCCACATGTGGAACTATGATTCTCCCTCATACTCGTTCCAAGGAATTGGCTGGGCATTACGACACTGCACAGTCAGGTATACTGCGTACTGCACAGTTAACTTAGGTGCTCGTAGGAGTGGCCCGGAGTGGTCAGGGACCACGGTCACGGTCGAAGCCCAATAGGCGTGCTGTCCGGCCCCCGAGCCCGCCTTACTTAATCATTTTTGGGGGTGTCGATGGGATTTTCAGCAAATGCCATACCCGAACCCTGTCAACCAGTCACCAGTCCAGTCCAAGCAGCTGCCCTGAAACGCCCTGAGCAGCCCTGCCTAAGTTAGTGTCTCCTAAATTTGATCTCTTTTTGCGTTGCTTGATGCCTACCTCGCTACGTAACGACGCTTCGATCTTTCTTTACAATAAAACCATCCTTGTTCCGATAGCTTCTCTGAAAGCGTCACTTCGTGTTGCTTGCAAGGCCATCGCCGAAATCATTTCACCCTGCGCCCCGTTGCTCCCAGCAAGAGTTGTAGACTTCAGCCAACTTCCATCATCATTTCATCTCAATCCCCGAGTGATCGACACATCTCAACACCTCTTACGGAAATCGCGGCCCATACCATCTCGAGAGTCTTTCCCCTCCAAAATCCTCTTTAAGGGATTGAGCTTTCTGCGGCACCAAGATATATTTTCTTTTCGTTGCGAGTATAACTGCTCGACCATATCCAGCTTGGTGAAGTTCTTGGGCGGCAACCCTTCTCGACCGAGTCCACTAGAACTTTCTCGATTTTCGCCCCTCCAAAAGAAGTCTTCTGCAGCCACCAACCCGTGCTTGCTCAGCACTCACCACCACACAGTACCTCCAATCGAATGAGCACAGCTCGCTGTAGACACCACCTCATTTCCGCCCTCCTCCAGTTTATCCTCCCTTGTACCACTCGAGCGATCTTGTAGGCCGGACCTCCTCCGACCATTCCTCCACCTCTTGCCGCGATTCCTCGCATGTCGTCTTAAACTCAATCGCGATCGGCGCAGTTGCGCAACCACTTGCGAGAACACATCTCAGTCACCATGGACAACAGCCTCCCTCAGCAGCCGTCTCCTCCGTCAGACCCCGGCGCCCATGGAGAAGCATCTCAGTCTACGCAAAACACATCTCCCACCACCACCTCAGACTCCATACCCAAACCACCGTCGTTAAGTTCTCAAGACGGTGGTATGGCTTCCTCCATGAGCCCCTCCTCCGCACCCCTCGGTCCTACCAATGCAGCGAGACGACCGGGACCTCTACCTGGTCGCGCTAGTGGCCTGAACTCTGATATACAAGCGAAGATGAAGGCATTTTCATTGTCCAGGCAAGGTGCTCCCCCATCTTCAACGCAAACTATGCGGGGTGGGCAACAGCCGGCCGGTCCTGGCGGCTTCCTTGGTGGCCCTCTCACTGGAGCCTCACCAACTTCACCTACATCTTCTCCTGCCAGTCTACGGTTGCCAGGTGGTCTAAGTCGGCCAAGTGCTCCCAGTTTTGGATCATCCCCGTCCCCTGTCATGGGTTCCCCTAGAATGGCCAGCCCACAGCCTCGGATGCAGATGGGCGGGCTTGCTGCCAAGAGAGGTATCAAACCTGGTGGAATGAAACTGTCCGATGCACAAAAACCGCAGCCCGCCGGCCAAGAGCAAGAGAAGCATGATACCGGGTCTCAATTCAACAAATTTTCCAGCATCATAGACACGAAGAAAGGGACGTTGAATTTCCAGAATAAGGCCGTCATTCACGGTAGTGGCATCGATTTTGCAGGAGGCAGTACCTTCTCGATATCCCTCGATGAAGTTGACACGATGGCTGAGCTAGGGAAGGGAAATTATGGGACAGTCTTCAAAGTACGACATGCTCGGCCCAAGATGCGGAGGCCCGGCCTCGGCTTGCGAGGCAACATGGTTCGACAGGCATCAGGACCGGTACCGAATGAAGACGTAGACGGAGGGTCAGATGCGCAGAACAAAGACCCGGGGACCAGTGGCCTTGTTATGGCGATGAAGGAGATCCGACTCGAACTCGACGACACCAAATTCGCACAAATAATCATGGAGTTGGACATCTTACATCGTTGCGTTTCACCTTTTATCATCGACTTTTACGGTGCTTTTTTCCAGGAAGGCTCGGTTTACATTTGTATCGAGTACATGGACGGCGGTTCAATCGACAAAATTTATGGCGACGGAGTCCCCGAAGGGGTCTTGAAGAAGATTACGCTGTCCACAGTCATGGGTCTCAAGTGCCTGAAAGATGACCACAATATCATCCACCGAGACGTCAAACCCACCAATATCCTGGTCAACACTCGAGGACAGGTCAAGATCTGCGATTTCGGTGTCAGCGGTAACTTGGTCGCATCTATCGCCAAAACGAACATCGGCTGTCAGAGCTATATGGCCCCGGAGAGAATTTCGGGCGGTGGTGTGGCACAGGCTGGCGCCGGCGGAGGCTCATACAGTGTACAGTCCGACATCTGGTCTCTCGGCTTGACCATCATCGAATGTGCCCTCGGTAGATACCCCTATCCTCCAGAAACTTACGACAACATTTTTAGCCAGCTGAGTGTAAGTGTCGCTGATTCGAAGTAGCGAGTGAAGCTGACGTGTACGTGACAGGCCATTGTGGATGGTGATCCTCCGGATTTGCCAGCCGACCGATATTCTGAAGCAGCAATCGACTTCGTTCGTGGATGTCTTAACAAGATACCCCGACTCAGGCCGACCTATGCAATGCTGCTCCGGCATGCTTGGTTGGCCCCATTGATGAAGCCACCCACCATTTCCGAAGACGAGGAAGCTGAAGAGGCGGCCGAGGCTGGCATTGAGTCAGCATTTACTCAAAGCGCCGCCCCTGATACGGCAGACAAGGAAGTGGCCAACTGGGTGAAAGCCGCCCTCGAAAAGAAGAAGGCAGGCAAGCTGGCGGTCAGCAAGAAACCTGCATTGCACGAGGCACCATTGGACGCTGTCCCTGGCAGTCCTCTACTTACACAGAAGGAAGCTGCCGCGGAGGCTGCTGCGGCTTCGGAGCTGCAAGCGCATTCTGGTGTCCACGTTGAATTTCCAGATCTTCTGGCAGCGAAAGTGCAGGGTCTAGATTTCGCATCATGAACGGCGAGGACACGGATTGTTATGACGACACTGAAAAATCAGTGTAACGAATAACGAGAAACGAAAATACCTGATATCTATGGTAAAGAAGGAGAATCCTATCAACTGTCATGGTCCTGAATGTGATTATGGGCCTGCGACAATAGACTGTTGGCTCTACTATTCATCCTCTTACTATTTCTCTTTGACATCCGTAATCACTGTACCCGCTGATTGTCTTCTTTGATGCATTCTCTTGCTAACAGCCATTACATGAATTCGTAGTTTTAGTGGCTCTTGGTGCAGGCACGATACACCATGCACGATGCACGATGGGTAGGCGATTTTATCCGATGACATCAGCCACCCTGACGACTTTGCACCTTCATTTCGAAACATGAAAACAATCCTCCACCTCGTCTCGTTCCCTCCATCCTCACGCATTCTCAGCCGCTTTTTGCATTCAAAGTCGACGATGTTGACGCGAGTGGCCATCACTGATCTCTCATATGACAACGAAACAAAATGCCTGCTCTAGTCCGAAGACTCCTCATCTGGGCGACGGTGGATGGGCTTGTTCTCCAAGCTCATGGCTCTGCCGAAAACCATAAGGCTATTCAGATCGACTATAAGCGACGCCAGGTAAAGGAGCTACAAGTCGACGATGCAGCCAGCAAGAAAGGGACCTCGTTAGAAGCCCATGGCATTATAGGTAGGCTGAGCTTGTCAATGTAACATCGACACGAAGATCTTACATTTCGCAGGACTCCTGTCAATCGCGTCTTCCACATTTCTGATTGCCATAACGCAACGAGAACAAGTCGCTCAGATCTTCGGAAAGCCGGTTTATGTCATTCGAGACGTAGCCATTCTTCCGTTGTCATCCCACAAAGAGGCCGAGCGAGCTATCACATCTGCCCTTGCCTCGCGAGAGTCATCCACAACGGGCAACGACTCCGACTCTGATTTCAGCGAGCCAGGCGAAGAGGACGAATCTCCACCAAAGGACGTAGAACCGGAGACGCCGGTTGAGCATCCTTTGACTCAGCAGAAGAACTCAAGCTCTACAAGCATCGTCAGAGATGTCATTGCTAATCGAGGTCAATACGCGCGTTTTGCTTCGCAATGGTTCTCGAAGCAGGGCTGGAGAGGCGCGAAAACTGGCACGTCTAACTCCTCAGCACCTCCCCAGCAGGCTCAGGGTTCACCAACAGCATCATCGACTGCAGAAGGGGATGCAGCCGCCGCGGCAAATCTACCGAAGCCGCAAGGCGAAGGTGACGAAGAGAAACAAACGGATGAAGCTGCACATATTATGTCTAGCAATTCCATTCGCGATGCCCTACCTCGAATCGTCAAGACCACAAGGATGATCTTGACATCTGGCAGCTACTTTTTCTCCTACGACTTCGATCTGACACGTCGGCTGGTTCTTCTCGGCGGCAACGCAAAGGCCCCAGCGAGGGAAACATTAGACCCACTGGTACGTTGTGGTAAATCATAGGACGACAAGACTGCTGATGAGTGTAGTACTTCTGGAACCGACGCCTGGCGACTCCATTTCTAGATTCCAAACAGGATGCTTTCCTCATGCCAATCTTGCAGGGGTTTGTAGGCCAGCGAGCTTTCACAGTCCAGAAAGCCGAGTCGAAAAATCCGCATTCAGCGTGCATTGTCTCCGCTGAGCATGACAAGGAGTCTGCTGGCCTAGAGCATGCCATCAGCCACGCCAAACAAGGCCTCGCTAGTATCAGTGGTGATACTCAGGACTATTTGTTGACGCTGATATCTCGGCGGTCAGTAAAGCGCTCCGGCCTGCGCTACCTACGAAGGGGTATCGACGATGAAGGGAACTGTGCGAATGCTGTGGAGACCGAACAGATTTTATCATCCCCCGACTGGGCATCTTCGCGGAGGATTCGGTCCTTTGTCCAGATACGATGTTCCATCCCCTTGTACTTTTCGCAATCGCCTTACTCTTTCAAACCGACTCCAATCATCCACCAGTCGGCGGCGAAGAACGATAATGCTATGAAAAGGCATTTCCATGACCTCAAGAGTCGATACGGGAGCGTTCAAATTGCAGCCTTGGTGGACAAACACGGCACAGAAACCAACATTGGGCAGGCATACGAAGAGGCCGTGCGCAATCTCAAGGAATCAAACCAGCTGGATGGTGTCCAGTTCGAGTGGTTCGATTTTCATGCGGAGTGTCGTGGTATGAAGTTTGAGAATGTGTCCAAACTCGTGGACAAGCTGGAATCTACGCTTGAAGGGTATGGAGAGACGACCGTATCAAGCACAGGAATCGAGACCTCCCAATCAGGTGTGATTCGCACAAATTGCATGGACTGTCTGGACCGAACGAATGTAGCACAGAGCGCTTTTGGGCAGTACATGCTACAGAAAGACCTGGCTAAGGAAGGATTTGCAATCGACTTGCTACACGATGAAACCACGACTTGGTTCAACACTCTATGGGCCGACAATGGAGATGCGATTTCGCGACAGTATGCCTCCACCGCTGCACTCAAGGGTGACTTTACACGAACCAGACGGCGCAATTACCGCGGAGCGTTAAACGACTTCAGCCTGACTTTGACTCGTTATTATAACAACATGGTCAACGATTATTTCTCTCAAGCGGTCATCGACGTGCTGTTGGGTAACGTGTCTTGGAAGGTATTTGAGGACTTTGAGAGCAACATGATGAGCGCAGACCCGGGTATCAACATAGAACAGATACGCGAGGCGGCTATCGAAAACTGCAGAAAACAGGTCATTCAGGATGCAGATGAGGACCTTGTTCAAGGCTGGACCATGCTAACACCTGCTCATGAGAACACCTTACGCACAATCCCATTCGAGGAAGCGGTCGTGCTCTTGACGGATGCTGCCCTATATTGCTGCAAGTTTGATTGGACGACAGAGAAGCTGAGGTCGTTCGAGAAGGTTGACCTTCGTTCGATTTCCAAGATCAGGTACGGTACATACATCACATCGACGTTTGGTGAGCGGCAAATGAAAGAAGAGTTCAACGCTGGGCTCGTGGTGGTATATCAGCCGAGCAAAGACAGTATCATTCGAACAAACACCAGGTCCTTGCAGAATTATGTGGAACCCGTTTCGGATGATTCCCAAAGCCGCATTGACGGCGGTACTGGTATTCTGTCCTGGCTTAGCCCGTCGTCCCCACCGTCATCAAGGACAGTGGCAATGAAAGTGATCGCTACCGAGACACGGACTGAGCCGCCGCTCGCCGTGGCTGGACGTATTGCCGAGGAGATCCGACGGGCCATCACCGGACCTGAAGAGAAAAGCGAAGAGCAAGGAGTCAGTGAGCTTGTGGAACAAGAGGACATCATTTCCCTTGCTGATGCCAAGAAGCGGACTGGCTACTTGGAACAGCTGGGTTATTCCATCAAGAAGCTGGTCTGGTCGTAAGAGTCGCTCAAGAGGGAGTCGGAGTCTAGGGGTATTGAACATGAAGAGAAATCCACCAAGAGAACAACTGGACATTGGTGTCCAGGAGGTCAACTCATGGGGGAGTTGGGGGACCCTCGAGACCGGACAACATCGAGGTTTGCTGAAGAAACGGGGACCGGAGAGCAGAAGAGTGTAGAGGAAGTATTGTTAACGATCAGAATGAAGACACGAGCCTGAGAGATTTTCTAGATATCATTATCATCATAAATCGGACTCAATACCAGACCAAGGCACCGGGGTCTAGGGCTCTCATCAGGTTTACTTTTTGGGTGGGCGGATGATGGCAGGCTTCGCAGGACAACCAAACCGCATGCGGAGCAGTTTTTCCTAGAGAGACAACTGCGCCGAAGATTTCAGTACACAAACAGCACCAAATCCAATTGCCAGAGTCATCTTCTTGGTCAAAAAATATCCCGTTCTGTATTCCGGGACCCCTGGAGATTGTATTGCGCTCAGTGTCGGTCACTACCCTTTCTTGCTCTCGCGACTGTCTGTCGTCGTACTCTGCCATCCCCGCCCCAGAAAATTCCCTCTCGGTCGTACCCAAGATTGACGACCGCGCGGATTCACGTTAATAGCCACCCCGACTCGAGACTTGTCGTTCACATCACCGCGCGAAACGGTTTCGACAGACAAGGAAGCCTTCTTGGTGTCCACACTCTCTATCCAGCCTCTCCACGGCTTCAGCGTCCGCCACTCCTTGGTGTCTAGGCCCTTTGGGCAACGGTGCCCGTCATGGCGTGGCAACCGGAGGAGGAGGCTTTGAGGCAGCTGTCCGAGTATTTGAAGAACTCATTAAGTGGTCATGACAGAAACAAACAGAAAGAGGCCGAGTTGGTATGTCAAACAAGACCCGGGCGTGGTCAAGAAAGCAAAAGATTTACTGACAGCCGCACGCATAGATGATCATGAACGCCAGGAACAATAACGATTATGTGAATTACCTGACATACATCTTCAGCACACCCCAGTTGGGCCAACAACTGAGTCTCAACGCCCCCAGTCTCTTCCTCATTCGTTACGCCGCAGCAATCAACCTCAAGAACCACATAAAACTCTTCTGCTCAAACATCCCCAAGGATCAGTTGGCCTATATCAAGGCTGCAACGCTCACAGTCCTCCGAGATCCCAACCCTCAATTAAGAAGTTTTGCCGGAACGGTCATCACTGAAACAGTGACGCAGGGCGGCTTGCTCCAGTGGCCGGAGATTCTGCAAGAGTTATTGTCGCTCGTGGGCAATACTGCTGGAAATGTATCGCCCGAGACCCAAGAGGGCGCCATGTCGGCACTCGCGAAGGTCTGCGAGGACAACAGGAAGCTATTGGACAAGGAGTTCCAAGGCCAGAGACCAATGGCCGTCATTGTGCCCAAATTACTGGAATTTGCTACGCACCCGAACCCGAAGATCAGGGTATTCGCATTAACTACGCTGAAGACCTTCATTCCGCAGAAGTCACAAGTGCTTTTCTCGGCGTTGGATGTCTATTTGCAAACCATTTTCCAGTTAGCTGCAGATCCGGATGTGCAGGTCAGGAGGATTGTTTGTCAGTCGCTTGTCCAGCTCGTCGAAGCTCGCCCGGACACCTTAGCGCCACATCTCGACGGACTAATCAATTACATTCTCACGCAGCAGCAATCGTCAGGAAATCCCGATCTTGCCCTTGACGCGGCCGAGTTTTGGCTGAGTGTTGGCGAACAAGAGCAACTACGAGACCGAATGGGTCCTTACCTCGACAAAGTCGTTCCTGTCTTGCTAGCTGGAATGGTCTACGGAGAGGATGAAGTCTTCCGCCTCGGAGGTGACGACAATAACGCCGACGAAGAAGACCGGGCAGAAGATATCAAGCCTCAATTTGCTCAAACCAAGGCAGGAAGAGGTGTAACGTCGGAAAAGGAAGAGACTCCTGGCACCCCGCAAACCAATGGAACGCCATCAAAGAATGACGATCTCAGCGATGGGGAAATCGAGGACGAAGAAGACGACGAGGAATGGGACGATGGCGATCCCGAAAATGTCTGGAGTCTTCGAAAGTGCTCTGCAGCGGCGCTGGACGTCTTCGCCGTCAATTATGGGGCAGCCGTTTTCAACATCATCTTGCCGTATCTGAAGGAAAATCTCTCGCACAGCCTTTGGCCCAAACGAGAAGCAGCCGTACTCGCTCTTGGTGCCATTGCAGAAGGCTGCATGGATGTTGTGTCGCCTCACCTTCCGGAACTCGTCCCATTCCTGATCTCCTTGCTGTCAGATGAAGAACCTGTCGTCAGGCAAATCACCTGCTGGTGTCTCGCTCGATACTCCGAGTGGGCGTCCCGACTAGATTCACCAGCAGACAAACAAAGATACTTTGAGCCTATGATGGAGGGCCTCCTACAACGCATGCTGGATCAGAACAAGAAAGTCCAAGAGGCTGGAGCTAGTTCCTTCGCCAGTCTCGAAGAGAAGTCTGGAGATAAGCTGAAACCTTATGTTGAACCCATTCTGCGCCAGTTCACGGAATGCTTCAAACGGTACAAGGACAAGAACATGTACATCCTCTACGACTGCCTGCAGACGCTGGCCGACAGTGTCGCATCTGACATGGCTAAGCCAGAGCTCGTCGACCTTCTCATGCCGGTCCTTATCCAGCGATGGAACAAAATACAGGACGACTCCAGAGAGATGTTCCCCTTGCTAGGTTGCCTAGGCTATATTGCCATGGCGTACGGCGACACCTTTGCACAATTCGCCCCTCCCATCTTCGACCGCTGCATAAAGGTCATCTACTCCAACCTGCAGCAACACATGGCTTTCTTATCCGGTCAGACCGTCGACCAACCAGATAAGGATTTCATCGTGACAGCCTTGGACCTCTTATCGGCCATCATCCAAGCCATATCTCCGGAGAAGTCGGCGCCGCTCGTCCAGAATTCTCAACCACAATTCTTCGACCTCCTCTCGTTCTCAATGGAGGATCCAACCACCGACGTTCGTCAGTCCGCGTATGCCGTGCTTGGCGACTGCGCAATCGCCCTCTACGACACCTTGGACCCGTACCTGCCCAAACTCCTGCCCACATTGGTCCGCCAGCTCGATCTCGACGCAATGCCTGATGACGACTCGGAGAACGGGTTTAATGTGCTCGCCAACGTGTGCTGGTCTATTGGCGAGATCTCTGCACGGGCACCGACATCCCGCTTATCGCCGGTCATCGAACCTCTGTACCAGGGTTTGCTCACGATTATCAAGAATGAAGAAGTCCCCGAGCCCGCCAGCGAAAATGCAGCCGCCGCTCTCGGCCGCCTGGGGCTGGCATGCCCCATTCATCTGGCGCCCTTCCTAGGCGAATTTGCCGAGCCGTTCCTGACCAGCATGTCAAAGATTACGACCTCTCACGAGAAAGCGTCCGCGTTCCTGGGCTTCAACAACGTCATCGAGCGCAACCCGCAGGCTATGGAGGCAAGTTTGGCGCTATATTTTGCGGCGATCGCCCAGTTCCCGCAGAAGGGCAAGCAGGGACAAGAATACAATGAGGTACGGGCGAGTTTTGCGCGCGTGATTCAGGGCTATGTCGGACTCATCGGGCAGGAGGGGTTTAGTCGGTTTGTCAGTGGATTGAGTGCGCCTGTCAGGCAGAAGTTGAGAGAGGGGTATGGCGTCGGGTCGGGTTGACGAAATAAAATGGTTGGAATTCAAACGCACAAAGAATGAACACACGATACGAACGAGGAAGAGTATGGGTCAGAAAAGTCCTTCGATGGGAGCCAAGGGATTGTCGACCAGTTTGACAAGAAAGACGCGAGGTGTGATATGAGGGGTTTAGGAAACCGAATGTTCGCTTTACTCTAAAGAAAAGCAGGCGGGCAGGCGCAGGTTAAAGAGCAGTCCAGTCCTCAGGCCCAGGTCCAGGTCCGGTCGGTATTTGCTTTCATGTTTGGCGACAGCGATGGTGGAGTGGAGTGGAGATTGGTCAAGATCACCTTTGAGCCAACGACCGACGACCAATGACCAACGGAACGTCGTCGTTTCGTCCCGACATGATACTGGGATGCAGAGAGGCGCGGGTTCAAAAATGCTTGTGTGTGCTTGTTTGTTGTGCTTACAGTATTGCGGCAAGGCCGATGTGGGCGAAGTGGCAAACAGGCAACGTCCGGGACAGGAAATGGACAGGCCAAGACCAAAACCAGACCAAGATCAGACCAGGGCAGCGCATGGGCAGCGCATGGGCAGCGAGGTGAACTTCAATGCTGTACTGTACAGCGCAACGACAAGAATGAGCAACTGCCGCCTCGTGTTGATGATGCCCGCCGCTTGACTTGGCTTGGTTCGGCTGGGGCATTGGGAAAAGCCGGTGAGGACAGTCAGTGAACCAGTGTTGCTGGCTGCTATCCTTGGTCGAATCGAAATGTTTTTCTTTTCTTTTCATGAATGACGACCAAGTGTTTTTTGCGTGCGTGCTAGCGACCACACAAATGTAAATAGATTAGGTAGTTTCTTTCTTTCTTTCTTTCCTAGGTAGCGAGGTAGATAGCCCCCAGTAGATTGCATAGCATGGCACAGTATGGCATAGCATGGCATAGCAAGCCCTAGAAAGCGGTGCACAGCGTTTTGACCGAGTCTAGTAAGGCTTCCATGGGCTGATGGGGATGAGAGAGATTGTCTTCCGGCCCCCAACGACTCGACGTGAGTCACAGACCATGCTTGACACGGGCATAGCATATTTCGAGCCACCTACGGAGAGGTTCCAACGCTTAGGAGGTCCAAGGAAAAGGAAATTTGAAGCAGCAGCACCGAGGAAGAAATTTGCATTGAAAGACAACTGTGAAGTATTCGAAGGAGACACCAACCGTCTTGCACTTACAAGCAAGCAGCCTTGGTATCAAGATGCTCATGCTGCCCTTGACCGTCCCTTGGGAGCCGAACCCTTTTTTTCTTCCCCTGCGCCGATACGTCACCACGCCGAAAGGAGTGATGTTTCGTCCCTTTGTCAGTGTGCAATCCACCAACCCAAAGTCTTTCACCCATAAACTCACCAGGGCGCCGATGCGGAGTTGTCCAGACCCATTCAATCCAAAAGCTCTTCGGCGCCAATCAAGATTATGGCGAGAAAGCGATAACAAAACAAGTGGCAAGATGGTCAGCCGGGTGCCAGTTCAGGAGGACTTAGCTGGAATGTTGTTTGCCAGAACTGACCTGCGCCGGAGAAAGGTCTGTGTCGAGTCTGACAATCGAGTCGACGTTGTGGAAGTGATGTTGTGTCTAGACCATGATGTTCTTCTGTGCAGGAGTAAATGCGTACTTGGGCATCATTGCCATCTTCTCTTCAGGACTTGTCTCATTATCAGAGTAGACCAACCTGGTTGATTTTGGTTTCTCCTTTTCTTTGTCCTTCTTCGTCGCTTTATCTTCTGCAGCCTCTTCTTTGACTGGGGGAGCAGCGACAGGCGGTGTTGGAACAGCTGGAGCCGACGTGGCGGTGACGGAAACAGCCGCAGCGGCTTGAGCGTCGGCTTGATCTCGAGCGCCCTTGATCAAATCGTCCAGAGATTCGTCTCCAGCGAACGGCGCGGGCAAACTGGGTGGTTGAGGTAGCTGTGTAGTCGTGCCCGGTGGTGCTTGTGGTGGAGAATACTGTGGCACACCATGAGGAGTTTGTGAAGCAGGGATCTGACCTTGATGCATCTGATGAAATTGAGAAGCACTGACAGGCGGAGCACCAAAAGCTGGCCTCTGTGGCAATCCTGGAGCATTTGGTAGACTTACACTGCCTGTACGTACCGGCGCAGGAAAATTGGGATGGGCGGCCGGCGAATGAGCACGTTGTGGCAAATGCCCTGGAGGTGGCTGAGGAAAGCCAGGAACTGGTGAGACAGTACCGTAAGGGCGAGGTGGTCCAACCTGCGCTGGATAAGGTTGACCGGGATACTGATATGGCGGAGGTGAGAAGCTTGGCTGAGCAGGATACCCAGCTGGCGAAGGTTGTTGTTGAAAGGATGATTGTGGTGGTTGTGCATAAAGTTGTGGAGGGTATGCTACCGAAGGAACTTGACCATAGCTTGGTTGCCCTGGCTGAGGAGAGGTAGCCTGGCCATAGCCTCCAACTTGGGATGGAGATCCAGCTGGTGGATAGGCGACAGGTGCTTGATACGAGGCAGTAGCAGCTGGTGGTTGGGCGAAAGGAGAAGATTGGTGGTACGAACCATTTGTAGGTGGCGCTGCATATGGTTGCTGAAATCCAGGGTACACTGGAGAGGCGGCCTGGATCCGAATAAGCCCAAATGCGACACCCAAAGCTTCAAACGACTTACCGGAGGTCCCTGGCTTTGTGGTTGGACTTGAGCAGGAGCTACAGCAGCCGGAGTCGAGGCCCCACTGCTTCCACCATTTTCCTTTTCGGCGGCGAGCTTTGCAGCCTTATGCTCCGCAAGCCGTTTCTTGATGTCAGATACCGATTCAATCTTGGGCTTCTTTGGTGCAGTGGGATTTTGGCCACCTTGAGCGGCATTTGCGGCAGCTCCTTGACGATCAGCTTGGGCTTGATGGAAGTTCGTTAGAACCCGCTGAGTGTGTTGCTGAGCTATGTCTTCGGGGATTCCTTCCATGCCAAAGATTTCAATGTCCAAACCGGCTCGATTAGGAAGGGCATTATCGACTGCAGTGAGGTTCTCCTTGTGTACTTGGCTCATATGGACGCTCAGGCCTGGAAATCGCGCGTCAGTGGATGGACACTTTCGGCCATGAGAACTTTGGACTCACCACCGGCGGTATTCAGCCGCCGACCACATCTTTCGCATTTGAAGTGTTTCGCTTTTTGATGATTGATGAGGATTTTGAGATCGTCGAAGTCCCGTTCGCAGTAATAACACCAAGGCCGCGACAGAACCTCCTCGACGTCGGGATGATGGCGCTTCTTCTTGGTCATTCTGAATACTCGACAGGCAAGGAGTCGAAGATGGCGATTAAACACACTGCGCCATGCGAGGGTGGAGTTTGTAAAAAGGTCGAGCAACGATGAAAGCAGTCAACGTGACACGGTAGGCGGAACGAAGAGCAGGCCAGAGATGACTGTGGTCGTTGTTGCCTTGAACGCGTGATTACAGGCACATGAAGGTGAAGGTGAAGGTGAAGGTGACAGCGCAGTTGGCTCGAAAAGACGAAAGATGCAAGATGGTAGAATGGCTGGGCAGTGCCGGGATTTCTATGCCAAGCCCGGAGCAAGAAACGCCGGACTTGGAACCACAATCAGCGACCATCATACACCAACCTACTAGGTGCCTACCAGTACTCGTAACATTGCAGGAGGCTCTCTGCTAGCATTCTATGCAACATGTATACACCTATAGAGAACCTCTTTCGGTGTACCAATGTTGCGCGTACGTTGGCCGCCAATGACGGAATGAAGCGACTAAACAGTCACCACCTCATGTCCTGCCTTGCTATGAATACTCCCTGTGTACTGTTCATTCGCTTGATCTTCTCATATTTCGCAAAGACCGTCTCCTAGGTGGCTCCGGGTTACCATTGACCACAATCATGGAATCGCTCTCCTCCTTCAGCAAGTCCGGGAATCCCTTCTCAATCTCGTCCGAGCCCGCACCTTCATGTTTCGAAGCTCTGGAGCTCTTCGAACTCCGTCTAGTTTCCGTGCCTCGTTGCAATTCATCTCCCGAATCGCCGTTGTTCATAAGCATCTTGAGATCTAGTCCACCTCTCTTCCTGGTAGACCTGCTGCTGCTTCCTCCTGAGCCCTTGATATCCTCCGGAACAATGCCGTTGGGGATGGTTTCTGGTGCTGGTGTAGTTGCAGGTGTAGTTTGAGCGCTGTCTGGTTCCGCAAGTTGCTTGATCTTCGCTGCTGCCGCTCTCTTTGGTCTGGAGGACTCATTGGGCTCTTTGACCGCGTCGGGAGTGCCTTCAGCCACGTCCTTCTTTGTACGAGGTCTCTTGGCCCTATTCTCAGCTCTCCATTGCTCCCACTTGCTCAACATACTGAAGCTGCGCACTGGATTGATACCGTTAAGGATTTTGGTTTTGATCTCTTCGGCCTTTGCTGGACCTTCCATACTCAGCCAGAGGTAGTCCTGTTTGATGGCCTCGAGCAGTTCCTCGTCCGTCCACTTGCGTTTTCTCAATTCGTCGGCAGATAGACCTTGCCAAGCTGGTTTTGATCCAGCAGGTTTTGAGGGGGTTTGAGCAGGAGGAGCAGCCGCAGTGTTCTGAGCTGCCATCTCTCTAGCTTTGGTGTATTGGTTGGGGTGTTTGGGACGGTCTGGGTTTGGTGGCACATTTCCATAACCTGGCCGGCCTTTGGTATACTGGTTGGGATGCTTCGGTCGATTCTCATCGGGCACAACGCCATTGAGCTTGCGTCGTTTCCCTGTTGGAGTATCTTCACGAACATCAGTAGCTGGAGTGTTGCTCCGTTTCTTGCTCGGCGTTGACAGGGCGGACGGAGCTTCTGACACATCTCTCGTGGGTGGAACCTTCCGACCATCAAATCTGGTCCGGGTCAGGCGTTTGTCGACTGCCATGGATGGCGTGCCTCCCGAGGCTTCACTGGCTGGCGACACAGGTCTAATGATTTCGCCATTTTCATCGACATTGCGCTTAACATATGTGATGGAATACTCGTCATGATGAACCTGCTGTTTGGGGTAAAGCGCTTGACCATTTTTCACGACTGGGTCCCAGCCGTCGAGGTTCTTGGGATTCCTGCCTTTGGCTACCATCGCTTTGTACTCTCGCTCCTTGGGTACGAAGCCGCCTTGTTCGAACGGTTCTTGGAAAAGTCGCACATCATGCTTCTCCCGCTCGCTAAGATCATCCGCGGATCGAAGTCCTGGAATGCCGGCAATGAGCAGTGCTGGCTTATTGGGTTCATATTTGTAGCCATAGAGTGCGGCTTCCTTTCGTTCTTCGAACACATCTGGGGCCGGAAGATCCTGGGGGTTCTTGGTTGTGTCTTTGCCTTTGATGCGGGATATTTGGCGTTCCAGGTCGAGGTATTCATCTTGAGCCAATTTCATGGCGAATTGGTTGTTGGCACTTGCGGCATAGAGTTGCTTGCGTTTGAAATTTGATATGTTCATCACGAAGCTTTGCGGGTCGTTCAAAGGTTGGAAGCCGTCCTCGTTTAGCTCTTCGGAGGCATAAAGAGCTGGGCGAGTAGTTGCATCTCCAAAGGCCGCCCGCCAAACCGAGTCTATTTCCATGGCGGACATGTCAAAGTCGAAGCTAATAATGATGATATATTTAGGTTGAGAGCGCTTCCATGCGTTCGATGAGAGAATAACAAGGTAGCTGAGCCAGTAGTGGTTGGGCGATGTAAGAAAAAGTGGCTACGAAAGCCAGAGGGGCGGACAGCAGGCGAATTGAAGGAAGAATGCAGTGATCAGACTGCCTTCATACTAGCGATGGTTTGAATGGGTCAAAGAACTATTCAAAACAGTGACAATAAGGAAGAATCTGATTGTAGACGTGGATGGTCCGGTACAAAGTAGATGCTCGCTATTCCTGGGTGACTAGCCGTGGCACTGTGGCTAATAGTATTCCTCCTCCTCCCAAGTCCAATTAGGTTCGTGGCGCACTCTCTATTCCTCAATAGGCTTAACGCCCTTGATTCCTTGGCTCTGGCCTGATGCAGCCAGCACACACAGTACTCGCTGGCTACCAGGTCACGCTGGGTACAGTGCAGGTACCTACGGGCTCCCTAGGCTGGCTCAGCTGGGTGACGGGGCACCTACGGGCAGCCACTTGGGGAAAAATTCACCTGCCTAGTGTTCATCATCACACAGCAGACCTATCAACTTTACCTACCTTAGGTAAGGTACTTAGCTACCCAACCCCGGATGTGTCGTGCCTGTCACGGCCGTCATCCCTAGGTAGTAATCGATCTATTGTCACTCGGAGCGATGGAGCAAACGCTGTAGTTGCTCCTGCGAAGAATGATCATACACCTTTACCTAGTAGGGATCACAAGGGGGATCTAGCCTGAATCTAGGTCGGGAGTACTAGTATCCTGGCTCGCCTTAGCAAGCAAGATTCGTTTGTTATCGCACATTCCTGAATAGCGCAAGGAGCAAAGCAATAAATCTTCACTCCCTTCCCAGGTGGCCAGTCCTGATCCATCATCAATCATACAACACCTTCTTCGCCTCGGGTGGCCCGCTCTCTCTGTCGCTTTTCCGTCGCTTTCTTAGCATCGTTGACCCAGGCATCATAAGAGCCGTCCTTAACCTTCATTGCAACCACCCCTTTCAGGACTTCGCCCGTGAAGCCGACAAAATTGTGCCGCCGTAGAGCATTCTCCCAGTCCCACTGGGCTCGTTTCCGTCGTTCTCGAGCCAGGCCTTCATAATCTTGGAACTCCTGTGCTTTGATTCTTCGATCCTGGCAAACGGCCATCAGGTTGAATCGGACCTCACCGAGCGGATATCTCTCAATCCGTCTCTGGAGAACAGGAATGATCTTTTCAGGGAACTCCTCAGGCGTGCACTCCCCATGGGAGATGGGATAGGGCTGCAACCCATCCAGCTCGTAGAGCTTGCCATGATGGCAGGTATACCCAATGAAGTGGAAGACATCCTCGCTGCCGGCGTTGGGGTCGCGCTGAACCTCGTCTGCAAACGGACTGGACCTCGCAAAGCTGTTGTGTGTTTCCCGGATCAAGTCCGAATTTGAGAGCGACTCTCCTCGTAGACCAGCGTCAAACCCGGTTGTAAAGTCCTTGAACTCTTGCAGCGCAGGCCCGATGTCTATCCTAGCTTGACTTGCAACCGCACCCGACAACGATGGATTGCTCGATGCATCATTGTTCAGTATCACCGATAGGATCGCTTGAGTGCCGCAGGCGTTCTGGATGGTCTGAGCTGCGAAAAAGAGTCCTTCATCTTCAACCGCGCCAGGATCGTACGAACCGTCTTGCGGTGCGCCCTTGTCGTCCGACGACGAACCTATCCATTTGAAGAGGAAAATGACGCCGTAGACGGGACTGCGCAAGATCAGCAGCAAAACGTCAGCACAATCCACAAACGCGAAAGTGGCAGAGAGAGAAGGGGTGCGGGCGCCACGCACGATCTTCTCGTTACCTCAAAGCACGGATCGAGTCAGGCTCTAATGATATCAGCTCCTCGAATTGGACACCCTTGACTCCAAGCTGTTCGATTAAAGAGGTAAAGACGCCCTGGACAAGGTGTCAGCGGTCAGCTGTCGCGAAACGGATGTCCGGAGGCGGGACAGCGAGTAACTTACTTCGTCCGACTCAATCGTGCTCCAGCCACCGCTGGAAGCGTCCTCAGCCATGGATACCGCACCGGAAGGTCGGGTGTAATGAGACGCTTTTTCGAGGATAGGGAGCGAATCTGTGGGTGAGACTGTGGCGGTGTTGGTGTTGGTGTTGACAAGCACATCGGCGAGGCACGAAGGAGGATGGTGATATTTCCGGAGTGACGAATCTTCCCCACGTCAGGTCAGGCACAATACACCACCGTCAACGGTCACGTCGTTCTGTTATGCCCACTCACCCACTCACCCACTCCACCCCAGTCTTTGCAGGTACGTGTACAAAGGGTGGAAGAGCTCCTTGGAAGTCCTCGTGTCCATCCTGAGTGAAGAATCGAAACGGAGTATCACAAGCCCGAGAGACGTGGATCTCGGGTTTCGCATCACGCATGGTTACTCTGTCAGGGATGTACGGAGTATGTCAGCAGAATGACGCTGCAGATTCACACTTCCAGTGGTAAACAAGCAGATCTTCTTCCCTTCACATACCTGGTACCCAGGGTTTCTCTATTTTTTGAGTACTATTTATGATCTCGTCGGCCTTGGTTTGGTTTGGTCAATGCTACCTTTGTTCTGACGCCGCGCTTCCCTACCCGCCAACTATGTCTGGACAAGGCTACCATATGCGATCAATGTGACTCTGGCTGCCACCGCACGTTCAGCTTTGCCGAATCCTGCCGTATGGTGCATCGGATTCTGACGACCCGCATCATGCAACCCTAAACACCAACGTGCGATGGCTAGCCACGTGCAGCGAAGCCCTGGCATCTGTAAAGGGGGTGTCGCTCCTCCAGTCACCTATCAGGGTATTGGACTTCATTTGGGTGACCAAGGACCACGATCAGTAATAAGATCACCGCCCGTGGATGCCTGACGCGCAATAGAACTGGACTTTACTGCATTCAACCAGTTCGCCGGCTTCAGGCGTTCTGTACCTAGGAAAGGTGACAGATGATGCCAAATTCGCACTCTATGCAGGCAAGCCATCATCAAGCCAAGCAGGCTGAGACTGAGGCTGAGGCTCGCTTGAGCCGTTCTTTCATGATCTTCAGCGCATGAATACATTCGACAGCTCTGAGTTATCAGCTGCGGACTGTTGAAGTTCGAAGAGGACCAGTCAGATATCCTGCAGCTGTGGCAGCACCCGGCAGGTTGGGACCCCTTGCAGACTCCTATCACGATCGAGACGGCAACAACGGTATCACATCATGCTTTCCTCCACAGTGAACAAGCCTACCAAAACAGATGATCTCTGTTGAAGGAGCTGCCTGGGATACAGGGCCGAAACAGGCTCTTCCTCGTCCCACGATCTCCATGACTCGGTACCAGAGGATTACTTCCCATCCCCAAGACCGTGGAGAACCCAAAGTAACGTCAGAAATTGCTGCCCCTGTAGCCGCCAGTAAGTTCAGCAACCACATCCCAAGACCGACGTCAGATAGAAACTCAAGAGCCTGCTAACGCCTTTCGAAGACATGAAGATAATACTTTTAACCTTTCGGGCGTGGTTACAGGTCTTTTCCCTTCGTTTGCCCAACATCGTTCCTGTTGATCCCATTCGCTGCTCGCCCTTACTCAACGCCTCGCTGATAGTAGCAAATTAGTAGCCGGGATGCCATGTCTCACGTCATCAACGACCCTCCGACGTCATCGATGTCTTTCCTTCCCCTTGTCTTGGTGTTGTTGTTGCATAATGGGAGGCATCGCTGGCGGTGGTGTCCTAGGATGAATACTCAGCCGTGATGTTCGTCAAGTCCAGAGTTGCGAAGGAGCGACGAACCGAGTATTCATGTCCATGCTGCCGTATTGATTGTACGGTGCTTGGCTTTGCCCAAAGTAGTCCATACTTGACCCAGGCATTTCGTGGCTGCTTCGTGGGTATTGTGGAGAACTCCCATATATCATGGCCATACCATGTGGGCTGCCAGGACCCAATGACCGCTCACTCATCGAATGGGTGCGTCCCAACGATGACACAGATGGTTCTCGCCTCGGATCCCCTTGGCCCAGCGTAGCTTGAAAATATGATGATCCTGATTGTGAAAGGGTCCCGGGACCGTGAAGAGGTGAATGTGTGTATGCTGTCGAGACATCCGATGTTGTGGAAGACATAGGGAGGCTCGGTGTTGTATAAGGGCTTCCTTGGGGTGAATATCGATACATATCCATCATTTGACTGCTCTGGCTGTTGTGTCGTTGCCTCAACCGGTAGGAGGTCATGATTTGTACGGGGATATCGATCAGAGACAGAGCCACTTGCACCCCCGAGTCGTGTGGCTGTGTCGTCCGTCTCGCCCCCAATATCTCGTGGACGCACTCGAGGGGATGGACAGACATGCTTCCCAGGTAGGCTCCACCAATCTCAGGAAACATCGACTCAACCGCGATTGCACTGGCATAGAGGTGGGACAGCAAGGCTAGTGGAGCGAGATCAGATTCTCCTGGACGTAGAATGAGTGGTGGAAGCCAGAAGATGAAGTCTCTTAAAGGCTGTAATTTTGTGAATGCCTGCTCGGGGCTGCGTGTTCGCACGTCTTGCTGTAGTTGCTGTAGGTATTCGGCCAGGTATCTTGCATGGTCTGCAAGTTCCTCACTGTTAACTAGTCGGGACTGCAGGTTATGTAGGGCCGTAGTGATCTGCTCGACCCTGCGCAGATCCTCGGGAGGAATGGAAGACTGTGTGTGTGGTAGCGTCGGCGTAGCTGGGGTCCCGGCCCTTGCCATTGTGCGTTGGTCCTGCAGATACCTCGCAAGTTCAGACTCGTGTATCCATGGCCTCATGGCGCTCATTACCTGCGACATGTCAATAGATTGTGTACGCAAAGACAAGCGCACGACGTACTGTTGATACCCCTTGCTGCAGAGATGCCCAACCGCGCCTATTCGGAATCAGCACGAGCTACATGTGATTGGATGTTCGTACCATTCTGTTGCTTGCCACGACAGGAGAATAGAGGCTGCGAGGATCGCTTCAGAGTTTTCTCGCGAGAAAGCGCCAATTGCCTCATGAAGGCCCTTCAGAGCCACGCCACGGTGATGATACGCTAAATTGTCTGTATCGCTGTTCTTCGTCTGCCACGCGAGGTGGGATGCTGATAGAGCAAGCAAGGCGCTCATGGCAAAATCGTGCGACAATGCGGCGGAGATGAGCCTGTAACCGAGTTAGTGCAACCCCCTGTCCACGAGACAGATCCCCTTACGAGCCGATTCTCGATCCCCATACTGTACAAGTACTGTAGCCCCTATTGTGCATATCTGTCGATAACGTCACAACGTGGTGGATCAGACGAAGATCAATTGTGGAAAACCGAGTCCAGTAGACTTTGTCTCGCGTTTGAAGCTCTAGTAGTGGAGGGTCTCCAGTGATGCGCCAGTTGTCAAGTCGCTGTTGAAGCTCCGGCGACATAAGGAGATCGGGTGGCTTCGAGCCTTTGAGTGGTTCCTCACCAGCCGCTGGGAGGTCCATATAGTCGCATCGACAGTTGTGCTTGGTACAGTTCCGACATTGGGGGAAATTTTCGTCACAACGAATGTGTCGCTTCTTGCATGTTCGACAACCCTTGCGTGACTTGGTGTGGCTTTTTCGCGGCGGTCCCCCAGCTCCGGCCATTCTTCGCGCCAGTTTGGCAAGGAGGCCGCAAATTAGAGCTTCGGTGGAGGTGTACTGGGGTTCGGACAGCTTGACCCTGGTAGATGTTCGACCAAAGCAAAGCTAATATACGCAAAGTACGTACAAAGAGCCAGAAAAATCCCACAGAGGTTGCCTCAACCAAGGTGAAGTCCCGCACTCATTCTTGAAAAGAAGGTAGGTATATTGCAAGAGTCAGCTTCAACGGGTAGAGAAAGAAGCTCGTATTAATGATAAGGCTGAAGGAGAGATCCGCCCCACAGCAGGTTGGGGACGCGAGAAGACCCAGGTAGGGCAGGAGACTGACAGGGTAGATCTGACTGGGTGAGGAGAGAAGTCAATCGTATGACGGAGGCGTCACTCGATTTCCGTCATCCACAACCCAGTTGTCAGCAGAAGGAAACATGTGCAATGTGTCATATCAGTACAGCTGGAACCAGAGCAGTGGTAGCGGAAATGGGGGAAATGGAACTTAGGTTGCCACGAGGATCGTGTCGCTAGATGTACCAGTGCCTAGTGCTGGAAATAGCCCTCGTGGCGGCTGTGTGCTTGCGGCTGGAAACACACCATTCTCAAGATACTGCGAAGGTATATTGAGGGGCATGGTGAGAGTAACCATGCAATGGGAAACGAGCAATTCAGCCTCCATTTGTTGAACAGGCGGCATCTTCCAGGGGTGTCGACTTTGTTGGTCTGTGAACTTCGGACAGGCAGTGTTGGATTGGGCCTCGAAGTCAAGTGGAAATCGGAGCGGTCATACCAGTGATGATTGGCTTTGGTAGACACACTGCGACCAGCATAACACAGACCAGGAATCCAACCGGTAACTAATGGCATGCCGGTCACAGCCATGGTGGAGGGTTTGAAAAAGGATCCCGCGGGTCGCCGTGCAGCTGGCGTTTTCTGGGCTTGGCCTGATGTGACTAAGAAAACCTTGGGAAGGTCATTTTTCTCTAACCTTACCTACCTGAATACGTCCCTTTTGCGAAAAAGCCCATAGAGGTGGTAAATCGGTATGAGATCGATCGACTCGTCTTCAAGATGACCGTCTCGCCGACGTCTAGCTCGAATGATGACACAAGGGCCGTAAGCAGGGGTGCCAGCAGATCAGCAAGCCAAAGCTTTGGGAATGGGACGGCGTATGCAGAGGGGAACTAGTTCCCATGAAGATGGAGTGACCTAAGACCTGATCCCCAGGTTAGATCATACTTTGGTACTCCGGGGATGTCTTGACCTTTCGTGAAATGCCAAAAATGGAGGCCGCTCGTGTTTGACGCACAATTCAGCGGGCCAGAACCGCTGGTGCTCTTCCCGGATTAGCAGAGCCAGAAGGCAACAGCCTAACACAAGAGAAGATGACTGGGCCAGCGTCAGGATACCTTACACTGTAAATGAATTAGCCTCGCGGTGCGCACTGACCACATGCGGGCTGTCAAGCACTGGTCAGGCGCTTTCATAGGCTGTCCAGTGAGAAGATGAACTTGTTGAGAAGCAGCAAGAAATGAAACCGCCTGGAAAATCATGAGACGCTGAATGCCAAGGTCGAGCTGAAAAGAAGGCGTAACCGGGCGCGGAGCTAGCCAAACTCACCGACAGAAAGGGCAGCTGTTGATGAAGCCTGTCCGTCGCTCGACTGTTGAGCCTGATTGGCTCATCTACAGGCCATCCTGGACTAAGGTAGTAAAGGGCATACCAGGGATCACCTCGGTGGGGGTCTTCGGTTGCTCTAACCGATTCCCTGCAGCAGCCGATTGAGCATCTCGCCAATACACCCCTCAAGTAACAGCTTGTCTCGAGTGAGTAGCAGGAGTATTGCGCAGACGACAAAGGCAAAGCTTCAATGTCTTGTTGTATTCTATCCGTTCTCTCGGTGGTAGGCCACTTTGGGGCTTTACACAGTACGGTAGCTTGCGGATGCGGCCAGTATAGCCTCCAGACGTTCTGGGGGCTGGGGGCTGGGACTTCTTGGTCCAATGCGGCGCGAGTGGCAAGAGCCAGGGGGCGTCGATACCACCACCGGACGATGGTAGAAGGATAGACTCGACACCTAGATCATGTGTTTTGTCATTGTTATATGACTTTCTGCCTGGAAAGGTCCAGGTATTAGTTTCCGACGCCTCCCCTGGTATGACCGAATATGGAATATCACAGGCTCGTGCAGACTCTCACATTAGGTCTCTGCATGACAAACCGAGCTAGGATGACCCCAGCAGCGCGTTGGCTGACTCCCAACGGTTGGCGATGCATAGCTGCAAGAACACGTTGCCCCGTCTCTTCTCTGGAAAATCCGATGACCAGTGAAATGTCCGGAGCATCCGTTATTCAGGACACTGTCTTTCCGCTTAGGGCGGGCGTGGGCACGGTCAGGTCGGGCGCAGGAACCAGGAGTAGTTGTCATGAATGGCACATACTGGCCTGCCACTCGTCTCTGGAGAATTCGGGATAGTAGATACACCATTAACTTAGGCCTGGTGGGTACCTCGATTGCGGTGGGTTTTAGAGTTCGACCTTGTGCTTGGTTCTCGCTTAATTAGAAGTCTTGAGATCGTCTCATGGATCGTACGGTCCATAGGCACCGCACCACATTTGCATTTGAATGATGCCAGTCCTTCTTCATGTCACGCCGTGGGAAGGGACATCTGGTTGACACCGAGAACCAAGACCCGTCAATTTGTCGAGCGTGCCCCACACAAAGCCAATCTGAGGTATACTCCTGAGGCTGCAGATTTCATGTCGTCGGTTATACCGATTCCCAGTAACGGAGGGGCGTCCGTATGGATGGGAGCTGGACCAGTCCATTCCACAAATGAGTGCGATGTGCAGGTGAGAGCATCCCAGAGATGAAGGATGCGCCCTAAAGTCAGTAGGAGCGAGGAGGCACATACGTTGCTCAACGCACGATACACTCCCATCGGGACCCTGGAATCGACACCATAGTCTTCTGCTTCCACTGAACCCAACCTGGCTCCAGTACTCGTGATTATTGTCTGACGAACTGGATGTTGGCGCGAGTAGCCCTTCTAGCAAGAGCTAGGTAACGTGCTTGAATCGTCTCCGTACTATTATGCAGAAGGAAATCACCAATAAACTTGTGAGCTTCCCATCTTAATGAAGTGAAAGCCGTGGAGTTAGATATGTATGGTCTCTCACCCAGGGCAACGTGGTGATGCTGAGTATCAAAAGTCTACTGGCTAGGTCGCAGGAGGATTTAATGGGCGGATTGTCTTGTCAGAATATGAAAATGCGAACTTCGTGCGAGGAGCATCTTGGTCGATGCGATCATATAGGCGGGACCTTGATTTCACCCTATTTCATCTCCTTCTCAAACCCTCCCCGATGCCGGGCTTGAGCAAGGGCAGGCCTCCCACTTACGTTGCTGAGTCCTGTCAAGACATCCTGCAACATAGCCAGCAATTGGTTTATGCCAGACATATGGGATAAAGAGTGAGATAGGGAGAGTGCAGCGTTGGCGTTATCCACGTCTTCTCGATGGCGGTCTAGTCTGATCTTAGATTCCGCGAGCCATCTGAGAATCTTCAGTAGGAGGCTCAACAGTGACTGTGAGGTGTTTACATTGTGGCGTGTCGAGTCACGGCGGCCAAAGTATCCTTGCTTTTGCCGGATCTGTTTGTCAATGAGCTGGCGACTCTGTGTGGCATAGTTCGAGAAATGGGTGCCATCTTCCCAGGTTTCCACGAGATGGGCAATACATTTGTCGATCGAGTGGATTAGACGGAGAATCTGGACGTCAAGTGTCTGTAAAAGCCCAGAGACTATGGCGTTGGTCACCTTTCTTTCTTGAGCCCCAGCACCATCCGAAGTCTATCTCCAGGGCAGTTTGCAGGGATTTGTTGACTTCGCCAAATTTTTATATCATGACATTAACCAAGCGGTTTGTTGCAAGCGTGACGTTGTGCATGCTTTGACCACTGGCATAGAGACCTCGACTCTATTATTGGAGGGTGTCAACAAGCAGGGTCTTGTTCACAAAATCAACCGATTGAGCTGGGTGTTCCTGCGTTGGCAATTGAGTGGAATGCTGGCCAGCTAAAAAGTGTTGACGAGGGGCTTCGGAGACGCCGATATACTAGCCCAGTGTCCTATTTCCAATGCAGTGCCGTTGAAGGCGTCGACGACGCATGGAGGCGTTGAGGGATTCGCTGAAGCACAAGAAATATGTAACCAAGATGCTAGACATATCGTTAAGGAGCTTGTACAGAGTATGTCTCTTGGCGTGGTTGTGTTGAGAGCCAGATTGTCGGAAGTCCGGTTGACACTGGAGTGAAAGAACGACCCCATAGCACCAAATACACTGTGGAATAGAGTAACACTGCGTGTCCCGACGGATTTGAGAACATAATAGGAACCCTGGACAGCACTGAACAGGTAGCGGAAGACTAATGTGATCCAGGCTTCCATACGCGAAACATAAACCCAGATCGAAATCAGTATCAGCAGCGGCATCACAAGTTACGCAAAGAACTTGTTGCTAACCATCCTTTCCAGGGCAGCGACCGCGTCACCAGTCAATCGTCCCAGAATTGCCAAAGGAGATTTAAGGTAGCAAGTCGTCGATGCCGACTTCGTTGGCTCCCCGGCTGAGAAGGGTTGCCAGCCTATACCTTCTTCTCGGACGCAGCGGGCATCCTGTTCAGGTGTTCGGATTTTCTGTTTCTGCTGGCCGCCGGAGCAGTTGCCATCTTAACAATTCATCGACCCAGATCCTCCTCGGACTGCGTGCTCGAGACATTATGATTGCACACTGCGACAAGCAAATCGCTTTAGATCTCAGCTCGAACGGGTTTGCAGCTGGATTTAGTACGTGTTGTGGTGGAATGTGTTGCACGGAATGTGATATGTGGATACCAACTCTGCAGGTACCAGTACCACCACACTGTTAGCTTCAATTCGTCTTGGCCTTCTGTTTCCATTTTGAGGTTGCACTGCCGATGCTTATGTACCAGGTCATATGTCAGTCGTTACTCGGTACAAGCTGGATCTTCAATCGAAAGCGGGATCCACCTTGCTCGCCAGCGTATTCAAAAAAAGGCAGGGATTTGCCCTGTGAACTGCCTGGCAACCAACACTGGCTTCGGCCAGACGAAACGAGGGCCACGTATCAATAGGCAAGGTTGCGAGCGCATTGAATTTCAGTCAATCTGAATATACTCGGTATGGTTGGGAGTGCGTCTGGCACCCAGCAATCGACCAACAACGGCCGCCACTGTATTGCCCAGTGCGAAATGGAAGGATAAGGCGGGGATAAAAAGCTTCATGTCAATCTCTGGCGCACCGACGGAAATTCACACCAAGGGACACACAGATGGGTAGAGACATCAGTACCCTGATAAATACGCACAAAGATCGATGACGTCGAATTGGTCAAGCACTGTCGGGCGTGAATACGGCTGGACATCCATTTCAGCAGCCCGACGTTCTAGGTTTCCTGCCTCGCATGACCAATGTCCAAACGGAGGAATCGAGTATTGAGTTGTTCATGGTATCATTGACCTGAGTGGCCTATGCATACTTCATAGCTTCACTCTCGCCAAGTAAGCATGCAGCCCGCATCTTGTGATAGATACAGCAGTTTCCATTGTCCCAAACTCCGTGTCTTTTGCCTGCTCACATGACAACACCGCTATTGCTGGCTATTCTGGGCCACAGCTCAGCCGCCTCTTTTCCGACTGGCCCAGTGATAGCACTGCCCTTCATTTCGCCCTTGGGGTTAACGATAACACCCGCGTTGTCTTCGAAGTAGAGGTAGATTCCATCGGCTCGTCTCCAAGGTTTCGATTGTCGTACCACCACGGCCGGCATGACTAGATGAAATATGAGCCTCTCTCTTTTGCCTCAACACATAGCCCAGAAACCGTACCTTTCTTTCTGAGTTCAGGCTTTCCCTTCTTGACGGTTGCCATGACCATGTCACCAACACCGGCGGCAGGCAGTCGGTTCAGTCGGGCGCCGATACCCTTGACCGAAATAATATAAAGGTTTCGTGCACCGGAGTTGTCTGCGCATGACATGACCGCTCCTCTATGATTAGCTGTTAGCTCATTGCTTTCAATCTCTTGCTGTCCACGAATGCCGTCTTCTCCCAACACCAACATGTCGCTTGTATGGACGCCACTTCGCCCGTCTCAATGTGTTATACTTTCATGCGCAGTCTGGTATCGGGGGGAAGATTGCAATCGGGAGAAAGCTTAAGGCTCGGTACTACGTACACAGGAAGACCGAGAGTCATCTTGAGCTTGTTGCCAGAGGCACCACCGCGACTGTAACAGAGAAATGGTCAGCATTCGTTGTGTCAAGAACCGCATTTCGAGGGCCAAGGCCTCATTTGGATGTTATCGAGGCAGGCGGAGATTGGTCTTTCACGTACCCTCGTTTAGACATCTTGACGGTCGTAGAATCAGGGTGATTTCGTTCGAGTTTCTGAGAATTGAGATGCAGTCAAACCACGAAGTCGTTATCCAGCGCCGAAGCCAAAAATCCTGCGTGCGGGCTTCTGCCAAGAAGAAATCTTGGCAATCAATCACGTGATGAGGCCACCAAATCTGCGCAGCGAGCAGCAGCCTTGCCCGCATGTCAGCTTGCCCTTCTTCCCCTGCACCCACCCGTACAATTTTGATGTCGACATGTGAAACCCACTGCAATCATTTTGGAGCATCACGATGATCATACCTAAGACGCTGTGACAGGGACCTTTGTGTACATAGTAGAGCAACATTTTCTTTTTCTGGCCGCATCTGAGGCCCCTGCTAAGTCTTGAGGTCGCTTGCTTGTGGATCAGGCCACAAGGACCACTCCAACCTGCATGACTGTTCGTATGGTCGTCTTTCGGTTGCACGACATCGAAGGTTGCGTCTGCAGGAATACTACTGAGACCTACATAATCCACGGAGGTCTCACAATGCTATTGACGGGTCAATCACCGTATTCGTAGCATAGTCCTTCCACATGGGGCTACAGGCGGCGGGGACTGTGACACGCTGCTCAAGATGTTCGGAGGTAGTTCTGTTTTTATCTCAACCGGTAAAGGCAGTCGTAGAATCAGGCGTGAAGAAGTTTCTTTGACAGCGGATCGTTGATGAATGCAAAAGTACAGTACGCTAGTTAGGTAACTTTGACATCGCGCCCATGACCGATCTTCCGCACGTTTTGGTTACCTAGGTAGGGTTGGCACGGGCTGGCTAATGCGATCCCTATATGGCATTATGCGTCGGGCCCAATGGGCATGCTCTTTACCTAAAAAATAACCCTCTATCTTAGCCAGGAGCGATCCATGATCAGCGTGCCGCCCTCCAAGTGGCCCTTACCCAGAAGGCTGGGGTCTAATTCAGATATCAAGGAGTACTGTGCTCTCACTCAAAAACGACATTCTCAAGTACTACTATCGAAGAGTGCGCCTTCAAAGCACGCAGCAGCAACTGCCGGCTCTTCCGCGCTGACTCTCTTCGGTGCTGACGGTTCCAGAACCTGAACATACCCGCCCACTTTCTCACTGCTGTCCACTCAACAGGTCGTGCAGGTCCGAGAGATGCGAGCTACTACACTGCGTCCCCCGCCGAGCCTAACACAAGAGCTAGACGCGGCGGGCTGAGATGTGAGCCAGGTGGGTAGCAGGGCCTTGAAGAAGCCTCACGCCAATCAGGTCGCTGATGTTGTCAACCACATTTTAAGGGCCCCAATCAATCCCTGTCCTCGGGGTTCTTGTACATGGTCTGTCAGCTTCAGGGCTCTCAGCCCAGCTAGCCCAGATGCTCAGCCCTAAGCCAGGTCGCAAGCATGAGTTCGCAAAAGCTATGCTCAACGACTTGACTGCCTGTTGCCCATTGTTTGCCTGTAAGCGACTACTCGTTCGCAGCTTTACGAGTCTGCCTCCCTGCTTCGCTTCGCTGCCTTGGGACCTCCACTCATTCTAACCATCCCCTTGCTCTGCATTGCCTTTCCTCATATATAGCCCAGTGCAACCCCCTCAGACACGATGGCACGCAAAAGAAAGCTCTCAGCGACTTCCGTCAGCGCCATGGATACGTCTCGATATAGTGCTTTCGATCGCGAAGACAACGGTACTGGGGTCAGGATCACCAGCACCGTGAAAGCCTTCTTCGAGAGCATAGCTGGCTCCGCTCCTGATCCGACCAATCCAGTCATCAACGGTGCCTCGGTCCAGTCGCGACCCTTTCTGGCGAGAGTCCTGGCCGATATTGCATCTCAAGCACCTCGCTTGGGAGAGAACATTGGTTTGATCCATTCGTTGGTCGATACAAAACTATTCGATGGCGGACTCGTCGATGACCGACAATACCAGGTATGCCTTAAAGCTCACAATGTGTCAGGTTAGACGCTAAGTACATCAATCGTAGATGGAGAAGATTCTTCAGCTGGCAGCTTCTTTGCCTGCTGGCTCAAAAGCGCTTGATGATCTGACAGGACAGTTCATCAAGCTGCTCTGGGAGAACCTTGAGCATCCACCTCTCTCATACCAGGGGAATGAGTACAAGTACCGTACTGCTGATGGCTCGAACAACAACATCATGTACCCTCACCTCGGTAAGGCTGGCTCATCTTACGCACGCACGGTTACTCCTCAGACCCTCCAGCCTGGGGTGCTTCCGGATCCAGGAGTCATCTTTGATGCTGTGTTCGCACGTGGCGACGAGCCTCGAGAGCATCCAAACAAAATCTCGAGCATGTTGTTCTACCTTGCCACTATCATCATTCACGATTGCTTCCATACGGATGAACGGGATCATGCCGTTGTCAAGACATCCTCATATCTGGACCTGGCGCCACTCTACGGCAGCAGCGAAGATGACCAAAAGAGGATCAGGACTTTCAAAGACGGTCTGCTGAAGCCAGACACATTTTCAGAAAACCGCATTCTGGGCTTTCCGCCCGGTGTTTGTGCGCTTGTCGTCTGCTTCAATCGCTTCCACAACTACGTTGCGATGCAGCTGAAAGAGATCAATGAAGGAGGACGATTCAAGATCCCGAAGGATGAAAATGATACCCAGGGCATCTCTCAGTTGGATAATGACCTCTTCCAGACAGCTCGACTGGTCACTTGCGGCTTGTACGTCAATATCATCCTCAACGACTACGTGAGAACGATTCTCAATCTCAACCGTACCGACTCCACGTGGACACTTGATCCACGCAAGAATTTCGGTGACGTCTTTGACGAAGCCGGAGTGCCTTCTGGCGTAGGTAATCAAGTCAGTGTCGAGTTCAACCTGATCTACAGATGGCACTCGGCTATCAGTGTCAAGGACGAAAAATGGTCCAACGAGCTGTACCAGTCTCTGTTTCCAGGAAAGGATATAGCGACAGTAAGCGAGCACGACCTAGTCATGGCGCTGCACAAGTGGCTTAAAAGTGTCGACCAAGATCCATCCAAATGGGACTTGGATATGGGCAAATACAAAAGAACTGATCGCGGCACTTTCCGTGACGAAGATCTGATCAGTATCTTGAGTGATGCTTCCGAGGATGTCGCGTGTGCCTTTGGACCGCGAAACGTCCCGGTCGTTATGAAACTCATCGAGACTCTGGGTATAAAACAAGCTAGGGCATGGAACGTGGCCACCCTCAACGAGTTCAGGAAGTTCTTCAAGCTGGAGCCCCACAAGACTTTCAGCAGCATCACTAGGGACGATGAAGTCGCTCGCTCGTTGAAAGCGCTCTATGGACACCCTGACTATGTTGAATTGTATCCTGGCTTGATCGCTGAAGATGCGAAAGAACCACTGGAGCCAGGTTCTGGTCTTTGTCCAGGCTACACGATTTCAAGAACCATCCTCGCCGATGCCGTTGCTCTTACAAGAGGCGACAGATTCTACACTGTGGACTATACTCCGGCCAATTTGACAAATTGGGGCTGGGCCACTGTCAACTCTGACCCCAGCGTCGCCCAAGGGGGCTGCATGTACAAGCTGTTGATGCGCGCTTTGCCTTTCTACTACCGTGGAAACTCGGTGTATGCAATGTTTCCGTTCACTGTCCCTGGAGAGAACCAGAGAATCTTGGCGAAAGTTGGAAAGGAGCAAGACTACAACTTTGAGCGACCTTCTTATGTCGGACCGCCCATCTCGATCAGGTCATGGAAAGCAGTGACTGAAATTCTTGGAGATCAGGCCTCTTTCAAAGTGCCATGGGGTCCGCACACATATTATCTCACGCATCATGATTACATGCTGAGTGGTGATGAGCCGGACAATGCAGCTCAGCGAAAAGAAGTCCAGAAGGATATCTATTGTCCAGTCAATGGGCTGAGGCAGATCCAGACCTTCTACGAGGATCTTACGACCCAACTGGTTGTCGTGCGATCCGAACGCCTGCGCGGAGAGTGGTACCAGCTGGATGCTTGTAACGACGTTGCTAATCCTTCTCACGCAATATTCGTCGCTCGTTTGTTTCATCTGCCACTGAAGAAGCATGGAGACTTGAACCCAGCGGCAGTTGAGGTGGATCAACTTTACCTTGCGCTATCGGTGCTGTTCGCCTACGTCTTCCTGGATGGTGATACGGCTAGCTCATTCAAATTGAGAGCCGGAGCAAAGACGGCAACCGATCAACTGGCCAAACTTGTTAAGCTCGTCTGCGAAGCTGTTCAAGTTGGAGGATTTTTCCACCTTGGTGAGCTTTTCCCAATGGGCCAAGCTGGTCAGCTTCTGGAAGACTATGGTATCAGGCTGCTGAAACGCCTGCTTGAAGGCGGGAAATCTGTCGATGAAGTTGTTTGGGAAATCATCCCTACCGCCGCAGCTGCAGTTGCGACGCAAGCACAGCATTTCACGCAAATGTTGGACGTTTATCTACAAGATGAGTATGGCGAGCACTGGCCAGAAATCCAAAGGTGCGCATGGTCGGAGAGTCCGGAGGACTTTGAGAAGCTCAAAGGCTACGCCCTTGAAGCCAATCGTCTATCACCGGCGGCGTTTGGCTTGCTTCGCAAGGCGGCGGTAGACAAGACTGTCGATGATAATGGCACCAAAGTGCAGATCAAGGCTGGTGACCAGATCTACACCGACTTTATCACAGTTGGCCTTGACGAGAAGGTGTTCCCTAATCCGAAGAAGATCGACCCTACCCGCGAGCGGTCATTGTACATCCACCATGGATGGGGACCTCACTCATGCCTCGGTCGCCCTATCGCGGAAATCGCCATGGCGGCCCAACTCAAGGTTTTTGCCAAGTTGAAGAACCTCCGACGAGCACCAGGCCCTCAAGGACAACTGAAGAAGACCATTCCAGTGCCCAATCCAACCAGCAGCGACCCGAAACCCAACCCGGCCAGCGTTGCTGCATTCATGTTGGAAGACTGGAGTTCATGGTATCCTTTCCCAACTAGTAAGTTTCACTTCCCTACATGTACTTCTCCTTCGTCCTTGCTGACAAGCCCAACAGCACTCAAAGTCCACCATGAAGGACTGTCCAGGGATCAGTCTGAGCAGCTGGCAGGCGACACCGGAGTGCCCGGTATCCAAGCAGACATCATGGAGAGCGACATGGCTGCCAGCAATGGTGTGAACGGAGACCATATGGAGGAAGACACAGCCTAATTTTGGCGTTGGGAACATCTAATGATGTTTCATTTGATTTCGAGCGAGAATGGGCAAATTGCAACATTGTGTGAAAGAGGGATGGACAGAGCAAAAAGCAGATGATGGTAATGAGTAATGGGTAGTAGGAGCGGAGGTTCAGATCATCGGCCACAGTCCTTGAAGATTTTCATGATCCCTACAGAATGAATAGCCCAACTGGTAATATATTGGCAGCAAGCGTGTGTCGCAAAGGCCGTGTCTCGACCGGTTTTGTCTTCGAACGATACTAGTATATGTAGGCCTCTCGAACCCTGACGCTCAAGTCGCTCGACGAAGCGGCAGCGTCTCAGCCTCGCGGTGCTTACAACTCGGCCCCCACACTATCCGCATCGGGGCGGTTATGCTCCATCGACGGGCTGACAAAGGCAACCGAGTGACTAAGCTTCGTGCATCTCGATGAAGATTGATACAAGATCACTACGATCCGGGTGAGATCTGTATTCTCCTTCAAAACCCCGCTCTCAGCGAGCATCAGTACCAGGTAAGCACTTCTCGACCACCACAACAACTTCTCATGGCGTGACATGAGCCCCTTATGCCGCTCCTGACCACCAGCTACCACATCTACTGTCATTGTGTGACGCTCTCCCCTAGAGCATCTCGACCTATAAAATCCGTTTTCACGACTTCCATAGCGCCATCGCGACGCACGACACTAGCACGGCAAGAGACTCGAACAATGTCTACACACTTCGACGCCATCGTGATCGGCTCCGGCCAGGGCGGAACTCCACTGGCCCAGGCACTCGCCAAAGCTGGCCGGCGCACGGCGCTCGTCGAATCGACACACGTGGGTGGGACATGTATCAACGAAGGATGCACACCGACAAAGACCATGGTCGCCAGTGCCATGGTCGCGCACCTGGCCTGTCGAGCGGCGAGTTACGGGGTGCAATTCAAAAAGTCCAGCCTCATCCTCAACATGGAGACGGTCAGGAAGCGCAAGCGCGACATCGTGGACAGTTTCCGCACGGGGAGCGAGAACCGGATCAAGAACACGCCCAACTTGGAATTGATTCTGGGCACGGCGAGATTCACCGGTCCCAAGGCCGTCGAAGTCACGGTCAACGAGTCCGGCATGAAGGAAACGCTCGACGCCGATCAGATCTTCATCAACGCCGGATGCGCGCCGGCGCCACTGAAGGTGAAAAACGCGGACACGATCACGGGGAATCTGCTCGATTCGACGACCATCATGGAATTGGGCGAGGTCCCGAGGCATCTGGTCATAATCGGTGGTGGAGCGATCGGGGTCGAATTTGCGCAGATGATGAAGCGCTTCGGTGCGAGAGTCAGCCTTGTACAGCACGGCATGCAGCTCTTGCCCAGGGAGGACCCGGATGTGTCTGAGGAGGTGCGCAAGATCTTCGTCGACGAAGGAATCGACGTCTACCTCGGGGCGGAGACGAGGGAAGTCTCCAACGTCACGCTGGGCCAGATCGTGGTCTCGCTGACCCAGCAGGACGGCAGCACCAAGACTTTGTTGTGCTCGCACGTGCTCGCCGCGACGGGCAGGGTGTCCAATGCTCCGGCTTTGAATTTGGGAGTGGCGGGAGTCGAGGTCGACGCGCACGGCTACATCAAAGTCGACGAGCATCTGCAGACTTCGGCCAAGGATGTGTATGCGCTGGGCGACATCAAAGGCGGCCCGGCTCAGACGCACGTCTCGTACGACGACTTTCGCGTCCTCAGGGACAATCTCATCACCACGCACGCGGACAAGGCGGAAAAGGCTTCGATCGAGAACCGACTGATCCCGTACTGCGTGTTCATGGATCCGCAGCTCGGCCGCGTCGGGCTGACGGAGAAAGATGCACGCAGACTCCACCCGACGCGGAACATCAAGGTCGCGAAGATGCCCATGGCCTATGTGGCTCATGCGATAGAGAGGGACGAGCTCAATGGGTTCATGAAGGCCGTCGTCGATGCCGATACAAAGGAGATCCTGGGCTTTACGTGTCTCGGGCTGGCCGGAGGTGAGATCATGAGTATGGTCCAGTTGGCTATGATGGGCGGGTTGACGTACGATGAATTGGAGAATGCAATGTTTGCGCATCCGTGTTTGTCTGAGAGTTTGAATAACCTTTGGGGGTTTTTGGAATGATGGAACCGAACCGGCTTGAGGTGAACGAACTCGAATGTTAGACTGGCTGATACCACTGAAGATGACAGTAAAAAGGGTAATTACGTAAAGCAAGAGGATTGGTGGTCGTTCGGCAAGGCTGACAGTGAGTCTTAGGGGGTGTATGGCCTTTGGGGACTTCCAATAAATCATGCAACCTAACGTACCATCATGATCTCGCTCGGGTTCGCTTGTGCCAGGAGAGGAGAACTGATGCGATGGGCATTCCCATGATATATTGACTGTCCTTTTTCACCAGTGCTCAGTTCACCGCCTGCTTCCGCCTTTCGCCATTGTAGACGGGGAGCGGTGTACCCATCAAGTCGGCCTTCATCTGCAAGGCCAGGAACCGCGAGAAATACCGACTATGCCCAATGGTACCACCGATGTAGAACAAGTCAAGCTCTGCGCATGATCAGCTGCCACTTTCTCCTATCGCCGGACTTCTTTAGGCGAGTTACTTACGACTGTTCCTCTTGAACACGCCCTTCAATTCACCCTCCTCGTCCAGTCCCCAGAAGTCATCCGCACGGGAAGCCACTTCCTTGCCGAAGATCTGTCCGACGTCGGTTCGCACGTTGCCCACGAAGCCTGTGCTGAAAATGATCACATCTGCCGAGATTTCTGTCCCGTCGCTAAAGGCAAGACCAGTCCGAGTGTAGTGTGTCGGAAGGGCGCCGGCCTTCATTTTAATCTGTTGGCAAAAGCCATAGGTTTAGCGGTTGTTGGTCAAAGAAGTAGACACTGGGGGTTTGTTCATGCTTACCAGACCCTTTGCAATCTTGTCCGAGCAGCCCACATCCATATAGTGGCCGCCCAGTTTCTCGAGGATATGGTACATGATATCACCGTACCGTTCGACCCTGAAGCCGGCTTTCTCAAGCGCATCGAAGCGCTCAGGCTCCGTTGACGCCGCTGCGTGCAAGGCCTTTCGGCTCATCAGCCTGCCAATCACATATGGCATCGAGTACTGTTCCCGGTCAGCGTCAACCGTGGGCACATCCGCGTTGTATGACCGGTCGCTGATGACTTTGAAGTATTCGCATGGAAGGACGTAAGTGCGTGTTCGCTGGACCATGGTGATGGACGATAGTCCCGCCTCGACCATATCTTCCGCGACGTCGTGTGCGGTGTTCGCCGTGCCAACCACAACTCCTGCTTTACCTCGCCAGGGTTCTGCCGACTTGTACTCCGCCGAGTGCAGCACGGTTCCTTGGAAGTCCTCCCGGCCAGGGTACGTCGGCATGATGGGGATCTGGCCGCCTCCGCCGGTGGCCATGACCACGTACCGGCAGGTTAACGTTTGCGTCGAGTCCCCTCCGCGGCGTACAAGGAGCTTCCATGTCCTTTGACTTTCGTCCCGTGTACCGGACTCGAGCGTTGTGCCGAACCAGATGTTTTTACCGATGTCGAATTTCTCGACCCAGTCCTTGTATCCCCGTGCGAGGTCGTATTTGGTAAGGAACTCCTGATACGGCAAGGGGAATGTCCGGTCGAATGGGAGGTGGTTGTACTCGCGAGGAGTATGCAGTCTCGCAGACTCGTATCTCGTCATCCAGTTGTCTCCGATTTTGGCATTCTTATCCAAGACGACATAGGAGATGCCTAGGGCTTGTAAACGGCCAGCAGTGGACAGCCCCGCTTGCCCGCCACCCACGACGACACAGTCAAAAGGTTGTGACGAGTCGGTCTTGCCATTGACTGACTGGTGGTTTGCATCTACACCGCCGTCAGTGTGCGGATGGACGCCGTTGGAGGCCTCCTGGATCGGCACAAGCTGGTCGACATCTTTACAACCTTCCAACTGCTCGAGGACAGTTCTTATGAGCCAGATCTTCCATTTTCCGTCCTGATCCAAGACAAGTGACAAGAACCCATGGCATTGTGCAGCAGGAGAGGCTTGATTGCGAAATGTAAATACTACATTAACCCATCCTGTTTCCTTGTCGAGGCGTATCGGCTTTGCTGAACCTTTTATGATGGAGAAATCGCCCGCTTGTCGGTTTGAAGAAGTTTCGGACCAAGCGTTGACGATTGACTCTGAGGAGTAGAATGTTCGTATGGTGCCGGTCAGAGCAAATACGTCTCGCCATATCGAGGAGGGCAAGATAGCGGCTCTGTCCAGGTGATTGAGGGAATCAACAGAAGAGCTGGCGACTTCTTCAAAATCAATGTCGGCTCCAAATTGTGACTCTGGCAGAGTGCAAGGTAGGTTCTCCAGTACACTGCGAGGAGCGTAGGCTGCGACGTCGACGTCACTGATATCACCCATTCTTTAATACTGAGGACCCTCTAAACCTCCGAGGCTTGCTTGCTGCCACAAGGAGGAAAGTCGGTATGCGTCTCGTTAACTTGGCCTTGCTGGCTGGCCACTCTCGGTATGTACCGTCAGAAGAGAAGAAGCTAACTAGTCGGAACCAGACCAAGTCTGTTAACGAGCATATGTATGTTCGCTTCACCTAGTTGCCAGGAAATGTTAAGTGTCAGGTCAGCTGGCAAACGGGTTTGTCGACGCTCGGGAACTTCGTAGTTGTTGTATGTACGAAGTTGTGGATCTTGCACATCCTACCAGCCGCTTTGCTTGTACTCGTACGGATCATCATGCTCACTATGCTCACTGGAGGCACCAGAACAGGGGTCAGAGGCCTCTCAAGAGCATGGATCATTTCCTTGTCCGGGGTGAAGCGTGGGGCTTGTGGAGAGCGAAGGTCGAGCTGAATGAGGGGAGATGGTCCGGCAGATGATCCAAGATTTCTTCGAACCGCGTCTCGACTGTTGGCACCGATCCGAGAAGACTTCTTGAAGGTAAATTCGAACGGTTGACCGCTTTGCTGTCTCTCTTGCACAAGTAGAAGGCCTATAGCAATCGACAGTTCCCCAGCCGGCACGGTCAGATCAGTCGACTGACTGGGTTTGTGCCGCACGACGGTGTGCTCTGTGTGTCAGACACATTCATCCGCGAGAGATACGATTGGAGCGTATGGGATGCATGTTCGAAGCAAATTGTAGTGGTTGAAGTGAGACTTCCCTTCGAGCCATACTGGAAAGATCCTGGACTGGAATCATCTGCACACGAACGCGGCAAATTTCAATGTGGAAAGGGACCAAGGAATCGACAAGCTTGTTCTCTAGCTGATGCCAGTCTTGTTGAAGAAGTCGCCACAGCACATGCGTGGTTCCCCATGGCAACATATAGATGGGATGACTTCGCTGTGTTCATTCTCCGAAAGCACTCTGTCCAACCTGTGTTAAGCGGCACACCATCCCAATAGCCTTTCTCCTTCAAGACACATGGTCGCCATTCAAGGCTGCCTCGCCATGAAGCTTCGCAGGCTCTTTCTCAGCAGGAAAGGAAAGGGACTTTTGAGGCTTCATGCCCAACATTCCCGTAGCATCGACCAAGCGTGCGTTTGGGTTCAATTCCAATCCAAACCCTGGCTTGTCAAGAACGCTAACATCAAGGTACCCTTGGTTTGGGATAGGCTCGTTCAAGAACAGATCTCCAAACACAGGAAGCACGCTCTTCCCATCCGGACTGTTTGCAAGGTACTCTTGGAAGGGTGAGTTATGCTGACTCACGACAAAATGGTACGAATAAGGTCCCGAGGCGTGTGGAATGACTGGAATATCGTATGCTGCTGCCATGGACGAGACTTTGAGAAGCTCGGTGAGGCCACCCAGCCACATGACGTCGGGTTGAATGATGTCGACATTCCGGCCCTCAAGAAGCTTGCGGAAGCCATATCGCGAATATTCGTGTTCCTGAGAAGTGTGTCAGCTTGATCCAATGTTATTTTGCATCGACAACTTACGCCTGTGGTGAATTTTGTGTCTGGATGTGCCCGCTTCAACAGTTGGAACCCATCGAAATCATCGGGTGACAAGACTTCCTCCCACCAATCTATTCTGATATCCTGTCTTTTAGCTTCCGCAACGAGCTCAATGGTATATTGCACATTCAGAGACATCCAGCAATCAACCCTCAAGGGGAAATCTAATCCAACGTCTTCGCGGTGTTTCTTCAGGAATGCAATATTTTTCTTTAAACTGTCCGGCTCCTCTGGACTGTATGGCAAGGGAACCTTGCCTCCAACAAATCCCATCTTCTGGGCCGCCGCGGGCTCTGGTCCAGTGCAATAGAAGTCTAGCCTGTCTCTTGTAGCACCACCAATCATCTTGTATACTGGTTCATTTCTGATCTTGCCGAGAAGGTCCCATAATGCAAGATCAAGCACTGAAATGACCGCGACGGGTAAACCTTTACGGCCATAGAACATGGAACCCTTGTACATAAGCTCGTATAGATCGTTGACGTCTCGAGGGTCTCGGCCGAGAAGGAAGCGCTCGAAATGTTGCTGAACCAGCCAGCATGCTGGCGGTCCTCCGAAACCTGTTGCAAAGCCCTTGGTGCCGTCTGTGGCCTCGATCTCGACGCAGAAAGAGCCCAGGACATTGATTCCAAAAGAGGTGCGGGACTTTCGGTATTGTTCCCATTTGGCCATTGGGGTTGAGATTTTATTGTCAATCAACCAGTGACCGCCCTTGACATTGTGGTAGTCGCCGCCAGAGCCGACACCATCGATAACGAAGGTGCGGACGGTTTTGATGGTAGGAAATGTTTTGACGCCAGTCATGGTGAATGCAAACACCGTCTCCGTGTATTCTGCTTTTCTTTTCTAGGTCGGCGCGCTGGTAGTAAGGTTCTCGAGTAGGGGTGGACGCTGGATCAAAGGCCGCAGTCAAGGAGGATCGTTCAGAGAGCAGAGAGGCAATCCCCAACAAGCCGCAGAACTCGACCACGCAGGATGAAGAATCGACACAGCCATGATTGTCTGGAGGGTGCTCACAATAAAGAGGCGTCGACAGACTGGAGCAGATCTCGCTGATCGGGACAGTTGTAGCCGGCGGGCGGAGAAATGATGTAGGGACAGGAGGCGAACAGCGAGGTCAGAAGGGTGGAGCGAGAATGAGCGAGGAAGAGTAAAGGTGAGTGGTGAGTGGTGAGTGGGTGGTGAGTTGGGTGGCTCGAGGGTAGTCTCTGATCCTGTGTAGTCTCTGTGGTCTGACTACCAAGCTCCCCACCAAAATCCACACCCTGTTGCATCGGCCACTTCCCCAGCTTTTTTCTTTTCTTCCCCCTCGGTCCAACTCTCTCCTTCTCGGTGTAATGATGCTACCAGACCTAACAGACCTGTAGTCACAAATCACACAATGGACGTGACAAAGTTGGAGCTCTCACAGCTCTATGGCAATCATCACAGTGACAGCAATGGCCTGGCTAATATCATGCCGACCCAGCCACGTGCTACCTCCATTTCCGCTTCCGACTCTGATTCTGAAGAAGACCACCGAGATGGCGCCAGGAAACGGAAGAGGCCTATGAATGTCACGTACGTGTTGGCTCCATCGATCCCATCTGTCTACTCCATCTTATCTCCTCGTTGTCCCCCCGCATAGCTGCTGATGCCTGAGCTGGATAGCTGCGAAGCTTGTAAGCAAAGGAAGGTCAAGTGTGGTACGTTTTACCCACGACGTGCCCGAAACTCTGGGACGGCACTCATACTGAATAGATCGCACACAGCCCTCTTGTGGCTGGTGTATGCGCAATGATCATCCGTGTGAGTATAGAGAGAGGAAGAAGCCTGGCCTTCGTGCTGGATATGGGCGTGAGCTCGAGGGTCGGCTTGATCGACTAGAGACTCTCCTACAGGAACAGGGTCGTCAATTAGCAGCCCATCTGGCAGACGCATGCACCATCACGTCCGCTCCAGCGGTCAATTCAGCCATGCCAAGGTCTAGCGTCCAAGGCATCACACCAGAGGCCCAACCGAGAGCCTCCTTTGATGCTCAGTCCTCCGCCTTTGCAAACGAGACACCGTATCAACAGCCGATGATCGATCCAAATTTACGCCCTTCAGCCTCCCGCCATGGATCTTTACAGTTTCCTCCAGGTCAGCAGGGGCTATCTGAACAGCAGATGCCTCAGCCACCAAGTCATTATACTCCATCCGTGCATTCGCATCCCATCACTTCACCTCATTCAACAACTGGGTATCAGGGGACGCAGGTGTTCAACGAGCATGCTGCGATGCTACCTCCCTATGATCTTTTATACGCCCTAGTCGACCTGTATTTCAAGCATGTCAATAATTGGCTGCCATTGCTGGACAGGAAGACCACTCTTGACACCCTCTTCGGACCTTCATCGTTGGACGAGGCTGACCGGGTCCTGCTGCACGCCATCGTCGCGACAACTTTGCGCTTTTCCCAAGATCCTCGCCTGACACCGGAGAGTCGTCAACATTATCATGATACGTCCAAGCAACGCGTTCAATTGTTCGGTCTTGAGAACTCGAATGTCAGGGCACTTCAGGCGCTCGTCATTCTGGCTCTGGACGTGACCGGCACGACGAATGGTCCGCCCGCCTGGAATCTGCTAGCACTAATTAGCAGAAGCATGGTTCAGTTGGGTCTTGCCGTTGAATCGAGTTCAAGCCTTGCATCACCTATGTATCCATCCATCGCCACCTTGCGGGCATCAGTTCTGCCAGAAGCTAAAAGTTGGATTGAAGACGAAGAACGGCGCAGGCTGTTCTGGGCAGTCTACCTTCTCGACCGATATGCCACGATAGCTACCGCATTTGAGTTCGCTCTTGACGAGAAAGAGGTCGATCGCCGGTTGCCCTGTCGAGATGACCTGTTTGCAGCCAATAAACCCGTGGAGACCAGGTGGTTTCGCCCTCCGGAGCGGCCTCGATACACCACGGGAGTGGTCGATACTCATGGCCACTTCTCCTACCATTGCGAACTGATGGCTATTCTGGGACACATCCACCAGTTCCTGAAGCGTCCCATCGATATTGGCTCTTTGTCCGATGTAGAGCAATGGCAAGGCTCATACCGTGCGTTGGATAGCGACCTAAATGCGTGGCATTTTAGTTTGCCTGACGAGTTCGCCAATATAACTCGCCTGCTCAAGTCGGGAACGCCTGCTAAAAATACCAATTGCGGCTGGATCATGCTACATGCAGCCTACTGTTTGACGGTCATTCGGCTGAATTCCTCCGCGGCATACCCCAGCCAGACCTCACCGATATTCTCCTCATCCTACAGTGCCATGCAGCGGTGCCTGTCGGCAGTCGAGAACTTGCGTCAACTATGCCGCTTCGTTAAGCTCAGTGGCCTGCTTGACAAACTTGGGCCCCCATTTGCCTTCGCCATCTGGGTGGGCTCTCGTGTTATGCTAGTACATGGGTCCACGATGGATCATGAAGTGGACCCCGACATCGACTTCTTCGTGACCACTCTGTCCGAAATGGGCGAGCATTGGCTCGTGGCCAAAAGGTATAGTGAGATCCTTCACAGAGTTCTAGGGGAGTATCGACAGTCGCAGCGGGCAAGTGGGGTGACGGGGGAGATACTGACGCCGTCGACGGTGAAGATCCTTGCCGACATGCGCCGGTAAGTACATTGCCTGTCCCGATTGGATGAGTCCTAACATGGTGAAACAGATGTGCCTATGATCTCGACTTCCTGATTTCCCGCCAGCCACATGCCGCTGCGGTCAAGTCATATCATCCTACTCGGGCCAATACGCCAGCCCAAAACGAACTCGAGTATCTGGATGTATTCGATCTATTCAACTTCCCACGTTTGCCGATGACCCATGAAGGCTTGGACAATGGAACGGGACAGGGGCTTGGCCAAGGTGCCCCCGCAGACCTTGGGGCGGTGAATACGTCCATGATTCCGAATTTTGCGGTACCCAACCCTGAAGCCGATTGGCTGTTCCACAATGGTTAGAAGGATCATGTTGCGGCGAGGCAAGCTCGTGATCTGATAGACCTAGAAGTGGTGGGAAGGATATGCGTCGATTCACGAACGAGCACGCCCGGCTCTTGCACCTCGGGGACTGGGGGGTCAGAGATTACACGATGAAGTCTCCTAAGGGCGTTGCCAGGAATCACCGCAGGGGCTCGTGCTCAGTCGTGTTAGAGATAACATACCACGAGTCTACTATGTAGGGTGTAATCAGCGTCATAATGAGCGTATCAGAGCATCGAGGCGGTAGCGAAGTCAGCCTTGCCCTATCCGAAAAGAGTGAATGCGGTGATCGACCGCCAATAGACGTTGCCATGGTGGTCATAGGAGAGCCAACCTAAGAAATAGAAGGCATGCTGGTCGATATCTTCTGAGTTTCCAGCTCGCGAAACTACTGCGTGGAACAGTATTACGAGCCGACCAACGAGACGGTTGAGCCAGGGATGGCGAGGATGGGGATGAGATTAAGACTCAGCCCAAGGAATCGTGCCGTCGAGGCCGTGAGATGACGTTAGGGACTAGGTGCCCCGCTGCTTTTGTGAAGCCAATCATAGTGCTGACTAGGCAAATCACATGACTGCACGGGACCACCGTTTATCTGGGCTGTTTTTGGCACAAGATCGTCTCTTTTTGCGCGCTCACACCTTCTTCCTTCTTGTGCTCGTCCTCACTGCCATCATTCGTGCTTCCTCTTCGGATTGATCATCACGAGTGGAAAGCTTCTCAACTTCTTCGCCCACGGTCACCGGCTTGGCTTGCTGACAATTTAATGCCGAGTGTGGCGAATTTCACACGTCGTGGTTTACCTCACCCAGATATCCCGAATTTTGGCCCCCTTCCCAGTCTACTATCTATTCTTCCCGTGACTCCAACATCCACCGGGCTGGCTCCTTGGTCGTCCGACGCCCCTCTTGCGGTATTTGATTCTGTCGAAAGGCGAGGCTAAGGGTCCCTCAGTCCTGGCTCATGAATCTCAGCACCGCCCGGCCCTAGACCCGATACGTTCAAGACCGTTTTCAGCCTCAGACCCTACGATGACACACAGCACGAGATCTCGCATCCATCGCAAGGGACCACACGACTTCCAGAAGCTAGGTAGGTGTCGACGTTTGTCCCCGCTGTCGGCTGTCTTGGTATCATGACTTCCATCGATTGCCATAGCTCGCGCGATGACCCTCAGCATTTGGACCCAAAACCTTCTTCGCAAACACCATACCGCTTTGTCTAGCTGGCCATCCCTACTTCCATTGGAATCACCAGCCTTAGCGTTGGATAAGGCCGTGTTCTTAATCAGTCAACAACGTCGTTTCGATCGTTCATTGGTACCTGCACGTCTTGGAAAACGTGGCTGGCCGGGGAATCTCGCCCTCCCGGAAACAAATGCATCAGTCGACTTTTCCCTTGTTGCGAACATTCTGTGCTATCGATCCTTCTGTTGCATACTGCCCTCCCCTATGTTGTTATTGGGCAGACTGCTCGCGGTATATGACTTTCCGAAGAGACATACCTATCCTTCTTACCTGCCTAACTATATCTAGTGACTGATTGGCTCCGCTCCTTGCTCAAGGCTACAGTCACAACTTTCCTGATATAAAGGTTTGGAGCACCAGTTGCCTGGACCAACTCACCATTGTTTATTCAGTCGTTCTTGCACATATTTGCCATCGATTTCTTTCTCAATTGACTCATCACTCTCAAAGTCAGGTTTACCCTCTTCATCACAAGTCACTATACGAGTATCACCGTATCGTTTCAGCGAAACCATAACGATGTGCTACCAAATCATCGAGAGATATGCAGTGTGCCGCTGCCTATATCACAAGCACTCCGTCGATCCATGCCAGCGATATGGGCAACAAGGCCATTCTACGACTGAGAAGACCGTCTTGGTGGGATTCGCCTGCCCCAACCATTCAAAGCGGCGTTCTGCGAATACTTCAACAGACAACCGATCTTCAGGAAGCCGGTCACGGCATGATTCTGGATATTCCAGCGGCGGCTATCAATCTTCTTCAGGTCGGCGATGAAGGGGCCTTCACTTTTTCTCACAATGACTGAACTCAACTTGAACGACAGAACTCATTGTACCAACCTGAATATGTACCTCGGGAACTAGTGGTGGACTTGTTGCTCTCAATCCATCCTGGCAGGCCATCCGGCATGGATATACCCGTCGTTCGTTCTTCAGATATGTCGCAGGCCGACACAGGCTATGGCACATTTGGAGATACTGTGCTAGGAGGAATTTGCGCCAGCTGCCAGTCCCGGTCGTGACTGGTGCCAGATGTGGCTGGAACCACGACACAGGGCCTTGACTATTTAAGACGACTGTCCCAATCCATGGCAGTGGACCAACAGAAGCGCAAAGGACAGACAGTCTCGCGCAGCAGAAACGTGTGCGTCTATGCTTGTATCAATACACGCTTGCGCGGATTGTCGATGCCCCGAGAACCTCGCTATGATCGCACGCCATCAGCCAGCCATTCGCTTTGCAATTACATTGTGAGAAATCAGCTTCCTTGAAGGAAATGGTCGGACTGCATGTGTATCTGAGAGGAGGCGCAGGCGCCTTCCGTTCGATTCCGTCCACGGGAACACCCTGGAATGCCTGATATTGGGAAACTTCTTGGAGTTGTGGTCATTCTTCAGGATGCAGTGCATTGGGGACGGTATGGCGCAGCAGCGGTGAACACTTTTATGATTGTAGCATGCTTATACGTACATGCGAGCGTATACGTCAATGAGACATTTTGCTATAATCATACTCTAGTATTGTAATACTTGCATCCGGGCCGGGACATGCTCGCATGCCATATGTCTGGAATGCTAATGCCGTGGATGCTTGGCCAAAGCTGGCCTGAATGGGCGCAGCAACTTCAGGCAACCGAAGACCACAAAAAGGCTTCCAGCCAGTCTCGAGCCAGTCAATTGTCCAATTGTGCTCTGCAGGTACTCGTACGGATCTCACGGGGCAGGCAGCACAAACCCTATGAGTCTATGACTGGAGATTCTTTCGATCCGTCATCTAGTGTCATTGTCATTGTCACATTTGTGTAATTCGCATTCACAGACCCCTAGACGGATTGGATTGCATAACCTACAAATGCACCACAGTGCAAAGGTTGGCTGATACCTAGTACTGTAGGTACTAGGTAAGGTCGGATGACGCACACTGCATGGGATGACGCCTTGGATCCTGAAGAGTGATGACAATGCTTGAGCACCTGCAGTTCAGTGGCATCGTGGCTTGCCTGCTTTGTGTCGGCCGATGGGCACGTGTACACAACAGCAGCAGCACAGCACCGAGTGCAAATTTTTTTGGGCCGACGGTGCATAAGGTAGCTACTGTTACAATAATGGAAACCGAAGAGCCGTGAATAGTGCGACTGGGAAGTGGGAGGATACCAAGTATATCGTCGGCGTGATCGGTCCATCATGGCCCTACTAGCTAGAGGTACCAGGTACTCGTACGCCTACGTAGTACGTAGTGTTCCAGTACCATGCTACACCGAACACAGAATAATGTCCGGCACCATTTGCTGTGCAAATCGTGGGGGTTCGGACAAAAGTTGCACAGCAAAAGTTCCCCGAATTTGATGGCTTTGCACTGCTAGCTAGCAAAACGAGAAAAGGGTCAGAAAGGGAAGGAAGAAGGCAGGGGAGTCTTTGGGGGCTGAGATCTGGCGTGTCTGGCGTGTCTGGCATTGTCCTGGCTGCGCTGTGCTGTGAGGGCTACTGTCACGTACTACTGTCACGGTGGAGAAGGGGTACGACGGACACAGAGTACCAGGTACTGTGCTACTGCGTACGAAGTATACGGAGTACGTCGTGCGTCAGACCCATTCCACTCGCCCACATTCTAACGATCCATTTACAAGGAATAGGAACTAGGAATTGTTCAGCCGCACTGGACCATACTACGTAGGTGAAATATCCGAGGCAAAAAGGATCGAGGACCAGCAATTCAGCGATTCACGGTTGTAAGGTTGAAGGGCCACGAAAGGCTAAGCCAAGCCAAGCCAAGCCAAAGCTGACCTTTCTTTCTAGAAAAGACCTAAACCAGGTAGGTAACTTACTTCATGAAGGGGCCATCATGGTCTTTGGGCTTTGTACGGTGAGGTACGGATACTACTAGTAACTAAGGTAGTGGTCAAATGCGCATGAATGGGCGAGGAAAAGGAAGGCTGATGCTCGGCCGATGCCACCCAGATGCTAAAGCGAAAGCTGAATGTTCCGGGGAGGATCCCCCATTTTTGGGGCAGAACAATCCTTTTACATTCATGTCGCCTATCATTTCGATCTTCTAGCGGTAGGTCCATCAGTACCGTATGTGATATGGTCTTCTATAGGTAATCGTGCGTGGGGTTGTGGCTGAACAACCACCATCATCCACCTATTTCCTTCTTGGGTGAGAGGATCAGGATTCTGCGCGGTCGAGAAAGTGGCGAGCCACCCCCGCCTGGACTCTGGACAGAAGGGTAATATCTTGAAGGAAGGAAGAGGATATGGCGTTGCCGTTGCGTGGAGCCTGTGGCTGTGCCGAGTAAGAGACCAGAGTGAAATTGAGTAGACCGAACAGAACTGTAGCAGTGCCACAAGCATGACACTGTGGCAGAGCGCAAAGTATCTGCAGCATGTTACTTCGGGCTGCCGCCCATTGTATGCTACCTGGGTTCTTTCTGATTTTGGACCGGTCCGTCCCTTTGATGCAACAGAGAGATAGATCAACCTCACGGGTCAATTGCCCGCCCGGAACGGTAGATCCAGCTCGGCATCGGCGGCGTGCCAATGGGTGTAGATGTTCGTGCATGACCTTTAGGACATTGCGCCATAGCAAGGGTCCAAGACGCGAGGTATGTTCTCCGTCCACACTCAAGTGCTGTAGAATCCTGATCTTTGACATCGGCGACTATGCTGGGGTGGCCTTGCGCCTTGGGGCGGTTTAGTTGTGGAAATTCTCATTCCAGTCAACCATCCACACCATAAGAACCTGGCAACTTCGGTGGCAGCTGCACCAGGAAGAACAAACCATCTCTGGCCTCGAACCGCATCAGAAGTTGTCCGCGATTTCTTACGGAAAGTGAACCATCCTCGTCCTCCACGAGATTGAGGTCCAGTCCTTTCGCCCTCTTCAACTGCGACCAGCTGATAAGGTTGACGCCAGCACTTGGTATGTGCATGACGTGTCTGATCGTCATGCGATTGACAAGAAGGCCAGGGGTGTCCGCCGACCCGCCGGTCTTCTGTGTGATTCTCGAGGGCAAGTTCAATGTACAGTCGCCTGCTCCAACGATGGGCACGGGGTTGGGACCGAAGTAGCCCACAGCGCGCGGATTGAGACTGTTGCTGTAGGGGTTCAAGGTGTCGTAACTGTGTAGCAGGGCGCGGTTGGTGCAGACATGTGTAGTAGCCCCGGTATCGAGGATCCAGTCGGTGTCGGAGAATGGCTTGCGATGGCCTGCAGTTGAAGATGGTGAGGACGATGGTTGTTTGGGTCCAGATGTGATGACTAAGCCTGGATCGGCTGGAGCTGGGACGTGAATCTTGGGCTGTAGAAGAGGAACTGTTAGAACTTTGATCAAGTGGGCTAGGGTCTGATTGTTTGGTTGTCAACGCGAAGAAAGTGAAGCATAATTGTCGTATCGTACCTTGAGATGATCATATTTGATGATAGTCGAGTCTTCCGTCCGGGTAACCGAGAGTCGAGGTATGGCTGACTACGGCACTGTCAGTACGGTGAGCTTGTTCGCCAGAAATTGTAATGGCTTAAAAGGAATGATAACAAACCCGGCCGGGCTGATGCTTGTGCTTATGGCTAAGTGCAGACCACCAACAAGCGGCACATTTGGTTCAGACGACCATGAGCTCCAAGACTAGAGGTTATGCTTTGACTCACACATGCTCCGACGAATGCGACCGTCCCTGCCACGGTTACCAAGGCTTGCATCCGTGTACCAGCTCGTTTGGCCATGACGGGGTCGGGAGGAAGAGCTTCTTGGTCGGGATATACGGGAAGCCTCTGTATGTGCTCGCACCTCTCCTCGCTCCCTCCTTGCCTGCCTCCGCCAGTCTCTCACTGCCGATATTGAGCGCAGGTTCGGTACTGATTGCTCGACGAGTGTAGCCTAATCATATCTAAAATGTACCCCGGGAGTTTGATGAAGTGCAAACGTCATTTGATGTGGTTGGAATGACGTGTCACGTGCCTCTCAAGACTTGGCACGTGAGTGAACTCAGCCTCGTCAGCCTCGTGAGCCCAAACTTTTCTCGGCGGCTGTTGCACCGAAGACGACCCTATTACCTAACCAACCTCGCTCAGAGTCTTCCCACCAGCATGTCTCGGCTAATCAGCTGAATAGCGTACAAGACAAATGCCATGTATGGCTCGGGACCTTGAGCAATCTCAGGTCTCTTGGTCGCTTCTGAGATCGCGAAGGAGTGCTCCAATCGAAGCGATTATCGTGAGCACTTCTCAGTCCCGCACGAGTCCAGGGGAAACGCTTCCGGAAAAGAAAAGAATTGAGCGATGCCTCTGCCACCACTTCTTACAGGCCATGTGTGTGCCATTACCGGCGGTCTAACGGGTATAGGAAGAGGTATCGCTGTGCTCTTCCTTTCACATGGAGCAAAAGTTGCCATCAACTACCTTCCATCACACAACAAGAACGAAGAGAACTTGCTTTCGTCCCTCCGAACCGAAGCATTCGATGCCATCAAGAATCGATCAACTGCTTCCTCTGTAAACAACCTCGAAGACGTACCTCTACTGACCTTCGCTGGCGATGTGTCACAGCCTGAAGCTGGTCAAGAACTTGTCGCTCAGACAGTCACAAAGTTTGGCAGAATCGACACCTTCATCTCTAATGCTGGGATCTGCAAATTCGAAGAGTTCCTGGAGATATCACCCGACTCCTGGCAAAGACACCTCAACACCAACTTGTCAGGCGCCTTTTACGCTGTGCAAGCAGCAGCTCAACAAATGACGAAGCAGGTACCTCAAGGTGGTTCCATTATTGGAATTTCCAGCATTTCCGCACTTGTCGGAGGTGCACAACAATGCCATTATACGCCGACGAAAGCGGGCGTCTTGTCCCTCATGCAATCAACAGCTACCGCGCTTGGGAAGTACAATATCCGCTGCAACGCTCTTCTGCCCGGAACAATTCGGACCCAGCTCAACGATGAGGATCTTGCGGATGGGACCGACAAGAAGAAGTATATGGAAGGGCGGATTCCGCTGGGACGGCTGGGCAAGCCAGATGATCTGGCGGGGCCAGCATTGTTCCTGGCATGTGGCGAACTGTCTTCGTATGTCACGGGAGCGGCCATACTGGTGGATGGAGGAGCGTTTGTCAATTTTCAATAGCCTCGAGATCGAAATGTGTAAGATCTGTCCGAGGTGATTATCTCATGTGGTCCAGATATTATAGGCCTCTGCAGCCGTGTTCGACCAAACACGTGTTTGTTCTTCGGCAGTCAGACCTTGAGACTTGAGTATTGCGCTGACGAACATCCGCCAATGTTGCCATGAAGCCTGAATACCCGGGCCACCGACGGTGCAAACGGGCCAGTCCGACCCGTACATGATTCTGGAAGGCCCAAAGGCTTTAAAGACAACGTCTACCCATGGTTTCGTGCGATTTACCAGGACTGAAACATCGGTCGGTGCATTCATGCTCTGTGGTGGAAGTTCCGAAAACAAGCCTGACAATTTCATGTATGTTGAGTTATGATTCGACATTTTGTAGACGCAGTCTTTCCACCTTGTAAAATCTGCGTGTCCTTCCAAAGCTTCACCTGCCGTCAAGCGTAAATCGGGTTTGCAGAAGTGATTAATGATGATTCTGAGCTGGCTCCCTCCGGCGTACACTGTGTCCATCATCTCACAAGCCTCCTCCAATTGATGCAGTCCACCAGATCGGGCATCAACCCCAAGGTCGAACGTGAGGCCATTATTGGCCAACCATTGCAGGCCTTCAATGAAGTGCTGATGCAGCATAACCCCAGAAGGCTTGTCTTGGACCAGGTACCGAAAGCCTTTGACGATATCCCACTTCTCTCCGCAACGCTGCCGAACTTGGTTCACATATGCTGATAAGGCTTTCTCGCCAGCGGCAACAGGGGCCCACGGGACGATACCGAGGACGAGTCTGGCATCTTCCGGCTGATGGCCATCGTCGTCTTGAGGAGTACCTCTTCCAATCCTCACCAAGAAATCGACCTCGTCCAGAGCATCTTGCCATTGTTTCTCGCCTAAACCAGATTTGCGGTCTGTTTCCAGAAACACAAATCCAAGAAGGTTCGGTGTGTCCCGTGTGGCTGCTTTGTACTCCTCAACAGAGCATTGCCGATTTAGTGGGTGTTCTGCTGGAAGATCTGCCGTCCAATTCAAGGACGAGATATGGGATGCAGGGTAGAGATGTATATGCGAATCTATGATGGGGAAGTCACAATTGACGGTATCTTGAGCTGCCATGTTGGGTGGATTCAAGCGTTGTGTTGCACTCAACGAGAAGCTGAACGCCAGAGTACATACTAGGACACAGACCTCCAAATGAACACAACATATCCTTCGCTTTGATTAGACTGCCACATCGCCCAGATTCATCCGGCGAGCTCTCCGGTTGGAGATCGTGCTTCGGTATCTCGGTCCAATACCTTCAAGCTTCGGGTGGACTAACTAATACTTGAACCTCAATGTTTCTTTGGGGTAGAGGAGGACTCAATGCCTCTAGGAGGTATCTGCGTAGGGGTGCGTCAGCTGAATGGCTTCGTTCAAAGCAGTCGATAGGCAGAAAGCAGAAATGAAAGGGTGGAATGAAGCCAGCATCGGTCTTCCATGTTGGTGCCATCATGGGCCTGCGTCATTTGAAGCTGCGGCAGAATCGACATCCGCATCCGCAACCATCATGAGATTCTCATTCTCTTTTGTGGTCTCAGCGTCGACTACTGATCTGGTTTGTGCCGGAGTAACTGCTATCGATGATCTCTTGCCAATGGTTATGTGGATTGTTTGATGCTAACATGATGTCTCTCGCGCTTCGATAGCAACCACACGCACGCAGTCCACCCACGCAGAATAGCGAGCGACTCGAATCATCTCAAGATGGACAACTCGCAACATCATGCTCTCCTCTCACCTCCCATGTCTGCAACATCTCCTGCACCGACCACAGCCTCATTCACAAGTAGAAACGCAGATTTGCCCGCCCCACGTTCACACCCGCTGCGGCCTGGCTCGCAGAAGGAGATTGCCCTCATCAATTACCTTGACGATAAGATTCTCATGATCACAAGAAGATATGCCAAAAAATTCAGCGACGAGATGATTGAGAAGGATGATGCTCCGGGATATACCACCTACGACGAGTTCGTCTCGGACGCAGATCCCTTGCTGGATGTCGTCTGGATCAGTGGAACGCGTAAGTTGCACAATACACACCGTCCGTTCTGCATTCTTGTTTTCATGCCGGGTGAATAATGCTTGCGATGACCTTTCTCACACGCGTTGCATCTACTATTCAAGCGAGGTCTTCAGGTCTGATGACATCCTAACCGTCTTGCTATACAGCCACTATCCAAATTGCCTACCTTCTCTCACTGGCAGGTCTCGCCTGTTCTTATATGCCAGCATTTCCGTTCTCTACATCTCTTTTCTACATCACTGCCAAAATCGACCGAGGTTTCACTCTCCTTCTACAAGCCTCTGAAAATGGCAACAACCCAGCTACTAATGCCCACCGGATTTCCATGACAGAGAAAGTCCGAATCAAATCCTTGATTGAAGAGACTCGTATAACGGCCGTCAATGTTGCTTCATCCGCTGGACATTCTGGCGGGATAAGAGATCTCTCTGGGCTAGATACAGAGGATGAAGACGAGGGAGATACAGACGACACGATCGAAGACCATGGAGACGGTACTAACGGCATGTCGATGTCTCTAGACATCTCGAAGATCTACAAGCGCACTTTGGAGATCTTGGGGGATTCACTCCTCGACAGTACCATTCCTCAAGTGCAAGATACCGGAGACATGCCCATGTCCTGAGACTCCAACAAGTGAATTGGGTTTCCAAATTTCCAAGAGCTGGAGTCTGGCTTCACGCCAAGATTCATCCTAAAAGAATCTGCTAGCAATGGAGGGCATTACGAGAACACACATTCGCGAGGAAGCAGTGAGTCGGTCTCTTGCAGCGATGGAGTCTGCCCGAGGCAATGGAAGGCCCACAGGGATATTCAACTGCTCCCCGGGAGAGCACCTGGCACCACAGGATACTACCTGCAGCATACGAACAAGTCCGAAGTGTTTGATCGATGTTGCACGTGGACCTCCAACGGGGTGCCGAGTCTAGCGGTCTGTGAAAGCTTTCGAGGCAACCAATCAGATCCTGCCACGCTGGGCCACCTTGCAATTCACCGACACCATGCACTCAGCGGACCCTATTGTGCATCCGGAAGACTCGATTGATGCCCGAAGAGCTCCAAGTCACACAAATTTTCACTGACATTGTCACTTTCTGCACCGCGAAAAGATCAGCGGCGCTTGGATGCCTGCTAGCGGGTTCCTGCTTCTGACATATAGTTCAAGCTTCAGGCATCTCGACCTTCTTCCTGCTCAAGCAGCTTCAAGTCGAGCAAGATGAGGTGCCTCACGTTTCTCTTTTTCATACAATCCGCTTTCTGTTTCGCCATGACATCACTGTCGATATCAAGCGATGTAAGCCAGGTCACTACCAAATTGACTCTTGCATCAACATCAACTCACTGTGCCGCCCAATGGACACCAACTCCAAGCGTTACTGCGGTACAAATACCGATCTCGCCGTCAGCTGTGGTCACCCTAGCACCGCTGGTAGCCAACCCATTGGAGAAGAGACAGAGATGCTGGGATGATCGCGGGTTTAGTGTCGATTGTGCTACCTGGACCGGGTACTACTATACGTGGGGACCTCCTGGGAATCCTTATGCAGGCGGTCCTGGAGAAGGGGGTGGCGGCTCGGGTGGTGGTGGGAATGGCGCAGCAACCGTGGTTGTTTATCAGAGCGGTACGAGTCGACTGGACCTGCTGAGTTGGCCTGGGATCCTAGGATTGCTTTGTCTCGGTTTTGTCCTATTCCTCTGACCATGATCTGCCACAATTGCGCGACCTCATGAAGTCGGAAGGCAACAGCGATTTCAAACAAAGGGAGGAAACCCCCCATCGAGCACGAATTCTCCAGAAGAGTACACAAGATATCATTATGGGCATGAGGCAGTGATAGGACCAAGCGAAGTGAAATGCCTCCGGTCCTAGCCTTACGCCTGTCACAGGCCTTTCACGCAAAGCCGAGTTTCTTCAAACAGACAATGTCACTACTTTGGCCAGTGAGCAGCCATGGTCTGCCGTTTGACTCTTATTCTTTCCGGATTGTTCAGTGCTAAAAGCCTTTCTTCTCCAACTTTCCTTCCATCCATCCTCACCTCTTTTTCCCAGATACCCAATTCAGAACTCTTTACAGATATTCATCAAGATATATCCAGAGTAACCTCCACCCCTGCTGGTCAGTTCCGCCGCCGACACCCAATCACACGCTCTTTCGGCCGATCTGAATCTTCGAACCTGACCTTGTCCCTTTCAGAAGAGACCACAATTGGAAAGCCAACGCGCAATGGAGTCAGAGACGTCCAACTACGTGCATTGTCGATCTAGTGGGCGGTGGAGACGAAAATCATCTCTTCTGATGCTCTGTCTGGTCGCCGTTCTCACTACTCCTGGTCGTTGTTCTAGGATTGGAGGGACTGCTGTCCAAGTGCTCCCTGCTACGGAGCCATCTGGACCAGGGCTTCGGACACTGACGGACTCAAATACCATACTACACCGCTCAGCTTCTGCCCCCGCAGACTCCATTGCGAGCATAGCTGGTCCATCGATAGTGTTGCCTACTACCCTGGCAACTTCTGAGATTTGGGCCACCTTCTCTTTTATGGATCCCGGTACCATCACTGGAGTTTCATCACCGGCTGACTCACTTGGGGGGCCTACAATTGCCTCGAACTCACTGGACGACACTGTTGTCGCAACTTCAGTGCGCGCCAGCACACCGTTATTGCCCTCTATGACGGCTTCTGCTAGTTCCGTCAACTCGTGGGACACAATCACTCAATCCGCCTCGAACGCTATCCAGCCGCACTCAGCAGCCATGTCCTCTTCTAGCCTTCCATTTCCTATAAATCAGTCGACATCTGCGCCTTCATCTACGGCCGATCTTTCCTTCCAAGCAGCAGCACAAATTCTGACGATATACACAACCACCACGCTGCCAGCGAGTGAGCCTCCAGTCACAAGCACAACGACAGTTACTGAGGTTTCCATAGATCCACTCACAAATCCCAACACGACCGATTTCGTCTCTCTGGCCTCTCCCACTTTTGCTGTATCGCCATTGATCGACACGTCGTCTCCTCCAAGTTCGACAAACCCTGGTACCAGTATTTCGGCTTCGTTGACCGCTCCGACATCTACGAGCACATTATGGGTCACTGGCACCCGAACTCAGACGACATATAGTAACACTACTATCGTGATTGAAACTGCTTCACCTACCGTGGTCTTACCAATGTCGACGAGCTCCTTACGCATCACCAATACCCAAACTCACACAACCTATGTCAATACTACCATCGTGATCGAAGCTGCTGCGCTTACAATGAACCAGTCGGCCTCGGGAATTGAAAGTCGGAGCACAATCGGAGCTCTATCAAAAATCACAGATCCAGCACTCCTGTCGTCTTACCAGACAATCTGGCGACCCACCACCTTTCCGGACAGACCTATTTCAATCATTAACGGAAGCTTATCATCTCCCTGTACTAGGGTTGACACCGTGACCGTCTATGCCACTCCTACAATGGCCACCGTTATGACGCACACGGTCACCGTGACAGGTGCCCAGCCTCAAGCCAATTTGACCAGTGTATACAAGCCAACGACGACAGGTCCCGTAGCTGGCTCTCCAAGTCTCATGGGCACGGTGACGAATTCGTACATGTCTATCTCGTCACCGACTGCGCTTTCGTCGCTTAACTTCTCCTCCATGGTAGCAGGGTACAGAACAGGACATGGCGGATCTACGCCTGCCTCGAGCAGCAGCACAAAGAAGGCCACCACCACGCCCCCGGCGCCTCCTCCTTCAAGCTCCTCCACGAGAATCACTCAATCCACCATGGGGCCGTCTGCAGCGGCAGCGAGTACCGCAACCGGGGTTCAACAATTGGCTCCTCTTGTCCAGAGCCCTACGCCAACGGGTGCCACCACCGCGACGAACAAGAACGGCACGAGTTCGCCAGCGCCGGATCCTGCGGCTTCTTTACCAGGATTCGCTGGTGCACCAACCGATCGCCCTCTGCCCGTACCAGCGACGACGTCTGCATCTTTGAATTTTTCGGCAATGGTTGCTGGTTACAGAACACCTCGTCTTCAGGCCACTGGGGCAATGAGTCCTCGCTCTCTGTTGATACGCGCTGCCACATCAATTGCGGGCCCGTTGAATTTTGATTTGATCCTCGAGGAAAACAAGGCAAAGAAGCCTAGCCGAACTCGAACTTCAACCTCGACTCCAGATCAGACCGGTACGGGCATACTTCAAGTCCGAGACGAGCATAGCACACCCTCCATAGGTGCAGGTGGCCAGCATGCGAGTCTGACGACCAAGACGGAGACTGGGCCTCGTGCCATTCCGCACCGACAAAATGACGCAAGGGGGTATAAGGTCGCAGAGTGGCTCAGGAAGATGTCCAAGCTGTTCACGCCGACACGACCCCGAGAGACTACGTTCGTGACCGTGCCACGTACGGGACGGACGGAAATCCTGATGGCCACGACTACCCAGACTTTGTGATGAGGCACAGGGGGCTAGGGGGAGCAAGTTTGACTTGATGCCACGCTGTGGGGTATGCTGGACGACCGCATCGAAAGTGGAAGCCACACGGTGGTGGACCGTTGCTCGAGTATATCGTTCTATGAGAATTCAATATTCTGCGAGACAGGACTTAATGCTAATTACTTTGTATTGTGCCAAGTTCAAAGCAGGGGGTTTGACGCACGATTGGAGTGTTGATTTATATAGATAGTTCAAGGTCTCTCTCGATTGCTCAACATCGGACAAGCACCCGATAGGATCAGCTTGAGCTTGAAATCAAGAGATGTGCATTCCCAGCCTCAAAGCGACATTCATGCCGGAGATGTGGTAATGGCCTGAAGCACCAGATGTCCCAACCGTTGTATATCGCTCATCTTGTAGTATGAAGTGCACTGGACAGACCACGAAAGCTCCTTTCCTCTATCATGGAGATGTCCCGCGTCTCTATCTGGACCTGACCAATGATTCTTCCAGGCGAGCGCTAGTCTTTCTTATCATTGTCATCCTTGTTCGGCTCGAAATTGAGTTGATTCCCGTTGTAGAACTGCTGGTCCCGCTTCGCACTCTCCGCCCGCTGGTCGGCTAATGTGCGGACGCGCACATTCCTCGCTGCATTCTGTGGTGTCGAAGATTGTCCTTGGGGGTTGGATGAGGCATTTCCCACCGTTGTTGGCTGATTATAACCCAGAATACTCTTCACCCCGCCGAAGACCATTCCTGCAGTGCCGCTGACGAGGTTGTAGCCTCCACTGACAGCAGAGCTGAGGAGTCCTCCTGTCGAAGAACCCGTGTACGATTCTACATAGCCCTTGACAGGAACCATGACGAAAGTACAACTGCCGACGATACCGAGATTGCGCAGTTCTTGATCCTCTTCGGCGGCTTCAATGCTTCGGTTCGGCAGAGGTGTCAGGATGAGTTTGAGATTGTACGGCGCAGTCGTGGTAGACTCGGAATCAATCCAGGGCCGGATGTCCTTCGTTAGGGTGGAGGTGGCTTGGAAGGTAGATCGCAATGTGCTGCCGTCAAAGGTGCGGACTTGCACTCTTACTTCTGTGTTTCTTGTCTTTGATGCAGGCGAGGGTTCAGACGATGGGTGGCCTGGTTCACCTTGTTTCCGCAGTTCGTCGAGGCGTCGACGTTCTTCGCGATCGGCCTTTATTTGTGCCTTGATCCGCTCGCGCTCGTCACGCTGCTTCTGCTCTCGTTCGCGCTGCATCTTGATGTATTCTGCTCGCTGGGCCTTTTGTCGATCGGTGGTCGGTCGATCGGATGGCAAGGATGCTGTATCGTGCTGTTGCGGCTGTGGTGTCGTTGCCACCGGTAGAGGAGCAGGGCTCGGCGGTGCGGGTCGCTGTGGTTGTGATCGAGGAGATACGGTCGACACAGAAGACGACTGTGCCTGGCTAGGTATCCGGAGTCCAACGGCTGGTAGGCGTAAGAGCCTCGAACGTGCATATTCCGATACCTCTCGACGTGCGCCTTCTCTTAGCCGCTTCACCTCGTCATGGAAGATTGGTATATTGTTCATCAGATTCAGTTGAGTCTCGAAAACCTCGGAGGGAGACGTGCTGCCGTCAAGTAGTTTCTGGGTATAGTCCCGCAGGGCGTCGTAGGCATTGTTCGGTAGTCGCATTCCGCCTGTCACAGGTTGTAGATCGAGATACTCAGGTTCTCTTTGAGAAGTTTGCCCTCCCTGCTCAGCGCTGCAAAAGTGTTAGCAGTGCAAATGCTTCTTGATTCGTGTACGTACTTAGATTCGGCGGCCGTTTCATCTCCAGCATCTTCGACACCAAACGTATGCATCAGACGTCTCTCAAGGTCCGTAGTTGAAACCTCGGCAGACTGAAGATTCTCTTGCAACTGCCCATTGCTTATGTCGTTAGTGCGCACCGGCATCCCACCGTTGGAGTCCTTACTTTATCACAACGATCGCAGGTGGGCTGTTTATGGGGCATATGGGGGAAAGGAACCGGGCCTCTGGTGTACCTGCTTCAAGCCTCAGGGCGATTGCTTGCGAGGTCATGGCAGCCTTGACCTGAAGAGGATCAGAAGAGAAGACGCTATATCAGGGGAGCTTCACTCACGGGTTCTCTGTTCAAGACATCCTCCCACTGCGTACTCGTCTCAGACTGGTCTACGATCAGTTAGAAGTGATCTACAGACCACGGTAGATGTCGCACCATGCAAAAAACATAGAACAGCTTTGGACTGCTGAAGAGCCAGGCTTATGCCGTCCCGGATATCGCCTTCGTAAAACATCTCTTGGTCTTCACGGTTGTAAACTTGTAGTCGATGAAGAAGGTGCTGTTGCGTGGATCTTGAAGAGTGTGGAGGCTGCAAGATGACATATGATGGAGAGACGAACGTTCGGAATGCCTTTGGGGAAATTTCCATGCAAGTCACGCCGCAGCTTGGTGCTTCAGACATCAACATCTACATCTACATCTCAACCAGACTTGCAGCATGGCCAAACATGACTTGAAGATACTGCGCGCAGTATTATTTCGGTGCCGAAGGCTGTTCAATGGCCAGCAGAAGCCACCTTCGCGTCATGTAATGACAAGAAAGCCACCACCCAGTCCCGACAACCCGGACTTTGTCTCGATAGTTGACGCTCCAGCAAGGATTGTATCAGTAGGACAGAAGCACTCGAAGATAGGGCTCGCGATCCTCGCAGTCATCCCCATCACAGCATTTTGTCTGGGAACATGGCAGATCCAGCGACTGGATTGGAAGACCAAGCTGATCGCGAAGTTCGAAGACCGACTAGTCCGGCCGCCGCTGCCACTCCCTCCTCGAGTCGATCCAGAAGCAATTCACGAATTTGATTACCGAAGAGTATATGCGACCGGAAGGCTTAGACATGACAAAGAGATGTTGATAGGTCCACGCATGCAGGACGGCAAGGATGGTTTCATGGTCATAACACCTCTAGAACGAGAAGGTGGTAGCACGATACTCATAAATAGAGGCTGGATCAGCAGGGAGAAAAAGTTCCAGCAGGACCGAGACCCCTCGTCCTTGCCTCGAGGTGAGGTCACAGTGCAAGGCCTATTACGAGAACCGTGGAAGAAGAATATGTTCACACCTGCAAATGTCCCGGAGCAGGCCAAATTCTACTTCCCGGACGTGGCCCAGATGGCCCAAGTCTCCGGGGCGGAACCCATATGGATCGAAGAGACAATGAAGCCGGATCTGCTGGTCAGTTGGGATCGAGAGTCGAAAGGAATACCCATTGGAAGAGCAGCGGAGGTCAATCTGAGGAATAATCATTTCCAGTACATATTCACATGGTAAGTATACCTCCGTGGGTATCCAGAGGTTTCGTGTCTCATCAACTCATTAGGTACTCGTTATCTGCTGCCACAACACTCATGATGTGGATGCTCCTCAAAAAGAAACCTGTCGATAGGTCGCGGCGGGTACGCCATGTCACTAATTGGTGATGACCAAGACGAAGCGATCAGGAGTCGTCCTCCCCAAACTCTGCAAGGACTTCTTTCGGGAGCAATTCTCGAGCGGCTTTCTGGAGCTCATCATCACCCTGCAGCACTTTTTGTCGCTGCATCAGCATCAGGACGTCGCTTCGGTCGATGCGCTTCTTTCGTCGAGCATGGTCTGAGTACGCTTCGAGGTCTTCACCAATCTGTTCGAAGAACCATTCCGTTGCTTGCTCGAGGGCCTTCATGTGCTCCCGACCAAGCTTGGGCTTACGATTGCCCAGTCGGCCTTGAGCATCGGTTGCCACTCTCCGGATCAGACTTGACGGAAGTGATGGGACCACTTCCCCATGACGAGTCATCTTGACGTTTTTCCGACGACGCTGTGGTGGTAATATGGCTTCGTCGGTTGTCGTCAACCGGCGCGACGCTTCCTCGGGCCCAAGCGATGCATCCTCTGGCGCCTTGCCAGTTGGATCTTGCTCGTCTTCGATTGATGGTCTGACTCCAGTGTCCGCTAGAGGCTGCTGATGGGTGTAGTTTGAAGTCACCTCTTCGTCCACCATTTCGAATTGAAAAGTCTGGTCCAAGGCAGGCATATGCATGGTACTCTCGTCAGCTGGCGACAGCGACGGGGACTTCTGAAACTTCTCCAGATTTTCCGTTTCGCCGCCAAAATCAAGCGGCTTGTAATCAACCGGTAGCTCGTCATATTGTGGCGGAACCTTCGCATCCATCGTCTGTTCGCGAAGACCTGAGTCTCTTCGAATTTCAAGTTCTGACCCGAAATCGCTCATTCTAATGCTCCCAAAGCTGTAGCGTGACAAACGGCCAGTCGGCTCTTCGCTGATTGCCCTTCTCCCAATTTCTGTCAAGATTGTAGGCTCCTCGTCTGCTTCGTCGGCATTATGCTGATCTGTGGAATAAAACGAGAGCCGCGACCTCTGCCGGTCAATATCTGCTAGGGTGTGACCTGTCCTCACGGTTGCAAAGTCTATCGACTCGAATGTGATCGTCGGATCACTCCCCCGACTTTCATGGTGGTCATCATCTTCGCCTGGTAGTATCGAAGGTGTCGGCGCAACAGGGAGTTCACTATCCTCCTCTTCCTCATGATATGGTGGCGAAACATCATCCACGCTGTCATCTATGTCCAGTGATAGTCGTGGTCTCTTCAAGCCATATTGTGCTTCGACACTGGGACTGCCATCTCTTGCTGGGTCCTTATTTTCTTTTCCTCGTGCAATGGCTGGCGTAGGTATTGTTTTCTTTGTCAAGGGTGCTGTGATCTTGGCCAACTGTCGTAGTATGCCTCTTGCCGAATCTGGTCGGACTTCTTCGCTAAAAGCTCTTCTTTTGCGGTATGATCGTGTCTTTGCGCCGCTTCGCTGCTGGAAAGCACGAAGAGCGTGTGGGGTCAACGGCGCTTGTCGGGCTGGCGTGCGAGAGTTATGCACTTCAGCTAACGGGCGTTTCCGTGAAGACATGATGTTGCCGTGCGTTGCACTCGAGTGTGTAGTAGTTCATGGGGTTTATCTGAGGGTTGCGTTTTGTTGATCGTCCCGTAGAAGAAAGCACCTCGGCGCGTCGCGTTGTTCGCCAAGGCACGTGATTGAAGCGTTATCTAATCGTGGAGCTTGCTGCACTTTCCTCGATTCGATTTGCGCATTGCTATACCATTTACAATGTACAGAATCAGCTGCTCCAATACTGAAGATTTGCAGCCAGATGCAGTCCTCGCTGTGCTGTGAGACCTTGTGGCTTGTAAGAACAGCTGGGATAGTCATGCGCGGAGCTTTGAGACCAATCAAGCCGCTCCCACGCCGGCTCATACCAGTCTCTGTCAGGCATACAACTTCAGACTCCCAAGCCGGCGCGCAACTTCAGCTCGATAACCAGCAGCCACCGTCAGATGTCCAGAAACCGCCTTTCGGTTTTCTCAAGGGGTGCAGATTGAGAACGCCCCATGGTATCTGGGATAGCCGCAATATACACTCGCTATTGCGCGCTCTCGGCGATCATCTTGATTTAGCTCATTCACCAAACATGAAGTTGTTGCCCGGCTTTCAACAAGCCTCGTTCAATCTCCTTCTCAATGAATCCCTTCTATGCGAAGATGGAGCAGATGCACGATATGTGCCTGGTGAAGGCTGGAAATTCCGAGTGTGGGTGGGTGGGCGCATGCATTTCAGCATGCCATGGACGCATTGGAGCATGGAGGACAACAGCGACGTATGTACCGTGGAGAAAGTGTCCGATATCAAGATCACCGGTGATCTTGCTAATGAAGATACCAAAGTCATGATTACGCTGACAAAAGATTACTTTCCGGGGCAAAAATTTCAAAACAAAGGATCCTTCAAGTGGTCGCCAAAGAAGCACACGTTGCCCTACGTGACGGAGAAGAAGCACCTCTGTTTCATGAGGAAGGTTCCTGCTTCTCTGAGATCTGTCGACGTCCGGCGTAAAATTGCGCCGCCCGTCGAACCATTCCACGCTCAAACCATGGTACCTTCGCCAGCATTGCTATTCAGGTTTAGCGCTATCTCCAAGAACGACCATAGGATTCACCTTGACACCGAGTTTACCCAGCGAGTATATGGTATACCAAAGTTACTTGTCCACGGTCCCCTGACTGCCGTTCTTATGCTCGAAGTTTTGAGGAAAGGCCTTGAAATCTACGCAGGTGCAGGACCTTCCACTTATGCAGTCGAGCATTTTCAGTACAAAAACCTTATGCCTCTTTTTGTCGACGAGAAGATTACTATCGCCTGTAAGAAATCGGACACTTCCAACTCAGACGACGAGCAGTCCACATCGAAGCCAGCCGGGCCAGAGGAACGATGGCAAGTCTGGATCCAGAAGGGAGAAGGCGAAAACACCACCCTAGCCGTGAGAGGAAAGGCTATAGTTACAGTTCACAGCAAGGAGGGGAGATATGGGGTTTAGCATGCAGATAACGAAGAGGCAACCGCTGCCAAAGGTGTCAGCTCTATGAACAAGCTAGCGACTGCCGCTGAATGAAGCCATCTTTCGCCATTGCCAGGCATCATGCCAAGGCCTATCGATTCCTTTTCTCCCAACACCCACTCCAGCGAACCTCGGTCCTCGATATCCAAGATTCTCGGGATGATGCTATCAGACCATCGGGTCAATGTAGGAGCTCTTCTTCGACACAATGGAGCAGCAGCGGCTGGACCTTCTTCACGGTGTGTACCGCAACTGCAAAACCAGCACGCCTTCTCTTAGATGGACAGCTGCCGGGAGGTCAGCATCGGAACCATCTCCTGTTCTCCTGTTGCATCATGTCGACTGTAATCCCAGCTGCTTTCAGCAGGTTCATACGTCGTCTCAACATTTTTCCTTCTTCTTTTGGGTCTCTTGCGTGGGCCAGATTGACCAGGAGGTTTCCACACTGGATCGAGGCATCAGCTGTTGCGGCCAAGCCGGCTGAGGCATAGTGTTGCAGCTGAGCAAGCTTGTCTTTGAACGATGCTTTGCCGAGGCCAATTAAGCTCTTCGATGTGAGCTGTTGCTCGCCTAGCCAAGCTTGCAACAAACTGTCCATTCTTAGAGCGTTGAATTGCGCTCTGTCGAAATACCTGCTGTTGGCTTCATTCACGGCGCCGATTGTCTCATCATATGTGCCAAAGGGATTGACATTCGAGACCTTTTCCACCCTCTCCGCCAAGTATTTCTCTAGCGGGATCACCGTGTCGAAGTGGCCATATTGTCCGTTCGCCAGGTCGATGATGAAGCATTCAGGGGCCTGTCTGAGCGTTGCGCGAAAGGCCAGATGAGAGAACCCTTTCTTCACAACGGTTCCATACACATACTCCACATATTGATCGTTGGTGGAATTCCGATTGAGGCATTTTGTGATCCAAGGAGGATTCTTGACAATGACGCAGACTTCATCAAATCTGGTACACACGTCTTTGGAAGAGGAGTTAGCTGGAAACCATCCGAGTAGAACAGCTACTCTACTTACTGGAGAGAATGTCACGGACCAATTTTCTCATGTTGAACAAGGCGTCTCCACATGCACTCGTGTCCAGTACTGCTTGCTTGACCTTTTCGTCTGTGAATAGATGATGCGGGAAAGGGCCCTTGCATAGGCTTCCGCTTGTCTCCCAGAATTTTACAACATTGTCATGAACTTCAACTCGGTCGATCTTGGTTCCAAAGCTATACGCTCGGGAAAGGTTCCAGAGCATGCGGAGAAGGCTTCCTGCTTGGTACAAAGCTTGATGAGTCTTCAACTTCCTGCATAGCACTTTGTGCACGGCCCAGTCTGCCTTTTGGCAGTCGGTTCCACAATAATAAGTCCTGTCTGCGCCTTCGACGAATTCGACACCATCTTTGCAACCTGCACATAGCTTGGAAGTTTCGATACTGCAATGGGCGCAGATGCCTGAGGCAGTCTCGTGGCGATCTGCCATGGTGTAAATGCTCTTCCGGACTACCTCTTGGGGGAAATGCAGGCTGTATGTACGCAGGAAGATCTGCGGAAAGGTGAGAAAGGTGATAAAGGTGATCAAGTAGGAAAGATGTTGAAATGGGAAGAGGTGATGCAGTGAGAAAGACTGTGATGTGGGAAAGAATCTAACGGGAGTAAGACTCTGAAGTGAAAGAGACTCTGAAGTGAAAGAGACTCTGAAGTGAAAGAGACTCTGAAGTGAAAGAGACTCTGAAGTGGAAGAGACTCTGAAGTGAAAGAGACTCTGAAGTGAGAAAGATTCTACGTCTCGAGATGACAAGAGCTCATTGAGACAATGGCAACGGGGAACGTTTAGGATGAGATCTATGACAAGAGCAGTGACCGGATTGTGAGCATGTTTATGAATCAGAAGGTACAATACGGAGCAGATTCATCTATCTGCTTAGCAGGAAGTTCAGGTTACACAAACACAGTCGGCACTCTACCAGGTATGCTATCTGTTTGCTGCTTCTCCTGTTTGTGACTAGCTTGGCGGCATCAACATCCTCTTGTTGGACATAGCAATTCGCCTCTCTGCAGGCCAGTTTGGTAAAGCTCATGGCATTACCGCTACCCGATGGGAAGGACGTATCGTCACAGTTGTCGATCATCATGCACCCTTCGCATGCCGGAAGAACATGAGGCACTAACACACGTGTTGGCAATCGTGGTGCATTGAACTGTGCGAGGGCTGAAATATCTGAAGCTACTGTTGGTGAGATAGTGGGAGTAAACAGCCAGGCAGTAAGCATATGTCCATTTCGTCTTCTATATCTACCAGGTTTACTCTATACGCCGTACTCGTGCTTCAAAATGGCCCGGCAAACCAAACGGCTCAGGGCTTTTCAGACGTGCTTCCACCCATTCCAGATCAAAATATGCTGCTCGTCAATGATACAAAGCTCACCCGTCTCCTCGCGCTTCTCCAGCGAATTCGCGCCCTCTTTCTTCCACCGCTCGACTTTCCGCCCGACTTCCTTCATCATTTCTGACACCGCGGGCACTACATTTCGCAGAACCCGATTCGCCCATACCCCCTTGACATACTGTGTTCCTGAGACAAATTTTCGCTCCGGCCCGTCGTGGGTCAAGTTGTACGCGCGGATCGTATACCCAACGCGCACAGCGGGGTTGACATAGACGCCATTCCCGCCGAGTTTCATGGCTGTCATGTCTGTGTGGATCAGACAACACTCGCTGGCCTCGAGGTGCTTGCTGGCCAGACTGTCAGATAGCGCGCGAAATTGAAGACCCTCGTAAAACGGGCCCGCGTCGATGGCGATCATCCCGTTCCAGCAGGACTGGACTTTCGCTGCGTGGCCGGAGAGCAGCGACTCGCGAGAGACTTGGGACCGGAAGTATGGGAATGTCGTGGTGAGCGTTCCGTAGCCATCGGAGTCTCGCAGGGCGAAAGTGTCATAGTATGCGGGTGGGTAGTGGAAGTCTAGCGCGCATGCGGCGGAGTAGGAGCCTTGGTTCGTGGCTAGGAGGGAGAGGACATCACTGGGCCGGAAGACGACGTCGTTGAGGAACAGGATTTTGTCGAAGGTTTGACTGGGGGATTGGGATTTGAGATTGAAGAGCGGTTCGAGCGATTTGTTGCGTAGGCGCGCGAGGTAAGGAATGCGGCGCATCTCTTTGCCCACGCCTACGGTTGTCGTTTGGATCCATCCCGGTCGTGGGTTTCCCAGGTCGTCGAGTGGGCCGGCATTGACTTCGTCGGCATGGGTGGTCGGGTCGAGGATGATAGTCCGAGGGATGTTGTTCTCGGCGAGGACGCCGTCAAGGACGCGTAGGATGTCTTTAGTGTTATCTAAGCTTCCGCTTTCGTAAATGGATACGTATACATTCTCTTTGCCCAGTACGCCGACGAGGTCGATGAGAGCCTGGCCCCAGCGGTCGTGGATGACTGCAGCATTTGTCCAGAATTGAGCGACGATAAAGATCTTTTGGTTCTGCACGGGGGACGGTAGGTCCGAGAAGTCGCTGTACGTGTGGGAAAGGAGGGTGCGTGAGAATGCACGGTAGTGTTTGAGGATAGTTAGTAGGTCGTAGGTCAGGGCTGCGAGGGTGAGGTACAAAAGGGCGCGGAGGAGGCGCCGTTTGCGTGAGCGGCGGTAGGTCCGGAGGAGCATGGCCGGTAATGAGTTGTATAGAGGAACGTGTTGTCGCTCCCGCTCTCCATTTGCAGATGTAGCATGGCGGAGAGCGTGAGGCTGCGCTGATGAGTCTCATGCAAGATGCGACTTTGACGTGCCTTAGTAAAGGCTGAAGTGTACTTTTTCAGTGGAGTTCGGAAAAGGAGGTGCGTAGCCGGAGGAGGCCGTGCGAGGCTAACTTGGGAGTTGACGGGAGCCCCTGATGGCCAGGCTGAACTTCCAACACCTTTGCATTACTGCTATATTCACGCCTCAATGCTCAGAGGGAATCTGGGTCGATGATAGGGCTATGGCTACGTCTGTTGGCTGCAACACTCCCGTCAAATCGCCTCATGCTACGTGTTCTGCTCCCTGATAGCATCATCAAAGCAGACGGGTCTAATTCGATCTCCAGCACAAGCCAGCGTAGGCGATTGTCAGCCTGAAAGATATCCAGGAATAGGGATGGTCTCTCTTTTGAACGGACACTATGTAACTGCTGCTCCTGCTTCGAGCGAACAGGTTGCTAGCAAAGAGGCTGATAGTTCGAAAGCGCAGCCTTCCGACCTTGAAGGTGTGGCGGTGCGAAGTCAAGTACAGCAGGTGTGTTTCTCAATGGTGACCGAGCCAACAGGTGTTGGTACGGCTATGCACATGACCATGCTATGGTAAATGGCCGGCAAGGCTACTTGCAGTATAGATGGTGATGGAGCAAACGACAACCAACACACCGAGAGTGCGTAGGCCAATGACCGCCCTATTGGTCGGTCAGCCCGACTCGTCGTAAGCAGCACAAATCTGCCTTCGAGCCAGATCTTTTCCATATAATAGGGCATCTTTCCGTTCCTATCGAACACAGGCCAAGAAGTTGTCCGACTGTAGCAAACATACAGGTATCGGTGGCAATCACCATCATCCGTGCGGTGGAGAAAAGAAGGATCGCAACGAAGGCCGACTGTTACGACATTCGTCTGCTCCTAGCAGGATTGAAAGCATTCCCTATACTACACTAAACCATGGCGAAAAGGAGAACATCTGGGAGAAGACATTTCGAGTACATCGCTGTTTTCTGCTAAGAACCAGCCCGACCCGGAAGGAAGGTACCAACCACTTCGGCGGACACACCAGCGTCTGCAGCCAGGCTACATACACACACCACTCCAAGACTACCATCCATACTCTCGAAATTGCACCCGGCTGATCCTTTATCATTGCCAGATCCTGCATTGGGTTTATGATTTGTCAAACTTCTACTTCCGTACTCATTCTGTGAGATCATCGAGCCAGTCCTGAATCAGGCTATACCGTTCAATATCTCAAAATGAAATCCAGCTTGCTCGTGCTTGTCCTTCTGGTCCTGGCCGTCTCCATCGAAGCAGCTGCCGTGCCGACAGGTACAAATACGCTCAACTTGAACAGCGACCAGACATCGCAGAATGCCTCCGCAGCCACGCAACAACTCCAGCTCAACATTGACCCTGACATTGTCAATCCCGACTGTGGCGGAATTTACCCTGCCAACCTCAATGTCAAGTACGGACCTGATCCATTCTACCTCAGCAATGTCTGCCAACAAGTCTTGAGCTTCATCGGCGGCAACAAAGGCAAACAAAACGTCGACATCGTCTGGACGTGCCCCGGAGAACGTACAAATGGTACGGGCGATCGTGACACCTTTGTCATCTTGAACACTCCAGCGAACAACGTTCTCAATGCCAATGTTGCTACTCAACAAATAGCGGCAGACATGGAGATACACAGGATGTCGGACGGATTCTTCCTCTCTGCGGATGTTTTGCTCACTGCCAAAGTTGATGCTTCAAAGGGCAAGGCGACCTTTCAGTTTATCTTCTGTTGAAAGAGGAGGGATGTCAATGAAGCCAGGGGGTCTGTTGAGTATCAAACAAGACCATGTGGTCGATTGAGATTGTCGCGTTTCTGGATCGAGCCCTGCCAGGTGGAAGCAGTAGTAAGATGAGCTTAGGAGGGCATCGAGGAGAGCGATGGTTGATTCGAGTTATCGTCGTTCGTAGTAGATGTATTGTGACCAGGGTTCCACAAAATAAATGTCGACGCTCGGTTAGAGCTGGACTGCCATTCAAATGAAGATATCCATCAGCTCGTCCATCTGGTGCCAGTCTGCCTTCCTCGAAGACTTTCAGTTCATGAATCCCGTCCTACCATGAGATCTTCAGACGAGTCTATCAAGCAATTGCCTCCTTCTTCTGTCGACGAGCTCTTCTTGAACTTCCTCGAGCGTTGGCAGCCGCCATGGCACTCCATCGCCTGCATCACCAGGTAAAGGCTCCCATTCCGCATCATCATCTTCTCCTTCAGCCAGTTTTGACACGCGCTCCATTGCCTCCTTTTCTTTTCGTCGCTCATATTTCAAAAGAGAGCCGTCCTCCTCGTCAAGTCCAAAGCCGAAATATCTCGCATCCAGATTTTTCCGATTGATATCATGCCCGGGTCTAGCTTTTCCGCCCTCTTCATCCTCGTCGGCGTGCACCTTTCTCTTCACGGCTCGTTCGAACATTTCCTTGACTCCAGGCAACTCTCGCGCTCTCCCGAAGTACCTATACCCCTTCCCTCCACCAGGGACCTCTCTACCCTGGTCATCAAACACCGTGCCTCCTCCACGCATGTAATTTGGCCCGCCTAGCTCTCTTATTCTTCGCTCCCAACCCCATTTCTCTTTCATGAGTTTATTGATCTCGTCATTCAGGTCTCGTATCTGGAAGTCGGACAGACTATCGTCCTGGATTTTCGTGACTTTACGCGACACTTCTTTCAGGATCTGGCCGCGCCATTTTTCGCAGAGAGGAATCGTGTTGACTGTGCTTGGAGCCTTCGGCCGGCGTTGACCAGCACTGGGCAGAAGTCCTGACTCGGCGGCTTGAGCGGCGCGGAAGCGAAAGAGCATGGACTGCGCTTTTTCTGAGTTACGCGCCATCGTGAACGAGTGTCGGATATAGAGGTTTCGCGGGTTAGTGTGTTAAAGGTTGAGGAGGTCGAGGAACGGGTTGTTGCACAAGACAGTGCGCGGCGTTGATCGCGAGCTTCGCTGACCGTATAAGTAGGATTAAATGTTTTCTAGCTAAGCCAAGCCGTGTTCAGATGAGCTTCTCCCCCAAAAGGTTCGACGTCGCAATGAAGAAGAATAATGCTGGCGTCGCATCCTCAACTGCGGAAAAATTGATGCGGAGATCGTCACTTTACAAAACTTGGGGCCGTCGAGTTCTACTTATCCTCGTGTGCCGTTCTTTGAGACTTTACCTCTCGCTGGGGAGTGGATTCCACATATTGCTATGATATTTAGGACGTTTCTGAGACTGGCAGTCCCCATGGTGCGGATATCATAGCAGAGGCGTCTGGCTGTCCCGTTAATCACACCGATATAAGCTGCGAGAGCCTCTGATATTCCACTGTCCACCATGTCGCAATGGCTACAACGACACACCTCTCCAACAGTTCAGCTAAGCCTTGCAGCAGCCCTTGGAGCTATTGCTGCTACCTCAGTCATATTCACAGCTACATCCATACGCCGCCGTCGGATTACTGAAGAACTGAAAGCCTCCATACCCGACATTTCAAAAGAACACCATGCGACGCCATTGACAGAATATGGCGCTGCTATGCGCCCTAGCATTACCAACAAGGAGGACGAACGGGCGGCGCAGATCGCAGCGAGGGCACGAAAGGGTGACTTCGACGAAGAGCTCATACTCGAACAGCTTGCTCGGAACAGGGTGTTCTTGAAAGATGAAGGGCTGGCGAAACTGCGGGACGCATTTGTCGTGGTCGTCGGGCTTGGTGGTGTGGGAAGTCACTGCGTAGCGGCTCTGGCAAGGAGCGGAGTCTCCCGGATCCGCATCATTGACTTCGACCAGGTCACCTTGAGCAGTCTGAACCGGCATGCTTTGGCGACGTTGGCAGATGTTGGCACACCCAAAGTTCACTGTGTGAGGAAGAGGCTGGAGCAGATATGCCCTTGGGCAAGGATCGACTGTCGGAACGAGCTGCTGAGCTCGCAGACGACAGAGCCATTGCTTGCGAAGTGGGACTTTGAAGTCCGAGATGACGAGGACTGCAAGGAGCCTGATTGGGTCGTTGATGCGATTGATAACATTGATTCCAAGGTCGGACTGCTACATTATTGTGCTCTCAAGGGCATCAAGGTCATCAGCTCGATGGGCGCAGGCTGCAAGAGTGATCCGACCCGAATACAGGTTGGAGACATTTCAACTAGTGTTGAAGATCCATTGTCCAAGGCTACGAGGCGAAGATTGCGGGCCAAAGGAATCAAGGATGGCATTCCAGTGGTGTTCTCCACTGAAAAGCCTGGCGAAGGCAAAGCTGAATTGCTGCCAATTGCAGACGAGGAGTATGAGAAAGGCAACGTCGACAAACTTGGTGTACTACCCGAGTTCAGAGTCAGGATATTGCCAGTCCTGGGCACAATGCCCGCTATGTTCGGATATACCGTGGCGAACCATGTCATGTGCAGCATCGCTGGGTATCCGATGGACTATCGCGTTGGGGAAAGGGGACGCGAGAAATTGTACGATAGCATCCTATCGGGCTTGCAAGGGCTGGAAGAGCGCCTTGTCAGGTCTACACCAGGCCAAGACGCTGTTGGCCTGCGAATACCGATCAGTCGGGAAGACGTGGCTTATCTCGTGGAAGAAGTCTTCAGAGGTAGGAGCGTCGTCTCCGGCCTAGGAAACCGACTCGCTTTGACTAGATGGCGGAAACCCGCTGAAGGCTTCCGAGTCGATGAGACCTATTTGAAAGATGGTCAAAAGATGATCAAGCTGCCGATGGCAGACCTCGTACTCATGACCAAAGAGGAAGCACAGAAACATGAAAGGGAGGTGCTCCGTGGCAGTACTGCGCCGGAAGACCTCTACGAGCCGGCTGTCTTGAATACAGTCGAACGCAGGCATCGTGAAGAGCTGGCGTACGAGAGGTACAGGTAGTCACTCCGCTTCTGGATCTCAAGACACCTTCAATATCAAACGCGTGTCGCCAAAGGATTGTCTCAGCTGCTCCTCAATACCAGCAATTTCACTTGAAGCAAGATCCATCATCCTCAATGTCGCCGTTCTTTCAATTCCGAAAGTCCATGTCCGAAAACTGTGCCAGATTTCGCCGGACCACGACCAATCGAAAACCTGACTGCTCTCTGGTCTTGGAGTGTCACTTGCATGGTAGGTCTCAAATTCCATGTTTCTTCCTCGAAACCGTGCACTGTGAACCCTTCGGTGGACCACTGGGTGAGTCAGGACTTGCTCGTGCGTGACATTTCGCGGTGACACAGTCTTTGCTCGTAAGCAAGATCCCCAACATCGTGTCCCTGAAAGATATTAAGTATGCCCTCATGTCCTTTCGACTACTTCCCATCCATATTCCTCCGTGACCTGATCTCAGCACACTCAACCGAAGGCGCGATCCCCTACTTTTGCTTGACTTTTATATATACACCTGCATACTTTGCTCCACTGAAACTCCCTAACACTTGGCTTCACCTATTCGTGCAAAGCAACCCTTGCTTGCCATGAATTTTTCCATCGGAGTTTGGATTGCTTGTATGGTGGATGGTTTATCATGAGAGCCGCGACGACATCCCGCTGCTGACACCCCTGGGCGCGTGTGACCATGGAAATAGTCAATGGCACGGGCGCAGGCGTTGTCTCTGCGAATGCAGAACATGCACAAGGCCCAGCGCATCGCATCCAAGTCGCACGCGTCTGCTCTCTCTTCGCCGCCGATCACTTTCGCTCCTCTAGAGGCGATTGGTGTAATGTCGACCCTGTGCCTGAATAAAAGCGCCGCACGAGAATTCAATACTGGAAGTTGTCTTTGGAAGTGCTAGCACTTCTACTGCTTGACCGGTCTTGGAGATTCTATCGTAGGCGGAGAACGACGAAGAAACTTAGGGCAATCATGGTATACACCCATTTACCTCCGGAAAAAGGCACATTTGCAGCCACCATCATCGAGCCAGGGCTTCCAGGCTGGGTAGTTGTATGAGTTGTCGTAAGCCCCTCGAGTAGCACTCAACAAGGCTCGGCAACCAGGTGCTTTCAAATTCAATCCTGACCAGGGTAGCAAGTTGTGTGAAGAAGCTTGGATACAAGGTTCTGCGATTTTCAAGTCCATCCACAATGTTCAACTTCGTGCTTGATGTGCTCATGGTCTTCCTCTGGCACATCGAGCGTCTTGACGTCCAACATGGACGTCCAATAAAAGATCTCCGTTATCGAGATACCGTCATCCCGATCAGGACGAAACCATCGTCTTTCTGCATATGAGTTTTGGCTTATGGACTGCTCGGTATGTCCTAGCCTGCGGCGAAGCATCATTGATGGACGGTTCTGGCAATTTACAGACATTACAAACTGCCACGCCAAAGTGGCATGGGCAACTCTCGCGAGACACCGATGAGATACCATCACCACTGTCCAACTCCTGGATGCTCATACAGCACGTACCACTCCCAGCGTCTTGAAGAAGGGGGGCGCATCGAACGTATTCGACCTCTCGAGTCCTCCGACGTTCACAAAAGCCTGCACTTAGCCGACACATATATTATGGCGCTGGATGCCCGGTGGTCCTCATGGTGCGCGTGATTCGATGGAAGTCCCTTACAGAATGGACAGATAAGCAACCACTTTTCAACATGCTGGAGGTTTGGGAACAATTGCACGCACCACCTGTAAAACGACCAGTCTACTAGTTCACCTTGATTGTCAACCCTACCAAAGCTTCTACTGCAGCCTACAGAGCATTCCTGTGGATCTCGACGCGCCTCTGTACAACATGGCCCAACCCAACATGGGTGGCATCCGCGCCGTTCCCGGAGATGTATGTACTGCTTCGTCACCACTCCACAAAACCACTGACATGCAATTCAGGCCGAGTCGCTGCGGACCTCGCATCATTCCCATTCGAACGCATTTGGTTAGCGCTCGAGCAAGCCAACCAAGACGTCACGCCCATTCAAGCACCGACCCGCTATGAGGAACTTGTTCTGGTATATGGCGACAAGTTTTACTCAAGCTAAGAATGAGGGACAGAGTGCCATAGCGGATGCTCTTCTCGAAATCGACCAGTAGCTTTGCCCAGTTGGCTCCTACGTCGTTCGGGAAACGCAAAATCTCTACGAAGAGATCGACAATTACTGTGCAAGCAACAACCTCGATGCGGACAATCGGAATGACCGCTGCAGGGCTCGACAAGGCGACACAATATAACCAATGAGTCGCTCATTCCCTCACGAGGCATACGAGATACCATGATCGGAGATCAATAGCCTGTCGGGTTGGAGGCTGCTTCTTCACGAGCAGGATTGAGCTTAGCATTAAAGCCCACGTCCGAAAATTGCACAAGGAACTATGGTTTGAGATGAAGCGTGAGAACCGCACACCGAAAGAATGGTCGGAGAAAGCAACTCCAAAAGGCGCACAGCGATCGAGCCAGAGCATAATCCTGAGCGACGATCTTCCAATTTAGCATCGTTTCCAACCTACAAATGCAGCCAGTTTCTTCTACTTAGATGGCATGTTACTCGGAATCCGGTAGACGTATAGCTACTGCTTCACTCAACCTCTGGGATTGCTGCCAACCTTCACGACCCAAGCTCACTTTCATACTGCAGAGTTGCAAACCCTGTTCGCCGTGGCGCTATGAACTCGCGAAGCTTCTTGTGCGCGGCGCATTGCTTGTCGTAATAGTCGAAATCTTCTCTCGACTTGAAGGTTGTTACCGCGATCAGGGTGTAGCCTTGAGCTCGTTCTTCGGATGCGTTCGTGACTCGGGTGGCCTCGTTAGATACGATGTATGGCGCTCCATCCTAGTTGATGATCTCGCGGTTAGACCTTTCTTGGAGGGACCGAGAGCATGTCGAGCGTTTTCACGGCTCATGGTCCTCGTGTGATGGTGGAATTACCTTCTGAGCACTGGTTCGCATTGTCCCATACTCCGCAATGATGGCATCGATATCTTCCTCCTTCGGAACCTTGAAGAGGGTGACTCGCTTGACGTATTTTGACGACATGATGAGAAGACCAATATGTTGAAAAGCGTACTCTTGAGACCGTGTGCTTCATTGACGTTTCGTTCTGATATGAGGATAACCACTGCGGCGATAGCAGAAGAAGTATACATATATGGCACGGTGCATCTTCCGGGACAGGGGCGGAACCCCTCCGCGATACACCCATGCGACCTCGGGTAATATTAGTGATATGGCTCGTTTGGAGAATGCGAGTATGTGATTCACGAGAGCCTTCATGTGGAGAACTGAATACACCCTTTTCGACCATCATAGGGCTCGCTAATTGTGAATCTACCGCTGGGCAAGTTGGCTAACATGAAGCCGCGACCTTCACTATTCGAAGGCTAGACATGGCCAGAAGGTCCTTGTAGTTTCGGAGAGACGTTACCAGCAGGCAGGACCAAAGTGCTCATGTGCTAGCTGGGGTCTCAAAAGATTCTATGTATATTGGTCGTATGGCTTTGAGATCGTTCTGTAGAGAAGAGCCCAAGCGACATATCAATGCGTGCGGCGGCATGCTTCGATCCTCCCAGCCTAGGTTGAACTAGCCATTCCTGACCTGCAGGCAAGGTGACCTGAAGACTACCGTCCAAGAAGAACAGAACATAAATAGGCCAGTCGCCTAGCCGTAGGGATGGCCGATTCGACCATCATTGCTGTACTGTACGCAGGAGGTATTGGAGAAGTCACCCAGGATGTCAGGCCAGCATGAGTCTTGGCGTTGTTGCCGAGTTTGCAGCAATTTGCCGCCGAGCCGCCTTCGATCAAGTCCGATTCTTGGTCTTCCGACCGCATTATCACCTCATACACACCTCCCTCTGCCCGCCGCTGGCACATCTCCTTGGACAACGTGTCCATCCTTTCATTTTTTCCTCGTTCAGCGGCCACATGTTCAACTCTTCATTGCGCCGAGTGGCGCGGACATGCTCGAGTGGCTCAACAGTGCCTTCGCGCCCAACGCAGCCATCGATAGCAACCTTCAGCTCTCACGCTCATCAACGGCGGCACTCATCTTCCAAGCCGCCCTCCCCTCCCAACAATGGCTCCTCGGCTCTCCCAGCAGCATCCGTCAAGCAAGTGGGAGCACCGCGATCAGACACAAAGCGACCGGGAGCGGAGTCACGCTTATCAAAGAAGAGGAGTTCTAAAGACAAATTAGATGCTAAGCAGGAATCACAAGATGACTGGACATCGAAATTGCCTTCTGTGCCCAGTTTGCAACATTTGAATCCAAAAGGTAGTCTGCATTTTATACTGCCAAATTCTTCGGCTAACCCGGACAATCAGATATCTACGTAGCATCCTTCTTCTCCACCCATCGACCAGTCTCTATAACAGGTCCAGTTCCTATCGAGACATCCATCGAGGCCATCGACAGGATCTTCCAACCGAAGCCCAAGTCAAAACCACGCATCGCCCCTCAAGAAGTCATCTACACCCTCTCATCTGCCGTCGAAAGTCTTGATGAGCAGCTCGCAAGGAAGCGAACTGATCACCATAACCAGGGCGCAGAGCAAAAGGCGGCAATCATCAAAGCACTTATGCAGCGCAACGAAAATGCCGCCGATCCTAGTCGGACGCACCATCTAGACGGTGCACCACAAACGATCAATATTGCTGGCGGCAACGTGAAGCTCGTCATACAAGAGTTTGCAAGACGATTCAGACCGTTCAATGTCCCTCCTGCCCCTACACCTATCAGCGACGCTGAAATCGATGCAGCTGAAGCCGAAGCCGGCGAAGAAATGCAAGCCCAGACTCTAGAGGTGGAGATTCGAAATCAAGACCAAGACCCATACGTTCAGCATGTCGTCTTCAACGTGCCCGAGAACCGAGCCGTCGACAATGAAGGCTTCTTCACCAGTCACGGCGCGCCGATGATGGAAATCGAAGATGCAACCGGACGACAAATTCAAGAGCAGATGGGTGGCAGACGTCTTGGCCACCGAAGACGGCCAGCAATGTATACCATCAGCGTCAAGAGACAGAGGCGGCTGAAGATGAAGAAGCACAAATACAGGAAGTTGATGCGCAAGACACGAAATGCAAGGCGGAGGTTGGGTCAGATATAACCATGGTGCATATTGGCTTTTCGTACTTGCATGGGATTGCATTAGACGCATATGGCTAGAGAGTCGAGCCGTGTTGGACCTGGACGAGCTACTCCGTAAGGCGAGATAAGATCTCGGTCTCACTACATTTTCATGGCGTTTGAAGCGGGTTCGCAATTGGCAAGCATGCTGCTTATCAGCTCGTGTTTGTTCGAAGCAGCGTACACATTCCATCTCTTCAGCTACTGGCAATCAACACTGAAAGATCAGTCTTCATCCTGAAATATATCTTCACTCTCTATTTCCGACAACTGCTTGCGACGCTTGTGGCATCCTCCCATGGTGTTTTCCTTGCAAGGTTCAGTCAAAATCTGGAGGACCAGATAGATGACCGATATCTACCCAGGTATAGACATTCCTAGCATAATATATGGGTGTCCCAAGTTTCGTTCCTCAGAACCACTAACTATGGACTGGAGTTTGATGGACGCTAAGAGACGAACGCAGTGCACGGATTGATAAAAGCATTATCTATTTCAGTACCAAAATTTGTACATACATAGGTTAGGCGCACAAACAGCTCGATTGTGCTGCGTTGGCGCTTTGGTTCCCCGGTTCGTCCATAGCGCTGGTAAAACTGTAACATTCATACATAGTGTACGGGCAATTCTCATACTATTCGCCCGCCTTTGAGGTTTGTTGATGATGGGTTGGTATTCTTTCACAGCTGGCCTGGATTGACTTGAAAGCGCCCAGTACTGATTTCGGATTTGTCGTCCGTGTTCTTCTTGTGGTTTCCTTCCGCCTGATAAGTTCTTGACGATTTTCTAAACGTGACGCTCCAATGCAGCCGCCACGTGAAGCGTGCCATTTGCCGTCGTTTAACATGTGACATCGGTCGAGGCCTTGGAGTTCATCAACAGGGCGACGATCAACCCGTACAGACCCAGGACTTCAGCGAAAATGAGGATAAGAATCATGCCGACGAAGAGGCGGGGTTGTTGAGCGGTTCCTCTGACACCAGCATCACCGACGATGCCGATGGCAAATCCAGCAGCCAGACCTGACAGGCCGACTGACAGCCCAGCACCAAGTTGGATGAAGCTGGTGAACAAGGGTTCTCGTTGTGAGAGGTTATCGGAGATCAGGACCGAGACGACCAGACCATAGATACCAATGATACCAGCCATAATGACGGGAACAATGTCTACGCAGGACAAGTTAGCCCAAGTTGCTTGTCTTCTCCATCAAGGATATCGCGTACTCTTGACGATCAGATCTGGTCGAAGGACACCCATAGCCGAGATACCAACACCAGACTTTGCGGTTCCATATGCGGCTCCGAAGCAGGTGAAGACGATGGCGGATGTGCAGCCCATGGCACCAAAGAAGGGCTATGCAATGAATGTCAGTTCTTCTGCTCTTGATGCGGCAAGCTCCTCGACGTAGCTAGGGAGGGATGGCTGCGTCATCGCATCGAGGCATAGAGAGGGAGATGAGCATACCGCATATACGGGGCTATAATCACTCAGTCAGCGAACTAATTCTCAAGTATCTCGAATAGAGAGATGCATTGAACAATGGTTAAGGCTCGGAAACCGAGAGCAGCTGCAGGCTGAACACATGGGGCAAACTCACCAAAGATCTGTAGACATCTTGACGGTACTGTGGCTTCTACTCGCTCTTTGCGACTTTGACTGACTCGAAAATGCGAGGACGGTCTCGGCGAAGAGGAAAAGGCCGTCGGAGTGATGGAGATGAGCAGAAGTGATGTGGTTGTGCTTGCAGAGGTGAACAGATTGATGATGTTTCGAAGGTCGAGAGCTTCAACCTGCCTCTCCTTCGGTTCGCTTGGCACCAGCCTACCTGTATCGAGGAAGTTTGCCGATTCTCCGCCTAAACATTTTACAAAGCTTCAAGTCGAAGAGTCGCTTTTCCCTGCGAGACCAGCAACAGCAACAGCAAGTCAACCACAGTGGAGGGCGAGCTATCGCAAGGAACCCTCTGCACTTTATTTCCTTTAAGTCTTCCTTTCTTCCTAGCTTGATACCCCGAAAGTTTCAATATTCCATTACAAGACCTTAATACGCTCCGGTCGCATTTTAATATTCTATCACCAACGCAAAAATGGCTGACAACCCATCCGCGGCGTGGCCGATCGCTGACAGTGCTCTGTCGCAAAAGATCTTGGACACTGTGCAGCAGGCCTCGCACTACCGCCAATTGAAGAAAGGTAAGCCTCTACCGAAAGAACGAACAGCAAGGTCTGTCGCTAACATAACTTCAAGGTGCAAACGAAGCGACCAAGACTCTGAATCGAGGTATGTTCTCTCCTCGGCCTTAACGTTGCCAGACGGGTCCTAATGCTGCTCAAGGTACCGCCGAATTGCTTGTCCTCGCAGCCGACACATCCCCTCTCGCTATCTTGCTTCACCTTCCCCTTCTGGCAGAGGACAAGAATGTGCCTTACGTCTATGTCCCCTCGAAAGTCGCTCTCGGACGAGCATGCGGTGTCTCCCGTGCGGTCATTGCAGCCAGCATCACGACCAACGAGTCGAGCGATCTTATGCCATCGATCAGGGAATTGAAGTCGCGTATCGAGAGGTTGATGATCTAGGCTGTGAGCGCAGAAGATTTGAGCCAAGTAGGATTGCGACAATCTTGGGTTGTTGGGAACGGAGGAGGTCCAAAAGGTATTTCTGGGAGTCGAGCCAACAGTGCCGCAACCCGGTCGGAAACAAGAACGTGCAATGCAGATTGCACGGTTGTGGTAGGACCATACTAAACGTTGTGAGGCCGCAAAGCACCAAAAAGATTGCCGAAGACAGTTTGAGGGTCAGTACTCTCTAAGATCTTTGCTTTCCGCAGTGATTGCCCCTCGAACCGAGCCACGCTTCGTTTGCCCTACCGTTGTGACCCGAAACCAACATCACCGATACAGATTCAAGCGCGCTTGGCAAGCTTGAGCTCCAAGTCTTGAGGATGGTTCTCCGAATAGCCCTGGACATGAGAAACACCGCCGTAGGCTCAATGTGAATAGTCTAGGGCTTCCCTTGACAATGTACGTGAATAGCAATACCAATTCTGCATGCTCCCTGGTACCAGGGCAGAAGAATCGATTTTCACTTGCATCAAATCGTCTGAGAGGCTCTGTTAACGCCGGAGCGAGTAGCGGAGGATAGTTTTGTGCTCCCTCATTTCGCTTGATAAGTGATTTTGTGAATTTTGTGAATTTGTGCCCTTTCTTCCATTAAGTGCTGTAAAAGAACATGCTCGACAAAGGAATGCGACTGCCACCTTGGGCAGATCTCCGGAAGGCTGTGCACCCTCAGATACCCAGCATTTTCGAGAATGAGCTGCACCATCGCGAATCGTCGAGCTTACCTCATGTCAAATACCTTTGGAAAGGTACACCAGGGGTTACGATGAATACGACCCCTAAGAGTCTGGAAGCCATTTGACAGGCGGCGCTTAAGTTTGAAGGGGCGTGGCTCGACTCTAGGGCACGTTTTGGGATTCGTCTCAAAGCCCAGGTGGTAGTGTGCCCGCGAAATTAGGGGATGATGGTTGGGGGTTAGACGGCTTGATTCCGTGCACGCACCCCCTGTTTCAATTCACTTCATTGTTTTGAGCCGACCTTGCCTGCACTGGTTCTTTGTTATGAAGCATCACTCTTCCATTTCATGAATTCCAGCCGTCCTGTTCAGTGCGCGGCATTTTATCTACAGCGGTCGACTTGACTTTCTGACTTTCTCGGTCGCTCCGTCTACCAGCAAACCGTCACCCGAAGAACTACCGACAACCCCTTGGTAAACAAACATGATGCTGTGGAAGAGAGCATGCAAGAACCCAAATGACGAGGTCGACATCTGCGAAAAATATGTCACAACCTTCCAGACGACTGGGATCCCTCTGATCATAGGCTTGAGGTCAGTCAGGCTATGCAATGTCCGTTTATGTCCCATACTAACAGTCAGGCAGTCTCTTTGCGATCCTGTTGGCTATCATGTTTGTTATTGTGAGGAAGAACCGGAGGAAAAGAAAGGCAGAGGAAGCAGAGAAGCACCAGAACATCGAGGATGATGTCGAGCTGGAGTTTACCGTTTCTACACACAAACAGCAAAGATACAATGGACAAGGACAGCAGCAGCAGCAGCAGCAGCGCGCACCTGATGTGGAAAATGCATTCGAAGCCAATGGGCCACCGCCAAAATACTAGTGCAAGGTTGATCCGGGTATCTCTGATAACATGCTGTACAATGTGGCATGAGTCGATCATCCCGACTTGGATTTCTCAATCTCATGAATGATATCCTTCTCGATACTCTCCGGCTTGGTCATACTACCCCATCGCTGGACGACCTTCCCATCACGACCGATCAAGAACTTCTCAAAATTCCACTTAATCCTCTTCAAGCCCAGCAGGCCTGGCTTTTCCGACTTCATCCATTCGAACACTGGCTCCGCATGATCGCCATTGACATTGGTCTTGCCCAAAACGGGGAATGAGACACCATAGTTCAACTGACAGAACTCTTGGATTTGCTCGTTCGAGCCGGGATCTTGACCACCAAACTGATTGCATGGGAATCCAATGATCACGAATTGATCAGGGTATTTTTCAGAAATTTTCTTCCACAGCGACTCGAGCCCGGCGAACTGAGGAGTGAAGCCACATTTCGAGGCTGTGTTGACGGCTAAGATGACTTTTCCTTTGTGCTGAGCAAGAGGATAGTCTTGGTCGCGTTTGTCTTTGGGGGTGAAGTCGTAGAAAGTGGTAGCCGACGCCATGTCGGATCTTGTTGGAGGCGCAGGGATGCTTGAGAGGAGACGAGATCTGTAGACAGCGGCACTGGTGTTGTTCTGTAATCTTCCGGAACTCGAAACTGGGATGAAGGACAAGGAAAATGGTGAAATGAGTCTGGTGCAGAGCGACGATTTAAAGTGACGAGGGATTTGGAATGCAAACCGAGTGCCTTGCATAAAGATCGCAGGTGACGAGGACTGCGGTGAACGGTGAACGGGCTGAGCGGTGAATGGGTCAATGGGTCAATGGTACGATTGGCAGGATACAAGTAGGAGCGAGATCCTATCATCCTACGAGTGGACATCCGAGGTTCATTCCTGGTCCTGCTGGTCCAAGCTTGTGGACGACATCGATCGCCACCGAAACTGCTACAATTCGTGCGGCAAGCGCCGAGACACATGTCAAACTGTCCAACCGCTGTGACCGCGTACGGGCTCGAGGGTATCACCGTGAGGATCGGATCGGAATCTCAATCTTCCGGTTTCATGCCAAGGTCCATCACGTGGCCTCTGTATCTGTAATCTTTGACTTGCTGCAGCAAACCATATTATCCATGCACGAAAGCAGAAGACATGCCGGAAGCTGACTTCAGCGGTTGGCTGCGGAATGAGCTGTCCGGGAACTTCTCTCAATCATGACCTTCTCCAGTTCCCTGACTTCATCGTGAGCTATCACCAGGCTTGTGCGAAGGCAGCCTGCTCCGGCCTTCCTCACTACACCGGAAGGCAGGTACATTTTTTCTGCCAAAAATCATCTCCTGCCCACATCGCATGTTAACAGTGCCAGAGGTCATGTCTGATACGTGGCTCATAATGATCTAGAGGTTCAAGTTATACTCCGGTAGAGCTTCGGTGGCGCTTCAGTCGTATTCACCGCTGTACTGTCCAGACTTCCCATTGTGGCAGACGACTGTCGACTCGAAGTTGTCACCAGCCTTGCTAAGGCTGATTCAGAGCTTTCAGGAATGGTATATGCGGTACCGGATCGGATGTGACATTGGCTACGACTGCACCACTACGGTACACAATCTCCATCTAGACCGAATACCTGAGCGAACAGGATGGAAGCATATAATTCAATCCCCCCAAATCAGCATAATGAACGGGTATTGATGTACGGATACGAGGCTTGTTGTAGCTCGTATTGCTGCCAGCCTCACGATCGAGGCCAAGTAATCGGCCCTTTTTCCCCCCCAGTCCACCACCCCATTCGTACTCCCCATGCTCCCCCTCCTTTCCACAGCCCTTCCGTCTGCAAGAAAGTCCATTTTTACCGAGAGATGCGGCGTTTGCTAGCACGTCATTGGATCGCGAAAACCATAACATGCCTTTGCCCTGCAATCTTCGCTCCTTCTCCTTCGTCGAATGGTCCAGCTCCAGGCCTGACACGAGGTGGAGATGACTGTGGAGGAGCATGACTCTTATGTGAGGGTGCCATCGCCGCTCTCTTCTGCAATGTCAAATGGCATGATTAGGCGAAGTAAATAGCCCTCGTCAACTATATCATGGGACTTGCGCAGGTGAGTTGCTGCTTCTCACACTTCGAAAAGGCTCATTTTCGAGCACCATCTTAAGCCGGCCATTTGCGGGGACATTTGTTGACACATCTCAATTTGTACGAGAAAGTTGAGACCATTTGAGCCTTGTTTAGCGTCCTCCTCTTACTCACCTTGAAAATCATTCCGACCTTCAACACAACCCGCGAAATACCGCGTATAGGAGTCACCATTCAGCGCAGGAATTCCCGCTCGAAACCCATCATCTCCACGCACGGTCCCCACAGTCCAGAACCATAGGCAAGCTCCGCTTAGGTACAGCACTCGAGCTGCTTACTAGAATCCAAATCAACCCAAAACGAGCTCTTCCGTCGTCCAACTTTTCTCGTTCTCGACATCAATATGTCTGGCGCGTTCACCATGCCTCACGCCCTAACGGGCGGACCGGGGTACAAGGCCAACGCGACCTATGACGAATTTCTCCGCAAACACAGTGGATTCTACCGACGCCACAGCGCTGCTTCGAACGCCTTGGAGGGTGACCGACGGGCTTCCCAGGCCTCGCTGGACGCCAACGCTTCTGCAGCCGCACAAGCCGTCCAGAATGTCGCTTCTGACAATGCCCACCGGCGTGGCTCGGTCACCGCTGCAGGAGGCGGCGCCGCAGTGGCCAATTCCAGGAAAGGCAGCGTCGCTGTGGCCAGCGACGTGACCAGGAAAGACAGCATTATTGGACTGGAGCCGACCGGGGGCCAGAGGATGTCGGAGGAACGTAGACCTTCTACCTCTCTTGCTAATGACCTGTTCCACAAGATCAAAGGAGATCGCCAGGCGAGCCATTGACGGGTTTCTTTCTGTCTGTACTGTGCCGTGGTGAGTTGGAAAGTTTGCACAAAGGTTTCACGGTGGATATTCTTGCAGAATCACGTCTCGGTTTGGGGAGACAAGCGGCTCTGTGTTTGGGTCATGTCGATGTCGTTGGGGGAGTGAGTGATGACAAGAGTCGGTTGTCGCGTTCATCTGTGTTATGGTTGGTTTCAGCTCTGTTTGTATTCTTTCGATCACATCCGCTATATGGGAGTCTTAGTGCGCAAATCCATAACAATACAATGCTGATAATTGTTTTCTCGAACCGGCCTATTCTAGCACCGCCGTCTCACATGCCATAACAATGGAGAGGTTTACCATCCCTAGTCCGTACTTATACCAGTATCTCCGATGATTCTAGAATAGGCCACCACCACACAGATATGGGGCTATCCGGATGGAAGCCACAGAGGGCGAAGCGGGCACGGACAAGGATGGTTATAGTGTGGCCATACATCTGGTCGCATGATTCTGAAAATGGAGAATGGCGAATCATGGCGAAGTATCGCACATTTGAAGCATACGAGACACAACAGTGAGGAACATCATTCCATCTACACAACGGTTTCAGTAGACGGGGGCCTGGAGAGCTGAGCAATGAGAGAAAGCTGAAAGAGGGTTTGTGCAAATGGAATAATTCTGTCTCTGTGAATCTGATATGCACAGTGAAGGTGAACTGGGGTATGACCACACATTTTCCATGTAGTCACATCGTCTGAATTCGCCCCTGTACTCTTCCAGATTCGTCGCTCTTCCGCAGCCAGAATCCATGAAAGCTTATCGAGTAGTCGTTTATCGAGAAACCTTTGTACTCGAACATGAAAGTATTATGCTCTGTCACAGGCTTCGCCGTCAGGTCAACCAGACTTCTGTCCTAGAAAAAGAAAATGTGTACAGTGTGTACATGTTGCTTCTGCGATCGAGCCATCTGCCACATTGGCCGAACCATTCTTCTCTCATGGTATCCATTCAGTTTTGAGCTCCTTCCAATTGTTTTGGACTTTGCCCGACCACTCCTCTCCGGTCGGAAATGAAGCGCGTGATAATCCGCCCATAAATCAGCCCTTTTCGCCAGCGCTGTCGAAATGATGGAGAAATGTCAATTCCTGGCACTAATCGCTCCTACAGAAGTGACAAGTGAGATCCTCTCAACCGGAGTATGCGTCGAGAAGTCTCGTGGAGACGGGAGATGTGCCCTTTCGAGGTAAATAGATCCGCGTCATTCATGCCGCCACGAGGTGGAAACCTCGTAGAAATGGTGTGTGAAGCTTTTGGTTTCGCCATCATTACAAAACAAGTCGTTGAAGATTCTTCTGAATCAAGATGTCCTGCACATCCTCCATGGTAGCCTTGAGAAGGTTGGTGTCTGTGGCATTTGTGAAGTGAATGTAGATTTCTCGGTCACTGTTTCGGTTGATGGATCTGAATCGGTTGGCGAAGAATTGCTTGGATGCTTCCTCATCGCCGTCCTTTCCAGTGTAGTCCGGGAAATGTGCCGAGAGAGGTGAGATTGGCAACTTCTCACGAAAGAGGTCGATCTTGTTGAGGAATAAAATGATGGGTTTGTTTCTGAACCACTCGCCGTTAACCAAGGACTCAAAGAGCATGAGAGCCTCGTGCATCTGATTGGCATTCACATCTTCCACCAGACATTGATCGTAGCCCGACAGAGCTGCCATGAAAAGGAGACATTGGACACCCTCGAAACAGTGGATCCATTTCTTTCGTTCTGATCTCTGTCCTCCAACATCCATCATCCGGAAAGTCAGCTCTCGAAGTTCAAAAACCGTCTCAGTGATACCGGTAGTGCGAAGTCGAGCGTGTAACATGTCCTGGTCGTTGGGAGTCCAATCCGGTTCAAACATGCGATCGATGTTTTGAAAGTAGAAGGTGAGGTTGTCATGGAGCGCGAACTCGTGGCCTTTGGCGACGGCCTTTTGTACTCCTGCATCTTTCCATAGGGCAACCATGGCCTCCTTGACCTTCTTGTCTCGGAAAGCCTCGTGTGCATCAACCTCTGAGCTGATGTTCTCAAGGAATTCGGCATGGGCTTCGTTGTTCTCGTCCTCGAACTCGATCTTTTCGTCTTGCATGATTTCGTACAATACGCGGAAAGCTACGACAACGTTGGAGTAGATGACCGCTCGTACTTGTACTCTTTCATCGTCTTGGAAGCCATTCGAGTGGATGATGCGCATCTGCTTGATGATGGTAGATTTACCTGATTCTCCCGCTCCTAAAAGAAGTTATCAGTGCCATCCGAGTCGGGATTGCGCCAATCATGTCCCGTACCTAGCAGGAGGATTTTCACAGTCCGGGAATCTGCCTTTCGGTCCTGGCGCAGCTGACGCTCAATTCTTGCATTTCGCTGGGACGCCTCTTTCTCTTGGGGGTTGATCTTGGACCCGGTACAGCCCATCTTGCAAGATGCGACAACAGTCACGCAAGACAGATGGCAAGCGCGGTGACAATGCACTCAAGGATGTGTTGTGTCCAATGCAAAGAACTCTTTCAGTGTGACTGCTTTCTCATCCTTCACCTGAGAGCGCTGGTGCGGTGTGTTATCGACAGAAGTCCGAGGCCAGGACAGGCAGGAGTCGCGTTGTTCCTCGAGATAAGTAAGGGGACTGCTGCAATGGCCCATTAGAGCGATGTCCACGTATATGTTGGAATTGAGAGGTTGAGACGTACCTGGTGTGGGAGAAACAACCTACTAGTCGGTCTGCGAGACGAGACACGGCACTCGTGATGCCTGGCAAGTCTTGAGGGCAGCTTGATCGATGCAACAGGACTGGGAGCTGCGGTTGTGAGGTTCGGAAAGAGAGTGATGGACGGAGACTGCGGTGGAATCGCTGGAGGAATGGTCGTCTCCAACGATTGAAACAAGCTCAAGCTGTGAATGGTTCGGGGAAGATCAGGGCCCAGTTCCTTCAAGGGTGGGAGCGTTAGTCGAGGTAAGAGCCGTGGGCAATGGACGAGTAGGAGGGTGAGAAGGGCAGTTGATGGCACTCAAGGGCCAGTTTGATGGACCGATGGCTGCGGTACGGAGCCAGCCAAAAGACCCTAGGAGGGTGCCCAGTGGGTGCCTAGCAGGGGGCAGCCACGCGCCGGCTCTGCACGGGGATCGACCATCTCCGCCTCCCATTTGTCTTTTGTGTCTTATAAAGGGGCGTCGCTCTTGCTGTCAGATGGAAGTTGCAATACATTTCTTCGCACAGTGCAGCGGTGCCTACTCAATTCAAAAATGTCGGTGTCACCATTGAAGAATGCATTGTTGTTGTTGTGTCTCTTTCCACTGTGACACCATCGACGATTCGCATTTCACAATTCACAATTCACACGCATACACAAACCACGCTAGGCCCTACTATGTACTAGCGTTGCACAAGTCTGCACGTGCCATGCCCATGTGTTTCTCCTTCTCCCTTGTCCAACATTGATTGCTCTTGAATCGAGTGTCGCTGATCGATCCCATCTTGTATCCCCAACCTCAGGTGGTGTACTATAGTAGATTAGAAACACCGGGCGTTATCGCGTACTGACTCTAATTGAGGTTTTCAACGAGCCAGAATTCATCCACGAGAGGCCACATTACACGTACAAAAGCTGCGACTCCGAATAGCCCAACTACCTGTCGGTGCAAGTCAACATGACGGTGCTCAGACGGCTGTCTTTGACCATATGGTACTTTCGTAACACAAGAACAGTTCGCAGCTTCTCGTAATGTGTAAGTACATACAGTAGCACACGCGTGGCGCTTTCCTTTGGCCTTCCAAGCCAGACCGTAGCGATAGGCGAGAGTCCTTGAAACGTATCGCTGATTGGTACTCGTTTCTGTCCTTGTCCTTCGTAGCTGAATCGTGGCTAGAGCCGTATGACTGCCATCTGGCTGAGCTGCACCCATCACCCGGCGAAAAGATCTACAAGTAGCTCGGCGTGCTCGGATATATTCGAAAACCAGCTGGCATGCCCTTCAGCAGCATCAACCTTTGTCACTCCACCTCAGGTATTTGTATTTGGCGAGAGCGACGGATCGTTGAAAAACACCCCCACTCCGTGATTGGGTCATATCTTTGCTTCACGGTTGCTAGTTTGGCCAGCTACCTAGGTACGTTGTAAGATCTGACGATCTAGCCATCTCAGCCGAAGCTAGAAGCTGAAGGCAGTCTTGCCGATGTTCCACCAGATGACTTAACCTTTGTCCGGGGCTGATAGCAGCCAGACCTTCAGGCATCCGCTGATGGAATGCCGCGAAACTTGTCCTGGCGACAGCAGAAACGCCCTGTTTTGCCTTTCTGTACAGCCTCCGGGATGGTGCGGATATCCTAATGGATAAATGTTCAGCAGCTTGAGTACTACGTCATGTCAACCACGATATAGGGACTGGGAGCATCGTTTAGTCCTGAGCTCAACCGGAGCAATGTTCGAACGTCGACGAACAGGGGCTCAAGAGGAAACACTCACACGGGGATGGGAACGAACACCGAACCTCTGGTAGCCCGTTCCTCATTCGGCAGGAAGTGATGTGGCCCGTTGCTCTTGAGCCAGGGATCTGATGTACCTGCAGCAAGCATTAATTATCCAATGTTTAGCTAACAAAGCTCTAGGGGGGCCTTTGTTACATCTTTATGGTCCCACAAGTCATTCAACTACTAGGTGTCCTTGGATTCGAGGTCGTGAAGCATTCGACTCGGACGATGGTGCTCATCGCAGTCCTCACAGTTCTCTATCGCTCGAGATTGTTGTCTGTTGATGAAGGCTTACAAAGCTCTGCATCGTGCAAATTTTATCGCTTCCGACCTTTCGAATCCACGAGCAACATCCCAGATCAGGCAAATACGGCGGACTAAGGCTAAGAACAATTTCTTCTCGGTGTGGCACAGTCCTAAGCAAGTGTCCAACGCTTCTCTCGAAGTTATGCTACATCGAATCTTCCATGGGCAGGATTTCTCCTCCGGTTAAGGCTTACATGCTTTGTTGTGCCTGCAAAGTGCTGAAACGGGGAACGGTGAACAGTAAACCGTGAAACTCAGGGTCTTGGACAGACCACACAGCCAAAGCGGGGAGTGGCTACTTCAGGGTCTTCCGCAGGCTCCTCTGATGTTGGCAATTCTAAGATTTTCCACGGTAGTAATCTTCAATTACTCATAATGGCCGCCCAGCCTTGCCACGCGACAGACTGGTAGCGAGTATTGGTGGGGCTCAGTAAGGGAATTATGAATTCCAGCGGTTCATGCTCATGACTGTCCTTCAATTCGGGTTCCAGGGGTTCCTGAAAGCCACATGTCTCCCCAGATGGTGTTCGCCTTGCTGCAACAGCATAGGATAGCAGCCGTTTCCTTGGCGACTTCCTGTCATGGACAATGTCACATTCCAAAAACGAACAGGCCGGGGAGAAGAGAGCATCAAAACCTTGCCTTGAATAGGAACATGTTCTCCTTGGCGCAAGCTCGAGTCACCATCTTGGCCTCCGGGGCCTCCTCACAATTAACTTGTACACATGACTTTTCCCGGGCTTCCGCGTTAAGCAGGTGAATGGCCCAAAAGGCCATAGGTTCGTGCGACGCATAGTTCGCGTGATTGGTTACATAAGTCGCGCTCGCTGCACAGAGTATAGGCAGGCCAAATCATATCAAATTGTACCCATTTCCCTTTGTAGTCAAGCGGCGGTGCAGGCCACGTCTTTCGTGCATATTGGAACCCGATGTCTCTCCCCGTGATGTGCGTTTTGTTTAACAGAATATGCACTAATGACGCCACGAATTGCCGCAAATGGAAAGTGCCAGGGGGTGTGGAAGGGGATAAGAACGTCTGGATCGAAGGTCATTCGGTACTGTACCAGGCACATGGGGGGGCTTCCTATGCATGTTTGGTGCGTATCTCTTCAGACGACGTGGACGATCCGTCAGCAAATTCCGTATTACATGATCAACCAGTGGCTTATCATCCGGGGGTGAAACATGGTCGCTGACCCGCTGGAAGGTCCACTCGAGTTCCGCGGTGTCTGAACCTGCTGCAGTGCCTGAGAGTCCTCGTCTCTTTCCCACTGTTGTAGGCATTGCTGCTGAACTTCCAGGACAACATCTGTAGTGAGCGAGCTTTGACATGATCGCCCTGATTGACGCCTTGATCGGGATCTACCCAACGGAACCCCATGAAGGCACAGGGCATTGACAGGTCTCAGCCCTGGCTGGCGTGACATTCGACGCGGGCGGGGGCTGTCCGAGGTGTAAGGCCCTGGAGACACCTCTTTGGGGTTAGGGCAGCTTCCCAGATAGGCATGTGCTGTTCCCACTCTGCTTTTCTCTTCCCTGCTTCCCTAGTAGTAACTAAGATCTTGATGGGCTTCAGCACCAGCCGCGTGTTCGCTGTAACCAAGGGCTATTCAGCGAAGCTTGCCTTGCAAATGGTGCCCATAGTCCAATCCATTTGTATTCTGTCCCCCCGCGTTGCTGACACGAGTGCGGCTGCTGGGATCGCAAACTCTTGCCCCTCCCGTGCCCTCCCAACCTTCTCTCCGGTGGTCCATTCCGAGCCCTTTTGCTGACCTCAGGCCAGTGCTGCCATGTCCTCTCCTCAAGTCTTCTCGAGGCCTTCCCTCAATTTGCCAGGCGCGAATCAGCGTCCAATCGGACATGTAGCCCCGACTACCCAAAGAGGTTTGGCAGAAGCCGTTCAACGTGGATCCACCTCTGACCATACATTTTCCCGTCGGTCAACACAACCCTGGTGCCCGCAATGGCCGGTGCCTGTAGCCTTTGCAACCTTTACAGCGACGGCTGTAACGATGGCAGAACAATAATCCTCGTCTGGGACCCTAGCGTTGCTCGGTCCAGAGTAACCGCAATGAGAAATTCACAAGGACAAATTATATCTTTACCTCCTCTACCTAGTCGACCCTTTCGCCGGATCTGACTCTGATGAAATACCTTGCACCTCTCACCTGTCTACTCTGCCCTTCTCTGCGCTTATTCGACTCTTAGACCCTCAACTGGAGTTGAAATCAAGATAAAGTATCTCGGATCGCCACTTTCTTGAATGACATCGCTGTTGAGGAACGACATCAACATGGACTTCAGTTTTGTAAGCTCTCCTTCACAGTCACCGAGTCAATCCATCTTCACGGCTGGGCAATACTTCGAAAGCACTTCTGAAGGCTCGAGTCCCAACTCGCCTCATGTACGTATCATCCGCGGACACTTGAGAAGTACCTGCACATTGACCATGGCTTCAGCAAATGAGTCAAATGTTCAACACCGCTCCCATGCAGTACGACATGTTTCGATATGGGACAACACCGTCGAATTACTACCCATCAACACAGACTCAAATTCAAATGGACTACAACAACACAGCCGCTCTTGACCAAACCGACCGACGACGGCGGCGAACGGGAAGCACATCAACGCTGGCCAAGGACAAGGAGACCATTCCCAACATGCACATGGTGAGTCCTTCGTTCTACTGCAGCGTCTTCATTCTTGTTAACCTGGAATACAGAGGAGGCGTGCTCAAAATCGAGCCTCTCAACGAGCGTTTAGAGAGCGGAAAGAAAAGCACGTCAAGGGGCTTGAAGTCCAGCTCGAAGACTTGCACGAGAAGCACCAAGATCTCCTGCAATCATACACTCGCCAGGCCGACGAAGTGACCCGACTAAACAACCGCATTGCAGAATTAAATACGGAGCTCAACACCCTAAGATCCTGTCAAGATCAACCTTTTAGCGAGATGTTGATGCCCGACAAATTTGACAAATTTGACGCATTTTCAGCAACAGACCTCGTTTACAACGGTCCCGATTGCTACTTCGATAAGAATGCCGTCGATCTCAATTCCGAGTTTGCTCTACATTCGTTTGAGGATTCACTGTAATGTGTGCATTCGCTCGAGTTAGGGTATGCCTTGGGTCTGGTTCGGCGTTTTTAGAGGCAGCGAGATACCCTACCTTCACAGGGCCTGATTTGTTTTATGATTTGCGCTTCAGCGAAGATGAGATGCGCGGCATCGAAGGGTGGGTTTTGTCCTTTCAAGTTGCGACGTTTTATGACTGTGTGATGAGCCCAGCTGTGGCAGGAAATGAGAGGGCAGAGCAGAGCACTATGTCTAAGGGCCTCCATGAAGACCCTGTTCTCGGCTTGTTGACCGAGGACCAGCTATGGGGAAAGTTATCGACAGCCAGGTGTTTTCCGGTACATGTGCAGACTCGATTAGGTCCCGGCCGGTCGAAAATATGAGTAATAATGAAATTGTACCACAACGCGATCGTACAACCACTTGACGCCGTATTGGAAAGACTGTCCTATCGAGTTGTATGATCTGGTTGTTTAGAGCAATACTTTATGTACTTGGAGCCCGTTGGCGAGATAGTCATATTTGCCACATATTTACTGCCGTGATCCGAACTATCGAGATCCTCCAGCAAATCTCTTGCTCATCTTCCGATGCCCGATCTCTGAAGGTCACGCTTGTCTTAGAAACGGCTGAAATGTGGCTGTTGCCGGATCGCTTCTTACCAGCTACCTGAGACTTGATGCCATCAACGAAACGCTCATACTGGGTCATCTCACGAGCAGCAGAGCCATATGTCCTTCCCCACGGTCTTCTCAATGGGCTCTCAATTCAGACTTTGGAAGCTCGCCAAAACGCATTGACATACTAAAATGCCAAACGCCAGTGGCATTCCTCGTAACCTCTCTGGCCGTTCTGCTGGCTGTACGTAGTCGACGAGACTAGACTTCTGTACTAAGAGGATTGTCTATGTAAGCGTGCACGTGTGCAAGTTGTCCGGTTCTCACGAGCGACTGGATGTTGCGAAATAATAGTGTCACATCAAGGAGCTACTCCGCCTTGTGGATTCGCGAATGAGCTTGACTTGATAGGACTCGCATCGAGATGCCTCATGATGCCCCTCTTCTCCGCTATTCCTGCCCCCTGCTCAATACGAAGGCTCCCAAAAGTCTGCGTCAGTCAGCCTGCATCCACACACACTTCTGCTCTCGGAACTGTTTTCCCGTCACGTTTGCCAAGTTCTACGAGTACTACGAGCTCGTACTCGTAGATGAGGAAAATCCTCGCTCTCGATTGCCTACAATGCGAACTTGGCGCGAACTTGGTGCGGTCCGGCATCGTTCTCCCTATCTCGCGCGATGGGTTGTCTCGAGTCGTTCGTGTTACCCCAGGCGCTTCTATCCAACATAATTAGATTTGAACAGCACACATACTCTGTACTCAGGAGTCACCCACAAGCTGGCTATGCATCCATCGGATGATCAACGGTCTAGAACAAGACACAAGCCCATCGTGCTACTTGGCACGCGAATTGATTTCCGTGGCTCTTCGTGCTTTCTGATTCCCGCAGAAATCGCACCGTTGTGCTTCACAGAGATGAGACCAGTCAAATGCTCAGACTCAAAAGCCTTTGTAACTTCTGTGGCATCATTGACGGCCACGAGACAAACCTGATCATGTCACTGACGCATCCGCAAGAGGCTCAGGGACGGGAGATGGACATGGCAGAGGTCTGGCTATGTCATCGTGCAGAGGGTCCATGCATTGTTACTGTGATAGTACATTAGGCAGAGAAGGACTGGGAGGAAGGCTAGGATGTTTAGGGTAGGCCGTGGCCATCATGATGACTGATCATGACTTTCGAGATGGCTACTCGTACCGACGCGAGCGACGGCACACTCCGTGCTCGCCGCGTGGAATGTGAGCGAATCTCAATATTACCTAAGAATTGAGTCAGCCTGCACAGCCACATACCCACCAGCCTCCTGTGGCTAATATTGGCTCTGGATAAGGAATGTAAACAGAGCACTCAGAGCTCAGTAAACACAGAGGGCTAGGTACCAAGTTACGAAGATATCACCAATTCAACGATCGCTATACGTGTAACGCAGCTTGAAGAATCCTTTCAGTGCAAAATGGTCGGCAACGTCACATGAGAGGGTGGTGGACTTCGTCGTGAAACTTCGTCAAATTCCCTCAACGCGCACCCTGTATCCAAGCGAGGAATCCAAGGCGGTAAGCCCCTCAGCAAGTGTACCAGCATCGACTGCTGCGAGATCTATTGCGGCACGGGTTGCACAGGTGGCCGAATCCTAGACCTTATGAAGACCGATCATGGCTGCTCACCACTATGGCCTCCGAAGCCGCCTGAACACCCAGTCGCCTTCGCAGCGAGCAACACCGACAGGATCGCCGTTTCTTGCCAAAACGCCATCAGGACTCAATCGGAAAGCACGACCATCGGATATTGCGTTGCAGTTGCAACGAGTTATCGGGACAACCACAACTAGCCCCAATGGACTCACATGCTGCCCCTCCACAAACTCCTATGCCTATTGCGCCGGTGCCGTCGCTGTCCTGGCTAGACTCGAGTCCGACAATGCACCATCGCATCGATACTTCAAAGCCCGACCAACTGCACCATCACTACATCCCCCCACCTCTCACTACGAAAGTTCGCCCGCAAGTACCCCCTCCAAGAGACGGATCAGCACATTCACGCCCCGGAAGGGGCAGGACGAATACACAAGTGGTTCATTTGGGCGCGAGTGGCTCGACGAGTCGGGTGGTCAAACTTGGACAGCAAGAGAACGAATAAAATCAGCGTCTTGTGTCGCCTTGAGCCAGGATGGCCGATGGCTTGCGGTGGGAGAGTCTGGCTACAATCCACGGGTCCTGCTGTTCTCGACGGCCGAGGATGTATCCTGTGAGGTTCCAACCTCCATCATCAGCGATCACACTTACGGCGTACGCTGCATAGCCTTCAGCTCCGACATGAAATTTCTTGCAACTTTGGGCAATCTCAATGACGGATTTCTCTTCGTATGGTCTTTGAACTCAAAAACAGGACAGTTGACGCTTCATTCGGCAAACAAATGTACCACCAATGTCTGTGACATGACCTGGCGTGGCAATGCTCTAATCACGGTTGGTACAAGGCATATCAAGATTTGGCAAGCGAAAGAAACTGCGAAGGCGTCCTCACCAAGTAAGAAGCCGAGATTCTTCAGAGCATCGGATGCCTACGGTACAAGTCCTGGTCCAGCACCGGGCCCCGCACCTTTACAAGGCCGGAACTGTTTGTTGGGTTCCATGGTTGACTCGACCTTCACCTGTGTGGCGGCGATTGACGATTGTCTGGCCGTCGTAGGCACGGAGACTGGGCATCTTTGTCTGGTAGACACCTCTCAAACAGTGCTGGAACTGAGGATCTTGAAGAAGATTGATCTCTCAATATCCTCAGTTGCATATCTAGCGGACTCCAAGCGACTGCTCCTGGGTACATCACATGGGCTGCAGTTTGAAGACTTTGACCTATTACTAAAGTCGGGCGTGGATTCGCCGAGCAGGATGTCACGACGCAAACCTCCCCGGCTTTCGTCGATTCGACGCTCGCTTGGCTTAGTTCACCAGACGGCTAAAAGCGTGACTGCCATCGGAACCCTCCCCAACCGCATCATTACGCTTGACAATGATGGGAGTTTGCAAATCCAGCCTTCCAAGAGCAACGACTCGGACGAGCTGCCGCCCACTTTTGCCGCGCACAACAGTATAGTCCTGGGAGTGCAGACTCTTCCCGATTCCGCTGCCCTGGGTGATTTCTTCACTTGGTCGAAGAATGGCGAAATCAAGTTTTGGAGCTCTCAGGGAGCGCTGATAAAGCAAGAAGCTGTTGACCTTGACGATGCTAGTACGGATATGAATGACTGCGAGAACGAATTGACCCGCGCACGATATGTGTCAGAGCTCAGTTGCTTTGTCGTGGGAGATCGATTTGGACTACTAAAACTGATTAAGACTCCAGACTGGCAGACTACGCAGACAATACGGGCACACAGCGCAGAGATTACGAGCATCGCAAGCCACGACCCCCAAGCATTGGTCGTAACATGCAGCAGGGATCGCATGGTGCAGCTATTTCGAGTTGTGGGAGATTCTTTTGAACTTCTACAAACTATGGATGACCACGTTGGGTCTGTGAACCAAGCCTTGTTTGTGCAAGACGGAGAGAAGCTTCTTTCCTGCTCAGCCGATCGTTCACTGGTCATTCGCGATCGCATCCATCGGGACAAGGATGGACTCCGAACACCTGCGTATTTGACTACGAAAGTCTTAACGCTCAAGGGTTCGCCGTTGTCTATGACAATGTCCACGGAAGCTCTGCTTTTGGTGTCAAGTATGGACCGCCGCGTTACCCATGTGGACATCTCGACTGCCACTCTGACCGAATCCTTCAAAGTCGGAGACCTGGAAAACGAGGATACGGTATCCTTGAATTCCATTGTCTGCGCTACAAGTCTAGAAAGCATGGATGGCTCACAACGTCTTCTCATCGGTTACTGCTCGATGGACAAATCTATACGGGTATATAACGAGAAGAATATGACTTTGTTAGGGAGGGAGTCAGGTCACACGGAGGGAGTAAGTGATATTGCTCTACTTGGACAGTCCGGACAGGATCACAATGGATCTCGTCAATGTACTATCGTGAGCACCGGACTGGACGGCACAATAATGATTTGGAGAATTTCGAAGACAACATCCGCATCGTTGCAGGACTCTCAAGAACGAAATCAAGGACTGGGAATATTGACGGACGACTCAGAGAGTGAAGTCGCCATAAAACCGACGCCTGCGTCTTTACCCCCCCTGAGAAAGGTGCTGACGAAGTTGGACGTCGTGGAACTTACGAAGCAAAACGGAGTACCCTCTCCCTCGTCTCCGCGCTCAGTGTCGCCGGTAAGGCTGAAGCGGAAGACATCGAGACTTGCTCTTGCGACTACAATGGAGAACGTTGAAGAAATACCCACGAGAACAGCAGAGGCCGCCTTCCCAGCGATGTCGCCCAATCCTGAGCAACGGGATCCACGCCGGTCCCCGTCACCGCCACTGCCCGCCACGTCTCGACTGAGAAAGCAGCGATCACAGGTGAGCTTGGGCAAAGATGTCGACTCCGGGGGTAGGGTGCGAGCTGTAGAGCGCTCGCAATCGCCACCACCGTCAATTCCGAATTCGGTGCCGACCACGCCCAAAAGCCGGCAAAAGCCCAACAACGCCCGACTACGACGACCTCCATCAGTCCCAGAACTACGATCACAATCCTTTGCTCAGAATCGCCGACAGAGTGTGAATCAAACATCTGACTTCGGCAGTATAGGCATGGCCACGGAACAAGCTACTCGGATGTTGAAGACTTATCGAAAGAAACTGGCCCTCAACAAAGATACTGTGGACCTCGGTGACTTGGAAGATGAGGTGACGGCTTTACTGAAGATTGTTAGGGAGCGGAAGGAATCAAGACAGCCACCATTGCCACAGATGAAGCAACCGCATTCGTCAGTGGCCTCGGCGCCCGGTAGAAGGGAGCAGGCAAAAGGTGCGACAGAAGGGGACGTGGAGCAATTGGCGGTTTTGATGGAACGAGCTAATATGGCTGACATTCCAATGACGGTAATGAAGGCGAAAGGACAGGATATTGTGGCCTCCGAGGGATGAACTCTTGATATCTTGTGTATGACTCTGGGTTTCCAGCGTATTGAGACAGCCCGAAGTTCAGACGGGATGCATGACAGCGTTGATTTTGGGGCGGCCATCCGATAGATGGTATCACTTCTCTGGATTCAACGGGGGAAGTTGAATACGGCTTGCAAGGTCCCGCAATATAGCGACTTTCGGAGACGGGCCGAACGGTATAAGACATGGTGTCTACAGGGCGGCAAAGGACCGTCCTCGTCCCAGGTTTGGGGGCAAAGAGAGGACATGTATATTGAATGTAGATATATTTTGTATATAAAGGTCTGGTGTGGAGTCTAGATCGCTTTGAATCATCTGAAGAAGGTGGCAAGATCTGCCTGTCTATACTTAGGTTATGATGTTCCTTCCGGATCTCTGTCCCTGATAGTATCAACGCCATTGAAGAGTGTATTAGCGAACGGCGGCGTTCCAATCAGAACTGTGGCCTATTCTCGCATTACTGCTCTGCTTGCTGATGGAACGATGAACCTCGACATCGAGCTGGACTGGTGGGAGGTATGAGAGGAGTGGCGTTGCACTGGTCATGATTCTCCCAGGAAGGCTCTTTAGACGGGGTCCTGGACCATGGTCATGGTCAGGGTTGCATTGTAACTTTCGCAATGGACGAAGAAGGATGGACTGGACCCAATCGACCTGGTAGGCAGGGAGGAGATTTGTTCGTTGCTCGAGGCATTTCTGCAGGGAACGCATATATTCGCGCTGGGGGTGTGGTTGTTGACAGCGGAGGGCATGGTGATAACAAGATTACCAGCTTGACGATCTGGGCCGGGTTCTCGCTTGATACCTAAACAAGAGTACCAGGTTGACCATCCGGGGGGCCGACTCTGGCGCCCTTTCGTGACTTGTTCTTCCCTATGGTGTAGTTCGTGTTGCATATTGAGGCATACTCACGCTGTGTCGGCTGCATTGTGACAATCACTCCGCACTTCAGCTTCACCAGGTCGTTTCATCTCGTCTCATCCCATTGTGTGCCTAGGTATTTCATACCATCTCATCTCATTGTAGGGCTCGGTATTTCTTGCCATCTCATCACATCATAGTCCCAGTGCTTGCCCTTCGAGGACCGATTCTCCAGCCGGACGCGATTCGACGAATTGCCTCTCCCAGACTGTTCGTCCCGAGGACTCCCAAGGCTATATCCACCGCATTCTCCTTGCAGTATCGATCGATCGTACGGAGCTTTGATTTTTGTGCGCTCTCTCGGCAGTCGTACGGAGTACAGCCCAAGTCCAATCAAACCGTCTCCATCATCCTCTTCTTCGGGTTCCGGGGGAGAGCTTCCTGCCTCCTCCGCTCTTCGGGTGTAATATCGTCGACATTCGTGCCTTGCTTTTGCTTCTTCTCGTGGCCCTCCATGGCTACTTTCAAGATCTCCTCCTCCAAGCCCGGTATGTATTCCCACGGCACCCCTTCCTCATCGAGTCTCTGGAGACTCTTACTATCCTTGACAAACGTGCCGGGTTCCTTCGCGCCGAATACCACCTTCCTCACGCCGCCACCGCCTGGGGTTCTCCCCCTCCTCGTGTCAATGATCCTCTCCACGCACGGCTTGTTCCCGCTTAGTCTCAGCCCGCACGGTTCGAGGGTCGTGTATAACGTCACGTTCCTGTCGGCAGACAGTACGTCCAGCTCGTGTAAGCGTGACTCGTCGACGCCGTGCTGCCGCGCGAGTCTCGTGAGCGCGTTCTGTTCGGCGTGCGTGTTGCCTTCGAGTTCCAAAGTATAGCCCGTCGACAGGATCTGGCCGTCTGCTGGACCGTCCGGGCCGTAGGACACGATGACACAGCCGACGCGGAAATTCGTCGGTTTGGGCGGTGACAGGCGCGCGAGATCGAGGGCTTGAGAGAGGTGGGCGAGATGGGTCTCGCCTGTCGGTTGAGGCGTCATTGTCTTGTCGCTTTGTTCCAGCAAAAGACCTGTGAGAGGACAGCCGGTGTGCAAAGGCAGTTCGAAACGCCGAGTAGAGAGTCCGGTACATATGAGTCCCCGCGATGCTTCAGGAATGCGGGGAAGAGACCGTTAATCCAGAATCGCATGGCTTGAGCAGCCTCGTCATAGAGCAACACGACCTAGATGGACACGAGTAAGTCAAGTACTTGGGACACGTGTATATTGGATCATAACAGCGTATCATGGAAGCTGTCAACAGATCAAGAGACTTGCTTTCTAGGTAGAAGCGGCGAAAGCCAGATATCTACATTGTGGTGTATACATGTTTATTGCCATATTCCTTTTGATCTGGTTCACTGCAATGCATATCCTACGAACACATCTTTCTGCCTATGCTGGAATGGCATTATCCCTGTGACTGCTGAACTCCCAATTCGAATTCGTGCCTGTCATGTCACATTTTTCGTCATGTTTCGATATACTCGCCCTTGTCCGCGCCCCGGTCTGCACTTTTGATCTCGAAGTGGTTGAGAGTCTCTTGCTGGCTGAAGTTCACTGATTTTGCGGCTAATAGCGTTGAAAACAAATCCATGTTGGAAGCGACTGTGCAAAAGATGATGGGAACGTGGTTTTGTGTTGCGCGTGGAATTTCGCAAGATCTTGCAGTCTGGCGCGGCTCGAGTCTGCCCTGGGCGCGGTACACGTCGCGACCAGTCCCGTCTGTGCCGGGCGAGATGTACATGGTCATCGGCCTAATGCGCTGTAAGAGTATGATTAGTCAATTCTAGCTTGCGTCAAACTCCTTCGTTTCGTGGGGAAATGGCTGGCGGTCAAATTATTGCTGAGGCGAATCCTGGTGCTACTGATCTTAACATCGGAACGTGGTTTCTTCAATCTCCTCCTTGCCACCATGACAGGCACAGATGACTTGGTGACGAGATAATTCGAGAAGGAGCCTAGAAGGACACCTTTCAGAGAGCTGCGACCGCGAGTGCCCACAACGCAGAGGGTCGGTTCGAGGGTATCAATCTGTAACGATGTCAGAGAAGGCGATTCCGTTGCAGGTTTAGGAGATGGACTTACGGCGCCCAGAATCAGATGCTTCGGACTCTTACATTGAATCACCTCAACAGAACACCTTATCTCCAACGGCGTCTTGCGTACCAATTTGAGAAAATGCTCGATGAGGAAGTCGATCGCCCTCAGACGTTCCATTTGTTTTTTGGACACTTTTCTTGCGTCAACTGATCCCGTCAAGCTCTCCGCTTCTGTTGCTGGAATGTATTTGTTTTGGCTGTTGAGGCCAACGCTGGTTCCACCACCCTGTGTTGTTTGACGAGTGAGCGTCTCCATCACATTGGCAGTGTCCTTGCCGGCTTGTGCACCTTCGGCAGTCAGGACATCCTTTTGCTCTTCGGTGGCCTTCCCAGTGGAGTCGTCCTCGATAGCATATATAGCGAGTAGTGTGTCGCCATCTCGCATCATGGTACCTACTACCCATTCCATAGCGTAGCTTGCTTCGACACTCAAGTCGCTACACACAAGGTAGAGTCTGGATGCCCTGTGGCCGGCTTGGGCCTCTTGTTGATGCCCATGCCAGTCTCCGCGCAGAACTACACGGAAATCTCGATTTGGAACACTAGAATCGACTGGTGAAATGTTGATGGCGAGTCTTTTCGCTTTTTGAATGGCGGCCATTTCCTCGTCTTCTTCCTCTTCTTCTCCTCCAGACATCACCGATGATGGTTTCGAAGCACCAATGGACGCATGCCCTTCTGCCTTTGATTCTGGCACACTTTCTCCACTCGGACTGGTGATGGATATCGACGGTTCCAAAAGCGACTTTACTGACGGAGCTATGGCTGACTGTTTTGTTTCTCCTTCAGTCGACACGGCAGCTTTAGCCTCTGTTTCACCGGCCGAATATTTTCGTCTTTCCGACCGACCTCTAGTCGTATCATCTTCGTCACTGCTGGGAGACATGGCATCGCCTTCGTCGCTGCTTTCAACAACATCCTCCTCGCCTACCCCATCCCGCCGTATCCGACCAGCTCCTTCTTCGGAGTCATCATTGACAGTAGAAAAGCTGCTAGATTTATTGGACAGTCGCCGATGAGAATGGTTATTGACAGGACTTCGAGAATCCGTCCTCAATGGGCCCACTGGACTGGTAGGGCTCAGCAAGGCTGATGTGGGCGTATCAACGCCTGGGCTAGGTGATGAGGCAGATCTTGTGTGGCCACTGTTTGTAGCATCATGTCTTTCAGCTTCTTTGGGCGGCAATCCCACAAAGAGATTGGAGAAGTCACCCGACATCGCAGCCGCCATGGCCGAACTTGAGTTCTCCCGCGGTTTCTTGTTCTCTGTATGGGATGGTGTTCCTGCGCTCGAAGGTATGGAAGCAATGTCGAACTGATAATTTTGTTCAAACGCCCGTTTGTCATCTGGTTGTATTTTGGGTAGACCAACTGCTCGGTCTGACTCTGAAAACCCCCGTTGTCGCGTGCTCACTGGTACAGCTCTTGCGAGAACGGGTGAATTGGGCCTGCTCGAATGACGAGAGGTGTAGGTCGAGGGATCTGAGGGATCTAGTTTTGAAGGTTTTTTGGACTGTGTAGGGCTTGTTATTCCGACTCCAATACCTGCGATCGAGCCATGTCTGGGAGTAGGAGTATCGACGTCGAGCATACTTCGAACAGGAGGTGGAGGTGTTGCGGTTCGACCGTGAGGGAGGTTTGGCATGGGTGAGGAGGATCTTTTGCTACGATCGAGCGCCGCGAGGACTTCCCTATTTTCCTCATCAAGGAGCGCCTCGAGGCTCATTGGAGCTCGAGATCTCGAAGGGGGTCTGTCCATGGCTCTGAGTGCGGAATGGAGATGGACTGCGGAAAGCAAACAGACCGAAAGAACTCACAAGAGGAGTTGAGTCAACAAAAGGCGTGCCCGTGTGAGGAGAGATGTGAGGTGTCACGAGCAGGAACACATCACGGGTGCTTGTAGATCAAGCGCCTTCTTCAGTGACAGAGTCTTCAGTATTTCTCGATTAGTGCAACAACAGGCGAGGCGAGTGGCTCATACAACTTGGATTTACATCTTGGCTTGCGCAAGGGTAAGTGTGGGGTAGAAGCCGCTGCACAGCCTGAATGCCTAGACTCACTAAGCTGAGGCCCCGTAGCCAACTGTAGCCTTCATTGGCACACGTAAAGGACCTGACGAGGACAACTTATGAGAAGTGATGGGAGTGAGTGGGAGGAGAATGTATACATCGCGTAAAATTGCTGCAGTGCGTTTGTTCCCTCGAGATGGCTGAGTCTCCATTCTTAACACTGGAACAGTTGAAGGGCAGCAGGTTCCCTTGTTTACTAGTACTCTAGCGGGCATAGCGGGGCACTGGGCATACCTATAAGGCTTATCGAGCATGCTTATCAGCTGAATCAGTTCCGTGTGTGCCGATCGTGATGATGCGTGTTAGTTAGTACTCGGACGACGAACTTCCTTTTTCCCTCCCTGGACAGACAACCTGGAAGTTTGGAGGTACAAGTACGGTAATGCTCCATCTCAAACCAGGCTCGTTCCTGGGCCTTGCCATTGTCCCGCTTACACCCAAAGCGCCGGACAAGGCCCAAATGTCATCCCGTCATAATGGCAGTTTTATGCATCTCACCCCTTGACAGCTCTCTAGCTGCCGCCGGCATAGCTCTTTTATTGGTTCTTCCCTCACTACGGCTTGCCTTTGCCCATGTCTTCCTCAAACCTCATTCGTCTTCTGGCCAAGCTCTTGCAGGGCGAATCCCGACCGCGGCCTCGAATCCTTGGACGCAGCTAAATCTCGAGCTGTAAATGGGTGATGTGGACAGCCGAGCTTTATATGCTGCATATCATGGAAACTACAAAATCCCCAGCCTTCCCATTTCCTGGCGAAATGCTGACCATGTTCTTTACCTGTCGCACAGCCTCTCTACTGTGACCATGCTGCTTCACAGTCTCATCGCCGTCTTGTTAAAGTTGCTTCTCTTGCTTCTCACCCGTTCACCGGCGTCTGCTGGAACCACGACAGTCGTCGGAAACAGTTGTGGCACCGACCAGAATCCATACTGCGCAGGAAACAGTGTTCTCGAACAGCTTTGCTGCCCTTACCCCAATGTCTGCTATTGGCAGAATCGAAATGGGGATCCAGGCTGTTGTCCCGCTGGACAGTGGTGCGACGGTAGTTATCCTTACTACTCACCTACGCACAATCCAACCACTATATGGGTCACGACGCCCACTAGCACCTGTACCACCACAACGCCTAATGTTATTACCACGACTACTTGGAACAGCTGCCAGCAGTGTGTTACTGTAACCTCTGGAGTGGTTCCAGTCACTACTGTAACCCAAGGACAGCCACAGACTACTGCCAATGGAGTCATCATAGTGAACAGCACCGGAATCTCTGTCGCGGTCAGTGTTTGGACTCCCCTGATCGGCGTTCTTCTCGCAGTGATGTGTAATGTTGCTGGGTAAGCACTTTACCGGCATCCAGACGGTGGAAGGATGGAGTCCAGGCTTGGCTTTTGTGATTTGGCTAATGGCGGCGTCCCGGAGAGGATTGGTCAGGCATATACGACTCTGGTGACCGGCCAACTCCCGATTTGTGTTCTGCCATTTTCCGATGTGAAGGAAAGAATGTATCGCTTCCGGCCATTGATCGAACAGTCATGATACCATGCAATACCTTGGCGATGCCTGTCTCGTGGGGTCGGGGTTTGGAGTCTTTGCTACTGTAATATCCTATGTTGGCAACCCAATATACGGAGACTTGGTATGCGAGGACAATCCCCAAACAATTAGGCTCATACGCTTGCCTCCACCCTGAAGGCAACTTCAGGGGTGCATTCGACAAATGTCAATTCAAACACAGTGCGGAGTGGCACAGGTCTGCCCAAACATTCCCAGCATCACAGGATTATTACAGGGGAAGTTGGTGGCGGGACCGCACCAATCATCCTATCCTTCTTGTCGGCCGAAGATCATGGAGTGGATAATGGCCAGCGAGGAAGATTGAGGTTTAACAAGAGATGCAGTCGACTCAGCTAATAAAGCAAGTAGCACATATCAAGATCGCATATTTGAGTTCGCTGTAAAGTGATATTACACATCATGTAACGGTCTGTAAGATGGACTGGCATGCTTAACATGGATGACTACCCGTGAGTGCTTCACGTCGTGCCCTCCTCCTCTTCGATAGACTTCGGCACAGATACCACCCCCGGCACAGTGACACTGTTGAGATTTCTCATGGCCTATAACATTCATGGCTTAGTACCTGGTCCTGAGCCTCCAACGCAGGTGTCATCCCCGTTTGGCTCTCGGCGTGTGCCACGATCCGGAGACAGAGAACGACACAATAGATCAGTAAGGGAACATACCTTTGCAAAGAAGCCCTCTGGCGGCGCCGTCCCACCCCACTTATCCTCGACCTTGGTGATCTTTGCCCCCTCACCCTCGTCCGTCGTATGCATCAGCACAGTCGATTCAATGACTTGCTCCTTCCCCACTGCTTTGACTTTGTACTTTGTCTTGAGGTGGAGTTCCATTGGGTTGCCAACCTTTTTAATCGCCACTTCCTCCTGGATGATGTCGGACATGGTCGCTTTGAGGCCGTACCATTGAGCCTCGTACTGTTTGCGACCGGTAGCGATAGTGATGGGATCAGAAAACACGGCGCCATCGGTCCACAGGGACAACTTGCGTTTCGAGGGAAAGCCGGCGAACAGGTCAAGCACGGAGGTGGTCAGCAGGGCTTGACGGTCGGATACCTTGGAAGGGGCAGGCGGGAGAGCGGACTGGATTTTGTATTCCGTGAAAGACGGAGGCGTGGATGCCGACATTGTGAAACGGCGGTTGAAGGGTGAGGAGTCGGCAGATATTACTCTGGCGGCGAAATAGAATTGCTTTTTGAGAGGGCGTGGGAATGTCTCGAAGATGGTGGGTGGAAGCGGAGACAGTGGTACGCGCATTGATAGAGTACGATTACTTGCATGTGGTTGAACTTTGGAGTCTGGAGACTATTGGGACCAAGGGAAGTTTGTGAATTAAAAACGAGTACTCGTAGCAGTACAGGATCCAGGAGATTGGTGACGAGGCGAGGAAACGAAACCATGATTTTTCGAGATGCTGGTGAAAATAGCCCAAATGATGTGCAATGTGGCTTACGACAGTAGCCCATGCATAGTCGTCGGCGGTCCTCGTACAGATTCGATGGAAGGCGGTAGACACCACGTCAGAAAAGTGGTGATGAAAACGGACATGGGAGCATCATGGAGCATTGGATGGTGATGTCAAGCGGATCCTTGACACTCGATCTGGAGTTTTCGGTTGCTTCAGATCGTGGCTTGTGCTTGTGGATCGGACCCCACAGTTTTTATGGTCTGCCCCTTTTGTTCTGCAGCCTCATTAATAACAGTGGTGGTGTTTATATCCACGGCCGTGGTAGTTGCTTTCGCAGAAATGCTAGCTTCAAGTGCAACAGTGCGGGAGGAATTGTAAGATGCCCCTCCGACAGGAAGGAGGTCGCACCAGAACAACATGCTGCGCAGGGTCACTGTAGCGAGAAGCCCTTCGATGAACAAAGGTCGCAGTCATAGACTTTGCTAGGCACTCCAAGTATGTAGAGACGGTCGCTGCTGTCCCACTGGCATACAGTATTGGCTCTCAAGTTCCGAGACTCGGGGAATGGCCAACCTTCTACTCGGATGAGGTGTCGCTCGTGGTGCTCAAGTTGGGCGATGATGGGCTGCAGTGGCAGAATCTTGGCGTGGAGAATCGCGTCGTTTTGAAGCGCGTCCTGCAATTCGACCTCGGAACACACTGTATTTACATTTTCTGCAAAAGGTCTTTCGGTTTTCATTCTTCCTTGATCACGCTACCCATTGCCAGCTTACGGTTTTCCTCTATCTTCTATTCTCTCACTTCTACCTTCTTGGGACCTTGCACAATCCTTAATCAGCCGTTGTCTCACTCGATCCTCTTCTTGCGTTCGTTATGCCTCGCAAGGCCAGGGCGAAGCCCACACCCGCCGAGGAGCCTGAAGAACAAAATGGCGCCGAGTCCGCAGAAGAGGACCTTGCCGTGACAGAGCCTCCTACAATCGACCCATATGATGTCCTGCAAATTTCCCAAAGCGCAACCGCAGACGAAGTCAGATCCGCTTACCGCAAGCTTGCCCTCAGACATCACCCCGACAAAGCTCGTCCTGAAGACCGCGAAACTGCCCACAAAAAGTTCCAAGAGATCGCATTTGCATATGCTATACTGAGTGACGAGCGGAGACGAAAGCGCTATGATGCTACGGGGAACACAGCGGAGAGCGCTAACCTGGAAGATGACGATTTCAATTGGGTCGACTTCTTCCGTGAGCAGAGCGCCAACGTGGTGAGCGGAGAAATGATTGAGCAAGTGAAGCGAGAATATCAAGGCAGTGAAGAGGAGAAGGACGATATTCTGGCCGCGTACGAGCAGGGCGAAGGCGACATGGATGCGGTTTTTGAGAATGTCATGTGTAGTGAAGTCCTGGCAGACGAGGACCGCTTCCGGAAGATCATCAACGAAGCAATCGCCAAGGGCGAAGTGGAGGCTCACGAAAGATTTACGGAAGAGGGCAAGCAGAGCCGCGAGAGGAGGAAGGCAAATGCGAAGAGGGAAGAGCAGGAGGCTAGGGAGTATGCGCGTGAGTTGGGCGTGGAAGACAAGCTGTTTGGGAAGAAGGACGGTTCGAAGAGGAAGTCGAAGAAGGGTGGAGATGATACGGATGCGTTGCAGGCGCTCATTCAGCAGCGGCAACAGTCACGGGCGCAGAACTTCTTTGATGATTTGGAGGCCAGATACAGTGGTGGCTCGAAGAAGGCCAAGCGGAAGGTCACAGACGAACCTCCAGAAGAAGCGTTCCAGAAGAATGCAAAGAAGGGCAAAAGAGCTGCAAAGGCTTGAGTGCAAAGGGTGGGTCAGTGCTGATATTCTCTTTTCAAAGTGTTGTTCAAAAGCATTGAGCGTGGCGTTTGGAAGTGCAATGGAAATGTATGTTTGCCCACGACAATCATGAAGCAGGGACCTTGCCGCTTGAAAATGACAAAGGGCAGATTGGCGTATACTACGGACTGGGACTGACGCGGTGCACATAATTCTGGGACACAATACTCCATAGGAGCGTAGAGGGAAAGATTCTGCTCACCCTCTATGCACTTCAATACTCAGCAATGGCAGAGTCAGACATTGTCTCGCTCGAATCATTGATACCAGTCAAGTCAGTCTCGGGCTATTGATAGCACAACACCTGCGCCGGTAGGTCTCTACATGCTTGCTGATCTTGCAGGGTTGTCTGTTATGCCAGATACATGAAGACAGCTTGCACCGCATGCAGCGTACAAGACTATGTATGCATGTCATACAAATGCCAATGCGTTGCAGCAATGGCCAATGCCTTTAACATCGTGAAGGCTGCTCAACGGCACGGTCCATGAGCCATGTGTCCGACCCGGCGTGAACCGCCTCAGCACTAAATTAAGTTAGGTGCTTGTGATGGCTGAGGGTGGAACCAGCGCTTCGGAAGGGTATGTGGTAAACAGGCAAACCACTAGAAGAATAGCCGAAGACACTAAGAAATTGTTTTATTCACGGAATTAGGCCTTAAATGCCTTTGTCGCCGGAGTACTATGTAGAGATCGAAATTTATTCCGAGCGAATCGTTGCGTTCTGAAGAATCATGGACTACTACCTAGGTAGGTAGGTAGGTAGGTATGAGAGCGAGAGAAACTGGAATGCACACGCGTGGGTTGTCTGACGCCAGATCGTAATTGTGTGCAGATAACACGTAGTTGGTCCGTGGTTGACATTGAAAGATCGTAGATCGGAGTGAGTGTGGCGTGAAATCATTCATGCATACCTAGGTACTTTTAAGTGGCTGCATAGTCGATAGAAAGGCCTGCGAAAGTGGGAGACAAGCACAGTACGCACAGAAGACAGTCAAGACTAAGTCACTGAGGCTAAATGGGGACTGAGGGAATTTGACACGGGAACTGAGAGTGCAGGCTTCAATACTGAAACTTTGACAGGGGAAAGAAAGACCCATGTCAGCAGGCAAAAGCCGACACCAATAACTCAATGGATGATGATGATGTTGGTTCGCATGGAGACTGGGATCGTCTCAAGCGAGACCACTGCGGGAGTCGGTTCTAAGAGGGTGGCTCCCTGGCCAACAAAATGTCAAATGCCAAAAATCCATCTTTGGTTCGAATACCAGACAATCTGGGCGACTTAGACAAGTTTGGGACGAGTGGTCGTAGATGATGAAGAGAGGCTGAAAGAGTCAGAAACCTGGACCAAGAGTCACAGAGTCGCAGAATTAGGTGTCATTCCAAGAGCAAACAACTGGGCACACAGCCGTTAGACCGGTTGAAGTGAAGCATGCCAGTGACTGGTTTCCGGGGGCTTTGGGGGGTAGGAGAGCAGGAGAAAGGATGGCAAACAGTGAGAGCCAGGCGAAGAAGAAGAGGAGGCCTGCTCGCCTGCTTGTTCCCATGCCGTGGCAGTTGCGGTGCAGCGAGTCAGTCACGCTCTTCTTTTTCCCGGAGCCAAGACAAAATTCGTTTCTCCTTACTTTTTTGCTCCTTCCTTCATCAGCGCTTTTTTTGCTACCCTTCACAACTTTCCATTTGCGCCTCTTCTATCGCGTAGAGGCTTCCCTGGCACTGTCAACCTTCTAGTTGTCGTGCCTCCATCTCCCTTTACAGCGGAGTTCATCCCTTCGACTTTCGCCGCAGCCAGAGCTCCGACCTCAACGGTTCGGAACTGCCTGCGCTGTGAATCTCCTCTCAACGGGTTTTCCCAAAATCCAAAGAGTCTCGGGTACATCGCATTCACCACTACCACCAGCACAAAGAGCGGCTTCCGTTCATTCGAGACAGTCGCCGCTTCGTGGTCACGGCCGAGAATCAGATAATCACCCATCCTTCATCAGACCGCAGGCTCGGACGACTTTTCCAGCAAACGCTGCCTCTGTCCTCCACTTCGTTTCAGCCTTTCAGTCAACCTCGCATCATTTTTGTGCGATCCCTCTACCCATCCATCTTATCTGATGAATAGCACATCTACGCAACCTCCAACGAGTCGATCGAAACCTGCTTCGTCTGCGACAGGCGCTCAGACCCTAGATCTTGCGAACGGATCGAATTTGGCTGCTCAAAGCCGAACGTCGCTCCCACCCGCCACCAACTCTTCCTCTTCCAAACCAAATGCATCGGAGCCCAACAAAATGTCTGCAGCAGTTGGAGGTGCTCCACCAGCACACGGTCATAGCGAATCAGTAAACGGAAGAAATCCTACCATTCCCGCGATCCCTTCAGTCAACGGCAACGTCTCTCTGCCAGACCACACCCGCAAGACTTCCATGACAGTCACACCCGCAGGTACCACTGCTTTCACAGCCAACGGAGGCGCACCGGGTGGCCCCCAAAATAAGCCTGGAATTCAGTTCGGTTCAATCGGAATGTCCAATCCTGGCAGTTCCCCTGCGATGGGCACGCCAAACCTGGCTCAACAAAACTCCTCAAACCTCGGCGTCAATCAACTGAATCCGCGAGATACTGCTCAGTCAAATTCTCCATCTCCTATTCCTCAGCCAGCTTTAGTCAGTGGTGGGCGACCTCCAACCTCATTCCAGGGCCCAAGTAACGGATACACTTTTGGAAACATGCCAAATGCGCCAGTCGATGCAAGTGATCCAGTAAGGCGCTGCTCTCCCGCAAACTCACATAAGTTTAGACTAACTTGTCTAGATGTTGGCTCGATCTCACATGCCATTAGGACCTCAGCAAGAGCACATGAGACGAGGATCATCACAGTCCATGCACAGTGACGCTGGTCTTCCATCAGGACCCAACCGCACTGGCTTCCAAGGCCGTGGTAGCAAAAACTTCAATCCCCCATATCAACAGCAGATGCAGTACTCGCCTCACCAGTCATTCCGCCCCCCACCCAATGGCCGCGTCATGCAAAATCAATATCAAGGACGAGGTCAACCGATGCCCTATCAAGGCTCCCCAGCCATGGGCACCCGCAGCCCAGCCCTTGTTAACGCCACCCCAGGAACACCCAATATGACCCAGATGCATATGGCGACCGGTATGCCCGGACAACCGAATGGATATTATATGGGACCCCAATATGTAAAGAGCCACCCAGCGCAAGTTTCTTCTTCCCGTGGTGATTCCGCAAAAGACAGAGGCAGTAAACCTACAAGAGGCCGAGGCCGTGGCGCCCGTCAAGGTGGCCGCGGTAAAGGCCCTGGTAGGGGTGGACACGAGGGAGGACCCTTCTTCAGCAGAGATCCCGCCTCCGACCACTATCGACCTGATCTTGCGAATCATCGTGTTGTTGCACATGCCCCCAGAGTTTTCCCTTTTCCAGATCTTTCTCCCGAGAGCGGTAATTTTGAACATTTTCTGACTGCGAGAGCACAGGGCTTCGGTATCCCTACCCAAGCTGATCCTAGTATTCAAATGTTGTATCAACAGCAGTATCATGGATCGGCAGGCATGCAGGGACAATACCCTCCTCCGTTCATGCCACCTCAATCTCCTCGACCCCCTTTCCAACAAAATGCATTCCCACCAAATATGCAACCTGCCTACAGTAATCAAGGTGCACCCCCCTCGATGTCCAGGCAGTCTTCGCAAATGTCTGCTCCCGAGCGGCCGGGGTCTAGTGTTGGTCAAGCGCCTCACACTCCTGGACCATCTGGGCCTCAGCAGACCGCCCGCACCCCCAGCGTCTCTGGGCAGAAACCTAGCTACACCATCCCACCGAAGAAGAGTGCAGCAATCACCATCAAGAACACAGCTGGCGAGGTGGTCTCATTCAGTAAACCTCCTCCGTCTCCTGCAGCCGCCACACCTGTCTCGGCCACGGCTCCTCCATCAGTACCTACGCCTCCTAGTCGGACAGCGAGTGCTGCGGACAACACTCACAATCGAACAGACAGTGCGAGCGCAAAGTCGGCGGAGGAGGCAAAGAAGTCCATGCAAGAGGCCATTGCCAAGAAAATCGCCGAAGACGAGGCTAAGAGCAGGCTGCAGAAAGAGATGGCTGAAAAGGCGCAGATGGAGGAGGAAGCTGCTGAGGCTGCCGAACGAGAAGCCGCCGAATCCAAAACCCGAGCAGAGGCCCTGGAGAAGGAGGCCGCTGATGCTGCAGCTCGCAAGGCCGCCGAAGAGGCTAAACATGCTGAAGAGGCAAAACATGCTGAAGAGGCAAAACAGGCTGAAGAGGCTGCAGCTCGCAAGTCCGCCGAGGAGGCCGAGATTGCTAAGAAGGCTGAAGAAGAAAAGTCAAAGGAGGAATCAGCAAAGCCTCCTAATAAGGCAGACGAAGAAGAAATCGATTTCGACGCTATCGAGGCCGAAATGGCGGCCATTGAAGCAGAGGAAGCACGTCGCGAGGAAGAGTACAAGAAGAAGAAGGCTGCCGCACTCGAAGCTCAACGCAAGAAGGAAGAAGAGGATGCAGCAGCTTATGAGGCTAAGATGAAAGAGATGGAGCGCAAGGCTGAAGAAGAGGAGCTTGCACGCGAAAAGGAGAAAGCTGAAGGAGCAACAGACGACGAGGCCAGCAAAAAATTGTTTGCTGAATTGAAGGCCAATCCTTTCGGCACTCCTGCTTCGACTGAGAGCCCTGCTGCTCACACTCCTGCCGAAAGTGGCACCGCCACCCCTGTGTCCGACGTCTCGATGCCTCCTCCTGCCGCGAAGGCTCCAGCTAAACGTGGTAAGGCTGCTGAACTCACTCTTGATACGAAGAAGCCCGTTGAGCCACCGGAGCCCAGTGCGACATTGAAAGCCCTCCAGTCAGCCAAGAAGCTTCAAGACCTTTCCAAAGTCCATTATCCCTCCGAAATTGCGTCGCCAAACCCAGCGCTCAATGCCAATGCGCCGGCCGACCGCAAATTCAAGTACAACAAAGAGTTCTTGTTGCAGTTCCAGAGCGTCTTCAAGGAGAAGCCATCTTTGGATTGGGACACCCGCATTAGAGATGCTTTGGGTGACGGCGACACGTCGGCGCGAGCAGCTTCTGCCAGGACGCCGTCCGGTATGGGTGGTCGCAGCGCATCGTCCCGAGGACCTCCACCCATGAGCAACTTCGGGCCTATGGGCAGCTTTGGAGGCGCTCGTGCTAATCTACCTCCTGGCACAACTTCCGAACAACGATTTGCTGCCTCTAATGCTGCCATGAGAAGTGGACCCATGGCAGGTAATCCCTTTGCTCAATTCGGACGTCCCGGTCAGATGGCTCCTGCCATGGGACGCACTCCTTCTAGTGGTCCCCTCGGTCCCATTCCTGGTTCCCCCCGTATTGGTGGTGCGAGCCGAGGTGGATCTCGTGCCGAGAGCAAACGAGGCAAGCAAGGACATAAGGGAGCTCACGAAGAGAACAAGTCAATGCCTCTTACAGCCGGCATGAACATCGGTGCTCTCGAAGTGTCTTCCACTGGATGGAAGCCCCGCAGTCTCGGGCAGAATGCTGCTCCAGGTCCCGCTCCCGGAGGTGATGGCTTGATGGAGCCTGATGTCGTTCAGCGCAAGGTCAAGGCTGCTCTCAACAAGATGACTCCAGAAAAGTTCGACAAGATTTCGGACCAGATCTTGGAGATCGCCGCCCAATCCAAGCATGAATCAGACGGTCGTACGCTACGTCAAGTTATTCAGCTCACTTTCGAGAAGGCTACTGATGAAGCCCATTGGGCCCCAATGTACGCCGCTTTCTGCCGTAGAATGTTGGAAAGCATGAGTGCGGACATCAGAGACGAGGGCATCAAGGACAAGGCCGGCAACGTCGTCACAGGTGGTAATCTTTTCCGAAAGTATCTTCTAAACCGGTGTCAAGAAGAATTCGAACGAGGCTGGAAGATCAATATTCCCCGAGCAGAGGGTCAGTCTGAGGAGGCTGCCATGCTGTCCGACGAGTATTACATCGCCGCTGCTGCCAAGAGACGTGGTCTTGGTCTCGTCAAGTTTATTGGCGAACTGTTCAAATTGCAGATGTTGACGGAACGTATCATGCACGAATGTGTGAAGAAGCTTGTTGACTACGAAGGCACTCCCGAGGAAGCCGAGATCGAAAGCTTGACGAGCTTGCTGCGTACTGTTGGCAGACAACTCGATGACCCTGAAAGCAAGGGTAAAGGCCGTATGGATGTCTACTTTGACCGCATCAACCACATGGTCGCCATTCCGGATCTACCGAGCCGTCTCAGATTCATGCTCATGGATGTGATCGAACTCCGAGCAAAGGGTTGGGTCTCGAAGGAGGACGATAAAGGCCCCAAGACCATCGCCGAGATTCACGCCGAAGCTGAACGGAAGGCGCGTGAAGACGAGCTCCGGAGACTTGCCCAGCAAGGCGGCCGCGGTGGTGGAGGTAGACTGCCAATGGGTCGGGGCGATGCACGAAGCTTCAGTGGGTACGGAGGACAAATTCCACCTCCCGACACCTCGAACCGTGTCGGTAGTGATGATCTGCGAAGACTTGGCAACCGCAACGCTCGCAACCCAAGTAATACCGGCGCCGGCACTCTCGGGCCACCGAGCCTGCTCGGTCCACGTACGAACAGTGGCCGACGTGGTCTCGGACCTGGAGGCTTGCTCGGTCGCGGAGATGATAGCGCTACCAGCAGCCGCACTGGAACACCTCCGGCTGGCAAAGAAAAGGAGAAGAAGGATGAGTCCAGTACCAATGCTTTTAGGTAAGCTGGAGTCATTTTTGGCCGCCCACGATGCATACTAACTATTCCTGCAGTGCTCTCGCCGCTCTTGAAAATGACGCACCTGGCTCACCACCATCCAATCCCGCATCTCCCCCCACACAAAAGTCTCAGCCCAGTATCGAGGGAGAACGATCAAGATCACCGGACAAAGCCGAGTGAATCTTCTCAGCCTGATCAAAGTGTACAACATAATACCATTCGAGCACTAATACTTGACTGACGGCCGCTTGTGGGGAGGTTTGGCAGACGATGTGCATTGATACCCGGCGTGAGCCACATGTTTTAGCATTTACAGCACAGCGGATTGGTTGGGCTGTTGAACCAAAATTATTTCACCGTCAAGTTCCAAGAAGAGACCTTCGATTGCACTCGAAAGCGATAGAGAGAATGTGTTTTATCACCAAATACATTGCGTCTTCAACTACCGGATGGGTGGAGCATTTTTTCGGCGTCGTGTTTTACTAGTACACAAAAGTGAATGGAGCAGCTGCATGAAGGCACGATTGCTTGCATACTTTCCATGCTGACTCCTTGTTCATGTTACGTGGCAGTCTGGCTAGGCCTAATCGAGAGAGGGAGCAGGTGGTGAAGGTCGTGGGAAGCCAGTGGTTGAGAGGCAATCACCGAGAAGTATCGCTCCACGGTCGAGTTCTAGTTCATCGAGCAAGCCTGGTGAGGCGAGGAGTCTTCTGTGTTGTACATTGCCAAATTTCAAGAATTCCTTCATCAAATTGATCTTCTCTATCGTGATATCCAGCTATTCCTGGTCAGCTTCTATGCAAAGCTATAATAGGTACCCGACGCGTTCCGGTGCACGACTTGGCCATGGGGCTCTCTTCTCTCTGTTGCTTCAGTCCTTCAGTCCTCCAGCCGATCGCTTGCCCCGTTTTAGCTGAGCACGCAAGACCTCGCCAGCGACTTTTGCTTCATCAGCAGCCCTACGTCTGTCCTGTTCCTCCTTCTCATACGCCTTACGGATCACTCTAGTATGTCGTTCTTCTCTTTGGTGCTTCATGGCCTCCCGCTTCCTTCTCCTGACCGCGCGATTATGATCTTGTTCTTTCTCGCCTTCGGTCTCCCTTTGCAGTTCCTTGAGTTGTCTTGATGACAAGGTCCAGGGTTTTCCGAGAGTCGAGTTCAAGAACGTAATGCGAGACGCGATCAGGGTCATTTCGTGTGTGGTGTCGGGAACAATGGCGAGGCGGAGGAGTGAGAGTTGACGTGAGGAGCGAAACGTCGAGAGAGTGCCTTTTGCTTGGACGACGGTGCCGATGGTTAGAGTTGAGACGTTGCGCTGGAGAATGGCTGCTTCCGTGGTGGACTCCTCGCCGCCATTGGACTTGGACTTCCCGTGCTGCGCTGAGTTGGCCGCGGCCTTTTCCTTCTCAGGCTTCGGGCAAGTCACGTCGATAGTCGCGCCGCTGCTATCATCGATGGTGAAAAGCCAGAATTTCTCGAAGTACTCATCGAATGCCACGACCACGCCGACAACTTGGACGAATTGGATGGGGTGGTTCAGGTAGAAGAGCAGGAGGGCCGCATCGCGATGGTTGTGGTGTGTGGCAGTGTCAGGGTGCGCGAGCGTTGTGGTAGTCTCAGCGTACTTCTCGTGAGGCTTCAGCACATGATGAATGTCGTGGGCGGTCAGTTTGACCCATTTCGACCAGGTCTCGGAGGCTGTGAAGGCATAGGCTGGGTAGAACGTCAGCGACGTTGAGGCAGCGTTAATGATATTGTTTTCATGTGGTCGATGGTCGGGATTCTGCATTCATTTGGTCGAGTATAGCGCCATACGGCTGCCATACGGCTGCACAGGCGCGTGCTGTACTGGAGTGCGCGTGTCAGCTGAACGGTGGGATGCGAAGTCGGATGCTGAGGACGCGAGGTCTGGCCAGGCGAGGCTTGACCGAAGTGGGTTTAGGGGGTTTCTTGCACGGGAAGGATCAACGACCAATACCGGCGGAGCACAAGATTTCCACGTCGCAGCTGCATACGGTGGAACACACAATACGTAAGTGCAGATCGTCAAGGGACGATCACGTGCGTGTCTCGAGAGTACTTAGTCGGCTATCGCGGCACAGGCAATTTGCAGGACTTCGCTTTCTAACTGCCGGCCAGCGAATGGACCAAGATCATGGGCACGGTCTCCGAGATCGGTGGCGAGCCGACCGCCTCTTGTGTTTTGATATCATTTGTTCTGTCTGAATCATCGTGGTCAGTTACGACTTTATTCACTACTCAGCTTGGCCCTCACAAAAGTCCATCGAATTCAACGTTTCTTGGCCTGGTACCGGTGACAATAGCCGAGACCTATCGATGAGCGCCCAGATTTGGGTCTAGCCTTGAGTCCAGCAGAATTTGGGCCGTCTTTCCGGGAAAATAGCTTGGCCCGTACTCCGTACTGCAATTGATGTCGAGCGAGCCTTTCCACTCCGATCAGGATGGAATCCAAAAAGACGGACCGGTGAGCCTCGAGAGTCATCGAGAGAAGGAGGCCGCCACAAAGGCGGATCATCTCTCAGCAGCAGAAGAAGCTCCTGAGTCAGGCTCTTCAGAGTCTTCTGTCAACCAGACACCAACTCTCACGCGCGATGAAGAGCGGCATAGCGAGAATGGATCCCTCGAGAGAACGCCCACAGAACCAGACGTGGCAGCGCAAAGACTGCAAGCACAGCGTACCACGACTACTGCGTCAGCGGCGGGCCCCGTCCATTCGGTTTTCACCAAGAACCAGAAGAGATTTATCGTCTTTATGGCTTCGTGGGCTGGGTTCTTCTCGCCTGTTTCCGGACAGATCTACTTTCCCGCGCTCAACCCTCTGGCGAGAGATCTGAAGGTGTCGGATTCGCTTATCAATTTGACCTTGACTTCGTACATGGTGAGCAAAAGAACGCTCTCTTCTTTTTTCTGCTGGCCACACTGACACAATCCTATGTGTTAAGATTTTCCAAGGCCTCGCCCCAACATTCGTCGGAGACTTTGCGGACGCAGCGGGTCGGCGGCCTGCTTACGCTGGTACGTCCTCGCCATTGGCTTTACTGGGGGAATTCTATGCTCACATTCATGGCAGTCTGCTTTATCGTCTACATTCTAGCGAACATCGGCCTGGCCCTTCAAAACAGCTATGCCGCGCTCTTCGTGCTTCGATGCGTCCAGAGTACGGGGAGCAGCGCGACCATCGCCATGTGCAGCGCCGTGGTATCAGATGTTGCCACGGCCGCGGAGCGTGGGAAGTACATGGGCTTCACTCTGGCCGGATCTTTGCTGGGACCTGCTATAGGTCCGGTCATTGGGGGTATCCTGGCTGACTTTCTGGGGTGGCGAGCGATCTTTTGGTTCCTGACCATTATGGGAGCCGCATTCTTGCTTGTTTTTGCGATCTTCTTTCCCGAGACAGGTATGTTGACCTTTCACAATTGTATAGGGCCCGTGGCTGACTTGGGGTTGTGCAGCACGCAATCAGGTCGGAAACGGCTCGATACCGCCCAAAGGGTGGAGTATGTCTCTGATGAATTACCTTGCTGTTCGAAAAGCGCGGAGACTTCAGCCTAATGATGATCTGTCTACGGATAACGACGCCGCGGCGACGCTGCCAAAGCGACAGGAATTCCGCTTCCCAAATCCTCTCCGGTCGATGGTGCTGATCCTGGATAAGGAGAATTTCCTGCTCCTGTTCTACAACGCTTTCTTGTTCGCGGCGTTCTACGACGTCACAGCTGCTATCCCGTCTCAATTCAAGGAGATCTACAACTTCAGTGTCCTACAAATCGGTCTCTGCTACATCCCCATGGGCGTAGGCTCGATGTGTGCGGCCCTGACGAACGGCCAACTCCTCGACCGCAACTTTGCACGCTGGTGCAAGAAGCTGGGCGTCAAAATCAAAAAGGGTCGGAACCAAGACCTGAGCAATTTTCCCATCGAGAAGGCGCGGCTGCAGATCGCATTCCCGGCGGTCTACTCGACGGCGATCCTGGTGTGCTTGTTTGGCTGGATTATGCATGTCAACGGGCCGTTGGCGGCCATATTGGTGGTGCTGTTCTTCATGAGCTTGAGCATGAGCGTTTCGTTCAATGTCACGAGTACGTTGTTGATTGATTTTTATCCCACCAGCCCGGCGACGGCGACGGCCGCAAACAATGTCGTCAGGTGTGTTTTGGGAGCTGGTGCGACGGCGGCTGTGGTTCCAATGATTAACGCCATGGGGAGAGGGTGGACATTCACGTTTCTGGCGCTGTTCTTGATTGCAACGAGCCCGATGCTTTGGTGTGTGTATTTTCGGGGCTTGCAGTGGAGGAGGGCGAGGATGGACAGGGAGGAACGCGCGAAGAAGTCAAAGGAGGAGGCGGCTAGGAAGGGAGGGGGTGGCGAAGATGCGACCATGGATGGGAGTGGGCAGCCGCCTGTGGAAGGAACGGTCCCAGAGATGGTGGGCGTGGTTGAGAAGGAGAAGGAGACGGAGGTGAGAAATGCACCAGACCGGAATGACGATGAGGGTCACAATACAACACTCTCTAGGACGTTTTCGTATGCATCCGGCTACTGAGTATGGGACACATGGCGAGGTATTACAGACAATTCTCGATCAATGGTGTCAGGCTCTCTGCTTTTTGGTGTCAATGCCTGGACTTTTGCATGGTGTGTACGCTCGTGCAGCATCGGGTAAGTCATTGCGACGTGGTTTGATGGAAGGCAAGATGTTCATGCTGCTTCCCTTATGATTTCAGAGTTTGGATCTGAGGCATCAGCTCATATGAGCTCCTCTTTGCATCATGTCATTCACTTCATGCGGGAGGTGACGATGCAAGTCCCGGGAGTTGTGTTCCGATTCGGATAGCGATCCCCGTGAGTCTGTCCTCCCAGTCTTCAAGAACTGACCTGGTTATGCAAGGACATCTGGAACTGTACAAGTAGCTCGTACTCGTGGACAAAAGAAGAGTCGTCACTTTAACGTCAGAGGAGCCATGGTTGGGACCCTGGACTTGTTCTTCCCGCGGGGTCCTGAGCAAGACTTTGTTCTTTCCCAAATATATTGCGTTCGCAAGCACTCTGCACTCACCATTTTGCCGACCAGGACAAGAATCTCAAGTGTATTCCAGATCCCGAACCGCGTCAAAAAATTCGCCAGGCAAAATGACCGACAAGTCCAACTACCGTGCCGCCGACGACAAGTACGAGGCTCAGAATGACGAAAAATTCGATCCCAGCGGCGACCTTAACGACTCCAGCTATGTGAGACCCGGAGACAGCACGGTTCCAGTCCAGAAAGACTCGGCTCCGGTCGAAGACCCTGTGCAGCCACCAACATCCAACAGTGACGCGCAGCTCGGTAAGTAGGATTGGTAGTTGTGGTATTGCTTCTTCTGACAACCCACAGAGCAAGACGAGAGAGAAGCCATCGACAAGGGCAATATCGTCAAGGGGCGAATTCGCCACGCCAAACCGACGGGCTCGTATTCCGAAGGACCAGACGAGGATCAACTGCCAAAGGAGGTCGCCAGTGGAGCGGATGGTACTTCTTCTACCCGAGGTCTCTAGAGGTCCGAGGTGGAGTGCTCACAGTGCCGAGTCCGAATGATATCAGCAAGGGAGACGATACGAGTAGAGTAGAATCTAGTCTCAACCACAAGTAGTGAAATGCATAAGGCTTGATTGATCCAGGTAGTGGGAGGTGACCGGTGATTCGCTTACTGCACGGTAGTGTTCTGAGACACAAGTTTCCACCCGGTCCGCAGGGCCCCGGAGAAGCCATTTTGATCTGGGGATTACTGTGGACAGTATTCCTGACAGTCGGAGAACGCCGCTGTTCAGTGAGGTACAGTATGTACTCGGGGAATTGATTGATGCCAGGAGGAGGAGGAGGAGGAGAACCTGGAGCAAGCCTTGAAGTATTGACGTCAGCTTATGATTCGACGAAGTTCCAAAAATGCTGATCGTATTCCATCCCATGCTGGTGCCGGCATCAATCTCCATTATGCCGAAGCATTCCGTGCGTTGCAAATGATGCGAACAACCTGGATGTCAGGGTGATGAATGTGACTTCATCAAGCAGAGAAAGGAGGAGTCGGTTTCACCTTACGCTAGGGCCCGAGCATGGGCTCAGGCACGAGTCTACCGTACTAGTACTATCTAGTACTAGTGATATGGGGAAGTCTCTAGCCGCGTCTAGACTAAGTCGTGATAGCCTGATAGTGCAGTGCTCTGATTGGTCCGGCAACGGCCAGTCACCAGGACCCTCTATTTTGTTGATTTGCAGACCTAAAGTACCGAAGAAAGAAGTCTTCCTCCATTTTCCAACTAACTATCAACTCTCAGGGATTGTTACCAGCCCGGAATGCAACTCGTCCCAACAGCAACAAGTCTTACCTCGTACATCTGCCAGAGCCAGCGTGTGTACCGGGATGAGGCTTACCATGGGGGACAAAGCGGGACCCGCCCACGATGTCAACATGAATATCACAGTACATCTGTTAGAAATACTCGTGCCGTTCTTGTAAGGAATATGCCTGCTTCCAATTCTCGTGTTCCCCTCTTATTGTAGATCATTCCGCATCGTTGTGCATCAGGCTGGCTTCGGAAGGCATCTACCAGTCACCCGGTCAGAAACAGATGGGCGGTCTGCGTCGTGCCTGGCCGACGATGCGTCAGTGTAAGATCATCTGGTGCTGGTCCTCAACTCGTCTGGTACTTTTCACCACCCCCCCCCGATGCCCAGGTGTCCCCAGCCACTGCAAGGGCAAGGGGGATGAAATGGCCTCGGATCTCCTTTCCGAGCATACTACGTATCCTTACCAGGTAGGGATTCATCTTCACCTCACTTTGCGAGAGGAGCGGGTGGTGATTTTCACTACTCGTAAAAACACAGTGACTGCCACTGACTTACGCAACCTCTGAAGTCATAGTGATGACGCGCCAGGCCTCTTCTACATCTCCCACAGAGTATATCTAGCAGGACCCTAGCCCGTACCACACTTCCCTTCATCAAAATCTCTTGCACTTCTTCTAACACCAACGCTGTTGACCAAACACCTCAAAACACAAACACACGCACAAAACTCGCAAACTTCACAACCAACCATGTCGGCCAACACCAACCCAGGAAACTTTGCCAACCGCCCCAAGGAAGAGGTCCAGGAGATCGCCAGTAAGGGAGGTCAAGCCAGCCACAACAGCGGCTTTGCCTCGATGGACCCAGACAAGCAGGTAAGTCACATTACATCCACGTTTCCTCAGTCACTACTACTACCGCAATGTATCGTAATGCTAACAAGTTGACCTTTTCACAGCGCGAGATTGCTTCCAAGGGAGGCCAAGCATCCAGCGGCTCCTTCGAACCCGGCAGCGAGAAGGCTAGAGAGGCCGGTCGGAAGGGAGGTTCTGCCACTGGCGGTTCTTAGTCCTCACAACATCATAGGCATACACAGATGGACGTCGAGTCAGTGACGGACGAAGAGGGAAACATCACATCAGTGTAACCTACGAGCTTTTCAATTCAAGGTTCAACCAAGATCACACACACTCTGCAAACTGTGCTGGGCCGATCATCGACGGCTGCACAAGAAATGATATGTATCATTAGACAGGAACAACTGAGATACCATTTGACACAGCGAATTCCTGTTGTGAACCATCGTGATCGGTTCATCAAACGTTGGCTATTGCTTCTCGAGAGGTGAGGTTTCCATCCCAGATAGCAACTTCAATACCGCTCGCAGCCTGCCTGAAGAAGCGTACATCATACATTCCACCACATCAGAAACATTCCCACCCAACTCCTGAATACTGACGCACGTGCTCCGGGCTCTCTGAGTCAGCAATGCTCCGAACGGCCATCTGCCAACGGGTTGTGGCAGCCCAGAAGCCCAGTCTTCTCTTATACATTATTAGGTAGCCTCCGCCTCTTCTTGATTCTGCCACGTCTGCTCTGCTGATCGCCCAGCGTGACGACGGCTAGAATTGCGATCCGCCGTGCCGGATCCTCCACGAATGGATTAGCATCTGGGGCGGTCAAAGAGGTACGCACACCGCACACCGTGTCACCAAGATTGGAGTTGTCCGGATATCAATATCAGCGGAACAAACTTCCGAGGAACTGACATCCGAGGATAAAATGTCCGAAATGCCCTTCAAACAACCCCATCGGCCGATAGCCAACTTCACGGTCTTCGTTCGCTGCCGCACTTGGTGCCGGGAGGATGTGCGCTCAGAATCGGGGCTGTAGAAATCTTTGCTGGCACAATAACGACCGTCTTGTCACCTGGGTACCGTTAGGCTGGGCATAGGAAAGGCATAGTCGTAACACATGCTAGAGTCCACCCCAGTTGAGGTAAAATCGAATGGTCCAGGTGCGTTGCCGATAAGCCCAGCTGTTTCAATTTCGCTGGGCTCACAGCAGACCTGATTGATGAGTGAGGTGTGCCGCAGCCTTGTGCTTTCATCCGTATTAAAGTTGTGAAAGGAAACTGCTCGGCGCTGGAGTCGGTTCATGCGACAAAGCAAGTGCAGTTGGCAATTCTGCTGATGCTGAAAAGAAGGTGAATTCGTCAGGTAAGTCGAGGCTTCCTGGCCTTCAAACATCCCAGTCGACGGTGTTGCTGATTGTGGTGGCGTCACCGTGCTGGCTGACTGAAATTGCTCGAAGTCCCCACCGGAAATGTCAAAGTCAAAGTCTTGCAGTGGTTGCAAGGTCTCTTCCGCGTTCACGAAAGAGGTCGTTGTCTCTCCCTGTGAAAGTTGCTGTAGATCCGTGAAGCTGACTGATGGCGACGCTGTAACTGATGGCGGCGGTCTTGCGTTGCTGGAAAAAGCAGCATCAGAGAAACCTGAGCTGTCCAGGCCCAGCCCTTCCACGATGTCTTTGGTGTTTATTCGTCCGTTGGAGCGGTTCTGGAGCAGTTCGGGGAGGCATTGTTTTGCTCGGCACGCCCAGTACAGCCGTTGCAACGCTTCATCCATAATTTCCAGCATGCGTAGTGCTCTGGCAACAGACTCCCGTCAGCAAATATACACGGTTGAGGGTGCAATATCACGCGCTGGCCTCTAGTCTCGCGTCCTCTTCGCATTTCGTATGTGCACTTGCTGTCAGCTTCGACGCATTTGGTGCATCTTGAACGTCCATCACACTGGAGATGGTCAGCTACCGAGATGTGAGTGTTTGGCAAGTGAATACTGTCGTGTACCTTCGCCTTCTTTACCCTACAGCGATCACAGGCGTGAGAGGTTCGTCTTCTGGAAACACCACCGTTGTCTGAGAAGCCTCCTGTCCTTGAAGGAGGCATTTCGTTGTGAGAAACAAGGTTTCCTTCGAGTGGCGAGTATTCTAGGTTGTCTGTCAAGTATTCGAAGCTCGGCATCGAGGGACTTCTGCATGTTTAAGTTGAGGTACAAGGGTGCCGGTGCAGCAGAGTGGAGCAATATGCACCTGCCTCGAATGGTCCTTCGAGCTGATGTCAACAGTTCAGGAACATTCTGGCAAAGTCCCATTCGTACTGCGTATTACCTCCGCTGGGGCCAAGGATTCCAACAAGCGACAAGGGATTCTGCTCTTACTAGAGCACATGTAATCAACCGAACGGGTAGCAAATTCTTTCGTTGGATGGAGACGCTGGTCATCGCGGATGAGACAACCAGGTGCAAGCAAGGTCCCAGCGCTAAATTGACATGACATGCTGCCTAGACATGTGCTAAAGCATTGTCCTCGGAAGCCACAGCAGTGACCGCCTTAAGTTGATTAGCTCAGATCTGAAGTATGAGGACAGACGACGGACGAGGAGAATTGCCGTAGCATTACGAGGTACCAGGGCCCGGAATGCACATGTGGGCATGAATCTGCACTTCTGGCTGGTTGAGGGACTTGTCCGCATCTCGATTGCCCCCAACGTCCTCAAGCTCGAGAAGAGCTATATTGCTATCGGCGCCGGTGAATGGACTCAGTAACCAGTGATCTGCTGCCGGCTTTCCCCTCTAGGAGAAAAGTCGAGAGAAGGTCCTTGCAACCCCGGAGCCTGGTGGTCTGGGCTCACTAGTTCGGTCTCGGAGAATAGAATGCGAGGGACACGAACTACTGTAGACGAGTTGTCTGGCTGCATACGAGTTGCCGGTCTCGGGTGACCAATAGGTTACAACATGCTCACCAATCGGGTTCCATTGGTTCGTTAGTACAGTACCTCGTATAAGCCAGTGTGGCCAGTCAAGCTCCTTCTCGCTTTTTCTCGTGTCTTTCTTCAAGATACCAGGTTCGTGCTTCGGTGTAGAAGGCCGGACTCGAGCTTACCCTAGTTAGCGGCCACCTTCGAAATATCCCGTATGAGGAGGGCAAGGCTGCGTCAGCCTCGCCTATTCTAGGGCTCTGCTGAGCACTCAACGGATCATCGACACGACTCTGGAGGCGTTGACTTGGCCAACGAACAAGGGATTAGGTTATCGAGGTTGACGGGGCCACCCTAAGCCCAGGGTACTTGGCTTGCTACGTCGGGTCTAAGTAGTAGCTTCAGGTTCGTTGCTCGGTCAGATCTAGTTAGGCATCCATGGGGAGCCCCCAGAGCCATCTTTGAGCCTGGTGAGATATTTGCTTTAGGCATGTGGTATAGCTAGTGCTCTCCCTGAGACCCCTAGACCAAGACGAGAGATACAGTAAGCACATTTCTCTCATTGTGGGAAAACCGTCATTGATACTCCGGACACTCATGCGCTGTAATGCAATGCGCTGCATGTTCAACATGACTCCATGCCTCTTAGAATTCGTCCACTGCGATGCCATCGTTAAGTTTCCGACTCCAATCTCAAAGCCATCAACACGCGATGCATTAATGAATAGACCTTCAGACCTCTCCAGTTGAGTTCAAGCTCAAGTCATCAAACAAAGGCCCTTGATCCCCTCTACAACGCCCGCCAACATCCTCAACCCATACGCCGAACTCACGCGTTGCATGACCTTCAAGTTCGCCCGTATCTCCGCTCGGTCCATAACCCCAACCCACTCACCTCCACACGCACAATGATCAGCAAACATCGCATCATCGCCCTGCAAAGTTCCACACTTCTTACACTTCAGATCCTGCACCTGCCAACCGAGGAGAGTAGCCTGTAGGCGCGCAATCAAACCTTCCTCCAGCGCGATCTTGTCATACTCGCTCTGACAGCTCAAGCACCGCCACGGCTTATTGACACCATCTTGCTCGCCGCTTGCCAGATCAGGCAAGACATCCTCGTCCCGACACAAGTCCAGATCCCGGGTCATTGTGCAAGTGTCGCAAACGAGGTTGTTGATCCGCAGACTCGCGCTTGGGTTTTCGAAACGCGCTTCCTTTCCAAACTCGCGCACATCGAACAGCGCCAGCAACTCCTTTCTAAGCAATCTTGCTTCTAACTGCAGCGGCTTTGACAACGAAACAATCTGCATCAAAGCCTTGACCAGCTCGAGCACCGGATCGCGCGGATGGCGATGGTCACTGGATTCCAGCGTGCCACCTGGTAAGCTAGGGAATGTCCAGTCGCTCGCCAATTCAGGATGGAGGAGTTCCTCTCGCTGCCGCCGTATAAGAGCTGTGATCTGCTTCTTTAAGGGCTTCGAAAAGTCATCTTGCAAGACTGTCGTTACTTCCGTGCTTGTCGGATCTTCAGTCAGACTGATAAATGCCGAGGGTAACTGTGTCGGTCGAGGCGCAGACGAGTCAGAAGCACCCGCCGCGCTAGCTGGTCTCTTGAGACTCTGCATCAACTCAATGAACGTGATCACCCAGTCGTCAAAGACAGGCTGCAACGGCAGCGGGAGGAATTGCGAGAGTTGCCAATGTACCACGGTCTCAAGGGTCGAGTTAGTCGTCTCTTCTGTAATCGCGGACGTGCCTTTGCCGCCGTAGTTGTACGCGTCGTACCATATGAGCACGTCCCAGTAGTCCTTCACCTCCAACCCGAGGAAATGGAACAACGGTTTCTGCTGAATCGACTTCAGAATGTACTGAGAATAAGCGTACGCGTTCTCGACTTCTTGCTTAGATGTTTGCAGCAGTAATCTGGTCGGACTTGCGAAGACAACCTGGGACCCCACGCGTCGAAAATCTGTGATGAGCTGCTGCATTGCTTTCTTCGACATCATCTGCACGTAGTAATGGAGGTGCCGGTCATATAAACATGATGCAGGAGCCTCGACCCAGCGCACCAGGTGTTGGACCATAACATCGGCAAGGCGATTGCCACGACAAGCTTCGGCCCACCAGGACTTCACCATTTCTCGGAGGACCTCTAGCGCGGCCTGAGCGAATCCGCCATTTGACTTTTCTGTGCTGGCATTGCATGACTCTCCGTCGGCGGCAGGATTGAACGCGACAGAATCTGCGGATCCCTCAAGGTCGTTGATAATCGAGGACGTCAAGATGGTATTGATCGTCAAGTTCTGAACGGAGACATCCACGCAGGCCGAGGTATAAGCACCTGGAGTATTGATTGACGGCATCTCCACGACCTCTGTCAACGGGCCAACGACATCGTCACGCTCGTGGCCTGCATGATCTGGACGCGCTTGATCCGACCACCACAGCACGACATTACTCTTCTTCAAACGCCGTGCATATGCCAGATCAATGAGGAAACGAGGATCGTCTTTCTCCAGGTTGCACAATGGCAGATCACCGTATCGTGCAAGCTCAAGGAGGTGTGCCAGCCAGCCATGCGCGTTCAAATAGTGCGAAATGAGCTGCTTGAAAGCATATCCTTGCCAGCCGAGAGGGGGCAGATCGGCATCTGCGTGGTCTGTAGGCAGTGACAAGATGGGATATTCCCGCAAAATGCGGATGTCGTGAAGGAGCTGCTTATGTGCAGTGGACTGTAGCAGAAGCATGGTCGGCTTGGATTCCTCGGATCTCCATTTCTTGAGTACATCGCCGATCTCAATATGTGCCTTTCGTCTTGTCGTCACCTGTGAGAGCTTGAAGTGTAGGTTCGGTTGATATTCGAAGATCGTTTCTACTAATGCCTGTTCCTTAGTCTTTTGGCGATATTGCTCATTGTAGATTTTATCGGCATTCGGTAATTGAGCATCTCGCCCACGGCTGAGTACGATTATGTGCGCCTCAGATCTTGATGTCGAGAACATGGCAAACACATTTCTATCTCCTGCTGCGACGTGATAGACGTAGACATACCCGAACGAGCTGGGATCTTCCAGATAAGTCGACTGCGAGTTACTCCTCAACAGTGCTGATAGGTCAAAGCCTTGTTCTAGACCTTTGCCGAGCACGCCTTTCTGGGTTTCGTCAAACGAACACATATTGCCCAACTTGAGCATGGCGCGCATGAAGAGAGGCAATTGGCGCTCATAGACTCCTTCGACACTGGCGTGGTTGCACAATAATGACACGGACTCCGCTTCTCGAAGGTAAGTGTCCTCGGGCATTGTCAGCTGAAATAGATGGACAGATGGGTGACCATTTGGCAGGACATGGTTGACCTTCTCGACTTCACATCCAGGGACTTCGACGTTGGGTAGCTCGTCACCCTTCAAGTTGAGATAAAGCGTGCGTGGTACTTTGATGTTTAGAGCGTGGATCTTCTTCCCAATGGCAACGAAAGCCGTAACCTCGCCAGGAGATTCTCCCTGGCGAAGTTGAAGAACATGCCAGGTATTGATGTACAGCATCTCTGCTTGATTTCGGAAGAAGTTGCTGATAGAATCTGTGGCGACATTCGGTCTTTCTCCGAAAAGCTGACGCCGTCTCGCCCTGGCTTGCTTTTGGATCTTCCATTTCTGCTTTTGGTGTTGGAGCCAGCCACTATAGTTTTCACCTATTACAGGAGCATCCGAAGGCAGGCTCGCAAATGGATCGACGATTGATTGATTTGGCGCCTCTGGGGATTTTCTTTTTGCCGATCTTGTCAGCTGCACTTTAGACTTCAGGCCTGCTTCAAGAGCATCTTCGATATCGCCAGTGGCTGGCAGACGATGGTCAAGGAGGTTGACCGATCTTTCACCAAGTGGCTTCTTTTCAAAATGATCGGTGACTTTCTTCTGTTTAAATTTGTCGTCCATCACCATGATCCGCTTCTGCAGCCATTCAGGATGCGCAACACGAGGTACAGGATTTCTGATTTTCTGTAGGGCGGCGGGAATGGTGATGAGTTTCTGGATGACAGAACCCAGACGCTCCAGGTAATAGTCCCAGTCGATGACCGTTCGAGGATCCATATCTGCCGGATCCTCCTTCATCCATTTCCGCAGGAAGAACCGCTTGACGCTCTCTTCTGCCGAGAATATCGCCACAGGAATTGCTCTGTCGGTAACAGGGGTGTTCCTCGGCTTCGCAGAGATAACGTATTTGCAATTCAGACCTTTGTCCTTGGTCATTTGATCACCCAAGAATTCAGCCAGTCGTTTCGCAGTAGTAATGGATGTCGACTTTTGTGCGCCATATTCCTCGAGAGTCTTGGTCATGCTCTTGTTCTCGCAGATCAAGTCGATCAGCTCTTCGTCAGCCAGAGTGGAACCGTGCTGATGCAGCACGTCAAGCCAGCGATTTGAGACTCGAGCGACAGCAGCATATGTTTCAGCCAAAGTGGTGCCCTCCAAGAAGAATTTGAAAATCTGGGTTTGAAAAATTTTGATGAGCTTCAATTCTCCTCTTCGCTTGACTTCGAAACCTTTCAACTCCGCAAGGCTGCCGTCGTGATTGAATACTGCATAACGCTTTTTCAGATTCTTGTCTTCTTCCTTGGAAGTAGGCAGGATCATTGCTTTATATGGTCCGTCCACCTCAAAGAAGATCGAATTGTCGCTATGGGTCTCGTACTTGAACGTAGCTGGATCGACGAGCGTTTGGTATTGATGATTCGTATATCGAGCGTGAACAAGGTGGTTGAGCATGACACAAGGATACGAGACTGCCATCTTTTTCCCATTCTTCAGGGTGAAAATGACGTTTTCGGGAAATGTGGCTGGGAGCATACACCAGATACCATCAGTATCCAGCTCCAAGGGTCTGCCAATGCGTTCGACGAGTTCTCGGGCCATTTGAATGATGTGAGCACCTGTAAGACATGTGACACCCGCCATCTCCATAGAATACCATCTGGAGCCTTTCCGCATCACATAGCCGTAGAAGGAATTCAGGATGACTTTGTGTGCCAATTGCAGGGAGTCAAAGAGCACAATCATCTTCTTCGCCTCTTCGACTTCGATGGCCGAAGCTCCCGACGATTTCAAAGCCTCCGTCTTCCCTTTCCATACCTTCTGCTTCCCTTTGAAATCGTAACGCCTGTCTCGGAAGTCTCGAACTGTATCCACGTAGAAGGGGTTTTCTCGTTGGCAGATGATCGCTTCTCGCTCGATGGTCTTCGAATCGTGAATCTTGTGGTAGATCTTTTTTGAATATTCCTGTAGTCTTTTTCGCACCACCGCAGCCTGTTCATCTAGGCTCAACTCCTGGAATGTCCTTCTTAGCGACTTTGCAGTTTTTCCTGGGAAAGTCTCGTTTGCCACCGCTCTTCGTATCATGTTGTACTCGTCTCGTTTCGTAGGCAAGAACTCTCCTCTCCACGCCCATGGTAATCGTCGATCGCAAGTCTTGCCCGGCCGATTGAAGTCGCAAGCCGCACAATCTGACTCAGAAATCATAGAGTCAGGTTGCAGCCTATTTGTCGTCATAATATTGGGATACATAGAAGCGACATCCAGGTGATAGATTAGTGGACGTTCATTTCTGTTTGGCGTGCTTTTCAAACTGATCAACTTCTCGCACATTTGAGTCCGTACTTCATCATAATTCGTAACGTCATCAAGAGATTTCTTCTCTTCGACTGTTATGCAAAACTTCAAAGCTGCATCAAGGTCTTGCAGAAGCTCATCAATGGCGGTTGGGTCGATAGCAAAGTTGACCGGGATGTCCGCACGGAATACACCAGCCTCGATACTCTCGACGTGTCCACCAACATATGTCTCTGACTCGAGCAGGTGACCTTCCCAGAATGCTTCTCTCGGTTCTTTGTGTTTATTGGGCAGAACAATCTTCTTTTGGTATGCTTGCACCATGAGCAACATCTCGCAGAGAGTCCCTGTGCCCTTGCGCAGAGTGTCGTCGGGGTTGAGAGGAAGGATAGTGCAGAGTGAGAATATGAAGGGATGAACATATTTCATGTACAAGTAGTAGGTGGCGACAGCATCCGAAACGGAGTATTCTGCCAAAATTTGTGGATGTTCACGGGCATAGGGCGTCATCAGTTCAGGATCTAGCTCGTCTGGATCGTAGCCCAGCTTAGCAACAGTGACAGCTTTCAAACCGCGGCTCCCTTGAGGCAAGTAACTGTCTCGATTGACCCAGGCGAAACAATCCATGTGTACGCAGTAGTCGCTCTGGTAGATGTCTTCGCTGTTCCTTCGGAATCCAATTTCCGAGTACATGTCGATGCCCAATACGCTGGCTCTTGCTTCGATGAAGGGCCAGTCGAAGAAGTCACCGTTGTAGGTCGCTATCACATTGGGGCGGGCCTCCTTGACGTGACAAAAAAACCGCTCGATGACTGCTCGTTCGTTGGGTTCGTTGAAGATCATGAAAGGGCCTTCGTATTCTTCCTTTGGCGTGTAGTCAAAATCTGCAATGTCCTCCGAGACTATCTCTCTGTTGGTGATGAGGAAACCCTGGCCATCGATCATGTAGGAAATCATCATTACTTGGTCAATGACCGAATCCGGGAATTTTAGCGGCAGTTTCGTGGTTTCGATATCGAATGCAAGCACAACAGGGTCGGCACGTTGCAGACGCTCCTCCAGACATGTTAGATTGACTGAGCCGTGTTTTGCTTCCACAGTATACCACTTTCCGATCCGTATGTCCTTGTCGATTGTCACTCGGACATGGTAGGGCACGTCGTACTCGCGGATATCGACGATGAAGTCGCTGGCTTCGGCGATGCCGTGGGCACGGTTGCCGTTGAGTTCTTCTTCGTCGTAGGCATCAAACCCCGCAGTTGCACTGGCCACTTCTGCGTAGGTATCCATGGCATTGACCTTCTCTTTGTTCTTCTCGGCGATTGGCATAACCGTCTTTCGCACTGCGAGCAGATCGGAGACGTTGGCAAAGGTCAGTTGTAGAAATGTGCGTTTGTAGCCTAGCAAGTGGTTGGGCATTTGCAGGTCCTCTTTGATGACTCGAGCGACAGACTTCACGAGACCCTCAAACATTCTCTTGCACCATTCCTCGACCTCGGCCTCCCTTCCTCGCTTGACCGCGAGCAAGAAATATGGGTCGTACTCGACCGTTGCCTTGAAATTTTCGCCATCGTCGCCAATAAAGTAGAAGTCCACACCTGCTCTTCCTCCGGGCACTTTGGAGTCTTCCATTGTTGTACTGTGCATGTTGTACAGCCATCCAACTTTTTTCTTCCCGGAGTCGTACCTGGGGAAGCCCATAGACTCATCAATGGTGTTTGCCAGCCGAATCGCCTGTATTTTCTCATCTTGAGACGTTGCTTCCGTGTCACGAAGTGAGGTAGAGTCTATCGTCTTCGTCCGAGGGTTTCGAGTGGAATTCTTCGCCAGTCGGACATTGGAGCCATATCTGCTGGGCTTCCTGACCGGCATGGCGGCGACACACGAGTGTTAAATGATGTCTGTTGCTCCTCTTTAGGTTATGAGTCTGTTTGACCATTCTTATGCATGCTGAACGTTAGTCAATACATGGCCAATACTTCGTTCGGCGCAGTGTAAATCGGACAAGTCTAGGAATGAGGAGCCACAAGGTGTCTGTCGCGGTCTGTAGACGCGTCGCGTAAAGTGGCGGCAAAACTCCGGATGGAAGCAGATTTACTCCACCGTTCAGATCTGCGCTTTCAATGATGGTTCGTCCTCTGGGCGCAGTCGACACTGTCCAAACGCCCAAACTACCATACTCTAGAACGCATCATGGCCGACGACACACGGCAACCCGATAATGGGACCCAGGATGAACAATCACAAGCAGAGCGCCGACCGAGGCGACCGAGACATGATTTTCCAAAATCCCAAGCCCAAAAAATGTGGGAGGCGCTTGGAAATCCCAAAGATCCTATAAATGAAATGCCTGGAGGAACATATAATTCGGCGGGCGGTAAACCGTCTGCGGTCTCCTGGAAGGACGCCTTCAGCTTCTCATATCAAGGAAAAGGTCCGGCCTGGTACCAGACACCTTGCGCCAGAGATTCGTTGTTGGTAGGCATGGGAGCCGGCGGCGGAATTGGCGGCTTAAGATTTGTTCTCAGAGGTACACCATTTATCCATGCTGCTGCTTGTATACCAAGACTGATATTGTAATAGGACTATCCTCGATGGTAGCCACGACCAACTATGCAGTTGGCGCATTCGTCCTCACGGCTAGTGGAATGTATTACTGGTGCGAACAGAGGCGGAAAGAAGAGCAGCGAGGCATTGCTCAAGCCGTCATTGGAATGAAGGTGCTACAAGAGAAGAGAGCCCGAGAGAAAGCTGCCGAAGAGGCCGCCGTTGCTGCTAAAGCCAAAGAAGCAGAGGAGGAACGGAAGCGCAACCAACGGTGGTACAAGTTTTGGTGAGAAAACTTCGCGTAACTGCTCTTCTGCGTAGGTAGGGAGTAACGGCGTCGAATGACTTGGTAATGTGCAGGCTATCTCGTTATTGTGCTGGACAATCTCAATGTATTTGAGAGAGGCGGAGTCGGCGTTTGTAGAAAGGTGTTGACGACCAGCTCTGTGAGAAGGTCCTAACCGTCCTCAAAATGCACACGTACGCTTTTGCGTGGTGAGGATTCCGGAGACGGTGCATCCTCATTGTCCCTCATGAAGCGTTTTCTCCTCTCACTTCTCTGTTGCCTCGCCTCCCGAGCTTCCCGGTTCTTGTACTCTGTCAGTTGCTGTTTCCGCCGCTGTGATCTGGACCAAGCAATGGCTGGTGTGGGGCGAAAGCCGATTCCATTGATGCCATAGAGGTCGTCATCTGGATCCTCTGGGTCGTGTCCAGTAATTTCAGCGTCGTGCCAGAAATGGTCCGATATCTCGCCCGCTAGTGGCGGAGATTTTGATCGAGAAGGCGTAGCCATGGACTCTCCTGCTGTGCGGCGGGAGTCTTCATCAGCTGTTGAGATTGTCTCTGGTTGCGGCTTTCCTGTTGCTTCCGTCTTTGTCGATCCATCTATAGATGTCTTGTCTGCGGATAGAGAAGATAATTCTGGATGCTGCGATATTGTGACCCGCTTCGGCGAGCCAACGTCATGCTGTAGGCAGATTTGGTCATGACTGATGTCGAGGTCCTCAAATCTCCTGGCGACCTTTGTCCGAGGGCTAGCACTCTCATGATCGTCTATATCTTCTTCGAGCAATAATCGAGGAAGTGGCCCTTTCGTGTCCAATGGAGGTACTTGTCCACGCTTTCTCTTGGGTGAAGCTGAAGTCATTTCGTGTCGAGTTGTGGAGTACGAGAGACAATTTGATCTTTGACGTGGGATAAGAGGTCGACTATTAGGGTATCACAAGAATGTGAGAAACACCATTTATTTCCCTGGTATTGCAAGGCAAGATGAAGGCGGAGCAGACCTGACGCTCTCGAAATCAGCATCAGTGTGTCCCCTAAATCCCAGTATTGTCTTGATTGGAGGCCCGTGCCGCGAATCAAAAGCCATAGAGTCTATCCTTGCTTATAGATCGACTATGTTGGGATGCACGAGGCCACAGAGGGACGAAGTCTAGCAAAGCTGCGACGGTTGCAGAGTGATTTTTGGGATGTTGCTGAAGCAGTCATGCGGTCTGAATATCAGCCATAGTGGCAAGCGATATGCTCTGGGCTTTTTGAATAGACCATATTCATACACCTTGGAATCGATCAAGTATGAAACTTTCCTCAAGAAGCGGCAAGCAATAGTCTCCCTCCAACGCCATGCGCATAACAAAACCAATCGTCCGTCACTCCGACTTGGATTTCTTCTTCTTCTTTTCCACTCCTTCGCCATCAGTGTCCATCGACTTGCGCTTCTTTTTCTTCTCCTCGACGACAACATCGGCTCCATCCGACTTGCGCTTTTTATCTTTCTTCTTCTCCTTTGCCTCTTTGTCCTTCTGCTTCTTTTCTTGCTTCTGTACGCCAGCTGGCTCCGCATCAAACATCTCTACATCGGCCTTGGAAGGCTCATCAATATCCATGTCAGCCAGAACTTGGTCCATGGCATTTTTCTGCAAAAACTGTTAGCTCTACCGTTGACTCTAGTATAGGGGACCCTACCATTGCAACTTCGTTCTTCGTAGGTTGTGCTCCCGAGGAGTAGAACTCTAATCGCTCCTCAACCTGTTTCTTCAATGCTTGACCGAAGAGTGTGTTGGGAGACTCCGAGAAATTGTCGATCCTGGAGGCAATTGAGCATTTGTTTGCGAGGAATCGTGATATTCTGCCCTTGTTCTTCTGTCCCGCTCGACCAATAAACGAGGAGTGGTACAGCAGGCCATATTTGGGTGTATTTCCTTTCGTCTTCAAGGCTCTGAAGAGAGCTTTCTCGGCGCCCAAAATCTGAACGGTCGATGCTGGGTACTTTGACAGATTGGTGAGACTACCAGCGTGAGAGATCAGTCGTGCCCCAACAATCTCTCCAATCAAAGCTGCCAGGTTCGGGGCTACCACGCCCATCTTAGAGACCAGGTAGCTGTGAAGCGTCTTTCTATACTTCGCAAGGCTGACAACTCGCTCGGCAAAGAGTGTGACGTTTTCCATATCTGAAACAGAAATTTCCTGGCCCATACTCGTCTTTGCTGCATCAATGATGCTCTTTGCGATCTCTTCGTCGTCCTCCACAACGGCCGCAAGCTCATGCAAGCTCTCATCAGACAGGGTTTTCTTGTCCTTGACGAAGAGTGCGACCTTTGCATACTTGTTGTTTTCTGAGACGATCTTTACTAGCTCCGGGAAGTGCCACGAGTACCATTCACGCACACGCATCGAGAATGTGTTGATGGCCTTGTCGAGTTGATCCAGGATGGCAATGGCCTGAATGATGTGGTTGTCGTTCTTCTGCACAGAGAACTTGACCTTGGCTCTCGAGTATGCGTGACCGAGACCAAGCTGAGCAGTTGCAGTATCACCTTCGCGCAATTGCTTGAGCAATTTCTCCGAATGCATCCTCAGCCCTCTGAGCATGTCTTGAACCACCTCGCTAGTGTCGCCAGTCTCGCATTCGAGACTTGGAAAGGCGCTCTTGATGCTTCCTGCTAGGATCTTGTCCGACACACCCAGTGTAACTTTGTTCTTCTTTCCAGCTTTCGGAAGATTCAGCTCGAGAAAGGATTTGAGGTAGTCAGACGCGATGCCTTCAGAGATGTCGTGAAGCTCTTCAAGGGCTTGTTTTCCATTCCTTCAATAGTTAGCGACTGGCTGCTACTGGTTGCAGTAGATGCATACTCAAATGGTAAGAAGCTAACGAGGTCGACCATCTTGCCAAACCGTGCGAGATCTTGGACGCTGTCTTGGACCTCCTTCAACCGGTTGCCAACCGTGTCCACTTGATGTGCGACCTTAAAGATCGAATAGCCCATTGGGCCTTCGTGTAAGAGATAGTCCGCCATATCGAATGTGGTTTGTCCTTCGGCCAGAGAATGGTCGCTTGCGTGGATGCGGTGAAAAAGCGCACCGAGACGAGGATGCGCAGACTTCTCAGCCCTCGTACAGACGCTCGACTCGAGTCACACCTGGTAGTATCGCTAACGATACACTCGAGATATGGCAGTAACAAATGTGCTGCGTGTAAGCTATGCTAGAGCTAAGTTCGGTTGCATGCGACAAAGAAATTCTCTCGTCTGAAGAAATTCCAAAAATTGGAGTAAAATGGTCTTGGCATCACAAAGTACCGCTCCGCTTCAAGTTTGCGATAGACAAAGGCTCCAACACCATCCCATCACACAGCCCTCATCACCATTACAATGTCCGGTAAGGTCTCTCTACCCATTCCTTTGACTTCTACTAACTTTCAACAGCGACACAGCTCTTGAATCCCAAGGCCGAGAGCCGCAGACGTGGAGAAGCCCTCCGCGTCAACATCAGCGCAGGTGAAGGCCTCCAAGATGTCCTCAAATCCAATCTCGGCCCTTCAGGCACGATCAAAATGCTCGTCGACGGCTCCGGCCAGATCAAATTAACCAAAGATGGGGCGGTCCTTCTCAAGGAAATGTCCATCCAAAACCCAACGGCCACGCTCATCGCCCGCGCAGCCACAGCCCAAGACGACATAACCGGCGACGGCACCACGTCCGTCGTTCTCATGATCGGCGAGCTCCTCAAGCAAGCAGACCGGTACATCCAAGAAGGCCTACACCCACGCGTGCTCACCGATGGATTTGAACTCGCGAAAACCGAAACCCTCAAATTTCTCGATACCTTCAAAATCACCCGCCCCATCGACCGAGACCTCCTCCTCTCCATCGCACGAACATCCCTCTCCACAAAGATCAACCGCACCCTCGCCGAACAACTGACTCCCTCAATCGTCGACGCCGTCATGGCCATCCACCGCCCCCCTCAAAAACCTGACCTCCACATGGTTGAGATCATGAAGCTGCAACACAAACTTGCCTCCGACACGCAACTGATCCGCGGCTTAGTCCTCGACCACGGCGCCCGCCACCCGGACATGCCCAAACGCCTCGAGAATGCTTACATACTCACCTTGAACGTCAGTCTCGAGTACGAGAAATCCGAAATAAACAGCGGCTTCTACTACTCCAGCGCCGAACAGCGCGACAAGCTCGTCGCCAGTGAGCGCCGCTTCGTCGACGAGAAACTGCGCAAGATCGTCGCGCTGAAAAACGAAGTCTGCGGCTCCGACCCCAAAAAGTCCTTTGTCCTGATCAACCAGAAAGGTATCGACCCGCTCTCCCTCGACGTGCTGGTGAAGAACGGCATATTGGCCCTCCGCCGGGCCAAACGCCGCAACATGGAACGCCTGCAACTCGTGTGCGGTGGCCAGGCGCAGAACAGCGTCGACGACCTGGACCCCAGCGTCCTTGGCTGGGCGGGCCTCGTCTACGAGCACACGCTGGGCGAAGAGAAGTACACGTTCGTCGAGGAAGTCAAGGACCCCAAGTCCGTCACCATCCTGATCAAGGGCCCCAACCAGCACACCATCACGCAGATCACGGACGCTGTGCGCGACGGCTTGCGCAGTGTATACAATGCCATCGTTGACGGCTGTGTCGTGCCAGGCGCGGGTTCGTTCCAGATCGCTGCCGCCGCACATCTGTCGTCAGAAGGCGTCCGCAAATCCGTCAAGGGCAAAGCGAAATGGGGCGTCGCGGCCTTCGCCGATGCTCTTCTCATCATTCCAAAGACTCTGGCCGCGAACAGTGGTCATGACATCCAAGACGCACTGGCTGCGCTACAGGATGAATATACAGAGGGCAACGTCGTCGGCCTGGACCTCGTGACTGGCGAGCCCATGGACCCCGTGCAAGAAGGTGTATTCGATAGCTTCAGAGTACTAAGGAACAGCATTGCAAGTAGTCAAGGAATCGCGAGCAATTTGTTATTGTGCGATGAGTTACTGAAGGCCCGGCAGATGGGCAGGCAGGGCGGTCCAGGTGGCATGGATCAGGAGTAAACCAACCGGGTTCGTCTGATCTGACGAGAAGAACAAAAAGTGCTATGTCCACGGAAAACAAATGTGCATGAGCCATGGAGTCCCGGTGTATTGCATGAAAACGGGGGAGGGGAACATGACTTGACGATAAGAGAGTACCTAGTCGAATGATACCTGGTATAGAACAGCGAGCTCTTGTAGAATATCCTACCTTAGTCTACGAACCTTCTACTTTGTCAGAATGCTTCTCCCCAAGCAAGTCATCAGTTCTCTTGGAGCTTTCTAAACCGTAAGAATGCTTTGCTCGTTGGTATATCAGTACGTAAGGCCGTAGATAGCCCATTGCGTTACACATTTCTAGGACGAGTATATCATCTCGTCTCGAGTTTCAGAGCATGGTGAAACACCCAAAAATACCAACCTCTTCTCAAGCGTGGGAGGTACCTGCCTCTGCCGACAGCTTCAGAAGGGTAGATCAATGCCTACTTCCCCAGAACCCACTAACAGTATCGGCGATCTTCTTCTGCTGCCGCCGAATCTGGTCTTCGGTTTGCCCGCGAGCATCCGCTCGCGAATCAATCTCCATAGCGTCAGGATCATGGCCACCTTCTTCAGCCTGCGCCGGCCCCGTACCTCCACGCGCCTCCTCGCCCTGAATTTGCTGGCCCTGGTCATTGAGCACTTTACTACCATTGACCATTTCAGCCTTGGGCTTCGGATCCACACTCATTGCGCCATCCATATGGCCGGCCATCAGCCCGCCACCTTCTCGTAGCTTGTTGATTGCGCGGACCGTGTCAATCGCCTTGTGCAGCGTCCTACGAGCATTGAAGTTCTTCTTCACCGTCGGTAACAGATCCTGGCCTTCACCGGCGGCTTTCTCAGGGCTAGTAGGGTCTTCGGGCTTGATCCAGGGATGTTGAAGTGCTTGGTGAGCCGTCATCCGAGCCCGAGGATCGATCGTCAGACATCGGTTGATGAAGTCTCGTGCTGCGTCGGAAACGTTGCGCCAGTACTCGACCGGTGTGAATGAATAATCTGCTGCAAGGATGGCTTGCATTTCTTCGAGGTTGCTGTCGCGATCGAAGGGTGTGTAGCCGCAAAGGAGGAAGTAAGTGATCACGCCGATGGCCCATATATCACTAGTATGAGCATGTCAGCACGAATCACATTTTTCAAGAAAACCTTTTCACACGTACACAGGTTTGCCATGGCCCGTCTTCTTGAAGATCTCGGGCGCCATGTATCCAGGCGTTCCACATGTGGTGGTCAGGACGTGGAATTGTTCCTCGTCCATGATTCTTGACAGCCCAAAGTCGGCAATGAGTAGATCTGCATTATCCTCCGGTGTGCGGAACAGTAGGTTCTCTGGCTTGAGGTCTCGATGGACAATGCCATGGTCGTGAAGGTATGCGACTGCTGACAAGGTTGCTCGAATCAGGTCTGCTGCATCCGATTCGTAGTAAGATCCTTTCCGGCAGATACGATCAAACAGTTCACCACCCAGAGCGAGGTCGGTGACAAGGTATACTGTCTCATGTCAGATCATATACCTGACCGTGGAGTCGTGATAATTCAATACAATTGTTCATGGTCTCGAAGTAGTCAACCAGCGTCAGAATGTTGCGATGGCCCACGGACACCCTTTTGAGAACAGCAATTTCGTTGCGCACCTGTTGATATTCTGTTAGCCAGTTTAGGCTGGTCCAGGAAGGATATGTTGTTCTCACCATGTGTTCTCGTCCCGCCATCAGTCGCTTGTTAATGACTGCGCTTCAGTCAGAGTGACATCTCGGCCACAGTCTTGTATCTTCCTACCTTTGGCGGCATAATATCTTCCGGTGTCTATGTGTACGCATTCCTTTACCACGGAGTAGGACCCGGCACCAAGTGTTTTTCCTGCTCAGCGTAAGCGCACAGGGTTGCACCACTCACGCAACAGACCGCACCTGTCTTGTAGCGACATGGCTGGATCTGAGGCTTCTGTTGGCCGGCCTGCGAAGCCATGGTATAGGCGGTAGGTTTGTAACAAGTAAAGATCACAGGACTGTTTCCAGCTCTTACCAGTAATCTATGGGCGAAGCTGGCCTGACGGATTGGGAGTTTGATTTTCGGAGGGAGCGTGCTGGGGAAGCGAGGTTCGAGGTGTGAGTATTGGTCGGGCAGCAAGACTTTCGAGAGGAGAGTCAATGGTCAGCGAACGATCCCCCGGAAATAGCACAGAACCTGTTAGGAGTCGCCCTTTCAGCTGAATGCGATTGTAGAGATCTGTGGCTGGGCAAACGCAAGCTGGCTGCGTCAGATGGCCGCTTACAACAGTTCGCCAACTAACTTACCGCTCCTGCCCCTCCCAGTGCCCTCCCAGTGCCTCCCCCAGGCTAGCCTCGAGGCCGAGGGGCTGGCCTCACTAGCCCCAATACTACACTGTCACAACTGGCTACGGTACGGACAGAAGCTGGGCATGGTAAGGCAGCCAGTGGGAGACCAGAATTGGTTGATCCTCAATCCATCACCTTGATCACCATAGATACTATGTTAATATGTGACCGAGAAAAATGCCTGATGAACCCTGGACTGCGCGGCTATGCTGTGGTATCATACATTCAGACCCTCCTCTCATCACTCATTACGATATGCAACCAGAGGAATGAGATTGTACGATTCGGTGCATGGAGCAATCATTCGTACACTCTTGTCAGGGCTCATTCAGGAGCTTTCCGACCCTACGAACCCCGGTGCAGTATGCCTTGGAAAGCGAGAGTATAGGCCCGAAGAATGCATTTTGGGTGGCATTCCGAACAGGCGAACAACACAGAATGATCGATCAATCGTCTTTTTCATTATCAACGTATGTGAGTAAGGAACGTTTGGACTCATGAACCCAGAAAAGAAAAAGCAAAAGGCTCCGTCGTTATACCCCCGTCATCTCCCACTCCATCTCACTGTTTGTTACTTTCCCATTAACAAGTGATGATACTGCACGCCCCCGGACGTGGCGCAGAAAGAGGAACCTGGTCCGCGACGCCCTCATCCTCAGCTGTGGAAGACCAAAGGGTATCCAAATCTGGCAGGACATGACAGCAGCGGAACTGGTTGATGGTCTGCAAGTTGCTGTTCACCGTATCCGCATCATCTGCGCCGTTCATGATATTCGTCAGCGGAACAAGCACATTATCATTGAACCCAGCAGCAAGATCATCCACCGCAGCCTGAGCCGCCGTTCCGGCGATGACATCGCTCTCGCAGGCAAGAACCTGCAATTGATTCGGCTCGTCCTGGGCCGCAGGGATGACGGTCTGTAGCGCGGCCACGACCTGCGCGGGGTCGTCAAGCACAGTGATGCTTGAGTCGAGAAAGCTGTTGACGGTCACGACGTCATTGTTCCATGCATTAATCGCGTTGATAACGCCCGTTTGGCCTGGGTCGCCGGCGGGGCAGCCATTTGGGCTGGTACGTTTGGCGAAGCGAAGGTTCGATGGCCCGGCGGCAGAGGCGCCGATGAGAGCAAGAAGGGAAGCGGCAACGAAGGACTTCATTGTGGATTGCTTCTCGTGGAGAAGATATGCAATAAAGTGTACTATACTGAGTTGGAGCGAGCGTGTGGCAACTGAATAAGGAAAGAAGAGACAAGGAAAAGTGGCCGTGGGATTTGAGCGTTGAAAGTTGTTGTAGTTGTTTGATAGAAGAATGGAATGGGCGTTGAGAAGCACTCACTTTATATCCTTCCCATCCATGCTCAAATCCCAATATTGTTGTATTGGTAATGATGCCGGCTTTCTTGCGTAGCAGGGTGCAGGCAATAAGCAGAGCAAAGTTAGAGCTGGCAAGGCTGAGCCCTTGCCGCCCTGCTCCACCTTGTCTACTGCTAATTGCAGTACTTGGTCTAGCACACAGCCAGAACCGTTATGGCCTAGGTAGCAAGTGGAAAGGGAAGTCATCGAGGCGCAAGCAGCCACGACGCCACATTGTTAGACTGTGCTTAGCGAAGCTTGGTGGTGCTTATGTTGGTGCTTACACCTTGTGACTGGCTGTGAAGCCTCTTCCAAGAGCTCTCGCGAAGCTGACAAGCACTGTTCAGCGAAGTCTTGAGATCTCCCCAGAATAAGAATTGATTTCAGAAACTTTGCTCCGAGGGGGCCGTGTTGGATTGGTGTTGGGATACGCTTACCGGCGTTTGACCTGCGTTTAGTCCTTTTGAATCAATGCCAGGAGATTTTGGCAGTAAGTGCCCTTACAAGTTGTGTGTTTTTATAGACATCAGTCTTACCTGTCTGACAGAGAACTCATCGGCAAAGACATCACTTCCAGGGTTGCCCATGTTTGACTCTGGTATTTCAAACCAAGATCTCTCAACGTTCGAGAGAAGATGGAGTCGTCGGCTGCAATCAACGGCTCAAACTTCCCTCGATCCTCATCCTCCCTGCTCTTCTGGTCCGAGGGGCCACGGGGTCTGGGACTGATCACGATATCTTTTTTCGAGCGCTTCGAAGCGCCTGCCACCCAGCAACCCAACAGACGGTCAACATTTTTGTAGCCAGACCGGTAGATTCCACAGCATTGAAACCTTTTCCCAATCGAAATGACCTACCAGCCCATGCTTTGGAAGTTGAGGTATTTACATAGCTTTGAGAACTCGTATGAATGCGACAAAAACGGGCGTCTTTTGGAAAATTACCTTGACACTTGCAATATCATAAAACTCAGACACCGTCGAGTGGACCACAGATCTTGCACTACTGTGGCCCGGAAGAGCGGTCTTCTTACCGACGCCGCCCTTGACAAGATGAATTGAACGATGGTGTCCACGTCTCGACGCCCAAAAGAGCCCACTTCATACAACGAGGCTCCAGTCGCGCCCAATATGGGTAGGGTACAAGTCTTTCCAGTCGTCCGGAAGGACTTTCGACGCTCAGGATGGATTACCTCGGCATCAATCCAGCAAAAGTGCAATACTCCGTCGTTTGGATATCTGTCTCGAATCAGCACCAAAGCGCGTCGTAAGAATTCTTTTTGTTAACAGAGCCCGGCATATGTCGATTGCAATCCAGGGGAGATTGAAGTAGCCTGGATTTTCTTTCAAAACTCCGCGGTAGTCAGACCCGCGGGCACCTTTCAAATCTGGGTCCGAGGATACCCATGGGTCCGGATATTCGTGTGTTGACCGGGAAGGAGATGTGGAATGGCCCTTTGGTAGCGGGGACATGTCAATTCTTTCTAGCCCAAGCGGCCTGAATACGAACCGCGGCATGTAGAAGACCACTTGCCGTGAAGCGTGCCCCTCCGCGACGACCATTTCAGGATTCCGCGCGGAACGGTTGCAAGATCTCGCTCGCAGTGGGTCACGAGGGGGCACGACCGTGTTCAAACACGTATCTTTCGCCACCGGTGCGGATCGATGCCTCGGCTCCTCACCGATCCAGAGTATTGTCTGCAGACAACCAGGGTCGTGATGCGAGCTCATTTCGCCTCAAACTGATGACGTGCCTTCGAGCGCCCGCGGTGTGATTGAAGAAACTCGTAGGTCAGCTCGGATTCTGTGGCTGGGAGGTTTTCCCAGTAGCATTACAAAGCCCATGAATGTGAAGATGTGCCGTGGTCTTCAGCTTGTTGGCCACCGACAAGACGCCAAGGTTACGTGGGCATGCGTGGGCTTGCACTGGTAGAATCTGCCTTGGTGTGATCCCACGAGTGGCCAAGATGCAAGCCAAAACTATCGCGCACAAGCGTCCATTTGCACGGGGATTAGAACTTCGGTAATTCTCTTTCGTGACGGACACAGTATAGCTTCGAAAGCTCCTCATGCTTGTACAGTGGCTCCTTTTTACGAGCTTCGACGTGGCTGGAGAATGAGAGATTTTAGAAAGAGTTTTTGACCGTTACAAGAGGTGAAAACAACAGGAACTGTGGGTGTGAGAGTTTCCAATCAGCAGCCTGAAGAACCACCGGAAAGAGGCGCGCCAGGCTTTCCCATACCTGCTCTAGCGTGTACCAGACTGTCGGTGTCGGCACCCCTCCCTCCTTTTGGACAGAGTCTACACCTCCTCTGCGTATCGAGGTGAGAAAATTTCACCCACACAGGCAGCCGTCAAGCTGTTCTGCAATCTCGAGAGATGAATGCAGGTCGATTAGAAAGGAACTTGTCCCTATTCTTGACCAATGCGCGGTGCTCCGCTCCCACAAGTGCAGCGAGATGTTACAGCGAGCCGCATAGCCCGTCGTGGCCCAGGAGGTGAGTTCGAAGATAATGACCCGAACAGCTCATCTTGCGTTTTGCGGGCCTTGCATCATGCCTGTTGACGTGTCGGCCCTAAACTGGGATCCGCGTGCATGCTTTGGACAAGTTACAGTACAGCAGATTATTGAAACGTTGAAAGGGTCCCCACTACCGACGCACGACATAACACCACCGCATATCTACTTGTACTGTGATGGTCGTCAAAGGTGGGCCTCGAATCAAGAGGCATGAAAGGGCCTTGAAACATTCAAAACTTGACAGTCTGTCACCATGGTTTGCCTTCTGACGCGCCCACCGGTCTCTCGACCCAAGGAAATGGTACCCTAATTGCCACACCGCATGTTTAGGCTGTTCCATACACCTTCTAGCTGTTCCGTTAGCACCACGATGGCACGATCCTTGCCCCGGACCACGGAAAAGGCCTAGCGACGCCCCAAGCGGCACGACCCGCTGATGTCCACGCTCGAAACGTTCGTTGTCAAATCTTCTGCACTTCCTCACTACCGCCTTTGCAGCTCGAATTGCTCCCATGCTCTTCAGGCCTTCACGGTCCCTGCTTCGGTGACTGCAGCTCCACTCACCACCTCAGTGAAACAATGTTACGCAACGGTTTTTTCAAACCCTGGGTGAACAAAATTGCTGGAGTGGATGCCGTGCTCGACCAGGTCGGCGGGTCAGCCGAGTTTCGCCGATTCAACATGTTGTTATCGTCCTGGAAGGCCACTTGTGCAATCTAGGGTTTCTGCTACACGAGACTTCGCGCCAGTCAAATTGCTAAAGTCAACGGTTCCACGAGATAGCCTTTGAATTCGACGGCGCTTGCAATTCCCTTCCGCTGCTTTTCCCACGCTTTCGATCCACTTTGCGTGCCTCGCTTTGGTCGAGGCTGAAGTGGTGTGCTCTGTCAGGCCCCGAAATCGGCTTGCCTGTGATGCGCATGATCCTAGTGCTGGCCATCGTGCAACCAGCCTTTCAACAGATGCTTGAGAAACTGACAGACGTCACACCAAAAGCATGTCTTGACAGCATAACCGACCATCCAAGTGGCCTGGTCTGGCAATGTCAACCATCAGTCAAGCTCAGCGCGAAAGAAGACACCGAGAACCGTGATAGAACACAATAAAGTCGCAAAAGTCAATTTGTCGTACGCGAGCCGGGACGGCGTCCTTATTGAGCAAACGGCCCACCCAGGGGCCCTTTGGAACTGGAAGTATCTTCCAGCCCACATTTGCTCCGGACTCTGGAAGATCCCTCGTTGTCTTAAATTCTTGCAAGTTCTTTTCTGCCTGTTCAGTGGCGTAGCAGACGATAAACTGACGTAAAGGCCGCCCATACTTTACCTAGACGTCCCACCCAGTCTGAAATCTCATTCAGAACCATGAATTCATTGGATAGGGCAGAATATGGCAAGAAGCCCTTATTAAAATTCTCTCCATGTCCGGTCGAGCCTATTCGTCACCAAGAGATGTCAGTGCCGTTAGCACAAAGTAGTCTCAACCATGGATCTGAAACCCTTGCATACCTGAACCTATGACGGCTCTCTTGCGGCCGCACCTGGTCACAACCCCATTTGCACACTTGCAGCGGCAGAGAGGGGCTGCATGTCAGATCGGATCACCTTCGGCTGAGGTACTGTGTAGGCGTCTCAATCTGGTACTCCAGTCTGGCAATTCATACATCGGCTGCGCTCACGGGAATATTTGATGGAAATTTCTGATGGCTCCAGGAGCGGTAGGCCCTTTACCACGGTAGAATCAAACTTGTGTTCGGGGAATCAAGCTATGGCCGGATCGGACCTTCCTTTCCGGCTCAGTCGTTTTGAAAACCAACACGGAGTATGATGGAAAAGTTTTTTGAACCGAATGTGCCGTACTATGATACACGACGCTGATGAACCCACTGACGAGATTGATGGCCGTTCGGCAGGTCAAAGGGAGGGTCGTGTCGACCCTCCTACCTTGGCCATCCCCATTTTCTTCGGGTTGGTCCCAAATATCTGGGTCCATCCTGTTTGACCAAGCGGCTGCATTGAAACGAGGTGCAATCAGAAATTCATTGGCTAGAGCCAAGCAGGATCACAGGTCTCCAGCCAGCCCGCTGATGGAAGGTCTTTTCTTTTTGCTGACGCTCTGAGTTTTGTAATTGACTTTCTGATCGCATATATCCGTGGGTTCCAGTGCTGTTGCGTTCGCACCGAGCGATTAGGCACGCTTTCAATAACCGAGAGAGCCCCGGCATTTACCATTCTTGAGGCAGGTCATGATCGGACCTCTTTGTGGATTCGCCTGCCAAACCCACTTGCAATATTGCCCGATTCTGAACGGTTAGCAGGATTGACTTATTTAGCCACAATCCTGTTGCCACGTTGGCAGTGCCTCGAGCATCAAGCATGGACCGGTACAGCAAAGACCCCATTCTTGGTTGCCATGTACCTTCGTTCCTGATACTTTGGTGTCATTGGTCTTCAGGTCGTTGCGATGACGCCTGAGCGCACAGTAGGGCGACCATCCATTGCACCGATATCAAAGTCGGCTTCCGTCGGTCCTCAGAAGTCATTCCGTCACCAGTGAAGAAGCGTCCTCGATATTGACTTCAGCGAGGCCAAGATATTCAGCAATATCCATCTCGTACCAAAGAAAGGCTGCGCGTTCCGTCATGGCTCCAAGGTTAGTAACAATCTATCTTTGTCCTCAAACCAGCGCTCACAATTGCGATAGGTCCTCCAGTGATGAGCAATTCGATCGGAAGGTCATGTACTGTGACCGTGAATATCAAGAGCACTCCCTGAGACATGAAATATACCTTGTCCCCGTAGACGCCGTGAGTGGATGTCCAGATGCAGTCCTCTATTGTAGCTGAAGAACATAAAGGAAGAGGAGACCCGATTGATCGACCAACATGAAATGCTCAAGGTGATCTATCACGATTGGAACAACGGTCTGTACCCTGCGTTCATTGGGGACCCTGAAGCTATTCTCGATTGTGGTTTCGGTACTGGGAATTGGGCTTATGACATGGCGGAGTATGATCCAGGCTGCTGGGTTAGTACTCCTTTATAGAGTGTGCAACTGAACACTCACATCGCAGGTTACCGCAGTCGACATTTCCCCGATTCTAGCGCCATCCGACCAATTAGAAAACATGGACCTACAGGTATGCGACTCTTGACCCCTGTTGCGAAAAGAGATGGAAGTTCCTGGCGCATTGCATCATGGGCGTAATTTCTATCGAAGGCCGCATGACCTATATTGCTGCGCTTGATGGATAGTTTGGAAGGGCACACGCTGATGACCTCGACAGATCGCCGACCTCAATGACCGTCTCGATTTTGCAGAGCCGGAGACATTCGATATGATCCATTCCCGTTTTGTCGCCAGTGGCATCTCGGCAGCTCGATGGCCGAACTATTTTCGAGATATGCATCGGTGGGAGCATCACTGGAGCCATGTCAACACAGCAGGCTAACCAAAGGGTATAGTCTTTTGAAAAGAGGTGGCTGGGTTCAGATAACGGAATGGGACTTGTCTTTCCGTTCGGACTCCGCAGACAGCGACGCCTTACAAGCCCTCCAAGAATGGTCGAGACTGTATGCGGAATCCTTGAGTGTGACCACTCGTCCAGAAGGTAGAAAGCGAGCCAGAGTTGTACAAGATTGTGAATCTTGGATGCGAATGGCGGGATTCGTCAACGTCAGCACAGATGTTCGAGACATACCGACGTGTCCATGGCCCACAGGTAAGTTGTTTGTCTCTTGAGATTCTTGACTTATCCCACAGATACAAGGACCGGCTGAGACTCAACTTGCTGTCACAGATCCTCATAAACGAAGCATCGGGGAAGCCAACTTGTCCAACATGAAAGGCCTCATATACGCACTTTCACTGTATCCTGTGACGCATCCACAGGTTCGTGGGATCGAAGATTTACATACCCTAATTGAGGCAGCATATGCTGAACTCAGTAACCGGGAGGCTAAGCCATATATTAGACTGTGCAGTCAGACCCCTGGTATTGTCGTTCTTGCTAACATTTGTTCACAGTCACACGACGTTTGGAATGAAACGCTAAAGAGCTCGGACTTTATAGGGCGAAAAAGTCGAAAGCAGGTGTGAGAGGTAGTTGTCTGAAGTCCATGTTGTCGTGATGGCATTAGAGTTGCCGATGGAAACTCTGGCCACTGCGTCGAACGGCCGCGGCTGCAGGAATCACCGGTCCTCGGTCCTCTACCAACAAATGCATCGGGAAACGTGATCCGATCCTGCCAGCAAAAGAGGATTTACTCAGCGCTCCAAAAGCTAAACTGTGCCTGGGACCGGAGCAAAATCACTGTACGACGTGATCGCAGAGTCCAGTGAGCACCAAGTTCGAAGCCAGAATGACCTCTTTCGTATGAAGTTGAGCAGGTGGCGTGTACTTCAAGAACAAATTGTTGCAATCGAGGGATCAATGCCCCAAAGTGAGAGTTATTTTCTGGGTGACAGCATCTGCATCAAAACGGACCGCCCGTTGACAGCGGCAGTGCTACTCTTCTGTAGCCCAGAAAAACCGGCGTAGATTAGGCCTCTTCAGGCAGCACCTCGACTCTCATCCGCGAAGGGCAATCGCTGCTTGATGTCAGCTCGCGATGGACAGCCTGGTCCGGGGGGCGGGTCGCAGAGAACCGACCTGATTCGGAAAATATCGCCGTTCCGAAGCAGGGTAGCAGGGTTACCCATACAACACGATCCCTGTGATATCTGGATCTGATTTTGTCTAGCAGGATCCACAGCGAAGGTTGTCACCGGTCAACCAGTTCACCTACGACGATCGCCGCCAGGTCCCAATCCAGCAGCCGACCTTCGTGGCGAGTGACCAGGGCAGGTTAGGGATGCTACTTTCGCGGGACGATTGAATAGCGACGAATATGGATTGGTATAGCGACGACCCAATGAGAGCCAACCACGATAATGGTATGTACAGAAGGGCTAGTGAAAGTGACTCGGGGAGCAGCGGCAATGTGACTTGATGTACGGGTGATTGGACCAGAGGTGAGAAGTGCATGTGTGATAACGAATTCGGTACGTCAAGCTGCATGGCACTTGCTTGAAACAAAACCAACACCTAATATGAGGGAGGTTGCAGGAAGCAAAATGGTTTGAACCAAGTTCCAAGTTCTTAGATACGTTCCCTCGCGCTTTATTGTGCTCTTCCTTGCTCTTTCACTCGCACTTTCTGGACTTGTTACAGACACGATTATTGATGAGGGCTTGTGCTGAGGCCGTAGACAAGCAAGAGATATTTGCCTCACTATCTCGAATCTCGCTACATTGGCAACTCCGGGTTCGATCACGTCCATTCACACAGGAACTATTAGCTGATGTTGCGAAGGCATTGGGCAAGCCCGTCTCAGATTGTGAGAAGCGTACCATCTCAATCAGATTCCGCACATGCGTTACTGGTGAAGTAGCCCAAGTCCCTACGCGAGGACGTGAGAGGTAGGCATGTAGGCCATAGATCCTTCGGCAGCATTCTCTCGACAGTGCCCACGGGGTTTGCTATCGGATTTGATCCTTACGCACCCTCGGCACACGACTCATGACAGCCATGGACCCACCGACCCTTGTTCTCGAGGACATTTTCAATATGCGTACCGATCTCAACCCCAGTTCTCGTCACTTCGATTCCGTGCTTTGCGATGATCCAGCAACGGGCACCGAGCACTGCAATCAACTGTCAACGCGGTCGGATGGATGGGGCCCACTAGTCATTTGCGAACAGACTATGTTGGAAGATCTAGGTGAAGAAGCTTCAAGGAGGGGCAGACTGTATTTTTCCCATGGCTTCTAGCAGAGGACAGTGAGCTAGGAATTTGGGTGGATCGATTCCTCAGCGTTTGTAGAGCAGGGCGGAACCAAATTCAATGGGAACGGGTACGCAGCAACTGTCGAGTGAAGAATCTACCGTTTCAGGATGAAGGTGTGGAAAGGAAGTCAGAAAAAAGGCCGTGTCGACAAGAATGATGCGGTGGCGAGGCAGCGGCCATGAAAAGAAGGATGCTTGTTATGGCGGCTCAAGCGGTAAAGGAAGGCAGCCCTAGTTTACCAGCCCCGACCCTTTTTGTGAAAAGTGTGCCGATGACAATGTAGCGCTGGAGGCCACAGGTTGTATTACGCTGATAGATCTGAGGAATCCGCTCGACATCAACAAGGGACGTTGTTTGAAATGGCAAGTTTCGGGGCTCTTCAGTTTCGGGGCTCAAAGAGGCCAGACTGCCGGTGTTTCCTGGTTGCTTTTTACCCTTCATTCGTTTTAAAGAGCCCGTGTACGTAGTAAAGGCCCAATAATATGTTCTGCTTCCTGAGGACGACTTCTGACCTCAAGACAAGATGTATCATCGGGGTGAGCAGGAGGCATGATGCTGTTAACGCGATAGTCATCAAAATTCTTTGGAGAAGCGAGCGCCGGCCTTGGCAGCGGCCCATCTCCCAAACTTCTTCTCCGCATCGAATCATTTTTTATCAACCAGACAGACACAGCGAGAGCCTGACAGTTTGCACGACAGTGGTGGTTTGAATTGGTCGTTCAGGTGTATGGCGCGATGCCTTCAACTCATAAGAAAGAGAAGCCATGGGATACTGACGACATAGACAAATGGAAGGTGAGCATCATGCCTTCATGAGCCCTTGCTTTCGCCTTCCATGCATGCGCCCACACTAACGCCCTTCGCAGATCGACGAGTTTAAACCAGAAGACAATGCAGGTGGCACTTTCGCCGAAGAGTCTTCCTTCGCCTGTCTATTTCCCAAATATCGAGAACTATACTTGAAACAAGCCTGGCCTCTCGTTACAAAAGCGCTGGAGAAGAGAGGGATTGCCTGCACGCTCGATCTAGTGGAAGGTCGAATGGAGGTACGAACAACGCGAAAGACGTTTGACCCTGCCGCCATCCTAGATGCCAGAGATCTCCTGAAGTTACTTGCCCGAAGCGTGCCAGCTCCGCAGGTAAGTCCAGCAGCTACACCTGCGGCCTTCGCCAATCACTCACAATGCTTTCAGGCCATCAAGATCCTTCAAGACGACACAGCCTGCGATGTGATAAAGATTCGAAATCTGGTTCGGAACAAAGAACGCTTCGTCAAACGGCGGCAGAGGCTTCTTGGTCCTAATGGTTCAACACTCAAAGCCCTCGAGCTCCTCACAAACACTTACATCCTCGTGCAAGGAAATACCGTCAGCGCAATGGGCGGCTACAAGGGGTTGAAAGAGGTCAGAAGGGTGGTCGAGGATTGCATGAACAACATCCACCCTATATATCATGTCAAAGAACTCATGATCAAGAGAGAGCTCGCCAAGGATCCTACCCTGAAGAACGAGAGCTGGGACCGGTTCCTTCCACAATTCAAGAAAACGACTCTGAGCAAGAGACACACTCCTTACAAGGTCACCGACAAGGACAAGAAGGTGTACACGCCGTTCCCTCCGCCCCAAGAGAAGAGTAAGATCGACCTGCAGATCGAAAGTGGTGAATACTTCCTTGCAAAACAAGCCAAGGAACGGGCCAAAGAGCAGGAAAGAATGGAGCGGCAAAAGGAGAAGAAAGAAGAAAAGCTGCGCCAACGAGAACAGGCCTTTGTAGCGCCTAAGGAGGATCTGGCCGACAAACCGAAGAAGAGGAAGATATCCGCAGACGGAGAGGTCCACAAATCAAAGAAGTTGAAGACTGCAGTGTGGAACTATGCGTGATCACAGCAATCTTCAGGTCTCTTCTTCTTTGCACGCCATTTTGCAGCACCGGTCCGGATCAAACGCACCAATGTATCGCCATGGCTGCCTCGAGCTGCGACCAGCCCACAGAGCACGCCACACTCACAACGGTATGGTGCGCCGTGAACAAATGCTCTGTGCCGTTGAGCAATTGTGAACCTCAACTGTGGATCAACTGTGGATCTGAAGAACTCAGCATCAGCTGAGTGCACACAACTTCGGAAGATGATACAGCTTTCCGAACGCTAGAGCCAGATCCCAACACCCAAGGGAGCCAATATGGACCGGTGAAGATGATCTTGCAGGTCGATAGGACTTGTGGCAGCAGAATGCAACTCTGTTCCAGCTTGGCCAATGTGCATCCCTTCCCATCGGAAGGACGGTTATTCTCGAAGGCATGCCGGTCCAGCAACTTCGGGTACTGAGGGCCCTGCCTTCATGAAGCTACGAACCATGTCATGCATATCAAACGCAGGCCCAGTATCCAAGTCGCCATTCCAGGGATGCCTTGGTCCGATCAGAAACATTCTACGGCCCAGGCCACGCCTGATCGGGTCTAGCATGGAACATGACAGTGCCGTAGAATCCTTCTAGCTCGACAATTTGTGCGAGGCTAGTCCTCATCAGGGAGCGGCACCAAGGAGTAATCTAATCGCTGTCCCATCGGCTATTCACCCGTGCGAAACCCTCACTGTGTCTTTGTTCCAGAGCTCAAGCTATTGCGACCGCCGGAGATGCCAATGAGGTTATGCCTCGATGCTGTGTATGTCGACTATTGCCAACTAGTTCAGATAGAAACAACCTCGTTCGCCCAAATATCGATGTGAGCGCATGGCATCGAGCAAATGCTTTCCTTTTCTTATGCTTGTTGCTACGTCGGTCCTATTAGGTGCAAGTTAGGCGAGAGGCTGGAGTGATTCTCCCCGTGGGCGGGGAGGAACGGGGATGACACCGACCTACGGAGTACATTTCAAGCTGTTGAGGGGGTCAGAGGGATACAGCAGCTGCAAAGCCAGCCCGTAGCGAGAAGAACTCAAAAACACGCAGACTTCTCATCCTGCGCCAATACCACTGTGTGATGCTTTGCACCTCGCAACCTGTACCTTTTCTGATTGGAGTCAACGGCGAAATTCCATTGCACAAACGGCCGAGGCTAACTCTTCTGGACAATCATTTCTCCGATCCGGGTTCCAGTGGCTCCCAAGTGTCTGAATCTGTGAGCTCACAGCTTGGGCTCGACCTTCAGAAACCAATCGTTTAAACTCGATGGAATTTACTGTGTGGAGCGCATCTTCTGGGCAGAGGACTCCTGTTGGACGCTCTTTCCAATTGCAGCGGTGAACTCGTGATAGCTTCCCTTCAATTGGCTCCAGCCCCTCTTCAGGAGGCTTTTCGGTCAAACTCTTTGTAAAGATCACCCGTGAATTACTGCTTGACATCTTGAGCTCTGGCGACAGCTGACTCCCTGACAAGGATGAGCTGGTCACTCATCGCAGTGATAGGTCCATTATGGCTTGTTCTCAGACCAGACGGAAGTACTTGACGACATATTCGAGACTCGCCCAGAGAACATACCATCTATCTGGCTCGTTGGGATGTTTATAAAGAGGGCATGCTTCCCACAGGTCTCGATCTTCATCTCGAGCAACAACCAGGCCTCCCTCTTCTGAATAGCTCGAATTATTTGAGCTCTCAGCGTATATAACAAGCTGTCTTACCTTCTTTTCTATAGTGCCTTGACACGAACAACATGGATCACGAAGCCATCACCGAACGCCAGGCATCCAATGCTGAGGCCATTGCCAACCAACGGCGCAGGAGCGTGGCCAATAAAGGCCTGACCGGTGCTTCTGCTCTTACAGTCAAACAATCGATCTTCCCCGTCACCCTGGTCACGGTCTTATTCTTCTTGTGGGGGTTCGCCTACGGATTGCTCGACGTTCTCAATGCAAAATTCCAAACATCGCTCAACATTACAGCTGCAAAAGCAGGTGGTCTGCAAGGCGCTTATTTTGGTGCTTACTTCATTGGCCCTCTGACATACTCCGGCTGGATTGTCCGAAAGTTTGGCTATCGTGTCACTTTCATGACAGGTCTCTGCATCTACGGGGTTGGTGCTTTGATGTTTTGGCCTTCGGCAGTCTATAAATCCTTCGGAGGCTTCTGTGGCAGCTTGTTCATTGTCGGGAGCGGGCTTTCAACGCTCGAAACGTCTGCCAACCCGTACATTGCGACTTGCGGTCCTCCGAGATTGTCCGAGTTCCGTCTTGAGCTCTCTCAATCTTTCCAGGCTGTCGGCTCTGTTGTGGCACCCCTTCTGGCCTCTCGAGTTTTTTTCAAGGACACGCACTCTACCGACCTCTCTCACGTTCAATGGACATACGTCGGCATCGCAGCGTTTGTCTTCCTTCTTGCGGTGGTCTTCTTCTTTACTCCATTGCCCGAGGTCACCGATGCCGATATGGCTCTCCAGGCTGAGCAGTGCGCAGATCTTACTGGATATGAAGAGAAGCCACTCAGTAAGCAGTACAAGCTGTTCTTTGGCGTGGCTGCACAATTCACCTACGTGGGCGCCCAAGTCGCGGTTGCTTCGCAGTTCATCAGATACGCCCAGGAATCGGCTGGCATCACGGAGGCACAAGCATCTGACCGATACGCCATTGGCCAGTCATTGTTTGCCATCGGTCGTTTCGCCGCTGCAGGGCTCTTCATGTTTGTCAAGCCGCGTCTTGTACTGATGGTCTTCATGACTATGATCATGGTCTTTGTTGCATGTGCTATGGGAGTTCAAGGCGAGGGTGGTGTTGCTATGCTATCCTTGGTTTTGTTCTTCGAGTCGTGCATTTTTCCAACCATCTTCACCCTGTCAATCCGAGGGCTGGGCCGCCATACCAAGAGAGGATCTTCCTGGATCGTTGCCGCTGTCTCTGGAGGAGCTCTTTTCCCAGCATTGACTGGCCTTGCGGCCGACAACTTCAAGTCTTACCATTTGGCGATGTGCGTGCCACTGTGCGGTTTCTTCGTCAGCTTTGTGTTCCCCATCTACCTGAACACTGTCTGCAGAAAGGAGCTGGATGGTTTCCGGGAGACGAAGATTGGGTACGTCGATGAACGACGGGGAACCATTATTGGTGATGTCACTGATGTTGGGACATTTGAGGCAATGGAAAAGAGAAGGTCAATCAACGTTGAGAATGTGTGAGATTGTGGGCTTTTGGGGGATTGAAATTGGTCATTACTGTGTGTGGATCGGCGAATGACTTTCTGAAATGGCAATTGATGCTTTGACTATAGACATGATATCCATTTTGAGCTTCGAACGAGAATGATAGTCAATATCCCAGTTACATTCTGCAACCAGACATGTTCATGCCACGACTGTGCCACAATTACTTCCCCAACAAGGAGCTCGGTACAGCGAGGAGTTGGGCGCCTCGTAGTTAAGAGCATGTTTCCTTCTAGCAAAGACGAGGAGATCAGAAAAGGTCAACGGGCATGATGACATCTTCCGGTACAAAGAGACTTTGCCAGGCTTGGGAAGCCCTCCATGGATTACATCCTCTGCACTTGGCATGGTCCTGTGGCATACCTCTGGAACGACACAACAATGTCTTATCAGTGTTGTGGTAGTATATCTCGCTTGCCAGAGGTATTGCCAATCACCCCGTCCGCGCGAAGATGTAAGACGAAATGGCAAGAAACTCAAGCACGAAAAGCAGAAGCCCGCGAGTAAGGGCCGGAGGTCAAGCAATAACCCCTGGAGGTCGTGCGAGGTTCGAGGTACTATGGTCTCACTGCTAAATCGTGTAGTTTGGCGCTAGGATGCCATTCGAGGACAGACAGCAGCGAGGACAATTTGTATGGCAGGAGGGCCTCCTGTTTAATGCGGTACTAACTGCTACTTCGACGATTCAAGCGGCAACTGTTTTGTACCCCGGTTAAGCGAGTTTCATTACACTATTTACCCTTGAGACCGTAGTATATATTTTGAAGAAGCACAATGGCTTCCGCAATCGACCATAGGATGTGCAATGCAGGGCTTCCAGGTGGACCGTCAGCGGGCGATGTGCAAGCCTGGCTGTTCTGCCGCCTCACTCGTCGGTTTCGACCCTTGGAAGGAGGTTCGGTGGCTTCGTGAGCTCTGTACCTTCCTTTGCCTCGTCTGCCTCGTCTGCCTCGGGTGGAGAATTGACGAACTGCGACCCACGACGACTTTTCAGAGATTTGCGACCACGTTGCTTTGCTAGTGTCCTTGCCCTTTTCCCCGCTTTGTCCCTTCTATAAGAGGCGACTGTGGCGACCGTTATGCTAAGATGTGAAAGCTTACGGACTCTGGAGACAATTTTTTTTGAGGAGGGCGCGGTCTTTCGTGCTGGCTATGTTCCGAAGGCTATCGGTCTTGGGGGGTTTATGGTGACTGATATGATGGTTGACGAGTTTCACGGTACCAGGTAAATCCGATAAAATGGTAACTTTTCGCGGCTGAAGTGCTTTCGGGTATCTCTTGATCGTCCGATGAGCAAAACCCAAAGCATGTATCATGGCGAGCATGTGAGCTCTTGTTTTGGTCTTGATGTTATTCATCACAAGGTCATGGCGTGAGTAGCTATGTTTCTGCTCTTGGCCAGGGATTCGATCGTTTCGGATAGCACCCGTCGATGGGCACTCGGCTTCCTGCACCACGCCTATACCGGCGCCCCGCAGAGCTGTAAAGTCCACGGCGGTATGCATGACCAGGTCAAGCTGCATATGCGGTGAATTTACCTCAGCCATTGCTGACGAGTTGCACGGATGAGGGTCGACCTTGAGAAAATTGGTTTTTGGGCGCTGGTAGAGATTTGGGTGGCGGAAAGAGATGCGCTATATGTCGCGTGGTCCGACGAAGTTCCGGTGGAGCGGATACCCGTTGAATGCAAGGGTAGACCTCGAACCAGTCGAGCAGTGAACGGTATTCCGCATTTTTCCTCTTTATTATCTAATGGCAGCGGCTGTGATCAAGTCAGCACGGCGACTTGGGCCCGTGTTTCGGCCACTGATACCTGATGGCATGGCGCATTTAACGAGGAGTGGAAGTTGGATTTACCTGGTTGGCAGAAGCATGGTTCAGCATCCTAACTTAAGCATTCAGCCCAAGACAGCTCGTAGCGATCACCTCAGCCTTCTTCCCTTTTGATTGCCAGTCGCAGCCATGTTGTGGGGACGACCCATGCTTGTAGCCCATCGGCATGACAATCTTCCACAATGTGCAGGCGCAACGAATATCCTGCTGAAAGCATAAGTTATCCATCAGAATGCTCAGACTGACGTGGACTGCTGCGTTCAGGGGCTTCAGCCTGGCACGCCTGAATTCGGCCCCCCACAACCTGGAGGCGAACCGGTACCAGGCGTAAATGACGATAGCTGACTATAATGGATGCTTCTCAAACAAGCCCTGTCGAGCACACTGCATTGCCAATCCAGGCAATCTGAGATCCAGAGTATGACAACAAGGCCTCCGCCTGATAGATTGCTTGGTAGTCGCCAGAACTATTCACCAGGCCAAAGGTATTCATATTGATGGGGAAAGACGCTGGTACCTGCGTTCAGGCAATAGAGCCTCCATCGGGCGGTATCATTGATATCAGAAAATTCTTGTCCTGTAAGGCATCATAGGCACTGCTCTTGTCACTGGGGCCCTTCTCCAGTGATGCGGAAGTCTCGAATGGTAGAGGAGGAATGCCGTCCGTGTCCGAGGCAGACGCCGAACGTTCCGTCTTCAGGTGGTTCAGCTCCAACCGTGGAGGCGACGATATGTTTTGTACTCTGCCGTTGTGTAGTTTTGGAGAAAGCAAGTGGAATATCTGCTGCATTTGGATCCAAGAGTCGATATCATCGTCATCCTCTCGAGGACGTGGAGCATCCGAATGAAGGGATGCGGCGAGTTTTCGAATGGTAGGGTTTTTATAGACCTGTTTGACATCTATCGCATCGTGACCGATCGCAATGGAGTCATTGATCGCGCGTAAGAGGGTCAATGTCTGCAGGGAGTCACCCCCTTGGTTGAAGAAATCGTCGTCAAGTTTGAGCCAATCCAAGTCGAACCCTTGTGCAATGTAAGCTTGAAGTGATACTTGAAGTGATGCTTGAGTGGTTTCCAGTGTAGCAAGGTCAAATGTATTCCGGCTCGTTGCCGGGCCTCTCTTAGTGGTCGATTTCTCGTCATAGAATGCGTCAGCCTCCTGCTTGTACAAATCCACGGCTCGCTGCCTCTGGATTGTGCCCTTTCCAGCACGCGGCAAAGGTTTGTCAGGAGTTGTAAACAGGATATAGTCCTTAGCAATCTTTCCATGGCCAACAAAGCTCTTGTTCACTTGTTAGACATGAGGCCAGATCTTGTCCGCGAGACTCTGCCTCTCTTAGCCGGTTAGCGGAGATCCATTGTGCGCAACGATTAATAGCGTTTGAGAATTGGGCACACGTGAAGTCGCAGAATCCATCACTCGATCGTTCGATAGGTGAATCGAAGCGTAAAGTTTCTCGAAGCCTTCTTGAGCCCGGGCGTCAATGACATTAGGTAGGAGCCGGAATCCATGATGGGCTACAACCCCAGCGATTCAGACCGCGTCAGTGAGACGACTTAGGATTGTAGATGACCTTGTTACTGAATCTTGGAGCGTGTCCACACAGAGCTTTTCGGCACCAGGAGGGCGTGGAGCCTTTCGCGACGGTATCATGAGGGTCTCCATCCAGAATGCCCCCAGTGTGCGCCCTGTTGAGATACCTAGTGTAGACGCGTCAATTCGAAAGAGCGAGAAGCGCCTGTTGGCTCACAGCATCACAGAAAGACGAAAGAAAGTAAGCAAAGGCACTCAACGGCATGCGCGTCCGTAGTATGAAAGAAAGAAGGTTCGAAATTGAATCTACTGGCCCCAAAGTGTCAGCTTTCGATCGTAAAGAACTCTTTTGTTGACGATGGATTAATTAGGTCTGTGGAAGCTTTCGTCGTCAATCTCAATCACATGGTAGACCATCCCAACTCGTACTGTACATCCTGCAGGAACTTGTTGTACGCCTTCTCGGGTTGAACTAGATGGCCCCTCTATCTCCCAAATCAAGAGTCATTTGCTCATCAACAGCGATCCTATTCATCATTTGCCGGAGTATTTGGCCTTGCCAAAGGAAAATGGAACATAACGGTACTTGATCATATGCTGAATCTGCCGTCTCACTAATGCCTTGTCAGGTCCAACGTATCAGGCAATCATTCACCGCTGGACTTACTCGTCAAAGAAAAGAGGATCAACCAGTACATGACTAACACGGGCCAGAAGACGGGTAGATTGAAGATCTCGAACCAACTGCAGAAGAAGGAAATGGTGACAGCTCTGGTCGCGGCGTGCCAGAACTTGAACTCAGGCAACCTTCTGATGAATGGTCTGAACTCGTCATCCTGTTTCGTTGGCAATTCAGAGCCCTCGCCATCTTCTATACCTTCATCCTGCGACAAGCTTGGGTCGAATTTGGGCTGAAGAAAGGCAAGGAACAAGTTGAGTAGGTAAATGCCGAGACAGTACGCGACAATGTACCAGCCTTGAGCGACGATTATCCGGAGGAAGAAGAGGACGAGTAGCGCCCCGGTAGCACACCAACGATAGGAGACGTAGGGGGTGGACTTGTCGAGGTAGGTTTGATATTGCTGTGGGAAGGTTTTGTTAGTCCGTCACGCATCGTGCTGGAGACAGCTCGACTTACTCTCAACAATTTGTTGCTCTGTGCAGAGATCGCGTCGAAAGGAGTCGTGTCAGGCTCAGGCCCGTCCATAGTGGCAACAGTTGTCGGTAGAGATGAGGAAACGTAAGGTCTGCGCATGCGCCGGCGTCTTCACAAGACGAAAGAGATTGTGCTGAAGGGAAAGACGGTCTTCGCACAGATGCCGTCTTTCCAGCAAACACAGTTAGACAGATAGATAAGAAACCAACGTTGACAGCCTGGTGAATTGTTGAGGTCTGAATGTTGAAGCCACGTCTTTTTTGCTTCCAGGCTGGCGTCTTTTTGCCCTGCGGCCGCAGTTGTTGGGTGGAGTCGAGAATCACGAAAATCACTGTGGCTCGAGTCCAAGTGGCACGAGGAGTGACTGCGCCTCACACTCGGATATTATCACGTGCACCAGGCGAATCGTCGGGATTGGCCTCGACGTCGACGTGAATTGCGGAGGATCAACCGAGGATAAGCGGGTTGTGGACGGATGAAGCTGGGACGAAGCTGCAGATCAAAAAGTAACCTGTAATGTACAGAGCTGGCCGATCGTCCTGGAGGACATTAGATTCCCTCGCCTTCTCACCTACGTTCTTGCTTCTGAACATGTCTTCCTTACGAGTGCTGTCAAGACCTGTCGCTGCCCTGGCCTCTGCGCCCCGAACACTCCCACGGCTGGTCCGCTTTCAATCCACCTCAAGCAGCTATGAGAACATCTTAACCTCATCGCCCAGGCCTGGCGTTGGTCTAAGTATGTCTGCTTGCCTCGAACCGCTACTTTCGCGTTGGCGTGATTTATGCTAACCACGTGTTTCTCTTCACAGTCACCCTAAACAGACCGAAAGCACTCAATGCCCTCTCCAGTGCCCTATTCGTCGAATTGAACGATGCCTTGAAGAAATATGAAGAGGACAAAGAGATTGGTGCCATAGTCTTAACGGGAAGTGACAAGGCTTTTGCAGGTAAGGAATGATCGCCTACAGGAAAAGGACAACAGCTGATTTATCATGCAGCTGGAGCGGACATTAAGGAAATGGCACCTTTAACCTTCTCCGACGCCTATGTCAACAACTTTATCGCTCCTTGGTCTTTCATGACAACGCTCCGGAAACCTGTAATTGCTGCAGTCTCGGGTCATGCACTTGGAGGAGGGTGCGAGCTTGCCATGATGTGCGATATTCTATACTGCACAAAGACGGCCAATTTCGGACAGCCCGAAATCAAACTGGGGACCATTCCAGGAGCTGGAGGCTCACAAAGGCTGACTGCGGCCTTCGGAAAGAGCAAGGCCATGGAGCTGATCCTGACAGGCAATAACTTCAGTGGTGAAGAAGCTGAAAAGCACGGCTTGGCTGCAAAAGCGTTTGATGGCGGGAACAAAGAGGTTCTTGAAGGTGCCTTGGACTCTGCCGCCAAAATTGCAAGCTACTCGCGGGTCGCTGTGATTGCTGCCAAAGAGGTGGTCAACAAGAGCCAAGACTTGGGTGTTCGGGAAGGTGTCGAGTATGAACGCCGCATCTTCCATTCACTGTTCGGCAGCAAGGACCAGAAGATTGGAATGAAAGCATTCGCGGAGAAAAAGAAGCCCGAGTGGAGTCATTCATGAGATCTTAAACTGCGACGACCACAAAGGGTAAAAACAACGAATATACCTGTTTCATGGCCGGAATCTCGACGCTCGTTCCCCTTCTGTCCCACGTGACCTCGCGCCGCTTTTGCTCAGGCTGGCTCGCGTCCGGCTCAACGTCGGCTCAGGGCCGGCTGGGCCAGCTCACCTTACTGACCATATCGGGGCGTGTGGCCCAAAGGTCGTCCCTCCTCCAGACCGTCAAGTTTTAACGAGGACCCAAAACGAGGCTCTAGGGGGGTTTTCTGGAAGTGCACCACGGCACGTTGCCTCCTCGACCCTGCGAGAACGAGTCGGTCTTCATGAGCGTGATGGGCCCGGCACGACGTGCGCTTGTGTCTCTGGCGCGAGGGAGGGTTCCCAGAAATAGTCCCCCTGGCCCTTCCATAAGAGCCTTGTGGCGCTCAAATGAATGGGAAAGTCGATAGTAATTAGACAAAAATGAGATGTTCAGTCACTCCTCATTACTATCAAGACCTCTGCCGAGAGGACAAGAAAAGAGAATCAACTCAACGCCAGGCCCAAACCACCGAGTACACATCCCATACGATCCAATGTCGTCGGTTGACAGAGATTGGGCGCTCGTCCCGACTCATACGTCCCTTTAACATCTAGGCAGTGGTGGTGGGCGCAACCACGGTGGCAAGCGCGCTGCTGACCGGCCACTGGATCGTGTTGTTCGGACCGGGGATATCGTCGGGGAACTTGAACTGCAGGATCACGCCGGGCCGGAAGCACAGACAGTGCGTGGAGCCGCCGAAGTGGAACATGCCCAGCTGTTCGCCCTTGACGAAGTTCTTTTGGGGCGGCATGGTGATTTCGATCGACGAGACCTGGGCCATGCCCACCAGGATCATGGCCATGAGGCCGATGTCCTTGTTGTCGGCTTCGATGAAGACGACGGCCCGCGTCGCCACCGCCGAGATGTACCCCTGAGAGGCCTCGTCCGCGCCGGGATCCGGGTCTGCAGGCCCGCTGTTGGGGCTGAATCCCGTGAGCAGCGGCTTGGAGTAGTACGTCCTGGCGACAATGGCGGGCGGATCGACGATGTGCCCGGAGACTGGGACGTGGAAGCGATGGTAGCTGCCGGCGCTGAGGAATGCCTGGTATACGGTCCTGCCCGCGAATTGCTCGGCGCGGGGGTCGTTGTCCAGCATGTGAGCGAGCGAGTAATTCTGGTCCTTGAGCCAAAAGGTGTCGTGGAGTTTGACGTTCCGCTGGAAGGCGAAGGGAGTGGCTCGGCGGCGCTCACAATGATGCTGAGGTCGTCCGGGGAGGCAACGGGGCGGCGATGGGGCAAGAACTCTCGCGTGAAGAAGTTGTCCCACGACGTAAACCGGCCCGCTGGCTTGGTGATGTCGACGCCAAAGCTCTCGGCGGAATCCACCATGTGAGGGCTATTCAGCGCCGTCTGCGAGAACCAACCGCCTTGGCCGCTGTTCAGTGTGCCTGTCGACTTGTCACTGACCAGAAAACCTGCCCAAGCAGTCAACATCTTCTGGAACTGCTGATTGACTTCGGGATTCAGAAACGCCGCAAAGCCGACTTTGGAGCCCATCGGCCAGTCGAGCACGGCGTTGATGGGCGTGCCGACCTGTGCAGAGCTGTCCCAGGAAGGTGCCTTTGTCAGTATGGAGTCGAAAGCGTTGAACAACGTCTTGAGGTCTCAAATCTCGGGGTGCCCGGCAGGTCGTTCTTGTACTTGGCGGGCACTTCGGCCAGCATTTCGTTGAAGAGCATGTACAGCTGGGGGTCAGCGACGACCATGTCATAGAAAAATGACTTGCGCTTTCTTGTTGACCCATTTTCTGAGGACGATGGGATTATCAGGCAACCAGTTCCCGACCCTGTTAACCATGATTGCAAATATTGACCCAGGAGATCCGAGCTGTCTGATGATGCCTGGGAAAGCACGAATGAATGCTGAAAGCATAGAGGCCTCGGGCGTTGAAAGCTCTTTGGGACAGATTTAGTAAAGAAAAAGGGAGGATGTTTCTGTATAGGAGAGAGTAGGTGCGGAATAGACCGGGAGTCAATTGAACTCACAGAACAGTTTCAGCTCAATGCATGCAGCATGCTTATCACTGGCTATACCAGCCAGTTTCAGGCCAGTTGGGCACTACTGTTGAACTGAACGCCTGGTGGTCAATAAAAGCATTCAGCTGAATGCGGCATTATTTGGTCAGCTGCCGTCTTCCAAGCCATGTGTAACCCAGCGCTTGCTCCACCTAATAGCTTCGGGCCTGGATATGCTCTGGTAGCGGTTAAGAGAGGAGACTGGGATGGCGGAACATCAGAATGAATGTGGCGTTTCAATGTGTGCCCGTTGTCGGCTCCTCACGAATCTCGATCAGTTGACGGTGGTCGAAAGTGAGTGTTGGGCCACCTGGTCAATTACCTTTGCCGTATCTAGACGTCGTTCATTTGAATCCATTAATGACACGGATGAGAACCTACTTATCTGCAGGTTCAGCTCTTCAGACGAGGTGCGAAAACCTGCGTTAGTGCTCGATGCACACTGGAAACCACCTTGAGATGGCTGGCTGAAGACGTCGACCTTGTAACTACCTTCGGTCCTTGGCAGTCTAGACTGTTAACTTAGCTTGGGCGTTGTGAGGGATCAGGCGGGCGCAGACACGGCTCGCTGGAGAGCTGAATCTTCGCAAAAGGAGGAACGGCAAGTTGAGCCCCGCTACAGTCCTCGGATTAGGAAACATTTCCCACGATATTGCCTTTCAAGTACATAGAATGCTCAAGGACAGCCTTCTCAATCGCCAGGGTCTGCATGGGAGGAAGGAGCTTAAGAACCTTAGTTGAACGGCTGTACTAGTATCTGCATTTAGCAATTTATACAACGGAGGCTTTCTCAACACTGTTCCTGCTCTTCTTTTGCTGCTCTTCATACTTGGACCGGAGCTCAGCCATCCTAGTCTCGTAAATTTTCTGAGCATCGATATGGGCTGCTTCCATCCATTTCGGGTCAAGATGCTCAACGTTCAAGTAGGGTGAAACATCCCCTTTCTGTACAAGAGCTGGCACTGTGCCCATACCTAGGTACGCCCACGGATTCTCCTTCGCCGGACCTAGATATTGGATTTCATAGTCTTCCCACCTTGGCGTCTTGATAGCCTCCATATAGTGAAGGGATGAGCCTGGCCAAACAGCGTTCACGCGCCCTGTCTCATTATTTTTATACCTGCGCTCGGTAAGAATCATCTCGTGATAAATAGTCTCGATATATCTGATAGGTCCAGAGATTCACTTACCAAGATCGACAGTCTTCAGTCCACACAGTATGTCGCATCCACTCTTGACAATGCTCATTGAACATATCGGTAATACCCTGCTTCGGGGCAATGCTGCAAATATACTCTGTCTGTAGTTTCCTTATCATCGCTTGAGTATACTTTGAGACGAAGGATAGTGGTCCCATAATACCGCCAGTTTCGACTGGCCAGTTCGGACCAGTAAAGATTAGAAAGTTCGGAAAGCCGGGGACTGCTAGACCGAGATAGCCTTCGGGGCAAATTTTCCACTTCTCGCGCAAGTCAAAGCCGCTTTGACCGACGAGAGGAAACTGAGGGCGATACGAGACGTCGAAGCCGGTAGCACAGACAATAGTGTCGACTTCGCGATGAATGCCATCAGCTCCAATAGCCCCGGTCTCATTGATCTCCACCACAGGAGTAAAATGTACATTGACGTTCGGTTTTTGAATCGCCCTATTGGTTTTTCGGTCTTCGTTCAGAGATAGTTTGAATTTGCAGAGAGGAGGGGATGGGGAGTCTCGTACTCAATATAAGGATCTCCTGGGGTAACCCTGCGACATCCAATCCCAAACTTGGGAGTGAACCCGGCGATTAGTTTTTCATCTTTTACCATCGACGCGAAGCGCTTCTTCAACGCCTCTTGAGCGTCAGCTTGAGCCTTTGATTTGCTGTAGAAGATACCCCATATGCTGTTGACCTGGTCTTCGATAGACTTAGCATGCTCGACAAGTTTATAGGGATCACGGAGCTCTGCTTTTAGCTCGTCGGTATATTCATGGTTTGCGCCATAGTTGTCTGCGATTTGAATGAACCAGACACCTGGATGTGGTTGATATTAGCTTGGTAGCTGGGATATAGTGTATAACGATTTCGATATATTTGAGGATTTCTCACCCGTTCGCACAAATATATCCAAACTTTTCACGTGCGGTTGTATCGCTGGAACGGTTTGAATACTTGAGGCCTGAGAAATAAGGTGAGAATCGTGTCTATAGGAACAGCTTTAGACTTACTCCCGATCCGATAACAGCCACGCGGTCTTTCTTCCATTCTTCGGACTGATAATCTTGCGGCCACATGGCAGTGTGGATAAGCCTCCCTTTGAACTTCTCTATGCCCTTAATGTTAGGCCATTGAGGAGTATTTAGAACCCCAGTCCCCTGGATTAGCATATGGCATCGATCTTCGTATTGGCGCTTGCTTCCGTCAGGATTAGTCTGCTCGAGCTTCACGAGCCACTCTCCCGTCTCCTGCTGCCAATAACAGCCAATGACCTTAGTAGAAAAGGTCATATATTTGCGGAGTCCCCAGACCTCGCAAACCTTATTCAGATATTGCCAGATATCGGGTGCATACGAAAAGAATCGTGGCCAATCGGGCTAGGTATGAGGACGTCGAAATTAGTTATTGGAACGGACGCCCCGAGGAGACTTCTTCTTCTTCTTCTTCTTCCTGAGATCTTACTTACATTCAGCGCAAATCCGTAGGTATAAGCATGGCTTGGAATGTCACAGGCGCAGCCTGGAGAACCATAAGTTAGAGAATCTGAGCTAAGGCCGCGTACGATGCCTCTCATACCAGGGTATCTATTCTCAAGCCATGTGCCTCCAATGTCAGGGTTCTTCTCGTAAACGACATGCTCGATATTTTTGAGGTTTTTTTGAAACTGGTACGAGTTGAGAATGCCTGTGATGCCGGCACCGATCGAAATAACTCGAATCTTGCGGGTGTAAGGTCCTCCAAGGATAATGTCTATAATGAATCTCTCAGGTTAGTGACCTAGCTCCTATCATGCTAGAGAACGAAAGAACTGCACACTTCCTGCAAGTCGTTTGGGGAACGAGACGAATTTCACGTCGTTTGAGGGTGCATATCTTCAACTGGAATTTGGAACAGGCAAGACAACGCTTGATCATGCCACCAGCATCCCCATCAGACAGCTTGGCTGACAAAGTATAATCTACCCAGAAAGGGAGGGGTCATGTGCCGACAACATACCAGGGATTTCGTATCGACCTCGTGGAATACCATTGTTCGCGTAGCCGTCCGTGACCCAGTTGGCCATCACGTCAAGTTCGGCTGCCATCTTGGATTTGGTGTCGAAATCGAGTGGCCGGATGAGTAAAACGTCGTTGCAGAAGGATTTCGGAAGAGACAAAGACACAACTCCTTGTTAGAGTCCATGGATCAGGCTATGGGCTGACCAGACAATATATATACACTCTTAGTCTGGTATCTGCTCAGGGAATAGAACTTCCTCAACAACTTGGATACCCCACAAACCGATGATACCAGCTAGTCTCGCTCCCGATTGACAACGTTTTGGGTGGATCACCGACCATACGGCTGTCGGAAAGTGAACATCGTCGGTACCGGGTCCATCATTTACTCGACCGGAATTTGCGATACATGGTTTTGTGACTAGTAAGAACGATTTAAAGTATATATGCCGCCCCTCTCCGCCCGTGCCCAACACACCGGCTCCTCCGCGCGGGTAGTACATACCCCGAACAAATGCAGCGTGGGGTATGGAGTAAGGCCCGAAGAGAGTTTCCTTGATTGGCTGTGCGTGAAGTTGCTTTCTCAGAAGCCGCAATGGCAGATGCAAAATGCTCCTTCTCTAGTGGTCAAGCCGGGAGAATTAGTGGGTCATGCGGCTGTTCGTGGATTCGCGATCAGAGTTTGTTGACATCCGCAGTGTCTCCCGTTATTCTCGAGGACCTCACGGCTTTTGGAGTCTACCGCTGCAGGGTGTTCCGAAGGCATATGCCAGGGTCCGCTTGAGGCGGGCACTTGAATGCATTTCTTCCCGTTCACAAGTGCTTCAAACCATGATGGAACATGAACGGGACGGCGATCGAGAATCGTTCGACGGAATCCTTACAACGAACGCACGTTACTACTTTGCTCTTCCCGACAAGTATCCGCACCGGCTATGCAGAAAGCCTTCCGCTCTCGGAAGAGCGCTCAGAGTGCGAGACTGTCTCGGCCAACCATGCACCACAAGCGCGAGAGCCTTTGGTGGAACGTGACCTCATATTTATCCGGTTGAGGACAATAACTCGGGAATCAGACGGAAGAGAATTGCGTTGAACGCACACGTGCCCTCACAATCAAGGGCCGTCTTGTCATAAGGACACGGAGTTGGTATGTCTTACAGCCGGAATATCTTTGACTAAAAGTGAGGATGAACTTTCCTACCACGTCCCGTGAATCCAAGCTCTTCGATACACGTGCTATCTTCACAACAATTAATATATCATATTTCAATCTACATAGCGGTCACTGCTTCGCACTACTTTATCCGATCTGCTTCGGAAGTGGGACAACCCGTGTCGGAACTTCTGGCATGTCGGCAGGCCAATATATGTCAAAAGTGAACGACAAAGAGAATCTGACGACAGCGGACGGCTGAATGTCATGGAGAGAACCAAAAATTTCGATATCGCCATCATTGGCGGAGGCATAGCTGGTCTAACACTTACCATTGCCCTTCACCACCACGGGATCCCAGTCACAGTATACGAACAAGCACCACAGTTCGGCGAGATTGGCGCCGGAGTAGCCTTTGGGCCTAACGCTGTACAGGCTATGAGGTTATGTCACCAAGGTATCTATGAAGCATACGAGAAAGTTTGCACAAGAAATCTCTGGCCTGAGAAGCGAAACGTCTGGTTCGACTACCTTGACGGCTATACAGGTCCAAGACTAGGCCAGCAAAAACAGGATATCGCTTTTACGATTCAGAACAGTCTAGGGCAGAGTGGCGTCCATCGCGCTCGATACCTAGATGAACTCGTTAAGCTTGTACCCCAAGACATCGCACGATTCGACAAAAAGCTTGCTAACGTTCAAGAGAATATTAATAATGGTAGGTTGGTTATGCAGTTTGAGGACGGCTCGAGCGCCGAAGCTGATGCTATTATCGGATGTGATGGGATCAAGTCTCGTGTTAGGCAAGTGATTCTCGGCAAGGACCACCCGAGTGCACAACCGAGCTATACGCATAAATATGCGTATAGGGGCCTTGTGCCTATGGAAAAGGCGATTGAGGCAATAGGGGAAGAATTGGCCGTGAACGCCTGTATGCACGTAAGTGTCGATATCCTAGAGCTTCAATTCAGAAACTTAACTTCGACTCAGATGGGTCCAAACGGTCATATTTTGACATTTCCAGGTAAGTAGAACCTACTTCAGTCAGTATCGCTCACTATTCAACTAACGAGTTTCTCAATTGGTGCAGTCGACTATGGCCGTACCCTAAATATTGTTGCTTTCAGAACAACTTCGGACGACTGGCCAGATTTCCAGCGACTCGTGAAGCCAGCTCGACGAGAAGATGCAATGAAAGACTATCATGGATACGGCTCCAGTGTAATGAAGCTCCTAAGTCTAATGAACCCGAACTTAGACGTGGTAAGTTTACCCTTTTGTTGGGAGGCCTGGAATCCATATGATAACTCGAGAAATAGTGGGCAATATTGGATCTGGGGGAACACCCTGTCCCTACCTTTAACCGGAGCCGTATTTGTATTTCTGGGGACGCCGCTCACGCTACATCCCCTCATCACGGTGCTGGCGCAGGCTTCTGTATCGAGGACTCCGCTATACTTACGGCACTCCTAATCGACGGGCGTGTTCAATCTCGATCCGATCTCGAAGCCGTTTTCGAAACATTTAGTAGCCAGCGGATGGAAAGAGCGCAGTGGCTAATTCAGAGCAGTCGATGGATTGGTGACTGCTATGAGTGGCGAGCAAAGGGTATTTGGGAGGACTTCGGCAAAATCGAGAAGGAGATTAACGAACGAAATAGTGTCATCACGGATGCAAATGTTGAAGAGATGTGTAAGAAAGCGAGAGAGGAATTGGTCATCAGACTCCGTCGGCGGCAAGAGAGTTTGTAGTGAAGGCACTGTCTGATGAAAAGAGAGACCTTGCAGAGAATGACTGACGAAAAGTTGCCAAAGGACACAGGGCTTCTGTAGATAGTATGAAGCTTCGATTCAACCTGGTTCACCGTTCTGCAATGCGACATGTAACAGACTCGCGGAGATATCGCAACACTGAGTTGAGTGGTATCCTTGAGTTCAAGGATAATGGCGCAGTTTGGTAGTGCTCGGCAAACAGGATCGTATCCTGGATTGTTTATTTCCTCTTACCCCGGAAAACAACCAGACTCCTATGCTTCGCCGCAAGACATTCTAGCACAATTCCGGCGCCAACAAAGACCAAAGCAACCAAACTTCGTGGCTTGCACCTATTGTCACAATTGAACCAAAATATCTTTAACGTCCTGCATACCTGTCGATTTCCATTGAAGGTGATCCTGATAGATATTTGTACTCCCAAACGATGGAGATGCCCAAGGTCACGGAGAAATAGAGAGCAACACAATCACTATGATACTAAATTGACAGTAAAGATGATTGCGATAACAGCGCGTCAACGCATGTTGAACCTAGAAGTGAGAATTTAAATCGAGGTTTGCAGTAAAGCTACAAAAAGGTTGATTTACATGTTCTTTTGATACCTCAACGCTAGAAGACTTATCTACCGCTCGATATACCAACCTAAGTCATTGTTTGGATTTAATTCATAGCGTGTGAATCCATTGCCGAGGAATGTCCACCGATTGTTGTTCCGATATTCGACCTCAAAATCCTCCGGGCGAAGTTGCTCGACGAGTTTACGAAACAATAACGCACTCCCTCTGTGCATGACGGTCAGTTTTTGGCCCGAATATTGCACATAAAGAGGACACGCGCACTGAGAAGTCCGCTGCGCGCTCGGAAGTCGAGGTCGGATCCACTCACCCAAATCCGGCAACTGTCCTGCCCTTGACTGTGTTCCTCTTGAACCAGCTTGAGCAAGTGTCGGACCAAATGAGAGTCTGGTTGATATCCTCGCCATATTGCACGAATTCATCCACGACATCCGACCGCACGACGACGGATTGAATATCTTCTTCTGCTATCTTCCGGACCCACTTCACGATGTAGTCTGCGGTCCAGTTGATTGCCTCGATGAGCGAGCCATGCGTCACGACAGCATTCGGACCCAGGAACATGAAATAGTTCGGCATATCGCGCGCCGCGACGGACAGGTAGGCTTGAGGGTCGATCTCATACTGTTCCCGTAGCTCGACGCCGTTTCGGCCTACCATGTGCCAGTTAGGCTTCCAGGACACGTCGAAGCCAGTGGCACAAGCTAGGACGTCAACCTTGAAGGTGCGGCCGTCGGCAGTGGTGATTGAGTCCTCATCTGCTTTCACGACGGCGCTGGTGACGAGCTCAACATTGGGCTTTTGGAGTGCTTCGAGATAGCCTTCGGCCGGGGTAATACGCCGGCATCCAATGCCCCAATCGGGAATGAGTTTCGAGCACAAGTCTGAATCGTTGTTGAGCTTAGCTGCCATTTGTTCGCGAGCGGCGTCCGTGATCTGCTTGTTTTCCGGAGATCCTTTGATAAACTGCGAGCATAATGTTTGAGCGGAACAAATAGAGAAAATTATAATTTTTTGCACTTACGCGTCTAAAGCCAGCGTTCACGCGATGGACAATGGTCCGTCGATACTCTCGTTGGAATCCCGGATCTTCCCTGAAACGTTTCTTGTCTTCCTCCGAGAACGGAGGATTTTCTCGCTTATCATCTCGACCTAGTAGACTTCCAGGCGTAAAGGGAGTATACACAAAGTTAGAGCTTCTTTGGAAGCAAATTACCTTTGTGGAAGGAAGTTTAGCCAGTTGAGGAATGATTTGTACCCCAGAAGAGCCGTTGCCGATAACAGCAATCGTCTTGTTGGAATAGTCATACCCCTCGTCCCAGGAAGCAGAATGACATTTGTGGCCCTTGAATGTGTGAAAGCCCTCAATCTTTGGCCAGTGCCAGTTACTGTTTTCGTGGTCAAAGTCTTTCGAATTATTAGAGAAGGCTTCAAACTTACTTCAGCACACCTTGAGCTGAGATTAGAATGTCTGCATAGTCGACAAAAGTGTTATTGGGCATCACGACGGTGACCTTCCATTGATGCTTATCAGTCAGCCACGCCGTTTCCGTGACTTTGTGATTTAATTTGACGTCCCGGTCCAGGTTCCATTTTTTGGTAGTCTCTTTAATATATTGGTGTATTTCCTGTCCTGATGCGTAGAAATGACTCCAATCAGGATTGGGATCAAATGGAAATGCCTATGCCTCATTAGCTTTTGGGATCCAGGGTCCGTACACAAATGCCTAGCGTACATATAGTTGGGCAGGCACATCGCATTGGACTCCAGGATATCTGTTGACCAGCCATGTGCCCCCAATATCACTGCGCGATTCGAATATCTTGTGCTCAACCATGCTCTGCAGCTCTGGATATTGATGTTGTAACTTGTAGGCAAAAGTGAGGGCTGAGAAGCCCGCCCCTACAGTAACGATGCTGATTTTCCGACGTGGCGTGAAGGCAGGTAGGCTACCCATTGCTGTTTCCAGGCGGATTTCGGGGGCGAGGGCACTGTCGCCGTTCATGTTGTCGACTCGCTGGCGGTGGTACTCTGCTCAAGGGTCGAAGGAAGCGCCTACGTAAGTGCGGACAGTTGCGAAAGCGTTTATACGGTAGCAGTACTATAGACAGCTCTACCACGTTAGCGTTGAGGGCAACCTTCACATCTCTCCGGCAATTGCCCTCCCCTTTGTTCCCAAGCCTTCTGACCCGTGAGTACTTCACAATAGTGGGTATTGAGAAACATCAACGGATAGCTTTGGAGTCTACAATGTAGCGGGATCCGGTTCGGCTCACCACCCTGCGCGAGGCAGGGTTCGGATCAGCTCATATGGACCCGAGATTTCACAGCAGGGATTTCTGCACATGGCATTGACGCAACAACGGTACTGGATTCAGTGGGATGTAAGCGAACATCATCACCTCCTACATCCGGTAGCAAGCAGACAGCGACGTCCATCGGTGGGAGTTTCTGCTCAACCTTGAGCGTGAATAACGGTCCATGGTCGTGACCATCGGCAAATGCGGTCAGTTGCAATTGCCAGGACCAAGATCCCGCCCATGCTCCGCCTCCTCAGCGCCCGACCCTCTGCCGCCCCTCATCGGGAACTTAGCTCGTTCCGGAAGTATACGGTAATCGTCTGTATCCGTGTATTTAACCAGGCTGCGCACAAGTCTAAGATAAATTGACACTCTTGACCTAGTGCCCTAAGACCAAGAGAAGCAATAAGACCCTAAGCATTGCCACTCTGGAAACAAAAATCCAGAGTAAGAATCCACTGGTAAGAACCCTCTGGGTCTCGCATCTATCGACTAGACTTGGGACAGATTAGCATCATCATGTGTTCCGCCTCTCCAGACAACTTTGTCCACGAGCCTAAAATGGCACCAAGCATCGAGATACCTGCTGGCAATAGCGTCAACGTTAGCATTATCGATTGCACAGTCTCGCTCCGGGCACCCCTGGCGCTGTTTATGGGTCCAGTCATTCCGGGACTCGAAGTCATGAGCGCTCCGTGCTTGTCCTTTCTCATAGAACATTCAGGTGGACGCAAGCTGCTTTTCGATCTCGGCCTTCGAAAGGATTGGCAGAATCTCCCGCCCGCAGTTTTGGGCCTTGTTCAGCCACCGTGGAAGCTTGAAGTACAGAAGAATGTTGCCGAGATTCTTCAGGAGAATGGGGTCGATGTGGCCGGTGGTGCCATTGACGGCATAATCTGGTCACATTGGCATTTCGATCACGTTGGAGATCCGTCCACATTCCCCTCTTCTACTGACCTGATTGTTGGACCTGGTGTGGTGGATTACCTCCTTCCAGGCTACCCCGGGAATCCCAATGGTGTGCTTTCAGAATCAGCCTTTGCTGGTCGGGAGACGAAGACGATTGACTTCAAAGCGAAGGCATTCAAAATTGGGGCCTTCCCGGCTTTTGATTTTTTTGGCGACGGCTCTTTTTACCTTCTCGACGTTCCAGGTCATGCAATCGGCCATATTTGTGGCCTAGCACGCACGACTTCCAAGGCTGAAGGGTCCAGCGGGGACACTTTCGTCTTTATGGGCGCCGACACAGCCCACCATACCGGCGCATTCCGACCTACCGAGTACCTACCTCTGCCCAAGGAAATATCTCCATCCCCTTGTGAGAGGGTCCATCCGACTGTCTGTTCTGGTCACCTCTTTCAGGCGATCCACCCGGAGCACAGAGGTGATAAGCCGCACCTCAATATCGTTGAAGGCATCCCAAACGATACGCAACAGGCCATTTCCAGCCTCAAAGACATGCAAGAATTCGATGCTATGGAGAATATTCTTGCCATCATCGCTCATGACGCCAGCCTGCTCCGACCAGAAGCCGGTATAGAATGGTTTCCTCACGCAACTATGAGGGACTGGAAGCAGAAAGACCTGGCGAGCAAGGCAAGATGGGGCTTTCTGCGCGACTATAGTCATGCTGTTGAAATTAACCAAGCTAAATAAAGATCGACGAGCAGCTTATCTGTTATTGTAGACGCGAGCCGCCATGTAGAAGGTCCAAATGCACGCAGATGATCTCCGTCCTTTCTGACACGGGAAGGGAGCCAACGTTGCAAGATTCGTTAGTTGAGTAGCTGGAGGTCGACCGTCACACAATGTACAACCACCTGGTACAAAGATGGGCAAATAGCAAGAAGAGGAGTTTACCCTGAGGGCGTTTTCCGGCTCTTGCGCTCAAGTGTCGAGGAGCCCCAGCGTTGTTGGCTTTCAAAGTATTAACGCAAGGCCCGGTTGTGAGATGTACCAAGTAGGCGTTTGTTGGAGTTCGGTCAGGCAGCGAGACAGTCAGGGGCTCGTGGTGCAAGTACTGTAATGGCGCCTCCCAGAAACCACCTAAAACCAGTGTCCCTTGGAGAACAGTCCATCATTATGATTGAGCTTCCCAGTGAAGGTGGAGCGAGGAGTTCGTTTCCGATGAGGGGCGGGAACATGTACAATACAAAAGCCTCGACATTACGAGGTAATGAAAACGAAGCTCATTTAGGCGGCTTGGCTGTTTAAGTACTATCTCTGGTAAGATCAGGTTGATTCGGGCTTCGCTCGGGAAAGTAACTACTCCTAACCAAAGCGCAAACAGCTAACCTGGACACTCAATGCTCGTCCACAACCTACCTAGGTACCCACCACGATTAAATAGTCACTGGCTTGGATAGCAGTAACCCCAGAACCTCGCTCGCTCGGTCCGAAAGCCTGGGGAAGTTCCCGAGACCCCGCATCCCTTTCCCGAGCGCGTCTTGGCACAATGGAGATGCTTCTGTGCACGGCATGATTTTCTCTCCCTCGATGATTGCAGGATCTTGCTCCTCTATGCGACGTATAAACAGTCAATTTGATATCGTGCAGATGACGGATTTCTTTCTTGATTGCTCATGTAGCTTTTGCGGCGCGTTGTTTGGGCGGCAAGAGCATCTCAAACGCCATCTCATGATCCATGGGCAAATGAGGCCCTTCCTATGTCGGGACTGTGGCCGGGATTTCCCTCGACAGTAAGTTATACCTCCCTCTAGGCTACCTACGATACGATCGTCGAGGATCGATTGGCATTTTGTGTTGACTGCGAGAGTGAGGCTGACCTCTGGCCTTTTCACGTCCAGGGATGCCTTGGTCCGCCACAACAGAACCGTCCATGGAGCTCAAGCTGAGGACAACCAATCGCGAGCTACTGGCAGTAATCGCCGGAAAAGGGTGCGGGCGGCGTGCCAGAGTTGTCGTCGACAAAAACAGCGCTGCGATGGCTGCAATCCATGCGGCCGCTGTCTACTCCGTAATAGTGTCTGCGATTTTTCTACCCCGTCCAAGGAGTCCGCAGTCTCCCAAAAGCTCATGGGTCTCTCGGTCCCAGAAGGCGGCGAGGCAAACTCAACATCATTACTAGAGGGCTGTAGCATTGACCCTCTGTCTGGCACCCATGCGTTGGCTGTGGAATGGGCTAATGTGGCCCCTCCGTTAACCCAGTCGCGGTCCGCCTGTCACACAGAATCCACTAAATGTCAAAAGATATCTGAAACTGCAGGTTTGTCTTCGTCGATGCTTTTCGCCAGTTCGCTCTTTAAACTCACAGCTTTCTTACAGAGCCCAGGGAAGATGAATTCTCTTTCGATCACACGCTCTTCCTACCTCATCCGTGGCTGCGAAGCCCTTTGGACATATCTTGGCCTGCGTTGACCCCGTCGACGAGCATTATGTTTCCGTTGAATGCTAGTCCTTCTATCGACATCTCGTTGCCATCGGTCCAAGCGGCAGGCAGCAATGAAGATCAATTTCCCAAGTACACCAGCACAAGCCAGTTCAGGCTCACACCTACATGTCTTTTACGGACGGGTTACAATCGTTTGCGTGCGGGCATAAGTGAAGCAATCGGCCAAGATCTCGAATCGGCGGAAATATATCTACCGAGCAAAGAATCGCTAAACACATTTATCGAAATCTACTTCGAAAATTTCTCTCCTCTCTTTCCAATCCTACCACCGTCTGGTTTCGTTGCAGACACCGAGCACTATTTACTAGTTTTGTGTCTCTCTACGATCGGCGCATCGTTTCTTGCCGAGACAGAAGCCAAAGCTCTCCACTCAATGCGCTCACTCTTGCAGAAGTGCCTAGACAACTTTGTATGTTTTTTGAGCGCTCCCGTCGCACTTTAGAGCTGACTTTCAATGTAGGCTGGCAAAGAAATTACACTCGCTCTCGAGATTTGGTACCAGCAAGTCAGGTTGTTGGCCTACGTTCTCTTCAGCTGTAGCGAAAGCTTTGAACTGCTGGACTACGCACAGAAGGCAAAAGGCGTGTTCGTGGTCTCCCATGAGCAACGATTACGCAATCTTCACCATGGAGCTCAGCCGGGTACAACGACTTGGCTTCGATGCGAGGAGGAACTAGACGCCTGGAGGCAGAACGAGTCGTTGAAGAGAACAGCATTCGCGGCTTGGGTGAGTGGCGCGGTTCTCTGGGACTGGCCTTGCGTGCTCGCTAACATCCCTACGGGCAATCGACATTCAGGGATCACTTCTATATGATCTGCCGTCCTTGGCAATCTCGGGCACCCGTAATTTCCCCCCTCCGGCATCAGAAGGACTATGGGGGGCTAAGACAATGAAGGAATGGAACACGGAACGTCTGAAAGAAGGTAAGGATGGCCATGCCGGTGTTTTACCATCGTGTGCGTTAATCAGGGACAATGATAGGCCTGGATACAAACGAACCGACCCTAAACGAGTGGGTCGAGATTTTGTATAGAGATGGCGACATCCCCCCGAGATTTAGCGGCTTTTCGAGGTTCCTAGCTATGCTAGCCATCTCCCAGGACATACGTGACTTCATTGGGGCAGCCGACAGGTTTCGCTGTCTTCCATATGACGGACGTCAACGCTCCCGACTGGAATGGACCCATCTTCTTTCGAGATGTTACGAACGATTGACTCAGACACCATGTGTCGACGAAACCTGGCCGCTTCACCTGGAACTTATCTCGCAATCCTACCATTATACCGTGATGACCATTCAGGTCGCAGTCACAGATATTTATGCTTTCGTGGGATTCAAGGCAAGTTATCATCACGAGGTCGACATAACCCGATATCGTCTCTCAACCTGGATGTTAGAACAACCCGAGGGTATCCAAGTTGCGCTTCTCCACGCCCTTCAGATCTTTATCCAGCTCCGAGTCCAAAAAAACAAAACAAAAAGTCCTCACGCCCCAATGGTGCTATGCTTTGCGGTTCTGATCATCTGGGCATATATCGAGCTGAAGATAGGGCCCCTGGAAATGGAGCTCGGTCGCTGTGCCGAGTGCAAGGACGATACGCTTGGGAGCCTAGACCACTGCTGCTTGCAGGCGGCTCTCGGCCACGAGTTGTCAGACTTCGAGTTGCACTTGATCCAGGGCAAAGTGCAGGTCGACCATCTCATTCGCGAGAGCTGTGCGCTGCTTCACGCTATGCCATTTTGGCAAAGTCATGGGGTTGTATCCGTCCTCACTTACTACCACCAAAGTGTCAAAGGGTCCAAGAGCACGGTCACATTCCCACGGTGAACAGCAACGTATTGTTGAGGAGTGAGTGACCTTAACGCCAGGACACCACAGTCCTGCGAGCATCAGTCTAGTCGCAGGAGAAGGTGAATCGCGGTTCAACTTACGCAGTCTGCGGCCCTGGGCACAGTTTCCGGATCAACGATTTGCCGAAATGAACGGATTCAATCCCAGCCGCAGCCCACCATCTCCGACCTTGCCGAGAACAAAAGGCGCACAAAAGCGATCGAGACGGAGACCAAATCATGGACCAGACTGGAAAACCGAGCACATGTTTGCCCCAGATCATAGATTGCAGGGAGTGGAGATGATATAAGAGCGCATGCTAAACGAGCGAGCATGTGGCGATCGGATCGAAGCATATGCCATAGAGATAAGGGAAGAAGGAAAATGGAGGGTGGTACGAGGCTACAATGCAGATAACAGACCGTTTGCACTGCAGAAGAGATCCGAGTGCCTCCTAGTAGTAACAAGAGATGGCTCTATAAAGAAAAGGAACCCAGGCCGTTTCAGGAGCAGGCCCGGTAGGTCACAAGGTACTTGGAACTGCCCGTACAGCAAGCACCCTTGGGGTTATTTGGAGTAGTAGAAGGGGAATAGAAGGAATCCCAGGGCACGAGCTTTGGACCCGGGGATCCAACAGCTTGTCAGGCCAATCGGGGAATCATGATTGATGGGATTGACGGGCAACAATGGGGAGAAAAGCCAACAAGAAGGTACCGCACGGAATCCAGCCTGTGCCGAGTAGCAAAAAAAAAAACTCACTGCAGGAGCATGTGATCGATTTGTCCCAAGCAGCCACGCAGATCATCATCGCCGTCCATCCACCGTCCATCCACCGTCCATCCACCGTCTGCCTCGACCGTCCACTGTCCGCCGCCCATTAATCTACGGTGGTAGCGATGAACAGTAGACTCTGATCCCATGTTGGCTTCCTGATAGCTGTGTCATGGAGTGAGGGTGGCCGACCTTGTGAACAAAAAAATACAACAATAAGCTAGGTTGTCGGCTCCTCGTCAACCCTGTCTACCTGGATCTACCTTGCCGTCCAAATAACAGCGAAAGCGCCAATATGCCTGAGCAATGAAGCACTTTGACTCGATGTCCTCGTGGCGATGCGGAACTGCAAGGGGGGATGCCGAAGCTTTGACCCAGAGGAACCCAACTTGAAAGGGAACTTTTGCGACTATAACGTCAGCTAGAATCGAGGCCAAGTTATGGGCACCATAGGCTAGGCCGAGGCGATAAATTGGCAATTATAGGCGGGTGCCAGGAACAGGGCCCTTGGCCCAGATATGGGCGCGATTTAATCCGTTGGTCAGGCCGAACGACACCATGCTCAGTCACGTGCAGGAACATCTCAGGTTGAAGCAGCGAGTCTCAGGGCCACCCTCAGGTCCAAAGATGGAAATGGAAAGTACGCTTGTCGAGATTCCGACCTCGAATTCCCTGTATTAGGTATAACCCCTGTGTATATCACGTATCGGTCAAAGAGCCAAGCTCAGGGGCCTTGGATTGACCAGCTCGACATGAGAGCATGCGAGGCGGCTATCGTGGCGACAACGGACAGCCGTTATATACAATACTTTGGCTTGCTGAACTATCCAGATGTATCATGACTCAGCAGCGTGTGGTTCTGCATTGTCCCACTGGACATTTTAAAAACAAATGCCGGCACAGACGTGGCCATCACCTCGCCTTAGCTTGACTCGTCACTCTTGCCTCCAGCTTGCTGACGTGAGGTTTCCAGACAGAAATGCTAGGCTTCCCTGCTGTAAATCGGCATCCATGAAAGTGGAATTGCCAACGTCTTCGAACCAAAGTATTGCCCGTCGGCAAACGGACATGTGGAGGAGAGAGCTCGACTACCGATTGTCTTTTTTGGTTACTAATTGCTACGGCTAGCATGCATGGGCGGTCAGGATGAAATACAAGTTGCACCCAAATGAATCTGGGACGCCTGATTAGCCACCTCGCTTGGCTGATTGGCCACTCAGCAAGAGATCATCGACTCAGATGTAAGACGTAGTTACATGACGGGTGTACATTGAACTTTTTGCACTGAGATTGGCCGCAAACGACATCGCAATGGTGACCAGATGTAGCCATTGTCTGTGGCTGCCGAACTAACTCAAGGTTGGAACAACAGACCCTCTCCATGCCAGTCCCTGTCTACTCGTCATACGAGGGTACGAGGTATGTTGCAGACCTTCCTTCATTGCACCTCTCGTAAGGACTACGCGTCAAAACACTAGCAGATCTAATCTTGGTCCAAGATCCGGGGCTGGTTGACGTAAAAACACGGTCTAAATGATCATCCCAGATTATGGAGCGACAGGTTCCTCAATGTGCACCAATACGAGGGCAACAGGCGGAATCAATCCCCTCAATACAAGAAGATACACGGGCAGGGTCCGTTTAGACTGCCCGTTTTCAGCACGTTTGCGGGTACAAGCATTCTCCGCTCGAAAGGACTTTCACAGATTCCCCAGACTCTGGCCAACTCGCCAGGACATCTCAGTCTTTCACGACAAAGAAAAGTCCAGGAGTATCACGTTGCCTTGAGACTACTGGAGCCCTTGAGCAAGACACGGCTGGAATACATCGGATGTCGAAAGGTCGAGCACAATGCAGTACGAGTACTGTCAAGCAGTATCTTCCCAGAGCCTCGTGTCTTTGCCCTATGCTCCACTTTCCCAGCTGACAGACAGCTTGCACCGCAAGGAGGGGGTCCCGGGCCGCTATTTCTCGTACCCGCTTCCAGTGCCGCCTTGACTTGTTCAAATCGCCTCTCACAAAAAGGTTATGCCAATCCAACGTTGAGCTGAGTCGTAGGTGAGTGGAGGCGCGAGGCTTTGCTTACTGCCTCTAGGAGACGGTCTAGGCTGGATTTCGTTCAAAGGTCGCACATCATTTGATGACCCATGATGACCCTTTCGACGAACCCCGAGTGTAATCCCCGGTTGTCCAACCATCCCAAGGATAAGGGCCATTTAGGCAAATCGAAGACATGTTCCATGTTTCATTGATGCTGACACCCATACGGCCGCATATGCGGGATGGTCAGAAGTATATAGAGTGCGGTAGACCTCACCTGCTCAATGCTTTTCCGCGCTTCGTCTATCCTCCGCAACTCTCTTATATCTCAAGTGACGGTCTCATCCAGTCGAAATGGCTCCGTCTGCTACCTCCGACATCGCTCCCGAGGGCGAATACAAGCCCAAGCATATTGAAGACCGCCTCTTCATCAACGGAGAGTTCGTTCCCTCGATTTCAGGCAAGAAATTCGATATTGTCAACCCCAACAACGAAAAGTTTGCCGCATCAGTCTACGAGGCCGGGGCCGAGGATGTCGACCTCGCAGTTAAAGCCGCCAAAGAGGCATTCCCTGCGTGGTCTGCCCTCTCTGCGACCGATCGACAAGGCTATCTGAACAAGTTGGCCGACGCTATCGAGAAGAACGTCACCGAGATTAGCTACCTTGAAGCCATTTCAATGGGCAAGCCGTACATCGGCGATGGTAAGTGGCTCCTCTAACCTACCCAGGGGCTGATTCACTGACATGTCTCAGCGTTCAATATGTTCGGTGTTCAAATCCTGAGATATCTTGCCAGCAAGGCCCTGGATGTCTCTGGCGACTCATCCTTAAACACGGTCGGTCATGTCAACATCACTTTGCGTCAGCCATTCGGGGTCTGTGGCGCCATCATTCCATGGAACGTACCCCTCCTCATGTTCATCAACAAGGTCGGTCCTGCTCTCGCCACAGGCAATACCCTAGTCCTCAAATCCTCAGAGAAGTCACCTCTTTCCGTGCTTGCGGTAGCTCGACTTTGCCAGGAGATCGGGCTCCCCAAGGGCGTTTTGAACATTCTCTCCGGTTTTGGCCGTCCTTGCGGTGAGGCCATCGCAAAACATATGGAGATCCGTAAAGTCTCTTTCACTGGGTCAGTCCTCGCCGGACGAGCCGTCAAAAAGGCCGCAGCAGAATCCAACTTGAAGAATGTCACCCTCGAACTCGGTGGCAAGAGTCCACTTCTGGTGTTTCCGGACGCCGACCTCGCAAAAGCGGTGCCCGCAGCTGCATTCTCTATTCTCGCCAACTCCGGCCAAGCTTGCATCGCCAGCTCGAGAGTCTACGTGCACTCCTCGATTGCCGATGAGTTTATGGAAGCGATGAAGACCACCATGGTTCACATGGGTAAATCCGGAGACGCACTGAAGGCTGGAACCCAACGAGGCCCACAAGCCGACAAGATCCAGTTCGATCGCGTCATGTCCTATCTCAACTACGCCAAGGACAACGGCCTTAAGATGCCTATCGGTGGTGGGCGTGAAGGCAACACTGGCTACTTTATCGAACCAACCATCATCGCCAACGCCCCAGAGGACTCGAAAGTCATGAAGGAAGAGATCTTCGGACCCGTGGTCTGCATCAACACTTTCACTGACGAGGCCGAGGTGCTGGACCGCGCAAATGACACCGAGTTCGGTCTTTACGCCAGTGTGTTCACCAAGGATATTTCGCGTGCTATGCGAGTGGCCAAGGCCCTCGAGGCTGGTTCTGTCGGTGTCAACTGCACGAGCCCTACTATGGCTGTCGATCTGCCATTCGGTGGCTGGAAGCAGAGTGGCGATGGCAGAGAATTGAGCAAGTATGCGACGGATTTCTGGACCGAGTTGAAGAGTGTCTTCATTGCCTTGTGAGTGGAAGCAGGCGATTCCCGTTGATTGTGGAGATCTTCCACTACGCCATTGGAGTCAATCAGTAATCACGATCATACCTGATCATCTCGAGGAAAAGTTATCAAGGTTGAAACGTCGTGCTCACAGTTTCCCATGTAGCATGAACGAACTTACCACTTCAAGATCGCCCCATGCTGATACTTTTATAATGTCCAAGTCAGTCAACATGGCCACAATTCGGATCACCTTGAAATGATTGTCCTTTGTAGATAGGTATAGGCGTCAATAATCTTTGATACTACCCCTGCTGAGTCCACTCATACCCACTGTATGCATAGCCATAAGCACTTGAGTAAGCACTGGTTACATTCGCCGTCCTCTCGATCCACAAACAAATTCTCACAGCTCGCCCCATCTCGATTCCATAATCAGAAGCACCGTTTCTATACGGAGTAGCCCTGGTCCATTCGTTCAGAGTGGTCTTCGATATTCGCAAGGCACGCATGCACGGCCACTGCCTCGATCCGAACCTACTGTAGTTATTTTCTTCGACGCCGCCACCCACACAGAAACGCCTCAAGCTCAGCTCAAAACTCACAGCTCATTCCTCACGCTCTCTTTTTTCCCACCAACCTTCACTCCTTGCTCCTCTTCGGCCTGCTTCACACACCAAGCCTTCTCGCCCTCTTTAGCACAACCGGCGGGACAATCGCCACCGTCAAACTGCCAGGCAAACAGTCCCTCCGTCTCATTCACCAACACCTCCGGCACGATCCTCGTGCGGACACTCCGACCAACGGACCTGGCGAAGATCTCTTTCGAGGGCAAGTCGATCTGCGGCCATCCATGCGCGATCAAGCTGTGCTCGCCGTGGATAGGCGTGGAGTAGATGTACTCCCTGAACGCGCCGTAAAGGATGGCCGAGGAGCACTACAACTCGCGTCGACATGGAGTCAGTAAGCGTGCAAACGACACGTCACGTCAGAACCAGGATTGCCTCGCCAAGGTCGTCGCAGCGGTTTGCACCGTGCTCAGCCCCGTCCTTTCCAGGATAAGTATTTCTAACAAGGAAGCGCTTGACCTGAAGCAAGCACAGGAATTTGAAGGGAGAAAGGAGCTTCTTGAACGTACCATTGGACAAGGCTCGGCTGTTGTGTACAAGCTCAAATCTGAAAGCGCTCTCAAGGCTTCAGCACCAGACATTTTATACTTGCCCGCCGGATCTGTTAGGATGCTGGTGCAGTTATTGATCGCCGCGATTTCACCTGCATGACCAAAAGGTGGGAATGGTTAGCCTTCGGCTCTCCGGAAAGAGCAATTCGTGGGCGTGATTCGTGACAATCGTTACAAATGCAAAGGATACAACGCAACGTACCGTGAAGAGTCGGATTCCCGAGTCCCTGCACGCTGTTCGCCCCAATACAAACCTCCTCCCCCACATAATCCCCCGAGACGGCGGCGGCGGCGGCAGCAGCAGCAGTATGATTCACAATGACCGCTCCAAACGCCGCGAACGGACACGGCGATCCGACGACCTCATCGAGCGCGCCGATAGCTCTGCGCATCCAGTATTCGCGGGTCGCCAGCGGGATCGGGTCCTGACCAAGGTGGTCGACATCGACGTCGAAGGGAATGGAAGGATGGACGGGACTGTCGACGTGGCAGGTCGCGAGATTGACCAGGGCCAAGGGCAAGAAGGTCATGGCCAACAAGGCCCCGCAGGAGCAGCCGAGCGAGGCTCGGGAAATGAACAGCATGACTGACTTTTGGACCAAGTGGTACGTTAATCGTGACGCTATACGAGGCGAGGCGAAGGGTACTTGTCAGATATCGAAACCCGAAGCAAGATGCGTGCTGCAGCAAGAAAAAAAAATGAAACGACGAACTTGAGTACAACCGGTGATTAGGAATACTAAGGTAACTTAGGAGGTGTGAACGAATACTAATAAGAATAAGAACGCACTGCATCATCGCTATCTTCCAGATACGTTCCCAGAACTCCCGTCGGTACTTCGTACTGATAGTGGAATCGAACGAGACACGGACATCGACGCTCGCAGCCTGGCTTTCAATACTACCACCTAGCTGTGTAAGACATTGGCGGATCAGGTACGAGATATCGTTTATGTGATCGCAAGTAAGCGCCTCGAAGTCATTGGAACGACAACATCCTTCTATCAGACTCTGCTTCTAAACACGTAGTTTCGGTCCATGTAAACCCAATATTGTCGGTGCCAGCACATTCTCATACGTTCGTCAGCGATCGTTGGTGGACAGAATCCTCCATTGAATATCATCATTCAGTAAAGCAGCAATTGAAGCCCTCCACGAGCCCTTCTGTCACGCAGCGAAGGATGCTGCGCCCGTATATCCGTGCTTGTGCCACTACAAGCTCGAAACCACGGCGTAGGACTGACAACTCCTATTGTCAGGGTTTCTATGCAGCGCGGACTGGCGTTGTCTGCATATGTGACTCAGTTGAATCCGAACAGCGGCTTCAATCAACGTCCTCATCCCCCGGAAGGCCTGGCGAAATTCCACTGCTTTTCCATTCGGCGTCAGATCCAACTCCTTGCTTCATCCTGACTTCAACATCTTCTGAAACGTTAATCTTAGCGTCATTCATGTTCCATTTTGGCAACATATTCATGACTAGATCATGGTAGTCGACTTCGGTCTCGATCTGCGGCACACCAAGTGTCAAGCCTCGAAGTGCGAAGATTTTCTGCACCCTTTGCTTTTGCAAAACCTTATCGCGCTTGATGGCCGTTTCCCGGGGCATGGTCTTGACGGCAAATACAGTCGGCCATTCGACGTGCTTGAAGTGGAATCTCTCGAATTCGAGAGCCGTGTAGCCGGGGGAGACCAGGATGATTTTCTGGTTGGCAAAAGGATGATCTGCATATTGTTCCAGCATTCGGGCAAATCCATTATCGGTACATGCTGCGACAAAAACTGCATGGCAATTCGGAGTGGACAGAAAGAGATGGAAGTTCTCTGCAGTGCACGTCAGGAGTGGTGAACCAAAGCGGAGGCCGCGGGATCATACCTCTGATCTTGTCATCTGCTCGTTCTTTACCTCTTCCGGCGTCGAAATAGTCAAACAGCGGTACTCTCTCAGTGAACTGGATTGCGAATTCACGCAAGCCCACTGCAGTGCTCCGTACTCTTTGCCGAGAGAGCATTCGACGTTCGGATGTCCCGAAGTTGCAAAAGACTCGTGTGATGACCTTTGACGTAACAGGTATTGATGGAGCTTGCTCCATGATGTATTTCGTAACTTCGTTTTTGATCCGTGTCGCCGCAAGACCGCCAGGCTCTATGCGAGTGCCTCCGAGCATGCGATTCTCGTTCAGGAAAATATCGTGTGACCACTGGTCTCGGAGTCAGCACGCATATCCTGGCGGGTGCTTGATCTGTACTCACCAGATAGGCGTCACCATCCACAAGAACAACCACAAATGGCTGCGCTGGAATGGGGGAGTCCTTGCTCTGGATTGTCGGCGCTTGTGATAGTTTCTCCGCATCCGTCGTACATTTCAGATATTCGAGATCGAATTGAGTTTCCACGAACCGGTTTTCAACGGCGCGGGCATGTTTAGTCATAGCATTCAGCGAAGCAGTCTCGGTATTCAATCTTGCTTGCAACTGGCTCGCGAGAACCCTTTGCCGCTTCACCTCTTGATTGGCGAAATTGAATTGCGCTTTGAGCATGGCAGAATTCTTCCTCTCCTGACTCAGCATATCCTTGAGGATGGCGTTCGAGGCACGTTCAGTTCCCAAGTCCTGTTTAAGATCTTGAAGTTGAACACGATATTTGTCGAACTGTAGGTTGGCTTGTTCACACAGGTCATATGCATAGGCCAGTTCGAGCTGGAGGTTTTCGACCTTGTCAGCAATAGCCTCAAAATCCATATCGTCAATAGCTGAACGCGATGCTGGTCGATCGGAACCTCCATCGTTGTCACCGTCGGGTACTTCGAGCTTGGGTCTGGGAGGAAAGAACCAGGAAGAGAAAGGCATGTTTGGCGACTTGAAATGAACGAGAAGAGAAGAAATCCTGTTGCCTTGCGCTGTACTTGATCTTGAGCAGTATCGGGATCAGAATTTCTTCTAGATTATACCACGACTGAAAGTTGGAAAGCACGGCAACTCAAACCATCACCGGCCGCCGTCGTAAATTTGAAATAGGCTGAAACTGTTGCGACTGTGTTAGATTGCTAAGATTGAAAATGAACGAGTTGTGGACTTCTGGAATTGACATGAACCGAAAACGCTTCACATGGCCGTGGGAAGAGCGCTGGAATGGCAATTGGTAGATCATCAACCATGAACACTAAAGGTATGGAAGATGTCAAAGTGGAAGTCATGACGAGGACGATGAGTGTAGGAGTGAAATTCGATGTCGGCGGAAGCCCGCCACAGCCGCGCACGTGATATCAAAAATTCGTCGTGAACAAGGCAAGCCGATGGGGTAATCGAAAAGCACAAGTTTACCACTGGGAGTCGACTAGCTGGACCACATTTGATTGCATTTTCGACAGCTTCAAGCTGTCTGCTAATCAGTCCGAGATACTGCATGAATGCGAAGTTGCTGGAAACGAGCCATGGTCTGGCCTTGGATCACAGTCAATCTCGCCCCATGGAGATTGCCGACTCATTCAGAATCCTCTTCCACTAGCAGCCATCCTCTCGAGACTGGGAACGGCATTGAAATTGCCAACGCCCATACCTCCTGCCATAGCTCCCATGGCGCCTGCATGCATTGTTCGATTGCCCATACTCGGTTGTTCTTCCAAATCCTCGTACCTCAGGGTGTAGATTCGGCGGACCTTTTTCCATAGTTTTGTGTCCCACCAGATGTAGTAGCCTTGTTCGCTGACTTTGTCCTCAAGCAAAACAGGGCTGGGAGATGCTTCATCTCGGGTGAGCCACTGTTTCTCTCTCATGTGATAGCGCCATTTCCGAGCCACCAACTCTTGAGCTACCAGCATTTGCGTGTAATCTCGGGGCATGGTGTAGAAGACAAAGAAAAGCGTCTCGTCCATGAATCCGTTAATCCGACTCGACAGAGGTGCGATTTTCTTGACCGTGTAGCAGTCCGGTACGCTGTATTCCGAATCCAGTGGTCGCAGTGGTTGAGCATTATGGTCAGCCCAGGGACCAGGATATGAAGGCAGTAGTGGTTCTTGAGAGCTCATGTTGATTCCAAGAGTCGATAAATCCACCCCTCTCATCAGGCTTCGACCCGCTGGTGTTGCGTTATCTTGCTCCGCGATGTACCCTTTCATGCCGAACTTTTCTCTGTCGCTCATGCCAGCAAATATCATTTCAATTGACTGCTCCGGTCTTGCACCTGGTTCTCGGTCGCCAAACATACTTCCCGCCTGTAGTCCTACAGCTTGCGAGGGAGAGTCTTGCGAAATGTCCTTAGCCTGTGACCGCCCGTCCTGCCCTAAAAATCTATCTTGTCCGATTGGGGCATTCATACTTTGTGACATTGGTGAGCGAGCTGAAAGCGCCGATTAGTAACAGAGACAGTCAGGGCCCAGAGCAAGACCTACATATTTGTGCCTGGCTTGAAGGAGACGTTACTCTACTGGGGTCACCAGAGGCAACATCATTCTGCTGATTTGGTCTCTGGACAAGCCCAGGAGGCCCATTGGGTAGTTGGCCTGTTCGTCTGGGGGGTTGTGAAGACTGCTCGGAAGAGTATTCCATTGGAGCGTTCCTCGAGTAGGTGTCTGTGGGATAGAAGCCCTCTCGACCACCACTTGGTTGTTGCTGTTGTTGTCGAGACGATATTTGAGTTCGAGATGATTGCAGTTGCTGTCTCAGAGCTTGTTCGTTCTGGGGAGGGCCAGTCTGCCAAGCACTGGAGCCGACATTGTGACTCTGAGATTGTAGGCCGCTGTTGTTGAGACTGGGGAATCTATGGAGACAACATTAGCCACTTGACAGGACTCATCCATATATGGGCCACTCACGAGGAGGCTGAAAGGTCTAGAGGAGCGCTCGATCTTGAGGCCATGGCTTGGGCCCAGTTGTCTGGAGCTACAGGCTCTCGGCTAGATTGTGAAGCACTCGCTGCACTTGCAAGACCACCTTGGGCCCAAGTACCTATCATGATTAGCCACTTGGGATCGGGATAGTCATGAACGGCGTACCAGGCTTGCTTGCAACCATTCTAGGATTGCCCGCTCCTCGATTTTGTTGGTTCATGTTATTTACAGCTGACGGCGGTCGTGCTTGACCTATGGACTGTGAATTAGCATTCATACATAAGGATGTCAGTGAATATGTGCAGCAACAGCGGGACAAAACAGTCAACGATCCAAGCAGGACACCGATTCTGTGGCACTATCTCCTAGGCGGCTCCGGGCGGCTAGGGCTCTTCGGATCTCGATATCCGGATGAGTGGCCTCTGAAGCGAACAATGCGTCTTGATCCGGATTACGGTCCAGGAGGAGACGACTCTCAGCAAGGCGAGCGACATTTGAGCCATAACGTCCAGAATAGTACTCGACTCGAATAACAGCGTCCGATCCTTTGAAACCGCAAGGCTGAGTTCGTCCTTGCAAATTGTTTCGTCGCTGTTGTCTCTCGGAACCGAAGCCGTACGGAGAACTGTGCCATGATGTCTTATATGAGCACTTCTTCCGACGACAAGACATGGTGGTGCACCATTCGAAGTGGTCACCTTCTCAATATTCTGAGGCGGGCTCTCCGATCGCAGATGATTCATCCCTAATGTCTTTCTTTGCTCAGCCCAGGCCAACATAGAATGGCTTCCCCCTCTTCCCTTCCCAAGTTTCCCAGCCGGCGTCCGTAAGAAGGGAGATCGCAGGGGTTCGAGGACGGTAGTAAAAAGCCGCGTCTTCACGTACGTTGTGTCTGTCCGGGTTGCGCTCAGGAACGACGCTATCGCTCACTCAAGGTGCGAGTCGCGGTAGATTAATCTTCCGTTAAGAGCAGACCGCTATGTTGCATTCGTGGAATTGTAATAGATCGGTGCCCATGCCTTGCGCATTGCAGTTGTCCTTTCGCAAATGGTGCTGTGTGCTTGGAATGGTGTCGATCAGGCCTGAGAGAGAACAAACCTACCTTGTCGATTCATTTCCAGCATCCAATTCTCCTAGCAATTGCTTGCCTAAGAACACGATTGTTCTGGCAAAGCTACTATTGTCTGTTATCCGTAGAGAGTGGTGGTAAACAACGACGATGGTCTCTTAGTCTGCCTTTGATTCACTGCGGCTGCGATTCAGGTCCCAGTTGCGCAGGTGGACCACAGAGGACGATTGGCTTGGCAAGAGGAGTAGCAGTAGGCAAGTTGGATCGGCCTCACCCAATGCCTTTCCCCTAGCTCGTTTGTTAGACCGCCTACGAAGCCTATTTTCTAAGCCTCGCCAGTCTGGAGCAAAGCCCATGCATGCCCATGAGACGATTTTAGAGTGCTTCTGAGCCACCAAAAGTACGTTGCATTTGTTCTCCTTAAGCGAACCGCTCTAAACTCCCTAAGGCCAACGAGTGATGGGAATGGGAATTATGATGGTCATTTTAAATGCACATCATCATCCTGCTAACATATGCAACGCATTCTATCTAGCATATGTCACATGCTCGCGCATGCAAAACTTGGTATATTGAAGGGCTGACTGAAGCTTCTTCAACGCTGCAAATGCTTTCCCTTATCCCTGATGATCAACCAAAGCGTTTCTCATATCAGCAGCCCGATTGCCAACTCCACATTGCCATCGACCTGTCTCAGAGCTGCAATCGCCTCCTCTCGTGTGAAGCCCAGTTCGATAATCTTTGCAATGGACTCTTGCGTTATGGGCTGTGACTGGCCAAAATTGCTTGAAGCTGCCGCCGGTTGTGGCGAGGACACCTGCGCCGATGTAGCACTTGGACCTGCGTTCGAACTACTGCTGGCCGATGGTCCTGCAGCTGGCTCGACTGTACCGGTTGTTGCACCTATGGTGGTACCGTCGGGTCCTTCAACCTTTGGTTCATGCTCAAGGATTTCCTCCATCATCTTGGGAATTTCGCTCTCAGGTAAGAATGGGATCTCGTCCTTTTGGACCCGTAGACAATTCTTTTGAAGGTCAATGCACATTTGGTGCCGCTTGAGCATGTCGAGACCCAGTAGCAGATCCACGTCCTTGCCCTCCATGACCGTGAAACTGCTGGCCAAATTGTATTGTCCAATTTGAATATCGGCTGAATGCACCCGCCCAAGAATTGTCGCAGTGCCGACACCCCTTGCTATTCCACCATATCGCTTGTCAATTAGCCGCAGTATTCCACATCGTTCGGCAGCGGCTGGAGACATGATCGTTGTTTGGGCGCCAGAGTCGACGAAGGCTTTGATAGGTGTGCTATTCACCGTGACATCGATGTAGAGCATGGTGACTCTGCCGAATGCTAGGATCCAGTCAGCCTCATCCGTTTACATTCTTAGAAGGGTCTTACATTCTGGGTTTTCCTCCATGGCCTTCTGGAGGTTTTCTGCAACGCGCTCTTGCCGTATCATTTCTTCAATCTTCTGCTGTGCTTCCACGTTGAACGGGTCTGCTTCCAACAACGCAATTTGTTTTTCTTTGTCTCGCTGCGATTGCTCATATTGTATTTGCCTGGCAGTCCAGAGATCATGAAACTTTTGCCGGTCGGAACACGCAGCTGCTAATTCGGGATCCTGTCTTTGACACTCCGCCATCATGTGTGAGTCGCCCAGGAGACGCAGTCTTAGCTGTTCAGGGTCGCTGCCGCTTCCAGCTCTCCGCGCAGGCTGACCTGAGGTGTTTTCTGGAGCAGGCCGTCTTCTTTGTCTTGTCTGGACGGCCATCGCCACCACGTCCCCCGCTTGAACGTTCATTTGCGTCAGACTTATAGAGGTGTCCGTGACCGGTCGCCCATCTTTAAGAAAATGCTGCGCGGAGGGAGGAACGTTGATCTCGGCTTCGATGAAGGCTTTGATGTCGTTGAGGCTCATGTCCGGGCTCACGTCGAGACTGAGGAAATCGGACTGTAAGTCAACATCAGAGGCGACGATGGATATTGATATGCGCCTAAAATCCCGTCAGCATTCTACAGGATCGTCATTCAGCACAGTATGCATACATCTTGTTCCAGTGGTGAATTACAAGTCGAGGCTGGACTAATGATGATCAGGATGATGGAAGAGATATAGCAAACAAGGGTGTCCTGGAGATATGTCGACGGTAATGTGTCAGTAATAGGAAGATGAACAGTGATAGTGAAGAGAATTATGCAAGGATATCTTGGACCACTTTTTCAAAGCAGTGAGTGATCTCTCATTATAAATTTGGATGGATGTTGATGGAAACACGATCCTCAGGCACAGTGACAATGACGCGCACCTCGCCGCTCAATTGCGCCTCGGTGGCTATTAGCGTTGAATCTGGGGAGCCCATTTTAAGCATAAACATGGCGGTCACGGCGGTCCAGACGTTGCTTCTTAGGGCAAGTAATCCCCTGTGTGCCAGGCGGCGCTCCAATAGATACCTGTAGAAGGTTTGATAAATGAAATGTTCATCTGTATCCCAGACCTGGCAAAATGCCCCGATCGAGTACAGAAGCTTAGACTACAGTCTCGGTTACTACTTGCACAAGCCCTGATTATCTAAAAGGGAGAGCGATAGGCGACTTTTAGGGCCTTTACCCCCACGAAGCTATGTGACTCTGCCAACGGTCTGCCTCGATCTTTAAAGGAAAACTCTAGTCTTGTCGCGTGCCTTGTCACATAGTCGCAAGGGTTTGTTCTTTTCCCATCAAGCCCAAGTATCTTGGACTTCGAACCAATTTTCCATCCTTGTTTCACAAGCCGACTGTGTTGCTGCACTTTTGTCAGGGCGACTACTGAATTTGCCTTCGCCACAGACAAATCTGGATCGATTCCTCCTTGAAGACAACGCGTTGTGGAAATTTTCTCCTCTACAAACATCTCGTCCGACGTTCTTCTTTTAGGCCTTCCGTGGGGAATCAAGTACGGCATTGTGACAGTGAGACAGCACCAATCTCTATCCACCGCAGCGATTCTCTTCACTACTAGGTAGGGACACCTGCAGGATACACGCATAAAGGCGCCAACTTCACAGCCAGTCAAGAAGTCGGCCGAAGCAAACCATCATGAGCCAATCATGGACATCGAACCAGCCGGAGAGCACTGCCAAGGTCGAATCCCAAAAAGGTCAATTTTCACAAGACGAAGATGGCTTTGTCGACATTCAGCACGCCGACGTCGATATGCAAGATACCGAGTCGGATGATGCTCCACACTCAACATCTGCGCCTCTCCAACTTCAGAGATACAGCAACAATCTACAAGATCCCGAGGACGATTCGGACGATGACCATGATGCGATGGCGAATCATCCTTTACTAAGTATGCTTACCGGACGTTTGGGTGCGCGTAGGCGAGGCTCCTCGCACGAATGGGATCGCCTTCATCCTGAGAACCAAGCATTGTCGGTTGCTAATGCCGATGAATGCTCCTCTCTGGAGGAGTCGGTCTTTCCGCCTGAGGAAAGGGCGAGCCGAGAAAAGGTAAGAATGCAGATTCACCATCCACGGATGGCGATTACCCTTGTGCACAGTACTGCGCATAGCCTCGAATCTTCAAGCCGCAGCATGCAGACTGACAATGTATCTCCAGTTTCATTACCGGCTCACCAGATGCCCGGAGTTGAGCTTGGGATTATTCACTCAGCCCACAAAAGCCGAGGCGGAAAGCTCGTCCAACCCTCCCAAACGGAGGTTGATGGCCCATATCGTCTCTACACGAAGTCCTGCACCCAGTGTGACTGAGGCATCAATGCGAGTCCCCTCCAACTGGAGATCAAGGAGGTCTTCTCTACCATCCAGCACTGATGACGAACCCGCGGGCCATCAAGATATGGGCGGCACGATTTGCCTTCACTCACTCGCAGTTGCTCCCGAGTTCCAAAAGCTGGGCCTGGGAACGATCTTGATCAAAGCGTACATTCAGCGCATCAAAGACGCCAGATGCGCCGAAAGAATAGCTCTGCTTGCGCACGACCACCTTGTCCCGTTTTATACGAGTCTTGGATTCGAAAACATGGGAGTTAGTTCAGTGACATCTTGTGGTTCCGGCTGGAACAATATGGTAAGTGGAAACGTATTGCGTTAAAGCCCTGACAGTCGCTGACCGACGCAGATACTTGAATTTACTCAAGAGGATGACGACTAAAGCAGTTGACATGCTGGATGAAACTGCGAGTATGTCGTGGGAATTGCACAGCAAAAGTATTCGGGCACTCTGATCTCGTTGACAATGATTCGGTCAATGATGGGATCGTATGGCTGGAAAGACCCGGTCGGCCGAACCGAATCACTCTTACACAGTAGTGACCATGGACCTTAGACAGCTCAGACAGACCGCTGTTCTAGATAAGCTAGGCACTGCTAGGATAGTCAAGAGCATCGAGGAATGAGCAGCCGAACCAACGGGACATAGCAGTATTATATGACCATGATGTTATTATGCCTTGGCCGGTTCATTGATGGCATTTGTCCTGTCGATGATTGGCTGGCTCAGGAAACCCAACTGAGGGCGCAAACGAGCATGGGCCTCGCTAGCCTGCACACGCTGCACCAGCCCAGGCTTTCTCACGCTTTCTGTGCGGGATGTTCAGTGCCACTGCCACCCAACTGCGCACCTTTGACTGGTGCCCGTCTCGCCTGTCTCGGTTTAAAACTCCCGGTTTCTCCCATCCTCGTTGCATTGCCCGCCCGATCTGCAGGTGACGAAAGTTGTGAACCAACTCCTCTTACATCGTTTCTATTCCCATAAATGTCTTCTTTGAAAGCTGAAGGCCCTCAGGGACAACCGTGAGAACCCTTTCTGACTCCTCCTACCACGCCGAAACCCTCCTTGAATTCCTCCATCATCGTTGCCGGAAACCGGGACTCATCTCGCATTTCCCTCCAGCCACATCCTCTTCGGCGATCCGGCCTGCTGCACGCTGCTGAGAAAGCCTACTACCGCTGGTGTTGGCCATTCCTAGTGGCTGACAAGATTCCCCGATTCATTGATCGTCCGAGAAGCGCGCATACTGCCTCTGTGGGAAGAGAGACAATAGGGTAAAAGGTGGAGGACATACGGAAGAGAGCGGCTTCGTCCATTACAGGGCCAGGCCTGCCGCAGGCCACCAGTTTCTGAACCTCGAAGCTGTATAAACTCGCTCGAAGTTGAGGCCGCCCTATCTGGAACATTCCTCTGACCTTCGATACGGCACAGAGTCGCACATGATGCCTACCAACAGACCCTTCTTCGCCAATTTCTTCTCTGCTTTCCGCGCCCGAACCAATCCTACATTCCAGGCCAAATCCAGTTCAACATACGACACTGTATCGCAGGGTACGCTCGTAGCAGCGGCGCATGTCTCCACCACGAACGCGACGGTAACCTCGTCAAATACCAGAACGATCACCACCAAGTCGACAGGGGATGCATCCGCTTCCTCACAACAAGCCTCGCAAACAAAACCCTCTTCACCATCGCCTCTTCCCTTCGCCTCGAACCCAAGTTCACATCGCTACGCTCCACCGTTATCAAGATCGCCTGGACCCAATTCACCCGGCGGTCCCCATTCTCATTCTCATTCCCATACCAATGCCAACCTCTCCATGTCCCCACCAGGCACGTCAACTCCAATGACACGAGGCAGGCAGAGAAGGGGCAGTGACAGTTCCAATGCATCGGGTGGATTTATTGATGCTTTGGGGCCGGAAAAATGGTACATCGGTGGCCGCAACGCTGGTGGTGAAGAGACATTCTACAAACTGGGTCTGGTAACCGGAAGCACGGGTAAAAGAGTGCGCAGCTTAGACCGCTTGAGTCTGTGATCTCACGACACCTCGGCCGTTATAGGCAAAGGATGTGCAATTTGATTTTGTGGTGCGTTGCACATGCCAGATCTGATGGGCATAGTACAGAAGTCACCCGGACATGGATATTGGTAGGGAATCCCTACATGACCTACACTGTTGACAGGAAGTCGAGACATGTCGGCTGTCGGGCGCTCCTGACCGAATCGTGATGGAGGCAGTCGTTCAAAAACCGTTGAAGGTCGACCGAAAAGGTGCCATTTTTGCAGATACGAGTATAGTCTCCAGGTATCGTTCTGGACCTGATTCGCTTCGTGAGGAACGGAGCAGAGATGCATGATTAGATCTACATTTCCATGTGGCGCTGTTGACTACACGCGGTTCTGATAGATCATTTTCCATTTCCGATTTTTGCCTCTTAACTTGCATGAGCCCAGCCCAAAGCCTTGGACGGCATGCCACCCACCTGCCTCTCCTGACAAGACCCTGGTCGAAATTCTGGATAGACATTCTGTGTTACCACACTGCCGGATCTCAGAAGAAGGATGCCTGCCGCGTCTGAGAAGTCTGAGAAGTCTATCGATGTGCTTTTCTGAAAGCACCGGCGTGGATCTAAGAAGAGGCTGCAGATGTTCATGGACTTCGGATGCGAAAGACAGCGTTCGGATATGGGGGGCGAAAGACTGGGAACCATCTCTCCATCCATCATCTTGGCCACCATGTCTTTCCCTAGTACAGCCCTCGTACTGGGTACCTACTCCTGTGTGTCTTGTGTGGAGCGGATTGCGGCAAAGGTCTCCGGCCACTCGGGACCACCAGTAGTACAGCAGAGGAGATCGTCGATGTTGACTGCCAAAAAATCCAATATTTACATCAGTTTATCAGTCACTTGCTTAACCGTGACAGATTGACCGATGCGCCAAATGCTCCTACGAGTCGCCGTTGTAATATCATTCTAGGAACGCCAGTAACATACCTTGCTAGGTATATGTACACTGTAGGCCTAATTAGGGCACTCAGCAGTCAAAAGGTAAAGCCAGCATTCAGCAATCAATGCTGACACTCGTGGGAGGTGGGAGGGACCACGTCATAAGGACAAGCGAAACGACGTTTAACGGTTTAAGCGGTGTGGATGGCAGTTTATTGGAGCCTCAACTGCCACCATTAATCTATGATTGTCATTATTACTGCGTCCACACTGTGCTCGTCCATGATGGTCCCATTCTCCCACGATGCCCGCCAGATCCCGCGCCTCGTGTTTTGAAAGCTTAGTCCTAGTAGTGTTTCCAGCTGAACCACTTTTCATTCATCCCACTCGTTTGTTCTTGCCTGTGCTGAGCTCAAAACCTGGCCCGGTTCAGTCGGTCTCGCTGAGTCGCTGCACCTACCAGTGACAGTCCTTGTACTTGATGCGCCGGACGTCAACTGTCGCTCTCCCGTTGCTTCGGCCCTGTTTGCAACCCACCAAACGTCGTGGCCATTTCCACACGAGTCCGTTGCCTTCTGCCGAGTAAAGCACACGAGAAGCTCTCTTTTTTCCCTTCTTTTCCTTCAGAATGGCATTCAACTCATCCCGTCCCAAACGCTCTACCCGCCGCCCCCTGATCTGAAGCGCTGGCTAACCGATTCTGACACATCTGCATACGGTACCCTGCACACGAAGAACACCCAATTTGCCGGTTTCTACTCTCTCGTTCCAAGTGGCCGATCCCCGAATCCTGGTCACTTTCTGAACCCGGTTTGATCGTCCAGGCACCCCCTGCGCCATTTCCTGGGCACCTCGATAATCTCTCCCGCGGTCTGGACGTCCGGCCACTGCGAGGCTCGAATTCACGATCCCCGTTTCTGGTCCTTTGCGAAAGCTAAGGGTGCAGGAGAGCGCCCATCTACGCAGCGGCCCGTATATCAATAATTCCTAGAGCGCATCAAACTTGGTTTGGTTACCATCCACTACCGCCAGCCTGACACTTTGCGGCTTTCACGTCGAACATAGTAGCCACCTGCAGCGGAGTCTCCTGTCTCCAATCTGCTTCAGCCCAAGCGCACGCACAGGAAGGATAACCATCCGGATTTCCAAGCTATTTCCTAGCTGCTTTCTGGATCCCGATCAGATCCTTGTGCGACACGTTTCCGGGACCGCATCGAATTGATCTTCAGGGCAGGAACTTTACCTGTCTGGACTACGCAATCCTTACACCATTGTTCTGATCCCGACTCAACCATCGTCACACAGCTCCTCCTTGGGTATCGAGAAACTGTGGATCGTGCATGCTGAGAAGCATGTCGTCCCGTCGGCGCTGCCCGTAGCCAATACCCCAGACACGGGTGGCCTGGTCCTTTAGTGGTGAGTCTTTCATGTTTGCTCTGTCTCAAATCTCTTATCCATCAGCCCATTGTATTGTTTTTTGCCCTCCCGCCCTTCATTTCCCTCTGCGCGCTTCCAACACCCGTCGATCTTGACCGCGAACAATCCTACTCACCACAATGAAGTCTCGAAAGCGTGTAGCAGTAGACCGACTTGAAGACGCCATACCGCCAACGGGTGGAAAGGGCATTTTTCCAGCCTCGCAGGTCACCGCCCTAGCCGCGGACACTAATCTCAGTCCACCACCGAGCCCGACTTCGCGTCAATTTTTCCGGAAACCGAGCGGCATGGAACGGATATTTGCGCTGTCGCCCAAGCCCACGGCGGTGTTGGACAAAGAATTGCGCATCATAGCGGCGTCTGACGCATATCAAAAACTATTCAATGCCGATCCGGCTCTTGGCAAGAATCTCTTCGACGTGGTCGGCAAAGTGCTTGCTCCTACGGACTATGCGGTGATTGTCAGACTTGTACAAGACGCGATAGACACACGCAAACAACAAAGGTCAGAACCTTTGCTAGGAAGTACGCTCCCGGGCTATTGGCGCATCGAGATCATACCAATATACGATGGTGATGAGCTATTGTACGTTGTCGCAGAAGGTCACGATGCTACCGAAGAGGTGCAACGGCAGCTACAACATTACGCTCAGCTGTCAGTCGCCGAGACGTATCAGATCCTCGTCAACACTCTTCGAGATTACGCCGTATTTATGCTCGACCCCAGTGGCTGCATAGCAACCTGGAACACAGGCGCCATGCTCTTGAAACAATACACCCAGGATGAGATCGTCGGCAGACATTTTTCAACCTTCTACAGCGAAGAGGACCGGAGGGCTAAGAAACCGGAACGGGAACTGGAGATAGCCTTGCGTGATGGCAAGGTGGAAGACGAAGGATGGCGCGTTAAAAAAGATGGCTCACGGTTTTGGGCCAATGTCATCATCACCCCTATTTATCGTGATGGGGAACTCAGAGGCTTCAGTAAAATCACAAGGGATCTCACAGAACGAAAAGCAGCAGAGGCACGCTTGATCGCCGCGTACGAGGAAGCATCAAAGTTGAAGTCCGACTTCTTGGCTAACATGAGTCATGAGATTCGAACGCCAATGCATGGCATGCTGTCTGCACTAGGGCTCCTGAACGAGACCGGCCTGACGACGGAGCAGAAAGAACTCACTGAGATCATCGACGAATCCGGCGCCGTACTTTTACAGGTCATCAACGATATTCTCGACTATTCGAAGTTGAGCTCGGGTTCTTTCTCAATCAGCACGGACATCATGAATGTTGCCGATATTGTCGCAGCTGTACGGCGATGCTTCAACATCGGTTCGAAAGCGGATTTCAAGTTCGAGGTCGAGCTGGACCGTCGCTTGCCAACCTTCGCTCATTGCGATCCCCTACGCTATAGACAAGTTGTCCAGAATCTGGTATCAAACGCCATCAAGTTCACTGAGCGTGGTTACGTACGGGTCAAAGTGGTGGTTGCAGACGAAGATGAATCCTCGTATAACATAAGGACCGAAGTGATTGACACAGGTATCGGCGTGGCGGACGGGACCGAGAATGTTTTATTCACGCCGTTTGCTCAGTTGGACAACTCTTCTACCAAGAGATACAAAGGCACCGGACTGGGTCTATCGATCTGCAAGAGCTTGGCGGAGTTGATGGGTGGCACTATTGGCTTTGCTCAAAATCCAGAACAGCGAGGCAGCATCTTCCATTTCACCGTGAAGATGAACAAAATTGACGCAGCCCCTGTACCGCCGCGAGATGTCACCTCGCCCGATGTGAGTCTCAAAGAGTTGGCCCAACACAAACATTTACTTCTAGTGGAAGACAACGCGATCAACCAGACCATCATGGTGCGGCAATTGCACGCATTCGGCTTTGAAAAGGTAGATGTGGCCGGCGATGGAGCAGAAGCAGTCCACTTGATCAAGTCAAAGCCGCTCACCTACAGCTTGGTTTTGATGGATATCAGTATGCCAGTGATGGATGGAGTCACCGCCACGAAACAGATCCGGGCTCTCGGCCATAATGTCCCCATCATTGCCATGACTGCAAACGCACTGAAAGGCGATGAGGAAACATATCTTGCAGAAGGTATGAACGACTATGTGGCCAAACCAGTGGAGAAACGGGTGCTCACCCAAGCCCTGCTGCGATGGTTGCGGTGACACTTGTGGCTGTGGTGGGACCAGAGCTTACCAAACATTGCATTTTTACAAGTCCTCCGCCTGCCAACAAGCAGATTGCTACAACTCGGTGTGTTTTGCCGACAGTAACGGCGCTCTCGGGTGGTTCGCAGCATAAAAGGGTCGATCTTGCAAGGCAGCATCGGCTTGGCTTGCATGTTCTGGGATCCCTGTCCCTGGTACATGGATGGACACTCTGCTAAACTTCACCACTGAAACTCTCGTCGTTCCAGCATGTGCTGCTGCCTCACTTTCGTGCGTTCTCTAGAAACTGGAGAAAGACCGGAACAATCAAGCAGGACTTAAGAGTGACAGAATACTGCTTCGTGGGTGGGAAAGAGTGCATGAAAGTATCTGGCAAGCCCTACAGCCGGCGTGCGGTGCCCCCCTTGGTTGCACAGGGCAATTTAAAATAACCCGAACAGTGTGAGGATCTTAACCAAGAAGATCATACTCCTGCTTAGCCAAGTCCCTCGATGAAGTGATGAGGGCGATATCGAGAGCATTGCCGAAAGTAGTGCTACTGCCATACCTGACACGGGAGGGAAATATCTGGTTAACACCCGGATATTGAAATTTGTCAGGAGGCGGATTTTTACGTTCTACTTATGACATGGAAGAGCCGTCGACAGTAGGCATTTTGAGCGTCGCCAACTTCATACTTTACTCCATTCGCCCACAATTAATTCCAGGAGTCCTAATCCCTGGCACCTGGCCACGAGTGACGTTCTAGTTCAAAACTTGGTTCTTTGCTCCTGTCGCCTCACCAATCAGCTGTAATGATGCTTTGCTGAATAATTGGTGACATGAGCACCAGCCAAGCCTGATTTGCTTCTATTACCCAAGCCTGAAGCTATCCGGGCTGGTTTGACATTCAGCTCTTGTTCGGTAGTAGCTGAGGACTGTCCATGGCGCTACAGCTACCGCAGCCAAGCGTGATCGGTGCAGTTCGTTCTTGTCGTTTTATTTACTCGACAACTCGAATCAGCAGTTCAAAATGTGGCTTTCTTCACAGGAAGAATGCAAGAGGGTTCAAGATACCGAAAGGAGTTTCTCTTTGTCAACCAGCCATTGTCTTCTGATTCACGTTCTCGAAAAGAGATCGAGCTTCAAGATGCGGCTACGAGAGCACACGCAGCGCGCCAGTCCAGGCCAGACCGGCGTGCCTTCTCTTCCCTGCACTTTGTCAAAACGAAAAGCCACCCAGACCATAAACGTCATGATCGAAACGCTCCAGAGATTGACGATGATACAGCTCCGTCCCCTAGCTCATCGAGGCCCGCGGCCAACCTTTGTAACAATCGCTGGCAACCACAGACTCGCATGATACCCGTGCACCAAGGATGGTTAAATGCGCCTGGTCCTGGAGATTCGACCCTCCTTGGTCAAGGGATTACAGATCCCTTTCAGACGGGAGCCGTGCAAGGTCTACCAGGTATTGTCTACGATGTCCTGGACTATTGTGGGTCTCCGTCCCGATAATGGAAGGTCCAACTGCGGGCTGGGAGACTGCAACTCCTTTGCAAAGCAATCAGCGTCCTTTCTCCAGTGACTCAAAATGTTCTTGATGCTGACCAGTGCATGCCAAAAGCATACCAGTTCTTCTGGCCTGCGCTAGTGTGCGCGGACCCCGAGATGTCGCTGAGACACAAGGCTTCACGACAAAGAGCAGCTCTAGAAAACCCGTTCGTTCTTCACGCCCAAATCGCCAATGCTGCAGATAGCAGGTTGCATTTGATTCCTCCAGAGAACAAGTCGGCTAGTCTTCTCCGGCAAGTGAAGGCTTACCACGAGCAAAGATCGTTCCAGGCGATAGCACGTTGCCTTGAAAACACACCAGGCTCTCCTCCAGACGCAGTCATACTGGCATTGACATTGATGATTTGGCCTGCTGGCACATACGACGCTTCGACCTCGAAATACCCCGTGTCACCCTTGGCATATGGCCAAAATCTCGACTTCTTCTCCAACATGGACCTCAGTCCAACTGTAATACAGCATATCCACAACTTCTACCGTCTTTTAGAGACACGTGGCGGAATTGATGGCCTAGCCCTGGTCGGTCAAAAACATATTGTCAGCTTGTGAGTTCTTCTCAGAGTGGAATATTCCATCTGGCTGCAATTGACATTGCATAAGTGCCGACACCTTTGTTGCTTCCCGCCTCGGCGTCCGTCCCTTGTGGCCATGGCCAAAGCAATTACTATCCGCACTGGGAGCATTTGCAGACCTGGTGTTAGACCCACACGCATTTCAGTTGTCTTTGGTCATGGGGCGTGGCTTTTCGCCGGTCAAGAATGTGGATCTGCGGAGGATTCTGTCGCTAGCCTGTCGATTGACGTTGGCACTTGATTTGTTTCACCGGGCTGCGCCTATGGCACCACCAATTTGGCAGCTTTGTCCCGTCAGAAACGCTGTCCAGCATCAGCTGTGTGCCGTGGACCCACCTACGGATCCGAAGTCATCGTACGAAGAAGCTGTTGATAACATGGTCCGACTCGCGGCGTTGATATACAGCGATTTTGTGCTTTTCCCAATCAACGAAGCTATGGGGGTCCGGTCACGGTTGGCGTATGATTTGAGGAAGGAACTGGAGTATCTCTACGCCCATGCCGAACCTACAGTCTCTGTGGGTTGGCAAGGGGAACGGGGACAGGAACTCACAACGTGTGTGTATCACTATGGGTGCAATGGCTTCTGAGTCGACGGTCCACCAGGAATGGTATATCCCACGGTTGGCACAGGCGCTGAGGGAGGACCAAAGGTTGCTGGATTGGACACTCTTTCAGACTTTGATGGATCATTTCCTGTGGTGGGATTATGTGCTTCGGCCTCGCTGTTGGGAGGTGTGGAGTGAAGCGGCGCGAATGTTGTCATCAGCAGGGGGCGTTGAATCTGGCCACGACAACGATGGCAACAACGAGATATGATGAACAATAAGACAATAATGCAACAACTTATTTATAGAGGTACGCAGATTGGCGTCGGAGTACTTACTCAGCCGCTCCCTACGCTCGGTTACGGCTGACTATCTATTTTCCGACGCGGTTATCCTATTACTCTTTATAAGATAGTAGAATACCTTAGCAGTAGTGCTAACAATAACATTAAGCTTACGCGAAGAAGAGCAAAAGCATCGTACAATGACCAGACGGCGGTAAGAAGGCTTGTTGTCGGTGTGATGATAGACTCCTCGGTGGAGATGAACTGGGCTATTTTGGAGCTCGAGAATTTTGATATCAGGTTGATTAAAGTATTGGCGGGTCTCTTGATATGTCTTTTATAATCCAGCTGAGTTGGATTGGGTGCTCTCTTTGTGTATCGGCAAGTGAATTCCACGATTCTTGAAAAGGGATCGCCGATGCTGGCCGCGTGATACACCGCGACTTGAAAACCGCGAGAATGATTCAATACGGTAGGACATCATCATCAACTCCTATCCATGTCAGTGTGGAAACCCCTTTTTGAAGAAACAGAACAAGGAATTTCTCCATCTTACCCTGCCAATTTCGCAGCTCTGAAAGAGTCAGTTTACTAGTGACTGGGCTCTCATCATGGTGCTTCCACCACTTTTGCAGGACGGTCTGGCAAGATCTGACGTTGCCCATGCCATAATTCATCCACATGATTTTCAGCAAACTGCGCACCTTGTCCCTATCCGATTGACTGGTGCACAGGGTGCCCGCTACGAATAACGGAGGTAGAGCGGCAACCCCCGGACAGGGGCAGGCTTGATATGTGAGGGCCGTGAGACAAGCCAGAATTGATTGTCTGCTGTCCTCGATCAGCCGCAGAGGAACCGACAGTGACCCACGCCGGAATACCTGAAGAAGCGCCATATGGTGGTAGGCTTCATCTAGCAGGTAAAGGTCTTGGTAGATGGCCCAAGGAAGCTCTCCATCACCCTGTGTCCGAGACATCTGCCTTTGCGCCGTCAATGTTCGGATGCGATCGAACAATAGGTGGGATTTATGCTCCACACGTGAATTGCAGTCAAAGTGCGGTGGTCCCGGAGGAGAGTTGCAGGAAAAGTCGGACACACAGTCTTCCTGTATTTGTCCCAGGTTGTTGATCTCTTCGAATATGGGCAGCAGATTCGTGGAATATCCGGCTAGATCGTCAATATAAGCATCACATTCATCAGACGGGGACGTTAAAATGCGCCCCTGGTAGCTTTTCGACCCGCAAGCGAGAGCAATTGCTTGTAGAGCCTGGTATTTTCTTCTTAGGAAGGCTGAAGTGGAAGATAGACTGGCGCCGCGGGATACGCTATGATGCGCAGATAGAGTAGCGGCGCCATGAAGATGCGACCGCCAGGATGAGAGATTCGAAGTAGGCGATATTACTTCGGCCATGCATAGAATCAGGGTGGTGGCAAGGACTTGATCATTTTCTGTCGGGCTGAACCGGTCCAAGGCAGATCTCAATTGCTTCAGACTCTTCCCCTTCATCAGCTCAAATTGACAATCTTCTCCGCTAAGGCCGGATGACAGGCGGTGAGCAGCAGCAAGGGCGAGGACGGCGGACAACAAGTGGGGTACTTGCATAGACATGGGGACAATGGTTGAGCAGATTTCATCTTGAATTCCTTTGTGGCACGAAATTGATATGGTCATTCCGTGGACAAAATGATCCAAGAGTGGTCTGAATTCATTCGGTATTGTCGGTATCATCGCCAGTGACTGAGGTCCGAAAGAATCTCCAGAAGAGGAGGTCGAGTCCTCAACATAATTATCATCAGTAAAAGACGCAGTTCGGCGTTGTGGTGTATGAGGTCCCAGGCCCCAATGCGCAGAGGCTTGTGGAGGGTTCGGCGTTTCATGAGAGAAATCAGATAGACTTCTCGCACGGCTTCCGTTGTCGTCTGTTCTTTTGGGAGAACAGGTGTAAATGAAATCCTTGCCCGCCGACAATTGATCTTTGCAACGTGAGCTAGGCAATACTAACGTGTCCAAATAACAAGACTTACGACGAGAGACCGTAGTGCTTACGGCTCTTGCTCCCAAGTCCAGACACTTGCCGAACCGTGATTTCTTGAATGGACGCCCGCCCCAAGAAATTTGCCGAGAATAGACACAAGAACGACCTACACTCTGGCAGTAAGCGCAAGTCGGCTTGGCCTCGTTGCACTTCCAGTGCCGGCGGCGGCATTCGTCGCACCCCGTGCGAGACCGTCTTTGGTGCTGGGGCATATTGGATCTCGATTCTTCCATCAGTAGATGCCGAAACTGCGTTTGCGAAATGAGGTGTGCAGAAACATCAGGCTTTCAAGGTCGAAATAGCCTATGAAGACCAGGGCGGAGACCGTTCAAGATGACGGTCGGCAAATGTACAGTCGGTATGGTGGACATGTCCGGCACGATCAACTGCTTGATAAGCTCGCCCGTCGAATATGAGACTAACCTCCTAAGCAGCAGAGCCAGGTTCACAACTCGAAGTTTAGGGCAGGATGAAGAGTCATGTCAACGAGCGGAAGTGACGAGGAAAAGATAGGATATGCTTGCCCCTATAGGTTTAGCGCCAGCCACCCTACCGAGGTGCGGATCGGCAGTATATTTCGAGAACCTACACTACCCTGAACGGGTCCCACAGAGATGGGCAAAGATGGAAAGGGTGGGTATCGTCAGGAGAGACTGTCGGAGATGTGTGATGGGTCGCGAGCACAGGAGCCGTGAGAAAGGTCCACGAATATGTACCTGGTGAAGTATCGTCTTTCTCGCAGCTTACTCTGGTCTTCTCAGACCATTCCATACTTCCAGACGTTAACCACTCTTTATCAATATGGCCGACGTTGTGGCCGGCGAAAGTTCATTGCTTCTTCCCCAGTCTTCTGGTTCTATTAGAGACGGGCAATTTACCTTCAGTATCTGGCGCGACCTTGCTGGCCTCACAAGGCAGACGATTCCAATTTGCCTCTCATTTGCTCTTCAAAATGCTGTGCAAGCCATCAGCGTTCTGACGGCGGGAAGGTTAGGCTCCTTCGAGTTGGAAGTTACCTCCTTTGGCTTCATGTTTTTCTCCTGCACGGGAACCATGGTCGCTATTGGTGGCGCAACAGCACTTGATACACTGTGTGCCCAGGCCTTTACCTCACATACGGTGACAGGCAATGGCAAAGTACTCGGTCTCCTGTTACAACAATGTCTGCTAGTGCTGCTTGGAACTTTCAGCCTCCTGATTGCACCCATCTGGGTATTTTCGGCGCGTGTCTTCGTCTTCCTCGGTCAGCAGCAAGACTTCGCGATCGCCACAGGCCGATTCATGTTGTTTATGCTTCCCTCGGGGATGTTACAAGTCGTCGCGGAATGTTTGAAGAAGTATCTACAGGTGCAGGGTGAAAGCAACATTGTTGGGTCATCGACAGCGGCAGCCAGTGCTGTTGGCGTTCTTTTCAACTTCGTTCTTGTCCGATGGACGAGGATGAGACTCTGGGGTGTTCCTTGTGCCTTCTGCATTTATCAGCTTCTCACGGTTGTTGCTTTGCTGTGCGTTATTGCATATAAGCCTGCAATCAGGAAAACCTGGCACTGGCCAACCATCGGTGCTCTAAATGGCTTGTCACGATTGTTGTCATATGCTGTCACGGGGATCTTGACAATTGCGACTGAGTGGTGGAGGTGAGTCTGTTGTGACTGATCTGTCCCGCACCTAGACTAATGTGTCGTCCTCAAGCTTTGAAATACTTGCAATGATGGCTGCACGACTGGATTCAAGCTCCATCGGTGCTCAAAGTGTAAGTTCCGATAGCGCTTTAGCCTATGATGTGCTTCGGCTGACTACAACAACAGATTTTGATGTCATCGGACTTGCTCTTCACGACGGTGTCGTTAGGAATAAGCGTAGCCGCTAGCCACCGTGTGGGTGGCTTACTCGGTGCAGGCAAAGGGCAGGAGGCGAGGAAGGCAATAGCAACGCCATATCTGCTGTCCTTCATTATTGGGGCCATTGAATTTCTCGGCATCGTGCTTGTACGAAATCACTATGGCCGAATCTTTACAAGCGATCCAGCGGTGATCAGCAAGACCGCACAGGTGCTTCCGCTGATGGCTGGATTCCAAGTCCTGGACCTTTCCAACGGCGGCGCTGGCGGGATCCTGCGGGGTGCTGGGAAGAATCATCTGTCTGGCGCCTGCAACTTTCTGGCATACTACGGTGTGGGATTGACCTCTGCATGGTTTCTATGCTTTCGCAAGGATTATGGTGTCTTTGGCTTGTGGGCGGGCATTATCACTGGCAGCGGTGCACTCCTTGTCCTGCAATCATGTTGCATTGCGAGCATACGATGGAAGCAGTTGGCCAAAGACGTCTCTGGGTCCCGCGTAACATAGGGTTCAAGTATGATGACCGCAGACATGAGGTTACTCCTTGCCCTCGGGGCTTGTATGTAAGAGCACACGAAGAGTAGAAGCTCACTATGGACAAAGGCCTATAGCACTAAACAATTGCCACTGTTCCGGAAACAAGTCTATGCTCGTCGCAAGTATTGACTGTATTGTTAGAGAACACAGATCTTGAACAGTCCTTCGACGGTGAGTCCTCGGTATATGTCTACCTTGTTGGACCTATATACCCACGATACGTCCAACGCTTTTGATCATGGTGTGTGTGTGGTGCCTTAAAGGAAGACCGGGTGTATGGACAACACAACAGCTTGCAGAGACCTTAAATCCTTCAATTGACTTCGATGCGAGCAATACAATACTAGTAGTCAGTCAACATGTCAACTATAGACTACAATCTACTGCTGCTCATTTCCAGAAGCCGTAGCATGTACCATAACTTTCTCAGGACAAACACTATGGCAATAAGCGTCCCAAGGAGAAGAAGCACCAGGGAATCCAGCTTAGAGAATACCAATGTCCCCTTCCAACCCACCAGGACTGATACCAACAATTCGCAGACTTACAGACTGAGTCTGTTTCTGACCAATCTAGTAATCAGCTATGCGTAGGTCAGCATCTTCCTGGATTTCGGTCATTCGTACAACATACCTCTATAGTGAACTCGGCAGCAGCTATGCCTGTAATCTCGGCCTGATCCAGGGCTGGCAGCACCTCCACAACATCCACGCCGACAATATTCAGACCTTCTAGTCCATCTATGATGATTTGGATGATCTCCCTAGGAGTCCATCCTCCTGAAGCTGGACCAGCGGTCCCTGGGACGAAGGCAGGATCGAGACTGTCCACATCAAGGGATACGTAGACGGGTTCCCCATGAGGAACAATCGAACGAATTTTGTCGATGACGCCCCAGACGCCATCCCTTTTCAGCATATCTGAGGCCGGAATGGTCGTAAACCCCACTTCCTCATCAAGTTCCATGTCTTTCGCCGAGTCTAGGGAGCTTCGAATTCCGGCATGGACGTTCTTGGTGGACAACAGACCTTCCATGCCTGCCCAATAGTATGGTGTACCGTCGGCGTACTCGGCCTGTTTGCTACCGGCGTTGGCTCCTGCGAACACTTTGGGGGACCAAGTATCAATATGCGCATCAATGTGGATGGCGGACACCTTTCCGTAGATGGTGTTTAAGGCCCTGAGAATCGGTAACGAGATGCTGTGATCGCCACCAAGTGCAACAATTTGGGGGTGGACCCGGCCAGTCTGTGATCCATTCCACTTAGCTGCGCTTCGGCAAAAGCTTGCCGATGGCTTCACATACCTCTGAAGACCTTGTGCCCTTCCCTGCAGACTTGACTTCTCTCCAGAGAAGCCGTTTATACCAATCTTCCATCTGAGCAAAGGCTAGGCCGTTGTCGAAAGGCGAGATCGGAAGATCTCCGCAGTCAACCACCGATATGTTCTGTTCATAAGGGTTAATGGATTGGCGGTAGTTATAGTGGCCACTGTCAGGGGTCAGCTTGGGTGTGCGTCTACGCAGCTAGGACAGACGAACGCAAGCGACGCCGCTCGGGAACCCTGACGGACAGCGTTTGGCCCAAAACGCGTGCCAGTCCGGTATGATGTCGCTGTATCGAAGGGAAACCCCAAAATCAAGATGTCGTCGACCGGTCCGCTTTCCGTCAAGCACTGCACCGACGGAAGTTGTGCAAAAGTGGTAATGCCTGAGAAGGCGAAATTTGCTGACGGCTCAAGGTCATAGTTGCCGTGCTTCTTCGAGTTCTCGATACTGACTTGTTCATCGGTCCTGGGTGGGACAACCAAAGCTGAAGCAAAGGCTGCCAACGCCGCGAGGCTAGAGGAGAAGTCAAAGCGCATCTTGATGGGGGAAGGACAAAATCAGAATGGGAAGACCTGAGGTTCTTCTTTTACTACACCGCTGCATAAGAGCGCAATGTCCTTGCATTTGTAGTTTAAGTCTCACAAATGACCAAGGTTTGTGGTTTCTTTGATTGAGTGCTCCGTCTGCCGCTTGTCCCGTGGAGAGGAGACTCCTGTTACCATGAAGGGCCAGCCGTTGTAGGCTATGCCTACCTCTTCTGGGAAGAACGAACATAGAGAGGCAGATCTTGTGTATGCTCGACTTCAATATGATGTCGGGCTGTGCGAATTTGTCCCTATGGGCTCGTATCACAGGGCTCAAGCTTATCGGTTTCCCGCTGTAAACCGGGCTAGTGTATTCCTTCCCCCTTGGGACTAATCTCCTCTCCAAGATCCACTTCGACGCACTCGGCACGAAACTCTTCGTTTCTTTCTTCGTGACAAGCCTCTGGATTGATGCTGAGAACGTCCCGTCAGTACCACCGCATAGTTTTTGCTCTGGACGTCTGTTGCGACTGTCGGTGCCGGGTTACAGTGCCCACGCGAAGCAGAAATGGAGGCCGCCTATAAAGAGGTGGCCCGCATTCCACGAGGCAAGCCAACTTGTCGATACTAGTCGCCATGCACCAGTCTGCTAAGCAATTGCCTCGCCAATTCCACAGCTCAAGCAGACCGACCATGTCCAAGTCGGCGCCGCAAGATATCGAATCCTCACGGAAGCGCATACTGAACTCCAGCATATCCCCCGACAGAGCTTCGAACATTGATGGCCAAACTCTTCAAGAAACAGGCAATGTGCAAGAGCTGGCCAAAAACTTCAGTTTGTGGTCTTTGGCTGGGACCGGTATTCTCGTTGGCAACGTCTGGCCTGCTCTTGGAGGCTCCATCCTGGTTGCCATCTACAACGGCGGACCTCCAGGCGTACTCTATGAGTTCATGGTCGCCTCCTGCTTCTACTTCATAGTGGCGGCATCCTTAGCCGAGCTAGCTTCAAGTATGCCGTCCTCTGCAGGACCTTACCTCTGGGCTTCTGTCACACCTGGAAAGAAGTATGGCCGATCTGTTGGGTTCTTCGCAGGATGGTGGAATGTACTCGCTTGGATTTTTGCAGCTGCCTCGATGAGCGCTATTTGTGGTGAGTAATACCGCCTTCTCCGGCTTCGTGAAGCCAAGGTTGTTGACTTCTCCGCATAGCGAATGTGATGGTGCAGATGTACGCTTTTTCCCATCCGTCGTTGCTGGTCAAGAGCTGGCACGTCTTTGTGGCCTATCTCCTCATCACCTGGAGCTGTTGTGCAGCCGTATGTTTCTTCAACAGATTCATGCCGATGCTGAACAAGCTTGGCATCTTTGTGACGGTTGCCGGAGCGCTCGTTACAATCTTGGTGTGCGCCATCATGCCTTCTTTGAGTGGAAGGGCTGGGCATGCCAGCAGCCAGACTGTCTGGTCAAGCTGGACAGCCGATCTAGGATACCCCGACGGATTTGTTTTCGTTGCCGGTATGCTAAACGGATCTTATGCAATGGGCACGCCGGATTCTACCAGCCACCTGTCCGAGGAGATACCGGAGCCATCGAAGAACGTCCCAAAGGCCATCGCGATGCAATATGTGATTGGCCTTGTGTCCGGACTGGCATACTTGATCGCAATCCTGTACGCCATAAATGATTACGACGCCCTTTTCACATCGCCGTTTCCCATTGCGGAGATCTATCACCAAGCAACAAACAGCACCTCCGGGACCATAGGTCTGCTGACTTTACTTCTTCTCCCCACCATCATCTGCGTTGTCACGCTCTACATAACGTGTGGTCGCACACTATGGGCGCTTTCACGGGACGGAGCGACACCGTTTCCAGGCTTCCTCGGCCACGTCAATCCAAAGCTGGGCCTTCCTGCAAATGCAACCCTGAGTTGCTGTGCACTGGTGACCGTCTTGGGATGTATCTACGTCGGCAGCGTCACTGCTTTCAATGCCTTCGTGGGAAGCTTCGTTCTGATGTCGACCTCCTCATATATCGCCTCACTTTTACCATTCCTGCTACGCGCCAGGCAAGGTATCGAGTTTGGTCATTTCCGCCTCCCCCAGAGCCTCGGTTTCATCTTCAACTTTGTGGCCTGTGCATTCATGACGGTTTGGTTTGTCATTTACTGCTTCCCATACAGCCTACCGACCAATGCGCAGACGATGAATTATTCAAGTCTCATCTGGGGAGGTCTGACAATTCTGATCGGACTATGGTGGCTTTTGTATGCCAGATCCACATACCCGGGCGTTGTGGTACCTCCTTCACAGGCGTCAAATATGGTAGAAATGAGATGACGACGGGAATTCAAATATACCTAGGTACATAGGTTTGGTAACCGCTCTGGCGGGCGCTGTGAAGGAATCGCTCTGGCTACGTTGTGGCCTGGGAGAATGACCTAGTTTCCTGTCAGGCACGTGAGAGCCTGTGCAATGAAAAGCAAGCTACTAGTATTACCTGGGTACTGATTCAATCGACTCTCTTCGGTATCTTCATCATTGACGCAACCCTTCCATGGTGTAATCGGGGAGTTGCCGTCCACCTCGCCCCTTCACGTGATGACGCCTCTTGCGAACCACAATCCAATGCGTGACCGGGTCAATGATCCGGACTACGGTCTGGGCATGTTTATATCTGACATCATGGTTTCATCTTTCCTTCACTTTCCACCTTGCAAGACGAGCACTGACGAGTAATGCCAATTCTCGTCATCCTCATTCGCTGCAATGAGTGGTTCGGAAGAGTTGCCGGACCTTTATGATACAGAAGTCAATGGGGGGCGATGGGGGTGAGGGGGGCACGGGGCTTGTACCTTCCTCGATGACCATCAGTGGGTGTCAGTGTGATGATGTCGTGACTCGCTTGGTGGGTGGTCAAGGCCGTGATGATAATAACAGGTCATGAGGTCTTGTCGACTACTAGATACTACTGCTGAGCCTCTCTCCTCCAACCATGACTTCTCTTCCTTCTAATTTCGCCCGGAACATCTCTCGCATTCAAGTCGTCTGTCGTAGCGCCCAGCTTCAACATAAGCTCGCCCGGATATCTAGTCCCTTCGCTCTTACTACCACTCTCAGAATTCCCTCCAGACCCGCAAACCGGATCTCAACACGTCCTTTCACAACAACACGAATCATGGCGGTCGACCACGAGCACTGGATGAAGACGAGCGGTCAAAATGACCCGGTCTGGATCCACAAGGACCCGTACATCAACCGTCCTGAATTCCCAACCCTCGACAAAGATCTCGAAACAGATGTCTGCATCATCGGATCAGGCATCTCGGGAGTCTCCGTCGCAGAGCAACTCGTCAAACGCGGACTGGACGTTGTCATGATTGAGGCCAGGAACATCATCTCAGGCGAGACAGGTCGTACGTCAGGCCATCTGTCGTCCGATCTCGACGACGGATACACCGAAATCGCAAAGAAATTCGGCAAGGACGGGGCCAAAATCGCGTTCGAATCTCACGACTGGGCGCTCAAGCACATTGGTGAGGTCGCCAAAAAATTGGGAATCGACTGCGAGTACCGCCAATTGCACGCATACGACATATCGCAATATCCTAAAGGAACTAAGGAGCACGATGAAGACATTCAGGTAATCAAAGACGAGGTCAAGCTTATGCAAGAGCTCGGAATGGACGCGAAGTACGTTGAAAACGCAACCATCAAAGGCTGGGATGGCACTCCCGATCAACGAGATGCCGCCATCATCGGAACCCAGGCTACATTTCATCCAACCAAGTACCTCAACGGCGTATTGAACTGGCTACGGAGACAGCCCAACTTCCAGTGCTACACGCGTACTCGCATGACGGACAACTCTGAGAAAGGCATGACCGTGCCTCTGGTCGATGTGCATCTTGGCTCCAAAGGTGTGACAGTGCAAACAGCCAACGGACACACCATCACCTGCAGCCACTCCGTCGAAGCCACCTGCGTACCGTTGCAGAAATTGAGCCTAATCGCCGAGATGGAGTACGACCGGACATACTGTATTGCCATCCGCATCCCCAAGGGTACAGTCGAGGACTGTCTCATCTACGACTCGGCCGAAAAGTACAAGTACATTCGGAAGACCGAATGCGATGATGAGTGGGACTACATGGTCGTTGGAGGGTGCGACCACAAAGTCGGCAAGGAGGCTGAATGGGAGGAGCGATATCAAGAACTCGAGACTTGGGTGAGAGAGAGATTCACCAAGGCTGGATCCGTCGATTACAGATGGTCAGGCCAGGTTTTCGAGCCAATGGACTACATGGCGTACATTGGCAGGAAGACTGGGTGCCAGTTTATCTACACTGTCACGGGCGACTCGGGCAACGGCCTCACGCACGGTGTTCTGGCGGGAAAACTGATAGCCGATGAGATCCAAGGTCTCGACAATCCGTGGGAGCAGGTGTACGATCCGAAACATCGACATACAACGGTCATGAGTCGCGCCCCGGACCTCTTGAAGCATGACCTGTCAATCAACGCCGAGTACAAGCGCTTCTTGAAGTCGGATATTCAAGATGTCGAGGATCTGGGCCTCGACCAGGGAGGTATACTAAACCCGGCGACCAAGACGCCCCAGGCGGTGTACAAGGATAAAAATGGAAAAGTGCATAAGTACAGTGCATTGTGTCCGCATCTCAAGGGAGTGGTCTGCTGGAATAATGATGAGAAAAGCTGGGATTGTCCGGTACATGGAAGTCGCTTCGCCAGTGATGGAACACAAATCTGTGGTCCCTCAAAGATGGGACTTAGCAAACTGGAATAGGGGAATGCTTGTGCTGGCAAGGGTTTCGGCTTGTTTTTTCCAGTTACGAAGCAATACTATGCCAGGTACTGACTCCGATGCCAAGTATGGACGTGGTGACAATGATGCTTATGAAGCAACACAGGCGAAGAGAATGAACTCGAGGATATGCAAGGTTATGAAAGGCATCAGGGACAGGCGAGGGCAGCTGATGCAAGCGCTGAGGGAGACGGACAGTAACTGTATCATAATAATCATGGCACGACCTGTGACGCTGGCATGGCTCCAGCTTTGACAGCAGAAAGCAGAAGGCAGAGCACGGGATCCTTCAACTCACCCATTCCCAACTTCGCTTGCCTCTTTCCGCGCGCTCCAAAACCCTTTACCGTAACTCACCACAATCTCTTCGCCCTTTGCGATGCCTTTACTGCGCTTGCCCGCTTTGCCGGCATTCAAGACGAACACACCGATCCTCCTCTCGTATTTCCCTGGCCCCATCTCGACAAGACAATCGCGGAATTCCGCGTTGGGGCCTTCGAGTCGAATCCCGCGATAGTCGTTGATGAATCGTGCTTCATTCCCGTAATGCGTCGCGTCGATAGACAAGTCCAAATCTCGGTCTAGACTGAGGTCGTAGTTGGACTCGTGATCCGTGGTGGGAGACGGGTGTAGGGTGCCGAGGTAGAAGAGGATGAATGACGATGGTGGCAGTGTACGGAGCGCGAGGAGGCCGTGTTGGCCGTGGGCTGGGTGTGAAGGGGTAGTGACCGGTGTGATGCGGACCAGCGGGCTGGGTGTTGGCGGTGCGGGTTTGATGATGGTAAGGTCCAAGGAAGAGGATGCGCTTGTGGTGGTTTGAAGTGATGCGCTTGTTAGTGGAGGCGGAATGTGGAGAGTTGTTAGGAAGGTTATGCCTCGGGGCCAGTTCTTGGGTAAGGAGGCGGACGAGGTTTCATGAGGCATGGCATCAGTACCTAGGTAGTGGGATGTATGACATGAGGATTGTGTTGTCGGAGTCGATGGAAGAATAGATTGAATGAGATGAAGAGCGGGAGACTGGACGAGGCTGAGCGAGAGAAATGTTGGTGTCACGTTGCCGTAAGGCTGTGGGCTGGCAACTGCTGGCTCACCACCAAGAGCCGGGACTCAGTCTTGGCTTGCACATCTCTGGGGTACTTTGCAGTAGTACTCCGTACCGCCGCTGCATTCAATTCTTCAATGCTTGGCCCCCTGCGCTCGGACAGCCGGAATTTTCTTTCATGAATCGGCATCGTGCTAGCGATTGCTATGTAGACTCTCCAGCTTGGCATTATGCGTCGTACGGTATCACCTTCCAGTCGTTGCCTCTGAAAATCCTCAGCAAACCCCGAGGCACGATCCGTGTTTAAGGGGGAATACTGGGCTGTTTCAGATCCCAGCCAAGGGCCCGCCGTGTGCCCAGGATTAACAGCCTAGTAACAATAAATCCTCGTGGGGGCCGCATATTGCTCGTGATTACTGAACCTTATCCAGCATTGTCTGAGGCGAGCGAGCATCAAAAGCTCAGGTGAAGTGGTCCCAAACACGTCGCGGTAGTAGGGAACTGAGGTTCACCGCACTTGTAAGGCCCTGAAAGTGCATAGCCTACAAGGATCCCGTAGGCAGTGAACCCTGGCTGGCCTCCAAGAGTAAAGAAAAGACCGCTTATCACGGAACTCTCGAGCAGCACGGTACCTGAATAGCCCTGAGAATGCGCTTATCTTTCGCGCCCAGGTGCTGAAACTCCACCAGCTCGATCCCTCGGTTACGGGAAGTCATCCGAGTGGCGGCTTAAGGCCAGGCGTGCCAGGCACGCATACTTCCACATGGATTTGCCTAGCCTGTCCTGATTGAAGAAAGGTTTGGGTTCTGGACTAAGTTAACCTCGACTTCCTCCTAGAATCCATGCTTCTGTAAACTAACGAGGTCAAGCGTCTGCGCCGCTGTCATGGTTCCGCCTTGTCAGGACGCGGGCTGCATGATCTCTACCAGGGTATTTTCTGCTCGCAGGATTGCCCAGTAGTTACTTCAGACACTTTTGGAACATGATGCGTTCTCCCCCTCGGCACGGTGGTCGCCCGCAACGACGGGGCCGGAGCGAGCTTGTCTTTCGCAATCTTGAAAAGATTCGAGTGTTCTAAAATGGGTTGCTGTGTTCTTCCTGACGATTGTTCCATCTTTTGACCTCTCAATGCTCGGCAGGCCGACCAGACTTTGAAGATGGCATGGAAAACAGTGGTTGCCTGGTTTGCGCTACTTTGTCTTTCGCAACATGTGCTCGGCCAGTCATCAACGGTGTCAGATTGCACGGTAAGATCCTTTTACTGAGAGCCATCATTTGTCCCCGCCGGCTCTGACATTTTGTTCCAGGCCAACTGCACCTCTGACATCACAGAGCAGTTCTCAGCTTGCCGATTCGGGATCCAGTGCTTCTGTACAAATCCTGACCTGTACAAGCTCGGGCAACAATGTTGGCAGTCAAATTGCACCATACGCGAAGCCTTGAGTAAGCCAGCCAACAAGCGAGCCTTTTGTGCCTTGGATCTGTATCTAACAAATATACAGCCGCACAAAACATCACCTCAATTAGCTGCAACTTCCCAGACAGGAACAGGGGTCGCATCAGCAGCGCCATCACATTCACCTCTATGGCCGTGGCTCTATGTCTTGTCGTGGTCCGGATCATAGCATTGTCTCGCCACTTCCGAGTACTCTGGGGATGGGATGATGTTCTCGTTGGCTTCGCCACAGTACGACAACCCCAAGTCTTTGTCCACTATGATACGAAGCTGACTCTGCCTAGCTCTTGATGATTGGAAATACTGTATCTAATCCTATTTGTAAGTCTGGGCCATGTTCCCATGACAACTCCTGCTTACATTTGCTCTAGCCAGACATTATGGCTATGGTCAAGACGCCTGGCGCTTGCCTTTCGATAATACGAAGACGGTAGAGATGGTATGTCATTGCACCAAGGTGACCGACGTCGACGTAGGTGCTGATGAACTGCCGGCAGATCTTCTACATCGGCGGCATTCTGTATGCAGTTGGTGTCGCGTCTACCAAGGTTGCGTTTCTGCTGTTCTACCTCAAGCTGTTCCCGTCACAGACCGTTCGCTGGGTGGCCTACCCGCTACTTGTCATCACAATGATACAGGGTATCGCATTTACCTCCCTTTTCATCTTTCAATGCAGCCCTATATCTTATGCGTGGACGCAGTGGGATGGAAACGGGCATGGGAAGTGCCTGAATTTCGACCTGGGTGCAGTGTTACACGCTGGAACGAACATCCTGTTGGATTTTTTGATCTTCGCCTTGCCGGTCACTCAGCTTTGGAACTTGAATCTTTCCCGGAAGAAGAAGTTTCAAGTCATATCAATGTTCGGCGTGGGGTTCTTGTAAGTCCTCCTCGCACACTTTCTGTCACCCGGTCTGGCGCTTACTCAAGCGCATAGTGTGACTCTCGTCAGCATTCTACGACTGTACAGTATGATTATGATTGGTCACACAAGGAACCCGACCTGTAAGGCTACTTGACGAGGCCACAAAGGATCAGCATGCTGACAACTTTGCACCCAGGGGATCTGGTACCGTTCGGATACTGGTCCGATCTTGAATTCAACGTTGGTATTGCCTGTATCTGCATGCCATCTGTCCGCGTCGTGCTGCGCCGATACTTCCCAGGCTGCGGCATCACTAGCACGAATCGCGATACAGCTGGATCCGGCCCCGACATGAATGCGCGACGCGTCAATTTGACCGAATCCAACACCGGCAGAAATTTAACATCCTTCAAGTCGTCTACAAGACATAACGTCGCAAAGGATGACTCGTCTGATCAGGTCGAGCTGTGCACCTACAATGTTGCTGTAGAAACGAAATGAAAAATCAACGAGGGCACGACTTGTCTTCTGACGATGGAGGCTGGCCGACGATGATGTGAGAATGCTTCTACGATGATCAGGCCGATTCAATGGTGACAAGCACTATCCCATTTCAAGCAGGCATAACGTATAACACGGCCCCCTGTGGTTGCCAAAACTACGTTCGTGCTCGTGCAGTTGACGTCCTCTTCTGAGGTCAACCTCCGTTCTACAATGCACTACGCCGCCAGACAAATATTTGCGAGCACCCAGCCACCGATCGAAACAAAGTGCCAGCTCTGAAGTTTCAAATGCTATCTATAACTCCCTCTTATTTTCCCTGCGACACTGGTTATCTTGGAACTTGGAAGGCAAACACAGCACCTGGGAAATGGCTCTATGGGCAATACTCCGATTGAGCAAGAACAACATTCGGGATGCCACTATCTCCCGGATAAGGAGCTGCCCGCCTGCGTCGCTATGATTCATTAAGACTCTCAATCAGGACAAATGGAAACATGGGCCTATCGCTACAACGCCGACAAGATCACAATGTTACGACAATCTTCTTCGCACTGACGCCTTTACTCTGGATATCCATCGCTTTCTGCACATTCTCGAGACCGTGTCCCACGATTTCTGGGTCAGGTGCTGGGACAAATGTCTTCTCAGCAAGTGCCTTGGGCAAGAATTCTTCGTATATCAGTGGTCCCACTTCATTCCAGACCAATGTGTCGGCAGCAACGTAGCCGGTGCGGATGCCGTACCTTTTGGCTTTGATCCACAAAGAGATCATGCCGCTAAGATAAGTAAGGATGGTCTGCAGCACGACGAAATGCTTCGGAGGAGTGGCGGGCACCGGATAGGTAGCCATGGACAGGACCTTATCGCCTTTACACGCGGCGAGGATGTCAAGACACTTGTCGGCCGCTCCGGGGCCCATCGACATGGCGCCAGCCGTTGTTCTGCCCTTGAAAGCCTTCTTGATGTCCTGCACGGCCTTCTTGCTGTTGTAGTCGAAGGCCTCGACCGCCCCGAGCTTTTTGACGTAGTCGAAGTTGCGCGGAGAACACGTCGTGATGACTTCATAGCCGGCTGCTACGGCGAGCTGAATAGCATTACAGCCCACACTTGTTGAGCCGCCCCAGATGAGGACGGTCTTTCCCGTGGACTTGGCTGGGGGCACAGAGGGGTCTTGTAGAGCCAGTTGGTCTTTCTGAAACAGGCCGCACCCTGCTGTCGAGAGGCCTAGCGGGATGACTGATGCTGTCTCGTAAGAGACAAAGTCTGGAAGGGGAGACACCATGTATGACAGGAGGACAGTATACAATTGAAAGCCGCCATGCGCAGCTGAGTTGACCTTCTGGCTGGTACCGTGGGAACCAGCAACGACGTGATCGCCGATGTTGAAGCGGGCGACGTTCTTGCCCACTTCGACAACTTTACCAGAGACGTCGAAGCCGAGGACCGCAGGGTACTTGAGATGTCCATAGGCCAGGCTGTTGTTTTGGATGATGTGATCGATAGGGTTGACGGCCACAGCATGTGTCCTGATGACTACCTCATCGGGTCCTGGGCGCGTATAAGGTGCGGGGCGGACCTCGAGCGGTTTGGCATTTTTGGCAATGAGGTATGCCACTTTGTTCGAAGGTGTTGACATGTTGAAGATGAGTTGGTGAGCGGTTTAAAGATTGAAAGGCCGGGCTGAACACTCGAATACAGCTCTACTCGAAAGCAATCGCATATGAGCAGTTTCGATAGACATGTCCACTTACATAGCCAAGCGGAAGTCCTCCTAGGTTATATATCCCTTGGACAAGGCTGAGCTTCCATCGAACGAGTCCACCGATTTCCTTCTGTGGCCGACCTTCCGACCGTCCGATGTCAGACTTACCGATCTCCGCTGCCCTCCGTTGCACCTCCGTCTGAACCGTGGAGATGGAATTGCAAGACCAGCTACCAAAGCCCTAGAGGAGGGATGATTGATTTTTGATAGGTACAGTGCCCACCTTCTGACAACATGTCGATGCCGGTACGTGGAACGAATGTAAGCACAAGTCAATGACGCGCTCGGAGGAATCATTGCGCCTTCCGTATCCTGGACTATCCTGCAAGACTTGGGCCTTGACGGAGATAAGTCAGGCTCGTTACGACGACCTTGGTCTGTCAAAATGAACACCGCTCATTACCTACCTAGGTACCTAGGCAGTCCTGATACTGTACATGGTAGATTGTACCCAGATGGTGGATGGAAGACTGAAAGTCGGAGCCCCAGGATGCGGTATTCCGATGCTAGTCCATATTTGGCATGGTCTGGGCGTTGGCCAGGCAGCTCCGGTTAGACAGAGTCACGTGACGGATGTGCAACCCCAAAGATCCATCCGAACGAGCCACGACCTCACCTGAGCATCCCGTCGTATCTTCGATCACAGGGCTTTCTTCACTGGGAGCTTGATTATTCGTCATGGAACCTCGATCTGTGGTAGAGGAAGGCTTGAGCATGCAGGAGAAGGTGCCCTTGATGGCAGACGAAGAGGGCCATGCCATCAAAACAAAATCCCGGTTCCATTCGTCTGGCATCAAGGCTGCCTTTATGGCTGTGGGAATCTTGTTGATTTTGGGAGCGTTCAATGTCCACGATCTCATCTCCTTGCGGCCAATACGCTTGCCGGGGTGCTTCAAAGGTCAGTTCATGGCTGAGGCCTTCGATACTGTTTAGAGCAACTGACGACTAACTTCCTAAAGGGCATCGCCAGACACACCCTCCAGCCGATGCTGGGATTTGTCTTACACCTGCATGTGTCCACGCTTCGTCCGAGCTCCTTTACAATCTGTCTCCGGACTACAAGAATCTGGACGCATGCACCGATTTCGAAGAACTCGTCTGTGGCGGGTGGAGAGACCGTCATGACCTCCGGCCTGATCAGGGTGATGCCTTTACTGGTACAATCATGTCAGAAGCCTCTCAAATGTTACTACGTCATATTCTCGAAGCCCCTTATCCAGATTCCTCTGTGGTATGTACCACCAAGCAGCCATCCTTTTCCGTGCGGCCTACGTCCACGACCACTGTCGATTGGTCATAATTCGTCCGACGCTGACATATTATCTAGCCCACAGGTGTATCACCACAATTGGACACGCTCACGGCTTCCGTGGATCAAGAGAACTTTGACAAGCTCAAAGCTGCGTACAACGCCTGCTTAGACGAGGACACCATCAAAGGACGGGGAGTTGAGCCGTTGATGGACATGCTTAACCGGACCACAGCTCGATTTTCAGAGCACTACCTTGACTCCAGCTCGTCCAAAGGGCAAACTGTGCTGTCGGATACCATCGTGCAGCTTGCTAATTTGGGGATCTCGGCTTTTGTGGCAGCCGGCACGGGTGCCGACGATCGTGACCCAGACACCGTCATCATATCGATCTCTGCTCCATACTCGATCGGTCTACCGGCTAAGGAATTATACGAGGATGAAAAGATTGTCAAGAAGTATGAAGATGTTGTGTCTCAAGTCATGTCGGCACTTTATCAGCACTCCGACTCCATTGGCCAGAGTGATGCCCGAGCACTCGTCGACTTTGAGAAGAAGCTTGCCGCGGCATCGCCAGATGCAGAAGATCGGGATGATGTTACTGTAGGTTTCCTTACCAAGTATGGGAAGATTTGGTATTGACCTAGGTGACAGAAATACTACAACCCCATGTCAACAGCAAAAGCCGACAAGCTCGTTCCACAAATTCGCCTCTCTAGCATCCTAAAGAGCCTTGTCCCAGGGGACTATGACATCGACCGGGTCATTGTCATGGCCCCACAGTATCTTCAGAATCTGAGTAAGCTTCTGGACGCGACCTCGAAAGAAACACTGCATGCCTATGTCAGCTGGAAAGTGATCCAAGCCTACGGAGATTACATCGAGGCCGACTCACTAACTCCCATCAAACGCTTCGCGAACGAGCTGCAAGGAAAGGTATGCAACCCCCGCAAGTCAGCATGGTTACGTGTCCTAATCCATGACAGGACCCTGATTCTTCACCCGAGCGCTGGAGGACCTGTGTCAGACATGTTGACGGGGGCGTCGGTTGGCTACTGAGCCGGTTCTTTGTCGAAAGGGCTTTTTCCGCCAAAGCAAAAGCTTTCGGCGACCAGATCGTCTCGGACATCAAGGATCAATTCGTGGAGAAACTAAAGGTCACCGACTGGATGGAGAAGGAAGTCATCGAGCTTGCTATCAACAAAGTGCATAACATCGTTCAGAAAATCGGATACCCAGATAAGGTTGGACTATGATCTCCTCTGACACGCGCATCTTGAAAACCTAGCTGACAAAGTACTTTCAGAGCCCTAACATCCTAGACCCAGAAGCGCTGCACGATTACTATAAGCCTGTAAAGGTCAACGCGTCGACCTTCTTTGAAAACGCCGTCTCCATGACCCGTCTTGAGGTTGACCGCGAATGGTCTGCATTGGGCAATCCTGTCGATAGGGACCGATGGTACCGAACCCCCGCCCACCAAAGCTTCACGCTCTGAAACAATGACCCATAACTGACACCATATAACAGGGACATGACGGTGCCCACAGTGAATGCATGTACGTTCTCCTTCGGGTCCAACATATACCGTTTCGTTCAAGCAGCGCTGACATTTACCCCCCAGACTACAACCCACCTGGCAATGAGATCGTCTTTCCGGCCGGTATAATGCAATTCCCCGTCTTCGACGTCGACGTGCCTCAATACCTCAGTTACGGTGCCTTCGGGTCGGTCTCCGGCCACGAGCTCTCCCACGCCTTCGACTCCACCGGCCGCCACTACGACCAAAACGGCAACTACACAGACTGGTGGACGGACAAGACGGTCGCCAATTTCAAGCAGCGCGCCGATTGCTTCGTCGACCAGTACCACAACTTCACCATCGACGGCAGGGACGGCAAACCGCTGCACGTGAACGGCAAATTGACGCTTGGCGAAAACATCGCGGACGCGGGCGGTCTTGCTGCGGCGTTTGCCGCGTGGAAGAAACGTGCCGCGGAAGCGCCGAATCTGAATCTGGACCTACCGGGCCTCGACTTTTTCACGCAAGAGCAGCTGTTCTTCGTGTCGTATGCCAATTGGTGGTGCGGGAAGACCAGACCCGAGACGGCCATTCAAAGGATCTATACCGATCCGCATGCGCCCAAGTGGGCGAGGATCTTGGGGACCATGGCGAATTCCAGAGATTTCAAAGAGAGCTTCCATTGCGAAGAAAAGAAGCCGGTTTGTGAGTTGTGGTGATCTGCCAAAGGCACGGATCGGGGAAATGAGGCTCACAGCAATATATGTGCGCGGATTTGCTTGGGCCTTTTTCTTGGTCATTGGGTTGGTGACTCACAAAAATACCGATATGTGCATAACACGGGCATGAGTGACAGAAAAGGCTTTGATGTTCGGGGGGCATTTGTAAAAGTACGGAAAGTAATACTCGTAGTCCAGGAGAGTCTGATCGTGGAGCTTTTGATTAATCGGTTTCAAGAGTGTTGTTTACATACGTCCAATATCCACTCGATCTAGAGGGGCCTTGGTCACATTGATTCGTTCAAGGAGCACCAACATCCCAAAGTACCATATAGTAGCAAAAACCCTTACGGCATTCAGACGTGACTCGTTGAGTTAGCGTGCGATCGAGTCCGGTTGCGAATATGGCAGCTGGTTCTGTCCTGTTCCCTTTGCCATGCCATTCAGCAGCCCAGCCCAGCCCAGCCCGTCTTCAGCTGCTCGGTGTCTTCTCCCAGATTTCGTCAAGACCGACACTCTCCAGGCATAACTCCTAATGGAGCGCAAGCTCCGCAACCGAGCTCGATCGTATGGCTCTGAGTCTGCAGCGAGTCATAGTGTGTAGCAGTATTCTTCAGCAGCAGGAACGACGAAAGCCATGAGTACTTAGCGACGCATGAGCCGACGACCCTCCGAGCTTAGCAGACTTGCAGCTATGATGTTTCCCAAGGTGCCTCCCAGGGTTAGTCAGTGTTGAGCTGAGCCGAACCGAGCCATCAGAGCAGATGTGCTGCTTTCTTGTATGGATGGATTGTTTCGCACGACCGCCGATCCCAGCTTGCAGAACGTAAGCTCGAATTCATCATGGGCTTCATGTCTTCTCAATCGAAAACCGCACATCGACGTCGCCCTGCCCAGGTGGTATCGCGTTGGAGTCCTCGTTGAACAGAGTCCGTTCGAAGAAGCGCACATTGAAATCCTTATCAGCTAGAATTACGGTCTGCTTTTGTGTACCGTATAGGCCAGTGACACCTAGCTGCCGAGCCTTTTTGGACGGATTCATCGAGGGACTATTATTTCGCACCGGCGTGTTGAAGCCCACCACATCGACTTTCTCATGCAACCTTGCCGCGGCGACCTCGTCGTCTGGCAGATGCATCTCCCTACGGCCGATGGTGGGGACGTAAATCGAATGGCGAAGGTCCGGGATATACGCCTCCAAGCCCGCACCGTCAGGTTTGCCTTCTCTCGGCAATGTCTCGTGGCTGAGCAGGTCGAGAAATCTTTGGATCAGCTGATCTTCACTTTCGTCGTTCTCGATATTGTGCCGGATTGTATTGAGCATGAGCTCCTCACCGAGTAGGACTTTGTTCCAAGTGCGGTCTGAGAAGGCAGCGTTGCTCAGGCCGACAGTATGCACGACGTCGCCGGCAATCCAGGGTACTTGACTTTGGTCCTCGGCGCGGTTCGATATGACAGCCAACTTTTGGCCGATCTCGCCACAGACAAGACTGAAGCCTCCTGCATCCTTGGCGATGCCGGTGTTGACGACATGCTGAACAAATTCCTCCACGGGCCCAACGTCCTCAGCGAGGAATTTCTTGATGATCGCTCCGCGACTAATGGCGGACGGTGGCGGCGTGGTGTCTTCACGGTAGTTGGTCAGCACAGCGATCTTGCCGTTTTTCGTTACTCCGAGCCACGTGCCATGGATGTCGCGGAGCATATCCCGACCACCGAGGACGTGAGAGTGAGGGTCTGGCCACCATCTTGCTGGGTCGGTCGGGCGATCCAGATATTCGTCTCGGTTGTCGAGTAGTATCAGTGGATATGACGGGTGTGCCGTCGAGATGAGTGCGATGCACATTTGCGAGAGACGGGTCTGCTAAAGACAGTTTTGATCTTGGGCCCGAGCACTTGTCGGCAATATTTGAAGAGTGGAACAAAGGAAATAATGAGGCTTATATCCCGGAGAGAGGTATTGTTGAGTGAGTCCGTTCACATGACCTGTTTTGTTGCACCAAATGTAACGGTTTGCCACACCGATCCGGTGAGGAATTTCCTGTCGTTGTACAAGGCCAATCAAGTGATTGGGCTATGATGTTTGAATCTTCTTTATTGTCCTCCAGTTCTAGAAGTATCGGCTTCAGCTGACCTGGAATTCGTCTGCAGGCAGGAGGACAGAATGAAAACAGGAGCGAAGGAACAAGCCGAGGCTGTCAGAAAACGGACGGGCCAAGCTTGGCCATGCGAGGGGATTACAACGAGGACTTCTTCGTAGAGGTCAGAACAGCTACTCGTAGGACACTGCTGCGTATAGTATACCCAGTATGCAGAGCACCGATTCGGGCGGTTCGCTGGCTGCTTCGGCGTCCTTTTCACGCATCACTTTGAGAAGGACGAGAGCTTGATTGACATCATCCTTGGGGCAACTTCCTTTCAGGTCATCCCGGTCCGCAGGAGAGATGTGAACGGTCAAGCATAGGCTCTCCATCGTCGGTCCCTGAAGGAGATACACGCGAAGGCAACATCGTCGAAAGAAGCGTGATTGTGGTCATATCAACGTTGCAACAATGTTGTGGAGCTACAGCCCACCGAGCTCTGGCTATGCTTGCATCAAAAGGCTCTGTCACCCGCTTTCACGGTTGTGAGTATTCCAAGATTTGCCAGCCTCTCGATCAAGCTGTACAACATCTCATCACAGCCTCTCTTGGCAACCAAGCCTATGGTCACTGGTATCATCTCCTCCTTCTGGGTCATTCTACTCCAGTAAGGCGCTTCGCCAATTGGTACCGTCATATCCACGCAGCCAAAGAATGGGCAAAAGTCTCCGGAGGTGCCTGCCGTTCCGGGTGGTGCAAGAAAGCTAGCATAAGGGCCATGGTTCAGGTCTTCTTCGCTATACGCTGGGAGGCCACCGGCTCCAATGTCGGAGAGAATTACCGACTCCGAGCAAGAGTCCGGAGTGCTGAAAAGAATTTCTTGTTCGTTAGCCTCGGCAGCTATTCTTCTGATGTCGCGTGCTGCTTTATGCATTTCAGCAGTATATGCAGCGCTCACGAAAGTATCCCGCATGGGTTGCTCCAGGGGAGGATAACCGCCATAGCGAGCCTCAAATGTACTGATTAATGGCTTCCCAACCAGCTGGATCTGCTCGTAGACCCACATAATATTTAAATTTGACAGTAATCTTGGGAGCGTGAAGCCGGGGGGCTGAGGAAGTGACTCGATCTTTTCTGTCCAGTTGAACGTTTCAACCGTCATGTCCAAGGCAGTGGTTACTTTGGCGAGGAAGTCCTGCAGAACTTTCTCGGCAGCGGGATTTTTTAATGGGAGGTAATCGACCGGATAGAGTATTCGCTTGGGCAAGCCAATGTTATGACCCGTATCATACATTGGTAAGCCCGTAAGAGACGTGTCCTGGTATAGTTCCGGAGTGTACCATAGCCTGGAGAAGTTGACCCACTTGTGAGGATCTCGGCAGAAGACCCCTGCGGTATCTGTCGAGTAGCTGATAGGTGTCACGCCTTCAAGACTCATTCGACCTACTGAAGGTCGCTGTCCATATGTGCCAGCCACCGCAGCAGGCCGACGCATAGAGGTGCCTGTATCCGAGCCGATAGCGTAATCAAGCCAATCATAGGCGGCAACGGCACATGCGCTGCCCGCGGATGAGGCCGAGCAGGAGAGCCAACCGTCAGCGCGAGGGTTTAGAGGGGGACGAACATCGTCCCATACCCAAGGCTCGCCTGCGCTTGCAAACTGCGACGTCTTGGGCTTCCCGACTATCACACCGCCTAGATCGAGCTGCACGAATGAATAAGCCATTAGAAGAGAGAATTCTGTACCGCACTTACAATCCTCTGAATCGCAGGAGCAGTGGCGTTGGCAGGGTCGGTGATCATCGTCCATGCAATGCTTCCGGACGTCGTCACAAGGCCTTTAATATCGAAAATGTCCTTAATCCCAAATCTCTGGCCAGCCAGCGGTCGATGGTCGGTCCAACTATATATTCTGGACGGAACCCTGCCAAAGTGAGCATTCAGTTTGCATTGACCAGGCCTTCTCACACTTACGGGATGGCCGGAGTGGGCCATTCTGGACTGAAAAATCCAAGTGACCGGTAGGCTCCACTACCATCGTCTACCGGATAAACACCATCGACAAAAGCACGAAATTTGTCAGTATAGAGCCTGGAAACGCTCGAAAGTGAGAGTCGCTCATCATGAAGTACCGCGGCATAAGGTCCAGGAGGTAAGGAGCGTAAATACGTGGGGTTTAGGATAGTGACCGGCAGAGATGGGCTAATGATACTGGCAAGCTCGTGGAACTCCGGACTGAGGAAGACGTGCGATGGTGCGAGAGTCTCCAGGTATGCGATGGCCGACGTATCAAGCCCTGAAGTGGCATTTGAAGAGGTGATGAGTATCACCTCCAGAAAGTCAGGGTTGAAGACATCGTCGGCCTGGGTGTAACGGCCAAGAACGTCTTCCAGGAATTGACCAGTCACCACTGGCGCCTCCGCGATTATATGGGTAAGTGGAAAGGTGACATCCTGAGCATCTTCTAAACGTGGCACGGGTTGAATAGAGACAGGATGAAGAGTATCTGTAAGATAGATAATTTCGCCCAGTTGGAAGAACTCTTCACCTCGGGCTTTGGTGTCGATGTGCTTGAGTTTATTGCGACTCGGCGACCGGTTTGCACTCGCAGAGGCCGATGCTCCCGCAATTGCTAGGACCGCCAGCAGACGTGAGAAAATCATTGAGAAAAGAGAAACCAAGGATGGGCACTTGCAGATTAGAGGAGCGGATGCAAACAAACAATGCTAAGCCTCTTTTGGGGGGATGCTATCGATAAAGCCCAGGCAATGGCGGGGCACTGGGTGGGCGTGCTCGGGCGTGGTGGGCACAAGGCTGAAGCCATTGGCAGCAAGTAGGATGAGCTCATCGCCCGTCGTCCTGCGGGCTTGGGATGCCTGGCTGCTCACAAGATCTCCCTACATCTGCATCTTCCCGCCTCACCCTGGTCAGGCACCCCCAATATGTGAACCTCTCTGTCTCTGAGGACAAAGAAAAGAAGAGGACACATCGCGATACTCCAGAATTGACATGTTTGCTGCCTTGCCTTGGCCCTCTTCCTAAGAAATACATAACCTGTTGTACCTCCCACTCTCCTCTTCACTCCTCTTACCTTTCACCGCATGTCCGCTGTTCTGGCTGACCACAGTACCTCCGACTCATCATGTTCGGAATCATAGCAGACCTCATTGCGTAAGTATACCACCACCGTTACAGCAACCCTGTCACACAGACACTGATGCACTTTCCAGTTCTATTACCACCTTCGTCCTCCCGGCCTATCTCTCCTACAAAGCCCTGCGTACCAATGATCCAGCTCAAACACATCCGTGGCTCATCTACTTCACCATCCTCTCCCTCACTCTTCTTTTCGAATCATGGACGATCTTCATCATAGGCTGGATCCCTTTCTACGCTTGGATTCGACTGTTCTTCCTCCTCTACCTCGTGCTGCCTCAAACTCAAGGAGCAAAGATCCTCTACCTTGACTACCTCGAACCATATATCGTTGCCCATGAGACCCGCATTGACCAATTTATTGGCGAGACTCACGAAAGACTGCAACAGATGGGCCTGGGCTATATTAATGTCTTGATTGAATTCATCAGGGACAAGATTTTAGGCCAGAAGAGCCCGCAAACTGAACAATCAACACAACCCGGTGGGCCTAGCTATGCAAGCTATGCACAAGATCTGCTGTCTCGCTTTGCCATGCCTGGTGCGAGAACAAGTCAGCCGAACCCGCCCGGCACTTCGTCTGCAAGCGTCTACAGCATGGTGTCCACCTTTGCGGGTGCCGCGTTCGCAGGGTCATCATCCCGCTCAGCAGCCACTGAAGCTGCGGCCATACCCGGTTCTTTTCTTGATCTTATCCCGGGAAGTAATTCGGCAGAAAAGCAGACTTTCATCTCGGCACAGCGCGAGCGACTGGCGGATATGCTCAAGACCCTCGAAAAGGAACAACAGACCCTCGATCTTGCATACGGCTCCGCGCCAGGCCATCGACCACCAAGCTCTGGTGGGCTGAAGACCAAGTCAAGAAGCGAAGTCTCTTTTGAGAATGTCGATTACGACGAAGCAACACAACACACGCCAGGTTCGTCGCCGCCGAGACCAGTCACCGAGGGTCATCGAACCACGAGTGGGAACTGGTTGCCAGCCGGCGTAAGTGGTTGGTTTGGAGGTGGTGGTGCTGCTTCTGGCAACAATGGTGAGGAACGTACCGAGAGACCAAGAGAAGCATCTAAGGGATGGACATCTGCGAGAGACATCACCGAAGAAATATCGAGAGGCATGAGGAGCGGAGTTGACACAGACAGATCATAGTGAGGATACATGCTATGTACTTGGATGTGATGACGCATGACAATGTAGTACTGATGATGTCTTGCTCAGGTTGTAAGCCACGACCGGAATAGAAGAGTGGTGAACAGCTCAGAGAATACCATTGCCTTTTCGCAATATCCGGAAAGATTAGCTTATCCTAAAACGTGTAATGCTGATCAATTCCAGACAACAAATATCCCGTGGTATCTGGCATACATCGACCTGAAGTACACATGTCCTTTGTCCATATACAAAATTCCCATGTTCCACCCATCCGGTGCGAATGCCCGAGTTCGCACATATCCCAAGAGAAATCGTTCCAAAGTTTTGTGACAAACGCCAGTCCGGTTGTCGAAATAAAGAGTCATAAACATCGCATTACCATACCCAACGTAGATTCCGAGGCCCGGCCTGTGTTACTGCTACTGCTGTTGCTGTTCATTCGCTGCTGTCCCCCTCCGCTCCGTATGAATCCTAAATCTCTCTCTAAACCGCCTCGTCAGACCGGATCGCTCTTCATCCGATTGTCGATGCGTATTCGAGGATAGCCCTTCCTGCCTGAACCGCCGCAGCGCAGCGATCCGATCTTCTCTGGACCCGTGCGCGAGGCGGCGTAGGTTGGCAATCGTTTCCCTGCGTCCGCCACGGTGTGTGCCTTCTTCACCGGAGCTACCACCACCAGCGCTTGCCAGCGGCGGGGGCAAAGTGCCATCGTGACCGGCCGACATGGTGGCGTCGGAATTGCTCCGTTGGGCCTGCACTTGAGCTTGAGCCTGACCTAATGCTTGAGGGTCTGCGGCTTCGCCTTGCGGTCTCAAATCGATCCGACATAGCGGACATGTGCCACTGACATTGAGAAGCCAGGGGTCGACGCAGTCTGGATGGAATTTGTGGTTACACGGCAGCACGCGGACTTCTTCGCCCTTGGTGAAGTCTTCGGTGCAGATGGAGCAGCCGAGGTGTCCTTCCGCGTCGGTACCGTCGGGGTTGTTCGTCGCGATGATGGCTTGTGCTGCTGTTCGGTCCCCGCCGGTGTTGCTGTCTGTTGTGCTGAGGCTGTCTGTACCGGCGCCGGCGACCATGGTGGTGTCTGTGTCGACGGTGTTCGTTGCGGGGGAAGTGGTTCCGGCTGCAGCGTTCATTTCGATGTCGGCGGGTTGTTTCTTGGGAAGGTCCTCGTGGTCGCCGAACTTGACAATGGGAAGGGTCTCGAGCATGGCGCGGGCGACGCCCTTTGCGCGACTTTGCCGGCCTCGTCCGACGATGTTGCGGGGCCCGTAGCGCTCGGGGTGTCGATGTGCACGGATGGCGCCGGTCACGATGATCACCACGAAGAGGGCGGTGATGACACCCGTGATGGAATATAGGATGATCATGGCGACTGCTGTCGTTGGCGATTGGCCGAGAGAACTACTCCCGTTCCAACCGCCGCTTGAAGAGTTGGTATAAGAATTCAGGTCGGGGAGAATGCTAGCCGTGCCGGTACTGGCTTGGTTGAGGGCCAGTTGGGCCAGGCTGCTTGCTGTCATTGTGTCTGTTGTAGTAAGGATGCCGCCAATCGTGGGGAGGTTGCCGAGGCCGGTTGCCGCGCAGTGATCGCTTGTTTCACTGTAAAGGATGACGATGTTGGCTCGAGGTGAATTCACCACGATGCGGAATATGGCACTGGCATCCAGGTTGCCACCGCTATATGCTTCCGGGTCACAAGACAGGTAGGAGAATTGCTCGACATCAGCGACGTCGTTGGCGTTGCTTGCATCGACGTTGACCAGGTGTCCGTCGACATCGACCTGAAGGAAGTTATCGTGTGACATTTCTGCGTACACTCCCAAGGGGGCCAATCGGACAGGCGGTATGTCTGGGAACTCGGTGCCATTCATAATGAATCTGGGTGACGTCGACGCCGGATAAAGATCTTGAGAGCTGTTCGAGGGTGTAATCGTCTGGGCGTATGCGGTCGAGTATAGCATCGACAGCCCCGCGATAACGGTGGCTACCCATCTTTCAGAGACTCGGAAGGTATGCATTTTCCCGGTACGGTGTCACCACAGAGCCGTGTCTCCCAGATAACAGTGTCCTGCTTCTTCTTATAGATCCGCCACACAGTTGATGCGGCTTCCGGGAGAGTGGGTTTCGTGGAATCAAGGCACGCAACCCTGAACGGAAGCAATTATATGGTGGATATAGACGATGAGGATCTTATTAGATTGTACTGGATGCCCAGCGATTGACTCATTGCTCGATAGAAGAGGATTTAGCCGAATCGATCGGTGGGACAAGGCACTGCTTATAACGGCAGAGTCATATGTACGCTGGAACTCGGCCAGGAATCCTGAGGGCAAAGGGTCGCGTGGAGAGAAGCGAGCGGTTGAGCGAAGCACGAAAAGGGGATGAGAAAGGGATGAAAATGATTTGGAAACGCTGCTTGAGGCTGTGCTGAGACGTGAGACTCTCGCGACCGCAAGTGTTTCGTATTGGAAGAGGTGATTGTCGCAGAAGGTGCAGTGCAGATGACGGGATGACCGGGTACCGGGATAGCGGACGAGCCAGGGTTTTTGACGGCCCAGTAAAGGACCAGTAGCCCGCGTATGCGCAGTAAGAGGGTGTGGGGGTGGGATAAAGTCTTGTTGGTGTCTACTCGGATCGATCTACTCAGTTCGGAGTACTGTACCACTCTGAACGGGAACACGGGTGGTGAGGTTGTGCACGGCAGATGGATGACCGCGCCACGGGCGTGTTCGCAACTGCGTATACGCTGACTGGAAGCATTTGTGCTTGACTTCCTTTTTTACTCGTACCTCGAGCATTATTGCCAATACGGATATCCTTGACGCCCAGAACAAAGCACAGCAGAGCATAGCCCCTTCAGTCCCTTCTTTTGGTGAGCGAATATGTGATTGCTCCCGCGTATGCAGGGGTCCTTACCACTCTTGTGGGCACTAAACCAAGAGCCTAGTGAGCCTAGGTGGTAAGCCATCCAGCCCTGGGTGCCGCCTATCCAACAGATATCCGGCTTCAAAATCTGGGCCATCTGGTCCGTGACCCAAGTGTCTTACCAAGCATAATCGGCCCAGTTGGGTGCCAGACTGCCAGTCATCCATGGTTTAGGTAAAAGCATGGTCTTCCCCAGATTCCCGGATTCCCAGATTTATCATAAGCTTGCACAGATGTCACGATCCGTAATCACGCTGGCAACACATTGGCCTAGGATTGCCTCTTTCCACCGCCGAGCAGCAGTCCCTATCAGGCCACCAAACCATGACTGTTGCATGCAGGCTTCGGAAGCTTCTTCAACGCGGCCAGAGACAACTGTTGGCATTTCTTGTGGCCAAGCGACTCAGCCTTTACCAAGGTCTTGGGTCCCATAGGATGCGAGCATTGACAGGCGGGGCAGATTCTCGCCACAAACATATCGACAATTGATCTCTCTTGCCATTATTATTCTTCTCATAGAACATGCGGATTGCCCATCTTGCCAAGCGTTTAACGAAAGCAAAGGTATGGAGCAACTATTCAGTCCCCCGAAGAGCGTGGAATAGACAGTAAGCTGGCCAGGCTACCTTGTCTACGCCTGGATGATGCTCATCAGATGGAGGAAGGCGCCCTGTGGCTCGCAGCCTCTTCGTTTGTTTCGTCAGGAAAACTGTTTACTCGTCGACGAAGTTTCGATCTTTGTCCCCTTAGAACTTGCTTGGACACAGTACTCGCACTGAAACCGCATTGACTAGGTGTGTTAGTTGGTATGGCGGCCAACCACCAGGTACTATCGCTCGCTATGCACTCCAGAGCCTCGAGTACGTAAGACGGGCATCGACGTCATCACGAGAAAAAAGCTGTCGTTGCGTTGACCACCGAGCTCCCCTATCAAGTCCCTTCCTTTCGAAACTTTTGCAAACGCCGTGCTCCTCGTCCACGTTTTAGTATATGCTGAAGTCAATCCATGCAATAGATCCTTTGTCAAAATGTCTGGTTGGACACTCATCCCGCTCTTAGTCTTGGTGGCATCCTTAGCCGCAGCCTTACCCGCTCCACCATCCCAAGCACCCATCATACAAGACCACTCGCAAGGCTATGAATTTGACGAACTCCTCCATCTCCCTGGCATCTCACCGTATTTTGATGCTGTTGGTTTCGGACTGGAGCACACTCCTCCTCCAGGCTGCAGAGTCACCGCAGCTTCCTACCTAATCCGCCACGCCGCAATTTACGCCAACGACGACGAATACGAGAAATACATCAAGCCGTTCTTGTACAAGCTCGAGCAACACCGCTCAGGATGGTCCGGCCCACTCGAGTTCATGTCCCACTGGGTATCACCGATTCTTGAGGATAAACTTGAGGACGTCACACCTTCTGGCAAGGAAGACGCCATGAAAGTCGGCAGCCACCTGGTCAAACGCTATCCTCATCTTGCGCCCACCGTAAAACGGATCCTCGCCGACAAGAAGCCACGAACCTACGATACCGCGCAAGCTTTAGTCAGAGCCTTCCCCAAGCCTTCCGACATCGAAGTTGTGCGCATCACCCAAAACACGAACGGCAGCATGGACTCCTTGATCCCGCACAAGTCTTGTCCAGCATTCACCAAGCAACCCGGCACTGACGAGATGGCTAAATTCGTGTCCCACTATGCAGCCCATGTGTCGGAGCGTCTCGCACGCTTCACGCCCTTCAACTTGACCGACAACGACATCGTCGGCCTCCAAGGCCTGTGCGGCTATGAATCCGCGATCAACGGTGAAAGAAGCCCGCTCTGCGCCATCTTTACCGACGCAGAGTGGATGGCCTACGAGTACGCCTGGGACCTGAAGTACGCGCACATGGTCGGTCCATTGAATCCATTGTCGCCGTACTTGGGCTACCCATGGCTACAGGCACAGAGTGAATTGTTTCAGCAGATCGACAGCGGCGCCGACTTGAATCCTGAGTCAGGGTGGCCACCAAAACAAAGATTGTTCCTGGGCTTCACGCACCGCGAAGTCCCACCGTTCGTAGCCACTGCATTGGGTATTTTCAACTCGTCGTCGCTGGCGGTCGAGCAGTTCCCGACAGATCACGTCAACTGGGTGCGCGCGTGGCGCATGAGCGACCTCATACCGTTCCTGGGCCACGTGGGCATGGAAAAATTGACGTGTGACGACAGATCCGGTCGCGAGGGCGAGTATATTCGCGTCATTGCCAATACGGCCCCAAGGCCGATTCCTTTTTGTCAGGATGGTCCTGGTGCGAGTTGCCCGATGAGCGACTGGGTGGATTTCATCGCCCAGGGCGCGGAGGAGTTCAAGGATCATGGAAAGGTGTGTAAGAAGGAATCTAAAGAGAGAAAGACGTAGAGTGGAGGGACGACGTCCGGTGTACCTTATGTAGTACCTCGGTCATGTTTTTGCAGACCTCAAGATGCATGCTAGAGAGGAGAATAGTACTCCGTAGGAAGTCATGAGGGTTGGGAAAGTGAAACTACCACTAATAAAGCTGGTCCGCCTGTTGATCCTTTCGGCGTGAAAATGTGGAACCGCTACCGGCTGAATATCTCAAGCCCAACGGGTCCAAACATAACGTTCATTTAGATCCGAAGGTCCAAGAAACCACCCCCCCCCCCCCCCCCCCGGGGAAATGGACATTACAACGAGTCCAAACCATCTCATAATAGTATGCTGCCACGCCATCTACACAGGCGGACCAGGTGGCAGTGCCGAAGAATCGAATTGGTTGATCGAGCCGTTCCAGCGAGGCGAAACGGGGACGTATATTGCGCATATTGAGGCCGGAGTTCGCGAGTTGAGTAGAGACAAGGACGCGATATTGGTGTTCAGTGGAGGAGCGACGAAACGAGATAGGACGCAACGGAGCGAGGGAGAGGGATATTTGGTAAGTGTAGTACTCAACGTGAAGATTCATGGGTCCGTTGCTAGACACTGGGCAAAGCATGCGATGCGATGCGGAGCCGCATAAAATTGCACTTCCATGCCTGCACCTTCTGTCTAGACGCCATGGCGCTGGGGCAGGGTTTCATGCTTGCATCGAAAAAGGCTGGGACGAAGCGCAGCAGGACATGGCATTGGGGAGAGACCCCGGTTGGCTAACTGTTGGACTTCTACGCCAGGCCGTCGCTATCGAACGCAACCTCTTCAGCTTTGACACCACTCCTCCTTCTCTCCAGCAAAGAATATTCATCGACCGCTACGCCACAGATTCATACCAGAATATCCTCCTCAGCCTGGTACAGTGGCCGTTGTTCGTACGGCAAGTCCTCTGCAATGATTTACCTTCCAAGCAGTCGACCGGCAGTGAGATGCCGTGGCCTACAAAACTGACGATCGTGTCACATGAATTCAAGCGCGCACGCTTCCTGGAGCTGCATTTACCTGCGATCGCGTGGAACCGTGAGACGGTGTTTGTGGGGATTGATCCGCCTTTTGACAGAGTAAGGATGGCGGAGATCGAGGAAGGGGATAGGCTGAGAGGATATGGGGCGTGGAAGGGGGATCCGTATGGCATTGGCGGGGTGCCAAGGGGGAAGAGGGTGAAGAGGGGATGGGATGGGAACGTCTTTCGCCGGGAAGTTCTAGACAGCTTGGGCGGCATGAGCGTGAAGGAGGAGCTGGAAAGAGTGGTCTTTTGGGATGGAGGAGGAGGAGAGGGACGGCTACTAGAGGGCGTCAGTGTGCCGTGGGCATGAGGGAAAGGCAGTGCTGGAGGGCCAGAACGAGTACTACAAACGTGACAGCGTGAAAGCTACGCATGGGCAGGGAGCACTCCGGGAAGGTAGCGTCTTCGTCTCTCTGCAGGATGGCACCAGTCCGCTTTCTCGATAAGATAGTCTCAGCAGCTGCCGGACAGTGCAAAGCCCTTGCCATGCTTCCGCTGCGTTGGCGACGAATTCTCATCTGTAGGTTGATTGTGTCGTAATGGGGAAGATTGGCGCCGCAGCAGAGTTGGCACAAAATCGTCAACAAGGTGTTCTCTAGGTGGCTCATGTTCTAAGAGTAAATCCCATCAGAAATTCCAGGGCTACTGGTGTCGCGTCAAAGTTGGTTGGTCCATGCCTTTGCTCGTCGTTGTCCAGAGGGTAAGTTGTGGGCCAGCCATGCCCAAAGCCTGCAATCTTATAATGCTGGACGACATCTGCAGCATTCTTCGAACTCCAAGAGATCTTCTCGGCCTTACCACCAAAGAGCTTTTGGACCTTCGGCTCCTCGATGCATTTGTTCAGTTTGACCCACTTTTCGACATAGTCCCGAATGTTGTAGCTTGGACCGTCGGGCGTGCCTTTTCCATCGTAGTGCTCGACTGGATCAGAATCGCCATGGAACTCCAAGATCGGCACCGGGAGCCTTGCAGGACTTGGATGGCTGAACAAGGGCTCCTTCAACGCTTCATCCTGGTAGAAGGCGCCTGAAGAGATTGCATAGGCCGCTATACTTGCTGAGGCAACAGGATCACCCGCTAATAGAGCAGCCAGGCCACCGCCATTGGAAAAGCCCACGACATAGATTCTGCCGGGATGAATGGCAAAGTCCTTGGAGACGTGCTCGATGAGTATGTTGATAAAGGAGATGTCGTCCACCTCACTTCTCGATGGAGCTTCTGGATCTCCAGTCCATTGAAGCTAGAACGATCAGATCAGTCTTCGTGCGCAGTTGCACTGCGCCAGAGTTTCCGCACATTGATTCCCTCTGGGTAAATCACTATTGCACGCTGGTTGGTCTCTTCGTTGGAAAGCTGAGTATGATACTCAAACTCTGAGGGATGTTGTCCTTTGCCGTGTAGGGCAATTATCAAGGGAGTTGGTTCATGGGCGTAAGATGATGGAACGTGTATCAAGGCACGCCGTGGCGACGGGTGAAGTCGAGCATCTTGGAGTTTCCAAGGAATTGATTCATCACTGTCGTCCCGATTGGGGCCCTCGTGCTCCGCCATTGTGGCTTGTATGGCTACAAATGAATCCTCTCTGATCACTAGTGCCCAAGAAACAAAGCACCAGCTGAGGCTGACGACGACGACGACGACGATGATGATGATGATGAAATCCCGTTGGCCGTACGGAGTTGTGTTCACGTAAGGTAGGCACGGTAGGTATTGTCTCTATCAACTTCGCGCTAGGCAATAACCTGGAGTTGATCGAATCACATGGCAGCAATTCTGTCGCTAACCAAACCGGGCTTGGCCCAAATTCTCCTCCGAAGCAAAGACTCACCAGGCCCATGTTTGAAGCTTCGCCGTCGTAGGTTCTCGGTCTATTTCTCAGCACTTTTGCCTCCCTTCAGCGTCTTTGGGTGACTTGTATCATTGTGGGCGACGGTTTTTGTCGCTTTCTTTCCTTGTTCTTCACACCTCCGATTATTGGGTATCGTCCTCCACTATGCTCAAGACTCTAGTCCCTCGGGCGAGCCGATCGCTACTCTCGACGAAAGCTCCGCAGTTTGGTCCAGCGAACCTCCGAACAGCCCCCAGCTTCCAGATATTGTCACAGAACCAACAACGGAGACGAGGCTATGCATCTGAAGCTTCAGACTACGATGTGGTCTTCATCGGTGGCGGTGTCGCAGGCTACGTCGGTGCGATCAAAGCTGGACAAGAAGGTCTCAAGGTAAGCATTTGAGACTCTCAAGGACCCTTACACAGGGCAGGAGTTGACTTTATATGTAGGTTGCTTGTATCGAAAAGAGAGGCATGCTCGGTGGCACATGTTTGAACGTCGGCTGCATACCCTCGAAATCCCTGTTAAATAACTCACACCTCTACCACCAAATATTACACGACACGAAAAAGCGTGGCATTGACGTTGGAGATGTCAAACTCAACCTCACCCAAATGATGAAGGCGAAAGATGAGTCGGTTACTGGTCTGACGAAAGGTGTGGAGTTTCTGTTCAAGAAAAACAAGGTCGACTACATCAAGGGCACTGGATCCTTCAAGGACGAGCACACTATCGCAGTCAATCTGATAGATGGAGGCGAAACGGAAGTCAGGGGCAAGAACATTGTTATCGCTACCGGCAGCGAGACGACGCCCTTCCCGGGACTGGAGATTGACGAGAAGAAAGTCATCACAAGCACCGGCGCAATTGCGCTGCAAGAAGTGCCCAAGAGAATGATTGTCATTGGCGGAGGTATCATTGGTCTTGAGATGGTGAGTAGGCGCAGAAATAAATATCCGCAAATAGGCTGACACCCTCGGACAGGCATCAGTATGGTCGCGCCTCGGCTCTCAAGTCACTGTCGTCGAGTTCCTCGGCCAGATTGGCGGACCAGGCATGGACGCCGAGATTGCCAAACAGGCGCAGAAGATCCTCGGGAAACAAGGCATCAAATTCAAGACCAACACGAAGGTCACAAAGGGCGATCCCAGTGGTGACCTTGTCAAGCTTGAAGTCGAAGCAGCCAAGGGTGGTAAGAACGAGACCCTCGAAGCGGAAGTCGTACTCGTTGCTATCGGACGCCGCCCTTACACCGACGGGCTGGGGATCGAGAACATCGGCATCGAGATGGATGAGCGCAAACGCCTGGTGATCGACCAAGAGTACCGCACCAAGATCCCGCACATCCGCTGCATCGGCGACGTGACGTTTGGCCCCATGCTCGCGCACAAGGCCGAAGAAGAAGCCGTCGCGGCTGTGGAGTATATCAAGAAGGGCTTCGGACACGTCAACTACGGCGCCATTCCTTCAGTCATGTACACGCACCCGGAAGTCGCGTGGGTGGGCCAGAACGAGGCCGAGCTCAAGGCCGCCGGGGTCAAGTACAGAATCGGCACGTTCCCCTTCACCGCGAACTCGAGAGCCAAGACCAACCTCGAGACGGAGGGCATGGTCAAGTTCCTGAGCGATGCGGAAACGGATCGCATTCTCGGGGTGCATATCATCGGGCCCAACGCGGGCGAGATGATCGCCGAAGCGACGCTGGCGCTCGAGTACGGCGCGTCGAGTGAGGATGTCGCCCGGACGTGCCATGCTCATCCCACGCTCGCTGAGGCCTTCAAGGAGGCCGCCATGAGCACGTATAGCCAGGCCATCCATTTCTAAACGAAGAGAGAGAGAGAAAGTGGGGGAGAGAGCTTTCTGTGGTTGATGGGTTAGCGTTAATGGTCCGCGTTCTTGGTCTCGCAGGACTGGTCTTTCGCTGCGTGGCATTGCCGTAGTCCTTCCTTGTCAGGGAGAGAGCTCAAAAAATGTAAATGTAGACTTATGCCTCGAACCTGATGGTTCATGCGAATTGATGAACCCATATTGCTATGTAGGTGTACGAGCCATACTGGATACCTCAGCCGTAAGATTAGTCAAGGCAACCTGTCTTGCTATGATCTGAAGGAAGAAGCAAACAGTTACAGACTGCCCGAATACAAAAGAGGAAATTGCTTAGGCAACGAAACTGCATCGATTTTTCTCATTATTCCTGAGCATCTACCCAGGTGTTGCCTACAAAGTTGAGCGCACTATGACACTTCATGCAGCACACCAAAATTCCACCCAAGCATCATAATCATACACATTAAAACTGCCAACCGTGAAGTTGCTGCATTGACCACATAGCACACACATTCCTGTTCGATTTGTTCTTTTTTTACGTTTGTGAATATTATTGTTTTTTGTGCGAGTTAACTCCATGACCAAGATAGCATAAGCCCAAATCTCAGAATACCGGCTAGTGCAGCAGGACCGAGAGTGAAAGCAGTCCGAGGCGCCGGGTATTTTGATGTCCAATTCTTGGTTTGGAATCCAGTTCGTTTCGAATGGCGGGTGTGTTTGTTATCGCAAGAGGATCATACTGAGATATCGTCAGCCGTTGCTTTTGCTATGGTGTTTGTCTAGGAGCATACGTGACGCAGATGGTCCTCAGAAGAAAAGTGTGTGTTTACCCTTTTTTCCAGCTTCTCTCTGCTCACTAATATTACACCTGAGACATGGCAGGCCCACCTCTTCCTCCGCGGAAACCTCTGAGGTTGACACCGCTGCTGCGGGAATCTAGAAGCGAGAAGACCAAGGAAGCCATCCAAGCGGCCCAGGCAAACCACAAGAAAGCGGTTGCGGCTTGAAGTTCCCGGCATCGGCCAGCACGGTCGTTGGCGCCGTTGGTAAGATGGTTGCTCGATGTGTATGACTATGCGACGGGGTTAATTATATCGATACGCATGGAACAGGGAAGGACGGGACATACGTCGTTACTGCAAGAATGAACTCCGAGTTCGGCAGCGGTGGCGACGGCAGCACAGAACAGGAAAATGCAGTTCAAAGCGTCGAGAAGGAGGGGAAGGAGAGCATGTCCCATAAAAGAGTCGCTCCAGGCGGCTGGGATCAGGTAGAAAAGCGAAAGCATGGCGAAGGCGGCCACGAACATGTCGTAGTTGACCAGGGAGGGGTTGCCGGCGAAGGCCATTGCGATCACATTGCCAATGAGAGACATGATGATGAGGATGAACAAGAACTGTAAATAGGTTAGAAGCCGTATGAATTGGCAGATAGAAGGAGCTCATCGTACCTGCGTCCCCCGCAGGATGAGGTTGAGCATTCGCGACACCATTTTTGCGGTTGTGTTGGATTCGGAGGGAGAAGTCTCGAATGGCGCGAAATAGGCGGTGCAAGAATCGAGGGATGTTAGCTAAGGATGCTAGGTGCAGGTGAAGATGCGCAGGTTGGTGGCGTAGCAGTGTAGGTGAGGAAAAGGAGTCAAATGGAAGAACTGCGGCAGGTTTGTTGTATGTAAGGTGTGAATGAGGTGACGAGGGCCAGCGGAACAGGGTGGAACGATGATGATGATGATGCTCTGGGGAGCTGCTGAGCTATTGACAAGAGCCACCCAGAGCTACTTTTTTTGCAGTGACGCGGCGGGCACCAGGCTTTGCTTTGCTTTGGGGCTTCGGAGGGGGGAACAAACAACGACGTCACGGAGTGGGTTCTGCCAGGTGACCTTCAGGAACAAGCACTGGAAGCTCGGTACAGTTTAGCACCTGTTAGGTAAGGCAAGCTGGGCAAGGTATGCGGTTTGTAGGGCAGAAGACCACCCGGAACAAAATCAATGAAATTTTCAAATTCCCGCAACACACCTGGGCAGGACACGCAGAGTTTATTGATGACTGCTACTGGAAATTTATGGTATCACTGTGGCGATGCCTGTCACGGTGTAGAATCGCAATGTTTTCATCATGGGTTTTCCAATTTATTGGTGAGGGCCAGCCAGTTTCGCCTTTCGCCTTCGCATTCCTGCCCAGCAACCCTCCAGTGCCCCTTCTTATGGGCTCACGCCAGCCTGTTACGAAGATCACGTGAAGCGCGCGGCTCCGGCAGATCCGACAAATGTCGTGCAGTGGTCGTCAGAGAAACCACCAGAAATCAAGGCCTGGGTGAAAACGCTACACAGTAATTTACGGGCAAGCTGAGGTGAGAGACTCTCTCGACCAATGCATGTATCGTGCCCACTGATCTTCTAAACCTTGCGAGCCTCGTCTGTCATCTGCCACATCTGCCTCCACCAGGGCTACTGTGTACGGTGACCATACAGATTTGTTGATCCCGCACTGCGCTTCTTGGGATCCGAGTTTATTGCCAAATAGCGCGCGCCACAGCTCACCCAGGCCGTCAACGACATCATAGGCTCCCCACGGCTCCCTCATAATTTCTCAAACGTCGGTGTCTTCTTTCGTAGTCCACTCATGATGGCTCTTTCGACATCAGTGCTTTGCACCATGGCCGCATTCCAGATCGCAGTGTAGTTGAGATTGTCTTCGACTGTTCGCCCCCATGCAGCGTCAAGGATGTTTTTCGTGCCTTGCACCGCCACGGGACTTTTGCTTGCGAGAAACTGTGCGAACTCCACGCCTTCCTTGATGAGCTCAGCCTTGCCTCCGCTAACCACACGACTGACAAAGTTGTTGACTTTCGCCTCTTCTGCACCAAATGGCCGTGCACTGAGGCACACTTCCTTGACCCAACTCGTCACGCCGCCTACCACTTTCGGAAGCCTGCTCAAGGTCCCAACATCCGCTGCCAATCCAATGTCGACTTCCTTGACACAAAATTGGGTATCGGATAGACAGAACCGGATATCGCATGCCGAGGACAGATCGATGCCAAGCCCATACGTATAGCCGTGCAGCAGGCCGATCACCGGCTTCTCGCAACGAGCCACAGTCGTGATGACTTCTTGTAGTTCGAATATATGTCGTCGTAGATGAGTCGCTTTTCGGGACGGGTCAACAAAATTCCCAGCTGCCAGGGGATTTCCCGGTTTGGATGCTTCTGCCACATCCAGGCCTACCAGGTGTTGGTCATCGTTGTTGCTTTTAAAATACCATTTCCAGGTCGCTTACCTGCCGTGAATGCTCGGTCTCCAGCCCCCGAGAGTAGGATGCACCGGACTCCAGGGTCGACGGACAATTGCTCGAAGATGGCCTTCAACTCGAACCACATGGGCGGATAGAATGCATTTAGCTTCTGCGGTCGATTGATTTCCACGTGGACGATATTGGGAGCCGGGATGGTGACATTGTAGAATTTGAAGTTGGATAAGCCAGACGAAGCCATCCTGTCAGAAGAGGGGGTGGACACTATTCACAGAGATGCCAGAACCAAGCGTCCTTCGAGCGCATAAGTCTATCAGAGTAATTGGAAGTTGAGTAAGTGCAGGCTTACCGTGAGTTATCGACATGTCTGCTGCAGACACGGCTGCGCTGGCCTCGCTTTACAATGCCTCGGCTGTACGGTATCAGCGTCAAAGTACTTGACCATGTGGTGGTCTCAGGTAGGAAGGTGCACCGAGAGAGTCACATGGGGGAACTTCCGGCGGTGGCCCGGGCGAGACGGATCTTCAACGACAACTCCTACAGCAGAATTTGCAAGGCACCACAAATATCGCGCGGGAGCGAAAGGCACAAAGGTGAAGCCGGGCAGTTTGCATTGTATACAGGTAAAAATAGTTGTTGTGAACATAATTAATTACAGTCCTCCGCCCTCGGCAAGTACTCCGGATCGTTCACAGGAGAAAAGTGCGCCCTCCTTGTCCGGTATGCCCAATCTCAATGACCAAATCCCCCTGCGTAGCTGTTGGTCGAAATATCCACGCCGCGTTAACCGGTGTTGCACAGATAGAGTGATGAAAGCGGCGGGATCGATGTGTGGCTGAAAGCAAACTTGATATCCTCTGAGGTTGATGAACAGCTTCTTAAACCTTCTTCTCCCAGTCCCTCCAGCTGCCATAATGGTCCGAAATGCATGGCGGCCCCGGCGGGAGACCAGGTGGTGGAATGAAGCAATCGCTTGGAGAGGGGCGTGGAATGATCGGGCGGATAGGAGCTGCCATGACCGATGCTCCGAGGCATGACAGCAGGGCGATGAAGACTTGAAGTTTAAGCATCGTTTCTGCCGCTTGAAGTTGACTTGAAAGAGAGCGAGTGTGACGCGACGGAAGGCACAAGGAATGACTGAAGGGTCGGAATGATGGCAAGGAAAACCCTTGAATCAGGGCCTGAACCCGATATATACTTATTCTTTTCCTCTGCTACTCCACCAGTGACCACCGAGTCACAGAGCAGGAAGCGTGTGATGTGGGCTCAAGGTCGCTTCCATGGATATATCACACCATGGTCGGGACGAGTTCAATGGACCAAGCACCATCTTTGAGTATCTGAGATCCCGCGTGTTGGATAGGATGTACTATGGTACTCCATAAAGCCCATACGAGATTAGAGGTCTCGCATTAGTGAAGCCGATTTGCTTTCGAAGCGCGCCTCGTAGCGCACTCGTGGCGCCCTTGTTTCGCGGCTGTTCCTGAGAAAGTTTTGGCGTGAAACATTATTTTTGCCGACAATTCTTCCAGGAGACTGTGATACTCGTAGTTATCAGCTGGAATCGACGATGAAGAGAACGTGCCCCGTCAAGTCCATTCCAGCTGATAACTACGGAGTATCGTATGCCTTGGTTATCGGATGAAGGATCTCGAAGTAGAAGGAGTACGGGCCTGTCTCAAACTACTGTACGGAGTAACGGAAGAGGAGCAGAGGAAAGGAGATAAGCAGCTTTACTATGGTAGAATCCAATTTCAAGGACTCTGAGTCAGTGAGACACAGTGGGATGGGCTTTGGCAACAAACACCACAGTTATTTTAGAGTCTGCAATTTCCTGTCCGTGCCTGTTGAACTCGGTTTAGCGAGGAAGTCATTTCCACACAAGTCGAGCTTGATCGGCGAAGTGGGTTACTACACATAGTATAGTCGGTCCATGATATCCCGTCTCGCTAAGGGATGGAGTCACTTTAGTCAAGTTGAGCGTCCATGAGTGTCCTTGATCAGTGTCCACTGTCGGGAGCAAAACTACGGACTACCACGACAATGATACTCGGTAATATCAGCGCATACTTTCTCCCCCTGAGAAGTTTTCCGTCGGTACGGAGTCATCATCTCGCAGTGTCCGTCGTCCTGGACTCTCGTTGGCGTTCTCTCTCATGATAGGGACGTCATACTTTCATCAAAACGGCGGCGTGGACCATGCGACCATGTTGACTAAATATCGATGCGGGATCAGTCGTGTGGAACAAAGTTCATGCTGTACAGTGATGCAACTGGAAAGCGCTTAGCGATTCTCCCCGCCGGCCACGCGTGGTGCCAAGGACCCGCGATCATCTTCATGCCACGGGAGAGCTCACACCTAGGTACACAGTATCCGCAGGATGATCGATTCGAAAGGACTGCCGGTCGGGAGACAGGATCTCAGCGCATCACCACCTCCACTCCACTCAGCTCCGGCAGGATTATCGGAGCCGCCAAGGAACAGTTACCAGTCCAGAAGCCAGCGCGAAAAGGTACGTCTGGCTGGAATCTTTTCTGTTTGGGTCGCCGCGTAACACGTCTCGCATCATACCATCAAAGACAAGCGCCTACGGGTAAATTGTACTGCTGACTGCCTCGAGCGCAGACTACGGAGAGTATCTTACCTCAGTATTCACCGCCGGCATCGAGGATTCTTTGCCTCCTTTCTTCTGCACCTTCCGCCTTCATTGAATCCCGAAAAGACAAGTTCAAGCACTGTCCTTCCACCAGGGGAACCTTCCTTGATCCCGGAAGGCTTTCGAAGCCATCACAGATTATCTGAAGGATATCTGGCCAGGCACTAACCGTTTCTCTCGCTGTTCCTCTTCTCATGTCCCACTCGTAGTGGTTTTCCCCACCAACTTGAGCATCTTGCTTGCTCACATACCTGCCACCATCAGTTCGGTCACTGCCTAGTGCTTTTGACCATTGGTAAGATCCTTTGCAGACCAAAGATTGCCCACGAGCCTTTCATATGTGATACTAAGCCGTCCAGCAAGACCTGGAAAGGATGATAGCGCAAAGTCCACTTTTGTGGGCAGGGCACGTACGCGAGGGAGAAACGTGGAATGTTAGCCATTTCAGCAACTTGTCTGCTCTCGCCTTCGCTTGCAATTCGACCTCGAAGACAACCATTCTATCCTACCAAGGGAAGGACCCGCGACATTCTCGATCCAGTCAAAGCTCCGAGAGTAGGCGACTCAAAGCACCAAAAAGGCGGGATGGACCCAAGTTACCCGGGCTCCGTCTCCTTTTCCTGCCGAGGCCACTTCCTCTCACACTTTGACTGATCTTGGTCATGGCTACACGAAATACCAATACTACCCTCAGTGATGTATCGCCATCAAGTTTGCGCCCATTTGCAGGAGAACTCGATTTGTGGAACCTTTGTACCTGTATGAGGTGGTCAGCTGGTATAAGCACCTTCTTCAACATTCCACATACGAAATATCCGTGTCAAATACCCTGCTTCATCGACTTCCGCAGGGACGATCCGTACCTTGTCGAAGGTCCCTTGCTTCACAAGCTGGTCTTGGTCGCCAGAGGCCCGCCATCATCCAGGAACATGCACATGGCATCTATCACCTGAGCATCAAATACAATATGATGCGTGTCCAAATTTGACTTGTCAAGTAGCTCGCGCCGAACGACCGTCGGCGGCGACAGGGGTACCTGACTCTAGGGTTTCCCTGCATCTGAGACCTCGTTTATTCGGAAGTTCCGACTCGATAAGGCATCTCAGATCTTTCTGGTCCAGACCATCTCAGCCACTTTTTCGCTCGCCCACCCGGAAATGTTATGGCGAGCATCAGACATTTGTGATACTCCCTAATGTTGTACTGTTGCCAGCCTTGGTCTCTTGCGAAAATATCGATCAGGTGCTGCTGTGATGAAGACAAGATTCATCTTGCTTGCAGTGGCACAGGAACTATCGACGATTTGATTTGTCTCTACCACGTGTGTTTGTCTGGCGCGATGTCTGACGCCCGGAAATGTGTCATATGCATGGCGAACGTGGCATATAAAATGCTGCTTGCAGCTCTGAGCAGTCTTTGCCTACAGCTTTGGCCTTGTTCGAAACTTGCGATTATCCACAGACACGTCAGCTGTCATCGACATTGACATCTCAAGGTGTCTTCACGACTATTACATCAGTCCTCAGAATGTGCTCTCATCCGAAATCATGGGCCACTTGCGGCGGCTGCGCCGGCAACCCTCCACGGTGAGCATTATGCCAACGGTATTGTCATGCGCCTAAGTGAGCGCGTTGATGGCCAATGCCGAATCCACATGACTTTTGCTGACAATATGATAGCAGCAGCAAAAGGTGTGGCCGTTGCAATGGCACAGGGGTCGTGGCACTCCCATGCCGCATTTGCTCCTCCAGCGGTCGCACATCTGCGAGTTCGAGCAGTCAATCGAATACGCAGCGACAACATGATGCGGTGGGTCGACTCAATCACGGCCAGCAAACTTCAAGGACCTGAACCCCGAAAATCTGCGAGGCTTTGGGGTCGATGGCGCAACCGGCAACAAGTGTGGTCTTCTCAACTCGAAAGTCAATTAACACGAGGCTACCCCGTACGCTTCCCAGAAGCGCTGTATCAAGACATGTCCAGATATATTGTTTGTCCTCATTATGTCCAGAGATCATTCTGCTGGGTTTGTTTCAGCAAAATTGTTGTGGTGTGAAATGCCACAATTCAATACTACTCCCAAAACCACAGCTTTTGAAGAGGTTGAAACAGGCGTTCGATTTCCTTTCCGGCCTCTGCCGTTCTCTCCTCATGGTGGCCTTCAGGTTCATCACGGTACATGGTAACGGGACCCCAAAGACGTACAAGCTGGCGTGGCTGCGTGAACTCCAAGTGCATGAGTGGCTCCCGGAACTCAACCCGGTGGGCGTTTTCTGCAGCCTGTACAACATTCAACAACGCTTTGAGCGTGTCACTACGGAGCTGCATTTACATCGAGTAGGTGATTGGCCAGGTTACAAGATGCTATGAAGCTCCGCCGGCTGAAGACATTGTGCAAGAAAAGGCAACCCATCCTGTCGTACGGCCTTTTTGCTTCTCATCTCGTGCTTTCAAGCCCATCTGTCACCAACCATGCATTCGGAAGCGGACTCTATTCGATTTTGGCTAACCGGCGTGGAACTGGACGTCCAGTACTCTCCGGGTGAATGCCTGCCTTCAGCTGAGAAGCTCGTTTCTCGAGCGGTCTGGAGATTCCAAATACTGTGCATGTAATCTTCCTTCTACATAACTCTACATCAGCGACTCGTCTCTGCTCTGGCAGATACTTTTCGCCATGGCGGCTCTGGCCCTGTGCCTGTGATCTGGTCATTTCGCCAGGCAGGTGTACAAAGCACTGAAGAACCTTGGAAATCATGTCGTACGAATCGATTTCACCGAATGTCTCTCCATTGCTCTCGGCGCTTCGATTGCACCCTCGCACAGAACGATGATTCTTCCGATGCCCGGCGCATTGGGTTATCGTCACTGCCTTGCTGGACTGTCTGGTGTCACATGGCTCCTCAGCATCATGACGTCTGTTGGGGCTGACTGATCAAGATGTTGCCTCGTGCAGTACGGCACCACACATCTATATTTGGGGCCACATACGCACAGGGAAAAGGGTGTTTCAGCATTGCACAGCTGCCCGAAGATTGAGAGCCAGGACCTTCGTTTGAGGATTGTAAACGAGTCGGAAGAATTCCTTGCCTGCTTCGAAGCGTTCTATCTCTCCAAGGAAATCGCCGATCCCTACAATGTGCGACAGTACCTTACCTCTTTACCCAAGGATTTGTACACCTGAATAGCCCATAAGCAATCTCCTGGTACCCATGAAACGGTTGGACAGATCCTCTCCCTCGATGTTACAGACCAGGTCTTCAGCCCTAATTGAAACTTTCGACCACGTTCGATAAAAGAGGCCGGAAATGCACCAGAATTGTCATCGTCCTCCAAGGTCTCCTTCGTCGCGACTATGCGAATCATCCTATCTACCACGGTGCATTCTGGAATTCTAGAACTCCGCCAATTGCGCCTTCACCACTCGTCGAGGTGATGACGTGGCGTCCCTTGTACTCATCATTCTAATCAGGGCATTTCCTGGAATGCGTGACAACGAGCCGGACAACCAGACTGAGGACGCTTTCTGTCTGTACTATCAAGTCGCAAGCACCTCGCGACCCCTACACTACCGCTTGTCTCGCTTTCCTATTGGTCTTGGTTGACCGGTGAAGGCTTCGGAATGTCAGGTCTGCGGTTGGCGAAACGGAGAGGACAGCGCATTCAAAGTTCCTCATGCTGCGGACACAAAGCTTGAGTCATGAGAATCGCCTGTGGCCGAGACCAACATCATCGAGGCACTTGGCGAGTATGCGAACTTGTCCAAATGTCTCCGACATTGTAGCTCTTCGCACGGACCAAGTCGGCCTCAAGCCTCTTTATCCAAACCGGCCAGTTACTGGAGCATTCGGAAAGACAAGGACATGCAGCTGATGAAGAGGATGCCAACACACTGACGAGAATATCATCTCGAGATCTCCGGTGACTAAGGAATCCTTTCACACATGATATTTGACACTACGGCTCTTTCTTGGACGTGGCAAGTGTGGGGACAATGCAGATGCTGAGCCAGCTTGCCGATTCTTCAGTGAGTCCATGCTCTACCTCCTTAAGAAGCCAGGCCTTTCCTTTTTCACACGTCCGTTTCGGCAGCTATACAGATGCCCCCAGTACGCGTCGAAATGACAGACTGGACTGGACTGGCATCCTTTGAAACCATCACCCGTTAAGCATATCCGCGTGCGCCGTGCCTGCATTCACTGATGCAGACTTTTGGGACCATCGGATCAGCTATGGACACAAACGATTGTCAACACTGGTGAAAGGCAAAAGAATCTTCCTAAAGAATGATTTTCAAGAGGTCGGTGTCTGCTATTAATCATCTATCCTAACCGATGATGGAGTATTAAGGTAATCCTGGAAGAAAGGGCACAGCTCGCTCGCATGTTATGGCCAATTGTGATATCATCCGCCATCGCCTATGCCCGACCAGCAAATCCCATAATGCAAAGCCCGATTATGCTGTTTGGGGGTATCGATGCCGAGAACCGATTTTTTGGCATACATGAGGTCGTCATCATGGTGTCGTGTCGAGTGACGGTGAATAAGAAGACAGGTGGTGAGAGCTGTACTCTGATGCCGTATGTACAAGTGAATGAATCCGGGGGTATTGTTGAAAGCAGGCGACGTAAGGGATTTGCTCAATGTTTTCAATATCTGTCGCTGTTGTGAAGGACCGACGGCGCATTCGGGGTCATACGTTCGTCAAGGGGGCCTGTGTGCTGAATGAGGGGTTGGAGCACAGCAAGTAGTTGAACTTGGGTCAGTGGATGATGGTCGTCGGGTTCTGATGAGGAAGGAGAGAAAGTGATACATGGATAACCAGTCACCATCCCTTCATTTACCAGCTAAGCTCCAGTGGGTGCGTGACGCACATGTCTTGTTAGACGACCGTAGATCTGTCGTGGACAGGCGCTTGACCCGCATTGTGAGCACCGGTAGTGTGAGCAGCTGGGGTATTTGCTCCGATGCCGTGGGCGCCCACAGCGCGGTCACCGCCCATGTTGTCTGGTTCAAAAGCCTGATGAGTTGGGGCATCTTGGCCGGGGATGTTGACCTTCTCGCGGGCGGCCGGGTCGAAGGCAGAGTCACCGTACTCCTTGATGCGGAGACCGAGACGGCCCGGGTCGATGTTCCAGTGGGTGTAGATCAGGGCGATGGAGAAGACCGGTTTCGCGAGGATATCGAGGACGCCGTAGAAGACGGCCTCGCTGTCGGGAGCGATGACATTGCCACCTTCGGCGACCCCCCAGCAAATCGGGTAGCAGAGCCAGACGACGAGGGTGATGACGCCGCATAGGGTGTAGGAGCGATGCACGTCCTTGCCGAGAACCTGGGCGTGCTTGCGGCCAGTGATGCCGAGTTCGTAGAAGATGTACAACATGGCGCCGCAGCCGAATCCGTAGAACCCCCATTTATAGCGAGTCTTGACCAGTGCACCGATCAAGCCGTTGACGATCATGATCTCGTCCATAAGGATGATCCAGAGGATGGTCGGCCAGGGCATGCCGGCGGTCAACAAGAGGTTGAGAAGGAGCATGGGGGTGGTAAGAAACCTGTTGTACCAGAGGACCGAAAAATATCAGTTCAATGCTCATCTGTCCGGAGTCCTCGGTATTTCTCGAAGTGAGGAGAGATGAATTGCCAAAGAAAAAAAGACAGGAAACGTACCAGTCGATGTAACGAGCGTAGAAGACCTGTCTGTTGACGCCTCGGACGATGCTTTCACTGCGCAGCCATTCGACGTTGATGGCAGTCCATCCGAGATTGGAGCCCATGGCGAAGTATGCGATGCAGGCGATCCAACACAAGCCGCTGGTGAGGTAGAAGAAGACCCGGTCGGGACGCTTCTTCTTTCCGGATGCGATGAGAATGCCCAGGGCGGTAGCACCCATCTAAAGAGGTGGTGGGATTAGCTGTTGCTGCTTTGACAAGCTAGGTAGGACGGCCACAACGGCTTATGGTCGTCGTGTCGTGGCTGACTCAAGGCGCAGCCACGGACGGGAGATGGGAAGGAAACTCACCACCGCACAGACTGTGTAGTACCAGTCTGATCCACGCACTGTTTGGTGGATGGCGACGGACTGGTTGTTCTGTCTCATGGTGTTGACGTTCAGCGCGTCGTTGCGCTTGACGAGGACGGCGTCAGCCATGATTAAGGCAGAGTCTTTTTGGGGGCTTGCGGAGATTTGGACTGTATGATCCTCCGAGATGGATGTTTGGAGAGTGCTGATGATTGTTGTGGTGTCAGTTCAGGTTGCAAATTTGGGTGTGTTGATATACAGTTGTCACCGTCCGTGTCGTCATCTGATGATTCCGCGTCGAAGGCAATGTGATGAGTGATGAAGAGTATGACCTCAGATCTCGGTGTTACAGTGAATGGCAAGTGAACGTCATGAGTTAGGTAGCCCGGTTGAGAAAGCCGTACAGACACAGCAGCAAAGTGCTGGGAGTATTCACTGGAATAGTACCGTAAGCGGTAAGGGAGGTTATGGAAGCTTCTTGGTTGGGGACGTCTGACTTGAATGGCGACGCAACATGGCATTTGAGCATTCGGAAGTCCTGTTGTCTCCTTATTGTCAATATTATGTAAGGATGAGGTGAAGGTAAGGTGAAAGTGCGAGCACTAACAGGGCGACAATAGATGGCCGGTTTGGATGCCGCCAGTGTCAAGATAGAGGTGCCGTCATGGCTAGCCTCGAGTCACCCTTGTCGTCCAGGATGGTGTGGACCAGCCAAAAGCCTAGAGACCGTGCATCAGAAGCTTGACTGGACAATGACCTCCCTGGGCAAGCGACAAACACATCACTTCGGTCCTGATAGGTACACGTGGGCGAATTTCGCAGAACTTGCGGAGCCACAAGGTAAGGAGTTGCCAGACAGGAGTACAGGGTTGCAAAGACATCAGAACATGTTTCCCTGTCTTGAGGCGCGCATGAAGGGCTCCGTAAGAGTCGAAGTCCACGCTGGATCGCAACTCCGTGTGGTGCAATCGGATTGCAATCCCAGAAGGAGCCTCCACAAGGCTGAAGAAATTTCATCACGACTCCGTCACGTGCGACCGGGTTTTCCGTACCCTTGTCATTCTTCTAGGAGCTGACCATCTGCATGCACGGCTGATCATCCGCGTCGCAAACGGAAAATGTCCCCCCTCGGGTCCTTTGCACCGATCTGGCGCTCCGGCAGGGTGAAGTCCGAGGGAAAAGCCTTGCTGAAGTGGTCGTTTCATGACAGATCCAGACATAGTGTTAGTCCGCCTGTTTTCCTTCTACGGGAGCGGGCCTCATCCCGCGGCATAGGTGCTCTTCTCACGCAGTGACTGTCCAAACTTCCACAGAAGGACGGGTGCGGGTATGCCGAGGCCGATCGCAATGAACCCTAGCATCGAATTACCCCAGTCGAGGCCCAACGCTTGGTACATATATGGCGCAAAAAGTGGACTGTATCGCGAAGCTGTTAGACATCATGTGTATGAGAGGAAGCGAAGATGGTGCACTTACAACCCGAACCCGGCCAAGCTCCGCAGAACAACGGCAGAAGCCACCGCCGAGGCCGCAAATCGTGAGTAAGCGTCGACAATGTACGTTTGAGTACACTGAAACCCCATGATAGTTCCGGCAGCAAAGATGCAAGCTCCAATATTCGGTGCAATCCAGTGAGTATGTTCATAACTGGTCCACCCGTAAATAAACAGGCCGACCGGCACCAGAATCGCTCCTGGAATCATCAACGGGACACGAAACTCCGGCCTTCCCACATTGTTGTTTCTCTTCTTCAACTTGCGGTAGATGCGGTCATTGATGGGGGCACAGATTTGGGTTCCGAGGAAAAATCCCAGTCCCAGGGAGACATAGTTGAGGCCACCAATGCCCGTCGTTTCATGGTAGACCTCCGTCCAGACCGTGGGGAAAGTGGATAAGACCAGATACATGAGTCCGTACAAATAGGCCCTTCCTAGGCATTAGCCTACATGAACACCCGTCGGATTGTAGAATACTCACATATAGACGGCAAGAGCTTGAATGATAGGTTGTGTTCCAAGAAGTCGAAATGGACGGACCAGACTTGTTCTCAAAACCTTGCCCAACGTCCTATCAGGGTGCTCCCATTCAGTGTGCAAATCCGGGTTGCCATTCTCCTGACGGAGCCTTTTGGCCTTGTTAGCCAGCAATTTGGGAGCGTATGTTTCTCGCAAGTAGAGCAGACCGAGCACTTGGATGCCCGCATCGACAATCGAAGTCGACCAGAAACACCACCTCCAAGTTGTCTACACAGAGTCAGTTCACCCCACGTGCCCCAGAGAACATGGTAGATTTTGGCTCACTTTCATGGCAATGAAACCGCCGGCTATAGGACCGACGGCAGGTCCTAGCAACGGGGCTAATGAGTAGATACTGATTGACTTGCCCCGTTCTTCAGCACGCCAGCAATCGCTCAGTACTCCGCCGCCAAGTGCCAGTGGGGCAGAGCCTCCCAGTCCGCTCAGGAAACGGAATGCAATGAGCTGACCTTTTGATTGGGCAAACCCACAGCCGATGTTGAATGCTAAAAAGAATAGATTCGACAATTGCAGGACGATAACTCGGCCATATATCTCAGACAGGGGGCCGAGAAATAGGGGGCCGATCGCGTAAGCCAACACGAAGATGGACAACATCAGAGACTTCTCAATATCCGACTCGACACCCAGATCTTGACCGATCTTGTTCAAGGCTGGGGCAACCATCGAGGAGGATACTGGGGAAATGAATGTAAAGGAAGATACGATCAGGGTCGCCGCCCATTTCTTTTTATAGGTCCAATTTTTGGGATTTTCTGGATCCTCTGGACTTTCCCAAGCGACCTTATGGAATAGTCAATCTCAGTTCGAGTGTCGGGGGCTCGATAACCTACCAGATTCGGATCCTTTATTGTCCTCGTAGATTTCTCTCTGATCAATTCGGGACGATTCGCCTCGACATCTTGGCTATCCCTCGTGTTTCGGATGCCAAATCTGACCTCCTCCACCGACTCACTGGAACTGGAAGTATCATCTTCGTCGGGGGCGGTCGATGCCTCACTCAGATCGTCTCGTACCGCGTTGGCGTAATATTGATGAGCTCCGTGGTCATCCATGAACTGAGGCGAAAATAGTTGATGAATTCCATCTTCCGGACTTGATCTGGCTCGTCTTAAAGGATCGCGTGTGCGTGACAGTTGGCGAGGCCGATTATCCGGGGCGGTCCTCGTTCTACTTAGATCAGTGGCCATGATAGGTGCTTGAGCACAAACTAGAGAAAATGCGATGTTCAAGTGCGGGACCCTGTTGGTGAGCGAAGGAGGGGACACAGGCCGAGCAATATGTATGTGCAGCAGAGGCGAATGGAGACACGGATTTTAGTCATATTACCGGCGCGTTGAAGCCTTTCTTCACTGGATGAAGAGAATGCACAACCATGACCTGCAGATCGTAGGACAAAAGAACACGCATAATAAGCTGCGCCACCCCGGTCAAAGACGAAGTCGTCCGGGTATCGGCACGCTTGGGATGTTGGGATTGGTGAAGAAGATGCATTGACAAGCACAACGCCAGGATTGTTCAGGCCGGTCCGGCGGGTGACTGTGGCATGAGCCAGTGAGAAACATGCCGTTACCGGCCTCTCAGACCTGATGGGCGCCCTACTTGGGAATCGGAGTCTTCTTAGAACGACTCTTGTGCAAGGTATTTTAGGAGACGGAAAAAATGATGAATGGAAGACGTCATGAAATGCCCAGTCACGTGATAACGCACCAGGTCCACGTGACCCTTTACGATTAACCTCGGTACAAATACGGCGGAGTACTTGGGACTTCCTATGCAGTTTTCCTCGGACAATTTCTGCGCTTCTCTTTGCAGAACTTGGAACTTCCGTTGTCCCTGGCACTCGCTGCAGCACGAAATAATGGCGCAAATATTATTGCAAATCACAGCAACACAGGTCTAGACCGTATTATCCGATTGTCGAAGGTCGACATCGCATTGGCACAACATGACTTCGCTTAGAGATGCCTATAGCCTATTCTGGGATGGTATACGACGTCCACCGGGCTCAAAGGCGGGAAAGGCCGCACGGCCGCATCAGTCCCAGGCTCCCAGGTAGTTCGACCCCACAAGCTATGCCCAGCCGAACGCAACCCTCCAACACTGGGTACTTATTAAGATGTTCCACCTGATTTGCTTCGGCTTACATCCTGATCTTGAGTTTCAGGCCATGCAAAAATCGCTGTGCTCCTCCCGGCAGACACAACTGCAAATGTTATCGCCAGGCCTATCTTGCCCATGCGAAAGTCTTCCAGATGATGCGATTGTAATTCCGGCCGGTCGGCATGTTATCTAGCTGAAAGGCGAAGGTTGATAGTGCATGGCATGGCTGCCGAAAAAGTACCAGACGAGACTCTGACCCCAGCCAAAGCAAGGTCTTCAAGCAACGCGCCTTCGGACACCGTCGAGCACAAATCATCCGCAGAGCATACTAGAGAAAGGAAGAACCAGCTGGTCAACGTTCGGCTTCGAAATGTATCGGTCAAGGTTGATCCAGCTGCTGGTTCCGCATTCTCCTCGGTCGATGCTTTCAAGGCAAGAGTCTTGCGCAGCAAAGTGAAGCCGCCGATCAAAGACATTTTGCATGATGTTTCAGCCGATCTCCCAAGTCAAAGTCTTACCGCCATCGTTGGGGCGAGTGGTAGCGGAAAAACCAGTCTGCTTAACGTCATTGCCCGTCGAATCAAAGACCAGAAATTCCAGCAATTCGGCAGCGTCACTTATGAGATCCCAGCCGGCAATAGTACTCAAGATAATGCTTCGTCAAAGGTTGGCATGGCATATGTGCTTCAAGCAGATTGTCTTCTACCCAGCTTGACGGTCCGGGAAGCATTGCGTTATGCGGCTGATCTGCGATTGTCAACCACCAAAACAAAGGCAGAACGACATGCTATGGTTGAAACAGTCATCAATGAGCTCGGGCTGGCGAAATGCGCCGATACTAGAATAGGCGACAACGTCCACAAAGGCTGTTCAGGTGGTGAGAAAAGAAGGACGAGTATCGGCGTCCAGTTGCTTGCGGACCAAGCCGTTCTTCTTCTGGATGAGCCGACAACAGGTCTTGATGCCGCCTCAGCAATTCAGGTTGTTCAGACTCTCAAGTCACTTACTCATCGGGGTAAGACGGTAATCATGACCAGTGAGTACCCTTGCTAGCACGACTTAGGATCATTTACTCACAGGCTAGTCCACCAACCACGGTCTGAGATCTGGGGGCTCGTCGATAACCTCATCTTGTTGTCCCGAGGAGCGCCTGTCTACTCTGGGCCTACCACTGAGTGTCTCCAATATTTTGAGAAGATTGGACACAAGATGCCTCCCTTCTTCAATCCTTTTGATTTTGTCATTGACCTTGCCGCCGTCGACCTCCGATCGCAAGAATCTGAACGATCTTCACTACTACGTGTGCAGGAGCTGCAGGAAGCATGGAGAACAAACTCAAAAGACTTCATTGACGACGCAAGATATTGGTCTGCCGGCAAAACCTTCGATGGAAAGCAAGTTGCACGTTCCGAAAATGCCACCAACGAAATCCTCCAGGAGACACTGGTGCACATCCGCAGGACTTTCGTAGTCACCTGTCGTGATCGTCTAGGTCTCCTGGCGAGCATGGTTGAATCGCTCAGCATGGGTATCATGAGTGGTTGGATCTTCTACCAGCTAGGCTCCGATTTAGCAGGCATTCGATCCAGGGAAGGCGCCATGTACTCGGCCTGCGCTTTACAAGGCTATTTGATCCTGCTCTTTGAGACTTATCGGCTGACGATCGATATCGAAGTATATGATAGAGAGCGCACAGAAGGGGTCATCAAGCCTATCAGCTTCATCTTGAGTAGGAGGTTCGCGCGCTTTCCGCTGGAAGATCTCCCGGTCCCCTTCTTCTACTCGGTAATCTACTATTTTATGGCAGGTTTCAGAGCTGATGCCGGCCAATTCTTCACCTTCTTTGCGATACAGCTGCTGTTGCATCTGATTGCTGTCAACCTGGCCACGGTATGTGTTGGGCTCAATCGGCAATTCATGATAGCGTCCTTAATCGCGAACCTTACCTTCACACTTCAGTCGATGGGATGCGGATTCTTCATCAATACGAGATCGATTGCTGTATGGTTGCGCTGGATCAAGTGGACAGCATATGTGTTCTACTCGTTTGGAGCGCTCTGCACCAACGAATTCCAGGGCCATTTCTACGATTGTCCGAGCCCCGGTGGTCCTTCCGATCCAGCTTGCAAGGAATACACCGGAGCTTATATCCTCGCATCGTTGAACTTACCAGCAGACTGGCTCTGGAGGCCTATCGTCGTCCTGGTCGGCTTCATGTTATTCTTCTTCGTTCTGTCTGGCGTCATCCTTCAGGTCCTTACCACCGAAGTTGAAATGGCGAAACAACATGAAAGCGAGACCTCATATACTGCGGAAAGCCTGCAAACCGCATCGAGATCCGGCGACGAGAACAGAACCATCACCGTCACGCTTGACCACTTTGGCCTGGAAGTCGAGATGCAGCGGCTCTTGAGGGGCAAATTGATCAGACGCATCTTCCATCCCATCAGCACGACCTTCGAGCCTGGCGTGCTGAATGTAATACTGGGGCCCTCGGGAAGTGGCAAATCCTCATGTCTGAACGCCATGGCGCGGCGTCTCTACAACTCGGCTATGACCAAGTACTCTCCATGCGGCCAAATGTATCTCAATAATGCAACCGCTACCGACGATGTTATAACATCGATCTGCTCATACGTCCCACAAGACGATTCTGGACTCCACTCCTCCTTGACTGTGCGAGAGACGCTCCATTTTGCAGCCCGTCTCCGCCTCCCCTCGTTCATGACCTACGAGCAAAAGACCCAGCGAGCGGAGAGAGTTCTCCTCCAACTGGGATTGAAAGATTGCGCGGACACCCTGATCGGCAGCGACCTAGTCAAAGGAATCAGTGGTGGCGAGAAGCGTCGTGTTTCCATCGGCATCCAAATCCTGACCGATCCACGGGTCCTTCTTCTCGACGAACCTACCTCTGGCCTTGACGCGTTCACGGCCTTTTCCATCATTGAAGTCCTCAAGGGTCTCGCCGACGAAGGAAGGACCATCATCTTTTCCATTCACCAACCCCGTTCAGACATGTTTAAACAGTTTGGAGGTGTCCTCCTGCTCGCAAAAGGCGGCGACGTCGTGTACGCGGGCAAGATCGCCGACATGCTTCCTTACTTCGCACAGTTGGGCCACTCGTGTCCCGAATCCGCCAATCCTGCCGACTTTGCGCTCGACCTTGTGTCCTCCGGAACACCTGAATTTCTACAACAGAAGCCATTCACAGCCATGGACAATCACAACCCTTCCTCACAAACCAAAGAAACAACCACGACCGCGGATCCATCCCCCAACCCTCCCACACCGCCGAAAGAAACCCACCTCGCCCTCCCGGCGACATTGGGAGTCTACACGCGCCGCCAACTCCCTTTCCGCCACGCCTTCCCCATCCTCCTTCAACGCGGCATCATCAATCTCCGACGCCAACCGAACCTGCTCACCGGCCGGATCACCCAACTCGTCGGCCTCGGCATTGTCTTGGCCGCGTTCTTCTCTCCGCTCCGGCACGACTACTACTCGGTGCAGACGCGCGTGGGTTACATCCAAGCCATGTCATCCATGTTCTTCGTTGGCATGCTCAACAGCATCGCCATGTACCCCTCGGAGCGGGACATCTACTACCACGAATCGCTCCGCGACAACACATACCCCCTGTCCGCATTCTACGTGTATTATCTGACGCTCGAAGTGCCCATGGAGATCGTCGCGAGCCTGCTGTTCTCCGTGCTGACCGTGTTCGCCGCCCGGCTGCCCTGCACGCCCGGCGAGTTCTTCTTGATGGCCTACTCGGCCTTTTGCGTCGTGAGTTGCGGCGAGAGTTTCGGCATCCTCTTCCTCACCATGTTCAGCCATACGGGTCTCGCGGTGAGCGTCATGTCTGTCGTGCTGAGTATAAGCATCCATCTCGCCGGCGTCCTGAGTATCGACATCGACGCGTTCTTGCAGGCCGTCAATCACATCTCACCGATCAAGTGGCAGGTCGGGGCCCTGTTGAGTTACAGTCTGCGCGGGATCAAGTTCACATGTACCGACGCACAGAGGCTAGCCAATGGTCAATGCCCCATCAGCTCGGGCGAGCAGGTCCTCGACTTGTACAGGTTGAATGTGGACACCGCGGCCTATGCGCTCGCACTGGGTGGGGTGACCATTGGATATAGAGTGCTTGGGTATTTGGGGTTGACGATCAAGCGTGTGGATTGGAAGGCACTCGTGACGAAGTGGAATAGTAGGAAGTCGAAAGCATGAAGGTGGTGTGGGTGGTATATCCTCCCAGGGAAAATATTTGGCAGATGCGAAAGACATAAACGACGGCGAACATTCGAGTTCTTGTACGGAGCACACGCCAAAAGGAAGACCTCTTTCTACGTATCCGACGTGCTGACAAGTGATCCAATTCACGCGGTGTCCCATGCTGACAAACGCGGCTTACTTCGCCTTCCTAGATCCTTCTTCCTTCAGCTTCTTCTCGAGGATATCCGTCCCGGTGATTTTTCTGGCCATACTGTCAAACGTCCCCACCGGCAAAAAGGTCCCTATCCAAGCCAACGTCGCACTCGTCCCTCGCCAGATATGTGCCGACGGGTGCCGTTTCGAGAGATCACTGACCACATTCTTTGCCCACTTATTCACGTCCTGGGGTTCCATCCCTCCAAAGTCCCCGTTCATGACTTTCTCGACCTTGTCCTTGATGGGCATGTAGACGCTGTCTTCGGGCAAGACCGCAGTATATCGCTGGGCCAGATTCTCGAAGAACGGTGTCTTTACAGCTCCGGTCTTTAGGTCGATCACCTTGATACCAAAGGGTTGGAACTCGAGACGCATGGTCTCGCTGAAATTGGCAATGGCCGCTTTCGACGAGTTGTACGCTCCCTGCCACGGCAAGCCCATGGTGCTGGCGACCGAGGTCTGGTTGACGATTGTGGAGCCAGGGGCCGCAGCGCGCACTAAGGGGAAGAACAGTTGTGTGACGCGAAGAACGGAGAGGACGTTGAGGCGGTACAGCCGTTCGATCTCGTCCATGGAAGCGTCGAGCTAGAGAAAGTGGGAAAAGAAGAAATGTTAATCAAGGGCCCAGACTCGGGGATTTGGGGTCGGTTAAGGGGGCGCCGAAGGGAGGGGGGAGCATACAATTGGCATGCTATATCCTGCTCCAGCATTGTTGATGAGCACATCGAGAGAGCCGCCGGTCAGCGCCGACACTTCCTTCACGCATGCTCTGATGGAGTCGTCAGACAGGACGTCGAGCGTCAAAGTTTCAATTCCGAGCTTTTTCAGAGTTGCCATTTTGGCTGGGTTGCGGGCTGTCGCCAGGACTCGATCGCCATGTTGGTGGAACTGGATGGCTAATGCTGCTCCGAGCCCGCCGTCCGAGCAGCCTGTGATGAGGATGGTACGAGCCATAGCAGTTCTTGGGTCTGGCAGGTATTCGACGAAAACCTTCTTGGACGCGCGTAGTATGTGAGCACCAGCAGACTTTGAGAACGGGCAGCTCAATTTACGAAATGAAGGGGGGGATTGAAGACCATTTAAATGCAGTGCCAGCCGCATAGCCAACCCTCCGACATATCGAATTCTCTAGCCCCGATTGGGACCATAGCGCGGAAGCGCATTAAAGATCTCGACCGAGAAATTGTCAAATATGGATCGTTGCCGACGGCGGATGGAATTGAAAATTACTCCGATACGTGCACGTACCGATGCAAATGCCCTTGGGTATCTTATCCGCGCTTATTGTACCTGATGGATGAGACGACACGTCTTCGTCCTGTCCAATACGATACGAAGCGGCCCCTGGAGTTTCGTGGCTTGCAACGGCTAGCCCCAGAATGGTAGGTGGAGAATTTCAACGCATTGGTAGATGCGCAGCTCGCCCTTGCTTGTCGCCTTGTCCTGTTGTTGCTGAAGCCGGACTGCCTAGGTAGGCCAGGATGATTGATGCTCCTGACATAGCGCTTTCAGGAGGACACTGCATCTTCCAGGCCTACTATGTCCACGCGTCATTTGTGGAAGAGCTGCATTGCTTCAGGCAACCACCAGCAGTACGCTCCCACATCCACCTACACGGCGACATTACGGATGTCTGGCCGGACATAAGAGCTGAAGGTGGTCCTGCGCAAGCCATGGATAGTCTCGTCTCTTTGATGGGTATTCTTCATTTGGCCAATTTCTGATTCGGTTTCAAAACACCTCTGTCACCACCTCCGCCTTTTCTCCAAAGCCATAGTGCTTCGACGGCATGAGCCTTGGCGCTAGCATGCCCTGACTGCCGATTTGCCTCAGCCATCATCACTTCCAGCGGTTTTTCTCTCTCAATGACCGACCAGAGTGCTTCCTGGAGCTCACCGCCTCTCGGGCCAAAATCTCCCCTTCCGAGTCTGAATAGTACCCTGCCCATTAACTGATATGCCATGCATCGTTGATTAGGTAGGCTTGACCGTGCGAGCAATGCGAGTTCGGGTATTGTATAGCCTGCGCTGCTAGGGTCGTCACCATGATGATGCAGACCCTGCTTCACATCTATCTCCAAGCTCTCTTTCGGCGCTATCAACCGGCCATTGAAGCCGAACCGCAGGGCAGAAGCCAGGAATGATTCCTTTTCCGGGTTATACAACGATGCTTGGTTCTCTTCTTCTGTAGGATCTTGCAGCCAGCTCAACGAGGACGGGTCATGAGGAGTGTCGGGGAAATAGTGAGATCTGAGCTCGGTAAAGAAGGAAGGATCGTTTGGGTCTAAGGGGATGAAATCGTCTTTCGATCTAGGCGGTGTAGGAAAGTGAACAAAAGAAGCAGGACCAGCCGACGGAGCTGGTACTTGTGTATCTGAGAGCGTACTCGAGTCCGTGTGGGTACCTCTGTGGTCTTCTTGTGCCTGCTCTTCTGTGTCTTGCGGCCACTGCGCCTGATCCTGCACGTCTTCATCGATGTTGGCACGTTTCAACAGGCGCTCGACGAAGGCTGGGTTAAGATTCCGTATCAGTTCGGCCCTGGCCTCTTCAACATCCTCTATTGACATTTCAGCAATGCGTCTCTCGTTTTCCTCGCTGATCTCAGCCTTCTGTTGACTCTCGAGATCGACCCCGTATTTCTTGCCCACATGGTGAACGACTGCTCGGTCCGAGGGTTCAATATGAGTGGGAGCAGAATATCGTGGTGAGGGAGTCGCAGCCTGCTGTTTCTTTTTAAAAGTCGAGATGTGGCGACGCTTGTGCTCGGGGAAACCGGATTTGGATGACCTTAGGGAAGGCGCAGTAGGTACTGCATCAGTGTCATGTTCCTGGATGTCGTTTACCGCCAACGACGCACTAAGATCTGGGAGCACAGCTTCATCGAGAGTCTTAAATGCGAAATCAGGTGCGTCAAGATCTAGCTCGAAACGTTGACCTGGTATGGCCATGTTGGGTGGTTTGAAAGTACTAAGATTCGCAAACTGCGCAGAGGCGGAGTACTTCTGTAGACTCTACACAGTAGAGGCCAAAAACATTAATAAGGTTGCCGAGGCCTGTACTAAGGCGAATGGGGTCTAGCGGCTGACAGGGTGTTGGAGCAGAAATGTGTATTTGCCTGACCTGACAGCCACGCATCGACTTTGGAGGAAGAACAGATGAAAGCGCTCGAAACCGTACCAGAATGCAGCATCCCGAAGGTCAAGTCACTAATCATGGGCTCCCTTTGGATTCATGTAAGCCACCCGTTACGTCTATGGAGATGTTTCCTGTTGTTGCAAACCAAAAGTATGGTGCATGTGGCCCTCATAGCTCTCGTTGCGAGCGCGTGCGAGCGATGGAGATGCCGCCGTCTGACAGCGCCCATATTTCTGCCGAGCAACTGAGCTAGGTTTGCTGCTGGCAGAAATTCTCCGGTAACAAGGGTTCCAAGATCATGAGCAGGGCAGGCTGAGGACGATATTCGCCTGAATGACTATTCTACTCAACTGTTATATATCACATGTTAGCTACAGATTTCTTCTCTGCCGCAATCATGTGTGACTGAAAAATGGGAAGCAATTGTTCGAAGCGGAGAACCTGATCCGAGGCTACTGTGGCCTGAAGTAGTGCTGGCGTCAACAAGCCACCGACAGGGATCGTGGATCTTGCAGATCACCCGGTCTATTGTGTTTCAACGACCACCGGCTCCCTCTGGGATCAGAGAATATGATGTCCAGTAAAGTGCATTCATCTGAGCAGAATCCGGAGACGACCTCACAAATAGGAGCCACAAGCGATGTGTATGACATGGAAGAGGTCGGCGCCACAGTCGAGGACAAACCGATGGATGCGGGCAGAAAAGAAGCTTAAACGCGGAGTTCAAAGAAGCCAATCGCTTGCTTCGATTCATTCACTGTGCCTCGTGTCGCATTATTTTTTGCGTCCTGCGTCCTCTTTTCCGCCCACTCCAGACCAGAGTCGGCTACTACTACGTACAGTACGGAGTATTTTGTTTCGTATGGCATCCAGGAACCAGACCCAGGGATGATGGCCCTTTCTTTTGCCCCGGCTTGCGCTTCCTGGTCTTTTCGCCTTGTCTCTTGTCTTCGAAACTTGGAGGTCTTCGTCTTCAAGCTGGCTGCTCGCTGTTCCGGCGGCCTGGTCTGCTGGTCTGCCTCCTCTTTTCCATCATTCCAGCTAAGTCCTGGCTTCTGACTTCTCCCTTCTCCTCTACGCGGGTCGGTCTGGTCTTCGCTGTCAGCGCTCCCTTCTATCACCCGGCTGCTGCCTTCTCGTTGCACGTTTGGTTGTTTTATCCACTCTTGCCATCTGTCAGAGTCGCTGCTCGTTCCGCTGCACTCTCCCTCCCTGTACTATTTCCCATTCTTCGCTTGCCCTTTGTCGTGAATTAATGCTGCTGTGCCTTTTCACTTATATGTCTGTCTTTCCCTCATCTCACTCTTTCTCTTTTCCTGATCTCTTTTTCACTCCTCTCCGCCTCCTGCTTGGTATTCTGCAGCCCTTCCATTCGTGCCAACTTGTCAATTGCAATTCCTCCAAAATCGATGTTCCTCACTCCACTGTATCAACTTTTCGACCGTCGCGACCTCACGTCAGGCTACCATTCATAATTTTCCGTACTGGCCCGACGTCTATCACATCTTGAGGTGTGCAAAGTCATTCCCCATCCATTTCGCATTTCTGTCACCTCAACTTCACGCCTTGTATACCATCGCGTCATTCAAACGAATTGTTCAACCTCAACACCTGCCACCACGTTCATCCATTTCATCAAGGACGACCGCGGTCGTTCATTCATTAATTCTTCTTGCCGGATTTTCCTTTCCAACACTGTGGGAAAGAGGTTTTCACCCAGTCTCTCGTCGATGGTTCCGGGAAGCCTCAATTTTAGACGGTCGGCCAAATCAGTAACCGCAGGCCGAAAATGGAGTTCGGAGATGGTAGAAGTTCGTCCAACGATCTATCAAGCGCGCCGCCTAGCGATGCTGAAAGCACCCCTGGTCCTTTGAGCCATCTTACAGCACATCGCGACGCACATCCATCAGGCAATCTTGGTGTTAGGAATAGTTTGGTGGCATCAGCCACGCCTGCAGGTCAAGCCACAAAGCTGGCGCCACAGCCTATCACTCAGGTCGATGTCAAAACCAAGCGACCACGCAAAAAGAAAGATCCCAATGCTCCTGAACCTGAAAAGAAAGAAAAGGCTCCCAAGAAACCTCGTGTCACTGGCACATCACGGAAGAAGCCCAAATTAGAAGCACCAGATTTGAACAGCACCATCGAGGTCCCTCGAGCGCCAAATTCGGCTCTACAGTCATCCACCTTGAATCAACCAGTGTCTTTCTCTCCTGCAGCAGTCACAACACAACCTCGCTCGAGCAATGTGGCGTCCGACTCACGTTTACCGATGCACGGCAACGCCGTCCGGCCTCAAGTCCCCTCTCAGACCTACGAGTATACTTTGAATGTCGCACCACCACCTCCCGCACCACGCTCGATGTATGATCCTATTCGGTCCATGAATATTTCACGCCTCGTCGAGCCACTACCTCGTCCCTCCTCAACGACACTCCAACCGACCCAGACCCCTCCTCGACCTATTTATAATCCAAGCACCTCTCCAGCCATATCTGGTATCATCGACCACCCTGTACAATCGCAGTCCACCACCTCAGCCATGCAAGTCATACAACCCAGTCCGGTACCTTCACACGTTCAGACTAATGGCAAGATTGCCACCTCGCCTACTGTCAATGGGACTTCGACTGCTACGGAAACTGCACCTGTGGTTCTGGACCAAGCACCCAAGAAATCAGCGACCTCCAAGAAGACCCCTTCAGAAGCACCGACACGCGCCACCTCACCGAAACCTTCACGGGCCAAGGAACAACCACCTCCTCCAGGCTCAGGCTTGTTATCTGCTAGCCTGTTTGGTGGTGATTCTGGTACGGATGCCACCCAGAAAGATGCAAAAGGTCCTAATATTGTGCTTCACATTGACCTCAAAGACCCCAACAATCGAGTGATCAATTTTGCTCGCCTGGCTGAAGAGAAATATGGATTTGCTGCTCTCTATCCTCGCCAAGCTGCTCAGAAGGAACGTCTGGCCAAAGTCGCGGCCGCTGGTGCTGCCTTGGAGCGATCCGCATCTGGTAGCAAATTTGGAGGCACTTCTGCCGGAGAAAGCGGGGATGAAGATCTGAGTGTCGACATCGATCGCGATTCAGACAATGATGGCGATGTCCCAATGTCTGGGGTCAACGGTCAAGACAATATCAACAGTGGAACTGACGCTCCTGAGCTGAAGAAGAAGCGAAGGAAAAAGGTGGAAGAATACGACCAAGACGACCCGTTCGTCGATGACAGCGAATTACTCTGGGAGGCGCAAGCGGCGGCTAGCAAAGACGGGTTCTTTGTCTATTGTGGACCGCTTGTCCCAGAGGGAGAGAAGCCTGCAGTTGAAAGGTATGATCTCCCAACTTTCCGGTTATTGCGCTGCATGCTGACTTCGAATCAAATAGAGCGGACGGTACCATCAAACGCGGTCGAGGCCGAGGGCGAGGTGGTGGACCAGGTTCACGCGGTGGAAGAACCGCTGCGGCTGCTTCTGATCGCCCTAGCGGACGAGGGGGCGGACCTGGGTCTCGAGGTGGCGGCATCACTCGAAAACCTCGAATCACCAAGGCCGAACGCGCTCAAATGGAGACTGAAAAGCTCCAGCGGGAGAAGATTGCGCCCCTCGTGGCTAAGCCGGCAGCATATCCTAGCTGAGTGCAATTCCTGGGAGATGTTGTACATGACTTGTATTGCATACACAGAATTCGGGGCAAGCGGCATCCTTTGTTAGGAGACAGAGCATTGGCGGATTTCGGGCTGAGCAGGAGATTTGTGTATCCTCTGAGCTCTGTACTCTGGCGTCTTTCTTAGTCATCAAAGCGTGATGATGACTTGGATGTACTATGGTAATGACTGCAGATGAGAAATCAATATCCAGTCCTTCGGAACCAGTATCAAAGTAGTCCCTCTACATTATCTCGGACATTCCTCAGCATCTTGAGGCTCTGTAACAGTGTGCCTTTTCACGCAAAGTGCTCCCGGGGTTTCCCACAAGCGGCCATCTTCGGCAACGTCATTCTGCAGGGGCTCCCGAGGGAGGGAAGGGGAAGAGACACACGTCGTCCACCGGCGCAGGCATGGCCCCATTTCAAAGGCGATTTCTCGCTGAGGGTTCGAAGACGGCAATGATAACAACTGCTAAACCAGACTTTTGCGCAGTATCAATTGGGATCACGGGGTCTTCTAGTAGTCGATTATCCTTCGCAAAGATGCCCTGACCGTGATGACGCGCTTGACGATACCGACCTGCTGATCTTGTAGATTTCCGCTTCGGCGAGCAACCCAATCTAGCAAGCGTCGAAAGTCAGCCACAGCCCACAGGTAAATCTCAGGAAGCAGGCTTCGGGGGGTTCGCCTCTGTCCGCTAATCACGCAGGACCCCATCATAGCCTAAGAAAGAAGGTCTTCGGTTGGCTTACAGGCGCCCAAGGGTGTGGCCAGTGCCCGTAAATCCCACTCTAACTAACTCGGCTTTGGCATTCTTCGAATTCGGTTGACTTTTGCTCTTTTTCCCACACGGCATTTCAAGCGGACATCGCCCTCCCTCCCGCTCGAGCCCAGCGGCGGCCATCTGCCAAACCCTCATCTTCGCACTGCACCTGCGCCGACGCCCCGTGGTGGCCATCCTATCTCGACTTCCCAATTAACTCAGTAAATCAATTGTGCGAGTCGGGCTCCCACTTCCCATCCACTCTCATTTATCGCCAGGCCGATTGCGCTTCGTCTCTTTAATCGAGTAGTTGCTGCTGCAAGCATGCAGCTCCTAGGACTGCGCCCGGGATCTCTCCATCACTACTTACGCCCAGTCTAGGGGCAGCTCGACCGCTCCGGGAAGGCTACCGAATCCTCTCCGACAGGCGCCTGTGACCTGTGCTCGCTAGCCTCGTCTTCATCAGTAAAAGAGAAGGACTTGGGAACACGAGCCATCATGGACGGCATGCAGGGTTTTTACGGGCAGGGTTATGCAGGCATGGACCCTCAACACTCTATGGACGGGTACGCGCAGGATGACAGTATGAACACTGCCATGGATACCGACGGACTTGGCCAGGCACAGACGCTACACCAGATCATCAACCAAAATAACGAGGAATTGATGCGCCGACGGGACACTTTTCAACTCCAATATCGGCAGAGCTCTCAAGACCGCAACCGCAGAGCCTCAATGTTGGAATTTGGCTCGTCGATAACCGGCGGCGACCTTGCCAACTTCCAGTTCGACCCCAACCCGAACGAGCCTGACGTGTCCATGTCGAATTCCATATCAAACATGATGCCAATCAACAAACCGCTCGACCCGCGAAGAGTCCGGTCGAGGGAGGATCTGTCTTTGAACACAAGATTCTCGCAAATGAACACAAGCTTCGACCCTATGGCCGCGATAGATTCGTTTAACCCAGCTCTAATGGCGAGCACCTCGGTCGGAGTCGATTCTGCTTCAGCGTACATGAACCACATGAACATGATGGACTTTGACCCCAGGGGTGGGATGCCAGACCAAGCCGGCGCAATGCAAGAACCCATGTTCTCGGATTCACCTATAGACCAAAACTTCACAGTTCCTTACCCACCTGCTGGCCAGGAGCCGGGCGGCGGCTCGATGAACCATCAAATGAACAATTCCATGAACAACCCAATGGCGACAATGGCACCGAATATGCCTACGATCCCTCAAGCATTCCGGAACATGACCCAACATATGAGAGAGCAAACGCCTATCTCGGTTTCAGTTCCGATGACAGCAGGACCTCCTTCAATGGCATCTCCACTGCCGGTGCAAAATCCCACTTCAGGAAGAGCCTCTGGAGACATGCAAACACCCTACTCTAGCAATGGTAGTGCGTTTTTTCCGAATCGTAGCTTAGACATGCTGACAGAGAAACCTAGATGTGACTCCGAATTCCAGGTCGATGAACCCGCCAGGTCTGCCACACATGCAACAGGTTGCAGGGCCTCAGCCGCAACTTTCGAAATACGTCAATGCATATTCTTCCAGCGGCTTTGATATGCTCGGTGTTTTGGTACTTCTTCCCCTTCGAAGTCCTTCTGACGTAACTGACACCATAGTAGATGCGCGTCGCGACAAGACCACGGCCTGAAATCAATATTGGCCCTGTCGATCTGTCCTGCGCCTTTGTTGTGTGTGATCTTGACAAGTTTGATTTGCCTATTGTGTATTGCTCCGAAATGTTCGAGCGACTGACAGGTTATACAAAACACGAAATTCTTGGAAGGAATTGTCGCTTTCTGCAGGCGCCTGATGGCAAAGTGCAATCAGGAGTGAAACGAAAATACGTCGACGACAATTCAGTCTTGTATCTCAAGAACCAGATCTCGCAGCGGGCGGAAGCGCAATTGAGCTTGATCAACTACCGGAAAGGCGGACAACCGTTCATGAATCTTTTGACAATGATTCCCATACAATTCGACTCCGAAGACTACAAGTTCTACGTGGGCTTTCAGGTTGATCTGGTAGAACAGCCAGGCTCTGTCTCCAGAAGAAATCCTGGTAGGTGCATTCTATATCTGGAGGACGGCTTTGCCCGCACTATTTACTGACACGGTAAACAGATGGGAGCTACGAAATCAACTACAATCGAAGCTCTCTTCCTGCCTACACTCTACCCGCACCTCCTGACCCGAGCCAAGGACTGCAGGAAATGGGTCAAACGATACCCAAAGACGAAGTTTCCAAGGTACTAGCTTCCTTTGGTCGTGGCGACTCGGATCTGTCGAAACGGATATGGGACAAAATCTTACTGGAGAACACCGATGACGTGGTCCATGTTTTGTCTTTGAAAGGGTTGTTTCTCTACTTGTCACCCGCCAGTCGAAGGGTTCTCGAGTACGACGCGGGTGAGCTCGTAGGGACGGCGTTGTCGTCTGTATGCCATCCCAGTGACATTGTACCCGTCACCCGAGAATTGAAGGACTCATCCAACGGAAACCCGGTGAACGTGGTTTACCGAATTCGAAGAAAGCATAGCGGCTATACTTGGTTTGAAGCGCACGGAGGTCTGCACACAGAACAAGGGAAAGGCAAGAAGTGCATCATCCTTGTTGGGCGTGAGCGACCGGTGTACGCGCTGGATAAGAATGAGCTCTCGTCTGAGGGAGCCACGGGCGAAAGCGAGTTGTGGTCGAAGATCTCAACTTCGGGAATGTTCCTGCACGTCTCGTCTACGTCACGGGTCATGCTTGATCGCCTACCAGAAGATTTGGTGGGAACAAGTATGCAGGCTTTGATGAGACCAGATTCCCGGAAAGATTTTGCTCGCACTCTAGAAAAGGCACGTACCGGAGAGAAGGTGTCGTTGCGACATGACCTTCAAAACCGCCGCGGCCAAGTCTTACACGCGCAGACGACCATTTACTCGGGTGACGCAAAACCGGGTTTCAAGCCGACATTCCTGCTTGCACAGACGAGACTTCTGAAGATGACGCGGGCTGCCTTGTTAACCCAGAAGTCGACGTCCCAATCGCCGAGGACCGATCAAGCATCTGTGGGTTCCGCAACTCCGGTCACGAACGTGTCTGGACTGTCCGCGACGCTGCGGCGTGAATCATCATCTCTCTCTTCGGACTCCCATAATGTTGGGGACGGAATGATGACCCATGCTGGTGGCCACGGACTTCCGCTCGGAAACCAAGACGAATCCTTGGCTTCTGAGGACAACGTTTTCGACGAACTGAAGACTACTCGGAGTTCGAGTTGGCAATTTGAACTACGACAAATGGAACGCCAGAATCGTTTGTTGTCCGAAGAACTGCAGGGGCTCTTGAGTCGCAAGAAGAAGCGGAAGAGGAGAAAGGGCCTTGGGCAGCTAGAAAAAGACTGTGCCAATTGTCACACGAGAGTGACTCCTGAGTGGAGAAGAGGTCCTAGTGGTCAGCGTGACTTGTGTAACAGCTGTGGTCTTCGGTGGGCCAAACAAGTAAGTCACTCCCAATGCAGGCACCGATTGACGTAAAGAGCTGCGAACTGCGACTGACTGGTTTTCGCGCACAGCAAGGTCGAGTATCCCCACGGAAGACCCCAGGTCACAGTGACAGAGGATCAACTTCGCCCGCTCAAGTCACACCAGCTGACCGAGGTGATGCCAAAATTGGTGCCTCCTCGTCTACCGCGACCGGCATGCACATTCCTGGCACCATCAACGGGACGATTGTGTCCGCACAAGGACTACAGTCGACGAAAGAGGACGATACGTTGTGGCGAGGGGCTATGCCGCCGAAAATTGACGAAGCCGAAGAACCTCCTGGACCGAACGTGCTTCCGACTTGACCGACATCCACACAGCCTCTTCACTTCAAAGACATATACTCGCGGTTGCTTTAACCGTACATTTACTTCAGGGACATGCACGAACAGGGGCTACGAGGTTTCGCTATATAGGTAGGCCTCGAACATAACACTCAAGGTTCAAAGACACCACAAGCGGCTGCAACAAAGCCATGCAGCACCTGCCCCCAGCTCGATTGAGCCTGCCTTCAAATGACACAGCGGCCGCGAGTACACTACCGTCGTAGCTGCACCGAGACGCAAGTTGGCTGGTCGAGATCCTGCCTGCTTTTAGTGGCGGAAAATATTATCAGCCAACTGCGTCAATGCGTTCATTCTCGTCGAAGAATCTACAGGCGGCGACAATTGCCGCGTGAGAATATTCATTACGAAGTTGGCATATTTATTGGCTCAGGGAGTTCACTTTCCCCACGACCAACAGCCTTGCCTCGGCACGTCGACTGTGGCATCTCCACGAGTCCTAGCACGAGGGGTGGAAGACATGATCAATGACATAGAACATTTTGTGACGGCACCGGTTTCACGAGCTATTGGGATAATGGTTTCCCCCTACTTTCTTAAATATCACTCGCGAACACGACTTCATGCGAAAGGACCGGATTTTGACTAATGTCGGTTCAGAAAGTGCTTTATGTGTGGGCAGGGGGAAGGAACGGACAATTAGAATGGGCTGAATGGGTTGAGCTCAAGCTCGGAACCCTTTCGCATGAGATCTCAACGGTCGACAATCTCTGATGTGACGAATCTTTTTAGAAATGACTGGCTATATATACATCATGTCTGTGATGTTTTACATACTAGAATCGTTCCGCGGATATGGCCCGAGCGATTAGGTCCATGCAAGACTCTCTGCTTTACAGCGAGCAGTGATCTGGCTCGGAAAATACCGTCTTGTACCTGTATGGAACCGTCGGGCATCAAATCCACTTTCCGCGCCCACCAGAAGGTAGCTGATACTCTGTGTGCCCTCGTTGTTGATGGTCTATCTCTGGACGAGGCTGTAGCATCCTTGGAAAAGGAGCAGTGCCCATGGAATGCCATCGAACGACAACGCAGGCAAACATGAATTTAATCAAGTTGGTTATAGATTCTTTGAAGGATTAGAGGCAGGCGTTGGCGGACGAAATATTGATGTCTGATGCTTGCGAGCAGCCAACAGGTTTCTAAGCGTCGTAACAGCATACAAAATGGAAGTCCTACATACATACCTAACCTAAATGGCTCACTACATGACTCCCAATGCCTGCTCAATCCTTGATGGCAGGCAAGACTTTGCCCCTACATGCTCCAAAGCCGAGTATCACCTTTCCGGCCTTGTCCTTACACCATCCTTCCATGACGACCTCATCACCATCCTTCAGAAAGGAGTCGATCAGGTCCGACGGCATGGATTTGAGCCTGGCGTTCGGGAGGTTACGCTCGAAAAGACATCCCAGACCGATTTTCTCCCCGTCGGCGTTTGTGCGCTGAAAAGTGTGGTCAAGTTAGTGACATGCCACGCATTGTTTGGATAGATATCAGTCGACCTACAGGACTTGAAATTGTGCCTGTGCCGAACACGTCTCCTGGAGACAGGCCTTCGCCTGCGGCTGAAAGGTGAGTTATCTGTTGGAATGGCGTCCAATGAAGTTCATTGAGATTGCTTTCGCACAACCTGTACGATGTACCGTCTCCTGTGCAGTTAATAGTGTCAGTAGGCGCATTCTGCACGGTTCATCGGGCACGGCGCGGGGACATACTTATCAGCTTGACAGTCAGGTCGATGTCGAACGTCGCTGCCGCGTCATCTTGCCAGGTCAAATGCGGTGGCGGCGGAGGTTCCTGCTTCGTCTTTCTCGGGCACTGGGCCACTTCCAGAGCCTCAATGGGTACGATCCAAGAACTCACCGAAGTGCAGCTACCCTTCGAGTGGAACGGTCCTAGAGGGGGCATTTCGAAACCCTGAATTTGTCTGGCCGACCAGTCGTTCAATAGCGTCAATCCGAAGATGTGGTCTTGGGCATTGACGATTTTGAGTCGTTGGCCGCGCGGGACAGGCTTGGACAGCCAGACTCCCATCTCGAGCTCGTAGTCCATGTGCGATTCGGGCTTGAAGGAAACTTGAGGAGAGCCCCGTGCATCGGGATACATGCCACAAGGGCGGTGGAAGGGTGTTCCTGAGACAACGAGACTTGAGGTGCGGCCGTTGTAGACTGATGGCATGGCGTACCAGTTGGGCTGAATGGTCAGGTTGAACACGTCGGAGCACCGAGAAGGTCAGCGGGGCGATAACCCTGACGGGGGCGAGGGGCCACTTACGTTCTTGGAGTGCTCGAGTGAGCAGTAGAAGTCTGAGAAGTTGTGGATGTGCATGGGCAGGTGGCATTGGACCATGGACAGTGGGATCGAAGCCTCCTTCACGCTACCGTCGAGTACACCAGATCGGACCCGACTTCGGAAGGCTTTGCGGACATCCTTTGGCAGAGCTGCGAAGGCGTTCCAGTTGCCCTTGGGTGTGTAAGATCGATGCAGATCTGCGATGATGTTCAAGACTCACATGTGCGAAGACATTGTCCTTGAAGTCGGTAATTGAAGCGAAGAAGCCTTGGTGGAAGAGCTGGTCGATGTCGATTGCTGAATCCTCGTATGCAATCGCACATCGCTTCTTCGGATTGTCGCTGGTGGAAATGACCCCATATGGGAGATTGTCGACGGTATAAGGGCTGCTGGATGTGGATGTAGCCATGGTTGAATGGTGGTATACGTCTGCTGTCGCAGCTCTTGTTTGAAAACGCGAGTAGAGCACTTAGATTATGTATATATCTATATATAAGAGATCGGATCCGAGTAGTCAAGAGAAGTCTCGATCTGACTCGCACGTGAAGGTCTGGCTGGGGGAGTAAGAGTAGTATGACATGGCCTCCGCATCGCGGGCACAGGTGAGGAGCTGGGCAAGGCCAGGCACGGCCGGGGTAGCGCTCACCGTCTCGAGCGTCGTGCGTGTGGTGAACTGTGCACAGTATGCATGGAGCGAATGAACGATGACCTTTCCAATGTGAGGCGAGGCTTGACCAGTCACCATTGTGACCAGTCCATCTCCCCGCACGCTGAGCATACACTACCCGTTGTCAACAGCTTGGGCAAATAAAGTGCTCCAAACCTGTGGACCTGTTGTGGAGGAGGATGGCTTTGTCGAAGTGACTAAAGAATCAGAGCCATGTCGACGTCTCTACTGAGCAAAGTTGCAACTGTAAAAGCGTCAAGGAGAATATCGGTATGGAGGACCGCTATGTCATCCTTAACAATGATTGAATCATAGAAGAAGTTGTACCCAACTTGGCTCATCATCATCGGCAGTCTAGCCCTGAGATGGACGGGTGATAGTGAGGTAGCCTCATCATTCGCATCAGGAGGGCAGAACATTCAGGCGTAGAGAGCTTGGCCGATGTATTCAATTCGTTTGGGTGAAAGAGGGAAACATGTTGATCTTGACCTTTGATACGAGTAGCGTATGGTCGACATGAAGCCCCGGCAGTCTGGTTCCGACAGCCATCGGCATGTGTTTGAAGAGAAAATACGAGAGGGCGAGGGGCGAGGGGGGCCACACGACGATCAATTCGTTGATGCCCAACCGGCCCTGAACTGTGATACTGTGGTGTGTGTGGCGTACTCGTAACCCCTTGCGGCCCTGCCGGCCCTACCCTGGAGTGCCTGGTCAGTCGTCCTTAAGGTGAAGTTGTGGACAAGGCACGCAAGGGTTCATGCGCCTTGGTTTCTGACCCGGTGCGGATGGCGGTGATGGCGTTGATTTGTTACCTACCTAGGTACTCGTTGGTGTGCTACCAGTAACTAGGTGGTTAGTACATACTCTCGCTTACAAGCTAGCAGCCTCGTTTCTTCCAGACTTCCTACCACCGTTGCATTTGTGCCTTGCGGACCATGGTTCATCATGGTTTATCATTTCCCTCAAGGATCAACGGGGTCCTTTGTGCACGTTCATCTTGCTACCTGATCACCCGTTGATGCTTTCACCATGCTTCTCTTCCCTTCGCCTCACAGTTGATCCTCTACATACTCGTATGACTATCATCATCGCAAAAGCCTTCTCAAACCCTTGCTGCCCGAATTGTGGGACTCTCTCTCGCTGAACCCTTGTCGCCCACCAGCCTTCCCGAAACTCATTCCCTCACACACCTGTTTCCCATTTTCTTCCACTCCTTTATCAGAATCACACGACCAGGCCAGACCAGACCGGACCATCCATCTTCCTCTTCTCCCTGGGTCTTGCATCTCTCCTGCGCCTGCCTCGGAGTCCACGATCCACGACATCATACCTCGTTTCGAGCGCTGCGCTTTTTTTCTTTCGACAACCACTCTACCTGCAGTTCGACTTCAAACCTCGCCGCGACCTACTCTGTGCCATCCCACGCTTTCTCGCCTCCCATCGCTATCACGTCGAATATTCCGAATACCAGCCTACATCGTAAAATCCCATTTCCGTCCCGACCCAGCTGGCGCATCCCGAGCCCGTGCACGATAAACTTGAACCCCTCTCCTGGCGCGAATTAAAATCCCGAAATCCCAAAAAGACAATTATTCTGTCAACCCTGAACGCCCGACACTGCGTCTGTGCGGCCTCTCCGAGTTTGGGCAGCGCGTTCGTCATCGGAGAATCGACCATATAATAAGCGATACAATCTTCAGTCCCAACCTTCCGTCAGAAACATCGAGCCTAATTCGAGGGGCAAAGCTGCTCTAAGCTCCCACTACCATGGCAGACAAGATATCCATTACCATATGTGGGGATGGTGGCTGTGGTACGTTCTGTTCGCGGGTGAACCATGATCATTCAAATGGCTAATATACTTTGTCCGCAGGTAAATCCTCCATAACCCTGCGCTTGGTGAGGTCGCAATGGACTTCAGAGTACGACCCTACTATCGAAGACTCCTACTCCGTCACTCGAACAGTTGACGGCCTGAACTACTACCTTTCTCTAACCGATACCGCGGGACAAGAAGAATACCGAAGTCTATGGGCGGCCTCCAACCTCCAATCCGATGCTTTCCTTCTCGTCTACGATATCACCAATACTGCATCACTCGAGGGTCTCTCATGGTTTCTCGACATGATTGACATTGAAGCAGAAAACAGAGAAGAAGAAAATAGCAGGTTGCTAAGAGAGAAGGGCCCCAAGGTTCGAGGGCGAAGAGAACAAGGGTGGAAGTTCCCTCCTATCAAGATCATGGCTGGTAACAAATGCGACCTGAAAGATGCCCGGGTCGTCAGTAGTAAGGTCGGATGGGAGTATGCTAAGAGCAAGGGTTGTGGTTTCATGGAGACCAGTGCAAGAGAGATGGTCAATATTGAAGAGACTTTTGCTTGTATGCATAGTCCTTTTCTTTCTTTCTTGACATGTGCTAACCCCTCTCCACAGTGATTGTACGCAGAGTCGTCGAAGCTAGAAGACAGGAAGGCGCGGGTCCCCAGAACTACCCTCAATATACTCCCTTCGGTTCCAAAGGGCATACCCCCAACGTCAGTGGTGCCGGCACTTCTGCATATCAAATGCCCACCTCTATGCAGCCAAACCAACAGCCGATCAACCCCAACCCTGTGTCCATGAACGAGAAATCCGGATTCGATGACGACAACGGAAGCAGACCTTGGTGGAAGAAGATGTTCTGTTGTGGCTGAGGCCGGTTTATTGTCAAGTTATAGTGTACAATACGGTGGTTGTCTGCATATTTCGACATCGACATCGACCTCGATTCGGATGAGGCTCTGTGACTATATCTGATAAGAGGAGGATACTGTCTGCCTACAGTCGCAGTCAGACACCTTGCCAGGATGACCCCTGGCCCCAAGGAGTGCGCTTGTGCAACTTGTTTTCGGGCCATCGCATGCACGACATGCATGCATCCTGCCGTGAAGGATCCTCACGGTGCTGATCCGGATCTTTGATCCCTTGAGTGACCAAGTTGTTCACTCAGTGAAAGCGGCAATTACAAGCTCCGCGCCTCCGGCTGGTCTCGATCTCACTCAAATCGCCGAGTCGACCGTACAGCTCTCCAAAGAACAGAAGACAACTTGACCTTTAAGTCTCGCACCGTGGAAGTCTGATGTTTCATATATCAACACATTAACGATCATTTGTACTATTCATGAGCGACATACATTTCTGTATGGTATAAAAGGTACAATCGACAGAAAATCGGTGCCGCAAGGCCAAAAGTGGAAATCCTACCTGTACACCATCGTTGGCTGTATTCATTCGGCAAGATAGTGGTTGACAGAAGGATTAGGAGTATGAACTGTACATTTGACGCAATACTATGTGGTCCATGATCAGATGTAAGAAATGGAGAAACGTTGTCCATATAGGTATCTTTCGAACATACACCGTACATGGACTAACCAGGCAGTGACGACAATGATTCTCGTCGAGTGGCCGTCGTCGGTATCCAGTCAGACTTACGCCGTCGCCTAGTACAGGATCTCAGTTCGCAAGCTGGACGACCGATGTACTCTGGTAAGAAAGATCCGACAATGAAGAATATACAGATACCTAATGATATGCCCTACACGAAATATACGCTGTCGGTGTGCGTGTATATCGACCACCCCCTCCAAAAAAACCCAAAGCGAGATCGATGCGTTCCTGTTCTCGCCCAAATGCAGAGACCACGCAATAATACGTACACGCGCGGCAACCGAAAAGGAATATGGACTATGCTCGCTCTTGCTCCTATTCTTTCTTGTTCTAGGTCGGCCGTGACAAAAACAATGAAAAACTCCCATCGATCTGCATCTGAACCGGACCCCCGACTCGACTCTGGTTCTCTTCTCCCACTGGCCCAATCATCACCCACGATGCTGAACGTAACTCTTTAAACAAACACGACCTTCTCCCTGCGAAATTCCTGTTGCGAACTGCTCGTTGCGTCGTCGATGAGGATGTATGTGGTATGCATTAGACTTTATTGCAACGTATGCTGTGCTGCATGCAATGCTCTGTGCCACCTCGTCGTGCGGGCTGATATTGTTGCTGATCGATCAGATACTGCGAGATTAAAGCTTGTCAGCAAACCCCTTTTCCCCCGGAGCCGCACCAAAGGCGGTACAAAATCGAGTCAAGGACAGCACTTACTAGATTTCAATCGGGCTGATCTGGTCGAAAGGAAACAACCAATTACTTCCAGCCTCGACTTTCTCCAACCTAAAACGCGCACATCATGTCAGCGAAATCTGCAACCCCATCTCAATCTTCGGCAGGTATCAATGGATGTCTTACCAATCATAAGGCCAGATGACCAGATGCCCTTGCACACAACCCAACAACTCCTCCGCCTCCTCGACGCTGAGAATGTCATCGCTCGCGCTGAATTCGCGCCTACTAGACCTAGTAGTAGCTCTCCGTCGTCTGCGCGTCGTGCCCGCGCCTCCAGCCGCCGCAGCAGCAACATTATGGTTCATGGCGTCCGAGTATCCGACAAATGGACCGCTCGCAGCCGGAGGCGTTCCGTTGACCGACAACTTCTCCTTTTCCACTGCCGTTGCTGTGCTCGGGCTCCCATCGGCCACATCATTGCCTAGACTGTCCTCGTCAATTTCACCAATACCCTCTTCATTGAGCGTGGACCCTTCGTGTACAGTCGGCAACCCGGCTTTCTCCTCAGTCAAGGTCTCCTGCCTATGGAGGGTCGGCTTTCCTTGTCCTTGTCGATCTGCCTGAGCCTGATTCGCTTCAACAGCCCATCGACGAAGCTCGGCTTTCTCGGCATTTGCCTGCTCTGTCTTGGTCTTTTCCCCAAGGGCGCCCTTGACGATATCCTTGAGATCGGTGGACTTCTTCTCGAGGTCTTTCGGCACATCAGTAAGGGCTTTGAGCTGCAAGGCACCTGGTGTTTTACTGCTGATACCTGCACCTGGCGGGCCAGTCCTTGAGTCCGACCCCGATCGAGCCGGATGAGCGATCTTATCCTCCATCGAGCCCTCGATACCCTGAAGCTGATCGAATCTGTGCTCATACGCCACGTATTGATGGTAATCATCCCAATTCCGAACTTGGTTGTCAGGCATACACCGGAAGACGCTGCGATAGATCTTGGTGTTGTTCTCCGCAACGGCGTGCCATGTATCGTACAAGAAAGCGTCATGAATAGGATCCAGCATGCAGTCACGATCGACAAGCGGCCGCTTTAGCTCGTTCATTAGGGGATGGTGACCGCGAACCGAGTCTCTCGAGGTCGTCTTCACGAGCGGAGGCCCGCCGATATCAGAATCATCCTCTTGCGGCAGCGCAGGCAATTGCGACAACATGGGCAGACCGAGTTCTTCAGTATTCATTCGCGCCACTGATGGCCTGGGAGGGAGTGGTGGCTCAGGTGCTTCCAATTTGGCCACATATGATGGGAGGCGAAGTTCTTCACCATGCATCCTTGGGCGTTGGAGAGTGGTCTTGCCTTCTGCGTCGAGGTTCGATATCAAGACTTCCTTGTTGCCTTTGACCAACACGGTATCTCTGCCTAGGCCGGAGCCGTCAGCATTATGGTCTTCCATGTGATCGAAACCGCGTCCATCGACGTCCTGTCTGTGCTGAGCATTCCCGGTCACGCGCGAGTCTTCTGTCAGTTTCCGATTGGCCTTGAGATTAGGGTTGTCCGCTTGCTCCCAGTCCACATCGTGGTTGAAACTCATCAGCTCTTCGGATCGTTGCAGTAATTCTTCTCGCATTTCGCGCACCTGGATAGTGCTATCAAGGGGACCTAACACGTCGTACTGCTCTGACCCTGGACTATGGAGTGTATCGCTAGGGGACTGGGGCCGCGCGGAGTTTCCAGAATCCTCAAATTTATGGTGTTCTGCTTCCATGGCTTGTGCTTCTTCCATGATCTTGTCCACGTCGAGGCCGAGATGTTCGCGCATCAATCGCAACCGAAGGGTGTGAGGAAATCGGCCAACCTGATATGGCTGGCCGTTCATCTTTGACCAAACCATGTCGGTGTCTCGAACAACCGACGCACATTCTGAGTCGCGATTACCGAGCATTGACCGCTCGTTGATGTTCGCAGAGCCGATCAGAGCGACTCTGTCGTCCACGATCATACATTTAGCGTGAATGTATAGCTGTTCGGTGACCAGCGTTTGTCTAGGGCCGAGGCGACCCCATTGACGCAAGCTGTAGAACTGAATATAGTCTTCTGGCTCAATCCCAATGGCTTTCAAGCGACCAAAGATTGATGAGTCTCCACGGCAGATGCTGCGATATTGATACTGCATAATCAATCGTACACTCGTGCCCCCTTCTTGTTCAACAGTATTCTGGAAGCCAGGAATGAGAGGAATAATAATAACAGCTTTCCATGCTTCATCATTCTTGGAAGCCCGAGTAATACGCTCAACAAGAGCGTCGCCGATCTTATTGTGGACGATTGTACTTTCTGTCTCGCAGCTCGAGATAAAGAACTGATTTTCCATGTAGACAAAATGCTCGGACTCCTCGATAAGCTTGACGTAAGCATTCATGATACTGTGTTCGGTCTTGTCGGGGGTACCCATCGACCAGGGTCCAGCAGAGCGAAGTATCTGGACCTCGCATGTACCGTCAAGGCCAAGCGCTTCCAATTCGGCAGCATTGAAGTCTGGAGGAGGTAGGAGGAACGGCGTTGGTCGCGTAGGTTTCCGCTGTCTCAGGATGTAGTTCCACCTCTGGACGAAATGACGGGTCAGATCTCGCGCAGGTTGGCCGACAACTTGCATGGATATATCGTGCCAAGGCATTCTAGCAATCCTGGAGCGATCATACATCTCTTCATAGGGCTTGTTGAGCGCATAAAAGTCCTGAACACGTGGATTGGAATAATCCTTGCCCGGCCACAATTGACAGTGATCAGCATCCTTAGGATGATCACCTAGTTCAAACCCCGTAGGTTTGTCGTCAACGAGCGTGTGCTGAGGAGTATCCCATCTGCCAAAACACAAATCAATGCCACCAACAAAAGCGAGAGTGTGGTCAACGATGCACAACTTTTCGTGATGTGCCCAGAAGAAGGTGTTTTGTCGAAATTGGTTGGGTGATCGTTGTACGAAGACATTCGGGTGTAGGTCGAGGAGAGAAAACTTGGTGTACTGCGAGTCGATTGGAATAGCCGACTCAATGTTTCGATAGACGATGACGAAGATCTTGACGCCTTCCTCGGCCTTTCTCTTCAGTAATCGATCGAGACGCCATTTCTGGCTAATAGCCGGAGGACGTCTCATGTAGAGCTCAGGACTCAGCCACCAGTCATGAATGTAGATCACATCCTTGGCTTGATTGAGAGCTCTGGAAACAACCCACATATGATCTCTTCCATCTACCAGCCATTGAGCAAAGCAGTTTGGTCTTACTGGTGCGAAGCTGTCGAAGCGGTTGTTCTTGGCCCAAGGCGAAATGTCAATCATCTTACGGATGGACTCCTCAAATTGATGCAGTTGTTTATCATTCCTGGCCAGAAGTTTGAGTTTCCTCTCCGAATTTACCAGCTTCAGTCGATGGTGCTGGGGATGTCTTGCAGATTCTCTGGCAGCCTCAGCCAATTCCTTGGCTCCTCGCTGTTCTCCCGATCTCGGCTTGGTCGACTGTATGCGAAAGTCTGAATCGAAAAGAAACACATCGTAGATATGCATCTCCTCTGGTGAATCTACGCAAACAACATAGCTATGCCGGACCAAGAACCATTTCGGGGCGTGCCGACGCACAACATTGTGGGGTGTCAATGCTTTTCTGAAATCGAGGCCTTTGGCAGAACGTATCAGAAGGAAGCCTTCTTTGCCATGGTAGCTTCCTTCTGAGGCAAGTCGCATTCCGAGCGCCGAAATCTCTAGGAATTTGCAGAGTCGATTGCTCTCCGGACGGAAGAGCATGAAGTTGAGCATTTTTTGCAGATACTGTTCCAGTTTCCTGCGTTGTCGGTTGGCGAACCGGATGTCTCGTTGAGCGCCACCAGGAGTATCTGGGAGACCGGCTATACTTGACTTACGTCGACTTGAGATCAATCCGGGACGGAGCTGTGGCCTTGTGCCTGGCCTCTCGGTATCTGTCCCAGTGCCAGCGTCGTTTTCGTTGGCATTATCTTCATCTTCTTCCTCTTCATCGTCCAGGCCTCGGAAGGTCTTTGCGTATGGGAATGCACTCCGAGGGAATTTTGGCAATTTTGTGGTTTGATCACCTCGGCCTCTGAGCTTTTCAGAACTGTAGTGCAGCTTGTACTTCACATGCAAATTCACAAAATCACCTAGAGAACGTCTCACAACCCACTTCATTCTGTTGATGCCGTTCCCGTACTCCAGTTCGATTCTGAAGATCAGGTGCCGATCCGTCGCTTTGTCTCCTGTCTCTTTGTAACTAGCAACCTCGCTATCTGTGATCTGCACTTTGAGCTGTTCGAGGAGCACGGGTATTCTGCGGTGATCGTGCTCGTCCCTTTGAAACATACTCGCAAGCATGAGCGCAGCAGGAGTTCCGGCGGCAAGTTCTGCTAGGAGTTCGGCAGACTTCTCGTGATCAGGTGTGCGTTCCTTCTTCTTGCTCTGGCCGAGAAGGCGAAGACTATTCTTTAATTGCCTCCATTTCTGGGCACTCAATGTCGAACCACGTTCTGTCATCAGTTTCCGCCGAGACGGTGTCTTGGGTGTCTGGCCTTCGCTCCCACCCCCTTCCCGGGTGGAGCTGACATTGGCGAAGCTCAACAATGTCAACGGCCTTCGATGAGCGTCAGGCGAGGCCTCACTAGGTTTCCTCTGTCCTCCATGACTGAGCCCGCGTAGAGGGTGCCGAGGCGTCCAGCCACTGCCAATCGCTAATTGCTTCCGTCCTTCGTCTTCGGACATGCCCTGGTGTTCAGGAGCAAGATCTGTATCGGTGGCTCTCCTCGCAAGCGTTTGGGGATATCGATCACTGTCAGAGTTTAGAGGAGCACTTGAAAATCCAGCGCGCATGAGACTATGTGGTGACGAGGGTGCAGTCTCGATCTCACCCAAATGACGCATCCTGCGGCGTCGCTTTCGAGTCATTGGTCGATTGCCAAAATTTTCTGTTGCACTTTCCTCTGCGTCTGCGTCTGCATCGGCTTCAACACCACTATCCTCCTCCAAGGTTGCAGCTAGCCCTGGCTCATTGCGAGTCGATTGACCGGACAATTGGCCCTCGTATTCCCTGCCGTCCATAGAACGCGCACTCAGCGACAGAGCACTTGCAGTCCGACTGTGATTGAAACCCTGTGGAATCGCCAACGCCCTTAGCCTAGCATACAACGATTGGGGCTTCTCCTGATCTGAACTGTCTCCATTGGTAACCGGTGGCGTGCTTTGACCGCTGGTATGGTGACCAATCTCTTGGGTATCTCTCGAAAATTGTACACTCTTTCTTCCTGCTGTAGGTGTCCCGATGCCGTTGACTGCACTATCCGACTCCGCTGCATCTTTCCCACTTGGTGCTTGCTCGCTCGTTCGTGTACTTGCGAGGTTCAAGCCAGAACCTAGTGGCTTCTTTAATAGCCCAGGAGCTTTCGCGGCCGCAGCGGATGGTGTCAGCTTGTCGGGTGATGTGTCTCTCGGAGTGGCGCTCGCCGATCGGCCGTTTCCGTTCGTCAACGCTTCGTGCGAAGAGTCCATTGTCTCCATGGCCGGTCCCGGACCGCCATTGACCCTGCCATTGGGTAAAGTGGTGTCGAAATGTGCGCTGCTATGTGACATGCTCGAAGTCCCAGCCTCAAGGGTTACCGGGTTCCGGGCTGTCTCCGCCATAACGTTGGCTGAGCAGGAAGAAGAGCAAGACAGGCACCGCTGACCGACGGTCCTACCGGCGTGCCGGCTACCGGCTAGATGCAGATATGTCCCACCATCGATATTGTGTAGTCCGCCTCTTGATGAGGTTCTTCCTGGTACAGCACTGAAGAAAGGAGCGTTCAAGCGATCGTAGTGGTCTCGGAGTTTCGTTTACGTGGAAGGAAAGACTCGTAGCAGTTCTGGGTGACGTTGATGGTCTAGGTGTACCTATGCACAGCTCAAGGGGCCTGTTGCAGGTTGATCAGTCTCCGCAGAGAAAAGCAATAGTAAAGGTGTTATGGGCTTGCTGAGTGAATGTCTTCTAAGCAGAGGGATGTCGTGGATGTCCCTGTGCAAGCATGCAAGTGGAGTTCGATTCTCCATCGACAACATTCAAGATTACTGTACGCCTCGGAGTCCGCCAAGGCGCCATTCATGCGCGTGCATCATCTGGACAATCCCTACGGACGCCAGCAATCTACGGGGTTCTGTGGGTTAATGAAAGATTGACACAGGTTACAACAGGTCCTCGAATGATCATTGCATTACAATACGCCTGCTCACTTCGTTGGCTCACTGGCATAGTGCTGCCACCAGACCCCCATGCATGCTGCTACCACCAGGTCACACATCTTCAAACCCTCGTCCTCTATGATGAGCTTTCCCAGTTTAGCACTATGACCCTTGAATCCACCACCAGCTTTTTCGCGGCCCAGTCCAAGGTCCAGTCGACCTTCTTCCTCAGGCCACTGCTCCTGGTAGACAGAATGCCTTTGCGTCGGATTTGTCGATGGAACCTCGCCGCTGCTTTCGCTGTGGGACAACTGCGTTCGAGTCCTGTGTGAAAAGACTTGAAAACTTCGCCTCCATTGCTCTTTGTTCGTCGGCATCCCGGGACGGCCTACCGCTGAATTTGCTGATGATTGTGCCGCCTCACCAGTCTGCTTATTAGCGTCTTTGGGCCTCAGGATAGACCATGCGAGGTTGAAACGTAGTTCTGCAATATCCGCTGCAATTGCAGGTATCGACACGTTGGCGGATGGCAGAGTGTGGCGACATCTTAGACTCTTCCCATCCAAACCATTGCTGAAGGAACACAAACCCTGCCACGGCGAGGTGAACGAGTAAGCATGACGTGGCTTCTTAGTGTTCGCATTGATTGTGTTGGCAAAGAACTCGGACGAATTGCTCCTTTGCCTGGTCTTGGGGGCGATTTCGTTGTTGGGTAATAGCACATAGTCCACGTTTCTGCTAAAGCATTGACCTGCCGGACTTTCCAACTGAGCAAATTTGGTGTAGCCAGGAGAGTTGAGCTCAATCTCGAATTTTCCCAGGCGTTTGTCCCTTAGTGTAGTGTTTCTGTGAATCAAGCTGCCCACATTCCATTGAGTACCCGAGGCAGGATCTCTTCGAATCAAAGTGATGCGTGTTGTGTCGCCGGAAGCAGTACTAGCCCCCTTCTCCTGACCGTCAGTGGGAGACTGTGTTCCCCAGACTCCCCTCGAAGTAGTAATTGGATGAGGAGAGATAGGGCCGGCCTCTACTGGCGACGCTGATTGTACCGGCTTCCTTGTCAGACTGAATTGATTCTGGGAGCCATCAACGGATCCTCGCCGATCTGCCTCCGGCTGGGCAGACGTGCAAGACGATGTGTCCAAACTTAGGAGCGCCGGCATTGGTCGAGCACCTACTGGTTTCCGTTGCATGCCAGCTTGTTTCGTGGTTTCTGCCGAAGAGAACCTGAGATTAGCGCCGCGGGCAAGGTGACGCTCCACCTGAGTTCCATCGTTCGACCCTGGGAGCGGAGGCTGATAGTGTGGGTAACTCTTTGGAGGTGTTGGAGGCCTTTGGGAGGCTGGATAATTTGCGTAAGGCGTGGGAGGAAGAGGCTTCCTTTGGATGGGTGAGACATTAGTGTTCTGATTTTGGGCGAGCCTTGTGGCCTCCAACGAATCTCTCAGATTTTGATCCTCCGGTCGTTCCACGTGGAGGAAGTATAGACTCGACCGGACAGCCTCGATACTTATGGAGGCCTTCGTAGGGGGCTTGAGCGGCGTGAGAAAGACATCTATTCAACTTAACATAATTCCTGCTCTTGCACGGCTCTCTCACCTTTGCTGCCTGGGACTCGGACGATGTAGAGCACGAGAGGTTCGTGGACTTGGTGCGTAGGATTTCGCGGGTACTGGGGAGGGTTCGAGAGAAGGGCATTGAGGGAGGATATCGACTGTGCATGGACAGGCGTACTCATGTGTGAACTTTCGAGGTCAATTGAAAGGATCCAAGAGCACGATGCGTACGTCGTCGGTGGAGGAAAATTGATAGGTGCAAGGTGTCAGTCACCAGTACTAGCATGCAGACTTATCCCAAGGCTTGTATTCTCAATCATTATGGATGATGCCTGATTGAAAGCATGTCATTGTGTCGATGAAGAGGAAACCGTGGGTGTTGTTGATTCGCAAGACAAACCTTGGAAAGGCTGCCCTATTGATATTGGCCCAAAATAGGCATCGGGCCTCATGCGCCCCAGAAGTCGTAATGCAACGCCACTCCACAAGCCTATAAAGAGTTCAACGCACGTGAATCCGACAAACCCACAAAGATGGGCCCTCATGATGCCTGGTGCGCCCACAATGATGCCCCCAACTAGGGACTTATGGCACCTTCGCCCTTATCCATTCTACAGATGATGGAATTGCAGCAACTCCTCTACTGTGTAGCCAAGGCATCAAGGGCGTGTCCGAACTCAGATGACAATATTGCCCAGAGGCATTGGACCTGCCGGCAACATATACCCTCGTAGGTATCTATTTGTGTCGATGGCGACGCTCTTTCATTCCATCTCTAGACAGCACTCATATCTCGAACCTCCGCGAACCCCAGACGTGGAGTGCACTAACTTAGTAACTACTTGTACCACACACGACCACGGTACTTGTACTACGAGCTACGCTTTCTCTCTATCGCACCCAGGTGGTGAAAGGCTACTCGTGGCCTAATGCACGCTGATAACGCTCTGCAAGCGGATTCCCTGATCCATGATCGCCATCCGCCAGTGTCGATCTCCATTCAACCAGCCAAAGAAGCACTGACTTTGACAGCCATGTTTTCTGGGCCAGCGTCATTTGGCACTGATGATCCGACTTGCTTGACCCGAGCCCAAGGGTCAAAGCACGGACTTCATACATGAACTGAAATGTTGCAGCCCAGATATACTTCGAAATCATACCATATTTCATCCCGTGCTCATCAAGGATTCACAACGCAGATACATATTGTGATCGTGTGTCACCTCTGTGCTCGGTAAAGCACGGTCTGTGGCCGTTGATCTTAGGTTACATTAGTCGCACACTCACTTAACGGACATTGTCCGTGTGCAGTTGTTAAATCTCTGAAGGTGCACGGAGTCCCTTTCTGTATCGGCGAACAAATCCATCAACAGAGAGCGACGGGCAATGGCTACCAGCAACGATTCCAGCCCTACTCGACGAGGCGACATGTCTATTGATGAGAAAGCAATCGAACGGCGGGAGGAAGATCCTGTCATCATTCCCAAGGATATCGAGGCTCTGCCTGAGATCGACCATGCCGCCGAAGCTCGTCTCATACGAAAACTCGACCTCTACATCATCCCACCGACAATGTTGCTCTATCTGTTCTCTTTCCTGGACCGTGTCAACATCGGCAATGCCAGATTGTACGGGTTCGAAGAGGACCTGGGGATAACCAGCACTCAGTATTCGACCGCTGTGAGCTTATTGTTTGTCACTTACGTTCTGTGCGAAACGCCCAGCAACCTTATCATCAGGAGATTGCGACCTTCTCGCTACATCGCTTTTATCACAACTTGCTGGGGGATCGTTGCAACCCTTTCGGGTCTTGTTCAGAATTATGGAGGTTTGATCGCTTGCAGGCTCATCCTAGGAGCCTTGGAAGCAGGCCTTTTCCCGGGTAAGGATTCTATCGAGCAACGCCATGAGCTAACAAGTGATCTGATATCGTGCTAGGTATGACTCTATACTTGACTGTTTTCTATACCAAGCGACAACTCGCCTTGAGAGTCGGCTATCTCTTTGTGTCTGCTGCCATTGCCGGCAGCGTGGGTGGCTTGCTCGCCTACGGTATCGGCTTTATGGACGGGGTACAAGGCTACAGAGGCTGGAGGTGGATCTTCATCATTGAGGGACTTCCAAGCTTTGTGTTGGGCATCGCCGTGTACTTCTGGCTGGCCGATGATCCTGAGACAGCGTACTACCTTTCTCCCGAAGAGCGACAACTCATGATAACCCAGAAACGGCGTCACGTTGGCCACACAGCGTCCGGCGACTTGCTGCACAAGAAAGATGTGTACAAAGCGTTCAAGGACTGGAAGGTCTGGATGTTCGCCGCGGGACAGTTCGGCGTTGATACTGTCCTTTACGGCTACTCTACTTTCTTGCCGACGATAATCAAAGGCCTGGGCAAGTGGTCCACGGCCGAAGTCCAAGCACTCACCGTGCCATGCTATGCGTTGGGGGCGATCACTTACCTCGTCGTGGCCCACGTAAGTATTCTCTTTCCCAAGTCACTGCACCATTCAAGCACAATTCTCTACTTGGCACATGTCTTCACTGTTACCCCTTTCTCACTACATGCAGTTCTCGGACAAATACCAGCGACGCGGTTTGGCGGTTGTGCCCTTCTGTCTCGTCAGCATTGTCGGGTACATTATCTTAATGACTGATGTGAGCTCTGGAGTTCGGTACTTCGGATGTTTCCTGGTCGCCACGGGATTGTATGTTTCTGTTGGTATTCCATTGGCTTGGTTGCCATCCAGTAAGTCTTCATTGCCTGTGAGCTGATAGCGACTGCAGATCGTTGCTAATCCTTAACAGACAACCCTCGTTATGGAGCCAGAGCGGCAGCGTCCGGCGCTCAATTGACTATCGGAAATTGTGCCGGAGTAATGAGTGCGTATCTTTACAAGACTAATGAGGCGCCTCGATACATCCGAGGGCATGCCGTGTCGTTGTCGATGGCAGGTGTAGCCGCCGTCATCTATACCATCATGTCGGTCTATTTCTGGAGTCGAAACAAGAAGAGACAAGCAGGCAAAGAGGATTCTGTCACCAGCGGGAAGACGGAAGAGGAAATTGCGGAAATGGGTGATGAGAACCCAAGATTTGTGTTTACGTACTGATGAGTGAGCCCGTTTGCTCCGGCTTAAAGCTGACTTGCCTCTCCGGTGACTCGGCGCCCTTGCCGTTGAAGGAGGATGAAAGAATGTTCGAGAGATCTGTGTTTACTTCCGGTGGCTCATTAGCGGATTGTATCCGTCCGAGTTGATAAAAGTCAATAGCAGCCCCAATGCATTGCACGAGCCTCATCGGAGCTGGATCTCGTAACACAGTCTTATCAAGAATGAGCTCTACCAGTCTCGAGGCATTTTGTGCTTGTAGTCCATGAGACTGTCGTCAATTTTCGAGATCCGAAAGTGACGTCGACCTGGAATGAATTGCCGAGCATCCTTTCCAAGCGTATTTGATATATTGTGGGGTGCTCACGGGTAAGTCTGTGTCCGTCATCGAGGATAGCATCGCTGATGGCCTCCACAGTAGTGTCATCAACCCAAGTGTCCTAGGTTGACATCACCCGGTTCTGCCAAACTGTGAACGCAAGTAGCCGCTGTCCATGTGGTAGTCTTGATGGTTGGCCATGGAGTCAGTGACGTGTCACAGTACTCACCGGCTCCTTTGGAAATTGTGTCGTGTGTAATTGGACGCTTTGCCTTCGAGCGACCGTCAACGGGGCACATGGAGGTAGCACACTAGCATGATTTGTCCTTACACGCGCCCGAATCGCCCTGCTCCCTGTTGTGAAGAGTACAGTATGAGCCCGGTGAGTGCCCCAGTGGCAGCTTACCACACGAGATCTGGCCTGGAATGGCAGCATCTCGAGGCAGAATCAGACAGAACAGGATGTAACGGGGTCATGGATGGCTTCCGAGCAAATAGCAACACGTAGCGACATGGGGCGCGTTGGCTATAAGGCAGTCGTCTGAATCCTGCGATGATGCCTGTCTCTTCCTGGCCACGACTCCTGAAAGTCCCTACCGGTCTCGTCTTCTTTCTGCCAACCTGTTCTCAGGCATATGCATGCTACGGCATTTCACAGCACTGATCAGTCGTTCCAGAGGACGCAATTGGTGGAGGGGCGCTCTTGACAATCTTTAGTCGGATTCTCACGGCTCAGACGCCCAGGATATGTGCTGGCGATCAGGATCTCGATCCGGCTTGATGTGTTCTTGCAGAATCATCCGCGACCAAAGAGATCAATGCTGGGGAGCCAAACCGGTGCACCAGTGGCAAAGATTTTTCCCTTCTTAGTGACAGGGTCCCCATAAGAGAATGATTTAAGCGTCTTGTGATTCGTGAGAGCTGCAGCGGATCCTCGTAGGGGCGCTGGGGCGGCGGAAGCGGATTGGATCTGAGGCACTTTAGGCGGCATGAATGGGCCATTCAACGCGAGAGCCCAGCCCCTTGATTTGGGCCAAACACAAGACAGCCAGGAAGGCCAACACGAGGCAACAGCAGTCGGATAGGGCACAGGCGAGCAGGATTGTGGAGTGTTTTGGATAGCAGCAAGCAGGGTGAGCAGGGGAGCAGGCGAAGTTGATCCGAAAGAAAGCCCAACAGGTGAGAAGAACATGTGGTAGACGAAGAAAGTGCCCCAGGTTCTACGAGAGTCTTAAGACTTCAATGTATCGTATCGTGTGCTTTTCAGCTTCGTCACTCCATCTTGTCAATAGGACCCATTCATTCATTCATTTATTTTCTCGACAATAGACAGCGAGTAGCTATTTTATTCCCGTTCGGCCTCGATCTCTCATCACCAAATTTCGATCAGCTCACGGCGCGGATCGATCGAATCTTTTGAGAAATTAATTCACCGACGTCTTCCATTCGACGCTCTCCTTGTTGATCTAGCAACAAAAATATACCATCATTGGCATATTTCTTGGTACTGGCACCCCATTTATCGAGGTACCAGTGACTTGAAGAGAGTTGATGTCTTAAGCCTGTCATAACCCCAGGATTTCCAACGGCGTTCCATTCATCAAAACAACCCCCCTTCTCCATCTGTGTGGTCAGCCTTAAAGGGCAAAGGCGAAGGCAAAAGCAACTGGAGCGTAGGGCAGAGACCCGGCAAACTCAGCCAGAGCCCCCAGCCAAAGCCTGGGGCAACAGCCAGAGCCCTAAATCAGCGCCGGGTGATTTCTTGGCTGCCTGACAGGCTCGCCGGGACTTGTTTCTGGCGGCCACCGAATTTGCCATTGTTGCCGAGGGGAGCACCTCACGCACCTGCAGGCTGCATCAGAGCCCAAGCTTAAAGCTCGGCCACCATCCAGGATCATCCAGCACCCAGCGTCCCGTGTGTCCAGCGTCCCTCTCAGGCTCATCACCCCCCCGGCTCGCATCGTCTCGCCGTTGCCCGCTAAAACTAAACCTCATCCCGATTCCTCCCCCAACTAAAACCGGCACCACTGCATCCCAAGACGCGTTGCGTTCCCACTCTGGTCCAAACATCTGCACACCCTTACTTTATATTTCACCTGCATTCCTTCACCATATCCGCAATTAACTTTGCTGCCGCACCTCATTCACAACGCGACCATGCCACCCGTCGTGTATCCTTATACCGTCACTAACAGCTACAAAGGGTATGTCGTGCCAAACATTCTGCAGCCCTCTCAAGCTACTGTCCACCCCTGTCAGCCTCACATTCGCTAATCTTCTCTCGTGTCAGGGGCCTCTTCATGCGAACATACAGCCGCAACGTGCGGCGCGCTTGGGATGGTGAAGACTATCGACCGCCAAAACGCCAACGCCTCGAAGATGCTTGGAACGCGCACTCTTTCACTTCCGGCGGCTACAATGAGAACGCGACGACCAAGCCTGTCGACCTCGAAGACAGCCTCGAACGTGCCATTCGCGAGACCAGCGTCGCCGCTCTCTCCTCTTCCCCTTCCCGCAAGAACAGCACAGTCTTCTCTGCAGAATTGCAGGAGGATGACCTAGGCTCCAGCACCATCACCCCACCATCCTCTCCTCCACCGGTGCTACAACTCACGCCACCTCGGATCAAAGCCTACAAACCCAACTTCTCGGCAATTGACAAGTCTAAGAAGGAAAAGAAGGACCTCAAAAACGCGAAAAGGAAACGCGATGCACAATCACTTGGGCTGAGTGCCGAAACTACGCGTCATGACTCGGAGCCTCTGTCCGAGATATTCAACTCCACTACACGTGCGCAAAGCTCGCAACCAACACATCGAGACGCGTCTGGAGGTCAAGAACAAGACCGGACGCCAGTTGCGCGACCGGCTTCCAGGCCATCCTTACCAAAACAAAACTTGGTCCAAACGGTGCTGGACCTGGGCCAGCCATCGGGCCCTACAATATGCCCACAATGTCAGATGTCCTACATGCCGACCTCGTGTGAGGATAATCAGCTACACCACATGTTCCATCATCGAGACAGCTCTGGTATCGAACTTGGAAAACCGTTCCTCAAGTCGGCTATGAGATGGTGCTACCAGGTGGCGCATATCCCTGGGAGCGTGGTCGTAGTAGACAGGAAGCTCTCTTTGCCCGCACGGAGGGTTGTTGAGAAAGTCCTCTCCATCGTCAACAAGGAACTCGGAAGTGTGGATATTACGGCGGAAGATCTGTGGAGTCAACGTGCTCTGGAAGGGGAGAAGGATGACAACACCAAGAAATGCGATCGCTACAAGGCCTTCTTGCACATCATCGAAGACAAATGTGTGGGAGTCTGTCTCGCTGAGCGGATCAACAAAGCCCACCGAGTTCTTCCGAATGAAAGCGCCGCGGGCGAGATGATGCCTCTGAACGACCATTTCAAATCCACTGGCCCTGTGACGCCGGCTGCTACAGAGTTCAATGGAGAAGAAGCGGATCAGGTCCATTCAAAACCTCAAATTCCAACCCCAATCGCAAGTCCAACGTGTTCGGGACCTTCATCTAGCATCAGCATCTCGGAGGAGACGTATCCGGCTGTGGTGGGTGTCAGTCGGATCTGGACGAGCCACGCGTTCCGGCACAAAGGCATAGCGAGCAATCTACTGGAATGCGTCATGAACCAGTTCATTTACGGGATGGAGATTGAGCCGCATCAAGTAGCTTTCAGCCAGCCGACGGAGAGCGGCGCGGCTTTAGCACGAGCATGGTTCGGTGAGGATGATGGCTGGTCGGTTTATCGAGAGGAGTGAGTGGAATGTTCTTCATGGGAATGTGTACTCAAAAAGGCGGGACGGGACGGCGGAACTACAGGCAACGGAGCTTCAAATAGGGCAATGGGATATTCATGGATTGTACGTTTATGGACTTGTTGGACTATAGAGATCACAGGATATACGGATACTCAAACAATTCGATGAGATTGCAAAGACAGCCGGGCAGACAAGGCACATCAGCACACAGTGACTTCTTACCCTGGCCGACCAAAAGACCTGCAGGGTGTACCAAAAGGCTTCAGGACCTCGGGCAACCGAACATGGATCGCACTTTCCATTCTTGTGTCCGATAATCATCTGTTCTTTCTTCGAGTCTGACAAAGTGCCATGTCGCACTTTGGCGCGAGCTCTTACTTGGAGGTAAATGGCACGCCACTCCTCGTCTTGACCTGGGGACGGCCGTCGCAAGAGCGCACCTGCTCCAATCATTGGCCTCATTCGTTGCTTCACCGAACTTCTTTCATTTACGATCCATTGGCTGGTGTGCAGCATCACCCATGTCGGCTTTGTGGTGGCGAGTCCCGGATTCGCTACGTCTCATGCACGTCGCTGCCGCTTGGGCACTTATCAGCCTGACCGATCGAAAGTCCCCTCGAGGTGTGCCCAGAAACATTGGACACCCTGACAGCCCTTTGCGTTTCATTCAAGTATGGAGCTGGGGTCGAGCAGGCTGTGCTCGTGAAGCGAGAAGCATCTGCATGTACTTCTTAGGCACACAACTCGACTCGCCAACAGAACAACTCAGACCCGCTGCGGTGAAATTTGAGGCAGAGCTCCTCATCCCCATATCTGTCTTGGGATCTTGTCCCCTCGTATCAGCCTCATCAGACCTCCAAACCCTCACAAGCCCACCAATATAGTCGAAATCACAAATGGGATCCGGCATGGCTGACGTCGACAACACCCGAGTCATTCGCAATGACTATAATCACTACAAGCCTTTAGACAAGTCAAAGAAGGAGATCCGGCTATTGCGCATCCTTCCATCAGAATCAGCAAAGGACGAGCTGGTGTGTTGTCTGGTCCGCGCAGATCTTGACGATTGTCCGCCCTACCAAGCTCTATCTTACACGTGAGGCTCACTGCACGACACAGTCGGCATCAAGCTGATCTTCCGAGAAACATTCTATGTCAATCCATCTTACCCTGACAATGGCTGCCAAGAGCACGAGGTAGATATGAAAATGTTCGAGGGCCATGAGCAGACTGTGGTCCACAATTTCCAGATCACGACCAATTTACACGCTGGTCTCCGCAGTTTTCGGTTGAACAACGAGACGGATATCCTCATTTGGGCTGATATGCTCTGTATGAACCAGTCTACCTCAGCGAGAGGTCGCACCAAGTAAGGTTCATGGATTAGGTCTTCTCTAGAGCTACAAGGGTCATTGCCTGGCTAGGTGGGGATGCCGAAAGTCCATCGGATATACTTTCTGGACAACTGGACGCCCTCATCACTTTGCACAAAATGTCTAAAGTTGGCAAATTCAATCCAGTCGAGAAAGTCCCCAGCAAACGAGAACTAATAGTCTTCACCAAATTCCTGCGAGATCCTGTATGCTCCCGCGGATTGCATGCAATCTGCTCGCAAGCCAAATCGATGCATCCAGAGGCAGCTAATCGCCAGTCTAACATTAACGTCGTCGATCTCTACATCACCTTTGCCTGTTCTTTAAAGTCGCTCCTCCGTTTCGACGAACAGCACGGACAATCTTTGGCAGCTGTGAAGTTGCAATTCTTGGTCTGTCTTAGCAGCCTTCTGGATCAAGATACATACGCGTGGCAGTTTCTTTCGTTCGCTTGATCGCGGGCGCAATTACGCACGACATTCATTCAGTCTGGGACGATTTTGTGGAATTGCTGCTTCGTGGTGAGGTCAAATTTACCCGCCTGGACCGCGTTAGATCATTGTTTGTTATTCCATGGTTTCGCCGCATCTGGGTAATCCAAGAAGTCACTCTCAACCCCAATGTCTACGCACGCCATTGCAATATCACCGCTGCGCGGGAAGTTGTGGAGATGTGCGCAATTAACCTGACATCATACGTGCTAAATTGGGCAAGTATTAAAGAGGCAATCCGTGGTAACACTGCTCCATTGGCAATGGAGCGAAAGGACCTGCCACCGAGAACCTCTCACTACTGGTCTCGTCGAAAATATTCCAGTGCGAGTATCTACGAGCTATTCACCAATGTGCATTTTTTTGAAGCCACAGTACCAAGGGATAAGTTATACGCCATCTACCACTTGGGAGCAGATCTCCCGAATCTCGAGTTTTTGCCGGACTATGGACAGTCACTACAAGCTACATATGCCTCTTTCACGCGACAGGTCATCAAAGCCACAGGGAGCTTGCAGATACTGTCGTTTGCCTGCCGACAGCCAGTGCCCAAGACGTGGACTTGGGTCCCAGAATACCATCAAATATGCTCGCTGTCAAGTTGGGCTCATTCGGAGTCATTAGACTTGAACTCTGAGAATTTGTGGTCTCAGGCTCATCTGTACAAGTCGATTTATGCGCCCGCAGGAGAACCCATCGTCTTGAGGGGCGTGCACTTTTCCACTGTGTCCTGCATAGTACAACTTCAGAAGCCGTTCTCCTTTCCAGCCATCTGGAAATCACTCCTGCAAGCGCATGAAGGAACCTGCTGGAAACCGACTCGTACTCACACGGACGCTGACTCTGAGAGCACCCCGCTTTTGGTGACTGATTTCCTAGCTATCTTGCTCAAGGACACTTGCAGGTGGTATGCGACGATAAAGCTTATGAAGCCATACTACTCTCGACGTATGCTGCGGATTGGATCGTACAAGAGCCGGATCTCCACTCCTTGATAACTTCACCAACGAATCGGTCAATCCTCAGACGACTGGCGGAAAATGCCCAACATGAAATGGTGAAAACGCTGGCGAGAGAACATCTTACCGTTGACACAGAGTCGGTCGGACGTTTTTTTCTGACACAGAACGGTCGCGTCGGGCTATGCCCTTCCTGGGCACAAGTTGATGATCTGGTGGTCTTCTTAGATGGGGGTCCTGTGCCATTCCTACTACGACCGATCAACAAACCAGCAAGCAGCGAGAGCCGTACCGTGGGAGCTAAACGAGGCCAGGAATTTCAATTACTGGGAACTTGCTACCTAGCTGGTGCGATGCCTGGTGATGTCTCCAAAAGTCCACGCTGGAGCAATATAGATCCCCTTTATGAGGATCCTATGGATTACGATCCCGGCTTCACATCTCCTGGTGGCAGAAAAGGATACTCGAAGGGCTTCTATCGAAAGAGGCCGTTTGTAATCGTATGACGATGTTGCGTCCAGAGTATACCTGCTAGACAAGGGATACGAGGCTCGCTCTGGCCTTCTTGGGTGATGGCCACGCCGCATTGCTCTAAAGCTTCAGAACTGGATAGCACCCAGGATGCGGTGATCTGAGATCGAGGTTCCATGTGTTGTCCTGGGGTAGACAAGAGCTTTGGATGGGACAGCAGTACAAATCGGGGAGACATTAGTCCGAGTCCCTTGTTGGGCAGGAGATGCCTAGATATTTGGGCTCACAAGGCGTCTTGGAGCCGAATCCTGTACCGCCTTTCTGGAAGAACATCTCCTAGATGTCGTCGGGGTGGGATGGTCAGCGGACATGGTGTCGTGCCCGGCTGCAAGTACAGCTCTCATGCCGCGATCTACCATGCCACTGCAGGATGCCTCCCTTTTACCCCGACTTTCCGACGTAGATACAAGACTAGGCATATCTATCTTACTTCCGATCAGGAATCACTTCCCAAGCCTTCTCAAAGCCCGGTCCACGCATCCACTTATCCAGCACGCTCGGATGATCCTCCGTCGAATCGAGCACCATGTTCGCTATCTTCAACCACATCTCGTCCCCCTTGACGGGAAATTTCGACGCCGTCGTCTCACTGCTCTCATACGGCGCGCAGACAGTACGCCCATGGCGCAACGCGCGGATCATCTTGAGGACATGTCCATCGCAGGGGATCTTCTTTGCACGGTCGATAACGTCCGGCCAATTCATACCCTCGCTCCCTCGGCGTGGAGCGTAGTTCGTGATCTCTTCCGTCAAAAGCTTCGGACATCCTTGAGTCACATACATGACGATGTCCATGCGGACTTTGGACTCGAGAAGACGGATTTTGGACCGGATATTGAGCCATGGTAACTCCCCAAAGACAGACAGAAAGATGCTGCAGTTCACGGCGTGCATGAGGAAGAAATCGAACTTGACAGCTTTCTTCGGGTTCTGGCAAGCCGAGGCCATCCAGGCGATCACGTTGATCATCTCGGCGAGACGAAGCTTCAGCGTTTCCTCTGATGAGCTCCGATCGAGGTTGTATTGGGAGGCGAGGTCGAATAGGGCTTGTGGTGCTATGGCGAAGAAGTTGCCGTCGCGCTCGAAACTGCCTGGTGCGAAGCATTCGGCATCTTTGATCGCGGGAGTAGAGCGAGCGGTGTGGAAGAGGTCCATTAGACGCTGGCCGTCTGTCCATGATGGCTTGCCTTTGGCCAGCAGTTCAGTGCGAAGAAGGAAAGAGCATGCTTCGTGGCGGTGGATGGCTGCTTGGGCGAGTGCTTCGGCTACGATGGCGGGTTGAGAGAACTCGACGCCGAAGCCTAGATGGATGATAGGGTGGATTGCTCCTGAATTTACGATCAGTTTTGTCAGGATATACACAAAGACCGAAATCTCGATGATGATGTGGGTTTGGGGGGGCTTTTTGCACCTTCGAACATCCTCCCAAGAAGATCATCTGCGCGTGGTGTTTCGGCGAACAGGTATTCGCCCAGAACGTCTTGCCAGCCCTTCTGAGTGATTTCGTCCTGGAAGAATTGCAGCCATGCAGCATAGTACTGGTGGTGACCTAGCGAGTCTGTGAAGTTGTCCTGAGTGATGGTGTGCTGCCGACATTCATCGCCGGCTTCAATGGGTCGCTGATAGTCCTTGTTGCGTTCGAATGCCTCTTTGATTTGCTCCGGTGAAGCGCCCAGTGCTAGATCGGTCAAGAGGTAATGGACTTGGTGGTTGTGGAGGCCACCTGCACGTTGTGAATCCCATAAGATGTGCCATTTGTCGTGGTTGTGCTGTAGGAAGTGGTTGGTCACGTCTACCGAACTGGCCGGGACGTCGTCGACATGGGTGACGCCGGGATTCTCAGCTGTCAGAGTGATCGTTGTCGATGAAGACATATCGTGTCGCTGGATTTGATTTTGGTCATTTACAAGTTACCTGGCAGTTAATGCAAACTCGACTCGACTCGATAAGTACTGTTCGCTTGCTTCGCTTTGCTCTGCGCGCGTATGGAGGGACTGGAGAAATATACAATACTACATACCTTATGTTACTTAGTCTAGGGGGCAGTCAGGTGCGACAGGGCTCATCATCTTTCCCTGTTACGACGGCATGGTCTCGTGTGTCGTCGCATTCTTGGCTTCCCTTATGTCGAGTACGGACTGGTCGTGGAATGGGAGGCCTAATATGAAGTATTGCTTTGCTCGTACATTAGCGAGCCTGGCGCTCGGAATCCGAATAGGTAGAGAAGCCGAGTTCTCGGGACGGCACAGAGGGTTTCTAGAGGGGTCGGTCGAATCTCACCATGTCGAACCGAGTTCGTAGAACCAATACTTGGTAGCACCCAAGGGTCTTCGAGTCCGGGTGTTGCTTCAGCCACTCCTACACGTCTTTCCGTGCTATACCCTCATCTGGTCATTGACTGACTCGTTGAAGTCGTGCGGACTCAGAGATGAACATGAAGCTCGATCCACTTGCGTCTTGTGGAGTGTAAGACACATCTCTTCATTGAGGAAGGTAAGATCATTCAAAACAGCTCCCCCGGTTCGACCTTGTCCAGAAAACAGTGTCACGGCTATAATCGAAAGAAGAGTGTAGAATTGGTTGATATGAGAGGAGAACGTTTAGAAAACTGTATTGACTATACCACCGCCATCTACTTCATGTACTTCTCAAACCACTCAAGCATTTGGTCCGGATGCTTTTGGAAGTAAAGGTAGCCATCCCACCTTCTCGTCGTCCCCTCGATCCAGAACAACTTCTTCTCATTCGTCGGAATGTTGTCAAAAATGGTCTGCACATCGGTCGGCTTGGTCATCAGATCGTCCTTGACTTGATACAGGAACGTCGGCACATGCACACTCTTCGCCGGTTCGCGGGGACCCAACTCAAACAGACCGAAACTCGTCTGAAGCCTGACCAAGCGATCCAGCTCGGCCATCTTTTCCATCGGGATGCCCTCGCGTTCAAAGTTGCGCTCCATGACGGTCTGGGGAGAAATGGGCTGTGGACCGACCATGCAGCGGACATTGCCATCCTCGAAGAACTGGGGGAACTTGTGCATGGCCCAGAAAGACGAGGTACAGCCCAAGCAGCGACTGAAGAGGCCGATGATCATGTCCTTCGTGTCCGGCCTGCTGCGGGCATAGACGAGCGATCCCACCACGTCTCGAGCCTCAAACCGTCCGGCGCTGACAGCTCCGGAATTTGCGGGACCGCTGTGGCCAAAGTTCCGCAGGTCGTAGGCTAGGACGTTGTAGCCGGCATCGTGGAGGATTTTGAAGTCAGGAACAAAGTTCACTTCGATCGTGTTTCCCGTGGCGCCGAAGATGGATTTCCAGGGTTCCAGGTGCGAAGGGTGTCCCGCTCGTGAGAAGGTCATTGGATGATTGGCAATGATGAGCTTGTTCGAGCCGGGGCAGGGAATGAACCAGCCTTCGAGCGGGACGCCATCGTAGGAAGGGAAGAAGACGTCTTCGTATTCGAGGCCGACTTCAGATGGGTCATGGAGGATGGGTGAGCGAGGCATGTGCCGCATCCCTTTGGCATAGCACTCGAGGATCTCTTGAATCTCGGCTTCGCTTTTCGGTGAGGATCCCATTGTTCAACCTATTCGGTTGGCTACCTTTTGAGGTCGAACGAGAAGAATATCTTTCGAGAAAGGTGATAGATATTGCTGGAACTCGACGCCCGGATTGTAACATCAGATACCTTGCGTTTGGCAATCGACACTTTACCTGGTCTTTAAGTAGGTTTGGTACCTCAGGATGAGCCCGGCGTCGTAATGCTGATTTGGCCCGTTCATAGCTGCCCTGTTCGTCCCCCTGTTCCGTGCTTTATCGGGTTTTATGGGGTGATTAATTCCGGGACATTCGCTCGTATCAGCCGAGAAATAGGTATAGCGGACACGTGAGCGGAGTAAGCAGATGGAAGTGCAGTTCGGTGCAGCCGGACCGAATAGCCATAGTCCTTCGAGTGGTCGAGAGTCTTGGAGGCGAAAACTGGGTTACGGCAGGCCTGGGCGTATCCGATCCGGTCGCCTTTTGTTGCGACATAATGCGGATGCCCATAGCGGAGTATTAGTCCAGCGGCTCAGCGCTTTGCCAAATCCAAGTAGGCCTTTCTGTGTCAGCCACAAAATGTAGGAGTAGGCCATTGAAAGCAAAGGCTCGAAATTCGTGGCCATCAGTAAAGGAACTAAGCAACACAAAGCCAGATAATTGCTGATGTGACAAGTTGAGCTTCTGCTGGTGGCCCTGCCTTGCCTGTCCACTTCGAGGTCCTGGTAGTAGAGGTAATAGTCTACGCAAGCGTCATGTTCAACCGGTTGCCATCCTCTGCTCGAAGATCGATGGCTGTCCGCCGGGCGTGTTCGTACCAATACCACCTGCAGGGTCACCTGTGCCGACATTCATATCTCCAAACAACGTCCTCGGATCGACCTTTGCATACTCCGGGCTGGACAGCACGGCCAATGGCCATCTCAGCGCCCATTGCCACTTCTCCGGTAGAGACCTTTGAATGCCCAGGATTTCCTTCTCCGCTCGGCCCTTGAACCACCAGTAACTGTCAACATACCTGACAAAGACCATGTAGTGCGCCAGAATGACCATTGCCCTCGGCCTCTTCTGCGCAAGGAGTCTGACAAACGATTTCGGCACCAGCGGCCCAAACGCCACGACGCGCATGCACAAGTAGTGCTCTGGTTCGCCGGCACGAGCAGCGTTATATATGCTTCCAATGACAGCGAGTGCGCTGCGATATGCCTCGTAGGTGGTCGGCTCTGTTTCCGCCTGGTTCGCAAACGGGTGCTCTGAATCTTCAAAGTCGAGGACACGGGCGAAAGGCATCACATTGTTAGGGTCGAAGAGCAGGCTTTTGTCGCGGAAATTGGGCTCGCGTGAGGCGCGGAGGTACAACATCATCGCGCCTTCTGGCAGGAAAGGGATCGCAGCTTGGAAAACGGTTTGTATCGCACCGGCTAATGTCAGCCACTGGATTGGAGGGAAGTACTCATTCTCGTCGGATGTGGGAGTGTCGGAAAGAAGGCAGGTTGACATTATGGATAGCAGTATGGACGTTAGGCCAACGGCGTCTGAATTTGAAGGGCCCAGAGATGAAAGTGCGTCACGCTCCTCGGATATTGCAAGGTTGAGGTATGCTCTGTGCAGCTGGGAAAAGTCAACATGGCGGAATGCTTTTGGGATTTGCACAGTCCGGCTTTCCGGGAGTTGCTGCACTTCGCACGTCCACAGGTAGAGCGCTGTGATGGCGAGGATGGCGTTGAGGAGATATTGGTGGTCAAAGGCAGCTTCCATCGCATGCCAGACATAGAGTTCTTTCAGATGCGGCGTCTGCGCGGACGGAAATGCCGGGCTGACAGAGGACTTGAAGCGGTGGATAAGGTACAGCTCGATCTGGTGGCGGAGCGATTCTGGGATCACGCTGTCCAAGTCATCGGAGTAGGGAGTGTCCAGCCCACTAGGCGGGCTGATGGTGGCTCCATGCTCACCAGTGCTGCCTGAGATGCTGGGGGCAGGATCGCGGTGCGGTGGAGAGCTTTTGGGTCGTCGAGGCACGGAGGCTGCTATGGCAGTATCGACGTACTCGCAAGGAACACCGTGGCGGCCACACGCTGCACAAGAAGGTCGTTCTTCTGTGCATTTGACTTTGCGTTCCTTGCAACGACGACATCCAGCGCGGGACTTTCGATGAGCCAATCGTGGCGGCATCAAGATTTAGATTTCGGTTTCCTATGATGTGACATGCATAGAGAACTGGAGAGACCGACGTCGAAACCGAGACCGAGTTTTAGTGATCTGCCGACAGGGATGATGGGGCCCTTGTGGCGCGTCTCACAGCTTGATTGACCACTCGGAGCGAGGATATCGACGTCAAGAGAATATACTGCGTAGTACTCGTAACAGTGAGATCGCTTTCGGATACAGCTGTCCGTCGAGTTCGTGTCCAAGGTCACCACCACTCTCGCTATCGCTGTAGCTTCCTAATTTGTTTGCTCAGGACGCGTTCAAGGAGTGTGTCATGCGAGCATGGTAGAAGAGCTCTGGCCAGCTTCCATGAGAGAATGGGAGGCCTGACGAGGCAGTGTCCAACCTCGAGTGTTTCATTGTGCGTGCTTGTGCTAATTGGTCCGACTCTCCCTTGCACGCACTCTTTCTTCAAGGTCAGCTCGGTCTCGCATATGGCACACACATCACATACAAGCCACTTTGCCAGTGATAGAAACGTCACCACACAGCCGCATCAATGCCCTTACGGTCCAAGTCGAGTGTCGATAGGCAGGCCCTAAAACACCTGGACGTGATTGCTGCGACCGAGACCGAAAGCGACCCAATCTCCTCATGCCTTGCAGTGATGATCGAGACTAAGATGGGGTTCATGAGGTCTGAGGCTGTCCGGAGCGAAAGGAAGCCCGGAATATATAACGATAGAAGGACCCAACAAGCACAAAAGGAATGCCTGGTAAGTTCAACAATCATCTCTCCGTATCCTCTCTCTTGATCTCCTCTTCGAGACCAAAGAATATCATCTGGCCCTCCCGCTTTTTTGCATACTCCCCTTGAAAACATGGCCCTAGACAATACCACAAGCCTCTCGGCCGCTGAATTGGCCATATACCTCATCCTCATCCCCTTGACTGTCTGGCTATTCTTCAAGCACGGCCGGCAAGCGTCCCTGGCCTACATCTACCTTTCCATTTTCGAGACTCTACGCATCGTCGCCGCGGGCCTGCAAATCCACGCCCATAGCCAGCACACGACCTCAAAGACCGGCGCCATCATCGATTCTGTCGGCCTCAGCCCTCTACTCCTTGCCTTCTCCGGCTTTCTCTACGAGCTCGGCAGTTACTATTCTCCACCCGGCCGCAGCAACCGCTTCATCGTGCTCGAAGAAATCCTCGTCCATCTTGGCGCCTACACGGGCATAGCACTTGCCGCTGTCGGCGCGTCGAATCTCACAAAAAGCAACCCTAGTCAATCGGACATCGACCAGGCACACACTCTGCAAGAGACTGGCGTTGTGTTGTTGCTATTGACCTGGGTCGCCCTGGTGTACATGTGCTTCCAGCTCTGTCGCATTCTCGGGCACCCCGGTGTCATTGCTATCCTACTGCCCATTGCCTGCATCTTTGTAGGCGTCCGATCAGTATACAGCGTGGTGTACGCTTTTGATCACTCGCCGTCTGTCAACCCCATCACTGGCGGCTTTGCCATCAAGTTGGTCTTGGTCTTTCTGGTCCAGCTCATCGCTGTGTTGGCGTTGCTTGCGGTCGGCTTCTTGACAAGGGACGTCGCCGCTGAATATGGTACGAGGCGCAGGGGAACATATGCGAGGCCGGAAGATCTAGAAGGGGGTACTGCCATTCCGCTTCGTTCTCCCAAGTAAGGCACGCCAAAAAGGGCTGGGGGTTATCGGCAAGGGAATGCGCTCGTGCAGCACAAGAGACCTAGTCGACAGTGTTAGGGAGGCCTCTGGGTGAAGCACACAGAGGCAGTGCTGGGAGCGGTCCATCAGGATGTTAAATGGGACCAAGCTTGCTTGGTAAATACTCAGGAATTCTATGCTTGCTTCCGAGCAGAAGGCAGTGCAACAAGCAAGTCATCACCCCTCCGGGTCAGCAAAATGAAAGACAAGAATACCAAGAATACTATCAAGTTGCAGCGCGTCTGAAGCATCGCAAATAAAACTGTCCTTCAAAAATCCAGGTCTGAGTCCCACCATGGACTTGATCCCATACCCGACCATTTGCACCTTCTTCCCTAGCCAGCCACATCAATCATATCCCAACTCCGTCAAAGGGCCCGTTCATGGCCTGAAATTCGAAATTCAAAATTCAAACCTCCACACCCATAATAATACTCATTCCCATTACCTCCCTAGGAGGGACAATTAAAGCCAGCCCCATAATCCGCCATGGCCGGATACCCAGCATACAACAGCCTCGCCGAATCGAACGTCGCATTCCCCCTCGTCGCACAGGTCAAACTGCTGTACCGAAAGCAATTATTACTACCGCCCTGACTCGTCGGCCCATTGCGGAACGTCAAGCCGACGCAACTATTCGCGACCAGGACATTCGCGTACTGGCACCAACCCACACAGTCTTCGAAACTGAACGTGAGCAACGGCTGCCCCACCGAGCCGGTGAATTGCGTCTGGCACTCGACCTCGAAATTCGCCGTGTTGCCGGAGTTCGTGTAGGCGTAGCAGTAGGGCGAGGAGCCCGGGCACGAACTCGCGGTCGGCGCGGCGGGACAGGAGAGCGGAGAAGTACTCGTCTTTGATGTACTCGTAGTCGTGCCTGTGCCTGCCCCAGTCGTCTGCGTCGATACCGACGCCGTGGACATCGGAGAGACGCTAGTGGCAGTAGTACTGGTAGTTGCGTACACGGGGTCCGAGATAGCAGGGTAGCCTGGGTACAAGAGTCGAGCCGAAATCAATGCCTGAACCGGATGTTGTGCTGGAGACGCCAGACATAAGGATACAGTTCGGGCTGCTTCCGGCCAGGGAGCCCAAGAAATTCACGCCGACGCAGCCGTACGGTATGGCAACGTTGTACAGCGTGCAGTAGCTGATACAAGTCTTGAGGGAGGAGGCGGTGGTCGAGTTCCCGTTCAAGATGTTGCCCTGGAGGGCTGTGGAGCATTCGACTTCGTAGCAGGAGCCATCGCCGTTCACATTCAACGCCTGATGGCTGTAAGTCGGGCAGAGGGCTGTCGTGGTGGGGCTGGCGGAGCAATACGATGGTGTTGTCGTGGTAGACAACGGAAGTGTAGTGGTCGAGGTGGGAATCCCTGTCGTCAGCGAGGACGACGATATAGTGGAAAGGACGGTCGTGACGGCGAACGTGCTCGATCTCGACGTCGTTGGACTGCTAGATGCAGGCCTTGGTGTTGATTGCAGCACGGTGGTAGTGCTCGTCGCGACTGGCGATGTGGTAGATGGTGTCTGAGGGCTAGCCACATAGCTGGACGACGGCCTGGAGCTAGAGAGGCTGCTAGATTGCTGTTGACCAGTGCTTGTTGCAGTACTAGATGGTTGTTGAGCGGATCCGGGCGACGTGGTGGACGACAAAGCGGTTCCTGCTGACGTGGGGGAGCTCGTGCCAGGGCTCGGGGATGTGTTGCGACCAGTGGTGGATGAGGCGACGCCTGGACTGCTTTGGGCTGCGCTGGTAGCGAGCGAGGAAGTATGTTGCTGGCTAGATGTACCTGGGCTGGTAAGACTGATTGTGTTGGGAATTGCTGAAGTAGTACTCGACACAGGAGGAGGCTCGATGCTGATGGAAGAAATTGGACTGGGGCTGGACATCAGCGCAGTTGTCGTGGTCTCAGGTGGCGGTGTAGTCGAGAATGCCTCAGTGCCAGAAGTAGAGCTCGAAATGCTGGTGTCCGCGAATACGACCTCGGGAGAGTACGGTTGATTTACCAGGACAGCAGCTTGGGAGAATTCATCGGCACCCTTGTACACTTCACTGATGTTGTATTTGAGGGAACATGGGTTAGCTTGTGCGAGCTAGACCAGACGTCAGCGTAGATACTTTTGCCTCGACAGCGCAGCACTTACGATATCAAAGGCAACAGCGACACAGGGACCTTCGGACGATGGGATGTAAGAATTGCACTGATCAATGCACTCGGCAATGTTGGATGCAGCAACTCTCTCAAGGTCATATCCGGATAGATCGGTGTCGCAGAGAATCAAGTAATCATCGTTCACAGTGCCGTCGTATGGCGAACGATCATAGCAATTTGGAGTTCCGGTAGTAGTTGGAGCAGGATATCCTGGAGTGGTTGAAGACATCGGCGCTGAAGAGGGTCTGTTTGATGAGGGCGATGATGATGAAGCAGGCGATAGTGTTGACCCCATGTTGGTTGTCTGAATCACTCGAGAAGTCGCCGCGCCCGAGCTCACTACCGGGCTTGTCGTGAAACTCCCGTAGCTTGGTGAACTCGGCGAAAACAGAGAACTTGACATATGGCCGACGTCAGACGATAACTGACTCGGTTCTGTCGTATGGCTTAGAAATGAGACAGTTGTTGTAGGGATCACTAAGATCGTCGACGTTATGGTGTTGGTGAAAACACCTGATCCTGTGGTCATGCTAGATTGCGAAGCAGTCGTGGTTGAAGATGTGCTGGGCAAACTACTGACAGGGATCGCACCAAGCACGACTTCAATACAGCCCGCTGGCGCTTCTCCGCCAAAGGCCACTTCAAGAATCGAGCCGAAGATGCAGAAGATTGCCTCACCACCAATAAACGCACGGTTCCTCCAAACCAAGATTTTGGCAGAGGCCGTTTCATCTCGCTGTCCTAGAGTGTCGTTGCTGACAAGGGAGAAGACAGTAGAAATCGGTCCAACGGTAGGGGAGACTCCGAATGTCGCTGATGTCTCATTTCCATCAGTCGAGATATATCCTCCAGCGCCCATAAGCTGGCCTGTCGGGTTGATTATGAAGTCAACAGCCAGCGTTGAATCATTTGTGAGTGTGCCATCGGCGGCCACATATTGAGGTTGACCACCTGAACTCTTCAAGATCGCAAGTACAATTGGGTTAGAACTATCTACAGTCAGATCTGGTTGCGGAATGGAAAGGGGAGAACTTACCTGGGGGTCGAAGATGTAATGCTGGTTGTGGTCGCATTTCTGATCAGCGATGTTGTCGAGCTCGTGTAGGTAGCCGGACAATAGCTGACAGCTATTGAAACTGTGGTGCCGTACCCGAATACTGCTGACACCAGGTACGCTGCGAGAGCGACACCAGCAAGACGTCTCCGACCCATCTCGTGTTCCTTACTTTCATTGATCAAAGCCTACCTTTGCAGGAAATGGATCGTGAAGATGAGTACATTGTAAAAAATAATGCGAGGCGAAGTGGTCCGTGTGGGACTTCCGACGCGACTGGAATGATAATACGAAAGATTGCGGAATGCTGGGGGACGAAGGGCGAAAATTTTGTGGTATGCCAGCCGCCAACTCTGGCTACCCATCTGGGAAGAAGCGTCGAGAAAGCGGCCAAGGATACGATTCTGGCTCTCAGGGTGAATTGGCAGCTGATGGTCCTGGGGATACATCTCTTCAAACATGTAAAAACTCAAGATCTTCGGGGCTCGACAGTAAACAGCGGGCAATGTGCACGAGTCTGTCCGCAGCTTGTCTCCCCGAAGCTCAGATGGAATGAAATTGTACCAACCGGGTTAGAGTGACACATCGACCAACTTCTTCTTATCGTGGGTGTCCAAGGCTGGATAAAAGTCGTGCGCAATAAGAGTAAAGGTCAAGAAGAGGCATGTTATATGTTGTATTCGTACAATTCTGACTGCTGCGGTGGTCGTGATCGGACAGAGCAAGGCGTCAGAAAACAAAGTCGACTCTCTTGGGTGTAATATGTCGTTCAACAATCCGCTCGCCCCCAAGTCCGCGGAAATCCAACCACGTCCCTGACGTTCGTCACGCCGGTCAAATAGGCTAGCAGTCGATCAAACCCCAGACCATAGCCACCATGCGGACTGCTGCCAAAACGTCTGAGATCCGCATACCACTTCATACTTCCAAGACTTTCACCAGTTTGGAGGAAAGGGTAGCCGTTGCCATTGAGTTCCTCAGTTCTCTTGAGGAGTCCCTTCTCGCGCATGTTCTGGATGAGATTCTCGAGACGGTGCTCTCTGAGGCTTCCCCCGACAACTTCACAGTAGCCGAACGGCAGCAGGAGGTCAAAGCAAGCAACTGTTTCCTGGCTTGCAGACGGAACAGCGTCCCCAAGTGCTGATGACTGGCCAGGATGAGATGACTGAAAGGACGAAGGCAGCATGTAGAAAGGCTTGATAGCCTTCGGATATCGGACCACGAACGCGGGTTTTCCCTCGGTCAGATTCTCGACTATCCAACGTTCATGCTCGAGTTGCAGACCTTGATCCCATTGCGGTTGCTTGGTAAAGAGCCTCCCGCCACCCGACGCGTAGGCCTTGCTTAGGGCGTCGATTGCCGATGTATAATCGACTTTGTGCCATGGCCCAGTCAATCTGTTCCACCTGTCTTCCAGATCAACAAAATCGACGTCGTCAGGACGATGCTTATGGTCCTCGTAGTACTGCAGTAGTTCTTTGCCGGTGCGATGCTTTCGAAGTGCTTCAGTCACATCCACAACAAGAGCTCTCACTTTTGCCATGAGGTCGTCGAAACTGATGTCGCGATGTTCAGCTTCGAGCATGTAAAATTCCGCCAGATGTCGTGGAGTATCACTTTCCTCGGCACGAAAGGTAGGTGAGAAAGCAAAGACATCTCCCAGCTGCGCCGAGTAAGCTTCCAGGTGCAACTGGGAAGAGACAGTCAAGTATTTCGGATCCCGAAAGTACAATCTTTCTGGCTCTCGGACGGTACTCAAAGGAGTGAACCTAGGAACTTGTTCTTTGCTCCGAGGAGTTATCGTGAAGACTTCTCCAGCGCCTTCGCAATCTGAAGACGTGATGAGGGGTGGATGGACCTGATAAACTGGGCTCGAGCCATTGTGGAAATGTGAAGAGACGGCGGCAGTGAGATGGCTACGGACTCGAACCAAGAGCGACTGGAAACCAGTCCGCATACGAAGATGGGGAACACTTCGCAGGAAGTCAGCAGTCATAGACTGCTTCTGTATCGGATTCTCCTATGTCACAGTGAGCCATAAGCCAGCCCAGGGAGTGCGTGCTGTTCTTACCAGAGGATTGCTCTCTCCTATCGTCTCTATCTCTTGCACTAGTAGTTCGTGACTCTGGCCTGCGCCTTGCGACGCTACCCATCTCCCAATCAAGGACACATACGCTCCGTTGGTAATGCTAAAGCTCACAATCAGCCATTGACCCATGCTCTTCAGGCTTCTCTGCACTTACTCTTTGGCCATGTTTGGATGGGGAAACACAGCTTGTACACTGCCCAATGTAGATCCATCTGCGACTCGTGCGAACGATACTTTTTTCTGTTTCCGCACGCTGCGGACCAAGCCCCTAATTTTGACCACTGCATTGCTTTGTTCGGACTCATACTCTTTCCTATTATCTTCGAGGGTCGCATGATGCAGCGAGACGGGTGCAGGAGACACTCCTGCTTTGCTTGTCTGCTCGTAAAGACAGCGGGTGTGACGGAGGCTAGGTGAGGCTCGTGCCAATATTTCAGAGCTGGACTTCCGCGAGATTGTCAGAGCCCGCGAGAGCCATGGCGACTTCGAAGCTCGCCATAGCATGCCGCTCCGAGTTTCTAAGGGCGGTAGCTGCAATCAACTCAATGCGCGTCAAAGAAGGTGTTTAAGTAGCACGCGCAGTAGTACTCGAAAGCGGAATTACAGAAATTATTCCTCCGGCAAATAGCCGTCAGCCTCGTCGATCCAGCCTTGCGAAGCGTCTACAAGTCCTTGAGACGGAGCAGGTCACACCAAAAATCCCCGTTAAAGCCATCTTACGACATGCCATCAACGTGTTGCCGTGACGGCCACTGGGTCCTTGTTGATTACTTGATGATATCATGCTGCGCAGCAATATCGTTATTTGTGACGAAGATTAAGCAGAAACAAGCAAAGGATGGAAGAAAGAGCCAGGAAACTGGAGAGACAGTAGCTTCGTTCGACAAAGAGGATCCATAGATGTGACTTTCAAACCTCATTGACAACACATATCTCAAAGACCATCTAACATGCGATCAAGCACAGCGAGACAAGTCTCTACTCAAACTCAGAAAGGATCGTTCGATCCTAAGTAACGACAACAGACTCAACCACATAATCGACTCATCACAAGCGAGTGAGCTCACGTACGATATGAAAGCTCATACACAACAGAAACTCCAGCATCATGCTCCTGTGCCCATTTCAGCTCCATTTGACCATGCCCATGGATGTGCAGCCAAATAAGCTTGCTCGTAAACAAACCCAGAAACGCCGTGGCTGATGCAGATATTCGTGAAAGTTGCTCCAGTCGACCATGCGCCTACAAGCAGACTTGCCTCCATCACCCAGCGTTACACTCTTGCAAAAACCCGATCGAGCTTGCTCAAAGCTCTCTTGTCTTCACGGAAACCCAGTTTTTCACTTGGGATATCTTGGGGCGGTGCGCCATTCTTTGTCCCACCAGGGCTTGTGCTGCCCTGTCTGTCGGCCTCGGCCTCATTTTGAGGCGTTTCAACAGGTGGAGGCGGCAAAGTAGAGATATTGTGTACCAAGGCATTGATTGTAGGAGCCTGGCTAGCATTGATTGTAGGAGCCTGGCTAGCATTGACTGTAGGAGCCTGGCCAGTATTGATAGCTGCAGGTGCAGACGATCGGGGCTCTGACTGCGGTGCCTCTGGGTTTTGCGAAGTGCCGCTTGTTTGAGGTTCAGCGACGTCGACCGAACCCGTCAGTCGAGGATCAATCTGCAATCTCTCGCTCTCCTGAGGAGCTGGGGGAAGTGGTGGTTGAGCAGGGCTAAGCTGGGGTGGCTGGGGTACCGGCGGAGGCGGCAATGACTGGCTAGTGCTGTACGGCACCGGCGGAGCTTGAGCCGTGGGAGTCGGTGCTGAAGGTGGAGGTACTGACTCGGAGGTTCGTAGAGGGCGTTGATCATAGGCAGATGGCGGCGCGTGATTGAGATGAAAGGCATGTGGCGAGTAGTGACCAGGAGGAGGATAAGGGATAGGTGGCAGTCCATGGGCAAGAGCTCCATACGGCTGTAGAGCGTAGTGTGCAGGAGGAGTGTGCATCGGACTAATGGGATAGAGGTAAGCGCCGTGCGGCAAATAACCCGGTGGTAGATAAGGATGTGGGCTCCCTTGGCTCGGTCTGTGGTAGCCAGGAGCGCTAGGACTGACCACATAGCTAGGTACTCCTACCATGGGTGACCTCGTCACGGCTGGCACCGAAGACTGATCGTTGATGGTTGATTCCGGATAAAGCCCCTTTGCAGGTTGAATGTGAGCTAGAGCAGGATCGGTGCTAGGCTGCCGTAATACTTGTGCTGTCGGATGTGATCGAGAGTAGTAGCTGATGAGGTGTAAATGTTGACCTTGTGAAGTCGTGATGCTGAAAGACTGTTTCATCAGGCCATCTGGTTTATAGCGATAGCCATCAGGGCCCTCTTCGCCCTCCCCGTTCTGTAAAGGGTCGTCGGCAACACTGTCAGGAGTTTTCGTTCCTTTGTTCGCAGGTGCCACAAAAGAGTTGCCTCCTCGTTTCCCTTCCATTTCGCGATATGTCAGAAAGCTGCCGGAAACGCGGCTGGCACTCCAACTCTTCCCGTCGGTCCATCTTCTCATGCCAGCCTCTCTCTCATCCCAGACGAATACTGAACCTGATCGGATATTCTGCCTCTCCTTTTCAGATAATCTGCGCTGAACACGAGGTAGAATACCGAGTCTGCAAGCTTCGAATAGGATGATGGCGTCCGTGGGTGTGCGGACGTGACCGTTGTATGTCTCCATTGTGCACTTTACTCGAACAGCGAGTGTCGGGGGTCTTGATATGCCGCACCTGCTGCGACGTAACAAGTGAACCGCGTAAAAAGATCAAAAGCTATGGCGATCTGAGTAGGCGGGTAGGACGCCTCCGCTCGCTGCGACGTCTAAATCGTGACTGTACTGGGCGGCCTTCGTTACTCAGACAGGTGACTTTGGTCGCGTGTTGGTTTTGTTCGATTTCCACCTGCGATATTTCCTTTGGAAAGATATCCCACTTGCAATGGGCATGGGATCTGCTTGTATCGCGGCCAGGAATTCAGATGGTTCTTTAGGCGGACAGATGTGCTTCTCGGAGAATTCACTGTGAGTGACTTCGGAGGGTCGTGGGTGGTTAACATCAGCCAGAAATTCAGGCAGGTTCAGGAGGGAGTCCGGATGGGCCGCAGTAATAGCACATCCCTGAGCAAGAAGAGAAAGAAAATCAAAGGTCCAAATGTGTGTGAAGAAAGGGAAGGCGCAGGTTTAGTGAGGGAATCAAGGGCCGCCGCAATCGACAGGGCACTTGGAACGAGTTGATGTGGTGGAGCCCGTCAAGCAGCATGGTTCCCACACCAAGCTTGGGCTTATGCTTAAATCAAAGCCGCCGCGCCCGCTTAAAAGCCCGTGCGTTCTCGGCTTGGGCCTGGGCGCCCACTCGTCCAAATTCATTCGTGCCATTTGTGCCAGGTGCTACGTCTTCCCGATGATCACCAATAGAGAATGCAACGGGTGGGTGTTTCGAACACCACAACGGGACGTCTCCAGCGATCTTACTCGTAGTCGAACAGTACCTAGGTGTCTCTGAGAAGAATCTCCCCGAGGCCGAAAGTGCTAGACACCGCGTCATTCTATCTTCTTAGAAATGGCCACAAGAGACGCGTATCACCTGGACGTCTCTTATGGCGGTCCAGTCCGTACACACAGGGAAATTGAACAAGCTTCCTAGGGGTTTCTCAGATCTTGGAATCCTTGGCGTTCTTGGAAAGCTTCTTGGTCTTCTTGGACTGCGTGCTCGGCATCTCACGGAGACCCAATGATTTTGCGGTCCAGCGGGTGAGCAAGTCTTGACCCAAGAAGAGACAAGAAATGCTAGCAAGGAACCCATCATTGGTGTTATCAATGAAAAAGCTAGCTCATGGAGGAATGGCCTTGGTCTTCGTTCTTAGCCTTAATTTAACACCCTCCCAAGGCTTGGCATACTCAAAAAAATCGAGTAGATTCTCGGCAGCAGTTCCGGTTTGGCGGATAAGGTACGTACCTCTCTACTATGTATGTAGGTACTTGTACCACCCCTTCTTAGCAATTTCAGACACCGTGGTACAGAAATCCCAGTCAAAAAACCTGTTGCTCTGCCTTTGTTGTGTGACACGCTTACTTGTCATATGAAATTGAAGCAGCCTTAGCCGTGTGTTCCACGGGACCTCATCAGAGTCAGACACTTCCAAGTTGCCGCCAGTGGAGGCACCAACGCCAACTGCCTTGGCATTCCTTGGTGCTCGTGGTGCTCTAGGTGGTGCTCTTAGTTACCTAGTCGTGGTTAGCTTCCCATCTAACTCGGCTTGGCGGTCTAGGTGTTGCGTAACCTTTGTGTCTCGGCCTTTTGGCATTGTCTTGGTCGACTCCAGGGTCTTCCTCAGCGTAAATCCAATCTTTCTGCGCCCAACTTCAGTGTTTTAGAATCTCGTTTGGCCTGTCAAGTTGTCTGATTATTGCGACACTGTCATGCATGGTGAAAGACATTCGTGTTCATTAGTCGACCCCAGGGCCCTCTGACAGCTGAGTTATCTAGGGTGACCCTGCGCTAATGCTTAAACAACTAAGGTTGTTAAGCATGATTCAAGCCGCCGAAGTCAATTTCCAGTGCATTGCCAAGGGCTTCATCCCTGTCACCTTTCCTAGGCAAATTGTTGTCAAACCGAGAGAGACCGAGAAGAGTCCTGTCTGCCTGCCAGTGCCCAAGACTGGAGTAAGCGTTAGCTGATCTTGGTAAAGACATGGCCCCCTTGGCTGATCACCCAGTGATTTTGAAGGAGCATTTGCCGTGTTCGCCAGCAAGCTGGCGAGCGAATGACTTTGACCCCCCAAGAGGCCACGTGTCTCGCTCGATCCTTGCTGGCGCTAGTCAAGCCATATTGACCACCCGTGCCACCCTAATCCCAGTACATGTGGCGGACGTGTTTGTTCAACGACTCGCCAAGTCAGCCTCTGCGAGGTGCAATGCGGATTTCGTCGTCCGCAAAATATTGCAGCCTGCAAAAGGCTTCAACGAGCACAACTGTTCTGGTTCGAGCAAGAATGACAACCATATTCCACATCCACCAGATCAAGACGGCTCGAATATCTGCAGAGACAGAGTCCATAGTCCAGATCGCCGATGCTTTCTGAGCGCCGTTTCTGTAAAACATGTAAACGACGATCTGGAAGTAGTACACGAGCCTCAAGAATCTCATTCAGCTAAACATTACTCGGCCGGAGAGCATTCAAGCTATTATCTTATCAAAGTCCCAAAGCCCCAAAGCAGCACCGCCGGTGAATAGCTCAGAGATCTCACCTGGATTCTGAGACCGACAACATCTGCATCGCAACATTAATCATCAACCAAATCACGTTCTTTCGAGCCATCGCCGAAACCCTGAGTGCCTGCCTCAGGCCTTATGCGGCCTTCGCCGAACTTTTATAGTTGCTTTCATGGGAGGTAGGTGCGTCCTGCCCATCCACACGTTACTGGGTCTCGAGGGCTGCATCTCAAACTCATAATTGAGTACCATATACGCCAGGAGCATTTTGAGCTCGTTTGCGGCGAAGAAACGTCCGGGGCAGGCGTGTCGTCCGTGCCCGAAGGGGTGGTACGAAGCCGACGTGCTAACGAAACTTAGGTTCGCTTTCCTGATGTACTCTTCGTTGTCGGTCATTTTGCCTTCATTCTGGCTGTCGTCTCCCTCCAGGTGATGGGCTTCCCGTTGCGAGGAGAACCGGAAAGGTTGGTAAGTCCCAGGGCTGGAATAGAGCGTTGGGTCGTTCTGAACGGGTGTCGTGGGTACCGAGATCATGCTTCCGTATGGGCAGAATGTCCCATTTGGAGCTGTCGTACCGCTCGGGCTCACAACGACACGCGCCAACGCACCGAGAAAGGAGCCCATGCGCGAAGATTCCCGTAGAGCAGAGTCAATCTTGAGCATCCTGGCGATACCTTGTTTTGTCCAGATCCCATTCTCGCTGGCAAGCACAGACGCTGCTTCGTCGCGCAGTATCTCCAGGTACCCCAAGGACGGATCTGAGCCGACCAAATCGAATACGGCGTTCGTGATGCTCATTGTCGAAGTATGGATAGCAGCGAAGTTTACTGCCAGGGTCCTTTCAGCAATAATGTCAGGATTATTCTCAACTGTGATTCCAGACTCTCTTGCGCGACGGATAGACCACTGCAAGAAGTCATTGGGCTCCTTCTCACCGATGCTCTTCTCGTTGTCGGTGGTCTCATCAAGCAGTCTTTGACGTCGCTCAATCTCCGGTCGCAGAATGCGCGCAAAGCCTCTGGTGTGTCTCTTGTTAGGCAGCGTCACCAGAGGGCTTAGAATGGGACGAAGAAAGGCAGGCATTTGTTTGAGAAGCGCCGCACTGACGGCCATGGCAATGGCGAAACCTTTGCCATGGTCGAGAAGAGTCTGATGCCGACACCACGGTAGACCGATCAAGGCGCGATTGCTGGTTCTGGCAACAATCTGCATAGCCGTATCGAAGACACAAAGTTCTCTCCAATTCTCCGTGTCAGTGCCCCAGTATTCATCAAAGGAGGCGGAGAGCTCGTCCATAATCGGGACGGTGAGAGCACCCAACTGCCGCGTCAAGTCCGTCCTGACTGTTTCATGGTGAAGAGGGTTTTCGACGATGAAGGGATGGACGAAGGTATGGTCAAATTGGAGGGTATCTCGGTGCATCTCGTCGACACTAAGGACGGTGTCGGCTTGACTGATGAACCATGACATTGCTGAGATCGGCAGAATAATCTCGGCGCCATTGATGTCGGGAAGAATGCACGATTGGTCGTTCTTGGAATACTGTAGTCTTTAGCGGGTTATCTTTACTGAGGCGTGTTGTAGAGTCATACTTGCTCATAGGCTTGATAGATGGCATCTTTGTAGTTTATCGTGGACCTGAACCGGGCACGTAATCTGGTGAATAGCTCTCCATCGCGAGTATTGAGCCAAGGCAGATCTGGAAGGGCTGGTTTCGAGCGCTGGTGGTAGTAGATGGCAACAGTGATGATGATACCACCCACGAGGAGAAGTGGGTTAAAGTAGCCAAGCATGGCTATTGTGGTTGTGCGCCAGTGACGGAAGCCTTATATCAAGTCGAAAGCTATGAACGCTCTACAAGGCGGTCCACAAGGTGCTCTGAGTTGAACCTATATTGAATCCGGGCTCACAGACAGCTCGATCAGGAGGGGAAACGACAGAAATATGAAGAAGAAACAACTGTTGCACAGGCCTGTCCAAAGATAAAGAGCCTGTAAATACAACAGTATGAGCCCCGATGTCAGCTGAGAAAAATACGAGGAGACCTCGTGTAACTGGAGCGCGGGAGGATCGAGCACCTGCTGCTATCTCGGGTTACGGTTCTGTCACCTACCAAGAAGCGTAGATCCCCTTGACAAGCCAAGGGTGGCATCCACGGCGTTGGATCGTATGTCACAGTAGAAGGATTCGGTATGGGATCTGGAACAAGATGCCCTTACCGACGTTAATTCTAGGCTTGACTTGCCCGATTTCATCTCTGACACCCATCTGATGATCAGGAGTTCTCGCTTAGAGTCGCGGAGATCCAACTTGCCGAAAGCCAAGTAACCGTAAACCACTGAAGCAGTGGACGAAACGAGTCTTTTGCTTCGTTTCACAACGTAAGTGACGCCCGAATGAAACGTACTAGGGCCGTCCCAATGTATCCGGACAAGGCAGGGCCGGCAACAGAAGCTCGATACGAAGCGGAAGTTGATGATCCGATGGCTATGAGAAGCTTTAGTCTGATCTAGATGCTGCATCTGCCGCAACTGAAGGGACTTCTTGTGCCATGTTTGCGATATCGTAGGCGGGAAGTGAACGATGGTCTTCGGACTCATCACGGCTAGTAAGGCTAGCGGGTTAGGTGTTGGGCGGTGGGCGGTGGGCGGTGTGTTCTTTAGCTGCACTAAACCTGTTTAGGGGCCGGCTTTAAGCGCTCTGCGGAGAGAGTGTCCCTAGCTCGAGCCTAGCCCTCCACTATCTCCAAAATCCAATCGCAGTCACGCACGCGTCAAGTCGCGAAATCCAGGTACGCCGCTGTATGATAAACAACACTCATCACAACATCAGACTATCTGCAACGATTAATGAGATCCGGCCGGGCCTTGTCAGGTTCTCTCCCACGTCGGTGATTGATCCCTTGTCATGCCGCCAAATCCCTCGGACCTTCAGCCGCGCCGATGGCTGACCCACGATTGACTCGCATTGAAGGCACCTTGACCTCATTGTTCGAGAGCCTCGTCCCTTCCCCAAGTCTCGACCAGGACGATACAGAGACCGAGTTCCGCATAGACCGCGCCATCCAGAATGCCAAAGACATTGTCCTCCACGCCGAAAGCAAACTACCTACAGACACCAATCAGGCGCAGGACTTAATAAAGAGGAAGTTGCTACGAGAAAATGCGTCGCCCGAGAAGGCGGCTAGGTTTAGCAACCTATACTCTAGACTGCTAGCCATACCCGTTCTGAACCAGAAATGGGCCATCTTGTACCTTCTCTACAAGTTGTGCGACGACTCCACCCTCGATGGGCGCCCACGCGATCCTTTAGCAGACTCGGATCACTTCGCCAACATACCTCGAAGACATACACTATCTGCAGAAAAGCCATATCAAGCGGACGAGCAAGAATTCGAAGATGCGCCAGAGGAACAGCTCTTCCGGAGAGGTCGGACGTTACCATCAAAGGCAAGGACTGAGTCTAAGCGTCAAGAGGAGGCTCCTACCGAAGAGCAAGAAGTAGTAGAAAAACATGATGAAGAGCCACCACAGCCCGAGAAGGAGCGCATCATCTCGCCCACGGAGCTGGAGTTGCTACGAGACCTTCCCTTCAACCTCCAAGGGGTGTCTTCCGCACATGTTGAATTCACGGGTACCACTTCGCTCAAATTACCCACGACCCTCCCAGTTCCAATCATATCTTTGCTGCACGCGCTGGCAGAACCATGCCTACTGTATCGCGGTCTCGCGGAATATGCTGGTGGTCAAGACGGTGGTCTTGTGGATCAAAGCCTTCGTTCTGCCATCAATGACGAATTGCGCTCATATTTGAGTCTGGTCGCCTCGTTGGAAACCGAGATTAGGCAGGCTCTCGCGACTTTGAACCAAGCTCAAGATTCAAAAGTTGTTCGAGTCACTGGCGTGACGCTAAAACGATGCATGATCTGGACTAGAGATGCTACGATGGGCCTGCGGCTGATGAAACTCATTGTGGAAGACTCTCAGCAAAAGCGAGGCGGCCAACTACTGTCTCTTATTCACAACTTGTCGTCCTCACACGGCGATCCGTTTGTGGCGTCATTCGCGGAAAGACTCCTTGCTCATGTCGCCCGGCCTTTCTACGAAATGTTGAGACATTGGATATATGACGGAGAACTTATCGACCCCTACCACGAGTTTTTCATCACAGAACCTGATCCTAACTCTCTGCCCGCTGTGGATCACCGACATGTGGCCACATCTGTTTGGGAAGAGAAGTACAAGCTTGATGCTGCGATGGTACCGACCATCATCTCAGCAGAATTTTCCAAGAAGGTGTTCCTGATCGGCAAGTCTCTAAACTTCATTCGGCACAATTGTGGTGACTCGGATTGGGTCATTCAATATTCCAAATCGAATTCGAAGTCCCTGGATTACGCAAATACTGCCAACTTGTCGACGTCCATCGATGTGGCTTACAAGACTACTATGTCACGTTTGACCCACCTCATGTCCACCAAATTCGGGCTATTCACCCACCTCACCTCAATTAAAAAGTACATGCTGTTGGCTCAAGGCGATTTCATTGACCTGCTCATCGAATCGCTGGCACAACATCTTGATCGTCCAGTGAATTCCATGTATAGGCACAATCTCACCTCGCAATTGGAGCATGCAATCCGGCACTCGAATGCTCAATACGACGATCCAGAGGTCTTGCGACGACTGGATGCCCGTATGCTGGAGCTGTCCAGCGGTGAGATTGGTTGGGATTGCTTCACACTGGAATATAAGATCAGTCCGCCATGTGACGTTGTCATCACTCAATGGGCCAATACGCAATATCTGAAGATATTTAATCTGCTATGGAGAATAAAGAGGGTTGAATTCTCCCTCAACTCGACATGCAAGCGCTCTATGACCGGAGGTAGGGGAGTACTTGCGGCAGTAAGCGACAAGTTGGGTCGCGACTGGAAACGGTCTAGATGTGTTGTTGCTGAGATGGTGCATTTTATCAACCAGTTATTGTACTATCTTCTGTTTGAAGTTATCGAAGCTAGCTGGAAACAACTTGACGAAGCTATCCACAAGCCGGACGCAACTTTGGACGATCTGATCGAGGCTCATACCAATTACCTCAACAACATCACGAAGAAAGGGCTCATTGGTCAACAGAGACACCCCGTGACTGGTCAGCAGGAAGATAGTCTAGTTGTGCAAGTTCACCATATCTTGAAGTGCATGCTCAATTATCGCGAGGTCATCGATTCTCTATATTCCTACAGTGTTGCGGAGTACACCAGGCGACAACAGTTCACTGCAAAGATCGAACAGCGAACGGCGCAAGGCCGATGGGGCATCACTGAAAAGGATCTCGTGGGCGATTCTCGAGCGAGCACGCCGACTTCCGCTGCGCCACCTAAATCAGGCAGGAGACCACAGCTTGTTCCCGAGGACAGTGACTCTCCGGTTGTGCCACCCATAGGCAACCTCGGCTTAGGCGATGACGAGACACATCTGAACTCCTTGCGATCCAGGCAGTTGAACCTGTCGGCTGAGTTCAGGTCACGTCTGAGCATGTTGCTATACGACTTGGCCCACCAACCTGATGTCGACCTGCGCTTTTTGGGTGTTGTGATGAATTTCAATGAAGTGTATCAACCTGTGAACGTGCGGCGACATCAGGCAAGACGTGCGAGGGAGAAGCGTGAGCTAGAAAGGAAGACTCGAGAAGCTCGTGATACGGCTATTTCTGAGGCTAATACGTCAATCGAGAAGGATATGAATAGCTCAGCAACCAAAGCCTGAACAGTTGCATACCCCTTCCTGGAAGCTGCCATGAGACAAAGTTCTCACGACGAGGCAAGTGGTCCACTTGGCGGTGCGGACACCTTTTGGATCTTCAAACAGCATCATGAGAGGCTGCCTTTCGCATCTGTTAGCGGCTTGCGACTCCTGCGGCGGATAATCACATATCACGCAAGGTAGCCATAGACGAAGACGGGCGTACGACATTCCGAAATTCAGCGACGAGACGAAGAGTCGGTTTGTGGCAGGAAGAGTCGTACGTTCGGATTGCTGTTACTCCGTACCATTCCAGTGTTCATGAAATGTTCTCCAGCTGTCAAGGCGAGTCGGTAAGACTGCTGAAGACCGGGTCTCTTACGAGTGGTCCTGAATGAGCGACGATGTCATGTAGCACGAATTGAATAGCAATGAAGAGATAACCATAATGCTATAAAGGAAGCTGATGGGTGTGATCTGCATCAGCTTCATTCGAACGGATCGCTTTCAGTAAGCCAGATGATTAGTTGACTTTCGTAAGGTATAACTTAGTTTGCTGTAGTCAATTCTGGTGGTGATGCTTCCCAAGCCTTGTGCACTGGCTTAGCTGGAGCCGAGGGTAGTGAGGCTTAGAGCCCTCTGCATAACGCTCTGTCGAGATCGGAACATCACATGTGGATCAAGTCACCTGCATTGCACTCGTAATATGCCGTACTTGCCACCTTACTAATTGGCCTACTCATTCCTTCAGGTTTACTCCGCTTCAATATTGGATTCGCAAAAGGCCAAAGGACGATCAGCTGATGGGCCCAAGATGACGGATGCTCAGGACTCGGTGATCATTGTCGGCGCCGGCCTCGCCGGGCTGGTCGCTGCCTACGAGCTCACGCGCAAGAAAATCCCCGTGACCATCGTCGACCAAGAACCCGAGGGTAGTCTAGGCGGCCAGGCGTTCTGGAGTCTGGGCGGGATCTTCTGCGTCAACTCGGCGAACCAGCGGGCCAAGGGAATCAAAGATTTCCGCGAACTGGCGATGGCGGATTGGATGGGCACGGCGAAATTTGACCGCGAGAAGGAGGACTATTGGCCGAGACAATGGGCCAAGGCGTTTGTGGACTTTGCGACGGACGACATGGAACGATATCTCAAGGATTTGGGCGTCAAGTTTCTTATGGTTGGGTGGGCGGAAAGGGGTGCGGGTGAGGCAACCGGACTTGGGAACAGTGTGCCCAGGTTTCATTTGACCTGGGGCACGGGGCCGCAAGTCGTAAGGGCATTCAGTGGTCCGGTACGGCAAGCGGAGAAGAAGGGGTTGGTCAAGTTTTTGTTCCGGCGGAAAGTTGATGGGCTTGTGCTTGATGAGGAGGGCCGGGCGGTCGGGGTCAGGGGGAAGGTGCTTGAAGGTGTCAATGGGAAGAAGTGGGTGAGAGGGAAAGAGACGAGTAGGAGTGTGGTCGGGGAGTTTGAGGTCAGAGGGCGCGCGGTGGTGATAGCTACGGGCGGGATCGGTGGGAATGTTGACAAGGTGAAAGAGAATTGGCCGGTCGATAGATTGGGGCCGGAGGTGCCGCGCAGCTTTGTCATCGGGGTACCTGCGCATGTGGATGGAGAGATGATCGGGGTTGCGAAGGCCAGTGGTGCGAATGTGGTCAATATGGATCGCATGTGGCACTACACGGAGGGCTTGCAGAATTGGAACTCCATCTGGCCGCGACATGGGATTCGAGTGATACCCGGCCCGAGTTCAATGTGGTTGGACGCGAGCGGGAAGAGGTTCCCGCCGTTCCTTTACCCGGGGTGCGATACGCTGGCGACGTTGAAACATATTGTGGCAACCGGATTCGATTACTCCTGGTTCGTCTGTAACCGGAGGATTGTGAGCAGGGAGTTTGCGCTGAGTGGGAGTGAGCAGAACTACGACCTCACAGAGAAGAGTTTGGTTAGGTTATTGGAAAGATACTTCAGCAGTTATGGGACGAGGGAGGTGCAGGCTTTCTTGAAGCATGGGGAGGACTTTGTCGTGGAGAAGGATCTGGGAAAATTGGTCGAGGGGATGAATAGGCTGGCGAAGGAGAGGGGTGGGCCGAAGCTGGAAGAGAAAGATGTGAGGAAGGAGATTGAGGCGAGAGATATGCAGGTCGCACACGACTTTGGGAAAGATGCGCAGATTATGTTGATCAGGAATGCGAGGAGTTATGGGCCGGATGGGAGGAGGATTGCAAAACCGCACAGGCTTTTGGATCCGAGTGCCGGTCCGTTGGTGGCAGTGAGGATGAATCTGCTGACGAGGAAGAGTCTCGGTGGGCTGGAGACGAACCTCGACGGGAATGTCATGATGCCTGATGGACGGCCGTTCATGGGTCTATATGCTGCTGGTGAATGTTGCGGGTTTGGTGGAGGCGGAGTGCATGGGTACAGTTCGCTGGAGGGGACATTCCTAGGAGGGTGTGTTTTCACAGGACTGACGGTGGGAAGAGCGCTGGTCAAGGACATACTGCCAGCGAGTGTCGAGTCGAGATTGTAATATACAGAGTCTTGTACTGCTACAACTGGGATTAATAAGTTAGGCGTACTGTGTAAAAGTACTCGATCTTGATGCTCCTGAAGCTCAGCCTCGCCTCTCAGCCTTGTCGTTGGACTCGAGAAGTTTAAGCGCAGTTTATCCGAATGACGTCGACTTGTTCTTTTCCGTGCCAACCAAGGTGAAGGTGCCCTCCGCCCTCGAGTGCCACGACTGCGATTGCCTCAACCATGACGGCGTTTCATCTCTAGGCACCTGCATTTTTAGTCCTTGTTCATAGAGCATAGATGATCCTTGGAGTCTCTCGCTTACTACAGACTTGAACACCTTGCATTATACCTTGAATCACGAAAGAGCTGTCCTTGGAATATTCCAGAACGAAGAATCGGCACCTTGCGACAGACTGATACACACTGAGCGAGAAGAAAGTACTTTTTACTCCTCACCGAGTCTCAACTAAACTGCTATCGAAAGACAAAAACACTTTCCTCCTTTGCAAGAATGTCCACCGCTGTCGTTGGCGCGGACGACGACGTCCTCGACCCTACCCTCCAGAACCTCATTGATCAGAAGTCGTTAAGATGGATTTTTGTGGGCGGAAAAGGTGGCGTTGGCAAGACCACGACATCTTGTTCTCTGGCAATACAAATGGCGAAGGCGAGGAAATCTGTGCTGCTGATCTCTACGGACCCGGCACATAACTTGAGCGACGCGTTCAGCCAGAAGTTCGGAAAAGATGCGAGACTCGTCGAAGGTTTCGATAACCTAAGCGCCATGGAAATCGACCCCAATGGAAGCATCAATGATTTGATCGCAGGCGCTGGAGACGAAGGTCAAGATGCTATGTCCGGTCTAGGTGGAATGGGAAACATGATGCAAGATTTGGCATTCAGCGTACGTCCCCAGAGCCGAAGCACTCGGAGCTTCTACTGACTTGGTGTAGATTCCTGGTGTTGACGAGGCCATGTCATTCGCGGAAGTCCTCAAACAAGTAAAGTCTCTCTCCTACGAAGTCATCATCTTCGACACCGCGCCGACGGGCCACACGCTTCGTTTCCTCCAATTTCCCACGGTTCTAGAAAAGGCTCTAGCAAAGATTTCTCAGCTGTCCACGCAATTCGGACCCATGCTACAGTCAGTACTGGGCGCCAGAGGAGGTCTTCCCGGTGGTGCCTCCATGGAAGAACTTACCCAGAAGCTCGAAACCCTCCGAGAGACCATCTCTGAAGTCAACACTCAATTCAAGAATCCCGACATGACCACTTTTGTCTGTGTCTGTATCGCCGAATTCTTGTCCCTGTATGAGACCGAGCGAATGATCCAGGAACTGTCAAGCTACCAGATTGACACTCATTGCATTGTTGTCAATCAACTGCTCTTCCCCGAGAAGTCCAATGAATGCAAACAATGCAATGCGAGGCGGAAAATGCAGAAGAAGTACCTGGACCAAATTGAAGAGCTATACGACGAATTCAATGTTGTTAAGATGCCTCTACTCACTGATGAAGTGCGGGGTGTGGAAAGCTTGAAGAGGTAAATATCTCCGCCAAATTACTAGAAGGACGAGGCTAATGAATCTCACAGTTTCTCGGAAATGCTTATTCATCCGTATCAGCCACCTTCTTGAGTAGTCACACGTTGGAGTTTGAGAGATCTGGTACAAATCGAGTCCCTGTTGCGATAGACGTGTTCAAGCATGAGCGAAGTTGGTTTCTGGAGATTCTTTGAAGTCTTCGAGTAAAAGAAATGATTGCGCCCTTCACCCATCGCCCTGCTATTCCCTTGCTCCGTTCTACTGGAAGACTCTTCCAACAGTGTTAAATGATACATCAAGCATGGATAGTTTCCAGCTGATTACTTGAAGTGCCATGAAATCAGGAATAAGACTTCTCTGGTACCAGATCTCTTGATTTGGGGTTGAGGCTGCGATGCAGCTGTGATGAGTGTATATACATAAATTCAACAAGGTCCAAAAGGGGCCATGAGTCTCAATAGCGCCGAAAGTCTCAGGCAAAATATCGTCCCAAAACTCCACATCAATGCGCCCATGGGCCTATCCATCCCAATGCCATGATATCAAAACTCCCCATTGCGAACACAGTGTACCCTTTGACCACTACCAAGCGCCAGAGACAAGCAAACAGCCGATGTGTCTCAACCACGACCAGCGCATCATGAGACAAAATCACAGCAATGATAGCGGACGATTTTCAAATCTCCACATGACGCTCTCTCGCTTCCTTCCCTGCACTCTGTCAAGCAGAAGACCTTGTCGACGTAGGCCCCGCTGGAGACAGGGGAACTAGATCGGATTGGAGAGGGGGAAATGGATTTTTCATCGCTTCGTACCCAACGCCTGCTCGGAAAAAAAAGGGGGAACACAACTTGACAACCCTCATTTAGACTCAACCCCTAGTTCTTGCGGTTGAAGAAGCTGGAGGCCGTGGAGCCGAGACCGCCGCCCATCATGCTGTTGCTGTTGCTGCCGCCGGCCTTGTGATGATGTTTGTTCTTCTTATTCTTCTTGGCGTAGTCTTCGGCGAGAGAACCGATGATGGCACCGCCTATTGACCCCAAGAAGCCATGTCCGGCTTTGTGGCCACCGAAGGCGCCGGCTGCACCGCCGGCCACGGCACCCATCATGCCCCTGTCGGCTTCTTGGCCGGGAGCAGGTTGAGAGTTGGAGTTGTAGTAGGAGTTGCTGGAGCCGTATTGGTCTTGAGCGTAGGGAGCACGGTTGTCCTGGTAGTATGGTTGTTGGGTCTGGTAGGATTGAGATCCTGAGAAGCCGTCGCTTGGGTAGGAGCTTGTGGCGGGTTGGTTGTAGCTTGAGTATTGGTTCTGGTTCTGGTAACCTTGGGAGTAGTAGGAGTCGTAGCCGGACATGGTTGAGGTGAGGTGAAGTGTGGTGTGGTTTGTGTTAGAGAAAGTTTGGATTGGTTGAGTTCGAAAAGGGTGCTTCGGGTTTGTTTTGGATAAGATTGTGTTTTTGCTTTGATGTGGGATGATGGCGAATGGAAATAGTCTCTGGAGTGCATGGGCGAAAGATCTTATATACCTGTCACACCTGTGAACCTAAGTGCCTACCTTCTGCCTCGTAAACATCACGCCCCCAGATGATGCACGACGGCGAGGGCCGCGTCAAACCCGAGGCTTCGCCTACACCAGCCATTCAGGAAACGTCTGCAAAGCCTTGCGGAGAGGAGATGCCCGAGCATACATGCAAGCTGAGGAACGTCTAGAAGGATTCCTGTTCTGTCGAAGCGAGCCAATTCACCGACTGCGGAATGAGAGCATGATTGGGTGAAGTTGGAAGAGACGAGGATTTGGGCAGAGAACGGTGGACGACGATTGGAGTGGCGCAGTATGGCGTAGTGAGGCGCAGCACACCACATGAGGCTTTGCAGATGATCCCCGGTCATCGACGTCAACTTTGCCCCTTCTACCCATCCACTACTCCGTACGGAATACTGTACTCGTATCGACTGCGAGTACGAGTATCGAACGGCGAATGCCCTCGCATTCTTTCCCTGTTTCTCCACGAAAGTCTGCAGAGCCTCGGGCGGCAACGCCAATCCGTCCTTGGACTCGTACAGTATGCCAAAGATCCCGCGAGTACGTGCACCTCGGACTCTGCCTGATCTTCAGATCTTCTATCACTTGCTGAGCCATGAATGCGCAGCCACGCAGTATCATCGCCAATGTAAGTCGACTCCCACAGCTCCGTATGATCAGTGGCTTAAGACCTTCAGCGCCTGTCCGCCATAGCCGCATGTGTTCTATGCTATGCACATTTTGTCTGGCTTAAACCTCCTTCGTCTGAGGATATCGCCTCAATAGGACCTCGGCAACCCCAGCACCCTCTCACCAATGTAATTCTTGATCATCTCTCGACTGACGGGCGCAATGCGAGGTATGAAGATCTCCCTCAAATACCTCTCCACATGATACTCTTTGGCATATCCCATCCCACCGTGCGTCATCACGGCCCTCTCACACGCCTGAAAAGCAGCCTCGGCGGCCAGGTACTTTGCGGCATTTGCATATTCCCCGCTCTCGTACCCAGCATCATACATCCTGGCCGCTTGGTAGATCATCAACCTTGCAGCCTCGAGTTGCATCCAACTATCCGCCAGGGGATGCTGAATCGCCTGGTTCTGCCCAATCGGCCGTCCAAATACCTTTCTTTCTCCTGCATATAGCGCCGCCCGGCGTAGTGCAGCGAACCCTATCCCCAACGCCTCCGCAGCGATAAGTATCCTTTCCGCGTTCATACCGTGCATAATCATCTTGAACCCGTTGTTCTCCTCGCCAATAAGATCTCCCTTTGGCACCTTCCACCCATCGAAGAACAATGTGTTCGAGTCCACTGCTGCTCTTCCCATCTTCGAGATCTCCGTGACTTCGACCTGACTCCTATCCAAGTCCGTGTAGAACAGACTCAGCCCCTGACTCGGCTTCTTGACCTCCTCGAGCGGCGTCGTTCGCACGAGAATCAAGATTTTCTCGGCGACTTGGGCTGTTGATATCCACATCTTCTGGCCGCTGAGCACATAATGATCCCCGTCTCGTACAGCTCTCGACTGTAACCTCAGCGTATCTAGTCCTGTATTAGGCTCGGTCACACCAAAGCATGCCCTTTCTTTTCCTGCGATCAACGGCGCGAGCATGCGTTTCTTCTGCTCCTCCGTGCCGAACTTACGTACGGGCTCGAGGCCGAAGATGTTCATATGCACGGCCGACGCACCTGCATAGGCAGCACCACTCTCGGCGATCGTTTGGACCATGACGGCTGCCTCGGCGATGCCCAGATCGCTCCCGCCGTACTCGGACGGCATACAGATGCCCAGCCAGCCATCTTTGGCGACCGCCTGGTGGAATTCGACCGGGAAGCGGTGCTCCTTGTCCGCATTTAACCAGTATATATCGTCGAATTTGGCGCACACTCTGCTGATGGCTTCGCGAACGGTGCGTTGGGAGTCGGTGAGGTCGGGATCGTGGAGTTGAAGGTATTCTGTCCCACGAGCATAGACGCACCGCGTGGTGGAAAATGATAACGAGATCCGAGGCTTCCATGGGGTTGCGATAGACTGTGTCGTAGCTCTCCTCCGTCCCAAGCCCAGGAAGCCACTGACAACGCGTTTCGAGGCCATCTCGATTGCCATCTCGATTGACATGCCCCGGTGTTGCTCCTAGAAAACATGCGGCCCGTTGGGCCTGCCGTGCTCCTGCTGGTAGACCATCCAGGAGCCTTTGACGAGAGAAAAGTGGCGAACGAGGAGCAAGAACCGTTCAGCGCGCAACCTCCATATACCCTCGGCTCGGTTCTTGCTGGCTCAAAAAAGCTTGGACTGAACCATCACGTTCAAGCAACGATTGCTAGGATCAGAAATAGCCTACTCCCCGCACACAGCCTCGTCGGTTACTCGGCTTCATGCCGTGTACTCCAATCAGAGAACCCATAGTTCTCCGATACAGGAGATGCACACAAGCCTACAAGGACAGGAACTTGCTTTGAGTGAGAAAGCCGGTAAGGCATAGAGAAAAGATATCCAAACACGACAGTCCGGGTGAAGCTGTTTTATCTACCGGCCGGACGTGCTTGTCCATATCAGCCATCGTCAACGTGCGACATACCCATGAGTCCGCAGTAATGACCAGACCAGTCGTTCGGCTCAGACGAGCTGTCTGGTCTCACACTCAAAGCACAAGACCAGGAAGTATCTCTCGACAGGGCAGGAGGTTTCAGTCGACCACCGCCGAACTTGGTCAAACCAAAGACCTCCCACTCACCGGTCTCAAAGTCCTGGACCTATCCCGCGTCCTTGCGGGACCCTTCTGCACACAGATCCTCGCCGACTATGGCGCCGAAGTGATCAAAGTCGAACAACCCGGCATCGGCGACGAGACTCGACAATGGCGCACGTCCGGCGAAGCCCAGAAGTGGCGTCCCGAGCACAAGTATATGTCCCTATATTTCGCGGCAGTCAACAGGAACAAGCGCTCTGTGACCATCAATCTGAAGGAACCAAAGGGCGTGGAGATTGTCAAAGCTCTCGCCCGACGGAGTGATGTGGTCGTGAACAACTTCATCCCGGGCAAAATGGAGCAGTTGGGCTTGAGTTACGAGGACCTGAGAAAGGAGAACAAAGGTATCATCTATGCGAGTTGTAGCGGGTACGGAGCGAGTGGCCCAAGTCGAGATCGGGCGGGATACGATGCAATCGCTCTCGGGGAGGCCGGGTTGTTGCATATCACGGGTGATGAGAAAGGCGGACCCACGAAGCCGGGTGTTGCGATGGCCGACCTGTGTACAGGGTTATACACCCACGGCGCGATCTTGGCGGCTCTGAATCAAAGGCATAACACAGGGTTAGGATGTAAGATCGAGGGCAGTCTGTTTGAGAGCAGTCTGAGTTTGTTGATCAATGTTGGACTTGCCGCGCTGAACCTCGATCGCGACAAAGGGCCGGCAAAGAGGAGGAGGGGAAAGAGATTTGGACTGGGCCATCCAAATCTGGTGCCGTATGGGGCATTCAAGACAAAGGATGGGATGCTATTCGTTGCGGCCAACAATAACAGGCAATGGAATGGGTTCTGCCAGCGGATGGGCATTGAAGGACTGGGCGATGACAAAAGGTTCAGCACGAATGACGGGCGTGTCGAGCACCGGGAGGAGATCAACTCTATCTTGCAGAAAAAGTTTGCCGAAAAGACCCAGAATGAATGGCTGACTGTATTCGCGGGCAGCGGTCTGCCATACGGCTCGATCAATGATGTGGTTGATGCACTCGAACATCCACAGGCGGAAGCCCGGAACATGGTCATCGACGTCGAGCAATTTGAAGCAGCCAAAGATGGAATGCTGAAATTGATCGGACCGGCAATGAAATTCGAGGGCGTTCCAATGAATGTCAGATTAAAACCGCCGTTATTGGGACAGCACACTGAGGAAGTGTTGGGGGGCCTCGGGTACCTAGCTCCTGAGATCGATGAGCTGAGGAAATCGGGAGTCGTATGATATCGATCCAGGTAGCATGGTTAGATATGCATAAAACAAAATCACATCGCAAATTCTGCAGAGACAAGGTCGAGATCAATGTGATCAAGAAGCATCGCGTCGTGGAGATCCCAGAGATCTAATATTTGTTTGCTGATAGTACAACTGACGTCCAGTTCCCAGGGTCGAGGGAAATGTACAACCACTGATTTTGTTCCTGACCACGTCTACACCTATCCACTGCAAGGCCATCAATGAGCATCGGGCTGGGCGCAAATGTATGTGACAGCTTGGTCGACTTCATTTTGTTAGACATAGTCAATCATCTGTGCCTCGGACTGACATACCACTGTGAATAGCATCGGCCTCCTTGTCCGGAATTTCAATGCTGAACTCTTCCTCGATTGCCATCACCACCTCGACGGTATCCAAGCTGTCCAATCCAAGATCGTTTTGGAAGTGTGATGTTCCGGAAATCTAGCCACAGGCATTAGAAGAATCCTCAAAGTCATTTATGGAATCCTGGCCACCTTTGATGCATCTGTGACCTACGCAACATTAGCAATGAATCATCCACCTAGATATATCTCCGGGCGCACCTTGTCGAAGTTCTTCAACAGGTCCATTATCCGTCCCTGAACTTCGTCTTTTGAGAGACCCGACGGTGCGGAATAGCATCGTATGCTCGAGAGGACGAAGGAAGGAGTGACTCGGGAGGACTGCAGGAGGGAGGACGAGATCTGAGATCGGAAGGCAGGTAGTTGTCGAGGAACCTGAGTCCTTGTGACGGCGTAGAGCGCTCTTGCGGCACCTGCGCGGAACATCTTGACGGCCAGAGAGAAAGACGAGACTGTTGATGAGGCAGGTCAAGAAGAGGTGGCTGCGTGGAAGAAAGTGATTGATTTTCTGATGTCAAGCTCGTAACTCGGCCCAAAAGTGCAAAGGCGAAGATGCAGCTTTGGGAATCGTTCGAGCTCGCACGTCCACGTGACTGAAATACGGCGGCTCATCTGCACTGCGTCTGCAGTCTCCAATGCATCACCACAGTCCAGTCGGGCGAATCAGAGCAGAGGTAAATCCAACTTGCACCTGGTAGACATCATCAAAACCTCTTACTCTTCTGTCTTCTTGCGCTCGCCACACATCGTCAAACTCGACCTGCGACTTGTGCGTACGATGGCGTCGTCACTTCGTCCAGCATCGCGACTGGTTGCGAGACCATTATCAGGATCAAGTATCCTGCGACAAGTAGACCGATCACCTTTCTTCTGCGCCACAGCTCAATTTCACACCTCAAGTCCGCGAAATGCCTTGCCGGCAGGCCCTCCTCCCTCTGGATACAGATTACCTCGTCCGAAGCGATTTTACGAAGGCGAGAATGCAATCAACAAGGCCAGCAATTATTTCCTCCTGACAGAGATGATGCGCGGCATGTATGTCGTGCTGGAACAATTCTTCAGAGCACCGTACGTCTCACAAGCAGCTGTTATCGTATGAATACACGCAGGCTAACTCTCACGATGCAGCTACACAATCTACTATCCATTCGAAAAAGGCCCAATCTCTCCACGATTTCGAGGCGAGCACGCACTGAGAAGATATCCTTCTGGCGAAGAGAGGTGTATTGCCTGCAAGCTTTGTGAAGCTGTCTGCCCGGCTCTGGCCATCACAATCGAGGCTGAAGAACGAGAAGATGGGTCGAGACGGACCACTCGCTACGACATTGACATGACAAAGTGCATTTACTGCGGTCTTTGCCAGGAAAGCTGCCCGGTCGATGCCATCGTCGAAACGCCAAATGCTGAATATGCCACTGAATACCGTGAAGAGCTGTTGTACAACAAGGAAAAACTACTAGCCAACGGAGACAAGTGGGAGCCAGAACTGGCAGCCGTCGCTAGAGCTGATGCTCCCTATAGGTAGAAAGTTGCGAAGGGGTTACCCAAGTTTGTAAATACTTTTCATGATCAACGGCGAGGAATGGCAGTTTGGTCGACTGGGGCAAAGAGCCACAGAAAACGGCATTGAATGGCAATGCCTTTATGAACAACGTCGTTAGCACCACCATCAGTACTGAGCATATATTTCCTTCGCTACCGTTACTGAACCCAGTCCTATGCAAGCGGGTTGCCGTAAGCTCGTTATATCAAAATAGGGCGACTATATCAAAATAGGGCGACTACCCCGTTCCACAAGCAATATAGTCCAGAACCATCTTCTATCAGCCCAGAGCGCGCATGGTCATCTCAACACTGCAATCCCATGTTAGCAAGGAACACCCCTTGTGTTGGAAGACTTACACAGCAAACGTTCCGGCGCTAACAGGCATGGCTCTAGCCAATGTAGGCCCAATACCTTTCCAGAACCCTCTAATACCCTCAGCTCTCCATGTCTGAGAGAAACAATCACGCATTGTCTTGAATTTTTGATCCTTGCCAAAGCCATCACTTTGCATCTTGCTCTTGACAACGTCAAACGGATAGCTTGCAATCCACAACGCCTCGCCAGCTAAGCCACCATAAAATGCAACTTTCGGCGACGAGATATCGGATCGCTTGACGTTATTTCGCTTCATATCCTGCGCCATGAGGTACTCGAAAGTGAGAAACCAGACACCATATGCCTGAGCTTCACGCCAATACGTAACAGCCTGACCACGATACAGACCCCGAAGGACGCCTTCATGGGCAGACAATTTCTTGATGCAATCGAGGGGGCCGTTGTATAGTCGATCGGCTCCGTGCGGCTGTGTCTGAAGTCTGATTCTCACGTGCTCGATTGGTCCAGACAAGACAGAGTTGGTGAGACCAGCAAAAGCGCCGGCCGCGTAATACTGGCCATATGACAGCCCAGCAGAGCCCGCCGGGTTAGCTTTGAGGTTTCGTTCCTCGAAAGCACGACGGGCGTAGTGAAAGGCCCCGAATTGTACAGAGACGCACGCTCCGATACCGATAAGAGGTGTCAAAGTCCCCTTGTAGAATGCTAGCGGACCTTCATTCTTGAGGATCGATGATGCGCATGATATTGCGTTGGGATATTTTGATGAGGTCTGTAGGCGGACCTTGACAATGTCTGCGAGTGTGAGACTGATGGCCCCTTACAGCATGGCGTTCTCACTTACCAAATGGTTGACCTGCATGACCATGGTTAGCACTTGATTCCAATAGACCTCACACGACTCCAGGATACAGCTTCCTTCGGCTGTCGCGTATCTCCCGGACAAGTCCATTTGTCCCACGGTCTAAGTATGATAGACAATCTATCCTTTTCATGGTTGTGCTCACCTAGTAATACTTGCGCAATACCTCCAGCCGCCCCAGCAGCCAAATCCTTTACCGTTCTAGCCCAGCTTGCATTTTCAGCCTCCTTTAACTCGAGAGCCTCAACGCCGTCTGCCATTGCTAGTCAAAATTGTCCAATGTTGGACCTCGCCGCGACTTCGACTTCAGGGAACTCCGTGCAAGGTTCAACACATCCCTAAGGTCGACAACTGAGTGGACTAGGGGACCTGGTTTCAATTTTGACTGGCACGCAATTTGTTCGTGCTCGTGCTCGTTCATCGGCGCGGCCAACACCGCCTATTTATGATTGGCCATAATTGTCCGCCTCCAACACTCCACTACGAACTGCGTCCGGCAGAAAAAAGTGTCGAGTAAATACGAACCCGAACCGCCATCGTCTAGATCACTCCATCATTGTCCACGTTGTTTAGATATTGACCTTCTGACGGCTAGAGCAGCATTGCAATCAATGTTACAATGCGAAGAGTTGTGGCGCGAAGGGTGAGTGTCACAGAACATCGTTGCGAGCAGGTGGGCTAACTCTTCCAGCTGTTGCCGCGACAGGACGTCTGCCTCTTCTGCGCCTTCGGACATGGCCTTGAGCTGCGTGCTTCCAACGCCATCCGGCCACAGCGCCGGCTGTATAGATCAAGTACGGCTTCACAGCGTCCTGCCGGAGCGGCGGCGGCACGTATAGAGGAAGATGAAGACGATTTGCCTTCGCCGGCTCCTGTTAGAGAACTACTGGGCTGGAAATGCCGTTGCAACCATGTCAATGCACCTCGCAGATCTGAGTGTACGATATGTATGACTGCGCGCCCGCAGAAGCCTGAGCTCGTCTACAAAGGAGCCAAATCGCCTCCTCCTTCCACGCCACGTCCTCTGATTCCAGCAAGAGCTCCCTCGTCCGCCAACCTCGCAGACGCCAGCGCACACAAGCCACAAGCCCCTGAAAGCCTCAAAAGATACGACGCAGTCGCCGGGCGCCCAAGTCGACAGCCCCAGTCGAACACGAACACCGTTCTTGAACAAGCCTCTGTAAACGTCAGATCGCAGCAGTCTCTGATACGGTACGGCCACAGAAACGGACCAATCATAAGAGATAGAGGCGGCTACAATGCCCGAGACAGGGACAATCAGAGGTCAACGCCAGAGGAGGGACCAAGGATTAGATTCACTGGACTCACGCCCGGTTCTCAGGCAATGGATGCCCCTTTGGACCGGCAAGCATCGCAACCCGGAAACCATGGTTTCGCTCGCCGGCCGGTTGTCGGAATGGAGGGTCGACCACCTGTTAGGAATGAAGATGTGCGTGGTGGAGCTCTGGCAAATAACGGGCAACAGCGAAGAACCGACTGGAGACTCGATTCTGCCGTCAACCCTCCATTTCCAGCTCGAACCAGGACTCCCGATCTCGCGACCAATTCCCGGATTGGTTCCGCCATCACTCCAATGAACCGTTCCAGATCTAGCGACAGATCTTCTCCAAACGAGTCTTTCTCGGGTATGTTTAACGCGAGAGAGTCTCGTGGAGGGCCTCAAAGGAGAGATCGGCCATCACAGGAGGCTAAAGCAGCTTGGCAACCCATGATAGATCCAAATGCTCGGAGGCCCGACCCCAAAAGCATAGCCGGAGGGCCTGTCCATCGAGAACTTCCAAGTGACGAGATTGGTGACGTTTCCGAAGTCGCGCCGCCGAGCGAGACGGGGGAAGACTGGTCTCCACGCAAAACGAGGGCAGAGAAGGAACGTGATCGAAGAAGCAAGATATACGACATCGAAGAAGGAGAACCAGTCTATACGTCGCAGACAGGCCGCACTCCATCCGGGAAGAGGCGGCCTGCTTACAGGAACAGTACGCCAGCCTTCGATCCAGATATGGTCGAGGATATTCTGGAAGGGAAGAGGCGAAAGAGAAAATCGAAACACGCGAAAGGCGTGGAACAACAGCGTCCCGAGATTCAAATACCGGAGTTCATCACAGTGGAGAAATTGGCTCAAGGCCTTAAAGTGAGGCTGCCAGAGTTTCTGGTTAGACTGGAGGAGGAAGGCTTCGAAGGAGCTAGGTATGATCATGTCCTGGACTCGGGCACTTCTGCGATGTTTGCAGAAATTTATGGCTTTGAGCCTATCGTTGACACCGTCGATGAGTCCCGCGATCTGGTAGCTCGACCGCCAGCAGAAGACCCATCAGTGCTCCCGCCACGTCCGCCGATTGTCACAATCATGGGACACGTCGACCACGGAAAGACAACCATTCTTGATTATTTCAGAAAGTCAAGCGTGGTAGCTTCAGAACACGGCGGGATCACACAGCACATTGGTGCCTTTTCTGTTGTCATGCCCGGATCAGAACGCAACATCACGTTTTTGGATACCCCTGGCCACGCCGCATTTCTAGATATGCGTCGAAGAGGAGCCAATGTGACAGATATTGTGGTGTTGGTGGTTGCCGCAGACGACAGTGTCAAAGCACAGACGAAGGAAGCCATCAAACACGCACTCGAAGCAAATGTCGAGATTATTGTGGCGATCAACAAAATCGACAAGGATGATGCCGATATTGAAAGAGTTAAACGAGACCTATCAGCACACGACGTTGTTGTGGAAGACTTTGGTGGCGACTTCCAAGCTATCCCAGTCAGTGGAAAGACAGGCCAAGGCATGGCCGACTTGGAAGAAGCGATTCTGACATTGGCGGACGTTCATGACTTCAGGGCGGAAGTCGATGGCCAAGCGGAAGGTTGGATCATAGAATCCAAAGTTGGCGCATCTGGTCGGGTCGCGACTGTCTTGGTCCGGCGCGGCACACTGAGGCCAGGCGACTTCATTGTTGCTGGCACTACTTGGGCTCGTGTTCGAACTTTACGGAATGATGCGGGCCAGCTGATCGAAGAAGCCCCTCCTGGCACGCCGGTGCAGATTGACGGCTGGCGTGGAGATGATCCAATGGCTGGTTCTGAGGTGCTGCAAACCGCGGACGAGCAGCAAGCCAAAAATGCCGTTGCAATACGACAAGAGAAAGAAGAATCCGTCCGTGCCATTGGTGATATGTCCGCAATCAATAATAGTCGTACTGAGGAGGCTGAAGCACGAGCCAAAGTCCTTGAGTGGGAGAAAGAGCAGGGATATATGAACATGAAAGCATACCGGCGGCCCAAGGACAACGAAGGTTGGGTCGAGAAAGAGTCTTCCGGACCTCGACAAGTGCATTTTGTCATCAAAGCCGACGTTGCTGGAAGTACCGAAGCACTGGTTGCCGCTGTTGGTGCCATTGGCAACAAGGAGATTGTGGCGAATATCATCCACAGCGGTACTGGTGAGCTGACGGAGTCGGACATCAAGCTTCTCGCTGCTACCGGAGAAGTTGGATATGCCATCACCTTCAATCAGCCAATCGACAATGGTATTCGACGGCTTGCAGAAGCGGCGAATTTGCAGATTCTCGACCACAACATCATCTATAAGGTGACGGATGTCGTGGCGGAGAAATTATCAGACGAGTTGCCGCCGATCGTCTCCCATAAGGTCCTTGGTGAAGCGGAAGTCGGGGACATCTTTGAGATTACTGTCAAGAAAGCCAAGGTAAGGATTGCGGGATGTCGAGTAACCAACGGAACCATTCGCCGCTCGGAGAAGATCCGGGTACTGAGGGATGGCGAAGTGGTCTACACTGGTAAGCCCCTCTTGACACGAATGACTATTTACATACTGACGAAGATCAAGGTATGCTCAACTCGTTCAAAAACATCAAGAAGGATGTGACAGAAATGCGCAAAGGCTCCGAATGCGGCATGGGCTTTGAAAACTGGGACGGCTTTGAAGTGGGTGATCAGATCCAGTCCTTTGAGGAAATTAAAGAGAAGCGGAGTCTGTATTAGCAGCTGTACAATATCAGCAATGTACAATAAGATGAAACGAGACATGGAAACATTGGGCGCATGATGGCGGTTGAGCGGCAAAGACACGAGACTGAAGCGTCTCTCGGTCGCAGTGAATCTCAGCCAATCAATCCTCGTTGCACCTCGAGCCTTGGCGACAGTCTCTGACACTCACCACTTGCGTCTCGCATCTCCATCACCAACCATTATCACTGTTCTTTTCAGCTTCTGACAAAGGGTCTAAGCTTGGATCGTGGTCGTCGCTTTCTTGTGCACGCGTCCCAAAGATGAGAAAGAACATGTTTCAATCTACTTTTTGTGATCTGGAACAGCATGCAGCCGCCGACAAGGGCAATGCTCCGTCTGCAGTGCACGCTCTCACCACTTCAAAAGGTTTGTTAAAGTGCATCCAGCTCACTGCTTAGGCCAAGCTGCTTCGAATTTCCTTATTGTCGTTACATGCATCTCCGTGGAGTTCGAGTTCGATCGCCGTTCCTCTAGGTTTTCTTATTGTCTGCTTTCTATTGCCACGCCACGCTGACCTCAGTTGCAATTTGTCTCCTTCTCTTACGGTTACTATTGCCAGTATGCAGATTACTAGGTCTTCTTTAATTCTCCTCGTCCTGTCAACTCTGACTTCGGCTGGTCCGATCCAAATGTATGGCCACAAATCCTGTCGATCCTGCTGCGCTAACCGACCTCACTAGGCAGAACGATGTAATACGCAGAGCGCACCAGCCCCAGAAACGCTACGTCGTGGTCGATACCATACAAACGCCTCGAAATGCGCCAAAGAGACGCCATGCACCTACAGAACCAGCCGATTCTGTAGCAGCGGCTGAAACGAGCTCAACTACTGAACTTGCGGCGGCGCCTACAGGGGATGGCTCTGAGAATGGGAATGTTCCCGCGATCGGTGTCGGAGCAGGTAACACCAGCGACTTGAGCTTCTTGGCGCAGACCGCGGTCTCCAGTGCGACACCGACGGCAACGGTGTCAGACATCCCCGAGACTACAATCACAACAACAGCTGAAGCTATTTCAGAGGCTGGGAGCGCAGCTGCAGTGGCTGAGACGAGCTCGATTACTGACCCATCTGCGGTGTCCACAGGGAATGGCTCCGAAAATGGGAAAGTACCTGCCGTAGGTGTTGGTGCAGGGAACACCAGCGACTTGAGCTTCTTGACTCAGACTGCTACAGCATCAACAGCGGCAGCACCAGCGACAGATGCTACCGAGACCGCAACTACTACAACAGTTGCGGCCATTTCTGACGCCGGTAGTGCAGAAACAGCAACACAAGATGGCAACGCCGCGACGTCTACCACGACAGCAGCTGCAGACACAACCACCGACAACTCTGGCACAGGACTGACTTCAACGGAACGTACACAAGCTTCTGTTCCTGCCACGGCTGGCGACACCTCCAAAGACTCTTCTGTGATAGGCACGGGAACCGCCATCGAGCCCCAAGCACAAACGGGTGCAGGGCAACCGGAATCGACCTCAACGACAACGGTCCAGGTTCAAACAACGATCATGACCACGCTCCAAGTGACCGCCGAAGTCACCGCTGCTGCTACTGCCTCCGTCTCCGGCACAACTACTGCGGACACCACGAGTGCGGGAGCTGGCGAGACAGACACAGCGCAGCCGTCCACGCAACAAAACCAACAATCCGACGACACTTCAAGCACAACCGAGGCCTTGTCATCGCCGCTAGCTTCCGTGACGATAGTCTTCGTCACCGCCTCAGCCACCTTCACGGGCCCAACAGGCGGATTTACCACGATCACGCCGGGACTGGGGACGATTGGCGTCGCTCAGACAGCCATCTCTGAACCAGCAACCTCCACCAACAGCGTCAGTTCCTCAACAGGCACCGAAGGCTCACAAAGCGAAGGGACATCAACCACCACACTTTCAAGCCTTACGACCGTAGAGGTCACCGCTGAACCCACTAGTAGCTCGACTGACACAAGTAACACAAGCGAAGAGCCAGGGCCTAGTACTATATCCACAGCAGCACCGGTCCCCAATGACTCTTCCCCAAGTCCAGCCACAACGCCGACGGCGACGCAGACAAGTGTAGGGAACGGAGAAGGAGATGGCACAGTCGTTGTGGTTCCGGTGACCACCAGTGCGGTGGTGATGCAAGGACAGGCGCAGAGTCAAGGGCAGGGACAAGTCACAGTGACACAGACTGTTACGGAGACAGTCACGACGACGGTGCGGTGATCAAGTGTGTCGTAGGGGGATTCAAGATGTGCAGGCTTGCAGTGTATAGGTTTTGTTCTCAATTACTAGCATACGGGCTGCATTGATGTTGGTTCGACATGACAGAATTATGATCTTTGGGCTAATACCATCATTGGCATTCAGGGGCGTTCAGAACATCAAACAGCAACTCAGAGTGGCAATGCAGTGTGCTATTACCAGGCTAGATTCAAATGCTTGGACATTCTGTCCTCCTTGTCTTCAGATGTACCGCCGTCCTTCACGCCACCCTGGGTGTACATGCCTACCGATGTGAGACAGATCGTCATGGTACCTGACGACCTAAATCCCTAGTGAGCAAGGTACTCGGGAGGCGTGAAGGTCATAACTTACCAATAGTGCAAGCATAGGATCAGAGACGACCAACTCTTTTCTCCCCGTTCTTCAGGCAAGTGCACCCTTTCGAGATGGACAACATACCATTGTCGGGACGGTTAAAGATGGCTGACTGATCGGCAGGGGCTTCCTGCAGGAACCTGTCCATGGTGCCAGAGCGACGAGGCTGTCCAACTGTTGGACGCAGGTTGAGAATGGGGTCATGGTAGGCACAGAAGATGGGTGAGGTGGATGTCTTGCTTGGGTTATTCAAGGACTCCGGACCCTCCTGCTTCTGGCCCTGCATGCACTGTTAGTGGCTTGTGAAGTGTGCGAGCATGTAGACCACATACAGGGAGCTGATTGTTGGTGGCAGTGGACGTCTTTGCTTTGGAGGTTGTCATTGCTTGTTGGGCAAGGGGGATATAACGGGCAGTGTAGTGGGTAAGGAGGAAACTCGAGGATGCGGTAAGTTCAAAGACGAATACCTGGGGTGAGATTGAGGAAAGAAAGAGGAAGAGATGACTGCTGGCCCGAGTCTTGACTTGATAGCCATCCCAGCTCCAGCTCGAGTCCCACGCCTCAGATACCTTGCATCTGGGCGCCCTTCGAAGCACTCCCAGCAGCGTCAATCAAGACCATGTCTTCGGCAAGAGAGTGCAAGAAAGGGAAGGAGTGTGCCAACCCGGGAAGCTCAACCCTGGGAAAAGACCTTGCAAGTTGAGAATCGTGATGTCCGATTTGACAGTGTGCATTTGTCTCTCCTCACAGAGACCTTCAATATCTCACAGATGCGTTCGTGACAGCGAATCCTGGGGGAAGCTAGCGACGATGTGCTCTCAAGGCTCCGCCTTTTATTATTGAAGACTGACGATGCCGCTCGCTTTGGAATTTAGAGTTACGGCGACAGGGGTGCAGCGGTGGATATCTGGCTACCCACATGCATGGTCCTCCGGCCATGGATGGTGCCCATAAACGAAGAGGGAGAAAGAGTGGATCTCCTCTGGGAGTGATCAATCATCGTTCAAGTTTCGAGGGATTGATCGTTCAAATTTCGAGGTTCCGATGGCCGGAACGAATCAGAAACCCAGCTGTTGATGACTCGGAATACTTACATTGGCTGCTATGGTCCGCTGTCGTGAGCTGGATGGTACGAGAGAGCAGAAAAAGCTCCTGCGCGGGAGGAAGAGATGGCCAGTAGGTACCTCCGTATCGAGCGAGCGTAAGCATTCGTCGGGCTTGGCGTCGTCGAGATCATTGGCCCAGTCTTCATGTGTCTCTTTGCCCTGTCAGCCAGATTCGACCTCATCACTCATCCGCAGCGCCACAGATAACCCTGTTCGCAAGATAACCCTGTTCGCACGGGACCTGGTAGGCTACCTTACCATCAGTCCTTCCCTTCAGGTCGTGACGGCCCTCCGGAATCAGCAGGTCTACTCGCCAGCTCCCCATCGAATGTGCAAGCGGACGAAGACAGTCTTTCGAGGATACCTATACCATCACGGCTTTGTCGGTGGTCGATTCACATCGATGAAGACTCGTAGCGTGATGTAGGTGACGCACCCGATAATTCCATCACTGAGTTGCCACCAGCATCGGAACAACTGCCACTGGAAGAACAACTGCAATGTGGCCTCGAAAATAATGCTTTCAGCAATATTGACTCTGCCGGACTGCCTATGGCCGTGTCACAAATCGTCAAGGCTATCAAGAGATCGCCCAATGAGCTCTTAGTAGAATCATTCTGCTTCAGCATCATGGCTAGAAACGAGCCGCTTTTGGTCCAGATGTTGGCAAAGCTCAAGCGCGCACGCCTTGATGTCCAAACGACGTACCCGTTACTCATAGCCACCAGCTATCTTGACGGGGGTTCAACCTGCTGCAATATTCTCGACCTCCTTTGTGGCTGGCCCCGGTGGACGCAATACTACAGGCTGAAAGACGTCTATACCAACGAGCACGGCCACACAGTCCTTGACAATCTAATGTTGACCATCTTGAAAGGGCATTCGAGCAGCTCACCCGACGTGTTAGATGAAAGTTTGACCCGAGACTCGCGCTTTATGGGGACGGAGGTTGACCTCTGCGGCCGTTGGGATGCTGACTCGCCTTGCTGTCAGGCTCTTTTGCAGTCGGGGAAATCAAAGGTCCCGCTCGACTGGAAACACAAATTCTGTCACACTTCCATTCTGGCTGTTTGTCAGTGCATTGATTCCCTTGGCGACCATGGTCTCCTACGCGGATCTAGTGGACTTTCGTAAGACGTTGCTTCAGCTGCGGCCTGTCTTTGCAACTCTCGCCGATTCATGTTCTCGTCTTGACAGCTTTCCACCTGGCCCGAAATGGGTGCGATGGTGAGGACCTTTTCGGCATGATTGCTGTTTTGTTGTGTATGCTATCAAAAACAACATCAACCGGAATGGACCCCGAGGATGGAGGTCAATGTTTCTATCGATTTGCTTCTCGGCATTGACCATGGGACCCGATGCACTCATGAAGTTCTCGGACCCAACGATCTCGCTGACAGACTGCCCTCTAAAATTATCGATGGATGGTCTACAGAGTTGCAACGAGGCTGGCAGATATTCTGTCACCTTCTCCGCCGCCTTGAGGACTTTGGTCGGGGTGTTCGCACGGATCTCACCTGGAGGCGCGCAAGTTATGATCTAGACTGCATTTGTAAGGATGGTGATTTTCATCGCGAATGTGACTCTGAGTGCTACGAGTATTGGGAAGGGAGCTGGGAGGCTGGACGCGGTAGTTTGACTTCTCAACATGACAAGCGCAGCCACATTCGTCATCTTTGGGCAGCCGTCCAGACGGAGCTACTCACCTACCGCAGGATTCACGAAGACGACTCCTGGCTATCTTCTTACTTCGACTTAGATGGGCTTCTGACCAGCCTACACATGGGAACGCAGATATCAATGCCACTTCTCGACCGTTCGATGATCAGACCCTACTGTTGCTGTGGTCGCACGGGTGAACGTTGGAGCTGTGCTCTGCGGGAAGATTTGGAGGCACATCACTTCAATAACCTGGATGTGTGGGATCGTACCTCATTCATTTCGCTCCCATGCCACTTCTTGCCGTGAGAGGCTGATCCAGGCAAGATCGTGTATTGGCCGTCTTTCCGCAAGGCTTCTAGTGTGCGCCCACATCAACGTCCACGACGACCTGCAACATCGCCAGCCTTCCTAGCACCTATGTGTTATTTGTCCTTGCGGAAGGAAAGGTGGTATCTTTTGGTGGTGTTCGAACCGTTCTTCTGAGTGGCCTCGGTATTAAATTGCCCTGGCACACGATGGTATCTATATTCTCTCCAGCAGAATCGTCATCTGCCCGAGGGGATCATGGTGCCCAACCAGCGGCCTCGAGGATCGTTCGAATCAGGAGCGATGGCCACTCACTGAGAAAGCAGAGCTCAGCAGAAATTTTTGCAAAAGCCATGAATGCCTACGATTATGCAGGTGGTTTCAAGAGAGAGAGATAGACATTCGACCGCGCTGGAGTTCGGAAAGTCTTTGGGGCAATGCGACTTCGAAAACGAAGACCAATGGTGCACAATCCCAAGCTCCAAGCTCCAAGTCTGGCTGGCGCCGAGCAGAAGCATGACTGCTCCCAATTTCCAGGAACTCCCTGCCCACGTCCTGCCCTACAGAAAGACTGCGGACCGGCCGAGAGACAGATACTCGTAGAAGTTCTTGGTAAGTACCACAGTACTCAGTAGTATTGTGGTGTGGAGATGGCGCACCGACTTTTATATCTGGGTGGATCTGTCATGGCCGTTAAAGGTATAAGGATCACACGTCAACGGGCGAACGCGGCGATCTTCCTGGTTTAGCGGAATCAGATTTCATGGTCCATTTGTCCCACTGTCCACTCTGCCACCCTGGCGGGTACAGTACTTCTTAGCGGTGGACTCGGCAGACGTCGCCTAAGGAATGTGATACTCGTTCAAGAGTGCATTCGTAATCTGGCGCAGGGCTGAGGGTTGAGGGCTGTGTGGGATGGAAAGAATGGATACTATCTGACATCGCTTAGAATCGGTCTGTAGGGCAGAGAGTAATGTACAGCATGGTGAGTTGTGGCGGTGCCATAGACACCTTGGCCGTCGTCGAGCACGCAACGGTCGATGGCACGGCGGTGCTCAGTTGTGAGGCGTGCATTTCAAAAAAGACGAAGACCACGTGAGATGGCCGCGTACGGCGCATGGATGTAAGGTACTTCGTTCGCGATCAAGAAATCATGGGCTGACGAGGGTGACAGGACTTTTGCTTCGTATCCTTAGCCCCAGCAACGGCATCATCCTCACTGTCTGGGTATGAAGTAGACTGAATTAGGTAGATGAGTCATGCCGCGTGCGTCGATGCGTTGACGAGATACCAATTCCGTGCATGCGTTAGTCTGCATCGAGGAAACAACTTCTACTGCGGTTAGGCAGGAGTTGCCATTTTTGTGAGCAGTCTTTCGCAAAAGGCCGATGGGCACCCCCCCCCAACCCATGTCTGTCCTGCCCTACCCGCTGCATAAGTCCAAGCTCATTCAGGCATACTGTACTGTGATAAGCGAAAATCTTGGGTAGGCTTACGCTAGCCTTAGCTCTTCTTTCGTCTCGAGATGGTGAAGTGGGGATTACGCCAAGTTGTCAAACCCAAGATACCGTACCTATGCAATGCAATATGCAATACAATACGGATATGCAGATGGGACTGGCACTACTGGAAATCAACCACGACCAACACCAACACCAACGTACGAGTGACAGGCTCCTCGGGGCTTCTTGCCCAGTTGCCGGCGCATGGGGGACGTTGCGGTTTGATTTGTTCGGGACCCTGGATCCCTTGGTTTTGGGTCCAATCATCCATCAATGGTCCGCATCCCCCCCAACCAAGAAAAAAGACCAGAGAGGAGAGACCACGCTCTAACTAAGATCTCAACCCCTCTGGAAACAAAGAGAAGAGCTCGGTCTCTTGCACTTTGGGCCCGTGTGATCCGAACCCCAAGCACAACCAAAAGCACGGCTCTCTAATGAGCTTTCGGGCGTCGTGGGGCCCTTGATTATGGCCCCATGCCTGTGCCCCATGCCTTTGGTCTTCTGTCCTTCATTTCAGCCTCCGTACGGAGTACTGCACTGCCTAATAAGGCTCGCCAGCGCAGTGGTCAGTGATCACAAACATACACGCGACACTTCGACACGGTAGTCCTCGGGCACTCCGAAACGTCCCGTTCACGCCCGTCTTCTAGTTAAAGAGACGAGCGGGGCACCGCAAAAAGATGCCCCCCAATCTCGAGGCTAACCAAATGTGCGCAAAGGAATAAAACGTCGAGCCTCTAGAGAGTCTCACAGCAAGAGTCAGGTAACTTAACTTAGTGTCGCCCGTTCTGTTCTGCAGGCGGAGCATCGAAGCTAGGGCCGGTCACCAAATCCTTGGATTCTTTCTCATCTCTTCTGATCATGTGTCTTGTGTCCTGTGTGTCCTACTATCTGAGCCGGCCAAAGCCAAAGTCCCAAAATCCCAAAATCCAATCATAGCATCATGGCCGCTACCGTAAGAAAAGAGAAATCCCTCAATTGCCCAAAACCACATTCCCAACGCTTACCATCGGTGGTATATTTCCTCTGTTTCGAGTCTTCCAAAATTAGTGGGTATCCATATCGCTTTTTACGTCAAGGTGTTGGTGTTGGTTTATCGAAAACCATTTTTCCCGCCCGCGGGGATGAGGTCCCAGTCCCAGTCCAAAGAAAAGAGAGGTGCGTCCCGGTCGTGATGCAATGCCCAGCTTCAGCCCGTTGCGCCCACTCACGACACGAGAGATTCCAAGCCAGCGATCGACAATGGCTAGCAGGAGGAAGAAATCATGGATGATGGTAAAAGCGCAAGAGGTCCGCTAGCTTGAAGTTTCCGAAATTTGGGGTGCTAGCAAGCCGCACAATGACTTGACTTTTCCCGGCCGTCATCTCTGCATCCGAATCCATGCAAGCATACGCTCCAAAGCAGGATCCTCATCAAGCCAGTAGCCCTTGCGTCGATCAGCATTGCGCAAGTCACTGACAACATGGTCGTCGGTGATATCGCTGAGTTCCTAAAACGGGACGTTCCATTAGCTTTTTGATGTTCTTCTCCAGCTCCAGCTCCTGCTGATCACTTCCTCCTTGGTACAAGCAAACCACATGGCCTTGCAGGGATCGAAATCCGCTGATCTTGATCGGCTCTGCAGATTGACGACACGAAACCAACTTACCTGGTGTAGTCTTTGATCAATTGCTCGCAGGGCATTGACATGTCTTTGGCTTGGCTTCTCCCCTCGCAACAATTGAATTCGCATCTGCACCCATCTCATGGCCGCAGATGCTCGTAGGTAGATTTTGTGGGCTTGCAGCCTTCTCGTACATGCATCTAGAATGATTCTGTCGCACTGGTCAACAATCTTGCTCCGAATAGTTGGAAATTCACCCACCTTTGTAAGGTAGCCTTGGTGACCTCGGACTCATCCACCTGCCCGGCTTGTAGACCTATATTGCCAGGGTTGAAGTGCGTCGCTAGAATGGCCTGCGACTCTGCGGCACATTGTCGCAGCACCACGTATCCATCAAGGTAATAAGATGGCTGATCCGGAGGGTGGGCTTCGTTCCGTGTGATCAAAGAGGAGATATGAAGTTGGAGTGTCCGGAAGTCGTTCATGACCTCTAGAACGCGCATCGCGCGAGCTTCGTTGCCTGCAACCGGGGAGTCAGTAACACTTCCTCCCATACGGCCTCGCATCTCGGACGCGAGTTGTTGCAGCCCTGGGTACGCACGTCCATCGGCCATTGTGACAGTCGCCTCTGCTGGCGGGGTTTGGTCTTGGGGTAGATGGGCTGTGACTCGATGCACGGCGCCAGTCCCGGATCTTAGTTGCTTTGTAGATGCCGGTAAGACTCCAGAAAAAGCGATTTGGTCAATGACCTTTGCTTGGAAGTCGAGATCGACGTGGTAGTCGCGACTGTCCTGGAGATGGTAGGAAAGCTCTTGAGGTGGTGATCGAAGCATGCTTAAAAGCAAACGAGATTCATAAATGTCTCAAAGATGATGATGGTTCCAGATGGACAAAGCAACGTAGGGGTATGGACACAGAAGGTGAATTGGCTAGGACTCAATCTCGTGGCTTTTTGCCCACCTGACCAGTCATCGCCTCAAAGAGCGTCCTGAGTAGATGGGACCGGGCCGTAGCGTCAGGAAGAACGGAGAGAAGGTGGTCCAGCTGCTGGAATGACTGACAGGAGAGACATGAACGACGGTGAAGCTGGAGGCAAGTTTTGCAGCACTAAACAAGGGGAGTATCGTGAGACAGAAAAAGGTCAAGGCTAGCAACACCAAACTGGACACGGCTGTGAACGGACACCAGATGGCTTGGATCGATGCGGCATGACCATTGGGCATGGCCTCGATGCAGACCGCGTCGGCATATTGCAGCTCTGGCGGTGGATCAATCGAGGCTGCTGGACGACGCTGGGATGGATCAGCAAGCCACCGTGGTTTGGGTTCCGTGTGGACAGCGAGCGAGAGAATTGGCATCGATGGCATGTCGCCGTCACTCGAGCTGGCAGAGCCACGGAAGATGACTTCAACATGGCAATTACACACGAAGCCTGCGGAAAAGCCATGTGCACAGGAGACGGAGCGGAGTAGATGCCCATAACCACTGACCAGTGGTACGGGACTTGGGACGAATGAATTGGGAAAGTGTTGGAGGTTTGGCGTGCATTGAAGCCATTGAAACCACCGTCTTGGGCCAATAGGAGCTGTCGAGACTGCGCATTAGTCTATACTCCAAAAACGGTCGAGCCTGGCACTTTGCCCAAATCAGACAGCTGAAAAGGCAGGAACAAGCGCACAACGTGTTCGGGACGTTGTAGCTGAGCATCATCCCCCCAAGCGACACATCTACTGGTGGGAGACTCTATTTTCATCCACTTCGCTTCTGCATGGGGCACACACATCTCGGGTAAGGACGAAGTCGCTTGCATCGGAATGGAGATCGGTGGCTTGAGTCTCATCTGCTTACACGACTCAGGATCAATGGTTTTTCCATTTGCGCTCATCCGTCCAGCCTCAAAGACAGCCACAAAGGCCACAAAATTCCAGCCCTGGCAGCCGGGTACTGATAGGAACTAGATGACATCGACCAAGACTTGAGGCTGTAAACCATGATTCCCCTCGCAGCCACGGACCCGTGCTACTGGTCACAAAAGGGCCTCGTAATGGCTCCGACGTCCACCATGACCTCCACAGACATCATTCCGTATCAGCTGCACTGATGCGCTGAGTCTAAGTCGGCCAATAGACTCCATAGACACCGTGTATACCAGGCTCTGTATCGAAAGCTGAGCCAGAGACCAACCCCTGTCCAGCGTGGTTGTCGAGCAATGTCATCATATCCGCTCCATTTGGCATTCGAACTTATTGGATCTCATCGTCAATGAACGGGGGACTTCAGTCCCGTTCCGCGATAGCTTGGAGACGCTCCTCAATCTCGTCTTCGGTAAGCGTTTTGAATTCTCGGTCGGTGCCTTCACTTCCATCAGCCTTGGGCCCACCGACAATCCCAATCTCCAATTCGCCCTTCTTGAAATCAACACTCAAGACAGTGCTGAGAGTGCTGATGCCTAGCTCGACCACCTCTTCCCAGCTGCCCGGGGCGCAATCCTTGTTCTTCAGCTTCTTTTCCAGATGATTGAGTGCCTCTTGTTGCTTGGGTCCAGATGCCGTGGCCTTGTATCCAACGTAATAGCCGGCTGGGTCACACTTGTAGAGTTGGGGGCCGAACTCATCGTCGACTGAGATCAGTGTTATTGCAATGCCCAAGGGCCTCATGTACGCCTGTCAACCGTTAGCATGAACGAAGGTCGCTGCCTCAGGGGCTCTTTAGCATACCCGCTGCGTGTACACTTGGTTGATGTTTGCCAATCGCTTTGCCAGAACATCACAAGGCATTTCGTATCCGTTCTTGTATTTGAATTCCGCGGCTTCTCCTCTTGCTCGATCGGCTGATGCTCGAGCGTCTGCTATTGAGCCAGTCATGACACATCCGACGGAAGGTGAGATTTTGAACACATGGGAGACAGATGAAGGGTCGATAAGTTTGTCCTGTCAAAAGAGCTGTTAGCATGGGCATGAGCTTGGAGACCAGGGGTTTGATCCATACAGGCACTTTCTTTTGAGATAAGACCACAGCACAATTCTTGCCCCGTACTCCCACCGATGTGATATTGGCTGCTGTAATTGCCTTGAAGGCATATTCTGAACATAGATGTAAGCATCATGACCTTGACGTTTGTCCCGGGTGGTTGCGGAGTGGTTTGCGCAGAGGAGGCCGTCAATTGTTGATTGACGAGGAGTGTCAAATCAACAAGTCGAGGATTTGGTGGGACGTACCAACTTGATATAATCGACCCTGATCTGAGAAGATGGTAATGTGTCGATCATAACCCGCGCTGCCTGAAGATACGAAGTGGTCAGCTCGGTGAGTCCGATACAGCTACGATGGGCAATGAGACGAACCAGACATCTTGGACCTCTTTCAACCGAGGTATATCGCACCAATTGTGTAGCTTAGTACGTCCAAGAGAAGTCGAGGGATGAAGCTTGACTCAAGTTTGAAAGATGATGGCAGAGACAGGTCGCTGGATGAGTACGTAAATGGTGTCGTCGGTACTCCGTTCTTTTGGAGGGTGTCGATGCAACGCGCAAACTGCGCGATGCCTTGCACTTGACTAGGCCACCAATAAACGTCAGTCGAACCTTTGCACCGCCACGAGCGCCACCTGTGGCACACAAATCTTTAACCCCAAGAGAAAGTTCTCATTCGAGCGAGTCGGTGGAACTTTTATATCCCAGCTGTAAAAATATCTCATGTCTTCATTAATTAGGTGGCCACTTATCAGTAGATCCTAAGCCCTCCAATCGACGAGGGCGCTAGGTCCGGCGAGATCACCTCGGCGAAGAAGACCAAAAAAATGCAGAAACCTGTGATTCCAGCTTGGAAGAGATTAGGCTTGAAACTCAAATACGCGGATGAAGTTTTCGAGTCTACGGGGAATTCGAACGGGGACGGAGGTGTCATTAGGAGCCATAAGTCTGTCAAGCCCAGTTCAGCCAAAGAAGAGCAACAGGTCTCGGATGAACCTCCTCGCAAAAAAAGAAAGGCTTCGACAGGCTCCGATGAAATTCGCCAGGCTTGGCTAGCAAACGGCACCGACGCACCCAACGGCAAGCCGTCCGAAAAAGCCACGAAAAAGCTCAAGAAAAGAGTATCATTCTCCGCTGATGTCAAAGCTGACTCCGAAATGCCTGGGACAGCACCAGTGGAAGCAGGGTCCAACCTTGAAGGAGCCCCAGCGACTAAGCGGAAGAAGGAGAAGAAGAAAAGCAGAGCTGCTTCAGATGCTCAGCGGCCTTTGAGTTCGGGATTGAATCCAGCTCTCGAGTATCTGAGCCAGTACCATACCGCACGGTCGACCTGGAAATTCAACAAAAGTAGAGAAATATGGATTCTGAAACATGCACTTTCAGAGACAGATATTCCCAAAAGCTATGATTTGGCTCTTGCAAGATATGTACACGGATTGAAGGGCGCCGGCGCCAGAGACAGGCTGAAGACGGCATGTATGGATATGTTGAAGGAGCAGCCAAGCAAGGCAGACACAAGCGATCAGCTAAATGACGGCCACGACGATCAAGATAGGCACTTCCAGGCCCGTTTCGGAAACGAGCTTCAGGAGCTTCAAGAAGGCGCCAAAGCTGATAAAGACAGTGGCGAGTTCGAAACATGGATCCAACACCAGCCGCGCTCGAAACTCTTGCTTTGGAGCCTGGGGCATGATGAGGCGGTTACGAATTCAAGCAAGCTTGGCTCATTCGCTACAGACGGTAAAGGAAACACAAGAACACCCCAAACAAATGGAGTAGACGCACAGAAGTCGACGCAGAAGAAGAAAAAGAACAGGACGGCGGTTGTTGAATATGAAAGCTCCAGCTCCAGCTCCAGCTCCAGCTCAAGTAGTGAAAGTGATACGGATGGCGACAGCGAGAGCGAGAGCGACCATGATGCATCTCCGGAAGAGGCCGAGGAGACGACTTCCAGCAGCGGCAGTGACAGCAGTACCAGTGATGAGTCCAGCAGCGGTTCGGACAGCGAGTAGGTTATGCTCTAGAGGACTTCATGGAGGCAAAATACTAAGGTTACGGGACGCAATAGTCTGCCAATATAACGCTATCGGTGGTACAAATAATGATCATTGGATTAGATAATCTGCCTAGTCGGTGCCACATTGAGGTGGCTGGGAATTCTGATGAGAATCTGAAACAGAAGAAGTGACAGAAATAGCACTGTCTGAAAAGTCGCGGGCATCATCAGACACAATACTGATGGTGGGCTTGTGATGGGAATCGAAGAGGATTCAGACATTTGAGGGGAGCTTTCACGCTGTGGTCAACGTAGGGCAGGTACTGTACCTGGCGAGAGTCGAGCAGACCAAATCCCCAAAAAGGTCTGACATCTGGGGTTGGCAGGCGTTGCAGGCGGTGCAGGCGGTGCAGGTGCCTGTGAAGTCATTGTCAGACGGCGATGAATTCTCCGAAAGCTCCTTCCGGTGCGCGGCAACGGGATTGTAGCGTTTGAGGTAGGCTCACTGCTAGGCCCGCATCGTCGTCATTCGTTACCCGCCTCGTGACCTGCCCTTGCAGGCAGCCGTCCACCTCCCTCAATCGATCCTCCCGTCTCTCTTCATCTCTGCATCAACAAACCACTCAATCATCGTATCTCCATTCCTTAGTATCGTGTGGTTGGCATTATGAAGTCTGGACTTGTTGTCGCAGCTACGCTGCTAGGTGCTGCCAATGCTGGCATGCACCGGATGAAGCTCCAGAAGGTGCCTTTGGAAACACAGCTCGGTGCAGCCAACATCGGCGACCACGTGCGAGCCCTCCGCCACAAATACACACAGAAGACATTGGGAGGACCTGCGGAGGATATCTTCAGTGACACTTCCATCCATCCGGATGGCCCGCATGATGTCCCCGTCGAGAACTTCTTGAATGCTCAATGTAAGAACGCCGCCCATTCGGCCTGTTCTGCGATGCTGACCGCAGGCAGACTTTAGCACCATCGCCTTGGGGACGCCACCACAAGAGTTCAAGGTCGTCCTCGATACCGGTTCCTCTAACCTCTGGGTTCCTAGCCAATCTTGCGGCTCGATTGCGTGCTACCTCCATCAAAAATACGATTCCTCTGCATCGTCCACATACAAGAAGAATGGATCTGACTTCGGCATCCGTTACGGGTCTGGCGAGGTGGCTGGTTTCATCTCTCAAGACGTTCTGCGCATCGGAGATCTGAAGGTGAAAGATCAACTCTTTGGTGAGGCCACCAGCGAGCCTGGTCTGGCTTTCGCTTTTGGTCGTTTTGATGGCATTCTTGGTCTGGGTTACGATACCATCTCGGTCAACCACATTCCTCCCCCATTCTACAACATGATCGACCAGAAGCTGCTTGACGAACCCGTCTTCGCCTTCTACCTTGGCAACACCGATGACGGATCTGAGTCAGAGGCGACCTTTGGCGGTATTGACAAGAGCCACTACACTGGAAAGATGGTCAAGATCCCGCTTCGCCGCAAGGCCTACTGGGAAGTCAACCTTGATTCCATCAGCTTCGGTAAAGAGACGGCTGATCTCGACAACACCGGGGTTATTCTGGACACTGGTACTTCCTTGATTGCTCTACCAAGCACCCTTGCAGAACTGCTCAACAAAGAGCTTGGAGCCAAGAAAGGGTTCAATGGACAATATACTGTCGAGTGTGACAAGCGCGACTCGCTCCCCGACATCAGCTTCACTCTCAGTGGTTACAACTTTTCGATCACGGCCTACGACTATATCCTCGAGGTTCAAGGGTCTTGCATCAGTAGCTTCATGGGTATGGATTTCCCCGCGCCTACTGGTCCGCTGGCTATCCTTGGTGACAGGTGAGTCTCTAAATTGGTCCCCCTTGCCCCGCACTCCAATGCTAACATTGCATAGTTTCTTGCGCAAGTGGTACAGCGTGTACGACCTTGGCAATGATGCCGTCGCTTTGGCCCAGGCCAAATAAACGGAAACTGCACTGGCAGAGTGTGTCAAATCCAAACGCAATCCCCCTGGGCTGGGAAAGTCTTTTGTGTGTCTAGTCTAGGTGGAATTCGGGCGTCGGCTTGATGCGGTCACTAATAGTCCTTGTATCAACGACATCCGCAAATCTCCCTTTCATTATTGGAAATATGAATCAGCCACCCCGAGGAGGGCAAACAGCGTGTCGAGGCAATGAATATAGACCTTGGATGGTTGAAATCCATTCTGTTCTCCTGACTCTCATGTTCTCCCTGTCACTTGTTATTCGCTCATAATCATTCCTAGCTGTGGCGTGGTTTTGAATGGCATGTCTCGTGACCTTGGCTCTTTGTTCCTAAGGCCATTAGGGCGCCAAGCGTGCAGCAGCTTCCAGGGTTGATCTGGCTGCCGAGCTGCGCATAAAGTCAGCTCGCCATCCCGCACGAATCCACAACGGTTTGTTGGAGGGAGCTTACCTGCGCCTACGCTACAGATACGAATTGCCATTTTATCCCATTCTCCAGATCCAGCACCTCCAAATTCCTTCGCCCGATCAATAACCGCTCTACTTGCGACGCCCTCATACCAGCTGTTCACTGCTCAATCGCGTGCATTGAATCATCCTCTCCCTTCGTCCAATCATTCCTCTCTTTCAGCGAATCGGCAAGCTACTCGCTCACTCTCCATCTTCGATCCCTACCTTACATTTCCCCTCACGGACGAACAATACTTCTCTCCTCCCACCGCGCCGCTGTGGTACCGCAGTACTATCGCCGGGTTTCTGTTGTCGGTTCCCAATACTTTGACTGTCATTCAATCTATAAGCTACTGTCAATGTCCTCAACAATACAACCTCGTCCGGAATGCTTTTACGACTCCCTAAGAATCTCCACTACCCTCTTACGCTCACCAAAGTCGAGAAGCGAGTAGGCGAATATGTTACCCGCAACGATGACTTATTCCTCTATTCCTACACGACCAAAGTGAAAGAGGGCAGTCGCTATGGCGACGAAGAAGAAGAGGTTGAGAGGAAGTTTGTCACACATTTTCCCAGCACTCTCGAAGGTACAATCAAGGGATGGAGGGTGTGGGAAGGCGATGTCTTGACACATCCGTGAGTGTTTCGAGGAACACGCGCTATCCGGTTGCTGACGCGCGCAGTATTGATATATGTGAAATTGAAGAGGAGTGTCCACATGAAATGCAATACCTAGGCATGTGTACAAACTGCGGCAAGGATATGACCACGTAAGTCCCATTCACCCGAGCAGAATACCTCCTCATCCTGACCGAGCTTCAAGTGTTCAAGCAGGCAGCGACACCACGGACGCCGATCGCGCACCCATCCGCATGACCCACGACACTCCGCATTTGACTATCAGCAAAGAGGAGGCAGGCAAGATCGATGAAGAAGCAAAACACCGTCTGTTGTCCTCCCGGAAGCTCTCACTGGTGGTCGATCTGGATCAGACTATCATCCACGCCGCGGTCGATCCCACAATAGCGGAATGGATGAAAGATAAAGACAATCCTAATTATGAAGCTGTCAAGGACGTCCGCTCATTCCAGCTCGTGGATGACGGGCCGGGCATGCGAGGTTGTTGGTACTATATCAAGCTAAGACCCGGTCTCGAGGATTTCCTTGACCATATCTCACAACTCTACGAGCTGCATATCTACACAATGGGTACGCGACAATATGCCCAACAGGTCGCCAACATTGTTGACCCTCATCGCAAGTACTTTGGCGACCGTATTCTTAGCCGAGACGAAAGCGGAAGTATGGTCGCAAAGAATCTCGAAAGACTATTCCCGGTCGACACCAAAATGGTGGTCATCATCGATGATAGAGGCGATGTATGGAAGTGGAGTGCCAACTTGATTCGTGTTACTCCCTTTGATTTCTTCGTGGGAATTGGTGACATCAACTCTAGCTTCCTGCCCAAGAAACAAGAAATCCAGAGCACGCCAAAGGCGGAAGTAAAAGAGCCCATTGAAAATGGCGCAGAAAACAAAGTAAACGGAGATCAAGAATCCAACGGCCTTGCTGAGGACGGGACTTCTAGCCTTCAGGAAGGAACATCTGCCTTGGAACAGCTTATGGCAATGAGCGGCAGTGATGATCCGGCGGTTCGAGAATTGCAGACGAAAGGACAGGAGGAGCTCATCCATTCGCAACTGGAAGACAAACCTCTTCTCAAGATGCAACTAGAGTTGGACGAGAAAGACGAAGCTGACGCAGCCGTCAATGGCGATACAGCTGGACCGCAATCCACCGAATCTGATTCCAGCGAGTCATCGGAATCGTCAGAAACAGGCGCGGCCACACCCAAACATAAACCGCGCCACAGCATCCTAAGAAATGATGATGAAGAGCTAGTACATCTGGAGTCCAGCCTAACTACAGTACATTCAGCATTCTTCGCGGAGTATGATCGAAAGCGGCTGGGTGGCAAGGGGGGTCGAGTGGCCGAATTGATCGGAAAGAGAAAAGCACCTCTGCCTCATGGCGATGACGACCAAGGGAACTCTGTGGACTTGATGTTCGTGCCCGACATCAAGAAAGTCATGCCTGCCATGAAGATGAAGGTCTTTTCCGGCGTGATTATTGTGTTCAGTGGGGTGCTGCCCCTGGGGACCGATATCCAAAGTGCCGACATAAGCACATGGGCAAAGACCTTCGGAGCAAGAATAACAGACAAAGTTTCTCGAGAAGTCACTCATGTTGTTGCCGCACGGCCCGGAACTGCCAAGGTCAAGCAAGCCGTAAAGCGTGGAATCAAGGTGGTGGGTACTCCTTGGTTGATCGAGTCGATGCAGCAATGGCGGAGACTTGATGAAAAACCATATCTGCTAGAAGGCGCCGGAAAACAGAGACATGAAACATTAAGCGAGGCGGCCGATCTTCTGGATAAGTCCAACGCTGGTGCGAGCGACCTCCTGAGCTCTTCCGAAGGTGAGTCCACGGGTCGAGACACAGAAGATGATCAGCCAGCAAGAAAGAAATTGAAGTTGGACATCAAGAGGGACAAGAATCCCGAAGACGAAGAAGATGACGAGTTGATCGACGATGGCAGCCCAATCACCATCAATCAAGATGAGTGGGCGGATATTGACGCCGAGTTGAAGGAGTTCATGGGCAGTGATGCAGAGAGTGAGAGCGACACCGATTCCGTTAGTTCAGCACTGAGCTTTCGGGAACGTCGCGCCGGGAAGAGAGGGCGTGACGAAGACCATGAAGATGAACAGACTGTTGGTGCTGCAGACCGCTCTCAACCCGCAAAGAGGAGTGGAGCTGGCAGTGCTCTGAAGACAGTCGCAAATATGAGCAGTGAGCGAGGTACGGACGGCAGCAATACACCGAACACGGAGCAAAGAGATGAGCAAATCAGAGAAGAACAACGAGAAGTCGAGGCAGCACAGGAACGTGAGGAGGAGGAAGTCGAAGACTCTGATGACGAGTTGGCCCGAGAATTGGAGCGGGAACTTGAAGAGGCTGACGCTGAAGAAGAGTTATAGGCCCAAGGAAGATGAATGATGGTACTCAATGGCTTGCTTATATAGCACGAGCCTCTGGAATCCTGTTCTGTGCGATGTCATTGAAATACAAATTTGTTGGTCAGCATAGCGAGGCGTCTGGACGAGCACGTGCTCAATGCATACATTCAGGATATCACCATAGCACAGCAAAGCATGTCATATAGCATGCAAGGGCTGCCCAAGACCACGAGTACGAATGAGCAATGAAGAAGATGCCACAACATGTTGCTGTGTCTGGTCAATGCCACCATGATCTGTTTTCTCCCTTCTATTGTTGGCGTCCAATTGCACCGGCAAAATATTATTCCGTCCGTCCATCAGTTAATTTGTCTCACTTCTCGTGTTCGCCTCTCGTCCTTCGTCTACTTCTCGCAAGGCGGTAGTCCGACCATAGCAAGATTATCGACTACTGCGCCGTCTTGTTCGTGATGAGCAGGACGCGTATTGGTGAGATGTCCATTGGGGGCCAGTTCCCAAGGAGCTAAGCTCCGTGCGCCGAGTACTGACTGCTTCTTGTGGAATGTCTATCTCACCGGCCAATGCCCGGAGAGTCAGCCACGGTGAGGATGCACGAATAGCAGGTCCCATTGCTAGGGATCATGCTAGCTAACACACCCAGACACCCGTCTCCGTCCCTCCCTTTCGTCGCATTTGTCCTTGTGTATCTAGCCTAGCGGATCAACACACCAGAACTTCCCCTTCAGAATGTCTACCTCTCTTCCCCAGATTTTGAAGGTCGTGTACCCTGTTGGCCGTTCATAAGCACGCGGACCCGTTCCTTGAACTTTCTGCAGGAGTCGGCGCAGTGAACCTGAACACAACGATTGATTTGTTTGATTGTCCGGTTTTCATGCACGTCAGCTCTGATTCAGGACAACCCCAGGCCTCCGGACTTTCACAGACATACCTCTTTCGCCGACGACCGACTATGAATACTTGACCAGTCTTGGCCCTTGCTCGTTCAGCTTGGAGCCCTCCAGCAATGATTTAGAGAGCTCGGTTCTGCTCGAGAGCTCAACGTCAATCTGAGAAATAGGATGTTCCCGCCAGCCAGATCATGTTCGGACGGCTCGACGGTGGTTTTCAACGGGTCGATTTATACGGGTCCAGCATCGTGGAGCGAATCCAAGAGGTGGAGGTTTCGTTGGTCGCAAGGCGGCTCCCTATCGTCGATCTCGGCCTCTCCTGGGCATGCGAAGGACCAGCAGATGGATGAATCCGTTCGCTATCATCCGACCTTATCAGGCTCTGTCATCGGTTTAGTATTGAGGCATGCCCTTCTTATCCTCGCCTTCTCACTACCAGTTGTTGCATTTGCCCTTGTGCTCAAAGTACCCAGCTGGTACGGCTTCAGGGCGGAATACTGGAGGAATACCTTCGGCCACTGCAACTACAACAGCGACTTTACACCTTACGAAAGACCATCCATCAGCTTATGGGACCATTCTGGTTTGTTCTACATTAATGTCACCTGGGGCACGATGGAATTCTCCACAGCTAAACTCATTGATATTGTCTGGGATATCGGCGTCGGGCGGGCAGGCCAAGCTCTTCTAGCCTGGGTCACGTTCGAGGTCTCCTCTCAATATTTGACTGCCACCACGCGCGAAAGTTCGGTATCTTATGGTACATTTGAAGCTTTGGCTTTTGTCCCTCCAACACTGGTAAGAACGGGGAGACTAGCAGGGGACTTACTGACGAATCGAGGCTGGCGCACAAGGCTGACAATGATCTGGATCATCTTCAGCTCATTGTTCGTTATCAGCTTTTCGTCTTTGGCGACTGCCATGTCAGGATACAGCAGCAATAGCGAAGCGGTCATGCCAGACTATGCTGGTCATCTGGTCGACTACGCGGACTACGAGGTTGTCCACTTCGCCATCAACGATGCCTGGCGGATTGGCGAGCCCGAACCTGTTACTGTTACTGTTGGTAATGCTTGCGTGTGGCAAGGGATAGGCTCCAAGGACGATGACACCGACGGGGTTACCAAAGGTGCTGGTACCTATCCTTCTAGAGATGTCGATACCGACGACGACGAAGATCCCTTCGAATACGTCCCGTTCAACTGTACCATGTTCTGGCGCACAGTTCAGTGTAAGCATCCGATGTGCTAGGACGTCCTGACTTAGCTGACTCAAGTGCAGATGTCGGTCTCTATGGCCTCGAAGCATCTCGACATTCGCCCAGCACATTTGTATGGAATGGAATACAACATAACCTGACCTCTCCGACACTGAACATCACAACATCATATACGCCGTCGTCGTTGTTATCTCTCTCAAACTATCTTGACGACTTCTCCACCCAATCACCAAGCACTCTGAAGTCGGTCGGTAAAGTGTCTGAATCCACATTCTGGATTTACGACAATCAAACGTATTCGTTCGACTATGTTCTGGATCACGCGACCTGTCAATACACGCATTCGCACAATTGGGGTTTCTCATTTTTGCTGCTGTTCACAACGGCATTGCTGCTGGCTATTTGGGCCGTAGGGACATATGTTTTGTGGTTGTCTGTTGATCTTCATTCACCACGCTTGGACGGCCATGGAGCCGGAAGGCGGTTTGATGCTGGGAGCAGAGGGATATATCGATCGAGTTGGGAGCTCGTGGAAGCGTTGAAGACGTATCTAGGACATGACGCTGTCCATCCAGGGATGAGTGAGAATGAAATCCGCAGTATGATCAAGCGACGTCGCAGATATGTCACCGGCGGTGCCCAAGGTGTGGGCACTGCGTGTGATGCGCATTTTCTACAGCGGTCGGACACGAAAGCAGAGGAAGGTACATTTCATGCCCATTCACTTGCGCAAACGCCGGCACCAGGCCAGACACCCTGGAAGAAGTTCAAGCAGTGGTCGCGTCCACTACGACCAAACGCCGAAGAGTCGATCAGACGCCCACGGCATGCAGATGCAACACTCTCCACGGCTTCACAACACCCGATCCTGATATCTCGCAGCACGCTTGGAACAACAACATCCTCCCTCACATCACCCTCGCCGTCTTCGGTGGTTACTTTTAGCAACCTGCTGACAACCGAACATGATATGCTTGCCGAGTCAGGGTCTCGTTCGGTCGACGGCCGAAGAAATAAGCCGCGACTCAGCAAGTTGAATTCCACAGGGTCCGGTGTAGACCAAATCCAAGGTCAGGGTCGGTCCGTTTCTGCAGCTTCATCGGGAACTTGGTGGCTTGCACCAGCATCGGCTTCGAGCTCAGGGGCATCATCGACGTTTGTTACGTCGATTGAAGATGCCGACACGCTTGGTAGCGGGACTAATGGTCGACTCGTGGGAGGAAAGGGGCAGGATATGGCTGCGCAAGGAACAGACGGCGATGTATTGGAGTTTAGGTATGATCTCGGCGACGATTGAACAAAGCAAATTATCGTGTTCCCGGTCTGCCCCTCTACTGTATGTAGTGTGGCGGCTGCAAAATACATGTCACAACTTCCCAACCTAGTGAACTGCTTGGCTGGTCGCCACCTGATAAAGTTCGATGCTGAAGCCGGCAGATGTAACCCGATGTCAAGTCCTGAGCTCAAAAGCCCCAGTATACCGACTTGCAGTCCCATCCATCTACTGTGTAAAGAGTCGCACCGGGTTTGTCCTTGTAGATCCAGAAATGGACGTACGTATTATCCGCCATTCCAGCCGCCGCATAGTCCGGCAGTTCTTGACCATTACCAAACACCGACCAGGAGAATTTGGTGTTCGTACTCGGGAATACCACTGAGACGGGGGCACACGTTAGACAGTGTTCTTGCGCAGCAGCACCAGCAAGGTGCACTAGGAAACGTACCTGAGCCGGGAGTCTTCCAATTCGTATACGAGCCGTGAGTGACATCAACGTAGTCATCAGGCTGCTGTCCCCAGTTGCCACCATCTCGGAGACTGCGATAGTAGGCAACGCCACTGGACAGTTGATCACCACTTTGGCAGTTGACAAGATAGATTCCGTCTAGATTGTGTCGTTGTGGCGCCGGGGGAACAATCGCTTGGGGCGGCGCCGGCGGAGGAGGTTGACCGGGGCCGGGTAGAGGCTGGGGAATCACGTCTCCAGGAATGACGGCTGGAGGACCTTGTGGCAGAGAACATCAGTCACAGTGGAGAAGGATGGGCGCGGGATGGTCAATTCGTGGATCGGCAAGCCCCATGGTTGATATTGTTCACTCACTCTGGATCGGGTGGAATGAGACACGGCCGGCTCCAGTCCGGTCGAAATTGCCCATGAAGCACCAGTTTATGAAACCACCATCGCCCATCATGTTAAAGTCTCCGTAGTCGAAGACGTATGTCTCGTAGCCTTTGGTGTTTGGAACTTGGACGGGAAGTTCCACGTGGTTATGGACGCTGTTGACCAAGCCCGATGCGTCGTGGTTGCCGTGAACGACCATGACATTCTTGTCAGGATAGTTTTTTCGGAGCTGCGCAGCGGTACTCTGGGTGAAGGCGGACTCGTTATCGTGATCACCATCGATGATTGTCGAGATGATGAGTTTCAAGCAGATGCCGATGACGGCCACTCCGGGACCGCCAGCGAACCCTGCAGCTGATGATTGTCAGCGTCTACGACAGAAGGCCATAACACCATAATGTACACACGTATAATAACAGGCACAGGTTCTTGACGAGCCACATGCCAGAGAGTGGGTGACGCCGCCACAAGGAGCAGACAGGAAAGGATGGTCAAAGTGAGCGAGCCTCGGACTGAATGGGCCATGCTTAGTCGGATTTTCTGCCGACCGAGTGGTAAGTGGTAAGCGAACGAACATATCGAATATTAACTAGTAATGGCTCTTTCAGCCTCTTATAGTGTCGCCAGACGCAAGAACCCTCACCGGAGCTGTTGCGGTGTACCTCCGGGTTGAGTCTCAGCATTTGTGATTCTTGTTCCTTTCGACAGTAACTTGCAGGTGCGAAGCAAATCATTACCCATGGTGCCGAAGGCACAGACTGTGAAGAAGCTCATGCCGCGCCGATAGCTCCATTGTGAGCACTCTTGCAGCCTTGTGACCAGTGAATGGTATTGCATTGGAAGAGGAGCAATCAAGTGGTTCGGTCCAGTCGGCTTCTGCTTGGGTATGGCGACTTTGAGATGCTCATTGCTCATAGAAGCATTGTGTTCATGGTATTTGGAAGAGTGACGGTGATGGCGGACATGACAGGGAGTCCTTGCCCTGAATCTGCCCATGTATGCCTGCCAGAGCTCAAGCCGCAATCTGTACCAGGGCCACCTACGCAAGGAACGGGCGGGGATGTGGCGGAGTTGAGGTATGATCTCGCCGACGACTGAATAAGACAAATGCTTGTGTGCGCGTTCTGTCCTGGTGTGTAATGTCACGGCTTGCAACCCCTTTGCTGTCGCTCACTGCCATCACAAGGCCTCTTTTGGTATATTAAAGCCCCAGCCTATTGCATGTGCACCAGATGTGGCTAAACATGGCGAACCCGTAAGAAGGAGACCTGGCTCCGCCCAAATTGGCGGACATCGCAACGATTACAAGAAGAGGAGCACTTTCTTGTTTCGCCTCGGGAACTTGCGTGCACATGGGTGGCATCATGGGTACCACTGGGCACCCCAGGGGGTTCACCAGGCATCACCAGGCATCATGCCAATTAGGCCTCACTAGCCTTCGGTACTTCGGGAGCTTCCGCCTGGCTCGACCCTACCCTAGGGGAGGGGGGCCTCCTTCCGGCACTAAGGGGCGCCTATGCTAAGCACGGCGAACTTAGTCCCAACATTAAAAGCACCTCTTTCATTCAAACTCGACTTCCATCACGCCTCTAGGCAGGCTTCAACTGGGCTCTCGAGATGAATTGACGAGCAGCTCAGCTCATATGAAGATCTTCGCCTCTCAAGATTGCAGAGATCATTCCCAGAGAGATTCAGGCGAGACAAGCACCAATCCGCGCACGAGGTCTCTTCTCAGAGCTCTCCTTTGCTGCCGCAGTGACCCGTTCCGTGTGCCTGCATGTCACACCATCCACGCCATCTTCCCTAGGTCTTGCCTGACAATCACAGGCATTATCTTGTTCTTTCGCAATACAGTGGAGGCAAGATGCGGGGTTCGCGTCCATTGCAGCTGAAGAACTGCTCGTATCCAATGGTCTTCTGGCCAGGAACCAGGGGTTCTTGGTGGAGGCTAAGCTGGCAGTTCTTCCAAGGCAAAGCAGGTTCACCCTCCGCGTGCGGCTGAATCCGCAGCGAGCATGTGCTCAGTCGAAACCAAAACCCCTCCTCCACACGAAATCTGCCTTGCAGTCCGCCTCTCCCTCAAAACAACACAGACTCGATGAGCTTCAAAGTTACTCAATGGCGTGGCAGTCAGTACGAGCGTATCGTCTCACCGCATCACAGTTGACTGCGTGGCTCCGCAAGAACTTTGGAGCCACCAAAGACTACAAAGTGACGGTAAGAAATGCCCCAGGATCCCTTAGGAATACGCTGTGATTACCATATTGACTCTCGATACAGCTCGTGAACGACAAATATCATTTTGACTACTCACGTCCACTCACTCGGGTATGTAACCACCTGTTCTGCGGATCCCCAATAGTTGGGTTCCTGACACAAGCTGCGCCACAGGCTGAGAGAGAGGATATTGACGACCTTCGGGCCTAGCCGGATCACATTCTCTATTGGATTTGCATACCACATCGCCATCTTGCACGAACGCCTATCACTCCAGCTCGAATATTTGCCTTTGGCGCGCCTGTCCTCCCATCATTTAACCTTGGAAGCAGAAAGGACTGTGCATGCCTCAGCATCGCCCGAGCTCTAACACAGCCGATGCCGCAGTTGCACATTTCTTCTGAATGCACGCATTCAATTTCGAGATATATTGGCAGCTTCACCGACATTTGTGCTGCGATTTCCCCCTCCAGAATCCTTTCACACATTCCTCCACTTATACCTCGCGTTAGGTACACTCATATCCTTTTTGGCGCAGACCTTTTGTTTCAGCCAACGAATGTCATACGCAGTAACCTCTACCGACATGGACCCTCTCCTCCAAAGCCGTGCAAAACAGTATCCACACAGCATAGCACGTCCCAATGAGTGTACATATGTACTGGACTCATATGCAAGTCTGTTTCGAAAGTTGCAACCTAAGCTATTTGGTGTGGAGGAGCGCGCTTGCATCAATCTGTGGCAGTGTCAGCTGGATGGCCGTTTTCGGCAGGAAACCGCACGAAATCTTATCCAGTTGGAATCCCATTTTGACACACAGGACCCGCGAAGCCAGCCTCACCCACAGTGTCGGTTTATATTTATCAATGCACACAACGGGTCTTCCCAGGAGCGGCTCAATATCACAAGCCAAATGATGAACGACACATTGACATATCATCAGATTATGCCACCATTTGTTGACTTGATGGCTTCATTCGGTCGCAACGCTGCAGATGATTTTCAATATTGTGGTTTCAGGAGCGAGGCACGACTGTCTACGAGAAATATCGCTTTGGCAGTGCCTGAGCTGGGCAGGTCGGGACAGGTCCTGGAAATCTGCTACAGTCTACGCGCGGTCGAGCCTAGCACTTCGATCCCAGGCTCGCCGTGGTCCATCAAGCAATTGGCCATCGCTCACACCTTCGATGTTAAGACTGGTCAATCAGCCTGGGTGGTCTTGAAAGCCGACAACTTGATCAAGGACCGCATAATGTCAGCTACACGATCTGCCGGCTTGCCAGACATGAATTCGTATCAGGATGTTGACGAGTCTTTGGCCTCATCGTTGACATCCCACCTTGTATTTTGTGAATGGGCTGCGGAGCACTGGAGATGGTACGTCAACTTCTTGGAGCAAGAGGTCCAGGACATCACTGGCACAACGACCTTCAGCAATATAACGGCCCCGTCATGCCTTGGAGCCGCGCAGAGAGCCATGTCAATGATCGCTCCCGTAGCCAGATTAGGCACGTTCCCGTTCTTCAAGACTCTTAGCCGAATCAGCACATGGGGATCGATTCGCCGAAATTCACGGCCATCGAAAGGGAGCGACAGTGATATGAGCGGATCAACTGTCTCTCCAACCGGAACACTTCAAAGTGGCGCGGCTGAAGCGATAACAGAAAAGGACGCCGAGGAAGAAGAAGATGGCGAAGAGCACAGCTTTTCGCTCAAAGACATACAACGCTTGCAATTCATCGAGGACAAGATCAATGAAGCCATACTTGTCCAAACTACCATAATCAAAGTTCTGGAACAGCTCCGCACATTCTATGCAAGTCTACAAGAACTCCCCGAGTGGCCGACAGGACTGTCGCGGGAGTGTAAAGGCAGTCTTGCTCGCTTCAACGGCCGTCTCGGAAATATCGAGTTCGATCTCAATCTGCAAGTCACGCGAGCGAAAACGCTTGCCACACTGTTAGCAAATCGTAAAACCCTGGTAAGCCATTCTGACGCTGGTGTCCCCCCCAAAAATCACATCTAATCTTCTACAGCTTGGCCAGATTATGGAGTGGAGGAGCACCGAAGCCATAAAGATGATCTCGAAGCAGTGTCATACATCCACCGAGCACATGGAATCTATGACCGTTGAAATGCGTGAGCTTGCAGTTAAAACGAAGCAAGAGACTGTTTCTATGCGAATCATCACACTGGTGACCTTGTTCTTCCTGCCTGGGACATTCATTTCCGTGAGTCAAAGACCTCGAAGAGGGTCTTGCTTCAGTGTACTTACGGCAGATTTACAGACCCTCATGAGCACAGATATCGTTCGGTTTGATCACTCGAAGGAGATGTTTTCCATGGCGGCATTGAAACTGTTCCTGGCAATATCCTTGCCGATGATGTTCCTTACTTTTGTCGCCTGGTATGCTGTGTACTGGTACGTTAACAACAGGGCGCGGTTCCAAAGATTGGGGAGTCAATTGCACCTAAGAGGGGATTCAGCCCTAGGGTCACTGCGCGTCTAGGAGCTCTTCCAAAACCCTGGGTGTTGAAGACGGACTACAGATGTATAAGATGTATACGAGCATTCCGTTGTCACTTGATGTTGTGGTAGACGCCTATACATTATCTTACAATAGCCGTGGTACTCAGGAAGCCATCGCCCCAATGACGAGAAGACTACCCTCTGTCTCAGAACCTAGTCTGCATCGTTGGTGGAGGCCTTGAACGCAGTTGCCATCGTCAAGCCCAGCATATTGTGGATGTAGTCAATCGGCAAGTGTCACTGCCGCGATCGAGGCAGTGCCTGAGGCAGACTTTCCTTCCAGGGAGCCAATGACATTGTGCAGCAGCCCCAGTCGGGAAAACCATCTCATTCTTCGTTTCTCTCCACCCACGACCGGTGAGGCTGAAAACACGTCCGAACCTGTATGGTTGTCACACCTCGTGGTAGGTCTGCCCCGAAACGGTCTGGCGTGATGACAACTCTTCGTTATCATTGTACAGAGACGCAGGGTCGTTCGGCAAAGTCTGCAGGGATGGCTGGTGCAGGCTCGTCAATTCGACGCCAAATGCACCCAGTTCATGCAGCCTCCCAGCAATGATAAACTGCGCGCAGTCGCACTCGATGACAGTGGCTCCAAGCCATCCTGTCCTCTTCATGCCTCTCCTTCACCCATCCAGTCTTCTGACATTCTCTCCTCTTGATGTTGTCTCTGTACCCCATATGCGACTTTCTGTCTTACCAGTGGTGCGATGGCTGCATTACGAGATGAACAACCCACCCATAAGGCTGAAATCATAGGTCTTATTCGATGGATCGACGATAACTCGGTTCAAGGAATCGATGCATACGGCAACGGGATTCCTTTCATGCCCCAGAACGATCTGAAGCACTATCTTAGCCAGAGAAACCGACTTCGAGACCTTCTCAAAGCCTTGTTTGAACCCGAGGAACCCCCTGCCAACGTTTCACCCAAATCGATCCTCACAAAATGCATCTCTGTCTTTGCCATACTCGTGAAAATCGGAAGGGGAAGATACATCGGAGAATTTCTACGGTACAGGGAGTTATCCGACCACCAACTGCCTTTCCTGACCAGACCTCGTGCCTTTCTGTCCTTGCCTAACGACGACAACTTCTTCAGCGACTTCTGCAAGCATCAATGGCGGTTTTGTGCTCACACTTTCGTAGAAGGGGAAGACGACATTCGCATATCAGAATCGTGTATTTTACCGATCCTGAGCAAGGAGAGCCTCGAAGAGGGCGGCACGGCGGACCTGTTCAAGGTCACACTACACGCTGACTATGACAAGCTTCAGTCGTCGCCAGAGGATTTGGACAGGCCTAGCACGTCTGAAAGGGTATACATAGTCACCTGAATATGCGTGGCACATACTGATATTGATCTCAGCCACGCAACACCTATGTCTTGAAAACGTTCCGCTCCAAGCGATATGCCGCCGAAGCGCTCTACAGAGCTGAAAGCGAAGCCTTCTATCATTTGAGGGGCTCGCGCGCCCATGGCAAGCACTTCATTGGATTTTATGGAAGCTTCACGCATGGTGACACCTGGAACATCCTCCTCGAATACGCTGATTGCGGCTCGCTTGAGAACTACTTCAATACAGCTGAACCACCATCTACTGGTGAAGATACTATCAAACTGTGGAAGTCGATGTTTGAAATTGTAAAAGCAGTCCGCAGTATCCACACCATTCCGCCTCCGGAGACGCCTGAGGCTGCGCCTGCGCCTATCTTTAATGGGTGCGTCCCCGCAACTTCGTCCACAAATCTTGCTGACTATCTTGGCAGCTGGCATCAGGATATCAAGCCTGACAATATCCTGGTAGCCCGCCGCTCGGTCGACGGAGACGTCGAGTTCAAGCTTGCGGACCTAGGCCTGGCGCATTTTCGCAGAATCAAGGCTAGGAGACAGGGAGGCCATGAAGCAAGTATCTCGGATAAAGATGCAGGAGGTACAAGGGCGTACGGTGAGTGAGAGCAAGCCCATATTCGTGGTTGACTCTGACGGTAGAAGGGGCACCTGAGTGCTATCGCGGAGACGAATCTGAACACGGGATGACGCGCAACATTGGCCAAGCGGTTGATATTTGGTCTCTTGGTTGTGTGTTTAGCGAAGTTGCGCAATGGATAGCCCATGGTAAAAAGGGTCTTCACCAATACAGGGATTCTCGACGACAATTCATTGCGAGTGTGATGCCTTCCCACCAAGATCCAGGCTGCTTTCATGACACCCAGAAGGTCTTGAAAATAGTCAAAGATACCCACGAGGACCTCTTCAAACATGTCCGGATTGACGACTTCATGATGAGGCCGGTCATCAAGAAAATGGTGGAAGAAATGTTGTATGAAGCCGATGGCCGGCCGACGGCCTCACAGCTATGCTACAAGGCGCACAAGATTGTTGAGCAGGCCGACAAAGAGCTTCAACAACCTCAGCAATCACTGAAATTATCACGGAGTTCCACCACGCAATCCTGGGATCTGAAGTCGGATAGAGCCCTCCGCCGAAGACCAAGTCAGCCAAATCGTACGGAGGTTGTTTCAGCTCCCGCTCTGTCTCTGAGTAGCTATGTCGACAAATCGGACCCCCTGTCGACTCTGGACGCAGCAAAAGTACGTTCGGACGCTTCAAAGGACGACATAAGACTGAACGAATCACGCAGAGCATTGCTGGGCAAGAACACGGCTTCGTTACGAACGCTCTGCGACGATCCACCAGACGAAAACCACTCGCATTCAAGGCAAGCTAGCCATGGCCGCCGCGAAGGCTCGATCGCTGGCCCTTCGTCCCCACCCGCATCAATGACAACAAAACCCTCCTACAATAGCGACAATAATGAGCAAATACCAACTATGACAACTAGCCAAGCATTGTTCTACATCCTGTCTAAGAAGGACGGAAGGGGAGACCTAGTACCCAGAGAAGCCAAGAGATGCCTACATGCTCTTGCTAAGAGGGACCATGTGAGTCGACTAGACGATCCATTGTACTGCAATGACTGACAGTTGCGTTCATGAAGGTTCTCCTTATCGACGACGCCGCCTCCATGCAAAAGCACTCAGTTGAAGTCCAGATGGTGACGCGCATTTGTGCCTCTTTCCTGAAGCCATATGATGACGATGGATTGGATGTGTACTTTGCCTCTTCCAAGGAGCGTTTGAATTCCAGGAATGTCACGCCACTGATGACAAGAGTCGCTGGCCATCCAGCCGGGGGCACTTCCGATATTGGATCCTGTCTTGAAGATTTGGTGACTGACTATATCTACAAGATCGAGGGCCGACACCGCAAGAGCCTTTTTCATTTTCGTAGCGACAAACCGCTGAAGCCTTTGAATGTCTATGTCCTTACCGACGGTATTTGGGAATCCACGTCCGACGCTGAGGCTCCTATCAAAAGACTCGTTGCTACGTTGATACACCATCATCAAAGTTCGGCCCAAGTTGGGATTCAATTCATCTTCTTTGGCGACAACCAGCAGGCTCGAAAGAAACTCGAGTGGCTTGATGATGACTTGGGCCTCGAGATGTAAGTCACTTGGCTGTCCCGAGGACAACAATGTGCCCTATCTGTGCAGTGGAACTGACGAGTCAATAGGGACATCGTGGATATGGAGCCTGCAGATGGCAACGTCTTGAAAATGCTTGTTGGCGCCAGGTTGAAGAAGTTCGACAGAGCGGTGACCAACGGGTTCAGCCCCTAAGCATTTAGGGGTTGAATGTGCCGACAAGACCGGTATTTGACAGGCTTCGTGGGACCAGACGACGCTCTGGGCGGCCTGTAAAACGACCGGAGTCGATGATTTTTCTGGAGACTTCATTGAATGTTTTTTCCGCGATACCCCTTACTTGTTTGGTGGCTAGAGTGGGGTTTGGACATATTCTCATATACCTATTCTTGCTGATCATAGACGAAGGAAAACGAGTCTGGCAAATCAGCATTACGCCTGGAGCGAAGGCGTTTACATATATCTCATGAAGATGTCTACCTAGGTCGCTAGGTATGCGGTGGCTGAGAGAAGCTGCCGCGACGATTGACAGGACTGTGCTTGGCGCTTTCCCAGCGTTTTACACTCACTTGAGTACTCTGATCTCTCCATTCATCGCACATAAGGCGACTAATGCGCCACGCAACTGCTACTATACGAGCTATGGACCCTCCCTGGATTTGGAATTGCCGCAAGATCCGGTCAACGTCACCCGCATGTGGTATAATCGTGCTGCTGACCGTTCGCCGGCCACAGGAAGAATACAGCATCATTTGGCAGTCCTAGAGCGGCCCAACGTCGTTCGTCGATTGTTTTACTATACCAAGGCTCTCATCAGTGGCATGCCTTTCGTGAATGCTCGGGACTCCGATAAAGACGGCTAATCTCGAGTCTCGACTATAGCTGTCCCGGGAAACTCGGCGATCTTATGTTGTCACACGTAATTCCCGTGGTTGGCAAACAGGACAAGTATGTCGGATCCTTGTGCTCACCGTGAAATGTACTCTTTCTCATCCTCAGCAGCATGCTACGGCCGCCTTACCCTCGTATTGAGTGGGCCCGGTGATGGATGACGCCCAGGCTCCGCCCACTTATAGTATGTGAGTATATACAAAGAGAGTTGCTGTGGCCGCTGAGACAGCAGACGACAAATGGATTTCAACAGCTCAATGCCGGTGATCACCTTATGTCGCTCTACAGATTCACCTTGACATTGGGCGTGGCTCTCGCTGCTTTGCTCATTTATGGTCTGCTCTTCGTTGGCAGGAGAGCACGTCACTTACCACCAGGACCTCCAACACTGCCCGTGATCGGGAACGCGCATCAAATCCCGTCAAAGGGCGCACATTACAGGCTCACGGAATGGGCAAAACAGTACGGAGGCATCTACAGCCTCAAACTGGGTCCTGGGACTGCAATTGTTCTGACTGACCGCCGCCTTGTCCGCGAGATCCTGGACAAAAGAAGCGCTGTGTCGAGTGGCCGTCCCATGTCAACCGTCGCTCAGAAACTCATCGGCAGTGACGACCACTTACTTGTCATGGACTACGGTCCTAAGTGGAGAGACATGAGAAAGCTCATCCAGCAGGAACTTACGGCGGCGGCTTGCGAGAGAGAGTACGTCGAACTCCAAGAGGCGGAAGCCGCCCAAATGCTTCGTAACTTTGTCGAAGCACCGGATCGTCTCATGGACCACCCCAAGCGCTTCAGCAACAGTGTCATCATGAGCATAAGTAAGTCGAAGTTCTCAAGCCACTTCGGCCCTTCGGTTTTCCTTCCACGACCCTCATTAGGTGCGTGGGAAATATCTTAAGTTGACCTCTCCAGTGTTCGGCACACGTACGCCTGATAACGATACCCCTCACATGACACGACTCTACGACGTTTTGCATGACTTTCAGAAAGTCATGGAGCTCGGTGCGACGCCACCGGTCGATTTGTTCCCTTTGCTGAAGTGGGTGCCCGAACGCTGGTTGGGGCACTGGATCACCCGAGCCAACAAAGTCGGCCGTAGTCTGGATTCGTTATATGGCGATATCTTACAGGCCACCATCCAGAGAAGAGAACAGTCCGGCAGCAATCGCTCGGTCATGGACAAGGTGCTGGACCGGCAAGAAGAAGAAAAACTCAACCTGACCAGACACCAGCTCGAATTTCTAGGCGGCGTAGCCATGGAAGGAGGCTCCGAAACCACCGCGGCGGCCATATTGTCCTTCATCAAAGCCATGACATGTTTTCCCAAAGCGCAGGCCCAAGCCCAAGTGGAGATTGATGCAGCAATAGGAGAAGATAGGTCTCCAAAGTGGTCCGATCGTGAGAAACTGCCCTACGTCTTGCAGATTGTCAAAGAAACGATGCGATGGAGGCCCGTCGGTGGTGTTGACGTGCCACATGCACTCTCAGAAGGTCAATTCTCCTCCACACCGCGCGGGATGCCACAAGCCCCTGTTGCATGCGTGGTCTGCGCATTCCTGCCCGACGCTCTGGCTAACTCTAGTTGAATGTCTAGACGTCTGGTTCGAAGGCATGCTCTTACCCAAGGGTAGTATACTCCTACTTAACGTCTGGGGCCTCCATCAGGACGAAAAGCGATTCGACGACCCCGCCACGTTCGAACCAGATCGTTACGCTCATTGTCACCAGCTAGCCAATGAGTATGCCGTCTCCTCGGACTACGAAGCTCGAGATCATTATAATTACGGCGCCGGCCGCAGATTATGCCCCGGCATCCATCTAGCTGAGCGGAACATGTTTATCGCCGTGGCCGAGCTCCTTTGGGCGTTCTCCTTTCAGAAGAAAGTCGACGACAAGGGCGACCCGATCGAGCCGGATCTGGACTATGCGACGGGTTTCGAAGAAGGTCTGGTTATATGTTCGAAGCCGTTTCCCTGCGAAATCAAGCCGCGGTCGCAGAGGCGTGTCGAGACTATAATGAGGGAGTTTCAGGTGGCTGAGGCGGAGATTTTTCCACAGTATGCTTGGTGAAGGGAATTCTATATGGAGTACTACTAGCACGGTTTCATGAGTAAATCGGATATTCTGGTGCTAGGGTGTCGTTCGACGACAAACGGCAGCAACGACAATTTGGGTGGTAGGAGGACTCCTTGTTCAAAGTCAGGTCTAGGGCAACGTATATAGTAGAACTCCCTATTCAAGACCAGGTCTAGGACAACATATGTGGTAGGAGGGGGTCCTGTTCAAAAAAAGAGGCCTAGATGCTGCTTCCACGATTCAATCGGCAGCTGCCGGAGTTCCATTACACGATTACTCATGAGACCATAGTACGAGTACAAAGAGATGGCAATTTGCTTGGGCTTCTGCGTTCGCAGAATTTGATTTCTACCTTCACTGTCTAATCTTTTGAGAACCCTGACTTGTAGGCATTCTCCACTGTGTCATTACCAACGTTAACATCTCTTCTCCGAGGTTCTCGTTCACTTGATTCACTTGAAAACCTTGAGATCGCTCTCCTTGAGCTTTCCAGCACCAACGAGTGCACCGGTAGTCTCTGAGAATGCAACCTTGACCTTCGCACCATCCTTGCCGGCAATGTTGAGTTGTGAGACCAATTGCGCCAGTTCATCGGGATCCACATTGGCCAAGATCTTGTCCACATCGTCCAGCACAGCATCGACTTCCTGGGAACTGGGTTGGGTGGCCGCGAAGTAGTTGACATCCTTGACGCTGGCTTTGACGACACGCTTGTTCTTCTTGACGGCATCCTTTGCTTTTTGTTTCTCCTTCTTGCCCGCCTCTTTCTCGGCCTTGAGACGCTCGTCTTCTTCCTTCTGGAGACGGTCGGCCTCGGCCTTGGCTTTAGCTTTGTCCTCGGCTTCCTTTTTTGCGGCAAGTTCCTTCTCGATCTTTTTCTTGTTCTTCTGAGCCGATGCCTGCTGTCGGAAGCGCTTGATGCGTTCGTCCATGGCCAAACAGTCGTCGACCAACTTTCTCAGCCTAGCAATGTCCTCGGACTTGCGCTTCTTGCGGGCGTTGGCATTCTTCTTCTCAATGTGTCGCTTGTGATCACGTCCTTCGTTGTCGTCGGGGACATCCTCATCGAGATACTCAAATGTGCGCCACGAGTCGAAGTTGTACCAGAAATCGTAGAACTCTTCCACCTCCTCTTTGGTGCTGTTGTCATCGCCGAGCTTGGGGACGGGCTGCTTGTTGCTGAACCGCGCTTCACTTTCGAAGACGGCGTTCCATTTCTTGTAGAAGGCACTTGGCTTCTGCACCTCTTTCTTGCTTGGGGGTTCCACGTCGGCGGCCTCGTCGACGGAATCAAATTGGCGACGGCGAACGGGGTCGGTCAGGATCTCGTGGGCTTTCTGGATACACTTGAAGAAGCTGTCACCTTCCTCTTGACCAGTCGCGGCCTTCTTGTCAGGGTGGTGCTTGAGAACCTTCTTGCGGTGGGCTTTCTTGATTTGCTCGTCGGTTGCTTTGAAGCGGTACTTGGACAGACCGAGGACGGCGTAGTGGTCTTGACCCTGTAGGAATTGTCAGTCATGAACTTTTGAGAAACATTTGCGGATTGAAAGTCAAGTGAGGCAAGTAAGAATGTCTTACCCTCCAATCCTTCGCATCTCGAGCAAGCATCATTGGATCTTCAGGTTCGCTGATTTCACCATCATCGTCGTCTTCAACGCGTTTGGCTTTTGCGGCGGCTTGGATCCTATCGTCCTCGGAGAATGTGCGACCGTGACGCTTGCGGCGAGCCTACAAATTCAAGAGTCAGTCACAACGTTGTGAAAGCGGAATCAGTATTTTTTCGACGTACGTAGGCAAGGAACGCCGCGCCGTAGGGTTCGATCTTGCGGTTGACAGGTGGGCTCAGGGTACTGAGGGCACGAAAGCTGGGATTCGCATCGCTGTCTCCCTTCCAGTCCGCAGGCGGAGGAGGGATGGTTTCGACGTCGGCCATATCAGCAGGGTATGCTTCGACGAGGTAGTATTGCTCGGCAGGGGATGGAATTGCAGTTTCGTTTTCTTCTTCGAGATTGTCCTCAGCAATGGCCGGATTGGCGTCAATCAGAGCTCGGATAGTCTGTTCGACGGTCCAACCACGCTCCCTCGCAAACTGTAAATGAATGGGATGAGAATTAATTTTTTGGGGCAAGGCCGGTTGACGGCACAACTTCGGCAGATCAACTCACCTCTTCTAGCGCCTCCATAACGTACAGTGGGCTGGCTGTCAAAGGGAAGGTTGGCCGAGCAGTCCGGGTGATGAAATACAGAGGTCCTTTGGCCTGGGCCTTGCGAACCAGACTTATTTGCATGTTATGATCAGGAGAAAAACAACAATCACAAGTGAAAATCCGCAAGTCATTATTGTTTGAAGATATTGTGAATTTTAGTGCGCTTTATTGTCCTCTCGGCAAGAAACTCTGCGCAAAACAATTCACAGATAATGGCTCTCGCGGCATACAGGTAGAGAGAGACACACCCAGGTTTGCGATTCCACAGACATTCAGCTGATTGGGTATAGACATTTGCTGCGGGCGACGCGGATAGCATTCAACGGCGACACTCAGCTCCTACATGCGGCACGAACACAGGCGCGAGCGGGATTTGACAGTTTAAACTCCTTGGATCCTCAGTCAGAAGAGGCGCAGAAAGGAATACAGCATGCAGAGGGTGTAGCTTCAATACTCCGACATAACCTTGTGCAAGGGCAGCGGGTGGAGGGTTCAGACTCAATCAGTATGGCGTGAACCTTGACCAGGGCGCAGGCGCAAGGCTGACTTGTGAACAGAATTGAATCTACACGAAGACATCGAGCGAGGTGACAACGATACGGTCAAGAATCCGCTCGGCAAAGGAGGAAAAGTGAAGGTGGGAGGCCTCTGAAACGGACAAGCTTAAAGCTCTTTATTCGACACTATGATACCCTCCCTGTGGTGGCTTCGACGGCCGGCCAAATCATTCCCAAGCGCCTTGCTCGAAATGCACAACATCATCATTCGTCCATAGACTGCGGTTCAGTCACCCTCCATACTGGCATAAGTTACGTCTCCCTGCCCAGGCGGAGGTGCCACTAAGAAACCGGTACTCTCCTCCTCGGCGGGACCTTCGATAGCTTGGACGCCTTCCCTTCCAGTAATGGCTCGACCACCAGATTCTGCCGCCTTCACAGCAGCTGCTGTTTGCCGACCCTCCCTCGCCCATTCCAATCTTTGCTCCCGGTCGGTGTTGTCTAGCGGCTTGGGTTTGCCCCATTGGACACGCAATGGACATCCCTGAATGAAGGCTTTCCCCTTGCACTGCGCAGCAGCAGCTTCGGCTCCTTCTCTGGTTGCATAGTTGACAAAGGCACAATGCGCTCGATGTGAGCAGACGAGTGATCGGATTTGGCCGAAAGGGGCAAAGAACGTGCGAATGGCGTGCTCCGGCAAGTCGTCCTCAACCCCAGTGACGAATAGCGATGTGATGTTAGGGTCGGCGGGGGGCAGATAGTCTTCTGGCTGGGGAGGTCGTGCATTGCCTGGGACTGCTCGAGCAGCGCCGGGCCGAGCGCCTCGTTGTGCATTTCCGGCCTTTCTATTGTCAGAAGTTCGAATGGGACCTGGTCCATATCCCGGTTTTGGCTCAGCTGGCTTTTCTGATGTTCCTTCCGCTTCTAGTCGTCTTTGCTTCTTGTAGTATGGTTCACTGTTTGCGAGTCTCCGCAATAGATCTCGCGCCTTTTCGTCTGTCTTTTCATATGCCTCGACCGCACCTCGCCCCTCCTCTAGTTCTTTCTCGTGTTCCTGTGCGTAGTATTCTCGATTGATGCTTGATGTCGGACCAGGGGCCACAAGTTTTAAGGCTGCATCTCGGACAGTTATGGGCAATCCAAAGGAGAGATCGAGCATGCAACACTGGCAGCAGTTCTTCAGTCGAGCGCACGTCAGGCAAATGTTGGTTCGTTTCGTTCTTGCGGTTCGATCAGCTTTCCAGCGGAAGACTGCAAATCGTCAGATTGCTTTATCAAAAACTGATGCTTGAACGGCAGGATGATTTCGGGAGGAGACTACTTACCAGTGAATGGTCGGGTACAAATTTTACATTCAGCACCATAGTCCTCTTTCAGCATCTGAACATAAGGATTGTCGGGCAGGCAGTTTTCGCAGCTGGAAGGGAAGTCTGTGGTTTCCCAGCCCGAACGGTTGAGATCTTGTTTAATTTGTGGCGGCGCCATGATGGCAGTTATTCTTCGTCGGCAGAGACACTTCGAAAGTACAGTGTGACTTGCGAGATCGAGGCAGGACGGAGTAAGTTATATGCAGGCGCTGGCCTGACAAATGTGCTGCGTGGTAGGTGGGATGTTTAGTTCTAGTGGTTGAAATTTTGGCGACGTCAGGCCTCGCCTTGACCCGAGCACGTGATACATACAGAAAAGCAGCGAGATCATGATTAGGTAAGGCAAGGCGTGGCAAGAACAGCAGTGGCACGCAGTGGTTCTGAACGGATTCGAGATTGCCGGTTCCCCTGCGTGCCTTGGCAGGCACGGAAGCCTCCATCGGATCTGGCGAGCTGGCCAGTCGCAGGTATGCGTGCTTGGGGAAATGCTCATGATGGCTCGTTTCCGTGTCGGCCCATTAATTTTTCGACGGGGGCATCGCATCCACTGCCTCGCCGCCTCTTCCTGAGCCTCCCTCTTCAATCTAAAGGAACACGCTCTCTTCACCTTGTTTACATCTGACCGCTTGTCGTGCTCTGCTGCATCGGAGATTGATCTATTGTATTAGACACCTACCTATCCTTTCCGAAGCCTCGATCCTTATCCCCATTCTTAATCACCCTTGCCATCTCAACATGGCGCCCTCTGCAACGTCCCCCGTTATGACCCTCGAGGCCGAGGATCATGCTCGCGATGCTGCTTTCAACAAAGCCCTCCATGGCAAGTCTGCAGAGGCTAGAGGAGGGTTTTCTGCCATGCGCAACAAGGATAATGCTGCACAGAAGGCCGCAGTGGAGGAGTACTTTAAACACTGGGACAATAAACTTGCCGCAAATGAGACAGAAGAAGACCGCAAGGCTAGACGAGACGAATATGCAACTTTGACCAGACAGTACGCTCAAACTGATGATCTCAATTGGACCTTGCTGACATGATTAAAAGTTACTACAACTTGGCCACTGACCTGTACGAGTATGGCTGGGGCACTTCTTTCCACTTCTGCCGGTTCGCTGCAAAGGAATCTTTCTACAAGGCAATTGCCCGACACGAACACTACTTGGCTCTGAAGATGAATTTGCAAGAGAATGCTCGCGTTCTGGATGTCGGCTGCGGAGTGGGTGGCCCAGCTCGTGAAATGATCAAATTCACTGATGCCAATGTGGTGGGATTGAACAACAACGATTACCAGATTGAACGAGCGCTGCGGTATGCGCAAAAGGAGGGTCTGGCCGACAAATTTTCTGCTGTGAAGGGAGACTTTATGCAGATGTCGTTCCCAGAGAACAGCTTCGATGCCGTCTACGCCATTGAAGCTACTGTACACGCCCCCAGCCTTCAAGGTGTGTACGAGCAGATTTTCCGGGTGCTGAAGCCTGGTGGTGTGTTTGGCGTCTACGAGTGGCTCATGACCGACAACTACGACAACAACAACCCAAAACATCGAGAGATCCGACTTGGAATTGAGCAAGGGGACGGCATCTCCAACATGGTCCGGGTCTCGGAAGGCTTGGCTGCCATCAAGGCAGCTGGTTTTGAGCTTGAGCACCACGAAGATCTAGCAGAGAGACCCGATGCCACCCCTTGGTACTATCCTCTTGCTGGAGAGTTCAAGTACTGCAGCAGCATTGGAGATTTGTTCACCATTGGAAGAATGACCTGGTGGGGACGAGGACTGGTGCACAAATTTGTCGGTCTTGGTGAGACCCTGAGATTGATGCCTCAAGGCACGCAGAAGACAGCGGACAGCCTTGCTGTTGCTGCGGATTGTTTAGTTGAGGGTGGGAAGCAGAAATTATTCACGCCCATGTATTTGATGGTGGCACGAAAACCCCTCAATGCTTGAGGGTTGTCGAGATTTGGCGAAATGGCATAAGGCGTTGCGAATTGGGATCCCAGGAAATAGAACATACATACCTAATCCAATGTACATACAGCATCCGTGGCGACCATGAGACGAGTGGTTGACATTGTACCCGATCAGCAAGTCCAGCTGGACAAGGATTGGGTGGTGAGCACCGCCACAGCAGCAGTGCTTGTGGCGACCGAAAACAGGGAAGACGTTCCAGAGCTGCACACCTACCATAAGGACTGTGGTATTGCAGGCGAGGTCGGCCCGCATTGAAACACCCTTCACCGTGCGTGCCGTGTCTGTAGAGAAGTTCAGTACATAGAACAAGACAGAGGTACTCCTATCGATCGTGTGTGCATTTTGAGTTCCTTTGTGAGATGCGCCTGAATATGCAGAGCACTTGTACTAAGTAACTTAGGGCTGGAGGCGAGTGGCCTTGGTAGTGCTTATTCAGGCACAGGGACACGCTTCGTGTCGAGGCTAACCTGGGTGTTAGGGGCATGATGGGGCTGAAACAAAGCTTGCATGAAGCCGGCGAAATCCTCTGTTTCGAAGTTATTGGGCGATACGAATCGCCCTTTCCAGCATCTACTATGTAATGTTATAGTACTAGTCATAGACGGTGATTCTTTAGAGTCGACATGATTACCCATCGAACAAACCGATAAGAAGCACCAACTCGATAAACAAACTGGCCAGGTCCAGCTCTTGGGATTGAAGAATCAGGTAATGGCGGCAGGCTCAGGGCCGAAAGCTTTAAGGTTGTGGCGGCTGCTTAGTTTGTCTGGGCGCTTATGACTCCATCGAAGTCCCATCAAGTCCCCAGAAATGTCAAAGTCATAGGTGCCCTTTTGGGCGTCCATTGACCTGAAATCTGACTCGATTCGCTCGCTTTTCTGCTCAGTAAATGGCGGTCCTTGAAGGATCTGCCGCTTCTTCAACACTATCATGCACCGTCTCGTCATCACCTCGTCCATGTGCTCAATACGCTCCATACTGAGTGGCGGAATTGTTGCCCTGTTCCAAGCTTGATGACTGCCTTGCCGCCTCTTCCACAACCTGTGACGAGGCGCAGTCCCAAAGCCGGTACAATAAACATCCTCAGACTGCGCTGTACTACGTACACACAGCCTTCACTGTCTTGCTCCTGTCCTTACCTGCATTGCCTTGTTTTGCAGTACTCTCCCTCATCTCATTCCCTCTGCTCTCTCTCTCTCTCTCTCTCTCTCTCTCTCTCTCTCTCTCTCTCTCTCTCTCTCTCTCTCTCTCTCTCTCTCTCTTCTTCATATTCACCTACGCTCCCTTCATTTCGCGTACCTCCTCAGACCGCAGTCATGGGCAAACTTGTGGGCACTGCCCTTACAGCAGCATGTCTGCTTGCCTCCGTTGCGCCAGCAGTAGGAGCCGCTGCGCCTGGCGTTGTCGGTTTCAACTTCGAAAAGCGTCGTGTAAATGCTCATGAGGCACCTCATCTGGCTCGACGTCAGTCCAACACCGTGACGGCTGCTTTGACCAACGAAATCCTCCTCTATTTCATCAACGTCACTGCCGGCACGCCTGGTCAACCCTTTTCTCTCCAGCTCGATTCCGGTTCCTCAGACATCTGGTTTCCTGCAGTCACTGCAACCATTTGCGAGCAAGATGCCAAAACATACTGCCCCTTCGGCATGTATGACTATAGCAAGTCATCCACGTACGCCGACCCCGGTCTCCCCGAATTCCAGATCCAATATGTCGACGGCACCCAGATTACGGGCGCCTACATCTCTGACGTCCTGAACATTGGATCGACCAAGCTCACAAACATGACAATGGCTGCTGCTCTACAAGCCAATACTAGAGGTATTGGAATCATGGGCATCGGCTTCGATTCAGGTGAAGCAGCAGCTGCGCAAGGAGGATTCACATATCCCAACGTGATTAGTGTGATGAAAGACCAAGGCCATATCAATACGCTTTCTTATTCTCTGTGGCTGGATGATCTGCAGTCTAACACCGGTTCCATTCTCTTTGGTGGTGTCGATACCAGCAAGTACCACGGCAGCATTGTCGCACTTCCAATTCAGCCAGACTCTCAAACCGGAGATTTGACTTCTTTCACGGTTGCCTGGACAGGTCTGACTGTTAGCGGTGGTGGCCAAACATCTGACATGTCACCAAAAAGTGCCCAACCCGCAGTTCTTGACTCAGGTACCACGAATACCTATTTGCCCGACGAAATCGCCAACAATATCTTTAATGGTGTTGGAGTCCAGACCGATCCAACCTACGGTAACGTTGTGCCTTGCAAGCTGGCCAACGACGATCTGACCTTCTCCTTCGTTTTCGGCGGTAAAGGAGGCGCAGTCGTGAACGTGAGCTTGTCAGAATTTGTAACGCCGCTCGTGACAAGCGACGGTTCCGTTCCCACCTTCAAGAACGGTGATGAAGCATGCACATTCGCAATCGACAGTGCCGGGCAAGACCCGATCCTGTTCGGCGACTCTTTCCTCCGAAGCGCCTATGTTGTCTACGATCTCGAGAACAAGGAGGTTGGCCTTGCCCAGACCAACTTCGACGCCGGCAAGGCGAACGTCCAGGCTTTCCAGTCCAGCAGTGGCATCCCAGATGTTGCTTCGACCGCTTCTGGTGCGAGCGTCGCGCAGACTGCCACTGGCATTCCTCATCAAACCCTGGCTTCAGCTTCTGCAACTGGACAGATCGGTGGTGCTGCTACCAGCAGATCGGCAACATTCAACCTTCAGCCAACTTCGGGAGCAACTGGCAGCTCGGGAGGAAGCAGCTCGAGTAGCAGCTCAGCAGCCAACGCGAACCTGCGAGCCTCACCAATCGAGACCACCAGCATTGTGGCTGCCGCTGTGGTTGCGGTCAGCTTTTTGCTCGGTGGTGGATTTATGCTGTTGTAGAGCGGTCATTGTTATTGCGGAAGTCCACAGCAGCTTGGACAAAGGGTGCTAGTACGGCATTGTCATTTTGGATGTGGGTGGGCTGTACAGCGTTCTTGGTGCTGTGCGGAGGAGAGACTGGTTGGCTACATTTGTGCATAATGAGCTGGCTTCCCGGACACAAGATTGCGACGCTGTAAACTTAAATGATGAGCATGAGTACATATATTGATTCACCTTCTTAAGCCCTCTGGTGCCTATTGTCCTTTTTGTGCGCACTGCCTGCGCAAGACTAGATCGTCTTGTCTTGTCTTTGTCGTACGTGAGCTACGCAATCGAGTGAAGACAAAAAATGGCTCGAGCTCGAATATCACCCTCGTCCTATGCTGGCAGCCAACTAGAGCAATGGTATACGATGAAACATGATCAAGCAAAGCGTTTTCCTTCTCTCCGCAGACCCCACGTCATGTTCTGTACCGGGTGATTGAAATGGCAATCATGTAATGCATACCCGAACATCACGTACGGGTAAGTAAATGCTTGTTTGCACGGTCATAGTTTGCCTTCCCTCCGCCACATGTCCCGGGCTTTCATGGATGTAACGTATGAGCAGGTCTGATAGGAGCTGCGATTGAGCATTCTCTACTCTTTCACAGTCTCCAGTGGCGAATTCGCGAAGTCGTTGATGCCAGATAGGCCGGTGGAGCTCTCCGTCGACAACCACGGCCGTAGCCGGTACCCATCCTCGCCGTCTTCCCCAAGCGGTTCCATACCAACGTCATTGCCTTCCGTGATTCGCAGGTCAAGCAGTCGCTCGGCATTCTTGTGCGCAATCGCCTCAAAGTCGTCTTCATTGACCATGCCGCTATTTTGCAGCTGGTGCATGAATCGCAGGCCTTCCTGGTTGTTGCAGAACGGGTAGTCCACCGAGTAGAGCACCTTGTCCGCGCAGCACATGTGGATCAGACAGGCCATCGGCGCCAAACTGAACATGCCGGCAGTGGTGATGTATATGTTCTCATGCCAGACTTGCAGGAGATGTCGCCTAGGCTTCGATGAGGCGGGCCACGTCCGTTGGATCAACTTGTGTATCCGGTCGAGTTGGAAAGGGAGCATTTCGCCCATGTGACCTAGTATGACCTTGAGGTGGGGATGCGTGTCGAAGAGTTTGGATGCGAAGAGTCGTAGCAGGTGGAGAGCCACCTCAGCGTGCCAGCTGAAGCCGTGGTTCGCCAGAAATGCTGACACTTGGGGCGCGTAGTTGCCATGGAAAGAGGACGCTTCGGTCAGAGGATGTGGCGCTGCGTGCAAGTACACAGGCACATCGAGCTTTTCGTGGGCAGCGAAGATGGGCCAAAAGAATGTATCGTCGTAAAAGCGGCCTCCGGCCATGTTGTCAATCAGAGAGCCAACGAAGTCGAGTTCTGACACACATCGATCCAGTTCTTTTGCGGCGGCTTCGGGGTGTAATGTCGGTAGCATGGCAAAGGCGGCAAAACGATCCGGGGACGGGGATGAGCTGATAGCCTCGTAGAGTTCGTTGTTTGCCGCCATGCACACTTCTGGTGGAAGGGGAATGGAATTTGGTCTGTGTGAGATTACTTGTATGCTCACCCGGCCAACGTCCATCGACTTGAGCCGTTGAGTCCCGACATCGCGTAGCGAGGTCATGATATGGGAATGAGATTCCGGAAGAGTGGTCTCTACGCCTTGTCGGGCATAGTAGTCGAGGACGGCCTGCGAGATAAAATGCTCTTCGAGCGTGATCAGAGGGATTTTGCCGGACATGGTGGTCGTGTCTGGTATCTTGCTGGTCTTAACGGTTGGTGCAGAGATAGAGAGAGAGTCAGGGTCGAGATAATCGGCTTTGGGCGGAGATCAATGTCATACGTAAATTGGGCGTCACAGAGACATACACTGCAGACCCGTGTGTCGAACCATTAGGCAGGCACCCAATATTGGCGGACTAAATGGGACAGATATACTGTAGAAGATGACGTTCAAAAGAAGCATCTAGCAAAGCGCCCTCCTCACTCAACGCCAAACGAAAGGCGATGGTTGATACCAAGGTCTTGAGGGGGGCTAGGAGCTGACCAGCAAAGCAAGGGCAACGGGCAAAAGCCAAAAAGGATTGGGGTTCTTGAACTCAACCGCGGGCTCCGTGTCCAATAGAAGAGTTGCATACATGTGACGCCATGGAGAACGAGAAACCGGGGGATAGAAGCCGGCCGGGGCACCATACTATGGCACACATGGTAAGTGCCCAGCTCGCCAGGTGGCTTTTGCCTTCGATGCGGAGATGTGGTCTGACTGTGTGCCGTTCTGGGTATCGTTGGTGTCATGGACGATTGGGCAAGGCAATAGAGAGTTCGTAGGCTGAAAGAGAGTGAGATGAGATACGGAGATCTTACCGACGTTGTGGCTCCTTTTTAATGGCATGAGAATATATATCACAGTACTGGTTGTACTTAACTCCTGAGGTCGTGGAGAGGTGATAGAGTGTGCTCCCACTGACACTGTACTGAGTAGATTTACCTACCTACCTAGGTAGGTACCTACTTCCAGCAGGGATTTCGGAGAGAGCTAGGCATAGAAGCTCTTGCCAATGTCAGAGACAACTTCAATGCGAGGGCAGGTTCGAGTTGTTCAATGCCTACCAGAATGAAGTCTAGATAAAAGAAACCCATCTCTCGCTCTGTTGGCGCTACAATTGGTACATCCCTGAGATTTGGTCTTGGCGCGTCTTTCGCATCTCCACCTGCTGCTGCGTGTCTCTTTTGGGCCTCAGCCTGAGATGGTCCTCGACGCAATCTTCGCTCTGGTCTACGGCCAGCAATCTTGATTTTTTCTAGTCGCTCCTTCACATCACATCTTATCCGCTATTCGGTCACGTCGTCAACGAAACCTGTGTTGAAACCTGTGTTCTGCTATCAGCCAGACTGCGCCCACCTGAACCCTGATCTCGGCACGAGACATCGTCAGCATTTTCCCCAGTAACCCCTCGACTGCGCCGAAGCTGCTCGTCTCTTACGATACAGTTACCGGGTAGATGGCCTCCCAAGGAGGCCTCACACGGAGGCGTGGCGCAGGAGGAGTAACATCACCAACCGGAGAGGAAGAGTCCTCGAGCCGTGTCACTTCTCCTGCCCCAAAACCATTCACAGATCGCACGCCTGAGACTGCCTACGAAAACAGCGAGAACGGCCACAGAATCGCATACGACCCCAGAGACATTAGCGAGAGTGCGGAACGGAGTAAACAACCCAAGTTGACACTAATGGAGGAGATCTTACTGCTGGGGCTGAAGGACAAGCAGGTAAGTGGACATGGGACGTGTAGTATTGGCCAGAAGGAATATTGACGCGAACGTGTCAGGGCTACCTGTCGTTCTGGAACGATAACATATCATATGCCCTGCGAGGCTGCATAGTGATCGAACTGGCCTTCAGGGGCCGCATCAGCATGCAAAACGATTCAGCTAGAAGACGGTTCCCCCTGGCCGACAGAATCATTGAAGTTGTCGACGACACATTGACTGGGGAAGTGCTACTAGACGAAGCTTTGAAAATGATGAAGTCAAGTGAGAAGATGAGCGTCAGCTCTTGGATCGACCTCATGAGTGGTGAGCATGAGAGACACCATTCCAGTCTATGACCAACTCTGACACCTGTCTGCAGGAGAGACCTGGAACCTTATGAAGATTGGCTACCAGTTGAAACAAGTTCGAGAACGACTGGCGAAAGGCCTGGTCGACAAGGGCATTCTCCGCACCGAGAAACGGAATTTCCTCCTTTTCGACATGGCCACGCATCCTGTGGTCGACGCTGCTGCGAAAGACGAGATTCGAAAGCGCGTCCGAAACGTCTGCTCCAACCGCACAGTCGTCCTTCCTCCCTCACAGTTTCTCCCTGCCGAACTCGAGTTCAGGATGCTCCGCACAATTAGTATGGTTTGTGCAGCCTACGCTGCCAATGTCCTTGAAAATGCCTTGGTGACAATGGGCCATGAGACGAGAGAAAGAGCTTTTGCACAAGTCGATGAGTTACTGGCGGAGTACAGCCAGTGGCCATTTGCTCGGAGGGCCGGCGGAGGCCAAGGCATCGGAGCCAACATCGGCCAGGTGGTTGCAGATGAAGTGGAGAGGAACAAAGACCGGGAATTACAACTTGAGGTGAGTTCACCAGCTTGTCTGATGTGGCAAGCGTGTCCTGACTGACTTTGGACAGGTTGTTGCGGCATGTTTGAGCGTTTTCACGAGGCTGGATTCCTTGCTATAGTATTCGGGTTTTCGGCTGGGAACTTGTTAAAAGGTAGAACGGAGAGGACCTGTTTCGCAGGGCAGGACATCCAGGAGGGCTGCTCAATCACCACAGCAGATGCGACGGATCTCGAAAGCTTTTGGCATGCCATCTCAGGCTAGATCAAGCTTTCGTCCACTGTCTCTGGCGGCTCCTTTGACACCAAATCCTTTGCCTTGGGAATCCTAACGTCCTCCTTGCCGCGCTTCTTTTGCCCGGTTTACATCATGCCTGCTTCTACATTCAACCTTTTCTGGTTCTGCCGCAGCTACGGTGGTGTGCACCAAATCTGCTGACCACGCTAGAAGTCGAAGGACGACGTTTTAAAAAGACCACAACGTTTTTCCCCGGTTACCATTGAAGACGTCGCTGCCGAAAGCGCCTATTAGTATTTGCTGAGACCCATTACGCGAAAGATACTCCTGGAGCATCAGTAGGATCAAACCCCCTTCAAGATTTAGTAAATTAGATGTCAAGCTGCGCACCCTTGCCACTCGACTTTGATGCACATCTCCGTACTCGGACACGAATTGGTAGGCACACGCTGTGAGGGTGCGCTGTCGGTACTGTAAGAGATGTCGAGGTGCAAGAGAGACTTACTATAATGTCGAAGGTGCAGCCAACAACGCTGTTGGGCTCCTGCCGAGCCTGTCGGGCCTACTTATTGCTTCGAACACTACGTCTCTCTTACACCCTCACCTCATATCTTACGATCATGCAATGACCCTTACACTTTGCAGACATCTGTCACATTCTAATTCTCCGACCACGCACTCTTCAGGGGTGCTATTCTCAACTGCATCTCGGTTAAAAAGTCAATTGTGCAACCCTAATAGTTCTGAGAGCCTCGGTCGATATGGATCCTCGTCCTCACAAACGCGCCAAACTCGACGACACAGACACTACACCACCTGGTAGAGTCCCAGTTGGCCAGACCATTGATGCGGCATCAGAACGTGCAAGCGGCACTGAACCGTCCTTGAGGTCGATATCTCGGCCAATCTCCCCACCAGGCATTTCTCGATCTCCGGCTAGCACTCCTCAAGCAGAAGATGATCCTCTCCCGACGCGGAAAGAAGACTCGGCGACCCGGGTGTTCTCTCAGGCCACAGTTTCCAGTGATGGATCCGGACCCAAGCCGGGCGATGGTGACTGTCCCGGTGTAAAGAAACCGAAAGCTCCGCAGCAAGGCGTCAAGTACTTGCAATCGCCCTTCAAACTGACCTCAATCCGGGACCTCCCTCCTTCTCATAACAATGACACCATCTCACTGCATGACATACTCGGCAACCCGCTCATCAAAGAAGCATGGGTATTCAACTTCCACTTCGACGTCGACTGGATGATGACACATTTCGACCCTGATATCCGTCAACAGGTCAAGGTCAAGATCGTCCACGGCTCGTGGAGGTCATACGATCGGAATGGGGTTGAAATCAAGGACGCCTGCGGCCGATGGCCAAATGTTGAGGAAGTGATTGCATTCGTACCCGACAGTTTTGGCATTCATCATTGTAAGATGTTCATTCTGCTCACTCACGACGATCTGTGCCAAGTAGTCATCCATACCGCCAACATGATACCCAGAGATTGGACAAACATGACTCAGGCAGTGTGGCAGTCTCCTCATTTACGATTGAACGGGAAGACGGACACGAATATAGGTAATCTGGGCTCGGGCTCACGCTTCAAGCACGACCTCCTCTGCTACTTGTCTACGTACGGTTGGAAGACCAGGTCTTTATTAGGACGACTCGAATTGTTCGATTTTAGCCCTATACGAGGTGCCCTAATCGCTTCCGTTCCCAAGACTATGGACACCGAGAAAATCAAATTCAAAACTCCTTGGGAGCAACAACTCGTGGGCTATCCCAGCCTCTTCCATGCTTTGAAGACAGTCTCTTCTCAAAAACCGAACATCCACACCGCCACTCGACCTCACCCTCATGTTGTCTGTCAGATATCGTCCATCGCTACGCTGCCAACGACCTGGCTGGACCAGTTCTTCCCGATCCTAGCTGGTCAGAAGCCATCAGCGCAAATGTGGAATCATATCTCAATCATCTATCCGACTCCCAGCAACGTCGCCGCGTCACTGGACGGGTATGCATCAGGAGGGTCGATACACACGAAAGCCCAGAGCACTGCACATCTTAAGCAGATCACCAACTTGCGAAAATCGCTCTGCCAGTGGACTCAAGGCCCCGAAGAGAAGTTCCGAGCGGGAAGAGACCAGGCGGCGCCGCATATCAAGACATATGTCAGCTTCAGCGAGAAACCGACCAGCAGAAATCCTACGCCGGATATTGATTGGGCACTATTGACCAGCGCAAATTTGTCGACGCAAGCTTGGGGGAGATTGCGGGAGAAGGAAAAAGAAATTATCGTGCAGAGTTTCGAACTTGGTGTATTTGTTTGGCCCGAGCTATTTGACGAGGGCTTTGACACGGGAGAAAAGGAGTGTCGAACTCAAGATACGAAGCACGAGGGTGAGGGCAAGGACAAGGGCGAGAGTGTGAAAGTGAGGATGGTACCAGTCTTCGGCGGTGATATGCCAGAAGTATCAAGGGCGAACGGCGAGGAAGGGGGTGAGGGAAGAGAGATCATTGTTGGTTTGAGGTTACCTTATGATCTACCACTGACGCCGTACGGAGATGGGGATATGCCATGGTCGCCGCACGGGACGTACAATATGCCTGACCGTCACGGGTACCCTTACCGGCTGCTGGCATAGGGACTTTAGCGCGACGTGTCCACCACCACCGGGAGGAATTTGACTCTGTCACTAAGGATGAAGCCAGCCGTGACTGAGACGAAGTCTACTCGGGCATTGTTAGACAGTCATATCAGTGGTCATGGGTAGAGCACGGCTGATGCACTGTTGCCTCTGGCCTCGGGTCTCAATGAGCATCGCTCCCGCTGTTACATCGTAACGTCAGAGACCTCATCTAAACAGTTACAATGACTTGTATTGGGTACTAATTAAAGCTCCCTTCAGTGCCAACGCTTTCAAATAATACCTGGTCAGCAGGAAGGTCCCGTTTATGGAAGACTACCTAAGTATGGCCGTGGTGCGGGCTTTGGGCCTGGCCAGTACTAAAGCGGATCACCCTCGAGCGACTCGAGCGGGTCGACGTGATGCTGGCGCTGTCTGCGCGGTCTGCGACTGCTTGCAAACCAGTCCTTCGGTCTCCACTAGTTGGCGCCGACGGCCTCGGGGACCTTGTTCGCGTCGTAGCCGTACTGTCCCTTGAGCTTCTCCACCAGATCGATGTACCGTTTCTCTGCGTCGGAGGCGGACGTGCCTGCATCAACCTCCTTTTGCCACGCCTTGTGTTTGGCCTTGCCCTATGTTGCGGATGGAGTTAGTGGTCGGGCGGATGCCAGGAACACAAGTTCGAGAAGGGGGGGTTTGGTATGGGAGGCCTCGTCTTACCTTCAAATCGAACATTCCTGGCGCCGGGGCTTTGGAGATGTCTTCGCCATTGGCAACCTTGAAGAGAGCGTAGAGCTGTAGGGAGAAGATGTGTTAGCTGGGCTAGAGTAGCTCTGAAGGAATTGAGGTGGGGAGACTGGACAGGGTAGAGCAGAGCAGAGCAAGCTGGGGGCATTTGTGCCCGGGCAGACTGGCTAGGTATATGGATTTTTTGGGAGGTGCTCTCGAACTCGTTCTTCTCGTGGGATGGTTCATGCGGAAAATGACCCTTCGCTTTCTCTCTTTCTGCACCACTTCCCTCCTGCCATTCCGGGCCCCGCAGGTGTCTCATGGGGGCACTGTAATATGAGGGAGTGGCTGACTCACTTCAAGCAGTTCCTCATTACTGGGCTTCGCCTTGAGCTTGCGGCTGTCATCTGCGGCTGTTTTGAAGGCGGCGGAAGGCATTTTGTCTGTTTGTACGCCTTGGTTCAATTGTAAGAAAATGTGCTCGTTGGTTCAGTGTGTAGATGTCGGGCGGAAGGGTAGAGGAACTCTAGTTGTCCAGAGCAGGGTCAGTCTTTCATCACTCTCAAAAGAAAACAGCTCAGAGGCAGGCCTGTTCTGTGGGAAGGGAGCAGAGCTCAAGCCTGAAGCTGAGATAGAGCTGGGCTCCAGCACTGCCAACTTTGGGCACTGAGTGCAGTCCAGCCATGTGCAGTCTTACTCGGTTCACACCGACAGTGTACGTGGGCAGGGATTGACGTGCTGCGAACTCACCTTAACTCGTCAAATGCAGTATTTGACTGTGCAAGTGTAGAACGGAACAGATAGCTTGGTATGATCGTACAAGAAAGGGTATCTTACTCTATGTATACGAGAGTAAAGAACACACAGACAAGTTGGTCTTGTTAACGGAATGGAAATCAAGTCAACAAAAAAGGTGTCATTGGAAGCCTGCAGGTTCAAGCAAACCGACGTCAGCAATTTGGCGGGGCAAGCAACGAACCATTCGCGACCATTCAATGCAGAAAGAGACAGAATATGTCGTCAGACCGGGCCACTTTATCGTGTTATTGGCTTTGAAGTGTTGTAGATCAGGTTGATGATCCTTGTCAGTCACAATGCACCAGCCGAGGCAGAGGGATCGCTTAGGCTCCCACGGGCTCTTCAGTGGCCCTTACAATATTCTTTGATGCTGCCCGCCAGGGGATCAGGCGAGAAGATGTTCTATACTTTCAGCACACATCAACTGCTCCTACGAAAGGATTCAAACGGACGCTGCTGTATCACGCGACCGCATTGTCTGCTATGCTTGCTTGCACGTACAACTCAAGAGTTCGAGACGCATCCAAACGCCGTCGCTCACGAGACTGTTCAATAGATCTGACTCAAACCAGTCACGAATACTCCGAGAGAAATCACCAGTCGACAGCCCACCCGTTCTTATCCAAAAACTCAGAACAAGCATTCTTCAGCGCCACGTTCGGTATTAGTTGATCCATCTTCAACGGCTGCCTCGTTAGAGGATCGCACCCGTGCGCTTTGATATGCCTGTGCAGACTCGTCCGCTCGTACGAAACACCGGTTGAAGTAACGACCGGATCGTGCATGACCTCGAACGTGATGGGATCGATCAACCAGTCCGGCACGACCTAGAAATCGTCAGTCTCGCCTTCCCTCTCCCGGTCGAGGGTGGAACATACCCTTTCTACCGTGTCAGGATTGGCAGAATTCTCAAAAGCCTTCCTAATATTACTCCGCCTCTCATCGGCCTCTCTCTCCAACTCTTCGATCTCCTCGCGTCGACCAGTTTCGCCGATCTCTTGTCTTGCGAACCTATCCTCAACGTCTTTCTTGTCCCGATCGAGTTGCTGGTTGAGTAGATCTTCGACGAGCGCTTGTGTAGCGTTCAACTCTCGTAATCGTGCCGTCTCTTTCGCTTGCCACTGCGCCTGCTTTGCTTTGAGTATGAACTGACCGATCAATTCTGCGCTGGAATCTTTGTTCTCTAGACAAGTCGTATATGCATGCTTCGCCTCGGATAGAGCTTCGCCGACATGTCGCTGAGGCAGGAGTGCTTGTGCAAGGTAGTAGTGCGATTTCATCGCTTGAGCTTCATTTTTGGGGCCGTATAGTTCGATCGCTTTTCTAGCATCTGACTCGGCGCCCTGCCAATCTTGTAGCTTTAGTGGTGTGAGAGATCGGTTCGCAAAGACTTTGGGATCAGAGCGAGAGTGTTCAGCAATGCTACGACACAGTCAGTCACGGCCAATGGCGGATCGGTCAGACAAGACACACGCTGCGCTATACAGCTCCTCGGCCTCTTTGTAGTCGCCGGCTTTGAATCGCTCATTGCCCTGCTCGCGAAATGATAGATTCGTCATGGTGGCCTTGGGTGGATGAAAGCTTAGACAACGAGAGACTCAGGTAACGGCAAATGAGTAATGATGAGTGGAGTAAGAATGGACAAAGACAGGCATCAAGTTCCAAAGGAAAGTGAAACCGGAGTACATGGCTTCAGAATGAGCGCTTGTACGACCTGCAAATGCGTGGCATCCGTGGCAAGTCAGCCTCAGAAGGTGATGGACGTTCCTGGATGCTTTTCAATGAGGCGGAGACCCGGTCAATTGGAAATGCGGAGCAAAGCACTGCCCTTGCCGAGCCTGCCTCAGCATCGCCAATATGGCATGCCATAATTTAGAGAAAGATCAGATGGGTGAATGGCTGAACGTTGAAAGATCGGTTGAAGAAATTCATTTGGTTCTAATTGGGTATTTTGATGCTTTGCAGCAAAAAGCCTTGCAAGGCTAGACTCATCAAGCTCATCAACCGAAAGGAAGATACCTATGCATCACACGCTCGCATTCTTCCCAACGCCAATTGTATATACACTCGCTAAGAGAACGACTCTTTCGTCATATCAAATTTCATACCATCATCGTACAACTCAAGCAGCTCCAGCTGTTGGCGTGTTTTGTAGCACCTTGGTCGGCTGGTTGCCAGATCGGACGATCCGTTCACCGGAACTATCTCGAACAACATCACCCTTTGCCTCCATTTGTGCTCGCTTCCAGATTTCAACCTCGCAGCCACCACGAATGACACCGACTCTCATGGTTGAGAGTAAGTTGTGGGCAGCGTTGCTGTGCATGTAGATACCACCGTTGAACATGGCTGTAGCGTCCTTGCCGATACCCGAGTTGATCATAGCTTTGCCACCTGGGTGATCTTTGATGAACTCAGTCACGTCGTGAACAATACCGGCAATGGCGACAAGACCGCGTCCATTCTTGGCTTGCTCAACATAATCGTCCCATTCCATGACTGGAAGCTGATCGAGAGGAACACCCCAGTCAAGTTTGGAACGCTTCTGATCGAGCTTCTTCTGTTGTTGCTGAAGACGACCCTTCTCGATCTCGTTGGCGCGGAATTGCTTGAGATCATAGGCTAGACCAAGTTGCTTCCAAACCCAGATGGACCACTTGGTGGGGTCGTATTGGTGCCATTCGATGGCATTGCGGTAGTCGGAGGGGAATTCGTGATGGAAGTTGTGATAGCCTTCGCCGAGAGTGACCAGGGCAGTGATGACGTGATCACGAGGAGAATTGCGGTCATCGAATGGCTGGTCCCCGAGCCAGTGAGCCAAAGAGTTGACGCAAAAGGTGGCTTGCTGGACGAAGAATATGCGGAGGATACCAGCGTAGATGAAGCCACCAACCCAGTCACCCCATGCGAGACCAGCGACGATAGTGGGCAGGATGAGACCCATGAAGATGACGACCTTGAGGTAGTTCTTGTGTTGCCAGATGACCACAGGATCTTCGTTGAGGTCAGAGATGTCCGTACGTCCTATTCTCTTTGGGTTTTGCTTCATAATCATCCATCCAAAATGCGAGTATAGCAGTCCCTTCCGGACGGAGTATGGGTCTTTGTCGGTATCGGTGTATCTGTGATGAGCTCGGTGGTCGCGTGCCCACCATCGGATTGAACCTTCAACAGCACCACCGCCCACAGCAGCAAGGAAAACTCGGAGAGGAAGGGTGGCTGAGTATGAAGTATGTGCCCATAATCTGTGGTAGCCAGCTGTGATACCCAAACCAGTGGCGAAGTAGTATGCAATGGCCCAAATGGCGGTCTTGACTTGGAGAGGTACCCAGAAGGCCTGGACGCAGCCGTAGATGGGAATGCCAACGATGAGAGTGACATTAAGCCAGTTGACGTGCTTATACCAGTTCGATCTGGTCATTGGGATCTCGGTGATGTGAGGCTTCTTGGGGTCATATTTGGCATTTCGGTTGGGCTCGCTGGGCTTTGCCATTGAGTTGGGTTTGGATGAGAGGTACTCTGGCTTGACAGCCATTTCACCCGCAACTGGTTGTGAGGAAGGCATGTTGAAGTCGGTATGAGATCAACTGAGATGCCAGGGAGGAGTTCGACTGAGGGATGAGAGACGGGAAAGGAATGGCAGGACGAAGTTGACTTATATGAGGCGCTTAATTTTTTGTTGGGCGAGGTGTGGGGCGAGAACGGAAGCCGCTGAGGCAGTGGTATTATATGGATCTTTGAGCTTTTCACAGGGCCAGACTGATTGAACGGAGTGATGGAGTGATGGTGCGTGTACTCTACGTGCCGACATGTTACCGTGGTCTTGGACATCACTTTGTCCATCATTTTGCCTTGAACGTGCAAATGAGATGGGAGAGAATTCACCACGGTTAGGGCGCGTTGGGGAAGAGATCAACGTCACCAAGCAACTCGGTCAATAGGAGATCGGTTTCACACGATCTAGAATCACGCTAGAATATTTGCTTTTGGACCCTGGATTTTCCTGGCGAATCTGCAGAGCTGTCTGTGAATCACTCGCATCACTGTGGTTGCGGGCGAATCGGTCATAGCCAGGCGTGCCAGGCAAAGTTGAGTTTGCAGACACCTCATACACTTATAGACTAATTGCTGTAGAGAGCGTACTATGTACATCAAGCTATAAGGCTGAATAGCTTCACCAGGGAGCTGTAGGACGGGTATGCCGCATACGAACAAACTCAACTAGAAACTGCTGGGGGCCACTTGGGGGTTGTTGTCTGATCCTCGGCTCATCTGACATCTGATCCGGGGGAAAGGCAGGCCACGGGGGCCACAGCTTTCACCGCCAAAGCCGCATCGAGAGCCAAAGGGTTGGGGAGCGTATTTCGTAAATCGTATCTCGTATTCCTTCTCGCATTATATCGCGGACCACACGAATACTACGCCCTGATGGGTAAATCGTGTAATGAAACTCGCTTAAACGGGTGCAAAACAGCTGCCGCTTGAATCGTCGAAGCAGAAGTTGGCATCGCATTGAGCGAGTGGCCCTCCTACCACACAAATTGGCCTCGCTGCTGTTTGTCGTCGAATGGCACCGTAGCTCCAAAGCAGTTAGGTATCGCACTGAACAGGAGGCCCGCCTATCTGATAAACTGTCCTCGCTGATCTTTGTCGTCAAATGGCACCCCGGCGCCAAATTACACGATTTACCCATGAGACCACAGTATTCAACAATACCATATGAGACCGTGTCTTCATACTAGTATGATTGGCTTCAGTATCAAGACACATCTCTACATTCTAGATATTATCATGTGATACTGGCCCGCCCCGCCTTATAACATGTGCATTCACAACAACTGTGTTATACATCGGACCATGACGCAGACCATATGTTTTTAAAAATGTTGAGATGCACCTGGCTCTGGCTAGGCAGCATCTTTCAGCAGCTTCAGAATCACCACATGCGCATTTCGACACCTGTTCTTCGGTGTTTGCATGTGCATCCAGCGTCGGCGACTGACCCGTGTCTCCCGTCATCTCAGGCGTCCTGACACGACCTTGTGCTCGCAGGCAGACACCCATTCCAACGAGCGACTTGCTTGTCATCACCAAGGGACAGCTCTTGGTCCCATGTCGATTCCATAGGATCCTTCTCTCCTGACGGCCCCTTCGTCCTCGGCCCTCTCCCTTATCTCAGCACCAACATCGCCGCCTTCTCTCTTCCACCGTCCGTGCAACTTGCGGGCTGCGAATTTTCCAACTCCCCAAATACTTGCTGCAATGATGCTCGCTCCGAATGTGGGGGGCGCAGCTAACCATCCAACCCCAGTAATCATGCCGCCGAAAGCCGTCGCTCCGACTGCAGCGATAAGGGCCCCTACAGCGGCATACTTTGCCCAACGGACGAGCCGCCAGATGATGAATTGACCAATGTATCGACACGTACGCAGCAGAGCCCTTGTACGCAAGCGGGCTGGCTTATCGACGTTCGCAGTTGTTGGGGAGAAGAGGTAATTCAAGTTGCGTTTTGCATTGATGAGTGCAGACTTGGATTGCTGCTGTACTGCAACTTCATCATTTTCATGCGTCAGTTCGATCCCGTGTCTCCCTCGTGATGGCGCCATTGGTGATTTTGATCTAACCACAGTATATCTTCCTTGACCTGCTTGAAAAACTGAAAGTGTTTTTTGTATCATCATCATCATCAAATCTTACGTCATCGAGCTGAAGCTGTAATCGAGGCGCCAAGGATTGAGGAACCAGCCAATTAGAGTGCTTCGCTCAGAACTCGCTAGCTTACCGTCTCTTCCGACTTTGATGGACTTTGGCCGAAAGACGACTTCGTTCCTGTGGTGAAATAAACAAATCTAATATCTACAGCTCTACAAGTGCGATATATACTACCGGCGGCTTCGACACCATAGTATGCACAGAGTAGCAAAGGCTACACGAGACAGAAGTGTATGGTTAATTTCATAATATCCCACAAGGATTGGAAATGCTATCTATCAGCCGGTCGCTGGCCTTTCAGGAGTACACCCCTCTTGGGGGTAGTACCATGGACGCCCAGCCCTCGTGATCATGCAATCGCACTTAAACCTCATCTGTAAAATGAATCGCTCTGGTATCGCTCTCTGTTTCCGCAGGGTGTAGTTGAACAAGGAAGGGAAAGGTGGCAGGGTCACTTTTTGACTCCGACCAACAACAACGTCGTGATGTGAAATTAGTGTACAGAAAGCTCATAATGAACCGTCCTCAGGTGAGATCTTCTTCGCCATGACGATATGTGCAAGATTCACCTTTAGTGCATCTGCCCTGTTCCCAGAACGAGCACACCTGAGTCTTATAATTGTATGGCTTTTTCTTCTTGGATCCACCTTTTCGACCGGTTTCATCATAATCATTCGAGTCCGAGCGGCCGTGTTTGCGTGAGGAATCGTCCAAAGAACCGGGATAAGGATTAGGATTATTCCCCATGCCGATCGCCAGTGGCGCCGAATTCTGACCCTGCGAGGCTTGTTGTTGCAGATTGGCAAGCAGCGCGCTCAGGTCCGGTGTTGCAGCAGGCATTTGACTTGGGACTGGGTATTGCGGCGGTTGACTCTGTCCTTGAGCTTGTTGACTGATCTGGTGAACCGATTGGAGGATTGCAGAGAAATCCACCTGCGGCGCAGGTTGTGCAGCCTGTTGTGGTTGACCTGACAATGACGCCAAGGCTCGTTGCAGTTCAACTGGGATAGCAGCGGCTTGTTGTTGAGGTGCTTGTGTCGAAGACATCGTCTGGGCTTGAAGGACAAAATTGGGTGGCATTACTGGCTGGCTTCGAACTTGGCGTGCGAGATATTCCTTTTCGCGCTGGCGAACTTTCTCATTAGGCTCACCAAACTCGACTGCAGGTTCAGCAGGCTCAAAGTCCCCTTCTTCGTTCTCGTCTGGTTCCTTTGGTGTCGGAGGACGGTCGGCTTTGGAGGTGTAGGTCGTCATGACGGTCTCTTGCTCACGTTTATTTTGTGTTTCAGAGCTGGCACTTTCAGGCTTCATGGATCCTCCAAATTTGAAGGAATTAACTTCAAATGAGCCGGATTCATTTTGGAGCACGCTAAAATCCACGTCCGAAGGCGGTGTGTACGGTTCGAGTTCCTCAGAGGAGTCCTCGTCTTCGTCATCCTCCAGCTCTTCCATAGTCTTGTGGAGCTTGAGCGCTTCACCTTCACGGCCGGTGTCACCTGCATCACGTTTCAGGCTGTCACCGTCACCAATCTCCTCATCTGGGTCATGAGTGAAGAGTCGTGTCTCGACGAGTTCCGAGTCTGCCTTCCACGAGACACGTAGTTTTCTACGTGCTTCTTTTCGAAGACGCTGAGCCTTCTCTTCTTCGGTCTCATTTGGAATCTCTGTCTCTTTCTTTGTTTCTTTTTCCGGCTTCTTCTCCATATCCGTCAGCAGGCTAAGCAAAGATGAAGTGGCCGAAGCCGTCTTCGGAAAGGGGGTGACATTGCGCGGTGGGGATTCTTTTCGCACGCTTTCCTTCTTTATCGACATAGCTGATACAGGAGGTGTTATGGCTGTGGCGGCTTGTTCTTTGGCTGCAGCAGCCGCACGAGCTGCAAGGGACGTTCCGGGTCGCTTTGAAGCTGACATTAAGGATGAGAAGACTGCAGATTTTGGAGGCGCCGCTACTGCCACTTTGGCTTTTGCTGGGGCTGCAGGGTTTGCAGCGGCTGTTACGGGCTTGCCGCCTGCTTTGAGAGCTTCCAATGCCTTCCTACGCTCGGCGTTTTGTAGAGCCAGAGGTTTCGATGATTGTACTTTGACAACCTTCTTTGGCACCGGTTGCGGAGCCGCATCACCTTCTCGTGCCCGCTTAATTCCTGCGACCACTTCTCTCCGAGATGAATCTGCAGGACTGCCACCGACCTTGGGCGACGCTGCATTCTCAGCCTTGATGCCGGCCGCTTTCTTCTTGGCAGAAGCAGCGACAGCATTATCGAGAACAGTTTGCGCCAGGGCCTTGGCCTCGGTGCTGGCCTTCTTCGTGAGCCGTTGCAGTAGCTTGGAGAGTTTGGTCATTTCCAGCATTTCGCTATCGAGAGTCTCGAACTTTGCAACGAACTGATGCATGTCAGTATGATACTAGATTGGGGAGCTTGGATTTTCACACCTTAAGAATTGCCAGAACAAGAGGGCTATCATAGTCTCCAGCGGTGAATCGGTCGAGCATAAAGGAGTATAGGGCCGACATCGTGAAGTGATTCTCACCTAGTCTGAAGGGAATTATTAGTAACAGTTATGCGTGAGCGGATAACGGTGCCCAATTTGAGTGCATTGCCAGAGATTTCACGCGAGAGGCAATCTGCGGACTATCTATGAGAGGGAAGCTATCAACAGAGCCATTATGAGCTGGCGCAGCAGACTTGAACAGCTTCATCGCAGATTGATGCAGTGTCTGACAACCAAACACTTGCAAGTGCACGTCCTTCAACGAGAGAGTTTGGCTAATGGGCTGGTAACGTCGAGAAGCAAGTGCAAGGTATATAATAGGCGTTGAATAGACGATGATAGCAGGAGGAATTTGCAGGACAACATACCTTTTGACAATCGAAGGATGTCCATACTTCAAAGACCGCGTCATGACCTCTTCCATAAGTTGGCGATATCGTGCAACTTCCTTCTTGAGGGCATCGGCTTCTTGGGCTGTAGGAGAATTTGGTAATTCAGCCTTTTTCAAGTTGTCGTTCTTGACCTTCCAAGCATCTCGCAACGCCCGAACGGCATCACCATAGCCTGCAATTCCGCTTCGAACCTTCTCAGCCGAAGCAGGTTTGTTACGCGGGGAGAACACTGCTTGAACAGCATAATATTGAGCTCTCTGCCCTTCTTCAGTGGGTGCCGCCAAGGTGAGAAAAACCGGGGTCTGTTCCGGAGGTTCCTCTTCCTGAATCGATAACTCATCCTCCGAGTCCGATCCAGCCTCAGCGGACCCTGAAAGGCCATCCGTCTTCTTGGATTTCTTTGTTACATGGGGATCCTTGGAGCTATTGGGCTTCGAAGCCTTCTCGAACTTCGGAATGATAACTGAGACTGCATCAGTCAGCCGCTTGTCGAGGACACCAGGAATGACCTACTTTGAGACTGTTGTGATGTCATAGGAGGTGCGGGCTGCACAGACCGCGCACCCTGCAAGGACCGTGGATCAACAGTGGAGCCGGACTTGAAATATGATGGTGGTAAGTACGATTGAGGAGGCGGGAAGTTCGTGTTATTGCCTAGGAATAGTCAGCAGCCTGCATTCGCAGAATACATGCGATGCTTACTGTTTGGGCCCATGATCTGGTTCGCGGTCAACATGTTTGGGTCTACGAAACCATTCGAGGACTGGTGGCTTTGATCCTGGAAGTTTCCGAAATGCATCAGGTCGGCATTCTGCATTTGTGACATTTGAGTAGGGCGCGCTACAATGTTGATGTAGGGCGAAGCCCGTTGTTGTCCCGGAGGATAGTTCGTTGTTGGGGTGGGAGTCTGCCTCTGAGGCATGTTGATGTGCTGAGGATTAAATCCCTGGCTGTTGTAGTTCATTTGAGGCTGGTAGCCATAGCCTCCGTCGAAGCCCACTGGTGAGGCTGAAGGCCGTGGATAGTAGCGTGAATCATAGTTGTGTTGTGACAGTTGTTGTGTATCGTACATAGGCTGCGAGTATTGTCCATGAGACAATGTCGGCTGGGGTGAATTGAATTGAGGCAGTGGACTATGTGACTGCCGGGGCACATTTTGATTGAAGTTCTGCGGGAGGGATTGAGTTTGGGGTTGCTGAGAAAAGCCCGGTCCAATGGTAGTGTTCTCGAAAAGAGCAGGGTCGAAGTATTGACTGAATTCGTCATTCGCAAAAGACTGAATGCCATCGAGAAAACTGTAGGATGGATTGTTGCTATGATGTGTGCCGTTCAGCGAATGGTTCGTAGACGAGTCCATGGCCGCAAGTATTGAAGAGTCGGAGTTGGAGATGATCGGAGAATCGAGACGCCGATAAGTCACGTGCTCAGTTGGAACCGCGCCAGATCGGGCCTAGGCCGAGTTTTTGTGCCAGATTCAAGTTTTCTTGGTTACTTGCCGGGATTCGCCACTCACAGGCCGCAACACACTCGCGGCTGCATCAAAGCAAAGACAGTGGAGGGTTCAGCCGAACAGGGACGCAGTGAAGAGATGCCAATGAAGACCGTAGTAATTATGTCGACTTTCGTAATGTAGAGCGTTAGGTCAAGAGTCGTGACTGTTCAGTCAAGTCCCTGATGTTGTTCGGGCCACTTGTCTCGCCAGGAGATGTGCGAGAGATGGTACCCCTCGTGCCTTATTCCGACTCAACGCCAATCGAATAAAACCTCTCTAATATTGACCAGCCTGAGGGCAAAAGCACTAATTGTACTTGATCCACGGTTTCTGGGAGGCTTTTAAAAGAGCCGCAGATGACTTTGTGGACGATTTCTTAGATGATGATCAAACGCGCCTCAGTCACAGTCACGCCAACCTCATCACCCCGACTCCAGCCCATGCGAAAAGCAAGATGAGAAACCATTCAATGCAGTTATTACAGACCACAGTCAGGAAGTGCCGAGGAGAATTACACGTAGAATAAGAGGAAGAATGAAGGTGATGGTGGTGGTGATTGTTTGGGATGAAGAGACACGAGACAGTGGTGGTTGAGATTGAGGGCAATTCCAAAAAATGAGCTAGTCAATAAGAAGGAAGGCGCGTCCCCCGTGAGCTCGGATAACTTTCCCTATATGCTGTCCAGCAACGGGCTGTATCTGGGCGAGGTTACATATTCATTAATTAAGTCAAGGTTGTCGCCTGCCTGTTTAATGATGCCACCATGTCTAGAGTGCCCTCAGATGCTTCTGTAGGACCAACATGAGCCTCTGCCTTCGCCTGGAGATTACGACGCTTCCAAGTAATTTGTCGGCAGGCCCATCTCCCCTACAACCATGGCAGTCCGGATTCAGACGCTGCGGGATCGCCAGATAGGTCAGTGATGCGCTCCGTGTGTCCTGGCTCGATTTAACGAACTTTTACAGCTTCTATTGAGCGTATATTAAGCTTGAACCAAGACGAACCCTCAGAGTCAGCTAATGGCGCTGTCGACTCCTCGAACTCCTCTCATACAACCTCCGTGCTGAACGAAAACGGCGAACCCATTTGGAAGGTCCTCGTCTTTGACGACCTCGGACGAGATGTCATAAGCAGTGTTCTCAGAGTCAACGACTTGAGAAGCAAAGGTGTCACAATACATCTGTCAGTTTGACTGGAAATGAGCCGTCCGCATCTAGGACAGTGTCTAATCTGTGAACAGAAACATAAATTCCCCGCGCTATCCTATCCCAGATGTCCCAGTCCTTTACCTTGTTGAACCAACTGCGGCCAATATTCAGCTAATATGCTCCGACCTCGCCCGCGGGTTATACAGCCCTGCCTACGTCAACTTCATCTCCTCTATACCGCGACCGCTCCTCGAAGACTTCGCCGCTCAGATATCCTTGACGAATACTGCGGAAGCGATTGCGCAAGTGTACGATCAATACCTGAATTTCATTGTCGCTGAGCCAGACTTGTTCAGCTTGGGCTTGGGCAAAGAGTCGTATTGGACATTCAACAGCGCGAAAGCGGAAGCAGATGCCCAAGATGCTGCAATCGACAGGATAGTCAGTGGATTGTTCAGTGTCAGTGTCACTATGGGCTCCGTTCCGATCATAAGGTGTCCTCAGTCTGAATTGGCCAAGATGATTGCGGCCAAGCTGGACCGGAAACTCAGAGACCACGTTCTAAATTCCAAGGACAATTTGTTCTCCTCCAAAGCCACATCAAATGTATACTCGACCCCCTCGAGGCCGGTCCTCATCATTCTCGACCGGAACATCGATCTGGTGCCGATGCTGTCACATTCCTGGACATATCAATCGCTGGTACACGACGTGCTGAAGATGCACCTGAACAGAATAACAGTGGACGTCGCAGAGGAGGGAGCCACAGCATCTAAACCGCGGGCTTACGACCTGAACGCGAGCGACTTCTTCTGGGCACGAAATGCCAGTGCGCCTTTTCCACAGGTGGCGGAGGATATCGACAAGGAGCTTACGCAGTACAAGGCGGATGCTGAGGAGGTCACGAAAAAGACGGGTGTCAACAGCATTGAAGATCTGAACGACAGCTCAGCATCTGCAGCGCACTTGAAGGCGGCGATAACATTGTTGCCGGAACTCCGTGAGCGGAAAGCGACGCTGGACATGCACATGAACATTGCGACAGCTCTGCTAAAGGGTATCAAGGATCGACAGTTAGACAACTTTTTCCAACTGGAAGAAAATATCACAAAACAAACTGCCGACCAGATGTTGGCCCTGATAAAGTCTGACGACAAAGGGAACAACCCACTCGACAAGTTGCGGATATTCATCATATGGTATCTGAGCGTTGACAAAGAACCTTCAAAATCCGAACTCTCGGAATTCGAGGGCGCCCTGACATCAGCGGGTGTTGGCGACGCAGTGGCAGCAATAAAACACATATCAAACGTGAGACTGGAAACTAGAGGCACAATGATGACCTCGACCGTCACGACGTCCCAAACATCTCAGACACCTTTGTTCGGTGGCCTTTCCTCCTTATCCAAGAATTTCACCGACAAGCTTTCCTCCTCGGCCCTGGGCACCGTCAACTTGGATGCATTGGTCTCAGGAGTCAAGAATTTCCTGCCCGCGAACAAAGACCTTACAGTCACAAAGATTGTCGAGTCGATCATGGACCCGCCAGCAGCCTCGTCTTCTGCAATTGCAAAGACAGAAAGTTATCTGTACTTCGACCCACGAAGTGCCCATGCGCGCGGTACAACGGGTGCTTCAGCTCCGCCGTCTCGAAGTGGTCAGCCGTCCGGAGGTGCCAACCCAAGCTTCGGCCAGCGACGGCAGGGGTATACAGAAGCCATTGTTTTTACCGTGGGCGGAGGGAGCATGGACGAGTATGGTAACCTGCAAGAGTGGGTGAAGAGGACGTCAGGTCTGGGTGCAAGCGGCGGTGGCGTCGGCGCTGCCCCCCGGACGAGACGAGTCATATACGGCAGTACCGAGCTGGTCAATGGCGAGGACTTTTTGCAGGAGCTCGTCAGGCTGGGGCGAGGTGGATGATCCTGGAAGTCTGTAGTCGTTCACAAGAGCAAGATAATGCTTCATCGCTGAACAAGAACCATTAATGCTTCAGTCCGATTGCTTCTTGCCATGATGATCTATTCATTTTACATCTGCAGTGAGTGAGTGCATGCCTGCATAGGTCATGTCGTTCCGGTCTGAATACAAGGCTTCAATACTGCATTGACTTTTATCTTATATAGGGGTATCATCTTCTCCCTCTGCCAAACCTCCCACGCCCCTTTGCCTTGGAATTTTTGTTCTTGATCTTCAAACTCCGAAAGTTCATATGCGAATAGGCATTTGGATTGATCGTCCGGGTCTTCCCATCCTCTGGTGCGTCTTTTGCTTTTGCTTTCGCTTTCGATCCTTTCCTCGACGAAGATTTGCCCGCAATGTCAGACTCGCCCTTCGCCTTCTCTGTCTGGGCTTTGCTGTTGGCCTTGTCTTTTGCCTTTGATTTGGTACTGGCTTTGGCTTTCTTCGTCGCTGGAGTCGAGACGTCTTCCGGTTCGAGGAGAAATTCATCGTCGCTATCAACGTGATCGGCATCTGCATCTTCACCGTCTCGCTCGGCTTCAGCCTCGGCAATGAGATATTCCATATCGTCAATCTCTTCGTCGACAGCACCGTCATTCGCAACAGCTTCATTGACGAGCTGCGTTTCCTCAACCCGTGACACCTCCGCCTCGCCATCGTCACCTCTCGCCGCGCGTGCGTTGTCCAGCACCAGTTCATCCTCACTACTTTCCACATCGTCGTCATCCGCAGCTACAAACTTCGGCGCCGCGGCAGGCTTCATCTTCACCGGTCGCATCATGACCCGCCTTGTCGTTCGTTTCTGGCCCTTTTTCTTCCACACCCTCGGAGGTTCTGCTTCTGCACTTTGCCCAAGAGCTCCGGCCTGGCTATCGTTCACCAGTACATTGACTTCACCCGCTTCCATCTCGCGTAGCGCGTCCATATCGTCGTCATCATCATCGTGGTCAACACGATCGTCATCCCCTTGCACGATTTCGGTCTGACTCTGTAGTTCGGCAATCATCTGACTCAAGGGCTTCGGCGCGAATCTTGCACCTCGCAAGTCTCGCGGCCCTTTCTTGATTTGCGTCGGACTTGTGATCACATGTATATTCCCTCTCATCGAAACTGACGAGCTCGGTCCTCCACCCGACGCCGAGAGCAAGCGCTCTTTGAAGCTGAAACTGCGCTTCAAATACGGCGGGGTCGCATCTGTTTCCGATCCTAGATTCTTCCTTGCAGGAGAAATACCTAGCAGAGCATCGCGCAGCGGTGTCTTAGTCTGGGCAGGCATCCCGGTGGCGTGAGCGTCATCATCGTCGTTATCGTGCTGGACCAGACTGTAGAAGCGTACGGCGCTTGGTGTTGCGAAAAAGTGGTCCAGCATGAACCGCTTGCTTTGGCTGATTGGCGTTTTGGAGTGCTTTCGGTTTGGTGAGTCTCGTGACGTTGGTGTCGCCGTTATGTTATGATCCTTCCCGGACTCTGCCCGGCGACTGCGCCTTTGGCTTGGTGTCTGCGTGATCGTCGCTTGCGTGCCGTCACTGGGATCGTCCTGAAACGCATCGACTTTTCTCTTCCTACTAGACGGCGTCTCCTGAGAGCTCCTGATCGATCCGGAGGGTGGAAGCATGTCAAATATTCCAATCACAGTACCATCTCTCCGCGGTGTTGGCCCGATGGCGTGGAAAGTGATTTTCGGCGATATAGATGACGGCGCATCATAGGGATCGATCTCGTTAGGATGAACGCGCGCTTTCAACGGTGTGCTTCTGTTTCGAGGCTGGTGCGGAGTCAGACTGATTGCGCTGTCTGTTCGAGTGTGAACGTGTTTCGCTTTGGGTTGTGGTGGATTGACAGCGTCGAGGCCGACTTTGCCGGCGAGCACGTCGCGGACTTTATTGTATTCCTTGTATTTTGTGGCAATGGCGTGGTCGGACTTGATATCGTCCTTACCCGGCTTGCGACCATCGTGAGCAGCTGCGAAGGTGCGTTCGTATTCTTTCAGAGCAGTGCGGAGGCTGTCGGCCTTCCTTTGCAGAGATGCTTTCTTTGGGGTGTCCAGGAGGGGGAGAGGGTTGTCCATAACTGAAAGCTGGTCATCTGCTGAGAGTGTATTGGCACCGACTATGATCAGCTTGCAGCATCCGTCCGTTCGAAGAGTATCGAGCGCAAGTCCACATCTTCCGCATATGCAACAAGGCCATCAGACGCGTCCCACTTTAACTCGGACGCGTGGTAGAGCTTTGGAAGGTTTACCGAAGCGCATAATCACGTGGCCTACAATTTTTCAAGTACTAGACTGAGAATTAAGGCACAGGGTAGTGGCTGATCTGTGAATCAAGGGAAGCTTGCAAGTAGCCAGGACGTATCGGTAGTGACCCTTCAGGACGATAGATAGCACAGATTGCAAGAATATCCTTGATACTTGCAACAATGACCGGCAAGATGCAGTTTTTCGTAATCTTTTCATTTTCGTTTGCATTGATACCTCTCTTAATTTGAGGCGATGCCATTGTCCTTTCCGTTCAATCCACGCCGGAGACTTGTGCCATTTGTGCACTAAGCTGTCCACCAGCGGCAACCTGTATCCTTTCTCTAGTTGTGTTCAGAAGTCGGAGCGAAGCTGGAAATCCGGGCAACAGGCTGGCTTCGAAGTCTTCCACCGCAAAATGTGAAGTCCACTATCCACTCGACACCTCTTTACGCGACCAACTCAACGACACCACCGGCCTCCTTGATCTTGCGCTCAGCCTCCTTGCTGAACCATCTGGCTCGTACAACGATCGGGATTTCTGGGATGCGGCCCTTGCCGAGAACCTTGGAGTAGCCGAGAGGAAGGAGGTCGAGGACGGGAGCGGTGTCGGTCTTCTTGCCAGAGACGTATTCGTCACGGGTCTCTTCGGGAACCAATGACCAGAGCTATTCCCAGCTGTCAGTACTTGTTCTGTATCAATCTCAGGATGAAATTCTGACCTTGTCGAGGTTGATCGTTGGCTTCCAGTACTGGTTTCGGGTGAGATGGAAGTATCTCATACCGACTTTTCCGAAGTAACTGTAGTTTATTAGTCAAACTGCGCACCTTTTCCGTTCCAAGGATCGATGTCCTCGTTCCAGGCCAGACATACCCAGGATGGTATTTATCCATGTTGGTTCTGTGGTGATGTTGACCACCAGCGAGACCACGACCACCTGGATGCTTTCTGTGCTTTCCTACACGACCGTGACCGGCGGACACATGACCGCGGCTGAGATAAAAATGTTAGCCTAGCTCTTCCAACTTTTCATTTGTCCTGACACCACGAATGCGACCGACAGCGAGATCTCCGTCCGCTTCGAAGACCAAAGGTCAGACAGGATGATCCCAAGCTGCTCAGTTGTGTTGCTGTGTGCGATTGTTGAGGGAGAAAGGCTGATTGTAGACTCGTCGGGATCGCAGCTCGGCCGGTCGCATTCGTGGTGTCGTGCTCGGAATTGTGACTGGAGAGACTCACTGTTTTCTCGTCTTCGTCAGTCTCGTAGGCATGTTGACGGTGTTGAGACTGAAGTTGTCGTGATGGAAGTGTTCGTTGGACGAAGTTGATCACAATGTGGGCAATTTAAGCCAAGCGCCAGAAGAAGGTTAGCGTCGAGAAATCTTGGCATTATTTCTGGCAACCTCAACATTGCACCATACAGCCAGTGGTGGATTTACGTGAAGTTCTACTCGTAGGTATGGAAGACCTTGCACAAGGAGTCGCTGGCTTTCTTGTTCATGCTACTCGTTCTTCTGTCATCATCCTGCCACGATCAGCACTTTCCTTTGAAGAAATCTCGAAGCCCGTCCTCGATTGCCTTCCAATCCATAACGCCATATTCCATATTGTTTTTAATCCAGCCTGGCAATTTTTGCCTTATCCTCTCTGATGAGAACCTTCGGTCGACCATCAGGATGGCAGCATAGTCGTTTCTGTGGCGGATGACCCTGCCAATGCTCTGGTTCACCGCCCTCATACATGCATTTTCGTAGAAGTCTTTGCTGGCACTTTTGGCCGCAGACCTGCAGTCACCCTCTTTCATGCACTCTTTCTTGCATTGCTGATAGCGAACATCTTCAATGTGCTGCATCTTCGCTGTCCATTCAGCCCCATTGGCGTTGGGAAAAGGCAGCCCCACGGCAATGACTGCTCGGCCAAGCTTGTCCGAAAAGTTGATACCTTCTGATAATTTCCCACCAACGACTGACAACATTAGTCCCCCTTTTCCAGAATCCACTGCGAGTGCGTAGTCACGCAGAAGCTCATCAACCGAGATGCCCTTCAATTCCTGAAATACCGGTTTCTTCTCGGCTAACCTCTCCATCGTAGAGCGGTTTGTTGAAGACTTCTGCCAGATGGAGACAACCTGAGTAAGGTAGTCGTAGCTGGGAAAGAACACAACAACTCCATCGGGCACAACAGCGCAAATTTTCACAATCAGCTGCCCAAGCTCAGATATCATTCCTTCTGAACCACGTTTGTCGTAGGTGAAATCGAAATCGATACCGGAAAGGCCTCTCCCAACGGCTCGAGCAAACAGATGAGACACTGGGATGACATGGCCGAAGCTGAAAGTCTCAATTCTGCTCCTCTCTAGATATGAAAAGAGATAGTCGACGTAGTCAGACATTGGGGACATTGTGCCTCCAGCTAGGATCACTGCCCGAGACTCTTGCACGATATCCCGAAAATGTTCTCTTGGGTCGAGCAGAGTATAGCGTACAACAATGTCCTGGCCTTGTCGGCCAACGAAGAAGCGTCCTTCGTCATCTGGGTTCATCAGTACGACCAGGAAATTTTGGAATTGCATCATGCTGCCTTTGGAGGGGTTAGTGTCTCCCTCGCCCGCTTGAGCGTCACTATATCCTTCGACTTTATGACATAGTTTGCTTTCATGCAGATACTGTAACAACTTGTGTGGCTTGATCTGGTCCACGCCTTTCCCTGACATAAGATCGGCAGCGGTCACAGTGTTCTCTTGTGAGTGCGACTTCTCCATTGTATCTCGCAAGCAATCTGTCAGCGAATTCAGCAACCGAATCACTTGCGTGACATATACTCGGTTCTTCCCTTTGAGACGCTGTTTGAAGCGAAGTGCATAGGCCGTCATTTGGTGCACAGCGTGCTCCAGCTGACTCAGTCGCAAGGAGACCGAGAACGTATCTGCTATGGCGTCCATCAGATTATGAGCTTCGTCAATGACGATCACATTATCCTTGACAGACACGCCCAAGGCTTCTCTGGCGGATTTCTGTAGGAGAAGAGGATATGGCAGACTTAAGACTTCTGTCGGAGCTATAGCAGTCCGAGACGCATAGTAGGGACATAATTCCATGGTCCTACCAAGGTTGCTGATGTCCTCAATGTCCCTGATGCGGGCAATGACCTTGTCCCGAAACAGGTCTACCCTTTCCTTGGTTTCCTTCGAAGGGAGATATGGGCACTTCTTGTCTTTTGCTGTGCTGGGTTTCTGAAGTTCCAGGCATCGTTCATTGATAGCGGTGGTAGATGGTAAACGTAGGACTTTGGGATTGATGCACAGGTTCTTCCTCGAACCAAGAGCGAGGTGCTTGACTCTCTCTTCTAGCTTGGTATTCGATGTCGAATGCTTCAAAGCTGCTGGAAGAGAAGACGGAGGGTTCACACGTCGTAGTTCATTCACGAACTGGGTCAATTGGGAATGGGTGCGTGAACAGAAAATGACCTTGAGTCGGTCTTTCTCTGCTTGTTCGGCCTCTCTTTGCATAGGCTTTCGAAGCTTGTCTAGCAGTGCCTGGGTAGAAGATGAAAATCCATGGTTGGAGGTCGGAGAAGTTGTTGCGCCGTCTTGGTCACTCTCGTACTCATCAACCAGAAATTCCGCATCATCAGGAGTTTGTTCTTGATCAAGTCCCTTTGCAGTGCGGACTTTCTTGAGTCCCCTTGTGTCGGCCTTTTTCTGTCTTTGACGGACTTCTTCCTCTCGGAGCTTTGCAAGCTTTAGCTCGAGCTCTTCGCGCTCCAGCATCAATGCACGGCGTTGAGCTACCATTTCAGCTTGCAGCAGCCAGTCAGAGTCATCAGGGTCCTCCGTACTGTCATCTAAAGAGCGACGTTCGTGATCTCGAAGCCATGTCAAGGCGCCACATATTAGACTCAAGGACTTGCCTGTGCCCGTTGGAGACTCAAAGATGCCCACCTTCTTTTCTTCAATGCACCGGTATAGATTGGTCATAAAGTCCAGCTGAATAGGATAGGGCTGATAGGGATGGCAGAACGTAGCCCGACTCGGCACCATCATGATTGGATCCTAGCTAGCAGACAATATTGATGTTGTCTGCGACACAGTTGCACAAGGTCTCCTCAGTATTGGGCCACAATGAAGGCTGTTAGACATGTTCATCCTTCAGCTAGCTACGCGCGTAGGACGCGTCTGCAACATCAGCACTGAGGGTCTATAGACTGCTCTCGTGAATTGATATTAGAGTCGATGAGGCGACCTTTATGACATAACACAGGAAAGTCCTCCTGGCCAAACATCTAATGTCGACAGCTAGGTGCTAGCAGTATCAAGCAAAGCGCAAGAACGTGACGACCGAAACCCTATAAAATTCGTGCTGCCAAATATGGGTACGGTGCTCCGTAACTGTGGCTGTGAAAATAGGCGTTGATTTGCTCGTTTGATATGCGGAGAAAGAACGCTTAGGCACCGAAGAAGCTCATTAGGCTTCCAGCTTAGGCTAGTGATAATGGGCTGCTGAGGTGGTGCAGCCCGTACGACGGCCACGACGGCATCCGGGGCATCAACGGTATCGCCCAAAGCGCCTACGTCGCCGCTCCACTTATGTCAATATCACCCACAGCCTTACTGCGCCCTCCACCACCCTCTTTGTTGTCGTCCTCCTTAGGTCTTCGTAGATTCCCACAACTGTGGCCTGTCTTGCCTGAAATTGCCATTGAAGCACTGCCGTGATAGCATGCTTCAATGAGCTCGAGAAATGTCTACAACAGCCATCCAACGCCGGAAATTGTCCTGGGTTGATCCCTCAAACCTCTAACCCCCACCTGAGCCTTAGGACTCCCACTTGCACTTTGTCCGCGTCAGCAATACCAAATTGCCCTCCTGAAGCAATATATCTCCATCTCTCCGGGTACTCGGATACAGAAAGGGAAGCTGAGCGGTCCTGCTGTCACCGATCGCTTGATCTTCTCTAACCGAAGGACGATCAGAGCTTCTAAGCTGTACTATCCCTAGACCAAGGTCTCATCGTCGTTTGGTCGCCGCCATGAGTTACAACACAGGAGCAACCTTCGTTCCTGGAGGAGAGGACTCCTATTACATGCCAGAGTTGATCCAACCTACCCCGAACAGGTATGCTGATCTAGGATCGAATGGTGATCTTTCGCTGACCAGCCCAAGGGTACACGAACTACCGACAAACATGCGACAAAACGTTGCTCAAATGGAACAGGCTGCATCAAGTCCTAACTCCTCAGCATATTCCGGTTCAGTTTATTCACCTCAGTCGGCAGAGTATATGCCCTCAAACATGAATCCTTGGCCGGCTGCGCAACCCCCTAGCCAACATCAGCAGGGATACGAACAGAAGCTGCCGACGAACAATACTCCTCTATTGAACCAACAGAACAACCACCCTCCGAGGTCGACGTCCATACAACAAACAGAACAACCGAACTTCTCCCCCTTCCCCATCCTTCGCAATCCGCCTCCTAACGTCCCTCCAACCGACGAACAGAAAGAGGCAACACTAGAAGCTGCAAGGGCTGCTGTATTGAGTTGCAACGATCCAGAGACACAATTGACATGGGCACAAGATGTGTTGGCATATGTGGAGGTCTGTCAACAAAACGAGGAAAGAGTGGCTCTGGCCCAGACACCCAGGTCGAGGACACCGCGACTTGAACATGTGTTAAGAGAAGATGCTCTCAAGATCACAACTTTCTTAGCGGACCAGCATCATCCCAGGGCCGATTTCATGAGAGGCATGTGGTTGGAATTTGGAAAGTTCGGTCACAGAATCGACAAGAAAGAGGCATTTCTCTGCTATACCCGGGCATCTGAGAGGGGATACGTTCGGGCTGATTACCGCATCGGCATGCAATTCGAGTCGTCGAATGATGCTCTGAAGGCTATCAAGTACTACCAGAAGGGTGCTGATGCGGGAGATTCCGCCTCGTGCTACAGATTGGGCATGATGACTCTGCTCGGCCAACACGGACAAGCACAAGATTACCAACGTGGTCTCAACCTCATCTATGCGTCGGCTCAGACAGCCGACGAGAATGCGCCGCAGGGAGCATTTGTTTTCGGAATGCTTCAAGCCCACCAAATGACCCAGGTCCAAGTTCCTGAACATTACCTGCCGAAAGATATTCCTGCAGCAAAGATCAACATTGAGAAAGCTGCGTATTTAGGATTCGCGAAAGCGCAGGTCAAAATGGGACAAGCTTACGAACTGTGCGAGCTAGGATGTCCATTTGACCCTGCTTTGTCTCTTCACTACAATGCTCTTGCTGCCAGGCAGGGAGAACCTGAAGCAGAGCTCGCCATCAGCAAGTGGTTCCTCTGTGGTCACGAGGGGCTGTTCGACAAGAATGAAGAAATGGCCTTTACCTACGCTCAGCGAGCGGCATTATCTGGGTTCCCTACTGCACAATTTGCTTTGGGATATTATTATGAGGTTGGAATTTATGTGCCTGTCAACTTTGAACAGGCCAAGGAGTGGTATCGCAAAGCATCACAGAGTGGCAATCAGGATGCCACTGGTAGGATCGACGCCATATCCAGGTCGAAGACGCTTTCGCGGAAGGATCACGAAAGCATAGCCCTGTCGAAAATCCGAAAGCAACGCGGTTCCATGATAGGGCCACCGCAAGCTCCTTCCGTGCCAACGATGCCAAGTCTCGCAGAGGAAAGAGAGCCTCAAGTGCTGGACATGCCGGATCCGTCTCGACTGTCTCTTGACAACCGAAAGCCTCCCTCAGCCAGACCAGGAAACACTGCCCCATATCCTATTGGGCCACCGAATCTGCCGCAAGGTCCAGAACTCCCACCAACATCAGCATTTGGCATCAATCCCAACCTCCGCCCAACTTCGGCCGCCACTGTAGGCGGACCGAGACCTGATCAGTACGGCCAGCCTCATGTGTCTCCGCAGATGCGTCCCTACTCTAGCAATGATGCTCGAATGCCGGGTCCCGGATATGGTCGTGGTGATCGCGTACCTTCTGGTCCCAATCCACCACGACCAGGACCCCCGCAACGACCAGGGACCGGGTCGCCTCATATGCGACCGCAAGGTTCGCCGAAGCTTGACATCGGATATTCTGCCCCGCTCGAACCAAGGCGGCCCCAGCAGCCTCCTCAGCCGAATGGCTACGGCAACCCTAGTCCTAATGGCCCTCCTCGCAACTCGCCACGACCAACCCAGCCTCCATCACAGTCGCAAGGCCCTCCGCCAAATCGTCCTCCACCCTCGAATACGCGCCCCAGATATGGAAATCCGCCACCAAACGTGAAACCAGCAAACATGGCACCTTCGAAACCTGCAAGCAACGCGCCAACTGGGAACGCTCCGCCATCCAAGCCGAACCAAATGCCGGCGAACGCTGCTCGACTACCCGGGAAGGGCCCGAAGACTTTTGATGAGATGGGCGTCCCTGCCGGCAAAGATAAGGGCGAATGTGTAAGTGACGGTGTTCTCAACATAGTCAATGTGAAACTAACTGTGGTAGATTGTTATGTAATGTGTTCTTGGAACTTGTGCTTCATTGTATATGATACCCCCTCGCATCAGCAATTGTGTTTTTCGGTTCCAGTGCGCATTGAGACGAAAATGGAGCGTCACAGGCATCGGGCTTGTGTCGGCGTGTCACAAAATCGGTGGAATGTGCTACGAGCATTTTGAATGGAATATGTTAAGCGCATCTTCAGTCTATGATTGCCCTGCGTCGATATAGCCAGTCTTGTCAGCATGGCGTTCTACGGACCCAGCCTCCAGACTTAGGAGGATTCTTGGATACAAGTAGCTTGCATTATGGCGCCGTATTGGCGACCTGCAAGGCCATTGCTATAATCTACGGAGTCTGCCTTTTTGTTCGAAGTCTTTCTGCTGTACAGTACTTTACAAGTCGCCGTTATTCGTCATTTCGACTACGGACGTTAGATTGTCGTCCCGTTGTAACAGACAATTCAGCCCAAGGCAGTCCCCTGCAATCAAAGTTAGTACTACTTAGCACCTGGTGGTCGCCGCGACTATGCGGTATGCCCTTGCCTTGGACTGAGAAAGGGTCAGGAGGTGGGACGAAGGACATGGTCTTGATGGTAGGTCGGTTTGGGTTCCCAGATTTTGACTCGTTCCCTTGTACATCACGCCCATCCTTTGCTCTTGTCACGATCGCAGGGCGTTGCGCGACGCCTGTAGACAGATATAATGGCAAATTTTGCTTCGATCTGGTGGTGGTTGCAGCTTGTACTAATGGAGCAGTGGATGATGGAAGGAGCATTGTTGATTTGCAAGTGGAAGGTACTCTGGTACTGGTGGCTTACTTCGGAGTGCAGGTCTACGTTGGCCTGGCATCATGATCCAGTGGGATCATCCCTATGATCAAGAAGCAGCAGTAAATTTCCGTGAGTCACAGCCATTCTGTGGTATTACTAGTATATCGCTGCCTGTGTTCTGTCTTGGTCGAGGGTCAAGGACTGTGGAGGATGGATGTAAAGCAGGACGCTGGCAGTTGATGCGTGTGGAGAAACATAAATTTATATTCCCTGAATGCTGTTGTTCCCTTTCCCAGTACACCCAGACGGAACACGGCCTGTGGAAACGACCCAGAGCGAGCCACGGGTCTACTATTGATAGCGAAGAGAAAGTCGATCATATATTTCAACCGCCTCTACATCGCAAGAGAACCAGATCAGATACAGATGGAAAGGCCGGAGTGGTGGATGCTGCAGACATTGGCCGAACCAGATCTAGGCATGCGCAAAACAGGCGTCAGACACTAGAACTTTCCGATCTTGTGCAGTAACTACTAAACTAAAATCACCCAAATATTCGCCAGTCAAAATGAATTTGGAAGTAAAACGTACCTCTTCCCCGTTAACATTGGAACAAACTGGACTTCTTCCCTCATGATCTTGCAAGTATCCGCCAACAGAGACCTGGATTGATATTCGACTACGATTATGGCCATCGAGCCGAACATCGCATAGCTATATCGCAAAACGTACGAATTGTCCACACTCCTCACACCCATCCATCAGGCACGTCCTTGTGAGGACAATGAATATATCACAACAGTACTGGCAGTGAGAGGACTCTCCCGTGCCAGTAACCTCAACATTACTCACACGTTCCCAAGTCGTGCTATACGTCATCCAAGAACCTCCCCGTCGCCGCCTCAGCCATATACCCGGACCCTCCCTCTCCTCCCTCATCTCCATAATTGTATTTCTTCCCAACAACCTCGTTTCCTCCTTTCTCGTCCAACGCCAGCGGTGGACACACATACTTCGCCGCTCGCCGCCACAGGAGGAACTGCTCAGCGAATAGAGGATGCGCGTCAGGCCGCATCTGATGAACATTCTGCACGGTGACACTCCACGGCTTCCCCAGCGCCGTGAAATGCAAGACATACACGTCGTTGTGGAAAATCGACGTCAAAGGATCGACCAGGCCTGGATCGTATCTGAGGACATCACCATGTCCTTCCTGATGGGTCGACGTCCCATTTCTCTTTGCCTCCCTATGTCTCGTCTGCTGCCCTCCAGGACCGCTTTCCACCATCGATTCCAATGATGGCCCCCTCCCCTGCTTGCCCTCCTGGTCTTCCCGCACAGCTCGATCCTGACCCAATGCTTTCCGTTCCTCTGGTGGCCACCGTATATGATCCTGTCTGAACCTGGACCAAGCCGGCACCTCGCCCACCTCCCAGTGACTATTCAACGTACAAAACTCCCCCGGCAATGCTAGCCCGCGATCCCCTTCGCCATCCCCACCAGGTTTAAAAAACTCCTGATTGATCAAATCCATATCATACACATCGACTCTGCTTTCAAGCTTGACCCTCTCCAAAGCGGCTTCCATTCTTGCCCACAACCCCTCGGACACATGGACCATCATCATCGCGCTCGTCACGCCGCTCACCACATCACCACCCCCAAGCCAATACGCATGCGGTGCCGCAACATCCACTCCCTCCTCAACCCCACCGAACAAGGAATCCAAACCCCGTAAGACCAAAACATCCCCATCCAACACTATAACCCTCTTGACCATCGGCGCCCACACGTACAACTTGAAAGCCACCAACTTGAGCATAACATCCTTATAATAAGGCGCGCTCCCAGCCGGTAAAGGGGGCGGCTCATGTTCAATAACGGTCACGTTATACCGCTCTCGGAACACCGTCTTGTACCGAATCGACACGGCGTCCGACACGAGAATGTATATCGGATGGGGCGTGTGGAAGAGGCGGCGCAGGCGGTGAATGTTGACTATCTAGGGTACGTATCCATTAGCAGAGGAGAAACTTTTCGAGAATGTAGAAGCCCAAGCTAGCCAAATCAACCGCGAAAAGAACTCACCACAGAACATGCGTACAGGTTGGATGTTGCGTAGAAGACGTAGGCAGATTCATCATCGCTGTGGTGCCGCGACTTGAGGACCGGGAGGCCACGATAGAACGTGAGCAACCGGATGGTATGCAGAATGAACAAAAGAGAGACCAGACAGAGGAAGATGGCGAGTCGAAGGGAATAACGCATCTTCGAGCAGGACCGTGGCTGCTCCAAGCTCGAAAAGAAGCAGAGCACTTTTGATGTTCACGAAAATGAATCCTTCCTGTCGCAGGACCGTACTTTGACAGCTTGGACAAACCCCTTGCTCGTACAATGCATTGTCTTGATCTGCATTCCAATAGAATCCCACTGGCAAGTGTCGGCCGTCGGCTGCGACATGACAAAGTCATCAAACGGAGGGAGTGTTCTCGGGATGATGACTTGATAAGATCTAAGCTGCAGTCCTGCTCGACAGGGATAGAGCCTCCAGGAAGCGTACGTAAGTCGAGTTCAGCAAACAGAACGCACCGAAGCGAGCGACTAGCGGGTAGAATCATTGATAGCCAGTCTTCAGAAGGGCAAGGACAAGGACAAGGAATAAACAAGCCTCGGGAACAGAAGGATTTTGAACTCATGCCTCGATTGTGCTCGTCGTTAGGTTGCTATGCGCTGTCATATGGGAGAAATGCGACAGGTCACAAACATGCTTCTGCTATTTTGAAATTTTGTACAGCCGGACTGCTCAACTTGCCCTCCGTTCTCCCAGATGCAACCCGGGAGGCTTATCTATGCAATCAGCATTTTGCGCGGATCCTCTATGTATTCCTGGAACGGCTGTTAGCTTGCTGCACATGATCGAAGACAAACCATCAGAACTCACCTTGACCTTCACCAAGAAGGTGACTGCTTCTCTACCATCAAGCAGACGATGATCGTAGGTGAGGGCAAGATACATCATCTGCACAGCGTCAGCACTCATAGTCATTCAAACTGCGTCCAGGCAGCTTACAGGTCTGATTTCGATCTTTCCGTTCACGACCATAGCTCTTTCCTTGATAGCGTGCAGGCCGAGCACTGCAGTTTGAGGCAAGTTGATGATCGGAGTACCCAACATTGAACCGAAGACACCACCGTTGCTGATCGTGAAGGTACCGCCAGCCATATCTTCGATCGAAAGCTTGCCGTCTCGTGCCTGAAAACATTAGCACGCTCCACGCCGATCCTTGCGGACTGGCTTACCTTCTTGCCCAGCTCCGCAATCGCCTTTTCGATGTCCACCATCTCCATGCTTTCTGCGTTACGAACCACAGGAGTGACCAGACCCTTGGGCGTAGCGACAGCGACACTGATATCCACATAATCTCTGTAGACGATGGTATCACCACCTCCTGGACCTTCAATCGAAGCATTGACTGTAGGAATCTCCTTCATCGCAAGGACGGCGGCCTTGCTGAAAGCGCTCATGAAGCCCAATTTGACCCCAGTATTCTTCAACACTTCGTCCTTGTATCTCTTACGGAACTCCATGATGTTGGACATGTCGACTTCGTTGAAGGTGGTCAACGACGCGGCAGTGTTTTGAGACTGCTTCAGTCGTTCTGCGATTCTTAGACGCATGCGGTTCATTTTCACCTGTGATCCATTAGCTTTGTAGAGGAGGACCGCAGCAGGCGCCATACTCTATTCTCGTTCCTACTGCCCTTGCCGAAAGGTGAGTCAATTCCTTTCGGCTCGTCGGGCTTTTTCCCCTCCTTCGGTGGTGCAGGCTTCTTCTCTTCCTTGGGTGGTGCGGGCTTTTCTTCTTTCTTCGGAGGTGGAGGAGGCTCTTCTTTTTTGGGTTCCTCCTTCTTTGGCTCCTTTTCCTTTGGCTCCGCTGGTTGCGAGCTTGTAGGCTGATCTTCAGAGGCAGGTTCCTTGGGCTCTTCCTTCGCCTCTTTAGCTCCTTCACCACCGCCTGCGCCTGTCTCCATCTTTGCGATCTCTTGACCGACAGTCACGGTGTCACCCTCGTTGACCAGCAGCTCCGTGATTTTACCAGCCTCAGGTGCATTGACCGAAACGTCAATCTTGTCCGTTTCAATGGAAGCTACCTCTTCATCCTGGTCGACCGAGTCGCCCACTTGTTTTGAGAAGGTGCTGAGGGTGCCTTCCGAGATGGACTCAGCCATCTGCGGGACCTTGATAATCACCTCACCATACTGAGCTGGCGAAGTGCTGAACTGCTGGTAACGCGAAAGGCATGCATATGTTGGCAGGGCGGCGGCTCGGTAGCCGGAAAGGCATGGCTGACGAGATGTAGGTTTCGTTCTTAGGGCGCTAAATGAGCGAGCTTGTAGAGTACGGTTGCTTCTAGGTAGGGCAAGGCAAGGGCCTAGACCTGGTGTGCGCCGAAGCCGAAGGGAAGTCATGTTGAGGAAAAGCTATGACGAAGGCCTCGTCAAAGGAGAACAAGACCGTCGAGGCTCCAGAGAGCGAGGAGCTTTATTGAAGCGGCATACGAGGCGGATCGACCGCCAGTTGAGATCCGCAGGTATTAAGAGGATCGGAAAGTGAGCAAGAACCTTTCCTGGGCCGTGAAATGAGTGATGTCGAAGGTAGAAAGCAAGCAGAATGATCGACCCCCAGCCGGAAAGCTTTTGGCGAGCTTTGACTGGGCATACGACAGAATGGAAAGTCGCGCAGTTTTGCCAGGCGCAGGCGGAGAACTTCCGATTCCTATTGCTCCCTGTCCACCCGAATCCGATTGAAGGGGCCACCCAGAAGAACTCCAAGCTCCAGCCCGCCAAGCCCAGGTTAACTGCAGTTCCAATCGACGTGCTGCCATTACAGATTGCACTACTATTGCTCAAACCGCTGCAGCAACGACACAAAGAACGGGACGACGAAGTGCAACGTGACGGGCAGCTACTGGGCTCTGCGGCAGGTGGATTTTCACCTATTCTTCGACCGTTTGGGGACGCCCGGGTTAGCAGGAATGTCGACACTCAGCCCTCACGTCAAGGCCGTGCGGTAATGATGACCCTGAACATTCAAGACTCATGGACACCTGGACTGACTCAAAGATGCAGGTCACTGTACCGGCGGTCATTGAAGCTTGCCCTTGACTGGGCTGTTCAACGAAGCCTCTGGCGAGGACAAGCAGTCTACATCCGGACCCTTTTCGATGCGAACAAGACCATAACCGACCCCAGACATCAAAGAGTATGGTGACCTCAAGAGCTTTGCTTCGTGGAAGACGGTCTGACATCTTGCCCGGTAGATTCTATTCAACGAGACAGAAAAGTTATTACAGAAATGGAAGCATCCTGATCCCTACAGGCCACCAACTGCTCCTGGAGGTATGCACAAGCTGTAAACGAATGGACGAGGAACAGAACTGACATCTACAGGCTCCAAATACGAGAGGAACCTGGCAGCGCCAGATCTACCTCCACCGTCAAGAGAATTCGTCAAAAGGTTATGAGGGTCAGGCGCACTTGGTTTTAATGCAGCATTGTACATATCACCACTGGATATGATCCAGCCCGCTTGAGAGCTGGTTATCTACCAAGTCAGGCAGGAATGACAAAAAATCCGTGCCATCAAACTTGCATCTCTATTGAAGCAACCAAGTCTACAGCTCTTGTTATTTTAACCTCCACTCGAGTTGGGCAAATGCTGCAACTCGCACCGCTGCTGTACCTACAACACCCACGTCATTCAGCTCAGTAGTAACAAGCTTGAAGTCGATTCGCGTCGGCAGATTTCTGCGTGAACCTGCCCAGCTTCCGACCTGTGCAGTGCGCACTTGACTTAGCGCGTCAACGATGACCATTGCATGCTTGTTGTTTTGATTTCTCGACGCGCTTTTCCTTCCAGGCTCGATATTTCGCTGCCATCTTCCTGCTTGTAAAACCAACGGTGGAAATCAGACTGAGAAACGAAAACAAGAACATGGTGAATGATTTGGCATTTGTCTTGGGATCATCAGATTGCTTTCTCTATGATCCGGTTTCCATTGCAAAGCTGCCTTTGCTTTGCCGTCGCGTCGCGTGTAGCTCATGCCCCTGTTGCATACCTGATCATGTTCATGATGATAGTAGGCATGCATGGACATAATGTACAACCCTATCCGTAAACGCAGATTCTGAAAAAGCCCATTTGACCAGGTCAACCCAACCCCAAACCCCGTGTGTGATCACATTTGTCATGAAACTCCATTGCAAACCAAGCCAGATACAACAAAAGAAGCTTATAGCTCCTGGCTGGGGTTCTTGCCCTTGGCAGTCTTCTTTGGCAACAGGTCTGGAATAAAGTCAGTATAACAGTTTGAAAAGGATGTGAATGTGAAACGTACTCTGGTGAATGTTGGGCAGGACACCACCTTGGGCGATTGTGACGTGACCCAACAGCTTGTTCAACTCCTCGTCGTTGCGGATGGCGAGCTGAAGATGACGGGGGATGATACGGGTCTTCTTGTTGTCACGAGCGGCGTTGCCAGCAAGTTCGAGGATTTCAGCCGCAAGGTATTCAAGGACGGCAGCCAAGTAGACTGGAGCACCAGCACCGACACGCTGAGCGTAGTTGCCTTTTCTCAAGAGACGGTGGACACGACCGACAGGGAATGCGAGACCGGCCTTTGAGGATCGGCTGTAGTAGAAATCAGTACATGTTCAACATGAGATGAACAAGACGCGAAAGACCTACGATTGTGCGTTCTTGGAGCCAGAGGCCTTGCCGCCAGATTTGCCGCCAGTCATTTTGATGGTGTTGAGGTTGAGGTTTGGTTTTGAAAAGGTTTGAAAGTGTCTGGATGGACGTGAGAGATAGAGCGATGGAAGCTGGAGTTGTCGATGGATGAAGAAGAGAGGAAGAAAAAGTGGTGATGAAGGTGGGAAGGGAAGAGAAGTTATATGGGAAGAGGGCAGGCGGCGATGCGGGCAGTGGGCGTGGAAAGTCGCGCCTCCAGATCAACCTGGGAGATGCGGCAGCGTTGATTTGGTTGCGCCGGGAGGATCAACGTGACGGAAGCAGGGAGGTTTGGATCAGAGACAGCTCCGTCAGCCAATCACAGCACATGGAGGGGAATGATCAAAAACGACTTTTCTGTTGGGTTTTACAATACGGCGCTAAATTACGGTTTGTAACCGTAATGTTTTGCCAAGATACGTGATCCTGCAGATCTATTGGATCAAAAGTGATCAAAATCGACACGATAACAATACACTCATAAATCCCGCAAAGCCGTTACCTGGGATCAACCTGCCTTCCCGTTCCTGCACTTCGCATCAACCCGCCCTCTCCTCCTGCTCTTGCGCCTGGTATAAGAGTCGCCCTCACCCACACTTCGCGGTTTCCTCTTCTCTTCTCTTCATCCATCCCACACAACTACCACTCACACTCATCAAGCTTCATCAATCACTTTCATCTCATCCAAACTATCATCTTCGCTTTTTGCGCAATCACTCAATCCATCAAAAATGCCTCCAAAAGCTGCCGAGAAGAAGCCCACCACTGGTGGCAAGGCCCCAGCTGGCAAGGCTCCTGCTGCTGAGAAGAAGGAAGCTGGCAAGAAGACCGCGGCCGCTCCCTCTGGTGAGAAGAAGAAGCGTGGCAAGACGCGAAAGGAGACCTACTCTTCATACATCTACAAAGGTGAGTTCTTTGACCATCAACGCGTCGCATTCGTACTTCTCAATTCATACTGACGCGTCATCGCAGTCCTCAAGCAAGTCCACCCTGACACTGGTATCTCCAACCGCGCCATGTCCATCTTGAACTCTTTCGTCAACGGTAAGCTATTCGCGCCATTAGTCCTTGACCTCAATCTGACAGTATGATTCAGACATCTTCGAGCGTGTTGCCACCGAGGCCTCCAAGCTTGCTGCCTACAACAAGAAGTCCACCATCTCATCCCGAGAGATCCAAACCTCCGTCAGACTCATCCTGCCTGGTGAGCTTGCCAAGCACGCTGTCTCGGAAGGCACAAAGGCCGTCACCAAGTACTCCTCCCAGAGCAAATAAATGGGTTCATAGGTGCACGGGAATGCTTGTTCTTGGGTTTTTTGCTTGTGTTTTCTGCAATGGGGTTGTGGCACAATGGAACAACGGTGTTGAATGGTTTTACAACACATTATGATGCGTCATGGGATTCGGGGACAACCGTGATGAGCTCGGGACAGGCTTTGAAATTGCTTGCTCATCCAGATCAGATCATGCTTTACGGGTTTTCCACTGGCTTTTGCTATCCATCATGATTGAACATGCTGGAAAGTCAATGTACAATATTCACAGAGCCATGAGACATTGAGACGGCATGAATCTCAAGTTTTTCGGCTTGAAGATACAAAGCTGGAATATGAGATACTGAAACAAACTCAAAGCATGAAATCAACCTTCAAAACCTGTTCCTTGTTGCGCATCTTTTTGCTTCTGCCTGCAGTCTGCACTTTGACTTGCGACTGAGTTTGGCAATGTTTGAGACGCGTCGAGAACGCTGCGCGCTAGACGCACGTCGGCGTCAACATGTGAACTGGAGGCTGGGATTGAGACTATGTGACAACAGATCAGCGCGTTTTTGACGTTTGTAATGGGAGAAACAAGCATCGGAACAGGGGGTCATTACTTGGGATATGCGCGGTGCTTCGAAAATGATCCACCAGTGATGCAGAGATCCAGAACCGAGACTGTACTGTCGCATTTATTGTATACCAGAGTACTGCAAAACCCATCCACAACGCCCGAGCATACAGTCATCACTAGAACATATCATTTGCAATCGTTTCAAGCAACGCGCACAGGAGCATTGTCCTGAATTGTGTGAAAATCCACCTTGACTCCGTCATCTTCCACTTTTCCTCCAACGTTATTCTCATTGGGACCTTCCCCTGGCCCTGTGTTCTCAATTTCTGCATCCTTCCCAGTAACCGTCACAGTCTCATCGTCGTCTCGATCCTCATCCTCATCATCGAACGTCTCAACCTCATCCACAGCTTCCTTCCGTTCCTTCGTCTCCCCAGGCACAGGCGGCTCCTTGTCAAACACACTCACAATCGCCTTCCCTTTGACTTCACTGAGTCTGCGTTTCCAGTCTTTCCAGTCTGCCTCATCCTTGATCAGGAACCCAATCAGCATACTCGGGTCCATCTCGCTGATTCTTAACCCTCGGAGTCGGCGCGTGTGGCATGTCGCTATCTCTTCTTCGGTATAGTCTGATGCTTTATCATGATGGACCAGGGCAGGGCGCGTCTCGTGCGGGTCGAGATACAGGAACAAATCGCCCTGGCAGCCGATGAAATAGTGCGAACTCGAGGGTCGGCCACCTGCGATGCCGATTGACTGCGGGTAGGTGAGCGCGCTTTTGAGAGCTTCGTGGTACACAGGCGTAATTCTATCTAGCCCGAGTCTGATTCCGAGCAGGATGAGGGTGGGTTTGATGGCTGAGTCTGTAGGACTTGCAGCCGCGATAGAGCGAAAACGGTCTTCGTAGACTTCAGACGCGGATGGCGTGACGTATACTCGTAGGCCGGCGGCGACGCATTCGGCGGAGAGTTCTTTGATGCAGGATGCAGTGGCGGAAGGGCCGAACCACTGACCCGGGTGCTTGCCGCAGGCGGAGGCACCGTGTTGGACGAAGCGGTGGATGGAGAAGGGGGCGGATGGGGAATCGGCGAACAAAGACAGGATGGAGGCTTCGGTCTGTGTTGAGAGGGACGGTGACGGCGAGTCAGGAGAAACATGCTGGTGAGACGGGCGTCGCCAGTCACGGCCGAGTTGAAGCATCATGAGAGCGTTGGCGAGGAGGGACTGGCCGGAGCGGATCATGCAGCCCCAACCGGTGTCGCTCGTGAACCCTTCTCGCTCAGTGAGATTGCGGAGGCGAACAGAGAAGGAGAGGCCGGAGGTGGAGGACGCGTCTTGCGAGCGAGGAATGGGAGTGAAGTTGCAGCGATAGGTCATCCAGATTCGAGATTCGAAGTCGTCCAGAAATGCGTAGGGCCAGCCGCCGTCCAAGGGGTCATTGGATAGGGACGGTAGGTCATGTCCAGTAACGTGCTGGGCGTCGTCGAAGCTGCCTGTATTTTGGAAATGGGATTGTGATTGTTGAGGCTGGCCCTGACCCTGGCTCTGCGTTCCTGCCGTGGTGGAAGGCACACTGGCATCTGAAGGGGAGTGAGAGTCTGCGGATGATTCGACTTCGACCACATCATCGTGGTCGGTTGTTGTTACCGGCTTTGGCGGTATAGGTTTGTATTCTTTGCCCAGCAGCCATATTGACGTGCCGGACATGTCATCGTACTTAGGAGGAGGGTCGTAGAAGTAGCGCACGAAGCGCTTGTAGTCAACTCCATTCATGACGCCCTGGATAGGGAGGGTCTGGAGGGTGGAGGACAATGCATGCAGCAGATCAAGGGCGGTCAGAGAGGGATTTGAGGCTTTAGGGTCTCCTTGTGCTTAGGAAGGATATGGTCTTCTCTTTAGGATGGACCACTTCTCGGACGTTTGATGGAGGGATCGAGGTTCTGGAGGGTTTGGGTACTGGCGGTGGGCAAACAGGGCGCGGAGGGTTTCCAGGGCTGCAGAAGGTGAGATAGCGGAAGAGGCGATAAGCAAACAAACAAGCACTGCCTGATGATTTGGATTTCAATGTACACTATAACATCAAGCCGCTATTGAACCGTGTTGTCGTTGCAATGGGAGGTTGAGGGCGTCATGCGCAGGCATCAAAGTCAGTCCAAGGGCGGGACGTCAGCCTTGCCGCAGAGGCGCAAAGCACCCACAGCACCCTGACTAAACCCTAAGGGATGGGCGGGCGAGGCTTTGCCAATTGAACGGTGCATGACTGGGTCGTGGCTACGGCATCGGATCGTCATTCACTGGGAAATGCTTCTTCTGTTTCAACCCGCTTCATGATGTGACTACGATTTCACGGTGGCAATTCAATCTTCAATTTTACAGCTGTACATTTTATTGTATTTCTAGCAGTCTCCTCACTTCTTTTTGCCCATCGCTCTCTATCACTCCTTTCCCACTCCTTGACGCATCCGAATCCAATTGCAGAGAGGCAACAGTCTTGAAACACCCCGCCATGGGGGCGCGACAACGCGCTCAAGCGCGACCAAAGAAAGGGAGCGCTGCTAAGAAGAGTCCTAAATGGTCCCAGAAGCAGTCAAGCTCTTCTCTCAAAGGTACTGCCGGCGTCAAGTCCATTGCCACCGGATTCCCTCTGATGACCACGTTTAGTTCCTGATCTCGACCCCCGTCTCCGACACCGAGCTCTGTTAGCGGACTGGCAAGATTTCTCCGACTCCAGCTCGCCTCATCCTCGCAATGGAATGCTTAGTATGAGTCAGGAGGCTCGGAATACCGAGCGTCATGCAATGGGTTGGGGGTCCACGCGTCTAAGAGACATGACAGTTACGTTTGTCAGCGCAGGCAATCTTGTCCGTGATGAACCTTCTGATGAGAAGACGGAAAGCGAGACGGAAGGACAAAAAGACCCTACAACGACGGAGGACGGTGCTCAACCTGAACCAGAGACATTACCCCTGGGGGAGCTTTCGGAAGACGCTGTTGAAGAGGGAGAAGTTGTGAATGATGTCAAGGAGCACGTCCCGAGCACAACACCTGCTTTGAAGAAAGCTCCCCCTGCTGTCAAGCCTGCAGCGAGGAGCGACTCTATTTCCTCGCATTCCTCTGAAGAAATCCTCTTCGCTGGTCGCAAGAACGCAGGTCAGCCACGTTTGCGGCGAGTTCAGACTCCCAAATCGACTCGTCCACTTTCCCCTCCTATAACCTCTGTGAACAATAGCTCTGAGCTTCCGACGGCTGAGTCCAGTTCTGACGCTGTCCCACAGCATGTCTCGTCGTCCCCGTCACGAAAATTCCAGGCAATACCACTCCGAAACAAAAATGTGGACCGCCGCGGAAGGCCTCGACTCTGGTCAAGCAGAAGAGATGAGGAAGAAGCCATCATGAATGACTATATTGCTAATCTGGCATTTGATGATGACAGCGATGAAGAAGATGCTCCCGAGCAAAGCACTTCAAAGCTTTCCAGAAGGAACGAGCACTTCAGATTCTTTGATGGGCCTGCTGAATTCCACGTCAAGGTGCAAACCAATCCTGCAGCTAGTCAGACTCCTCAGTCACACTTGCCTGACCAAGCCATCGATTGGGACTCTGCCGACCTAGAGGACTTTGACGAGTTGAGCACTACCGATGAGGAAGTCCTCGAAGTCACTCAGGTACTTCGGCACCGAGTACGTCCCAGTGGGGCGCAATATCTCGTAACTGCACCTGGCCAAGGTACGAGCGAAGCTCGCTGGGTGTTGCAGGCCAAGCTCAAATCATCTTCTGCACGCGAGGAGATTGAAATCTTCAACGACATCCAGGCTATCCAGTTCCAGACCACTAGTGATGATCAGGACGACGATTCTGACGATGATTCTGACGATGATGAGGTTGGTGATGATGTGGATGATGACAGAAAGTCTGAAGATGATGAAAATGCCCGAATCATGGCTCATACCGCTCGCATGACTGATGAGCAGGTGGCACGCGCGTTTGCGAAGCAGGCAGAGCTCGGTATCAGCGGCGACGACTTGGTCTTGTTTGACGGACATCTTGATGCTGATGATGGTGATGACGACGACGGTGATGAGTTCTTGGCAAACGACGACTTTATCTCCTTCTCTGCGAAGCACCATCTTTCAAGCCGTGGCAAATCGAAGCGGAACCGCCGACAACGCACCACTTTTCCCCCTGCGGAGGCATTCGCTGACGCTCTCGATCAAGATCCCTACGGGGCATTCGACATAATGGATTTCGACAGACCCAGTCTCCGACCCAAGAAGAAGGGGCGGGTATCAGATCCATTCGAATGGGGCCTGGAGGACGAGGAATTGGCACAACATCTTCACAGCAGCTGGAGTAAGGATAGGGAGAAGAAAACTGCCAGGAAGCGTGAGAGGTTGGAGGCTCGGGAAGCCGCCTTGCTCGAAGCTTCTGATCGCAATGATCCCGTCGTGATAAAGGCCGAGATCAGACAATTCTTGGTGCAGGAAACCGATTTCCTCAAGTTGGCACCAATGGACTCCACTACACGTGCTGGGGTTCATCGACTTGCTAAGGCCTTGAGGTTGAAGTCGCACTCCGAAGGCAAAGACGGTCGTGGTGCCGGTCGGTATCCTATCTTGACCAAGGGCCCTCACACTCCCTTCTACAATGTTGACACGATTTGGGAGATTGACAACTTGATGGAGTCAAGGAAATTCTTCCCGAAGCAACGTGGTGGCGGTTTCCGTGGTCCAAACACTCCTCGAGCTCGAGCTACTGTAAAGACGCGCAGAGGTGGTGGCGGCGGCACGATGTCCGGAGCAACCTACATGAATGGCGAGGTCGTAGGTGGATCTGCCCCAGAGCTCGGTGCTGACAATAAGGGTCGTGCTATGCTGGAGAAAATGGGTTGGACCAGCGGTATGGGTATTGGAGCTGTGGGTAACAAAGGTGGTCTGGAAGCAATCAAGCATGTTGTGAAGACAAACAAGGCTGGATTGGGCTAATTCACCGTGTGGATTTGAGTTGTCGAGACCAGGCGAACAGCAGCATATCGATCGTTGTGAGGATTGGTGGTTCAATGTGTATGGTATGACTTTTGGACCAGCAGTCCAGCCTATGAGGCCATCGTTGATAGGGTATTTGGGAGCCCAATGGCCCGCCATGTAATGGAAGTCCACGAATTCCAACATGCTTGTCTATGATCATATTAGTACCTTCTACATCCTCTTGCAATCTAGTTGTGCTGGTTCATGTGTTGCGTTTTAGAAAATGGACGTGAGCGTCCCCCAAGCCGGGTAGTAGGACAGGAACTTCGGTGGCGACAAGACTTTTGTACAGAGATGGAATCTCGCCTTGCTTTCCCAGCCAAATGATCTCGCCATTATTGAACGCTAATGCGGCATCTTCCATAGGTTCGCCGCGTCTAGGAATCAGTAATTTCGCTTGAAGCAAGCCGGGAGCCATGTTTTGTGCTTGAAGAGCCTTCTGACACCACTGACCTGTTGTAAGATTAGATAATAATGGCAAGTAGTAATAGTAGTAGGTAAGGGATGTTGAAGCTGATCAGCTGAACAGCAGTCGAAGAGTTTATTATTCCTGATGTTCGGTGAGTTACATCACTAATCTGCGAGATATAAAGAGAACCTCCTTAGTGTTGTACTGTTTCTAAATGGCTAACTTAGGTTTGCGAGCATAACCGGAATAGGAAATCCTGGTGGGGTTCGACTTATATACGCACTGTAGTTATAGTTACCTAGGTACGTATACAATGTTTCATGTATTACTCAGTTAAGCTAAAGGTTCTAATGACTGAAGTATATACGATAACGTTTCAGCCTCTTATAGTCGTTAGAGATCCTGCATCGTAACCATCATTATTGTTATAATTGTTCTTATCGCAGTTAACTAAAACACCTTCCTTTCTTAACAAGGTAATTACTGATGGTATCTCTATGAAGGTTCCATTGAAGAAGGCACTCTGTTTGCTGGTCGAGAGAGATAGCTAGAATAGTTTCATCACGCTTTTTGGCTATGATGGCAGGGTGGAGACAAAATCGCTGATGTGTGCCTGAAATGCTTCAGGTTCGTCGTGTGCTGGATTGTGACCCGATCGTTCAAAGATGACTAGCTTAGCCTTGGGTATGCCTTGCGCAATTTCCTCGCTGAAAGAGAGTGGTGCGATAAGGTCATGACGCCCAACGACCACCAACGTGGGAACCTCAACTTCCCAAAGCCTGGAGCGGACATCGAACCTGGGCATGTTCCGGGAGAAAGCAAAGTTCTGTGTCGCCGCGTGGATGTTTCCTCTCCTGGGTGTATTTTCTTGTTCGGCGTGTGGATCAATATTAGGACTGTTCGGCGCAAATAGAGCTGTCATCTCGGCGACTCCTTCTGCGAAATCCTCGTCATCACGAAGGATCCCTGTCCACATCCGGAATTGGCGTTCTGGATCTACCTTGACTCTTTTGGAAACCAAACATGCCTTCAATGCTTGCATCATTCCTCGCGTCCCCCAGGTCCAGGTGTCACGTAGAACTAGGCCAAGCAACCTGCCCTGATGAACCAAAGCATAATCCAGCGAAATGAAACCACCATACGAGCCACCAGCGAGGACAAACTTCTCAGCACCTGCCCATTTCCTAGTGGCGGGCTTTAGCATTCTCCCAGAAGACTTGAGATATCTTCTTACCTTAATTCTTCAATGTCTGCGATCCATCGTTCATGAGTATAGGGGCCTTTCAGATCGCTAATTCCGCTACCTCTCGCGTCGTAGACAAGGACTCTGAATTTCGATCGCAGGAAGCCGAATGACCCTTCAGGTTCTCTATGCGACGATAATCCCGGTGCTCCGTGATGAGCTATCAAGAGAGGCTTGGTGGAGGAGATCTCCCCATAGAGTTTAACATAAAGACTCGCTCCATCACTCAAGGTGACCCGGTGTTCGGTCATCTCAGTACGTTCCTATTTTCGAACGCGCTGGCCTTTGGGCAAGGAGAAATTGCTGACTTCACTTGACTCAGGCCGCACAATATCAAACCGTCTGCTAGGGCTTCATATATATCTTGGCCCGCGATATGAATGGCGAATAATTATAGTCGTATTTTAGTTAGCTTTGCGAGATACCCTCTATAACTGAGTATCTACAGAGAATATCGTATTAGTAAGCGCAAACGAATACTGAGGATTAAAGCTAACCTTCTTTAGCTAGGTAGGCTTGCGAGATACCTCTCTTCTACAATCAATGTATCTATGGAGTATACCTAATGTCATGAAATGTGAATTATTGTTAGTAAGCTCTGCGCGGAGAAGACTTACCCGAGGGAGTTCTGCCGTGCTCAAATGTCCCAAAGTAATGTCTGCTCAACCCAAGATTTTCTCGGGCCTTTCACTCCAAGTTTCTCTTCCTCGTGCACACTGCTCATCCTCTTTACAACTAGGTAGGGAACGCGCCTGTGCAGATACCCAGAAAGGAAGTTATTGTCATACACATTCCACCGATATCGAAGTGCTAATTTTTGCCCAGGTACTCAATTGCTGAAGCGCACGAGCAGATGGCTGGTAGAGGAGTGCGAATACCACGGCGTTGAAGAAGAAGATGGCCGTGTTGAAGTAGAAGAAATTCCGGAAACCTTCAGGATTGGCTCTCGCCATGGCTCCTCCAGCGTACAGAGCGGTCACCGATGCCAGCGAGACCGAGATCTGAACTGCAGCTCGAGCGTATGGGCGGTACTTTCGTGGAATGATTTCAGACATGTTCGCATGCGTCAATGCTTGTGTTGGTTGACCAAGGCCCGCTATTGTCTGGCCTGCTATAGCCATTCCAATGCCGCTCGATCGAGACAAAATGGTATATCCCGTAAAGCCGAAGACCATTCCCACGACGACAAGGCCTTTACGACCCGAAAAGTCAGCCGCTAAGGCGACAAAAGGACCGAGATTGATAGGTGCGATGATCAAAGCAAGGGTGAGCCAGGTGGAATTGACTTGGTGCACTCAGAGAGGTAGCCATAGTTTCCAATCACACGTGTCATGCAGCACAAGATGGACAAAGGACTGGATGAGGTATTCAGTGCATACGAGAGAGTGAGAAGAGGACGGATCGACCAGGCTTATGCTGAAGCAACCGTTTGGCTGGGAAACACAGAAGGACAGTGGCTGGTTTACCTTCGTGCTGCAGGAATTGGTTCACTTCATGGTAACTGTGGTTCAACGATACAAGGAAGACGTCGCAACCATGCAATTGGAATGAGAAATGACTGGCCAACCGATCTTGGAGCTATGAGACAAAATCGAGGACCAAGCCGAGAATGCGGACACTGGAGATTTTCATGTGGTAGGGAGGTACTCCAGCTCTCATCCCAGGAAACCTGCTTGCATATTCTTGCCCAGGATCACTTCCTATGGACAAGCCAGCAATCCAATCAGGCCTATGATGTATGCCTTGATTATGCAGCAATGCAGACATCAACGATCCTCTCGATCGTAAGCAGGCGGTTGATCGCGGGAGGGCTGTCTATTTAGTTTTGATACACCCTTGTGGATGCCCTCGATCCTAGCGCATTTGTGGGCGCCGGCATATGTTCCTGAGGACCCCTGGTACGAGATACATCATCACTCGGTGTCACACAACAACGTGCTCGGAGATAAAGCAATCATTCGAGTGGCGCATACGGCCACATGGGTGTTCAAGTTCGCCATGGCGCCCGGGCAAGGATTGGTGGCGAGCCTAGTGGGATCTCGACTCGTGAATCTGGCTAAGGCCCTGCCGCTACCGTTTCAGATCTAGGATCTTCCCACCCTTCATGGTGCCTGGAAATTTGAGGACAAATCAGAATACCTGACTTCCACTTGGAAACATGACCACTTCAATTTCGCAAGTACGGCGCAGATGCCCTGGCAGAGCTTGTTTGACAGAGTTGACGTGCGTTGTCATGGTCAGTCCTGGTCGACAACATGGTGGTGCGACAATCTATTCAGTATTGATTCTGCTTATTCGATCGCTTGGATCGAAGCGATATCCACTCGGTACAGTGGCCCGGATGCAATATGTATGTGGCTTAAATTCGCCTCGATCTTGGACATACCGGCATGCAGTAGGCAGAAGAGGGAATGAGACTGATATATAAGTCATCCTTCCCCTCTCCCAAGGTCGGTAGTTCAGTCCTTCAAGTTCCAATCACTCGCTCGCAACCCTCGTCGATCGAGGTTCCATTCGTTTCTTCTCATTCGTCACTTGCACCAGCTCGCCAGCCTCAAGATGTACAAGTCAACTGGGTTGTTGCTCTTCACATTGGCTGCTCTGGCGTGCCCTTCAGCTGCCACTCAAGGTCCCTATGCACAATGTGAATACACCAGAACTGGTCAGAGGGATATGGACTGACGTGTTTAGGTGGTGGCATCGGCTGGACAGGCGGTACAATCTGTCAATCAGGCTGGACCTGCGTGGCACAGAACGCTTACTACTCGCAATGCCTGCAGACAAGCAATACTGCTTCAGCTGGTAGCAGCTCCGCACCAGCGAATACGGCAACCAAGCCTGTGTCAGTCTCGAGCGCACCGGTGAAGCCTACGACCACAGCGTCTGCCGTGGCCAAGCCAGTCTCAACAAGCCCTGCATCCAGTGGTGGCGTTACCTACAAGGCATCCATGACACATTACGGCAGCGGCGACACCTTCGGTTCCCCCAACTGCAACACCAACACTGCCGCCTGCGGTTTCTATACTTACCCTGGCTTCAGTGCCGCTGTCAGTCAGAACGTATTCGGCGTTGGTCCCGGTGCTGGGGCCGGCCCGGCCTGCGGTACTTGCTGGAAACTGGTTGGTGAGACCGACTCTTCCGGCAACAAGCTCAGCAATGCCGGAACCAGCATCGTCGTCATGGTCAACAATCTTTGCCCTGCCAGTGGTAACCCGCTCTGCGCGCAGAACGGCCTATCCGGGACCAATCAGTACGGTGCGAACGTCAACTTCGACCTCTGCAGTGACAGTGGTGCTCAAGCAGCGTTTTTCGGTAACAGTGGTGTTGGCCTTGCTCTCGGTTCGGCCACGCAGGTCGACTGCTCGCAATGGTCCGGTACCGTCGTCCACTGAACGTCGAGCATACGACGTGTATTCGGTGCGATGGTGGCAGGTTTGAGGTGTCTCGGGAGCTTTTCATCATTCTCACATGGCTGGCCGAACCTAGATGGTTCTGCTGGCATTTTTCTGGCCAGGAGTGGACATAATGGATACCAGGCCTTGGTTCTTCCTCCTGTTTGTCGTAGTCACGCTATTTACGAGCTTCCTACTGAAATGAATGATAAACCTTCACTTCAAATTCCAAGTTGGTCGTGCCATGTCTCAAGCGGTAGGGCTCAGGTTACTGTACTGTACTTTTGGCGACGCGTAAGGTAAGCGGGGATGCCATGCAATGCCCAGACGTACAGTTTAAAACAAGCTTAATAACTCTGATCCTTCTTCTCTGCAACTCGTCAACTTCATTTCTGAATCATCCGCAAGGCATCATGAGGAGCATCTAACGCCCGTCGGCGAAATCGTACAGCCTCCGTGACGAACGGGCATGTGCGGGTCACAGCAGTTACAAGACGCCCAATGATGCTTTGCATCCCTTCCTTTCTGCCGCACCATTCGAGCTTGCCAATTCCGGAGCTTGCCTTGGATGCAGGGTCTGTACCAGCTTCTTCTCCGCATTCCCAAGTTGATCGTCGATATATTTACTACCCAGGCAGTTAGTCAGGGGTTTCGGCTGCGCCTCCTTACGCAAGCTCGGCAAGTATTTTCTGCTTCGTGCCAGCCGGACACCCCATTCGCTCGTTTCTTCTGCAGCATCATACTTAGTATCAATCATCGTTACTCTGTAGTTAAATTTCAGATGCGCTGCCGTCACTGCATGACTCCGAAGGTACTAGATGCTGGTCACCAACTGCTACGGTTCCAGCTCGTGGTGCAAGTCCATGAAGACGGCCGCTCAAGCTCTCGCCACCACCCCAGACTTGTTCGCGATGGGAGCCACCCTCTGAAAAGACTTCGTCAATGGTCTCTTGCTCTTTGAAGCTCAACCGTCGATCTCGACGGCTGAAGGGGCTGTGTTGTTGAAGCACGGGAGCGAAGGGTTGGAGTGCATTGTTTACACTGCTTGCCGTTCACTGGAAGGGGATCTTGAAGCTGAAGCTTCCTTCCCAAGGGCCGCGTCGAAGGTCGCTTTCGGGGCTTGCTTTCTTGATCAATTGGCTCCGGAGATCCTGGTTCAGTGATGGCACACGTTCTCCGGCTCAAGGTCAAGCTACTCATAATCCTGGTTCTTGTGGTGGTCAACACGATATTGCTCGCAACAGTCAGGCCGAAACAGGCCCCGTACGACTTGATATCCTTTGTCAAAGCATCGATCTTCTGGCCAAGCAGCTACTCCACAGACGCTCATAACGTTGACTGGGACAAAGTCGTTGTCACTCCCGCACGAGACATCGATGATGTTTCCTGGATCGCCCAAGATCTTCCTCGGTACGTCTTGAACGGCCTAGCCAGTGCTATGCTGACATCAAGCAAGCTGGCAACATGCCATATACTACGTCGATCATCCGAGTAGCGTAGCTCGGGAAGACCATCTACGAACTCCGATCAACAAAGGCAATGAGGCAATGGCATACCTTACCTACATTATCGACCACTACCACAAGCAAATCCCCTCGATTGTGGCATTCCTTCACTCTCACCACAACGGGTTCTGGAAGGCCTGGCATGTCGATGACCCACTACACGACAATGCCAATGCGCTACAGCATTTGCAGCTGGACTATGTCAGACAACAAGGATACGTGAACTTGCGTTGCAACTGGGCGCCAGGGTGCACAAAATTGTCAACACCAAATCCTCACGTCTCGAATCAGACTTGGGAGGAGATCTTCGCAAACACGTCGACGCCGTATTTCGACTCTGATCCATTTAGGCCCGCTGCTTCCTCGAAAGGTGCCAGTGTGCACGATTCGGCGATTGCCAGCAGGATCTGGACAGCATGCTGTGCTCAATTTGCGGTGTCGAGGGAACAGATCTATCGCCGTCCCGTGCAGGACTATGTCAACATACGTGAGTGGCTACTCAATACTGAGCTCGACGATGCCTCGAGTGGGAGGACTCTGGAATACTTGTGGCATGTCATCTTCGGGAAAGAAGCTGTACAGTGAGTGAACCTGGCTTCTGACGTGAAAGCCGTACTGACTCGGCAATTAGCTGTCCAGACCCTCGAGTTTGCTATTGTGAGGTCTACGGTCGCTGTTGAGGACTGATTGAATTATTGGTTGGATAGACTATCGACAGCGTTTCGACTGGTGTCCCGGCTTATTAGTATCGTTACTACTTAAGTACCTAGGGCATAAATTCAAATGTCCCCGAACCAACAAGAGTGGCTCCAAATACTGTATGAGCGGTGGTATGAGAATGCGTTTCCCTACAATGAACCGCGATGTTACTTGTCGTGTGTCGTAAGACTAGCCGCTGTATGGAGGCGGGGTACGGAGTAGGTACCTTTCAACTCGACCCCAATTCGCGCCATACACCACAGCCTTATATTGATCACATGCAGATCATTCGCAACCTGGTATTCAGCCTTAATGTACTGCCCCTTCCTTTTTTCTGATGGAGGGAATCTGCGAAGGCTTTCTCGGCTGAGCCGTGCCAGAACTTTGCGTTGTATTATTTTTGGCGCTATTCATCTGCATCTTGATCGTTTTGCAGAAGAATATCCATTTTATGCTCGACTAAGTATCAATCATGGCCGATCACCCCGAACTGCACGAGACCGGAGTTGCAGCCGACCAGACAGGCAGCAGCGAGCATGAAATTCACCAGCAAGATACTTCCTCAGCGAATCCGCGTTCTGCCTCACCCTCCAGCGGCCTAGAAGGGGCTTACGTCCCAGATCTGGCGAGCCGCACATACAACATGACGCCTGGAAATCTCGAGAACAAGAGCTCTGAGGCTGGATCTCCACGGTCATCTCTGTCGAAACGGTCAGAGGAGTTTTGTCCACTCGATCTACCTCGCACAAATCTGCCGCCCCCCCAATTTGCAGCGGCAGTTCAATCTTCCCTTGATCCACAAGAGGGAACAAAAGATATCACTATTGCGGTCTCGGAAGAAGGAGTCGGGTCAAGAGCTGAGCACCAAACTCGAGACAATGAATCGCAACGACGAAAGGATATTTAATATGTTCCACTACCTGTGCGTGAGAGATTTATTGGTGTACCGGATGATGTTAGAGACGAGGTAGTGGTGAGTCAGTGTCCCTCGAATCGCGTGAAGTGACTGATCCACGAAGCAGGAGCATAAGCAGACACAGAGGCCGACATCGACAATCCGATTACTGACCGGCGAGAAATATTGGGCATTGTCCAGACAAGCTGTACAGGCAATGCCACCGTAAATTTCCACATACTTGCAACCGCCTCCAAGAACTCTCTTCTTCACATGAAGCCCGAGAACCGGGAATCTTATTATCTGAGGCTGCCTCGATACCCCTATAGGGGCTGTAGTCTTCCGGTACTCAGTCGTTCCCGCCAGATCGCCAACTTGTTGTCCGAAAACATTCTGGGATCAAGCTTGATTCCGACCGAGCAGACATTGATAATGGCCAGGATCGTGCGCAGCGTGATCAAGAGCGCCGAGTTCCCCCCGCGCCAATGCCGTCTAGTTCACGAAAACGGGACTACGATTCAGGATACGGTTCTCAGGGAAACCAGCATTTGATCTCCAAGTCGTCGCACACTGCAGCGCATGCTCTATCTGGCATGCCAGAAGGCACTGACGATGTCGAGGAGTATAATGAGGGCGCCAGAAAGGAACGACTGCAACATAGTAGGAGAGGAGACGAGCACAGGCAAAGGAGGCACGCTCGCAGGGACGCTCCGACCTCGAAGCGGTTTCATGGACTTATTCAGGCCCCAGAGCAGGCGTTGAGCATCTAGATATCTCTCTTATGATCTGGGTTTCCACAACCCGGCTAGTTAGATACTAGTAGTAAGATGTTTGAAGGCCGCGAAATAAGGCACGAAGACTCTTCCACTTGTCGAGGCGACAAATGTCGAAGGTCGAGCATATATTGTTAACATTGTTTATTTGGCTATTAGAGACTATCTATACTATTAAAGATATAATGTATCAATAGTTACATAGAAGGTACCTTTACCAGCGGGAGCCTTATACTTCTTATACTAGTAATCTATTAATAATATAAAGAGAATTTATATAATACTTCCACTCTTTTAACCTCTTTTAAGATTTATAATATTCTTATAGAACTTAAAGTATCGCGGACTCTATAAAAACTTATATATAATTCCAATATATATTCTATTTAAAGAGACTAGGAACTTAAAGTTTTCGAGCTAGTAGCTCGAAAAGTAGCTCGAAAAGTAGCTCGAAAAGTAGCTCGAAAACTCCTGGGGGGATCTAGACTATTAGTTACGTCTAATCTAGGCTAGACCCGATTTAGAAGCGGTTTAGAAACGATTTAAGAACTAGTTTATAATCGGGTTTAAATTAAGTTAGCTTTAAGTTACTCGTAGCCTCGATTTATATTACCGACCGAGTCGAATCCGAGCTAGATTCGAGCTAGTACTCTAGATATACGTTATTCCCTAGGCGCTACTAATTATGTTTATCTTTTTTATCTTTAGGCGCCCTATCTCTCTAAATCATTCTCTTTAAGCGTTATACCTAGATATTATACTTATGCATTATCTCTAGATAAGTATTACTTTTAGTTGATAGACGCTATTAATGTTTTTTATTGGGTGCCCTCCTTAGGCATTATAGGCACTATCTTTAGATGCCCTCCCTAGATATCTTCTCTAGGCGACGTCTCTAGGTGTAATACAAGTCCTAATGATATAATACTTAGTACCCTAGCTATACTTATAACGCGAGTATACAAGGTATAAACCTAGCACTCTACCTATAGTGTAAAATAATTCCTTAGGCGCCTAACTCGCCGATAGAGCGTTAATTAAATATTACGATTTATCTCTTTAAGCGATAACGAGATCCCTTTTTTTAGGATATTATATATTGTTATAGTAGAATTACTAGTACTGCTATTAGAAAGTACTATAAAATTCTCTTTAATATAAGTAATATAGTCTTTCCTTTCTAGATTAGGAAATAAAAAAATTCTAGCGTTAAACCTTTAAAAAAAAATAAAAAAAAAAATAAAAAAGATATAAACGAGATTCGAATCCTTATAATTTTTGTAATTTAAGTGTATTAGTATAGTAATAAGAGTACTATCTTAAAAACTAAGAACTCTCTAGAGATAATGATTGATAGTAATATATTATTAGATACTAGTAGGTATCAGCTAATCTAGCAGAGAAAGTCTTAAAAGCTTCGAATATACTTATCGGATCCATTGAAAAAACGATATAAAATACTAGGGGTGGGCAAGGTCGAGCTACTATATCGAGTTATAGTGAAGGGTACTACGGCGAGCCGACTCCGAGTAGGACGCTAAGGTAGTAGTAGTACTTACTAATTTGCGCGACGCAGCTCAGTTGCAATTTGGATTTCTGATCTCTGGCGTTTTCACCTAGAAATGCAGCTCGTAGGTCAAAATATCAGCACCGGCAGTCGCGACGAGACGGAAAGCGCACTTGCCAATTGACGTGGAAGAGTTTAGCTGCCCGCTGCACGGTGGTCTGTGCGTCCGCGAGCCGAATTGAAACGAACCGCGATACAATTTGCGTATAGCACTTCGCTTGTGACCCCGCTTCTCGAGCTGATGCCTTTGGAATTGCGGCAAAGCACTCTTGGAGACGCTGTACCGCTGATATCATACAAAGGGGAGAAAATCAGCTGGGAGGACTCTGGCAGCTTGTCGTGGCAATTTGCTAAAGATTTTGCAGAGACTGTCGGAGGCTGCGCCAGCTACGATCCGATGAAGGTGGGAAGCGGTAACGTCGAGTCACTGTTCTGCCTGGCAGCAGGCTAGAAACGGCTAAGGGGGTGAGACCCGGCCACAACGATATACTGAGTGGATGTCAAAATTGCCTCCAGTAGCCAGGAATTGAGACTCCCAAAGAAGACAATCTGAGATCTTACAGAGAAATGCGGTGAGGCAAGATCTATCAATACTAGTAAGTAAACATGGCTTCTCCAAGGCCATCCTGATGAACAGCGGGAAGATTTTCTAGGCTATGAGCAATGTTCCACGCCGCAGCGCTGCCAGTGCTGTCTGATGGCCCAAGGCTTCCTCAGCGCTGGAACTCTGCCATACCATCCACTTTCTCCTGGTCGACGGTGCCGATTGTCCCCGTAAAACTCTTGTCTTTCACCTTGACTTGACCACCATTTTCCAACGATTGAGAGGTCTCTCTCGACCTCTGAAATATCGAGGCCATCTGCATCAGGTGGTCCTAGTCGCCATGCCACATGATCATCTGGCCTGATGAGGACAGCATCTCGCTCCCCATACCTGGCGCACATGAGGCTCGTTAGGGAGATGAACAGCTTTCAGCGGGATCCCCAACTTGCCAGCCACTGCCTCGAACATTGTCGCATATCGGACGTCAGAAGAGAAGTCAATTAAGCTGTATTGTCTTCCACTCCCGAAGAGATCAAAGATGCTGGTATTTCCATCCTTCAGAAAAACGTGCGGAGCTCTGGCGCTCGGCCAGGTCGACGGGACGTAATGCGTTCTATTCCAGTCAGGTTCCCTGGCGCCCTTTTGATCCGGCACGACCACAGGCGAGCTGTTGTACCGATAGCCCAGCTCGAAGCCGTGATCTTTGTTCTCTCCGTCGAACAATGTCATATGTTTGGCGATCTTTGCTCGAACAATGTCTCCCTCAGGGGTCTTCGAGATAACAGCATCACCTGTCTGGTTAACCAAGTCTTTGTACTCCGTACACGGAATGCACCTGCCAATGGACGCCGGAGTGTTCAATGTTTCGTGCCGCAACAGGCCTACGTTCAAGCTCGTGGGATTCGAGCAGTGATGATCCCCCATATCCGGCAAGAACGGCGGCCAATTCCAACCAATGTCAAAATTGTCACCAAGCGCGGTGTTCATACCATATCCTCCTGTCCTGCCTGTCGTCAGTTGGCTGTACAGACAACGTTGTGTTATCAAACGAGCAAGCAAAAGAGACTTACGGTATGTTCTGATGAGCAGCGTCACCGGAAAGGAACACTCGACCGCTGGCAAAAATGTACTTGTCAGCTAGACAGATGTTCGGCCGCCATGAGCTTGTCACGAGGACTTGGACCGTCCAGGTATCGACCTCGTCCTGTGCAATGATGGCCCAACCACTGGTGAAGAAGATATGCCAAAACTGGCCTTGTCGGTGAATCCGGCTGAGATCTTTCGACTTGAAATGGACGAGGAAAAGCTTCCCTGGACTTTTGACACTGGCGTCAAATGATGTCCGGAGAGAGCCTAAGCGATGCCAACAACTTACACGGGCCCATCGATGAGGATTGCCCTTCGGACGCGGCTTCCACCCCCATCGCACCCAGTCAGCATTGACGATATGCTTCTCCCCCGAGACATCAGTCAATTCGCACTCGACGCCGGCGTCAGACTCAACGAGGCTTTCGAACTTCATGCCGAAGAAGGACTCGACCAAAGGCTCGGCTTGGATCCTTGGTTTCAGCCATGCTTCGAAGATTGCTCGAGAGCACCGTTGGTGGGCATCGAGCCATCGTTGTGTTCTTTTATGTGCTCTCGCCACCGGTTCGGCGACGGCAGATCCTGATTATCACAACTGATCAGTAAAAACCCTATCGTGCAGTAACTTACTGGGTGCATCGCACAGCAAACATACCCATTTCGTGATCTCCTCGCCGCCATCTGACAAGCCGGTACTGAATTTCACATCGAAGGAGTAATGCTGGGGGCACGCCTGACGAAACAGTTTATTGCCGTTAGTCTACAAGTAATAGTAGTACAGAGAGATAGATCCAGGACTTTTGCCAAAGCTGGCAATGTAGCTTTGTCGAGAGGGGAAGGGCTGCAGCAGCAACGTACCAACTTCTCGAAGACCTTGGTCGACTCCCAAGCGCTTGAGCAGTTCCATGCTTCGACAATTGGTGATGTCCATCTTTGGCCATTTCGTCGTGTAAGGACTGGACTTTCGTGATTGACGACCTGTAATCAGAGTTAGATGTGGAGATGAGGGTAGTGAGGATGGTGTTTGTGTAATATTAGTACTTCTAAGTACGTACTATTATGGAATATCTGCTAGTAGTATTCCCAGGTTGGCATTGCCCTGTTGATGTGGCTTTTCCTTTGTACCTGGGTATGTATGGTCTTCTGATCGGTCAGGATGGTGAGCCTGAGGAGACGCTTATTGTCAACCCCAAGCTGAATTGGGCACCCGAGGCACAGTTGGGGTACATAGCCATTTACGGGTATCATCGTTGTTCGAACCTGTAAGCAGTGCTAGCGGGGGTACAGAATTCCCCATGATCGCTCTCCTCCTTCCCCGGTATTGCCGTGCCCGGCGCAGGGGGATTGCTGAATGCTGACAACACCATGGACAGATCAGCCGCCCTTTCGAATGGTTGCATTCTACTCACGGCCATTGTCGGCGTAGCGTCAATGCCGAGATGATTGGCATGTCTAGTATACTAGCATCCGTACCTCTCGATTACTAAAATTCAATGAGCTTTGAGACAATTACGAGAGCATTGAGAGGAGATATGGGGGCATTGGAAGTGGCCGTGCAGGTATCACTTATTACTAGTAGTACTAGTAAACCCCATGAGCAAACATCAGTAATGCAAACGGTGGTCATGCTCGTATGCTAACGCGGTCATCGCATAAGTGGTACGTGGTATTCCGCAAGATCAAACAGACGTTGGGTTTGGTTTTTGCGAGACTGCAAGAGTCGCTAAATGAACGACATCTACGCAGCCACGACCGGCTCAGGCAGTTGCGCCGGCTTGCCCTCCATCACATCTGGCGGCATGGGCAAATCTTTACCAGCGTCCTCGACTCGACCAGTCATGAACGCCAGTGGAATATTTGGTCCCCACACGTGGAGTGTGTCTGGGGCAGCGGGTGCCCTGCCAAAAGGTGTATCTTGATTGACCACATCTCCGTCCGAGTAGTGCTCGACGATGTTTCCCGACCCGTCAAACCAATAGTCAAAGATCTGGCTGCCAAGCACATGCCGTCCAATACCCCAGCAGTTGGTCCAGCCTTTCTCCCGAAGCCAGTCGTGGCCGAGGGTCTGCGTATCAAAGTCGTTGACCTCGTAGCTGGAATGGTGAATGTGGGCGGGTGGGCCATCGGGTCCAGCAGCCATGAACAAGCTCTGCATATTCATGTTAGTCAATTCTCTCTCCAGACCGGGCAATAGTCCTTCTTACATGGTGGTCCGTATACTCGGCGCCTAGATCGATATGGAAAAAGCAAGTCTGGTCTTTGCCAGTGGCAGGGTTGAAGACCGCGTCTGTGGCCTCCAGATTCATCAGACTCGTATAGAAGGACCTCGTGCTCTCGAAGTGGCTCGCCGGCACCACGAAGCCATAGTGCCCGAGCTTGTGGACCGGGCTCGGGGCTTGCTTGAATCTGCGGAAGGCGCCTCTTCTGGGCTTCTCGGCGGCGCCGTTGAAAAGCGGATCCGTCTTCTCGAGCAGTGTTGGTCCATCCTTTTCTCTCAATGTCTGTCCGTGGACGAAGCCGACCTTGTGGCCATGTGGATCTTCCACTGTGACGACTTTGCCGCCGCCTGGCGCAGCGGAGTCCTCGATGGAAGAAGCGCTCGGATGGGATGCAGCCTTTTCCAGCTCCTCGATGCTGTCGACGACCCAGTAACCACCTATGAAGTGCCGTTTGTCGTCCGGTGACTGTTCTGCAACATACACGAATGGCTGGGTGCCGTACCCACGCAGGTAGACTCGCTTGTCAGTACGTTGTGCTTCCACGAAGCCGAAATCGAACAGAAACTTCAGCGCTTTGTCGAGGTCTGGATGCTGATAGACGACATGGGCAAGCCGGACCACTCGGACCTGTTTCGTTTGCATTTTTGTATTGTTTCCAGGAATGGACAGAGGTCGAGGTACGCCGCGAGATTGGGAGTCTCTTCAGATATAGGATGGAAGAGGTACGATGAGGGAGACTGATATCCGTGACGGCCCCGTCAAGTCCCGCGTCAGGCCCTCAAGGACTAACCATGATCAAGCATTCCTTTCTGCGATTCTTGGGGGTCAACATGAGCTGACTGGCCTACCCGGTTTTCTGGGGTCGGGCGAGCACGGTATACCGAGGTAGCACTCTCTCCCCCAGATGTGTCTGACTCAGGCTCCCCAGACTTATTGCGAGCCAATCGTGGAAGTTGCCGGGTGTCTGAACCTCTTCAGCTGACGGTTGCCGATCCAAAGGAGTCGGGATATTTCAAACTCGGTCGGAAGTTGTCAAGCCTCCCCATCTACAGCGATTCTGTTACTTTAGCCAGCATAGATCTGTGTCTTGGTAGCTGCCAAAGAACTCCGAGAAGCCGAGGTCAACTTCGTTACTCGACTCGTAAGCATTAGCATGCAATGGTGGAAATGTCTGAGAGTCGAACATTGGAGCTTGGTAGTTTGACAAGTTGGTTTGACCCGGCAACCCGATGGATGTTGCAAACCCTTGCAGAGGTTGGACTTGTCGTTGCTGGGGTTCCGTTTGACCAGCATAAAGTGTCTCCTCGCCGGTTGTCGATCCGTTCCTGTCTAGTTGGCCATAGTCAGGCTGAAGGAATGCGGGGCTGTTGCCACTCAGTCGAGGTATCCGGAAGAAGACCGCATATCGTTTGACGAGTTGCTTCTCTTCGGGGTTGCGCGGTCCTCCTTGCTCCATCATCTTCGCAATTTCTAGAACAGATCAGCATTGACGTCGTCGTATGCCAACTAAGCTCACCTGAGACGACCGAACCTAGTTTCCACCTTTCAGCGAAGTGCTCTAGCACCAGTTTAGCCAAGTCGTGTGTAGAAGAGATGAGTGACTGTGTTCTGTAGACGCTGCTGTCCACGGCATAGGGTGGAAGCATCATGCAAGCCAAAAAGGGATGCGCCACTACGATATATCGCGTATCCCAGAGACTGATGATCCGTGACAGGTCGATGGCGCGTTGACGTAAGGGTGATATTCCGCTTGCACTCAGGCCTGATATGCTATTATCGTCGCTTTCTCCGGTGACAATGCCGGCCACCATGAATGAGGTTGCCATCAACATGAGATGAGTGCCAATGACCCAATTGCACCTTGCAAAGGACGAGGGGGTGAAGGTCAGTGTGTCGATATCCAACCGAAGCGAAGGGGGAAGCGCCAATTTGAAGCAGCAGACTTCGTTCTCCAAGGTCAGCTTCTCGTCGGGAGACACATCTTGTTTCTGCTGCAGCCGATCGTGGAGTGTTGCCATAAAGCTATTTGCGACCAGAAACCAAGCTCTTTCATCCTGGTTTGCGCTTCCATGCAGTGACCTCCAAGACTGCCCAGGTTGCAAATTCAGCTCGGCAGATGGCACATCAACTTCGGAGAACCAGGCTTCATCAGAGATTGGTAGGGTCACCGACATCCTTTTCCGGTCAATCGCGTAGGGTTTCCGCGAAACAGTGGAGGCAAAAGTATCAAGCTCCCACACCAACCACCAAGCTCGCCTTAGCTCCTCCTTTTCAACGTGGTCAACAGGACTGGCTGGTGTCCAATCATCCTCGTCGATTTCGAAGAGGCCAAGATCGTACGCCATGCGGACGCAGACCCCGATGAGAAGCCAGCCTTGATGAGTCGGCCCGGAAGTGTAGAAGTAGAATGCAAGCAGAATGCAGCCCTGTAGGTACATAAGAGAAGGGGTCTTCAAGGTTCGACCTTGGGTGTAAACATCTTTGGCCCGTTCGGCAAAATCCTGGCCTCGCTTGTTCGGAGGAATATTGCTGAATCTTGGATGGCTCGAGAATCGCGCCGACAATGCAAAGATGCCATAGAATAAGAGACACTCATCCGCCGAGAGACCCTTCATAACATCACCCGCCACCAGGAGCTTACTCTCATAACGTGCTTGAAATCGTGGTCTGTGCAAGATCGGTAGCCATGGTTGCACCTTTTCAAAGAAAGAGTTGACCAGATCAATGGCAACTGAACAGGAGATTCCGTTGTCCAAATCAGAAGCTTCTGAGTGAACCGTATTATTAGCAGTCAAGGACTCGCGATCCGGGCCCCGTATATGAGGGAACTCCAGCCCATCGCCGTCGACATCTTCGTCTTCGTCTTCAACATTTTCTCCAGTGGACTCAGAAGGTTGGCCCTCGTCTTGTTCAGTGGCCGGGCCACTACTGCTGTTTGCTTGAGTATCAGAGGTCCTGATCTCAGCAAGGAGGCCTTTGAGAGAATCTTTGAGCAACGATTGAGGGATCTCTCGTGTGCCATTGGAAACATCGGTTTCTTCGCCGGCCCGAGAAGCTGTCTCAAGGACTTGCACCAATCTGGACAAGCTATCACTAATTTTCCGGGACTGGACCTTCAAATGAGGCTTTCGGAGGACGGGTTTTTTTCGTTTTGATGGAAAACTGCAGGTGTTCCCGGTACGCAAACACAGGCCGCAAACTGGACGTCTCATGTCGCATTTCGTCTTCTTTCGATTACACTCCTGACAAGCCCGGCGCGGCTCCAGCGCGGAATGGGTGTCTTCGGCATCAGCCATTGTCAAGACCCTAGCGGCGTAGCCAGGCTGGAATACACGTGCGATCAGTCATTTGGATTGGTGATACGGAGAAAAAGCTGACACATTGGATGAGAGTGTGGGAGGTGAGGTTGTGTTGGGTTTCAAATGACGCTTCTGCCATTGGCGTGTGGCTGAGCCAGACATTGTGGCTAGTGAGGCTCACTAGGCTGTTCTAGACGTTGTGGCTAGAGTTGTCACGTGAGTGGTGGCACTGGCAAGGTTGGCACTCATCCCGCCTGGCAACCTACGGAGCTACGAACCTTCCCTGCGAGCTGGGTACCTTGGATCCTAGGTAGGTATGAGTGGGAGCACTGTGAAAGGTCCTAGCATGGTCCTACCTTGCGAGCTGGGTATGGCTGTCGTGGCTGGTTCAGGTTGCCGAGGCTGACTAATGTGTGGACTGTACAGCAGACACTCTCGTGCCGCTGAAGATGATGCAGCAAGACACCCTATGACCTACCTATTGGCATCGTAAAGACAATGGATTACTAACCCAGCCTCCCCGCGAAACTCAGTAATACAGGCCATCATGAGGCCAAGGAGGCAGCCTACATCGTAAGGGTCAAATACGCCAGTCACAAGCAAGATCACGAGTACGGCCGTAGTTGAATGCGAGAAAGTTGTAGTATGATTATATGTCTACTGTGTAGACACACGAGGTTCTCAGTGGAAGCCCAGGAGATGGCTTGACAAGATCGAGTTGACCATCTGAAGTGGTCGCTGGGGTAAAGTGGGCGCATGTGGGTTGTACCCCGAACGGCCAAGGAGGCTCTCTGCTAAGCGTCCCCCATCTGCAGGGGGCAAGCGTGGGGCTCACGGTCTGGGCTGAGGACGCCATACATGGACTGAGCGTGGTCGCGTCAGTAATGAGGACCGTGGAGGGCCTTTTCTGGGCTTCAATCACCCCGTATTGCGGCCAGGATGAAGACTGTTCAAGACGGTGCTGATCAAGAGGATATTCCTCTACTACACGGCATGTACAGACGAATCGCATCGTCGTGCGCAACCGAAGCTCAGCACCTCGTTCCCCGTGGGTTCGACGGTGATCGGACCGATTTTCCAGACCTGCTTAGGTCCCGGATTCTTGTCGTCTGGCGCAGGCTAATGGACGGCATCGGATCTGCATTGACCCCCTCCCACTGGCGGTATTCGGTTTCCTTGGTAGTTTTGCCATGTCTGCTAGCAACTCCAAGGACTGGCCAGTGCTGGGCCGTAAGTCTGGGCAAGGCCAGATTGCTCGCTAGGCCCAACACCATGAACGACGTTTGTGATCTTATCGGAAGGGTACTGCCAACTAGTCCAATCAAAACCAATGGGCGTTCCAGGCTTCTCTGTTGGGGCAACTCTGCCCAAGAATGGGTGAACTGTTCAAACTGGTGGTTTCTGGCGCCGTCCAACGATCCGAGGTCATCTGCTCCAACACACTGGCTGCGATGCGAAGAGCGTCTGTGTCGGCGAGCCCTATTCTTGGCCTGACGAGGACAACCCATGCAGCGAGAGGCCTCTCAGCTCATTGAGAGATACGTGCTCGTGTCGTTGGCTCGCCTGAAAAGCAGCTCTCAGGCTTGCATACGACGAGATGTCAGCCTTGATGTCACTCAAAAGCGCGTCTTGCCAGGGTACGACGAGTGAGATTAGTCTAGAGTTCGATTACTTTTCAGCTGGGATTATCCGAGCCTCGATATCTTTTGGAGCGGTATACTCCGCTCACCTCGCTCGCTGTGGCCTTCCCGCCCGTGGGTCAGCAAGGAACCCTGCTCTGTGCGCACATGGCTCCCGAAGACTCGGGTTGACCATGCCATATTTGACTTTGGATAAGCCCGTTGGTGACTTGGGCTAGATAACCGTACCGCCCTCGGTTTCTGATTAGGTCAACCGACCAAAAGATTAGTCGAGATACGGGGCAGGGACTGGTCGTGCGCCACTCACTCCCCCGGGACTCGATTTCCCTCTGCCAAAAACAAATATGATATGGGGCCTTTTTTTCCGTCTGAGAAAGTCCTCTTATGGACTTCCCTACGACCGATTCGCCCTCACCAATTTTAAGATATCATATTCGCCATGATATATGGACGCTTGCAGGTTGAGCCGCCCTCCACGGACGAGGCTCTACCTCCCTATCTCCAACAGGCGGATCTCAACCCCAATAACAGATTCTCACGACTCAATGGGCGGCTCAGCGTCTCAGATAGCTCCATCCAGCAGAAGGCTTTCGACACTGTGCGGTTATGCTTCAGAGGTGAGCCGATATTGTGAGCAACACCGCCAGAATACTTACCCAGGCGCATCACAGGGGTCATTCTCTCGTCCGTAGGCTCCAAGAATGCTGTTGAAGACATCATTACCTTGACCGACATCAAGTCCATCTCAGAATTTGGTCGCAGCGCCCCGACCGAGCCAAATGCAAATGATCGGGCGTGTCATGCCGGCTTCTACTTTGAACTTCCAACCAATGCCCTCACCGGCCAGGGGAAGGTGCGTGCCCTTCCTCTCACGACAAACATCTCTGGCACGACGAGGTTGAATCAGAGCACAACCGTAAACGACAACCGCGCAATTCCCGGTGAATGCGAGGTCTCGTACTGGATCGAAGCACAGTTTCGTTTAAGTGGTCGGCAAGTCGGTTACCTGAGTGAGCAGGTCAAAATCTCGTCCTTATACCCTCGCTTGGTCGCATCCTTGTCCCAGGGTCTGCCGCTCACGTTGGCGGCAAAACCAGATCTGCTCTCACGATGCCGAATGCAGAAAAGTCCGGACCTGTCCGTCACACTGTATGAACCGGATATGCTCATCGAGCGAAGCCGGCAGTCGGCAAAGCGACGCGTGATTCTTCCGATAGCCGTGACCATTGACAGTCAACAACATTCCGCGGGCACCAAGTCAATCGATTCGCGGCAGTCAATCAAATGCACTGCTGCCGTCAAGTGGGAAGTAGATACTCGCTTCTCGGTTGGGTCGGTCCATACCAGTAGCAAGCGGTCGAAGCCAGGTGAGACGGTGCAGAAAACCACGACTGCTTCCACGCAGAAAGAAGCCATTCTCTTTCGGCCTCTTCCATCATACGACGGTCAAGCAGCACTAGGCAGCAGACATGCAAACCCAGCGTCTTATATCGCCACATCGCAGCTCGACCTGGATGTCCCGGATGCAGTCTCTCAGCCGTCCCTGAACTGCTGGGCGCAGCTGTCGAGAACCTATTACCTTGACATTTCGCTGAGCTTTCACGGTCTCCAAGGCGCGCCGAAGTACAGTGTTCATAGTAAGATCCCACTCCTGGTGTCAGCGATCGGACGTAGGCCCGAAGATGTCTTAAAGGAGGATATCACCATCGATGTTGCGGAGATGAGCGACGATGGAGACAGCACGGACAGTGTGGATAGCAACCTGGTTCCAGAAACCGACCAGGCACCATGTGAAGGACAGCGAACGCCCGCCAGAAGAACGACACCGCCGCCGCCGTATTTCCGATGAGGGAAAGCGAGCAATCTTCCCTTCAAAAGACTGACCAGGGACCATCCCACTGCGAAGACACCTGCGGGAGCTCCCTGTTAAAGCTTTTATATTTCGGATCAACTCGCGCTTAACGAATATGGTCCGTCCTACAGTATGTGTGGCCATGCTTTAAAGAGTCCGGAGATTGCGGGGACAGCTTTCATGGGACAAGGTCAGCTTCAAGGTTGATCAGGCGCCCCGTTTCATCCCAACTTAGGCGACCAGGTGTGAGACCAGCAATTCGATGTGAAGCTGACACTTCCACAATCACTTGTGTTGCCGCCGGCAACCCAATTGCCTTGACTAAATTTCGGATCCCAAGTCAGTACCTGTTCAAACACATTCTTCGCCTTTCCTCTCTCCCAGCCGAACTTTTTCGATCCAACCCCCTCCGCGGGACCCCCGAAAAGGAAAAATGTCGCAGAACGACCCCGTTGGCGTCCAGCGCGGCGACTATGGCCGCTATCTCCTGTCGAACATACTGTTCTCGATCGGCCGCGGCCTGACCGGGCCTGCCCAGTACCTGATCATCAGCGCCCACCCTCTGGGCCGGTTCTTTGGCATCCCGCGACCACCGACAGGAGGCTTCATCACCGTCCCCGTCCCCGTCCTGGGGACGCAGACGCAGACGCCGACGCACCACACACTAGTACTAGCTGTTCCACGATACCAAGGACTCGCCGCGCTTATGCCCGGCATCCTCTCGCTCAAGCACATCTTCTGGATCAACTGCCTGTGCCGCGAGAAGGTGACGTTGCCATTCGTCACGTTCGCCGTCCTCTCAGACTTCGTGTACGAAACGATCAGCTCGCTGGTCTTCACCGCCGCATCCAGCAATCCCATGTTCTCCGACCGCTGGTTCAAGATCGGCGCGGCGTGCTTCTTCGCCGGCGCGCTTCTAGAGACTGTCGCGGACGTGCAGCTGGCCCTGTTCAAGTCGAAGCCCGAGAACAAGGGCAAGGTTTGCAAGTCCGGCTGTTGGCGCATCTGTCGGCAGATCAATTACACGGCCAACATACTGTTTGGGTTCGGGTACGGTCTCGCACTGGGAGGGCCTGGTTACTCGGTCGCTACGGCTGGGATGTATATCTCGAATTTCGTGCTCAATGCTGGGCCCGGAAAGGAGAAGTACTGCCGGGAGAAGTACGGGAAGCAGTGGGAGGATTATGAACGAGAGGTGCCGTATGTGCTATTCCCTGGGATTTATTAGACTGCCTACCAGTCCCGAGTAGTTCCTGGTAGTACTGTATGACGGCTGGTAGGGATATTCATATACATAGGATGATCAGCCTATTATGAACCATCAAGATCTACTAGTATTAGGCGAAGAACGACAGCGGTGCCACACCGAGGCAGTCTTCACAGGGCGTGCTAACCCCGTTGGACAGGGCTGGGTAGCTGTCCGGACGGCTTCAAATCTGGCGCTTAAAGTTCTTGTCTTCTCTTGTCTTGTCTTGATCAATCGATTGGGTTCCATCGTTCGTATATGATGGTAGCCCCACTGATGTTGAGCGTGGAGTCATACATGTCATGGACGGATTATCAACAACAGCCAGTGCAACCGCACCATTCGCCGCATTCGGCGCTATCATTAAACAGTGAAACTCAACACGTTTAGAGCTGAAAAAGTCCATGTTGGAGAGCTAGCTGAGCAGAGCAGCATTCTATAGTGGTGGTGAGGTTGAATGGAGTGAGTGCTGCATGCAATTCTTCTTTATGCGGTCGTTGCCGTGTTCTGTTCCGCTTAGCGATCGAGCGCCTGCTCTTGACACTGCACAGATGATTGTTAGTTTTCCCCTACTATACCACAAAGAGGAATATACGACGATCAAGCTACTTACCATCTGCCAATAAGCGCCTCTCCGCCTCAACAAGTCATGATGCGTGCCTTGTTCCACAATTCTCGAGCCGCTGCCGACTTCACTCTCGCCAAAGACGAAGATAACGTCTGCCTTCTGGATGGTTGCCAGGCGGTGTGCCACCGCAATCACGGTCATGCTGCGTTGGCCGACGAGTTTCTCGATGGCCGCCTGCACCAGTTTCTCGGACTGCGAGTCCAGACTTGAGGTCGCCTCGTCGAGAAGGAGTAGCATAGGTTCGCGAAGGAGAGCCCGGGCGAGGCAGAGCCGCTGCTTCTGTCCTCCGCTGAGTGACGTTTGAGTGTTGATTCCCAGTGGTGTGGCGTAGCCGTCAGGCAATGAGACGATGAAGTCGTGGATCTCGGCGTCTTTGCAGGCTTGTACGATCCTCTCCTCGCTGGCGTCGTCCAACCCGAGGACGAGGTTTTCTCGAATGGTGCCATCGAACAGTTTTGGTTCTTGGGCGACAAGAGAAAGGGCCCGGCGGTAAGAGGTTAATTCAATGCCTTTGACGTCTTGGTCATTGAATGTTATGGTTCCAGATAAGGGCTCGTAGAACCTCTCGAGCAGCGAGATCACCGTCGTCTTCCCACAACCTGATGGCCCTACGAACGCCACGAATTGACCGCTTTGAATCGATATGTTGAGGTTTCGGTATATCGGGGTGTCTCGTGTCGGATACTGGAAGGTCACCGCCTTGAGTTCAATCTTGGCTCCAGTGTGGGCATTGGAGTGAGGCAAGGGCTGCCCTCGACTAACCACCTTTTCCCTCTGGGCGACTTCATGCCGGATACCAAGAATGCGGTTCGCTGCTGCGGTAGCATTGGCAATATCGGGAGCAAAGCTGAAAAACTGTCCGGCACCTTGCGCGCCCTGAACAACGGCGATGTAGATGACGAAGAACTGGACAGGATTGTACTCGCGAGAAGCGAGGAGTTGTCCTCCGTACCTGCCAAGACAGTGTCAGTAGTTGGATGATGCAGCGGAGGGAGCGGAGAGAGTCACAGACCAGAAGGTCAAGGCCATGGCACAAAGCTCTATGCTATCCGAAAGAGCGAATACAAGCGAGGCATACGTCGCTTTCAGAGCCGACTTTCGAATCTGATCCCGCAGGAGATCGGAGTACTTGTTGATGATCGTGTCCTCCATGGTCAGGGATGTCACTGTTCGAAACGCCCCGATAGCCTCGTTCGCGAATTGCGAACTGTGGGAGAAGACCTCAGAATTCCATTTTTCGAATTGCAGATCGAAGCGGATCCGGACCACGGCGGCGACCAAGATGACGGGCATGGCCGAAAAGAAGGCGACCAGTGTCAATTTCCAGCCAAACGAAAAGGCTATTGCAATGCAACCAGTGATGTTGAAAAATGCAATCAGCGGAAAGACACCATTCAAGCCCAGCAATTCCTGAATCACTTTCGGATCGGTCGACAACCGACCCATCAGCGACCCGGACGCGTTGCCCTCACGGTCAAAAAACGGTATCGGGTTCCGTAGTATATTCTGGAAGTACTCAAGTCGGTAGGTGGTCGATACGTGCTTGGTAACGTCAGACACCATCTCCTAATTCGTGGTATGGATTGACTTACCACAGAAAGATGATTCGAGGTAAAGCCCAGGACAAAGTAGCAGACAGCAACACCCAGGGCAAGGATGAAAAACATCAGCGACCAGAAGTCACCTTGACTCTTCAGTTTTGCTCCAGTGAAACGGAAGACTTCGATCAGTTTGGCAAATATCCAGCTTTGCAATGAAAAGGCAGCTGTGTTCACACAATTAGCACTGTGACCTACTGACGTGAAATCGACGACTACCCACACCCTGCTCCCATTGCTCCAGCAACGGTCAAGACGTAGAGTTTCCAATGTTCCCGTTGTTCGAACAGGAATCGCCCTAAAGAGCCGAAGAATCCTGTGGGCTTGTATGCGATGGTCACTTCTTCTGGCTTCTGCTTCGTAGAGCCGCTGGTCTCTTTTCGTTCGATAGCACCCCAAGATCCGTCATCACTATCAACCGACTTAGGCACTGACTCGGCCTCCAGCTGCTGCGCGCGCACAAGACTCGCGTACAGGCCGTCAGGTATTTTTTGCAGCTGCTCGTGCGTGCCTTCTTCGATTTTTCGTCCATGGCGTATGACGACAATGTTGTCGGCCTTCCGGATTGTCGAAAGCCTATGTGCGATTACAACTGTCGTTCGATTCTGGGAGACGCGTTCAAGAGCCTGCTGCACTATTCTTTCCCCTCGAACATCAATTGAACTGGTCGCTTCATCGAGGATCAAAATGGCAGGTTCTCGGATGATGCTGCGGGCAATTGCCAGACGTTGTCTTTGACCGCCGCTCAACTTGATGCCACTCTCACCAACTTGTGTGAGGTACCCCTGTCAGCATCAGCAAACTGCACGTTCTGTTGGGTGACAGCCCTACGTCAGGAAGTTGATTAATGAACTCGTCCGCGAATGCTTCTTTGCAAGCTTTCTCCACCCGTTGCCTTTTGAGCACGTCACTCTCATTTTCCCATTGGGTTCCGAGCAACCCGAATGACACATTGTTCAGAATTGTGTCGCTGAAGAGAAATGGTTCCTGTTGAACAAGGCCTATCTGCGACCTCCACCACTTCAAATTGATGTCTCTGATGTTGTGGCCCCCGATCGAGATTGTGCCTCCAACTAGACTGGGTAGTTTCTCTTCCTTGTCAGCATCTTCGCCCTCGGAAGCACTGTTGCGATCTTGGCCGTGCTCATTCGCATGTTCGTCGTCACCCAAGTGAGCCTTCCGCGGCTCGAGCTCATACCATCGCTCCAGCAAAGCAACGATGCTACTCTTCCCGGCGCCTGATGGACCGACCAAAGCGGTTGTCTTACCTTTGTGGAAAGTGGCATCAAATCCTCTCAAAACTGGAACATGCGGTCGCGAGGGGTAAGCGAAGGAAACATCGCGCAGCTCGATGTCCTCGTGAGATGATACGTCCGACTCGTCCATGCCTTCGTACGAGATTTTCTGAGAATCGATCATTGAGAAGAATTCAGTCGAGCAGCTGATCGCCTTTGTGATAGCCATAATGGGCGCTACCATGGCACCCAAGACCCCGACGACGATGAGGACTGAAAAGAAGACACTGGTATTGCCATCAGCGAGAGGGGTGGAGGTGTATAGAATGGATTACAGACGTTATGACCGTGCTGATGCTGTGGATGTGGCCTTCGCGGAAGAGCTTCAATCCGAACCAAAAGGCTAGAGCAAAAGCAGAGTACATGGAGAACCATATGGGCGACAGCTGGATGCCCATTAGCAGAGACAAACCCAGCCCCTGTTTGTGGACATCGTTGACAGAGGAGACGTATTTTTTTGTCAAGGCAGGTTCTGCACCTAGGGAGAAGACCGCTCGAATAGAGCCAAAGATTTCTCCTGCTTTCGAAGCAGCTCTCTCATTTCCCTTTTCCACCTGCTGTAGCTTCTTGAGGACGATGGGTGTGGTTATGGAGTACACGAGCAGGACGAAAAGTAGTGACGAGCCTGTCACCAGTGTCATGGCCCACGAATAACGGAAGGCAATGGCAAAGGCCGCAATGGTCAGGGCGAGGGCCATGAACAGGGAGTGGAGCTTGTCCGAAATGCTCATCTGGATGGTGTTGGCCGATGTCGTGATGGTATTAGTGACCGTGCCCGCCGAAACCTCGTCCAACCTCTTGATCGGCTGGGCAAAGAGTGATTTGATATAAGCAAGTCTCAAGTTCGCCGAGATCCGAAGTCCAGTCGTCCGAAAGCAGAACTGACACAGTTAGTCCTCCGCCTGCGCCGTTTGGGCCACCTCGTCGATTATGTGACTAACCATCGCGACATAGGTCAAGACGAATTTGCCTATGAATAGGTAGAGAATGTACAGGCTGTAGGCAATTAGCATGCCACATGCCTAAGAGGTGATGGGGAATGTACGCATTATTGGCCACGGAGGATTTGAACTCCGCCTTGGTCACATTGCTGCCGGGAATGAAGTAGCCATTGAAATTCCCAACCAAGTGGCCGAAGACAATGTTCATCAGCGGTAGAGCCTGTGAGAACGTTAAGCGACTGGTTCGGATTGGACTCATCGACTTACGGTGCCTGAGCCGACGGAGCAGACGAATGCAACGAGAAGCGCAATACTATCTCTTCTCGTTCGGTGCGAGAGGATTCTCTGCTGAGCATTAGCATGCTGCCTGACATGGAAAGGGTCTTACGCGCCCAGTAGTTGACAAAATGTGCCTTCTCGCTTTTTGAGTTGTCCTTGTCCTTGATGGTGATGGCTGTTCCTTGCGCTATTTCACTGGTCGCCGTTTTTGGTTCGGTCGACGGCGCTTGTTCCCCTGCAGCTGCCATGTTGGATAGCTAATGTTGAATGGGCGGCATGAGTCCGTAGCAGTCATTTCTTCGATGACAATGTCATGATTGAACCACAAGGTGTGAGCAGTGGCCGCGACGCCGTCGTAGCCCAGATAAATACTATTTTTTTTTGGCCAACAATTACCCACCGATGAAACACGGCCGCCTGGATTGATCTCTGTCCCGGATTGTTGACGAAATTTAGCCTAGCGAGCACCTTGCCCAAAAAGCGAACAAATACGGATACGACGGTGTCCAGGTCCGCACTGGTTGTGGTTATGTGGGAGACTGGAACACATCAGGAGTTTAGAGAGATTAATGACTTACCTAAGTAATACCCCGTCCGCTGTTGCCTAATCATGCCATCTGCCAGCTCGTATGCAACTCGTATGCAGCTCCATTGGCGACCTTTAGCCGACACTGCACCACAGCCCACGACTTCCCGAGTCTCCAATAATAAATACTGGAATTGGACTACGACGCGAGCCAACTAAATTGGAACCCCAATTGCCCGTCGGAAAATGCCCTCAGTATAGACCGTTCTAGTGATCGATCTCCGGATTGAAGTGCACGTCTAACGTTCTTGTTGTATGGAGCCGTCGTTGATCATGAGCTTTCCATGAAGCCAAGGCTTCGGCGACAGTCCTCCTGGGAGACGGTGACTTTGGTCAGGAACCCCAAAAGCCAGCAAGTTCTTCCGAAGCGGTTCATCAGCTGGTATAGATGACGATCACAGAGCCAAAATGAGATACGTAGGGCATCCTCTCTCGTCGGGATTGGTATTGACGTGTGGGAAATCACGCCTGGTCGGTTGCGAGCTTACGCAGATCCTCACATTCTCCGAGTCCTCGAGTTGGTGACAGTTCCCCAGGCCGACGCTGTCTTCTTGGACACGAAACAGGTGTTCGGATCATGAATGGTTGATGTCGATAGAAAGGCAATCTGCCTGGGACGGGCAGCCTTCATATTGAATAAAGCCTTGCACACTCGGACAGCGGATAGTCGGCCATTATCCAATCCGCATCACAGCTCAATAATAGGATCATTTTGATATATGCGATCCTGCGAGATACCGTCGAGACACCAAGATCCTTGTCGACAGGACGAATTGTTCAAATAAGCAAAGAGAGGCATTTACGATAGCTCCTCGTTGAATGAGAGATCTTCAGGCACGCTTCTCGCTCATGCCAAACCAGTACGGGTGTGCAGGAGTGAACTCTCCATTCGGGACGGTAGGAGTGCAGGGCTATAAAGGCCAAAAAATGCAGGAAATAGAAATTGAAGTAGTAGTAGGCGACGAGAGATCAGTCGACGATATCGCTCTGTCCTGCCACGAAGCTCAGCAAAGGTCGGTCACCTCATGCCGCTCAACGATTCTCAAGAAGTGGTTCGATTCATCTCAAACATGTAAATCTCATACCTGCCCGAATCAGAAGTCGCACCCTCTCTGCGGCTTTGTTATCAGGGAATGCGAAACCGAAGCTCGAGAAGGAGTCGCGCTGGGGTTGAGTCCGGGGTTGGAAGACTTTGCTTGGAAGGTACAAGGGGAATTTTGTTGAAATGAAAGTCGGATCCGATACATCGTGAACCAACAAGTGCCCATCGAATCTCATCAGTCCCATCAACCAGCCCATGCAACAACGCCCAAGCCAGTACGAGAAGCTGATAGTTCGTGTCGTAGGGCAAGGTGGTCCGAGGTACCGGAGACACGGAAGACAATGACAGGGCCAGGGCCAGGCCGACGATATCAGCTGCGAGTCTTGCAGATCATTAGGTGGCAGCAATCCGTATCATCCTCACCTCGCGGTCATATCTCATTGATTGACGCATACAGCCCTCGGCTTGGTAAGCCACAAAGGATGCAAAAGTGCCACATGCTGGACTTGGCACAATATGGCATGTAATATCGGCACCTGTTTGGTGGGTTTCACCATCGAATCGGGCAGTCTCAACATGACGAAATCAGCATAGTAGTAGATTCATGATCATGCATGGGTCTCAGACATAGCTTTGCGGTGAATATCGAAGCGACGGTGCTAGGGGCATTCCATGCCAGCTCATGCAAGTCAGATTTGTGAGGGCAAGTGCATATACACGCAGCTATGATCGCTGCCTTCTTTTGACATCGGTTGGAATATTCCATCCGGCAATCTCACGCTGGCAGGCCCAGATGATCCCGTAGTATATCTCCCGAATGCGGGTTTGGTTTCCAGCTCTTCAAGATGTGTCCTTTCGAATCATCGTGCCCAGGCTCGGGGCGCAGTCGACGCCATTGGAGCCCTTCTGGAAGGCCTTTCGTCCGGCTTGTCGAGCGGGCAACTGGTGCTTGATGGCGATGGGTGTTGGGACCATTATTCTCTGCAACGCGCGCTCCAAGACCAAGGCTTGCGAATCCAGCCCCTAGACCCCAGACCGCATGAAGGGGTATCCGAGAAGTCTGATGGCCAGGTCCAGCCTTGGATACGGCGCTAGTGGGGACTTCATTGAAAGAAGAACCGGGGAAGCAAATGAGAATCTGTGTGCCTGTGTACGGAGGACTGTGGTAGATGCGTCCGTCCGCGATCTGCGAGCGACAAGGCGGAGGCTCGATTGTCTTGGCGCCGCTCGTGCCGAGGTACCAAGGGCTTGGCACCAAGCGTCTCAAATACCAGCCATGGAGGTTCTTCCTCTTCTCCCTCTTCCACTCTTCCTACCTAGTATTCTCCCCTTTCTTGTCCCTTCTCGAGGCTGTCATCTCTCACGCAAAGGCCCATTTTGGTTCGTACTCCGGGCGCGGCTGAGCATGGTGCATGAAGCCAAGATTGTAACCTCCTCAATGTGACAAGTCTCCGCCTGTCCGTCAACGTGATGGATGTCTACCCGTGCCATTTCAGCCAATGAAGGCTTGTGAACCATTGTCCGGCCCTTGAACCTGCTCGAACTGGTACCTCTCGCCATATATCGCACGTTTCATGCCGTGTGTTTAGGTTTCCCCCCCCGAAGGACGGTCTTCCATGCTACATTCACGCACAAGACCTGACCTGCTAGAAGAGGGCTCATCTGTGCCAAGTTCAGCCACGATCCTCGGCACCACCTGATGGCATTTCTCGCTATCAGGGACGCCTGTTCTCTGCATCGCATGTTTGTTATCGGATTTGTACTGCGGTATGCCTGGGCGCAACGTTGGGCTTCGATAATACCACAGGTAAGTCCACTTAATCTCCCTATCAAGCCTGGTTTCCTTCCGTCCGGCACAGGAAGAGCTGATTGTTGGCAATCCCTTCCCTGTAATTGTTGGGAATTGGCACCATGCATGGGCCTGGCGAAATCAGACTCGCTTGGTCGGTGGACCTGGGGACAAGGGACTGGAGACTCGTGGAGGTGGCCAATGTTGCACGGGGAAGTGGGCTATTGTGCACCAGAAGCCATCTGTGTATCCTCAGCAGGTGTGAGTATCATGGTGCTCAGCACAGAGATCTATATATTACCTGTTCTGACCCGGAATCCTGTCCAACGTCCTATTCCCTTCAGCTTACCTCCACTTTTCTCCTGTCATCTCGACGAGAATCTGTTTTCCGTCTACCCTAGTGCCCTTGTCGCTTCTCTTTACATTACTAGCCATGGCTATCTCAGGTGTCGAAGTCCCTGTCGAGCCTCTCCGTACCAAGGAAGATGTCGAGACTGTGGAAACGGCCTCAAATAGCTCGCAGGAAGCCGGCGGCTTCGACAAGAAGGCCACCAAAAGGCTGATCAGGAAGTTGGACTGGACTCTCCTACCATTCCTGGCACTCCTGTATCTTCTTTCTTTCCTTGATCGTACGAACATCGGCAATGCTCGTCTTGCCGGCCTGGAAGAGGACCTTGGCATGTCAGGCTTGGACTACAATGTTGGTTTCCCGCCGCAACTACCCACGGGGATGAGTGGTTTCTAATCCAACGATAGGTTGCACTTGCGGTCTTCTTCCCCTTCTACGTCGCCGCCGAAATACCATCCAACCTAATGATGAAACGGACACGTCCTTCGATCTGGATCCCAACCATCATGGTCGCCTGGGGGGTATGCTGTACTCTTATGGGTCTTGTCTCGAACTACGCTGGACTGCTCGCCGCTCGTGCTGCGCTGGGTATCGCAGAGGGTGGACTGTTTCCGGGAGTGACGTTCTACATCACAATGTAAGTCTCCCAACACCTGAACAATCCCAACATGGAGGACCAGGCTGATGAGGTGAATGATAGGTGGTACCGACGACATGAGTGCGGTCTCAGAATGGTTAGTGACATCCAACAACCGTTGATGTGGTTCAAGGCCAGCGCCTCTAACATATGGACAGGCAATCTTTTTCTCCGCCGCCACAGCTGCTGGTGCCTTCGGTGGCCTCCTTGCTCGTGGTATTATTGAGATGGACGGAATCGGTGGCAAATCAGGCTGGGCTTGGATCTTCATCCTCGAAGGCTTGATGACCCTGGCCATTGGTATGTTGCGATCATCTTATATGAATCAGGCTTACTGATTTGATTCTTCAGCCGGCGTTGCCTTCCTTGTCATGAACGACTACCCATCTACCGCCAAATTCCTCACTCCTGCGGAGAGAGAGGAGGTCACTCGGCGTCTCGAGCATGACCGAAGCTCCCTCGCCGATGAATATCACATGAAGTATTTCTGGCATGCGGTCAAGGACTGGAAGATCTGGGTCCACATGTTCATCACCATCGGGTACAAGAAGCCTTTACCCTACCCTCGCGCACCGATTTTCTAACCATACGCTAGCATCTACACTCCGCTATACTCGATCTCGCTCTTCCTGCCCACCATCGTCAAGACACTCGGATATACCAACGAGAAGGCCCAACTCATGACCGTGCCGCCCTACATCGTCGCCTGCTTCTGTTGTATCACTGGGGGCTTCGCCGCAGACAGACTCAAGACCCGGGGCGTCTTCATGATCGGCTTCAACTGCGTCGCGCTGATTGGGCTGGTCATGCTCATCGCCTCACAAAACCCCCACGTCAAGTACACCGGCTGCTTCTTCTTCGCGGCAGGAATCTACCCAAACGTTCCCCAAGGTGTTGCATGGAACGGCAACAACATCGGCGGCTCAGTCAAACGTGGTGTCGGCATAGCCATGCACGTCGGGTTCGGTAAGTCTCATTCTTCTTTCTTGCTTTTGTTTTGCTTCTCTCCACTTGACTTGGCTTTGCCACGCTTCCCTTCGCATCTTGACGGCACCAGTCACGTCGCTGACCATGTTCTGTTTATGTAGGTAACCTCGGCGGCGCCATCTCCGGATTCATCTACCTGTCCAAGGACTCTCCTAAATTCACCCAGGGCCACGCCATCCTGATCGGCATGATCACCATGAGCACCTGCCTGAGCATCTTCATGACGGTGTATCTGCGTCGCGAGAATGCCCGCCGGGACCGCGAGTACAAGAACCCCGTCGACTACACGGCCCGGGACAAGGCCGCGGAGAGGGAGAAGGGCGACAATGCGACATTCTTCCGCTATACAATCTGAGGGTATATGGATATATACCATACTGGTAGACGATTTGAGAGTATGGACATTTACCATGGCTGGTAGGACGTCATTTACGCGGACGTCTGACGAGGACGACCATTGCATGAAGGAACACGAAAGGATGCTGGGATAATCTGTGTGTTGACCGAAAAGAGGCATGATACATGATCTTGAATTTGACGATGGCTCTTGAATGGCTTGGAGTGTGAATGTCTATGGAAGACTCAAAGACAAAGATTCATAGAACGTTGTAACCTAGAGTGCGAGCCACGATGGGGCCACGTAGGTAGGCACGTTGTGAGGATAGTCCAATGCAACCCTAGTATACTCAATCCATCGCTGTCGATCGATGTGGACTTCTGCTCCGGACCCTTTCAATTCCCGTGACGGGCAACTGGAGACCACCATTCCCCGTACTTTCCTCCAACTTGGTCTCGTCGACCATTTCCGTACTGTTCCGCGCCGAGTGAGAGTCACAGTCAGCAAAGCTCTCCATCTCCATGTGCATACCTTCCTCCTCGTCGCGCCGGCCAAGGCCATTCGGCTGCCCAGCCAGCCCAGCAAGAGGCCGAGGCTGAAGCTTGTTGTCGTCCTCGTGCTGGTGCAGCTTCATATTGACAAACATGGCATACAGGCCGAAATCGTACGCCAGCCGACACACGCCCGCGACGACAAAGGCGATCCAGAAGTGTTTGTCCGCGGCCAAGGCGCCCGTCACCGTCGGTCCCGCCATGGCGGCCAGCGTCCTTATCATGGCCGTGATGCCCATGACGGCCGTCCTCTCTTCGGGTTTCACCACGGCGGCGATGAACGCCGACCGAGGCGCTTGGTCCATGTTATTCAAACCGGCCCTGACCAGCAAAAGCCCCGCGGTGAGCCAAAAGGCCGGCGGGAACGGGAACAACAAGACAGCCGCCGACGACGGCACATGACTGAAAACCATGGTGTTGATCAACCCGATCTTGCGCGCGAGCGGGCCTGCAAAGACCGCGCCCACAGCGCCCAGAAAGTAGCTCACCGACGTGACATCGCCCAGCGCCGACTTGGCCGGGTGGAACTTGATGTCCAAGTAGTAGTTGGTCAGCGAGTACGGCACCATGCCGTCGGCCAGCGAGTCGATCGTCAGCAGGAACCATAGCTTGTACATGACCGCCCTGGTCGGCGCCGAGATCTGAGCCAGCCGGTGCGCGAACCACGATCCAATCCTTGCCGGCCAGCTACTAGCAGCAGGTGCGGATCGAGCTGCTGCTGTGGACTCGATGTCGGGAACGGCAATGGGAACGCGAACGCCAACCTGACCGTCGTGTCGTTGTCGCTGCTGCTGCTCCTCCATTGCCTCGACATTTGGTCCCTCGTCTTGCGCAAGCTCCACGTACGTGTCCGCCGCCGTGGTCTGCAGCTCGCAGTCCTCCGTCAGCGGCAGGACCAAGACCGCATTGACCAGACCCATGGCCGTGTAGACCCAGAACAAGGCGTGATAGGCATCAACCGACGTCCACCCGTCACGTCCTTCCAGGAAATGGATTATCCTGCCCGATACTTCGCTGCCGATGCTGGATCCAAGCGTCGAGGTGGTGACGTACCACGCCAGGACATCGGCCCTCGAGGAAGGTGTCGTCAGTTGCGAGAGCATGGATCTATATGGCGCCGTAAGCAGATCCCCGGTTCACGCGTAGGTAGTGATACCTAGCCAAAGTGACCCCTTCTGGGGCCCTCTGGGTCTGGTAGAGTACTCACTCCTCGATACTCCGAAACGGCCCAAAATCGCTCCCTGTCACACTGACCACTCCCAATATCGCGGCCAGCAATAGGATCCAAAAATTCTCGAATATCGCAAAGATGAAGCCCGTCAACACCATGAGAAGCGAGCCTCCCATCAACACCTTGCGCCGACCCACGCGGTCGGCGACCAGCGTGAGAAAGGTACCTAGCAAGACATCGCCCAGCAGCGTCAGGGTCATGAACAGCCCGATCTGGTGGTCCGTGTATTTCAGCGCCGAGAAAAAGATCGCTATCACACATCATCATTGTTAATACCAGGGACTAACCTGGTGACTTCGACGGTGGGGGAAGTCGGAGTCAAGAGGACGACATACCGAGGATCAGCGAATTCGTGCCATAGGCAAACATGCGGCAAGTCCTTGCCAAGATGATGAAGTAGGCATTTCGACCAGTCTCATGGATCGAGACGATTCCGAATTCATGATAAAACCATTTAATCGGCCGCAGGATCGTCGACATGGTCTGGGTAGACCGACTTGGCAGATAATCGAGGAGGAAAGAGTCATATCGCAGGTCTGTAGCATTTTGTGAGGTGGCACTGTGGAAATCGTCAAGATCCAACTGGGGAAAGGCCGACGATCTCGGACACTCACCGGGCGTGGAATCGGCGGCAACTCCGGGCACTCTGGTTACAGTACAGTAGTTAAGTAGCGGTCAGCCTGTGGAGAGCGGTCAAAGCTGGCGGATGGGATACTTGAAAACGTTCATGGGTATAGTATATTATATACTTGATTCATCGAGGTAACGCCGCATCTCAGCCAGGCTTGACTCTGTCAGCAACCTCGGCGAGTTGGCTCGGATTTGTGTCCACGCCGCCATCCATCAGTAAATATACATGAACTCGTCGTTCTTGCGATCGGTCAAATCCAGGAATGCCTTGTCACCCAATCTCCGCCCGCCATCTGCCTCGTCCATAGCAACATACTTGTCCTCCATCGAATGATCCTTGATATTGGCAGGCTTTCCATTCTTCACCCGCTTCCGGGCATGCAATTTGTTCAGGAACATCAGATTGCCCAACTGGATAATGACGACGGCGAAAAGAGTGACGAAAATCGCCAGCGTGCTGCGCAGACCGGGATGGTATGCTGGGGCGTCTTTCTTGTTGAACAACAACGGACCGATGATGTTGCCTGAAGATGAGCCAGCGTTGTAAAGCGACATGATGACGGATTTCTTGGTGCTGCCGCCGGTGTTGCCAACGATCCATGAAACGATCAGAGGATTCCCGCCAAAGAGAAACGCGAGTAGATAGTAGGCAACGAGCAGGCCTGCCGTTGCACTCGAGGTGCGAGGCAAACAGTAAAGAACTGCAAGACCAGCGATGACCGGAAGCATCAGCGAAGCAAGGATGGCAGATTTGAGCTTGGCTTTTTGTGCGGCATACGAGGCCAAGAGAATGACGATGAATTGCATGGCTCCGAACGGCATGTTGAGTAGAGACGTCTTATATTTGTCGAAGCCGACGCCCGAGAGGATCAGGGGACCGAATGTATTGGTCACGCTCGCACCGACGTTGAGGAGGAGTGACATTCCAATCCAGAGATAGGTCTTGGGTTCAAGAGCAAGTTCGAGAATGTGAGACCATTTGTATTCTCGGTTGCCAGTGCCCGTCTGATTAGCCCGTAGGCGTTCGATGGCTTGTGCCTTCTCGTGCTCCGTCAAGAACCGGGCAGAGGGGATGTCGTTGTCGAGGAACCACCAAGCAAACGGTGCGGAGATGATGGTGATGAGGCCGACAAAGAGGAAAATGATTTGCCATTCTGCCAGTACGTCGGATTTGATTTTTCCCAAGCCGTAAGAGAGTGCTGCCGCCGCGATCGTGGCGATACCATTTGTACCATACCAAGCTGCGACTCGAATGGGTTGCTCAGCTCGGCGATACCACTGACTGGTGATGACGCTGAACAATGGCAGACAGCCGCCCTCGAAGAGGCCAAGGAAGAATCGTGCAGCCATCAATGAGCTGAAACTGTGACACGCGGCCATTGAAGCCTGGGCGATGCCCCATCCGAGGCAAAGAGTCGGCATCAAGATCCGGTGCGGGACTTTGACGATCAGGAAGGAGGAGAACGGTTGCCAGGCGAGTTGTGCGATGGGAGCAATAGATCCCACCAGTGAGTACTGGTTCCCTGTGAGATGGGTGTCTTTCTGCAGGCCGAAGAGGGCGCCGTAGCCGAGCACAGATTTGTCGAGGATTTGAAGGAAATAAATCCAGACGAGGACGACAAGTATCACACGGTCGGTTTTTCTTCTGATTCGTTTGTTCTGGAGGTAATATTAGTAACAAGAGCCTCGTCTTGATAGACATTGGATATTGGATATTGAACTCACGTCTTCTTCAGTGAGGTCGACTCGATCAGTTCCGACAATCGAAAGAGCTCGGTCGCCATGTTTCTTGTCCACGATCTCTATAATTGGACGACCGGTTTCGACATCTTCGTCGTGGGCCATCGGCGTTCTCTTATCGTCCAAAGTGGCCATGGCAAATCAAAATGATATCGTCTCAAGCTTGCTGGTTTCTTGGCTGCTGTCCCAGAAGCGAGGCTCTTGATTTCCCGAGTACAGAGGCAGTAGGAAGGAGCTGCGAGGGCCAGCATTTATATGTGAGGGAGAGGAGATGGGGGGCATTATTCCTCGTGTTGAATTTGATCAAAGAAGCAGGGGATGAATGGTGTGGGGTCCGGGCAGGTGTCTCTTCACCCTCGTGATGCCATGCTGGAGAGAGGGAAGCGAAGATACTAGGCCAATCGATCACCTTTTGTCCGGGGTCGACGTTGCAAGCATGAAGTCAGCGGCACATGCCAGTTGCCTATGCATCCTGTGATAGCCGCTCCTACACGTACATCTCAACCCCGCCATAGCTGATCGGCAATTGAATAACGCAGAAGAACTTCCATTTGGCATCTGGGCAGCGCGAAGACTAGGCTGGTGCCATGCTTAGTAGCCTGAGTGGATGATGGTGGTGTAGGAGTCCCTCGGGCATGGTCGGTCCTTAAGCCGGTTGGGTTCTTCAGGTCGTGGGGGCGTTTACGGGCACCTTTTGGGGCGCTCACTAGGCCATCATGGGCCATTATGGGGGTTAGTTCTAGGCTAGTGCTGGCCATCTTCCCCCCCACGGCCTCACCTGATCAATCAGCTTCCACAGCGCCCCTCTCCTGCGCTTCCCTTGAAATCCGGGGGAAAAGTAAGCGGCTACAGCTTCAGACTTGATACCCTTTCACAATCAACTTCTTTCAATTGCCGATATCAGTGCCTGTCACGCTACCGGTAGATTGCCCTCTGAGTCGGTGAGCGAGATGGTCAGGTTGAGCCTCGTACACACTGCGCCTCGACAGACACCATGCCTCCCCCAAGACCTGACCGAGTCGAATCGAATCGCTCTTGCGATCAGTTCCTCCACCTCGAACGACGTCCACCGAACCTCATTCCTCTTCGAGCCCTCGCTAAGATACGATGTCGAGGGAGGTAGAATATTTAATGCATGAAAATAAAGACCGCTACAAGCACAGGCGCAGGCTCCTTCCCATGTGCTCTGCTTTCCTGGATGCCACCACTCGTGGACACTGAATGCGCCAGGCTGGCAGTATTACAGATCATAAATGAAGTTGCGTTGTACAACAAATGGCCGGGCTCGCAAGCAAGTCATCCACGCCACTGATGAATCTCTTGGTTTCGTTTCTGCGGTCACAGTCTCATACAGTGGGACGTGGGGGAGACAAGGCCATGTTATAGCCATGCCCTCAGACAGATCATGATAGCCTCGACAAGGCTAGCAATGCTTACAGTAAGTAGCTGTTTGTTCAGTCGCCGACAAGGTTCGACCGTCGGTAAGATACTCCGTACTGCTCATGGAACGCAGAATCTAGCAGCTCTCGTGTCGGCCACTGAAGCAAAAGGGCGACTGTCTGCCCAGGAGCTGGGAGCTGGCTGCATACCTTACCTTAAGGTACCTAGGTAGCGTGGGTGCTTGATCACCTCATTCCCGCTCTCTCCGATAAGGTGGCTGGGTGGACGGCATATGATCCAATGTCGAGGAAATGCAAGGACCATCACCGCATCTTTCTCGGTATTCTGAGACTTGTATCTTCTGCCCGATGAGGCAAACGTTCTCGATCATACCTGCTCACTGCTTTTGGTTGTCCTTCTCAGCCAGTCCTCCCAGTCGAACACTCCATTGCCCTCCATCCAGACGCCAGGCTTCCTCTGCTGGACGACCACACCTTCCTTGTCCCTGAAGAACACCAACCCCCCAGCAACGTCTTTCAAGGGATTTCCCTCCCCCTCGCCAGCTCTACCCACAGGCCCAATGTTGAACCCGCAAGTCTGATAGAACCTTTCCTTCCCGTCGGCGGCAATGACGCTGCAGGCAATACCTTCTTCCCGTGCCTGCTCCAGACCCCACGCAACCAGCGCGCGTCCTTGTCCCTTTCCTTGGAAATCCGGGTGCACTGCCAGGCACTCCAGATACCACGACTCGGCGCGATCTCCTTCCCAGACGTGATCGAGGAAATCGTAGGATTGTTCCACAATGTCTTCGTCTTGAGGCGACGCGGCGCGATTAGGCGAGAAGAAGTTCATGATCTTGGCCACCAATCCAGCTATGGGTTTGAGGAGTCGTCCTGGAAAGAGCGACGTCAGATACATCTCTTGGAACAGACTTGAATCCGGAGACGAGGGGCTCGAATCATAGACTGTAGTCCCCTCATAATACCTCAGTCGTGATGAGCTTCGACATGGGTTATGGATTCTCTTGGGAGTGGAGAAGCTGGCTCAGCGGCGCTTTTCAGCGGCGCGAGCAGCAACGATAAATGTAGGCACCAGATTGTCACAACGAACAAAAGGACGAAACATTGAACTTACTTGGATCCCACCAGTCCAATTCCCATCCAGCCTTTCGATTCTCCCGTTTCGAAGGGGCAATCCTGCTCCAGTGGGCCAGTCCGGTGACTATCTCGCGCTGGCCTTTGTCTTTCTCCGTCGTCACAAGAAAGACATGACTCCAATCCCACCAGTCGACCATGAACCGCCGGTACCAGTACTTGTCGGAGTCGAAGGGGTACTCATGCCGCTTTGGATGTATCAGGCGGCCGAAGAGCACTTCATCCCAGAAGGCGAGAGACGTTGCGCGTGCTGCACCAGTAAGGTCGGTGAACCGCGCCCGGCGCAGTGTGAAGCTCGCAGAACCAACGAGTCCGACGGTACTTGTGGTTGTCTGCTGCGGAAGGAGTGGTGTAGTATCTGATAATGGAGATCGGGACATGTGGAATGCTTTTCGTCGTCAGCGCAAGGTTGAGTGAGCTCCGTGCTCGGCCGTGACCACGCTGACTGTTCGTGGCGGGTCAATTGGTCGCCCTCTGCTGATTTTTGGGTCACTTTTTGGACGTCTGTCGGCACTCCCTGCAAGGGCGGAGTACTCACGGGCAAACCCCCGGAAACGGGCGAGTGCACTGCAGAGCAGGAACTCGTACTGTACCGATAGAGGCTGCAAAGACAAACCACTGTTTGCCGTGATTCGTGGCACGTACTTGCTGTTGGGACCTGGCCTCCCGGTCTGTCTTTTCAACGACTGGATGGTGAAGAGCCTGCTTGAGTTTTACCCCAGCTAACTTGATACCTCTCCCAAAGGTCCTTCCTAAACGTCTCCAGGAATGAGGACCTCTGATTGCTTGAAGTCAGATCGTGCAAGTACGCGTCGAGCGCACCTCCGCGTGGCCAAGACAAGTGGTAGTTCCAGCCTCCAGGGGAAACGGTCCTCCTAAGCAAGCGAGTCGGGAGGGTCCAAGGAACAGCAAAATCGATGGAACACACCCCCTTGCCGCCCGATATCTGATCCTTGATGGGTACTCCGTAGGGTGAAGGACTATATCGATATCCGCTGATGTGGAATTTCCAATACCTCGTACAGTAGGCGTGCCCTCCCCAGGTTTGGCCGAGATGCTGGGGCAGGGCTAGGCTAGGCAGTGCTAGGCTGTCTGGGCGATGGACGCTGATCCTGGTGTTGGATGTTTGAACGGGCAGAAAGTTTGATGCTACGGCTCTTTGGGAAGGTGCTTGGCGAGATCACCCTAGAGAGACGGTTGTGGTTGTGGTTGTGGTTAAGGTGTCCTTTTGCTTTTTCCGACGGAAAATTGTGTACGTGCTGTACTACTGTACAGTGTCTGGTATCTGGACCCAGACCCGAGAGAGCTAGGGCTCGTTTTTGTTCGAGCCGGTCAATGGTTGGAACACTCTCGGGTAGAATTCCTCGTGGATGATGCAGATGGATTCCAGTACTGTGTATTGTAGCTACGGAGTACTGTGATGGCTTGATCCAAGTAGTTGAGAAGTTTCCGCGAGACCTACACGTACTGTGGTAGATTGCTAGCTCAAGGCGATCCGAGATGAAGCTACTGTAAAAGTCCTAACTAGACGTGCCAGCATATGCCGAGGCCAGGCGAGCAGAAAAGATCGTGGAGGATCCAGCACATCGAGGCACTAACATACACGCACTACCCAGGAGACACCAAACAGGTGCGGCCTCGGGACCATGACCCCCACTGAAGCACCTAGGTACTGTGTTAAAAGGCCAAGTCAAGCTAAACAACAGTGCGTGATGGCTGCTCAAGCCACTTTGCATCGCCCAAAGATAAGGTGCACGACTTCAGGCATCGATCGAGCGTGATCGTGCGTTGAGCAAAAGTACGACTGCCACCTACCTAGTAATTGCCGGCATATAGGAGTCACAACAAGCACACTGGCGTGCTGAGCAATCTCAGTATGGTACGGACTAACAAGATGGGAATTCCAACCATCCTCACACATGTACACGCCCGATATTAGCTGTGCGAAGTCGGTCGTCCTTGACCTCGTTTTAGAATACTTCGTGAGGTCCCCAGTCTATCTTTGCACCATTGTGATGTGCCAGCAAACCACAAGTACTCCTTCCCGTACATTTAGACCATTTCCAGTGCATGAGCCTCGTCGAATTTTCTACTCCCAACCCATTCTCGCTGTTACTGACCAATAGTACAGTCTTCCGTACTCCGTATCATTGCCCACACTATACACAGTAGTCCCTCCGTACGCCAGGAGCACCTCATCCAGAGGCAAAATCGTAACGTTGACACTGTCACCCTCCTCAACTAGGCGATCAGATCAGATCAGATCTTGCCCTGATCGGTCTCGTAACGAACATTCCACTGAACATCTTTTCGTATGATATGGTCTTGACTGCCAACGCTGTCGATCGACTCTTGATCTCTGGTCTTGCCGCCACTCCGCACCTGCTGCGGAAGCGGTCCCTGTTCTTCAATGTCATGATATGATCGATTGGTCGACCGTGACTTGGAATCTTTCCCCACCGAGCCGAGCTCATATCCATGCGATCGGTTATAGCGTCCCGATGAACTGTAGGCTTGTGTGCTTGCAGGATCCAGCTGGATGCCGAAGCCGCTGCTGAAGCTCTTGACAAAGGACTTGAGGTTTGGAATCGTAGCCGACATGAGGGACCAGCAGAGTTGGACTTGCTGAAGAACAAGCGCGGGGACCAGATCAATGCCCGGGTTATTGGATGTGGTATACTCGGAGATGAATTTGAGGTGGAGGATCGACAGTGCCACGAGGCTATAGGAGAGTTTAGTAGGTGCTTGAACGCCGTGAGAATGCCATAACTTACGGCAAGCGGAAAGCAAAGGCAAGGACCACCTGGCATTTCAGCACAAAAGCAATCTGCACGGGCAGAACGATCACGATTGAAAGCAGTATCAAGATGCATTCTGTCACCACATCGAAAGCAGTGATCAGCTGCCAACGCAAAAACTGCAGCCTTGTCAGCAAAAAGGATTCTCGACCACTTTTTCGGCATGACGTACCTGGTGAGAACATTGTGATGAGTTTCCCTGAATGAAGGTCGATACGGGGCAGTCAACAGAGACTGCTATCACGGAAAGGAGGCCCCAGATCCCCATGGCTGCGAGAACAGAGAGGCCCACCCAGTAGAATGTTCTCGATTGACCTTGACTGGTCGCTTTTGGGCCGCTCAGATTGAATAGCCTTAGCATGAGATATAGTGTAGATGCTTTGGCTGCGGCAAGGGCTAGGATGAACATGAGTTCGCCAGCAAATGCAGCCTAGGGAGTCATATGAGCCGAGAACGAACATGAAAACTGCGTGCTGTGCTTACGCGGCTGGCCTTTTCCAATTCACTTTGGCGGAGTAAGTCCTGCGTTTTACCCAGTCCATGGTTGAGCCCAACCATGATCGCAGCGACCTCTCCAACTTGGATGACCTAGCGGATGCGTCAGTGGTGGATCGCGAAGAAAATGGGCGCGCGCGCCTGACGTACCGTTGCTGCAAACGCAAGGTAGTCGTCCACGCCATATATCTTCCTGCGCAGGTGTCCCCTCAAGCCCAAGGTGATGACAGAATATACAAGACATAGCGAAGCAGATATCCAGACCGAGCCTGCGTGGTCATCTGGGGTAATGGGAGAAAAGCGATTCCCTGTGCCAGTGTCCGCCATGGTGTAGCTGAGGGTGCTGAATTGGGCGCCAATTCAAAAATCCAAAGAGAGGGTATTTGACAACGTGAGATAGAGCACTGGGTATTCAAAAGATTACCCACGACTTCCACAGTGGTCAATTGGACGTCCCGCACGGCATGCAGCGATGACTTTGCGCACTCCCGCAGGTGATAGGGTTGGGAGCCGGACCGGGGTGTTGTGTCAACGACGTTATAGTTCCATGGCTGCTGGTACACGTATGCTTAGAGGACCTTCGCATGAGGAGGGAAGGCGAGGTAGGGCTGCGACTGAGACGCGGTATGAACCTAGACCCTGGTCGTCGTCCTGGTTGCGGATTGAGATTTGTGGCTTTTCGTTAATTGATGCCCTGACGCAGCGGCGGTTACCAAGAAGCGGCCCGGCAAAGTCAAGCTGGCCGAGCTCTCGGTTTTCAAGCACCTGTTCGACGACTGGCGTTTCCGGTAGTGTGGGAGATGTCAGCTATTGCGCGATAAGAACGCCTCAAGTTGGTGCTGAGGACAATATGGAGCAATGCGTATATCAAGAGACATCGGTCGATCGCTGCCGTTTGCGGATGCCCAAGATATCTGAGGAGGAGAGGGAAAGGCATCCATTCCACCTGGGTCAGCCATGATTGGACTCTGAAAGCCACTGCTCAGCAATACTTGCTTCACGCCTAGCATCGGAGATCTTTTTCGTTTGAGTTAACAAGGGCATGGCGTTTCGTGATTTGCTGTTGGGTGGGGCGTCCCTGCAGACAGGCCTCGACGTTCGATAAGACTTTTCGATGGTGCATTAGCGTGGAGGGCCATAGTCCATTCGGCTGCCAGCGTTGGCTGGGCGGCCGTTGGGCGCTGATTGGGAAGCATAACGAGCGGATCGGCTATTTTTCTCCCACTGCCTCGAGAAATGATCGACACGAATGACACGAGGATGACCGGCAGTGAGAGAGGTTGGTTGGCTGTCTCCTGTGCAGACACGATACTTCCGAACTTCGCAGCCTGGAATGTCAGGTCAGTAGGTCAAATAGAACGCCCCTTACGGATGCCATGCATTGCTGAATGGAGTGGGAAGCAGCTCTGAGCAATCAGTCTTCTCACCAGTGGACATTCCAAGAACGAGAGCCTTTCTGGAGGAGTCAGAAGGAGATCCTCCCCAAATCTTGGTAAATCGCAGTTCATTCGCTAGTCTGACTCCCTCGCCCATGTTCGCATGCATCGAGCGTGATTGAGGTCAGGGCATAAAGGTTATCTTGGTCACGGTGCGCGTGCAAGGTTCGAGTAACTCCATCGTCTCACACTTTTGACTTTGGAAGAGCTTTCGATGCAGCTTGAACCCGGGACGATGGGGCCCGCACATGCCAATGCTGTCAGCTGCATATTGGGCTAGTGAGGCCTGGTGAGCCCAACCATCTAATCAAACGATTGTGTGGCTGCCTTTCGGCGATTTCGACAGAATAGACGAAAAAAGCAAATGCAGCAAGACGAAGATGGGCTCGTCGGTTGTTCCATCTTCGGAAAAAGGGTCTCCCTCAGTTGATGAGAGGAGAGAAGAGCTGTGGTAGTTTGTTGCGCCAGGACACTACTGACCGGCTAAGGCAAGTTCCGATGTCGATCCACCTGGGTATCCGTCCGGAGGCCTGAATAGTTCGCTTTGCCAATAGCTGCTCGGTCGGTAGGGACGGTTAGACCTTCTCCCCGAGCCTTCGCCCCCTGCCCTGGTCCTTCCTCTCTATCGATCCCTCCTTCGCTTGTTCTTACATTAGCGCGTCTGGCCAACATCAACTGCTTTGCCAACGCGCCGGAACAGAGTTTTGGGAGGCTACATCGACTGGGTCGAGCGACTTGATGCTCCCAGGTACCAGTAGAATCACGGTGTGGTCATGACTTCGGTTCCTCCGACTCACATCAGTCAAGGGTGTTTGCAAGGAACCCGACAGACTTTACAGAGTAGGTAAGTTGACAGCTGTGCCTAGCTTTAGCCTAGTGACCTGATGCATCTGTGGCGAGGAAGCCAATGGTGCCATAATGTCGCCAATGTTCAAGTCCCCACCACCCTCCATCAAGTTGTTGTCTGACATCCTTGACGTCTTTCTCTGTCCATACAACTCGAGCTATTTTCGACAGCGCCCTGGCCATCCTCACGGGTGTTATACTGTTTTGGCCCAGCAGCTTCTACTTTCGACAAAAGAGACATGTTCCGAGGTTTTAAGTACCTTCGGCCAGTTGGATCAGCACAAATATCGGAATCGTTCTCTCTTCATAGGCCTGACGAGCCCAAATCTGATTGCCCTGCAGTGCCAACCTCGAGGAGACTCTGCGCTAGTGCCAAGCCTGCCAGACTCCAATAAAAGAGTGGTGCCAATCGTAGAGCTCTTTGTATATCGATCCGAGAGTCTCAGCGGTGCCCCAATTGGCCAAGAGAGCCATCATCCGAGAGCCTGAGAGCTCTTGTCACACAGAAGGCGCCGTGGCTGCCTTCGGCGCGTTCGTTGGCTTTCCTGTGCTAGTGACAGCAGCCGGGATGCCGATAATTCGAGTCTTCCTGCAAGGACGATCGCCCTGGAATGGAATCGACTTCCAGCATCACTATCGTCTGAGGTGAAGCATAAGTGTGGAGGTCTAGCTGGGGGCTCGGACTCTTTACCTTTGCCTCAATGAAGCAAGGGTGTTCAAGGTTCTCATAACCCCTGGTTCTTTGGCTTGCATTGATCACTTATAGCGTCTTAAAATTGTCGAAACCCCTCGCTTAGTGTTGAGCCCTTTGAATGAGCAGTAGCCAGTCAAGAGCTGCGGCATCGAACGCCACATGGCCCTGGGATCGACACATGGCAGCAAGCTTTCCTGTCTTCAGTTCTGACCATCTAATTCTTTTTAATCCCGCAGAGAATCAGTGTAAGGTCACTTTCACATATTGGTCCTTTAGCGAGCACAGCGTTTTTGCTTCTCGAAGCTCTTCTTCCATTGCGCATATCGTTATCCTCAGGCCTCTACCGGCTATCACTGTCGCATACCCAACATGGCACAGCCCAAAGAAACCGCCGTACTCACCTCCCAGGTTGACCTGGAGGTCGTCAACCAGAATCTGTCTGCAGAGAAAAAAGGCACGCATGATGACCAGAGGGACATGTTCCGCATGGGCAAGGCTCAGCAGTTGAGAGTGAGCAGTGCCATTGTCCGAGAGCTTCACTGTTGCTAACCTGTGAAAGCGAAATTTCCGGTTCCTCTCCATTTTTGGCTTTTCCATGATCCTTATGGCCAGCTGGGAGACAATGCTTGGGTCAGTCATCTTGCAGTAGTAAAATCGAGGAGTCTGTTTTGATACCTGATTAGGACATCCATAATCGGTCTCATTAATGGTGGAACAGCTGGGCTGATATGGATGTACCTTGTCGCATGGATTGGTTTTCTCGCCGTGAACACCTCCATGGCCGAGATGGCTTCAATGTGAGTGCCCCAGAGCAGCCATCATACCTCTACCCTTCTAACGACTACCACAGGGCTCCAACTTCAGGCGGGCAGTATCACTGGGTATCCGAGTTCGCACCCAGGAAGTACCAAAAGTTTATGAGCTTCATCGTCGGTAAGGGAGATCAACATGTTTGGATGGTTTCATGTCTGACCAGTTTCCAGGATGGCTGTGTGTGCTGGGCTGGCAAACTGGTGCAGCCAATACTGGTAAGGAAAAGATCTCGCCTGCAACCCAACGGCACTGACGATGGCGCAGCCTTTTTGGCCGGCACGCAAATCCAGGGACTCGCGATTTTGAACTATCCAGACTACGTTCCCGAACGGTGGCACGGGACACTGTTGACATTCGCGGTCGCTTCCTTCTCCGTCATCTTCAACACTTTCCTCGTCAAGAAACTGCCGCTGGTGGAAGGCATTGTGCTGATCGTCCACATCTTCGGCTTCTTTGGCGTATTGATCACTCTCTGGGTCCTCGGCCCTCGAGCTAGTGCTCACGACGTCTTCACCCAGTTCAACAACTATGGCGGTTGGAGCAGCAACGGTCTGTCTGCAGTCGTGGGTGTCCTGGCAGTCATGATTCCACTGCTGGGTGCAGATGGTGCCGTACACATGTCCGAAGAACTCCGAGATGCGTCGAGAGTGCTACCACAGAGCATGATCGCCACCACGGTCCTCAACGGAGCAATGGGTTGGATCATTCTAATCACGTTCTGCTCCGTTCTAGGTAACCTCGACGACGTCATTTCTTCGCCTACCGGACAACCTTACATCGCCGTCTTCTACACCGCGACCGAGTCATACGCGGGTGCTTCGGTGCTTTCCGCTCTCGTCATCTTTATGGCCATGTTTTGCAATCTATCAATCACTGCAACGGCTTCTCGTCAGCTTTGGTCCTTTGCTCGTGACCAAGGCATGCCTCTGTCTTCCTGGTTCGCATATGTAGGAGTATCCTTGCAAATTGCGTAAGGACATGGACTGACCCAGATTTGTATAGGTCCGGCCTGGTTGGGATGTTCCAATGAACTCCATCGTGGTTTCCTGGGTTGTATCCTGCCTCCTGTCCTTGATCAATATTGGGTCGACCATTGCGTTGAACAACATCACCTCGCTTTCCCTCGTGGCCATCCTGTCCTCCTACATTGCTTCGACAGGCCTTGTCTTCTGGCGACGCCTGTGCCACCTACCTCTCCTTCCGGCCAAATTCACTTTCTCCCGATCGGTGGGACTCTTCTTGAACGGCTTCGCCATAGTGTTCTTGATCTTCGCCTTCATTTTTGCCTTCTTCCCCGCCTCTCTGAATCCCACAGTCGAGGCGATGAACTGGTCCAGCCTCATCTACGGCGCGGTGGTGATTTTTGCCATTGTCGACTATTATGTCAGGGCTCGTCATGTGTACGACGGCCCCGTGGAGTATGTGCGAAAATTGGATTAGATGGAACAAGCGACCTACTGCAAGACGATCCATCGCTGCTGTGGATTGCAGGGGTGGGTGCTCGACACTCGTCGACCAGTCTCATAAATGTGATGTCGTCCTTGGGCACCTCATGACAAGTCCAACAACTGTTCTGTATATAGCGAGACTAGAAAGAAGAATCCACCAGGTACCACTTGCCTCTTGACTAGGTCCGGTATACTTGCTTCCTTTGCGACATCGAGAGGGGGACGCTGACTCGTCCACCTCGTCTTGCCCTTTCCCAGTGATCTGATTGGTCTAACTTCTCCACACGGCGAAAGATTGATGCCAAGCACCGACTTGGACTCCGCGGGGAAAGAACTCCTCTTGGTCACGTGCCTTGGTTGGGTGGCTGGGCACCTGGGAATTTTCCTCCATCACCTCCCCTTCCTACTCCGAGGTAGTCAGTCATATTTGCATCAATACTCCGTACGAACCATGTCAATGTTCGATGTCACTAGTTTTGTCATGGCGTCCAACTACCACGGCTTACAATGACCGCCGATTTGACATCATTTCGTATCGTGAAGAGTGCGGACCTTCCGCCGCTCCACGAACGGATTCCTGTCCGATCAACCACTTCTATGGGTCAGTCCTGCCGCGCGCCTGAGTCAATCACATTCAACATCCGGACGATCATGCTTTTGGTCTTGCAGACTCGGAGCTATTAACATGTCGGACCCTAAACGCCTACGTCTTGACCCCACGCTCAGTGCGCCGTACAACATCAGTCCGTTCGATCCTACTCCGAATCCCAGCTCAGACACGAGGCGGCGTTCGAGCAGAGCGGATCCTCGACGTCGTTTCGAGTGCACGCACCCTGGCTGCGGACGCGACTACTCTCGTGCCGAACACTTATATCGCCACCAGTTGAATCGTGAGTCTCTGCAGGTACTGCTGGTGTTAGTATCAACTGCTGACACCGACCAGATAATCCCAAGGAGATCTTCAAATGTGACTATCCAGGATGTACACGGACTTTTGTACGACAAGATCTCTGCATTCGTCACAGAGACCGTCACGACAACCGTGATAAGTCCACTTCACAACAGCGAGACCCAAATCGAGAGTCCCTTTCACCCAGGTCTTCTGTGAGCAATGGTGGACTGAATGATCCTTCCTCTCCAAATTCCAATGTGTTTGCAACTCCAAGACCCCCGTCCGAGACCCTTCGCTCTCCTGTCCTGGGTCGGACGTCCTTTTCCGGAGGAAGTCCAAGTAACGTCACGGATCTTCAAGGCATCATTCCGCAGACACGCCCTGACAGTAACGGCGCGAACGGTCTTGCAAAATCTCAAAACAATGCCCACTCACGTCAGCCATTCTTCCGAAGTAACTCTCATGCAGCGGCCCAATCTCAGAATCCAGCAGACAATTATGCTTCTCACGCTGCGTCACTAGACTCCTTCTCAATTCAAAGGTCGCATAGCATTGGCGATGGTGCATTCGACAATGTCGACCCAGCAATTTTGAGCAATTCTACGACGCATGCCAACGTTTCGATGCCAACGACGGGCAACCGGCAAATGCAGGACCAATCGACTGGGGCGTACTCCATGCCCGGCCTGGGAGAGCAGCCTTTCAACGATTCGCCGGTCTCCATCAGAGATGAATTCACGGCTTGGCTGTTCGATGAAGCCGCTGGCTTACATGCAGCTCCCTTCTCGATGGCAGGTCAACCCGGAATGGGCTTTGCCAACCCTTCCGACATTTTTGGCAATACGACTTACTCAAATTATTTTGCCGATACAGCAATGGACGCGGCATATCCTGGCTTGGTACCAAATGGCTCGGGGGGCACCCCGACAAGTCTTCCTGAGCTGCCTGTAAACAGTAACTTGTTATCGCTGGCGAAACGCCAATCACTCCTTTTTCTGATGGAATCACGCTTCCACGACGGTGACAACCTGTCATTGAGACAGCTCAGAGACGAGATATTCCAAGGCAACCTGGATGCCGAGGAACACATCTTGAGCCTGCGGTCTATGCAACACTACATTGGGTCCTACTGGTATCACTTTCACGCGCAGTTACCCATCCTACACCAGCCCACTTTCTCGGCGGATGACATCAACGAATACTTGCTACTAGCAGTTATGGCTATTGGAGCCGTATATTTGGACAGGGCTCATGGGAGGCAAGCGAGAGACACAGCTGCGCGTTTGGCAACGTTCATTGCCTGGCATCTGCGATGGCAAGTCTTCATGCATAACGATTTCCATCCGCCAGCGAATTTGTGGGTTTTACAAACATTGCTTCTCCTAGAGGTATTTGAGAAGACGAGCGCAACTAGGGTGTTGCACGAACGAGCCCACATACATCACGCAACCACGATTAACTTGATGCGCCGCGGGACAGCTTTGATCGAGACTCAGCAAGACTCTGCTCGCGTACCCTCAACACCAGAGGAATGGTGGAGTCGCTGGATTACAGCGGAAGCCACCCGCCGAGCCGCTTTTGCCGCCTTCTATCTGGATGCAGTCCACGCGACAATGTTCGGGCACGCAGCGATGATGGTTGTTCATGAGATACGTCTGCCACTGCCGTGCGACGATGCTCTCTGGTCTGCCACATCTGCAGCCGAGGTGGGCCGAGTCGAAGCCAGCTTGCATGCGAATGGGATAAAATCGACGACGTTTCTGGATGGGCTCAAGAAGACTTTGACTGGTCGCAAAGTCCGGACGAATACCTTTGGAAGAATGATATTGATGGCAGGCCTGTTGTCCGTCTCGTGGCATATGCACCAACGGGACCTTCAAGTGTCCAGTCTAGGCGTGTCTTCGACCATGGGAGTTCCGGACGGTTGGAGGATCCCATTGACGAAAGCCTTTGAGTTCTGGAAAAAGGACTTCGACGAGAACATCGAGCATATGCGCCGAGCTGCCCTGCCATGGCAGAAAAACGATTCTTGGTCTGCAGATGAGGCGATGACAGAAACCGCTGATGTGCTGTATCATATGAGTCATATGGCGATGCACGTCGAATCCTGGGATTGCCAGATTTTCGCCGGCATAAAGAGGCTATTTGGAAGAAAAGTCAGTAGACCGGACTACGAAAGGGTCAAAGCCAAAATCTTTGACTGGTCCAAAGGCCAAGGGGCTACGGTCGGCGTTTACCATGCCCTGCAGCTTCTGAAATCAGTTATTTTGCCGAGCAGAGATCCTAAAAGGCTCTATCATGCTCGCGACGATTACTTACTGGTGAGACCTTGGACAATATACTACGCCGCGCTTGTTGTGTGGTCGTATGGGTTTGCCCTGGATGGGGTTCTTCGACCATTTCCGAGCCTCCTTCAACCGGCATCTTCACCGAGCGCAGGTTCTGTTCTGTCTCACGGATCCGGCCATTCGATGTTGAATATGGCACATGACGGCAGCGAATTCCAGATCGAAGCCGTGGTCAAGGATGCACAAGCCTTCTTGCAAACCGTCGGCGCGGTCAAGTCTCCACAGCAATTGGAATCGATCAAAGATGGCAGAAACAACGTGGTGGGTATTTTGGCAATCCTGGAGACTGCCTTTCGTGATTGCAGATGGGAATTACTGCATGAAGCGGCCGAGCGTCTTCGCAATGCTATCATGCTTCTGAGGGGGGCGAGTCGGAGTTGAAGTACTTCGACCAATGTGGAAAGCTCCGTCGTTCGACTGGAACTACGTTAACAGACTCCTGACGCATCTGGACACTGAAGAGTATCTTTAACGCCAGCCTGGAGGCTACCATGTCCTTCCCTGACCTGTACTGTAGAGACAATTTGCTCTCTTGGATCAACACCCCGCTGAGGGGGAACTTCTGTGGCGGGCCAAAAGCCTGTTGGTTGATCTTGTGGAGGAGAAAAGGCGGAGACGAGCAGCAACTGCAGCTTTATTAGGCCTGCATCCTGGTTCCTCGACCCCCACGCCACAGCAAATGATGCTTGGAATTTTGCCTGTGGGGGACATGAGTCGGTCATCTTCGCATAACCGGGAAAATGACGACCGACTACGGACTTGGAGCTTTTTATGCCGACAGTGTTGAATTCGCAGTGTGCCCCTTCAAAACGTCCTTGTGCAATATCGGCGTCAATTGATCAGAACGTGTCACAGAAGCACAGCTAGTATCCCGACGCCTGTCTGGCACTGTCGACCTTGCAAGTATACTCAGGCCAGTTGGATCGGTGACTGACAACCAGGACCTTCCTGCGACAAGTTGCATATTCTTTTCATATTGAGGCGAAGTCGGCTGCGAAAGCAGAGTGAACAATCATGGCGACGGACCAACTTAAGGCGTTGGCTGGCCAAACCAATGGAGGACTTCAGCCAGAAGTTCCTAGCATGCCATTGGCGAAGATAAAAAGCATCGAGTATTTCCGAGTCAAGCCTAGATGGCTATTTGTCAAGATCTGCGATGATCAAGGGAATTATGGCTGGGGTGAAGCAACCCTCGAAGGTCATACGAAGGCCATTGAAGGTGCACTTGATGAGATTATAGACCGTATCATTGGCTATGAAGCAGAGTAGGTCTTTTGCGTCCACTGCCACAGACGAAAGTGGCTGACATTGTTCGTCGCAGTGACATTGAACATATCTGGCAGACAATATGGAGGTTGGGATTTTATCGTGGAGGTCCGGTTTTCATGTCCGCCCTGTCTGGCATTGATATTGCTCTGTGGGACTTGAAAGGTGTGTCCGTCTTTGTTTCTGTTGGTCTCCGGCCCATCTAACTACTAGTATCGTACAGGGCGAAGAATGAGAGCGCCAATTTACCAACTCCTAGGCGGCAAGGTCCGCAACAAGGTGCAAGTTTATGCATGGATCGGCGGAGATCGGCCGAAGGATATCGAAGTCGCAGCCAAAGCACGCCTTGCACAGGGTCTGAAGTGCATCAAAATGAACGCCACCGAGGACATCAACTGGCTCGACTCGCCATCTGCTCTGGACTCGACGATCGAACGGCTCAAGACGGTCAAAGCTCTCGGTCTGGACGCCGGGCTCGATTTCCATGGCCGTTTGCACAAACCCATGGCGAAGCAACTAGCCAAAGCACTCGAGCCGTACCGTCCTCTGTTTATCGAGGAGCCTCTGCTGGTCGAGCATCCAGAGGGGTACAAACAGTTGTCCGATCTCACCACTGTCCCTATAGCTACAGGCGAGCGCCTGTACACGCGATGGGACGTCAAGCGGTTTCTTGAGGATGCCAGCATCGATATCTTGCAGCCGGATATTGCTCACGCGGGCGGCATTTCTGAGACCAAGCGCATTGCAAACATGGCGGAGGCATATGACGTGGCGATTGCACCGCACTGTCCGCTTGGTCCGATTGCATTGGCCGCTTGCATCCAGGTCGACTTGTGCACTCCGAATTTCGTCATCCAGGAAATGTCGTTGGGCATGCACTATAACGTGGAAGCAGGTGAGGAGGATCTGAACACCTACCTCGTCGATCAGACCGTGTTCAATATCGAAGATGGATACGTCAAGGCGCCAACGGGAGTGGGATTGGGAATTGAAATCAATGAGGATGTGGTGCGGAGCATAGCGAAGACGACGGAGCCCTGGCAGTGTAAGGAATTCTATGGGCCGGATGGGTCGATTAGGGAGTGGTAGTCACCTAGTGGTTGAAGCAGAACGGAGCCCTTGCCTGGTACATTACCTGGTATGGATTGGCCGGTCAATGTCAGTACTACTAGTAGTAATGGCCTCCAGCCTAGCCTGACTTACTAGTAGATTATAATAAGTCGAACCACTGTCCTTCCCGGCTCAACATCACTCGATTTTATGATGCATGAGCTCATCATGGCCTCAAGTCAAGCTTCCCGCTGCCCTATATTTACTCCTATGATGGACGAGTCTAGGCCAGATCTCTTACCGTAAAACTCGGGGAAGTAGCCGACGGGCTGATCTGGGGAGATGGGCCCCAGACGTGGCGAGACTGATCCTTCTTGCTGCTGCTGCTGCCCTGAGGAGCCACTGGCGGCACTTCCCATCTCCGGCCTTCTGATCGTGGTGGCAGCACCTATCTCAGCCGTTGACTGAGCACCTCGGCCGCCTCTATACCTGTGCTGCACCCACGGCCCAGTCGTAGGGCGTTTCGCCTAAGTTGTCCTTTGCGTCCGCCACTGCCATTCCTTCCGGAGACGAATCAGAATCAGAATCACCAAGGAAGCATCCTCATGATGACCAGGTCGCCGTTTGCCGCAGCCGAGTGCAGCGGCGTGACACGGTTGAAGTCCGGCTTCGCGGCGCTCGCGCCTGCATTCAAAGGGATCTGCACCGTCGAAGTGTGTTGCCGGTACGCCGGCGGCATGGATGGGGGTGCCGCCATAGCGTGATCCTGGAGCATCAAGGTCGGTGGTGCCGTTAAAGTCAGGGCTTGAAATGAGCTTCTCAACAACGCAGTCCAGCCCGAAGGAGGCCGCGTGGTACAGAGGTGTGGCATGGCGTGGGTAGATGTCCCATTTGAAGTTGTAGTTGTTCGCGTTGAGGACTTGGGACCCAGGCCATGAAGTTGCCCCTGCGCCGCGCGCTGAACAACTCCAAGATCACTGCTAAAATCCCGTCATCATCCTTGGATATGGCCTTGGATCCGGCCGGGGCCTCAGTTTGAGGATTTCCGAGCGTGCGAGGCTCGGAGAAGACTAGGTTTGCATGATAAGGCCATGCACTTGACGCGTACTTGAGGAACGGAAACTGCTGTAACTTTTCCATGTAGTTGTCCGCTGTCTGAGCGGGCCCGTCACTGAGATCTTCCAGCAGGAGATAGGTAAGACACTTCAAGGTCAGGTTGCGATGCGAGTCTTTGATGGTGAATTTGAAATAATCGGCGCGTCCATCTTTCCCAAATTTATCTGGAGATAGCAGGTAGTCTCGCACAGACAGATGTGCGAGATGGATCTGTCCCGAGGACGATAAATCAAAGAGTGAGTTTCCCAGAGTGAGGGGTGTCCATAGGCCTGCACAATCGAGCTTCGTGGTCCACGCGTGCAGGACCGGGCTCAACGGCAAGGTCTTCGTGAAGCTCCATGAGTGAGAGGGGCATAAAGCAGAAACAAAGCCATTCCAGCGCACTTCTCATGGTTGGCCCAGCGTGTTGCGGTATCGACGAGAGAATCCTGCTGTAAGTGTCTTCGAGATCCAAGGGGAGCTTGTTCAGAGCTTGTCGGATAGCTTTGAGCGAGCGCAACGGCGAGATGGCACCCAGTTGGCGTTGAACCCAGAGGAACCTGATTCGTCGATTGTCAGCACACAAGCTTCATCTTGGACGTCGATTAACGTCGCCTACGTGCATGGAGTTTGAGTCCTGAATCAGAGTCTCCGATATATGTTCCTCGACTTCCAGATGTAGCCACTGGAGACGCCTATCGGATGGAAGCTGGCTGTTGATATATACTTGAATGTCTTCGCGGACTTCCTTTTTGTGGTCGCCCAGCTGGATTTGCAAGTCGTTGCCGAAAATTTGCTCCAGGCTTTTAGTTTTGCGCCCGGTGACAAGTACTTTTGCATTCAGATGCGCATGGTCGCTGCAAATGTCATGAAGGATGTCACCCACCTCCGTTGCTTGTTGGCTTTCATCTAGTCCATCGATAAGGACGAAGAGTTTTCGATGTTCGAGTACCTCCGATATCGACTCTCTGAGTAGACTGAGTGATGCTGGAGCGTGATGACCTGGAGATTTCGACACCTTGAACGCAGTCCGAATGGCGTCAGTAATGGAACGAGTACCTGTGCAGCATTGGGCCACAATGGAGCCTAGGATGTTTGAAGGTCGGAGGGATTCTGACTTTCGAAAATCACAGTATGCGTACGCCACGACGGGCTGGTCTGGAGGGCCGGCCGTGTCGGCTATCAAATGCTCGACAAGATGCGCGCTGTATCCGTATCGCGAGGTCAGAGACAGTTTGGACTCTGGATGGTCTCAAGCATACAATAGTTGAGTCTTTCCGGTGCCAGCTGTCGAAGTTGCAAGTTCGTCTAGTGTGCCCCTTTATCTTGAATTTGATGTTCTCACGGGCGCCATTCAGCCACAGCAATTGAGCATCGCCGTAATACCATTTGTCGAACTCATCACAGGCAGTCACCCAATTGCTTGTTCCCACCTGATGTTGTCCGACAATGTCAAGGTGACTGGCGCGAAACTTTAGTGGTGACAGCCAGTTGAGGATCTCGTCTTCATCTACCGTCTAGCCATGAGAACAAGCGCTTTTGATCAACTTCAGAAACCAAAGAGTGAGACTGACCTGATTTCCAAGGACTTATGGCATCGAGTTTATCCTCGATACGGGAATGTGATGCTTCCACCCTAGCATGCCAGGAGATGGAAGTTGCACGGATATCGAGGAGAAGCGTCCTGCTGACTTTGAGGGCGACCGAACCAATAGACGGCTGAAGCTGATGTAGACTCACGACTGATGTGCCGACAAGCCAAGAGTCAGACGCGACTCACATCTTTCAAGCCGCTCCAGGTAGGATCTCACTTGCGGCACTTTCCATTGCCAGCGAATGGATGCAGCAATCCTGCCATCGGTTGTGATTGGCGCCGACGCAGCTGGCAAAGAGGTCCCAATTTGGTGGTCCAGCTCGTCCAGGACCACCCGGCATTGAGGTATAATATAAGTTATGGGTTCCCAGACCTTTTCGTAGATAGCACTGCCGCTCGCCGTAGACTGTACACTTACGCTGTTGTCGAGGGCCAGTTGAAGCGCTTCAAAAATGTCTCTCAGGCTTCTTGTTTCTTCGATGATTCTTATCAAACCGGAGGGACATTCCTTCAGCGCAGCTCTGAAGCTCAAGCAAATCGAGAGTGTTTTGTTGATCGCCTGAATTATGGCAATGACGCTCGCTGTACCGCTCAGAGGATCCATTGAAGGCAGACTGCTAGTCTGGTCGCTTGATGCAAAATGCAACGGATCCTAGAGCGTCTTCCAGGGTTCGATGGCGAGAGCTAAGATCTTTTGGCAGAGAAAATCTGACATGAGTCGACATTCGATCAGACGACAGAGTAGCCTCACCATTTCCCCATTCCCACACAAGAGTGCTTGTGAAGGCCACAACGGATACGAGAAGGCGTCTTCACGAGGACGTCGAGGCGAACCTGGATCCTACCTCACAACCCCGCCCCTGGTGCTGTTTGGGCGGCACCGTCCAATCATTTCCCAACACGTATCACCATGCCCAATCGCTCCTTGATCTCACAGTCACCTATCCGGCGACCCTCGACCACAGCTGTCCCCTTCTCCATCCGAACATGTCCCAGCGGCCGGACTGTGTCCAGCGCACTCGCGGCAGAGAGCTTGTGTCTCCTCTCAAAGGACGGTAATATGCAGCTCCGCATGCCTCGGTGCGTTAACGGCGCGGAGGTCACCACCGGCATCAAAAGCCATCTTACATGGCCGTGAGCGACGGCTTGCTCGAACCATTTACTCCAGGCGCCCTCATTCGTTTCGTCTGATGACGTTGGGATCTCCACCCCGGAAGCGGCCATGATGCCGCAGACTTCGTCACGCGGCAGCGTCGCCGAGCGATTTCCCAGTAGTTCCATCACCCGCGTCCTGTCGCCTCGCTTGAGACGCATGTTCGACATCCCGCTGAAATACCCGTACAGGTTTCGAACTCGTCCTCGAGACACTCCTCGATGTTCAACGTGTCGCAAATGCCTGGCAACGCCCCGATGAAGTTGTCTCTGATCGTGAGGGATACTAGATCGCGACCGACCCATACCACCTGGCTTGCGAGGATATATTCCTGCAGGGTCCATACTCGTGTTGCCCACGCCGTCGTCGTCAGCCTCGCTAGCCCCCTCATCCCTCTCACGGTCAACCCGCGTCCAGGTCCATTCTGCCAGTAGTCACCTTCCTCAGCCCATGCCTCTTCCTCCTGCATTCGCGCCGCGGGCTCGAGCTGCTCCACCAGTCGGTCCACTTCCATTTGGTTCGTCTGCAGGTCACAGCTCAGAATCACCGCTACAGCGACAGCGCCGCTGAAGGTGCGACCCATCAGGGGTATCTGCTGGTTCATGTCTGCATCGTCTTGCTGGTCGATACAAATCGTGTCGACCCAGCAAAAAGCCACTGCGCCGGCGAATTTCTGCTCATTCACCGCCATGAGCGCTTGCCGACCTGGACTATCGAGGAAGCTACCGCCAAATGGGAATTGCAGCTGCACGCCGACCACACCAGTTGAGAGGTCGATGAGCCTAAATGTCGCCATGGCATCGCACCAAGACCAGGTGGTTTGATGAGAAAGAAGGCTTGGATGGCCCGGACAAGGTTGACAATGACGGCGGTCTTGTACACTGACTACCTAGGTAACATGCTTTCCGTTCGTACCATGTCTGCCATGGCTGCCTGGGAAGGTCTCGAGGTGGTTTCGGTGCCTCAGGTGGTGGACGCCATCATGCCCTTTGCTATTTTTGGCGTTGGGACCCTTGGCTCGCCTGGGAGTGACTGCGGGGATACAGTATCAAAACACCAATACCTAGGATAAATATGACATCTTGGGTGTAGGATGATTTCTAGTAGCTGTCGAGGATGGTCCCGTAAGTTATCGAGCCATGGTATTATCAAGATTGAATCTAACGCTTCCTAATGTGCTGGTGGTTGTTGCAGTGCGACTTTGCTTGAAGAGCAAGTTAGAGTAGACACCACCCGTACCTTTTCAAGTCTGGCGTTCGGCCACTCGCCGCTGATGGCACCGAAGTCCAGGGACTTCGATGGGGGTACAGTATCATGGGGTTTTCGCGGGGATGATCGTCCGGACTCATTCATTGATGCATCTTTTCGACTTGTACTCCATATATCCACCGATTCAGAACACAACAATAAGTTTCCATGGGCGTCGAATGACTACTACCTAGGTAGTATCCCCAGGGTCCAATAGGGAGGATCGTGAGCTGTCTGTCGAGCTACTTACCAGGTAAGCGTCGAGGGGAAGTCAGCAGGCCCTATTTCTACCGAGCAAGTCTCGAGGAGAAGATCAATAGTCGTATGTACGCTCGGCTCGGCTCAAGCTCAAGCTCGGCCAATATAATGGCGCTCTCATTTCCAAGCATGTTCTCGCTTGAGAACCGGACAGCAGTCGTCACAGGTACGTACCTTACCTAACCATAACCATACCCCCTGAGGAGCGTTGGGAGACTCTGTTCTCTTGTCATTCCTCCTCTAAGTTAGCGAGCTACTAACATATATATGTGCCCCGATCAAAGGAGGAACAAGGGGCATAGGAGCCGCAATGAGCATCGCCCTCGCCGAAGCAGGAGCGGACATCATCCTGGTGCAGGTACAGTACTGTTACATTTTCTAGACATACTCGAACCTACCGTGACCCTACCCGAGCGTTCATGATATCCTATGCTGTCTTGATATGTCTGATACGGTGGATTATGCTGACCATGTATGGATAATGCCGACAACAGCGCGACGCATCCAACACTTCAACCAAACTCGCCATCGAATCTCTCGGGCGCAAGGCGACAATCTACACGGCCGACCTCGCCAGCCAGGCCGAAGTCTCCAGCGTGGCGCCGAAAATCCTCGCCGACGGCCACGACGTGTCGATCCTCGTGACGTGCGCGGGCATCCAACGCCGGCACCCATCGCACGAGTTTCCCCAGGCGGATTGGGACGAGGTGCTCCAGGTCAACCTGACCAGCGTGTTCACGCTGTGCCGCGACTTTGGAGCGTACATGTTGACACGCACACCACGCTCTGCCAATATTACAGACGCCTCCGACTCCAATCGTTCGCCCGCGCACATGCACCCTCAATCACCACCACACAGAGGCTCGATCATCAATGTGGCCAGCCTGGTCAGTTTCCAGGGCGGACTGACGGTGCCGGCGTATGCGAGCGCGAAAGGCGGGATCGCGCAACTAACAAAGGCTCTGAGTAACGAGTGGGCCAGACACGGAATCAACGTGAACGCCATTGCGCCGGGGTATGTCAACACCGAAATGAATGAGGCGCTGATCAACAATCAAACGCGCGCCAGGCAGATTCTCGAGCGCATACCGGCCGGTAGGTGGGGGGAGCCTGACGATTTCAAGGGGCCTGTCGTGTGGTTGGCCAGTAGGGCAAGTGGGTATGTCAATGGGGAAATTGTAGTAGGTACCTCTGAAGAAAGAAAGATTGATTGATTGTGTAAGGAGCTAACTACTAACAGGTCGTTGATGGAGGGTGGATGGGGCGGTGAGTGAGCAGTGACAAGGCTTGCAGAGCACGCATCTAAGGGGTGAGAAGATGAAGGAGAGGAAGGAGAGTATAGAAGGAAGGGAGAGAGGGGGGGGGAAGGGCTTCCAAGGGGACGTCAGCAATGGCAGAATAACTATCCATGTTGAGAACGCCTTTTAGGGCATTTAGATGATATACCGGAAGCCTGCTGCTTTCTGTGCCTCGGTCGGTCCACTCTTGCCCACATCTTGTCCAAGATCCATCTTTGCATTCTCCTTACGAAGGTAAAATCGAATCAGGGTGGCCACGATAATCGAGACGACCGCGAAGACGAGATTGACACTGAAGGCTTCCACGTAGCGTGGCGGAGATCGGTAGAGGTACGAGGTCCAGATGTTTGGCGTGTTGGACACGGCGTTAATGGCTGCGATCGAGGCTGCTCGTTTCACTGCTGGTTGATTCATGCTGCCTGTGATCCAGGACAAGATGACGATCGAAGCCGAGTAAAACGAGGCTGGCATTAACATCATCGCCACATCTGCCAGGAATAGATAGACATTAGACGTTTTGAAATCCGGAAGAAGAAAAAACGAATTTTAAGGCGGGATGATGGGGAGCCAGAAAACTTACATCGAGCCGCGATGTTCAGGGTGGAAACTGCAATGATATTCGCAACCACCGTGATGGCCAAGGGGCAGACAATATGGAGGTAGCGCTCTCGTTTGCGATCGGAATGGAAGCCATTGATCAGCATGCAGAACACGCAGAGGACAAAAGGTGGTGCGGTGAGTCCGTAGGTTTTGTTCCTCGAAAATCCGAGACCGCCCACCACTGAAGGGAAGAAGTTGTTGACCGAGGCGGAGATGTAGACCGAAGTCAAAAGGGCCATGAACATCCACATCTTTGGGTCGATGAGCGCCAGCATCAGGCCTTTGCGACCCGAGACTTCTTTGGAATTGTCCTGTTGGCCGAGATCGGATTCAAAGTTCCACAGCACCCATTGCCGCTCTTGCTCGGTAAAGCCTCGAAGATTGCGGATCGAGTTGGGCAGGATTAACGCAAAGATGATGGCGAAACCGATGGTGATGACTCCTTCGACCAGAAAGAGCTGGGTTTTGATGGTTAGCTTAGCACACAAAAATGGGATTCGGGATGGTTGTATGGCGTACCCATCGCCAGCCTTCCATTCCGTCTCTGCCGTCCAAGTTAAGGATCGCAATGGCGAAGAGTCCACCGAATGCATTTCCTAGCTGCGAGCCCGAGTATAAAATGGCCGTCCGCATTGCAAATTGCCGCCTCGAGTAGAACAAACTGATATAGTACAACGTCCCCGGGAAAAATGCGGCTTCAACAAAGCCAAGGAAGAATCGACATGCTAGCAAGCCCCCGAAGGACTGAACGACCGCGGTAAGAGCCGAGATGAGACCCCAAACAGCCACTGCACAACAGATGTAGATGGCGGGATACCGGATCTTGCCAACAACGATGTTGGACGGAATTTGCATCAGAATGTACCCACAGAACAAAATACTGACACAAGTCTGATAATCGACGGCCGACAGGTCGAGGTCTTTGTCAATATCGGCCAATTTGGCACTTGCAATGTTCTGCAGTACTGTAACGTCAGTGAATCGATACTCTGGAGATCCGAAGGAGGTAAAGCTTGTACCTGTCGGTCGAGGTAGTTGAGGATGTACAAGACTGTGACGCAGGGCATGATGAAGCAATCCAACTTCAACGTAGCCTTCCGACCGACTGAAGCGAGTTCCCCTTCAGAGATGCCGATCAGTCCATCTGGCTTCACCATATGGGAGTGTTCGATGCGAGCTTTCTCTGCTCCGACATCTTCGACGGCCATGGTGGAGAGTTTGCCCTGTTCACTCATGTCTTTTGTGTCCATTTTGCAGCAAATTGGATGCTCTTAAAGATCAACGAGAGGAAGAGAGTAGTCTGAGATGAGATTGATTCCTTGGAGAGGAGACTCTGTTGTGTTTTCAATAAGAAGAGAAGCTGGGTACGAGGAGCTGCTTCACACCGCCCGCATATCATCAACTGGGTCCTACCCTAGCCGTGTGAGGTGATCGTCTTGCGGAGAGTTGGGGGTTGAACTGAAAGATAGCAAGATGCCTTCAGGCCCCCACGGGGAGAATCATACTCCTAGATTTAGGTCACCGTGAACAGCAGGGATCTGCAACACCCATGCTTCGCTTGCAGGAAATTCCGCCTGTTCTCCGACAAAAGGCTATTGTGGTTGTACTCATAGCGACTGGAGAGATTGACTGGCCAACTGAATTGGAGAAAGGAACTGGCCGCTGTATGCGTAAGCCGCCGTAAACGAGGTTAGCAAGTGGTGAGTAGTCGCTTCGACGCTGATGCCGTATTCTTCTCAAGCCGTGGCATTCTTCGTGTCATACTCATAAATCCAGGATAGTCCAGCTTTGGGACCAACCCACCTAAAATAAAACCACATCGTCCACTCCTTGAACAGTTGCCAGAAAGTACTGACTGAAGATTTCCTCATATCACCTCCTTTAGAGGTGAACGCCAGGGCTTGCTTCACACGCTGCTGTCTGATAGTCTGCCACTTGGTAAGATGGTCAATGATGTTGGCTTCATTGCGGCTGACCGATCCAAGGACGTCGGCGAGAGAACATGCGTCTTCGAAGGCCATGGCTGCGCCTACACCACCCGTAGGAGGCATTGCGTGGGCTGCATCGCCGACGACAATGATTCTTCCACTGCTGCTCATCCAGGAACTCAGCTCAGGGACTTTGTAATATCTTTTGGATGGCGTCAGCTTTGACTTTGAAAGGAGGATGGCTCACTGAACTTACGGCCATAATGTCAAGGTGTCTTTATCGACATTTCTGGAAGCAGCATGAACGACGTCAGGCCACTTCTCGTCCTCGTGATGCGACTGCAGGATCTCATAGAGTGCCGTCTTGTCAACCTGCAGTTTGGCCCATTCCTCCCGAGATTTGTCCTGGCTTTCGACGGTGGCAAAGCACCCAACTCGATCTCCGGTATAGCTACATGGCATGAACATAAAAGAGTTGAGCTTGCCCAACACCAAGCAAGGCATGTACATGCTCTCACTGGATGTCGGTAATTTCGACCTAGGCAGAGAACCTCCGACACCCATTTGTCCGCTGAACGTGGGGATAGCCATCGGCGCAAGATGACCGCGTACTCGAGAATGGATACCGTCGGCGCCAATCAGGAAATCCGCTTCCTCTGTATGACCGTCTGCGAAGGTAGCGATAACCGAGGAGTGGTCCGTCTCAGTGATGTCGACCAATTTTGAATTGTACCGAAGCTCGACCTTCCGCTCTCGCAGAATTTCGAGAAGTGTTTGACGGACCACGCCTCGAGATATCCGGAGGGCCTTGTAGCCGTATGTTTGCTGACTGCCATTCAGAACTGTGCCGATGTGGCTAAGATTGCGGGATGACAGGAACTGGAATTCTTCATAGTTCCAGCCGAGCTTCGATATCCGGTCGTAGACGCCAACGCGATCAAGAGCACGAAGGGCATTTGGCGCAAGGGCGACAAAGCCTCCGTCGAATGCTGATTCGTGGCGTAGTTCGAAGATTTTGCAGGAAATGTTGCATTGTTGTAGCGCAAGAGCTAGAACAGGGCCCTAGCATATTGTCAGAGATAGAGCGCAAAACCGGGCACCGACTTACACCCAAGCCGCCTCCAATGATGATGACCTTCATGTTGATTACTGTTGGGTATTTGAATAAACTCCAAACTTGGCTGGACTGATACGGCGGAGAAAAGAGCGGCGGTGAAAGAACAAATGTTAGTTGTCTGTAAGTTTGTGGATTCCGGATGACCAGATGGGATACCTAAACACGACAGCATCAATATATATGCAAGAGGACTTGGCCCACGTTCCACGGAGACATTCGTTGCAAGGCACAAATGGGTGGCAGCCAGAGTAAGTGTCTACCACCTCGTATGCGGTGAATGAGGTGACCGTATTCTCGCACGAAGTCACGTCGGAAGATTCCAGGCCGCAAGAGCCGAATTTTCCCAGGGAATACGAACTTCCTCGCTTGTTGAAGTAGCCAAAAAAGCACCTACCACACAAATTTAGGCACAGACCACGAGGCAGGCTGATGAGGCTGTGCTCAGAGTCCTCGGCTCGCATCGTGCTTGGCCGAAGGAGGAAATCAAAGCCGGTGGCTAGATGGATCTTAGGTCACTTACCACGGGAACGCTTCCGAAGTGCGGGCGTTGTGTTAGTGACGGCTGGATCTCAACCAGCGCATCGCAGTAGTGACTAAGCAACCAGACCTCAGAGAACCACATACTGTTATTCGCAGTCGCTGTGCCATAGGTTTTGTAGTGTCGTTCGCTTTTGCATCGTCGAACAATTTCCACCGTCCGTCCGAAACAGTAGTCGGCTCTAGAATATCATCTGATAACTTCACTTGATAAAGCAACTTAGCGGTCTGGGTTATGGCACTTGCGGATGGACACAGGCTGCGTAAGATTGAATTCTCATGGACCGTACATTCATGGATCGTGTTGGCCGTCCTGCAGTCAGTGCGATCTTCTCAAGAATCGAGACTCCCTTCGTTGTGTCAGCATATTGGCTTGAACCCATTGATGATTCATCCGCGATCGAGTAAATTGCAAGGAATAGTAATCACTGATGGCAAAGAAGCAGCGCAATCACCGAGTATGCCTTATAATGTGAGATTCCGGTCACCACAAGGGATATAAAAGGGGATCGACCTGCACCCGCGATCAAGTCCATCCTCCGTCTGTATTTGCGCAACACATACCTCGTTGGAAAGAGTCTTTGGAGCAGGCATGAAATCGATATTTGCCTCGACGCTCGTAGCGGTCTTGGTCTGCGCTGGACTCTGCGATTTCGTAACCAGTAAGGAAGGCCTACAAGTTGACGTGTATCACCAAGCCCCGGCAAGTGTTGTGTATCAAAACTCAACTGAGCTTTCTTTCTCTCCGACGGCCTTCGCATTGATCCACGGGAAACACGACGCTGTGCTCATCGATGCTCCTGCAACAATAGCACAAGGACACGCCCTCGCAGATTGGATCCATCGAATAATACCTGGCAAACAATTGAAGAAGATATACATCACCCATGGGCATGGCGATCACTTCTTCACCGGCCCAATCATCCAGCAACGTTACCCTGGCGCTCAAATTGTGGCGAAGAAGGACGTTTCCGACCATATGCTGCAGCAATACGAACCTGAATTCTTTGCTTTTGTATGGGGGTCCACTCTTCCCGGGAGGCCAAGTAACCGATATCCCTTATCCTGCGAAAGTGCTCCCAGAGAATGGAACTTTTTATCTCGAAGGTCATGCGCTTCAGGCAGTTGAGGTCGGCCAGAGCGACACGTACAACACCACGGTGTTGCACGTGCCAGACCTCGATCTGGTTGTTGGAGGAGACGTGGTATACGGCCACTGCCACCAGTTATTTGCGGAAGACTCCACTTCGGCGTTGCGAAATGAATGGCTCAACAGTCTGGACAAAGTCGCTGCATTGAAGCCGAAGTTGGTCATACCCTCTCATATGCAGTCTCATGATGGATACAGACCCAGCCACATCGACGAAACCGAGCAGTATATACGTCTCTGGGAGCAGCTTCGGGCAAATTCAAGCAGTTGGCAAGAGCTGGAAGCAAGAACAAAGAAGAACTTTCCGCACCGGACTGGAAACTTCTTACTCCGTTGGGGCTCGCAAGCACCGTTCAATGCGTCATTTTAACGCAAGGGGGGGGCTTGGGCGGTATTTCAGTCGCGTTGCCGTATGATGGCTACTGTGTTCCATCTCAGGAGATGTAGTCGCGCTGAATTGGCCTGAGTGAGCGATAGAGCGGGAAGTATACATCGCTATCATAAGTTGGATCAGGGACAATTGTCATCGAAAAGTCTATGTTCAATGCTGAGGAAGTGGTAGGAAGAAGGAAATTACATGGGACGGAGGAAGGTCAACGGAAAGCGAAGGGGAGGCCAATCTCGCTCGGTCATGTGACCTCGTGTTCTTTTCGTCTCTGCCAAGCCTTGGACGCGTTGGCGGACAGCATCTTGCAGTCGAAGTTGCAGACATTCGGCGCTGCCAGGCCAGAGTACTCGTAACTGATTCTCTTGATCTTTGCAACGTCGTCTACTGTTCGGTCGCCGAATATCCACCCTTGATGCAGGGATATTGAGTGCTGCACACGTTAAGAAGTCCAGCCTTCGCAGATATTTCCTCCTGCCTGCGGCTTGTCCTTTCGGCTCGAACCCTGTTGATCGATCCCTATGCCTCCCCTTCTTCAGACCTTTGAATGAAGAGCTGTCGAACGCCGGCCAAGCCAAATGATTTCCTGCGCAGTAAAGAGATGGAAAACACCTAGAGCCACAGATACGGTGTATTGCCTTCCAGCTAAAGGGTCAAAGCTGTCTTTCATGCCAGGGGACTGTCTCGACGACGCTCACTCACGTCCCACTCACTCTCATTCGACTGTTGATCGCGAGCAGCAGGGTGTGGAGCACCTCCAACGTCGGAATGGCGACTCTCAGCTCCCTCCCTCTTCGTACGGGCGTGCCGAGGATGACCTCCACTTCCATAGGTCTGCCCATTTTGCAATCTGTCTGCATACTGCTCCCAATGGGTGGCATTGCTAAGATCCTGTCGATGAGTATATCAATCAAGTCATACTGAAGTGGAACGTCGCATTTTTGGGCGACGTCGATGACTTCTCGCATCAGTTTTCGTGTCATGGGCATAGAATCAGGCGAAGACTTGAGCCAGGAGTGCGTATCGAGCATGGTGAGTGTGGTCAGTGAATTCCAGGCACAGTTCCAAACGACCTTCTCCCAACGCTGGATTTGGATATTGTCTTCGACTGTAAATGGCGTTCGGCCTTCTCGCAGCAAGGAGGTGAACTCGTTGAGTTTGTCCCTTTCCATGCTAGGGTCTAGGCTCTTGTCGGGGAAAACGCCTATCTGTGTGTTTTCCGATGCCATATGGGTCACAAAGCCAGGAGTGTCCTGTTTGGCACCAACCCAAGTCTTATTGCTCTTCGTCAGCCCAAAGGTCTGCTCGCTGAATGGAGACTTACCACGCAGCTCAGTATGGGGCATTGCGGAAATGCTTCACGAAAAGGATCTTCATTCCCCACGCCATTCTGAATGATGACGATGCAGGTCTTGGTCTCGTCGATTGCAGGTGCCAATTGTTTTGGCACCGAAGATTGGTCAATGGCCTTGTGCACGCAGACCACATAGTCGTATTTCTCTCCAGCCTCGGCAGGCGTTTTCAGCACTGCACCATGATCAGTGATGCGACCACGACGGCTTCAACGCTACGTACCCTTTGCTGGCTTCACGACATGATTTCCATGGTTCATACTACTGATATGCAGGCCCTAGAAGGCAAAGTTGTCAACTTGTGACCAGATCCCTTGATATATGTGGATACTGACATTGTCTTTGACAGCCTGATAGTTTGAGCGAGCCACAACAGCCAGACGCACACGAGGACTCTGGCTCAAGACAAATGCGTAAAAGGATCCGATACTGTCGAGCGGACGTCAGAACGCGCCGACCACATCATTTTGGGTGACAAACTCACGCCCCTAGGCCATATAGCATCACATTGATCTGTTCCCCCATTTCGAATCGAACCTTCTGTGGGTGAGCGACAGGTCGCAGTTCTTCCGTATCCTCAGATGGTAGATTGTTGGCAATATCAGCCCTCTTCAAAGTTTCCAATTACAAACTGTTCGCTGTTCATACAAGCAGCAATACGAGCTGGACTGGCAAGACGCCCTTCAATGACATAGTGTTGCATGACCCGGCATTTGTGTGGTGAAGTTGCCTCTCCATCCTGGTCTGTGATGGTGGGGGTTGGTACAGTAGCTGGTTGGGGGCTTGGGGTTTCGGGTAAATAGTGAGCCGAACCCATGGCCTGGTGAGCTCATCGTGGTCCTCACTGAACCTTACCTAATGTTCATCATCTCATTAAGAACAGTACAGAGTATACGGTACATTTCTATCCAAATCTAAAGTACGGAATATCATCTGGATTGAAGAGGTGCCTCGGATGGTTGGTTCAAGAGCCGGCGAAAGGAAGTGTCCTGGCTCCATCAGCCCTGACTGGACAACTAAAGGTGCCACCCACCCAGCCACCTGCGTGAGAAGCAGAAGTCGGCGGTGATAGCGGTGAGGGATGGACGCCTTGGGCGCACTGACTGTTGGCCAATATCCGTACTATCACAGGACTTGGCCGAACCTGCCCAAACGAAGATGGTTGGAGAGTGAAGCCAGCTTTGCTGGTGAGGCTGAAATTCCTGCACCATGATGGCCCTTGCGACGCCTGTCAAAACTGGTCCCGAGCGATGTGACAATGCGGAAACATGTCGTGCCGTGGCTTGGACGAGGCTCTCGGGCTATCAGCGTCAAGAACCAAAGGATTGCAAGAATTCAGATGGTTGACAGTCGTCTACCAGGGCATTTGTCCGCATCATGACGGTGATTGCACCACGATCTTCGCCCAAGACCCAGTCTCCCATTGATGCAGTGTATTGTACTAATAAAATGCGCTCGCTTGGAGGCTGGCTGGACTCCGTAGCCGTGTTTCTTGCCGATTGAAGCAGGAACTAGTTACTACACTTCTCTGACAGCCACGGCCTACTTCATGAAACGGTTCAGACGGATGTGCTGCGAGAAGGGGCTATTAATGTACCATGGTAGGGGCTAACGGCACAGCTTGCATGGTTTCCCCAGGCACATGGAGCTGAAGAACGCTGTATGCGGAAAAGGTTCCGGTCGAGGTATTAGGCATGAGCCAATGGAAGTCTAGGCGTTCTCGGGGGGAAGCGAGAGAAGCCTGGTGCTCCTGTCTAGGTGCCTGTGGTCGTTGGGAGTGGTGAGGCTAAGTATGATACTTGTCCTAATTACGGCGTAGCTAGTTAAGACAATCGCTTACATAGTACACTGATGACACCAAAGAATTGAGTACGACGATGCACTCTGACGGTGCCATCATGTGCGTTGTAGGAGCCCCGCGTCTTGTTTCCTCCATTTCTCGTACAGACACCCAGTCTCGTGCCCATCTGTCTCGAGAGCACACTGACCACCATCCTCCACTGACCACTGACCACTAACCACTGACCACTGACCGCTGGCCACCTGGAGAGACCATCCGCTCGCCTATTGGTACCTCCATTTTTTTCCGGGGAAGTTTGCTGGCTAATTCTGCCAACCCTGCCAACCCCGGTCTGAGCTTCTCATTCAACCACCTTTCCCACCATCTTTTGTTCATTCATCAGCCTGCCTATGACAGCCAGACTCCGACCACATTGAGCCCACCTAATGAACACAGTACCGCGACAGTCTCGCAAGGCGATTTCCTGACCATCACGCCTCCATTGACCATCGGTCTCCGTGGACAGGACATATTTCCACCAACTCACTAACGCGTCACCGACCCAGGCCGCGTTCATGACCAAAGTGTTCAGGATAAGTGGCCCACTGCGCTTCGAGAAATGGATCAAGTCCGTCCTTGGGATGAGAGGTTCCATTGCCCGTCATGTTCGAAGTCATTTGTGAGGAAGGCGCATATGTTGCGCCATCAACAGCAACGTCAGTAAACTCGCCACGGTGTTGTGAGAAGGACCTCAAATCTGACCTTGACATGCAGACATCGCGCAGAGACCTTTCTCGTGCAATTTTTGTTCCAAATGCTTCAAGCGAAGGTAAGGTTGTTATGCGTAGCGTGGCAGAACATCCTTTCTCAGCTGTCACAGTGACGTCCTCCGCGCACATCAGTTTCGATGCAAAGAACGAGGCGAGGCTCCAGTGCCAGAAGGCCAAAGTAAAGGCCGCAAAAGGTCTTCATGCCTGTCATGCGTCAAGCTAAGGACCCGATGCGATCAAGAGACGCCCTGTGGTCGATGTCAGGAGTTAGGCAAGGATTGCGTGAGAGGTAAAAATACTGCTCTGCCACTGATCCTGCCTACTTTCTGTATTGATATCTCCTTGCAGTGTCAAGTCCGCAAAAGTCATCAGAGCATCTGAGACCAAAGAGTCGAGATGCCATCCCAATCCACCATTTGCTGAATACTCCGGAGGGTGACGATTTCATTGGCCGCTTTCCAATCCGCAGTACCGTGGCAGCTGCAGCAGATGAAGACGACGATGCTGCTTTGGGTGAGGTCGAAATCTCTTCCGAAGCGTCACACTGGAGCGAGGACTATGAACCCAACGACGTCTTTATTGGCGCCCCTATACCCGATTACGAAAGCGTCAATTTTGATATTTTCTTTGGCGGCTTCGAAAGTCTCACGTTCGGTGCCTATCCTCTACATCATGACTTGTCACAGGTCACCAGCGTAGAAGGTCTAGCTTCACCATCGACAATGGCACTGGAACCCCGTGCCTATGAAATTCGGCAGCTGCTGTTGTCCACGGCTTCAAAGCTTTCGACCGAGTTCCCCGAAACCATCAATCTGATACAGCTGGCCTCAGACATCGAATTGCTCACGCACGCCGAGCTAGACCATTGCCTTGGTTTATACTTCGCCAACTATCACAGGCATTGTCCGATATTTCATCGACCGTCCTTTCAAGCCACGACAGTCCCAATCCCCCTACTTTTGGGCATGGTATCTCTGGGCGCAATGTACTCGCAGGAACGGGCAAAAGTCCTTTGGATGAAATGTCTGCTGGATGTGATGGAAGCATACGTCTTCTCGTGGCCAGGTCTCAGAGACGATTACGGTGGCTTTTTCACTCTGGCCGAGGCGCCTGACGAGGAGACGCTCGATTATCAGTTCCAGCTATTTCAAGGAGCTTATTTGATGGTCGTCGTCCAGTACTTCTCTGGGAACTTGGCGGCCCGGAGGAGAGCTCGAAGGCAGAGATTTACCACTGTGCTAAGTGTCCGTATCGTAATCCCGAAACGATTCATAGCTGACACTCCTCAGATTGCAAGGTCATTCCGCCTACCAATCGCGCAGCACGACAGCGTCGTTACGATCCCAGATGAGATGGCTTTTCAACGATGGGTACGGAAAGAAGTGCGAATACGGTGAGCGAGCCGTAATTCCCGATGCGCTCGAAGGACACATGATCTGACTAGCTATACAGAACGATGAATATCTTACTGGCTCTCGACTCCGCCATGGGTATATTCAACAACGTTCCGCCACGTATCCACTACGTCGAGCTCGATCTTCAAATGCCCTGCCACCCGGAGTTCTTTGAACTCTCTAGCTACGCAGAGATGTTGACTCGATCCTCCTTCCCCCGTACACGGATGAAATTGATCGACGCTTTTCAGAGACTTTTCTCTTCTCCTCGCGATTTGAAATCAGCGTTCCACAACGAAACATTGTGTTGTTGGGATATGCTGTATCTTATTCATGGTGTGTGCAGCCTAGCGACTAACACCTGCCCTTCTGGGAGGTCTAACGCTAACACTTGCGACTGCATTGTAGTCCTTTTCACGCACTCCACGCAACACCTGTTCGGAAATCCGATGAATCGTATGTCGCCGACCACACTTGCCGTGGGGCCGTCGTCCCACGTGCTTGAATCAATCAAAACAGCACTGAACAACTGGAAGACACTCTGGGACGAGGCCAAGAGAAGCCTGCCTCGGTCATCTGTTAGTGAGATGGGGTTTGAAACGTCCGCGGACAGTTATTGGACGTTGCTCAGAATGATCGTTCAGAAATTCGAGGCCAACTCAGCCAACGCTGCAGCAAATGAGGCCTACAATTGCCCCAACGGCACATACGGCAATGACCAATCTCAAACAGGAACATATTCCAACGGGACCAGTCAAAGAAGCTCAACTCCCGGGTTGGACTTTATGCCTCTGGAAGCGGATAGTGACAGCCAAGGGGCCCATCTGCGAAGGATCCTTGGTAAGTGAGTCAGTGTGGATCACGATCGAATCGGTCTTATATACGAACACCCGAACGGTATTGTGCGACCGAAGCCCAAGAGATCTGGCAAGGTCAATGTTCTGGGCCGGACAGAGTGCTCACGCCTACGACATGGGACGTTCTCGAGCTAGTCAACGTGGCTATTACATGCATAACAAACTGTGTATTCCTTTCAGGCGTCATGATATGAGTACAGGAGATGAAGGACACGGTTTTCAGCAACTTCCATTGACCGTACGGAATTGGAGCTTCCCAACTCTACTGGCTTGCCACGTACTCAAGCCCACTGTCGCTGGGATTCCGCAGTCTCGACGAGGCGTTGGGGCCCGTCTCGCCAAACAAGAGTGAGCAGCGAATCCAGCGAAACCAATCCCCGCCCCAAGCCATGATGAACCCATTGATTGAGAGTTTCCCGGACAAGTCTACTGTGGTAGGTGCTCTACTCCAGTGATGTCCAGGTGACACCCTTGCTTAGTTCCAAGGGGAAAATACCCACTCTCCACTCTGGGCAAGCCAAACTCACCTGGAGACTGGAGTCGACCATTTTAATGAGGGGCATGATGGGGGCATGCGGAGGGTCATATCCAAATGGTGTCTTCTGCGGGAGAGATCAAAGCACGGTTCGTGGGGCAGCAAGAATTGCCATTTCCAACTTAGTCCTGGACGAGGTACCTTTTCCGCACCAGCCCTTCCGTGAGCATCGGATCTGTCCCGTAGACCGTTGTTGGCGACAAGGAAGGTGGTTTAATCTTTTGTCCCCGTCCATGCCAGCCCTTTGGTGATTGCAGACCCTTCCACACTCTCGACGCCTTCTCAGACGATACTACAACTCCAGCAACAGTTCAAGCAGAATGTCGAATTCGACTTACGGCGGTCAAGGCTCGATCCCCGACCTCGCCGTCAGGTACAGTGGCGTGCCATCACGCTTATCACAAGAGGCCATCGACGCCAAATCAAAGCTATTCTCGCAGAAGACACTGCCCGACAGCGTTGCACGACGACGAACAGCGCTGCCACCTGGCGTGTCAAGAGAGAACTTCGACCAAGCCATTGCCGAGCTACGAAGTGCCCTGGGCCAGGAGAATGTCGAGCTCAACGACAAACCACTCGTAGACGGGTGGTACATGGAACATCCGTACGTTTTTATTCTTCTCATCGTGACCAAGACAAGGCAAGGCTGAGTCAACACTGTCCGGCATCTAGCAACACGCACGACGCATACCACATTGCCGACCAGGAAGAACTTATCGCCAGCGCCGTGGTGTACCCTTCCAGCACGGAGGAAGTGCAAAAAATCACCCGGTGGGCGAACCAGCACAAAATCCCCATCTACCCGATTTCCATGGGACGCAATATCGGCTACGGAGGTGCCGCTCCACGAATCCCCGGGTCCGTCGTCGTCGATCTAGGCCGTCGGATGAACAAGATCCTCGACATCGACGCGGACAATGCATCCTGCATCGTCGAGCCCGGCGTGTCGTACTTTGCTCTGTACGAGGAAATCCAACGACGAAAACTGCCGTTGTGGATTGATTGTCCCGACCTGGGCGGCGGCAGTGTGCTCGGCAACGCCATCGATCGTGGTGTCGGGTAAGTCTACGTCTCCTTTCGGCTCCCCATACCCTTCCTTGCTCTACTCATTCCGCACCTCTCGGTCCGCATTTTACTGAAGAATTCTTCGTTTGGTCCCGCAGATACACGCCATACGGCGACCACTTCGCCAACCACTGCGGAATGGAACTCGTCCTGCCTACGGGCGAACTACTCCGAACCGGCATGGGTGCCATGCCCGGCAAGGACGGCGCGGACAACCCGACGTGGCAATCGTTCCAGGCCGCGTACGGCCCTTACGTTGACGGCATCTTCAGCCAGTCCAACTACGGCATCATCACAAAGATGGGCTTCTGGCTCATGCCGGCGACATCGCACCAGAGCTACATGATCACGTTCCCGCGCGAAGACGACCTGGAGCAGATCGTCGAGATCATCCGGCCGCTCGCGCAGAAGCGCGTGTTGGGCAACGTCCCTCAGCTGCGGCACGTCATCCAAGAACTCGCCGTCACGGGCAAGCCGCGCACCCATTGGTACAACCCCGAGGGCAGCAAAAACAAAAGGGGGGGCCAGATGCCGCGCGACGTGATCCGCCAGCGGGCCTCTACCTTGCCCTGCGGCGACGTGTCGTGGGTGTTTTACGGCACGCAGTACGGCGACGAGGCCACGATCGCGGCGCAATTGGATCTGATCAAAAAGGAATTCGCCAAGGTCCGGGGTTCCAAGTTCATGCTGCCCCATCAACTACCGCAGGACCATTACCTGCACTCGCGCGTGGCCGTGTGCAGCGGCGTGCCCGCGCTCCGCGAACTGGACTGGCTGAACTGGGTCCCCAACGCGGCGCACCTGTTCTTCTCGCCCATCTCGCCGACAAAGGGGAAGGACGCGACCGTCATCCACAGCATCATCTGCCGGCTGCACGCCAAGTATGGCTTCGACGTATTTCCGACCATGTGTGTCGCGGGCCGCGAGATGCATTACATTGCCAACATCGTCTATGACCGCGCGGACCGGGACGCCAAACAGCGTGCCACAAGCCTCATGCGCGAGATGATCCGTGAAGCCGCCAACCAGGGCTACGGCGAGTACAGGACGCATCTGCTCTTCGCCGACCAGGTCGCCGAGACGTACAGCTGGGGCGGTGGCGCCTTGAGGAAGTTCAATGAGACGGTCAAGGATGCCTTGGACCCCAATGGGATCCTGGCCCCCGGACGGAACGGCATCTGGGGCAAGAGGTTCAGAGGCAAGGGCTGGGAGATCCTCGATGGAGATAAGAGGGACATGCTGAAGGATGGAATTAGTCCGAAGTTGTGAAAAACTAATAACTAGTACGGAGTCGTAGTTGTACGGACAGATAGATTTACCACCACCACCACCACCACCACCACCAGGAAGTGGTCGCACTTTTTGGCAAGGCACGAGATATATTTTCCCAATGTACATGGCAGACTGACTAGATACGAAGTACTAGTACTTAGTATAAAAAACCCAAACGAAACAAAAATTTGCGGGCAGATAATCCACGAACCAACCAGGTTCTACATTTGATCTTGACTCTGGTGTAGGAGAGGACAGGAGGCATGATGAACGTGTCGTGTCAACGGGATTTTTGATCGAATTTGTTCTGAACTCCCCCTACTAGTACCTATCCCATCACATCCAAGTCACACTCCATTCTCTCGAAACGAGACAAAAGCCCAATCCACGATAATCAATAAAAAGGGGAGTGCTCAATCTTCCCTGTCCTCGATTCCTGGTATCAACAAAGGGGAGTGATCTTTCCCGTCCTCAATTCCTCGGCCACGATCTTGGACACCTCTGGCCATCGCTTGACCGTATCCGCCTCGGCGTCGTAGTCATACAGCACAGCATTCTGATTAGGAGGACGAGGTTAGCCACTTTCCCAGTTTCCATATAGGGCTAGGTTTGGTTCGGGTCGCTTGCTGGTCCGGGAAGCATCGACATCGACATCGCCATCGACAAGTGCGCAAAAGGGGCAGCGGGTGGGTGGTGGGTCGTAACCATCGAAATGGAGGGCTCACCTTGATCAAAATGCTATCCGGATCAATCTCCTCTCCTTCGGCTACCCGGTCCAAGGCGCCATGCCATCGGTCCCGCAAGTCTTCACCATTGGTCTGCGATCTTCGGACCCGCGGGAATCGAATCTTCTCGTATACTCGGGTCTGACAAGGCACCAGACACAGTCAGCACAACACCTTAAAGGGAAAAAAGGGGAAAAGGAACAAGCTAACGCCTGAAAAAAAAAAAAAAAGTTGGTGAATGGGAAGTCCAAGAAATCCAGGCAAGTTCCCCCCCCCTCCTCGAAAGCCCTTGGAAGGGGAAAACTTACCGCCAATGGCACATCATCCTTGCCTGCCAGCAACAAGCATTGCGCAAGCACGGCAGCACTTTCGGTGGCCTGGCTGGCTCCTTGAGCACTGGTAGGCAGATGTGGATGACAGCAGTCTCCGATCAGGGCGACCTTATGGTTTTTGCTGACCCATGTCGGGATGGGGTCACGGTAGCAGATCTTCCAATCCAGGCAGGAGTCGGTCTTCCTGACTATTGCCGCAACTCGCGGATCACAATCTTCAACGAGCTCACGAACGGCATCCATATCGCCTGGCTGGAACCAAGACTCCTTGATGTCCTCGGTGTCCTTGTGGGTGATGATCCAGTTAAACTCCTCGCCGTTCCGCAAGGTATTCTGAACCAGGTGCTTATCCTTGCCGATCCAGATGTTGACACATTCCTGTTCGACGAACTCGGCAGTTAATGGGTCGCCTCGGAGATGGTCGCCCTTGAAGAACGCTCGAAAGCAGGCATACCCTGACGACTTGGGTTTGTCGTCAAATCCAAGCACAAGTTCTCGAGCTCGCGATTTGATCCCTGGGTCCACGGTCAGAAGGGGGTGCGTCGAACCACTGTCAAAGACTTACCGTCGACAGCGATCACGATATCGGCGTAATGCTTTTCACCATTCTTCAGCGTTACCGAAGGCGCAGCATCATCGTAGTCGACAACCTGCCCGTGATGTCAATGGCAATGGCCTGTTGAAAGAAATCGCAAAACCCACCTCCTGGCCCATATGGACGGGGATCCCCTTCTCAGCAACAGCGTCGAGAAAGCCCTTGTGGTAGTCACCTCGATGACCGATATAACCAGCCATATCCATCAACGGCTGCTGAGCCAGGACTTTGCCATCGTGCCACCGTCGAATTTGCATCATCGGAGACTTGTTGCCGATCTCGATAAGTCTGTCTCGCAGTAACGGCGACCATCGATCAAGCAGCTTGAAAGCATTTTCACCCAGTCCGAGCGAATCTCCTAGCCGAAGGAATTCCCGGACCTTTTCGAACACGACGACTTCGAATCCCGCATGATGCATAGCCAGAGCAGTTGCACATCCTCCCAGACCTGCTCCAACAATGATAACTGGTGATATCGTTAGAATGCTTCATCGGGTCGGTTGTTCTTAGATTCCTACCTTTCAGGGGAGGCTCTGGGGCTATTGATCCCATTTTGCCAGTGATCGTTCAGAAGTTGGCGCAAAGGTCAAATTTCAAGCAAAGAATTCGGCTCTTTAGACAGTTTTCTTGACAGGCGTTCGACGATTGTTGACTTGATCTTGCCGCGTGTCTGAAATTTGAGAAACGCGCAAGGTGTCTGGACTCGAGAAAAGATATCAAAAGGGAATAAACCCATTGTCTGGAGTTAGGAAATACCTTGACCCGCATGAATTGGATGCAGGCCGGATGTGACTGCTCGGAAAGTCAGGGTTAGGCACATGCCGTGGCGTTCTCGAAGCCCAAGATGGGTTCATCTGTGGCCTGTCGCCTTGGGGAGGCGAGGCCAGGCATATGCGGAGGGCGGAGACGGTCTCCCAGTAGATGTGCGCAAATTCTAACCCCACCGTGCAGATGGCGCCGGGCTGAACCCATCAGGACCCCTTTAAGCCAGTGGTTTCGCATGTCAGGAGCGACTCGCCTAGAAAACGGACCCCGGCTTTCACCCATCAAGGCAACCTCAAACCCCAGAACGTCCTGATTCGTGCCCGTTGTCGAACCATGATGGGTGATCTCCTGCTCATCTCGTGACCGTTCTCCGTGGGGATGAAGGGTGAGTTTGTCAAAAGGCCACCTGCCGAACTCCCGAGCATCTTGCGAACCGCAAATCGTGAGCCGATGGGGATGCGCCCGGGACAATATGGGTATAGTCTGAATCTCCCCCTCATTCTGGTGAAGCGACGCGGGAATTACCTTGGTACGGCGCCCAGAGACGGGTAGAACAGCTCCAATATGGCTTTGTGCCACTACCGAAGCGGAATTGAGAGCGCATCTTGGAGTAGAAAAAGCAGAGGGTAGACCGTAGAAGGGAATTTGAGTGCATGCATGATTCGAATCCTTGAAAAGTCTTCTGACGTTGAATCCCATCGCACTTAGCTGACCGCCACTCAAACTGCTCGACTTCGCAACCAAGAGACCATGTCGGTCAAGACCGTTGGCTATATCGGCCTTGGAAAGGCGGGTGCCTCAATGGCATCCAACTTGCCTCGATCAAGCTTCAATCTGGTTGTGCGGGACGCCGACCCAGCGCGAGAAAAGGAGTTCGCCTCAAAGTATCAGAATGTTACCATTGCCGAGCCAGGACCCAATGCATTCAAAGACTGTGATGTGGTCATCACGATGCTGCCCCATGGTAAAGTCGTCCGAGAAGTGGTTTTGGGCGAAAACGGGATTGCAAAGGGTCTGAAATCCGGTACGTAAAATCGTGATAGGGCGTCGTAAATCCTGCCCATGATATATTGATGAAGTGTGGCAGGAACCATCATCGTTGATACCTCGTCGTCTTCACCCTACGACACACAAAGCTTAGGAAAAGATTTGGCGGATCTGGGGTTCGTCCTTGTCGACTCGCCGGTCACTCAGAAGCAGCTCCACGACACTGACACGGGCGAGGCCACGCTGATGGTCGGAACGGATTCCCAGGAAGCATTCGATAAGGTCCTCCCGGTTCTACAGGCCATGGCGAAATGGGTCTTCCATATGGGCAAACTCGGTGCCGGACACGCCATGAAGACGCTTAACAACTACACGAGCGCCGGTGCTATTGTTGCTTTGTCGGACGCGCTCGTGGCAGGACAAAAGTTCGGCCTTGACCCGGTCCAGATGATTGACGTCCTTAACGTCGGCACAGGACGAAACTTCTCGACATCGGACAGTTACGCCACCGATGCCCTACCCAAACGATATGCAACCGGGTATCAACTTGCACTTTTGGTCAAGGATATAGGTATCTCGAAAGAGCTCTTCGAGAAGGTGGATTTTGAGACCGATATGCCGGATCTGATCCTCAAGTATTTCAAGGAAGCGCAGAACGGACTTGAGCCGACGGCTGACCACACCGAGCTCTTGAAGAGTTGGGAGAAGAGAGCCGGCCTCACATTGAAAGTTGGCACTCCAGACGGCTCTACCGTCACCGCATTGAAGCAGTGATAGCCAAGCGCTCGACAGCTTTGTCCTTAGCTTGGTTTTGTTTTGAGGGTTTGGGCGCGGCGCAGGCAGAATAGGGCATACGGGCCAGTGATACGGAGCCCTTACAGCCACGATTCAAGTGTCACATACCTGCCTTGAGTCGAAGCTGTTTCTTGCAGATATTTCCACGTAAAGAATCGGGGACGGCGCAACTTCAGCTAGAAAATACGAGCCATCCGTGTCTTGGCGCAGCTGTTGCCTGGCTTAGACAGGGGTACCATGCCTGGGGAGAGTAGGTCCGGGGAAGGCATAAAAGCAGCTTCATGAATTCCATCTTTTGTTTTTGAGGACTCCGTTACTTCAGATATCGAGAGTGAGAATCAAAGATGGCCGTCTCTTCATCCTCAAGCAAGATTGTCAATTGCCTCTTTTTCGAATCCCAGGCTGAAGATGCTGCCAACTTCTATACTTCCATCTTCCCCAACTCTTCCATCGGAGACATTGCTCGCTTTCCCGGTGCTGGCGAAGAGGTTCACAAACAGCCAGCCAACTCGGCCATGTGTGTCGTCTTCGAGCTCAACGGCCACCAGTTCACCGCGTTGAACTCCAAACCCGCTGAAGTCCCTTTTACCGAAGCCGTTAGTTTTCAAATCATGTGCGACAATCAGGACGAAGTCGACCATTACTGGGACAAGCTGAGTGAGGGTGGTGACGAGACGAAGCAGATGTGCGGATGGCTGAAAGACAAGTACGGAGTGTCCTGGCAGGTTGTGCCCAAGGACATCACGAAGATCATGACCCAGGCGGAGCCGGACAAGCGTTCGCGCGCGATGCAGGCGTTCATGAAGATGCGCAAGATTATCATCCAGGATGTCATTGATGCTGTCGAAGGAAAGGGCGAGGAAGAAGAGGCTTGATGTCATTCGGACAGCCCTGCGTATGCGTATGCGTATGCTAGGGCGTGAGGCTGCCCAGCCAGGTATTCCAGGAGCCTGAGTCAAGCTGGAGCCTCGATCCCTGCCGTTGTAGCGGCGCACTTTGCCTGAAGAGTACCAACTCTGGCTCTGTTTAAAGTAATCCCATCACAGTGGGATGCTACACTCCTTGACTCATATTTCATGTCGTAGCGATACCGGACTGGCCCGTGTCCATTGTTGTGCGCGGTCTGCGGTCTGTTGTCGGACACAGTCAGCTCAGTAATCAGACAGCGGTCGTATTACGAGAGCTCACCTTTGATTCAAATGTTATCAGCGGCTTGCGTGTATATTGCGCGTGATACTGCAAATTTTCAAGCTCCCAGGAGGCCCAACGACGCATTGCTCGCCTCGCGCCCCAGAATTTCGCATGCTCCACACGCACCTCGTCTGCGTTTGCTACTTAAACTCTGGTACAGCTCGCTGTGAGGTACACGGCAGTCTGAACAATCGCTTCCAGAAGGAGCCATCATTGTCCCGGAACCTCAATTTGTGCCGCCAGGTTTCCAGGTGCCTGCCCTTTGTACTTCTTGAGTAACTCCTGAGTGATCCAATCTAAAGCTCGCAATGACCGAAGAAGAGGGCACATATCAACTTTCCCGGGACTACCTAGCCTCTGGAAGGTTGACTGCCCAGCACTATCTGATACTCCGTCGATCTGGATGGCTTCTTCATCCAGAAATCGCGTCAGCAGTCCGAGGTCGAACAGATCTTGCTATTGCGGACCTAGCCTGCGGGAATGCAGTAGGTCGAAGTCATGATTTCGAGGTTGAATGCTCACGGTAGCAAAACAGATTTGGGCTTTGGACATGGCGTCCGAGTTTCCTAATGCAACAGTCGTGGGCATGGACATCTCCACGCAACAGTTTCCGACCGAGGCTTCTTGGCCCCATAATCTATCCTTGGAGACTCACGACATGTTCCAAGCAGTGCCTGAAAAGTACGTCGGACGCTTTGATATTGTACACATCCGGCTTGTGTTGGCTGCTGTGCACAACCAGGGCAAGGACCGGTTGTTGCAAAATGTCTTGACACTGCTCAAGCCGGGCGGATATATCCAGTGGACGGAGGCTCTCTTACCGGTCTTCATCTCGCCCATAGAGCTCTCACCGTCGTCCGTCTTCCGTCAGCCTTCGGCTCTAGAAACGCACTGCAGGAAACTCATGGGAGCATCGGCGTGGCTCGCGCAATTGCATGACGAATTTGAAGCACGAGGCTTGACCAACACACAAAGAAGCATGATACCCCTTGTGCCCTGGCTCTCGAAGCAAGACAATGATAACACACTCGGAGTAATGGATGATATTCTTCGGAGTATGCAGAGCCGAGCCCCGAAAGCAGTTGTCGATGAACACAGAGCGATCATGGAGGAGACTGTGCGTGAAATGGGACAAGGGCGCATGTTTTTTGCGAAGTATTATACGGCCATCGGCCAGAAGCCAAGCTGAATAGAAGCAAGTCCGAGGATGGCCAGGTCAGTCGAGGCCGTCTTTGCCGATGCTGCCGAGTGGAGTTGCGAGATACGCGTCTTAGCCTTGTTCTTCCGAAGAAGATCCTGGTCGGTGGCTTGAAACGGCAGCTTCGAAGGAGATCGCTTGCTTGACAAACTTCGTGTTTGAGAGTCCTTTGACGTGGATAATACTGCGTAAAGTATTGGACGAAGAGGGTAAATCGCGATGATTGAATCGTCGATTGACGGCGTAAAGATCGCTCCAAAAGTCTACATGACAGTGCATTTGTGAGAGTAGTCGTACTGTGTTCCCCATCGGTCTACGCCTGCTTGAATCTCGTTTTCCCTCTGCTTCGCTTTGACTGCAGCTTTGAAATTGGTTTTCATGAACTTGATTAATTCTCGGTCGAGGTTGTCTGCGACCATATCAGTATAAGCATGCTCAAGTAGGGGTAAATGGAGACTTACCACTTGTGGCCTCCAAGACCACTGGTTCTCGACACAGCGGACAACGTTCCTGTAATGCTCTCTGCATAACCAACATACACCGAATGCAGAATACATGACCGCAATTTAGTCGGACAGGCTTGTATGAAATGGTGAAGCAGACTGGGCATAGATAGTCGTTGAGTTGCGGAATGACCTTCAGTAGCTCTTCCGAGATAGTAAAGCTTGTGGCTTTGGCCAGGTTCTGCGCCATGAAGGGAGATTTGATCAGAGCACCTGAAACAGTCGATCGTGCATGCAAGGCTGTCCGCTTGTCGAATTTCTTCATGATCTTGGCCAGAGCAGTCTTGTTAATCTCTTGGAATTTGATCAACCGGAGCAGTTTGACGTTGATGCGCAAAAAGCGGTCCAGGGCAACATTGGCGTCCTTGCCCAGCTTGAGGACTTCGTTCTGTTGCGCTGCCAAACTCTTGTTGAAATTTGAATACTGCATTTGTGCGTGATCGGCATCTCTGGCACCAGCGTCGGCTTCATGCGAAGACATGAAGATCTCGGCATCCGAGTATAGTTCGAAAATCTTCCTCCAAATCTCGATTTCCTGCTTTGATCGCTTGGATTTGGATGACTGTAGGGTGCGCAGTTCGTGGCCGAGTTGAGTGATCTCATTCTGTATGCGGCTCTGCTCTGAATTTTGTAACCGATCGAGATCAGCCAGCTCACGCCTCAATATCTGAAAGAACTCGGAATCGGACGTTAGTGGTACCTCAATCGTCTGGGGTTGCTGTTCTTCATTGTCAGGCGCATTATCACCATCATCTGATCTTGGTGAATCCGGCATGGCACTGCCGCTTGCTGGTCCCCTCGAGTCTTCTGGATGTCCATTTGCCGATTCGTTCCGATGAGGTGATGAAACGGAAGCCCTAGAATTTCGAGCAAGGCGTCGCAAGATGCGCCGAGTGTCTGGTGTTAACCAAGCATCCATGGGAGAACCATCTCGAGGATCAAGGAGGATTGTCAGCCTAGGTGTGAAGCTGACCTTTTCACTACCGTCGACCGAATACTGCACGAGCCGGTCGCCTAGATGTCCTTCAACCTCGGTGGCGCCGGAGCTTACATGCTGCCATAACGTGTCAAGAGTCTCCTTGTCTAGTCCAAGATTTGTGAGTTCTTGTTGGACGCGTTTGATGCACTTCTTGAGCTTTTTGTATGAGATGGCCGAGTCGATCCACTCCGGCGGATAATCGTCGCGCGAGAGGGCCGCTTCGAAACCTTGGCCGAACTTCATCGTGACAAGAATGGTGGAGACTGAGATGGGTATAACGAGAGGCTATGTTCCATTGAGTGAAATTGTCATTCTCAGGACGTCGTGTCTGATATACCACGGGGGAGAGTACGAGTTAGTTCGAGTTTTTCTCAGGGCAAAAGCAGAAATCAACCGGATGCGATATCCAGTCCCATGCCGTTCCCCAGACCAATATTTGGCCACCATCGCTCGATCGATGGCGGCTTGGTAAATGGGCGACGGCAGGCTAGAACACGGCCCGGATTGAATGAGATTGCCCACACTCTTCGGCGTGCCCTGCGATTTGACAGGAAGCAATCTTTACTCACAGGGTGACGGGCACTAAACTGAGAGAGGCGAACAGGCGGGCGAGTGGTGAGAGGCCATTAGGTGGCCATGACGCGCCGGAAGTTTTCTTCGTTTGCACGTGACTGAGGCAATTTTTTGCTTAGCGCAGCCTCGGAATGAGATCAGAAGGACCAGAAGACCAGAAGTGACCCGACGAGGCTTAGGAATTGGCATATCTGCGGTGAAATCTTCAGAGGAGGTCGAAGGGGCTTGGTGGGCAGGGATGATTCTGATGGACGACTTTGGCTGATCTCCTTGCTGCGTTCCTTGTTGCGTTCTGCTCATCATGGGTCAACGACAGTCCACAAACAATGCTCCCCAAGACGAGCCTCCTGCAAAGGCCGACTACTATGAGCTGTTGGGTGTTGAGCGAACTGCGACTGACGATGAGATCAAGAAAGCCTACCGACGCAAAGCCCTGGAGTTACATCCCGATCGAAACTACGGCAATGTCGAACATGCCACCAGTCTCTTCGCTGAAATCCAGACCGCCTACGAAGTCCTCTCCGATCCGCAGGAACGAGCATGGTATGACTCTCACCGCGACATCCTCCTCCGAGGAGATCAAGCCACCGGCCCAGACGCGGACGAGTTCTCCTACAACATTCGTATGACATCTGCGGACGAAGTACTCAAGTTGATGGTAAAATTCAATGGCCGCTTAGACTACACCGATGCTCCAAGCGGTTTCTTTGGTGGCTTAAATGACTTTTTCAAACAGCTGGCGCAAGAGGAAGATATTGCTTGTCAATGGGAGGGTCTGGATGCCGTCGAATATCCCGAATTTGGTCTGAAAGATGACGACTACGAGGATGTGGTGCGACCCTTCTACGCAGTCTGGAACGGTTTTGCTACGAGAAAGAGTTATTCTTGGAAGGACCAATACCGCTTGTCGGATGCTCCAGATCGTAGAATCAGACGGCTGATGGAGAAGGAGAACAAGAAATTGCGCGAAGAAGCCAGTCAGGAATACAACGAAGCTGTGCGATCCCTTGTTGCCTTCGTGCGAAAGCGAGACCCCCGAGTACAGAACAATCAAAAATCAGAAGCAGAGCGACAAAAGGCTCTCCGCGAGGCGACCGCAGCGCAAGCGGCCCGATCAAGAGCCGCAAGACAAGCCAAAATGGAAGACATGAACGCAGCTGCGATACCAGAATGGGCGAAGTCAAGACCTGCCAAGGACGAACATGAAGGAGGCTTCTCGAGCGAGTCTGAAGTCGAAGAGCACGAATACGATTGTGTGGTTTGTGATAAGACCTTCAAGAGCGAGGCCCAGTTCAAGGCACACGAAAAGAGCAAAAAACACATCAAGCTGCTGAAACAGCTGCAAAGAGAGATGCAGGCTGAAGGTGCGGCTTTGGAGCTGGAGGCCGAGAGGTCAAGCCCACAACCAGAAATCGTAGGGAGTGACGAGGAAGAAAGTCCAGCAGACCCCAAGTACACCACTCAGAAGTCGCAGGTAGTATCTGATGCCGAATCCGAACACCATGACGGCGACGCTTCTGACAACCCCGCGGATAGTCCAGTGGTCAACGGGACGGCCAAGCCGCAGGAAGCTTTCGAGGATTCTGAGGCAACCGACGACGATTATGCTCCACGGGCGGATATTACGCAACGATTAGCAGCAGGAGCAGCCTCAGCAGACGATATACCCCTCGAACTGGGCAACATGAGCTTGGAAGGCACGCCGATCACATCAGAACCCGAAGAGACAGCACAACCAAAGTTAGGCAAGGCCAAGCAGAAAAGAGCAAAGAAGGCAGCGCAAAAGTCGACAGAGCAACCTGACAAGGCTGTTTCGGAGTTTCAATGCGCTGTCTGCAAGGCCGACTTCCCGTCCAAGACGAAGCTGTTCGCCCATATCAAGGACAAGAACCATGCAGCCTTGAAGACCGAAATCAAGGGGTCGAAAGGTGGGAAAGGAAAGAAGAGGTAGCCGCTCACAACTACAAGGCTCCCGGGACAACCCTGTTCATTTTGAATGTGATATGCATAGCGCAGGCGTTTGGAGCGTACTATGTCCTTAGGTCTTAGGAGTTCACGCAGGCAATGGCCTATCATGATAGCATTTGAACCTTGCAATACCCCATTGTGTCCCTTGTAACTACTACAAGTAGTCAATGGCTCGATCTTCCTTTAATTAGAGGAGTAGACGAACGGTTTCACTTTAGCGAATGTTGCGTGATTCGGTGTATCAGACGTGCCGAGGCAGCCACCTACTTAGCACAGTTGATTCCTGTCCTCGCCTGTGGTGGTCACATCGTCCCTCACCGCATTTGGGTTGTGTTCAAGAAATAGGCCGTGGGCCCCGCGAGTGCCATGTCTGAAGATGGTTCTGTCCATCTCATAAGAAGACACACTGGAAGCTTTGCAAAGCAAAACAAAAACAGCGAGCCGCTGCCCGGGGAGATTGACGCCTAAGGAGTCGGCTGCATCAGAGCCTTTCTTTTCGAAGCAAAAACACCATAAATGCGCGTTGACTCCTTGAGTTGCATAGAGCCCAGCCCATAACTTTGAGCTTTTCCAGTATCGCTTCGACAACTGGAAGAACCTCATTGCGGAAAAGCCGCCCTCGAAAATGGTCGACACACGATGCGCAGATCCCGACCTGCAACTGGACGTGGACATCATGATCCTGGAATACACACTATATCAAGCCGTTAAGGCGCAGTTCGACTTCCTCTCCAGTAGTGGGTGTCAAGACGAAGCCGAAGCCAAAGCCAAAGCCATCTCATCCACGCGGGTCCTCTCTATCTTCGACTCCTTCATCTATTATTTCAATGCAACGTATCCATCCCACGTCAAGTCCACCGAATTCTTCAACAACCTCGACATCCTGGAATTTCTCGGCCTCCTCTCAAGTCGTTCTACTGCGTCCACGATCCAGTTCTCCGACAACATGCCCGAGAAGTTCCGGCAAGCTTCGTCCAACAACCTCGCAGCACGTCGCCACTGGCTCGCCGCGCGAGAGCGACAGGCCCGAAAGCTGAGCAAGCAACCCCAACCCGCCTACTCCTCCTTCGCCGCCGCCGCAAACGTCAGTATCCAGGACGACGTCGAGGACCAGATCTGCGACGCCTGGAATCAGCATGAGCATCAGCATCAGCATCAGCTTCAACATGACTCCACAACCTCTCTTGCTGCGTCTGCGCCAACGACTAACGAAAATCCACCACCACCACCCCTATTATTCGATCTCATCCCCCGATTCATGGATGTGTCAGCCGAGATCTCAGCCCTGCTCGGCCACCACCCCAACGAAACCTGGATGCACATCGCCGCCCAATTCATGCTCCAAGCCAGCCTCGAAGCCCTCCATGCCCGTCTTCTCGTCCGCGGCGACAGCGACGCCTTACTACCCAGGCTCGACGACTGTTTCGCATGGGGCTACGTCGAGCCTATTCTTCTAGCCACCGACAATCCATCCTCCCTCGATGGATGTTCTCTCGACGAAATGGTCGAACTCGTCAACGAACTCTTTTGCGACCCGTCAGACCCCGCAACTCGGGACCCGTCTCCTTCTTGTCCTTGGGCGTCTCCTTCATCTTCTCCTTCAAGTCTCAGAGAAAATCCAAACTGGACGAGCATCCGGACACAATACCTCTCCGAATTCTCCATCGCCTCCGACGCCTCGGCGCAATCGCAGACCTGCAGGCTCGACCGGCTCACGACGAAATATCCGCCTGGGGAATTTCAGCAGCAATTAACCTCGTTCATGCGGAATATATGGGACTTGTTCTGTAACCAATTAAACGCCAAGCCGGTCCTCGCGCAGATCGAGGAGGACGGTCATCTCAAGACTCTGGGCATCTGCGTCGAGGGCGCCGAGTTCGACGACTTTCTGGGGAGAGTGGGACTTCACAAGAACGCGGCCGGCATTTTGACCTTGGATCATTGTCTGGATGATAAGCCCAGTGCGTCGCCCGAAGTGCGCCCTCAATCTCGATCTCAGGCTCAGTCGCAGGCTCAGGTCAGGGGTGGTGGCTTCGTGAGCAGTGGCAATGCCTGGCGCCAGTCGAGGCTGAGGCCGAGTATTTGAATACTACTTACCTGAGGTAGTTACGATAGCATTATAGCATATGATACCCCCCGCGCCCGCCCCTTTTTATCGGCACCAGCCATCAGGTTCAATTCTTCCCACTAGCTTCCCACGGGAGACCAGTCCACCTGGCATCTCCGCCTCGGGCATAAAATTCCCCATACTCCGTACAAGGAAGTACTACTAGTAGTGAGAAATAATCAGAGAGCTACATACAGTACGACCTCAGCTCAGCTCAGCTCAGCTCTTGTTCCCCATTACCTTCTCATCAGACCCCGTCCATTTACTGCGGACACTCTTCCCCGCCGTCTGCGTTGTGACTGCAACGATGAGAAGGCGAAACAGGACCAGGACCAGGACCAGGACCATGACCATGACCATGACCAGGACGATTACATTCATTCATCATTACGCTAGCCAATACTCGGAAGAGAGTTTTGTATCCGAATGCCAGCCGAATACTCCGTAGGAGAGTCATTTCGTATTCCCGCCAGCTATACTAATCCCCGCCTCCGCCTCCATACCTTTTGCATTGCCGATCCACAGATGGAGGTTCAGTCACGATGTGCCAACCTAGAAGACTAAAAACCCCGCCTCACACCACTCACCACTCACCAAACCCTCACCTCACCTCAATCATCAGGATACTCTTCACGCACATTACTCACAAACATGCCCGTGCTTGGATCGTACCGCTTGAACCACTTCCCGATCTCGATGGGGAAAGAGTTGAGCACCTCCTCGGTGATCTCCTCTGGCGACAACACGATCACGTTCTCCTGGGCGACGTACCTCGTCGACTCGTCGTCGACCAGGACGTTGTAGAAGGGCTGGTGTCGGCCATTCGGCAACCGGTCGACCTGGTTATGCGCGATCCACTGCTCCTGCATCCGACAGTACGGGTCCCAGCCATAAATCACGGCGAGGTACTCCCGAATACGGTGCCGGAAGACGTGGCCGACGCGGTACGTGACGACGTCGTTGCGGGGCTCGGAGCGGTATTTCGGAGGTCGCGATTCGTGGTCCGAGTCCTTGAGTTGGTGGATCAGATTCCGATACGCCCGGGCGTCGGGCAAGAAATTCGTGAGTGAGAGGATGCGCGTTTCGAAGAGGTGGATGTCGAGGTCGAAGTACTCGAGGAAATGCTGTGTCAGGACGGAGAGGTGTTGGCGGAGTTGCGCTGGCTGGTGGTGACTTGGTGATGAAGGCAAAAGGACGAGGGAGAACAGGGCCGCGTATGTGGCGAGGTTGGGGTTGATGGGGTGCACAGGTGGGCCCCGGTAGTGCGATGGCGACGACAGGATGTTGTGGGCAGTACGGATGGTGAGGTCTCGTGGTGATGCCGCGGAGAGGTATGAAGCTAATTGGGCGGCTGTGGACGTGGGGGCAATGAATCGCGCCCGTTCCAGCAACGTCGAATAGGATAAGGGTTCGGAAGTGTTGAAAGGGTCCATGTAAAGGTGCGTGAGCTCGGATTGTTGTTCAGGACGAGGGTGCTCCGGCAGAGGATTGCCGTTGATGTCAATGCCTGGTGGCGGCTGTACTAATGCGTGGACATGATAAGGGTAGCTGCATGGTGCGGCTCGGAGGTTGAACTGGCGTGCCACGTAGCAGTATATGACAGCCGAAATGAGTGGGACCGAATTTCGATTTTCACTGAACAGGGCGACCCCAAGAAACATATGGTCGAGGCTGTGGTAGTGGCGGTCGTCTTGGATGCCAACCCATTTGTTCTGCAACAGATGCTCGGCGATGGTCATTGCCTTCTTGCGTGGTGAAAATTCGTCAATGTCAGGATTAGCACTGCGTACTGAGGACGCATATGAATCGAGTCTCTCAAAAATCTGGGCAGCCTTAGCCGGTAGCCGACAACCTCTCTGATTGACTTACATCATCAATATCGCCATGTTCACTCTCTCCGAGGATGAAGAGGTCCAGAATGGCGAGTGGTATTTCATAAGAGTCGGCGCCTGCACCGCCAGCCTTGATGGCTACCCATTCGTCCACCGCCAGTATTCGGTGTAGACAGCCGAGCGCCGCATGGCTCCAGTATCTTGGGTCAGGGTTAGAGCATGTCTGAAATGGGCACAAGAGTGACACTCACTTCTGCGCCAGGTGATTTTGAGACGAGGCAGCGTTCCGGAACATGTCCAAGAGCGCTTCTTTGGCATCATAGCCGGCTTCGAGAATAATGTTGATCCAATCAAGTCGTCCGAGCTCTTCGGCGACGATTCTGTCGACGGCGTTCCGTGTAGCGTGGGATGAAGTATGTCGGTTGGCGTAGAGAGACTTCCAGTCGGCAAAGGAGGCATCTTGGAATTTCTGTTTGATGTTATGTCGTTTATCCCACCAGCGATATGTTTGACAGTACTGTCTCCATAAGAGCGGTTCATTTGCTACACTTGCAAAACGTCGGCATGTTTGCTGTAAAGAGACTGCTGTTGTGGGTGGCGAGACGGATAATATCGCTTGAATGACTTCGTCTGGAAGTGTGGTGAGTTGAGGTCTGGCGTGTTCCACAGCCTGTTGCTCGATGTCGCCAGCTTGTACAAGACGCCGAGTCATAACGTGTTGATTGTCGCTTTGACGATATACTCTGTGGAAGTTGGCAGTCTCGTACGAAGAGAAAAGGATGATATGAATTGTGATGAGGTTGAAACAATCCCCAGATTCAAATCGTGGGACTCTTTCGATTTCGATTTCGGACGTGGACGTCATTAACGGGCCGACCAATCAAGAATCGAAGTTATCTACGGAGTACTTGGAGTACCACCCACACACAATGTTGATGGTTTGTTGGTCACTTAGTCACGAGAAATAATCATAATCACCATCAATCAATTAGAGAAGAAGAAGAAGAAGAAGAAGACGGTACAGACAAGACCGCCTCCTCTTCAACCCCGTAAATCTGAATCTGAAGGAAAAGGGCGGATATACTTCCATCAACCGAGCAGCTCTTTCAAGTTTCCCTTTTCCGCATGTATTCTAACCACTTCAGCGATAAATGGTCCCCAGTCCTCCCTCGCCCGCTCCATCTTCTCCCGGTCCGCCTCCAGACCCAAGGTATCTTTCAGGGCTGTCAACGACAGCAAAGAAAATTCGAGATCGTTTGTACTTGCTGATTCCCATTTAGCTTGGAGCTCCGGTAGGACCATTGCAATCCAGCTGTCTCCCTCGGAAAGAGTACCCAACTTCCGAGGCAGCACTTCCATGCCATCCATTCTCCAGACAGATCCGCTAGCTGGCACGTAGGCCACGAAATGGAAGCCGTTTTCCTCATCTTCAAACTCTTCCTCCCGCTTGCGCTTCTTGCGAGGACGTTTCGCTTGAGCGGCTTTCTTTTTCTTTTCAGCCGCTGCAAAGTCTTGTTTCAGACGGAGGTCGACGTTCATCTTATCAAAGACTGTCGCGAAAGAGTTGTGGACCTCTCTGACGTGGTCAAATGCATCCAGGGCAACGCCGCGTTCTTTCGGAGTCATGTTCATTGTATTCGTTCGGAAATCGTTGAGAGAGCGACCTAGGTCGATGCCACCATGGTTGTTGACAATGTTCATCAAAGCAACAGTAGCGCAGGAAAAAGCGGATGTCTGAGCCTGTCAGTGGAGTGCCGCAGACGCAGCATGATGCTGGAAATACCTGATTTGCAAACCAAACCCCCTGCGGATCCTCCTTAATCTCGTTCTCTGTCTCCGCTGCCACCCACCTTGAAAGGAAGATGAGGCCGAAGACTTCCTCCCTGTATTGCAATTAGTACTAAGTGATGGGAAGAATTGGATCTGGCACGTACGGTGTATATTCGAAGATACTGTCAAGCGGAACGACCTCGTTCACTTGAATCCCTGGTACGCCCCATTCACGCAGTAGCGTGGTGAAGATGACCTAGAAGCATGATCAGCTACCACACTCGGGACGCGGACAGAACATCGAGAGCATTACCGGATCATTCTCCACCTCAGCCCATCCAGTCCATGGCCCAACTTGATCATCTCCCGCAGGAGTACCATCTTCGGTACCTGTGGCTGCATCGCCAGCCGAAGAAGGAGCAACCGAGCTGCTTGCATCGGGTTTGTGGTTGTCTGACCGCTCAATGGCCAGCTTGGCGGTGAGATTGTCGTTGGCACAAGACATGGTAAGAATTTCGAGATAGAATCCCCGCGTCTACCAGCCAACCGATCAAGGTGGCTCCTCGTACACTATTGCGCTGGGCTTCTCAACCGGAAGTCGTGCCCCCAAAGAACAATGGCACAAATAACAACAAAGTGGCTCCATCGGGAATTGACCGGCTGTCGTCACTGCCTTCGAAGGGTGCGGCGAAAAGCTGCTCGCCACCCGGACAGTCCCTGGTGAATCAAATCACGGGAATGAACCGTGACCACCTGTCTTCTCCTGGAATTTCGAAAATACCGACATGTGGTGAAGACGATGGTGAGAAAATAAAGTGATTGTTCCGGTTGTTTGGTAGTCTGTTCTTGGCGGCGAGGCTTGGCCGTTGGCGAGGCTGTGGATTCCGGTGCTACCAGGGAGCCCGGGGAATGGCTGTCAACCAACTTTATCCTGAGATTCTGCATGATTATACGTCAAGGTCCCAAGCGCAATAAAGTGTTCAGGAGTAACTGATGCACAGCCTTAGTGAGACTGCAGGATGATCCATGAAAAATAACCGAGAGCATTGTGAGAGGACGCTGGCTGACAAACAAGCAAGGGGGTGGGAATGCCTAAGCACATGCTCCTCAGCGTGTTCCAACCCCGTACTCTAACAATTAACTCTCCTTACAAGACAGTTGCCTCGCCGCCCACTCTGTTATTTTCGAAGCCAAGGAGCGACATAGTTGTTAAGGAGTGGTCCGATACGTTACAAACCCCCATTAGCGATATACGCCATCCAAAATGAGCCATTTGTCTAGGCCTCCACCGCTGTGTTCGTGCGTGGATACACCATTCTTCTCAAAGCCCTACAATCACCGTTCTGTCCATGACCTCTCTATTGAGAGAGCCCCAATCCTCGTCATTCTCCTCACTCCACTTCATTCCTGAATTTTCAGTGCTCGTCCCTGCCTGTTGGGCCAAAAGTTATGCGTGATTCGTTTCAAGTGAGGAATCAGTTGTATTGCAGTAAATGCGTCCAACAAGAGAAAGAGACTTATCGCTTGTTTGGATATCAGAGGGCATGTGATTCCCAGGCGATGTCGGACTTATCGTTGATGCCTTTCATATCAGACTTGTCACTGCCCTTGATTCGTGTGCTTGCTGGCCCAGTAGCATAAGTAGTAAGTTGGACTTCTTCGTCATGGGACATAGCATTATCGATGCGGTTCCAGCTCGCCTTGCTATCCGGCCCTGTTCCGTTACTGCTGGAGAAGGCCGGTGTAGGCGTTTGTCTTGATAGAGTGCTAGCACCTCTCCAAACGCGACGGAAGATGGGCGCATAGCAGGGCATGCAGGCGCACACGATACCAATGAATGGCTCGCAACAGGACCAGATGAACACTCCTGACATGGCCCAGGTCAGGTCGGCGCTCTTGATTAGGTGGTGAATAGTAATTATGCGCACGATTGAGGCGATGCATACACTGCCTCATCGTTAGACACTGGTGGTTTAATGGTAGCCAATAACCTTACAAGCCTCCGAGTCCAAGGACTCCACCAACCATGATTTTCATGTTCCTTGGCATGTGCAAATTGTAGACTGCGAAGAATTCAGCATATGTAGCAACAGTAGAATGGGCGGCACTCCGGCACTAACTTGGTCGTATTGGAATGAGCAAGATGCAAACATCGACAAGCATAGCCCAGATGCCGTTCGCGAAGAAGAATAGCGGTACATCAATACAATGGCCCGTCGCGCCGGGGGTTGTATACCGAGTCTAATCTCGAATGGTCAGTGAATGGTCTCATTTGTATTTGGAGGACTGACCCAGAAGTACTGCAAGGGCTGGCAACCGGTATTGATCACAGTGACGATGACTACGAAGTAACTCCACACCAGGGCGAGGCCAATACAGGTTGTCCACCTCTGGTGGAAGAGACGCCAGTAATACATCACAATGGATGCCTTCGTGAAGCTGACAGCTCCTGCATAGATCATTACGTATGCGAAAAGAATCTGTCTCAAAAGGTTAAGAGAAGTTTGTAGGAATGGCGAGAGTAACCATATACCTGCCAAATAGTCGTAAAATCCTCTGCCGACAAGACCCAAAGATGTTTTCCTCCACCGTATGGAAGACCTGAATTGGTTACTTCCAGAGACCTGTGTTGGGAAGTTCATACTCACTGACCAAGGAGCAGATTGCCGTGCCATGCGCCAAAACCTGGTTAATCAATAAATATGTTGTTTTCATCTGAGGGATTTGATAGCCACTTACCAATGCTGGGATAATCAAGTAGTCATCCCAGGATAATAATTGTTTACCGTCGCGCATAAACTGCGCTACAAAACGAAGAATCACGGCAACAGTACCGATAGCCATCAGGGTGACAACAGCTCTGATAACAGCGGCATTTTGAGTTTCGGACAAGTTAACACCAGGAGGGGGAGGTCCAAAAACTCCACTTGAAGACATGTTTTGCGCACTTTAGAATTTGGGACCAGGACAATGGTAAGAAGGATATAGAAGCGGCTCAACAGTGCAAGTTGCAAAGAAATGAGACAAGATAAAAGAGAACCTTATAGTCGCACAGAGACATCTGCCTTTCTGGCATTTTCCGATCGTCAAAGGAGTGGGTAACATTCAGGAAGTAATAATGTCCTATTCCCCTGTAAGATTCAAGACCCTTTCTGCCTCATCGTCTTAAGGGTGAAGAGAATCCACTCATGGTTCCCCCCAGCTCCATGTTATATAATCCCTACAAGCTGGGTTATGTGACCCTGACAGGGCGAGACTAGACAAGTGGTATCAAAAAACGGCAGGGGCTGTGGCCAAGTTAGTTGTCAATGCTTAAGCCGTATCGGTATACTACGTAGATATCCTACAAAGTGTGCAGGTCAAGAGATTCCTTCGTTTCTCTGTACGACAAGTAGTAGTAAATAGGTAGAGGGGAAACCGTCGAAGTGGCTCTAAGAATTGGTAGCACGGCTCCTCAAGAGAGGTGCTATCCAAAACCCGGTTCCTGTTCGTGCCCTTCTCGGCGTTCGCGTTTCAAGCTTCTCGCCTCACTGATTCAGTGGTCTCGTGCTCACTCCGGTCTGCCCCCCTCCCCTCCCTAAGCGTAAGACTTGATAGTCAGGCTACCTACACAAAGGCATCCGGACAGCTCAATCAATCAATGAAACTTGCTTTTCCCACTATGCACAAAAAGTACTTACTCTCCGTACTCCGTACTAGGACTACTATACTCCGTAACCGGATATGGGACGGTAGTGAGTGACTGAAATGTCTCCATCCCTTCCCGTCGCCCCGTCAGGAGGACGACCAGATCCGTGCCTAAAGCCCGAACAAAAAACTTGAACGTTGGGTCCTACGCGAGACGTAATACGGTACTTACACATACCATAGTAAGTACACATATAAGTCTAAGTAGTCCTATGTAACTACCGTTGTGGATATCATGCCAAAGATAGGCAGGCAGTGACGAGTAACGACTACGGCTGATCCTGTATGCGGACGGGAGTACTTGCTTGTAAAGCTAGTAATGTAGTAGGTCACGGTGGACCGCAGCCTATAGTCCTTGTTCTAGGTACACTACGCCGATCAGTCCTGAGCAGTCCAATAACGTGGGTGACTCTGGAGCCAGACTTTGGACTGGTTTGCCAGCTTTCCACTCCCTGATGCCTGTCTGCCTCGGCCTGTGATCAGGTCCATGAGTTCGAATGCTACTCAGGGCAAGACTCCGGTGCTCGAATGCCAATGTGGATTCAATTCGGATAGGGAAGAGCGTTCGTGGCGTTCAACGGCTTCCCGACGGCCCGGTCCAATCTTGACATACCCATGGATTATGGATCCAATGTCTTCCTTGCTACGGGATTTCCTTCCGCTAGCCCGAAAGCCTAGTTGGTGGAAAACTTGGGGCGAAACTAAATGCCGTGATTGGCACCAGACCCCTAGAAACACCTTGCGGGGACTTATCTCGTTTATACAATACGAGTAAGTAAGTGACGCGCATCACTTAGCTTACTATGGTGGCTTTGCGAGACCTGATTTGCACTACTGGTATTGTAGGTCTTCGTACCAGTAGTCTTTGTCGATCTTCCCCAGCCCAAACGTTCCCCACCCTCATTACGACAAGCACGCTACGTCTAGCTTATTGTACAGGTACTAGGATTAGAACATTAACTAATAACAAGTATGGTTTGCCCTTGGAATTTTGCCTAGCAAGTTTCCACAGGCAGCATGATCTACCGTTTTGTTCAGACAAGCCAGCGACAGTTGCTTATCCTTGTCTGGTCTTTGGACGATTAAACGGCATTCCAAGCGCTTGGAAAGCAAAAAACAGCGCGGACGCTGAACCTCATATACTCTCGTTCCGGGCCCAGAAATGATAAAAATTCAAGGGTAGACCATGATACGAGTATCTCTAGAGCAAGACCATACTTAGCGTTAACTCCTCCCCTAATCCTAATTGGTTGCCAAACTGTCTCGCTTTGGCCCTGCATATGCAGTATTCTACATGCAGGATAGCAATGTCGAGGACTCCGTACCTTACATGACAGGTTACTTCACAACTGAATGGAGCTTCAAACCGGTCGTTTCACTACTGCTTACCGCCTTGCTGGTATGACCCACCATCACCTGCCTATTTGGAGTGGTCCCAGAGTGGAAAACTGTGAAGCGTCTCACCGCTTCAGGGTGTATTTTCTTATTTATGATGCATGAGCCTTAGAGACTTTGGTGCCTTGATCTATCGCTATAGACCGAGGAGCGAACGTCTACAACATGGGATCGAATCAGGATCCTGAACTGAAAGATGCCAGGCAAGGTGCTATTGGGACACCACTGTGTGATGAACCGATTCTTACAAGGCGAAAGTTGAGGATCGTCTGTGTCGGAGCCGGGTTCTCTGGCCTCACGCTGTCACATAAGATCCAACATGAGTTGAAGCTGGAAGATGCCATTGATCTACATATATATGAGAAGAACGCTGACGTCGGAGGGACCTGGTATGAGAATACTTATCCAGGTGCCGCATGGTGAGATCCAATATTGCTGAGCTTGAACATCAAACCTGACCGAAAAATAGTGATATCCCAGCTCGTGAGGCTCACGTTCATGCCTTGCTCAACATTACCATGGCCATACTAACCTGTCATCAATCTAGATGCATACACATTCCTCTTCGAGCCGAACCCAAACTGGTCCAAGTTCTACCCCGGTCAGCCCGAGATTCAAGCCTATATCAAAGCAACTGTTGCAAAGTATAACCTTGACAAATATGTGTCGCTAAAGTCAAAAGTCTTGGAGACTGTCTGGGACGATGAGGTGGGAAAGTGGAAGATAAAGATCAACACAAATGGAGTTTTGCAGGAGGATACTGCGGACATACTTGTCAATGGCTCCGGTTTCCTCAAGTCAGTCTTATTTGATTCCGTCTTACCCTTGATGGAGAACTAATGACCTGTCAGCAAATGGAAATGGCCCGAGATTGCTGGGTTGCAGGACTTTCAAGGAAAGCTCGTGCATAGCGCCAAATGGTAAGCTTGCAGGGGAAAGCTACTATGAAGTTCGACTTGCTGAGACCTCTAAAGGGACAATGACTACTCCTGGGAGGGCAAGAAAGTAGCAGTCATCGGCAACGGTTCCTCGGGCATTCAAATCGTGCCGGCGATGCAACCAAAAGTATCGAAACTAGTCACCTACATCAGAAGTCCCACCTGGATTTCGATCAATTTCTGCGCCGATAAGACTGTTGATGGCAAAAATTTCTCTTACACAGATGAGCAACGAAAACAATTCAGAGAAAACCCCGAAGCTCACTTTGCTCTGCGTAAGGAGTTGGAGTCATCGTAAGTCATCTCTCTTACGCCTTGCGTTAGCAAAACGCAGGAACAGCATACAGCTAACCCTTATCGTTTCTCGGCTAGCGTCAACGCATTCTTCTTTGGCATGAAGACCGGACATCCATTCCAGCAAGGTCTAGAGGCTGCATGCAAGTCTCAGATGAGCACCATCCTCCACGACTATCCTGAAATGGCTAAGAAGATGATACCAAGTTTCCATCCTGGCTGCCGACGCCTGACAGTATGTTCGCCCTTTTACCATGAGTTCTGAACTACCAATCTACTGACACTCGCAATCCCTACAGCCCGGTGATGGATACCTGGAGGCTCTTCAAAAACCGAATGCAAGTGTCTGCTGGTCTCCTATCATACAATTCACAGAGAAAGGCATCAAGACAGCAGAAGGAGAAGAAGAGTTCGACATGATTGTATGCGCTACTGGCTTTGATACTAGCTTCATCCCGCCATGGAAACTCGTCGGTCTCAACGGTGCAACTTTGGATGAGAGATGGAAGACCGACCCAGATGCTTTTCTGGCCGTTCAGGTCGACACAATGCCGAACTACTATATGTTCAACGGACCGAACTGTCCTATCTCGCATGGTTCAGTCCTGACTCAAATTTCTTGGACCTGTGACTACATACTCCGCTGGGCACAGAAAATTGCCACCCAAGATATAAAGTAAGTTCTGCCTCTTGGAGCGTTTGAAATTTCGCATCTACAAGTTGAGTGAGAGAAGGAGACTGATCACAAGAGCCCTTGTAGATCCATCACCCCTAAGCCTGAAGCAGTCGCCGACTTCAACGCGTATTCGCAAGAGTTCCTCAAGCAAACTGTGTGGGCCGATAATTGCCGGTCTTGGTACAAGAATGGAAAGGAAAGCGGGACTATCACAGGCACGTACGCTGGTTCCATTTTGCACTTCAAAGACTGTCTGGAGAATGTCGGCTCTGAGCACTTCGACGTGGTATCGCGGAGCAAAAATCGATTCCGCTGGCTGGGCAACGGACAGAGCCTCTGGGACAAAGATGGGATGGGTGACTTGGCCTACTACATGAAGTATGTAGAGCTCAGAAACTGAATGAGCTTTTCAAAACGAGGCCGCAGTGACGGAGTTCTCAAAATCACTAAACAGGCTTCTATTTCGCGCTACATTATCAAGAATCGTTGGCCCCAAGAATCGGAAACCATGGTCACTTGACAGTTTAGCACACGAAAACTTGGCCAGGAGGGCTGAGAACAATGATCGAAGACTACTTTTACTCTTCACTAGTCCTGGTACCAGATATGGTTTTGGCCGTTGCTCGCCTCTGTCATTGACATGAAAAAAGTTAGCGCGCACGCAGCTATAGAGATTGCCGGTTGTAAGTAGGCCAGGGATCTATCGAGGGAATGTTGATTTTTCCATAGGGTTGACATAGCCTGGAGCCCTCTGATGGTAAATCCGACCACATGATAGCAATGTTCAACTAATTGTAGAGGCCTCCCATCAATTGTACATGGAAATGCTGCCCCTAGAGACTCAGTTGATGCCTTTAATCTACGCAAAAGCCAGTAATGTTGTGATATGGCTGGGTGTGGCAACCCATGACAGTGTTGTTGGAATCCAAATACTCAGACACTTTGTATCAAGTCAAGAGCCGTCAGAAAACCCACCGTGGAAGACTATACCTCCGTAATTGGTGCAGAGAGGACTCGGGGATATCATGAACAGGGACTGGTTTCGACGAATCTGGGTTGCGCAGGAAGCAACTCTTTCTCGGATCGCGACCATCTATTGTGGTCCACACACTTTCGGCTGGAATTCAAGGGATTGCACCATCGTTCGTCGATTTGCACGGATGATTAAATACGCGGAACTATCTCCCGAATGGCAGCAAGCTGGTCTTGAGAAGATCGATTTCCGACCTCTGCTAGAGCTTCTGGACCTGCAGATCGAAAAACAGCTTGACAGATCTTGGGAAAGCACAAATCGTGATGCCCCTGATATTCTTGATATCGCTTATGACACGCAGCATCGCTTGTCAACTGACCCAAGGGATAAGATATTTGGACTGGCTGGGATAACAAGCGATATGGTAGGTGGTGAATATCTAATGCCTGACTATACGATGTCAGTTGGACAGGCTTATGAGCATCTGGGGACTATTATCCAATTCTAGGTCTCTAAAGCACACTTTGACTGCATCATCCTGAAATATAACCTGGCACTCCTGGGTAGTTCTTCAATGGCTCCAATCAAGGATCAATTGTAGTAAGAGTTTACGCCCCGTTTGGGTGGAGTATGAGGGGAGGCGGGTTCGGGAACGGCTGTACTTTTGCCTTAATGCTTCGAACTGTCCAAGACCTATTGCACGAAGGGCGTACGGCATTGTGCAGTAAGAATGACTCAGTCTCCTATTCGAATAACAAAGCTATCGTAAGGTAGATTACCAATAGGTATGGAGTAATGGTAGTGTCTTCCTGCTGCCGAAAAAGGGACCTACCGACGGGCCGCGGCTCGAGATGTGATTCGTCTTTTTAGGCTCCCTAGACATGGTCCCGCCTATTCACCCAGCGGACCAGGGCACGCCAGGCCATCATAGACTTCTCGGCTCAATGCGGTACGCGATCCGTCTTGATACCAAAGATTGACAACTTTAGAGATATGACATGTCGACTGGTAGTAACGGCAGCTGCCGATGAACGACAATGTACTGTATTTTATGGACAGGGGAGATGAGAAGTACAACAAACCCAAGAAGTGAATTCTTGGTGGAGGGGATGGCATATTCGCACTCGGCTGTGACCACCCTCCGCTTCGCTCATGTTCAACAATAATTCATGGTGAGATATCTTCATATGGTCTGAGTTTTCTCTTCTTATGTCGTTCCGACCGACCGCGACGGCTGGGAGTGTATCCAGTATTTGACACGACTTAAAAGCCATCAAGTAGCCACCCTGGGTCTGCCGTAGTGTCTTGTTCTTCTGGGAGGGTCATCCACATCTCCGGGAAATTGATCATATCCGCCAAAGGATCATATGCGGTCGGCGATATTGCATTCAACTCGGTTGGCTGGTCCACTGTGTTCGCGAGGTGCTCGGTGGCCAGACCCCTGGCTTCCTCAGCCTTGTTCATGGCTAGGCTCTCGTGGTTAGGCTCGGGCAACTGGCCCTGACTCGGCACTTGAGATAGTGTATGTTCGGCGACCTGTGATTGTCCAGGGACGAAAGATCGACACGGTGTGTTCACGGTATTGGGTATGCTCGTGCGCGTTCGTGTGGGAGCGCTGGCAGGAGACGCAACATATGTCAGGAAGTTCACTGCCCATTCTGCGGCAATGTGAGCGTCGGCCAGTTCTCGAAGGGCCTGTTTGCATTCTTCTAGTCGTCGACGACCCGCTCGGCTTAGCACAGGGTCATTGCTTCTGACGTCGAGGACGTGACTGATGCTGACGGGAAAGAGACAACTTATTCCTGTGGCCGGAAGGTCTTTCATCAAGTCGGCCTTGTATAGGTCCATCACAATCTTATTCACCTGGCGGCCGCTTCCCGAACCATTGCCCTCGGTTCTTGTTCAGGCGGTAAGCTTGGATCTCCAACATTCAGTGAGGCCTCGTGCACACAAGACCTTTGTCGATGCAGCATGATGAGACCAGTATAATACAACATCGAAAGCATTGCGCGGTGCACGAGCAGTGCTTGCTCGTCCTTGGAGGAGCAAACCGGCTTTGGCTCCGCATGCAGGGCCTCCTTCGGCACGTTTTGAAGCCACCGACGAAAGTCTTCCTGTATGTCTTTGAGTTTCCGCGGCTCGATGGTGGATCTTCCCTTTTTCGGGACCGAATTGAAGTACAATGAGTCAATATTGCCCAGCTCTGTTTCGCTGTATGCCGCTTGGAGCACGCGACCAATGATTCTGCATATACCGGCGGTTTCTATGCAGATGACGGCAAGTTGTCTTTGGCTCTTCGAGTCATATGCGCTGGTACCACAAAGATCATTGAGCTGAAAGTCATCGTACTCGAAGTCTTCCAAAGTCAGTGGAGCAACCGCAAAATCCGAATCTCGAAGACGAGGTGGCCGGCTCGTGCCGAACGACGCAATCGTATCTCGCATGACACAACACCACCACAGACGACGTCGTAAGGCGCGCAACTCTGGACTGAGATGCTTACTGTTAACGTCACGGTTTAGGCCGACAGTACGGGCCACCGACAGTGATAGACCTGACCAGTACCAGCCATCTTTCTGCTCGTTCGGTCCCTCCCACCAGAGAGATAGGAGCACCAGGGTCTGGACGAGAGAAAATCGATCCTGCTCAAAATCTAGGTCGTACAGCAACTCAATTACGGTCAGTCATTCAAGTCGGCACCTATGCATACTCCGGCTTACCTTGACTTTCAGATAGAACGCTTTCCTGGCGGCTTTTCGCGTGAGGAAGCCAAGTCTCCTCAACATTTTGACATCAACCCAGGCGGCGCCAGCAAACATGATTGCTTGAAAGAGCAGTAGGCTGATACGGTGGTCGGATTTCCCTTGTATGGAGTCTTTGAGGACACCCAATTCAAGAATTGGATAGCATGGATGGATATAGTGGACATAGCTCTCGATCAGTGCGTCTCGGAGCTTAACCTCTGGCACGCACAAGGCCCCTTTGCGGTGGAGATAGTCTACATCTTCTCTGGTAAGATATGATGGGATCGGCTTGATGAACGATGGAATCTCTGAGGCGACAGAGGACCTGCTCGGATCTGGTACAAGGCATGTTCTGTTACAGGAGCCACTGATAGTCGGATCAGGTGAGATCGGAAGTGGTACCGTCTCGAATGCCGCTGCTCGCCAGTCAATGCCGTCGTCATCATCTTCCTGACTCAAGAGGCCATCACAGCTGCCTGGACTGTTCAGATCACCCCTCGAAGCCGTTGTCGAATGGGGTTGGTAGTCGGCATCCTTAAGCTGTTGGAAGCTTGCTTGTCGTTGTTGTCTGCAGAGCGGCGTGAAGTCTTTCAATGTCGAGGGCGTTGGCCTTTTCTGTCGGCGCACCTTTGGTGTCAAGATGCACTGCACGTTCTCCAGTGTGCAATTGTGGCATGATTGGCCGTTTTGTGCATTGCATCGTATTTTCCGTGACCGGCAAAAAGTGCACGCGGCTCTAGCCCGACGAGGACCAGGCAGGCCAGACGGCCTGGCCATGGGTGAGTACATCGACCGAGAAGCGGCTAGTGGGAGTTCTAAAGTCATTTGCACAAGATCTCGAACATGAAGAAGTACTCAAGTGACCATGTCGACAATACTAGTATTGGCATGTACCAGTGGGTACATTCTCAGATGGTGATTTGTAAGATCGATCATGTCGACGGCCAGGTTGATCCGAGCACATTGGTACGAAAGCGAGGTACAGTAGCCGCCAGTAGCTTATTACTGGTCAGTGATGGCCTATTAATGGCCCTTAAGCAAGGTCGTTACTGGCTTTTAGAGGGTAGCAGGCCCGCGATCGACCCAATAAGCACCTTCGGTGACATAAGCTCGCTCCCCTAATTAATTCAGGTTACTAGCGAAAGGGAGATACCGCTGGACGTCTGCTCTCTCAATGATCCAGAGTAGGGATTGCCTCTGCATTATCAACTTGCCTACCAACAACATGAACTCTCGATTGGTAACAGCCCTTCAATGGCTACAAGGTATTCTTCGAGGCACGAATCTCCGCAACAGCCCTCAACACGACTTCGGTCCCGTCTCAAAGATACGCAGCTAAGTTTCACACAATTCCTGATGCCTCGACTGCTTTGACCAAATCCTGCAAGAATCCCCATCGAGCTTTCTTTGCACAATCTCTAGCCTTCCAAGTTCGCAGATCCCCTCGCGGGAACCATTCGATGCCGACTCGCTCATCAAGCATACTTGCATCGTGCGCGATGATGACAAAAACGTTGTCTGCGGCATCAAATTCCTCCATATGAGTGCACATTTCTTGAGCCTGCGCCGTGTCGTGAGAAAAGGGAGCGTTGACATGGTAGTATGGTTCCGTGCCTCTCTTTGTTGGATGGACAGCCTCAAAGATGTGGCCCGGACACACATTGGCGTATTTCGCTACATAAGGACTCGGTGCGATGCCTCTAGGGAGTGGAAGGTACTCCGTAGGCCGGAACTCGCCACCATGGTGTGCAGTGTCCGCTCCCATAAAGACGAAGGTGTCCTCGTCATCGCCTTCTTGAATCGAAGTCACCCTCGCTAGTCCGCACATGTGGCCTATCGCATGACCTGGCGCATCCAGAAGATAGAATGATCCATCCCCGAAGAAGTCAACGGCCCGAAATCGACCGAGCTGGACCGTTGGTCGTTTATCAAAATCCGTAACAATAAGGTCTCGACCAGCAAAATCACTCTCCAGCAAGGGAGACTCAGGATTCGAAGGGTAAGCTGGTAAAAGAGCTTCGGAAACGCCTGGTCCGACGATCAAAGCTGTGCTTCCGGGAAAGGTGGCAGGATTCCCTACGTGGTCGTAATGCCAGTGGCTCCAAATGATTCCTTCAATGGCTCCGCCAGCAGCATCAACACCGTTCTCTTGTAGGATTGTTGCCACGGACCTTTCTGCCTTGGTCTTCCATCCTGGCCGATTGAGTATGTTCAGAACTGCCGGTGCGTAGTTCTCCGGGTCCACTCTGACCCCCAAATCAAAAAGGACTTTGCGACGGGTAGAAACTTGTTCTATCAAGAAACTGAAAGAGGGAGCCTTCAGGGTATCATGCCCAGGAAGTGCAGGTAGCATGAATGGTTCCAGCGGAGCCTCAAGACTAGAGGTCGAGTCGATGATCTGGACTCTTGCCGAAGCTCCGGAAGGTATCTGTAAGTTCGGAGCCGGCTTTGGCTGGTGCAGAAATTGTTGTGGTCCAGCTGCCATCTTTCTGGTGAGTTCCTCAGAGATGTAGTCGCAGTAGCATTTGCTATGTCAGTGCTGCTCGAAATCCGAGAGGTCAACAGTCCGCTGCATGTACTTATACCTGCACATTGCGACCTCGAGTCGCCACTTTAGCTTACACTCGATTTCTTTACGGCCGCAGCTACCACTGTGAAGTCTCATAGAGCAATAAATAGATGAGTAATGGCCACTTCCAGGTGTATGAGGTGACGGCTCATGACGTTTTCAGCTTTCCGTTGAGAATGAGCGTCGGACCGACGTGACCTCCTTGTAGCAGCTCTGCTATGTCGACACGGAGCCTCCTTTTTCCAACAAAAGGTGCGAGGGCGAAGAAACGGCAGGATCTGGACCATGATCCGCGGGCCGCGGGTGTGCGAAGATAATGACAGTGGCCGACCATCCACGGGTGAGATATCTTGCAGGCAGCCACAGCCACAGCACTCCTAGATTAACTTAGTTGTTGACTCCGGCCCGGCGGCTTTCTGAAATAGTAGTTAGCATCTGAATTCCGACTGGTAGGCCGGCAGCGAAGGCAGGTTCCCTGGTGGCTCTCAAAAGCGGGAATTAGGCGTCCTAGGTAAGATTCTTTCCGTGTACGGACTGCACAAGCCGCCAAAAAAGGAGAACCATGTTCCTTGCCTACAGTACAGTAGATTGCATACTTCTGTGCGCAAATATGACAGCTCTCACCAGCCTCGTACTGACTGTGATCAGGGCACAGTGCGAGTCTTGAATTTACCATAGACCTTGCATTTATGGCGGCCTTTTCAACCTTGCGTTGGCAAATTTGGTGGCATTGCCGGGCCATCCAAAGTGTGCGTACAACGGATGCAAAGATTCCCCGGCCTCTGCCGCGAGCGAGAAGTGGAAGCTGGCTTGCGAGGTCCTGGACGTGGTACCATCCAAGGACAATTGAGAGTGGCATCCGGCGGTGAGAATGACTGGTAAGGCTGAGAATAAAGGCCAACAAAGCAAGACAGGGTCTGGCCAGGTCCAGGATGTCAAGTAGTACTCCGTACGGAGACGTGCACCAAATGTAGTTGCCGCGCTAAAGTTGAATGACGAAGGATCACAACCTGACAGCTAATTTTCTCTTGTTCTAGGCGGCCTTAACTAAAGTTTTAACTAAAGTCTTAACTAAAGATAATTTACTTTAGGTAGCTTAAGGAAGAGATTAAGCGAGTATTAGAGATAAAGTAATAAGCTTCGATATCTTCGAGAATAGTTATACTTTAACTAAAGTCTTAACTAAAGATAATTTACTTTAAGTAGCTTAGAGATAAGGACTAGGCGAGTATTAAGGGTAAAGCTGCGAGCTCCGATATCTCCGGGGACAGTTGTCCGGAGCGACGGAAAAGAAAATAAATGGTCTTTTGACGTCCTCGTCATTCAACTTTAGCGCGGCAACTACATTTGGTGCACTTCTCCGTACTGTAACTACCGTAGTTGACACGGCACGCCTATCACGCTTCTAAGAAAAATTCGAGGGGCTACCACCACACCACACTGCACGCAGAGGATTTCAACAATGCATGAGTGTCGAGACGAATAACTAACTTACAAAGTACAATAGCCAGAGCCTGGATTAAAACCCTGAGGCTAGTGGGCCCGAGAATAGGGGAAGAACTGAGCAGGTACAGGACAACCTCATGATGCTCCCTACCAGGTGCCTATTGGGCAAATTCGGTTGTACCTTTCGTTGTCCCTGCATTCTGCAGAAACAGCACCATCATCATCGCCTAAAGATGTACCAACCAAGGGAGAGAAGAGGAACTGATTCGAACGCCGATCAAATAAGGCCCCTTTTGCCGTCTGACGCCCAGACATCGCCAGCTTCGTTTCGAAGCCATCTCCAATCAACGGACGCAGAAGTCTTTCAATTTTAAGGCTATGATCCACCAGCAGAAGTACAGCCTGCTGGCTTGCCTGAACTCGACTGAAGCGTGCGAGCGGGGCAACCGAAGATGATGGCCACCCAGATGGGGGCTTATATGCCCGCGCAGATCGTTGGTGGTCTCGTTGCTATTCAAGTATCAATTCACACTCTCCTTAATAGCGACGACTGGTTCCAATTTCACGTTCACTGACACAGAGTTCCGATCACTCGCTTATGGAGCTCTCCTCGCCAACTAAACAACACTACAACAGAATCATCCAACAACGAGACGAGTTCAAATTTGACAATCACATCCCACTCGACCAGAGACCTCGCTATGACTCTCTTTCTACAAGGGATACTGGGCGCGGACCCAGCATGCCTACAGATCTTTCAACCCATGGGCAAGCATTGATGGAGAAGCAAGATGGCGGCAGGAAAATCATCCTTGGTTCAGTGGCCATCATCGTGATCCTCATGTTGGGTTTAGCGGGACTGGCTCTGGGTCTGGTGGTGGCTCATGAGGTCAAAGAGCCCGTGCAAACATCAAACAATACTCTTGCAGCCCGAGGGACAGACCTGGACGGCAATGCTTACTATGTCGACTTCAATCCCACAACCCTAGTGACGATCGCCTCATGGTCGAGTACCGTTGCGCCTTTGCTGGCAGTGTGCGCCATGACCCTTGTTTCATTCCCTATAGCCAACCAACTGAAGGCGCATTCTCAAATGGCGGGCTTCGATTTGCCAACACCTTACCAATTCGGGTTGCTTTTGGAAACAATGACGGGAGGCATCACACCTTTGTTCGGCTTTTTGGGCTATCGCAACTGGCCGCACAAGGAGAAAATGGCGTCCAGCGTGCGCACTGCGCTGGCTCTTCTCACAGTATTCACGGTGCTTGGATACACCATTGCCGCGGTCGATACGTGGCTACATCTGGTCATGGAAGCTGTCAATATTGAATTGGTCGAACCACAAGTCCCGGTCATGGGACTCGGTCGTGGATTGCCAAATGGCCCTTGCTCGGATGAGTCAGCGGACCAGTTCGATGCTGGTGACTGTATCATCAGCTCAGGCGCAAACGTCTTCTTGGTAGGCGCTAACGAGGCAGCTAGAGTCATGTCCAACACCTCCAGCACCAATGCAATATATGACACCTACATCGATGGCAGGCACATGGCGTATCTTGGTCCGTCAGACAGTCCTGCAGGACTTGACTATCGGGCGGAATCCCTTGCCATGCACACTTCATGTACACAGATTGGCCGCCAGTGTGACCTTCATACCGAAGCAGGCGCATTAGAGCCTTTTAATTGTACAGATTCCTTCTACGGTAATCTTGCGGTGCCCAGCATCAATGGAGAGGAGGCCGATGGCGTGACTGGTCTCGCTCTGCGCAGTGCTGGAATCGTCTTTTTCCGCGACGCTGCACTGACAAAACTGGCAAATGTTTCCTCGAATTCGGGTGAGGCAACCTTCCTCACACGGCCGAGCAATCCGCACCACATCGGAGTCTGGGCGCATGTTGAACTCCCAGCGAACGAGCAACAGGCCGCCGACGGTAACGTGGTGGTCCCGGAACATGGTGGAACCAGCTGGCTCCTGAACTGCACTGCCACTGCCTACCTAATCAGCTACGACTTTGTCAATGGCAGTATTCAGCATGCGACCGCTGACATTGCGAATGGGTCCGTGGGAACAATACTGAACTCAGGCAACTACTATGGCTTTGGCAAGGTCGCGCTTGAGACAGCTGCGTACTCAGCCTCCCAATTTAATGACACGCAACAAATGGCAGATTCTTGGGCCAAGGCGTATTCGAAAGCAGCGTTAGCGCTCTCCGCTGGTGTCATGACGGGAAGAGCGGACCTTGAAGAACAGCAGCGAAGTACGCGGCTGGTAGCGAGAGTGCCGAAGGCGCCGCTGTTCTCACTCGTGGGGCTCAACTCACTGTATGCAATTTTGGGAGTTCTACTGGCAGTGCTAGCGCTGGGTTCTCACCCCAAAGAGACCAATGAGTTGCGTGAGCGACTGAGTATCTCCGGCCTAGTGGCAGCGTGTTTCGAGGGCGAAAGCGCAGACAAGGCGGTCAACAAGAAGCGGGAGATGTTCGCAGAGTACGAAGGCATAGATACTGGAAGAGTAGGTATTGAGGAAAGCGGGAGACATGGAGGATATGTGTTCAGGCTGAGGCAGGGATTGAAGCAACAGGTGTCCTGATTTTGTTATTACTAGAGCAAAATGCGTGTTGCAGCTTACGACTTATTGAAGACGTATAACAAGAAGGCCATATATGACCACGTCGATTCTTCTGCCATGCCTTTCGGTCGGAAGACTAAGGTACTTACCTAGGTACGTACAGCTCCAGAAGCAAGGAGTACCGCAGCCTTGCGAGGCCAAGCCAAGCCCAGCCAAGCTTAGACAAGGCTGCGCCTGCAATCGGTCATCCAAATGCCTTTATGACGCGCTTGGAGAAAACGCGACTGCTGCCTCGTATTTCTCAAAGCCTCGAGATAGTTTTCAATCCAACTTCGACTACCCACATACGTTCACGGCCTTGTCACTGCCGACGTGTGTACATTCACACTCAAGTACGATCGAAAACGCCCGTTATCCTTCCTTCCTCATAGCCGACGCTAGCTGAAGCCCTCGTACGAAACCTACCTCAACCTGCGGATCGAGTTCTCTAGGCAAGCAAGCCAGGAATTGTTGTCAAAGACAAGAGAAGGCCTCTCCATAGCCGCATGGTGCCATGAACGAAACGCCGCGACTGCGGTCGGCTTTCCCTACTACTCCCCAAACACAACCTCGACTGCGAAACACCAATCTCAATGGCCGTTCAAGTTTGGGTTCGCCAGGCTCGCCCTTTTCTCAAAGAAACATCAGCACGACAAAGCAGCCAACTAGGGTCCCGGTAGATGCTACATCTAAAGCAGCCCCATTCATCTCAACAGAAGTGGTGGATGCGCCCTCGCAGAGGTTCTACGTCTTTGCATTCTACGTCGCCCTGACTGCTTGGAGATTGTACAACTCATACAGCGTTGAGAATGACCTCGACTCGACGTGGCTGTTTTTGAAATGGATCGGTATCGATGCAGCGTTCTTCGTGGCCCTTCCGGCCTTCAGAATACCGTGGCTGGAGTTTTCGTTCGCCACCACATTCACATTATGGCTTCTGCACGCAATTGCCAATGCCTTTCTCATGTACAAGATTCCCATACCCGTCCTGTCCTGGCTGGGAGCTCTGGTCAAGATCGCGTATGACCGGGAACTCTCAATCTCAGAGCATCGTGTCAAGCCAGCCGACATTTTGCACAACTCTTCCATCATTCTTGGAAAGCAGATCATTCACATTCTTCCGGAAGGATCAGCTATTCTCAACCCAGAGAAGAAATCCTTTTGCTTAGATGCCTCGAATCCGTCGATCGAGCTGCCAATCCAGATCAACCAAACAACTCCTATCTCCATCGAGCTGCAAAGATTCGATCTTGACACAGATGAAGTCGAAACAATCTTGATTGGTAGCAAGCAGGCCAAACAGTTGAAAAGACAGGCAGACGCCGGCCACGCCAGGTCCGACACGAACACCCCTCGAGTCTTGCACTACCCTGTGTCGAAGAAGGGACTCTACCAGCTGCATCGTGTTATTGACGCCACAAAGCTGGAAGTGCGAAAGCGAAGTTTTGATGTCGCTGTCGTGCAATGCCCGAAAGCCTCCATCTCAGCCGAATCGGTAAACCGGTGTTCGGGAGATTTGAGCAATCTCTCCCTACAAGTGTCGGGCATTCCTCCGTTCAAGGTCAAGTACAGCAAGACTATCAACCACAAGCAATTCAGCTCAATTGTCCAAAATGTTCAGCCACGCGCAAACCCGGACTTTGTGTCCGACGAGGAGGCTTCGCAGGCAGTGATGGATCCGAACAGACCGCAGATGGGCTGGACGAGGTCGACGACTGAATCTTTCGAAATCAATGAATCACTCCATCAGAATGGAAGCCATTCGTATACGATCGAAGAAGTGGAGGATGGCCTTGGGAACAAAGTCACCTATTATTCGAGTAATCCCAAGGACGCTCATGCTCCTAGGGTCCAGAGCCTGACTGTTCACAATCGACCTCGGATCAGCCTTTCATTCCCTGGGCCCAACGCCGACCGGTTGATACCAGTACGAAAAGACAGCTTCATCAGCCTACCTATCAATATCCGACCGGCAGACCGATTGCATCCGTCCGACTGGCCATTGAAGGTGAAATACAGCTTCATGCCTGACACTGAAGGGGAAAGCCCCCAGTCAGAAGATCTCACTTTTGAAATGCCTAATGAGCGGTTCAGGCCCCAAGTAAGCAAGGCGGGACGGTATAATATCGATTCGATTGATAGCCGATTCTGTCACGGAGAAATTGTGGAACCCTCTTCGTGCTTGTTATTCAACCCTCCAGAGCCTGATCTTGCTCTGGACAAGCAGGACATCTTTGATCAATGTGCGGGAAGCCCTATCGGCATGTATCTCAACCTCGACTTCACCGGCACCCCGCCTTTCAAGGTTAGGTACACCATCACCCACCGAGGCAAAGCTCATCCCAAGATCCAAGAATTCTCGGGAATGCGAGGTCAGATTGAGCTACGTGAAGAGGCGGCTGGCTCCTACATCTACAATATTCTTGAGGTTGAAGATGGTGTTTATGGCCCGACTCCTCTGAAGCACAAGAATTACGTGTTCCAGCAAGATATAATGCCGCCGGCTTCCGCAGCTTTCCGTGGCGACAATCGTGTTATCAAGGCGTGCCTGGGTGAGCCTGTATCAATGCAGGTGAAATTGTCAGGCCAAGGCCCGTGGGATCTTGATTATGAGCTTGTACATGGCGGCAAGAGGAAAAAGCACAATATTCACTCAGAAGAGGAAAACTACATGGTGTTACTCCCTGGATTTACCGAGGGCGGAACATATTCAGTCGTCTTGACCGGTGTGCAAGACAAATCACGATGTCGTACTTCGCTGAAAGAGGAAAGACAAATCGAGGTCAGAGCTGAACAGCCCCGTGCGGCGTTTGGGCACATCGAGGGCAAACGATCAACATTGGCATTACATGGCAAGTCCGTCACGCTGCCGTTGCGACTGAAAGGCGTTGCACCATGGGCTGTGCGAATTCGTAATCTGGATGACCCTGCAAGCTCCTTTGAAGAGATTCTGCGAGATGCCAACTCGGCGTTTTCAGTGACTGAACCAGGAACATATGAGATTGTTTCCGTCCACGATAGGTGTCCAGGTCTGGTCGACTCCAAAGCGAACACATTCCAAGTCAGCTGGATACCTCGACCGAAACTGTCCGTCAAAGACTCGGCAGTGGAGGACGGTGGCGTTGGCATATTCCGGAAACCTGCAGTATGTCAGAGCGACGAGTCTTCTCTGTCTCTCGCTCTCTCTGGTAACCCACCTTACCATTTGAAATACCAACAGAAGTTTGAGCCGGTCAAGGGCCCGGCAGCGATCAGCAATAAAGCTTGCAGTTTCGCTGGAAACAGTGCCATAGTCAGTCTCGATACAAGCAAGGCTGGAGAATATACCTATGTTTTCACCGAGCTCAGCGACGACCGCTACGCTCATGACAAGCAGCACTTGACCCCAGTCATTGTCAAGCAGCAGGTCTATGCTCCGCCAGCTGCCAAATTCTCCCAAGCAGGAAAAACCTACGGCTATTGCAAAGATGATCCGAGTTTCACTGCCAGCGTCGAAGCGGAAACTGAGAACATCCCCATCACGTTTACCGGGACGCCACCTTTCAGCGTCGAAATCGCCATCGTTCATCATGGCGTTTCGACACGGCCTGAAATCATTCGTCAGAAGGACATCCAATCGACCACATATGCCTGGCCTTTGTCCCGATCCACTCTTGATCTCGGCACACACAGCGTTTCCATTCGTTCCGTCAAAGATGCTCGAGGCTGCGAAACTATCCTGGAATCCGACCCTTCATCTGTGCGCATCTTCGTATCTTCGCCCCCGACAATATTGCCGCTCGAATCCCATGATGACTACTGCGTTGCCGAGCACGTATCGTTCTCGCTAAGCGGCCAACCACCTTTCGATGTCTTCTACACATTCCAAGGACGTGAGCGCAAAGCCCGTGTCTCCGGCAACGAATTCAGACGTCTCGCCGAGTCACCGGGTGAATTCATCATTACCGGCATCAGTGACAGCGCCATGGGTAACGGCAAATGTCGTGCAAGGAAGGAGATCAAGAAGATCATCCACCCCTACCCAACGGTCGAGATGGGCCGTGGGAAGACCCTGGTCAGCGATATCCATGAGGGCGGCGAGGTTGATATCAGTTTCACGTTTACGGGGACGCCGCCGTTTGAGTTTACGTACGTCCATGCTCTTAGTTACTCCTATGTTTCTTTCTCCACGAAAGCCCCTTCCCTTGGTACTTGGGTATGATGACTGACTTTGGTTGGGTGAACAGGTACATTCGCTCCGAAAATGCCAAGAAGAGCAGCCGCCACGCGCCGAAGATCCTCGAGACGCGACACGATACATGTGACGAGTTCAGCAAAGTGATCCGCGCGAGCGACGAGGGCGTTTACGAGGTCGTGTCGATCAAGGACCGCTACTGCTCGTACACGAAGCCGAGTCACAAGAATACTGGAGCTGGGTCTGGTGGACAGAAGAGGTTGACGTACTAGTTTTTTCGAATTATTTTGTCCGGGGTTGTCTTCTATTGGGTCTTTGCATTGTACTGGCGTGAGAGACGGGTGGGTTGCCTCGTCCCATGGGAAGGTCCAGAATTTGGGATAATCTGGGCCGGAACATGGATTTCGATCCTCAAGAACAGACACTTACAATGCTAGATAGAGGGGACGCGTGGCGGTTGACACGCTTTGCCAACATTAAGCTGGCGTGACAAAATCAACAGAACAGTGAAGGAGCATAGAAACAGCGAAACAGTGGAAAGATGCTTTTTTGGTCTTGGGCCGATCTATCTTGACACCAGTACCTAGTACCTAGTAGAACAGGTACCGCCCAATTCCGAACCTTTCGTTTTGTCCAGCCATCAACTAGCATAGCAAAGTCTGGATTGTAAAAGGCATGTTTCTGCGTGCACATACATTGCCGTGCCTGCTGCCCCTAAAGACTGTGTGCACACACAGCAAGCACTGGACAGACCGCCTTGCTAATATCTGACCGTCGGCTTTCCACCTATTCTTTTTTTGTGAGTTTTTGAGATGTACCTAGGTACCTTTTCGTGTTCTGTTGTGTTGTGTCGTGATGCCAGATGCTGTTCTGCCTGCATACATGAGAAATGGTTGTCTCAGTTCGCACTTTTGGAGGCCACTGATGACCGCAGTGGATGTACGGCGAACTTCTGGTCGGCGAGTGCTTGAGAGAGAAAGAGATACCATGGCCAAAAGTGGAAACGTCTCGGCAATATGTCGTTGTCAAAGTAGTGCGTGACACGCATAGAGAGGCGATGAGTGGTGGATACTGGTGAATAAGAGAATAGTAGTGAGAGATGGCTGCGTTCGCCAATGGTGAGGTGAAGCTCGCTGTTTGAGACTGGAGGGTAGAGGGATTGGATGAGTCGCGTAACGTCAAGGTAGGATAACTGATAAGACTTCGTTCCATAGTGAAACTGTAGTGGTTTGCACATTAAGCTGGATGTCGTCCCGAGTGAGATCAAGAGTTTGGTGTCGTAGTTCGATAGAAGTGTCGTCGTGTAACTGGGCGGCGAATGATATGCCGTTAGAGTTGAATGCAAAAGAAGCCCATGCGAACGCCATGCAGATCTACCATCCCTGCCTGTATGAGAACCTGCTCGACCTTTTTGTGGATAGCAACGCTCGTCCGCCACTCAAGAAAATGGCTTTTCATGACGTACAACATCATGTGCCATGAGCCATAAATACTCACGATGTCCGCTCCGGGACAAATTCCTGGTCCCGTTCATCCATCCAGAAAGATTCACCCAACCCTGAGAAAGCAAAACCCATACGGACACTGTTATACAGATCCGATAGTAAAGAAAGCCCGTATTAGCCATGATCAATCGAACTCCAAGCTTGCGCATGTCGCATGTCATAGACCTTCGTGATCATGGTGCAGAATAACGCCGTAAAGATAAAACAAGAGAGAACAGTCGCTAGATCAAAACACATCCCAGTAGTTCCAAGAGCCTACTGAGCAGTTTGACCGATAGGTGCAGCCGCTTGGTGCGGGTGACCACCACGGCCTCGACCTCCTTGACCTTGACCACGACCGCGCCCTCTATAACCTCCACGCCCCTGGATGTTGTATTGTTGTCCATAGCCGTTGGATTGGTTACTTTGGTTGTAAGGCCGTCGCCCTTGAGCTTGACCGTTCATGTTTGCGCCTGCAAATGCATTTGCTGCCATGACAGGGGCATTATTGGCTCTTGAAGCCTGAGCTGGAGGGGGCATTGGTCGAGGAATGTTTTCAGGACTGTCGTAAACGTAGAGAGATTTGTCAATGGACGGTGGAATTGGCTGAATCTCCGTACCAAGCTCTTGTTCAATCTTGTACAGATTGAAGCGGTCATCCCAGTTGATCAGGTTGATGGCGAGACCAAGATGCCCAAATCTGCCGGAACGACCAATGCGGTGAAGATAAGTTTCTGCATTCTTGGGGAAATCGAAGTTGATGACAACATTGACGGCTTGAATATCGATACCACGAGTCAGTAGATCTGAGCAGACGAGATTTCGACAGACGCCAGCACGAAAATCGTGAAAGACTTTGTTTCGGTTCTGTTGCAGCATCTTGGCATGAGAGTAGAAGCAAGAATATCCGAGTTCTGTGATTTTTTTCGCGAGGAGTTCGACTCGGTTTGTGGAGTTGCAGAAGATGATGGATTGATTGATCTGAAGTTTGGAGAAGAGAGTGTTGAGACAGTGCACCTTCTGTTTCTCTTCGACGAATGCGTAGTATTGGGTGATACCACGGAGTGTCAGTTCATCCATGAGGTTGATTTCGTAGGGATTGTGCATGTGTTTGTCCTTGAAAGTCTTGACCATCATTGGGAATGTGGCGCTGAAGAGCATGACCTGTCGATCTTTTGGCAGGAAGGAGAGTAGTTGTTCAATGACGACGGTGAACTCGGGCGATAACAGCTTGTCTGCCTCGTCCATAACAAATATAGGACATTCCGACAGATCTGCAACGCCTTTGCTTGCAAGATCAAGGATTCTTCCGGGTGTGCCAACGATGATGTGAACCGTCTCTCCTAATCTGATGATGTCGTCTTTGAGACCGGTACCGCCGGTAGTGACCATAACATTGATGCCGAGATGCTTGCCAAGGGTTTTGCAGACTTGTGATGTCTGTAGAGCGAGTTCTCGAGTGGGAACAAGGAGTAGTGCCTGCGTCTTGGGGTTCTTGGGGTTAATTCGTTCGAGGGTAGGAATAACAAAGGCTGCGGTTTTGCCTGTTCCATTCTTTGCTCTTGCAAGGATATCTCGACCGGTCAAGGCAACTGGGATCGTCTCTTCTTGAATCGGTGAAGGCTTTTCGAACCCGGCTTCAAAGATACCCATCATCAATTCACGCTTGATATAGAAATCTTCAAATTCAAGACCTTTCGTGGCCGTCACGTCTTCCGTCTGTTGTCGGGTATCTTTGTTGGGAAGTTTGAGCGAGTCTCTCCAGTTGCTCTCGTCTGCGCCATCGTTTAAAGAGGCCTTGTTCAGCTGTGATGCTAAAGCGTCCGTCATTTTTGGGAGGGTTTGAATATTGTTTGTTATGGAGTGCGGTGAGAGGGGCAGCTTGTGTCCGCCAGGCGTGTAGGGTTGGCGTCGATGTATTGGCTTTGGATCTCAGAGTCGAGGCGTAGGACAGAGACAGAGATCGGTGGTACGTAGAGGTGATCGCAGCTGAGGGAGAAACGCTGTGGGGGTTGCTCTAACCTGCGAGTGATTTGAGGGCAATTGGTTTTCTCCTCGCGGTGTGTAGTTGGAAGGAGTTTTGCAGTTGTGAGGTGACTCGAGAGGTGTAGGAGAGTGATTCGATGGCTTTTTCGCTCAAGATTACGGGATTTGAATGAGTATGAGACTGTTGCTCAAGAAGAGATTCAGGTGGAAAGATGAATGGCGGTTTTGAATAGCGACTGCGGTGCCGGTGCCAGCGACCAGGCCTGAGGCTGCAAGAGCGTGATTGGAGACTCTACAATGCCAAGACCCAAAGGCCCGGCTATTCTCTTGGCGACACTAGAGCGGCGAGGCTTTGTTCGACAGGTACCGAGTATGGGTGCCAGGTGCTTCGAGGCCTTTCATTGTCATGCTACTAGTCAACTTCATGAGAATCGCTTTCGCCGCTCAATTGATATCTTGGACCATTCTACCCCTATTGAAAAGAGACCAGCGACGTCTTGCAAGCCCGTCACTCATCGCGACCTTAGCCAGATCCAACCGCCATCTAATGCAAGCAGCATTATCCTTGCACCTCCACTTCCTCATAGGCATCAATTGCATGGACAGACGCAGCTGCTAGGGCACGCACCCGGTCCACGAGGGCCTTTACAAGGACAGCTAACACAAATCAGCCTGGGTGAGTCCCTCTGGCGGTACTAATGGGCAGACAAACCTCCCTCTGAGGCACGGCGGCACACAACCGCAGTTTCTGGTCTTGCTGGGCCCAAAGTAATTGCCGGCTGCCTGGTGCAAATTCATCTTCAAAACTCTCATGCCCATGATGTCGGTGGTAGCCGAAGATTTCGAAACGGCATGGACTGGCTCTGTTGTCGGCCGTGAGTTTGAATCTGAGCAAGGAACGACTTCCTCTGGCATATCTAGACGAGTCAGCCATCTCATCCACTGAGCAATGCAGAATATTGGCATTGCGGCAAGGAGTACTTACCGATAATTCGAATGTATAGTCTGCTGTCGAAGATGCGGGCCATAACCTGCAAATTCTCACAGGAGGTACACGAAGCCGGACTTATTACCTTGACTTCAAGTGCAGAAAGCAGTAGCCAGCGTGCATATGGCGGTCCCTTCCCAACAAAGAGCAGCAGACTGTGAGGTCGGCACAGCGCTGAATAAGGCAAGACCACAGCAGAAAAGGCCATACCCGGTTCCACCAACATATCCAGATCCTCGCGTTCATGGTAGGACCAAGGTTGAAACAGCTGGCATGCCCATAGTGATAGGAGACTCAGATGCGGCAAGGATCGGCGGAATACATGTGGTTGCACAAAGTTGGATTAAGTCTAGCGATTGTTGCATACGAAACTGGGAGCGATAAGCTCAGCTCGAAGATTGTGCGCCGTGTCCGAACCACCGACGTTGGACGATCGGGATTGAACATGCAGGCAGACGGTCACTTTGGATGCTTTGGATGTTGACAATTGTTGAGGCCAACGAGCAACGACGTGTGAAAGCGCATTTCCGAAACCGGCACGCGCATGTCCAACATTTCTGGTCGTCTGTCCAGGCAAGCCCGGTGCGTCAGGCTTCCTAGCCTTGAGGATATCTGCAGAAGTCGTCGGCCACAATCGTCTTCTAAGCTGAAGCTAGCACAAGTCTTGTTTGACCTCTCTCTGGTGCAGCAACCCTATGACATGTGAGTAGAACTCTTCATAATGGAAACATTCCTGACTTACTCGTGAGCTTTGACATCGGGAGCTCTCTTGATATCGGATTTTGTTCCGGGGCTGATCAAGATGAATTGGCGCCCAATACTTTGTCGAGCACCCTCGATCAGCAAGTTGACACTGACGGTCCTGTTCACCGCGTCCATAAAGACGTCGAACTCGTCCAGACACCTGATTGGCGCACCCATGGCTTCCCAAATGGCGAGCAAGAGGCATATCTGTGAGAACGACTTTTCACCGCCAGACAAGGTCCGGGCGCTTCTTCCCGAACCATCACGCCTGGTAATGTCCGGTTCAACCTTTAGATCCATTAGCTTCTGACGGTGGTCCATGACCAATCTGCCGCGGAACCCTCTCTCGCTGAGCATGTAACCAAATTGAGCCTTTGCGTGGGCAGAAATGAAGCTTCGGAATTGCTTCCACCGGAATTTTCGCTGCATCATCGTCTCATTGAGCTTGTCGCGCAGGTTTTCCAGGCTCTGCATTTCCTTCTGGGCAGTGTCGTAGGCTTTCTTCCACTTGGTAGCCTCTGCAGCTATCTTCTCTCTGTCGCCGATCCGGTCATGATATTTGCGATAGTCGTCGGACAGCCTCTTGTACTTCTTCTCGAGGCTCTCGTAAGTCTCGCCGTCGGGGATGTTGACCCGTTCTGAAACATTGCGAGCCTGTTCTGCAAAGGCTGCAATCTGTTCATCGAGTTCTGCCAGGTTGCTCACAAGTCTTTCACGATCAGATTTGCCGTCCTCCACGCGGGAGCTAGCCGCATTTTTCTCGTTCAAATCGTATGCCCGCTTTTGTCCGGCCTCCTGTGCACGGGCTTGCAGTTCATCAGCAGCCTCGTTAGCTTCTGCAATACGGTCGTCGAACTCTCGCAGTTTACGATTCGACTCTCTCAACTTGGCTTTCAACTCATCAAGGTTGTTCACAGAGTCTTGGAAGGAACTCTCATGCAGTGTCTGCTGCTCCTCGGCGGTCTTTAAGGCTTCCTTTAAAACTGCCAGGGCGCCACCTTCGACGTTGTCTTGCCTGATCTCGTCTCTCAAGCGCTCGACTTCATCTTCCGCCGTCTGCACTGCAATCGTGAATGTTCTCACTGCTCTTTCATGACGTACAAGAGCCTGCTTTGCCTTCTCGTGTCGATCACGAGCATTGTTACACTCGTCATCGAGACGACGTTGCTCCTCGCTCATCTCCGCGATTGCCTCCTGTTGTCGACGAATTGAATCTTCAATCTCTGATTTCATCCTTGGAGTGCCTTGAAACTCGTGCACCGGATCCTGGGCCGCATTCGTACCGCGGTAGAACAAGCATGCGCCTCTCAGACGACTGCCTGCGCTGAAGCAGTAGCATCTTTTGACTTTCTCCAGGGGTCTTCCACCAAAGAGCGTCTCCGAGGCTTCCGTCAAGTCCTCAATCAGTATGCTTTGCTCAATCTGATGGGCGATGACGAGTTGCTTCCTCACCAGCTCATCGTCAATCTCTAGGACCCTCAAGATTGTGTCAAAGCGTGAATCAGGCTCATGAGCCTGTATATCTATCGGCTGCTTGTTGACAATGAAGATGGGTAGCTGAACCTTCGTTTGCCGCATGATATTGCTTAACAGTTTCTCGTCGCGTTTGCTGGTCACGATGAATGCATTGAGCGCACTGCCAAAGGACTTCTCAATGATGGACGACCAATTCGGCTTGGTAAGTCTGACATGCTTCCCTAGAGGTCCAATTGGCCGCTCTTGAAAGTCGGTTGCTCTTTCCAATGCCTTGAGCAGAGCTGGCATGTTGTTATGGAAAGCCAGATCAGCGTTTTGACGGTTTCGTTTCAGCTGTTCGAGGTTTTTCTTTTGTTGTCCGAGTCGCTCTCGGTGAGAAGCTGCTACTTCTTGTGCTTCTTTTTCCAAACTTTCCATACGCTTGATGTCGTCCACTCGGGCTTTTTTCTGATCGTGGTGGTCGCGCTCGACATTCTGCGCTTTGACGAGAGCCTCTTCAGCTTTGTGTAGTTCAGCTATGCGCCGCGCTGCACCGCCTCCACTGAGCTCGGCCAGTCTTTGCTCTTCCTCTTCAATGGCTTGGGTTTTGGCTTGGATCGTTTCTTGGGCCTCCCGCAGGGCGGCATGAATAGTTCGCTGCTCAGCCTGAGCTTCGGAAGTCTCTTTCTTGATCTCGTCATGCCGGCCTTTCTTCTCCTCCTCCTTTTCTTCCTGTAATCGATCAACGGCCAGTCTGGCTGCATTATAAGCCTCAACTGCAGTCGATGCAGCTCTGTCGGACTCCTGAAATACAGCATCAATGTCGGCAAGATGGGCCTCCGCTTCCTGGATTTTGGTATCTGCTTCCCGGACTTGCTCAACATATTCTTCCCTTACAGCCTCTTTGGCCGCCACCTGTGCCCAAGCGAGCTGTCGTCGATAGTCCCGCAACTTGTCGAGCATGGAGTCATATTTTCGAGATAGTTCTTGCTTGTTCTTTGCACTTTCATGCTTCTTTTGTAAATCCTTCAGGTCTGGACGCATTGTCTCGATTTTTGCTCGTATATTCTCCTGTTGTTCTTCGATGATGCGGTAATCCTGGTCAAGCTGCTCCAGATGCACACCCTTCATGAAAAGCTTGTACTTCTCAGCCGAACTCGAAGACGAGATGAATTGTCGAGCCTGGTCTTGAGAGAGGACCGTCATAGGATTTTCCATCTGTAGGATCATATGATCACAAATGTCCTCGAGGTCCGATTTTCTGGTCGAGATGATACGCCCCCTCTCGGACTTCAATTTGAACCCGCTGCCGCCCGTCCGGGAGAAGTGTCGTTCGACTTGGATAGTGCTTCCGTACAAGTCCGGCATGTAAGCTGAATCGCCCTGATTTTTGATCTTACAGACGATCCTGGCATGGTCACGACCTTCCTTGATAAAGTTCTGAAGGCGGGCACCACGGTTCGTAGCGGAAGCCTTTCCCCCAAGACAAAGCACAATCGCAGTTAAGATTGCACTCTTACCACTGCCGTTCTTCCCGCAGATGAAATTGATCAACGGTCCCAGTTCGAATTTGTAGAAGTCGTGACACATGAAATTCTCGAGTTCGACTTCTTCCAAAATGCCATGCAGAGCAGGCTCGTTGTTCTGATCTTTTCTTGAATGTTTCCTCTCTTCAATAGCCTGCGTTGCAGCGAAGTCGGCCTCCTCATTTTCTTCGCCATCGTCAGAACCAAAGTCAGATGGCGGGGTGCTCGCTTCATTTGGGTCGCTGGAGGCACCGCGGTCGCGAGCTAGGGAAGACTCGTCACTAGTTCGCCTCCGCTTATTCTATAGAATATCAGTCAGAGTCAGGGGATCAATTCGTGCTGAGACAATACCGCAGAGCCCTGAGGTGTAGATGATGAGTGTCGCGCACGACGTTTATCATCGTCACTATCGTCGTCGCTATCATTTGGTGCCGAGCGCTTAGATGGCGCCATGGCGCGGCTTCTTTTATGGTACTGACAAGCAAAGGAGACGGGTCAATGAAGTGGAAACGAGGCTTGAGATGAAATGCAGCCTGATGCTCGTCAGGAAATGCGCCCAACCGCAGGCGCGTTGACTTTCCCTTGAGACGCGTGCCCGGAATTTGAAATTAAGTCCGATGCACGCTCTAAAATGGTGCCAGAAATTGACCACCAAATACACTTCACTGCCTATGAGATAATCCTCCATTGAGTTCTCTAACGGTCTGAGACTGTCTCGAAATATCACCACCGACAGTCCGCTCAGAGGACGTGTTGGCATTTACGACTTGTTCCCAGCCAAGAATGGCCTCCGCTGCGGCCGATGGCGACAAGTCCAAGCCAAAGGTGAAATCGCACTTTGGCCGACAGCAGCATCGCATGCTAATGACTCAACTAGCCCAGCGCATTGCGCTCCATTATAGCTGGATCAACAGCTGGAGCTGTCGAAATTGGTCAGTCTTCCCACTGCGAGTGCATGTCACTATGAATGAACTCCAGCACCTTGCGCTCGGTCTGCTCGATCTTAGCTCACCACAACACCTACAGCCATAACTTACCCTTTCGATTTCCTCAAAACTCGATCGCAACTCAACCGCCATTTACCGACAGAGAAAAAGCTCCCACTACCTCCATTCCCGTCCAAAGAGTGGTACACGGGATGTACAACGGCGATTGTTGGTAATGCCTTCAAGGCAGGTGTGCGCTTCGTCGCATTTGACACATACAAACACATCTTGGCCGACGAGGACGGCCAGATATCCGGGCCTCGCACAGTCGCCGCCGGATTCGGCGCCGGTATTACAGAGTCTCTACTGGCAGTGACGCCCTCCGAGTCCATAAAAACGCAGCTTATAGACGATCGCAAACGTGCGCAGCCCCGAATGCGAGGTTTCATTCATGGATCGTCGGTCATTTTCAAAGAGAAGGGTATTGCAGGCTTCTTCCAAGGGTTTGTGCCCACGACAGCTCGGCAGGCTGCAAACAGTGCTGTCAGATTTGGCACATACACCAGTCTGAAACAATTTGCCGAAGGCTATGTGGCTCCAGGTGAAAAGCTGGGCTCATTAACAACTTTTGGACTTGGTGCTGGTGCCGGCATCGTGACTGTGTACGCGACCATGCCTCTCGATACGGTCAAAACACGAATGCAGAGTTTAGAAGCCAAGCAAGTCTACAGGAACAGCTTCAATTGTGCCGCTTCGATTTTCAAGAATGAAGGCATTCTGACATTTTGGTCGGGTGCCCTTCCGCGACTCGGTCGCCTCACACTCAGTGGTGGAATTGTCTTCACGATGTAAGAATTCGGCGAAGCCATCATGCAACGCCGTTACTGACTACTTGCAGGTATGAAAAGATCATGGAGCTATTAGACAAGGCCGACCCAGACCGGAAATACATTTAAATATGCGATGTTATTTAATGATGAGTATACTCAGGAAAAACGACCTAAATCGTCTGGTGTTGCGTCTGCAAATGCGCAGCATTGAGAGCAGTACGCGATATCGAACTAGATCCGGACAACCACCGCCCGCGAGCCCGTCCAAATTAAGCAACTTCAAGCTGGAACTGGATGGTAGGAGATAGAGACAATACTGGGAGGTTCAGGAGAGTAGGCGAAGCTGTCAAGCTTGTTCGATGGCTTTGGGAACGATTCCCGGAACGTTGTGTAGATATCTGGGTATCAATATCTGATCAAACGGTACGGAGATGCCAGTATTGAGAAAATGGATTTTCTCAACAACCTCCGTTCACTCCTTCGTAGTAATGTTCTTGACAATCCCTTCTCCCAGCGTGGCAATCTCAGCAAGCACGCCCTCCTTGTTGAAGACGCATATGTCCTTGCCCTCCTCCTTCTCATTGTCCTTTTCAGCCGGCACAGGCACACTCGACCATCCCAACCTGACACGCCACTCCCTTCGCCCCAGCACACTCGGCTTCCACAGCCCTGCGATAGCCTTGCCTCCATGCCTATCATAGAAGAACAGGGCACTCGCTCCGAATGCATGGTTCAGATCCTGCACGAACAACTCCACAGGATCAACCCCAATACTCTCAACATCCAAAGACTCGGCGATCTGCAAATTCTTGAACTCGGCCGTGCCATTCACCAGCGCCCCCTTCGCCTTCTTCCCTTCACGACGGCCCTTAACCAGCCCCGGCCGAATATGAATGACAAAGTCAAAGTCCCCAAGCGGACTATTGAACAATCCAGCCCAATCGGCTTCGCTCATGCCCGTTCCCTTACTCTCCAGCATCTCTACCGCGGCCCTCGCCAACGCACTCACCCGTCCGGCTACCACCCTCGCGGGACGTGCCCTCTGCGTCCACACCACCCCGGTCCCGTCGATACTGGTCCCTATAAACCACACCACATTGTTCATGACGGGATCCAATTTTCTCCACGCCTCGAATCTAGTTTTCACCTCTCCGACCATCTCCGTGCTCCAGTCCTGCGCCAGCCCCAAATCCACGACCAAAGGGGCTGCATTCCAGTCCCAACGCGCGAGCAGACTTAGACACCTCAAAAACCCGGTTGTGCTACTCCCCGGCACACTCCACGGCACGGGGTTGACAAACACACTACTCGCCACAATTTCCAAAACTTCCTCCGGTACATGCCCACCCCCAAGCAACAAATGCCTCGCGACCCATCTTTTCAACAACCTTATTGTCCCGGACAACGGTGCGAAGCGACTGCACAAGCTCCGTATTGCGCTCGTATGTGTCGACTTCGCGACAAACTCCCGCTTATACACGGCCAATGCAGCCGCAAGGTCATCTCTCACAGCACCGTGCAGGGACTTGTCCCCCAGCGCCGCCTGGAGAAGGTACTCCTCGCGCTCGTGATGGATCCTGGCGCGGAAACACATCGGGCTCAGACCAGGTCTCGCAGCAGGGTAGATCACGTCCAAAAAGGACGTGTTCAAATACCCTGTCGTCGCGGAAGTGGTGTTCTCCAATCCCACGCGCGTCTGGAGACTCGGGTCCTGTGCGGTCAGGAGTTCGCCGAGTTTGAGCAGGAATGCGATTTTCGTGTGCTGGATTGCGGGGAGAGAGTCGGGCCAGCGCGTCGACGAGTCGAACTGTATCAGAAAGTCTATCGGCTTGGCTATGGACGGAAGTAAGGGGTTACCCACACTGGCTGATCGCAGCGCAGGGTCTGTGGGGAAGATAGAGCGGATCGGTAGGGGCAGGCCGTCGAGGTTGTGCAGTGTCGAAGTTAGAGTCTGAAAGGTCGTGTCGATCAGACGGAATGCGTCCTTTGCGCTGAGGGCCGAGTCGGATGAGAGCATGGTGGCTTCGAGGTCGGGTGTTTTCGAGCTTGTAGAGCTCGGTGGTAGCTCGAAATGAAGCATGAGAAGGTGAGTGATGATCTGCAGTGTCACGGGAGTCCCAGACGTCCAGACTAGGGCCTCAGATATGCTCCCATCCTTGAAGCGGCGAAGTTCGGCCTTTTCGCCCCAAAACTTGCGAAACTCGGCGGCCTCGTCTTGTTCGTCGGCGGAAGGACCGTGGTCGACAAGGCGTGTGGCGGTATCGGGATTGGTGAGGAGAGTGACCTCGAGCTCAAAATCTTTGTCCAAGAGCGTCGGCCCTGAGTTGAGCGGCCAGCTCGTGCCTGGTGGTAACTTGAGATCGACGAGTGAGACCCTATCGCCGAGACCTTGGACGAGAGTGCTGTGCATTTTCAGGAGATATTGCCGCTGCTCAACGGGCGTGGCAAAGGCTTTTGCTGGAATCGTGACATGGAAGACCTCGTCGTATTGCATGACCGGCAAAGCGACGTTGAGCATGAAAGTTGCGTCAAAATTATCCTGATTCCGGGCGTTGATGGCTGCTAGAGAGACTTGCGCATGGTGTCGGAGAGATTGATACGACCAGGGAGTCATTTTGTAAAGCATATTCACCCCGGTACTCGCATCATACAGAACTGGCGACTCTGAGCGTGGTATGTCAATGTTCGCGCCATACAGAATCATGGGATCTCGTAGATCTCTGCCCGCGAGAATTTGAAGCATTGCCTTGAAGAACTGGAGATTGTTGTACTGCTTGGAAAACAATGGATGGGCACGGTGCCCCCCTGTCTGAAGAAAAAGGGCGCACATCAGGGCCCACTCAAAGAAACCAAAGCCGCCAGAAGAGACCAGGCTTGAAAAGCCTCGCTGCTTCAACCAAATCTGTCCGATGCGGCATGCTTCGTCATAGGATGGACTCCTTGCCGATTGTATAATTTTTTCAAAGCCGGCCATCGATGCTGCATGACGAATGCTGCTATTGTAGAACGGTGTGGGCAAGTCACTGCTTGCAGCGTCGCCGTTAGCATTCTTCCTGAGACAGCTCTTCGTTGGTAATGTTTTCGAAATGGGTATAGCTTCGTCAGGGAAGCCGACGCTGATCTGAAACTTGAACTTCGACAGGGCTTTGTCTTTGGGAATCGCTTCAAGGGTAGGTGAGGAATCCACATCATTCAAATGAGCAAAAACCAAGTCGATATCCGAGCTGGCGTGCTCCTTGATCGCTGCTGCAATACATGCCAGATAGAAGGCAGCTTTGTGAGGGCCCCTGTTGTTGAGATAGTCCTTTTCTTGAAGAAGTTCTTCTGGCATGATGGCGGTAAGCTGTACCGCATTATCGCCTTTGACGCTTAAGCCCCATGGCAGCGCTCCTCCAACCACAATTTCCTTCGGTGCTTGAAATTCGAATTTGTAGTTGGTTTCTTTCGAGGGGACTGGTTCGGTGAAAGGGATCCTAATTCCTTGTTTACGGAAAGCCTTGAGCGCATCGAGCGCAGTGACTGGGGCACGTGACGGCATCTGCTTGATGATGGTTTGGAGTCGATTGGAAATCATAGTCCATTTCGCTTGGAGTCTGTCGTAGTTCGGAGTGACTTCAGTGTTCAGATCTGCGACCTGTAATGCGAGGATGGACGATTTGTTGATTCCGCCTGTAGGCATTGTGGCGTGTTGGCTGCCGGTTTTGTTCGAGGGTGTGCCAGCTATCTTGATAGTTTGGCTTGCTTTTCTATTTCCGAGAGTCTGCAACGAGGTGTCATCAGCAAGTCTCGAAGGATCTTCCGCGTCGGTGCTGGAGCTATGGCTGAGTTTCCGCCGCTTTGGTGAATGCCGTGAATGGAGGGCTTCGATTGACATGGCTTAGCATGGGTGGGCTGTTATCTTAGAAATGCTAAACCTTGTCGTATCTTCGAGGTCGAAACGTCAGTGTATATACCTCCACGTATTTCGGCCGGCTCCCCAAAGTCTGGCGATTCCAGTGGCTACGAGGACCATTATCTGAGATGACAATGGACACCGGACGATGGATGATGGGGCCTCGAACTTTTAGATGCCAAGATCTGAAAATTTATAGACCATATTCGCCTCATTATTTTAGAGTACGTTAGTCTCGCATGAAGTCGGACTAAAAATCCAGCCCTTGAATGGAGTCCCAGAGGTGATACTTCTCGATGGATGGTGAGTCACATAGTATAATTTTAGCAAGACTTCTCCCTATCCTCCCCTGAGATATAGAACTTTGACCCATAGCCCTTGTACCTTGTGTGCTCATCGCAACCTTTGACACGGGATAGAGGGCCTAGGTAATCTAGGATTTGGCCGCGAAACTGTATTTCCGATATCGGAAAAATCTTCATTAATGACTCCAACCTCCATCGCCTGGCCACCGAACCGTAAAACTCGCATTGGTCAACCAACATTTTCTTACTTTCCATATTGTATTGACGCGACATCAAGATGCTCGCTGCAGTCGGGCAACCAGTGCCCAACACAGAACACGCTGTGAGCGTATCTCTGCCATCATGGAAAGCCACCGTTGGTTACGAAGAAGGCGAAGACTGGGTGACTTCCAAGATGCAGACTGGCTATCCTAGATTCTTTATACACCTGCTGATCCAAGAACTGGAAAAGGAAGTACTGAAACTTTATGGCAGGCATGGCGAGAAAGTCATGCTTTTCCCTTCGCTTGCCACCGCGAAGCGGTGTCAAAAGTTCTTCTACGATAAAGTCGAGGGCCTGGGGACCGGCGTTGTGCACATTCTGCAGCTCGAGCCGGTCCTCAATCAAAAGAAATCTCATGAGACGGCATTCTCGTCGTTGTTTTGCGTCTTCTTCCCAAAGGACTATTTTAGCGTGGCGAAACAAGTGTGGCAGCATTCAGGAGACGGCATTTCAAGCCGGAGAGGCGAATTCTGTCTGAAAGCACTCAGAGAGGGCTTTCTGCAGCCGGTTGCGAGCCCGTCGAAGCCGAGGCACGAAGATGTCTATTCAAAGGGACCTCGACGGTACCAAAAGGCATCACAGAACGGCATCATCCACAACGTGAGCCCTGCCACTGATTCGCCGAAAGCCGACAATGCAGCAAACGAGTCTCAGGAGAAGGACCACGCTCAGTTTGTAGAGGAACGATTTGGCAGGAACCTCAACATCAAGCTAGCCTCTCAGGCCAAGCTTGCTATCCGACGCAGAATCAGTGGGTGCTTGACGGAGACTTCGGAGCTCGATCAGGCATTGGCTATTTCGCCCGACACTAGTAACAAGCGACAGCAGGGGCTTTCAGAAGACGATGTCTACCTCTATCCAACAGGCATGTCGTCAATCTTCAACACTCACAGGATTCTGATGGCCAACGCCGAGGCCAGGGGTCGAGAACTGCGAAAGAGCATCTGCTTCGGCTTCCCTTACGTCGACACGCTCAAGATCCTGGAAAAATGGGGTCCCGGTTGTCAATTCTATGGACTTGGAAGTTCGGCTTGCCTTGATGACCTGGAAAGACGTTTAGAATCTGGCGAGAGATTTCTGGCCCTGTTCTCGGAATTTCCGAGTAACCCACTTCTCAACTCTCCAGATCTGTTGCGCATACGCAAATTGGCCGACAAGTACGACTTTGTCGTGGTGATTGACGAGACTGTGGGCAACTTTACCAACATCGACGTCCTGCGGCACTCAGATGTCGTGGTCAGCAGCCTGACGAAAGTGTTCAGTGGCGACAGCAACGTCATGGGTGGCAGTGCCGTGCTCAACCCCGAGAGCAAATGGTACCCTGAGATCAAGCAGACGCTCGACAGAGAGTACGAGGACAATTACTGGGCCGAGGATGCAGTCTTCATGGAGCGCAATTCTCGAGATTTCATCTCTCGATCAGAACGGATCAATTGCAACGCCGAAGCCATTGCATCCCGATTGCAATCCTGTCCCTTTGTCAAGAAGGTGTATTATCCGAAGTGCAGCCCAACTCGACCAAATTACGATGCTTGCCGGACTGCCAACGGTGGATACGGGGGGTTGCTCTCTGTTACATTTCAGCATTATGAGCAAGCGATTGTATTCTTCGACACGTTGGAATGTCAAAAGGGTCCTAGCTTGGGGACGAACTTTACCCTTGCATGTCCGTTCACAATCCTTGCGCATTATACGGAGCTGGACTGGACCGCCAAATGGGGCGTGGAGCCGGATTTGGTGCGTCTGAGCGTGGGATTGGAAGATCCTGAGGATTTGACGGCGCGGTTCGACAGGGCGCTGAAGGCGGCGGAGAGCGCAAAGATATAAGTCTGTTGGTTTCGCCATGCAGGCTTTACAGACGTTCTGATGTTCAACTCATCGACCTGTTCTGTCCCAGATAAAGGCGCAATGTAAATAGGTCTTGACGCGACAAACATGAACAATTGAATAAGGCTTGGATTGAAGGACATTCATGGAACAGACTTGATATGGCAAGGTTGAGGCTAGTGATGCGAGTGAGGTTGATGAGGCTGAGTGCCACCCCCGCATCGGATGAGTTTATCCGGGCGTGACTTCCCTGCTGCTCACACCACGTCAGTCACGGTCAGTGCACGTCCTTTCAGGGTACTTCATGTTGATATCTGATGACTGTAGTTGAGAATCCCCGACCCTTTCACGAATGGATCTCCGACTGAGTTATCCTCCGTTTGAGACCAATATATGCCCCTACAGACCCGAGTGACACTCCTTCTATCCAGCATATAAATTCTCCTGCTCACCCTACTCTATCCGATCATCTTACCTGCGATCCAGCATCTATACTCTCCCATCTGGCCAACGCTCAAATCCCTCCAGTCATCGCTTCTAATCAACCCCTCCACAACCACAACCGCAACCATGGCGTGGCGCTGCTCAGGCCGCAACAATGCCGAATTGATCTCTAACCTCTTCAACGTCGGCCTCATAACATCTCCCCGCGTCCGCGACGCCATGATCTCCGTCGACCGCGCACACTACTGCCCATCCTCACCCCTCGCCGCATACGAAGACTCCCCACAGCCCATCGGCTTCTCCGCCACGATATCCGCACCACACATGCACGCCGCTGCCTGCGAGTCCCTGTTGCCCTACATGCCCGAGAACAAGGGCGCCAAGGTCCTCGACATCGGCTCTGGGTCAGGCTATTTGACGCACGTATTGGCCAACCTAGTCTGCGGCGGTGACGGAACGGGGTCCGGGCACGTCGTGGGGATCGACCATATCCAGGGCCTCGTGGACATGTCGCGAGAAAACATGCGCAGAAGCGAAGAGGGAAGACGGCTCCTGGACACGGGCAAAGTCGAATTGATTGTGGGCGACGGAAGGAAGGGGTATGCGCCCGGCGGACCGTACGATGCGATCCACGTCGGCGCCGCGGCAAGTGAGATGCATCAGACACTCATAGACCAGTTGAACAGCCCTGGAAGGATGTTCATCCCCGTCGAGGACAGCGACGGCTGGGGAAGTCAGTGGATTTGGGTGGTGGACAAGGACAAGGACGGAAAGGTTACGAAGAAGAAAGATATGGGCGTGAGGTATGTGCCATTGACGGATGCGCCCAAGTGACAATCATAGGGACTGGGAAAAGGGTTTTGGGAGTGGTTGTTCAAGCGACTTTGATCAGCGCGCAGTGGGCGTACAGTTCGATGTTGGGCGGAATACACCACCAGCAATGTAAGTCTTGATGAGAGTCAGGAACACATATGTGTACGATTAACACGACCACGACGGGCTATGAGGACCGAAAATAGGTGCCGTGCTAAGGCAGGAAACCTCGAATGCTATAAAGTAGCTGGCATTGTTTTACGGAAAGGGCACGAAACGTACTTAACATAATCATATGAAATTCTCAACAATCTTTATGACGGTCTACTCAGCTTGATGGGCGTACAGTACGCCCGGTTACAGACAAACTCCGTCTCGTCAACCATGCCATTCGACCACTTCTTTATGCGGACACCATAGGCTCCTCGGCCACGTAATGCAAATACGCGCCCAACAACTTGGTCCCCTCGATATAATTCCTCCGATCGAGCTTCTCGTTGATGCTATGCGCGGCGTCCGTGCTGCTCCCCATCGGCAACAACAGCACGTTCTTGCCCGTGGCCTCCTCGAACGTGATCGTGACTGGAATACTTCCACCCTCTCTCGTCATATCCGGCTCGACGCCGAAAACCTCTTTGACGGCTTTACTCGCGGCCGAGAAGTTCCAGTGCTTGGGGCTGGCAACCCACCACTTGCCGTCGTGCTGGCAGTACACTTCGAGCGTGTTCTTGGATCCCAGCTTGGCGAACTCGTCCTTGACGTACTTGTACACGGCCTGATTCACCTTGGGGCTTTCCATGTCCGGCACCGTTCTGATACTGAACTTGCCAACAACTTTCGCGGGGATGACCGTCTTTGCACCTGGCGCCGAGAACGCACCCTCCACGCCGTGGATGCTGAGCGACGGGTAGCGCCATCTCGCCATCAACGTGCGGTCCTTGTCGGAAAAGATGCCGGTCTTGCTCCCCAGACTCTCGTACAGATTATCCATCGTGTACGCGATAGGACCGTACAGCGCCTTCTCCTCTTCGGTCAGGGGCGCGACCATCTCGTTGATACCTGGGATCAGGATCTTGCCATTGGCATCGACCAACTTGCTCAGAACAGCCATGAGATCGGTCATTGGCTCGTGCGCGGTTCCTCCGAACACACCGCTATGCAAATCCTGGCCCGGTCCGGAGATCGCGACGGAGTAGTAATTGCACCCTCTGAGCCCGTAAGTGAGACAGGGCTTCTCCGTGCCGAGCCAGTAGTTATCGCTTATGCAGACCGCATCGGCGTCTTTGAAGAACTGCTTCGCTTCGGCCTTGATAAAGTCGTCTAGACCCTCGGAGCCATACTCTTCCATGCCCTCGAAGCAGCACAGGAGGTTGACGGGGAAGTCGACGCCGGCTTTCTGGTGCGCCTCAATGGCGTTGAGCCAGCCTAGCACGGGGCCCTTATCGTCGGTGCTGCCGCGGCCGTACATGCGTCCCTTTTCGTCAATGGTCAGTTTGAAGGGTTCTGTGGCCCAGCCGTCTTCGAGAAGCGCAGGTTGCACGTCGTAGTGCCCGTATACGAGAATGGTGCGTTTGGACTTGTCATTGCCGTAGCGTGCAATGACCACTGGTGGGAGATCGAGGTGTTCTTTCCCCGGCTGTTTGCCCAGTGGGCGTTGTTGGACTTCTGCGCCTAGAGCCTCGAGCTCGGCGGCGAGGAACTGGCCCATCTAACAAGGTATGTCAATTATGCTCGGCTGGTGGGATGCGGAGTGGGCTGTAGACGTACTCGTACGACATCTTTCCTCTTGTCTTCGTCTGCGGAAACTGAAGGTATGGCAACGGCTTTGCGCAGACCTGGTGGAAGAATGTGAGTGTCCCGCTACTCTGGGGTGCTGTGAGAAGGCTTACGGTCAATAAAGGAGTCGGCGAGCTCATCCACCCTGGAGTGTGGTCAGTCAGTGAAGTTGGAGAGCATCCCTGAGGTGTAATACTTCTTGAAGTAAGGTTCTAATTGAGGCGCCATCTTGTCGTCTGAGATATGGCCGTAGTAGGTCCTAACTGGTGCAGATGTCAATGGGCGCAGGCGAGAGACGGTGGAGCGGAATGCAATATGAGACTGAGGAAGACTGCTGGACAAGATGTTCAGGCTCTTCAATGAGTAACGGGGATGGCAGAATTTAAATAACATGTGTTTGTCGGGCTGGACAAGTGCGGGTAATTCGGCCTACAGCGAGTGTGCTCATATCAGAAGATGCGACTAGACATTGGAGAAATCTGAGAGTCTCTTTGGAGATGGAAGTATCCTACATGTAGAAATTCACCAGAGCTACTCCGTACCTGTCGCTCTTGCCAGAGAATGAACACCTATCTGTACATTTTTCACCACTTGCGCTTATCCTACAGTGTCCTTTTCTTCTTACTCATCTCTATACCACCGCTCCTTTCTCAGTTCTCGGTCCTCACGTGCCTCCCTTCTCTTCTTGCCCCATCTCGACTTGACAATTTCGGTGACCAGTTTCTGCTGTTCCTGCTTTCCGGGCGCCAGTCCTTCCGTCGCATACATGGTGAACAATGGGGAGCACTCGAATTTCTTTGATAGTCGCTTGACGCTCCATTGCAGAGGGTCGGCTTTCCGTAACGCCTTCATTTCTTCCACCTCCTTCATAGTCAAATGATAACTTTTCTCTTGCTGTCCTTTCATAGCAGGTATTTGTTGACTCAGTAATAATTGTGCCTTGCTTGTTTCTGGGTCTGGTATGATTTTTCTCCGATCGTTGTCCGGTAGAAAGATGTTTGGTGTGTGGTAGACATTGGGCATACTCGGAGGAGGATTGTGGACGATATGATCGTGCTGCTCGGTCTGAGAGGGCAGGAAGGAAGCATCCGGCTTGATATTCAGCTTGGATCTTGCTCGTCTGTAGGATGACTGGTGTCGCCGAAATGAGGGTTGCAGGATCTGAGCGCAAAGCTTGTAGAACCGCCCTGAGGCCGTCAAGGGCAAAGAACAGGCGGTCGCCGACTGCATAGTGATGGTAGGAATTGAAGAGAACGATTAAAGTATATGTATGGGAAATAAAGTCGTGAAGTATGCTGGGCTGAAGCTTTGCGTAGCTGAGTTGAGACAGGACTGGCCGCGATGGCGACTTTTTCTGGGACTCAAGGTGGCCTTGTCAAGCCGAAGAAAATATGTTAACTGCCTCTTGAACAAAGATTGCAAACAACATACAGACAGATATATGTCCGTCGTCGACAACAGGAAGTAACTCCGAAAGATCTGATATTATAAAGAATCATGAATCAATGCAATTCAAGGGCTGAACAGTGGAACGGCAGGAACTGGCTTGCTGGGCCGGAAACCGCAGTCAAATTGCAGTTTGCTTGGCAGTATGTAGTACGGTACCGTACCTGACCTCGCACGCCGTGCTAGGTCCCTCACTGTCCCTGATGGTCCGTTCCACTTCATCAAAGTCTTCTTCACACAGGTTGCCCATCAGGACACATTGCCAGCACCTAGATAACCTTCCCTTCGTACAAGATCGCAAGGACGTTTGAAAGGGCGCTCAGGAATCTTTCATTCTCTCCCCGGTCTCCGATGCTTACACGAACACAACCTCGACATCCATACTCATCCCCTCTGTATCTGATCAGAACACTCTCCAGATGCTTCATTTCGCGCACTAGGGAGGCAGCCGTGATACTGCATGGGCGTCCGCATCCACCTGCGGAGTCCAAAATCTCGAAGAGAACGAAATTGGCATCAAATCCACCTATCAAGCGGCCTACCCCCTTGATTTTTGGTAATTCTTGAATCAAGTGCTGTCGATTCGTCTTGATCAGGTTAATATTGTGGCGAGCTGCCGCCAGGCTTCCTTCGGTCAGAGCTGCCGTGGCAAGTCTGCTTGACAGACTGCCAATATTATACGGCTGCTTGATTTTATTGAGAATCCCGACAATATGCTGACAACCGGCTGCAAACCCAACCCGGATACCAGCCAGTCCAAAAGCTTTCGACAGGGTGTTCAAGACCATCAGATTGCCATACTGCCTGAGAAGGCCCATACAAGATGACTCGGGGTGGCTTGCGAAATCGATGTACGCTTCATCAACGACGAGCATACCACTCCAGGAATCCAGCTCCAATATGGTTTTGATGTCGCTCAGGGAGATCAGTGAGCCTGTAGGATTTCCTGGCGAACAGAGAAATATGACCTTGACCCGGGGACTTCTCGCCAAGGCCGACTTGAGCACCCCAAGCTGCAAGCTGAAATCCTTGCAAGTATCAAGGGGCGCCTCCACGACAGCGACATTATTCAGGCTGGCACGCACCCCATACATACTGTATACTGGAGGACATAGAAGAATGCTATCATGCCCGGGCTCGCAGAAACATCTGATGAGCATATCTGTTAGCTCGTCCGATCCGGGTGCAACGCAAACATTTGCCGGCGAGAGTTGACATTTGTATTGCGAGTTCCGCATCTCGCAGAAGGCGTGCTTGAGCTCGGTTTGTGACCTAACATGGATTGGAACAATGCAGACGGGCTTCGGAGATACATCCATCTTACGAATCTGGATATCGATGCAGGCTCACGATTTCGGTCAATCGTGTAGTCCCCAGCGCTTCTTTGTTTATGCCAGGCACGGCAGATCCCCAGATTGCTGATGCCAGTCTTGGAGACGGTGCGCATTCATTTAAGTCCAGTAAAACCGCATTGTCGGGGGTTTCACTTTGAGAAGGTTAGCATAGCAGCCTTCACGAGTGGCATGCGAGGGGAAACGCGGACCTGCGAGCGCCGTCGTATGGTTTGAAGGACAAAAGATGATGACGAACATTACGCAAACACTTGCAAGACATGGTCAGCTGGGCCATCTAGTTTGGTTGAAATCGAAGTCGACTGGATCAAGATGGTTATAAGAGCTGCGGCACCTATTCAGCAGACCTATTGACTGTAAAGCTAATCGACAATGTCCGCGAATGCTGGTGAAAAGTGCCCAAGTTTCGAGATGTATACAAGGTGGGGGAAGCAGTGCGACGCTTGTTTGATAACCTGGTAAAGCAACGAACGATGCGGTTGTCTGACAGATCCTTTTGAACAAGTCACGGGCACTCCAGAGAACTTGAAGTATTCCGGATCTGAAGGGACAGCTAGCCCTGGCATGTTACATTCTACAGTCAGGCCCACAGCTTTCCTCCCAGTCTAGAAATTGTCTGCTTAAGACAAAGTGTAATGAATCGAACGGCAGAAAGTTGCGAAAGCCCCGAGGACAACAGTGATTCCCACAGCATAGAACACGAGGGTCTGGCGTTGTTAGTAACTGACACGCCTGTGCGACTGGATTGTGTGGACGACCTACCTTTGCATCGTCGTCCCATTCCCTCTTCCGCGCTACGGGACTGATAACATAAGTGGTCAAGCCAATCAAGAAAATCACCAGCGAATAGCTCAGAAACATCAAAGGGCCTTGCCAAGCCAAGACCAATGCCCAACTTGGTCTACTTTGGGTCGTGCTTCCACGACGACGACACAACTTCTGCTGTGGCCCGTCCCAGTCTTGCCGACCTGTCCCATCAAGTAACACGACCTGCTGAGCGCCTAGGATGACCGCAAATAGGGCGAATAGTATGCTGACGTACCAGCTTGCGGGCGCAAGCCAGTGTCTGCCACTGAGATCTGTCCAAGAAAGGGCTCCGACGACTGATGTGAACGTGACTGCTCCCTGACTTGATCAGTAGCTGTTTCACAGTCTCCATGCCGGGCTTCTTCTAACCGCGACCTGTACATATTGTGCTTCTTTCGATTTGGCAACAAACCAGTGCTCAATAAGTTGCAAGCTTTCGGACTGGTCCGAGGTTCTGAGTATTTTCAGGAGTGGCTCTCTCGTCTCGCGTTCGTATAAGAGAAGGTATGGCCATGCGATGGCTTGGATAGCAGCATCAGCTAGCATATGTGCACCCTGCTTGGCAGCCTGATGTATCAACAGATGAGGCCTCTGCATTACTCCAAAGTGTACTTACAGCCTTCCACTCTGGTTTCTTCCAGCGCATTGTCACTGTGCTGTGGACTTGAAGATGGACGCAATAGCGTGGGTGGACAAGACAAACAGGTGAGGAGAGGCGAACCAGCTCCTTTACGAGGTCAGTATGAGCCGCTCAATTCGGACCCATACAGATCCGCAGGGGCCATCCTGTTCTTTCCTGGCCGCAGTGCGGCACTATTTTTGGTGTCACTTAGATTCCTTAATTGCTAAGTATGACGTGTAATATCAATACGCCGCAAGAAACCCTGGAAGGGGCTGTGACAGAACGGTCCGACTTCTTCGGTGTGCTGGCCACTGACTATTGAAATGCAGAACAGCCGAGTGGAGACAAGAGGCGAGGTGTGCATGCGACCACACTACATCAGGGAGTGCATGAACAGCATCACAAACAGTGCAGCCACTCATACCACCGACCCCCGCCGAATGCTACTGGTCCGATATGCAGTGGCTTCCTGTGCATGTTGGTGGGTCTAAAAGGAGCTGCAAGGCCATAGTGCTTCGTGCCCGGCGACAAGTAAGAGGGGTATCTTTCAGGTCGGTCATGATTCGACCCTGGGGTAGTACTGAAATCTCAACGCCCCAGAAACGTTGTCGAAGTATTGCGTGAGATTGATAGACAGACCAGCATCGATGGTCGAGATTCGCATCATGTGGCCTATTTCACAGCTTGGTGTGGGCTGATCAATCATTTCGCTTGGGCAACGCCCGATATACTACTTTGCATGCACGTCAGGGTTGCGGAGTGAACTGGCTTGGGACTCATGCTAGAAAGCATGAGGGATCGCAGAGTTACTAACAGTCTCTAGGCTGTGAAACCTCAACTCGATCGTTTTATGTTGAACATCCGCTGCAGCCTGTTCCATAATTGCCATCTCGACGTTATTATTCAAGATGCACTGTATCTCTTGTGGAGATCTCTTACAAGGGGCTCCCATAGCAATGGACGCATTGAAACAATCTGCTTGCGGACCTGGCTTTTTTGGTCTCGACTTCAACGGCGACGACTCGGCGGACGTCCTCCTGGACTTCGTTGAGCTTGAACAGTTCACAGAAGCACTTTTTGATCGACCCTCCGAGGAGAAGAAGCAGCACGATTTCAGAAAGGCTGGTAGGGTTTTAGGGTCAGCACTCGCAAGCATTCAGATGGCACTGTACTCATATTTCAATAGTTTCAAGGCCATTGGTACAGAAAATGGTGCTGTGCTAGGAAGGCCCGATGGATTTGAGCTTTTCATGGTAGAGCTAGTCCCCGTCGAGTGGAAAGTTCGAACCTGACCGATCACAATCCGGCAGTTGCCTCAAAATGAATTTGTCCTCCCTCCGGACAGAAGTCACCGCCCGTTGCCACCATTTCTCGACTCCAAAAGAGGGTTCTTGGAAGCCTGCATGAGGACATACCAGAAGATTGGGCAGATTATCTTACAAAGGCTGACAGAAGCATTGGAACTCAACGATGAGATACTGCTTGCCCATGCCAAAGACAAACCCTCCATGACCAGTCTCAGTTTCCTGAAATATCCACCGCAGCAACCTCAAAGCTCGCAAGTTGGACATATCCCTCACACCGATATCGGGAGTTTGACAATCCTTTTGACCGGACAGAAGGGTCTCCAAGTAGTAGATCCCGAATGTCAGAAATGGGTCTTTATAGAGCCAAAGGCAGGCCAGCTCATTGTCCAATTTGGCGACTCCATGCAGTTTCTTTCGAGGGGGCGGATCAGTTCTTCTTTGCATAGGGTATTCCCTTTTCCGGAGGCTCCTTATGCAACAAAGTACACGATCGCCTACTTCATGCGACCAAACGTGGAAGCTGAAATTCCGGTGGAAGATGGCAGCGTCTGGTTGTACAAAGATTTGCATTGCAGAAAGATGGATGCCTTTTCAAGCCCAATCAGAGCGTCCCGTGAAGATGAAGTCGAAATCATTTCCACAGCCAGTCCCGTGGTGGTAGAATAGGGCCAGAGAATGTTGATGTGAAACCCAAAGGCTGGAAAGGTCAACGACAGGCAATTTAGGTCCTGGAACAATGCTTTACAATCGGACATCATTGCGATATCATCTTTGTCTGGGCTGGAAGTACATGCACAGGAGCTCGAGCTTCAAGTAGCACTTTACTATTGCTCTTTCTTTGTGAAGAAAAATTCCTCAGCAATTCCTTTACCAATTCCACCGCATCTCGGGAAACGCCTGCCGACATCAGTAAGGCATCCGCAGAGAATCGGAGGAGTTGAGACTTACAATGATGAAACATGAGCCTTGCACCATCAATTCGCAAGCCATATTGCCAGGCAAGCGTCACGAGTCTGTTCGTATCATCCTCGTCCAAATCAAGCCAAGCAACGTTCGTTTCCGTCGGGTACTTCAAAGTGCCCTTGCATTCCCGCCGCCAGTACACTGCAATCTCATGCGCATAAACATGGGACTTCTCTAAATATTGCTTGACCAGGGCAGGATTTCCACAGAAGTGCTTGTCGAGTACATCAGTGCAAATTGCAGATATCACATCCGTCTTTTCCAAGGTGCCACCTAGCATGATCTTGACTCTCTCGGCCTCAGAGATGAACTCTTTGGTACCAACGAGCATACCACCAAATGGAGCACCCAGGGCTTTGGAGAAGGAGAGAGAAATGCTATCGAAGAGAGAGCAATATGATTCTAAAGGCCGCAATTCTGCAGCAATCACTTCCCAGATGCGCGTCCCGTCCAAATGCAGTTTGAACCCACGGTTCCGTGCGAAGCTGGAGATGCGCTGCATCTCAGAAAAGTCGAAGATGACTCCTCCGACCGCCGCTTCGAGCGATATTAGAACAGCATCGCTGTCACCAACACTACGTTGACCAAAGGTTGATTGTCGACCGAGAACTGCCTTTTCAAGGTCTTCCTTGGTCAAGAAAAGATTGTTCCCGGGCTGGATTGGCAAGAGGACTTTTTTGGAAGACGTTGCAGACCCTTTGCGAAAAATCCGGGACCTGGCATCGGCGAATATCATACCGGGCAAGCCATGTGAATTCCCACGCAAGAGTTGGGCTGCAATGACATTCGCCATTGCGTCCGTGGGGAGAAATAGGGATGCTTGACATCCGCAAAGCCTCGCAACTTTGTTCTCGAGAGTCCTTGTAACAGAGTCGTCTCCAGAATGCCCGTCGAAACGCACGCCTTTGGTGAGCGCAGTGACTATTATATCAGGGTCGCAACTGTACGAATCGGCTGGACGGGTTAGAGTGCTGCATGGCATCTGGTAAGCAAGACAACGACGTACTTCGGAAATCTGCGACTGCGGACGTATTCGGCGTCTTGTTTGATTTGGTAATGGTGTTGTAACTCTTCACTGGGGAAGTTGTCCCATCCAGCATCTCAACGTGATTTTGAGGTCCGGCCATATCTGATCCGTTTTCCAGATGCCGGTATCTCGCAAGCGGAGTTGTGGTAATCCGAGCAGGATAACCTGTTTGTATCCTAGATAGAGCAATTGTGCTCAAACATACCAAACTTCGCGCCCTTCTGACCACTGTTCTGCTTGCAAAGGCCGCACGTCTCAAAATCTGGTGATGTGCCATAGAGAAACCACAAAAGTCTCAACACAGAGGGAGGTGCCCAGCCCTCAATCTCCTTACGGCTCAGTTTCGCCAGTTTTCGTACATTCCAACCGGTGTGACAGGGTATCGGAGTTGGGTGCCAAAAGATGATGGGTGATTGGCAGAGAGAGGAGAGCCAGGGGTTGTTGTTGAGGCAGTGCGAATCACACCTCATGGGTAACACAGCATGCGGGCTGAGCAGCTCGTTCCACAAATTCCCTGCAATGACATCCCGTCTTCTCGCCCGCTCTTGCAAACGAGGCAACGGTGTCAAGCAAGGGGTCTCTGCAAGGAGGGGAATTGGGAAAGGAAGTTGCTCGTGATGCGGGCGGCACGTTATTGAATCACGGTCACCGGTGAGGATGAAGAAGTTGTCGGGCGTGATCATCTTCATCTCGTCGAGCAAACAAGGAAGGTGCGGCTGGAGGCAGTAACTTTGGATGTTGTCTTGCCCACGCCCGTGCTTGTCCGGGCTTGGTACAACCGTAGCGAGTAATACGAGCAACGGAATGACTGCCTAAACGCGAATTGATTCGCTTGGAAATGCGATGCGTAGGGAGAATTGACCGGGACAACGATTCTCGTTTTGCAGGTCCCTATGGAGTATGCTTTGTCCATTTCGTTTCGTTGAAAGTCTGATTGCTCCTTGCACCAAATTCTGTACGCCACAACGAAGATATGATAATTCTGTTCAGCTACCGATTCTTCTATACACTACCAACAGCCCTTTCTGAGCTCGTTAGGATGGCCTCAAGAGGATCTGACCTTGAACATGAACAGGGAGACTGTCGAATATACGTTATTTACACGTCCGGAGAGATGCTACATCGTTTTTCTAGTGTCCTTTGGGGGTTGGTTCTCGACTCTGAGCAGCTTTATTTACTATCCGGCCATTGCGGCGATCGCACATGATTTAGAGGTTTCGATATCGAAGATTAACCTAACGGTAACTTCGTACATGGTCATGTCCACCATCGCTCCGGCATTTGTTGGTGACGCAGCAGACATCCTGGGTCGACGGACACTATATATCATTACAATAGGCCTGTATGTGGCGTCCAATGCTGCACTGGCCAAGGCAAGATCGTTCCCTGCCTTACTCGGACTTAGAATGTTGCAAAGCGCAAGTATTTCTGGCACGGTCTCCCTTAAGCCATGCAAATATCCCACTGACCGTGACAGGGACTTTCTCGATCGCCTACGGCGTCATAGCCGATATAGCCTCGCCTGCAGGACGTGGGTCTTATGTCAGTGCCCTATCTTTTGGGTAGGTCGAAGTTTGCAACTCACTGACCACAAGCTGATCGATGACAGGATCACTACCGCTCCAAGCATCGGACCTGTATTGGGTGGTGCGCTAGCCTTTACTGCCGGCTGGAGATGGATCTTTTGGTTTCTGTGCATTGCATCTGGATGTTGTTTTGCGATGATGGTCAGCACTCTGCCTGAGACAGCTCGCAACCTTGTCGGTAACGGGTCAGTGGCTCCGCCTTTAGGAGCCCGGCTCCCATTTGACCGATTTATGAATCACTGGAATGTGCCTTCTCATTGCGATGGAAGAAGATTTCCAAACCCCCTCGAGTCCTTGTGGATTCTCCACTACAAAGACAATCTCATATTAATTGTGGGGGGCAGCATCCTTTACATGGTGTACTGTTGCATTCATGCATCTCTAGCAACCCAATTCATCGACTTCTATGGTCTGAATCAGTGGCAAGCTGGCTTGATATACCTGCCTTTCGGAGCAGGCTGCACATTGTCAACAGTTTTCTCGGGTAAGCTTATTGATAAGGGCTACAAAAGCATCGCTTTACTTTACGGCCTGCCACTTGACAGAACAACAAGGGGAGGCCGGGAACTTTTCCCCTTTGAGAAAGCTAGACTGCGATGTATCTGGATCCCTATCACTACTGCCACTGTTTCCGTATCGGGATTTGGATGGGTTCTAGACAAAAAGACGGTAAAATCCGTGCTCACATGGCCAGCAAGAGCTGTGTTAACGTTTAGACAGCATATCTCCATACCTTTGGTCTTCCAGTTCATCGCTGGCGTCAGCATCCAAACCTGCTTCAATGTAGGTCGAGCTACCCGTCCGAATGACGTTGCTGTCTTACCCGTCAGATTTACAACACTTTGCTCGTCGATATCAACCACCGCAAGCCAGCTGCGGCTCAGGCTTCGAACAACCTTGTGCGTTGCACACTTGCCGCACTTATGGTAGCATTACTTCAACCAATGATAGATCACATTGGTGTGGGATGGACATTTACAATCATGGGTGCAATGTGCCTCATCTCTACTTTGCTGTTTGTTGTGGAATACTGCAGCGGCATGGCGTGGAGAGGGGAGCGAAATCTACTTGCAGCACCAGAAAGACATCAGCTTGAATCGAATTGATCAATGAGGACTGTTCACAATGACGCGCAAAAATACTCGGTAGCCGGCGTACTCTTTCACAAGTTCCATCATTCCCAGGTTCTTGAGAATACATGTACAGGACATCCACCACCCGCAATCAAGAGGCAATCTGAGGCATTCCTGGCATCGGCTCTTCCGTTTCAAAGTCGTCCAAGTCATCTATATTCCCGTGCATGCTCATGTGTGTGTGATCATCATTTTGTTCCCGGTCTTCATAGCCTTCATAGCCACTAGGGTACTTGTCCACAAGATACCGCAGCTCATCGATGGCCCTGTTCGGGTTAGAACGTACCGTGTCAGGGTCAGGGGGCTCACATTTGGCGAAAACGAGTCGTGCTTGGATATAATGTTGAGGCACAAAAGTGTCCATGTCTGGTTCGTCAGGTCATGCATTCCGCATGGATATTTGAAACTCACATCCCATACAATAAGTTTCGGTCATCATAATCTTCTTCGGGCTGGGATTTGGGGAGATGACGATGATATTCCCTCATCCATTGTTTCCCAAGGCGATAGCGTGGTACGTTCATGTTGTCTAGATCGTCTGCAAAATCAGTGAGGCAGAAAGCTTGTGCCAGGAACGGTGTACCCACATTCGTTGTGCGCCCAAAAGACGGAAGGGTCGAAGACAATGGGCTCGCCAGTCGCAGCGTTCGTGGCCATGTTGCCGTACCATAGATCCCCATGTACCAATACAGGCCGGATCGTTCGCCCTCCAGTCTGCAATGGGCGTAGAAGTCGGGGGCATACCTTGGTGTACAGAGCCGGCAAGAGCTCTTGCAGCTCCTTGGACTCGCCATGGACTCTCCGCTCCTGCTCCGCAAATGCCTTCATTGCCAGGATGAAAAGCTCCTCCCACGATTCCGACCAGGTAACATCCTGGTACATACTGCCCTCGTACGTGACGATATGAAACCCGAACTTCCCATCTTGCGACCACTTCATGCTGTCGGTGTGCATTTTGGCAAGCCTGCTGCAGAACTTGGACATGCCTGGTAACTCTTCAATCATATCAACGAAATCGCAAAGGTAGAAAAAGGTATCCTGGTCAGCTGCGTAGGCGCCCCAGCCCACAGGCCGAGGGACGAAATCCGATGCAACTTTGTACAGCGCCTTGACACCCTCATATTCGCCCTGCATCATTCCCTTTCCAACCTCACCACTAGCCACTTTGAGGAAATAACTGTGAGGATGACCATTCGGTAGCATGATGTTGATCCTTGCTGTTCGCGTCCAGAAGCTGGCGCCGTGCGGTGCTGCAGACACCAAGCGATATCCTGCGGGGAAAACTGCCATTGAAAAGTCAACTGACTGGACTCAGACATGATCATGGAACGCAACAGAACATCCAGGAGTACGTTGCAAAGAGATACTCACAAGCGGCAACTTCGTCGTCAACATCAACTTTCTCCAACAGATCCTGTACCATAGGTGCCGGCATTCCAGTACTGAACGACATGTTGGAATCAAATTGCGATGAGGTCAGCTTGGCAGATGCTCGTTAAATCGCGAGAGTGAGGGAGGAGGGGTTTCGATGACTTTATGAAGATTTGTTAAACCGACTGCACTCGCGTTACACAGTGCAACGCACCCTTGCATGGCCAGCCTAGACAATTCACCTCGTCCATCCCAGTGTCATGGCGCACCCTGACATGTTTGCTGTACCAGTCGGTTCGCTCTTGTTTCAGCTGAGGAGACTCTGCCCTTTGACAGGACCTATTTTCCGCCTCACTCTGGTTTTTGCCATCTTTCAGCCTAACTGCGACTCATTTGCTCTTAAGGCGCCTGCGAAATTTCAACCTCACAGTTGCACAGATTCCGGGGTCTCGTCCCACACATACGCTGGTTGAACGGCATTTCTTACCTCGTGATGTGGCTATGCAAAAGTATAGGCGTACGTATCCGATTGTGAAAAATGAATCGAGTAAGTTGCGCCAACATTTTGGGTTGTAGCGTGGTGGCAGATCTGACCAAGTGTCCTCACCAGGCGACATCGTCCACAGAAAGAAGCTCGCGCTCCTCTTTCTTTGACCGTGCTTTGCGCAATATCCCTCTACGCAGAATCAACTCGGAGTCTGAAGCAGAATGCAAAGCTGAAGCCTTTGGTGCCACCGGGCTCAACCTCCTTCACACCCCGGCGTCGGAGACCATTGTGGACATCGTCTTCGTTCACGGTCTAAAAGGAGGCTCTCGACAAGCATGGAGCTATTCCTCACACCCTTCTCATTTCTGGCCGAAGGCCTGGCTCCCGTTCCATCCAGAACTCAAGCACGCCAGGATACATAGCTACGGTTACAACTGTGACTGGACTGTCAGAGGGGAAACTCCGCTCAGCATCCATGACTTTGGTCAGACACTGATCGAGATTTTGTACCACAGCTCAGAACTGAGAAAAGACACGACAACGAAGATCGTTCTGGTGGCACATAGCATGGGTGGGCTCGTCGTCAAGAAAGCAATCATTGCCTCGCGCCAAAACCCTACATTCCATGACCTTGGCCAACGAATTTATGCCGTTTTCTTTTTCGGCACCCCGCACCGGGGATCCGATCTTGCTACGAATCTCGATAATTACCTGAAGGCAACGTTCCATACGCCCAAGAACTATGTCCGGGACTTGTTTCCTGGGTCCGAAGCTATCAATGTGCTGAACGAAGAGTTCAGAAACGCTTACGAGGGTATCAAGCTTTATTCCTTTTTTGAGACCATGCCTATGCCTTGGCACTTCGGAGCTGGTCTGGTAGTCGACAGAAACTCCGCAATACTCGGTATGCCTCAGAAATTGTCGGAGTGCGCATGGACATTGCTGATATCTCCAGATTGGAAGGGGGAACACCAGATAATGATTCAAGCTGATCATCGTGGTATGAACAAATTTGCTGGACCGGATGACCCGGAGTACCTGAAAGTGAAAGAATGCCTCAGCACTGTTGTTCAAGAAATTGTTCAGATGGGTGCGCCACCCGGAATAATCTTGTATTTGGGAGCCTCGTTGACGTACTTCCAGCCCCAGACAGCAAGACCCACGGTTACCAGAACGACCTCTGCACCATAGCCGCCGATCTTGACATCCTCAGTGATCCCGAGGACTACTTCTCTGAGCTCGAGGACGAAAGGTTAGAAGGCTCATGTGGGTGGCTCCTTGAAAATGGCGATTTCCAGGAATGGATGTCTAACGGTACATCCGCCCGGTATTTCTGGCTGAGAGGTCCTCCGGCAACAGGAAAGTCGATGCTCGCATCTTCCGTGATTAGTGAGCTGGACCCTCGCTCATGCAGCTACTTCTTCTTCAAACAGGGAGACCAGCAGAGGTCTAGTGTCAGCAGACTCCTCCAATCGTTCGCTTATCAAATGGCCAAGAACAATATAGCCATCCGAAAGTGCTTGGTCAACCTCGCAAAGGAGAGCTTCCAGACGCCTAAAGATGACTATAAGGCAATATGGAGAAGAGTGTTCCAGAATGGCATTTTCACGAAATGGCCACAAGAACGGTAAACCTCGCAACATTGGTGCCCTACGTACTAATCGTCCTCGCAGACAGTACTGGGTCATAGATGCCCTTGACGAATGCAGAGTTTCGGCATCGAAAGTATACGAACACCTTTACTCAATCCTTTCAAGAATCGATGGCCAGCTCCCACTCAAGATATTGATCACAAGCACCCCATCTAGAGACATAGATCAGCTCATGGGCAGGCTGCCGAAGTTCCAGGTCCAGATAAGTCTAGACTCGACCTTGCAAGACATCCGCCGCTACGTTGAGGCGAACTCGAACAATCTACCCGACCAAGGTGACCATGCACGGAATTCGCTGATAAGAAAAGTGATCGAGAAGTCTTCAGGCTGCTTCTTGTGGGTCTCTTTCGTAGTTGATCAGCTCAAAGAATGCTACAGCTCCGAGGAGATCGAGGAAGTACTTGAGGAAATTCCGGAGGCACTTGAAGACATCTACCGAAGAAACATAAAGACCATGATTTCGCACGTCAGGAGTGCGAAGTTGGCGAAAACCGTGCTTACATGGACGCTGTACGCCGTTCGCCCACTCAAGGTTGAAGAACTAAAAAGCGCGATCAAGTTGGACACCGGCCAAGACGTGACGAGAGACCTGGAGACCTCCATCGCCCCGTTATGTGGTCACTTGGTACAGGTCGACAAGCACGGGAATGTACAGATGGTGCACCAAACTGCAAGAGCCTTTCTCACGAGCAGCAACCTTGCTTCTGACTTTCATGTGTCAACGGCAGAAGGACACCTACATTTGGCTCTTGCATGTCTCAAGTATTTATGTTCCGATGAGATGAAACATACGAAAAGCCAGCGAGCGAGCTACGCCACGAAGTCGGCGATTGCCCCATACGCATGTGCCGCCTTCTCTGAGCATCTCGCTCGAGCCACATCTACGTCTGAACCTCTGTTCCGGCTTCTTACCACCTTCCTCAGGACAAATGTCCTGACTTGGATAGAGTACATGGCACAGAGACGAGACCTGTCGACGCTCGTCCAGACAGCAAAACAATTCAAGACTTATCTAGGCCGTCGAGCCAAACATATTGCCGCTCTTGAGGACGATATCAGAATGTGGGCGAAGGATCTCCCAAGGATCGTAACGGAGTTTGGGTGGAACCTCCTACAGTTTCCGACGGCAATTCACGATCTCATTCCACCTCTATGCCCTCGCAATTCAATAATCTACACTTCATTTGGACGCCGTCTGTCTGGAATCAAGCTTCTGGGTCTGGCTAATACTGATTGGTACGATCGCATTGCCTGTGCCCTTTACAAAGATAACCTCGCCAGATGCGTTGCGTGCCGCGATCAGTGGTATGCAGTCGGTGTCGCAGATGGAAGAATCTATCTTTACGACACATCAACCTGTGAGGAGCTGAAGTTCTTGGATCAAGGAGAGTCAGTCAGGCTGCTTGAATTTGGGCCCGGGGCTAAGCATCTGGCTTCAGCCGGCCTGCACTATGTCACTGTCTGGGATGTCAGAACAGGCATGAAAGTACTCGAGATCAAGTTAGATTACACTCCTTTCTCCATGGCGTTCAACGAATTAGAGTCAACGATCACAATCGCCACTAGGTCACTCGAGATATCCACCTGGTCACTGCAGTCCAAGGAACGCACCTCTGCGCACGCGTTGGATAATGTGTTGAAGACGGAGGATCCCCGGAAAATTGGCCAAGTACCAGCCATCATACAGCTTTCCACAGAGTGCGGAATGATTGCGGTCGCCTATAGGTCGAGGCCACTATTGCTCTTTGATCTCGAAGCAATGCAGTGCCTGGGAGCGTGTTATAGTCCTGGTGGCGGTGCTGACGACACGTCTTACTATGTCACTTCCGTCGCTTTCAATCCCAACCCCGAAACCAAACGCCTCGTTGTTGCATATTGGGACGGCACTCTCGCATTGTTTGATACTCGCTCACTGGCCATGGTCCAAATGGCAAAAGAGCTGTCTCAAATCCTGGCTGTATCGCCAGACGGTAGGACCTTGGCGGGGGAAAGTTCGAGTGGCAAAATTCAGCTTTTTGACTTCGACACTCTGGACTTGCTTTATTCGGTGACACCATCCGATGACGGTGTCTCCTCTTTGACGTTCACAGCGGACTCAAGACGACTGATAGACACAAGGGCATATCAAAGCAACGTATGGGAGCCGTCGGTGCTTGTACGCAATTCCCCTGATGACAATCATAGTGAGCCGAGCGACACGCTTGTGGGAGCTTTGGATGCACTCAGCATGACGGCACAAGAACGCACTATTAACATCACATCGATCGTATGCTGTTCAGGCGGAAACCAAGCCATCTGTGGCAAGTCCAATGGTTCCGTCGAGATATACGATCTAACTGCAGAACACAAAGCTTCATGGCCCCTCTACAAACACGCGTCGACATCGACGGAGGTATCAATCCTTGACTGGAACGAAGATTATCGGATTCTGGCAAGTGCGGATGTTTCTGGACGATTCCAGGTCGTGCGTCTGCGGGAAGATCCTGGGAGCAGAGGCTCTATTGTTAATATCGTCCTAGACGAGCGATTGGAGTATTCGGCCGCAGTACAGCAGCTCTTACTGAGTGGTTCAGGCACTCGACTCCTGGTGTCCAGTGACCAGGTAGATCATCTATGGTGTCTGAAAACGAAGAGGATAATAAGATCCCACCGCGGACTGAGCAGGACAAAATGGAAATGGTTCAAGCACCCTTCCTCACCGAACCAGATGATTCTGCTTCAGGACGACAGCATTAGCATCTATCACTGGAGAGATTTCGAACCGATCTCTGACAGAGTACTCATCTCTTCCCCGTCCGACCAAGTGGCCGCCTTGGATGTGGATACTGCAGTCCTCTTGAGGCACGATGGTAATCTGGTGCTGAGAATGCTTTCCGACAAGGGCTCGGTGCCTAGTGGAGAAGGTGATGCGTCGCGGAATGTCAAAAACTTCAGGCTCTACACGATCGACCTTTCAATGCTCAAGCCCGGTCTAGGGAAAATCGCACCAACCCCGTTTTTCGCCGAATATCAGGCCTCGAATTCTCCCGACGTCGACTTGCTAATAGGGACGGTGATCAGCATGATTGGCGGCCATATGCTGGTTTTCATGACAGAAAGCGGCTGGGTGTGCTCTCTAGACCTAAGTTTCAAGGTGCCTCATGAATCTTTTCGGCGTCATTTCTTTGTTCCTTTTGCATGGCTCAGCCTGTCAACCAGAGTGCTTGCGAAAGTCACCGACACAAGGGACATCCTATTTATCCACGGAGATGAGATAGCTGTGGCGCAGAACGGCCTCGACGCGGTGGAAGTGGTTTCCATGCGTGGCTGAATACAAGCAACCATGCCAAACGACCTATTCACAGCTATGGGTCAGTGCCGTGGATGGCAACGAGACGGTCGGCTTACGTAGAGTTATTGCTACTGTACGACGAGGGCATTCAGATACCTTGAGGCGAGGTGCAGAAGTCCCTATCGGGATGTAGGGAAGATGTTCTATCCCATCATGTATGCTTCGCTGATTCGCGTCCGTGCCTCGAAGAAGACGGTGGCGAGACGAGGGCTCAAACAATGCTGGGCGCCGTCGAGGTCGGATTGGACACCGGTGGTATGTTACATTTTTGACGAGGGGGAAGGAGTACCTGAGTCTTGAGAAGGCGGACCAGCGCAGGACTTGCGGCTGAACGGATAAGGGACCGCAAAGATCGCTGTGGTGTATGATTGATTCTGACTGGCTGTAATACTTAGGTAGGTATGATTCCGCTGCGCTTGTGTAATTGTATAGGCACATAACTTCCCTGACACGCCATCGAAACGGCTATATAATTGTATAGCCCGTGATAGCCCGTGATAGCCCTAGTCATATCAACACCTCCGACTTGGTCCATTTCGGACGACGAAGTAGGATCGGGTTCGCCCACCGCCGGAGTGTTGCATCATGCTTTGTTCGCCACTACGTTCTGCGTTTTTGTTTTCGTTTTTGTTTTTTATTTTGCAAGCAACGTAAGAAGCAAGATTCATTAAGGCAGACGTCTGATCATCATTATGTCGTTGCGTGGAGCAACTTCGCTTTGTCGGCTGATCCGGCAAGACAATTTCGCATCTTGTGGCCTATCTCAGCATAGCGCCAATCACGCCTATACAAAGTAATGTCAGCACCCGGACGTCAATTCACCCATCCGTTCGCTCGTCTTTCCTAAACCTCACCTCATGTCCAGCAAGATCCAGCCCAATTCTGCCATTCCGAGTTGTAAGATGCGAATTTAGGTGCCTAAAAGTCACACAATGCGTGGACTTTCGTTTCCGAAACCTGGATGAGTCGGAGAGTCAGGTGTTGCTGGCACCTCCGTCCTGTTCTTTCACGTTGCCGGTAGTATATCAAGACGTACTGTATCTTTTCATTATGATTCTATTCTCATATATCGCATTTTCTGTCCACCAATTTCTGTACACTTGTCTGTATATATCTTCTACCATTTCCTCTCACAATGTTACTGTCTCGCTTTTACTCCAGTCTAGCAGTGACCATCCTAACAGTGGTTCCTGCCATGGCAAATGGTCATAACACCGCCCATGCTATCCAAGAAGGGAATACCACATCTCTATCCGCCCCCGACAGCTACTTCAGAGACCCAACCGCATTGAATATCCTCAACGGCCACATCGCGTTCATGTCTTTCGGTTGGTTTGGCGCATTCCCGCTTTGTAAGCAGGCACCGGCAACTTTCATTTTCACAGGTACTGTGCTAATACTCACAGACATTATGCTCGACCTTGCAGACTCGAATCTTGCGTATCCAGCTCAGATATGGTTTCTAGGTTTACACGCAATCGGGATTATTCTAGGCCTAGCTTATAATTCCAAGACACCGGATTTATATCCTGGTAGCTCACATCCTAAGCTTGGCTGGGTACTTACGGCAATAGCTACGCTGCAAGTTTCGTTTGGGCTTTTGAGGGCCATTGTGAGATCAAGGGCTACCAGGATTGTTTCTACTAAGGGCGATGACAATGAGGGTTCTCCTTTCATTTCTTTTTCAGGAAGGGGCCCCAGATCCCAAGAAGACTTAGAAGCGAGTTCTTCAGCGTCCTCTCCCTGTGGTGGCGAGGATAGAAGGAACTCATCCGGAACCGATCCAGACACACTCTGTGATGCTTCGCTTTCGCATCATCGCACCACTCTCGATCGACGATACAACGAACCGACATCATGGATCAACAGGTGGATGTATGTTGTTGATTCCAATCGACTCGTTCCAATTCTAACCACTGCCTCCACAATCACCCACGTTGTGTTGGTCTTTCTCAGCTTCGCAACCCTCTGCACAGGTATCGTCACCGTGACAGGAATATTCGTAAGCTCATACACTCACGCTCACTGCTTCTCGAAGATATTGACTTCTCCTAGCGCGGAAAAGCCATCTTCAACGGCCTAGCGCACTTCATCAAAGGTGGTGTTTTCTTCTTCTACGGCCTCGCCACTTTTGCTCGTTGGATGGGCTGTTTTGCTCGGCTGGGGTGGGCTTGGAATCTCAAACTCCCTAGCTCTAAAAACTCGGTGACCATGGAAGGAGTTGAGTGTTCTCTCATTTTTGTGTATGGGATTACGAATGTTTTCTTGGAGCATCTTTCAGAGTGGGGAGGGAGATGGACGGCGCAGGATTTTGAGCATGTTGCCATCTCGCTCCTGTTTATTGGTGGTGGCTTGGTGAGTTTCGTGCCTCCCATTCTACCTGTCCTTTCTCTGACAATAGTCGAGAGCGGAATGATGATTGAGACGAAAACGTTTCGAATAACGGGGAATTCCCAAGTGAACGAACAGAAAGCGAGTTTGCAGCCGGGATACTCACTAAATCCCATGCCAGCAATCATCATTCTCATACTGGGCACCATTCTAGGAGGGCACCACCAGAATAGCACGGAAGCAACAATGATGCATCAATGGGTATGACGCCTCTCTTTCCCCTAAATGTTCAAGCATCGAAACTGACAATGCTCAGATCGGTAAACTCCTCGCCGCAGCAGCAACCGCTCGAAGTGTGACCTATTTTCTGATCTACATCTCACCATCAACCTCCACTACGCCTTCAAGAGTGCCATCTGAACTCGTCACGTCCTTCTTCCTGATGTCTGGAGGTGTGATGCTTATGGCTAGTGTAAGTACATTCAGCAGCATTGTTAAAGGATACGGCTGACGAGACGGGATAGAATCAGGACACGGTGGAAGCGGTGATTGCGAATGGAATGAACGCGATGTTGGTTGCTACTGTTGATATGGGATCGATTGCTGCATTGATGGCATGGTGTATGGGACTGTTTGTCGTGAGAGGGTGGGCTGAGAGGAGGGAGGAGAGATACAGGATGCGAGCGCGGAAGGGTAGGCTTCCATGAGGTGCTTGGGTGCTTTTGAGGGATATTGAATTTGAAGCGGGTGTTTCCATAACCATCTACCACATTTAATATTTTCAAGCCGTGGAGTTTGCTGTCTGTTTGTTGTCACTTATTACAATCAATCTGATCATTGGAATGTCCAGTTTCATAACCAGCAAATCGATCCTTTCATTTATCAAGTCGTAAGCAAAACTTCGCGGCGACTCGGAACACGCGGGAATAAGGTTACCTCCTCTACGGAGTACAGTACTATATATGGCTAGGGCTTGGCACCGCGTATTCGTTTCAGGCAGCCAGGAAACACCAATATTGAACTCCATTTACATCTTCTTTCGCTTCCGAAAGAGGGAGAATATATTTGATAAATCCACAGTCATCACGTGTCGTAAAATAGTCTGAGATGGTGGGTGTTCCCGGGAAATCACAGGGCTGCAATACGTGCAGGAAGCGGAAGATAAAGGTAAGTCAGATCTACGTCTGTGGAAGCTGTTATTGACCCAAAATCGTGAGTGTGACGGAGAGAGACCCTCCTGCGGACAGTGTAGGAAAGGAAAGAGAGAATGTGGTGGGTATCAACGAGATCGGTACTTCAAAAACCTCAGCGCTCTCGATCACGACACCTTACTCGCACGAGCACAACCCCTTGCTCCCCTCACCGAGCCTTCAGCTATCATTTATAGCACCCCTATTCCTATTGACTCGCATAAACCAGTCAATAAGGATCAGGATCTCGTCTCACCAAGATCAGATCTTCAACAATTGCAAGAAGAAGCCCAAGAAAGCAGCAACCTCTCCGAACTCTTCCACTACTTCGTCTCCCACTACTTCCCCAGAAACGACTGGGTGCAATCCCTCGTTCCCCTTCAAGGCACTAATCCCTCTCTCGACCTCGCCATGTCGGCTCTTAGCATGGTGCGTCTGGGACGACTTAATCACGATGAATCACTTCGAAGAAAGGGGTTGGCAAATTATGGAAAGGCGTTGGAGGGTATGCGTGATATTCTTGAGAGTGGGGAGATGTGGTGCGAGGAGCAGACGCTTGCTAGTGCCATGGTTTTCTTGATTTTTGAGGTGATCCCCCTCCCTTGTGCTACAGGAGTATACGGCTTGAATAGGATCCTGACGGATGAGAAAAGGTGTTTGAAACTTCAGGGGAGAATATTCACGGGTGGATAAGTCACATGAGAGGAGTGTCGAGACTCTTCCAGTTGAGAGGTCCACAGATGCATGTCTCGGAATCAAGTCATCGTTTGTTTCTGGGATTTAGACCCACTGGTGTAAGTCGTTCTTCCTTTTCGGTGTTGATTGGATTCTAACTGAGAAATAGGTTATCCTTGCCCTAGCCACCCGCAAGGCAACATATCTCGGCGAAGAAGAGTGGCTCAACATCCCTTGGACCACATTCGCGAAATCGGATTTCCATCATCTCCTCGATATTATGGCACGTATGCCCGCTGTTGTCGAGCTTACTGAGCGCCTTAGAGGAGAAGTCGATTCGGAAGATATCGCTGTGCAAAAATTCGACTGCTTGCAAAAGAATTGGGATTTCCATTCGCAGCTCAAGAATTGGCATCAATCCTTCTCCAACAAATCATTCATCGTCCTCTATTCTACAGAAGCTACGACCTCGTTCTTCACCAAACCGATGACCGATCCAGAGCTAGAGAATATCTTCCCTACCTCTCTCTCCTTCCCCAGCTTCGACATCGCACGCATGCACTGCTTCTACTGGGCCGCTCTCCTGCGCCTCTACCACAACATCTCTTTTCTCCAACCTTCCGCATCTCTTGTCCACATTCAATCGATAGAAGTAGCAACCCTGATCGCGCAATCGGTGCAATATCTCCTCTCAGAAGAAATGCAAACAAGGGGACCATTGAACATTTTCTTCCCGCTGAGCATGGCTATGCATACCTTCTCGACAAAACAGGTCGAGGGAGAAAGGGAGGTGAAGGAGGTGAGGTGGTGTAGGCTTGTGTTTGAGGAGTTGGATAAGAGGGGGTTTCCTTTTGGAAGGATATTGGCCGGGTGGGATTGGGATGATATTCCGGTCATTATGTCGAATGGGGCGTAGACGCGCACGGGCGACAACACAAGCATATGACCCATCCTTCGGACGCAACTCGAGGCCACCTCGGAAATCACATTGCTCGCTTTCATTGCTATACTTGGCCTTGGGGTCCCTGTTTTCTGGTCCATCATGGACAACTCTTTTGCTGCTAACACGATCAACAACCACTCAGTACGGCACGTTGTGCAACTCTTTCAGCTCCAAACAAAATCCATCCTCAGTGAGCGGCGACAATCAAGGTGTCCACATATTCCCAATACTTCTTCGCGGAAAGTTGACGCAACTTCTTGCCCCAGATGGTCATGAACAGAAAGCTGAAGTTGCAGAACAGGCAGAGGAAAGCGACAGCGATGAAGCAATTTTGCGTTCCCGTGTTCTCCAGCCATGGTGTGATCCCATAACTCACTCCGAAGCCCATGGTATTGCGAATAACAATAACCAAGACGACACTCTCACCTGCGATTTCCTTGAAACAGTCGACATCGTATGCAAGCGAGGTACTTCCTCCCGAAACAATCCCAAAGCTGGTCATTCCAAGGCCGATTATCAGACCCATGAAATGGGTATGATGGGCCGCGCCCACACCCCAAAGAATCAACCCTGCGGTCGCAAGTGTACCAGAGAATGCCAGGAGCCAGAGCCGATGCTCTGGCTCACGAATACCACGGTTCCGTCTGGCAAGTCTGATTGCAATCTCGTCACCGGCCCATCCAGCCCACCACCACGCGAGTATGCAACCGATCAGCAATGAGAGGTATGAAATACCGACCGATTGTGCAGAGAAGTTGTAAGGTGGCGCGTTCAGGATCAAAGCCATCGTGGCATTCTGGACGTTGTACCAGCACAACGAAGCACCGTATAGGAAGCCGGCCCAGTTGACGTTAGGGAAGTAGAAGAACATCAGGAGAGGTCGAATCATCATGATGAACATCTGCTTGACGGACGGGCGGCCGTGGTCGAGTCGGAAGAGTTGAAGTTTCTGCAAGTACGTACGTTTTCGGAGGTACCCAGCTCTTGCCACAGGTGATACTGTCTCCTGAAGAGGGGCATCCTTGGAAACGGCGTCAGTCTTTTCTCCAAGGGTTTCCACGCCGGCGACGACCTCCGCAGCTCCTTCGTCAACACCTTCGATGGTCTGGCGAAAGTACATTGTCTCCTCCATGCCGAAGAAGATGATGATCGTGCAGACAGCCAGGATGATAACGCCAAACCAAATAGCGGCCTCCCACCCCATGGACTCGGTCACGAAGCCTGCAAGAAAGGGTGCCAAGGCATTGGAGCCGAAGACCAAGAGGGTATAAATCCCCATGTAGTTACCGCGCTCATGGGCGAAGAACAGGTCCGACACGGAAATCTCACCCAGAGACTCGACCGGAGCAACGATGAGGCCGAGCAGGCTGCGGTGCGCCCACCATATGCTTCTCGAGGTCGTATACGCTGTCCATATCATTGGACCAAGGGCGATCAGGCTGCTGAGGATATAGACTCCGCGTCGGCCATAGGTCAGCGCTACAGGTTGCCAAAATAAACAACCCCAACCTTATGATTGTTAGCACAAGGTATTCAATGTAAGGTCTGACACCCACCTGCAAAGAGGAATTGCTGAAACCTTATCAGTATGATGAACGCGTCGTCTGGCAAAAAGGGGTCAACTTACCAAGCCTGTACCGGTGTTGATGTCAGCAATCGAAATGTTGGTGGCTTCACCAATGTTCGTCAGGATCGAATATTGAACGGTGGTGGACATTCCGATTCCAAGAATATAAATGTACGCCATCGTTATTGCAATCATCCTATTCCTGTCGTTAGCATTGAAATTGTGTGCCTGCAAACACGGCAACATCAAAAATCCCTGCAATCGTGCTCAATGTGCCTGGAAACACTTACTTGCGCTTCTTCGACCAGTTCAATGGATCCTCTGGGTCTGAGCTAGGACGCGGGTTCAGGACAATATCCTTTCTGCCCGAATGATCAACAGCCTCTGTGTCGACGAGGTGGATCTGCAACTCGTCAGAAAGCCGCATCAATGAGGAGAGGGACAAGCATAAGACTCGATGCTTGGGCTGCACAGCCTTTCGGCCAGGAGAGTACATACTGTCCCAGGGACAACATCTCGACTAGCATGTGCCATGGCTGCTGTCTCTCTCGTCTTGAGCGTCCCGGTGAGAGTTCAAGCAAAGCTCCTAATCGCGCTTGAGTCCCAGGCCACGACTATTGGGAAGTGAGGATTTTATACTAGTCGTGACGGAGCGCGCAGTATTCTCTCTTCGTCTTATCAGCATGACGAGCATAGCACCCACAGCAAGCTACCTTTGTGGCTATCCTCTTCGGCCCATACGCGACTCTCTCGCATGTACTTATCAACGGTCGATAATTCCCGCAGGCGATGATCAAATGCAAAGGAGCCAATCGCGTGTACGGCTATTCATACACATTTCCCAATCAGGGAATTGAGATGTATGAACCGCCCCTGCAAGTCTATACTAATGTTATCACACGACCTAGCGCCAAACCGACTCAACAATCGGTGTGCCAATCACCCTGCACAAGCTTTGAAGCGTGCCGCAGGTTACTGAGAGAGGCATGAGAGACGCGGCACGCAAATCTGCGTACTATCCGAATCCCAGCATCAGATGTGTAGACATCAGCGACCAAGCGACATTGGCTTGTCCATAGGCTTTCTTCGGCTATACTCCTATCTATGCCCGCAGCATCCTGATAATGCCCGGTGTTAGATAAGGCTTGACCGTGAGATAAGAAGGCATGCGGCTGGAGCGGACCCGCATCATTTATTCAAGAAGAGTGTTATAGGTTGAGTGCACATTTACTACTGGCAGGCGCCCAGGCTGGTTAACAGCAGGGCTCCTGTTATTGGTCTAAGGACGCTGTACCTCCTAAACGGGCAGTCGAGATGCATCTCCCTACCCAGAAGCCAGTGGCTCGTCTATGCGCGTATGTCCGCACTGCGGTATAAGACGCAGTTGTGGCAGGGCGTGATCATGCACGGTATACAGAAAGGCAAGAGTCGTCTATGCTACGTCGAGCTGTGTATCCCACGGAGGCGACTACGACGATATCGACGACATGGCAACAGTTGACACTCCTCCGCCGGATTATCCTCCTGAGATTACTGGCTACGCTGAACCATGGATAGCCTCGCCTGGCGAGACCGTAGCCATCAAGGTGAGTGATATCAGCATGGCACTTAACCTAGTTGCTGTCCTGCAAATGTCAAATCGACCTTGCCAGCCTGATGACGTTCTCTTCTGGAAAGAAGGGCTGACTGTTGGGTAGGTCTCATGCACAGAGCCGGAGTATTCTCATAAGACTGTAAGGGTGATACAAGGCGTTGATATCGAACACTCTCCCAAGAAAGAGCTCGAAGAGATAACTTCTATACCTTCCGGAACTGCAAAGGGAAGATTCCAGCTTGCCCGGATCGGTTCTCATGCTAGGACGGACGATTGGGGAGCATCACTGTCGAAGGCCGGTTTAGAAGTCTCGTTGTACTTCCAGCCGCATCTTCCCCAGGCCGGACACCGGCAGGCCGTCATCTCAACACTTGATGTGGCATCCAGCAGTGGATTTGCTATTGTCATCAGCACAGAAGGAGCCGTCGAGCTGTGGGTTGGGGTCGGGAAAGAGGTCAAGGTGATTGAGACGGGGTTTAAACCTGCCCGGAAACGGTGGGTGAGCTTGAAACTCCACCTCAAGGGCACGAATATTGCTCTCTCCCTCCAACCGATTCCTTACCTGGCAGAAAAGGCAGGACCAGCTGCGCATGTGCAACAGGAACTCGAAGAGACGGTCAGCTTGTCTCCTGAGAATGTGCTGCTCCTTGCGGGCAGCTACGCGGAAAGTCCCACGTCGGCCTTCTCTAGAGTCACGAACTTCTTCAATGGACGTATCGACAGTCCGCTCATCAAGTCGCTGGGTCCTAAGGCTGAAATACTGGTGAAATACGATTTCGCCCGCAATATCTCAGAAGACACGATAATTGATGCATCAGGGTTAGGGCACGATGGAGTCCTTGTAAATGCCCCAACCAGGGCTGTGCCGGGCTTCGACTGGGATGCCAGTGAGGCGGATTGGACAAAAGCCAAATATGGCTACGGAGCAATCCACTTCCACGAAGACGATCTCGACGATGCAGCTTGGGAAACCGACTTCACCATTACACTCCCGCCGGACGCTCGATCGGGCATTTACGCGGTCGAAGTAAACTCGACGAACGGGAAGACATCCGACATGATCACGTTCATGGTGCGGCCTACGAAACAGACAAGCACAAAAGTCGGTGCAAAAGTTGCTTTGGTTCTCTCCACGTTCACCTATCTCGCGTATGCGAACGAGAAGCTCGCAGACCAGAATCGTTCATCGTCCGTCGAAGTTGGCCCAGGCTTCGACATCAACCAGACCGTCCGCACCGAGGACTTTTATCGAATTCACAGAAGACAAGACTGTGGCCACTCGAATTACGACGTGCACAACGACGACTCAGGCGTTGTGTTCTCCTCGGCAAAGCGACCAATATTGAACCTCAGACCGGGGTACGTGATGTGGGCTTTCAGCCGTCCTCGCGAGCTGAGTGCCGAATCAATGATGGTAGGCTTTCTCGAGCGCGAGCAGATCCCTTACGATGTTCTTACCGATCACGATCTCCATTTGAAGGGGGCCGCTGCTCTTGCACCATACAACACAGTTATAACTGGCTGTCATCCCGAGTATCCGACGATTGAATCATATAATGCCTACGAGCATTATGCCAGACGGGGCGGCAATCTGATGTACCTCGGGGGGAACGGGTTTTACTGGGTGTCGGCGCTCGATCCGAAGAGGCCGTGGCGTCTTGAAGTCCGACGTGGTGATCAAGGAGTACGTTCATATACACTGCCCGGCGGAGAGCGATTCATGAGTCTGAATGGCACTCAGGGCGGTCTGTGGCGGACTCGGGGCCGTTCTTCGCATGGATTATTCGGGATTGCGTTCAATGGCGAAGGTACGGCTCCTGGCGTGCCTTATAAAAGGACAGAGGCCGGTCGGGATGACAAATTGAAGTGGATGTTCGACGGCATACCCGAGGGCGAACTTGTTGGGGAGTATGGACTCGGTGGTGGTGCGAGTGGTGATGAGATTGACAGCTTCGATCTGGCTTGTGGTAGTCCTACCAACGCGGTGGTGGTTGCTTCGAGTACAGGACATCCGGATGACTTTGGCATTGCGCCTGAGTGTACCGGGTTTCCCATCATGCATACATTGGGTACTCAGACGAATGAGATCAGGTCCGATATGGTGTACTACGAGACCCAAGCGGGAGGGGCGGTGTTTTCGGTGGGCAGTATCAATTGGTATTGTTCTTTGGGGTGGGATGACTATCAGAATAATGTGGCCAAGCTGACGGGGAATGTGATCCAGGAGTTTTTGAGGAGAGCTGCCACCTAGGTAGAGACCCTGGTCAGGTATCCGTGAGTAAGATAGGGACCTGAGTTAAGGGCCACAGGCACCGACAGGGCTCACTAGGCTTATGAAGCTTAACTACTGTGGCTGCTAGGCTTACATAAGGAGGCCTGGTAGGTGGTGGAAACCTGATTGCCTGTTGCCTATCACAAGATCAAGCTGCACCACCCACACCTCCCATGCACTTACTACGAGTTTACTCGTACCACAGTAATTGACCGACCATTGACCATCCTCTACAACCAATCCAACGAAAAATCATCTTGTGACGGGCTTGATGCTCTCTGACCAATCCCTTCCATCACAACTCCCGCCATTCCGAAACCGACATCCATCTCCTGCTCACTACCACCACTTACGACCTAGGTGACTACTGAGACTTGTTGACTGCCACGAACGAAACTCACCACCGGCAACTTGCTGCTCCCTCTTCCCGCATTCGTCGTCCTCCTTCCACCAACTTACATACCTCGTAACACAGGCCAACTGTCGTCATTTCTCGTCTTGTTGACCCGAGAACACAACTACTACATAGTACTTCCGTCGACGACCTCAACGACTCTCTTCATACCCTGCCGTTGCCAGCGAACCTCCACTCCTCGCGTTTCACGTCACCAATTGCGTGGCCTTGCGCATGCGGACCTTCTGAGACCGCCGCCCTCTCCCGTTATCTGAGACATTGCACTCTGACTATCCTGGCACATCCAACACGCGACATGTTGTGTGTTCGGCGTCGTCTTTGAGCACCGATACCCCACTGCATCCCAGACATCAATTGATTTATCCTTGCCGTTGCAGACCGGAAGAGATATTGAAAGCCCAATATACGTTACGAACCTCTACGACACGATGTCCCCGAACGCATCGTCGATCAATGACAAGACCAGTGCGGCTCCCAGCACGGAATCTAAAGAGTCTGCCTCACCCCTGTTGAAAGATCCATCCGTCGAGCGCAATGAGAGAGAAATACCCGAGTCAAGCGCAGGGGACACATCTGCAAAGCCCCGAAAGCGAGACTTCTGGAAGCTGGGCAAGAAGCACGAGGAAGAAAAACCAAAGGGCAAGACACCTGTTACATCCAATCCTGCACCAGTCAGCCCAGCAGCCGGGCTACATCCGGCCTCGCCCATGCGTTCACCAGATGCTGTCAGTGGTTCGATCTCACCGCACAGGATGTCCTTGACATCTCCATATCCAGCATCTCCAGGCTTTGGAAGGCGGAGTGCTTCTCCAAGACCGCAGTCACCCGCTTCGTCGATGATCTTCGAACGAAATGTCCAAGAAGAAGTCTCCCATCCCGAGACATCTCCTCATCTCCCGTCGCATGTTATCATGGAAAACCACATTGCGCCTGCCTTGGATGCCTCCGCTGAGGCCATCACGAATGAAAAGTTGGACCCAGACACGGTCGAGATAGTGACGCATGCAACACATCAGCCAGCGGCAGTGACAATTACAGGGTTGCAAGCCGATCACTCGTTGGCTTCGTCCCTGCAGGACGAGTTTCCTCCAACATCAGCTCATCGACAAGACATGGACAATGCGTCTACTTATGGCTCTTTGGATTCGACCGACGTCCGCCGGTTGAGCTTCATTTCCTTCGCCGATGTCGTTCACGGCGAGCAGGAGATGGGCGACGTGCGACGCGATTCAGCACATCTGTCTGGACACCCGTCTCTCATACCTCCCAGGTCGCCCTCGCCCGTCCGCTCCCCTACATCGTCTGCAGCATTCGGGACGTCTCCACCGACGAGCGTTACAGCTTCGGTCAGAGGATTCGAAACTTCTCCAAACCGTGCTCCCAGAGGTACCGTGAGCCCGTTGCCAGGACAGAGTTCGCCTTTGGCTATAGGTAGTGAGATCAATGTCGAAACCATGAGGCAGGCTCTACGAAAGACAGGGAGCGGAGATCTCAGCCATTTCCGCAGCCCCCCATCCAGTGCCGTCGGCAATGACGATGGCACATACGACCGACCTTTCAGATGAGGCCAGGGGGTGGGGATAGGCCGGACATGATCTACGCAGGCGCATATCATGGTGAATGGAAGGATGCATCTCACCACGGCGGCAGGAATGATAGGGCGGGACTATCGACTGATGAATTGGATCTCACCAGTCCACTTTGTTTTTCCCTTCCCTGACCTTGTGTGTGAGGCGGCGTTGTCTCTAACCAAGGACTTTTAGATACCACTTTTTGCTGAATGATCATGACATTTTTGACTTCCATGCAGCTCAGGAAAGACACGGTCCAAATTCCATGTCTTTTACAATGATCCTTCATCTCTGCGTTCGAATTGATCCTGTTGAGCGCGATCGTTGCATGGGACAAAGGAGTATCTTCGTGATGAGCAGGGAGAATGGAAATATGTGCAGAACAAGGGAATGAGAAGCTACGTAGTATGTCGGGTCCATTTTGTTATCGTGGGGATCTATTGCATCCCTGCATTCTTGACTTGAGTAATTTATCTTTTGTTGAACGTTGTACAACAGTAGTAGGCACCTACTAGGTAAGTCGTGGTTTAGTAATGTCGTCTCTTGAGCTGACCATAGCAAGGATGAGATAGACTTGGAGATCAAAGTCACCACCGATTCTCACCCAGACTCGTCGGATTCCATGGACCTCCCACCACCTCCACCTTCACCCTCCACCTCCGCCTCTTCATCTCCTGTTAGGCACCTTTGTCATCAACGAGCCGAGGCATCGTTTCATCGTTTCATTGTTCATTTGTTCATCTTCCTTTTGACTCGATGAAAACCCCATCAGAATCAGTACTATGTAATTGAACCTTGACGGAGGACCACAGACGTATTCGTATCTCGATACGTACCGGAAACAGAACACGAGACCACACCTGCACCTTTTCTCCCTTTGATTACTGCCGCATACCTTACCTACTCTGTATCTCGACCGGAATAAAGGATCATTATAACCCTTTTCTTATCACTGATCATTGGAAGTGCCCGGCGCAGCTGTGTTACGATCTGGTACAAAGTCTTTGCATTTCGAAAGTCATCAAGCAAGCTTCCTTTGCGCACTCCATCTTCAGTCAAACACTTGTTCTTCAGCACCAACCACTGAACGGGAAGCAATCCATTTTCCACCTGTTTCTTTCCCATCACAAACAAAAATGGCGTTTCAGACGAAGACGAATCTCCCCTTCCTCGATACCGTCGTCAAACACACCCTTCTGTCACCCTTCATCACCGGCCCGCTCCTCCTCTATGTTACCAGACTCAACCCGTCAATCTTGGACAAGATCCCATGGTTTCCGGACATGACACTCGCTCTCCCCTTCCGGCTGCCGTTCGTTACGCGCAATAGTATCACCTTGCGTGCAGACCCGCCGCTCAAGACGCTCAAATGGCTATTCGGCATCGGTCTGGTAATGCATGTCAACCGGCTGCTCAACCGGCTCGCCCTGAATTACTGGCACTTCAAGAAACAGGGCGCACCCTGGGACTTCAAGACCGAGGGCAAAGAGACCATCGTCATCACTGGCGGATGCTCAGGCTTCGGACGCGAGATGGTCAAGATGTTCGCCGCACAAACGAAGGCAAACATCGTCGTTCTAGATGTGCAGGAATTGCCCGACGATATAAAGAATTGTAAGTCCTACCTCCTGTTTCATGTCCATGCGCTGCGAGAATGTCCATAACCATGGGATTCCTCCACGGCGGGGGGCACACCGTGACCCTTTTTCTTGCATCCATCTCGTCTCCATGGATGGACGCTGCGTTCGGCGGATTGGTCCTCCTCCCTCTTAGAACGTCCTCTCTTACACTGGCTCTATGTCATAAAGGGGTCGAAAAACACCACAGCGGAAATCTTCGGTTGACACCTAGCTAACCATTCGGTGTGAATAACACCGTAACAGTCCCCCAGCTCACATACCACAAAATCGACCTCTCCTCCAACGAGTCAATCAATTCCACCATCACATCTCTCCTCTCCTCCAACACGCCCACGCCGACCGTCCTCATCAACAACGCCGGCATCGCCCAAGCGCACACCATCCTCCACACATCCGACGCCTTCCTCGAGAAGATCTTCCGCATCAACGTGCTCAGCCACTTCACCCTAATCCGGCTCATCCTGCCCCACATGCTGGCCAACCAAAAAGGCCACATCGTCAGCCTCGCCAGCATGGCCAGCTACACCGGCGTCGCCAACCTAGCCGACTACGCCGCAACAAAAGCGGCCGTGCTCGCCCTTCACGAGAGTCTCGTCCAGGAACTCGCCCACCGGTACGACAACGGGCACTGCATCCAGGCCTCCACCATCCACCCGCTGTGGGCCCGCACGCCGCTGATCGGATCCTGGGAGAACGAATTGACCAAAGCCAGACAGCCGGTCCTCACCGCAGAAGAAGTTGCCAGTAAGGTCGTCGAGCAGGTTCTTTCCGGCCGCAGTGGCAGCGTTTATATCCCTGAGAAGCAGGTCATAGGGTCATTGTTGAGGGTCGTGCCAGATTGGCTCGCCCTCGCGGTCCGAGCGGGCATACATTCGGCGACGAAAACGACCGAGGTGAAGGCATGAATGGTGAACCCCTTGTTACTCGGTGGGGTTGCTCTCGAGCAGGAGGCGAAAAAATGTATGCCGGCGGACCGATGTACAAGGATCGAGTAATGTGTTTGAGCCTGATACCTGGCCGTTTGACAGTTCAAAATTTCTACGTCTTGGGTCGCTAACGGTTCCATTCGAGCTAGAGAAACCCTGGACCAGCTTTTGATGTTCCCGCTGAGAAGTATGCCGCCACCCATCACTTGTCTGCGCGACAATTCACCCGGCCGTGTGAGGGTGGACATGACATGGACGAAGAATTTGGCTGGGGTTTCAAAGATACAGGAACGAGGAAGAATAAACAAGATTTGTATCAACATGATGCAACCATGGCTTACATTGCGAATCCCATGAAAGATATTCATCAACACCTACGAGTCCTGATGGGGATGCTATCACAGTAGTCACCATGCATGCCATAAGATCCTGACGTCCGCAGAGCCCCAGTGGCTGCACTTTGCAGTGGACGTGAAAGCACAGACGAAGAGCGACTGTACAAAAACTGCATGCTGTTGATCATCTAACAACACGCTCCTGTCATGTACGAATCCAGTTCTGCAGCCATGCTTTGTGGATGGTGCTTCGGCGTTGATCCCTATGAACATGCAACGAGAACCAGATCAATATTGGCATGACTGTTTATTAGCGAAAGGGGACAGCCAGACGAACCTCGAGTTCTGCTCTAGTCCTGGGGTCTTGGATCATATCAGGCCTTCGCAGCGCAGGCAGATATCCAGTGCTGCTGTTTCTCGGCGTACTAGGACTCGTGTCTTCCAACTCGGGCTTCGAATGGTATATGCAGGGCCTGGGTTGTTTTCGTTCCATAGTCGGTCGCCCGGCATCGGAGGACACGCGTGACTCCGACTCCTCTGGAGCTTGCAATCTTTTTCGCCGCAGACGCAGACGCTTCTTCCAAAGGAGTAAGAAGACGGCGACGGCGACGGCGACGATGCAGAGGATTGCCGCACCGGCTCCTATTCCAGCTTTTGCGGCAGTTGACAGGCCGCTCGGAGAAGGGACCACCTGGTAGGTGGGCAAAGAAGAAGTCGAAGTCGTTGCAACGGTGCTCGTCTTGTTCGGTTGTTCCGAGGAGGACTTCGGCGTACTGGCACTGGTGCCGGTTGTCGTGGCTACTGCGGTTGAGGTTTGAGAGAACTCACTGGCGAAAGAAGATGCTATGGACGCCATCGCAGCGGATGATGGGCCCTCCGTCGCAGCGGTAAATGTACCTTGAGAATCACTCATATTTGCCAGAATGTTCGAAGGCTGCGCGTCTGTCACCAGATAAGTCAAAGACAGAGAGAGAGAGAGAGAGAAACAAGAAAGGAAAGAGGAGGAAGAGGGAAACGGCCAGGCAGGACGGGTAAGGCTGGAGATTTGGCCCCCTGCTGTTGTGCTTGTTGTTGTCGTCGGCGGCGCAAGCCCTCCCCCTCCCCATCCTTTCCTCAGCCTGATCAGTGGTCGGCGGCTAGACACAGCAAGGGCAGGCCAAACGAATCATCCTTTCGGAGTCTGTCTTTCATTGCTGGGGCCCTGTCCTCTGTACGTCAACATTAAGATCTATCGGACTATCCTTGAGCCACACCAGCAATTGTACAAAAATACTATTCTAGCATCAGTCCCAAGCTGGGGATTGTCAAGATGTCTTATCCTTCCATGCATGTGGCTGTCGAGGCAGTTGCCAGGATAGGCAAACCCGGCCTAGTGCGTGTGAAATGATAGGACATGACCCGCCAGACAGCATCCCGTCCAACTACTATGACTAGGATTCGGGTTATTGAAAGGTTTGCTTCCTGGAAAGTGGTCAGGATCTCGACTCGCCAACAGTCAAGGCACGTGACGTGGTTGCGAGGCGCATTGCTGTAGATTCTTTTGTGATTCAACCTATACATGTGATATATCCAGCAACTATGACATATTTCTCCTTCATGGACACATCTTCAGATCGTAGATTCTGCCATCTGTACGCACATCTCAATCGACTCAACGCACCTGGTACGCCCAACTCATATCGCACATATACTCTCATCTTCAACCTTCCTTCCCCAGGTCCTGCCAGCCTTCTGTCGGCCCCATCAAGCAAGTACTCTCGCCACCACTGGCAGTCCGCAGGATCAATGGAATTGATCCTCCGTCACGCCCTTGCCCATTGCACTCGTGCTGCTAACTCCGCCAGTCACCATCTTGAGCATATTATCCATATAATTCGCGCCGCTCCACTTCTGATGCTTCACGACGTCGATATTGTTAGCCATCTCAGGCTCCTGGACCAACTCGCCGTACGCACGCATGCCACGCTTGGCGAATGCCTTGGCGAACGTGTCTGAGATCAACGCTGTCGAGTGCAGGCCTGCTAGCGTGATAAATTGCCAGCAATAGCCCAACTCAGCCAGACGCTGGATATAGGTCTCTTGGTCCTTGGCCTCCATCGCGGCTTTCCAGTTGAAGCTAGGCGACAAGTTATAGGCGAGTCTGGACGAATTGTTAGCATGAATCTTACTTTTCATCCCTGCGGGATAGGGGGGAACGGCATACTTCTGCTCCGGCCACACTGCATGCACGCCATCCGCAAACTCCTTGGCCTGCGCATAGTCGGGCAACTTGCTCTCCATCCAAATCATGTCAGCGTAGGGCGCGTACGCGATAGCCCTGTTCACCGCACATTGGCAACCGCCTTGGTACCTGTAATAGCCCTCGCGCGTGCGTGGGGCGTCCCAGTCCCAGTAAATATCCACACCAGTCAATCCCTTCGCGATGGCACGGGACTCGCTGTTGCTCTTGCCCTTGGCCGCTTGCTTGTATTTCGCGATCAAGCCGGCCTTGTCGACGTGTACGCCTGCGTTGATTGTGTCGATGACAGCGTCATCAAAGACTTTGAGTCCGGCCTGCTCTGTCCAAGCATCCTCAATGGCCTGGAGTTGGTCGCCGTTCTTGCCTGCGTGCTCGGCCGCAACCATCAGATCGTTGAGGGGCTGCATGTTCTTGTTCGTGCTGCCCATGATGAAGGGGTGGTCTCTATAATCGATCGTCGTGGTGATCAGGGTCGCGGCTTCGGAATCTGTGCGGGCCACGGCCAAAAGGTCGACGCCCATAATATCGGCCTGCGCGCGGATTGCCACGAGGCGATTGATGTGTTCGGAAATTGGTACGAGGACTTTGCCTGCCATATGACCGCACTTCTTTGTCCCAGGGGCCTGATCTTCAATGTGAATTCCCGCTGCACCCTTCTCGACGAACATTTTTGTCAATTTCATGACTGCGGTCAAACCGCCGTGGCCGGTGTCGGCATCGGCAATGATGGGCCGTAGGTAATCAACGTTCGGGCAGGACCCTCGCTTGTCTTTGGGGGTGGTTAAACGTTCTTCACGCTGTTTCCGGTCGTGGAAGAGTTGGGCCATGAACAAGTGCTGAACCTTATTCGGCACAGTGGTCATGGGATAATCCGCCAAATCGGGTCCGGGCTCGTCGCTGGAGGAAGCGGTTGAGGAAGACTGCCAACCTGAGACGTAGACAGTATCGAGATATTTGTTCATCTGGGTGAGCATGGTGGGTTCGAGACAACCGTATGTGGCTGAAGCAGTTTTGGTCTAGAAACCGCAGTCGTCAGTGTATCGCTCAAAAATGTCAGAAGAGAGCTCATAGCATACAGCAAACCGGTCCTCGACCAGCTTCCATAGCTTCTTAGCCTGGGCATTGCTGGGATATTCGATCTTGATGGTCCCTCGCTTTTGCACAATCTGCTCGGCGGTAAATGGTCTCTTTGTGTAGCGCCATCTGGAATCAGTCCACCACTTCTTGACAGCTTCGACCTCTTGTAGATATTGTTGCTCTTCCTGGTCAGATGAACCCATTTTGAATGTGTCGGAAATCTTGTTCAGGGTCGACGTCATAAGAGGGAAGGGAAGCAGATGCAATGGCACTCAATGCCCCTCACGCGACTCAGGCAAGCGTGAGATGGTGATACAGACTCGACACACGGGGAGTGGCGAGGGAAGGACAAGCAAGGTATAGACGACAGTCGGCGGAAGAGAGGAGGAATCAAACAGTCATAATGAGGAGCATGCTCTCTAGTTAAGTCAAGGAGCACAAGCCAGAGGCAAAAGTGGTTCCATCCATCTCCGATTGATGGGCTGAGGCTGCATGAACAAGGGCATGACGCCGAGGAGCACGGTCATTCCAGTCATTCCTGGCCAAGCTTTGAATGAGCGTACCGGGCCAAGGGCGGAAGCAGTAGGTCTGGGTGGAAGAGCGATGCGTAGGCATATTATCATTGGTTACAGCTCACAGAATGACTGTCTGGGACTGGGGAAGAAGCCGGGCTGGAGGAGGCGACACGAGAATCTGCGTAAGACAAGCACCTAACCAGCATCTAACCAGTACTGAACCAAGCACTGAATCGGCAGAGGATCGGCTGTCTGGGGAAAAGAATGACAGTGAAAAGGGCATCGTGCATGTGGAAATGACGTCCCTTTGATTCTCTCCGTTCACCCGTTTCAGCTGGCCATTCGTTCTAATAACCACCAGAATAATGCCAATCCTCGAGTCTTGGTACAGTATGCGGTAGTCAGCTCCGGACCATACAAGGATACATCATTGATTTCACATTCCTCTGTGATTCAGCATCTTGGTGTCTGCTGGTTGCTCTGCAGACCATCTCGCTACGACTCAAATCCAGAAACTAAGAGATGCCTCGGCATATATCACGTGACTCATTGCGGTGTCCAGTCCGAAGCTAGACCCAATTGAGTCTCTGCCAATCAATCGCTCTGCGAAAACTAATCGGAACCGGAACCGTAATTCTCCAGCCATGGAAAATGACTGCGTGCGAGGTGACTCACGATTTGCTGTTGTTACGAGGCTCGTAATGTTGTTGATGATGATGATTGCTGTGCGAAAACGCTAGCACTATGTACAAAAAACGTACCCTCAGGGAAACTGTTAAGGGGTCATCCATGCCACTCCGTAACCACCACACAAACGCCGGCTCAATGATCAAATGCCTCTGGCTCACTGGCCTGCTAATAAAGAAGAAGAATCATCATCCCCCCAACGCCGTTCCTCGTCGGATCTAGAAACTCTGGTGTCGGCAATCTGAATCTTGCCCCAAGGATAATGCATTCATAAAAGGACATCACATCATCAATCCCATCGCATCCTCTTCCGAATCTTTCCGAATTGTCATGTTTCATCTGTCGTGCTCGGATCCGGACAAGACGGCCGCGTCTGCCTCATCCGCAGAATCGGGTCTCGACTCGTCGGATCCTTCTTGAATCGTTTCGTTCAAGTCGCCAAGGTCGATCTGGGTCGCTCTGGCAAACGTTTCCCATGGGGTGAGGGTGCCCAGAGCTCGTTTCATATGCATCGGAATGAAGGACAATCCGTATACATAGCTGGCATTCACCCACCCGAACCTGTTCAGCGTCAGTCTCTACTCGTCGCCTCGATCAATCAGCAAACTCACCCTTCTCTGGGAACGCCCTTGAAGTCAGCACCTTGATTGCCATATTCGGCCTCGACCTTGTGTGGATCGAGCTCGCGAGTCACATTGTACTTCTCCACAACCACGCCATTGAAATCGACGAATGCCTTGGTAACCATGTACAACCACTTGTACGCCAGTCGTTGTGCTTCTTCAATGTATCCGTATTTGATCAAGCCACCCCACGCCAGCATCTGCTGAGGAGCCCATCCAAAGGGATAGTCCCATTGTCGATTGGGACGGTCGAGTCCAACCTCACCGCGAGAGGCCTCTGTTCCAGAGACCAACCCTCCAAAACAGTCAAACCTGGGCAGTGCGTTGAGCACCAATGACGCTGCTTGCCGGGGCGATGCACATACTGCCCACATCGCCCAAAACGTCGTTGCGCTTTCATAGTTGGTGCGCTTCTTGTTGACCGTATCATAGTCAAAGTACATTCCCTTGGCCTCATTCCACAGATACTTGTCCATTCGGGCTCTGCGCAATTTGGCCCGCCGCTCCCAGGTCGCTGAAGTCTCGTACCCTTCTCTCCGATTGGCGTCGGTTTGAAACTCCTCGGGCATGGTCAATCGATCCTTGAAATGTGTACGAATGCACCAAGCAATGTCGGCCTCGTACTTGTAGAGCAACGAGTTGAGGTCGACCGTGGCCAGATTTGCAGCACAGCCTTCCAGACGATAGGACGTATCGTGACCTGATTCTCGCACTGCACGATCATGCAGGAAATACTCATCCAGGTCGGGTTCGTGCACCCGCTCTTCATTGTACGCCTCGACGAACTCCTCAAAGGACATCCCGTGTTTCTCAGCATAGGGAGTGAGGATATGCACAAAGTGAGAAGCCTCAGTCTCCGGAGGCACACCAAGACCGTCAGGACGATAGCGCGATAAACCAGTGGTAGGGTCATAACGAGGCGTCGACATCCAGACACTGTAGTACTCCTTGATCGCTGCGCGAATCGCCAGTTTCAAGAATTCCTCCGCACCTCTCTCTGATTTGATCTTGTCATAGACCTTCAGGGCCATGTCTGTCAAGAATGGCGGTTGAGATCGGGTGAGGTAGTAGGATCGATTGGCGTTCAGGATCTTGCCATAGTGCTCGATACAAAAGGCGAAATTGATGACCATGGACTTGGCAATGTCCACCCTGCCGTTCTCTATGAGGCCGATGGATTCCATGTAACTGTCCCAGCCATAGAGCTCGTTGAATCGCCCTCCAGGGACGATGAAAGGCTCTCCCTTGAGGGTTTCTTTTCCATCGATCATGACCTTCTTCATAGCAAGAGCCAGAATACCAGGGGAGTCGTTCAAACTACGAACATATTCTGCCGTGATGGGACCTTCGGGTAGCCAGCGAACATCCAGCCTCAATTCAGGACGGTCTTTCGCTACATGGGTGTAATACTCATGCTGCTCCGGACAGCCACGAGGAATGTAAATGCGAGGTCGAGGATCGTCTGTCCAGTCCTTAGGGTCACGGCCAGCCTTCTCAATGGTGTCAGCATCGAGGGTCCTTGTCAGATTGTTCCAGAATTCGTCTCTGATGCGGCGGGAGAGACGATCCACAGGATTTTCACTCAGCCGAGACCGATGTATCTTGACCACCTTCTTGCCCAAATCTTGTGCCAAGGTCAGCTCTTGAAGGAGGTTGCTGATCATGTAGTTTCCACGGATGTCAGTCGACCGATAACCAGCAGAGGCCAAGGTGCCCAAAGTGATATGCTGTACACCTATCAGCCACCAAGATCCCTGGAGGGAATGACCACAGGCTTACCTTGGGGCCATTGTCCTCAATTGTGATCTGCTGGTTATTGTCAAGGTCTTCTCTTTCATGGAGGTCTTTCAGCGTCCGTTCGACGACCACCAAGAGCTCTTGGTTTTGCTGCGTATGTTCATCTGGCACAGCCTGGTGTTAGTACATCTCGGACATGCTGGAGTTATGGAAAAAACGAACCGTGACTTGTGCGGCGTGCAGGATAGCTGCCCTTAGCAGAGAGGAGAGATGTTTCACGTGCAGGTTTGATGTACTGTAATTTGTTAGTGGACATGGAAAACAATTTGGAGGGAGCGGATTAAGGTACCGATGACACGGCTCTGTTGCGATTGCCCAATAATTGGTATCTAACCGAATCTTCATCGAAATAGATGGACGGGGAAGAGTAAGGATCGCGCCGCTCTAGGGACGAACTTCGTCGTCGGTTGTGCCCATGTGACAAGCTCATGACCGACTGCGTGGTCTATAGATCAGAGAACCAGATAAAGAGCAAACGACCTGAAAGGACGGTAGGGACTGTGGCTTTTGAACGCAGGATGATGCAGGCGAGGTCAGGAACAAATTTGGCTGACAGGGCCGCCTATGATGTCGTTTCGGACCCGCTTCAGATTTTGATGGACTTATTTCCGGCGGCGTTTTGCGTATGGCGTATGAGAGGGTGGGATGTGACTTGACTTTTTGGGCACACGACCACACGGTTTGGGAAGAATACGAAAGGTGGGTGGGAGCGAATATGAGCGGTAGGATAGAGGAACTTCGAGGTAGGAATTTTGCAGGATTAAAAAAGGATGAAAAGAATGGTTGTTGCGGTGAGAGCAAGGTGGAATTGGCGATTAGGTGAGGCTGCAGGTAGAGTTGTGCTCGTAGAGGAGAAGCAGGGACCACGTAGGTACTCCACGGCGTGGGTAGCAGTAGCTGCAGGTAAAGAGTACTGTGTACTGTGTACTTTAGGTAGTGACGACCAAGACAAAAAAAATGATGAGGAAATTGCACCGGATCAGGTGGACAAATATTGGAATCGACACGGGCCCGAATCAGGCGGTGAAGGCTCGCCTCAATTTGAGTCTTATCTCTTCTGTGCTGATCATCACGATCACGGATTTTTTCCCTGCAAACTAAGGTAGCCACGGTAGCTAGCAGAGGCCTCGAAGACGTCGAGACTTGTCGAGGGGCACTCACATGCCAGATCTGGGGGGCGATATCTGCATCTGGATATCGCACCGCATGAGGAAATCTCGGAGTCCGTGCTGCTATTTCTTTCTGTCGGTTACAAGGGTTCCAGGGTTCCAGGTTAGCACTGATATCGACAAGGCTGCAAATGTTGTCCGTCGTGTGACTCTGCTGTTGCTGTTCTTTGTATGGCTGGCTTTGTGCCAACCAGAGTGCCAGTCCAACCCTCCTGGCGATCACCGGCCTTGAATAGAGTCAATATCCAACCGAGTCAATAATCCCCCCACGGCCGTGTAACCTTTGCCGCCAGCCGCGGACATCTTCAAGCTAGCCGGGCTCCCCACGGGCTACCCTATCAAGGCCTGGTCTTACCCATGTCTCACCACTGTCACCAGCAAATCCACGTTTCGCATCCCGTCGCCGGCCTGCGCCATCCGCACCCGTCATGCAGGTCATGCCAGGCACGCAACCATCGTGTCCATCCACCCATCCTTCCCCCAACCGACAACCGAAGATCTGGGGATTTACTACGTAGTAAGTATGTACCTACCTAGGTAGAGAGCAAAACTGCTCATGGGTGCCTCGTACCACACCCTACGAAGGGACTTTATTGAGCAACATGGTAAGGGCTTTGCGTCCACCAGGCGGGCATCTAGCTTCTTTTATAGTCGGCCTCCCCTTTTCTGCTGCAGCCCGCCCTGTTCAGAAAATCCTACCAGAAAATCCTTCCTATGGCCAGCTAGCACTTCATATGGAATTCATTATGGACTCATGACGGTCGTCCTCGCCCGGACATACCCGTTCACACCACCCACACCAGCTGCGCGCGGTACCGGTGGCTTCTCGTTCCAAATACTTGCCACTTGCCCTTTCATCTTCGTACTCCCAAACCGTAGCACCCACCTTGACACGCTTCTTGACCTTCTTCTTCACCACTCCGCCGATTCCCTCAATCTCTTGCTGCAGATAGCCGGGCTTATTGTTGACATAGTCGGGCGTACCCGCCCGGCTCAAGCCGTTGCCTTCATGATCATCGGAAGCCTGGCCTTCAGAGCACTCAATCTCGACCCAACACACGGCTTTGCCACTGTTCTCAAGGCAATCTTCTCCTCGACCACACTTTTGTCCCTGGTTGCCCACTCCTAGTCCAGTACCTAGGCCGCCGCCAATATGTGTCGAATATCTAGATCGCCAGGTCCACACCCTTTTATATGTGGTGTCGGCTGCGCGGAGATTTTGTCCGCATGGGACGCAGAGGAACACACCTTGAGACTCGCACGTACAAGGGCCACGGAGGAAGGCGGGTGAAGTAAAAGTAGGCTGATACTCATGTTCTGCGGCATGGTCATCTAAGATGCCTCCAGAACTCGCCGAGGATGAACCCGAAAGTGATCGTTCTGATCTGATGGAACTCGCGCTTGATCTGGTTGCCCCCTCGCTCTCACCGTGTAAAGAACGTAGTGGCAACAGATGTGCTTCGAAAGATGAATCCAAGCACGTCTTGCACAATCGTCGGTATCGATCCTTCACCCTGGCGTTGCTAGGGGGTTTGGCCGCACAATTCCGACAGACCACACTTCCGCATCGCCGGCATGGAGCTACTAGGTCTCGAGCGCAGGGACCAATCTTGCTGGTGGCTCCCAGCGAAGTATAAAGGCCTCCGGGCGGAGAAATCTGCGTCGCATGTACAGCAGGGCCATTCTGCAAGGGCGGACGAAAGGTTGCAACGCCCGTAGGCGGGAACGCATCGTAGAGTGGTCCATCCGCCTGTGTTCCGTCTCTTTGCGCAGCAAGCGCCCCGGCGAGCACCGAAGCCTTATCATGAATACATCGCAAGGAATGAGCCTTCAGCTGGTGTGCAAATTGTGTCAGGGTGGCATGTACACCTTTGCAGGTTGATGCAAGCGCATGTAAGTCGTTGAGGTCGATAGAGCAGGCGAGAGACAAAGCAACACTAGAACAACATGTCAGTGACCGGACTCTTCCAGGACCACGGCCAAGGCATACGGATAGCATGTTAAGGCAGCCGCCACTTTATTCGCGGTCAGGGAGTGCACTGGGACTTCCCCTGCCACGCCACTCCTGTCCGTTCTGTCTGATCCTCCTACGTCCACTAAGTTTAGCTGGTACCCAGGAGACGTTGGCCGGATACCGCGTTGCGCCGATCCCAAGTCAGTGCCCGGTCGACTGCGGGACGGGCAGTCGTCGTCGTCGAGGTCATAAAACACGGCCATGTTGGTGCCATTTGAAACGGACGATACCAAGGAAGAATCTGGACACGAACAGAGCAAAACGAAGCGAGCGACCGGATCGTCAATGAGGTAGGAGATCCTAGGGCAATGATGAAGAAGCCACTCAAACAACTCGAACAGATGGGCGTTTGACGATCGATGCAGAACAGATACAAGCGGGGTGACCAGATGGCCCTCGTCATACGAGGAGGAGATCAGCCACGCTGCGCGCAATACGGCAACGCGTGTTCCCCCAATAATTACCTGGTACTTGGTCCCAAGCCTAAGTCTGTGCCGGGGCCAGTTCCTTTCCAGGCAGGTGGATAGGCCACTAGGCCAGCTTCACAATGCCTGGAGCCCCACAACCATCACAGAATGGATGAGCATATGACAGCAACGTCCAGATCCATGTGTGAAAGCAGGTTGGAAATCAACCACACCTAGGTGCTGTCGGCGCTTTGGTCTAGCATATGAACGTCGTTGGGCCTTGCATCGCACAAAATATGCCTGCTAGTACTCCGTAGACTTACTGCAACGCTAGCCAGCTTTTGTAGTCGATACCGTGCCTTCTGTACCGCAAAGAAAGCGGACCGAGCACGACCGAGGCACGAATATTAAACAGCAGATCAAGGTCTCTCAATAATTGGTGAAGATCCCTGTCGGACAGAAGTAAGACCACCAGACAACAACATAAGCGAGAACAACTCCTCTTTTCATCTCGCGGTCCTCAAGTTCAAGCTCATGCTCGTAATCCCCTCTCGCCCTGTTCTCTCTGTTCAAAATCCGAATACTGTCGCCCCGACCACGCTCAGGAGAGCGCAAATCCACCTCCGATTGCCCCGTCGACGAACGAGATGGCCGAGTCAATGAAGTTGCCGGAATTCAAGTCCACGCCGGTCGACGAGATCCCCGAGATCGTATCTCGCCTGCGCAAGACCTTTTTCTCCCAGAAAACTCGACCTGCGGAATTCCGAATCAAACAACTGCGCAAGCTCTATTGGGCAATTGACGATCACAAGGAAGAGCTGGTAGAAGCATGTCGACGTGATCTAAATAAGGGCTATTTCGAGGCAATGGTTGGAGAGGTTAACTGGGTGCAAAACGACATTGTGTTCCAGACCCAGAACCTGGAGAAATGGATGAGAGATGAGAAGCCTGCAGACATCGCCTGGACCAACAGGCTCGTTAGCCCCAGAATACGGAAAGATCCTCTCGGCGTGGTTCTAGTCATCGGGTACGATATTATATGGTGAATACATATTTGCCCTTGCTGACTGTGTGTAAAGTGCCTTCAATTTCCCCGTCAATCTATCCTTTGGTCCTATGGTTGGTGCTATTTCAGGAGGAAATACTGTGGTGCTGAAGCCCTCTGAGAATGCTCCTCATTCCGCTGCAGTCATGCAAAAGATTGTGGAGGAAGCTTTAGATCCAGACTGCTATGTCTGTGTTCAGGGTGCCATTCCCGAGACTTCAGCCCTCCTGGAGCAGAAGTGGGACAAGATCTTCTTCACTGGCTCGTCCAGGACTGCAAAAATCATTGCTCAAGCAGCTGCAAAGAACCTAACCCCGGTCGCTCTGGAACTCGGAGGTAAAAACCCAGCCTTCGTAACCAAGAAAGCAGATGTGCGTCTGGCAGCCCGACGGTTATTGTGGGCGAAGACAATGAACGCTGGCCAAGTGTGCATCAGCCAGAACTACATCTTGGTTGACAAAGAGGTTCTACCGTCTCTGATTGAGGAAATGAAGGTCGCCATGAAAGAGTTCTTCCCTGACGGTGCGAAGAAGAGCAAAGATTACTCACGAATCGTCAACACGGCCCAGTTCAATCGCATGAAGAAGATGCTAGACAACACCTCTGGCAAGATAGTCATTGGCGGAACCATGGACGCCGAGGAACTTTTTATTGAGCCTACTGTTGTCCAAGTCACCGATCCTAAGGACTCTTTGATTGTAGAGGAGTCGTTTGGGCCGCTCATTCCTATCTTGCCAGTGGAAAACTTGGACGAGGCCATCCACATTGCCAATGAGACTCATGAAACGCCGTTGGGTGTCTACGCATTTGGATCGAAGGAGGAGACCAATAAAGTCCTCGCCAGCACTCGCTCAGGAGGTGCCAGTATCAACGACGGCTTTTTCCACGGCATCATCCCCAACCTTGCATTCGGCGGTGTGGGAGATTCGGGTACGGGAGCTTACCGTGGTAAGGCGTCGTTTGACTGCTTCACCCACCAGCGCTCGATCACGACCACACCAGGCTGGATGGAGAAGCTTCTGGCCGTGAGGTATCCACCCTTCTACGGTACCGACAAGCTGAAGCAATTCAACAAAATGGGATTCCTGAAGCCAGATTTCGATCGGAACGGAAACAAGAAGGTGGGATGGCTATGGTGGCTGCTCACGTTGGGTACTGCCAGCGCATCAAAAGGTGCGTCCAGAGCTGCATTGGTAGCTGGAATCTATCTCGCAGTTATCATGCTGATGCAGCGCAGGACACTGAAGAGCAGTCCTACAGAATGGCTTATTATACAGTTCAGGTCTTGATAACCTTAGCAAGCGAACAAGGAATTCTTATATACCTACATACCTAATCATATGTTCTCCTCGTGTCCACCTACAAGAATGACAACTTGATAACTTGATAAGCACCAGCCACAACGGTGACTGACCACCGTAGGCTCCTTAATCATCAGCTGCAGTGGGAACTGTGCACGTCATCGCCTGCGCCCGCACAATTCGCCCGAAGCCACAGCAGGCCATCCCGCATTTTTCTTGATACCACGATCACCAACAGCAGCCTCTGGTTGGATACCAACGTCTGCTCGCCTGTGCTTCCCTGCATTTGCCTGTTCATCTCATCCCCGACTATCGTATCTTTCCCAGACGCGTTCCGGATTTCCTCACTGCCTGCCTGCCTCACCTCAGACACCGACCTCGCCCGACATCCTTATCTAGAGATCGTCTCTTGCCAACCTCACCGCCGACCACGTCTGCGCAAACGTTGCGCTTCACCTCTACGGACTCAACGCCTGCATACAGACGGTATCATGACCTCAACCTCGAACACTCCCTACGCTACACCTGGAACGTCCACTCCTACCACAAGACCTGGCACACCCAGTAGCCAGCAGCCCACCCCGGCCACCACACCCGCAGATAACCAGCTACAAGATGACAGCTCGAAACTGCGAACCTTCCTGAGTTTGTTAAGAAAGTACGTCATAGAAATATCACTACAAGATGTTATCTTGAACGACATACGTGAGGCTAGCTGTATGGAGGTACTGTACTGACAGAGTGGCGGTGGACAGGTTTATCGGCGTCACAGATATCGCAAATGTCCGCTTCTCTTTGCCTTCACAACTTCTGGAACCTATACCTAACTTAGGTATGCAAGCTATCATAGGGCACTGGTAAAAAGATTGGAGTTGACAAACTGGCAGAATACTGGCACTATCTCGATAGACCGGAAACGTTCGCAAGGTAAGGCTGGCCTAGGCAGAACGTTCTGACAAAAGAGTATACTGACCATCCATTAGTATCGGCACATCAGACGATGCCGTGGGCCGTATGCTAGAAGTGCTGAGGTTTTGGTTCACAAAAGATCTGGTTAGTCCGTTCCCCATCATGCGGAAGGAATATGGCTAAGTCTCACTTCAGAAATACGTCAAGGGCAAGCCTTGCAAACCCTACAATTCCACACTGGGCGAATTCTTCAGGGTTTGTTACATCTGTTCCCTGACCCCTACTGGCGAGTCACAAGAAGACCACAACTGACTCCACGCCATAATTTAGTGTAACTGGGAAGTCACCGAGCCAGCACCCTCAATATCACAACCGTCTAGAGCACCGCCTCAACCGCCCGCAGACCCAACCCAACAGAATGGCGAGAAATCCGTGCGAATATCTTTCCTGACCGAGCAGACATCCCATCACCCTCCCGTCTCAGCATACTGGTACGCCTGTGCTGAACGAGGCATCCACGCCCGGGGCTACGACCAGATATCCGCCAAATTCACAGGCACATCTGTCCGCGTGGTTCCAGGTGTTTACAACCGAGGGATATTCATCACACTCACGAATCGAGACCATGAGGAATACCAACTCAACCACCCATCTGCATCTCTGGGCGGCCTCCTCCGCGGCTCCCTGTACATCTCAGTGGCAGACACCTGCGCCGTAACATGCCCGAAGACAAGGCTGAAATGTCTCCTGACATATGTCGAGGAGAGCTGGTTCGGCAAAGCGCAGAACCGCGTCCACGGGCTGATCTTCCGCTACGACCCCGACGACGACAAGTATACGCGGGTTAAGGACGTGCCGGATAAGGACATCCTAGTCAAAATCGAAGGATGCTGGCAGGAACAGATCACTTACACGATCCCTAAGAGTGCGGCTGTCAAGGAAACTGACGGCCTTGAGCCCACGTCTGACAAGCAGTTGCTCATCGACTTGCAGCCATTGATGCCCGTGCCCAAGATCGCGCCACCGGCAGAAGAACAGCTTCCCAACGAGTCACGGCAGTTTTGGAAGGATGTCACGACCGCCATCATGGAGAAGCGCTATGCAGATGCCACCCGGATCAAGCAGGACTTGGAGCAGGCTCAGCGGGACAAGGCTGCTAAGCGAAAAGAGGTGAATGCCGAGTTTAAGCCCAGGTTCTTCACCTCTGTTACCGAGCCAAACGGGAAGCCAGAGTTGACTGAATATGGCAGAGAGGCTCTTCAAGGAATGGACAAGAAGGCATATCAAATTGAGCATCTCCCAGAACCAGGGGTTGATGTATAGATGGCGGTTTCCTATCCTTTGGTTGTGAAGAGTAAGAGATCAGGGCTATGCTACCTTGCTCTGGCACCGTCGCACTTTGCCGGTGTAGCGGCTATGCCGGGAGAAGTGTAGTTCCTGTGAGGTGATGCGCAATGATTTTGGTGCATGAATCGACAAAGTACTACGGCGGCTGTCGAATATCCGGGAGGCCGGAGGAAGCCACTCCCCTTGCATCTGGAGTTTATGACGACAACACGGAATGGCGTCAAGGCGATAGATCTGAAGACTTACAATGCATTAGCATCAGCACGTTCTGGCTGGGAGCTCTGCGTTTGCGCTGCTGCTGGTGTGCAGGCTGTATTATTATCCCTCGCTCGACGAGATGTTTCGACTTAAGCCAATGCGACATTTAATATGATTGTGAATGTGCCCTCTCCGAGAATGAGAATCGATGAGATAGTGACTGACGGATGAGCTGATGCTGTTGCTGCTGCTGCTGCTGTTGTTGTGAATGATGTTCGCCTGGTGTACGAAGGACCTTAATGTCTGTTGTATTATCGGTGCTGCCAATGCGGGTTTGCCGTCATGGAACCTTTTGTCGAATTGGTAGTACGTGGAGACAAGACATGACCACGGCGTCGGTGTTTCTGTGGCGTTGTCGGTGCAGTCATAGTGCCCACTGGTCCTGGTTCAGACGTGTCTTCAACGGATTGTTGCGTCGTCCAGTGTTTTCGATGATATTGTTATAGGGATTCTCTACGTGGGCAGTGAAAGCCTTTGCGCTGACCATACCAATGGTTGGACTCGCTATTTGGTGAACAGCGCCTGCAGGACCACTATGTACCTGCAAATTGATAGGATGGGTCCGGCTTAGGAGCTGATGTTTCTGCTCTTGCTCCAGCAATAGGGCCGCCCCCCGTGGCTCGGGCTTGTCCCTCGTTATGGTCATTGTTACGAAGGTCGTGATGGTCTTCGCTAGGTTGATGAAAGACGGTCATGTTTCTCGTCGGGCGTTCATTGATCGGTGGTTCCCGTCCCTTTAGGTGCTGTGAAAGCGTAGAACCAATGCAGCTCCTTACTCTATGCTTCGTAGGCTCATGCATCATTGATCCAAGTCGGAGGTCTCCATTCCCGTCCGCGATGGGATCGGCGTCATTGCTGCTTCTGTTCCTTGTTCCGTGAACGCGTGGTTGGGGGATTTTCTGGCCCATGCTGATTCTGATCTGGAAGCCGGACAACGAACCTTTTTGAAGAAGATGATCAGGATCAATAGGGTCCCAGGATGGCTGATTCTCAGTTTGCTGCGGTCAATGACGGCGTTCTCTGAGCCGCCGTCAATTGTTTGGAGGACGCACGGTTTGGTTTGCGGGCCATACTGATTTCGAGCGTGATTGCCGGCGATAGACCTGCAAAGAGAATGATTCCGCAAGTTTTGGGGGTTGAAGACCTTTACTAGTAGTTTTATCATTTGCCATGACCGATCTCTGCAGGAACTTTATCGTATATTCGGACCAGATAGCCGAGTTAAGGCTAGAGGGGACTGGGCCGAACGGATATGCAGAGGCACCGGACTTGTAGCTGTAAATGGTAGGGATGGCCTGTTGTGACTTGTCTGGCTTCTCTGATACTGAGTAAGCTGCATTCAATATTCGGACGAGATGGCTGAGTAAGGCTAGGGCTGGCCGGTGAACATCTCAGATCTGTGACCACACTTCCACAGACGTCTTACCCCGTATTCAGCGTCGGCAAGTTCGGATATCGTCACATATGGAGAACCTTCCCCTTTGGCATGATCGCCGAGTTATACGAGTACCATACAGTAGTAGAGTGTCTCGGCCGGCTGTTCAGCTCTTTTTCGGTCAACGCCGACTATAGTTGGGCCGGCTCTGCAGGATAGCTAAACAAGCCACTGCATCACGATAACGTGCCAGCAGTGTTGACGTCGATTTCATCAACACCCTGATTTCCGGTGATATGCCTGGGTGTCATGCTTCCCCGTGATAAGTCAACTTTGGCCTGTTTCGTGCACAGAACCGAAGCCGAATACGTGAGAATGCGAAAGGAGTGGTTCTAGAGCGGTGTCCAGCCCTCTCGAGCATGAAACCAGAATCTGCGGCGTCTCGACTGCATGTTCTCGTCGAGAACCCAGAACGATTTTCGACCTTGGACGTTACAAGTGAAGCGAACGAGAGTCGGCCGTTTTGTTTACCCCGTCAGGGGCGTCATGCCTAGTCGGCCAGATTACAAAGTATAATTGCCACCGTGTACAAAGTGGTAAGTCGTGACGAGGGTCCCGTGCTGCTTTTGGACAAGCTTCGCGTGCTGATGGCATCCGCATCAAGCCTGTTTGAAGAACCGAACACGCTGTACTGCTTTCAGTAGTGAGGGGTGTGTGTTCGATTGGGCGGAGCATAACAGAATTCTTGTACCCACCGGGAGCTGAGGACCTCGTACGACACATGGAAGGATGGAAAAGCGTCTGGACTCTGGGCGCGGATGAAGCAGGGTGTCAGGATGGATGCAGTTAAAATCCCTTTCCTAGATGAAACAGTCGCGAAGGCCGGCAGGGCGGCATCCTGAAACACTGGACGAAAGCCATGTGTATGGGGAATCGCATTGGCTAGTACCACACGTGCTGATCACCAATCCACACATCTGTGTGCCGTCTCTGGTCCAGCAGGGATGACAAAACCGGTGACCAGGTTCAGAGCATCTCAGGACGACTTGTAGTTTCGCCACATCTGTAGACGTTGCAGTGTCGATCCCATTAAGCTGCAGGAGTCAGGAGATCGCTGGACCACGAGTGAATCTCGAACAAGGACTGGTCAGGAACAGGATCTTTTCACGCGGGCATAATTTCTTTTGTTCTACAATTCCAAAAAGCGTATAGTCGACTGCCGAAAATGCTGCCCGATCAACATGATGCATGATAAATGGTTGAAACGATCGGGTCTGCCGTCGTGCCAGAGGCAGCCTTGGCCATTCCATTCCTCGTCACTCATTGGGCGAGCGGAGAAGTAGCAGGACACGGCTGTACAAAGTAGTTCCCAAACACTCGAAAGAGGGAAAGCCATTAGCTCAAGAGTACGGAGTAGTCGACAAGAATAACATGAGACGGTCATCACGTTTCTCGATATGGGGACAAGGGAGATTGGAATAGGGAGGTTCGAGCTTTGCTGTTTAGCGGAGTTCAGCCTGTAGAAAGGGAGCTTTCCAACTTCCAAGTGCCCGGCATGCGGACCCGAGACTTTGGCTTCTCCTGCATTCAGACCTGAGTAGTTTTCCCAGACCGACAGGTCGTCTGGGAGCGGGACTGGGAGGCATTTGCTACCCAGCAGAGTATCATGCTGACGCATCATTTTCCAGTAGAAGTGCCATAAGTGGCTGAGTAAGAATCCTTCACAGGATTTGGGCATTTTGAGACAGATACTCGTACCAGTTCAAGCCACAGAGGGATTTGCGCTGACTTGTGGCAAGTGGTGCGAAAGTACAAAATCCTTGACAAAGTCGTGGCTGGTGAAACGAAAGGAAGAATAAGCGGGAACAAAGAAAAGCTCGTTGTGATCTGCACGGGAGGAGCTCTGGAGTCTGAAGGATTCAACAGGCATGCATAGTCGATTTTTCACGATGAAGGTACCACACCATGACCGCGCGGAAGTAGTCTCCCTCGTTCCTGAACCTTCTGGTCCAGCTGGTCAAGGTCAGGTATGCTGTGGGTGGATGCGAAATCTCCTGGGAGGATACGAGGTTTGTCCTTTCTGCGCACATGATGACACAGAGATCCATCATGATTCCAGTTGTTACCTGGACCATATCAAAGAACGTCGCAATCTTTGACGGGGACGGTACTCCTGGTGGCCGAACATGATTTGATTGTAGTATGGTCCAATCGCTCTTGGTGCTATTTCAGTCATATGCTTGATGTGAGAACCGTCCATTCAGAGATCGTCATCCCATACCCCGGACAAGAGGTCTTCTTCGAGCCTTTGCCCATGGTGTGACGAGAGCTCTAACTACAGTACTCCGTAAGTGTTGACGGAGCGACGGCATGATCGGCATAACAGATGGTCGGACGGCGGGGAACAGGGCATGCGACCAACCTCCTGGGACTCGTACAAAAACTTGGGAAATGGACCGAAGCTATGAGAATCTTGTCATCATCATTCATGGGACGGAGACCCGAGTTTCTAGTCGTTCAGGCAAGGCAGACTCGTCTTCTAAACACTGAACAGCCTTAACAGGTGCTTACCGTACCAGGTAGTAGAGTTAGACTGAGGGCGGAGGCTTGGCTGCCGTCGTGGCGTTGCTGGTTGGCTACTGTTTCAAGCTTACCCCTAATAGGCTTAATCTTCTTCCTCAAATAGCAGCGCCAAGATGTTTTAAGCGGCCTGCGCCGCATTTCGCCATCTTTGTGGTACTACTAGTACGGTATGGTAGGTCTGCCACTGGTCTGCTATTCAAGGACGACAGGCCCCGAGACCCAATGGTCGGTGGTGGCCTCAGGTACCTGCCCACTACCCACCCATGTCATCTCACGCACACATCCCAGCAACATCCTAGCAACATCTGACGGCCATCTGACGAATTGCTGCAGGCCTTGTGCACTAAACGAACGAGGGTGACGGGATTCTCAACCTCGTACTGGTGGTTGACCTTCTCGCCAGTATCATAGTGGCCGGCATGCCGATACGATCCACCCCCTCGGTCCCAGTTCCTACCATTTTGGCAAACCGCTGTCCACTACTGTACTGTCCAGTGTCGAGTTTCGACACCTCTCTTCTGCTTCCGAGCTCCAAAAGTTCCTTATCCTCGTGGTGTGAAATGCGCCCCTGCTTCTCGTGGACGACCAACTCCCCTAGCCCTGTCCAGTGTCAGGACTCAGTACGGTATCGCAATCCACTCACACCCTTTCCGGTCGGTGGTCGCTCCAATCATCAGACGATTGTCCCTTGATCAAACGCTCCATATTTACACACGGAGCCGGCCACGCTTGGTCGAAAAGCCTCTTGATCGCGACACAGCCGCGACAGTCTGATTCGTCCGTTCCACCCTATACCTCACGCTGCTCTCTTACACCCGCTCTTCAGGCTCACTAATTTCACCCTGGCTCCTGCATCTCATTCATTTCATGAACTGCCACTCTAAATCGGCTTCCTCATACCCATTCCCCGTTATTGTGGACAAGAATAACTCGGCCGTTGTACACTTGTCCTCGCCCCGCCACGTGCCTACGGCCTCCCTCCTCCATTTCCAGCGTACTCAGCCCTGCCCAATAGGTTCCGGATACTCTCTAGTCTCCTGCCTCCCATCTTCCCACCATCAAATCGTCATTTCTTTCATCACACTTTCCTTCTCATACCCATGCTATAGTCTCCATCTGCTCAAACAAGCTTAATCTTTTGCATGAGGCTCAGTAGGGGGCGGAGACTTCCAAGCATTCCAGAGTCTCCACTGTGAGACGTTTGGCGCACACCTCTGGTCTCCTCGTATACTCTATATCTTCTATACCATACCCTCATTCCGCCATGGCCCCAAAAAAACGCTCTCAGACACCTCGACATTCTGGACCAGCTGAACCAACCTCACCAATCCTTTCTCAGCAGTCAAGCCCTACACTCCTTTCGGATCCTTCCAACCAATACTATCGGCGTCGATCAAGGGACAGCCCTCGTAACATATCTTCAGCTCAGTTGCCTACCCCAGACACGGTTGCCTCGACGCGGTCACCCATAGTACCTGACTCGCCTCACTCAACCATCGAAGATTCCCATTCTCGGCGCGAAAGCATTTCCACCATGAGGACCTCATCCATTTCCCTCGAGGGGCCATCAACTTGCACGCCTACGGGGCGCATCAGCAAGGCAAAGAAGGGCAAGAGGGTCCATGCCTGTGAATTCCCTGGTTGTGGAAAGGTGAGTCTTACGAAGCAGCAAGCCCCCAATTCGAGGCCTTCCACCCAGATCCTGAATGAAGGCCTAGCTAACATCCAGGAAGGTTTTTACTAGGGCAGAGCACCGAAGGTGAGTCAAGATTCGACCGCTCTTATGGGGGCCTTTGTTGATCAATAGCAATAGGCGGCATGAGCTAAATCACAATCCCGAAGCATTGTTTCCCTGCACTCGTCCTGGGTGCAGGAAAGCTTTCCATCGTCTCGACCTTCTTCAGCGGCATCAAGAGAGACAGTAAGTGTGAATGAATCTGTCCCGGACTCATGCGTCTGACACTATGGCAGTGACCTCGAGAATTCCGTTGGCTCACCTTCCGGGCACATGAATCAAACGCCACAGATGTCAGTCACCTCAGAACCGCCTTCATCAGTCCTGCCTTCCGCAGTCATGAGTAGTCCTCACGCTGATAGAAGTGCTCCAAGATCCTCCGCCGGTGGCCTTTCCATCGGTTCCCTCGTTCATCCTCAAACGGAGTACCTACACAGCATGGGAACGCCAGCATTCAATGGCTTTGCGCGACCACCTATGCATTTTGTTCCTGGGTTCAGTCCCTCTGATGATTCCATGTTCTACACCCCCGAGAGCAGCCAGTCTCCTGTTTCAGAATACTATGGACGGTATCCTCATCGTCAGAGCATTTCTTCCTCGTCTTCTGTCGCTGCTTTTGAGCCCAGTGGAGCCTCTCCTTTGATCAGTGGGACTATACCAGGCCCGTGGGCTCCTTCTTCTGCTCCTCCTAGCATTCTGCCATCAAACATGCTTGATGATGGTGCTTATCTTCCTGTTAGTCCCCCTTTTCTTTGGATTGGTGCGTATACTGAAGCTGATCAGTCTCCTGCAGACTCTTCCTTACCAATACCCCTCTCCGACCTGGATGGATACGAGTGGTCTGTCATTCGAGGAGAGCTATCACATTCCTCTGGATTACTGCCAGGAGATGGCCCAACCGGTGTATCCGACACTATAAGGTGGCACTGTCTTGACCACTACTGGCAATACTTTGACCCTCATTTCCCAATTGTCCATCGACCGACATTTCTCCCGACCAAACCGAGTCCACTTCTTGCAAGTGCAATGGCAGCTATTGGATCACAATATGACGATAGGCCGGACGCGAAGCAGTATTCTTTGACTCTTTTGGACATCGCGACCAAGCTGCTGAGACGGCGGGATAGCATTACAAGTCGCTCCAGATTGGCAGACCTACAAACTGTCTTTCTGCTCGAAGTCTTGAGCAAATACTGCTCAAGACGCGTGGAAGTCGAGATGTCGTCACGATTTCGATCACTTTTTGCCAGTCTTGACCAAGCCCGTCGGACACTATCAACGGATCCGCTCGCGGTTTTCAGGACACTTCGCAAGGAAAAGACCCCTGAAGACATTGCACGCGCGCACAAATTCTGGCTTGATCATGAGACACGAAGGCGAATCCTCCAGGCCTCGACGCTGCTAGATCATCAACAGATGACGTTGTTCGAGCAACCTCCCACGATTGTCCAGCACGAACGACCCAGGAGAACCACAGGACCCAGTCTGCGATGCACGATTCCCCTGCCCTGCTCGGAAGAATTGTGGGAGACAAGCCCGGTCGAGGCTTGGGTTCAAGTGGCCACGAACACAGACGCATTCAAGCCACGAACTTCGCGGCTGGAGCAAGCCTCAGCAACAACCATGGACTATTTCCAAAGCCAAGTGGCTCTGGCAGCAGCGCAAGGATTGCCAGATCAGGGCCTGCCCCAAACAGACCAAGGAGGGGATATGTTTCGGTGCCTGACCTCCAACCGTCACGTTGTGGGAATGGCACGGAACACACCGATCAGGCAACTGCTCGTCACGAGCGGAGAGTCGTGGATTCTCGGAAAGAAGCTGGAAAATGAAGCCCAGTTTCAAGAGGCCAAACGGAATCTGCGAGCCTGGGCCAATTCGAACCTCGAAAGCCGAATTGCCTTTTGGCACGCCACTCAATTGATCCGGAGTCGTGTCAAGTTCACATATTCCGAGCCTACGAAGACCGACTTGGCCGTTACGTTTCAGAGCACTCATATGCTGCAAGAGCCGTGGGCATTGTACCTGGCCGCACTCGTTTGCTGGGCACATGGATTTTCTGCATCAACGATGCTCGAGAACAGCAGCGGGCAGGGTTCCGGCGCTGGTTCGACCATCAGCGAACCTCATTCCAACCAGTCGCGAACTTCAAGCTTGTCGTCGGCTCATCCAGCACTGCTCGATTCTCACGAGGCAGCATACTCGATGCGAGAGTTCCTGAAGGCCACGGATGTTGAAACACCCGAGGACATCTTGGGCATTGATCCTCAGGTGCTTGGGCGCATGCATGGCCTTCTCGAGGTCATCCGAGTGAACAAGATCGGCCCTCTTTTGGGTGGACTGATGAACGAGGCCGAGAGAGTGCTTTATCGACTTGTGGAAGGAAGGAGTCGTTTGTCACATTTCTGAAGAAAAGAATTGGGATTTGGGGATTTTACGTCTTGCTTTTTTGTTTTTGTTTTGTTTGGGGGGAGGAAGACCATTGTCACGACTATTGATGCCATATTCACGACGGACACGATTTTGTTGTTGGATGATTGTGCGATACCACCTTTTCCGAAATGTTTAGAGAGACCTCAGAAGCCATGGCGTTTCATTTCAGGAGTTGGGGAAGATAAAGGCTATACTCCGTACGGAGTGCTGTAAAGGGCTTCAAGGGAGGTTGCCATACGGAGTACACATGTCAGGAGTCCTTTTGCGAGGTGTTGGATTGGTGAATTCGATCTTCTCTGGCGCATCTTGTCCTTCTCCCCTGGCAGGCACTGGATTAGCAGGAGCATACTACAAGTACTGTATTCTTGATTTCTCCCCATCAATTCCTGAAAAGCTCAACCCAACGTCCACATACTTGCTACTGACTTACTATGTTTGGTCAGATATTTACTGTACCACTGGCAGTTGTGTACCACAAAACTACGGTACGGAGTAACTGTACTCGTACTCGCAGGGGGCCACTGCCACTCCAAGCCTCATTAGTAGTTCGGACCCTTTCTCTCAGCCACACTCTGTGTGATGCTGACACATGACACACTACACAGTACGAGGTACACCATACGGAGGACGGAGGACGGAGAACGGTTCGAGGGGGAAAAAAAGCTGGCATCACTGGGGCAGCCAGTAACTTACTACAAGGTGGGACTAGTAGTGGGAGGCCTTTCTTTTTCCCCCTTCGTGCCGTTCGTATATTTCTCGATGCACCCACAAACCATCTCATGCGTTACCCGGGTAGTACTGTTCGTAGTGGCTATGTCTCAATTGCACTGCTCGTTCATGCAGAAGCATACCTAGGTAGGTTACGTGGTTCCTTGAGTCTTGCGGCAGTTTTCCAAAATAATGACACTGGGTGAAGTCCTAGCAAGGACAACAAGTTACGGCTGAGATGGAGTACTACGTCTATGGCTTTTGTCCGTAGAAAAGGGTCTCGTAACCGCCCATTGCTTTACATTGTACACAGGCACCTGCCTACAGTACGCCTAGTAGCCTACAGCCAGCACACTCTTAGAGGTACGCACGTAAAAGCAAGTAACTACGAGTAGAAGCATGATCGTCGCGACCGACCACCGCGAGCGACTTACAGTACCTCGTACGGAATACTGTACTTGGACGGCCCTTGCCAGTGCACGCCAGTGATACTTGTAGCTTGGCCGTGCTTCGCGTATCACCTCACGCTACGACTTACGCTTACGACGGGCACGGACGGGCGATGTCCTTCGCAAGAACGATCCATCCACTCGCGATGCGTCCGTCGTTGTTCTCTTCTCGACTCTGAAACGCATTTTCTTTTGCGGGAAATACATAGTACAAGCACAACCACTGGCAGCTTGCCGGCAAGGTTTCATGGGCCATGATGGGCCTGAAGCTCAAGCCACCCACACCCGCGAGGTTAGCGTGCACGATGGGACGGGACGCCTGAACGCTGGCCGCCCGCGCCTGGAAGGGAGAGGTCTCGAAGGGGGACTCGGCAATTGCGTGATGGACGTTGGCTGAGCCTTTTAGCCGACTCTACAGTACCTGGGTGCCTGGTAGTCACTCGTGAGCACCCAGTGAGTAGGGTGTCTACCTAGGAAGGAACCAGGGGTGTAAGTCCCACCCCTTGTTCCTTGTGCAAATGATGCCGTGCGCCACGGGGCATGGTGATCTGTGGATCGCACATCGGCGGCAGGGGGTTCGCGCCCGGGACAAAGGTGCCGTAACGTTTTTGAGTAGCAGGCAAACAATGAGCGATTGGTTGTGCGATAGGCTCCCGGGCGAGGATGCTGTAAGCAAACCACAGTACTGTCCCCGAGGCATTCTCCGTCTTTTAGGCTGATAAACGTGACCACCATCTTCCCAGCTCACTGCGATGACAGCCTCGTCCTATCCTTCTCGGGCTCGAACTTCTTCTGCCTCTCGCCCACTTCCTCCCAGTGAATCTTTGCCCAAGTCAATACGTCCTCTAGCTTGTCCTCTTGATACGCCTTCCTTACACCCGCAATTGCTGTCGCCACAGTCTCGACGGTGTCCTCTTCATGTTGCTTGCCAGCTATCTCCCGCTTCATGCCTTCATAACATATCCGATCTCGCTGCCCTGCACAGGCAGGACTTGCGCAATTCGCTCCACATCTTGTCAACTTTGACTTGTCTAGTCCACCTGGTGCTCCTGTCTTCAAACTGGCTTGTGAATAGGTCACCGAAGAACTTCTTCGCGTCTTCGATGACCTCTTCGCGTGTCATGTGCGCGTTCTTGCCTGGAGTGTCATCCAGGTACGCAGGGAGATACGTGTCGATCCAATAGTGAAAGGCAGGACGCTTGGCTGCTCTTGCGCGGTCGTTGTGCTTGAGCTTCGGAGGGTCGTCCTCTGTCAGTCCCCCCTCGACTTTCTTTAGACCATCACCATCCTTTGTCTCTTTCGTTAGATCCGCATGTTCTTCTCCCTCGCCGTCCTGCTTGTCTCTGCTGCGCCATCGTCCGGGATCGTGGAAGCGACAAGTCGCGGCGTACGCCATCATATCATCCCAGCTCATGAACGGCGTCCAATTTTGATCGCTGTCTAAGCCGAGGTAGTCCAGTACTCGAGCTGGATCGTCTGTCATCTTCACCCATGACGGGAGTTTGTTGTAGGTTTCGACATCCTTGATGCGAAGATGCAGACCGTTTGTGGCGCATGTGAGTTCAAGTGGTATGATAATACCGCCAAGCATGTTCCATAGGTCGCCGTGGGCTTCATGGAAGAGGTGCCAGTTGTATGTTGCTCCATTGGCATAAATGTGGATGTCGACTTGAATGTATTTCTCTGCTGAAGACTTGAAAGGGGGAGTACTCAAGGCTGTGGTGTCAGGTTGTGTACTGGTTGTGGTAGGCTTTTGGTCCTCCTCGTTCTTTACCTCAGCACCCTCCGTTCTTTTACAACCTGCACTCCTGAGGAAGTCAGTCTTTGCGCGGACCTGTGGATCAGCTGCGATTTCGTTGTCAAACTCCTTGGGCCATGGGACCGCGAAAATGAAACTCGAGCTACCTCTCCCCGTCCTTTGTCTTCCTCGCACCAAGGACATGAGCAAGGAAATCGAGTGTGACCCCGTGAGGCTTGTTCACCGGTTCGGCCACCAGAATATCAGTATCCCCATGGCTTGTCTTGGCCGCAAAAGTGTCTTCATTCGATTCATGACATGGTAGTAGACCGGAGGAGGCATGCGAGGAGTAGATAGGCCATCCGCTTTGAAGGCGAGACCGCCCATCGTGTATGTTCTTTCAGTTGGTGTATTGAGAATATTTTTCAGAGTAATGTTTGTAAGTAGATAATGGTTTGCAAGACAAGAACTTCTACCTCAGGTATGACTCGAAAATCTTTGCCTGTTTGTCGGTGCCTGAGCCAAACATTGCGGCGGAAGGCGGCACCAGCGGGCATCCTGTGAGTCAAACAACGAACCTATTGCTTTGTCACTGCTGCCCTTGACCTTGGTCATAGCAACATGTTCCTCGAGGCAGTTCTTTTCCCCGATTATCGGTCAGCGGTAGGACAATCCGGGGTGTTGAGCGTGTGCATGATGAATTGAAGTGCCACAGCAACCTCGACCGAGATAGAGGCATCATGAGCTCACCCACTCACCCACTCACTCCTGGCCGTTGGTTGCAATTGGTGGTCTCCAGCGGCTCGCTGACTCCCTGACAGCCCACAACTTACCTAAGGTAACTATCGAAATTTCAATCCTGCCATTCTCATCGTCGACCGGTACTTCTGCATTTCCTATCGATTTGGAAAGGGAGCTGTGCCATGCTAAAGTGCGATGTCCCCATTACAGTGGCCGAACTCTGCACCCCGGGTGGAATATGGCAGTACAGAGCAAGCCTAACATGACCTAAACATGACGGCAGCAGGCCCTGAGCGATGCTACCTGAAACCTCTTGGGCGTTGCGAACCGGCCACAATCCACAGACATCACAGCCCACCAGCCTGATGCAGCCTCCATGAGCCGCCCATGGCCTCCTAAAAACGTGGTATGGACTACTGACTGGTTCCAACTTAATGGTCCGGGCAGCCTATCGTCTGCCGGAGATCGAGAGACTCGAGACAGTTCTAAGTTAGGGACCCCTTGGGATGCCTAACTGGGGCTTGAAAGGGTTGTTCTGTTTCCCCGGTTGCCTGCGTTTTTCTTTCTCGAGACTGCGACAGATTGCATTGTCACCATTGCAACTGCGTCGCTGGATCCAACAACTTCCTCTCACGTAGGATGGTATAGCCCGAGTCTCTCCTCCGCATTTCATATCTCGGCATCCGACATCCCAGGGTTTAACGCGTCTCGCATTTGGCAGACCTGCTCCATCCTAAGACGCCGATATGGTACCCGCTGCCTCGACTTCAGTCCTCTCCCTCGTCCTGCTGTTAGCCCCTCGGCTCGCCTGCGCAACATGTTACTGGCAGAACAGCACCCTCGCTCCCGACGACCCATACTCGATAGCTCCAGACGACACAGCATGTTTCCCGGATCAAGACAATTCGCCTTGTTGCGGAACAGGATGGACCTGTCTCTCAGACGGAGTGTGCTATATTCGCGAGGACGGAACGGACTTTTATTACCGGGGAACGTGTACAGACCGCACCTGGGACAGTCAGCAATGTCCAGGATGGTGTTTTGCTCAGAGTAAGTCAAGATTACGTTAGGGATGCCTCGAGCCACGCTTCAGAGATGTTGGCGCTGATTCCTCATGGGGATTCTTGCCGCCTGACTGACCCCCTCATCAATGGCAAGACGTCAGGTGCTTGCGTTCGAATGGGGAGTGCTCTGGCCAGGAGTGTTGTGCATACCAGTCTAGCGCTCCCGCAAACATACCTTCTTATGCTGGCATACGAACAGTACGCTAACCTTGCTCTGTAGACTCTAACACCTCGATACCGCTTGCCAAATGCGACACCACTCAGGATTGGGTAAGTCTGCTCCCCGAAGCTGCATATCTCACTCAAGAGCCCTACAACACCCCTTCTTTGAACAATGCGAAGGCTGACCGTTATTGAATCGCAGTTTTGCTGTCCCGGAGACGCGGATTGTAGCTGCGATACCGGGAAGAATGTCGTCAAGCTAGGAGCGACTCAACCTTCCACAGTCACTGTAATCGGAAGCACAAGCTGGCCAGGCTACACCAGCACCACGACACCCTTCACAGCCAGTGACCTTGTTTCAGAAGGCACTACCACAGACACAAATACGCAAGCTGCTACCACCTCATTAGCAAGCGGCACGAACTCCGTAACGACAACAACGGGATCTCCCAGCGCTACCGGAAGTGCTGCCGCTGCCTCTGCTTCTTCGAGTACGGCGGCGGTGTCCAGTAGGTCAGGATCGAGCAACACAGGTCTCGCTGCCGGGTTGGGGGCCGGATTAGGGGCAGCTGCCGTTCTTATTGGCGTGCTTGTATTCTTTCTGCTCCGGAACCGGCGCAAGAAGAACGCTGCTAAGGTGGGATCACACTCCGGCTACGACGGCATTCCAGGCAGCAGTGCCACGATCCAAAAGTCCTTCTACTCGGACAGGCAGCCTGCTGCACCGTACACCGACAATGCTTCCATGCTTGGCGGTACACAATACAAGCCTGAGCTGGCCGGTCAAGGAGAGCACGACGTGTCTGAGATGTCTTCGGAAAGTCAAGGTCAAACCATATATAAAAACCAGCACCGAGCGGAACTTGATGCTTCATGACGCTAGGAACAGTCGAAGCGGGCGTTTATTGTGAAAATGGAGTTTGCGCAAGGTGCTTACTGCTGTGCGGGATTTAATAAGGAAGCAAATGGCACAACAGCTTCGGGGTTTCCCAGCAATGTGTCCCTTGTCCGTTTGCTTTTCATTCCAGATTCGTTGTTAATGCCGTCCGAAGCTCTCGTTGGGTGACGATTTCCAAGAAGCTCTGGCGTCTTGGCTGGTGCTGCATGCCCGGAAAGCATTGGCCACTGACCAGACCAAGAACAACCTCACGTAGTGAGTCAGCACTTACTACATTACTACGAGCTCGTACCTCTCGCCGCGTCCGGCATCACGGCCCAGATCATCCCACGCAATACCCTCCAAAGGCCATCGGGCGTTGTGTTCCGTTGCAGCCTCCAGTCATAGTACAGAGAAATGCAACTGGGAGTTCCTTTCAACTTTTCTAGTGTTCTTGAGTGATACCAATCGTTGGCATCTACTCGTGCATCGACCGAGGCGGGAAAATGCACTATTTGGGAAGCATGCATGATGTGTCAGCAAGCACCCACCATATCAATTGGCTGAGGGATCCTGGACGAGTGGTAACCTTCAAGTCCGGGTGCTCGTAAGCGTCGACTCGTTACGAACCTCGCAGGGTCACTTCGTCTTCAAACCACCTGGGACATACTGCCGACCCTCAATGGCCTCCAGTGGCTCGAAAATGATCCCAGGAGGGCCTTATGACTGGTCAGTCCTCTGCTGCCTACAGCATGGCATGATTTGGTAAGTTTTGGGTAAGACGAGCGTTGTTAGAAATTGGCTATGGCAGATATCATTGACAGAATTCCACCCTATTCTCCTCCAAGCTGAATGGTCGCCCATTCCGCTTGTCACGATTTTTGGAAGTTCTCAGCCTCTCTTGCACACTTGAACACCTAAGATCAAGACATCTGCCCAAACAACTACTCTGTCGGGCGTGATCAGTGGCGGCGAGCGAAAATCAACTCGGACTAACATCCTCCTTCGCACCTCCGGAAAGCCGCGTACAAAGACGTCTATCGTCGTGATAGCTACACTCATCAATCAACAAGACGAATTGATCTATTTTCCCTTTCGGGTCCAGGGGTACCAACCCTCTTACTACTAGTCCTTCAAGTTACAGTATTGACGTCGTGCCGTCGACACATCGAATCGGTACACCAACAAACATTTATACTAGTACTTACGTATTTCACCTCTCGGCCATCTCACTTTCTTGAAAGGTCTTTCTGCAGGACTTCCCAACAATGTCCAGCGATAGCCTCAGCACAACATCGTCCCGCTCGTCCCGCTCATCATTCCACATCGACATGCCCAGCAAACCCTACCCAGACACAGCAGCCACTCCCACTCCCACTCCCACTTCCGCCATCACCACGCCTTCGCCCAACCCGCAGAATCCCATCAGCACATCCTGGCACGCTCACCCGGCGCACCTGCCACACATCCACATCGCGACGCCGCACCCTCTGGCGGCAGCGACGCAGTATCTGGACAAGCATGTTGTCCCCGTCTTCGCCAAGCACCACCAGGAGTACGTCGTGAATCGGGACATCCGGGCCGCCAAGCGCGAGGCCCGGCAACACAGCCTGGTCGACAGTCCGATCCCGGAGCTCGACGATGACGACGACGACGGCGACAACAACCGTCACAACGTTGTCAATGCCAATAGTAGTACGGCGGCGGCAGCGGGTTTGGCCGACTTGGGACAGGGTCAGGGTCAGGGTCACGCTCACGCTCACGCTGAGGCTGCGACGTTGGACAATGATGCGTGGCAGGCTATCTTGGCCAAGCGCGAGGCCGCCAGGTTGCGCTCTGGGAGCGACATCTCGAGCGGCGAGAGTGCCTTCTCCCACGGCCCGAAGTGATGAAAGGCGGGAGGCAGAGAGGGGTCGAAGCACGATGACTCGCCTGCCACGACCCCTTACACCGGACCCACGACTGAACCTAGGGTCGGGTTTAACTTGGTTGTTGATACTTGCCCAAGTCTACGGAGTACCACCATCAAGTAATGATGAAGGCTGAAGAAGACGTCCGACAATCGCAAACTCGCGTTCAGAGTGCAGACTTTGGGGACAACGAGTCTTTCTGGATCTTTTCCAGTTATGGCATCGATATGCGATTATGAGATGGAACGAGCCAAAGATTAGTGCGAGCAGTCAAACGCAAATATTCGCGTTCCTTTCGAGACTGTGAAGGCAAGCCATGCTGCGGTTCGTCGGCAATGCCGTGTTATTGAAATTCATATATAATGAATGCATCATGAAACCAACCAAGCGCTCGGGATTCTGAGAATGTCCCCAGCCCAAAAATGAACACTTCATATCCCAATTCCTGAATACCTAGTAGTCCTGGTGAGTCTCCCAACTCCAAAGCGCCTGGCGATCTTCTGCTGTACACCCCTGGCTGGACCCATTCATAACCTCATAATATCATGTAGAGCAGTGATTTTATGCCTCCGTCTCGACGACTCTATACCCTTCGGCCAATTTCTTCGCAATATCTTCGTTCTTGTGCTGCAGCAGTGACAATGCATATGCGGTATCGTCCCATTGCCGCTTGTTTACACATCGGCCGAGTCGAGCAGCAAGCTTCTCGGCCAGGTTCTTTGCGTGCTTATCCTGCGGGTATAATGTCAGTATCTGGTCTGGTGAATATTGCCGTGTAAATACTGGAAATGCTGGGCAGGATGTTGGAGTATGAGGTCAGTTTCATCACCACCCCGAGTAACCGAATTGGGAATATGTGCTTCTTGGTTGTGCATTTGCCCACAGTTGTTCCACATCCTGGCTCCTCAGATCTTCCAGCTCTTGGATCGCCCATATAGAAAGAAAACGAACGTACCTTTTCAATGAATCCACACAAGAACTTCAGGACTCTCTTGACAGCCTCCTCTTCCATGACTCCACCATCCAAAGGACCTTCCTGGGTAAGTACGCTGAACATATCAACAAACTGATTGTACACAGCGTTGTCCTTGGTCGCTAACTCGGTGAAAAACATGCGTGCCAGGTCTGCGATCTTCTTGTCTCCATCTTCGAGACATTTGGCCATCTCACCCAATTGACCCTTCACTTTGACTTGTCCAGCTAAGATCAGGAAGGTCAACGTCATCAAGCAGGTCCGCTTGACACTCTCATCCGCATCATTCAGGCGTCTGTACAAGAAATCCGTGTTCTCGTCGATAAGGTGGTTGAAGCAAACGGCCATGTCACCTAGTGCTATCACAGCATTCGATCTGACGATGGGGTCGGTCGACCGCTCGAGAATAGTGATCAGAAGCGGTAGGTTCTTCTCGCAGTACTCGCTACTGACACACATCAGCTTCGCCAGACACAGAGTCGCTTGAGCTTGGAGCTCGCGGTCTTTATATGCTGTGTTGTTGGCGCAAATTTCCGTCACCAGGGGTCCGAAGTTTGCCAGCAAGGAATTTGGCCCATAAAGAAGCTCTCGTTCTCGGATATGAGCAATGGCTTCGGTGAAATCGTCTTCAGTTGTGCCACCAATCATGTCAAGCTCGTCCTTTTCTTCTTCTTTTTGCTTCTCAGCCAAAACTTCCTCGGCAGCCGTCTTCTTCCTGCGAACAGGCGTCGGCCCAGAAGATTTTTCTGGTGAGGGATTGTTAATAGGCTTGTTCTTTTCTTGCTCCTGTTTTCGTCGCTTGAAGTCGAGCTCACACAGTTCCAGATGAACAATCTGTTTGACCGCAATATGGCCGACTGTGAATAGCAACTCTGATAGAGCAATCGAGGGCTTCTCTTGTCCTGCCTTCGGTGCTTCCGATTGTTGTGGGTCAGATTCTGGGTTGGGTGCCTCCTCTTCGTCGTCAACATCCATGGCATCAGGCTCTGGTTCCGGACTTGGTGTCCTTGACAGCGAAGACAAGTTCTTCGTCTGTTGGAATACGAGCCTAGTCTTCTGTCTCAGGACTTCAGAGCACAAGCTGTCGGGATGATCTGACAGAATATAGATGGCTCCAATTGCTTGCTCTGCCATCCCATACCAGTCTTTGCTCGCTGAGGTGGTCAAGAGGATTGAGGCGAGCATTTGCAACACCTCGTGGTTATTGGGCATTCTCGATAGCCCCGCTGAAGCAGTCTTTTCTTGGGATTTTTTGGCAGCCGGGACCATGCGGCGGAGTGCAACACAGGTAAACTTGGCCAGAACAAAGTCCTGCCTTCCAAGCTGCCCTAAACCGATCCTCAGCATGGTGTCGATCTCTTTGATGACAACTTCGGGATTGGCAAACGCTATCATTCCGAGCACGATGATGGCACCTCTTCGCTGGGCCCTGGAGATCTCCTTGTTCACTCCGTACACCTGCCACAGCTTCGACACTACCATGTCAGAAATGTGACCGGCTTTGAACATGGTAGCCAACAGTTGTTCAAGTGAAGTCAACTCCGCCGGCGTTGCGCCAAAAGTCAAGCTGATCATGTTCCGAGCGACGAAATTTGCGGCATCATTGGGGCTGAACATGTCAGGGGCGTCGAAGAACAGGCCTCTGTAATTATCGATCAAATGGGTTTGGACTCCTTTTCCCTCGTCGCTGTTGCTTTTGGTCCATATCAGGCGTAGCATGCGTCGGATGCCCTTGCGAGCTGTTTCGACCTTGAAAGCATCAATGGTCACAAAAAAGTCCATTACATCGATGACCTCGGTCTTGTTCGGCGACGACAATAACTGGACTGCAATCTCAGAGGCATCGTGAATCACGTCGATAAATCTCAGTGCCTCCAGGTAGTATTTGCGAGTCAACTGGAGCTTGCCCAGGACTTCAGACGTCGCCGCCTCTTCTTGAGTCTTCTTGAGCGCCTCGATCTTCTTCTCCTCCGTCATCTCGTTCATTTGTTCATCGGCATTCTGGGAGTCGGGGTTCTGCGTGGCATCATCCAGAAGTGCTTCGTCGACTCTTTGTTCTCCATTGGCTGTCTGCGCCACACCAGGCGATTCTGGCGGAGGCTGCAGGGCGTCCAACTGAGCCTCGACGGCATCTAGTCGATCCACCCAATCCTTGCGCGAAAGCTGTCCGCCATGCATCACGCTGAATGGATGCGAAGCGACGAGCTTCCTCAGCAGTTTAACCGCATTTCGCCGCACATTGCTGCTTTTGTCCTGCAGACTCTGCATCGCAAGTTCTGCAGCATGTTGTCGTCGCTTCGGAAATTTCTGCTCCAAGTCACAGATTTTGGTAAAGACTTGAATGGCTTTGACTCTGCAAAAAGGAGCAGTATCCAGGAAACGTTGTTCCAAGGTGTCGAAGAAGGCATTGATCTGGATCTTGGTGGTTTCGTTCTTCTCTTCTTGCTTGCTCAGATCAGCCAGCAGATTTCCGCAGACTTCGATGACCGCACATCTCAGAGTATACGACTCGCTGTCAAGGAACTTGGCAAGCAGACCCATCTCTTTGATCACTAGTCGCGGCTCGAGTTCAGACAGCTTGATAATGAACGCTGATACCGATTTTGGGCCCTTCGTGTCGCTTTGGCTGAACTCTTTTGCTGCCAACTCTCTAAGGATTTCCGCGGACAGTTGGTGATGGTCGTATTGTTCAGCTAGAATGTGGAGGAATTCGGACATCGGCTCAGACAGATGCTCAAAATATGTCAGGTTCTGCACGATTGATGTCTGCGCTCCCAGAGCATGTCCATGGTGCTTGACAGCCACACAAAGCACCTTGAAGCAGAACATGCGGACTGCATTAATCTTCACTCTCGCCTCGCTCTCCATGATTAGGTATACGGACCTTGTGAATAGGTTGATGAAGGTGTCCCTGTCGGAAGTGGTCTGGAAGATCCTGTTCAACTTGAGCTTCATGGCTCGACACATAACATCCATGGCGCTCTGTATTTGGCCAGCTGAATCCCAAGCATCTTCCTTTGCAGCCGATTTCGATTTTGCACCTTTCCCCCCTCTTCTTGCCGGAGCTGTAGTTGACTTCTCCAGCGCTTTCGCCTCGACTCCAGAAATAGCCCATTGAAGCAGAAAGGCGTACATCTCAAGGAGTCGCTTGTGTTGGGGTATTGTCTCTTGCTCGTCATTCTCGATATCGTGATTTGCAACTTCTGCAGTATTCGAGAGGCCGGAAACGATCAGATGGAGGATCTTGCCCAGTGACTGGGTGGAAAGGGCCGAAGATTGTCTAGATGAGTGAAACAGTTCAGCATGGGAATCCTGGGATAGCTTCGTAGCAGAAAGGGAGGAAAAGGGTGCACACTTTAACAAAAACTGTAGGGTATCAAAGACCGAACTTCTTGCCAACGCTTCAGGGTTCTCTGCGATTGCGTCTATTACTGGGTCCAGCACATTGTTAACGAGGGGCGGTGTGAGACTCTCGGGATCATTCTCGCAGTCGAGCAATTCGGGGTTGGCATCTGGCGTCGGAATGGTCGCTGCATCACTGAGATACAGCTTCAGGGACTCGTTAATGTCGAACTCGATCTGGTCGTCCATGGTGTCGCTGTTTTCTGGAAGCAAGGGTGCGGTCTTGACTGAGGTGCGCACCTCTGTATTTGGTAGGGTTGGCAGAAAGGTGAAACCTCACCAGAGCGGTGTAGGTCACCGAATAATTCCTCGGTCACTGGTGGTCAAGAAGGATAAACCTCACGCACGGTGAGCGAGTCGACAACACTTGAACACATTGGTATCTCGAAATCTTAGCAACCTTGGATGCGCCCGCGTGGTAATTGGTTCAAAATTGGCGATTGTTGACATGTTCCCGATAAAGCCACCCCCACAAAAACATCAATGAAATTAAGCAGGTCCGCTAGAGGCGTCCTACGGTCTCTGCGACCAAGGGCGGCCGATATAAAGTCAACAAAGTCAACAAAGTCTCCTAGATCCTCTAGAAATTCCAAAACGCGATACAATGTCGTTCTAACGTCTGTCGACGCGTCGGAAGCTGAAGAGGAAGGAACTGTATCTTCGCGTCGTCGACCGGGTGAATTTGAGGTGCAGCGGCCCGCCGCAGGAAACTCTGCAAGTGCATGCATCCTGGGCAAGAGGCGGGGACACGAGGCCAACGATATGGGACACCCTAATATTGCCATCCACGAGGATCCAGACGAAGTTTTCCATGATGCTCCTCACTCACAGCATCTGAGGGCTAAGGGGATGGGTCAAGGACATTATGAGGACGATGACGAGTCTATGGACGGCTCCTGCTCAGAGGACTCAGAACACAGTGAAGATGAGGTCGATGAGAGTGTCATGGAGGACATGCATAAGTTGGAAGAGAGCTTCAAGGGGATTTCTCAGAAGTATAGACTCATAAATCGCATCGGCGAAGGTGAGCTGCTCCTCTCGCCTCGATGTCGCTATCCACTCACTGTCCGCAGGTACATTCTCGACTGTATACAAAGCCGAACAGCTCCCTCAACCGGACGACTTGGACGTAGAAAATGACGAAGTAGGCGACCAGTTGGATGAACAACTGCCACCATCTAAGAGGCGAAAGACAAATACTGCGAGCATACACCCACGCTGGCGACGGCGACCGCAGATTGTGGCGTTGAAGAAGATCTATGTGACATCGTCGCCGCATCGGATCCTGAACGAGTTGGAGCTTCTTCACGAATTGCGAGACTCCCCATATATTTGTCCGTTGTTGACGGCATTCAGGCACCTCGACCAGGTCGTTGCCGTGCTGCCTTACTTCAGGCACCTCGACTTCCGACTATACTATCGAGATTTTCTGGTCAACGATATGCGACACTACTTCAGAAGTCTGTTCAACGCGCTGTGGCATGTCCACAAGGCTGGGATCCTGCACCGAGATATCAAGCCCACCAACTTTCTCTACGATCACTCTAAACGACAGGGCGTCCTCGTCGATTTCGGGCTTGCTGAGCGCCAAGGCACTGATTGGCAGGCATGTTTATGCACGGAGCAAAAAGAGAAGCGGAAAGAAAAGTTTCTCAACTCTTTTGCGGTGCAAGTGCTGCAGACACAGCCTGATCTACAGTCTAACGGCTTTCCGAAGAATGACAGCCGTCCATCAAGAAGGGCGAACAGGGCTGGTACACGTGGCTTTCGTGCACCGGAAGTCCTATTGAAATGCACTTCCCAAACCACCAAGATCGACATCTGGTCCGCTGGTGTTATCCTTCTCACACTTTTAGCACGACGATTCCCGTTCTTCAACAGCGCCGACGACGTTGACGCCATGATCGAAATGGCATCTATTTTTGGTCGAAAGAAGATGCAGGGGGTGGCTGCCATGCATGGCCAATTGTTCGAAACAAACATCGAGACAATTGGGGAGCGTGGGTTTACGCTCGAGAAGATTGTTCTGTGGGCAAGTTGCCGAGAGAAAGAACATGACCAGCTCAGGGCTGGGGAAGATCAAGCCGTCGCATTCCTCCAGGGCCTTCTGGAGCTCGATCCTACCAAACGGTGGAGTGCGAAAGAAGCACTACAGCATGAGTTCTTCACGTCTCCTGTCGAAGATGAAGAGGAGCGTGCAGAGCGGGAAGCCCAGGAGACCATTGAGGAGCACGAAAGAATGAGACAACGCTAGAGCTGTCGACTTCCATTTCATTCAATCCTCGCCTGAGATGTTGAACGATGCCTCATTAGTAGATGGCAGCGTTCGAAATGGTTTATGCATTCAATGACGGAGTGGTTGAACTGTATTCTTAGCAAGCTATATACCCCTGGAGCATGGCATGGCGTGGCGGGGCATTGCAAGGCGCCCCTGACGTGAACGAACAGCATGTCTGGGTTTTGACGAGATGAGAACTTGAAATGTCTAGAATATTACAATAGGCACAATCTAATATCACTGCACACATGGCCGCTACATTTCCGGATGCAATTGCATCCAAAATCGGTGATGGGGGCGTTGAATGTTGATGTCATTGTCGACCGCCAGGCAATACGAGGGATCCAGCGCAAAAGTCGATAAGAATTTATGGAGCTGGGCAAAGCATTTTGAGCTTCGAGATATGAGTTCCAGTATCTTTAAGCTTCCGAAGAACCTCGATAAGCGCAGCAGAAACTGCTCTCCTGGGCTATAAATCATAAGTATCCAGCTAAATATGAAGTTCGAATCATCGTGAGAGCGACTCCGATAAATGATGAAAATCTCGCATGGCGCATCTTCATTTCCAAAGCTAGACATTCGAGAGGCACTTGTACTTCGGTCGACACCAGAGTATCTGCACCGGACATCAAAGCAAAACACAAACAGACAAAGCAGTACTTTGCGAAGCGCAATCCGAAGCACTTCAGGTCGAGGTGTGCATATTTCCTGCTCAGCACCTCCAACGAGCTTTCAACACCGATTCGAAGGGGTCCCATTCATAGGGTCGAGGTCAATACCAATTACAGGACTGGTATCTGCATCGAGGACAATGTCTACATCGATACCCCTGTCAGAGGAACCCAGGCGACCACCAAAACGGTTCGCACCGCTCGACCCAACCGTCCAGCATGGCAAGGACCTACCCAAGCTGAAGGGCGTTATATTCGATGTAGACGGAACACTATGGTAAGCCCGCCTTGCTTCGGTTCATTTGTCTTTGCTCAGTATAGCTAATCTTGCCTGATCGGCTATCTAGCCTCCCGCAGAACTACATGTTCCGCGAAATGCGCTCAGCTCTGGGCATCCCCAAATCCGTCGACATCATCGACCACATCCGCTCTCTGTCCAATGAACCCGATACTACCACTCCTAGTTCCACTCCTGAGGAACAGTCCACACCAGCGCCGGAGCCACGGTCACCCACGGACCCAAGTCAGCCACCATCCGAGGAGATGCTCTCGCCCACCAGCAATGACGATCCCGATCCGTCACTTACTTCACCCCAGGCGCGCGCCGTTGCCACGATCAAAGCTATCGAGCGCCGCGCCATGTCGTCCCAGCGACCCCAACCCGGACTGCAGGAATTAATGGCTTACCTTACCCGCCGCGGCGTCCGAAAGGCGCTGTGCACGCGTAATTTTCCCGCGCCAGTTCATAACTTGCTTAGCAACCACCTACCGGAGGAGGAGTTTCATCCTATTGTCACGAGGGAGACCGAGGGCATCCTGCCAAAGCCTAGTCCCGAGGGGTTATGGACGATAGCGCAGGAATGGGGATTGGATAGGGAGGCAGGTGAAGAGAGTTTGGCCTCGATTGCGATTGGTAAACAAGGTGAGGTCGATCCGCTGGAGGTGACGAAGCAGGTTCTAGGTTCGGGATTGATCATGGTCGGGGACAGTCTGGATGATATGGCGGCGGGCTATCGGGCTGGTGCAGCGACGGTGCTGTTGGTTAACGAGGAGAATGAGGCGTTGAGTAAGCATGAGTATACGGGGTTGAGTGTGCGGAGGCTGGATGAGTTGATTGATATTCTAGAAAGAGGGTTTGAGGAGACGAGATGAGTATCAATTGCATGTGGTAGCTACCAAGGTAGTACGACTTGCCTTTTTCCTATGCTGTTCGAGGAGAGCTTGAGATGGTTTCTAGTTTATGCAGCAGCGTGCGAGCGATCTCGTAAGCGATATGCTGTGATCAGAATGGTATGCGAAGCTAGACATTCGCGTGTGCTTGTCGCGCATCCGGCTTACAGAGCACGTGAATGCAGTCATACCTCTCTGACACTTGAGTTCAAGAGTGCAGCACGCTGTGCGGCACCAACATTTTCTCCTGCATGAATTTTTCATGTTTGGATAGCACGAATACCGGAGGTAGTGGGCATGGTAAGAGGCGATTCGTGGATCTCAAGAGATGCGCTGGCAATCATAAATGCAGCGTCACCCGTAAAACGAGGTCAAGGGACGAATAAGAATGGGAGAACAATCGCTGAAACTGGTCGTCACCTTATCCGTGCCGTCGCCTGTGCAACCACATTTCTTGGGGACCGTCATGCGCCCATCATGGGACTCAAAAGACTTTCGGCCGTGGCTTGGTGCTGGAAGAACAACGGCTTCCCGTGGTGGAGACTGCGGATGGCGGTAAAGGCCCGTAGCTGGGCTCGCTGGTGGCCATTTGTCCAGCCAACCGTTAAACCGGATCCTCAGTTGGTGGTGTTGATATTTTTAAGTCGTAATGACATATTATTTCCGAGTCGCAGGGCACAATCTCGAGGCGGTCAACGATGAAGTAAAGCTCGCTTGGACTCGGCGCCTACCAGTGTTCCTCGATCGAATCGCCACCAAGAACTATGTGCCGGTCATGACTGATGATCAATGAAGAGACCAGGGCATCGAAGAAGTAAACTCTTTGAGCACAGAGGAAACCTGATAATCCTAGCATTTGAGAAACTCTTTTTCGAGGTGCGGAGCGATAGCCGCAGACAGATCTGTGCGAGATAAGTACTTGTAAAAGACCTTTTGAAGGAGCTTGGGCCGGCCGCTGTCTAACGATAACCATAATTTGACCCGGATGAAGCTCTTGCATTAGGATCAGTTTGGATCTGGTGAATGAGATGGAGTTCGTTGATGGAAGTTGAGCTGAACATGGATGCGGGCGCCAGTTGTGAGCTAGACAGGCATAGACATAGGCTCGTTAACTTAGGCCTTTGAAGCCCAGTTCCTGGTCGGCGTGGCGTGTTATGGGCATGCTGACTGGCCCCCGAAGCAAGGAGGGCCGGCCAACGGCGCCTTTCGCCTGGGTGCTCCATCTCCATCTCACCTGCGCATCTTTCAATCCCAGCTGTGAGTACGGAGTAACCCAACATCTACATCCACCTTCACCTGCTCGCTTCAGCTTTTCCATTTTCCGACTTGTCCTGTCTTGTATCTGCTTGTCGATTGAGCCCTTGTTTCCCGCCAGAGATACCCGTGAGCGTTGTTGGCTTCCTTTCTCGTTCAAGTCGACGTCCTCAGTCAAACAGGTGACGATTGTCTCAAACGGACCCTATCAACAAATTCCCAGCCTCACAATTCTTCGGCGCTCCTATCCCTAATCACCTGTTCGCTCGTTCACTCCGGCGAAATCTGTTTCGGTGTCTGCGAAGCATTCCTCTCCTTCACCGATCTCACTCCTACCGCTCCATCACCAGTAAATAATCCTCGCGAATAATACCGACACTGCTGCAGGCTTTGTTTACAACCTGCGGGAAGCCTCACCCTAGCCCCTCCTTCACCAACGACCATGGCAATACACTGCACCCAGAAGTAAATATCTTTACGGTATAAGAGTGCATGCGCAATCAAATCCGCGCATGCCCTCAATGAATCAGCGCAGTTGAGGTCGCTTCAGAATGGGCTTTACTAGTCGACGCCCAATTCTGCCTGCGCCTACCGACTCCGAACTAGGACCAACTGACGATACTGGACTGGGAACGGACATTGGTACCGATCTCTCGCGGCGAAGTGACAAGACCTCAGATACAATTCCAGACGACGGGACTCCAATCACCATCACTACTGCTCCCAAACACAAAACCACCGGCAAACTCACAAAGACCCGGCAACAATCCCAGACTTCTTTGCTTATTGAGTACTTTGAAGCTAGCAAGGCCTCAGAATCGGGAACGAGACGACCCAGCTTGCGTGTGCGATACACTCCCTCACATTCGCGAAAGAATAAAGAGAAAGGAGAGGGACACATCTTGGTCACGGAATCAAAGTCTGCACGGCGCCCTTCGCAGAGTCACCGCATTGTCCTCGGTGGCAACGAATCTCTAGTTGAGAACCCCGTCACGAGCAGTATCAGTTCCTTGGGTCCTGCTGAGGACCTTATACCTGCTGCACCTGTTGAGGTTGAAGTCCTACACGACAGCCGCAGCGAGCTTTCGGATTCGACCTCTTCTCCGGGACCAAGATACTTCGAACCAGAATCGGAGATTTCGTCCATGCCAGCTGAAAGCTCTCTTGGGCCAGATCAACCTATCAGCATGGCACCATCCAACCAGACCGGAAGCGTCGCAAGGGGTAGCTCTTACGATGGAGCCACCCTCAAACCACCTGTCATCCTGGCCGACCGCAATTCAAGCAATGAGCGCATTACGCAGAAGGTGATCCAAAAGCTCAGCAACAAGCCTAGAGTGTCTGTCGGTGGGAAGCGCCACTCCAGCGGTCATAGTGGCAGCCGCAGCAGTGTTAGCAGAGAGGCGGAAGCAGGAAACCATGAAGCACGGATTCATGTTACCAAGCCTGTAGACGACGACTCCGTTCCAAGCGCAACCGGTTCTAGCCTTGTCAGTGGTTCTCATTTGTCTGCCGACCCTCGGCCAGCCGATCAGCGTTCAATCCGTTCAGGTGCCTCAAATGTTTCCATTACGAATAACCCGAAACTACTACAAACGGTTGAAGATGCTATCAGGCGGCTGATACTCCCCGAGCTCAATGAGCTAAGGCGGGATCAAAAACACTCGCATCGTTCACGCCATGACAAAGTGAGCGATCCCTCTGACATTTCCTCAAGTACCATCTCTCGCGAAGACGCATCACGACGCAAATCGTCAGGAAGCAAGTCGAAGCGTCGTGTGAGCCGCGACTCCGAGTCGGGGCTGCCTTCAGGATCCTCCCGGCGCCATAGACACCACAAGACCGTCGACTACGATTCGCCATCCGAGCAAAGCTACGAGCAGTCGGAGTCCATCGACAGCAACAGCGTTCGTGATGAGAGGAAGTCACGAAAACATCGAAGTCATCGGACCCGCGATGCTGCTGCAGGGGCGCTCGGTGCCGCAGCCCTCACCACGGCTGCTCTGAAGTCGCATGACTCTGGCTCGAGTCTGGAATATTCCGAGAATCGCAGAAGGAGAGAAAGCAAGAGCAGAAGCAGCCGGACTGCCAGTGCCACAGAGAAAGAAGATGCGTTTCATAAACACCATGTTCCGCCTATGCCGTTTGTGAGCGAGATAGGGACGGACCTTACTCGCAGCTCGCTGCGATCCTCTAATGACGGTGGAGCTGAGACGCCGACGAGACGTGAAGTTCGTGAGGTAATACGTGGTTCCCCTCTCGAGCTGTCATCTCCTGGTTCCTATACACCTACACGAAACTCCTCCGATCTCAAACGTGGATTGGGTACCCACCACGGCAATCTTTCGGAGCATAATCTGTCCGGACATGATCTCTCATCTCGAAAGGAAGTGCCGAAGGAAGATGATTTCGACCACTCGCGCGAGGTTGATGACATTGACTTTGCGACACATGGCTTTGCCGCCCTGACCGACCCTGAACGAGCTCGAGCATATGAGAGAAATCTTCACCAGCAACATCCCATCAGAAGAGGACTCAGTCCGATACAAAGCGTGGCCAGCTATCAAACTACCGAGCCCAACCGCAATTCTATGATGCAACCAAGAAGCTTAGAGTCTATCAATTCATTGAAGAAGAGTCAGCAATTGGACGATCAAATATCGATATCCTCGTTGTCGTCTCCACCAAGCACCGATCTTGCGCGATCAAGGCGACCTCATGGCATCAGTTTGGAAAATCGCAGTGAAATTCTGAACCAACATGGCGGATCTGTTGAGACCACACCCCGACAGGCTGATTCGGATGTCTTTGAGGAACAACACCTGGAAAATGAGAGCTATCGCGACGCTCCCTATATTGACAAAGTCACTGCCGGACAACAAGTCGCGAAAGTGTCAGGCGCGTCTCCAGAATACATTGAGTCACCGATAGGTGTTGAATCAGCAGTCGCTTCGTTGATCGATCCTTCTGTTGTCGATGTTGGCAACCAATACTCGCCACGCTTGAGTCAAGCAGATTCTATTAGCGTTCGCGGGGTCGAGAGTCCTTACCATTCTCAGCATGGTAGCCCTCTCAAGCACGAGATATCCCATCGAAGCCTCAATAAGCGTGGCCATGCTGGTGCAATAGAAACAATGGTTTCTCCTCCACAAAGTCCTGCACGTTCAGTCGAGTATTATGATGAAACAGGGGCGAGCTCGGCTCGGACAGCCACCCAGCAACCAAGGAATGCAGCTCCTGATCAAGTTGAGCGCTCGCCTGATTCAGATATCACCACGAATCCTTCAATCATCCGTGGGCCCATTGGTGGTCTTGCACAAGGCAGTACAGATCATTGGCCATATGATCCGACACCCCCACGCTCACATGCTGAGCTTGTGCTTCCGCCAGTCAGTCGAGACATAGGCTCTGCTGGCGCCGACTTGGTCCCACAGCCTCTGTCAATCGAGCGTGACCATGACCTGGATCCGAAAGTTGATTTATACATGAAAGCGCCACCAATGGCAACTCCTCCAGGGGCTAAAGATGAGGGCTATGAGACAGGAGCAAATGCTCCATCCCCCGGTCTGTATTCCAATGGTCCTGGAGGTGCAAATGACACTTTTCCTTTGAATTCCGCTCTTGAAGACGACCCTTTCACGACTCAACGAGACAAATATGTCAGTGGCCTGTCGCACGGCCTCTCCCCTATGTATGACAGTGCCATGGGCCGTGGTCGCGACCACATCCAGTCAAAGGATATTGTTGCTCTTATGGACCATTTGACAGTTCGTGATGCTCAGCGAAATGCAAGAGACACCGAGATCTTGGTGACACTGGTTCGGAGCGCGGCTGAGATGCGCAATTCTTTTGAAGATATGAAGAAATTTATAGCTGAGCAGGACGAGATGATTCTGGACACGGCTGACAGGCAACACGAGCGGACGCAAAAGATTGTCAGTGGACCTCGACCACAGCCCACGACGCCTCATGCCACCAACTCGGCTGCATCCGAGGAAGAAATGCCTTCCAAGCGGCGGAATGTCTTCCAGCGAGCTCTTCGGGGGTTGGGCGCCAAGAACACTCAAGAGTTGCAGAACATTGAAACAATGTTGATGAGACTACTTGACGAGGTGGAAGCTCTTCGAACCATGCAACCCACCACCATCACTCAAACCCAGCCGAGATCTACCAGTCTTGCCTCTGCTGATAATGCTCAGCCTCCTACAGATACCGGGTACGAACCTGAAGGGCAAGCTGGGACTTCATCGACTGGTGACCGATCTGGATTTTTCTCCAACAACTCTTCTCGCCAAGCAGATTATCGCAGCTACAGCTTACATCGGGATGCCGGTAATCGTGTCAGCACAGTGATGGAAGGTGATGAAGAATATGACGACTACGCTGATGGTCTCGGTGGAGCCGCTGCTGGCAATGTGCAGACTGCATCGCAGGCGACCCCAACAAGGAATGATGGGGTTCGACAAGTCAGAGGGGGTTCTGTACCGTTGAACACCCCTCCTCGCACGCAGAATCAGAATGTGGCTTCGTTAAGCAATGAAAATACACCTCACCATTCGGTTGGTGACGGATCTGGACGAAAGCACAAGTCATTCACGTCATCATTCATCCCCAAGATGGTTTCACGCTGGTCTAAGACCACTGCCTCTACTGACAATTACCGGACGAGCAATCAACGAATTCGTCCTTATTCGGAAGTATCTCACTCTGGGTCTAACCTGGGAGAGTACGACTACGAGCATGATCCTCAAGGCGACGACCGCATTCGGTCGCAAGGTTCGTTCCAGCCAGAGCAATATCCGGAAGAGGAGAATCGACCACCGTCGCCATTGATTCCGAGCCAGATTTCAGACAACCCGAAATACCAGGCTCACCGAAACAGCATCAATCTTCAACATCCTCAGCCACGGCAAGGTCCAAGTGGTCGCTATCAGTCTCGACTAGAGTCAGAAGCCCAGCTTTACACTGATCAGTTGTCGCCGACTTCACAGACATCGTCTCATTGGGAGAATCATCACTCGGGACTGCACGATCCAAACCATGGGGCGGCGATGTATGGAGATCATCTCAGCCCGGTCTCTGATACCACACGTTCTCAGGAACATGGTTTGAGTCACGATAACAGAAGCGTGGCATCATCTCAGGGACCGCCACGGCCGCCAAAGATCTTGAGTGACGAGCCTTTGGTGCCTCAACGTCCGCCAAAGGTCTTGATGAGTCCACCTCCGTCCAACAGACAGCAGACCTATGTGGATCACGTGGCTGCTGCCAGAGCTGGCAGCCCCGCCTTCGACAAGGTATGTTCGCATCTTGGCTTGGATGTCTCCTGAGTGCTAACCATTGATTTTGTAGTCTCCTGTCGCAGCATTAAGATCTCCACAGAGTCAGGGGCGAAAGCCGTCCGGACCTAGACCGCTTACCACGACAGGTGGCTTGAAGGGCGATCTGAATGCTATCAAGAGGACTCGCTTCAGAGGCAGTCCAAACCAGATCGATAGTGAGGATGAAGCTGCAGCAGCATACTAATATACTTCGGGAAATGACTTGTGTGACAGAGTGAAATTCTCATGTCTGCGTGCTACATCCATGCATATGTCTTTATCCACGGAAACATGACGTGTGCCCACTGCTGGCGAGTGGAAAAGCTTCGGGTTATTGGCGTTGGTGTCAAAGATTGCGGCATGATTCTATTCGGCTCGGTGGTTAGATGAGGTTGCAATCGAGTGGACAAAGTCCTCAGCTTTTACGACGTGGGACTTACTCTTAGCCGGCGTTAGAATTGGACTGGGTCAAAAAAGAATTAGGAGCTTGGAGCGCTGGTTTCGCCTCCCTTTTGGACCGTGTTGGCTGTGAATGCGGGCGAAAATACTGAATAATACTTTCATCGGCGCACCGTTACGGTGGACATCCTCGTTTGGTCGCCGTTGTTAATGAGGCAAACTTCTCCCCTAAATCAACAGCGTTACTGCATTGCGAAGCCTACGTCTAGTTTCAGCGTATGTGACTTTCAGTTCAGGAAGGCGCGATCAGCTGGAACTGCTTACGGACAGGCATTCAAGCCGAGCAGACTTTCCTTCTTCTCTTTGATTTTATTTCCTTTCCAAATTCAAACAAATCCTCGTCCTTCAAATTGTGCTGATGAGGTCGCTTCAAAAAATGGAATCACCTCCTCCCAAAAGAATCAAGCTCTCGCGCAAAGGTGTAATCACGATCAACCTTCCCAACCCTGGCACACCACTCACTGCGAACTCGGTCGGTAACGCCCTGAAGACAGATCCACCTGCCATCTATGTTGAAGTTCAAGGCGGCGAGTTCCGCTTCAAATGCGATGCCGAGGCATTGAAGCAGTCGAGCTACTTCGCCAAGTATGTCCTGGCAGCGGGTCTGATTGCGGTTGAAATCGTCCTCACCGTTCCCGAAAGAATTGACCTCGACGACCTCAGACTCGCACTCTCACGGCTTCACAAAGACATCAAGCATCGCGATGGCAGCATTACACTCGAGCTCAAGCTTGCGGCAAAGGTTCGTGCCACAAGTATGGGAAGGCAAGGCTGCGTCGGCAAGTTTATGATTGGCCAATCGGGTTGAGCGAGGCTCTCCCAAGAAAGGGGTAATAGTTGTACTGCTCCAGGTATTCTGCCGTCTTTCACTCGCCAAGCTGCTGAGTGAACTCGGCCAACATCTGAAGGGGTTCTGCGTCAACAGACCAACCTACGAAGAAAGAGAGAGCCAGAAAAATTGGGAACAAAAAGGGCTACAAAAAACGAAAACAAGAACAAAAAATATGGTTCGACTACTTTACCTCCGTTTCATGCTAAGTTAATCCCCTCAGGGAGACCGCGCACCAAGGTAGAACATGTACAAAGTGTTCCAACCCAGGGTAGGCCCAACCGCCGAACCGTACACACAATACAAACTCCCCTTTTTTATCGGGCTGGGACTGGGACGTGGACAAGGTACCCGGAGTTCTCCTGTAGCGCCGTGAGACGTTTAACCCGGTTAGGGGCAGTCATACAGGGTTGACCGGAGGGACCGACGATTACTGAGTACGGCAGCATATCTTTGGAATTTATCTTGATTGTTGGGTGGAATTTGAGGTGGTTGATTGATGAACTATGATTATAGAGACCGGTGGAGAAGGACAGTGAAGGAGAGCTGGAAGAGGAATGATTGGAGGCTGGGAAGGGAAGTGAAGGGAAGTGAAGTGAAAGAATACCAATGATAGGCGGTGACGGATCGAGTAATGAAGATGATATGGTATGGTATAAGGTGCTGCTGGACCGGGCAACATTCTCTCCTACAGAGATCGTTTCTTCCTGGACCTTTGCCTCCGCCATATCTTCCATTCACTGGGATCGTCTTCACCATCAGATCTTCTCTGCCTTGGTCCGGACCTCGCTACAAGTTCCCCAGACGTTACATCCTTGGTCTTCGCTGGGCACTTACTCAGTCAGATGTCAGACGACAGACCATGGGAATCCCAGAACCTGCACCATTAAAAGACATGGCGTCCGGCAAGGAGAAGTGAGTCTCTCGCAGAACAGTCCTTCGAGCTGTTGAAATTTGTCTGTGAGAAACTGATCGAATTGTAGTAGGAATCCATTCACCTCGCGCATTGTGAAATTGGTCGATGAAGACGGCATCGAGATCTTGTCAGTCCATGAAGCAGTCTTGACTCGCTGTGAGGCGTTGGCAGAAGATTTAAAGCATCTGGGAACGCTCGACGAGGACTACACCATATTGACGTCACCAATTGCGAAGGATGAGCTTAATGAGTTGGTTCACTGGCTCTACATGGGAAAGCTCAGTTGTGATCTCGAAGAGTTGAAAAATCTCCCCGATGCTAGGATCAACAATGTCGTGGAGATACTGGTAGGAGTCTACAGTATAGCTGAATCGAAAAAGATGGGAGACCTTCGAGTTTGTATCCTCGACACCCTTCGCGATATCTTCGAATTTCATTCACCCCGACCGACAAGCTTGACCTGGTTCGCTATAACCGGTGGTATGGGCGCGGAAGTCAAGCCTGTACTAATAAAGCCCATTGCGGACGAGATTCGTTGGGATGGTTGGGGAGACTATCTCGCAACGCACAAGGATGTTGAAGCATACTTGAAGATTCGGCCTTCCTTTGCAGTCGAGCTTAAGGCTATGGTAGCGGACTCGCCGTAGATCAAAAAGTCAGAGCAGGATTGAAAGGTTTCATCATACATTTGGACCGTGTCAACCCGATCAGCACTTTTATCAGGGTTGACGATGACAACGGCGCCTGGATTGGACAAGGAGACAATGCTCAGGGGCTAATGCTGGGGATGATACTTGGAAACAGAAGGTCATTGTTGGCATGGTATGGATGCTCAACGGGTCACGACAGCGAGCGGCTGGATAAGCAGCGGACTGAAGCTGTCTTTGCTCAAACTCGAGGAGACAATATGGACGTCATTAGCTCTGCAGTCTTCGAAGAATTGAAAGTTGTTGATTTCGAGATGTCAAGGTGCCTTTCTTAAAATGTAGCCCAGAACCACTACTCTTCTCAACTATTCTCATGACCGAGTCACGCTAGGTGTAAGTCTTTTCGATATAATTGAAAGCATTACTAGTAAGGTGGGATTTTTGACTTCACTGTCCTGGAGATTATTCACTTCACTCTACTCATATCAGTCGTGCCCCACTGGTTTTGTCTCTGGATAGCAGTCCCTCCCTCTTCTACACCACAGAAAGCCATTCGCAACCCAGTCTCGTTGACGCACATCTTCGTGGTCCACATCGACCGAGCCTCTTGTCGAAGCATACTTTCTCCAACATCTTCGCTGAGCAAGCAGCCGCGTCACAGCTATGGCACTTGCTCGTAAAAAGAGGTGAGATCAGTCTGAGAAGTCTGGTCAATTCATGACACTGACATCCACTTAGCATCACATTCCCCAGCGATGTCGTACCTGTCACCCTGGGTCGCGATCGCGAGGGAATCGTCATCCACAAAGAGATGCTTTACCAGAGCCCCATCCTCGCGAGACAATACGACGAATTGATTCGCCTCTACCCTGACGCGTCTGAGCGCCCACCACTCGCTTTTCCAGAAATCAGCAAGCAAACGGCGGAGCAGCTAGTCAATTGGCTCTATTTTACCAATCTGTCATACACTGCGGCGGATTTGGCGAGGACTGGAGAGGAATGCTTGAAGACCTGTGCAGAAATTATCGAAGCGTATCAGTTCGCCATTGGCCTGCAGCTCGAAGAATGGGCGAATGCGCTCCTCGATGCCTTCTGCAAGGCCGCGATGGAGGATATGCCATGGATCAAATACTGGGTTCGGCTTAAGGAGGCGCAGGCTTACGACGAGGGCTTGAGAGACCTTGTCATGGCGTTTCTGGCTATTGCAATCCGGAAGAGCGGTTGGGAAGTCTACACCAAAGAGGTCAACACCGAGCTCGTGGAAACTATCAAGGCTGATGGTGAATTTGCCGTGGAGCTGTGCAAATGGTTGTTGCATAAGGAGGACGTTGCGGTCGAGGTGAGGCAGAAGAAGAAACGCTGCAGGTGGCATGTTCACCAATTCACCAAGAAGTGTGGAGGAAAGGCCAACGACGAAGAGGACTAGCTACTAGTACGCTGGAAGATTGAGTCGAGAGGAAGCAGAGGATCGACACTTGGGCGGTTGGACCAAGTTCATTGGATAGTGGCTGTGTCGCGGGAAAGTCTTTGTATGTGGCGGACACTGGATGTCATGAGTACGTAGAATAATTGAACAGGCGGAGCGTATTCCGGCAGCTGCTTCGGAGCCTTACTGTTGTGCCTTCATACATCGCTTCCTTTCAGGTCGTATTTCCAGCCCATCTATATCAAAGCATTTAAGCTGTCTTCCTGACGATAGCGACCGGTCCCACATATGCGTGCCTTGCACGAAAAATGAAGTAGGTCAAGGCCAACAGGAGCACACCTCCATACACAGCGATCGCCCAGTTCATCGACGCAGCTGGGGGGTTCGGGATCGGTGGGAAGAACGCGAAGACGTAGACAACGGCGCAGAAACAGAGGGAAGCGATGTTGATGGGCAACCCGGCCTTGCCGAGGTTCATCTTCGATGGAAGAAGAGGCTGGCCGCGGAGTCGTCTCAAGGTAACAGTGCCAATGGACACCATGTATGACGTGAGCAGTGCAACGGTACCAATGGACATGATGATGTTGAACGCAAGGGCCGAGCCGATGTAGATGCAGTGGAAGACACAGGCCCAAGTCGCAGAAACCATGATGGCGACGACGGGGACGTCGTAGCCGGCTGGTACGCGCGAGACCCAGTTGTTGAATGGAACTCCCTTGTCTCGCGCGAAGGAGAACAGCTGACGTGATGAACCCGCCATCGTGGTCAGGTTGCCGCAGATGTTGAGGATGATCAAGAGACATGTCAAGCCCGAGGCTCCACCCTTGGAGCCCGTTGCCGTGTAGAAGACTTGAATCACGGGGTAGCCAGTGGCCGAGGCGAGGTCTTCGCCGAGATCACCCAGTGTGTAGAGGAATGTACTGGACCAAGAGATCAGAATGCTGTGGACCCAAAGGGGGGAAACCAGGGGGAAGGGGGTGAACAGAACAAGCTTACACAAGCATAAGAAATCCGAGAGCGCCGTTCACAACAATCGTCCAAATCATGGCCCGAGGGAGCATTTTCGAGGCGTTCTTCAGCTCTTCCGCCATATGTGCCGCAGCGTCTCCGCCAACGAGGGCGCCAGCGTTCGTGATCATCCCGACCAGGCAGGCAACTCCAACTGGATGAGGGAAGAATCGTAAGTCCAAGAACATGTGCAAGGATCGGATCCATTGAACTTACTGCTTCCCCAAGACCCTCCATCCTGGAACGACGTCCAGACTTGCGAAGATGGAGTCCTCGGAGCCATGACCCATAAGGGGACCATAATGGCAAAGAAGCCGGCAAGGTGGAGCACCAAGATGATGCCTTCAACCAAGGGGAGGTGCTTTGCCAGAAAGATGTTGAAAAGGGCAACACAGACAGAGATCCCCATTGCCATCAATGTCCCATGCCATCTTTGTGGTTGATAAGTGTCTGGATAGTTCAGGATGATGAGGCCTTGTATCAAAGTACCGGCCACGTAGGCCCCAATCGTCGTTCCAACCTGATAGCCTAGAACACCAAGCCATCCGATAAAATATGAAAGAAGCCGTTGCACCCGTGGAGGCGCAAATTCCGAGACCCAATGGTATTGTCCGCCTACACTCTTTGTCAGTGCGTCCTTTGAGACTTTGTGCTTCTGGCGTTTGAGAGTCGTACCTGACGTCGGTGCCATGGACGCCATTTCGGCCATCGAGATGCCGACCAAGAGGAAACCGGACCATGCAGCGAGAAAGGTCCAAATGAGACCTCCAGGACCGCCATTCCCCAGGCCGAATGCCACAGTCGACAAGATCGTCTCCCATGTGCTCATGATGATTAGGGCAAACCCGAATATGGTGACAAAACCAAAGTTTCGCTGGGCAAGCAAGGACGTCAGTCTCAGGCTCGTTCAGAACGAAACATCACCTAAGGACATACCTTGAAAAGTTGTTCCTTGCCCAGACGTGCCATGTCTCTCTTGTCTGCCACAGTACCGGTCTTTTCGCCAAGGACGACCTCATCGTTGTATTCGAGGTCGGGGTCGACATTGTATCCAGCTGACTTGTCCATCTCTGTAGAATAATTCATAGTTTGGCTTGATTTACAAGGAGAGCAGAGAAGAAGGCGAAGATGCTGGAGATGAAGTTAACAAGAAAATTGGGCAAGCGGAATTTGGCACAGGGCGAAGTTTCGGCAATTCGCCAAATGTTGTGCCACGCGATTGTCTGGGCTCGCTAGTGCTACATGTATCTTGCCATGTTGCTCTCGTCTGGAGGAGACTAGACTAGACTGGCCACGGTGCCTGCAAGAGGTTGCAGCAGAAGGCAATGGTCCATACTGTTAGCGACCTGACTACTCTGATTAAACCATGAACCCTGTCCCGAACGTTTCCGACCCTGCAAAGCATTTGTATCAGCACAGGCCTCGACATGAGCGGTTCATCCTGCGAGGCTCGTACCTTCTTGATCTCCAGATGACAATCCCATTTCCCAGGTCTACAGTCCAATCAGGCTGGAAAAAGCATGAGGAAACATGTGGACAAACAGTGAGCATGCAAGCATGTGCACGAATTGATTTCTGGCTGATTGCGAATGTCCCCACTCATAGTATAGCCTCTATGCCGACCCCAGTCGAAAGTTCAGGACGAACAATTGGCGCTCCTCAAGGCTGCCTGCACACAGCTAGGTTCTAGATTGCGTATTGTGGTTTCAAAAGTGGTTTTATCAGCAGACTGCCGGAAAAGCGCATCAAACGCGCATGTTATGGTCTTGTGGGTCTCTTTCGTCGCAATCGCTAGCCAGTAGCCGTCAAGACTGTGCACCCCATATTACTATGTACGGAGTAGCCTCTCTGCTGTTTATGCAACTATCGCACCGCGCGCATACCTTTGGGCCGCAATTTGTTCGTGTGGTGCTAAAGAAAGTGACCCCTGTGAGCGGCATTTGATATTGTATGGATAGAAGTTGTCGGGGGTTCCCTCTCTGTGGCAGATCGCCCAGTCATCATAGGTGAATGATGGTGACTACAGTATCGGCTACCACCAGGATAGTGGGGCCGGGCGATCATTGCCCCTGCTTCTCTAGACCATGTGGGTGCCATGAGGAACGACAAGTACGAGTACAGTACTTGTACTTGTGCATACAAGTAGAACTTGTACAAGCACCACGAGTAGTATACCCAGACAACCCCATGCCATCGCAATCATCCCAGGAAATCGGCTAGCGGAAATAGTCATGGATCGTGGCTCAGATGCAACCCAACTAGGCGGGCTAGGACCAACCAGGCATATGCTCCACGATGCCCAGACAGGATAGCTACTATAGCTGCGTTCTGTACCGTAGAATCCCGGATAACACGACAAGGACCGCACGAAGCAGTGTCAGGGCAGTGACACGGCCAGGCTCTGTGGCATAAGGGTCAATCCCTTTTCGAAGTTGGGCGTCCCCCAGCCACCAAGGCAGGGGAAGTCAGGGGGGTGCGCAGCCTGGTTAGCCCCAGGCACGATCAGACAGATGTTGTAACGCTGCAAGCAACTGAGGTACAGGAGGTTTTATTGAGCTCTCAACCACGCTATACCTACAGTAGAGTCCAGAAGACGAACTCTTAAGATCCCTCGTTCTACCGCAGGGCGGACAATCTTGAGCCCCAACAACTCTCTCCGTCATGTCTGACTCTTCGATGGCCGCGCCTGTGTATGGCCCGCGACCTTACCCTATTGGCGAAAATGATCACCGAGGAATCGTCATGACAATAGGTGTCTTGTATATCATATACGCCTTCATGATCCTCGGCATGCGTCTGGCCAGCAAGTATAATCACATGGGTGTCGATGACTGGTTGTCCATTGCTGCAACCGTATGTTCGACATGTGCTCATTAGATCATCTGGAAAAGGCTTACAACCTGCACAGGCAATTGCTGTACCACAGTTCGGAGCTGTTATTGCAGCGACAACCAACGGAAGCTTTGGCTCTTCCTACAGTCTGCTTTCGTTAAGCGATACCAACACAGTTGCTCGTGTAGGTCACCTCCTGAATCTCATCAGGATGTTTGTGCTAATGGGAAACCAGTGCATCCGTGCAAGCGACGTACTCTTCCTCCTGGCGATATTCGTCGCCAAATGCTCCGTCATTATGCTGACCCGACGCTTGTTTGCCGCCCAACAGCATCAAAAGCGTGGTATGTGTGAGATAACCATGGGTCTGTGTGCTGCATGGTGCCTAGGCTCTATCCTGGCAGTCACAATCGGATGCAATTCCTCGGGTGCGATTCATTCAGAGAGCGGAGGGAGATGTTCAGGCCTTGTATGTCGTGCTTCCCCAGCTCTTTGTTCGCTACAACTAATCACAGTCCTAGGTCAAGCGCTGGACCGTTATCGGAGTGCTCGATGCGTTGCTTGAAATCCTTATCTGGTTCCTCTCTCTAGTTGTGCTTGTTCCTCTCCAGATGAGTTGGCAAAGAAAGTTGCAGGCATCTGCAAGCTTCATACTGAGATTACCGTAAGACTGCCCTGATGTCGAACATTGAGCTAGAGGCTGACCAAAAGAAGCATTATCATCTTCATCGGGCTCAACATCAAGTATGTGTCTGTCTTCAACACAGCGTCTGATGCCGGAATCGCGCTCACATCACCTGTTCTTTTCCGTGAATCCCAACTGCTTTACGCTCTTTTCTCTGCCGCCGTGCCGGCTTTGAATCAGTATCTACGCAAACTAGATACCACGCACGCCACCCAATTCGGGTACCGGACAGATCAATACGGCAACGAATCAAGCGGACGGGCCTATGAGTTGAGCCGTGTAGCCAAGCAGACAAATCAAGGAAGCATGACTGGCAACAATGGTATTGACGATATCAATGGCTCAGGAGCAAAGAGTTCCGGCGCCGACTTCAGGAATGCTGGATATACACAATACCATGCAAGAGTTGATGGGCCAACAATGGGCAAGGCTCATGATGGGATCTCCAGTGCCTCGCAGGAGGACGGTTCTGTGGGCAGGAATGGCAGTGAGGAGCTCATCATCCGGAAGGAAGTGGCGTATGAGGTGCGAGACGAATAGTAGTGTAGTGTACGATTGGTGGCCATATCGAGGTCCAGGGGTAACTGGTTGAATAGCTCGTCAAAAGTATGCTGTAACATTATATCCTCGATCAAGATTCGTTCAGTTTTGCTAGGCTCGGGATAACATGGGCATAGGTGGTTTTGCTGTCAGTTCACAAGATCCGTACCTGTAAATTACTGGTACCACCTGGACGAATCTCCTGACAACTCACGGAGACCCTTGGCATTACCCAGATGCATCGAGCATTAGAGCGGGTCCAGTGGCGTTGAAATTTGAACCAACTTTGGCTTTTTGGCTTTTTGCCTTGCTTGGTATGAGTCGTTGGCACAAAGGTGAAAGGGTAAATGTTGCATGTCACGTTGGTGTTACGTTGAGTGATTGATTGCAGGTACGAAGGACTATGGTCAACGGTTGCGATGCGAGTGCCAGAGACCACGGGACTGGCAGCATCGAGGCGAGATTCCTGATCAGGCAACTGTGCCGAACTGAATCATAGGCTTGGCAGAACCCTGGGTTTGCGGGCCAAAACCAGGCCTTGCAGGGTGACTGACGGTGACCTTCGAGCCCCTTTTCCACCTTCTCTTGAGTCTTGGAGCATGCAGCAGCTCACGCCATCAAAGCAGACAGATCAATTAGATATCTTCAGGCATTTCCCCCGACTTGGTAGGGGGTAATCAATCTTCCATTCCCGTCCTGACGCTATCATGTCTGTCCGTCCTGCCACAAAGGCCGACATCCCGATGATGGCCGCACTTCTGGCCGCCTCCTTTGGCCCGGACCCGCTACTTCAAGTGATGTTCCCCTACCAGTCTCAATATCCTCAGGCGTATGTGCAGGCTGTCGAAGAATATCTGTGGTGCTGCTGGTACGACCACAGCAAACGTCTGTTCGTCTCCTATTACGAGAGCCCCACAGATGATCAACAAGATGAAGAAGGACCTGGCGACGAGCAGCAACTGCTCTTACGAAAGACGAGACCGCTTGTGAGACACAACCAAGTCCTCACAGGCGTTGCAGAAATGGAGCGAGTGGGAAAGGGATGGGAGCACATCTACGGAGTCTGGGGGAGACTCGATCCACGTATGTTTTCAATTTGCCATTCATTGTCCCGTTCTCTTCTTGTTCTTGATAACTGCCCAGCCATGTCCCCTTGAGAGTAGCGAGAGTGTATTGATTTTTGCGTCCTTACCTTGCCAGGTCTTTTGATCAAGCCTATACTGCGGACTTTCTACGCTGTCCGCCGACGCCTGTTTGGCAACAAAGCAGCGGCACGACCGACACGGGAAAACCCTTCCCCCCTCACCTATTGGAACTTCTTGCCGTCTATAATTCCATTTAGCAGCCAGTTCTTCAGCGCTCCTCATCGACAGATACACTGGTCCCTAGAAAATCTCGCCATTCATCCTGACCATCAAGGGAAAGGCTTTGGGAGCAAGCTTGTAAAGCAAGTGTTGCAGGTGGCCAAGAACGACCCTGTCGGTGATTTACCAGTTTGTGTCGTCGCTGCGGATGGTAAGGAAGGGTTCTATAAAAAGTCTGGGTTCGAATATCTTGTTGGCTGGATTAGCAGGACGACGGATGCCAATGGCCGTGATAATCCTCTGAGAGCGAATGGCGTCGGCGGAGGGGCTGTGCTTTGGACGAGATGATGACTCTTGAGACTTGGAGGAGGTCGAGCAGGGCCAGGTTGCATCCAATCTGGAGCTCAATATTGCGGAAGAACAGATCAACTGACGAGGTCACTTGTGCAAGGAGACATCTCGATGCAGCAATTACTGCCATGCTGCAGTGATGCAGAAGTATAGGTAGTCTAAGAGATGCTTCCCACCCCGCTGCTCTATGGTGGCTTCTTTCACTTCTACTTCACTGCAAGATCATGTGTACAAATGTACCGGTTGCCCCGGGATTCCTCAGACTACACCAACTCGCTAGACTTGACTTCTTTCGCTGATTTCTCCATCGTCCGGCCTGTCAAGAACTCAGCTTTGTCCCAAAGAGCCTATTCTGTCTGGCTGACCACGAAGTCTGGCTCGCAACGATGGCGTTGACGCGCAAGAAGAGGTAAGATTTGGCTGAGGAAAATCACGTAGTGTACAGTACTGACGAGCCGCATGCCAGTTTCCTATTCTCCAACGAGATGGTCACGCTTGCGTTGGATGAAGGCAAGATCGCTGTACACAATGAAGTGCTCATGCAGAGTGCATACTTCCAACGGTGGCTTACGCCCATGGAACAGACACCCGTAGCAAAAGGCGTTTTGCACATACAAGGGTACAAGAAAGCCACAGGCATCGAAATGGCGAACTGGCTATACTCTGCAACATCCTCCAGCTTCACTTCTGACACGCTGAATACCACCGGCACAGAAGCGGTGGAGCGTGGTTGGCGACTTGTCGATGCATACCGGCTTGCTAGGGATACCGAACTGGAAGAATGGCAGAACCACCTGGCTGATGCTTTCTTAGAAATAGCGGATCAAGACGTACCGTGGATGAGATACCTACAACGTCTCTGCACACCCGAAGAGCCCGATACTGGGCTGGTCGGACTCTTGTTCACAGCGCTTGCCCGGGATATTCGCCGTCATGGCTGGGAAGAGTACATGAACAAAATTGAAACGAGCTTAGTGAAGGCGCTTCACGGGAATGGCAAATTTGCTACACGCCTGATGAAACGAGTACTGGAGTCGGAGGGTGTGAGCGAGAAGAGTTTCAAGGCAACGAGTTGCAAATGGCACATTCATAATCATACACCTCAGTGTGCAGGCATCTGAGGCCATGCGGTTGGTTTGCCGGTCCCGTACTGGCACTTGAGCTCATGGAGGCATCGAGAAGCCACCGACATTGGCTGACTGAAGCGAGAGGCCTGTGAATGAAGATTCAAGAAGGCAGTACCGTATCAAGGGAAAATGTTTATGTTTTGCCAAAGACGTTGGTGGAAGCGTACATCCAGCAGATGCTGTAAGATCGGTCAAACGATGAACATCAAATTGAGGAAGGAGCTTTCGTTGTCACCAGCCAACATCATTAGAACGCTTTGCTCATCCCTATGCCAGCAACACCCACTGCACCCCAAGCCTGCAGAAGTATTCCACCGAATAGAAATATACGTGGCTCTGCCCGCAACTTAGGCCTCGGAGCGGTCGAGATGCTCTCAGATTCCATTTCGTTGTGAACGACGCTGTTATCCTGTATGACTGCCTGCCTGCTTCTGTTCACTTGGGTGGCAGTGTCATTGAATTCTGCGATCACTTCACTCTCACTGCTTTCATCACCAACACAGTCAATCACTCAAGCATCCTTGCCCGGCGGATACTGAATATATATCGCTTCTTTGATGCGTCTAACACCATCTTCCATCACCTTCTCGGTCTACCCCTACCGACAACCTACCACGGTCTTCATCCACGATGGCACCTTCGTTCGACGGCATTGCTGATCTCATACCCAAGGATGCAGGTCTTCAGCTGTGAGTGTCGTTCCTGCCTCTCCGTGCCTTAATTTTCGCTGACCAAGTTTACCTTTCACAGGCCTCTCGGTTTCAGCGTAGGAGACTTCATGTCGCAAATCATCACACTTGAAGTCGGCCCAGAACCCATGATCATGACAGCGCATAAAACGATCTTGACCAGATCAGACTACTTCGCCAAATACTTGGAGAATCTCAAAGAAGGTGTCCAGAACAAGGTCAAGCTTCCGCACGACGTACCGTTCGACATCCTCAGAATACTCTGCTTCCTGTACACCGGCAACATGTTCGAAGGAGACGCCGGCGACCGAGGTCGCAGCCTCAACCATCATTGGAACCCTCAGGGAGTGACATACTTGATCAAAATCCTCATCATTGCTGAAAAGTATTGTGTCGATGATATGTACTGGAGAGCCATGAACATGTTACGCAGCGTTCCCGACAAGTCCTTCGATCTGAGCCATCTGCAGCAACTCGATGACGCAGGTCTACGAGAACACTCGATGTTGGGAGTCATCATGGACATATTTGCTCGCAATGCGACTGTGGATCCCAAACGGCTGCGTGTCATGCTAGACAACGAGCTTGACTTGGAACCGGTGTTTGGTCTGGAGATTCTGAAGAAATTGACCGCCCACCTGGAGGGGCAAAAGCGGCATTGTTGTGACTCCAGCTGATGGCCGTGTTTCTCGCATTTGTCCCTGTTAGCATAACATTGTGGTCGGCTGTGAGTTGATATCGAGTTCTGTACGGAAAGACTGTTGTTGACTGGAGGCTCCAGCTGCGCCTCGATCGGAATAGATGGACGATATGGGAGTGGCTAAAGGGCATTGACCCTTGACATTAAATCAAGAACCTAGAATCAGAGTCAATCACACTTGTTGCAAAATGATCTCCCCAGTGGCCCATGCAGACACAGCCTCGTCCCCATGATGTGCAGTTGGATTGACCAACATCCGGATAGACCTGAAAAGTACTGCGACCGCACTGCCCAGTCATCTGAATCTCAGCTCGAGCGATGCCACCGATGTGTACTTCACCATCAGACTCTCTTCACTTCACTTTGCCATTTGCCCTTCGTCTCACTTACTGCCGCAGTCGTCCTTAGCAGAACAAACATTCTGCGTAACGTGGATTACCTCTTCTTCGTCCTGCGTTGTTCTGCGTCGCACGTCCCGCACGTTGCACGATTGACAGGTGTCGCACAATACACCATCACGCCGTCGTCATCGTCATCGTCGACGTCGTCGTGCGTGACAAAGCCTTCTAGACACGCGAGAGAATCCTGATTTTGGCAGCGCACTTGCCATCATGTCCGACCAAACCGACGATTGTAGCTATGCTGGCTACAATCCTGCCTGCAATTCTCGATCACCTAGCTACACTCCAAACGCCCCCGGTCTTGAAGCTCAGCCAGGCAATCCATGGGAGGGGTGAGTGGGTTCAACTCAATCTCCTATCACGACTTCTGACTTTTACATTTCATCTAGGCACGAACACTTCGAGGGCGCGGCGCTCACTTCACCCAACATTACACTCGAAGTTGGCCCAATACCCGTTCTCTTCACGGCACACAAGGCAGTCTTGACTCGATGCAAATATTTCGTCAAGTGCCTGGAGCCTGGAAAATTCGAGGAAGGCGTCAGCAACAGAATCCGATTGCCCGACGAATGTCCCAAAGACATTGAGAAGATGCTTGGATTCCTCTACACTGGAAAGCTGTTTCGCGGCGACTCCAGTGACTCGGCCACAGTGCATGAAGATATCTTATGGGGACCAGTAGGAGATTGGATCTCGTACCTCATTCAGTACTTCTTCATTGCCGACAGGTTTTGCGTCGATGACATGTGCGATCAAGTCATAGAGGTTGTCCAGACTTCCATACCCGCTCGAGCGTTTCGTTGGCGTCACCTTGAAAAGCTCAACGAAGCAGGCTTGAGGGGTTCCAATTTGTGGCAAGCTGTCCTGAAGATAATAGCCCAGGGCGTTGAGGGAGCGGAGCGTCAGGTCGACCTGGACAAGCTGATGAATGATGGCCTTGCTTCCAATCCCGAGATTTGTTCGGACTTGCTGAGGGAGATCGCCAATCTCGTCAAACAGAACCCAAGCATTTCTTGTTGTAAACACAGTGGGGGATGGGACGGTTGGGGATGTAATGCCCACAAAAGCCAATCAGACAACTACCGGCCTTACCCAACGGGAGTGGAGTTGTGAGCCGATTCTTCATCGACGACAGATCTGAGGCGCTGTCTGTACGGTCGAGCAGATCGATGGCTGCAGAGACAATTGCGTGGACTGATAGGCCATCGTGGCCCAAGCCAGAGGGTTGAGTCTTCGGACCGCAGCATACCGGTCGAAAAACATTCGAAGTGCTTCTTCCACTCACTGTAAAGTTCTAGATTGCTCTCCTATCTTTCATTGCGAACTCTGCAGGGGCGATGCTCCCTCTTTCCCACGTTGCTGCTGCGTATTTGCTGGCATTTGCATCTTTACTGCGAAAGACATGGTTGATCAGCAATTACCACCACGCCCTTCAGCATGCAAACCCTTATCGTGGACATCGTACTCGTCCACAGACCTTCGTCATGAGCTGCAGGTGCTCTTGGGGACAGTATAGCCTCTGGCGCCTTCGGTACTTAGAAGTACAACGACAGCATCAGAGTCAAGGCCAACAGCATTGGAATCGATTGCAGCCACTTTTCTCAGAGCAGCAAGAGAGGCAGCTCCGCATGGGCCGGCATGGATACCATGAGCGTGTAGATATTGGACGGATTCGTGGCATTCAAGATCCGAGACCGTGACGCTGGCATCGACGCCCTTGACGAACACTGGCCAGGATATAGGCGACACTGTGCCACAGTTCATGCCGCTCATAATGGTAGCAGATGTCTCGATGGTCGTCCATCCTCCGACTCGGAGGTTATGATGCAAGCATGCAGCAGTTTCGGGCTCGACCGTCAACACTCTGATCCGTCTGCCGTCGGATTTGCAGTGAGCAACAACGGCATGACCCAGCGAACCGACCCCTATCGGCGTGACAGTTATTGTTGCTTTAAGCCCTCGAGCCGCAAGTTGTTCCTCGGCCTCGATCAGAAGGGTCGAATAGCCTTCGACAATCCAGGCCGGGACTTGCTCGTACCCTTCGAATGCATTGTCCTGAACGAGGAGGCCGTTGGGGTCCTTGCTGGACTCTACGGATGCTTTGGCAACCGCGGCATCGTAGTCTCCAGAGATGACGGTGACCTGAGCGCCCTCACTCTCAACTTTCTTGACTGTTTCCTCGTCTGCAAACCTCGACATGAATATACGCGTAGGCAGGTGTAGAATCTTGCCCATGCGTGCCACGGCTCGACCATGGTTGCCTTCTGTCGCAGCAAAGAGTGTGATCTTCGCTTTTCGAGCAGCGACCGCTGCATCTTCCAGAGTTGTGTCGAGTGGGATACCAGTCTTGTCTGCAATGGCACGAAATGTGCCCCATGAAGCTCCTAGGATTTTGAACGCTGGTAGACCAAGTCGACTGCTCTCGTCCTTGACAAATACGGCTTTTACGCCGAATTCTTTTGCCACGTCGTCGAGAGGCACGAGCAGGGTTTCGCGATATCCTGGAAGTCGCTTGTGGAATTCTTGAACGGGACTTACGTCGGTGTCGTAATGGTAAGTCCACGACTTCGCACCTAGGTTGGTATATATTGCGGAGCTGGACATGGTGTTTTTCAAGTCGTTGAAGCACGAGTATTTCTATCGCTTATTGCTCGCTTGTTGACTGCTACTGCATATCACAAATTCCTATATCTGTCTGCGAGGGTTCTTGTATCTGGTTGAGCGGGCCTTGAATTTAGTGCTAGCATTGTAACAGGGCGTGCTCTCGAGTTCCTTCGAGCGGATGATCCTGCACGGAACAGCTGCTGTTCAGTTGCCAGCCGCGACTTCTGCAATACCCCTTATCACAGCTCGAGAGGTAGTCGTCATGCTACCCTTCGACTGCGATGTGCAATTCCTTAGTCGCCCTGGACGCATTTGAGGTCGAGTTTGACTTGTCTTCGGAGTGGAAATGCTCGGTTGCGTATTAGCCAATGACGGCTGCAGCATGAATGGCTGCTAAGGCCGCAGCGAGAACGACGTCGGACGGCGCATCGTTATCCCAGCCTCAGGCTGCAAAGCCAGCTGGCTTGCTGCTATTGGTTGCCTTGCTATGCGCTGTGTGCTTTTCCATCAAATTTTTGTCATCAGGACATATAGCACATGGCTCCAAGAGGACGCCAATCTTCCTGTCCCTCCATTCGCAAGGTGTGCTTTGCGCCACCCGGTGATTGGCCAAGGTGGTTGCATCGCGGCCCAAAAAGCCACACGTTTTCGTGCTGGTCACGCAAGTTGTGTTTGCTGACGCAGGCAAGCAAGCTTTGTCGATGGCAGGGGGCGAGGTGAAAAAGAAGAGAAGTCATCACAGACATGGTGACACCCGTGCTTCCAAATCACACAAGAGGTCCGAGAATGACCGTGCGACGACGAAATCCTCCGCCGCCACCGATCGCCCTGCCGATATCGAGGCTCTGCGAAAGGCGAGACTCGAACATCTAGCAAAATCGCCCGAGGAAAAGCGGAAAGACATGAAATATGAATATGTCAAGTCCACGAAGACTGTGTCGCTTGTGGGTGTGGACAAAGAGAAGCGATACAGACTAGTCAGAGATTCCAGCCCGGAAGGAGAGCGTTCGCAGCCGTCGCGGACGTCGACGAGGCGCACGAAAGATGACGGCCGGGCGAGGCGAGACAACGGCGAAGATGAATACGTTTACGGGAAGAGCGAACGAGACACCGTCCGCAAAGAAGCACAGTCAAGATCTGCCGCGAAGCCACAATCGAAGACGAATGGATCAGTCACGGCGAAACCAGCAGAGAGACGGCGCATGCCGGAGCGCAGGCATACAGAACTGGCACGACGGAGGGAGTCGCATGAAGATGACGAAGAAGAGGAGCCCCCAGACACAGCTCGGGTACATCGCACTGGCTCGAGGCGACAGAGTGATGCACAGGATCCTCCTACGTTAACTCGGCGGAGTACAGTCTCGGTCGAGAAGCCGCAAAGGTCGCCGCTGAAGAGGAGCGCAACAACAACAACAACAACAACAACAACAACAACAACAACAACGACCAGACCCAAGACGGAAGTCAGCAGTATAAGGACAGTGCAAACTGCTGATCCTCATAGGAAGGCGGCTGGGCTCTTTGGTGGGATTTTACTCCCAAACCAGGAGCCACCGAAGAGAGTCCCGTGTCTGACATGCGGCGCCGACGACGTTCCCATTTCCAAGTCCGCTAGACTACCTTGCACTCACCGCATGTGCCATTCGTGCCTGAAGCGCATCTTTACCATGTCGGTCAAGGACCCTGCTCACATGCCGCCTCGATGTTGTACGGATCAACATATCGATCTGAAGCACGTTGACAAGCTCTTCGATCAGAAGTTCAAGGTCTTGTGGAATCGCAAATACGCTGAATTCAAGACGAAGAACCGCATATATTGCCCGGCTCGGAAATGCGGCGCCTGGATCAAACCGCACTATATCAAGGTTGAGAATGGCCGGAAAGTCGGGCGGTGCAAGCAATGCAAAACACGGGTGTGCGGCATATGTTCGCAGAAAATGCACGTCTCGCGGGAGTGTCCGAAGGATCCGGAGACGAAAGCCTTCGCCGAAGTCGCCAAGGAGAAGGGCTGGCAGCGATGCTACAGCTGTTCTGCCATGGTCGAGCTCAAAGAAGGCTGCAACCACATGACTTGTCGGTGTACAGCGGAATTCTGCATGGTCTGTGGCCTGAAGTGGAAGTCGTGCGATTGTCCTTGGTTCAACTATCAGGCCGTCGATGCACATCTTGGTGACCCTGTCCGGTATCAGGAGGAGATTGACAGGCGAAGAGATCAAGTCGACAGAGACGAGGAGCTGGCTCGGCGGATGCAGCAGATGGGCCTGGGCGACGACGCCGGGCGGTTTGATGGCTTCGGACGGGGTAACGCCGGCAATGATCATATGAACCAGAACTTCATCCAGCAGGCGCGAGAGGCATTGACGGCGAACTATGCTCAGGCTGGACAAGCAGCGCGAGACCTCATCAATGGGCTTGTGATGGGTCGGGAGAATCGCATGCCGGGGATGCCGTTGCAGGTGGATCAGATGCTTGAAATGCTCGGGCAGCGTGGTGCGCCAGATCCGGCGGAGGAAGACCAGGGTCAAGATGATGGGCGTAGACCCGCTCGAAGAGTTACCGCGAGGCGGAGGAACGTCGTACAGGATGCTGCTGGTGGGCATCGTGTGGTTAGGGAGACGGACGAGGAGAGACGCATTCGAGATTGGGCGAACAGTGTGCCTGCATGACTACCCGAAGGTACCGGTAGCTGAGTGTTGTTCGATGTATCAACGCTTGGCTGTTTTCTCTAGCACTGAACTGGTGCGGTAGAAACGCAAGTCGTCGAACAGTGGGATGCGGAAGGGAAGGCAGTCGGAAAGTCTTTGCTATATGGACCACTGGCATGATTGTGGAATTGGGTTATAACGTGATATTGAACGATTTACGACGAGGTTTATTTCTGGGCAGTTCGGGATACCCTTTCGGATAGGTTGTGGCTTTCTTTGGAGAGATACAGGGTTTGTACATGAGTGATGACTTATATAGTGATGTCGATACATTCTGATATTTTGACCTCATCACGGCGGTGATGATTACTAGTATGTTTTAAGATATCTATCTGTCTCTTGACTGTTTGCATCAGGGCACGTCATGATTTGGGCCACGCGAGACTTCCCATTTTGCTATATCCGGTACCACTCAAGAGTACAGGCCTCATATCATGGCATATCATACAACTCCACCTGCGTACTCAATTCTGGGTGAACAGCGCCTCCAGCTCTTTAGCAACCTCGTCACCCACTTGCTCCGTCGAGCTTGATCCGCCGATATCCTTGGTCACGATGCCCTTGTCAATGACTACCCTCACTGCCTGTTCAACCAGGACACTCTCCTTGGGCATATTCAAGCTATACAGCAGGAGCATCGCCACACTCAAGATGGCTGCGATAGGGTTGATGATACCCTGACCAGCAATGTCTGGCGCCGAGCCGTGAATAGGCTCGTAGATACCATTACACGGTCCTTTCCCGTCGGGCACACCGCTCAAACTCGCACTTGGGAGCAAGCCTAAACTGCCAGGGATGACGGAGGCTTCATCCGAGATGATATCGCCAAACAGGTTTGACGTGACGATCACACCGTTCAGCGCACGTGGGTTCTTTACCATAATCATGGCTGCCGAGTCGATGAGTTGGTGCTCGAATTCCAATTGCGGGAATTCCTTCTGCATCGTCTCGGTGAAGACTTTTCGCCACAACCGGCTTGTCGCGAGCACGTTGGCTTTATCCAGACTCCAGACTTTCGAAGGTGGGTTCTTGGCCAGCGCGAGATACGCGGCGAGACGGGTGATGCGCTCGATTTCCTTGCGCGAGTATGGTTCGCGGTCCTCGGCCCACTCGTTCTCGGCATCGTCCGGGTTGCCTTCGACCCGGTCGCCAAAGTAGATGCCGCCCGTGAGTTCGCGGACGATCATGAAGTCGGTGCCTTGGCAGACTTCTTCCTTGAGAGGGGAGCGTGCCGCGAGCGAGGGCGAGGCGAAGAAACAGGGGCGCAGATTGCCGAAGGTGCCCATTTCCTTGCGCAGTCTGAGGAGGCCTTGTTCTGGACGGACCTTGCCGACGCCGTATTTGGGGCCGCCGATCGCGCCGAGTAGGACGGCGTGTGCGGATTTGGCGGCGCTGAGGGCGTCGTCGGTCAAGGGGGTGCCGTGGGCGTCGATGGAGCACTGGGTGTGAGGTGACGTTAGTATAAATGTTGATGTCATCGAGAGTGCCATGGGAGTGATCTCGATCAATCATCACCCTGGGAGAAGGCTCCTATTGAACCGATCGGAGCATCATGACTGTTGAGATGGTTGAACTTACGCCGCCGAGCAGGTGCTCTTGAAAGTTGAATTTGACATCCTTTGAGCACTTCTCTATGACTTTGAGGACCTGTTACACAGTCATAGGTCAGACACTGTTTGATCTTGAATCAATCGAGCATTCTAGGATGTCTCGGTAGGTGAGTGCTTTTCGCAAGCGTGGTACCCCTCGACGACTGCCAATACTACAAGGATTCGAGGGCAATCCTTATGCCGTAAGAGAGTTAAGCTAACGTGCAGGGCATACCTTGACAGCTTCCTTGGTCACCTGTAGCCAGACAAGATGGTTAGCGAGGTCTCGTAGAGTATGCGACTGCGTAGAGTAGTTAGGTGAGCATTGGAGGACGAACCTCCGGGCCGGCATAGTCACCAGCAAACACAACGATATTGAAGGTCGGCATCTTGAGGTGGACTTCTTTTGAGGTTTTCTTCCCACAGTCGACTCCTACAGATTCTGCAATGTTCCTGAGGAGATCTGACAAGTCCCGGAACGATTGCTGTTGCCGATATATACTGTCACACACTGTGCAACTGTCTTGGAAACAGACGAGGCTTGACTGGACGAAAATCAGGCTGATGATGCCGGTATCGGCGGGGCCTGAGATGAGCACGTGACTAGATTCGTGCGCCAAGAGATCTGACTCTACGAGCCTATCACACCCACAACCCAACACCCACCACATCCTTGTGTAGGTACTCCGTACTCCTACACCTTACAGTGCCGTGTGCTTACTTACCTTACCTAGGTAGGCATCAATTGCACGCCTCGACGTGCCCTTCCGAGCTTCCAATGACTTGCGCGATATGGCGATACCTTGAAAGTATTGCTGACGATTTACTCCTCTGATGCTACTGCCTAAACCCATCCTGTTGATGTGTCTATTCTCCAACCCAGACGCTGCGAACTCTGTCGTGCTCTCCATCCAGTCAAATTGTCTGGTCGCTCACGCTCCAATGCAGTCAAGATCAGCGATGATGTCGACACTTTGCTTCAGGCAGCACCGTTAACATATCCATATTTCAATGAGCTCCCAGATTGATCCGGTCTCGTCTTCATGCTGCCCTCGCGGCGAAGATAGAAGTCACCATGGACCATTTGCTACTGTCTAACAGTTCCGATGCCGTGTTCGGCCCTGCTTATTCTGGTGCGCTGAGAGACTTCGATTTCACGCTCTTGTTTGACGACACCATCCTGACCATTGTACCTGCCACGATCTTCCTTATTGCAGCTGGCGCAAGAGCGATATGGCTCACAAGCAAGCCCAACAAAGTCTCGACGTCCTTCAGTCGTCTGACTAAACTGGTAAAATCTAGCTTCGGCTGCCACTGACGACGAGCTTACTTGTGTAGGTCCTGCTATCAGCTTTTGCAACGATACAATTGACCGTTCTGCTGGCTCGGGCGACGAACTTAGAGATCGCGACAAAAGCTTCGGTCGCTGCAGCTGCACTTGATTTTTCAGCTGCCTGTGTGTTGTTCATGCTCTCATGTTACGAGCATTCGCGATCAATAACACCCTCGACAATCATTGGGCTTTATCTGATAATCTCGTTCCCATTCGATGCAGTCCGACTTCGGACCTTCTCTTTGCTCCGTGGTTCAGCGGTCAGAGGCATAGCAAATTTGCTATCGCTCTCGCTGGCCATCAAATTCGTGGTCCTGGTAACCGAGGCCGTCGAGAAGCGAAGCATTCTCCTGGAACCATATCGTGACTTACCGCCTGAAGCCACCAGCGGCATTTACAGCAGATCAGTCTTGTGGTGGCTCAATCCTTTGCTCAGGATAGGCTTCGGGAAAACGTTGAGCGTTGACGACCTCTATAACCTTGACGATAAGCTCTTGTCCGCCAATGTCCAAGGCAGGTTCTCAGACAAGTGGACTGCAGTGAAAGAACCCGGTCGCCTCGGTCTGGTGTCGACTGTTATCAGCGTCTTGAAATGGCAGCTGCTAATATCGGCCGTTCCTCGACTTCTGCTAAGTGCGGTCATGTTCGCCCAGCCGTTCTTGGTTCAAGAGACTATCAACTACCTCCAGGACCGAGACAGCCAAACACCTTCTGTGGGTTGGGGTCTTGTGGGTGCATATTTCTTGGTTTATTTTGTCGGGGCAATCCTCAAGGCGGCATACCAACATCTGCTGAATCGATGCGTTGTTCAGGTCCGTGGTGGGCTGGTCTGCCTTCTCTACCGGAAAACCCTTGACCTCAGCATAGCATCGATCGATCCAATGGTGTCCTTGACTTTGATGTCTTCCGACATAGAGAGGATCGTCATGCCCCTACAACTTCTCCACGATGCGTGGGGCGGTATTGTCGACCTTGGGTTGGGTATGTACTTGCTGTATCGAAACCTGGGAAGCGCTTGCTATGCTCCGGCGATAGTTTATGTGCTCCTGGCGCTGGGTACGACTTGGGTCACGAAAGTTATCTCATCATTCCAGAAACGATGGCTTGCTGCAATTGAAATCCGTGTCTCCTTTACCTCAGCACTCCTACACTCAATCAGGAACGTCAAGCTCTTAGGCCTGTCGTCCATCATCAAGGATCGTACTCAGGATCTTCGGCAGAGGGAAATCAATGAGTGCAAGCAATTTCGAGTCATCAACAATGTCCAAATTGTTATTCAGAATGGACCCAGTATCTTTGCGCCTTTCGGTACATTCCTGATGTACTATCTCCGCGCAAGAGCCTCTGGACAACCCTTGGACCTGGGAGTCGCATTCAGCGTCCTTACCATCTTGCGCCTGGTCCAAGGTCCATTGAACACTCTGTTCTGGGTAACCCCAAAGTTGTCGTCCTCTCTCTCGTGCTTTGACAGGATCCAGCAATATCTGCTCGCACCATCTCGGCACGATAACCGACTCTTATTCGAAGATGTATACGCCTGGAGAGGCGTTCCTGAAAGAACGTCCTGTGAGCCAGAGTCCTTAGAGATGATGCCGCTCGGAACCGTGAGCCGGCATCCTGCTGATGAGGCCGTTGGGCTGCGAAATTGCTCCTTCGGGTGGGAAGAGAGTGCCCAACCCGTGGTACAAGATGTTGACCTCTCTATCCAAGCAGGTCTATTCACAATGGTTATTGGCCCGGTAGGAAGCGGCAAATCCACGCTGCTCAAGGGGATTCTCGGTGAAACTCCCTTGTCAGGAGGTTTCGTGTACCTTCGAAAGCATTCGGTCGCTTTTGCCGACCAAGACTCTTGGGTTCAAAACACTACGGTAAGAGATGCAATCCGAGGTCCAGGGTCGAGAGACATATCATCCGCCGACGACATCTGGTATCATGAAGTTGTCTCCTGTTGTGGATTGCTCGAAGATATCAAGCTCTTTCCAAAAGGCGAGAAGACTTTGATAGGATCCAAGGGAATATCCTTGAGTGGTGGTCAGAAGCAAAGGCTAGCGCTCGCAAGGGCGGTCTATGCCAAAGCAGACTTACTCATACTGGATGACGTGTTCTCCGGTCTCGACAACGACACAGAAGAATTGATCTTCCGAAGGCTGTTCAGTCGAGCGGGCCCATTGCGACGCCTGGAGACCACCGTCATAATGGTGACCCATGCAGTCCACCGACTCCCGTATGCAGACCTCGTTGTGTGCCTCGATGTTGACGGCCGGGTAAGCGAACAGGGCAGCTATGATGCCCTCGTCAGGAGCGGAGGCTACGTCCATGGCCTACAAGTGCGGTTCAAACAAGAGCAGCAAAGTCAGGACAGAGGAGATCTGCAGCCTACACTCGATGCTGCACAGCCTGGCTATGAGCCCGGCCCAGCAGTGCCTGTCCCTGAGAGTGATGGAGATGCCCAAGACTTGATCAGGCGGACAGGCGAATGGAGCACTTACAAGCACTACTTCAAATCTTGTGGGTATATTTCCAGTATCTTGTCATTCACATGGGCCATGATATGGATGTTGGCTGTGAATACACCCGGCATTCTCGTCAAATTCTTTGCAGATGGTAACGATGAAGGTGGGGCCGAGCAGACGACAATTTTCATCTCCATCTTTGGCGTCACAACCATCATTGCGGCGATCGCGGTTATCTTACTTGGATACCAGATATTCCTTGACATGCAACCGAAGTCGTCCAGCAATTTGCACCTCAGTCTGCTGGAGACCGTCCTCAATGCGCCTCTGGCGTTCTTCACACGTACGGACGTTGGCGCGATCACCAACCGCTTTAGTCAAGATATGGCTCTAGTGGACAACGACTTGCCCTATGCTTATGCGGACGCCACCTTGTCACTTGCCTCTTGTCTGATGGGGATGGGGCTCATGGTTGCCTCTGGTACAGGCTACTTTGCTGCAGTGGTACCGGTCCTGGTTGCGGCGTTGTACTGCGTCCAGAAATACTATCTCCGAACGAGCAGGCAGATGAGACTTCTCGATCTGGAAAAGAAAGCCCCGTTGTATACGTGGTTTAGCGAGACAGCTTCCGGGTTGACGAGTGTTCGTGCATTCGGCTGGACCGAGAAGTTCTCGGAACGAAGTTTGGAGCTCCTGGATCAAAGCCAACGACCGTTTTACTTCATGTTTTGTATCCAGAGGTGGCTGGCGATTGTGCTCAATCTGATGGTCACGATCATGGTGACCATCCTAATGGTGATCGTCGTGGTACAACGACAGTCCATCCAACCCGGTCTTGTCGGACTAGGTCTGCTGAGCACAGTCGATCTGAGCGAAAGTCTGACCAACCTCGTCACGAATTGGACGAACTTGGAAACCAGTATCGGTGCAATATCCCGGTTGAAAGATTTCGTCCGCACTACCAAGTCCGAGCACAGAGACGAGGAAGTCGAAATGGTTGACAGGCGATGGCCAGAGAACGGTAATGTCACAATATCCAGCTTCGGTGCCAGCTACTCAGAAGACTCGGCTCTTGTTCTCAAGAACATCGACCTCAAAATCGAACGCGGAGAGAAGGTGGGTGTCTGTGGCAGGTCAGGCAGCGGCAAGAGCTCTTTGCTTGCAAGCCTTTTCCACTTGCTGGAATTTCGCACTGGACAGATCGAGATCGACGGTGTGGACATATCTCGCTTACCACGGGACACGCTGCGCGCAAAGATCAATGTCATCCCCCAGGAACCATGGTGGGTGACCACTGATACGGTCCGGTTCAACATGGACCCATGGAACGCCGCGAATGCAGAGTTCGACACCCCACTCGAACGGAGTCAGCAATACGAGAGATTCATTCTCGCTCTGACACAGTGCCAGATATGGCATGTCGTCCAAGCCAAAGGCGGTCTCGACGCCATCATGACGCCAGACTTCCTTAGCCACGGCCAGAGGCAGCTGTTCTGTCTGGCCAGGGCGTTGGTCCGGCGCAGTAAACTCGTGGTCCTGGACGAAGTGAGTGCCAACGTCGATGTCAAGACGGACGAGCTCATGCAGAAGATCATCCGGGAACGGTTCCATGATTGCACCATCATCGCAGTGGCACACCGCTTGAACACCATTGACGACAGTGATCGGGTCGTCGTGTTGAGTCAAGGGAGAGCCGTGGAGGTCGGCGAGCCCCCAAAGCTGCTACAAACACAGGGCAGTTGGTTCAAAGAGTTGTACGAATCGTAACGACGTGGTGCTGGAACCCGCGCCCCTCGGCAATCCTGAGTCTCTCGTCGGAGGTAATTTTTCATTTGTTTCGTCTCAATGCGACAGTGTCAGCAACACAATAGGATGAAACCCGATACCTAGCGACGAAAGCGGCTATGAGTCCATTCTACCGTTTATTTGATGCTACAGATCGTCCTCTTGCTGGGTCCACCAGCAGCTCGACAAGTTTTCTCCCACTCAACATCCGGGCCGGAAGTATTGTAGTACACAACAATGCTCTTGATGGTCATGAAGACGTCTGTAGTGCTCGGCGTACCACTCCACCACTTGTTCCCATCAGCCCACAGTTTCACTTGCAAGTTGCCACCAGCTGTCGGGATGTTATTGTCATTCGTGTGCATGAGCTTGCCGTCAACGTAGTAGTCAACGCCTCGGACAGGATCGCAGTCAAAGCGGTATTCATGAAAGGTTTCGGGATTGTAGCCAAACTGGTTCAGGGGACGTGATACTGTGGCGCTTGGGATAGGTGAACCGTCTTGTGCAAGTGAGGGGTGCAATGTGTAGTTGATAGTGTTGTTGACTAGAGAGTTTCCTGCCGTAACGATCTCGACATCGATCTCAGACCTATCATCCTGCGAGCCACATCAGTATACGTCTTGTTTTTTTGGCACCGTCAAGTCACTCACGTGATACCAGAAAAATCCCGCGCATGCTCCTCCGTGTGATCCTTCGAGCTTGAAGACAATTCGATACGTGCCATGAAGCATGTCAAGTGTTCTTGACTGTATGGCAGCTATGCTCACAGGGCGATATGCTCGCAGGTCATCGGCGCTGTATCCACGTTGCCTAAGTACCAGAGAATTGTCCTTGATCTCGACATTTCTCCAGTCATATCTGGCGTTGAGTCGGATGGCCGTATTGTCGGCGTTCTGCTAGAAATCGTACATCATCCAGTCTCGGTTGAATTTGGCAGCCGTCGGATTGTTGAGAACCGATGTGACATCTGGATATTGGCCGAAATCCTCGAGTAGTCGATGCGTGTAAAGGGCATTCTCCTCCTTGAGGCGCCAGCCACAGAGGCAATCGGCGCCGTAGGACAAAGATGCCAGCATGATGGTAAGAGCACATATGAAGTGGGAATGCATTGTACCGATGCAGTGATGAGACTAGTGGTGATGATCATTGAAAGAATGTTGAGATGATTGACGAGGTCAACTGATCCGTTCAGAGACAGGAAGGAGCGCCATAAGAGGAACGTGCTTCATGCCAGGTAGGTGGGGGAACACTTGTTTCCGGCAGGCGTCTCTGCCACATGATCGGAGACGTACTGCATCACTAGAGTGTCTAGATCAGTACGGTTTGTATCTTGCATCGGCCGGTGCGCCTTTCTTGGATTTCGATGCCGCGGTCATGGGTAACGAAACAGGCTGAGCGTCCAGGTCCAGTGGTCGGAAAGCTGCAATTCTTCCATCCTCGCCAGCGGTGAAGATGACCCCGTTCTGGAAACGGTCAGCGATCAAGGCCGGTTTGCCATAGGTGCAACCTACCACTTCGTCTGCAACAATTGAGCGGACGACCTCTTCACCGTGAGCATTTTCTAGCACGACTCGCTCGCTAAGATCGAGTTGGCTGCCTCGATGGAGTTTAACCAAATCAACCCGAGATTCACTGTGCCAGACAGGTCAATAAAGTCAAGGGTAAGGTTCTTTGTCAGACGCACCTGTGCGAGCCGCAAGCCACGACATGGTCTGGGCCTGTTGGGAAGACATCAATCACGTACTCGCAGGGAACAAGGGGCCGCAAGTCCCCCAGTTGGTTTGGAGATGGCTCGATTACATCTGTGTCTTCGAGAGTAAGGGAATGTAGCGCAAGGTTTTGATCGGAGCTCAATGCATAGAGGTCGGATACACCGAGAAATCCCGCTTTGTGGATCGGACCATGGTTGACCGCTTGGAGGAGGCTGTCTTCTTCCTCGACGATTTGAGTGTCGAAAATACTGACCAAGCCATCATCTCCCCCAGCAAGTAGCACATTATCTCGTGTGGGATGGAAATCCAGCGCAGTAATCTCATCGTTGAGCTCAGTGTTTTGCCAGCGCATCCGCAGCTGCCTGCGATCCCTGCATCATGCTCAGCTGTTGTCGAGTGTGTTTCTGCTAGCACATTTGATACAGGCAGAACAAATAATATGGACCTACCAGACAGAAACTATAGCCTCGCTACCCACAGCGACATCATGTCCCCTGCACACTACTGCGTTGACCGCTTTGCCTGGATAAGCTTGCATTAGTCCCACGGACGTGTGAACGGCCGGGTGGATACGAGGTACCAATGGTGAAATGTGTAGCTTTCGATTGAGTTCGCATGTCGAATGTGACGACATGACCATCGCTGCCTGCACATATCGTCGTCTTTCCCTCATCCGAGGAGACTAGAGATGTGAGACCTTTGGGGACATCTTGCAGGAGTGAAATGCTCGAAGCTTTGAGGTTACCCCGGTCCTGCAACAAGAGCAGCTCATCTGCAGAAGTGATAGCCGCAAGGGCTCGATCAGCAACAGGTGTTACCGAGAAGATGTAGACATCCTTTTGTCGAGACGGCGCACAGCTCGCGATCTCACGATATGTGCGTATCATGTTGATGGAGGTTAATGACTGAAGCTGAAGCGGACATTGAGCAAGATGATGCTCAGCCCGACAGAGGCAAGATGGTCGCGATATTGACCGGTGAACAGTATTGGAAATCCTAACACGATGCAGACTTGAAAATCTTTTGGTGATGGTGGAGTGAGAGGCTAGGAAGACGAGGGAGGCTAGCTTAGCCGGGACTAGGGCTAGTAGGCTAGTTACCAGGCTCACTAGGCCAGAAGGCAGGATCACTGTTTCCATGGACTCACCAGGCTCACCAGCTCCATATTCGATGCCCATCACTGCCCTTCGACGTGAGAATTCGAGCACTATGGCGCTTACCACCCATCACACAAATTCTCGTAGCTCAGCTGCACCACAAGATCACCAAACACTGGACGAACAAGAGTAGTTCGCATGGAAAGAACGTCGATAAACGGAGCCCGCGACACGGATACCCAGGTTATACTCCGTACTCACTGATGCGGTGCCCAAGTAAGACTTGATTTGTTTCTGGGCGAGAAGGACGGGCCGCAGAAACCACTCCCTTGGCTCCCACACGCCCTGAGCCTGCCGCCTAACTAGACCCTGAACTCGAACCCGAACGCAGCCGAGCTGTTGATGCTCCACAACAAACCGAGACTTCTTCGACATGGATGATGCTGCCCGTGCTACAGAAGCAAGCGATATCCTTTACGACATATAGACTTGCGGAGTCCAATGTGCTTTCCTTTTGGAGATGAATCCTGTTGATGCGACAAGCCTTCGCCTGTCAAATCGTGTCAATGTGTCTGTCCACGAGCTCCTCCCACGCTTCGAAAGGGTCATGGCAAAAGTATCAAACCCAATTAGCAGCCGTGGATATTGTGGAGAAGCGGTTCGATCAACTGTGACGAGAGTGTGAGCACCTCTGGAAAGAGCTTGCTGCAGCCGGTATCGTGCTGTTTTCTCCCGCTAGCTGAAACCAACCGCCTGGGGGATATGAATCAACCCTGTCAAGAAGATGGTGTGGCGACTCTCTCTCATGCCTCTTCGCCTCAGGCTCGTGTTCGCGCAAACTGCGGTGAAGCTGTAGTCAGTTCCGGGAACATGTGACTAACAGTGACCTAGGTATGTGCATTTTGGTAGGTCTGGGCTAAGGGTGCGAGTCTGCGAATCCTTGTGCTCTTGGGTAGACTCGGACCACTGCCGGGCAGAGCAGAAACTGGCCGCCACATGCTCCGATGAGCGTGAAGCGGCTGTCGAGGTACGCAATTGGGTACCGTTCTGTCGGGTCAGAAGTAGGCATTCGACTTTCGGCCAGCGATTTCCGCGGTAACTTTATGAGTGGGAGGTCTTGCACGTGTAGCGTCATGTATTCCCCCTTTTTTTCAACCGTTGACGATCTTTTCCAGAGATGCCACACCTGACCAGGGGTGACTTGTGACTCGTGTGAGGTGGAATGGCATGGAAGTGATTGCAGCCTTGTCTACACAGGTAAAGAAAGGCACGCTGCAGCGATCTCGCAGGTCGCAAAACTCAACAAGAACTAGGTCGTCACAGGCTGGTGCCTACCTAGACGTGCATGCTGCCTGATGATGTCGGTGTATCACACCGAATAAGATTCGCTCAATGGACCAGCGTCTGCTGCGGACTCGACAGGGTGGACGAGCAAGGATGAGACGCGCAACTGCGGACTTGTAAGGGGAATGCAAAACGCCGCTACCTAGGTACTATCGAAGAATTGCCTGAAGGTCCGAATGGGGGAAGGGAGACGAAGATGGTGTGATGGTCGAAGTGACACTGGTGTTGATTGCAAGGAAAGTGATAATGCATCGACGACAGGAAGTGTGGCGGTCCCGAGGGAGTGGTTCATGGAAACGCAGCCATCAAGCGACAGAAAGGGTAAACAGTTACCTGCATCATGCCTGGGCTGGTAGGTACAGTACTCCGTAGAATGCACAGCCTGACAGGGCAATGATGCCTAAGAGGTGCGGAAAGGTGGGCGCTTCGGGACGCCTGGGGGTCATCCGAAGTTGGAAAGCCAGTCACCTAACCAGTGAAGGCCCAGTGGAGAAGCATAGTAGCAACTAGGTTGCAGCCCGAAGAACCAAAGGATGTGACAGTGGCGCCCTGAAGACTGAAGATTTTGATCCCAGCAGTTCGGCGCTCGTCATAGGCAAAAGACACATCCTTCCTCGCCATCCACATACGAAGTTACCATCCCCATCCAACCATATCCACTACCAATCGTATCAACCATCGCCGTTCATCCTACTCAGCATTCTTGCCAGAGATCCCACAGAGAACTACTAGTATGGCCCAACCATGCAAGCTGCCCATTCTGTAGCCACGATGCGTTGGCCGCCTGCTACGAACAGCGGTCAGTTCTTTTTTTCGGTTTTTTGAACACCTACTCTTACTACGTATACTCGGATCGGTCTAGCTTAGTGCCACCCCCAGGACCTGGAAGTGTTAACCGAAAATCGCAGAGTGGACGGAAACGACCACAATAACGAGAAACCCTCCGTACTTTCAGTCTTTCCCCGGCATGAAGCTCGTCGTCAGTAGTCCCAAGTCCAGCTTCGATACGACCTTCTTTACTGGGCTTCGCTAAAGAGGCCTCATTACGGCATCTTGCTAGGCTTGTTCTTGACACATCCTGGTCCGAGACCCCATTATCCTGCACGACATCTGTCTTACGCAGACCCTAGTCATACACAACCCAAACCATAAGCGATTGACTTCGCCCACAGACTGGTTTAAAAATCCATCTACCTCGACAATTCCAGAGACGATTGCTTCACGTTCTCTACTATCTTTGCTTCGGCTTCATTCAGCCCGGGAATTCACTCGGATCTTCTTCGCCTCGAGACTTCGACCACCGATCGACGTTTGATAGCTTTGCCTTGAACAATTTTCATTGCCATTGTCCACTGTTCCATGTCCATAGACTGTGCACGGCTCATGATAGACCTCTTGTCTATGCTCAAGCGGTATCCACTGGTGGTCTTCTCCCGACCTCCACTTAGCCGCTCACAGCCCACTATCTGTGTGATTTTGCGAATTGCCGGCTCTCTTCAAAGGCTTCAAATCATTTAGCCTTCTCTTCGACCCGGCCACCTCGCAAACTGTCTTACCAGCTCACCCCCAGCGACTGGAACCCGGCCTGCCCATCATTGGAATTGGGCAAACAGATAGGTGCTCTTTCCTGGTCAAATCCGCTCCTGTTTGTGCTTGTTCGAGGCCTGTGGTCTGCATCGCGGCTGCCAACGTCCGCTTGACCGCTTCGCGTCCGATGCTCACTCGAGGGAAACAACATATTGTCGAACTTGCAACATCACTTCTCGAGGCATTCGTACCAGAATCGCATTCGACGTCGCAATTCCTTCTAAGACACGCAAGAGGTTCTACGCCACCGGCAACAATTTCGCTCTAGAGAGTACGACACTGCCTCATATTTTCGAGACCCTCGATGGCTGAGGTTCTCGCCCATCTCCCTGGAAGACAAACTGTTCAGGAGTATGGCAGAGAATATGGCACTTTCAGAAGGTAGGTGCGCGAGCCCTCCATGGTCTTTGCCGAGTCTGACTTCGTCGCCAGGGGTCAGTATATGCTCCCTCACGATCGCAAAGAAGCGGAGCGGCTGGACCTGATGGACACGATGATCAAAAAGACCAGACCTCCAGCCACAAGATTAACGCAGGTCCAAAAAGAGCTTCTCAAAAAGCCAGCCTCGGCTCTGGGAGAAAGAGTGCGGATTCTCGACCTGGGTTGCGGCACAGGAGTGTGGATGAATCAAATGGCCGACTTCCTGCCCGATGCAGAGTTCGTTGGGGTCGATATACATTACCAGGGCCCCGAGTTACTACCTCCCAATGTCGGGATCAGAGCACCCTGGGATTATGAGGGTCCGTGGGCACTAGGTGAGAAATCCTGGGACCTGATTCACCTTCAGTTGGGTCTGGGTAGTGTCTCAGACTGGCCGGGACTATACCGCAAGATTCGGCGTCATCTTATACCAGGCAAGGGCATTTTTGAGTCGGTCGAGATCGACTTCCAACCGAGATGCGATGATGGCACTCTGAAGAAAGGAAGACTGACTGACTGGTGGGACTTATACATCAAAGGGTCTTACGAAGCTGTCAACCGCCGTCTACATTATGACCCCAACACTGGCGAGATGCTCAAAGCGGCTGGGTTCAGGGAGCGAGACATCCAGCACGTTGTCTACCGGATCCCCCTCAACGGGTACAAGCACCCCGGCCAAGAGCCAGAATCATGGTGGCAGGTCTGTATGTCTAGCGACAACGACGGCGGATGTGGTCTCGAAGCTATGAGTCTCTTTCCGTTGTGCCATTTGCACAACTGGCCAACAGACCACGTGAGGCGATTATGCAACGAGGCCGTCGCCCAGGCTGCGGATCCGAACGTGCATGCTTACAACGAGCTGCACATATGGACAGCCAGAGCACCCAGCGAAGATTGACGAAAGAACACCACGACCACAATATCAAAATGGGAGGCTATCTGACATATCATCGGATTTGGGGCGCTCCAAAGCATCAGACATATTCTCGCAAGGCATAAAAATCATCATTATGCTCCAACCATTGGACCATTTATGCAATCAAGAGGACATGGTTGCCGAGCAGAACACGCCCACGGACGCATTGAATCCCGCAGCTACGAAGACCGAAACGATTGAAGTATTACCGCTCCTTTAGACTTGGTCGTACAGAAACCTATCCTTAGCACAACATTCGCACCCGGATACTCGGCACGATATCCTGGAGGAGAATCGATAAAAGACGAAAGAGAGTGCGAGGCTCAGCGCTCGGAGCTAGCAATGCCATGAGCCCTGGTCGACGATCATTCAGAGCGGGCACTTACCTGGCCCAGCCAACAAACTAGCGCGAGTGGCGGTACAGGGTTCCTCGGATCTCTCAAATGCTGGCCTTGACCGACAAATGGGTTTCCAACTGCTAGTCCGCGAGAATCTCGATTGCGTGTCCACGACCGCGAAATCACGAGCCTGGTCCGGGGATGAATCTATGCAATCTCCATTGGTCTTGCGTGATCAGGGTCTGGACAATGGGCATGCCTTTCTCGGGTATGGAAACTGTTAGACTCTTCTGCATTCACGTAGATCTGCGAAATCCTTCTTCATGCTCTCGCGTCAGCCGCATTCCGTTGCTCACAGCAGGATCGAAAGGGTTGGGGAGAAAGTCGAGAAAGATGCTTTGTTTTGAACGTAGAATTTTTCATTGGCACATTGAGACTTCCACTTCTGCTGGTTACTTACGTCCACCACGCAGCACCAAGCCAGACCTCAGGGCCTCATGATCCGAGTTGAATGTAACTGAGCAGGTTGTCTCAAATTCGAGCCTCAGCCTCGGTTCGACTTTGCTCCGGTCGCTCTATGGTCATGCACGATGTTGTTCAAGGGAAAATGGCCCTCATCTTCTTTTAACGACCCGTTTTCGCATCGTCCATTGCCCATTGAGCTTCGATTTCTGCGGCTTACCTCCTCTCTACCCACACCCAAGAGACGAACGTCTCCTGTGTCCTGACACCAAAAGCCATTTCACTCTCCACCCATTTAAGCAAATGTGTTTGGTCGGTTCGGGACGAACAGCTTCTTGGAGCCGGTGCTGCGGTGAGGAAGAGGGAATTTGAGGTTCTTGGAGATCAATTGCTTGATGTACGGTCGCTTGACGTCGTTCTGGTTGGTGATTTCAACGACTTTGAGAATCTATCACAGACACACCAGTCAGCACCTTACTCTGCATGAGGTCGCTTTGCAGACTGAGCTGCCGAAGTTGGCTTGCAAAAACGTACGTGAATGCTCCTGAATCTAGCACGATGTCTCGCGGCCATATCCTGGTAGAGGGCCTCGACGGCATCGGTGCGGCTCATCTCACGGTACTCCTTGTACATGTTGTGTGTGCCGGAGCGGGAGTCGTAACGGATCCAGATGCCAAAGTTCTTGACCTTGAGGGGTCGCTTCTCGTGGATGACGTTCAGGGAGACGATCTCGCCGTTGGACTTCTTGACCTTGCGCAGCTTCATGAGGAAGTACCAGAAGCGGGACTTGGCAACCACGGTGTTGGGTGCGAAGATTCGCATGCGGTAGAGTTTCGGGGTCGGGTTGGCGTCTGTAGGCAGGTGGCGCCCGATGACCTGGTATTCTTGAAGGCGACCTGGAAACAGCCATTATTAGTATCGGGTGTCTTCGTGGTGGTAGTGGAAAGATTTGAGTCGAAGTGCTGTGGGAAACGATGATGGATGGATTGCGCGATGCTCCAAATCAATGTGACATTGATCAGCCTCCTCTTAACAGCCAGATGAGCATGATGCGAGTTCGGTCCTCCTCTGTCACTGTGTCCCTCCTCTTCCTGACTCTTCAGATACGATCTATCGTTTCGCGCGTGATGTTGCTTGTGCTCGGAGAATTGGAAGCTGACTTACCCATCTGCAAAAAGGGTCAGTACTTGTTGCACTATTCTCTACAGAGACTTCGACATACCTTGACTGTATTTTGATCGACTGCGGCGTCTTTGTCGATGTGGTTGAATCGTCGAAATAAAAATGGCTGCTCCTCGATTGAAAGTTTGTGGGCCTCAGTGTGCTGGAAATTCTTGGCGCTAGTCCGATCCGGTGGATTATGTTTGCCTTCATGCAGAATTTGCTACGGTGCTTCAAACAAGGCCAAGACGCTATTTCTGATTGGTTTCTTGCTTCTCGTGAAGACTTCATCAGGCCTTCGTCCATACCACTTGCCAAGACCGTCTAATCTGTCTATGGATCCCTTTAAATCGGCCTCTCAAACGTACTGGTAGATTCCTAGCGTTCGGTTCGGTTCAGTTCAGTTCTTACACGAGTGAGGGATTGATGCTTGAAGTGGCTCCGAGTGGTCAGTCTCCCCCTTCATTTTCGTTTTCGGGAGGCAGTTCTTACTCGGCCAGCCCCCAGGCCAGGGGCCAGTGAGATGGGGAGCATTTTCGCAGACTTCCAAGAAGCCCAAAGGTTAGGCGATGGAAGGCTGCTGGCCACCTGCTTAGGCCCCATCGACTCAGACCGCGACCCTCGACGCGTGCAATCTTTTGCACAATTATCCAATCACCAGACCATTTCAGCAGACGTCCGATACCATCTCGTCCAAGACCGTAATGCGGTCAAACTTCCCAAAGCAGAAGCCAATGCTTGGGTCGACATCTTCGTCGCTTTGTGGAAATGCGTCAAAGAACTCGCCACCATCCAAGCCGGCGGCGCGGGCGACTGGACCAGAGCCTTCGACTCCTACAAAGACATGTGCAACCTCCTTGTCCGAGGCTACACGAACTTCGGCTTTCAATCATGGACGATCCCTTGTCTCTACGTAGCAGGCAAGTACCTACGCATGATCGCCATGAAAGCCGACAGTCAAGACAAACCCAAAGACTCTGATGGATTCACCAACGGCTTCGCTGACGACATAATGAGCGACACGAACAAAAACAAAAATCTCGAACAAGCAGCATGGACCATCAACCGCATGTTCACCGTTTGTCTCAGTGACCGCGCCGAGCTCGCCGAGTCGCGCAAATGGGGCATCTACAGCACCACGAACCTGCTGTTCAAAACATATTTCAAACTCAACTCAATCTCACTAACACGCAACGTCATCCGCGCCCTCGAGGCAGCGCAACCTGATCTCCCTCCACTTGAGTTGTTTCCCAAATCCCATCGCTGCACATTCAAATACTACCGTGGCGTTATCGACTTCCTCCAAGAGCATTACACGGACGCCGAGGCCAACCTCACTGAAGCATTGAATCTATGCCACAAAGCCTGTCCGCGTAACCGCGAACAGATCCTCACTTACCTTATCCCCGCGCACGTCGTTAATACCCACCAGCTTCCCACTGCGTCCCTGCTCGCTCCACATCCGGCACTCTCCAGCATCTTCACGCCATTGTTCACTGCCATCCGAACAGGCTCACTCGCGCAATTCGACGACGCCCTGTCCAACGCGGAGCCCGAACTCGTCAGACGCAGAATCTACCTGACCCTCGAGCGCACGCGAGATATCTGCCTTCGCAATCTTTTCCGCAAAGTCTTCCTAGCTGCCGGGTGGGAAGAGAGCAAGGACGCCGCCACGGGCGAGGTCACCGGCAAAATCCGCCGGACTAGGATCCGTATCGAGGAGTTTGAAGCCGGCATGCGCGTCGGATCCAAGGGCGCTACGGATGTGATGATGGAACGGGATGAGGTGGAGTGCTTCTTGGCGAATATGATTTACAAGGTACGTCTCCGATCCATCGGTTGGCTTCACCTGCCTTGCAGTCGTCCTATTGCTATGTGCTTTTGATGCTGCCTGCTGTTTCTATCGATCGTCATGCGAAGACGCATCTGTCGTGGCACATGGCTGCCTAGATGAGGTAGTGCCTGGCGTGAGGCTGGGCTTTTGGATACACCACTGTTTTCGTTCATGCTTGCAAGGCAACCAGGAGGGACGCTAAAGGCTGACGTGATTTTTTTAACGTGCTTGCAGAACTTAATGAAAGGTTACATTGCACGGGATCGAGGCATTGTTGTGCTCAGCAAGGCCGGCGCCTTTCCTGGGACGGGTGTTTAATTCGTCAAGTTCCATGCTAGGAGCACATGTCGACAACATTGTCTATGAAGCATATTATTTGGTATCGACGTTTGCGTTGAAATTCCTAGCTCGGGTGAACTGGACGTGTCGCCTGGAGAACGGCACCATCAAGCGATACCACGCCCCAGGCAAAGACATGACGCCAAACACTCCTGTTAGTATCCGCACAAGAGCGGTCTGAGAGACATGTGCATTCTCCCAACATCCAGCTACGAGCGCAGATGCTGTGGGAACAGCGTGCTAAGCTCCTTCGGTCAATCAATGCTTTGAAAGCCATCAGCAGCACTTGTCCCAGAAAATCCTACCCGTCCAGACGACTGGCCATGATTCATCCTCAGAAATCCACGCTATTTCCCAAAAAGACATGGGCGATATTTGCACGCCGTTTGCAACATACCATACCAGGCATGGTACATATAAAGTGTACTTCGACCCTGTGCCATGGGCCCCCTCCCCTTGACCCTGGTGCATCCCGCGAAGAGAAAAAGGCATCAGGTCCGGATGGCCCCCTCTACACCATCTTCTGGCAAGACAGGGCGCGGCAAGGTAAAAGGCATCGGAAATGCACGTGTCAAATCTGCCCGCGAACCTATCACCGTCCACCAGCACTATTCCTACTTCCTACGAGGGATGTGACAGGTCCGAAGCCACCTTTCCCAGCTTTTTGAGTCACGCACTTGGATCACGGAACAAAGGGTCCAAGCTTCCACTGCTCCTCGACGCCAGGCATCATTCCCACATACACCTCGCTTATTCACCTTCCAGGCATGCGGGGACACGGGCACAAAAGTCAATTCTTGACCCTTACGGTGGGCCAAGCTAGGAGATCTGGCGTATACGGCGGTTGCCTTGTGCAATGAGCAAGCTACGGACTTTTGGCAGAGTGGAATCCGCCAATGAAGTCAGCCTTCCTCTTGAGACACGCAGGACGTCTGGAATGGACGGAAAGTTGTGCAGTGCAAATCACTGAGACTATTTGAAAAAGCAACATTAAAGTCTCTACGTGTGGGATAATGAGATTTCATTCGTTGTTCCCTTGAAAATTGAGCATTGCATTGCAGATAGCATATCGAGTTGCCTGGGATTGCATTGCATCCAAGCATTCTCCCTTGATTCTGCTCCTCGCATCGCCAGCGGCGAAAAGACCTAAATTTTACAGTCTTGTACTGGCAACAATCTTCCAGTCGGATCGACAAACAGACATTTTTGGGTTATTGTAATAATGATACATGCAAAGCAACCCATGACTCCTGTGTTCTCTTACCAAGAAACAATTTGAGATGCAAAGTGGCGACCTGGCAATCTTGTAGGTGAGCTGGTACATTGTTCTCGATCTAGCGAGTAAATGGTGACGACCACGGCGAGCGCATGGTTTTCAGGTCATCCTGGAGAAGGTCAATGAGGTTGATGGATTTGACATAGAAGGCTAGGAAACTTACCATGTGGTTACACATAGCGACGAAGAGGTCGAAGAACAAAGCGGTGCCGCCTTGCTCCATCTCGACCTTCATAGTGCCGCTCTTCTTGAAGTTGTTGCGACTGCGGATGATGAAGGTGAGATACTGAGCTCGGAGCTTTGAATCCGAGTCTGGAGTATGGTTGTAGGCATATCTTGCTGAAGCTAGAATGGTAGATATTGCCATGCCCGATCGTAGGCCTTGCTTGCGAAGGGCAAGACGTTTCAAGTCTTCAAGACCGTATAGCTCGGCAGAGCAGCTACAGACCATCAAGGTTAGCACGGCAGTATCGAGGAGATGCAAACGACATACTAAATGACTGTGTCTTTCATCAGATTCTCCTTGGCAGCATGATGATAGATTGTAGTATTGGCACCATTTCCTTCGTCTTCCAGTTCCCACGTATCCTTTCTTTTATTGTGGAGCAATTTCGGGTAGTAGTCTCCCTTGTAGAGATATTCTAGAACGGCAGACAGGATCTCTGGCTGTTCATCGGGCAAGGTGATTCTTCGAGAATGGTTCTCGAAGAACTGGTCCTTGCATAGAGATTGGAAGAAAGGTGAACGAGAGATGATTTCTTCGTGGCTGGCAAAGAGTCTTTGGTCGGGACCAACACAGATGGTAATGATGGCGGAGGTGAGGGTGCTTGCAGACTAAGTTAGCATGGTTCATGGTGAGCATTGTGGTCAATACTGACCTGCCGACGGCTGGGCTTGTGTGACTGCCATGTTCTCTTCTTGCAGACTTCACAGATTCCGATCTCTGCATGCCCCTTGTGATCGACTGCTCACGAAAGGAGCTAGGGGCCTTCTGCTTAGTATATTTGCTAGTTCCATATCTTGACGAGAAGCTGTTTGAGGGTTGTTGTCTTCTGCTGCTGAACATGTTGATGAGGGGACTCTGGCAGGGTAAGTCTCGATGGAATGTGCTGCTCAAAGTGGGAAAGAGCGCAGCTGTAGCAGCACTGACGTAGAGTATTGCAGTCTAGTCAGTGGAAGCAATCAGAAAACTCGGCAGTAATGAACCCTGGAAATGGATTCGAGAAAAAGGAAAGATGGAAGCAAGGCTGCCTGATATCAATCAGATCAATCGAGTCGAGACATCAGGAGTCGAGAGAAGACCTTCGGCAGCAGGAGGAGCTTCGTTATAATCATCCCGGCATTGGATGCCTACCTGGCAGGAGAGCAAGGACTGCTTGGGCTTATCGCTGGAAATGCTCTGAAATTGGCTAGATATAGCTTCTACGGAAGCAGTAACACGTTCCGCGTCCGCCTGGATACACGCTAGGCACACGAAGGCACATGACCAATGCAACCTCTTTACGGGTCTTCCAGGCCATCTTCGACTGTGAGTGGCCGTTAGATGAGTCAAACAAATGACTCGGCACTTTTGTCCCAGGTCTGCCTCAGCCCAGAAACCCGGGGGCCTACATGGGTATGAAGCTACATAGTGCCCAGCCACCCACACTGCCCTCGTTCTGGCAGCCGAAGCAAACTGCATGTGCATTTTCGCCACCTGAGCCCATCTCCCGGCCTGGCACATCACATCGGATGCTCTGTGATAGTCGAAGACCAAGTGTTGCATCACGCCACAGGTACCATCGCGAAATGCATGGTGCGCCGGTGTGTGCAACGTACCGAGTGTGACACATGGCAGGCTGCCATATGAGTCGTATACTGATGGACGACCCCACGACCAAGAAAAGCCAAACTCATCTGGCGCCGCTACTCGTACCGACGGTCTTCGACCGGGAAGAGCGAGAATCTCAAGAAGAGGGTGTGTAGCTTTTGCATATCAGTGGGGACCAGAAAGAAGATGAAACATGAGGCTTCGGTCGGCTTGTTCGGACCCCAGACCGCTAGTCAAGCATTTGCACCTGCATTAAAAATCCGGAAAGGGTAGGCTTTCAATTAGCGAGTTTGTTCCTGGCATAAGCCTCGAGCAAGCGGCGCCTAATCAGCGTGTAGAGCTGGGCTTTGTGCCCTTGGTAAGCCTATATCCCTATATCTGGCACTGAATCGTTGAGATGACTTGATGACATTAAGACATATATACTCCATACTCCGTAAGTGAGAGGGAAGTTCCAGCACAAGGGCTGCCTTGCGTATACTCCCTACGCAGTGTGTCTGCAAACCATACATTCCTCACAAGAAGACTCTTTTCGCTTCTTTGGGGTGACTCTCTATTGGGCAGTACGGGCACTTGAATTTGGCGCCCTTGCTGAGCTTTTGCAGAGACTCCTGTGCGATGACATGGCAGCACGGTAGCATCATTGGAGGATTTTGATCTGTTGACTGCTCCTTGGAGACCGGACAAACGAAGATAGAATGAAACCGGTAGGAAGGAGGTAATGGTGTCTCGACGGGCAGTTCGTTCTGTGACGTCCATTCTGTTCGCTTCTGTTTCTGTATTGTTTGCAGCTTCATCAACGTCGGCAAGGCGATGGCTCCGGCAGTTGCAGCCACGTATAGTGGCGAGTCTGCCGACAGCTCGAGCAAAGAGCAGAACTCGCGGGTAAAAGAGGTAGCAACCTCGTCCCAAGCCGTGCAATTGTTGAATCTGATGTTGTAGGGCGACTCTGCCAGATTGGAGCAGAATGGGATGGCTCCCATGAGCTGCTGTATTTCTACCAGGTATCTTCCTCGAAAAGACTGAAACTCCGTTTGAGCGTACTGCAGAGCCCGCATCGGCCCGGCGAATTCATGTTGGTCTTCGTCTCGCTGCTCCATGAAGAGGCTGACAAATTGTAACCTGCAGAGTTCGAATTCTAGATTGCTCCCACGTGCCTCCAGCGCTGCCGCGTTGAACCGTGCCCAGTCGATAGCTGGTTGGAGATTGTGGTTGTCCTTCAGCTCGCTGAGGATATGGTACATGTTGGAGAACTGCTCTTGCATGTTTTCTTCCGAGCTCTTATCAAGACCCAAAGGATGCTCCATCGAGATGTCCAAGCCCAGATGAGCCGCTGTCTCTTGCTGCATTCTTTGTCGCTCCATTGCTTCGGTATGGAACGTCGAGGCCACATCAAACAGTCCTTCTCTGAGCAAGTGTAAATATATGGCTCGGTTGATGAGTGTAGGATGGGCAGACAGTGCGTCGATCTCATTGCTGGGGACTTTCTCCTTAAAGACCTTATCCAAGGCTCTCGTATACTTGTTGTGCAGCCCATGCGTGTCTTTTAGGCCAGTGAATATGCCGTCAAAGGAGGTCTTGACCGGGTTTTGCAGTTTCGCAAGAGTGATTTGTCTTGAATTAGGATCTTCGGCAATGGCGTCCCGCGCCCTTTGGAGCTGCTTGATAATGTCGTCGACATTTTGGAGGGTCTTCGACTGCTTGCTGTTGTTCCACACCTTGTCATGCTCTTTCTGAATGGCATCCATGGCGGACGATCGGTCCAACGGTTATCAACTTCGTCCGGGGTTCGTCTGTTTCATGGCCGGCGGCAGGCTTGAGGAATTCTGCTCCTTACAAATGCCTTATGAGGAGAAGAGGGTAGATGATTTCACCGTGCTTGATGCGCCACCTGGGCACGCGGAAGATCAAATGGCTGCGTGACGAATGGTTAGACGTTGGGTACCGCTTCCACGCCTCATGTTCAATGATGCAGCACGTGAGAGCACGCGCTTAGCTCCGGCGTGCTCCGGGCAGTCATTCTCCCCGCAACGCCCGGACAGCAACGACGATTCTCCAAGACCGACCAGCTCGCCGCCTTAATTAAACCAGAAGCGGATTTCCCTACAACAACTTTACATCTCAAGCAACAGAACGTGGGCGATAATCAATCAACTACATTATAATAAATATCCCTCCGACGCTTCTCGTGAATGATGCCGATACAAAGCGATGAGTGGAAATTTCGGCGTCATGAATTACGCCGCTCCGAACTTCCGAAATCCATACCACCACCTTCATTCATATATGGGCTCGCCTCAAGACAAGTCTGCAAAATCCAGTCCCAAGGAAGACGCTAACGGTCCCGAGCAAGACGGGCAGAACATTGTTAGCCCAGTGTCAGCAAGCTCTCGTCAGAGTAGGCCAGGGCAGAGCAGGAGACGAATGGTCTTTTCAGATCCTATCGCATTCCGGTACTTGGAAGAAGATCCTGCAACCGATGCCATTGAGCGATGGAGGCGACTTAAGGGCTATGAATTATACATTGTAGAGCAATGGGCTTGCTCCAGGACGCATCCTACTTTTGTCATCTGCACGTACACCGGCGACCCTTCACACTCCATCCTAGTCAACGTTCTTGCGGTTCCAGGCGACGAAACCGCCTGGTCCCAAAGGCTACAAGTATACTTTCAAGCGGTCTCACAGTTCCACGCCAAAGAGAAAGACACGCCTTTAGGCACGCTAATGGTTACGAATCTAAGCGGCTTCCCGTCTGCCTTGACAGTTATCCCGATACCAGATGGCGATGTTCGGAAACACAAGGAGGACTTCATTGTCAATGAAAACCTGAAACGAATGGGATGTTCGGGCAGAGCCGGCCTAAATCTTCAGCCTCCTCAGCCGAGCACCGTTGCAAAGTTTCGCCACTTGTACCGGACCAGCGAGACGGTGCCGCTGTATCGGTCTGTCATGGAATTGGTGCGCCTATGTCAGATTGCGTTGGTCATGTACGACAAGCTGCAACCAGCCTATGCTGATGGGTTACTCTGCGATGTCACTGAAAAAGCCATCAACGATTGGTGGACTGACATTGGCACCTACTTCTACAATGTCGAGCCGAGCGACGGAATTCTTGGTGCTACCACTGTGGCGGCCCTTCTTGGCCTACTCATTGGTGCATACAATCGGTTGAAGGCATTTGGTTCACCCGTCGGCAAAGAGGTGCTGGACATATATCAAATGAAAAGAGCCATCGGACATTTCCAGAAAAGTCATAAAATGGAAAAGACGCGACGGCTCGATCGTGAGACCCTCGATCGACTTCATCGAGCAACAGCAAAGAATGCTGCTGGCGAAGGCTGGACTGTACCAAAGGCCGTCAAGTCCACCGTTGCCGAACTGAGCGGCAAAGGAGGTGAAATGGTCATGGGTATTGTAGGAGCCCGCGACAAGGCTGGCATTTCCGAAGCCGAGACGCTGGATATTGACCGCTTCGCCCAACTCGTTACTGGCCCCAGATTGAAATGGTTATGGCAAGGCAAACCCATCAAATCCGGAGATTTTGTTGCTCCCGTCGATTCGCTTAATGGACGAGTCTTCAAGACTGACGACCAAGGCAACTTTCTTTGGACGGGGGATCGACACGACTCGATCTTTGATGGCGGCACTCTTGAGCGGACCGATACCTCGATGACTAATCAGACTTTGGACGGGAGGTCTAATCGCAGTCGCATTCGGGATGCTGTAGGAGGGCTGAAAACTCATCGCTCTCAATACTCTAAGGATGGCGAGGACTCTCAGGATTGGATTGACGGCGGACTCTCCAAATCGTCCCGCCATCTGCCTCATGAATACACCTCACGCCCTCCAATGACTCCCAGGCAGACCGGTCCTCCTGCGTTAGACATGGCCCTGCGAGAAGCCGGAACAAGTTCTCCCAAGGAAATACGTGGTCAGCCGTTCACAAGAGCAAACACGACTTCAGGAAGACAGATACCCTCGCATCGTCAGCAACTGCGACCCTCATTGCCCGGAGATTCTCCTAGGAGGAAGAAACTCGTTGCCGAAATGGCTGAACTGCGCAACGAGTTCCAGTCGGACATTTACAGAAATTTCTCCGCCGAATTGCCATACAGAGGACTTCACAGCCGGGTTTTACGACGATCAGCAAGTGCCATATCTTTGACAGGCAGAATCGACGTCGACAGCCCCCGTGTCAACCGGCTTACACGGCGACTATCATTCAGCATGGTGGAAAATGCTGTCTTGAGGATGCCAGAAAACGTGGCCGAGGAGGGCATCGTGAAGGGTCGGATCGAAGGCGATCTTACAAATGCTCTGGCCGAACGTGAATCTCTAATCGCAGCTGCACAGAAGAAAGCAAGACGGATACAAACCATCCAGCAAGTGCTTATCCCCTTTACTGAAGGCCGAGTCGCTCATGTGGAGACGCTCGATCACGCTGCACATCAAAACCTGGAACATCTCAACGAGCTTTACTATCATCGGTTGGAAGAGTATCAGACTCTGCAAGCGACGTCATCGGACATCGTCTCTCACGAGAAAAGTGCGTTGACCGAGAGTCTTAGGAGGATCGAAATGCTTGGAGCGAAGATGGACTACGAGCTCGATTCATTGCAATCAAGACTGCAGGAAGTCGAGGACGGTGTCGGTGACTTCGAGCGGAATGTTCTTGCGATCGAGGCCAGGGTGAAGGAGTTGATTGGTCAAGAGGCGCCGAAATCAGCGCCTTGGTTACAGCAAGTGTTCAATTTCTTGGGATCGAGGAAGGGAGCCAAAAGCTGATTGATCACTTCAAGTAATTGCGTGAAGCTTAGCGAGGAGTTAGAATGGGAAGGCCGATCATGATGATATAGCCGGAGCATAATGTTGATTCTCTCCATGCAACCAGAATGGAGATGTTGTTTGAAGCAGACTCCTGCTTCAGCCGGCCTTGACAGAACAGCCATATACCTGTCGTTCATCAATGCTTGCGGCTCTCGAGAATTCCTCTCCATCAAAAATTGGCCGTTGTTTATTGTACAAAATCCTTAGGAATCGTCCTTGGTCGAGCAGCCGCCCTCGCATCCCAGTCTTTGAGAAAGCAATGACGATGCATAACCAAGCCGTCCATAATGCTCTCATGACTGTCGGCCACGATCGCGCAGGCCTTGGAAATTACAAAGTCGTCCTGCTCTCTTACATGCCAAACATACCACCAGCGCCTGCGCCACCTCCTCTTGCCGCCGCCTCTCCTTGCATCTTTTCTGACACCTTGATGTTGACTTCGAAGAACTTGGCCACGCATCGATCGAGGCACACACTCTCGCCCTTGTTGAGTTCGGCTTCGCGGTAATCGGCAGGTACGCATTTCGCCAGACACGATTTCGTTAATCTGTAGCCAGCAAGGTCAGCCCCGACTCGCCATCGCCCATGATCCGTTCAAAATGCCCTTTCCAGAGCTTCGACAGGATCGGGTACAGAGCAGATTCAATCATACCTTTTGTACATGTCGGACACTAATTCAACTTCTTGCTCGGCTGCCGCGATCTTCTCTGCGGAGCTTGGCTGAGGACGCCCACCGCCGAAGAGGAAAGACATGTTGGGCTGCTGTATTCTGCCTTTGGGTGCGAGACTGAGTGTTGACAGAAGAAGACGGACGTCGTGATACAGGATGCTTTCGTACGTTGTTCGGGTCCTTGAAATTGTAAATAATTCGTTACCGGAAAATCCGCCTGCGGTTTACGGAGTAGGCGGCTGCTGTTTCGGGCATTGGTCCTGAGCCTTGGTGGGTCGCCGCTTTTGACGTCGCTACAGTACATCAGGTAGGTACCTATGAAAACCGCTTTACCCTCCCTCTCTTCATCCTTCTGACTTGTCAGTGAGACGCGTGGCGCCAGAAGATCATGATACCATCGATTTCTGGGCCCGGCCCAGACATGTCAATGAAGTGTCGGGAGTGGACAGTCCGGCTAATGCAGCACCATATTCCTGAATTATTTAGGAATTTAAATGTGAGTCGATCGCCTTGTGCTTGTGAACACGAGCTTAGGGACTTTGGCTGGGAGCCTCCTCCCTCTTTAAGCTATCCAAAAGCTCTCTCCATGCCACGGCTGGCTACATGGTCTTGTTGCGGCCTACTGCTGATAGAACAGTGAGGGTTTCCTGGGCAAACCTGAAGAAAACTCTAGCCGACAACTACTTTATGTAACTTCTCGCTCGGTGTTCTATGTTTCAGATGCAATGGAACACGAACTTCGGACGATCCAGAAGATGCTGACAAGGCAACTAGACCAGTCCAAAGTGGTAGCAAAACAATTCATGCCTCCAGAAATAGCCAAGAGGAGGAAAACTGTTTCTGGTCGAGGCATATATTTGAGATACACTCACTTCCCTGCGACCTAGTAGTCCATCTCCAAAACCTCGGCACTTTCTCGCTTGATAAGGTCTACGTGTGCCTGGCTACGCGGCCGAATTTTGACTGCGAAAGGAGCTTCGTCGTGCTTTTCCCAAAATGTGTTGTATCTATCGATGGGATGATCCTAGACCAGAATTAGAGACACGACTTGACGTGACAAATCCCCTTGCTTACCGGGTCTTCCGCAAAGTCAAAGCAATATAGTAAACACGCAGCCGCTATCCACACGTTATTAACACCGACATTGTAGCCCACGCAGACTCGGCGACCTATATACCCAGAAATGTGTCAGTTTTTGATTCATTTCCGAAAACGAGGCAAGAACCACAGAGCTTACCGGCGCCAAAAGACCAATGACCTTTCAAAGGATGGTTCAGTTCGTCATTCATGAACCTTTCCGGGTTGAACGTATGCGCGTCCGTGTAGTCGCCCTCGTTTAACGCGAGAGCGTAGGCATTCCATGTGAATTGCGTTCCAGCAGGGAATCTGTACCCCTCGTACTCTTCATCCTGCGAGAGCATGTGCGGCACGCCCATCTGAAGGAAAGGGCGCCATCGCAGTGCCTCTTTCACAACCGCCGTTATGTAGGGTAAGCTTTGCCTATCGTTGAATGTGGGCAGGCGCTCGGCGTTTGATCCGCACACTTCATCCAGGAGAGCTTGTGCCTTCTTGACCCAACGTGGATAAACCGCCGCAGCCGCGACAAGTTGTGTAATGACCGTTCGAGACGTGTCGCTGCCAGCCTCAAATAGAGTGCTCAGAACCATGAGCTTCTCCGCTTCGTCAATCGTAGCGAATTCCTTTTTCTGCACTTCATTAAGCATGTCGATCGCAAAGCAGGGTTTTGCAACACCCTTTTCCATCTTGCTCGCCAGTAGGTCAAGTTCGCGTTGATAGACACTTTGAGAGATTCTTAGCCTGGTCTCAAACGAGGGATCCCTGCATTGGCCCAGGGTTGATAGTAGCCTGCACAATATGGGAGGGGGGAAGTGATACGTACGCCAGAGTTTCGTTGAAGTAACGCTCGCCGTAAGGCCTCCACCACTGCAAAGGCTTGGGCAGGCGTGCCAGCCACGGGAACAAGTCAGCAATGGAAACGGTTGGACTGAACAAGGCTTTCCCGAACTCGGCCATCTGGCCCAAAATGATGGCCAATTGCTTGTCATCGAGACGTGCTCGTCTACCAAACACGACGCTGACGATGACGGAATTCGAGAAGCGCTGATTCGCAAGGAAGAACTTCTCAGGAGCGTTCAAGTAGTCCCAGACCAGGTGCCTCGACTCCAACTCTTGATACGGCACAAATTTGGTTTCTGCTTGTTTGCCGTTCAATTGTGAATGCATCACCTTGCGCTGATTTCTCCATCTGTCCGTGTAACTCATAAGCAGCATGCGTCTGCCACCCGACATGATCTCTGCTGTCATGGGCCGATATGGACGGGAGGCTGTGATGGCAGCTCGCTTCTCCATGATGTCGTTGACCACGCGCGATGAGTTCAGAAAGACGATCGTTTTTCCGCCGAGATTGCATGTGAACCTGCAGAAGACAACCAACAGTAAGCAGTGACAAACCACGAGTACATATAGGTTGATCTGTCGTACATTTCACCGTATTTCTGTGCCATCTTGTATGTCCACATCCCAGCCGGGAACGGAACATCCAAGCTGTTTCCAATGAGTGGCCATCCTGGCACGCTGGGCGGTAGTTTGTATTTCTTTTGAAATTGATACCGAGCGACGACTGTGCGGATCAACAATGCAACCGTGGTCACGACGATGACCAGAGTAAACATCTGCATCGCCATCTTGGTGTCAAGTAGTGTAGGAGAATAAGAGAGATGTGAACAAGTAGTCGTGTATTAAGCATACCTATATCGATCGTGCCGGGCCAACGCTCCCACCTGAGACCGAGGACTTCCATCGCCTACGAATCTGTGAGGCTGAGCGCGCATTCGTGAGTCGTTCATTCCCACATCACCTCCGCTCAGCGGATTCTCCATCAATGCCTCCCCCACAAGCATCCCCCGCACCCTAGTATTCGACCGATCATTACCATAAGCCATCTAGTATGGATACATTGGCTAGACAGAAGATTGGTGTTGGTAACGGGACATATTCAGTCTCCTCTAGATATCTGTGGGGCGAATACCCCTGGGTGACCCTCGGCGTGGGGCAGATTTCAACGAAGACGAAGCGATTTCCACACTCTTCGAGCTCTTCACAGTATCTCAACCTCATCTATAGGCCCAGGCTGACCGAAAAATCGTTCCCGAGTATGGAACGGAGCTCCCAGGATGGGATAGCTTGGCTAAGGGGATGTATGGGTGGTGGGATAGAGCTCGACTCTTCGAGAAGAGCAATGCAAGCTGATGATCCTCGTACCTTGCTGCTTGTTCGCTCATCGGCAGCGAATCCGTCTATCGAGTGCAATCAATGGGATGACGCCTGGGCAGATTGACAAACCGTTATCCTGTCGATCTCGGTGACTAACGCCTCAAGTTACCAGCCGTATCATACCTGAACGAGATCATGAAAGCGAGAGTGGAAACGTGAGTAAACGTGGTTTCCACGTAGTAAAGCGGCACAATCTGGCCGTGCTCACGTGAGCCCGTGAGCTCCGGAAGCCCAAACTCTACCGAAGCTTAAGCGACCAATAGACATTTTTATCACGGTTGCTCCCCATCAACACCAGCGCAAACATTTGACTTGCTACCTCTGGTCATGCTGCTGCCTTGATGTCCAGCAAAGCAGCATGGCAAGTATGGCAGCTATCACGTCTGTCAGTTGTAGGAAGGTGAGTCCATCACTTTTGCCGCGTTCCAATTCCGGATGAAGAGACAACGAGAAGAACCGCTGCGAGTGATGCTAGCCTTGTGGCTTGCAATGATCACTACTGCTCCAGTGAATGTCTGATGCTGCAAAGATGCCTCATGTCTATGTACCTTGTGGTGTGAGGACTGTTTCTGACACCCATCGAACAGATGCCTACCATATCAGTTCGGTAGTACAGTCTGGCCTCGTGTTTACCAGAGGCTAGCGAATGCTTCAACATCATGGCTTCCCAAAGCTAGATTCACCACGGCAGCTGCCGGATGCAATGCCCATGACGCGGTCGACACGCGCATGATGGCGTCCAGTAAAGAGGTGGAAGAGCGCATGCAAGAGCTGGAACACAGCGGCACAAACCTCTATCCACGATACACTAGAGACACGCGCGCCCGGGATATAAGAACTCTCGTAAACGAGTTCAACGATGACGCTGGAAGCGACATACCGGCCCAAAACGCTGCAGCTGCAGAGATCGAAGGTATGCCCTTCCATTCCAGTGCCACATCAACGGTTGCGTCCTGACAATCACAGTCTCCGGAAGGATAACATCTATCCGCCTCAGCGGCTCGAAACTCGTCTTTCTCGACCTCGTCCAAGACCAGTGCAAACTTCAAGTCACTCTCTCATATGCCGCCCTTACTCTCTCCTCTGTCACGCTCGACACATTCAAACACCACGTCCGTCTTATCCGCCGGGGCGACTACATCTCCATCCGCGGCATGCCCCCGTTCCGCAGTAAAAACGGCCAGATCACCATCAAAGCGACCACCCTGCCCGTGCTCCAGTCTCCCTGCCTTCAGCGGTTCCCCATCGAGCAACGGGGCTATGCAACTGACGAGATGTCCATATCTGAGTCGAACTTCACGCCCCGCCACGTCGAAATGCTCACCGATCCGGACGTCATAAACACCCTCAAAGCACGGTCAAGCCTGGTCCGCTCCATGCGTTCCTTCTTCGAACAACGGCACTTTGTAGAAGTCAGCACGCCCATCCTTTCCGCGTCCGCTGGCGGCGCGACCGCCAAACCCTTCGAGACTACAGCCACTCACTTCGACAATCGCAAGCTATCCCTCCGCATCGCGCCGGAACTACCGCTCAAACGCCTGATAATCGGCGGCATGGATCGCATCTTCGAAATCGGCCCGTGCTTCCGCAACGAGGGCCTCGATAAAACGCACAACCCCGAATTCCACACTTGTGAATTCTATGCCGTCGGTCACGATCTGCTCCAGCTAATGACATACACGCACCAACTCCTCAAAGTCATTGCAAATGGAATCGAAGCTTTGCCATCCCCACCAAGCTCGGAGCAGTCACGACTCTTACTGCAACAAGTCAACGAGAACGAACCATTCCGCCAATTCGACTTCTTACCCACGCTCAATGCCGCTCTGGGTATCGATCTACCCAACCTCGCATCCCCGGAGGCTCAAAAAGAGCTGCTTCAAATCTTCAACTCGAAAGACATCCCTGTTCCCACAAATCCTACTGTCCCTCGGCTTGTCGATAAACTAGCCGCGATATTTATCGAGCCTGAATCCCTAGCGCGCCCGATCTGGATCACAAATATCCCCGAATGTCTCTCCCCACTCGCGAAGTCATACATACACCCCACCACACCGAATTCCCAACCTGTCGCCGCTCGTGCGGAACTCTTCATCCAAGGCAAAGAAGTGGTGAATTGCTACGAGGAGGAGAACAGTCCGTTCGAGCAGCGGCGCAAGTTTGTCGAGCAGCAGCGTCTAGCCCGGCAAAATGCAGGCCAGTACGACGAGGAGGCCATGACCGTTGACGAAGAGTACATCCAGGCTTTGGATTGGGGCCTGCCGCCGACAGGTGGTTGGGGTTGCGGAATTGATAGGCTCGTTATGCTCTTCACCGGACGCGAGAGGATTGGGGATGTCTTGAGTTTCGGCAATCTGAGGGCTGTTACGAGAGGGGCGGAAAAGAAAACTTCTGAATTGTGAGAGAAATGCGTTCACTCTATACAAGCTCAGATTTTCTGTAGTGTAGTGTACAATAGCAAGAGAAAGAGCAATGCAAATGCTCAAAGGCATCATCCAATCTCTAAATCCTGCTTGTCGTTTGCAGAGAATTGAGCAGAGCTGATCCACCATCTCAAGCATGAAGAAGACGACAGTATTCTGTCCACGTTCGCTTCGTAGCGCCACGTGCCCGCTCTTTCCGAGCAGACCAAGTCAGCAGTGTTGCCCAGCAAGTTGTTGATATTCTCAGGCAGCAGATCACAGCACGCGTCAAGAAATGTCCCCAATGTCGAAAGATACCACACGCCAAGCTCCAAATCATGACAAAAAGGCGCCCTGCTCTTGTATATGCGAGCGTAGCACGGGATGTGCCCAGAGGAACAGTGTCCATCTCAACCCTCCACCTCCACCTCCAAGAACGATGTATCCCCTTTCAGCCGTAAATCTCGCTCCGTCCACGCCAATTGCGTTCATCAATCGTCTTCCGCTTCCTCTTCTTCTCCGGCAATGGCGGCGACAGATTCAGCCGCAGCGGACCCTGCCCGGTCGTCAACCTCACCAGCTTGAACTTGTAAATCTGACGCTCTTGCTTCTCCAATTGAAACCACTCAACCCGGTATAACCCATCGTAACGATACCCCCGTTCCGGACGCAATGGACACTTCTCCGACGCGCAATGAGACCTGAAGACACGTACTGGGTCGCGCCCTTTCCTATAACTGGTAATTAGGCTCATGGTCGCGTTTGTCGGGCCGTGGCCGCTTGTATTCTCTATGATTCGGTTCCTTGGATGGGCGACTGGATCCCTAATGTTGGTGGCCCTATCGTCGCCTTCGGCTCTAGGTAGTCCTGTACCCATGTAGTATATCGTGTCTCCCGCGTCGACGTCGGCGTAGAAGTGCTGGTTTCTCTCGTCGTGGTATCCCATCACAATACTTCGCGCTCTACGCTTCGTTGTGCCTGCGATTCCAGCGACAAGAGGCCCATGAGCACCGTCACGCACCATCTCTGCTCGATAGATCCAGGTTTGCCCATTGACAAGATGGCCGTGACCGAAAAAGTCGGAGGTACGGCGGTGTGGCCAGTTTGGGTCCGGGAACCATGGCCCGCCTTCACGTGTCCGTCGAAGTCCTCTTCTTGCAAGTACACTTAGGTCGCCAGAATGCCATTTGCGCTGCAACCAGGTAAGATCTTCGATGATGTGGTCTGGCACGACCTTCGCTTGACGCATAGCTGCGTTATCCTCGCCCAGGAACGCGTCGATTCTGTCACGGACTCGGGATTCGTTCAAAACTTCTTGTGTGACGGAGTTTGTTTGCATCTTAGCGACCCAGTTGTCAATATTTACGAAAGCTGACCGAAGTCCCATCGACATGCGTGGCCTAATACTGATATTGTCAAGAAGTCGGATGACATCAGTGACATCCTTAAGGGTGACAAAGTGCTCGTTTTCTGGCTCATCGTCTGGAGGCAATCTGCGCCAGATGTCAGCCATTGTATAAAAGAGTCTGAATGAAAACCTACTCTGGAACGCGGTCCGCTCTTTCGCGAGTTTCCCATTTTTGGTAGTCCAAGACCAATGTGCGGCAATCTATGAGGGCATTTCCCCTTGCTGGGCATTCCAAAGAGATTGGGCATAAACAGTCGGGGTTTAATCTCCCAGCAAAGTGAGGAAGAGGTGACGGTGGTCTTGGAGGCTCGGGTGGCGATTGGTCCTCAACAACTGGTATCTCTGGAACTCCGGGTTCTGTGTCGTTGTCTGACATGTTGTCATGAGGTTTCGTAGGCAAGGAATATTCGTCGATCGACTTCAAGACAGCTTCGCCATCAGATGCTTCGGATACTTCTCGTTTGATGGAAAGCCTGTGAGGGTCTTGCTCGTTTTCTGCAGCACTTTCATTCTGCTGTAAGGCAAGTCGCGCATGATTACTATGGTCGACGCGTAGTGCGGTCTCCCGTCTGCGACGTTGTCCATCTACCTGCTGCCTGGCGCCCTGCTCCTGTAGTATAGTTTGACGTCTAGCAAATCCCGCCATCAGATACTGGGTGGGAAATTGGTAGTCCGGGATATTGGATCTGGATTCGTGGCTAGGCCATTGCTCTGTCAAGCTTTCCGGCCCTGTGCTGCTGGTGCTGGTGCTGCTACTGGGGTTCGACCGTTCGTCGGTTTCACCTGCCGTACTGCGCAAGCGAGTGGGAACATCATGAGTATGTGGATATGGCCTGTAGATATCGCGATGCCGATACGAGCGAGGCCAGGATGGTACCATACCAATACCTTCCAGCCTGGTGAATCGGCCTCTGCGATGTTCGGAAGGGCTTGTTAGCGGCATGATGACTTCTGCAAATGAGCAAGTGGCTACTCTCGAGATGAAGTAGAGTGCGAGACCGCTAGAGTGCAGTAGTGTGGATAGGTGGTTAAGTCCAACTCCGTGCTGTCATACAAGGCTCATGCGATGACAGCCCTCCGGACGTGGTGTGAAGCCGCTGCCAGAAGGGGTCGTTCTGGTCTGCTTGTCTGGAGGGCAGGTAATGCTTGACTGTGAGGACAGTCTGCCTTGAGTGTTTGCCGAATTGATGTAAGGTTGAGCGGCGAGTCTTGACCGAGAGAATAGACATCAAGTAGGTTGGAAATGGAATGGTGGTAGAAGTATGTGCAAGGTGGTGAAGGGTGACAGGATGTAGAGTGAGTATGGCGGTGTAGTAAATTGAAGATGTCACACAAAAGTGAAGGATGGAGACGTGTCCCTGAGTGTCGATCACATGCCAAAGCCAATCGATGAGCATTTAACCTGCAATGGGGTGAATGAAGATGAGGTGAGGTGAGGCGAGGCGAGGAGGGTTAGGAGTTCGCCAGAGGAGTTGAGGTTGGATCGAGAAAGAATGGGAAGGACATATGAGGCAGGTTGTGGTGAGCCAGAAGGAGCTTTGAGGTCGACAATTCCACTTCGATAGTGAGCTTGGAATTGCTGCTATCCCCTTCCTTTGACCTTGCGAACATGCCACGCAGCTGGCAGTCCCGCTCCTCAAGGCATTCGTCTCATGAGAAGCCGAACTGTCCTGTTGGTCCAAGCAGTGTAGGAGGAAATCTGCGTGTGGGATCACCAAATGCAGAGTAACACTATCACACGCGTGGCCCTTCTCAACGTTCGTCAACACCAAGCTTGCCATGATCCAATGATCCTCTGGCGGAAGCTACATGACAGTAGTTTTGCCCCAGAGCCTAGGACTCTTGGAAGATGGACGAGTTTATTGGTTCTGTAACTACCTCAGTGGCTTTGCCCAGTGAACCTAGAGCACTTCCAGCATATATGCAAGTGTGCGGCACTGTCTTTTGGACAGACTTGATTTCTTGGAGGAGTCCCTTGACAAAACATGGCCGAGTCCCAAGTCGAGATGGCCGGGGATTGCTGGAAACTGGGGGTTTGATGCCTGTGTAGCTCATTGGTCCTTGTAACTCAGTTTGGGACAAGCGGCTCTCCTTCACGCTGGCTTGTCAAATACAAAGCATATTTGATAGAGTTTATGTCCCTCCTGTGTTGCTGGGCGAGCATGACCAGCAGCATCGGAGGCCAAAAGTGAGTCGATCCACGCTGAGACGTCATCCAACATAGCGAGTCTCTCATCGTCATCGCTGCCTCGAGCATCCCAACGCGGATCTAGAAGCGCATCACTTCTGCTCGACTGATCTAGGATGTAGGCTTGTAGGTCTGGAAGTTGTCGTCCTCTCAAAGCTTTCCGCAATCGTGAAATTTGTGATCGCTCCCACGGTGTCCGACGGAATTCTGAGTATACGTACATGGTTCTGAACACGGATAATCCCCGGGCGCACGCGCATATTCCATGAATCGCAACGAGGTCACTTCTCGAGTGCCGCAATCTGGTCATTAGGCGTTGAGATAGATAAACAGTCCGCACAGAAGTGAAGGTGGCCAACCACCGGAGCAGTGAATCATACGCTTCAGCACTGATAGCATCAGACTGGCCACTGTAGATGCGGCAGGTTTGAATGCGTTTGAGATGTTGATGCGGATAACGAGCAAAAGTGGAATGCAAGTCCAAGTCTGTATTCAGCTGGTAGCCATTCCGTGGGGCACTGAGAGCGTCCCAAATGTACTCTGGTGGACGTATAGGGGAAATGAGCAGGGTGGCCCTCGAGTAGAAGACGGCAGCCGCCTCGTGATAGATTGATTTGCTGACGAAGAATAGGCTTGGGATGTCTCTTGAGCTCGGGACAGGTCCCTGGCGTGGTGGGAAGTCAGGATCCACGAATTGCTGAGCCTTGAGATATTGCGGCAGTATTGCAAGATCGTATATGCGACTTCGAATCTCGAAGGGGGTCTCGAGAAAAGCGGATCTGGTATTTTGGCCCATATCTTCTGGACGGAAAAGGCTTGTGCTATCTATCACAAGCACGGGCCGGGTAGGTCTGTGGTGACCTGGGTGGTGACTGTTGGATGCTGTACCACGTGGTTCTGTGTTGACGTGCCCGTCAAGGCCCCTTTGGCTCCATCTTGCGTCCTTTGGTACCCTCGTATGGTCTGCGACGATCGCGTCGAAAGCGAGTCAAGTGCCACACGAAGGCCGGGAGCTTTTTCGCTGCTTTGGGGGATTTTGGCCTGATCAGGCTCCTGTGGTTCCCTAATGGTCCACTGGATTGATCCTTGTGACAAAATCCAAAAGCCAACCAGTCAGCCGCTCCTGTGCCTGTGATATGATGCAATTTGGGCGAATAGGCAGCAGGACCCAAGCTACGCCATGGCGGCTCGGACGGGTTGAGCTGGGGACAGCCTAGCAAGCAGCTCCCACGCTGGGCTAGCTCATGATGGCTCTGTGAGAAGAATGAGTCGGGTGTGGACGAGAAAATCGAGGGGGGCGTGGCACAAGGAAGCGGTGAACAAATCGAGAGGCTGTTTGCCTGCGCTTCCCCGTTCTCCATCATCTGCATCTGCACCTTTGAGGACTTGGACCAGTGACCTCAACCTCATCTCCATGTGAAGTAGTAGCCGCTATTTGCTACTGTCGTCCTTGCTTTTACCCATGTCCTCCTCGCTTGCTGCCTTCTCTGCCTTGTCCCATTTCCCTCTTCAGAGACCGTGAACTCTGACCATGAGAGGGAGAGCAAGCATTCCCACCGACAAAGTCAATGCTGCGACTCTTCCCAGTGTTTCCAGCATTCTAAGACGCTGACCGCCAAATGGACGCCACTCAGACCGCCGCGCATGGTTTCTGGAGGTACTTGATCAAGCCCGACAAAAGCGCATCACCACAGCTGGAGCAGCTGTGTTTGGGGCTGGCCAAAGTCATTGTAAGTACGCCGTGTTGCTGGTGCAGACCGCAACTGCTGATGTACCTTGCAGTCTATACTCGAACCTGGACCCAACGACGAACTCACTCCGCAACGCCTTGCCGCCTTCTACCGGGCAGTCGGCGGCAATTATGACTCTCTCTTCCTCAATACCACGGACGGAGGTCTGTCTCACATGTACCAAATTCTGGGATGTTTTCACAGCCTCCAACCGACCCCGAGTCCTTTCGAACAGCCAAGAGTACCCTGTCTAACATCCGCTGGCTTTGCTCGCTGGCAAACCATCCAAATACTGCTATGTCCCGAGGAAAACGTGGGGTTTATGCAAAAGGCCGTGCAGAGGTGGAACATTCCAATGCCGAATGGCGGCATCTTTCCAAAATACATCCCGCAGGAAGTATTTCCAGACCGTCCAGACGAAGAGATGGAGAGATGGCACAAGATGGTAACAGGCCAGTTGAATCAGAAGAACTACATGCAACGCCTCAAGAATTCACCTTATCAATCTCCTCACATTGAGCCATACGATCGACGAGACGGCTACTTCTCCGGTCCTATGCTTGGTAAATCCACGAGGCCCTCGCGAAGCAGCTCAAGAGACGACCAAGATCGTATGGCGGCTGCATATCACCGCCGAAGCAGCGTCCCTGATTTCCCCTCCCCACCACAGGAGAGAGGTTCACATTGGGATCCCCGACATAACGAGGCCTCGCGCAAAGCCCGGAGTCATTCTGCTCGAAGGCCACCACAACCACCCGCCCGCCAGCGATCTCACACCACTTCCGGGCCGCCTGCAAGTCCTCCAAACAAGAACTCAGTTCACAGTCCTTCCAAGAGCAGACGGGCCATCGACTCTAGGGACTCTGGCAGGCGCTCGTCAGCACATGCGCCTTTCAACTATCGCTCTCCTGCGCGCACGCCATCGACTGTGGATGAAGACTCGGGCAGCGAGGCCAGCTCTGAGACCTCTCAGATCGGTCGCCGTCATCGCAAATCTGACGAGGATCGAAAGAGTCGGCACTCCTCCTTGTGGGTGCCATCGTTTATGAAGTCACACAAACGCCGACATTCTTCAGATGCAAGTTACCGTGCAGCTGCAGTAAGGGATTCAGCTCAGCGGCCCAATCACCGCCCACCGCAGGCCCTCAATGCTCCCCCACAAGCACCTTCCCGAGGTGGTGCTCCTCAATGGCGTGACCCTAATTGGGACAGTGACCCGACACTGTCAACTCCAGCACATGCACATGCGCAGCTCGACCCACGAGGTCCAACGTTTCGTTACCCCGAACCGAATGCCTTTGAGCCTTTGACTCGAGAGAGCAGTAATGGAAGTGGAACGGATCAAAGGCACCGTTCATCGGACTGGGAGAGAGGTGGCACACAAAGGCGGAAAGGTGCACCTCTCCGAGTTGGCACGTTGACTGGTGTGCAAGGGAGGAAATATCCCACATCGGACCCTATGAGTCCGATAGATCGTCAGAGGAGTCATGCCTCTTCCCGAGGTGGCGTTGCTACTGTCGTTTAGGAAACCAGACGGGGCCGGGAGGAGAAGCGACGATTCAGTCATCAACCAGCACGAGCGGTGACATAACGACATGTACGACTGAATGATATACGACAAGAAGAGGATGATTGATGACAAGCGATGACGGGACAGGGCAGCATAGAACTTCTAACCACTCGGCGTTCTGGAGGTACATACTCGTTTTTGGCTTGCGAGGGACAGTTTTTCTTCTCTGTCGATCATGCTTGGTGGTATCAGGGAACAACGGTCGCCCGTTTTGCGTAGGAAGACAGATTACTCCTTGGTTAGCACCTGGTGTCTTTTGCCCTCTCCTAGCCCGGTTCTCCTTCGCAGCTCAATCTACGTGGGCCTAATGCAAATCGCTCTTTCTTTCTTGTCTGTTGCCGAATTTGTTTTGCTACGTAGAACCCACAAGTTCCCGGCGCATGGGGTTCGGGGACTAAACTCATGGATGAATGTGGATAGAGGATCCGTACCTTCATCATACTCCTTTGCTTGAAGATATACATGAGTATCTCCGTGTATCTCAGCCTCGTATAACGAACACCACCGTGGAGTAGTACTCAAGAGAAAAGGGCAGCCAGATGTTCACTGCCCTGTTGCCCGTCATAACCACCTCGTTGGACGTCGATCTCTCGTAAATGCCTCTGACTGCAATGTCCAAGAATCTCACATCATCTCTCTTTGGGTTGCGCCATCCGATCACTAGTATGTATCCAGGTCGAGATGCTCCCAAACTTGCCGTGCCTCTTGCTTGCTCTGATCCGATATTTCATCCAGCTAATTTTCGCTTTAACTTGGACCAAAATCTCTTTACCCAAGCCAGGCTCCTCCGCTAGATTCTAACCTGGATCTCGTATTATTTGGTCGTGAATCTCAATCACAGTCATCGCCATCTTCGCCCCCTCCTAGTACACCAGATAATCGCCTAGTTAGAAGACATAATACGCCTGGCCCAGGCCAACCTCGGTCGCCGGCTCGGCCTTGCAGATCTGCCCATCCGCCTCGACGGTGTATCTCTCCGGATCGACCTTCATCTTGGGCATGACATCGTTGAACTTCATATCCTTCTTGCCGACGCTCCTACACCCCTTCACCGCCTCGACCCTCTTGTTCAACCCATACCCGTCGATCACCCCGGACTCGATACTCTTCGCGCTCACAAAGGTGATACTCGTTTTCGGCACCATCGCCGCGAACATGGGCCTACTCACAATCGGCTCGACCGTCGGAATACTCGCGTTCGGATCGCCCATCATGGCCTGCGCAATGAAGCCACTCTTGATCACCAGCTGGGGCTTCGTGCCGAACATGGCGGGCTTCCACAGACACAAATCCGCCACCTTGCCAACCTCGACGCTCCCGATCAGATGGCCCATGCCCTGCGCAATCGCCGCGTTGACCGTGTACTTGCTCACATAGCGCTTGACGCGGAAATTATCCACGCCCGTGCCTTCATCCTCGGGCAGGAAGCCGCGTTGCTGCTTGTTTTTGTGCGCCGTGTTCCAGGTGCGCATGATGACCTCGCCGCAGCGGCCCATGGCCTGGGAGTCGCTGCTCATCATGCTGATGGCGCCCAGGTCGTGCAGGACGTCTTCCGCGGCAATCGTCTCGGCGCGGATGCGCGATTCCGCGAACGCCACGTCCTCGGGGATGTTCTTGGACAGGTGGTGGCAGACCATGAGCATGTCGAGATGCTCGTCCAGCGTGTCCCGGGTATACGGCCGCGTGGGGTTGGTCGACGAGGGCAAGACATTCTCGTGCTCGACGACCTTGATGATATCTGGCGCATGCCCTCCGCCAGCCCCTTCGGTGTGGTACGTGTGGATGGTACGGCCCTTGAAGGCGGCGATCGAAGACTCGACGAAGCCCGACTCGTTGAGTGTGTCCGTGTGGATCAGGCACTGGACGTCATATTCGTCGCACACAGATAGACATGTGTCGATGGCCGCGGGCGTCGTGCCCCAGTCCTCGTGCAATTTCAGCCCGCACGCGCCAGCCTCGCAGCTTTCGCGCAGCGCCACGGGGTCCGAGTCGTTGCCCTTACCTGTGATTCCGTAGTTGATGGGCAACGAGTCCACGGCCTGGAGCATCTGCTTCATCAACGTCTTGCCGGGCGTGCACGTCGTCGCACTTGTCCCCGCCGACGGTCCCGTGCCTCCACCCAAGAAAGTAGTAATGCCCGCGGAGATTGCCTCGTACACTTGCTGCGGGCAGATGAGATGGATGTGTGAGTCAATGCCCCCGGCCGTGACGATCAGCCCTTCGCCCGCAACGACATCGGTGCCGTTGCCCACGACCATGTCTTTATGCACGCCGTCCATGACATCCGGGTTGCCCGCCTTGCCGATGCCCGCGATCACGCCGTTCTTTATGCCAATATCCGCCTTGTATATCCCCGTCCAGTCGACGATGAGCGCGTTGGTGATGACCGTGTCCAACACTTCGACGTCGTGCCGGCCGGACGCTTGACCCATGCCTTCGCGCAACGTCTTGCCGCCGCCGAATTTGCATTCGTCGCCGTACACGGTCATGTCCCTCTCGACTTTGATCCACAAGTCCGTGCTGCCGAGGCGCACCATATCTCCAGTCGTAGGGCCAAACATGCCAATGTAATCTGCCCGTGTGAGTGACGCTGCGTCGATAAAGCCCATGTCGCGAACTGGTTCGGGCTTGTGCGCGAAGCCGCCAGCTTGGAGTTTGGAGATGATCTCGTCGACGCGTGAAAGGTCAACTGGGCCCGTGGCTAGATTGTTGCCGCCATGGATGACTTTGTTGCCCGCGATTTCGACAAGTGTGACGGTCTTGGTGTCGCCGGGCTCGAAGCGCACGGAGGTACCTGCCGCGACGTCGAGGTGATAGCCATAAGCGCGGGCTCGGTCGAATTCAAGGGCCGGATTGGTCTCGATGAAGTGGTAATGGGAGCCGATCTAGATTACAGGTCGTCAGTTGAGGCAGAAGGAAATGAATTGCGTAGAGTACTTGTATTGGTCTGTCACCCTTGCTGGTGACCTTGAGTTTGATCCTCTTCCGACCTTCGCTTAACACAATCTTGCCTTGCTTGACTGGAATTACGGCACCAGGCATCTTCTTGTCTTCATATTCGCTTGCATCCGCCAGTGGGAACGCATCTTTGGATGGAACAGGAAGAAAACTCCCGTACAAGGCCTTCTCCAGATCACCGTCGTCCGAGCTGATGGGATGATCGACAGTCACAAGATATGTGCCAGTCTTGAAAGTGCCTTCGATTTGCACCGTGTGCAAGGTAGATACAACTGCTGGCAAGACATGGCGCCGACCAAGCAGTTGTTTCCCCATCGCCATAAGATCTGCGCAGGTGTGATTGCCATCGCGGACGAGCTGTTTGGTCGCTGTTAGAATTTCCTTTGCTCGACTATCCAGGGTTCCCGATTTACTTCATGTAGAACGCTGGCAATGAGAGCCTGTTCATGAGGTCAGCCACAAGATTCGGGTTTTCGACTCGGTTTTCGTTACACAGGCTTCAGCGTGATTTAGCCTAACGCCTCTGGCCAAACGTCTCTGTGCCAAAAAGCCCAACTGGGCTGTGACGAGCTTATCAAGCTGTGGTAGGAATTAGCCATGTATATTGTGTTGCCTTCCTATCCGAAACTGTTCCTACCTCCTTTGGTACGAGCTGCATGGCGAGTCCGGCTCTCTCTGAGATGGCTCTCGATACGGCTCAAGATGAAAAGAATGTCGTCGAAGACTGCAGCTCTGGCAGCATTGAAGCTGTTTATCATTATGACAGATTGTGGCCTTGGAGCCTATCATGGTGAAGCGGCGATGCGGGGCAAAGGAAGATGCACCATCAGCACCCAAGTGGCATGATGGACCTGGGGATCTTCGAGATAAGAACGAATCTAGCCTCGTGGTCCTCGTAAAAGGAAGCTGTCATAGCGTAATCGATCATTGAGCTAACCAAGCACCCATAGCTATCGAGATGCGGAGAAGAGTCTGAACGAGGAATTTTGTTTGTATAGAGCACGTCATGCTCACGCGGAGAGAATTCGATCAAGGTTACACGTAACATGTACTAGCATTGTTTGTTCCGCATGACAACCTCTGCGATTGAATTGCCTGATGAAGACGCCTTTTCATTATCAACATGAATGACAGACATGACTCTGCATATCCACAAGGAACGATACTCTCAGAGCCCAAGATCAAAACCGAAACCCGCATGAATCATTTCAATGCACACAAAATGCACACGTCACCCAGGAGCCCTCTACGACAGTGTTTTCTTTGCTTTGCGGGTCGTCTTCTCAGTCTTGGTTGTTGAAGCAGGAGCTGGAGGGGCCTCCTTCTTTCCCTTCTTGCTCGTCTTCTTCTCTGGCGATTTGGCAGCTTCAGCCTTGGGTGTTGGTTTGCTGGGAGTGGCGTCCTTGGTCTTGCGGCGCTTGGAGGATTTTGGTGGTGATGGTTCCTTGACTGGTTCAGGGGATTCCTCTTCAAAATCTTCTTCAGCTACAGCAGGTTCTTCCTCGGTCTCCGCTTCAGCATCAAGGCCTGGAAGGTGATCTGGTGCCTTGCCCATCTCGACAAGTCGTGCGGCCTCCTCGTCACCGGGAACAGGCTGACCAGCCTTGTACGCTGCCATCTTGACACGGTAAGCAGCCAAGTTCTTCTGGTATTTGTCATCCCAGATCTATAAAATGTTAGTCAACAGGAAGCGAGGTAGGCTGAAAGACTTACACTCTTCTCAGCAGGACTCATTTCGGTCCATCTGCGAGTACCCTCGTCTGCGACCTCTTTTGGCTTGGCCGAGTCGCCCAGTTCTTTGGCGATTTGAGCACGAGCACTCTGCATGTACAGGAAGTATGGAGTGAGAGCACGCTTAGGCGCGTTAGGGTCATGAGGAGTTCTCTTGCGCTTCTTCTTTCCATCGCCTTCGGCTTCAGCCACAACAAGAGGAGCGGCTTCGGCAGGTCGGCCAGTCAGAAGACCCGATTCGGTGAGAATGCTAGTAAGGTTGGCATCGATCGGGTTCAGGCCGTGCTTGCCGGGAGTCAAGACAGTATTGGCATGTTGGATGTAGGCGCGAGAGAGGTCTTGGACGGACGACTGGAGGGTAGCGAGGGCGACGATGACCTGATTGTAGGAGTGAGCTAGAGCTTTTGGTTTGTTTTGAGTGTCAAAGATGGTTTGCGCAATCGAAGCCAAATCAGCAGTAAGAGCATGAATAGCAGTGAGGGTAGCCTTGTTACATGTTGCAAGAAATTGCAACTCTTCTGGAGACACTTGCGCATGGATCTTGGGGGTAGACATATTGGGGACAAATGCTCAATATGAAGCGGGTATGGGTAATTGTAACGCGCATCTTGTGGAGGGGGAATCTTGGTTGTTGATGGGGTGCGGCAGAAGCCTCATGGCGGGGTTGGTGTTGGGGTCGCAAGTTACGCGTGAATGAAGCGAGTGGTGGTGAAGATACGATGCATATCACACGCCCGAACGTACCGAGTCGCGAGTCCGCTGGAAGTCAGCGATATTAACCTGTGTGGTGGCGGATTCGGGGTCCTGGGTCTTTTTGGCCATGGCGACAGAAGAGTGGTGAGGTAAGAGAGGTAAGAGTTCAAGGGCCAGCGAGTAGAATATAGGCGCGCTATAGGCGTGGTGGTGTTGATGATGGCGAGGCTGGCTTTAACCAAAGAAGGCCTGGGTGGTGGGTGAGGGAAGAGCGAAGAAGCAGCTTCTGGCGGAAGTGTGCGGGAGAGGAAAAAAGAAAGAAAATTTGGGGGACCAGGCGAGGGAGAAGGGGCGAGCTCGGTATAAGTGGGTGGGCGGCGAGCGAGATGCACCTCTAGATCAACCCAGGAAGAAGAGACAAAAATTGATCGGACGGGCAGCTTGACCCCCAATTTTCCCTGAGCCTACCAGTACTCGGTACCTCTCCCACCCACGAGCTGCTACGGCACCTGCTGCTTTGCTGGCCTGTTCTCATCTCTGTCTGCAGGCGCCAGGTAAAGCTCCACTGTTGTTGAGGCGCTAGTGGTGCTTACCTAGAATATAACTGGATTTAATTGGACTTTGCGCTGCACTTTTCCGCCAAATCCTCAGCTTCCGAGCTGCCCTCGCTGCTTACAGGCCCGAGCAGCGCTGTTCTCCTCATCACAACCTAGGCCTGTTTACCAGCCTACCTTGCTCTTCTGCAAGCTAAAACAGCCTAAGCTCGTGCTTGTGCTCGATGCTCCCCCTCCTTTACTGCTACCCTAGACACGAAGCACGATTTGGGTATGCAGGAGTGTCGATTCAGTCCTCTCGCTGTCCTCATGTTCAGTCGGTCGTAATCGCTGCGGTCTGACCGTTACCATTGCAGACCTGTTTCTGCTACTTCGTTCGCTGCTCCGATGCTTGGAACTGCATTAGCTGGTGACAGCAATTACACACATGTTCCTCAAAAGTGAGGTACAAGTATGTCGAGCATAAAGAGTCATGTCGATAGGGACGACGGCGGACCTTGATGGAAGCGGGAGCAAACTGAAACAACTATGACGGGCGCCTCTGAAATACAGCGCCAGAGTCGGGAGTTGTAGCGACGCCCAGGCCAGAACTGGTCGGATCAGACCACCGCTTGACTCATTTCCGATCAACAACGCCCCGTCACGCCCCCACGAACCTTTTGCATAAGCGCTTCTGGGCGACTGCCTGTCCGCTAATTTCAGCTTGTCTGACTGATGATCCGTGTATCCTGGGTGATAATCCACAACCTGGGCGTTCTTTCTGGAGGTCAGTCACGCCTAATTTGCTAGGGGTGCTCCAGGGGTCCTCGCGCACAAAATGTCTTTTCTTTGTGTGCCTTTTTGCGAGAGCCGTCAACTTCCGTCGCAGGCTGCTCTTGATCTGGAGGGTTGCAAGGCCCTCCCAGCTGATCGGCCTGGCCTGCCTGCGGGCCCTTTTCCGCCCGAGTCTGGCTGGATTGCTCAAGCACCGTGATGCGCCTGTGTCGCCATCGAGAGCCTCACAGTGCCAGCCTTAACGTAACTCTGTGCGTTAATCTCGATCACCTGGGAAGCCCGTCGCCCTGAGCAGTGGGCACCCTTCGTAGTCGGCGACAGCGAGTCCGCTCTCGCTCCCCTACCGGCAGACCTACAGTATCTCTACGACTACTCAAAACCTCGCGCGGCCCCTCTTCAGGCAACTCTGCAACTGCCCGAGACTGGCCGCCCTTCACCGTCCCAACCAGACCGGTCAACATTCACAGCTGTGCTCATCACCTTTAACCGGCTTGGGTCTCAAGTGTGAGCTCACCGCGCTCGCCATCTAGCCTTAGTAGATGCCGTTTGGAGGGGTAAGCTCTTTCAGCGGTACCTGCGTTAACTTAAAAGCGATGCCTTTCAGGTCTATCCCAGCATCACACCGTCCTGTCGTCTCCTCCCTGTAGCTTCGTACGCATAGTTGACGTCTTCCCTTAACGTTAGTATTCAAAAATGACGCCCCCAGTGATGTCTCTACTTTGACGGCGGGCTCACTAGGCATCCTCTGAGTGCCTTGGACTTTCTTAACCAAGTCCATCCCCCTCAGGGCCTCCAGCCGTTATTGTCTTAATAACCTACCAGAAGGTGTGCATCTTACACCTTTACCCTGCACAACTCTTTTCGCCCTGCAAGCACTTCCACCTAGTCAACCCACCAATCCCGTATGATGCCGCCAATATCCAATCCGTTCAGTGACTGCTTCGGCCGCCTTATTGACTATCCTTGTCGCTCTTGCCCTTTGGCCCGGTATCATTTAGTACGCCATGAGTCGTAGTATCAATAAGACAACTTGTCATGGTTTATGTTCCTTATATGGTGAGGTCGCATAGATGGTGAAGTCGCATATTTCTATTGGCTTTTATCCGCCAACTGGCCCTTTATCTACATGTACAGCTGCGACTTCTCGTCCACTTTTCTCTACAGGACGTTGGGCCAACACCTGCTTCAACCCTGTGAAGAGCATAGCCTCCTATTCTCTGCTCGCAAAGCCATCGGCCGAGGACTATTTCTTCATACAGAAGCATATACAGTCTAGAACTTATAGACTTGCTCCTTCGTATAGCCCAACTCCTTCAAAATTCCACTCAACTCACCCTGATCAGTCGGGCTCACCTTCGCCCCACTGACAGCCTTATACATCCCCGGCGGCCCACATACAAAGACCTTGATATTCCCACTCTTCGGGTCGGGAATGACCTCCTTGAGCAGTTCTTTTGTGATAAATCCCTTGCCATATGGCCAGCTCTCGGGCGGGTTGTCGAGGGTATAGAACGCACGGAAACGCTGGGGAAACTCGTTCTCGATTTTCTCAAATTCTTCCTTGAGCAGAATATCTTCCTCTTTGACGTTACCGAACACGAGCGATACTTTCGTCTTATCCTCGGGATTCTTGAAGATCGCACGGATGAGCTGGTACATAGGGGTGATACCAGTGCCGCCGGCAATCAAGGTGATGTGCTCGTGCTTGTTCGGCGCCCAAGGATACTTGGGAATGGGACCTTTCATGGACAACATCTGGCCGGGGTTCATGCTGTGAAGGTGTTCTGACATTGGCCCATTGGGATACACTTTGACCAGGAGCTCGATGAAGCCACGTTCATCTAAGCACGTTTAGCCTGAGCACAGCCAGATTTCTCTTGGAGGGTTTCCATACCTTCCTCGTTGATAGGCGTGTACGGCCTTATGACGGGCTTATCTTGCGTGGGGCCTTTGTACTTGGTGATGATGGCAGCTTCGTAGCGGTGTAAACATCTCTTTCTATCTTGTGATGTGGTGCTCAAACTTACAAGCAACCTGCAGACCCGACACGTGGTCAGGCTCAGGCAGTTCGAACCTGAATCTCTTCGTGTTGTGGTTGTAGGGGATGACTTCAGCAAGCCTGAGGTCTACAAAGCCCTGGTCGCCACCGGTAAATGCTTTCGCTGGAGGTGTAGTCTTCGCCGCAGTGGTAGCGTCTTCGGAGGGCTTGGGCGCATCGGCTGTAGCCTTGTTCGAGCCCAAGAAAGCGTAACCTGCAGCTCCAGCGCCAATGGCTGCAGCGCCGACGATCCAGGGTGTAGAGGAGGAGGAGGACTTGGGTGCTTCGGTCGCGTAGCTGCGAATGCTCTGTGTGAGAGAAGCCTGATTAGCATGGAGAGTTTCGAATCGGGAAGACAAGTCGAGTCAGGTCAATGTTGTCTCGTCGTAAAGCTATCCCGGTAGACGCTCGACGTATTCGACTTACCTGGCGCACAGGTCCAGCGGACCTCAAAACTGTTCTAGCAAACATGTTGATAATTGCGTTGGTTGAAGGAAGTAGGGTTAGAGGAAGACGTGAGATGAAATGTAAAGGAGACTGCTTGCGCCAGACAAATTATTAATGGCGTCAATTGGAGTTTTGAAATCGGGGAGCAAGCTCGATCAACTACTTCTTTGGGAGCTGACGTCGTCGAATCTGGCTCATCGGACTTTACAAAAAGAGGACCCCGCGAGTGCCGGCCTAAGCGCGAGCTTGAGGCAGTGGGCACCATAAGGCTATTGTGTAAGGAGAGACCATCGTCCACTCGTTGACTACCAATGTATCATACAAATGCTATGGGTATCATAAAATATACAACTCCTTCCCGGTCGTCCATCCATGGCAATTCTGTACAGATATTCCTAAAGCTCCATCTCCATTTCTTCATGTCCTTTTCGGCCAACACTTCGCAAACATAAGTCATCCCAGGCACTACTATCGTTTGTCAACAGACAACGCCGGGCAGCCATGTAAGCTTCCATTCTAGCATACCTCCGTGAGTCGGCATCCTCTCCAACTTCATCACTGATAATGCCGTCACCACCTCGGAGGGTGACATTCTCCTCGACTCGGCTCTTTTCATGAGTTGTTGACAATACTTTCTGAAGTAAGGCTTCCTCAAGCTGCTTAGACTGCTCGGGATATGCTTCAATCTGGCTGCTAAAGTCTGAGAAGGCGAGGGAACCAACCATCTCATCTTCGAGATCAATGTAATTTTTGCCCCTGTTGATTCGGAGGAACGCGGCTCGTACCTTTTCGAGGCCGTCTATGTGGTGGTTGTTTCGTTCGATGCCGGTGCGTTTCGCAGAGTCGCAGACACCTTCTTCCACTTGGGCCTGCGCAGTCTCAAAGATATCTTCAGGGTCGGACTCCTCCTGTGTTTCTGTCTCCTGGGTATTCTCGTCTTCATCACCATTTCGTTTGTCCTTACGGCCATTGCCGAAACCAATACTTTCTCTCACCCTCATTTCTTCCCGGACTTCATGATCGAAGAAGAACTCCTCACCGGAACAGAGGTCTCCAAAAAGCGCTTCCATACTGACCTCCTGTGACCAGGTCTCTGGATCGACAGTGCAAGCACAGAGGTCTTTCGGTCGAAAGATGCTCACAAGATGACGAAGCTCGTGGTAAGACGAATGACGAGAATAAGGGAAATGGATAGTGTCACGCTTGCTGCGAGAGGGAATTTGGTCCTTGACCAGGACTGCTGGGTCAAACCAGCGATCGGTGTTCGCAAGCTTCATGACGAAATCTTTCAGTGGCATGGTTGGGTTGTCGAGCGGGTCGGGTAACGAAAGCCCCTGGACTTGTATATGGAAATTCCTCGATCGTTTGGCACGTTCGACTTCCTCTTTAATCCTGGATTTGACCTTTTCGTCCTCAGTAAGGCCTGCACATAGCTCACCGAGCTGCTGGAGAGAGGCAGAGTCGGCAAGGCTCAGTTCTGGTAGCTGAAAGAGATCTCCGCCTCCACCTCCGGCACCTATTTCTAGAATTTCGGTGCCATCCTTGAGTCTCGAAATGATTGGAGTGATCCATTTGACGTTTTGTCGCTGACTCAAATCGGCGTGGCAGGGCAGACCAGGCTCGCAGCTGTGAATTTTGACGTTGGGGTCGGTGGTCAAGCATCCCGCAAGTTGCTGATTTCCAACTGCACAGCCTGTAAGTGATGCTCCTTCAGGATATCCGCTGGCTCCGTGCTCTTCCGCAGGGCGAAGTATTCGAAGTTGATATGGGTCCACATGTATACGAGACTTTAAAAAGTTGGAGAGCGCAATCCAAACATTTTCGTATCCCAGCGTCCACGCTCTGAAGTAGAATATTGTGTCCGGGGGACATTGGCTGACTTTCTCAAGCAACTCCTTCAGGCCTTCTGCTTTGGTAGGAAATTCCCTGTACGGCTCTTCATGGCTGGCGAAGGTAGTGTCAAGATAGATGCAGTCGAGAGTTTTCAGACCACAGGCATATGGTAACAGGACAGGATCTTGCACAATTGAATTCACCCACCAAGGTTCAGCTCTGACGTCTCCAGTGTAGAGGATAGCTTTGCCATCACCTTCCACAAGAAACATTACCGCTCCGGGGCAGTGGTTGGCATCTATTAGAGTGACATTAATGGAGCATTTCGGACTCAGTTCCAGTAGCGTCGCCGTGTTCAGAGGCAACGTTCTCAGGACCTTGTTCAGTCGGCGATAATGAAGTCTTCGTGATTCAAGTATGCCCTTTGCAAAATTGATTCGTGGAGGGTACTTTTCAAGTTTGAGCAGAATCTGCTTGGTAGTCGGAGAGCAGTATACAAATGGCATCTTGACTGATTCCAGTCCCAGCAAATGATCGCTGTGAACATGGCTGAGGAAATATGCTTCTGGTGGTGGTCTGTCGGGATGTGTCCTGAAGTAATCGATCCTGATGTTGGGGAATTCTCTAACGATGCCATTGAAGGTCGACATGATGCGCGGTGTTTTCTATGGTTGCGTTCGATGCGAATTGGATCCTATCCTTTCCCCACCCAAGGCTTTGGTGCCTGCCCCGGATATCCCCTGCTGCGGAAGAAGTGGCTTTGATTCATGCCAGCCAGTCGAGTTACAGTCTCGGAGAAGACCCTGGTCTAGCAGAGAACGATGACATGCAGGCCCGTCCAGCTGGCTTCGGGAACAACGTATCGGAAATGCTGGCGGATGGATTGGCGAGAGACGGGCCACGAAGACTTTGGGGCCATCATGGGGAGTATTGGCGTGTTGTTCATTTGCTCATCAACCGACAATGGGGTCATGAAAGGTCATGAAATGGTCACGCACGGGTGATGACTTGGCCACCTGACGGCGAGAAAAAGTGGCGGGTTTTAGCTGCTCATTGTCGGCGTGTTACGCCAATTGTTGATTGCTGATGTGGCATGCAATGCAGGAGTGGAAAAAGCAGGAAAGCAAGACTCAACCTCCCGACCGGACGTTTGTTGAAATTCTTCGTCCTCCAGCCCGTTACATCTACTACTTCTTCCTTCACTCTTTTGTTCTTTTAAAAATTGCTGACTGCTTCCCGTTTCGAAACATACGTCGCTGTCTCACTCGACACTTTGGTTGACACTTCGGTTGACAGCGGAGGAAGCGCCAGGCACAGCACGGATCTTCCATCCCGCATTGGACTTAACAAGCCTTAGGCGGTACCTGACCTAAAACAAGACACAGTCCTGCGCTCCACCATCATCTTCAATTGACCATCGAAATCTCTCAAACGAGCTAAATACGACTCTGATCCTACAGATCCGTCATCTGCCAGCCGCCTCACCTCCTCCGCCTCAAGGTCTCTTTTCCCAACACGACAATCACAAAGTCCTCCAAAAATAACCTGCTGAACGTATTTCTCCTACTGTGCTGTCTCTCCGTCGATTCTACCCTTCGAATCTCTCTGGGCCTACTCCGGAAACGAAACTGCAACTCCAGACCCCAAAGTATCCACGTCAGAAGTGAGAAGCCTGGGTTGAGGAAATCCAGAAGAGTCTGGGGAACAAGAGCCGTACAGAGACTGTCCCCCTTCTGGAATCTCCAACTCTGCGGCGCCATGAGGAAACCGTCCATACCAGACCTGATATACCAGAGAACGTTCCCCAAACCTAAGCAAGGGGATCCAGGCTCTTTCTATGCACACATCCACAGACACATTGTCTCTGAAATAAGAATTGAAGTGCAAACATACTTTGGGACCATCGACACACTAGAAGCACAGTATCCGGGCCTGGACTATACCTACCCTGCACATCGTCATCGACTGTCGAGACACGCCTGGCATAGACGGCTTTTCCGTGTATTCGATGAGCTTGGTTTGACAAATGACGAGATTTTGAGCCTGTGTCAATGGGAAGGCACCAGAGCAGCCAAGGAGAGATACGAACGTGAAGCACAAACCGAAGTTAAGACAACAATAGGAGCAGATATCCCTGCAGCACCACGAGGAGATGGTCCACGTGCGCTATGGGAGGACTGGACTAGTCACCGTCTTGAACAGCGAACCTCAGACAGTGATGCCGGTGTCGAAGTGGAGGAGAAAGAACTTGAACAGCAAACCTTAGACAGTCAGTCCGGCGTCGAATTCGAAGAGAAAGAAGAAGACAAGCACGATGCACAGTCTCAGCTGAGCGAAGGGGAGTCACCAGGTCCAGACACCTACGGTATCGATCCCGACTTTTTCCGACACACCGTGCGATCAAGACTGCAGGCAGTGTTTGGTGGAAACGCTCTGCTCAATCAAGCACGGGAACAGCGTATGTTAGATTCGTACGAGGCAGATGGGCAAATGCGCTCCATTTTCACTTCACTTCGGAATATCCCTGATGGCCATGCTTGACAGTCGCAAACAGTCTTGCATCAGCTCCCTCAGAGGCTGCACATGGGGGACAAGGTCATAGCCACGACGAATTGCATACCATGGTGGACGAGCTACACAGCGACGACGCACGATTGGCGGCCGGACAGAAGCGGCAAGAAAGGATTATCTTCGACCCAGATATGGTTTTCGAGCTCTGCTCGTATATGCCTGTGTAGCAGGGAATGTTGGTTTGTCATGTTACCAAAAGTATGATTTGTTTTGTTCATGAAGGCCTGACGAGGTTAATGCTTGTGCATTTTTTGAGCGAGGCGTATGGTTATTCAAAGCTGGCAGGCTTCAGAGAGCTGCAGCAAGGCAGTGAGGAAATTGTGAGTTTGGATGCATTTGGGACGTGCAAGGGTTGGAACGGCAGGCACGCTCTCTTGACGATTGAGCAGCATGGGCCGAATTGCTTTCCACTGGATCCATTCGTACGAAAGCAAAAGCTAGACGAGATCAAAAACATGGGTATCTATTATCAACTGACAGAATGTTCTTTCACTTGTCCCGCATCCAAAGCTAATGGCAGGGCGTAGTGGTACGAGTATCTGTTGCTAAGGTAAGGGAGCGCTGTTGAACTTTGTTTCTGCATACTTTTGCTGAACGCAAATCCGAACTTACCTAGGTAAGGTCAAGGCTACTTTAGGTACTCACCGTAGGTACCGTAGTTACTGTCACGAAGGGGTCTTGATTCCCTGACGAGTGGCCACTCGTCATTACGCGGCCGTGTTCTTCTTGACCACGCCCCTCGCAAACTCGCCAAAGGTCAAACCCGTCTCCGAATCCACCGGCTCATCGAGATTCGGCTGCGTGAACACGGCGAGCGTGTTCCTCGCGATTTTACTCCCCGCAGCACAGTTCCGCGGGTCGACACCCCTGACGAAATGGGGCACGGCCTTGAATTTGCCATGTGTGATGAGCTCGAGCGCCTCGCCGGTCTGGAAGGCCAGACAGTCTCGGGGGATGGCGACTTTGTGGATCACGCCCGCGCGGTTGAGAATGTATAGGCCCGAGGACGGGTCCGGGGAGGAAGGCAACTCGTCCAGAGCGTGTGGGTCGGAAGACTCGTCCAAGAACATGGCGCTCGTGAGGCCGGTGAGACAGCCGTGGTCGAGATGCGTGGTGCACCAGGAGTCATCGACTTCTTTCCCCCCTTCTTCATTTTCTTCCTTTGGCTGTTTTGGTGTGGTGCTGCCATTTGTCTGACTGTGGCCATTCTGTTCTAGAGCGCCGTTCGGTCGCCTTTGTGTTTGTGACTGTGATTGTTGTTGTTGCTCCTCGATGGGGAAGTAATGCAAAAGCCTGGCCTTTGTCGTCGTGCTGGCCCGGACCACGCGTTCCAGATATCCATCCTGATAGCCCTCGATCTCGGTCTCGGCGAACCGATCGCACGCCCTCGCCACCAGGACGGCCGTGTCGATGATCAAGCGTATTAGATCCTCCGCATCGCTCTTGAACCCCGGAACGTCCTCGTCCGCAGGCCATACGTTCGGTGCCGTGTACTCCTCGAAGCCCGGGAATTTGGTGCCATCCGCGCCTTGCAGGCTCGGGTCCCGGTAGAACGCGCAGTTGATGTAGTAGCTCCCCTTGGCGGTGTCGACCACGCCGGGCCGCAGGGTCTCGACGCCGTGGGACCAGCCGACCAGGTACTTTGCCTGAGGTTTCGTCAGGTTTGCGAGGGTTGAAGGAGGTAAGGATGCTAGGCGTGAGGAATTCGAGAGGACGCGGGTGCGCAGGGATGGGAAGGACGGGGGAAGGTCTTTGACGACGAGGATTCCGAGACTGTCGGGGCCGAATGCGGATGTTAGCGTCGAGGATGGGATGTTGTTGGACTGCAGGTCGTGCAGGGACACGGTGACCGGAGTGGCGTGTTTGATCGCCATGGTTTTTTTTGTTTATGAGAGTAGTCGAGGACGGGCGTTGAGGGGTGGGCCTGCCTGGTGGAGGAGAGCGCGTCAAGCCTGAGCACCCGGAGTGTGTCAAGGACTGAGCATTGCTTGTATATCTGAGCGAGACTTCCTGTAGTCGGCGTACCGAGATGTGTATGTCTGCACTGCACGCCCGATGAGAGTGTTGATATTTTTCGTGGACCAGGTCTCGCACAGTGCAACCTCGATGTCAAGATGATATACTGTACCCCACAGATTACGGCTATCAGCGGGACTCTGTGAGGCGCGTCGGTGAGCGCCGGTGCGCCTCAGCGGACTCAGGGCGAGACCGTCATTGAGGGCGGATCACTTACCATGGAACGGGTTCAATAGGTGCCCCGTCCACGCCCGTCCACCATGGTCGCTTTGGCTCCTTCTCGGCTTACTTTCTGCTCTCTGCGCCATTCCCTGAGTGAGTGCCATCATTGCTCCCGGAGCCTCGTCGACAAGCTAAGAAGAGACGACGCACCTGTTTCATTGCAGGCATCAACTCGAACCGATGGCACCGATATGGAATACTTAACAGAGACTGAGCTCATTTCCAGTCAAACAGCATGACGTGGAGCTTTCACATAAGCACACACACACACTCTCTCTCTCTCCGGGTTGTTCTTCGCTTCACTTTACTTAGCTCCGCATCGCGATATTGCTGCTTAGATGACAGAGGAGGTTACACAACGATGAGCTTGCTTTTCTGGGGCAATCGGTCGATTTCCAAATATCCCGGAGCTACTGCGCGACAGGCTGCAGGAAGTGTATGCACACACGGTTGGGGGCAACTTGTGTGAAGCTGAAAATTTTTGTTATGTTCGGCGCAAAACTTACAGCTTTTGCCATTTGCAAATCATGCCCCCCAGTTCAAGGTGCTCCTGACAGCGGCAGAATCCGCGGGAGAATCAAAGCGATGCTTTTTTTTTAATCTGCTGGCCTGGAAGGAGCAAGCCGCTCTTTTCACGTCCGTGTACGGACGTGACGGAGTAGGGGATCGGTTGACGGTCCCCTCAAGCCCACGCAATGGTGAGAGTGAATTTCAAAGTGCCAGTGCTGTGCAGGAAGGGCAGACACGGCAGACTAATTTCACACGCAATGCAGCTCTTGGCTGAAAACGTCCATGTGTCATGCATATTGGGGCTTACAGATTCTGGCTGCGTGAAATACGAAAAATGAGGGGGTGCTGCGTCCTGGCTCTCGACCGTCACAGGCTGTTGTCCGAAGAAAGATGCAGTAAGGTGCGCCTTTTTTTTGCGGTCGATGGAAGCGTGGCTACGTTGTGTTGGTGCTATGTAGGTGGTGAAGGACTGACACATATCCAATCCAAGCTAGATGCTTGCAGACCTCTGCTTGCTCATATTTTTGTCAGGTAGGCGCATGCCAGCAGTGTCGCGGTGAGCCGTTTGAAGCCTGAGCCTAAGCTCGATAATGGGACCGCCCTTTCTTATTTGGGCACAGTGAGTCTGCGATCGGATGTCCGTTCGTCTCAAAACCTTTCGCATTCGCGGGGTCCTCATTGCGGCTGGCTGGCTGGCTGAGTAGTGGGAACGAGAGAAGGAGACAGGCTCTGCATTCTCGCTGAGATTCTACCAATGTCGAAAGTCAAGGCCAGGCTGCACTTTGCCCAGGACTACAAGGGCTACGATTTACTCGCCACCTGCCCATCTAGATCTGACCTCAGGACCGTGCCGTTATCGCAGCGGGGCCGGACCCTTCAATTGGTTTGCATGAATGGCATGGTTTCGGGGAGAAGCATGAGGGTGCTGGAGGAACGTGAAAGCAAGGCACAAAACTCGTGATTAGGATTGTGATACCCCCGCTGCAGTACCCTTGTAAAGCGGGTCTGCTCCTTTCTGTTGAAGAAAGCGTACGTATTGACCCCAAAGTTTCAGAGAAAGAGTTTCGTGAATGACACCGGGCAGAATTGAAAGTGGTTTTCGTGGAGCCTGTTGAGAGACTCACTGGACGAAACGTCCGGCTCATGCATAAGTGAATGCTGTTTAGATGCACCCTCCGACACACGCGCCGAGGGTACACAAGCCGACGCAGCAGCCACAGCCTCCACAGCTTGTACCGGGACAGAAGCCAAAGATATCTTGGGTGTCGAGGCCCCCATTTTTGGTCTTGTTGGCAGCGACGAGGCCCTTGGCCTCATCGAGTACGGTCTTCTTCAAATCTCCCTACAACACGCGGACGTTTGTGAGCGGTTACCAGACAAATGTGGGTAGGACTTGGGCAAAGAAGAGGAGCGACTGACCCGAAAACCTTGCAGATAAGGGGCTCTCTGCGAGAATTGGATCCAGTCGGGATATGACAGGATATCGTCCCCCTTGGCCGAGGCTGGCAGGGTGCTTGAGCTGCAAAACTGTCCCACGAATTTCGACACGGAATCTGGGAGACATTTTCCGCAATCACAGACCTGGAATTTTGCGCTTTTTAGCATACGGTGTGGGGATGGAGAGAGTCTATCGGGGGAAGAGGTCCTCTTACCGTGCTCTTGCCGATGCCGCAATTCAAGAGTGCCAGTGGATTCTCAGTAGCCACAGCCGTTGCAATGCAAGGCGCAAGCTTGATTACGTTGCCGGCACACTTGAAGATGCAGTTGAGGTCTTCGGCATGGTCGTCTGACTTGGCATTGTCGATGAAGACGTTGGCAAAGCGAGGACCCACTGGTCGGCGCAACCTCTCAAAGTAAGCAATGCTGTCACAGTGGGATGTTATGGGCAGAGAAGGAGAAACTGACGGGCGTAAATCAAGCCCTCTTCCACTTCTGGCGCCACGAGGCCAGTACGGGCTCCTTTTGTAAGTGGTACAATGTTAAGGTCGTTTGTCCTCTCCCAAGCCGGCGAGACGTCGCAAGACTCGAATTCAGAGATGATTTGCTGGCGAATCACAGTAGCTGACGCGCGACTGCACAACAAGGCAAGTCCGTAGAGGAGGTATCGATGCATATTGAATGGGTTCTTCCGGACTGTTGGATCTCTTGAAGGGTTGCAGCGACCTTTCACGAATACAGAGCTATCTGAGAGGAGAATGATGTGGAAAGAGGGAAGGCCTGGCTTTTAACTTGAGAAGTGTTTCGGTCTCCCACCATTTCATCGCACCCGAGCTGAACAAGCCAGGCGGACTGGTCTAAAGCCTCATTGGCAGTGCTGCTGAGTCCATCTGCATCCGCCAAAGGAGGAGCCACGTGTTGCTGCAAGACGCATGTTCTTCAAGCATAGAGGGCTTGGGTGGATGCACTGATTGCGGAGTACTTCATGCTTCCTTAGGTCCGACTCTTCCTGATATCACACATAGTGTGGGTAGAGTTGCCAACAAGACCAGCTTCCAAGTCTAGCGAGCAGGTTGCATCTTCTCTGTGAATCATCCGTGCATCTGGGATGCTGCATGGTTAGCGGCCATGAGGCTGGCCTTGATTCGCGAGCCTGGTTCTGGACCTCCGAGAGCTCCTCTCATGTCGGTGAGCATTTGAACTTAGCTGGGCATAGAGCATCACAAACGCCATACGGGGAGACGAGCTGACATTTCGATCAGCCACTCCCTGCTGCCAGCTAGCCAGCTAGCCAGCCATCGTTTGTCGTTCGACGTGGTAGTCGATGGGCGGCCAGGGCTAGTTGGCTCAGCAAACATATACCGCAGCGCTCATGCCAGAAAGAATCACATTCAACAAGCGGCGGTTTAGACTGGCTGCGGACTTCGGCCATCTGCAGCCACGAAAATGGCCAATGTTCGTGTCCTCATCGACCATGTGAGACCTGCGTTAGATGCATATCGATGCATTGAAGAGAAGCAGGCTGTACGGGAAGGATGGATTGCAGGGGCAGAAGACGGGGTTGATGCAAGCCCGAGTCAGAAACCACAGGAGAGCTGAATGACCCCGCGTTCCTCGGTGAGCTGGGGCGCCAGATCTGGCGATGCAAGTCCGTTTCTGCCAATGGCATTTCTAGTCGATTGGTAAAGGAAATGAAGACGTCTCCTGGAGTGACAGGTCCTAAAGGAAGATTTTGAAAGCTGAGATTGATGGTCCTGAAGACGGGGCCAAGCCATGCTGTTATTGCCCGTGTCGAAGCTGTACTTGGCATCTTACGCGAACTCCAGGATTGTCCTTTTTGTGATGGTTGCGCTCTGTCGTCATTTATACAGAAGCGAGCAGGCCTGTGATACATGAGACCACGATTCGCCACCGTTGATGGCTGACAGCATCTGAACGCTGGGAATATGGAGGGAGATCAGCATAGATGTCTCTTATTACTTTTGGTTGTGACACCGTCAAATTTTCAACTCCTCAGGCTTGACGTACTCCCTTCGCAACTATGTACAAGCTCCCTCTGTTCAACACTTAATGCTTCTTCACACCAAACGCTTCCAGCAGCTTCGGAAGATAAGGAGTTCCAAAGCCTGTGACGGCGTCCCATCCTGGCGCAGCAGGGAAGCCAGTGGTGTTGCATCCAGAAGATGAACCGTTTGTGACATCGGTGAACGATTTGTAGCCATGACTATACAGCCAAGGGTTGATAAATCCAACAGGAGGCTTGCCTTCGGAGATCAAAGCGTCGTTCAACAGAGAGAAGACAGACGCACAGATCGGTGAGGACCCAGATGTACCGACAAGGCCAGTTGTGGTGCCGTTCCAGATGGTGGGGAACACCTGTCCAATGCACGAGATATCAGGGTAGGCACGTCCTGAAGAAAGACATTAGCGTTTGACCGCCATCAAAGCGGGCAATGCGACTGGCTTACCTGACTTATTGTAGACGCCGTCGTAGAGTCCTCCCAGGCTGCTAACGTAGCCATCAACGGCCGAGGCTTGATATCCAGGTTGACTAAAGTAATTGCTGAACCCAGCACCACTGGCGAAGTACAGACCTGAGCTCAACAGTCTGGACGCGGCGACTTCAGGGTAGTTTCGAGTTGCACCAATCGCGGTCACATAAGGGCAAGATGCTGGGAAGGAAGGAATGAACATATAGGTGGTGTTGTCGGCGCTGCTGTAACAGGTGTCGTCGGCTCCGACGCCAAAGTCACCGCTGGAGAAGAACAATGTCACACCACGAGCACCCAATTGAGCGAATTGGTCGCAGACCACTTTGGCATAAGACTCGCTGACGGTCTGCTCGTCGTCTCCGTAGGAAGTGGAAATCACTTGGGGGAGCTCAGAGTCAGAAAGGCCGGACATATACGTTGTCCACGTCAGGTAGGGCTCATTAGTGTTATCCGGTGTGTTGATGTCAGGAGTGAAGCCGGGTTGTTCTCCGCCCACGTTGTATGTCGTAAGAGGAGTTGGGTAACCAATGCCGATCATGTACTGGTAGGGCCACAATCAGTATGGAGGCTCATGCCGTCGAAACAAAGCACAGTCTAGACGCCTTCAGTCAAGGTCAACTCACTTCGGAATCCAAATTAGCCTCCCTATCCGCCCCCGTTTCGGCGACATTAGTGCCGTTGTCGACAGCACCACCGGCAATGGAAATTTCCGGGAATTCATAGGCATATGCTTGGGCTTCTGGACGGTACGTTGACAAGAAGATGCTGATATCGGAACGATTTGAGGCCTCGCCCAAGTAACTGGTATGGGCCATCTTATTCTCGCCAGCTGCCTTGACCTCATAGTCAAGAGTACCGTACAGCGTTCTCAAGCAGTCTGGGGTAATAGCTGTGAAGTTGCACACTGATTCAACGGTGGCATTGCTGGGGAGAGGCACCGGTGCTGGAGGGGGACCCCACTCGGCCGCGACATGAGCGTGAGAGGCGCGCTTTGTGATGTCAGTGCTGCGCGTGAAGAGCTCTTTCCTGCTCTCTCTTCCTGGAGCCAATCGCGCCCAGGAGTTGGTAGGCTGAATGGTGCTGATATGATCACGAAGATGGCGTGGCAGTGAATAGCCTTCAGTACGAACCAAGATGGAGCCGTCGGAGTGTTCGTAGACAGAATATTCTGTGTTCAGCAGATCTTCGACCGATTCGACCGGGAGGGTGACCGAAATCCAGTCCTTGGCTGGACTGTACTTCAAATGTCCAAGGTCGACGCCACAACCTTTCAACCAGTCGTGGACTGCAGCAGAGGTGTCATCGGAGGGCTTGACGAGTTCGTGCACTTCCTCAGCGGAGAGATGCTGTCCGTAACGAGAGTGAGAGGGGTCGGAGACTGTTCGAAAAATGATTGAGACTCGTTAAGCATTTGGATCTGGCTATGTCCCGTACCTTCGTTGAGATGACGTTCGAGCTCATGAAAGCGGCTCTGTGACAAACCAATAGTCAGGTGGATCAAGTGATCGCTCGGAGCAGGTCCAAGGTTCGACCATGCTCTTGGTGCAGGATGGTAGTCTTTAACGGCAAGATCAGAAGAGCGGATCACAGGACCAGCGGTAGCCAGAGAGGAAAAACATGCCAACAGGGACAGAGCAGCACCGAGCATAGTAGAAGATCGCAGAGAAACCATGCTTTAGGACCGCGACACGACGCAATTCTCAAGAAATGACGGACAAGAAGGCGATCGAACGAGCTCCCGCGCCCCACGACAATGGGTGCTACTCACCATAATATAGCATTTCCTGCGTTATTCGAGGTGGTTTGGTTCGATCTTGCCGGGCAAACGAAACTGACCACGATAGAGGACGTCATGCTCGCTAGATTTGCAGGTGAGCTGCCTTTCTGGATGAAGCTCCGTGAGCTCCGAGAGATAAACAATACATCAAGGTGGTATTGAGCCTTGCTTGCCTCGACCTTGTATGCTAGCCCTTGCATTAGGGCGACTGTAGGTCAATCGGGGAATGCACGAAGGGGAGTAGCCGTCGATCTGCGAGGCAGGGATTGGATGGAACGTGACCAGCTTCCTAGATTAAGCATGGGAAAGTGACCATGGTTGCAGGAGAGAGCTTGGCCATCGAAGGCGGAGAGATAAGCAATGCCCATAGGCGCCATGGCCGAGAGTTTCTAGAGAGTTGGTAATGTTACCTCAGCTTTTTGATACAGTAGTTTGACCTGCCCCATCGAGTCTGTCGAAACCCGGGCTACCCGAGGCTCTCATTGGAAAAAGCAAGATTGTCGCCAATCTAAGCCACGTCCGAGCTGCGGCATGCGAGAACCATATCATAGAAGGCGTGGGCCAGTGATTGTGGCCAGGACTTGATGAGGACAATCTGTGATGAAAGCAAGACCGTTGGAGAGTAAGCGAAGGAGAAGAAATAATGGGAAGATACCCGGTAAGATGAGCAAGGTCGTCCCTGGTGATGCTGCTGCTCTTGGCTTGAGTTGGTGACGTCCCAACTAGGTCGCTCTCGGTACTACGTACCTACCTAGGTACCTAATGGTACCTAAGGTAGGCACCGAGGCACCTACTGGGCCTACCTTAGCTTACCGTAGAACTTACGTGGTTCCCCTTCCACCACTGTTCCATGGAGTTGGTGCTGATGAAAGTGCGTAGTAACACCATCACCACTACGCCCCCAGCCATGGTACCTGCTACGGTCTCTCAGGTGGTAATCAGCCGATGCTGACAAGGCTGGACGAAACGAATGGTACCTAGGTAAGTATCCCATTGGATTTCAATTCCCCTCGTGTGCCGTGCTCAGCCTACAATGTGGCGAGTTTCAGACCATCAACCATCAGCACTTTCCGACCACCCAGCCGAGTATCATATTGTTTGGCATCCCGTCCCCCCAAGAAGGAATCAGCACCAGTGAGCGAATATTCAGGCTCTTGAACCCCGATTGTCCAATTCAAAAAAGTTAGGCAACCGTTCGCCTTGCCTCAGTAGTTTTGTCCAATCAAAGGCTGGTGAGGCTGCCATCTCAGAGTCACCGGTTACTACCTTCAGCCTCTTTGTCATCCTCTGTGCTTCCTTGCTGTGCTTGCTGTGACTTCACGGTATGTCTGCCTGGTCGACCCGGCTTGATCATCTCTCTTTCCTTCTCATGTCTGTCATTGCTCGACCGTTCCTTTCTCAAGTTGGAGCAATTATTGAAAGACAGTGGCACTTTCGACTTTGAGATTTCAGAGATTCGATACCGAGTACTGGTACTCCACAAATCCATTGCCCTAAGTTAACAACAGCCAGCCTCGTGGAACGTCCTAACATCAGCATGTGCAACCTACTCGTTCCACTGTGTCCGTTCGTGCTGCACTCGCTCACAACACAAAGTCACCAAGAAACACCATCCAATCCAGCCGTGGACGCCAAAATCCTATTCTCATATCTGTCCAAGAATGCCTACAAAAACTCATCAGATCAACCACAACCGAAACCCCTAGCTCTCAAGACAGCGAAGCTTTACAAACGAACAAGTTGGCACACCTGCCCATGCTTCTTCCGGCTGGTCGCCGTTCTTCACCCTCTGACTGGCCCGAGCAAGGCGAGATTCGGCTTTCCGTACCAGTCCTGTTCACGCTGTTCTGGCGCCGCAAGGGTCCTCCGTCCCATGAGACTGGGTGGCATTGGCGATGGGAACTCCAAAGGTGATCAGTATTTCAACCGATGCATCTTTGCTGCCGGGCAGGAGGTCTTTGAGGACTCGTCAGAGCCTGATGTGTATTCGAATCTAACTCGAGCTCCGGCGCACGCTCGACCAAGTGCAAGTCCTTCATGGTCACATGAGTCCGCCGACAGAATGTGTCAGAAGCCCTCCAGCAACGAGTCGCAGCGCGACACGCTAGACTCTTGGGAGGCGGGCTTTCATCAGAGAGACCGTGAAAAACAGAGACAGGATAGGTGGTCGTCAGAGCTTCAGCGTCGAAATCGGACTTTTCAATCCGGGCTGGACTCATATTTGACTGAGACTTATGGTTCACCAGGAAAAGGCGCAGATTCAAGACATTGATTCTACTCATCTCTTCACAAGACTGCCGGCAGGAAATGATAGCGTCGCGGGATTTAGCCTGTAAGGTTATATAAGATCATTGCTCCTTTTGTCAGTCATATCATTCTGTTGATACCGCTCCTTTTGTGTCTCTGTCACTCCCTTCTTTCCCTATTGTGATTCCATCCGGTCGCTTGCTGAACCATGAGCCGTCTGTGAGGGTTCACCGGCCAAGATGAACCATGAACCATTACAGACTGGCCTTCCCCTGCGACTCATACGGCAGAAGGATCACCAGCAATCCAGCAGCAATGAACAGCGCACCACTCGTGTATACCGGCGCCGAGGTCTTTAGATTCGCAAACATGGCAATGATTGGCGCCATTATTCCGAAGATCCGGTTCGCCGTTGCACACAGTGCGTTGCCCGAACCTCGATCTTTGGTGGGGAACACCTCTGGCGTGTAGGCATACAGGACGGCGTACATGACGTTGCTGGTGAAGTTGAAGGCGCAATTCCAGCCCAACAGGGCGTCGGACGTGGTCGCCGTGGTCGAACAGTATAAAAACACGCCCGTCGCGACGGTGGACAGGGCTAGCGTGCCCCTGCGCCCGAAGCCGCGGATTTCGACCATGGCGCCGCCGAGCAGTGCGCCTGGAACACCCAGCACGGCGATGATGACTTGGTTGCGGTACGTGATGTACGTTGAACTGTCGCCGAATTGGGCGCCCTTGATGGCTTGCAGGTACGGCAAAAACGCATTGTACAGAGGGTAGCCCAGCCCGATGAAGCTCCACACGACCATGATCATTCCCGTGCTGAAGGCCAATTTCTTGGTGGCAAACAGCGAGCGAACGTGCGACATGTTGACTTTCTCCAGGTTTCGCTTGATCGCGGCGCTGGCGCTCGTCTGTTGTGCATGGCCGTTGCCGAGGATCTCGCAGGCTCGAAGGTCCTCGATCGTCAGAGGGGAGGTCTTGCCATTCCGCCGGGCGACTTCGTGGACGATGCGCACGGCTTCTTCGTCGCGACCTTTGCCCATATGATATTTCGGTGATTCGTACTATGGCGGGTGGGTTGTTAGCTTCTGGTCTTAACTCGACACAAACAGAAAGAGAGGAGAAGAGAGAAAGAGAGGAGAAGAGAGAAAGAGAGGAGAAGAGAGAAAGAGAGGAGAAGAGAGAAAGAGAGGAGAAGAGAGAAAGAGAGGAGAAGAGAGAAA